TTTCCAGTCAACCGAGGACACCGCGATAGAATTATATAATAAAATCATATCAGCTGGTGATTTTCCATGCTGGACGGAGTCAGTGAACTAGCGTAATCTGACAAAGGGAGATATCCATGGCCGTGAATGACTCGTTGTTTTGTGTCTTTATACTGATCAAAATGAGTCAAAGGTTGATGTAGCTGATGCATAGCCTCATATAAGCACGAAGAGTTTCCGTGTGTGCGCGGCTATTAAGACTTGAAAATCCCATTATCGAGATGGTCTGACCGGGGTAAATCATCATTGAATTTGGACATTATATTCAGCATCATAAGTAGTTGCCCTTTGCTCTTGCTTCGCATCAATTTGTATGATGGGAAGGGGTTTACTACCCTAACGCGCTGCCTTCGAGGTTCGGTGCCTTCGTGGCTGTGAATCCCGTCGCAGTTAATTCGTTGATTTCGGCCGCCCAGGCTTGTTCTTGTTAGCTCCTCGCTAAGTTGTCTTATTCCTCATCTCCTTCTCCATGCTTGCTTTTGATTGCATAGCCTTGCCATCTTTGACTGTAGGCCATAGATTGCCGTGATAATGATAGGCGGAATAATGGCTTTGCACTTTGGAAGTGGCACCATATACTATCGCAGTATGCCTTTCGCCTGAGATTCCGCGAATGAAAATTAATCGAATTCATTATCCATGGTACGCGCCGGCTTCTCCTGCTTCTCCTGCTTCTTTTGATAATCAACCCCGCGCGAGGGAATCAACCCCGCGCGAGGGCGGCTGCTTCGGGTAGAAAGTCGGCAAGACTTCTCCTTCTCCACCCCCGCACATCCCTGGACAAATCTGAGTAACCCCATTTTATTGGTAATGCTCTTTCAACTAATGACATTATGAAAATGCGGCAACTAAGCTATTGAGAGTGAGAGCGCTAGGTTAAGTCAATTACATATTTTGGTTTGTGACCGTCAAATTAGCCAATAATTCCGCGGTGTACTCGGCTAGTGATACACAGGCCGTAAAAAGTCAATAGTTCGGAAAACCATCCGGTAAAAAATAACGAAGTTACGCCTCTCTGAACTATTCTATCAAACTATAGAGTTCAAGACTGAAATCCAGAGAATTTTCGGTTGCGTAGGCTGATCTTATCCTACCTTCAGGTGCCTTGGTTACATCGCCGTGACCATTATCGCTCATATTTCGGAACGACCAAATCATCTGCCTCTGAGACTAGAGTGTCGAGTACAACGGTCTCTTTTATCTTTGGAAGTAAAGACATTACAACTGGGAAAACGTTTGACGTGAATAACCCTTGCAAAGGCTATATTGAGCATAAGTGCAGTGCTGCTGTTGTCAAGCATGCCACGCTCGCTGTTGAATCAGCATAAAAAACTTTTCCCCAAATGGTCAAAGACCAAGCCCGCGGCTTTGTAATGGTCTTTGGGACCATACAATGGGAGACAGATCACTAAGACTGCCAAGCACTCTTTCCAACCTTTGGCCTTTTCCCATCAGGGTTTTGCCTGGTTAGTTTTAACGAGGCTATGCAGGACGAGGAGTAATGGATCCGATCATGTAACGGGAATGTTCCGTCTACGAAAAGGATTCGGACGTAGTGTCACCAACGAAGATGGAATCGCAATAAGTGATACCGACAGAGATAATGTGCCCCTGGGAGCTTCGTCCAAACGGGGCATAAAAGGGGATAACTCCCTGGCCCCTATCTGGGGGACAAGAATTAGTCTCTGTACAAGAATACTATATCGTTGACGCTCCTCCACCTATTCATTACCGATCCATCATCGTATCTTACCGGACTGACAGGCTGATCACCCCTGACCTGGTAATCTTCTTACAGGCTTGAAGAGATATTTTGTTGAAGACGGCCGATATTTTCATGACTCGAATGGATGAATTCGTCTGGTATATGTGTGAAGAAACTGGTTCCCAAGCCCCTTTCGCCGAGTTTATCATGATGTTTGGAGCGAATCTTTTGAAAGACGATGCAGGCAAGGTATCCGTAGTCGAAGCTACTTCTCCTATGCTAACTTAGTACATGAGGGCTTTAGTGCAGTGGTCTACAAATAGCCGTATGGCGATGGCGTTGTATTGGGAATTGCACCTTGGAAATGTTTGTTCATTTGCCAAAACCATATGTCAAGATCGTAAGACTAATCCAAGGAAATTGAATTTAAGTAGAGTATTACCGATTTTCTGAACCCTATCAATAACCATTGGAATTCATCAAACAACTCCACTAAGCTAGTCATGTGGAATTATATTTATATAGGCCTATCTACCGGGGAAATGGCGTTACGACAGACAAGAAAATTTTTCAGTTCATTCCCCCTCAGCTAATCGTGGAAACAACTTTAAAGCATTTCTTCTGTTGATCTTTGATAGTTGCTCTTCAGTCAGGGATGCTGAGTCCAATGCATTTGTGAAGAAGTCGATAGTTTTGTCGGGGCAATAGGGATAATCACAGCCGTAAAGGACACGGTTAGGATCCGCAAACTTCATCAAAAACTCGATGGCTTGTGAGCTGCTTTGGGCAACGTCATAATAGAACTTCCGACAGTCTCCAAGGAATTCCTCAAGAGTCATAGACGACAATTTCGCATGGGAAAGTAGCGTTCCGGGACGCATTGCGATGAACGGGAGAGTGCCGCCGCAATGGCACAAGATCATCTTGCAGTTGGGGTTCTCCTGAACTCTCTTCGAAACAACAAGATCGACAGCGCAACGTGTCGTCTCATGGGGATACTCAATCATGGGCGCAGGTAAAAGTGGGTTGATCATCCCGCCAATGTCTACCCCTGTTGTGGGATGAATGAATACAACAGCGTGACGTTTGTTGAGCTCTGCCCATAGGGGCCTGAAAATTGGGTGGCCAAGATAGTAGTTCCCGTCTCCATAACGGGTGAACAGTGTCACACCGTCTGCATGCAAGACATCGAGCGCATACGAAAGCTCCGAAATGGCCCGGTCAAGATCTTCCAAAGGCGACGGGATAGTCGCGAAGAACCCGTGTTTCTGGGAATCTTGGTCTCGGAATTTCGCCGCCCATTCATTACTTTGCCTGGCAATTCGAGCTGACTCCGGTCCCTTCACAACATCTGGGCCTGGCGCTGTAACAGAAAAAAAGACTGTGCGGATACCCAGTTTCTGACAGATTGCCTTGTCACTTTCCGGAGACCAATCCGGAGTCTTCCAACCGGATGGATCACCTCCATTTGCTTTTAACGCTGCCTTCATATGAGCATTTCCATCGTGTATTTCACTCTTCAGGACTTTGAAAACTTTACCTTCGGCGTATGCTGGAGGCAACCAGTGATGGTGGACGTCAATTCGAGACATGGCAGCGATTTTTGGAAATAATCGACTAAATCAATAGCGAAGAAAGATTGCAAAATTATGGATTATATATCGCCTTTAACCCGATGTCCAGCTAACTCGGATATGCATCTACCCGATCGATCACTGTACTGATGTAGATAGATCTCGTTGGTCCCCGGCGGATCTGATTGGCTGTAGGGACCGTAAAACGTCATGATTATTCCTACCACATCGATCCACATGCTTATTTCAAAAAAGAAAAAAATAGCTTTGAGTCCCAAAAGAAGGTGTTTTGCATCCCGTAACTTCATCGGAGCCACGGATCAGGCCGATTGCGGGATCAGTGTTGGGTGTGTTCTAAGGGTGGCATCGAGATCAGATCGGGAGAGGTGGCGGCTGTTCGAGATGCATGGAGCCAGTGCTTATCTCCCCATGACTGCTGATTGGCTTACTGCCACAACTACTGAGTCATGAAATCTTTTGACTAGTTAGAAGTCCGCGCCACCTCCGATTGGTAGGCAATTTCTCAACCAACCTGGCGGTGAGACTCGACGAATCTACCTCCTGCACTCCATTATTCGGAGGACCTACCCGAGAGCGATGGGGGCGGGAGCGGAAGACGGGGAACATATTTGACCAAGGCCTAGAAGTCCGCGCTACTTCCGATTGGTAGGAGCGTTTCCATTCTCGGACCTAGCATTCCCCGAATGGAAAACCCTCATAGATTGTCAACCAAAATATTTTTCTCTATATAACTCACTCATCTTCTATCACCCCTTTATCCCCTAGTGATTTATCAGTCTTTCCCAAATATGCCGTTCCTCACTGTCCCTGGTGCAAAATTACATTATACCACAATTGGAAAAGGCCCATTGTTGTTATTCATCCATGGCGCTGGTGGGCGTGGCGAAATGTTCCGCCCTGTTGCAGAACAGCTCGCTTCCTCGTTTACAGTCGTTACTTGGGATCGGAGGGGATATTCCAAAAGTACTCTTGAAGGCCCCCAGGATTTCACCAACCGGGTGGAGGTGGATGCCAGTGACTCAAGCCGACTGATTGAGCACATTTCTTCCGATAAATCAGCTTTTGTGTTTGGAACATCTTCCGGAGCCATTGTTGCCCTGACTCTCTTGTCGCGATTTCCAAATAATGTCCTGGGTTTGGTGGCCCACGAACCTCCCTGCACAGACGTGCTGAATGCGGAGGACAAAAGAAATGCCGCTGGGTTCATCAACTTCATTTATGATCTGTACAGGGAAAAAGGTCCAAATGAAGCCCTGCAACTATTCTTATCGAATTTCTCAGTTGAGAGCGAGAGCAACCACATGTTGGAGTGTATGGATATACGTCTCGATGCCGAGGTTCGAGCCAACACGCTGTTCTGGTTTGAATTTGAATTGAAACAGTACACCAGCTTCTGCTTAGATGTTTCTACGTTGAAAAGATTCGCAACAAAGATCATTCCTGCTGCAGGAGCTTTGTCTGGTAACGGCGCGACCGTTGGACACATTATGACACTATCAGTGATGTTGGGACAAGAGGTTAAGCATCTACCGGGCGCTCATATTGGTTATATATGCCACCCCAGCGACTTTGCTGCCTCACTTAGCCAAATGCTGCAATAGGGATAACCGAGGATAGTCAGAATCAGAATGGATGCGACTTCTCCCCAAACGTTGTTCTTAGTTTCATTGGAGAAGTGTGGGAGGAGCTGAACTATATGTTTCACTAGTAGGTCTTGACTACTTTTAGATCAGGATTATTGTCATATCACAATGAAACACCTACAATTTGGAAGCAGAGAAGCAAGTTTGATTCGTGTAGGAGGTAAAGAGGGGAAGAGAGACCCTCACAGTATTTCAGGCCGAAGATGACAGGGAAGTAAACAACAAAGGCCTGTACTGTAAACTTCTATGGAAAGAATCTCCCGAACAGGAGTGAGTCTCTGTCCTAAATTCATGAAGCGGTTTACGAGCTCAACTACTAGTAAAAGAAATAAAGGAGTGTCCTCCCACCTGCTTCATCCGACGTTTAAGAATAGAGGAAGAAAGTCAGCTGATGCTTAACCTTTTCTGGAACCCGACACTGGGGTATATTTTGTTCTCTAGTGACCCCAGAGAGTTGTAGGCTTTTTTCAAAAATATTCTGCTCTCGGATATTTCCACCAGTGCTTTTCTATGAGGAAATTTCTTCATCTGGGTGATTCCGCATAGTACGAGACGAATAGCCAATTCAGCTCAGCTTGGGCGGATATTCTGCGATGTCCGGTCAGGAAGCCTGTTACATGGCCGACAATGGCAATTCCGGTGTGTGATCTCTGGAATAGGTTTCCTCGCTAATATAAAATGCCCTTGATGGACTGTCTACCCATCTTCCTGGAAACTTGGACTGCATTGTGCAAATGCTGTTTTACATTGTATCAATCAATCCTTTTGGTTGGTAGAAATGAAACGATAATGTATCCGCAGGCTCTTATACGCTAGAGCGCTAGTGCTGAGACCATTATTTCTCTCTGCTGCGGTTGCTCCAATGCAGCTGAAGACATTAGCGGCTAGGCTAAGACGAAAGAGACACTTGACAAGGCTACTGCTAAGTGCTATTCTCTATGTTTCACCACTATCTCGTCAAACACATGTCAGATAACTTTGACAATGCCTCCAAAGATGCAAGCGGGGTAGGGGTTCATTGTGGGTGATTCTTTTGTGTCTTGAAACCAAGATTATTTCTAATCCTGGTGAATCTACCGCCCACGTCGGTCTCCTGGGAAAATTTTATTGCGTATTGATCCTGTTTCCCTTGTTGAATTCGATCTTGGCTCGATTTGATTGTGTTTCCAAAGTGAGCAAATAATGATTTTATGGCGGCTCGCTGACGTGAGTCGTCACTTACTTATTTACTAATGGTTGTCCTGCTTGGTTATGAATTGTCGGAAGGTCTGTTCGCTTGCGCAATAGCTTCATTTCTTTCCTCTCTTTGTAAATTTGTCAATCATTTGCCCATCTGTTCTGAAGCGTATACGGCCTAAAAATCCACCCAGTAGGAGGTTTGGAGGACGTAAAAGTCGGATTCCACCAACGCAGTGGTGCGAGGTGAAGGTAACCTATTGTCTCTAATGAAGGGGAGGGTGGTAAGTGATTTTATGGTGGAGCCTCGGTAATGCCACAATTAAGTAAGCATACGTAGGCATTAGTGGCAAATTGTGCAAATGAAGTGAGTGCAATTTGATCCTTGAATGCGGGGTGCCGAAATGCGGGGGGGCAGGAGTGTGGAGATGCGGGGTTTTGGAAGGCTAGGCATGGTGAGTGCCTTTGCCCTGCATGTGGAGGTCTGTCTCAGGCTCACCCGCCAGCCCCGTACGTTGTGGGGGAGGGGAGCATGGCCAGTGAATGCTTGGTGGAATAAAACTCTGGCTATTCAAGCGCGCAAGATCCCCGTGCAAATATGACAACGCATAGCTTTCATCGGCATTTTGGGCTATAATTATGGCGAACGAAGCTACGTTTATTCTCTTCCCTCTCTTACTTTGTTGCTGGGTGGCTTGGAAACTCGTCGATCTGGCTCGCTCTACCTGCCGGCCCGTATCATTTCCTCCTGGGCCCCGAATCCTGCCATTCCTAGGTGATTATATCTGACCTGAATCTGGTGACCAGCCGTGCTAAATGATCGGTTGAAGGCAATTTGCACCAAATTCCGGCCCAGAAGGCATTCTTGAAGTATGAAAGCGACACAGATCAACGTTCATCATCCACCACTGACTTTCTTGGTAGATTCCAGGAGTGGTCACGAGTTTACGGTCCAATCTTCTCACTGAAGACAGGACCTTCAAACCTTGTGATCCTAAATAAGGCAAAAGATGTTAGAGAGTGAGTAGCACCGGCAGTTACTTGTTCTACGCTGAGAATGCCGACCGTGACTTTACAGATTATTTGACAAACGAGGCGCAATATATTCAAGCCGGCCTCCAAACCACATAGGCAACGAGCTCATTACACGTGATAATGTGCACTTACTCCTCATGCCCTATGGACAAAAATGGCGGAATCAGCGGAAAATTTATCAAGCTATTCTCAGCATTACGGCGGTGCGCGCTCTCACACCATTGCAGGAAGCTGAGGCTACATTGACTTTGTATCAACTCGCACAATCTCCTGAGTGTTACTACGACCATATCCGGAGATACTCCACCGCCGTCATCTTGTCTTCTGTTTTTGGTATCCGTGGGCCTGAGTTCAACCACCCCAACATCACGCGCCTCTACCATGTTCAGGATCAATTCACCGCCATCCTGGAGACAGGAGCAACACCTCCCATTGACGTATTCCCATTTCTCAAACGTCTACCTGACTTCATGTCACCCTGGCGCCGCTGGGCCCGACGAATTCGAGCGGAGCAGCGACAGCTTTATTTTGAGCTGCTACAGGAGGTCAAGAGTCAGCGAAAACGGGGGATCCAACGGAACTGCTTTATGAGCCAATTGCTTGACGAAGAATTTCGTGCGAAGCACGAATTGGACGAAGAGCATATTGCATACATTGGAGGTGTGCTGATGGAAGGTGGATCGGACACGACTTCGTCCACACTACTTTCATTCTTACTAGCTATGGTCAAACATCCAACGGTATTCCGAAAGGCGCAGGAAGAGGTTGACCGTGTATGCGGGACTACAGAGTCTCCTACATTTGAGCAACTCGCGCAATTGCCCTATATTAAACACTGTGTTTCTGAAGTAGGCTTTCATTATCCTTCGCTGAGAGACATTCATCCACTGATAAGCATTTTTGAAGGTCCTACGCTGGAGGCCGGTCGCAGCGGGCGGCATTCCCCATGTGCTGATCCAAGGTATATGTTCATTTCTCACGACTCCAACCGACTGCTAATGATTGTAGATGACGAATACAAAGGGTACAAGTTTCCTACAGGCACAACATTTCTACCTAATACATGGTATGCATTGGACTATCGATGTTCTTGTACGGAAGCAGGCTGACCAACGCACCCCAGGGCAATCCACCATGATCCCGAGCTATACGACTGTCCGGAAGACTTCGTCCCAGAGCGCTACGAGGACAATCCTTTTGGTTTCAAGCCGGATATTAAAGAACTTTCGGATGGCATCCGCCAGACATATGGATTTGGCGCTGGTAGGAGAATTTGTCCTGGGTCTCATCTCGCTGAAAACTCCCTGGTAGGTGACGAATGCTCTCATTTCATTATGTTCCCACAGACCTATTTTATACCATGAAGAAGTGAAGTTAATATATTATAGAGTATCAATGTTGCAAAAATCCTCTGGGCATTTGATATTCGCGCGGGAACGGATCCTTCCACCGGAAACCAGCTGCGAGGCGAGGAGGTTATTGTTGACATAGCCACACAGTGGACAGATGGTTTTCTGATTGCGCCAAAACCGTTCCCGATTGTTATGTTATTGCGCTCGGAGAAACACCGTGAAGTACTGAACCGGGAGCTTGATGAAGCTCAGAAGATTTTTCAAAGATATGAAGATTAGAGTCTTGAATTACATGCCCAGATACGGAAGCGAAGGCTCGGGTAATATTCTGAAAGGTTCTATTTGTGTTCGTCCATTCAAATCTCACAGAACTTACAACATCTATCTAGTGTACTAAATTACTCGTCGTGTTCATTTTGATCCTTCCACGTAACCAGAAGTATATCGGTATCAACAATTTCGCCTACTTCACCTAGATATATATTTCATATCTTGGTCATTATCAGACTGCATCAGGGTCCTGTGAACTCAGCTTCAAAGGGTCAGCGTCAACTTCAAGCAGCGGTTCAGAGTTACCACCGTGCATGCTCTCAGTCAGCTGGTCGACCGCCAAAAAATCTGTGGGTCTCATCCATCCCTTCATTCCTCGCGTCAACTTCAACGACGTAAAGTATCAAGTATGGGACGAGCAAGGGTATTCACCAACAATTCCAGACTACCAGAGATGTGACAGCCAAATATGCATACAAAGAGCAGCATGCCATCTCAATCCGATGACTGAATACTGCATTGTTCTCGACTTGACCGAACTTCTGTTCAGGGAGGCACAATTCGTAACTCAACAGACAGTCCCGCTGACGTTTCCTTATCTTTGTAGTAGTCCATCCACATGTATGAACCCAACATCTGAGCAAGGTAATCAGCTGCATCTTGATCTGTTGGCAAGCATTGAACCTGCCACACCAAAAATGATAGCTCATCGGGAATTGCGGAGCGCAGCGTAGCAACCACTCGAGAAAGAGTAGTTTGAAATTCCAACAGCCCGGTTGTGTACTCCTTACGTCTACGACCACTGCTTTGATCGTATAGACACTGTTGTGCACTAGTAACACATCTTGTGCAAATATGGTCTAAGAATTTTGGCTTTGGGTATCTAGATCTGCACGTGACAGGAATAGCTTTCAGGTCTGTTGTGGGAAAGTTGACGGAAATACTGCTTAGTAACTCAAACTGCGTGCCAATCGGATGTCAACAAGTCTGAATTGCTATAAAGCCCCTCGCTGGCAATTTATGTGGGCATAAAAATGACTAATACATGCGGTCCTATAGTATCTCCGTTGTCCGGTCTCCACTGCTGCTATTGTTCCGTCATTTTCATATGTTGATATTGGTGCCTCAGGCGCCCGTGGGCCGAGGATTCTGCCAAGGCGGTGGCCAACCGGCGGTCAGCCGGCAACCCCTCGGCAGCGATTCGAGACAGCCACACTGTATGCAGCCCACGTCCACAGTGTGTGACATGCGTTGGCCATGCGGTGGCCTTTCGCCATGGATCCCCCTTCGCTTCATGTTTGTTTCCTGTTTGCACGAAAAATGCTGTATTTAAATTGATGCTTGAGGAAGTGGGATTTGGATTCCTCAAGAAACAGTCTCTGACAATTTTGACTTGGTGCCCTACTCTCCTACCTAGTTGACAGGCCTTCTACCCTGTAAAGTAGTATACTCTTAATAACGAACGTATGGTGTGGTCTGAGGGTAATTATGGGTGCAGAGGTTATTCGGCACCTTTCGCTAGTCTCGATGGAAGAATTGTTCAAGCACGTTTGATTATGCTTTTTGTTATGATAGCCCAAGGATAGAGGATTTGCCAGGCTTCACTGTAAGTGCTTGAAATACATGGCATAGACGGGGGGTAATTAGCATGGGTAAACGTCTTTCCATCCGAAGAACTATCAGCGAGAGAAATACGATTTGATTAACATTACACTAACTTCCACTATTAGATGAGTTCATTGTTGAAGGGGCATCGGTGTACGGAGCCTTGTTTAGACCTATGTTCATTAAGACAAGGCAGCATTGGTCGGACTTAAGCTCCCAGGAGCCTATGATAAGATCTCGCCCGAACAGACAGATTGTTATAGTTCAGCTATCTTGAAGATGTAACATTGTGACGCTCCAGGAGCAAGTGTTTAGTCATGCGAATAGCAGGTCTTACTTCCGTTTATTGCTACCTAATCTGGCGAGAATAGTATGGCATCAAAACCGCGAAATAGGGTTTAGCGTAAATAATTATGCATCAAAATAAAATATGAAAACACACGGGATCCCGTGTGTTTCACGCGGTTATCTTAGCACACCTTGGCATGTGTATATGTTAAGGGTCTTAGCACGTGTGAAATCGGTGTGTTTGAAAAATTTTCACATATGTACATAATAGGATGGTCTAGCCATATGTGAGAAGAATTGGGCATTATGAAAGAAAGGTCTGCTTTTGTCAGGACCCAAGTACTAAGCAGGTCTGACGATATATATCTCGCAGTCTATGTGAGACTGCGAGATGGCCAGTTCGCAGGTGCGAACTGGACCCAGGGCTGAGACCCACAATGCGAGGGCTCATGACCTCACATGACCCCACATTTGTATATAAACAGTTTAGAGGCTGGAGTCTTGGACTCTAGCGATTAGTTCAGCATTGAACCTGTCTACTGCTTTCTCCATTCTATTGCCCGAATCCACCTAAGTCCCGATAGACCTGGCTAGGACCCGCGGGTACCCTCCATGACCCTGACCCTCACCTCCCCATGCGGAGGGTCAGGGTCCGAGACCTGGACCCGCGGGGAGGGTCGTACCGAGGCCGACCCTCATGAGGGTTACCCGCGGGGACCCTGAGGGTCGTCAAACATGACAAACAGGTAAAAGACGTGACTAGACGTCAATTGCATAAATTATGTAGAAACAGGCTGTATTTCATTGTAATTGTAAAGTAAAAATTCATCACTGTATGGCCTTACAGAAGGATACTACATGTACACTCCTTTGTGCATACCATAGGTTCATCCTCGAATAGGGGTTCAAATTTTAAATGGTTTATATTACATCTATAGCATAGTGTCTAGTCATGGTTCTAACAAGCCAAGAGTCAAACTATATACCCATCCAGTAGTCTCGACTTCTTCCGTATCCTACCTGATACACGATGCTGCGTATCAGGGAAGGATAATGATAGGTTCTCCTCCGGGTTCACAAATCTATCGGCATCAGAATCTTCCTCATCACTAGAAGTGACCGTAGGCCGCTTTCTAGCGGCGACTGCTAAGAGTGGCGGTGCGTTTGGGGTTGTTTGTATAATTGATATAGCAGCCGGTGTATTAGGACGTAACTCAACATCCTCCTCCTCGTCATCACTGATAGCCTCGAAGGTATGTGTCTAGATATCAAGTGCTTCTGCCGAAGCTGCTATCTCATGGTCTGAGAGATACTCCTAGAGAATCAGCCGCTACTCCTCCTTAATATCAAATCTTGTTATACACATATACAACATAATATCACGAATACTCTCTAGGTTCAACGACCCCCGGCGGTAGTGGCATACATCCCGAGCAGAGTTAAATAGACGCTTAACTCCGGCACCAGTTTAGACTGCGACATCGCCCATGGACGGGCTGGTGGGCATTGCCCATGGGCCTTATGTAAGCGGGCAATGCCCACCGTGGGCATGCCCATGGGCCTTTTTAGTAAGCAGAATTCCTTGACCTCGTGACTTGCATTATTTGTGCATTTTAGCTCTGTATTTTTAAGTAATTTGATTACATGTAGACAGCAGTGGCATTGGCATACAGTAGGTTTAACAGGCATTTATTATAGACATACATTCACACTAATACGATACAAATTGATCATCACTAGGTTTGCCACGCTTCCTTGCTTCTCTTAACCCAGGGCGCCTTTGAGTGCCACTCTCATCTCCATAAAGAGGGAGATGAGGACTGCTCTCATCTTCACTGTCGACTAGCTCACTTCTCTGTCGCTTCCGCGCACTCAGCACTATAGAAGGACAAGGAAGCTGACTCGCTATTACAAACTCGTGCTCGATCAGTCCGACAGGATCATTATCCTCGCAATCCTCACCATCGCTGATTGGTTCAGGCATGTCAGTGGTAAGCTCAGCCTCTCTCTGTTCGTCTGCTTCTTGTATAGAATCTAAGGACATATCCTCATCGGGTAGTTCTTCTATTTCAATGTCGAATTGGGTTCTACACCGGAACATCATGATATCCTGGACTGTCTTCGCACTCAGCCGCCCACGCCGGTAGTGGCAGACATCCCGTGCTGAATTAAAAAGACGTTCAACTCCAGCGCCTGTTGCGGGAATAGAGAGAGTGTCGCGAGCAACACTTAAGAGAATCGGGAATTCATTCTCATATTCCTTCTAGAATTGTAAAGGATCGACTTTTCTCCTTGCTATAATAGGTATAAGTATTCCCGCTCGTAATAATAGTGAATATAACGTACGCTTTTCAAGATATCTAGCGAGTTCGTGCTCTGATGTTGATAGATTGGAGTGAATGTGAGGCCGAAGGTCGAGGAGAGCGTCTAGGTCACTTATACTAGCTAAGTGACGGTAGGGGGGGTTGCTCTCCTCGTAGGGATTGTGTCTAGGTGTGTCTTTGGGCGTAAGGAGCTATGAACTGGCGAAGCGTTTCCTTATACTGATCACTCCATTTTATGTCGTTCTCCGACGTACCCCACGCCTTACTTAAGAAGAAGTGAAGCTTATACTAGGGTGCAAGAATTGTTCTAATCGCGTAGAGACTACCATAGATCTCTTTCGTCTTTGTGTAGTAAGATGAAAGCTTTACCATCCTAGCATTAAGGGCTTGTAGCATCGCCTTCTTCCAAGGTATGGTTTTCGGAGTGAGTCGTGCGATCGATTCCTTGAAGTGCTCGAAGAGGGCGTTATAAATACCAAAAACATGATATACCGTTATTTCTTTAGTCTTTGAAAGCACTGTGGTAAAGCGGTAGAAAGGCTCTATGATATACAGAAGGTAGTCGACCTGCCGCCATTCTGCCTTACTAAGTTTGTATTTCTAGGTCCTAATGTTATCATAGTATTCATCGTAGGGCTTACTAAGGCGTTTCGCACGACGAAGCATTAGGAAGGTTGAATTCTAGCGTGTACGGACATCTTGGATAGGCGCAAGTTTCGTTCTATTAGTCTAGAGACGGAAGAAATCATCGCGACGTTAGGGGCTTGCATTAATGAACACAGCAAGCCCTCGAATCTATATATTTATTAGGTATGTTAAATAATAAAAATAGTAATATACTTACCTTAATAAGGGTTTGTACAATGACTTATTCACTCTAGGAAGCACGGAGCGATCGAGCTTAGGCTTGGGCTTAGACATCTAAAACATTCCGATCTATAATATCGTTCTAGGGATCGGCCTTCACTGATCCAAGTAGCTCGCGAAGGCTTAGCTAGATAACATGTGCAAGATAAGGGATTCGAACAACCACTAGGCTATTCGGTAGTTCAAGGGAGTCAATAGAGTCTTGAACTGCCTATACTAAAGTTGTGTTATTTGATGCGTTATCTGATATAATCGCTAACACGCGATCAGTAATATCAAGCTTCTTAAAGATCTCTAGAAGCACTTCACTTAGATTCACACCAGAATGCGCCCTATCAAGTGGTTCGAAACCAAGTAGGAGCTCACGGTAATTCCAGTCTCGGTCGACAAAGTACCCTATGATCGCTATAAATGCTTGCTAAAAAGGCGATGTCCAGCAGTCAAGGGCGATTAAGAGCTTCGCATCTTTTAGTAAGGTAGCGAGAATTGTATGCTGCTCCTTATCGACCAATTTCTTTAGCCGGCGTTAAGTAGTGCGAGGATAGAGTAAAGTAGGTTCAGCTAGAGCCTTTTGTGCCATTCGAATTAAGGAAGCAAACTGTTTCCTCTCAAGTATCCGGAAAGGTAGGTTTAGACTAGTAAGACATTCAATCTGCTCTCTTTCCTATTCATCATTCGAGAATTTTGAGATATAAGAAGGCTCTAGTGCCTAATATATAGTAGTGTTAGTTATCTTAAAGGGTATAATCATATAAGACTTACCGATATATGCTGTATAGTCTCTTTAATCGACCGTTGTGTAGACTTGCTTTTACCACCCTTTTGGCATCTACCTAAGGTTATATGCCGCTTTAGTGTGTTAGTGCCGCTTTGCTTCGCGCTTAGATGAGGTAGTGTGGCCCTATAAGTCCGACACATAACCAAAGGTTCGCCTGTAACATAATGTGCTACCTGGTCGAAGTTCTCCTAGACATCCGATATATGTTTTGTATCCTATCGTAGCCTTTGTTGTGTCTTAGTATCGCTACCGCGTACTGTTGTGCGCCACCACTCAATAAACTTTGCTTTAGACGTGTTATTCATCGCGTCGTAGAGGATAAACTGCTTTCTCCGATCGGGGCCGATACGTTTAAGGGAGCAATTAAGAAGGGCCGGTTGAGTGAACTCAGACTCTATCACTAATATAGAAGTCTGTTGGCTGTTAAAGAGACTAGGATCAATATTTAGATCAAGGTTAGGATCAAATATATCGTCGACGTAGGAGAGGTCTGGTTAGGAGCTCGGAGGAAGCGAAGAGGGCCCTGCGGTATAGGCACTAGGTTAGGACATAGTGAATATAATGTAAGGGACAGTGTAAAGACTAAGGGAGAGTGTATGATATTAACTTATATTAGGCAACTTGCGAGTCGCAAGTTGCGACTATATAAAAAGGGGGTTACTAGTAAAAGGGGTGCTTATATAGATCTGATATATCATAAATCAAGTGTTGACCCACTATCCTTTATAAGCTGATTAGCTATAAGGGTCTTTTGTCTATGGGCATGCCCGTGGGCACGCCTACGGGAATATGCCTAAACGCCTATCTCGAGTTACAATCGAAGGATTAAAAACTCCCAGAATAATAACTTAAGTTTTTTAGTGATAGAATAGACGGAATTTAGTGATATAAGCTCGTAGAATAAGAATTATACTAATGCTCTTTCGATCTACCTATAAGAAATATACCTAAACGAGAGATGAAGCAGAATACATGAGTAGTATTTTACTTGTAGAAAATAGCAGGTATGTACCACTGACTTGAATATATATCTTCAAACTGTTATAGCATGATTTGATAAGTTAATAAAAATACCACACAACATGGTGTATTTCGATGAGGAATTTATTCCACGTCGTATCATATATATTATAGTTTTTCATATACTCAGATATTTCAATAAAATTTATGGATGTTATAGATTAAAACCGCGATCTTATATGGAGTTAGCAAAACAGCTGTAAATAATAGTTATTTAATGTGTCAAGTCAGCGAGTTATACGTCCATTTTGGGTGACTTTATGCAATGGTGGGCATAGTGGGCATGCCCGCGATTAGACTTCGCCATAAACCGCAAAACCCATAAACCGCCCCACCCCAAACCGCAATTGGGGCGGGTTTTGGGGTGAGGACTATAAACCGCAATGGTTTATGGTTTTTTACTTTCAAACCGCAATGGTTTATAGGGCCCCAATTGGTTTTTAAAGTGGAGTAGAATTATAGAGCATGTGACCTTTATAATTTATGCAATTTCCCTTGAAATCTTCTATATTTCAGTTACATATCTGAGATTATTTTGATAAAAGAACAAGATTGTATAATTGTATTCTCTCCCTAATGATAATCATATACATCCTCATCGCGTCTCACACGCTTACGAGCTCGTAAATTAGCCCGTAGTTGAGTGCTACTCTCCGAATTAGAAGGTAGTGTAGGTTCAGCTGTGTGATCCACTATATCAACTGTACTATCTAGATCCTCTATATCCTGCCCTTCTTCGTGACTAGTATCTTCCTCTGTATCACTAATTGGATTAACATCAACCATATCAGACGTAATCACCTTCTCTTCCTTAACTTCTTTAATCTCATCCCGTGTAAAGAACTCCTATAACAATGCCGAGTCCTGTTCTTCTTTATCGAACTTCGATGTACATAGATACATCATCAATTCCTGGATTGTGGACGTATGTAGCCTACCACGGCGGTAGTGGCAGATATCCCGAGCGGTATTAAACAATCGTTCAACACTAGCACTAGTAGCAGGGACTAAGAGAACATCCCGAGCGAGAGCTGTAAGAGCGGGGAAGCGAGGTGCATTGGTCCTCTAGAACTCTAAAGGGGCTATATCAATAGTAGCTAGATTAGTTAGTTTAATAGAACAAAGGGCAAAAGCAGAAGTGAGGACATACCACTATCTAAGTACTGTGTAATCTCATCACCCGAAACTGCTAGATGTGGACGGTTAGGCTTTAACATAGAGGCAAGGCGGGACTGTGATCCTATTAACGAAGGCGCTTTGGAAGAATTTAGCTGGAGATTTAGGCGCTCTTTGTATGGAGATAGGTGATCTTCTAGACTTTGTCGGTATATTGCTCGCTAATCATCATCCCAATCGTTAGTTTGAAAGAACTGGAACTTATTGATAGGATCAAGCATTGTACTAATCGCATATAGATGTCCCCGAACGTTATCAGTCTCAGAGTAGTACTGATCGAGCTTCTTCCGGGATGCTTATAAGGCCTGTAATATCTGTCGCTTCTAGCTAGTACGTTTCCTAGTAAGCTGGGAGATTGATTTCTTAAGGTGTTTAAATAGCTTATTATAAATCAGGAAGACATGGTGTGTTGTAGCGTCTCGTGTCTTTGAGAGTTCAACTGTAAAATCGAAGAACGGCTAGGTAAGAAAGAGAAGGTAATCAACCTGACGCCATTCTTCATTACTAAGCGCCATATCAGCTCGCTCATACTTATTATAGAAATACTGGAAGATTAGCCGTAGGCGCTTTGCACGTCGAAGTATTAGGAATGTTGAGTTCCAACGCGTTTTCACATCCTATAAAGGCATAATCTTAATAGTATCGCTTTGTAAGTTGTAGAATGTCTCTCGGCGTTAAGGGCTTGCGTTTATATAAACAGCAAGATTTCGAATCTAATAGTAACGATAGTTAGTAATGTATATAAAGAGAATTGAGGAATATGTATTACCTTCGAAAGTGTATAAGCAATATCAAGCTTCCCCGAATTAGCACGCGTGGACTATGATCGCTGCTTATTCTATCGCGTCTCTGTTGATTCATTAAGCGGGTAAGCCTTAATATAACCAAGTAGCTCATTCAGACTAAGCTGGATCACATGTGCAAGGCATGGAACCCGAATAAGAGTAACGTCTTTAGACATAGACTCTTATAAGGCATTAACCATTGTTTGATTATTTGATATATTATCTATCGTAATTGCAAAGACTTGGTCCTTAATCTTATACTATTTTAAGATATTAAGGAGGACGACACTTAGATTCACACTAGTATGCGATCTATAAAGTGGTTCAAACCTAAGAAGAACCTCACGGTATCTCCAGTCTGCATCAATGAAGTAGCCGGTGATAGCTATAAAGGCCTAGGTAAAGGGTGAGGTCCAGCAATCAAGGGCAATAGATATCCTTGTGCCTTAAGGAAGTGTTCGTAAGATTCCTTCTTGTTGGTCTTGTATAGAGGCCTTAAGCCGGCGCCGTATCGTCTTTGCTGAGGGGATAGATAGTGTAAGAGGGGCGGATTGGGCTTACTGGATCAATTTATGAAATGCGGGATGTTCAACTAGCTAAAAGGGAAGCCGTGCATCCGCAATAAAGGTAAGAAGGCCCTGCTCCTAGCCTTCCTAAGAGAATTCTTCGACGTCCGGCACATTCTACTTATAGTAATTAGAGCCTAAGTAATTATAATTATGTAGAATATCTACGTACCTTTTACAAAAACCGAGTAATATCCGATTTCTGACCCTGCGAGGCCTTAACACAAGCTGCAGTTTTAAGGTGTGTTTTTATAGTCGAGGTTCCTTAACGCGATTTTCTTCCCTCCTTAGTCTCTCGGACAAAGTTTGGATGCTTAAGAATCTGTCTACAGCGCTTACACATAACTTTTAGTGCTCCGTCCGAGCTATTTGCTACTTAGTAGAAATCATTCCAAGTAGTAGATTGATGTGCTGTATTCTAGGGTATATTGAGCTTTTTCCCAAAGCCAGTTTCAAGCCACCAGCTTACCTATTCGTTATAAACCATCTCGTCGTAAAGAAGATAGTTTTTCACGCGATTAGGGCTAACACGAGTTAAGCACGAGGGGATTAACGAAGGAATAGCCGGTCGGAGAAAATCCTCGGTTAGTAGAGTCTCCTAGCTCTCTGAGAAATCTGGGGTAAAATAATTATATAGAACAAGATTATCTAAATCACTATCGTAGATAGACGAAGAGAAGGTTGACTGCTGAGTTTGAGACATAATAAGTTATAAAAGGTAAAATGTAAGGGGAAAGTAATAGAAGGGAGGGAATAATACCTATAGAAATGCTTTAGATCCTTACAAACGCGACCGATAAACAGGAGAAAGAGGAATTAGTTGATACATCGCGTTTCTAACCTACATGTCGCTACTAATTGGTTAACTAAGTGGGTCAAGCTCTACTATAAACCGCAATAAACCACTATAAACCGCATATAAACCGCAATAACCCATCGACAAACCGCAAAAAACCACTATAACCCGCATCCAAACCACTATAAACCACAGATAACCCATCATAACCCACTAACTCCTCTTAACACTTCGCAGCCATATATGATCATCAAAACAGCAGCTTTGAACTTAGATATAGCCTCACCTTTAGTACCTTTCTAGTTATAAATAATACCTGATTTTAGACTATAGAATTCCCTATCGAAAGATACTAATTAAGGCATAATAACAAGGGAATTCATAAACTGTAGAACCCCAGCTTTTACTTCGAGGAAAATCACTTAGCTTACACTACATCAAATATATATCTCTAGGGCAAAACATGTAAAAAATTACAACACTTAATTCAACACATTATTTTTGCTCAAAACTAATAGCAAAAAAGGCCAAATAATACAACCATAACTAAATTTTAATAATACCTATAAATCAATCTAAAATTCGAATGTTTTGTAGCCCATTCAAGGTGATATTTGGAAGAGTACCTGATACAAGGTTAAAAAACAGTAATTTATGGTGATAAATAAGCAAGATTATGTATGCCAAGACCTCGATTTTATGCAAAAATGGGTTGTAAATGGGTTTTTTGGGGCCCCAACAGAGCCCATCAAAAACCGCAGTGCGGTTGCGGTTTGGCCGATTCCAAACCGCACCCAATGCGGTTTGGGGGGTTGGGGCGAAGGTTTGGCCCCAATTGCGGTTTATGGCGAAGTCTACCCGCGATGGGCATGCCCGTGGGCGGTGGGCGTTGTGGACGGGCACTCGAAAATCCAAATAGCCCACCGCCCACCGTGGACGGGCGATGGGCACCTCCTAGGTGCCCATGGACGGGCGATGTCGCAGTCTAAGTCTAATAGTCAAGCGCAATCGATATTCTTGCACTAGATGGAAGCCGTTATAGTGTCTCCTGTTAATGTTCTATAACAAAATCCCGAAGGCGCTCGCGAATCACCTTTCTTGATAGAACACTTGGTGGTGTAGGTGCTAGCCGTGCGTAGGAAAGGAGGTCATAGAATTCTTGATGTTCGACGAATAGGAAGGGTAAATACGATATAGTTGTTACGAGCCAAGTCTTGATGAAAAAGAGTGCATTCAACTAGAATACTAAATATGGGGAAAGAAAGAAAGAAGAAGAAAGAAACAACACGCTAAAACAATTAAGGTAGTGATGCCTGAGGCCTAAGGCCTCTAATCAAACAATGTAAAACACGAACTACGAAAGGCGGTGGAACACGGTAGAATCGGTTCAGGATCATTAATCCTGAATTCTTCGTGACAACCCCCTTACGAAATTGCATTCAGTCCCTAAATGCTTGCTGGTCTATGGAAACAGGCATATTATCGTCGGGATGATCATTAACCACTTACTTATTTGCTAATACAGTTTCCTATTCATACAGACGCTTTAGTGGTCCAGGTTTCGAAGGGTAGCGATTATAGAATTCTCTCAGTTTCACAGGTGCATGCTTAAAATTCCCGGCGGGATACCATTATAGATCGACATCATGACCGAGCTAATCGACCCGGTATCGTAGCTTTCTGTAATATAGTTTAGAGTCCATGATCTTATTAACTTCCCATTCGTCAGTTTCACCGACACGCAGTGGTGGTGGTAGATCGGTATATTGACCACGTAAAGGCTCCGTTATAGCTGCTCTTCGCAGTTTGCTAGTATGAAACACGGGGTGTACTTTGATAGATGGGGGCAATTCCAATTTGAATAAGTGGCCCACTTTTTCCACAATCTTGTATAGTCTACTGGCTATATGAGAAAGCTTCCTACTCGGTCTGTCTTACAACCAATCCTTTGTTATCACGAAAACATAGTCATTTATATCGAAATCCACTTCTCGGCGGTGCTTATTTGCCTGCTAGATCTGCATTTGTTAAGACTTTATAGCTTGTTGTTTTGCTTCTTACCAAATATCGTGTAATCGAGTGAGCATATTCGATGCCTCGCGCTCGTTGGTTGTTAGTGTCGCTTAATCTCTCTAATCGAAAGACATAATAGGTTCGTAGCCACGTTTAATGAAAAAAGGTGATTTCTTCGTTATATCCTACGGTAAGATTGATACTACGAAATCCACTATTGGTAGACACTCTAACCAATCATCCTAGTTATGTTTAATGTAGGGACGTAGTCTTTGTGCCATATATTGATTAGCAATTTCACTCTATCTATCAGTTTGCGGGTAGTAAGCTGTTGATAGCTTCCTTTGAATACCAAGAATTCGACAGAACTCGGTCCAAAATTCTGAAACGAACTGACCACCTCGGTCTGAAACAATTAAGGACGGAATGCCGGAGATACGGATCACATTGTTAATGAATAAACGTGCCATCTTCTTTGCATTAGTGTCTTTGTGGTATAGGATAGATATCGGTCTTTTTATAAGGCGGTCCACAATAACGAATACTATATCAAATCCATGTCGGTCCTTTAGGAATGATCGGAAATCCATTGTAAGATGCTCCTATGGTCTTTCTAGGATTTCTAAGGGGTGAAGAAGTCCAGGGGTTCGATCTCTCTAGGATTTTGTCCGTTTGCATACTAGATAGTTATCGACATACCTCTTCACATCGGTTACCTAGCTAGACCAGTGGTATCTTGCTGAGACTAACTTCTTTAGCTTCTTAATACCGGGGTGAGCAACCAATAGTTGTCGATATAGCTCGTCTAATAAGCGAGCTCGGAGGTCGTCCTAATCGGGCACTTCCAAATTGCTATTATAAAGCAGAAGTTCATTACTAATAGTCTATACCGTACTACCCTTTCGGGCCATTTCCCGATATTCTTCTAGTTCCGAGCTAGTCTTATTAGCATGTTTGACACGATCCACAATTGAATCCGTAACTTGTAATAGGGCGACCTGTGTTAATATCGATAGGGATTCGAAATGACTTTCCGGGAGTAATACGAACTGTCGACCAGTATCTTGACAAGGTGTATCCTTCCGGGAAAGGACATCTGCGACCACGTTTTTCTTACCCGGTCGGTATCTAATCACAAACCTGAATTGGGAAAGTAGCTCACTCTATCGGACTTGTCGTTAATTCATTTGTCGAGAAGTCATAAAGTATTCTAGTGACTAGTGATCCGTTAAAATTTCAAAACGCTCGGGTCGGGATAATCCTTTAAGTTCAGGTCTCTATTCCTATAAGGCACGGATAATTGCCAGCAATTCTTTATCTCTGATTTCATAGTTCAGCTCTACTACTTATATCGTTTTCGAGAAGAAAGCCACTAGATACTAGAAGTCATCGTCTTTGTAGTACTATATAAGCACTACACCGACCACGTTATCCGAGGCGTCAGTTTTAACCCGGGTAAGTCGCGCCGGGTCATAGTGTCGTAACACTAGAGCTGTAAGGAGTCGATGTTTTAACTGCTAAAAGGCTGTTTCACATTGCTTAGTCTATAGAAAGGGGACATTATGCCGAGTCAGGTAGTGAAGGGGCTTAGCAAGCCTGCTATACCCTTAAATGAATCGTCTGTAGAAGTTACAGAATCCTAAAAATGACTAAATGCCTTTTACCGTAGTTAGGACTTTCTATTCTTAAACCACTCTAATCTTCTCTAGGTCTACTAAGATGCCGTCGGTGCTTATAATAAACCCGAGAAACTTGGTTTGCTGGACCGAGAATTCACACTTCTTTAATGCCACCTGTAGCCCTGCTTCCTGGAGTCGTTTCAGGACTTCTCGGATATAACGATAATGCTCTTTAATTGTGTTGCTATAGATAAGAATATCATCCACAAATGCTACCGCATATTCGTCTATACATTCGCGTAGAATGTTATTCATAAACCTTTAGAACGTTACAGGTCCGTTAGTCAATCTAAAGGGGACCACTCTATATTTAAAGGATCCATATCGAGTTCGGAAAGTGGTAAGATCCTCGGCTTTAGGTGTTAGGCGAATCCGGTGGAAGCCTTACTAGATGTCTAGTTTAGTGAAGAATTTCGCCTTACTTATCCGTTATAACACCTCGTCGATTAATAGGAGCGGGTAACAGTCTTTCTTTGTGAGTGAGTTCAATTTCCGGTAGTCTATACAGAAGCGTAGTCCACTACCGGGTTTCTTAACTATTAAGATTAGTGATATAAATAGTGCTGAACTTAGCATAATAAATCCTTTATCGAGATTTGCTATAATGTATTTCTTTGCTTCTTGTAATTCGTTAAGTGAAAGCTTATATAATGGACAGTACCCTGGCTATGCCTCCGCTTTAAGTATGATATCATGATCAACACCCTTTCGGTGCGGAGGTAGTTTATCTGACTTTCTTTTTAAGAAAACTTCTGCTAGGTCCTGATACTCTGTCGGTAGTGTCGCTTAGATCTTATCTATCTCTAGATCTGATGATGCTAATGATGATTTGATATCGAGGATATGATCGATTTCGGTAAGCGAAGTGGAAAATACTTTAGTACGTTTATCAGAAAGTGATCTTGCCTATAGTCTCTAATATACTATAGGACCGATGATACTAATATTTAGTGGATAGTTGAACTTAGATATATTCAGTAGTAATGGGTCGTCATTCCTCAGATTTCTCTGCATTTTCTCGAGGTTTGCTCTCTACTATTAGTGATCTTGATGCTTCCGTGGTGAAAGGTCAATGCTTTGTTTAAGTAGCTTGTCTCGTCGGTCTGTATCTGCTTGATGCGTACTAGCGGTGCTTGTTGGAATAGGCTTCTTAAGTATCGTGATCGGAGTGGGAAGGGAAACCTGGTTACATACTTCTTTAAACAAGGTTGGTTTATGTGGCCAGATCATTCGACGACGGCGACAGTCGAGTAAAACGTTATATTACGCTAGCTATATTCGTCTAAGTATCAAGTCGTGTTTTCTAAGATCTGCTACTAGCATTAGTACCTGCTAGTAGACATGCCCTTCGATGCATATTGAAAGAATAACTGTATGAGTGATAGGCCTAGCTAGCTTGCTATCAAATCCATTTACTAGGCACTGCCTTTCTAACCTCTGAACTCGTAGACCTTACTGTTGGCATAGCAAAGCTACTAAAGCCGTGTCGATGAAAATTGAACCATCTGCTCCGGTATCATATAGTGCTGAAATAGAAAAGGAACGTCTATTGATCATGAGCTCTGTGTTAAATACTAAACTATTATATGGACTTCTAAGTAACTTCTATAAATTCAACGAATAAAGTGACACCTTCTTTCCGCCTAGGAGGGAGACTTCGCCTAGGCAGGTGCTTTTCCCGAATCCTGATTTTCAAATTCTTCCAGTTCGATACGAGGAGAGGGGTTACGAGTAGGAACTTAAGTAATTACTATAGTGGTTACTAGACCTGTCTTTTTAGGACAATCACGGGTTATATGGCCTTGCTCCTTACAGTTAAAACAACGTCCTTCTCTTATTAGTGTTTGTCTTTCAGTAAATGGTAACGGGGTGAATCCTGAGTTTTCTTTCTTGATTCGAGTCGTGGAGGTTAAACCTGTCGACGAGGAAGTGAGATTGTTTCCGGAACTAGAAATTCGTGCTCGGTTACCAGATCGTGATTCTTACTAAACGTTAATGTCGTGGGACAGACTGATACAGATCTGGACAAATTTATCGAAAGATACTATGTTCTGATTCTTCTAGAGCATCACCTAGGTTTGTAGTAAGTATGGAAGCATAAGATAAAGATCTTACTTACGGTTTTCGATTGGAATACATACTTCTTCGGCAAGCTATATAAAGATAGCCAGAAAATCGGTAAAGTTCTCCTTTGGTTTTATTTTCAATTTGTGGAACTGAGTGTATGCCTCGGCCTTCCTATTTAGGTTGGCAAACACTGTTTTTAGGTGTATGAGAATATCTTCTGTATCGGTGTAGTGAGTGGCCGATTCAGGATCTATTCTTAGTGCGATATGTAGCTGTGCCTTTCCTTCGCAACGACTTTAGACATATATTATTCGGTGGATCGGATCGGGGTAATGATCTGCATTAGCAAGCAGCTTCTGTCGGATCACTGTTTGCCAGGTTTCGAAGCGAACTTCCTTACTATCACTTAGCATAGGAGCATCAGGCATCTTGGTCGTTTTCTGAACACGAGGGGTTATAGCTACAGCCTCCACAATCGATACGCTACGCTAATGGTTTCCTGATTGTAGCAGCTGGTATACCATCTCATTTCTAGCATCCACTACCGTCCTTTCTTTTTCCTTTACGATCATCAGGTGAGCAATCGCTTCCTCACGTTCTTCATTAGCTCGCTCTCGGAGTATGACGCTTTCTTCAAGTTCTTTGCTAACAGCATTCTCTCTAGCTTCTAGCTCGTTGAATTTGGCTTTAAGCTCTTTGTACTTCTTAACCATTGTTTCGAAGCGCTGTCGTGCATCCTGCCGAGCGAGAGTGTCGCGTACCGCTAGTGAGTTTAGATGCGAATAAACTAGACTAGCACCGGTGCTTTAGCTTCGTCCTCGTATTAGTGACGAAAGGTCGGAGGGAGGGAGTTCAATCGAAGTCGGATCATATGTGGTCGTTTCTTCTTAATCATCGCTATTAGCGAGTCTCGTTTGCTAGCTCCGAGTCATACGGGGAGTCTTCTTCTTCGAATCAGCTATTCTTACTGCTGATTGGTCGGTTCTATCGATCTTTCGGTTCGGTTCGGAGGTCTTGGCTCTACGATGCTAAGGAACGTGAAGTGGGGCTAAGTAGGGCTAAAACCAATCACAATAATGGTTTGTACAGTCGTGCTGCTCAGTAAAGTGTTTTGGTGATGTTTAGTATTATGTTACGAGCTAAGTCTTGATAAAAAAGAGTGCATTCAACTAGAATACTAAACATAGGGAAAGAAAGAAAGAAGAAGAAAGAAACAACACGCTGAAACAATTAAGGTAGTGATGCCTGAGGCCTAAGGCCTCCAATCAAACAATGTAGAACACGAACTACGAAAGGCGGTGGAACACGGCAGAATCGGTTCAGGATCATTGATCCTGAATTCTTCGTGACAATAGTAATTAGGTTTAGGATCTTCTGCTCCTATATTTTCTAGGTAAAGATAGGCGCTAGTCTTCTCTCGGCCTAAATAGTGAAAATAGTATTAGTATTAATATTGAATATAGGCTGGTTCAAATATACCGCGTCACTAAGTAGTTGCTGGATATTACCCTTCTTCGGTATTCGCTGTCGGCACCTTAGCCTATCGAGATGTTTCTGTATCGATGAGGTTCTAGTATGGTTAGTAGTTAGATGCTTAAGAATTATACGGCACCGTTTACATATAACGCCTGGCTTCCTATCTTTGGCATTTGTAACTTATTAAAGCCCTTTCTAGCACTCTATACGACGGTTCACATCCTAGTTGATCCGCTTCTTCTTACTAAAGTCGGTTTTAAGCCACTACTAAATAAATTCTACGGTTATTGTAGTTGTGAAGACGACGTACTCGTTGATACGGTCTGGTTTGATTCGCGTAAGAGTGTCTAGGGCCTAAGGTGCCACGCGCGATCGATAGGTTGTAGTCTTCCGCAAAGCCCAACTTTGGGCCCAAATACCGGGCCCAAAGCCCAGCCCACGGTGGGCCGGGGGTCGAACATTTGGGCCCAAGCCCAACCCCCGGCCCACCGTGGGTTGGGCGTGGGCCCCCACGAAAGCCCACCAATACATAAAATATCGGTCTTAGCATTCATAAAGCTGCTGAATCATCAAGGTAAATAACTATTTTTTACATGTGTTCCGGTTTGTATACTGAATATTTGGATATTACAGCTGATTCTACCTTAAAATTTATAAAATGAAAGCAAATGTATAATAAGATTAAGCTATACTCTATATATTACCAGTAAAAATCACAGTTTTATAATGTTTTGGTGGTTTTATATAGTTTTTAGTTCTTGTTGATCTTAAAGTGCTAGAAATATATATTTCTCCCAGTGGGGAATTTGTAAATTTCCCTATGTAAGTAAAAATTCAGGTTAAAATCTCTTATAGCTGTTTAATCTAGTTATATTTTATAACAAATTAAATGTTTATTTCTCTATACTTTGATTATCCTTTTAGATACCTACTAACTTATATATTGTATGAATGGTAGAGGTTTGAAGTTCTCCATGTCCCGACCGGGTGAAAATTTTTGAGAGGAGATTTTGGTTAATAGGCTGGGAATGGGCTATTAATGGGCTTTTGGTGGGCTTTATGGGTTTTTGATGGGCTCTTAGTGGGCTTTATGGGCTATTTATAGGTTTTATGGGCTTTCGGTGGGCTTTCGGTGGGCTTTATGGGCTTTTGATAGGCTTTTGATAGGCTTATGCTACTTAATTTATGATCTATCTAATTACTAACTAGCGAGTACTTTTGTTTAGTTGATATATGGATTTTTTTGTTTGCCTTATATACTATTATAATAAATCTATCACTTTGTAATATATATCCCTTTCCCTTCTCTTTATCCCTTTACTATTGATTTTTTTACTGATATTACAATGTCCTAAAGTCAACAGTCCGACTTTACATCATCTTTATATGGTGGAGACTTTGATAATTTAGTTTATCTTACTACCTCTCAGTGTCCTACTACCCCATCTGGTAGTCAGCCTACGCTTGAGATCCCCGAAAGCTCTTTTCTTCGACCAGCAGTTCCTCTAGTCCCTCCTTTAATCTTTAAACGCACTAGACCCGATCGGCGAAAGTTATACCTACTATATAACCCTATAAGTCATAACGACTAGGTAGAATAGTGGTTATAAACCGATTATGGATCTAAGAGCAAGATCGGATAGGACTTAAATCACCTCTCTTCTATATAGAAACACTATATTCAGGTTGCCCATAGTATTGATGGTACTGCAAAAGTTATGTGTAAGCATTGCTTAACAATTCTTGAGCACCCTTATACTATCAAAAAAGATATTCATAGGAAGGAGGGGCGTTATGGTACAACTACTATAATAAGACACCTTAAGACCTCTACTTATCAAAAGGCATCAGGTCTTAATAAACAGAAGGGAGAGATATCAAAATTTCTTTAACAAATGGTATGTAAAGTCCTATTTTATTATTATATTATTAATTTTTCTATATTAAGGACACTTCACCTAACGAAATATTCACACAAGAAGATTGGGAGAATGATATTCTCTAGTTTATTACCCTTAACCGACTCCCATTCCATCTCGTCGAGCACCATACTTTTCGAAAATTGATATCCAGAGCCCGAGCTAGCCCAAGCGAGCCAAAGATACCCTCTACCGATACTTTTCGTCGACAATTAAGGAGCCAGGTCAGGGAACGACAACAATCTATCCTTAAAATGCTTCCAGAAAATTCAAAAATATCAATTGCACTAGATTGTTAGACATCTCTATTTGGACAGGCATTTATAGCTATTACTAGCTATTTCATTGATATGGATTAGGTGTACCGAGAGGTGCTTCTTGATTTCAAACCTCTTTATGGCGCTTATACTAGCGCTAATATAAGTACCATACTATTACAGACCCTTGTTGATCATGATATCCAAGATCGAATTTTTGGATTAACAGCAGACAATACATTAAACAACAGAACACTAGTTGATTCTCTACAGCAGGCTTTGCCTCCTAATGTTAATATCATCCGGACCCCTTGTCTTGCACATGTGATCCAATTAAGCTTGAAACAGCTTCTTGATTGTCTTAAAGCTGCTCCACTTAATGACACCACTAAGACTAAGTGGACTAAGAGTTAATCTATATTAGCTAAGGCGAATGCATAAACCAAGAATCGGGGAATCTCCCATACCTTAAACAAGGTCCGATATCTTGCAGTCTTTATCCGGGCAAGTCCACAGCGCCGGGATACATTTTTAAAGCTCCAAAAACATAAGCTAGGACTTATGGCAATTCAGGACGTGCGAACTCGGTAGAATTCAACATATCTAATGCTTCGCCGGGCAAAAAGACTTCGTGACTATTTTGGGCCCTTTTGTGTAGATTATAGTTATAATGATATGGCATTAAACAATAAAGAATGGCGTCAAATCGACTATCTTCTTTGCATCACTAAGCCATTCTTTGATTATACACTTGCTCTTTCAAAGACTCGAGATATAACTGCACATCTTGTGTTCCGGATCTATAATACACTTTTTGAGCATTTGGAGAAGTCTATATCCCAGCTAAAGCGGAAGCGTGTTATGTGGAAACAGCAAATGCTCTCGTCCCTTAAAACAGGCCGACAAAAGCTTGATGAATATTACTCGCAGACGGATGAAGTTCGGGGGCATATCTATACAATTGCTACTATGTTAGCTCCTGATAGCAGATTCCAATTCTTTCTATCAGACGATTAGGATAAAGAATGGCGTGATAAATATCGTATCTCATTCCGAGATGCATTAGTTCCTTACCAACAGCATCTTGCTAGTTCTCAACACCCTAAGGACTCCTCTATAGGAGTAAGGCAAAATTCATTTCTTCAAAACTTGCTTAGTGGCCAAAAGTCTAAAGCAAAGCCAGTTCGAGATGAAATCACTCAATATCTTAACAGTGGTATGTATGAACTTCATTTAGTATAATGTTATTGATACTAATTATTTTAGATGTTACTGATTCTGAGCCTCTTTCCTTCTAGAGAGAGCACCAAGCCCGTTTCCCAGCAATCACTTTACTTGCACGAGATATTCTCTCAATTCTAGCTACAGGTGCTGGTGTGGAGAGACTATTTAACACTGCTCGTGATATCTGTCATTATCGCCGTGGTCGTATGAAGTCCGAAACAATCCAAGAGCTTATGATGTATCTTTGTACATCCAAATTCGAGCTTGAGATTCAAGAGGCAAAGGAGCTTGAAAAGTTCTTCTCTTTAGATGAGATTGAAGCATTAAGGGAGGAGAAGGATGAGAGATCTGAGGATGTTGAATCGGATAGTATTAGCGATACTGAAGAGCAAGCTATAGCAGATTCTGAGGATCTTATCGATGTGATTACTGATGATGATGTTGATGACGATGTTGATGACGATGTTGATGATGATGTTGATGATGATGTTGATGATGATGTTGATGGTAATCATGTCTCTGCTAATACTCATGCTGTTGAGCTACCACTACCAGAGCTTGGTCCGCGGATACGTACTTCTGGGAGGAAGAGAAAGATCACTTTAGATGATGAATTTGAGACCTACTAGCAGATAGTGATATATAATAAATCAGAATGTTTTATATTTGGTTAATTACTGTTTTAATTTACGTGAAAACTAAAATTGTAAATGAATTACCCAAGATTCGAGGCAAAAGATGCATAAATTATGAACTACAGGAAAATCAGTATGTTTGCACTGTTTGTTAATTGATGGGCCCCCGTTGGGGGCCCACGATGGGCCGTGGGCCCAAAAAAAAAAGCCCAAAGCCCATCGTGGGCTCAAGAATCGGGCCCAAGCCCAACCCATTCGTGGGTTGGGTTGGGTTGGGCTTTGGGCTTTGTGGGCTTTGCGGAAGCCTAATAGGTTGGAAGGTCTGGAAGGTCTGGAACTGATCTAAACTGACTTTCGGATAGTTGACTCTAGCGTTCGCGTTAGGAAAGGGAATCGTTAGGAATAAGGTATTGTAGCGCGTCTAATTGCACCCCGTCGAAGCTAGATAATACGTAGACGTCGGAGAGCTAAGATATGATAGATTTAGTAACTAGAAGACAGTACTATGACTAAGGAGGAAGATAATAAGGAACTTACTGTTTAATTTGTAGAAAAAGATACGCGATATTCTTAGGGCATCCGTTAGTCCCTGTTCTATATGCTAGAATTGATCTATCATCTTTTGTATCCACATAACAAGATCTGATTAGCTAACGTAGTGGATAACTTAATAAATGAACCTTAACGATAGACCTGGCTAGGAACCGCGGGTGAACCTCACGAACCTCAAGGAGGTTCACCCACCCGGAGGTTAAGGTTCCATGACCTAGAACCTCCGGGCGGTTCTATCTTGGACCGAACCTCATGGAGGTTACCCGCGGGTGAACCTAAGGTTCAACAAGCATAACAAATAGGTAAAAAACGTGACTTAGGGTCAACTACATAAATTATGTAGAAATAGGCTATATTCTCTCGTAATTATAAAACAGAAGTTCATTAATGTATGCCCTTACAGGAGGATTTAGTGCATATCATAGATTCAGCTTCGAATTAGGGTTTCAACTTTCAATTATCAATGGTTTATATTATATCTATAGTGCAGTGTCTGGTTATAGTTCTGAAGAGTCAAGATTCAAGTAATCAAGCTATATACCCATCCAGTAGTCTCGACTTCTTCCGTATTCTACCGGATGCACGATGCTGCGTATCAGGGAAGTCAGGTAAGGGTGATGCCCTGTTCTTATCTGGTTCCGCAAATTCATCGGCATCAGAGTCTTCCTCATCGTCAGAATTAACTGCAGGCCGCTTTCCAGCGGCGACTGCTGAGAGTAGCGGTGCGTCTGGAGTTGCTTGCGTAATTGATATAGTAGCCGGTGTATCAAGACGTATCTCAATATCCTCCTCATCATCACTAATTGCCTCGAAAGCATGTGTCTGGACATCAAGTGCTTCGGCCGAAGCGGCTATCTCATGGTCCAAAAGATACTCTTGGAGAATCAGCCGCTGCTCCTCCTTGATATCGAATCTTGTTGTACACATGTATAACATAATATCGCGAACAGTCTCTAGGTTTAACGACCCCCGGCGGTAGTGGCATACATCCCGGGCAGAGTTAAAAAGACGCTTAACTCCGGCACCAGTCGCTGGAATTGATATAATATCACGGGCAATACTTGCAAGAATAGGGAATTCCCTCTGATGATCTTTCCAGAAAATCCGAATAGATCCTTTGATAGTATCTAATTAGGTAAGGTTAGTTATATGATTCACAAAGTAGGCTTACTTACTTACCACTCTAGAGATATTTGGTGAGCTCGTCGTACTGCGGAGCAGTTAATCGTTGTGAAGAATCGCCGTTAAGGGCCTTCTCAAGCTCCGATTTAGTTGTGAATAACTAGCTATCAGATTGTATCATCTCTAATGGTATACGTTGGCTATATCTCTCAAAAAAAGACTGAAGACTCTCGCGGTATTCCTTTCTATAGTCCTTTCCTGTCTTAGGATCTGGGTCCTAATCACTTGTTGAAAAGAACTCTATCTTGCTCGACGGCGCTAGGATCGTCCCAATTGCATAGAGATTACCTTCGATACTATCTGTCTCGGCGTAGTATTTCTTTAGTTTCTCTTTCGCAGTATCGAGGGAGGAAAGCATTAACTGTTTCTAGGGAACCTTCTTTCGACGAAGCTGACCTATCGATCTTTTAAGATGATCGAAGAGCTTATTGTAAATCCTAAAGACAAGGTGGATACTCGAGTCTTTAGTACGACAAACTAGCGTAGTGAGCGTGAAAAAGGGCTAAAGAATACAAAGCAGATAGTCAATCTGTCGCCACCCCTCTACACTTAATGTAAAATAGTGTTGATCATAGTCGGAACAGAACTTATTAAATGCGATATAAAGCCTCTTCGCCCGTCGGAGCATTAGAAATGTCGAATTCCACCGTGTACGAACATCCTAGATTAGAAGAAGCCGTAGCGTATTACTAGGCTAGGTATTTAGGAAGGCTTCCTTACGTTAAGGGCTTCCGTTGATATAAACCGCAAGACCTCGGACCTATTAGGAATCAGAATAGTTAGTGTTATTAAATCATAATTTATGATTCATAAATAGAAGCATACCTTGTTTAGAGTATCGGCGATCTTATGTTTCTGCTGGCGCGCACGAAGTAAACGTACACGATCATCAGACCATTCTGTCTCGGCGTTATCATTCTTTAGCGAAGCCTTGATTTTACCAAGCAAATCAACTAGACTTAATTGAATAACATACGTAAGGCAGGGCACTTAGACAATCGTAGATTCCGTCTCTATATGTAGCTTCTTAATTGAATCATTCACTGCTGCGATAAGTGTCTTATTGTTAGACGTATTATCAGTTGTCACCGCGAGCACTCGGTCAGCGATTTGGTGCTTTTGTAGGATCTGGAGAACTACGTCCCCAAGGTTCACGCTAGTATGAGATCTAGAAATTGGCTCAAACCTAAGTAGGACCTCACGATACTCCCATTCCTGGTCTAGGAAGTATCCTATGATAGCCATAAATGCGTGCTTAAATAGGGATGTCTAGCAGTCAAGCGCAATCGACATTTTTGCACTAGATGGGAGCTGTTGTAGTGTCTCTTGTTAATACTCTGTAACGAAACCCCGGAGGCGGTCGCGAATCACCTTTCTTGATGGAACGCTCGGTGATATAGGTGCTAGCCGTGCGTAGGAAATAAGGTTATGGAATTCTTGGTGCTCGACGAAGAGGAAGGGTAAATGTGATATAGTGATTAGGTTTAGAATCTTCTGTTCCTATGTTTATTAGGTAAAGAGAGGCGCTGGTCTTCTCTCGGCCTAAAATATAGTGAATTCATAATTAGTATTAATATTGAATATAGGCTATTTCGAACATACCGCGTCGCTAAGTAGTTGCTGGATATTACCCTTCTTCGTAATTCGCTGTCGATACCTTGGCCCATCAAGATGCTTCTGCATCGATGAGTTTCTAGTATGATTTGTAGCTGGATACGTAAGAACTGTACGGCACCGATTGCATATAACGCCAGGCTTTCTATCTTTAGTATGTGCAACTTATTGAAACCTAGTCTAGCAGTCTGCGCGACGGCTAACCTCCTAGTTTAGCCGCTTTTTCTTACCAAAATCGGTTTGAAGCCACCAGTTAACGAATTCCGCGGACATGTCGGTAGTAAAGACGATATACTCGTTAATACTATCTGGCTTGATTCGCGTAAGGGTGTCTAGGGCCCGAGGTCCTGCGCGAGATCGGACTTGGTTGTCTAGAAGGTCTGGAAGGTCTAGAACTGAATCAAACTGGCTTTCGCGTTAGGATAGCGTATCGTCAGGGGTAAGGTATTGTAGCGCGTCTAGAGGTAACCCTTCGAAGCTAGATGATGCGTAGCCGTAGCCGTCGGTAATCTAAGACATAATAACTTTAGTAAACCAGTGTAACTTAGCGAAGATAATAAGGAACTTACTAGTTATTCTATAGAAGTTACGGGGTCTTCTTAGGGCATCTGTTTATCCCTATTCTATAATGCTCAAATTGATATATCAACTTTTATAAGCCCTATCTATATCTGATTCGCTAGTATAGTGGATCACTATAGAAACGAACCTCAATAAACCTCAACTAACCTTAACGAACCTTAATGGACCTCATCGAACCTTAACGAATCTCAACGAACCTTAACGAGAACCTTAATATAGGAAAAATAGAATGTCTAAGTCTAACAATTAGGACATTTGAACCGGATTCACGGTATATCTAGATCAATTAATCTGAATTCTAAAAGACAAAGTGATAGAAGAGGATATAACGGTTTGAATGATATTAAAATAAGGGGAATTGAACTGCATCTTTATAGTTTTCTTGAAGAACAGTAGTTCTACTAATAAAGATACACATACTTTACAATGTCTGCGATATATATATCCACAACTTTATATGCCATTTTATCGATGACCTCTATTGACAACCCACCACGTCGATATCATCGAATATTACCTATAATTTGTAGGTGACCACGCCTCCTATTTACTTTTCAATGAATATATCTTTATAATTCATTATGTTGATAAAGTATTCAGTGGAAAGTCTATTGGTTAACGAAACAGCTGTAAAAAACAGAGATGAATCATCAATTTTATCCAGCCAAAAGAGGAAAGGCGTCAAGAAATTATGTATATGCAGGTTCATGCGGGTCGATAGAGGTTGAACCTCAAAGAACCTCTGGAGGTTAATGGGCGGTTGGAGGTTAGTAAGGTTGGAACCTCACCTCAAGAGGTGAGGTTCGAGGTTCCGGGGTAGGGACCCATGCGGAGGTTCAAAGCCAGGTCTACTTAACGAACCTCAAATAGACCCTCGCTTACCCGTAGCGACCCTTAAGGGGACCCTCACTACCCGTAGCGACCCTTAAGGGGACCCTCACTACCCGTAGCGACCCTTAAGGGGACCCTCACTACCCGTAGCGACCCTCGAAGAGACCCTTAAGTTAAGAAAATGGCCTTGATCAGAACGACCAAGTCTGATAATTGCAATCTTTGAACCGGATTTATGACATACCTAGATCATTTGTACTGAAATCTTGAAGAAAAAGGTGATAGAAGAAGATATAACAGTTTAAATGATATAAAAATAAGGTAATTAAAACTACTCTTTTATAATTTTCCAAAAAATCAGTGGTTCTACAGATGAAGATACACGTAGGTTACACTGTCTGTAATATATATATCTACAACTTTACATGCATTTTTGTTAATAACTGCCACTGACCACGTAGCATTTCGATATCATCGAATATTACTTGTAATTTATAGGTGACCATGCCTACGGTTTACTTTTACATGAATATTTCTTTATAATTGACCATATTGACAGAGTATTTAGTGAATTATCTATAAATTGACGGAACAGCTGTAAAAAACAGAGATTAATCATCAATTTTATCCAACCGAAAGAGGTAAGGCGTCGAAAATTTATGTAAATGCGGGTCGTTGAGGGTCGCCGAGGGTCCGCATAGTGAACCTCAACGACCCTCAGGGTAGGTTGAGGGTCGGAAGGTTGAAACCTCCCCTCTTGAGGGGAGGTTCGAGGGTCCGGGGTAGGGACCCATGCGGAGGGTCGTAGCCAGGTCTACTTCTGGCAAGCTCGCGTTCTCTCGGACCCGTTCATTTACACGTACTATACTGATACCTCGGTGTCTTCTCTCGCCTTTCCCATCCTCGTTTTCGACACGAAGTCATGCTCACTCGGTTGCGTCTCAGGCTGCCGAGTCGTATTCCAGTGAACTATCACCATACTCAAACCACAAATTTCCGAACAAAACAAGATGCTGTTCCTCGTGGTACAACTCCAAGGCCGATGGCCCGAAAACATCAGAGACCCATTGCATCACTTTTTGATTGGTTTTCACACTCTCAAAGCCGACGACCATACATTACCCAACTGTGCCTTACACCGCTGATATTCTGTCTTGGTGACTTTTCAGCACAAATGATAGGAGATGATGATTTCGACTATCATCGCTCGCTGCGGAGTGTCATCATCGGTCTTGTTATCGCGATCCTAGTCACGAATGGTTCCTGTTCTTAGGCCGACGGTTCAATTACAGCTCATCCTCTCTGTCTTTGGGGGCGAAGGTAGCTGCCAACCAAACCTTTTACACTCCGATGTTTAATGTCTATTTTTTCGCGTTCCATGGACTCCTCACCGGGGAGGGGCTTTGGGGTGCAATTGAAAGAGTGAAAAATACAGCATCTATAAGTATTCCCAGAAGCTTTCTGTATTGGCCTTTGGTGACGGCATTCAACTTTTCATATATCAAACCCCAGTCTCGATCGGTTGTGACATCGATATTCTCTATTTTTTGGCAATCATACTTAAGTTGGTTGAATAGTTTTGCTGGAGAGGGAAAAGGAAAGCCCATATGCAATTCTGGGTCACCTGAGGAACGGAAAGGATAGACTTGACCTAGAAGGCTGAGTCCAATTATAGGACCGAACCGTTGAGGAACACTAATTTCTATGTACTTAGCAGTGATCGTGATCTTCAGTACAATTTATTCCCTGTATTACTATTACTAGGCTGCATCTTAAAATCTTAGTTAGGAATACTTGGAGTAGAATAGTCTCATACCACTTCTTTAATTGCCTAACTAATAATACCATAAATTTTAATAGAAACTGCTGGTGTAAATTCAAGCCGGCTGGACCCCGCGTGTTTTGTAATGGTATCTATACTAGTTAGTACGGAGTACGCTCCCCTACATACATGGTGCTACCCCTCGCGAGCTTTTTCTACCCCAGCCATCTGCAACCTCGGACCTCTTTGTTTCCTTTCATTCTTCGGAAATCAGCCATTTTCGCTCAGTTGAGACCCTGCCTTTAGTCCCTAAGGAGTCACTATGTCAGACGAAGAGCAGCATGAAGCCTCAACGAGGAACGCCGCTCGACCTGACAATGCGGAACCCAAAGACGAGAACGCCGCAAAGGAGGTCCGACTGCTCAATCACTTCACATGGGCTAACTTCACCTGCACTCAGTCTACCGGCGGCGTGGCCATTCTCCTGTCCGAAACCCCCCATCAATTTCGCGGGCTGCAGACCGCCGGTGTCGTAGTCTTCATCCTCAACCTAGTTCTGTTCGTCCTCTTCACCACAGTCATGATCTGTCGGTTCGTACAGAGACCTTCCAACTTCCGCAAATCCGTCACAAACCCCCCGGAAGCCTACTTCACAGGCTCTCTATGGCTCTCGATGGCGACCATCATCATATGCATGCAGCGTTTCGCTGTTCCTCACGCCGGTCCTTGGGTCATCGTCGCCGTCCGTGTTCTCTTCTGGACCTATGCTGCTATCACCCTGGTGTATAACATCGTCGTCTTCGTCGTCATGTTTGTCGTTTGCCCCCTCGAGCCTGGCACCATGAGCCCACCAATGTTTCTGATGATTTTTAATGCCATGCTGACTGGCACTGTCGCGTCGTCTATTGCAGCATATCAGCCTCTCTCACAACGAATGGCCATCATCGTTGCCGGCATTGCTTTTCAGGGTCTTGGGTGGATGCTGTGCATTTTGTTTCTTCAGCTCTTCGTGGGCAACATGCTTATCAATGGTTTAGGCCCGGCAAACCAGAGACCCGGACTCTTCATATCCGTAGGTTCATCAGGATACACCATTGTGGCTCTCCTTGGGTGCGCCAAGGCGATCCCCGACGAATACGGATACTTTGCGAAGCACCCTACTGCTTCAGAAACCCTGAACGTCGTGGCATTGTGGATAGGTATATTCCTTTGGCTCTTCACATTCTGGCTTTTCGCGATTGCGCTGGTCGCTCAGTTGCTCATTATGATTCCCAAATGCGGCAATAATATGCCGCAGCCACAGATGAGTTTCACACTTCCTTGGTGGGCCATTATCTTTCCCAATGTTGGCTTCACAATTGCCACGATTCGCATTGGCGAGGAGCTGGAATCCAGTGCCATAGCTTGGGTGGCAACAGTCATGACTATGCTAGTCTTTGCGGCATGGCTCATGGACTTATTCCTGCATCTAAAGTCTATATTTCAAAGGCGTATCATGTAACAAATGTTGGTAAATAGACAATACATTTCGTGCCAGACTACCTTTAATGCTTAATGCTCCAAATCAGGCCAAATGATGGTATATAATTTGCTATTACGGTGGCGATCAGTGGGCGAATTTTACGCGAGGTCGCACATGAGAGCATCTCCTAATAAATAGCCCGGGCTGGGACAATAGAAACTTGAATACGGACTCATTTCAGAATAATCGTAATGTAAAATAACTGGGATTTCCATCCGAAACAATAGTAGCATTTCCCCTTGTTGAAGAGAGAGAAACTGTTTAGTATCCATTCACCTGCAATCCTACTGGCTGGTTTAGGTTGTCACCAGCCTTCTAGGACTCGAGAACCGAAGGGATATCGATACACTTGGGGAACAGCTCGATCGAGCGCTGGCTCCACCAAGGGTTCTTCGCGGCGATCGAGATCAAGCCTCTCCCCTTCACGTCGGAGTATTTCCCTAGGTAATACGCAACATAAATTGTAATAAAGTGCGTAAAGAAGAACTTTTTGAAGAAGTCGTCCTGGTTGAGCTCGATTTTGACAAACTCGATGTTACAGTTCTGAGGGACTTCCTTGCTACCGAACAGCCCTTCCAGGGTCTGGATCTTATTCCGCGTGTAGTCGTCGGCATTGGAGTCGCAGAAGGTGACGATGGCCTGCTTGTTGGCCGGGTCGGAATAGGCAGCCACTTCGGTATGGGAGAATTCGTGCAAGAGGTTTCTGTGAGTCGGAACCATGGCGATTTCGTTGAAAAACATGGTTGTCTGCTTGAGGAGGGTGACGTACCAGTCCGCCGTCCTCAGCAGGATGATCCGGCTCCCCCTCAGCTTCTCGGCAATGGCCTCTGCTCGCTTGAGGGTTCCCTCATGGAATTCGGCTTTCAGGAACTTGACCGAGTCCTCAAGCTCGGATTGGTATGAGAACTTTGTGATCTTCAGCTTGTGGAAGAGATCGAGGAATATCGAGAAGAACTGCTGAACGTGATAGAGGGGTATCACCGGTCGGCATGCCTTAGCTTATACTGGATCAACGAGGTGCCGTGCTCCTGTCACAGAGCGGCAATCTTCCCGCCTCCAGATAGAACGATCAGGTTTCTGTTTCCTGTCATCTTTCGCATGGTCTCGAAGAACAGACACGGCTCCACCGACCAGCCGCTGTAGCAGACGATGATCGTCAGAGTGGAGTCATCTTTCAAGGTATCTCTGTCGATAAACCAGTCGCTGTCGTAGTCGTTAACAACCTGGACGTGTATCGGAATGCGCTCCCTTCAAAAGAAGCCCTTGACGATGTCGGACACCACCGAGGAGCAACTGATCCCACAGAAGACAATCCTCTTGAACTGGCCTGACTCGATCTTAATACGCAGACTGTTGTCCAGTCCACCTAGGTCGTACTCGTGGCCCCAGAGTATGCTTTCGAAGAGAGGATCGCCGAGCATTTGCTCGAGACGCTCTAGGCGTAGCTGCATTACTGCTTCTTGCTTCTGCAACATGGCTTTGAATGAAAAAAGCCCAAGGCAAGGAACGGCTTCTCAGTGGTATATAGCAGGTTATAAAATTTCAGCCTGGGTCTGTAGTCGAAAAATTTGCACCTTGTACAGCGGATATAGCAGTATAGCGATGTAGGAGAGAGATCAGGAACTTGAATTCTCAATAAGGAGTCTATCTGGGGTTCTCATACAATTATATAGGCATATTTGATCTACCGCCTCATTTTCAATAAGCCGTAGTCTGCTTGATTCAGAGTGTGCCGGTGGCCACGGAGTTCACATGCGTGTGTTAATGGTATTTTTGGGAGGATGCAAGGCTTCTCCTAGGTACGTCAAAGCCAAGCTCTTGTTATAGCTGTCATCACCCATCCGCCGCTTGAGAGAAACAAGTTTCAGAGCACGGGCTCTTCCGCGATTCAAGACTTTGCCATCGCTCGCACCCTCGACCAACCGGTCTCTACTATCTCGACTGGCCTCGCTATTACCATGACCACGCACCGGGAATATCGCCGACTTCCATATCCAGCCCCTCGAGCCGTATTGCCAATACTACCCCGGTGATATCGTGAAGGGTCTCGTGATACTAACTGTCGTCAAGCTTGTACGTATCACGCATATTACCATTGCTCTACATGGCTTTTCCTGCATATTCAAGAGCTCTAGTGCTCGCTTGGCCGTGCAATAATTGCCTCACCCTCTCGACCAAATTTCCTCATACGAGGCCATGCAAATCTACCTATTTAAGGGACCAATGGATAAATATCTCATAAAAAATAACGGTGTATCAGATCAGCTATACTATGCCGCCACATCCAAGCCCCGCATATTCCCCGCCCAACTCTTACACGGCACGAAACATGGAGTGAAGAAATGTGATTACTTGCAGGAAGCGGGATGGAATGCACATGTCAGAAGGGCGAACCCTGGGGCAACCGTTGTTGCCCAGGATCCTAATTTTAGTTGGATTCGGCAAGGCTGATTTGAAGAGCATTTGACCATTTTGTTCCAACTCATCAACTCATAACATCCACTGTTGAAATGTTCAGCGTTCGCCCCTTATCTGATCTCTGCACGATATTTCAGGTACTCCGTACATAAAGTACATAAAGAGCGCAAAGCTAAGGGCCCTAAATAGCTAGCCAGAGCATGGCTAGCTACGGGCATATCTGCCTGCCTACATGATAGACTAATAGAAATCTATCCTTGTCGCCAGGTGTCATGCATATCTATCTATCTAAGGGACTAATAGATAAATATCTCATAAAAAAATAACTGTGTATTCTGCTATACTACGCCGCCACATCCGAACCCCGCATATTCCCCGCCCAGCGCCCTATGACGGCAACCCACTACCGTTATTCCGGGCCAATCATGCATGCAGGTGGACAGCGCTAGTGGCGATATCAGCACCACCCTGGCCCGTGCCGCCCGAGAAACAGACAGCGCCACCCCCTGCCATGTATCTGTGGGGCCAGCCTCCTATGTCACCCCACTATATTGATCGGATCACGCTCGGATACCCTCTTCCTTGCAGAATAAACATAGTCAGACGTAATACCATTGTCTGTTTTAGATCAAATACAGCTACATGAGCCATTTCCCGCATTTTTCTGTCCCAACTCCGCATTTTACTTTTTTTTCTCTCCTACACTTTCAAAAAAAGCCAACCCCAAGTCGCAGTGAAACTCTCAAGCTCGCCACAGAGACTAAGATGGAGCCTGAAGTTAACCAACGCTCTCTAGAGGCGTCCAAGTCGGCGTTGAATCCTTTGCGCGATGCGAATAACTGGGTTCCTTACCAAACCTCGACGCATACGCATTGTGTGTGTCGGGGCCGGGTATTCCGGTCTGATGACAGCATACGAGGTTAAATACAATAAGGCTCTTGAAGGCTTTATCGATTTGACCATCTATGACAAGAATGAAGACATTGGTGGAACATGGCTGGAGAATAGATATCCTGGAGTTGCAGTGCGTTGTTCGATGATAGATTCAACAGCCTTATCAACTGACGACTGACGTTCGAGAGCTTAGTGCGATGTTCCCGCGCATATCTACACCTTCCCTTTTGAGCCCAACCCGGACTGGTCTACATTTTACGCTTCAGGCCCCGAGATCTGGTCCTATATAAAGAGAACATCAGATAAATATGGTCTAGCTGAACATGTCCAACTTCAATCGAAAGTAGTCCAAGCGACCTGGGACGAGTCTTCGAGTAAGTGACGTCTCAAGATTCGACAAGAGGGTGAAGAAAAAGAAGACGAATGTAACATATTGATCGACGGGTCGGGCTTCTTGAAGTATGAAAAAAGCAACCATTGAAGTTTTATAAGACTAACCTTACTAGTAACTGGAATTGGCCTGGTATCGAGGGTCTTCATGATTTCAAAGGGGAGCTTGTTCATACTGCAAATTGGTGTGTCTCTCTGCCTTCGTGTTGGTATACGTCATTGGTCTAATAAAAGTGGTCCAGGAACCCTTCTATCGATGTGGCAGGCAAAAAAGTCGCGGTGATTGGCAACGGCGCTTCCGCTATCCAAGTGCTCCCGCAACTGCAGAAGACCGCGGCTCAGTTGACCAACTACATCCGTTCCCCTACATGGATATTCTCTAATCATGCGGCTCAGCTTACAAAAGACGGAACCAATTTTGAATTCACCGAAGAAGAAAAGAAGGGGTTTCGTGATAATCCTGCCTCGCTCTTTAAGCTTCGTAAGGAGATCGAGCGCAGGTACGTCAAAACTTTCCGGCAGCTGCATAATGATTCTTTTCCAATCGTAGTAACTTAAATATATTGAAGACAACTTTTTCAACGTCTTCTTCAAGGGTTCAGCAGCTCAAAAAGCTGCTCTTGCGCAGGCACATGCATCTATGCGAGAACGGCTCGGGAACGATCAAGAGCTCTGCGACAAGCTGATTCCACATTATGAGCTTGGATGCCGACGCGCAACGCCGGGCGATGGGTATCTCGAGGCTCTACGTGAGAATAATGCGAGGGTTAATATCAATCCAATAATCCAAATTACAGAATCTGGGATTCAAACAACCCATGAGCACACCAAATTCGATATCATCGTCTGCGCAACTGGATTCGATGTTAGTTACCGCCCCTCATGGACCGTGCAAGGGCGGAATGAACATCAACTCAATCTCGCATGGAGTGACTCGCCAGAAGCATATTTTGGGATCGCAGCGGCCAACATTCCAAACTATTTCATCTTCAATGGTCCCAATAGTCCCGGTAAGCGTCCCCTTGCCAGTAAATGGAATATCACTCACGGCCAGCAGTGGGTCATGGCTCTCTCCTAGAGAGCGTATTCTGCGTGGCGAAATGGATATTGAAGTGGTGTCGGAAGATGGTAACGGAAGATATTAAGTATGTTTCGGATTCTGATTGTGTGATTGTAAAATCTGCTGACGTTGTCATAGGTCAACTTGTGTGAAACAGGAAGCTCTGGATGACTATAACACATATTCACAAGAATTTCTCAAGGGCATGGTGTGGTCTGGGTCATGCCGAAGTTGGTACAAGAATAGTAAGTCAGACGGGTGAGTTACCGCTCTGTACGCTGGAAGCTGGCTTCAGTTTAGAGGTATGACAAGATGAACTCCTAACTGTGAAATAAGAAAACCTCACGTTTGCTAATACAAAGAATTCACGTCAGAAATTCTCGAAAGTTTTAGGACGGAGGATTTTGACATCGAATATGGATCAGTGAATAGATTTCACTTCATGGGCAACGGAATGAAACCAAGAGAGGCAAGAGGAGAAGAGTTGTCGTACTGTATGGAAAATTAAAGCCTGGGCTCTAATAATCTGGGAAGTCCGAGAGTGTTGGAAACAAGACGGGAAGTTCCACCGGTTATTAAAATGTCGAGTCTTACTGTATCAGACAAGATGCCGCTGGTGTTTTGGTGGTTCGAGTATAGATTCTTATCTGTGCAGTTAATTTGATAACAAGCATTCATTACGCGAAAATGCATTCTCAGCAACAGTCTTTGGCTAGCCTTTTTCTTATTTTTGAGAAAAACGTCTGTGGCTCGGCTGTCTTCCACTAGCCAATACTAACTCGAATCGGCAATTCACAGGTCTGCCGTTTACAAAATACATCGTCAAGATGGTGCGCAGATCTTGGCTTCTTCGAGTACTCTTGAATACTCGAATACTGGTCCCTAGCACCACGAAGAGGTGCCTGCACATGGCTAGAGGCCTTGTTCACGCAGCAATCCCCTGCGAAGTATATTTGTTGACGCAGAGCTCGTCCTGCAAAGCACCTTTTTACGCTCGCGGGGCTCGGGGCAACGACAGCCGTGGCCACGGAGACGCTCAAGCCCGTAAGCAAGAGGGACACCATGACACATCGGAGTGTGAGGACCGAAGTCCTGATTTTTTTTGGGCTGGGAATCCGGCTCCTTTTATATTTTTTTTGGCTACGTCTCTACCAAGGAACCAGTTACGCAGATGGTAGCGAGAATCGCTGTCTCATTTATAGGCGTTGAAGCGAGATAAACGACGTTGAACTGGTGTTTGGAGACTTTGTGGCCTACAGAGTCAAGTTTCAACCTGGATTTACTCCTTTCAAAACGCTGCGCTAATTGTGATTAACTACTTCATCAACTGTTGAAAAGACAGTGATACCGCCAAAAAATGATTCTCACATCATTGAAATTATAACTACATCGCTTAACGCGGTGGCACTCTACATCTGCCCGTTCTAGCCACGTTCACCTTCTCTTTTATAAAGGTTGAGGTGCTTTAACAGATGCCGCAAACTAGGTTGGAGACTGTGGCAGACAGTGACATTCGATTGTACCGGCTGTTAGCTATAGGACGTGCCTCCTATTAGCCCTACTACAATCCTCTGCCTATTTCTAGTTTCGCGCTACTCGAACGGTACTTTTCTTGGTTGCTCGCAACCAACTGATGTTACCTCCCCTAATACTTCTACTACCTATCGGTACAGACACTACGCAAATACTCCCAAATCTAGGGTATCGGTTGTTTTTCTTTGATAGAGAATCAAATTCTAGACCTTGTTAGAAACCTAGAGTAAACCTGAATCTAGTTTCCAAAGTGAGTTATTTCAGCTACTATGGCTCACGAGTTAGGTTCTCGTGGTCGCTACCCACCTCGCGAGATTGCAACGCTACTATCACATTAATGAGACCCTGAACACAAATAGCACCTAACGGACTAAACAAACACTAGGCGTGAATTTAGAAAGTCGCAGGTACTTTTCCGCGATACAGATCCTAGCGACGACCTACGGGATATTAGATTAAGGAGGTTCTATTCGTGGCTCGGAGAAGAGATTGGAAGGATTCGTAAGGGTCTAGACATAATCTGTAAACTTAGTCTTGATAGGCTATCAGAGTACGGATGGAACAGGTCTTTGTTGCTTGGGAGGTCGGTTAGGGCAGACGAGGTAGTTGAAATATCACACAGAATTTTGGCAATAGAGATTTGTTCCGCGGTTCAGTTGCCCTCGTAAGGAAGTGATTGGTCCTCTATCAAATGGCAAGCTGCTGCTTTCTCTATCTAGTCTAGAGAACGTTCTAGGAGCTATATATCTTCTGCAAGAACCTCACCTAATAAGTAAACTCTATTCGAACCCGACACTTCCTCTCTATATCTGCTCCAATTCGATCGCTAGTCTACCAACTCTAGCAGTTACCTTTAGTACCAATGCCAACTTTGGACAGAGATATAGTAGATCTAAATAAGGTCTCCGGTTTATGTACTAGAGGCCGAGAAATCAATTAGTCCCGGCCGACCCGCAAAGTTTATTTCAAGTAACCGGTGTATCGTTGCCATGACTGGAGATCGAGAATATTTTCGAATACATTTGTTCTCTTCTACAGAAGACTATGTTTCAATAGCGCGAGATCTCAGAAAGAGTGCCCCGATTTACCCCTCTGAATTATCGGACTGCAGGGAAAGATTTCATTACGCCAATCCAACACGTAAGTGGAGCAGAAGCCTGTAGATAAGCTTTCGATTAAGCTCGAGCTTGAGTCTTCCCAGAAAACTGCATCCTCTCACCGAGCGAGCGTTTCCATGGTTTATCGAACCTCAATTGTCGAGTTGATTTGGGAATCGGCTACTGATCGTCGATCCCGCTCACGATTCCACGGTCTGTGTAAATTCGTTGGCTTGGTCTGCCACTCTTGGGCTGACTCAGAAAACCCTTGTTTTACTTCAAACTTGACTAGGGCGCGGCTCGAAGATAATTCATATGCCTCAGTTTTTGCTCTGCTGATCACTCTGCTTTCGACCACCCATGCAACCATATTCATTTGAAGAAGCAACCAAATATTTTACCTCGAGCTGACAAAAAATAAGTTAATATGTAATTTTCCAGAGAACCCCTTGCTGCCATGTCCTGATCTTGTTCCGAGGACACTCTTAGTTCCGTGAGACTTTATACATTGCCCGCCATTTTTCCCAGGCCACTCGGGATTCCGATGGCATACTCCTGGATTTGAGAGACAAGAACGAACAATGTGTACCTATGGCTGATTTCCAACACTACTGCACGCGGGACTGTTTCGAGGGCACGTAGAGTAGTGCTCCATTTCACAGTGGTTGACATATGGGATACCCTCGATGTTATTTTGATTCCAAGGAAGGGTGATTTCTCTCGTTTGTATAGTTACATGGAGTGATATGCACGACGGCGACGATATTCCTCATGCTGTGGCTTGCTTATGGAGCTATCACAGCCGTTTGTTATAGTGATGTGCAGCAGAACTAGTTTCGAGATAATCGGGTCGTCGAACGCGGCCACCAGGACACCGCCTGGTGGCCGCGTTCGACGACCCGATTAGTTGGCTACTGTTGCTTCGATATCCCTATGTAAACCGCATGACAACAAACTGCTACTAGCATGGACGTTCTGTTCACTGCTATTCAAGCTTCCTGGCTGCACAGACACGATGCAAATAGTTCCGCATCTAAGACGACGATCGTGCTCCTTTAGGCCAGCGCAATATTCGTACTCTCGCCCCGCGACCTGTGACAGAAGATCAGCTTACAATGAATACAAGAAAATATGTATTTCGTAGCTGGTCTGGAGCTTTCTGTTTGACTTGATCTATTGCTGTCGGTCTGGATCGTTCCAGCCGTTAGGATTGTCTCAAACCATTTGTCAATGTTACTTTTGGCAGAAATTTTGTTACGATGAATCACCATGTCGGGGACCCATTCCACCAGCAAGGAGTCTTGCATATACTAGTTCAGTACTATTATATTATCTGCATATTTACTTAAATTACTCATTAACTTTAAGTTTGACTTAAGTGTGTCTGGTTTCTTTGATTAAACTTCTTTATAAAATTATTGTTGTAGACGGTGTTCCAGCCCTATCGGCCTTAATTAAACCTCCCATCTCGCCGCCGGTTTGTCCAATCCATCAGGCCGTGGACCCACTATCGTTCCGCCATAGTTAAGAGCTAAGCCCTAATCCATTTCGTTGTGGGATGGATACTCCCCATGGGATAGGGCAATCTTGTTACTTGAACAGAAAGAAAAGAACCATATACTTTATTTGCCCATCACGCATACCCAATAGCCATGCCTGCATTGGTCACGATGGTGTTTCCAACAATATAGGTGGAATCTCGGAAAGAGTTTCTCAAGAAGATGTAAATAATGGCATTATTATCAATAATTGAGGCATTCTAAAATAGAAATCCGATCAATATGGAGGATCCCATTGGTGTAAGGCCCACCAATACCGGTGGGTACTGGTGGACATTGCACGATTACCCCCAGTCACCGTCAATGAACCCACCCCCATGGTTTAGATATAGGTTTAACCTTTATGCATGAGTAGTTTGTCTCAGGAAGACAGAACATTACCATCGAAACAACAGCTCCAACAGTTACAGAGACGATGATCGACGAGGTTTCACACGCCCAAACCTTCGAGTTCTTTTTCGACTTGGAGGCAGTGGTATCTCATTGTAGCTAGATTGAGGCGGAAGCACCGAGCCAGGCCTTGGCCCTCGTGGCATAGGCGAATCGGCGGAGTTGCTTTCCAGTGCAAGTGCTCTTCGTTTTCGCTTCTTGCCTATTGCTGAGATTGTTAAGGGTTCACTTATGAGAGATGGTGATTGGTGACCGTGTTGGCGGTCTTTCTCAGCGTCAAATTCTGATTGAGGGACCCATGTGGGGGCGCATAAATAGGAATTTTCAAGCAATAATGGGGTGTAGCTGTCACACATGAGAGAGACTGTCACTTCAAAAAGTTGGTCCTTGGGTCCAACGGTGAAAAGGTATCGCGCTTCCACCTGATCATGCTTGCTGCCGGCGGGAAAAAATCTGTCATGTGGAATCTTGGCCTCGATGATGCCCATACAGTTTAAATCAGACCGTAATCCATCAATTGGATATGTGGTTGGACAGTTCCAATCATTCCGGTTGTTAGTCTGGATCTTCTTTTGATCAAAACGATCTGTCGTTGTCCAGACCTTAGACGAAATACATGCATTCGACCGCTCTCGCTTGTCTCGATAGACGGTTTTGATCAATACCACATGACTCTTAGTCCCAGCGGCTTCACCCTAGTATAGTTAATAATGCCTGACATCTCAAGAAACACAGTTTGCGAGTATCATACCTTTAAGATAACCCAGCCCCTTTCGCTCGCTCAACACAGCACACTTAAATAACTAGCCTCGGAGTGACCTTTTATACGAAACTTATGGCTTTAGTTCTAATTTCTATTCCGTGGTCTAAGGCTACAGTGTCTGGTTAACAATTAAGATCTTTTAGTGAAGCAGGTTAAGAGACGGCAAGTTTGGATCCTTCTAATGAGTCTTAAAATCGGCGTAGCTCATAATCTACAGTTTTAGGGCCGACTCTCTTTACGCGGATTAGACATGCTTTTAGTTAAGATAGCCACTGCGCAGGCGTTTGTCGGAGAAGAATAAATCATTAAAAAGCACATAAGGCCCCCTCCCCTACGCTCTGATGGTCTTCTCCCTTAGACGTTCTGGATGGAGACACTAGCCACCTTTTTCCACCGACCGTAAGGCAGGAAACTCCTATTATTGGTGCTAGCAGCTGGTTACACTGTCTTTCTTATGAAGTTTTTTAATCATACATACCAAACTACTGTCAATTACAACATCCCCAAATCGGTAGAACATTCGGTTTCCTTCGATGAGACCTCAATTGTCGCACCTAGTCTAACTCCAAAGCCATTATCATCCTTAGAGTTCTCGCGCCATAAGAGCCCCTACGCCGTTGCTATATCCCTAGGCGCAGACTATCATAGGAATGAAGATGACGGCGACGATGAAGATTGGTATTATGTGGGCGGAAGAACACTTGTTTATCAGCTCCTCCACGCGCCCAGTACTAAGTTAAAGCAACCTCAGTCCACCCAATCAATTCAAGTGGTAGTAAATGTGACGAAAGACGTTCGGCAGAGTAAGCGAAAGCGGCCTGAAGCGGATGGAGCGACTTTGTTTGAGATTGAGAAAGTGGAGCACAATTTCGATATTAGGGAAACACGCTACGCCCAAGTGCTCACGAAACTACGGTTGTTCGACTCTGAAATCATGCCATACGAGAAAGTCTTTTTGATGGAAACCGATATGGTTATCACACAGCCGATCGATGCGATCTTCTAGGACGAGAGCACGCATATAAACCCAGTCGACCAAAATTGAACATACCCCGAGTTAGAAACTGCTTCGCTTCCTCACAGATTCACCTTTGCTGCAACGCCAGAATCACTCGATAAAGAGCACGAATATCCTTATTTGGATCCCGGTCGCGAGAAGAAATATATCAACGTTGGTTGTATGTTATTTTGACTGCACCACTCGTGGTATCTCACGTGGCCCAACGAAACGACCTTAAGGGTGGCATGGCCATCATCCACTCCGAATTTTGGGAGAAAGATTGGTTCGGTACTGGAGAGAGATACGCACTGAGCTGTGTATGGGAGATACGAGGATATTGGAAGGGTAAAGAAGGATATTGAGTCAAAAGCATAGTCGGTGTACGATAGTAATTGTTGTGATTCAACTTAAACCATAGAGCCGTGCTTCCATATAATCTATCTCTTCAAAAGTTATATTACAATTCATGTAGCTTAGCCTGATGCATTTCAACGCGGCATCGATGAAAGAGCTTTGGTTGTTCAGGCCATAGATGTTTCATTCAGGGAAGCTCGGAAATAGCTCAGTAGTCATATACTCCCTTGACCTCAGAAGCCCAGTACCCATAGGTTTCTTGATCCTGGACGTTTGTGGGCTACGCCTTTCCCCGGACCGCCTCTTTCACTGTCGAAGATGATTTCCGTACATCGTGTTATGAATTTGTTGACTATCAATCAGGATCGATTCTTGCTGTCGGCAAGGAAACATGTAATCAAAGACAGAGCAAGCCAGAAATTCAATATATCAAGCACGTTAAGAGATACATAAGCCAGGCTTAATGTCGCCCAAATCTTTGTCTTTTTATGCCCTAACAACAAACGCGCCGGTTTTCGGGACGTACCTCACTATCTACCGCCGCTATCACCAAAAGAATATTGATTACTGGAGACTCAGTCTGTCGGATTGAGCCAGAACTTGGCTTCCTGGATTGCTTTCTGTGATTTATGAGACACGCCAGGCTTCGCAATTAATGATTATTTACTATGTATCAGGATGATACCATTGGCGCAATGACCTATGAAGTCACCATCGTCACTTATTCCCGCCATGGTTGAAAATATTTTCGAGAATATTTCTTTCGACACAGATGACAAGTTCCTGGTCGTATCACGTTTTTAAGTCACGTTGTCACGGCATTTTTGGAGCCGAAGGAGTCAAACAGGCTAAAAAGTGTTGATGGTGGCCAGTGGGGCTAATCGACAGGCAGATGAGAACATCGCTAGTTTGTTTAAATTAAAGTTCGACTGCGTGCTGCACGTTCCTTCGTTATCCACGCAAAATTCATTCGCTCTAATGGACAGTCCGGTCAATATGGATCCAGCGCCTACTCCGTTAGCAGCCGAAATTGGTAGGCTAACCTTTCAAGGTTGGTCACTGGCACGGCTTACAGGTACAACCACTCATCCTTGGTTTATTGAGGCAGGGAAGCAGTAGAGATATCGATCGGACTGATCTGCTGCTCATTGTCGCTCTTCTTCTAAAGCTGTGTGCTCCCGCCGGGATCATTTTTGTCGCTATAGCAACACTTGGTAACGGTTTGAGCAGAGGCCTGCAGCCGCGGCACGTTTTGGTTGTAGGATGATCGCACTGGACGTACTGAAATCATGGGCTATGCTTCTTTTGACTAGCGTAGGGTCCGCATGGTGAGACCCGCATGGAGGTCCCTTGGCTTCGATCGGCCTCAGCGGAGTCTTAAGGCCCCACAGTCTTGGCCATCGAAGCAGACCAGAACTCCCATTCCAACTTGGTTGACAACCTCAAAAGCAAAATTTGATCGATATTGAGCGCGTCTCCACTCTTAATTTCATGGCTCTCGGTGCGAATTCTATAAGTTTGCACAACTTACCTTGATGTGAAGATTTCTTGGGAGCCGCATGCCCAGAGATTCTCGTACTCGGGCCTTGGCATATGTGGGTCATCAGCCTATGTGTGGTCGTATCAGCAGGTACGCCGGGTTCCTGGGGTGACATTTGCATGGAATATCTGCACGACTCATGCAGCTTACTTGAAACAAAACGAATTATCGCAGATTGCTTCGTGTAGCTTGATTCCCTGCCGACAATTGCTGAGCGGGGAGCACGGAACCGTGGACAACAGGGTCCACTACTCAAGATATAAATCCCCGAGTAATACGCCGATATCACCGCTTTGCTTCATCTATTACTCTCTCTAGCACCACTAGTACTTTCGTCTGAGAGCAGAATGGCGTCCGCAATAGCTCTTCTATTTCTTGTTGGTGCGTCTGCCAAAGCAGGTATGTTTTCCTTCTATGATTCATCAACTCAACTCTAAATCAAGCCAACAGTCATTCCAAGACAAGATGCCAGTGCAACACCTACTACCCCAATCCTTCAGTCTGGTGGACCTGATACGTGCACCACCAGCTCTACTAGTAGCCAATGGTTGAGCATGTGCGACACGACTGTGTTCTGGCCCACGTCAACCAACTACTTCTACGGCCCGACAGACGGTCCCGGGGCAGCCGCTGTCACCTGTAATGCATTATGGGTTGAATTCAACGGACGTGCTAGTGGACTATGGTCCCTGGGTGCAACGTTCACGTCCACTATCTATTCATCCTATCTCACGAGCAGCGGGGCTTGTACAACCGAAGTCCGGGGTGAAGACCTTCGCGATACGCATACCGGTCCTGTTACCACACTCTGCGATGGGGCTACACGTGCTCTAGGCCCTCGAGAATCCATCACCGAGTACTGGCCAGGTACAGGTCCATGTAGTTCTTCCATGGTCACCGAGACCACGACTACATTGGTCTACCGATCACCCTCATCGACTCCTAGCTGCACGCTAAATACCCAGGAATGCATTCCAATCTGGCAGACTTATAGCAGTCTGTCGAGCGCATTTCACTCCCCCGGCACTACTGAAGTTTGGGGGGACATCAATAATCCTATCAGGCCGGAAAGCTGCCCATCTACAACAAGAGACTACTCAGATCCTGATGTATGCAATAATTGTCATTATCTCCCAGGGACAGCAACCGTATTTTACTGGCCAGTCACCACAACTGGAGCTGTCTGCCTGGAGAACGGAACGATCATTCCAGCAACGCAAACGGGAGATGGACCCAATACTGCCGTCGTTGACGGCAATACCTTCATCTCTCCAAGCGTTTACGTTTCCTTTACCAGCATCGAGGCACGAAGTAACCAGCGTGCTCACCCTGGTGGCCCCTGTGGTGGGGAGCACGAAAATGTCATTATTTCTGTTGCTCCCGAAGCGATTACATCGTATCGTAGGCACAGAAACGCGAAATACCCGATTATTGGGACTGCTTACCCTTTCAATCTCGCCGAGTTCCAACGGCACCAGGTCGGAGACTATCACATGTCTCTAATCCCCTGGGAGCAGTATGTTGGTGGGTCTCAGTGCTTGACCGGGGATGATTGTAGCATCATTCGCGATGACTATCTCCCGTGGCTCGAGGTGCCAGACGTTATGACGCAAGTTGATCCCCTGTGGACTAGTTGTCACCGGTCTTGGTATATGCCACCGGTTAGTCTTGTGCCGCTGGGTGGTGGACTAGAGTCGCAACCAACGGGCGCGGCGGTTGCAAGTACTCCCACAGCCACTTTGGCGCTGCCTTCGTCGAGACTTGCTGCGCCTACTCCCGAGGCTACCTAAGATCACAGTAATCTTGTTTGCTTCAAAGCATCCGGTTAGCTTAATGAATCCCATTTTGTTTAGGAGCGAGTACGAACTGTGGTCTCGGCCTTTTTGGCAATTTTCTTGTCACGAGCAGTAACAAGAAGATGATAAGGCTGAGAGACTGAATTTCCTATTAAAATTAATATCTTAAAGGATTATTCGAAAAGCTTTTAGAAATATTTCGGTAATAATCAAGGATCGTCTTAGATGATAGGCAACAGCGAAGGGGTTACGCTGTCACGAAGAATTCACGATCATAGATCTGGAACCGGTTCTGCCGTCTCCCACCGCCCCTTTTTAGAACCAGGTTTGCATTAACGTAATCGGTAAGCGAGCTGCGCATGTAAGCCAGCTGCGCATCTAATTTGACTTATTAAATTTAAATGTATGTTTCTCAACCAAAACGCCATTTGATTTCACAAATTAACTAACTAGGTCTATTTGGATATGAATTCTTCCTATAGCCCTGGTTTCCACATCCCGCACACTTCGGTAAGGCCCTGGTTCGGGGCTGTAAAGGCCTCGAGATCTGCTCACGAACCTAAGCAATGCGCGTTATTTAGGCCTTAATGGGCTCTGATCGTAGCTCACAGACCTGTTTAACTAAGATATCACCTTCTTTAGGTATTTGCCTATTAGACCGATTGCGTCTTTACTTCTTTTTCTCGTTCTCCGCCCGTAGTTCCTTTACTTCTTTAGCTAATAAAAGAGAGCCTTATTGAAAGAGTTAGAAGCCCTTAATAAGCTGGTCTAATGCCGGGCTAGGGCTTTGAGATCTCGTACGAAGTATAGCTTTTATCGACGAAGCTTACCGACGTAGTTGTTTCTTAGTAAAGGGGGTTTTTGGCGTAAAATTCCGGCTTGATTTTACTACCCCGGCTCGGAGGGGGTGTTAGTGTTTGAAGATAAATATTAAGATTTAAGATCACTCGATCGGGTGAAAAAGGTACTAAACCGGCTACTCCGAAGCTATTTATAATATTCTCGGATTTGTATACCTCGATTCGAGCGTGCGGGTATACCTTAAGGAAATCAAGTTTCTCGATATAGTTTACCCCGAGGCGCATCTTCGTTTCGATAAGCCGACCGTACGAGCGTTTTAACACCGTAAAACAACCGATATCGAGTGGCTGTAAAAGGTGCGACGAGTGTGCGGGCATACAGATTGGTATAATGTTATTTTTGTCGCAAATTTCGTCGAACTTTGGGGTTAAATAGCTACCGTGACTATCGAGTATCAAAAGTCGATACCGGCCCTTTAACCGCGAAGAAGTCGACGGAATAAAGAGATTTTAGAGCTAACGAAGGCTAATTTCATCGGAGGTCTATCTATTCGGACTTAGCTTAAATCGCCAATCGTCGGGAAGGTTACGAACCAAGATTCGATATACACTTTGCCTTTAAAAATAATACACGGAGGTAGCGCCTACCCCGAAGCATTTATACATTCAATTGCGGTTACCCACTCGCGATTTCCGGTTTGTAAAAGCGATCGCCGACCGTAGTATTCAGCCCTCGTAACGACCTTCGCAGTCGCTATTAATCCTATCGCGAAACCAGTCTCGTCGAAGTTATAGATATTATCGGGATCGATACCGTATTAAAGTATGGTTTTTTAATCGAGATTAAACCACTCTCCGATAATCTTCGGGTCTTCGCACTTCGCACGTTTATAATTATAACGTCTCGAGAATCGGGTTAATAGTTCGGGGTGCCTTTTTACGAAATTATAAACCCATTTTTCGCCGACTGTTTGAACCGGGGTAGTTCCGCGGGCTTCAAGAAGATTCGCAGTTTCTCGTATAGTAGTCGGCCGAGACGCTGCTCCGCGATCATCAAGTGATAGGATCCATTTTTAAAGCTTTTCCTCTTCGACTTCTGTTAATTTATGGTTATTGGCGCGCGTTTCCGGACGAAAACTATTACCAGCGAGGCGGCGTTGTAAGGTAGAGCGAGGCACTTGAAAGAGGCGTGCTAGTTCGCGAATAGTGATGATTTCTTGATTTTTAAAAGCCTGAATAGCTAATAGTATCCTGCCTTCTTGCTCGGTTAAATTTCTCGAGGTTTGGGAGCGATTTGGTGGCATAGTGGGTGGTTGAATTAATTAGGTTCTAACTCATGGACGCGTTTCGCGGTAGGTGGCCCACTCGTTTACATGGCCCACTCGCTTACCGAATACGTTATTTGTTTGATTAATGCCTTAGGCATCACTACTTTAATTATGTTGGCGTGTTGTTTCTTTCTTTCTTTCTCTATATTTAGTATTCTAGTCAAATACCCGGTCCGTGCTGCGACCCAATGCCCAGCGGGCATTGGGTCGCCACAGTGTAATACAATTTTTATCCAACACACCTTCTTCAACTATTCACCATTACCTACCACCATGCCGGATAAACCCAATAATTTGGAGATACAATTAGAATTGGCTATTCAGTATAATGGCCAAGGGTTGGATGCCTGATTTTCAGGTGCTAATGCCTGAAGATGCCTTATCTCAAATTAGCAGAAAATCAAAATACCGGAATCACCATAACAGATCCCTTATCAAGCAAAGTACCAATTTCACACTTAGTTCATGGAGCTATTCCAAGGTTCCTACCATGTGAAACTGCGTTTATCCCTGATCCTAGGCGTTAAAGACAGTACTCTATATCTTATAATATTGAAGCTATGCCTATTATACAATTTTCTGTTTTCGCTTGATATCAGATGGTTAAACGAAGGAGACGTCTCAGATAAAGAATCGTATTCCAGCATTTTTCTTGGGAAAATATTGTGTTCCGATCAACAAATGTGGAAGACAAATACTCTCTGGTTTCCATACAGGGCTCTTATAGAAATCTTCTAATGTTTGCTTACCTTGCTCATCTTATTCAACCGTTGCCAATTTGTCGCATGACTGCAACAGCCAAGAAAATAAACAAGCCAATTCTTGGCTCATCCGCTTCGAGTATAAACTGATCATTGCCCCGCTTACGCTTTGACACCATAGAGAATTTAACAGGTCTGGACATCCTGAGATGAACCTCTTTGTTGTCCGACAACATTCAGTGCAGGGGTCATTACATTGTATCGGATTTTCAAGCCGTCCGTTCTATTAATTAGCTATCGATCTACACCTGCGGCGCCTCCGTTGATAAGGTATAGACTATGGCTTTGTGTGGCTTGACCCCAATGTGCTATGATCTCTTCCAAGAACCTTAGTGCTGACAGCGGCCTATCTCTACTATGCTTGGAAGCAGGAGCCCACGGACTCATCCGGACTTATTCTGCAGTCATGACTATCCCACGGGGTGGCGGGATTCGTGTTCTTCTGGGTTTCATTTCCTCCTCTGCAGTCAAACCTGTGATAAAGAGCCGACGAGTCCCCAATCACTGAAATATCTTCACTGGCCTAGAACCAAAGCTCAGCAACAATGGATGACAAGTTGTCCGCTAACCATCCCACGTATAATGAACATGTGGGCCCGCTCAAAAAGTCTGAGACTGACGAGGCGAATGATTCTGCTACAATGGACCGACGCCAGGCTACTGCTCTCAATATCATTGTGAACCCCTTAATGGTACGTTTCAAATGATTCAATCTCCCTTTTCTTCTATGGCCAGGAAATAGAAGAGACTGACTACATTCAAATCCATAGCGTAGCTCCAGGGACCAGACTGTAGTAGATGCGCGGGCCTTCGCTGATTCGTCCCACATGGCCGAGCATGCTGACATCTTTGGTCGGGCTGCTCTGATTGCACGCGATCCTGATGCTTTTGCTACAATTCCCGAGCTGAATGAAGAGGAACGCGCTGCTCTCACTTATGAAAGAGATCATAAATGGCATGGATCATTTATGCTTTGGTACTCGATTTCTCTTTGTGCCGTCGGGGCCGCTACACAAGGTTGGGATCAAACGGGATCGAACGGAGCGAATTTGTCATTCCCTCGTGAATTCAACATACATCATAAGGGAAAGGACGAATGGATTGTGGGCATTGTTAATTCCATTATATTTTTCACTGCCGGCTTGATGTGAGTATCACGCATCTGCTTCTTTATTTCTATGGTTAATCTTAAGAAACAGCGGTGCTTTCATCGTCGATCCCCTGAATCACTACCTAGGTCGAAGGGGCGAGATCTTTCTTACTGCTTGTTGTTTAACTGCAACTCCAATTGGTTCAGCGTTTGCTAGGTCATGGCAGGAGCTCTTCGCTGCGCGATTCATAATGGGAATCGGTATTGGTGCGAAAAATGCAACAGTGCCTATATACTCTGCTGAGATGGCTCCGGCTCGAACTCGAGGTGCCCTTGTAATGTTTTGGCAACTTTGGGTCGTGGCAGGTAATTGCTTCTAGTCATCCATCCAGAGATAGTGCTGACAACGGACGCAGGGATCTTCCTAGGATTTGCTGCGAATGTCATTGTCAAAGACACCGGTGATATTGCCTGGCGTCTCCAACTTGGCTCCGCATTTATTCCATCACTTGTCCTTGGAGTTGGTGTGTACTTTTGTCCTGAGTCTCCTCGGTGGCTTATGAAGCATGGTAAGTATGCTGAGGGATTCAAATCAATGTTGCGCTTGCGTGCCCATCCGATTATTGCAGCTAGAGATTTCTATTACTCCTATGTTATTTATCAAGAGGAGTTAAAGGAGGCTCGGGGGGCAGGCTATTTCTCCCGTCTCTGGGATTGTTTTGCAGTCCCTAGAATCAGGCGCGCGAACTACGGTGCCTCGACGGTCATGATTGCTCAGCAAATGTGCGGTATTAACAGTAAGGTTCTTTCGGCTCTTACTGAGGTCCAGCATTGACCGATCCTAGTTATCTCTTTCTATAGCTCTACTATCTTCACAGATGCCGATTACACGGAGGAACAGGCCCTGTACGCGTCTCTTGGCTACGGTGCGATCCAGGTCCTAGCAACCATTCCGACCTTGTTCATTATCGACACTAAAGGAAGAAGAAACCTTACCTTGATTGTGAGTGATATGATGTCATTATCCTCGAGCAAAGCAACTACTAATCAGTCATCTAATGTAGACATTCCCATTCATGTGTATATTCCTTTTAGCTGCGGGTCTATCTCTTTTGAACAAGACTGGGAGTCATGGCTCACAAATCGGTCCGGTTGCCTTGTAAGTAGGTTCAGAATCATTGATATGGTTAATCAACACTGATCCTGGCATATTCAACTAGATTTGTGTATTTGTTTACGATCAGTTACTCTCTTGGGGAGGGACCGGTCGCTTTTCAATACTCAGCTGAGGTATTCCCTACTATCCAACGTGAGCAAGGAATGGCTTGGGCTGTTTGTATCAACAACACCTTTGGTGGGTTCCCAACCCCAGACTTATCGAATATGTAATTGACAAACCCTTCGGCAGCTGGTTTACTCGGTTTAACCTTCCCTCGAATGCGGACTGTGATGACTCCTACCGGCGCCTGTGAGTTTGCTGCTGAGTATCAATACGTCGATCGAATCAGATTTAACTTTTCATGTAGTTGGCTTCTATGCTGGCCTTAACCTGGTTGCTTGGGCCATGATCTTCTGCTTTGTTCGAGAAACAAAACAACTCACCCTAGAAGAGCTAGATCGTAAGTAAAGAGCCCAGTGAAAATTTTCTCATTCTTCTGATATGCTTCAAGAGGTCTTTTCTGTTCCTACTAAATCATTTATTCATCATGAACTCACTGTCTGGCTTCCTTGGTTCATCAAGAGACACATGTTCCGACAAAACATTACCAAGCCGCCACCAATCATCGCGACGGCCAAAGAGGTCGCGTCCTGAAAGATTTCCTCGGGCTACATGTATCACGTCCGGGGAAGGCTTGATGGGAAAGCTCGGTTAAGCTTATCTCTCTAATTGTTCCGCTATCGATGGCAATACTATTTAGTTGTCGAGCTATTTGGCCTGTACACTGTCTCCAACTTCGTTTGTATTCCAACAAAAGAAAAGGGTAAATTCCGGTCCTTAAATCTGCGCACTGTGACAGGAAATCAGGATACGGGTTGGATCTATCACTTCGCCTCGATTTAGCAGTACTATACATATAAGTATGAACGCGCCAGTAAAATTATGCTGTGGGAATGAAAGGCACAATGCACCGAAAACGGTAAATCTATACAAGTAAACAATCCTCGTGAAAATGTATTAGAAATTAATAACACAAACTCAATTCATACTTTCATTCGGCTAAGTATCGCCTGCAAGTCTGGCCGCTTCACTGGTTTGATCAAGAAAGTGTCTATGCCAGAACCAAAAGCTTCCTTTTGAGCATTGGCACTGTCAAGTCCGGTCAATGCAGCAATAACTGTTTTTGGAAGTGCTTGTTGCTCTGATGAGTCAAGCTTCTCCCGGTGCTCCTGCTCTAAGCGACGGATCTGCCTCGATGCTTCGAAGCCATCCATGACGGGCATCGATATGTCTGGTGGTATCATCAGTGATTTAGAATTCAAGTGATACAATGACGGGAAGAAGACAAAACAGATCAGTATCGATCTGAGCGCAAGTGCTTACCGATGATGACCACCCGGAACTTGCCGGGGTGAGACTTGTAAATATCCACCGCCTCTGCCCCGTTCGTGGCTGTCATATACTGATGGCCATCCTTTTTAGTGTATGCACGAAGTAACTGGAGGTTGAGCTCATTGTCGTCCACCAGTAAGACAAGTGGCTCTGGAGTTTTTGTATGATCATCATGGGGTGGTGGCGGAGTGTCCTCCTTGTTTCCGATGGAAGTTTCTTCATTGAAAAAATAGTGGTCATTTCCACTTCCACCATCCGGGCTACCCATTGTATCTGCTGTAGGTCGTTTGCTAATTTTCATTCGATCTTCAGGCGGATCGCTGGGGCCAATATCCACTGGTAAGTGAGAAGATTGAGGCATTTCGACCCATCGAGTCGGCTCCTCAGCGCTTTGTCGACCAGTATAATCGCTACCTTGCCGTTGAAGGCAAATATCCAAAGCTCGAGCTAATTTTCGAGGTCCACATGGTTGACTTATGAATTCAAAATAGAGTGTTTCGTTGCGATTTCTGGCTGAAACAAACAATTTGTGGGCTTCCTCGGGTGACTGGCAAATTACTACGACAGGTGAAGCGCGCCCTTTGGTGTTGACAAGGTACTGGCTAATGCCGAATAGGTTCCTGCCCTCAGTGCTTTCACTGTCCAGTTCTGTCTGCACAGCTAGGTAGAAATCATACTCCTGTTGCTGGCCCTCTGTTGGTGATACGTTGGTTGATTCGAGCCCAAACCAATCCTGACACAAGCGCTCCAAGGAAGAGTACAGGGATGTATCACGTTGTGATTGGATAGATTTCCCAAATCCTAGGAAACCAACCTTTTTTCCTTCTGTGTATTTCAGCAGAGAACTGAACATGGCGCTGGAAGATGAGATATCCGATGGTTCAGAAGCCCGGGTCAGTGGCGTGCGGATAGTGAGGGTAGTTCCAACACCTTGTGTGGATTCAATTTCGATGGAGCCGCCAAGGAAGCCAACAGCTTGGCGAACTATGCTGAGTCCTAATCCGCTTCCAGGCGCAAGAGGGTTTTCTTGCGAGAATGGAGTGAATAAGCCATCGTGGAGGTATTTGGGTCCAATACCCTTTCCGGTATCCTTGACCGTGAGAGTGACCTCGAACTCGTTGCCATCCTGGCTTTGCAAATGTTTCGATTTGTCCCGTTGCGACGAGCTCAGGCCAAGATAAATGTATCCCGAAGTGGTGTATTTGAGTGCATTGCCAAAAACGTTCATCAAAATACGTCGCCAAGCGCCAGCGTGTGTATTAAAGTCCCATTCTGTATCCGGTTGAATATCAAATATAATAGTGACTTGACTTGCGCGAGGGCCAACAGTATCACATTGGCTTGTTGGGCCAGCAGACCGCGATGAGGAATCGGTCAAGGCTGGAGGCGGTGCCTGTGGATTGGTGTAAAAGCTATATCCAGCGAACACACACTCCGCAACCTCCTCAAGCACAGCATCCAGCTCAACGTGTGAGTTTGTAAGGCTCTCTCCGCGCTCCTTCGTTTGCGCTGGGGATGAATCTTTAGAATTTGCAGACGTTGAAGTCTGCTTCTCTGCTCGCTTTCGCTCTGAGCGTGGGACTTTCTTTTGATACTTATCGATAAATGTAAGATCGAGCAAGTTGTTGATGGTATCCAGGAGAGTTCGACCGCAGGACTCGATTGTGTGGACCATACCATGTTGAAGTGCGTTCATGGCGGTGTCACTCAGGATATCTGCAGTGCCGAGAATGCCATGCAATGGATTTCTCAGCTCGTGGGTGATACTGCTTACCAAGTTTGTCTTCGCCTTCTCGGCCAACTCTACATCGACTCGACGAATTTCGGCCATAATGCTGTTGGTAAAGGCGGAGACATAGACAAGCTCATTTTCAAATGTGAAGATATGTTCCGGGTCGTTGGTCCAGACCAGCGTTCCAGCAAACCACCTCCTATTATTGGAGTCCCAGATAGGCAGCAGAAGGATGTTCCTGGCGTTCGCAAAGATTTTGATCAAGTTACTAGCGTCTTGTTGGAAAGTTGGCTTCCGTCGCTTTTTTCTAACTGCGTGCTGCTCCTCGGCACGGGTGCCTCCAGTGTTTGCTCTGGGATTATGTTCGGATTGGTGCCGCGAGCTATCACTGTCTTCTGAAACTGCTCCATTTGCGTTGAAAGTGAAGATCTTCCCACGGGGATACCGTCGAATCAAAGAACTGAACAGTGGCTCCGGCACCACTACTGATTGACCCGCCCTGGCCTCATCATCGATGCTCGATATTCGTGAGCTCGAAAATCCCAGGCATTCAGACACGAGCGTGTTCTCTGACTCGCCATCGGTGTTGTGTTGTTTAACGGAACTTGCGGAATCTGTACTCTCGTCGCTGCTTGATACGGGTTCTTTTGACGCAGGCCCAGAAACTTTGCGGCTATTTGGTTTGACAAGACTACCAAAGCGTTCACTGTTCGCATCCAGAAACATCACTCCCTCTGCCCCGATCGACTCTCGGATCAGGTTCGCTGCCCGCGAGAAAACTTGTTTGACACTGTTTGACATAGTATCATCTTGGAGACTTTCGCCTGCAAGCACGCTGCGCACTGAGTTCCCGGGTTCGTCCGGTTGTGTCTTGAGTGGTTGCGTCTTGGGCGGTTGCATATGATTTGTCCCTTGCTCTCTGGTCTCAGGTCTCGATCTGGACCCATTCGAGGATTTCCTGGGTTGGTTCCGGAAGGCGAGACTTTTTTCGGCCTGGTCCTTGGCTTGTTGTTGCAGATTCTGTTGCTGGATGTTCAACTGACCCTCTGTTGACCCTCCGGACTGTTCTGACGCAGCGTATTGTGCGTTTGCCTCGCGCCATGAATCGCGCAGGGTAGATCTACCTTCGACAAAGCTCCCCAATCCAACAATCATTCGCTCGGCCTGTCGATTTTTCTGGCTGGCGTGCTCCCTTGTCAAATGTTCCATCACTGTCGTAGCCATATCCATCATGAATTGAAGATGATTCTGATCCAGAGTCGATGTCCTTGGTTCACTATCCATCACGCTGTAAGCCCCGATCGTGAACCCTCGAGGGCTTATAAGAGGCACCGCCGCGTAAAATCGCACGTCGGATAGCGCATTAAGCAAATCGGGGGAGTTGAAACGCTCATTTTCTTTGACATCTAAAACGACTAATGAGTCCTCACCCACAATTTCATCTTGTTCTGTGTATTGTGGGGACGGTAACCATTCCACATGGTGACATAATCCTCTCTCCTTAGGAAGCACACAGCACCCCAATCGAAGGCGCTCCCGATCATCTCGAAAGCGTCCGCCGATCAGACTCAAGGTCGGGGTCGCTTCTGCAACCACATGTTGGTGAGATTTATCAAAAAGGGAGATCAAGGCGCGCTCGGTTCCCAAACGAGTAGCACCAAGTTGCGCGAAGGATGTCAAGGCGGAATCGCGGGAGGGTTGCGGTTTGAAAACGTTTTGGCTGGCATTGTCGAAAGGAGCGTAATGTGTTGCGGAATGGTCGCGCGGGACGTATCTGCGACCGAGTCAGATATAGGCTTAAGTTGTGTTGGTGGGGGCGGGTGATTTTAGGCACACGTACTTATAAAATTCCCGCTCTTGTGCCAATCTATAAGGTGGCTGGTAATTAGACGCTTCATCGTTCGGCATGTTCGATATGAAATGAAATGAGGTGAAGGGTCACAAGAATTCAGAAGAGATGAGGTATTCCAAGGTTGTACATTCTGTAGACATACACCGTACTCCACACTAGAATCCGGTTTTTTTTTTTTTTGAACCTGGTTAATCAATCCCGAGATCTCAAAGGGCATTATCCAATCAGATTGAATCAATCGGGTGTGGCGTTAAGTAGAAGGGTCCATGACATCAGAGGCTTTTTCCTCCTACGTATACATTTATACGTACTAACCAGCATGTAGTTAGTTATAAGATTGTATAACTACTACAAATATTATATTGTATAGCTCTGTAGTCATACCTACAGGTATATATCTGGAATTATATAATTTTAGTTAGTATCGAGCAAATCGTCGTTTCTCCCAGCAAATTATAAACCTTGGAAGCTATACAAGTAAAAGTAATTACATAAACATCGACGGTAAGTAGCTTAGGCCTTGATGTCCTGTTGATAGTCATACAATTAATACATTGGTCTCATTCAAGGTGTGAGTTTGATTCTAATAAAACCACCGGAAGTCATCGCTGTCAGGACCGTTCTGGAGAAACTCCGTAGGAATATCCTTTGCTTTGATCTGAATGCCTTGCAATCGGTCACGTCGCCTATTATCCGCCATCATCCAGAGCCCCAGGCAAAGTGTCAAGACAATACCACAACCTCCAAATGAAGCGGTAGTGATCAATGCCGGAAGGTAATTCGGCGCGTCTTGTTTGCGAAAGATATTGGAACTGACGACACCCATCAGGTTGGCCATTGGGACCGCGATACTTGTTAAAACCACCCGCCGTCCTTCGTTGGCAGTGTTGTTATTGTACCAAGCATCCAGAAGTACCGATGGTGCAGAGGTTCCCCTGGAGAAAGATAGTCAGCTCTATGTTCCACATTGAAGTTCATCTCTAACTAACCAAGTCATCAAAAAGGAGGCAAAATATGCAACAGCCAGATCTTGCTGCACGTCAATAGTCGCATATATCATGAAGCCAATAAAGGTAAATAAAAACCCAAGTGCGATGAACGGGAACCTCCACTTGGTCCAGTCACTGCTGAATGCCAGGATGAGAAGGACCGCTGCGCCCGAGATATTTGGGGCCACGGTAAACAGGTTGGTCTTCACGGTGCTGTATCCCAGTCGTTGGATGATGACTGGAAGGAAAAGCTGAACAGACTGTAGAGGTACACCAAGGCAAATCTGAATGGCCAAGATTGCCCAGCTGGTCCAATGCTTGAACACTCGGAATGCATCACGGATATTTAACTTCTCGTTCACCACGGAAGAACTATCAATTTGCAGTCGTAGATAGGCCAACTCCTTCTCCACCGGCGTCAAAAAGGTGGCTTCTGAGGCAGATCGAGGCAAGTACCAAAGAGCAAACAGGGCGAAAAGGACAGTACCTCCACCTTCAATCAAAAAAAGGTATCGCCAGGGAGCTAAAGGGCCCGAGTTAATGCGGAAAATTCCAAAAGCGAGTAAACCGGAGAATGCAGAAGCAATCGTTTGAGCAGCATAAAAGATAGCGAGACGTCGAGCCAGCTCACCACGACGATAAAAGCTATGTGTTAGAGTTAGACTTTTTGGTTTCTTAGACAGTAGAGTGGCTGACCATACGTTGTCTGGTAGTAAATCACCAAGGGAAAGAAGGCGCTTTCTGCCATGCCGAGAAACCATCTGATGGCAAAAAGACCACTGAAGTTGAACACGGCCACTACCAGAATGGTAAAAATGCCGAACGCAAGCATCATACAAGGAAGCACAATGTTGGGTCCGTATTTCTTACCCAAGAGACCCAGGAAAGGTGCAGTCAAAACATAAGGCACGAAGAAAATACTCAGTATTAGGTTGTACTGGTTGCCTTTCAAAGAGAGGGAGTCTATATTGATAAAGGGTGTTAATGATGTGTATTCTTTGCTCACATTGGTATCATGGAACATATGTGTCTTACCTTCAAGGCCGGCGGTCTTTGCATTGCCCAAATTAGACTTGTCCAGGCTGTTGAAGAGATACATGATTGCCAGCACGGGGAGCAGGCGAAGATCGAACTTCCATACCAATGCACGCTCTGCTTCAGGATCAATGTCCACACTCGAGATGGTGACTGGTACATCTTGCTTTGCGGCCGAGGTCTCTGACCCCGATTTGAAGCCTGTTGACATTTTAGGGCTATAAGTGTATGAAATTTTTTTTTAAGTCCACTTGGGTATGTTCACCTCTATATGACAGTATATACATACTTTCCCCCCGCCTGCAACATTCCCCGGAGCCTTAGAGACGAAATCTCATGACAAAAGATAAAAGATAACATTTACCTTGGCGCATGCTGGCTGATAAGCAATAGACCAATAGAAAGTTAAGAGGGTTGGGTGCTCGGGGGATTTTAAGTGGAACTTGCCCCAGTTCCCTATCTGACACCCGCAGATTTGAATGAGTATTTGAAGATTATGAGTAGTATTAATGACACAGCAACGGGGCTCACTAAGGGGCGGGAAAAGGTTTTACAATGGGCGCCATTCATTATTAAGTTCACGGAAAGGCAGATTTATAATTATCCGGAATATTGCCTCGGGCTATTCCGGGATTTCTATACTAGGACATCGGTAGTTTGCGGGCAAATACTAACTTTATTGTTTGGCTTGGGTTGATTACTAGCAATCGGTTCAAATACTTAACAGGGTACAAGAGTACAATGGATTACACCGAGTAAAAACCTATGTACCTGCTTCATGTTTCGAGGCGCATTGGTATACTTAGTACCAGAACCCCGCCGTAGGATAGGCGCCAAATCCGTTTGCTGGTAGTGTTCGAGGCCAGCAAGTATAATGTCTATAAAAGCTTATTCTCATTATCAGAACCGACAGATTGTAAATTAAGTTTCCTCATCTAAGTCACCTTTCGCTTATGGCAGTAGACTACGGTTGTTCCGTCAGATAAAACAGAATACTGTCGGATGAGTCTGTACTTCCCAAACCACGGAAGAAACATTTGCCAGAACGCCCAGTAGATCATACCGGCAAGTGGGACTGCAATTCCACAACGGAGGTAAGCCAGTATGGCAGTGAAGTGTCACCCTTTCCTCCTGGCAATCTGATAAACGGCGCAACCAGTTGGAAAGTTTGGCCTGCCATGAAGAAAACGGCGACCGACCATCAGACTTTGAAGGGCCTAGGTACATCTGCGGCGCTCAATTGAAGGTAGAACAGTCCTGTAACGACCAAAACATTGATCATACTTGACGGGTACCCCTCTAGGTCAATGATGAAATTGTAAGCATCGCCAAAGGCGATTGTCACAATCACGATAAACGATGGGATGAAATGCAGCAACAGTCCGGACGATGGAGAGCCGAAAGGTCAACTCGAAGCCCAAAATCTTGGGAAAGGAACCACTCCCTCTTTTGTGAGCTCTTGATTGACTCTCGCCTTCGCGAAAGTCACGGTCATCTCGTTCCCAAATGCTGAAAGTGGAACTAAAACACTGATGATTCGACTCTTAGAGATGAAAAGAGAAGTGAGATCGCAGTTGGCTGTCGACTCACCTCAGGGCACGTCTGGCAGATTCTCCAAATACCTTGCCCATGGAGAACGAGGCAACAGTGACTCTACTATTGGTAATCTCCTGCGGCTTAGCAGCTACATAGTACGCCACGTTTGCGAGAAGGTACAGCGTCCGACAGATAAATAGGCCGATGGGCGTGGCAATGCTCACGGTATGGATGGGGTTTCGAATCTCATTCGGAACATATGCAGAATTTGACCACCTATTATTGTTAGTTAGTTCGACGCTCATATATGCCTTAGGAAAAGATCTCCAACATTGTTGTCTTGCCCGGAGTACGAGGAGTACGAGTTCAGCATCTTGAATAAGGCGGTCGCATACAAATTGCTTGATGTGGCCGAGCCCGCGAACGAGTTGTGTAAACTTGCGTAAGGATCCTTCACGATCAACACCCGGCCACTGAGTGCAATCCAGCCAGTCACAATGATAAACAAGAGCAGGGTGACTTTGACGGCGTTTATTTCTCTCACTCCCCGGCTAGGAAGAAACGTCTGAAGCAAATTAATGGATATAACCACTGCAAGTGCAATCTCTCGCTCCTCACACTCAGAAGCCTTCTCTCCTGCCGCGATGACGATATTGAATGCGAAACAGTACAACCGGAGGCTGGAAATCCTAGTTAAGCTCAATATGTGCTCAAAAGGATAGAGGTTCTCACCAGTAAGATCGCTTGAACTGTGAACACAACATTAATCAAAAGATTCGGTCCACGATATGCCGCCTCGAAGTTAAACTTCTCGCCTCCACTGCAAGGTATTATGCAACCAAGCTCCAGCCATAAGCAAATACCAGCGCTAGCCAGAAAGAGACCAAGCACCCATAGGAGTAGTGCCACACCCACACTTCCAGCACTGCCTGTAACGGATGACGGAGTAGAAAGAATACCGGTCCCAATGATGCGACAGAAGCTATAAGCCACAGGCTAGTATCCCAACGAATCTGCTGTTTGGTCTCCCTCACATCAAGAAAATGGTTAAGAAGGTTCCTAGGTGTCGGCCAAGACCACCGCAAATGTATTGATCAAAATCCAATCCCCCAACAACTGGCAAAGCCTCCTCAGCCTCGACTCCATCGGAGCTCACAGGTTGTTCAACGTTGCCTTTTGGATCCCTTGTCATATGTGAAAACAGAACGTGGGCAAAAAATATGCAAGAAGAAAAAAATTCAAGCCCAGGCTTTGTCAGTTCTAAAGTTTCTCGAGACGTTCATAGGAGAACTACTTACGTGATTGAACGCACTTCAAGTATTATTGAAACGTGTGTTTTGACTAGTTGTGTGAACAATTACGTTAAGAGAGATGGGGAAGGAAGAGAAGAAGATGATAGACGTGATCTCAGTAGTGAGCAATAAAGATGATGCCATTGCAAATGGTGCATTGCCTCTACAATTCATCTCTAGTATAACTTTCCAGGGTTGTGAAATTTCATTTGCTGTGCAACACAGGAATGTCACCACTTCCCTTGTTGTATCATGATTTGGTTCCCTTTTGAGTACAAGTTCATGTGTTTGTAATTTGAAAAGGTATTTGGAATATCCTGATATATGCCGACATTCACACATTGCCCGAATTCGATTGCCCGAATTCGATTAACCTTACCATTATGTTGTCACGTCAAAAGAATCTCCGTGTTGAGAACACGAAGTGGAGATGAAGGTTCCATAAATATATTTATGTGAGTATATAGTTATGATTTTCTCTTTTATTTCAGGTGCTTTGAGACAACGTTACAGTCGTAGACGACGCTGGATATTAGAATAGTAGTTGAACGGCCCACTCAGATTTAAGATATCGCCCAGTATGTAGTCAGTGTAGGCCAATTTTAACTAATTTGTCATTGCTTGCACCTAACTACAGAATATACGGAGTATTATTGTATAACAAAATACTCCCAACAATATTATCGAACGTATTGTTTAGCCAAGCTTTGATCAGAGATGGAGAAATGGCAATCCAGCACCTAACTCTCTACATATCCAATGCACAAATTGTGCTCAATTTGGCCAATTTCGGGCCTTCAGCTCTCGGTATTATTTTTTTTCCATAATAATGACTGAACAAAAACTATGTTGATTTCAAAACAGAATCATTAAAACTCTTAATGACCAACTAGCCAATCAGAATTCACAATGACAGAAATAAAGGGGGCTTCGGGCATTTCTCGTATAACCAAACCAATAACATCACGGTCGGAAAAAAGCCTCAATAAACTTGAGTATATGAGATAACGTACAAAACACGTTGAATTGTTTAAACAGCAGGCGGTACAATACATGTACTCCATAGTTATATTGTACACTACACGAAGTAGAGTTCAGAAACCAAGAAGCAAAGGTATGGCGCAAATAGACCCTAGTAATAAGTCATGGGGACCCCGCAAAGCCACTTTCTCCCATTTTTCGGGTTTTCACAAGATAGAGATTCACTCCCTGAGATGTGAAACCTAGGCATTGATCACTTGAGTCATCCGTTTTCTCTCTCCCGTCTCAGGGCTATCAGGGCATTTTACCGAGTAGATGACGCCATCTAACAAAATCCAGCCAGTTGAATTTGCAGCATCTAAATCTGTTGATCTTGATCCAGCCTGTAAAGAAAATGATCGGCACAAGCGCACGTTCCCCATTGACGCAAGCTAAAGCCCCTATACTATCGATTATTCAGGGGTTTAAAAGGCTACATCCAAATACTAATCGCACAAGAAAAGATAAGAGAAAGAAACTATCGAATCGTGTCGTGTGAAATCAAGAGTTCAATGAATTCCTTATTCAATGTTAGGTAAAATATACAATAATAGGCCACTTACATATTGTAGACAACTTTGAAGATATCAAGATCATCGGAAAAAGTACAGCATTTTAGGATGGTGCAACATTATAGCGGCATAGTCCTCAAACATCTCGTTGAATTTCCCAATGAGGTGGGGCTCCGCTGAATCCCAAATTTGATTTCAACACATGGATTTTTGGTTCAGAATATTTGAACTGTCGCCGAGGGCCCGAGGTTTCGCACAATGCACACGATACTCGAAGCTGGGGGAACTGGGCCATCCGATTCATGGCCACTGATCGCGAAAGAAGAAAGCATCTTAAATCGAGATGATCTGGGGGCGCATTGACCCCATTATTCCCCAACATTATGGGAGGGGGACCGAGGCAGAGTCCGGGGGATGCGATGAGGGGTTTCATGTGGATTTATTTTTGACGATCATCTGGAGAGACTCCACGACTAGGAACCTCATCATTTAATTTGCCATTGAATGCCCCTCTCAGGATTTAAAGCAGCTTCCTTATATTAATACAGAGTCCAAGCAAGTTTCTTTTCAAAGAATTCAATTCCTTCAACTCAAATTACATTCACCCTTGATACGTCCCTTTACACCTTGTCACCCTCGTATATCACCATGGCCGCTGATGGACCGAAACCCGGATTCTTGGGCAACATTAACAAGGATCAGAAGGCTAAATTGCAAAATCTTTGGGAAGTTCTGCTCAAGGCCGGTGAAACATCCCTGAGCAATGAACCGTCCAATGCCTGCGAGGAGCAGCATGTCACTCCAACTCAGCCGCAACGACGACATTCTCTTCTTAGCCGCACCCAAAGTAACGTCTCAGAAACAATCCCTGTCGCCCAAACACCGTACCAACAAAATATCATGAAATATCTTGGCGAAATGGGGGCTGGTGCCCCTGAGTCCAAAGCGATTCAGAAAGCGCTCTCGAAGATCACCCCCACTGAGCTTCGCACAGGGGTTCTTGATACCCTAAAGCACGACCACCCTGATGCTATGATGCTTCGCTTCTTGCGAGCTCGTAAGTGGGACGTTCCCAAGGCCTTCGCAATGATGATGGAAGCAATTGTGTGGCGAGTGAAGGAAATGCGCGTGGACGAGGATGTAATGGCAAAGGGGGAGCTTCATGCCCTCAAACAGACCCAAGATACGTCCAACGTGAGCGAACAAAAGGCCGGATCGGACTTCCTATCTCAAATGCGAATGGGCAAGAGCTACGTTCATGGTGTCGACCGGTTGGGTCGTCCGATTGTGGTGGTACGAGTCCGTTTGCACAAACCGGGCGCCCAGACTGAAGAGTCACTGGAACGTTATATCGTTCATGTAATTGAGTCTGTAAGGCTTACTTTGGCTTCCCCTGTCGAGACTGCGGTTAGTTATTCACGAAAGATAAGCCGGTTGCGAAATTACTGACCTGCCACAGGCTGTCTTGTTTGACATGACAGGTTTTGGATTATCCAACATGGTATGATATTGTTTCTCGGCTCTGACCCAGCAATTAAATCTGTCCTGACTAGTGGTTCACTCTACAGGAATACCCACCAGTCAAATTTATTCTCAAGTGCTTTGAGGCCAACTATCCTGAATCGCTAGGAATCATGCTCATTCACAACGCACCTTGGGTATTCTCAGGTGAGTCTATGTTTCCACCCTTGAGATGAACACTCTGTTTTAGTTATCACTGATGTTCCTTGGTATCCCATTTACTGACAATTGACTGACAATTGATGCTTGTAGGAATCTGGCGTCTCATTCGAGGCTGGATGGATCCCGAAATCGCGGCCAAGGTTCAATTCACTAATAGCGTCGCCGACCTGGAAAAGTTCATTCCCCGCAATCAAATTGTCAAGGAGATGGGTGGCGCTGAGGACTGGTCATACAAATACATTGAGCCTAGTGCTGAAGAGAATTCAAGTATGAATGATACTACCACCCGAGACGCCCTGAAAGGTGAGCGGCAGAGCATCGGTGAAGAGTTCTTATCTGCCACATCCACCTGGATTGATGCGAGCAAATCGAAGGATGCTGTCAAAGTTCAATCTAGTGAAAGTGAAAGAGATTATCTGGTAGAGCGACTTCGTGTCAACTACTGGAAACTTGATCCCTATGTTCGCGCTCGGCTTTGTTTGGATCGGATGAGGGTGATTCAAGATGGTGGTAAGATCGAGTTTTATCCCAAAGATACACCCGCAGAGAGTGAAGATACAACCAAAGAATCGAAAGTGGAACATCTAGAAAAGGTAAATGGGACAGTTGTTCAACCAGTTTCTTAGGTTATGAAGGTGGCTTCGGAATATATATGCGGTTCAAATGTTCAAAGTACTTATTGTGGTCAAATCTGTCCTGGTTAATACCATCCTAGTCGTAGATAACATATTCATGTGTAATCCCATGTTGATTATGATCTATAGTCGCAGATACACTAGCGCCGAGGATATTACCGAGTTTCGGAATTGCTTTTACCCCTATGCTACTCATGATCAAAGACGGAGTCTCACTTTCAATATACGTAAGAACAAATTGATGACTTCAAATATTTAACAATGACTTAATGTATTGACAACTTCGCTAAAGTAAAACTAGTTTGCAGATGCAGCAAGCTCCTTTTGACTTTGGTTTGAATCAAAAGAACTAGCTATGATTTTATTCCATTTAAATTCTGGATACCATGGGTGTCGTCACTATATTTGTGTCAGATAAGGTATAAAATCTCCAGCTAGAGATGCTCACTATATCGTGTCTGCTTGAGATCGAGCTTTTCTAGTCCACTCGGCTTTTTTCTTATAGCGCTCTCATTCGTGTCGACTTTGGTCAAAAGCCTGGTTGCTTCGGCCTCATTGGATTTCTATCTTTTTTAGTTTTCAAAAATTTAGCTTTTCGAGAAGAGAAGAGCTACCTGTGGTCTACTGAGCTTCACACATAGGCTTTTGAATGTTGTAACGGGACTCATCATGTGATATATGGCGTGGTAGGGATATTGGTAAGAAGATGTGCTATCCATAGGCTCTGGCCAATTTGCTCCTGACTTATATAGACAAGATCCCATACCTCGAGGTATATCCAGATATCGGGGCTCGGAGCTCGGAGCTCGGGTCTATACACATAGCTGAGACCAATCGAACCCGGTTGTCGAAGACACATCAGACCCCTGCGCTCCACTATTATTCAGATGGCCTTGTAAGCCGGTAAATTCAACTTCTTGGCTTTTTCACTCACCTTTTGTCGACTCTACGAGACTCGACTTATGGACTCTGGTAGATGAATTTTGCAGCAGTCGAAGTGGAGACTGAGAGTACCTTGTATCTTGTTTGGGGGGGTTTCAATTGCGACTTTCAGGACGCGTCTTGAATGATATCATATCATTGCCACAAAAGTGTACTTCGCATATTCAGGCTGATGTTGAGGCCCTTGAGAAGAATGCCTAGCAATGCTCATGGCTCGATGTCTACCTAGCCCTGGAGGCCCGAGCGAGCAGTGCATTTAGTCATCCAACTCCGAGCTCCGGCTTTTGAGCCCCGAACGCAGACTTCAAGCAGTCACACCAACACTGCACTGTGCCCTGAATAGGATGATTGCAGGACATCTCAAGTCATATTACAGAGATATTTATTATGGCAACTCCTCGCCGCAATGGTCAGCTATCATCCTGTGAACCTTGTCGCACTTCAAAGTTGCGGTGCGACCACACCAGTCCCGTGTGCGGGCGCTGTGAGCGTCGCGACCTTCCTTGTACCTATCACCCCGCACCACTGACTCAAGTAATCGCCGGAATACGCCCCAAAAAGAAAATTCGCGTTGCGCGCGACTCCACTGGCCCTGGAATCATCCACGGTTTGCGAAATGATAACAGTGCTTGGACTCGAAAAAAGGCATCCGCCTCAGCTCCTGGGTTTCTTGGCCAAACTAGTTACTCTGATGTATTCACAGACATCAGCAGTGGTCTTCCCGCTGGGACAATACATACAGTGGGCCATGATGCCGTTCCTGTCGATTCAAAACAGATCAACCTCGGGGCTCAGGTCTTGGTGCTTCTAGAGAATCTCACATTTTACAGAGAGGTAGTCACTACCCGATTCAAGAAATACAAGGGATGGACCCTTGGCTGGCCAATGACAAATTTGATATTCACGGTTGTGGAAGAAATGTGGGATTCGTTAAAACAAGAAGAGATGGATACAAGCGCACGTGCTCTTCTCATGTCAAGGAGACTTTTTGAGACATTTACCAAGGATTTTGAAGTACATCTTTCCACAACCTGGGAAGAATTTAAAATAGCGTCGTCTGGAAGATGGGAGACGGTCGGACTCCTATTCATTATTACGGGTTTAGCCACAGACTTGGTTCCCCACGATGACCCGATCTTCAATACAATGGACGCGAAAAGCATTGCCATTACCGCGAGCGCTGTGGGTGACATATGTATCCAATTCTGTGATAACACAGGGATAGTGAACGATCTTGTGAGTTGGCTGTTGTTGCATCAGACCTCACTCCTAGCAGTAGTCTATGGTGAAAGTGGTATGTCGTCCCTGTCTTTGAGCAAGAATGCCGCTTGACAAGCTACTAGATTTTCGACCGTGGAGAAAGCTAGGAGACTTATCAACGACTGTATTTGCGCTGGGTCTTCATCAAGATTCAAGTGCAAAGGTTCCATTCTTTCTTGTTGAGCTTCGAAAAAGAACTATGGTTGCTGCTTTTACCGTGGATAAAGTGCTCGCTACCTTCTTGGGTCGGCCGCCGCTTATTAGCTGGCGATATTGTAACATCCCAATGCCTCTTGATCTGAGCATGGAGGAAATTGTCGCTGATTCAATCATCCGCGATGCTGCAATTGCCCGTTTAGATGAAAACAGCGGATGGAATCGGGAGGGAAGCCTGACGAAGGGCGCGAGGGCTCGAATCGCTCTTATCACCAGTGTCTTCCGTGAGAAGGTTTTGGAGATGTCGCTTAGTTGGCAGACTGAGAATTTAAGCCAAAAAGTAGAGTAAGTTGGTAGTCTGAGCTCCCTTTGTGGTTTTGGCTTATGTCAATTTTGCCAGGGAGCTGTCACAGGAATCCCGCCGCTTGCGACAAGATCTGCCTGACTTTCTTCATTGGAGGATGATGGGCGAGGGCACAGCTGTCTCTGGAGTAGAAGAAATGTTTCTTTTTGAGATACATTTAGATTTCCTCTATAACGACTTCCTCCTTTACCGGACTCTGGGACAGCGCACTCAAACCCAACCGGAGGAAATTATTGGCATTTCTCGCGAAATTTTGCAGTCACTAATAATGATAGTTTCGAAAAGAACCCGCTGCGCGGAAGCCATCACTGGCACAGGGTGGGCTGTAAGTGTCATAACTTTCATTTCGACTGCAGATTGGCATTCTGACTTGTCAAACCACCACCAGCTGTGCCTACCAGGTCTACCTGCCGCCGGTGTTCTTTCCGCAGAATTACTACGTCGATATCGACTCATAGTGCAAGGAAATGATCCCAACTTTCCCCGCTCAGAGGTGATTCAGAATTTAACCTTGTTCGCGTCATATCTGGATACGATAATCAAACCTGACGAAGGCAACTATCGTGTGGCACTGCAGGGACAGAAGGCAATTCGCCATGTTCTAGACCAAGTGCTTTCAGGCGAACAGGTTTCTCCCACCATAAATGACAACAATGGAGGAATTGAAAGGTCAATGAATGACGATCACTTGCTAGATGGAGTGAACATTGATGATCATGACTTGTTTCTTACATGGTTTGATGGAAATATGCAACAAATGTCGGAGTCATGGTTATCATGGGTTAATCTGACGTGAAAGGGTTATCTTAGTCGGCATATTGAGCTCACAAAGGTATATGCGATTTATACAATATGTGTTCAAGATTCAAAACTTCAATTTATAGTTCTTATCTCTTATCTCTTATCTCTCGTCTGATCTATCATCACATGATTTTGTGCTATTGAGGTTGTACTGGCTCCCGGACATACTCGGGTACGGTACAATCACTATTTGCTCATATTGTCAATCAAATCATGAAACACGCGTCCCCACAATCTGGAGATAGGGTCAAACGTCGAAAGATTGCTGTTGCCTGTGATGATTGTCGCTCGAGAAAGGTTCGCTGTGATGGTGTACAGCCAGGTATGTTGAAGCATGATTTCATCCGGAATGCCACCCGTGCTGAATCTATCTAGTATGTGGGCCATGCAGCAAGAGAACCGACCGCAGGTCCCATTGCAAGTATACAGGCGAGTTAGAGAGGAAGAAAGCAAATGAATCGTATGGACTCAGTACAGCATGATCAATCCGGCGTATTCTGGGCTAATCTTCATACTGGTAGGTACATATCCAGTCTAGAAACTCGAATCAAACAATTGGAAGGCCCTAAAGATTACATCAAGGCTTCAGGATCAGATCCCACAACAGTGAGCTAGCTTGATTCCGCTATTCCGGATACCTCTGATCAAAATATAGCATGCAAATATGCTATCTCCAACTCCCTGTGGGACACAACCCGGAACGCCAGGAACTTATACTCGAAGTGTTCACAGCCATGTTGATTTAAACACACCTACAGTCCAACTGGATGGTGTCAATGCGATGATGGGCTCAGTGGAAGAAGAACGTGTCAGCCAGGGGTTTTTTGGAAGCTCTAGTGCAGCAGGGTTCATGCGCCAGATCAGAGCCGCTGTCGACAAGAGACTGACTCCACCCCATCGTCGAACTTCTGCTCCTCGTCTTGCCGCGACATCTACACTGATGTCTACCCGGAGTGAAATACCCCGAAAATCTGTGGCAAACTACGTGTTACCACCACGAAAAATGGCAGACAGCCTCATGGAGGTGTATTGGGACTATGTTTTCCCGCTATATCCATTCCTTATCCCCGCCCAAATGAAAAGAGATTATGCAAAGATCTGGACCGGTGATACACTGGAATACGATGAAAACATGCTCATGTGCACGCTTAATGTCATGTTTGCGCTGGCCAGCCAACTGGCTGATTTCGTTCCACCCAAAGAGCGGGAAGCATCTGCGGATGCCTTTTTCTCACGAGCGAAAGACCTCTTTCAATTTAGTCTCTGGGACACTGGATCGGCAGCTTTGATCCAATGTTTACTTCTCATGGCCCAGTATCTCCAAAGTACTGCCTCTGCCCATCAATGCTGGATTGTCACGGGGCTCGCCATTCGTAATGCTCAGAGTCTGGGACTCCATCTTCCTGAAACTATTGAACGTTTACAGAGCTTCCAAGAACAACAACTGGCGCGCAAGATATGGCACGGATGTGTATTAATGGACCGGTATGTTCCTATCTACATTTGTCCTCGACTGATGTGCTCAACGACTCTGACCTTTTCCTCGAAGTGTTATATCTATGACATTCGGTCGCCCCGCTATGGTCACAAAGGCCTCTAGTGGCGCTGTTCCTCTGCCGGTCGCCGTTGACGAAGATTTTATCCCATCCGAGTCAGGGCCAGAGGCCTCACAGCCTCCTGATCGGCCTTCGATGATAGCATTTTTCGCCAAAACTTTGGAGCTTTATGACATAATGAATGATGTCCTTCTTAATTTTTACAAGCAATCAGCGGATGATAGCGGAGAGAACATGCATGACCTATTTTTCAACAGTGTAATTGGAGAGGGAGCACAGACCATATTTGAGTTCGACCGCTGTCTCGCCCGATGGACGCGAAGTCTTCCTGTGCACCTACGTGGAGACTCCTCAGCAGCTTCCGTGAACCCCATATTTTATCGCCAAAGTATTGTACTGCGTGCTAGGTCAGTGTTAGGCCAAAATCTTCCAATCATTATGCAGAGACTTATGCATAATTTAACCTGCAGATTCTTACATGTACGGATACTCCTATTTCGGCCAGCCCTCTCCAAATATTGCACTGTACGGGATAACGCTACTTCCGACCCACTGATACATATGAACGACTCTTTGCCCCATCGTGTTGCCCTGCAGTGCTCTATAATCTGTGTCAAATCTGCTCAAGAATCTATACAACTTATCTATAGCAATGTTCCTGTTGATGGAACCGGCGGTCCACTGCCAGCATGGTGGTACAACATACTTTGTCTGTCTACTTCATCCAATAGCCCCCTGCTTGCAGAATCTGACTTTACTAGATGTTTATACTTCCGCGACTGTCCTGATAGCTGGCCGTTTATATTCGGCAATTCTCGCTGAGATCACTGAAGAGTCAATCACGCAATCATGGAACTGTGCGTTGGAAATCTTGCGCAAGTACCAAAGCTACAGCACCTCCGCTCGGCGTTGTGTTGCAGCCCTTGAGATTCTTTATGAACAAGTGGCATATGAAGCGTCTCCCTCTACCTATCACAGGCCCAGTGGTGACATAGAAAACAGCGCTCTTGTTGCAATTAATGATATGTCCTTTGGAGAAGGGGTGAATGCATCTATCTTGGACAGTTTTGAGTTCCCTGATTTCCAGGACATGTCCTGGCTGAACAGTGTTCCTAGTAACCTTTTCTAGTGGATTCAATTGACGGGTCAACATAAAGTCATGTGAATCTGCCTTCATTCGGGATAATTAGAGTGGCTTTCAAATTCAAATTATCTACATGATCGCTTGAAGCTCTGTCTCCCAGTATACCTCCAACGTTGTTAAAATCCAGTGTGGAAAACAAGAATTATTCCGTTGCAAAATTTCTAGTTTGGCATTCTATTGGAACCTCTCAGCGTGTGTCATTTCGTGTTGAAAGTACCTGAACCGCGAGAATAGCCACCATCGCGCCTGCTGCTCTGCTTAATCCCAGTGTGGAAAATATGACCGGGAAGAAGAATTTTCCAAGCTATAGAAGCAAAATTTAGCGGTGGGCACAGGGCATAATGGCGGTAGGGTAGATTGGTCTTACATATCCAAAGATTTGGCCAAAAACATTGACAAAAATACCGACCTGACTCGCTAGTTCTTTGTTGCTCTCCACAGCAAAGGTAATGAGAATAATTGTCTGCATTTGGTTGCCGAAGCTTGCAATTGCCGCACCGACACAGGGTGTAACATTCCACGTGGTCGCATCCTGCAGCTGGAAGCCCCAAACCAAGAGACCGGCAAAGACCGTGCCAAAGGCAATGTATGACAGCCACCAACGATCCGCTGGGTATGAGTGTCCTCTGAATTTGCGGAGGCGTCCCAAGAACCAGTCGCACACGGGTCCGCTGATTTGTTCACCCAAAACGCACCCGATGATCACAGCTATAAATTATAGCCAGATTTGCTGAGGATCAAAGTGGAACTTTTCGCTGAACGCGATCGGCATCCCCATAATTAAAGCGACATTGCCATAAAAAAAGTAATAGCATGAGCACATGTCGCTCTGACGATGCGCAGATAGCAGGCTAACGAAAATGGAGCAACGATATCCTTGGGTTTGAACGCTAGAGAATTGATCTTTCGTGAGATCGTCTTACCCCAGAATCCTGTTTCTTTTGGCTCTTTTTCGGGTTTATAAATAGTTTCGTCTCTAGTCGCGATGTAAACCAAGAATTCGCAAAGGTCGATAATCGCAAATATCCAAGATACCCACTGAACACCGATGTTGCAAACCATGCTTCCAAGAATCGAAAGTAAAGTAACATGGTATCGGCTGTAAGCCGCGGTAAGAGGGTTCCATATAAGGGGGAATAAGCCTAGGAGTAAAATCTATGACATTTTTTTCCCTTGGTTAGCAAATGTACTGCATCATACAACCAGTATCATGGCTACGACACATACTTGGACTGAGGACAAATAGCTTGCAGTTGGAATTGTGATATTGTACTCTTCGGCAAAGGCATCATAAGCCGGGACTATACCAGCTGCCATGAAAGCCCCATCATTAATGAAACGCGAGCAAGATTTAAACATCTTTCTTCCATTGTGGCCAGTTTTTTGGATTATGCGATGTATCATTCTTGTGAAATCCATCGTCTGAGGCGCTACACTCGGAAGAATTGTTGGCCACGTTTTCTAGATAATTGGAAGTCTCCGACCCAGTGCTTTTGGGGTCGTGGCTTGTTCTTTCTCTGTGGACGGCAACATTTTCTGCGGTTTCGATCCCCATGTTGATCTAAACAAGATCAAACCACGGGCAATATGTTGAGGAATGTAGTATCCAACGCCTGCAGTGAATTTATACTATTACTAGACGTTGTAGTGGAGGTTCAGAGAAATTCACAGAGTGGATATTTGGAAGGAATGCAAATCCAATAATCTCGGGATGATGGACCAAATTTAAAATCTTAGATGGATACAATCCCGCACATTCGCACCCCCATGCGGCTAGTTGACAGGGTTCGGATGGGGTGTGGGTATTTGGCGATGGAGTGACGCTGGATTAGTTATGGCTATTGCTTTTCGGACATTTGTCATTGGAGAGACTGCCGACCAAAGTACTACTGCGGTTAGTCTATATCATTTTGTTTTAGGGCTGGCATTGCCGATACATCTCTTCCTACAAACCCGAGGTTAGACATATCTGCTTCGGACCTTGACCCGGAAGGCGTTCGGGATCTGACCCGAAGACCCCAGATAGATATTTTAGATATATTCCGGTATCCACCGGGAAACCTGAGGGTTTCTCCCCATGGGGTTGATCAATGTAAAGCGAACACAGAAGAAGCATCGGGCGATTGTAATAAATGGCTCCGGTGGGATGCAAATGTTGAGAATCTTAGTCGACTCCGAGTTTTTCACTTTTAGGAAGCTCAGCTGGCAATAATAGGTGAATTGAAGAATGGTAGTGTTGCAGATCACCCGTATTTCACGTCATTTTTTCTCCTAATCACGGCCTTGTGTGTTTCAAGTGCTTGTTGCTTCTGTTGCTTTTGTTATTGCGCCCAAAGTGTGTGTGGCCTTGACTTTCAGGTTTCAATATTTTGGCCTAATTTTTCAGGTAAACCGCGTCACATCCCTCTCCTCTTTGCTATCGTCTCTTCTCTTCCTGGAATATTCAGATAATGATCTCTCTTTTCTAGATTTCCCATATGAAATCAAAGAGGGATACCAGATGTACTTCAAAAGATCCATTCATGCTCAAATGGCACTCGATCAAGATCGAAGTCGGGCGAGTAATGGCCGAGGAATTTCTCCGTTGACAACCCCGCATATCCCCAGACTTCATCTTGTAGTTTTACCGAGATTACATCGCTTAGCATTCTACTAATTTTCTTGGCAGTTTCTGAGCCAGTGCACTGGCTGGTTCCTTAGCTTAAGCCTTTGGACTCATCATCCCAAATCATTGGCGGATTTCAAAGACTCCGAGGTCAAACGGAGTTGGCATTCTGGTACCAGCTTGTCTACTATTACCCAAAGGCTCCGCTATTTCGGGGTATTCGTTCCCGGTTTACAAAGGGTACTCCTATTTGTATCTATAAATTGAAGTTTGGACTCAATATGCTGAGTATATCTCTCAAACCCAACATTTTCAGCTGCCCTAGTGACAAATCATGCGGGCATCTCTGGTGGCTATCTTCGCTTGGGCTGTAGGTGCGGCGGCGATCCTACGTGTTGTTCAAAATGAAACTTATATCACACTTGCAAATGATCGCCTTACCGCCGTGCTTCAAAAGAGTGTCGGTCAGATCGTTGATCTCTCTTTGGATGGCCAGGACTTATTGGGTGTTCAGTCTGGGTCCACGGGAATAGGACCATATCTTGACTGTTACTGTATCCCCTCAGGTTTTTACACTGCTGGTGCTACGTCCCCGAGTATGAAAGTAGTACAGGGGACAGATTCAACCGGCACAAAATATGGAGGCATGATTTTGACTGATACATACACACCTACGGGGCAGCAGTTTCAGCAGTACTGGTTCCTACGAGACGGTGAGACCGGCCTACACATGTTCAGCCGATTAGCCTACCATAACCAAACTACACCGTTCCTGCGCAATCTACAAGAGTTTAGAACCTTGTTTCGCCCGAACACCGATCTGTGGACACATTTGACGTCTAGTGACGTTCAAACTGCGCCGCTACCAAGTAAAGATGCAATCTCCAAAGAGGTCGTTGTCCAAGATGCGACTTGGACATTCAATAACACACCAACCGACTCATACTACACCCAGTTCTCTGATTATTTTACCAAATATACGTTCTCAAATCGTATGGTTCAACATGCTTCACTCTTATTTCTTTGTTTCTTTGTTTGCTCATTGTTTCTTAGAATGGAGAAACAACAGTGTTCATGGTCTTTATGCCGACGGTAGCACATCAACAGGGGCTACGTACGGAGCATGGTTGGTGATGAATACCAAGGTTTGTGATAATGTCCGGCCGAGAAAATGTTCGAGCTTTTGCTAACAAACCCTGCAAGGATACCTACTATGGCGTAAGCTACATCCGTGACGGTGGATTTTAGATACTGACATCTCTCAGGGTCCACTACATTCTGATCTGACCGTGGACGGGATTGTTTATAACTACATCGTATCAAACCACCATGGCGAGGGCACACCAAATATCACCAATGGATTCGATCGAACATTTGGTCCGCAATTTTATCTTTTCAATGGTGGCAAAGGCTCGGCCTCACTCCAGGAGCTGCGATCAGAGGCAGAGGAATTAGCGAATCCGCACTGGAATTCTGCATTCTATGACTCTATTGCCAAACACGTCGTTGGATATGCTCCCTCCAGCCAAAGAGGTAGTGTCAAGGGGACTGTGAAGCTCCCTAAAGGCGCTGTCCGCCCAATTGCTATTTTGACTGTTGACGGTCAATACTTCCAGGATAATAGTGTGGTTCCAAGTTCTTATCAATATTGGACAGATATCAATCAAGATGGAAGCTTCGGCATTGATCGCGTGAAAGAAGGCAAATACCGCCTCACTGTATACGCAGAAGGTATCTTTGGTGACTTTGTCCAAGACGGAATCATCATTCGGGCAGGAAAGCAGACTGCAGTACAGACAATGTGGAAGCAGGAGTCAGCGGGAACCGAGGTTTGGCGGATTGGAGTTCCTGACAAGTCTTCTGGGGAGTTCCGACGCGGCAATGCCAAAGACTCCACACATCCCCTCAGCCCTCCTGAATACCTCATCTATTGGGGTGCTTATGATTGGCGCGCCGACTTCCCTAATGGTGTGAACTATACGGTTGGTGTTAGTGACCCTGCTGTGGACTTGAATACGGTCCACTGGTCTGTCTTTGGTCCTACAGCAAAGGACTCCCACATTGAATACGACACCACAAATGACTGGAACATCCGCTTCACGCTCACAGAGAAGCAACTAAAGAAGCAAAAGACCGCCACTCTTACCTTGCAACTGGCGGGTGCGAAGACTGCAGCAGGCAATACAGATGTATGGAATTCCGTCGAGCCGTACAACAATCTGTCTCTGGAAAGTTACATCAATGACCAGAAAGATCCCCTCACCTTCGTCATTGGATTCAATCAATCAAGTAGCTGCATTGTGCGATCCGCAGTAAGCTGCTACCAGGTTGGGTCAAGAATGCAATTTCCCGCAAATTGGTTGAAGGTTGGAGACAATCTGCTGCGCTTGCATTTGCCTCACAACGCAACCGATACAGAGACCGCAATTCTCCCGGCAACTGTTTACGTTCAATACGATGCGATTAGACTTGAGCTGAAGTAGAATGGATATGGGATGGATTGTATACATCATTGGACGACGAATAAGTGAAACTAATTCTTTTGCTCTTATACTTTGCTCCAAGACGAATACAATCGCGTTCAGAAATTGAAATACAAATGCAGAATATGGATCACCCCAATCTCTCTTATGGATCCCATGGACCACCAGCGCGTGTTCCTGTCAAAAGCATGGGCTCCCCATCACCTTGGACCAGAAAAACATCCTCGTGCCTGACACCGAACTTATCTACCAAGTAGATTCCTGGCTCGGATGTGAATGTCATACCAGTTTTGAGTAAGCTTTCCAGGTTACCTTCATTCAAATAGGGGCTTTCATGTGCTGAATATGAACGGGTAAGCTTTCTCGAACGAGATGTTGAGTAGATCATTCAACCCACCTTTGATGCCAATTCCATGGCCGACCCGATGTGTGAAGGTCTTACCATATCCAGCGTCGGTGATCACCTCACGAGCGGCGATATCTACACTCGCGGCTGTCGCATTTTCCTTCATTTGGTGAATAGACTTGGTTTGCGCTTCGAATACGATATCCCAGACCTGCGAGGAGTCAATTCTACCGCGTTCTCAAATAGGTAATGGAACCCACTTCAAGCTTTTCTTTCATGCGCGCCGACAGCTGATCACCCTCTGAGGGCTTCTCGAGGAATGGAGGGAAGAAAGTGCGACAAATATCCGAAGAATAGCCATACAGATGAGCCCTTTTAGTTTTTAGCTCGGCCTAAAAGCATAGCACAGTTTGGACCAGACGAACCCAACATCAATGAGCACAAATGTCTCTGGCTCCAAAATTTTAGATCCGTTTGTTCCTCCGTGAGGATTGGACGCATTTTCATCTAATACCGTTAGCATTGAAATCGAATTCTCGGCGTAGATTAAAACGGACCAAACAGCACAATATCGAAGAAAGGCTCCATTCCGGCGGCCCGCAAGGCATTGTCCAGGGCAACCGCAATTTCGTTCTCAGTAAGCCCCGGGTATAAGCCTGTGCTTTATTAGGACCGTCATGAATGAAGGATAAAAATCAATTGTGCCCGTACATTTTCTGATTTGCCGAACGGCCTCAACAGTGCCAGTGTTAACTGCGCGCAAGATCTCGACTTCGGTATCGCTCTTGATCTGTCGCACTTCTTCGACTTGGCCTTTGAGGCCCACCACGTCGAACCCTGCGTTTCCCAGGCCTCGTTGGATGAAATCGCGCATTTCTTCGTCCACCATCAACTGAGGGACTCTTTGAAGACCGGAGAATACATTTGCTTGTTGTAGGGTGGCGTAGGGATTCCAATGTTCCTCCCAGGGAACAATTTGAATGGGTCCATCAAAGGGCATACCCAACAATCGAGCCCTTTCTGCTTCAAATGATGGACATAGGAAAGTTGTGTTGGCTGTGACAGTTCCTGTCAGTTCATCCCACTGGGGAGAAATGATCATTAAGACCGGGCGCTCTTCAGGCTAGATATGTCTTAGTATGGCAGTCTTTCTAAGTTTCTAGAATCTGTCTTACCTCCCACACTTCCCATTCTGGCTGACTCACATTGCCGTAGTATTTGAAGGTATAACCTGGTTCGACGACGAAAGCATCTACATCATCGGCCACCAAAGCATTCGCCAAGCGATCCCGACGCTCTTCGAAATCGGCGAGAGCAATGGGAGAAGCTTTGTCTAGAAAATGAAGACCCGTTCCAAGCAGATTATTTATCGCACATTTTTGAAGATCTTTGGCTGAGTTTAACGGATTTTGGGGTTGAAATAGAGGGTTGTCGCTAATGAGCGACCGTGGAATCTGACGTCCATAACAATATCCTGTCACTAACAAAGCCAATAACGCTGTAATACACGCCAAACCTGAAAAGCCACTGCGCTTAGGACGTTGGTCCCTGTTTGACAGGGATAGCTTAGACATAGCTATCTCAAGAATTTGAATAGGTCAAGAGTAAGTGAAAAGGGGGAAGAATGCCGAGCTAAATCCCCAACGTTATCCTACTTTTTGTAAGAGCATTGTTTAGTTCATCTCTTTTCTTCCGGTCTTTTTTTCACCTTAAATCTCGCGTGGGCCTTCCTTCGTTTACTCTTTGCCGCTTTTTAGTCTCTTTTTTAGCGTCGAGTCCTACTTCCTATCGGCATTAGCTTCTCCGGCGTTCTAAACCCCGCATCCAGATTGGTGCGATAGAGAGATATGGCCTGTCGGCTATGGAAGTTTCGAAGGTTGTGATGGTTTGGTTTGATTCGTTTTGGTATATAATAATGCTCGGTCCCAGATTGCTTGATTTTCCCGTACAGTCATACAATCATGAATCGGCAAACTATGATTGAAATGCGTGAAAACATGCAGGAATCAGCTTTAGATGAAGCAGACAAAGCCGATCCTCAATCCACTGTCTCTCCCATTCCAGAGATCCCCGATGCGACAATTAATACACCCGACCAGGGTTATTCTCGGCTATCCATGATTTCCATGGTGGTTTTCAGCGGTTTGGCTATTGGTTCAGATGGCTTCAATGCCTCGATTATCGGCAACTTAGAACTCATAATGGGAGTCATTTATACAGAATCACTCACTACTGCAGTTGCCGCTCGTCTCTCAAATGCCTTCATGGTTGGTATGATTGTTGGTATGTTATCTTTCGGCTATATCTCGGATAGGTTGGGTCGAAAGACAGGTGCAATTCTTACCACAATCCTTTTGGTCCTGGGAATTGCCCTGAGTGCTGGTGCCAGTGGAATCACTGAGAATGGCATGTTCTGGATGCTTATCATTGCCCGTGGGGTCGCGGGTGTCGGTGCAGGGGGGTTTGTTCCACACTCAAGTTGAATCCCATAGCAATCTGACTGACCCTGAAAAATAAATATAGCGAATATCCTGTCGCTGGTGCTGGTGCAGCCGAAGCCACAGATGAAGCTCCTGGCATGCGCAGACGAAGAGGATTTATCTTCGCCATGATCGGGGATTTATCTGCTTCTCTTGGGTTCGCCTTCGGTGCACTCGTTCCGTTGATTCTTTTGCTATGTTTCCATCAAAAGGTGCAACACTACGAGTCTGTGTGGCGCATATCATTAGCTATGGGTGCTATTCCTCCCTTGTCCATCTTTTGGTTTCGCTACCGAATGGTGATGAGCTCGGCGTATCGCAAAAGCTCAATGAAAAAGCAACGAATTCCATATTGGCTGGTGCTCAAAAAGTACTGGCGACCTTTGCTTGGAGTTTGCGGCTCATGGTTCATGTAAGCCACCGACTAAAATCCCTTTTGGTATATCTCTGATCTCCGATCTTTTCTTTCAGCTATAATTACATCTCCTATCCCTTCGGACTGTTCTCATCTACCATTGTTGGGCGTGTGAATCCTACCTCTTCCCTTGCACTCACCATGGCTTGGGGTACACTTATCAATTGCTTTTACATTCCAGGTGCATTCATTGGTGGCTTATTGTCAGATCGAATTGGACGCCGCCGCACAATGGCTTTGGGTTTCGGGCTGCAAGCCATTCTCGGATTTATTCTTGGCGGCGCCCTTGGTCCAATACAAACCAAGCTTCCCTTATTTATTGTACTTTATGGAGTCTTTTTGACTCTGGGTGAGGTTGGACCGGGAGCCACTATTGTTCTCACTGCCAGTGAAAGCTTCCCCACCGCAGTTCGTGGTCATGGAGTTGGTCTGGCCGCAGCCTGGAGTAAGGCGGGAGCAGCGATTGGAACGCAGGTATTTAAACCGATTCTGGCTAGCTGGGGTAATGACAGTCTTCATGGAACCCAAGCCGTCTTTTTGATCGGCTCTGGCTTCGCGGTTATTGGGGCATGTCTGGCCTGGTTCGTTCTTCAGGATAGTGATACTATCTTGGATCATGGAGACCAAGAGTGGAAGGATTACTTGACTGCTCATGGCTATAGCCATATCGAATGGGGAGTTGAAAAGCAGCCTATTACTATCGCAGATGCCAAAGTACTAGACTAAGGGGACAATTTTCGAACTTTGGAAGTGAATAGCCGAACACCTGGGCAATATATACTTTCTTTACTATCTATAGAAGTAGTATAAAACCGAGCACATTTTATTAAACAACAGAATTAGATACTTATAATTAAAAAGTCCCAGAGACTGGTGACAAGCGAATAACAAACGAATGACACAATTCACCTAGGTGAGATCGAACAGGAGTCCCGAAGGGCCGTGTAATAGTACGTGTGTACTTGTCACGAAATCTAACCCTTCCCGCAAACTCCACTGTATTGACAACGTTGGTAGCTGTTGGTTGCATTCTCGTTGCGAGAAAGGGTGGCCGTTGTTGAAAGGTAGTTTACAGCAGGCCGCCGAAGCTGACACAGGGGACGGCCACCCCAACGAGGTTGCCATTCTATGTAAGTTAGTCTCTGGTTACTCTGTTGTCTTGCTGGTGTACATACAGCCTGGGAGTTGGTATTCTGGCAGCAGGCAATTTGTTGCTGGCAATTCTTCTTGAGGAAGTCAGTCAGTCCAGCGGCGCCGAGGACTAGGCAAAGGTTAGTATGGATCTGGAATCTTCGGGGATTCATGTCATTTACCGGAAACTGGGATGTCAAGCTGAGTGCAGCCCTGGCCAAGACCAAGGCCCTCGCTGCCAACCGCACCGAGAACGTTGGACAGAACACCAACGTTGTTCTGGCTGACACCCTCGGTTTTGGTGACCTTATTGCAGCAAGACACCTCGGCCCCATTGCCGCACTTGGCAACAGCATCCTCAACCTTGTTGTCGGATGCTTGTCCAATGGGGCCACCGTGGCCAGGCAAGGCCATGGCAGTAGCAGCAAAGAGGACGGCGGGGATGAAGAACTTCATTTTGAAAGCTTGAGAAAGCGTCAAGGAATTAAAGGCGGAGTGATGAATTAGAAGGCTTTCAAGAAATTGTAAGGGATGATGGATAGAAAACGCAATATCTGGCGAAAACATCGTTCCTTTTATAAATTTGAGGGTCACTCTTGGTTGTTCCAGTGTTTGCTTCTTGGACCGAAAATTCTGATTTGCGTTGCTGCTATCCTAACAGGAAATCAAACTAGACGGCCTCGAGCAAATCCGTGTACTGTGATCGTACATTGTTGTTTCTTGTTAGGTACGACGTGGCTTGGCCGACAAGGATTTCCAAGTTTGGGGTATCCAATATCAGTGAAAGGCTTGAATTTGCATGAACGTGCTGATTGTCCCCTGGCGATCAAGAGAGCCAGCGGGCCGGGATTTCAATGGCTCCCCAGATGCCGATCATATGCAGGCTGCAGATATAGGTTTTACAAGGCGTCGCTACTCGGGTAGAGTGATTGGGATCTTCGGCAACTAATACGCGATTGGGTGTTTCTTAATTTCACCTACATGTGATTTCTTGATCCTCCAGACTGAGTGGATTATACTCATTCAATAGTGGATGTGATATATGTGTAATCTATCACATCTACAAAGAACATAGTTTCTTCACTCCTTCGACAAGATTGCATACAGCCTCACCCGTTTATTCCTTTGCTCGTCCAAAATATTTTTCTTGTTTCAAATACCTCATGATAGTCTCAGGCTTTTGTAAATTTGTCATTCGTCTAACTGGAATAAGTAGTTGCATGCGTGGCCCTGACTGCAGGATTCTCCTGCGTCATGTATGATATACCCCTGTCAACCACAAACAACTGACTCCCGATCACCGGATCACAAACTTGAAAGGAAATTCAACGATCATCAAAATGAAGTCTAGAACAGCCCGAGTGCTCCTGCGGGGGGCAAAATTGAATCGTGATGAGCCTGTCTGGTGCCGCCAAGAGGTACGAATGTACGAACTTGGCAAATTCCCCGATCTGGAAGATATGTGACAAGGATATTATATCTCATCTGGAACAAAACAGGCGATTACGAAACTTCGCCAAAGGATGCGTAGTGTTGGATACCCGTCACAAAATACGTATTCGTCTGGCTATGGCATTACCACATAAACGACTCCTCCACGAATTTGATGGAGCGGTGGCCTTGTCGCATGGCAAGATGGGTCGCAGCGCGTGCTTCATCCGCCATTCCGTGGGGGCCACACACAAGGATAGCAAGACTGCACCCAGCTGAAGATGCATCGCAGGCTCGACTCATGATCAGAGATTGAAGGTGGGGTCGACCTTCTTGTACTTCATATCCAAAATCGCTAAGATCTTCAGAACATGCAGTTGTATCACGAGTAGCGTAAAATGAGGCGCTAAAATCGTCTCGCTCAAGAGCAGGTTTTAATTCGCGACTGGAAACTTCGTGGATGAAAGCCGCTTGTCTAGTTGTCCAAACAAGGTGAATGTCTCGAACCTGTGTTTTCTCGTTTTTAGGATTCTCTTCCCAGTTTTGGTCAGAACGGCGAAGGTGATCCTGAATGTACGGAACGGCTGATGCTATCCCCGTGCCACCGACGATGATCAACACTGATTCGTATTTCCATAAAGGGAAGGTATCCCCGTAGGGGCCTTCAAGGAGCACAGTTGTTTCGCTAATCGGGTTTGGTGAAAGTAAACATTGCTCACGCAATGCGCGAGTCCAGCCATCATATGGTCGGACCCAAAAGATAAATCTCAGCTTCAAAGAATGTTCTTCTTCCGTAGAATCCCTTGTTAAGTGACGTTGGTAATCCGAGTGTGGGGATCCCCCCGCAAGAAGCGGTACATGGGAGAAATCAATTGACTCAATAAATCTTGTTGTGGATGTCGGTGTTAATGAAGAATCATCCCCTGTTTCGTAAGACCAAGCTCCGATAGTGAACGGATGGCTCTCCCAGCCACTGAGTCTGAATGGCTGGTACAAAAAGTAGTACTGTCCTGGCAAAGGATGTAGCAAAGGTGTTCCTGGCGTAACCTCCATCCGTATCACGTCGGCTGCTTTGTCGTAGGTCATTCTTGTCGTAGAAGCCTTGATCAATCTTTTATATGAAAGGCTCACATGTAAATTACAGTAGCAAAGCCGTACAATTCGAAGAAATCGGTCTGCTACCCATATAGCCACCGAGGGCCATAGGTACTGCCAATATTCATGTCCTTCAAAAATCACAGTGTGGCTGTAATTTGTTAGGAGAGATGGAAAGGTGAAAAGAGTAAAAGTAGGTCAGTCTCACTCACTAAAAGCACCCGACAAGAGTAAGAACTGAAAGCACGATATGGACTATCAAAAAAAGCTCATATGTCACAATGCGAATTCGATCAAATGAAGTGATCAACAGTAAGATCATAGATAGTGTGCCCTAATATTCTGATGTCAGACGTCGTCAGCTTGAAAAATAGCCCGCGAACATACCAAGATACCCCACAAAACATAGGCTTTCGATAAAACTTTCCAAAGTGTGTTGGCTATCGGTTAAACTCTAGGTCAGTGAGAAATCGTGGAAGATCGCATGTCCAAATCTTACCCTGGATATACATCACAATATAGAGTAGTGAGTGCACAATTGCCTGTAATGTAGCCACCCGGGCTACGTGTCGATGGAAAATATTGAACGACGCAAAACTCCATCCGGTGGCCCACAGGAAGATGTTATTCCGACCTCCGAAGAGCCAAATGAGTGGAAAGTTTGCAAATGCCATAATACCGGTACGATCTGCAGAGTATCGCAAAATCTGGCTGGGTATATCAGGCCAGCTGAGTTGTTCATCAGTCTCTTCCACTTCTCGCATCCACGACCTCGACACTTACTAAATATTCCCGGAGAAGGTTCGGTATCCCACAACGCTCAAGGTGAAACTCATGGCCCAAAATCCCATGACAATAAGTGCTTCAGCTCTAGTTGAGAACGTGAAGCCTAATATGTATCGGCGCGTTGCCAACGGTGCTGGGATCATGATATGAGTCTGGATCCAGTGAAGCCATGTCCCAATCAATGGGGGTTTTTTTGAAGTGTTCATGAGCGGATAAAAGTTTGATGCAATTGCACGCTCTGATCGTCGTGCTAGACGATGAAATGTCCAGTCCCATAATCGATGAATGATACCCAATGACAGTATGCTACCCCAATAGGCGTACCCGAGATAGCTATTTGGTCAGTGTTGAGTTGTGCGTCATCTCGATATAACAAGGCTTACCCGAATGCATGGTGCAACCAGGTCACGAATTGCCAAGAATCCTAAATTGTCTGTCAGTCTTCATCAGATCGCTTCCCAGGGGTCCAAGGGTCTCACAATTGTGTTAAACATCAGATTGTAGTAGGATGGTGAGAGCAGAACCGGGAAATCTATCGGATCAGCTCGGGCCAGCTCTTGATATTCAATCACCCTCATGTTGCGAATGGCTTCCTCCGTCAAATTTTCCGCCAGTGTGTCTCGGGACAAAAGCGCCTCATGGCCGAATTCTTGGCAATCATCGGCCAGCTGGGCGATGCCTATTGTACGCTCACGTTCATTGCAATATATCTCCGATGCTGCATATATGGATGTAACTTTTAGTATGTTCCGACATCGAGAATGCCACATGGGTTTGGGGGGAAGGCCGGCAAAGGATATGTAGTTGTATGCCGAGTATACGGCTGTCACACACCGCTCGTCTTTCAAGATACCAGCCCAAACACCATGGGCGCATGCGATGAGCAGCCAACCGAGTAACATGGTGAAACCACCAGATCTCAGACAAGTTTGGGAAGAAGAAACAGTTGAGAAAAAGGCGGAGCACCGGTAGTAAGCCGATAATCGCAATCACTGTGGTGGGCCCATGGGGATCGGGAAGTCTCTGAACCCTTGGACCGAAATTGTTAGGAAATGACCCCAAGTGGAAGGATTACCTGAAGGAGATTTTTTACAAGAAATGATTCGGGGTTTTTGGAATAAGAATACAAAAAGAAAGGGAGAAAAGAGAAAAAAGCAGGGCATATGCAAAAAGCCTCGTGATTTTCCTATCTTATCTGATCGGATTGATTAGATAATGTTGCCGCGTGAGAATATCATCGGCTTAGCGCGTCAGCTATATACGTACAGAGTAAATATAGTGTGAACCTCCTTGTGTTTGTCTCTTTCGTATTGTATACTTTTTCTACGCCTCTTACCTAGGTATGGTTGATTGATCGTGTATGAGCCACAATTTCTCTTACCTAGGCAGGTTCTAGGGTAGATTTTTATAATTTTGAAACGGATAATCATGGATGCAGGTAAATTGCCACCAAATATATACCTCTGACAAGAATCCCTGAAAAAGACCATTGAGACTACCCAGGTAGGTATTTGGAAATCGAACTTCTCCCTGGTATTTCTATCATATAGGTAGAAGAGCCTTGAAAAGTAGGTTATAGGCCTAAAAACTTGAACAAACTAAAATCATGCAATTGATAAAAAATGTTGTCATGATTGACGCCTGGGCCACCAAGACCTGTTTGCCGATGGACTGATCAAATATTTCGAAGCCTCCTTTTCCGAAATTTTCCCTGAGGTGAATCTCCTAGGTACCTAGTTCTACATTAGATAGTGAGACTCAGACTTCATGAAGTCCAGTCTAGGAAAGCAGCAAGCTACTCAAGTACTGCCAAAATTTCTCACGATCCAAATATTACCCCACGGGCGGCGCAACCCGACTCGGACCCTTTTCGATTCCATCCCACACTAACTCGGATAATTGAATCTGCAGGGTGCTAATCGTCTTTCGCTCGGGTCATTCCCCTCCGGTCCCTGTTATCTGTACACGCGTTATAACTAGAGACCTGCCTTGTCAACCCCTTGTTACCCGTCTGTTCCCATCAACATGGAAGCTATTGATGTCGATCCTCCACCGGAGATGACGTCTATCGCGGAGTCTCCGGAGCGTAGGACACGATATTCAGCCTAAATCTTATGCGACAGTTTGTTAAAATAAGCACGGACGGACAAAGTGCAGAGCGAGGATACGAAGAATCGACCAGCCCATTGAATGATTATTGCTGAGAATAAAGTAATTTCTTCTTCCTCTTTCCCTCTGTTTACCAATAGTTTGGGAAGAATATGCGGCTTTCATTGTTTGCCCTCGGTACCATTTGGGCATCTAGCTCAGTGGCATCTCCAGTACAGTCATCCCCTTATAATAAATCTACTTCAAAAGGGTTTCGTATGCAACACGGGTTTGAAACAGTTCTGGTACAGCCTTACGGATACGATGGCTTTCGAGTTCGAGCATGGCCATTTCGGGCGCCAACGGGTCAAGAGATCGGGTTTGTCTATGACCCACCACTTGAAGGACCCGAGGATGGAGAAGCACACGGAATGACCTTTGATACAGCCTTTAACGGCAACCAATCAGAAAAATTGCGTAATGGCAACATGGTCGTTCGCACCTCTGGATGGGGAGGTAACCCTGGAGGTTACCGTCTCGCTTTTTATCGAGTCGAGACCAATGGCTCGGAGACCCTCCTCACCAATGAGTATGCACCACTCAAGTCAATCAACCCTCGGTACTATTCTTGGACCGGACCTGGAAGCGAGTTCGCTGCGGAATTTTCCTTCAGCACCACACCAGAGGAACAGATCTATGGCACAGGCACCCAACAGGATCACCTCGTCAACAAGAAAGGGCTTACAATTGACCTCATCAACTTCAACACACATATTCCGACCCCGGTCTTCATGAGCAACAAAGGGTACGGCTTTGTCTGGAACATGGCCTCAACCGGTCGTATGGAGTTCGGCCCACTGCGCAACAGATTTACCGCCGATGCAGCATCGGTGGTTGACTATGTGATAGTAGCATCAGACCCCAGTGACTACGACACACTTCAACAACGGCTCTCTGCACTGACAGGTCGGGCTCCCACCCCGCCTGATTGGTCACTTGGTTATCTTCAATCCAAACTTCGATATGAAAACCAAAGTGAAGTTGTTCAGTTGGCACAGCAGTTCCACGATCATCAGATCCCAGTGTCCATGATTGTCATCGACTACCAATCTTGGGCTCACCAGGGAGACTGGGGACTCGACCCAAATTTGTGGCCCGACGTGGCAGAGATGGCCCGCCAGGTGAAAGACCTGACCAACGCCGAGATGATGGCATCCCTTTGGCCCAGCGTGGCCGACAACAGCGTCAACTATTTGGAGATGATGGCCCAAGGATTTCTGTCAGCTACTAGATCGGGGCCTGGTACGACCGATTCATGGAATGGGTCATACATCCGCAACTATGATTCCACGAACCCCGGGGCGCGCCGTTTCCTGTGGAACACACTCAAACAGAACTATTTTGATAAAGGAATCAAGAATTTCTGGATCGATCAGGCAGACGGTGGTTCTCTCGGTGAAGCATATGAAAACAACGGGCAGAGTGACTATATCCAGTCTCTTCCCTTCCCCATGCCCGATGTATTGTATGCAGCGGGTTCCCAAAGCAGTGTGGGCAAACTGTATCCATGGGCCCACCAACAGGCCATCGAAGAAGGATTCCGCAATGCAACCACATCAGAAATTGGTTCCCCCTGTGATTACCTGTCACTGAGTCGTTCAGGGTACATTGGTTCTCAGCGATTCTGTAGCATGATCTGGTCTGGCGACACCACAGCAGTGTGGGAGACACTTAGCGCACAGGTAGCTAGTGGATTGTCCGCTGCTGCGACTGGCTGGGGTTGGTGGACTCTGGACGCGGGCGGCTTCCAAGCAGATCCAACCGTTTCGTGGAGTGCTAACATCGACTCCCCCGAATATCGTGAGTTGTATGTCCGATGGTTCCAGTGGACAACGTTCCTGCCATTCATGCGCACCCATGGGTCTCGAGCGTGTGACTTCCAGGATACATACACGTGCGCCAATGAGCCATGGTCCTATGGATCGGAGAATACTCCAATTCTTGTGTCATATATCCAGCTTCGATATCAGCTGTCTGCCTATCTTCGAGCGGTCTTTGCTCAACTTCAAAAGAGTGGTCGAATGATCATGCGTCCCTTGTACATGGATTTTGAAAAGTCGGACCCCCATGTGGCTGCATGGACACAGAAAAATACCAACATCACCACCCAGCAATATATGTTTGGTCCTTGTTTGCTCGTGAGCCCTGTTACAACCCCGAATGTGACGGAGTGGTCTGTGTATCTGCCACAGACAACAGATGTTAATTCGAAGCCATGGACGTATTGGTGGTCGAATGAAACATACTCCGGAGGGCAGACAGTGACTGTACCAGCACCAAAGGAGCACATTCCATTGTTTCATCTAGGTACTCGGGCGGACATTCTGGATGGACGCGTTTTCGCGTAAAGCTGAGTCAGAAATTCAGTGAGGCGGGCAGGTCGACCGTTCCACGGAGATGAGGCGAGACAAAACAGAATATAATGAGATAGTTATCGAATAGAAAGACAATACTCAATGCCTTGGGTTCAACGTTCAACGTTGCCATTAATGGTACGGAGTAGAGACATCTTGCAATGAGGCACCGACCGCAGAGTTCTGGCAGAATATCAGGCGGTCGAGCATGATGTCACGGGTATTTTCTCGTCCTTCACCACTTACGTTGTACACCACTTTGAGACCGCTATCATGGGAGGCGGAGAACATATTCCAATGAATCACAGAAAGGTTTCATATGATCCAGGACAAAATGCATACCTCCATGCTGTGGTCGATTTAGGCAGGTAGGTTCAATGCCTCGCCCCTCCATTCAAAGATATACTGACTCTGAAATCCATAGCAATGGTATCCGTTGTTCGATTTCCGATCTCTCGCCCCCGAGTACCCGAGTTCTTCCCACTGTCCACTTTCATCGGGTAAACATCTCTCTGTACGAGGCTCAAGTGGACCCCAAAACGGGCAATCGAATCCCCATTCCACAGCATGTCATCGATCGAGTTGTTAGCGCCATAGTTCGCTTCCAGATAGTTTGCGTGGAAATCGGAGTACCGAACGACAATATACGGATTATTGCCACCGAAGCAACTCGAACGGCTCTCAATGCCTCTGCATTCATCGAAGCGATTCGCCAGAAGACCGGTATCTCAGTGGAAGCACTACGAAAGGAGGAGGAGGGTGTGATTGGCGCATGGGGAATCGCCAGCAGTTTTTCAGACGTGGAGGGACTCGCTCTCGACTTGGGAGGTGGGAGCATGCAAATGACATGGATCACTTCGCATGCCGGCAACGTACACATGAGCCAACAAGGATCGGTCAGCTTTCCTTATGGAGCAGCTGCCTTGACACAGAAACTGGCCGATCTGAAACGGGACAAAAGTAAAGAGGAGGCCCACAAAGCTCGGGAGAAATTTCGCAAAGAGATGGCGGACAACTTTCGCGACGCCTTTAAGAGAATCGATGTTCCCGAACATTTGGTGAAAAAAGCCCAGGAACAAGGAGGCTTTCCTCTATATCTCTCAGGAGGAGGATTTCGGGGTTGGGGATACCTCTTGTTGTATCTCCACCAGACAAAGGGGCGCAGCTATCCCATCTCGATCATTAACGGATATACTGCGCCTAAGAAGGACTTCGAGGACACTGAAGCTCTCAAAGAGGTAGCTCGGACGGCACACGAGATTTTCCGAGTCTCGGATAGGCGGCGCAAACAAGTGCCATCGGTGGCATTTTTAGTGAACACATTAGCGGAATCATTACCACATGGAATCAAAGAGGCCCACTTCTGCCAGGGTGGAGTAAGAGAAGGTGTGCTGTTTCGAGAGATGCTCCCGGTCGTCCGCCAGCAGGATCCTCTGGAGGTCGCTACAGCCCGTTATGCCCCTTCTTCGGCGCAGGCCCTGGCTGCATTGATGTTGGCTGCCCTCCCTCGGCCGTCCGCCAAACGATCGTTCCCATCTTCCATCAGTATACATCTAGTCCAGGCCTTTGCTAACATTCTCTACTACCACGCCACCATGTCCAAAGAGCTGTCTTCTAGTGCTGCACTTTTCAGCACTAGCACCGGGGTCTTGGCCTCTACTCATGGAATCCCACATGCTCATCGTGCACTGCTGGCACTGATGCTCCAGGAGCGTTATGGTGGAGAATTACCACCCCGAGACAGGGATTTTAAGACCCACCTCCAACGGATCTTGACACCAGAGGAGGTCTGGTGGACACGCTATCTGGGAAAGCTCGGCCTAGTGCTTAGTCAACTCTACCCAACCGGATCTATCGACACATCTAAGCCTCGCATTGTTCCTGCGGCACAATGGCAGGATGGGCTCGGGAAAAAGGGCGAAAAGGAAGGCTTGAATCTGACAATATCCATCCAAAAGGTGGCTTACGACCCGACTCACTTGAAGCAGGAGCTTGAGCACGACGTCCAAAGGATCCAAAAGGTTGGGAAACGAAAGAACTGGATTGGTGGGCGCGATGGATGGGGCATCAAGGTCCGTGTCTCAGTGGTGGAGGAGAATTTATTGACCCCGGTGAGTGGATAAGCTCAACATGCGGAGTTGTTTTGCATTTTTGATGTAGATCTTCATTTGGATCAATACTTTTCTTCTCGTGAGCCCATTTATATTAGCATGGAGATAGTTAACATTCATGTATATATATATGAAGACATGAGGAATATGCCTAAGAGCTCCTAGGAAAGCTCAAATTCCCTACACGCGTAGTTCCATGGATGGTCATCTTACTCGGGAAAAATCGCAAGGGTTTGGATCCACTCTTCTCTCTGCGTAAATTAAATGCCGAATCGAGTCATAAGTAGCCGAGATATGGACAAGTCCTTAGAAAGCTTCTTGTCTCCCTTTCAGTGTCTCCAATTCAGGCACCTGGGCAGGGTGATGTGAGATTGATGACATAGTGAGGTGTGACAAATGCAAGCAATTCTTTTCAAGGTGATATCTTTAGTTGATAACGTAACATTCCAATATACGCAGATAATACGTAGATAACCTTGGAATGATCTAGGCAGACACCAAAAAAAAGCAGAATAAAGATTGAAATGCCGAGAAAAAAAAACGGAAGCTTGTTCTGGTCCCACTTTCGCCTTGTAGGGCTGAAGGTCCGTGGATTTATTCCGATGTTGCATCTGAATCTCGCCTTGAGTTTGTTTTTCTCTTTTCTTTGTTTCTCTGTTCTAAATCTTATCTGATGGTATTTATCTGATCATCTAAATTCTACATTTCAGCTTTCCCTAATTCCTCCCACCATGGCTTCCACCATGGATACTATTGATCCTAAGGAAAAAGATATGAATGTCCAGGAGAAACATATTCACGAGAAGAAGCATCACTATGAGCCCAATTCTGATTCTGGTAAGTCCTTGATTCTTTTCCCATTGTGCCTTTCCAATGTGTCTTTTATTCTTTTTCTTATCCTTTCTGTTTGCTGATTCCAATTTTACTTAGATGCGGACTCTCAAATCGATATCTTGCGAGCTGCCGGTATAGGGATCGCTGAAGATGATCCCACTGAACCAATACTCACTCTCCGTATGTGGGTGCTTGGAATTCTCTTCTGTATTGTCATCTGCGGGTTGAACACTTTGTACACACTCCGTACACCATCCTTGACAATCACGGGCTCTGTGGTCCTCTTGTTGGCCTACCCCCTAGGAAGACTATGGGAGAAGATTGTCCCAGACTGGACTGTCCCATTGGGAGATTTGTCTTTCGAGCTTAACCCGGGACCATTCAATACAAAAGTAGGAACTCACTCGATGGTCGCATTGATCAAACTAACAAAACAACACAATAGGAGCACACTTTGATCTACGTCATGTCCAATCTCAGCATCTATGTCCGTCTCGGTGCCGATGTTCTCACAGAGCAGCAAATGTTCTACGGTTACAAAGCAGGATGGGGATTCCAAATTCTTATCACTTTTTCCACATTCCTCATTGGGTTTTGCCTAGCTGGGCTATTCCGGGCAATTGTCGTTGTACCCAAGGAGTTAATTTGGCCAGGAGTTTTGAGCGTCACTGCCTTGACCACCACCCTCCACCATGTCAGTCAAGAACAGGTGCAATCACGGTAAGAGTTGATGATATCCTTGTTTGTGCGAAACAGGAATAATGAATGACAGTTACAAAACTTGGAAAATGTCCCGCTATGCCTTCTTTACCATGGCAGGCTGCATCTCTTTCTGCTGGTATTGGTTCCCGGACTTCATCTTCCCTGCGCTTAGTTACTTTAGCTTCCCTTGTTGGATCAATCCAAAGAACAAGGTAGTGAATCAAATCTTCGGGATGAGTTCTGGCATGGGTCTGTTGCCTATTACCTTTGATTGTGAATAGATTGGTCCCAACACCTAATGGCTGCGCTGACAGTTTCGAAGGGAGCCAGGTTTCTTACGTCGGATCTCCTCTACTCATTCCCTCGTGGGCCATTCTCAACGTCACTGTTTCTCTGGTTTTCTGGATCTGGATTGTGGCTGTTGCTTGTTACTACACAAATGTTTGGAATACAGGATACCTCCCCTTTCAAAGTTCAAAAGGTATCCATTCAACCCTTCGCATATGGCATTGCACAATAATCTGATGTGAGTGCGCAGTATTCGACAATACCGGAGATATTTACAAGGTCAAGACAATTGTCAATGCGGCCTCCGGTTATAAGCTTGATGTCAAAAAGTATCTCGCCTACTCACCGGTAATTAAACATCCGTTCCTTATCATGAAACGAGCAGCACGCTGACCATACGAAAATCCAGGTCTATATGCCTGTGACCTACGCGTTGAACATGTTTGGACTATCGTTCGCAACGCTGAGTGCACTTCTTGTTTGGGTAATTCTTGAAAAGCGGCACGTTATGGCCGATGCATTCAGACGTGTGCCTAAGCTGGTAGTTGAATCCCTTCCACGCCGCTCCAGGGCGCACAGCGAAGATGACAGAGGAGACCCTGATGTTCCTCTTTGGTGGTATTTGGTTTGTTGTGTTCTGGCATTGTTCATGGCGATGTTCGCAGTTGAGTGGTGGGATGTCGATCTTAGGTGGTACGGTGTTCTGCTGGCATGTGTTGTTGCACTCGTATTCTATCCTCCGGTGAGTCAACTCTTGTGCTCAATTTCTTTGTTTAAAGTTTCGCTAATGGACTGCAGCTTGCTCTGGTCTATGCGACTGCCAACCTCAAGATCAATATTGATATTTTCTGCCGCATTGTTGCTGGTTTTGTATTTGAGGGCAAGGTTCTGGCTAATATTTGGTTCTTTGATATCGGATACATCACCACTATCAAAGGTCTTTACTTTGCCCAGGACATGAAACTGGCCTACTATTGTCACGTAAGTTCCCGTATGACCTTTTCAATTTCGGTGACGCCGTGCTGATACTTCCCAGATTCCTCAACGGAAATTATTCTTGGTCCAATTTGTTGGAATGATTGTTGGCACACTCTCATCACTCGGAGTCCTCAACTGGGCTCTCAACCATATCAGCGGTATATGCACCAGTGCCGCCGTCAATGGTTTCACCTGCCCCTACTCCAGCACACACTTTAACACTTCTTTGATTTGGGGTGCTGTGGGACCTCGTCGCTATTTCTCAAATCAGATTGGCTACTCCGCTCTACTGTATTTTTTCATCATTGGCGCCGTCCTGCCTATTCCCGTCCACTTGTTAAGTCGCCGCTATCCTAACTCGCTGTGGAAGAAGATTCATATCCCTCTATTTATCGGTGGTTTGAACTACCTGCCCCCTGCGACCGGAATGAATTACGGTAGCTGGGCAGTAGTTGGGTTGACCTTTGGTTGGCTTATCCGCAAGCGACTGCATGGCTGGTGGAGTAAGTACAACTTTGTGCTGAGCTCCGCGATGGACTCTTCCGTGGGAATTGCGGGTGTGGTAATCTTCTTGACGATCTATTTCACTGGAGCTAGCGAACATTTCAGCTGGTGGGGAACAGAAGTGTACAAAGTAATTGTGATTTTTCTCAAATTTGAGCCACTCATGCTAACTGGTAATAGAACACCTGTGACTGGAAAGGCTGCCCGAATCTATCTCTCCCGAAGGGTGGGAAGTTTGGCGAGTAAAGAGAGCCTATTACCCATCGACACAGGTCTATCCTTCGGTTGCGAGTTCTTGATCTCACAGAAAGCGGAATATGGGAATAATGTGCTGGCCTGTCAACACTCTGGTCATAGTGGGGATTTTATTGTGCGGTTGGTAATCCATCAAAGATCCGACCACTCTTTAGCGCCAGACGTAGAGCCCAGTTCCAGAAGGATATACTAATAATAAGATTCAAACAAACATTTCTGCACTTCCAGTAGACTGTGAAATTCTCCGTACAGTCAACACATCATTGTAACGACATACCTGGGCCTACTGCAGAGCCACTAGCGAAACACTAATTCAACTTTAATCCCGATGATATAATGTTACTATCAATATATGCAGAGACATAAAGAAATGAGGCATCCAACATGAAAGAACTCTAGAACATTTGATTTAATTCTGTGGGAGCCTAATGTAGGGTGCTTCGTTCAAAGGTCAACCAATATGAAAAATCGAGTGCTCCAGTAAAGGAATTGGAATATGGATATCGGAATATAGGAAAGAGCAGTATTACTTATTATATTGCGTATGTATGTACGTCTGCCGTAGATGGCCTCGACCTGGTCCATTGTTAGATCTGACACATTTCACATTATGCACATTGTACACGAATTTTTATGTTACGGTATTGGTATTTAACCTTACAGGATGTATCTTTGGGTGGGGATAATACGATGTGGCCGATCCGATGTCGGGAATGATTGATTAGATTACTAGCCCGATTGATTAGATTTTCTAACTATGGCCTCAAGAAACTACAGTATTGTATCACCTAGGCTGTTGATTGTTTCTTAATTTTGAAATAGTTTGATAGAATACAACATTTTATTATGGGAACGACACTGTAGTCCCTGGCAGAGAGACGATCTTTTTCAGATGATCCGGGCAGCCAGCCCGTGGCCCACCAAAAGTCCCTGGTCTTTCTCAGTTCGCCAGCGAGAGCAAGATTTCGTTTCGGAATATCGGGATGTGCCAAGCTCTAGTGTTGCCAATCACTGTTATCAACTCGGAAGCGTGTCCCGGGCTGCCAAAGACGAAAAAATTCCCTTTCTCGTCCGGGACTCCACCCTACAAACACCCTCCCACCTGATTGATAACCCTGACAATATTTCTGCAGATGATTATCTGATCTTGAGTGGAGTCCAGTGCCACGAGGTCTTTTTCTTCATCAACATCTTTCTGGTGAGTCAAATTATGAAATGTGTTCCGAGAGCCAATTCCGGATTATATTCCTGTGAAGGGAAAGTTTACTGGATGATCCCCGATGATCGAGAGGAGACCGAAGGGAATCTTTACAATATTATTACCATGAGCTCAGATTTTGATATGTGCATGGGTTCAGCATTAAGTAACCGGACGAAGGTGGCTCCGTCATCAGTCCACTTCGGCGAAGAAGGAATTTTCACACAAGCCTTGACAACGTGGAAAATGTCTCGGAGCTGGGATATTTTCGGTGGGACCAGCGGTATTGTATACGTTATAATTATAGTTTATATGTACTGCAAGTATGCAGGGACGTCATGCATGTGAATAAGGCTTAGGGCGACGGTAAAAAACGAAAAGAACAATGTCCAATTGCTTTGGAAAAGAAAAAGAAAAAGGCTCAAAAATTACCTCGGAGCTTGCGTATTCATGCCAAGGTTCGCTTCAAAGCATAAGCGGAGTCTGAATTCACGCCAAGGATTGATTGGAGCCAATCGAAATCAAGCATAAAAGCCAAAGCCTTGAAATTACCAATACGGACTTCCGATGTGGAGAACCGGCATATCTGATTGAAGTTGTAATAAAAAAATGGATTCAAGTATCGTGCGAAATTTGTCGCGGTATTGTCGGCTACATCTATAAACCCGCTCTTCTTTTTTTTCCCTCTTCTCTTTCAATTATCTCGTTAACCATGGCGACTCCAAGAAGTGTGCAGCGATTGCAACAAACGCTTTCGCACGTTCAGCCTCCTAGTAGTCCACAGCTGTCTATTGTCGCGGGTCCGACAGAGCCACAGCTGCTGGATATCACTTTGGGCGAACTTTTGACACTCCAAGCACTGCAATATGGAGGAATTGAGTGTTTAGTCTTCCCTTGGACAGGTGCGCGATGGACATATGGTCAACTCAAAGATGAGACCGATCGTCTAGCCCTAGGAATGCTGGCCTCGGGTATTCTGAAAGGCGATCGTGTCGGCATCATGGCGGGCAACTGTGAGCAATACATCTCCGTTTTCTTTGCGGCTGCCCGGGTCGGAGCTATCCTGGTTGTTTTGAACAACACGTACACCCCCTCGGAGCTGTATTACGCTCTGAATCATAGTGGTGAGTTGATATCCACTTTCTGTATTACTGTCTCCATATTAATCTCTGGATTTTTCCTATCTCCTTTTAGAATGCCGAATGCTTTTCATGACCCCGCGCATTGGACGCCATAATCTCGAAGAAGTCTTATCCGAACTTGGCCCTAATCCCAAAAAGGCTGCCACTTCGGAATCGTTGGAGGAAATTATTATTCTTCGCGGAAGCTACAATAACTTCAGCAATTACCAAGATGTCGTGCACCGCGGGTTGTCGCAGGATGCGCATTTGCTCCAGGACCGCGAATCTGAATTGCGATCTGATGATGTGTGTAATCTGCAATTTACCAGTGGCTCAACCGGAAACCCTAAGGCTGCAATGTTGACGCACCAGTAAGTGGATCTTGCCGATCAATTGTTTTCTTTTTTTTTTTTTTTGTGGCTAATCTTTCCGCAGCAACTTGGTAAATAACTCTCGATTCATCGGCGATCGTATGAACCTTACATCTTTCGATATTTTGTGCTGTCCGCCACCCCTGTTCCACTGCTTTGGGCTGGTCCTGGGCATGCTGGCGGTGGTCACTCACGGCGCCAAGATTGTTTTCCCCGGCGAAATATTCGACCCCAAGGCTGTTCTGCATGCAATCTCCGATGAAAAATGCACCGCTCTGCACGGTGTTCCCACCATGTTTGAGGCAATTCTTAGTGTCCCCAAGCCTGCTAACTTTGACACCTCAAATTTGCGCACTGGAATTATTGCGGGAGCCCCAGTTCCGCGTCCACTTATGAAGCGGCTCTTCGCAGAACTGAACATGACAGAATACACTAGTAGCTACGGTACTACTCCTTTCAATTGATGAGCTCAATCAATACTGACTCAATTATAGGTCTAACTGAAGCCTCGCCGACGTGCTTCAATGCTTTCACCACCGACAGCATCCACACCCGACTTACGACCGTCGGGAAAGTCATGCCGCACGCCCGTGCGAAAATTATCGACGCCGATGGAAACATTGTTCCCGTAGGCCAGCGTGGTGAGCTTTGTATGGCTGGCTATCAACTCACAAAGGGGTACTGGCACAACCCAGAAAAAACTGCCGAAACATTCATAACCGATGCTGAGGGTGTCAAATGGCTCAAGACTGGCGACGAAGCCTCTTTTAACGCAGAAGGGTACTGCACCATTACTGGTCGGTTCAAGGATATCATTATTCGCGGTAAGTTTACGAAAATTTAACTCCACTTTCGATCGACGACATTTCTAATCCAGGATCTAATAGGCGGCGAGAATATCTACCCGCTTGAGATCGAAGAAAGATTGTCCGCGCATCCCTCGATTGAGTTGGCATCCGTAATTGGTATCCCGGATACCAAATACGGCGAGGTAGTTGGAGCATTCATCGCGGTCGCTTCGGGCGCCACACGTCCGACTGACGATGAGCTTCGGACGTGGACCCGTGAGACTCTTGGTCGACACAAAGCCCCGCAGCATGTGTTCGTATTTGGCGAAGAAGGGGCTTCCAGCACGGTTCCTGTGACGGGGAGCGGCAAAGTCCGAAAGGTGGAGCTGCGCGATATGGCAACTGCAGTGTTAGCTCAACGCCAGTAACTAAAAGAGAGATTGTACATATAGAGTAGAGACTCTAGATTTTTTTGTTTGCAATAATACCCCAATTCTCAGAACGTGAAGAAGACTTGAAATACCGGCTGGAACATTTTAATTAGAGTGTATCTTATCAGATTCGTTACAGTACTGACGAAAAGTGGGCTCTTACTAAATTGCGCCATTTTCTTAACGAATACATTGCGTCGGCTCCGACCGCGGTACTCCACTTCCCAGAATCAGATTAGATGCTATCTTGTCTGATCGATGATCATTACCGGATTAGATTATGTGGCTGTACTAAACCTCGGAACTTATATTACCGCATTACACGGATTACCGGGGCTCTATGGTTCATCAGTCTTCCAAGGTTCCGGTCATTCTCAGAGATTATCTCCCAAAGTCTACATAGATCATATTGGGATCTTATAAGATTGGATATTTCGTTTCCCAGGTATTGAAAATCTTGGGGGTTAATTCTAACGCGAAAATGCTTTTACCTAGGTAAATGTGCAGTTTCAGCCACATATGTATTTTCTTCGTACCACCCCTAGTTCATACCACCCACGGTCTTAGCGCCTTAGCACACAAGCCCCATGACACTATAGTTGCCCAACAGTCTGGGTCTTAGGCTTCCAGTTGCTTGCTTCTGTTGGAGGTTGATGAGTCTCCGCCTGTCCCTGCATAAATGCCTACCTAGGTGATTGCACACCATTATATCATACAACCCCCATGGAGAAATCTCCAGGAAAATGTATCGGTTTTGAAGAGAAAAACCTATCGGCCAGTCTCGAAACCACAAGAAAGCCACAGTGCACCGTCGAATCAATTCCAGTTCCCCGAGCTTTATGTGTCTTGAGAAGTTTAAACAACATAATCTCACGCCGAATCCCAGGTGTAAACGTTACATACCTTGATAAACCTGTCTCACGGGTGCCATCGGATCTGATAAAGCCAAGAAAAAGAAGCCGAGAGAAGGAAAATAGGATATCCGATGTCGCTGTCAATCTGATAAGATCCGGACCCGCCTAATCCGATGATAATATGACGCTATGCTTTTGCTAATTTTTCTTCACTGACATCCTTGGCTCTTGTTTGTCTTTTTTTTCATTATCCTCCGATTCTGCTTCTGTTTCATTTTCGTTCATTTTATCCGCTTCTCCAGCTCCATCCCCTCTATACTCGCCATGCCTTCCAACGACTTCGTTCGAACTGTATCTCGAAGCTTCCGAGTCCTTGTGATTGGTGGCTCGTACGGAGGTCTAGCTGCTGCATTGGCTCTCATTGATCTTTCACATGCTCGCGTTCCGCGATTCACCTACGACCCTGAAGCTAAACCCCCCACATATCGCATTCCAATTCAGATCACGGTAGTTGATAAGCGGGATGGTTACTGTAGGTTCCCCCAAAGATCGGCATTCCTTCTACGCCGCTCACATAGTTAGTCCATTTAATCGGATCCCCAAAGGCTTTAGCCTGTGAGAAATTTGCTTCCAAGGCTTGGACTCGGTTCCAGGACATTCCTGGCCTGAAAAGTCCGGATCTCAGCTTCATCCAAGGAAGCGTCAGCTCGGTCGATTTCAAAGCGAAAGTTGCTCACATCGTCGACTCGGAAACAAAGTCCAGCCGCACAGAGTCTTATGACTACCTAATAGCTGGTTCGGGATTGCGACGAACCTTCCCCACAGTCCCCCAGTCCTTGCGGCGGGAAGAATTCCTCAAAGAAGCCAGGGAGCACATGTCAGATGTGAAGAACGCCCGCGACGGTGTTGTAGTTGTTGGCGGAGGTATGTTAGCCTTTCTCAGTATTCGAAATGGCGCCATCTTAACGTTCATTGCTTTTTCAACAGGTGCCGTCGGTGTGGAGATGGCTGCCGAATTGAAGATTCTCAATCCTCAACAAAAGGTGACTCTAATTCACTCCCGAAAGCGTCTGCTTTCGTCGGAGCCATTACCCGATGATTTCGCCGACCGCGTTGGCTCCATCTTGCGAGAGACAGGCGTGGAAGTTGTCCTTGGGCAACGCGTTATTGAGACGAGGGCGGTAAATACCGAAAATGAGACACGAGTCTGGAACTTGACTCTCAGTGATGGGCGACAAATCACAACCGGACATGTTCTGAATGCCGTATCGCAAACTATTCCAACTTCGACATATTTATCTCAGGAAGCTTTGAACAAGGAAGGATACATCAAGATTCACCCCTCGTGAGACAGACTTCTTCGGTAATAGATAGAATATCGCTAACGTATTCACAGACTGCAATTCTCCGGTGACATTCCTAATGCAGAACACCACTGGGCTGTAGGCGATCTCACTGCTTGGGAGGGTATCAAACGCTGCGGTGGTGCGATGCATATGGGCCACTACGCCGCGATGAATATCCATGAGCACATGCTGGCAGAGTGCACCGGTCAGAAGCCAAACTATCAGAATCTATCACCGTTCCCATCAGTGATGGGTTTGGCTCTGGGCAAGAAGGCAGTTAGTTACACGCCTGACGAGGGCACTCGTGAGGGCGAGGATCTGATGAAGAGCCTGTTTGGTACAGATATGGGCCATACCAGTACGTTATTTTCCCTTTATCGTGTGGCGCAAATTACTAACCGTTTCGCAGTCTGCTGGAACTATATGCGCCTGGGTGAGGCATGTTAGGCCCGACCAAAAGAACTGATGGTGAGGTGTATGTAAGAATGATCCGTTGTATACTAAGTTATTATTGTTTTGGGACTTTAAGCAGAATAAGGATCACGTGGTTCGAAAGAAGCACATTCAATTGACGATGTGTGGATTTCGGATAGAGAATCGATTTGATTAATTCTCAACTATTCCATGATTGATAAAGGAAAGAAATGCAATTTTGGATTACAAACGCCACCAGATCTCCATTTGGCTGGGTCAGGGTCAAGTGGAGAGAGACTGATAAGACATAGAGGTAAACAGTCCTATACTCAATTGTAACTAACGACAATGGTGTACAATATGCTGGACAGTTTAATGAATATAGAAGCGTTTGCTTGTTTGCGCATTCGCATATTTGCTTATCTATTATTTGTCTCGCCTCCATAGCTATAGATAGCGAGCTCCTTTCCTCGGAGATCTCAGAATATTATACCATTCTGCATCACTATTCCATATCACTATTCCACTCATATAGTGAGCCACATCACAATTACTAATTGATTGGGGCCAAATAGCCCTGGAAGGGCATTAGAGGATATCAATCACATTACAGATTAACCTCGAAATTGGAAAAGAAAATAGTATGAAGCGGGGAAAGTAGAAGAAAAGCCCTGACTACACAAATACACAGAGAGTGATAACTATTGTAGCCTTCTTCATGTCTCTTCTCCTTTTGTACCCTGGCGGGATTTTTGACACGTCGCACAGAATCCATAAGCATCTTGAGCAAAGACCAAGTTGATTACAATTCCCTACACAAATTCTTCTCAATGCTTAGAAATCCAGGTTCCACTTGATTCCACCCCGCTATTTGGAGATTTGGGGATAATTAACAAACTCTTAAAAGATTTATATACTTATGTACTAACGTACTTTCAACAATCATCTTCAACTACACCTCATTCATATCCACAATGGCACCATTCGGCACTATCTATTCTTATCAGCCCAGCCCTCGGGTTATGAAGGTCTGCAGGTTGCATCACCCCCAGACTGAACTCCCATGCTAACCCCTGATAGGCCCAGGCAGCAGCCAACCTGAACGGCCTGGAGCTGTCGGTCCCGGAATTTGCCATGGGAAAGACCAACCGCACCCCGGACTTCCTGTCCAAGTTCCCTTTAGGTAAAGTGCCCGCCTTCGAGGCCACCGACGGTACTTGCCTGTTCGAGTCCGACGCCATCACTCAATACATTGCTGAGAGCGGCCCCGCCGCCGACCAGTTGGTTGGAGCCACCCCTGCCGAGCGCGCCACTATCCGTCAGTGGATCTGCTTTGCACAAGGTGAGATCCTGGACCCCGTGACCCAGTTGGCTTTGTGGCGTCTCGGTCTTCGTCCTTACGACGAGAAGACTGAGCAGAGCAACCTCGAGCGTTTGGAGCGCTCGCTGGCTTGTCTGGAGAGCCACCTGAAGAATCACACCTGGTTCGCTGGCGGTGATAAGCTCAGCTTGGCCGATATTACGCTTGCCGCCGCTCTTGTCTGGGGTTTCTCCATGGCCATCGATAAGGACATGCGCAAAAAGTACTCTACCGTCGTCGAATGGTACGAGCGCACCATCGAGTCCAAGGGCGTCAAGGAGGCCTTTGGTGAGAAGAAGTACATTGAGGAGCGCTCCGTTCCTTCTTCTGAATCTTCTTAAATCTGCCGATGAAATCATAGCGTATTAGCCTGAATTATTAGACCGAGAATAAAAGTTATGTTTCCAGCAGTACAAAATAATAACAGAGAAGAGTATCATGATGCCGTGAATATCATAAGTACAAAAGACTGGCTCCTAAGCAGTCAATTCATGCAATGTATTTTTTGAGCAAAGGAATAGAAACCCCTTTTTATAGGCGAGCCATCACATTACCCTCGCCTCGCACTGGCCCCATGGCTCGCGCAAGATTTCGGCTGGCCCAGTCCGCGATCGCCATATTGGTAACCATGGGGTTCACGCCACTTGCGCTAGGGAAGATGGACGCATCCACAACATATAGTCCGTCAGTGCCCCAGACTTGACAGTCTGGGTCCACCACGCCCGACTTGGGGGATTTGCTCATGCGACAGGTACCCATCTGATGTGCACTAGCAAAGAGACCACGCTCGGGATTCAAAGGCGACTTCCGACGAAGCTCAGCAATCCAACTCTGCAGGGCTTCGTCGTTTGTTCCCTCGGGGGCCTCGGGGTCCGAAGCCTCCGGTCGGACAAACGGCGCAAGGTCGCGATACGTAGTATGGAACTCTTTGGCGCCAGAGATATACGCAATTTTGGCGCTCGCAATCATAGCCTCGACAATGTGTTTCCGGTCAAATGCAGACACTGTGTAATCGATGCGACAACGCCCATCGACGGGGTCCGGATAAACGCGGCCAGGGTCACGCTCTTTGGTGAGGGTGATGAAGCTGGTGCTACGGCGCATGTTGGCAGCCCACAGTTTATATTCCAATGCGCCTCGCCAGGGGAACACAGGAATGAACACAGAGGGCATCATAGATACTGCCTCGATCTTCACGCCATGTCCATTTCCATCCAGGTCCTCGAATTCGTTGACGACCGTTGTCAGCGCGGAGCCCTCCCAGGGGCGGGTCTCCTCATCAAAGACAGCACCAGCGCCGACAACTGTATGAGACGGTCAGTACTTGGAGCTTGGTTCTAATAACTGAACAAGACTTACCTGGGTGAAGGTAGAGGTTTCGGCCGATTTGAGAATTCTTCAACCCACTACGCAGCAGTAAAAGGGGACTTTGCAGTGTACCAGCCGATACAACCACTTTCTTAGCTTTGATGATTACCTTGCGCTCCACAACACCGGTGCCACTGAGGCCAAGATATGAATCGCGTGACCTCCAAGTTCCCTTCACCCCAGAAGCAACTTGTTTGCCCTTGACCTTGGTGAAGAGCACCTTGTCGGCTTGGAATCCCTCTATAAATGTGGCACCGGCCTTAGCAGCATCCGCGAGGAAAGTCTCTGTCGGGCCTTTCTTCGCCGCCGAAGCACACCCCAGGGTACAATAACCACAGTAGTGCTCACCGTGGCCAGTGTTCTGGGGCACTGTCTTGGCAGCATAGCCGAGCTTCCGTGCGCCCTCCAGGATCACGGTGTTTTGACTGTTATGCTCGACTTTCTCGGAATTGACACCCATGCGATCACAGACACGGTCGAGACTCTTCTGGAAATCCAAGGAGGTGAAAAAAGGTAGACCGGTGTCTGCCCATTGTTGTCGGACGTAACCTTGAGTCTGCAGTGATGCCGACCAATTAACGGTCCCGCCACCTCCCCAAGTCGAGCCCGCGAGGACAGCCATGGAGCTATCATCGCTGAAGATGGCACCGCCGTTTTCAAACATATTGACAAATCCTTCATTTGGACCCATGGGGAATGCATTGGATGGATAGGAATAAGACTTCTCCACCACCAGTACACGATGGCCTGCTTCAGCCAAATTCTTTGCGGTCACGCTACCACCGCAGCCGCTTCCCACGACGATTACGTCGGTTTCAATTGTCTCCGGTTGGTCCCCAGGTGGGAACTGCAAGAAATTATACTGGAAACCGTCGGCAGGCTTGCCATGAACCGGTACACGGGGGAACCCCAACACGGGACCAATGGTTGGGCTGCTGAGGATCCAAGATTTCTTGACAATAGCCGAAAGCCCTCGATAAACCGCCCGCAGAGGGGGTAGTCGAGAAGTATCCCATCCCCGGAAGACCTTTTCCCGGAATGCCACCGGTTGGTCCTGGATTGGGGTAGTTGAGCCCGTGAGAATCAGCGAACCCGCGCGAGTGTTGAGTGCATTCATGATCAGACCAAATCCATTCCTTCCTTCCTCATGAACATGGTCGCCCAGAATACGCTCTACTATCGAGCGGAACAAAGGATTTGAGGACACATTTTCTTGCAGATATTGGGTTGCAATTGATGAAGCATCAGGTCCAGGAATCAGCTTTGTCAAACTCTCGACGGCGGTGATATATTCTGCATCGGGAATCGACCTGTCATCTGGTGATTTGGAAGTTGCAGCAGGGCGAATGCAGGGCACGATTGCATCTGCCAGTGCAAAGAGAGTCTTCCACTGCAGCTCTGAGAAGTACTTGGCTGAAGGCGCCGGTGGAAGAGGGACAGCCTGTGGGGTGTATGAGGATACAGCCAGGGTAGGCATGTTGAGGAACGTTCAAGATAGGTCCAATATCATACGATATTGTATAATAAAAACGTAGAAATGATCAAAGTGGAAATGGTGGGATATTGTGGAGAGAAGTAGGTATGATATGCGAGTTGGGCCCACTCCGACTCCTCTTTACTGGCCTATTATTAAATCATCCCGGTCCTGTCGATTGGAGCAATGTCATGCGATCTTCAGTGAGAACTCTCAGCCTTCAGAGTCCAAAAATGTGAATGCAAATTCCAGAGAAGACCTCGGTAGGGGAGAGAAGCGCATCTCTGTGGTCTCTAACAGTGGAGTCTCGAATGTTTCAACCAGTCAACAACCTGTAATTCCCTAGACTGAGGATCGACCCTCGTGTTTCCCCGGGAAGGCCAAGACGGATCTCCCAGATTCGGTGAAATTTGGCCGCTCACAAGCTCCAATGCGGGGGGAATTGCCGAGCTTCAACACCATGTGAATGTTCCCAACAATTTGAATACATCACAACATTTTGAGATAGACTTTTTCTTGTAAACAGTTATGAAACGTGAGATGTGGAATATGAGATGTGAAATGTGCAAGATAAAATATGAAATGATCAATATAGTAAAGAGATGAGAGAGTTGAAAAAGATGTTGTATGTAGAATTGGCGGAAAAAGGTGCAGAAAACGCTGAGGTCCCCGTACGAGTTATCACCTGGGCACCACCTTCATCTCTTCAACGTCTGAACAATGGAGAGAAGCCGCAAATGTAATCTCCCAACAGAAAAGGTCTTTCCCATTCAAATTGGGTCAGAATTATTTCGTCTCTCGGGAGCTTCAATTGCTTCTGATGGTCAGTGACGCACCCCTTCCTGACCATACCTCATGATCTGACTCCCAACAGCTCCATCCTACTTCTCAAAGTTCTTCGAGGATCAATTACTTCAAACTCAAGATGCTGCCAACATCAGAACTCTTTATATCGACCGCGATCCGACCACATTCCGTGAAATCGCCAGACACTTACAAGGTACATGAGAATCCATGATCGCGACGTGATGGAGACTGATGCGCACAGGTTACCATGTTCGGCCCCAAGATGGCGCGCAATTTGTCAAGCTCTTTGCAGATGCCCAGTTCTATACATGTGAGGATTCCATCGAGTTTCTCTTATCTAGTTGTACCCACTGACAGCCAACAGTACCCCGGTTGATGTCACAGCTCTTCGAGTCGGAGTGTTTCATCCAGATCGGCGACCGTCACTTCCAAATCCCTCGCGATATCTTTTCCAGTCCCGGCGACACCCCTAATTTCTTCACCCTCGGATTCGCCGCCTTCTTTGCTTCCCCGTCCGAGGTCTTCCCCGGTCTGGACCGTCAGGGCCTCCTACGGCCTCCAGCCATCATACCTCCAAGCGTGCCGAACCGCTCGGCCGATGTATTCGACGAGCTCCTACATCTGCTGCGTGGGTACCCGCTGCACATCAGGAACGAGGATCACCGGGCAGCACTCCTGCGCGACTGTCGTTACTTCCACCTGCGCGGCTTAGAACAAAAGTTGATCCCCTATCAGATAACGACCAACCCCTTCAGCCAACGATCGGAGATTGTCATTCGACTGGAGGATGTGCGCCCATCTGGTATACAGTCTGCGCAGGATGTCGCATCTGGGACTGTCCCGGCAGAGGGGATGGTGACATACAAGCGGCCATTTGTGGATGAGGATGCCGCGGATCTGGTTGTTGAGATTGGCGACGAGTCCAGTGTGATTCATCGGGAGAGCATGCGTGCGGACTTCATAGGCCTCACCAAGAAAAGAATCGCCAGTCTAGTACAAACAGTAGGCAAGAAGATGAACCTGCCCGACTCACATCCACCATTGGGCCAAATTCCAATCAAGATTCGCGTTGACCGTGAAACTGATCTCACAGTGGACGGCGACCAGGACCCTCAGCATCTGACGATGGGCTCCAATATTGAAACAGGTGTACAGGGTGCGCCTCCAGCCAAACGTCTACGGTCCGATAGCAAAGCTGACGGGCCATGGGTTGTTCGCACGGGACAATGGCGACTGCAGGTTCAGGTAGGCCCTGCCGGTATGCACGAGGTTATCTTGGTCGCTGTCAAGTTGGATGTCTATACTAGTGCGCAAGTTCGGAATCGGTCACGGACATTCCTTTAGACATCTGTTTACCCAGATTTGGAATCATAATTACGCTAGAATGAATTATGACACTGCTGATGTTCGACAATTGCTTAGGCTTGTTCTGCCTGCATTGCATTGAAGTAATTTTGTCTAGTCCGAGAAGCCTCCCCATTCTTCTTCCTCCTCCTCCTCCTCTTCTTTTTCTTCTTCTTCTTCTTCTTCTTCTTCTTCTTCCTCGTTCTCCTCGTCTTCTTGATGTGTGTCCATCCCGGTGTCCTTCTCATGATTGACCTCGGATTGTTTCACTGCAACAGCCGGGGTAGCATAATCGGGATCTCGGACAAATCCAGCAACAAAGAATCCACCAAGGCCTTCTGCGTCACCTTGCCAGGATCGAATACACGCTTCCAGTGCCTCGTCTGACAAATCGACTGAACCCGACGGCCCAGTCTCCCCCTCGGCAGGCTTTTCCTCTCGAACACCTCGCTTCTTCCACCGGCGCAAGCCATCCGGCTGTTCATCGCGCCGCATAAGGCGCCAGCCACGCTCCCGTGCAACCTGAGTCCCCAGAATGCGCGCAACGACACCTTCGTTCTCAATCAAGTGAATAGAACACGTACTGTACGTCACATGTGTAGCATTCGGGAAGCTCAGAGCGTGTTCGACAATACGTGCTTGAATGCTTGACAGTTTGATGAGTCGCTCCGGGTCAATTGTCCCATCGGCGATATCGTTTTCATCGGTGGGTGCCGCCTGCGGAATTCCCGGAGTAGCCTTTGACTGCTCACCATCTGCCTCTTCGTCATTGTTTTCGCGCTTGCGCTTCTTTCCGTGCGATTTAGGACCCTTGTGTGCCGCCGCCACAGGTAGCGTGAATTGAGGAACTTCGTCGCGACCGATGATACCGCTGCCGGAACAACTGGGATCCAACAATAATCCTGTTACGTTCTCGAACCGCTCATCCTCTGGGTCGAGGGCGAGGAAATCCTGGCCCTGCAGCACAGTCACCGAGTCAGCTCCGGCCAGACCGACCATCTTCTGTAGCGTTTTGGAACGCATAGTAGAAGCATCCATGGAAAAAATTGTTTGCGTGCTCTTCTTGCCCTTATGTTGCTTGGCCATGAGCGAAGCCAAGTGAGTGGTCTTGTTACCCGGCGCAGCGCAGCCATCGACCAAATCACCTTCCCAAGCATCGCTAGGGCCACGGTCACCCAGTAGGAGGTATGCGGGGAAGCACGAGGCCTTATCCTGCAGAATAATCTCTCCATTTTTGTAGGCAGACGAAGAAGTGAAGTCTGCACCGAAGGGCACAGCCACCAGATCCGGGATATTGGGATCGATAAACAACCGCGGCTCCGGCTTCCGGCTTTCTAGCTCATCCTCAGGAGCCAATTCTGCAAGACTGTCTACCCGGCGGTAAGCCTTGAAGGTAGTACTCAGCTGCTCCTCCAGTGTAGTGCGAATGTTGTTGATGCGCACCCAGCGCGGATACACAAAATGACTTGTACCATCGGCCAATCGCTTCTCGCGAATGACAGTAGCCTTGAATTTCTCGACGGAAGCACACCCACGACGGACACGGGCCTTCGTAAACTCAGCCTTGAGTCTAGCCTTGTGGCGTTCCACAGCTTGACGAAGTGTATGGGTAGCCGGCGCAGCGATGCCCTTCTTTGCGAGTAAATGGTCATGGACAAGAAGAAGAGCGAGGAGAGGTGAGAGCTAGGATATCACTTGGTCAGTCAGCAGGTATCTCCTGATGTCATGAAAAGCCATCTCACCTTGCGCTCGAGAGCCAGAATGCCCGACTTGTCGATAACTTCTGCCAGAACGGTGTCCCATTTGGCCGCTTCGGTAGTCAGCGCATAGATTTGGGCCGGGGATGCGCGTAGATTTCTGGCGCTGTAGATGCGAGATTTGAACGATCCGCCCGAGGAGGGCGCGGTCAGTATAGCGACCGCATCAAAGTAGAGGGACATTGAGTAAAATGAGTGGTTAGAGAAATTGGAGGATTTTCGCATTGATATTTTGGTGTTTGCTCTGTTTGCATTGAATATATTCCTTAACTGTGTACAATATACTCCGTACACTTGTAACTATTGAGTTTCTCCAGTCATGTAACTAGGTAATGATGTGTGTAACATTGTAATTAAGTCAATACGCGTGGAAACGTCCATGAATATACAAATATAGCTGTACTTACTTCTTAGGGGCAGATTCTAGCCTACTGTGGTCTAGGATTTATACCAAGAACGGCAAGGTGACTGACATACCTCTTTTTGAACTTGCTCCAACACTACTACTTTCGAGTTTTATTCCATTGAGTAACTTCTCTGCCACTGCAATGATCTGGGCTGGATTTGCTTCGATAATGGATTGTCATCACTTTAGCCTGTCGGCTACCTACATTAAATGTTGTATAACTCGTAGCATGTAACGTATTTGGGCCACGAAATACACTCGATTCACTCTTCTTGAACAAGGATCCTGACAAACAGGACTTTCATCAAACGGTTCTACTCAGGCAATCTAAGCTGCACCTATTGGTATCGTGCTCGATCCTGCTTGGTGATCTGTTTCAGCGTTCCACCCGCGAGCGGCTCTTGCATAGGCTGCTTGCTCACTTTCAGCTGAATGCCCTCAGTTCTACGGCCCACCTATGTATATACATACGTAGTCATGGATGCAGCTAACGTTACGAGGCAGCCATTCACCGAGTTTGGCCATGAGATGATTTTCTTTCACTGAAATGGGGATGTACATTGTATCAACACCATTGGCCGGTCCCAAATGGATCAGCGCTTTAGTTCACAGTTCAGCTCCAGATTCAGCTGAACCATGAACACCCGTGAAGAGATAAAGACCACCACCCACCCAGATCTTTGTCTGCTTTTTCCAAAATAAACAGTCTTTCTGCCATTTACAAGATATCTGGTTCATTTACATCTTCACCCACAAATCACAAAATGTTGACCGACGGAGTCCCATTTGACCAGGGCCGGTACGGTTATCTCACCGACATAACAGATCTCACTCCACAAGATCAGATCACCGTGGCTCGGTTCGAAGAGGCCAAGAAGAATTTTATTTCCAGTGCTGAGGCATTCCAGTCCTCAGATGAGAACGCCCGGGCTTCCCATGAAGAAGAAAAGAATTCAGGCATGACCGACAAGGGATTTGTGGAGTGGGCTTTTCAGGACGTAAGTCGCTCTGCAAGGATACATGCTTGGGCTCTTTAGGGCTCAATGATCGTTTCTTTTGTTATTAACTTCAGACTTCTTCACCGTAGTATCCATCTTGGTTTCAAGCTGGTCAAGTAGTGCAAGCGAACGCCGCCCAGTTGCGTGGGGTTGGAATTGATGCCTATGGACCGTCGTATGGAGAGCAAGTCTCGACTGGAATTCAGGAGCTACAGCGTGAAGGGTGGGAGAAGTTTGGCGGGGTTCCTACAAGCTTGTACTTGCTGTAGGCGAAATGGGTGAATAATTCATATTTCAGGATGTATCCGAGACATATATGCACATCAATTATACTGAGAAACCTTGAGGACACTTTGAATCGCGTCCAGTTCCGTAAAATAATGATCAACGGTCAATGATTCTTGTGTCAATTTTCAGCTCAATCCGATAATGTGGTGGACGTTTTGTAGATCTAACAGTATCCATAGTTAGTGCCCCTCGGCTATAGAACATTTTCGAACTCCAAATCCTTTACAAATTCCCCTACCTTCTTCCTATTATTACACTCCCACAATGGCAAGCCCAACATTCAACACTTCAATCCAGGAGCCACCAGGCCACAATGCAAAGCTGGTTCTCCCCACCGAAGACCCCAACACCAACCCCACAGTCTTCAACGATGCAATGAAAGTCCGCATGCACGTCTTCGTCGACGAACAAAAGTGCTCCGCCGAAGCCGAGATCGACAGTGACGATACCCGCAGCTGGCACTGGGTACTATACGCAACCTCCACCGGGAGCACGCGCACACCGGCGGGAGTGATCCGGCTCGTACCTCCACCGCAAGCGCCACACTTGGTGGCAAGTAAATCAGAATCTAAATCCGGCAAACAAGAACAGCACGAGGCGTGCATCAAATTGACGCGCGTGGCGATTATGCCGGAGTACCGCGGGCTCGGACTTGGGCGAAAATTAGTGGAGACGGCGCTGGAGTGGGCGGCTGTGCATGGTGTGGAGATAGACGCGCAGATCGCTGCTAGGGGGCGGTGACAGGCCGGTGGCGGGGGCTGATTCTTGTGCATGCACAGGTTGATGTGGAGCAGATGTATGCGCGGCTTGGATTTGAGACGGACGAGTCTTTAGGGAGGTGGGATGAGGAGGGGATTGAGCATGTGGGGATGTACAAACGGGTGGTTGTGCATTAAGTGTAATGTGGACTTATCTAGTTGTCGAATAGTCTACACTTTTAACCTGTTACGAGTAGAAAATTTCAGGTTCAATATCAATTGATTCAACTAGATCGAAATAGATCGAACTAGATAACAAGGTGAAGTACCGAAGCATTCCCCACAAGCATCACGGATCAGGACCAGGAAAGAAGAAACATCAAATGAGAACATAAGAACGCCACTGAACACAAAACCGACGGGGTATCCTGATCAACGCAAGCAAAATAAAGCAACACAGGCCTTAAGGACTGATACCCATCTAGACATGATGCAAAGCCAGGAACTGACTGCATGGAAAACAAGAAATAGTGCCCTTGACCCAGGGCCTGAGAAACGCCAAAGCCATGGTTGCCAATAGACATAAACGAAAAGAGAAAAACAGGTCACGCGAGAACATGACTCAAGAAGTGAAGTGAGATTAAGTAAATGGTATCACGAACGCCGAGCTGCAGCAGACCTGCTGTCCGCAGTGACCAGAGGAAATCAGGTTATGCGTTTAGAAAGTGCTCCAGTTCCAGTCACGGGGAACAGAGGCAGCGACTTCCCCAGACTGAGCATTGGACTCGGAGTTCTCGAGATGATCAGATTCAGGCATCGAAACACCGTGCTGAGTATTCATGTTGGTCTGGATCTTATTGAGGCGCTCCGTGCGAGTCTCATCCCAGCGAAGGTGGGCACTCCAGCAGAGATCGCAGGCACGGGATGGGACACCATCGGGGTGGAAGCGAGCATTCTGGTCCAGAGGCACAAGGTGAGGAGTGTGAGCAGCGCAGAAGACGTGGCCACAGTGACGACAGTGGTGGCGACGCAGGAAGATGCCGAAGGAGGAGCGACAGGTAGGAGAATCACAATTGGAGGAGGCCGAGTCAGCCTGAAATGTAAGGTTAGTATATGTATGTGATAAAGTTGACCAATGCGATGGAGGCTGGAGTTGCATGACAAGCACGCCATAGTAATGACGAGCTCACACGACATTTGCGACTGCAACGGCGCAATTCATAAATCACACCCTATAAAGACGCACACGGAAGGCATGAGGGAAAAAAAAGGAGATACTCACTTTCCAGTGCTCGCGAGTTGGCAGACCGGTGACTTCACCCAAATCCTCAGTCTTCATCCATTCATGCTGGGCGACCTGGCTAATCTCGCTGGACTGGCTCTCCATGGTGGAGCGACGGCTGATAGGTTCAGTGTGCTCAAGACTGTCGAGTGAACCATGCACACTGCGCGGAGGAGTAATGGGCGAAGATTTCTGGGGGCGCTCAGTTGGGCGCAGAGCAGCTGGAACGTATAGAGGTCCCTTGAGGGGACGAAGTTGACGCGACTGCAAGGGCAACTGGTGCAGCGAGGCGGTGGCCATACGAGGGGAGGTGGGGGAATTGTTGGAGGGAGTATTGGTGGCAGAATTATTGGCGGAGTTGGTGGGAGAAGGTTGACCATAGACCGAAATCTGGCTGGCCGGAGTGGTTGAGGTCATAACGTGAGTAGCCATGATGAGTGTGGTGTAGAAGGGTAAGAAGAGGAAAAGTGGTGAAGAGGTAAGAGGTGATGAAGGTGGGCAAGTGTTAAGGCGGAAGGCGGAATTTGGAGTTGAAAGTTGAAGAAGTGCTTAATTGAATTTTAAGCCTTAAAACAGCAGGACATGGTTCCCTTTAGATATTGAGGGGCAAAAAGGAGTCGGCGATCATAAAAAGGCCGCTCAGCCGGAGAATAGAATAATAGCGAGGCAAGAAAATCAAGTGCACGGTAACTGGCCGAGAGAGATGGAGACGGGAACGTTTAAAGTGGGGAGGGAGTTGGAGAACGGGTGAACAGTGTTTATTTACTACAATCAAAGATAGGTAGAATGGAGAGTAGAATAGAATAGATAATGATGATTAGACGAATCGAGGGAATTGCTCGTATTAAGTATCTATCAAAAGGAAAAGGAGGTGTGAAAGGGGGATTATTCTCAACTACCAGGATCATTTTCATTTTTCGTTACTCCCATTACTACGGTGTGTTAGAGTTGTGACATCCGAGTACTTCCTACCTCAATATTATAGACTGCATGGACCAGGTCACACTAGAGTACTTGGAGTTACGGAGTACATTTGGCCCCGTGTCCCTCCACCGGTTACCCTTTACCCACCGGATCTCTTCCGTTCTCTCTGGCATCTGCAGTACTCGGCATATGCTGTACATTGTGCATATTTCCCGACTTTTGGATTGACCGCTTGTTCAAGACTTGAGATTAGATCGTTGAAGTCATAGATAACCCTAACTTCAGATACATCATATACCTATACAAAGCCAGGATTGAGACCGGCTCCCATGAAGCATGATGGATTTCCTTATGCGGCCATTCTCTCCACTCTCCACCTTAAACGGTTCCATTGCCCCGGTTATAATTTAATTTAGGTGCAGTTACATTTGGCCATATTATTATCCGAATATTTTATATATTGTCTTATATTTATTTGCTAGTGATATTGTAAATTGATTGATACAATGTCAGATATAGCACTGCATAGGTAGAAATGAAATGTTACACATTCGAAATAAGCAAAAGAACGGTGTAGAGACTCGAAAGAGGAATGTGAGAGCCTTCGCTCCTTCCTATGAGGGTTTGCTAGTCTGATCACTAGTCTCCGGGTTAACCAATCATATGGAGGGTGGCGTTCGAGTCTTATCACTGCCTTGCTATTGGTTAGACTCGATCTCGACTCATCCTATTGGTTGATCTCATTGGCCATCGGCCCGGCCTGTCTATTCGGGTCAAGTACACCGCGGAGAAGTTCCACTGCGAGTTTCCACCGGAATTCCGTTCTTCATACTGAGTACTGTGGACTCCATATTGTGGATGCAGTTATTCTTACATATCGATATATGAACCAATCACATCTCCTCGAATAGAAATTGCCTCCTGGAAAAGTAATCTGCCAGAAATATCTGGAACGTGGATGGAAGCACAACTGTTCGGCAATTAAACTAACTCGGGTCTAGCACAATATTATGACACTAAAATACTGTCAATGTGGATGCCGACCGCGTGCCTCGGTCTCAAATATATGTGTCCGTGTGTGTCAAGTATACTCCCGTAGCGGACTAAACTTATGCCCAATAATTGATGCCAAAAGAGGGTGATCGAGGAAATTCGGATTAGGTCCGTTCCAGGGCGGAACAACTCTTCCGCTGCATTCCTTCGATCCCTTGATCCCAAGAACCAATAAATGACAGATGGGAAAGTAACGGGTCGATCGAGGAAGAACAAAAGTACCACTCAGACTGATTGGCCGGTTGCAGATTATGTACTAACCGTATCAACACTACTGTACCTTGTACGGAGTATCGAATAGCGGAGTATGAAATATCAATGTCGTCATGACTTCAACTTCTCCATAACTCCAAGATCTCCAGGATCTCCAACGTCAATGCGTGCGCAGCTCAGCCCCATAAACTTAGATACTTACAAACATCATGAAGCTAGCAGTCTTTAGCGCAAAATCCTACGATCGCACCTATCTAGATCAAGTGCGTGATCAAAGCTTCCCAGACCTTTGCGCAATCGACTACCATACTTTCTCCCTCTCTGAAGAAACAGTCCCCTTGGCCCAAGGCTGTGATGCCGTCTGTGTCTTCGTAAATGACACCCTAGACTCCCGCGTGTTGACAGCCCTCCACGCCTATGGGATCCGCGCCATCCTCCTCCGCTGCGCAGGATTCAACCACGTGCACCTCCCCACAGCCGAAAAGCTAGGTCTCTTCGTGGCCAATGTTCCGGCTTACTCCCCTGAGGCGGTGGCTGAGTTCGCAGTGGCCCTGATCCAAACTCTGAACCGGAAGACGCACCGCGCCTACAACCGCGTGCGCGAAGGCAACTTCAACATCGAGGGTTTGCTGGGCAACACCCTCCATGGGAAGACCGTAGGGATCGTCGGCGTTGGGCGAATTGGGCTTGCGGCTGCGCGGATCTTCCGCGGGTTCGGGTGCCGGTTGCTGGCGCATGATCCGTTCGCTGGCGACGAGTTCCGGGAGTTTGGGACGCTGGTTGAACTCGACGAGTTGCTGCAACAGAGTCACATTGTCAGTCTGCATTGTCCGCTCACGGACGGGACCAAGCATCTCATTAATGAAGAGACGCTATCACGGATCCGGCCGGGGTCTTTGCTGGTGAACACATCACGAGGTGGTCTGATTGATAGCACGGCTGTGATTCAGGCGCTGAAGACGAAGCGGCTGGGTGGGCTGGCGTTGGATGTCTATGAAGCTGAAAGCGAGCTGTTCTACAATGACCACTCTGGAGAGATCATTGAGGACGATGTACTGATGCGACTGATGTCTTTCCACAATGTGTTGATCTGTAGTCACCAGGGGTTCTTCACTCGTGAGGCTCTTGGGGAGATTGCGGGAGTCACGCTGGGAAATTTGTCTGATTTCTTCTCGGCTCGCTCGTGCAAGAACTCTCTAGTGACGGAGGGCCATGTCTTAGTTCGCCGGGACACAGAGCCGGTGAGACTATAAGAGAAACAACAAAGCTGCATTGCTATGTGACTAATCTAATCAATCAAACTCCTTGACATCGTTCATCAATATTATTGAGTAAGGGACATAATCATGAAGAAGCAAGTATCTCAACTGCGCAATGGTCGAGTGTCCTGGAATTGACCTTGCACGGCCTGCCAAGCGCGAGGAAGAAACCGATTCCCATGAACAAGCAACGGAACAACAGATATTAACCACATGAAATAAACCAGTCCAACTGCAAGGATCAGACGCAGCTGCTCAAAGAACGACGCAATCACTCCCGGACGGACCACTTCCCGAGGAACCTGTGACTCCTGGTCGGTATGCGATAACGCTTCCACCATGTGCCAAGCCGCTCGACAGTTAATCTTCTCCCAAGTAGTATCGTTCGCATACTGCCGCGCTGCGACAGCAAGCGATGTCCGCCGTCTTGAATCACCAGCAACATCTCTTACGAGATGAACGAAGGACTCCAGATCGCGAGGCGGCACCAAATACCCCGTCTGGCCATGACGGATGATATCCGAAGGCCCGCCCTGATCCCTGGCAATGACCGGGACACCACTCGCCATAGCCTCAAGAACGACCAGTCCAAAGGTCTCGGTGATAGAGCAGTGAAGAAACAGATCGGCGGAAGCATACGCTCTTGACAAAGCAGTGCCGGCCAGAAAACCAGTGAAGACGACATGGTCTCTGACATCGTCAAACAACCGCTGGACCTTATTCTCAACCGCCGGATTGCGGTTCCCGCCAACAATCAACAGCTTAAACAGCACCTTCTCGGCGGCAAGTCTCTGCGCGACCTGCGCGAGAAACTCGAATCCCTTCTCAGGAGCGATCCGACAAACACAAATAAGAACGACCTCGCCATTGGGCGCGATCTGGCGTCTGAAACTGCCGTCGCGCAAAGTCGGCGAAAACAGACCAGTGTCAACGCCGCGACCAAGTTGAACGAGCCTATCAACTGGCGCACGGGCGTGCTCCAGATACCGCCGGATAGCAGAGCACGGGTAGAAAATGGTATGTACTGCATTTGTTCTGAAGAGGAATCCCTGCACCGATGCAAGAAGCCAGACGCCAAAATGGTCCAGCGGAGCGGGGAGCATGATTTCCGCGTAGGCTGACAGATCAGTTTGGAAATTGAGTAAGATGGGGGGCGGGGAGCGCAATTGGCGGATCTGGAGAAGCATCTGAAAACCCAGAGAAGCCGGGCTGGCGAGGTAAATCAAGTCAGGCCGAAAAGAGTTATTGAAGACATCGTCCAGGTGGAATGGATAGACGACCGTCAGGTCTGGATTGTAAGGGAGGGCGCAGCCGGGAAGACGAAGTTCCCAAGAAGCCTGTTTAGAATTTCCCTTGAAAGACGGCGCGACGAGGATGAGATCTGCGCCGTTGTCGCGCAGATACTCTACCAGACTGCGGGTGGTGCGACTGACGCCGTTCACTGGGCCCCATGATTCCGTTGCGAGGAGGATCTTCTTGCCGACGAGGGTGCTAGGGAATTGCAGGCCCTGCAGAGTGGTTGGGTCGGCCATGGTGATGCAAATACGGATACATGGGAAAGCATGAATTGCATGCGTAGGAAATGGTAGTTGTTATGAGAATGGTCCGAATTAGTCTGTACAATATGTAAATGGCGATCTATACATCCCACGTGCCCTAACCGGCCGCTGAGGATCGTTGCTTGGCGGCCAGTCGCAGTTCGCGATGCGCCGCGTGCTTTGGTTTGGGGCCCTGGTACGAATAATGTAAGCAATATGTTTGAATTTAAGAATGTAAAGGGGGGTATTGTGAGGGGGTCATGGGTTAAAGCTTTGATGATCTTCGCGTTATGAGTAAGTATACTTCTACACTGCGCGCAAAGCCCTATTGGTCACAACAAGTAATAAATTCATAGCCCTGCAAGAGGCACTAGAAATGTATAACTTACTTATCCCAAAAAATTCTAACATGAACTACGAATCTCCCTCATAGCTTTGACTTTGACGCCTTGGACGCCTGTGGTTCAATCTTGATGTCTATCTCAGACCACCACGGATAATCCTGAGGACTCTTCTCATGAGGATCAGATTGAAAGTTTGCCTTCCGCTTCTCCAAAAAGGAGTTCACACCCTCTTTATAATCACTGCCACATGTTAGAGATTAGGGATCATCATCGTCATAGACCAACACACCTTTGACCCGTCATATGATGGAAAACCCTCGACTCGAGAAGATGCGCCGCCTCAGGTGATTGAGGGCCTTCCCACATCAGCGTGCGACTCATGGCAGAAGCTAGTGGGCTAGCATTCTCGGCCATTTCGTGCGCAAGTTCCAAGGCTCGGGGGAGAACTTGAGCTGCATCTGGCAAGACCTCTGTGAATAGATCGCCAAAGTAGGTGGAAGTCCCGGGGAAGATGCCACCTGTTGTGATCAGGGACATCGCTTTTGATAGTCCGATTAGACGAGGTAGGAAGAAAGAAGCGCAAGATTCGATGGTTAGACCCCTTCTAGTGAAGACGAATCCGTATTTACTTTTCTCGTGACAAATACTAGACGCGATTAGTCAGTACTCAGATTTTTCAAGAGGGTCTCACTTACCGAATTGCAGCTGGTAGAGTCATGGTCATACCAACACCCACAGCAGAACCGTTAAGGGCAACAACCGTAGGCTTGTGGCACCGATGCATAGCCAAGGTGACTCTCCCACCACTTGAAAAGTCAGCAACGCACCGCATATATGATCATACATCTCAATATCTATGAGAAGACATACATATCCCTGAAATCTACAGCTCTCCCTTCTCCATTCCCAAATCCAATCTCCAAATCCGACCCAGCACAGAACATGCGTCCAGCACCAGTCAAAACGACCACTTTAACCCGCGAGTCGAGGTGAAAGGTCCTAAACGCCCATTCTAGGCTATCCGCCATCTGCGGCGTGAAAGCATTATTCTTCTCTGGACGGTTCAACGTCACTATCACGACCGGTGTAGCTGTTGGCTTCCCGGGCGGATGATGGGATATCTTGACGTGTGTGAGGTCCAGGGCCTCGTAGGAAGATGGGATGGTGATGGGTGTTGGAAATGGCATTTTGGTAAATGGTATGACTTGGAATATGTTGGCTTCATTTGGTGTATGGTTATGTGTTATAGTAGTTGGTGATGCCTCGGTAGTGAAAGCGGGGAGGATCGACGGCCCCGGGTGTCAAACATGCATACATGCAAGTATTCGGAATGAATTTTGGTGACTGTTGGGGGTTACGGTATACTTGAACAAGATGAAACAGAGTGGTTGGGCGAAAGTATGCCCAGGTGCCGTTTGATGAAGAGTATACGCTACTATCATCCCCTGCTCCTCGGCTGATTGATATATATACCTAGTCAACCCTTTTTTTTAAAAAAAAAATCAGTCAATCCGAACAGGAGTTCAAATTATTTAAATCATGCTAACCAGAAAATTATAAAATCATCCTCCTCCAAATAGTTTTAATCCCAAAATAATGATGAAATTGGGAGAATAAGTGAGGCAAAGTTCGCTTCAATACCCGATCTATATACTACTCAAATGAGAAGCTCTCCACTTTGTCGCAAAGCTATATAGGTATGGACGCATGGAAGCCCTTCTTTTAATAGACAAATACACAAAATCACGAAAATTATCGCTTTCGAACCACACAAATTACTTAAAGTATAGTACAAGTCATCCATTCACTAGATCTCTCAAAATGATGAGATGGCCAATATGTTCACTAGTTATTTACATCATCAAGCGCAAACATTATGATACCCAGCAGATAATTACATGCATGGATTGAGAGTTGTTTGTCGACTTTCTACATTTGTGCATTATTCCAAGTGTCAGCTAATCATTAGAAGCCCTGGAGTGGATTATTTTCATTAAGCTGCAGAATCGGATCCGAACCGCGTATCCACCAGAGCTACAATGAGAAAATGGAGCAGCGCTTGGCCAGAGCTTGATTTGTGCATTGTACATTAGATCCAATATATATAGGAATCTTTTGACCCAAAATGATCGCCTAACAATACACATTTCACTAGTGTAAGCGCAAAGCGAGGTCATAGAACAACACTATGTACGAAACAGGGAAATGCAAGAGCCTTGAAAACGAGTAAACCAAATGATTCAATAGAATAAACCATCAAACAAGAAAAGGTTGAATTTCCCAACAGCTTCACATGTACGGTGATCTGCAAAGTCTCGGCCCATTCTACTTATCAAAGATGCCTCGGGCCAAAATTGACATCATCCATGTGCGCAAGTTTATAACTTCGTTTCATACAACTTTGCTTTGTATAACTTCAATTCACCTGACAAAATGTCTGATAATAACCAAGGCTGTAAAATTACACTCTACTGGTATGTAACCCCTCATAGTTCGCTAGGTACCAATATTGATGCAAAATCCAGGCTCGAGCAATCTCGAAGCCACCGCATCCTCTGGCTTCTGGAAGAGCTGCAGCTAAATTATGAGCTCAAGATTTACAAGCGTCGCGCCGACAAGCTCGCTCCTGCTGAGCTCAAAGAGGTTCACCCTCTGGGCAAATCGCCCGTGGTCACCATCGAGGCGCCGGGCGCCGCAAAGCCGCTGGTGCTGGCAGAATCTGGTGCGATCGTGGAGTACCTCTGCGACCACTTCAGCAGCGCGCGCCCGTCCCTTGTGCCCCAGCGGTACATTCCCGGCAGCGAGGGCAAAGTGGGTGGAGAAACCGAGGAATGGATGCGCTATCGCTACTTCATGCACTACACGGAGGGCAGTTTGATGCCTTTCTTGGTGATGACTCTGGTCAACGATTGTAAGTTTCTATTTGTTCCGCGCAGCAGCTCGTGGTTTCTATTCCTATTGTATGACTGCAAAACTGACATTTTCGCAGCCATCCGAAATGCCCCTCCATTCTTTGTGCGACCCATCACCAGTATTGTTGCCTCGCAGGTTGAGAACCAGTTCCTGACCCGCAACGTGGAAGGTAACCTTGCCTTCCTTGAGGACCAGCTGCGTACTTCCCCCGACGGTGGCGACTTCATCTGCGGCAAGGAACTGACAGCCGCCGACGTTATGCTGAGTTTCCCGGTCATTGCTGTGACCATGCGAGTATTGAAAGACAAGAAGAACAAGGACAAGTTCCCTCTTCTTGCTGCGTACGCCAAGCGCCTTGAAGGAATCGAAGGGTACAAGCGTGCCGTCAGAAAGATTGAGGAGATCGAAGGCAAGTTCTCAGCCTCTATGTAAAGGGAATGGATTTTGTAAATTACGATTGACTCTCAAGTCTGATTATACCCCGTGGATGCTGAGATATGGAGAAGATCTGGTTGGTGGATGCTGTCGGATGCCTTTGAAGACGTTTATAACAACGGACAGTTGATAATGACATGATCTTTTTAACCAAAGAATTGGATTTGCACCAAAGACTTCAAATTACATTTCATCTATAAACATCTATAAATTTCAGTAATAAATTGTTCGCTGTTTTAGGAAATATAGCATGATTACATCATCTGCTGATTCATCATCATGTGACCTCCAACTCCAGGTGAATTCAACTCCGGCAGTCGATTCTCTGTATCCACGCTTCAAAGCTTCCTTGCAACAATGGCTGGTCCCAGTAAATGTGAGTATGGCCAATTATGTGAGAGTGAATTGAATCGCTAATCTGTTGCTTAGCCCTGGTCCTTGACCCCGCATACCAAAAATACTACGGTACATAACCCCATCTCTCCAGATCCAGCATTCCGCATCAATTGCACGCACCGCGCCAGCCCAAGAAGGCAATGTGACTATCGAAGAACACCTGCAGACTGCGCGCTGCGACACCGACAATATCCCGACCGCAGAACAATGACTAACGGACCCTAGAGCTAAATGCGAACCGCTACAAGTACTGGCGCTGGACCCCGCGCCATGCCATGATCTCCTTCGTCTACATGGGCCTGATCCCCGGTGTTATCGGCTACTTTGCCTATAAGTATGAGGTAAGAATGGGCCCGTTGTGGTTGAGGTTTTGATCTTCCGGGGAAACGCAAACTAACAGTATACAGGGCAAGTTCGAGTTCCGCGGCAAGCGCAAGGGAGATACCATTTCTGAGTGGTAGAGTATTAGCGACGAATGAAAATTCAATTTCTTTTCTGTTACCAACCCCGTACCGAGCAGCGACTGACGAGCGACTTGGAGGATCGCACATCGAGAAGTTGAGGCTCGTGTGTTGAGGTGAAGCTGCTCGATGACCTTTTTGTGCCGCTGCCCATTGCGTTGTGGGCCGTGTACTTTACTACATCATATACCGCATTGATTTCTTTACCTGTTGTTTCATTTCGCCGTCGCTATTCGAGGTACACCTGGATGCACTTGTATATGCCCCAGAAGCAATTGACGGGGATCCGATATAGGCCCTCGAAGGTTTCTCATTCAAACGATCTTTAGCTTCGACATCCAAGTCAATCTTCATCCTCGTTTCGAGCTGCATGCAGATTATGGTGATGATACTGGCATGTAGCAGACCGTAATAAATGCATTCGCCCTAGACTAACTAATCATACAATGACTCAACATGGGTATTCATCGCCCTTATGACAAATGTTGCTTCTAGATTCGAATTCGTAATCACCTCCCAAGCCTTCTTTTAATACGGTGCCCAGCCACGACGGCCGCCTCCACCTCCACCCCGACGTGCGCCATCCGGCAAGCGCTCTCCACGGTTCCAGTCACCATATGGCATATTAGGAGGGCCACGATCACCGCCACGAGGACCACCACGGCCAGGTCCACGTCCAGGTCCACGAGGATATCCACTATATCCGTTCTCACGGAATGCGCGCATACCACCGCCACCTCCACCTCCACCCCGGGGTCCCGGGATGGGTCCGGACGCGCCATTCAGCGGGGGCGCAACAGAACCATCTTCAAGCGGAGCCAAGATAGCACATTCGATGTAGTCACCGACAATGAAACGTTCGTCATGCAGAGGTTTATCAGCCTCGGCGCCCTGGAAACGAAGCGGGCCCGAGCGAGGTCTAGCCGGTTTCTCTTCATCGTCGTCCGCGCGTAGCAGGCTCTCTTTCGGTCCCACAACAACACTTCCCAAATCTCTGCTCAGGTAACGGCCTCGCGCATCAGGGCCACCCATTGCCGCGCCGCGCGCGTCCGGATAAATCAATCGGTAGCAGAGACGAGTTCCGATAGGCGGGTCAGGGAGTAATGATGGAAGAGCACCGGTGAGAAGCTGTGAGAGCTCGCGTAGTGTGCATGATTGCCAAGTGTAGATCTCTAGATGTTGTGGGAGAGGCGCGGCAGATGGAGCAGGTGACGTTGGGCGGATAGAGTTTGGACCACTGACTGGACCGCCGCGACGAGGCGGCACCGGGATGCTGTAGTCTGAGAGTGGGTTGAAGGTGTTCACGCGGTAGAAGAGCTTCAAGAAGAAGGGAGCGGTGGTTTGGCGGTTGATTGAGGGTTTGGCGCCCTCTCGCGATGGGGCGGACATTGTGATCGTGCGATGATGCGAGATAAAGTAGGATGAACGGTGCGACAAGCTTGAGGTGTATTGGAAGTTGAGTAAAAGTTGAAAGTAGGTTGGGGTATTCTGGCTGAGAGGTGAGTGGAAGAAGCCCAAATGCGGCGTCGAAGCTGCGGGTTCTGACGTCCGAAGTCGAACATTCTTTTCCTACCATTTCACTCCCCACCAAATTTACATGCCACCACAATATACACCAAGCGAAACTTGTTAAAGCTATACCCACTTTATTGAAAGCTTGTCACATTAGACATACCCGCCGCCATGGATTTTGCTGCGCTCATGGCTAAGGAGATCTCCAAGGCCAAGGGTAGCGACGCCAAACCATCCGACAAACAAACCGGCAAAGGCTCCCCTGCAGCGCCAACCAAGAAATACCTACGGAGAGGCGAGGAGGAAGCCGCGCGTATCGAAGCCTACAACCAAGAGCAAGAACGGCTAGCCCGTGAACGGGAAGAACGCATCTCGAACAAGCGCAAGCTAGAGGAGGAGGAAGCCGACCGAAATCGCGAACGCGAAGAAAAGAAGCGACGACTAGCCGAGGAATCAAAGGCCAGACGAGAGGAGGAGGAAGCGGCCAAAGAACGTGAGCGGCGGAGGAAGCTTGGTCTGCCGGCATTGGAGACCACGGCGGCTGAGGGCGACGCCGAGGAGGATATTGAGGAGGAGGAACTCTTTAAGAAATTACAGGATATGGATGCGCCGATACGGCTGTTTGGAGAGGATTACCGCGGGCGACTTCGACGATACCGTCGCCTGGTTCAGCGGGCAGCCGTTCCCAAGAAGAAGGTGACAGACGGGCCTATTCCCACCACCTTGGAGCCCGTATCCGGTGGACAGATGATCATCCCGTCCAAAATCCCGAAAGACCAAGAGGGCCGTTTGTTCCTTTTCCGGCAGCTGGGGTCTTACTTTAATATGGTCTTGTCGGAATGGGAGCTTGCTTTGGCGAAGCGTGATGTCTCGGTGCGCGAAAGTTTCCAGGGAAAGCAAGCTTTCGGCGCCATGACCCAGTCGCGCGAGAACATGAGGCCGTTGTTCCGCCTCTTTGAGAAGGCGGAATTGGAGGATGGACTGTTGGAGCCGATTGTCGAGATTGTGCACAAGGCGCAGCAGCGGCGATACGTCGATGCAAACGATGCTTACTTACGAGTGAGCATTGGTAAAGCGTATGTTTTCCTCCATTTTCAGCGCACTCGAAGCTGATACTAACATGTCTATAGAGCCTGGCCCATCGGTGTGACCATGGTGGGTATCCACGAGCGATCTGCGCGAGAGAAGCTGCACCAAAGCGACCAGCAGGCGCATATCCTGAGTGACGAGATTACTCGCAAATATCTGCAAAGTATCAAGCGCTGCCTGAGCTTCGCACAAGTCCGCTGGCCCCCGGAGGATCAATTGCAGGTCATGGGCTAGTGTCAAAAACTGTGTCTAAATATACCCATAGCGTTTCGAGAAATATGTACATTAAATAGCCCCTTATATTCCGCTTTCAAATCCCAACCCATCAATCGGTCTCTTTCAATAATTCCGAGACGGCGACCACATCATATCCCCTGCGAGTCAGTTCCGGCAGCACCTTCTGTAGCATCGGCACTGTCCACCCTCTGCGATCGTGACAAACAATAATACTGCCCGGCTTGACCATACTCAGAATATGACCCGCATTCAATCTCCAGAATGGCACCTGCGGATCATGGGGATACACATTGCCAAGCACCAACCGATATCCGAGTCTGTTCACCAGTTGTCGCATCCGCGAACTGAAAACCCCTCCCCCAGGACGAAAGAGCCATTTTCTCCATTGACTGCCAGCCGTAGAGTAAGCCTCTTGAATCTGGCCATGCACTTGACGCATCTGATCTTCCAAAAGGTCGTTACTGAGTAATCGCGATGGCTCATCGTACATAGCATGATTGCCGAGTTCATTACCTGCGCGAACCAAATCAGCCAAGACAGGTTCAAGGCCTGGGACCTGGGTCCCGATCACGAAAAATGTCGCAGTAGCATTGTGCGCTTGTAATGAACGCAAGATCGCAGGAGTGTACGTGGAGGGCGCGTCGTCGATTGTTAACGCGACGATCTTTTTCTCCGTGGGGACGTGGAAGAGCACGTCCGGCCAGCGACGCTGACAGTAGCGGATCAGAAGACCTGGTGGCTTGTATATGCAATAGAGAAGTACGATGGCGATGAGAGGGATGAGAACGCAGGTTATAAGGATGGCTCGAGACATTATTGGTCTTTCTCTCTCCGCAGAAGACAGATGGTTTGTTTATACATAGCCGTCCTGCCATGACTCATTCCTAACCTAACGCAAAGCTTCAAATCTTTTCAGGAAACAAAGACTAGATATAGACGCGCTTGAGTAAAATTTGAGTATGTCAAAAAATAATGCAAATGTTGGCGTCGGGATATCAAAGTGGTTCGCCTGCTGAAAATTTTCATCCAATATCTTCAAATTATTCTCCGCCGCATCCCCTAGTCCAGAGCGAAAGGGGATACGAGGGCGCGGTTGTGTATCAGGCGCTCCTGGACCCCAAAACGCGCATATTCGCATGACCGGTTCTCCAGGGGATGAAAAATCACTCAAAGTAGTGATGGCGGCCGGTAAGCCCATCATTGCCACCACGGCCCTGTTGCTTCCATTTTCTTTTGTTAGTGAAGTGTTGAAATGTCTATTGCACTTGTCATCTGCGTTTGGAGACAAGTAAGTATTCGCTTCTTGGGTTGACGAGCTCAGGTGCTTATCCAACTCATGCTTCGAGTTGAACTACCCTAGACAAAATAACAGATCTGTAAAAGGCATGGTGGAAGAGTATTCCGTATTCTTGTTCATTTAATGCTTGTACACACAGGCTCGCCAGTTTGACATTCTCCAAACATTATAGTCAGACCCATTACGCTAATGAATACCTGTTGGGATAGATACGAACAAGACATCCCTATAAAAACGATTCGATTCAAGTAAAGAGGGAGTAAAACTGTTCTTGCGACTCAATATGTGGGTTTCATCTAGGCTACCACAATAATACCCGCATAGGCTCTATGAAAAGCACTGCAAGCTGACCAAAACCACCTCCTTGCTTTTTCCTCCGCTAGTAGCCTCATGGCTGCATTTGATTCATCTTCGCTGTACCACTTGTGACCCTGGGGATGAACCGACGTGCAGAGGCACTCAGGTTTTGATTTCTGCCTGATCGTTGTGGCCTCCGTCTAATCGGACTCATGTTGACGCCCTTGATGGGTGTTTTGGCTATCAAGCGAAAGCGATCTGAGGACGATGATGAACATGATGTGCTCGAAGTTGATGTGCTGGTTGCGTCGTGTTATTGTCGACTTCGATTTGTGTTCAATCAATCAATCAATCAATCAATCAAATTTCAATTAACCTGTTGCAGTCTAAATAGTTGTGTATGACTACGCAGGCGCTTCCTCCAGCGGAAGCAAGAACTCGTAGCCAAACACCCGGCCTGGGATCCTAGATGGATACCTGCTCTCGCAGTCCCCCAGTCTCCCAAAGAGGAAACAGATGATGGTTCGAAAAGAGTGCGGAAATCAGCCCATTTCCTTCCTGCCAGCCCCAGAAACAAATGCAGTACATATGAGAATCCCACAATGATCGTCATGGAGTGCACCCTCCATCCTCCATCCTCCTTCACTCTCTTCCATCACCATAGCCCACCTCCCCTTACCTTCGTTTCAATTCGTCTTGTATTGTGCTGGCTAGTTGATTGGCATGATTGTCGACTGTCACCGAGCCTCTCGATACCCGGTTTCGCTCGTTTCGTTGTTGATTACCCATCGTCTTCCACACCTGCATCCATGGCCCATTGGCCAGTTTGTTTGTCATCTTCCTCGAGCTCAACGCAACGGAATTGCTGGAGGAGACCTGTCTGGTGCATGAATTTGGCCAGGTAGCGGGTGGCCTGCGGGTGCAAAAGATTATTCGATTTGTGTTTCCCAGCGCTCGAGTGGGCCGCCCGGCCTTCCTGCCTGCTCTGAGGCCTTTGTCTGATGCATCTGTTAGCCTCACTCTGTTATAATTGTGTCGCATTTGGATATAGCTGCATCGAAAACCCGTGGTTCAGTTGCAACATAATTGTCATCTTTCTGGGCTATTGCCGCAAGCCGATGTAGCTTCTTCGAGAGCATATAGGTGGATTGATGAAACACGCCATATATTTGTTGTAGACCAGAGAGCATTCTGGACGACACACATAGACACAGATAGGAGGGAAGATTGGGAATGAAGATGAGAGAGAACAAGTGTGGATATAGAAACAATAGAAAATTACGACTTTGGCGGCCTCTTCGCGACGAATCTTGCGTCGCAGGTTCTTGATTTGCGACTCGCTGAGCCGGGAACGGGGGGGGGGGGGTTCCTCGCCGTCGCCACCGGCAGAGGTAAAGTTGAGCATCTCTAGTCGCTGGTTGATAATCAAGGCTGAAAGTGACTGTAACCTTCGTAGGTGTGCGTTCTCTATAAGCTTTGCATCCTTATTTAGCGTTTGAAGCCTCTCATTCCACTGCTTAATGAGAAGAACTCACATTCACCTCCAGGTAAATGAATAAACCACGCAAAGTTGTAAAATATCTATCGAAGTTATTCCGGTTTTGGCGTGAATGTAGCATCGTAGAGGAAAAGTCACAGTTGTAATAACAATGATGAAAGTTGATTGCATTGTTCATAGCTGAATGTATAAACCGAAAGGTAGAAAGAACAAGCATATTTGGGAGGGGAAAAGAGGTGTTGGGGACATTTCAAATTGGGGAGAAGAGATACTATTATTAAATGGCAAGTGCATCCATCAAAAATCGTCATAATGACCAATGTTTTCTTTTCACCGTAATCAACAGATTCGACCTCGGGAATAGGGTTGTATACTAGGGGTACCTACCGCCTAGGTACATAGGTATATATGTACGTAGCTTAAGAATTTATCAATGTCAGATGTTATTACCTAGTGGGTAAAGACTTATATACACCTATGTAGATGGAACACACCATTTTTGATTGATTCCCATCGTTCATTTTACGGCTACATCGAATATGGTCGGATTAAAGTACTCGAAACTCCCAATTTGCCCTACTATACCATCCACGCAGCACGCCCACAAAGCGTCAACTCACTGTTTGCTATACCAAGTAAGGAGGGCCAATTTTAAGTGCTTACTTGGCTCCCTCTCCGAAAGAGCAGTCCCGCAGTCTCTCTCCGTGTTACGCAATGAAAAAAGGAAGCCCAATTGCTTTTCAGCTTTTAATGCGAAAAGCCTCCGATGTCCGTTTCTAGAATATCCCATAGTACCCACTCTAAAATTCCGAGGGCGATTATAACCACACCCACTAAATCCGATCTCCCATTATGGCTCTGTACAAACTTTTGTTAGTGATGCCGACAACGTCGCAGAGCGCGATCTCATTAGAGAATCTGCACACAGACGGTGATACTACGCCACAGTGACGCGAAGTCGCGGTTTAACTGGATACCAAGCCTGCACGATACCCGTTAACTCGGGTGCTCCCGTGCGACTACATAACTCTAAACAAACGTCGACGAAACACACCGAAACACGGCGCATAGTGACCCATTTTGCTTCCATGACAGGTCCCTGTGCATCGGTAGAAGCCGCTCTATTCTATAAAATATTGACTGACATTATCTCTGTTGTACGACCGCGGGTCATTTAAGTCACTGCACTGGAAGCCGAACCCCTTGGAAAGCTAATATAGACATGTCTTTTCGTCGATGATAGACTTAATATTTCATTAATCATTGAAGTCTACGTTCTATCACAAGGGAACGAGATCTACTGGCTTTTGACCATGCTAAGCTTCCGACTCGAAGTGACATCTCTGGTTCAAAAGCTACCAAAGTCTAAATCTGATTTGATGTAATTGATATTCTATCAAATATGCATATGCTCAAAGCTGATCGACAAGGGATTTAGTTCTAATTGACTTTGGGTTATCATTCATCTTTGAGTTAATTTGTTCTCTGGTCAAGATGAAAACAGACCAAGGCAGAGAAGAAAAAGAAGGATAATAGGGACAATAGAGGCGGGCTTTGAGGAAGATCCTTGTGCACTACGTCGGCGAGGGCTGATCCATTCTGATACGATTCTTTCACCCGTACATGAGTCACCTCATTCCAAGGTAGGAGTCTCATGGGTGTTTAATTAGTGGATGATTGTACAATTGAGTATGTCGATTCTCTAGAATCCCATGGAGCCCATTGATGCCCAAATATTTCGAGCAATGGCCTTACCGGGAGGCTTGACCATATTATGACGTGAAAGAGTGAGCTATGCTGGAATCTGTTTGCTCTTAAAAAGCTGCTAGAAGCGACTGCGGTGTTTCTGTACTTATAAATGCCAAATGGATTTTTCCTACTCTAGTTCGACTTCTTTTCTTTCCTCTGTCATTTATGTCTTTATCACCTGTCTACGGAGTTGCTAATTTTGGTTGATAGGCCTTGGAAGAACCCCATCGGATTGCTTTGCTTGGCGTCGGCTTTGTTTTTATCAAATAAACTACCCATACGGTTTAGAAAAATTAAGAATTAAATAATTATAATTTCCTCGTCTTTATAAATTTAATATAGAGTCTATGGCCTACGAATCCTACAATATAGGGCAGAAAGGAATGCCAATTGCAGTCGAGAAACCCTACATACTGCTTCAACTGTCCTCTCTATTCAATGTTAATCCTGAACTCCTATTCCGACATTTCCCCAAGATCCAAAGCTCGCAAAACCTTTCAATTCCGCGGCAGCCCGGTGTTTAATTATATAGTCTTTCCTATCTAATAGTAGGGTTTAAAGCGCCCTTATTTCCTAAAGTCGAAGTCGACTGAGCGTTGTACCAAGCATGTCTTTTAGGATATACAAGGGCGTTACCTTCCGAGGGCCTTGGACCGACCGCCCAAACCGACGCTGGCCCGCTCGCGGGGAAGTACATAGTCTTTCTCTCGCCACAGAAGACAGATGCGAGAGGCTTGAACGAGTAACCTACCTAGGTAACGGAGGCTTTAGATCTTTTCGGGAAAAAAAGACTAGATATACATACGCTTTATTAGGGATCTTACTATATCAAAAAAGGCGGTTTGGCCGAGTGGTCTAAGGCGCTAGACTTGAATTTATCGAATGCTTCGATTTCCGAGTTCGGGATATCTAGTTCCTTCGGGAGCGCAGGTTCGAACCCTGCAGCCGTCGCTCTTTTTTTGTCCCTTTGCCTTCAAGGCAGGGACCCGAGTGGTTGACTATTTGTATACTCTGTGCTAATTAAGATAAAAAAACCAGTTCTCCTATAGTGAATTCCTCTTGATATCTAAACAACTCGTACGGGAGCTTAGTCGAACCGTGGACATTCTTTTATGGGGTTATCTGCCGTTGCACACCGCCTTTGTGACTATGGATACCGGTCCCGCCTCCGTGGGGTTCAACACCGCGCGATTTCTCGCGCTAACAGCTATAAATTAACAGAACTCGAAGAGGAAACGCTTCAAAAATGGATCTTATCGCTTGATGATCGTGGAGCAGCGCCTAGGCCTACTACTGTACGAGAAACTGCGAATCTTCTTCTTTAAGCCCGCGGAACTACCCCGGTTTAAACAGTCGGCGAACAATGGGTTTATAACTTCGTAAAAAGGTATCCCGAGTTATTAACCCGATTCTCGAGACGTTATAATTATGAACGTGCGAAGTGCGAAGACCCGAAGATTATCGGAGAGTGGTTTAATCTTGTTTAAAAAACTATCTTTGAAAATGGTATTGATCCCGATGATATTTACAACTTGATGAGACTAGTTTCGCTCGGCGAAAACAAATATAACCCTGAAATCGCGAGTGGGTGACTACAGTTGAATATACAAATGCTTCCGGTAAGGCGTTGCCTCCGTGTATTATTTTTAAAGGCAAGGTGTTCATCGAATCTTGGTTCGACGGTCTTCCCGATGATTAGCGATTTGAAGTAAGCCCGAACGGCTGGACCTCGGATGAATTCGGCCTTTGTTGGCTTAAGAAGCTCTTTATTCCGTCGACTTTTTCGCGGTTAAAGGGTCGGTATCGACTTTTAATACTCGATGGTCACGGAAGTCATTTAACTCCGAAATTCGATAAAATCTGTAAAAAAAACAATATTATACCAATTTGCATGCCCGCACATTCCTCGCACCTTTTATAGCCCCTTGATATCGGTTGTTTTGCGGTCTTAAAGCGCTTATACGATCGGCTTGTCGAAACGAAGATGCGGAATGGGGTCAACTATTTCGACAAACTTGATTTCCTTGAAGCTTATCTTTCTGCCCGAATTGAAGCTTTTAAATCCGAGACTATTAAACATAGCTTCGTAGCCGCTGGTTTAGTGCCTTTCTGCCCTGATCAAGTGATATCAAAGCTTGATTTTTACCTTCGAACCCCCCCCCCCCCCCCCCCCGGGCCAGCCAGCCTATCGGAGCATTCACAGGCACCTACCCGGGCACCCCGGGGTGGTGGAATATGTAGGAAGCCAGGCCATAGAAGAGAGACATGTCCAGATAGACCTATTTCTTAGTTGATTTTGATATATGGTGTTTGGTGTGAAAAAAATACATTTAAAAGAAATATATAATGGTGAGTGATCCGCTCGTTTGTGTGATCCACTCGTATGTGAAATACGTTAACTATTGCAGTTCATAGTTTTACTCGGGATGGCGATTGCGCTCATTTTAGACAAACCAGTAAACTCGTGCTTGAAAGAATTGTCTAACGCCCAAGACATGCCCACGAATGAATGAGCCCGTCACAAGCCGAATGCTTCCGGGATAAGGTGTTGGCATTTTCGAAAAACACCTCATAAATGAGGCATCGGTTGCCTCCGATGAGTTAGTAGTTGGGTGGATGACCACCAGCGAATCCTCACTGTTGTATGTTTTTGCTTTTGTTGCTGTGAAGTGATTTTGTTGACATCTCTACACACACTCACTGTTTGAATCTTAAGATGTCTGCATCTGATGGAGTGTGAGAATCATGATTTCTTCCAAGAATTATCAACCTCGGAAAGATCCAAGTCTGATATCTCTTTTGGTTTTAGACGCTAACAAGTGCTAGCTGTACTATCCTTACTTTGGGCCTTTTAGCATGTCTGATAAAAGAAATTGGCAAGTACACGGCCCCGAGAGCTGGAGATCAGCCTTGCGTGACAAGGGCTTTACTGTGTCCACCGCAGCCCGACACACGATGTGTAATTTAATTTCCGCACTAGTTTATACAAGTGGGGTGTCGCAAAGTTCTTACCTAAATAAAACTTCATTTGTGGACACCGTAACTTCAAACCTTGGAACAAGATTCAACCAGCGGATCTATCACAACACTCGACTAAAAGCAAGGAGACACGACTGGGACCAATCGATAGTGGAGCCGATCGACAGTGGAACCGATCGACAGTGGAACCGATCGACAGTAAGAGAACCCGGCAGACGAAGAGCGAGACAAACAAACAATGACCCGTGAACCTCTTGTTAGGGGGTCAGATGACCGCCTAGGCTGGCTCTCTCTCTCTTTTCCCCCGATGGGTCTTTTTGCTTTGACAGTCTGAATCAACTGTTTCTCAGCGTTTATTGCTTCTTCGAGTAGCCTATCGTCTGTTTAGACCTTGTCGGTGAAGCAATTGCTAGTCAAATAGCAGAGGCTCTCATCGCAAGGTGTCCTATTCCGCGGGATAATCTCCAGCATGTCGGTGATTTTGGATGAGAAAGGCGAGAATAACGCTCATGCGCCACAAGAACAACCTTTTACAGGCGAAAAAGAGGATGGTTATGTCAATTGGAAACCTGGGAGACAGGAATTGATGATTTTGAGTTGTCTGGCAATCGTATCAATGGTTGTAGCTCTCGACGGGACGGTCCTTGTTCCCGTTCTCCCAGTAAGTCGCACTTTTAAAATCTTATTTAATCTTGTCGCTGATATGAAGCTGTAGACAATTGCTTCGGAATTGCACGGAGATACAAATGAAGCATATTGGGTTGGAACAGCATACCTCCTATCATCCGCCGTGTTTCAGCCGCTCTTTGTGGCACTTTCAGGTGTCCTAGGACGACAGATCGTGCTGTTTATGTCCATTGTGCTATTTACCATTGGAACCCTAATCTGCTGTCTTGCCCAAGACATGGCCGTTCTTCTAGCCGGTCGGACCATTCAGGGAGTTGGAGGGGGTGGTATCCTATGTCAAACGTTTGTCATCACGACGGATATCATTCCTCTTCGACAGCGCCCAGCATACTCATCCATCATACAAATAGCATTTGTGGTCGGGACGGTAACCGGTCCGCTCATTGGAGGGCTGCTTGTTGACCACACCACCTGGCGTTGGGTTTTCTATATCAATTTCCCCTTTATGGCTGTAGGCCTTGTCATGGTCCCGTGGGTTGTGAGATTGCAAAGGCCTCGAAATGGAAGCGTTTTGAAGCAGCTCAAATCTATCGATTGGCTCGGCACTTTTCTGTTCATGGGAAGTGTGTCGAGTTTTCTGATGGGTATCACTTGGGGCGGTGGCCAGTTCGCATGGTCAAGTTGGCGCACTCTGTTTCCAATTTGCCTTGGCTTGGTAGGAGTGCTGGCTACCATTCTTTGGTTAAAGAAAGTCCCTAAAAATCCATTCCTTTGTCTCGCTCTATTCCGAAATGCGTCCTCACGGGCAATGTACATTTGTGCTGTTCTCCAGGGATTACTGGTGAGTGTTTCCGAACGAATATTGATATGTCCTTCTTCTTTCCTCCAAAGATTGACACCTTCTTGAGAGTTGATACTAATGTTTGATTTAACTAGATGTTCTGCGAACTCTATTCTCTTCCGCTGTACCTTGAGGGCCCCAAGGATATGTCTCTCACTTTGACCGGTGTCTCTTTGATGACAATAACCGGATCTTTGATGCCGGTCAGTCTTGTGGTTGGTATCGTTATAACCAAGTCAGGTCATATTCGCTGGGCCTTGTGGTCCGGCTGGGTTTTGATTGCTACCTCCACCGGCTTATTGATATTGCTCGATATTGATATCAAAACTTACGCCTGGGTGCTCATATTCCTCTCGGTGGGCATGGGCCACGGTTGTGTTATTGTGTCGAGTAGTATGTGTGTCCAAGCACTGGCAGCCGCAAAAGACTCGGCGCAAGCGGCAGCCATGTACACATTCCTGCGATCCTTTGGGATGTGCCTCGGAGTTGCCGTCAGCAGTACTGTGATGCAAAACCGACTCCGTTATCACTTGCAAATTCGCCATCTACCCTTGGACATAGCCGATAATGTTGAAGGCTTTGTTGCAAGCCTCAGAAACAACAAGTCATCCTACACCCCAGCATTCATCCACACGGCGAATACAGCCTACGTGGAGAGTCTCAAAAATCTGTTCGAAGTTTTAGTTGCCCTTGCTGGGGTTGGTTTGGTGGCTACACTCTTTCTCAAGTCGGTCAGCATGAATAAGAAGTTGGAAACCCAACATGGGCTTCAGAAAAAGACGAATATCGACACTGAAGAACTGATCCCATAGGATCTCGCTATGATTTGCTCGTTAAAACATAAAAAGGGAGACTCGAATAATTTGGAATTGCAAAGTATCCACCAAGAGAACCACCGCTTTTTGCTCGCTTAAATTTAATACCAACAAAATTACCTTTTATGCTGGTTGATTTCTGTATGGTGTCAAAAAAAAAGAGAAAAAAAAGACCGCAAAAGATAATCAAACTAAAATCAAACAACAGATAAAATTAGAATGCAAAGGCAGCCCAAAATCTTGAAAACATAGCAGAGACGAACATAGGTAGGAGCTTTCCAAGGACTTTGAAGGTCTTTCAGCAGTAATCTGAATATGGAGCACGGAGTACTTGGCTCTTCACTTAATGGTTCCAGATACGGAGTAGCGTGATACAACAAAAAGCTTGAACCGATCAGCGGTCCGAGATCCATAGATCGAAGCTAGCAATTACGACTATTGTAATATACTTTCTGGTGCTGAAGTGGGTCAGCATCTCTGTTTTTCAGCTTGCAAGACTCCAAATGAGCTAGTATTCATCAATGTTCATGCTGAGATGATCGTAAGGGCTTGGGCACGATCTGCACTACATAGATTTGATTTATATTAATGTTAATACCCAACGTTCAGAATAACAAAGCTGTTGTTCAGTTGGCAGATTAAACCCTTGCATCGATCTAGCGATTCGGGTGTTCAAATCTGATCTATCACCACAGGAACAAACGCACGGCATCATGCACGAGGTGAAACTCTCCGCGGTCTAGGTTTGTAACTGGTGGACAAACCCCGAGCGGACAGATCCCACCCACAGTACTCCGTAGAAATACTGTACTTGTACAAATGCCCCATTGACAGTGGGTCCTCTTTTGGTTGTCAGTGGGACCTGCCCTCTTACAAAGCCCATGCTGAACACGTCTTTTTCGGGCGCCCTTGCATGGCTGAATTGGAAAATCTGAAATCTTGTTTCCAGGTACTCTGTACTCTGTACGGAGTAGAAATTTGCGATCTGCCTTGTGTCAATTTGTTTATCCATCGTCCTTTCGTAAGCATGGGCGATCTTGTCAAGTTCATCCTTCCGGATAACCCTATAAGTAGTCGGTGTATTTCCATTCCTTTCTACGATTTTTGTTTTTCTTGGTTCTTTCGCGAGCGAGTTCAAAATGGAAAGACTCAGTAGTGTGGGATGCAAGGATTTCTTGTCGGCCAACACACTAGAAAATCCCATTCTGCCAGGGTTCTGCCTGTTCATTACCAAATCCAGCAGTTACGATGCTCTCATCTTTTGTGCTCTTTGTGTTTCATATGTGTTATTCAGTCGGTGTGTACTTGGGTCGTTTCTTCTTGACTTCATATACGGCAAGAAGTACTCTTCTATGAAAGAATCTGACAAACAAACCTTTGGACTTCGACATGTCGGGATAGTCGCCCGGGTGGCCTCTTTTGTTCTTATTTTAAAACCAGCTCTTATGGTGGCTTTTGCAAATAAGAACTGGTTTGATCCGTACTCACACGGTTCAGACTTTACCTTGGGTGACATGGCATTCATATCAGTCATGATCACATCCGCATTCCATCTTTTCGAACTCATTTTCGATCAGTCTATCAAGCCTTTGATGGTCCTCCATCATCTCGGGTCGATCTTCATCATTCAGGGCTTCTTACCGGTGGCCATAGGTCTCCCAAAAACAAAATACTTGGAATTAAATGGTGCTCTTGGAATGATGAACGTTGCTTTATACTGGGGTAAGTTTACAAAAGATTATGTGCTCCTGATGATGTGTCCGACCTAACAACTTTTAGCCCTGTTAGATGCACCCTTGGTTGTGCTTGCTTACATCGCTTCCGTCCTCCGTTCAACCTTCATCCAAGGGCGCACAAACATACGAAAACTGTTCTACGTCTGTTTCAACGCTGCTGCACTGTTTACGTTTATCGAAATTCTGGCCATTGTCTACTTGAGTTTGCAGAACTGGCAGCAGTTGTCCGTGCTCCAGCGAACAATAATTTGCTCCCTTCAGATTTTATTCACATCCGCTAAAGCGCGAGTCTGCAAATCTTTTTATTTGTCATACGTCAGACAGATGGATCAACTGAACAACCAGGGTTCAAGACATATTGAGGTCACCAAGCCCGAATAAGAAGAGCAGTGCACTGTCTGGCGGTTTGAACAGGCAGTAGAAACCTGAGAAAATTCAATTCGGGACGGATCAATCAGAGAAAGGAGTTCCTGGAATGGGACTCGGTAGGTGGCCTGGCCCCAAGATCTTCGCACGGGGAGACACTCGTACTCATTCCCAAAAACCGGGTTGGCAAAGTCATGTACCATTTATTTTGTCACCAGGGGAGATTTGGATCTTTTCATCTTGTGCTTCTTTGTCCAATCTTATCTTTGGGGACCGTGGAGCAAACAAGATGTATTGGGTGGTGTACATGACATGGGAGAGGGAAGAAGGGAAGGGGGAGGAGCTCCCACGCCAGAACCCTCAACCTTCTGGGCCACGGTCCCTTAAATTTGTATATTTACACTTCAATTGTTGAGACAAATCTTCGATATGATTTTGAATATAATTAATACATCTATGATCCCAGTCTTTGCAGTGTTTGAAATTTCGATAGAATCGTTGCACAGAGCTCCTACCGAGCGCACGAGGGCAGGAATATACCATAATGGCATTTATTGTAAGAGGCCGACGAGAGAAGAAGCTCCCGATCTACGACTAACTAGTTAACGTAATCCACTACCGATCTGGACACCCAACCAAAACGCGTCCATGAATTAGAACCTAATTAAATCAACCACCTACTATGCCACCAATTCGCCCCCGAAGCTCTAGAAAATTGATCAAGCAAGAGGGTAGAATCTTATTAGCTATTCAGGCTATAAAGAACCAAGAAATCAGCTCTATTCGTGAAACAGCACGCCATTTTAACGTACCAAAATCCTCCTCGGTGTTCAAGACTGCGCGAATTCTCGCGCTAATTCACATAAATTAACAGAGATTGAAGAGGGATCGCCTGAAAATTAGATTCTCTCTATGGATTCTCGCGGCCCAGTCCCTCGGCCTTCTACTGTATGGTTCGAGAAATGGCTAATCTTCTTCTTACACATCGTAAAACTACCCCGGCTCCTTGGGTCAGTTGGATCCCAGGTCACGTGATGTATATAGATCTATTGGGATGGCTGCTGCAACTACAAATATGCAAAATCAAGCGGTGGAGACGTATTGCTTTCCGGCTATCGATACCTTCCGAAAATAAGTCGACATCCCCGCTCGAGATGGAGATGCCGAGTTTATCCTAGCATAGCTGAAGAAGGTGAGACTGCGTCTCGGCTAGGTCAAGTTAGAGACCGGCGTCGGCGCGTGCTTCCGCGGTGTACAAGGTCTCGATCAACTCAGCATATTGCTGGTAGAGCTGTGCTCGGACTATAGACCATTTGCCTGTTCGGGGGAAATTTGCCGTGTATGGCAGAATCGCCACTATGTCCTGTGAGATTTGAGTAAAAGCCTCTACGTGGCAATTGGCCTCTTTAATGGACGGCCAGATCGTATTAAGATAGTCTTTATCTGGCAGAGAATAGGCCTAGTTTCCTCGGAGCGTAGGATTAGAAGACCCCTTGTGGCTTTTCCCACTCCTATAACCACCGCTTTATAGACTAGCGGATGTTGCTTAATATAGCCTTTAAAAGAAAGGGGTAAGACTATTTCGCTATTAACGAGAGTAATGCGGTTATCTAGTCGCGAGAAAAACTTCTATCGCCCCGGAATCGTAGGATAAGGAAAGAATATATCCTTAGAGTGGAAAGACCCGGGCGGGTCGTCTAAATTAGATATGGTTAAAGCCGGATGACCGGCTAGGTAAACGCATTCGTAAAGTGGTTCAGTCTCGCTAATAGGTTTTATCTGAATATATGGTCGAGCGCTATCAAATAACTACAGATAGTACTAATAAGGATTATCTTCGGGCCGTAAGATCGAATCGGCTATAAGGCTTGCCTCGGTGCTAGCCTAGATATTAGCGTAGAATTATTACTAAGGAAAAGAACTTCATCCGATCTTATAACGTTAATCGCGGCACAGTGAAAGCTTCGGCAGCAGCTCTAATAGAGGCGTATTTCCCATTTTCTATAGCTTTAATGGCTAACAGAAGGCGGCCCTCCTGCTCAACCAATTTTTGAGCTTTTTGAGATCGAATTGGGGGCATTGTTGATGTTCAAAAACATACGTTGCTATGGGATCCATTTTATTTTGCGGGTGGCCGGAGTAACAGGGATCCACGTTAGTGGACGAGTTTGTACTTATGTAATACTCAGGGGCGTGCTCGGTTTTACTCAGTGAGTAACAAGCGGCAAGGGGTGAGCACTAAAGCGGAAAGGGAAAGCCATGTCGCGCGGCCTAAAATCCGGTGTATATGTACTTAGACTCGGGCGAGTAAGAGCTGTCCTTTATACTACCTCTACCTAGGTGAAAGGCTGTCTGAATGCCACGCCTAGAACCCTTGAGTAGACTGCGGCATATCCTCTCCATTGGATATTAGGCTCAATACCATATCCGCAAATTGAGGATAATGGATATTACTTTCATACCATATCCTCAATGAGGATATCCATGGATATCCGCGAGGATATGAGGATATTCTGCGGATATCCGCACTAGCATAACTCTCGCTTGATTATCTACTTAGGGGTCGTCATGTGCCTCTTATACAGCTTATTAATTTATTTTTCAGAACAAAAGATACACAGGTTTGGTCCTGACCATACTACTACCCTTATTTATCCTATTTCCCAATGAAATATTAAGTAATACCTATGTATTAACCAATATTTATTAGCTTCATTATTACTTATAGCATCAATCTTTATTTTCAAAGTGTATTAGGGGGAAACCATGATTTTTTGTTATTTCACTTTACTTTACCATAGAAATATATATTTACTCATAGAAGAAGTATAGCATCTCTCAGCTGAACTAAGTATATTTGACCAAACTCGCCATTTCCCGGTCAAATTTAGTTAATTTAGCTTTAAATTAATGATCTAAGCCTAACTTTCAAGTATATAATGATTCTAAATAGATTCTCTCGAAGATTACCGGTCGGAAGCTCCAATGTTGTTGACAGCGGACTTAGTGAATATGGCGGCAAGGTTAAGGATATCCAAGGATATCCATGCGGATATCCACAATATATCCTCAATTATCCTTAAATATCCACACCAGTGATTAGTAATAGCCAATCATCGCTATCAAAAGTAAGAGATGTCAAGTACGCACCCGCAACTTACGAGTTACAGCATATTTGCCATAATTCTGATATTTTCAGCTCGTTCTATATGTAAGTTTCTCTCTCTCTCTAACATAGTGATCAAGTACACCATGTCTTACTCATAAGCATCTCAATCCCACTACTCCTTCTGCGCTGATTCAGATCTAGGTCTAAATACCGACCTTCTTTATTCAGATGATATCTCTGAGCTTATTAGCAGCCAAACTCCATTAACATCTACGTCTCAAATTTCATCTCCGATTGCACCCCTCTCGCTTACGCGTGTTGGCCTCCCTCTTCAGCAGTATTAGGTCCTCTATTCCTCTAAGCCTAGTAGCGAGATGGAAGAATCTCGTAAGCGCTTTATAAGTTAGTGGTTAACTACAGAGTCTAGATCAACACCTGATATACAAGACTCTATCCGTTGGGATGGGAAAAAGACTTCAAGTATCTGGGACAATTTCAATCAGGTTGCATATGAGAAGACTGGTAAGCCAAAGGTTATATGCATATTATGCCTCTATACCCTTGTTCATCTAAGATATCGCCGTGCTAGGTCATCACCGATGAATGTACATATTAAGGCAGGCACCTGTACTCGGAAGCCAGTTACTTAGAGGGTTGATCAGCTACTAAGAAAGATGGTATATTACTCTATTATTAAGATTTTTAATATCTCTTTTGCTAATCTTGATAATTATCCTAAAGCCATCGATCCTAAAACACCAACCTTTCTCCTAGGAGCGTCTCGTTAAAGCGATCCTAGACTTTATCTTAGCGGCTCACCTACCCTTCCGAATCGTGGAGCATACCTAATTCAAGGACCTAGTAGAGGTCATTCAACAAGCTCAAAGCAAGATCGATATACCATCCGCGCGAAGCATACGACGTTATCTTGATTCTGCAGTCAAAAATGACCAGAAGGAGATTCTTGGAAGACTTCTAGATAGGAGTCGCCTTTCACTAGCGCTTGATTACTAGACATCGCTATTTCAGTAAGCTTTTATGGCTATCATAGGCTACTTTCTTGATCAGGATTAGAATTATTGTGAAGTTCTTCTTAGATTTGAGCATCTTTATAGGTCTTATACTAGTGAAAATCTAAGTAAGACCGTTACTTAGCTCTTGAATAATCATAGAATCACCAATCGTGTCTTATCTGTGATAACAGATAACGCAACTAATAATAATACCTTGGTGATAAACATCTAAGAGACTATTCAGTCGCAGAGCCAACCAGATACCTTAATCTTCCGAGTTCCGTGTATTACGCATATGATCCAATTAAGCTTAAATGAGCTTCTTAGGAAGCTGAAAGTGACGCCACCTAATAAAGAGATTGAACTAGAGTGGCCTAACGAGCGAACATATTCATTCTAGACTAAACAATCTAGCTTAAGTCGGCAAATTACAGATACCTTAAAGAAGGTCAGTCCTCTATCTCCCTTAGGCTTCTGAGTTTATTCTAATAAGAAAGTCTAAGATCCGAGGTCTTGCGGTCTTTATTAATACGAGCCTATAACGCCGGGAGTCATTTATGGCTCTTCAAACTAATGAGCCTCGTTTGGTTCCTATTTAGGATGTCTAAACCCGATAGAACTCAACCTTTATAATGCTCAATCGTGCTAAAAGGTTACAACCATTCTATGACTAGTATTGTATAGATTATCAGTATCTACACTTTAAACTTGATTAAGAAGAGTGGCGACAGATTGAATATCTTCTTCTTCTCACAAAGCCTTTCTTTAACTTCACCACTATATTATCAAAGACTAGGGATGTTACCACACACAACATCTATAGTATTTATAACAAGCTTTTCTCTTATCTAGATAAAGCTGAGTGTAAGTTGAAGAATAAAGGTGTTGTCTAGAAGAAGCATATGCTCTAGGCTCTTTAGACTGCTAAGCGGAAGCTCTTAAAGTACTACACTGCGACTGATTATGAATTATATGGCGATATCTATGCACTCGCGACAATCCTTTGCCTATCAAAGAAACTTCGATATTTCGCATCGTTAGACTGGTAAGGTGATATTGACTATATTAATCACTATCATAGAGTTCTTAAGCGAGAGTTTCAACGATATAAAGAGATACTTCACCGTGATTTAGATAATACAGTCTTATAAGATACCACGAGAGAGGCCCCGGATAATGAATATAGTGATCTAGATGCTGCTTGTGTATCTCAAAACCAGCCCTAGGATAAGCTCTCAAAGCCTAAAGATAATGAGATCGCGAGGTATCTTGCCCGCGGGATTAAGATTCAGAAGCTAAGAGCATTCTAGAAAGACTATAAGCTTGAGTTTCCTATCCTTACGAGGATAGTACGGGATATTCTCTCGATCCCAGCTAGTGGTGTAGGCGTTGAGCGATTATTCAATTACGCTCGCGATATCTGCCACTATCGTCGCGGTCAATTGAAACCAAGTACCATCCGAGGATTAATGCTCTATCAATTCGCCACTAATTTTGACGTTGAGCAGAAGGAGATAGAGGTTATTAAGGAGTATCTCTCTATTAGGGAAGCTGCGTTATTAGACCAAGCTCGGAAACCAATGCTCTATCTTAAAACTCTTGAGCCAATTAGTGACAACGAAGAGGAGGATCAAGAGCCTAGCATACAGGACACACAATAGAAGAGGAGCTGTAATGATGATTCAGATGATAAGAGGAATAATAATCAAAGTAAGCAAGTGCAGCGTAAGCGATCAAAGAAACGATTATCTGAATCTCTTGATGAAGATAACGATGACCTTCCAGAAATGCCAATAGATGAGAGCATGCTGGGACGGTCAGGACGAATTCGAAAGCAGCCTAGGTTACCTGATGGATTTCAGATTGATTTAAGGTAGTTGATATTATATGGAGATAACGGAATTTTATTTACTAAATTGAAATCTTGAAAGTTAATGATTACACTATGATTACATTAAAAATACGTAGGAAACTGCATAAATTATACATACTTAAAAGAGTCGTGAGGCTAGGCATGTTTGGCCTGTTTGATATCCACTGGATATCCTCAAATATCCAGAGGATATTAGGTGGTATACCATATCCACAAAATTGAGGATTGCGGATATTGGGTGATATACTATATCCGCAATCTGCGGAGAGGATATGTGGATATCCATGGATATTGAGGATGTTGCCGCAGTCTACCCTTGAGCAGCTTCATAGCTCCTATAGGCTCAAACATTTATAGATACTACATATAGAAACGATCTTATTCCATATGGGCTTCCACAGGTCAGCTGATATGCTGCTCACTGTACGTTGACTTCAAAGCAAGTGAGAACTCCATAAATTATATTGCTAGATCTATAGAGGAATATACGTGACATTGTGTTACACCTTGGCGTACGATAATGGGCTATGCTTCGGTATAGATGAGCTACCGGGTTCAAAAGCAACATTTTTACAAATAACTTGACTATGTATGTGGAAGGTCGAAACTTGGACGAAATAAATTAATGAGTTCCACTTAATGTGAAAAGTATATCGTTCATTGCTAATTATGTGTGAATTTCCATGTTCTTCACTCGTTTCGTTTAAATTCACAGAGCAGACTGTAATTTTCCACTTCCACGCCATGTGTTACAGAGACCTCGCTTTGAGTCTCCAAAGACAGGATCATACCTCGGTTTCGCAACAGACCACACCTTTTCAAAGTCTCCTCCACTTTTCACAAAATCCCAGTCACCACCGCTGTAAGCTCCCATCATGGTATACCCGGACAACTTGATATCAGCCAACGCCTTCTTTGGATCCTTAGCCTCAATCCCGTGTCCCGTACCCGGCGTCAATAGCTTGAACTCAGCCTCGGGCCTAGTGTTGTATGTTTTGTGCGCCACGCCGGCAGGGATAATGAACACGTCGCCAGCTTCTCCTTCTACTTCAATCCCACCATTTTCCCAAGAAGACCCATAGGTATTCTCGTTCAAATCTTCGGAGGTATCGGCGACGCCAAATCTGATTCTGGCAGCACCCGAGAGGACGGCCATACACTCGTGTGCTTTGGAGTGATAGTGCGACAGTTGTGTTTGACCGTATCGAAAAATCCATTGAACATTCCAACCGTTGCTGAAAAACATGTCCCAAACCTCAGCTGGGTCACAATTGGAGTTGGTGGGTCTTTTGACTAAAACATTCTTATATTGTAGTAATGGTCTGGGCGAGTTTGGAATGAGGTGTGTTGGAAAAAGGTGATACTGCCTAATCTCAACCATGCTGTTTGAATTTATTCTTAAGATTAGATTCTTCTTGCTAGGTGAGAACAATGTCTGTAAGATCAGTGGAGGGGTCGTTCTGACATAGCCGAAAGATCGGTAATAGACCCGAGTCGGAAGGGTTACCGGGATTCGAATACCAGACCAGGCCTTTTTCCCTTTCACATCAAACGCTCATAGCACACTAAGATGCGGTGTGGTTCCTTTACAGGCTCAATATTCGATATTTGAAGACCTCAAAAGCTACTACTGGATGCTCCATGCATATGTATGTTTGACTACATTTGGGTCAGGGCCAACTAGAATTTTTTAACCGGTTGATACTTGTTATATACAAGAAGCCAAAGAGCTTGGAATGTTGATCTAAGCTATTAGCTGGTCAGTTTTGTTCTCCAAAACCAAAATGAATTCATTTTTCTCCACTTGCCCTCCTTAATTCAATACACGCCTTCGTACAACTAAAATAGGTTTAATACCGAGTCTATGAGCTTCTATCTCTATTTAATATACGAGCTAGAGACCTGAAAATGAATTTCCATTGACTCATCCTAGATCTCTCCTGTGAGCAGACTCCCCAACACAATCAGCTTCAAACCCCATTGACAGACATCACTTCCTAAGACAAACAAGCCACAATTGCCGCAATTGCCGCCAGCGTCCCGCCCAGATTCCTAACTTTCACAGTCTTCAACCCCAACTCAAATGCAGGATAATCATTTCTACCAGGAAAAATCGCGCGCCGATAAACATCATCTCCTCCAGCTCAATCTTGCTAAGCTCGCTCAACCGCCTAAGCCCATAAGCCTTATCAACACCCTTCTTAGTAATATCCACACTCGTCGCCCCGCCCATATTGATCGACATATCGGGCAACCGCTTTCTAAGGTAGGCTTGAATAACCTTCCTCTTCGCAGAGTCCGGATCCTACTTCTCCTTCTCTGTAAGGGGGGCTTCTTGACCAAGTGCGGAAAAGGTGATCTGGCTCCCGCGGTCTTCAACGCGCTCGCCCCAGGTTTTTTCGGGCTGGAAACCTGTTGCGGCGAGCGCGGCATCAAAGGCGGATAGGATGAGAAATTTTTGAGTTTCGGTGAAGAGGTCGGCGTAAATGCGGTTTCATTCGTTTGATTCTGGGTTAAAAGTGTAGAGTTTTGTTCCTGTTGTTAGGAGGAGGAAGAGTTTTGATCTGTCTGCGTGGGGTGGGAGGCGAGCGGCGATCTGCTTTTCGAACTGGGGCCAGTCGCCGCCCAAGATGATGGCTACGTGGGCGACTTAAAGGAGAGATGCTAGTGCTTCGGCTATCTCGTTACTGATATGTTGTTTTCTCAGAGCAAGGGTTCTGTCCAGGTCGAAGGCGACAAGGGAAACCATTTTGCTGGTTGATGGTCTGGTAGGTGTGGAAGGGGTTCAATGGTGTTTAGAGATACAGGCGGGGGAGATAGGGGCAGTTAGGAACTTTTTTAAGAAGAAGAATAGGGGTTTTGTACTTACTCTAACCGCTGATTTATGCATGAAGCTATCCCTTTTGGAGAACTTATGTGTATCTAGCGCTCATTGGCAAATGGTTGTCTCATTTGAGGTACGGAGTGCAACATACTGTGGAGGAAGGAGTGGCCACATAACTAGGGCTATTTCCTCCTCCTCAAGTTAAACGGCCCTCGTAATTTTTTGACCAACCTCCGCTGCAGCATCAATCGCTTCAATTTTTTACACAGACTCATCATTTCTTCAAGCTATGCGGTTGTATTCACCTAGACACTTTGAATGATGAGATCAAAACGGGCGAGAGCTGATTCCTGCTCGAGTCAATTGTGGCTCTGTCTGCTTTATACCTACCGGGCTCCGAAGCCACGGCCGACTCACAATTTGCGAGCTCCAAAGGTATAGTCCGCCACTATAGATCCCAGGTGCAGGCTTCCTCTCGCCGATCCTCTGATTAGCCTATGAGTAAGTCGTCCTGATCTCAGCACTGGTATCATCAATCCACGACTGACCGGTTAAAGCCGTAAGTATCCAGACAAACTTGGTCTTAGGACTTTGTGAGATGTTAACTATGGCAACATCAAGGGTATGGTTGCACATTGGCCTCGCAGTTCGCATGGCGCAAACTTTGCGGATGATCCTTACTCAAAGGGCTGCCAGAAGAGCGCAAGAGCGCAAAACAACTGACGAAGGATACTTCGTTGCTGTCCCGATATTCCGATGGCAACAACCCTCCCAATATTTGAATCCATCGGCTAGGTCAAGAGGGTTTAGATGCACGATATCTCAATCCTGCGTAGAGTCTACACATTTAGTACGAAACCCCGAGCTTCAGTTCATCTGTATAGATTTCTATTTTTGAGTTCGAAAGAAGCACATCAGTTCTACACCCAGACTCTATGGATTTTCATCGTGAGATAACAAATAAAAAAACGCTGTCTGGTGAGTTTTGTCCGGTATTGTTCAACCCAATTTTCAGGTTACCGATGCGATGTAATATCTATCGTTTGCGAAACAAGCGTACTCTTTACTGACCACAGCACCAAAGGTCCGCTTGAGTAAGTTATTCTTAGGCGTCCAAAACAGCTTAAACATGATAGGCATGGCGTGGCGATCTTGGTAAGCATAGGGAAAGTCTGCTAATTTCTCAAAAAGAAACCGTGACTTGCCTCTATCTAGGGCTATGCTCGGAAGTAGTTTATCCGCGTTCCGAGCGGGACCCGTCATCAGCTCGACTATCAACAACTTGGAACTCCCCAATACCCCATACCATACCGCAGCCATGGATAGCGCAGATCCATTTCTACAAGTTCAAGCGTGAGATTTCCTCAGATAATTGAAATCAGCTTGCACTAATTCAGCTATAGCGACGTTGAGTCAACACTACAAGCCAGTCGCCCTCTCTTCTCCTCATACCTCCGCATTCGGTCCCTGGCCAAAAGCCCCTCAAACCCCGAACTGAAGCAATCGCGTTCCGAGCTCGAAAGCACATTAACAGAGCTCACGGCCGATCTTAATGATCTTGTCGAGAGCGTACGTGCAATCGAACAAGACCCTTATCGCTATGGCCTAGAACTCGAGGAGGTGCAACGGCGCCGCAAGCTAGTTGACGAGGTCGGCGATGAAGTCGAAAAGATGCACAAAGAGCTACAACAAGCGGTCTCGAATTCCGCCCCTGAAACACTTCCCAATCCCACCGAGTTCGATGCTGCTTTGGAGGAGGAAGAGCGTGGCCGTGCTCGCGGCGGTGACGATTACTATGCCTCTATGGAGCAGCAGCGCCAGTCTGAACTCATGCATGAGCAGGATGAACAGCTTGATGGTGTGTTCCGCACGGTTGGCAACTTGCGCCAGCAGGCTGATGATATGGGGAGGGAGCTGGAGGATCAGGCTGTCATGATTGACGAGGTTGATACACTGGCAGATCGAGTAGGGGGCAAGCTGTCGAATGGCATGTCGCGGATCAAACACATTGTTCGCAAAAACGAAGGTAAGATATCGTGTGCTTTTTTCTATTCTCTACGCTGGCACTGGACTGGTTTGATGTGGGAATCATAAATTCAAGCTAACTTTTCTCCAAAACTAGATACATGGTCCTCGTTTTGTATCGCGACACTCATTTTCGTCCTCGTCTTATTATTAATCCTCCTCATTGCACTGTGATAATACAAAAACCAAGCGGTTAGGAAAAGCAAAAAAACATCAAAAGTTGGGGGATCATGGCGTTAAGGGTGCAAAAGGTTTAGTTGCGAGCCTTCTTGCGCGGGCGCGACTCACTTTCTTCATCTTCATCTTCATCGTCCAACTCATCCATCTCGAGATCCATGTCTTCGAGCTCGGCACCGGCCTGGTAGGATTGAACTGCAGATCATAGTTAGCATTGGTTACGCTCATCACGTCCTCTCTACTTACCGTAGTAGTTGAGCGCATCGGGCCAGAGGTCCTCGGCAATGGCAACGGCAAGGTCATCACCGTCGGGGAAGATCTCAGCATCCTCCAATGAATCACCCTCATCATCGTCCTCATCGTCAGAGTCACCGGCCTCGTTGATGTCCTCGCCGTTCTGGACCTTGGCCCAGCGAGCCTCGATCTCCTTGGCAGACTCCTGGGACTTAGCAGCGGAGATGTCACGGCCACGGTAACCGAAGAAACCGAAGAAGCTGACACCAACGGGACTGGGCATCTCCTCGTCGTCGTCGTCCTCCTCGTTGTTGGCAGCCTCGGCCTCGACCTCCTCGACCTTCTTGACAAGAGCAGCGTACTCGGGCAGCTTCTTGCGGTCACCGCCCTTCTTCTTCTCGGCCTCAGCGAGGTCGCAAGCAGCATCGAGCAGACCCTTGGTCAAATCCATATCCTTCTTCCAGTTGATGCGCACGGGGTCAGAGACGAGACCCTCCCAGGTGCGGGTACGGCCGGAGGAGCTCTTGGAGATCTCCTGGCGCCAGTAGAACTCCTTGACGAGCTTCTCGTTGGTGAAGAAGGGGTTCTCCTCGCCGGTCTTGAACTCGAAGGTGAAACGCAAGCTGCGGGGCTCGCCGTTGCCTTCAGCATCGAGCTCGAAACGCTCAACGGTCATGTTCTTGAGACTCTCACCGAGGACGGCAGCATCGCCAGGCAGAATGTACTCGTCGATCTCGGGGGGAGCGCTGGCGAACACGCGCATCCAGAACTCAGCCTGAACCTCGGGCATGTTGATGATCTCGCTGCGCTTCTGGATGAGAGGGGCCATCAGCTTGGCAGTGTGACGCACTAGTGAGCAATGTTAGCAAATGGAAATAGCAATGACATGATTGCATCGAATCTGCAATCCCAATGGCCAATCCAGCTCAAGAAACTTACACTGCTCAACCTCAGCACGGGAGAACTGCTCCTCGAGAACAGCGATCTTCTTCATCGCCGCCTCGGGGATCTCAGGGAACTCAATGCGATCCATGAGGGATTGATCGTTAGACATTGTAAATTCGTAAGGGTATAAACTTCGTGAAATCAATGAACACAATCAGACAAATGATTGTTTATAAAGAAGAAAAAGAAATGATGTAAAGTAAAGAAAGATCAAGAAGAAGGAAGAAAAATAAATGGGACGCGGAACAAAAAAGATTTTTTTCTTCTTTCAAATCGAAAACGTGAGAGCTATGCGCTAATAGGATGGGAAGCTCTAAGCTACCTGAGGATACTTGACGGTACCTTTGGTTCCGTGGTACCACCGCGGAGGAACCAAGTATTTCTGTGTACCTAAGTGTATGGGATTTGGTGGGGTGATTTACGGCCTGAGGTGTCGGGTACTACATCAAAGTATGTAGAAAAAAACTCTGACGCTGATCTTTGAAGTGGATCATTTTAATTCTATGGTATGTAGAACTAAAACGTTCTAGTTGATTGTTTATTATTGGATCTTAGGGCTTGAAAAAGGCCAAACTATGATGGTGCTTCAGCGTGTTTCGTGTAACTAGAGTATAGTTAATTAGATCATGGTTAGGCACATAACTATGTAGTTGAAGGAAGCAAAATTCGCCTATCTAGTTGATCTCGTGTATAGCTTGTGCAGTAATAAAGTAATTAGCTACAAATTGTATGTACAATATTGTACAGGTCTATCAGAACTTTCAAAACAAGCCCACTACAAAATTGGATATTCGCAATTGTTTCCACCAATCGGTAGGACCCTTAGAGGCATGCTCACATTCAAGTTTATCTGAGAGAGAAAATAACAATCCTCTATCGGAATGTTGTACGGAGTACAAGTTCGTGAATTTGTAGACACCACACATGTAAGGACCGAGGTCTTTGTACATATCTCTTTAGATGAAGCAGCCCCTCAAAACGAGATAAAAAAAAGAGCCTCATTGCTTTTTCACTTATCTCGGTGGATATCAGAACAAAAAAGAAACTATTAGTTCTATACCAATGTAGATAAGAGTGATACTTTAGTTTGACATTTGATCAGTAACTTCGTAATCTTGGTGACGGTAAAACTGCCGCCTCGGGAAGTGATCGGCTCCCAGAGCACAGGGTGAGTTAGTCACCCTGCCGCCCTGAGCGGCTCATGAGCGACCCTGAGCAATCTGATCGCTCACCCTAAGACTCAGGCTGATCGGCCCATTCAAACTCATCTTGCCTCTCCATCCTTTTAAATGCTCCGACAATAACTGCACTGTTGCCTACTGGTTCCTAGGAGCGCAGGCCAGGAAATGACGTATTCTCACGTTGCTATAGTAACTTCCTCTCAATCTTTGAACTTCCAGACTCAACTAGTCTCTCAACTTGTGTGAGAGATTGAACATCTCATCATCCCTACAATTTGCCATCTGCTCTTTGCTTCACAATGCAGGCTCCATCCCTTAGTCCGTTCAACACACCCGAACATGAAATCCCTCATTCTCCTGATTTTCTACATCCGGGGGCTGGCTCGTTCCCATAACCATCGTACACTGCCACAATCGGGCAAAGATTCTCGCGTGCCCTGCCATAGGCCTCGGATGCATTCACACGCCATGCTACGCAACGTGGAGAACTAAGTCATCGATTTCAGTATAATTGTAAAGAAGAAGTTCGCCACATGGTCTATATCATGCTAGCGTTCCTGGGATTACTTTCTCTAAGTCGATCCACTACGAGATTGAACGGCTTTTAATTGGCCACGGCAAAGGAAAGAAGCTGCACTAATAATGCCTGTGGTCTCATTCCCATGTTGCGTTGACTATGGAGCCGAAAACTCAGCCGATCCTCCTACATTACGCTTCATAGTGTAACAGGCGTAAAGAGACAAAATGAGGCCTGAAATACAAATACTCCCAAGGATACCTTCCTGGATTCCTTATACATTCTCTCAAATCCAGTCTCGCTATCTTTTACTCCAACTCTTTTCTATCCAAATATCCTTGCTTTCACCATGGTCACACTGAATCACCAGAGTTTCTGGCAGCCGCCAACTACGAATGCCCCGCCAAAATGCCCATCGATTTCTTCCGAATCCCAAGCCGTTGTTGTGACAGAGTAACTTAACACCCTAAGAGGAAGTCACGAAGGAGATTATTACAGCCTCGAGAACAACGTGCCACAAGAAGAGTGAAGGGCAGAGGATGTGGGTACGTTACGTTACATTAATGACATTTGTTTCGACACCCTTTGATTTAAGATGATACCTCTAGCATCAGAAATAAGCCGGCTCTTCCTATCTATTTGGCCTAGTGTCTATCAAACCAATGCATCAGCCGCCGATACTTACCCCGATTATCCTGAGGAGGTCGCGCTTTATCCTTCCTCTCGAGTTAGTAGTACTCCCTCCGCGACTGGCCTAAATGGGCCTAGAACAACGAGAGTCTTCGACGTCTTTGAGGATGATCACACCAGGCAATGTGGCCAGCCTAATCACAGGTAACTTACTGCGAACGGAAGGAGGCGAGCCTAGGAAAATATCAGCAATTCTTCCCCGAAACGACGCCGGTACCAGAATTCAACCGCCATGAATACAGCCAAGTCACGGAGAAGACGAGGGAGTCAAGCAGAAGCCGAAAGTTCGTCATCTGAAAGCGAAGAGCGCTATGCGGATAACCATCTCGCTGGGATTGGGAATACGATCCGATATCTGAAGCGGTTTTACAGCCTGGCCACTGCTGAGGCCAAGTTCTCCAATGATCTGGCCGATGCCGATATCCTTAAAGAAAATTTCGCGGTGCTTCAGCTTGCAACAAAGACGCTATAGCAGGCTTACGGTATCATTGCAACAAATACCACAGCACTAGAGCATCCTGTCCAACAAACTACGACTGTATAAGCACGGCAAGCTATCATGCGCAGGAAGTGGTCCGTCGAAGATGATTGTCTACTAGTAAAGCTAAGAGACTCTCAGAAACTGCTATGGAGTTGTATTCGCGATTCGTTCCCTGAGAAAACTCTGGGCGTAGTCCAACAACGTTATGTCCCTTTCACACCTCCTCAAGCGCCGCATCATACACAATGCCGGCCATTTCTCTAGCACGGTCCATCCATCCAATCACTCTTCCACTCTCTCCCTCGCCAATAACCTCGCCCATGCCCTGAGAACCCCCCTTTCTCCTCGCCACTCTCTCCGCGATAACATCAGCCTGATACCAGATGCCCCAGCCCCTCTCCACGGGCATTTCGACCACCTCCTCCGTCTCCATGCCATTTTCATCCAGATGCTCCTCGTCATACCACTGAACAAGTAGTTCCTGAGGTCTGATGGGAGGGAAGGGAATAGATACTGACGCTTTGGTGGCTTCGATACGTACAGCTGGTGCTGCTTTTGTGGCCTGTAACCGTTGATAGAAAGCTGGTTTGCTGGAGCCAGGAAGAGTCATGCTCGTCGTGACTATAGCGACCGCCTCCTGTCGCTTGCTGCCGCTTTCATCATTCTTTACTTTGGACAGTATGACGGTGTTGATATCGTCCACCTCCCCGTGCACACCCGGGACCGGCATGGAATGCGCATGCACAACTTCGGTCTGCGTCCTGTCTTGACTGGATGGAAGACCATTTAGCGCGAGATCAGCCCACGTCAATGCATATACGCCCTGATCCAACAAACTTCCCGCTCCAGCCGCCTTATCGAGAAACCGGCTTTCCTGACTCAAATCCGGTGACACGATCGGAAAACTGAACTCAGCGTAAACGCGTTTCACCTCGCCGATGCGCGGAAGGAGCTCATGCTGGAAGTGGAGCGTAGCAGGGAGATAGCGCGTCCACATCGCTTCCATGAGCACGACATCTCGCTCTTTGGCTAGCTGGCACAGTTGAATGAATTGTGCGCGGTTCATCGTTGCTGGTTTTTCAACGAGCACATTGCGTTTGCACCGTAGGGCTTTTTGCACGTGGGCGTAGTGCAAGGGGTGTGGCGTGGAGATGTAGACGACGTCGAAGTCTCCTTTTTCCAGCATTTCTTCCCAGGAGTGGTAGATAGTGACGGATTCGGCATCAGATATTTTGTGTTCTTTCAACCAGTCGGCTGCACGAGAGGCGCTGCCGGTCGTACTGACTGAAACGAGCTCATGTTTGATGGACGCGGAAGAGTCCCGGGGGAGGAGCAGGTCTGGTAGGAAGACAGAGGCGATGTTAGAGAGGGAGAGCGCTGCCCAGCGGCAGGTGAATTGGCCCTGCTCCATCATGGGCTACGTGTATATCGTATTGCTGTGCTGGAAATCTTTCTGACAGTGGCTTAGGTTTGGGAATGATTGGTCCTCCCTCCAAAAAATCAACTTGTGGCTGCCTCCGAAGACGTGCGCTTTTAGAGACGTTATCAGAGGTTGGAAATAGTCGCAAATGAGGACAAATTTCACCTTCGAGGTTTCTCCATGTCATGTTCTATCGCTTTATTAGTAGGCGGCCCTTCCCCGGACAACAACCACGGGCGCGTTCCTTCAACCGTTTAGGCGTACCGTTTAACCGTTCTCCCAACCGTTTAACCGTCGTTTAATCGTCGTTCAAGCTTGAAGATTGTCAAAGCGCCCAGAAAATGCCGGTTTAGAGCAGGTAATGGCCTATTACAAAGAACCTTAAACCATCTACATGGGCAGCGATACTGGCGATGCGGGGATATCGTGCCCCATCATATCTCTCTGCGGAGATTATGCCCCTCACATTGTATAGCGGCCCTAACATTCTTCAAGCCGCCTAACTTTTTCCTATAAAAGCAAACGTCGTCGGTACAAACAAAGCCTTTTCTCCAGACTCACTCTGCGTAATCTTTTGTTCACCCACCAGCACTTTCGCACACACCAAGCCTTCGCTATGGCAACCGACTTTGTGAGTGCTGTTAACGCAATGTACTGTGTACCTAGCTTCTGCTAATAATCTACAGTTCACGCTCAAAGGCAAGACCGCTGTCATCACCGGCGCAGCACGCGGTCTAGGCCTCACATTTGCCACCGCACTGGCGAGCGCAAACTGTAACCTCGCCGTGCTGGACATCCTCCATGAGCCCTCACCCTGTCTTCTCGCGTTGCGAGACCACCATGGCATCAAATTGGAGTATTACCGTACGGACATAACCTCGCGTCCCGAGGTCACTGCCGCTATCGAGAATATCGAAGCGGAATTTGGGAGAATTGATATCAATATCAATGCTGCGGGCGTGGTGTCGGACGAGTCCTTCCTCAAGACCACTGATGAGAATATCGAGCGCACTTTTGCCGTGAACTTTACAGGTTCCTTCCTCGTGGCGCAGGCTTGTGCAAACAGCATGGTTGCGCGGTACAAATCCATCCACGGCGGTGAGCCAGCAGCGCAGCCTACCACTGGCACAATCATCTTTATCGCCAGCATCGCAACGTACATTGCCTCCAGCGCGCAGCAGATCAGCTGCTACACAGCATCCAAAGCAGCTGTGAAGGGTTTGGTGAAACCCATGGCCATGGAACTTGCACCGTATGGGATTCGAGTCAATTCCTTAAGTCCAGGGTATATGATGACGGATATGATGCGAGGATTGCAAGAAAAGCAACCTCAACTGGTGGACCAGTTTGAGAAGGAAACTTTATTTGGCCGTATTGGGATGCCCGTGGAATTGAAGGGCGCTATCTTGTATCTATGCTGTGAAAGCGCCAGTGGGTGGTATACAGGGCAGGATCTGTTGGTCGATGGCGGGGCGAGTACCTGGAAGCATCCAGCTATGTTAGCACCAGGCTTAGAAGCGTAGCAGAAATGTATCCTGCAACTCTGTGTCAGCGTTAGCCATTAACATATTGAAATGCACTGGGTTTGCCCATTACCTAACACGATTGTTTCATCGGTCGCGAAGAGAGAGACACTGGGGCTCGGACAGTACAGTGGGTCTCCTTTGAAGGGCTTTGTCCTTGTCAGTGACGAACAGGCCAGCTACCAATAGAAATTTGCCTCTTAAACGCCAAATCGGATACATAAGACTTCACATCTCTCAAATACGTACTCTATTCAGTCCGAAAATGTAAAAAAAAAGACCATTTTCATATATAACACAATGTATACAAGCACGACTTCAACCGAACCAGTTCTTGAAGGCCCACGAAGACAACATCCTTCTCATTTCGGACTTTTAATCCACAGTCAGCCCAGAAGATCTTCCCTAGACTTTGCTCGGCGACTCTTCTACATGACGGGCTCTGTCCTTCTCGCCCTCCGCCGCAAGCACCCTTCTTGGGTCGAGATCTGTAGTGCCATCAACCTCGTCCAACAGCCTTCGCGCAGCTACCGCAATGTTACCACCGGCCTCACCGATGCGCCGGTGATACTCTTCCATGTTCTTGCTCACAAGCAGACTCTCGCTCGTGAACAGCAGGTTGACCTCTTCGAGCGATCGACCGGCGACCTCGGGATAGAAGAACCATACGACTGGCATGGCGAGGATGTTCATGCAGCCAAAGAAGATGAAGGTGGCCCATCCCAAGTGGGCTAGCATGATGGGGATCACGAAGGTGTTCATTCCGCATCCGATCGCCCAGCCCAGAATAGTGAACGAGTAACCTTTTGCACGCACTTCCTGCGGCCAGATTTCCGTGCCATAGATCCAGCATGGGACGATGTTGAACATGGTGAAGAACCAGAGATAGATGAAGACGAAGGCTGCTGCGGCGGTACCTAGGGTGGATGCCATTGCGGGATCAGTGGCTTGGTGATTTTGACTCTCCTTGATAAGCGCGGCGACAAGAAATAAGGCTATACCCTGCGTGATGAAAGACATCATGAGAGATTTAATCCGGCCTATGCGGTCGATAACCAGTGATGCAGCGGCGGTGCCCAGGATACCGAAGGTGTTGACCAGACCGGCCAGCCAGGCTGACTTGTAGGAATCGAACCCGGCAAGGCTGAAGAGCGTACCAGCCCAGGTGGCAATAGCGAGGATACCTGTCCATTGCTGGATCTGCTGGAGTGCCAGACCCATGACAACGCGTCGACCAAGATGCAGTTTCCCCGAGTAGCGACCGCCGAGGACGAGATTGAGAAAGTCATTTCGTTTGTGGTATGATGCTTCGACAATTGCTTCGAGCTGCTCAACTTCGATGAGAAGCTTAGGGTCATGGAGATCCAAGTCGCCACGGATCTTGCGCAGGATATTGACCGCTTCCTCACGGCGATTATTGGCCATCAGCCATCTCGGCGACTCGGGAAGGAAGAAGACAGTAAGAACAACAATCAACACGGGAACCGCCATAAATGCCAGGGGAAAACGCCATTGGAACTCCTCTGTGGACGACCTGACACCGAAATTGAGCCAGTACGCAATCACAATGCCGGCGTAGTTCGCAACGAAGACGAGCGAGAAGTTGGAGCCGCGGTCGTGCGCTTGAGACAGCTCACTCACCCACGGCGGAACGATAGCGTTGATGAACCCGATGCCTATTCCTGCGATGACGCGCGCGCAGATAAACATGTTACTGTTCTGACTGGCGGACATGAGCGCTGCGCCGAGCATGCAGAAGAGTGAGCCGATCCAGACGCCTTTTTTGCGGCCGAGTTTGTCGCCGACCCAGCCTTTTCCCATCCATCAGTATCTATAAGTGCACTGCTAATAAAAAAAGGGATATTGAAGTGATTTGTCCGTACCTCCAATGAAACATGCCCACATGGCACCGAAATAGTACGCTGCCAGCAGACCACCTTGCTTGGTGCTGTTGGTCACAACACCATTGGACCCGATGCTGGCCATGTCAATGAAGCCTGGCGTTGTGCTGACGGTGCCCAGAACTCCCTGGTTGTAGCCTTCGAAGATGAGGGCAATAGCGGTGAAAAGATTGAGAAGAAACATGAGTGCCTTTCCGGGCATATGTTTCCAGAGTTGGACGGCCATGGTGAGGGTACGTACGCAGTTGGACACGCATACGTCGGGCTGCCACTGCGTTCTGTAAAATTGAATGAGGTCGAAGGAAGCGAAGGTAGACGAGGGATGATAGAGTACTGTTGTGAAATCATTCGAGCAGATCGCAGGAGGATTGATGATCATTTATTTATGTACAATCTGACGAGGAGGAGCACACGCCACCTAGTCGGCTCCAGACCCCAGACCCCAGGTCCCAGACTCCAGGCCCCAGACCCCAGATACATTCATCTTACGGGGAAAGATGGGAAAGCTGGTCAGATACTGCGGTGATCTGCCCTAAGTTTGAAGGCTTTTAGCAGTTTAGCCTTCCCCGCATTATTCCCGTGGCTTTACCGTTTAGCCGTTTGACCGTTTAGCCGAGTCCCTTCGAGTTGGACCAGAGGTATAGCCCTATAGCCCCCAGGGAAGAGATGAAAAAGAAACCAACCATCACTGATAGCGGTAGTTCCAATGCACGCCCACCAGTTCACCCACATTGTCGTCGGCGCCGGCTCGGCGGGCTGCGTTGTGGCCCGTCGGGTGGCCGAGAACCGGGCCTTCGACGTCCTGCTGATCGAAGCCGGGCCTGACATTGACGCCGCCCCCACTAACACTTCCTCCATACCCCATGGTGTGCATGATGCCCGCCGGGTGCCAATGGCAGGCCAATCCGCGATCTTTGACCCCAGGATCGATTGGCATCTTGAAGTCGACGTACCTTGCGGAGGGCAGATGATTGTCCCGCAGGCGAAGGTCATGGGCGGAGGGAGCAGTATCAACGGAGGCACTTTTTTACGACATACAGAGGCTGATGCAAGGGAGTGGGTTGCGTTAGGGAATGATGGTTGGGATTTCGAGAGTTCAGTCGCTGTATACGAAGGACTCGAAGGTGACCCCCTTCGAGGCACACGCGGTCCGCATCCCATTGCCAGAGCGAGTATGGACGAAGCAGGCAAAATTCAGGCTGCCTTCGTCGACGGCGTTACATCTCGCGGTCTCCAACGTATCCCAGATCTGAAGGCCACAGGAGCGGAGGGTGTCGGTCCGTCACCCGTCTGTCGTCGCGGCTCCACCCGGGTCAGTGCAGCGGACACTTTCATCGGCCCGGCCCGGCTCTTCCCCAATCTTACCATCTTGGCCAATTCATTAGTCGATCGAGTGCTTTTCCAGGACTGCAAGGCCGTGACAATTGTGCTGTCCAATGGCCGCAAAATACACGCAACCCACGAAATCATCCTCTGTGCGGGCGCAATATTTTCGCCGGCTATCTTGCAACGCTCGGGTATCGGTCCAACGGAGCTACTTCGACAACATGGGATTGCGCCTTTGGTCGAGCTGCCAGTGGGATCGAATCTTAGCGATCATCCATGTATCCCACTTGTCGCGCGACCACGACCAGGTGCATACACGGACACGGATTATTCCTTGCAGATGCAAGCGCGATGGTCGTCGTCGCTGAATCCCGGTGCTATCGACTTGCAGATGGTGTGTTTCTCATATCTCTTCGCCCAGTCGGCGGGCCCTTCCATGCCACGAGGACGCCAGCCGCAAAGAAGCTTGGGGGGCACAGAGACCGGCCATGTTGCGGGAATAGGATGTAACATAAATAAGCCCACTTCACTCGGCATGGTGGAGATCCGTTCCAGGGACCCGAATCAGATGCCGATAGTACGTCCTAATTATCTGATCACCCCGCATGACCGAGCTCTGGCACGAGAGGTTGTGCGCACTGCGTACGCCGTGCTCACGTCGCCCGCCATGCAAACCGTACTCACAGCTCCGCTGGGCATAACTTCGCAAGTTGTAGCCGACGATGTGATGCTGGATGGTTATATACAAGCTCAATATTCGACAACCTACCATTTCTGCGGTTCGTGCCGAATGGCTAATCGTGAGAAAGGCGGCGTTGTGGACCAGAGCGGGCGGGTGTATGGTGTGAATGGGCTAAGGGTTGCGGACGCGAGTGTGCTGCCGACTGTGCCGGCAGCGAATACGATGGCGAGTAGTATGCTGGTAGGGGAGAGGGTGGGAAGGAGCGTCTGTGATGGTCGAAGTGTTCAGAAGGCAGCCAGATCTCACATATAGATAGGTACCAGGGAGGGAATTCCCTGGGAGCCTTTGCTGCAGACACTTGTATCGTCGCTGTGCTCCGACTGGACCTAATGAGGATCGCAAGATCATCGCGAGATCTAGATTAGTCATATTAACAATCGTCACGTCACAATCTGTCGCAATTACCTTACGAATACTGCATGAAACCGGGTCTATAGATGATCCGTCGGCATAGCTTGTGTAAGTAGAATGGACCCATAAATAGCGGGAAATAGGGGTAATGGAACTACAGAGTCATTGATATCTCCAATTGGCCGGATACAGTGCAGATCGTGACACGATCATATCTATCACATCGATCGCGAGCACGTCGCGTTGCGTGAGACGTACCCTGCTCTCCTCTTCTTTGGTACCCAGGAATCCTTTTGTGTATTAAAAGTTGAATTCGGTCCTGGAGCAGACTGAACCCAATCAGATTAGCATGGTAGAACCTTGGAATCGGCAGGATTCGCCCGAATCATTGCGGTCTGAGGGCACTGAGGTAATTCGCGGCTTGGTGGTGGATTACGTTATTGGAGATATACCTCGGTAATCCTAAGGCTTGGCCCCAGGAAGCGGGGATGATACTTATACGAGCTTATCTGTGTTGGACTTGGAGAAGCTAGCATTTACCATGGCCGAGAACAAGCTCATCTGTGTCATAGGAGCTACGGGAAACCAAGGCGGGTCAGTCGCCCGTCGGTTTCGTAAGGCGGGTTTCCGTGTCCGTGGCTTGACCCGCGATACATCGTCGCCCGCAGCACAGAAGCTTGCGACTGATGGCATTGAAGTTACGAAAACAGACCTGGACGACTTGGAGAGCCTCAAGCACGCTCTAAAGGATGCCAATGTCATATTCAGTGTTACAAACTACTGGGAGCCGTTCTTTCGCCCGGACTGCCGTCAGAACGCCAGTGGGTTAGGCATCTCACCTGCTCGGTTTGCCTACGATGTCGAATATCAACAAGGCAAGAATATTGCCGACGCCGCAGCGGCGACCTGCGATTCTCTCGACTCGAACGGTTTCCTAGTGTCCACGCTAAGCCATGCTGCTAAGTCCAGCCAGGGAAAATTCATGAAGTTGTACCATTTCGACTCTAAGGCGGATATCTTCCCCTTCTACGTTAGAGAAAAGTACCCTGACCTTGCAGCCAAGATGTCCTGCATCCAGACCGGTTACTTCTATACAAGTTTCAACATCTTACCTGACTCGTATTTTGGCAAGGCAAGTAATGCTCCCACAATTGAAGAGTTTGACTTATGATCGTCAAGCTGCCGGATGAGAGTATTGAAATGAGGTTTACCACAGCCCCAGACAGGATTGTGCCACACTTAGACCCTGTCGGGGATATGGGCACTTTTACCTTCGCTGTCTACCAAATGCCTCCCGGGAAAGAGTACATGGCGGAAGGGACAACTTGTAGTTGGGTGGATTGGATCAAGACCTGGAGCGACATAACTGGCGTGCCTGCATCTTATCGACAGATCACTCCCGACGAAATGATTGAATTGACTCCCGATCGAGACTGTGGCATCGAGGTAGCATACATGTTCTCTTATAGTACGGACCCTGGATACGATGGAGGTAGAGCTCTTCTCACTGCCGCGGACATTCGCAAGGCAAGTTAATATGTGCCACTAGAACCAGCATCACTCACTCTAACACAAGAAGACAGACTGGTATCGACTGCCCGATGACGAGTTGGAAAGAGTGGGCAAGCCGCCAAGATTGGTCCGTCGTGTTAAACAAGGGTAGCTAGGTAATCTTAGCAAATGCTTCAGGAAGTTTTAGAGAAGCTTACAAATACTCATATTCTCTAGTTCAATACTAGAGAACGATGTACAAATCATTAACGTTTATCACGGGTTTCTCCCTAGCAGACATATCGAGATTGTAACGTACGACTAGATGCTCTTTCATATACTATTATGTTTTTGTCAGAAAGCGAACGAGTGAAAAGGCAAAACCACACTCACATCATTGATATCCTGACAACTCTTCGCATAAAAACTTCGCCCAATAGCTTTGTGGTAGAGCTGGCACCATTGCCTCTAGTTCTTATGTAAACTGCTGAACTTCTTGATCTTGGAGTTGTCAAGAATCCACTCGAGAAAAGCCATAACGTCTCCCCTCTGTGCTGCAACAAGAAATTGGAGAGGACCTTCCTCCAGATATTCACAGTGCCTGTTTGGGTTAGTCTCATATCAGGATTAGGTACCTCATTACCTTATCTATCGTCTTTGATTTTACTAATGTTGTTCTTGAATAATGCCTTTCTCAAGCTGTTGACGACGTCGCCGGTAATACTGAGGGCTATCAGCCTGCTTCTTTCCACTCGCAGTGGTATCAAGAACAGACATGGCATGAAATTAGAGTAAGAACGAGGCAGTGAGAAAACGAGAACACTATTAAAAAGGAAGAGAAGAGAGAGAAAACCGTAATGACTGAGATCCATAAGAGGCCTAGGGATTGGAAATTGATGATGTACTTGCAAGTCTTTTAAATATTAGACAGAAGGCTTGGTTTAGGGGGGAGGGCTCATCATCTAACAAAAGGAGCTTTCTATTTTTACAAACAGCGGCTACAATCAGTCAACATGGTGGGCAGGACATTACGACGTCCCTGATTGCCAACCATGAGTACCCTGAGTGAAGGGTGAGCTGATCCCTGAGCAACCATGAGTGCTCAGTGAACAAATAGTAAGAGGGGCAGAGAAGAGACACGTGATGTTTCAATGACTAAGAACCTGGTAAAAAAGACGCTTAAAATGGCGTCAAAACTAGCCGTTTTCGGCGCCAAATTTACCATCACCTAGTGTTGTGGTGTAACTTTGGGGTTAGTTATAGTTTCAGGATACATCTGCATATTATAATTATTTGAATTTGTTCACCTCGGCTTCGTAAACCCCCTCTTTCAACCCTATCTTCCCCCGGAGTCCGTGACCATGCCTTAACCTGATTTGTTCATGCACCTGGTCAGATAAGAGGAGCGGTCTGCGGGTCGAACGTGTACATTGCAAACGTCAAAGACGCACGGGACCTGCAGGCTTGGTCAATTGGGGTCAGGGGGCACGAGGCATGAATTTGAGTCGTTCGTTTTGGGCTATCCATGTTTGAGCCATTCACATTTTTCACGGAGGGAAGACCGGGAAACGAGTCCCGACCTCCGACGGTTTCCTAGTAGATAGTGAAGATGGAAGTGAAGTAAAGTCAAGTCCAGGAAAGGCATAATCGTGATCGTAAAATTGAGCACATAATCTCATGGCCGTAACCAGAGTCGGGATATCTTATTCCATATTTTTTTCTCCTCCTTTTCGAAGCTTGGGGATTGGGGCTAGGTTCTTTGAACCCATAGAGAGAAAAGAAACAAAGCAAAGCAAAGTATAAAAAGCAAACAAAACAACTTTTTTTAAAAGTGCCGCTGATCAGATATCAAATCAAATCAGTTCACTAAGCAAAATGAATCATCCTCGTTCAGTGTTCAAATATCTTTCGATTAAGAACCGAGGTCGACCCATGAAAGTCCATATATCCCATGCCCGTTCGCCAAGAATGCAATGATTAAGGGAAAGAGAAAAACAAAAAATGAACACAACAAAACAAAGCAAAAAAAATGGAAAAACAGCAAGGGCAATCCACATGCACAGAACACATCACCATGCACGTCGCGCCCGTATCAAACTGTCATGATAAGGAAAGCAGGAAAAGGCGGTGTCGCGCCAAGATAAGAGACTCAAAGCATCCAATCCAAGCCATTAGCCTCCTCTTCCACGGGGAACACTTCCCGTGCATACTCTTCCATATCCCGCCATCCCTGCCAGAGAGATCGGGCCTCATCCGTCACGCGCAGCGAGATAACACCGCCAGGCCCTTGCATCATTCCCGCGCCAGCACCCTTTCCACCGGCAGGACCCAAACCCTTCGGTGAGCCGGCGGGGGGCTGTGAGAACTCCGGCTGAGGCAGGTAGGGGGCATCGTAGCGGCCGAACAATTCTTCCAGCGCCTCAAGCTGTTCCCTGTATCCAGGCGGGATATTGACCTTGATTTCGATCTTGGGGACGCGGATGTACTGAAATGGCCTGTCGAGGGCGCGCGAGAACGCGGCGCACACTTGTATTGGGGAGAGCGTTTCAAAGGTCAATGCAATGCTGGAAGAAAAACAAGAGTCGGTTAGTTTTGGTTATCTGAGGGATGGAATCTTTTTCCGAGTTCCCGAATATTCGCGATTGAGTAAGACTTACCGGTGACCATTCCATTTCTTAGAGCCGTCTTTGAAAATCTGTAGCAGAGTCGGACCCACGTCGTGCTCGACATCTAGCCAGGGCAAGGGTATATCGGGATCAAAAGGCGCACGCCATTCGAAGCTCCCGTCCGGTTGAAGCTCCATCTGGAAGAGAGGATAAGGCAAGCTCGTGAAGTTATTACTGTAGATACCGGCGTAGACGAAAGTCGACGGCATACCCAGCTGGCGAATATAGTTCTCGACAGTGAACTTGGGCGCCCACTGGGGAGGAGCGGGCCAAGGGCCATGAACAGAATGATCCGGCATACTGCTATAGATGTAGTGTTGGATGGTGCCTGCACGTTTCGCGGCATCGGCGAGATCACGACCGATAGCGACCTCGTCGCCGGACTGAGACGTGGTATTGATGAAGGCCAGTTGGGCGCCCTTGAAGAGCTCATCCATCAACGCGACATTGCCGAGAAGCGGGCCCTGCAGGAGGGTGACATTTGGTAGTTGCTGGAGCTCTGGAGCGATGATTCCTTTGAGGGTGTGAATTTGCGCACGGACAGAGTATCCGACAGCGGACGCGACACGGATGAGAGAAGCCGCTTGTCGGCCTGTCCCGTTGACCACGGCAATGGTCTTCTGCGGTTGGGTCATCCGGGTAGATCGGGGTGGCCTTGGGGAGGGTATGAGAGGTATGTCGGGTATGAAATATGGAGTAGACGAAGTTATCAGATGAGAGGGAATAGGCCGAATAAAAGAAGAAAATCCGGAGTAAGCCTTGGCGAAGAAGCGCTTGTAGTGGGGTACCTTGGGAGGGGAGCAAAGTTGTATGTAACAGGAATCGCGAACAGAGCGTCAAGGTTATGCGATTGGAACAGTCACCCGAGTTCTCCGAATTGCTTGATCTGCAGTGGATATAGTGGATAATATAAATGAAGAAATAGAATAGAATTGAGAGAATCGAGAATATTAAATGAAGAAGAATTCAAGAAGAAAATTCAGTGTAGAGAAAAAAAAATCCAAGCCAAAACGCGGAGAGAGGATAAGATAAGGAGATCAATCCTTCCTTGGAGTACTTTTCTACAGTACTACAAGTATTATATACATACTATTATATACTACAACTATACAATAGAACTACACAATTGTACCATATCACATAACTGCCTTGTCATACTCATAATGCGTGATATTTATTCCAAAATATGACACCATCGAACTGACTAGAATCAAAAGAAAAAAAAAAAAAAAAAGCCCTCAAAAGTGCGGTCTCGTCCACCGAATTTTACGTAAATCGGCATCCATTCGGCACAAGTGGACGGGAAGATCCTTACACGGGTCCGATTCTTGGCCTTTGCTTCGATGAGTTTATATTTTGATATATATAATGTTTTATCCATGGATGCATGTGTACATGTTGTACTACATAGCTCTATCATGTAAATTGTATAGTGCTAGCTCTCTCTTGGGATACTCGGTATACTCGGTACTGCCAATTCAATTCTATATGCCAAGACTCTATAAAAACCTCTCCGAGAATAAGTCAGAAGACTATGTACATATGTACGATAATACAAAATATAATACAAAGGAGAAAACATAGAGAAAAAAAAATAACTCGGGTGACTTTCGTTCCACCAACAATCTGCCAGGGGCAGCCTCACGTGGTCGATAGCTGCTCCAGGATGTGGGCTTCTTCGTATCCAATCGCAGGCTTGGGGGCTTAGGCCTAGTTGACGTGCTACTCTACAATCTCTTGTCGTTGTACGGAGTAGTACTGTCATTGTTATTCCACCTGGCCATCTGGGCCTGAACTACCAAATTTAACATACTTTCAAGGCTTTCTTCAGCCACGTATGTCTGCTTAGGTACATATAGAAGGTATGTGCTAGATATGGGCTAAGGAACCCCGCAAAGATGTCATCTGCAGAGGGGTATTATAGGGTATTATACCAATTTCGGAGTAATCTGATACGAAAGACGTCATTTGCTATGTATGTTGTATATAGCATCTAGATGTTGTGCCTAAGGCCTGAGATCAAGAAAAAAGCATAAAACCTCATGCAGATAACCTCGAGTGGGAGTATAGACAAGAGAAAAATATCCTTACATCTAGAACCTCAACAGTATCCAATGTCTCCATTTTGATCCCTTGGCAGTACTGAGTCAAGTAACAAATACAAATACAACGCTAGGAAAATTAACCCCAGGAAAACTAAAAGGAGCGAAATGGTCTTATCTTCCCCCACTTAGTGCTTGCGTTACTTAAGGAGATCTCCGCGGATGTCTACATATGTACGGAGTAGGACTGTTACATACAGTGTGTAGGTAGTACCTCAGTACTTGAACGGGAAATAATAACTACAATAGGCACATATATACCTAGCATACCGTAATATAGATACATACCAAATTAAGTAACTAAAATTGAATTAGTTAAGTCAGTTACTCTGGCGTGATCGTTGACCCAATATCCACCTCCACCTGAGCAGGGCTAAAAAAATACAAAAAAATGATGTCAGAATGGACCCGTGATCACTCTATATTCAATTGTCAAATCTATACTATTGCACGCCACGTTTTACGAAATAATAATCCATGCCCAACGCGCAAACGGGGACACACAACCCGGCTAATCTCGGCGCCTAGGCCGAAATCCAAAACCAGAACCCCAAGATAGAAGGGAACCCCGTCACAAAAGGCGCACACGAAAAGAACAGAAAAAGAGACCCCATGACGAAAGTAGCCCCTAAGATGGCGCCGACCCAGCCGTCATCCGGTTCTGTCTATTATCCCACTCCCACTCCTCATCCATCTCACGTTGGCTAATCTCTTTCGGTCCAACCCCCGCCATACCCCAGACAAAGGGGCGATGGCGGGCCAACGACTCAGCAACGGGGCGCTCATCAGAGTGTAGGTGAGCGCCGGATTTCCGTAGGAGAAGGGTGTGCTCCGAAAGGCCGGCGTTGGCGGCGAGGAAGAGCGGGGTGCGGCCAGCGCGATTGCGTAGGTGCACGGAGCCTCCTTGCGAGAGGAGGAAGTGCAGAATTTGAATTGAGGGGGAGGTTGCCGCCAGATGCTGGGATTGGATTGGTTAGTTGGGGTATACCACGTGGGGAGATATTAATAAAGCCAAAGACCTACGATTGGAGTGTTGCCGGAGTAATCGGCGTCGTTAAGGAGCCAGTGGTGTTCTGTTTTGGTGATGGCTTGGACCTTCTCGAGGTCGCCGTGGGCAATGGCGTAGCCCATTGATGTGAGAGTTTGGATGCGCTCGGGGAGGGCGCCGTCTGGATGGCGGAAGATAGGGAGAGATGACTCGGTGAGTTCGCCGCGGAGAGATACTGACATGCGCTTGGCGATGGATTCGGGGGTTGAGTCTGGGAGAGCGAGCAGGTAGGCGAGCTTTGTCAATGCACCCTCGGTTGTCATGTCCAAGCCGGCAACGACGCCTGCTCGGGAGAGACTCATGCCTGTGGCATAGACTGGACTGACGCTACCAGTGAGGCCTAGAAGATGCATTAGCTTAATCATTGACGTTGTTGCCGGGCTACTCACACTGTGTAATGTTGACGATCACAATGCCTCGTTTAATGGCGCTAGCCAAAACGTTGATCATGGCATTATCCTGACCGGAAGGGGCATTGCCGGCGCCGAATGTCTCGAGAATCAAACCGCGCAACCCATCCAGCTTCAGCACGGCATCCACCATCTCCGGCTTGATACCGGGGAAGATACGCAAACAAGCGACGTGAGTGGTATCCAGGTTGGTTTGAATACTGAAGTGCTCCAAACTTGTAGGACGGTGCACCATATCCCAGTTAACATTGGTGCGCATAGAAGTAGTTATAGCCAAGGGCGCACAATTGGGCGCATCGAACGCGGCAAAGTCACTCGCAGCAACCTTAGTCGTGCGATTGCCTCTAAACAGCCGATTATTAAAATAAAGACAAACCTCAGGAATCATGAAGTGACCCGCAACAACCAACGACCCGAGCAGATTATCCGTGGCATCATTCTGGAGCTCAAGCATAGGCGCCTGCGAACCAGTAAGCACAACGGGCTTTCCCAAATTTTGCAACATAAAGCTCAGTGCGGAACAGGTATAAGCCAGACTATCCGTTCCATGAAGGATAACGAAGCCATCAAAAAGGGTATAATTGCGCTCCACGGTCTCGGCAATCTGCGCCCAGCCCTTCGCATCAATCGAGCTACTATCCAGCAACTCCTCGAACTCAAAGACGGTATAGCGCACGCGACGACCGTAAGCCGTCATCGGTGTGCGCAGACTAGGATGTTCTTTCAGATCGCCGGCAGCGTTAGCAACGACGTCTATGGGGGTCGGGGTGGATGCGTCGTTGAAGGTTGGCACGCGGGCCATGCATTTTTCCTGAAACCCGCGTGCTGGCACGAAGCCTGATGGCGAGGGCTGCATGCAGATTGTGCCGCCGGTCATGATGATCAAGACGCGGGATTCCAGAACTGCCTCTTCGGGCTTTGCATTTTCCAGCTCTGGAATTGTTGGAACGATTGGGACGGTCATTTTGGCCTTGTCTAGGCTTGCGGAGATCATGGTTATGATTCCTGTACGCGCGGCGCACGTAGAGTGTAGATATCTGTAGTCTTTGCGGTCGTAGTTGCAATATGTCGTACAGAGACAGTGTACGTTGTACAGTGGGAGTAGTCAATCAAGTCATTAATTCGTCAATTCAAGATCCACGATAACAAAGCGGACTGCGGGGGAGATAACGTTGGAGAAAGGAAGGTTAAAAAAATCTTCTTATAAATTGATTCACCGAGAGTTGATCGCAGGGCAAAATAGAGGGGACAAGTTTTAAGCTTCGTAGATCATGATTGAGTCTTTTGGCCGAACAAGTGGAAAAAACCCCAATTCGACCCCGATCGCATTACGTACAGGGGCCGTGATTGGTCGATGCCACTATTTGAGCACAAAATCTACAGGCGATCTCGGAGGTATTTTTTATTTTATTTATTTGGTGGCTTCGTACTTGTTACTTTATACTATACTATGCTATGATCATGGCTAGTATGTTGAATTGTTTGTGCTGAGTACAATATGTGAATGGGTTATGTGGATATATCGATGCTTCATTGGGGTATATCTCTGCTAATGCTCTATGCAACTCCTTCAAATGCTAAAACACAAGTCCAAATGCAAAACTCTCACTCACAAACCTCGATCTTATCAACTTGATCCTCAGCCACTTCCTCACGCTTGAAGGAATGCTTTCCGCGAGCGAACCAATCCACAAGCATAATGAAGACCACCACGCCGTAGACAGCTGAGACGTAGTTCATATCTGGCGCAACGTTAGATCGGGATCTCGAATCCAAACCAGAGATAGAAACCAAACTTACTTCCAGTGTGAACGGGCATAGTCGAAGGGAAAGAGTACATCACGATACAGAAAACAGTCCAGGTAACGGTGATGATGTTGGCAGCCATGCCCCACTTTCCAAGCCAGAAGGGACCGTGATGAATGTTTTCACGACCACGGTACCACAAACACAGAATGGGAATCGAGTATGAGACATACAACAGGGAAATGCAGGCAGTCATCATACTGTTGAAAGCAGTAGTCGAGCCGAGATACAGCAGGCCCAGAAGACCGACGATGAAGCAGCTGACCGAGTGCGCGTACAGGGGCACGTCCAGCGTGTGGTTCACCTGCGACAGCCACTGGTGGCCGGGCATTCCCCGATCACGAGCAAACGCCCACGCTAGACGGGATTGCCAGGTGTGGCATGCAATCTGACATCCCATGCCGGTGACCAGGAGGAGGGTCTCTAGGACGATGGCACCGGCCTTGTTGTCCAGAGCCTGGTAGTAGAGTTGCAGGATGGGGACACCGGTGGAGCTGTTGATGAGTTCGTCCAGGTCCTTGATTCCGAAGAACATGGAAATACAGTAGGTCCAAGAAGTGACGAAGCCAATGACAACGGTAGCCATGATGGCGATGGGGATGTTTCTCTCGGGGTTGGGCACTTCCTCGGCAAGATGGGTAGCGGAGTCCAAACAGGCGAAGATCCAGTTCGGGTTAATCAGACCCACGATGAAGGCCATACCGTCGGACTTCCAGCCAGTGGAATTGACGAAGTGGCCGAACACGTAGCTGGCACTTGCGTGAGGGCGAGCGCAGGCCGGAACAGTGACCAGAATGACCAAGAAGGAGGTCAGAGAGATCCAAAGAGTGCACTTGGCAACGAGAGGAAGGACCTTTCCAACGCAGTTGAACAAAAAGCAGAAGAAGTTGATCAACTGGTATGCGAGGACGACGTGCCAGGCTTCAACGACACTAACAGACAGTCAGCTCACCACACAACGGTTAGACAGGGTAGAAAGTAAAGCCCATACAAATCAGGATGACCAAGTTGCCACATGCCCACAGCCGCCTGACCAAGGCCAAGAACGACACTGGAACACGCGAAGATAGCACCAGCATAGCCAAACCAGCCACTGAGGTAAGAAGCAAAGTGAGCATACTTCCGCGGGGCCAACTCAAAAGCCCAGAAATACTGTCCACCAGCGTTGGGCATCGAACTAGCCAACTCGGAAAGGGAAGCACCGACACCCATAGAGATAAAAGTAATCCACAACAGACCATAGATGATCAGCACCGTACCACCGGAGTTAATGCCCGTAATCATAGAAGCAGAAATACCGAACCAGGAGTTGGACATGCAGAAAGCAATACCAACCAAGGAGAGGACGTTGAAATTGCGATTCAAATCCTGGGTATAGCCCATTTCCGCCAGACGAGCTGCATCAGAGTCGGAATCGCCTGAGCGAGAATCTCTGCTCGAGGCAGGTTTCGCGCTGGTCTTTTCGATATCGAATTCACCCATTACGTCGGTTGTTTTCTTTTGGTTAAATTGCTGCACGGGTTGAGGATTGTTGCACTGGAAAAGTCAAGATCTAGAAGATGCTTAGGCTTGTTGCATAGGGATTTCGAATTTCGGAGATTTGGTTCGGTGGTGCTGTGGAATATTGCTGCTGCGGGTATAGATTGTAGATTGAATGCTGCTTTGGTATCGAGATGTCGCTTGGGATTGTCGCTGCTGTGGACGAAGTAATGATAATCAAGATGAAATCGTACAGTGAAGCAAGATGACAAGATGACAGAATTGAATCTGTGAATTATCTTTTTGTTCTGCGAAATATCAACAAGGCTTCGAGAGGAGTCGAGAGCTCCAAAGGTGTCGAGAAAGCTGATCTGCACGGCAGAGCAAACCTTCCGAAGTAGAAACGAAAGTGAAGTAGAAAGGAAAGTGAAGGGAAATAGACAAACGGCAAATATGGATCTCGAGGCTTCCTTAAAACATAATAATCAATCATAATGAAAGATCTTTATTTTCTTTTCTTCCTTGTTGTGGACGACTCCACCGTCAACATCATAGCCGTCGCTGTAGCCTAACCGTTAGGTGGATTTCATATCTCACAGTTCACTGGTTCATCATGCCAACGCCGAATAACAGTTTCAGCCAGAAAATCGGTTAATCGGAAGGATGAAATAGGAAGTTGGCGGGTCTGGCCCCAGTATTATTCTCGTAACGCTGAATCCCGATTCACGACGCTCCGACGAGACCCTCTTTTAAATCGGAACCAAACCGAGTTGGAATCTCGCTACCCTCTGGGACCTGCGAGCGTCGTTTTAATGTCGCACACTAAATGCACTAAATGCACTAAATTGTGTTAAGTTGCACTAAATCACTGGGTCCATGTATTTCCATGAAGATTTTTACTTGACGTCACTGGCATTGTTACACATGTAGATGTTAGGGCTGATATGATTTCAGCCTCGTTACCTTTTGCAACGTCATTTGCAATACGAACAAAGTACACCTATATCTAACAGCCCCTACAATAGACAGTATAAGTCGTTCGTGAAAAATTCTACATGAGTGGAGTATCAATTCTCGAACGGGAATAACACCCGCTGCACATCGTCTAATCTGCGTCCATTTCGCTTTCTCCAGAATGTTCACCGAGATCAGGGGTTTGAGTCTGCAAATTTGTTCAGACATGTGGAGGTACCGTGAAGGCTATCCGAGGTAAAAAGTACAATCTGTTCAATGTTTGTACGGTGTACCGAAGTGAAAATTATAAGCTACCGCCACAGATCTGCATGGCGTAGATATGGCTTTTTTAGTCGATTACGTATTGTACCAATATCAGGCCCCTCGGGCGTTCTACAATTATTTTATGTAGCTCTATTCAACCCATAATTTTCACTTTTCGAGAGATTTACCTTCTGCATGTAGTAAGGCCGTGGATAGCCGTCAATGTTCAACAGTTCAGCTTTTGCGGCTTTTCCCCTGTACGCGTGTTGATCATCTGTGTTATAGGAAGGTTGACATGCGGCGCTAGTGGGGAAAATGCCTCATCCCAATTACGATGTTCTACATGCACAAAAAGGACAGCCGAATTCGGTTAGATAATAATAGAAGGGCAATTGTGCTGAGTTGCATCAAGTCTCAAATCGTTGTTGGCCTTCATAAAATGGCAATTGCCGGTCAATATGCTTCATTAACAAGAGTTGAATATGTATTCTTCCTAAACACCAAGTCCCATAATAATACAACCTAATTAAATGAACATCCCCTCACGACCACCCCGGATTAAACTGCGACAAATCCTCCTCCAAAAGACCCATCATATACTGATTTCCCCAGAACCAATTTCCCAACTGCGCAGCAGTTCCCGAATCCGCCTCAGGGCCCGGGAACCCAGATCCAAGCCCGGAATCCGACACCTGCACCACCGGAACATCAGCCTGGAACCCTCCACTACCCATACCAGTCCCACTCATGGAATTATTAGGCAATCCCAGGGCACCGAGATAAGCATCGAACTCCTGACCGACCTGCATAAACTCCTGCGGGTCGGCATCGGTCTCAGAGCGGGTATTTGCTTCGAAGTAGAGCCGGGCGACGGTTCCCAGCACGGAGCAGAGGGTATGCAGGCGGTCGATGGACTGGGAGTATGAGCTGAGCGGTCGGAGGGAGGCGATGAATTCTTCTAGGCGGGCTAGGTCTTCGGCGTTGGAGGTTGTTATTACGTTGCAGAAGATTACTATGAAGGGGACGAAGGGGGAGAGGAGAATGCCCCTGGGTGGGTGTCAGTTATTGGGTCGGATTGCGGTGATATTAATATCTCTGCTTACCAGTGCATGTACGAAGTTTTCATGAAGTCGTCTGTTTCATTGAGGTCTGCACCACATTGTCGGTGGACTTCTAGAGCTTCACGGGCTGTCTCGATACATTCGGGGATGAAGCTGACGGAACCGGGCTCCGTTGATGCCGGGATTGCGCGGTATATCAAAGTAAGGACGGACAACCTGCTGACTTTATCGGTTGCGAGGTACATCTGGTCCAATTTGGACATTTGGGGATTGGATGCCATGAATTTCTGCGTCCACGTTAGCGATTTTCAATCGAATTTGTTGGTTTGCGGGAAAATCTACCTCGAACGGCTCATTGACACTAGACTTCATTTCAGCGGCCAATTGCTGCGCATGTGCAACCCGATGGCTCTCTGGCTGTTGCAGTGCCTCCGGGCTGTACAGGTGTTGGTAGACCTTGCTTTGAATGATAGCCGCTCTCGTCCACCATACGCAAACAGGACCCCATGGTTCAGGGACATCGACAGGGACTTGGGGTAATGGCAGGCTGATATCGTAATTCTGGATTGGACAGGCGCGTCCTAATCGCAGCGACATCATGTTTGAGATTGTGTAAACCGACCAAAAAAGGAGCTGCTTTTTGCGCTGGATCGGTGCTGGGTCATGCTCCATGGAGCTTAAACGGTGATATCCCAGTGTTTGACACAAGTGCATAGCTGTTGACGCCAGGTTCCAGCCCACAGACGGCTTAGAGATTTCTATTGCATGCATCGCCTATGATTCGATCAGTGAAAGCCCGAGTTAGGTCAAACGGAAAGGGGAACTGACTCCCACAGCCAATGCATTGATCGATTCTTGGGTTGCAGGCATCAGAATATTGAGATTGGCAAGTGCCACTTCTAAGTTGTCCCGACACATCTCAATGTAGTCTTGACACTCCTGTCCAAGAGATTTATCTTTTTCCGTGAAATGAAACTCGTAGAAAATGCTGTACAAGCAGAAATTGGAAACAATGAACGCCGCATCGGAAAACTCTTCTGTGCAGAAGTACACTTCGCGACATTTCTCGACGAAGTAGTCCACCCCCAAGAACGGGATATAACCACCAAAGCAGGCAGGCGGGTGCTCTGGACGGATTAGAACAGGGAAAGCAGATAATTCATGGGTTGCATACCTTTGACCTTTCTCAAAACACGCAGCACTAATTGCAAGGGTGGCATTTCGAGATCACGAATATCACATCTTACACCCAGCGCGTTCTTAGTAGATAGTTGACTGCCCTGCGAATCCGCTTCACGTCGCTGGTTTTGAATACCAACGATCTGTTTCAACGACGAGAGAGCCGCATTAATTTTTGGACTTGACAGCACCTGATGCGAGCTTTTCGAAACGGCCGATTCCAGGAATTCACTTGCATAGGCTCCGTGGGCACTCAGGGAGGAGCTTCCCTCGAACCCGGAGCTTGAATCATGCTGCTCGATGGCAGGGTTTGCTGTGTAAAAGGGGCCTTTGAACCTTGGATTCCGAGTTGATGTTGATTGCACTGAAGGTGAAGGGGTGTATTGAGATGTAGGTCTTGGAGTATGTTGAGTATTCCTTGCTAGTTGTTGAAGAGTCTTTTCAATGCTTGCTAGACGTTCTTCAATTAAATCAATTTTTTTCTCACTGCGCCCGGGTTAATTTTTGTTATCGCATCTGGATTATACAAACAATTGTATACTTACTATTGATTGGAAATGAGAACTCGTCGACGAGGCTCTGGTGGTTTCTGACCAGTGGTAGATCGACAGACGATACTGGAACTGCGACAATTGGAACAAGGAGTGCGCTTATCGCATCGAATCTGTGGCGGAGTTAGATCGAAATGATGTCGTCCATGTAAAATGGAAATACATACCTTCCGAGAACGGCATTGATCACACTGTATAGTTCTTTTGTTAGGTTATTCAAAAAATGTGTCACGACATTCTCAATCGGTGGAGCACATACTGCACGTCGGACCAACGCGCCTCCGTCATGGTCATGGTCGGATCCAGGCTCCATAGCTACAAGGATACATCAATTGTGATGTAACACCAATTTGCTAAAATTGGAGAAGGTTGACTGGAAAATTGTGCTCGGGTTCTTCATTGCTGGTGCCTATACGATCACGTGCCACGTCATGAATGTAAAGTATTGAGATCAATATAGGAGTTTTGAGGAGAACTCTGATGTTTCTAATAATCATATAGGAATATCATGCCAAGTCCAACAGTATGTGGATAGCTCAGTACGTATAATATAGTTTTACATATGTACAGCGAGGTAGCTCATACGTTGTTCCCACCACGACTGGAGTATTATGGATGACATAACCAAATGGGAGCCAAATCGTAACTAGAAACAGTTGCTTGAATACCAAGTGATGCTTAGAAGGGGAAAGTCGGATTATCGAGGAATAAAATGCTCTGTGTGGATAACAAGTTCTTTGCTATAGGGATTTTGCTTTGGACATTGGTAACTAGGATATTGGATTTTTTTCATATTTTTTTCATAAAAGAGTCCGCAACAATGGGGCGAAGGACGTCATCGTGATAAGTGAAGGCAGAACTTCGAAGTTATAGAGTCCACGCTAGATCCACGCTAGAAGATGATTAGCAAGGCAGATATAATCGATACGCGTTATGCATTAAACACAAAGAATATCTTTGTTTGACTCATGCTCCCAAGATACGTGGTCAAGTGTAAGTACCAGCTCATTTGTTAGCAAATAAGAGACAAAAGGAACTGATAGACAGCATCCCTGTTCGATGTAAGTTGCCAATATCAACTGTCATAATATGTGATATCTTCATTCAAAGTCATGAGCGAGAGTAAGCCCAAAGCCCGTAGTCTAGTACAGCGCGGCCAGCACACATATACAGTATAGTCTATCTCGCCAAGGGAACAGTAAACCACAGGCAAACCTCGACGATCAATGCAAAAACAAAGCAGATCTATCTATGCTTTAGGAATTGGAGGGGAATACCAGGTACCATCACTGAGCCATACTCCCGTCGGGCCGTATGTGCCAGCCTCAGCACCTCTCAAGAATGCAAAACGGAAGAACAGATCATCGGGTTTGGCATCAGAGCTGTCCTCTCCCAGAAGCAGTGACTGAGATTCCACACTGCCCATGTCACGGCTGATCAGACGAGGGTTCGTTTGTAATTCCAGGCCATCATGGCCATGACGGTGCCAGGTAAATTCGCCCTGCTTGTCTTCATCAAGGTAACCGCGCCAGCGTTCCACATCATTGAGAAGAACGGAGACACCATCTACTGCAAGATCTGCCATGCGCTCGTGTTCCCACAAAGCGAAAGTGATGTTTCCGTTGCCACGGTAAGTGTGGGATCCCGGTTCTGGCAAAGAAACACTAACAGAAGAGCTAGTGACATTGGGATAAGTAGCGCCCCACCAGCCATTGTTGCCTCCGGGCACTTGCTCTCCCAGAGCGGCAGGGGTCTCGATAATAGAGGCGAAGCCCCATCGGGCAACTCCGTTAATGAAGAGACCTAGTAACAAGCCCTGGTAGATGAGTGAGGGACGAGTGGGGAATGCAGTACCCGGCATGAGTAAAATTGCCAAGATATAATGATGGATTCGCAAGCGCAGACCAGGAAGGGGCAGCAGAATCAAAATGATCAATCCCATGGTGCAGTAGATCTTCAGGTAGCGGGGGAGCAGACCTCCCTGGCGGATCTGCCACGCTTGACTCAGGATGATCAAAAGGACAATTGGGATGACAAAAGCCAGAGCCAGCTTTGCTCCAGGTTGCTTTTGAATGTCCATAGGTGTAAGGCGCTGCAATGGGATCAAGCGGGCGAAAGTGTAGTTGTTCAAAGCTCCGATGAAAAGCGGGGGTAGGAAGAGGAGCATCTTTGAAAGTTGATAGATGGGCGAGGTAATCGGCTGGAGAAGCGGAACGGCGCAGAATTTGTAAAGAACGTACACGACGAAAGATGCCGGTAGAAGGCGAGATAGAAGACTGGAAACGAGGTCGGCTAGGAAAGGGTCCGAGGGTGGGTCTCCAACTAGTCCCGTGTGACAGAACACCATGAAAAATGAACTGAAGAACAATATAGGCGGGGATGTACAAAAGAGCCATAAGACACCGACTGCAGCGGCGGTGATTCCAAGGAGTGTCCAGCGGGGATCGGACGGACAGCTGGCCTGCGGCGAAGACAGTTCGAGGAAGCTGAACGCCTTAGGGAAGGTCGATGGAAATGCGGCAGATAAAATACCGTGCTTTTTGACCGACGGGAAGGAGTGCGCTGCGCCCTCAAGTTTGACGACGCCGCAGCCACCATCGTTCGAGATTGCACCGGCGTGGATTGCCGCCTGGCAGACAAAACTATCAGCACGATAGAGTGCTGGGTCAAAGGAGCCCGGCTGAGGACCCCCGATGACTAGCCCTTGGTAATTGTATGTATGGTTTCCCACGACGTGAGGTTCCAGCAATATGGTATCGCGGCACTTCGCGGGACACCGGAAGGGAATAGTCGAGGAAGAGAATGGCCGGCAGTCATTTCCATTAATACCACATCTGTTTTCAATCTTCCTATACCGGTCGCAAGTATATCAGTGGGTCTGAAGCGTGAAATGGTTTTCCAATGTACATACCAGAGATTCGTGGAGCACGACAGTGTTTGAGGCTGACCGTACCCTTCGATATAGCCGGAAGAGCGCGAGTGCAATAAAATCAAGAACCAAGGCAAGAACCAAGATACATAAAGCAGCAATAAAAGGAATGTCTTATATTTGCGCTTGGGTAAGAGACGATCGAGGTATTGGACTGGCAGCTCCTGGACTCGCGGGAATAGTGGCTTCAACAGCAACATGTGCGGCGGATCGGGACCTTTCACCCAATTTGCGGTCGTGCGACCGACCTTCCTGAGTGGCAGAGGCACCCATCCCCAACGAAATGACTTGGAAGACTCCCGTAGCCAGACGGGCAGTGCGCCTGCTTCAACATCGACATCGGGCGGCGGTAGGTCTTCGGAAGCTTCGGGATCGGCGAGACGCTCGTCGTCTTCAAGGAGTGGAGGGACATATAGCCTAGTGGCCTCCTCTCTACCTTCCCCAGGCATGCTGATGGGTTCTCCCAGGGCGAAATAATGTGCGGTGTGACTAGAGTGACTAGCACCACTCCGTAGAACGAACGGGTATGATGTCGGTGGTCGGCTAGCGGCGATAAGTGATCTCCGTTGATTACCAGGAACACGATCCTGGGGCGATCAAAGCGAGGGATGAGATTATGAACAGCGAAAGAGCAAGGAGTAAACTAAGTACAAAAGAAAGAGAAAAGAAAAGGATAATATGAGAAGAAAGATGAGAAGAATGAAGAAGGGAAATCTGGGGAAACAAGGTCAGGCAGCCAGGCATCCAATTAAATTCCACGCCTGACGATTGTGACGATGACTCTCTCTCTCCATACCACCTAGGCACACTGCATGATCTTCGAGATCTTCGATTTGCTTTCAGATGACAATTCAAAGCTTGTTGCGATTTCGCATACAATCTCTTTAGCACATTTATCTGTGTTACCTGTTTTACGCTGTGCAACAGACAGAATACAGGGGATCCGAAAGACACCCTAGGCACGGAGTACGCCGCGATCTCATGATTACTGTTGATTGGTGGTGTTCCTAGCAACATTCCGAAAAAAAGCAGACATGTTCCAGAATACACAATCTATCAGCACCCATTCCCTAAAAAGTTGACACCTGGTAGATCCAAAGCATCCACTGTCTCATCATCGCCACTCAACCCATCAAGATCCTTGCGCAGCCAAAATGACCGGAACCCCTCCACCAATCTCTGGGTGAGAGGCGCCACCTCGTCAACCTCCATAGGGGCAAAAGCCACCCGAATATACCTATGAGCCTTCGCAGCAGACGCTGGAGTCGCAGCGAACATCGTGCCAGGGCCCACAAGACACAAATGCGGCTTCTGGGTCAGATGAATCCAAAGTGCCTGGGAGAGTTTCTCGGAGGTATATTGTGAGCGCAAGGGATGTGTATCGAAATGAACATCAATCCAAGCGAACATCCCACCCATGGGCCAGACGAAATCATACATCTGCACTCGATCAAGGACCTCCCAGTCATCGTGGCTTTTCGATCCATGGAAGAGATACTTGTTCTCTTCCAGAATCGTGCACATAGCCTGCATGCGCGTTTCATAGCCGGCGCGTAACCCTTCCAACCACCGCACCCAGCCATCCATGTGCCAGCCCGGAACCAGCTTCGATGCTTTCGCGGATTTATCGTCATCATCCTGTCCAACGATCATCTCTGCTATCAATGATTGAACGAATCCGGATGGTTGCTGAGTTGTCACTTCCGTTATGCGAGTGAGACGTTCAATAATAGCCGGCTGTGCAGTGATCCAGCCGAGACGACTACCCGGTGCAATAGTTTTGGAGAATGTGTCGAGACGCACTACCCGGCCCTCGATGTCGATGGACAGATACGAGGGGACGAGAGAGTCCAGGTAAGCATAGCCTGAGGACTTGCCCTCTGCGTTATAGTCCTTGGTGTAGAGATTTGGTTCTGAGGATGAGCCACGGTGATGAATCGTCTTCTCATAAGCGGATGGAAATTGCAAGTTCCAGTATGGCTCGTCCTCGATGATAATCACATCGTATTTCTGGCAAAGGGCATAGATTTCCTTTCGGCGCTCAACAGAAAGTGTTCCACCAGTTGGATTTTGGCCAGTTCTATAAACTGTCAGCAACCATGTGTTTTCTCCTTTGTTGCTTCTGCAGAGGAGATACTCACGGCACTGTATACATCAAATGAGGCCGACGGCCAAGCCGGAAATCCCAATTCTCCAACACATCCTGCAACCCGCCTTTCCCACTCGCGAGCATACCCTGTCCATCCATGACCACACCGGCGACATTCAAGCCGCGCGGCGCAACTGTCTGAATAGCATTCATATAGGCAAACTCCTCGCACAAGACACCCTCGCGCTGTTGGATCCAATCCCGGTCGGGATTCCATATATTCGTGAATGCTTCAATGGCCTTGGCAAAGCCATCGGTCGATCCACATGTCAGCAGGACCTCCGGACCATCTCTATAGGGTACATTGGGATGGAGATGGTCTCGTGCGAACGAGCGCAGAAAATTACTCAGAGGTGGGTATCCTCCGGCGGTGCCGTATTGGAGGGCGGTGGTTAGGTCGATTTTCCGAGCGAGATCTTTTGTGTGGTCTTCTTTTGGGACTGTTACTCGGACGGAGTGGGGATTTTTGTCATTGGATTGGAATCGCTGGGGGAGGGCGACTTTGGCTTCGAGTGTATCGTAGGGGAAGTAGGATGCATGGGGCAAACCTAGTAGAGTCAATATTATGCAGATGCAGATGTAGGTTTTGATATGTACCTCCAGCGAAATTGGCAATTCCGGGTATTTGGAAATATTTATAGAAATTCTTGACACTGCTGGGTTTCTTGTTCTTTGTGGCGTAAGAGTAGTGGTGCGACAAGTCCAAAGGGTGTGGAGCTGTCATGATTGCCGATCTAACGGCCTTGCAGATGACAGGGGAGACGTGCAGTTGGGGTATTGATTAGTAGGATAAGGTAGTTATTGAATCAGATAAAAAAGTAAATGAAGTTTTAGAACAATTTCAAACTACTCATATCCATACGATGTTTTTATTAAACGGAAATCCCGGTAGACCAGGGGAACCCCCGCAGGGTTGCTTGATAATCAGTACCAGATCCTGCAGAGCCCTCTGTCTCCACCAGATCTAGCTATTTTTGGATGATTTTGAACTGCTATGGTTGGCTACTGAGTAGGAGATATCTTATCTGACAGAATAGACATTCAGTATGGCGATTGCCACGCAATAGTGAATGATTGGCGGGATTCTTGTAGGGTGATTGGCTTCTAATATGACGAGCTTGGATTTTGTATAAAAGAAGAATATGCCGGGTTCAATCTAAAGAAGCCTGAACAATAAGCCAAATTGGGCACCTGCGCAGTCCACTCTGGAGACTCATCCGTCGCAGTTCCTTCTTCGGGGCTAGTTCGCTGTTCGTGGCTTCATCCTAACGGAATTCGTTCGCGTGGACCCCAACAGTATTTACGGTTCACTACTCAGAGACACCCTATGAAGTTGAATATTTTGTCTTCTGCTTCTCATCGAATAGATACACCCAGATATCTGAGGTATCAAATGGAAAGGTGCTACAAGATGCCATTGCTTATGGGGTCGTCCCAGGCCTTTTTTATAGATGCTAACGAGTATCTCTAGGGCATGCCATAGCTCAGACTGCTATAGATAAAGTATGCATGACACTGAGACATCCGAATCAATCGCAGTGCTTGAATGGTTGTTTTTAACCGATTTCCTTCTCATAGACGCCTTTCGCTTGGCGATGAACTTGCTGATGTGAGATTTTGGGCAACTCGTAGCTTAATGGGGTGTGCGAAAGGCCCTGGATATATAATCAGACTGCTTACTTCCAAAGAATTAAAAACTTATATCTTGCCTTGTGTTTTTTGACACGACGCGTTTATATATATTTCAATCTCTGATCCGAACTTTAGAATCTCCAGCAGTAACACTTGTCTTCAACATGACGGCAACATTGGATATTGTCAATCAAAGCTTCGTTGACGAACTCTCTAAAGGTCAGCCACTATACGAGAAAACCCCAATTCAGGCTCGCGACATCCTAGAGACCGTCCAACAGCATACGCCAGCTTCCGACATCACTCAAGAAACCATCGAGATTTCTTTCGAGTCGGGTACTGTCAAGACTGTCATATTCAGACCAGCTAATTCTGGCAATGATTTGCCCACCATCTTCTATACCCACGGAGGTGGCTGGATCCTTGGAAGGTATGGCTCATCAACCACTATCATAACAGGATGATCTTCTCACATATGTCAGCCCCACCGTCCACGGTTCTCTTGTGGAAGATCTCGCACGACAAACCGGCGCAGCAGTAGTATTCCCATACTACAGCCCAGCCCCGGAGAAGCAGTACCCAGTCCAGTTCGAAGAATCCTTTACAGTTCTGAAGTACATTGTCGAAAATGGCGCCAAGCACAAGCTCAAGACCGAGACGGTGGCTCTGGCTGGTGACAGTGTTGGCGGTAAGACTGTCTTCCCAGTTGTGAAATGACACTATTCTCATAAAATCTCAAATCCAGGCCACATGGCGATTGCAATGGTCCAGTTAATCCAGGACCGCAGCCTCCCCGTCAAAGTTCCCCACCTTGTTCTCTTCTACCCCGTCACCGACACCAACGACAAGAGCGAAACCTATAAGATCTACAAGGATGGGCCTTATCTCAGCGAGCAGACCATGGATTGGATGATAGACGCTTTCCTTCCGAACAAAGCAGACCGACAGAATACATTGACGTCCCCTTTGAAATATGCAGCTGATGAAGTGTTGTCCAAGTTCCCACCGACAACAGTGTTCTTGTCTGGCGCTGACCCGCTGATTGGAGAAGGAGAAGCGTTTGGTCTGCGACTGCAGAAGGCTGGAGTTGAGACTGCGATTATCAAGGCTGAGGGCCAGATTCATGATTACGTTATGCTTGAGCCTATTCGGACGACGGCCACCGCTAAGGCGGTTGTTGAGTTGGCCGCTCTGCATTTGAAGAAGGGATTAGCATAGATCGAGTTTGAGTGGTTGATTTGTGCGAGAATACTCCACAACACTACGTGGGTGTAAAGTTTCAGCCAAGGTTTCATTTAGGCTTAAATGAGGATGGCATTTTCATTGGTTGTCTGGAGATTTAAGTGCGTAGTATACATCAATGTACCATATACCATTATTGTACCTTGTGAATTGAAATGAGACTATTTATTCGTCGCAGTCTGTCATTTACTCTTCGTTATGAAAACCATCAAACGATTGCCCGTGGTAAATTGCTGCACTTACCAGGTTAGTGGCAAAACTTGGCGCATTCGCTTTCCCCAGGCCACGAGTCTGGGGTTGTGTGCTATTCCAAGTTTGTCGCCCGGTCAAGATGACCATGATTACCATTAGGGATAAGATCACCCCTTCGGCTTCCAAGGCTGTGATGTACATACACATTTTTAGCGCAATTTTCCTTGGCTGAGGAGAAAGATAAAGTTAAACAGATTTACAAAGTAATACAGTGAACCGTGGAAAACCTTGGAATGATGACTGTCGTTACTAGTACTATATACAACAATAATAAGTGAAAGGAGGCGAGTCAACAAAAACGAGGGAAAAAAACTTTTAGTGTGGGGGCCCCGCGTAGAAAACCAAACCCGAATACCCCAGTTTCCTACGAACATCCATGCTATACTAGTAGAGGTATTATATGTATTGTGTGTATTATACTATAACATACTGCCCGAAATAATGCCCCAATCTCTGACAATGGCTAAATCTCGGCTGAGATTGATTCTAGAAGACAATTTGACTCAGAAACTATGTCATCGGAATCCTTATTGCGCTAATTTCGGGCTGTTCCCTTTTCCCCTTCCAAGGCTCCCCCCACGCCCCGGGGTATCCCGGGGGTGTCCCGTAAACTAAGCAAGCCGACGGAGAATCTTTGCCAAAATATCGGCGATTCTCCGTTTCGGGACGCTCCTGGCGGCCTTAGTTGCCCGAAATTTTCACTACAACATCGCCGGTATCTCTCCCCACGGGGTCAATTAGTCTTCTTGATATCGGGAATGGGTATTCAATGTGAGAGTCATCACGAATTTATGCTCAACTATCTCTGCAAAGAGTATGATCTTGTCAACTAGCGGTCATCAAGCCATAAATCACATTTAGGTGTGCGCGAATCCCAATCAAGGGGCCCACATCTCGGGCAAATACGCCTTGGCCTGCGTGTTGACTGGACGAAATGGGTCAAGAGTCCTACTAAATGGAAAAATGGAGACTGTGCAGAGGGCTCGACCATGGCCAGTCCCCGTCAACCCCATGGAGAGTTTAGAGATTTTACCGTGGAGTATGACATGATTATGTACCCCAAGATGTGGGAGTGTGGGTATATAAGGGTATTCCCCTGAAAGTCGGGTGTTTACATTCTTTCTGCATTTTGTGGCTCTTTGTCTATTGCTTTTTTGTGGGTTCCTCTTCTATATTCCCCCATACCACATACAGTCTCGCCTATTATGGCAGGCCTTGACCTCAACATCGACTGGAAGGCCAACCGCCGGGCCATCGCCTTCTGTTTGGTGGCTGCTATCGGTGCCCTCTGCTATGGTTACGACACAATCTACTATACTGGTATCCAGGGCATGACATTCTTTGCCAAAGACTATGGAGAGCAAGCCGCAGATGGCACTTGGTCGCTTGGAACAACGTTCCTGTCCCTGTCTGCTAGTATCATCTATGTGGGAGAGCTAGTCGGCGCCCTTGCCGCTGCCCCCATCAACGATCGCTTCGGTCGACGTGCTGTCTTCCTGTCTGCTTCTCTTTGCATTATCATCGGAGCCATCGTACAAGTGTGCTCCTTTGGCTCTGACCCTGTCTTCTATGTCAGTCGTGTCTTGATTGGTCTAGGTATCGGGCAGTTCACATCGACTTGTCTGATGTACATTGGAGAGGTCGCACCGTCTGCCATCAGAGGTCCGGCTCTCATGTGCTTCCAGTTCATGCAGTCTATCTCGCAACTGGTGGGAGCCTGTGTCAACCAAGGCACCCAGGGCATTCAAAGTGCTCAATCCTACCGTATTCCTATGTGTCTGCTGGTTGTCCTTCCGGGAGTCATGCTTCTGTGCCTTCCCTTCACCCCTGAAAGCCCAGTGTGGTATATGTACAAGAACAAGCGTGACCAAGCCATCAAGGCTCTCCGCCAAATCAACCACAGCAACCGCGACTACGACCCTGCCATGGACATGCAAGCCATCGACAACCAAGTCCAGATGGAGCGTGAAATGGCCAAAGACGCCACCTGGGCCTCTCTGTTCACAGACCCCGTCGAGCGCCGTAAGCTTTTCTACGCCTGCGGTGTTATGTTCGTCCAACAGATCAACGGCATCCAGTTCTGGTACACCTACGGCGTTGTCTTCGCGCAGTCCATCGGCATCGCAGACCCCTTCACCATCAACACCATCATCTACGTTCTCCAAATTGTTACCGTCGGCGCCGCAGTCGTCCTCGGAAACAAGATCAAGCGCCGCACCAACCTCCTCGTCTGCTCGGCGGGTATCTTTGTTTCCCTCATCGCCGTTGGCGGCCTCGGCACTACACGCTCTGCCGAAGGCACCTTCAGCCGTGGCATCGGCATCGGCATCGTCGTCCTCGCCTACATCAACATCATCTTCTACAACTTCTCCATCGGCACGCTCTCGTACTCCATTGCCTCTGAGATGTCGGTCGGCCGCAACAGAAACAAAATCACCTCGTGCGCCATGGGCACCTTCTTCCTGACGGTCTGGCTCATGGTCTTCACCAGCCCGTATATGTACTACACGGGCAATCTGGGCCCGATGATCGGTTTCGTCTACGGAGCAACAACCCTGTTCTTGCTGGCTTACTCCTGGTTCTGTGTTGGTGAGACTGCAGGTCGCAGTAATGCAGACATTGAGGTTCTCTTCCAGGATAAGGTTCCCGTTCGCGAGTGGGCGACATATGTCATTCCTTCTCAGGATGATGTGACTGCTATGAAGAAGCAGGGCACTCAGGAAGAGCAGATTGAGATGGCATAAGTGTGATATGAACGTGCCATGATTTATGTGACATGAGGCAATTGAGACCTACTTTATATGTATATGCAGGCCGTGTATGTATTTTCATTGTTTCATTGTGACCAGCTATATACATAATTTGAAGCTACAAACAAAACTGAAACAAGCTTGTTACACAAAACTCTCAACCCGACTAGTATCTTGTAACAAAAATATAGAAACACATGTATCTCCCTTAGCTTTGAAGTAATCTACATTGTTCGAAAGGGTTGATGCCTTGGTGCCTGAAGCACCGGAAGGGTCAACACAAAACTTCACCCCGCACGAGCTCCGCAACAGCACAATGTCCCTTACCCCGGAGAACCAAGACCTCGCCGAAGAAATAGAGGCAATCAACGCAATCTACGAACCAGACACAGTGACCGTGACCGCGACCCCCGCCCACGCACCCAACACCCTCGACCTAGGAAGCTCCCACTCCAATGGCACACACACGACAGTGATCACACTACAAGTGCCAGAGCAAGACCACCTATCATTCATAATCGGCTTCGAAGCCTCCTACCCCAGCACCAAACCAACCGTCCTAGGAACAGCCTCGACGGCAGCACGCGGTGAAGGCAAAATCGCCATCGATGTACTAGAAGACATCATCCAGCGCACGTGGCAAGCCGGCGCAGTATGTCTATTCGACGTAATCAGTGAAGCGGTGGAAGTCTTTCCCTCGCTAAGCATCGGCACACAAGGCGAATCACCCTCCCCAGAGCCCCTCTTACCAGAGACCGCGTCGAACGCACCGCTCCACGCCGACCTAGCCACGCCTCCGGACTGGATCCTGTCGGACGTGATAACAGAGAAGAAATCCGTGTTCGTGGGGCGCGCGGCGCGTGTACACGATCTAGCGCAGGCGCAGGCTTTCCTGGACCATCTCACGGCTACAGATCGGAAGGTCGCTGGGGCGACGCATAATATCAGTGCATGGCGGATTCGGCAGAAGAAGGCGGGTTCGGATGGCGAGACTGTTGTGCAGGACTATGATGATGATGGGGAGACGGCTGCTGGAGGGCGGCTATTGCATGTTATGCAGTTGATGGATGTGTGGGATGTGGTAGTTGTTGTTACGAGGTGGTTTGGGGGTGTGCATCTTGGGCCTGCGCGGTTCCGTCTCATCAATGATGCTGGGCGGGATGCCTTAGTTAAGGGTGGGTTTACGAAGAAGGAGGAGGGGGTGGGCTCGGAGAAGAAGAAGAAGGGGAAGAAATGAGTATGGGTGATTGCCCTGGTTTGGATTACTTCTGCTGTTGCTGCGTCTTGCTTGGGCGCCCTTTCACATGGAAGAATCTCCCCTGAAGCAATGTGATGAAACACCTGTCTGCATGACTGGGGTGCTTGATGGAACTTCAGACAGGCATCAGTGGCACTAACACGCGGATACAACCTTCCTCTTTATTCATTGGAAAGGGCCATGGAAACTAGATGCTATTGCGTGACCTGGTCTGAGAGAAAAAGGAAGGTGCAATTTCAGCAATGGGGCAATGCCGGTCCTCATGCCATGAAGAAATTTGCGCAAATTGCTTCATTGACTTGGAGATTGAGATGGAAGCCTACAGTGGAACCAGTATTTTCATCTCTGTGACTCCATTATATTGGACCACCGGTGCCTCGGGGTCTCGCAGAATCCGACATTGTGGATGTATAGCAATATCCAAGGACGAAACTCAAAATGCGACAGGATAGAAAGCAAGTGCCTCCTTCAGAAAATGCACTATCCGATCGACGCTCGGCCAGGAAGATTCGACAATACCTACATGTACCAAAAACCTTGGATTGTACCATCCCGTCTGTGACCTGCCGCGATCTGGTAGAAAATCACCTGCCCGAAGGCCTAGATAGCCAACAACCCAACTAGACGCTGAGAACGAAATAGTCATGTATATGCGAAGATTTAGAAAGTCATATAGAAGGGTTCATTGCGATCGGAGAATCCGACGGCAATCACAGAAGGGAGCAATATACGGATTGAACTAGTTCATGCGAACCGGGTCGCAACCAGGGACGAAACAAGGCAGAGGACGAGTCACAGCGCCTGCCGACAGACACCTCGATCGAGTTTCGGACATTGCATTTCCCACTTGTGGGGTGTGATCTGTTCGGCTCTTTGAGTTTAGGGGGGCTTCTACAATGGAGGCTTGAGGGCAGATTCTATCAACATGAAACACGCCCGGGACTTGTATGCGGTTCGGGATTTGTGCATGTAATAATACTGTAGGGCTTTGGATCGGTGAGTGAAGATCCACGTCACAACAAGAACCGGGGGCAGTGGAGCTGTCATAGTCTCTTTTAGTGTCTCTCGAAGATCCTGAGCCGCGTTTCATGAAATTATCACTAGGGTCGGGACTTTACTTCGGCTCTCTGTACCTACACTCAATGTATGTACGGATACTATCTACAATATTGTATATCCGTATATACGTATATACGGTAGGATTTCGAGATCGTCTAAAAACGCATGAATTTCAACCATAGCAGCTAGCAAACGAGTGCTTTCTAGATGAATGCTACCAGCCCGCTAAACATAATGTAGCCGCGATGAGACACCCGGCAGGACATGTTCTTATTAAGAGACAAAAAACAAAAAAAAAGCAGCAGTTCTACGTGCGACACTGCTCAGTTGCTTCCCCTTCAACTAACCTCCTGTCATGCGGTGTTGTGTTCACCACCTAAAAATGAGGTTTCTAGTCACTTCTTCTTGGCAAGATCCTTTCTAGCTAGGTTGCATACGGCAAGTATATAGTTCACCTAATCTTCGGCTGTGCTTATAGTTCCTATGTTACCGGCTTGAAATACTTATTCACTTCTCACGGGCATCTTGTCACCGTAAGTCGCAAGTTTGGTTTCAGAAACCAGCGTGGCAAGGTTGGGCTGGGTTTCTATACATCGCAAGGGGTAGTATGACACCGTCCACGGGTGCTTGAATACATCAGCGGCATATTGTATGTAACGTCAGGAAACAGCAGGAGACTCCACGAAGACATAATTAATTGATTGGCAGCTGACAAGATACGGGCGGCTACAACGTATACCCACCGCCACATATACCTTCTGCACAATGCAATGGCCGGCGGTTGATGGTGCGACAAAACCAGGGGGCGCAAGTGGATTGGCAGTGGATTTGCACTACTTACTTGTTGTGGTTGGTTGTTCGTCTAGCCGCCCAGACCAAGAGAGATCGTCTGGAAGACTTCTTCACACATCTGACTGGCCTGTCACTTATTGTGATTTTTATACGGAGTGTACTACAACAGTTGTCTGCGAGTTTTCATTGGCTCATCTTTGTTTTACTGAACTTGTTAAATCTTCCAAAATGTTCAAATATGAAACATCCCAGCGTTTTCAAGTCTCCACTAAATTCTACAGATCGAACAAGTGCCCCGGGATCTCAAACTTGGCGTCTCTGGTTAATTGCCATACAGGCACAGAGTAGTATCGCTCCATTCAGGGTCCATCATACCTGATTATAGTACGTGATGTCGCTTAAAGGGCCCGAGGGTTGTGGTCAAGTCCAACTATAAAACCCTTGACGCCAATGCTGCATGCTTTTTTTTTCTTCTTTTCTCTCTAAACAATTCAATCCTTCTCTGTTCTTCGATTTGAACGATTCGACAGGCTAGTCCTGCAATTCTTTCCCTTCTTTCTAGTCTTGGTGGTTTTTGCCTGTGGCGAAACCCATACATTCCTTTTCTTCCAAGCTTTAAGACAAAGAGGTTGGAAATAAACCTTCCTTTCAACCAGTAGTCTCATTCACTTTGCTACAAAGGTAATTGTCATCCCTTTTGTTACATCATTTACTTCCGCTCCTTTGTTACGTCAATGTCTATTGTTGAAACCTATTATTGCGGGCTGGGATCAATACTACCAACGATAAAACACAAGTTATATCTTTATCAATCGATCATTCATGCATCCAGCGGGCTTATATCTACCTACATCTCCCGCAGCATGGCATACACTGGCATAGGATCTCACTAACAACCTTCCAGCTCTCCATTCTTTCCAACACCACCAAGGTCCAATCCTTTTACCTTCTGTTCCATTCGTCTGGCACGAATTGAATTGATTTGCATCTTCCTGTCGAATCCAAGTTCAGCAAGCTCCCCCAACAAGGTCCAACGATGATGTTCAACCTGATGGTTGCCCTCATGGGCGCTTCTATGGTCAATGCTCACATGATTATGAGCAACCCAACCCCTTACAGCAAGGCCACTCTCAACAACTCGCCGCTGGCGGCAGATGGCAGTGACTTCCCCTGCAAGCTTCGCGATAACGCCTTTGAGGCCCCCGCAACCGAGACAATCCTCGCCGTCGGCGAGAATATGAAGCTCGCATTCGAAGGCAGCGCCATCCACGGCGGCGGTTCCTGCCAGATCAGTCTGACAAAAGACCTCCAACCCTCCAAGTCCTCCTCGTGGCAGGTGATCAAGTCCTTCGAGGGCGGCTGCCCCGCCCTGAACTCTAATGGCGACACCGATCTCAGCTTCAAGGTGCCCGAAGGCATCTCCGCTGGAAAGTACACTCTGGCTTGGACTTGGTTCAACCGAATCGGCAACCGCGAGATGTACATGAACTGCGCCCCAATTACCGTCACCGGCGGTTCGTCCAAGCGCTCCAACCAAGAACTTGAGAAGCGCGCCGCCAGTTTCCCGCCCTTGTTCGTCGCCAACGTCAACGGCTGCACCACCACGGAGATGGTTGATATTCGTTTTCCCAATCCCGGTGAGTACATCGATTATCTCGGTGTACCAGCCAATCTTGCTCCCGCATCCGACCCTGTTTGCAAAGGTACCCCTACCTTTGGCGGCGCTGGCCTTGCGGCATCCGGCTCCAGTTCCAGCTCCAGTTCCGGCTCCAATTCCGGCTCTGATTCCGGCTCTAGCTCCTCTTCCGCCGTCGTGGAGAGTACCCCCAGCGCCACCGCCTCAGCTTCTGAATCCTCTTCCGTCGCTGCAGAGAGTACCCCCACCGCTGCCGCCTCAGCCTCTGCCGACCCAGCCCCAGAAGCAAGCGCATCAAGCGAGCCGTCCGAGTCTCCGAAAGCCTCACTTCCTGCCGCTCCCTCCTTTACTGGGTCTTCCAGCGTTCCCAGCTCTAGCTCGAGCTCGAGCTCCGGAGCTCTAACCGGCACCTGCAAGACCGAAGGCGAGTGGAACTGCATCGCTGGCACTTCCTTCCAGCGCTGCGCTCAAGGTACTTGGTCCGCCACTCAGCAGATGGCATCTGGCACTGAATGCGGCCCTGGTCAGAGTGCCGACTTCACGATTATGGCGACCAAGAAGGCGCGCCATATCTCCAGCATGCGCTTCCGCAAGCGTAACCTTGGTTCCCATCATGTGTAGATAAGTACGCAACAGATCCGCAGGCGTCGGATGTTGCCATTTATGCTGGCTGCATTGCAAGAATTTCTCTTCTCTTCTCGTCTTGTCTTTTCTTCATTCTTACCTGATTCTTTTCCCCGCATGTCATTCGTTTCCACCCCGGACTTTATATCGGGTGGACCTTCTTTTTCTCGGGGCGCCATACGCCATTCACCCTGTACATTTAGGAGATGAGACTAGGAAAATAGAACATCTCAGAAAAATAGGATATCTCACATGGTTCGATACCAGATTGATTTTTCTAGTGCTATGTCTGTAGTGTATCTGTAAACTTGTATCAGGATTTTTGAGATGCGAGTAAATAATTGATGTCGTGCCTCGTCACTTCAAAGAGAGGGCCTTCTTCGCATGGACTGTAGCTTTTGACACAAAGCCGGTTCTCGCTTCTCTTGCTATCTTCTGAAAATTTTCGCAGTAACTTCCTGACTAAAGAGGTAGACCAGAAACCCACTGAGGATATTGTAGGAAGGCAGCATGCGAAGTGAGGCCGGCTGGGAAATGCAACCCAAGTTCTACAAGAACGAATCGAGGAAGCCTGTGCTGGACCCACGTAGGCCTATCTGACCTCTAACAAACACGAGGAGCAATTTCATAGCTGGAGACAGCTCTTGTAGCGTGCATCAACAGCAGGGTATAACGAACTTGACTTGTCAACAAGTGCGCAAAGGAAAGTGGAGACCTGTAGACCCACTGTTGTGATCACCTGACTAGAATTAGATAAGACAGATACACTAGTCCACATCAGGGAATGAGGAGGGCTTAGGGTTGGCTGCCGCCCCACTGCCCATTTTCTCACTAAGCGAAAAAATCCACACCCAGCCTGAAGCCCCCCAACTCGACGAGATTGAATCTTCAACCTCACCTCGACACCGACCAGCAACAATGGCCTCCCGCCCTACTGTCTCGATCGCCACGGCTGAGGGCAAGCCCTCCGGGGCCTCCCACCCCTTGCCCACCGTGTTCTCTGCTCCTATCCGCCCGGATATTGTCCAGTATGGCTCGAAATTGAAGGATTGACAAATGGAGGGGAGATGCTGATGGTTTTACAGGCAGGTCCACGTCGGTATGGCCAAGAACAAGCGCCAGCCCTACGCCGTGAGCGAGAAGGCTGGTGAACAGACCTCTGCTGAGTCCTGGGGTACCGGTACGTTATTTGGCACATTTTTCGCGATTGGAATAATTGGATTCGAGATTGCGAAGAAATTTGCAAATCTATCTGATTTTCACTATCTCACTTGCTAAAGCAAGAGCAATTGGCTAACGAACCGTTTTCAATTGAACAGGTCGTGCTGTCGCCCGTATCCCCCGTGTCTCCGGTGGTGGTACTCACCGTGCCGGTCAGGCTGCCTTCGGTAACCAGTGCCGTTCCGGTCGTATGTTCGCCCCTACCAAGGTCTGGCGCAAGTGGCACCAGAAGGTCAACGTTGGCCAGCGTCGTTTCGCTACCGCCTCCGCTCTGGCTGCTTCTTCTTCCCCCGCTCTGCTCTTCGCTCGCGGTCACCGTGTTGCCAACGTCCCCGAGGTTCCCCTCGTCGTTGACTCCAAGGTCTTCGAGGGCTCTGCCCTGACCAAGACCAAGGCTGCCGTCGCCCTCCTCCAGGCTGTCGGTGCCGGACCCGATCTCGTCAAGGTCCAGAAGTCCCGCAAGATCCGCGCTGGTAAGGGTAAGCTCCGTAACCGCCGCTTCCGCCAGCGCCGCGGTCCCCTCGTCGTCTACAACCCCGAGACCGACGGCAAGGACCTCGTCAAGGCCTTCCGCAACATCCCCGGTGTTGAGACCTCCCCCGTCTTCTCCCTCAACCTCCTCCAGCTCGCCCCCGGTGGTCACCTCGGCCGCTTCATCGTCTGGACCTCTTCCGCTTTCAAGGCTCTTGACCAGGTCTACGGCACCACCACCAGCCCCTCCGCCCTCAAGCGCGACTACCTCCTGCCTTCCAACCTGGTTGCCAACGCTGATCTGACCCGCCTGATCAACTCTTCCGAAATCCAGTCCGTTCTCCGCGCTCCCAAGGGCGAGGCCCGCACCAAGCGCGTCAACGTCCAGAAGAAGAACCCTCTGCGCAACAAGCAGGTCATGCTCCGCCTCAACCCCTACGCCGCTGCCTACTCCAAGCAGAAGCTTGGCCAGCAGTCCGTCGAGGGTGGCAAGCCTTCTGCTCCCTCCGAGGCTTTCCTCGCCACTCTCCACGAGAACTAAGCGGGTTTCTTTGCCCCCTGCTATTTCTTTGTTAGCTGTTGGTTGACAAAACGGTAGTCAGCAAAAATGAATCAATGCCTTTTTTGCAATACCCATGGGTCTTTTCGGAGTAGTAATGTGATCGGTTCTGTTCTTCTAAACCCTCGATTTCTTTTGTATTCTGCTGGTAAGTTTTGTAGCCGTAGACTGAATCGAGGTGTTTATTTCTCTTTTCACTGTTTATTTCCTTCGCAGCTACATACTGATAACCCCGGAAATGTCAATTCGCAACTGAGATGTGATACTGGCCAGCGAAGAGGATGTTTACTAACACGCCACATATTACTCGATTCCCTCAGCAATATATTTTCCTACGTCTTATATCAATCGTATCATTGCTTCCACGCTAAAATTTGGTTAAGTGCGGCCTAACCAAAGCCTGTCCGTGCAATTCTCCAATAATCATTGATATTTTGACTTGAATGGGAATCCTGGTTGTGTTCATCGTCAGATCTAAATGATAATAGTAAACCGAGTCTTCGGTCCTTCATGGACAGTTCAACTTCCAAACATGTATACGTATACTTCAATTCTAATTGTCTATATAATCACATGCTCTCCCTTACATAGTACCTAGGCACAACCACAAACACATGGAATTCGCAACAAAAAAAAACAATTTATGCATAATCCCAGTCGAATGAGACACAGCTTCGCTTGCTGAACTAGCGTGAGCGGAATCCGACATGACAGCTATACCTTAAGCCGCAGCTCGTCCCGCTAGTTACAGCGATCATTATTAGCTTCTTGGTCATTGGTCCGGCTTTTGAACAAGCGATCGGAAATCGGGAAATTGGAAATTGACAAGACATTGAAATCCTCGAGCTGAAACGCGAAAAAAATTAAAATAAAATAAAACCGAAGAAAGAAGCATTTCACAAGCACATGCTATATTAAGACCAACAATCTAATTGACTTTTCCGAAGTGCCGCGTTGGTTCCTAGGCATAGAAAATGCATTTGCCTGTATTATGCATACAACTAACAATGACAGAGTTTGCGCAACGCCCCAGTTCTTAGAATTTTGCAATAACGGGATATTTAGGTTTATGTACTCCAGAACAGACATGCACATCCAGGAACCTTAGAACCCGTCGGGTATAGCGTATACTAGTAACACTATGTAACCATTTATACCTTGTACTAGACTCGGATCTCCCAGCGCCCAACCCGATGGATCGTCTAAGCGATGTTCCATTTTGGATTCAGACTACGGAGATCAATGAATTAAAGGACGTGCAATACGGATTGCCAAGAACACCGTCAGGGCCCGCGGCTGATAGTCCTTAGCACTTACGCTCTGGTAAGGGGATGTACGTCAATGTACCTCGAAGAGCATTTGCTTTTCCATTTCTTCATGGAATGCACTTGATCTGACTGGTGTATTGGGTTTCGTCGAAGCATCGCAGGTTGTTATATGAAATCATCTTCTTTTGGCCGAGAGATGACGTCGGGTCCATATATATTTTGTCTAGCCAAGCCTGGTATTCGGGTATTACATAAAAGGGTCATTTATGTATGAGATGCAACATGTATATCTCATTACAATTAGTTCACTGTGTAAGTGGTTAGTTTACTATGTAACTGACTAACTAATTAACTAATTGGTACATATGTATAACTAATAGTAATTCTAGTGAACTGAAAGGCCCGCTAGTTCCGCTGAAATAATTGTAATGCAACATCGATCTAGGAACACAATAACCGAGATCAAGAAATGGGCCAAGCCGTGCGATCGGAGGGGAAAAAATCTCCGATGCGAAAGTCTCACACCGTAAACATGAGCGAGAGCGAAAGAGAGAAAAAGAAAAGACAATGTAAGGGGTTAAGGAAAAAAAAAACGTGCAAAGAGCGGTCTCGGTAAGATGAACCGAGTGATAGAGGACTGCACGAGTAAGGAGAAACTTTGCATGAACAGAACGTTGTAACTATGGACATACATAAACGCCCTCAAGGAAGTACACCGATGGGGTCTCGTGGACTCTATTCGCAGATCACAAAGCGGATACAACTATGTATAGGTATGTCTCACCTAACACGAATCGGTTCAGGGGCGCTTTATTCCGCGCCTTGCGCTATCGGGAGACAGACCGGCGCTAGCAACATGGAATGCAAAACATTGTTGCAGTAGTAGAGTTGCAATACAGTAGTGTTGAGCTAGAAAGACCAGGAACATATATTAAAGCATATGAAGGATTCAGTGGGTTAGGGCTTTTTTTTCTCTCTCTCTCTCTCTCTTTCTCTCTTCTTTTTTCATCATACCATATATGGAGTAATTAAATGCACTCTAGATCATCTTGGTAAAAACCTAATTACCTAAATAGACGTATATGTGGATTAATTTCCTATACGATGTCTTAATTCTTGACCCTCGACTCTCAATTCCCTATTGTATTCTTCTCACCTATCCGTCAACGGATTTTACCTCACGGATTAATCCTCCGCCCCAAAGTCCCTCTCAAATTTCAGTGTCGGTATTTACTCGGAGAAAATTTGGTCCCGTCGAAGATGAAGATTGGGTTTACATTTATTTGCTCGGGTGGATTTTCCAGATGCAACATGGCTTCTCCAAAATGCCGAGTTGGAGTATCCATGGATTAACGGTCAACTCCCGAAGTCCGGCTATGAGATGGGAAAAAAAATTCCAAATTGCAAAATCCACAAAATAAATAAATACGAAGCCGAAGCTTCTGGCGTCATTTCGTCTCAGGCGTTCCCTAGAACAGAAAACGCACAAGGGGCTGAGTCCAAATGGGATGACGATCCCGAGTGACGGCTTGCAGATCGGATCGCCAGGACTTGAGACAACAAACTACGTGGTCAACTCCGGAGTGCATTACCGTTAGAGTAAGAAGTCAAGTGGGGAGTGAATTACCACTCGAGTCATAGAAAATGGACAACATGATTGTACGCTGTACGTTGTAGAAGTCAGGTTTCCCTGCAAATGCAAATGCATTCTTGACGCACAAAATATGTGAAGCTGCATGGCAAACCCGTTTTTTTTTCTCTAAAAAAAAATCATATTTGGATATCAAATCATCTTTCCTAATTTGATGATTTGATTGATCAACCCTACACTTTTGATAAAATCCTGGAATAAATAAATCAAGAGAGACAGAGGCAGGGAGAGATAGAGCATCCTACTCCCTACTGTTGTGCCTAGATACACAATACACAATATACAATATATACCATATAAAATCAAATATACAACTCTTTGTACAACACACACTTTTCCAAAGGTAAAATTTGATCCAAATATTCAGCAATATACATAACCTTAGATGGTCTCGGCTTTTATTCTCCATAGAGTAAAGTTGTTCGGTATTGAGACGCCAGTATGGAGACCCGAGGACCTCAAACCGAGGGAGCAAAAAAGTAATCTACTCCACTTATGGACCATACGGTCGATCTTCGCCAGAGAGCCTATCCAAAAGTAAGATAAGCCCTGCGGCCCCGACACTGAAAGGAGGATTTGCCCGTCTAGGCATCTAATCGCCCGCGCCACTTGCCCGGCCGAAGGTACTGAAAAGACCCACTGTGAGGGTATTCGCGGCCAGGACTCCGAATCCAAAACAAGCTTACGGGGAACAGCTAACTAATTCTTTTGTTTATCATGATTGCAATGTAGGAGGTACTTTAGTATCCTAGTATACCTACATATGTACAGTGTAAATATGTATAAATGTACATTTTATAGTTACATATTCTATCAGTTCGTGCCAAGCGTGCAATCTCAACACATTCCTTCACGGTGTACATGTTCATGAGAGCCCGGTTGCAAACCCCGAAAGGTCCCTCTCTATTGGTGCATGTTATCCAATATGTCAAATTCCAAGGGCATGAGATTGGTCATGCTGCAGAAAGTACATCAAAGTGGATATACAAGTTCGCCCAGTCATTCCAAAAAGGCCACTGCGTACAATGTACGGAGTATACAACGGGTACAAACAACATCCTTGATCCCTGAAGATTTTCACTATTAGCACCTGTAACTATAAGAATGCAGTAGACTGGAGTAACCAAGTGCGGATGAACCAGGGGGAATCTCGGGAGAACCTCTTCCTTTCCAATCAATTTTTTTACTTTTTTTTACTTTTTTTTTTACAAAATACTATTTACTAGTATATGGCTAATTGTACAAAATTTCAACCTATCCACCCCCCACTTGGATCAACGGTTGAGATGCAATTGCCGTTATACATAACATGGTCTGATATTACGCCATCTTCAAGTAAAATATTGTATTTGTGATCGGGTATGGCGCACCAGTTGTGAAGGATCAGAATATGCCGATATCAGAGTTGTATCCACTCTCAATAACTAATGGGGCTTCTAACTTAGTCCTTTAAGTCTTTTTCTTTTGGATTCTATAGAGAACATCGGGCATAGTACTCCGAGAGTGGCGTATTTGGAGCCGCCTGATGGGTGAAATTGAGTAAATCGAGGGGCTTCTGCTTGTCTCATGTTGGAAAATTTTCCTTTTCCTCTCGGCGCTTGAATCTTTACATATACGGTGAATCCGAGAGAAGAAAAAAAAAGTAAGAGTAGGTTGTTGTCGATCGGTTAATCCGAGTCTTCAAGTAGTTTAATTAATAAAAATTAAATGTTCTATTATATTTTATAATAAAAAAATGAAAAAAAAATTAGGATGAACTGGTAGTACTTTTGGTATTTTTGTGGATGTACACAGAATACATACAGAGTGGAAAATACATACTATACTATACATACTGTACATACTGATGACTTTCTGCTTTGGCCCTGCTTTTGGCCTTGTTTTTGAAGCTTCACACTCCAGGTCTTTTGCCCAGGTGGATTCCCCTCCTTTCTCATCTTTCTACCTTACCACCTTTCAAATCTATTCTGTTTTTTTCTCTTTGTTGGGCTTAGTTGGGTTCTAGTCTAGAATCCGCTTGTCTGAAATCTCCTCTAAACAAAAGGGTCAAGCCTCGAACCTGTCAGATTTCTGGAACAAACGTCACAAAAACACACACCCCATTAGATTCTTAGTCTCAAGGAATCTACCGCGCTACTTTTAGTCGTTTTTTTAACTTCCCAGGGTGTCACTGACCAGTGATAGGCGGCGCTTCCCTCGAGGCTATTTTGTCTTGTGTGCCACCATCGGTCCCTACATCGATCGTTCCCGGTTATCATTATCATATTATCGGGGTATTTTTGATCTTTTTTTTGGAGATATATTTTCCTTGGTTCAATTTGTTCGGATCATCAGGAGGCATTGTTTATCGGACTAAAATTGTGATTTGACTGATTCGATCATCTGGATCGAAGATCTCTCATCTGATCTTCTCGGTCCGCCGTTTTTTCGAGGGATCCCCCAATAGTCAGCACTGATATTTTTCGGCCTCGTGAAGATTCTCCTACTCGAAAACACCGGCCCGGTTTTCCGTGACTTCCTGGGCTGGTGGATGCCTGCAGCTCTTTAGATCCTCGTTTTCAAGAGCGTTCAGGATCTTGCAGACACCCTGGTACGGAGACTATGCACCTAAGACGGTGACTGCCCTGAACTATTGCGAGATGGCCTTTTAAAAAGCCAATTTCAATTCCTTTCCTTTCTCGGTATCACCGGCAGACATATGCGAATTAGCGAGTTTAGTATTTGAGCGCCGAAAATCTCGTTCAAAAGTCGCTGGCAACGTTTGTACAACTTCCGTTCTTCGCCTCGTGATTGTTGCTCGATTCCGATTTCTAAACGTACAACTGCTTCCCTTTTTTCACTGGTGCTTGATTCGAATCTCCTCACCAATTTTGTCTTTTAAAGCATCCCATTTCCTCGGAATTCCTAGGAGTGTGGAATTGGTACGTGCAAAGCGCCTGTTCTCGGCTGACATTCGGAGAAGAGTCCATTGCTAAGTCGTCTGGTTTCATTCCATAGGTATCCTTGCCCTGCACGATATATCTGAAACCAGAATCCAACGACTAGTCCCGGAATTGCCAAAAGGAAATCCTCGTCAAATTGTCCCCAGGTCCCAGGTCTACTTCACAGTATACCGATTGAAGGACATACGACCAGACCAGTCTCGCTGCGCAACTTGTCTTTCTGTTATGTAGACGGACAGATTGGATCACTTTTCCTTTTTTCCCGACTCTCTAATTCACCATGTCAGGCCAAAGCTCAGGCTCAAGCTATTACATTGGACCCTTCGGTCGTATGTTACCCACCACAGATGGTCCATCCTCGGAGCAGCAATCCGGGCAACCAGCTAATTTATCAGAATCCGGGGACCCCCCATACCAGCTTCCACCCCCGCGTGTACCGGCCAGTTTACAATTTGGAACGGATCCCTCTTTGAGGCAAACGGACAATCCCGAAGGCAAAGACCATGGACAAAAGCCAGAACAACTCCCATCCTTGAGCCAAATTCTCACGACAGAAGGCCCTGCCAGTTCCTCACATCCTCAAGCATACGCACTTTTGACGCCGAGCATCGAACGCCGTGAATCTACTTACACCTTTCCTCACCATGATCCGAGGTTATCTTTGCAACGTTCCCAGCCCGCCATGCATGATAGGCTCAAGGGCCGCTCCGAATCTTTCCATCAACCTCATAACACAGGCCTGCCTCCACTGTCCCAAGTGGCTCTGCATGGGCAAAGAGATTTGTCCCACCACACACCCACCAGGAGCGACCCATCAAGTGCAGCCTTTCCACACGGTCAATTACCACTCCACAGCACATCCATACACGATCTAGTACCGGGTGGAGAGCTCTCATCGCCCGAAAGTTCGAGTAGGCCGCAAAAGATGCCTGTGCGGCCTGCCGTGGTAGATGAACGAGTCATTGAAGGAGAAGGACTGTGTTTTATATATGCAGATGGATCATACTGCCCGCAAACCATTGACGGCACACCCGTGAATGCTAATTGGGGCGTGACCAAAGCTGGAAGGCCAAGGAAACGACTTGCACTTGCGTGTTTGACGTGCCGTGAGAAGAAAATCAAGTGCAATCCTGCCACCGAAGCCGTGTGCGATCAATGTCGGAAATCTGGACGAGAATGCCGGTTTGAAAGTGCGTAAGTGTGACCGTGATCTTTGAGGAATTTAATAAAAACATGGATCTATAACCCCGTTCGATTTGAAGTGCCGCTAACAAATCCACAGCCCGCGTGGTAACCGCGCCTCGATGAGAGGGTCAACAGGACCTTCTGGTAGATCCGAGCCCTACACCCCCGCTAATCACGCTTCGGAGGGTTCTCCGTCACTTTACGACGTCGCTCGAGCCTCGGACAGTGTGACCTCTCTTCCTGGGACTAACGGCCAGTCCCCGGTCTCTGAGGGTTCGATGCTCACACCATCCGGTCAGGAAGCCACGTATGAAACCATGGCCGATGCAGACAGAGCTTTAAGGTCTCGGTCCTACCGATTTCCACCACCCTTTTCCAGTGCAGATGACACCCTCGGACGAGCTTCGGCACATGTTGAGAACAGCCGTTCACCCGAATATTCTGAGATTTTGGGGGAACTCAAAGATAATACCTCGGACGATCCACTGATGACCTCTTGGTATCTCGATCCGTATGAAAGCGACCCAGAGACGACGATGCATTACACTGAATGCTATTTCTTGCACGTGAACAACGGTCTGTACCACATGTTCCCGCATGGACGATTCCCTCTGTGGATGAAGTCATACCCCACAAAGTCCGCAGAAGATAAGATGCTTCTTTATTCCATGATGGCTCTTGGGTCTGTATTCTCCAGCAGGCCGGACAAGCTGGGAGCCATGAAGCAATATGCACGCGTGGCGCGCTTCGCTATCAACAAAAGCCAACATGCCCTCTCTTTACAACTTGCGCAGAGCCATATAATAATGAGTCTTTGGTACTACGCTACAGGCTCATTGGCCGGGTCGTGGGACTCGATAGGCGCAGCCGGAAGAGCAGTGTTTGGGCTTCGCTATAACGTGGAATGTGAAGGTGTCGTGAGCCAAAGTCAAACGAGTAACTACGGGTTGCATCCACAGGCGTTGATTGAGTGCCGTCGGCGTACGTTTTGGATCGCCTTCGTTCTTGATGTAAGAAATTTCACTTTTTCCGATTGAAGCTTTGGTTTTGGTAACTGACTTTTAACCAGCGCTTCTCGAGCCTCTATTCGGTTTCTTCGACCTTTATTTCGTCAGATGCGGCTTTGTTAAGACTTCCATGCCGCGAAGAAATCTACGAGGCTCAACAGTACGCAACGGTGCCCTATTTCCAATCTTTCCTCAATCATACCCCGGCCTCCCCAGAGAACGAGCGATCAACCCTCAGCGCCATGGCCTTCATGGTCGAGATCATGGCAATCTGGGGAGATGTCTCCCTACATGTAACCCGTTTACCTCACATTCCCTCCGAAGCATACAACCGACTATCCGAAGAGTTCCATACCACTATCGTCCAAAAGGCCAACCACTGGATAACTCGACTTCCCGAATATTTAGCATTTTCATCTATAAACCTGGAGCGCAGCATCCGACAGAGAAAAGCGGATACCTTTATTTCGATCCACTTGTTTTACCACGCCAACTTGATGAAACTATACAGACACGCCCGCTATCAGAGCCTACGACCCGAAATCCTAGTCCAGTACATCCACCGAGCAAGATACCATGCCGTCGAAATCATCCGTATCGCGCTCACCTTTGACCAATACTCCAAAGAAATCATATCATCCCGATCCGCAACAGACCCATCTGGACCCCAGATAACTCTTCTAAACCCATTCCTGGGTTACCTAATTCTCTCGGCGGTGGACGTCCTAAGCGCAGCAGGCCTAGCCTCCCAGCTACAGGAGTGCATATCCTACACCCGAAGCGCTCTAGACACAGTCCAAGAGCTGAGTCGGTACTGGGACAGTTCTTTGCAGCTAGTGACAGCACTTCAGAAACGTCTGGGTCTGATGATCGACTGCCTGAACGAGCGCAGCGTCATCGAAGAAAAGCAAGGCTTTGCCCTGGAAGGCCCGTCGCTCGAAACAAAAGCCCATGCTGGCGCTCTCCATTCCCACCCGCCTGCAACTCCCGGCGAGGATCTCTTCACCGGCTCAATGCCAAGAGAGATATTACTGAATGCACTGCGGGTTGACGAAACGCTCATCTCCGCGAGCAGCATTGCTTGGATTAGAGATCCTTGAACCACTTTTTTCCCCTTATTGTCTCCAACCCCTTTGATAATGTTTCCAAAATTGCATGGTGAAATGAATGATCTCCGGAACCAGACTACAGGATATTTTTTTACGTGCGTTATCTGCGGTTAATAATTTGCATGGCGTGGTTATAAAAGGTCCTTCGCGGCAAGGCAAAGAAACCAGAATTCTTCACTACCAGATCAACCCTTTACGTTTCTTCAGTTCTAGCCTGTTCATTTTTCCCCAGTAACGATTTGATGGATGCTGATGTCTATATCGACGACAGCTTGTTTGTTTGACGTATCGTTCGTTGCTTTGCATAGATGGGATAGTGGCCGGTATGACTTTCGAGTTTGGCTTTTGTCGTGTCACTTCTTTTTGCGTCTGTATCATAATATATCTGATTCTTCTCTTGCATGCTTTTGAGCGAGTGTTTTGCGGCTTGCTACTTGTATTTATACATCTCGAACTTGGGCTGGAAGAAGGGTGGCCTGAATAAGAAGAGTCATGACTCTATACTTTGAATGATCTTCTAGCAGTTTGCTGTTGACGAGGCTATTTGTTCTACGTATAACTTTGAGTGGACAGGCTTGGACCTGAAGACAAATTACAATGATCGGCAATTAATATTGACCTGGATATCCAGGGTCCTCTGTATTGGTCAAACTTCCCAGAGTAAATCCTCTTCTTCAGCCGAGAGAACTGGAAACTTTCCTGCATATTTGAACCTCCCTTTAACAGGGTCCATAAGCACAGCGTAGTGTGTATCTTCGTTGACGATTGGGTATGACCAAAGCCACCGAAGCGCTGTTCCAAGGGTAATGGAAACCTCAGGTTCCTGATTTTCTTCTATGCTCGTCTTTTTCATATGAAGTGCTTTTGTTCCGGACTGAGATGACTCTGTAACTCGCCGATTCCTAATTCCCCGCTGAGAAGCCCCCTGCTTCATTCTGCGATCCCACTTCGACTGCATGGAAGCCTGTCGCTCTTTACTCTCATCGATGAGGTCTGCCATGGTTTGCATGTCACTTCCAGACCGTAGCCCTGCATATCCAGTATCTTTGGCGATGGCCTCTGTCGTAGCAGGGCTGGGGTCTTGATCATGGTTTGTCGTGATGATAAACGAATTTGAGGAGCGAATCACTGCTGTTCGATAGTCCTTTTCCATAGCCACTGTTTTTGACCCATCACAGAAAATGAGGTAGGCAGCCGTGGAGCGTATAGCGGGAACTTTAGCGATGATTTCGTCAATAGTCGAAGTATTAGAAAGTCCATCCCTGACAATAGTAGCAGTAGGAATGAGAAGCTGCCGCAGAAAGGATGTGATGGATTGCCGCAGTCCAAGTAGCACAAGCAGATAGTTCAAATAGAAACCAAAGTTCCACCTCGAATCATGCACGGCTCTAAAGTTGAGCGAAACGCTGAGATCTTCCCTCACACCCGTAAGAATACCCACAAACCCAACATAGGTGATGCAAGTAGCGATAACCTTACCAGGCTCTTCATCGCGCACAAATTCCAGCTGCACGATCAGATCACGCAGTGGATCCATAGACCAATCCAGCGTCCTGAAATGCACCATTCTGGTCCGAGATCCATCCATCATTCGCACACCTCCACTGGTACACCCCATCAACAGATCAAGGACAACGTTCAGGCAAATAAGAAAGTAAAGTTCGATCCCGGTCACACGACTGATGCCTCGGATTTCCGCAGTTTCTTCGTCCGTGTAGAGTCTTCGTAAAAGAAGCCAGGCGAGCCAGTGCACTGGCTTTGTAGGGATTCTGTCATCAAGGTCGTGGATCAAACTATCGAATATGCCCTTCATTGCTCGCATTTTGTCTTTGTAAAGTTGTGCAAGTGCTACATAGCGCTCTTCAGGCGGAAGCGACATGTTAATTCTGAATGTTTGGGGCTCTTCGCCCCTTGGCGATTCGCGCAGATGAGAGTTCATCTTTGCCGAGCTCGTTGTTGAAGTGGTGGTGTAGGGAAACGTGTATGGCTCGTGCGCGGGAGTTGAACTGCGCTGTCGCGGAATGCGAGTTTAGGCTGAACAGGAGGTTTTTGTCTTCCCGAGGCAAGACATTTTCAACCCACCTGTGAATGAATGATTTGAAATGAGGATTTATAAGAAAGATAACAACAATGATATACGCGAAAGGGACTTTGACCTGTTGCGCGCTAAACCAAAATGGCTTTGTTGCCTAATGCCTTACATAGATCGTCGCTAAGAGGCTCAGTCAGATGTTGGGATTTTCGTTGGTTGCTGATTTTAAGGAAGGGTTCTATATTCTAGAAGAAATTCAAGCACATCTAATAACATGATCGCTTGTACCGGCATGAATGTATCAAATCGTAACCCTATACCTCGACAAATCCAACTACACCTGCACCACTCCTGCACATAAGACGATGCCATAAACTCATTTTCGGACTTGATAATCGATAAAAAAAACACATAGTTACATGCCCATACGCAGAAATGCACAGACATATGATAAGCTCATAATCTCACTCTGTTCTATTGTCGCCTCGTGGTGTGATTATTGTACAAACAATCGCCATCTACAGCATCTTCAGATTTGAGCAAGGAGGTCTTTCTCACTTAGAGCTCGGTCGCTGTATCACTGATGGATCTCCCTGTCGCCAAATAACGTCGATAACCCATTTCTTGATCTTCCACAGCCCATCTCCATCACCCTGAACAAGATCAATCCAGTACTCTGAACCTGCAATGTACTTTGGCCCAGCAAACTCTGCTCCTCTACCAGGCGGACAATGTTGTGATAAGGCATAGGCAGTGAGGGACGCAGTTTTCTCTCCTGCTCTGTGGTTGACACGGACATTGGTGATCATGTGGGTCGTATCCAATGGGCCAACATGGTCGAAGACCGATGATTTCAGGGTAGACAGCCCATTGATTAAGCTCCTTGGATCATTGGGGCCAGGGTTTATTTCGAAGGAAGTATCTTCGGTCATTGCGGATTCGAAAACTTTGATGTCATTGCGGTCGAAACCAATAGTAGCACGGTAGAGGGCATCAGCGATGGCTTCTTTTGTGTTAAGGTCGGGGAGGGAGGATTGATATAGCATGATGGTAAGATTTGCTTGTTGGGAGTATCTTGCCAATACGCAGTCTCTTTATAACCCTTGTAACCCTCATAACCCTCAGTATATCCCTTCCACGCTCGGAAATAAGCGGCCTTAGGACATTGGGACACCCAAAGAACTCGGAGTTAGCATCGCATATAACGGAAAAACAGCACGCAGGAATATATACAGCAACTCACATTGGATGTAATTGAGACTTGAAAATTTGAGACCCAATGTAGTATATACATAACAGGCCAGCGCATCTCCGTCGATGATGATAAAGAAAGAATACACCTCATCTTAGGGCCACGAGAGAATTCACTGGACCACTTCTCTAAGGTTTTCAGAGCTACGAGAAAGCAAAGAACTCAAAGAAATGCGGCTTACTACGCCATTATCTTAGTTCTCAACCAATAAAATCTGTTTCCTGTAACTCGCACTTTGATAATGCTTTCATGTTTCACTTCATGTTTGAACTCGACTGTAAACAATATGGATTGAATGCCTCAGGCATCGACATCAAGAACAACGACTTTGTGTTTCGTGCTTCAGATAGTTCGTAACTGTTGGTTTCTCGAATTTCTCGAGTTTCTCGAATATATTCCTATTTGGCTAATTTACGTAACTCTATGAATTGATGCACTTATCCACCGCTTACAGTAAGGTCTATGCACTGACAATGCTCACATTCTCCAGTCTGCGGGGATTCCATCGGATAAACCTTCCGTGTCTCCGATGGAATTTCCATTTCACTCCAATTTCCGCTTCATCTGCACTTTAGTCTTATAATGGGATCAGCATATACATAAAAATTCTGAACAGAGTGCGCAGCAAGCCTCATGTCCTCCTTCGGTCAAGATGGGGCGCGGGACTTCCGCGCCTCCGTGGAAGATGACGGACTCGACGGCGATTACAGCATGGTCGACGACCACCCAGAGGGACCCGACTACTATATCCTATTAGGTCTATCGCGCAATCCACCGCCTACCGACGCCGAGATTCGATCAGCCTACCGCAATTTATCCCTCAGCTTTCATCCGGACAAACAACCACCGCACCTCCGCCATGCGGCCGAGAGCCAATTCAGACACATCCAAGATGCATACGATACCCTGATAGACCCCAAGAAGCGCATTGTCTACGATATATCCGGCGCGGAAGGCGTGCGGCAGGAATGGGGCCAACTTGGAGCTATGGGGACGGGAGGAGAGGCACAACAGCAGAATGTCGGCGTCAAGACAATGTCGCCGGATGAATTCCGGCGGTGGTTCTTGAAGACAATGAAAAAACGCGAGCGACGCACCATTGAAAGCCTGGTTTCTAGCAGGGTGTGTATTCTTTTGTGATAGTCTTCCTTGTGTTGAAGAGTTGCTTGAATGGTCCTTGCTGACATGGTGTGATTCGCAACTAGGGCGGTATTACCCTGGGGATAAACGCGTCATCCATGGTCTCGGTGGATGAGGACGAAGATGTGCAGTTCCATATCCCTTCGCCGCAAATATCCTCATATGGTCTCTCATATAAATTCGACACGCCGCTGTCATTACCGCAGTTTTGGGACACCGCAGAAAAGGAATCAGACAACCAAGATGCGGAAGCCGACTCTGCAGAAGATGCGCAAGATGAAGGGTCCGAGGCAGCTCATATCACTTTGAGCGCAGGTATAAATGGTGGCTTGGGTCGCCCAGTCAAAAAGTTCCAAGTCCAGTTCGAGGATGGAACCCAAGAACAAGAACTAGTATGTTGTCGCACCGGGAACAAAAAGAAGTTCTGGATATTCGCTGACAATCTTCTAGATCACAATGCCACCGATTTTGGCAGCCCACAATATCCAATTGGGGGCCAGTGTGTTTCCCAACATGAAAAATTTGGTGGGAACTAAGGGAATATGGGCCAAACATCCTTTCTCGCTTCTCAGAGACTCTGCGATTAGCTTCGAGGGTCTTCTTTTGCCTAGTCCCACTTTCAAGGCAAACATTGTTCGAAACTTCAAACCCCTTTCTAACGTCCTGCCGATCCAGGTCGTGGCGACCAGCGTCCATACCCGTTCCCTGAGCGAAACTCCGCCGTCCTTGGAGGTTCAACTTGTCAGAAAGCTTTCCAAGAAGAAACATGGTGTCATTTCATGGTCGAGTGGTGTTATTGAATGGCCCGGTTTTCTGCTCGGCTGGTTCCCATCTCTGGGAATGGGACCTCAAAGCGCTGTCAGATCTGCCAACGAGCTTGGCCACTTTCAGATTGGCTTAATTTCACGTCCCCTTTCGCCTGAATCCGAGGAGGCCGAGGAAGATGACGAGGAGACTGGAGATTCTGACCACGATGAGCACCATCATCAGTCCAAGAAACATAAACACCTAATGAACAAGTCAGGCGAATCCTGGGAGAGCCATTTGCAGGTCAGTCCCGGAGGAGGCGCACTTGTCTTGAAGTATTCACGAAACCTCTTCTCCGGAAAGCCGGCCGACGATCCAGTGAAGACCGAGTGGAGCTCGGAGGGTTACTTCCCAATGCCGAACATGGACGAGGCGCGTGCTATCCGACTCGAGGTTTCAAGCATTGTCAGCTCGGACTTGTCCTTAAATTGGACGATCAAGGGTACTCGCCGGGTTGGAGAATACACCCGCATGGGACTTGGTATTGGCATCGCGGAAAAGGGCATGATGATGACTGTTACGTGGCGCCGCCTCGGCCAAAATATCGATCTCCCAATTCTTATTTGTCCAGCCAGTGAGGCAACAAATGGTGCCACAGCGCTGACAGCCATGTTTCCATGGCTGGCCTATTGCGCTATTGAGTTTGGATATATTCGTCCTCGTGATAGAAAGAAGCGTCGAAAGGCAGCTGCTCAGCGCCACCGTGAGCTGAAGAAGCTCATTCCCAAGAAGCGCGAGGAGAGTCTCCAAGCCATTGAACTCATGGCGGATCAAGTACAAAGGAGACAAGCTCGAGAAGAAGCGCATGATGGCCTTGTAATTGTGAAGGCCGAGTACGGTTATATACCACCCACAAACAAGAAAGCTAAAGATGGGTTCACCGAGCCTCGGGTCATTGATGTCACCATCCCTGTAGCTGCGTTAGTCAACCGGGGTCAATTGGTGATTTCTAAGAAATCTATAAAGGTAAGTGACTGATCTGAACACAGGTAATCTGGGCTCAGAATGCTAACTTGGATTAATTAGTTCCAAATCTTGGGCTTCTATGACCCTGCACCATTGTTGCCCAAGCGATTGAAGATCTGGTATAGATTCCAGGGGCGCGATCACTTTGTAGAGGCGGGTGAGAAGGAGAACATATCTTGTCCTTTGCGTGCTCACTTCATATCCACCTGAGTATGTCTCAAACTCCTCAACATATAGGAAATACCTGTGTGTCCATGTAATTTTAGCATCTCTTAGCAAATTCTCCATGCTCCATCACAAGGTTCTGGCTCACTTTCAGATAAAACATAGATGCATCTTCGTGTTTAAGCTCCAGTAATTGTAGTCATCTTATATTTTCATCTCATGTTCACTCGATGTTCATTCATGAAGTAGATCCGAATTGCTCAACGCCTGAAAGTCTTGGCGGTATATGGAAATAGGGGAGACCAAATGAACTAACCACGCAGTTTGTCCCGAAAAGCCAAATCCAGCGTCACTTCATGATCCCTTTTCAACAACCGCGAGTGCAAAGCTCTTGAGTTGCTAACTCTTACAATGTCGACCTCGATCGCACAAGGGCTTTTCAAGTCCCTACCGAAGCCCAAATACACTGGCGAGGATGAAGAATTGCCACAGCATGCGCAACCCCGGGGTCCGCGCGTGGTGGGCGCCGACCAGATTGATGAAACTCAAGTTGTGTTGCGGGTGAGTTGTCTATTATCCTATCATATAGCTGGATTGTGAGCTAATTTACGTCTCTTCTTCCAGAGGACCGGTCCCCCGCCCTATGGAAACCGCGCAGGATGGCGACCACGAGCCGCCGAAGATTTTGGCGACGGCGGCGCGTTTCCAGAGATCCTAGTTGCACAATACCCTCTTGACATGGGCCGAAAGGGAACAGCTTCAACATCTAATGCGCTTGCTCTTCAGGTCGACGCCGAAGGCAAGGTTAAGTACGACGCGATCGCGCGCCGCGGACACGCCGACAACCGAACCGTCCATGCATCATTCAAGGATTTAATCCCGCTCCGGCAGCGGGTGGATATGGGAGAGATTTCGCTGGAAAAGCCGTCCGAGGAGGAAATCCAGATGCAGATGGAAAAGACAAAGGCTGCGTTGACAACCTTGGTGGAAGGAGCTGCAACCGCGCAGAAACCAAAGAACGTGAAGGGCGGGAAAAGAGCCGAGCCGACTTTCGTTCGGTACACCCCAGCAAACCAGATGGGCAATAATGGTCCGCAGAATGATCGAATTATGAAGATTGTCGAGAGACAGCAGGATCCCATGGAGCCCCCGAAGTTCAAGCACAAAAAGATCCCCCGTGGCCCGCCATCCCCTCCGCCTCCCGTTATGCATTCGCCGCCTAGGAAGCTTACTGCGGAGGACCAAGAAGCTTGGAAGATTCCCCCACCTGTGTCCAACTGGAAGAATCCCAAAGGTTACACCGTGCCTCTGGATAAGCGTTTGGCTGCGGATGGTCGTGGATTGCAAGATGTCACTATCAACGATAAGTTTGCTCAGTTCGCGGAGGCTTTATTCACAGCGGATCGCCATGCTCGTGAAGAGGTGCAGCTCCGAGCTTCCATGCAACAGAAACTGGCCGAGAAGGAGAAGGCACAAAAGGAGGAGCACCTCCGGCAGTTGGCACAAAAGGCTCGTGAGGATCGTGCTGGCCCCAGCCAGCGTGAACCGCGTGCTCGCTCCCGCAGCGGCAGCGCCTCCTCATACTCCAGGTCTCCATCTCCCCCGAGCGAAGATGATGAAGCCGCCCGAGAGCGTGCAGAGCAGCGCCGTGAGCGCCGACGGGAAGACGAGCGAAAATTGCGCCAGTCTCGCATGGGCACAGAGCGTCGCATTCAAACCATGGCGCGCGAACAGAACCGCGATATCTCCGAAAAAGTCGCCCTCGGTCTGGCCAAACCCACACAGAGCTCTGAAACCATGTGGGACTCGCGTTTGTTCAACCAGACCAGTGGTATGCAATCTGGTTTCAACGAAGACAATCCTTACGACAAGCCGCTGTTCGCCGCGCAAGACGCCATCAACAGCATCTATCGTCCACGTGCCCAGGCCGATGCCGATGACGAGGATGCAGGTGAAGGCGAGATGAGCAAGCTTGAGAAGACCAGCCGATTCGAGGTTTTGGGACGCGCCAAGGAAGGATTCCGAGGCGCTGCTGATGCTGAGGTAGGTTTTCATCCAACTAGTATTCTTTTCATCGCTAACATGTTTTCTATAGGAGCGTCAAGGTCCTGTTCAGTTCGAAAAAGACACCGCTGATCCATTCGGCATTGACAACATGATCGCCGACGTGACTTCTGGTCAAAAGCGCTACGGTATCCAGGAAGCCGAAGGTGATGACCGGGGGTCGAAGCGCGCGAGAGTCGATGAAGACTAAATCTGGCTCTGTTAATCTGTGTGCTATGTGACTCTATGTTTTTTTTGTGATCTTCTCTGGGCATCGACCAAATATCCTCCATGCATTGCGGGCGTTTCTGGCAGTGTGATCTTTACCATCTTTATCTTCACAAAAAGAAACCGGAATTGAAGCGAGTCGATCATACTTGCCTTGGGCAAATGTGAATAAAATCATTTACTGCGGTTACCAATAACAATCATTCACCATATGATACGAAGAAGTAGTAGTGTCTTCTCATGAAGTGCACCGGGCAATGAAACAACAATTAGTGCAACGCAATAGTACTTCAATTATAAATCACAAATTATTCGTCTTTCACAAAGAACAATATCGACAGTCAACCTCAGTTCTTCACTTGCTGCATACTAGGCGACAACACACTCTCCAGCCACTTGTAAGCCACTGGCAGAGTATCGGGGTAACCCATGTGCACCCTATTCTCGAAGAACCGGCCTTCCTTGGGACCTCCATGGTTGAGCAGAACCATGGAATCTTCAATCGGGACAACACCATCGTCAACCCCCTGAATTAGTTAGCTTCTGTCCCTCCGATACGACTGAACCAAAGAACTCACATTCAACAGAAGCAAGCGGCAGTTGTCCTGGTCGACAATGCCATTTTCAATGAGCGAGAACTTCTTTTGAGCATTTTGAACAAAGTCTTCGACATTGTCGTAGCCATACTTCTCCGCCATGGCAGTGGTGAGCCTGTCAACTGTTAGTCCTAAAGTTCCAATAGCGCATGGTCCAACTTACTCGAACGGATACTCGTGGTCATTGGCCTTAGCCAACCACTCAGGGCTAAAGACATAGTGCGATCCAGGACCATGGGCAACCGCCCCAATAAGACGCTCACGGTGAATACAAGACGCCCGAATAGCATAGAAACCACCAGCACTGAGACCCCAGGCGGCAACACGTGACATGTCAAACTCAGGCTGTTGTGCCATCCAGTCAAGGACACTCGACCAGAGTCTATCAGGCGACTCCGGATCCGCAGGGTCAGCGGGCGAGTCCGCCGTACCAGGGATCTCAACAATAACCGTCGCCCAGCCACGGTTGATAATCTCATGGCTACGCTGACTGTTATCAGGTCTGTAGCCATCAAGACCAGTCATGAGCAGCACGACAGGGACACGGTTGTCGGCGCTAGCTTCCTCGGGTAGGCGGACATACAGCGGGATCTGGGCGCCGTCGCGGCCGGCACGGTGGGTGTGCTGGATGACCTTCTCGGTCATGATTGGCTTCCACAGGGCCGCGGATTTCATGTACACTTTCTTCTGGTGGTCGAAGGCGGCGCGCTTGATGGATGTCTCTGGGCGTGTGGACGGGCTGACATATGGGAAGCGCGAGATGCGGAGGATGACCGCTGCGCGGCGGTAGAGGTCTGCTGCGCGGTCTAAGTGGCCGGATTTCAGGGCTTCGTCTCCTTGGCTCTCCAAAGCTGTTGCTGTGGGGAGGAATGCCTGGGTGTATGCGTCCGTGCTGGCATCGTTGACATCGTCCTGGTTGCCGTTAGTATTGGCTTGGTGGAGGGTTGTGGTGATTCTTACGGCGATCAGCTTTTCGAAGATCGGCTCGAAGTCTTCGAGAGATCCATCGTGGAACGGATAGATGGACTTGGTGCACTGTGAAAAGATATTAGTTTATTTGCTGGTTCTTGGTGTTTAGCCAATACGTACAGGGAACTTCCACTTCTTTTCCCACAATGCCTTGATAGACCCCTGGTGGGGATAGACTGTGTCAAACTTGTCTCCGAGAATCCAATTAACCATATTGACGGTAGTATAGACAGTAAAAAGCTTGGTCAGATTTAGAATGAGATTCAATGAACAAGTACATGTATGTACAAGAAGCAGCGTCTTTCAATTAACTTAACATCACTTGACCTTTCTGGTAGCAGATACTCCCAAAACAAAACTAAGACAAATGATGTCGATCTAGACGAAAACAGTAGGCTATTATCGCCACGAGCTCGACATTAGGCTGAATCGCCGATCTCTATGCACCCAGTGACCTACCGATGCATCGATGACTGCGAAAGGGGCAACATGAATTTCCGGATGCGGACATGACAGGGGCATTGTGAGTCAAGGAGAACAGGTTTATGTCTCCCATGTCTCAAGACTCGACTTTGTTCTCGGGTTCATTCCCAGACGCCCATGTCCCGTGATTAATTTGCCCTAATAATTCAAGCTCTTCCGTTGGTGACAAGATCAGGTTCTCGATGGATACAAATGCGATCAATTTAATGCTCATTATTCTAAATCGACAAAATAATGTTTCAACAAAACCCATGACCAAAATAGCGATCAGCCCTAGCCCTGAAAATAGCCTGGGCTCCTTCTACATACAACCTCAAATCCAAACCAACCCCTGAAGATCAACATCTCAAATTTGCTTAGATGTTAGCTCCACCATTGCAGGGCAGAATTTGGCCTGAAAATAATTAGTTCGATGTCCAAAGGGGCAGATTCCGCATTCCAAACTCACCGTTGATCCATTCTCCCGCGGGGCTAGCCAAGAATGCCACAATGCGGCCAATATCCGCCGGCACACCACAACGCTTCAGAGGGCTGCCATTGGCCAGAGCCTCCTCTATCTCCTCGATGGACGAGTTCTTGTCGCAGCCAGGCGCATAACGCCACGAGTTGCTCATCCACATGTCACTCTTGACACCAGCAGGGGCAATAGCATTGACCGTGCACCTCTTCTTTCCAAAGTCCGCAGCAAAGCAGCGAGTAAAGCCCTCAACGGCACTCTTGCTACCCGCATAGAGGGAGTGGCCGGGGACACCAACACCGGCAGCAATGGAGGACATTAGCACAACACGGCCGCCGGGGTTGATGTGGTCGTAAGCGTTCTTCGCGACGAAGAACTGAGCGCGGGTGTTGAGATCGAATACGTCGTTGAAATCGGTCAACGTGGTGTCAGCCAGAGAAACGAACTTCTCCGTTCCAGCATTAGAGACAACAATGTCCAGTTGCCCGAAGTGTGCCATAACCTGGCGGAATAGAGCTTCGATGGAATCAACGTTGGTCAAGTCGGCTTGGAAGGCAGCGCCTTGGACGCCTAGGGCTTTGATCTCCTGCACGACTGCGTCGGCAGTCTTAGAGCTGCTGGCGTAGTTGATTGCCACGGAAGCACCTTTCTTTGCTAGCTCAAGGGCAATGCCGGATCCAATGCCTCGGCCACCACCGGTGACTAGGGCGACTTTGCCGGCGAGCTCGGGTTGAGCGGTACTGGGGTTGAGAGCGACCATATTGATGATTTGGTTGTTATAGGAAAAGTTGTGAATGAGTGTATAGTAGAACTATAAGATCGCGCTGGAGGTGGGAACAGTAGCCTAATATTGGATATATCTGTTCAGCTCTACGCAGCCGAACTCAGCGAATGACTTGGTTCCATCTTCAAAGGTGCTTATTGCAGTAAGCTTGGCATTCCGAATGTGGCTACGGCACATATTACGATAATAGGCATTGAGGGCTCAGAATTATTCAATAGGCATTGAACTCGAGCCACGTTGCTTGCGAACGGAAATTCTCAAATACTTTGGCTCACCAATTGCCGCATGCGGAAGGCCATCAATGGGTTATCTCCACCATGTGTCACACTAGAAGCTCTCAGTTGCATTCCTCTGTTCCCATTCAAGGGAAATATGCTAAGACAATGGGCCAGATCCGGGGAATGTTGGGTTCGTGCGCTTTGTCATACAATGTAAACGGGATTTGTAGTTATACTCGCACCCCGTACCTTGAGGTGAGAGTGTAAACCACCTGCAAATTCCACATATCATCAAGCAATATGTCTCCCGCCGTAAAGAACACCACTGCCGAGCCTAACTTGGATATCAGCTTCCAAGGTTTGTACCCTGTCTACCGATTCGACCGGACAAACTAACATCAACAGACTATCTCATTCTCTCGAAGCTCGTCTTTGACTGGGCCGATAGCTATGATGCCAAGGTAAAAAGTCATTCAACCCTTAACTTCTTCAATACCATAACTGACAAGTGATCAGGACTGGGATCGCCTCCGCAGCATCATCGCTCCAACCCTGACGGTCGACTACACAAAGATTGGCCTGAAAAGATGGGATAACATGGCCGCAGACGATTATATGTCCATGGTCACGCACCCGGGATTCCTGGGCGACAAGACCATCAAGACCCAGCATCTGCTCGGCCAAACCTGGTGGGAGAAGATCTCCGATACGGAGGTCATCGGTCACCACCAGCTTCGCGCAGCTCACCAGGTCTATGAGACTGTTGATTTGGAGACCGTGAAGCTGCGTGGCCACTCACATGCCACGAATGAGCACTACTACCGCAAGGTGGATGGTATTTGGAAGTTTGCTGGGCTGAAGCCGAATGTGCGCTGGAATGAGCTGCGGTTCGAGGAGGTGTTCAAGGGACTTGACTAGATGCGGATCTTATTTGGGAGAATTTGTTTCAACTTAGTTTTGCATCGACTGGCTAATTCCTATCTGTGTTTCAACTAATGAGTGCGTAGCGATGATTGAAGGAGCTATATCCATTGTAAGATGTTCATTGATCAATTAGAAAAAAAACCAATCGCGATCAGCAGCTTCGCCCCGTTCATACCAATAACAACCTTCGTTCCATTCGGTCAATTCGGACTCCTTTGATACACTTGATCCCTTGGCTCTGAGCAGATGCATGGCCTTCTCAGCCTCAGCTAGGTAGTCTTCGGATTCATCAGAATCCTCACACATCGAGAATGAATTAACGGATCCCAACTCGGTTGGTAGCTCTGCAATAATAGACCAATTACAGTCATCGCTAGTGTCATCCGGTAAGCAACAGTTTTTCTCTTTAGCGCCTGTCAAGCAATCCACTGCCTCTCTTTTTGATCGGTACGCCAAATCTGTAGCTTCTCCTCCGGCGAGATTGTCCTTAGCTGCCGGGGCCAGCAACTTTTCAAGCGCACAGTCAACCAATGAAGTGAGGAATTCATCATCCGGATTTTGGTTAGCGATCTCGCGAAGCAATGTCGATTCGGTGCTTTGCACATCAATGCAAGTGAGCATCTCATAAACCGACCCTTTAGTGGCCTTTCTTATTTTCTCTCTCTGTTGTTGTCTGATTTCTCCGCTAGGACTGCAGTCTGTCAGGAGCCTGACAATATGGTTTCCCACAAAGCATTGCAGCGATACAAGGAAATTTGAATTTGCATGCACGTTATCTGTCAATTGATGCAGTACCTTGTAGATCAATTCCTGGTTGTATTCGATGTATGATGTAGAGCGAACCACCAACCAACTTGATCGCATATCTCGCTTCGTGATATTGAGTAACGCAAGGACGGATTGAGCAGCTAAATGCCCCACTGATGAATGAATTGGCTCAGGGTCCTTGGCATTAGAGTTGGAGCCGAAACCGAATTTATATAGCAGGGGTCTATCGTCTTGTTCCAGGCTTTCGCGAAAGGAATGTACATGTGTGGCCTTGGCTTTACCTTTGATTGATCCCGAAGGCGAAACTTCTCCCGGGGAACCTGGATCAAACGAATCAAATGACTTAAAATTGCAGCTCGATACACTCGTTGTGAGTGTTTCTTCTGGGTTTCTAACATCCGTCGCCAGTGTTATACACGAATGCCTTTCGTAAAGATTGAGGTATAGCATATTGCAGTGGATATTGCAATAAAGTTCCATAGTCCTATAAATTATTAGCATTCGCCACCATACTATGATCTTAGAAAACTTAAAACTTACTTGATTAGACGTCCTTCCAATATCTCTGGCGTTCGCCAGTTAGTCTTGGCAAATCGTCCCCATTCCGTGGGTATGAAGTATTGACACGGATAGTGGTTCATGAGGTATACTTGACTGACTTCGATAACAAAGGAAGTCAAATCTCCAGGGTCTTTGTATTGTAGATATTTGTCTTGCAATTTCTCTGAGCCAGTGGATAAAATTTTCCAGTCGAATATCGACTGCCTCGAAGGGGTTGACGGGCAGAAGATAATCGCAGCAACGCATTTCGCTAGTCGATTCCATGTATCTATAGGTTGAGTTGAACTTGTAGTTGGATATTAGACAGAGTATAAGTATGGAGCTTGCCTGGAGTTCAAGTTGAATATTGGACGAGTTTGAGTAAAGAACTTGTTTGGGGTGAAGATCTGGGAGGTATACTACCACCGCTCACCCATTTTAGGGTTATGAGTGGACAGCGATGTGCACGGTTAGATAAAGCTATTTGATACGTCATATAAAACATTCTAAGACATCGTGTATTGTGCCGATTAAGAGTATCAAATTTATTATACAAGCATTTTCTTGTAGCCCACAAAACGTAGTCTAGCCTGCATGCTCATACTTCTCCCAATCCTTGAATCCATCAGGAAGATCATTGGGACTAAATGACGATGTTAGCTGATGCGCACATTTGAGCTGGTTTTGATGTACTTACCCATCATCATGGGTGTGGTAAGTTTGTCCACCCTGAGTGAGATACCCGTCGTTGGTGTGGGTTTCGGGCCAAGGGCCCTTGTGGTCCTCGATGTGGGCGTGGATCGGATCATCTTCGGGATCATTGGGGTCACCAACTTGAACGTCGTTCTTGCTGCCATGAGAGTTGTTCTCGGAATTGATTTTGGTAACATCCACATGGGGCTGTGGTGCCTGAGGCTGCTCGTAGGTATAGTACTCTGGGTAGTCGTACTCGCCCTGGGGAGGCTGGGCGGTCGGTGGCGCGGGGTGAGCGACCTGGGGCTCGGGCTGGTACTCCTCGAGCTGTTCAGGTTGAGGCTGCTCAGCGACGGGCCGCGGCTTAGGAGCATGTGGCTGTTGGGCTGGCTTGGGCTTGGGCGCTGGTGGCTGCTGGGCCGGAGGCTGAGGGGCATTGGGCTGAGGCTTAGGCAGCGCAGCCTGTGGGACGGTGAGCTGAGTGTGGGTTGGCTTTGGAGCGGGTGCCTGGGCCTGAGTGGTGGGCTTAGGAGCAGGGACAGCAGCTTGGGTATTTGGCTTGGGCGCCGGCGCGGGAGCCTGAGCCAAGGGTGCGGGGGCCGGAGCTAAAGGAGCAGGAGCTGAGGCTACCGGTGCGGGAGCGCTGACGTCCTTGCCGTGATACAAAGCGCCGTGGCTACCGGGTTCGACCTTGGTGTTGGCACCGGTCATGTCAAGACCGTCATTTCCAGCGGCGTTTCCACTGCTGGGACTGGGGTAGGCCGCGCAGGCCTTGTAGTGGCTGTTAGGAGGAGCCTTCAGGGTCTGGGGGAATGTCTCTGGGGCCTCGATAATGGTTGCCATCAGACCAGCCTCGACGTGCCACTCGATGTGGCAGTGGAGCAACCAGACACCCGGGTTGTCGGCGCGGAAGCGAAGGACGGCGTGGCCATTGTTCTGGACCATGATGGTGTCGCGCTTGACCGGGGTCGTAGAAACATTGTTGTACAGCCCAGTATAGTAGCCACCGTTAACAGCTGATCGCTGCAGAACCTGGAAGTGGTGGCCGTGCAAGTGCCACGGGTGCAGATTGGGGTGGTGGTTGTTGATGACGATCTCGACGATATCGCCATACTTCACGATGAATGGGTTGACCTGGCCGTACACTTCTGGGTTGGAGGAGAACTCGGGGCCGACAGTGTTGGCAGTGTACAGGGTCGGGACCTTGGGTGGGAGGTAAGTCTGGTTGTTCACGGTGAAACGAGTGATATTATTGATTTCTGCAGAGCCGGCATCCAGGATGATCTGGTGGTTCACAGGCTGGAGCAAGGGCTCGTGGTCGACAGGCACAAAGGAGAGGTCATCGACAAAGTTATCAAATGCGCCGAATGAGGGAGGCGCAGGCAAAGGCTTCGCCTCGTCATACACCAGCCAAGCAGTGGCATTGGGGTTGTAACCAGCGGGGATATCACGGTGCTCATAGAAGAACATCATGTTAACGTCCATGGTGTCGAAGATTGCGAAGTTCTTGCTGGTGTCAGACTTGGTGTGAATCAAGACACTCATACGCTGTCCAGTAGCGATACGCAGGAACTTGTCCCCAGCAGGGTATGGGTCGACGTAGATACCATCGACCTCAACCACAGTCATTTCATGGCCATCAAAGACCCAGGTGTGACCAGGGAAATTTCCAATGCAGACGATATGAACGAGATAGGTCTTGTTTGGCAAGACCTTAATCTTTGTATTGGTAGCATCGTTGATCAATGCCGAGTTGGGGAGGGGCTCCCGTCCGTGATTGTCAGCCTCATTCTGCTCCGACTCATAGGAATTGAGCAGTTCAGGCATCTGCTGGTGGTACCAATCACTTAGGGTGAGCGTGAACTCATCATCATAGTGGAAAGGGGCGTGAGGATCGTGCACAATCAAAGGACCCCGGAATCCATCAGGGTACTGGCCCATGTCGTGCGAGTGGTACCAGTAAGTTCCAGTCTGGTTAATATCGAAGTGATATTGCATCTGGGATCCAGGAGGGATGGAGCACTGAGTGACTCCACTAGATCCATCCATGACACCGGTAGCATACTGATGGAAACCATGCCAGTGGATACCGGTGGACTCGTTTCCAAGCCCGTTGTATACATCGACAATCAACTGGTCGCCCACGTCGACATCGATCTGGGGACAAGGCCATTCGCCATTGATACCAATGACGGGACGCTCAAAGCCATCGGGTGAAGCATTAACCCAAGTGACGTTCCAATCCAAGTAGACATCCTTGGCAGCAGCCAGACCGAGCCAAGTGGCCAAAGCAAAGAAACTCAATTTCGCCATAGCGAATTGTTCAACGGAATGAGTGACAATCGACCTAGAAAGATAGTCAAATCCTCCAAAAAAGAGTGTGTTCGCCGATGGATCAGCGTTGAACTGTATTGAAAACAACTAAAAAAGAAAAAAACAGAAAACGCGGTTGTCGAGATAAGTGTCGGTTGCAAAGACGTCCAAAGAAGAATGGAAAAAGGAAATGGCGAGTTTTTAACCATTGTATTCATGACTGTAAACAAAGATGCCATGTTGATCTGCACCAGGGGCTTGGGTATGCTACTCGATGCGGAAGATGTCTTCTAGGGCTGTTATTGGTGCCTTCATTCAGGGACCGACGACCTAGCGGATTGCTCAGCGTAAAGGGCAGTATTAAGCTTGATGTTGGGCTACCTTCCAAGGTTTTGTTGGTGAAGAATGTGCGGTGGTGGATCTTTCAGAGTGGACTTTAAGAGTGGAATGTAGATATTTCGCCCGAGTTGGGTGGTTCCTGAAATCCCATGCAAGGAGGCATGCCCGGGCTAGAGTGAGCATTCTAGGGCGTAAACAAGCATGACTTGGCCCGATGAATGGAAAGTATTGTATTGATGCTTATCGTGCTGTAGAGATATGGTCACCAGGAAATGGTTCATAGTGGATGTGGTGGATGTTGATTTTCATGATCGGCAGAGAGAGCCCTAGTCTACTAAGTACCAGCAATCAATTCTTTACATACATTAAGACTCGTTTCAATCAGGCAATTTCCTGAGAATTTATATATGTATATTCCGTTGAATTAACTCGTACTTTGTACAGATAACAGCACCGAATCAAGAACCACCCAGTCTAAAACCTGCTATAGCGGCAAAAGTGAAAATATCTATGGATGGTCCAAGCCATTAATAGAGTGTAGTGCTCTGACCTAATCATGACCACCTGCCCAGGTGAACAGCCCTGGCGGATGTATACAATGACTATGGTATTAATCTAATTACTGATGTACAAGACGAAAAGCGGGGGATTTGCAGAAGTCCACTGGATATGACAGTTCAGCTTACCACCCACTTCCCAGTCTGAGGTCATTTTCAACTGCAAAAAGTAGCTCGCTGCATCTCCTAGGAGCGTTCTTCAGGGAAAGGTAAAAACTTCTATTGTTCTATTACTCCGATCAAAGCCACCGACGTGTGATAGGGGAACCGGAGCAGGTCCGAACAGTTCGCGGAAAACGTCGGCCTGATAAAAAGGCCCCCCCCCACAAGTCATTTCGACCAGGTACAAGCTAAGGGCCGTGCGTAGAATCCTAGTCTGATAAGGTGTGGAGTTGCTTAAACGTATTTGTAAAAATATGAAGAGAAAACTTACTATGGAGAAAAGAGAAAAATCAAAAAAGGGAAAGAGATTGGGTTGCAAAGAGGATAAGGGAGAAAAAATTCACATTAATGAGGGGAAATCTTCCGACTCTCTGCTTCTTATCGTTTTCTTCAATCCTGAATCCATAATCCTTTTGACTCATTGACTCATTGAATCCTCATTTAATTCGTCTCCTTGAAAGATCCCTGTGCTCATCATCTCGTGCTCTGATCTGCCACTGACGCCATGATCGGTGTTTGATGGCGCTTATTTGCTGCAAATAGCACCATTGGTTCTGTCATAGGAGCTACGAGCTTACTACGAGCTTACTTAGGAGTCACAGAGGTACAGAGTAGTGGTGTCTCAACACAAATGGATCAATCATTGACTTTAATCAATGCCCAAGTGCACTTCCTGGTGAGTCACTTTCCATCCTCTCAAAGGATATACTGGTAACATTCTTATAGGAGGAACCGGTGGTGCTGGTGCATATCCCACTGGAGCTGTACCCATACTTCTTGAAATCAGTCCTTAACTTGATCTTTGATGAAACACCTGCCCTAGAGAACCAACAGGATCAAGAGAATCAAGATGATGCGGCAGCAGAGGCAGATGGAAATGCCTCCGAGCAAGGCTATAGACCACCCGCGTTCATGAACGTCTCCATTACTCCAGTCGAAGTCTCAATCATATGTCCCAGACGTTTAGTCGAACAGTACTTCGACCCAGTGATCAACGAGCTTGACCAACTCGACACTGCCCTCCGCTCCCGTCTGGAGGTGAGCGAGAATGATTATATCGCCATGCAAGTCCTCGGCGAAGGCCTCGAAGCCGGCAAACGAGTCCTAGAATTAACCAGTCCACTCGCACTGGCAGGGATGTACGTGAATTGAACCCATGCAACCTCAAAAAGAAAGCCACCCATACTAACCATTATCCCTAGCTCCATCTTCTTTATCTCAACCTACTTCTCCGACTACATCGTAGTCCCACTGCAAAGCAAAGCAAGCGTGATGGCGGCCCTGGAAGCCCGCGGCTTCCAATTCGAAAACGCAACTGCCGCCTTCGTCAGCCCCCTAAGCCCAAGTACAGAAAGACGACTAAGCGACCTAATCCCACCACGCACCCCACCACCATCCAACCTCGCCGAGCTACAAACCCGCACCTTCGACAACCTCCGCAAACGCGCCATTACCCCGCAAGTCGACCCAACCCTGCGTCTCGTGCAATGCGCCGCACACCACGAATACGACAGCTCCGACTCCTCCATGTCCATCCTCCGCGACGCCCTAACAACAGTGCTAGTCGTTGACCAGCCGCGATTCCTTTCTCTGACGCTCGCCTCGCTCGATCCCGCGGCGTCCCTACTCCTAGAGAAGCGACTGCTTCCGCGGTTCGCGCGGCGCACGGCCTCGTACGAGGACGGCTCGGGGCTGCTGCTCGGCTCGAAAGAGGATCACCTCGTCCCGATTACGCTGGATCTGCGTGATCTGCCGCTCGAGGCGTCGGGTATCATTTGTGGTGTTGCGGGGCGGCTGGCTGATGCGCCGGTGTCGCCTGTGTCAAGTGTGCTTAGCAGTGTTAGTAGCGGGATTGGGGCGTTGAGGATGTTTGATTCTGTTGAGACGAGGTTGGAGAGTCGGGGGCATAATCTTGCGCCGTTGAGTGTTGCTGGGGAGGCGGTTGAGATCAGTTTCTTGAGTACGGCGAGGGCGGGGACGATTATTGTTGGGGAGGATGATTTGGAGAGGGTTGTCGGGGCGCTGGAGGAGGAGAGGGAGAGGGAGAGGGAGAGCGCGGGGGAGGGGTTGGACTCGCAGACGCCGCCGGATAGTCCGTGATGTTTATGATTTATGGTTATGGGTTATGGTTTTATGTGAGGCATGGTAAAAGTGATTGTTGTGACTCTCTGTATGAATAATGCTGATATTGGATGAGTTTGGATTCTGGTTATGGCTATTTCCAACAAATTGAATGATCTCTCATGAATAACATATCAATGTGATACATCTTTATTGCAAGCCACAGGGGTTTGCAGATTTATATTGAACTTTCGGGAGAAGCCGAGCACTATATGTCAACTATGGCCGGAGCACATGACCACATCTATACATAACTAGGTATATGTCTCTAGAATGAAAATGAGAGTTATAAGAGTTGAAATGAATTAATCCAGTGTTCCGTTTTTGGGGGGGGGGGGGGGGGGGGGGGGCTGACACAGGCGAGCATCGGGTGTATACAAAATGGCCAGATGTCAGTCTCCTGCGAGCCAGGCTAGCAGACTCTGATGTAGGGCCAGAATTGCTAGTTCGCGAGCGTGGGTCTCTTGAGACTATTGACTGGACTCCAATATGATGTGGATATCACTGGCAGCATCTGACCAAGCGACAGAGACTCATCATGTAGCAACACTGCCACAGACCTCGATTGGTCATGGAATCTGCAACCCGGTGGCACCTAAGATAGCGTGGGGCATTCAAAGGACCGCGATGCTGGACGCTGTAAACCAAAGTCCAGCCCAAAATTGTCGGCCTTCATAGTAAGCTTGTTCTCGAACAGCTGACTAGCCTCATCCATAGACTCTAACAGTACCTAGAAGCAGTTAGCAAAAGAATACCAAGCAAAATCACAGCATGCACATACCATCAGAGCACCCAGCAGCCCAATTCCCTTCTTTCTCATTCCAAGCAACACAACTAACGGCCTTAACCAATGCCCCAACAGGAACAGCAGAAATGACTTCCCCCTTAATAACATCCCAAGCAAAAGCCGCAGCCCCCTCCTCCCCAGCCTCACTCCCCGCCAAAACAACCGCATCACCCTGCGCAAACACCGACCGAACCCTCAACTCCTTATTACGATACTCATGCTTGGAAATCGTCATCCCAGGCCTCGCCTTCCCCCCAAACGCATTCAAAAGCTTCCCATCCCTCCGATCCAACATCCGAATATACCCATCCAGCGTAGAAACCAGTACCGCATTTCCATCCCCAGAGCAACGCACACTCGTAACCGGATGTCCAAGGACGTCAACAGTAGCCTGTCCCATACGGATATCATAAACGCGCACGCGGCCATCATAGCTCCCACTCGCAATCGCATACGTCGGGGCATGGACATGCAGCGAAGAAACCGTATCAGTCGCCTCAGCAAGCGTCTGAATAGGCTTGTGGCTCGAAGCGCGCGTATCCCACAGATTAATCGTCGTGTCTGCGCTCCCTGGAAACCGTCAGCATACATAGTCGGTAGGTAGTGAAGAACGGGCGTGGCGCAACATACCCGTTACAACGACGGAGTCGCCCTCGCCGGCGAACTGGACCGCTTCAATGCGGCTGTTGTGGCCGGACCAGCGCCGTGTTGTGATGCCTTGTTCCACGTCCCAGAGGAACATCTGGCGGTCGCCGCCTACGCTGGCGAAGCGGGCATTGTCTGATGCGACGGCGACGTCGAGGACGGAGTAGCCATGTGCTTCGTATTTTTGGATTGGGGAGGTGGTTTCGATTGTTGAGGGGGTGTTTGAGTTTGTGTTGTTTGGGACTGCGCGCGATAGGTGGATGGCTCTGTCGGAGGAGCCTGTGAGGATGTACGTGCCTCCGGCGTTGGAGTAGGTCACGGCGTTGACGGGGCCTAAGAGTGTTAGGATTCTTGCGATGGGGAATATCTGCATGGAATCTTGAACTTGCCATTGTGTGTTTTGAGAGTGTGAATTGGTCGAGTTGGGAATATTTTTCGGGGCATGGCCGAGTTGTAGAGGGAGGAATTGGAGATGCGGAGCGGAGCTCCAGAGCTAACTATGTAAGTAAGAGACCCACCGTTAAACCATCGCCAACAATTTGAAGCCATTACTTTTACTGTGGAAAATAAATTGCCCATAGAAATTAAAACTGTATTTCACGCTACGGAATACAGAAGAAGGTATTATCAAGGTTGTAGACACACCATCGCTAGCTACCAGCGGTAAATGGATATAACAGAAAAACGAACCAGCCCTACAAGACGAAGGTGCTCCCAAGCGAGAACGGCAAGACATAGGGTACTCAAAGAGAACAGAAAAACAAGAGCATGGTTCGACTACTCCCCTTTTGAACAATGCGGACGGATGCCCGGCAGAAATGCAACATCTTAACGACGTCCGTGGCTGCGGGTGCTGGAACCCTGGATACCCTCGATCTCCTGCTCGAGGGATTTGATCCTGCAACCGGTCAGTAAACAAACATCTCGTCAGAATCTCCAAAACATACGCAGCGTGAGTAGCCTCGAGATCCTTGTTGAGGCGGTCGCGCTCTGAAATGAGCTTCTGCTCCCACTGGCGGAAGCGCTGCTCCTCGACCTTGACCTGCTCGGTGAAGCGCTTGCGCAGGGTCTCTTCTTCCTCCTTGAATTTGGGGTTGTCAAGCTTGCGTGGCCGGGCCTCGCCGAACTTGCGGGTCTCCATCTGCTGGGCACGGTAGGCCTCGTAGTGCGATTCTTCGGTGGTGTGAATGAGGTCGAGCATGTGAGTTCGGATAAGGATCGAGCGGAGCTTCTTGAAGTCGCAGTGGTCCTCGTTCTCCACTTCGGCAACACCCCAGGCGTACTGACGACCCTTGACAACACGGCCGTCGTTGGCCTTAACATCCTTCTCGGAACCGATAACTGCGAAAGGCATAGCAGCCATAAGGCTGCGGGCGTGGGAGGCGGCGTGCTCATCGTCCTCCTCGACAGGTGGGGAGTAAATCTTGATACCCTGGGCTTCGATAACAGCGCGAATCTAACCAATTGTTAACCCAAAATTCTCCTCCCCCTCTCTCGTCATTCTCCTTTCACTCACTCTCTCCTTGTAGCGGATCAGATCGGCGTGGCTGAGGGTATCGGCCTTGGCAACAACGGGGATCAGGTTGACACGGGAGCTCAAGCGCTTCATCACCTCGATATCGAGGGGCTTCAGGGTGTGTCCGGTGGGTCGGATGAAATACAAGCATGCGTGGACACGCATGTCAATCTTGTCGGTTCGGCGGGGTTGCTGCTCCTGGAGCATGTACGACTCGTGCTGGTCGTCCAAGAATTCGATGATCGGTTGCCACGAGTCACGGTTGTTCACGTAGTCTCCAAATCCGGGGGTATCAATAACGGTGAGGCGGACTAGGAAATCAATAATCAGCTTCCTAAACATTCAACACCACTTTGTTCATCGAAGGGTAATCTGCCTCGTACCCTTGAAGAACTTCTCTTCGAGCTCAGCCTTAGTGATCTCAATCTCAACGGTGCGATCAACCTGCTTCTGGTGACGGCGCTTGTGATCGGCATAGTTCTTAATGGTGGTGGAGAAAAGGGTGTTGATGAAGGTCGTCTTTCCCAATCCTGACTCTCCGGCAACCTGGAGCACCATTAGCATCAGATTGAACGGAGATTTCTCCTAATCTGAGACGAACCATAATAGTGAAGGCCGCTCCCCGCTTCGCGACGATCTTGTGGCTATACAGCTCGATTAGAATCTTCACTCATTTTCGCTGTCATCATCGATTGCAAGGTACACACCGCTGGTTGGGGAGCTATATTGAAACATGGCGGATCAGTCAGGGGTCACATGGATTAATTCTTCAGAATAACTCACATTGGCAATGCCAATAGGCGTGGCGGTTTCTGTAGTAGTCGACATGGTGGGTTTTAGGGGGAATTAAAAACAATTCTGAATCAACACAAAAAAAGAAGAAGGTGCCCCTTGAGAATCAAACCAGACTTAAGAAGCAATGAATCTAGAAGAGGAGAGAAAAAAAGGGAAAAGGAGGAATCGTGAAATCGGACTGCCTCGAATTGCCCGTCGCTGCTCCCCCCTGAATCTCCTTTCATTTTCTGGAGTATACACTCGCCTTGCCTATCTGGGTTTAGCGTGTACCACTAGTCTACTTTGGGCTCGGAATTGGAGCATAGATGATCCGCTCTTATCATAGCTTTTGAATTATCGACAATTTTTTGATCGTTGGAAGATCGCCGACAGTAAAAATGAAGACAGACTTCAAGGTGAGTAGATTACTGATCTGAATGGGGATGGACTCCTTAGCGAGTCGCTAGTAATTACTATAAGTACTAACATTGTCAACTCTAGTTCTCCAACCTTTTGGGGACCGTCTATCGCAAAGGAAATCTTCTCTTTACTCCCGATGGAACATGCTTGCTTTCACCCGTAGGCAATCGAGTCTCAGTTTTTGATTTGGTCCAGTATGTGTTATCCAAAACTCTTGGTTAGTTTAAGGACAACCATCAAAACAAATAGCTCACAATTGTCCGTATAGAAATACTTCCTATACCCTGCCTTTTTCGCACCGTACCAACATCGACCGTCTTGATCTTTCACCCAAGGGTAACCTCTTGTTGACTGTTGACGAAAATGGCCGCGCAATTTTGACCAATTTCCACCGGCGCATCGCCATTCACCACTTCTCTTTCAAGGGACGAGTGTCTGCCCTCAAATTCTCTCCCTCCGGCCGACACTTTGCCGTTGGTGTAGGCCGACGTCTGCAGATTTGGCAGACTCCCTCTACACCTGGTACCGAGACCAATGGCGAGATTGAGTTCGCTCCATTCGTTCTGCACCGCGATCTTGCCGCCCACTTTGACACCATTGAAAATGTCGAGTGGTCCAGCGATTCACGTTTCTTGCTCACTGCCGCTAAGGACTTGACGGCACGAGTATGGAGTATGGACCCGGAAGAAGGATTTGAGCCCACCACCTTGGCCGGACATAGACAGGGAGTGGTGGCTGCTTATTTCAATGCAGCACAAGAAGCGGTTGGTGCCACTGGAAATTCCCGGTTGCGAAACATATACTAACACTGATTATTTATAGATCTACACTGTCAGCCAAGATGGCGCGCTTTTCCGCTGGGAGTATGTCACTAAAAAAGACGAAGAAACGATGGAAGATATCTCTGAAGCTCGGTGGAGGATTGTCAAAAAAGATTTCTTCATGCAGAACGATGCCAAGGTTAACTGTGCTGCGTTCCACGCACCGTCAAACCTTCTGGTCGTAGGATTCTCCAATGGACTTTTCGGCCTCTACGATCTGCCAGAGTTCAACATGATCCATCTTCTCAGGTACGTCTGCCAATTCTCTCAATTTCACAGTCTCTAACAGACCGTCTAGTGTATCTCAAAGCAACATCGATGTTGTGACGATCAACAAAACAGGCGAATGGCTTGCATTTGGATCGTCCAAACACGGTCAACTTTTGGTTTGGGAATGGCAGTCAGAGTCCTACATTCTGAAGCAACAAGGCCACCTTGATTCTATGAATGCCCTTGCATACTCACCGGATGGTACGAAGATTGTCACTGCTGCCGATGATGGCAAGATCAAGGTTTGGGATGTCAAGTCAGGCTTCTGCATTGTTACATTCACAGAACACACTAGCGGAGTGACCGCATGTGAGTTTGCGAAGAAGGGAAGTGTTTTGTTCACAGCATCTTTGGACGGTTCCATCCGTGCATGGGATCTCATCCGCTACCGTAATTTCCGAACATTCACTGCGCCCTCCCGACTGTCTTTCTCCTCGCTAGCCGTGGACCCTAGTGGAGAAGTGGTCTGTGCCGGTTCGCCGGACTCCTTCGATATCCACGTCTGGTCTGTGCAGACCGGTCAATTGCTCGACCAGCTTTCTGGCCATGAGGGACCAGTCTCCAGCCTTGGTTTCGCTGCCGATGGCAACCACCTTGTCAGTGGAAGTTGGGATCACACAGTTCGCATTTGGAGTATCTTCGGCCGGTCACAAACCAGTGAGCCGCTCCAACTTATGTCAGACATTCTGAGCGTGGCTTTCCGCCCTGATGGGCAGCAAGTTGCTGCATCTACACTAGACGGTCAGCTCTCCTTCTGGTCAGTTGAAGACGCCGTGCAACAGGGAGGAGTCGACGGTCGCCGTGACGTCTCTGGAGGACGACGGGTGTCAGATCGTCGCACTGCTGCCAATGCTGCAGGCACCAAATCTTTCAACCGCATCACCTACAGCGCCGACGGTAGCTGTATTCTGGCCGGTGGTAACAGCAAGTACATCTGTTTGTATGATGTTACCACAGGATCATTGATCAAGAAGTTCACCGTTTCCGTCAACACCTCGATCGACGGTACCCAGGAATTCCTGAATAGTCGTGACCTGACCGAGGGCGGTCCTCGCGCTCTGATTGACGAGACCGGCGAGGCGTCCGATCACGAGGACCGTGTTGACAGTACTCTCCCCGGTGCGAGGCGAGGCGATGCTGGCGCACGCACTACTCGCCCCGAAGTGCGCGTCACATCTGTTGATTTTGCACCGACTGGACGATCATTCTGCGCCGCCTCCACCGAAGGGCTGCTTATCTACAGCTTGGACACCGACTTCGTATTTGATCCCTTTGATCTGGATATCACCATCACACCGTCGAGCATCATTGCCACACTTGATGCTGCCAAGGAAGCGGCTGTATCCGGCGCCGTGGATGAGGAGAACTCATTCCTCAAAGCTCTCATCATGGCCTTCCGATTAAACGAACAAAAGCTTCTTCGTGCTGTATACGAAGCGATTCCTCCGTCGGATATTCCCCATGTGGTTCGCTCCGTGCCCACAGTTTATCTGCCTCGTCTGCTCCGATTTGTCGCCCATGCCGCGGAAGAGACACCCCACCTTGAGTTCAACCTTATGTGGATCGAGTCCCTATTCAGCAGCCATGGTCGTTACTTCAAGGAGAACACAGGTCAATTTGCACCTGAACTCCGTGCTGTGCAGCGTGCTGTTGATGACATCCGCGAAAACCTGAAACGGCTGACGGAGAAAAATCTTTACAACCTTAACTACCTGCTCTCAAAGCCTGTACTTGCAAACAAGAAGCAGAACAAAGCACTGTTGGCCATGGAAACCGAGGATGCCGAGGTTGATGATCAGATGGCTGATGCAGATGCTGATGATGGTGAATGGGTTGGCCTTGAATGATTTCCAGTATTTGTATGTCTACTTGCATCTGAGCCAGGCGTTCTGTATATAGTAAAAGCTAAAAGGGGAAATGGACGACCTTCATGGGTTGAATAATACTCAAAATAAACGCTCTCTGAGACCTCAAGCGGATTCTTTCCAATATGTTCCCTCGTAGCAAACGCTCTTTCAAGAAGTTCCCCTAATATCATCCGAACTGTGCCACCATCTTCTGTTTGCTTTCTCTCTCTCACATTATCTTTCAGCAATCAGTACTCCTCTCTTCCCTTCTCTTCTCTTCTTTACCCGTCACCTATTTTCCCTCTTTTCCCTCTCCCCATTCCACTATTTCTGTTTGATGTTCCGTGATACAATGGCGCATTCGGTCCTGATGGAAGCGTCAGCTTTCTGGCCCGTCATTGGGCTTCTCATCGTGATCTATCTGCTGCGAGCTCCGACTCCTGTCCTGAAGGGCATTCCAACTGTCAAGTACTATCCTTACCTGCCCAATTTCTTCAATCGGATTGTCTACTATCCCAAGGCTGCATCCATGATCAGCTCAGGATACTACAAAGTATGAATGTTTGAAATTCTTGTAACTTAGCCATTGCTGACTTCCCATCCTAGTACAAGGATCGACCCTTTCGGATGCTCACGGCCGACGGAGAAGTATACGTCTTGCCGGTGAAGTACCAGAAGGAACTCAGACAATTCCCTATTTCGAAGGTCAGCTCTCTCCATGCTCAGTATGAGGTGAGACGACCTAAAGCTATACTGTTCTGTCTTAACTTGAATTAACTCTCACGCTTCAGAATGCACTAGGAAAATACACCAACATCATCGTCGATACAGAGTTGCCTTCTCGGACTGTGCGGAAACGGTTGACTCCCAATCTCTGTACGAGCAGCGTTCTGTTTTATCATCCACTTTGTGCGAGTCAAAACTAATGTGAAAAGCTCGTGTTGTTCCTCAAATTATTGACGAGTTGCAAGGTGCATTCAATGATGTCCTCGCAGGAAGTGAAAGTATAATCATCTCGCTGTGTCAACACTCGACCATATTCAAGCATGTAGTCTAATGATTGACTCTACCACCAGATGACTGGGTCAAGGTCAACCCAAGCGACATGTTCCACCATCTCATCGCCCTCGCAACCTCGCGAGTCATGGTCGGCAACATCCTTCGCCAAAATGAGGCATGGCTCAAGGCAGTTAGCACGTATGCCCACGAAGTAGGCGTCACCCTTCTTCTGTTGCGGCCCGTCCCCAATTACCTCCGTCCTCTGGTAGCTCCTTTCCTGCCGTCCGTCTGGCACATGAAACAATCGCTTTGCCTGGCCAAGCGCCTGTTTGTTCCAATCATCAATGAGCGACGGCGGGTCGAAAAAGCAAATGATCCAGCATACACCAAGCCGGATGACTTTCTACAGTGGATGATGGACTTGGGCGAAGAGGAAGGTGAGAGCCTCACACCGGACCTAATCGCGCATCACATGTTTCTTTTGGTTGGTCTTGCTGTTACACACACCAGCACCATGGCCTTGTGCCATGCTTTGTATGACTTGATCAGCATGCCAGAATACCTGGAGCCGCTGCGGGAGGAAGTGGCCCGCACTTTGCCCCATGGCTGGTACAAGGGAACCCAGGCGGCACTCGCAGAGCAAGTTCGGTTGGACAGCTTCTTTCGCGAATCCCAGCGGTTTGGGCCACCAGGGGAATGTAAGCATCACACATTCCATGAGCATTTGACGGTTTCCAAGAGAGTTCCATTTCACACCATATTCTGATCACTCATGCTATTTAGTATCCTACCACCGAATCACCATGCAGACCGTCCCTCTCCACGATGGCCTCATTCTCCCCAAAGGTATTCACGTCTGTTTGGCCGCCGGTCCGATTAGCAAGGACCCCAGTTTCGTCTCGAGTCCGATGACCTTCGACGGATTCCGCTGGTGCAGGAAACTTGAAGATCGCTACGCCTTGACTTCTGAGCTGGCCTCATCCGCACTGTCAAACGGCGACAGCCTTGACCATGATGAGTATTATTTTAATGCCCCGGCGAGTTTTGTCACCGTTACCTCTACAAACATGGGTTTTGGATATGGACGGCAGGCTTGTCCTGGACGGTTCTTCGCTGCGAACACCATGAAGGCGATATTCAGCCGTCTGATTTTGGACTATGAGTTCAAGTTTGTGGAGGGTGAGGACGGTAAGCGTCCCGCTAACTTGCTTGTTGGGGAGCACATCCTCCCCAGTATGACCTCTGAGGTTCTGTTCCGTAAGAGACCAATGGGATTTTGAGTAAGAGGGAAGAACGGAATGCGAGATATGGACATGGATTCTAGATTGTACACCGGAACTCGGTGAAACTGGTTTTTAGAAATGTTTTTACAAAAATGATACAGAAAGGGAACAATTCATCATGGTCATCTCTTCGCGCGTCAGTAGCTATGTTTTATTTTTTGGCTCTACATTGATACTTATGACGGCCGCTGTGTCCAAGTTAGGGCTATGCAGCGGCGATGGATGATGGCCACTTTCAGGCCGTGACCTAGCTGCAACTCTATAATTATACTCCAAGGAAATCCAATTGAAAATACAAAGGAATCGGTGTTTGGTTCAAATTCCATCGTGCATTCATCCCCAATAGATATGCGTACAGCCTCGATAATCCTCCGGACTGCAATCACATATCTAAGGGTCCATATACATACAAGGTTCAAATCCAATCATTTCATCATATCTTCTCTCTGATGCCTGTCAATAATCACTGAGTGCTGGGTTGGGGCGCACCTTGGGGCGCACCTCGCCGAGGGCCACCTCGACCCCGAAATCCGTTTCCGCGACCACGGCCGCGACCGCGTCCCCGGTCAATTCCTTGTGGAGGCGGAACCTGGGAGTAGTTCTGCGGGCGGAAGTTAGGGTTGTTCTGGATAACACCCTCGCTGGGATCGCCCTGCTCCACTGAAACATAGCCACCGCGGCCGCCACCGCCACGGGCACGGGGGCCACGCGGAGGACCGCCGTTGGAGTGGGGACGGAATGGCAAAGTGGTTTGCTGGCCACTGTTCAATCCTCCACGGCCTCCGCGTCCAACTCCAGCGCCTTGTCCGGAGACAGCGCCTCGGAATGAGCCTCTCAGGGGAGCTGGGGCATCTGCGTTTCTCAGCTGTCCCTGGCTACCGGGGCCGATAGGTGCGCCGTACCCAGCGACCGTCAAAGGAAGAGGAGCCTGCTGGGTCTGCTGGTTAGCCGCAGCACGGGAGCTGGCAATAAGTTGTCGGTTGGAGATGTTCAGGACAGAAATTGCGGGAACCGTTTGGCCGCGGAATGGCGAGCAGCGGCCTCCAAGCGTAGTACCACTCATGAACGATGAATCGAACACAACATCAAGGAGGAGAGTTCGTGGCGTTCTGGTGAGACCGACAACGGTGCCGCGAGTAGCAATCGGCACTTTGCCAGAATCTTGAGCGTACACTACCCGGTCGCCAAGCTTGAAAGTTTGGCTTCCGAGGCGGTGCTCGACATCGGCAGGCCGAAGGAGTGCACCACGGGGTACACCCCGGACCTTCTTTGGTTGCATCTGTGGCTGAGACTGGTTGAATTGGTCGGCATCCTGCTCGATCAGAAGCACAATGTCGGAATCAAGCTGTTCAGCATCAAGAGGCACTCTCTCGAAGTTCTTGGCTTCCACAGATTTGAGCCAATCCTTGATTTCTTTCATCTTGAGAGAGGCGATCTCTTCTGGGTAAAAATCAGTTGGAGAATAACGATCACTTTGAGGGTTGCGCTGGATTCCAGCAATGAACTCGGGGAAGTTGATCATGTATTGTTGGATCAGTTCCACTGCCTTGTGGCTAAACTCCCAGCCGGATTCTCCGCGGCGAGAGTAGCCGAGAACTTTCTGTTGCTTTGCCTGGAACTTCAGGTTAAGACCAAGGTTCGCGCGTTGGCCTTCAATGTCAACAGTAAAGGAAGATGTGATCTTAGCCAGAACCAAAGCATTAAGGCGAAGGCTGCGTGCAACGGCATAAGATGGCAGGTAAGGGCAAAGGTGTTCGGCTGCCTTGACGCGCTCGCGGCCGAATTCTGGCTCGCGGCCTTTCACGGCCGCAATCAATCCATTTACCTTTCCATCTTCATGGCCGCCAACATGAACAGGTCTTCCGTAATTGAATTCACCCAAGAAAAAGGCACGAGAGCCCTCTGGGAACTCTTCTTCGATGGAAACAGCTTCTCGTTCGATGAAACGTTGATCAGGGTTCTTCACGTGGTCAACAACGACTTGAAGAGCGTAGTCCGTCTCTTGGCCGGGAATCTCGGCAAATTCCTTGATTACGGCACCATCATCTGTTTTGTTCATGCCTTTCAGAAGTTGAATATGCACCAGAGCTTCGACGTCACCGATGATCATTGCTAATCGCTTGCTGTAGACATTTTCGATCTTGACGGCCTTCTTTTTCCACTGTTCAATCTGTTGAGGTGTATGAGGGATGGATACGGGGTGCTGTTCTCCAGGGGGAAGAATGTAATCGAAAAGCTCGTCTGAGACGCGGATCACAAGAGCCTCTTGCAAGAATGGATAACCAACGTGAACACGTTTTCCAAGCTTCGTTTTGGCGAGTTCGATGCTCGATCGGCTTGCCGGGTCGAGTAGTGTGATAACCTGGCTCTCGTTTCGGCTGTCTTGTTGGAACACGCAGACACCATGGAAACCCAGTTGGCCGTGATGAGGCAGCGTTTTAATACTAGGGAAACCAGCGAGCGCCGCATCACCCAGGTGCACACCATCCATTAGACCGGCGTAGGGCTCCAATCCTTCCATCACAGGAAGATCAAAGAGGTTTTCGATACAACGACAGTTTGGAAGGTCGGGGAACACGCCAGGCATTGAAGATGGGTAGATATAGTTCACATCGGGTGAATACGTGAATTTGAGACAAGCTCCAAAGTCGTTTCTTGCTTTCTCGTCCGGAGAAAGGAGATGTTCTTTCGTTTTGAGGGCATCCAACAGCCGCTTCTCATCGATGAAAGGAATTTTAACAACAGCCTCCCACTCCATCTTTTTGCCGTTCATGTCGAGATCAAAATCACGGGGGTAGAAATCGTAGATAGGGGATTCGGGCGATGTCATCAAGTCCCAGTAGGCGGTAGGAACAATCTTCTTACTGCGGTCTGGCAAGACACCCATGAGCTGGTCATATGGCCGGAAAGGTTGTCCCAACTTGAAGTTCATATCCACATCAAGGCCGGCGTTGACATCTGTTCCTCTGTCAGTGACAAGGTCAATCCAAAAACAGTTCAGTGTTACTAACCGGAAATCATAGGGGCATAGTGATACTGGAAGAACCAAGGCCAAGACGCGATGCCACGATAGTAGTAGAACAGAACCCACTGCAATCCTTGCACATAGTTCTGGGCGAGCTTCTTCATCTCTTCCTTGTTCTCAAGACCCCATCCAAATTTGGTCCGATAATACTTATCCTTCCAAGCCAAGAATTCGGCATCATATTTTTCCTGTGCAGCCTTCTGCGATTCCTCGGGCGTCATATCCTGAACCTTGGCTTTCTCATACTTTCTGATAATACGTTGAACTGCCATCGATGCTTCTTCATCTTCTCCAGAATCATCGCTATCGTCTTCGCTCTGAGGCAACTGGAGCCTCATAAATCGATCTCCGTCATCATTATCAATTGTCGACCAAGACAACCGAAGTTCATCCGCAAGCTTTTCAACGAAAGCCCGGTCACGTGCTGGGAGTGTAGGAGGGAGATCAAGGGGCGAAGAGGCCTTGTCGGTTTGGTTCAAAACATATTTTTTGATGGTCTTGAGAATTTCCTTTTGTGCAGGGGTTATCGTAAGCCCCTTCGGCCTTTGAGAGTCGACGGCATCAACATCACCATTCTTCTTTAACTTGAGCCATTGAGCGTCCGAGTTTTCCGCCTCGAAGAACCTGTATTCCACAGAGCTCAGGGAGCTAACAAGCATGCCCAGGCGTTTCACATTGATCACTCCTTGCTCGTTAATATAGCCGCCCATCTTCGGCAGCACCTCTTTGTAAAGCTTGAACATAAGGGCGAGGGCACCCTCGTTGATGTGTAAGTTTGGCAAATTGGGTAGGAAATCATTTCCAACAAAAAAGGCCATGAGAATAAAATCATCAATGACACGCTCCATATCGAATGCGAAATCCAGAGCTCCTTCTTGCTCTAATTCTTGGAATTCTAGTTCCAGATACTCTCGGACCATGCTCAGATGCAATAGATAGAAATTTTGGTGCTCGAGTTCCTTGGGCTTCTTGGAGACTTGGCGACCAAAAGTCACCTCCTCACGAAGAAGACAGAAGTGGGGATCGTGACTGAGAAGACCCAGCATGATCAAATCGGCATCCAAGCCGTAAAGACAGTGGCGAACGTTGGATTCATAGTCGGGTTGCGCTTTCGAGCATCGAATATATTCCATAATCTTGTGTTCACCTTCACCGGGGACCTCATGACCAGACAGCACGATTTCCACACCTTGCCAGTCTGTATCCTCTGAGATCTTCTTGTTGATGAAATATTTGAGTTGCTTTGTCAACTTTTGCATGAATTCTGTACCCGGCGTGATACAGTTGCTGTCAAAAGCATCTTCTTTAGGCATCTCCAGCCCTTGCTCAATTGCCTTATTCTTTGCATTCTCTGCATCGAGGGCGGTTCGGAAACGACGAGCACGTTGTTGGTTCATCTTAGCACGGGGGGCGACACCGTCCACAGCCATATAGAACAACTTCTTTGGCTTAATCTTGCCAAACAAATGTTCAATGTAATTGAAAATAGCAATAAACATCTGATCCTCCGTCATGCGAAACGTTGGAGAGTCGCTATCACTATGCGTACAGTTATGGATAATGCCGTTCATGTCGAGGTAGAGACTGTCGAATTCGGGAATCCGGCTCTCTGCGATGAGCATCGAGATGGCGGGGTACCGCTCGCTGAGCCAGCGGAAGAACTTGGGAACACCCATGGTGAAGGTATTGTCCAATGAAAGAGTGGGGTTGATTGATCGCAAGATTCGAGAGCGCTAAGGCTTACTCGTAGACGGAAGTAGAGTGAGTTGCAACGAAAGGTAAACCATCCAATAACGGATGAGATACTAATACACTGTGCAAGAAAAAATACACAGGTCAATATTTGAATAAAAGAAGAAGAAAAGAGCAGAAACAGAAACAGAACGCCAATTTGATGGGGATTCAGTCTATGATGCAAGAAGACATCCCCACGATTTGCGAGAGAAGAGTCAAGCTCGAGCCCCTCCACCGCCCACCTTATAAGGACTAGCGTGTCACCCGGCTCAATTAACGCGATGCGCGTAGCTTCTTTCCCTTTTGCCCTACGTTCGTCTACTTCTACACCCCCTACCGTGTTCAAGTCTTATCAAACTGGCTCTGTATTGCTAATTGATTTGAATCAATTTGAATTGCAAAATGGACCCCTATGACGAGGATGCCCGTGAGTCTTCTTATCCTTACGCACATGAAATCTCAATCTAATCGAGGCTTAGGTGTTGGTGACGAACATGAGAACGATCAAGATCAGGATCAGGACCAAGACCATGAACACACCGACGAGAAGGCCATCAACGAAGGTAGCTATAAAAGGCATATATCTAGCTCCGTCAATTATGGTCGCTAATTTTATCAATCGCAGAGTATAAAACATGGAAGAAGAATGCGCCATTCCTTTATGATATGATACTCAGTACGGCGTTAGAGTGGCCTACTCTTACAACCCAGTGGCTACCAGATAAGCAAGAGTACGTTTCCGAAGCTCCACAAGTTTAGTCCTCGGTCTAACTAATTTCATTCAGAGTCCCGGACAAGCCATACTCAACCCACCGTCTCCTTATCGGCACACATACTACCGGTGAAGCACAGAATTACCTTCAGATTGCCCATGTTCAACTTCCGAACCCTGCTGTCCCAAATGCGGAAGACTATGACGAGGACAGGGGAGAGATTGGTGGTTACGGCGGGGGCTCAAAGAAGCCTCAGATGGAAATCAAGTTCAACATTGTCCAGAAAATTGATCACAAGGGTGAGGTCAACAAGGCCCGGTACCAACCTCAGAACCCTAATATCATTGCGACGATGTGCACGGATGGCCGGGTGATGATCTGGGACCGCTCGAAGCACCCTAGCTTGCCAACTGGAAGTGTCAACCCTCAGATGGAGCTTTTGGGCCATGAAGCTGAAGGCTTTGGACTTAGCTGGAACCCCCATGCAGAAGGCCACCTCGCAACCGGTAGCGAGGATAAGACTGTTCGACTCTGGTAAGCAGCCCCGATTCAGAGGACATGACTAGTAGCTAAATGAGCCGAACCGCAGGGACATCACCACATACACCAAGGGTAACAAGGCAGTTCGACCAAGCCGTACATTCACTCACCACTCCTCAATCGTCAACGACGTTCAACATCACCCTCTTCACTCCTCTCTCATCGGAACTGTGTCCGATGACATCACGCTTCAAATTCTTGATACCCGTCAAGACGACTCTACTCGCTCGGCCGCTTCAGCTGTGGGCCAGCACCGTGATGCTATCAACTCTATCTCCTTTAACCCTGCTTCCGAGACTATCTTGGCTACGGGTTCTGCCGATAAAACCATCGGCATCTGGGATTTGCGTAACCTGAAATCAAAGCTCCACTCCCTGGAGGGCCACACCGACTCCGTGCAGTCTATCTCGTGGCATCCGTTTGAGGAATCCGTCCTGGCCAGTTCCGGCTATGACCGCAAAATTATGTTCTGGGACCTCAGCCGAGCAGGTGAGGAGCAAACCCCCGAGGATGCCCAAGATGGGCCTCCAGAGCTGTAAGTGATTTCTTTCTTTACGTCTCTTCTTTTTCTATCTGTTTCGAATTGTTTACTGACTTTGCTCCAAAGGCTGTTTATGCACGGTGGCCACACAAACCGTATCTCAGACTTTAGCTGGAACCTCAGCGACCCATGGGTTCTGTGCTCAGCGGCTGAGGATAACCTATTGCAGGTATGGAAGGTGGCAGATGCTATTGTGGGCAAAGACCTTGAAGATGTCCCTACAGAAGAGATCGAGGCGTAGGTTAAATGTGACATGTTCTTTTTTCCCTCATGCAAGTCAGAATTATAATGAACATCAGTTCAAAAATACTAATTCATCCTATATTCATATTCAATTTTACTCTGCTAGAAGAAACACCCTCAGTCTTTAGACTTACAATGTACATGCGTATTTAGCATTAAGGAGATTATAGGCATACGAATATTAGCATCCACCCAGTCTACTCTGATATTAGATCAATGATGTCGAACCAAAAAGAAACCAATGCTCAGCCAGTTATAATAGTGGCAGAAAAGTAACAAAAAAAGAGATGAGGCTGACCCGTCTCGACCAGATAACCTTGCGAACTGGAGTCGCACGCGCTACCAATTGCGCCACAGCCCCAACTTGGTGGAAGAAACGGCGATTTCTTAATTTATAACCCAAAGCTGCTCCGCACCTAATAATAGCCCGCCACCAAAAAATATTTACATCCAAAGTACCTCAAAGTCCCTATAAATATTAATCATAGATATATAATCCTGGATTCTTCTAAGAAAAAGGATCAATATATTCTACATTAAACAGTTGGCATATCTACATTATTGATAGCGATGTACCCAAAAAAACAATAAAAAAAGGAGATGAGGCTGACCCGTCTCGACCAGATAACCTTGCGAACTGGAGTCGCACGCGCTACCAATTGCGCCACAGCCCCAACTTGGTGCCAGATCTTACGGCGGTTGGCAATACTACCCAGAATTTTTTCAATACCCACACAATCTTTCCTAAGTATTATTGTCCTATTACGCACAGACAAAAAAAAAGTATCAACCGAGTCAATGCATATAAAAAACGTTTGATATAGCAAGAAAGAATATACCAAGCGGGAGCGAAAAAAAAAAGATTGAGGCTGACCCGTCTCGACCAGATAACCTTGCGAACTGGAGTCGCTGTGTTGATGTTAGTAAATTACACGGTAATAATGACGTGTCAAGATGAACGTACCACGCGCTACCAATTGCGCCACAGCCCCAATTGGGTGCGAATTTGGGCTGTTTGAGGCATTATGTCCGGCCGATGCGATTCACTCTCCTCAATGAGCCAGTAGTATTGCCTTCAACGATACCCAGACCATTGTAACATGGAAGGGTCTCTTTATGAGAGCTGACAGTAATGGGTGCGACAGCATGGCGACCCGAGCTAGCTGTAGTAACATTGTGACCAAGTTCAGAAGCTGTAAGACTAGTAGTTGGGGGACCATAGCTCGTGTTATGAAGACGCAAGATGGCCTGTCGCATGGGGTGGTGTTGGGGGTCGGTTTGTGGTGGTAGCTGGTGGGAGTGCTGGTTTCGGCGTGGGTACGAAATTGTATGTGTTGTTGTCTCTGTAGTTTGGTGACGAGTCAGGCTGTCTTTTCCTCTAACTTTGAAATGAAGGTTTGATGTGATGGCTCTCAAGTTGTGGAGCTTCATTGGAACATGTTGGTTGATCGGGGGAAGGGAAAAAGACAGAAGACAAGAGGAAGAATGAAGAGGTGACATTTATCAAAGTCAGATCGGATGAGCTAGGTTTGTCTGCGTCCACGGATTCCAGTCAAATTTCACTTGTAGTATGAAAAGTTACTTTAATTCATTTGTTGTGGGGGTAACAATATGTGTACAGGTATGTTGGTGAGAGGGACATTTGATGTACCTGAGCGACTACTACATGTAGTTTATGGCACCAGCAATCTTCCAACGTTGGAAATCAACTGAGTGTATAAGCAAAGTTGGCCAGCTCGATATATATAGATGGGAGCTTATACCCACCATGTACCTCAACTGTAGAACTCAACCCAATGTTATAATCAAACTGATCAGTTTGATGAAACAGAAAAACCCACCTAACCAAGCCATCCACGGGTTCTTTACAACGGTCTATTTTCCTTGAAAAAATGTTGATAGATTTACAATGTAAACCGCGGACCTAGGTATGAATTGCCTTTTCAAGTTAGTTTTACCGCTTCCGATTTAGTGCCCCAATACCGTACAAAGACCAACCGTAGGTTTCGGAGCAATGGTATAAAATCCATAGGCTATAATCAGCTGCGTCATGGGAATTCTTAATATAATCTCGATTCAAACGCGTGGGCGGTAGGTTGTAAGTATGCTGCGAGGATGTCAAGTTAGTTGATGTGATACATCCCGAGCCGTGTTTTCACCGGCTACGGTATTTTATGCTCACTCTGGAATAGTGAATTAGCCTATCGATTTATGATAGCTCATGGCTAGTTGCGTACTTGTCAGCGCAGAACTGGTGGCAGTGAACTGGTCAAACATATTTCTGCCATGGAGGGTCAGCAATATTTCATCTAAGGGGTGACTAACTACAGAGCACAAAGAGCATGATTTTTCTAAGTGAATGTTTCCCTAGTGTAGTTAATTATCCCACCTGAGCATGACACCCATTATTTTCGGAGTCCGTAGTTTCGCGCGAGTGTCTCACTTACTATATAAAGCTAGCGTTGTATAAGTCAGAAGTGGCGAATTGTGTATCCACAAATGGACTTCACATCCATATTCATACATATATGTATCCTTCATCCACGAGAGTGACAGAGAATAAAGAGATCTACCAACACTGTCAATAGTAGGTATGTACGGAGTATGTATGGAGGTTGCATGGGATCTCCGAAACTCCCCCGCGGAGACTATCATGTCATCACCGGGAGGGACGGTGATTGGTGGAGAGCTTAATGAGGGGGAAAAGAAAGTTAGCGGCCAAAAAAAAAAACGGTGACTTGACTTCTTATTTATTCTTCTATTATATATCTCTATCACCTTTGAAGAAAAGGTGTTATATCAATCAACTTCATATTTATCATGAGTTCCGGATCTCCCCCAAGTTCCAAGCCGTCGGCCATTCCATCCCACATGTTGAATGGTAGCTCCCCGCTACAATATCCAGCCGGGAGTCGGGATGCCCGTGAGCGTGAGAGTCTTAATTCTTCTATTCGTACCTCATTTGAGCCGCGAATCCCTCTTGAACTCGAATCACAAATCCAGCCCACTGGAACTGGAGCCGACTCCACTGAGCCCACGCCCGTTTCCACTGTCTCGGTGCCAATTCGCAGCGTGGCGCCAGTGCGGTATGAATATGATAATATTGCACTCAGCCCGGGGTTTATGATTGACTAACTTTTTTCACTTCCAGCCCGACCCTGCGCGACCCTCCCCGCCATATCCGCGATGAAGGTGGCCCATTGACCCCTCCCGCCACCGTCAGCCGTCCCGCCAGTCCCTACACATTGAACCCGCCCATTGACTTTGATGGTCTCAGCTGGCCCTGTAAGTGCTATTGGTCATACAGTGGGGATATCGTGTTGGCTGTTTTGATTTTAACTATCGCCCTCAGGTCCTGGAACTAGAGAGCGTAAAGAAGCGACCCCGGAACAGACCGAAGAACGACTTGACAAGCTCTCTGGAGCCATCCGGACAATTCTCGAATGCATCGGAGAAGATCCGGAGCGTGAGGGTCTCCGCGAGACTCCCATGAGATATGCCAAGGCCATGCTTTACTTCACCAAGGGCTATGAGGAGAATGTGCGGGATTTGGTCAACGGTGCGGTCTTCCACGAGGATCACGATGAGCTGGTAATTGTCAAGGACATTGACGTTTTCTCGCTGTGCGAGCACCACATGGTCCCATTCACTGGAAAGGTATCGACATTTCCGCACATCGATGTCGTCTGATCCATTCTAACCATGTACAGATGCATATTGGATACATCCCTGACCGCCGTGTGCTTGGCCTCTCCAAGCTAGCCCGTCTAGCAGAGATGTTTTCCCGCAGACTTCAAGTCCAGGAGCGCCTGACCAAGCAAGTTGCCCTGGCAATCTCCGAAGTCCTCAAGCCCCGTGGTGTCGGTGTTGTCATGGAATCTTCTCACCTTTGCATGGTTATGCGCGGCGTGCAGAAGGTCAGCAGCACCACGACTACTAGCTGTATGCTTGGATGCATGCGCTCTAGCGCCAAGACTCGCGAAGAGTTCTTGACTCTGCTGAATCGCAGATAATGACATATTACACCAACCGCCCATTCTAAGCATGGGGCGCTGATTTACGGATTTTATTTTGGAGTTCTGGCGATGACCTTTCAACAGGTTCTGGGTGGCCTTGCTATTTTTCCCTTTACGAAGCGTGGATTGGTGTTTCTGTCTTGTCTCATTTCGATTTTTTTGCATATCCTTCGGCAACTTCAGTCCTGGTCTCCTGATTGCCATTTATTCACTGCCGCCCTTGTAACATATTCCTCGGAGGCTTTGACAGACGGCAACCTCTTCCCCGGCCAATGGGCTTGGGAAAGGGGCCAAAAATTATCCTGTTCGACTAACACAACCCTCAAGAGGCCTTCGCTTCAGGTTCATCGAAGTTTCACGATGGTACCACTGGCAAGGTCGTTTCAACACTTGATCCCATACGCTTATGAATCCATATCTAGAAGCACTGGGAGGTGTACTTTGTATACAACCCATGTATTAGAAATGTATATTCTCTTTCAATTCGACCTTTATCCCAATGAAACTATGTGGAGTATAACCCACTATCATAATCCACCGAGACTGCTGCAAATACTCTACCATAATTGTCTTTGTCAAATCAAATAGCTTGGACAGGCTCTTGAACCAGCAATGATCTTGCCATCTCATTGCCAGCGCATCTGGGAAACCTCTGAGTCCTCAACGACAAAGCAAGTTGAATGGTTAGAAGTGTAAAGGTCCCTGGCGATGTAATGAGACGTTCAACGCGCCTATAAGGCCGCACGTCCACGTACAATTACCTTGGCCAGTCTTTCCAATTCTTCTCGCAACCATTCTTCTTCTCTTCTTCTTCGTGTGTTTCCTCATCTTTTTCACATCCTTTTCATCCTTTATATTCCCTTCACTCCCCTCATGTATTCATTCACACCATTTCTCTAAGGTCATATCTCGATTCCGAAGCTCAACGTGCTCTGCAAACCCGCGTGTTTCTACGTCTATTTCCACTTCGGGACTCTACTTTTCTTGCAAGCGTTTTGCTTTTTGTTGTTGCTAATACCGTATCTTGGCGTTGTTTCTCCGTTTTCTTTTGTTCTCAAGCCTCACCAACCACATACCATCGGTCATTAAGGCTATTCAGGTGTGGCTCCATGCTTTATCCTCTTCATAAGTATTTGGTTGTCCCTCATCTCAGAAAGGTCTCAACGACAAGCACTTGAGGTATGTATGTCTAACAAGCCTCTTCAATTCTCCCGCCACGAAAACAGACAGCTAACCCAACAGAGTCCAAGGTTTTCCACTGAAGAGGCACTCATGCCCACGAAATGGGTGATCGCCAAAGACCCTCAGCAAGTTACGGCTGGCCTGACTACGGCCGAGACGAGGCCATCACACCCCCAAACGAGCCTATGATCTTTGACGCTATTGAGCGAGAGTCTTTCCGTCGAGTCTCCGACACTCTTGAAGACCTCCAGTCAAACATTGACTCTCACCTCCGAGATCTTCACACTCACCGCGTCTCTAATATCTACTCACCTTCTCCAATCCCATCTTCTACCGAAAGCACCTTTCTACCAATAACGGAGGATCAGCCCGAAGATCAGCTCGAGCAACATGAGGTTCAAGACGACGCTTATGAAAGTCAGCCTTCCACCCCTGCTTCATTTGATCTGCCCATCATGCAGTTCGAGTCTCCCCCCGCTTCTCCAAGCCTCGTTCATGCGCCTGTATTTGAACCGTCCGAGCTGCCTGAATCAGAATTTTTTGATATTAAGTACTCTAACCCCATGGATGGATCATCCGAGCTGCCCGAGCTGGAATCTTTCAATTTTAACATGGCTTCGCTTCGTGCCTTCTTCAACCCGGTGGCTCCCAGCCCTGTAGCTGAAGCATACGAGTCATCCGAGCCGGAATCCTTCGATGCTGCTTTAATGCTTGACATAGCCTCTGTAAGAGCCTTCTCGAATCCCGCGGATCCTAGCTCCATGGCTGGATCCTCTAGGCTACCTGAGCTGGAAACTCTAGAGGTTCCCATTATGCTTGATGCTGCCTCTGTTCGAGCCTTCTCTGACCCCGTGGCTCCTAGCACTATCACCGGGTCATCTGAGTTACCTGAGCCGGAAACCGTTGAAGTTCCCTTTATGCTTGATGTAGCTTCTGTTCAAGCCTTTTCCAACCCCGCGGCTTCTAGCCCTATCCTCGTGGCTGGACCATCTGTCCTCCCGCACCCAGACACCTTTGAAATATCCGAAATGTGCCTGAGGTCATCTTCTGTGATGTCATCTAGCGTTTCAGCTCATGGCTCCATCGAATCACTGGTATTGCCGCCGCAGGCATATCTCAAGATCCCAGCCACTTCTACCCCTAAATCCGTGGCTTCCAACGCCACAGCTCCTGGTACTAACCGTTTGATCTCTTACACTGAGCTTGCGACTCATTATTTCAAACTTGCAGCTCACCACCCCCATCTTTCAGTTTATCACTCCGGCCTTGCAGTTCCTCGGTCCAACTTTTCAGGCCGTTACAACAGTCTTTCGAGCCGCCACTTCATTCTTGCGACTCAGTTATCTCAGCTTAGCACTCAATCCTCTGACCTTGCGACCTACAAACCCCATGATATTACCTTCCCTGATTCTGCCATCCCTTCGGGCTTTGAGACTACTCTTTCAGACCTCCCGGGGATCCTGCTCTCCAACTTTACGATCCATCCTGGTACTGTGACTCCCCATCCCGTGGTTTCTAACCCTGCGCCTACAACTTCCCATCCTGTCCCCGGGCCGCGCGCTCACATATCTTCTACCGTGAGCAATAGCCCCTTTGCAGCTTCTCGTACCACGTCACAGCCCAACCTATTCGCATTCTTCGAAAATGCAACAGCTGGTGACGAGCCTATTCCACCTCAGCAACAAATTATCGTTGGCATTCCCGTTGATCGAGTTCAGTCAATGACAATTCCTGGTGACTCAATGGTACACCAAGTACCTCCTTGGATCGTCTTGACCGAAGATGGTTCTTTTGTCAGAGCCCTTCCACCTCTCAGATTCGATGGCACCATGGAGCTTATTCCTCAAGTCTCAGTGCTACCCCCGCAAAATGGAGAATTGACCACTTCGGTTGTTTCGTCTAGTAAACCTGATGAATCCGCCTTATCGACTGCTAGGACGACTTTTGAATCAGGCCCACCTATTGTGTCTAATGCTGTTGGTACATCTGCCCCGTTAACTGTGGTTGCATTCACGCCCGGCTCAGGTCCAGCTGTTTTGTCGGATACAGATGATGCATCCGACTTGTCGACTCCTACGATATCAGCAACTGGTTTAATATCGCCCGTCAAAAGGGCTCCTATCCGTTATCAGCTCGCACTGGTCGCTGCTGAATACATTGCTGTTCCAAGTACACCAGCTCGTTCAGTCGTGCCGTCCGAATGGAATCCGCCCCATTACCCATCCAGGACTCACATCGTGGGAACTTCAGCCGTTGATTCACTCCTGGGACGAACCAGAACGCTTCATCGTTCGACATCAAGCCCAGCCACGCTTCCAAGCCCTCCTAATATGCTAAGAACTCCTGCCATCATCTCATCAGACCAATCTTTCCGTCTCAGCTCACCAATTGATTTGAGCTCATCTTCAGACCCGACATTCGGTTTGCAACTGAGATGGTCAAATCGGCATGCCCCAGAAGGGATTTACCAAGACCCTCGTGCCACAGTTTTTCTCACCCCGCTTGCGTCCTTTGTAGCGACGCCATCAAGCCTGCCCACCCCCTCGGAACAATCGTCTTCCCAATTGGGCGTTGTCAACAGCACTCAGCCGGATTCAATGTCCTCCGATGAGGCGGTCGAGAGCAATTTCCCCCCGTCAGAGCCCGATTCGGAGTCGCCGCGCTCCTCATACGAGTCCTCAGCACGGGAGGGAGCCTTGACGCCCACCGTCGATTACACTAACGGAGTGCATGCCCGCGCCCACCGCCGTTTCCTGATCGACGGCGCTGACGACTCGCCAGTTGAAGCGAGCGAAGAACAATTTCAGACAGAAGAGAAGGAGAAGTCCAAGGACAAGCCCAAGACAGCGGTAGCCCCGCCACAGTCTGGCCTCGACCACCACAGACTGAGAGAGTCCTGGGTCTACCTGGAGGCTCCCATGCATGCTCTCACTATCTCCGAGTGTCGGCTAAGAGAAAGTGCGCTCGCGTTTAACCTTGAGGCCGGGGGCGAGGCTTGCGACCCAGCGGAGTCAAGTCCGCGGGTATTCTGGCCAGGACCACGCACCAAGGAGGAGATCGTGGCTCTAGTGATGGAGGGGGAGGCTTTCCTGCCTAGTCTGCATCGAGGGGAGGAGAAGATTCAGGCTGGGAAGGTCAAGCTCGACCACCCTTGGAATTATGACTGAAATAGGTGGGAGGTATCTGTATGAGTAAGGGGCTGGACGGGGTGAGCCTGTCTCAAGCTGTGAGCGGGAAATGATTGAAACTGACCCGTACGTGAGGTGTTAAATGAGATTTGTGTCAATCTTGATATGCTAAGATTGGGTGTTTTGTAAGAGTAGTGAATGCATATTGTTTGACATCAAATTGAATCTCTCTTGTTATGGCTACAGAGTGGAAATCTTTTATTCCTAGCTTGACTACAAATATATGTAACTAACAAAGTACCTAAGATTGTTGTCGATTTCTGTGGATTCCGGTAGAAACTATAGCAAACAATGTATCTATGTATAAATGAATCCTTCGTACAATTTTAACTGGATAGATGAACAAATTTCTTCCCACGATCTACTTAGGTAGGCATCATGTTTCTTGTCCTGGCCAGTCAAGGTCTAGAAATGCTTCATTTTATTTTTGTTCAAATGGAGAGCCCTTTGAGGAGGTGAGCAGATCTAGGAATGACTCATCATGGTTTAACTCTGACACTCTTAGAAATCTCTCCTCATCCGTGTTCACGTTCCAGATTGGCCCAGACAGTGTTGAAATAACGGTGCACTCTTCTACCCTTGCAGAGCTCTCTCGGAGCCTGAACACCCTCCTCAAAGGGGTAACAATTGAGGTAAAAAACAAGCATGTTGACTGGCCAGATGTCGATTTAGCCACATTCAACCGACTGTGTGAATTTGCCTATCTTCGAGATCATATACACTCTTCACACCGCATTATCGAAGTGGTTTCTCCCCCTATAAAACCTCCGAGATCAGCAAAAAAGAAAGAGAGACTCTGACATAGTTCTCGTTCTTAAATAGTCCTTCAAGTTTAAATTCATGCAATGCAATGACCAAGAGAAGAATTAGCCGTGAATTTCAGCAGCTGAAGTTGCTTTAGATTGCAGCTAACTATACAGCTTCTGTGTTGTTCACCTTGCCCTTGATATTTGTCTCACATTCACGTCTTATTGAGATCAAGCTTTAGTTCCCAATTTGCTATCTCATATTGAAATTTGATTGTTTATTCATCAAATTTCTTATCAATCAATATGGAATATTCGCTAAAGTGTTGTAGATTAGTAAATTTGACTTCCAGAAAATCCACGAAAGCTTCATGAGCCCTGAGCTAGAAGTTAGGGAATTAAAGCCCAAATTTCTAGCACTCAAATCTTACACATGCATTCTTTTTATACTCTTTTCCAATGTTGCATGCATGACTGGATTATATACTTCGTTGACATCACGTGACCGATCCATGTGACCCCACGCTGAGGTTCAACTTCCACTTACCCGTGACATCAACCCACCTCCCTGCGCTGATGGGTCTGCCATTTTGATGCAGCATACTCCCTTGCTGATCATATTCAACTGTTTTTTTTTGTTAAATTATGCCTTCTTGTCTTTTTGCGAGGTGTTCTTTTCTTTGAGAATGGCTGAGGGTTCATTTTGCAACCTATTTTCAATTCCGGGTTGAGTCTCAGCCCGCGGCCTTGATTTCCTTTCAGCCACACCCAACATCTTAAGGCGTTGCTTGATTTAGATTAAAAACTGTGGACTTCTGTCCTGGAATTGATCTCAGCGATTTTAATATGACGGACGGGTTTGGTTGAGTGCAGGGCTTAGCCTCTACCATTTCACTGACAGGGCTCAACTATGTGGACTTTCTCATTCTTGTGGATTGCGATGAGAACAGCATTATTGTTTCGATCTTGTGCGGCATTGGATGCCTCGTACATTGACTTCACATCCAGTACATCCGCCATCAGAAGCCCGAGTCAACCTGGAATTTCGGACATCCATCGTCAACTTGAGAAATCAGATGAGCAGCAGAACAAAGGTTCAATGCCCCTTAAAGGTCGACTTAAGTTGGAGTCGAAATTGGGGTTTCCGCCCATGTTTTGCACTGGTATCTGTCCCCGGATAAGTTGATCATTGATCTATCTGCTGTAAACTCCGACAATACCAGCACTTGCCCTCTTATTTGGAGCAATTTCCCTGGGACCCTCGCCGACTATCCAGTCTACATGTGCCGGAAATCTTCCAGTTGGATATGATACAATAAGGTATCAACTTTGTTTCAGTGAACCATGCACTGGATTGCTCCCCCTTGGGTTGGTTGGCAGCCTCTTGATACCTGGGAGCGACTTTTAAATACTCGCCCAGTGTGTTTTTATGTGACCTGATGGATCAACATGGGTCCTTACAACGGTGCATCTGTGGACATTGGCCCATCTGGCCTTGTGCAATACGTAGATAGTTCTATCTTTGGGACTGGCCAATCCGGTCTCATACAGCCTTGCCACCAACTGGCAGGTTGCTGTACAAAACAAAGTGCAGAATGAGCGAGCGAAATCAAGAAAAGAAAGAAAGAGCTAGGCTTGCTCCCGCTGGCTTTTTTTAACCCTTGTCGGTTTCCCAGATCACCTGATTGCAAACATCACCTGAACAGAAAAAGCCCGACATTCCCAGCGCAAGTTACTCAAAGTGGAAGAGAAAAAAAAAGGAAAACAGAATACCGGTTGCACTTGTCTTCGACAGCTGCACGCCAACACTTTTCAGCGTCGAATCAAGTAGAGCCGCATCGGGGATCAGTCAGCAAAAACCCGAGTCATCCAGGTGACAATCTTTCGAGCACACAGTAGTTCTCTTTGTTTGTCAAGACAAAAAAAGGGTTGTATTTGATAAATCTGAATTGGTGCGTATAGCCCCATTCAATCTCCCCTTGCTCATGTTCATTTTGTTCACAGTCGCTTGATAGTCTGCACAGTTCGGAATCCGGAACAACACCCCACCCGGGTCACCCCCCGAAAGACTTCCGCCTGGAATCGCGACGCTTGGAAGCGCCATCGTGCACTACGCCTACTCATCACTATATTCAAGTGCAGGCTTCTTCCAAGGATTGGCCTCCTTGATACATCTCCTTTTTCTTGTTTGAACCAGATGCCGTTAGCGAAGTTGACATGGCTGGGTCCCGTAGGAGTCCGGTGTTGAGAGACCAGTGGAGCGCTGACCAGGAGCGTGAGCCCCGTGACGGAGAAAGACGCAGAGGTCGAGGCTCAGGCCGTGATCGAGGCAGGGGTAGAGGTCGTGATCGAGGCCGTCCGCACCGGCCTAATAATCGCAATTTTGATCGCCCGGGGCGGTCGCCACCGCGCGCGTCCCGCTTCGGCCCTGACGCTTCTCACGACCAAGGCGATTTTGCGCCAGAACTTCCTCATCCGCAAGGCTCCCCTGGACCTCCAAATTTTCAAAACAATCGTCGCACCGATTCGAACCGCCCTTCATCATCGGCAGGTGATTGGAATGCCCATCCTTCTGCATCCTTCGACAGAGAAGCCCCCGTGTTCCGCAGAGACCAATCACCGAACGGACCTCCATCAAAACGACAAAGGACTCGAAGTCCTTCTCCGCGTGGATACCGTGGACCCCTGCCTCCGCAACGTTCAAACTTCACCAATTACGGAGAGGGAAGAGACCGAAGCCCTTCTTTCAGGAAACGAGGTGGCCGGAATCAGGGTCGTGGTGCTCCCAGAAGAAGGTCTCCTCGACGAGGTCGGGACCGCCGTGGAAAAGACCGTCGTCGGCCAGATTTCCCGCGGCCGGGAAGATCTAGATCACCCGTTCATGATCGGGAATTCCATCCTTCACCCGACCGACGATCTCGTACCCCTGGTGGTGAGAACTACGGTGACAACTATAGCGACCACGGATCTCACTATCGCTCAAACTCGCGGCATTCCGTTCAATCGAATTCAAGGTTTTCTATATCCTCTCACACCTCCAGGCATGATCCTGCAATGATACCAACTCGACCAATCCAGCCCATTGCTGATGATAATCCCCGTTCTCTGTCTCCCCCTCGACCAATTCCGAGCTTTGACTCTGAAAATCTCGGCCCCTCTGAAGAACAATTCGCTAATTCTCGAGATGCACACCCAATGCATGAAATGCGCCACGATGTGAAAAACCCGTCACGTCGTCGATCTTCTCGACCACATCTTGATACCCGACCCTATACGACATCCCCTAAGCATGGGACATCAACGGGTTCATTTCATGGCTCCCCGCAACCCCCATCACCCTACTCAGCGGGACGAGGCGGGTGGAATGGCCCTTCTTCACATCCCGGACCTGGGTGAGTCTCTTATCCATTCATCCGTGATTTTCTTCCAGTTGATTTCAACCTAACTTTACCTTTAGTCACGCCTCTCCTTACCAGCAAGACAATTACTCGTCGCAAAATGGACCTCCGGGAAACTACTATCAGAACCAAGGCCAATATAACGGCCCCGGGAACCATCCTTCTCAGTCTTCATACGGTGGTGGCGGACCTCCTCACCGTGGCGGTCATCGCGGAAATTTCTCAAATCAAGGTCCAGACAGGCGTTTTTCAGGCTCTGGCCCTCATCCTTACCATGCCGGACCCTCACAACGCGGCGGAAGAGCACATTACAACAACTTGCAATGGACTGCATCTGGATCTCGCGGCCGTGGTGGGCAGCCTAATCCTCACACTGCACCCACCCATGGGTCACAAACTCCCACTCGGCCGCATTCTCACAATGACCCAGAATCCCCTCGGGCAGGTGACAGTGAGAGTCATCCCCGGCCCTCCAACCGGGATTTCCACGAGGACAGAGAGTTTCGCGAAACAGAGAACCAGACACAGCCCCCATCTGATAGTGGGGATATCCAGAACATGCTTCAGCCGAATCAAGAGCCCGAAAACTCGACTCCTGCACCAAAGGGTGGAAAGTTCAGTTTTGCCTTCAAATCCAAGGCTGCACCCTCTCCCGCTCCGAAGCCGGTGCCCGACCTTGCTCAACGGATGCAGATCCGCGAGCCGGCCCTTCGTGCACCTCTACCTCCACAGGAACAAACATCACCCCGCAATCGCCTAACCAACGGACCATTGCCCAAATTCAAGCCAGAGCCAAGACACGACCGCCGGGATCGTGGACGGGACCGAGGAGACCGGGATCGCAGGGATTTCCGAGAGCCACGAGAATTCCGTGATCCACGGGACCGGAGAGATGATCGCCGCTTTGATCAAAATCAACGGCGTGATCGACGGAAAGGAGACCGGCCCCCAGATCGACCGGCGGACTGGTATGACCGCCGGCGTGAGCCTTTGCCAGAACCACCAAGAGAGGCACCCCCTAAGCAAACAATGATTCTCTCACGCCCTAAACCCCGTCCTACGCTTCCGGCAGAGTTCGCAAACGCTGATTCTGTCTACTTCCGAAAGCCCGGCAATGAGTCTGTGATTGGCGCTGGCACGTATGGCAAGGTTTTCAAAGGAATCCATGTCTATACCCAGCGAAAGGTTGCCCTCAAGAAAATTCGAATGGAAGGTGAAAAGGATGGATTCCCTATCACCGCCGTGCGAGAGATCAAGTTGCTCCAACATCTCCGAAACCATAACGTTGTCAGCCTCCTCGAGGTCATGGTTGAGAAGAACGAGTGTTTCATGGTTTTTGAATATCTTTCTCACGATCTGACTGGACTGATCAACCACCCCACTTTCGATCTCACCCTTGCACACAAGAAAGATCTATCCAAGCAGATGTTCGAGGGTCTCAACTATCTTCACCACCGTGGTGTTCTCCACCGAGACATTAAGGCAGCCAACATCCTGATCAGCAACCGAGGTTTGCTCAAGTATGCTGACTTTGGCCTGGCCCGATTCTTTTCTAAAAGCCGTCAACTCGACTACACCAACCGAGTCATTACTATTTGGTATCGCCCCCTGAATTACTGCTAGGTGAAACCCGTTATGGTCCCGCCGTTGATGTATGGAGTGCTGCATGCGTTTGCATGGAGATGTTCACAAAGAAGGCTGTATTCCCCGGAGAAGGTGGCGAACTCAGTCAGATGGAAAAGCTCTACAACGCTCTGGGTACCCCTACTAAAACCGAGTGGCCAGACCTCGTAGAGATGCCCTGGTTCCATCTGATGCGACCCAAAGAACGCAAGAAGCGTGTGTTCGAGGACCAATACCGTGATGTCCTCTCAGCCGGTGCAATGGATATGATCTCCTCGATCTTCCGCTATGACCCCGCACAACGACCAAGTGCTGAGGATGTTCTCAAACACCCCTATTTCACATCGGAAGAACCAGCCCCCCAACCGCCGATTGAGTAAGCACCCTAGGTTCTCTTTTATGTTCGAAACATCTGCTAACATTGTCTACAGATTGGAGCACGTTGAGGGCGACTGGCACGAGTTTGAATCCAAGGCCCTCCGCAAAGAAGCTCGGCGCGTGGAATATCAAAATCAAAAGGATCGCGACAAGCGCAAGGCTGAAGGTTCAGTGCCGAGCAGTGATCGGGAGTCGAAGCGGACGAAACAAGAATCTAGTAAACAGACCGCACATGGATGATTGCTTATTTTCTGATTGTTAATTTTTATTTGCTTCTGCTTCTGTATTGCATCGGACATGGTTGGTGGATATTGGCTTACATTGACATTTATGAGGATTCACCAAGGTATTCTGGTTCCGGGCTTTTTTTGTGACATATTGCCCATTGATCATAAATCGAAATTACTATTATTATTATTGTTATTATTTGTATTTGATTTGAATGTATCAATGTATCGATGAAGGGTGGTGTGAGATCTGTAGCATGTTTTGCAGTGTTCGAGTCCCTTTCGTTTTCGCCTGACTAAAACGTAAACACAGCAGGGATAGCTACCACGCTATTATTCGACATTAATTGAAACCAGCAGGCAGAACACAATCTGTGCATATACAATGGCTCAGACTTTGCCTGTTTACCGCATGCTCAACCAGCTCGCGAGCCCGAAGGCCAAAGTAGTACGGCGGTTGAGTCCTCGGATTACCAGAGAGCTCGAAAGAGTTTCTTCATTGCCGGGAAATATTTGGGAAAAAAAGAACATTTATAGAATTGACGTACTAAAAGAAGAACAGAAGAAAAGAGAAAGAAAATATATAAGAGAGAGATATATATGGATGTGCCGTGCATTCAGGTCATCACCGCATCATGGGTTGCTATTAAGCCCTCGTGATGATGGTTTTAGATGCGATTCAATCAATCTCGACCTACACATCGGAAACGCCCGGACTGTAAAAGGATGAGTCTCCAGCGTTGATTTGAGTTGGTGGTCTTGAGAGAAGAAGAAGAAAAGGAAAAGAGAAAAAAATCGACGCGAAAGAAAAGGAAAAACGGGAAAAAAGACGGTGCGAAGGCTGCAGGCGAAATCACTTTTGATTGGTTGAAGCTGACTACTCGAGTCTCCGATTCAATCGTCAACGCCTTTTCCATATTCACCTTCCATCAAGTTCACATTTCTTTTTCTTTTCTTTTATACTTATAACCCACCTTTCGATTCTTTATTTCCTTTTTTTAAAAAAAGAAACAAAACACAAACTTCTCTCTATTTCACGAAATACTATCAAACTACATATTACCGACATCACTCTTTTTACCCAACTCGAATCCTCCTTTGAACCCAACTACCAGAATTCCCTTTCAGTTTCATCCCCAAACTACCTACTACGTCACTTGAGAGATAACAGCGCAGGCGTCTCCATTCTCTTTGTGTAACCATTTCTTTCGGGTCCTTTTTCTCTCCTGATGACCACTCGTGTCTCGGGCAGTCTTCTCAATCGCGATGGATAATGCAAACTTGTGGACCCGCCGGACAAAGTAAGTCGTGTGCCCCTCCACCTATATATGAAGTCATCCTATACCTTTACTAACCATTTTTTTCTTTCTTTCTTTTTCTTCATTAGCTCCTCCAAATTGTCCCTGTCAACGTCCGGGACCGAACCTAAAGACGGCACCCGTGTCGAATTGCCCCGCCCATCCAAGCGATTCGGACCTGACAGCTCGCATGGCCGCTCAAACCCTTTTAACGCAATATCCCCATTATCTGCCGGTGTATCCTCGCCATCAACCAATGCTTCATCCGCCTTTGGTCTAGGATCCGGCGCATTTGCCTCATTCGGTGCGCCGAAGACTCCCGGTGGCTCCGAGTTGAAAACACCCGGTGACCGACGGGACGTACTGCTGGAGCATGAGGCACAGAACGCTTTTGACCACCAAGTTATCTCTGCTCCTGGTGAGCATGCGCTCAAGTCCACATGGATCGTCTGGTATCGCCCTCCCACACCTAAATATTCCGACTATGAAAAATCCACTGTGCCGCTGGCTTCGATATCCTCCGTAGAGAGCTTCTGGGCTGTCTACTCCCATCTCAAGCGCCCTTCTCTTCTCCCTACAGTGTCCGACTACCACATTTTCAAGAAGGGCATTCGGCCCGTCTGGGAAGATGAGGCGAACAAGCGGGGAGGTAAGTGGATTGTGCGCTTCAAGAAGGGTGTCTCGGACCGTTACTGGGAGGATCTCCTCTTGGCTATGGTTGGAGATCAATTTGCGGAGGCTGGGGATGAAGTCTGCGGTGCAGTGTTGAGCGTCCGAGGTGGCGAGGACGTCTTGAGTGTCTGGACGAGAATTGACGGGGGGCGCAACATTAAGATCAGGTATTTTTTCACCGATTGCTCTTCATCACTTTGTTCGACCTAACAGTGCATTGCTCAATAGGGAAACAATTAAGCGCCTGCTAGCATTCCCAACAGACACCAACATCATTTGGAAGAGTCATGACGACAGCATTGCACAGCGATCTGCCATTGACCAAGCTCGTCATGAGAAGACCGTAACCGGTACTGGTCATCAAGAACGACGACGTCCGGGCCAAGACGACTCAGAGAAGGGCAAAGTGGCCGTGGACCTATGAACGGGAGACCTCAGCCCGGCTTTGGGCCCTGTATAGTAAACCCGAAATGGAAAAAAAAGAAACCTTCATTCACGAATCATTGGGACGCGTTTGGGTCTTAGGGGTGGCGGGGCATCGCGGCGAACTCAGCGGTTTGATTTGGTTTATGTCTTGAGTGTGATATGTCTGTTTTTCCTTTTTTTTTTGTATCCGAGCTCATGCGTGATGTTTTCACTTGTATGCAACATGAATGCAGTGCAGTATCAGCCTGCTAATGCTTTTCTCTGAGAGTATCCTTTGCCACTATATGCAATTTCCCTGTAACATGTGTTTCATACCCTTACCTATTACAATAACAGTTGTGGATGCGCTTATTACACACTATTATGAGGTCAACATCTTCTTACCTTTTTCTATCCAAGGCCTTAGAGGTCATAGTTAGCTATGGCGGTGATTCTATATCAAATGATGCCTGAATCCTAAGGCGCCAAAAGAAGTCTGACCGCCCTTGAGCTAATATGACGATGCGGCGTACTTGGGAAAAGAACGAGCGGAAGAAGGAAAAAAAAACAGATATGGAATCTACATGGTATACAATGCCATGAGCTGGCCCTAATGTCTATGTTCGAAAGTGTTGCCAAGTTTTTTGCTACTCTCTCCCCGCGAGCCCAAAGGGTCCAAGACCATCGACCTGCAGTCCAACTTGAACAACCCTCAACCCCTCCTCGTTCTCGACCTGGTCGCAACTCCTTCCCAGAATCCGACGACACCCAGCCCGAAGTGATTTTTGTCCGAGACGCTGGTACCACTGCTCACCCGGAGGTGTGTTTCTACCCTATCTCCACGCGCGTTTCATTTCGTTCATGTTTGCTTTTGTCGGGCTTTTTATACAACCCTCCAACCTTATCCCCAACACGACTACCTTTTAATCAATCCCACCTGATCTTGCCCGCGTCGCTTACCCCACGCTACACCTTCAGCCGATTATCGTGAGGCTGATCGATGATCTAGTCTGTTCATAGTTATGTCGATACTATTTTCTCGCCATCTGGACCCCCGATTACAAGCCAACGATCACATACCCGAGTTTCGTACCCTGTCTTAGACCCAAGGGACCGGTTAGAGATGTTCCCTCGTCAGCCTGCCGGCGCGCAAAAGCTGACGATGACACCCGTTCGCAGGACTGGCCATTCCATGCAGATGTTGAACAACGACCCCAAAAAGAATTCCCGGGACCGGCAAGATGAGGCTCGTTTGTTGGGGGGATCTTACAAGTGCGTTTTCTGATTGAGGAGGGTGTTGTTGGAACAATGACGCTGACTGGGATTTTATTGGTTGATAGGGATCCCCAAGCCGTGAAGATAAAGACCGGCGCAACAATGCAATCAAAGAGCAAGAAGCCAGGAGTAAGTGTAAGATGCTGGATGAGTATATGTTATGTCTGACCCTCTCGCAGTCAAATTACTCTTTTTCCCCATCGGACAAGATCTCAGCCAAATCCCGGACAAGTGGGCCTGTTCACGCTCGGGGAAAGTCAAATAGACAAACCTCCAATATGCGACAAAACCCGATATTGTTGGACGATGCATTTGAAGAGTCGAATCGGCCTAATAAAAGGCAGCGCCAGAGTGACGTGGGTCTTGAAGCTGCCGGGGCAAATACTCTTGTGGATCGGCCCCAGCAGCCTCCATTGAGCTCACCATTGCAAAGTCTTAGAACGAAGCATAAGGGCTCCGCTGGTCTTCCTCAGAATCTCGATGAGTTTCAAGAAGTCGAGAGAAACGTCAGAATGTCACCCAGTCCTCGTCGATCTCATATCAGACAGTTCGCTTTTTCTGGCTCTCCAGATGAGCAGTTTATTGAAAAAGCAGTACAGCAACGGCGAGATACGATGAAAGGTCAGGCCAACGACAAGTCAAAAGGCGCTAGTGAGGCTCTTGTCATGGACAGAATCGAGGTTGGAGCAAAGAAATCCGATAAGGCTCGCTCTGCCAATTTTTCAAATGCGACCCGTCCTTCTGTCAACGGCAGAGAAAGCCCAGATGAGCTTCAAGGTGATATCACGACTCATTCATTACTGAACTCCTTGACAGAAAAGCCAGTCAAAGCTGGACGCCAATCCAGAATTGAAATTCACCCTGAACCCGTCACTCGAAAACGCTCACCATCCGACATTCAACCAACAGATTTTTCCTCCCCACCGCAAGACAAGAAAAAGGCCAAGCGCTCTCATCTGAAGCCCGCCAGAAAAAGGGTATTCAAAGCGTCTTATTACCGGATGGGATTATTCTACAAGACTTGCGCTGAGAATGAATCAGTCCCGATTAATGTTATCGAGTTAGGGCTGCAACTTGGCCAAGACCTTGGTCCGGGCAATGAACGACTGATTCTCTACAAAGATATCGGGAATATTCTTGTCGGCGAGGGCACGAGTCGGAAGATAAGCCTATCTATGAGGAAAGACTACGGGGACAGCAGCAAAAGCGTTGACATTGAGTTTTGTACTCCGGCCGAAAGGAATACCATGCTCAAAGCCTTGGAGTTGCCGAATGTCGGACAAGAGTTCAGAGATGCGTATGACCTCCGGAAGACGTCCTGATGATTTGTCGCAAGATGCTAATATGAAACAGGAAAGACATGGATAAAGTTTTTGCAGCACATGCATCAGACTTTGCAGGCGTGTCCGACCAGACCAGGGCGTCATTGCATGATCGAACTGGTGGCTCCATCCCTACAAAAGCCAACCGACGGCTAAAACTAGCTGACCAATTAAGAGGAGCCGATGGTGTAATTGTTGATGCAAAGCTATCTAAGAGTAAGCGACGTCGCAAAGCCATGATGGGATCTGAAGATGGCACTGTTGAGTCGCGAGACACTTCTCCTGTCCAAGCTCGACGTCAGAGATCCCCACCTTATGCGAAGCCCTTCAAATCCATTCTCAAAGACCAGGGAGATCAACCTCCCGAATCAGACGCCGATGCTGGACCTGAGATTCCCGTGAAACCGTTGGGACCAACTACTCGCGAGACTCGGTCTTCCCGACGTGCACCCGGGAGACACTCTAGGATGAACGAGGACGGGCTACATGACACAGATCAAAAGTCTCCACTTGAAGATGACGCCTTCCGAGAAAACTGGAAAAAGCCCTTAGTTTACCCGCCGAACGGAGCGAAGAAAGCGGAGGTCAATCTTGATGATCGTGACCGGCTGCGCGAGGACACTTTCCTCAATGATAACCTCATTGCTTTTTATATGCGGTTCCTTCAAGATCATCTCGAGCGAACGAACAAAGATGCTGCGCGTCGGATTTATTTTTTCAACTCTTATTTCTTTGCGACCCTCACAAACCCCCCTCGAGGCAAGCGTGACATTAATTACAAAGGCGTGGAAAAGTGGACTCGGAGTGTCGATCTCTTCAGCTACGATTACATTCTAGTTCCTATCAACGAACATCATCATTGGTACATTGCCATCATCTGCAATTTACCCAGTTTGTCATTTGAGAACGCGGAGCCAGTGGAGTCTGTGCAGCCATCTCGAGCATCTTCCCCGACGAAGCAACCAGCACCCATACCTGAAACCAAGGTGCAAGAAATCGACGAGACTCCAGAGCCAGAACTCAAGCCAGAGTCTAATAAAACTTTTGAGCGAAGCCCGGAAAATAATGTCGAGCAGTCTTCAAAGCCTCCAAAGGAACCAGAAACCCGGAGGCGTCTTGCTTCTCTGTCGATCGAGGAAAAAGAGCTTGCAGAAAAATATACAAAGAACCCAGAAGGAAAAGAACAGCCTTCCTCCGATGAGGGGCAAGATGCTGATGAGAATCCGACTTCCTCGCCCGCGAATCTCTCCAAGATCTCTGCCCAAAAGCTTGCCCAAGACGAGGCTGCAGCTTCTCAGCCAATAGGCAAATCCAGGAAGAAACGGTCTGGGCAAAAGCTGCATCCCAATCAGCCGACGATCATCACCTTTGACTCCCTTGATGTCAGCCGTTCCCCAACTATCAGAATCCTTCGCGAGTACATCTCCCTAGAAGCAATCTCTAAACGCGGATTGGAGATCAATACCAGTGAGATCAAGGGAATGCGAGGCCAAGGAATACCTAGTCAGCCGAATTGGTCAGATTGCGGACTTTACCTACTGGCCTATGTCGAGAAGTTCATCCAAAGTCCCGATTGGTTTATCACGAAGGTGCTCCAGCGAAGTATGGATTCCGAGAATGATTGGCCACGTCTCAGGTCGGGTGAGCTTCGGATCCGCCTACGCACGTTCCTCGACGAGCTTTATGAAGAACAATCCCAGACGAGTCGGGATCCAAAGAAGCGCATCATGGCAGACAGAAGCCCGATTGATTTTTTGCTTCGGCCGCCCCGGCCACATCAAGAAGACGATGCCGACATCGATGTGGTGCCCGAGTCCCAGCATGAGCCCCAAAAAGAGACAGAGGCCCCGCCCACCATACCAACCAAGGAATCTACGCCTGTGGACTCTGCAGCGTGCAAGGTACCCGACGAGCAAAGCGAGGATTCAACTGTCGATCAGATGCACATGGTTCCCACTGAAAGTCCCCCTGCGCCGAAACCGAAAGCACCCAAGACGCGGACTGAAAAGCCTCAAACCGATCGTTCCTCCCACGCAAAGAACGAACCAGTCATCCAAGTCCCCTGCAGCCAAGAAGAACCCGAAGTATCTATACCTAGAACGCCTCCGCCTGCTGAAGCGCCGCGCAAACGAAAAAGTCCCAGGGGACCACGAAAAGGATGAGCCTGTTCAGCTGAGCGATTCTCAAACCTTGTTTTAGCGATACTTTAATTATAACGCAATGCCCGCCAACCGTGCTCCTTATCATCTGCGTGTTTTACACTTTTCATTTTAGCGTTTCGTGTCGCGTCTATCATGACTAGCTGTCGATGCATTTCGTGTCGTATAGAAGGTCTGCCGACCGGACTCAATACCACTTTCTTGTTATCTTCCTAGGCACTTTGTATACTTCATTTTATCTGTTTTCTTCTCTCCGTGTCTTTTTTGACATCTATCGCGATCTCTTCCTGACTCTGTTTGAACCATAGGTGTATAGTGGCTGATCATTCCCTGGTATCGTTGTAGTGGGACATTCTCATTAGATTCAACATAAGCTGTTCTGAAACTTTTGAAAATACATATCTATCCATCGGCATATCAAGATTTGAATGGGTTTTCTGGGTATATGTTTTGTTAGAACAAATATCACAGTAGAGTTATAGCCCTATATATCAATGTACAGTGCAGTTTGTTATTGAATTTTTGACTCAACCTACACAGAAAACCTAATGTATCGTAGGAGGTTGCATGTTTAGGTATTTCTATCCTGATGCTCGTTATGAAACATCTGGGCAAGCAAGCCCTAATAAAAATATATATCACCACTCACTCTCTTTCGCCCCTGCCCACCATTGCAACTTATCTTTTTTAAAAGACTCAAAGTCCCACTCCGCCTCTTCAAGCCTATCCACCCCAGAAATCCACACATAAGTCACAGCCGATACCTCCTCCCCTCCATCAGCCTGACAAGCCGCACCAAGCACATTGCTCCATTGACTCTCCATACCAGATTCGCCAGAACCTCCGTGCGAATCTCGCAACTTCCGCACAGTCACATTCTCCCGCGCATACTCCCCACCCTCAAACAAATCAAGCCGATGGACATCACCATCCGTTAGTCCCGAGACGAGAATCCCAAGAACTGACATTCTAGCACTGGAGCTGGCATTTGACGCTGAAATCTTCTCATCTGTTTCTGTTACAGCCACAATGCCTGGATAATCGGCGCCTTGTACGCGGTGGCGCCGATACCCATGTAGAATAGCGGGCTGGAAGCTCACCATGGCTTTTTGCCAGGGCTCTGGCGTAGAACTGCCGTGGATGACATTGTGTAAGACTTGAGGGGCCATGAGGGTTCCTGGAGGATATTAGTATTTTTAATTTGTGTTTGCAAGAGAGAATTTACCGTAGAAGAAGAGGACATGATCACCCATCGTGTATGGTGTGGGGTCGGTTGATTTGGCCCCCAGGTTGTTGTTGGTGGTTGTTGACTAGGATAGTCAAGAGATATCAATGGAGAGGGGGGTTGAGGTAATTCAATTCTATAGAGGAATGTAGATATCTAGCACCAGATCAATGACTTCAAACCAGAAGACAAGTTCAAATGAACGCCACGAGCTGAACGCCAGAGATAGCGGCTGTATAGATGCCGCTTATCGATAAGAGCCAAACACAACAGGCCCAGCTGGCTTCATCTCTTCAACTCCCAGCAACCACCCACGATGCACTCCTCTCTAACCCGCATCCAGTCGGTATTCGGCTTCTTCACCACAGTCGCATTGGTTGTCAGCGCATTTGCCGCTATATCAGTCCTGCTCTTTCCAGCAGATGAGACTAATGCCTCCGTACAGCTGAAGAACGTCCAGGTGTAAGTGAATCGCAACAACTACATAGGCATTGGTACCCGGAACCAAATCCCAACTAATACATCTGCCAAACATCCAGCGTCAAAGGTCGACCACACTACCACTCGACCAAACGCGAAGAATACGCCTCCTTCCGATTCGACCTCGACGCCGATCTCAGCCCACTCTTCAACTGGAATACCAAGCAGCTCTTCGTCTACGTATACGCGACCTACTCATCATCCGATAAAGCAGACTCACAAGTCCACGACTCTGAAGCCATAATCTGGGACGTGATCATCCCCGCGACACCGTCACCGTACTCCTTTGATGTCCTGAAAGACCGCGTAACAGCACTCCTCCCGGCCTCGCTCTCATCATCCTCCGCGTCAGCCGCGAGACGGAACAAGAACCGCATTGCGAAGAAAACTAAGGCATCCAAGAAGGCCGAGACCGTCAATCCCGGTGTTTTGAGGCTGCGTGGCCAGAAGGGCAAGTACCAGATTAGTGATATTACTGGACATCTTGCGGAGCGCCAGAACGTGACTCTCCACGTTGGGTGGAATGTTCAGCCGTGGGTTGGGGCCTTGTTCTGGGCTCCTGGGACTGGGGCTGTGCCGCGGACTGCGGGGACAGTTGTCAGTAGTGAGGTTTTTGATTACCCTGAGTTGAAGGGGAATAAGAAGGCTGCTGCTGAGGCAAAGGCTAAGGCTGAGACGGCGAGCGTATAGGGGTTTTTAAGTGGGAAGAGTTGGAATTTGCATTTGTTTTGAACACTGCACATCTCCTACATTTGGTTATGAGTATGTGAAATCTAATATGTGTGAATTTCTTCTTTGAAAGATCAAGGCACGGAGGATTTGGGTTCCAAACCATTGCAAAAGACATTCACAGGCTGCTAGTTATCCCTGGCCAGCAACGAAAAGAAAGTGAATCTATAAATTCCGATATAAAGTCCTAATGACACTCTTAAAAATCGGCTTAGCGTCAGCTAACCATACGCTTTTTCGGGGTTTCTAGTAATCTTTCTAGTATTTATCCTAATAATAATTCTAGAGGTCTTGTTTTTCCTAACGGTATTATTTAGGGTCTCTTACTAGCTCCTTTATAATCGTGAATACGTGGTTACTATAGTGGCTAACCTGTTTGAAGAAAAAAGCATCTTTATTTCATACTCCAGATGGGAAAAATTAGACCCAAAAGAAGCTTCACTATGGAGGGTATGGATACAGCAATAATAAGCACTCGCTTAGGATGTCACAGACAATGTAACCGAGATATGGTCAAAGAGGGCGAAAGAAAGAGTGTCGCGCGACGGAATCAGATAGTACCATAATTCCTGTCCGCGTTTGTATGATGATGACCTCCGTTTTGGATGCGCTCAGAGTAGACGCCGGGTGCGGGCCGTTGAGAGGCACGAGTTAGAGGATCGCGGTTGCGGCGTTCATAGTAGACATATTCCAGATAGAAGGCGTGAATGTGGCCGGGGAAGTAACTAAAAAATGGAATCATTAGCGGCCGAGCTGAAGTGGGTATGTAGATATAGATAGTTATAGAGTAAACATACCCGAGAATAGTGAGCAGGACGTTGATCCAGAAATCAACACCGCAGCCTGAGATGAGGAAGACACCAAGAGGGGGGACTATGATGGACGTGTTAGTATGATCGGATTTCCTGCGGAGTGCAGATTTCAAATAAACTGACTGAAGAGGGTGATAATGATCAAACACAACGTTGAGCAAGCGCCTGCCATGTTTGCGATTTAGTCGAGTAGAGTGAGGTTTTGGTCAAAGTCTGTTGTGACGTCTGAAATCGGTGGTAGCCAGAAAACTGAGGAGAGATATCGTAAAGGGGAGGATGAAGATATAAATAGGGATGTTATCATCGGCCGGAGAGTTAATGCGTTTCATCTTGGCCAACGACGTCAGAAGATCAAAACAGAGAGGAACCGGTAGGGCTGAGGCAACCGTGATGCTGGTTGGCTGGCGATGGTCTGATGACGTCATACCGGTAGGAGCTGAGTGGGTTGGTACCGCCACACGCCACATCTCTGTGGCGGTGCTGGGGAAGTACACAAAGTACTGCGCACAGATAACTTGGACATGTACAACGTAGAGAGATACACTTGGAACTCATTCCATTTGTTTGTCTCTACACTGCGTCAATCGCTGCCCGAGTAGTTACCTGCTCGTTCTTATTGCCCAGCTTCGAAATCTGCAGGAATGCATCCACTCCATACCCTTCCAAACTGTGCAGTTCTAGGCTACCTGCCCAGTATTCAGCATATACTCGGCTCATGGGCAATCCCATTCCAAGTCTAAGATTAGGCGGTCGTGACGTCAATGTGTCCAAGGATCCTTCATGGTATGACAGGAAATTCGATTCTCGATCAGCATATTTGCGCTCGTGTGACACCTGCAGTTCTTGCATAGTAGCCGCCATAGCGGGGACCTGTCCAAGATTTTCCAGCCGGGTCTGCGTGCGAGGACCCTTGCTAAATGACCAGAGATAAGGAAGGATCTCTCGTGGGATTCCGCCTCCCTGATCGGAAATTCGCATTATCACGTGCTGTGGGGTTTCACACACGAGCACTTCGATGGGTGGAGGTGGTTCAGTCGAATCTTGGTACTTCTCCATAACCGCTTGTACCGAGTTGCGGAGAAGCTCTCCTATGATGTATTCCAAGTGACTCAGAATATATGGGAAAGTCGCATCTGTATGGCCTTGGACGGTGATGGCGGGGATCTGACTTGACCCCGAGGTCTTCGACATCAGATCTTGTGCGACTTTCCCACATCGCTCGACCACCTCCTTCGCCTTGCATTTGAGGAACACTTCTCCCACAAAGTCTGCATTCATGTCGGTCCGGTCGTGAGAATCGGGGAAATGCCATGGCGAGTTGAAGGTTTCGGTCAGCGCGAGGTGTTGTTCTGCGATAACTCGGCGAGATATTCTCTATAGATGAAGCGATGTTAGTTAGAAGGTAAAGAAGTGCAGATCTGGGTTCACGTACCGCTCGCAGCAATGTGTTCATCAGCCGGTCCATCTTATCTGCCGGAGCGAGATTCCGGCACTCCAACACCCCCATCGCTAGATTTGGAATCACCACGAGATGCTCTTTCAGCATGTCCTTGAGGATATCACAAAAACGATCATTGTCTTCGAGACTCCTGATCTCGGGGATCACACGGGCCTTCTCGAACGCTTTGTAGTACAATTCGTATACTAGGGTGAGGTGCGGGTTAGCAACCACCACATAGGGCAGCTGTTGAATGTCTCGCAGACGGTGCGCAAGCCTATGAAACCATCACAGTCAGAGATATCCTTCGTTCCACATACTGCAGTTCCACCTACCGAGTCGGGAGCTCAGTCCGCACGTAATTGGCAGAGCTGATCAAGCGTGGTTCGGTCAAGGTACGGCCAAAAAAGGTCAACTGGCGAAGACTAATAGGTCTAATAGCTCTCTCCACCCATCTGTTAAGGTTCCAATGTTAGCATCACTCATATTTTATAGCTTCAACTTGAGTCATACTCATCGACTGCAGAAACGGGCCTCCAGGGCGGGGGATTATGAGCTCCAGAATAGAGACGTTTGGGAAGATACTGGAAAGATCTCCAGTTTCGAGGTGAATAACTCGACCTCATTGTGCTTCATGCACTCATTCAAATATAAAGACCATGTAGATGCTCACTTGCAGATTCAGGTGAAGTGCGTTGATATCTCTAGAGTTTGGGGTTGCGGGCGGTGAGTCAAGCATGTGAATGGAACTGTTTTTCTACTTGCTGCTTTTGTTTTTTTTTTTTAATGCATTCTTTGGATGTTTATTGTGATTTGTGTTTTCAAAATAGAAGATTAGATGTGAAGTTGAAGCACTATTCTCGTATTTTGAAATGAATTTGTTTGATTTATTTAATGCATATATATCTGCCCAACGTCCCGAGGATGAAGTATCTGCACGGACTCGGGGTCAGTTTGTGGAGAGATCATATGAGGGGGTTGATATAGTTAATTGAGGGGGAAATCTATCGAATATTGTAGGTTTGATATCTATATATATATAGGTAATATTATATAGGGAGATATAGCTACAATATGTGAGCGTATCAGATTAGACCCTTTAAAGATAAATGCGTATATATTTATCGCCTTTACACGACAGGGCCTTCAACGTCTATCAAATGACCATAAATTATAGTAAGAGCTTATAATTTAACAAGCTCACAGATTTCAGAGTAAATTGAGGTCTAAAACCATACATAATAAATAACTATGTGTTCAGGTACATAAAAACCTGATTCTTCAAATCCAATGGCAGATCTAATTGCTGCCGGGGCAGAGGCTCCGCCACCGCTAAGCTCCGGCCCTTATTATTCTTTTGGTTCAGAAAGAATCCTCAACCACCACTGTGTATTACTACTTCCTTGCATCCTTCACTCTTCTTTAAAATCCACAAAAACCTTCACAAAATATAACTGTCGCCTTCCGTCTGGAAGGGAAGGCGCTTTCCGCGATGGAAAATGTAAGAGACAATCCCCGACCGTGCCCCTCGCCTGTGTCGTCATTGCGTTAACCTTTGCAAACAGCTCGCGGAGAACGACATGCTTGTCGACGACTATGACTATCCGACCGAAAAGACCGATGTCGTCGTCGTGTCTCCCTCGGGCTCCGAGCCTGAGTCCACAACGAACGCAGATGACCGTACGTTCTTTGTTGCCTTATAAGCGAGAGGGTGGCCTTGCGGATTAACACAAAGTGACTGCGGGATTGAATGGGATCACCCTCGACCTTGGGACTAGCTTGTGGGATAATATAGGAATGCTAATACAAACTCCGACATAGACGCCGCGATGATGGCCAAGATCCTTCCCAAGAACCCGGACCTTGAAACCGAAGCCGAAACTTACAGCACATGGCGTTTGTCAGATTGGCGGAAGATGGACCGCAAGTCACACGGTCCCGTCTTCAAATGTGGTGGATTTCCTTGGTTGGTACATGAAGGCTGTTTGCCTGGATTGATTTTGACTTTGGAATAGGCGCATCCTTTTTTTTCCCTACGGAAATCACGCCGAACATGCCTCATTTTACTTGGAACATGCGTGGGAAGGCGAACCTCCGGCGAACTGGTATGCTTGCGTGCAGTTTGCCCTCGTGCTGTCGAATGTGAACGATCCTTCGATCTACGTCCCACATGGTAAGCTTTTCGAATGGCGATGAGAGAGGTGACCAGAGCGCTAAATTCGAACTCTAGTTGCAACTCACCGTTTTACCGCCGAGGAAGGAGATTGGGGCTTCACTCGATTCTACGAGCTCAAGGGCCTATTCACCGATCCTTGGGAAGGCAAGAACGTTCCGTTGGTGCAAAATGATGAGGCCATTGTTACAGCCTATGTCCGTGTGGTGAAAGATCCCACAGGTGTCCTATGGCACAGTTTCCAAAAGTTTGTTTGTACCCCTAGGTTGGATCTTCCTGGGATGCTGACAATATTCCTAGCTACGACTCAAAGAAGGAGACTGGTATGGTGGGATTGAGGAACCAAGGAGCTACCTGCTACCTCAATTCACTTTTACAGTCCCTCTATTTCACAAATGCCTTCCGTAAGGTATGGAATAATCTCGAATGCTTCGAATGCCTCTATAAATCAACAAACTGACCTACATTCTAGGCTGTATACCAAATACCGACTGACCAGGAAGCCTCACGCGAGAACAGTGCGTGGGCTCTTCAAAGGCTGTTCTACAACCTGCAAACAAGTGAATCTGCTGTCTCAACGACCGAACTCACCGCATCCTTTGGCTGGCAATCTAGCCAGATCTTCGAACAGCAAGATGTACAGGAGCTTTCACGAAAGCTCATGGAACGCTTGGAGCACAAAATGAAGGGCACTGTTGCCGAAAAGGTTCTGCCAGATCTCTTTGTTGGAAAAACTAAAACATACATTTCCTGCATCAATGTCGACTATGAGTCTTCCCGCGTGGAAGATTTCTGGGACATCCAACTCAATGTCCGAGGCAACAAGACCTTGGACGACAGCTTTAAAGATTACATTCAGGTCGAGACGCTGGAGGGCGAGAACAAGTACGAAGCCGGGGCACCTTACGGTCTGCAAGACGCCAAGAAAGGTGTCATTTTCGAGAGCTTCCCTCCGGTTCTGCACCTTCACCTCAAACGATTCGAGTACGACCTCAACCTGGATATGATGGCCAAGGTCAACGATCTTCACACATTTCCCATGGAATTCGATGCTGCTCCTTATCTTTCAAAGGGCGCCGATATGTCGGAGTCGTGGGTTTACCAACTGCACGGCGTCCTCGTCCACAGTGGTAATCTTGATGCCGGACATTACTATGCCTTCCTGAAGCCGACCAAGGATGGACACTGGTACCGTTTCGACGATGACCGAGTCAACCGCGCAACCGACAAGGAGGTTTTGGATGAGAATTACGGCGACTCCCAACAACGCACAAATGGGTCTGGTGGCCGTGCTGCAATTCGCACAAACAACGCTTACATGTTGGTTTATGTACGGAAGACGAGACAGGACGATGTATTTTTCCCGGTCACAAAGGACGATGTGCCCTCTCACATTGAGCAGCGTCTGTCCGAGGATCGTGCCGAGATGTTGCGTCGGAAGAAGGAGAGAGAAGAGGCTCATCTCTACATGAATGTTGGTGTTTTGAACGACGATGAATTCAAGTCTCACCACGGCTTTGATTTGACCAGCACCGACCTGCCTGCAGAAGATCCGGCACTTCCCAAGCAGTACAAGACCCTTCGGACAAAGAAAGTCAGCGAGTTTGCGCAGCTCATCGCCGAAGAACGGGGTCTCAATGCAGAGTCCATTCGATTCTGGGTCATGGTTAACCGCCAAAACAAGACAACCCGACCTGATCAGGTAATCCGCGATCAATCAATGACTCTTGAGGATGCGTACACCAAATTCGGCACCAAGGGTCAAATCTTCCGGCTGTGGATGGAAGTCGCACCAGCCGTTACCAGTGGACAGCCTACGTCATGGCCTGACAACGAGTCGATCCTCATTTTCCTGAAATGCTTTGACATTGTGGCCCAAACTTTGACTGGTGTCAGCTCTGTTTATGTTCGCAAGAGTCAAAAAGTGAGTGAGCTGGCCCCAATCATCCTTTCCAAGATGGATTGGCCTGCTGGAACAGAGTTCACGCTCTTTGAAGAGATTAAGCACAACATGATCGATGTTATGAAGCCTAAGCAGACTTTCCAACAATCTGAGATCCAGGATGGCGACATTATCACCTTCCAACGTTCGGTCAAGGAATCAGAGGTGCCAGCTTCTGCAATCTACACCGATGCTCGCCAATTCTACGACTACCTTCTGAACCGCATGGAAGTTACATTCGCTCCGATCAAGGCCAACGAAGGCGATGAGTTTACCTTGGCTCTTAGCCGCAAGATGACCTACGACCAATTCGCAAAGAAGGTCGGAGAGCATCTCAAGGTGGACGCGACTCATCTTCGATTCGCACCCGTAATGCAAAGCACTGGCAAGGCCAAGCCTTTCCTCAAGCGGACTGTTCCTCAGAATCTCGCTCAAATTCTCACTGGTCAGTACGGTGCCTACGGTTACACCATGCACCGGTCAGATGCCTTGTACTACGAGATTCTGGATATGAGTTTGAGTGACTTTGAGAGTAAGAAATGCTTCAAGGTGACATGGCTTCCAGATGGTGTGAGCAAAGAGGTTAGTTTAAGCCATTCCCTTCTGCAGTGTTCAGCTGACTAATAAATCATTAGGAGAATATTGAAGTCCTGGTTTCTCGCAGCGGTACAGTTGTGGACCTTATTTCTGCTATTCAGCAGAAGTTAGACCTGGGCGACGAGCGAATTCGCGTTGCTGAAACTCACAGTGGAAAGGTTTACAAGGAACTTCTGCAAGATCAGGGCGTGGCTGCTATCAACGAATATGCCACGCTCTACGCTGAGAAGATTCCGACAGAAGAGCTGAACATGAATGCCGATGAACGTGTGATCAGCGTTTACAGCTTTGATCGCGAGCCCAACCGCACTCATGGAATCCCCTTCAAGTTTGTTGTGAAGCCCGGAGAGCTCTTCGCAGAGACCAAAAAGCGGCTTTCCGCCCGCACACAGATCAAGGGGAAGAGCTTTGAAAAGATCAAGTTCGCTGTGGTTCCCCGGGCATCGTTCTCCAGCCCTAAGTATCTCGAAGATGGTGAGTACCTTTCTAATCATTTTCTCATTCTTCATGTACAAGTACTAAACGCTTTCAGGTGATATATTGTCCGATGTAGCAAGTGGTGCCGATGACTTCCTGGGTCTTGATCATGCCAACAAGAGCCGGAGCTTTTGGGGAAAGAGCGATGGATTTTCCATTCGGTAAACAAGTTTTATAGTTATGGCGCTTGGGGGTGTTACGAGTTGACGGAGGGCTGTATGCTGTGATCCGGTACATGAGCAGTGACGGCCTGATGCGATGATCATGCCTTGTTTTCGTTTATCTTATTGTTTTGTCCAGTCAGCCCAAGTAGAAGGCAATCAAGTCTATATTGTGGAAGTACAAATTGTTCCTGGATTGTCATGAAATGTCAGCAAGCATCAATAAATGTCAATAGATGTACTCTAGCTTTCATGGAGTATGAAAGGCAGATGCATGGGGAAGTTTGTTTGGTGCAAACACTGCAAACAGCGGAAGGCAAAGCTGGCCATAACCACCTCCTGACGCGAATATCAACCATATCCCCAAAGAACATTCGGTATATCCTCACGATGCGGTTCGCACTTTTCGCCGGCCTGGCATCTTTGGTCTCATCAGTAACCGCCACCGCCTTGACCTACAGACTCGAGGCCAACGAAAAGGCATGTTTTTTCACAAACGTTGATCAAAGCAACGCCAAGTTGGCCTTCTACTTCGCGGTAAGTCCAATTGACTATCCGGCTATGCTACATCTAGTCCAGGATAATCTCCAATTTTTGCGAATATATGGAGCTTTATGATGAACGCTGCTGACAATGTCAATCGCAGGTGCAATCCGGCGGATCCTTCGATGTCGACTACTCCGTGACCGCACCGGGCGGCAAGATCGTGCTGGATGGCACAAAGGAACGTCAGGGCGACTTCGTCTTCACAGCGCAGAGCATCGGCGAATACACCTTCTGCTTCAACAACGAGATGTCCACCTTCGCCGAGAAGATGGTCGACTTCGAGATCGCGGTATACTACTGGTCACCTACCACATGAATTCAAGATATCGGTTACTGATGATCCCACACAGGTCGAGAACGAGCAACGCGCTCAACTTCCTTCCCGACAGGGTGCCAGCCCCGAACAGACCTCCAGCCTGGAGGAATCCATCTACAAGCTCTCCGCTCAGCTTTCGACCGTCTCCCGTAACCAGAAGTACTTCCGTACCCGTGAGAACCGAAACTTCAGCACAGTGCGGAGTACCGAGCGTCGGATCTTCAACTTCAGTGTCATTGAATCTTTGATGATGGTTTCAATGGCCGCGCTCCAAGTCTTTGTTGTGCGATTCTTCTTCCAAGGTGCCCGGAAAGGTATGTGCGGTTATTTCAAGATTTTCCCTGTTTTTGCAAAAAAATTTGGACGCATGAAAGCATTGACACCATGTGTGGCGAGTCCTGAATGCGAATATCCTTGCTGTTCCACCTTGGATGTTCACTAACTTTGAAACAGGTTACGTCTGATGTGAGCATGAGTATGAGAAATAATATGATGCATTTAACTACATTCTATGCGTGGCGTGTTGGCCTATGTTACTTGGGGTCTTTGCAAATTCAATTAGATGTTCTGCCTGTCTTTGGGTCAAAAACAGGAAATATACTCGATATGACATCAACGTTCACATCTGTCCGACTGCCAATACCCCTGATTGTTTGTCCCTTTTTTATTGGCAGGAACCAGTGAGCGAGAGGAGTATCGAAAGTTTGTACTGTACGACGTAGTTTGCTTCTGCTCCGTGCGCTCGCTGTGGTAGCCATGACATGAGTTTTTCTGGGTCATTCACTGACGGGTATCAGGATTTTCAGCATCAAAAACTAGGCTGTATGACAAGAAGCACCAGTGTAGCCGGGGAAGCGGGGGATCGTCCCTACTTGTTGTCCACAAGGATACAAGGATAGAACCGGTTTCTGTTGGAAGAATGTCTCGTTTTGGGTTGTGGCATTGTCTATCAGTGAGTCTAGACCATCGAAAGATGGCGATGAGCTCACCCTAAACTGGGTAGGGGCGGTGCATACGATGTACTCGATGCTCGCAGGAGCAGAACAGGTTCTTGTACGAGGCAAGCCTCGACTAGGAGCAAGATGTGTTCATCCTTGAGCCTAGGCCGACGAGGGGAGGGGATGGCTTGCATTGATGAATACCGGCACGCATTCTTGCATCAATTTGACGTTGTCGCCTCCAGCTATGATGTGAGAATAGTGGGAAACCCTTAGTCTCAATGAATCGGTGAGAGCTAACTAGCGCATATTCACTGTCCAGATGAGGTCAGTTGAAGCAAAATCTGACCGAGAACAGGTTTTTATTTGAAAGTTTGAGAAGGCCACTTTGAGAGGTCGAAGGTGTGTGTGTGTGTCCATGAGTCCAGATCAGAGAGTAGAGGTGAACGACCGCGAAGACGCATATTGATGAATGCTGACCTGCGTCAATTCAACGATTGCGCCTCTGAATACGATGCCAGAAGAAAGCACAAACACTAGTTCGACAGCTAGCGCATGTTTCTGTCGAGCTATGGAGCATTTAGAGTCTATTGAGGTTGACATCTGGTCCAAAACAGGTTTTTTTTGGCTATTCGGATAGAATGGTCCGACGCTATACGGTGGGCGCACGGGCAGATACCGAGACAATGCTACTACTTTTTTTGGTGGAGATGTGTTGTACAGTATACAACGTCAACATAGTTCTGAAAAGATTTGATAAAGAAAGGAGAAAAAACACAAGACATATGACGTGAAAGAGATCGGAGATGGCCTGTGTTGCTCCGTTTTAGACTGTGCAATTCTCGAGGCTTATGGTGACCTCATATGCTCGGTGTCTTCATTCTCTTTTGATCAGAATCGCTAATGGCTGACTAGAATCCATCCCGGCATTTAACACACGAGAAAAACAAACCAATTCAATCGATTGACGAGCCGTACTTTTTTGTTTCATTGGGGATAGTCGGGTATTTTAAGACTGGTCGTAACTCTGTGGACTCATAGGTGTTTAGGGTTAACGAGGCACAATGAACAGTAATGAAAGGTGGACCGGGATGATTGCCATGGATACGCTGCTAGGCATATGATCCACAAGCACGTTGCGGTACGGCGTCTATCGCATCAAAGCTCAAGCCACGGCAGTTGGATACATGATATGCTGTCATATAAGAGGGATCGGACCCTTGGGATGGTTCGAAGGCCCATTTGTAAGGGGGGTTTTGCTCCACAAAACAAATTTCTTTTTACCTACGACATCGTGCAGGATTTGACTAGCTCTGATATCACATGAGCATCATAGCCCTCAATTATCTCCAATATACCTACAAATATTGTACATGAATGTACGTTGACCGTTGGGATATGACGATGCTTAGGATACAATTAATCTAGACCAATATCTTTCGTGCAATCTGGTAGACCATACATCATACAATTTAGGTTGATTGCTCTTACTTTTCCAAATCAGGATCTGTCTCAAAATTTAGACTTATGAATTTACATATGATGCGTTTGATGCAAAGCGTCTTACGTTGTGCTGGCCCCAAATGAAACATTCCTCGTTGCAAAGTCAATATGCTGGATGCGAATTTCGACCTCGCCCTAATTAATGTCAGCACACGCATTATCACATCGTCAGAGTCCTTCATACTGAGGAGATGGACGATGATCGATATAGCGAATATCATGCCGATCTTGGGGGATTTTGCCTCCCCCGCTGGCGTCAACCTTCATCCAGGGTTCATACATGGCAAAAGCGGATCTAGTAACCTCGAAAATCATGCAAACGCCCGTGCCACTGGATTCCTCAGGTTCCAATAAATCATCTTATCTGGGTAATAGAACTGAAACCACGTACATTGTGTGGTCCCTGAAACTCCACATGGTAGGTGGTAGTGTATACATATTGTACACATTATCGGGCAGTATTTTCATATCTATAATAAACATACAAGACACTGTACTCATGTCTTCGACTATACTTAAGTATTGTATATTGAACATCTAAAGTATGCAGCAAGTCAATATACACAGTACAGGATTGTACAAAAGAGATAGATTGAGCGAGCAAGGGCTCCTTGACGTCATGTGCCATCTACACCTCAGGCAGAACCCGTCCATTTTGGGTGTTTCTGGAGCCAATGAAACCATGTATCCGCTGTGGCTTCAGATTTCACCCTTTTAGCTCATTTTCTCCACCGAGAAGTTCCACAATTTTTATTCAATTTGGGAATCAATTTGATTTCTAGATTTCTTATAATAATGTAAAGTTCAACAGTATATGCGTTCCTGCAGCGCGTTACCGTTATTCAAAGCATACACAACCAATTTGATGCTCGGATCGCCCCGATGCCTCACGATATGACGTCGAGGGCTCCATCCCGAGCCTCAGTAACATCCTCTTGTTTTACCTTTTTCACTTTTTTCCACCCATTTTTTCCCGCGCCGCAGACGCAGTACTTTCAATGGTCACACAGTAGATGTCTATTTGATATGCACTCCCATATTGCTATTGGATCCGAAATTGATCCATCCAGGCCTCGTAATTGTATCCTGGCCCGAGACAACAGCGTAGTCTGCCATATCGATGGGTGTACTCCACCGGGGATGCCCACTTTATGTTCCGGCTGACCGAAAGACGACCTATCCTAATGCGATGCAGAATGCAAGATGGGCCTCGCCGTTCAGAAGGCCAAAAGGTTCATGAAATCCCAATTATGATTCGTCCTAAAAACGTCAGGCGAAGATCTGCAGGGGGCCGGACTATGGCTATGCTGATCTCAGAACGCCTCCGACGTTCCAGTGGTCCATCTGCATTCCCCAGTGACCTCATCGGATCACTTTGACCTATGGCCCGGTGGATCGACTGATAATATCAATTCGGACATGAACCACTCTCCGTGAGCCTGTGGAGATTAGTTATTTCATAACGTCTTCGGATGATGATACAACCCCACCGCTCTAGGACAATGATTTACCAACAGGACAATATTCACAGTGTTACTGAGGTCTGGGGGCTGTGATGCTTCTTATGATGTCGCCTAGGAGAAATTGTTCTCTTACTCCCTTTCCCTCCCCCCTTCAGCCAATGATGTCACCGTACTCCGCTCAGTGTAATCGGTGGATCTGTCCTGAGTATCTATTCCCATGGCGCTCTCAGGAGAAATTAAGCCCATTGTTGGCCTATCATAGTGACCAAGATCGGGTGCTTTTGCCATGTATGATCATCCTCCGGTTCTGATTTCATTCTCCCTTGTGGAACCATAATTGTCTTATATATACCCTTGCTCGCAGAAGCTGATTCAATTGTTTCCACTCTAACCTACCTGAATTTGCTCCATAACATCTTTTCAAGTTTCAGTATTATTGCCTCTTACAGTTGATCCTCCCACACAGCTTATAACACTCATCCAACCACTTGTGTGTTTTCACCATCATCATTATCTATCATTCGTGACTTCTGTTTTCTCACGGCTCAAACCAACTAGCTCATATCGATCTCTTTTCCAAAAGGTAAGCTCTTGGTATACCTGAGACAGTGTCCCGACAGAACGACAAGCCTGCGACAAAAGCCCTCATTCGGCGATCGCATTTCACCAGTCCACATCCTTTCGGACAGACATGACAACCTATCGAGATACCATCATGAATCCAGCTCTCTCACAATGGCGCTATTCGATGCATAGACATGTCACAAGCTAACTTGCATTCCCACACCAGACATCATCCACCATGACTCAAGCCACTCAAATGCAGCAGCCCACTGACAACGTGGAGTCCATGTTCCCAACGAACTCGGGAGGTGTGGATATCCCGAACAGTGAGATCCATGTTGACCCCTACCGGTCGCTGGATCCTGCTCGTGCTTCCCTGGAGGACTACAACCGCTCGATGCTGCAGTACACTCAGCGTCAAATGTCTTCTTTCGTTGACACCGATGACTCTCATCGCAGCAGTCAAAGCAGCGGCCAGAGTGGTCGCAGTAGCACCTCTACTAGTTCCAACATGTCTCGCAATGCCCACGGACCCACATCATCCGTCAGCAATGCTGCTCACCTGGCCGGTTCTAAGGTCAGCAGCCGTGACATGGCTGATAACGAATCCGCTACATACTAAGGTGTGTCTCATGCCAAAAGTATGTCTGATTTGATCTAGTCTGTTCTATGTTCGAACTAACAATCATCTCAGCGGTTGGTTATCGTAACCGTGGCACAGCGTCATGACGATATCTTTTCGATGTTTGCATGATATGCTATGGCATTGGCGAGAATGTTTCCATTGAACCATCGTCAAATATTTCGCCTTTGTCCCAATTGCAGATATATCTGCGGAGTTTATTATTCGCGCGGGAGAGCGTGCCTGCATTGAGCGATACAGCGAGTTTGATTTCCGGTGGCCTTGATTTATGTCGGGTCATCGTGAAATGTTCCTTTCCTTTCACCCCTTTTACCCACTTCATCTTTCTACTTGCATCAGCATTTTCAGGATACCGATTGAGCCTTAGCTTCCTATCTCTGTTGGCCTGGTTTTTGGGTACTCAGGGCCGGATCACGCGTGTTTTAACTGCGTGTATTGCGCCCAGGACCCTTGGACTAGAATCATCGGATCCATTTCCCACAACCCCAAACACAGCATACTCAAATAGAGCAGGACACTTGATGTCCTGACTCGTTGCCCCCGACTTTTTTCTTCTTGTCATTCATTTGGCCTTGTCACTTGTGACTGTTTTGGTGTTATCTGACTCGAGAGCAGCCTACAAACGATATTATTCACGTCCACTTTGATCTTCATGTGCTGGGTCACAGCTACGTGACCAAAATTTCTGCTGATGTCCTTCTGTGGAGGAACATCAACCTGTTACACCACCTGTATTTTTATATTTCACCAGCGAGCGGGCGTTTTTTTCTTTCCTTTTTTGATGCTTCAACACCAACATATTTCCTGAGTCGAGGACACTGGCTGTCCCTCAGGAGAAGGACACCGATACCCTGTTATGATATGATGACAGTCCGCTGTGGACTAAGCCATGTTGGCAATTGATGACCTGTACCATTATGCGCAAAATCTGAGCACATGTTTTTTTTGGGTTGTTTGTTGTGAGTACGCTCGGATAATTTCCTTTGTGAAGATTAAGGTGTCGTATTAGCGTAGTGCGTAGATCGTAGATTATTGGTTGGCGTGCTATATATTTACATTATTTGTGGCTTCACTGTGAATAGGACGAGTTAATATATTGTTCTGTCTCAGTTGAAGATTTCGAGGCAATTTAATCTAAATGATTTCTTGTCCAAGCAAAACGACTTCCAGAGGAAATGAAGCAGTTTGGTATATGTTTGAGCTTTGTTTTGGAAAAGAAAACCCACCATCTACCTAGGTGTGATGGGAGTTTGGATCTAATTTACTAGGCCTATTACCTATCTTATCATCTCTTCTCCTACTGTTGTTTCCCTCTATTTGATATTAAACTTCGATCAAGCCAGCCAGATATCTTCTCGAGGTGAACTGCTCTCGTGTTCCAAGGACATCCCTTGCATACTTCTTGAGGATCGTATTTCACCTAGCAAACAACCCTTAAAAGGGGGTGAACATAGACGCTTGATGAAATGAAATCGTATAATAGAGTCACTTCCAAGGTTGGCGGCAATCTGTACGAGTTCAATGCATTAGAATTGCTCTGCAACTTAGGTTGTGAACATGCTTTGTTCGTATAAGGTTTGTTGATCAACAACCAAATGATTTTAGTCCACATACCAGAAACTGACCAGCCAGAAGAACCAGTGAAGCCAAGTCCCAATGGTGCACATTCCAAATGATTTATTAGGGTAGCGAATCAAGGCCACAGAGTGCCTTTCCACACGAGGGATGAAACCCCTGGAATCCCAGGATCCACCAACCAGCCAACCAGAAGTGCCCAAGGGAGAAGAAAAGAAACAGGAAATGCAATGGCCCTGTTGCCATGCTGAGAGGCTGGCAACTTTAGTTTCAAGGTCGAAAGCCAGCGCCAAACCTCTTTCCCTCCTCCATCGACCCGTCGGACACCCATCCGACAACCCAGCAACAACCAGGCCCAGCTCCAGTCATTCATTTCGGTCTCAATCTGGGGGCCAAAACACTCTTTAATTGCCTGCATCACGCCCTCCGATATCCAAGTCCTAGCCACACGGCGTGGACTCCCGACCTCAAGTCGTTCCCTACCATATAAACAACATCCATCCAGCAAAACCACCGCAACAATGTATCTCACCACCATCTTCACCGGTCTCACGATGATCCTAGCCGTCACGGCCATCCCGGTTGCGCACGAAAAGCCATCCCCAACCCCCTCAATGTCCAAGGCTCTCATCTCCCCTTCTTCCGCCTCCGCTTCCGCCTCGGCCTCAGCTTCGCCTACCCCATCGCCCAACCCATTCGAGGCATACACATGCCCAAAGGGCAAGTACAAGTCCTGCTGCATGTCCGTCCAGGAAACAGGGCACAGTGTTATCCAGCCGCTTGGCGAACTGGTTCCCATGGTCGGCGGACTGCAGCTCAGCTCAGCTATATCTTTCCAGTGTACGTATCAATGATCTATTTGATTTATTTACTTCGAGGGCCAGCTACATACAGCTCGTCTAATTTTGTGCTGATCACTAATACCGCACAGGCAAGAAGATGGCTGAACGGGAAGCACCGGCAACCTGCCACGGACATGGATATTCGCCCATGTGCTGCGATAGCAAGGACAATGTGAGTATTCCCGCAGAAGGGAAAGAGATACACCCGTCTAATATCTTCCAGGGTTTAGTTAGCGTCTGCAAGTCCTTCGAGGAGACCAAGGAGAACTACTACTCACACCAGGGAAAGATGGAAGAGACTCAGGCTGATATGATCATGGATGCTGTTACCTAATGTCCAAGCCTGGGGCTTGCGGCATCTAATATGTACGGTACATTTTGTATACTGGGATTGGGGCAAGTGGATGGCTGGAGTTTCTTTCTCATCTTGATATTTCTTGAACACTTCGTTATATTGATTCTTTGGTTGTGTAATTGTATACAGCATACACTTCAATCTGCTTTTCTGTTTGTTTTTCTCAGAATGACAAATGTAGTTGGAGGGTTATCTTACTGTAAAAAGTTTTATGACAATCGAATTTAATTCGTGTATGAAATGAAGCTAAGCTTTTGAACTGACAGAACATGGCTCGGAAGTGCAAATAAAAAAATCGAACGCCAGCCCACCAAGTCCTCTGCAGGCCCATGCAGTTTTGATAAATATGAAACAGATGAAAAAGCGCTGAAAAATTAAGTATCAATTTGCAGGCCCAAAGGCCTGACAAGAATAAAGATTGTTCGCGATTGTCCAAGCAGATTCCAAATTAGTCCTTCCAAAACCAACCACTCTTCGACTTGGCGGATTCAGATTCAGGGCCTTCGGATTGTGGATGAGACACCTCAACGGAAGTATCATTCTCCTCTCGGCCATCCGCAAAGCGCTTCGAATTAATGATCGTGCTTTGGACAGAGCCATCAGCCAAGCGTACGCGCTCTGTCCGTGTCATAGTGGAAACAACACGGCATTGGTCTTGTGCTTGCACTGGTTCCGAGAGAGACTCCCGCTTCGTCTCCATCGACTCTTGTAGTGTCTTGGGAACAGAGGGTTTGTTGTTGCCAGACACAAATTCCATACGGGTTTCGTTGTCATCACTGTGTTTATCCTCGACCTTGGGAACTCCGTGTCTGTATTTCTCCAGTTCTTCCTGCTGTTCTTTCCGCTCTGCTAGAAGGAGACGCAGAAGTGGGCTTTCGGAGATACTGCGGGAAAATCCGCGCTCTCGGTTTTCAATATCGTTCAAGAAGCGCTCGTACAAGTCAAGCTCGGTCTCGGCGGCTTTTTGTTCCTCTTTGCTTTCAGGGAGAGAAAGGGATCGAGAATGATCTTGCCCATGCTGTGTACGACCAGCGAAAGTGATACCCGACCAAGGCTGCCCCTCTGTGCCAGAAACATACTTCCACCGGTCACCCAAGCTGCCCCGTTTCACAAGCCCTTGTAGCCAATCCTTCCCAGACTCATATTTGACGGCTTCGTGATTAAGCATCGGCTTGCCGTTTTCAAGACGAAGGAGGTCCTCAAAGGCTTCCCGCCACTGTGGTTCATCCGAGTCACGCTCGGCATCAAGATATAAAGAGGAAATGATGGATGAGAAAACGCCATTCTCACGATTCGCTCGAAATTTCGCTTGTCGTTCGAGATTGAGGGGCGAATAAGGGCTGAACATTATGTAGGTGATTGGCCAAGTTGGCGAATCTGTGTCGTCGAACATATCCAGGAAGAAATTGTGTGGATGGAAGAAGTTTGATGCGAGCGGAGAGAAAAGTGATTCGAGATTGAAGAAGTCAGATGATGAATTGTACCATCTTCTTGAGTTGTTTCTATAGTCGCGATCGTCTCTCCCGCGATCGTCTCTGTTGCAGTTATTCCCATCATTTGGATAGTTTCTGTCTGAGTGGTCACCGATTCTTTTGTGGGTTGTTCTACTTTCGTATCCGTGGTCGTCTGCAAATATCTCCCAGCGGTCGTTGTGAGGTGGCGTCACAGTTGAGGGTAGACCCGTGATGGATTGAAGCATAGTGGATACCTGTTCATCGGCATAGCGGCGGAAGGCGACAAACGGGTTGGACTCGTGAGGCCAGTCCCTGTTCTGATTGTTTGATGGGTGATCCTTGTCATCAGCCATGCTTGAAATTGAAATTGATTGATGATATCGGTAGTTTGGAGTTAGAAAGAATTCAAAAGAAAAAGTGAGAGAATAATACATGTTGGGGAAGAGCCCCACTTATTGGCTCCACGTGATCCCCAATGTAAACTGGAATTTCGTCACTTTTCCATACTCTCGATGTAGCTGCCCATATTGAAGGTATATATATGCTCTACTGCTCAAAATTTAATTATAAATATGAGCCAAAGGACTATGGTAAGCCAATATACTGCAGCAACATGGCAATATATAAAAATAAATCACACAATCAAATAATCAAGTCTTCACGTTGAGCCGCTGGCGTCATTTTAGAGACCCACTAGAGTGGAACCATAGTTCAACCTCGATCTATATCAGACTTAGTATGCGTACAATCATATATACTAAATACTATATTGTACTATTTCAATATCGGATCTTTGCTTGATTACTGGCATGAGTGGAGATAAAAATTGACAAAGAGCAGTAGCAGTAACCAGATAAGAAACAATTCAAGTGAGCCAAATCACATACGTGCACCTCCTTGAGGCTCCCAGGCTTCATCAAACCCAGTAGAACGGATCCACATAGGCGAATTCTCTTCTTTAACAGTGGAGTCAACGGCTGTTTACAGTAAGTAAAGTCCTGCAATATATCATAAGAGAAAAAAAGGCCTTACCTATATTCCCAATCCGAAGCCACATATCTCCCTTAATTGGCATCTGTCTATTACTGCTCTCATATGGCTGACAGACCTTCTCACCATGAGCCAATGCCCGTACTAGTTTGGCTAGGTGTCCATCGTCACTGGGATGGGCGAGACTGCGAGCAAATATCTGAGACCAGTCATCCTTGATGGGATACTGGGCCACCTCTTCCAGCAGGAGATCGGGCATTCCACGCGAGACGTACATCAAAAGATCCATTCGACCCTTCCATTCCAGTAGGCGGAGCTTGGATCGCTGATCTAGGAATGGGAGCTTGATGATCTTCGAGAAGAAGATGGATGAGTTGAGACAGTGGATGAAGAAAAAGTCCAGCTTCATATCTTTTGTTGGACGCTGTGCGGTGCTAGTATAGTACACTGATATTCATATACAGTCAGCGATATTTCTGACAAATAGAAAAGAACACTCACCAACGGTATTAATCATATCCGCCAGCTTTTCCTCAACCTGTTCCTCCGAAACTGTGAATTGAGCTGCATATTTCACCATCTCCCCAGGTGCCCTAGTCAAGATCCCATCCCGGATCTTATTAGCATCCGTCCATCGAACACTCTCAATAAGAGCCTTGTCCGTATGAACTTCATCTAGAAGCTGCAGAAGTGATTTCTTTCCCGGCTTTCCAATCCCACCAGCCATCTTCTCAGCCGGTAAGAAGAACTGACGACCGATCCAGTCCTCGTGCACGGCTGTTTGGGCAAGAGCTTGCGCTACAATGGCTGGCTGATTGAATTCAAGACCGAACCCGAGATGGATGAGTGGGTGAACTAGACCTGGGTTGGATCAGTACAGAAATGGTATGGACTGAATAGGGTGATGGTAAATACTAACCACCAAAGAGTCGACACAGCATATTCTCCGCTCGCTCATCTCCAGCAAATATATACTCCTCCAGGACCCCGCCAACACCCTTGTCATCAATCTCCTGCTGAAAGAAGGCAAGGTAGTTTGGATAATTCTCTTCCTTCCCAAGACATTCCTGGAATTTGGCGACGTCATGCATAGACTGGATTACGTCTTGGCTTGCCGGCAGCGCGGGCCTCTGGTAAATTTTATTATGCTTGTACCCGGCCTTGATATGTTCTGGTGTTGCTCCCAGAGCATATATACTGAGGATTTGATGGGGGATGTGGTCTGTTGTATTGGGTCAGGTACAGTTGTAATGACAGGGAGATTTTAGAACATACTGTGGAATCCCTGGTCGTTGAAGAAGACGTGATGCTTCGCCATATCTTCCTGTAAAATCTCACTCGCTGTCTGTGCTGCATCTTCCCGGACATTGGAGCTATAGATGCCTGCATCCGTGGCTGGGTTCAAATGAATCTTCGTAGCAGTTGCCATAGCGGGGGTTTGGAACGTATTGTGGGTGGTATACGAGTTGTATTGCGTGGTTTTTCGCGAAGTAAACAATAACGAAGGTCGAATGCTTGATCGAAATGACGATAATATATTGAAATGCCGAGTTCTGCTCATAAGATCGAGGGCTGGTTTGTGGTGCAACAGTGGATCCTACCAGCCTGGGGAAGCTTGTATTTATATAAACAGATGTAGAATTGGAGCTGTACGACAGATGATTTTGAAGTAAAACCTGTTGGCCTATCAGAGTGATACAATTATTCAAGATGATGGAGATATGTATACGAAAAGCGGAGAATTCGGTGTTTCGGGCTTTCCGTTGTCACGACCAACGTCATTCCCAGTAGAAAGTCATTTCCAGACCGGTCTTGCTGACAGATTGATTTTATACTTCAGTAAGACCTACCTAAGTAGAGGAATCTGGATCGTCTTGCTCTATAATACAATGTTTTTTGATTTTATTATTTTCTAAATGGGTATTATTCAATCTGGATAATCACAGGAAACCAAGAACAGCACAGCTTTTAATTTTCGGTCTCCCTTTCCTTTTTGCGGCGTTGACGGTCTCGCTCCATTTTCTTGAAAAGTGGATGGTGACCAGTCTTATCTTTGAGTTGTTTGTTTCTGCTCTTGTTGTACTCGATGTACGCCATATCATCACCACCAGCCAGACCGCTGAGAGTGGCAGCGCTGCGTTTCGCATTCGGTTTCTTGCCTGTCACTCTTTTGCCCGAGCGCATCGAGAACAAGTCGTCGTTGACTTGTTCGACGTCTGCGGAGGACTCGTTCTGTAACATGACTTCTTGAAGGAGCTCACGGCGCTCTGCTGGCGTTGCGTACGAGAGTCCCTCGTAGTTGTCAATGCCTTGAAGATGGGTAATGACCTTGAAGGCGTAACCTTGGTCAATTAGGAATGCTTGCCGCTTGGCGGAATACACCATCTCATTGGTATCCTTGGATACGAGCGAGTAGAAGAAAGCATTGAAGCCCTCGTCATTCCTGCGCTTGGCTCGCAAGATTCGGCCCAATCGCTGGGCCTCTTGACGACGCGAACCGTAGTGGGATGAAATTTGGATCAGACAGGTAGCCTCGGGCAGATCAAGAGAGGTATCACCGATCTTCGACAGGAAGATCGTGTTGACCTGCTCGTTGTGTTGGAAGTTCTCTAGAATCCGCATGCGCTCGTTTTGCGGGGTTCCACCGTAAATGTAAGCCTTGTTCAGCTTCAGCGCGTATCGCTCCAGAGCATACACATTATCCGAAAATACAATGATCTTGTCGCCACGCTTCTCGTGGAAGTCGATTAGGAACTGACATGCCTGAAACTTGCGGGGATTCATGATGTAGAGCAGGGCCTGTTTTCTAGAGCTTTCACGTAGATACTCGGAGTAGAACTCGGTGGTCATTGGACACCACACCTCGGCACACTGCACCTTGGCAATGTGACCCTGAGCGGCGAGTTCCATCCAATTTGCTTCGTAGAGCTTGGGTCCAATCAGAAAGTTCAGATCTTTGATCTTGTCATCTTCACGGAGCAAAGTTGCAGTGAGGCCAAGTTTGCTCTGCGCAGCAATGGCAGATGTGACCTTTCGGAACATCGAGGCTGGCACGACGTGCACCTCATCAAGAATCATCATACCCCATTCTCTGGACTGGAGCCAATCCATCATCTTCTGGGCATCATACGACCGAGCACGGGTCTGTGACACCATTGAGTATGTGGACACAATGATACCGGTTGAACGTTTGAATTTCTCCTTGTGATCAGATGTAAAAATAGCGATATCGCCAGGATCGATGGTCGTCCATCGCAAAAACTCGTTTCGCCATTGCACAACGGACATGGAACTGGTGCAGAGGACGATCGTTCCTTTCTTGATGGTTGCCGCGGCTGTGATACCCACAAGGGTTTTGCCGGCACCACAAGGAAGCACGATAATACCACTCTTGGCTCGTCCGTTACCGAACATCTTACTAAGACTCTTCTCTTGGTAAGATCGGATTCGTGCCGCAGGCTTCAAATCCATATCCAAATTCGGGTTGACTGTGTCTCCTTGGAAATCGTACTCTTCCAAGGCAGGACACCCGATCGATTGACAGCGGGCTTTGACCACTTCGACTCCAGCGGCGGGAATTTCGAAACTGTATGTGGTTGCTTCTTCATTTTCATCCTCGCCAACATCGTCGATGCCGTAGTCCACGACCCCGCCTTCTTCATTTTGCTTCTCGGTCCTGGCAGCAGCAGCCTCCTGTTGAGTGGTCTCTCGTACACCAGCTGCATCTTTCGTTCCGGGAATGACCAGGCCACCCATTTTCGGGGCAGCCCGCTCAATGATACCTTCGGTATTGTCCATTCTCTGCGGTCCGATAACCTCGTCTTTCAGCAAACGCTGCAGCATTTCGGGATCCGTCGTTTCCACAAAGTATCGGTTATGCCTCAACACCATCTTGATCTTGCCGTAGGATTTAGTGAACTCGATGATGAACGTCCGAATACTCTCAGGCAGCGGGGTTTTTGACAGACGGTCCAGGAACTCCACAATATCCTGCGGTTTGAGGCCGACCGAGACCGCCGCATATAAACTGTGTCCGGTCAATCGGTATTCGTGAAGGTGGGTCGGGCGCGAAAGCGGTTCCGCGATGGTGGTCAAGAAATCTTGAGCTTGGGGTGCCAGCGGAGAGAAACTCTCAAGGGTGATTGTGCCTTTCAAAGGCTCGATCCATAACGGCCGGTTGTAGTGATCGACCTTTAGCGGGAGCGAGGAAAGATCCTTGTACCCAAATCTGGGGTCCGTCTTATTCACCGGGTTCTTTTTGCTGAATGACTCGAGCGAGAACTTGTTGACGACCTCTTTATGCGCCAGTTTTAGCATCTGGGTCACTTCATGTGAGCAGACTGCCACACTGTACCTTTCAAGTTGGATTCCTCCGGCAACTCTTCTGTATCTGAGTATTCATCGCTGCTAGAGATTTCTGTGGTATCGGGGATGGGTGTGGCTCGCTTCGACGCGCTGCTAGACCGACCAGCTGGCATAGTGAGTCATCTGTCTCCGACAAAGATGTACTGGGGACTTACCATCGGCCGCCTTGCGTTTGAGAGGCATGGTGGAGTATGTTCAACAAGAAGGAGGAAAGAGATGTGAATGAGAAACTGAGGGCGATCGAAGTGTGTATATGTTCAGTGAGATGGAGCGACGCTCCGTAGAAGATATCTTAAATCAGCATGGAATCAAAGCTGCTGACCGCATTCACAGGCGGCGTCTGGCGACTTCTGTTTCCGGTGCTATCTTTGAGTTCAGGTCAAGGGTTCAACGAAATAAATGAGTAGTTCGAGACAAAGAAGTTGAAAAGAATGAGGATGGAAGATAATGTAATCAAGAGAAGCGAGAAAGAATAGAGAAGAGAGGATGAAGATAGCTTTGGGGATTGATAAGCCGCCTGAGGCATCAATGGTTATCATTGGCCGCCATTCTTTTGCGGAGCCGCTCCAACTGACGTAGAGCTTCTTCTTCTGTTGCTTCACCTTCAACTACGAAGTACCACATCATTCACTATGAACACGGTAAGATATCCTATAGTCCTGGTGTATTGGCTTCAATACTAACTCAACTTTGTGACCAGATCAGATCCACCTGGTGAGCCGAAATTTCTCAATTTGCAGGATGAAACAAATCGTATGATCCAAATACTGATGTGGCTTTCATCATGACAGGATGGGCTGGGGCTCCCTCTGTGTTGGTAGGTGAACTCTAGATCCCTTCCCGGTCCAATAGAATAGCAACGTCTATGCCAGCCAGCGCATCGCAGAAAATAATCTAACCACTCCTCAGCCGGTGGCGGAGCATACTACTTTGCGAAGCAATCGATCAACGCCGACCGACAAGCCCGATTCGAAGCTGAACTCAAGCGCAAAGCCCAGATGAAGCAGATGGAAGAGGAGCACAAGCGACAAGCGCTTTTCACGCCCGACGACGCTAGCAAGCGAGTGAATATGGCACGATTCCAACACACTTCCGATGATGTCGCGTCGCCTAGCGTCGAAGCTTCCCATGACCCGGCGCCTACCCGTCACGAACCTATGAATGAGTCTGACCGTTTGCTGGAGAAGGGCAAATATGAGACTACGCAGCCGTACCGGCCTCCCAGCGGAAACCGATTCAGCTGAACGGCTGGCCAGCCACATTGTACATTGATACATTACCCACAAAATAGAGGTTCGGTGCCTGAGTTAAGTAAATGTGGAATTTCCTTGGACTCTACAGTCTATGTGCACTACTTTTTGGCTGCTCGATATAAGCATGTACATTACTCCGATTACTTCGAGCGAGTCATTTCAATAGATAGATTTGGACAGTCTTAGCTGTTTAGTCTTTCGCTCTTTGGCGACAATCGCGATGTAAAGATATCTTCGTTTCAGACTCATTCCCGCTTCCCAAGAATAAAAACCCCCCATGATAATCCTAACAAGCAAACGCCAAACCGAACTCCTTTGTAATGCATGACATTGGGCTTTAGTATCAGCGCCTGCACTGACACTCGTAGAACGAGTCAATATCTAGCGCGCATGAAAGCAAAGTGGGGGGTTCCTAAATATAAAAACCACGTTAGTCTTTTCTCCACTTCTAACTACTGACTGTACTTCACTTACTTTGCGCTAGTAGACATTCCCAGGCTGCGTTGTCGGGAGCTTTCTAGGGCCGGGGGCACAAATGGAAGAACTACACCGGACACGATGAATCCCATGGTGATGGCACGAGTAGCGCGAGAGTCAGGTCGAGGACGATGAGCCGAGAAGTGGCGGATAGAGGGACGAGCAACTGAGGAGAGGATGGCAGCCATGACGTTAGATAGAGGGTTGATATGGTACTTTGTAGTTTGTGGGATAAAAAGGTATGTTATTTTAAAACAATCTAATAGGGAACTACCAGGCAATATATATATTATATGAATGATAATCAAATGCAATGAAAAAGCGCGGTAAGTCAGGCCATGCAAAGACGCAAGTGATCCGTGTGGGGGCATATAGCGGGGGCGATATGGTCTGATCACTGATGTAAACACTCATCCGATACCAAATAATAGACTATTCCCACTAAATTGATTTAGACTGCAATGTACATTGGAACATGCATGACTATAGTATTTTCTATTGATCGGCATAAAATTACAGTCTCAAGTACTCTCATGGATTGGACTATCGGCACGAGCATACGCCATCGCGGGGTTTCAAGTCGTAAAATGTGTGGGGCGATGATCAATTTAGAGTCCAACGAGGTCGAAGGGAGTGTTCAGAGAACAATTTTGGGCTTCACCGCGTTAACTGCGGGAATAATTGCGGGAATGAAATTCCGGCGGAGCTCCAGAGAGGAGCAGCTTATAACCTGAGGACGGCTGATTGTTTCCGGAAGTCCCAACCGTAGGGTAGATCTTATTAGCGGGTGGCAATTTTGCTTTAGTGATTGATTTTCAGTCTAAAATATTGTACAGGTTGAAGATTTTATCATTTTAATATTTTAGATCAGCTTAGATATCAAGCTCCTCATAATTTGTGGTGAACATTGAACAAATTCGTTCATTCTCATACTCCGAACTGTGTATACAATACATAATGTACATATAGAACCAGGCGGTCAGTTCAAATATATAATTTTGCCCATCGAGTCACGTGCGATAATAGCTTCGATAACGGTAGAACATTAGTTATCACTCAAGGAACCTGGGACCCTTCTCCTCTCTCCTATATAGACAAGTCGTTCACGATGAGCCATCAAGTCGCTATTGCAAAGGCTTCATTCTCAGCGGGATTGTTAAATCCTGACCCTACCTCTGTGCCCCGAGATGAGATAACCGCCGGTCACACCTTCCTCGAACACGTACTGTCGCATTGCTCCCAGGCAAACATCCAGGTCTGAGCCGTTGTATTCTATTGCCTCTCACATCCCATGTACTAAACAAAATCATGCCATACAGAAATGCAAAGCATGGCTGCTCCAACATGTTGCTTCGTCATCTAATAGGGTAGGTGGTTTAGCCAAATACCTGGCTGCTCTGGCTGCCTCCGAACCATCACAACCTACTGGGTCCGACACCTCTCCGAAGCGTCGACGTCTCCACATACTTTATTTGATCAATGATCTATTGCACCACACAAAGTACCACCTTGGCACCACTGCAACCTTCTCCACGGTGAGCGGGTCCCTGCAGCTACACATTGCAGGATTGGTCGGCCATGCGGCAGCTTGTGATCGTCAAAAGAACCCCCGGCACCACCGGCGGCTAGATGATCTGCTAGATATCTGGTCCGAGCACGGATACTTTAATCCCGAACTTGTGGACAAGCTTCGGGAAGTGGTGACCAACTCGGCTTCCACGGGGGCCGCCCCACTCTCCAACGAGGCCGCCAATGCAGACGCCAAGAAGCCCGGGAAAGACATACCTTTTGTCGTGCCATCGACTCATGGAGACCCATCAACCCCTTTCTACGATATTCCAGCGGGCAATTTCATTCCCCATATTTTGCCCAGGTCGACATTGCCCCTCCAGCCCAACTCGGTCAAACCAATCCAACTTCTACCAGGTCCTGCAGATGGAAAACTAGTGCAAGTTCTCAAAGACTTTCTCAGCCATGTGGACAAGATTGGTGGTCCGGTCGACCTCAATGACGAGGATGCAGACATGGACGAGCTGGGTCAATCAATTGTTCGGGATGAAATTACAAAAGACATCCTCGAGGGCGAAACCTACTACGGATGGACCCGTGCATTCTGCCAGCAAATGAAGAAAGCTCCAGCGCGCTCTCGCAGTCCAAGCCAAGCTCGCAGTAGAAGCCCAACTAACTTCAAGCGCCGTCGTTACAGCGACAGCTCCTACAGCCCCGACACAAGATCCCCGAGTCGATCACGCTCACAAAAGCGCGATGTTCGTCGTCGCCACAATTCGCGATCAAGAAGCCGTTCTCCTGATCGCTCACGCGAAAGCTCGTACACGCCTCGAGAACCACACCCCTCTCATTTCCCTCCTCCTCATCAGCAACAACCCCAACAGCAGCCTCAATATCCCCTCGCACCAAACACCTTCCCCCCTCCCCACAACCCAAACGTCCAGGCCCATTATTCCCAGCCAATGGCTAATTCCGGATATCCTCCCCCACCCCTGCAGAACTACGGTTCTTGGCCCCCCCCACCCCCACACATGCCGGGTATGCCCTTCCCTCCACCTGGATCTAGTGTTCCCCAGTCAGCTTTCCCACCTCCTTATCAACCCCCGCAGGTGCCAATGCCACGAGAGCAAGGACATCCCATGCCTCCTGGCCGGCATCACTTCCCTCCACCTTATTCCGGAGGTCAAGCTGGTGGCGCCTGGGGTCCCCCGGCTGGTCAAGGTGGACGACCATGGCGATGATTTGCACGGTCAACTTTGTAAGATAAAATGGAATTGACAATCGGCTTGCGTTTCTCAACATATTGATGTGAAAGCGCTGTTGGTCTCAATGTTTATCATTGTACTTTTTTTTGTTGATAGGACTTCATCTAGAAGATATGCAAAAATAACAATAAAGAGGCATTAATGAACATCGCCAGACTTTCCAGTCCTGATATACCATATTACATCACAAAATAGACTTCTTAGAATGACGCAGATAGAGCTGAGATTCTACAAACCGCACACAAGATATGTCTAATCAGCCTTAACACTCTTCTTCTGCCCCTTGGCAGTGGTCCACCCCTTCGATTCCCAATATTTGACATTATCCTCTATCTTCTTATACGCCCACGTAAAAGGCGGGTCTATAAAGATAATCAATTAGCCACATCCATAGCTCGCCAGGGGGAGAGAAACTTACACAAGAACTGTCTCAAATCGTGCCTGTTGTCTTCAGGAGAGTACTGCTCAGCATGATAACTCGGCGTGATAACAGTCATCTTATGCCTATTAATGGAGTAATAGTAGAAGAAGTGTCTAGTCTTCTCATAGATCTCCCGCGGACTGTACTCATTACCCCAAAGGTGAAGCAACTTTTCGTACATAGAGTAAGGGCCCAGCTTAGACACCTTCCTCAGGTAGCCGAAGACACCCAACTGCGCATATGTAACGCCCATATCGGCCTCATCGGATTGGACATAGTCGTGTGTGATAGGCTCGAGCTCAGCTGTGGGCGTGGCGTGAATGAATTCCTCGAGGATAGGGAGGTCGAAGCTTTCACCGGACCAGGAGATGAACTTCTTGAGATCTACCTTGCTGATTGATCCGATGGGGTTGAGGTCGGCGGAGCTGGCGTCGTATTTTGTGAGGTATCCTCGTAGACATTCGTCGACGTTCGAGGAAGCGAGGACTAGAAGGCCGCCGCCTCCGGGGCGCTGGCGCACTGTCGGTAGTAGAGACGCGAATAGATATGAGAGCACCATTCGGAGACGGGCCTGTACGTTTTGTAGCGCGGCGTTTTCGGCTGGGGAGCCGCCGTGCATTTTGAATCGGGGTTGGAAGGTGGTGATCACGGTAAAGAGATTCATGATAGAGTTGACCACGGTGTCGAAATTGAAGTCAATGTGGTAAGAGCCGATGTCTACAGCCAGGCGAGTCGCTCTGTCTCGTGTTTCATGGCCTGAGTTTTGTGTGCCCATGTAGCTGGTGTGGAAAATGGCCCTAAAGCTATGTCAGTTCTGGCTCGATGAAGATGTGGGTGTCTAGGTAGAAGATAGACTTACTTGCAAATCTCCTGCGTCGTAGTAGGAAGCCAGTCTGAGTCTGCTGGCTGGGCACATAGGCGGCGAACATCTTTGATTACCTGCTTGTTGCCTTCTCGGACCGCTTTGAGCACCTCACGACACATAGAGTGGACGATTACAGCAGTGGCACAGCTATCAATGCCACCACTAAGAGGAAGGAAGAAGCCAGCGGCACCACATCTCCGAAGGTAGTCCCACAGCCAACAGGCGGGACCCAGAGCAATCTCTTCCTCGGGTGCATGGATGCGGGGCTTTATGGGCTGCGAAGTTGCAAGGCTAGGCTCGGCGTCCTCGTCCCGGCGAGAAAGTCTAATATCAAGATCGAGACGAACATAAGGTGATTGTTTGCTAGCCTGCATTCCGCGGCTTGCGCTACATCGGTAAGTTCGGACTTCCTCGATGTCGACTGTGGCGGTAACAACTTCCACGTCGTTTAGCGAGAATTGAGAGCCCTGAGCCACAATATCACCATTGACGACGATCATAGCACATCCATCGTAATAAAGGCGATCGCCGTCACAACCCTGCTGATTGGCATACAGATAAATACCACCGCTTAGTTTTGTCGCTTGAGTAATCAGATTGAGGCGAGTATCAAGTTTCCGTAGCTCGTGGTGACTACCAGATGAGTTGGATATAATTTCAACGCCTGCTAGACCGTACGGAATATGAGGACCGTTAGGAGTGAACAGCTCCTCACACGTCTCAAGACCTAGACACGTATCCCTCGTGCTGATGACAGCATCACCAAAAGGAACCTTGTATTGTCCAGTGACTTTTCCAACAATAGACTCTAGATAGTAGTCCTCAACCTCTTGCGGACGCTGCCAAGGGGTGAAGTGTCGGTGCTCGCGATAGTTGCCGTCATTAGCAAGCCACATCTTAGGTCTAATTAGGACGATTTTCCGGTTGTAGAAGATCACGCGACAGTTGTAGCGGACATTGCGATGACGGACTGGCAATCCAACGTCGACCACAATATCCTGGCAATCGGGGTGATCGATGATGCGGGCGAGCATCTCCCAAGAGTGTAGGAAGGTGTCACCTTCAAGGAAGCCGTCAAGAACGCCATATCCGGTAATTTCAAGCTCCGGTCCAACGCGCAGAGTGGCACCGGCAGCTTTAGCCTGTCGGATACTCTCAATAATGCGCTCTGCATTGCCTTCGAAGTCAAGAGCCCACTGGTTTAGAGAGCTAGAAAAGACGTCAGTGTGGGGGTTCTGGAGGATCTTGTCTACGGCAAACGACTTACCATGTTGCTAGAGTGACTAGGTGCCCCATGATGTCTGATATAAGCAACCTTCAAGCAATGACAGAGACAGAGACTAGTCCCATTCGTCCATAAGGAACAAAAGAAAAAGAAGGAAGCTGGTCACGTGTGGGGGGGAGCTTAATTTCCCCCGCTTCTTGTAATGAAAATACGATAAAATACTGTAATATTACCCCTTATCATGGTTATCGGCTGATCTCCGAGCGAGTACTGTGTAACCGACTGGTAAGTGCGTCCCGAGGTCGTCCGGCTGGCACCGCTGATTAATTGCCATCATGCCTTGGATTCAAACGGAATTCTATCTTTTAAATGTTAGAGATCTTGCGGATTCTTTGTGAAATAGACCATTGATATTGTTCCATTCTGTTGCTCGATACGAAAAATCTTCAGAATGACCCCGATCCCTCAGATTCCCACCCCGGCTCATACGCTCGCGGATTCCATGTTGTCTAGACACTTCGGCCGAGAGACTGTGAACTACTTCTCCAGTAAGGATTTCCAGGTGGTTTCAACTATCAAATAATATCCAACTAAGGCACAACAGGTTCTCCTATTAACCGCCTATCGTTTTTGCGTTCGGATCACCCATTCCTCTCAACAGCCCTAAAGCACCCCTCCGCCCGGTTTGTACTCTTGAACAACCTCGCACCGTTGACGACCCCGTCACCGGTACAATTACACTATGCCAAATATGACGAAATTCGAAGGCTCGTGCCTCAAGATACCTTTGACACGCCCGAGGAGGACATGCTCAAGAACTATGATTCGAGCAAGTCCCATGCGACCTTGATCTTCCTAGGATTGGACGAAAGTCGCAAGGAAGGAGGATTGGCATGGAAGATCTACCAAGGAACACCTTATTTCGCAGTCGACGTCACCCCTAAGGGCTCTGAAGAACAGCAGACTGCAGCAAAGGATGTTATTAGCACCATGGAGGCAAAGGGTCTGTCGTTCTTCCAAACACGAGTTCACATGTCTTTCTCCGCAGACGAAGGTACGATAATCAAAGCAAAAAAAAAAAAGCAAATGCTAATCCTGTAATAGCTGCAATCTATGCGCAGGCCCGCGCCCTGATGGACTGGAACACCCGCAACACATTCTGCGGAACATGCGGATGCCGCACCCTAGCAGTAAATGCTGGAACCAAGCGAGCCTGCCCACCTACCGATGCGGCCCGGACCGCCGAGGGCAAGACCGTCGAGCGACCAGAATGCAATACCCGGACTACACTCTCAAACCTTTCATTCCCGCGCACCGACCCGACGATCATCGTGGCAGTGGTCTCAGCAGATGGCAAGCGCATCCTACTCGGACGCTCTAAGCGATTCCCGCCAAGTTTGTATTCGACACTGGCTGGATTTATTGAGCCGGCTGAATCGGTGGAAGATGCTGTGCGCAGAGAGGTGTGGGAAGAAGCGGGTGTTACTTTGTCTCGTGTTGTTATCCACTCTTCTCAGCCGTGGCCTTATCCTGCCAATTTAATGATTGGTGCTCTTGCGCAGGTTAGTGATCCTGCCCACGAGACGATCTCTTTACTGCATGATCCTGAGTTGGAGGATGCGCGGTGGTTTGAGATTGAAGAGGTTGAGGAGGCGTTGCGCATTGGAACTGGTGATTTGGGCGCTCAGCCTGGTCCGGAGTATAAGGGTGGTTTGAGATTACCTCCTCCTACGGCCATTGCCAACCAATTGATAAAGGCTGCTATCAGCGCGGAGTATTTCGCCACAGAGAAGCAGTCTAAGATGTAAAGTCCTAGATATGTCTTATTATTACGCCTGTAAATATCGTTTACCATGGATATCATTTACCATGTCGATAGAGAATAGAGGGCTCTGTATAGCTGGGAGGGGATATTACATCAAACAAACTTGATTTGTACTGTGAATTGCGAGCTGGGCTCATACGAACCGCGACGGATGTTGATAGTATAAGACAACTTCAGATATTAGCGTATAACGTACCATCCCTCAGTTCATGAACACTGCTGTTCCGACTGTTCGGAGATCCGGCCTCGGTATAGCGTGTGCCATCCCGCAGCTCATGAATAGTGACTTGACGGTTGCTGCGTCGCTTGCGCCGTGAAGCTCGTTTAGAATTTGGGCTTCCCGATTCACTCGGCACCTCGCTATTAGGTGTGACATCGCGGTCAACGCTGTCCCTCTCGACAGACGCCTGAAGCATGTAATCCGCCACGCTAGCAGAACCGACTTCGGTGTACCACCGGCGCAGGCCTGATGCATAGGCACGTTCCTGTGAATCATATTCTACAGGAGGTCCGCTAATTTCGGCTTCTGGACCCGAGCCGTCGAAGACCGCCCAAGCGCTGGATTCAACACTGACAAGCATAAGGGCGTGTTCGAAGCTTCGAACCTTGAAGTCCCGTAGTAAAATCGCAGAGCCTTCAGCCAAAGATGGCATCGATGACTTGTAAGCCCGGAAGATCTGGGCATTGAGAGTTGTACCAGCCATGGAGGGATCGGTGAGTTGGATAGTCACGAACCAGTCTTTCGAGCCGGCTTTGGACCGAGCTATCGGCGATACTTCTTGGATAATCGAGATGGTATCCACTAGAGCGTTATAATGATCGACGAGTGTAGCAAGCGGGGCGAAGTACGAAAGTTTGCTGCGTAGCCCAGAGGCATGACGATCAGGAACCGGAGGTTGTACAAGCACTGATGGTGTTTGTGGAGTTTGAGTGCTGATCACAGCTTCCGGAATACCAAGAGGAGCAGTCACAGCATCGAAATATTTGTCTGTCCGGTCATCTAGCTGGGAAGCATCTTCCTCGCCCGATTCCGTGGATCCAAAGACAGGTAGAGGCTGAGATGTCGTGTCTACCTCTACAGGAGCCTCTTGACCCTCAATCGTGAATGTAGTTGCATGTTCGAGATCAGCGAAGCTGTCGAGAGTTGTGACTTCTTGTATGGGGTCTGGGGTCAAGGGTGGTTGTTCGAACTGAGGCTTGAAGGACGAGAGGTTGCCAAGGGGTTCGGGAGGTTGGAGGATGTGCTCTCCCACCAGTGAATCGGTACCGTCGATCTCAGCGGCAGGGGTGATGTGCGATTCAGCAGCTCCATCCAGATTGAAGTACATGGTGGCAGAACCAGAGTGTGATAAGTGCTCATGGTGGCTTTCAACTGAACCGGATCGATCTTGATGAGGAGTTTCGGCAGTGCCTGGAAGATTGGAATCATTGTTGTCTGAAACTTGCTCACCGGGGCTTTGAAAATCTACCGGCGACCCGATTCGAGCCTGGAGGTGGCTTTCTTCGTTGTCTGAGCGTTTCATGGAATCCATAGTTTCATCCTCATCCTGCTCAGAGATGACCTGTGACATTTCAAGTCGATCAAGCGGATCAGATGGGCCTTGGGTCGATTCATCATCCTTGTCACTGTCATGCGCTCGGGCATCCATGTCATAATGTTCGAGGTCCTTGCTCTCATCCTCCTCGCTCTCATCCTCCTCGCTTTGATCACCGTCAGATTCCTCTTCCGCAGATGTATAATCGCGCTGTTCTGGACCAACACCCCAGGGCCCTGCTTCTTCCTGCCTATCCGTTGTAAATTCGGCTGTAGGCAAAGGAATAGCCGAATCGGCGGATTCGGAGCGGTTTGACGAGCAATCTTCCGCTGGGGGCTGAGATGAGGATGTTGCTTGGGGTTTAGAAGCAGGCTCATCTTCACTGTCACTGTCTAATATGATGATCTCGTGAGGTTGAGCGGGCCGAGCCAACGAAGGGAAGTCCTGTTCCAGTTCGGAGTCATCGGCATCAGATTCATCAACACTAGACCCTTCTTGCCCTTGGAGGCCCTCTTCATCGTAGTCGTCCTGGGAGTCGTAATTATCCGCCGATTGCTCATCATACCCATCTTCCTCATTGATCATTTCCTCGTCTTCCTCGCTGTAGTCTTCACTATGCGAATGATCCAAAGTCCCGATGGCGCGCGATGAATCATCGATTTCATCTCCACTTTCGAGCTTCTCTCGCACATTTTCATGTGTTTGTATTTCCTCTTTCTCTCGTACACCCATCATCATTTCAAGGGCATGAATTGCATCCATGTCAAGATCGGCGGTAGGAGGTGCGTGATGAACTGACTCATTTATAGACACAGAGTCTTCTTTGACATTACGCTCATTCGCAAGCTGAACGGATTCCACATCGGGCCCAAGGTACGCTTCATGGCGGTCTGTAACAATATTTTCTTCAGATTGCACATCCACGTGCTGTATTTCATCTGCCGTTTCCCCGGCGCTGTTGATCTCAACATCGTCTTGGATGACACCAGTTTTATCATTGGCTTCAAAAGTATCAAGATGTTTATCCTTATCCTCTAGCAATGCATCGTTGTAGATCATAGCTTGGTTGCTGGGATCTTGGGAGAAATCTTGTTCATCGGTCGCTTGGGAAAAGTCGACCAATTCATCATTCCCACCTCAAGTGGATCATCCGGACCGGAGATCGATACTACATCGTCGCGCAAAGGATAACTAGCTTCAAAGACATATCCTTGCTCTGATTCAACATCTAGTCCAACAGGATCTGTCCGGTGGAAATCAATGGTTTGCGTCTCGGTTCCGAAAGTCTCGATGAATGATCGCGGAGGCGTTGCTGGCTCAGTAGAAAAGGATGTAGCCTTCTGGGCCTCCGCGGTTGCCGTCCACGATGAAAAATACTCAGTCGACCCGGCGTGATCGGATACGAGTGGCGAAGGAACCGGCAGCCCAGGAGAAGGAATGGGCCGGATTTGCGGTGTGTCCGTCGGAAGATGGAACTGTGCTTGATGGTAATCATGAGACAATGCTTTGTTTGCTTCTTCCGCGCGCCTTTCCAAGATGTGACCTGTGTGTTCGATAGAAGGCTTTGCGAATACCTGCGGTGGCTCCTTTGATAGCACATCCTCTGTGGATGCCGGTGCATCAGCAGCATCCTTCATTAGGTCGTCTATAGGCTCTTCCTCCGTTTCCACTTCGTCGAGCTCTTGGTCTAAAGCTTGTGCCCAATCCACAGGTCCTTCATTCTCATGAGGGCTATCCGGTTCAACTAATATCCGCCAGTCTTCTCTTTGTAGACTGTACCTGGCTTTTTTCCTTCCTTTCCCTGGGACAAACCCATCGTCTTGCACGAAAGGGTCGAGCACGGAGCGATTTGTGCCCCCGAACGAAGGCCGAGCGGGTTTAAGAAATGCAGGCGATTTCCACGAGCCTGTACTAGAAGCGAAATCATTTTCAAGGTTGGTTGACTTTCCACTGGGAGTTACAGGCGGCGCAAGTTCGACTTCTTGCACTGTCGCGTCTGTCGCGTGCTCAACATGTACTGTCAATGGATCTTGGGATGGCCGGCGGACCTGTTTATTTGAGATATAATTAGTTCCTGAATGACTAAATGCAATAAAATCAACCCGAGAGAGAATTACCTCCAGAAACACGCCCTTCTCGAAGTGTGCATCCCACGCGATCGACCTCCCCGACGCCGATTGATTGGGAATGAACTCGGAGCCATTCAACCCCAAACAGATGCTATCACCGATTCCTACATGTGACTTGGCGATCTTTTCTGCAGCGCGTCCATGAAATGTGACCTTAACTTGTCCGTTGGAGCTTCGAAGGCGGAAATCGGGCTCTGCTAACAGAAGGCAGAAAGTCTTTGTAGAAGATGAGTACGGCCATACAAGTGTTACCGCAGCAAGAATCGATTTTTCGGCCGGTTGCTCAAGGCCAGGAGATAGCTTATTGATCGGGACCTGGGTCAGTTCGCCCAGCGCATTCGGCGCGGGAGGCTGCTCGATCGCATCCATTACGGTGGTTTTTCCACGCCCGACTTCGGGTTCTGTCAAATTGTCCACATATCAAACAGTAAGAATAGTCGAGGTGGAATAAGAATGTAAAAGGCACGATCGGAGGAGAGCGCTGGGAAGCTGAAAAAGGAACTAAAGAGTATTTAGCGCAATAAAGAAGTTACAAGCTGCAGCTTTGTCCGGTCATGGTACAGTAATATTACGGTAATGAATCATCACTTATGGCGTAATTTTCGTATCACCAAAACCAACCTCATCTTGCATACATGCGATGCTCTCCAAACATAGAAAACAATGAAAGGAATCTTGCTGTTGTAATGTTGTATCCTTCATACTTTCTTATGGCTTCAATCTTGATTATAGTTTTCAGGATTGACTAAATCATCATGAGAATCTCTCGACGTCCTGATGTCCACACAAGTCCAAAAGGGACATATGTACACGCAGATCCACTATTGCGAGAGCTCTTGGCGCTTTCAGATGATGCCACTTTCCGTCGTATCAACTTGATCTCTCTTGGAATCACATCAAAATCCAGCATTGAAGAATGAAAATCACACACCCTGTTCGGCGAGTAGCTGTGATTGGCGCAGGGCCCTCTGGTCTTGCTGCAGTCAAGTAAGCGGGGTTGACTCGAGACCATAAACAAAGTGGCCGGCTGACCGATTTAGATATCTTTTCGCCGAAAACCATTTTGATCGAATTGATGTCTTTGAGCAAAGAAGCTCTGTGGGAGGAGTTTGGAACTACAGTCCAAGTACATCGAAAAACGGGCTGTCAACAGCTGTCCCGCATCTAAACCCCCATGAGCCAGTGGAGAAGCCGATATGGCGGACTATAGACCAGAATGAAGTCAAACGGGAGGCAACCTTCATTTCTCCGCTATATGATCGTTTGGAAACCAATATCCCGAAAGAGCTGATGCGTTATTCGGATCAAGCATGGCCAGCAGATGCACAACTCTTCCCTAAGCATGCAACGGTGAAACAATACCTCGAAGACTATGCTGAAGACATCAAGAGTCACATTCAGTTTGAGACTCAAGTTCTGGACGTGAAGCTCCAGGATGCAGCTCTAAGTACCTGGAATATTACAACCCGGGACCTTCAAACCGGAATGGACACAATTGGCACTTATGATGCTGTGGTAGTTGCAAGTGGTCACTTCAACGTCCCTTATGTTCCAGACATTACAGGAATAAAAGACTGGGATGCATTTTATCCTGGGGCGATATCTCATTCCAAATTTTACGACTCCCCAGAACAGTTTGAAGGGAAGAAAGTGGTCGTGGTGGGAAGTTCTGCTTCCGGCCTTGACATTGGCGCCCAGATCAACGAATATAGCAAAGGCAGTTTGATAGTCTCTCAACGATCAGAATCTTTGATGGCTGCACCCTCAACAGACGGTAAAATCATATGCCCGGAGATCGTTGAGTTCCTTCCTCCAGTAACTTATGACAGAGGTATACGGTTTGCAGATGGCCGTATTGAGGAACATGTGGCTGCCGTCGTTTTTTGTACTGGATATTTCTATTCATATCCTTTCTTGTCGTCACTCAGCCCACCGGCCGTGACACACGGATGGAGAACGATGAACGTCTACCAGCAATTGTTCTACATAGAACACCCCACGCTCGTGTTTCCTGTGCTCTCGCAGCGGGTAATCCCATTCGCTATGGCAGAGAATCATGCTGCTGTCTTCTCTCGTGTTTGGTCGGCTCGACTCACACTTCCATCAAAGGACGAGATGAAAGCATGGGAAATTGCCGAAATTGAGGCCAAAGGAGATGGAAAACAATTTCACTTGCTTCCATATCCCATGGATGCAGATTATCTCAATTTTCTATATCACTGGGCAGCAAGGGCCACACCGAGACCTGGATTGTCTAAAAACGGGCAAGGTAAACTTGGTACTTGGTGGGGTGAGCGGGAAAGGTGGATGCGAGCCCTTTTCCCGGATATTCGGCGCGCGTTTGTACAGCGAGGCAATGAACGGAGCGAAATCAAGACTTTAGCAGAACTTGGGTTTGTTTTTGAAGAGTGGAAAGAACAAGAGAAACTTTGATGATACTATAGGCTCTTTTGTTTTATTAGACATGAATGACCTTAGACTCAAATAGAAACAAGATGCCAACGTTGAATACCAGCTACAGATTTACACACGTACAATGCATATAATCAAGCTAAAACATAAAATGACAGCACCACAAAGAATAACAATAATAGGTGTCACAAATCGCAAGCATCCAGCCAGACACTTTTCATAGATAAACCCTCCGAAATCTACAGATTCTACGGAGTATACCTCGGAAGTATCCCCAGGCCGATAGATCTACTGATAAGCGTCACGTGAAACAGATACGCCGTTCGTCCGTTTCGCGCCGTTCATTTACTCTCTTTCATATACCTCACTTGACTTGGGATATTGGATGTCTCGCAGATTTGGACATTGTAAGTGCCCTAGGTCAATGAAGCTCATATGAGCTGCGAAGTATTGAATCTACGCTTTCTTATCCCTATTATGCCATTGAACGTCCCCACACGATTTGCCCGCACATGAAGCTCCAACCTGACATGCCGAAACATGATATTCTCTACAGAAAACGTACTGATTGTCCTACAGCTTCACCTATCAATATAAGCGATAGAAGCGATCCCAGCGATTCCAGCGATATAAGTGATTTAGACGACCAAGAGTGGCCTATAAAGTGTATCCTCCGCGAAACAGATACAGAATATCTTATTGATTGGGAGGGACCATACGAGCCAACTTGGGTGAGTCGTAATACTTAATTGGCTCCTAATGCGCAGAAGATTTGCATGCAGAGCTTTAACTAATAAGAGAGCGCTGTCTTGTTCATCTAGGAACCTAAAAAGAACGCAAGTGAACTTGCTGTGCAGGTCTGGAACAAGCGTAAAGCCCATTACCCACAGTTTCTCAATCGGGAAACAATACGTGTGCAATCGCCCAGTGTCATCGCAGAGTCTTCTTCTCTCCCTGAAACAGACGACGGCCATCACATCCCCTTTAAACACGACGCCGATCAGGGCGAAAGTGGGTCAACCACCCACTCGACATTATCTGTGCAGCAAGACAGTCTTTCAGAGATCTTGGAGAGTCTTCAATCTCAGTACATTGAGCTCTCAACCCAACTCGCCGAGACTCTCTCTCAGCACGCGTCTTCCCATCGCTCTCCACCTCAGGCGGCTGTATCTGACAGCTCCCACTGGTACACAGGGACATCGGTCTTTGAATACATCCCCGAGTCATCCATTCCCTCGAAACAATTGTTACCAGGTGAGTGGGACGGAAACACTGTGCTTGACACGTTGCAATCTAGTAGCTTGCAGTGCCCCCCAAGTGTTGATTCAAAACACTTTAGCGTTTCCGAATCTCTCATTGGACTCTCGCCGCATCAGCAGCACTCTGCAGAATCCCAAATTATTCCTGGGATAGCTCACCCGAAGACACCTTGCCTCAACCCAACTTACAAAACATACGAAGTCGCAGAGACACCAGCCCAGCTACCATTTTACGGAAGTGGGCGTTTTTGTTTTGAGTCGAACCCCCGTGATAATCCTCAAACCCACGGCAAATTGTGGCCACAGCATACTCCCCCTCCTGGTTCTACAATTCCAGGTATGGCTACACCCCTCAATCTCGTTTACCACGCTTACACGTCCCTAGAATCCAGCTCCACCAAACCTGCTTCCTGGGGCTCAATCCCAGAGACAACCTTCCCAATCTCGTCACAGCGCTCAGAAAATCTGAGCGCTGAAGATTTGATTCAACCAATGCTTCCACCGTCGAGTCTGATTGAACCAACACCACCTACCAAAATGGAAGGCAACGAAAGAAAGCCTTCAGATTCTGCTCCCTCGGATACCAACTCTGACCGATATGGTGATCTACCAAATTCTACCCCAAGGGAAAAGCTTCGCAACGCTTGGGCCCAGCTTGGCTCAGAAATCCAAGGCAATACCGTCGAAACTCCATCTTCGGTGGGCGATATTGAAGCTTCTGCACCTGTATCTGTCCACGAAATCGCGGCTCCCCTCAGCGTGAGAACCGATGTAGATTCTTTCCCCCATTCTCACACCACAGTTCACCACAGTCACTCTGAGCCTTTGCTACCTGCCTCAGAACTAGCCCACGGGGGCCATATCTCTCATTCCACAATGGAAACGATTCAGCCAAGTGCATTGACAGTCACCGGCATGGATGTGACTGTCCCTGGATCAATCAATCTTGGGACATCCGAATTCGCTGTCACTCTTCCAATGGATTCTCGGGTGAAGGACGACTACGAACGCGTGCTATCGGATGCAGCCACCAAGATACGACAATTTTTCAACAGTTTTCAGCTGAATGTTCAAATTTCTGGTTCTGAGGTGAGTACAATGTGTTAATCGAATGCTAATTGTGTATCTAACATTTTTTGAACAGCGAGAAGAGCTGTATTCAAACATGCGTGAGGTTATTGTTCGACTGAACAATGTCTCAACTCACCCAGATTTAAACATTTCCGATCACCTCAAAGGGGCTGAATCTGATCTTGCGAAAGAGGCATCTTGGGCCGAATATTCAAGCGCCAAGTTTCTTTTTCTCGGAAATCTCATAGAGCTCGTGGGTACTAATGAGCTTCATTTGATCATTGCCGTCGGAAATGAGGAAAAGCAGAAAGTCCTAGAGCGTTATCTGCAAGGCAAGGGTTTCGTATACACAAAACCGCGGGAAGAAATGGGCAGTGCGATTGAAGTTTCTCTCGCAAAGGGCTCGCTCAGCTTTGGAATTCATTCCAGTGAGAGTGCCCGTGAACTGTTCAAGCCGCCAGCCGCTATTTTTGCATTGGACTCGTCCTTCAGCTCCAAAAGCCCTTCCATGCAGCACATTCGAACCACCTATGCCCGAAGCGGAAACCTGCTTCCTGTCATTTGGTTTTTTGTTGCCAATACCGCTGAACACATTGAATGTTGTTTGCCCGACACACCTGAACCAGAACGATTGCATTTACTTGTTCACTACATTGCTCGTTTTCATGATGAGGTCGGTGACCTCCAGGATGATGCACTTGGGGTGCACGAAGATGCTGAGGAGATTCTCAACTACCTCTTGGACGGCGTTATTGGATGGCCACTGCCTACTATTGAACCGCTGAACCTGGTCTCCATCGAAGAGTTGGAAGTAGCGAATGACTCTTCATCTGATGACGTGCCAACACAAGCCGCTAAAAGGGCATTGGACGACGACCACGATGATTATTCGTCAAAGCGCGCACGAGTCGATAATCAAGAAAACAGTCAATTGACCGAATCTACGAAGCCTTCTAGTCAAACGCTAGATCGTGATTTACAGTCGCTGGAAGAAAACCTTGTTCAGATGAAAGCCATACATGCAGCCGAAAAGGAAGAGTTGCAGGCCAAGCTTGCTCAGGCCAATTCTAGATGGAGCGAATTAGAGAAGGCATTGGGGACTTTACAGCATCGCTACGAGAGCCGGACCAACGAATTGCACAAAGTCCGCCAAGAGCGCGATCGTTTGGCCGAAAACGAAATATCTATCAAAGAGCGTGCCGAGAAAAATATCAATACCATTGCTAAACTGAAAGAAGAGCGAGAACAGTTGGAAGGTCAACTCGAAGAAGTCAGAAAAGCCATCAAAGATGGCGGCGGTAGCCCTGCCGAAATTGAGACGTTGCGCGAAGAAATTCGCCGCTTGGGCGAGAATAACTCAATTCTTGAGCACAAGGCGAAGTATCATGAAAACCAAGCCGAATACCTCCGAGACCGATACCAAGAGGCATCTACAACGGCTGCTCAGTCCGGCACAGAAAATCGTCGATTGACGATTGAAAATGAGGAATTGAAGCGTCAAGCTGAAGGCAACATGATTAGACTCCACGAGATCAACACGCAAGACACATCATCTCGCCATGTTGCTCGAATTGAAGAGTTGGAGATCACTCTCGCGTCGCGCGATGAATTCCTTCGCAAAAAGGAGGACGAATTACGCGAAATCCGTAAAAATCGGCCATCTACCCGCTCAACCAGCACCCAGCCACGAAGCCCTAAATGGACCGGTAGCCGCCCAACTAGTCCTGGAGTTGGCCACAATGGCAACGGCAACGGCAACGGCGGTATTCCCGGCAGAGCCAGTGCTCTGCGATACAGTTCAGAGATGCGATTCTAGGCATCAAATCTCCACATTTCAACCTTCCTGCGATCGACAGATCGATCCACACTTGTTTTTTTCATGTCCTAACAAATCTATGACGTTTAGACACGAGACATAGGCTGGAAATCTGTTCTTTGCAGTACATTTTTAGTAATACTGGCTGAGACTTTGTTCCTTTTACTCTCGTTACGACATCGCATCTTCCTGGCGTTTCATTCACTGCTTTCCATTCACAATGAGCGATTTTCGATTCGCAAGAGCACCCTGAGCTTCATATGCAACATACCATCTTAAGCTTTGCCGTTTTTCTTGGCAAGTGTCAGTGCTAGATTCAATACTGTTTCATGTAGTTCTCCCACTTTTGTAGCTTGAATGACAAATAATTGTTAACTTTCTTTCTCACTATGTTTTATACACGTAGACATATTTGATTCAAGAGTCATGTCTTTGAATTAAGCAGCCAAATAATTGCTGTTTTAAGAAATGAAGCTGTGAATGTTAAAAGATCAATTTGAATTTCGTGTTCGGTAATTAAAATATAGCCTAAAAGATGGGGGAGTCCGCAAAATGATGTATACATTGAAGTAGTAACCTTGCAAGACAAGGAGATATTTTTGTACTGGAGAACAGTGAGCACAAATGAGAACAAATGAGAGAAAAAATAAAAATGTTGTCAAAGAGCAAAATCAAGATCCGGAACTCCTGGAAATATACCATTCCCCAGAATGCAGTGCGGTTACGCCGAAGCCATGGAGCTAGCAATAAATGAAGCCAATTCCTTCGCCTTCTCGCCGCGAGTCATGGTAAAGTGATTGGCACCCTCCATTACGGTGATACCACCGACATGCTCCGGGCCAACGAGAGTGTCCCAGCCGTTCGGTCCAAGATCAGTGCGATTGTTCAACAACCACAGCATCTCTCGGGGGTCCGCACTGCCATCAGCAGCAGGTGCAGGACGGGCATCGCCGGGCTTGGAGCAGACACCATCCTTAGCCCAGACCATGAAGGTCTTGGGAAGCTTATCAGCTAGTTTGGGGTCCGAGTAGGGGAATGGCACCGCCTTGTAAGCGTCCAGGGAGTCGATGAAAGCCAAGAAGTGAGGAAGCAACCACTTTGGTGGAGGCGCCTTACCCTCTCCAAACAGCCCAATCGTGTCGAAGAAGCTGTACAGACGAGGGGGCAGTTTCTCCAGTCCAATGGGGAACGGCGAGTCCAAGAGAAGCAGACGCTCGACCCGTTCGCCCTCTTCGAAGATCAGTTGACGAGCAGCATCATAGGCGCAGATACCGCCAGCAGACCAGCCACCGAAATTGTAAGGACCGGTGGGCTGGCGACGGCGGATTTCAGCAACATAAGGAGCTGTCAACTCGTCCAGGCTGAACTTCAGGTTCTCGGGTGTGCGCATATACGGACAATTGAGTCCGTAGACGCAGACATCAGGAGATACACCAGGGATAGTAGCGTACGAGGTAGCAGAGCCTGATCCGTCGGGGAACAAAAACAGCTTTTGAGTCGCTGTCTTCGGGTTGCCCTGTAGGAGAATGGAAGTAGCCGGTGGGTGCTGAATGGCAGTGTGGGGGGTGGCAGTCGGGGTTTGAACGGGTATTTGCTCGGGGAACCTGATTGGTTCCGCGGGAGCGGGCTTGGGCTTCAGATCTAGAGTTTTCTCAATGTCATCGAGGGTTTGGTTCTCGATGAAGAATTCTCCTGGGAGATCCAGATCCAGATCCTCACGGATCTTACCAAGTACAGTGAGGGACATCAAGGAGTCCAGACCCATCTCACCGAGATTAGCATCACCGTCGAGCTCCTCGGGCTTAACGCCAATCTCCTCGGCCAAAATTGAAGTAATCTGCTTCATGGTGTCGTTCTGCACCTGGGCACCGTGTGTCATTGACTTCTCGTTAGCAGGGGTCGGAAGACCGCTGGAGTTTGGAGAGGAGATATCTGTCGAAGATGCAGCAGAGGACACGTCGCCTTCGCTGCTTGATTCATCGGTGCTTTCAGCAGGGCCCATCTGAGCCAGGAGACGCTTGAAATCTTTGACAGTTGGGTGATCCACGAAGACAGATGAATCAAGATCGAGATCCATATCCTCGCGGTATCGGCCTGTAACAGTTAGGGAGAGAAGAGAGTCAACTCCATAGTCGGCGAAGTTTAGATCGTCGGTCATTTCAGATGCTGACAGTCCAACCTCTTGGGCAAGTATTGTAAGAGCACGCGAAGCGAGACTGGGCCCAGAAGACTTGGGTGTAGATGCAGCCTTCTTCGCGGGACCTGTCTTGGTCTTTTGAACATTGATGGGAGCAGGGGCACGCTTGGCTGCTGGCTTTGGGGCAGGAGCTCCGCCGGGAGGAAGAGCCATATCCAGGATCTTGCGTGCCAGTGCTTGGAACTGTATCGAAGTTTGTCAGTGAATTGATTGAAGACAGTTAGAATGTTTTGTGGACATACCTTGACACCACCATACACAGCAACGATGTCGTCGCCCTCAAACATGTAGACATCACCTGCCCAGATGGAGTCCTTCCAAGGCTGCATTCTCACGTATGTCCGGTAAGTGATACTGGGGTCGAACTTTTTCAGACAGCGCATCGAGTCCCAGCCATGGTTGACAAAGACTTGGTTCTTAGAGTCTGTGTTATCGCTGGCATTCATGATGAAGCCTGACAAGTGACCAATGCTGTCGATCCAGAATGGGTTGCGATGGAAGTTGCCCGGGGGGGCCTCAAATTTAACGAGAGCAGTAGCCTCGTGCTGTTCACTGTCAAGAATGACCTCTCGCATCGATTTGTAATTTTCGTCATAGTCAACAAGAGAAGCAAAGAGCTTGTAGACCATTCCTCGCTTCATACGGTGAGCTTGGCCAGAAATTGTGCTTTCTTGCAAATGCTCGATACTTCTCTTGATGAGATAAGCGCTGCGCTTCCACTCAATCTCATAGTTCCCGGGCTCAAAGAACTTGACTGTGCAGTTGGCATGGTCGAGAATTTTCTTGCCCTCCGGAGTCACAGACCAAACTTGTACCTTGGCGGTTTCTTCGGCCCAATTTGCTATGGCTGAAACTCGGAAGAGTTGTTTGCCGCCCTTCGCAATGAGAGGCTTTGGAACTGTCATATTGCAAACATCAAACCCGCGATCCTTCCACTCGGGCTTGTAGTTCTGAACAAGGTATTCACCAAGTGTCTGCGCAATATCGGCATACAAAGACTATTTATTGATTAGCACTCAAAGGTTTGATTCAAAAGCTTGGGATAATGCATACCGATGGGGTGAGACAGGCACCGTTGACCTTGTGGCCTGCGATGACGCGGTTGAGATCAGGATCAGCGATGTCATTCTCAATGACGATCATTGCCGATGAGCTGTCACCAGTTGTTTCCAAAACTTTCTGAGCTGCCGATGATAAGAAAGTCGAGATCGGGGCCGCTTCAACCACAGGCACAGCCGGTGCACCCTTGAGAAGGCAGAAGTTGTTAGTATAAGGGATCCAATAGTTTTTAAGGTCCCACTTGTAAGAGGGCAGTGGAAGAACTTTGTGGCCAGCGGTGAAATCCTGGTGGTACTCCTTCCAGCGGAGGTCAATTCCAGCCAGATAAAGAGCCGAAAGACTGTTGGACAGAACCTTCCAGGTGTCTTCTTGGCGACGGAGAGATGCCACGGTGTTGGCTTGGGGGCCGAAGGTTGCCTTGACCATTCCAGAGCAGACAGTATGCGAACCAACCTCAACCCAGAGAGTCTTATCGTTCATGAGATTGGAGTGGCGCGTAGCTTCCAGGGCTCCCAAGAAATTGACAGTCTCCCGGCAGTGTCGAGTCAGGTAGTTGGGGCCAAGCAGATTGCTGTTGCCCTCCTTGATGACATCACCGAGAAGAGCAGACACGAAAGGAATGGATGGCTCGTTGAAAGTGATACCCTTTGCAATCTCGGATAGACCATCAAGGATAGGCTCAACCTGAGCGGAATGGAAGGCGAAAGGCACCTTCAGCTTGGTAGCCTTGAATCCTTCGTTTGAAAGAGTCTGCGCAAGCTGATCGATCTTCTCACTGGTACCACTGATAACAGTCTCGCTAGGAGCATTGATACAAGCTACCTCGGTAGTGTTATCAAGGAACTGCTTCACTTGTGCCACTGAAGACTTGACTGCAAGCATTGCATGCGTTCCAATTTTGCATTGCTCAGTGAGAATCTGTGCACGGCGTCCAGCGAGATAGATAGTATCACTGGTGCTCAAAATTCCTGCGGCATTCATGGCAGCATACTCGCCGAGGCTGTGGCCGAGAACAAAGGTAGGGGTCACACCCAGAGAGACCCAGTACTTCGTCAATGCCATCTGCACACAGGTGGTTCCAAGTTGAGTAACAACTGGGCTGTGCTCTTCGATCGGGACGCTCCCATCAACTAAAGAGATAATAGATGGGAAGCCCTGACTCTGGCCAATACGATCAAAGTGCTCGATATCAGTGCGGAATTGCAAGCAGCTCTCGAACAACTGACGACCCATGCCGGTATATTGAGCACCCTGCCCAGTGAATACAAAGCCAATCCCAGGGGCGGTAGCGGGTGCCGGAGAGATACTGTCACGGTTGACGATTGGAGCCAATGCGCTCCTGACTTCATCAAGAGTAGATCCAGTAACAGCCACTCTGAATGGGTGGTGAATGCGTCTAGCTGTTGTGGTGTATGACAGGTTGGCTAAGAGACTTGATTCGTTGAGATTGAACAAGTTCTTGTTTGTGTCAATGTATTGGACGAGAGCAGAAATGTTGTTCTTCAAGGCAGTTTGGGACCGAGCAGAGACAAGCACGGCATGAGTAGATCGGGAGTCTTCAACATTCTCTTCGTCAAGAGGGCCATCCTCGATCAATAGAGCAGTGTTACCGCCGGCAGCTGAGAAATTGTTGACAAAGGTCTTTCGCTTGCCGCCATTGGGTCTGTTCCAGGGAGTTGGCTCCATGGCAATGTGGACATTACGCTGGGGGAAGTCTGTTGGGAAGTTGTGGTTGATTTTGGTCTTGATACCACAGTGAGGAGGAATCATATTCTTTCGCATCATCATTAACACCTTGATCAATGCTGTGACGCCCGATGCAGACTCTCCGTGGCCGACATTTGCCTTGGCCGATCCAAGGTGAAGAGATTGGGTGGGTCCACGACGGTAGTCGGGAGCAAAGACGTCAAGGACTGACTGCATTTCGACTGCATCGCCTGCTTGGGTACCAGTTCCGTGCATTTCGATGTAGCTAACCTCCTTTGGGTCACTGTTGGACTCATTCAGAAGCTTGTCAAAGATAAAGGACTGCGCCCCAACGTGAGGCCGAGTGATTGAAACAGCCTCTGCCGAGTGGTTGGTATAAGCTCCATCAATGATGCCGTAAATTGGGTCGTTGTCGGCTTGAGCATCCTCCAGTCTCTTCAGGACGATGGATCCGATTCCATCCGCTCTGCAATATCCATCAGCACCGTCATCGAATGTGGTGCAGTTACCGGTCCTGGAAAGGAAATGGCCACGGTCGAGACCAGCATGGTTGTCAGGGTTGGTCAGGATGTTGACACCGCCAGCAACGGCCGAGTCACAGTCGTTTTTCCACAGCGAGTTACAAGCAACATGAATTGCCGCAAGGCTTGAGGAGCACGCTGTATCAACACTAACACTGGGTCCGCTGAACTTGAAGTAGTAGTTGATGCGACCAGGAGTAAAAGCACGGTTGCCACCGGGAATGAAGTAGGTATCAATGTCCTGGCCACTGTTGATCTCACGATAGTCATCACTGGTCATTCCATAAAATACACCAACCCGGTTCTTCTGCGTAGAGGGAGTACTGTTGGGGATGAATCCTGCCATTTCTAAAGCTTCGTAAGCAGTAAGAAGGGCCAGTCGCTGAGCGGGATCTGCCTGGAGTGCTTCACGGGGAGACATATTGAAGAACCGAGGATCAAACATTCCGGCATCATTGTACCAGCATCCGTATTGAACCTGACTGGTGTTTCTGATCTTTCCTTCCATGTCGACATGGGCCTTCACATCCCATCGCTCTGGAGGGACTTCACGGTGAACGTCAAGCCCCTTCTTCAAAAGATCCCAGAAGGCTTCGGTGTCGGGTGCCTCAGGGAATCGTCCAGAGAGACCAATGATTGCAATTTTGGACTGCTCAGAGCGGCCAGTACGGTTGCCGCTTTCGGAATCATCTTGGACATCGCCAATTGTGCTGTCGACTTCAAGATTCGAAATTCCAAATTTTTTTCATTGAGCTGAATAGACTCTGAGTCGCAGTGCTGGATATTGGGAGCAGAGTACAGTTTGTGGCGGACTCCAAAATTGAGTAGCAAGATTCAATGACCTTATCCCAGCAAAGCTGTCGTTGCAAGATCTCCTCAAGAGAAGCTCTCAACAACTGCTCAAGGCTCTCAGCTTGGACATTCTTACCAGTCTCGCTTGAAAGTACCGGAATTTGAGGCACGTATTTTCCGAACTCTTCCTTGGGCCAAGACTCCATGATACGGCTGACATCCTTATCATCATAAAGATGCGATGCATGGTATGGACCATGGATGGGTACTCTGGTAGGCTTGTGTTCCTTTGACAAGCTGGTCTCAATGAAGCGGCTAAGGAAAGTTGGGGGACCACTGATGGTAAGTCCGTTAGGGCTCACCGCGCTGATATAGGGCTGTGAAACACGAGGCAGAACCTAAGAAAAGTTAGTCCCGGAGGTTTCTCAAATGCTTTGGGAAAGACACTCACATTTTTCTTCGCGTATTGTTGAATCAGCTCCTGGGCTTCGGATTCTCGCATGCCATAAACCAGTACAGACCAGCTTGAGACTGATTTGCTTGATTCTACAAGCTCTTGTATTTTAAAAACGCAGAGTCCGAGTCTCAGAGCAAGAACTACGGTCTGAACACCGGCCGGGATAAGTTCTCCCACCGTTTTCGAGGAGCTAACCGCAGCAGATGCAAGTTGACCAGTGCAAAGCCCGATGATAAAGTGCTCCTTACCAGACGGGTAGGTATGACCTAAATCACCATAGTAACTGTTTTCTTAACGTCAGCAAATGCAGTTCTCAAAGTTCTTGTATACAAAGACATGGTCGGTCTTACTGGATAAAACTTCCAAGTTGATAAATTGTCGTCAATGCACTCTCTAACGCTGGGTTTGGCCCCGACTCGCGATATCTAGCGAGAAGATCGATAATGCTGGTAAAGCGAGGGAATCTCTGCCGTTCAGATGGCGGCAGAGAGGTAATCTCTTTGCGTAATGCATAGTAACACTTTTGGAAAAACGCTACCAGCAGGGAGTCATTCTTGGCATGCAACAGGCGGCGAAGGCCCGAGTCGAAATCCGCAGTCTGGTCTCCAAAGAGATACACACGACTGGGACCTTCCATAATCAACCCTGACGCCAATTGAATATTTCGAGATTATACGAGTAAAGGAGAAAAAGGTTTCAGTTCTAGCGCGAATTGACGGGTATCATACTTTATACGTAACTACGGCTGTTTTCCCCATTTAGTGGGTCAGATTGCAATCGGGATGGACTGCAAGGCTACAAGATATCTTGGCAATTTCTGGACGGAAACATGTAAAAAAGAAAAATCTTGTTTTTCCCTCGTCGATCGGTATTCCGTGTACGGCTACTGGAGTGAGACACTGGGAAACCGAGTTCTTACAATTAGTTTCCCGGTGTACTGTGTAATATTTCATTTTCTGTAGTACTCGGTCCGATGGATATAGATTCTTTCTGACATCGACCAATGGCACCGTTACTGCAGTGAGATCCATAACGCCTTCTAGGCAGTATCTTGCTTACCTGAGTAGAGTCTAGGTGGGGAGATGTGAACTGGACCGGCAGCATGGTTCCTTGGATAATCCGATTGGACCCTGAAATTTAGGTATGAAAAACTACAGGTACGGCAAACCGATGAAATTCACGTTGCCCGAGCGCTGTTTGCGGACAAGACTTGTGTGGACAACAGAAATCAAGGTTTGAAGTTTGTTCACTGGGTCATCCATGACACATGTCTCAGATACAAACGTGTACCCTTCCGGAAATGGTACTTGTAAGAATTAATATCACCAATAAGTTGCAATTTAGTAATGATGTTGACGCTTTCAGAAGGTTACAGCCGCTGCATCCTCTAGTCACGTGATGTTCTTGCCCTACGTGGCCGGGCCACTCGTACCTATGGCACATCCAAACGCTTGATGAGCTTTCAAATACGAGGAAAAGCCTCAGAATAGGTTCCTAATCTCACTAAAATCTTTATTTGGTCTGTTAGAGCTACGAAGAAATAAATTGAACCCAAACAAATCCAACTCACAGCAGTTAGCGAACCGACCATCGGAATTAGGAATGCTAGATCGGAATGTGACTAAAGACAAATTCAAGCAAACGGTTCGTAGATCCCTATAGAACTAAGTAACAGAATGTAGATCCTTTGAAGGCATCATCATAATATCTCCCATACGTCATGACTTGGGCTTTGGTGCCCAGGTGTAATAATTTCTGGAACTTTAGCTACAACCATTTCACCATCTAGAATAAAGGCGTGATATGAGAGGACCTGTAACCTATTCTAAGGTAGTATTTGGACATGCAAAGTTTTGTTGGAAAAATAAATTACATCCTCAGACCCGGGTTTGAGGAATATATATTACCCCAAACGTGGTTTAAACATTGTGCATAGTATATCATTGGTAGACAGCATATTTGGGAAACATATAATGCAAAAACAAGCCACCTTAGAGCTCATATAATTACTGTTTTCCCAATGAATATCACAGAGTATGCACATGGATCTCCAGACGATCTCCTGAGGGCAAACAAGAGTTGCTGTGAAGAAGTTGATCAAGGAGGGTCATTAGCGGCGACGGACTGCATCCCCTCGACGAAGACCTGCGAACAAATCTGCTTATGGCAATGTAATCAACCTTTTGAATTGAGGGGAAATAATTGATTGGAATTCTAGCTATTATGGCCGCTGATTCTATGCAAGACCAGAATCAGCTCACAAAGCCGGGAATATTAGTGCAAGTTTGACGCAAAATACAAGTTTCGTCTACCACTTCTGACTTTGGTAGTTTTGATCAAAAGGCGGAGCGGATCGCTAGCTTTCTCTAGCGGACCTGCGCCTGTGATAGCAGTGCTCAATAGCATCATTGGCCGCCTTCTCTCCAAAATAGGGCTTCTACTGCTTTGCAGGCGATATCCCAACAGGCATTTCTGGAGCCGCAGACCAAGTATTCCTTCCGGCAGAAATAGGGATATAAATGAGAGGCTCGAGTGGCGATGAGTCAATATCCTGAGTATCATCCTCGTCTTGGTCAAGGGGTCCGGCCTGAATACCTGGGCTCTGGTCTTCTCCGGCTGGCACTTGAGGCCACACATCAACACCATCGAGGATAGCAATGGCCATTCCATTCGACATATGCGTTTCGATATGGCAGTGGAATAGGAACGGGCCCGGGTTAACAACCTGGTACCGCACAATCATCCATGTTGGACCGGTCGGGCCATTTGTAACAAAGGTATCTCTCATTTGAGGGTTTTCCATTTGGAAAAACTCGGGGTGCTCAGCGTAAGCCTCCTCAGTGCTAGACCAACTGAAAAAGCCAGGACCGACACCCAGAATGAAAGCTTTGTTGGAGTGCTTGTGCATGACATGAGGGGCTTGTATGGCAGGAGTGTTAGGCATTTCACCAAGCTGTAGCAACAAATCAACCCATGTACCATTCTTGGTCTGAATGGTAGTACGGGGATCCAAATTGTTCTTTGCGTTGATGTCATAGAGAATTGGGTCATCCCAGTTGGCCATCATGTCAAACAAGCCACCCCCTGAAGTAGTCCAAGTGTAGGCCGAGCCTGTACGCCCGATTGTCAGATTGACTAGTTGATCGGCAGTCTGAGGGATGGTGACAGCAGGGTAAGGCTTGATGGCCCTGTTGTCCAAGGGAATAACGGAAGTGGAGGTATTCCTGCCACCATAGTCCACGTAAGGATTAGATGGAGCGATGTCATCAGAGCCTTTGTATCTTAGGGTAGCAAACCCGGAGATGACCTGATCGCCTTGTGTATCAGGAACCCGGATAGTATAGTCCTTCCAGGCCCGGTCAAGCTTGATCATGGCTGCATACCGCTCTCCATTGAAGATGGGAACAGTCTCAGCTAGTTGAGGCTCGATATAGCTACCGTCAACCTCGTAGATATACATTGGATGTTCGTCAATTGAGAACATGAGAGCCTTGAGAGAGGAGGCGCTAATGAATTTGAGGCTGACCCAGCCGGCATTGGGGTCGGCTTCAATAATCTCATGGAGGCCAGTAGTAGCATTGCATCCGGAGTTTACACCAGCTGGAATTCTGTCTACATAAGTAGGGGGAAAGTTTCCCTGGGTTTCGTAAATGTTGGGCAGACATCTAGTGTATGTGTCAGTCAAGAAATCTTGTTCCTGCAAGTTGGGAAATGACTTACCCCTTATCACTTAGTGGCTGGTTGTCAATAGCAGTTTTCAGGTAGGAAAGTTCCACAATTGAGATTTTCTCTGTTCCGGGGCAATACACTGCTCCGCGGCCGTTGATAAGGACACTATCAGAACAGCTGGGATGTGTCATGTTAGTAAGTTGTACTCTGAAATTTGATTGTAAGCAATCTCACAAAATGCCAAGGCGGCTATCTTCCATGGCTTTCTGATATTCGGACGAAGTTAAGTGGTCCCAATCAGAGAGGATGACAAGCTGAGGATTCTTTTCCGCTCTTTGCATTGCCTCGATGTCTTGCGTGTTGTTCGAGATAAGATGGAAAGGTTGAGGAACATCAGGGCCAGGACTGTGTGGATCAGCTTTGCATATTGAATTGGCGTAGATTTGAGGTAGCTTACTTGATCCAGATAGGTCCATAGAGACCATCCATCATGTCAGCTTTAGCATGGGCATGGTACCAGTAAGTTCCATACTGAGTGGCGGTCCAGCGGTATGTCCAGCTATGACCGGGTTGAATTGGCTTTTGGGTGAGACCAGGAACTCCGTCAGACCACGGAGTATTCCTCTGCTCAATGCCGTGGAAGTGAATTGTAGTATTGAAAGGCATGTTATTGTGTACAACAAACTATGAGCGGTCAGTATACACAGCCTTCCGGGATTTTGGATTCCGCGGAAAACTCACTTCGACATCATCACCTTGGTCGAGTCGTAGCTCAGGACCAGGAAATTGATCATTCATGAAGATCATTTCCCTCAAGTTGCCATCCGGTGCACCCTTTTGCCAAGTGAGGTTCAAGTCAAAGTTAACTTGTTTTGCATGAGACAAAGGCAAAAGCCCGGTGGCAGCCAAAGCCGTGAAGGTCTTCAATAATGCCATTGTGATGACACGTTCGATAGCAGAAGACAATCTCGAATTAAAGGAGTAGATAAAGATTTGAACTTGGTTCAATGGCCTTGATGGTAATTTACCGGAACCTTGCAGACCTCGACGGCGGGATGATCATCATATTTGAATTGTTTGCATAGAAACTATAATATGGAGAGCCTGGACCTATGTCGCCGCTTCTGGCCTACATGGTGAGGGACTTGAGCTCCGAAACCAAGTTTGCATTTTTGACAAAGTCTGTTAGGGCGAGCTGACTGATGTTTGACAGATTTGCATGGTTTGGCAAAGATAGAAATTTCGATTTATCATTGGAGAATGTGGAGGAGGCTGGGGAAGCGTTGACTGTGGGCGATGTTCCGTTCTCTAAAGGAGATGGTCCGGGCTGGAGAGTGGCTCAAAGATTTGATCATGTTTTGAGAGGTGTCAGTTGCCAGATTCAGTATGTCATGCAAGGGCTGAGCGAAGTGTAGTGTGTGGCTGGGGAGTCCTTCGTTGGGACAAGAATGCGACCTTTACCCGATCCAGCATCTGGGTGCGATATGGCGTTGGCTATGTGGGCTTTGAGTATGTGGTAAGTGCCAATGACTTGGCAGCTCAAAACAAATTTCATTGTGATTACAGTTCTGGATTTGTTTGCGTATACGTACTGTGACCAAAAAGTATATTGGGTGAGGGTGAGGGTGAGAGGATTTATGAGATTGGCAGCGGCCGTCGACGTGCTCTACTCAATATTTCACCGGCCTCAAGCTATATTACCCATATAATCATAATAATCCAACAGAAAGCAGGTCTGCATAGCTATGAGGGGAAAAGAGACAATAGCCTGGCAATGGAACTATGGTGCAATTTGGCCAGCTCAGTATTGCTTCAATTGAATGTCTGATCAAATGGAGGAAAATCCAAGGCATTCTATAATGATCTAACTAGTCGAAACTCAGATTCCTGGATAATCCTTATAATGACGAGAATGACGTTCGAGAAAGCAAAATTGATCAGTATGAAGCCGTTGTTCAGCTAATTTGGCGGACATTCGAGAGGTGGTAGGCATACGGCGTCAAAGTACCCAAGAGGCCAGTCACATAATCCCATATGAGACCAAATTCTATACACTGCCGAATGGAAGCTCATGTATAAATTCGAGCTTCGATGACAGTCCGGCAAGCGAGGAGTAGTACCAAGTAAAGCGGACCCATGAAGCCAAAACGCACAGACGACTTGGGCGGTGATCAAGCATAATATAACGAAGTTGTAAGAAATATACCTTTCTGTCCGATCATGTGGGATCTTAGGACAATATCATTTTGTCAAAGGAAAAGATTAGAATAAAGATTTAACTAGTTGTTGTCTTTGTTGATGGGAACCATGGATCAGTTGCGGCTCTGGGACAAGCATATCTTCATCCATGGATGAGTTCCGAGGAATCAAATGCAATATCTACTCCATAGTTGAACTTTTCTTTCTTTGTCTTTTTTTTTGAAAAAAAATGAAGATTCAATAGCTAAATATTTTTAGAATCGAAATTACGTATATTACGTAATGCACAATAAGCTTATCGATAAGAGATCCTCCTACACTAGTCCCGATTGGGAGCTGTAAACACTGTAAACACCGGGGCAACATTGCAACCCGAGCGCCCCCAGTCCTCAGGCCTCACCGCGGTCTCTCTACTCCCACTCTCTCCACGCCTCCGCAGTTATCTGTCTGTTGGTCGCATTTGGTGCATTTGCATTTCTTCAATTCTGTTTTTTCTTCCTGTTCCATATTTGCTTTATATCTCTCCAATCCCAACGATGCTGATTTATTGATTGTTGTTATCCCTGCGGCCGTACATTGTCATCTCTCCACGCTGTTTTGAGTCCGAATCAACCACGCCACATCGCCGATTGATACACATTCACCTAACCTTGATCTGAAATTGGGGCCTCTGGAATTGCGCCAATAGTTAAATCGTTGAATTAGGTTGATCCCGGGTCTTGCGCTCGGCCAGACACGGTACAAGTGGCCGCCATGTCTCAACTTCCCGCACGCTTCCCATGTTGGTGCCGAGCAGTGTACTCTTGGGGCGGAGAAACAACCCGAGATTTGGGATTTGTGGAGGGTGATTTGATTGAATGCTTGAATGCGGGCGACGGACAATGGTGGATGGGTCGGTTGCGCCGTGACAGGCGCGCGGTTGGACTGTTCCCATCTAACTTTGTCGAACTTCTGAGTGAAGACTTTGTGCCCGTCAGCCGTGATACCAGCCCTATGGTGTTAGCGGGATCCTCACCGATCAACAATCCCACATCAGCCCCCAAAAAGCAAAAGACCGTATGGCGGAAACCATTCCAAGCACACAAGGAAGCCGTGTCACCAGCTTCAGTGGCTCGGCGCGCCACTGAATCTAGTCCGGCCGCGCCCGCAATCCCACAAACACCACCTCGGGATGGAAGTGCGCCGAGGAGCACAAGGCCCTTGCGCACACATGCTTCGGCAGTCAAGAACCAAGGCTCGGTATCCCGGCCTCCAACATCCTCATCCCGGCCTTCTTCGCGTGGAGTTTCTCCCAGAACGCCGACAGAGCCTGAAAGATCGCCATCTACAATAGTTCCTAGAGGGAGCATCTCGTCCTCGCGACATTCGTCCCGTGAGCCATCTCCATATCAGGCGCAGGAGCGCCCGTCGTCCACAATGATGCCAAAGAGTAGCGTTTCGTCCTCGCGTGCTATGTCCCGCGAGCCATCTCCTTGCTCGCGCAAGAACAATCTCCTGCCATGATTCCATATGGGAACATGTCATCTTACCGGACATCGTCCCGAGAGCCATCGCCGTTACAAATGCAGGAGTATCCACCCCCAACTATCCCGCATGGAAGCATCTCTTACCGGGACTCATCGCCCGAACCATCTCCCTTGCACATGCAGGAGTACGCGCCCGCCAGTATATCATATGGAAGTATGCAATCACTTCAAGCGGCTTCGCGAGAACCATCACCTTTGCCGACACAGGAATATGCGCCATTGCCCATGGCCCATGGAAATGTCTCATCTTTCCAAGGCCCATCCAGAGAACCATCTCCGTTATACAGACATGAGCAACCTCCCGCACTTGATCGACATGGAAGTTATTCACCCTACCGTGTTGCATCTCGTGAACCATCTCCACTGCAGATGCAAGAAGAGCGTGAGGACTCCCCACCCCCGCCTCCGCCGCCTCCCCACCGTTTTACTGTCAGTCGTACGCAAACCCGTTCTCCGGGGCCCCCGATGCACTCTCAGTTACGAAGCCACTCGCCGCAACCTCCAATGCATCAACTAAGAAGTCATTCGCCGCAACCTCCTATGCATCAATCAAGAAGTCACTCGCCGCAACCTTCAATGCACCAACCACGGAGTCATTCGCCGCAGCCACCCATGCATCTATCACACGGTCGGACACCCTCTCCTCAGCCGCATCCTCACTCGCGGCAATCGCGTTCCCCTGCGCCATTGGTAATGAATGACCGCTACGTGATATTTGATCGCACTCCATCTCCATCCGCGGCCTCGACACATTCTGCGCTTTCTGCAAATTCAGCACAGTCAGACATAAATGGAAACACTCCATCTCCACTTAGGGATGCAATGGAGGATGTGATGACTTCATTAGAAGACATGGGTCTCCCACGCGACGTCCAGTCCACCTCCCCATCACCACAGTTCAATAATCCCTGGGCCCCAGAGGAATTTGACACATCACACGAAAGAACCCCACAGCCTAGCAAACGTCGGCCGTTAACCTCAATGGGATTTGATGGAAATAAAGAACAGCCCCCAGGCGGACTCGGTCACCGAAACAGCGTTTATAGCCATGATCACTATATGGATGGGCCGCCCCAGCTTAACAATTATGTTCAAAGGATGGAGAGCCGGCTGCGTCAGTTAGAAGATCAAAATCGATCATCCGAAGACCCCAAGCCCGTCCAAGATGACGATGATGGGCCGCCTCCACCACCTCCGAAACATGCTACCTATCATCCGCGAAATAACTCTCTGCCAGGAGGACACTACCCTCACTTGAAGAATCGACGTTCCGGTCAGAATCTCCGGGGAGACATTCTCAACCGAACCTTTACCAATAAGTCCAGTGCCACCAATTCTTCAAGCGGAGTTCAAAGTAATGGCACATCCATGACTACCAGCACAGACAAAACCAGTCAAAGTCTCATGAGTGGATTTTCAGCAGGAGGCTTTAGTGCGACGAGTGCCGGTAGCTTTGCCAGACGAGGGGGAAACGAGAGGCCGAACACCGCCATGGACACTATACGCTCTCGGGGGTTCAGTGACGCGCGCCCGGAAACACCCTTCACTGGGGTTTCCTATCACTCAAGCCACAATTCGTCTCGCCAAGGAGCATCGTCAGCGATTCCTTGGTCGTCTACAGTCGATCAGACGGACCACAGTGCAATTTTTGGAGGCCTCTCTACCCCCAAGACAAAGAAGCCAGGGTTCTTTAAGAAGATCTTCGAAACTGCGAAGACTGGTGCGGCCAGCGCGAGAAGTAGCATTTCAGCTCACGGCGACAGAACTGGATCTCCGACCAAGAGCCAGAGAAGCATTGACGGAATATCACCACATCTCACGTCTCGGTCCAATCGCGACAGTGCTCGCGATATGGCCGGAACTAGTACGATTGATTGGGTTCAAGTCCGCCGAGATGTTAATCGCGCCTCATCTCCCAGTCGGAATGAGAGAGTTGAGAGGGCAGAGCGGTGTCAGATGCACGATCACCCTGTGATTTACTCCGTTGAGGAATTGTACGATACTGCGGAGGGCGAGGAAAGCATCGATGGGCAGCCGATCACTGAGCCCACGAATTTCAATACAGCCAATCTCAACCTAGTTGACAAAAGCGCACGCTTCATCAGCAGTCTCCCGCCATTGACGAACCCTATCAGTCTTGCACAGGCGTACATTTGCCGACCCTACAAGAGCGATGTCCAGCGTCTCCGGGCCATTTTTACATGGGTCAGCGAGAAAATCTCGTGGGAGGAACCCGTTGATGGCCTCGAAGTTGACATGAAAAGACTGTTACAGGCTAAGCGGGGAACCCCAGAGGAAATCGCGTTGTTGGTGCATGAGATGTGCGCGGCTGTCGGCCTCCACACAGAAATCATCCGAGGATTCCTCAAGAGCCCTGGTGACGTCCTCGATTTGGACAGCCTTTCCCGTCCAAATCACTGGTGGAATTCTGTTCTCGTTGATGGCGAATGGCGCTTTATGGATTGTGCACTTGCAAATCCCACAAACCCCATGCGAAGCAAGTTTGTTTCCAACAACTCTTCCATAGCAGAGAGTTGGTACTTCCTCACGCGTCCCCTTGATCTCTGCTACACCCACGTCCCGCAATATCCAGAAGAACAACACATCTGCCCTCCCATCTCACCAGATGTTCTACTCGCTTTGCCCACGGTCTGCCCGCCATTCTTCAAGCTCAACGCCCAGATACCGGATTACGATACAAGTCTTCTCCGCATAGAAGGACTAGAGGTAATGCAACTACGCATGGTAGTTCCGGCAGATGTCGAGTGCGCAGCAGAGGTCGAGGCGCCCTCCTTCGCCCGCGACGCAGACGGCGATGTCTTCGAAAGCGGAGACATAGTGCGTAAACGTGCATTGGTACAACCTGACTGGTTCCGAGGTCAGAAGCGGATCACAATAAAGGCCGTCCTGCCAGGCGACGAGGGCCAGGGTGTTCTCAAGATCTACGCTGGTAAGAAAGGATTGATGCACACGAGCCGCGACATCCCTCATCCCCTGGCCTTGGCTCTGCCAATGCTTCACACTGGAGAGAATCCGTCTTATGAGTTCGTGCTTCGCCATCCTACGCCCCACGCCCAACGTCACGACTTGTATATCATGCAGCCGCAATGCTCGCGTCTGGCGGTAAATAATACATTTGTTTTCGCTATCCGACAACACCCCGCTGCGCCCGGATCTGCCAAAGATGAGACGATGTCCAATGGTCGCGGGTCGCCATCCTCCGTCTTCACTCGTCCATCTAGTGCATTGAGCATGATATCCAGTACCGCAGGCGGGTCGACTGTCTCCGGGGCCTCGAATGAGTTCTCAGCATCGACATCGGTCATCTCATCGTCCAAATCCACTTCTGGTCGTGATAAGGCAGCCAAACTGGCCATCCAGTCTCCCTCTGGCAAGATTCTCCGTCTCACCCGCAAGGCCGAGCATATGATCGGCGGCGATACGGGTACTGAATCAGTCACTGATGCTCCTGCCGAGGGAAGTGTATGGGAAACCGTCATTAAGATCGGCGAGCGTGGTATGTGGCGTGGCCTCGTACTTGCCGATCGAGCTGCGCGATGGTGTGTCTTCTGCGAATGGGAATGTGTTTGATTTTTTTAACATAGTATGGGAGTTTATTTTTGAAGCCTTTGTTGCCATAGATTCACTCGGTGGCTATCTGTTTGTTGCTTTTCCTCTTGAGGTTTGCATACCTGCGTTTTTTTTGTCATCTCTTCGCATACTGGGCATTTGCATCAGGTTGGCTTGGAGCATTGCATATATTGCATTCTATTTCTGTATGTTCCGATCCAGAGTTCTGGATATTGGTGTTTGAGTCCGGATTAATAGGAGTTCTCTGAAAATTTCATGGAATCAAGTTATTCAATCTACATAAACTTTCGATAGACTCTCTTACAGTAGAATATTTACAAATTAGCCACAGCTGTCCGTAGCAACGGTGCGACCTGTTTTCTACTTCCAGCGGCATTAGTCTGTACCCATAGTCTCCTCCACAGGGGGAAGTCCTGGTTCAACGCAGAGAGACAATTTCCAGTGAGCTCAGGAATGCCCTCGCCATCCAGAGGAGACCACTCAATGAGTCCAAACTTAGAAGACGCCTGCTCAACAAAAGCCTTGACACCCTCTAGAGCCGTGTCATTATCACGCGCCACACCAACAAAGAGTTCTCGGCAAAAGTGACCATCACTCGCAGTGAACGCAGTCATAACAACGAGCACATCCAAGTCTTTCTCGGCTGAAGATGCAAACGAGAGTGCCGCATCTAGAAATTGCTCTGGCTTGCCTGCTTTCTGCACAATCCATCTCATCGGCTTGACAGAGGAGCAAAAGCCCATTTTCACAGTCTTGCCAGAAGTCTGTGATGTCTCAGTCCAATCCTTATAATCGCGGTCCAAAACCTCGTCAAGAGTGAGCAGATCAAGGCTATTCTGCTTTGCACTGAGAACAGCGTTGTAAAATTTCTCCATCTCCCACTTGTGCTCGACGGTTGAGGCCTCCAATTGCCCCTTAATCTGGCCTCGCAGCGATCGCACAGCCTCGTGATCTACATCGGTGACTTTTCCCTCGGCAGTGAGGTTCGAAGTATCGATTAGCACCGCAGAAAGAGCGAGCTTTGCCACCTGCGCCATCTCCGCCGTTTCTTCCCACAGACCTCGTTGTCGCAATTCTCTGGTGATGAGAGATGCGCATGAGCCAGGTCCGGGCTGGATGATTAGCGGCTGATCCTTTGGGAGTGACTCGGCGCTAGGCATATAGTTCTCATCGATATGGTGGTCGATGCATCCCAATACTCGGAAGGACACACCTGACAACCCTGTCAGGGATCCGAAGCCCTTGTCATGGTTCGAAGGGTAAGGCAACGCATTCCAGTCGACCAGAACTGACTCCGTCAATATCTGTTTCAAGACCTTTTGGTCCTCTAGGGACTGCGCGAAGTCTGCGACGGTCAAAAAATGCTCGCGTAGGAGATTGCCCGCTGAATGTTGATTATTCTCAAATTTGTCCTCACTCCGCAGGGCGGGGAGGTTAGTTGACGACCATAGTGCAGTCACGAATTCAGGTCGCAATCGATACAACTCTGGACCTGCTAGTACATTGGGCAAGTTCAAGAGTGGGATATGAGGTCGTGGAGATTGAATTGGGAGGCGGTTGTTTGCGCAGTAGGAGTAGATAATTGCCGAGACGATGGAGTCAAGGTCAGCAGACGGGTTGCCAACCACATAGATTGGGGACTCGGACAAGGCACCCGAAATGTATTTGAGGTGCACTTGACGAGCTTGTCGCAAGAATTGGAGGAGAGTCATGTTTTTTGGTGTTTTCATCATGTCGAATAGCGCGATACGTCATGTCCTTGCTGACGTTATGCAGAGGTGACACCTCAGGAATTAGGCCAGACTATATAAATCACTCAACTTCACTTCACCTGCACAACATCCCCAAAATCATGCCCAAACCGATGTGTGTGCCTCTCCAACTCCCGGAAGCATTTGCTCAAATACCGCACTACAAGATCCTCTACCCCATTTCATCTCCCATCCACCCATTACCCTCAATCGTACCAGCAAGCGTCTCCCCGCACCAACCCCTCATCTCCGTTCACGCCAAACGGGAAGACCACTCCTCACCATTAGCCTGCGCTGGCAACAAATACCGCAAATTAGAATATATAGTTCCCGATATTCTCTCAGATACACCAATTTACCACTACCATGAAAATAACCCAACTCCACCAGGCCCCCTGACAGGCCCAGCAACAACGCTCGTAACAGAGGGCGCAATTCAGAGCAACCACACCGTGCAAGTAGCCGCTCTAGCCTGTAAACTCGGCCTGAAGGCTTTAATCCTGCTGCACCGTGGTACGGGCGGCGGTCTCCGCGCAGCACAGGATAAAGAGGCCTTCCAACGCAGCGGGAATGTTCAAATCAACCATATTCTCGGTGCTGAAGTGCGTGTCTGTGAGGAAGGGGATCCGCTAGCGTGCGATGCAACACCCCTACTTGATCAGTTGAAAGCTAGTGGCGAGAATCCTTACTGGATTCCCGGTGGTGCGAGCTTACATCCGCTGGGTGGATTGGGGTATGCGAGGGCTGCGTTCGAGATTGCTGCGCAGGAGGAGGAGATGGAGCTTGGTGGATCGGGGCAGTTTGATTATGTGTTTGTTGCGTGTGGGAGTGGGAGTACGGTTGGTGGGCTAGTGGCTGGTTTTAAGATGCTTGAAAGGATGGATGGGAAGACGAGGAAGGTGATTGGTGTTCTTAATTCACCGACTCAGCCACAGGATTATCATGAGGAGCGGGTGCTCAATTTTGCGAAGAGAGCCGCAGTTTTGATCGGACTGGATGCTTGGGACATTAGCATTAAGGATGTGCGGCTTGATGATCGGTTTGTTGGGAGTGCGTATGGCGTACTTGATGATCAGAGTAAAGAGACTTTGGAGATCATGGCACGGACGGAGGGCATGGTCTTAGACCCTGTTTATACGGCTAAGGTTGCGAGGGGAATGATGCATTGGGTGAAAGAGGGCGAATTTTCGAGTTCGGGGCTAAATGAGATCAATGTGCTTTTCATTCATACGGGAGGACAGGCTGCTCTGGGAGCTTATGCAGATGTCATTTGAAAGATAGATATAGATCTAAAGCCAGGAAGATGAAATAAGAATGGCTGGATTCAACTAGTATTACAATTCTGTCAACAGCAGCAAAGAAAGGCAGTCGTGAAAGACATAGTCTTGTGGTATGAAGAAAAAGAACAAAGAAATTAGGACACAATCGCTGGAAAACACCCCCGACTCGCCAGTCCCGTCTCTTGTAGTACACCTTTTTGAGAATTTGATCCGAAAAAATGAAACAAAAAGTATAGAAGAGGGGAGTAAAAAAGAAAGAGATAGAACGAAGGGAAAAAAAAGGCCACAGTCACAAAACAATAGGCGACCTCAAAACAAGTGGTCAGTTTTCCAAGAAAGACTGAAGATTAACAGGAAAAAGCAAAATAAATCGTCAAAGTTCTTCATCGTCAGCGTTTCCATTGGTGTCCTCGAGCCTAGAAGCATCGTGGGGTTCGGCAGGTGGAACTGATTCTTCGGGGACGGAACCAGCACGACTGCTACCATTGCTAACGACCAGGGCCTCCAGGGCCTCGTTGGCATGAGTATTGTCCATTGGCTGGGGCTCAGCGTCAGGATCGATCTCTTGATTGGTCAAATCGGCAAACACATCGTCCAGATTCTGACGCGGACTGCTGCTCGCGAATTGAGGATCATGACCAAATCGTGGGGGACTGAAGAGGGATGTCTCGATATCTTGTTGCGGAGGAGGAGACCGAGGTAGGAAAGAGGGGGACTGAGAAGCGGCGGCGTGAGGGAGGAAAGCTGAGGAGGAGGTAGGCGCAAAAGCGGGCGTGGAATCGCTAGCAGGCAAAGAATAATTGGCAGAGAAGGGGTATGGGGCAGTATTTGGATCTGACATTTGAGCCAAAGTTGGGACTGTTGCGGTAGGTTGTTCATTGCTGGGAGTTGGTGGCGCTGGCTGCAGAGAAGGAGGTGGGTGTTGGCCTGGCTGTGTGGCATCGACAGATTTGCGTTTTGTGACACCAAGGTGCTTAGGGCGAAGATGCTCCGGGAGATCCTCTGGACGATTCACTCCAAGCTGGGCCATTATTTTCTGTTGCTTGGTGGGGCGGGGCTTTCGAGTCGACAAGGACTGTTCCAGGATTGGTGGAGGCTCCGGGGCGACAGGTGCCCACTTATGAATCTCCTGTCGGAAGAAGTTGGTCTCGAATGTCAAGAGAACCTCGGCGCCCTCAATCTTGCGCAGGTAGAATATCAAAGTGGGCACCTCTTCCGTTGTTGTGCAGGCAGCATTGGTGAAACCATGCAGGAAATCGCGGAAAGCAGTCGCCTGGTTGATAATGCTTTCGAGAACTTCTTCCTCTTCCGGCTGGAAGGGCAGAGTTGCGATTTCCGCGTGCCAATCCTGGAGATCCTCCAGCTTGGGGCGAGCAGCATCGCGGGGAATTTTCTGTCGCCAATCGCAGATTGGGCAAGTGTACTTGTCAAACTCCTTAACTTTGCCGCGCGCAATCTTCAAACATTTGCCATGATACCTGCACACTGTCAGTAATGTCATCATCAATCTGGATACCTGTTTGACTTACCACTCGTGACAGACCTCGCACTCAATCATCATTCCCGCTTCAGAGTGCCGGCAAATACAGAACACGTCTCTTTTCCGTGACTTTGGGCCCCACGGATTGGGATTGCCGGTGTTTTCAAGTAGGCCTTCTGGCGAGTTATCTCTGGAAGAAGGCTCCACAGGGGGTCGGTAGCTATCTTCCAGATCGAAGCAGTACGAGTTTCGCTTCTCAACGTACTCCATGTGGGATCTCAATATGTGGAGAGGAGCGTTTGCCTTGCCGAATAATTTCTTGCCCTTTCTCATCCAGTCTTCATGGCGTTTTTGCTCTCGCTCCAAGTCAATTGCTCCGATTGGTCGACTGGTCAGATGTTCAAGGGATTCCATGAGATCGCGGATGTCCTTGTATTTTGGCCGGTTCTTCATCTCGGGATCCTTACTCTTTTCGTACAGAGTCTGGATCCGCCTCTGAGCTTCGCGCTGCTTGGTCAGAATGGCTTCAACAGCAGCGAGTGTTTCCGGATTGACTGGGAAACGGGCTGCCTGTGCAGAAAGAGCTTCGAGTTGTTGGTAATGCACAGCCTCGACCGCCATCAACTCCCTGGCCTTAAGTTCCCACGCATCGCCATGGCGAGCAAGTTCCTTAAAATGAACCAGGTGTTCATTGGTCTCAGAAAGGCCTAGCTGCTCTGCACTAGCCACAAGTTCATGGCAATCCTTGAGACTCATGTACTTATCTCGCCTGCGGGCAGCTTCGTCGGTCCATTTGATTTGGCGGGAAACTTGCTCCAAGTGCTCCAGTTCCGGGATTTCAACATTGAAGTTTTTGCCAGCTTCGATCAGCTCCTCAACCTCCTGGATTGGCCGTGTGTGCGGGTTCATCAAGGCACCATTTATATCCTGACGGAATTTCTCGATTTCGCGGGTTTTCTCTTCCAACGCCGCCATCTGTGGACAGTCGAATGAAAGTTTATCAGCCTCTGCCAGTAGGGCATAGATGTGTTCAACCCTGCGGACTTCACGATCGCGGTCGTCCAGCTGCGCTGCCTTGGTACTGGCTCTGCGCCAAGCCTTCTCGTTTTTTCTCCTGTTTTGCTGCTTCCGGGTAATGTAATTGTTGGCTTCCTCAACCCATTTATCGCAACGCTGGACGAATGCCGCAAGATCTTGTAGGCCAGGCAAGTGGTACGGGATTTTCTCACCTTCATTGAGCAAGTTATGAAGGGCCTTAAGCTGCGGCTTGGGTTCATCCTCCAATGTTTTGTCGAGCTTTTCAGACCATGCTTCCGGGATCCTGGCGCGTTCTTGGACTTTCTGCACAAGCGCCTGCAGTGCATCGTCACTCATGCGATAACGCAGGGTATGGTCAGGGCCACACAATTTCTGAGTATGAGATTGGTCACAGCAATCAAAGGTCTCCACGTGTGAGACACACACAGTTTTGCCTGATTTGTGACAACGGAACTGGGTGAGGTAAGCAAAAGCCTTGCATTGCTGGCACTGATAGTCATCCTCGGGAAGATCTTCATCTTCAACTACGAACTTCGGCTGGAAGGTCTCCGCCATAGACTCGATACCAGAGCCGGGGGTGCGAACAAATGCTTCCTTTTGTTGGTAAAGGAAAGCGGCCCTTGCACCGAGCTCTCGAACACATGTTCTTGCCAGTGCGGGCGCCAGCCACTTGGCGGTGGCGATGGAAGTATCGCGTGCAGCAGCGGTCAGCAGTAATTCGTCGTGGGAGAAACACGGGTGCCTGCGGAAGTTCTGAAGACGCTCAACGCCGGCGGCGCCGTAGGGTTCCCAGTCTGCGGGAGCAAAATTGACAGCTTCGTTGAAATTGAATCCATGATTAAAGCCTGCGTGGTACGCTTGAGGGAAGGTGAGCACAAATTGACCAGCCCGCTGATCTACTGCATAGACGTTGACACCAGCTTTGCGAAGTTTGTCTGGTGGCATCAAAGTCACAAGCTGGAAAAGCAGGTCTGGCTGGCCCTCAAAGAGCTCCGGAACTGCATCTCGCATAGCTGTCTCAAAAGCCTCGGCATCAGCACCCGGAATTCCATACCAAGTCTTCGTAGCACCAAAGTGCTGATAGTTGGCTGAGTAGGCGTAGTGGTCTTCATTATGCCAGCAGAAAGTTGAGAAGCACATGCCAACATAGACCCAGGGGACGGTCATGCCGGAGATATCAGACTTGATGTAACGGAAGAGCGAGTCTCCGTAGAATGGGAGCACGTTCAAATTCCAAGGATCGGAGGAAAACTGGTCTAGCGGGTTGCGTTCAATGGTCGGGAAACCACTTCCATGAGTGGTGGAATGAATATCAGCACCATATTCAACCTCAACTGTTTCATGTAGGTCGACAACAAGTTTCCAGAATTCAGCTTCGACGTCATCCTCAGTCTCACGTCGATGTGTGTTGAGTACGGGATCAAAAGGCATTTTTGAGGCAAAATACTTCTTTTTGAACTCATTTGCCTTTTCTTGGAATTGCTTGAGCGAGTAAACACCACCATCTTCAAATCCAAACTCCCCAGTGCCAACCAAGCACTTGGGACAGTGCCAGTCATGTTCTGTCGGAGTTGTTGTGGATGGGTCCAAACAAGCTTTGTGATACCCAAGTTCGCAACCGTCACACACAAGAATCGACTCTTGGCTATCTGACTTGCCACAAGTCTCGCATTTCTGTTGATATATCAGTATTAAAACCAAATTCTGTTCCGAAACTTTGCCTACCTCTCCGACTGGTTGAGAACCCTCTTTGCGGGGCTTAGGTGGGGCTGGGCGAAGAAGCGACATGTGGGAGCCAGCGACTGTTGGGAGCGAATCTATACAATAATTAGACAGACTTTACTTCGAGTCAAAGGGTAAAATGGTACCTCTCTTGAGACGCTTGCTGCGACGCCCATTTTCGCCATCCTCGTCATCGCCATTGTCAGCCAGGGAACTTTCATCATGGCTGATGGAACGCTTCAGAGGCTCTTCCTTTTCGCCATTGACGGGTGTAGAAATAAGAGGTTGCTCGGGATCAACCTGGGGCCCCGATACACCATTCTCCCCTTCACGCTTGATTGGTGGCCCATTATTCACCAGGTTGAAAGGAGAGCGGTTAACGGCGGTGAAGCCACCAAGGCCGACATTGTTGACAGAAGTAAAGCCTGGGGCAGCCGGGCGAGGACCAGATTCGACGGTGGGTGTTAGCTTCTCTGGGGACTTTTCCACCGGAGTATGCGCGATGGGGGTGTGGCTTATCGGGGTATGTGCCATGGGAGTGTGGGCCATTGGCGTGTGCGAAGCGGCCATTCGAGGCAGGCCAGGAGTCTCGTCACGGGTTTTCGAGGGTGTACCATTGTCTTCCGACATGGGCTTTTGCATCATGTTCATGGGAGATGGTAGAGGCGAAGGGGTGTACGGACCACCATGTTCGAGCTCAAGCTGCTGTTGAACGCCGGGTTTGGCGCGGGCTAAGTATTCCTCATAGGGCTGAAGATAGCGTTGGTAGGAGTTCTTGAGCGAAGTGGACAGCGAAGACATGATTTTGCCGCTGTACCCGAGGTCGCGACCGATCTCGGCCCATTTTTTCGTCTTGCACACAGATTCAAAACCGCCACGACTTTCGACTGCTTTCTTCAACTTGTAGAGATCCAATGGCCGCTTATCGACACTGGGGAGTCGGCTGTAGTTTGTCCCATGCTGTTTGTGGAACATGGCGAGTCCATCAACATAGTTCATATTTGCGCGGTTCCCTGTGTCAGACTGTCAGAACTGCACTGTGAACAGGTCCCACTCGCCGGGACAGCGTTATCTGCTAGACACAAATCCTTACCTCCTTCCACGGAATTTAGCTCTTGTCGACGGGTTTTGAAATGAAATCGCTATATCCCTTTGTCAGCTGTGGTCATGCGCTGAAACCAAACGCGAATGCATTCTCGCGGACGAATATTCCTACCTCTGTATCGATTGCGAATGTAGGCTGCCATCCCTCGGGTGGAATCACTCGGCAAATTCCATACCTCTTGCCTTCGGGGGCAATTTTCTGAATGTAGGCCACAGGGTCTTTGAATTCCTCTTCTGTCGGCCGGAAAGTCGGGGCTTCTGGGATCCCGTGAGGACGAATGCGCTTGGAGGGTTCACGAGGGTTGTTCGGCTGGCCCCGCCTTTCCACGGTGGAAAGATCTAGAGGCGCAGACCTGCGAGCGCTCAGAGGAACATTGTGGGAGTGCGACGGGTGGGTGCTCGAGGATCGAGTCGGCTGCCCTGCCGCAGCCGTCGAGGTCGCCCCGGCAGAGGCCGGAGCTCCCATTGTTGGGATTGAGATAAGCAAATGGGTGGGAAGATCGATATTTGGCGCGTCTGAACTAAGAATTTCGATTATCAATGACTGTTATGCGACAAACGCAGGGCGTGGAGATAGAGATATTAGGAAGGCGGCTGGCGGCGTCCTGCGATGTGAAGGAGGGATGTTCGGAGACAAACCAAATGATATGAATAGAACAAGAATTCGAATATAGAAGTATAACAAGAAAATTTGGGTTCAAAAGAGGAGACGCGATGAAGAGAGAGGAAAGATGCCCAAGTCGCAGGAAAGAAGGGTAGAAAGATGAACCTAAAGAGTGGAAACGAGATTATGTGCAGTACAGATCTACCGGGGTGGTACTCCAGAAGTACTGCCAGGTTCCTTTTGTGTGGACAACCAATAAAAAGAGAACCAATGAGTGACTAGAGGGAAACCTCTGAACCAGTTATGGTACCGATCAGTACGGTATGTAAAATACGGGTAAAAATGAGCTAATCGAGCTCAGGTACGGCCTAGAACCCGAGTTTCACCCGAAACTTTGGTAATTACAAAATATGTACTACTAAATAGTACAGTACAAATGTATACTACCTGCCCTGGAGTGAACACAATATTGTACAATCTTCTGCAAACGGGCATCATACGGTCTAAAATGGTATTGAGAAATACAATATCGAGTGCACTTATAGCGTGTGACACGTCAAAGAGCCTCGGATATATGTTTCGATGGATATTTTGGTTTTTCTAGGGCTGATTTGGCCTATTTTTGGTTAATTAGTGTTTTCATTAGCTGTTATTATGAACCCCATTTTATGTTGTCTAAATAATATATAAAATATGGAAGACTTCTAGGAGATTTGTGCTACCTTATTATTTACATATATATTTAGTCTTCGAATATAGATATGTGTTATTATACAATACAGCTAGATGGAAATTTATTTGATTCTTCACATTAGTCTACTTTCTCTCCAGGGCTCTCTCTCTGACTCAAATCAATGCTTATGTCTGTCATGTGATCCGATGTTTATCAGCCGTTTTAGACCCGCAGATATTCGATAGGCGAAGCTAATTTCAAGGACTTGACAAATTGACAAGTCTTTGAAAAAAGTTCTACATTGAAGTTATTGGAATATATTGAATTGAAATGGAATCAGAAAACCCCAAGCCGATACCGGCATATTACTGCTGTTATCTTCTCCGTTCAACCGTCCGACACGCTTCACTATATATTGGCTCGACCCCAAACCCGATCAGACGACTCCCTCAACACAATGGCGTTGCCAAAGGTGGGGCTAAGCGCACCGCCAGAGACAAATTACGCCCCTGGGAAATGTCCCTTGTTGTCGAAGGTTTCATGTCCCGAGTTGGTGCATTACAATTCGAGTAAGTTGTGATTGGTGATTTGTTTTGATTACATATAATGCAAACCCCAAATTCACATATTTAGATGGGCATGGCAACACCCCGAAAAATCACGACACCTCGAATCCGAAGACGAACTAGACAAGTCTAAACCTAAGGTCAATATCGGCGGAAAGACAGGGAAGCCTAAACCCAAGCCCCGCTCACGAACCAGGAGATCCTTGACGGCTCATTTGGAGGATTTGCATTCATTGGTTCGGTCGACATATTTCTGTTCTTGGCCATTGCATGTCCGATTCTTCCGTGCCGATGTATATCGCGTATGGCGAGCGTGGAATGATCGTGTAGATGCTCGGCTGCCCCCAAATATCAAGATTATTCTGGATGGTGATAACCTTGCAACGGTGCCAGCTGCCAAGCAAACCAATGAGCTTGAACCTGCCGGATGCATAAACAACCTATCAGTCGACTACGCCAGGCTGGAAGATTATCTTGAGAAGTCGATGTTTATACTTGAAGATCCAGAAGATCTACAATGCGCAGCGTGTAAGGGGTCGGTCTCTCCAAGCACAGAGCAGATAGTAGTGTGTCCACAGGCAGATTGTCGTGGAACGAGCCATTTATTATGTCTATCTACCAATTTCTTAGACGCTGCCGGTGAGCCAGATCTCCTGGTACCGACCCAAGGAACCTGCCCATCATGTGAAAAAGCCGTGCAGTGGCCAATGATGATGCGCGAGCTGAGCTTCCGCAATCGAGCAGAAAAAGAAGCGCGCGCAGTTCTACGAAAGAAGGAAAAGCGCCTCCGCAAAGAGGCTGCAGCCACCGAGCCAGGCTCGGTGCCTCGATCGACGTCAATCGAACCAAGAACACAACCAGAAGAATCAGCCAAGGATGAATTGAGCTCCAATTGGTTTGACGATGTGGATCTGGAATCAGACTCCGATCTCGAGGGCCGACAGAAGTACCGCTCGACTCGCCTTCCATCGAACCTCGAGATAGTTATTGAGGATAGCGACTGGGACGACGCAGAGCTCGTGGAATGAGCATAATTAATAGAAACAACTCTAATTTGCAAGAGGTTCCAACTTTCTCAATGCGCTCGTCGCATCCATACGCGAAATGCAATCAAACACAGCATTTTTTATTTCAACCGCGACCTCATCGATAGACTTCCCAGCATCGATAATCGAAACATCCGTCTGTCTTTCGAATATCGAGCGGAAGAGCTCCCGCACGCGAGTCTGCATAGGCTCATTCTCGTACCGCTCCGCGCCGAATCCACCTCGCCTCGCTGCTTCTTCGGGAGTGATGTTGAGGAATAGGCAGATATCCGGACGTGGCAGACCGATCTCCGGCTGCCAAGCCCATTCCAATGAGAGCGTGGGGTTTGCTTTCGCGGCTGAGTAGACGACGCCGGAATATGAGTAGCGGTCTACGATGACTGTTGTTCCGTTTGCGATTTCGTCTTCAATGCTTTTTGCGATTTCCCAGCGGTTTGCTGAGAAAAGAAGGTGGATGGAGTGATCGTCTTGGTAGGTTGAGCCGCGTAGATAGCTATCAATTAACTTCCCAATGGGCGTAGTCCTATCTTGAGATTTGTCAGATAAATAGTAGTAGCAACGATGGGTGAGTAATCGCATACCTGGAAATCGAATATATTTGACCGCATTTCCTTGCTGTGAAAGAGACTTTTGTAGTATTTCGCACTGGCTCGATTTGCCAGCGCGGTCAAGACCCTCGACAACAATAAGGGCTCCACGTGCTGTGGGTTGCGTTAAGGCTGTCATAGCTGAAACGAACAGTATAGTAGTAGCGACGAGCCCCAGAACCAAATAATTACCCCCCCCAAAAAAGTGTGTTGAGTGTTATGTATGAATTGTCGAAGGTCAAGGGTGAAACGCGGAGTTGTTTATCGGGGAAATGCCGTTTCTGCCGATAAGGTCGAGAAGATCTGCAACATGGCCTTTCAGTCACCAACAGCGCCATGGATAAAGCGACACCCCCAGCGATGACTTTCAGTCTCCTGGGATCTTCCCGCCCCATTCTTGCACCGAGAGTAGGAAAACTAGCCATCCCAGGCCGCAAGACAATCGCGACACCGCACCACGTCCCACTCACTTCGCGGGGCACCGTGCCACATGTTGCGCACGATGTGATGCGCGACCATACCGCGATTAACAGTCTCTACGCTGGACTGGAAGACTGTAAGAAAACATGAAAAAATTTTTCATTCCTTCAACCTGGACCCAAAACTGACAGCGCATGCCTGCTAGTCATTGAGAAGAAGAGTCCTGCTGTATATAAAATGCCCGCTGCGGCACACGAGTCACCATTGAAGAAGTTCACCTGTGTGGCCGAGGATATGCCTTTGATTCTTGGACCCCGGCGATTCCCATCAATCACACCCCCAACTGCAAATACCTCGAACTCCGTCGCACTCCTGACTTCCGTCGGGTTCAAGCAACTACACTCGAACGAGTATGTTGAGGCAGTACATAAGCTGAGACCAGATATTGCAGTTGGAATGGCAGACCTGGCCAATAAAGAGCCCGGAAATAGGAGACGGGCAAGAATGGTCGACCGAACACATGCCTGGACTCAAGAGGCATTGGAGAAATTATACGGCCAGTCCGTGGCGGAAGATGCCAAGTCCAAGACCGCGTTCTTTGCACCGATCCTACCACTCGAGAATACGCAGCAGTCGCTTTACTTGGAAGATTTAGAAAGCGAGTTACGGTGCGATATTTCCGGCCTGGCACTATATCAATCTGCTTCATTGGAATTCGTCCCAGAATCTTTGGCGAGCCTACCTCGACTGCTTTTCAGCGACCCTGAAACTCCTCACCATATTCTGCGAGAAGTGTCACTTGGAGCAGACCTTCTTACTACGCCTCTTTTGGGCCAGTCGTCGGAGGCCGGAATCGCCCTGAGCTTTAGTTTCCCGGCTCCGTCTGGTCTGAAGGATGGTAGCTCCGAAGTGCTGGCCTTCGGAGATGATATGTGGGGCTTGGATTATACCACAGACACATCATCGCTGGGCGAGGGATGCGAGTGCTATGCTTGCAGGAATTATCACCGTGCATATGTGCATCATTTGCTTACTGCTAAAGAGATGACCGCGTGGGCGCTCCTTCAAATCCACAATCTCCACGTCATGGATCTCTTCTTCGCTGGAATCCGAGAGAGTATTCAGCGTGGTACATTCGAAGATGACGTTCTCGCATTTAACCGTGTTTATGCCTCCTCAATGCCAAAGAGCAGTGGCCAAGGCCCCAGGTAAGTCATCATTCCTAGATATGGTTCCCTGCTTCGAAACACGTTATCGAACAAACCTTTTAAATTGCAAGTTTTCTAATTGTTTTCACCAGATTGCGCGGATACCAACTCCCAGCCAACGGGCCTGGCCAATTCCGCCGCGTGCCCAAGGCTTGGGGCCAACTCAATCAAGCAATGGACAAGTATACCGAATCGCAGATTGCGACTCCAGATACAGATGCGAGCGGACTGGAAGAGCACGGGTTCGCCGAGAAGGCATGAGTTTGATTCAGCTGAAAGATGGCCGAGTCTAGCAGAATTAGCATGAGAAGCGGTGCTCATTTATAAAAGCATTTGCTGAGCCATTGGCGTATAAATCAATACAGAGAGAGAGAGAGAATAAAAAAGAAAAACCAAGAACTTGCACGCATATTCGTAATATTCATCTCAATGGGACGAGATCAAGACTAGTATACAAAATCCATATTTTGTGCCATTCATCCCATATGTCCAGGCCTGCCCTCATTAAACCGTGAAAGTCGCTGATCTAGGAAGTGTCTAGATCTGATGTATTGCGCATTCCTATACCTCCTCGCCAGCCAACACGCGCCACATCCACTTGACCTCATCTTCCTCTTCCTTAGATCCCTTCTTGGTACCAGCGCCGAACTGCTGGCCAACAACACAGACAAGCCAGGAGTCATTTTTAGTCGTATCAAGGTAAGTTTCAGTTGGCGAGCCGCGTGGGTAGATACGGCGCCATTCGTCCCAAATTCGGAACGCTTCTTCGCCCCACGAGCGGAAGCTGACTTCCTCGATGATGGTTGGGGTCACGATTTCCTTGCCGCGGAAGACACCCCAGGTGACGGCGTTGACACTTTCGGGGTTATCGCTGAGGTCATCGAGCTCGACATCGGCAGGCAGGGTGGGGAACGAAGATTCAAACTCGCCCTTGATGTTTGTAGCGAACCAGGTCATCTTGTCGTGGCCGTGCTTTTCAAACATCGGTTTCAGGATAGTGGTGTAGTCTCTGTTTGAGCAGAAGAATTCAACAAATGGCTTTTGGAAAACGAAGCCTTCGCGCTGGGGTCCCCAGCCGAAAATGTGATGATCACTGCGTGCACCGTTGACTGCGGGCTGCGACGCCAGAGTCCACCAACCACGGCCATCAATGAGCTTCAGCAGTTCCGGTCGGATCAACTCTGTCTCTGCGTTCAGACCGCCGCCATCTTCTTCGGCCCCACCCTCTGACCAGGGAACCATGTGTAGCTCTCCAGAGACATGGCGACGGAAAAGCGTGCTCATGTCGGATGCGTCGATAGGGTGACCCCATAGCCGACGGGCAGTGTTGGAAGTGACGTGGAGGGAGGGACCGTAGCCGTCGATTTCACCGAAAGCAGGCGAGCGAGCGTCACCCCATCGTCCGTTGGGGAAGTCATCCCATGTAGCTTCTCTGCCAAGCGCACCGAGACCTTCGGAGATGAGGAGGGTAGTGCTGCGGTTGGGCGGCATTGCCGGCATACCGGCGCGGTCTGAACGGGCTTCGTGCACGGAGTTCTCTGATGACTCTTGTCCAGATAGCCTGTCTACGATGACACGGTTATGGGGTTGCGAGTTGATAGATGAAGCACGACGTCTTCCCAAAACACGACCAGGGAAATCGAGCGGAGTGTCTGCGCCATCCTCGATAGCAGAGTCCTGGGTATCTTGATCCGGAATCAGCTTGCACTGCTCCAAGATGAACGAGACTGTCTTCTCCAGGTTAAGGGTGTAGAAATGGAAACCTCGCGGGCCGGGGTTACGGAGATCCTTGATACCATCAACGATCTCACTGACAATATCCACACCGGCGCGCTTGACGGCATCGTCATCGTGCTTCAGTTCTTCCATGCGCTTAACGATGGGAGGGGGAATAGTGACATGGCTGAGTTTCGTCACTCGCGTGAGAATCTTGTAACTGTGAATGGGCATCAAGCCAGGAATAATGGGAATGGTCTTGAAAACGCCCGATTCATGGTTGCGGAGCATGTCTTCAAACTTCTGATAAGCATCGATATCGTAGGTAAGCTGTGTCATGATGAAATCCGCTCCAGCCTTTGTCTTCTCAACCAAGTAGGGAATATCTCTAGCTGGGTCCTGAGTATCCTGGAACGAGTCGGCGGGATGACCCTCTGGGTATGCAGCAACACCAACACAGAAGTAGTCTCCATGTTGAGCGCGAATATAGCGAACCAGATCAACAGCAAAAGTGAAGTCCTTGTTGCTATCATCCTCTCCATGCATGTTGTATTCCTCGCTGCGGGGAGGGTCTCCACGAAGCGCAAGGATGTTACGAATGCCCAGAGCCTTAGCCTCATCCAGCGCCATATCAACCAGCTTGCGACTCATGTTCGTACATGTCAAGTGAAGGACTGTGGTCAACTGCAGTTGGCGCTGGCATACTTCAGCCAGCTCGAGTGATCGCGCGGCAGTGCTACCGCCAGCGCCCCAGGTGACAGTCACGAACAGTGGACGAAGAGCCTGGGCCATGCGCTCCAGACGTGCGGACAGGTTGGCGAAGCCCTATAGAATAACCATATTAGCAAACATCGATGCGTTCAGCGGGGTAACCCCACCATCCGGGTCTTCGGAGGGAAGAACTCCAAAGAAAAATAGTTGGCATCAGGCGGCAGAGCCGCGATCTTCTCTGTAATCTTCTTCTCCATTGTGCCTTGATAGATCCTTACAATAGGAGGTGTGTGAAGAAGAGGAGAGGATTCGGGCAAAAGTGGACCATGTCACCAGCTCCGATCGCATCGGGAACTATGATGTCTACAGCTGCCGAGTGGCCATCTCGCATGAAATCACCTATAGATATACTACATCTATGCGCATACGGCTAAATTAGTCCTAGCAAGGGATATATTTACTTAAATCGGCGAAAAGCTCAAAAAAAGCTAGCCGAGCAAAAGAATAATATGACTCAGCGGATATCTGCGCCGGCCCGGGCGATCGAGCTTAACCGTCAAAGTTAACATAACACGTACATATGTAGTTTCAACTTGACCTGTTGGTCAATAATTCTCTCAGACATATCCCTGTCTCTTATATTTTTCCGGTCAATTCCTCAAAATGGCATCCCGCCCGCCCAACTTTCTCCGCCATCTCCGCCCTCATGCTGCTCGCAGTAAACCGCATGCATCACGCACCTTTTCCACCCCTCCACAACCAAAGACGTCGCAAGTGAATATCAATGAATCTCGTTCTCGCCTACGACGTTTCAATGACCGCCTCCCCCGCTTTCTCCGCGCATATACCACACCATTATTCGGAGCACCGGTCACTCACATCACATCGTTTATAATACTCCACGAGATCACTGCTATACTTCCACTGTTTGGACTGGTCGGCGTATTCCATTACGGTGCTTGGATGCCGAATTTTGCGTCTGAAACGGGCGAATCGAATGCTTTTGACGAGGGAGCTGCGCGCTTTGGTCGTTGGTTGAAGAAGAAAGGATGGGTAGACGAGGCGGATGTAAATACTGCTGCAAAACACGAGGCGACTGGAGAGAACGGGGTGGAACGGGCAGGTGTGCGATTAGTGCTGGAATTCGCGACAGCTTATGCAATTACGAAGGCTCTGCTGCCAGCTCGATTGGCGGCGAGTGTATGGGCGACGCCATGGTTTGCAAGAACGGTGTTTACACCAACGGCGAACCTTGCTCGACGGTTGTTCAGGAGAGGCTAGGCTAGTCGAAGATACTATGATACCAGAAGCGATTGTTCATAAATTATACGAAAATGTATATTGTTTTATTTCCGAGTCATCGGGACCTTTCCTTGAATCCGCTGCTTTATTCTATGCTGCAAATAGTCGAGGAAGGGTATCCTTCGGACCAATCCACGTGGAAACAAGTAATTTACTCGTAAACCCAAGCGGACTGGGCGGAGGTCCACTTGAGGACCTCGGAGGGAGTGAACCAGAGGGCGATCTCCTTCTTGGCGTTCTCGACGGAGTCGGAACCGTGGCACACGTTGCGGCCGACATCCTAGCAAAGGAGTGAGTATGGATCGGCATGTTGGAATGTGGGAGATTACTTACGATGGCGAAGTCACCACGGATGGTACCGGGGGCGGAAGCCAGGGGGTTGGTGGCACCGAGGAGGACACGGCCGGTCTTGACGGCGTCCTTGCCCTGCCAGACCATGGCGCAGATGGGGCCGCTCAGCATGTCTGGAGCTGTGTTAACAGAATACGAGATGTGGAATGGTGCGTGCGGGGCAACTGACAGGAAACAAGACCCTTGAAGAAGGGCTTGGTGGAGAGATCAGCGTAGTGAGCCTCGAGGTGCTCCTGGCTGGGGGAGGTGAGCTTCATGGCAACGAGCTTGAAGCCACGGTTCTCGAAGCGAGAGATGATGGGGCCAATGAGTCCACGCTAGTAGAATGTGAGTAAATGCCGTTCAATTGCTCGAATTGGATCCGATATCGAGTTCGGTTCGGATGCTCCATACCTGGACACCATCGGGCTTGATGGCAATGAAACTGTAGCCATTGGTTAGCTTGAAAAGACGAGTAACAATCGATGGATGATATCAATAGGAATGACAGGTGATACAACATACGTCTGTTCCTCGTTGGCGGACATTTTGAATGTATGAGACCAGGTAATAAGTAAGTGGTATGAAGCAGAAAAAAAGGGCAGGAGGTGTGGAAGATTAAATAGAGTCTTTTTTTCCGGGCGCTGCCACGGTGGCTGTTGATTGGTGGCGGGAAGGAGGGGTTGTCTGAGCCTGAATTTTCAGGCCACAATTGGGGACCTGCAACTAGCAACAAGTTACATGATTTCCAACTAGACTCTTTGTCTTCAAGTTTCGACACAGGTCATTGAATAGCGGAATTTTTCATTTTCTGCTTAACATTGATAGGAGCTAACTGGAATTCTGGGAGTTTGTATTCACGAGAAACACAAACACATCCAGAGGTATCTAGTCAAATTGATTGAGCAGATGTTGAAGTAAAAGATTGGGCAAAATGCGTATCTCTTTCACTCATTTTAATTTATTCTCTATAGGTACTAAATAATCACAAAGTGACGCATTGCAGACGACTCAAAAGCCTATATCTCACGAGGAGCTCGTGTCATTGCCTTCATTCGTAAAGCTATCATCTCAAAACACTTTAAGATATAACTTATCTCTTGCTCCCGAAGCAAAGTGTAAGAGCCTCGATCTCCTGTTTTTATTCCACGTCTCTAAGTGGCTTGTCATACTACCGGTAATATTCCACAAGCCCTCTCAAGAGTCTGTCGAAATCATGGACAAAAGTTTCATTCGGAGAAATCTTCTCGCATTCTGTGACTTTTCGCCTACATACCCCATAGACTGGGCCTTTAACATTTAACTAAGAGCGAGAGACGAACTTTTATGTGATATCTTGCCAAAGTAATTTCAAAAAAGAAGAAGGTTGTCTTAAAAACGACCCAAACCTTGAAAATTAAGACCAAAGAGGAGCAAAAATATGGACAAAAAGACATGTAGCTTAATGTGTCTGTCCATCTGCTTCGCATCCGGTGGCAGATATTGACTAGTCGTTTTGATCTTCGAATAAGTTCATTTTGAAAGCTGTTTTGCTTATCTATCAATCAATCGAGCAGATGAAGGGTCATGTTATTATTGGCCCTCTAGCAGTTGCTTCAATAGTGAGTGTTTAAGGATCGTGATTGAAGTAACCCACATTGGTATGTAAGTATTTTGAGGCCTAATCATTAGGGCTGGGACGCAGCTCGAATGGCTTCAGGAGAAACCTTCAAGAATACAATACCGCCTGTGAATCTCGGCTTCCTGCCGAGCTGATATTATCCCTAGCTCTATATCTGCTCCACCACACGGAATTGGTGCTTTGGAACTATCGCTTCTCTGAAAATAAGACATGTCTTTTTGGATATACCATGCTAGGTGCATCCTGGAGGTTCGCAGTAGCAGAAGCCGGAAAATTGTTTTGCAAGGCCACCGAGGAGAAAATTCAAATAATCTTTTTCCCGCTTTACTAGCTTGTTAAACATTCAGTCAAATGACACACCTCTGAAGGCCAGCGGACATTAGACTTCTGACGCTATTTTGTGACGAATCACCCCAGGCCAAGCTGACTGATCGGCAAGAACTTTGAAGGTAGTCCATTAGACTTTTTCGTCCGTATCATTCATCGGGTCTGCCAGCGTATTGACGATATCAAAGCATAAGGTTTCCTTTTGGCCGAGGACTTGAACAATAGCTAGCCTGACCTTCTCATTGGTCTCATCCATTCGTGTAGCTATTGTGTCAAAGGCTGCGTCTAATATCGATGGGCGACCAAAGCTGACTGCTTTTATAGCTGCTTCTCTAGCTTCTGCATGACGAAATATCCGTAGAAACATATTCATGTGTAGAAGGGTTTTCTCGCTCAGTCAAGAGGGATGTATAAATACACTGCCATTTCTACAGGATGGGAAATTAAACAAGGTAGTCGAATGACTGGTCGCCTATTTTTGATCTATATCAAGTTCTCTCGCAGATATAAGTTCTCAACAAGAGACAAGATACTGGGCTTGCAAAGACAGATGCATAGCCAAGGATTGGATTGTCAGTATGAAACTTCGAAAGAAGGGGTCTTTCCGACCAGTACTCGTTGGAGTGCATGTGCAATGGCCTGACTCAATTTCATCCAGGAGTTCTCGCGAGTCAATACTCTGATTGCCTCCTTGGAACTGTCAGGCCTGTTCAAAATACTGATCCCTGCAAGATATATTTGGATTGCTCCACTTGATTTCTACGTAATTTTAGTGAAGGTAGTTTATTAAAATGTAAACTTCGCGACGTAATTCAAGTGATTCAATACAATTCCTTCGTCAGCGGATATTAAAGCAGAAAGTTTCCCTAATTACAGTTAGTTCCCGAGACTACGCGCCCCACCCCCACCCCCGCCACGAGATGAACGGACGAAAGGTATTACCAGCATGGAGTTCTTGAATGGGATCAATACTGGCCGATATTGATGCGAAATATGAGATGGGATGCAAGGTAAAATTACATGTCCAGACATAACGTTGGGCAGTGCAGACTGCTGGAAATACGATGTAAGCTTGGTGAAGGAATGTCTGATTCATTCGAGCTCAATTAACTTATAAAAATTTTAGGCCTCGGCATGGCAATCACCACTGGTTGCTTCGATCAATGAATCAATATGATTTCATCGCTAGTGACCATCGTCGGCCCTATTGGCTGGATTTTGGTTCTCAACCAGAACTCCGGCTATTCGAAGGCAGAAGGGAAAATAATAGACGACATACCAGTCTTTTAGAATGAATTGAAATGGTGTTGGTCAGAAAGACATGAAACTCTGCAAAGAACTCTAATTTAAGCTTCTACGTTAGAAGTAATCAATATGTTTGTCGAAATTATAACATTTCAATGTAGTTCTGTATCTATACATGGTCAAGTCGGAACATGATTGGCCGAGCACTTTTTATACAAAAGTTAATACCTTGTTGCCTTGGTGCCTGAATGCCTGAGGCGCTACCCCAGTTCGAGGCCAGCTTGTCCACGGGTAGCTTCCGGTTGTTGACAGTGATCTCCACCTCTAAATGCAGGTCTCCCATTGAAATTCAATACTATTTTGTCAGAGATTGAGGGTCTCTGATTGACAATAAACTTCATTTCAACATGGCCAGGAGTCCAGCAACCCCCCGTTGGGCACTTTTGCTCTCCTTGGTCATTCTCATCGGATGCATGGTCGTCCCCGGTTGTAAGTCTCGTTATTGCTCAAATTCTTGATTTCAGTTCAACCCCAGTAAGCTAATATTGGTTGTGTCCAAAAGTTGCTGTCAAGCGCAAAGATTTCAAAACTTGTGAGCAATCCGGATTCTGCAAACGAAACCGAGCCTACGCCGACAACGCCTCCTCCCAGGGAACGTCGTGGAGCTCCCCCTACGAACTCGACCCCGCTACTGTGCATTTCAAGGATGGCTTGCTAACGGGTGTCATCGTCAAAACAACCACCGCCAATGATAAGGTCCGGCTACCTCTCACTGTTTCCTTGCTTGAATCGGGAGCTGCCCGCATCCTGGTAGACGAAGAGAAGCGGCTGCAGGGTGACATTGAGATGCGACATGGCAGCCAAGCCAACAAGAAGCGATATGACGAAGCTGAACAATGGACCATTGTAGGTGGCTTGGAAGTCAGTAAATCAGCCACCTTGAATGCCCAGAGTGAGACTGGCTTTACCAACATTCTGTACGGACCCGGGGACAAATTCCAAGCGGTCGTCCGTCATGCGCCATTCGGGATCGACTTTCAAAGAGATGGAGAAACACATGTTCAATTGAACCATCGAGGATTGTTGAACGTGGAGCATTGGCGAGCCAAGGTGGATGTCCCGGAAGGCGAATCTGCGGAGGATGAGAGTACCTGGTGGGAGGAGACTTTTGGAGGCAACACTGACTCCAAGCCAAGGGGCCCTGAGAGCATTGCCCTCGATGTCACTTTTCCCGGATATAACCATGTATTTGGTATTCCTGAGCATGCAGACTCGCTCTCACTAAAGGAGACTCGCGGCGGACCTGGCAATCACGAGGACCCTTACCGTCTCTACAACTCGGATGTTTTCGAATATGAGCTTGAAAGCCCGATGACTCTGTATGGAGCCATCCCTTTGATGCAGGCCCACCGCAAGAATTCAACAGTTGGTGTCTTCTGGCTGAATGCTGCCGAAACCTGGATCGATATTGTCAAATCAACTGTTTCTTCCAACCCCCTTGCTTTGGGACACAGCTCGAAAAAGAACACCCACACCCATTGGATCTCTGAGTCTGGTCGGATTGATTTATTTGTCTTCCTCGGACCCTCTCCAAATGATATCAGTAAAACCTACGGTGAGCTCACCGGATATACGCAACTGCCTCAGCAATTTGCCATTGGGTACCACCAGTGCCGCTGGAACTATGTCACAGATGAGGATGTCAAGGAAGTCAATGCCAAGTTTGACAAGTACCAAATCCCCTACGATGTGATCTGGCTTGATCTTGAATACACGGACGACCGGAAATATTTCACTTGGGACCCCCTCACTTTCCCCGACCCCAAGGGCATGCAACAAAAGCTCGACGAAACAGAACGAAAGCTGGTGGTGTTAATTGACCCTCACATCAAGAATGCGGACAAGTACTTCGTCTCCGAGGAGCTTAAGAGCAAGAACCTCGCCGTGTTGAACAAAGAGGGCGAAATTTACGATGGATGGTGTTGGCCTGGATCCTCGAACTGGGTTGACTGCTTTAATCCCGCTGCACACGCTTGGTGGGCCACCCTCCACAAGTTTGACAAGTTCAAGGGATCTCTTCAGAATCTTTTTATTTGGAACGATATGAACGAGCCCTCTGTTTTCAATGGACCAGATATGACCATGCCCAAGGACAACCTGCACTACGGAAACTGGGAGCACCGTGACATTCACAACCTCAATGGTCTAACCCTTTTAAATGCTACATACAAAGCAATGTTGGAGCGTAAGAAGGGCGAGGTTCGCAGGCCGTTTATCCTGACGCGCTCGTACTACTCTGGTGCTCAGCGGGTGTCTGCTATGTGGACTGGAGACAATCAAGCTACCTGGGAGCACCTAGGAGCCACCATTCCAATGGTACTGACCAACGGTATCGCGGGATTCCCATTCGCAGGCGCAGATGTTGGTGGGTTCTTCCACAACCCCGGCAAAGATCTTTTGACACGCTGGTACCAGACAGGTATCTGGTACCCCTTCTTCCGAGCCCACGCTCACATCGATACTCGTCGCCGCGAGCCGTATCTGATCAGTGAACCACACCGATCTTACATCGCCCAGGCCATTCGCCTGAGATACCAGCTCATGCCTGCTTGGTACACAGCCTTCCACGAAGCTTCAGTAAACGGCACGCCGATTGTGCGGCCGCAATACTACGTCTTCCCCGAAGATGAACAAGGCTTTGCCATCGACGATCAGCTGTATCTTGCCTCCACCGGTCTTCTCGTAAAGCCCGTTGTGCAAGAAAACAAGAACAGTGTTGACGTATACATTTCAGATGACGAAAAGTACTATGACTACTTTGATTTCACCGTCTACCAAGGCGCTGGCAAGAAACACACTGTCCCCGCACCTGAAGAAAAGGTACCTGTGTTGATTCAAGGTGGTCACATCATTCCCCGCAAAGACCGCCCACGCCGCAGTACCGGACTCATGCGATGGGATCCTTATACATTGATCATCACCCTCGACAGGAACGGGGAGGCTGAGGGAACCCTATACGTAGACGATGGCGAGACCTTCGACTACGAGCGAGGAGCGTACATTCACCGCCGCTTCGGCTACCGTGAATCGGCCCTGTCTTCCGAGGATATTGGGACGAAGGGCCCCAAGACAGCCGAGTACCTCAAGACAATGGCCGGCGTTGATGTCGAGCGCGTGGTGGTTGTTGATCCCCCTGCCGAATGGAAGGACAAGAAGACTGTCACCGTGATTGTAGATGGAGCTAAATCTGGCTCCACTGCCTCGCTCGAGTTTTACGAGCAAGAGGGCGGGAAGGCCTCATATGCCGTGGTGAAGAAGCCCAACGTTGGCATTGGCAAGACTTGGCGCATTGAGTTTTGAGTGATATATTACATTTTTGCGCGATTGTATTTATCAATTACTTAAATTTCCTTTTGCGAAGAAGTAAGAGCTATGATCAAGCTGTACCCATAGCCCGCGTACGTAGTGCACTATTTAATTACCACTGATTCTCGACTAGATCTAATGTTCTTCTCATCAAGTGTATTGCACCATTCATCAGCAACAATCTTCACATTGATCTTGCGAGCCGCGAGCGACTTCTTGAGTTGCCGAAGCCTTCGAATTTGTGATTCATTACTAGAACGAACAATTGGAGATTCAATGAGCACGTCATATAGCCGAGCTGCCAGCTCAACTTTCGCAAGAAAGTCTGGTATTTCTGCATCTCGGAAAGCATCGCCGATTGTGCCATATAAATCAAAGTGGAGTCGCGGTTGATATCCAGCATCCCCTCGCTCTTGGATACGTTGAGAGACAGACTTCACATATTCGAATATTTTCTCTCCTCTGGCGCCGACGTCATTTACATGAACGAATGACGCGTGTGGAAGGAGAGCCACTTGTTTCATAATCATGCGACCTAGTTGGAGGTGGTCGTTTCGGTGACAGGAGGCAAGAATACCCATTGGACTATCGCATATAGTTGTGTTCCACTCGCGCGAAATGACCTCAGCTATAGTGCAATGGTTGGCGAGAGCTGATGCAGATAGAAGAGCCTGGCTGTGCAGTAACGATTGTCACATCTTCCTCGGATGAAAAACAGGCAAAGGCAGAAGAGCTCGCTGCAGTACGTGGGATCAACTATTGCACGTCAGATTGGGCGGCTGAAGTGAAGGCACTTACACAGGGCCATGAAGCAGATCATATTCTTGAAGTCGGAGGAATCTCGACATTGCCACAGTCCTTTAAGACAGTTGCTTAGAATGGGTTCATTCATTCGACTGGCCACATCAAGGAAATGACTGGTCAAGGAAACGAGAAACCCAGTGATGCAACATTCCTGACAACCGATCCACCATACATGCTCCGACGCATCATTGTCGGATCCAGAGAGCAGTTCCAGGACTTGCTGGCGTGTTTCACTTCGAATTCTATTCGCCTGATCAACAAGGTTTTCGATTTGAAGATTCAAAAGAAGCATACGAGTATTTTTGGAGCTCTTCCAGTATGGGAAATATTGTTATTCGCGTTTGACACAAATGAAGAGAATCTACGCATACGCATTCTACTCACTTGATTCATATTCGGTTGAAGAACCTCGGAAGTCTGCCTAGCCATAAATGGATTGCATAGATATATTTCTTGTTTATTTGGTAAAATATGTTCAATATGTTTAATACGTGATCCCTAAGCCCGGGGCCGTGGGTACAACCAGCCTGCCGTCAGACCACCTGAGTGCACCGTCCACAATAACATCCTCATCCCGAAGCTTCCACGGCCAGTGAATATCACAAGCATAGTTCAGATTGGGAGTCGCGGATGCTAGATGCGTCATAGCAGCAAGAAGGATACTCAGGTGTCTTTTGGAGTGCATAGAGAGCCGCATGTTCAAAATCGCACAGATGGCCGCTAATGTTTGTGATTTACGTAGATGCCCCCATAAATGATGGTCGGATAATATCACTTAGACTGCATTCTGTGCTCCCAATGGGGGAAGATGGGAAAAGGCCACAACAGCCATATTCGTGGCCAGAGGCATCGATGCTTCTTTGGCAACGGCGGCCATGCTATCGATCTCAGGCGCTGGATCCTCCAGATATTCAATGATCCCTTTCAACTCCCGAGCCACTCATCTCGAAGTCTCGATAGTTCATGCTGCATTGGGATCCAGTCGCAACGGCACATCCGGGAATGCAGCATGCAGCATCCTGATGGCTTCAATCTTTTGGGCAGGGGGCAAGACACCGCCCTTGGGCTTGATTTCTTCGAATGCATATTCGTCGATAATCTTATTGGCTTGTCACACGATACCGGCTGAATCGAGAGCCTCTCCGTATTTCGTCGTCCGGCTGCCCAGGATGTCCAGCCCGTTTGTGAAAGAGGTATGCGGAGTATTGTACGGAGTCTCTCATACGACCACCGAGAAAGTCACTCACAGGGAGACCAGCTACTTTACCTTGGATACCGAGACAATCAACTTCGAATGGCGAGAAGACTTTGTCAACAACAGATTCCGTGGTGACCATGCCAGCCATGCCATCGCCGCCAGTGGTGGTATTAACGGCCAGCCAAGTGGTGCACACTTTATATATTGCGTTTGTTTCGTACACGGAAAGACCTTTAGTCTTCTCAGCCGCCTTCTCCAAGCGGGTAAGGTGAGCCGAGTCGCCATATGACTCGCCCAACCCGTATTTGGAATCCGTGACGACCTTAATAATGCTGCGCAAGGCGAATTGTTCATGCACACCAACGCTGTTCAGCAATGGCATGTCGTGGAATGTCACTGGAGTAATGATCACATCCTTTATTATTTGAGACGTGACTGCCGACGAGGAAATGCTAACTACAATACTACACGATGGGAAGCACCCAATAGGTATTTAGCAAAACTATCTAGATCCTTAGGTAGGACAGTTTGTCCCATATTTCCGCACTAGGAGAATTCCCACCGGAGAAAGGTCCACGATGTCTTCCACTTCTCTTGGCATAAGTAATCTCATACCCCGCAAGCCCAAGTCCCGTGTTGCCCAGAATTGTGACTTATCCGCATCGGATCAGCCTCTGACTGGACACTTATCCGCAACCTCAGACCACGCGCAATGGATCGTTTGGTTTCCGGAAAAGACGAAAGATTGTCGGTAGTCTGGATTAATTTCCTGTGATAGCCAAGAGTCCCCCGCATTCTTAGCTACAATACCTACTTGTAAACGTGGTCGCCAAGGCCGGGGTATTGGGGAAATGGGAGCTTAGACCATCTCTTTTAAGCATTTCCGACATGTGTATATATGCCCTGTCTCCAGCTGGAGCTTTTGCAAATCTATGTCTGTTTGAACCTGCGCAAGTTCTAACAAAGGGTCGCAGTCAAATTTCGCAGTCATGAATTCTGGGGCTATTGGCAAGGATGATGTCGAGATTGTCGACCAGCCTACTCACATCGAGAGTCTTCCTAAGCCTTCTCACATTACTGAAATTGGAACATTTCGTGTTGTGGGATTGACACCTGAAGATGCAGAATTCTTTACAAACTATCCTGAGGAGAAAAGGAAACAGGTCTTTCACAAGGTGAGACTCCTTGGCCTCTGGTACATATTGTTGTGCTAATTTAATATCTCTGAAGGTTGATATACGTTTGGTCCCTATGTTAGCAGTTTTGTATTTGATCAGTCACATCGATCGTGCCAACATTGGCAATGCCAAGATTGAAGGCATGGTTGGAGATCTCAAAATGACCGGGCTGCAGTACAATACTGTTCTCTCCATCTGTGAGTAATCTTATGTTCTCGATCCCTCGCACCCATCGCTTTCGAGCGCCGTGGGCTTGAAAAATGCTAATTACGGTTTTAGTCTTCATTCCATACGTTCTGCTCGAGGTTCCTAGCAACATCCTTCTCAAGAAATTCAAACGCCCTTCTGTATACCTCGGTCTTCTCGTCCTTAGCTGGGGCATTGTCATGACTTGCACAGGACTGGTTCGAAACTTTGCTGGTCTCATGACGACGAGAGTTTTGCTTGGAATTTTTGAGTGAGTGAACCCGATCATTGGATTTTCTTCTCATTCTGACATAACTTTTTCTAGGGCTGGCTTTTTCCCCGGCGCTATCTACCTCTGCTCATACTGGTACATGCCGAGGGAATTGGCCCTTCGCATTTCGTATTTTTACTGCGCAAGTGCCCTGTCGGGCGCTTTCTCTGGTCTTCTGGCGGCTGGAATTGCCAAGATGGACGGCGTTGGTGGACTTGAAGGTTGGCGGTGGATCTTTATCCTCGAAGGTCTTGCTAGTGTGGTACTAGGTGTCGCCTGTTTCTTCTTGCTTATCGACACCCCAGCATTATCCAAGCGTTGGTTGAGCGAAGAAGAAATCCGTTATCTGGAACTTTCAATGTTCATCAAGCAAGGTGGGACCAACGGTGATGAGTCTACTGGCTTTAAATGGAGAGACCTCACCATGGTGCTCACCAACTGGCGGGTTTATGTACAGGCCTACTTTTTGCTGTGCCAGTCGGCCTTGTCTTATGGTAAGAACATTCCGGAGTAGGCTTTCACAGAGGCATTGAAACTAATCAAAACTTTCAACCAGGTACCAAGTTTACCCTTCCAACCATTACCAAAGCCATGGGCTTCAGCTCTACGAACGCCCAGCTCACCTCTGCTCCTCCTTACGTTGCCGCCGCAATATCAGCAATTTGTTTCGCCCGGCTCTCTGATCACTTCTACTGGCGTATGCCTTTTGTGGCCATTCCCATGCTCATCGTCGTGACAGCATATGCGATCATTATGTCACTGGATGGAGCGCTTGAAGCCAAGAAAGGAGTAGCTTACTTCGCTGTCGTTTTAGCAGTCGTGGGTATCTATCCTATACAAGCTGCGGCCGCCTCTTGGAATGCAAACAACATTGCCCCTTCGTCACGACGAGCTATTGGTATTGCGCTTATGAATTGTGTCGGAAATGTCGGTGGTATTCTTGGCAGCTTCATGTATCTTGAGAAAGAAAGTCCCAAGTACCAGACGGGTTTCGGTCTTAGTCTGGCCCTCGGAGGGTTCGGATTCTTCGTTGCATTGTTCCTTGAATGGAGCTATAAGGTCGGGAACGCAAAGAAAGATAAGCTTGCAGATGAGGCGAGAGTCAAGTACACTGAGGACGAGTTGTTTGACTTGGGAGACAGGTCTCCATTGTTCAAATATGTTTTATGAACGATCCATAAATTGCCTTTAGGGTTAGCTTAGGATACCTGTTTCAATACGGCAATTTCGCCCGTTGCTTCCAATGGATTTCCGTCTAGGAGTAATTTCTCACGTGAGGTCTTTTTCTCGCATTTTGCAGGAAACGTGGGAGCACGAGACAAGTCTAGCGCATGAATGGGCGCATGCAATTAGAGCAATATCCGGAATAAACAACTTCAAAGGTATGTTTAGCCTCGGTTCTCTTTCCGCAGTCGCATTGAGTGATCGCTTTCTCCGCTCCCAAGAAGTCTTGGCCAACGGCAGACGGATATGCAAGTCACACATAGGCATACCCGACGGACAACCAGTTCTCCTTCCGGTAAACAATGGATCTTGTGACGCTTAGACCTCATGCAGCTATACTTTCTAGCAGCAGATCATCGACTGACAAAGGAAAAGGGTTCCATACGATTAACCGGTGTGCAGGCCCGTCTACTTCATAGCTACTACCTCCTCACTCAGTCTCGCATCAACCATGGTTGGATCTTATTTGGGACGGCGTCAAATTTGGCATTGGCAATTGGACTCAACAGAAAGGATCCTCCCGATATTGCCAACAGCATAAGCATAATTGAAACGGAGCGCTGTCGCCGAACCTTTTGGTGTGCATACACATTAGACGCATATCTAAGCGCCGCCCTAGGGAGGCCATGAACATTCCACGACGATGACATTGACACGGAGCTTCCGGCCTGTGTCGAGGACGAATATTTGACTACCGGCTACATTTCTGTTTCGACAATCCCAGCAAGAAGCCCGTGAACCATGCTCGCTGCAATTGCGCATATGAAATAAGATGACCAACCTTAATTACTGAAGGATATATGGCCGACGAAACAGACTGGCTCAAATAACCAGCAAGGTTCTAAGCAGCTTATACTCCATCAAACCCATCTCAACATTGAGCCAGGTAGCTTCTGTTCAAGAGATTTCCAAAGATCTAAGTGAGTGGCGGGCAGATTTGGCCAAATTTCTGGAGGTGGATGTGATGAGCACATCGCTTTTTCTTCCGATTTTTCAGCGACAACAAAATGTTCTCAATATGACTTATCTGCAGGCGATGATCCTCACCCATCATCCATATGTACTGACCAGCTCTACACGTCTCCCTCGACGAAGTAAAAAGGACATAAATGACAAAAATCACGATCTACCCGATTCACCTTTTGGGCAGTCTCCCGTAGCTTCGCTTCCGTGGCAAGAAGCCTTTCTATCGGATAATGCATGCTATGGAGATATACTTGGTAGAGGTAAAGATCATGTCGATATCTCTGAAGAGCACAAATATCACCGGTCGCCGTTAACTCAACCTCCTTAGGGGTTGGAGCACAGCTCTATTTAGCCTTGAAGAGCGCCATCTCTAGGATATTTGGGCCTGCATCACTCTCAAGCTTGACTTGAAAATCTTCAGGCATGCTGTTGTCTTTTTCGAGTCTTTCGCTGTCAACCTTGCGGTTCTGGTATGCTAGCTCACGCTTGTGAAGTGCATCTTTACGAGATTTTAAATTGCTTTCTTGGTGTTCGATTTTCTTCCAAGGTTGCCTTGCTTCATTGTAGTCAGCGCACGCCTCGCTATTATTCTTTTCGCTGCGCCCGAACGCACTTCAGTCGAGCTCACGCTCACGCTGCTTGAGAATGGTGTTACAATTGCTGTCGGTGTGATTTATTTGGGGTCCCACTCGCTGTTATAAAACCAACATATATCGCAAGTGAGTGGAAAGACTTGACAAATTCAAGCTTAGAATAGAACAACTTGGCGTAGCATCAAGACCTCTTGACTTTGATGAATTCGTTGTCGACAATTTATTGTGGTGTCAAACAAAAGTCCGAGTAAAGATATAGTTCTTGCACCTATCAGCACATGAGAATCAGTCAAAATTTCGTAACAATCATAGTTGTCAAAACGTATAGCTACATACTGATAACACAACTTTAGAATATATACCTATAACGATGTCAGACACTGACTCCTGTTGATCCTAACTAACTTTCCTATTTTGGAAAAAGATCAACAGATCGACGCGATGACATAAGCCACGGGCCGGGAAAAAAGCCGCATGCGTGTCGGGAACCCTTTTTTCTCTTCCAAGCCGATTCCCGATCGTCTTGGCTGTTATTGTGTCGGGTTGATCATATAAGATCCAATAAATACTTGACTGGTTACAAGTATATTGACCGACTGCGGCCCCCGTCACTATGTCGCTCTTTCAGATGATCTTTGATTATGCCGCGCCTGTGTTGTGAGTGCACTTGGAATGCGCCCTCCAATCGATGTGCAACACAGTGCTAATGAAGCTCGTGAACCCAGTCTCATTACCTCACCTCTCACCTCCTACGCGGACCAGATCGTGAGCATCCATCGCTCAAGGAGTTCAGCCGGTTTCTCCTTGGATATCCCTTTGATTATGCTTGTTTCCTCGATCTTGAAGTAAGCTCTCAATTGGCGTGTCCGAACCCAATTTCGAGCCCGAAGTTGACGTAATTAGGGTTTACTATTGGTTTGGAGAATACTACTCTGGGACTTTGCTCACACAGGCAATTGTCATGATCATCGTTCAATTGGTGATGCTCAAGGTTGCGCTGGACAACCGGCCTTCAACCGGTGGACGCAATGGAATTGAGCATGCGCCTTTCAGCGGTGCTGGCTCCAACGCTACCGCGAGGCCGTATGAATTTTGGCAGTGGAAGAACGACAAGCCGTGAGTGCTGCCGACTCGTATACTGGGAGTAATGCTAATCTGGGGTTCATAGATACTGGATGTTCCTCGCCTATTTCGTCGGAATCCTCGGTTTCATTCACTTGACCCCAATCGCTCAATCAGACTACTATATCAGTTTGCTCGGCTACGTTGGACTCGCAGTCGAAGCCACCCTCCCCGTCCCTCAGATCGTCGCCAACCACCAATCCGGCTCATGCAAGGGCTTCCGAGTATCCGTCATTGCAGCATGGATTCTCGGTGATACCATGAAGATGAGCTACTTCTTCAACAGCTCCGAGACTATCCCATGGGCGTTCAAGCTCTGTGGCATGTTCCAGTGCGTGTGTGACTTCTACCTTGGCTTCCAGTTTTATATGTTCTCCCGGAAATCGACCCCTACCCACTCCCGACACACCTCTCAAGCTGTGGGCGGGTCTGATCAGAATGGTCGTTGGGGCCATGAGCCGAAGGACATTCGCATGAACTGAGAGAAATGAGCATTAGACGAGTATTTCTTTCTGTAGATAGAATTTGGCGAAGAACTTAGACTTGTAATTTGAATGAGACAACGTTAATAATTGGGTCACAAAAATGTTGGCGTATCTCCGATTACGTCCGCTTCGGGGAGGGGCATGCCCCGCGGGGAGTGAAACGTGGAATGCTACCTCTCCGCAGTATCTTAAATCTACAGTCTCTGTTAAATCTTCCAAACACAACAACATGGCCGACGTACCTACGATTCGTATTGGCTATGTGCCTGGTAAGTCAACTTTTCTGCGCTTCCATGTCAAGCAAAGCAGTACCATGTCGAACTTCTCGCAGAGCATCTTGAAAAACAGGTGAACTCCAGAGCTAACAATAATCTCTCCTTGACTAGAGCACTACCTGACCCCCCTCCACCTCGCACTCCGATCTCCAGTCTTATCTTCCCTCCCATTCAAGATCGCGCTGACCCCATTCCCATCCGGAACGGGACATATGATCACATCGCTACGCGGCAATGAGATCGATATCGCCATCGGCTTGACCGAGGGCTGGGTCGCTGGCTTAGCAGGCAAACAACAATCAAGCCAGAGCTCCGGAGACGGCGGATACAAGGTTGTCGGACATTGGGTGGACAACCCATTGCGATGGGCGATTGTCACAGGCCGCAATCGCGCGGAAGTGAACGGAGTATCCGACTTGAAGGATGGAAGAGTTGGAGTCAGCCGGCTAGGAAGGTAAGGATTGCGATTGAAAATTGAGGAACGGTTGCTAAACGCAATACAGTGGCTCCCATATCATGTCTTTCGTTCTTGCACAGCAGCAAGGCTGGAGAGCCGACTCTTTGAGCACTGTTCCTCTCGGACCCTTTGGGCCCCTTCGAGATGGAGTCTCCGGTGTCGATGAATCAAAGCCCAACGAGACAAACCCGACAGCTGAATTCTTCATGTGGGAGGAATTCACCACAAAGCCTTATTTCCACGCTACTGCTGAGAAGCCCAACCCGCCACTCAAGAAGATTGGCGAGATCTTCACTCCCTGGCCTTCGTGGATGGTGGTTGCTTCTACAAGGCTTTTCCCGGATCCTGAAAATGACCAGCGACTGAAGAGTCTCTTTGAAGCCTTTGACCAAGGTATCAAGGAATTCGAGGCTGATACGGCGCAAGTTGTCAAACTTCTGGGAACAGGCGAGCTGGGCTGTACTTATATCGAGGAAGATGCAAAGGAGTGGCTCAAGGATGTTAAGTTCACTAACAGCACCCGTGGCGTTGATAATAAGGTAATTGAGGGTGTTGTTGATGTGCTTAAGGTTGCTGGTGTTATTGATTCTACTATGAGCAACGATGAGGCTGTTCAGCGGGTTATTGGGATTAAGAGGTAGAATTTGGCTGAAATGATATATACATCAAAGTTGAAAGCATCAATATTGGCTTGAAAAGGCATGCCATATCAAAGTAGTTTATTTTCCAATATAGTGGCGCTGTAATATCAACAAAAAAAAGCAACTTCATATATTGCATGAGAAAAAGATACTCTCCGACTTCCTATTGGATCTTTAGTGTTTTGATTGCGTTTTGGGGCTATCGATTTTACCCATTATTTGATCGCACCTAATGCAGCTAAGTCATATGAGCAACAGATTCGCTTACTGTTATTCGCTTGACTAGCGACTAGTTCCATGTCTCATAGGATGCACGCCTGAGCCTGGTTCCCCCTCTTCATCCTCCTTGTTATGGTCATTGACGTTCTATCCCCAACAGGTTCAACAAAAGGTTCAACAGCGATGGAGCAATCAACTGCATGGGCGAATTTTCTGGAGGAGAATGACAAGGTGGAGTATGTATGGCTACAGTTCTTGTCCTACACCTCCGACACACTCGTTCGAATCATCCCCCGAGCCAAGTTCACCGCCATGCTCAAGGATGGAGAAAACCTCTCTATGCCCCGCTGCATCCTCCATCTCCTGCCGGGAGATCGTCTCACTGAGGGAGGTAATCCTGCTGGCAAGCTGCTTCTCTGCCCAGATATTAGCTCTGCCTATTGTCAAGCTGGGTCGAATGGTACTCGCGCAGTGATCAACGTGTGCTGTGTACAAGATGACGGAACTTCTGTTGCCGAATGCCCGCGATCGAATCTCCTTGGACTACACACGATGCTCCAAGAAAAGATGGAGTCTAGCCTTCTTGTTGGATTCGAAGTAGAGGTCATGTTCCTGAAACCCAGACAGGAAGGCGACATCACAGTCGACTACGAGCCCATCAACACCCAGCATTCATTCTCTAGCATGACTCCCGAGGATCGCACCTACATGCATCTTATCGAAGCCGTCGTTCGAGCCTTATCCACAGTGGGCATTGACCTAGAGCAGTTCCATGCAGAGGCAGGGCCCGGCCAGTGGGAGTTCGTACTGCCACCCGCAGAACCTGTGCGGGCGATCGACCTCCTGCTACGAGCCCGCGAGACCATCATGCACGTTGCCCAAACATTCGAATTACGCGCTACAGTATATACGCAGCCATTTCCGCAGAAAGCCTGCAATGGAGCCCACGTGCATATATCCCTCAACCCGAAGGACAAAAACAAAGTTGAGAAGATAGACCAAAAGGCAGCGTCGTTCTTCGCCGGCATCATGCGCCATTTACCTGCTATTTCAGCATTCACACTACCTACCGACATTAGTTACGCACGTGTGGCATCAGGAATCTGGAGCGGAGGCGAATATGTCGCATGGGGCTGGGAAAACAAAGAAGTCCCAATCCGACGGATTGCGAAGAACCGATTTGAAATAAAAATGGTGGACGGGCTATCGAATCCGTATTTGGTTTTAGGCGCCATTCTCAGTGCAGGGATTATCGGGATCCGACAAAAAATGCTACTCACCGCGGGCCCTTGTTCAAACGCCCCCGCTCAGTTGTCGGTTCAGGAGCGAGAGGTTCTGGGGGTCAAGGATCGACTGCCTGCTACGCTTGATGCGAGTATTGCTGCTCTAGATGCTGATACTCACTTGCAAGTTATACTAGGAGTTAGCATTGTTTCATTATATATCTCTATCAAGAGGGGCGAGGCGGAGTTTCTTCGTGCGATGGATGATGATCAGCGCAGGCTTTGGTTGATTGCGAGGTACTAGGCCACGTAATAGTGGGATTCGTGCATAGGACTACTATATTGTACTACGATAAGTGGTCAGAGTGCTTTGCCAACTCACACTTCTATAGCCCTTGCATATGAGCCTCAAATGTAAGCCAATCAAGATTCTACGCTGCAGGCTACCTAGAGATATGTTTCATAGGGCAAATATCTCAGTAGGTCAATCCCCCGCCCCGCTTTACTTTGGTAAGAGCAGCTCCTTGGAGATGAAAAAATCCTGATGGCGCAGATTCCGAGGTAATTACGAGAAAATTGGTGTAAATAAACAGCCGCAGTGTCTTGAAAATAAACAATCAAAAAACGAAGAGCCTTCAGTAGGTCCCAACCTCGCAAAATGCTATGACCGATTATTTTTGATCAACGAAAATCCAACCGAAACGAATGGGGACGTTTTGGCGCAGGAGTATAGAACCAACGGTATCGGCCACCGCACTTGGTTGCTGAGATACTATGACCTGACTTTGATACATCCTGTTCCCGTCACTGCAAGTCACCTCACCATAACAGTATCATACATACAGCTATGGCTACAGACACACATCAATTCATGGGTATTTTTAGTGTCGAGAGCATCTTTTGGGACTAATTTTCTGAGTCAGTTTGATTCAATCTAGATTTAACAGTCCCAAGGTTGTTCCAAAGGGCCAAACTACCCAGTTTAACAAGATGTGGCCCATCACTCCCGACAAGTCGTTTCTACTATTATCACAATATATATATAGTACGTGAGTATTGCAATCAATGTAAACGTTCAATGAATAAGAAACTGCCAAAATCTGCCCAAGGCTTCTTAGGGCCAACAGATCAAATCACCCTTTACCTAGGTACCCGGTGGCCAACATGGATTGTACAATATGCAAAACAGTAAACATGTATCATCTTGAGACAAGAACTTAACCCCCTTAAATGCTTCATGAAAGCTAATCGAAGCCGTTATCCCACAATTCCCCGTCGGCCCCGGGCAACCCCACACGGCAGACGCCGAACATTGATCTCCCAATTATTGACCGGGAATCTGTCGGATTCGATTGCCAACTTATATTTGTATCCACTGAAAACATGTTAATGAGATCTCCGGGTTAATATCCCGGAAGGCAGGGGTCACTTGGAAACGACCTGCATTCCCGCACACGCGACCCCTTGCACCTGACAACCATTACTAAAATGTAGGTATGTTTATATCCCTGCATAACCTTCGCTGGCAAAACTGTCTATCTTATTGAGTTTGGTGTGGCTGCTGCAAATGCCAGGTATGTTCTTTATATGAGATTAGGAGACGCGATGTCTTGCCATTTTGGGACAAGTTAACACCATGTCGAACATTCGACCATATTGTCAATGCGTTTTCACTCTGTGTGCTACAGTGTCGGAGTCAATCAACTCTTAGATCTCTAGGTCTAATATCAATTCCCTTGTAACATGAAAAGAAATGAAAATGTAGACGTTGTTGCGCCGTGTCTTCTTGTTGGATTGCGCCGTCAATCAACTTCAATGGGTCAATAGCCAATTTTAAGTGTGTGATACGAGCGAAGGTATATATGAATGGTAAATCGAGGTATTTTCTGGGTATTTTGTGCAAGATTTTTGTATTAAGCTATATGTATGGTGGCCATAGTTGATAATATATATTTGCAGACTTTGTGGGTTTCTCCTAATTCGACCACACTAGGTAGGTATGTTTTTCTCAACCCAATGATTGACAATTATTGATACTCCAGAGTCATGTACACAGATGCAGTATTTCTCTTAATGGAAAGTAATCCAGTTTAGCGTATACGTGATGTCGTAGGGTATACAGTATATTGGTGGACGAGCAGCCACCTAACAAGAAGGCAAGGGATATAGGATTCTAGTCATCGACAGATTGGATATCATTATTCTATCAGAACATGTCCAAATATACAGTGTGCTTGGTCTAGAACTCCAAGTGACAGCCCAAACCTGCTGGATACTGGATGCATTCTCGGATCTGCTCCGGGTCCCCTGACAACAACAGTGGAATGCAGACCAGGGCGCACACAACACTCTACGACCCAATCAAACCACTGGGTTCACCGAAAGATTTACAAATTCGATTAGCTCAGGGTGTATGAATGAACCTAAGCTTGGTATCTGGCACAATTAGCGTGGAAAGGGTGGGTCATATCATGCGCTTAGAGCCCCAAGTGATGCATCTGAATGGTGGAACCTTGGAACGCGGCCATTGTTTGGTGAAAATAATAAGTAAATAACTCAGCTTATGCTATTTAATGTTCCAAATGCTCGATCTAAGTTAAAACTCGGTGTTCTTACCCGTCTTCGTTTCCGGCCCTATACTTCATATAATTCTTGATACTAAATTATACTCTAATATCTAATTACCACGAGGGCGGTGATTGAATTGCATTTTCCACAATGCTTCACTCTCAGGGTCTTGTTTCTTGGTCTTTCCTGCTAGCTGCCTTAGGGGGAGCACAGGCGAAACTCGACCTAAATTCATCCAAGAATTTGGTGGTTTACTGGGGTAGGTGATCATTTACCCGGCAAGGAGTTTCATACTTACATATGGATGTGAAGGCCAGAATTCTTTCAATGGAAAAGGTGACAAGTTGCAGCAACCGCTGTCACACTATTGTGATGGTAAGTGAAGCCGTAAGAACTCTGCTGAATGAGACTGACAAGATATCTCTTAGACAAGGACATTGATGTAGGCACTTGCCGACGAAAGGGCCTCGATTTAATGTGCTAACAGTTACACAGGTTATTCCAATGGCCTTCAATATGATGGTCAACGGCCCAGGAGGTGCACCAGAGGTTGACTTCTCTGTTAGCAGCAAGGACTGTGATGTGTTTCCAGGCACGCAGTTGAAGAATTGCCCCGACATTGGGTAAGTATCTTGCAGGTTCATCCAACTACAGCACTGACATCCTCCAGAAACGACATTAAGACGTGTCAGCAGAAGGGCAAGACAATTCTTCTTTCCATTGGAGGTGCCACCTACAGCGAGGGTGGTTTCAAAAGCGAGGCCGATGCTAAAGACGGCGCAAATCTCATGTGGGAGACATTTGGCCCAAAACAAGAAGGCTCTAAAGCACTCCGTCCCTTTGGTGACGCCGCGCTGGATGGATTCGACTTTGACTTCGAGGCTAACGTTCAAAACATGGCTCCATTCGCCAATGAACTGCGCTCCCTGATGGACGCTGATAAGAGCAAGCAGAGGTTCTACTTGACTGCAGCACCTCAGTGTCCCTATCCCGATCAAGCAGACAAGGAGATTCTCAATGGTCCTGTCTATATTGATGCTATTTGGGTGCAGTTCTACAATAATTTTTGTGGTGTCAACAACTTCAACACCGATATGTCAAGCAATAAGTACAACTTCGAAGAATGGGACAACTGGGCTAAGACAGTCTCAAAGAACAAAAATGTCAAGGTCATGATCGGTGTACCAGCCGGCACCACTGCAGCTAGCACTGGATATATTCCTTCCTCCAAGTTGGACAGCGTTATTGAATACTCGAAGAAGTTCGAAAGCTTTGGTGGAATTATGATGTGGGATGCCACCCAGGCGTACGGCAACGATGGTTTCATTAGAGACGTGCGGAAAAGCCTGGGAGGCGCTGATGATTCCGGTTCGTCGTCCGACCCGGCGTCAACATCGGCGCCCCCTCCTCCTCCGTCCACGTCCACTGACCCTACGAAGACATCGTCATCTTCCAGTGTACCCGATTCCTCACCCTCCTCTTCCTCCTCCTCATCTGCTACTGCTTCGCCCAAGGCACCTGAGACTAGTTCCACTCCCGAATCGAATCCTACCACCGAAGCCAAACCCACCACTGAGGCCAAACCCACCACTGAGGCCAAACCTACCACTGAGGCCAAACCTACCACTGAGGCCAAACCTACCACTGAGGCCAAACCTACCACTGAGGCCAAACCTACCACTGAGGCCAAACCTACCACTGAGGCCAAACCCACCACTGAAGACAAACCCACCACTGAGGCCAAACCCACCACTGAAGACAAACCCACCACTGAGGCCAAACCCACCACTGAGGCCAAACCCACTACTGAAGTCAAACCTACCGCGGTGCCTACCACCGCTACCACCCAGCCAAGCACTACTCAGGCTCCTCCAACTACCTTCTCTACATCTCCTCCAGCCCCCGCGCCTACTGATGCACCGCCAAATGACACCTCGGACGACGACGACTCGCAGGAGGAGGCCGCACCGCCCCCAAGCAACGATTCCAGCGATGACGACGATGACAGTTCTTCGCTCAACTCGATTCTTGGAAACGATCTCATGGGTCTTCTGGGTGGTCTCCGCAAGGCTAATGGTGTTGCTGGTGGCGTCACTCAAGGCCTGACCAAGGGCCTTCGGCGCCCTCAGCGCAGCCGCGTCTAAACAGCCGACCTTTTGGACTTGGATAGATTCAGATCGACCTTGACTTTGATCTGTCCTGATGCAGTTTGCGTCTTGACTTTTGGCCCGCACATGACGGGAATGGTTGAGCGAGAAAGGGATGTTAACATGAATTTCACGTTGTATCCGAGATGTCGCCCACCGTTTTCTTTTATCCTCTGCTTTCATTCTTTTTCTCTCATACCCTCCGACTTTACTTATTTTGACATCTCTCGACATCTCTACCCTTTTCTTATATGATACCCCTAATTTCTAATATTCGATTTGAATTTCCACTATGCACTCAGCTCAGTCGACCTAATGAATCGATATGACGATCGAATTTAATACATGTAGGAATGTGTTGCTGCTCTGTCAGCCTCGAGCAGAGTCCCATACACTATTGAAACTGCTAATCACATGGCCAAATCCAGCCAGACTACTGATAGTCAGCTACGCATTCATGGGCCGTTTATTTTCGAGCATTGCTAGTAGGTATAGGAGAAGGCAATCCATAGCTGTATTTCATGCCAATATCTAACTATTCCAAAAGCAAAGTGGTAATAACAGCGAGAACTCTTCTTATCATTCAAATCGAAGCACGTTCGCTTACTCGTGGAAGACAAGATGTCCGTTGTTGTTTCCGATGCGCTCCGCCAGATTGATATCAGCACGGTGTTCCTCCCCCTCAACATCTTTCAGAGATGCCCGAAGGATGGGTTCCCCCTCTCCCTCCAGTTCAAAGCTGATATTATCTGCACTCTCCTTGAAGCCGCCGCCTCCCCATAGAAACTCGCCTAGGGTCGTGAGTTAGAGACACTGTCACCGCAAAATAACAGAAAACCAAGTGATGGGGTTATATACCGTTGTTGTTGCCGATTACATCATTGAGATTCAGCGTGGAATCATGCTCGTCGCCTTCTTCGTTGCGCAGGGTAGCCTTGAGGATGTGGTCATCCTCAAGCTCAATGTTGGTGGCAGATTGGTGGAAGCTCATAATGTCAATTTGTGAGAGAAGGATGCAAAGAAGAGAGTGCAGACAGTTTATCATGAAACTCTTGGGTGATGAATTCAGCCGGGGAACAAAGCCTCTTTATATACCCCATCCAGAAGAACAATCCACCCCGAAACACGATCTAGCCGCGTACCAGGAATCACGCAGCAGCCCCGGTTCTTGTCCAACACTTGGCTCAGGCTCATTTGCTAGGATGATGCCATTGCAGCGGGGCAATCGTTGGGTTTACAGGCATTAGCAGAGCGGGGATACTCTATACAAGGGGAGATCTTCCAAGACAAAAGATTCATATTGGGTTAGTTTGTCCACGCTGTACAATTGTGGAGAGAATCAGAGACACAACGCCCACAACGCTTCATTGAGTGAATTAGATGCCATGTGACTATCCGAAGGTGACAGCTTGCCCAGATCCCTGGCGCTAAAGAGCGCAGGGTGCAGCGCGATATGATATCCAATTATCGTGGCGCATGGCAGCATCTCTTGCAGTCCTCAGCCACAGGATCGTGAATGGCATCTCCTGATGTTGCACCGAGAATGCATGCCAAGCACGCGACACTCCCTGGCAGCCCTATGGAACAGCCACACAATATGGGCCACACAAGACAAATTGGTGTCAAACCGATGGCTGTAAAACGCTGGTGCCTAGTCGGAAAATCGCAGTTGACTGGGGCTAAGCCAGCGCCAAGTCTGGTCAGGGATGCAGCCTCATGTTGTCAGTGCTTGGCAGTCGGGATTGAGAATGAGGAGTTATTGACAGCCAGTGGCGTTTGGGGATAATAATGTGGCTGGACAAGGCTAGCCTTATGACCTGGGGGTTTATAGAGGGGTACTATATGCAGTCTAGCAGAAAGTGGATAGTGAAGTGGGTAATTTTCAAGGCAGAAACAAAAAACTGAGACCCAGAGATGAATTAAGAAAATATGCAATTGTTGGTAGATAATGTACCCTCAAAACCTGATGTCAAACACGCCCAACACCATTACAAACTCCCATGCCTTTAAGACTAGTAGATGCACAGAATCGACAAACCATCACCCATAGCACGCATCACCGTGTATCAGGAGAAACACGTTAGAATCATAATAAGTCGCAAATCAAACTCCGTTCCGGTAGATTTGGGATCCACCGGAGCGGATCTGAATTGTGTCACGTCGCTGCAAGACTACCAGTGCTCTGTTCAGCGCCTGTTCGGTGTATCCCTTGCTGTCCACAAAGTCACGGCGCAGGGTTGCCAAACTTGTACTCCAACCAATAGGCAGGCGGCGCTTGAGCTCATCTTCAATCTTGCTAGCCGATTCCATGAGATCTTTGCTACCTTGACCTTCACCCTGGGTAATTGCGTCCATAGTGGATGCGAGGAACAGACGGATGGCTTCGTCCACGTGGGCTTCAGTGGCAATAGGGGAGAGAGACAGCTTGGCGAGAGACTCGGAAATACGGACGATAGCCTCTAATTGACGCACAGTGATGGGGATGGATGATCTGGTGTTGGACTCCATCTCAGCGCGGTGCACTTGCTTTCGGATGGAAACGAAGTGAGAAGAGAGCTTCTCTGCAGCCTCAGGAGAGAGGCGGGGCGCACATCGACTGCGACAGTAGCTGATGTAGCGCTTCATCTGCTCCACAGGGATCTCCGCCTCAACCTGCTCTTCAACACCGCGACCACCCATGTGCACGCCCATGACGTGACGGGCAATCTTCTCGTCACGACCACGTTCATGCTCATCACGGACGATGAAGATCATATCGAAACGAGAAAGAATAGTGGTCTGGAAATCAATGTTCTCGCCAGGTGTCTTGAGGTCATCGTAGCGACCGAAGATAGGATTGGCCGCAGCCAGGACGGACGTCCTCGAGTTGAGAATGGTTGTGATACCGGCTTTGGCAATAGAGATAGTTTGCTGTTCCATGGCTTCGTGGATGGCCACTCGGTCCTCATCACGCATCTTGTCAAACTCATCAATACAAACAACACCACCATCAGCCAACACCATGGCACCGCCCTCAAGGTAGAATTCGCGTGTAGTATGATCCCGCTGCACGGAGGCAGTCAAACCGGCGGCTGAGGAACCCTTTCCTGATGTGTAGATGGCGATAGGAGCGGCCTTTTCGACGAACTTCAGGAGCTGAGACTTCGCAGTACCGGGGTCACCCAGCATGAGTACGTTGATATCACCACGAAGCTTCATTCCATCGGGGAGAATCTTCTTTGAGCCTCCCATAAGCAGACACACAATGGCCTTCTTCATATCGACGTTTCCATAAATAGAGGGGGCAATGCTTCGAGCGAGCGCATCGTACAAGTCGGGACGCCGGCTGAGCTCCAAGAATTCCTGTTCCTCCTCCTCAGAGAAGACTCCACTGCCCTTTGCCGTTTGATCGATGTCGGAGGTGATGCCGACCGCGCGAAGATATGGGTTACGAATAGCAACTGCAGCCTCCTTCTTACCACCCTTTTGTTGATAAATAGAGAAGATACCCATGACGGTGCAACGGGAGCCTGGGACAACACGATTGGCAAGGTAGCGATCCGCAGAGATGAGGACGTGTCGAGGCAGCTCACCCACTGGAACCTGGTCAGGGGCTTCTTGAAGCTTGAGAACTTGTTGGTCGACGAATTGACATTTTTCGTGGTGAACGACATAAGGATCCAGAGGACAGTCATCACCGGGCTCATGGTTACCAGGTTGCTTGGGTCGGCCGCAGCGCCGTGGCAGGGACAGGCCAGCGAAACCACCATCGACATGAATGTTGTCACTATAATCACAGCCCTTACAACGAATGTGAACCACGGTAGACTTGGAAGATATGGTAGAAGCACCGATAACGATTCCTGGGATTCGGACGAGGTGGGAGATATTAGTGGCATTGAGATCACGAATAGAGATGTGCGATGCTGAGGAGTGGAGGAGAAGCTGGTGAGAGGGGAGTGCGACATCCCGCTGGCCAGGGTACACAATTCTTGCAGTACATTGCTTCAGGGCTAACTCGAACTAGTTCGTGTAAGTCAAAGGCACCAAACTACGGGAGGTTGAATACTTGTACTTACAAGAGGGATGATTTCGCCGGGTTCGGTTGTAAGTTTGTGGGCCAACTCCTCGTTGTAAGAAATCAGATGGGCGATGTCAATATCGCAGTAGTATTGTTTAACGAGGGCATTCTGCCGTAATTGATCACTGTTGCATCGAATATTAGAATTTGTCGCATCCTCATAAATGTGGGATACGTACCGGTAGACAAATGCATTATCCAACTGGAATTCCAGCACAAACTGTCGAAGATTGTTTTGGATTGTGGTTTTAGATTCTTCAGCACCATTTGTACTGGGTGCAAGGACGCTCAATGTATAGGGGGTGCGTCTATCCATTGTGTAGGGTAGATTTGACGGATTTTGGGGGGGGGTGGATGATTTGGCGGAAGGGAGGCTTCAAGAACTTTTGGTCAGTGTGGCACCAACGCGACGCGTCGCAGATTCACGCTTTCGCGCGTTAAGTGGTTTCTGACTCATCTTATGCCTTAGGCAAAAGTGTCAAGGCCTAAGGTGTCGTATCTGTGCCTTAGGCCCACAATCTCAGTCAGCGGAAACCGGGGCCGATGGTTGGCGCATTGACCGATTGGAGCATCCAGCTTGATGGAAACAAAGCCACATCGCAAGTATTCAGCCCCAAGGAACGAACTCGGACCGAAATCGCGAGTCGCAGAGCTGGCAGGATCAGAAGTGCGATCTTTTCCTGCGTCTCGCAGTGCTCTACAGCCCGGAATTTACCCACTGTCATGATCAGATAACACGGAACATCTCTACGATCGACCCTCCCCCGGTGGCCGTCCGATCCGGCTCGTGACAGCTATGTCGACAAACAGCCCACGAAAGTCAATTGATAGCATGGCGTCTGGGATCTCGTCGCCTTCAATCTCTTATTCCACGGGTCAGCTGGAATCTCCCCGCGTGCCCCCTCAACGGTTCCCCCTGAGGAGGGGATCAACTGCGAGCTCGATAGTGAGCATCGGAGGTGTTTTGGACTCTGCTCATCATCAGGGCTCGATTGCAGAGTCTGGACAAAATGGTTTGTGGCATTATGCCTCCCAATTGCTCGATGGATAACCTACTAAAGCCTACTTTAGCCATTTCGACACTCCTCCAGCCACCTATAATTCGCACCGGTCTGACGGCCCACAGTGCCACATCCTCCACAGGCTTCAAACCTCCATCCTCTCGTGACATACCGCCGGTGACTCTAACAAATATTAAACATGTTGATGCGAAGGTCTTCCAGCCATATCTCTCACAGGTGGGAACTCTATACGATGTATTTCAACAGCCAAAGGAAGGAATGGGGGAGGACCCCACCCAACAGGCACAGGCGGCCAAATCCCCAAAGCCGGATGCTGATCGCGATTCATTATTGCCTTGGTCCCCCGAGCGAAGGCCTTCGACCATGTCAACCAACTCGAGATCATCTTCGCCCTTTGATACTCGAGGTCGACGCCCGTCCACTGGTCGTGGGCGGGCCCCTGCAGTTACCCCTCTATCTACGATACCCCCTGTCTACTTCGAGGAAGACTTTCATTTGGAAAATCCCCGCACGTTCGATGTGATATCAGAGAAGTCAGATGTGGTTCGGCCGCCCCGGCCACCAACCAAAGACGACAAACAAGCCAATGGCTTGCTCCCGGAGCCGGTGCAGACTGGAAGGAAAGCACTGGCAACAAATGCTATCCTACAAGAAAAGCTGTCGTGGTATATGGATACTGTGGAAATACACCTGATCTCGTCCATTTCCACTGCATCCAAATCATTTTTCACTGCGCTAGGGTCACTCCGCGAACTTCATGCAGAAGCGGCTGACTCTGTCAACCGGATACAAGTTTTGCGGAAGGATTTGCAGAAGATAGACAAAGAAATGGCTCTGGGCGGACTCAAGGTTGTCAACCTAAGACGGCGAAGGGAGAATGTCCGAATGCTGGCAGCTGCTGTAGCTCAGCTCCGCGACGTGGTCGAATCCGTGTCCCGATGCGAGGAATTGGTAGAACAAGGCGACATTGAAGAAGCTGCTGAAGGACTTGAAGAGGTGGAGAAGTTGATGGCAGGCGATAAGGTCTCTGACCGTGCCGCTGCGGATGACGAAGAAGGCTCCCCAAGGCGCATAATCGACCTGCGAGGCATCAAGGCATTAGAAGGAGCATCCGATGATCTTGATCAACTTCGCCAGCGTATTGGCATGGGTTATGAGACCCGTTTCTTGAATGACTTACTGGGTGACTTGCGACAGCATGTGCAAAATGTGCCGTCTGATGCTACGCTGCAGCGCTGGGGAATTTCTTTTCAACGGCAGCGGGGTGGCCGACCGGTTTCAGTATCACCTGCTTATATGAGTTTCAACAGCGAGCTGCGATCACAGTTAGACATCCAACTCAATGGCCTCGCGCGTGCTCGCTATACCATGCCAGCGGCGACTTCTTTCAAGACCGCTGTTTTACGAGAAATGAAGGGGCTTATTCGCAAACACTTGCCTAGCTCTAGTGATGACGACAATGAATCTATGGTGTCACTGTCAACGCATGCTGGACATCAGCTAAGCCAACAAGAAAAATCATCGATTCTGGCTCGCAACCTCCGCGCTCTCGATCCTGAGGATGCCTATGCGATGTTGATAAACGTTTACACGGGCATTAGTGAGTCACTCAGACGACTGAGTGTCCAGGTCAAGATTTTGTTGGATATTGCTAGCGGTCTGGGTAACTCCCCAGCTTCTGGTGTTAGGTCACCACCTCGAAGTCCCAACCCGCAAAGCCTGGATCAGGCCCTGAAATCCCCACAGAGCGGCCCAACGGCCTCGGACATGGCCCAGGATGAGATCCTCCAAGTTTTAGACATGTCAAGTCTACTGGGTCAAGCTGTTGATATTGCTCAGTCTCAAATAACGAAGGTGTTGAAAGTTCGATCTGAACAAACTGCCCAGCTTCCAAAAGAACAGTTTCTCAATTACTTCACTCTCAACCGACTGTTCGCGGATGAATGCGAGGCCATCTCAGGACGTGGCGGCACAGCACTTAAGACCATTGTCGGCAGTCATATCCGCGATTTCATCACCCGTTTTGGTGATGCTCAGCGCCATCAGATCGTCAAAGTTATGGATGCAGACCGATGGGATGCGTGCGACTTTGGTGATGCTGAAAATACAATCTTGACTAGGATTTTGGATGCAAGTACTAAAGATATTGACGCTTGGTTGGATGCTTCCAAAATCTGGAACCACACTGCTGGAAAGGACCAAGCGCACTCCGATGATGCTGATGCGGCTGCCAATGGAACCGACAAAACCAAGGTGCGCAGTGCCATTGTCGATGAACAAAAGTACATTCTACCAGATTCTGCCATGGCGATGATGCGCAGCATCGAGGAGTTTGAATTCCTCATGTCGAATATCCCCAGCATGATCCAGGATATTGCGCCGCATCTACTAGATATCCTCAAACTCTTCAACTCTCGTTCATCCCAGTTGATTCTCGGTGCTGGCGCTACACGCAGTGCAGGCCTTAAGAACATTACAACGAAGCATCTTGCCCTATCGTCACAGGCACTGAGTTTTGTCATTGCTCTTGTGCCATATGTACGGGAATTCGTCCGCCGCTCGGGTCAAGCAAACCCCCTGATGGCCGAGTTCGACAAGGTCAAACGCCTGTGCCAGGAGCACCAGAGTGGTATTCACGAGAAGTTGGTGGATATTATGAGCTCGCGCTCTTCTCTGGGCGTCAACGCAATGAAAAAGATCGAGTGGGATGCCAAGGGTTCTTCTCCCACCGTTAGCCCCTTCATGGAGACATTAGCCAAAGAAACAGGCACTTTACATCGAGTGCTGAGCAAGCATCTCCCCGACATGACCGTCAGCATGATCATGGATCCTGTGTTCAAAAACTATGCCGATCAATGGAAAAAAGCCTTCCAAGAGGCGGACGTGCAGACAGAGGCTGGAAAAAAGAGGTTCGTCTACCATCACCATTTCACTCACCCATACTAACATGGCAACAGAATGCTAGCCGATGTCGAACACTTCCGAACTAAGCTCAGCAAGATCGAAGGCGCCAACGTCGTGAGCGATCAGCTCCTCGAAGTCGTGCAGGCCAAGGTCATTATGGACGAAGCTGAAAAGCCCGAGCCTGCGAGCGAGAAGCAAGAACCAGACGAGGGGTCTGATTCCACCAAGTCTTGAGTACCCCTTCTTGTCTTCTATTTTTACCCTATACATATAATTTCCTTTCCGCGCGTTTCTGCAAGCGCGTTCATATCGCTGTACACTTGTCATTTGCTGCTACCACATAGCTGTCCTGCATTTATAGATAGCCCGGCGTTAGTGGGTATGAATAAGATGTCGTTCCGCCTGCATGTGAATTAATACCTAGAATGGGGTTACATTTTTCAGCATGAAGATTTTGTATCAAGTTACTAGACCTTTTTACTATGTTCTACATTTGCAAGAAATGAATTGAGGAAGTGATATATCGTATCTCATTCAAGTAAATGCAATGGTCGTCAAACCAACCCGATCACAAAACTCCAGGTATATTTATACAAAAATAAAGAACTTATTGACCAGGCTGAGCACCGAGGCCCTTCTTGTCACCAAGAGTCTTGGGGTCATGACCACCCTTTCCAGAGCCAGGAGTGTTTTCGTAGCCGCCGCTGGGCTGGCTGGGGAAGACGTCACGGCCGGAGCCGGTCTCTTCGGGCATGGGGGCAGCCTTGTGGGCGCGGCTGAGGTCGCCGGACTGTGTCTTGTTAGTTTATATTGGATACATTTGAGCATCAATTGGAAACATACGTCGTTACCAACACCGTGAGCCTTGGTGGGACCGTTCTCAATTGGGTTGTCGCTCTGGGGGACACCGTTGTCGTATTCTGCGCCGCGAACCATTGTGATTGTAGTTGGGAGGGAGAGAGGGAGGAGTTTGTAGATTGTGCTTTAAAGATTGTAGATTGTAGATTGAATTGTTAAGAATTAAATATCAGCGCAATTGACCTTATACTTATACTTGGTCGTGGTAGATGCCGTGACAGCATGATGAAATCATAGTGGAGAGAATGACTTCATGCACTTCGCAAAATTACGATCTATGTATTAACTGCCTTGGAAATGGGCTGGACCCGGGCTTTCTGAATGCAATGGAATGTGCCAGTCAAAAAGAATTTATTAATTGTTTGATCTGTGCACTCCTGTGTGCTTTTTTCGGTCAGGATATATGGAAGTGTTGGGTAACTAATTCATATTCTGTTTCAGTGGTAGCAAAACTTGGAAATCGGAAATCTCAACCACACGTCTAACCAACTCGACAAAATCTTTCAATTGCAGACAATAACAAGCACATAGGAAATAGGAAATAAGAAAGGTTTCTCTTTTAACAAATTAGCGCTTATCTCAACTCCCAAACATGCTTTAATCAATCTACGATTCCAAGGTTATCGTTTGCGATTATCTTCTGCAATTCCGTGCCACCTTGCCTGTATAAAGACACAATCTCAATTCAGGCGAGACCCTGCTAAAAGAGTTTTCTCCGTCGTGGAAAGCGATGTCCGCGAGTTTAAAATCGTCGAGCGAGCTATTGGCCCTAGAAGCACCAGGAATATATTCCAAGCTTTCCCCTTCGTCCCGCGTTGATATTTGCAGGCTCAGTAATGCGGGCGTAGAGACCATGCCCGCCCATGTATTTCTACAGTGTGTGCAGCGTGGCCCGGCCCTCAGAGGGCTTGGGAGGTCATTTGGGTTGAAGGATTGCTCTGTGGGGACTGGGCCTTGTTCGCCAGGTTGATGGCGATCTTGGGTTGGGTGGCTATTGAGTGCTTTTCTTCTCTCGCGAATGTCCCGGCATGAAGAGCAGAGGATCTTTTGTTGCGTTTGTGGTGCATTGGTTCGCGAAAGAGCTGATACTGATGCTGAGACGTGCACTGTCATGGGCTGGTGTGTCACTTGGTTCTCCCAGAGTCCTAGCAGGGAAGATAGCGGTATTGGTGGTAGCTCACCATAAAGCAACTTGTTGCGGAGATTGTATGGCTTTGCTGGCTCACCGAAAGCTTCGGTCAGGGGCAGCGGGGCATCCTGCCTTGTGCCAAGGATGGCATTGTTCTTTTTGCGAATGGTGAGTGGAAGGGGTGCTAGGTGTTCAGTTCCAGCTGCCATGCGATACAACAAGGCATTACGCTTTCCGTATGTGAGCTCAATGATTCCGTCGCCGGATTGTGGATGTTTGCCTTTTGCGATGATTGTTTCCTCTGTGATGACTTGGTCCTTTGCGATAGTTTCACGTGAAACAACAAGTTCTGCCATTGGATCAGTGGGGATAGTGCTGGAACACGAGCACAAATCATCGTCTTTCAGAATGGACGAATTAGAATTCCGAAGATCAGACGTGATGAGGCAGCACAGTGGTGGATCAGGACGATCTATGAAATACAGGTCTGGGACCTGAGGAACAACATCATCACTGCACGGGCAACTCACCCAATTGACTTTTGTCGTTGAGCTCTCGTCTGAATATTCAGATCCATTACACTCAGTGCTTGATTGGGAGCCTGCACTCACACACAGCGCCGAAACGCCAGCTTTCCCAATGTCCGAGCTAGAGTTCGATTCTGAGTATTCGAAATCCTCATCACTCCATTTTTGGGTGAGAGAGACCGGGCTCGTGATTCTAATGATGGGATGCTCACGAGAGACCTCATCATTGGTCTCAGAATTGATAGTTGACCATTCGGATCCTCCACTTTCACTGCTCGAATTCGTAAGTAGTTCAAGGTTCGACAATCCAAGAACAGACGCAGACTGAGAGCCCGAGCTCTCGAAAACCCTGTCACTGTCACTACTAGAATCAGTACCGGAAGGCAAGTCGGGGTTCATGACTCTGAGCACAGACTCATCAACTGAAACACGCCATTCACCCCGCGGATCATCACAATAAGATCGACCGGGCTTAGTGACCACAGCGAGGGTAACGGTTCTAGACGAACCTATCTTGTCTATGAACATGTCATATGTACATCTCCACAATGAATTGCGGGCTGGACCAATATCCATGACGGATAAGTTGTAGAGCAAAGATGAGCCCAATGAGCCCAGTTTGGCTGGTTGAGTGTCATTGCGAAGTCTGTAGTAAGCGTCTGGGTAGCGAGCCGATAGGGCTCGGTGAACAATTTGTTCCAGCTCCCTCTGGGGAAGACGTTGTCTGAGTTTCCTTTCTATCTGATTGATGATCTTAGTGATGATTCTGGTGACTTTGGCGGAGAGTCTTGTCCAGCGATCATTTAGTTTCTTGTTCCGGGTAAGTTGGGTTTGCGGATACATTAACCGATTCCTACACCTCCGAAGCTTTCGCTTGCAGATTCGTAATCTCCGAAGCATTGCATCTGCGACAGGGTTTGGACTGAGATGGATGGAAGAGATGATGAAGATCGGAAGGCTGCAAAAGTGTGCATTTTTTTTCATTTCTCACTACCTCCTCGGCTCTTTTAATACTGCATAGATCCCGGCCCTTGGGGGTTGGTCGATGGGAGATTCCATGATGCATGCTCAATGCCTTTCAACTTTTTAGTGACTTCTATGTTGTCCAATATCCCCTTTCAGGTGTTGTCTCATCCACCACGGGAACGAACAGAGACATCGAAAATGGAAGAATTACCCGTTTCAATTGTTATATACTTGCAATGGGTGTAATTGCCAGATAAAATCTGACCAAGCGAGTTCGCATGTGCATCCATATGTGTGTGTGCATAGGTATCTTTTCTTTGGTCAGACATTAGGTGGCGAGTACCGATCAAACTGCATGTACATACAGTTGTATTGTAGACAATATACAATGTAGAGTATATGCAAATCAATAAAAAACCAATGAGAACCATTAGAGAGCTACCCCGCGGGATCAACGACGGCCTGAGCTAATGAATAAGTATTGTCTATACCTAATTGAGTACTAGGTATAATCACGATCAACTATTCGATCCCAGCTGTGGAGAATGTCAGCCTATGACGTCATGGCTTTCCCCAGATTCAGTAATTGGTTGACATATACTCCGTACACTCCTGTATATTGTATGTACAATATAATATGTACGCAGTATATAGCAGTATCAAGTAGGTACATGATTTGAAATAATAATGAAAAAAGGATCTGCAGAAGTGAACTAAATGTCAAACAAGTGAAAAGGTAACTAAGGTAACTAACATAACTAACACATGTAGGCTAAAAAAAAAACTAGGGATCCGAGAGCGTCAAATGGGAATAATCGGCCCGATCGCTCAGAGTTACATCCCGTCAGGTACCGTTGTACTTTAGAGCTATTACTTCCTTACTTATTAATAGTCAACTACTTAACTATAACTAAACTAATTTCTTAAGTAGTTGAATATACTTGTTTCGAAGATAACAATTTAAGAAATCTCTTCATTCCTCTCCTCTTTTTTTTTTCCACTTTTTTTTTCAAATTTTCATCGGGTGACCATTTCCTTGGAAGTTGTCCCAGATCTCCCCGTTAATTACGGAGTACACCTTAGCCTCTAAGGTGAAAAAAAAAATTAAGGTAACACTTGTGTCCAGTCCAACAAAAAACTTACACCGGGACAAGGAACGGGATAGCTGCATTCTCTAGCTCTATTTCCCCTTCTTCTAAACATCACTTATACGAGAATTGAATCTCTTCTAGACTCGGATTCGGCAACTTTGACTTCAAATCCCCAGAAACCCCAACCCCCAAGCGGCCCACTTCTCCCCGCACAGACCGAGTCGGAAGCTCTCTTGGATTTCGCCCCCCCCCCTCTCTCCCATTTCACTTTCCTTCACAAGTTTGGTTTTGAGCTTTTCAAACTGAGAGTTTCAGAATCATGGAAGAGAACGGTGAACCTATCAAGCGGGATGTCCGCAACCACATGCTCTTCGAGGTGGCCACCGAGGTGGCCAACCGTGTCGGTGGTATCTACTCTGTCCTGAAGTCCAAAGCTCCCGTCACCACAGCAGAGTATGGTGAAAGGTACACTTTGATCGGCCCCCTGAACAAGGCTTCGGCCGCCGTCGAGGTCGAGGAACTGACCCCGACCAATCCCGCCATGCGGGATACCATCCAGTCTATGAAGGAGCGCGGCATTGAGATGATCTACGGTCGCTGGCTCATTGAGGGTGCTCCTCGCGTACTCCTGATCAACACTGGGACCGGTTACAAGTGGCTGGATGAGTGGAAGGGTGATCTGTGGACCAATTCTGCTATTCCCTCCCCCGCTGCCGATAACGAGACCAATGAGGCCATCGTTTTTGGATACTTGGTCGCCTGGTTCTTGGGAGAGGTATGTGACAGCCCTGCCAGGGAGCTAAAAAAAAGCATTGGACCCGAAAAACTGACAATTCCTCGCTGTGTAGTATATTGCCCATGACCGTCGCCGGGCGGTCATTGCCCATTTCCATGAATGGTTGGCCGGTGTAGCTCTGCCCTTGACCAAGAAGCGACACATGGACCTCACAACTGTCTTCACTACTCACGCAACATTGCTGGGCCGTTATCTCTGTGCTGGCTCGGTTGATTTCTATAACAACCTCCAGTACTTCGATGTGGATGCGGAGGCCGGAAAGCGAGGAATCTACCACCGCTACTGCATTGAGCGCGCTGCTACCCATGCCTGCGATGTCTTCACGACAGTTTCCCACATCACTGCGTTTGAGAGCGAGCATCTGCTCAAGCGTAAGCCCGATGGTGTCCTGCCTAACGGTCTGAACGTGAAGAAGTTCTCTGCCATGCACGAGTTCCAGAACCTGCACTCCCAGGCCAAGGAGAAGATCAACGATTTCGTCCGTGGTCACTTCTACGGTCACAATGACTTTGACCTGGATAACACTCTCTACCTCTTCACTGCCGGCCGATACGAATTCCGCAACAAGGGTGTCGATATGTTCATTGAATCGCTGGCCCGTCTCAACCACCGACTGAAGGCAGCCGGGTCGACCATGACCGTGGTGGCTTTCATTATTATGCCCGCGCAGACCTCTTCGCTGACCGTAGAGTCGCTGAAGGGCCAAGCCGTCGTCAAGTCCCTCCGCGACACCATCGAGAACATCGAGAAGGGCATCGGCAAGCGCATGTATGAGCGCTGCCTTTCCTGGAAGGAAGGCGACAACATGCCCGACGAGAAGGATCTCATCACCAGCCAAGACCGCGTGATGCTCCGCCGTCGTCTCTTCGGCATGAAGCGCCACGGTCTCCCCCCAATTGTCACCCACAACATGCACAATGATCATGAGGATCCCATCCTGAACCAGATCCGCCGCGTGCAGCTGTTCAACCACTCATCTGACCGAGTCAAGGTCGTCTTCCATCCCGAGTTCCTCAACTCTGCCAATCCAGTCCTGCCCCTCGACTACGATGACTTCGTCCGCGGAACCCACTTGGGTGTCTTCCCATCCTATTACGAGCCCTGGGGATACACCCCGGCAGAATGTACGGTGATGGGAGTTCCCAGCATCACGACCAACCTCTCCGGATTCGGCTGCTACATGGAAGAATTGATTGAGAACTCCTCCGACTACGGAATCTACATCGTCGACCGTCGCTCCAAGGGCGTGGACGACTCGGTCAACCAACTGACCGATTACATGTTCAACTTCACAGAGAAGAGTCGTCGACAGCGCATCAACCAGCGTAACCGCACAGAACGACTGAGCGATCTTCTGGACTGGAAGCGAATGGGATTGGAATACGTCAAGGCGCGCCAGCTGGCGTTGAGGAGAGGTGGGTTTTTTTCTTTTTCGCCTTTTGAGTTTCTGTAGCGCACGGACTAACATTTCCTAGCTTACCCATCCTCCTTCGAAGGCCAAGAAGATTACTTCGATATCATTGGAGGAACGGAACAGAAGATCTCCCGCCCGCTTTCTGTTCCCGGTTCCCCTCGGGATCGAACCGGAATGATGACCCCCGGCGACTTTGCCTCCCTGCAGGAGGGTCATGAGGGGTTAAGCACGGAGGATTATATTGCCTGGAAGTTGCCGTCAGTATTTCCCTTCTTCTTATACTATCTATGCGTATGCAAAGAGTATACTAATCCCCCCACAGTGAAGAGGAAGAGCCCGAAGAACACTTCCCGCTCACACTGCGAACTCGCAAGGAAGCCCGGGCTGCCTCAGAGTTGGATAGCATATCCATCAATGGCAGCCGTAACCAGAGTCGTAGCCAGAGCCCGAAATAGGAGGATCCCTTGGCGTTGTCATAACCGAGGGTAATTCGATTCTCTGTTTGACGTCATGTGTAATTGTTTAATTATTTGTTTGTTCTTTTTGTTGGTTTTGCAGTGCATTTGAAGCCTTTCTAATTTGGATGGAATTGAATTGAAATTGTATCCAGCCTACAGTGAAATTAGTTGATTGGAGCTACAACGTACCTACTACCTACCGTAGCAACCGGAGCTACGATGTCCGGTTGAGCTCGGAGCTAGATCGGAGCTTACAATATAGAGTTACCCAAACTATCCACAACGTCGTCCTGCAAGCAATCATAGGCGCCGGTGATTATCGTGTCTCGGTGAACTTGCGAGGCAATTATTGAATCATGATCATCTCGGCGGGGTACTTCTGTCCTATTTCTACCCCTCACTCTCCCCTCCTCGTTCTTTCTTTTTCTCTTCATACGTTCTACGTTCTTACTTACTCATACAATTATACGGTACGACTCTCTATGGAGTGCACGTCCGGTACCCCGCGGGGTAACCCATCGCTAGGATGAAGAGATGGATCAAGGTATTTGCTCTTAGTATAATAGTCGTTGCCGCCGCATGACAGGTGTTCAGACCGGTCAGAGAGCGATCTCGCAAGGGATAGGTCTCTGGCTGGCTGATCTGAGATTATACTGTCAAAACTTGATCTAGACAATACTAGCGAAAGGACATGCGTGACTCTGATTATTCCCCTGTTTGTGTTTTGTGTCAGGCTGATCTGTCTGTTGCTGGTGTTTGATACAGTGTACATTGTAGCTATGTACATATGTCGATACCTGTCGACATGTGCTTGTACATGTACATGTTTTCACAAGCACCAGGAACAGATTGGAAGCCAGATACTTGCTTTGGTCATACTGACTCCATGAAGCTTTACCAGCTTGAATTTCCATCATGTCTACCGACAAGATTACTTTCCTGACCAACTGGTATGGCTGACACTTACAGTTCGAGCGATTTAGTGCTTCGCTCTGCACAGATATAGATCAATTGGCTAAGTATCTCCAGGCACGCCACCCCGTACCACGCCCCCCTCTACCTCGCTCAGAGCAGAGGATACTTCAAGGATGAAGGTCTGAAGGTTGCTCTGCTGGAGCCCAACGACCCCTCCGACGTGACCGAGATTATCGGCAGCGGCAAGGTCGATATGGGCTTCAAGGCTATGATCCACACCTTGGCGGTTCGTTCTCCATAGTCCCCGAGACAAGAACATTACTGATACCTTTTAGGCCAAGGCTCGCGACTTCCCCGTGACCTCCATCGGCTCCCTGCTCGATGAGCCTTTCACCGGTGTCGTGTACCTCAAGTCTAGCGGTATCACCGAGGACTTCCGCTCGCTGAAGGGCAAGAAGATTGGATACGTTGGCGAGTTCGGAAAGGTAGCTTTACGCCCAATCAAATCCAACATAACACAATGCTAACCAGCCCAGATTCAAATCGACGAACTCACGAAGTACTACGGCATGACCACAGACGACTACACCGCCGTCCGCTGCGGCATGAACGTCACCAAGGCGATCATCCAAGGCGACATCGATGCGGGCATCGGTCTGGAGAACGTGCAGATGGTCGAGCTGGAAGAGTGGCTCGCAGAGCAAAACCGTCCACGCAGCGACGTGCAAATGCTACGGATCGACCAGCTCGCCGAGCTGGGCTGCTGCTGCTTCTGCTCGATCCTGTACATTGCGAACGACGCGTTCATCGCCGCAAACCCAGACAAGATCAAGGCTTTCATGCGGGCCGTCAAGCGCGGCACGGACGCCGTGCTGTCCGACCCAGAGACCGCATACAAGGAGTACATTGACGTGAAGCCTATTATGGCGACTGCTGTCAACCGCAAGATCTTCGAGCGGTCGTTTGCGTACTTCTCGCGCGACTTGAAGAATGTCCAGCGCGACTGGACTAAGGTTACCAATTACGGAAAGCGCTTGGGGATCCTCGATGAGCAGTTCGTGCCGAACTACACGAACCAGTATCTCTCCTGGGGACTGGATGCTGATTCGGAGGATCCTACTGGTGACCAGAAGCGTATGGCGGCGCTCCAGAAGGAGGTTGCTGCTACTGGTGGGTACAAGCGTCTTGAAGTCGGCGCTGAGGTCAAGGCTTCTGCTTAGATTGGAATATCTATGCTGGCTTCACTCTTTAGCCTTTGAGGAGCAATGAAATTACCCCGAATTATCTTGTTGGTATCATTGCATTTGTCCTTTGTAGTAAATCTTGGAGTAGAATGAGATGTATTCAAACATCAATTGCATAACATAATCGTACGTTATATGGGGGAAATAGTGATTTAGTGTAGATCCTAATTGGCATGGAAGGGTCATTTCAGGGTCATTTCAGGGTCATTAAACATGAAAGGTCGTTAGATCTCATCAAAAAGGTTGATCGAAGGGAGTTGGAAGTAATCAGGTAACAGTCGAGGTCGTCCCCTCACTCTCCACACTCTCCACGCGAAGCATAGCGCGCAGTCGACCTTCAGCAGACTGCAATACAGGCGTAGAAGCTGGCCCAGCAACACGAGGAGTCCAATTCAACCAATCAAGCAGCGACTGGACAATTTCCGAGCCCGAGCCAGAAGCAGCTCTCTCGGAACTGAGAGCAGCCCCAGGAAGGAGGTCAAGTTCAGACGACCCTTCATCAGCGCTAGCATCCAAATGTACTTCCGAGACAACAGCAGGCGTAGCCATAAGAACCGAGGACCGGCGACCAGTTCCAGCAGCATTCTTCGCTAGCAAGTCACAGCCCGTATGATTAGGCCTGGAAGCGAATTCGCGCACGAAAGGCGTCGACGGAACAGATACTGGCTCGGGCCTAATCGCAAACACCGTTTCAGCCTCGGAGTCCATCCCCGGCGAGCGCGGTGAATGTGAATGCGCTTGGCCCTGTTGCGGCCACCCGTTCTCCAGCACGGAAGCTGTACGTAGATTTTCAAGATACCGGTAAAACGAGAACGGATGCATATCAAGTCCTGCATCCATATCGTCCCCATCAACAATGGTGATATGGGGCTGTTCGACATCAGGAGTCGCCTCCTCGACGGCGCCCAGGCCATCAGGCGGAGCGATAATTTCTCCCAACGGCGCAATGTGGCTCCCGTACTGATTCGACAGGCTGAGCTTGCTCCGGCCACAGATGTCAGCTATCGAATCCAGTGTGTCGCGAATATCGGGCTCGATGGCTTGTAGTATACTTTCGATACTGAAGTCCTTATCAGAAGGCAGAGGGATATTCGGCTGACGAGGAGCAGAAGATGAAGATGAAGACACTCTAAGGCCGGAGAAAGGGAAGAAGCGGCGGGACATGGCAGGCCTCGAGTTTACCTGTGCATCGCGCGAGTACGCTGTAACAAGTACAGGCCCGCTAGCCGGCATGGAGTGAGTGTCAGGATCGGACCGGTTAGAAGTCAAAGTCGGAGTGGACGGGTTGAGCTGGCGGAGAGCTGTGGCGCTGTATCCGGCCGTATGGGGTCGGGGATCTGCGTGGGCTGGAGCAGCAGCAAGGATGGGAGGCGCTTGGGACGCGGATGGTCGTCGCCATCCTCTTTTAGGTGTGTCTGCTTCCATAGTGGAGGGTGTGATACATGCACGGTGAAGGCGACCCCGCTCTGAAGGGGTTGGGTTGGGCTAGCGTGATGATGCGGTGCATGCGCTATGCATATTCGCCGATGCACGGTGGCGGGTTTGGGATTGGTCGCTTCATTTAGGAGGGAATGGGGTCAGGGATCGTCCTGGGGGAATCGGGGTGTTGGACTGTCCGTTGTATACATGTAGGCTGGGATGCCAAGACCGATACCACGTTTCCCCGATCTGCGCTCTAAATGTTGACTGTTGACCACCACTCACGCATTGCTCGTACGCACGATGAATCAGTTCCAGGTATGAATTTGTGTTTTGTTTGATTTGTTTCTTCTAACTTTTGGCTAGTTTGGCGACTCCGACGGGTCTGCCTCTGACTTTGATGAAGAAGACCCCTCCGGTCTCCCCTTCCCCGAACCGTTATCTCGCACCTCATTCTTAGCCCCTGGGTTTGATCCGGCCAATTTTCTCTCCTCATTGACGAATCGGCACCAGAGTCTTGAGGATCTGCGTCAGGAGTTGCGCGGATTGGAGCAATCCCTGAATAAGGAGCTCTTGGACTTGGTCAATGAGAATTACCAGGACTTCCTGTCCCTCGGGAGTGCGCTTCGCGGGGGCGAGGAGAAAGTTGAAGGAGTCAAGGTCGGAGTACTTTCATTCCAGCGTGATGTCAAAGCTATCCGGGACAAAGTCGAGGCGCGACGTCAGGAGGTCGACGAACTGCTGAATGAGAAGCGGCGGCTACGGACGATGGCTGAGATTGGAAAAGACCTGCTCGACTATGCGGATCGGGTTGAGGAACTTGAGCACCGACTGATGATCGAAGACAAGTCTTCCAATGGGGACGTCGACCCGGAGGAATCGGATACAGAGTCCGACCTGTACAGCAACGAGGATGGGGATGGCGATGACGAAGAGCTGGCGGACGGGACGCCTGCGATGTCATTGAAGAGGCTTGAACGACATGTTCAGAAGTTTGTCTATTTGACCTCGATAGCTGCCCGGGTCGGCGAGAAGCATCCCTTCCTGCTTGCGCAGCAACCGCGAGTCGTGAAGATCAAGTCAACGGTGCTTCTGGATCTTAAGACCTCACTGGAACAGGCCACGGCGGCTGGTAAGGGCAGCAAACGCGACGCCCGTACAATGGCTGTTCTACGACTCTACGATCTGATGGGCGAGGATGTCAGTGCCGTTGCTGCATTGAAGAACCTCAAGCTGTAAAATATGCTTTGTCCTTGACCTGGGAACATGCAGGGTTGCATACATAGCGTCGGCGTTTGCTTTTATACATGTTCTACTTCAACAACGATACCATGATACACCCTCTTGTCCTAATAAAACAATAGATTTGTACACGCCAAACGATATAAAATAAATATAGTATGTTACACGCCGGTCAAGGCAGAGGTTGCGGGGGAATCATCGGTGCGGAACTCGCCGTTGAGTGAGAATCCGGGTCCGTTAGTCGAGCTCAGTACCTGTATTGCTGTTAGGATACGTTTGATATGCCGAGATAAATGCACTTACCACTTCGTAGATCTCCTTGTTGACACGGTCGGTCAGCGCAGAGGCATCCTTCTTGATTTGATCGAGAGTCACGCGCAAATTATCGCGCAATTGCTCCGGGGAGAAACCCAACTGCCCAATGGGCAAACGGATAACAGCGTCACGCTCACGGTACACAGTACCTCCACGGAGCATTTCCACACGCGCAGCAACATCTTCCACGACGGTACCAGTCTTCGCACTGGGCATCAAGCCACGAGGACCGAGGATACGACCCAGCCCAACCTTGTTGAGAGCCGGCATACTGTCCGGGTGAGCGAGACACCGATCGAAATTGATGTGGCCGGCCTTGACAGCTTCGAAGACCTCATCTTCACCGACCAGTACAGCACCTGCGGCGAGCGCTTCCTTCGCCGCCTTCGAGTCGGGGGGACAGATGACACAGATTCGGGATTCGGTTTGGACGGCGTGCGGGAATCGGATCATGTTACGGATGACGGGACCGTCTCGCTTTGTGCGCAGGCGAACGTGCAGCTCGTATTTTTGGAGTGTGATCTCGCGACCGACTTCGGTGGCTCGGATGATTCTGTTAAACGGATGTCAATTGATATGCGTTTTATTGGTTTGAACCGGGGACGGCGAAGGCATACCGCATGGCATCACACAGAGCCCATTGTGGCATATCCTTCAGGTTATACTGTCTGAACTCCTGGGGACCTCTGCGACTCTTCGTAGGTTGGGCGGCTTTCCCCTTGCGGTTGGTCTTGACCTTGAGACCTCGGACCTGCTGGAGAGTCGAAAAGGCAGGAGCAATTGAGGCCTCTCTGATGGATGGTCGGCATGATGAGAGGATTCCGCGTGCCGCGGTGGGCAATACCGAGCCATAAGACGACATGACTTGCGATCTTTAATTTGAGCTGGCTGACGGGCTTGAAGCAATTGTTTTCTGCCGGAAAGCTGCCGGCCCGGAGAAATGTGAATCCGGACGGGGATGGAGGTGATGACTGCCCCTCCAGAAAATCAGATCAGTTCCCACATTTGCGCAACAATGTCTCAATTCGATCTGAAGGTGGCCACTCGTGCTAACCATGCGGCGCTTCTGCCCGTGGTCCTCATTGCTACCTCAATCAACGAGGCTCGCCCCACCCCGGTGATCAACATTGTCTACGAGGATACTGCCCTTCTCCAGGACGGCGACAAGGCCATTGTGCAGCTCGTTGCTGGATCCAACTCCGTCTTTGGCACCGCCAATGTCATCCAGGAGCTTACTGTACACTTCCCTTTCCTGACTGGCAAGGATGCTAAGGTGGTGAGTTACCAAGTTGCTACTACCCCGCGAATGTCTGGCAGGGACGGGCCAGTTCCTATTCCGGACGCCCGGCTGCTATAAGCAAGACCTGATCTGACAATGTTTGCAGGAAGCCGAATGGCTGTCTCAGCTGGACACCTTGACCACTCTCGATTTCAAAGCCCTCGACCCTATCCTCCAGCGCATTGACACCCACCTGCTGCTTCGCACCTTCATCGTCGGATACTCTCTCTCCACCCCCGACCTTGCTATTTGGGGTGCTCTCCGTGGCAACCGTGTCGCTGTTGCCGCGCTGAAGAAGGGATCTCTCGTCAACTTCACTCGGTGGTACCGATTCCTGGAGGAGCTTTGCCCTTGGACCCACGCCGCCGTGGAGTCTATGACCGCGGTTGCTAAGGAGAAGAGGAATGCTAAGGCCAAGGAGGGTGCTAGCTACGATATTGCTCTCAAGGGAACTGAGAATGGCGTTGTCACTAGATTTCCCCCGGAGCCTTCGTAAGTTGTGGCCGCTTGGTGTCCTTGAATGTTCAGACTAACTTTGTGCAGTGGATATCTCCACATTGGTCACGCCAAGGCCGCTCTTCTCAACGACTACTTCGCCCATGAGAAGTACAACGGCACTCTTCTGCTCCGGTAAGTCACCGCTGCACCAATCAGGTATACCGACCTTGGCGATACTAACATATACTATCAGCTTTGACGACACCAATCCGTCGAATGAGAAGCAGGAATTCGAGGATGCTATCGTCGAGGATCTTGCCCTTATGGGTATCAAGCCTAACAAGATGACCTACACCAGTGACTACTTCGACGAGCTCTACGAGTACTGTGTCAAGATCATCAAGCAGGGAGATGCCTATGCTGATGACACTGACAAAGAGACCATGGCTGCCCAGCGTTTCGATGGCTTCCCTAGCCAGCGCCGTGACCTGTCCCCCGAGGAGAGCTTGGCCCGTCTTGAAGATATGAAGAACAACACCCCCGAGGGACTTCGCTGGTGTATCCGTGCTAAGATCTCGTTCGACTGTCCCAACAAGGCTATGCGCGACCCCGTCATCTACCGCTGTAATCCGGCACCTCACCACCGTACCGGTAGCAAGTGGAAGATTTATCCTACCTACGACTTCGCTTGTCCTATCGTTGACTCAATGGAGGGTGTCACTCACGCTCTCCGTACTATTGAGTACCGCGACCGTAATCCTCAATACCAGTGGATGCTGGATACTATGAAGCTCCGCCACGTCCAAGTGTGGGACTTCGCCCGGATGAACTTCATCAGGACTCTCCTGTCTAAGCGCAAGTTGACAAAGCTGGTCGAGACTGGTGCTGTTTGGGGCTGGGATGATCCCCGTTTCCCTACTATCCGCGGTATTCGTCGCCGTGGTATGACCATTCCTGCCCTTCGGGAGTTCATCCTTAAGCAGGGCCCCTCTAAGAACGTCACCAACTTCGATTGGGCTCTTATTTGGGCAACTAACAAGAAGTACATCGACCCTATTGCTGGCCGCCACACCACTATCTTTAGCAAGGATGCTGTCAAGACCACTGTCACCGGTGGCCCCGCCGCGCCCTTCACCGAGGAGAAGCCTAAGCACGCCAAGAACGCTGCTGTTGGTAACAAGAAGGTCATCTATAGCAGCTCTATTCTTCTCGAGCAGGAGGATGTGAAGCTCTTCAAGCCCGACGAGGAGATCACTCTCATGAACTGGGGCAATGCCTTTGTTCGTAAGATCAGCACTAACGCCGAGACTGGTGTCATTACCAACCTCGAAGTCGAGCTGAACCCTACCGGTGATGTCAAGAAGACCGAGAAGAAGGTCACCTGGCTTGCTGAGGAAGGACAGGATCTTGTTCCCGTTGAGCTGGTTGATTTCGACCACCTGTTGAACAAGGATTCCCTGACTGAGGATGATGTCCTAGAGGATTGCCTTAACGAGAAGACCGAGTTCCGTGAGGCCGGTGTCGCCGACTGCAACGTCGCTGACCTCAAGGAGAATGATATTATCCAGTTTGACCGCAAAGGCTACTACCGCCTCGACCGGGCCTACAGCCCTGGCTCCCCTGCTGTGTTCTTCAACATTCCTTCTGGAAAGACCAAATAGATCTGCGGTTTGGTTTGATGTGATCTGATGCCATATGAAGCACGTCTTATGAGTGATGTATCAAGGCCAGAAATGTTCTATAAGTCAATGAAACATGGTATATGCTTTCAATTATTCACAAGAAGCATTATAATGGATGTGTATCTGGTTCACAACTGTCGACAATAGTAGAAGTAGCCTACAAGCAGGCCCTTTAGTCGCATGTTATCTTACAATTTGTCAACCTTGTAGATAGCTACCTGTAGAGGATTTAAACCTGAATGTGAATGGGCTACATGTTGGTGCATGGCCATATGACAGGTCGGTTTGGCGCAATAAGTCACTTTTGGGTGGATTTGTCACGTTGGGCACAAAGTAAGTGGACGAGATACAGCATCTATGCGCTATAGGGCTAGCGATGATCACGTGTGAACGATATGTGTTGCCGGTTGTGACAGAGTTATTTGGCTCTCTGCTTCTTATGCTTTTCGATGCCCCAAGCGTTGGCTCCTTTCATCACGGTTCAACTCCCCTTGGTTAATAATGAGATAGCTGTGGGAAGGATGTAAAGTCCGCTCGCTCGCCGGGTGCTAGCGGAATGGGCAATATGACGTCGAGGAGTTGCTACCAATTGAGATCCAAACAGCCGACCACTTTGGATCCAGCCGCGCAAAACCATGGCTGTTGTTTTTGTTTACGCCGGCTCAGTTGACATACATACTTGGTTATTTGACAGGCCAACTATCGGTCAGGAGATAATCCACGCAGGCCGAGACATAGTATAAAGCTTCATGTTGGCTGAACAAAGATGAATCGATTCTCGGCCTGACCAGGTGTGCTGCTCTCGTTGGCGATGCCGAGGTCTCAAGAGGGACAAGCTGCGCGCGACCCGAAGAGTTCCCAAAGGATTCTGATACAGCGAGTGTAGGTTTAGCCTAACCAAAATAAACCCGAGGAAGACAGGCTATACTCATTCGATGAAATGGTCAAGAAGTTCCGGTGGTTCGTGCAGGCACTTTATAAAGTTCATGCTAATGGAGCTCGTCCACGGATCTCCAACTATGTCCCTTGGTCTTCTTGTCCAATTCACTTTCAAACTACCAAACACGGCCACCAGAACAATGAGAATACAATGCCTAGGCCTAAGAGGTGTCTCCCGAGGATTTCCTGTCTCGACGTCAGCATGATTTGCTACGAGATTTCAACATCTGTTGTGACACTGGCTTCTCTCCCCCATGCAAACAATTAAGGAATCACCACAAACCTTTTTACGAGTGAATTGGAACTTCCAACTACTTTTGTTCATCGACAGTTGTTGAAGAGCAAGAGGCCTACACCCAGTTTACCTTCGTTGTGTATCCTCGCTTCTCCTTCGATATCTTCGTGTTTCGGGCGTTTGTTCTGAAACTTCGAGATTGTCTACCTGTCTAAACGGTTTGCTTCAATCAAAACCCACCGTAGTGGTACATCTCTGACTAAAACTCTTCTAGCAACTGATCATGGCTGAAAAGGCTGGTGCCGAGCGTACCGAAGCCACTCGACGCCGTAGCTCACGGATTTCTCGGGCTTCTCTGAGCGGGGACTGGTCCAACCTGGACGAGTATGGCAAGCTTGTCAAGTATGTGTCGACTTTCAAGGACCCCAATGCGGCCGATGAGGAATCGGGCGAAGTGGTAGAAAAGCGGGCCTGGTATGCTCCGTGGAAGAAGCGCAAGGTCCGCATCAAGAGAGTTGAAGGCGAAACCGGCAAATTTCCTCCAGATTGGACCATGACCGACATCCGGGAGGGACTTTCTAGTGCGGAAGTCCCGATACGCCGTCGTCGGGCTGGATGGAACGAGTTGACATCTGAGAAGGAGAATCCCATTGCGAAGATTCTTTCGTACTTTCAAGGTCCAATTCTCTACGGTTAGTTCTTCAAATGCCCTCCTTGCCGACATTGCTAACCTGGGCGCAGTGATGGAGTTGGCCGTTTTGCTAGCTGCCGGTTTGAGTGATTGGGTTGACTTTGGTGTGATCATCGGTATCCTGTGTCTGAACGCCTCGGTCGGTTGGTATCAAGAAAAGCAAGCTGCGGATGTAGTTGCGAGTTTAAAGGGTGATATCGCGCTGCGGGCACAGGTTGTCCGTGACAGTGCTCAACAAGAATGCCTTGCTCGAGAGTTGGTACCAGGCGATGTGGTCAGTCTTCCCCTCTCAATTATTCTCAGGGCATACTTAAACTTACAAGTTCTCCAGGTAATTATTGGTGAAGGCCAGGTTGTACCTGCCGACTCGAGGGTGATCTGTGATTTCAAGGATCCGCATGGCTGGGAAGAGTTTAACCAGCTTGAAGAGCAAGGTATGCTGGGTGGAGGATCTGAATCTGACGAAGACGACCCAAGCAAGAACGAGAAGAAAAAGGAACAAGATGACGGTAAAGCAAAGGAAGCAGAAGGCAATGATGATGACAAAGAAGAGCAACCAACTCATCAGCCTCGTAGGCGTGGATACCCTATATTGGCTTGCGATCATTCTGCCATAACAGGCGAGTCGCTGGCTGTGGACCGTTATATGGGTGACATGATCTTTTATACAACTGGGTGCAAGCGAGGCAAAGCATATGCTGTAGTCCAGACAGGTGCGAGAACTTCCTTCGTTGGCCGCACTGCTACCATGGTGCAATCTGCCAAGGGCGCCGGACATTTCGAACTCGTGATGGACAACATAGGGACATCCTTGTTGGTTCTCGTTATGGCTTGGATCCTCGCTGCGTGGATTGGTGGCTTCTTCCGTCATATTCCAATTGCTTCGCCCGGGCAGCAGACCTTACTTCACTATACCCTGTCATTGTTGATCATTGGCGTGCCTGTCGGTCTGCCAGTCGTGACAACTACTACTATGGCTGTCGGTGCAGCATATCTGGCAAAAAAGAAGGCAATTGTGCAAAAGCTGACTGCGATTGAGTCACTAGCTGTAAGTTCGCACCAAAACGAAGTGCTGCGTCACAAACTCACAAAAGGACAGGGCGTTGATATTCTTTGCTCGGATAAAACCGGTACTCTGACGGCAAACAATCTGAGTATCCGCGATCCATATGTGGCCGAAGGTGTGGATGTAGACTGGATGTTTGCCGTTGCTGCATTGGCATCCTCGCACAACATTGAATCGCTTGATCCGATCGACAAAGTCACCATTTTGACACTCAGACAGTACCCAAGAGCTCGAGAGATTATGCGTCGTGGCTGGACCACTGAGAAATTTACGCCCTTTGACCCAGTGTCAAAACGGATTGTCACCGTGGCGGTCTGTGATGGAATTCGATATACATGCACGAAGGGAGCTCCAAAGGCCGTACTCCAATTAACGAGTTGCTCTAAGGAGACCGCTGACATGTACAAAGCCAAAGCGCAAGAATTTGCGCATCGAGGCTTTCGTTCTCTTGGTGTCGCTGTTCAAAAGGAAGGAGAAGATTGGGCGTTGCTTGGAATGCTGCCGATGTTTGATCCACCTCGTGGAGACACAGCCCAGACTATCAGTGAAGCACAGAACCTTGGTATCAGCGTAAAAATGCTTACAGGTGATGCCATTGCTATTGCAAAAGAAACATGCAAGATGTTAGCTCTGGGCACCAAGGTGTACAACTCGGACAAATTGATTCATGGCGGTTTGAGTGGTGCTATGGCCAGTGATCTTGTCGAGAAAGCGGATGGATTTGCCGAAGTGTTCCCTGAACATAAATATCAAGTGGTGCAAATGTTGCAGGAACGGGGCCATCTGACGGCGATGACAGGAGACGGCGTGAATGACGCACCCTCGCTTAAGAAGGCTGATTGCGGAATTGCCGTTGAAGGTGCTTCTGAAGCTGCGCAGTCTGCATCGGACATTGTGTTCCTCGAGCCTGGCTTGTCGACTATCATTGACTCAATCAAGGTTGCACGGCAGATTTTCCACCGCATGAAGGCCTATATTCAGTACCGTATCGCACTTTGCCTGCATTTGGAGATTTACCTCGTGACCTCCATGATTATTCTCAATGAAAGCATCCGAGTGGAGCTGATTGTCTTCCTGGCATTGTTTGCGGATCTTGCAACAGTCGCCGTTGCCTACGACCATGCTTCTTTCGAACTGCGGCCTGTCGAATGGCAACTTCCAAAAATTTGGTTCATCTCTTGCGTGTTAGGTGTGCTGCTCGCGTTAGGTACCTGGGTTGTGCGCGGAAGCATGTTCTTGAAGTCTGGAGGAATTATCCAGAACTGGGGTGCTGTTCAGGAAGTCCTATTTTTAGAAGTGGCTCTGACCGAGAATTGGCTCATCTTCGTTACTCGTGGTAGCGACACTTGGCCATCCATACACTTGGTGACTGCGATTCTCGGCGTGGATGCGTTGGCAACTATTTTCTGCCTGTTTGGATGGTTCACCAATCAAGATATGAAAACCAAGCCTGCCGACAAATTTGTTGAAACTACGAATGGCTGGACTGATATCGTGACTGTTGTGCGAATCTGGGGTTATTCGCTAGGTGTCGAGATCGTCATTGCTCTGGTATACTTCATCCTGAACAAGATCAAGTGGCTTGATAACTTGGGCCGGGTTCAACGCGACAAAGGTGAAATCAAAATTGAGAACTTCCTCGCTCACATATTTCGCCTTACTGTTGAATATGAAGAGGATGGCCAGCCAAAGGGCCGATTCTGCCTGGCTGCCAGCAAGGAAGAGGAGGAGGCCGAGTGAAGGAAATTGGAATACGGACTTCAAAAGGAAGATGAATCTATGCACTCTTCCCAGGGAATTCCGGTTGGAGCACTGTGTTCTCGAAATTTTTTTTATTTACGTGGCTTAATCTTAATTGAAAAGAGTTAGACATGACCTTCAGTTCCATCAACGACAAATGTGGAGAAAAGTAAATAAGGTTAGGGAGTGGAGCCATATAAAAGTCAAATGCCCCCACATTTCATTCACACCTTATGTATAGCGTACTGGTTACCCCGCGATCACCGAACCCCGACCTGGTCACATTAGAGCCGCTTATCTCTGGCTACTAAGCCGACGGACGTATGTGATCCGCAGAGATGACTAAATTCATAGGCATTGTCTTAAAATGTTGCTTTCTGTCCGGCCCAATATTGATAGATACACGCACACATCTTGTCTGAAAGATAGGCTCTTATGTTATATTACATTGGTTACGTTGATCATTTATCATGCGTTGATCTTACAGAGAGATACGACTAGGTCAAGTGGCCAAAAGATACACAGAAATTATGTATAATAGGCGAATCATCTCTCTGGGAAGGAAAGCCTACACTATTTTTGAAGAGTCAACTCAGGGTATTAGAACTCAAGATGCTAAATCATGTTCTCTGTGCATTACTATCCCTTGAGTTCATTGTTGACAAGGCCGAGCAAAATGCATTCAGATCTTCTTCGACCTCATCCAAATTGACTTGCGAGACCCACTCATTAACTCTCTCTTTTACAGTCTCGACTTGATCAAAATCGAGCTTGTGCTTGCGCATATCGTCCAGCCACACTTTCAGCGCCGGTCCTAGGTGATCCATGAAATGGGTGAAGTCTCCAACTCCCCCGAGGGTGTTTGTTATGATAGGCCCACACAACGCCCATCACAACCCAAGGCCAGATGTCACAGTTTTATCTATTCCAGTCAGTGTATAGAGAGTGGATGTGCTCAAGCAGATATGACTAACCAAGATCTTCCGCAGAAACGACTCCTCTCGATATCAAGCTATAGGCCTCGGCACATACTGCGGCTTGCAAACGGTTGGCGATAAATCCTGGTGTCTCTTGCTTGACAATCACAGGATCTTTGTCCAGACTTCGGTAGAATTCGCATGCAGTAGTTACATCCAAAATGTGCCTTTCTCGAATATGCTAAGCATGCATGCGCTAGCTTCGCAAGCCGTTGTGTTTATGCTAATCGCAGTTACATGGATATGAGATTTTCCATTCGACTATGGCGAGCACAGGGGGCAATAGGGACGTGGAACCTGTGCTAAGTAATATAGCTACGTTGGATGGGTCATTGTTAAGGCCTTATATTCTTGGGCTGGGGCAAACTGCGCTGATGATAATGACTTTGCGCCACTTATCCATGGCTAATGTTATACAACATGGCGAGGCAGCGCCGCTCCTGGGGGGAGAAGGAACAGGAAGTGAATGTCGAGTCAGTTTCAGCCATCTCTTATATCCGCATTAGAATTTCAATCAATCAATCAATGTAAATTCTACCGCATTGCTGGCTGGCACAATAATGGCAGGTATACCTCTACTATCTTTCTGCGATCGACCTCACACTCATCCCCATTCGCGTCAATACCCTATTTCAGTTTGGAGATTCTTAAACTACTGGTACCGGCATCGTCTTTTGACGCATAGGTTCCTAGTAGGCAGTATCCTTAACTATAGGTGAAGTCATATAGACTGTCCAGAATATCGAACTAGCTGGAGGCTACGGTCCCCCCGGTTTCGGTCTAAGCCGGTGATGGGATAAGAGCGCCTATTTTGGTATAAGTATGACCAAGTGCTCCCACACAGACAGGCATCGTATCTAATTGCGATAAGTATTACACGGTGGGAGACGGGGATTCAGGCGCCCAGATTGAAACAACATATGGGATTACATTTTCACAGCTGTACCAGTGGAATCCCGCGATTGGATCAGACTGCCACACCCTGGCAATCGGGTATTAGGTTTGCGTGGGAGTTTCTGCTGAGACCACTAAACAGAAACGGACGGAAAATGACCGATTGAAGTCTCCGAGAGAGAGGGAAGGAAGAAGACATATGCATCTACACAACCGGGCTGTTTAGACAGTTTTTGTTGAGATTCTAGTTGGAGGTAGTTTTGGGAGATATGTGAACTAAATAAAGTAGACCTTTCATCTGCTGTAAATTACCAGGTATTATCGGTATTTATTGTAATTTATGGAATAATCTAAAATTACCAAAATTACCAAGCCGGTATAAATTACGTGACTTTTGCAAAACCGGCAGATTTCAATGTGATCTTCCGACTTGGTCTACTCCAGCAGCTAACATTGCCCTGGACCCAACTGATTTCTTCTAAGATCTCTTCCATCTCTTCGTTTCCGTTTCAATGATTCCAAGACTTGCTCGGAAACAATTATTTAGGGGTGCCAGCCTTTTCACTCGTCCTATCCGTATCAGAACTGGCCCTTCACATCTCACCAAATCATTCTCCAAATTATTCTCCAAAGCAATGAGTTCCTTACGCCTCCCCGATTGTATCGAAGTACCATCCAAACGGGATCCCACTAGGGAAACATGCTTAAACGCCGCAGACAATCTCGAACGGGAGCTCCAAAAGATCGGATTCACAAAGTGGGGCTTCGTTGTCTATCGCTGCACATATCAAAGCCAAGAAGACTGGGACAGATTTATGGACCTCTTCCTCTACACCGTCACAGACTATTTTGAATTCCACAAAGGTCTAGATATGCTAGAAGGTTTCTGCCCGATAGTCTTTGAAGACCCCTCATTTGATGGTGCGACCACCGCCCTTCTCCGCACCCATTTTAGGAAGTGGGTTAAGACTGCTAAGCGGCGGGAACAGGGTATTGATACTCTCTACACGTCGGGTCGCTATATATTTTTTGTCATGGTCGACCAGGAGGCGCTAGAGTTTGTCTTGAATTCAAACCCGAAGGCTGTGATCACAACCGGATTTGTTCGTTTAATTTATGGAGACTGGGAACCGGAGGTAAATAAAGATGGCAACGAGGATAAGGAGCTCGAGCCTATAGAGGGATGCACGCAGGAAGATGTCGGTTGGATGAACATACCTTACGATGAGGTGCAGTCGATTGGAGCTGGAGGGTTGGCAATGTGTGATATGCATGATTGGGATATGTATTATGCTCGTCCTCCAGAAATGCAGGCCTTGGGTTGAGGTTTGACCTTAGAGTGAATATTAGAACATTGTATTGAATGTTTGCTTTATTTTCTGTGACCAGACTAGGAAGACATCTTGATGTCAAAGTTCATATGAATTTTCCTACAGAAAACACCGTTCTTCTTGTCCACACTTACGCCCAAAGTGTTCACCTTTATGTGTTGCTGGAAATGACCAAACCTGCAAGACCTACGGATGGGATTTAACAAGTAATGTTGGAAACACGTCTTAGACGATTTGTACTTGCTCGGTTAACGCGCTACGTTGGAAATTAGGAACGACAAACCATGACTAACAGCATGTTACTACTTTGGGCGATTCCGACGAGGTTCCGTGTGATCGGCTTGCCGACGTCCCGGCTTCCCGGCTTCCGAGGACCCAAGCTTTCACGCCACGCAACCTACTTTGGACCGAGGATCATGTTTCATCGTTAGTACAGGTTATAAATATTCAGAACCACCGCAAGTGACATATGCCAATGATCTGACTAAGTAAGACGATCAACCTCGGAACCAAAATATCGATCTAGTCTTACACATCCGAGTTCTATATTTTTGCCCTTTCCTTTATCTTTCCGTCTTGAGCCACTTATACCTACAGCATAATTTTTTGACTTCAATCTGTCTCATCCACAGGAAACAGTGTCGAGCACAGATATTGATGGTCCCGGGACCTTCATGGATAAAAGCTTTGTTCCAGCCCCTCAAGATGCTGCTCGCCTTCTCGAATATATCGCAAAGCGCACTCCGGGATTCACCCAAACCCCAGAAATTGGAACACAGTGAAGTTCAAAGGCAGCGAAATTCCTGTCATCCCCGGTCAATTCAAGGCACCCCTCATCGCGGCCGCCGTTCATGTCACGTGCGGGATAGTAGCCAACGAGATTGTTGAGGATCGTGACGGCACACCGGCGACTACCCAGCAGGTGTCGGTGAGCACCGATCACACCGCTATCTGGCTCGGTACCATCTATGCTGCTTCGGTAGAAGGCATGGATATCGACGAACTCTCCAAATCGCGTCACCTACCTGAACTTTTCGGGGAAAGATTCTCAGCAAGGTTGGATGGCTACAGCCGTCAACAGACGTTCTACTGCTTTATACAAAACAAAGACCCCAGGCGTTTGGTATCAGCTACATGAGTCTCTTGGTGCAGACCCGGTTCTGCGATTGATGGGAATGGACCTAGATTAGCCTGTCAAGGATTGTCCCGTTCTGCTACCACTCTCAGAACATTCAATGGTTGTAGTAATATTAAGGGAAGGCATCTTCTATATGATCCTGAACATTGATGGCTCGTCAGAAGGGAAAGGGTGTTCGTTATAGCATATTTATACTGTATCATAGCACAGATAATATCATTTTAGCACCATTCAGCCACAGATCTTCATGGAAATGAGGTTTTTGTTCTGGGTAGGTAAAATTATGGTTCAAGAAGTTTTGAAGGGCAACGCGTGTACAGTGATACCCCAATTTAGAGGAGATTATGTCTACATTCACCATTCTCCAGCTGACCCGGGCTCATCATCTAGTTGAGCAAAGAACATGGGCCAATCGTTCCAGTCGAATGCATAATTCTCAGCCCAGGCCAGGCTAAGCGAGTTCTTTCGAAGTTCTGGGCTTTCTACATTTTCACCCTGCGCAGTTGTATAATCATGGTTTGGTTGGTCCTGCATGCCCTCTGCGGCACTTTGCTCTGTTTCAAAGTCCCGCACATCGATGTTATCGTCGATCAATTTGAGAACAGAACTGCATCTTGAAGCCAACGTAGCGTGCTTCTCATAATCTTTCATAATATCACGGGCCTGATGCAAAATTTCCTTCAAACGAGCGGGTGAGAAATGCTCCACCATGGGTGGGGACGCTTGCGCTGCGAGCAAAATAGTGACTGCCATATAAACATCTGAGTACCGTTAGTCAGGCCGTTAGTCTTTGTTTTTTTGATTGGAAATGAGCACTCACATGAAACGGTGTACCAATTTGACGGTAGAATATACACTTGCGTCTGCTCTGGTAGATTTCTGGTAATGAATTCAATCATATCCGCGGCAGCTTTAGTGCATTGAATTTGACACTGAGACACCACATGTTGAATAATCTGATCGTCCATATACAGACTCGACTCGGGAGCATTTCTCATCTGTGGACTATGTATCTGCAAAAGGAAGGGCCTAAAAAGAAGAAGTCGGACAGATAGATATCTTGCAGCACCATTAGCTTATATTCGACATTCTCGAGTAACGTGGTACAAACCTGGCGCGCAAAACGTTTGCTTCACGAGTGATATGTTTCGTTGGTGTTGGGTCTTGAAGATCTGATGGCATTCGAAAGAAAGGGTGAAGGCTTCCTGCCCAATCGTTCAAGTCCGACTCGATCCTGAACAGGCTTGAAAATTGGTCGAAACTGGTCGATGGATTCGACTTCAGTTTGGCTCCACCGCTGCTAGAATGAGGGACTGATTTCAAATCGTTGGATATATAGAAGGTTTCAAAGACTTCTCCAATGATGTGATGAAGTCGGCAAAATGATATGTAGAAGTTCATTTTCGAGGGCAAATCCAGAGTTCCAGTGCCACGGACAGTTGAGTTGGCCACTAAAGAATTTAATCCTTGTTTTGCAACTGACTGCGGAACTTTAAGACCGCAGCCAAAAGTCATTGAAGCAATTCTATGGTAATCAGTTAGCGCTGTTCGCGGTATCACATATCTCAAACTGTCTTGTCATACCTGTCCATGATAACACATCCATTCCAAACTTGTCGCGCAAGATCCCGCTCACCAGAGTCCTTAATGGCTTCAATTGTTTCAGGAATGTGCAACCCTAGTTCCTGTGCGATATGAATTGCCGTGCTAATATTCTGAAAGCATTTTTGGGGCATCTTTTCATGTTGCAGATACACTGCAGTGAGCAGGAGAATTTGAATAATTTCAAAGTTGTAAATATCCATAAGCTCGTAAGACATCAATCCTTGAGCTCTGTCGAAGAATTCGAACGATGATTGGTACCGGGAGAGGTGTGGTTGTCCCTGGGAAGCGACACAAGATATGGCGAATATAAGATTGAGGATGCAATGCAATGCTCTCTCGTTCATGGACAGCTGTCCATCTTTAATCCATAATGCCTCGTATGCGGTTTCAATTGCGGATCTGTCAAGCCAGGGGTAGGCACTATCCACATAATCCCAATAATAATTGAGCAACTGGTCCGCTACTTTTCGTGTAGGAATGACAAATTGGATTTCAGAGGGCTGCTTCTGAGAGTCCTGTTTCTGCAACTTTGGTAACTCTTTGGGCGGTTGTTGCAGAACGCGGTTCGTTTTCTGCCTCTTGTTTGCCAAACTGTTGTTTCGTTCTACCGCATTCCCAACTTTATGCAAAACGTGCGCTCCACTAGATGCACCAAAAAGGCTGCCGCTGGGTATGATTTCACTGTACAGACTAGGATTGTCATCCTCGTCATTTCGAGGGCGCCTCGTTATTTGTTGGGCTTTACTTCTTGGCTGTTCTTGGTCGCTGTTTATCACGACACTGTCTCGGCTTGGATCTGGACTATAATTTATTTGATAGGTCAGTTCATTTGTACAACAACAATCGTAAGGAGTGAATTGGTGATCTTGCGGCCACCGTGGTGTTCGAGTTTGTGTGGTTGACTTGGTGCTCAGTTACTTACTTCTCGACTGATAAAGGAGAGGCATGCTCAGTCTCACGATATAGACATGCCTGTGAAGTTCGTTTCCTCTTGGAACAAGGTCCGCATACTAATACGGCAATGATAAGCATGCCTTCAACTCAACCTCTTAATCTTTTCGCTTACTTGGCCTAGCACCGTCGCATTTCGTCTTTCTCGCCTTGCAGACGTTACACGCAATGCTGATCTTAGCGCGCTTCTGCCTCGGCGCCTGAGGAGATGAGTTCCCCGTTTGAAATGAGAACATCATGTTTGCGCAGGCTGAGAGATGGAATTCCGACAGTTGTTCCGAGAGTTCCCTCCTGGGTAGGCTCCGGATTACCCGCAGCATGACGTCATACATCCTTTTTTCCGTTTCCATTTTGGGAGTCTCGGAATGCCAAATCGGGATCTTTCGTGATTCAGTAAATATCAAGTTGAACGGAGTTCGCTTGACTGATAATATGGTCTGGTGAAGAGTGCCGAAGAACATTCGATCATGCCGTCCACAGCGCTCACTCTTCCGTTTGACCCTCCCAAAACGTTAGCATCTCTCAATCATAGGCTGTTCTGTATTGTGAATATCTGATGGTTGCTTTACTCAGATACATTCTGGCTGAAAATTACTTCCATGAAACCTTGGTTTACAATCAGAAGAATTGACTTCCATTTTCCGACCGTGTTGATTATTTGCCTACATAGCGAACACATACCCCAACCACCACACCAACCACCCCACCAATGACAATACCGGTCTCTATATATATCAAATTAACACTTGATAACCCTCATCTTGGAGCCATATCTCCATTTATCGACATATACTTGATTGGTCGTCGGATTTGTCTTTAGTTCTCACTTTTCCGGCCGTTGTGGCAATTCCTCGATATCAAAATTGGCCAAGTCGTTCGCAGAGTGCATATTTGGAGCGGACTGGACATTTCCCATTGTTCTTATCTTACATACTGTCCACAGGTGTAGACATTGCTTTTGTGTATACGCGTGTTTCAACATTCTTATTTACGACTTCGAGTCACTGCGGTTCAGTTTCCCCTAGCCACGGCCTATCTTTACATCTTGGACGAGGTTATCTCAATAAAGATAGATAGAGCGATATAAACCGTGTCTCTATTAGGCTGATTTGGTGGGTCGGAAACGTGATATAGCGATGTATAATTTGAGGTTGTATTGACAATGTCCCTTTAGAGTGGATCGCTTTTTAGACATGTGTAAGGCCTAGCATATTGTTAGCTTTCAAGGTTTAGTTGGACTACGGAATTGAGCCGGGCCCACACTGAATCGGGACATCCCTTGTAGACAGTAATCTGGGATAATTTCTGTGACGATATGTATAAAACACTAGGTCCTAATCTTAGGCGTCTTTGAAGTGATCTGAGTTCATACAATGAATCACCTGATGCTCTCTGTTGAGACTTGCGCCAAGCTTGGGGCCTGGCGCGTGGCGAGCTTGGCGAGCGAGTTATCAGGGAATTCGGACAATGGGGCGTCAAAAGCTTCAAAAAAAAGGTCAAATCCCAAGATCGAGACTGTGGGGCGCATGGGTGAATTTCAATCCATGAATGGTTGAGTCGGTCTAAAATAACCCACTATCTTGTCTGGTACGGACAAAAAGTCGCATGCTAAAACAGGCTGTGGCTCGAGGAATATATCATCCATGCACCCTCTGTTCGATCCTTTGGAGAAAACCCCGGGCTCGCCAATCACATTTCATCTCGTCTGCTTTGAAAAAAACGTCTCACTACGCGTTCCTTCTTCCGCTTTCATTATCTTCACTTTCGCTTTGAGTCTGAACTTGCTACCCTTCTTTCATTGAAGTTCTCTTTTCATTAATAGGCTTGACCCACTGCTATAATCTCCCTTCTCTCAATTCTCGCAAGGCTTTGTTACGCAGGTCTTGCATACTCGTTCAAAGTCAGTCAGCCTTACTCCGTAAGGCACTTTCTGTTGATCCAGTGAAGACGCCATCAGTATGTGACATCTTCCTGGGGGGCTGAGGTACAACGCTAAAATGGATGGCTCTAGTTTGCTCCACTTTATTCCCTCACATCAACCTCCGCTTGCTCCTTACTGGGTCCCTCCTTCATCCTCTAAGTCGCGCCGACTGCAGGCTTTGGGGCATATTTCGAGTCATAATGAGCTGGCTGGGCAGTCTCTTCCATCGAGGCAGTGAAATGTCTGAAGAAAAAGCTCAGAAGCATCGAAATAAAGAGCACAGCCGAAAGGTTCGCCAACGAGAGAAAGAGTTGAACCGTCAACCCAAAGAAAGTTTTTTTGGGGGCTCTCTCGCTCTCGATACACGAGTGAACACTATGCGCAGGGAACTACGGCGTCCATAATACTGCATTACACAATACGACCCATCACTCTACCTAAAGCGATATCGAACGACGTTTTCTTGAGGACGAATCTGGTGCATACGCCATTACTGTGGTGTAGAGCCGGTTCATTGATTTCATTTATGCTGACTTTCAACCTGTCATGCGACTGCGATTACCAATTTGTCACATTTTCCCTTATTTACGATGTACAGAATGAACAAAGATAAGTTCTAGCCGAAACTGGTGGCGTGCTAAGCATCGTCAGTCCTTACGTGGTGACAACCTTTCACCCGATTTCGATAGTATTTCTGACTAGAGCAACAGAAGGTAGAAATTATGGTATTAGTCCTGCTGACTGGAATGCATGGGCTCGTCCCTTGAACATGTTAATTTTGCGGATACACTAATCACAGGCTCCAAAACAATTAAATCAATGGATCTACGAGGTTTCTTGAATGCAATAAATTCCAGGAGTTGTGGATTCGCAGCCAGGAGGAGGGGGCCATATGCCTAGATATTGCTTAGTATCTTCAACTATACGTTCTTAATCCAGTTCCGTGAAACAGACGACCGCTTACCAACATCCGAACTTGTCTCAAGATCTCGTGCAACCGGCGGCTCTCTAAGTGGAGTTGCTGGGGGACATCTCACAAGACAAATGTTAGGATAGTAGATTAAGCTACCATCGCAGCAGTGGGCAACAGTATCTAAAATCGTCAGAGTGCTTTGGAGTCATATAGACCAGGTTTATTACCGTCACCAGGTCCTGCGGCATCGAGGTTGATATCGCGAGCGGGTAGCGGTTGGAATGTGGGGGCAGCAATAGTGGCAACGGCCACACTGGAAACCAGAGAGAGAAGATTTAATCTCATGTTCTGCCTTTTTATACGACTTTGCGACTGATAAGGTTGATTGATTCGGACGGGATAATGTTGAGCGGGAGCTTTATCGATAACCACAATTAGACAAAGTGGTTTCTTATCAGTCAAACATTTTTAAGATGGAATGGAGGTCAATTAAAGCACCTGTAGTGAGGGGCAATTAAGAGCACTGATCTCCAGTTCTTGTGTGACACACCTTCGTCTCTCGATTTTTGTGCGAGCTTCGGCATCGAACCCAGGATATGCCGATATTCTTATGAAACTTGTTGCCTTGGTCACTTCATAGTACAGCGCAGTGAGCAATGGACCCATAGACCCGTGGACATATTGAAGGCTGGCTGAATCCCTCGGGCTATCCCCAGGGGGGCCTCAGGGCTTCATCAACGATGTTCCAATCCGTGGAAAAGAGAGGCTAAGTTCTCAATGGATCGCTGGAATTTCTGGAAAGAACAACTGCGATGGGTAAATGAGCCGATTGTACTGAATCAAAAAAACGCAAGATGATGCCAGGATGGTGAGACAACTTATGATGAGCATTGAGCAAGAGAACTAATCAGAATGAGTCAGAAACTTGGGCTCAGTCATGATGCGCAAGTCAGCAATATCGAAGTCCATTAATTCAGAGCAAGCGAGGGCATTCCATTCCTCTCATAGCTAAGAATCGATGGTCCATATAACTGTGCCACAGATGAATCCTATTTTCCTTAACGGTTGAGATTTAAACCCGCAAAAAACAGGATAGTTGATTACATGGATAGGTTCAACCAAATCCGTACACTCAAGGGATTTTGACAAATAGTTGGCTGCTGAGTATGACCTAAGATCATTCCTTGCTCATGCATTGACGGTCATCACCGAGGAATGTCCACGGGTAGAACACTTTCCCGTTCCCTCCGTTCTTGACTGGTCGTTACGTTGTAGACAATAAGATCTGCCCAGGCAATCCCTTTCGAGGCTCACTTCGCACAACCTAAAGTCGAACACAAATGGAATGTCGATCCCAGTAGCGTGTGAAAGTAAGAATCAATATCCGACTAGGGAGACCTCCGGTTGCTGACGGGATTTAGCAAAGTCCATGTCCAAAAGGAGGCAAAAGAGAGCGAGATCCGGGGATCGGGGACTGGGGTAATCCCCACACCCCTTTCACAGGCCACTGTGGAGACTCGCTTATAGGTCCAGGCGTTCACTGTTCGCAACTCATCACGCATAACCTAATTGATCCTACAACGATTATGAGTAAAAAAATGGTCCCTTTCTCTTCCTATTTGCTTTTTTTGGTTATGAAATGAAATCATGCGAATCATCATGGAAACAGCGATAAATGGTAGATTCTCAGGAGACCTCGGTATAAACGGGTTCGGTCGTAGCGAAGTTCCACAGAGTGCCGAGGTCGGACCTCGAAAACTGACACCTGAATATTCAGGTGTCGGTTTTCGACATCACGGCATCCTCCGTCGAGAGTTTAGGGCTTGACACTATAAACTGCCACCTAACTGCCACCTCCGTCTGAACCTAATAGTAAAATAAAGTTATACCCTTGCTTTCTCGTCTCACCAACACGAATAGCCAAGCTCATTTGAACGGAGATCACAGGACTGCCGGCCGCACCCGCCCCCCCGCCAATTGTGGGGAATTCAGGCGAAAAGTGGCCAAGACTTGTTCCTTTTCAAAATCTCACCCCGTGGGAAACAATCAAACCTACAGGTCGGTAATTACTCGCTAGTCTATATTGAACTTTCCGGGGTACATGCCAAGCTATGGGCGTCTGGGGAATTCGATCTGGAATGAATGGATACATAATGAGATTACTACGGAAATGTTGAGTGAACGAATCAGAGAAGTGGATCATTGAGTCGTAGACGGGGACCGGCGACAACCGAAAGACTCAACTTCTCGACGTTAACGTAGCACATCTAGTGGCCCACTTATATGACATTGTTATCACGATCTACTTATATGACCAAATGACCGTATCAATCAATTCGCTTCCAACCTCTAGTTTCCATTCTTTAATCGTGGTTCTCTTCCCCAGACCATCTTTCCAATTGTTGTGTGCATTTTATATTCAATATGGGTGGAAAACGATATCTCGGCCTAAGGGGCAATTCCCTTCTTCGTGCCGCTGTTATGCTAGTCGTGTGTCCAACATTTACTTGCTATGGATACAACATGAGTGTGGCCGGTGGCCTATTAACACTTCCATCCTTCAATACACAATTTCCTCGAATGCAAACAATCAACGTGGATGCGGCTGAGAAAGCCACCAACTCTCTTATTCAAGGTTCGTCGATCACCAGAAAGTGAGTTGCGTTACATTTCTCTCTAACTTAGGACTTTCCTCAGGAACCGTCATTGCTCTCTATACTGTCGGTGGTATCTTCGGTGCTCTGTCATGTGTCTATCTCGGCGATCTTTGGGGCCGACGCAAGGTCATCTTCATCACCAACTTCATCACCATTATTGGCGCCGTCCTCATGGCATCATCTTTCCAATTCGCCCAATTCATCGTCGCGAGACTGGTTCTCGGTTTAGGAATTGGTGGATACGTGGCAACCGTCCCTGTCTGGCAGTCTGAGATTTCACCGGCACATAAACGAGGATCAAATGTCGTAACAGATGGTATCTTCGTCGGTCTTGGTGTCACTCTCGCCTTATGGATCGACCTGGGCTTTTTCTTCGTCAAAGACAGCTCCGTTGCTTGGCGATTCCCTCTTGTCTTCCAGGTTGTCATGTCCGTCACCGCAATGATCTTCATTACGATGCTACCTGAATCACCCCGCTGGCTCATCAAGACTGGCCAAGTCGAAAAGGGTCGTGAAGTCCTCGCTGCCCTCCTCGATGATGAAGAACACTCAGCCGCCGTCAATGAAAGCGTTACCAACATCGAAGCCTCCCTCGCCTTTTGCGGATCCGGAAGATGGACCGACATGTTCAAGAATGGCCCCAACCGAATCTTCCACCGTGCCTACCTCGCCGCCACAGGCCAAATGTTTCAACAAATGTGCGGAGTCAATCTCATCACCTACTACGCCACCACCATCTTCGAGCAATACCTCAAGATGGACGCCGTCCAGTCCCGCATCCTCGCCGCAGCAATGGGTCTCATGCAGCCCTTCGGTGGCTACCTTGCCTACTACACAATCGACCGTCTCGGTCGTCGACCCCTCATGCTCTGGAGTGCCGGTGCAATGTCAATCTGCATGGCCGGACTCGCTGGTACGACCGATCCCATTGCCGCCGATAACAAGGGTGCACTCGCCATGGCCGTCGTCTTCCTCTACTGCTTCCAATTCATCTTCACAGTCGGCTACTCAGGCCTGACCTTCCTCTACGCTGCAGAGATGGCCCCTCTCCAAGTCCGTGCTGCTGTCAGCGCCGTCTCAACCGCCACCGTCTGGGCATTCAACTTCCTCCTCGCGGAGATTACGCCCATCGGCTTCGACTCCATTGGAAGCCGATACTACATTATCTTCGCTGTCCTCAACGCCGCCATCGTCCCCAGTGTATACTTCTTCTTCCCGGAGACCAAGGGCCGGTCGCTGGAGGAGATTGACGAGATCTTCTCACAGTCGAAGTCCATCTTCGATCCTCCTCGCGTGGCCCGTGCTATGCAGAAGCGTGTCTTGCATATCGGTGAGACGAACTCTGATGCTGAGAACACCGGCTCCAATGACGATGTCATCAAGGAGGAGGTTAAGGCGTGAGAGACAACCTGGGTTGATCTCGGCCGATGGTCCGATTCTGAGGCCTGTTCGATATTGCAAGTCCGAATGCCGTTATGAACAAGGGAAATTGTATATATGGTCGAGTTCCCGACCGGTCTGAACAGGAAAGCGACGGGTCGCTTTCCTTTAGTTGCTACTTTACCAATATCCATCACTTTTGTCTGATATCATCGGTTCCAATACTTTGATGCTCTGTGTGCTTATCTCGTAGAATCTAGAATATAGATATCCTCCCATTTAATACACACACATCATGTCTGCCCCTGATTTACGCGCTCGTCGCAGGCAATCTATGGCACCGTCTGCGGAGCCGCAGGGTGGCAGGCGTCGAGAGCCTGCCCCGCAAGCCGCCCCAGCCCCAGCCCCCACGCATCCAGAATCCCGTCGGTCCCGTCGCAAAGACGAAAGAGTGTGGCACAAGCCACTCCCACGCCAACGCCTCCAAAATCCCGTCCGTCCCGTCGCAAGCACGAAGAAATTGAGCCTGAGGAAATATCTGTGGTCCAGCCGAAGCGGCCAAAGACCCTCTCAGACTGAAAAAATTACAAAACATGCGAAGACCACGAGCATATATTTGTCGGATTCGTTTCTCCTGCTTAGCATGAGGAGGCCTATCATATAGCCAAAATGATTTACAAGCTTCCTGTGCCTGAAATTGTCAAGAACCGGCTCATTTACTGGATCGATGATTCCATGTACAGGCGTTTTGCCGCGATAGCCGTTATTTGGAGCCAAAAGGCAGACGCGAAGGAATGGGATTGACAAGGGAAACCTTTCTCCTCCCACACAAACAACACCTCCGCGACTGAGCTTCTTGGGATTGGTTGTGCCATAGAAAAGGCCATAGAGGATATCAATTAGGATCATGCCAGCCTCTCGGATAAAGGCGTTAATAACAACTTATTCTATTACTTGAAATCAACAAACCATGTCCCACAACCACACTGTGTGAAAGGAAGAGTTGATGTTTACGGACGACAAAACGGCCGTGAGGCGTTTGGATGGCACCTCGGCCTATGAGGAAGATGGTGAGATCGCAGCACAGATGGGGAGAATCTGCCATCTTTCCCAAGCCTTTTATCATCAGGGTGTGCACCTGGAGCTCCATTATGGCCCAGGTCATGCTGGACTTCCCGGCAATGAGGCTGCAGATACCATGGCCGGGCAGTATCGGGAACAGTTCGCGTTGGAAATGGAGCTTGCTGGACGGAAGCAACAAGATCTGCCTCAGAGATAGTGGCAGACCAACGCCAGCCTTCTCCAGCTCCTATAAAAGAGGAATCGATCACTGTGCCCTCTATATCTCCTACTTTGGTCCAGATATCGGCCTGATCTTCTGGCTTCAGACCTTCACCTGGACGACTCAATCTGCTCTTTTGGCCCATTTCCTGGTTGCTCTCCTTTGTGGCTGCTTGACTGTTTGTACAGACGACGGCCTGTTGGCTTTGGGTCATGAATGTCCATATTATAAGATTTGGAAAGTATCTATTTGTATGCAGAGCTTTCGATCAATCAAATTGGTTCTTTGTTGGCTACGAAGACAAAAGCACTATTTTTCCATTGGTCTATACTGTTATGGTACAATTCCACTCACAATATTGACATTCATCATTCACTTGAGAAGTCCCTGGAAAAGAATCTCCCTTAGTATTCAATAAGCTCTTGCTAATGGCTCCTTACTCGCTCAAACGATTTGATTTAGAAGAACAAAAGACCTGTATCTTAAAGCATGGGAACTCTCATTTACTGTTGTTTGTTTCAGAAACATCAACCGGCGGCTCATAATGTCCTCCAATGGATTAATGTGACGTTTGCTTACGAACACAATGGACAATGCTGGTCTTTGGACTGAAAAGCGCGTCGACCAAAAGAAAAAACTCGTCGCTCCTCTCTATTTTGTCAAGCTAAAAGATAGGATGGTCTTAATAGCTCACCCAGAGAGAAGCGGTCATTAAAATATGAGCAGTTGTAGACTTCTAAGTGAAAAGTTGGATACGAGCAACCAAATTCAGCAATAGACCAGCTATTATTTGCCGCAGTAGTGTATCTACTTTATTTCTATCTGGAAACCATGCTACATGCTCGCTAGATCCACTCAGAGGTAAGGAGGTACTGTCTGGGACAGAATGACATGCATAAATGATGAAAATAGCTAATCGAGCCATTAGTCTAGTCTTAATTTATTCTAACTTCAACTTCAATCCATTCTCAATCCAATCTTAGTATACTCTTGGTTTAATTTCAATTCAATCCAACCTCAATGTAATATCACTCTAACATCAGTCTTAAAAAGAAAGAATAACCTGATGTATAAAAGAAAATGAGCGAGTCTATCGGCTCACTGTTAAGACTAATATTTCACTGAAGTAAAAAATTTATGGCACTGGCTTCAATGCTCATTGGAAACCTTGGAAAGAGGGTTTGTCTGACTACAAGAAACGATTCTTGATAAAAACTGTAGTCAGTTTAGGGTTGTGTTCTAGCGCTGTGATTCGACCCCGCCCGGATCCACCTATGCACGGACCCTGGCCTATCTTGTTGCCGTCTTAATTCGATATTTGAACGTAATTCTGGTCGAAAGTATGTGGCTATAACATTCAAAACTTGTATGAAAATATATCGGCCGTAGAGTGGCGAGAGATCAAAGCGAAAGCTTGATATGAACATATCGGAATTAAATGAGATTTTAGCTCGAAACTTAGTTATCGAAAGAGAAACGATAGAACCGTAAGAGAAATTGTACTCTAATAGGCTTGATCAATAGAACAATATTCTTGTTAGCGCCTAACGAAAATAATTTCATGGGACAGAAAACGGTATATTTGGGGTTCCTTCCCAAATTACAGCATAGAGCAACAATGACCTTAAGCAAACGGGCTACCGATGTACGAAAAGACTGGTATCCATAAAAGCGGAAACAGGCCCACTAATCGGTACTTGAGGGCTGGCTAGGACTCTTAGGCGGAGGGGCATGCCCAGGAGACAAGAGCCTTAGGGCCAAAATAGACGTCGAGGGGGCAGAGCTCGACCTTTTGTCAATGAGAATAGAGGGCCGAGGACGCTCTGCTAACTCTAAAGCAGGGCCTTGGCGTTGCTTACTATGATCTAGCTCACTTCCCTGCTTCTCTAATTCCAAAGCAATTGCATTTGATAACGCCGTGCCTCAGCGTCCGCGGCCTGGTTGCCGGGAACCCCAGCGTGACCTGGGCTGTAACAAAGCTCCAGGTGTATGCCTTGGTCGTGCAATATCTGGTAGAGGCTGTAGACTCTTTCCACCTGCTCAGCAATTTCGCTATTTGTCCCGTACGCCGAGCTGCTGTCCACCGGCCGAAGAGCCACAACATCGTCTGTGAAGACAAGGACTTCTTTAGTCATAGTATGGGTATGGGACATGGTTTACCCATTTTCAGGAAGAAAGAAGGGTTTATTGTCCACAGAGTGGCTTGAGATGCTGGTATAGTCCTTGTCTATATCCTGGACAACTTCGGGGATAGGAGGCTTGTAAATGCTGCTGACAATTTCATGAGTCTCCTCGGTTTTGGGCGAAATGACAAACCAGCCTCCAGGTGCACATTCTGTTCATGCAAAGTCCGAGAGAAATGCACATGTGTCCATTTGCTCGTTACGCAGTATCGTATGGCACCGCTCCTCCTTATCACCGGAGGATTGGTGAACACCTTGTTCGTGTATTGTTTGCGACAGACTGCAAACTCTTTCCGCCTGCTCTGCAATATAACCACCTACTTTGCAGGTAATGCTGCCCTCTAGGTACCGAAGCGCAAGAACATCATCAGTGAAGACGAAAACTCTTTTGGCTATGTTGTGGGCATGGGCATTCGTTTGATCAAGAATATGTGATCCAAGGGACGCGCCAGTGCCACCCTGGTGCGGAATTTCCGCTGCTTCTTTGTCAATAGACTGGATGGCCACTTCCAAGGCACTCGCAATGCCAATATGCTCCGCGGCAGCCATATCGTCTGCGCTAAAAGGGAAAGGTTTCCCTTTTGAGTCCCAATTATTGCCATCAATCCCCATGCCATCGAAATGGCGCAGACAGCTCGTCTCGAAGCAGGTCCGATGAATGAGGCATGTTTGTTAAGCCCAATAGGTGGAATGTAGGAAGAATGGATTGCGAAGGAGGATGGGGTAGGAGAAATAGCGGACAGGTGGATCCACCATGAGTCGCATGCGTGGGATGTGGAGCTGCAGGTTGGAATGTTGGCGCATGCATTCCCATTATTGCTGAATAGCAATTTATAGGGTGAAATTACGGCCGAAAAGCTCAACGTCAGCCGCACTACTCCATACCACGGTCATTGTGGCAAAGGGACTGTAAAGACGCGTCGAAAAACAGGACTTATTAGCATCACTCACTCAGATATCTCTCAGGTATTTTCCAGTTGTCTCTCACCCATTTGATATACTAGGCCTTTCAATTCCTTCCTATCCGGGGAGAGAGAACTGTCAAAGAGCAAGTGCATCAACCCGCTCAAGTCAATTCTCTACTATTGGCGCCGAGTATCCCAAGGTAGTAGTCTTGACTTTTCGAGGGTGACCGTAAAATTATTCAGTATCTGTCGTTCAGCTCTGTAATGCTTGTCTAGATGGAATGGAACATGCATTTCTTCCCTGATGCCCTGATGATGCTGAAGACAGGAGACTTGCGCAGATTTGGTAGATCAAGTGTAACGCCTGCAAGTGGGGTTTGGTTCATCTTTAACAAAATAGGACCTCATTCGAATTTACATGAAATGGTTGGACGGGATATAGCAAAATTCTACTATATGTTTGGTCAAAGGACCAACTTTTTAATAATTTTCCTACCTCGCCTAGTGGTATAACCACCGCTGGAGGATAAGACGCTGTGACGCACGGGGTTGTATGCCTGAAAGCTGTATGATGTCCAAGATACCGAGCTCAATTCTAGCCCCCATCACGAGGGAGGGAGGAGGATTTTTTTTTTGCTCTATATTAGTTGAAATTTGAAATTGTCTGTAGACATGTGTATAAACTTCCAGGGTTATTGAACCATGGAATCAAGAACCGGCCCCACATTTTGTCTGATCCACTGCTCCGCCTCGACGTCATGCCCGAAAGACCGCAAATTGATCTCTTCACCTCACTCCAGCTCTACGGTGTACACGTCTCTTCAGCCAAAACGGCCAATCCACCATAATCACCATGGCACCACTCATCCGAGTCGTCGGCTCCCTTAATGCCGACATGGTCTCCATCACACCTCGATTCCCTGAGCCAGGCGAAACAATCACCTCCTCATCCTACTTTACCAGCGCAGGCGGCAAAGGCGCAAACCAAGCCGTGGCATGCGGACGCATGTCACGGTCCAAACCAATCGGCGCCACCAGCTCCCAAAGCGATGTGCACGTGGAGATGGTAGGTGCAGTCGGCGCACGAGACGGCCACTTCTCTACATTACTGAAGCCGACTCTCGAGAGATCAGGCGTCGATCCGTCCCGAGTGAAGATCGTGGAGAATGCATACACAGGTGTGGCGGTAATTATTGTCGACTCTTCTGCTGGGGGTGAGAATCGCATTGTCTTTTCGCCGGGTGCGAACTACGATGGCATGAAGCCTACACCTGAGGTGCTGGGCATGGCTCTTGCCGCGCCTCTCCCGGATGTCATTCTCATGCAGGGCGAGATTCCGGTTGATACTGTCATTGGAATACTGCGAGAAGTTGCAGCTTACAGGGCCAAGAGTCGTGCTGCTGGGAAGCGAGGCATTGAATGTGGTCCGGATGTGATGCTTAACCCGGCACCTGCTCCGCCCGGTGGCCTTCCGGACGATGTATATGCTGCCGTTGACCATTTGATTCTGAATGAGACAGAGGCTGAGCTTATGACGCCACCTACAGAACAACTCCTTCGCACAGTGCCCGATGCAGCAGGCTTGGATGATAAAGAGAAGGTTGCTCGATACTTCCACAAGCTCGGCGTTACTTACATTCTTATTACACTAGGAGCGAAGGGTGTTTGGTACAGTGCTGCGGAAGGTGGATCGTCTGGACCCAGTGATGGGGTGCAGCGCTTTACAAATGAGCTCCCAGCCGCCCCTGTCTCACGGGTCTTGGATACCACTGCGGCAGGTGACACCTTCGTTGGGGCTTATGCAGTTAAGGTTGCGCGGTAGCGGGAGCAGCGTCGCGCAGAGGGTAAATCCGGAGAAGACGTCACAGACTCGGAGAAATCCCATCGTTACAAGACGGTTATGGATGAGGCAATGCGCTTGGCTGCGCGTGCTTCAGCTCGGGCTGTGGAGCGTCAGGGAGCTATGGATAGCATTCCTTTTGAGGATGAGATCTGAGATCATTGCCACCCGTGGGCAGTGCCGAATCTATAGTTATGTATATTATTGAATCGTGATAGATGAAACCTTGAAAAAAGTTTTCTAGACCATGTCGATCGGCAGACAGTTGCTTCATGCAGCAGAATGCCGACGCGGGTAGACGTCAATGGCACAAAGGATAGGCCATCGATTGATTTCGAGGATTTCAAGGAATGCAGACAGGATCGAGCGGAGGGGAATAATCCGAGCCCACGGGGTGCCAGCCTTCTCAATAACCCTCATTCTACTATATACAGCGCCTACTGCAGACCTTAGGGGCTGAATTCTTGGATTTTTGAAACATCCCGTGGGCAATTACATTCCCCAGCCCTAGGCACGAAACCCCATACACGTTCAAACCCCGAGGGAAAAATCGCATGTTCCACTGTGACCTCAAACTTCAGCACGATCAGCCATGCATGCATTTGTCTCACTCCGTGACCCAAGTCCGAAAGACGAATGGAGACAGATGCGCTGGCAGTTTCATTTCTGCGGCATACTATTAGTGCAATTGAAGAATGGATTTCGGCGCGAATGAGCGCACAGTGCGTAAGGAGACGTGACGAAGTAAAAGTCGTGAAGTCGTGTAGCGCGTTGAGGTATTTGGTACTTACTTTGTAAGCTCTGTATTAGCGAGATTTCAAGTACCGGGTACTTCCGTGCTGACAGACGCGTCCAAGGGATATTTGACGCGACTATGCAGGTTATTTATGGATTTCCTTTTTGTCAATCATTAATTCTATTACGGAGTAGAATACGATTATCAAGAATCCCTGTCCGGTAGTACAATGGCATAGTAAAATTACATATGTACAAACATGAAATGACAGACGCGTGGTAAAAACGAATTGCTTCTGACAGCACGAGGGTCGTGAAATGGATCACTGGAATGAGACATCATTGGATTGCGCTGGAATTACTATAAACGCCACTTCTTCCTCCGTACATTGTCATCCAACCCGGCCTCCGAGATGCCTTGCGCGAACGCGAAGACGCGCTTTACATGTACTAGCTATGCGGGCCTTGAAATAGTCTCCTTCTCCCTCCATTTGTGATCCCTCAATCCTCCATAACCTTCATACTCCTTGCCTCTACTCAAAAACTAAGCCTTGAAGTCCAATTCCGAACTTATATCTACCTCTTGATCGCTGCACATCTTCATCCGAATCATCCCTCGTTCTCTCTAATCTCGGTGTAGCGGATCCTACCCTTCCTTTCATTTCTAAAACATCGACATCGATTCCGACCAGTTTCTATCATTCAAAAACATATTCATACAATCTCTAATTATCGTTGAGATATAACTCTTGTTCAGTTGTTTTTCCGACTTTTCAAAAGTCCAGAGTCGCGGGGTTGCCTAGTTGTAGACCGAGACCGCTAATCCCCACTTGGCACTGACACCAAAACAAACCCTCCCTTCCTCTTTACTTTACTTCACTTTACTTTACAATGGCCCTCACCATGACTCCCACACGCCAACCTTTGGGCTGTTTGGACTCGCCTCACATGCGTCCGATCATTCGATCGAAACTTAATCGTCAGAACCAACAAAATGGTAAGCTGATCCATGTTTCGCTGTTCCAGTACCCAGCTAACCAAAACAGGTATCTCTATCAAGGGCATGAACACCCCAATGAAGAACTCAATATTTATGGACTCGGAGAACATCGACCCAATCTCCACAAAGCGCAAGCGCACATTCGAAGATGACGAGGAAAACACCAAGCCCAAAACATCCCGTCTCGCTCTTTCCACCCGAACCAACATCTCCCCACGTATTATAACCCCCTTGAAGACCTCGCAATCCACAACTCCCAAATCAGCTCCCATTCTCAAGCCAGCCGGTCGCTCCCCACCGCCAAAATCCAGCAAGTCTGCCAGCCGTCGCTCCATCACCAAGCCACGCGCCGATTTGAGCAAGCGCGGCGTCGCTCGCCCCTTCTCTCTGGCTTCGGCCCTTGCACAGACAAAGGTTCCAAAGCCTGCTCCCAAGGCCCCGGCCTCGTGGTGCTTCGATATCCACGTCGATACTGAGCAGGAGGAGATGACCAATCTGATGCAACACTCGACTACTGTCCTCGATATCAGCGACGACGAGGGCAAGGCTTCTGACGGTCGTGGAAAGGAGAACGTCCCCCCTCACGAAATGGGAATTGAGATCCCCAACTCCCGCCAGCCTACTCCCTCCGCCTCGGTTGCCACTGCTCCTGTTGCCCGCACATCAACCACAATGGAAGACCGCGCGCCTCTGGGCGAGCTCAACGCTGCTGACTACTATGCTGAAGGCTGCAATGCCTTTTCATACACGGTTATCTACGACGAGGCTGAAACTGTCGAGTTCAAGAAGCCTTCCTCGCCTCTTGCCCAGAGCCATCAGGCTCTCATTACTACCTCTATCGCATCTGTTTTGGAGGCTGTTTCTCCCACGGCTGAGACCCAGAAGAGTGACTCTGAAACCAAGAACTGAGATGTCTCTTGATCCCCACTTATAAAACATTGTCATATGCATATGGGTCTGGTGTCGTGGTTCTTTGGCCGGGTTTGGCCCCAATACCTATTTGATTTTTTGTCGGTGGCGTTGAATATTGTACTTGGTGTTTTGTTGGACATGGTGTTCCTGTCTGGTTTTTGGTTATGCTTGTCATGAATTATGTATTTTTCACTATTGTGAGCCCCTCGGGTTGAGTTCTGTGCTGTTCCCGTTTAATTGATGAGTTCATTATGTCTCATGCTTCATGATGTATGCGGTCTGTCCGCCCTAGCTAGCAACAAAACAAATGTTTCCAATTGACTATCTTGCAATAACGATAATAATAATAATAATAATAATAATGAAATAAGCTAGGATCATTCATCCTCGTCCTCATCCATATGATCGCTCTCGTTTCCATCTCCATTGGCCGCATCCTCTTCAGCAGCATCTCTCGCCTCCGCAGCAGCAGCAACCTGCGCAGCAAGCATCTCCTGTCGTTCAATTTCTTCTTCCTCACCTTCACTCTGATCCTGATCATCAACCTCAAACTCAACATTCTTTCCCTTACTCTTGCCATTTTTCTTCTTCTCTTTTCCCTTCTCCTTCCCACCCAACCCAACGTCACCTGTCAGGCCCCTCCAGAAAGGCGCACTCCGAATACAAGACCGGACCTCCGTAGCCAAAGCGATCTCCTTACTACTCGAAGTCTCCATATCAACCGTGAAAGCCGAGAAATCACTGTCCAAGTCCACATGCGCCGGAAACTCCAGAATCCGCACATAATCTGCATCATCCGGATCCCGCCCTTCCATCATAGCCTGAATCTTAGACCGCATAATCGTCTTCGCCTTAGCAATTGTACCATTACCAAACCACCCATCCGTAACAATCTCGCACTCCGTGCGCAAAAACCCAGGCTCCGGATTCTCTGGATACAAATCCGCTCGGATCTGAGGATCCGTGATATCCCCAATCATCCAGATCCTGCCATCGGGCGAGAATGGCAGTTTTCCGGAGAATATGTGGCCCGCAGAAGCGGGGAACGGATTTTCTTTATCGAGGGTTCTGGTATCCGATGGTCGAGGGACGTTGCCGCGTCGACCGCCTGCGCCATCACGCGCGACTTCGGCTTCTCGTGCCAGTAGACGGAACATGAAAGTTTGGTAGTGGCGGTATTCTGGGGAGGTGCGGGGGTCGACGCCTAATTTGATGATTGCGTCGCGCCACGGGCCGGAGCGGAAGATGTAGCCTATGTATGGGATTGCGTGGCGGAGGTTTGTGCGTTGTTCGTCTGTTTTTAGGTTGTTGCGGAGGCCGCGGCGGGTCCAGGCTGGTTGTTTTTCGTAGAGGGCGTTTACGATGGCGATTGTTTCGCGCATGCTTCTGTCTAGGGATTCGATGGGTGCCAGGTCCTCACGTGGCTTTGCTGGTACTTCGGCGATGTCGTATGGGACTAGATGGGTGAGGACTTTGTTGGCGCTTGAGGTGTTGAAGGTTTCTAGTTCGCCGGATTTGCCGATTGATTGTTTCACGGTTGGGTTTTGACGGTAGCTGGGTGGTGTTAGTGGGTTTCAATTTTGCTGCTTTTGGGTTTGATACTTACACGTAGTGGAATGGGACATCGCCGTGGCTGAAGGAGGGTGGTGGGATGATATCTGCATTTCGAAGGGCACCTTTGCTCATATCGATGTCAAATTGCTTCATTTTGTCGACTGTGGTATGTTAGTCAGTGTTATAGTGTGAGTTTGGTCATAGACTTACAATCGAACGAAAGGATCTTGTCTTTGAACCGGTTCGCGAAGGAACTTGCTGTGGTCGAGAAGACGAAATCCGGCATTCCTAAGATCAGATCAGCATTAGTTTCCTGAAACAATATCAAAGTAATCAGCAAACCTCGGAAAACATGAGTACGCTCAACTCTCCCCACTGTCTCGATTTTATACTTGGACGGGTTGTCACTCAGACTGCGCAAGAGATCCTTAGCAGTCCGTCGTCTCGGCTCTGTGCCTTCTGACTCTGGTGCGTCTGCAAAAGGCTCATCCGAGCCTATCTTGCGCTTGCGCCCAGTCCTCTTGGGGACAGTGACTTTGAGCAAGACATTATTTGATGGTACAAGAGTTGACTGGACTGGTCGAGCCATGGCATCTCCAGGCCGCAGGAGCAGATTCGCCTGTGTGTCATCCTTTGCCGGATGCAATATCTGTCACAGGTCAGTGGATTTCATGGTCTGATAAAAGTACAGCCGAGATATCTCACAGATTTGATTCCCGCGTCGCCTTGCAGTGTCTCGATCGCCTTGTCGACATTGCGGACCACGCCAGGGTGCTCGACGCTCACAAGGGACCGAGATTGAACGGTGTAGAACGGAGCCGTCCAGGAACTTTGCTGATTATTCATGATAGCGGGATGGATTTCAAACTTGTTTTAGCTCGAGATTTCGATCTCAATAGAGTTGATTTCCAGTTCAATCGGTCGGATGTTGCAAACACTATCAATGACAACACACCCACTTTTCTTGAATTTTCCAGACTCAAAACAATCACATGAGCACTCTCATGTATTTTAATTGGTATGCGACAAACTGAAAGCCCAGTTCCGTATCTCAACTGTCTCGAGAAAGGTTCCTACATTCCACAAGCGGTTTAGGCGGGAAATATTGATGACTCATCATTTGACCAGACCTCGACAATAACCTTCGAAGACCGACAAGTAAAGGTATTTTGAATTCTCGAGGCAACGTGTGCAAGTATTCCCTCGCAAAGTTCGACCGTAGAGTCACTGGATAATATTCAGATTTATTCGGGATGATAAGATAACGTGCAACTCCCAACTCCTATTCGATAACTATGCCATGATGATGCAGGATTCTTGTGTAGCTTTCAAGCTAGTTTCTCTCCATCGTTTCTGATGTGATCCTTCGATTTCGTGTCTTCGCCTGCCCATGTGTCTTTGTGTGCTTATTTGCAGTCGTTTTATCTTGGAAATGTCCTCGGCACCCTTTATTTGCGCCTTTTGGGCCAAAACTGCGATTTCGAGAAATTGCGCAGTGGCTGCGAAACGAACTTGTATGATGAGACTATGATGCGTCTCAGCGAATGATACACTGATCGCGCCTTGGGATTGTTGGCTTGTGGTGCGCCAGGCTCATGGGCTGTTTGTGACTCGGGCGATGGAGCGCCAGATCTTCCTTGGTGCTCAGAATCAACGTGTTTGTCTGGAGTTGCCACATTCACTAGCACCGTACTTAGAACGGGCTTGTTGAGAGACATGGTTGTAGTACAGTAAAGTAAACAGGATTGAGGAAGAATTCGAGATTAATTGCACTGTAGATATTCAGATAATCAATCTTTAAGTTCAAAGGTTAGGTTGTGGTCTATGCTTCTGATCGAACAAGGAAGTGGTTGTGTTTGGGAAGGAGCTAGCTATGGCACTTTAGATACCTGCCCACATACGTACATACATACATGTATGTATGCTATGACTTCAATGTTGCTTTGGGAACATAGATCAATGAGTAAATATACATAGTTATGTACTACGAGTAAACTAATTTGGAACGTTCATTCAATGTAGTAGATACTATACATATATAGTTACAAAATCAAACATTGAGGCATTATGCTTCTGCTACAGGAAACAGGTAACAAGAGATCTCAAAAGAGTTCAAAGATTCTTAGAAGTACTATCTATTATGCTCTGACTTATATTCTCGAAGTTTTATATCCTGATCGGGGTATAATGGTTTGAAACACATTGCATACCTATGCCCTACATCATTAGAGAATTGGGCACACAGACCCTGTTTGGGGGCTGAGTTTGACGACACGTACTCCGTAGATTGGGGTGGTTTACCATTCAATTAATCAAACCTGGCGCAAAATGCAAAATATCTCTGTTTCCCTTACTTACTTATCATTGTTGCCGCAACTGATGAAGACACACGTCCTCCTAACCTATGGCTACATCATAACGCTAGCGGCGCTTTTACTGCGGCGCAGGAGATAGAGCAGAGATGTATAAAAAAGATGGGCACCTACATTTTACCGCGGTCTAGAATAAGACCAAAACGAACCATGAAGGCATTTTATTCTTAACGTCTATGCATGGCCGTAGGTAAGAGAAGATGACAATATATATTGTCGCTACGTACATGAGTATATTTCAACCCCTCAGCCAAGACCGTGACATAGACCTTCTAAAATGAGATACTTGATATAGCATACTTCATGCAAGCCACATTAGTTCATTAATCTATCAGAATCTACCAAGGAAGAAAATCCCCAATATCAGATCATTTGGTCAGGCTCTCGGTGGGGTCCAGAGCACAGACCGCTCTTTCTCCGGCATTCCCTTGTTCGATGCTACAAATGTACGGAGTACTTCGTACATATTATCAAAACCCAGACCTTGACTTATCTACTTCGAAAATATTATCCTTGCTTCCACTTCTCAACAATCAAGTTCATGGCAGAATTAAGTGACGTCGTCTGTGCCTGAGAATTTGAATCGCCCCTGAAGGTCACGTGTGTATGACATAAGCAGATTGAAACAAGCGGGAAAAGGCATACAAAAAAGTGATGTAGAAGGAGATGGAAATAGAACTGAAGTCGAGTAAATCCTATGGTCTCCGAATTAAGCATCAAGAGGCTCTAGTTCCATTAAAAATGTAGAAAATCCCCCAGATTCGTACTTGGTAGTAGTGCCCCCCATCACCATCACAGCCAGGAGAGAACCAGCCCGCCTTTGCCTACACCTCAACAACAATCCACTTTCCTTCTTCCTCCCCAACGCCATCATCTTTACTTGGTCTTTTGTACATCGCCTACTAGGCGCCTTTTCATCTAGTTCTTGATTTCTTGTGCTGTCGCTGAGAGCTGAAATCTGAGTGTCTGTTCACCTGGTGCTCCCAATCTCCCCCCCCCCCCCCACCCACTCCCAGCCTGCCACTTAGCGACACGGAGATCCTTTGGCACCGACCAACTACATCCTATATCACCTGCTCTCTCCGGCCAGCCTTACTGCCGGCCAGTCAATTGTTCAACCTGAAGCTACAAAGGTATGTTCGATTGCACGCTCGTCTCCTGTTGCCTGCATTGGCCCTTTCTTCCCTGAATCGAACTGTCTGTCTTGCACCGTGCGCGTGCTGCGACTGCACCCTGTCTCGAGCGCCTAAGGTTGTTGCCATTGAGCCTCAACTTCGCTTCCCAGCATTGCAGGGACTTGAAGTTGGCACTGCAGAACGCTCTATTTCGAGACTAGTCCATTTACATGCTGTGTGACCCGGACCGCTCATCAGTTTCTCCTTTTAGGTCGATCCAAACAATTTCCCCCCTCGTGGTCTTTTCGAATAGTCGTCTCCGTTGTCTCCCCCGATTCGCTCTGGCTAGAGTGCGGCGCCTGGCTGCACTGGAACCCATAACACCAGCCGAGTACATGTGGTTATCTACATAGTCGTCAAAAATGAAGGGTTTCAGACAGAGAGTGGTGAGTTACCCTCACCCTTCCCAAGTGCACTCACCGCACGATTACTTCCGCACGCCATCCCATTCTCCTAAGCAGCTGGCGATACCTCGCTCATCGGAAATCGCGCTAATAATTATTGCATCATTTTTAGCACGACCAGTTGTCGCGGGCGAAAGACAACAAGTCTTCGAAAAAGAAAGACTCAAATCCCACTTCCCAGTCGTCTCTCGGCATCTCCAATACACAGCAGTCTGCCTCCCCCAACCAAGGCACACCCACATCATCCACAACCTCACTGAATGATTTGCGAAACAAATCTCCGGATAATGCCTCACCGGCCGGAACTCCTTCTGCGGGCGCACCCCACCCCGGTACCCCGGTCCAGCATTATATCCCCCAAGCCGGTGCCGCAGGCCAGCCCGTGAGCAATGGACCAGGAACACCGACTAGACAAGGCCAGCCCGTGGCTCCCAGTGTGATCATCAGTCCAAGCTCCACTGTAAGCATACCCTGTTTCCCACTAGCTAACGCCTGCATGCACTGACACTCGTTGGATTTATAGCACCCCCCTCCCCCTGGTGCCGCTGAAACGATGCCCGGCGATCTTGCACCCCCAAGGAAGTCTCATGTCTTCGATCGCCTGCAGACCACCCCCAAGGATTTGTCGGAAGGCATTCGGACTCCCAAGCGCCAGCACTCGTCACGATTTGACATCTCCGATCAGCGCCAGAGAGAATTGGAGAAGTTGCCGGGCTTCCACGAAGTGCCACCCAACCGGCGTCAAGATTTGTTCATGCAAAAGATCGATCAGTGCAATATCATCTTCGATTTCAACGACCCCACAGCCGATATGAAGTCCAAGGAGATCAAGCGATTGGCGCTGCACGAACTCTTAGACTATGTCGCCAACAATCGGTCCGTGATCACAGAGCCAATGTACCCTCGTGTGGTAGAGATGTTCGCCAAAAATCTTTTCCGTCCCATTCCCCCGCCTATGACCCCCCAGGGCGAAGCATTCGACCCGGAGGAAGATGAGCCTGTTTTGGAAGTTGCTTGGCCTCACATCCAGGTTGTATATGAGTTCTTCTTGCGTTTCATCGAGAGCCAGGATTTCAACACGAACATTGCAAAGGGTTATATTGATCATCAGTTTGTGCTTTCGGTATGTTTCCAGATATTTCGATTTATGCTTGGTGGAAACTAATTTATCATACTCAGTTGTTGGATCTGTTTGACTCCGAAGATCCCCGGGAACGTGATTTCCTCAAGACAACTCTCCATCGCATCTATGGAAAATTCTTGAACTTGCGATCATATATCCGCCGATCTATTAACAACGTTTTCTTCCAATTCATGTATGAGACAGAACGCCACAACGGAATTGCTGAATTACTCGAAATTCTGGGTTCTATCATCAACGGTTTCGCTTTGCCTCTCAAGGAAGAGCACAAGCTGTTCTTGACTCGGGTCCTCCTCCCTATGCACAAGGTGAAGAGTCTCAGCATGTACCACCCGCAATTGGCATACTGTATCGTGCAATTCTTGGAGAAGGACTCCACATTGACCGAAGACGTAAGACGTTCAATACTCTTTTCCATTGTCAAATACTCACATCTATCTAGGTTGTCCTCGGATTGCTGCGCTTCTGGCCTAAGACTAATAGCACCAAAGAAGTCATGTATCTCAACGAGGTCGAAGATATCTTCGAAGTGATGGACCCTGGCGAGTTCGCTAAGGTCCAGGAGCCTTTGTTCAATCAGTTGGCCAAGTCTGTCGCCAGTCCTCATTTCCAGGTTCGTATTCACCCGTGTCGTCAACTTGCTATGCCCCTCTAATCTGATTTCGGATATATAGGTCGCTGAGCGTGCGTTGTACTTCTGGAACAACGAATATTTCTGCAACCTTGTAAGCGACAATGTGGAGACTATTCTTCCCATTATGTTTGCGCCACTATATGAGAACTCAAAGGGACACTGGAATCGGTAGGCTCGACCTTTTTCTTTGATCCATGCGAATGACAACATACTGACATGACATCTTGCCATAGAACAATTCACAGCATGGTATACAACGCCATGAAGATGTTCATGGAAATTAACCCCCAACTGTTCGATGAATGCTCCCACGAATTCAATGAGCACCAGAACACTGCAGAACGGCGTGAAAAGGCTCGCACAGACCGCTGGGATACGATCGAGCAACAAGCCAGAGATCGAAAGAACGGCATTCCCCCACCCCCTCCCCCCGCTCTTGATGTGCCTGAACCGATCGACGAGGTAGAGGCCATGACCCACGAGAGCCAAAAGCGATTGAACACGCTGAAATTGCAAGAGGAGCCCGATGCCTCCAAGGAACGACCCAGCAGGGAAGGCACTCCTAATTCGGTACGTCCCGTGCATCTCTGACTTGCGCCATTTTGCTGCCCAGATACTTGCATCCCTATGCGAACTATTCTCTTATCTGGCCCTAATGCCCTTGTTTTTGTCTTTTGCTAAGAGACTACTCCTCCCTCTATAGCCAGCGTGATTCTAACGTGAGAACGTCCGTTTGCTTCAGACACGACGCCGAGGCTCAATTCGCAGCAGTGGCCGGAGACGACGGAGCGGAAGCGGCAGTGAGATTCGCCCGCGACGACGATCGGTCGGCAGTGGTACTAGTGCGACCAATGTACAGATCTTGCATCGAAGCAATTCTACCAAATAATGTCTCGGAGGGAATGAACTGCTGAAGGATATGTGATTTCCGATTATTTTCTTGCGACGGCATAGCGACTACGGGCAACAAGTTATTTTTGTCTTTTGATTTTCGGCGGTACTCGCCCGGATTGATGCCCTCAAACTGTGCCTTTCTGCCCCCCCTATTTTTTCCCTTATTTTCTTTTGTGTACATGGACTTTTTGATATTTTCCTTTCCACGATTGGATCCCTCGGGTTCGTCTTTAGTGCGGATATCTGAGATGTTGCCAGTCTTAGAACCGTGTTCGGGTATGGAAAACGGGTGCGTATGGCGTTTCCATCCATCGACCATGATGTCGGTGGCTGTCTATGTGTTGTCTTCATTTGTCTTCTTCTATTATTTTAGACCAATTCTAGGATATGACATTGCCTTTGAATATGATTGGAGTATGGAAATTGTAGACATATAAAGCCAGTCTAGATTGTGAACTGACCTACGATGAGGTTGATTAAGTGCGATAAAATTGCTAGGTAATCCTAGCCGTGGATAGAAGCATGATTCTCTTTACTCGTGTGCGTTACCTATCCATGGATCGTAATGAGATATTCCAAGGTTTTTTTCGTGTAGGTCAACATATATACTTTTGATTCAGAGAATAGTTCTATTATAATTGTATAAAAGCAGACCAACATGCTAAATGCTGGAAAATCTTAAAAAGCGAAACAAGGGAGCGTATTCTCCTCACTTGCCTTTTTCCTCTTCACCCATCTTTTGTCTATTTTGGTATCTCGAATGGCCACTTTATAGTCCCGATATAGTACCTGTGAAGGGGCTCGGATCGGATCAACTACCACCGACAAAATTGCCCAAAGCGGACTAGTGTTTCTTTCGGGGTCTCTGCGATAGCCCGCGTCTTCTGTTCTGCTCTCGTGAATATCGCGCGCATTCAATACCTTTAAATCCTCCCTCATCTCCCTAACCCTCTACTTCCCCGCGGGGTAATTCGATTCATTCTTTTGCCGTCCGACCTTTCTTTTGCTTAATGGATTAGGCGGTCTATTTCCTGGAATACCAAATGACTTGATGATTCCATTTCTTTTACCTCTTCCGTCTCCGATCTTTTCGCATATCGATCGAGTTCACACAGCTTCTGTGACACCGCAACACAACACATGAAAGGCCGATTCTCCCCCGGGACGACTGCGCACACTCTGCCCTTCTCAGCCGGCCTCTTGGCCCGGCCATAATTTCTCTTTGTCTCGCTTTAGTGGCCAACCCTGCCGACGGGTACGATCGCAGCCATGGAGCGAAATATAGAAATCTACGCCACCAAGCTCGGCGATGAGAAGCTGGGTACGTCAAATTGATAGTCGTCGACTGGAATCCCTGTCATGTCACCGTGCTGACCATCACGCCATCATACAGACGTCAAAGTCCGAGCTAATGTTGCTACCGAATTACGAGACAGCATTGAACCTTTATGCTCGGGCGCAAGCTACCCCATCTTTCTAGCCAAGCTATGGCCGGTTTTCAAAACAATCCTGAAGGGAGACCCAGTCTTCTTCAGCATGTCCTATGACCAAGTGAGATTCGGACTTACTCGAGGGTGTCCTCGTGCCTCATTAAGGTTGGTAATTCCTGCTAACCCACCCTGTTTTTTTCAATAGAAGCTTCGAAACTGTATTCTCGAGACACTACACCGATTACCCATGGGCTCCCCCGATGTAGAGCCGTATGCCGTTGATATGGTCGACCTGTTGATGGAACTGGCGCGGATCGAGAATGAAGATAATGCGGTGCTCTGCATGAAGACCATCATGGATTTAGAGAGGAACCAAGCTAAGGCAACTGCACACCGGGTTCAGGCTTTCCTTGAACTCATTCAAGAGATGTTCCAGACCATGGAGCAAGTGGTCCGGGACACCTTTGACACGCCAAACCAAGCCACACCCTCGGGTATGCCATCAACACCAAACGCAACAGCACAGAGCTTCCAATCTCCTCGACCGAGCTCACCTGCAACATCTGTGTCAGATTTAGGACCGGAACAGCAGTCGAGCAATGTTCTTCTCAAGGGTATGCAGTCCTTCAAGGTTCTTGCGGAGTGTCCGATCATCGTCGTTTCCATCTTCCAGACTCACCGCGCATCGGTTTCAGCCAATGTCAAGCTGTTCGTACCGCTCATCAAGACCATTCTGTTGCTTCAGGCGAAGCCGCAAGAGAAGGCACACGCAGAAGCCGCAGCACAGGGTACGATCTTCACGGGGGTATGCAAGGAAATCAAGAACCGTCCTGCATTCGGAGAGTTCATCACAGCGCAAGTAAAGACGATGAGCTTTTTAGCATACTTGTTGCGTCTGTATGCCCACCAGCTTCAAGATTTCCTTCCCACACTTCCCTCTGTCGTGGTACGTCTTCTTCAAGATTGTCCACGAGAGAAGTCAGGCGCAAGGAAAGAGTTGCTGGTAGCTATTCGTCACATTATCAACTTCAACTACCGCAAGATCTTCCTCGAGAAAATCGATGAGCTCCTGGATGAGCGAACTCTTATCGGAGATGGCCTGACTGTCTATGAGACCATGAGACCCTTGGCTTATAGCATGTTGGCTGATCTGATCCACCACGTCCGTGACCACCTTAGTCGGGATCAGATCCGGAGGACAGTTGAAGTGTACACCAAAAACCTTCACGACGATTTCCCTGGCACAAGTTTCCAAACGATGAGTGCAAAGTTACTTCTGAACATGGCTGAGAATATCTCCAAATTAGAAGACAAGCGTGAGGCGCGTTATTTCCTAATCATGATTTTAGATGCCATCGGTGACAAGTTTGCATCGATGAACCATCAGTTCAAGAACGCCGTCAAAGTTTCCAAGGCCAACAAAGTCTTCCGCAAGGAGACAGAGCCGTGCCCCGAAAGCTACCTCGTCGACAAGGACCAGCCCCCGAGTGGGATGAAATCGACATTTTCTCTGCATCACCCATCAAGACCTCTAGCCCGCGAGATCGTGGCGGTGACCCTGTTGGGGACAACATTTTCCTCTTCAGGAACTTGATCAACGGACTGAAGAATATTTTCCGCCAATTGAAGAACTGCAACCCAGACGACGTTCAGATCGACCCAAGTAGCGTTCCTATCAACTGGTCCGAGGTATCATATGGTTATAATGCAGAGGAAGTCAGTGTCATCAAGAAGCTCTTCCACGAGGGAGCCCGTGTCTTCCGCTACTATGGCGTGGACCAGCCCCCCCCTGAGATGACCTATGCTTCTCCATTTGACTTCCTCGCGAGTCAGTACACAGCGCCAATGTCGCGAGAAGAAAAGGAGCTTCTGGAAAGCTTCGGCACTGTCTTCCACTGCATTGATACCGCGACTTTCCATGAGGTTTTTCATTCCGAAATTCCCTACCTCCACGAGCTTATGTTTGAACATGGGGCTTTGCTTCACCTGCCCCAGTTCTTCCTAGCTAGCGAGGCCACTTCTCCCGCATTCTCTGGCATGGTTTTGCAGTATCTGATGGAGCGTATTGATGAAGTTGGAACCTCTGATATGACGAAAGCGAAGATATTATTGAGAATGTTCAAGCTTTCTTTCATGGCGGTGACCCTGTTCTCTGTGCAGAATGAGCAGGTCCTTCACCCTCATGTGACAAAGATCGTCACCAAGTGTATTGAGCTTTCCGTCACAGCCGAGGAGCCTATGAACTACTTCCTTCTGTTACGTTCTTTGTTCCGAAGCATCGGTGGGGGACGTTTCGAGCTCCTCTACAAGGAAATTCTTCCCCTTCTAGAGATGTTGCTTGAGACATTCAACAACCTGCTGCTTGCAGCCCGTAAGCCGCAGGAGCGGGATCTCTATGTGGAACTTACCCTCACTGTTCCCGCCCGGCTGAGCCATCTCCTACCTCATCTCAGCTATCTGATGCGTCCAATCGTGGTAGCCTTGCGTGCGGACTCTGATCTTGTCGGACAGGGTCTGCGCACTCTCGAACTGTGCGTGGACAACCTCACAGCCGATTACCTTGACCCCATTATGGCTCCAATCATGGACGAGCTGATGACTGCTCTCTGGGACCACCTTCGCCCTCATCCTTACAATCACTTCCACGCTCACACCACCATGCGTATCCTGGGTAAACTGGGTGGACGGAATCGCAAGTTCCTCAACCACCCACCAGAGCTGTCCTTCCAGCAATTCTCTGATGACAACCCCAGCTTCGACATCAGGCTGATTGGCCCGAACGAGAAGCGACCGTTCCCTGTGGACATCGGTATTGACCTCGCTGCTGGTAAACTTATGGAGGTTCCAAAGACGGATTCAGCAAAAGCTTCGGACATCTATTACAAGCAGCAGGCCTATCGGATGCTCAGCTCTCACCTCAAGCTTCAAATTGGTTATGATGCGATACCAGATGATTTGTCAAGCTCAATTAGACTTCATGCCAACGACCTCTTCGAGAACAAGCCCAGTGCGATGGCTGATATTCTTGACAAGTCGGAAAGGTCAGCCTCGATACCTAAGAAGATTGCACAGGAAGCAACTGTCAAGAAGCTGATTAAGGCTTGTATCTTTGCTACTACTATTCCTGAGCTTGAGCAAACCGCCAAGGCCTTTGTGGCGGATGTATGCAAGCACTTTACCCTCGTCGAGGTTGGTCGTGCCCTGGCGCAATTCAGACACGGCCGCAAAGCCTTCGATGTTGCAAGCGGCGAAGGCCCCGTGTACCTGGACTCCAAGATTCTCGCCGAGGCCTTGGTTGACTGCCTCGCATCTGATGAGGTCCATGTCCGAGAGGCTGCCGAGAAGGCCATAGTTGTTGTCAGGGACGCGGCGGGTGTGATTTTTGGATCCCCGGAGAAGGCATCCAAGCTTCCATTCTTCCAGCATCTGGGCCGTGTCTTCTGCCACAGCTGCTACAGCGAAGAGTGGTTCACTAAGGCTGGTGGAAGCCTGGGCCTTAATTTGCTCGCGACCAAGCTGGACTTGGGAGAAGCATGGCTTTATGAGCGTCACGTTGAATTCTGTCGGTCTTTGATGTATGTGATCAAGGACACTCCACTGGATCTGCCTGCTGCCACGCGAATCCAGTCACAAGAGACGATGATCTTGATTCTGCAGAAATGTGGGAAGCTCATCCCTAAAGATGATCTCAAGAACGAGAAGAGCCGCTTGTATGCGCTTAGTGGGTTGCTTGTCTACGAGCTCGGACACATGAACAAACATGTTCGAGAGACTGCTCGCCGTTGCTTCACCACATTGAAGGAAGTGCTTGGCTGTGAGGTCCATGAACTGATCTTGCCTGTTAGAGATCGTCTCTTGCAGTCAATTTTCAACAAGCCTCTGCGCGCTCTGCCTTTCGCGACGCAGATTGGTTTCATTGATGCTATCACTTACTGCCTGAGTCTTCACAATGAGATCGTCACCTTCAACGAGCCTCTCAACCGCTTGATGCTGGAATCACTAGCACTCGCCGATGCCGATGATGAATCGCTTGCTTCCAAGCCCAATGAGTTCAAGAATGCGGATATGATCGTGAACCTCCGTGTTGCTTGCCTTCGCCTCCTGTCTATGGCGATGAGTTTCTCTGAGTTTGCCAATACTCCGCAAAACACGAGCAGGGCCCGCATCATCTCTGTGTTCTTCAAATCGCTGTACTCTCGTTCTCAAGAGGTGATTGAAGCTGCAAATGCTGGACTTCGGGATGTCCTCACTCAGACGAACAAGCTCCCTAAGGACTTACTACAGAATGGACTACGCCCTATTCTTATGAATCTTCAAGACCCGAAACGCCTCAGTGTCGCTGGGCTGGATGGCCTGGCTCGTCTTTTGACATTGCTCACAAACTACTTTAAGGTCGAAATTGGTGCACGTCTGCTTGATCACATGAAGGTGATTGCAGATGATGCTGTGTTGCAGAAGGTTTCATTCAGTCTTGTTGAACAGAATCCCGCCATGAAGATAGTCGCCGCCATCTTTAATATCTTCCACCTCCTTCCTCCAGCTGCGACTTCATTTATGGAGCATCTCGTCAACAAGGTACTTGATCTTGAGGCAAAGCTGCGACGCACGTCACACAGCCCATTCCGCAAGCCGCTGGTCAAGTACCTCAACCGATATCCCAAGGAGAGTCTAACATTCTTCTTCGCTCGTTTCAAGGACGAGAGATTTGGACGGTTTTTCGGTCAAATTCTGGCAGATCCCGAGAGCGAGGGATTGCGGAATGCGATCGTGGCTGATATGGATGGATTCTCTGCTGCCGCCTTTGGTCAAGACACCAGTGACGGCAAGAACACTGCTGCTATCAACGGAGTCTATGTTGCACACTCTCTCTGCTCGTACAGTTCAACCAAGCGCTGGTTGGTCTCACATGCAGATATGAGAAACAAGCTCCTGAGTTGCGGCAGGGATTTGGAGAGGAAGCTCCGAGGCGACAGTTTGCCTGCCGATGAGAGACTCCGAGTGGAGCAGGCTGAAGACCAGCTGATGGATATCTTCACCATGTACTTGGCTGAGGCCACCCACGATCTCGACTTCCTGTTTGAAGTAATCGATGGACTTTCCGCCGATGAGCTGAAACGCACCCTCGCACTCCCCAAGTTCATTTACAAGAGCATCATCTCCAATGAGTCCATTGACTATCGGCGGTCTGTCATCATGCGATGCCTGGATCTTTACGGCCAGAAGAGCTGTCCCCAGAAGACCAAGACCTATGCCTTCCGCAATCTGGTGAATCCTATCTTTGCAATGGATGTTCAGGTCACCTGGAACAGCCCCCCCAATACTCCTAAGCTTATGGATAAGAGCATGACTGAGTCCATCCAGAGTCGTTTGTGGAAGCCTCAACTCGCGGATTTGAGTGAGGAGTCTAACCAAGCAGGCGTTGATCACTCTCGTATGGAGTTGCTTCAGCTTTCTGCCTTGTTGATCAAGTACCACTCCCAAACGGTGCAGGACTCTCGCAAAGACATTATCAAATTCGCCTGGAACTACATTCGACTTGAGGATATTATCAACAAGTACGGTGCCTACGTCTTGATCAGCTATTTCATTGCCCACTACGAGACGCCTTTCAAGATTGTAATCCAAGTCTACGTCGCCTTGCTCAGGGCTCATCAGAACGAGGGCAGAGCTCTTGTCACCCAAGCACTTGATGTTCTTGCGCCTGTCCTCCCTACACGGACGGCCAATAGCTCAGGCGCAGAGGCACGGTACCCATTGTGGGCTAAATGGCCTCGCCGCATTTTGGCCGAAGAGACAGCCAACCTGCAGCAGGTTATGAGCATCTTCCAGTTCTTGGTTCGTCAGCCTGATTTGTTCTACGAGTCAAGGGAACACTTTGTACCTCTGATTGTTCCGTCATTGGTCAAGATCACCGGTCCACCCAATTCTTCCAACGACAGCAAGAAGCTGGCACTCAACTTGATCAGTTTGATCTGGCATTGGGAAGAGAAACGAGCTCAGAATGCGGAGTCTCACTCTCTGACCCATGCATCATCCGAGTCACCAGTTGCAAGGAAGCGCAAGCTGGATGATGCCCAAGAACCATCTCCTTCACCCGCTCTGGGCCCCCCTAGCAGCCGTGAACGATCTGACTACACTGTGCCTACCGACTTGCGTGCGGCATTGATCAAGTATCTCATCACCTTCATCACGACCCTCCCTGAGCGATTCATCGTTCCAGCTGCTCAGATCCGTCAGATGCCTACAACCAAGCAACAACCTCCCGTATTTACAGGAGAAATGATCAACAGGGCTATTCACCTTCTCCGTAGCCTTCTTTCTCCCGAGTACTGGGGTGATCTTGACATCGATCTCTACCAAAAGGCAACCGAGCCTATCCTGGTGGGCGAAAAAGGTGATAAACCAGAAGACAAAATCACATACATGGTCAATACGCTGCAGGTACTGCGTGTTCTCATTGCAACCAAGCCAAATGAGTGGATTGCTGCTCGTCTTCCATCCATCCAAAAGCTCCTCGAGAAACCACTGAAGTCAGACAACCCTGAGATTCAGGACTGTCTCCATGGCCTTGAAGACGACATGGACATCTCCCACAAACTACCTCCTCCTGTTCGTCATGTTCTCCAGGCCATCCCGGATGAACAACCAGACGACGAGGATGCGATGGACACGGAGGGAACGCCTTCCGAGTTTGGCTCGTATCTGTCCACTATCGCTACTGAGACGCTCTCCGCAAGCAACTACGTTTCAAGCTTGAACATTCTCTGGACACTTTCTAAGGTTAAGCCGGCTGAGATTGACGCACATATCCCTGCCGTTATGAAGGCATTCTCTACCAAATTGGCTAAGGAGCACGTAGCTGCGTCTACTCAGAATGGCGCCCAGCTGCAGAATGGGAACGGCACAAAGCCCGCCGAAGGAGCTGCCCCGGCCACAGATCAACAAGAGTTCGAGCTCGGTGTTGACCTCATCCTCAAGACAATTGAGTTGATCTCCGTTCGCATGTCTCACCTCGGAGACCAGCGACGCCCATTCCTCAGTGTTCTCGCGCAGATCGTTGAGCGCTCACAAAACATCGAGCTTTGCAGCAAGATCTTGGGCATGGCTGAGTCGTGGATCTTCCACTCCACCGAGTCATGGCCTACCTTGAAGGAGAAGACAGCTGTGCTTCACAAGATGTTGCTATTCGAATCTCGACCTGATCAGACTATGTTGAAGAAGTTCCTTGACCTCGTCATTCGAATTTACGAGGACTCAAAGATCACGCGCACTGAGTTGACGGTTAGATTGGAGCACGCTTTCTTGATTGGCGCAAGAGCCCAGGATGTTGAAATGCGCAATCGGTTCATGCAGATCTTTGATCGCAGCTTGACCCGCCTCGCCAGCTCTCGCCTTAGCTATGTTCTCACCTGCCAAAACTGGGATACTTTGGCAGACTCTTTCTGGCTGGCTCAAGCGTCGCACCTGGTGCTTGGATGTGTTGACATGAACACCACTGCCCGCTTGCACAATGAGGATTTCACTTTGTTCCCCGTGTCATTCCTCTTCGGCAGTGGAGAAAAAGACCCAAGAAAGGCCGATATCATGGTTGATAACCAGCTTGAGACTTTCGTCACCGAGCGGAGACGATTCATGTCGGAGGTCGGTGATGTCAGAGTTCGCGATCTGATCGAGCCTCTTTGCCAGCTTCAGCATACCGATTCGAATGTTGCCTACAAATTGTGGACTACCTTGTTCCCGCTCTTTTGGTCCACACTTTCGAAGGAGGACTGCATTGATCTGGAGAAGGACATGGTGACACTTCTCACTCGGGAGTACCATCACAGACAATTGGATAAGCGTCCCAACGTTGTCCAAGCTCTTCTTGAGGGTACGGTGCGTGCCAGTCCTCGCTTTAAGATCCCTCCCCATGTCATCAAGTATCTCAGCCGAACTTACGACGCATGGTACACTGCTGCGACGTACCTCGAACAAACTGCCATTGACCCTATCATCGACACACCCACTGTGCGAGAAAGTAATCTCGATGCCCTTGTGGAGGTCTACGCAGGCCTACAGGAAGATGACTTCTTCTATGGAACTTGGCGCCGTCGTTGCAAGTTTGTCGAGACCAATGCCGCCCTTTCATACGAGCAACAGGGAATGTGGGACAAATCCCAGCAGCTCTATGAGAATGCCCAGATCAAGGCTCGTTCCGGCGCCATGCCCTTCTCACAGGGTGAATACTTTGTATGGGAGGACCACTGGTTGACATGCGCTCAAAAGCTCCAGCAATGGGACATTTTAAGCGACTTCGCCAAGCATGAGAATCTGAACGATCTCTTGCTCGAGGCCGCTTGGAGGAACATTGAAAACTGGCAGAGTGAGGGTAACCGAGAGCAGCTCGAATCATTGATCAAGTCTGTATCAGATGCTCCCACCCCCAGACGCACCTTCTTCCAGGCATTCATGGCCCTGCTTCAATACCATACGAAGAAGGACAACATCCAGGATTTCAACAGTGTTTGCGACGAGTCCATTCAGCTTTCCATCCGCAAATGGCTGCAACTGCCCAAGCGCATCACCAATGCCCATATTCCGATTCTCCAGCATTTCCAGCTTTTGGTGGAACTACACGATGCCAGTCACATCTGCGGAAGCTTGGCTCAGACAAACGAACGCAACTTGGATACCAAGTCTGCAGAGCTCAAGCTGCTTCTTGGCACATGGAGAGACCGTTTGCCGAACCTCTGGGATGATATTAACACATGGCAAGACCTTGTCACCTGGCGTCAGCACATCTTCCAGCTCATCAATGGTACTTACCTCAGCCTCCTACCCCCACAGACCAACAATGTGGCCAGCAACTCTTACGCCTACCGGGGATACCACGAGACTGCTTGGATTATCAATCGCTTCGCTCATGTGGCCCGCAAGCACCAGATGCCAGAGGTATGTATCAATCAGCTCAGCCGCATCTATACCTTGCCGAATATCGAAATCCAGGAGGCATTCCTCAAGCTTCGCGAGCAGGCCAAGTGCCATTACCAGAACCCGAAGGAGCTGAACAGTGGACTGGATGTGATTAACAACACCAACTTGAACTACTTCGGACCACAGCAAAAGGCTGAGTTCTACACGCTCAAGGGCATGTTCCTCGCTAAGTTGGACCATGTCAATGAGGCAAATGAAGCTTTCGGTGTTGCTCTTTACTACGATCTACGCCTTGCCAAGGCCTGGTCTGAATGGGGACAATACAGTGATCAGAGGTTCAAGGCTGACCCTACTGACTACGAGCTTGCCAGCAATGCTGTTAGCTGTTACCTGGAGGCGGCTGGTCTCTACAAGAGCGCGAAGTCGCGGAAACTGCTCAGCAGAATCCTCTGGCTCCTCAGTCTAGATAACGACGAGGGCAAGATTGCAAGTGCGTTCGAGAACTTCAAGGGAGACACCCCGGTGTGGTACTGGATTACCTTTATCCCGCAACTTTTGACCAGCCTGTCCCATCGCGAGGCGCGCCTCTGCAAGGCTGTTCTGGTCAAGATTGCCAAGCTATACCCCCAAGCTCTGTTCTTCTTGCTCCGCACCAACAGAGAGGACATGCTTAGTATCAAGAAACAGCATGACCAGAAGCAAGAAAAGTTGAATCGGGCTAGACAGCAACAGCAAGGATCTTCGCCCAACACAAAGCCAAACTCGGCTGCTGGTACCGATAGTTCGCCCGCCCAAAAGGCCCAGGCAGCTGCCAATGCCTCGCCCTTAGTTCCACCTGCAGGCTCGCCAGCTATTCAGAATCCCGCCCTTCCGCAAAGCCAGTCACCTGCTCAGCCACAAAACGCCGTTCAGGCATCCCCAAGACAGGGTCAAGGTCAAAGCCCACAAGCCGGTCAAACTCCAGGCCAATCTCAACACTTGCAAGTACCAGGTCAGAATGGAACACCACAGACCCAGGCTCCCACCGTCGAGGGCGAGAAGGAGCCTCTCAAAAAACCATGGGAGTACTCGGACGAAATCATGTCTGGACTCAAGACAGCCTTCCCCTTACTCGCTCTGTCTATGGAGACAATGGTCGATCAGATCCACAAGAACTTTAAGTGTCCCCCGGATGAGGATGCTTACCGCCTGATCGTTGCTCTTCTGAACGATGGCCTAGCTTACGTGGGTCGCATGCCTGCATCTTATGCACCGGACTTCAAGTTGCCTGCCGCCACCGAAGCCAACATCACTCGCTTCGCGGAGACCATTCTTCCTGCCCACATTCGCAAATCGTTCGAGGCGGACTTCGTCACCAAGAAGCCGACCATGAACGAGTACATCCACAAGCTCCGGCGCTGGCGTGACAAGTTCGAAGAAAAGCTCGATCGTCGACCCCAACAGACATTCCTTGAGAGCGCCTCTCCCCATCTGAGTGAATTCCGCTTCCTCAAGTTCGATGAGGTCGAGATCCCCGGCCAGTACCTACTCCACAAGGACAAGAATCAAGACTTTGTCCGCATCGATCGCTTCCTTCCAGATGTGGACTTGGTGCGAGGTATTGGTGTTTGCCATCGCCGCTTGAAGATTCGAGGCCATGACGGTAGTGTGCAAGCATTTGCTGTCCAACACCCTGCTGCCCGCCACTGCAGACGCGAAGAACGCATCCTCCAGCTGTTCCGAATCTTTAACGGCTTGCTTGCGAAACGCAAAGAAAGCCGCCGTCGCAATCTGTATTTCCACTTGCCGTTGATGGTCCCGTTAGCGCCTCACATTCGCCTGGTCCGGGACGATTCGTCATACATCTCCATGCAGGGTATCTATGAGGATTACTGCCGCCGCGAGGGAATGAATAAGGACGAGCCAGTGCTCTTCACAATGGATAAGATGAGGTCATTGGCAGAGACAAAGCAAAATGTGAGTTTACTTGACATTCTTGAGGCAACCAAAGCTAATTGTTTCCAGCGTACTCCCGATCAGCAACAGGTTCTTCGTACAGAGATCCTCACAGCTATTCAAGACAAGTGGGTCCCGAGCACTGTGGTCTTGGAATACTTCCAGCAGACATACCCCAACTTCTCGGACTTCTGGCTATTCCGCCGACAGTTTGCCTACCAATACGCGGCGATTGCCTTCATGACCTATGTTATGCACATCGGAAACCGATACCCAAACAAGATCATGATATCTCGCTCGACCGGTGACATCTGGGGTGCCGAATTGATCCCCACCATCAATCCAGCTAAGGCATTCTTCTACAACCCGGAACAAGTTCCCTTCCGTTTCACACCGAACATTCAAACCTTACTGGGTCCAATCGCAACAGAGGGTGTCTTCGCCTGTGCAATGATGGCCATCGCCCGCTGCTTGACCGAGCCACGCCACGAGCTGGAGCAACAACTTAGCGTCTTTGTGCGGGACGAAATGATGTTCTGGTCTACGGCACAGCATCGCGGGCCCTTGCCCCCCAACCAGCTCCGCGACCTTGTCTACAATAACAGCGAGATCATTGCCAACCGCGCTGTCAGCCTTGCCAGCCCACCGGAGGGCAACTTGCCAGCCAACCAGACCACGATTGACCTGGTTTCTAAGGCTGTTAACCCTCAACATCTGGCCTCGTGCGATGCGTTGTGGATGCCATACCTTTGAGTGGTGCTAGTTTGGGGTTTGTGTGTTTCTCCCATTGCCAATTGGCAATGGCTATCATTATATGGCTATTGTGTTTTCTCAAGCGGTGGTTTTGTCCTTGGGTTTGCTTTCTGAGCGTGGCGCTCCGGCGAGGTGCGCGGCTTTGCTTCATGTTACTATGATTGTGATACCGATTTCTTTCCTGTCTTAATACCTTCTCCAATGTCCTTTTTAGCTTTGCAGACCATTAGCTCTTAATGTTATTGCTTCTCTTAATCAAGCTCCAGTACTCCGCACGGAGGTAGACATAGATCCCCCAGGTAGCAACCACACAGGAGAGAAATATGAGAATCAGAAGGATATTAAATTTTTTTCTGCAAGTGAGACCGACACTCGAGTTATTTCATGTGAGTTATGATAGCTGGAGCATGGATCATCAAAAGGCCGTGTCTGCTTCGTCTTCAAGCCGTTTCAAAAGCCCCGGCACAAGCAAGAAGATTGAATCGTCCTCCCACATGGGATTTATCACACGTTTGCGCATTCGCGAACCATGAGCGAGGTGGCCAACGTTATGACCTGAACAATAGAGATCCAACATTTCTAGGATGTGGGATGTGGGACGTAGGGCTCGACGACGACGAGCAACCGTTTGGCCAACGGGCCGCGATGAAAGCAGGTGTGTGAGACGAGGGGCATTGAACAACGGAATCAAACGAGCCCGAATATCGGAACTCGGCCACAGTCCAACGAAATTCAGCACGAAATTCAGTCAGTAGGAAATATCATAACAAATTGAATCTGAGACGAGGGAGGAAGCAGACGGGTGAGTGAATGGGCAAGAGGGTAGATGGAGGATGCCACGCCGTTTTCATCAGTCGCAATAGTTGCTGTGCACGGGGATTAGGGGTCAGGATTTATGAGAATGGAATGATTCCGCACTCTTTGCGAACCAGCATGTTTCTTCTTCGGGAAAACATCTGATCCTGGCTTAGGGGGTTTGACCTCGAGCTCTATAGCTTTGAATGCGAAGCGCCTACATAGTTATACGCTACTAATGGGAATGCAACTTTTAAATTAATCTTTGATTTCGATTGATTGATCATAAATCATGGGCATCATGGGCACCAAAGGCCGAACGAACTCCACTCCATCCATGTGCAAAAACTCCTTGATGAAAAGAAACAAATCAAGATGCGAATGTAATCGTCAAGTCGTCACCTAGAAACCTTCCGTAGAATGAGAGCAAATAGCTAGCCTACTCAGAGGGCTTCTTGTCCGAGGCCTTTTCAGAGGTCCTCTTGTCAAGGGCCGCCTGGTGAACGGCCCTCTCGAGCCTGCGCTCGGCCCTCTTCCGCTTCTTCTCCTTGATCATTTGGCTGATGCGTTTCTTGTCCATATCCATGAAGTCTTCGAGGCCCTTGAACAAGTCGGGGTTTTTGGCCTTGATTCGCAGCTCCTGTAGCTCCTCCTTGTCTTCCTCTTTGAGTCTCTCAGAAGCTTTCGCCTGCTCCTCGTCGGTGGAGGGGATGATGATATCGCCATTTTCATCGCGGGGAGCGTCGTCCAAGCTGTCGATTCCCAGTCGTTCTTTCAGGTTCTTGAGCAATTGCTCCTTGGAGATGACTCCTTGGTACGTTCCAGAAGGGCGCGGTTTGGGATTGCCATCCGCATCTCGGAAACGCTTGCGAGCAATCTCAGCAATCTCCGCCTCAAAGCGCGCGTTCTCATCGTCAATGGCGGAGACAGGCTCGCCAATAGCAGCCTTGGCACCGGTGGCCTCGTTGCGCTCGATGCGGGCGTTGCGGGTGCGGATTTCGTCGAGAGCGTCAGCGACCTGCATCTCACGCTTGCTCTCCTTCATTTTGTCCTCGAGTTCCGCCATCTTGTCACGCTCCTGCTGAGCTTCCTCTTCACCGAGTTCACGTTCGAGACGCGCGAGAGTCTCTTCCTGAGTCTCATCCTTGTACTTGTCTTCATCATTGTCGCGCCAGGCCTCATAGTTGCGCTGGGCACCCTTCTCGCACTTGTAGTCTTTGTCTGAAAGGAAAGTGAGTCAGAAGCTGAACAGACCAAATAAAAAAAAGACATCACAGCAAAGAAATGCTTACTCTTGGGGTCAGTGCGGAAGATGATCTCGTGCTTGCAGTCGGTACATTTGATGTAGAAACGGAACAAGGTAATACCAAGATACTTTTCGTCGGTGGTCTCCTTGCGGGCGTTGAACTTGCGACCCTTGTAGATGTATTCGCCACAGTTGGTGCATTTCATAGAGAAAGGCGCCATGAGGCGAATAGGAATCGACTTGAGGCCATGAGTCTTGGGTTTCTTGACCCTGCCCTCGATGGCGCGAGGGTCAAAGTCAGGGGGAAAATACTTAGAAGTGACCTTTCGTTCGGCCATGATGATCAGAAATGGTTGCGACGGAAAGGTGGAGCAGGAAGGAAGAGAAATTATGATGCGAACTTACCTTGTCCTTTTTATTCTGCATGGTTGGGATGAATGGAGAAGGCGGTAAAGATTCGGAGTAGGCAAAACATTTATCCGAGGGGAGCTGGTGTGCCCCTCATCTTGATTGGCCATAAGGACCCACCTTCCTCAATAGTCAAGAACAATAGCTTCAATTGAATACAATGACAATAAACAATACTAGTATTAAACTGTGCATCAATCAATCGAGATAATTTCATTCTATCTAAAGAATACAAAGTACAATAGGCTGAATGTCTGGTTCGTTCATATATAGGCTCTCTTTAATTACTTCGCATTCCGTACTCTATAATCCAGACCCAAGATAAGGCAGTAAGGCATGAAATTCAGGCATAAAACCTTGAGAGTGCTATTCCACAGCACGGACCACTGTTTAGTTCAAAATAAACGGACCCGCTCATGCAACATTGCGATTTAGCACCTAAGGACCTTCAATGTCTGCCAATTTTTGATACTTACAGACGTATCTTTGTGATGGAAAGGTTTCTGCGCTCCTGGCGGCAGGATGCATTGAACCGTGGCCAGCATGATTCTGCAATCTACATTGGCGACAAGGTGCTAGCGCTCACCAGTGAGTCCCAAAGGAAACGATGCAGATAAGGAATATTAACACCACTCAAAAAAGACAGTGACTCCGACGCGTTCTGGTTGGCCCAAGTACACTTCTCCAACAACAACTTTACACGTGCCCTAGCCCTTCTATCTCGCAAGGACCTTGTTTCCCGGAGCACTGCCTGCCGCTATCTTGCTGCCCATTCCTATATCAAACAGAACCAATTCGAACAAGCCCTGATCATTCTCGGCGAACATAATCCCACAGATCTGATCCGCAATAATCATACCCGACGCAAGATTCAACATCAAAGCCACGTCACATTGCGCAATGGCAAGAGCGCGACCCCGCGCAGTGATCGGGCGGAAGAGCGCGAACGAGATGATGCCAACAATGTGCGATTTGAAGCGGCCATGTGTTATCTTAGAGGTCTCTGTTTCGCAAAGCAGAATGCTTTCGATCGCGCCCGGGACTGCTACAAGGATGCCGTGAGGATTGATGTGCAATGCTTTGAGGCATTTGACCAGCTCATGAAGAACTCATTGATGTCACCCGCCGAAGAGCTGGAATTCTTGGAATCTCTAGATTTTGATTCCGTCTCCTCTCCCGATCCCATGATGGCACAAGAGGCCGCCCACTTCACAAAGATGCTTTACACGACCCGCCTATCGAAATACTCCTCTCCGATCGTCCTCTCCGACGCCACTGAGACCCTCTCAACACATTATAATCTTGCTGAAAACGCGGACATCCTCCTCTCCCGCGCTGAAGCTCTGTACACACAATGTCGGTTTGCAGAAGCTCTGGAGCTGACCTCCTCTATCCTCTCCACATCTCAATCGACCGACCTCACCAACACAAACGCCAGCATACCAGCGCAGAACCATCTTGGCCATGCTCCGGCTATCTACCCGCTCCACTTGGCATGTCTGTATGAGACGGGTGCGACAAATGCACTCTTCTTGCTCTCCCATATGCTCGCAGACCACTCACCGGAGGAACCATATACCTATCTGGCCATTGGAGTATACTATCTATCAGTTTCAAAGGTTGCCGAGGCTCGGAGATTCTTTTCGAAGGCTTCACTATTAGATCCACATTCAGCACCGGCGTGGATTGGATTTGCGCACACCTTCGCCGCAGAAGGCGAGCACGACCAAGCGATTGCAGCGTATAGTACGGCCGCTCGGCTTTTCCAGGGCAGTCATCTCCCCCAGCTTTTTTTGGGAATGCAACATCTTGCGCTCAACAACATGGCTTTGGCGCACGAGTATCTATGTGCAGCCTACTCTATGTCGACCGGAGCAGCACCAGGCTCCGTGCCAGCACTCCCACCTAATCCATCCTCGGCCGTTTCACCCGTCGGCGGGGACCCGCTTGTTCTCAATGAGCTTGGTGTGGTATTGTATCATCAAAACCAGCTCGCTGGTGCGATAGAATTGTTCCAGCAAGCTTTGACGCTCGCCACCACTCTCCATTGTGAACCTAGTGCCTGGGTAGCCACACGTGCAAACCTGGGCCACGCGTTCCGTCGGATGGGACGCCTGCCCGAGGCCCTCCGTGAGTTTGACGAGTGTCTACGTGTTGGTGCAGGGGGTAGTAGCATGGGCTACTCACCATTCTTGGGCGGCGGTGCAGGTGGCTCTAACGCTGTTACAGCATCGGGAGTTGGAGGATACGAAGATCGAGGATTGACTGGTTCCCTTCACACATCTCGTGGCTTGGTTTTACTCGAAATGGGACGCACTACAGATGCTGTTACGACTCTACACGAGGCTGTTCGTGTCCTTGGAGCCAGTGGCGGAGGCGATGCAGCAGGTGGTGCCGGCGTGGCGGGTACATTACTTTCACGAGCCCTCGAGCTTTGGGCGCTCGAAGGACGTCAGAATGACCGGGCCGCGTTCGAAGAGAGTATGCGAGAATCGAGCGTGTCATCATCCAAGCGCCGAGGATTGAACCGAACCCATGAATCCAAGGGTAAAGAGCGACTGGCTACAGTGGATACGTCCCGACGGCACAGACGCCAAGAACCCTCCGTAGAAGAATGGACAGACGATGTACCCCAGGTCTCTACACCGCAAGCCGAAGAAGACAAGATCGAGATGGATTTGGACACTGAAGCTGACGGACTTCTTCGACGAGCTCTTGGCCGTGTACGACCCGGACGACAACGCCGCCCACCTGCAACACCAGACATGGATACGGAGACACCGGCTCCTTCTAGTGGCCGTAGTCGGGGAACACGGCATGCACGGAGTCAGTCCCGACAATAAATCTTTATTTTGCTTTGTTTTGTTGACACAGGCCTATGAAAAATTTGGGGTTTCCAAGCATTGCAGCGGGCGTTAGAAAAGAGGGTTAGAACCACATTGTTAGACATGTCACTTGTAGGCACTTGGATGTATTCAGTTGACTCGAAATACCAGTGCTTAGTTCAAATAAGCCCCGGCCCACATGTTGGCCTCGTATCGCACTTGTCTGTATGACTCGGTATTGGCCCCCATTTTGGTTAGTTTCTGATCTAGTTTAGTAGTGTCTTGGAAAATTTCAATAGAAATTGCATCAATCGTGAGTATCCCTAAGTTGTTGTATGATTCTTGATCAAAGAGATCGAAGTAGAAGTATAGAATGGGCTGAAAAGAAGAATATAACCCTACAACTTAACGCCTGTGCCCTATATAATGACTAAGATGTAAAATGATTCAGGGTCCATGGTTTAGTCTTGCGCCCCTTTCGAATGTCTTGGCAGGGCGTCTTCTTTTCGTCATTCAACCATCTTCTACTTCCCTATTCACATCTTCATCAGATGTTACCTCTGAACACACATCATACCCAAAGATGATTCACAAGAAAACAACTAATTGAAAATAAAAGAAAAACATAAACAGAAAAGAATCAACACCAAAAAGAAAGAAGAAAACAAGAATGACGCCTCTGACCCACATGCACCGGCACTGAGGCTCAGCCCGCCTTGGCCAATTTGGGGGCGACGCCCATCACTTGCTCTTAGGGGCTGTTTCAACATCTTGATCGTCCCCCTCATCCATTTCTTCCCTTTTTACCTCTTTCCCTTAAGACAATGCCATGCCACTCTGGCAATCCGCAATGTCGGCCTACACAATACGACCCAAACGCGGTCTCTCACTCCTTTGCATCATTGCCGCCCTTTGCTTCAGCGTCATATTCATCATTTGGTATGGCATGAACTCGGATCGCGACTATATACACCCTATCCTGACCCAGCTGATCCCCGCCGGACACTGTGCTTGCGAATCCTCCACCACCTTCCAATGCTCAACATGTCTCACTTGTCCCGAACCCGTCCTACAAGAAGGCGCCTCTCCCGCCTGGTCGTATGAATACGCCCGCGACGGTCGCAATGAAGCTCTCGGGCAGTCACAGTGCCAGGCTGCTTTCCCTGGGCTATTCGAAGATATTGCGCGCGGAGGAAAATTCTGGTCTACACATGGCGGCCTGTCGACAGTTGAACTTGACGCCATCACCATTGAGCAAGGAATGGCTCGGGCGTTCATTTCTCAAGGCGAGTTACATGTGGTGTTGGCTCGATCCAAAAATGAAGACCATCGACGGAAAATTCTAGGCACCTTGAGTTCGATCCACCGCGCGCTGGCCGCCGACCCGGAACGAGCCTCTAGACGCGATGTCGAATTTGTTTTCTCGGTCGAAGATAAAGTGGACGATGTGACTAATCCCGAATGGCCTGTTTGGGTGTTTTCGCGGACCCCCACCGAAGAAGGTGTGTGGCTCATGCCGGACTTTAGCTTCTGGGCCTGGGACAATCCAAACAATTACATGGGCCCGTACGACCAGGTGGTTGATCGAATCAAACGACTGGATATCCCGTGGGAAGATAAAAAGCCCCAGTTGGTCTGGCGGGGGAAGCCAAGTTTCTCGCCGAAATTGCGACGCGCGTTAATGGAAGCCGCTAGGGACAAGCCGTGGGGCGATGTCAAGCAGGTTGATTGGAGCACCGGATCTAACGTGCTCAAGATGGAAGATCATTGTCATTACATGTTCATAGCGCATGTCGAAGGTGAGGCTGGGTATCTTATTGTGGGACTCGCAACAAAAGCTAACGGTTCATTCTTAGGTCGCTCCTATTCGGCCTCGCTGAAATACCGACAGGCCTGCCATTCAGTGATTGTCGCACACAAGCTGCAATTCATCCAGCACCACCACTACCTACTGGTTGCCGACGGACCAAATCAGAACTACGTCGAGGTTGAGCGCGATTTCAGCGATTTATCGGACAAGATTGAGCCTTTGGTCAGCGATACCGAGGCCGCGCGGCGCATTGCCGATAACAGCGTCAAGACCTTCCGAGAGCGGTACCTGACCCCGGCCGCAGAAGCGTGCTACTGGCGGACACTGCTCGACGGCTATGCCGGAGTGTGGAACAGCACCGTCGAGCAATGGTCTGACAGCCAGGAGCGCGAGCGGGGTCTTCGCTACGAATCTTTCGTGCTCTTGGAGAGCCCGAAGATGTTTGAGTTCGAAGCTGCTGCCACAGAGAAATGGCAGGCCTCATGATTCGAGAATACGATACGGACTACTACTTAATACTGTGTGAATACCCGTCGAAGCCGGGACAAATGCGTTGAGCGATTTTTAGAAGCGTTCAGGGGTCGACTTCTCCCCCCTTGCTACATGTGATACCACGAGAGCGAACATACTAGACATGTACTACAGGTACTTGAGCCAATTTAACGATCAGTTGATCGTATTATGCCGTCGATTGCGCATTTGACCTGTAGATACACTGCTGCAATATGCTCTATTCACTCTACCTACCCCTCACTTTAACCTCCAGCTCCCTGTCTCCAGGATTCAAACCTGTCTTCCCAATATACCTGTCACCACTCCGTTTCCAAGCCGACCATTTGTAACCCTGACATTTCAGCCAGTGCCACCCCAATTCACGAGATTCAACTCCGTCAGGATAACTCGACAACCCAAGGGAGCCAATATTCCACCCTTTTCTCGTCAGCACGATACCAATCTTCCGAGCGAAGGCTCAAACCTACCGGTGTCATCTTCAACCTATACCCAGAATCGACAACCCAACTAACCCTCCCCAGCAAAACAAACAGCAGAATCTTAACCTGCAACAATGCAAACCCTTGCCCAAGACATTTCCGCCTATGCGCATTAAACGGAATGTACGTTCCCCGCACCGTCTCTCTCCGAAACCGCCCCTGCATCTCCTCAACCGCCTCCCCCACCGCTCAGGCCTAAACTCCCGAGCATCGGCCCCCCACACCGCAGTATTACTATGCACTGCCCACGCATTCCACCCAACGAACGTTCCCTTCGGAATGAGCAGGGTACCACCCAACAAAGCAGGCTCTGTCGCGACGCGATTGATAAGCTGGGAAACGGGCGGGAAAAGCCGGAGGAGTTCCAGAACGACGGAAGTAAGATAGGGCAGGGTATTGATGATATCCTGGGATGGGTCGGGGTGGACGAGGCTTGTAGCTATAATCTCAGCGCGCAGACGAGACTGGATGTCGAGTCTTGTGCCCAGTTGCCAGAACATCGAGTTGACGAGTTGCTGGGCGTTTTCGTGGGCTGTGAGGAATGTTATTTTGAGATTATCGCGGAATTGCTTCTCTGTTATTTGCTTTGAGAGGAAGGCCTCGGCGAGCATGTGGGAGACCATTTCTTCTGATTTTTCATTGGAGTTGGCGCGTTGGTTTATCATTTGCATTGTTTTCGCAAAAAGCCGGTTGTCGAACTCGTGCATTATCTCGTAGGCTCGTTTGCGAGATGGGAGGAGCCAGGTGAAGCGGTCTAGATCTGGGAAGCTGAAGTACATTGGTTTGAAGAGGGTTGCTTTGATGATTGATTGGAGGGATTCGAGGCGGACATGGTTGTTTGGATGGCCTAGGCTCTGGTATAATTAGTTGTGAGTATACCTAGACAGTACGTTACTGTTCCTGTATGTTCAGCGATATGAATATATACCTCGAAGTCCAAATCCAAGAAATTCTCCCCCATAACGTCAACAGCCCACTTTTGCACATCGTCATTTACCAGAATGCTCTCGCCAACACTGATACTCTGCGAACTGATCAAAACATCAACCAATTTCCTCGACTGCCTAAGCAACGAAGTAGTATCAAAAACCTTCTTCTGCAATCCTGGCTTCATGATCGAAGTAAACAGTTTCCAATTCTCATGCGAATTGATAATGTTATCACCAACGAGCGTCGCAATGACAGCATGCGGGATCTTGATCTGGGAGCCGGCTTTGGCATACAAATTCTCATTGCGGAACAAATCAGTTAACAAGTCTGGTCGTGAGACAAGGATGCTCCACCGGCCGCCGAACCAGACGATAACCGCACCGTGTGTTTCAAGTGGCATGCGAAACCAGCGGTCGTAGATCTCATCTTGGCCCATTGAAGACCAGAGACCGAGGATTGAGACATAAATTGGGATTTTAGGTAGAGGTGGGAATGTGCGTGGGACGTGGAGGTACCAAGTCAAGAATAGGGTTGGTGGGAGGAAAATAAGGAAGATGAGCAGTAAAATGGTCATAGTGGAATATTGGGAAAGGGTTTCAAGATTTGACGATGGAGGGAAGGCAATATAGTAATATCCAGCAGGTACTATATAGTAGCTAGCTGGGTCTACTTGGTGTTCGGGGGCCTTATGCACCTGGTGTCAGCGGAAATCTACAAAATGCCGATGTCACCATTGTCCGACATGAATCATGTCAAATAGATGCGAAATGCTTGTTGAAGGATACCCCTTTGTGGCTTCGAATTTTGGGAACTTGGGTAGGAGATGCCACAATTTAAAGCCTGCAAAGTGTAGATCTTGTAGTGCATATTGCAGTCGTAGAAGGCGATGATTCCCCACGGTCTATTTCCAAAATACGTCTATACCACCGACTTCAAATGACTGTCATGTGAAATTGACAGAAAATAGATGAACTTCACTTGACTATACTGAAGTTTGATTCATACATTTGTAGCCATTGAGGGGGTTTATCTTTCTCAATTAAATTAATATGTAACATATATAAGATTAGAGAGTACTCTGAAATGCGTGCAAAAGAACTCAAGTATCGAACAAGATGAGATATACTAGAAGCTGAAAGAACCCCTTTAAAGTCACTACATATTTGGCCCTTCTAAAAGCCTAGCAGACAGCGAAAATCCATAGAAGATAGTCGCTAACATTGCAATTGCATTGAAATGAATCACCATTGCATGATTATGCGCGAAATTGCGATTGGCTCGATGGGCCTTTGATCCATCGGCGTCAGAGTCGGTATGTTCTTTCACTATTACTATAGTCACGTTAGTGCTGCTTTCTTCTCGATCATCCACTTTTATCTCAACCCGCCTTGAATTGCTCTCCTCACTAAAGAGGCAGTAGTAGTCCGTGGTCCGTAGAGGAACCAATTCAAACAGCCCGTCAAGGCGATAACGGCAAGAGGAGCTGCGCTCCACGGATCTTTGATCAGTGAAAAAATGCTATAGGGCTGATATGTCGCGGCCGTGAGCGCTGTGAGTCCAACTTGGGCCCCGAAATATACTGGAAACAGACGCTTTTGGAGTATGATGAATTCCTTCATGGGAAGAGCTTTGTAACAGATCTTTGTGTTGACGAAGCTCTGTTAATGGTTAGATTGAATCTACCTCATCTGTTGAACGATTGAGAGGTTTCTTGCCTGGTAGAGCTCTGTTCCGAGAAGGGTGCCATAGGCGAGAAGATGATATGGCAGGAGGTTTCCCGCCGCCTTCAAAAATTTATCCATGCGTACGGGCTACTTGAGCAACCAGAGATGCTTCTGTATAATGAGTGATGAGCGTAGAGCGGAAGATGAGGAAATTGGGAAGGGAAGTTGATGTACTTTGGGATGGTACGGTTGGATGCGAAATCCTTGGCAGTTGAGTGGCTGAGACCCTTTGGGCTGCATGAGGTCGATCAGATCTGAAATAATTGATCAATTATAGGTTTTAAAACTATATTAGCCAAGGTTGACAGAGGCTGAAATGCAGCTGCGAAGGGTGCATAGCGGCCAAGGGTCAAATGCGTTATGTTATACTCAGAAATTGAACTACATGAATTACTACGACAAATGCCTTGATACACAAAGTACATTGAGTTTTAAAATAAAGCTTTTCTCAATTCTCTCCATAGAATTCTACGCTCTTACCACTACTACCATAGCGGAATAAAAGCTTATAGACTTGATGCTGAGTACTGAGTACCTATCAAATCTCTTGGTAAGGGTAAAGAGAGAGTCAAAAGAAACTTACAAAGAGACCCAAAAAAGAGATGATTAATGACGAAACAATACATGATATAGAGAATAGGGCATCTTCAGGCACCAATAACGGAGAACTGCTTTTGACCCCTTGCCGCTATACACCTTCGCATGCAGCCAAGGATTGTACTGTTGATGTGCGAGATTCAAAACGCCCCCTTTTTCATTGATTTTATTAACGGTACAGAAATTATCTAATAGGGCCAATTCAAGGGTATATCGCACATGTAAATGGTACTATGTGGACAAGTTGATTGCTTGCATATACCTTTTCCCCAGGCACCCTAGTTTATAGGCACTGTTACAGCAAAACAAGATTTGCGACTTAGATCTTGCTTGCGAGATTAATATTACAACGCAACAAAGTAACACAAGGAGATTGGATTCCAGAACGCAACCCAACGACAAGCCAGACCGAACCTTCCACCAGTCCCTACGTCTGGATCTCACTTGCATACATCCCAGAAGGGTGGATGAACTGTCACAGAGGCACCACAACGCAGTTTCCTAGGTTTATGACGGAGATTCATTGGTACTAAAGTAGGATTTATTGGGCGGAGGTTGGGACTCAGTCTCAATGCTAACTTTGTGCCATATATGACGCCACCCAGCACATAACCCCTTTGAGATATTCCAAACGCCATAGTTCGATTTACAGGACTCACTTAGACAGCCAAATAGCCTGCGTAAAGCCAAAGCAACAAGTCATAGAGACTAGATGTCACTTGGGTCAAATCCGGAATATATTCACTTTTAGCGTTGTTCTCCCAGTTCCAAGGGCCTCAGACCTGACATGGCTTATTTTTAGACTTCAGATTGGACCAAGTCGTACTAGTTTGAAAATTAAAAGTCCGTCAGCATATTCCTGGTTTGTCCGTCTCTTGGAAATAGTGATGAGTGATCTGGAAACAAAGGAAACCCAATTAGAGATTTGTACAGCCAATTGGGAATCAGCATGAACATAATTCTGTTATGCCGATTGCCCTTGCCACGTGGACTGTGTATCAAGTCTAAGTAATATGTTCGGAGATGTCCGAGGATACATTTTGATACTTCAACACCACGGGTAGTTTCAAGTATAAGTAGGCGAGCCTTCTCATTTAAAGTATGGAGGGCAAAAACTATGTTACCAGCGTGGAAAACGTAGTACAGAGTTGCCTCGCCAAGGGGCGTCAAACAGATTTGATAGGCTAGACACACAGCTCTACGAGCCAAAAGTGTGGAATGTGGATTGACGCTGAGGGTTTCATGGGGTCTGTCGAATCCCAATGTGCTGGAACCGATACGAGCGACTTCAGGGCAGCGCCATGTCTGTGAGCACGTTCGGACCGGGGATAACCTCTGACAACACGACACTTGTGTCACCAACCCTGAAACCTTCTGAGAAAGTGCCAAAGTATCCAGACACGACCACTTCCCCGCACAAAAAGACAGGCAAGTTGAGAAACGCAGGTGCTCCATAGGGCCAGAAGGAGCATCACGCGGCTGAAGACACCGAAGTTGATCGATGAATTCATTCCAGACCAAGATCTCTGACCGCCAAAAAACTGTTGTACAGCCTGTGTGACATAGTAAGATCAGGTGTGAGTTGCCTCGTGGGCGCACGTCCTGTATAAAGGAAAGTGGATCACGGTCATGGCTCTGTTGGTTCCAAGTTCCCGTGCTGAACACTTGCAGACTCTAAAACTTTGTTATAGGAATTCGTATGGGCTATAAAACATCCTCAACTTCAGTAACATCCACAAAATCCACGTGCAGCCTTCCTCAGCAAGATGAAAATGGAAGACCAGCCCTCAAGTCCCAAAGACGAAGACATACTCAGTCAAACACAAGACCCGTTGGAAAGAAGACGATTACAAAATCGGCTTTCCCAGCGAAATCACCGTAAGACACACTCTTATAAGAGAATTGATACCTCAGAAAGCTGACAGCCTCAGGTCGCAAAATTAGAGAACGGATTGCAAAGCTTCAAGAGCGAGTGATTGCCAACGAGCTCAGAGCTGCAGCTGTACTCAACGGGTGGGATCAAGGCTACAACACCCCACAATTCCCCCTCAGACCTTATTCAGGCTTCCCAGAGCATGATGTTGGACTTTCGCAGCGGGATGGTTCTACTATGACACAAGAGCAATACGCGCCTTTCATGCCGCCCTGTCCACCGTTCTCAACACAATCGTGGCCCACCGACATCAATTCATTATCACCGCCACAGTCACAGCCCCTGGTATACTCTGGGGATGTCCCACATTATAGCGGAACAAGTGCTGCCAGCATAGTATCTCCTCTAACAACCATGCCAGCACAGTCAAACAACTGCATGGCTCCATTTAACCCTGGCCTTGGCGGAGATGCATTCCACGAACTGGCAAGTAGGGGCGATTGCTTGATTCAAAAAACTCTTCCCACATCAGCAAACCAGCCATTATACTATGTTGCAACGGGTGAGTCATCTGGAGGCTGGTATGACTCAATTAAGCATGATACTAACAGCAAAAAAGAAGCCGCTTTGCCCCAGATTCTCCAGGTGATCAACACGATGTCACCGCAATCTAAAGTAATCGTGCTAGTTCCACCGGAATCCCCAGCCTCATCGTCTATAACGCCGTTTCCCTCGTCAAGTCCGCCATATAATTCTGGAACCCACGCGGTAGGGAATGGCGGACTACAGAATCTCAGCTCACAGAATCTCAGCTCACAGAATCTGGGTTGTTTGTGTCACACCCACAACATGCATTCTGGATCTCCCGTGCAATCTGCTTCGAGGGAATGGACGGGCACTGGGCCATATGCGCAAACATGTCCATTGCACAAGATACCGCCTTCAAGTTTGCCCGGGGGAGATTTTCCAGTTAGAATGTTGTGAGGTTGTAACACCCGTGGAAAGAGGTATCGTGTCAAAAATGCCTCGGAATTTGATATCGAATATACATAGAGTGGGATGGGGTAAATTGTGTATACATTCTGACTTTTACTATCTATAGAATAGCCCTCGCAATAGAGAAATACGTACATAATGAATCCCAAAAGAGCGAACTTGTGGCAGGTGCGACTCGAACGTAAAAATTCCGATGATCATGCAGAACGAAGTTTCTATCCTTGCGCACTCCGTATTTAGTATTAGAAAACCGCACGGAGAATAGACTGCGTAACATGAGACCAGGTCTTGACATATTGTCCGAGCAAATAAAAAAGCACATAGAACGCCATCTGGAAGAGTCCAGTAGGCTTTGCATGTCAAGAGTCGTAATAGGCAAAGACCGAGCAGCCACCCTTTCACCGCCAGGGTATAAAACAGAGGAGATGTCCAATAAGATGATATGTGAATGTATTCCAAAGTGACGGGAGACTTAGTATAATTGCCTTGATATGCTGAGCAGTTAAACACTAAATACAAAGACTGTGCGAAGATCAGATTGACCGTGTTCAAGTCCAAAAAATAACAAAAAGCTGAACAAAGTATCAAAGCAAGAAAATGTGAATAGACAAGCGCCCAATATTCAGTCACAGTGAATCCGCCACAACTCTCGATCACAGTTACTGATATATCCAGTGCGGGTGTGTAACATCGCGGTGTTATCACTAACGAGAAGATCACCCTTCTCCCACCCAAAACGAAGACAGACTCTGTAATCGTAGGTGATGCGATCCACAACCTGAACTAGACTATTGTCATCATTCTCAATGGTTACATCACAAGTCGAGAACTTCGTCTTTGTTGAGTCCCATGGTTGATGCCAGCGCAGACAAGGAAGATCGGAGATAGGATGTCTGATTATCAAAGGCAGATCCTTGAGTTTTGCGTCCCAGAATCCGTCATTGTCCATTGCCCAAGTGATCTGTTCAAGACGCTCTAAAGACCACGGAACGGGGAGATATCGGAAGAAAAGACGAGAGCTCGCGAACAAAGTGTATCCATTACCTTTGGGCGCAGTAGCAGGACAAGTGAAGAATTGATATCCCGGTGGGCGTTGAACTTTCTTCTTTTCACCCGTTTGCGGATCGGTAATTTCTTCGAATTTGAACATCCCATCGAAGTGCATGGGCATTGCCTCGTTCGATGTGACATTGTTGCCCATTTTGTCGGAGCGACCGTTATCGCGCACCTTTTGGATAATACCAAAGCTCCATGGAAGAATTTTGCCCAGCTCGGATCCTTTTTGGACATAGAGCTCTTCCTCAAGCGTCTCGGAAAATCCACGCAGAACAATCGGTGACATGCCGTTGGATAAATGTCGAACCTTTTGCATGGGAATGGCACGAATGGAGGGTGGCGGGTTGACGTTGTCGATGTCCGCAGGGCGGATGATCAGCCCAGACGGGTAAAGATGCTCAAACTTGACCGAGAGACCATCTTCAGACCAATCAAAGAGACTTGATTTTTCACGGAAGTAATATGGTTGTCCGTTCTTATAGATCAGATCGTGGGTGTCGCGTACATCTTCGACGTGAACTGTGCGATATGAGCCGTCCAGTCCAACAGCTACCGCAGAATGCCAGGGTGTATATCCTAGTGTGCCTCGGATTTGCGGGACGAGTGAAATGGAGAGCTTTTTCTCGCCGGCCGACTCGTGAATAGAGAGTCGCACATAGTCCTTGCGATTTGCTTTGATAGCCGCCGCGAACATCTTCCCGCGGATGATCATCTGTCGCGCTGTCTCGGCGATCTGCGCTTGTCGAGCGCGCTTTGACGGATGTCGATTTTCCTCTTGATGAGCAAGATCCTTTGTAAGGAATTTGATATAACCGCGATACGTGAGACAAGTATCGTTGTCATTTTTAATAGCCTTTGCCGCATCAAAGCTCGGGTCACCGAAGGTGTACATGAGTTCTCGACGAAGACAGTTGGCATGAGCGAGGTAGAAAGCTTTGGCAGCTTCTGGCGTAGAGGATTGGAACCATGGGTGCTCAAGAAGTTCGAAAAGGCGGATGAATTTGACATGGCGAAGCTCCTTTTCAACTGCCATCTTTCGCAGAGCCTCCCCATAATCCCAGACTGTTTCATCAGAAACACCTAGAATGTCTAATAAATGTTAGAGTCAAGTGGAAGTAGATTGTAACTGAGCAAATATGAGCCAATAATTACTGACCATTGTAAACAAGTCCATCTGAGCTTATATAAACATCGGCACCCGGCGCATATACTTCAGCGATGTTTTGACACAGACCGTTCAGATGAGCCAGCGCCAGCTCTTCACCAAAGTCCGGCATGAAGCCAAGGACCTTATCACGGGAATTGGGTGACTTGAATGGAAAGGCAGGCAGAATCATCCGAATTGGCTCCTCGCGGTCTATTTGTTGCAATACGATTGGAACAAATGACTCAAAGCCTTTCCAGGAGACACCCGTTTTCTCAAAATCAACACCATAACTTTCAATAAGCTTCAAGACTTCCATGGTCAATTCTTGATTATTTGACGCTGTATTCGAGATTAGAGGGGTGATAGAGCAGTCGATCACATTTTGTTCGTGTTGTTTAGTCCCATTGCCGTTTGCGGCGATGGCAACGGGATCGGCGCTGTCACATTCGCAAGCCTCCACTTCCTCGGCCTTGATAGTGACTTTTTGATTGAATGTCGCACCATCAAGAGAGACAATACCATTCTCAGCAAGACCGGGAATGTATGTGGAAGGGACAACACCCGCAATTGGGACCAAGACAACCATTGTGACTCGATGTGAGTTTCAAGATAGGGATTTGGGACCAGACAATTTTCACCAGTGACAATATCACAACCAAATTGGTTAAAACCAACTGGATCGGTTTCTCTTCTGCGAGAGGGAAAGAGATAGAATATGCTGTTTTATCCAGAACCACACAGTGCTATATACCTGGAAGGAGCCAAAACATTGAACACTGGCCAGCAGATCTAGGAAGTCCAGTCCACGTGTCGATGACTGTGATTCTTAGTGTGGACTCAAAGCCCGAGTCTAAGGTTAAACCTAGGACATCCTAGACACAAACGACGGGCACTGTACAACTTGGAGTTGAGCTCTGATCATCCAGTTTCTGCCCTGACGATAGGGCCAGCGCCGAAAAGTTCGAAAGTTAGCCTTTAACATTAGTAAACAGTTGACTCAAATGCTAAGTCTAGGAGGCTAGAATGAGGACACCTTCTACCAGTGCCTTCTGGAAGCCACCTTTAAACCTCGCATCGCCTAGAAACCACCATATATAACTTGACAATAACAAACTTTCGATTGTAGTTGATGACTTGATATGCATCAAAGTCCCAGATTCATTGGTCACGAGGAATCCTTGGGCCTATAAGTGGTCGAGTTATTGTCGCTAATTCGTTGTCGTTAATTCGGTATCCCCGGCGGGCCGACGTCAATGCTGGAGATTAGTGACCTATATTCTTAGGACATGGGAAAATTCTAAGACAGATGTAACTCATTGGATTTTGGGCTGCTGTTGCTGGACTAAGTGACGCTGTATGCCTGAAAAACTGGGTTGGAACAGATGAATTTCAAAATGATAATCTGGCCCTAGATGATAGAGACATGTAATGATGTAAAAGGTGACACCAACAGCAACTATCATCTCACTTTAGTTGGGCTCTCAGAGCAGGGGAAGTCGCAGTCGAAATGATGGTATGTCAAGGCTTTCTGGATGCATAACATGCGAAACATTTCCGCGCGAAACCAAACAAGAAAGATAGATTTGCATCGAATAGCCCTACATAGCCATATATGTAATTTAGGATCAGTTCTTTTGCTGCCGACAGACACTATTGCATGCGGAGCCCGAAATCATAAAGGTATGATCCGTGTGTCTTCAAAATATCACTCTTTAAGCTCACACCAATCATACTCCATAACTCGAGCCACAAACGATGCCATGTCACCCGTAGCAAGCTGGCTTACAAGGTAGCATGCAGCGTCCAAGCCAGAACTTACGCCTCCAGCAGTGATCACTCTGACCCCTCCATCCTTCAAAAGACCCCCATCAAGATATCGCTTGTGTACCACGGTTGTGGACGGGCCGCCCGGCGGATTAGAGCGAGCACAGATATCCCGGAGGACGTCTAGTGCACTGTGGTGGGTTGTCACATTGATCCCAGCTAATACAGCTGCAGCGCCAAGCAAAAGGGCACCGGTGCAAACCGAGAACAGTATCCTGGTGCCTGATCCTGCCGCCGGAGGCAAAGCCGCGAATTTGCGGATTAACTCAAGCTCCGGTCCGTTGGCATCAATGAGCGGGGTAATCACTGATGTTGGACCACCCGGAACCAACAGGATATGAAAGTCTGAAATGCAATCGAGAGCTTCTGACACAGTTATGTCTGCGTGAATCGTGAGTGAGTTTGCGGCTCGAATTTTGGCGCTACAGGCAATGGTTGTGATGTCGAACATTCTGTCAGGATTACTTGTATTCCGATTGTGCGAGACATGAGAGAGGGCTTCGATTGGGCCTGCAAAGTCCAAAATATCTGCACCTGGGAATAGGAGCACCCCGACCTTGTAGTACTGATTTGATGATGCTGAAGACATGATTTCGTAAAAGAGAAATTGCGATTTGGTCTTGCAAGGTGCAGGGAAGAAGGTGTTGGTTGGCACGAGAAAACGAGATGATGAGGAAAAGCAGAAATGGGACTATTTGAGTGGACTTTTGCTCTTGACTGGAAAATGTAAAATACAACGAGGTACAATTTATCTCGATGGATAATCTTTGATACTGCTGACTTCAGTGAAATTTGACCGACGCTATCTTACCCAGCACTCTACCTCCGGTAACGCCGATCAGACAGCCCAAGGCTCCTGCATGATGACCAGTCGATGTTTTGGTGCCTGGTGCGCTTAAAAATTTGGCTATCTTGGATTCTGAATGCAGGGTTCCCGAGGATGCATAAATGTCTCACAATGAGTTCTTTTCAAGAACAAACTTGAAATCCTAGAGGCTGCTGTCAAGATTAAGCCATGTTCATCCTTCTAGCAATCCTACCACAAAACACGATGGTTTCCAGGTGTATTTTTGCATAAATCACGTAAGGAGTCGTAGCAAAGTCCACAAGTTAGGGCTGGTATCAGTCACGTAGTTCGCAGGGCATCGGGATGTGGGCTAACTCCGAAAGCTCCCCGCAAAATGCTCGGGTAGTGGGGCGGTCAATGTAATGAGAAGCGCAAGGAGGTCGATAAAGACCAGACCCCAAAACGTTGACCGTTCCTTCAGATTGAAATTTGAATATTGCTGTAGATCTTGACCATGACGTCCCCGGAGTACAGCAGCCATTTTTCGCTGGCGAACATCCCGTTCGGCGTGGCATCGTCGCAAGAACATCCCAGCCCACGATGCGTGACTCGACTAGAGAATACGGTGATTTTTCTTGATGTCCTGCAGCAAACGGGCGCCTTTGCGAAGGTGGCTGGATTGCCAAATGATGTATTCGACCAGTCGACGCTCAACGAGTTTGCTACACTCCCAAAGTCAATTCAGCGCGAAGTACGAACCACTTTGCAAGTCGCATTGACCAAAAAATTGCCCCCCAACAGCACAGAAGATGTCTCAGCAGTCACTTTACATATGCCAGTCTCGGTGGGTGGCTTCACAGACTTTTCGTGCAGTCTACACCATGTCCGAAACGCCGGTCGGGCAATCCTCAACGACGAAACACCGCCTCCTGGCTTCTTCAACTTCCCAATTGGATACAATGGCCGTGCGAGTACGTTGGTTGTCTCCGGAACTCCAATCGTTCGCCCGAAAGGGCACACTATCGATCGAGCAGCTGCAACAGAAAAAAAGCCGATCTCCTTCGGTCCGTCAAAAGCAATGGACTATGAGCTTGAGGTTGGAGTGATCGTTGGAAAACCTGTGCCACGGGTCCAAGGCGTAAATGCAAGAGATGCAGACGAGCATATCTTCGGGATGGTTATCTTGAATGACTGGAGTGGTAAGTGGAACCATTCTGCCACAAGTACCATGTGATAGTGACTAACATGATTGCGATGATAGCACGAGACATTCAAGGTTGCGAGATGGTTCCGCTCGGTCCTATGAACAGCAAAGCCTTTGGAACAACTATCTCCCCTTGGGTGGTGACATTGGATGCTTTGGAGTCATTCAAAGCTCCTGGTCCGACGCGCGATGTTATTCTCGCTACCCATCTGGAAGACATTCCGGTGGCTGCGTCAAGCTATAACATCGGGTTCAAGGTGGAGCTTTTGGTCGATGGACAACCTACGACTCTCAGTCGATCCAACTTCAAGGATCTACACTGGAGTGGCCGGCAGATGGTCGCCCATATAGCCAGCAGTGGAGCAGATCTCCAGACTGGTGACATCCTGGGGACCGGGACCGTGAGTGGCCCAGAGCAGGGCAGCTATGGTTGTCTGCTTGAGATGACCAACGGGGGAAAGGAGCCAATGTCGGTTGCAGACGGCCCAACAAGGGTCTTCCTGGAAGATGGGGATGTGATTCGCATGACTGCACTGGCTGGGGAAGAGGACTCCGGCGTTGGATTTGGGGAATGCGTCGGAGAATTACAGCCAGCACTTTGATTTGGAAACTGGGAGGAATTGCGGGTTGTGTAGTATTCAATTGTAAAGATTTTATACAAAGCTAATGTGCATGACAGCTTATATCGTAAGTACTGATCAAAGTATATGAATGATTCAGGAAGAAAAGAGAATTACAGGTAAGCCTTTAAAGGTTCGAGTCCTAGAAAGCCCAATTTCAGAAAACGACAATCATAACACAAGCCGCAAGGGGACTCCGGCGCCACGCTGAAGAGAAACGATTTAAAAAGAGAACAAAAAAAAAACAAGGAGAAGATCCTCGAGTCATCGAAACCCATCAAACTTAACCCCATAGGGGTGGGTGGATATACTCCGCTGCTCGATCCATTATGTTGGGCATTGACCATTCGCCACTACCGGAGGATTCTGGCGTAGGGGGCGGAAGAGAGCTAACACTGGGGGTCATGCTGGCGGAACCAGGGACAAATGTCCCCATTGAAGCGGAATTTGGATTGAGATGGAGCCGAGGGTGATATGCGGGCGTGCCATTTTGTCCAGGAGCAGGTCGCGAAGACTTATTTTCAAATGCGTTCAATAGTTTTTGAAGAGCACGATGCGTCTTCGCAAGGGACTTGGCCCATTGAGTTTGGGTATCAGCAGTCAAGGCAGCCGGGGAAGTTGGGTCCACTGCTGGAGCAATAGCGTCAGGGGGGTTACTGGCGCCAGTGATTGGGTCGTACATGCCAAGATTTTGGGGTGGAGAGGTCATGCTAGCCACGGTAGCGGCTTCAGTGGAATCATAAGCTCGTTCAGTGCTTGCTCTTTGAGCAATGATGCTCTCCAGTTGTCGTAGAAGGCTCCAGACATTAGGGTCCAATTTTGCTTCCTCGATTACAGCCAGCAGAAACGCTGAACTAATTGCTCGCTGTAATGCAATCCAAGAGCGCGCTGCGTGTGAGCTTATGTTGTGCATTTCGATGTAAGCTTCGACAGTTGTCATCAGGTTTACCACACAGGTCTGACGCATGCTAGCAACGCTGTCGTCACTGAAATCAGCCATGGGCTTGAGCGCTGGCCGGCAGAGCTCAGAAGAGAAATATGACGAGTGCAGCTTCAGAACAACTCGCTCCAAATGTTCCGTGGGCGTAGAGCAATAAGCCGCCTCTCGTAGATAAGGTCTCGCCTCTATCATGATCCTTTGAATGCGTTCCTTGTAGGCTTGAATGCTTTCGAGGCTTATCTGAGCATGCGGACTCAACATGCGAATGCGAACAACTTCCAATGCAAGAGAAATGACACGACAAAGTGTTTCAAAGTAAGACAAGTCACCGGTTTTCGAGCCTTCCCTGTAAGCGATATCAGGCTGGCTTACCGCAGTGGTCGAGGGTCGGTCATAAGAAAGCGAGAAATGGCTATCTTGCCATGCCATTGACCACCTAACCTGGTTAATGTCGTGATTCTTCATAAGATGCAAGCAAGATATATGATCTTACCAAGTATGTCGTCGTCGGTATCGCTCAGCCGATGAAAAGCGACTTGACTCAACATGAAGACCCAGTGCCAAACCCATGCGAAGTGTCATTCCAAGTAAGACGTAAGAAATGCCAGGGTTCATGTTGTATGACAATACGTTGCCAATCACCAGAAGAGTCTGGATGGCTTCGATAGTGGGTTGGGACAGGAAGTTTGTCATACGAAGACATTGGTAAGAGCAGCAAACTGCGAAAGTTATCAGAAAATGACCTTAGAAGCACGCTTGATGTGGAGTATATACCATAAACTTGCGAGGTCAACTCTCTCTCTTTACTTCCATAGTCAGACGATTGGCATCCGGAAGCAAGGACAGCAAACAGTAATCCCAGGTAGGCAATGCTCACACCAAAGGGCTTTTGCGCTTCGTCTGCATCAGCCCGGTATTCGCCTCCGATGGAAGTTCTGGTCTGTAGCAAAAGCTCAAGAGTGTTCTCAAACTCCGATATATCTTCCAGAACAGGATAAATAGCTCCCGAGATGTCTTTATAATAATAAAACAATCTGTAGCGCAATAAAGTCAGCACAGATAACTCAAATTGAACGCCGGAACCGAAAGAAAACACACTCTCGACATTGTTGATCAGTTGGGAGGGCACTGCAGACAGCTGTGATATCAAATGTCGACATGTCCGATGACCATAGATCGACAAATGGATAAGTCGCAGACTCATTATCCAAACCGAGCTTTGGTAGTATTCCTCCTTCTAAGAGAGCTTGAAGCTGATCAGATCCAGATTGGTTATTCAGGATATAAGCTAGCACAGAGCGCGATCCCAAGTGCACAGTGCCTTTGCCAAGGGTATTTGCGGCATGGATTCCCTCGCGTTCCGGCGAACCGGCCTTGGAGCGAGAACTGGCGTCGCCACTCTGCACGCTTCCGGTGTCCAGGGATGTTGTGGGACCATCTTCGGCTCTCTCCAAACCAACACGCAGCGATGAAATAGTGGATTCCATTTCACGCAGTCTATTGCGAACATTGTCCCATTCCTCGCGGGCAATTGATACACGTGCACCAGCAGCAGGACCAGCGGATCGGCCCAATGTTGGCTCTGGTTTTACGTGCGCCGGGGGCTCATCGTAAACATATGCTGTTGAGTAATGAGGCATAGGTGCTGGAGCCGAGCTAGCGATAGGGCTTTCGTGAAAGGCTTGCGACCGTTTCTTGGAAGGGCGTTCGTAGGAGCAGAGGTCCGCATGGTCACGCTTGACACACCCATCGCACGGAAGGTTGCGATCGCATTTTACCTTTCGCGCATGGCATGGATAGCAGGCTTTAGGCTCGCGAGCCTTGCGCTTTGTACGGATGATTGCGTCCACCTGAGCTTGCGGCAAATCGGAGACCGGTCTGTTGGGCGCCGCAGGCATGTCGGATGAAACGCTCGGCGAGAACGAAGTGGTATTTGGATATGGCGACGTCATTCTGCCACCAAGAAAACTCTCTCTTTGTGTCGGAATCTGGATGTGTCGGCCTATACAGTAGGATTTCATTCGGTCATTGGAAATGGAGGAGAGGAGCGAGCTGAGAATTGAAGAATCGACTCAAGACATTGGCGACAAGTATGATTTCATCAAAATCTAAGCTAAGCAAATATGTTAGGCATTTGACGCTCGGTTTGAAATTCCGTGTTTGTTCGTTCGAAAGTTGGGATTAAGCGTTCATCTTATCTACCGATCGCACGTGACGTAGGGCCACCAAATGCGGAAAATCTACGTCAACACTTATCAACACCATAGCATATGTATAGATTTTATAGATTTTATAGATTTTATAAATTAGTGCAATGGATTGCTAGATACCGGAGATATTGGGTGCTATTCACCATGCTTAAATTTTGGGTGAAAATATATATAGGAAGCGGGGAAGAGATGGGATCTATATTTCCCTGGAGGGCGGTGGCTCAAGTACGCACAATCAACTACCCCAGGATTCGCATTTCTGTCAGCCCAAACCACCATATTGATAGATAAATCGAAGTAACGAGATCTGAGTGCAGATGCCAAGTGCCGCAAGAGCGATGTGGCAGAGCCGATCAACTACTGTTGGTTCTAGTGGTATTGTACCAAACGGATGGTCTAGTACTGGGCACAAAACTATGCGCTGTCGTCGGGAGACCCGAGACTGATTTGCTCCAACCCATAAGAGCAGACAAAAAGAAGGACTCACACATATTCCCAATCTAGGATCCACCAGTATCAATATGGCACAAGAAGTCCGGTACGCAGATTCCAGTGCCTGGCTTTGTGCCCTGGAGATCCGGGAGCATTTTGATGCCTTAAAGGAGCGGTATACTTAAAGGAGTAGAAGAGCTAAAAGCTTACTAAATCAGTAGCAGAAAGCGCTAGCAATATGTATAGAAGCTTTATTAGTAATGACTTTCTATGCTAGGTTTAAAGCGAAGGGATCGATATAAAGATCCTAAGCTAATTTTATGTCAAATTCCTAGTCGAAAACAGTGTAATTTTCTGATTTAGTGACCTTAAAGAGCATTATTGAATCTGATAATGCTAAGGCAAAACAAGAAACGGAGACCCAATATCTTAAAGTAGGTAAAAATTGCTTTTACATCCGCCTAGTCGATGACCTAAAAGGCTATTACGACCACTATAGTAAGCTATATAAGCCGGCTTATTGTTGCTAGGAAACCTTAGAGGAGTGTACGGAATTAACAGATCTTACTACGACTACTTTTTTTGCGCACTTAAGACAAAACTTTATTTAGAAGGGTTCTAAGTTTTGCAAATTTGTCCATAAAAAGTCAAATGTCCGTTCATAGGCGCCCAGAATGCCTCTATACCTAGGCGAGTTCTGGATAGTGGCCCACTTATGTCAGTATGATACCCTGGGGTGCTAGGTGTTGCGTTTTTTATGCAAAGCTCCCTGTAGTCCCGCTCTACAATTTGTTCTATAATTAACAAGACAAACACAACCAGCAGATGACGCATTCGTTTCGTTTGCTTTCAGTGCTTTCAGCACAATCTACTGGTCTAGGAGGCCTAACAGAGATGCTAACCTCAGAGGCTGGGAATTATAAGCGGTAAATACGGTTTCCACGCTAGTCGAGGTTCGGGAGATTAACAAAGGGATGCACGGTCCTTAGGGCATCGTTCGACCACTTAGTTCGACTTCCAATTAGTTCAGGACGGAGCGTTCGCCAGCTAGAACCACTAACTCAGGAAGGGAGGCAAAGAGGGAAAGAAAGAGACGAACGCGGCCACTCAAAAAGACCCCGGGGGGCGGGGGAGGGAAAGCCGCAGACATGTCCACGGATACTATGTAGTTCTGTGTAGTAGTCCAATCAGAACTCTCGACACTAAGCAGGGATAAACAAAATTGCTGCTAGAGAAGCTCGGGCTCAATTGAGAAATGGCCCCCGGCATAAGCGTTGAATGCTTGATTTTTTTGCCCCTCTCACTCGCTCTCTTAGACTCCATCTGTAATAGAAGGAATAGCGATGCGCTCAGCTTAAGGAGAGGGAGAAAATGGGTCTAAGTTATACGTTGCAGGATCTCCTGTTAGCAATATCAACTAGTCAACGTAGAAGGGTTCTATAGAGCATAGAGGCAAATTCTGCACCCTAGCTAATCGAATTGCTATCCACCATCGTAGATACCTCGACAGTAACAAGAACCAATTAATTCTTCGTATGATGGCCCTAATATACATAATTCTCACTCCTAGTGAAGCTGCTCTTAAACGTTAGACCCGAGAGGCCGATGTAATGTAGGGGCTAATTAACAGTTCCTACTCGTGTTGTATTTTTTTTAGATAGGTGGAACTATGCAGGCAGGGGATACTTTCACTTTCACGCCTCTACCGAGACTTCAATTATTGATTAACGAGTAACTGCAATATTAGTCGTACCTATACTTTATCAACTATGAGTACAAACAAGTATTACAAAAGTTAGTTGTTTATCTTACATGTTCTTACAAGCGTGAATTTCAGGGCCGCCCGCCCCATCTTGGCGTTGTCGAGCTTTGGCACCCTAAGTAGACTTTCACAAAACCCAGTCATCTCCAAATAAATAACCCAGTTTTTACTAAGAAATACATCAAAATGCCAAGAACGTCCATGTTAGTACTATTTACACATACTTATACAAAAAACTAGGTCGGAATTAGGTTATTCGGTGATTGGCAATGTCAAGATTAGGTCAAAAGTTAGGTTCTGCGGGAGTCCCACCCTATTATTGTGACCGTTTCTTCTTCTCTTCCCTTTCGCCTTCGAACAAGTCTGATACTAACCTTTGGTTACAGCCGAAAAAGTCCTATACATACTACATACTGAGCTCTTCCTGTCGGCGGACCTAGACAATTGTCGCCCTTCGGCCTCACATGTTACACAACTTCCCAATTTTCCCCCGGACCATAATACGTGACATGATACCTCCGGAGCCACCTCTATAGTGTTGTATGTACGCATACTTCAAGAAATCCCTCTAAAGTTCTTTATTGACTTAATTAGCGTCCTGTTGATTCTCACCGTCTGTTCATTTCTGCCCCAAATATTGCGTTTCCAGACGAGACAGACCAACAATGGAGTGTCCTCACTATACATCTTATGGAGTTTGATTCACGCCACTGAGCAGCTCACTATCTATGTTTACATAATTTTTACTGAACCCGAAACCGATGGTAGCATGTTTCTGCATTCTCCCCCAAGCGCAGGGGACCAATTTAACCTTTGGCACTGTGCCGTGGTCACAATGCTTTTCCTGACACTGTGAGACCGTGTTATAATTCCAGAAGTAACTTGTACAGACTTTAATGTGCCTCCTTAGATTCACACAAGTTCTTCTTTATAGCAACAGCAGCAGCCGAATCTCCTTAGTCGCCAAATACGCCAGCTTCCTTCTCGTCTCAATCATTCCTCTGATCAGCGATGCTATCTCACCGATCGACGATGAAGCTCGGAGATTCTGGTCAGCGGTCTTTTACGCCCTACACTCTATGCTGGTCTACCCGTGTCTCACGGCTATAGGCTTTTGGGGAATCTACCATCAAGCTCGTGAGATTTTGGCTGTACCTTTTCCAAATGCACTTAGCTTGCAGGGTCTGGCCATGCAAGCTATTGTCTTCACGCTAGTCTCGGTGGCATGGATATATAGTCTTCCATTTCCATATGAGAAATTTGACGGTCAACGGGATCTTAATTGGGTCAACTTGTCCATTTGGTACGGGGCTATCGGTTGGATCATCATTGACAGTTTTGTCTTCGCCCTCGGCCAGGCCGTGCTACTATTATTGGCCTTGCATCGCTCGTTTTCGAGCAAAGCCACTACACAACCAGGAAGCGAGACGGAGCCGCTTTTAGGACATCCGGTACAGAAATAGACGTCCATCCATCATTAGTCCTTTCAATTCGCAATGTATTTATGTGTAATCAATCCTGTTACATCTCATAGAGACTCCTCATACAACATCTGCACGAATTTCTATCATATCGTCAATCCAGAAGCTACAAAGCCCTTTCGGCATACATGGAAGTCTCTGCCTGATACTTGCGCAAACTTTCGCTGCGTTACTGAAAATTGCCATGACTGGTCAAAGCGCAAAACCTACCTCGAATGTGATGCTTTAGATTTAAATTGCCATTGGAAGAAAAGTAGGTTCTATCTCGATGGAAATCTCAAATTTGGAAGAGGTGAGCATCCACTGTCATTTCTTAAGAATTCAACACTGAGTTTGAATAGATGGCATGGTCTATTGTACTATTCCTAGCTACCGATCAGATACTCTTTCTTCCAGTCTCGTGTCTCCTCATTCCAAGGTAGTCTTGAGGAATGGAAGGTTGATCTGACAGCGCATAGCAATTCGCTTAACGGCCCAATATGGCGAACCGTAACGCTCCATTACCTCATTAATGAGGATGGCATGGCTTTTCCTTCCGGTAAACATTGCCTCTACCTTGACCTGAATTCATTGGTTGTAGTCTGCGAATTTCATGAATTTAGGCGGGGTTTGAATCCAAAGGGACTTGCAGTTCGACTGGCCTGGATGGAGGCGGATAAGGCGAAGAAGGAAGCCGAAAATGTGAAGAAAGTCGCATAAAGAAAAGGGTGTGATAGCTGCCAGTATCATTGTCACAGTCTTTCCATGGTCAGTGATCAAAGAATTAGTAGGGTTTACAGCGAATCTAATCTAACGTGAAAGACTGTACCATAGGATTACTGTCCCCATCTAGAAAATTGCTACGCAGATGATTAAGATATCCAACGAATCATTTTGCACCTCTGTCATAGAACGGAACCTAGCTCTCTACACTATGAGACCTTACAAAGTTCCTCCCGTTTGACGCTACCAACCGTATCTCATCACTATCTTCAATAAAGCCCAAGCCAGAACCTTTATACCAAATACCTCTTGCTATAGTATGCCCACCGGTGCTATCTATTAGACCAGCGCTCTTAGGTCCATTCCCGAAACATTTTCCCCTACTAGCTAGCTATTGCACAAGATCTACTAGGCGGTTTAGAATGATATATCTGACTTTAAGCTTGATTTTATATACACTCGGCTTAATTGCTCCTTACAATTGGAACAAATTGGGGCACTGGATATTAAGAAGCGTAAGTTCGAGCCCAACGATAAATATATTAACCTACATAAGCTACCATAGTACATCTTGCTGTTCCTCCACGTGCGTCTTATTACTGTCATAACTGGTTGATAGCATAGACCAGAATAGTTTATTCCGGCCAAATTTGGTTTAGGTATATCTACGTGTGAAATACATAAAGGATGCTAAGGGCAGTCTCTTGGACAAAGAACGCGACGAGATGCACACTCTCCGAGATGAGATTGAAGGAAGTGAGCTTCGGGTTTACCGCCGTGGTTTGCTACGCAAAATACTCATGTTAGATGCTGTCTGTCACCATACCACACCTTCGTTTAGGGAGCACTTACGACTATAGTACCGTTCATGATATTAGGCACCGAAAACACAATCGAGTTGGATATGATAACATATTTGATAACACTAAGCGCCTTTGTGGTCCGCAAAAGCAGGTATAATCGCGAATAGAGAACCCAGCTTTGGGGGACCACCATAATCAGCCATGTCAGATAGATCATGGTTTTTGATGGCACCGCATCTCTGCGTACGTCAGAGTTCACAAGTATGATGAACAAGGGTTGCAAAATGATGGCGCATGAGCCGAGTGCGCACGACCAAAAGTATGATCTGCTGCGTCATTTTATAGCAAGAACAAGGATATGTTCATCCCAATCCCGACGTACCATGGGATGCCTATAAACGCAGCAAGTAATGAGGATATGGGCAGGTTTTGCGTGATATCACCCACGTTGTAAGGACATGCGTTGAGACTCGATTATTGCTGTCTGCTGGTCGATATCAGAATGGTGGATCTGGGGTTGATTATAGAATGAGGTCAAAAGTGGGAAAACTGTAATCCACGGAACTAGACATTTAGAGTCAAGGCGATTCCAGTTCATATTGAGCGTATTTTCCGCTAAACTGAGCGAAATTTGGTGTTCCACTAATTGGTTGATATATGTGGAACTTGAATTTCTTCAGCATACAAGCGAGCACCGCGCATCGAGTCAACTTGATTACTGCCCTCTCATTGTGAATTTCAGATTATAAAAATTGGCTTCCTGCAGGATCGGAGATTACCATGCACGGACTCAGCATTGATAAAAGCAATTTACCTGCGCATATTGCTTTGTGACACTGTACTTTTGTAACATAAAACTCTTGCTGTGTCACATCGTTGTACCATGCTGATCCTCGGGGTTGCAGTGCATGCCTTGAGGGGAAACATGCTTTCATTTGTGCTAAGGGTGCAGCATTACGATAGGTGGACAAGGCAAACGTATGTATTAGAATTGGCGGCCGCATCCCCGTGTGGCCCGATGTCACAGTATGGTCCACTGCGAGTGGCAAAATGTAGTACTTCTTTGTCTTCAATTGGGGCTATATACTTTGTGGTCTAATTTCTCTTTCTGGATATGATATGTAACATGAACCCGGTCACTGCTGCCTTGGCCGCCCCTTGTATTCTGAAACTAATGAACAAAATCTTGAGAGATAAAACGTGTCTTCTTACTGAAAAAAAAGTCTGAGGCCTGTGCACTACCTTTGTCGAGAAACCTGACTCGAAATCTTGATTGACATTTCCCATCACCCATCAACCTCGCAAAAACTCCAAGCTGCAATGAGTACTGCACATGAAGCCAAGTATGCGATCGCTATGCTCACTCTTGCACTCCATCTAGAGAAGGGCTAATATGTTGGGACATTCCGAGACGAGCACGCAATGTCCGAAAGTCATGCACCCAGCACCTGTATCTAATACCTCATTGAGGGCGCCTCTGGTCAGATACTCCCGGAATGTGGCATTATCACGCCTGCGCGCCGTTTCAGCTCTCCCTATCTCGGGATGATGGTCAACCTGTTCGAGACGTGCTTCTTGGCCCAGATATATGGAACGGCGAGCGAACACAAATTGTTATTGAGCGGAGAGAATAGCAGCATGAGCAGTCGTCGGGCGACTGGACGCTTGCAGGCTGTTCTGTGCCGCCGGGATTCGAGTTAGAGGGCTTTGAGATGGCGAACCCAGTTGGGGAGCCAAATAGTGTATTGGAGAACAATTGATCGTGTGGAAGCTTGATTTCAGAGAAGTGCTTGTCCCATTTAGAGATTGGCAGTCTGAGGCAATGGCCAGGAGTTTAAGGTGTTCTGGGAAATGAACTTGTCAGCAAAATTCTGCTGGACGTAGAATCTCGGTTTCATATTCCATGTCACGCGGCAACCTTTTACCGCGCACCAGTTTGCCTGAGAAACTGAACATTCCATGCCAAAGGTAAGTCTAGTTGCCATGTCTATTTCTTTGTATAGTTTGTTTCTACTGATCAACTTCGACCATCTACATTAGGTCGTCCGCTCCATCAACTCTGTATCGGTCTCAAGGTGGCTGTTTAGCGTTAAAAAAATAGTCGGATATGTTGGGAGTGAGATTAAAGGGGACTAGAAGATTGGAGTGACGTGATAAAACATGTGCGAGCTTGAGTTCATTCTTCTAACCGATAACGAAGCGACTTCACATGGAACCTCTAAGACTCCCACTGACGGTGGCAATGTTGGCTTTTGCGCTAAGTGTATTGGTCGGACATGCGACTTTCAGTCCCTGGGAGATCAAGGCGAGCCCAGCTGGCTGAAGCTGATCGATCGCAGACTCATCTGGAAGCACTCCCACATACGCATTGAAGTTATATATCCCGCAGATACAGGTGTCCGAGATATCTTTGAGACTCGTGCCAGACAAAATTGTTTTGTCTCCACGAGTCAGTGTGAATTTCTGCTTCCCAACGCCCATCGGGACTGAATATGCGTTGATTCCGGTCGACACCTTGATCTCTTGAGACTTATTTCCGGACTGAACGGTCAGACTTGCAGCAGACTTCAGCAAAGAAACCACAAAAACCGAATCTTCCATCGAGTCAGCTCCATTAGGCCTCCCGCGAAAGAAGTTACCGCTGGAATTATTAGGATTGCCTTCCATAGTAGTATCCGTCGCATCGCAGTTGACACTCTTTGGTGTTGGTCGATACCAGTAAATCAACTTTTCATCAGTGACAAAGGCGTCGGCTGATGAAGCATTTGCCTTCAAGGCAGCAATGAATGGTCTCGACATCTCGAGCCAACCGTCGTGGGGCCTAATAAGAATATCAGCATTGCTGTGGCTTTGTCTAGTTTCTGCGATGCTTACATATCCATGACCCATTTGGAGGACCCGTCGTCAGTATGCGGCGAGGAGAGAGGCCCGATATAGTGGGACTCTCCGTAGTCATTCCAGGTGATAATCTCGATAAAACGAGGACGCAAAGCCAAGATCTCTCGCCACCGGTTATACCATAGTAGATCTGATGGGAAAACCCAGTTCTTGCTGTATGACACCTCACCACCAAAATGCGTTGAGAACCAAGCCGACACAGCTGCGTTGCTTTAGTAACTGGTCAATAGGAAAGTGGATATATCCACATAGATTCAACTTACGGGCAATGTATGGCTTTCCGGATAGGGCTTTGATGTATGACCTGTCTCCGTCGCTCACTGTAACATTGTGACCAGGGGAGGGGGCCTTGTTGTTACCGTTATTGTCCCATGCCATCCAATTCAAGGCTCCTTGAATAGTACTAAAATCTCCCACCCCAGGGTGAAAATTAGGCGCGAAGAAGATATCTTCTCCGGCTGCAGATTTGATGGCATTGACATCAACCCCGTCACCTGCAAACGAAGATACAAACACCTTGTTGTCTACCTTCAGCTGAGCGGGGAGACCAGAATATTGCTTGATCTTAGACCCTATGGCGCTTGTCTGCCCCGTATTGTACCAGTTGAAGTCAAAAGAAAGAAACACTTTCATGTCATTCTTCGCGGCTGACTGGTACGCATATCCCAGTTGTGTATCGGTGTACGGGTCAGTTCCAATGTTCAATGCAAATGCATCAATACCTAGGGACCGAGCACGTTTCATGTCGTCATCGTAATCGGTAGGACTTTGGCGATTGCTCACGATGCCGATCTAAGGAGTAAGAATTCAGACACGTTGGTTCAAGATCAATATAAGGTACTAAATGACCACACAACTGACCATGAAATGGCAAAAAATAAGCCTATCATCCGATGCAACTGCAGTGGCAGCCATCGAGTCATTGTTCAACAGATGATGACTAGAAGGGGGCCTGGGGGAAATGGGCAAGTTGATGGCCCAAGCAGCGGTGATCGACGGCATCAGAACGCATGTTAACAGTAGGAAGAAAGATCCCAGAAACATTCTGGAATGAGTGCTAAAAGAACAGGAAATGATTTTTAGTCACAAGTTCACACTTATAAGCAATCGGTTCCTGGTAGAAAGTGGAAAAAGCGGGGAACTGAAAATGGTTATGACCTACGACGACAGTTCTTTGACTTTCAAGCAACGGAAAGGAAGATAATAGTGATCTGTAGTGATGAATCTGGCAGTAGATGGTTCAATAACCAAGTAAAGTTGAGCCAAACTCCTAGTTCTTGGGCTTTGTTGCTTATATATTCCTGAATGTTATACTTTCATCACAAAGTCTCCATGCAACAGGCCTTCAAAAGGTTGCATATGATCACCCCAAAAACACATGAAGATTCCATAGAGACATGTCAATGTTTGATGATTAGGTAGGTTTGAAGGGACTCCTTGGTTACACTACAATGTAACGTTTTCTAGATTTCCATGTTTCAAGGAACCTCGACCACGCCATTGACCCAGGGACTTGATTCACAACTATGCTCATTGGTCGATTATATACCAAGCTTTCCCCACGCAGGTTCAAAACGCAAAGCAAAGAGAGGCGCATGAATACCACATCATTTTGCAGCTTCTGTGTGACACTGATAAACCAGCACACCTTTGGATGTGGGTGAATAGTGATCACTGGGTGGTTGACTGATGCGCATGAAAATCATTTCTAGGATCCCATGATCTTAACAGACGATGTTACTCTAAGCTACATTCAAACGCGATGGAGGGATAGATAGGTCACCTTTTGCAAGTAGCACTGTGAGTCTGGTCAAAAACTTTGGATGAGACATCGCATTACAATGAGCGATGTATGACGAATAGAACGCTTGAAGCTGCAAGAATCTCGCCGGAAATTGGCTCCTTCGCTCACCTGTCATAACGAAAGATAAGGGGGCACGTTTTGTTTGAGCTAGCCCCCGATATTCGCTGCGCTATTGTTTATGATTCATTATAGGTTACCCTAGAGCAGCTAAAAACAGTGATTGTGCCTGATAAGTTGACGAGTATGATTTTCTCAAATATTGATTATTATAACAGGCTTTACACCCATACGGAGGCTATAGAAAACACCAACAGGGATCAAACCCAGTGGAGGAAAAATTCACATGAATCTGGTTATAACTTCCAATATAGGAAGATTATTTGGCGCTAGATGTCGATCTAAAAGAATGAGTGGCTAGCAAGCTAAAAGATAAATTCTTAAACAGGAAACGTGCATGTGTTCAATTAAGTCTAACATTCCACATGCCATTTGGGCGATGTAACACGGAAAACAGGCATAACGCTGATATCCCTCCAACTATCCCTGCGCTCTTCGTGCTCTCCGCGCTCCCGCTCTGCCCCCTATCTACGGTAGTCTAATTCGAACTTTCTTGCAAGGCCGATATACGTATCTTCATTCCATACGGACTTCTTTCGCACAGCTGATATTGTATTTTGATTTTCAATCTGACAACCTGAATCCGGTATGCATTCGTTTCATACTAGGGGGTGAGTCTTCTACCATCTCGACAAGTGTCCCGGGATTCAACGGTTCTCTTTCTGCCTTTCTCTTCAAGTTTCAATAGGGCCATTGGCGTAGTGATCGCTTTATGCAAAAAGTAAAAACTGTAACTACATAACACTACATGACATCTTTTTCAATATAATTTGATTATTCATATTTCATTACTTGATTGGACCATGGAAAAACAAAAGCACCTAATTACAAAAGCATAGCCGTGATCACCTAGCGCCTACGATTCCGTGTTATGGGTGGCTCGCCCCTCTAGCGGCCCTCTTTAGGCGGACCTGGCTACTATTTACGTCCTTGAATATTCTTCAACTGAATATTCAGCCCTTATAGCAAAAGGCGGAGTTGTTCTGATTTTCTCCATGGAGGCCTGCTTGTGATCAATGAGAATGACTATCAATAAGCAAGGCGAATAATCTGTGCTGAAAATCGACTTTATCTCTCTTGTTGGCGGTATTACAATTGAGAAACGCATCTCTACCGACGAGCTCACCAGAGGGGACGGTAAAAACCTTCTTGAAAACTTTCTAAAGGTTGCTCAATTCCAAGTCATTACAACGGTATTGGATGTGCTGTTGTCTATCGCACCACGTGTCCTACAGTAAATCAGGGGCGTCGAACAATTCCTTGTTCCAACCCGATCTCCGATGAGCCAAACAAACCTTATGCAAGAGTAACTTACAGTCAATCGTCATGTTACTTGACCAGTGGAAATGTGTGTTCTTTAGTAGAGGTGGTTCTACAGCTTCTTTTATGATTGTCCTATCTATTGGGAACCCTACTATCGATGTTCGGAAAATTCGCGCTTAGATCCACGGGGCATTTTCCAAGGGACAAAAAATTGTGACAAGCCCATCTGTGACAAAAAATTGTGCAATTGTAATGGGGCAATGCTCCTTGATGCGGACGGTAAGGTTCAGGCACTCCGCTGTTCATGGTTCTCCCTCTTTAGAGTCAATCCAAACACCCTTTGATTCTGAATGTGTAAATCCTACAAACCTCACTTTGACGGCCAAAACGGTGCTATATATTATCAGTGTCAATACCTTTCTGTCAAGGGGCTGCCAAAAGCTTCATTTCAAACTTGGTGCGTGCTCGGGTTATGCTCCCAGACCTGTCCCAGGACCCTATAGTTGTAAGGAAACTAACTCTCGCCCGGAGACCCACCGTGCATTAACCCGGCTTAACAGGTGCTGCATGAAGAATGTAGAGCCCCGCATTCCCCACATAGACTCTCGGATCTAATCGTCTTGGCGGGGAGCACAACAGCTGTGCCTTGGAGCTTGGTGGTTGTGACTTCACGCTACGCTGACCCGGTGATACCCTGGGCAATCTCTTATGGTTTTAATATTTGAACTGAACTAATTAAAATCGATAAAGTGCTGGGCTGTTCCACTTCTGGATCAGAAGAATAGCGATGTCAATTGAATGGCACCATGTTCAAGAATCAGCTACGGGTATTTCTGTCGCAGCTTGCGCTCGACAAGGCAATTTCGGCGGCCAACTCTTCCTGCTCCACGACACCCATTTTTGTTCACCCTACTCTACCCGGACTTTCTAGCAGTGCCAATTACACGATAGATGTCCGCTCAACAACTCATTCCCACCACTACACGGTTGAGCCCTTCCAGGTTAGCGTGATCGAGGCCAACACCACCAGTGGCAGCAGAATCTCTCACAACACCTCTGTTGCGTACTTTGATTTTTGTAGATCGATCAACATCTCGTTGACATTGAATAATAGGCCGATTAATTGGGTGGAAATATGACCTAAATCGTTCAACATCAAGCCCCAGGTCAATGGGAAGAGAATCACTTTTTCCCTCGACGGCCCCAAGAACGTGGTCGTACAAGTCAATGGCAACATTTGGGAAGTGTTACATCTGCTGGTCAATCCGATCGAAACCGACGTTCCTGATCCGAACGATGCAAATGTAGTATATTTCAGCCCCGGGCTCAACAATAATACTGCCGCGACGAGCCTCACCAATGGAGAGCTTTTGATACGGTCCGGTGAGACTGTATACATCGCCCCTGGCGCAACCTTTAAAGTCCCCCTTGTCTTCCAGAACGTGTCGAACTCCGAGCTCTGTGGCCGCCAAATACTCAGCACCGGAGCACTCCGCATCACAAGCTCACCTAACATTTTCATTCGAGACGCCCCCATGCTCAACGGCAACATTGGTTCCCATATGTCTACAGACATCACGGTCCGCGGTTTTCGATCCCTTTTAAATACCGGTGTGACGACAATATCACCCTATACCAGCACCGCAACGATCATTATGGCGACTCTAGTAACCTGACCATTCATAATGCTATCTGTGGGCCGATTACGCTCATCCCATTCCGATCGGCACGCACGGCAACACCGATAACCCCGAGGTCATGGATGGTGTCAACATACGCAATATTGATGTCCTTGACGAGCGTGAGCCCCAAATGTGGTACCAGGGGTGTCTGGGTCATCAATCCAGGAGATAGCAATCTCATTCAAAATATTTACGTTGATGGGATGCGCGTTGAAAGTATCCGGCTAGATCAATTGATCAACATGCGTGTGATGAACAATACCAAGTATAATACGTCGCCTGGGCGAGGAATTCGCAATGTATATATCAAGGATTTGTCGTATGAGGGGCCAAATGAGAATCCTTCAATGATGCTGGGATATGACGAAGACCGAACTATCTCCAATGTTGCATTCGAGAATTTGGGTGTCAGATAGAAAAAACGCCTGTTTCGTGACCGCTAGGCCATAAAGGTGCACACATCCTTATCTAAGCTAAGTACGGTGTATTTTTGTGTGTTCTTGCTTTGACAGAAGACTATATCGAACAGCATAGCGAAACCAGCGAGGTATATGACGGAGGACTTTATTCTTATTTTTATGAATGAGCCTGTGAAGGGTCTCAATTTCAATTAGCCAGCTATAACCCCTTAAGGAGGTTGAAAGGATGCATGTGGGCCAGACCATTTTGCCGTTCTTCAATCGAGCCTAGTAATATGTTGTTGTGTATCAAGTAGACTGTTGTCGACCGGCTAATTAGTTGAAGAATAAACTAACCTTACTCAAGTCAAGTTTTGTCACATGTCAGACGTTTTAACAAATGATTAATAATAGCTCTTACATATTACTTGTGCCGGAGGAATTGTCGTAGTGCTATGAATCTTCAGAGTCCGAAGCGATTCATATCAGGGCTCCGCTGCTTGGCCCGCCGAAGCCAAGACAGCTAACCTTCATTTGGCTATGCTTGCGGTACTACTGCTGCAGCAGCTTTCAGAAAAGAGCTACTTAGCTCCATCCGGATTCAGAGGCCTACAAAAGATACAGAATGCTATCGAACTTCTCAAAATTAGTTGTTTGTTTTCGCCCTTGTGTAGACCTCATAACCGCCCGCGAGCCGCCCTCCGAGGGCCGCCCACAGACCCGCCTTATGCGGGCGGAGGGCAGGATTCTCCTGCCCGCGGGTCGGGCACGTCTTTTACATGCCCTCAGAGGGCCGCCCTCGAAACATTTCGAGGGCCGACAAACATGACAAACATGGTCAATTCGATGATTGCATAAATTATGCAAATTTGAGCTGTATTATTGAGTATTTGAGTTACAACTTAGGATTTCAGAAAGTCACTGAATTAGTAGCAGGACGGCTTTATTAAACTTCAAAACATTACTCAATTTCAGGGTCTATATTATATACACCATTTCTATGGAGTTTCAACTTCATATCCATCAAGAAGCCTTGAACGCTTCCGAACCCTTCCTGAATGCCGACTCTGCGTATTAGGTAAATTAGGCTCACCCTCCTCTTCGTGCTGTCCTTCTTCTAGCTCCGATAAAGCGCGCTGTCGCCGTTTCGATTGGGCCCTATCAGCCATAGGTTGAACAGTATTAAGAACCGCTGAAACATTATCCTCATCGACCTTATTATCACCCTCGTCATCATCACTAATAGGTTCAAGGAGATATGTATCCGTATTCTTCTCCTCCTGGCTTGCCTGTATCTCTTCATGTGAGAGATATTCATTGATTAACGCTCGTCGACCCTCTTCAATCTCAAACCTTGATGTGCACATAAACATCATTAGATCCTGAATTGTTAATGGATTAAGAGAACCTCGCCGGTAGTGGCAGACATCGCGGGCAGAGTTAAAGAGGCGCTCTACACCTGCTCCTGTAGCAGGTATAGAAAGCACATCGCGTGCAAGGTTTGTAAGAGCAGGGAATTGATACTGATGATCCTTCCAGAAAGCACAGGTAGGAGTTCGTACAATTCCTAGACTTAATCTTAATATAAGCTAGATAATAGAAAGATTCCACCTACTTACCGCTATCAAGGTATTCCTTTAGCTCATCATATTCACCAGATACCAGGGGCTAGGACTCCTCTGCCACGCATTCCATCTCAAGCTCTGAAATAGTCACAGTAGATAATTGGGCTCTTGATATTGATTGCGCATCCGAATGGCGTCGTTTATAAGATTGAAAGTAATCTTCAAGACTTGCTCGATAGATTGCACGCCAGTCATTATCTGGATCATCCCAGTCCTTCCCTTCAAAGAACTGGAGCTTCTGTTGCGGCGAGAGAATAGTACCAATTGCGTAGAGGTTGTTATCAATAGTGTCAGTCATCCTATAATAGTACGAAAGCTTCTTCTCTGCCGCTTCAAGAGAGGCAAGCATAAGCTGTTTCCAGGCAACCTTCTTCCGTCTTAACGCACTTTTCGACTTTTCAAGGTGGGTGAAGAGTTTGTTATAGATACTAAAGATGAGATGAATACTAACATCCTTTGTCTTTGAAAGAAGAGTTGTGAATTTGAAAAAAGGCTGGGTGATCTAAAGCAGATATTCGATCTGTCGCCATTCTTCTTGACTTAACGCGAAGTGGTCTTGATCATACTAGGAACAAAACTCATCGAAGGTTGATTGGAGCCGTTTAGCACGTCGGAGCATTAGAAATGTGGAATTCCAGCGAGTTCGGACATCCTGGATTGGAACAAGCTTTGGCTCTTCATTCTGAAGGTTATAGAATGACTCCCGCCGTTGTGGGCTTGCATTGATATAGACAGCTAGGTTTCGGACCTATATAAGAAGAGTTAGTATATCAGAAAAGTATAATAATAGGGGCATACCTTATTAAGTGTATCGATAATCTCTCCCTTTTGTTGCCTAGCACGAAGATATCGGACACGATCATCGGACCAATCTATTTCCGCACTCTCATTCTTTAGAATTGCCCTTATCTTGCCAAGAAGGTCATTCAGACTAAGCTAAATAATATGGGCAATACAAGGAACCCGAACAATTGTAGAACCATTATTAAGTTCAAGGGACTGTAATGATTCTTGGATGCTCGACATCATAGTGGTGTTGTTTGATGTATTATCAGTAGTTACTGCAAGCACTCGATCTGTAATACTATGCTGCTGAAGGAGCTTTAAAACCACATCACTTAGATTCACACCTGAGTGAGATCCAGATAAAGGTTCAAATCCAAGAAGGATCTCGCGATAGTCCCAATCCTGGTCAAGAAAATATCTAGTGACGGCCATAAAGGCCTGTTGAAATAGAGATGTCCAACAATCTAATGCGAGTGAAAGCTTTGCATTAGGAGGAAGCTTCTGTAGGATAGACTGCTGCTGCTCTTGAACATAACCCCGTAGCCGAGACCGAATCGTTATCGCAGAAGGAATCTCCGGTTGTGAAGGGGCAAGTCGGGCAAAGGCAATAAGCTCCCGAAATTCTGGATGTTCGATAAACCGGAAGGGGAGACGTGATAGGGCAAGAAGTTGTAAAAGCTTTTGTTCCCATGCTTCCTGTGTGAAGACTGTTGACTTTTTTGGTGCGTTCTGCGCCTATTGATTAGGAATTGATTAGTAAATAGTGTAAATATAGGATGCTAAGCACATACAGCATTTGCAAGTAACCCTTTTATATTAGCCTTCTGGCTAGTGGATTTGCGACAAGTTGGACCAGCTAGATGCCGATGAAGAGCGGTTGTTCCATACCGCCCATTTGCTAGATGATCAAGGACTTTTTGGCATTAACGGCACATTGCCCCTGGTTTGCCGGTTTTAGCATCAGCAACTTGATCGAATCGCTCCCAACAGGTTGCTTTCCGATTGCTATTCCAGTTCAGTCGCTTTTTCTTCCCAAAATCAGTATTCAGCCACCAGTCGACAAAGTCATCTTTCGACATATCGGCGTATAGGATATAAGCTGTTGATCGACCAGGACCAACACGCTGAAGTGAAGGCGCAATCAGGGGAGGAGGTATTAGGGTAAGAAACCCAGAGTTTGACGCTGAGTCCAGTGTGTGCTAGCTTTTAGAAAAGTCAGGGGTTGGGAATTGCTCATTCGGATTCGGAAAGGAGAGAAGAGGGTCGGCTATATCACCCTCATATATAGATGATGGATAGATATCGGAGAACTGCGAAATTTGTGACATTGTTAACTAACTAGGAATTTAGGGAACATGTCAAGAAGATTGGATGAGAGCTTTAAGACACATACCAAAGGAGTCCTTCAGGGCTAAGTTAATTGAATTAGTGAAATATCGTAAGACTCAGCTTCTTAGTTTATTAAACGTACCATAAAATACCCCCACCTTTCCTCGAGATCCCCTTTCTAATTGGTTAGATTATAAGAGCCGCTCGCGGGCCGCCCTCGGCCAGCCCTCGAGCGGCCCGCTTTTTTTAGAGGGCGGCCCTTATATTGCCAATCCGCCCTCGCTTTTTTCGCTGGGTTCAATCCCCCCCAAATCTAATAGAAAATGAGCAAACAAATATCTAAGTTAACCATAACCATTTACCAATATTGAATCATATCACTATTCATTATATCTAACAGTTATTCTATCACGTTTAAGGGCTAAGTCAAAAAAATTGGAAATTGAAATGCTTGTTCTTAAGGCATAGAGCATGTAGCACGTATATGATACAAAAATATATATATCTGCAACATGATCATTCAAAATCCCTGTTAAGAACCATGCATGCATAGACGGTTTATACTAGATATATCAGGCATGTGTCTATCAGCGTAGATCCTTCTATCATGAGTTTAGATCATGAAGAGATTTCCTATCCTGTATATAGGATCTCTCTCTCAATGAGAGAGAGATCAGGCTTAAACACCTCTCTGGAATAGACTGTTTACATGCTAAATTCTTCTTCTGCCATTAGACATCCTATGTTTCAACAATCCCGAACCACCCGACTTACCAATAACTGTAGGACATCAACTGACTTAAAGCCTGAATATGATTATTCCCTACTTTCATTACTTATAAAACAACTGATTTTCTTAAAGTTTCTCAATGTTCATATACAAATGAAGGGAAAAGTTAACTTGTAACGCAAAACACTGTTAGATAACAGTAATTTAAGGTGATGAATCAGCAGTATAATGCATCTAAATTAGGAAAGGTCAACATTTTTTATGCAAATGAGGGCGGATGAGGGCGGCCCTCGAGCGGCCCTCAGAGGGCAGAGGGCCGGGCGAGGGCAGGCAAGCATCCGCCCTCCGCCCGCGAGGGTCGGGCGGAGGGCCGGAGATGTCGGCCCTCTAAATGTTTTTAACGAGGTCTACCCTTGTGAGCACTACATCAATATTTCTACCTAGGTAACGTGGACTCGGATACTTGATTTTTAAACATATCCGCAAAACGACAAGACAGACAAGACCCGGATTTTAAGGATTAGGGAGACCTATAAACCTAGGGCTTCAAGGGGCTTTAGGCCTGTAGCTTATAGATTCGCCTTGTTACAGGAACCTTGGAATGGCTAGATGCTGACATAATCATGGCGCTCATTGCAAACTGGAGAATTCTCGCGGATCAGGACCCAACCAAATACGGCGAGGTCGTCAATCTCAAAATCCATTTTCAAACATGGCCGCCAATCTTAGGCTGACATCACTTCGTAATACTGTTGACAATGACACTTCTTTCTTGGAAAGCCCTCTTAAATGGACCTCACACCATCTTGAGCAGATGAAGTGTCGGTTCGAAGATGTCGAAACTACTCCGGTCTGCACAGAATCGACCGAAACCGACGAAAACGTCAATCATGGTCGGAAAACTCGCTCGAAGCCGAAAAGCATTGCCGAAGAGTTGGCTACATGTTTGGTGGCAAAAAAAAGGCTTGAGATTCTTATCAATATCTTGGTAGGCGATGAGCCCTATTTCCTCAAAGCGAGGTAAGAGCCCAAGTCTGACAGAACAGATCCCAAAGAGAATTAATTGACTGACAGCCCCACTAAGCAGTGTGGGACCTTCATTCTATCTTCATGGTCGGGCTGTTCACCAGCCGGCTAATATTACGCCTTCACTGCCTCATAAGCAATTGCATTTCCACGACTCAGATTTTATTATTTTTCACCCTCATGCAAAGTCAGATCACATAGCTAATGACTCTCCTCCGTCGGTTGGCTATTTGAACTACTCAAGCATAATTGCAGGTCGCAAGGAGCAGTTACGGTATCGCTTAGGGAAAAGTAGAGTCTACAACGAGATTAAAACGAGGCTCTATCGCGAGGAAAGAGTTCAGATAACCCCCCGACACTGGTCTCAAGACCCATATTTTATGTGTCACTTATTGGCCCTTGCGCAGCGACAAGAGCGCAAGTTCAATCCGTCGAAACCTACTACCTACACCGTATGTTTTAGGCCTTTTCAAAATTCTACCTGTTGAACCGGGATCGGCTAATTTACTCGAAGTCGCGTCTTCTTGTGGACAACGCGTTGGAACGAGAATACTTATTTTGTTACGAGGCTGAAATCACCACCGAGCTTTTGAACAAACTTAGGGGCCCCAATAACGCAACGCGCGGTATGGAATGGCCTACAATTCGTCGAAAAAGGCTCCTATACAAGCCATACAATACCTTCTCTAGCCGTCTCATTACCGAGCTTGTGGTTCCCACAAATTTCGATTTCTCGTCTCACAGTCCCTCGAATCTACCAGCAGATAGCAAGGGCGTCATTAATCACGATAGAAAACGACCACACCAACAAGAAGACATCGCACCGCATAAAGCGAGGCGAATTCGAATAGATGAACCAGTACGGATTAACTGAAGAGGGACCCAGCGCTTTGCCATGAACGTTGCGAAAATGAGACGATAAATATTGAAAGGCGGTTGGGATAGTCCATCACTATTTGCTATGGTTGGCGAAAAAATGACAGCCATAGACCATCAAAAGATCCTATTATCTTTATGTTTCATATATATTCAAGAGACATCCCTTCAAGAGGCACTCTCAGGAGATCTGATGGGAGAGCTTGGGGACAATTGCAGCCCTATCTTGGATTATGGCGGCCATGTCGATATGAGCAGCAAATACGTTGGTCTTGGAGCCTGGAAGACCTTTGGCCCGGCCAAACCTGGCGAAACTTTCTGGAAGAAACGATGCCAGAGGCTCAACTTCATTTGGGCTTTGTCATTATCTCAGAAGGGATATACGTCCACGTTTGTCACCATTACCAGTCAGAGCTATCATACATCCAGTCCTTATATCAGATGGCTTTGCCAATTCTCAAATCACATATGTCACATCCGAGAATGGTCTGGGGTCCCGGACTTCCGGAGCACGAAGTCCAGAAATGTTCCCGAAAGGCATCAGCTCATCATCATCGTCGGTGTTTGTAGATTTTTTTAGCCATCTACATAGTCCTAGTTGCCTCATCATAAATTAGCTTTCTTAGGGGGTAAGTACAAGTTGCCATAAACACATTTTTAGTTTTCTTCTTCATGTTGGTGCAGGTAGCTCTCAAGGTACACAAATGGGATATTATCTTCCTCACAAGCGGCGCGGAAAGCTGCACGAACCTCCTGGCGGTATGCGAGATCACGCTTCCAATAGGAAATGCAGTCAATAAGTTCACCGGCCACCCGCGTCCACGCAAGTTAATTGATATACCCCTAGGGACGTAGTGTCCTGCACTTTGTAGCCCGTTACCATAGCTAATTATCGTTGGAACTACGGTTCAATTTGCGCGATCGAGACTTGTAAGCGCCTTAACATCCGTGTGGGTCCGCTGAGTAAGAGCTTGCTGAGCTCGGACTTGAGGGTATTTAAATTGTGCCATCAATCGGAATTTAATGGTAGAGCCGTATAAATCACTTTTAGATGGGATCGAGGAGGTTATGGCATGAGAACTTCAGTGCTGCGAACGGAGGGCCGAGGCCTTCATCGAATGCTTCTTGTGTCGTAGTTTGGTATTGCTCGGACAATTTATCATCAAGCACAAACGTCGCACTGCGTGAGGGGTAAGGTTGGTTGAGCATGACTTCAGCACCGGAGAGACGATCGAAATCACCCGATCGAGACATTTTGGTGGTGAGCAAAGATCAAAGAAGTGCGGGAGAAAAGAAATGCGGAGATATGACAAGCATGTTATGTACGGTGAGTGAATGCATGAGGTATTAACTCTCCCATTCCCAAACTCTCATATACGCAGTCACCAAAATATACTCAAATTTTGCATTATTATGTGCCTGCTTGCCCATAATCCGCCTAGTATCCACCCACGACCCCTTTACCAAATCCACTCTGGGTCGCTGGAGAATTACGCGAAGAATTTCGGGCTGCGCAGATTTGTCACTGTGTCACGCACATGAGATCAATTACCTCTTCCGTCCTGTCCATCCACAGAGGTTGAGCTACGTGTACATAACAAACCCCTATCAACGGCCCCTCAAATCATAGCGAATCTACACGCCTGCCGGAGTGGGTCCTACCTACTCGGCTGATATCCACCCATGGATGCGGATGGACCCACACTAAATCCACATACAAAGCTTAAAGGTATAATATCTCCACCAACTCCCCATTTGCCAACCTGAATAACTCAGAAGTTACCGTGAGACCGCCAGATTCATGGATAGTCTAGGAAAGCCCTGTGCATTAGCCCTATGTTGTCTACCATTTTTTTCGAGATTGGCCTACTGATCTTTAATCAATTCCAACTTGTGGGTTTTGTCAAGTTAGGACAGAAATGGGCATTGGTATATGCACAAGTTTGATCATGAGAGAATCGAAGTGGGCGGAGGTGTATGTAGCGCAGGAGGATAAGCTGCGCATATTCCGTGGTAGTGACCCCCTGAGCCACCAAGATCCATTTTAGCCAATTCTCGAAGCTCTGCACGTAGGATCTTTCCATTCTGCAGAGTATTAGTTCGAGTGTCGAATCCAGAGATAACGATGTTTTATCACTTACTTGGTTTCGTGGGATGCTTGGAATGAATGAGATACCCCCAGAAAGATACTTATATGGAGCAACTTTGTCGGCCATGAAGTGGTGAACTTCTGCGGCGGATAGAACTGAATTAGGGGTAGTCTGAATATAAGCCCGTGGCCCTTCATCTTGGTTCCTGTGTCTGCGTGTTAATAAAAGGGCCTCTAGAGGGCCAGGTAATCACGACTGTCTTACACAGCAACGCCAATGATTCCAACATCAACGATGTCCGGATGGCGAAGCAAAGCGGCTTCAAGCTCGGTCGGTGCCACATGGTTGCCGTTCACTTTGATCAGGTCCTATCTAAATAATCAACCGTGTTCACGTATCCGTCCGGCTCGGAAATACACTACCTTCTTACGATCCACGATGAACCATTTTCCTTCCTCATCAACATATCCTACATCTCCAGTGGGAAACCACCCACCGGCTCCAGATACCTCTCTGGTGGCACCTGGATTTTTATAATACCCGATGCTACGGCTAGGTGCACGGATCCAAATATCGCCAATGGTATTGCGGTCGACAATCCGAGTAGGCTCGTTGGGGTCGGTCACCTTGCCCTCGAAGTTGGCATGCAGTTCTCCTACAGATTCGGAAATCGAGGGGATGCCCATATAATGACCAGTAATCAACCCGAGTCTAGAAAATGGAGTTGTTATCAGCATTCAAAAAGTCGGTTTCTTGCCTCAGTAAGATTTTCGTACTCGGTCAATCCCCATACTCGGGTAATCCGCCCAATCCCCAAATTTTCCAGGGCGATTTTTGTTGACTGATCCATCGGTGCTGCACACGCCTCCACCCTCCTCAGGGATCTCAAATCTTTTCCACGAGTGATAGTAGGGTTTTTCGCAATCTCGGTAAGCATGGAGCTTCTGACAATTGCATCGGAAATCTCAAATTTCTCCACAGCATCCATTATATCTTGCGGATTTGGCTGACCTAACAGATAAAGCGGAATTCCAAGCTTGGGAAAGATGACGCTATAAGATCGCTGACCAAGGATATGGTGCATCCCGAGTGCGCCTAATGCACGGATCGGGGTTTTATTCTTTGCTGTGTCTTGCGTGGACTGTTTCCAGTCTGGATGGAGAGATACTCGTTGCATATAACTCACGGCAGCCGAGATATAGTTGCAGTGAGAAATTTCGACCCCCTTGGGATCACCGGTTGTACCTGATGTGAACATTATGACAATGGTGCTGTTGTAATCATACGCGGATCTGATTTCGGGATACTTCCAGTCGATCTCGACTGGGGAGCTCACCATCTGCTGCCAGTGAAGAACATCAAGGTAAGGCTTGCCTGTGCCGTCGATAATATCATCGTCAAAGATAAATATGGATAGTCGCTCTAGAGCTGGGCATGAGGTTGTTCCCGCAGCGCGCAACAGAGCATCTGTTTGCGCCCGTTGTGTCAGAATTACAGAAGGCTTTGCAACCGTGAGTAATCTTTCCAACTCTCGTTGGCCATAGCCAGGTTGACCAGGTACAAAAATACATCCCGCCATGATGGTGCCCATCAGAAGCGCCGCATATGTTATTGAGTTGCCTGAGAGGCATAAGACTCGATCCTTGGGTTGGACCCCCAGCCGCTGCAACCCTACTGCGACACGGATAGAAAGATTGCGGTATTCTGCTAGAGATAAAGAACGGTCTTCCGGTCGAAGCGTGTCAATAAGCACCTTGTTGGTGCTGACACTTTCATGAGGAGCACCAAAGACAAAATATGGCAAGGAGCAGAAAGGAATCAGGACATTCCACCTTGAAGTGACCAATGATGATTGCTTTGAAGATTGCATTCTGATGAAAGGTATCGTGAATGGGCAGGGAAACGTGTTTGATACACACGAAGCGAGAGCCCTGGATATATCCGGCCTTTATAGTTTGGATTCCGTGATAGATCCATGAGCTTATAAAACCTTGGAAGCCAGATACGTTTGAAACAATAAAATGACGTATAATCTCCATAGGAAATTACGACTTGTCGATTATAGTTAGTTATTAATTTCTCGCATGAGATAAAGCCTGGAACATGTTTCGGCTGACAGGGTGAAACCCAAATAAACGAGACTGTTGAGTGGCTTGTCAGATCGACCACGCTATTTTTTTTTGCGTGTATTCTACATTGAAGGGGATGCAGCTCCTGGTGAGCTCCTTGATTGGAGCCTAAGAGTGAGATACCCCCAAAAGGAGATTGCACCAGATCGATTTGAAAATCGATCGCTCCCCAAAGGGCGGTGACGCAACTTCCATTTTTTGGCTTGCAGCGCCGATCATAAATAGTTGCATATAGTCACATGTTTACATATGTAGTCAACTATTTAATGGATTAGTCCTTCCAAGGTTGTTACACTTCGTTATATCCATTTTTTTGGCCAATGGGCTCCCTACAATGGACCATCGGGGGACAAAGTCCTGGTAAATACGGTATTTACACAACCAGCATATATAGACGAAACATGCGACCCTTTGATAGAATTCACCCATGAACCTAATACCTTGGACCGAGATCTTTGATAGATCGCGCTCTCAAAAAAATGAACTCGCCATCACCCATGGCACAATGCGCTCCTCCTGTCCATCCGGAAGAGTCGCAATCATCCAGTCAGCTTTATCAGGTTGGAATTTAAATCACTCGGACCCAGCATCAAGGCTGACAAGACAACTAGAATGCCCTTCATCGGCTGAATCGTCTACGCACCAATTTTGAGTCGAGGCAACAGACCATTAGAATTAAAGATCGGAATTTGCTCCTGGGGCAAATGGTACAATGGAGCGCGGAAATTGGATACAAGGTGAGCTTCTTCCGTTCCGTGCCTGCCTGGTGGGAGCTGGAAATTGATACATGGACAATCTAATTAGTCTGCCGACTTCGACGTGTTGAATGCGATCCACATTGCTGGGTCCAAAGGCAAAGGTTCTACCGCGGCTTTCGTTTTCTCGATATTATCAGAGTATTTAACCGATGAGCGTGTTTCTGGAGACCAGGAGTCTGGTCTCATGAGCAAGATTGGTCTCTATACTTCGCCACACCTTCGCAGCGTGCGGGAACGAATTCGAATCCGCGGTTCACAGGCCACAGACTTCACGGATACCCCCCTTGACGAAAGAATATTTGCCCACTACCTGTCGGATCTATGGGTTCGATTAGGCATGGATGATCGACCAGTATCCCAGAGTCCACCCTTTGCGAAATTCCTCACACTGATGGGCCTCCATACCTTCCTCCAGGAGAAAGTCGACACAGCGGTGATAGAGGTCTGCATCGGTGGACGCTATGACTCGACCAATATTCTCCGCCATCCCAGTGTCTGCGCCATCAGTAGTTTAGGACTTGAACATACTGACATTTTGGGCCCTACCATTGAGGAGATTGCATGGGCCAAGGGAGGCATTATGAAAAAAGGGACACCTGTGTTCACCACGGCGCAAGAACCCGGAGCCATGGCCGTCCTGGAGGATCTAGCACGGAAGGAGGGTGTCGACCTACAGGTCGTCACAGTCCATCCGGATCTTAAGCACATTGAACTTGGCCTTGCCGGATGCTTCCAGCGGACCAATGCTAGTCTGGCGCTCGCCGTCGCCGCTCAACACCTTTCTCGCATGGGCTACAAAGACATTCCAGACACGAAGACATTGATGCAGTCTCCGTTGCTCGAAAAGTTCCGCCGGGGCCTGGAAAATGCACAATGGCCGGGACGATGTGAGACGCGCTACTGTAACGGCGCCCGTTGGCTGCTCGATGGAGCTCATACCATGGAAAGTATTGAGGTTCTGGGGCCTTGGGTGGCCACGAATATGGGAGCGCAGCAACAGGCCCGGCGTGTCCTAATCTTTAATCAACAAACCAAGGATGCTGCCGCGCTTCTTCGACATCTTCGAAAGACCATGGAACTAGCGGCATCTCCATGGCTCAACGGCGCAGAGCCAATGTTCCACCAGGTGATATTCTGCTCGAATCTCTTATGGGAACGAAATGAAGTTCCCGATATTGAAAGAGTCTCTATGACCTATTCCGGAAGCTCGGTGGATGATCTTAAGTTGCAGCATCAATTAGCAGCGTGTTGGACTGAGATCAGCGGGGGAGATTCCGCAGTGACCGTGGTGCGAACGGTAGAAGAGGCTGTTCGTCACGCAGCGAATGACCATGGGCAAACCATTTGTCAAGATGAAGAACACATCAACTCGATAGTGTTAATCACTGGAAGTCTCCATCTAGTGGGAAGCGCCATGGAAGTTTTGGATACCAATATTGCATAAAAATATCTTAAACAGTCGGTCGGAATGTTGTCTTTTCTTGGTTTTAGAAACTCACTTGAGTCAGAAAATGACATAACATAATCAGTAGTTACTAGCTTTGTCCCTGCTGGATCGCTCCACACTTTATTCATTAATATAGTGGAGTCGGAAATGGATCGACGTTCGAGCTAGGTAGGGGTGGTGTCGATCAAGGCAATAGTCTCTATGGTGTATAAATTTTGCTCATGGAACACCATCCCAGGAAGCTGATCAATTGGTGTATCCTCCCTTGGGAGCTTGTTACAACCAGCAGGCTACATCTTCCTCTGCTCAATCTGTACATCATGGTGAAGAGCGAGCCCTCCCCGCTGTATACCATTCTCTCTGAAAGGCGAAAAAGATGGACTATCACAATCGCCTCATTGGTGACATTTCTGTCCCCTGTGTCAGCCAATATGTATTATCCCGCCATAAACCAGTTGGCGCGCGACCTGCACGTGCCTCCTTCCAGAATCAACTTGACTATCACGGTTTTCATGGTAGGCTGTCACAAATACACCAACTTGGCCCGACCTCAGTGTCATTTATCTAACCATTGAGCTCACAGATTGTCCAAGGAATAGGGCCATTTTTGATCGGTGGTTTGTCAGATGTATATGGTCGTCGACCAATAGTGATGGCCTCTCTCTTAATCTATATGGGAGTGAACATTGGTCTAGCCCAACAGACGAGCTACCCCGCCTTGATGGCTCTACGCTGTCTACAAAGTTTTGGTAGCAGTACGGCATCGATAGTCTGCAGCTCTGTTACGGCGGATCTGATACCTCGGGCGGAGCGTGGACGGTACATGGTCTATTCATCACTAGGTGTGACACTGGGACCCGCCATTGGTCCTATCGTGGGTGGTATTCTGACGCAATTTCTCAGCTGGCGGAGCACTTTCTGGTTTCTTGCCATTTTTGCCGGCATTATGACTACCCTTGTACTTGTATTTCTGCCGGAGACCTGCCGCGTGATGGTAGGAAATGGCTCTGTTTCACCTCCATGGTGGAATGTGCCGCTAGTCCAATATCTTCATCGCAAGGCCGAGGATCATGAATCTATGCGTTCACAGATTCAGAATGAGGAGAAATCACCTCCACCTAAACGACCAACCCCACTGGACAGCATCAGAGTGGCTATGGAGAAAGAAACCGCTGCCATTATCGCCTTCACGACACTGTTGTTCTGTGGATATACATCTGTGTTGAGCACTCTTCCGTCCCAGCTTGAGCATAAATACCGCTTCAATGCTCTACAAGTCGGATTATGCTACATTTCTTACGGGGCAGGGAGTCTCACATCCCGTTGGACAATCGGAAGACTCATTGACTGGAACTTTCGGCGCCACGCGAGAAAGCAAGGCATCGAAGTCATCAAAAATCGCCAGGTGGACCTAACACTTGTGCCGGTAGAGAAAGCACGCCTGCAAATCACCTTTCCAGTGATATACTGTGTTTCGGTGGCGATTATCGGCTACGGATGGCTAATGAACTATCAAGTCAACCTTGCCGGCCCACTTATCATGCTCTTCCTTGTGTCGCATTTGATCTCCGGAGCAACTAGTACTCTGATTACCCTTGTCGTTGATTGCCATGTCCGTCGACCGGCTACTGCTTCTGCAGCAAACAATATGTTTCGATGTATGTTTGGCGCTGGTGCAGTGGCGGGAGCTATTCCGTTGATCAATCTGATTGGGATTGGATGGACAGGGACGATGATTGCTTTCATATGGGTCTTATGCAGTCCAACGCTATGGTATGTTTATTTTTGGGGTCATAGTTTCCGCAAGGGGAAGGAGGAATATATGATCTAAGTTTGCCCTATTTATAGTGGCTTGAAAAGAATGTGAAATGTTCGATCCTCCGTCGGGAAATGTTGCGGCCCTTGATCCTCTACGTATTCAAGGGGATTGAATTGTCTGAGGTACCAAGCTATAACCAGCCCTTACATTAACGTACATAGCATATTTGGTAAACTATATCTACTTCTATGTAAGGGCCCGATATCCGTATATTGGTTGAATACGAGTTTCCCTGTCCGAGGTACGACATGTATCAACTGCATCAACCACAGCTGATACTAGATGGTTCGTACCAATGTGGAGTCGTCTTACTACGTATGATCAAACCCCACTAAATCATACGGCTATTTTTGTCTTTCAGGTATCTTTTATACAAAACTTACTTACGAAAGATACTTAACTAAATTCCTCACTTTGTCCTGGTGCGGTAGAGTGTTTGTTTTAAAGAGACAACTAAACAAATGTCCCTCTCTGGTTAGAAAACAAGAAGGAGCATAGTTACCTTCATATATGTTTGTCGATTTTCAGCCTCAGGCGTGAAGAGCGGGACGGAAGATCCTAGCGCCGGCTGACCAATGGACGGTGACGTACCGGACATTTTGCAGTGTTTAGGTTGTCGTTCAACCTCAGCTCTATTGATACTCATATTGGTGTCATTTAATATTTTAGATTGCAAAATAACTTGAGCTGAGCTGAGCTTTGCGGACATCTTTGTTTTTCTTGCTCTTCTCCAGTTTAACCACCTAAACTATAACTCAAAGTCAACCATGGAGGGCAACCCCGCGGAGCACGATGAAATCGTATCTCAATTCTGTGCTATGACTGGAACCCAACCTTCAGAGGTGAGATGGGTGTCAGAATCCTCTGCATTAATGCAGTCGCTAACTTGCCATCTTGGTTTAGGCACAAGAATACCTTTCTGCTAATGGATGGGACATCGAAGCTGCTGTCACGGAGTTCTTTGCGGAGCAAGATGAGGCTTTGCAGGATGCGAATACCGGCGGTACAGACAGCTCTGCTGGACCTTCAGCTGGAGGAAGAACTCTAGGAGGAAGCGCCGCACCCGCTTCGTCTTCTGTCGCGCCCGAGTCTTCGTCATCCGCCCGAGGAGCCGCATCGAAAAAGAAGTTTGCGACACTGGGGGACATTGCTCAGGGGGAGATGGCGGAGGAAACTCCTCCGATAGCGATGATGGCGAGAACCATGACCTCTTCACGGGTGGTGAGAAGTCAGGACTGGCAGTCCAGAACCCGGATGAGTTGAAGAAGAAGATCCTCGAAAAGGCCCGCAGGTAAGTGCCATGGACCTCATTTGTCATTTGGGATCGCACATTTCTCTAACAATTATATTGAATTATATAGGGCCCAACCTCCTCCTTCTGACGATCCCGAACCCAGAGCATCACATTTCACCGGCACTGCCCGTACCCTTGGAGGCGACGAGGCTCCAAGCCGGGTGATCGAAAACCCATCTGAGCCTATCCAGCAGCGTGCCCAGCGTGTACAGCGGACTCTTCATTTCTGGGCTGATGGGTTTTCGGTCGATGATGGTGAACTGTTCCGGTCGGATGATCCCCGAAACGCAGAGATCCTAGACGGTATCCGCCAAGGCCGTGCGCCGCTTTCCATCATGAATGTGCAGCCTGGACAGGAGGTTGATGTGGAGCTCAAACAGCACGAGGAGAAGTACACCAAACCCAAGCCCAAATACAAGCCGTTTGCGGGATCTGGACAGCGTCTGGGTAGCCCAACCCCCAGCGTGAGAAGTGAGACGCCTACACCTTCCTCCTCAGCGGCGGCATCTTCCACCCAAGAGCCGGCCAAGCCCAGCGTGGACGAGTCAAAACCCACGCTTACTCTACAAATCCGTCTCGGCGACGGTACGCGATTGACATCTCGATTCAACACTTCGGCTACAATTGGCGATGTTTACTCTTTCGTTTCTGCTGCATCTTCTGAAGCTGCGACCCGTGCGTGGGTGTTGATGACGACTTTCCCCAGCACAGAGCTTAAAGATAAGGATGCCGTTCTTGGCGAGATGGCTGATTTCAAGCGCGGAGGTGTAGTCGTTCAAAAATGGCTGTGAAATGGATCATAGATCTTCCACTTCAGCTCGATTTGTCTCCTTCTCATCGGTGTGGTTTTAAAAGCGAATACCAGGGCAACGGATTTGTAAGGGTGAACGTTCGAAGACATATCTTACACAGTCAGTTCTACTTCACGAGGTCGGTATCACCATACTTGCTACTTAGATCAAAGTTGCTTTACCAGAGATCAAGCTCAAATACAAATGAAACCATCGATTTCATAGTAATGAAATCCAATGAGAGACCCGAAAAAGGACCGACGGAAAACCATGTAGAAAGCCCTGGAGACTTAGTAGTGGATGCAGTGCGAAGCCGATTGATAAGCGCCCGAGTATCGGCTCTCCACTCTTGAAATCCGTCATTGCGCTGCGTTAACTCTTTTCACCATTTATCCTTTTTCCCTTCAGGAATTGCTTATACAACAATGCCTCTAACTGGAGTTAAGAATGTCGTGCTGGTAAGTTACCGTTCAATCCAGCTTTGCTATCTGGGCAGTCTCCGAGAAAAAAGCACTACCCCTCGTCGCTTATCGATAACGACAAAGCCAAGAACAACCACGCGCATCTCTTCAAGGAATGACTGACGAAATGTGTTTTGGATAATAGGTCCTTTCCGGTAAGGGAGGAGTCGGCAAATCTTCCGTCACCCTCCAACTCGCCCTCGCGCTCTCACTGCAAGGCAAATCTGTCGGGATCCTTGACATCGACCTGACAGGACCCTCAATGCCACGCCTAGTCGGACTCGAAGATGCGAAAATAACACAAGCCCCAGGAGGATGGATGCCGGTACCAGTTCACAGCGCCGAAACCGCAACCGAATCCACCTCACAAACCCAACGCGGTTCGCTGCGCTGCATGTCCCTCGGCTTTTTACTCCGCGACCGCGGCGACGCGGTCATTTGGCGTGGACCCAAGAAGACCGCCATGATCCGCCAATTCCTTTCAGATGTTTTCTGGGGCTCTACAGACTACTTGCTCATCGACACCCCACCCGGAACGAGTGACGAGCACATCGCACTGGCTGAGCAGCTTCTCACTCTATCCACTATAGATGCTGCGGTAGCTGCACAGTCAGGTGTTCCTCGGCTGGCCGGTGCGGTGCTAGTTACTACGCCACAGGCTGTTGCGACATCAGATGTGCGCAAGGAGGCGAATTTCTGCGTCAAGACTAATATTCCGGTTCTTGGCGTGATCGAGAATATGTCCGGGTATTCTTGCCCATGCTGCGGAGAGGTAAGCAACTTGTTCTCCAGTGGTGGCGGACAGGTCATGGCACAGGAGCTGTCACTTCCATTCATGGGCAGTGTGCCCATTGATGTGAAGTTCGGTGAATTGGTTGAAGGAAAGATGGAACCTGGGGATAGCGACGATGAGGAAGAGGGAGAGACCCCACAGACTGAATCACAAGAAGCTCCCGCCGAGCCTGACGATAGACCGCTTGTCGAGCGATACCGTGAAACCTGGTCATATCCTCGGTTCGAAGGATTTGCGCAAACGCTTGTGAACAGTATTGAAGGACCGGCTGCCGCCTCTTAGGGGTCTTCCTGGATCGAAAAGTGCCTTTGAATACTGTTTTCCAGCGATATCCACCTTTCCTATGTTCGCATTGCATTATAAACGGTGTTGACAGCTTCAATGTGAAATCAATGAATTAATGTACATTTTGATGCCCTATCACCTTGCACATCATTTCCCTTAGTCACTAGTTTTCATCTCTTAGAAGCTGCAACTCAGCCTGGTCCCCGGTTTCTAAATCACTGAATTCGCCAAGTTCGTCAAGCTCTTCTGAAGAACTGAATTGTCGCCAATTCTCATGCCTTGCTTCTTTACCAGGTCTCTTTTTGAACATTCTCTCGACTGAGCAAAGCGGAGGATGACTTCTCGTCATCCACAAAGCGAACGCCACGAGCGCCGCCGACATAAACCCGAGCACAAACAACCAAACGTCACCCAGGTGGCTTTCAGATGCTGGTAGTTCTCCCTCGCCGGAAACGACCAAGATTTCCTTACGAAACTGCTCAGGGTCCCAATCAACGGCATTCGTAGAACCAATGACTACTCCTTCACGGTCAAGGGCAACAACTCGCACCTTTTTATACGGCATATCCGACGGTATCGGAATGTCAGTCTCAAACCCGGACTTTGGTACAGCAGAAACCAACACGAATTCATCAAGGCCCGAAAGTAGATTGGTATCACCACTACTTGTCCCATTGGATCCATGACCAGACCCTTCCAGTCCCCAGTTAACTACCTCTGTAGCTCCATTCCAACTAACAGCCACATGTCTTTCCGCAAAGGCGACATCGGGGGATGTCGTTGGCCTCCCGACCCAATGGTGCTTAAACGCACGGTAAGAAATGATGTTTCCATCACCAAACCCCCCCGCTGGTCCAAAATGAACCTGGCACAGCACTTCGCCATCCATGGAAAACTCCGTCCACGCTGCGTTGTATCCATACCCGACAAGTACGTTTCCGTTGTCAAGTACCTGCACTGAGCCTTGCGACTGGCTACTTATTGGTATGGGGTTCCAATATTCATGTCTGACTTGGGCAGTCATGCTGTTTTCGTCGATATCGATGAACAGTCCACGACTGGTGCGTTCGGTGGCTCCCTTCCCACGAGAAGAATTGTCGAAGAGGGTGATGGCTCGCTTCGAGAAAGAGTCCGAGTCCGAAACCACCTCTAAATCCTCCTCTTGAAACCTGCCATGATGCTGCCATTTCATATTGGTCGCTGTGCCATCGGACAAATCCTTGAAGGAATTATGTTTGCCACCTAATCTCCAGATCACATCACCAGTTCGCCCATCCACATAAGTGAGGCAGCTCATATACCGTGACGAAACAAGGAAATTGCCACGGGAATCCTTGTCAATGCTATTGATGTGGAAGAAATCCCAGGGCACATCTTCGGAGCCGCCTCTGTCCTCCGGTCCTCGGTAGGCTTCGTTGAATTTGAAATGATCCGAGGCACGCCATTGAAAAAGAAGCTCGTTCGTCTCGACGTCGACTTCTTGGAAAACGCCATCATAGATCCACCCATTCTCTGGTCCGTCAACAATGCGCAGATCTGCAGGTTGGGTGTCATACAATGCGAACAAGGCCGTATCATCGCGCGTGATCTGGAACTCGTGCATGTCTGCAGGAAGACCATTAACGCCGCGGATTGTGTATACCTCTTCATACGCGGAGTTGAGCTGGATCTGTTAGCGAGAACCATATGGCCAACGTAAACAGGCAGATCTACCCACCATGTAATATGTCCCATCACCATGCCCTCCAATCCCGTCATTCCCAGCCCAAAAAGTGATATAATCTTCGCCTCGGAAAGAGTAGATATTCAGATTATACGTCTTTTTATACTCCTTGAACCAGACAAGATCTCCATTCTGATCGAGGATCATCGGCCCAGTCTGTCTGACCGAATCTCCGCGCGGCGCAATCAGCGTATATGACCCATCTTCGCAAGCCCGACTGCGCTGCCAGTAGTTCAAGATCGGGCCTGAAAGCTTCGACGAAATATATCCCTGCAATGGCCAGGCACCAAAACGGCTCATATCATAGCTGGTAGACTGGTAGTAAGGTTGTATATCTGCCGTTGTGCATGATATGAGGAATGAAAGTGCGAGTATCGCGTGCGGCAGCATATTGAATTATGGTGTTTTAGGACGAAACACCATTCTGCGGGAGGATGGCGACAGATCGTTTTTTGTCTGCAGAGCTCATCTGATTTTTGGAAATTCGATAGGGATTTCATCTGCTTCGTTGGCCTGGCTGATCTCCATTCCGGTGTGGATCCGGGCCACGACAGCTTCTTCAGTGCCGGTTCGGCATTTTGTTTCTTAATCATGTATGGCGTTTCCTTGAAGTTCATAGGTTTGTTATGATTATCATATTGGTATAAAAAAAATTTCGGTTGCCTACTCATGACGTTCGTGAACATATCTTCATCAGCCCAATTATATGTGATGCAATTCGTGTCGTCCGCGTCAGCTGCCTCGAACTAGCGCAAAACAGCGTTGGCAATGACGGAAAACAAAAGTAGAAAACGAAGCATATATAGTTATTAGCGGGATCAAGGTATTTTAAGATTTTCAGAGCTGTTTGGCAGTCGCAAGGGCCAATATTCTTTTGTTTGCCGGTTTTATGGGTTGTGGAGGCTCTAACTTCGACCATCGATCAGCAACCTTGGAAGCCATGACATCCATTTTTATCGACAAATTTGGCTGATATATCAGCTCTATCGTCTATGAATTAAAATAAATGTAACATTAATAAATTGCAAGAACATAATTTGTCGAAAAAGTAGGAATCTTAAAACCAAAAACTATTTATATTGGTCTTGATGATCTAATAGGACCCTACTTGAACAAAGTAAGAAAAAGAAGACTCGTCAAAACCAATTTGACTGAATGTTGTGATGCTGACTGCAACAGTAGCTATATTGACCAGCTTAGCCCCTCGTGTGTAATTGCGGGATCTGTATCTATCAATTAATGCTGTCGGGAAGTTCCGTTCTTATTTTGACAGCTGTTTGCGATATATCTCGTGCCAATTGCAACAGCCCTCAGAATGTCTAGCTCTTTCAACCTTCGATGCTATCAAGCCTTGAAGTTTTAACGTTCCATTGAAGCACCAAAACCCGGCAGCTCCCAATTGGGGCTACGTAACCGTAGGTCGGGGGGTGGAGGTGGTTAAGCATCCTCGTGAGAATTTTGGGCAATGGGCATTCGATAAAAATAATTGCGCACCACAAGAGCCAGGAAACCAAGAGGAGGAAATTCAAGTGGAGTTACAAAGATCATCTAATAAATTGACCAAGAAATCTGAAAATAGCAGATGGTTCTCTTAGATACGAAGGAGCCTCGTTCGTTTGGGAGGAAACTATTATTGCTCAGCGAGACAACCTTGATACAGAGCCGAGAAACCTCTCATACAGTGATGCTAATACTTCCATTTGCATCTGCACTAGGCAGGTTGTCTCAAACTTGCCACCGACTGCAAGAAGCCAAGCGAAGGCAGTGCATCCTCCGCCGAGCCGCCCAGGCGTCCAAGTTTCTCGGCACTTGCACCGACCACGTCAAGCTCTATTAAACATGCAATCGCATCTCGTCACCCAGGAACGTGCGAATATATCTATTGTGACTGGCCCGAGTAACCCACTTCGACTCCGTCATCGCCGGAAAGCGAAATTTGTCCGCTCTTGGCGTCCGCTCTCCAGGCTTGGCGCCAACTCCCGCTCTACTTTGGTTGTTGGAGAAAATCGTTTCGGCCTCGACCAATGACACTTTCATGTCAAGCGCACGCCTTCGATGATTTCCTCATGATGGGTTGACACTCATTTCGGCATGCAGCGGGATCTGGACCAGGCCAAGATTATGATAGGGTTTTATCACAGGCCGCACTTGGCAACAGCCGTGGCACGACCTGTAGTTCGTATAAGGACAGCATTGATCCTCAATTGTTGAAAGACTGCAGAACAAATTCTCCTTTCAATTCAACGTTTTCTACTATCGTTGCGTGGCCGAGTTCCGCCCCTCGCCAACATGATCCCCGCCGCAACAGCAAAGTATGACTGGATCCTCGCTATTACCACCATCGCCTTCATAATTAGTGCCTTCGGTAACGGAGCCAACGATGTTGCCAATGCATATGCCACTTCCGTAGCAGCCAGGACACTCAACATGGCCACGGCCGGTGTCCTGGCCATATTCACGGAATTCATTGGCGCCGTAGCCATGGGGTCCCGAGTTACCGACACAATCAAGAATGGAATCATCAATATCGACCGCTTCGAAGGCAAGCCCGGCGCCCTCATGTTGGCCATGGGTTGCGCGGAAATCGGTAGTGCCACTTGGTTGATGTTTGCCACTAAGATGGGCTGGCCCGTCTCAACAACGCAGACGATCGTTGGTGCCCTGGTGGGCGTTGGCTTTGCATCTCAAGCCTCTATTTCCTGGGGTTGGGCAGACGGAAGTGTTTCTCAGGTCGCTGCATCTTGGGGTATCGCTCCTCTCGTGGCGGCTGGATTCTCGGCCATCATCTTCGGTACGCTCAAGTACAGTGTTCTTGAGCGGGTTGATTCTTTCAAGTGGGCCATGCGCTTAATTCCACTCTACCTTGCCATGACAGGCGCTATACTTGCCCTCTTCATTGTCGTCGAAGCTCCCACAGCACCCTCATTGGAAGAGTTTGGTGCTGGAAAGGCTGCAGGTATCATCGTCGGGGTGTTCTTTGGCTGCCTTCTCGTCGCCTATGTCTTCTTCATGCCATACTTCAAGCGTCGCCTGATCCATAAAGATGGCCGCATCAAGTTCTATCATATCCCACTTGGTCCCCTCCTGCTGAGAGAAAATCCGCCACTTTACTTCCCTGGAAAGGGCGACAACGTCGTGATTAGCTATTACGAAGATTCCTACGGCGAAGTGCGAGCCGGCCAAAAAGACGCCGAGAAGCAGAACCCCACAGCAAACGCGGACTCGATCATGCCCACGCCGGAGATCACCCCCGGACCAAACCGGACCAAATAGGTGACGACGAAGAAAAGAACATGGACTCAGCATTGTTTTCACCAGAGATCAAGCCGCGCAAGAAGCACGTCGAACCAGTTGAGCGATTCCTCGATCCAGTTCGAGACCTGTCCTGGGCCAACCCTCAAAAGTGGTTGGGCTATCTCAAATGGATTCTACTGCAGGGTGTGACACGCGATGTGATCACACACGACTCACCCGAGCTGCGAGCTATTCACGCCCGCGCACACCGTTATGACGACCGCGTCGAGCATCTGTGGACATACTGCCAAGTTGTATCCGCAATGATGATGTCTATTGCACATGGATCAAACGATGTTGCCAATGCCGTTGGACCGTGGGCGGCCGTCTACAGCACCTACAATGCCGGTGTCGTCGAGACGGAGGCGCCGACGCCAATCTGGTTTCTGATTGTTGCGGGTCTCTTGCTGGGTCTCGGCTTTTGGTTTTATGGATATCATATTGTTCGCGCGCTAGGTAACAAGATCACACAAATGTCGCCGACGCGTGGATTTAGTGTTGAGCTTGGAGCTGCGATTACAGTGCTTTTGGCTTCCAGGCTTGGATTGCCTGTTTCCACGACGCAGTGTTTGACGGGTGCTGCTATGGGTGTGGCACTCATGAACTATGACCTGGGTGCTGTCAACTGGAAGCAGCTCGCCTTTATCTTCGGTGGTTGGGTCTTGACTTTGCCTTGTGCAGCATTGGTTTCTGGGTTGATCTGCTTGATGGCGCTGAACGCCCCTCATCTGTAAATATAGACATTTTGCTTCATTCCTAGCGCTATTAGCTTTCAGTGCAATCAAACAAATATCTCCAATGAAAAGGTCTATCTCATTTGAAATTAGATACGAGAAAGTGAAGAGCCAATCATGGCGCGACACATTGACTTTTTTGTGCATGGCGGTATAAAACATTAAATCGTCTCTTCAACCGAGCGACGGGTATCCGAAATTCATAGATAGTTCTCTATTTGGTGCGCTTGTAGATCTTGCCAAGGAAAGCCTCAAAGACCTCCTTCTTCAGGCCCTTGGTCTCATCGACGGCGGCGATCTTCTCGCGCAGCTCAGTAACAACCTTCTCCTCGTACTGCTTGTAGACGTTCTCCAAATCAAGCTCCTCGAAGAGAGCCTTGACCTTGGCCTCCTCGGCGGCGTCCTTGCGACCGTAAGAGGCATCAAGGAGAGCACGCTGCTCGGGGGTGCAGCGTTGGATGGCCTGGTTAACGAGCCACGAGCACTTGTTATCCTGGATATCGGTACCGATCTTTCCAATTACGGATGGGTCACCGAAGTTGTCGAGGTAGTCATCTTGGATCTGGAAGTATTGACCAAGAGGAATTAGGATGTCATGGGCTTGCTTGAGGGTCTCCTCGGTAGCCAGCTGCAGGTAAATCAGAGCCAGAGCCACGGGAAGGTAGAAACTGTAGTAGGCAGTCTTGTAGGTGACAATGAACATGTACTTTTCCATGGAGAAGTTGTTGAGATCAACCTTGTCCTCAGGGGCGGTGATGAGGTCACACAGCTGACCGAGCTCGGTTTGCCATGTGGTCTCATGGAAGAGCTCAACGAGGTCGATGTAGGCAGGGTGGGATCGGAAGCGCTGCTTGAGGATGAGGTAAATACCGGACTCCAACATGAAGGCGTCGTTAATGGCAATCAGACCGACACCCTCATTACGGTACCAACATGGCTGGCCACGACGGGTGATAGAGCTGTCCATCATGTCATCGCTGACCAGGAAGAAGGCCTGGAGGAGCTCGGTCATCCAACCCAAGATGCTGAGGTGCTCGAATTGCTCAGCGCTCAGGGGCTGCTGGAGCAGTGCGATACCGGTATCGGGAACCGAGAGGCCGCGGTTGAGCTTGCCACCGGGAACATTGGCGTTGATAGCCTGTTTGTTGAGGAGAACTACGTAAGTAATTTGATTGAGCAGTAAGGGTAGTAGAACAACGGTGTAGATCATACCTTCTCGAGCCACTCGAGAGCATTGTCGGGAAGATTATAACGCTTCGCATGGGCCAGAATGTCCTGGACCAAGGAGGGGAAAATGGCCTCGAAATCGGCGCGCTTAGTGGGAATCATTATGAGTATAAGGTGAAACGTCAATAGATACAAAGGGGACAAAACATTCTCAGGGCCAAAAGGAGTCTATCTCCCCGCGGAGGGGACTGTTTGGTGAGTTTGTTTCGTACGGGGCATTATAGTGACCATATAAACATACACTTCTACGCCATGAGTCTCTCAACAGCCCACCGAGAATTGCTGCAAATATCCTCGCTTTATAACACAATAAAGAAGATTGGAATTTCATTCGATTCTAATTAGTATACAGTGTGTAGGGTATAGAAGAATTAAGAGACAAAAATCACCCAGACATCCAGGCCTAGTAGTTTTTTAGAAAGCGGTGAAAAGGTCAAGTTCGTTGTGGACGCTATATGGCGTTGCTCCACTGTTTGCTATGTTTGTTTGCATATGTTTCTCCCGCAACCCATGAACTACTTGCATTCTGGAGCCGATGAATGACTACAACACGTCTCAAGTCGTCTGGAAATCGGCACTAGACTTGACATCATCTTCCTTCTCACCCTGCATCCAGTTCCGCGAGGCAGTCTCCTCTCCAGCTCGTATTGACGACGCGCGACAAGCCGAAGACTTTTGTTTACACTTGTTTTCCGCTCTCACTTTAAATCGCGGTGGATATAAGCTTGGATTGACTCAGACAAAACATGAGACTGTATTCCCAATACATCTTTTGATTCGTACCGATACCATTGAGTGTCAGCGCGTTGTGGAAACAAGGTCCTGGAGTATTTCTGCTACATTGCGATAAAAAAACGTCCGCCATGGAAGAGCCTACAGACGATGGCATTCGAGAGCTGATGTACCAGCTGGAAAATGCAGCAATCAAGTGTTCTGAGCGATGTCTCTATCAATCGTCAAAATGGTACTACGATCTACTTCCGTTCTATGAAGACCGGAGGTACTGACCAACTTCATTAAACCAGGGCTGCCGAAATGCTTGATTCTTTACGACCTTTGGATCACGATGATACCGATCTCGAATCTCCCATGGATACGACGGATCCGCCCGCTCCACCAATCAATCCCTATCTACGAGTCCGGGACCCAGCAGAAGCCGCTCTCGAATCGCAAGAAGCACACAAATATCTGCTGGCCAAGTCTTACTTCGATACTCGTGAATACGACCGCTGCGCGGCTGTTTTTCTCCCTCCGACTACACCCCCGGTTCCTTTATCTGTAACTTCACCCAATTCTAAGCCTAAACCTCCAAGGGCCTCAACCAAGGGCAAGGATAAAGCTTCACCGTTTCAAAGCTCGAAGACCAAAAAGGACCAGCCAAACCAAAATCCATACCCAAAGCTCAGTCAAAAATCGCTTTTCCTTGCTCTCTATTCCAAATACCTGGCTGGGGAAAAGCGGAAAGACGAGGAGACGGAGATGGTACTAGGCCCAGCAGATGGCGGTATGGCGGTCAATCGAGAACTGTCGGGGCTCGCAAGAGGTCTGGATGGATGGCTGTCAGAAAGAAGCGCACAAGGGCTAGACGATCGAGGACAAGGTTGGCTCGAGTATCTTTATGCTGTTGTGCTGTTAAAAGGGCGGAACGAAGACCTGGCAAAGAAATGGCTCATTCGCTGTGTGCATCAAAACCCATATCATTGGGGTGCCTGGCAAGAATTGAACGACCTTTTGGGCAGCACAGAAGATGTGAGTCCACGCAATCACTTTTATCCAATGGTCACTAATTGTGGCGGTAGTTGAAACAAATCTTGGAACTTCTGCCGCAAAACGTCATGAGCTTAATATTCTATGTCTACTGCAGCCAGGAGCTGTACCAGGCCACGGAAGACACATATCGTTCCCTATCCGAACTTCAATCAATGTTCCCAGAGAGCGCATTCCTCAAAACACAACATGCATTGCTGTTGTACCATTCCAAAGGTAATGCTCAAAATGATACCGCTATACGTGATTAAGATTCAATCTAATACCATCCAGACTTTGAGGAAGCATCCCACATCTTTGAAGACATCTTGGCAACCTCTCCCCACCGCCTAGACAGTCTAGATCACTATTCCAACATTCTATACGTGATGGACCATCGACCTCAGCTTGCCTTTGTTGCCCAGGTCGCAACCGCCACCGACAAGTTCCGTCCAGAAACATGCTGTGTCGTCGGCAACTACTATTCATTGAAATCAGAGCATGAGAAGGCAGTTATGTACTTCCGCCGAGCCCTCACTCTCGATCGCAACTTCTTGTCCGCATGGACCCTCATGGGCCACGAATATATCGAAATGAAAAATACACACACCGCCATCGAGTCCTACCGCCGCGCCGTTGACGTCAACCGCAAGGACTACCGCGCGTGGTATGGTCTCGGTCAAGCCTATGAAGTTCTGGATATGTCTTTCTACGCGTTGTTCTACTACCAACGTGCAGCAGCTCTTCGTCCCTACGATCCCAAAATGTGGCAAGCAGTCGGCTCCTGTTATGCAAAGATGGGGCGCGTGGATCAGAGTATCCAAGCTCTCAAGCGCGCGTTGGTAGCCGGGTCATTGCAGCCAGATGATGCCGGTCAACCTGGCACAGGCGCAAGTCCTGGCTCCGGATTTCGCAAAATTCTCGACCCGGAAACCCTGCATCAAATCGCGACCTTGTATGAGCGACTTGGCGACGAGGAAGAGGCTGCTGCATATATGGAACTCACTCTGCAACAAGAGTCCGGTGCTCCTGTGAACGAAAATTCTGACGCCGAGTCCTCATCTGACTCGGAGAGTGGCATCCCAAGCGATGCCGAAATCGAGCATTCGGGTGATGAAGATTCAGATAGACCACAAAGGAACCGTCGCCAGCGTAAGCCTCGCGCCAAAGCTGAGTCCTTCGCCAATCAGAATGATGACTCCATCGTCAGCGAGACTTGGAACGGTACCGGCGTTACGGCGACCACATCCAAGGCACGATTGTGGTTAGCGCAGTATGCGTCACGCAATGGTGACCTCGACCGGGCGGACCAGCTGGCGGGTGAGTTGTGTCAGGATGGAATAGAAGTGGAGGAGGCCAAAGCGTTGATGCGAGATGTGCGAGCGAGAAGGGAAAACACGAGCTAATTGGTGTTGGGTCTTTAGAATGCTGAGTTCTATTGTTTGAATCATAGCGAGGCGCTTTACTCGGTAGTGTTTATGAATAAGAAGCCATGATCCTAATGTTCAGAGCTATCCAGGAAGAGTAGGGAACTAGTTGGAGATACTGATTCAAGGAGCTACAGAAATTGTATCACACAAGCCATTATCGTTTGTACAAAGCAAAGAGGGGTATCAAACATATCGGGCGTGTACAAGTGGTTCGACTGAAACATACTCGCCCAGCACGGCAACGTCCGAGTCATCAAACGTGACTTTGATCCACGGGCCTGTATTTGAGGCAAAGTCCCGATGATCTGGCACACCGCTGGTTATGTCAGGGAAAGACATCTTCAACGTCATAATTTCTTTCACTCTATCCGCGACTGAACCAATAGGTCTCCTGCTCAGATCCCAACTAATGCATCCGTAGTAATGTTCACCTCCAATCTGTGACCATGTTGTACGGAGGCAAAATCTTAGGTCCTCGGGACGTAGATCTCGGGTCAGGATGCTCGAGCTCAAAAAGAAGATATTTCCGATAGAAGCCAGCGAAGCCCTTCCTTGATGGACAGTAGTAGCAAGAGTTGTCACAACTCTGTGCATTTCTTTGCCTAGCGGGGTTATGTTGGGATCAAACAAAATTATCCCAAATCTTGTGCCTTGTGATGCGGCATATGGGTTCGATTGTTGGAGTGCAGACTGAACTGCATTTGACCCGAGACTCTGGACAAATCTACGCAGACTGTCGGTGTTCATGTCTGGGTGGAATTGTAGGTCCGAATCGGGCAGTGCAAAACTTTTCAGAGATAGTTCGGGCATCCATAATGGGATCGTTGTCAAGGGGGACTGGGGATATATCTTTCTCTTGAGGGATGTAAGTGATGTTTCAGTTTTCAAAATAGGTGGTTCCGTCTCTGGCGTATCTGGTGTGTATTTTCTGTGCGCCGAGTAGAGATTGGTTGCCCGCATTGGGCTTGATAGACCAGAAACAGTCGGCTCCAGTGTTTTCTGAAGTCGAACTGCGGTTGACAAGTTCTCGGATTTTTGAGATGCAGTTTTTACATCCCGCTGGCTGGAGCTTTGGCAACATGACAAGTTTTGATTGTCCACTAGCACATTGCTTTCGCAGACTGTGTTTTCAATGTCAATATTGGGTATCGTCTCATCAATGTATACTAAATGGACACTTGAATGATCCTTATGCGACTGATCGAATTGGTGTCCTCTTTGTGTACCATCAACTAGTGTTGTTGTCAATGGGTATGCATCCATATAACTATCAGCCGAAGCAGCCATGGGCACGGATGCTGGAGATGCCGGCGAAGTTGGTTCCGATTCGGTGTCTGAGCAGGTAGCTTCCGGGTCTGATGAGTTTCCAATATGTTGAACAAGTCCACTCCCAACTTCGAGACGCTTGGACCACTTTTCACGTTCCTCCAGCTCATTTAAGGTGAGGGCTCGAGCATTCTCAGCTAAAATTTGCAGTTCACGAAAGGAAGCACTCTCTTCCACTGTCCTGTCCGAGTGGATCTTCAAAATACGAGGAAATCGAAGGGCGAAATATCTAGCGCCAGAGGGTTTCTCAAATCCACTTCCCAGCATCTCGACGACAAAAGGTTGCTTGAACAAGGTGGTTGCATTGGGAAGACTGTTGTGTCCATACTCGACGGCAAATCCTTCAAAATTTTCAGGCGAACGAGCATAGAACTCTCCAAATTGATTGAGAATTCGCATTGTCTGTATACTCATGCTGTGTCGACCGAGCACATCGATCACTCGGAAATGCGGTATAGAGCCCTCTTTTTGGACAGCGTCTTTATTGAGAAGACATCCAACAAAAAAATGAGTCCATTTTAATTTTTTGATATGTGAAAGACTTTGCGCATCTTGAGACTTGTAGCTTGCTCCAATCAATGCAAGGTCGACTGTATCTCCCAGGCCAGGGATGTAGTCTTTCTTCAGTTTGATCCACCGACCAAACATAGTATCAACGCCGGTTGAATATATCGGGAAATAGGGTTCGTCGGAGGCCTTCAAGACGTACCCCTCCCACCGTTGAGTGATTGCTTTTGCAAAAGTCTTTTCGAGGCGATGATAACTGTCGATTCGACTGAAGTCTAATACCTCTTGGTGGGCAAGCTCGGCTCGACCAGGGATCTTTTGAACCACGTTCTGAAGGAGTAAGCGCCTTTCCCGATGAGGTTTGGCTAGGCAAATGTCATCATCAAGTAGAAGAATATCAAAAAACATGATCATCAAGTGTTCGTAAGGTTGCGGTCTATTCCAGTTAGCACAAGAACATATGCTACCCGGTGGAATGAGCGCGTACGGGGAATCATTATCAACACCAATCAAGATGCCAGATCTTGGAAGTAATCTCCGTAGTTTGTTGAAGTCCATTAACTCACGATCCTTGTCACTCCATACAAGCAATTCTCCTTCGAGAATACAGCGTTGTGTGAATTTGCAGTGGGGATGTCGCATTCGAAGAGCTTCTTCTATCACGGGTATCACCTTGTCCCTATCTGCGGTTGAGTCCTTCCCACTCTTGGAGAAAATCTGGATGGGTGCATGCTTGTTCGACATATCAATGTGTATCTGACAGTATTCGCCATCGTATTTGCGTTCGATACTCATACGTCGACCATTGGCCATTTGATGACAATGTTTGATACTTCGAGCTTTGTAATACTCAGGACGCCCCACCTTAATGCCAGCTCGAGGGCGCAAATGTTGCATAGCAATGATGCTTAGGCTTTTGGCTGACCTGGGATCTGGATTTGGCGGGAAATGATTTATCGGGTCAGAAGCAAGCATTTCCAGTGCCCCATCAAAAGAATTCTGAAGCATTAGTAGATGAGGCAGCAGGAAGTGGAACATCTTGAGCGTGTACTGTTCTGGAAAAATAACGGGAGAATAATTCTTCAAAATCATGCGAGTGAGCCACTTCGCATCACGGCTACTCAATCGACGATAAAGCGGTGATAATGTTGATTCGATGTCCACTGCTGTACGATTCCGTCGAACCTGAGGGCCCGAGAAGCGGCATCGTGACGCAATCATCGCCATGGCGCGATCGATCTCTTCTACCGAGAGCTCCTGTCCAGCAGGTACAGGGTTTTCTGCTTGGCGCATCACATTCTCGACACACTGCCCAAGATCCGAATTCCCTGGTGACTGCCATCGGTTGAGTTCGGAAAGTCGCGAGGATCCCAAGCCCAGACATCGGCCGATGACTCTGGAGAGTAGCGTGGTTTGCAAATAGTATACCCTGTCCGTTCGTTTTTCGGGAAACATGCATGAGAGAAGTGCCACTTTGTCCGTTCCCGCCTCGTTTATCCCTCGTTCATGTCGAGCAAACCACTGAGCAACTATGCGGATGTCCGGGTTCTCTTTCCTGGCAGCAGTTGACGCTTTGGCCGTTCTGCTGTTGTCCAATTTGGCAAGTAGATCACAAAGGAACGGAAATTGGAAGCCCATCTCCCATTTTTGGTCCTGTCATTCAAAAATTGATCAGTAAACTGTGTGATGGGTGCTGTTCACGTTTTGTCCGAACTCGATCTAAAAACGCGAAATTTAGGAAAACGGGCGCGCCTGGCTTCACGTCGGCACGTGACCACTTTAGCATCCATGGATCAGTAGAAATAGAAGGTTAGACTGTATATAAGCAGAATATTTAGTCGATGGCTATATATTGGCGTATATAGCATGGTAGTATGGGATATGGTAGTTGCTCTTCTATACAATGTTCGCATTTTTGGTGTTAACGATATATCAATTCCCAGAAAGTATGGGGTAAATTCCATTAAAATGCCCTAGAGCTAATTGATGATATCAGTATCTTGTCTAGAAAAAAACATACTACATAAGTATATCCGTATCCATGATTCTATTTATAAGCCTGCATTTAATAGAAATCAACTCGGTCTATGTGCTAGACTTGGTGATATAATGTTTCCGCGAGTATATATAACCAGCGGATGATAGTACGAGTAAATTTTTAATACAACGAAAGGCACTAGACTAGCAACACCGATGAGTTCTCTTAGCAACTACCTAGCTTCCAAGTTTTATCGCACCATATCAAATTTTTGATAGCATAGACCCACACTATGTCGATACGAAAAGTTGGCTTTTGTTCTATGGTCTATATATCTATCCTTTCCTATCAAGAAATTTTATACCTCATTTACTATAGTCTCAGCTAGGGTTTCATCATCATATAGTGAGTTTTTAAAGTGGCTTTAAATACATACATTTGTATCTTACGCGTACACAAGCTGAGATTCACTACAAGGCATTGTAGATATCCATAACAGGCTGCATGTTCCCAAGATTAACGAATTCATCAACTTCGCCCTTGGTGACGTACTCAGTGACACAAGCTCATGAAGCGGGAGAGTCTGTGTTGTTAAGATCTGCAGTAGGCCTTATAGTGAGACTTTGCCTACAATTAAGGTGACACCTGGGCACTTAGTTTGAAGGTCAGAGGACGAATTTGGACATATGCATATTCCCAGTTATAAGTGATGACACAAAGCAATGAATCACCAACCGTGTGATTTGTCAGATCGTCGCTCGTTGTGCGCCCTAAATATGGTTCGCAGAACAAGATGAGACCTTCAAAGTGCTGTATAGGTTTCTCTTGATCTACACTACTTGAGTCGCAAACATCTTGTCATTGGTGAGATTTTGGAAAGCGTCTAAACAAAAGTGGTGTGTTGGGGCAAGTATCCGACGCGCAAGCATTTATGTCCACATCTGGCTCTATAGACGGACTGGGCGTCTGCTGCTTTCCTGTGCAGTGGGCACCACAGAATTTTCCAACTCGATATAAAGTGATTTATGCTAAAGTCTATCGACATTGTGTCTCAAATGACCGATAATAGGAGATAACACATTATTGGAAGTGCCGATTTTCCACGAAATAAATTATGGTCATACGAGAGATTAATATGAAAAGGGTTGTCATTCAATCTTCATGATAAACTTTGTGCCACAAAGGAGATCGTAGGCCGAATTTATACAAGTACAAAACCATACAAGAAGGACGTAAAGACCTGCAAGCATTAAAGAATCGTTCAGACTCCGAGAGACAACCTCGCATGTGAGCATTGCCGGTAGAGATAACCACCTCGCGGTCAGGAAGTCACTGTGCCATGCCAGATTACCGTGACTGAATCATGTATCAATGAACGGTGATAAAATAATATAATTAAGATACTGGGAATGTGGACACTCTAGCGGGAGTCAGAATTTTATACAACAAATACCATCAGCAGGAACTAATCATGATTTTTGACAAGGCCTTTAGCTGTTGACGCTACAAAGTCAACCCTTGCCCCCAAAATCCACCGTCAGCGAAGTATACTATTCTACTTGCAGACCCGAGTGGCGATCAAGTTGGTCACAACCCTTGAGAAGGTGAGTGGTGATCCTTATGCAGAAATCCCAAATGAGAAGAGCAGCAATGGTTGAGGTGATCTTCGTCATTATGATCATATGGATTCCAAACACAAGATATTCCAAGTATTCGAGATGTATTTGAGTGGAAGAATAAGAGAACTCTACATCTTTTAGTATTATTCTTCAGCTATTTGGCAATATGGCCCCCATTGTCAAATCTTCGAATCTCGCACACATATTTCCCCCCTATAACCTTACTCCATTAGACCATGTTGTGCCCTGGGAGATTTTCAATGCAGTTTTCTCTTTTAGTCTGTTGGGCAAGGACATCTTCGAAGTTGTTCAGTCGGTAGAGAGAGGAATCTCCAATTTATGCTCCAATTTCCCCTTCCTGACTGGGGTAGTGGTACCATCCATCCAACCAAATGGAAGACGCAACCTATTCATGGTACAACCTGCAAGTGCTACCCAGATTGAAGATTACCCCATCCTGGTCATTCAAGAGCATACCGAAAGCACACCCAAAACTGTGAATGGGCGCCTCAACCCTGCTTTGACACCAGTTCCAATGCTATACCCGGCATCCAATCCTTCTCCCGTGTTACGGCTGAAGACTAATATAGTACGGGATGAACTTATTCTAGTATGGAGCTGTGATCATCGGGCGCTAGATGGGACCATCTTTCTTGCTATTTTCGACGAATTCGCCACATTCAGTCGTGATCCAAATTCCCCTCGGAAACTGGCCACAGCACCAGATGTGCAAGACAAGACAAGACAAGAAATCCATGAGATTGCATCTGCAATCAAACCACAAAGACTTCCCTGGACCTTGATCTCTCCATCAGCTAGTAGAGCCAAGGAATCCAGAGAATTTATTGATTCTTGTCGATTTGCACTCAGTTCTTCCTACGTCCTTGATCACCAAAAGATAGTATTGCTACGTGATGCCTATATTCTCGCTGGAAGCTCTCTTCCTGAGAAACACAGCAAGAGCCCTCCTAGCCAGATCACTCCTCTGAATATGATTGTATCGGCACTTGTGAGCCTCTGCACCAATCGCGCGCGCTTGAAGGCGTTTCCTAACGAGCGAGAACAACCATCTGATTTGCTCATCGCAACCAACATTCGAAAGGCAGGTCACATACCTCGATCGTATATGGGCAATTGTATCCTACCCGCAGAAAGTAAGGGTGGTAGCTCCGTGCTGCCCCCGCCTGAAGTCTTGCACAATATCCCTTTGCGGGGGTCTCTAGGTGCTCTACAACCGGAAGATATATGGCATGTTTACAATATCGCCAAGAACCTCCGGCAGGCTCGCGAGCTCTTGGACAGAGAGCGCATTCAAGGTGTGATTGCGAATCTGTCTCGCAGCCATGATTGGGGTTCATTTCAGCCCGGGTATGGAGTGAGCATGTTCATATCCGATATAAAAGCAGCGTCGCCTTATATGAACCTTGGGCCTCTCGGAGACGTTCAGTCGTTTGATATGTATGTAGAGACACTCCCTGGCTTGTGTTTTATTTTACCCGATCCTCCAGGGTCAGAGCCTAGTTGGAGGCTGCGATTGGTTCTGGAACGCGCGGCGATGGAGTGTTTGTCAAGCGATCCCCTCTTTCGGTGGGCTTTGGCGCCTACGGTCTGCAGAGATGCTAAAATGTAAGGTCAATGTTCTGATGTCGCTTATTGGCCATCGATCAGTTTGATTTATGCGCTCTGCCATGCTAAAGCAGCAAAATTCGCATTACAATTTCGTTGATAGTATGGACCACTGTCACTTGATTTCTCTATTTTTGTAGCCGACTTGAACTTCAAATTCACTCATCATCGCTACAAAGCTTTGTGGTAGAAATATGTGTCCATGGAAATTTAACCGCTGGAAATGCTTGATTAGAGATAACTGATTGAGGTTCTAAATTCGCCGAACTCCCGCCCTTTTGTATGGAACAAAAATATGTAGAACCGTTTAGAGAATGCCTTGCTTTTGCAGATCCAAATAGATCCTTTCTGGCATGACATTACCCTCTGCATCTTCCATCTGAACAACGTTGTCGCGAGAATCTCGGTCCCTTTTCCGGTCCTTCTCGAGTTGTCCCCAAAGTTCTATGGCATCATTGATGTTTGTGATTTCACGGAAGAGGTTGGTGTTTGATGTAATACCCAAACACTTGAGTCCGTAGATGTGGAGTGATTCGGAGAAATGCTTGTCGAATGCACGTCGACCCATGTAGGTGTAGTTACCGCAAATCTCACACTGGTATTCAACACCCAGGCCATGGAGCTTGTAAAGCCAATAGGGAATAGGCTTTCCGTCCCATGCGAGTGGCAGCTTCAATGGGTTGTAAATTCGCTCCTCATCCTCACCTTCTGACTCCTCACCGGCTTGACCGTCAGGACCCATGATCTCAGGACCAGCCATCAGAGCTTCCAACTCCATTTGACGTTCACGTTCAGTCATACCCTGTCGTCGCTCAACGTTGATTCTTGACGCTTGTCGTTCTCCCTTGAGGACATCTGTCAAGCTTCGGATTATGTGCTCTCGGCGTGCAACTTCACGCTCCTTCAGACTATGGGCTGAAGGTATGATTTGTGAGGTAGATGTCTTCTCGCCGGATGTGCCTGCTGCTTTTCGGGCTTCTGCCGCTCGGATATGTTTCTTGCCCGTCAAGTGGTTGCGGTAAACGTTCTCGTTCTTGAATTCCTTCTCACAATCCGCACACCAGATTCCCTCGCCGGTCCCTTCCGTTGTCGGGCCAGATGTTGAATTCTCAGACTTTTCTTCTGTCCAGCCAGGAACCGCCTTCGCTGACCATTGCTTTTCAAACTCTTCGTTGAGACTGGCGAAAAGTTTGTCTGAATCCTCTAGCGGGCGGACTTTCTTGACAAAACTTTCCAGATAGCTCGAGAGTTCTCCCACGTAGCCAAAGTAGCGATCAGAAACCTTGTCTTTGCGCTTGATCGACATGGCTGGGGGTGTGAAAGAGTCGAAAATTTCGAGATATTGGACATATGTCAAGCGCTTTACTCCGGGAAGGTTCAGATATTGTTCGTGCATAGCTGTGAGATCCAGGTACTGTCCAAATCCTTCTTCACCAGTGAACATGTTATCGATTTCATTGAAATGAGGCTCGCCTTCAACGGGTTGACGGCGTTTGTACGCTAATTCCAAATTTTCGACAGGTTCGTTCGGGTAGCGCTTGTGATGTTCTTTGAGTTCCCCCAGCTGCTTGTAAAATTCGTCGAATTGCTCGCCGGTCGAAATTGACTGCACTTCTCTCTCCCGCAGACCATCGGCATCCTTGTAGATTTCGAGGAGTCGCTTCGATTGGTCCTCAATTCTCTCCAAAAACTTAGCGACTTCATGGTCACGGGCCAGGCGATCGCGAATCTATCAGAAACTTTTGTTAGAGACATGGTCGACAAATGCTTAGCGCAGTACTCACATTTCGCGGCTCCTCCGCCACGCGATCAGCGATAGCCTGTTCTAGCCGCTCCAGATCCTCATGAATAAACCTTTGATCTTCGAGCAACATCTTGTAGGTGCAACAACGTAATGAATCACTTTTTCACTGCGCGCAAAGAGTGTCGACAAAGTATCGTGGTGATCGCAAAAAGAGGTTGGCGATTGGCAGCTCCAGCTTGCGGGAAGGTCATGTGACCTGAACCACTTCCACCGCGAAAAGTTGGGTCGTTGACCTCACTGACCTTAAGGCTTTCACTTTTCGTGAATCCTCAATTTATTTCTTCTTATTGCCGAAACATTTAACTTTTCACCATGGCGGAAGGAATCGACAGACGCGCCGAGGGTATGCGAACCCAACCTTGACCAAAACGAAACCATACTAACAGCAGCCAGAGCGCATGGAGTTCAACACCTCCAAGGAGGTGACGGTGGCCCCGACCTTCGAGGATATGCACCTGAAGGAGAGTTTACTTCGCGGAGTTTACGCTTACGGATACGAATCACCTTCGGCCGTCCAATCGCGTGCGATTGTCCAAATCTGCAAAGGTCGCGATACCATCGCCCAGGCCCAATCCGGTACTGGTAAAACCGCCACTTTCGCGATCAGTACTCTGCAAATTATTGATACTGTTGTGCGGGAAACCCAAGGTACGCTACATATTGGCCTCGCCGCGGCATCACTTATACTGACCATGATCTACTTCAATAGCCCTCGTCCTGTCCCCAACTCGTGAACTCGCAACCCAGATTCAATCCGTCGTCATGGCCCTCGGTGACTACATGAACGTCCAGTGTCACGCTTGCATTGGAGGAACCAATATTGGCGAGGATATTCGCAAGCTCGACTACGGCCAACACGTTGTATCAGGAACCCCCGGCCGTGTGGCTGATATGATCCGTCGCCGCAATTTGCGCACCCGTCACATCAAGATGCTCGTTCTTGATGAGGCCGATGAACTTCTGAACCGCGGTTTCCGTGAGCAGATTTATGATGTCTACCGTTACCTGCCTCCCGCGACGCAGGTCGTCGTGGTTTCTGCCACTCTCCCATACGATGTCCTGGACATGACCACTAAGTTCATGACCGATCCCGTCCGCGTCCTGGTCAAGCGTGACGAATTGACACTGGAGGGTATTAAGCAATACTTCATTGCCGTCGAAAAGGAGGAATGGAAATTTGACACTCTTTGTGATCTTTACGACACCTTGACTATCACACAGGCCGTCATTTTCTGTAACACACGCCGAAAGGTCGACTGGCTCACCGACAAGATGCGAGAGGCCAACTTCACTGTTTCCAGCATGCACGGCGAAATGCCCCAGAAGGAACGTGACAGCATTATGCAAGATTTCCGTCAGGGTAGCTCACGTGTGCTTATCTCCACCGATGTCTGGGCTCGTGGTATCGATGTTCAACAGGTCTCTCTGGTTATCAACTACGATCTCCCCACAAACCGTGAAAACTACATCCACCGTATTGGTCGTAGTGGTCGATTCGGCCGCAAGGGTGTGGCTATCAACTTTGTTACTAGCGATGATGTCCGCATTCTTCGCGATATCGAGTTGTACTACTCCACCCAAATCGATGAGATGCCAATGAACGGTAAGATCCACATGATTATTATGCCTCATATTTTACTAACAATGTTTTCCCAGTTGCCGACTTGCTTTCATAATCGCCATTACCCGATCTTGCGGCTGCAATCTTTCTTCTTCCGTCAAAAGCGAATCGGCATCATTCGTCCCCCTTGAAGCTTCTAATTTCATGCGTCCTGCATCACTTACTGGATGTGACTCGTAATCTGGCGATGGGTTGAAAATTGAAAATACAAGGCCAGCTCTAGCGTGGAGGAAATGGATACTTACGTATTTCAGTAAGTGAACTCTTGCCAATACTATCTTCTTCAGATACTAACAGAGTGAACTGCAGCTCAAGAATGCCAACCAATTTGTACATCCCAGGGGATGTTCATGATTTTGCTTTTTTTCTTAAAATTCCAGGCCTTAGGGCTAAGTAGCAGGGTCTTCTCGTTTCAGGAGTTTCGTTTGTTTTTTCCCTTTATTTTTGCAACTAGGAATCATGAATCATGGAATAAATATATCTTTACATATGCATTGATTTGCCTTGCTTAGTACAAATTGTTCAGTCAGACACATACCAGCCCTAGAGGCGCACGCCCTTATGAATAAGATTCACATCACACGGCCCATCATGGAATGCCGCGGTAAATGGCTGGGAATCGCGTAGGTAGGCTTTGATATTAGATTGAACTCAGGCGAAGACAGTGACTGAAACTTGAATCGACCAAAAAGACCCCCAAAAGAAAGACCCCGAGTTAGACCGAAAACCAAGCAAACATCAATATACACTCCTAGAAATCTCAATAGAAGAGTAAAAACCGGCGCCAGATTCCTGTATTGAAGAAAAAAAATTGCTAGCTTTGGGAAGTGAACAGTGAGCAGTACGAAGACGACGAACTCATACGACGTATATGCCAGACAACATGAAGCATGCCAGGGGTTGATGAGGGAAAGGATAAAGAGACAAGAGACGAGCAAAGAAATAAAAAACATTGCATGACAGCAGTTTATGGTCTTTCAATCCAAAGAGCTCCGGGTATGTTCCCCAACCGAGATACGAGGCAGAATCAATAAGAATGAGCGTGAAATAGAGTAGAGTCATGATGGGCATTCTCTGCAGTACATAATCACAACGTAGTTGTCCGCATCGCGCTAGTCCGTGTGACTCCATTCGATGGTACCCGGCTGCGTGGAGTAGGTCCGGATGGCCGAGGTCGGTTACTGTCTTTTGACCAGCTGCAATTCATTAGTAATTAGTAGTGTCAGGTGTGAGGGGGAGAGATATACTTACATCCTTACTGTATTGTCGTCGCCTGCGGATGCAAACATGCCTGGATCTGCGGGATTCCACGATATTGAGTTCACGCATCCCGCAATGTGGCCCTCTAGAACCTGTACGAGATGGCCATTTTCCTTGTGCCAGATATAGATCTTGGAGTCTGGGATTTGTTAGCAAGGCTTCACAATATCGCAGTTCGAGATACTGACCCTCACTACCGCTGACGACAAAGTTTTCAGCAGCTCCTCCGAATGTGCTGCGAATCACAAACTCGCCTTGTTTTTGCCCTTTGAAGTGACGAACAACAGCGGTGGTTTCCATATCGACCAGTTGAATCTCACCCTCAGCCAGACTTATAAGCACGTGTCTAGAATCTTGGCTGATGGCGACAGAGGTTGGTTTGCTGGGGAGCGGGAGACAGTAATCTTCCTCGTAGGTAAGTAGGTTGTACACATGGATCTTGGCTTCCGTATCAGCCGCAACAAGACGTCGTCCGTCGGCGCTAACAGCGCAGTCTTGCACGCGGAATCCACCTTTCCATGTGTATAGGGATTGACCACGAATGCTCCAGTGGCGGAGCTGTGATTCGGCGTCTAGGGATGCCGTTACGAATGACTCGCCATCTGCTGCCCAGGCAGCGGCGGTTACTGGTTGGCGATGGTGATTGATAGTGAGAAGACAGCGGCCGCTCTATACCATTGACAGCCCGAATTAGCACGTGTATCAACTGAAATGGAAGGGACAAGGGCAGCATCTTACCTCAACGCTCCATACACGCGCCTTCTTATCTTGTGAGCAGGTAATGAGCTTGGTGTCATCCGGACTCCAACTGGCGAATGCCACACCCTCCTCATGGTCTGTGAGTCGGTGAAGTACACTAAAATCAGCGGTGTTGTAGATTAGCACATTGTGGTCCTTGCCAGCAGTGACCAGCTTAGAGCCATCATGAGAGAACTCGCAGTACCAAACTTCATCTGAGTGATGAGTCAGGTCGACAGCAACTTCCAAGGGGAAATCATTTCGGTCACACATGTGGTCTGAGTAAAGTGACGGAGATTCAGCAGTGTTATGATATAAGCAGTTGTTGATCTGCGTTGACTTGACATGATCTAATAAAACCGCGAGACGATGTTGAGGGATCATCACGGAGGGAGAAATGGACTCTGCGGCTGAATTAGCAACCCTGCCATACTTTGTCATACCCTGCAGATTCATGTAGTAGACTTACTCGACAGCTCGCCAAGAAGACGTTCACGAGATGAGCTTACAGGTCCCTCCCACCCCGCTTGGTCATGTAGGAGCTCGATTGGGCACATGAGAAGACTAATTGAAAAAAGCAATGAGTAAATAGTACGTCTTGGAACACCACGGTTCCACATACCTCGAAAGAGCATGAAGACGCTCCACGTCAAAATTTAACGGCGTGAGTTCTTGTCGAAGGACGCTGAGAGCTGCAGACAGATCCCGCGCTTCTAGCAATTCCAAGTATTTCTGCTGTCGTAGATAGAATAACATCTCGTTGCTGTCGGCATCCTCTGACAAGAGCAATATTTCCTCTGGTGGGGGGTTCCTGTCTGGCTGCGACCCAACATTTGGCAATGACTGGATCAAAATCCTCTCGGCTTCTGCCCATTTTCCACCCAGCACTGCACTTCGAAATGTTGCGACGCCCGACGTTTCCAGCTCATAACCGCTCTCCGAACTCAACAGCGATGCCGACCCGGTATAACCCAACTCGTACAAACTCTGCATCAAGATCCGTGTCACCTCCTCTCGATTATGGCCATAGTAGCTGGAAGATTGAGATGGCTTTTTGGACCCGTTTGTATGAGCGTTCCCGTTGGCGGAGGTCGACTGACCGTTCAAACTGGGTTTCCTCGGTGTCGGAGTGTAAGCCCCATTTGAAGGCTCGGAGAAGCCATTTTCTGTTGATATTCCATCTGGACGCATGATTACCAGGCGCCTGCGCTTGGGGGAGGGAGAACGGCCGTCCGGTCGGTCAAAATGGCTGGGGTGGTTGGAAGAAGAAGCGGGCTCACGTGCTGATCCCGCTGGAAATGATCCGGTCCCCGCAGATGAACGACCCTGTATATCCGGACTGGAAAGGCGGCGTCGGCGGTCCGCGCGAGGGGTAGATGGACCGGTTGACAGATGGGATGCGGCCGAGAGGTACTCTGATGATTGGGAGGCGGGATTGGCTACCGAGGTGGAAGCTGTATTCACAGGGAAAGGAGGATCAGGGTGGTCGGAGGTGATAAAAGGGTGATATGACGACGAATTGTCTGCCAGTTCGACAGTATCTCTAGATCTGCCCAATCCCCTGGCTCTATGCAAGAACCAGGTGAGCAGATCTCAAGTGGCGGGTATGGTTGATAAGTAATCACCGAAAGCTCCGATGTCACAAGGTCAAATCGATCACCAAACAGTCACAGATGATCAAAGCTATGAGAAGATCACGGATGCAATGAGGTAAGGCTCCGCTTTTTCAGAACTTGGGGGGTTTGCTCTGCCGGGCGGAGATGGGCTGGGCTTATCGTGAGCTATCGCTCGCGAATCATGTATTACCTCCAGGACTACCTATATAGGTCCTATAGGTAGCAAATTCAAATTTCCCTGCAAACAAGGAGGCTGGATATAGTTAAATGTTTGAAGGGAGTAAATAGAAATATTAAGAAGATATGGGTTGGGTTGTTGGGTTGACACCAGGAGGTTTTGCATCGTAGCACCTTATTACTTATTACACTAAACATGTCTGTGGACTTACCACTGGGCAACTTTCTGTATATTAGGTTTTTCCCTCTATTTACTGTGTGCTATTTTAGATCACTGGGCCTCGACTTTTAGCTGCTTCAGCTTTGGCTTTTAGCTACATATGTCCACGTTCTACTCAAACTTTTATGGACCGAGTTTGCCGCGAAAATACCACGGCTTTATCCTTAAGCTATATGCCCATCTATACTGTATGTTTTCGATACCTACATATGCATTCTTGAATGTAGAGATCCAATAAAAGAAGAAGAATCAATGTCCATCTAACTTATCATTTGTCCGAGCTCAGGTGACAGTGTGCTTATGCGGCAATCTATAAGAGCCCTAGAGGTCCGACCTCTCTAAGGAGCAGATCGACCCCAATGTCGGATATAGATCCCGGTTAAAAGCGGGAGGACTCAGGATATCTCACCCAAACGAAGCCATCAAAAAGTTCACCAAGTTCCTTTCATACTCCATTTTAGGGTTTCCCACTGACGCCATTATGATGTTACTACAAGGAGATCATATAAAGCGGCTATCTTCAAAACACGCCTGTTGCACGGGCAATCCAGATAATAGAGACACCATTTGTTTTCTCCAAAATTCATGCTTAATAAGTAGCTCAGTCAAAATGTCGTGCAAACATTGTCGTGCATGCATCAGAACCCCGGCCAAGGTGGGCGGCTAGCTCCATAGATTGCTAATACCGCTTTCGCCAATATCATAACTCGTGGTGGCCCTTACACGACTCAGAAGAAATCTGGGATTCGGAATTGAACATTAGTACAAGACCCTTCAGTCTTCCTAGATCTGACTTGCTATCCGGCCAATATCCCATCACAGATATTCATTGCTCGCTGACACATTACCGGTGAATGAATGACCCAGGTAGGGAAACTCGCGCTTGGCTGCGCAGAAGGAACAGCGCTAAACATTCACAGACCATGAAACCCAATGAAGATATGAACGGAAGAAAAGCCGCAGAAGCGTACGAATCATGGAAAGATAATGAACCCCTGAAAGAAATCGCCATCGAGATAAAAGATGAAGCTATGCTAAAGAGTAAAGCCCCTGCTGAAGACAAAGAGGCACTCAAAGACAAATCTTGTACAAATTCTTGAACATCGACAAAATTGAAACCGAGAAAGCGGAAGCTAAAACCAAGGTAAGAGACGAAGAAGGAGAGGTGATCCACACCTGTCATACCCGCAAAATTGTTCGAAGAAGCGAGAATCTCGTGGTGAAGAAAGCACTCGATCTTCGATTTTTTTGATAGTAAAAACAACAATCCTAGTACCGAAATTGCACGATGTACGCTGAAAAGATGGCAAAGCGGTCGGCGTCGTGATGGACTACATGCCTGGAAAGCCACTGGAAGAAGTTTGGGACACTCTCAACCCTGACCAGAGACAGCACATCGCCGAACAACTCCGTGGCTACGATTCTCAGCTGCGCAACCTCAAGGGCAATTACATCGGCGCCGTTGACTGCGGCACCGTCTCCATGGACAAATGGCCATTTATCCAAGGAGAACGATTTAATACAGAATGAGATTTCAATGAGTGGATTCTTGAGACCTCAGAGTAGGAATAAGCCCCGCGGAGGCACTTTGCCAGGCGCGTGCTGACAAAAGGTCTTGAAATTGTCATCACCAATGCTGATTTCTCTAATCGGAATATCCTTTTGGGTAACAATCTTCAGGTAACAGTTGTCCTGGACTGTGAATTTGCTGGCTGGTATCCCGAGTGGTGGGAATACTTAATAGCATACGCGAGCTTCCAGCAAGGCAAAGATGGGGACAAATACATTCTGCCGCCTCATATGACAGAGATTTCATTGTCATGTCCTATGTGTCCAGCCTTTGTCGCAGCTAGAAGATCGATCGATAATGGGAATTAATAGGATTTTTGGGGCAAGATGGAGCAAACGGGAGATACAGTTCACATTGACAATACATGGCTCTCGCGTCGTTTGATAAATTATGTCTCTGCCGATGAAGATAGCGATGAGGATAGCAACAGCCTATCAATGGGCAAATTAATTCAGGCAGTGGACTGCAAATATATATGAACAATTGTCCTAGGTCTATGGGAAATGTCAGCTTTTATCTCTGATCAGACATATATCCATAGTCCATTTCATTGCATACATAGCTTGATAATCCCTCAATCTCCCCAATCTTTGTCAATATCACACCGACTCATACTCAGAGTGCTTCATCTGTTCGGCAGTTTGGGCGGTTTCTTCGAGCGAGAACTCGATGGATACAATCTCGCGTTGAACCTCAACTGTACCGGTGCCGGTATTCCTGATGCGTGCTAACTGCTGAACAGCCTTTTCTCATTGGCCGATAGGAACGAGCCAGCGAGGCGACTCGGGGAACAAGAAGGCGGAAGAAACCAGAATGATGAAGGAAACAGCCGGGATCGTGACGGGAACTAGCCACGATACAGAGTACTGATCAAAATGAGAGAAACGGAATTGATCCGGTAAATTGCCGCAAAGCCGCTGCTCATGAAGATGCCATCAACAACGACGTACTTTCCCCGATTTGTGGGTTTGGAACATTCCGCCTGCCGAACCGGTACCATTTTGAAGAGAGTTACGATGCTGACACTGGTGATGATACGACCAATCAGCGGTTGAAGCAGTTGGAAAGAAGTGCATGAGGCAACTTGACCAACCAAAGTGAAGATGCCGCCGACGAATATAGTTTTCCGCAGACCGAGCACATCACCCATGAAGCAACATGATAGTGATACCGCTAACGCTCCGAGTGTAAACTAGGAGACATAGAGTCCTTGTATGGAGGACTTATGGGAGTTTGTACAACCAGTTGTATGGGTGGTATCGATTTCGGGGAATGATTTCGTCCAACTTTCGAAGGACATCAGTCCTCCAACGCCGACTTGGTTATAACCAAACAAGATGACAGAAGAAAAGATCATAAGAATGGCCTGGGCTATATAGAGGGCGTGTCCCCGGAACATGGCTTAAAAATATAGATAGTATTTGGATATGTCGGTTTTGTAAAAGACATTTTGCATGCATGCCTGGGTGTTTTGGACTGGGCTTTTATATAGGCAAGTGTGAATAGCACTTCGAGAATAGTGATTGCTGGGCAAGGTTTGCTCCATTGACTTCCCAGGACCTTCCCCACCAGCTGGGGTTTGTGGAAATTGTATTTGGCAAGATCACAAGCATCCTGTACACACCCTCACACCATCGAGAAGTCAGGAAGGTACCCAATGAGATGGAGTAGGTTGGTGATACTTAAACCTGAAGCTCCACTAGCTTCCACTTTTCGGTAATGGTCGTTCTTTGTTTGATTCACCGAAAAACTCGCGGGATATAATGCGGGAGCATTGCATCTTGAAACATGGCTTGATTTTTTTTCTCTTCCATCTAGAAAGCATGCACTGTCAAAATCATCGAACACGGTATGTTCAAGCTATACTTCGGTGGTGGCATTATGAGGTGTTGAAGTACTTGTTAAAGCCAAGTCTTTGAACAAAGGTGTGCCGCACCTCGGAAAGCTCCGTCCTTGGAATATTGCTCAGGCATATTGTGTTCTATAGAAGGCTGAAGTTATAGGACTGGTGACATGTGACGGAAGTAAATCGAATGTACACAAGGTTATCTGGCAGTCTTTGGAAGAAGCTTAATGGCGTGCTTTCTCTTCCCCAGGGGTACCCCGGATTTACCCCCACACTTCGTATCCCTTGATTCGTACCCTAAATAAGCTTTCGAAACTACAAATCAATCAGTAGTCTTTGACTGTATAAGTTGTATATTTTAAATCCCCTAAATTGACAAAGAAGTACGGCACATGCAAACAAATCATGTGCTTCTTCACTGACGCCATTATGACGCTGCAGGTAAGACCCCTATAAAAGCTATCTTTCTGCCATAATAATCCTTTCTCTTCATCTTCCCAAATACAATCAATCTGAACTCCTACTTTGAAAATATCCAAATTATCCACCATGGCCTGTGATTGCGGATCCAACTGCAACTGCTCCGGCGGTGCCCAAAGCTGCTCTTGCGGCAACACCTGTACCTGCAAGGGATGTGGAGTAGGTGATACACTTGTTTTGATCGAAAATGGTATATTGTAAAGAAGTATCGAAGCTAACCTACACATTTCATAGAAGTAAATCATTCCACCCGACTATTGGAAACCTATGCCGCTAGTTTGTGTATGAAGATGATGCTGTGATGAGATCAATGAGGATTTGATGTAAAAGTACATAGAAATCGAAAACGTATTTCTATGACCCCAACGTAGCTTCTTCGCTTCATTATATCCTTGTAAAACTCTCTATGTTAAGTCTTAGACATTATCAGGTTTCGTCATGACAGCCTCGGAAACTTTACCCGTGATACTAAAGCAAGCAAAGGGACACAAGGCATAATTTGTCTGCAAAATGTTAGTGTGATGCTGTGTTCTGAACGACACCGTCGAGGTTCTCGCGATGACCATCTTTTCACCTCCGCCAACCTCGAAATCATTGTTACGATAGAAATCGTACGGATACGTAAAGATGATCAACTAACTACCTACAGAATGGGTGGTCGTGACTGGGACGCTGACTAAGAATAATGAGATAAGCTCAGTCCGTCACAATGATCGGGCCAGGAGGAATCAGTGCCGATTCAACCAGAGCACCGGGTCATCACCAAGTATTTTGGTCCGCCCGCCAGTCCATCAATTAGAAAAACGCTCAGGCGCGGGCCAGATTAGAAGGCATGCGACATAGACAGTCATAATTACATTGACAAAAATTCGTTCCTAGTTGCCTTCTGCAAGCATCCGTTGAACGTAACCCCAATCTTAAAACCAATCATGAAGCTCTGCAGCGTGGTGAACAGATGGCCGATGTTGCGGATAATTACAGTCAGTCACGCGTTGGAGATCCAACCGTCTTCTTGGTAATAGAAGAATGCTCGGTGCAACGAAGAGACGAAACTTAGTGTCCCAAATCGTGCATAGTATTGCGACGGCGGCGAATTGGTATCCAAAAGGTGCAATGATACGTTATGTGATCCTGTGTGAGAAGATCGAGCGCAGTTACCGTACATCGTCGGAATTCGATTCGCGGCTGAGTTTCGAGCTTTTTGAGCGCGTTGTGAAAGAAGCGAGGTCTGCTCGTTGAAATGGGGATGAAAATTTGGCAGTCATGGTGACCGACGAGAGACAAAAACTGGTGAATCTTGCGAAGACACGAAGTTTTCCTACTTGGATAAAAAGATGTCCAGAAGTACTTCGGGGTTTCGGGGCAGTCCACTACCGAACACACTAAACATTCCCCGTGGGGGGCACTTGGATGTCATTGGCCCTGCTTCATCCCGCAATAGCTTCGAGCTTCAACGCACCCCTGGGCAACCCGAACACGATATGGTAATAGAGTAGTAGTATACAATAAACGCTGTAATCTAAGAATCGCTGCAGCTAGAGCTTGAAGGCTTTTCCAAATTATTTAAAATATTTAAAATCGAAGAATCTCGATGTGGGGTTGATCCTCGGGTAATCGGTCGGAGCAAGACCGAGTGTCCCTCTCCAAGAGATACAATCCCCTCAATTTCGAAATGTTCCTCTTACTACTCTTCAAGTAAACAATCAGATCAGGCAGTCGAGCCTCATACTTCAAGATGTCTTCAGCTATCACCCTTCGCTCAGCCCTGTCAACTACTCCAGTATCATACGGCTTCTGGTTAACGTATGTGCCACCCCGCATCTCGAGAGGAGTATCACGATATTCGTGTTTCTCAGGGCTTCTGTTACATCTCGAGTGAAGCCCGCGATCAAACAGGAAACAACGCTGACCATTCTCGCACAGGCTCCCCAGCGCCGCCGTTGCAAAGACCATCCTCCGCCGCAGCCCCCAGTACTCAGAGGGCGGATTCAGCTGGGTACTAGTTGACGCCGAACACGGATTGATCAATGACAGCCACTATTATGAGGTTTGTTGCATGCACTGAATCTGGGAAAAGCAATCACTCACGCACAATAGCTCAACAACGCCATTGGCCACGAAGGAGCAAGCCCTATAATTCGAGTCCCCTGGCCCGAAGAATGGATGATCAAGCGAGCTCTTGATTCTGGTGCCCACGGTATTATGACTCCCATGTGTCACAGTGCAGTATGTCTAAGCCGATTCAATTCCTCCAGCGTGCACGATGCTGACCATCACTCTTTTACTTCGCACAGGAGGATGCTGCTAAGGTCGTCAGCTACTGTAAGTACCCACCAGTTGGAGTCCGAGGCTACGGACCCATGTTCGCACCACATGCATTCCCTGGCGTGAAGCCCAGCGAGTATGATGAGAAGACACATGGCGAAGTGCTTGTGATTGTACAGATTGAGTCTCGGCCCGGTGTTGAGAACGTGGAGAAGATTGCCGCGGTGGAGGGTCTTGATGTGCTTTTCATAGGTGAGTTTGGTAGTTCGATCCTGTAGTTGATTTGGTAAATCTAACTGCTGTTGCTTGGTAGGACCATTCGATCTCGCGAAGCAGATGCGTGTCACTCGTGGCGGTGAAGAGCATGAGTCTGCTATCAAACGTGTTCTGGCCGCGGCAAAGTCATCGGGCAAAAAGGCTGCTATCTTCTGTATGTGTTGCCGTTTCCGTTCTCTCCTGTGTATTGCTAATGTTTATCTCTCAGGCTCTGACGGCGATGACGCCCTTCGTCGCACTCAGCAAGGCTTCGATATGGTCTCTATCATCACTGATGTTGCTGTGTTTGGAGATGGCATGCTGCGCGAATTAGAAAAGGCCAAGGGCAATGCTCAGGTGGAAGGAAAGCGGGACGGTTATTAATATGAACTTCGCATATTTATATTTGTATAGACAATTTACGCAATAAACTTACCGTGTTCCAAAGTTAGACAGTTTTCCAGGCCTTTTGCATCCAATCTCATGCTTACAGTCATATAGTGTGAGTAACTTCCAATAGATATCTAGTAGCGTGCATAGTAAGGTCACTTCAAATGTACGTCGATATCATTTCTCAGAAAAGCTTAAAGTTCAAGCGCGAACGACGGAGAAAAGTTGATGGGATGGGATTATTGTCCTCGCTACAAAGACAAATCCCATGCCCAACGTGACCACTGCTACAAAAGCGCACAGCAAACCCAGGCGAGCCAAGCTTTCGATGCCAGGCCGTTCAAATTTGGTACTTCTGCGCTGCCCAAGGCGAGTGGTTCGAGTGAGAGTAGGTACATATTTAAAGTCGAAGCGCGACTCCTCACCTAGACCCATATTCTTGTCAAGAATCAGCTTGTAGAAGTACTTTCGACGAAGCTGAATAGTACAATATCAGTAAAGCACATGACCGTTCGTTGATATGGTCTCCATACCGCAATCGTGATCTTGTCCAGGAAATATATCCGCGGAATGATGTATGACACAGCCATGACCCAGAAGCAATATCCCCATATCAAGATGCGATAGTATAAGTTAGACCGAGGGATCTCGAGTTGATCAGACAACAGCTCTCCGTTGAGTAGTCGAGTCATCGCCTCCATGAACTCTTTCGACGCATAAGCCGGCGCCGTATTCTCCAACCCAAGAATGATGTTCTTTGCCAAAACTTTTCCAATTTCAGTAGGATCAATTTCAGAAATCAGAAGTGATTCCATCATAGCACGAGCCTTAGCCGTGTCCTCGAAAGGTTCCGTTGGAGTACCCATGTAGTAAGCAACGAGTCTCCACAGTGCGATATAGTCCCTGATCTCTTGCTGGCTCAGGTAGATACCCTGTCGTGGAAGTCCCAACCATACCACCGAGCTGCAAAACGTATTGATTGTGCCTATGCAGTCCAGATCATTGACCGGGATCCCGAATTTGTCGGCATCGTAGTAGTTAGACTGTTGTTCGACAAGAGCAAGGATCTTCATGCGGACGGACGAGTGAAGCAACCGGACTCGGACGGATGATACGTGGCCCTCGCCGCCGGGTTTCATTCCTTCTACTGAGCTATTGACCTGGAGAATGTGTTGGAGAGTCTCGAGGAGCCTTCGACGTACTACCTTGGCACCGAAACCACCTGTTCGTGCGAGGGTTTCGACGACCCGGATCGCTCCCCTGTATCTATGTCAGTCATAAATTGTAATCATTTGAGAAGTAGGTGGATGTACATTCCACCAAGCAAGCTTTCGAAGCTGAGCTATTGCATAAGTCAGTATAGTATGCGGGATCGAGTTGTAGTTCCAATGACTGACCACGTTGAGAATCGGAAGTCCATATCGGAAGAAAACATCTTGACCTCGTTGGATTTGATCCCAGTCAACCCACTTTGGGACTGTATTGATCTCAGTCCAGAGCTCCTTGAGTTTGGGGTCATCATCCGCATGATCTCGCAACAGGCCGTAGAGATCCTTCTTGAACGGTCGTTTATCGGTACCGTCATTCGAAAGGAATATATTTAATCGCTCAACACACTCGTCAGCTAATGTATCACAGGTGTAGGCCAGGGGCCTGAGGTCATTGGCAGATGAGTGAAGGTCAGTCCAGTGGAAGGAGTATCCCCAGTAGTGAAACTCTGTGCTATTTCCGCTCTTAGGGCTTCTCAAGGCCATGGTGGTCTTTATTGTAAATATTGCTCGTTGTTGTAAATGTGGTTTCAACAAAGATGAGGTGAAGTCAAACTAAACTGAAGTGTATACTTGACTCTATTTGAGGTAGAAATAAATTCATATTTATCTTATTTCTCATCGTTGACTAAACCGTGGACCACGGTCCGAGAGAGGGGCGTCGCTCCATTCGCATGTGAAGTCTTTCAGCCACTAAGATCATTGACCCCGGATTTTGTTAAATGTTATATATTACGTATGTATATACCTACAGTTGATCAAATCGTGATTGGGCAGATTCAATGTTCACATGTTCAGTACGATTTTCTGGTGAGATGCGATTCGACCACAGCCTTGGATGTGCAAAGGCTTACTGCTTTTGGCTACAGTCACCTCGCTTAGAGAAATCATGGGCTTTACAATATGTTGAGCATAGACTCATGTTGAGAGTGCCTTGCTAGTCTTTGTTTGAACTCTAAGCTGTTGCAACGTCGTACCTAGGTAGATTTGGACGCATAGCTTTGTCGTGCTCTTTGTTTGATATTTGAACAAACGGCTTTACTGGTCTCAAAGCTCTTTCGAACACATTGCAAACAACAGCCTTGCGAAAATAAATATCGTTAAACGGTGCTGGATATAAATTTCGACTGACCAGCATGGTATTAGTACTAACAAACCTCCAGTTTCTCACATTATCAAAAGTGCAAGGTGATTATGGATCCAAAACCAACAATCAAATTCAAGCTGAACGGGGTATCTACATCCAATGCCGACATTGACAAGATGGAACTCGAAGCTTGCTATCATGCTTTGAACAACCTGCGGAGTTTATTGTTTCACCAGCCAATGTTAGATCTCTTGAGTAACCAGATCGACGAGGGAAATCAATATTTCGAATCCTTGATCAAACATTCAAAAGGTGGACGCCGAGAATGCAGAACATATATGAAAGTCACCGGTGTCTCGGCAACAGATCTTAAGATAATCAGCAGCAGGTGGCTGCGTTCCAAGCCCATCGAGGACATGGCGCTTAGGTATGTGTTCTCAACCCACCCCGAGCACTATGCAGTCATGCATGGACCAGGCGCACTGCCGCGAAATGCGCCAGACTGCGGCGTGGAGGTGATCGGGGAGCACATGGCCAAGATTCGATATGTTGATCTACAGGACGGCGGAGAAGATGTGCCCGGATGGATAATGAAACAGCGGGACTACGATTACGAAATGGTCGAGATGTTGGCCGCCAAGCTCACTAGCGGAAGTGGATTCTTCTTTGTCATGAATGAATTCATGGATACCGAGGGTGGCTGCAAGATTAAGCTACGGGTGTTTTTCCCGTCTGCGGCACCTTGGTCGATTGTTAATCAACATGCGCAGCATCTTGCAATCGAGTTCCGGAATCTTCTCAAGATGGTTCATCAGACTATTGAGGATCTGGAAGATAGTTTTTGATTAGTTGAGAGTAATGGGCCTTTTCGTCCGAGCCCCGGCTTGGACGAGACATCTTCGTCGCTTAGTCTCAGTTTCACCCTAGATGATTTTCTACGATGCATGTATTGAATTATTGTTTATCAGCGGCCCATTTTAGGATTATTGTGGAGTAGATCGTAGATAAGGTGGACAACCAGTGTAGTACAGAAGTATCCAGTGAAGTTGAGCCCCTTTGATGATGGTTCTCCAATATGTACTCCGTACAGAGAAAGACTAGATGGGAATCAGGCGTTTGAACAAATCATCGATACTGATAGTGTGATAGTTCATGTAGGACGAGCCAAGCGGATCGGCTTACATGGTCGTGATTCGTTCCGCGGGGAAGAGAGAGGATTGGACGAGTAGATCAGGGGAACTCCACGACCAGGGGGCTTTGTTGGCCTTGGATCTAGATTATTTCAACACCTGTAATTTCGAATTTCAAAGCGAATGCTAGGCTTGGGGCGTCCTCAATTGAAAGCGCGGCCGTCCTTGTTGGAACTAATCACGAAGCATACGTTGACACAACCATCACCGCCCGCCGAGCTGCCACCGCTTCCAGACTCGCCCTCCTCAACTACCTCCACCCACTCTGTGTCTCCCCCTTCCACGCAGGCTTCTTCAATTATGACTTCAGACAATCCTGAAACCCATGGCAAGGTCTTCTCGGTCTCCGGCCCCGTCGTCGTGGCCGAGAACATGATCGGTTGTGCCATGTACGAGTTGGTAGGTGACAGCTCCGAGATCGATGAGAACAGTATGCTGATAGCGATAGTGCCGGGTTGGTCACGACCTGCTTGTCGGCGAGGTCATTCGTATCGAAGCCGATAAAGCCACGATTCAGGTTTACGAAGAGACAGGTAAAGCTCCGCATTGCCCCCAATCCATGATTCCATCACACCTCCGAGGAGCTATGCTGACGCATGTTATCTGCACCAAACAGATGGTTTGACCGTCGGCGACCCCGTTACAAGGACAGGAAAGCCTCTCTCCGTCGAGTTGGGCCCCGGTCTGATGGAAACAATTTACGATGGTATCCAGCGACCCCTCAAGGCCATCTCCGACCAGTCCAAGGGTATCTACATTCCCCGTGGTATTACCGTGAATGCATTGGACCGCGAGCGCAAGTGGGACTACAAGCCTACTAACTTCAAGGTCGGCGACCACATTACTGGTGGTGATATTTGGGGTAGCGTGTTCGAGAACAGTTTGGTGAACGACCACAAGATCCTGCTGCCTCCTCGGGCACGGGGTACCATTACCCGTATTGCGCCTGCCGGTAGCCACACCGTCGATGAGAAGCTTCTGGAGATTGAGTTTGAAGGCAAGAAGACAGAGTACGGCATGATGCAGACCTGGCCCGTTCGTGTCCCCCGCCCAGTCAACGACAGACTGTCCGCCGATGCGCCCTTCATCGTCGGCCAGAGAGTGCTGGATGCTCTCTTCCCCAGTGTCCAGGGAGGTACTGTCTGTATTCCTGGTGCTTTCGGATGTGGAAAGACTGTCATTTCCCAGAGTGTGTCCAAGTTCTCGAACAGTGATATCATCGTCTACGTCGGTTGCGGTGAGCGCGGTAACGAGATGGCTGAAGTCTTGATGGATTTCCCCGAGGTAAGTGACTTGCCCTTGCCTCTAATCGCACTCTCATAACTAACTGTCCTCTTCTTACAGCTTTCTATTGACGTCGATGGCCGCAAGGAGCCCATCATGAAGCGTACCTGTCTGATCGCCAACACCTCCAACATGCCCGTCGCTGCTCGTGAGGCTTCCATTTACACCGGTATCACCATCGCCGAATACTTCCGTGACCAGGGAAAGAACGTGGCTATGATGGCAGACTCTAGTTCCCGCTGGGCTGAGGCTCTTCGTGAGATTTCGGGTCGTCTGGGTGAAATGCCTGCTGACCAGGGTTTCCCTGCGTACCTGGGAGCCAAGCTGGCTTCCTTCTACGAACGTGCTGGCAAGAGCAGCGCTCTCGGTAGCCCCGAGCGTGTGGGCAGTGTCAGCATCGTCGGTGCTGTCAGCCCGCCCGGTGGTGATTTCTCCGATCCCGTCACTAGCAGTACCCTGGGTATTGTCCAGGTCTTCTGGGGTCTGGACAAGAAGCTGGCGCAGCGCAAGCATTTCCCTTCAGTCAACACCTCCATCTCCTACAGCAAGTACAACGCGGTCTTGGATAAGTACTACGAAAAGGATCACCCCGAATTCCCTCGTCTCCGTGATCAAATTCGTGAACTGCTGGCCAAGTCCGAGGACCTGGACCAGGTTGTCCAGTTGGTCGGAAAGTCCGCCCTTGGTGACTCGGATAAGATTACGCTGGACGTGGCCAGTTTGGTCAAGGATGACTTCCTGCAGCAGAATGGATACAGTGATTACGATCAGTTCTGCCCTTTGTGGAAGACCGAGTATATGATGAAGGCCTTCATGGGCTACCACAACGAGGCCCAGAAAGCCATTGCTCAGGGCCAGAACTGGAACAAGGTCCGTGATGCCACCGCAGACCTTCAAAGTGCTCTGCGGAGCATGAAGTTCGAGGTGCCCGATAATGAGGCGGAGATCTCAGCCAAGTACGAGAAGATCCTCCAGTCCATGACGGAGCGGTTTGCTTCTGTCTCCGATGAGTGAAAGTGACATCTTAGCTTAGCATGTATTTTCTTTTAGATTTTTGTCAAGCACATTCCCCTGTAGTTATTGTGTCAAACTCGTGTTTTGGATTCTGTTCTCTCTTCTATATGTAGCTACTAGTCATCCACTATGTAAATGTGGCCTGTACGCGTCAGGCAGCACAGGATGATTGCACATGACCAAGTAAAAGAAACCTTGAGACAATATGAAATACTTTGTAGGGAATAGGCATCTCAATAACCTCAATATCTAATTAGCTACCATTCACCGCGTATACACTCCCCTATTAGGTGAAACGCTGATTGCAGCCTAATAAAGAGAGAGACCGCTCTGGACGCCACTACATCACCGCCTTCGAGTCCACCAAACAATCACTTGTATTCACCTCTCCAAGTTATTCAACGTCCCTTTCTTTCTTCTTTTCTTCTTTTCTTCTTTTGATTAGTCCTTGCTTTGCAGCAATTTTTATATCCCTAAAATCGCCTGTCATGGCAAGCCCCACGACCGGCTACTCGTGCGAACCCCCCCTGTCCCTCTCCGATGCGGTCTAGCTAATCTCCGTCTGCAGCATAAATGTTAATGACCCCAGCTTGATTTCTCTTGTCAACAAGCTTCAAGATGTCTTCTCTACAGTCGGAGTGAGTATATACACTTGGAAAATCATATCTCAATTGTCGTTCGAGGAGAACCTTAGCGCGCTAACACCGCTTGCTCCAGGTGCACAACCCGATCGATTTGCCCCAAATCGCCGTTGTCGGATCGCAGTCCAGTGGAAAGAGTTCAGTGCTAGAGAACATTGTTGGTCGGGATTTGTATGTGGTCAACTTTCCGAGGGCTTGCGCGGCCCCCTGTACGCACCTCCGGTGGCGGGGCATAATGTCAACAATAATTGCTAAATACTATCTCTTTGTGCAGCTTGCCTCGTGGCTCTGGAATTGTCACCAGAAGACCTCTTATCCTGCAGCTCATCAACAAGACCCCGACCACGAACGGCGAAGTCAAGTTGGAAACAACAGATGCCGAATCCAACGTCGATGAGTATGGTGAATTTCTTCACTTGCCAGGCGAGAAGTTCTATGATTTCAACAAGATTCGCGATGAGATTGTGCGTGAAACGGAGACCAAGGTCGGAAAGAATGCCGGAATCTCGCCCTCCCCGATCAACCTACGCATCTACTCCCCCAACGTCCTCACCCTGACCCTCGTCGATTTGCCCGGTTTGACCAAGGTGCCCGTCGGAGACCAACCGAAGGATATCGAGAAGCAGATCCGTGACATGGTTCTCAAGTACATTAGTAAGCCCAACGCAATCATTTTGGCCGTCACTTCGGCCAACCAGGATCTTGCGAACTCCGATGGTCTCAAGTTGGCACGTGAGGTCGACCCCGAAGGCCAGCGCACTATCGGTGTGTTGAGTAAGGTCGATTTGATGGATGATGGAACCGATGTGGTGGATATTCTCGCTGGACGAATTATTCCCTTGCGCCTGGGTTACGTCCCCGTGGTCAACCGTGGTCAGCGTGATATTGAGAACAAGAAGCCCATTGCGTACGCCCTGGAGAACGAGAAGAACTTCTTCGAGAACCACAAAGCCTACCGTAATAAGGCTTCCTACTGCGGTACGCCATATCTGGCACGGAAGTTGAACTTGGTATGGTCTTACCCTAATTTTGTCCCAGATTTCTCGAGCTTACCAGTCTTGTATTGTAGATTCTCATGATGCACATCAAGCAAACCCTCCCCGATATCAAGGCCCGCATTTCTGCCTCCCTTCAGAAGTACACCTCCGAGCTTTCTCAGCTGGGTGACTCCATGCTCGGTAACAGTGCCAACATCATTCTGAACATCATCACGGAATTCAGCAATGAATACCGCACAGTCTTGGAAGGAAACAACCAGGAGTTGTCCAGCATCGAACTTTCGGGTGGTGCTCGTATCTCCTTTGTCTTCCACGAACTCTACTCCAATGGTATTAAGGCCGTCGATCCCTTCGATATCGTCAAGGACATTGACATCCGCACCATTCTTTACAACTCGTCCGGTTCTTCACCAGCCCTGTTCGTCGGCACAACCGCCTTCGAGCTGATCGTCAAGCAACAGATCAAGCGTCTCGAAGAACCTAGCTTAAAGTGTATCTCTTTGGTCTATGACGAGCTGGTCCGCATCCTGAGCCAGCTCCTGACCAAGCAGCTGTTCCGCCGCTACCCCATGCTGAAAGAGAAGTTCCACGCTGTGGTCATCGCCTTCTTCAAGAAGTGCATGGAACCTACCAACAAGCTGGTCAGGGACTTGATCAACATGGAAGCCACCTACGTGAACACTGGCCACCCCGACTTCTTGAACGGCCACCGAGCCATGACCCTCGTCAACGAGCGTCAACAGGCCGCTAAGCCAACACAGGTTGACCCCAAGACCGGCAAGCCCATTCCCGGCCGTGCCCAGAGCCCTTCCCTCGACACCACCGGCGAGGCCACCAACAACAGCGGCTTCTTCGGCAGCTTCTGGGCGTCCAAGAACAAGAAGAAGATGGCTCTCATGGAGGCACCTCCCACAACCCTCAAGGCATCCGCAAGCTTGTCCGAGCGCGAAGCCACCGAGGTCGAGGTCATCAGTAAGTGCAGACATCGCAACCCTTAGAGAACAAATAACTAACAGCCGTCCAGAGCTTCTGATCACCTCCTACTTCAACATTGTCAAGCGCACAATGATCGACATGGTCCCCAAGGCCGTCATGTACACCCTTGTCCAGTATGTAGCAACCCACACGCCTTTCATAACCTAAAGCCCGGATAAACTAACAATCTTTCCAGATTCACCAAAGACGAAATGCAGCGCGAACTTTTGGAGAACATGTACCGCACCAACGAGCTAGACGAACTCCTCAAGGAAAGCGACTACACGACCCGCCGACGAAAGGAATGCCAGCAGATGGTGGAGAGTCTCGGACGCGCCAGCGAGATCGTCAGCCAAGTCCAGTGAAGCTACTCTCCAGACCTATCCTTTGTATGATTGCGCGTTGGCGAAGTTGGACCATCTGTTTGTGACTATGCACATCTCGACTATACTGCTTTGCTCGTATCATGCCTTGATTAGTTTGTAGATCCTGACTTGGGTATTGTCAGCTTTGCGTTCCTGATCAGGGTTTCTGGTAGGGGGAGTTCTTTTGAATGCTACGTTTTTCTTTTGTTTTTCCAATTTGAGAGCTCTATACCGTTTTCTTTTCGAGTTGGTTGGTCTGTTGTCTGTGTGGACTTGACATGAACGCTCAGATGATGATGTATCAATTAATGATTCCGTCTGCTTTATGACTTAGCTTAGAATTCAGACTTTGACTTTTCATAATTCCAAGTTGTTTCCTCGGTGTCTACTATGTAGTTCTGGTGCTTGTTAGTATTCCTATGGGTTTGAAGACGATGCTTGAGCTCATTGTTTTTTGGTCCTGATTTGTAAAATTGTCTACAATGTATCCGACAGCAAATAGGCATGGCGCCCAGGAGTCAAAGGCATTTTTGGGAGAGAATCGATACATTATCATGCCTTATTTTCGAGGAGCTAAGATTGAGATTCACAAAGGCAAGTACTTCGCCAGCGAGATTTCTCATGGACTCGATCGGGCGTATATAGCTAAAATATAGGTCTCACATTTGAACATGGGAGAAGATAGAGATATAAAAAGATGTGTAATCATTGAACATCAACTAATGTCTAGAACGTCGCCAGACCCCCAAGATGGAATGCAGAAATGATGATGAATTGGAATTTTGATATTGTACTCCGCGGTTGCTTGCAAACTGCGAGAGTAGGGCTTTCTAGATACATGAAGCTGGAACCCACATCCAGCTGAAACAAAAGAAATCGAAGCCACGCTTCGTCAAACGGTAATAGAGAAGTGATCAAACTTGCTCCGGATGTAGATGATCTTCACGTATGCGAATAGTGAGAGCTGAGATTTGAAGACTCAGTAGAGCTGAAGCAAGTCGCTTGCAAGTGTCGAGCACACAAGGTACCTGAAAGTTTTCCGAAGCTTCTCCAATACATTCCCCTTTGTACAAAAGGAACTTCCTCTTCAGAGAGTCTCCCTCCTGTTATTCACGCAAATGCGGTGCTCATTGTAAGATGGCATAGCCGTTGTGTAAAGTTGATCCATCGTGAATTAAAGCAAGTTATTGTTTTTTATCAAGTCAAGCTGACTTCCTTTCATTCAATGATTCCATGACCGTCCATACAACCAGTCTCCAAGTGTGTGTGTGTGGTGTTGTTGCAATGTGAGCGTTTGTTGCAATGGCGTTGGAACATGTCGCCGAGGACTTTTGGGGGGGCTCTCTTGCAAGTGCAGTGGGTTTGTGTGATTACCCAGTGGTGGAGAGTATTGTGGAGTGAAGCGCGGCTTGGGTTCGACGTTTTTTGGTCTGTACCTTGAGCTGGAAATTGTCAATTTGCTTTCTTTGGGTTGAGGGATTCTGCTCAAGGCTTACCAAATTCATACGTGTGAAAATGACAGAAGCATTTGCAGTTGTCACATTGGTGAAGCCTCAGATTTGTCAATGAGAGCTGGTCATCAGTAGCTTAGCAGAAGTGCTCAGTAATATGTGCCCGTTGTCCAGTGCGCCAGTCCGGTTCAGTGCAACATGCTCAGCAGTCAGGTGTGGATGTTTTTCAGTGCCATGTTGATGAGAGTAATCAAGTTTTACTGACCAGAAGTTTGTTGATCAGTGAAGAAATAAGGTGGTCTTCGGTGATGGGTTCTTCGGTGGTGGGAGTTGATGTGACCCAAAGTGGAGGTGATAACCCTAAGAGGTTGGTTGCTGGGTGACTGGCTGAGGTGGGCTGGTTGAGATGAACTGCTGGCATGCTCCCGGCAAGTCTCTTGGCACCAACCGAGGAAGTGAGCAAGTCAACCTTCGCTGCCTGAATCTCCTGATTCCCTCAACCCATTCACTAAGAGGAGCGTCCCCTTCGCATGATTCTCATCGACACATCCTCTATTGGTGCCGTAGAATCAAGTCTGAAGGAGGTCCCTCTCAGTTCATCTGAGAAAAGGTAATACAGGAAACCCCCATCAGTGGCAGGACCGATGCACCTCCGACACCTCCGTCATCTGACTATTGCCAATCATTTCAGCCATTTAGACGCCTATCTGGCACGTATGTAGGCATCCATCTAGGCATCCACCCCGTATAGATCAGTAAGATTATGCGCTAACCCACATATAGTATAGCGCGTATGCATTCTTTGTGTCGTACATGACTCCAACTCCAGGGCCCCAGTTAGTGCTTATTTGGTAGAACTTTTCTCCACTGGTAATTCTACCTAGGCAAATAAGATACATATGTATATACCATGTTACCTAGGTATTTAGATTGCACTTGTCCATATACAGCGTAGGTGTGCATCACTTGGTCCACAACATTTGGGCACGAAATATATATAACCCGTCCAGGTCTAAAACACTGTGGCTGAATACCCCCACAACGCTCCCAAAAACAGAGAGGCATTGGAAAAGCAGAATAAAGGAATTCAGATCAACTCACATTCTGCATTGGGTAGATGATGATGGGTGCGAAATAATGTGCTAGGGACAAGACTTTGGCTATAAGGGAGATTCCTTGAGGAATTGAATGGCTGAAACTATGCGTGACTCCTAAGATCGAGTGTACTGTCTATCTTTGTACCTACGGCGCCACCCACAAGGGTACCTCATAAAAAGGCGGTGAAAAAAGAGCCTACAGCGGGGCTATTTGAATAGATCACGAAGGCTACATATGTTGGGATAGTGACGCTGCATGACCACCATTCATCTGAATGACAAACCAAGGATCAGTATTTCGCGATATACATCTGTATCTAAATTGCGCCATGGAGCCAGATTGCAAAGAGAGTTGTATATTTTAAATTGAATACTTCACGATCACGAAGCTCCACCGAGATACATATCCCTATTACCTCCCGGTATGCCGGTAAATGTAATGCCAATCCTCCTTTTTCAGATCCTGACGAACCTTATAGTTCCTCTCAGCAGCCTCAATGACCCCCATGTCCAAATCAGCAACAATAAATCCCTCCTCGGTTCCCATCTTCGCGATGGGTCCCGCAACAGGAAGTGCGATCTGCGACAAACCGAGGAAATCCTCAGACGGGCCGGCAGCATTAGCGAAGACAACACCACAGGTATTCTCAAAGCAGCGGGATGTAATGGTTGTTTCAAGGAAAAGGGCCTCGCAGTCTGGGTTGTACGCGCGAGCCTCGGGAGAGGCGTCGTGGGGAGTCCCTGATGTGGGTTAGATCGAACGGACACATGCGGATTACGCGACGAGAATACGACTCACAATAGGTAGGGACAATGACGATCTGCGCGCCATCGGCAATCAATTCTCGGAATGCTTCGGGGAATGCTAGATCCCAGCAAATCAACATACCCACGCGACCAATCGGGGTATCGATTGCCACATGGTGCTCAAGAGCCGAGGAAGTGAGATGGGGGCGTTCCGGGTGCCAGATGTTCTTTTTGCGGTAGGAGCCCAGGATGGAGCCGTCGTTTGAAATGAAGTAGGCCACATTGTAGAATATAATTGTGTCGTTTGGGCCGGTGTGCTTTTCGATGATTGTTCCGGGCACAAGGCAAATCTGCAGCTCCTTGGCTAGGGCTTGGTAGTTCGCTAGGTATTTGGCAGATTCGCCAGCTTGAGTAGCCCACAGTGGATCTTCAGGGACCATGCCATTGAGGTGGTATCTGGATTTCCAGAGTTAGCATTCATTATCTGGTATCTAATTTGCTGTCTCTATAGCGAGAGGCCATGATGTCATTGATCTTACTCAGGAAGAACAGCGAGCTCGGCGCCTTTAGCAGCAGCCTGGCGGATATAGTCGCATGCAGTAGCGTGATTGTACGCAATGTCAAGTTCCTAATTAAGACATGAGTCATTTTCAAGTTCCAGTTGGGCAACGCGCAGCATGTATGATCTCAAGATTTGCAGCGAAATCCAAGACTTACCTTAATCTGCCATTGGACAACGGCAATACGAGGAGATGAAGCCATTGTTATAAAATTTTGGAAAGAAAACTACAAATCAAAGAAAAAACAAAGAAAGACGACGTTGGAAAGTTGAATGTCAAGGGTTATCAACTACCCCAAGATGAAGTTGGAGTAATCGGGGACGACGAATCAAATGCAACCCCGCTCCGACATAGCGTCTGTCCGAACAAGGCAAGTTCAACCGCAAGATTCTGTCTGTAATTACATATTTAAAACTAAACATTGCCTACATGTATTGTAGTATTGAAGATAGAGATAATAGCAATAAATGAAAGGTGAACCACTCATAAGCCCAACTCTTCTAAGACGAATGTTGGCTTCTTACTCACGCGATAGACCAAGCGATCGGTCCAGAAGTGCGAGAAAACGGCATGGATGGTAGGCACTGCGCCATAGAGAGTACCCGAGATGGGGAAGCAGAGTCTCTCAAAGAGGTGCTGTGGCCGGTACCAAACACGGTGCGAAAATCCCGTATCAGAGATATTGGCCTCGTGCATATCCTGCACGCGACTGTTAAGACAAATAGCATGCCAGCGCTCATACAGAATGAGAGAGATGTTCATTCCGACGAAAGAGAGCGTGCGCAAGGTGTTGGTGAAACTGAAAGCCCAAGCCAAAGTCGGATGTAGCGACGCAGCAGGTGTCCACAGAGTATAGATCACAGAAAACAACATCAGGATCGTCAAATGACAAGGCATGAAATGGGCTTCCCAGAGAAGATGGAGAAGAGCGAAGTGGCGGGGACGCAGGAACAAGCACCGCTGATGAAAGCGGAGATAGCCAATTGTTCGACGTGCTGTGAACCCCGAATCTAATGCGCCCCACATGTGTCGGAGAGCCTGGCAGTAGCGGGCAACGCAGGTATCCACATTTCGTCGCCATCCTCGACCGTTATCACTGGAGACATTGCACTGACTTGCTGGAATGTAGACGACGCGTGAAACTAGGTGGCCGGCTGTCTCGAAGTAGCACTTCAGTAGCATGTGCAGGTCTTCGCCGATTGCTGTGGGGTCACTATCCCATCCACCTACTTTCTCGGCCAAAGACAACGGGAGAGAATAGACCGAAGTTGGGATGGCAATAACCGTGTATGGGTACATTGTGGAAAGCCCGGCGAAGCTCCAGAGCAGATCTGCGCATCGGACTAGAATTGGACTCTCATTGGAGTTGCGATCGAAAATAATCGGACAGCAGTAGATTGAATGATCTGCTTCGGTGATGTTGTGATAGTGCAGCCGGCGGATCTCCGTGAAGTAATCGCGAGACAGGTGAGTATCCGCTAAGCTGGTGTCAACAAATCACATGAAAAATTAAAAGAACAAACTCACCATCCATCACAGTAACCATGACATTGCAGGATTCAGATCGCAAAGCTAGACGATGAGCCTCCACAATCTTTCGGGCGGCGAATGCCACATTTGAACTCTTTCCTGCGATCTCTCCTTGCACTCCAGAGGGATGAAAGGTCGGTTGTATAGCCAGGAAGTACTTTCCGAATGTAGAGACCAACTGTGTGGCCTTGATAATTGAGTTCTCCTCCTTCTGTTCCATGGCAAGATATATCTATTGAAAGTCAATAACTCATTCCAAACATACATTCTTGCGCACTTTACCTCATACTGTGTCTTGGCTCTTGGGTGGCTTGCCAATACCCTCAGCGTAGTCTCCAGGGTGTGCAAATCTTCACAATAGTTGGGAAGAATGATGGCGTGAACCAACTCTGGAGTTCTGAACTTCCCCTGAGCCACAGTGACTGGCTTAGCAACTGAAATGTCGGAGGATGACCACAACGAGTAATCGGTGTCGACCGAGTCTCTGTGGTCTATCGGGGCAATAGGGACATCGGACGGTCGTCTTTGAATGGCATGACGGGTTTGTTTGATCATATTTGTAAATGACCAGCCAAGGCGAAGGGTGAAAGCAAACATCTGTGTATGGACAAAGATGTTGTAGACCACAAAGACGCTCTGTGCTATGCCGAGGCCTTTCCATGGTCCTTCCCAGGGAGTACCTTCCGACGGAGGGAAGAGGCTTTTCCACAATGCTGACTTCAGGAGATCAGAGAAGGCAAATATCAGCATCGCAGTTAACGCGATAATGCTGAACCCCGGCAGGCAGCGCGACAGCCATACCAGCATTTTGGTTGAGGTTGAAACAGACAGGAAATCTCAAGTACGTTGTCGAAACTTCAGATAAAACAAGAGGCGAGATGCAGAAACATTGCGGAGGAAAAATGAAATGGTGGGAGTCTTACAAAGTCGAATAACCTCGGGGGTTCCAAGATCTACGGCAAGAAGTATACGGTACCTGAGCAATAGCGTTCTTGTGTAGCACAAACCATGTATCACGTTACAACGAGCCAAAGATTAATACACATGATAAAAGCAAGGAGATCAACATTGCTACAGACAAGTGTAGAAGCGAGTATGAGAAACGTGCAGTATAGTTCTGTTGATGCTTCAAAAGCTTGGCATATTGCGGGCGATGAACATTGGCTGTGTCGCGCACCGACCCCACCCTCAGAGCCAATGGCCGTCGGCGCCGGATAGGCGTGGTGAACCCTGAGGTATAGATCGAGTTGTTGACCTTCTAAGCTCCAACTTTGAGTCCTAGTCCCTGCAAATCTTCAAGCCGCTCATCCCATCGCACTGATTGCCAGTCCCACGTATCTCCTACCAAGCCATAACTTATACTCGAGATCGACCGTTAGAGCTAGGGTTCTTTTATAGCCTTTGGCAGCTGAGCACCACAACTCTCGCAATTGTCCTTATAGGTAGGGTTACTGTTGTTGCACTTAGGACGCTTCATGGCTGACTCTTGCGATGGAGGATGAAGCAAAAGAAGAAAGATGGTTCTCTCAGAATTGTCCGGACTGTCACCTTGGTTTTATATGAATTGAATTGATCGAGAAAAGAATACCCCAAATTGATCATGATCCCATTAGTTTGATCGTGCAAGGGTTGCGAGACTTGAAAGAGAATTAGCCACGCTTCCCTACGATCATATTGCTTCCTGATTCAGGGCTCAAGAAGATCAACTTCGACCAAATTTTATAGATATTTAGATTGAGATAATATTCTCCATAGTCAAGCTGAGGTACAAACAAACGTCAGTTGACAAACCAACATCGAGGCGCGAACAAGTTAGATTCAAAATCAGACTAGATCGTTACCCGGTAAGCTTATTTGCGCTTAAGAACCTTAGCACCAACCCGCAACAACATACCGCTGTCTCGTTATTTTTAAAATTGGTGCCACTCGGCTGACGATAGATCAAAGACTAATTCATTTTCTTTGGTCTTGGCGCCGGTCTGATTCCCGATTTCAGCCACAAAAGCAACAGCGGTGTACATCGTATGAGCTCAGTTTTTGAGCTCAATAGAGGTCTGGCATGTGCCAAAGATGTATCAAAGGGGGAATGATCGGGCACCCACACTCGTAAACTTCTTGGCAGCTGACCCTGAAAAGTGGAATACGGAAGTCTAAAGATACTCGAGTCACGCAGTAGTGCCAGTGACTTCCAGAAAAAGGTTATCACTTCAAGAATGTCGGGTTGGCGAAAACGATCCTTAATTTCCAAGAAAGGCGATATAGACAAACCCCCTTGTCCAGTTTCGCGGTAGGGATTCAATAAGAATGCCAACAAGTGATTGAGACATGTCAAAGGACTATTGGAAACTGCATAGAGTATCTCACTTTGCCAAGTATAATTATCTTATGGAGAATGCGCGAAGTTGGCAAGGACCAATCACTGTAGAGGAGATTGTGATATCTCGGCAGCCCTAACAGCACAGGGGGTGACTAGGAACGGCCCACGACTTAGCCGGAATGAAAAGTGGGCCGAGATCTAGAATATCCCCTTTTTTTAGGCAGGAAGATTTATTTCTTGGAAGCTTGACATTTGGTTTGTTTCATTTGGGCATGATACGTAAAGCCAAGCCAGCTACTTAAGCAGTAATTAGGTACATATGTAGGCGCACTTAAAACATCAATGATCTAGCCTCCAGCCACATGATAGTCCTATAGCATACAATACAATTACGTGCCAAGCCCCGACCGATGAGCCGTGAAATTTGCCCCGAAATTCACCCCGAGTAAAGCTTGTCCGAGAATGCGTCGGCATGAAATCCACTTAAGCTGTTTCAAATTTTGAGTATTGCTTATAATGTCCATATGGACTAGTTTTTTAACCCACCCATTGGTCATGGTCAGACGGCTATGATGTATCTTTTTTTTGTTGAAGAAACACATTGTAAGATTGCCAAGCTGAAAGCAGATTGCTTCGCCACAGGCCGAAACAGGATAAAGTGATCGGCAAAAGTCCACGTTTTCTGAGGCATATGACAATACAATACCGAACTTTGTAATTTACTTTATTCCGCATGCGTTATTTTCGTATCACGTTTTTTTTCTTTCGATATTTTCATATTTCTAATTAAAGACTCTCTCTCTGGTTCTAATTTTTTAACCTCTCGATCTTTTTAACATATATCTCTCTTCCATCTCTTCTCATGTCAACAAACATTACACATGGCTCAATGCCACGCGGTTAGCAGCGGTGTGCTCTGACCTGCAGTCGAAATTTCGAAACTTCGAAACTCTCCGCTTAGTAGCGATCGGCAGTACCACATGTATGGTACACGAAATGGGGTCGAGCGTGTGCCAAAGCTAACAATTCTAATAATTCAAGGATTGAAAAATTTCCCTCCTTTCGAGAGCAATTCGTCTCGACTCGTAGGCCAGAGCCAGTGGCCAGGCAACAAAAACGGTCTGGCCGCGTCCGTCTGCTCAACATGTTCTCGGCCTTCCTTCGACGGGTGACGTCCGTGAAGGAAAAGATCCCTTTTTTGAACGAGTTACATCTCAACTTCATCTTCCTCCACTATGCCTATATCATCTCCTGGGCGATCATTGGATCCATCATCGTCTACCCCTGTGGCAACATCAGATACATCGATGCCCTCTTCCAGTCCGCCGGCGCCGCCACCCAGAGCGGACTGAACACTGTCGATTTGAACAGCCTCCGACTTTACCAACAAATAGTCTTATATCTGATTACATGTCTGTGTACTCCGATCTTTATCCATGGCGCGCTGGTTTTTATCCGTCTCTACTGGTTCGAGAAGCGTTTCCAGCATGTGGTGCGAGACGCTCGTGCGATGCGACGAACCCGATCCCGCATGGAAACCGTGACAGAGGACAGAGACAGCGAGGACGCCAATCGCGCGGAGCTTGGAGTGAGCGGACGACGCATCGTGGTGGTACGGGATAATGAGGGGGATGCTCGAGACGGTCGATTGACGGACTCGGGCAGCAAAACAATCGATTCCGGTATCAACACCCCTGCCCGAACAGCGAGCCAGGACTCCAGCTCCGAAGGGACGGATACGGGAGCTGAACCTCGTTTCGGACTTGGTAGCTTGAAGGTGCCAACGCATCTCAATCCCGAACACCACATTGCATTTTTGGAAAAGCAGCGGAAAGACAAAGGCGCACTGCGCATTCCTAGTCCCCGCGAGTATGATCGGGGTGGTGCACCCGAGGCCTTGGAAGAGGATATCGATCCGGAGGATGAGCAGGCTCAGCCCTCAGATGACCGCAAGAACCTGCCTTACCACTCCGAGGCGCAGGATCAACTTGGTCCCCTCGAAGGGCCGCATATCACTATCAACGAACCGGATATCTCTAGAACCCGCCCACGCGGTAATACCTTTCCCCGTTTAGACACCCGACCTACTTTCAAGGAGACCAAAGATGGCAATGAAACCACTACTCTGGCCCCTACCACCACCAAGAACACATTCAGGGGTATTTTCCGGTCTCTGACACAAGAGCGGGACCTTTCTACTCAGCCATATCTCAGTTGGAATGCGACAGTTGCCCGAAACTCCAATTTCGTCGATTTGACTGAGGAACAGCGCGATGAGCTGGGCGGTATTGAATACCGTGCGCTCAAGACCCTGGCCGTTGTTCTTATCACTTACTATGTTGGCTTTCATCTCATCGGTATGCTGAGCATGATCGGCTGGATCATGACGGAAAATAAATGGGGCGACATTGTGCGTGCAGATGGAGTTGGGCGGCCGTGGTGGGGAATTTTTACCGCTGCTTCTGCCTTCAACGACTTGGGTTTCACCCTGACGCCTGACTCGATGTACTCTTTCCAAACAGCCATTTTCCCTTTACTGATGCTCGCCTTCTTGATCATCATTGGTAACACTGCTTTCCCGTGCATGCTACGATTGATGATCTGGGTGCTTTCGAAATTCACACGCCAGGGTTCTGCACTGTGGGAAGAACTTAAGTTCCTCCTGGACCATCCCCGTCGATGCTTCACTCTTCTGTTCCCTCGCAATGCTACTTGGTGGCTATTTGCCATTCTTGTGGCCCTGAACGGCATTGATCTGATCTTCTTTGTCATCCTTGATGTGGGCTCATTATCACCCGGACTTTTATTTACGATTGCAACTGACCACCGTTCTATAGCTCAAAGATTCTGCCGTCACCGCGCTGGCTCCCGGTATCCGAGTCGTGGACGGCTTCTTCCAAGCCGCTGCTACGCGAACCGCCGGTTTTGGAATTATCAGTCTTTCAGAACTCCATCCCGCAATCCAAGTCTCCTATCTGATCATGATGTATATCTCGGTTTTCCCTATCGCAATCTCCATGCGTCGAACCAACGTGTACGAGGAAAAGAGTCTAGGAATCTACGATGCCGCCGATGAAGAACATGACGAGGAAACAAACGCCCCGACCTATATCGGAGCTCATTTGCGCCGTCAGCTGAGTTTCGATTTATGGTATGTGTTCTTGGGTCTTTTCATCATTGCTATCGCAGAAGGATCGAGATTGCAAGACAACGACTCCGCCTTCCAGCTGTTCACGGTTCTGTTCGAAGTCGTCTCAGCGTACGGTACCGTCGGTCTCTCCTTCGGCTACACAGGAGTCAACACCTCCTTCTCAGGACAGTTCAACGTGGTTTCGAAGCTTGTAATCATCGCGATGCAAGTCCGCGGTCGCCACCGTGGCTTGCCATACGCACTGGACCGAGCCGTCCTCCTCCCTTCCGACGCGCTCAACCGACACGAAGCCGAGGAGGGCGAGCGCCGCATGCGCCGTCGTGCATCTAATCTCAGCGGTGCTGCGTCTTTCGGACAATCACGGTCTTTCGGCCCAGCCCAGTCCCGTACACTCTCCCAAGCGAGGAACGATGCCGGTCGGTCTTCGGGGATGGAAACCCGCGACTGGGAGCTCAACCCTGCTCCAAACGCAGACTCTCTCGTGCAACGTTCCACGACCAACCGATCCAATCGGTAAATCTGGACGGACTTTTTGGTTTATTTTTTGTTCATATATATAAAGGCTTGGTGTGGCGTTCTGCATATATGCCCTGGCGGATCAATTGTAATTGCATTTTGAACATATTTGGAAGCTTATTGAACATTCGTTACTAGATGATAAGTGAGGCCCGGAAGCCATGTGCACACGATGTCAAATGTTGTCCCGCGTTCCAAGGACAATTGCGGTTCTTGGTAATATATCTCGCCATGTATCTCGCCATGGACTATCGGTATTCATACTCATTTTGTATCAATGGAACTATGAGGAATGTGAGTACAACCAGTGAGTTCAGTTATTGAGAATCGTGAGTACCATAAAACATTATATAGAGCACCCAAATAGACTTCATCTAGGGTGAAGATGATCCATGGGCCTGCAAGCGGAATGAGATCGGCGCCTTTTCCATTCCAGGTACCGGCAAGTCGGGGGTTATCCATGACGACAGTTGCTTTGAATGTCTTTATTCCTCTTTTACAAATCCCTTAAGAAAATCCTACAATATTAACACCATTATGGACGACCAACATCTACCACGCGAGTTTCTATGTCGATATAGCGGGGCTGCCTCGTGTAACCCCACTTTGGAAGCCAAAACCCCTGTCACAAGCACTAGCCAACCAGATCAGGACGCCACCAAGCGCCCCTGGTATAACCCATGTGGCTGTTCTCTGCGCAACAAAATCATCACTGGTGCAGCAGCCATTGTGATTTTGTTGATCACCATCGTGGTACCTATCGAAGTGATTCAAACTCGTTATCCAAACTACATAGCTTTGAACTACACACTGGTTGATGTATACTCCGGCCCATCATTCTTCGATCAATTCACCTATTTTACAGACGAAGACCCAACAAGCGGCTTTGTGGTCTATGTCGACGAAAACACCGCGACAAGTCTTAACCTCACCTATGCAACGGACACCTCCGCGATCCTGCGCGTCGACGCAAAAACAAATAACCCCAAGGCAGGCCGCAACTCCGTGCGCATAGAATCCAAAAACCAATACGACAGAGGCCTGTTCATCTTTGATATCCTGCACACACCCTTCGGCTGCGGCACCTGGCCCGCGCTATGGCTGACAGATGGCTACAACTGGCCTAAAAACGGCGAGATTGACGTCCTAGAAACTACCAACGACGGAAGCCACGGCAATGAGATCACCCTGCACACAACAAAAGGATGCTCAATGGACGTCAAGCGCAAGCTAACCGGCCAAGCAATCTTCCATAACTGCAACTCCAAAGGAAATACCGGCTGCGGCGTGCTGGGCGACGAGTCCACATACGGCGAAGCAATGAATAACAACGGCGGGGGCGTGTACGCTCTCGAACTCCGCGACGCAGGCATTCGGGCCTGGTTCTTCCGTCGTGATTCCATTCCCGCTGATATCGGTGCTTCAAACCCCGATCCGTCTTTGTGGGGGATTGCGTTGGCAGACTTCCCCAGCACCAAGTGCGACATTGGGTCGCACTTTAGGAATCAAAGTATCATTGCTAATATCGACTTTTGTGGTGAGCTTGCTGCACAGAAGCAGTATTATGATACTATGTACCACTGTCCTGGGACTTGTACGGACTTCGTGGCGAAGCATCCTGGGAGCTTTGTTGATGCTTATTGGGAGTTTAAGAGCTTCAAAGTCTATCAGGCTGATTAGAATTTGGGGCTAAATTTCGGTGATGAATTTTATCTTATTTTTTTGTTTGCTATTTCTAGCGATTTGATTATTTGCGCCGTGGCTATCGAACCGATTGGGGAGCAGGGCTTATTCCCATAGCTTATTCCCATGTTGATCTTGATGTTTGTTCGGCGATTTGGGAAATGAGAAGGGCAAGTTAGGCTGGACTTGATCCAAGCAATGGGGCTGCATGGCTCTGTTAGTATCATTATAATCAACAACCAAAATCTGGACCATCTACCTTTTATTCTTGGTGTAGTGTACATATGCGTAGTTGTGATTTGATGGGCGATCCGGGGTAAGGTGGGTCGACTTGGGACTGGACCCGCATAGGACATATCAGGATGTATAAGAGCGAATGAATCATTTGATCCAAGTCTTAAACGAACCTGAACTCCAAGTTAGTAGATCGGATTTGGTTAAATTGTCGCACCGTTATGAAGAACCTTTTACGAGACTTACGCACCTTCGTTGTCTCCATTGAAGTGTCCATCACCCTCGCTCCAATGACCTTGTCCATTGATCTCGGTCTCATACTGTGTTGAGCCGGACAATGATCCAGAGAGAGACACAACTCCTCCACCCCACCAACAAGTGACTGTGTCAGGGCCAGCATAAGCCATGACGCGGTCACAATTCGGCGTTTGTTCTGGGAGATCGTAGTACTTGACCCAGGCGTTGGGACATTCAAAGTGGCCCCTAGTGCTGACGTGGGCGCAGAACAAATGGGTCTGCCCGTCATGCGAAAAGAAGTAGGCAAAAAGCTCGCCGTCGATGCAGCTGAAACTGCCTGGGGCTTCGTGAAACTGGTTTGGAGGAGTCATGTCTGGAGAATCGTAAATAAGATGAGTTCAGAAGGATGTTTGCTGAAGCAGTCTTGGAGACATTTGTTTATCGTTCTGTGGTATATTTGCTGTCATCGTTATCTTTCTCGTTGTGTTGATGAGACTTGGTAATGGTTAGCGTAGCGTATATTGCTATCTTTATTAACTAGTCATCATTTGATCATTAGTCAGGTCGCTTTTTACAACTCTTTTTACATCTATTTTTACATCTCTTATGATCTCTTTTTACGTAGCCATTTATATCTCTTCTAAGAACAAACGCCTTTCAACCTTCCAATTCTCAATCTAAACCTTGCAATTGTTGGTCCTTTTTCCATTGCTTCAAGTCAAACGCACCCTCCCGTAACTCATCATCTTGTCCATCCCACTTGAAACAAGCCCCTTCGATGGTCTTTTCGATGCTATCATCATCATTGAGAATTTCGATGTAGCAAGCTGTAAGCCGGTATTTGTCCGTCTCATAGGCGGCGAGTCGATCAAGTTGCGGGCGCGTCAAAAGTTCGGACACTACGCCATGAACTGAGTGGCCTGGCTTCCCCCCAAGAAGAGCAGGATATTGGCCCCAGAGCTTGATTTCGTGACCCGCGACTCTAGCACGACGCATGACGGGTGGTTTTGACAAATTCAAGACTTGAGAAAGCGTATGTGGATCCATTGAAGTGCCGTAAAAGAAGCAGTGTTCTTCGTAGGGGCCTTGAGGCCAGCCATTCTCAGGAGAACAATCAGATGCTGTTTCATTTTTCATTGACGTATCTTTCGAGCCGGTGTCATTGAGAAATTTGCGGACCATGCGGGATGGGGGGGTCATGGCAAGACATGCGTGTGTCGCTCATCATATATTCAAAGGCTGACCTTTACAGGCCAGAGATTGGGACAAGAAACGCGGGTGATGACGCTGTGATGCTATGTAGGGAGTGAAAAGAGAAGCAGAGAGAACTCCATCACTCTTGTGTTTAAAGCTAAGTCATGCGATGACAGAACCTTGGAACCTTGGAACCTTCCAAAGTTGGAAGCTTGCAAGGTTCATATGGAGATTCCGCGCTTTAAAAACACCCTTATATAGCTTTTATGATTAGTTACGGGATCTTTGCTATATAAATAGTAGAAAAAAACATATTTTGCAACAATGAAATCGAGACATTTCTCCTTCGCTCAACTCTTCTCTTCTAGTCGAGCGAGGATACGAAACAATCTATGGTGTAGGTATGCTGATACTTCTGGTTTTTCACTGAATTATCCTCTGTTTCTCGTATACTGTTAAAAGCTTTGGGATTCTGGATAACCTCCAGGGCTCTCATATCCAGAGACAGACCCTTTGGCTTAAGGTAGCCTGGATGACTTTAGAAGTCGGTGTTGCAATAGCTGAAATAATATGTCACAGAATATCTCCATATACACGGGGTATTGCCAATTGCCATTGTTTGCAGCTGAAGTGAACCCCTTGCATTTATGCCCCAGTGTGGTCTGTCCGCAGCTTCCACAACACCCTCTAACATATTTTCTTTTTTTTAGGCCTTATATATGGTGCCTCGCTTCGATGATCTTTTGATTGTGTCAAATTCTTATCCATGTCTGTAAAAATGGCGTTCGAGGCTCGACCAAAAGAATTAAGAACAATGACCCAACAAAATGTACTGGCAAAACCAACCAAAACTGCCTCGGGAGAAACAAAAAGCCAACAGAGAAAGAGTCTTGCGCCTTCAATACTTTCACGACCTCAAAAGATCGCAACCATCGTCCTGGTATGCGCAATTATGTTTCTTGGACCGGCCTCCGCAGGACTCTATTATCCAACCCTAGGACTGCTAGCGAGGGATTTTGGTGTCTCGTACAGTGAAATCAGCTTGACCATCACTGCATTCATGGTATCATTCTACATCAATCGCTTAGTCTCAGGTTGGCAAGTCTGTTAAACTAATAAATTTGCTGCAGATCTGCCAGGCTATTTTTCCATTGCTGATCGCCGGACTGTCTGACGAGCACGGGCGCCGTCCTGTGTTGATCGTGAGTCTGATTGTGTGCATCGCCATCAACATTGGACTAGCGCGACAAATCACTTTTGCCGGATTTATGGTCCTACGCTGCCTGCAAAGCTGTGGTGCCAGCGGTGTATCTGTTGTCGCAGTGGCCACGGTCAACGACATCATTCGCCCTGTGGAGCGTACAGAATATCGAATCTTCACCTCGGTGGCCTACTCACTTGCCCCTATCACCTGCCCCATTTTTGGCGGTCTATTGGCACAATACTTCGGTTGGCCAGGTATTTTCTATTTTCAAGGTGTCCTCGCTGCCTTGCTCCTTGTGCTTGTTATCTTCTTTCACCACGAAACCTGTCGTGCGCAAGTAGGGGATGGCAGTGTTCCTCCGAAGATATGGAACCGTCCTATAATGAATATTCTACGTCTACTGCCTAGTACCAACCCAAATTTTGAAACCCAGTTCCTACCAAAGCGGCGGTTGACACCGTTTCAAACAATCAAGCTTGCGTTTAGAAGACCAGCGCTTTTACTGATTCTCTTCCAAGCAATCCTTTTCGGAGGTTCCATTGCAATTATTATCACGATCCCTGCCCTCTTCGTGAGAAGGTTTCATTTCAACGTTATTGAGCTTGGCGCCACACATCTCGCCTATGCTTTGGGGGGCTTTACGTCACGGTGGATTTTTGTCCCACTCTCTGACGCCAATATCGAACGGCACAAACGGTTAGCTGGAGTGAACGAGGAGTCGGAACAATCTTCGAACAAGTCATTTGATCGAGCCCGATTGCAAGTGATTATTCCCACTGTCTACCTGGGTTGCGCCTTAGTCGTGGGTTACGGTTGGATAATGCATTATGAAGTTCATGTCTCCGGGCCGATCGTGATCCTGTTTTTCTTGGGAAATGCCCTTATTGGCGGGGCTTCTTTGCTGACAGGGCTGATGCTGCACCTACACCCCCAACAGCCGGCGAGTGCCCTGGCCGCCATGAACTCGTTTCGTTTTCTCTGCGCTGCAGGAACAGCGGCTGCAGCCAACTCAATAATCAAAGCAGTAGGAACAGGTTGGATGGGAACGATTATCGCACTGGGATATTTCGGGGCATCCGGTTTGTTGTGGGTTATGTACGTTTGTGGACATTGATGCCGGCACAGATCGCTAGCGGTAATTAAAAGATAATTTAGGTATGAAAAATTGACACAGCTATTTGTATTGCGTACGTACTCCGCTATCTGGCATGCCATCAAAAGCGATAGAGAAAGTGGCCCTTCATGCAACCAACATTGAGAGACATAATCCCTCATGTTTCCGAGGTCTGTTTTGAAATACATTGCTTATCATAGGGTCTAGTCTTGCTATCACTATGACCCGAATATCTCCGGATACTAGCAGCCCAAAATAATGCTTTGGACTCTCCATCACACAATTTGGGATTGCTTTGTCTTGACTATTGTCTACATGTGTACTCCGCATTTCCCAACTATATATATGTATTGAGGCGGGCACCCGATCACCCGACATTCGTATTGTTTTTCATTTGACTTTTTTTTTACAAGTGTAGTCTTCCCTAACTTGAATCAAAATTATGGTGTATAACTTGGTTATGTAGTGAAGTTTTGGGTTAATAAAGTCATAACAGGCATAATCTGACATTCTAATGCATTATTCATCCCTTGATTACCGACTTCATTTCGCAAACGACCGGTTTTATAACTTTTTTATAACCTTTTGGATCAAATCAACTCGCTATGCATTCATATGACATCCCCAAGCATTCCACAGCAATCTTAGGAGGTCTAATCCTCCTCATATGGTATGCTGCCACTTTGCTCCAACGAAAATGGAGGCAGAACTGCTTCGTCCGAGAAAACCAATGCAAGCCACCAAGTCAACTCCCTAGTAAACTCCTAGGACTAGATATTATTTTGCAAACAATCGCAGCCGCCAAACAGCGACGGGTTCTCGAGCTAGGATTGAGCCGCTTCCAGCATTATGGAAACACATTGAAATTTAGAAATCTCACCAAAACCATGATAACAACACGGGAGCCACAAAATATCAAAACCATTTTATCTCTTCGCTTCAAAGATTATTCTCTCGGAGATCGAATCCAAACCTTTGGACCTTTACTCGGCCATGGAATATTCACTACAGATGGCGAGCACTGGGCGCAATCGCGCTCTATGGTTCGATCGGGGTTTAGCAAGGACCGAATCGCCCACCTTGACATATTTGAAGAGCTCATGGGTGATCTTTTCGAATTGATCCCTACCGATGGCAGCACTGTTGATTTGCAAGACCTATTCTTTTGCTATACCATGGACTCTGCGACCGATTTTCTATTCGGTCACAGTGTTCGCGCACTGAAGAAATACGGACATAACCCCGGCGACGAGACAGGACAAGACTTTGGCAGCGCTTTCAATTATGCCCAGGATTCGATTGCCACCCGTGTTCGAATGGGACCATTGAAATTTCTTCATCGTGATCGCAAGGCGCAAGACGCAAATCGGAGATGCCATGAGCTAGCTGAGGAGTTTGTGGACAAGGCCTTGAGCTATCGGCAAACACTCAACGAGAATGGGTCTGCAGGGGACGATACCTCAGCCGAGAAGTCGAAATCTCTGTTTCTGCATAAATTGGCGCAGCAAACGGGCGATCGGACTCGAATTCGAGATGAACTGATGAACGTGCTATTAGCCGGACGTGATACAACCGCTTCATTGCTTAGCAACATGTTCTTTGTGCTGGCGAAGAAACCTGAGATATGGGCCAAGCTACAAGGAGAGATCGCCGTTTTAGAAGGCCGAGCACCAACCTACGACCAACTGCGCAATCTCACATACCTCAAGTATTGCATGAATGAGTGTAGGTTGTACCTGTCTGGGTTGTTTATCTTCAAATATTGACTTTTTAGCACTCCGTCTCCATCCCGTTGTTCCTGTCAATGCCCGGCTGGCTGTGGTAGATACTGTTCTCCCTGTTGGAGGTGGTAGGGATGGACAATCTCCGGTTTTTGTACCTAAAGGCACGACTGTCAGATATAGCCTGTACTCGATGCACCGTCGCGAAGACTTCTATGGCCCAGATGCCCAAGAATACCGCCCGGAGCGGTGGGAAAAATTGCGCATGGGCTGGGAATATCTTCCATTTAATGGTGGCCCTCGAATCTGCGTGGGTCAGCAATATGCTCTCACTGAGGCTGCCTATGTCACGGTCCGTCTGGCACAAAAGTTTCCAATTTTGGAAAGTAGAGACCCCGGTTCTTGGAAAGAAAACTTGACTTTGACCCTCTGCTCGCATAACGGCTGCCATGTCAGCTTGCAACATGCATAATTGTTGAATATTCTGCCTGTTTGATACATTCTCGCCATTTTGTGAGGTGTTTGGTATCATCAAACACACTTCAAAGTGGTTGTTTGTCACCTCAACTAAAACAACTAGATATTCATCAACTTCTACGGAGAAAGGTCTTTGTTGTAAAGACATGGTATCATACTACGAACACTTCATGGTTGTAACTGTCTTATGAAATTTCAAGTCCGTTGTGAGTTCGTTCTCGTTGTTTTTCAATTTTATATTATCATACCCAAACTATCTCGTCCAAATTCCCGCAAGAATTCCTGCCGATATTTGATTGACCGAAAGAAACCTCCCCTTTGGTACAATGATTCAGACATAGAAAGCCATTTAACGCAGAGGCTTACAGCTCTCGACTTCGGCTTCCATTGGGAATTCCTGTGTGTCTTTGTTCAAGTTGTTGTACACCCTTCCCACTCGACCCTTCAATGGCCCCGGTATCTCCCATGCATGCTCGGGATCACGGAGCCAGAGTCTTATAAGATGACGCCTGTTACAATTAGCACCTCTGGCGATACATTTGAAACGGGGTATAAACTAACTGCTGCTCTGGTGTATCTCTGAATGACTCTCGGGCATGAAGAATGCTGAAGTTATTCACATATTGGATGTCACCTTTTTGAAAGTCAAGACGAAGTTGGTGTTTCTCAGCCAAGAAATGAATGGCATCTAATGCCTCTGCTTGGGCATCAGTAATTGGTGGGATTGTCTTCGGCCTTGGTGCTGCAAGATATCCAGTAAAGTCACGGCGCATGCAATGAATTACGATTCTTTCCGGGGTTGAGTCAGTTGCGGGTTGATGGTGAAGAATCGGCCGCATATTGTAGCCCTCTGGTGTGCTTCCCTGCCTATCATGGCATTAATGTATAAGTCTCTAAGTAGCATAGTGTTCATGGATATACTCACGTATCGTGGGGCCAATCCTCCGCCATTGCCTGAATCAGGTCGGGCCTTGTAGCCGCTAGCTCGTTGTAGACATACCAGCTACTGGCCAGTTGGCTGCACCCTCCCTCGGCGGCTGCGCCAAGACAGAACAGAGATATGATGTCTCCAACGTCAGTATGGAAAACTAGTTGATCGGTTGTGTATGTAGCCACACCAATCTTCTTTTTTTCCGAGGTGGTCATAAGATCTTTGACATGACAGAGTACGATTTGAGATGGCCTCGCAATGATCTGACGACCGCGTTCAGAGGCAACATGAGAAGAAACGCCAGCATAAATAATGATGTTATCTTCCCGGGTGTAATCATCAACAGGAATACCACGGACTACCTTGAATCCATGGCCATTGTGGACTTCATTTGAGATGTCTCGCAACTTATCGTGGAGCTTCGGTAGAGGGAAGGTATCGGGGTCGATGTGACCAAGAGGTTTCTTGAGACCTTAAACGGGGTTTTAGCCGGGAGATTATTGCTGTCAATTTAAAGGCTCACCACGGAAGTAGGCTAAGGCCTTTTTGATCTCCTCAAGATCTTCAGAATCCAAGTGATATGTCCAGTCATATACGTCTGGTAACGTTCGACCATCCCATACCAAATCGGAATCGAGTCTTTTAGGAAACCCTTCAGGCAATTCTGTGCTGAGAATCTCTGTCTTGAGTCGACGCTCGGTTCGGTCCAACCATTTCTGTCGGACTGGCGTATATTCGAGGTCTGCTTGTTGCGATGGTACTGCTATCACAGTCATGTTGAGCTTTTAGAGCAGACGTTGATCTTGCAATTGTAAAATTTGTCCAAAAGATGATGGGGTGATGCCTTGCCTCTTTTACAAAGCTTTCAATATCAAGTTGGCTACTAATTATTCATCATCGGAAACGACGGCAGCTTTCTATACTACAATCTTTGTGCATCATTGTCAAACAAGGTGCATCATTGTCAAATAAGGAAACGATGACCTATGTGACGTGTCGGTCATGCAAGGGAGCTAACTGTATTATCGCTAACTTAATACATGATAATATGGTAATTGTTTTGACATTTTTACTGGCAAAGTGGAGGTTCATTGCATATTCATTCGATCAGCAGCAGTAACATACGTCATTTATTACATGCTGAGTTCCGAAGCTCTCGGAAACTGCTTCTCTTGTATGCGGAAATGACTCAGCTATGGCACCAATATCACATCGGAAATCTTACCACGGGCCGCATGTAAGTGGTTTCTGTTGGCCTCAATGCAATGCAATTAAATCACACTCGGGTCCCACTTGTTCTCTATAGAGCTGGGATTTGCCGGTCACATTCTTTGCCGCGTTTTGCAAAGATATTTGAGCTGTCAAAGTCGAATGTCAATGCCAAAGCTCATGGCCCTCACTGCCTTTCTCCTGTTGAGCATTCTACTGTACATAAATCCCAATTTCATACAGTTTTGCTGCAGCACTTCTTGTTTGTCCAGGCCCCTGGGCTAATATGTGTATGCAAGATTCAGTCTCAAATTAGTGGCTTCATAATCAATTAAAATCATGTTTCTATATATCATTTCTATCAAAGTTTTTTCAAGTTGTATATATTCTCTTAAAGGCGCAGAACGAGCAGTGTGAAGTCGAACTATGTATCGCGAGCTTCCTAGAAGCCATTAAATCAATCTCAACTTATCTTAACCAATCTGAATTTCATTCCACGTAGGGGTCGTGAAGGAGGAATCTCCGTTGGAAAGATAGAGTCAACTGGTTTTACCAGTTCAACGTCGAAAGAATAGACAAAAGCCGCAACCAAGGCTTTCAACTCCATGCGAGCATATTCTTGCCCAACACAGCCTTTAATACCCTGAGAGAAAGAAAGCATACAATAATCCTGAACGGCACCACCGCGTTGATTGAAGGTTCCTGTCTTCTCGTTGATCCACCGTTGTGGCTGGAACTCTTCAGAATCTGCTCCCCATAAATGGGGAGAGCGATTAATCACCCACGGAGCCATTATGACTGGGGTCCCCTTTGGAACTTCAGTTCCCATTATCTTATTGCATTTAGATGAGATCCGTCTGATCATGTGAACAGCCGGGTATAGGCGAAGGGCTTCGTTGCAAATAGCATCCAGAAACGGCACACTCTCCATCAGCTCCGCGAGATCTTTCTCTGCTAAATCTTTGGGGTCATTTGGGCCAATATGGGAGCCTACTTCACTGCGTAATCTTTGCTGGATTTCTGGATGTTTGGCCAGAAGATATATCGTCCATGTGGCAGTAGCCGACACCGTGGCATGTCTAAGCGCAGAGTTATCAATAAAAGGACAACTTTTTTGCCAACAGCCAAGAAGAAACTTACCCGACCAAAAGATACATGAACACTTGAACTGCAAGCTCGGCAGAGGAAAATTTTCCCCATTGGGCGAGACTACCAAGCAAATCTCCTGGTTTACTCTTCTCATCCATATCCTGAATCTCATCTTGCTTCTCGTCCACAAACTTTCTGCACATTTGTCCAAGTCTCTGGACAGCCTTTAAAGGAGTTTGTATGACTTTGAAAGGCAAGCTTGCAACCATCCACCGGGGAAATGTGGCCATCAACGCAAAGAATATTCGCATTCGAGCTCCTGGGGCAGTAAATTTCTCAAACAAACTCGCCATCTCATTTTTTGGATCCTCGAGTATGTTGAAGTCTGCCCCAAGAACCGATATCATAACATTGTCAAGCGCAAATCGAGAGAACCAATAATCCAGATCTGCATCGCTTATCAATGCCTCGGACTCCATCGCACTTGACGGGATGTCTTGTAGTGCGATGAGCTTGGCTACCTTGACGGATTTCTGCCAAAACATCGAGTAAAGACTTTTGACTCTTCTAACTCCAAGGTGCTGTAAACCAAGCCTTCGCTCCTGCTTATGGCTTTCGTCGCCAAAGAACAAGAGTCCATCGGATCCTCCAAGAATGTGCCGGAGGAGCCCACCCCTTTCGTAGTCGAAAGGGCTCTTCACGAGAACCTCCGCTGCGGCATTTCCATTAGTCAGAAGCAGCTCTTCCGACCCCAAAAGTCCTCTCACCCGAATGATGCCATCATTTGCTGTTTCTTTGGCATATTGAAGATAACTATTTGTCGTAGGCTCCCGGAACAAGCGGAAAACACCCGCAAAAGGTAATATTCCAGTCTGAGTGTTGGTTAGCATATAGAAAATTCGACATTAAGACGCAATATGGAGTTGATTCCCATACCTTGGGCTGTGGCAGACAGCGAAATGGGCTCATAAATTGAGGGTATACCACCCGCTGATAAAAGACATACAGGACAACAAAAACGGCTATGATATTGTAAGATGAGGCCTCGACACTCATCAATTCCAGCACCATCGTAGCTTAACTCGCACGGCGAATTGTATTTGACTCGGGCGCCTGTGAGGCGTATGGTCATCAGTCAAATATGATAGAACAGCGCTTGACTAGACAAAAGCTAGGTGACTGCGAGATGCAAAGTAAAAGGATTTCACACCGCTTTTTCGATCATAGAGTCCTACAATACTCCGTAGATAGTCAACGTACACCAATGTCATGAAAATGATGCACAATGTAGTATTAAGTTGACATGTCCTTACATGTTCTGTTGATCCGTCTCAATAGAAGATCTGCATGGTTTGTTCAGCCAGCCACAGAACATACGGACAGACTATTGAAATTTTTATCTTGATATTACTTGAGTGATACATATCTAATACATGATACATGGATACATACTTTCGGTCTCACAGTGTCGAGTGAGCTATGGATAGCAAAAGCACACCGCTATACGCTATACATGTTGATCAAGGGGTGATAGGTTTGCGGAAGGGTCAGATCAGCTTAATCTGCAGCAGTATTAGGTTTAATAAATTATCAAATCTCGTGTCTTTGAAATGTTGTGAGGAAAAAGATGCAAAGAACATCTGAAGGAAATCTAAAGGACAAGTCGCCAGGGTGCTCTGCAGATCGCCCCTTGCTAAGCACAGGGTTATCGTCAGGAATGAACAACTTAAATTCAGTCACATCGAGGACCTCTGGGTAGCTACTTAGGTATGGAGTATATATGTAATTAAATGAAAACAAAAATGAGGGCTTGAAGCTGATATAGGTTAAACTAGTATTACTATTGATGGAAATTTGACCCATGAGGTTGTGACTTTTACCCTTCAAAAATTGGAAACCTTTACAATTGAGCCGTAAGTTCAAAATTTTTGATGCAATTTTCAATCTAAATACATGATCTCACTTTGCTCCTGCTGGCCTCTCAATGCCAAGGCAATGGTTGACCTTGGTAGACGACCCAAAGCATCATGAACAGCGACGCAAACGCAGAAATTTCAATGATCCTCCATATGTACTGGGTCAGATGATAAAGTTTCTTTGCCATAAACCCTTGATTGAACATGTTCGAGTTGTTCACATTTATCATTGCCATCTCAGGGACTGGAACTTCGAGAAACTTGCAAAGAGGTTCCCATCCTTCTTTGGCGTGATAAAGAAGCAGCTTTTCTGGTGGAACCATGGCCTGGATTTTCTTGTAGTGGTCCTCAAATGCCTTCTTTCCGTTCTTTTCGAAGTCATCGCCCCAGAGCACATATCGGGACTTGAGGAACACTGGTCGAACCCACCGCCATGGCATGAAAAGAAGGTGATCTAGGAGAATCATCGGGTACAACAAAGGATCTCTGACCTGTTTCATGACTGACTTTCTCACAGACCTATAAAATTTGTCACTGATAGATCTTTAGAGATAACCCAATCTACTTACTCTTGCCATTCGTCCACGTCTCTTACGGTTAAAATGACTTTAGCATTCGGGTACGCTGCGATAAGCTCTTCTGCAAAGCAAATTGCTGGGATATCAGAGACAGCCTGTATATTGTCAGTAGTCGTAAAAATGACCTCGAATTATTTGAAGAAGTGATTCTTTTGGATCACTACTTGCTGTGCTTACCTGGCAATGGCCTAGTAGTTGATCAAATTCCTTTCGGCCAAACTCTTTCCCTTTCCCTTCGTATTTTGCCTGCAATGCTTTCCACCATAGCTCGCAGTCTCGAGGATTGAAAGTCAATGCATCTCGCCCATGGTAAGCATTGTTAAACCCGAGCACTTTCAACGCACATGTCAAGGCTATAAACGGCATCTTGGTCAGCTTAACCATGATACAAAACTAGAATATGGCTGTTAGCACTTACAGACGGTGCCTGTACGTGGGAATCCAAGCATGATAACTTTCATGGGCACCTCTCTAGTGCAGTATCGACGGTCAATATCGGTCGCGTTCTTGTTTCGGAGAAAGGCATTGATGAAGAACCCCATCCTGGCGATAGGTGATGGACAACACAACCAAACAAAAAGATAGAAGTGTTCTCGGCGAGAAGCTAGATGTTTCTCTCAATCTCGATGCACGGAATTTATATGTTCAACTCAGATAAGATGAACCAGCATATCGCTTTAATAAACACGTCACATGATTCCTCTTGCATTCCACTTGGTTGATCTTCGAACTTGCACTCAAAATTGACACGACATAGCTTCCAGTTTGTTTTGGCCTTTTAGCGCCTGATACCGATAGAAAAGGGTGGCGGTGACTGGGCTCAATACGTATCAAGTACAGCTTGGTACTAGCGTCTGTATTTGCATGTAGTCGATCTTCCATTCCATCAGAGTATCTCTGCCTTTGGTTTTGTTTGCCTATTCTTGGTAGATACATGGGGTCTCTTGGCAGCATCACGCAAGGGGTCTCGTATCCTCCGGGTACTAAGACAAAAGCCCACTAGGTACTGATTTACTACGATACATGTTTAGATTTAGAGCCCCTATGCACGATCAAGCCATAGTGTGGCTGTTTTTACCTATCACATCTACTATGCACGGTGCTGTGTTGTAATATGGTAGCAGAGAAAAGAATATTCAAAATTGCGAAGGGTTACCATGCTGGACTTTTTTTATAGGTCCATCTTAGGGTTTCTTCAGGCGATTCAATCAAGGAGAGAGGACATGCAGAACCTTTTCTAAACAGGCAGCCATTCCATAATAGTATTTATAAATTTGGTGGCTGTCTGATTGGTACAAGTCGCGGTGTGAAAATGCTATCGCGTTTACGGAATAGTTCGGTATTGTTTTCTTTTTTACCGAGAGGCGAGCTAAAAAGCAATTATATAACAAAAAAAGGCCAATATGCAGTGTAAATTCGATCCATCCTGCAGCTTTGTATTGCAGATCTCGGCATGCCAGAAACCCGTAACGAATCTGATACTAGAGCAGGACTCGTCGTAGAGATATCTAATCACATGCAGTGCATACTATTGATCCGTAGGCCATATAGGAATATATACATGACTACAGAGGACCTATCAACGAGTTGATACAAAGTTGCCGCAACATTGAAAGAAGCTGAAGCAACGCTACAGAGTACTGCGTGCAACTTCTCTTCACTCTTCTATCTGTTTTTCATAGCCATGCCTTCACAGGTTCTACGGTTTCCGGATGGAAACATGGTGATGACGGATATTGACCGTCGTTACTGTTCGCGCGAGGTACCAATGAAGGTATTGGCTCTGGGCCTTTGTCGCACTGGTACGATGTGTATGAAAATTGCCCCCATTTCTCTCCTCAAATCGCAACATTCTGATGATTCTTGTTGCAAATAACTAGCGTTGACAAAGGCACTGAAAAATCTGGGGTACTCTCACACCTATCACGCAAATGATGCCATATTTTCCAACGCTCGAGACTGCGAGCTATGGATGCAAGCTTTGCGTGCTAAATTCGATGGCAAAGGGAAGCCTTGGGGTCGCAAAGAGTTTGATCAACTCCTTGGTCATTGTCAAGTAAGATATCCCATTATTCTTCTACCGTATAGTCAATTGATTTATATGGCAACTAGGCTGTTACCGACATTCCTGCCATTTGCTTTGCAGATGAACTCATTCAAGCTTACCCGGAAGCGAAAGTCATCATCACTACTCGCGATGTGGACGCGTGGCAGAAGTGAGTTTCTAATTTGCGAAAGAGGCAGTACGGAAGAAGTTCCAGAGCCAGGCTAAGCTGTGACAGGTCCGCCAGTAGTACTATTAATGCTTTGGTTTCATCGCCATTTTTCCCATTATTCAATCTGATAGATGGCATTCTCCGAACCCGTGTGCGCATGGTAAGGCCAACATTTGCCAAGGCATGGAATGAGCTATTCGAGGGCAGCTTCGAAGCAAATGGCAGACGAATTTTCTTCGAACACCAAAAGAAGATTGCATCCCTCGTACCTCCAGAAAATCTTTTGATCTACCAACTCAAAGATGGATGGGAACCTTTGTGCAAATTCCTCGATCAACCCATTCCTCTCAGTCCAATGCCTCACGAGAACGAGATGAAGATCATGCAACAAAAATTCCAAAAAGCGCTTTTGTACAATGTACGGGAGTACTGGATCCAGATATTTTACCTCCTCTCCTCGGGCTCATTCTTCTTTCTGATGCTATCATTGATTTGTGGAGATGATATTATTGGTCCACACCTACAAAGTCTGTTCGGGTCTTTGGTGGATCAATGGAAGCTTGTTGTTTCTGCTATGTTCAGCCCCTGAAGATTGGAGGGCCTTATTGTTGAACCCTAGGCAAGCGAATTCGAAAATGAATCTCGAGTAATCTTCCTACTTCCCACATTATAGCCTTAACTTAGTGTAAGTTATTATTCTCTAATAATAGGACTACACATCAGGGCATCATTCCAAGTTATTTCACAATGCAGAAAATACTTGGTCTGAAGCAAGATTTGCATTATCATACAGCTAGGGTACCGCTAAAAGATTTGGTCAAAGATGGTCTTTTGGACTCAATGCAACCTCAGCGTTATACACCGCAAATAAAACATATTCCGGACCATAGGCAGCTCAGACCCATGCTCTGTTACTGCCTATCTATGTACTTTGCCCCTGATGGTTCGGTAATATGCGGTAATGGTAATGTAGACTCAGATCCTGTATTGAGAGTAGACCATATGCAGGGGATAGATCTACAAGATCTGCAAGCCCTATTGATACTCGGTCATACGAACGATCATTCTTCACTCCGTACCAACGCGGAAATATACCATATGAAAAGCTGGCTGTTTTCCAGTGGTTCATGTTTGCAGACCCATTGAAATCATGATTCAACCTAAGAACTGTGTTTTGGTGACTGGGGTCACCGGATTTCTTGGGAAGGTCGTGCTGGAGCATCTTGCCCGACAGCATAATGAGTTGAATTGCGGCAAATTGATCGTTTTGATACGAGGGAAGAATGGTGCTGATGGTGAGCAAAGGTTCAGGGAATGCGTTGTCCCCTCTGCATGTTTTTCGCTTCTACCGCCATCCTGGGTCGATCTTGTCGAGGTGGTGACGGGCGATTTGATCGAAGCTGGACTGGGTCTTGTTCCTTTGATCTCCGAACAACTTCAAATGAAAATAACGCATATCATACACTGCGCGGGCTGTGTGAAATTCGACCGACCACTACCAGAGGCTGCAGCAGCAAACATTTCAACGGTACTGAACATACTTGAATTTGCTCAAAATTGTACTCTTCTTCAGCATCTTGTCAGCACTTCCACTGCATATGTCACTCCTCACAGCTTCAGCCCCATTCGTGAGGAGCTCACGCCACTCTTATACCCAGCAGCTGAACTCTATCGCGATATTTTGGATGGAAAAACATCAGAAACTGAGCTTTTAAATGAGACCAAGCACCCAAATACCTACACCCTATCCAAATGCATCGCAGAGCACTTGCTCGTCGCAAACAGCGGCTCCATTCCATTGACGATTGTACGACCAAGTATTATTTCTGCAAGTTGGCGTCTGCCCTTCCCTGGATGGATTGACAGTCTCAGTGCTTTTGCCGGGTTCCTTGCTGCGTATGGGAATGGTCTGCTTCGCGTGATAGATGCCGATTCTCAAACCATCTTGGATATCGTGCCAGTCGACGAGGTTGCTGCCCGGCTCCTTGGTGCGGCCTTCCAAGAACGCAAGTCTTCTTCTGTGCAGATCAGGTATGCGACTGCATCTCTATGCAACGGTCTACCTATTAGCATGGTCTGTACCAATTCGATAAAGCACTTCCTACAAAATAAAGCCCCCTCCTTTCGTGTACCGAAAGTTCATTATCTTGGTCCACGTGGCATTCAATTCCGAATCTACGACGCCTCCTATCAAAAGATTCCACTATTCCTGGCATCCATGTTTTACACGCTTTCCAACAATGAAAGAATGCGACGAAGGTTGAAGCGTGTCCGGAGCGGGCTTGCAAGTCTTAACCGTGACTTCCCTTATTTTACACATCATTCGTTTAACTTTCGACCTTCCATCCACCTGCCAGACGATTTCGAGCCGGAGCAGTACCTCGAGATCACTCTCAATGGGGTTCGCAAGCATCTACTTCAGCGCAGCCCGGTTCCCAACACGAAAACTCTCCAAGCCACCAAGCCTACCCGTGCTGAGTTAATACCTCAGGCTCAACTCCCGGGGGCTTTGGCAAGTTTCCGAATGAGCCCTTTTATCGTTTTTATTGGCACAATTGCCATGGCGTGTGTGTGGCGCTTGAGTCAAATAGACCACAGCCATGTTTCTTCGAGATTGCTCGATTGGTTTACATGTTTTTCACGAGTCCTGTAAAATTCAATGTATTGTTGCCTTGAAGATATGATAGCAATGCTTTGATTATATTGTAGTTCAAAAGGATTTAAACATACAAATTATCCAGGAGCCCGAGATCAATTCAAGCAAACAACGCTTCGATGGTGACTGACTATATATCGAGACTTTCCCAGTAATCTTCAGCCTGGCTATATGAATCACCGTAAGCAAAATCCAACCTTGGAACTGGTGAGCTGAGGATATGTAGATCCCATCGTCATAGTGCATGCAAGCTGAGGCAAACGATGATTTTAGTGATCTTGATAGTTTACCGGTGCAATGGACATCTGCTTTCGATTGCGCTATTTTATAGATCAATTAAATGTTTGGCCAGGAAAAGAAATTACGACGGTCTGTGGGTAAGAGGTCCACCAGTTGTTGGAGCTGAGAGCGGAAACATCTGCAAAAACATCGGCAACACCGCCTCCGTAGGACTCAAATATACGTGATTACATTTCTAAGAGAATACGCCCGTGGACTGGCTGCACAAAGATTAAATGGGTATCGCTAAAGTTGCAACCACCAAGAACCGCAAGGCATCGGTTTGTATCAACATCACAGCTGCCGTAGCAAACTACCATCTGCGAATGGGTTTTCGGGGGCCATATCCAGCAATGGTTTCGCAGCATTTCGATCACCCGTAGCAACGCCATGGCCAGTCCGCTGTTTCCGCGGGGTAGCCGTGCTAGCGGAATGCGCGAGCAGGCTATTCGGCGTGAAGTTGGGAGACATTGGAGCTCCTTCCGTTGGGCTCGCGTAAGTATTTGGTTGGTGCACGCTACGGGTCGTGTTGCGGCGCTGAGGGACATCTGTTCGTCGCCAGGAAGTGGATGGCGGGATGGGAATTGCACCCTGCGTCAATTCGGGACCGGTTGCTCCGTCGATGAGTTGCATGCCGGGCTGGACTTTAACGCCGTGTCCTTTGCCTTTGCGGCTGTGTTGGGGTGGTTCGGCGTAGACAGGGGTCAGATCAACTAGAGGCTTTTGGCTGAGGGAGAGAGTGCGGTTGAATGCTGATACATCGGGGGCTCGGGTCATGGTGTTTGTTCGGCTGTTTGGGTTTGAGTCGTAGGCAGGGCCAGAACCGTTCATGAGACCGGTGCCTGTGAAAGCTTCTTGGTTGACTCGCTTTTCACGGTCATCTCGTTCGCGCATCGCCGTTTGTCGTTGGGTATAGGTGCGGCCCAAAAGTCCTGAGGGAGAAAAGGTGGAAGCTTCGACTTCTGCGGGCGAGATGCCCGAGACTAGTGCCTCCTTGTCGGTGAAAGGCCCATCGATATCCGTGTTGACTGCTAGGGCGCGGGGGTAAGAAGACGGCGGAGGTGCGTGACCACGTTGGGTCTTCTTTCTAGTAACCGGATCCTTGGAACTTGTTGGTCTTTGTTGGTCAATGCTTGCACGTTTGGGTGAATCATTTGAGCTCATTTGGTCCAAAAGTGGAACGTCGTGATGCAGGCTTCTCGGCTGATTGCTTGATCTCTTCGTTCCAGAGCGCTTGAGTGGTGCTTCGGCCTCTGATTTCTGGCACGCTCCCAGCTTGTTCACAAGATACCAGCTCCTCCACTTCTGTACTGATCGATACCACTTGTCTGCAATAGCCTTGTCGTTGGTCGAGAAAAAGTGCAAGAAGTTTTCAGTTGATAAAAACATCGATGATTTTTGCTGGCTTTTAATAGCAAAGCACAGCTTTTTCGGGGGCTTGACGTCTTTGTTCAAAGCCTTAGCGCTGGGGAAGTAGATGTCAAAGTCGGACAAGTGGCAGATATTCGTCTGTTCCTTGGAGCCCTCTTTTTTTGAGACTGTCACCTGTCCATCCGCACGTAATGTGACGTAACGCTTGTCCCACTTGCGAGGATGCTGCGAATGGTAGATATGCACAGTAACTAGGGGCGGCTGCTCAGCAGGGGCATGTGCTGCGTCGAGCTGAGCTAGTGCTTCCACGCTGGAAGGAGGAATGATTATGAATCGATTTTCCGAATCGTGCGACCAAGAGTTCATCACTTCCCGGATATGCTCGTAGCGACGGAGGGGGCGCTCAAGGCCAACCTGAGAGAAAGACTCCATGAGGATGAACCTGTCGGCATCGATGTCTCGCGATAAATGCGCCGCGGCATCTAACAACAGATCTCTAACTTGCGTTGACGGCGTAATAGTAAGATTCGCTGTAGCGTCCTTATATTTAACAGAAGCCTGGCGCTCTCCTGCATTAACGGCGCTGACAGGCGCGTCAAGGCCCGGCACTACACCGGTCCCACCCACACCGATGAACTTTGGCACCGACTCGCTCTTTTTAACATGATCCCTGACTTTTGAATTGACTTTTTGAAAGAAAGATTTCCGACTGGCATCGCCGGACTGGGCACTACGCGGTGGATGGGCAGGATCAGCCCGCTGCCTCAGTCGCGCTTCCTTGTGCGGGGGCGCACGATCTTGCGCAGACACCTCAGGCCGCCGAATCTGCTGGGATTCGTCCCCCCCGGTCAACTGATGCATCGCATCTTGTCGATGCATCTCACGCGCTCGCGCCTCGCCATCTTCCTGTTTCGCAACACTGGGACTTTCTCTCGTCTCGTGCTGCCGCGGTGGAGTTCGCGCGTGGTCCGCGATCGCGGGTGTGGGAGGTTGGCCGCTTGCATTTTGTGGTCGATTGCGACGGTATCGGGATCTGCTCCTAGCGATCGAGGGATTCTGCTCGCTGCTACTGACTAGGGCGGGGGATGGGGCCATTTCGACTTCTCCGGCACCTCGCGCGGCACGGTATCGAGAGAACTTCCGAGAGACGGGTTGCGCCGCTGGAACGCTTTCGTTCATGATTCAGGTTTCCCTCGCCGGTTGAAATGTGCCCCCCAGGGGGCGAAATGCGAATGTTTCAGGATTCTGTCTTGGATTCTATCGCCAGGACGAGGTTAGCGTCGCCTTTTCAGGGTCAACGGTTAATTTCCGAAGGACAATTTTCTCCAAACTCCGTGAAGCGTAAAGTTTCACTCAGCGCGAAGCCCAAACAAGTTCAAAAAACAAGACGGAAATATTCTGATGACACAAAGTTATGAAGGTTTGGAAAAATGTCGTGTGATTGAGCACGGGGCCAAGGGAGATTGCCACGCCCCTTGTCCTCACGATCAAACCGGCCCGTTCTCAATTGACCATTTGTGCCTTGGAAGCAAAATGCGGGCCGCCCCGATTAATGGTACAAGTGCGTTTGGATAGATCATATGGGACTCACCAGACTTGGCATTTATTAGAATCATGATCGAAAGTGTATGGAAGAACACAGGGAACAGGGCTGACATTCTACAATGTAGGGAGGGTTGTAGGAGTATGTTTCCGGACGCGCCGCATACGGTATTCATCACACGTACAACATACCTGGGTACAACATTAGTTTTTCCCTCCGTGTGATGATATCAGGGTTCTGCGGGAACTATATGATCGGCAGGGACTATTGAAATGTTCTAATGCAAACTATGATTCGATCACAGTGATCTAGGCCCACAAAACGATCACAGCCCTACAAAAGCACATGTATCGTAAGGGGGCAGCAAATAACAATATTTCGGCCTTCCCTTCGTCTACAATGTACAAAATTGTACTATTCCCCGGATCTTCTCCCGAGACAGCGGTTCATCAGTTAGGCCAAGTGGGTATCGTGGAGTCTCATAAAGTGGTTCGATCCGGGGGTGTCTTTGATTCCAACGGAGTAGTGGGAATCTTGACATGAACTAGATAGTTGGCCTGCGGGATTCGAATTCGCCCATTTATTTTCATTTTTTGATTTGGCGTCTATAATCCCAATAGAATCATTTTCGATTAGATCCCACGGATCTGTTTATTTTCTATAGGCACCCAACTCGCGACGCCTAAAAACATGTTAGCGTGATCCACAACAGATATAATTTGCGAAAAGATGACATACCACCACGCAATAAAGTCCATCGTACGTACATCGATTCCCAAATCAGTTAGAGCCTTGGTGGAAAGATGCGTATCATAAGGCCGACTAACACCAGCATTGGGATCATTGCCCTGCTTATTGGGAATCATACCGGGAGTCGCAACACCAAGAACCTGAGCCAATTTCTGGCAAATCTCATACTTAGTCATACGGTCCTCGGAAGAGAATTGCAAGATGCGAGGCAACTCCTTGCGCTTCTCCTTCTCACGCAGGTACTTGATGACAATGTCACGGCACACGCGGGCGACATCCTCCGTGTTAGTGGGATAACGTAGAGCCCAATCATCCATGTTCACGCCGGCACCTTCTTCCGTAGCCTTCTTAACCGCGTCGACAAGAGTGTTCACGGCACTCTCGGAGTTCTCCTTGGCGTTACCGTACAGCACGGGGACGCGCAGCACGACACCCAGAGCTGAATCTTTGGTTTCTTCCAGAACGGCCTTCTCGCCGTCGAGTTTTAATTGTCCGTATAAGTTAGCCGGCTTGGTCTCAGAGTCGGCCTCGTAGGGTGCTTCCCCTTCAGTACCGGGGAAGACATAGTCGGTGGAGATGTAGATGAGGAAGATGCTGCGGTCCTGGCATTCTTTTGCCAATGCGCGAGTGGCGTCGACATTGACCTTGCGGGCTTGATCCGGGTTCTTCTCACAGAGGTCGGGGGACTTGTTTGCGGCACCTTGGAGCTTGTTAGTTCATGTGTGCACGGGTGGCTTCGAGGGGCTTACAATGAATGACGATTTGGGGTCTGCGGGGGGTTAAAAGCTGAATTAGTAGCTGGAGCCGAAGAGTGCAAGATATAAACTACTTACTTCACTTCATCAAATAACCTCTGAATGTCTTCACCCTTCTCGAGGTCGGCCTTCAAGATAGTAGGCGGGGCAGCTCGGGAGAATCCCTGCCCAACGACCAACACACCAGAGTGTTGAAAAGTATTAAAAACTGCTCGACCAAGGAAGCCACTGGCTCCAGTAACAAGAACAGTAGAAGTCATTTTGAATTGTTGTGTGTTATCAAGTTGTAGGAAGCTGTTCTTTCTTTTTTTTCCCTCTTTCTTGAATATCGCGGGGCTGTGACGTAACTGACTCCCAACTGCTTGTGGCTTCCGGTGGCTTCTTCCAGGAAATTCCCTACTGCACTTCTCTGCACTTCTATCATTTGAAATAAATAACCCTTCCAATCATTCAATTCTGTATCCGCTATCACAATGTTTATCTACGCCTCATGAGCTCATAATCGGCTATGATCGCCTGTGTGATACCCTGCAGAGGCAATTTAAACGTATTTAAGGTTGGACCTGGTTGGTCGCTCACACGTCCTGCATAACGTCGTGGAATTGATACATCTTGTTTTACCTCGGATTATGACTCGCTTCAACTTGGCTCTTTATTGCAACGCTGTTGTCAGGTTCTACGTGGTAGGATTTGTCTACACCGTAGATCCATATATATGTAGATGTAGAACGAATCGCAATATTTAGGGCTCTACACCTAATCTAGACTCGTTACTACTCTGGTGTATCGCTATTAATAAGCAAATTACATGCGTTGCACAGAAATATTGTATAAATGTAATTCTTTGAGGTACATATACCCATTGTGGATATTTTGTTCCTACTACTAGCTAGCGAAATTGTGACGCATTTGAGGTCCAATGAATTCCGGAAACGGATTAAACCTATGTAATCTTCATTCCATACACGCAAGTTATTTCAGGTAAAACATAACCATGTTTTGAACAATATTATCTGAACAAATTCGAATGCGAAACGGTTGAACAAATCGCCGAAAAGCCCCGAGCATCGCGCCATCGGCAGCAGATCGGAGCGGGATCTCCACCATAGACATTCAACCTAAAATTTATTATTCTCCTCTTACTCAACCATGTCCAGTGCTAGGAACCTCACAGCTGCTCTGCGGCGGGCCCGTGTGCCTCGTCCGCGTCTGGCCCTTCGCCCTGTTCAATTCACACCCCTGACCGCGCGAACCTTCTCCGTCTCCACTCGCACTTCCGACTCGCGCCAAATCAAGTACACCAGCGATACCTACAACTTGAAGCGCAACCCTAACTTCGCCGAGATTTCCGCCGACGATGTCGCACACTTCAAAGAATTGCTGGGTTCCCAGTCTGCCGTCATTGATGGCGTGACCACCGACGCGGCCGACGATATCGAGCCCTTCAACAGCGACTGGATGCGCAAGTACCGTGGTCAGACCCGGCTCGTGCTGAAGCCGCAAAACGCCCAGGAGGTCAGCAAGGTGCTAAAATACTGCAATGAGCGCAAATTGGCCGTTGTGCCACAGGGTGGAAACACGGGGTTGGTTGGCGGTTCGGTGCCGGTCTTCGATGAGATCGTGATCAACACCTCGCGCATGAACCAGATTCGCTCTTTTGATGCTGCCTCTGGTGTCCTGGTCGCGGACGCTGGTGTCATTCTTGAGACTGCGGACCAGTACCTTGCCGAGCGGGAACACCTCTTCCCTCTCGACTTGGGTGCCAAGGGATCCTGCCACATCGGTGGAAACGTCTCGACCAACGCCGGTGGTCTGCGTCTTCTGCGCTATGGAAGTCTGCACGGTAGCGTGCTCGGACTCGAGGCGGTCCTGCCGGATGGGACTATCGTGGACGCTCTGTCTACACTACGCAAGAACAACACTGGTTACGATCTGAAGCAATTGTTCATCGGTTCTGAGGGTACCATTGGTCTGGTGACTGCGGTCTCTATCCAGTGCCCCCCTCGCCCTAAGGCTGTGAACGTGGCCTACTTTGGTCTTGAGAGCTTCGAGCAGGTCCAGCAGGCCTACCTTGCGGCCAAGGGTCAGCTCTCCGAGATCCTGTCTGCATTCGAGCTGATGGATGGTCGTAGCCAGGGTTTGGTCATTGAGTCTACAGGAAACAAGCACCCTCTGGAGGGCGAATACCCATTCTACTGTCTGGTTGAAACCAGCGGTTCTAACGCTGAGCACGACATGGCCAAATTGGAGTCGTTCCTGGAGAACGTGATGGGTGAGGGCATTGTTGCCGACGGTGTGCTGGCACAGGACGAGACCCAGTTCCAGGCTCTCTGGCGCTGGCGTGAGGGTATCACCGAGGCGCTGAGCCACCTGGGTGGTACGTACAAATATGATGTGTCGATCCCATTGTCGGATCTCTACCAGCTTGTTGAGGACTGCAAAGCTCGTCTGACTGAGATGGGCTTTGTCGGTGATGACGATTCTTTCCCGGTTCGCGCTGTTGTCGGATACGGTCACATGGGTGACTCTAACCTGCACCTGAACGTTTCCGTGCGTCAGTACAACAAGGAAGTGGAGAAGGCGATCGAGCCCTGGGTGTACGAGTGGATTCAGAAGCGTCAAGGCAGTATCAGCGCTGAGCATGGACTTGGTGTTGCCAAGCGGGAGTTCATTGGTTACAGCCAGAACGACACCATGGTCAAGTTGATGAAGCAGTTGAAGAACCTCTATGATCCTGTAAGTGAGCTTTTTTCTAATTATGATCTATTGCTAATGTTTCCTACAGAATGGTATCATGAACCCGTACAAGTACATCTAGAGGATGTTGTGTACATGTATATAGAACAAATTCGCAACAAAATGCAACAAAATGCAAAACAGTTAATCCCGCATAAATCGCTCACCGCAACAACATCCAACAAATGAAGAATCGACAAATCCCGAAATACATCACAATAGACCAATGTAAATCGCATAAAATAAGATCAGCTGAGTGGACCCTTGCATAGTACCCCGGTTGGCGGCCTCAGGCCAACCGTTGCCATGTGAGACGGAGCTTGTTTGGAGATTTAGCTCCACCCCTTTAGGCCTTGAGATTCCCGATGGGCATTCCTCTCTTTCTTTGTTCCAGATTTTTGTTTTCTGTTTAGCGCTATTCATCTCCCTGGAGCCCTGTCAAAATCGCAGCCCTGACCGGAGTAGCTAGCTGCGCCGATTATTGCGCAACCATGGCGGACGACATGTCAAGTCATTACCAGGTGATGGAGGAGTTAGGCAGTAAGTTGACCTGGGACAAGGTTTCTGGTACTTGGGGTACTCGGCTAACCGTTTCTGTTTGCAGGTGGCAGTTTTGGTGTTGTCTACAAAGCCATTGACAAGACTGACGGCGAGATCGTGGCGATCAAACACGTACGCCTTTGTCTGAAATCCCGACCCTTCGCTCCATATTGACACACTTTTTTTTTAGATTGATCTCGAGTCCAGCGAGGATGATATCCAGGAAATTCAACAGGAAATTTCAGTTTTGGCTACCTGCGCTAGCGCCTACGTTACACAATACAAAGCCAGTTTCCTCAAGGGGCACAAGCTATGGATTGTGATGGAATACCTTGGGGGTGGCTCTTGCTTGGACTTGGTATGTTTTCCGATAGGCTGTTTACCTGCGTTGCGTTGCATTGCTAACCAATCCTAGTTAAAACCAGGATGTTTCAACGAAGCGCATGTGGCTATCGTCTGCCGAGAACTCCTCCAGGGCTTGGATTACTTGCACAGCGAAGGCAAGATACACCGTGACGTCAAAGCCGCCAACGTCCTTCTTTCTCAGACTGGAAAAGTGAAGCTGGCAGACTTTGGAGTGGCAGCCCAGCTAGTCAATATCAAGTCGCAGCGCAATACATTCGTCGGCACTCCATTCTGGATGGCACCGGAGGTTATCCAGCAGGCTGGATACGACTTCAAGGCCGACATTTGGTCATTGGGCATTACGGCAATTGAAATGATCAACGGCGAACCCCCACATGCTAGCACACACCCTATGAAAGTGCTGTTCCTCATTCCAAAAAACCCTGCGCCTCGCCTGGAGGGTAATGACTACAGCAACACATTCAAGGACTTCATTGCACTATGTTTGACCAAAGACCCCGACCTGCGCCCCAGCGCAAAGGAGCTGTTAAGACACAAATTCATCCGAAATGCGGGCAAGGTGGAGGCCCTCCAGGAGCTTATTCATCGCAAGCAGGACTGGGATGGAAACCGAACTGAGCCCAAGGATCCAAGGTACTATGCCGAGTCTCTCAACACAATGAGTAGGCTCGATAATGACGATGAGGATGATTGGGTCTTCGATACTGTCAAGGCTCCTCCCATGTGGAAGCCCAAGGGAGGCACCGATTGGATGACATTCGACGAGGAAGACGAGAACTTGCCTGGCCCTGCACAGATGATGGAGGACTTGCACATCACTCACCCGCCCGCGCCTCCACCTAGACACCAGGCCAACTCCACCGTTAGACGAGCTCCTGCCGATCGAACTCCTAGCGACCGAATTCCTACCGATCGATCTCCATCTATCCGACGGGCAAATACCAAGCGCCGCTCAAGTGGTATCAAACAGCCACTTGGTCTGGATCTGAGCTATGGAAACAGCCCATCTACTGTTCGGCAATTCCGCCGTGTCTCAGACAAGGCCATCAACGAGCCGAGCCCGAAGGCAGTTAAACAAGCCTATGATGAAAATTCCAGCCCCAAGAGCGTGTCAACAGACTCATCAACCAAAGAAGCTCAAATCGGCCGACGTGCATACAGCAAAGCTGTAGGACTTTCATGTCAAGAAGTCTTATCGACCACTGGCGACGGCGATAAGCGCGAGGCCATTTCCAGACTTGCCGAAGCCTGGAGCGACCTGGAAATGGTCGACCCAGAAGGCCTGTACCACATCGTCAGGATAATGAACGAGAAGCTCCAAGCCGACTCTCGTCTCTCCACCCTCCTCCCGTCCACACAACCGGACTCCCCATCTCGTCCACGCCTTGTCCTGGCCCAAAACAACCCCCACCTGAAGAGTCACCGCCGCCGCCAATCATACGTCCCCGACCCCCAATCCACTCCACCAAAAGTCGGAGGCCAGCCGGCTCCCGGCATGGAACACACAAAGCAGCTCACTGATGTTCTCTACTCGCGGTGGTCGGAAGCTCTCCGCAACCGATACAGCGGCTAGGCCCATTCCCCCCTTTCCAATCTCACCACTACTTTTCTTCCATTCGCTGTATAGACCTATCTGGTGTTCTGTCCTGTTTTATAACCCCTTGCCATTGCTTGCATCCTTGGTGTCCGTTCGCTTTACTGTCGCTTTCTCTGGAGGGACTGGTCCCGGAGTTTTTAATGATCTGGTGTAATCTTTTTGCGCTTTCTTCTGTACTTTCTTTTTGATAGAATGCTGTCTGCGCTTCTGTCTGTGTCTATTGATCCTTGTTTGTGAATTTTCTGGGTATTTCCTTGGGGTGCTAGAACATACTACGTCTGAAATGTGATACATGTCTTTGGTTTGGATTCTTTGATTAACTGGATTTGTAGTCACGTCACTATTCCCGAGATTTGTTCTGCCCTTGCGCTTCTTTTAAAGGGCTATCTGATCCCAAGATACACCTAATATTGTAAAGCAATGTTGAACACTTTACAGTGGCAAATATCTTCAAACGCTTCTAGCACTTCCAATCGGTGTAAAAGGTGACCACTTGTTATTCGGAAATGAAATACGATATTCGTTCAGCGTCTTGCAATACCACCCATGCCTCCCGCTCATAAGGTGTAGTGATTGAGTAGAGTTGAAATAAGTGGAGATTCTAATATACATAGGATATTTGTACATACAGCTGACGCTAGACAGCATTCAAGATGATAAAGACTACCCCGAAGTGTTCTCGGCTGGTTCACCTCTTTCTTCCTCTTTGGTTTCTGACTTGTGGGCCATCCATTCATGGCGCATTAGCCCCAGGGCTGTGGGACGATCTGCGGGGTCCCACTGCATGGCTTTTCGCATCCACTGCAAGAACCCATCCAGGTCCTCACCCTTGACTTCTTCGGCCAGCTTCTCCAAGCTCCGATCTGGTATAGGGGTTTGACCAGTCCACTGTCCTTCTTCATCCCAGAACATCGAGCCGAGTGACATCTTATCACGAAACTCTGGTGGCGGAGGGCCAAGTAGAGCCACTAGCTCTGCGACGTGAACGCGGTCGTCAAACGCACCCTCTGCATTTCTTCCGTTGATGAGGTTTCGAGAGCTCACAATGTCCCACGCCTAATCATGAATTATTAGTGCTCCCCGGTTGCTTATTTTGGGGTCTACTCTACTCACACATATGGCAACAGACCATATGTCTACTTTGTAGTCCCATGGTGATTTCAGAATCTCCTCGGGGGCTCTGATATGTTTTGCCACCAGTCCAGCCTTAGCATCGTCGTCTGGATAGTCTATAAATAGTGGAACTCCATCGCCCGGCAAAAGAGTCGTTGTAAGCTCGGAGGCTTTTTCTGCCTCGAGATCGGGGTTGGCTTCGTGGTTAGCTTCATGGTATCTGATGGGATCCACGCCTAATTCATAGTCAGTATCTGGTGGTCTTTCACACATTACAATGGCGCAAATACGAGCAGTTGTGAAGCAATCTGTATGTAGATAATCCAAAATAATCAGTAATTGCCGTATTGAGGATTTCATTGCTTCGAGCCTGAGTTTATCCCCGCTGATCCATTCGGCGAGGTCAATCGGAGGGGGCGCATGAACAATACAGATATGCTTGCCCTTGGGACCCTCAATCACAAAGCGATCAATGACTTCACGAAGAGGGTATTCGTCTCGAGGGTATACTTTCTGTGGATGGGGACGCCCATAAGCCTTGAGCACATGCATTACCACGTAAATCTTCAGCACGACTAGTCTCCCTTGCCTACAAAAGGCCGAAGGTCAGGGTGGTATAGATAGCATTGTTTCAAGCATGGCACTCACGTTAAATCAGCAGCAAGGAAAACGGTCGCGGTAGGCCCATAGCCTATTTTCTGTATTGTTTGGTACTTCCCATTGAAGACCTCTTCCTCCCCGACGGGATAGGTATCAATCGCCTTGGGCTCATAACTTGAATTGGGCGCCTCCTGGGTCTGACCGAGTAGCCCTAGATCAAAGCCTGGGAAGACCTTTGGATTGGAAAACCATTGTGTGGAATATTGACGCGACTGGGCTGTTGCCCTAGCAAGGGGGCAGATAACTTGGTTCCCGCAAATTGAATGTCGAGAGAAAAACCTTGCCTTGCAGTGCTGTGCAATGTTTGAACAAGCGCGAGCTACATGCGCCATTCGATTCATGGTTGAGTATGCGGCTGTTGAGTTGGGTATGCATTGTGTACGTGAAGTTGGTCGGGAGACCCCTGCAGGTTCTATTTATATCTCGACTGTCTCTTCAACCAACATTTCGCTGTCAACTTTGCCAGTAGCTAGTTGATTTAGAGCACCAATATCAGTACAAAATTCCCCAGGTACAACATTGTACATATGTAGTATAGAATAAACATATATTCCATGCCAAGACCCCAGCTTAATAAGACGCTAATCCTTCCCCTGAAACAGCCCGTGGTCTTGGACCCGCTGTGGGCTGGACTCAGGAGACCACACCTGTCAGAGCTATTATTTTCTTTTCTCCTTTTCTTCCTCTGTACTTATACACTATTTTTTACCAACTATTTACATGATTTATTGAAATTGATCTTCTCTCCAAGCTGGCTGGTCCAACATGGAGAGTATTCCGGGAGCGGAGAGCCTCACCCACGGGCCACCTCCGGATGCGAACCACATTTCGACTGAACCAGTGCAACAACTGGAGTCTGCTTCCGAGCAGACTACTTCTACTCAGAAGAAACGTTTATCTTTACCACCTCGTTCAACTCCAACCGCCCGTCATGCCAAACGCCTTACCCTGAATTTCCCCATCAACCTAAACCCCGAGATAGATCCAAACGTGACCTCACCCGGCTCCGTCACCCCAGTCACACAGTCCTCAACCCGGCCCTCCCCCGCTCAGCCTTCCGGGACACCTATGTCGTTCGATGCTCCTGACGATGGCTATGACTTCTTGCGGGCTATTGCCTCGCAGGAACGCAAAGTCATGGAACTTCGCGAAGAGCTCACCCGCGCAGAAGCAGAGCTGGTGGCAATCAAGAAGCAATGGGCATCCTCGGAGAAGTCCAGGAAGCGGGCGGAGATCAATCACGCAGAACCGATGATGCCTCTCCGATCCCCTGATTTTTCAACAACCGAGGCATCGATCTCCCATAACCGAGAGCAGAGCATCAGCTCGGTTGGGAGCTCGACCGTATCGCAAGAACGGATCAGTCGGGATCTTGGTCGACGCGCTAGCGTTAGGGCTTCTGCTGCGGCTCCGGGCACCAAAATTGGTACAAATGGTCGGCGAGTCTTCCAAGGCGCGCATACTCGCACTCTTTCTCTTCTGTCGCCCGCTACAACCTCCAGCATTGCTACCGGTGAGCCGGGTTCTGCTAGGGCTGATCGCGTGGGTCGTACCCCGCGGTCTGCGACGTTACCATCTGTCGAGCGTAATAATGCTGCTATCGCACAGCTAGACGAGAGCCAGGTACCGGAACATCTACTTGCACAATGGCGCAAGACTCTTCCCCCGCCTTCACGGGAGGCCTTGATGCGCACGGGAAAACAAATGGCATCTGATTTACGGGAGGGGCTTTGGACATTCTTGGAAGACATCCGACAAGCCACGGTGGGCGAAGAAGGAATTAGCGGAACTCAAACACGAAACATGTCACCACCCAACTCATTGGCACCACCGAACGGTCGCAAGAGGGATTCACTGGCGAAGTCCCGAAGCAGAGAGCGGTTATTAGCGGACGGCAAGCTGTCACGATCATCGTCGTCATCGTCGTCGCGGGGAAGGGGGCCAGCGGCCGAGACAAAAACTGGTAAAGACACCAAGCCGGCGGAAATTTCCACATCTTTCTGGAACGAATTCGGCATTGATACACCAGCTCAGAAGTCTCCGAACGGGCCTCGCACCCCCTCCGCCAACAGAACCACCGACCGAAGCGAGGCGACCGAAGCCGAACAGCGCGATCACCGCTCCAGCAATCAAGCCGAAGCGCAGAATGACGATTTCGACGAGTGGGGTAGCTGGGAAACGCCCCTATCCGCGAAAAAGATGCACACACCCTCCTCGAGCCGATCAACTGTGGAATCAAAACCTGATCAATCACCCACTACACAGGGTAGCAGCCCTCGAACCAGCGCTAGGTACCGTTCGACCTTTTCCGATTTCATCTATGACAACCTCGTTATGAGCTGACAACCGAACCCAGTTTTGGCGATTGGAACCCACCTTCCACTTCGCTGGACCCTAGTGTCTCCGAAGGCATTCCCTGGCCTGCTATCACCAAGCTTGCTCCCTCGAAGCTTCAACGTACTGCTTCCAACTTGATGGCTGAGTGGGAGCGCTCATTGTCGCCTTCTCCAGAGCGAACTCTCAGCCGCAAGGACAGCAAGAAGGACTAATGGTGCTCCTTTTTTTTCCCTCTCTTTCATGTATATACTCACTACCTCTTCTTTGGCCTACGGATTCACGTGGCGCTACGACTTTTGAACTACATTCCACGAAAGCGTTGCTTCTTCTCTTGTTGCATATTCTTATTTTGCTGCCTTTCTTCTGGCCGATGCCAATCTTCTTGCGAGATTTATTGAAACACCGCTTGATTTGATCACGATAGCTGCACTTCTTGGTTCTGCCTGTTTATGAATACGATGACTACAATATTTGACAGTTCATCAGTCAGAATTAAACAATCCATATGTAACGATGCACACTATGCTGATTTACACCCATGATGTAAATATATGCTGATCCATAGTTCTAGCGATAACGGTACCATGGACTTGCGGAGTCGGAGGCAAAGTGCCAAGACTGCACTCTGGGTAGTATTCGGGTGCCGTAAAAATAAATTTGCGGTTCAGTTACTCGCCTCCGCAAGATCTCCGCGTCTTATCCTTCATCTGCACGCGACTTCTTCTCCTGCTGAGGCACGGTGTTTTGATCAAGCAGATTGACTCAACTGTAAAGAGCGCCCGTCAAATCTCACTATCTTCTACCCTTTTTTTTATCACGCCAATCGTCAAAATGGCTTTTCCGGGCACCACGGGAACATCGATTCCAATGACCAGTCTGTCAGGACCAGACCCTACCACACAGGGAATGAGTGAGCAGGAGGCATCCATGGTCAAGATGGTATGTTCCTTGCAAATACTGTGAATACCCGTCAGTTCTAACGGTTTTATAGATGCAAGCTGGTATGGAATCTTGTCCAATCAAGACCGCCCTCGCAGGTACCATGGGATTCGGCCTTGGAGGAGCTTTCGGTCTATTCATGGCCAGTGTAAGTCGACATCTGATTCTTCAATCACAAGCCAATGTCTAATATTCTTGTCTTCGAATAGATGTCCTACGACTCGACCTTCACACCTCAGGGCCGCGCAATCGCCGACCTCCCCTGGCGCCAGCAAGTCCGCGCCGGTTTCAAGGATATGGGAGCTCGCTCCTGGTCCTCTGCTAAGAATTTCGGTATCGTCGGTGCGCTCTACTCCGGCACCGAGTGCTGCATTGAAGGTCTCCGCGCCAAGAACGACCTCACCAACAGCGTTGCCGCTGGCTGTATCACCGGTGGAATTCTTGGTGCGAAGGCTGGCCCCCAAGCTGCGGCTTTTGGTTGCGCTGGCTTTGCCGCATTCAGTGCGGCTATCGATGCCTATATGAGAATGCCTGGCGACGACAACTGAAGGCGCGGCTTTATTCCCATATCGGGCTGTTTAGCTCTTGTTTGGCTTGTTGCGCTTTTCGACCCTGTAATTTTGTACGGCATTTGGCGTTCTGGTTTAGAACGGAAGCATTGCGGGCGTTTTCTGATATTCTCTCCTTTCCTTTGGGGTTTTGGCTTTTCGGCCTGGTCTACTGCATTGCTTGTCATTTTCAGGCTGCATGGCCTCGGCATGGTGGCTCATTCCACTTAGACCCAAGGGTCTACCTCTTTACTCATTTGTACAATACCAAGCGTGGACATAGACCAGTGGCCTTTTGAGAATCACCTCTCGCAATTCATACCAAAACATTTCTGAAAACCTATATGTATGGATCTAACTATCTAGAACTCTATTGCGAAGAATCCCCGTTTTGTTGGGGCCATGTCTACATAGGTGCGAATCGACAATGTGTGGAGCTACATCTACCTAGAACCTTTGTTCACAATCATGTCAGCTATATTGTCAGCAATTTAGCCTCTAGGAACATATCACGGCAGGCATCCTGCTTACAATGGCCGATCTAAACGTAGAAAAATGGAAACTACATATGTAGATAGCGGGTAATACATGTGTGTCTCAAATCATTTCAATATCCATTATATTTACATGCCTCAATGACAGGACAGTATGCCTAGTATTTGATCAAATTGTACACAGTTCAAGGCAACACAATGTACTTCTCCAAGTGCTTAGGAATGGAGCTGCGCAGGTTCTTGCTTTCGAGCCACTTGCCTGAGAACAAGCGATCTGCGTACCGGTAGGCACCGTCACAGAGAATGGTGACAACGGTGTTGCCCTTGCCCAATTTCTCAGCAACCTCCTTAGCAGCCACCACGTTCATAGCGGAGCTGGCACCCAGGTACAAACCCTCCTCGTCCAAGCAGCGGTAGACCATCTCAATGGTCTTCTCATCGCTGATGTTCACCGAGCCATCTAGCAGGTCGATATCGGGCTGCAGGTTGTCGGTAACACGGCCCTGTCCGATACCTTCGGTGATACTGCTACCGGAGCGGTCGATCAGAGTGCCACCACTCTGAATGTAGCTGTGAAGGACACTGCCAGGGGGATCGGCGAGGAAGCTCTTGACTCGGCCGTCACTGACAGTCTTCAGATAGCGGGTGGTACCAGCCAGGGTGCCACCAGTTCCGGTAGCACAAGTGAATGCATCGATCTTGCCCTCGGTCTGAGCCCAGATTTCAGGGCCGGTTGTGTCAATGTGGGCCTGGCGATTGGCGATGTTGTCAAATTGGTTGGTCCATACTGCGTTGTCCAAGGACTCGGCGTGCCGACGCGCCTGGTGGTTGTAGTTCTGGGGGTTGTCGAAGGCAACTGCGGGGACGGGATATACCTCCGCACCAAGAAGGCGGAGCAAGTCGATCTTGCCCTGGGATTGGGTGTTGGGCATGTAAATGACAAGCTTGTAGCCCTTTGACCGACATACGTGCGCAAGTCCAATACCGGTGTTTCCAGCGGTGCCCTCGACGACGGTACCACCGGGCTGAAGGAGGCCCTTCTCCTCTGCGTCTTTGACAACGAACAGTGCGGCTCGGTCTTTCACACTGCCTCCGGGGTTCTGAAATTCCGCCTTTCCGAGAACATTGCAGCCGGTCTGCTCAGAGAGTTTCTTCAATCGGATGAGGGGAGTGTTGCCAATTGCTGCATTATTGAAGTCAGATTATAGCTGGATGGGTGATCTCGGAGGTAGATATACCTTCGGTTAAGCCATTGGTAACGCCTTGGGCGGTTGATACGCGTGTAGCATAGGCAGTGGAACCCTCTCCAGCAGCGCGGACTGCCGTAGTGGCAAATCGCCGGACACTTTGACGAAACATCTTGTAGTGACTGTGATGCAGGAACAAAGCTCCGATGACGAGCTCCGACCTCGGAAGGGTCGGTACCGTTTTGGATCACGTGCTGGCTTATCGCTATCGCGTTTGGAGTGTTTGCATCTACTCGACAAAGAGCAGGGACACGGCATGGTGGACTATATCCACGGATTACTCTCTTTATACCTATGCCCAGGTATATGATTGATGTGTCTAAAGCAAAAGGGGCCATAAGAGCATTTACTCAAATTGGATTCGAGCGAGGTACAGGCAAAGGGAGTAGTATTGTTATGATACCTCACAGACTCCCTTGAAATAGTTGTGAACAATTATAATATCTCCATATTTTCGTAAGAAGAGTACGTAGAAGTTGCAGGTTTGAGCCGTGTGAATTGGTAAAAAAGGCCGTGTTGGTAGTGAAACTCTTCCCGCTTTGGGCTGTTTGTTTACCGCCAAGGCCTCCACTCTTTTGGTCCCGCAGTCTACGATGCTTTTCATCTTCAACTAATAATCAAGGACAATACCACAACAATGCCTGGCAGAGTCGCCGCCCGTTCAACATCTGCGACGACACGCAGATCGTCAGCCCAGCCCTCTGCGTCTGGGCGCGCTGCCTCCGTGACCCCATCATTTGCGATCCCCGAAGAAGCGGCAGAGCCAGTTTCATCCCCCACCTTGCGTCGCGATGTCTGCTTGTTATTTGCGGACGCCCAGCGCTCGACTACCGGACACCGAAAACTGGTAGTGCGTTTGCGCAAGCTCCAGGAAATTTGCTGCGGTATTTTTCAGAAGAAAAACGACAAGAAGGCAAAGGACCAGGAGCCCGAGGATGCACTTGTTCCCGGCGAGGAAACAGAGGCTGAAAAGGAATTTAACGTGGAAGTCGGCCGCTGTATTCTCCGTATTCTCACAATCAAGAAGAGTGAGCCTGTGGGAGACCGCGTTCTACGCTTCTTGGGAACTTTCCTCAGCCATGCCGCTGAGAAAGACAACGAGATGTTTGCCTCCAATGAAGATGAAGAAGAACAAAATCCCGAAACCCCGACGGCACGCCTCACTTCTAGTCTGGTTTCGCTCATGGTCCCCGTAATGAGCGCAAAGGATAAAACGGTGCGATTCCGCGCAACTCAAATTACCGCCCACATTGTGAACTCGCTTGAAGCAATCGACGATGAGCTATACCATACGATAAGACAAGGCCTTTTGAAGCGTCTGCGAGATAAAGAGGCATCTGTTCGAGTGCAGGCAGTTCTCGGACTAGGGCGCTTGGCTGGGGACGATGGCGACGATGATGGCAACGACGATAACTCTACTGCCCTCGTGGACAAATTGCTTGAAATTATGCAGAACGACACAAGTGCTGACGTTCGGAAAACTCTTCTTACGAACCTTCCTCTTGCCCCGAAGACTCTCCCTTATCTTTTGGAGCGCGCCCGTGATTTGGACGCTGCTACCAGACGTGCATTATACTCTCGTCTTCTTCCTACTCTAGGTGATTTCCGCCATCTGTCCTTATCCATGAGAGAAAGGCTTCTTCGGTGGGGTCTGCGTGATCGAGATGAAAGCGTTCGCAAGGCGACAGGCAAATTGTTCTATGACCGTTGGGTGGAGGACTGCGCTGGCACTAACAATAACCCTGATGAGGGGCCGGCCGGCCAGCATTCTGCACCTGACATCAATGCAATCCTGGAACTTTTAGAAAGAATCGATGTTGTCAACTCTGGAATGGAAAGTGGAATTGCTCACGAGGCAATGCGCAGCTTCTGGGAGGGCCGTGCGGACTACCGTGAAGCTGTTATCTTTGATGAGCCATTCTGGGAAAGCCTGACAGGCGAGTCTGCTTTCTTGCTGCGCTCCTTCAATGACTTCTGTCGCGTGGATAATGACGGGAAATACGACAACCTTGCGGACGACAAAATGCCCGAAGTCACAGCCTTCGCGTATTTCCTTGGTAAGTACATCGCAAAGCTTCTGGAAAGGAAGAAGATTTCCAAGGAGAGTGGAGATGCAAATGACGATGACGCCGTTGAGCATGAGTTTGTAGTGGAACAATTGCTCCACATCGCTCCCACCTTGGATTACAGTGATGAGGTCGGTCGACGAAAGATGTTCTCCCTGTTGAGAGAGACTTTGGCTGTTCCAGAGCTTCCGGAGGAAAGCACCAAGCTTGTGATCGAGACTCTTCGGTGTGTCTGTGGACCTGATACTGCAGCCGAAGCCGAGTTCTGCAGTGTCGTCTTGGAGGCCATTGCCGAAGTTCACGACACTATCACAACAGAAGATAGCTTTGTTTCAGCCAGATCTGAGATCAGCGATGATACAAGCAGACGATCCGAAACCCCGGGCGAGGAGGAAGAGGCCCCCTTCAACAAGGAAGAAGCCAAAGCAAAAATCGTTCGCGAGATTGTCGTCAACATGAAGTGTCTGTACATCGCCCAGTGTATGCTGCAGAATGTCCAGGGTCACCTGCAGCAGAACATGAACCTTGTTACTATGCTTAACAACCTTGTTGTACCGGCTGTTCGCAGCCACGAAGCTCCAATCAGAGAACGGGGTCTCTTGTGTTTGGGTCTTTGCTGCCTGCTTGACAAGGTTGGTAACTTTTTTACTGGTTGAAACTGATTATCGCTAATTGAGTCATACAGAACTTGGCCGAAGAGAACATGACTCTGTTCATCCATTGCTATAGTAAGGGCCACGAGGCATTGCAGGTCACAGCTCTCCAAATTCTCTGTGATATGATCACCACACACCCGTCTCTGCTCGCTCCCGTTACCCAGGCTGATGGCGAGACCATCACACCTCCTCCCATGCAGAAGCCTCTGCTCAAGGTGTTCGCCCGTGCTCTGCGTGCCAACTCCCCTAACACCGTGCAGTCTGGAGCAGCTGCCGCTCTCTCAAAGCTCCTCCTAACCAATGCATTTACTCCTTCTGGACCTAATATCCCTATTGCAATTCAGGAATCAAACCAGAATGCCGTTGAGACTTTGCTGCTATCGCTTGTTGTGGCATTCTATCACCCTCGCACCCGTGAAAACCCAGCACTTCGCCAGTCTCTGGCTTACTTTTTCCCTGTCTACGCCCATTCCCGTGTGGAAAACACACAGCATATGCGACGAGTGGCGGTTCCGGTCGTGCGGGCTGTGATGAATGCTGCGGAAGAGTACTACTCCCTCGAGGCCGAGGAAGACAGTGATGGCGAGGTCGATGCGAGCGTCGGTGAGCGCGAAGTGAAGGCATTGATGACCGGTGTCATTGGTATGCTTTCCGAATGGACCGATGAACGCCGAGTGGTTGGCCTAGGCGGCGAAAAGATCCTGGCAGGTGGTACTGCAAGCTCCAGTGTTTGCGGATGGGTTCATCTTGCTTTAGTCAAGGACATCCTTGAACGGGTTCTTGGCATCACTGCCGGAGCCAATCGCTGCTCCCGGGAGGAACGCAAGCTTCTCTTCTCCCTGCTTAGCAAGCTTTACTTCGCTGCCCCTACATTGCCATCGCGGGAACGGACAGGCTCCCGCGTCCCCGAGAGCGAGGATCAATTCCGCACAAGTGTGCGCAGTGCTACAGGTGTCGAGATTTCTTCAGAGAACACCGAGCTTGCGTCTCAGGTTAAGGAACTTTTGGACGAGACCATTGAAGAGGGCCTCGCCGGTGAAGCTTCTAGCCGCAATGCCCTTGTCAAAGCCAAAAATGCTATTCTAAAGATTATTGCGGTTTCGCAGGATGCTCGCGCTGCTAGCGCCCGTCCCCGAGAAGGCACTGAAGATGTTGAAAATGATAGTGCCAGTGTTCGCTCTGCCAGTGTCCGTCGCTCTGTGGAGCCTTCTGGTCCTGCCAGCCGTCGCCATGTCTCCGTTGAACCCAGCATCATGGAAGAGGATGAGGGCGAGGGAGACAGTCGTATGACGTCTGCTACTGCTAACCGCCCCGTTGTCTCCATCGAACCTAGTATCATGGAGGAGGATGAGGAAGATGATCATGATACTAGCCGAGGGACTATGATTAAAGAAGAGACTGGTGATGAGTGATGAGTGTTTGTTTCGCATTATTTGATTGGCGTTGGTGGTTGGGTTATGATTTTCCTCGATGCCACTTGAATTGGGTGATATAGTTCTGCAGGGGGTTTTTAGGCTGGTTGTACATAATACATGCGTGCTCTGATCTTTCTCTTTCAAATACCATGAGTATTATACATCTTTACGTGCATGAACTATGCGAGTTATAAGTTGTGCAACATAAGGTAGTATTCAAGGGTAATATCTAACCATGGATTCTTATAGATCAGTCCATTGGGACTATCAAACCAAGGTCTAGATAGCCTTGCAAAATATCATCTCATTGACGTCTTTGGCATCCCATATATAGCCTAGGGCCTAGAGCTTCAAGCGACGTTCAATGCGAGGGATATAGAACTACACGTGATACGCCACGTGATTGAAGCATTTTAATATTTTGACAGCTGCAACAAGTTGATAGCAAGTGACAATTTTAGGGACATTTGGAATGTCCAGGCACATATTTGTCTCAGCTCTGGCCATGTTTCACTGTCAACCCCTCAAGACATCTGTGCCACATGCAAGTAATTGATGACTTTCTCCTTCAATTGATGTAATTGATCCATGGATGTAATTGATCTTTACCCTGTACTATGTGCGTGTAGCCACATATGCCCAAGTACCAAATGCTATCCTATATCTGATAGGTCTCCCACAGGATCAGGCTGCCCTGTTCAAGTGCAAAGTCGAGAATAGATGAAGGCGTAAGACCAGAGCAGGGATCTGGGCCCGGTTGGGGTTGCACGGTTAAGACCGCTCCGAACACACAATTTCCAGGGGAATTGAGAGAAGAGAAGAATCTGAAGAAAATAGAGAATAGAAGATTGATTCTGAGTGGATTTCAATTATATAGATATTTAAATTGTTCCTTTTTCTATGTAATCTCCCGTGAGCCCCGAAACTTTTCATTTTCAAAACTCCACCTCGAGTTTGGTCTCTTTTCTTCTTCCCCCCCTTTCCCTTCTCTCCTCCCCCGGGCTTTCTTTTCCTTCTATTCTCCTCCACGACTTCTCCCTTGTCGTGTTGTTTGTCTTCTGCTTTTCCCGCAGAGACATTTCTCCCCCTCATTTTCCCCGGGATTCCCCTGCCGCTCCGTTGGCACCGAGCGACAAGTCAGCGATGGCGGCCGTTTCAGCACCTACCCCCAAGCTGGATCGATACATTGTCATCCACGTTGCAACCACCTGCGACGAACATGGCGTGTATGTCACCAAGGACTCGGCCGAGGTGATCGAGTTAGGATGGATCTTGTTGGACTCCAAGACCTGCGAGGAAGTACGTCCCAATATCTTCTACCCAACATTCAATTTACTTAGCCTCGGGAACCCAACGCTGACACCATTTTTTTTCCAATTTGTTTAGCTGCACCGTGAAAGTGTTCTAGTTAAGCCCGTCAATACTCCAATCACCCCGCTTTGCAGTAAGCTTGCCTTGTCATAACCTTAGGATGCATTGAGTTGGGTTTTCGCTAGGATCAGTGGCTGACAATTTTCAAAAGCGAGTTTGACCACCTTGACATGGGAACATGTTCGTTCTGCAGGCACTTTCCGGGATGCCATCTCTCGATTCGACGCTTTCGCCCAGGAACACCTGACCAGCAAACATCTCGAGTTTGCCTTTGTGACGTTGGACTCTTGGGATCTGCGGGTGCAGCTGCCCCGCGAGGCCCGCGACAAGGCCGTCGTGCTGCCCGCATACCTGCAGCATTCCCGAACCTTCGATTTGCGAACTGAATATCAACGCTGGCAGACCCACCACCCCGAGTCGCTGCCTTTCGGTCCCAGTTCGCTCTCTAACATCTGCGCTGCTCTCGAGGTTGAGCCCGTTCAGTCGTCTGCTCCGATCAAGCACAACCTGCCCTTCCACTTGCAAGCTCTGGCCCCCGCTTCGCCGCGTCGTGCTATGGAGGAATCCATTACTCTCGCTCGCGTTCTTCGGGGTTTGATCCGCAAGTCTCAGCCTCCCCAGGAACACCCCGAGATCTTGACTCGTCCCATGGATGCCCATGCCGATGTCCGGGCCTTCTTGGCCGAACGTAGCAAGGTGCTGCACCTCAGTGGACTGCCCCACGATACCACTCAGTCTGAGTTGGAGAGCTGGTTCACCCAGTTCGGTGGTCGTCCCATTGCGTTTTGGACTCTGCGGACACCAGACCAGCACAAGCCTACCGGCACTGGCTTTGCCGTCTTCTCTTCTCACGAAGAGGTATGTTCCATCCAGACATTGGCGTTCTCTTCTTGTCGGGAAACTCGCCTTGTGTCTTATCTCCCACCTTTATTTCCCCGCTAACTCTTCAATAGGCTGCTGAAAGCTTGTGCATGAACGGCCGGGCACTCAATGAGAAAGCCATTGAAGTCTCTCCCTCGTCCAGCCGGGTTCTGGACCGTGCCGCGGAGATCCTCACTCCCTTCCCTCCGTCTAAGAACCGTCCCCGTCCTGGTGACTGGACTTGCCCGTCTTGCGGCTTCTCTAACTTCCAGCGCCGCACAGCATGCTTCCGCTGCTCATTCCCTGCTATGGCGGCCGCACCTGACCCGATGAACTACGGAAACTACGGTTATGGCCCTCCATCCATGATGCCTCCTCACATGGGCCACGGCGGTCACGGCATGGGCGGCGGCGGTGGCGGCGGTGGTCACTCTCGCGGTATGGGCGGCAACGGCGGCGTTGTTCCCTTCCGTGCTGGTGACTGGAAGTGTGGTTCTGAAGGTTGTGGCTATCACAACTTCGCTAAGAACATCAACTGTCTGCGTTGCGGCGCTCCAAGATCAGGGGCTGCTGTGGTAGCCGACTCCGCATTCCCGTCTCCGATGGACCCTCCCTCGCAGTTCAATATGGGGCCAAACTCGATGGCTAGCACTCCCGCCCCGGCTCCATTCGCCTCTACCGCTGGTGGTTTTGGTGGTTTCAGCCAGCAGTTCGGTGGCCCACCTAACAACTATGCTCTGCCCTCCGGTGGTCTGGGTAACAACACTCCCGGTGCCTACCCTCCCATGGGTCAGATGAACTCTGGATACGGATCTTCCAGCACCTCGCACTCGGCTGCCTCCTTTGCCAACCCGGCCACCCAGGCCGCTTTCACCGGCGCCGATCACGGTGTCCCCTCCACCAGTGCTTCGAACGGTGCCTTTTACGGCTCCGATGGAGCCAGCGACCCCTTTGCCTTCTTGTCGTCTGGCCTCGGTGGTCTGACCGTGTCGGATGACCCTCACTCTCGTCGCAACGGCGCCGGTGCCAACAAGTCGCCCGCCTAAATTTGGGTCTAACTGTACCTACTCACGCCCATTCCATGGACTGGGCTCACACTTATGTTGTCCATATTGCAACCCTGCATTGTGGCGGGTTTCTGCGTTGGTTGATATTCGTTGATACGCATTTGTATAAGGGATTCTGCGGTTTTGGTGCATCGGGTTGGAAGGAGTAGGCGGGTTAGCGTGTCGAAGATTTCGGATTCTTTTGCTCGCCTCGCCGCCCTGTGCTTTTGTGTGGTGCTTTTTTCATTTCATCTATTTTTTTTTCTTATATTGGTTTGTTTTTTATGTCACTTTTGGTCGTGGAGCTGTCCCATATTTGTGATTCCATCTTGCGCTATATGGTTGTTTTTGGCGACGGGGACGGTGGCTGGTGCATGTATTTTTGAACCCGGTCTCTCTCCCCTGGTTTATTGTCTGCAGGCATGGACACATTGGCGGGCTTGTTCGACCTGCTTTTGGCATTGCATTAGATATTTTGTGCTACGTCCCTTTCTGCACTCTTTGGTCATGGGAAGCGTCGGAGAATTCACGGTCTTGATCTGGGTGGGATATACTGGGCCTCCGTTTGGGGTGTTGGGGATTTACTTTGAGCTTGCGCCGGCATCGAATCCAGGATCTCTTCGGGGCCTATCGAAGCACTGTGAATGCAACAAAAAAGATTGTTCTGTCCATATTTTGGGTTTCTATATTCTTGTACTCTGAGCGGCTATCTTAGTATTGCAGATCGTTCCTCGGCTTGTACAGATTTCTTAGGTTTAATCTGAACAACTTATTTATATGGGCTTTTCTTCATTTTTTTTTGCTTGGTCGTATTTCGAAAATGAGGTCGTCTTACTGTTCTTCCGTACGTCTTTCTACGAGTGCCATTTTGTGAAGCTCTTAGCTGTTTCTAAACCTATTAGACACTCTATATAGACTCGTGGATATTCTATACATTGAGAACTTATCAAAACCTGATATTGACCCGGAAAATAGTCAAACTCTTCGATTTGTTTAGCGATAGTGTGTCCAGGTGCGAAACTGGGCGTTGTGAATGAAGACAATTTGAGGGTACATGGATTTAGTATGACATGCCCATAGTCATAGGAAGTACCGAGTGGGTGCTGGAGGCAGCCGTAGGCTTTCGCGTCCACCGCCCGGAACCCGTCATTGCTCCATCCCAATTGATCTCAACTGCTCGACGCCTGTATTGCCTTCTTCTACCTCATTTCTTCCTTCGAACTCGTTATCTGCAGCACCATTCAATCAGTCTGTCTTTCAATCATCCTTGATTCACAATGTCCGGATACGACCGAGCTCTTTCAGGTAAGTCAGCTAGCTCCCCACCGCGAGCTCCCTTTGCTCCTGACCCAAACGCAGGCTCTATGATGCTAACCCATCTCAGTATTCAGGTATGAAGCCTTTGAGTGGCACTCCAGCTCCAGTTTGATTTCTAACCCACTCTCAGCCCCGATGGGCACGTCTTCCAGGTTGAATATGCCATGGAGGCTGTAAAGCGCGGTAAGACACGATCACCTGCTCCCCCGGCAGCTTCTACCGTTTCGCTGTCTTTGTTTGATTGCAAGAAAATTAACCTCTAGAGGGACCTTGCTTATAATGGATGATTCCAGGAACTTGCGCTGTCGGTGTGAAAGGCAAGGATATCGTCGTCCTCGGTTGCGAAAAGCGTTCCGCCCTCAAGCTCCAAGATACCCGCATCACTCCCTCCAAGATCGCGCTGGTGGATGACCACATCTGTCTCGCCTTTGCTGGACTTAACGCCGATGCCCGAATCCTCATCGACAAGGCCCGTTTAGAAGCTCAGTCCCACCGCCTGACCGTGGAGGACCCCTCCAGCATCGAGTACATCACGAAATATATTGCTAGCGTTCAGCAGAGGTACACGCAGAGTGGTGGTGTCCGTCCATTTGGTATCAGTACACTGGTTGTTGGTTTCGACAAGAATGACTCCACCCCGCGGTTGTACCAGACCGAGCCGTCTGGAATCTACTCTGCCTGGTAAGTTGACTCGAGCTTATTATATGCGTCCTTGGATAACTGCTAATATTTCATTGCTTGATACAGGAAGGCCAATGCCATCGGTCGTTCCAGCAAGACCGTCCGCGAATTTCTTGAGCGCAACCACCAGGAGGACATGGACCGGGAGCAGACAATTCAGCTGACCATCAAATCCCTTCTTGAGGTCGTGCAGACAGGTGCCAAGAACATCGAGGTCGCTATCATGGCGCCCGGCAAGAGCCTTGAGATGCTTCCTGATGACCAGATCGAGTCTTATGTGAAGAGCATCGAGACCGAGAAGCAGGAGGAGGCGGCCAAGAAGAAGACCCGGACAGGGACCACCACGGCAGCTATCCTCACCCGGCCGGGTGGCGAGTCGACTGAATAAGTGCTAGACTTTGACAACTCGGAGCCTGAGCGGTGACTGCGTCGTTGATTTGTTTCGATTTACAGTAGCGTTGGTCTCATCCTTTTGACGAGAAACCAAAATCATGAAATTTATAAAGCACGGTCTCTCTCTCTCATAATGTATACCCACGCAGGAAAAGGTATTGGTGTCAAAGGAATCTTCCTTATGAACTATTGCAACAAACAGTAACCATCAAATCGTCAGCATCATGAAATTACGCCCTCCCCGAAAATTGTATTTCTCCAATGTATGCACACTTGAGCGAGTTAGCCGACACGGTCTGACATGTCGCGGATGTTGAAAAGTGATCGTTCTTCGTCGCGGGCGACACGGTCGTCCTTGAGCATGCTGCGCATAGTAAGCATCCTGCCAACTCGAAAGATCCTGAGTGCTCGACATACCGGTTGTCCATGCGTGCATCATCACCTTCCACGTGCAATCTCGCTTCTGGCTCCACTGCATCAATAACAAAGTGGTTATCACAGTGCGGGCAATACTCGTCACTGTTGGGGAGAACATTAGCCCATCACTATTTTCCCTGTCCATGGTTGATTTCCTACCTGTCTTCGAACTCTGCGGCATCCTTTCGGAAACATTTCTTGCACTTCTTGCATGCGAAAATCTATTGAGAGATCAGACCACCAGACTTACGCGATCCAAAAACAGGGGCGTACCATCTCTGCGCTCTTCTGGAGCATGTGCGATTCGCTCTCTTGGTGGCATTGGGCACAATCAAACCATTTCCGGCCTAAAAATGTTCAGTCAATCTCCCAAGGTCCGATCTAAGTTCGATTCGAGCGTACAGCAGTGCGAGCGGATGGCCACTTGGGCATTCAGGATGTGTTTACTACAAGGCGGGGTGATCATATTAGCTCGCTGTCGCGCAAATTTTGTGCTAGAGAGATTGAGGATATCTCAATATGCACGTCAGAAATATGCAAGGACTTACCACATGGTGAATATGAAGGATTGAGAAAAATTGACGGGAGATGTCGATGCTCAAGTTCAACAAATCCAGGCACAAAGTGATCGACTCCCGTGATCCTCCACTTTCCTCCCCGCCACTCCATTTCGTTGACTTGTATCTTTCTTTTACTCTTCTTTACTGATCATTTCTGGATAAATATTCTCGCGTGACTTTTTGACGCTTCACCGTTCATCTCGTGTTCCTTGGGCTCTGCGCCGCTTACGTACCTGCGAGCTCTCCAAACCCCACGGTATCCCTGCAGCCTGAGCTTCCGTCTCCACGAACTCCTATTCAACTGCCTCCGCCACACTATTTGATCTCTCGGAAAGCTCCTCAAACTCATGATATATTCTTCAAGCTGGTCTCGGAGACACATTTGCGATAATCGCCATGGCGGGCACGGGAAAACAGCCGGACAGTGATGACCCTCCAACTGTATGCATACGTAACTACCTTGTCCTATACAATGAACTAATTTGGAAGTAGCCACAGAGACCCGTCTCTTCTTTGCTGTCTCACTTTGAGAATTTAGCCCATCGAAGAGCACCCTCTACTGCAAACGCTAGCCCGCGAACCTCAGCAAACTATTTGGCAAACCCCGAGGCAAATGATGGGCTTCGTTCTTCAAGCCGCGCCTCCCTCGACTTGCCCCGTCCGCAATCCCCATGGACTCCAACCGAGGAGAGACCGAACCAGTTCTTGCACTCAAATGGTGATCGCCCCAAGGATCGCGGATTGTCCGAAAGACGATATGGCCGGCCCATCTCAATGAATTTCCACCGTTCTACTCCACAACTCCCACCGACGTTGGCAGTCCACTCGCCCCAGTCACCTCCTCGCGGACAAGATCGCGACGATGTTTGGTTGCAGCGAGATGAAACCCGTAAAACTCGAAGTCCAGGGCATCGTTCGCGGGAATCAGCGTCTGTTTCGCCCGCACCACCTCGGCCGTTGTCTCCGATCCCGAATTTCAGGTCGTCCACTTCTGGAAGGGACACTATTCCGCAGGTTTCGCCTGCATTTTTGCGCCCCAGTCTCACGGGGAGCCCAGCTGACCGAAAACTGAAGAGCGCCTCGTTGCCACCCCCGGCTAACCGCGCATCAAAACCGAAAATTCCGGCGAAACCGGCTATCTTTTCTCATCCAGATACAGGCAATTTGGCTCCCCGGTCTGAAAGACCTTCCCCTGATCGAAGCGTGTCACCTTTCAACACCCCTCCAAGTAGTCCGGAGAAGACTTTACCAAGGCCGATCTCTACTGCAAACGTTAGCTCTAAGCCACCACCAGGTCGACCAACAACGGAACCTCCCAGTCGACGCTCATTCGATGAACGGTCACCTGCTCCGGCAATCAGTGCAAAGCACGATGCTAGAGAGATGGGATTCTCAAGGAGTCGACCTGTGCCGGAACCCTCAAGGGCCTCCAAGCCTTTGATGGTACAAATTCCCTCTACCCCTGTGGATGCTCCACAATCAGCTTCGACGGCCCCCCCTCTCTCCGCACAGAGGCTTCGAGCTAGCGATAGCCCCTATGCTCGCCCAGGGCTTCCCCCACGACCCTCTGGGGTACCACCACCACGGAGGGATGGAGTCTCTCCAGTCAGGGAGTCTCCCCAGCATACAGGCCGTTTTGAGCAGATGACGCCGGTTGCCAGGTCCGCACCCGCTTTCCCACGTATTGGCGACTCCTCAGCCCCGAAACCTATTCAGCGACAGCCTTCTCAACCTCGTGACTCCCACCTCTCTTCTTCGCTTCCTGAGCGACGTGTGGCGCGCACAGACACAGAGGAAGACGAGCAAATTGAAGAGCCAGCTATCTCACGAACAGATTATCCTGATGCCTCAAAAGCCAATCGACGTCCTCCATACCTCAAAACTGGACCGAAGGAGATCTTGACGAAATATGACACCCGATTACTGGCTGTGTGTGGCAGATACGTCTGCACAACTGGGTATTTGACTAAAGTTTGGGATTTGACCACAGGCGAACAAGTGATGAGCCTCAGTCATGGCGAGACGGTAAAAAGCTTATCTCTTGCGTTTAAACCAGGAAAAGGTTTAGAAGACGAGGGTGAGCGTATCTGGCTCGGTACCAGCGCCGGAGATATCCACGAGGTCCATATTCCGAGTCAATCCATCGTGGCCACCCGATCATACCCATCCCGACGGGAGGTGATCCAGATTCTACGACACGGCAAAGAAATGTGGACATTTGACGATGAAGGTCGGCTACTTATATGGATGCCAGATGAAACTGGCACACCGAATTTGCAGTATAGCTACCATAACGCCCATGAACGCGTAGCCCGAGGTCACACCTTTTCCATGGTGGTTGGAGATAAACTTTGGATGGCAGCTGGAAAGGATGTGTATATCTATCGCCCAAATGCGGGCGATGACGCTTCATTCAAAGTCTTTAAACGACCTCTTGGTCTGCAGCACTCTGGTGATGTGACTTCTGGAACTTATTCCACACAAGATGGCGGCCGTGTCTATTTGGGACATTCCGATGGTAAGGTAACCGTCTACTCTGCGACTGACTTCACGTGTTTGGCGGTGGTCAACGTCAGTGTGTACAAGATCAATTGCCTTGGTTTTGTCGGTGACTATCTCTGGGCTGCGTATAAGACCGGCATGATCTATGTCTACGATGTGACCACCAATCCTTGGACAGTGAAGAAAGACTGGCGCGCCCATGATAGCCCCGTTTCCGGCTTTGTGTTGGACATGAGCAGTGTATGGACCATGAATCGTCTGCAGGTGACCTCGTTGGGCACTGATAATTGCATTCGTCTTTGGGATGGTATGCTGGAAGATGATTGGTTGGGTAAGTGTCAGTCTGTTTGATTCATTGAGTGGTTTTAACAAATTCTAGATGCACGCATGCAAGACAGAGATGTAGAGTACTGCAATTTCCGAGAGATCAAGGCTGTTGTTTTAACTTGGAACGCTGGTGCTTCTACGCCTGGTAGTGTGAGGACGTCTGATTTCATTAGAGATGCAGTCACCCCGGAAGACCCGCCAGAGATCTTGATATTTGGATTCCAAGAGCTGGTTGATCTTGAAAATAAGAAAATCACAGCCAGTACGTCATTTCCTGTTTCTCTCCCGTGGAAACAGTTGCTTACATTGCTACAGAGAGCTTGCTCATGGGCAGCAAAAAGAAAGAGAACGGCGAGAAGGAGCATATGAGTCGTCAATATCGAGTGTGGATCGATCATCTTACCCGCACTCTTCACGAATGCATGCCCTTGGAGGAATCATATGTCCTGTTGCATACTTCGAACATGGTGGGCTTGTTTACTTGTGTTTTCGTCAAACACAAGGAACGCCATAATATCAAAAACATTAGTGCTTCAGAGATCAAGCGCGGTATGGGCGGTTTACATGGCAACAAGGTTTGTGATACCCGGGTCTTTACTGTGGCTTTTTTTCCTAACCGTACTAGGGTGCTCTTGTCTTCCGCTTTGTCCTAGACGACAGCTCAATGTGTTTTGTGAATTGTCATTTGGCAGCCGGACAAACCCAGACCGCAAACCGGAACAATGACATCGCCGCGATCTTAGAAGCCGAATCTTTGCCCGCCGAAAGCAACATGGCCCTTCGAATAAACCAATTCGCCAGTGGCGGCGATGGGACCATGATCATGGACCACGAAGTGTGTATACTGAACGGAGACTTGAATTACCGAATTGACGCAATCCCTCGCAACGTTATAATTGATGCGATTCGTCAGAACAACCTCTCGAAACTCTTGGATAGAGATCAACTGCTTGCTTCGCGACGGAAGAACCCCGGTTTCAGACTACGCAGCTTCACTGAGCGACCCATTACCTTCGCGCCGACTTACAAGTACGACGTCGGCACAGATGAGTATGACTCAAGCGACAAGAAACGCTCCCCCGCCTGGTGCGACCGCGTTCTCTACCGTGGCCTGGGTCGCGTCAAGCAGCTCGATTACCGTCGACACGAGGTCCGTGCCTCCGACCACCGACCCGTCAGCGCGGCGTTCAAGATTCGTGTCAAAACAGTTCTTTCTCAGGAACGGGCTGTAACGTGGGATGTATGCAACAAGGAGTTCCAGGAAGAGAAGCGCCGCTTGGCTTCTGAAGCAAGCATCGAGTATCTCATTACTGTCCTTGGCACAGATCCCCGCGAAGCTCGTGCATTGATCATGGGAAAGAAAAAATAGCCTTGTCCATGATTGCGTTTCTGTCTTCTTTTCCCCGAGTGAACCTCCTTTTTTTTGTATGCATTTTGGCGGAAGCATGGCGCGGTGTACGTTGTACGACTAATGATTTTACGATAGATATGTATCATGATGCTGTCCCTAGATATATAAACATTACTATGGTTACTATATCCTCAATGCATCTTGCTTTTCAAGCATCAGTATTAACCAAAAAGATTACCTATATTTAGCTTGGTTGAAGTAGCAGAGGATATCATCTTTCTGTCTACTACCGGATCTTGCGCACTGCATAGACGTTACTCTTGTGGTACTTCGGTGTAATCTGTACCGTTTTATCTAGTCCCGATTCAAGCTAACATTGAAATCTGAAATTAAATATATAAATACTAAAAATAACACGTTTCAATATATAACATTGAGTATGTTTATTCAATATTTATAAGTATATAGAATACAGATTGTAGGTTGTTATATCCAATAAACATTCTATTTTTATATACTATTATAACAAAGAATCAAAAAATCAATGTTAAGTATCATTTCAATTATTGAAGAGTCATTATTATAGCACATGCATGTAGGAGCAAGACTCAGGGGAAAGCCCTGTGACATTGGTTGGACAAGGAAACCGCTGGACGGTATGCTTGACGCTTGGCATAGCCTTCTCACCCGAATTGCGTCGAGCACTGGCAGCACCAGACAGAATATAAAGACCAGCAAGTCTATAGCCAATTTGCACGACATGAATAAAGTCGAAACCACCAGTTTGAAAAGCTAAAATGTTGGGTCTCTTGTCGCTGATTATCACGCTGCTCATTCTTCCAGCAGTCAATGCTTTGGTTAGGGATAGTGATGTTGTGAGTCTTGTGTCTTTTTTATATTCCACATGCAGCCATGTTTCTTCCAACATACTTTTGCAAGAGAATCATATAATAGACACTGATGACTTGAATAGGGCAAACTGCCAGCTCTAGGATGGAACTCGTGGAATGCATTTGAATGTGACATCGATCATATCAAGATCATGATAGCTGCAAACCAGATTATCAATCTTGGATTGAAAGATGTGGGCTATCAATATGTGAACAGTACGTGAAACAAAGGTTAGATGAATAGTTGAGACATACTGACTTCTCTAGTTGATGACTGCTGGAGTGTTAAGAATGCCCGAAACGCGAGCAACAATCGCATCATTCCTGACCCGCACAAGTTCCCTGGTGGTATTTCTGGGGTCGCAGACAAAGTGCATGCCCTGGGACTGAAAATTGGGATATACAGTAGTGAGTGCTTCACCTTGTAGGTGGTACGGTGTTCAAGCCAACATATATATAGGTTCGGGTGAGACTACTTGTGCTGAATACCCTGCAAGTCTGAGATACGAGATGGTGGATGCACAGGCATTTGCAGACTGGGGTATTGACTGTGAGCACCATTTCGGCCCCTATGTTTTCAAATATTGATGACTACAGACCTCAAATACGATGACTGTGGCGTCCCCCCAGAGTGGAAAGATGAATACACTGGCTGCGTTCCTGACAGCGACGAGGATCCCGCCAGTTGGAACTTCCCTAACGGCACTTGTCCTGGTTTGATCAATGCTGCCCCAGAAGGATATGATTGGACAACTTCCAAAACGCATCAACGCTATATCAGGATGCGAGAGGCATTGTTGAGCGTGAACCGAACAATCTTGTATTCCCTGTGTGATATGGGTCACGCAAATGTGAACACCTGGGGTAACACGACCGGTAACTCGTGGCGTATAACAAATGACATCAGACGTAAGTTATTAGCTGCTCGCAGGTATCCTATCGACTGACTTTGCACAGCGGAATGGGGCCGTATCGCAGAAATCGCAAATCAAAACGTATTCCTGTTGGACTACGTCAATTTCTGGGGCCGCCCTGACCCGGACATGTTGGAAGTTGGCAATGGGAACCTTACTCTCGAAGAGAACAGGGCTCACTTTGCACTATGGGCGGCGATGAAGTCTCCTTTACTCATTGGCACTGCAGTATGTGGGAATTTTACGTCTTTGGAGATATATACTGACGCCCGTTAGCTTGATTCGATTGACGATGAACATGTGGCCATTCTGAAGAACAAGTACTTGCTTGCCTTCCATCAGGATCCCGTCATCGGTCGCCCCGCTCATCCTTATAAGTGGGGATATAACCCCGATTGGACATTCGACCCAGCTCACCCAGCGGAATATTGGTCTGGTACATCGAGCACGCTGGAGGCAACGTTGGTGCTCATGCTGAATTCCGAGGACGCAAATTCCACCAGAACAGCAGTGTGGAGCGAGATTCCTGAACTCAAGAACTATAACTCATACGAAGTTATCGATGCTTGGACCGGAAATAATTTGGGATGTGTACAAGGCCAGTATAGCATCACTTTGCAGAGCCATGATGTAGCCGTGTTGGTGGTGAGGAAGGGGCAATGCTAGCCAGGGGGACAGGAAAACGATTCTGTTGGAGCATACAGGTATGTGTGAATTGATGAAATGTAGCTTATTGCCTAAGTGAGTCTTGAATCGTGTGTCCGTAATAAATGTCACAGAGCCTATTGTTTCTGATTGTTCAGGCGCGAGGACTTCAAGGACCGCATGAAACGGCAACTACAAGACAGATATGCACAATTGATATGTTCAAACAATCTATCACGAGTGAAGAAATATGAAACTCTTTGATCGATCCGAGTCCAAGGTTATGTGTCGGTCTATACTTGGAGAACAAAGAATTTTGGTGGAACTCGAGGTTCAGCCGAGTATTCTTAGACTCCGAATGCCCTTATACCCCTTGGTCAAAGAAATCAATGTACTTGTGAGAATGGGAATTCACTTTGTTCGGGTCCTGGCTGAGAATTACTTAAAAGCCTCGATGTCCCTCGCACAATACCCATTCTTCATCATTTGTCATCTCCCAAAAATCTCGTCAACAACATCAGTTTTCAAACCCATTCAGATTGACTAACACGGCTTAGATCTCAAATACCATCAATCTTACCACAATAATGGCTCCCCACCACTGCAAAGCTCACGCTGGTCTGCCCAGAGTTTGGCGAGGCTGGGGCGAGTTGGGCAATCGCAAGGCCGAGCTTCAGGCCATAGAAGATGAGTAAGTGATAAATGATCATTCATTGCTAGGCATACACTAACATATTCTTAGGTACTTCAAAACGAACAAGCCCGACTACAAGCTTCGACACCCTGACGCTCCCCGCTACAGTTGGGATCTGCACTTGGATGTCGCACGCAAGTGGACCAGATATTTCGATTGGAGAATTTCCAAGAAAGACCGTTCCAAGACTACTCTTCCTGAAATGGTCCGTGTAGAGCATATCCCAAGACTCCTAAATTTCTTTTACACTGGGGACTATTCTGTCGATAAACGGGACATGGACAGATGCGAGGTCGGACCGTGCCCTAATGGATGCGTGACTTGTACTCAAATCTGCCAGCTTCTGCAAATTCACCTTTCTATGTTTCGAACAGCCCTTTTGCTCAGAATCCCCGAGCTCCAGGGTCTGGCTTTTAGCAGATTCCGTGGTCTCTTGGACACTGCCTCTATCTGGGTATTGCAGTATGCTGTTCACATAGTGTACAGCCGGCCTCCTGTCCCCGATGGCCGCAATGACTTCCATGTTTCAGCCATCAAAGGCCTTATGGACTACCGGCCTGAACTAGTACTTCCCGCGGTTCTCCGATGGTGTGGCTATTTCCGCATGAACCCAAAGAAGGCATATGGTGAGCAAGAATTCTCCGGACTCCGCCGAGCATTCCGTTCGTTCAACACACACTTGACTTTTGGATTGTGGCTGGACACTGTTGATATTACACCGCCCACGCTTCGATTCCCAGGTGAAACGCCATCCATGATCTGCATCCATCCGTATCTGAGCACTCAATTCCCGAAAATGGCAGTGGATCCTAACCGCTCAAACTATCAGTACGTTACATATCTGCAGCCACTGCCTTTCGAGGACTTCAGCGAGCAGCGACCTACTAACGCACGTGAATCAACTGAATCGCCCACATCCAGCGGTCCAATTCAACAAAACCGACAAAACGTCTCACAGATTACGATCGCGGCCAATCAGACCTCCTATACTCCTATGCAGCAACCATTCCAACCCCTAGGGGTGAATACGTCGCGAGTAGCGCAGACCAACCCGATGGCCACATTCACTTACGACACATCTGAGATCTCATTTGACCCAATGCAGGTAGACTTTAGCGCAGCCAGTTTGCCAGGATTTGACTTCGATCAGATGTTGGATTATGAACCTGTGGCTTCACAGGATGCAAATGCATTTGACTGGGAACAGGCAATACAGTGGACCGCATCGGACGCAGCCAAGTTTGAATTCACAGATCTTATCAATGAGGATATCGTGGACACCAACGTGCCGAATCCAAACTATTACCCACCCCTACCCGAGATGGACTTTACCGGACTGGGCTCACTCAGGCCTACAGTCCGGACTGCACAGGAAATTACCACAGGACCCAATTCATCGGCCAATATGGCCCCGAATCCCCCTGTTCTCTCCCCTGCGCTCACAACCCAGGCAGTAATTGACTGGACCAAAGCCACCGCATCCTCAATCGATCTGACTGAGGAGCCGACCCAGGTTCAACCCCCGCCTGCATTGCGATACAGCCTGCGGAGTCAAGGCTCAACCGCCACTACTGTAAGTGAATCCACCGCTGGTAGAAGTGAATACTCTCCTTCAAACCCATCTTTGGCCAATTCTCCGCGGAAGGCAAGCGAGGAAACTAGATCCAAGAAATCCCGGCCCAGTTCCAGCCCTAGCAGCCCCCGATCACCGATCATTCGTGTAAAGAGACGTAAAGTGGCTTCATCTCAAGCTACGCCCAAGAGTGGTTTGGCTCATACTCCCACTCCCCGATACAATCTTAGGAGTCGCGCACCCCGAAAATAGGTAGCGGAAGTATCGAACCAAAGTAGTGTATGGTGTACTAACATATAGAGTGAGCATTATTACTATCATTCGTCTTTTTAAGCTTATGCGTTTTCTTTTGAGCTCGTTTTCATTTGTCAAACTAGATTTGCTTTTTCTTTTACATTGCCTTGATTCGAAAGATAAAGAAAAAAAGATTGAGATCTGCAAATGTTCCACTTTAGTATTCTCCGAATTGAAGATAATATCAGTGTCTTACAGTCCATTTTGTGATAGAAAGTGAACATAGCTCGCGTAGAGTAGATGTATAGTAGATGTGATCATTTTTCTGACAGTTGTATTGCTTCTCACACAATAAGCGCTAGATTACGCGCCCTCGATCCCATTTTGATATAACATGTGATTGGCCCTAAACGATCAGGCAACCGAATAGTACTTCTGGAGCGTCTGCAAGTGGATTATGATAAGAAACTACATCAAACAGTTCATTACTATTCGTACACAATGACCGACTGTTGTACTTTGAATCTTAGCGTGATACTATTTTATTTTGTTGACATCTCGACTTGTATGTGACCAAGGAAATGCCCCGAGTCCACTACGTCAGATACTTCATGATAATCTTTTTTATATGTAATCCTTCCTTCCTATTTTTGGTTTAAATTGTGACTATCGACTCTTTTCGGTTCATTTGTTCACTCTATGAACATTCAAATAAATTATTGAAAAGCCATCAAATGAGTTGGTTCCCATATTCCCCGCTCACCTCCCACCATGGCTGTCTTGTGCCACGATCGCGAGTCTTCTTCATCTACCTAGGCCTAGCAGCGATATTGCTCCTGTTATCATACCAGATCTTGCTCAATCGATCACCGACTGTGAGCGCAACAGGCGCAAAAATCGATGAAGGTGTTATCGCGGTAGAAGGCGAACATTTCAACCCAGACCCTGTACAACCCGCCGAAAAGGAATTGGTTTTCGCAGCGATGCAGGCAAGTAACATGTCCTGGGTTGAAGAGCACTTACCCGATTGGCGGACGAACATATATCGCGCTGACGCCGAGGGCCAAGACGTGTTGACGGTGCCAATCAACAAGGGTAATGAGGCAATGGTCTACTTAACGTATGTATACGTGCTATCTCTCAACAAACCAACTGACACCCCTTTCCAGGTACATTATTGATCGATACTGGACCCTCCCAGAGGTATCAGTCTTTCTACATGAAAACCGATACCAATGGCACGTCGACAACCCACTCTACGACTCCGTGATATCAATCTCAGACCTACAGTCGGACTTCGTCCAGGAAGTCGGGTACGTGAGTCTCCGCTGCGCCTGGAGCGTTGGATGTCCCCGAGAACTGGAGCCAGCGCGCTACCTCCGGGAGAGACCCGACGACAGCCACCACCCGGCAGCGATGGAATATCCGGATCGCTTTATGGAGCTGTTTCCGCGGGCGGAAGTGCCAGAGGCCGTTGGGACTCCATGCTGCAGTCAATTTGCTCTTTCGAGAAAGAAGATTCACGAGCAGAGTATTGATTACTACATCCGTTTGCAGCGGTGGTTGATGGACACGGAGCTGACTTCGGGAATTAGTGGGCGCGTGCTGGAATATTCGTGGCACAGTGGGTCTTTTCGCTCTCGTTCTCGCGATCCTTTTGCTGACTTCTGGTACAATCTAGTGATCTTTGGGAAACCTGCCCAGTACTGCCTCGATCAGCGGGATTGCTATTGTCGAACTTATGGTTATTGTAATATGACCGACACTGAGATACAAAATCATTGGGTGTGGCGCGGCCTCACACTGCCGGAGGGATGGCCAGAGCCGAAAAAATCAAATGAAACGCCCGCGCAATAATAGCTGCATGTATATTGATACCCTAGCGAACCGAACGTTTTCCACTTATGTACTCGATGACGATTTCATAGACCCTTTCTTCGTACGCATTCCAACCTAGATCACGCCGGATCCCAGCCGACCATTCCGGGAATCATAAATAAAGACTTCAACGCCACAGATCCTGTTTACTCAATCGATTCTGATTCCCATGACCACTCTGAGGCCGGTCACCCTCAGCCGGAACAGCCAAGAAGCCACCAAACCCATTACCGACCAGGACGCTCTTCCGCGCTTCGCCACCCCAGGACCTGCTGAGCTGGGCCTCGTGGAAGCTCACGGGGCGAGTTCTTGAATCGCGGCGGCTGGCCGCCGGACTCGGATCGTACGGTGTGAAGTTCCACTCCAGTTCGTCCAGGCCCTTGCTGTACACGTTCAGCGGCTGTGAGAGTCCGCCCTGCGTTCGGGGTCCACTTTCACCGCCACCGAATAGTCGTGGCGGGGGCATTAGCAAGAGTGTGTCGGGGAACTCGGAATCCCGAACATATAAGTTTCGAAGAGCTGGTAAAGCTCGAGCCATTAGTGACGAGATGAGATACGTATAGTATGAGGATGCCACCGGTGGCATCCCATGATTATCGGTTTGAGAAGTGAGTTCAAAGTGCAAAAGATGCAATGATTTTGATGCCATTAGGGGGATTTGCTCCATAGGGAACGAGGAGGAAACTTCCTGAATGATGGAAAGATTCTGGAGTCGTGGGGCTGCGGCGAGGATTTTATGGAGATGCGACGGAATAACCCCAGTGGATGACAATGTCAAAGATTCCAGGGCCGCTTTGTTCGCCGGGGTGGACAGGATCGCGGCAAGCCCGCTTGCCGTGACGTTGGGTGTATCGCGGAGTGTAAGAGATTGGACTGCGGGGAATGGCGGGAGAGGCACGTTCACCGCGAAGGCAGAGTCAAGAAGCCAACTGAGCTTTTCAAGCCTGAGCTCACGAAGTTCCGGGAATGCAGCTAGCCCGCTGCGTAGAATACTAGCCTCCAGCTTGATCCCGGATAGCTCGAGCACCTCCAAATGCATCCATAGCCCGGATCCCTGCAGCTGCGAGAAACCACGCTCGGCACCCTGGCGGTAGCTCATGCGACGGATTTCGGGACACCGGGCCATCAACTCCTGCTTCAATGGTATACACGATAACTCGTCGCTGAACAAACCCACTGGGAGATCAACAAAGCGGAGATTAGGCAAGACGGAGATAGTGCGGGCAATAGTGGCTTTGTTGGCTTCGCGGGTCATGTAAGGCATTCTGAGCGACAGAACCATATTGCCCAGTCCCTGCGACTCTCGCACGACGCGCATAAAAAGTTCCAGCCGAACCTGGGGCGCATCAATGGGAACACCATTGCGATCGAAGACGGAGCGGCGTTTTCGCTTGGCGGCTAATTCGATTTCTAATTCGCAGTAATGGACAGGATCGATGCGGACGTTTGTATAGCTGAATTAAAAGCGTTGTTAGCTCTGCAACCCACAAAAGGCCACCGTGGAGCATTGGACTTACAGTAGTGCCCGCGCATCCAAAAACCACCGCTTGCACACGAGCGCGCAGTGCGCCAGGTCGCGCATGTCGCATAGCATGCAGCCATCGCTTGTTGATTCCTCGGAAGTGTCATATGTATTATCGACCGTGTGAGGACAAACAAAGGCAAAAATGCGCGCCAGCACCGTCCGGGGTAAGCGTTTGGTGCAGTCTCGGCCTGGTACGCGCGGGGGCGATGGAGGCTCGGTCGCGACCCCCGCACTGCGCCTGGAGCTTCGGCGGATCTTGTCGAAGAGGCCCATCTTACGAAGAAAAAAGTATCAAATCGAAAGATGAGAGATGATAGAAAGGAAATAAAAGAGAGGAGAGAGGAGAACAAAGCGCATGTTTGATGCAGGGTCCGCCCCGTACGCCTCTTAATATCCTAACAGGGATGAAACACCAATCAAGACATCGTTGGCATCTTAAGCGCTGTATCAAAGCCTTCACACTTATATATAGTTGCGTTTGAAATAAGCAAATCAGGTAATCAGAAACCCAATTAGACTCTTACAGCAATGGTTTCATTGGCGCCTATAACTTATAACTGCATCCACTAAATCTATGGAGAGGCTGAAGGGTTTTAGCTTCATGACATCATAAAATTGGGCTGTTGTGTATGAAGATTCTGTTAAAGAAACGGAAATATCCAATGGTTCAAGGATCTAAAGTCTATTTAAAGCCTAGATCTTTAGATATTCCATTCATTGACATCGGGTATGTCGAGGTAATTCCCTGTTTCTCTTTGCAGTTACCCGTCATCGATTGACATCATTGGGCCCCTGGTTTTTCCTCTCGTTTTTTCCCTTCACTACTATAAAATTGGACATAGGATTTCTCTTTGCTCAGACACCATACACTCTTCATATCTTATCAAACAAATATTCAACACAATATTCAACACAATATTCAACACAACCATGGCAGACGCAGACTTGCCTCTCCCTTGTCCGGCATTCACCAACACAGTCCACGAAGATACTCTTTCAGACGAAGATTACAAGCACCGTCCACCATATGTAATGAAAAATGAAGCTGAATTTGGAGCCAAATGGCGTGGAAAGTGCGTATGTGGGAAAGTGACCTATCTCCTCAAGCAAGAAAAGCCTCTCAATGCCAAATACTGTCATTGCCATGGCTGCCAGGCTCTTCACGGTGCTCCCTTCCAGTGGGCTGCCATCTTTCACAAGGAGGACATGTCATTTATCAAGGGGTCCAGCGGTCTGGTGTTCTATTCCTCGACTCACCGATCCCAGACATATAATCTGCCAACTAAGGTTACTTGTGAAGACTGCCACACCCCTCTCATGGACGAAGGTCGGAATGCGTGCTTAGTCTTTCCGGAATCGATTGAAGTTGAGGGATCGGACGAGGAACAAAGGCGGAAGAAAGAGCCATTGAAACCGACGTATGTTCTGACACGCTTCGATCCATCGTGGATACTAACAAATTGAATAGATGTCATATCTTCTACGGGTCACGTATGCTCGACATTCCTGACGGTCTTCCAAAATGGAAAGGAATGGAAAATGCTAGTGAACGTTTGGATGATCAAGGTAACCCGATCAGTACTTAGCAGGGAACAAGACGGATAGCAACCGACCACATTGGTCTGAGTACAAGCGTTGCTTGAAATGCGACGAGTGGTATTATTGCATTCAGGGCGGTTGGGAATACCAAATGAAGGAAGCCCATGTATAGTAGACATATTTGACCCAATTGTTTTTAAATTGATATAATATAGTCTGATTGACCTACAATCTACGACGCACCACAAACACCGGACTGCACAGAAGGCGGGTTACTAGTTGCGCTCCCCCAATCCGCAGCCCCAATTGCTTTTCCAGCATCGGTACTATCGTCGGCTCGGATCTATATTTGTTAGCACTGCCCACATACTGCAGAGGGAGAACTTTACATAGTGTTGCGGTTCAACAAAGTGCCACCAATCCTGGCTGCGGAATGCATTGTCCAAAGACTGACTCGCCGGGTCGTTCCAGCCAGTGTTGCGAGTATCGAAGTGAGCATGCTTCGACCACGACACATACACCTTGGGGTGGTCGTTGTTCTTCACTCCGTTTGGATCCTTTGCTTTGCCGGCGTTTACCTCGTCGGTAGTAAGTGTATTTTGAATATCACCCCACGCTAAATTGTGATAACCACTGTGTGCAGAGAGCAGTGCCCGTGATGGCGCCCACATATTGTTGGCATCGCGAGAATGGATAATCACCACTCGCTCCCAGTCGCTAAAGCCCATGTTAGAGGTCAAACGAAGGCTCTTGTTTTAGCTACTTACTAGTCATGTCCAGTGTTGATACCAGAAAACTTGGCACCATCCTTCTCATAGAAGAGATTGTACACCACGCGCACCTCGGCATCGTTGCATTTCTGGTATGTATAGTATATCGGGAAGGCAGGGCCAGCATTCCCAATACCAACACCAGGATTGCGACACTTGCACCCAACATTTGGGTAGTCGCACTGCGGCGCAGCAGGTGTTTTGTGAGAATTGTCATATACATCTGCAGCGTTCGGAGAGCCACCGAACGCCCATGTCGGGTAGCAAGGAGGCTGGTTCTGAGCTTGACCAAAGAACCACATGGGCGCATAGCGGTCTGCTAAATCTACGCCGCCAGCATTGAGGAGTGAGCCCATCTCATCATCGCTGATCTGGGTAACGGCGAAGACATTGCGAGCAGCGAGAAGAGCCAAGCCGGCTCCCAACTTGAAATGCATCGCGCGACGATTATGGTACGCAGGTGGCCTACTGCAGAGGGTGGACGTAAATATTTTTTTCGGGGTTTGGGGGTTTAAATCCTGAATCGTATGGGCTCAGTTGGTATATTCGGAAGACCGCAAGGACATAGATGACCTATTTCCCAATCGGGCGAAGACCTGCTAAGGGTCACATCGTGCCGGGCGGGTCTGTCTTAGCCCCGGAGATACCATGCGCATGGGGAATCTGGTGGACAACAGCATTTGCCAAGCCTAGTATGTATGAGTCTTACCAATTGATCGAATTTCATGGAGTTAGGACAGTTGCACCCGAGTTATCCGTTGTCAGAAATGGTAAATAGGGATTCGTCAGGGAATCAGGATCTGAAACAGTCAGATCTAAAGTGGATATTAGTTTTGGCCCGTCAGCGATCTTTAGAGAAACTGGTCCCTGAAATAATGGCCTTGCTTTGAGAAATGATCAGATTAAAGGTAGGATGCAAGCTGAACAAAGAAGGCTTGCAATTTTAAAGCTTCCCCTCATCTGATCCAAACACCAAAACCTTCACAGCCAGTGGGGCATAAAATCTGAAACAAGCTAGATTCTGGATTCTTTTTCTTTTCCAATCGTATCTTATTGTATGCCTGTTGAATACCAATCTTCATGTACCAGAATTGACCCTCAAGAGGTATACAGAGATCTGTCACCTCATTCTGACAAAGCGACATAGAAATGGACCTCAAAAGCATCTGTTGATACAATTCTGACCTGGCAAATAAGGATATGCGAACATTACCCCTCATTTGGCAATTGTTATAGGTTGAACATCGGTAATAAACGAAATGTTACAATGATGTCCTGATTTTTCCATCTTGTTCCGAACAGAGCATGACTGCTTTAGCTAATAGGACCGACAGCATCATCAGGGGAAGCCAAGAACCGCACAAGGGTGCCATTGAACTTGGCCACCAGACACGCAGCAAAATTATTTCTGGCAGGCCGGCTCTTGTCGCGAGAAGAGTCATCAAGTTATCCGTACCCGGAAAAGTAATCAGTATGTGCTCCCTCATATTCGAGTCCTTGGAAAGAGGCTCATGAACGCGTCCCGTTGCAGTCCCAAACATGATTTTATCCAAAATAGGAAAGTTCTCATGCAGGACGATCGAGTCGAGATGCGTATCTGCGGGCCAGGAGGTGCTGTTCGCAACTATGTTAGCCCAATCAATTGTTTCTTGCTCGATTGAATCGATATGCTGTTATTGGATCATGGCCAGAAGGTCACGAACTCGGGTAGTCGGTTTGATTGAAACTTGCACAGGCGTCATATTGAGACACATTCCGATGATACCCTGCCCTGCTTCCGGTTGGGCGGCCCGAAAATTTGTGACTTGCCCAAATAGCACATCCGTCTTCCCAGATTCTTGTGTTAAGACATATGCCCAGGCCGCCTTGATTGCTGTAGCCATCGTGATTCCGGTTGTCAGCGCGGCATGTGAGCATGCCCTGAAGTAGATGACATCGGCTGGCTCTGCGTTTGACAATTGCGGTAATTTGGTCACCTCATTTCCCTGCAGAATACCCCTCTTGTACTCAAAGGCCTGTGGTGCGCGTTGACGCGCGCAGACCCGCCGGTAGCTTGTGGAACCTGCTTCTGGGCGCCAACGTGAGGCGGTTTCCGGATCAGTGAAGATCCTCTCAATTTGTTGAAGCAAAGGACCACAATAGACACCATCGTATTAGACATGAGAGACACGGACGACAAAGACGGACTTGTTGAAATCACGATGGATAAGCGTGAAACCGACTATAAATTGGCTTGTGCGCATTTATTTTCGCTTACATGGCCTTGCTAGTTGTCTTATTTGATCTGAATAAGATCGAGGATTTGATGCTTGCATGGCAGACCCATTGAGCTAGAAAAATATACAGTGCACTGGGTAAGTGGGCCGGTTTGGAGTACCATTTCACGCTGCTTATGGACCAATCAGACCACATAATTCGAGACATGGGATCGAATGCTCTTATACAGGGCATTACATGACATGTTGGGAGTTTGATCTATCAATTTTAGCTTGATTCAGAAGTCTGCTTGCTGATGCTCGCTTATAGTATCCACTACTCTAAAAACAGTTATAAAGCGATCCTCCATTAAGCTCAATCCGGCCCACTTGCTTAGTGCACTGGCTATTCCACTAGCTCAAGGGGTCTGCCATGCAAGTATCGAATCGACAATCTTATCAGATGAAATGAGGCAATCCGACTGAACGCAATCGGCCCATTTGCTATATGATGCCCGTTCCACGTGCATAAATGCGCCTAACCCAGGCGCCAAGCATCGAACCTTCCAAACCGATGGGAGATGGCTAAACCAGGCAGGATGGAGGGGATGGGGTGTGATTATATGGCTCGGTTACTTTTTGGTCTTGTTTGTCTTGTTCGTTATGTTTGCCTGCTTAGTTGCTTCTATCAGGTCTAAATGGCCTGAATTGGGCAAGATGGGATGAAGTCCATGTTACTTGCTCGTATGTATGTATGGACATCATTTTGATATTGATCGCATGATTCGGGTTATCTAACCTAACAAAGGTCTCAATTCCAAGGTTTTAACCTGGTTTTCCCGAAAAACATCCATGGATGCTCCAGGACTTAGTAAACAAATTAGTCAGAAACGTCGTGTATATGATGTTGTGCATTAGAACTCTCTAAACTCTCTAAAGTATTAAGGCACCTGAGCTAGAATACACTCCGAGATCTTATGGTCTCCATCTATCCACGTGTGATAGTGACAAAGATAATGAGCCACAGTGACAATAAAACCCGTTCCCACCCGCCCCACTTCACATATATAAGCACCGAAATCACTCTTGACATTTCCTAGCAGCACACCCCTACCCTAAATCTAACAAAAATGGCTCATCCTAATCCTAGAGTTGGAATTGGAGCGTTCATCCTCAGGGATGGAAAATTTCTCATCGGCTGGCGAAAGGGAAGCCATGGCGCTGGTGCGTGACGCATACCACACATATTATATGTGTTATCAAATTAACTATCTGCAGGAACTTGGGCTCTACCCGGGGGTCATCTTGAATTCGGCGAATCGTTCGAGGAGTGTGCTGAGCGCGAGACGCTTGAAGAGACGGGCTTGAAGACTCAGGATTGGCGCTTTTTGGATTGCAGCAATTCAGTGTTTCACGATGATAATAAGCATTATGCTACGGTTTGGATGGCTGGGGTTTGTTGTGATGAGAAGGCTGAGGCAGAGGTTCGTCGTCCTATCTCTTTTCTTGTTGTTTTCTCTTTATCTTGCTTTTTGTGTATCTTGCGTCTGTATATGGCTGACAAGTATATCAGATTATGGAGCCCGAGAAGTGCGAGGCTTGGAAATGGGTCTCGTGGGATGAACTGCGGGCCTATGAAGAGGAGCAATTATTTTTGCCTCTTTTAGATTTGTTTGGACAGCGGCCTCACTTTCGGATTTAAGGCGATATGCTAGATAAATGGTCGAAATGAAGATCGATGGAGTTTTGTGAGCCTCGCTGTTTCTGACTGTGTTATCTACAGTGCCAGTCCATGTGTGCCATGAGGTTTCTTGGCCGCCTGCTTTTTCCATTAGCCCTATAGGAGGCAAAATGAATGCCAAACACAATGTAAGGTAAGACGACTCATCGGAAAGTATTCATAGTCAAATCTATCAAAGCTCTCTACCATCAGTCTAAACTCCGCAAACTACGATACTCAATGTACGCCTTGAAGTTTCACACTGATTTGAGTCTCCAACACAATATGCTTCCTAGCGCTTTTCGGTCCTTGTTGGCCTCACGCGTCGCGTCACTAAAAGTGTTCCTACCGCGCGATATCTTCACGATCGGGTCACAACGGATTTCATCACCCATGATGCGACAGGAACTTTGGTCGCCAAGAAGGTACCAGTCTTTTCTCTGTAACTCAGGAGATACTTATGTTGTAATCGATACAGGGGCTGGTGCTGCAATCAGGGCTGCCAGCCCCTTTACACCAGCTTCTGCTAATTCTGAGGATAAATGTAAACTTACGTTTTTCCATGACTCAAACAGTTTGGCTTTGGTCAGTTATTAACGTAAGAGATTTCTGTACAACCAATGCTCACAGTTTGTCCTTAATGCCAGAATCATCGAGTTTTCCCGCCTATATGTCCCAGCCCAAAAACCTCGCCAAACGGAGTCAAATACAAGCCCTGCAACTTTGTTGATAAGTGGCAAGATGCACGAGATAGTACTAGATGGAACTCTCGATGGTAGTGTGACGTCCCCTTTTTTGCCCCCTTCTTGCGGATACTGACTCGTAATATCTATAACAACATTTGCTGGGCACTCACGTGCTTCTGCACGGAGCTTGGAAATCATTCTTGACCAACTGAAGATATGTGAAGTCAAATCTCGAAGCCATTGAGAGCTAGTATCTTATTGACTGCTTAAAGTCGTAATAGTTTCCCTGTCTATCTCCAGAACATGCATCGGTCAATCCATCCAGAAGCCATTCCACTTGTCGACGATTTCGACCACAAATATGAGGCTAATACCCAATGGTCGATCTTCACCCCATGGTTTCTGTAGTTTCCGTAACAAGATGTTCTGCCACGGATTTGTAATAGTCTGACAAGGCCTCATTTCATGATTGATTTGAAAAGTGTGCCGTGAGCATAGTAGGAGTGCATCTCAACCTATTGAAATAACATCACACCACACTTTTGATGGGTAAAATTTCTCACTCTACTCAAAGTATGGCTTTTCATTAAAGAGCTTGGTCGCAACCTCCATATCATGACCAAAGATCAGTCGAGCATTATACAGCCTTTGAAGCCTGCGAATCATATTCAAACTGCGATACCACGCATTGTGATCTCTCGCTAGTCCACCATGGGGATGTCCGAGCTCATAATTCTCCGAAACATGAAATTGATCCGTAGTCCAAATAAACGGTCCATCATTGGCAAGATTAACTTGCATAATGCAGAGCCCAGGTGTGTGGCCGGGTGAGTGGTAGATGATAATACCTTGGAAGAGATCCAACTGCGACTCGTTGAAGGTGGACCACTTGAGCTTCTCGAGAAGCATGTAGTGCCCAAGATAAACTCCTAGGTCTGCACCAGTTGCAACTGCCCAGCAGGCGTGCTTGAACTCTTCTTCGTGGACATAGATTGGCACATCTGTGCCCACGAAGTGCTCAAGACCACCAGCATGATCAAGATGAAGGTGACCGATAATTACAGCCTTAACGTCCTTGATATCGTTACCAGTGGCTTTAATGGCGTTTGGAAGTCTGTGTTTGTCGGCGTATTCAACTCGCGGAAAGACATCCGTAATCGGTGCAGGCCAATGCTATGTTTTATTCAGTTGCGGAACAATGATTCTTTGAAAGAGGGTGACAAACCAGTTCTAGATCCTCGGCACATCCCGTCTCATACAGAATGAGGCCAACTCCTGGGTACTCAATGAGAGCCGAAAGAAGTATCAGATCCCGACGTTTGTTCGGTGGGTTGAGATCGCTCAATTTGCTCGTATTGGCGCCTCTAAGGATCCTAAATCTGGTCAGTGAAGCTTTTTATGCGTTGGCTTCTATACACAGACCAAGACTCATCTGCTTGAAGAGTTCCCAGGTTCAGAATGTGCATTTTTGTTCCAGCGGGACATTTGAACGCAGGAATAGCTGCATTTACCATCAAAGAAGCAGGGTCAACAGAAGCCATTTCTTCGTTTGGTTGGGGATATCTAAATGTTGAAGATTTTATAAAATTGAATATCGTCACGACGGGTTTTGATTTCGGATTTGAGGGCCCATAGATCGGAAGCTCTTCCCCGCATGCTAGGCCAAACAAGTTCCCACTCTCGGTGGGCTTTGAAATCAAGTCCTTTCGCACAACCGGATGTACATAAGAGAGGGGTTTGCTTACCCGAGATACAATATCCGAGATCTAGGTAGCCGTCCCATTGAGTCAGAAGATATCTTAGGTGTACCCTTACCAGGATTCTCAATATATCCATAAATACTATTCTGATTTCATGCCATTCCCCGATGTTTCATATCATGCACAGTTACTTAAGTAAACTGCTAGGCTAGCTAAAGAACATAATTGGCACCACAATAGAATATGACGATGGCGAAATGTGTTGTCATTGTCGTGGGAAAAAAGACCACAAATTCGTCCTTATATTGCGCTGTTTACATTTTTATTATATGCAAAAATACATGTTGCTTGGACTTTCAATAACATAACAAATATCCTTGTAGATCTGGAAGTGCCACAATATGTTGCGTTTGCTTTAGGCACAATATCTCCCAAATAGCAAGATGCTTGGGCAGCTCATTCATACCTAGGTATCGGCCTAAAAGACAGTAAAAGTACTGACTTCATGAATCCTGCAATATATAGGTAGCTTTATGTACCGGACTTCAGACTACAAGTGCATTGCAGACAAAACAGCCCTGGAGGTGTTGGCATAATTGATTTATAAGACCATCGAGTTCCCAAAAATATATAGTGAATAAGAGTTAACGTCTAGCTTCAGCCTCGACATAGCCTCACCTAGGAAACAATATCTCATGGATTGGACATGCTTTTCAAATTTGCTAGCTGCTAGGATTTGAATATATATCTAAGAAATACCCATGGTTGACCGTGAATAAAGGCTAACCTTCATACACAGAGATGAGGAAGAATTCTATTTCACATGATACCTTTAGAGCTTTCCTGATGAGCTAAAATGACAGGAGATAAATATTAGAGGAAAAAGGAGAAGCTATGAGTCTCTACCAATGTATAGATACCATGAGATACAATCGCTCATAGATCATCTCGGCAGCAATGACATCAGAACCCGAGCCCTCAGAACCCCACACTCTCACTTATTTTCTCCCATTCAACTCTCTCTTTCACTCTCTTTTCTCTCGCAACAATCAAAATGTCCTGGTCACAGAAAAACTTCACTCTGCCCACCCGCAGCCGCGGCTCCTACCTCATCACTGACCATGTTCTCCAAGAGGTGCCCGAGATTCGCGACTACAAAGTCGGCATGCTGAACCTCTTCGTGCAGCACACGAGTTGCGCACTTTCGCTGAACGAGAACTGGGACGACGATGTCCGCGCCGATATGAGCGATGCGCTTGATCGCATTGCACCTATGGATAAGAAGGGGAACTTGTACCGCCATTCTGCGGAGGGCGAGGATGATATGCCGGTATGTTTTGGTTTTTTTTTGGCGGGAGGTTGATAGATATATCGGCTCTGCATATCCAGTTCTGGCTATATCGGTCGCAATACTCTAGTTTAAATACTGATCATGGCATTGGTAGGCTCATATCAAATCTGCCCTCATTGGCGCGTCGGTAAACATCCCGATTACGAACGGTCGGTTGGCAACCGGAACATGGCAGGGCATTTGGTATCTGGAATTCCGCACAAGCCGACACAGCCGCAAGGTTGTCGCGACAATCCAGGGCCAGAAGATGGCATGACTGGATAGCGGGGCAGAACGCGGGCAATTGTAATCATATAAGATGCGCCAGCTACCATTTACAAAGACAGAAACCAAGATTGGGTTGGGAAGAGTCGACATATGACCCTAATTATATGAGATCATAATATTCGGGTAGTCGGAGTAGTACAAACATTTTGAGGACTATTTCATCACACACGATCGAAGGCGGATCCATTGATCGATATTCTGTACACGGCCTCGGGCCCAAATCCAATTGAAAAACGCAAATTGTTCAACGCCAAAAAAAGAAATCTCATGCTAGTGGTTTATCGCTGCTCCAGACCACCTTCGGTCACACGCTGGGACTCGTTGACCTCGGCGGCGTCACCAGTGGGCTCGAGGGGGTAGCTGGTGGCGGGCAGGGACTTCAGGTAAGCGCGGTGGTGCTCATGGGCCTACAAAATAGTCAGTAACAATTCATTGGCCAGCCCCCGGTGGACGAAGAGGGCGTGAGTGAACATACGAAAGGAACACCGCAGTATCCGCAAGGAACGATCTCGGCCTTGTCGGTGTTGATGAAGACCTTGGGGTGGCCGAGGGGGCCACCGCCACCGTCACAGCTGACGACTCTGGACTTTGTCCAACGGACGGGCTGTCTGTGAATAAGCTCGATAGCGGCATATGGTTGCGGCTGGAAGGTAGGAGTTAGTCAACCAATCATGAATAGATATATAACGCCGACTCCAATTGCGCCGAAAACAATCTATCGAGGCAAGTCATACCTGGGCTTCCATGATGGTCTGCTCAAAGCGAGGGCCAACCATGGCCTTCTCGCGCGGCTGCTGGTTGGAGGCCCAGGTGGTGGCACGGTTGGGAGCCTGCATGCTGCGAATCCGCTCGCCGACCTCGGGGGACTCCTGCAGAGTACCAGCTGGAGGACCGAAGGATTGAGTAGGCTCGGCATTGGTAGCGGAGACATTGGGCGAGGGCTTCCGCGGGGTCGGGTCGTTGGCTGGGATGGGGTTCTCGTTCAGACGAGGGACGGTCGAGGAGTAGGCGCGGATAGCGAAGCGCGGGCGGGCGGACGCAAAGGTCACGAGTCGGCGACCACAGGACATCATGCTGGGCAAATTTCCACAGGTGGTGGTTTGTGGTGAAAGACGAAAAGAGCGTTGGCAAGGGACCAGGTTCAAGGTCGGCAATGAATAATCCGCGAGGTGTGGTTTGGTGAACTCTTACCGCCTGCAGGTTTCAGGTAGCTCCACCTGCACTTATATTTCTGCCGCTTCATTTTATTTTGCGCATTCGGAGTTGATATCTTTCTCTCTCTCTCTTTTCAACTAGACTCAATTAGACTAGCTATTCTTATCATGGCTGGCTCTTCATCCCCGGCTGGAAAGCCTGAAAAGACCATGTCGTCGAATCTATTGACGATGAAGGTAGGAAGCACCGTGTTTTCTTTGTAGTTATCAAACTAATTACCTCCCATAGTTCATGCGCCGTGCTGCAGCTGCCAAAGAGAGCTCGCCTGCAGAGTCCGTTCCTCACACTCCTAAACGCGCCCGCCTCTCGACCGAGGCTGAAAGCCCCCGCACCTCCGATATGGATGCGATCACAGCTGCGCTTGCAGCCGAAGAGCAAAAGCGACAGGAAGCTGTATCGAGGGCGGCCGAAGAAGCGGGTGAGACACATTGGGTGTTGAATTTTCCTGATGCACCACAATACAACCCGCAGCCTCTCGTATTGGCGGCAGATTCGCTGGACGCAGATGATAACGCCTACTCTGGGGGGCGGCAGGCATTCGGCAATTTCAAACGCAAAGAGCGCCAGGTAAGTGCTTATCCTCAGATTTTACTTTATCATCCTAATTTCTCGAAGCCGCAAGCTGGCCTGAGCAAGGAGGAAAATGACCATCGCAACGAAGATGACGATGAAATCGTGAACCAACACAAATTCGATCCCCAGGGCGACAAATTCCAAAATTTCAGAGCCAGGGAAGAAAAGCGAAAGCAACCAAAGCTATCTCAACTGACCAGTATCTCTGGAAGCGGCGGCCGAGGGGGACCGATGATGGGAGGCCCATCATCTGATAAGAAGAAGAAGCGCAAGAGCCGTTGAACAAACGGTCCCTGGCTTCAATCATGATATTGAACACTTTGATTTGACGTTTAGCGAAGCATGGTTTACGGCGTCTTTTGAATTATAAAAGTCATATCCTCAGTATACCAGATGACAGTCATATTACCAATGGACAGATACCAAATACAGTCTTTCATACAAATCATCTATCAAGGCCTAATCGTGTGTAGGGCCCAGTTCCTAGTATAGCTACAATATGTACATTACCGCAAAAATGAGTCCTTAATGCCTAAATATCATGCGGAGAGGAGACAACCCTCAAAGCTTCGCCTTCTCTTCCTGCTTCTTCCTCTCCCACCCCTTCTTGGTCGCAAAATTCACAATCAGGTTCCAAGCAGCAACCCCAAACCCAACCGGCGGCGCAGCCAACAACGCCCACGCCCACCACCTCGGACTAGAAGCCGCAATACTCCCCATAGCCCTCTTGACCGCAACCTCCAACTCCGCTTTATCAGCATCATTCCACACAACGACCCCGCGCGCGGTGGCAGTCCCCCGGAACTCAGCCTGCGTCGCTTTCGTGCGCACATCACCCTGACTGCGAACGCGATTCTCCGCGTCCTCGGCGGTAAGATGCGCGTCGCGGGCGCGCAGCCTAGCCATCTGGATCTCCGGATCATGGACACCAACCACGATGACCGTGCCGCAGATGAGATCCATGCCGCTTTCGAATAGGAGCGGGACATCGAGGACAACGGCCCATTGGCCGCGCAGATAGTGGTAGATAAGGGATTTGTAGACTTCCCAGCGAACGGCGGGGTGAACGATGCCGTTGAGGACTTGGCGGTCGCGTTTGCGCTCTTCTGTGCTACCGAAGACGCGGCGGCCGAGCGCGGGTCGGTTCAGTGGTTTACAGCTTGGGTTGGCGCCATCATCTAGGAGGAGGTCGGGGGTGCTGGGGCCGAAGTAGTTGACGATGGCTTTGTAGCCTGCGGTGCCGGGTTCAACGACCTTGCGGGCGAGGAGGTCGGCGTCGATTATTGGGAGGGAGTAGGGGGGCTGGAGAGGATGCTTGATACAGTTGACTTGCCCGTTGCTATTGAGCCGGTGAGCCCGATGATCAACATATTGGCTGATTATTGAGTTGGTAAGAGGTTGAATTGAGGTTGCGGATGCGGGGAGATCATTATAGCCTCGGCTCCGCATTTGGACTGCCTACATGTAGGTATGAGTTTCGCGTTTAATTAGAACGGCAGTCAGAAATGATTTATAATCTGATTTAGCTTGGATGCTAGAAATTCTTGAATTCGCTATGTCCAGGAAAGGACTTGCTATATATCCAATCGGAGAGATCTTCAATTAGGACAAAGAGATCCTCACCCTGAGTGGTTCCGGCCGCGATTTCTTTGAGTCGCGACCGACATATGATGTCGGTTGGTACTGACAAGTGTATTGCAAGAGCAGGACATCCATTCGATGGCGCCTGTATGCAGCAAATGAGCACGACTTGACTCGTCAAAGCAGTGAAAGGTGACACGGGGCGCCGGCTTGAGTGATTGATTCGTTGAACTTGTCACCACTTTCAAGTTTCTGGCAATCCACGTGAAGTGTCTTGTGCTTGGCCTTTCCATCCAATATGAGGCCATCCTTTAGGCAGCGAAGAATACGGTGGCAAAGCATAACGGTCATCACAACCGCCCTCCCACGGGCAACTCAGATCACACAGCCCAAACACTTTACAGTAGCACTCCGCGGCATTAGGACAATGCACAGGGTTCTTTCCAAATATCACTAAAGTACTTGTCAGCATACGGTATCGAGGAAGAGACAGGAGTCGCATACTATGCCACGAATATTCCATAATTCGTCCACTCAAATCATCTTGTAAAGGGGTTGTCGACAGCCATTCGCGGTAGCGCTCATAGTCCTCGCGCGGCCGCTCCAACACCTTCGCGCGAGACACGCCGAACTGCGCGCAACAGGACACGCCCACCTCCTCCGGCACGGGGGTGCCGGGGAACAGCTCCATGAACCCGTTCTTGAAGTATTCGCCTGCATGTACGTCGTTGCGATGCGTGTCGGTGAGTGGGCGGATCTCCGCAGGGCATCCCAGTGTCCAAACACAGCGCAGGTTGACGTATCCCTGTTCTTGTAAATATGGAATCTGGAAATTTTGTAGCGGCGGGACGCCGTCGTAGTATGGGTCGTCGTTATGCCATTGGAAGCGCTGTGAGTGAATGAAAAGCATTGTTTCGGGTAGATTATTGTAATTGTCAATAATATATCTGGTTTAGAAGCTTCGGTCAGTACGGGGGTACCTTTGGGACAAGTAACTGCAGCACGTTGAACTCACGACAGATAGACCATCGACTCGCGCCCTTTATTGGTCGCCACCGTCAACGGTGCGCGTTTGTCGTTCACCACGTAGATATTCTTTGTCCAGTCGGGGAAGTTCTCTGACAGCCACGACGTGTCATCGCTTTTCATGCTGGCCACGACCATGACCTTTTGACTCTGGGCAACAGGACGAGCCAGCTCGCCTGCAGGTTTTGAAGTTGTTGCGGCGCCATGTCGGTCTGCATATGTGCCGATTTCGGTTTTGACGGGAACGTTTGTGGTTGTTTTGGTGAAGAACAGTAGGTAAATGGCGATGACGATGAAGATGGTGAGGAGGATAGCCTTGATCCGACTACGGCGACGGGGGCTCTGAGGTCCACTGGGGGCGAATAACATGTTGTATGGAGGGCACTATGCCCGGTGGTCAGGTCATTGGGAGGTTGCGGAGGTCAAACTCGCAGGAGAAGCGGGAGTTGCAAAGCCCCCACCCGGAGCTTTACAGATCCGGGGTAGGTAAATCAGAAGTACAACTACACATGTATTCACGTGGGTAAGGGGTATAGGTAAACAAATTATAAACTCAATTGTCCGAATATCAACATGTCACAAGTTTCGAATTCTCCACACTTGATCGACGGCTCTAAATGGTTAGATGTTGACTGGTGCACTGTAGTATACTGTACATACCCAAGGCTGACGCAATATGCAATCAACCGCAACCGCAATTGAATCCTATTATATTGTTCTTTTATATAAAGTGGTGAGAGGCAATGAATTGGGATAAAACAAAATTATAGTTCATGATTACAAGAACAATGCGTATTTCAGCCTAAGTTCGTGGTTATCATCTAGATGGAACCATATCCAACAATTCAATTACTATGCAAGAAATTTCAATCTCAAACTAAATGACCTCTAGATATAGTAATATTCCAAGGCGAAGCTGTTTCTTCATGCAAGATCGTTGGTCATGTACATTAACGTTGGTTATATACAGGTGCCTGCACCTACGTATCTCATCAAATCATGGTCTTCCCAAACCAACCATCCCACACTAATCACATGCATCAATATTTCCCAAGTACCAGTTATGGGCTTCAACATCCGGGCTCAATGTTCCAGCATTGCCGGACTTGGAGCCTACACCTTCAATCACCTCGATATCGGACGAGGTAACCGTAGCCACGTTGCCGCTAGTAATCCAGTACTCGGGGCTTGGGTGGCTAAATCCAAAGCTTGAAGGTGGCAGCTTAGGCACGATATCATCTGTGTGTGTCACTCGCCAAAGACTAGCTTGGCTGGTGATGTATGTAGCCAATGCAACGTTCCCGACTCGGGGCTGGCCGTAGGTATACTATGGGTAGATTGTTAGTACCATATCAAGAGTCAATCTAAGAGTACGTACTATCTTGAGGGTTGATCCTCCATTAATCAACGCGGTGCCTCCTAGTGCAGCAACGGCTCCACCAAAACTGTGCCCTGTCAGAACAAGCGTATAGCCAGAGTATGTGGACTGCGCGGACGTGATCTTAGTTGCCAGATCAGTTGCAACAGTCTCCCAAGCTTCTAGGAATCCGGAGTGGGCTTTGCAGCCGCTGCACAGAGAAGTGGCATCGGTCAAGCCGAAATTGATGTTGGCAATCCAGTTACTAATGGACCGACTGCCCCGGAATGAAACGACCAGGAGTTTATTCGTCTTATCAACGGCAAGAAAGCCAGCGACATTGCCGTAGGAGCAGGTCCTAGCACACAAAAACAAGGTTAGTCAAGGGCCTACGGAGAAGTCTTGGAAGGTTCGTACCGGTCAAACTCCCACAGAGTTGTTGTATCCGCAGACTGCACAGAGGGACAGTTGCCTTCCTCGCAAGAGAGCGCATTACCAGTTGAATTGATATTGTTCGCGCAGTATGATGCCGCAGAATACTGAGCGAACAAACTTAACTGGCTAAGCACACTGGCCGACACATCTATGTCGTATAAGCTACCGAGCACATCATCGACACAAGACGATAAACTACATACCTCTAGGAACCGGACGAGAAGGAGCAGCAACCGCCAGCACTGCAAGAGCGGCGACACTCCACAACCGACCTAGAAGAAGCATCATGGGATCTCTCTTTCTGAATTAGGGCTGTCTCAACGGCTGTGCATACAACCAAGAACAACCACGCAGACACAGCTTCTTATATGCATTCCAATTCCCTAAGGGCCCATATAGATGCACAATTCTCCCACTGGCCAAATCCTCTAGGAGCGGGGTATTAACGTGACCGCGCACCCGCTACATACGTGAATCCAAAGTAAGCTCTTGCTCCGGTCCATGGCGCTTTTTTTGTGCGCGTGACCGGTGGGAGTCCGGTATGATCGGCATGGCATTCATGCAGCTGTTGCGTATGCCTGGAATGTGGCCCGGCGTGGGGAGGCATGGCATCGTTTTGAGTGGCTGGTGGTTAGCTTATACATACGGTATGTTGTAGAAGGTGGAGGGATAGTGGAGTATGTTCCTTCCATCCTTCTAAGAAGGTTCCACTCATTCCACTCACTCTACTCATCTATCATCATCACATGATGGGGCCAAGGCCAATGAGGGGTTGCAGGGCTTGTTCCTGGCACGGAGTTCCGTTTATTTGATTATTTCTCCGGGGTGGGGATATGACTTCCGTGAAGATGAACTATTTGGGTTCTTTGCAGGATGAGACAAATGACATTCGGGTACCGCGGGTTCCTCTTGGCGTGCATATACTCCCAAGTCGAGGACGATCTTATCTCATCTCATACCAATCGCCCGGCGGTACTTCGGGAGATTGTATACATGCGGAAAGTCGACCAAACTTAACTTTCGACTTTAGCATTTTGCCGGAGAATTTGTACTTTTCTACGCTTTTCCTTTTTCATGATAGTGGAATATGTTGAGCTTCCGAGGTTTTCATTGGTATTACTCTCAAGAAGCCGAGTATGGTTCCTTGTACGTATTGTGGAAATATGGGATCTTTCTTCCTTGGTTATATGAGGTATGAAACAATTGTGCGGACAGATTTGTGATATGCAGGGTACACGTTGGACTAATATTCAGTCCACTATACTATTATCCTGCCTTATATCTCCACTTGTATGAAAAGACTGCATCACTTGACTACACTAATTTAGGAAGCTAGACAAACACATCGCTGTCATGAGTAAAACCGGACACAGGATTTTAGGGCTTCTGGGTATCCCAGTCTCACGAAAAGCCTTCCTGAGCTATGCCATCCCTTGACTTCATATCGTATCAAGTACTCTGTACATCAATAAGGAAATATTGTTAGACTTCATCGATAATTTACTAGACTTCCCCAGCAGGGATCGTGCACCTATATCGTATCCCAGGTGGACTTTTTGCAGCATTCAATCAAAAAACATTAAATAAAAACCGATCTCTAGAAAGATCCACTCGTATCATATCTTACTACTTATCTTTGGAGAGATTATCTAGAGATCTGCACCGATTATCGAGCGAGCTACCAAATTTATCGTGAAACCGTCTGATCATTAAGATTGCTTAAGTTTAATTTCATAGAGCTGGTATCAATTCTTCAAGATCTCCCAGCAAGGGCTTCGAACTCAAGACAATCCTGAAGCCATCATTTGAAACCATCACTTGTAAAGTCCATTCTCAACTTGAAATCATTTGAGCGATGCACCTGCAATTCCAGTTGTGACGAGTCATTGCAAGCAATACCTTCTGTCTTCAACTACTACTGGTGAGACTCAATCGGCATCCCATTCATACCATCCTGAGTTTCATCAGTCATGCCAGTGTCCTCGTCAGAGCCACCAGCAAGATGATGAATGCGGGGAGCAGGCAGAGGTAGACCAGGGGTCACGGCAACGACGTTATCGTTCTCATCAACCATCTCGAAATTATAACGTGAAAGAAGGTGAGGAATGGCCGACAGCTGAGGACCGTAGCGGGCAGTGTTATCGTAAAGTTCGAACAAAGGAACGGCGAGAAGCTTCATGTTCTTGGGAACAGACAGGACCTCTGGGGGAGTCAATTGTTAGTCCGGATCTTGTCTCAATGAAGGAAGCTGGACTGAACATACTCTTCTTGGGAAGCTTGATGAAGTACAACTTCTTACACTCCTTGGGGCGCGTGACATGGCCGGGAATGAACGGGTACATAAAAGTCTCAAAGTTGGGGCGCCACCATTGCGCAAGAGTATCGCTAATCTCCCAGTCATCATTCACACCCTCGCCAGAGAACTGCGATCCGACGGGTGCAAGGCGCTCGTTCAGGCGTTTCTTGAAACCATCAATCTCGTCGTCCTCGTGGTCCAGGTAGTCGCCTGGCCTGAAAGATATTAGTTGCATATTTATGCTTCAGCAAACATATGACCTACAGCTTGAAAAAGGCATTGGCAATCTGCAGCATCAGCACGTGGGGGTGGTTGTGTTCGTGACACACAAGAATACCCTCACAAGTGCGGCGCATGCCATGAACCTTGAAGTGCTCTTCAAGGCGCTTGAGGCGGGCGATGACCGAAGGGTCCTCCTCTGGCTGAGTCTCCTTGGTTCCAAAGGTGTAGTTCGATAGTGGGTAGAGCCGAATGGTTTCTGGCTGCTGTGCGGAGAAGTCCTTGGGGACAATGGGGCTAGTTATTGTGTTAGATTGGTCTGTGAGAAGGCCCTTGACTACGGATGCTGCCAATGGGAAAGAGAACTTACGGCTGCGAGCTGCGCAATCCCGAATCGAAACCCGATTCAGTGGTACTCGCCATCGTGGCAATTTGGTGATGATATTGCGTGAAAGGAAGAAGATGGCCCCGGGGTTGATCGCGATGGGAGCTCATGTTGTTATCGCTTATCGCGTTCTTCTGCCATTGACCGCCTACAAAGGGCTACCTACCAGCTGGATAAAGACGCACGTATCGGGCTGAGCTCGGGCGAGGAAGTTCGTTGCAATTTCAATGCACATGGTGTGTAAAATATGGCGCTCTGGTATCATTGTGATATAAAGAAATAGATAAAACATGTATAATTCATGGGTGAGTCCTCGTTGTTTGTGTATGGATGTCAAATTCATAATTGGGTAGGGCATGTTTGTAGGCTTTAATGTGTCACATTTCAATGAATCTGATGCCACTAACTATACAAGATCGCATGCAATCCTAAGTCCAGGCGTTGAAGTCATTCGCACCATCCGTACAAAATTGTGTTTACTCTCATATCCGCCTCCCATTGGTTCCGAAGTGGCGAAGTAGTTGCGTCCTAAGTTTGAAATTGACCTCGCTTCCGCGCTGTTCTGATAATCGAAACGCTTCCCACAGGTGATCGGGCGATGCTGGTCTATGTAGTAGGAATAGCTTCATGGATGGGAATGTTTAGAATACATGATATGGAGCGGTCAAAAAAGCGGTCGGAAATAAAGCATCTTCAGGCATTAACCTTAGGTAACCAGCACATTTGACAATCTTTGAGACCGCCTTATATCCACGCCATCATTCAATGATGAACAAACAACAGGAAAGTGTCACAAATAAACAATCCACACATATAGCCAGGTTGCCCCAATCTTTGTGTTCGCTTAAGCCATTTACTTCTACTCTTTCCATGTACTGAATTAGTGCAGCTCTGATCTATCTATCTACTTCTCCTCCATTGCCATAGCTGGTTGTAAAAACCTATCTAGTGTGAACTCTTAGAACATACTTCTATGCAATAGCTTTCCAAATAACATAGACAATATTATAGCTTCTATATTATCCTGTTTTATGACAATTCGCAACTTTCAACGTATCAACGAGCGCTATTCTACCTAGGTAAGATTACATAGGTCATCTTCTATCCGGTACCTATTGTCGTCGTTAGCATTAGGTATAGCGGATACCAGGCTCGAAAACTATCGGCCGTAAGGCTAACACCACGTTCCTGGTCCCTCCAGGGCTCCACCTTGGCATGTCGGACGAATCTGGGACCGTTGGGAGAGTAAATGCATACTCAATATTTACTCCGTGCTCAAAAAGCGACCGGTGAACACCAAAATAAAATGGGGAATCAGTATTAGGTACTTGGTGATATATCGTAGGTTGGAATGTATTAGAAATGACGGGTAATGAGATTCGTACGTATGTAAGTTCTTTGATTATTGTCTTCTTTCCGTGACTATACGAAATCTCCACAACACCCAACTCTCATATCATGCACCAGACCAACACCGGACCCATCCCCAAAACACAGGTTTAAAGCTTAGCATCAAAATCTTCGTACTCAGACAGATCTATAACAGGAACAGGACCAGCACTGACAGGCAAGCTAGCCTTGAAAGCAGGAACATGAGTAATGACGATAGGCTTAGGCACGCCATTGCCATTAGCGGAGCCTTGCTCATCAGCGCCAGAGCCAAGTCCCAGCTCCTTCAACTTGGGGCCAATGGTCTGCTCAAGCTTCTCGAGAACGGGCTCGATCTCCTGCTGGGACAGGCTCTTCTCGATGGCGAGGAAGTTCTTGACAACGAATACGATTTGGGACTTGTCGACGACGGTGGTCTCCACCTCGTCAAATGCAGATGCGAAACGACTAGCGTCGATAGTAATGCCAGCGGTCTCTAGTTGCTTGTTGAGGGCTGTGACAAGGCTGGCGCGCTGTTTGGATGGCTTCGCGTCGTCCTGGGCACCTGCTTGGGCGTTTAAGTGAATGGCGAGTTTGGCGCGCGTGGTAGAGGAGGGATCAATGTATTGACGGTAGAAGGCGGCGAGGTCGGCCTTGGAAAGCGTACGTACATTCGCCGCATCGGTCTCGTGCTGCAGGAAATCGAAATACTCAGAGCCGATGCGCGACGAGTAACGACCAGTCTCCTGGCTCAGGCTCTTGACTTTTTCCAAGCGCTTGTTGACAACGCTGCGCTTGTGGCCTTCGAATTCATCCTCGGGCATCTTCTCGAGGATGGGACCGAATTCACGAAGGAAAGACTCAATGCGGGACTCGAGGAACTGGGCCGTACGCTCACTCTGGATGATGACCCGGTAGCCCATGGTGGTGGCACTGTACCGTGCGCCGCTCCACACGACATATCCGAGCTGCTCCTTGCTACGCAGCTGGTCGAATGCGGGCTCCTCTGTCAACTGTGCGAACAGCTGGAGCTTGGAGCGCAGGAGATCATCGGAGAAGAGTCCGATGTATAGGTAGTACTCGATGCAGTGATTGACATTGGCCGGGTCCTTGAGCGCGCGGGGATAAGTGTAGTTGGAACCGGGGGGAAGGGTCATGTTGCGGCGCAAGTACCACTGAGACGGAGGCAGAGGACGCCCTCCCAAGATCTTCTCAATAGAATCCGTCATGCGCAGAGCATCCTCCTTGTATAAGTTTCCATGGGCCAGGACTTCAATGTGGGTGTGCTCAATCAGCTGGGGGAAGAACTTGACCACGTCCTCGCATTCAATATGCTCTAGCTCTTCAAGTAACTGCTCGTTTACCCAGCCGTGTTCAGCAAGGATGTAACGAGTGTAATCGCCAACTTGGTAGTAAGGTTGCTGATACTCAGCGTTGCGGAATGCTCTCGTCAAACGCTCCTTGATGATGGTGAACCGGTCCTGGTTGATCTGGAGTCCACGCATGGTGTTGAGGACCTTGTCAAGAAGGGCAGACATCTTGTCATTGTATCCGCTCACGGAGATATCCAAACCCAAGGGGTTGGAGGAAAGATGGTAGTCCAATCCAGCAAGCTCAGCATCGTAAGAGTATTCATCTAACGAGTCCTGCACCAACGCACAGTATAGCTTCGTTTTGATGATGTTGGCAGGGGTGGTCACCACGAGAGGGTTACGGAGCGTAACCTCGATAGTAGCCTTGGGCACCCAGAAACGGTCATCCTTCTTGTACCACAAACGCACCCGGTCGTCATGGCGGATCAACTTTGGGGTCTTAGCTGGCTCGGCAACCTCCTTCTTTTCCACAGACAGTCTGGTCGGTACGAACTCGTTGCGGTGAGGCATGTGGATATCGGAAGTCCGAGAAGTTTCAGTTGACTCTAGGGCCTTTTGGAGACCACCCAAGAACTCCTGGGGGATCTTTTCGACCTTGTATTCAGTGCCATACCACTTCTCCTTCTGATCCCATGTGCCTGGGAAGTTCTGGGACACAATGACAAGGCGGAAATTGTCCGCCCGCAGGTAACTGAGTGCCTTCTTGATCAAATCGGAGTCAAATCGACGCAACAAGGAACTGCTCAGCAGCCATTCCCTAGGTAGGGACTTCTGCATAACACTGCTCAGTCGGCTGGCGAAGCGACTTGCCGGGGTCTTCTGCTTGAAGCGGAACTCAACCTCAGCAAGGTTCTTCATTTCATCGAAGATCCATTGCTCCGGCTCACGCTGTTGGATCATCGCAATATACTCGAAGATCACATTAGCAACTTCCTGGTACTTGTTCAATCCCTCGGGAGTCAGGCGCACGGAGATGGTGAAGAATGCCGCCCCGGCGCAGACGGGCATAGCACCTGCAGACAAGCCGTTGGCCCAGCCCTTAGCCTTAAGGTAAGAGAGAACACTTCCCGGGCCCTCGTGACCAACCAGATGGCTGATGTACCGGCTGGGCTGAGTGTCATGCATATCCTCCTCATCAAGGAAGGGAAAGTACAGATCCATGGAGCGAGCATCCATCACGGGCTTCACAAAAACCTGCGTACACATATCCTTCTCGGTGAAGGGCTGCACATCATCCCAGCGGTTCTGAGCAAGGTCCTTATTCTCAACGCCAGAGAAAAGCTCATCGACCCACTGTTCCAGCGTGTCCAGAGACTCGCGTCCTAAAACAACCAGCTTCGCACGGTTGGCTGAGTAGTGCTTCTCGTAAAAACGGATGAACTCACTGCGGACTTCTAGACCACGCTTCTGTGGATCTTCCTTCAAAGTCTGCAGATTACCAGTCGAGAAGTGACTGTAGGGATGTTTAGGGTTCGAGAGAGACTTGTTGAGTTGCATCAAACGCCACATGTCACTCTGAAGGTTCTTTTTATTCTCAGAATCCACCGCTTGCAGCTCACGCTCTAGGGTTGACTCTAGAAACAGCGGAGAGTGAAAAAACTGGGCAAACCGATCCAATGCACCATACAAAGGTGACTTGCCCTCTAATCCATCCCCATTAGATAGAACACCATTATTACCATTCGTCTCGGCCGGGGTACTGTATCCACTGGATTTCGGGGTACTAGGGTCGCCTGTTGCAGCCACTTCAAAAAAGTAGTTCGTTTCGGTGGCGGCTGTGTAGGCGTTTGAAGAACCGGAGTGGGATGCTAGGTACTGGCTGTATGCGTTTTCCTTAGGGTACTACCAACGCGAATCCAATCAATATTTGCTTCGGCTGACAGAGTGGCAATCATAGCAATGGGGCTTACCTTTTTTGTCCCCATGAATAGCAAATGCTCTACAGCATGAGCCATCCCTGGCATGTCAATATCATCCGAGAAATTGCCCACATTGACATTAACAGAGGCGCTGGCCTTATCAGTGTCGGGATCATGCACCAGGAGGGCCTCGAGCTTGTTTGGCAGACGAATAACCCGGTATGTGCGGTCATCAAGCTCCGGCCTCTGCAAATCCTCTGTAATGCGCTCGATTTGAGCCATGATCTGGGATGTGGTAAAAGAGGTAGGGGTGGAAGCAGAGAAAGAGCGCCAATGAACGGAGGATGGATTCGGAAAAGATACGGGCCGTAAGCAGCGAAGACTAGTCACGATCTTGCGTGACAACAGGGCAGAATGAGGACGAGTTAGACTGCAAGTAAGACTGTAACACAGATTTGCTGCAGAGGACCTTGGAGGCATTCAATGTTACCAAGGGGAAAGACCAATGACGTGACTGATAAGGTCTATGCACTTGAAATTCCAAAGAGTCCAAATATGTGGGAATATATATATGTCGAATGTGTACAACGGGATGCAAATTGTGAATGTGAATGATACAAGAATAGGAGGGAAATTGTTGTAAAGTCAACCGAGGGGGGATTGTGATGCTGATGAAGAATGATTGCGATTCAAATACTAAATACTGCCCCGTGTGCCGAGGCGGTGATAGGCTCTCGCAGCCCTAGCAAGCGCTTTTTAGACCTATGGAATCAATGGTGGCGGAACTTCCCACAAGGCAGACTTGGATGAGTTGTTTGGTGGATTGGTTTGTGGACTTATCATATCTCTCCATTATTATCCACAATTAGCTACATATGCGCGTAAGCTCATCACTGGTCCTAAGCCTCATTCTTCCCCGCAAGTCTAAACCCCCCCCCCTCCCCCCCCACGTTCTGCATCGCCCCCAATCACCATTAGACGTCGTTATTAGCATATTAGATGAAACAAAGCTCCGCGCTTAGCATTTTGCTGCGCAGAGATTCAAATTGACACTTGCATCTGACGTGCAGCTCTTGACCTGGCTACCTCCGGGGTTGACGCCCTGCGCCCAACAGAGGTTAGGGCAAGAAGAAACGGTAGGCCGCACGACAATCGGCTTGCCAGAGAATGGGTCGCCAAAGACATCCGAAAGATCATACCAGACAGTACCGGGATCCAAGGTGTAGGCGAAGTTGGTCTGAGGACTGCCGTTGTACAAGCCGTTGTCGACAGTTGTGATTTTGAGCGAGATACCGCCAGAGGCAGCGTCATGGTGCAGTGCCTCGGTATAGGTCTGACCTTGTTGGAGGGTTTGCTTTGGTCCAACGCTTCCACCAACCGACCAGACATAAACGGGGAAGTTGCAGTTGTTGGTGACGATGGCGTTGCCGACGGCGCTGGCGAGAGGAGCCAGAGCCGCAACCGAGGCAATGACAGCTGTAGAAAAGTGCATCGTGGTATAAAAGTAGTCGTTTGAGGTGGGATGGATTTCTTTGATTGTACTGATGATAATGACTCTCTGGAGCAGCCCTCAAGGTCCCTTATATAGTTTCTCTGTGGCAGGCATAGTGCAGCCAACCTCGGGCCCTTTTCGACCGGAGGATAGACTCGATCCTCAAAGCATGATTTTCAACTGGGAGAATTCATCTCACCTTCATTCATTCTAAGACATTTCATCTCAAATAGACCAATCGAAGTACCAAAGCACTTGTGTTGTGGTCAGGCCATCCATCACAGGATCGGAAGTCGGAGGTGAATTCTTACGATAACCCCGCATGCCATGTCATAACAGGCTTTAAAGCGATACGAGAGCAAAGTGGTAACCCATGAAGCAAGAATGCGATGTCTCAGGGCGCTCCGACCCGATCCTTAGGTACTGCTCTTTCTTGTGGTGCATGCCAAGAGTGGAGAGACACGAAGATAATAAGGGGCCTTGAGGCGTAAAGAGACGAAACCAAGTTGTGCCACGCTTATACTCTGGGGTAATAAGTGAGACATCGCTACATGGGGAAGCGTGCAGATCAGCGCCACAATGGGAACTAGATGCATCGAGCCGGAGAGCCTGTCTACCTAGGGTTTCTTTGCTAAGAAAGACTATGACTACATATGTACATATTTAGATACAATTAATATGTCTTTAAGTCACCGCTAGAATGTCTGTCACATTATGGTTGGTGATGTGTCACACCAGGGTTGCCTAATTGTCTCAAATTCAAAGATGGTGTAGCTTGCAGCTGACCTTCTCGGAAAAACGGCAGTTCACAGTAGAACGAGAGGGAAAAAGACTGGAATTTTTGGAGTGTTAAGTGAAAAATGGACAGAGAATCTCATAAACTTCTGCTATCAGATCTTTTTGTGTCTTATGATCCTGGATCTATGGATTATTTCAAACGACTATTTGGCCTAGACTTGTGAACACTATTATGGATACAGACCTCTGATGTATACTACAAGCAGAAAGAAAGTAGTCTCAAACATCTCATTAGTAGGCTATGGGAGAAAAAAAGAATCAATACTCAAAATTCGATGATCGCGTTCCATGCACCTTGCACCATGCACCATGCACTCGATCAACCGATCGCAAATCAGATCAAGAATGCTCTGCGTCAGACTCTTCCTTATCCGCCCGCTCGGAGATAAACGAGAACACCTCTTCCTTATGTTCGTCGAGCATTTCATTCAGACTCGATTTGGGAGATTGAATGAGGTTTCCATAACGTTTCGATGGACGGCCGGAGGCAGACCAGACGCCGTGGGTATTCGAAACAAACACCATGGAGTGATCACGATACCACTTTGATAGCCAGGTTTGGGTGTGGGAAGCGACCGCGCGAACAGGGCTTTCAGACACAAACGAGACGACTGCGTTGACGCGCTTGTACAGGTTTTCCCTGTTGATCAGCAAGTTCACAACACCGAAGAAGGCATTGCCAACGCCTAGTAGGAATATCTCAGTGGCTTGGTTTGCATCGATGTAGTTGTCCCACAAGTATCCGGCCAGTTCTTCGGTGGCAGTTGGGCGATCTTCGTCCTCTCCCGCGAAGCGGCCAGGTTCCTAGGATGGTGGATTAGTTGATGATACATACATATGCATCGTTTCATGGCCAAACTTACTCCGTGGCGGGTGACGTGCTTGGGGATGTTCACATCAATCACTGCGTATTCCTTATCCGTGATCCACTTAATATAATCCTTCAGAGAATCAGCCTTTCTCTTGGTTAGCAGATGTTAGACTGCCGCGGTGAGTTTGATTAACATACCATCCAGACATTGTGGGCTTCCATTTTATTAGACACGGGGTGAGTTTGTCCCATGAGCTCAGGCCTGCATAATGTTAGGCAAACAATGGTGTGCTTGCGATAGAAATACTTACGGGTCATGGAAGATGACAACAAGTGGCACGGCCTTGTGGTAATTGGGACTGCCGTGTGGTGAGCCTTAAGCGAGAATATTCAGGGCATGCAATGGGACTTTACCTAGCCAAGACCTGTTTTTCAAATGATTTGGAGATGGAGGTGCGGTAGATATGCAGGGGGGTCAGCTTGCAGATTTCATACAGCTGATTGGACTGGAAGAGGCGGATGACATCTGGGTAATAAATGAGCAGGCAAATTCGAAATAGTGTTCCATAGTTCTTACCATGAAGTCTGTCTCCGTAGACAGGGTGAGTGGCTGTCTTGGGATACAGACGAGACCAATACTGGGACTGGATACTTCTGACTCGGTGGACGGTTGCAATCGCAGATTCCGTGGGGGAACTATCCAGCAGGCGGTCGGGAGGTTCGCCCATAAGGGTCTTGGTCACGGCCAGAGCCGACTTCGAGATAGACTTGAAGTTGTATCCACCTTCCAAGCAGACAGCCAGCTTTCCATGGGAAAGGGTCATAAGCATGTGAGTCATTTGAGCATAGCAAGATGGCGAGACGAAGCAGCCACCCAGGACATCACCGGCGGCAGCATCAAAGCCAGCCGCAACTATCAAGGTTAGGTGGCGCACATCGATAATAAGAGAGTTCGCTTACTGATGACCAAGTCAGGATCAAATTCTTGGGCGATGGGCATCACCACTTCTTGGAAGGCATACATGTAGTCACCATCGCCCATGCCCTGGTCAGGCCAGGGAATATTGACATTTCTGAAATTTGTGAGAGCCATTCGGTGGGGGGATTTCAAGAGACTCACTTTCCAATTCCAGCGCCTACACCGCATTGATCCCAATCTCCTGCCGGGCCACCGGGATAGAACCCACCGCCCTGATACACGTGAATAGAAACGTAAAGAATATTAGGATCGTTGTAGAATGCCTTCTGAATACCGTTGCCTATTTAATGTGAGTCTGTAAGTCAAAACGCCGAGTCATACAATTGCAGCATACCATGATGAACATCCCTGAACGAAGTTAGTACTTAGGTTCGTGGATCGTCTATCATATCAAGGGACTAACCAGTCGAGAATCATAATCTTCCGGCACGCGTCTCCTAACTTATTTTGACAGACACGTGCTGCAACCGACACGTTGTTGAATAGACAGAATCCCATCGCGGCGTCATCTTCGGCATGATGACCAGGAGGACGAATAACGGCTATGGCGTTCTTGACCCGACGTTGGGCGACAGCCATGCATGTCTCGATGGCGCCTCCGGCAGATAGTAGAGCCGAAGCAAATGTCAATTTGTTGAAATAAATAGAATCGCGGCTTTTCTCCAGGTTGATCAGTTCTTCATTGGGCATTTCTAAAGTCAAGTCAGGGAATGTCAGAGAAAAGTCAGTCAGTGGCCAGTACATACCTTTTGTGCTTTGAACAAACGCGTAATGGGCATCAGTGTGAACAAGAGTGATTTCTTCTTCAGTTGCATCACGAGCAGCGATCCGCTCTAGAGTTTTCGGCGCCAAAGGACGAGACGATTCATCATCATCGACAAGACCAGCGCGGCAAAGTTCTTTGTAGATGTAATAGATACGTCTGGGGTCCTCTGGATGAACATCACTCTGTGGGTTGACTTCACAGTGGTAGCGCATGCGATGGTCATAGCAAAGACCAGTGGCAAGCGATGCCAGAGGAAGACCGGCCTTCGCCGTGTCTTCTTCATCAGACCAGTCCGAGTTCGACTCAACCAGGCTATCACGTTTCAAGAACTGATCGGCAGAAGAGCTGCCAGTATCACTGGCCTTGGCCAAACGATCAGGAGGAGCCATTCCTGAACCTCTGGGCTGAGATAAATCAGAGCCGGGTGATGGGGATGCAGGAACTTGGGGGATGAAAGAGGGTGTAAGAGTTGGGGTAGGTTGGTGGGTCAGATGTGTGGGAAGAGTTTGGGTGAGAGATGGATTGGAAGGTAAGGCGGGGAGAGTATGGGAATCACTCATGACCGTATCCTCGTCCTCATCCATAATGTAGGGGTCGCAGGAAAGCCCTTCTTTAAATCAGGTTAAACTTGGTGCTTATTGGCTCATTACCAAGTAGCAACAGGATGTTTTGTGAAGCTTTTTTGGTTTTTATAGAGATTGATATCAACCAGATGATGCTTCGATTGGCTGATGCTCTAAGCCACGCTTTCGAGTCTGCCTTCCACAGTAGAAGGCAAAGCAGACCAAACGGTCAAATGTTCCAGATGTAGAGCAATTCTTAGACAAAGTGAGAATTGCAGAAAATCATTGGATTCCAATATCTGCAAGCCAATATTAGGGGTATACAAGCACCTCCTGCCGTAGATTAGCTTAGGACAAAGCAATTCACACGGCGCGCAATAAAGCGAAAGTGACCGCTAATCAAACGTTTGTTGGAAACAATTACAGTTTCAAACGTCCACGTAGGGAACAGAAATGACGAATCGAGTATTCAAGTTGGCCGAGTGCCAATGGGAATGGATCAATGTTCATGTTGGATCCCTTTTGGGCCAGTCTTTCTTATTGCCAGACAATTCGCGGCTCACCGCCGACTTGACCGCCACTGTTAATGGAGTAGTGGGGTGCAGTTTAGTGGGCGCTGGGCGATCACTATGTGCTGACTTAGTGACTTTCTTGTTTTAGAGGCCTTGCGGGCTTATCATCTACCATATGACGGGTTCAAATATAGCTCAGTAATCGCCACTCAATCACGACTTGAATATATGATACCACATACAAATATGCGTGCTATATGTGCACCATTGTAAGGGCAACAGGAAGAGACTCCATATAAAGAAACAAAGAAAGAAAGAAAATGAAAAACTTGAAAAAAGCCTAACGGAAAGATGTATGGAAGGCAAATAGCGAACTGATGACAATCAAAGTCATGTCTCAAAAAGTGTCGCAATTTTATCAACAGAATGTACACAAATTATTAAGTCTATGATGTGAAAGTTGCATCATTGACTGCCTACAAAGAAAAAGGGAAGGTTTGAACTGGAAATGGTTTCGTTTCATTAAATGACGTTATCATCTTGTTTTTGTCTACAAGGCGAATTCCCTATCCAGCACCCACATTTGGAGGCATTGCAACAAGGAACCCATCTTAAAGAACACTTCTGACCCCAGGACGCTGTCCTGATTCCTACTGGCTATCAACGCCAGCAATGTAGGAGATGAGGTCAACAACACGGTGGGAGTAACCCCACTCGTTGTCGTACCAGGAGACAAGCTTGATGAAGTTGGCGTTAAGGGCGATACCAGCCTTGGCATCGAAGATGGAGGAGTGGTCGTCACCGTTAAGATCGGTGGAGACGATCTCGTCCTCAGTGTAGCCGAGAATTCCTGATAGAGATTAGTATGTTATGGAGATAGTTATAAGGGGAGAAATAAAACTCACCCTTGAGCTCGCCCTCGGAGGCAGCCTTGACGACAGCCTTGATCTCCTCGTAGGAGGCTCCCTTCTCGATGCGGCAAGTAAGGTCGACAACGGAGACGTTGGCGGTGGGCACACGCATGGACATACCGGTGAGCTTGCCGTTAAGCTCGGGGATAACCTTGCCGACAGCCTTGGCGGCACCGGTGGAGGAGGGAATGATGTTCTGGGCCGCAGTACGGCCACCACGCCAGTCCTTAGAGGAAGGAGCGTCAACGGTCTTCTGGGTGGCGGTGTAGGAGTGGACGGTGGTCATGAGACCCTCAACAATAGTGAACTTATCGTTGATGACCTTGGCGAGGGGAGCAAGGCAGTTGGTGGTGCAAGAGGCGTTGGAGAGAACGTTGATGTCCTTGGTGTAAGACTTGTTGTTGACACCCATAACGAACATGGGGGCATCGGCGGAAGGAGCGGAGATGATGACCTTCTTGGCACCACCCTTCAAGTGAGCACTAGCCTTCTCCTCGGTGGTGAAGACACCGGTGGACTCAACAATGTAATCGGCACCGGCCTTGCCCCAGGGGATGGCAGAGGGGTCACGCTCAGCGAAGAAGGTAATCTTCTTGCCGTTGACAAGGAGACCGTCGCCTTCAACCTTGATGTCACCCTTGAACTGGCCGTGGGTGGAGTCGTACTTCAGCATGTAGGCCTATTAAAAGAGATTTCGATTAGCATGACATCCATGTAGCTCTGATGGTTTTGGCGCGATACATACAGCGTACTTGATCTCAATGAAGGGGTCGTTGACGGCGACAACCTGGACGTTGGAGTCGTTGAGACTAGAGGGAGGGTTAGAATGAGCTCTTTTTGCCCGGTCATTTTTTGATGCAACTTACGCATTGCGGAGGACCTGGGGATACTGTTAGCAAAGGATGCGATGTAGTTGATGGAAGCTATATACTTACAATGCGGCCAATACGACCGAAACCGTTGATACCGACTTGGACAACCATGATTGCGGTTTACTAGAGCAAGGTTAGATGTGGAAGGGGATAAGAGATAAAGAAGTATGAAGCAGAAGAACTCACTGTGATAAAAAAGAGTTGATTCAAAAAGGGGATTCAATTGGAAAGATGGAAGAAAGAAGAAGAGGAAAAAAAGTCTGGCGGGGGAGGGGAAGATTAATGAATGCCTGACGCAACAGACAGGTCACCCCTCACCGAAGAGACGGACGGGGTCTCTTTCTCACGGCAACTCCCCAGATCGGAGGGCTGAGCTGTTTCCCGACTGTTGCCGCTTGCATGTCTGCCCAGCAACCATTTCCGGTTTCATACACCGGGCAAAACAGGAAGAGCCACGATATTGGGGTCCTGCTCTGCCCCTCGGTAGCTCCCGTCTACCAATGAGATTCCTTACAAGCTACTCTCGTCGGGTCGTTACTACTCTGCCTCGGGGAATTTCCTCGTGAATGTTTTGCCTACTCGGTTACAAGGAGTTCATCACGATAATCTTAGGTACAACATTATGAGTTGATTCCGAGATTGACTAAGGTGGAAGTGGGAAGAACTATATGGAGGGGGATGGATGACGCTATGACTGAGGGGCACTCCAAAGTACAAGTTATGTGGCCACCACCACTAAGGTATATATGCTACAGTGTACAACATAGAATTATTTAGTGAAACGTATAACTATAACCAATTAAAATTATATTCATTTCTTATAAGCTATGAACCCCAAAGGTTCATCCACTTACAAGCGGGTCAATTGATTTACTTAACTGCGGTGGACGGATCGAGTATGGTGATATAAGCTGGTGGCTCACCTCCATCCTTAAAGGAGTCACCGGTATCCTCAATACAGCCACGGGATCGGACAGATTTTTATTCTTTCTTTTTTTTTAAGTATTGTCTTTTTGTTATTGGAGATTTGATTTAAACAACTGAGCCAGTTATGACTATGGGGTCCCCAAAACACCTTGTGGATTATAAATCTCTTTTGCCTCAACGGAACCGCCTATCCGAGTATGATAGATCACAACCAACGAGACACAAGTCTACAATCAGGTGTCATTGATAATCACTTCTAGTCGCTGCAAGGTTATTTCATCAGCGGCTTACAACCCGTTGACCTGAAGGGGTTCACCGTGACTTATCAGGCCATATCGGCATCGAAGGGCCTGGAATCCCATACACTCCTGGCATGACACTCAGACATATGGGATGATGAGCGCATGTTTTTTGGAGTACAGAAACTTGTATTATACATCATGAGAGGAAAACGTGGCCAGGAAAATTATCAATGATTAAATAAAGTCCAGGTCTAGGGCCTGAGAAGATGATTTATGGTACAAATGAGAATACAGCAAAAGTGCTATGATCCAAATCGGCCAGGGTAGAAGAGTCGATTGATGACCTAAAAATGAAATTCCCATTTACTCCTCCTTGACACCACCGCGCCAGTTCTTCTCAGCAGCATCGATGGAAGCCTTGTCGGTCTTAGGCGCACCGGCGGACATGAAGCCACCGCCGGCCTTGAAGGGACGGGCGAGATCACCAGTGGCGGGCTTTCCGAAAACGTGGATCTTGGCGAGGTTGGACTCGAAAGCACCCTTCAGAGGAATGATGGACTGGATCAGGAGAGGGTTGGTGTACTGGAAGTACAAGTGCATCACGCCCATCATGCCAACACCCATAAGCTGGCTGCGAAGCTGCTGGCGCAGCTGACCCTTGTCGTAGTCCATGTTGGTGGTGGTAACAGGCTTGGGCTCCTCGGTGCTACCCATCGGGGCGGGCTCGACGTACTTGAGAGTCGTCATATCTGTGGTCGTGTTAGTTGTGGGGTTGAACGGGCGCACTGGAGCACGCGATCGGTCGACATACCCTTCTTTTTGTTGATTTGGAACTGGGTGTATAGAGAGACAGCCAGGATCAAGATGTTGGAGAGGATGTAGCATCCGCGCACCAGCATCAAGACCTGAGGATCCTCAAAGGGAACCTTCTTGGCCAGCTGCATCATCACCAAGATGATGGCGAGGTTGGTGCTGCAATCATCGTCAGTCATTTGTAAATCGGAATTAAAAGCGATTCATTGTCGAAGATCAGTAATACACACATTTGAGGAGACACCATTTTGCCGGATACTTTTCAATATGGGGAAATGAGTTGAATATGGGGGAGTACAACAACGCAAAACTTGAAAGACGCGGGCCACCTGGCATTTCTGGAAGGTCAGGGAGATCGGAAGAACAGTCTTACCGGCTTCTTTTCCTGGAGCCTGAGGCGAAATTAGCTTGTTGCCCGATCAATGAGGCACCAAATCACGTGCTGCTCCCCTCATCGTTGGTCATAGCTGATAGCTGCCCAGAGTGCAATGGCCCAGCTTCAAACCAGACCAGCTTATTTGCAAAGGACCAGCAACCACCACAAGTGGAGTGTCAGTCTAGGTTGAAGTTGCATAATGGGCTGAATTATGGCAATCAAAACACCTTTATCAATGACTGTCTGCCATACATTCTAGAGGCATAGATTGCACTCAAAAGGATTCAAGACGCACTGACTTGCAGAATGACAGTGTCTCCCGCATGACCAAAGCAAATCGACCGTTTAATCTCAAAGACAAAGGCCAAGTATATCACAGCGGACTTTTGACTCTACTAATATACTCAACTACAGCGAAAATGGACAGATGCATTTTCCAAAGTGCTTGGGATGGCCATTGCCGCATTGGGACTAGCGCCAACTATCTTTTTGGTTCAGCCGGCGCTGGCACATTCTGACTTCTCCATCCATCAACAACGCGCGTGTGTCTTGACTCTTAATCGCCTCCACATCCACCCAACTGCAGGATCTTCTTGGTCTTCTATCCTACTACACTATACATTTTAGCGACCGTTTTCGCACTAATTTTTCGCAATGCCTGGCGGAAAGGGAAAGTCTATCGGTGGAAAGGGCGGAAAGGGTGATGCTGCGGGGAAGGCCCAAAAGTCTCACAGCGCAAAGGCTGGTCTGCAGGTTAGTTGAACCCGTGCTTGGTTAATCGTTGGTGGATTGGTAAATGTGTCGTGGCGAGTGGTTGTGCGATGCAGGCAATGAGTGGCTCGATGAAATCCCACTTCGACGCGTCGGCTCGGTCCCTCATTGCTGCTCAATAGGGGCGGATCCAGGCAACCTTGATCCTCGCTCTATGCTTTCGCATGCCCTCTCTGCCGGCCATGTATTCTCAATCGCCAGGTTTCCTGCAATACATGACACTAACCGCGATTCACTCTTTAGTTCCCCTGTGGTCGTGTCAAGCGTTTTTTGAAGAACAACACCCAGAACAAGATGCGTGTCGGAGCTAAGGGTATGCTGCCCCTTTAAATTTCCCCTCTAACAAACTCATCTCTAACCAATACCCCCAGCTGCTGTCTACGTGACCGCTGTCCTCGAGTACCTAACTGCCGAAGTCCTCGAACTGGCTGGTAACGCCGCCAAGGATCTCAAGGTCAAGCGTATCACCCCGCGCCACCTGCAGCTCGCCATCCGTGGTGACGAGGAACTGGACACCCTGATCCGCGCGACCATCGCCTTCGGTGGTGTTCTGCCCCGCATCAACCGTGCGCTCCTCCTGAAGGTCGAGCAGAAGAAGAAGGGCGGCGCCCTCGAGTAAACCAACACCCGAAAAGAATGTGGGAAGATGGCCTGCTTTTCGCGGGACTCGACTTTTGAACACCCGGTCGACCCCCCATCTTTCCGGCTCTCTCGTCTTTGTTCTTCACGGCGCTCTGCTTCGATGTATTTTCTGATATTCCCCGGTCTTTGCTTTCATTTGCTATCATTTTTTCGAGTTCATAGGGCGCTGTAATGGGAAAATGGGGATATCCTGGTAGTGGGAATTTTACTGATACTGATTCGATGTGCTTTTTACCATTTCCACAACGTACTATCTAACTAGCCTTATGTGCAGCCTGACCTTGCAGACCTTTCCAAAAGAAGTTAAAACATACATGTAGTTATTCTATACTATGCACGAGCTGGTAAGCAGGCCTGTCCAGGTCCACCGGGCGAAATCATTTCGTGATTGGACCGATCGTACCACATTCCTAAAGCAAGGAGTCAGGCCGGTATCCAGCATGGCAGCATAGTCTTGATATGTGATGAATCTCGCTCGTTCATCTCTTAGAGTTGAATTGCCTGCCCCACCGAAGCCTTGCACGTAACGGAGTCCTAAAATTGGAGGCTGGCTGGGGCCACGGGGGATCGGCAGGGACAAACATGCATAACTCCGAGATAAACAAAGCAACGGCAGCGCGTCATACGGTCTTGGCGTTTGAACCTAGATATCTGATTTGAGGTCAGACGAGGGTTTTTTCTTGTAGGATCAAAGGTTTTACGAAGGAGAGTCAGAGGGTAAGTGAGTGTTTACTAAAAGTATACTCTACTACAAGAGTTAACTAGCAGTAAAAGGTACATGGATTGAATTGTGAGGTTCTGAGTACAAAAGGCAAAATGAAAAAAAGATCCCTGGACTGCAAGATACACAGACATGAAGAGAATAAAACCCTCTCAAAGGAGATTGGGGGGAATACATCAACAGCTTTGAAGAGAGCGCACAAGGCATCCACACGGGTAGATCTGTTTCTAGTCAAGACAATGGGATATTGCAATCGTAAATGGGCAATATAGAGAGCTGTTTGAAAGTTGTTCGGGTCATCGCGAGACGAAAGACAAGAAAGCAATCAAACGCGGAAAAGGGCAAAAGAAACATGTCACAACCAGGACGAACCGAACATGAATTTCCCACGGATTAGGGGAAAGCGGTTGTCCAGAAACATTAAAACGGATGCGAGTCACCCCATGTACAAAACAGACAAGAATATGCAAGATGCTGGTATTGTCGTTTCTTCTGTTTTGGCAGAAGGTTGTGGTTCATTCTTCGTATGCGTCCCGCATGGGGGTCGTGGAGTTCATTCCGCCAGACACAGCATGATAGAAAGCCATGGATTTGCATGCAAGGCGCCCGCAATATCGGAAAAAAAGAAGTTGAAAGTGATAAAGAAAAGATAAAAGATAAATAAATAGAAACAAGTCCAGAGTTCTTTTTGACGAAACTTTGGCGAGTTCAAAAAAAGCATTTCATCCAAACCGCGTGTCTGTTGGGCTGCCCCAAAATAAGAAACGTCTAAAAACTGGGCTAGATCAGCGAAACAAAGGATTTTCTGGTCTTTTTTTTGGTTGTCATCTCGTCATCCCTCATCGAATCGTAAGCCGGTAATTCGCAGAAGGCCTCGTAATACAAGTGGTATTCGTCTCGCGGCAAATCAGTCGGATGCTGGTAAAAAGGGGGAATTCGCCATCTTCAATAATTCGTCCAATGTTTTTACTCCACAATGATTTCTACTCCGGAGTTGGTGCGGAGCTCATCACTTCCGCGGGCTTGGTGGCCGTTTTGACGGCGAAACCCAGTGCCTTTGTCGGGGGTAGGGCCGCGAGGCTGACGAACAGGCATGCGCTCTTGCTGACCTTCATAGCCCATTCCCATGCCGCGGTTGCTACCAATAGCACCGGCATTGGATTGTTGGCTGTCCTGTTCCCAGGAGAACATACCCCGCAGGCGGCGGGGGCTGGAGTTCGGGCCACCGATACCGGTGCCGAGGGATAGGCCACCCAGGCTGTTGACCAGCAGGTTGTCGTCACGCTGCATTCCAAGAGAAGAACCAGACTGAGCAGGTGTAAGGGTAGGGGTGTTGGAGTTTGCAGTTTGCGCACCGTCGTACTGGAGGCGGGCGCCGTTGGACTGCATTGCAGCGGGGAAGCTGGCGGAAGAAGGCACAGGCGAAGGGGTGTATGATCGCAAGTCCGCGAAGGACTTGGCAGCGCGCAGGTTTTGACCGTTGGCAAAGTTGCCATTGTTGGAGTCCATCACGCCCAAAAAGCCGGAGTTCTGTCCACGCAGAGTGTTGAAACCATTTCCGGCTTCTTGACGAGCCTCGCTGAAGTCGATGGTAGCCGCACGGTTGAGACCGCGACGACCATTATCAGACTGTGCAGAGGGCGGGATGGAGGACATGGGAGGGCTCACGTTAGCGCCAGCGGCGATCTTGAAGACCTGAACCTGACGCTGTTCGCCGCTGCCGCGGGATGCGTGGCCCAATCCCATATTGTGGGCCAGGGTGTGAACCGTGCGACGTTGGGAGGGGGTAAGGTTGTGAGGGAAAATAACAGAATCGCGAACGGTATCTTCCTTGAAAAGGAGTAGCTGGGAGTAGTAGGAGAGGGTCTGGGTGTCATTCAAGTCCACATCTGAACACAAAAAAAAGTTTGGTTAGCGACACAAGGTCAAATTTTCAATAAGCATAAGTTAGTGTGTAACCCACCGATTTTTTGGCCACGCTGCGAAACGGGCGAGGGAGAAGTGGCCGGAATGTGCGAAGTGAGCGAAGACATGGAGCTCTGAGTCTGAAGCTGAGGACCACCGCCACCGCCTCCCATCGGACGGTGTTGCTCCTCCAACTGGCCACGTCGTTCCCTCTTCTCGCGCTCGATACGTTCCCGCTCCTGAAGAGGCAGCATCTTCTTGTACTCGACTCGCAATTTTCGGCCTTGCAGCTCAAAGTGGTTGAGCACCTCGATCACGGTTGCTGTCTCTTCGGCTGAGGTGAAGTTGGCGAAAGCCAGACCCCGGAAAACGCCGTTGTCGAAGTGGTAGTTGAAGGCGTAAGGGAGAGGCAGGTTCAGTTCAGTCATTAATTGAACGAGTTGCTCCTTCTTCACGGCGAATGGGATATTCTTGATGACGATGGCGGTTGGGATCAATTCGTCGTCGTCGGCCGATGAAGCCGAGGGTTCCGGTCGCATGGCGCTGCTTTGAATCGGACCAGGGCCCAAGTTTGAGAATGCTTGAGGCATGTTGGGTTGTTGATCTAACCACGTCTTGACAAGTTATGTTAGTACCTTTCATCGCAAGGATAGGGGAGACGATTTTCATTGAGAGAGAAGAAAAAACACCACCAAACATACCGTGGGCAGACCGGTGCGTCCTCGGGCATTAGGCTTCAGACTGGCGGAAGCCGACCGAATGCCTCCGAGGGTTTGTGCGTTTGCGAACCCATTTGGGTTCCAAGTTTGCGAGCCGGAGATATCATAGCCACCGTAGTTGTTCTGAATGGATGGGTTCAAGCGCTCGAGTCGAGCGGACTCGTAACGCATTTGATCCTCGTACAAGTTGGTGGGCATGGCACCGTAGGCATCAAATTGACGAGAAGGTTGACGATGTAAAGGTTGTTGGTGTCGTTGAGAGCCAGGGGATCGCGCGGCTTCGTGATACATATCTTGTTGATAACTCATGGTCGAGGAATTCCGCGAGGAATGTGATATCCACCAAACAATGTAAAAAGAATAATGCAAAAACTACTCCACCATAAGAGCGAAAATCCAAGGGTTGCACAGAAAAGGAACCGTCGAGACGGGATTGTGCGGATGGGGAAAACCTTAGGACTAAAAGCCGGGAGAAAAGTGGTGGGAAAAATGACCGCAGAAAATAAACTGAATAGCGCAAAAAGATTCCAAAGAGAACACCAAATGCTTTCAGTTGCTTCAAAATCTCGCTGATGCAATGATCAAGTTCTCGTTCGGTTCATCAAGAAAGGGGTGTGTTTCTTTTTTTTTCTTTTTCTTCCTTTTTTTCTTTTCCTTTGCTTGTCCTTTTTTTGCCTCTTGATGTGGTTTTTCGAGGGGTTTTTAGGAGACTTTTCTGTGATGATTTTTGTCACTTTTTTCCTGTCTTTTTCCCCCTCACAAAACGGTATGAACCAAGAGATCGAAAGGGAAAAAAAAAGATCCAGTTGACAGATCTCAAGAAATCTAAAAGAAAAGAGGGGAGAGAAGAATGGTTTTGAAGAGTCGGAAAGCGGGTTAGTCCACAAATTCGCCAAGAACAGAGGAGTAAGGAGGTGATAGTAGAGGAGAGACAAGTAAATAATACAGAGAGAGTGTGTGTGTGTGTGAACAGAATCTAGGCAATGAGATACTTTAATACTTATAATAATACTTTATAAATACTTCCTAAATACTTTATAAAAATACTTCCAATTATTATAATAGTCTCCGATCTACCCCCCTGGGTCTTCTATGACCTTGTACCTGAGAGTGGACTTGCATTATACCAATGACAGGATAATTATATTTTTGGACTGGTTAAATGCATTATAATCTTATAATCTCTGACTATATAATGTGTAGTATGTCAATTTTAATGAATTGGTTTTATTTTTATGATCGCACTCTCTGGTTCGTCCCAAGCTTCTATTGTTTGCATATATTCTGATGGATCTTTCGATCTATATAAAATACTGAACTATACACTATGTAACATATCATTATAGAATATAATCTTATTCCCCTACTAACTTCTGTCATTTCTTTCATGTTGTACTTCTCCCGCTATCCCCTATTCTTCCTTTGCCCCCTAAGCCTCTCTTTTTGAAGATCCGCCCCCTGATTGAGATGGAAATCGGGTCTTTTCCGGAGCCGTCAACGCCACCGAATCAGAATCACTGATCGCAAGGTCAACTGCTCTAGTCTCTCTCGGCTCCCCTGTCCGTCATTCTAAATCCTTTTCCATTCTGAATGTTCCTCTCCGGCCTTTTACCAAGACGCCGCGTCTCGTTAGGCCCGTTACTACCTGAGCTAGGAGACTTTCAAGTGGAGAACCCGTAGAGCTATCCCTGAACCAATTTGGGAGAAATTCTTCATTTGTTGAGATTTGAATTCTTGAAATACATTTACGACTTGCACTCGTGGATGATGTGCACGAGTGATCTTGACAATATGACCAGCCAGTGGAGGAGGCTCACACCCTGCCTCGTGCTTTCGAGGGGGGTCCCTTCGGCCCCTTTACTCCGTACTCCGTACTACAACATCATGCATATATATGCGCTTCTATAGTTTCCCTATATTTGATACAATTACTCCGTACCGGGGATGCATTTATTGTTGACTCCGCTCCATTTAATCAAAGAAACTAATTTTACCTTACTTTTCTTCACATTACCGTCTCTTCTTCAGGGGAATGGTTTCTATTATTACGCGAAGTTAATCTACCCCCTATTCACCTCGCCCCATCCTTCGCCTCACGCATCTTAACTTGCCACCCTTTAGACAAGCCACTGAGTTATTAATTGCAACAAAATTCGCCAATAATTTGACTCATCGGCATTTACACAGCTCCTGATTGACGGTACATGAAGCTATGCAGCGCCAGTCCCACTCCATGAAATTGGAACTTTCGCGTGGTCTCCACGATCCGCACATCCCCCGTTTCTAGCGTCTACGCTGAGCTTCCTTACAGGCTGGTCAGACGCTACTGTGGTCCAGCTAGAACCCGCTAGATGCTGGTCAGAACCTTTAGTGGCAATGTCAGATCCCGGTCCAGAGTGGTGGATCTTGAGAGCTCCGGCCTAAACTTACTAGGTACGATTTTCCCACGCGGAATTTGGTATAGTGTCTCAATTCAGGGTGACGCTAGAAAAGACTACGGAACCTTCTGGGCCGAATTTAGAACGGGTCACGGCTCCTGTAACTATGGAGAGACAGCGCCGAAGGTCTTGAGAGTGGCGTCTGTCACTGGGCTACTCACCCGCTGCACCTCACATTGTATACATTGCGCATGGCTTGTGCGAATTGGTGATGATGAACGCTCCTCTGCCTTCTGTGTGCATGGACAGTGATCGGGGGAAGAAAGAAGGTGGGTTGATCTACCAATAAGCCGGTCCGGGTCGGAGGACATTGACCATGTTTCGGATAGAAAAGACGAAGAAAGATAAAGGATTCTACAATCTTGGAAAGATTAACATCCGCAGTAATTTCAGGGGAGAATTGTGTAATTCAACTAGTCTAAAGGCAGCAACCAAAATGAATGCCCAACTACACTTTTAGTTGTGTAGGGCGCAGACAGCTGGAATATAGGCTCGATCAACGAGGCTGCAAAACATAGTGAAATTAAACCATTCCGACTAAGAAGACTGGAGCTCCCGGAGCTCGTAGATCTGCTCCAGGGCTGTTGGAGAAAGCCGTAAGCAAGTCAGTACCCGGAGGCCACCGAATTGCGACTCGTATAGCAACTTCCAAGGTTGTTTCTATTATTACACGTAAGGAATCACATCGCAAGGCAAGAAGTATCCGACCAGGATCTGCCTGGACAAAAAAGGAGGATTAGGACCCAGAAGCACGCCAGACTGTTCCATAATCCGAGGAGCTTACCTTGGAAAAAGCAAATTTCGGGCATCACGGTAAAACTTACGAACTATATATGTAGCAACGTTCGATCGCCCCTGTCTGGAAATTGAGATTGTAGTAACTAATCAATTAAACTCCCACCGACAAGTCCAATTTTTGATGATCCGACCGAGTCAGATTTGTCCTGACTCAGACTGCATATGTACAATGTGTACGGTGCACACACCAACATTCTATGCATCAATCTGAGGTATCATAAGCCCTGCCGCTGAGACATGTTTGAAACGACATGTCTTCCCCCTGAATACCAACATGTCCGTTTCAACGCAAAGAATAAAGTACACAAGAACTTTACGAAGTATAATGTACAGCTCCATCATTTGTACCCCGTTAGAGAAAGTGGATTAGAGGAACAAGCAATTTCAGACTATTGGATCGATAGTCGGGTGGAGTTGGCGCCTGATAAATAAGGCCCGAATACCTCAAATCGAGCCCTGGAGACTGATCGCGATGATTGACGTAGAGTCATTGAATTGTTATTTGATAGATAAGTTATTGGCTAATATTGAAATGAACCTTTGACCGTTAAACCGTTGAATTGCAGTTTGGCCGAGAAAAATTTAAGCTCATGCAGGTCTCGTTCTTGGCCAACTCAATCCTTTTACCCCGTAGTAGAAACTACATTACGTACATAATTAGGTACAATGTACAAGGCACGTCTGGCAAGTCATATCGGCAAAATTTACTCCGCGATCGACATCACTCCTCAGCATGAAACAAGATCCTGGCCAAAGCTGAGTGAGTGATACGAATAGGTGACGAGTATGAGACCCACATGGAATCGCTTGAAGAGGTTGCACTCGACGCAACCAGATCGAGGTCGCGGTCGAATTTGCCAGCCCTGATGGGTTGAATCTCGACCAAATCATCAGACTAGGCAAGGAACCGAAGAAGAAGAAAACAAAATCTTGGTCTAAGCCAGCATAGGTTGACGTTGACTTTGTTTCGTGGCTGCGTCGCAACCGCGCGGCCAAGCTGACGGGCTGAAAGCCAAGGCCCGGAGTGGGGAATTGTCGTTGCTTTTAAGAGCCCCGGCCTTTCACTTCTATGAATTTTGCTTGCTGTTTTCTTTCTTAATTGTCCCATGCTGGACAATGAGGACTACATTACGAACCGCGATAATCCTCGCGCTAGTTGCGACTGTGTTCCTGGTGAAATTTCACCTCGATTCCTTTTCGCAATGGCAAGATAGCGGCGATCACAGAGAAGCCGCCACACGAGACTTCTTTGTACTAGAAGATGGCGACGTATATATCGAGCAGGTCTCGGCTGATCTGACACCGACCGCATCACACAAACCGACACGAAGGAAATGGACTCCCACGCCTCAACCAACGCCCCGTCCAATGTCCGCCAGTGCGCAAACGAAGCGCATTCCTGTTGATGTCCCCGGCGCGGAATGGGCTGGCCAAGATCCATTCTTCCGACCCAGAAGGCCAAATAAATTGACCGATTCGCAAAGATTTCATGCGCAGCAACTCGCGCCGCTACCGCATATTAATAATGTGCAAAAGATACCACCACCTTCATCGGCTGCGCCGGCCCGTCCGAAGATCACTCCGAAATCTGATCGAATAATCGTTTTGGGAAAAATGTCCTATGAAGATACCAGCTGGTTGGAGGATGAATTGCCCGAGTATGCGCCCATGCACCGAATTAATTACCAAAAACCCCACAACTAACCCAGCTCTCAAATCGCAGATGGCAACACGCAGTATACCTCGTCGATGACCCGAGCGCATCCCTCCATGTGGAACAAAATAAAGGCAAAGAAAGCAATGCCTATCTGCAATATATTCTAGAAAACTACGACAAATTACCCCAATACATGGTCTTCCTGCACGCACACCAATACAGCTCGCACGTCGAATTCTGGGAGCAGGACAACGTCCTCACCGTCCAAAGACTGCAACTCGATTATCTGCGCAGAGCAGGATATCTCAACCTGCGCTGCGACTGGAGTCCCGGCTGCCCGGACGAAGTCCAGCCATTCCGACAAATGGCAGGGCGCACCACCGAACTCGCCTTCGCGGGGGCCTGGATGCGCATTTTCAACAACACAAATGTCCCCGAGATAGTCGCCACGCCGTGCTGTGCCCAGTTTGCCGTGACTCGGGAGCAGGTTCTTGCGCGGCCGCGCAGTGATTATGAGTCTTATCATCATTGGCTTATGACGACTGAATTAGATGACGAGACGAGTGGGCGTGTGTTTGAATACTTGTGGCACATCATTTTCGGGCAGGATCCCGTGTTGTGAGATCCTCTTTTGCTGTTTCTGGGTGATGCAGGCTAACGTGTCAATAGTTGTCCTGCGAAGGAGCAGTGTTACCGGAATGTATATGATATGGACTATGAGGAGCCGGAGGATCCATTTGGTGATAACTTCTGGGACAATTGGTTGGATGATGTTTCCGATGAGATATGATGATAGTTGTTTGACTTTATATAGAGCGTTTGCGCTGTAACGAATACCCTAAACTTGCGTTTTATGTCCAAATTCCATTCTTCAAAACAAGTTCCCAAAGCTTTTGTTCTCCTACTTTATCTTATTCGCTCTGGTCCTTCGGCTTTTTATAGGAGCCTCCTCAAATCTTACCTAGGTATGCTTCTAGTTCACAGCTCTTCTGACTCAGATCCGCTGAAAATATATATTCTTCAATTTCATGTACTAACAATCATTGTGACAACTAACCAAAAGCATCGAATGATATCATTTGCAAATATAAGGAGCGTCGTTTAACATATTCATGGATCCATTCGTGCATATCTTCACTCATTCACCTCAATCCTCAAACAAGGATTCGACTAGATCTCACAGCCACGCAAAGGCCATCAACCCCATGATACCAGTCATGTAAATGGCACCCGGGGCTGCCAAGTCAACCGCAGCACCAGGGGTGGAGGTAGAGGAAGAAGCGGAGCCCGCAGCCGATCCCGATCCGGAAGAGGTGGTTGAGTCCTGGCTGCTCGTTCCGCTGGGGCTGGAACTGTCCGTGGTGGTTGCAGATGCAGATGCGGCAGTGCCAGTACCGGTGCTAGTAGACGAGCCACTTGCAGTGGTAGCGGCAGAGTTGTAGGTGGTCGTGGTCAGCGAGCACGAGTGGACGAGATCAAGAGCCTCTGTGTAATAACATTAGATATTGCAATCCCATCAAGATTGGATATACATACCGTTATCGTCGTCGTCGTCGTCATGGTCATCATCATCATTGTCGTGGTCATGGTCATGGTCATTGTCGTTGGTGTTGGTCCCGTTGTTGCGCCTGTCGGTTTGATACTGGGTAATGCAGGCCGAGCAGAGAGGGATTTGGGTTTTAGCCTTCTCCCAATCGCAGATGCACTTGATCTCAGCCGAATCATTGTCGTATCGGGCATCACAGCTCTTGGAGATACCGACGACATCGCCGCAGACATTCCAGCAGCGGTTGGGAACATCGTCGTGGTCCAGCTTAGAGGCAACAGCGACGTTGCTGGCAAGCATGAGACCACTGAAAGCGAGGAGCTGCTGAGTACGCATAGTTGCTGATGTTGATTGAGTTGGAAATTGTGTGGAGGAGTTGATTGTGATTGTGATTGTGATTGTGATTGTGATTCTGATTTAAATCAAATCAATATTCAGCGAGAGCACGTTGTATTTATATTGTGATGTCGGTATAGTTAAATATGTACATATGTATGTTTCTATAATTGACTTCATTTCCCTAGACCCTGTCGATCTGAGCAGCGTGTCGGGTGCGTCTAGGGTTTATTCTCTTTTTCGGTATCCTCCGCCATTAGTTAGGATTCTAGAATAGGAAACTGAGCTGCTGAGCCCCCCATGCCGACCCCAGTTGCCGAGAGCACTGCGAAGCTCGATGCATAGACTGATATCCCCACCGATCAGCAGCGGGCCGCCAATATCGATGCTGCAAAAGCAGTTGCCTGATACAATAACACTGGCCAAGAGTTTAGGCCAAGACCTAGATGGAAGCGGCACCAATGAGATTGCGGGGGCTAATAATATCGTGCATATCATGAAGTAGCTTTTATGTTTTAAGCGATGATCAGGTTACCTAGAATGCAGGGATGGAGGCTATGTTCCACCCCTGCCATTTTCGCATTTGATATTTGCGCAATGTTTTCTTTCAAATCCAATGCTCAAGTTCCATTGCCAAGATATGGTTTCTTTATCCCGAGCGGAGGTCGTATACAACTCCAGAGTCTAAGCCACACTGCGGGGCCAATTGGCACGCACCTTTTGGCCCAATAACTCTGCAGCCTTGACCATAATAGTATAGTTGACATTGTTTGGTCATTAGCACGATTATGAAGCACCAAGTCGTTGTCAACTGCCCAAAATAAAGTAAGGGTCGATGTAGGTCTGCAGGGTCCCGGTGAATGAAGCTAATGCGCTCCACCGTTCAGCTATATATAGATAGAATATGGCTAACGTTAAAGTCAAATGGACTAATCTCTAGGCTTCAATATTCTTGTACTAATGCTTGTCGTTAGGTCATTGACATCATTTCACCTACTTGAATCCAAATGGTCGGAATGGCCCGGTAGACACCAATACAACATTTCAAGGTATTCCAATATTTTTGCTTTGTTTTGAGTGAAACTATTGGAGTTGTGTAATCTCTCAGCAGCATATTATGCACTTTTCACTAATAATCAATCCGTTGTAGAAACTGATTTCTAGATGCCAAGATAAACCCATGGATCTATGCTTTAAGTTACTTAGTAAGAAGACATCATCGTCAACCCCCGCATTCAACATCACCCTGGACCAACATTTCTTGGTGCAGTGATCCTTGCAGTCAATATCAGCTCCCGAACGTATTACTGAAAATTCTGAAGTCCGTTTTCTAAAAACAGACAATGACCCGGAGTGTCGGCAAAATGTGGGAAAAATACTGCCTGCGTCCAACGCAGGGCACCGTCTCCACCACCATCCCAGTTTTCATCTATGGCACAGCCTGGAAAAAAGACCGCAGTGCAGATTTAGTCTACAATGCAATCAAAGCTGGGTTCCGGGCTGTGGATACAGCGGCCCAGCCTCGCCATTATCAAGAGCATCTCGTCGGCGATGGTATCCGCAGAGTCATTGCCGATAAGATCGTTGGTCGAAAGGATTTATATGTGAGGAAAATTGCCATTTTTGATATTCCAGACAGCCAGACAGCTAATAATAGCCAGGTACAAACAAAATTCAGTCCTGTATCGGCACAAGACCCAGAGAATATGCCATATGATGCTTCTGCGCCGGTGACGGAACAGGTCCATGCATCGATCAAATCATCTTTGCAGAATCTTCGCTCAGAGAGTGATCCCAGTTCGGTGGATGAGGCCTACATTGACACCGTAGTCATCCACTCGCCTCTATCAACTCTCGCACAAACGCTAGAGGCCTGGCACGCTCTGGAAACCTATGTCCCCCACCGCATCCGTAATCTAGGAATCTCTAATTGCACATTACCCATGCTGCGGGAGCTCTGCACTTCAAGCCAAACGACCGTGAAGCCATCAGTGGTTCAGAATAGGTTCTACGAGGATACTTTGTTTGATGTTCCCCTGAGAGCGTTCTGTCGCGAGAACCAAGTTATTTACCAAAGCTTTTGGACTTTGACAGCAAATCCGGACCTTGTGCGCTCTGAACCTGTGCAAGTTCTTGCTCGTCATGTCAATATCACCCCAGCTGCTGCTTTCTATAGTCTTGTTATGGGTCTGGAAGATGTGACCGTGCTGAATGGGACTAAGAATGATGAGCGTATGGCGGAGGACTTGGCTGCCCCGAAAAAAGTTGAGGACTTTACTATGAGGGAACCCGAATTGTGGCAGCAGATATTATCGAAATTCCGACAATTGATCGGTGAACCTTCGACGTAAAATGTCTACATACATGGATGTTGTTACTAAACGCAATGGACTAGGATATTTCTTTGCAATGATATCAACAGATCCAAGTTATTCACATGGGGTGGGGATCAGAAAGATGGGCACTCTAGAGAAAATTGCTGTAAGAGATTTGAATATGCAGAGATAACTGTGTTAGACAAGTGTGCATCAAATATCTAGGGTTTTAATGCTGATGTTAGAGTGTGAAATGACGTTGAAAGTATCGTTACCTGATAAGCGTCCGGGATCACATGGCAGCAAAAATGTACTTGTACTTGTCACTTGCTGACTCACGCATTCAACGCCCCGGGGCCTCCGCAAAATTGACCTCATTGCCTCCAAGTGTCTTGGACAAATTCCGAGCAAACCACTTCCTGACTTACTAGATTGATTCGGATTAACGATATATATCTCCCTATACTGATCGGTCACTTAGGCAGATCTTGCCGCTCCACTTGAGATCTTCATTCACCGCCTCAATAGTTTCTGCTGAAGGCTCCCGCCTTAATCTGGATGTTGGACAATTCACGCGCCTGTTGGTCGTCACCTGCCTTCGTATTGATCACTGCTGGACCTTGATCTATTCGACTGTCATCAATTCCTGCGCCATATTGTCCCTTATCGCCTGCACGATCAATATCTTGTGCGACTCAATTAGTGGCCTCCACTTTTTTCCCTGTTCAGTGCACACAGGCTTTTTACGTGACTCAAATTCAACAGCGACTTGGATGAACATCTTCTTACATACTGAGCTCGCATCCGGAAATATTGTCTTCTAGGCAAACTTCCTGCGACCAGTTTATCCTCTCCAGGGATTGAACAAAATCGAGATACAATTTTATCTCGAACTCCGCCGCGATAAGATTGAACGTTTTGCGCCAGCCCATCCACCATGAGCTCGCAAGGAATGACGAGAAAGCGACCTGCACCGGGAACAGTCCCAGTTGCTCACCCACAAATAAATACTCTCCCCGCTGGACTACCAAACTTTCCGACCACAGCCAACCCCGGTTCTCAGCTCTCAAACGATCAATTCTTACAATGGGGTCAGAACCCCTCCGCTAATACCGCCGCCAACTCCGCTTTTCCCGAAAACCCCTACAACGCCGCAGCATTTGTACCGCCTCAAGATGCATCCGCACCCGCTGTGACAGCGTCTAACCAACTGGCTCGCCGCCAAGCGACCCAGAACCAAACCCCGAACCAGAACCAGAATCAGATGGTCAGCAGAAACCGCGGATACGAGCAGCCTCCCGCCTCATATGTGGAAAACGGAGGGAGCAATGGAAATGGCGAAAGCGGAGCATGGGGAGAGTCACTAGAAGAGCTTTATCGGCGGGCTTTGACCGCGAAGAGAGATTCACAAGCCAAGCGGAAGCAAATCCCACCGTTTGTGCAAAAATTGAGCAGGTATGATTCCTCACCCCACTTTATTGTCATGAATTTGAACTGACCAACGATCGCAGCTTCTTGGATGAATCTAAGAATACTGAGTTGATTCGATGGTCTGACGATGGAAATTCCTTTGTCGTTCTAGACGAAGATGAATTTGCAAGAACTTTGATTCCAGAACTTTTCAAGCATAACAACTACGCCTCATTTGTTCGGCAGCTGAACATGTACGGCTTTCATAAGAAGGTCGGGCTGTCCGATAATTCAATGCGTGCCAGCGAACGAAAAAACAAGAGCCCTAGCGAATATGCCAATCCTTATTTCAAACGAGGCCATCCGGATCTGCTATGGCTGATTCAAAAGCCGAAGAATGCCGGAGGTGGTCATGCGAGTAAACCCAGCAAAGGTGGCACCCGTGTGAAGACAGAGGATATTGATGATAACGACATGGACGAGTACGTCGAAGAGGGCACACAGGCTCCTCGCGACACTCGTGCTCCTCGGCCTCAGCAATTGTCACTAGTCACGGATTCTTCAGTGCCAAATGATCAGCTTTCCGGGGTATATCGGGAACTTCAAGCTATTCGTCAGCAACAATCAATTATCTCCACCACAATCACAAGGCTGCGTAAAGAACATGAGCAGCTCTATTCTCAGGCGGCCAACTTCCAAGAGCAGCACACTCGTCACGAGAATTCTATCAATGCGATTCTCACATTCCTCGCAACTGTCTACAACCGCAGTTTACAGGGGGAGGGTGGACCACAAAACCTCGCAAATTCTTTTGCGGGGGCTATCTCGCAAGACCAAGGAAATATCGTGGATGTTGATGATGACTATCTCAGTAATGCTTTGGGATCCATGACAAGCCCCAACGGCCAGAGAATGAAGAAGCAACAGCTGCTTCTAAAGGCCCCTCCTACCTTGGACGATAATAATCGTGCCTCCACAATTTCACCAGCAGCCAGTGGTCAATATGACACAAGATCTCGCGGTCATGCCCGGCAACCCAGTGCCACCCAGTCTGGCCATGTCGAGGAGGTCTTTGACCACAGCCCTCGGGCAAGCGCTTCAAATATTCCTCAAGGGCAGCAGGCAGACGACACATTCCCAGAACAGGATATTATGTCTGTCATCCAGAACTCCAATGCGCGTAATGGGCTCTCAACAAACTTCTCCGAGTTCCCTAATGTGCTTTCCTCCCTCGAAAACCATGGTGGCAATGTCCCACTCACGGCCAACCAACGTGCCGACATGCTACGACTCATGGCAAACGAGACCAATTCGACAAATCCACCCTCTGGCATGTCACCTAATAATGCCCTTATCTCGCCGACTCCACCACCAATGCCCCACAACTACTCAAACCGGCTCGCCAGCACCCGGCAAGAGATCGACAATCTTGTCAAGATGCAAGCTGAACAGGATCGTTCTGTCCAAAACCTGACCAGTCTTCTCCAGCCCCTCAGCCCGAATGGCACGATTCCTGGCATCGAAAATGATAGCAATGTTCCTCCTCCTCCGCTTGACCTCGACACGATTTTTAACAATGACTATTTCACCGATATTGGAGACTCAGGCTCTGGCATCAAAAGGCCGGAGGATCCAATGAGCCATTTGGCGACAGGTCAAATCAACCATGACAACGTGGGGACTAGCCAAGGCGACGATGGGGATACAAATGACCTCTTCGATTTCGACCACATTCCCAACGAACCCGATCTCTTTGAAACCACCCACGGGCAAGGCGAACATCCCGCCTTCAACTACGGCTTCGATGGCGCCGGATACGACGACTCGGGACGAGTCATCGAGCAGTTGACGGACAGTGAAACAACCAGTCCAGCAGCAACTGAGAAACACGGCGAAGCAGATGACGGCGGCAGCGCCACGAAACGGCGCAAGAAGGCGTGATCTCTGCAAACATGTACAAGCGGGGTTGGGGCTTGGACAACAAAATACGGCGTAGAATAAGCGTTCCTTCTGTTGATATTGTGGCTATTCACGTGCCTAGGGGAAATTCGACTTGGCCGTAAAAACCTTTGATGAACTATGAAATATCTATCCCTTACTGGAACTCTAATGAGATACCTTTTTTTGCTTCCTCAATACCCGTAATGCAGTCTCGTCTCTGCTGCTGATCGCCAGCCACCTAGCCCCGTTAATGTCTCTCCATTGGGCCCGGGTCGCCATTCCCAGGGTGCTTTGACAGTCTGGAATGCGAGCAATTCTCGCTCTCGGGCACGCACTCGTCGGTAATGCGCTTTGGAGAATTGTTTCCGGGCATTTTTCTGCTCTCTGGATGGTTCGGGTTTCGAAGTGGACTTCGGTTTAGGGCTTAGGCCGAACAGACGCTTTAGTGCTTCAAACATGTTTTTAGGAATTTTCGATTGCTTAAGTATCTCGATGTATTGACTGGGTGAAATTCAGTAAGGCTGAGAGGGTGGCAGCAAGCTTTATTAGTTTACTTTGGGGGCTAGTTATTGCTATCATTGTTATTAAAAGAGTATTCCAATCGCCGGGCAACTTGAGTAAATATGAGTAATAACCACAACCTGAATAAGCTTGTAATATCCACCAGGCTTTGATTCAAAGCCACTAGTGCTAAACGCATGGGGCAGTAAGCAATCAAACGGAGAAGTATGTGCCGCTCAGATTTTGTAGCCTGAGGTCAAACTCCCAATAACTATAGCTGCCCCCTCAATTCTCGACTTCACTGTCTTTCATCGCAGTGCCTCCACGTCGTCGCTGGCAGAAGTTCTCTCTCTGGGTCGATCCAACAATCCATATCCTCCGTGCTCTCGCGATTCTTCATATATTTTAAGATGGACGCATGAACTCACTTTTTCAAAGTCCTCCCCGTTGCGATACCTCTTGTGCGTTCTATTGTTAGGTACGAGAAGAAAATCTGGTCCCAAGAAATTAATTTCAGCCCAGGGTCAGGCAGGAGACAAGCTACATTTATATTAGATATGTTACTCCTTCACATGGATAGCAGTCTCAGCAGCGGGATAAATTCCACAAGATTAGAGCTATTGGACCATAACGCTTAGATGCAGAGTAGGCAGTGCCCGTGATAGGATTTACTCCATGCCCACGACCCCAACACCATGTAGATGCTGCATCATGCCGTGGGGGTTTCGTCTCGTCCACGTAGGCGCTGATAGGAACTAGTGCCATAGCATCCGAATGGGGACTCAACAACCCCAAATAGATGGTATTCAAACAAGCCACTTCGTAAATGCATGCAAGAGCGAATATGGATAATAGGATGTCCAAAGTAACCGGCGGCAGGACAGTATGATATTCAGAATATAGTCAAATCGTAACAGGATTCAGCGGCCCTTGTCCCACTCCAAATCACCGACGCGCTCGCGCTTACGCTCACGCTCCCTATCTCGCTGGAACCCCTTCTTCCGCCCAACGACCTCCTTCTCTTTTTCGCGAGGGTCAATAACCATAAGGGAATCTGCCTCGGCACCATGCTCACGCTTCCATTGCAAGTCTTTGCCTAGCGTGTCTTTTCCAAAGTGCAGCTCGTGCGAAAGCCAGCCTCCATCGTCTTGTTTATCATCTGCAGTCTCAGCTGGATTGTCCCAAGTCTGGCAGGATTGGCAGTTCGCAATGAAGTGCAGATCACAAAGCTGAGCTTCTTCGTCTTCTTCCTCGTCTTGATTTTGCGTGTGGGTATCCGCGTGGGATTTATTTGATGCTGGGGTGGGCTCGGGTTTGGCCCCTTCGAGCTTGGCTTTGAAAGCGTTGAAGAGCTGAAGAGCTTCTCGCTCTGCTGCGTTGCTGGGGCCTGTGCCGTTGCGACTGGAGCCATTGGCAGTTCCCGGAGGGGGTCGTTTTCGTCCTCGGATTGAGGTTTCGGGGATCATGACTTCGAGCGCGGACTTCTTGCGGCCTGTGTCCTTTGGACCGGTCTTGATGTCGCGGCGCATGGATGCCATTAGATCGGCGATCTGGGCATTTGTCCGCGACAGCTTGGACTCTTTTGCGGCTGGGGCATCTGGGGTTGGAGATCGAGATGGTGATTCGGGGTCCCGGACGGGTAGCTGTGTCTCTGGCTCTGGGGTCTTGGGACGCTTTTTGCGTTCTGTTGACGGTGATCGGTTGGGAGATGGCGAGCGTGGGCGTTTGCGCTGCTGTGACGGAGCCTCAGCTTGCTTGGATGCCTCTGGCTGTGCACCTGGCACATCTGCGACTAGTTTGGTGTTGAACTTGGGCTTTGCGGGACGCATGGGCATCTCCTCATCCCCTTCATCGTCGCCAAAGCTCAGTAGTGTTTTCCCACCTTTAGGTGCCTTCTTCTTTTTCTTCGGTGCGCTCTTCTCGGAATTTGTTGCTGTCGTCTTTCTATCTTTTAGTTTGCCCTCCAATGGGCCCAGTTCTCCCACCTCACAGGAGGTCACCTTGATCGGGTAAACAGGCCGCTCAGTGCCCTCAATGCGCTCCGCATCTGCGATCTTGAGCACATTGTAGATGCTATCGCCTTCCAATCTTCCGAAAATTGTGCACTGTCCATTCAACTCGCGCTCTGTGTTTGCAAGTGTGATAAAAAATTGACTGCCGTAGGTTCCATCCTCGCTCTTAGCCATTCCCAGCAACCCGCGTCGGTTGAAGCGCAGACGACTGTGTAACTCATCGCGTAGAACAACCCGCTCGGTAGGGTCCCGAGCTTCAGGATCGAATTCGAATTCCGGATATTCATAAATGGAGGTTCCGCCGGAGCCAGTGCCGGTGGGATCACCGCCCTGGATCACAAAATCTGGGACCACTCGGTGAAAGATTGTGCCGGCATAGTAGTTGTCCTTGCAGTGCTGGAGGAAGTTCTTGCAAGTAAGAGGGGCCTGGTTCGCGAAGAGCGCAATCTGAATAGGGCCGACGGTCGTGTTAAGCGTTGCCGACGCGGTGGGATTGGGTTCACTGGCGTATTGTGTGGACATGGTGGATGGTGGGTGAGCAGCCCGGTCGTACTACGGCATACGCGCAAGAGAAGGGTCAAGTACTTCGAAGTGTATTTGTCGGGGTCAAGACACCCTCTTGACTGTTGCGATTCAATGGTTTGCTCTGATCAAAAGTTCGACGAAACGTCATGGCACGTGACGTCTATCTAGCCCTTATTTACTTTCCGCCAGAAGACGGAATCCTCCGATTGAGTAAGTACATAGCGCTCAAAAGGCCTTATTAGGGGATATTTAGCCACTATGTACTGACAATTGGAAGGAAATTTGGCAAAAACGCGAAAACAGGCCGATAGAAAGACATACAGAAAGTCCATAAGAACATGGCAGAGTGTTTCCATTGCCCAGGAGTGGAGATGACGAGACAGATTCATTGATCAGTGAATGTTAGATCTAGGCCAGTTGCATATGTAGCGGCGATTACTGCAAACTTGCTACGAAGGAAAGAAGACGTCTTGGCTGCGCAGGTAAGATTATATTCGCGGTTGGGCATGAAGTTTGTCGCATTTGGGAGGTCATGGCAACAGTGTCATATAAATTAGATACTGTAAGATGGTACCAAAAATGGTGTTTCTTTAGTGAATGGTTAGTGTTGTAGACAGTTGGTGTTGGCAAGCGGGTGAATATTGATAAACTGACCGAACAACCCTTGCAAGATCTTGGTTTTCGCAAGTAACTTTTGACGCAGACTTCACAAACTTTGTAACGTTGCGGCCTGAGTCAATGATTGAGTCGAAAACTGCATGGGCTCGCGGCCAACGTGCACATTCGAGTCAAACAAATGGGGCGCCTTCGGTTCATCACAATCGGAGCATTGGTGTGTCGCAATGGATTGAGATAGGTTGCATAGGGTATAGGCCAATTTGTCGCGTAGGGAAAGGTTATTTCAGCTAACCGTTGTTTTTCGGGAATGCGGAGTGTTGCTTGATGGGGCCCGTAGAAATACCGAATCAACAGTGAAGTTCTTTAGCTCCAAAGGGTCGAGATCACACCGGTGAAACATCAGCCGGGATTTGCAAAGGAAGCAATGGCATTGGCATTGGAAGCTGTATTGGGATCGTCATTGGCATTGAAATCGGCATATGCCCCTGGTGCTGCTCCTGTTCGGACGGTGCCCTGACGTGGAGCCCTAATTTAAATCGTAGTCTGCGCAAAGTGCGCTCAGAGATACCATAACCTTCTTGTTGCAAGAGCTTGAGCATAGCTTTATCAGTCAATCTATCTTGCAAGAATAGGATTTTGATACGCGCATGTAAAGCTTCATCTCCTGTTGTCGTGCGGTGTCGCTTTCGGATGCCCCACTTGCGGAGTCGGGTCTGGATGGTGCGCTCTTTGACTTGGATGTTATGTCGACTATGAAGGGCACGGCTGATAGAGTCGCTACTAACTCCATGGTGATATAAAGATATTATTTCGTCGCGATAGGGCTCTAGGTTGATTTGTTGGCGGGGCATTTTGGGTTGGTAAGGGAAGAGGAGTTGAAAGGATAGCCTCGGGGAGTTGTTGTCGGCTCCTAAGGCGGTGAATCTGGGAGATTATCATTTCCTTTAGGGTATCATTTTGATGATATTAGTGGATATTAGGGGAATTGTATGATTACAAACAATTTGATTTTAATTTGGGTACTTGTGTTATGGAATGGGGGCGCTTTACAAATTAATGGGCCGCGGTTGTATACTTCTCACACTTACCGAATAGCCACAGCATCTTAGAAGTGTCTCCATAATGCGAAGTAAAGTTCCAAAATCAAACCAAATTAATATTGCATTTTCATAGATTCGTTGATTATTCTGAATTCCAAGCTAGTCACAGACCCAGGAATTTTCCAAATAGTCCTTCGTATACTACCATCCCTGCTCCGATATACCGACAAATTAAGCCTTATTAGCCTCCACAGCAGCAGCCGAGCTCATCTCGGGGCTGTTCTTGTTGCGCTTCGCAATGCGGAATCCACCGACAAGGAAGAACAGAGCCTGCAAGCCAAGTATCACCGCTAGGGTAACCATAGCACCGATCACACCCGCCACAGCGCGGGACATGCCGGAGCTGCTAGTGCTGGAAGTACTAGCAGAGCTGGAGGTGGAACCGGTGCTATTAGAGCTGGCACACTTGCCGTCGGTGTTACCGCACAAAGTGCACCACTCATCATCGTTCAGAACGGCGATCTCGGTGGTCTTTGTGACGAAGTCATTCCAGGAGAGCAGCTCGCTGGGCTGATCGTACATTGCGTACGCGGTGGGCTCGGATCCACCTGTGATGGTGCCGTTGTGGAACAAGAAGCGCACGCTGATGTCGGACTTGTCAGTGGGGAAGTCGGTACCAGAGGCGTTCGTTACAAGTTCGAAGACCATAGACGAGGCGTAGTCGGGAATACCGGTGAAGTCAACAGATGCAGCGGGCATCTGCAACAGACCAAAGAGAGAGAAAATGGTGCCGTAGGAGCCGAACCCAATGTTCAGCTTGGACTTGCCCTTGGTAGAGATAGTGTCATTGAGAGCGGACATGATCTCGCCGGCTAGGACGGCACCGTCCACGGCACGTGCCTTATCGGAGGCGTTGTATGCCAGGTTATACTCGTGGCTGCCAGCAAGAGAGATCAGCTGGTGGTAGACTTCGTCGGTCAAGTCTGACCTGTGGGTGAATTGACTGGTGGAGTTGTGGATCAGTCCGACATTGAGGTAATCGAAGATGGAGTAGGCGTTCTTGAAGGTCATATCAGATGAAGCAAAAGCGCCGGACAGCATGGGCTCGAGCGACTTGTAGAAATCCTTGGTTGAGGACAGCAGCTTGGTGTACATGTCGGATGTGAAATAGTTGTTGCTGCTGACAGTTGCCTTCTGACAACCGCTGGAGCCTTGCAACCAGGTCGAGTCTTCAGCGTCCTTGCTGGTTGTCGCTTCCGACAGCAGGATGAGCTGGTACCCGCCCAATGGTGCCTCGACAGAGGAGCCATTAGCTAGAGTTTGGGAAGCCACTTTGCCAACGGGAGGGTAGACACCCTGCAGGAAACCCAAGGCTGAGTTCTGCAAAACGTTCTCAGCCGGGGCAGTGGCGCTGATCTGCTTCGGATTGACAACATCGGCGCTGATACCCTCAATCTGCTTGGATGAATTCGCAGAGATGTATCTGTTGTGGTAGTAAGAACCCGTATCGAAGACCTCCCGGTAACCCAGATCAGTCAATGTGGTGCTACCAAACACCTTGGGCGTGCGATCTCCATGGCGCGCAAAGATATAAGCACCCAGCACACGCTCTGCCTCAGTGACAGAAGACAGAGAAGCGGCCAACAATAGACCAGACTGAATAGAGTACCTCATGGTGATGGTAAAGCCAGCAAAGACGAAGCCAAGAAGCCCAGAAAATAATCGGGATGCGATCTTCTTTATCTAATGGATGTCAAGCCGTCACTTGCGGAACATTGAACCCAACCCCTCTTTTCCCAGGGTTCTACTGCCGATTCCAGACCTTAACTAAACCCTAAAGGGCTGACGGAGAGAATCGAGAGACCCTTGCAATCCATTCTGACACTTGGATTGGACAAAAATATCTCTAGCGTGAGAAAAAGCTGCTAGTCAAGCCATTGGCCAAGTCCGAGGACGATAGAAGGTCAATAACAATCAATTAGCTAATTGTAATCAAACTCCGCGGCATACCGCGGTGCTACGATAGCGGATGAGCGGAGAAATGGACCCTGGACCCTTTTCGCCCCCCTCTCCTCGCGTGGCCCAGGCCATTATTTGACTTCAAAAGATCATATTCTTCCCATAATAAATACTTCATGCTTAAGTCTACGTCTCCTTAGGCAGGTACTGCCGCAATAATTGATCTAGTACAAGGATTTCGGATTTTCGGAAATGAGATAATTCTTTTTCCTTTTCGCCTCAAGACTCCCCGAGGCTATGCTACCCATAATAGTATTTGTATCGTGAAAAAAGAGAACAGAAAATCGACTCGCTTTGCGCCTTATGCCAATACAACGCCCTTATCGCCCATCAACTCACATCCATTTCGCACTACCCCGACAAGCCCTCCAGTTTGGATAGGTTCCGAGCCACCGCCGGCAAGGCGCCATTCAATTTCGGCTAGACCTTCGAGCCATGTGATGCGTGTCTGTGCTGGGACTTCCAATTGCTGAAGCTGGTGTGCTAGAGCGGAGAGAATATCGGCCAGAGCTAGACCCTTGTTGGACTTCAGGGTTTGCACAGTGTTGAGACAAGAAGTAACATCGCTGGTAGATAGGATGGTGGTCATGATTTCTTGGATATCAGCAGGGTGAGGAGCGGCAATGCAGTCGTAAATTGTCGCGTTAGTGATCGTCTCGGCTTCAGGAAGAGGTGCATTCGGGGCATCTCTCATAGGAAGTGGAATACCTGATTCAAGTCATAGATTAGTAGGGATGCAAATGATAGCAGGCGAGAGCAACTTACTACTAGCAAAGCAGGCTTGAAGCACGTTCAAAGCTCGGCGCATATCACCCTTACTCAGGGTCACTAGACTCTCGATTGCGTCGGGCTGTATCCGTACACCTTCCTTCTCAATCACTTGGTCAACAATGGTGCGAATGTCGGCTTCCTTCAATGGGCTGAAGCGGAACCGAGTACACCGGGAAAGAAGTGCTGGAGACAGCTTATGTGTGTAGTTAGCAATGACGCAGAACCGGGTATTGGCTGTGTAGCGCTCCATGATGCGACGGAGAGCCATCTGAGCAGGTGAAGTCATGGCATCAGCTTCATCAAGAATGATGAGCTTGAAGTTTGCTAGCGATGAACCACTGCCGGCCTGAGGAGCCATGTTGAAGATCTGTTTTGTGCCTGTCGAATTCATGATAAGCTCCTAGTTCGAATCGAGAGCTTGGATTACGAACTTGCAAAGGTCTTGATCTGTTCTCGAACAACATCAATACCACGGTCGTCACTTGCGTTCAGCTCCAACACCATTTGTCGCATGTTTTTAACACCATAGATTCGTCGTGCGAGGGCTAGGATAGTAGAGGTTTTACCGGTTCCCGGCGGTCCGTAGAGGAGAAGATGGGGAAGTTTCTGTATGCCGGTGTCAGTTGGAGTATATCATATATCCTGTGGGATCTTCAATACATTTGTGTCCACGAATTTATTGATAGTTGCGAGGATGTCTTGATGGCCGGACACATCATCCAAGCTGTGCGGTCGGTATTTCTCAACCCTGCAAAAGAAGTTAGCGAGTGAGAACGGAATATCCGAATGAAAACCTACCATGGTAGGTTATCTTGAGCCGCAATTGGCAGGTCGGCGACAGTTCTTTTTTTTCCACTGGCATTATCGGAGCTGAACTGCACGTCCTTGGGCGCATCCACGTCCATTTCATCCTCGTAATCCGACATGATGAAGGAATAGATACGAAATAGACAATAATAGTAGAACTCGGTTCAACAGGGCACGTTGGCTACTGAAGGGAAATTGGCGTCAACTTTGGACGCGTTGTTCAGGGCGCGTAAAGAGGCTCGGGGCGGAAAATCATGGGAGCTTCGGGGAGACTCCACAGATGACATCCTCACTGCCTAACGTCAATTTGTCCCTCCGCACCTCCGCTTGCTTTTCTATGACAATTTATTTAATTGTCACCAACTCATTCAATATGCCTGTGAGTCTCGATGCCTGTGTATATTGAAAAAACCCCCCTCTGTTAACACCTATTGCAGGCATACCACTCAATCTTCTTGGAGGACCGCGATGTCCCCGTGATTGGTACGAGATCAGACCCCGGCCGAATCTCCAGCGCACTAGCTCTGTGGGATGCGGCGACATCTAGAAATCGGAATTGACAACAGTATTCTTTCCACACAGGCAATTTCCCTATCCTCCCCCTCCGAACCCGCACTCGCGGCCCCGCATACACATTGCCCCCGCTTCCCAACACCGACGACCTTGATGTGTCACCAGAAAGCGAATCATACGATTGTGTTGATGAGATTCTGTCGCTGTTCCGCGCGAACGTCCTGTTCCGTAATTTCGAAATCAATGGCCCCGCCGACCGCATGCTCATTTACGGAACTTTGTTTATCAGCGAGTGCCTCGGAAAGGTCAAGCCAACAATGAATGCCCGTGAGGCGGAAAAGGTGGGTTATTGCAGTGTTGGTAAATTATCGAATCACAGCCATAACTGATACTCCTCACATAGGCTCTTACCAACGCCGCGCTCGATAACTTTGCCATCCCCGGCGATGTGTCTTTCCCCCTCAACCAGGCCTTCGAGGCACCCCGTGACCGCCAGGATGCCGAGACTCTTCGCCAGTAAGATTTTCACGCTGTACTGAACGTATTGACAACAAGTAACCTTCGTTCCTTCTTCTAGGTTCATTGCGCAAGTGCGACAGGAGATCGCCATCCGCCTGCATGCTAGATTATACCCCGGTGGAGTTGGACCTTCCAAGGTAAGCCGTCACAGATATGAGCATATTTTTAAGATCAGAGATGCTGACATACAAAAGTTCTGGCTCAGTTTCACGAAGAGAAAGTTTATGGGAAAGAGCCTCTAGACGCAAGCGTTCCTGTATATTGTTTGATGAGATTCAGCGCATAAATGAATTTGACACTTGATTTGAAAATAGCCCAAAAGGTTGCGTAGTGAGCATATACCTGGGGACATACTGCTTGTTTTAGGTATACGAATTGATTTCATTTGAGGACTAGCCCTAATTTCACTAGCAGGCGGCCACCGGATACACTACGAGCGAATACGAGACAAGCACACAGATTTGAGTATTGGCAAGTGTACAGTGAATTTGCTATTTGATTTATTTTGAAGAGGTATTGCGGGCATCCATAATAACTAGGACGTCATTTCCACATCTCGATCACTGGCTGGCGTTGATGTTGCCTCCAACTTTCGTCGCTTGTGGCGAACGTTTCCAGCGGCCTGAATCTTTTGTGCGGTAGGGAACACTCGGATGCCATGGAAAATATATCCCTCTGCACCACCACGCCCAGTCATCAGAGGGTGGGTTCGACCCGGTAGAACCTGCCAAGGCCGCACACGCGAAGATTGCAAAGTAGGGGGGAGGAGAATAGTTGGATCGACCACAAACTCATCGTGGAGGGAGGTAAGGTCAGCGGTTTCTGCTTCTGATGCTTTTGACTCCAATTCTCGCTTCTTGGAGATAAACGCGGTTCTACGAGCAGTGGAGTACATGTCCATCAGCTCGACAAGAGGCTCGACATTTGGCGAGTATATGACAACAGGGGCAGATCCCGCAAGGAGTGGGACCATTGTCCTCAAGACACTTGACGGTTCTAACAGGGTGGCCACGACCAAACCGTCGAAGTTACCGGCCCGGCCCTCGTCCACGACGGATTTGACTCGTTGCCACCTGTTGCGCTTGTGGTAGTATGTCGTACGCTTGCTCTGTTTCAAATCGACCAGTTCCTCTGGGGAAATTACGGGTGGCTCGTTGGCGTAGAGTGGATCTGAATTGGGTTCAACCAGCTGCATCCAAGAAATTGACTTAAGGCGGGTGTAGAGAGGATGGGACTCGTCGGGGTTGTTGCTGTCGTAGCCAAAGTATTTCAAAAGTGAGAGGTTAGGTTGCGCGTATGCGTGTATCACGGTGATGGTGTTGGTGGTCGCGGACATCGCCTGAGGACGTACACGCCGGGGTTTTGGTGGGCCACTAGCATCCTGGATCTCTGCAGTTTCTTCGGCCGGAGCATCTTGTTGCTCTTCTGTCTGATCTTCCTCAGTATCGTGAGGATAGAGAATTCCCATCCGTTCAGCCATTGCGGCGACAACGAGTCCGGCCGTTTCATCCACGACCGCATACCGGCCATGCGGCTTTACCTCTGGTGCCACTTCGACGTTGCCACTGTGGTGTACGTTTCCCCAGCACCCAATGAGCCCAATGTGCTCGTCCCGCAGCTCCATGATCTTTTGCGCATCCCGTTCTTGCATCAAGTAATTGGCGAGAAGACCCACGTCCAACGGAAGCACGGTGAACCGCTTCATATACTTCTTGCGTTTGCGCAAGGTGTACTTGGCAAGAGAGAATGCGGTCTTCTGGTCTAGAGCGCTATGTGACTCCAAAAGCTTTGCGACAATGTCTCTCCCGGCACCACCAGCTTCTTTCTTCAATTCTTCAATTTCCTCGAGTGTCAATTTTTGAGAAGCGTTCATGTCGATAATTTCGCGATTCGTTCGCATCGGCGCTCCATTTTCACCTGCGTCCAGGTCTTCGGTCTCGACATCTCCCTCCCCGTCGGCGATGAGGGTCTCTGCATGCAACTCGGTGGCGGACAAGACACGTAGTTGGTGGCCGGATTCGTCGCGCGAATCCAAAATTTCAAAGGTGAAGTACAACGGCCGCCCGATGATCTGATTGGCAGCAAAATTACCGAATCTGTTCAAACTGACAGTTCTGTTTTAATGTTAGCTATGGAATGTTTCCCCGCATATAACAGACCACTCACGTGTTGGGGATGATCTGAACAAGCCTTAGCTGATCTGACGGAAGTTTGAGAGCCACCCATTGGTTTGGGCGAATGTAGGAATGCATGACGGCGATGGGAAAGCTAGGGCTAACTCTTTCTTCCGTTCATAAAAAAGTTGCGGGCAACGACTTTATGACCGATAAAGCAGGAGCCAATCAAATGACAGCAAGATCCTTGTCGGATCAATAGATAGTCCGGATAATCATTCGTGCCTTATATTTATGGCCTTCATCAATCGTCATCGTTAACTTGCATTAACTACATTTAGTGTTGGTGATGTATTTAAAGCAATCTGTACTATACCATACTGTATTGACCCACTTCCCGCCACTGTGTCTACATAGAAAGTGGCAATTGCTCGAACAGCATGTACTGAATGGTAATACCAATACGGGGAGCTTTCCCCAGCTCAACCACAGGAATTCGGGTGCCTGCAAGAGACTCTGATATCATTTTCCGATCCACAGTCCACAACCGTCGTTGCCTTTGTACCCTTCACTCTGTTGGGGCATAATTTTTGAGCTTGAGCTAAGGCCGAGTTGCCCATCACTTACGTTAACGGTTTACGATCTTGCTGAGCCCCAGCCGCCCCGGCGCAAGGCGTTTTCCACCTCTACCTCATGGTTTATAATTATCCTGAACTTGGCAACATCCTCAACCTGGATTTCACTTTCAAATTAATACACTCTTAAATCAAGAGTACGAATTAACACAACCACTTACATTTTCATCGAACTAAACACGAACTCAAATCTACAACCCCTCCGCTTACCTTGCCGCTTCCAAGTTACGTCTTCATGGGCCTGCGCAAACAGCCTCCACCGCGCCTAGAGAACATTAGCAAGCCAAAATCTCGATCGGACGCACGCTCGCCAACATCAGCCAGCTCCGCTTCATCCTCCCACCGCCCCACTCGTTTAAACCGACTTCCCTCGGAGGACTCTATATACTCACCCGACCTCAATACTTCGCCCGCATTCGACTTGATGCCGCTAGAAGAGGCCCAAAGGTCGCCAGTCGGGTCACCGACCAACCACCCGCCAAGTTCGTGGCCAGAACACACCACAAGAACAGATTATGGCGGCGGTGGTCATTATAGCCAGTATGACGGGGCATACCAAGACTATGGGAATAATACCGGTCAAATTCCACCTGCCTTGATTGCAGGCCAGCACACAGGAGCCTCTGAGAACGTGTGGCGGTCCAATCCCGATACCGCCGAGGGTTTGACGGGCGAGCTGCCGTTACGGCTTCAATCGAACAACCCTTTCTTGAAGCCCAGGCCTGCAGAGTATACTCAGGATTTGTTGGATAGGAATGACTGGGGACGTAACTCCCAGGCGACTACTAATAGTGAAGCGTTGAGTCATAGTATGTCCAGAATCCTTGCTTCCATCTTAACGTTCCCCTGATTCTCAACTGACAAATTCCAGCGGATGGATATATCCCAATGACTGCACGTTTATCTCTCCTGGATGAACCGCAACAATCACCATGGGAGGAGCCTCAAACCCATTCTGATCAAACCCATTCTGATCAAATTCATCTCGATCAACGCCCCGTGTTGGGAGGCCACCACCTTGACGACAACTCACCATGGGTATCTCAACAGTCCAATAAACACTCCGCCCCGCAAGAGATGTACCTACAAGCAGTACAGTCTAATCCATATGCTCCACCAATTGTTTTAGAGCCACACAAATCGCCCGACGGGACAGAATATGCTCATGTGCAAGACAGCCAATCGTACAATCCGGCCAGGCTAGGATCGGATGCTGGAATCAAGACTCCCTCTGTTGCGCTCTCTAATGCAACATCAGCCACATCTCATGAGTTAATAGATTTGGATGTTCCAGGTGCGGGTGGCAATTTGGGAGCCAGGGCTGCGTATCGTGCCGGATCCTCGGTATACTCAGAGCCTACATCCAAAGACGCGAAGCCTGTATCAACCCCCCAGCCCCAACCCAGCCCCGTTCTATCCGCCGAGGAGGCTGCCCGACAAAAGGAGCAAAGGTCGGAAACATATACAATCCGACATGTCCGATGGACCCACAAGAGTGGCGAGCTAATCGAATCTCCTATTCTGGTCCAAAATCAGAACGGGCCATGCCCATTGCTAGCCCTCATAAACGCATTGGTTCTACGCGCAGATCCAAAGACCCAGCCTCCGATCGTCAGAGCTCTCTCAACCCGCGAGCAAATATCTCTGGGGCTGCTGATTGAGGCCATGTTTGAAGAATTGATAACATGTTTGAGTCCTGATGAGGAGTTCCCAGACATTGAGGCCCTCACCCAATTTTTGACCATGCTACATACCGGTATGAATGTCAACCCGCGGCTGACACTGGTAAGCATACCTGTACTATCTCAATATATCAAGGATCTTCCATACTGACCTGAGCTGTAGAACTCTACTGAGGGACTTGGAACCTTCCTCGAGACCAGCGACCTCCGATTGTACAGCACATTTGGTATACCTTTGATTCATGCTTGGTTGGCTTCTTGGTCTAGTCCTACCCATGCGGCAATGTCACGAACTGGTCAATACTACGAGGATATACAAATGCTACCCTTCCGCCGCCAAGAACTCGAGGATCGAGCCACCCAAGGCGAGCCACTCACATTTGAAGAAGAAAGCATCATGGAAGACATACAAACGATCCAGCAATTTGTAGAATTCGAAAACGCGACACAGTTGAGCCCATTTGGTTTGACACAACTCTCGACTAGGCTTGCGCCAGGCTCGGTCTCTATCCTGTTCCGCAACGATCACTTCTCGACTCTTTACAAACACCCACAGTCTCATCAACTATACACCTTGGTTACCGATGCGGGGTACGCGGGCCATGCTGAAGTAGTCTGGGAATCCCTGGTCGATGTGACGGGGTTCAACACGGAATATCACTCTGGCGACTTTCGTCCTGTTGGCGCTTCCCCATCTGCCCCATCTATCCCGGCTGGTCCACGAACATCCAGTATTCCAAGGGATGACCCCCGAACCTCAAATGGCGCTACCCCATCCCCAGAACCCACCCAAGAGCAAAGTGACGCGGACTATGCATATGCGCTTTCACTTCAGTTTTTGGAAGAAGAGCAAGGTGAAAACGATAGGTCTGAGGATTGTGGTGAACATCGCACTTCTGCCCCGAATAGTCCCTCTACTCGCCCGTCACTTCCACCTCGGATGAGCAACCTACCTACCCGATCTTCAAGCACGGCCACTGGGCTCCGAACTCGACCAGAACCTCAACAACACCAAGAGCTCGACCCTGATGATCCAAACGCACCTCCCCCGCCTTACGAGCAAGCCGCAGGGGGTCCTCGCTACTCACACCCCGACAGAAGGTCCTACAGCGGTGCTCAGGGCAATCAGTACCCCGGCAGAAATTCGAATCGCCCACGCACTTATACCACGGGCGCTGATCGAATGAACAGAGATCGAAACAAAGACTGTATAGTGATGTGAACCATGAACTCATTGGGCAGAATCATGAGGTCCACGCGTGATGTTTCCTTTTTACGGCTAATGCACAAATGATGAAATGAATATGACGTAGCGATGGTCTAAATGAAGGAACACAAGCTCTGCTCGTCTGTGAGATCCAGTGATCATTGAATTGCTACAATCTAGTCTTGCTCGGAGCGTTTCTGCTTTTGTTCCCCATTCTCCACGGCTGTATGCAAATCAACACGGACTATCTCCGCTCCCTTTGCAGGAGCGGAGCTAATATATTTCCCCTCGGGTCACGATGTACATGCCTACCTATTTTATTAGACTTCGAGATCGGGCAAATTGAAGGACTGAACGAAGGCAAGATTTACAGGCGTGCTGGATATTTTTGATTGGTTAGCTATCCTAGGTTTTAAGTTTTTATAATTAGCGTGTGGAAAGCGCAGAAATAACTCATATGATACTAAACCCATATCCCTTTTTCAACTTTGAAACATTGCAAGCCCCTCTAGGTCGAAATTTTAGAGGGGATCCGTCGTACCTTTCAACGATCTATAAAAGGATAACAAAAAGCCCAATGAAAGTATACAATAAAAGAATGCACAAGGAGATGAATAAATAATATATAATGTAGACCATGGACGAAGTCTTCTCTACTGGCTACTCAAGAATCCTTCTAAAAGAATGGCGTCAAGCCGTCTCTGATTGGAGGAAGTATTGTTCCTTTTCCAAGACAGCTAGCCTTAGCTTCCCCATGGGCAAGCCTGCAGCATGCAACCTATGCCGAACATCAGCACGAAATTTGCCGCAGAGTTTATTCAGGATCAGGGGTGCATTGAAGACTTTCATCGTCCAACTTACATGAAGAACATGTCTTCGGCCCGCCGGCCCGCTTGAAGACTGATGTTGGAGATGGTTCCTTGGTGTTATGTATTTCTGTCCACGTGAATCATTCTACAGACCTTGAATATCTGTCATTGAAAGTGTAGCCTCGGAGAGATGGATTGCATGTAGCCTACTTGGCACTAATATGGGGTAGATGAAGCGACCAAAGCTTGCGCCACTCCGGGCCCTAAAGGGTTCCTGGAATTATAAATGGTAATAGTTTGCCCAAATCTAGGGGCGACTCTGCTGAAGAATACTGCATATTGGAATCGAAATAATTGTTTGTATAGCGCATTTTATGATGCAAGTCCTCCTCACCGGTGCTTTTGTGGCCCTCATTGGGGTAGCCCAAGCCCAAGTAGGAGGCTATGGTCAATGTATGATGTTCTTATTCTATGTTTCCAGTATTATTTCCTCGATTGACACTAATTCATGAGTTCCAGGTGGAGGAAGCGGATACTCGGGAAGCACTACTTGCACCTCAGGCTTTGTCTGTGCTTCGCAGAATGCCTGTAACTACCTCCTAGATAGCCTGACAGGTGGTATAATGCTAACATCTACGAAGATTACTACCAATGTATTCCTGGAACAACAACAAGCAGTACCACTACCGCATCAGCAGTAACCACTACTAAAGCCACAACTACAACTGCCGCTACGACCTTGACAACAACCACCAAAGCTACGACACAGACTGCTACTGCTACTGCCACAGGAGCTGTTTGCACTGGAACATTCAGCGCGATATCTGCTTCCAACTTTGTTTCAGCCCTGCATCCTGGTTGGAGCTTAGGAAACACCCTAGATGCTGTTCCCGATGAAGGGTCTTGGAACAACGCTCCAGTAGTGGCGTCTACGTTCGATACCGTGAAGACTGGTGGCTTCAAGAGTGTCCGACTCCCAGTGACTTATGCCTACCACTTCACCGGCAGTTCCCCAGATTGGACAGTTGACCCAGTATGGCTGCAGCGAGTCTCGGATGTGGTCGATATGATCACGGCCCGGGGCCTCTATGCCGTCGTGAATGTGCATCATGGTAAGCTTTACTATACAATGTTTTCAAGCAATATTTACTGAAACTGAATAGATTCCTGGGTTTGGGCGGATGTCACTCAATCCGGAGCCAACTTGACTATGATCGAAGAGAAGTTTTATAGATTGTGGTATCAAATCGGAACTAAACTTGGTTGCAAGTCTAGCCTTGTTGCATTTGAGCCTATCAATGAGCCGCCCTGCAACACTGCCACTGACGCCGCTGAAATTAACAAACTCAACAAAATATTCCTCCAAGCTATCAATGATGCCGGTGGATTCAACCCACAGAGAGTTGTTACTTTAGTTGGTGGCGGCGAAGATAGCATCAAAACCTCCCAGTGGTTTGTGGCCCCTTCTGGATTTTCGAATCCATATGCTATTCAATTCCACTACTACAGTCCTTGTGAGTGAGTCCTAGATCTGTTCAATCATATCATCAGCTGACATGCATCTGATCTCTAGATGACTTTATCTTTAGTGCTTGGTAAGAATATTTGCTTTACATATTGGACAAGCCGCTAAATCCAGACAGGGGTAAAACAATTTGGGGCTCTGATGCCGATAAAGCCACTGTGAAGTCCGACTTCCAGCTACTACGCAACAATTTCACCAACGTGCCTATCCTCTTGGGTGAATACGATGCTTCGCCCACTAACACCGAGCCCGCCGCCCGCTGGAAGTATGTAGACTTCTTGATCAAGACTGCAGCCAGCCTCGACATTTCGTGCGTACTGTGGGATAACGGCTTGGACCATTTGGACCGAACCACCAATGTTTGGCGCGATCCCAATTCACTCTCAATGATTACAAAGTCTACTGCATCCACCGCAAACAGTTTACCTGATAGCACTGAGGATGGTTCGGCAACCACCCAGTCATCCTCGGCATATATTTTCCACCAGTATGGAACGGCCGTCACAGCACAGACTCTTCCGTTTGTTTTCAACGGCAATACGCTCTCGTCAATCAGTGATTCTACTGGTGCGGCATTGGTATCTGGAACAGACTATTCCGTCTCAGGCGCGAACATTATCTTCACAGCTTCGTATTTGTCAAAACACCTTTCATCTACGACATCACCCGGTGTTATTGCCACTCTGACCTTAAAGTTCTCTGGGGGTTACTCGTCTCCCACTATCCAGATTGTTCAATGGAAGCCACCAACCCTATCTTCCACTTCGGCTGTGGCCTCATCGGTGTCCGGCTCCGACCTTTCTATTCCGATCACTTGGGGCGGTTTGCCAACTGTCGCGGCAGTGAAGGCTTTGACTAAGAGTGGAACCTACCTAGTCGATGACTGGACCGTATACTTGGGTCCTCTCCAGCAAGCAAGAACAGTAAGTTTACGTCCTGTATTGGTGTGTGTGATACTAACAACTCTCTAGACCTATAGCAGCCAGTATAACTGGGGCACCTCAAATGTGATACTCACTTCATCGGCTATTAGCTCTGTGATCTCTGCGGGCCAGACCACTGTTTTCACATTCGAGTTCTTCCCACGAGACAATGGTGCCGCGAATGCCGTTAATTTCACTTTGACCGTTTGATTCAACGTCATTGATGAGAGCGCCTGTTTTTATTTGTTTGGTCTGTGTTTGAATATATATAGCATAGTATTCAATCACGGATGTTGTTCAAGTAATCACCAGCAAAGAGTGCTCATTTCAGACTCTTTTTCCTCCATCTATACATTTACCTCGGTCTAGGTATATGGCAACAAGCATGTTATTTTAATACCTTTTGTATTGATTATTATGTAAAATCTATGGTAGAATATGTACAAATTAGATACGTAGGTATTTTTGGTCTGGAACTACCCACGTGCTCGTTTCCAAAGTTTTGCAAAATATTCTGGACAAGACTTTATATGGAGCCACCAATTATATATAATTGAGATTCAAGCCGGAAATTAGATTTTAACCTCGTACCTGCGCATATTTGAATCATTCGGAAAGAAATAGTCTGTTAATCTGATAATATACTTTGATTGAGTTCTGGGAACTCATCACTGTATACATTCGTGACGAAAAAAACAAGTTTGATATTCGCCCTCTTTACACACATACCTCGCGATGATAAAAAAGAGCTGTAAAAGGGTGCAAAAAAAGCAGCGACCGTGGGTCGAACACGGGACATCAAGATAATTGCAAGCTTGCAATCTTACGCTCTACCACTGAGCTACCGCTGCAAGAGACATGGATCTGTTCATTGAGAAGAAATGAGACATTGATGCGAACTTGGTGAGCAAATACGTTGTATACAAAATTTGTGAGGGTGGTCCGTCCACCCACCCAATTTTTGCAAACTCTATTTTCAATACCTATTTCAATGGCAATGAAAAGGCCATCTTTACAGGTAACGGAAATACGCAATGGGATAAATAAAAAATAAATTGATAGATCGGGGTTTCGAATTGCTTTTTATTGTAGGGCGAGATTTTGCATATAATTAGCTCACTGCGTGCGCAATTAACGATACTCTCCGATCGATCTTTTACTTCTAGGGCTTAGAGCTGGGTACAAATAAACGCACCCGAACAGAGTTAAGGTTGCATGCCAAATTTTTTTAAGGAAAATTTCATCTATTTATCAAAGGTCATACTATTGTTCCTAGGGGTCGAGGATGAGTGAGGGCACCCTAGACCCCGGCATGAGGATATCTGATGGTTAAATCGAAAAAAGGTCGTTGCTTTGCCCAGGTGCCAGAAGGGGAGGATCGATGACTAAGATCATGCGATCCTACTTCTCATTGGTTACTTTTTAATTCTCTTTTCTTATCATTGCTACAGCTCCATCTTTTCCTACACTGAATTTCATCCTTCTCATCCGATCCCCTTCTAGCTGAAAATCTGATGTTCTACATCCTGTCTTAGTTTTGGGCTATTAATCTTATCTGAAATATAAATATAATCGTAGATATGTACCTACATGTATGTGGCTTAATCTTTTACACATGATAAAGGGCGTCCGATACTATGAGGCCATCACATGAGAGCCAGATGTACCCTGGGTTTCAAATGGTAATCCTGCGTTCCTGTTTCTCAGTATTCCCTATAGTAATGAGAGCACGCCCGCCCCACTGAATTAAACCTCCAATTTTGAAGCTATCTACATGGTTTTTAACGGAACAATAAGGAAGCATCTTATCACTTTCAACTCACTTGTAATTCACTCTCAATTCACTTGTAATTCACTCTCAAATCACTCTCAAAGAGTGAATGGGAGCTAGAAAACTGGTCATTGCGCCTTCTTACCTGGGCAAAATCCACAACGACCATTCTTCCGTTAGAGAGCGATTCCCCCGTGGACGATCTCCGCTGCGAGCCCTGATCGAGCAAAAGGCCAGAAACTCCATTTCATCACATATTCAATGCCCATTTCAATGGCAATTGGATAAATAAACAATAAATTGATATCTTGAGAATTCGACTTGCTTTTCACCGTAGGGCAAGGTTTTGACATTATTAGCTTATCCGTTCTATGTTCGCAACTGACAATTACCCCCCGGGTCGATCTATTTACTTTAAGTATAGGATCCTTTTTCTTTGGTTTTTACAATAACCTTCCTGTTCTTTTCTGTTAAAGTGATGTTAATGTACAAAAGGAGGTTCGCTGCTATCATCATCAAGTCATTAAATCCTCAACCAGACTCAATAGAGAGTCTTCAATTCACGCAGTGGAAGGTGAGGGTCATATTTATCCCACACAATCTTGTTCTTCTCATCTAGGTGCGCACCTATATCCGTGATACTGATGGAAGCATCAGTTTCCATCACCTCATGGTTACTGAAACCCCACTTATCGCGTGGGATCCACAGAGTCGGCGGCGGCGATGCGACACATGGCTCGAAGTATGCCGTGCGCATTTCTTCCGGGGTATACGAAACCTCGTCGAGATTGCGGCGGACTTTCCGACGCAAGGCTGCATAGTCCTTGTACACGTTTGGATGGAACCATCTCCAAAAGGCCATTGCGCGTGGACGGCGCTGTTCGTTGATCTCTGCCACTCTATCTTCTTTCTCTTGGAGCATTTCTTCCTCAGCGTCGAGGGATCTTGGCAGAAATGTATTCAGGGGAGCCAGTGCTTCATTGAGGGACATGTGTGCCAGGATGTTGCCGACTAAAAATATAGCAATGATGATGAGTGGGCCGATGGCACCTTTGATGGCAAACAAGCCTATCATGCATATTTCGGCAAGATAGAGACCGGTCAGCAAGTGCTGGAGAGCTCGTGGGTAGACCAAGCCCTTGGTGTCGATCTCGATGTCGTATACGAAAAGGAAGTTGTATCGGTAGGCTTGGTATACAAGGTAGAGTCCGAGAAAGGCAAAGCCCAGAATTAGAGGTGCAATGCATGAATATGTCAATGCTACAGATTCCGGTCAGTAGACGCCAATGTTGATATGGAAGATAGGTTTCATACCGATCACAGCCATGTTGGTAAACACAGGGAACACATTGCCCCAGCTGAGACTACCAAGTTCCGCCCACCGTTGGAACAAACGACGAGGCGAATAGGCGAAGAATGTGGTGACGAACTTGAACACCAGGGCACTGGCAATTTGAACAAGAGCCATGGAGCTCATACTCAGCCCTTGGAGCATGAAGTAGGAGATATAGAAATTGGTAGCTTTGGGCAGATTTTGAGCCAAAAGGTCTTTGACCGACAGAGGGTTCTTGATAATCTGCGCTGTCGCAGCCGATGCGGCTGAAGTCAGGGTTGTCACTAAGAATACTTGCACCACCTGGAACACAAAGTGGGCACTTTGTGTAAACAATTCGACCCGAGCCTTTGAAGGGACTCCGGCTCGTCTAGCGCAAACTATATCATGTCAGAATAGCTGGGCGAAGAGTATGAAGATTATGAAACTTACTCCGACAGATGATTGGCACCAGCGACATCAAAGCCGCAAGAGCCGCAGATGGCAAAAGACCCTCGATCGCACCTTTGATAACATCGGGCAACTTGAGGATGAAGCGGAGGAAAGGAATTATTTTACAAATGTAGGTAATGTTCGAAATGGCACCGACAATTGCAGCAGGGAATGACCAGAAGATGACCATCACGGCGAGGAATCCCTGAACTGCGAATCTTCGTACAATTCGTTGCCACCAACTTAGATTCAGTGCCGACCAAACAACCTCGCGAGGCGAGACTCCAATGAAGCGAGGCGTCATGTGGAATGGCTGGTGGTGAGACAAGGTTTGTAGAGCCACTTGAGCATCAGCCTGGCTGTTGAATTCGACGAAGATTGCGCTCAGTTGCGTTGCTTCGTTATTTTGATGTTTCATCTGCAAAGAGGCGACCTCCTCGGTTTTTTTAATCAGTTGGGATCGATACCAATAAATGGAGTCGACCTTTTCGCCGAAGAATTTGACTCGATGCGTGGGTCGTTTGACTTTATGAGACCATGCTGGATTGCTCGACTCGCAGTCTAAGCATGTATCGACACTGAGTTCTCCCTTTTTGATCGCCTGCGTGCGGACCTTGTTCGCTCTTCGAATAAGCTTGGTCTCTGCGGTTTCCAGCTTCTCAGCCAGTTTGTCTCGTTCAGCAACCAACTTCTTTAACTTCGAACAGTCCGAGGTCACCCAGATTCGGCGGATCGATTCTCCAAATACCTGCCGGATCTTATCCTGGTTTTTGTACGCATCTGGGACCGACATGAAGAGAACTGTCCGGGAAGACACGCGAGAAGCATATGCAGGTGAGTTCAGGTACGCCTGGCGCAGATTCGCATAGTATAAGCTTTCTCTAACGACGACATAGAAAACGAATGCTACATTGGTCAGTGGCGGGCTTGACGATGGAACAGCACGCACTTACTGAAATAAACACACGCCACAATCGCATTCGCATAGTACCTTTTAGGATTTTTAACATTACTAAAACTCAGGATATCGAGTTCAGTATTGCCGTTTCCACCAGTAGCATGGATAGGCAGTAAAATGGGCCATGTTATCAGACAGCCTGTCAAACACGTCGCCGCTAAAACGCGTAAAAATCGTAGAAAAAGATAGCCGTCAAGCGAGGAGTGGTGCAACACGTGGTTGTCCTCAATCTTCAAAAACGTCCCAAGCCAATTGACCCAACCAGTCGGCAGCTCGGGACTTCGTTGATGCTCGTGCAGATCGGGTAAATACGATCTCGGGGCGTACCATCGACGCTGAGTTCGTCGAAAGATCAAAAACAGACTGACCCAGAAAATCGCGTATATAAGTGCGGGCAAAAGAGTCATCATCAGTGCGGATGCCGATGAGCCACCTGAGTTGGTGAGACTGCCGACGGCATCTCCAGAGGTTGTCGAGGCGTCGCCTCGCGACGACCCAATGTTAGTGTCATTGTCCTAGAATTCGCATTAGTACACAGTACACTTGCGGGCTGGAGCATAGCTATGATACCGTTATGCTCGACATAGTGAGCGGACATGTGTCTGGAACCTCCGAAGACAAAGAGGAGACGCGACTATATTAATGCAAGCCTGCCAAATAATCGAGATTGTATAATTCTATGTGAGAAAGAGAAGAAAAAAGCAATTCGGCCCGCCCCCTCCCCCTTCGCATGACCCGCATTTCCGACCTGTCACTTAAAAAAAAATGGAAACACATTCATCTTCGTGCGCTATGCAGAGCTGATAGGTGGATCAAATCGAACCCAAACCTTCGGTACGCGATAGTCGAGTCGATCCGATAGTGTGTGGGTCTTTTGGGGCCGTGTACACAATAGTATTGCACAACATTGTGCCTTGACAAACATTGAATATGCCATTGTAGCTTTGTATGTTGTACCCAATATACAAAGCATGAAGAATGTATCCAATAATTGCATTAACATAACAATTTTTGATACAACGAGAGAGAAAAAACAGCAGGTCTCGCAGGAATCAAACTATTGGCCCAGGCGCCGATCGTTGCTGATCGAACCCCCCTGAACGACGTGAGAACTCTGTCCAATGTGTTCATGCACCTCACACCAATGACATAAAAGTGACAGCCTTCGGCATGTTTATCTCTGCAGCCCTGGGTCACATCATCCCTATTGGACCAGGAAACGATAGACGATTTTGTCGCAAAAAAATTTCCAATTGTGGTGGGTGGTGCATGATTGGCCCGTATAATATTTTCTAGGCTGCACAACGGACAAGGCTGAAGTTGAATGAGCACTGCCGAATCTTTTTCTTGTGGTACTTTTGGCCAGTCGTCATAGCTCGGCTTTTTCTTCCCTCCGTGGATTCCCAACTGGACTGCACGCAAGGGGTGACACCCGTTGGCACCCGTTGGCACCGACTGGCGGTCATGGAGGCTACAGACTTAGGTTACAGCACATGAGGAATGTTAGATAGAAGTCAGAGTCTCATGCAGCAATACAAATCAGGTTAGGGACTGGAATGTGCCATATTGACGGTGAGCCATATTGACGGTGAGTTCGATGATGGGTATCCCTGTATCTGATGTGTTTTATTGTCTGCGAGGTATGATTCCTTGATTGTATAAATGTAGCTTGCAAAACGCTCGAGACCTTTGATTGGTGCATGATCGCACATGGTCGAGATGCATGCGAGTCCACGCTGCGAAGGTGTATAGCGGCCAGGGATCAAATGTACTTTTTCCCTCATGATCGATGCCTAAGGATCCCTTTTGTAGGCTGCTCTATACCATGTTGTAAACATCCCCATCCATGATAGCCAATATTCTCCAGGGCGCCTTTGACATCTCTTTGCACTTTGTTCTTTGGATTTATATATATATATATCTATATATATTGCTATTTTCTGAAGCCAACCTATTTTTTTACTATAAATCATGAATCTTGAAAACCCCATAAGTCTGTCTGAAACGAGGTACAGCAGCACTATGAAAAAAACGCATTTGACCCCTGGCCGCTATACACCTTCGTTCGCACATGCAAGTCCACGCAAACCCCAACGTGCTGTGTAATACAAATCTCGGCATCCGTGCAGTGCGAAGTGCAGCGTTGTGCCCAATCTCTCTACTTGACAATTTCAACACATTTCTGGCTGATTTTTGTTCTTGGCTGATTGTTGTTCTTGAAAAACACATGCACGTGAACCTTCCTTTAAGCCCATCTTTGGACCCGCCGCAGTGAGAAAATCGAAGTCAGCTCCTTCTTCAGCCTGATTGACCGAACGTTGATACAACCCAACATAACCTCTCTTGTTCTGACAATCCGCCCAAGCAGTTTTCTCGCCGTCCAAAGCCCTCTCAGAAAGCCGTTTCTCAATTTCTTCCCGAGTAAGGCTTACACTCAAAACTCGCTTCCCGGCGTCACTGGTGATAATATCACCATCCTTTACTATCCCCAGAACAGACGTCGGGATAGCCGCTTCAGGCGCCACATGTAGCACGATCGTGCCACCGGCTGTGCCAGACATTCTCCCGTCAGATACCCGGAGCATATCCGTAACACCCGCGGCGGCAAGCTTGCGAGGCAATGGGATCATTCCAGCCTCCGGCATTCCTGGATTTCCAATCGGCCCGATTGCTTGTAGAACGAGAACAGAGTCTTTAGTCACGTTGAGATTCGGATCGTCAATTCGAAGGGCTAGGTCTGTGCTGTTCTTGAATACCACGGCTGGGCCGGTGTGGCAGAGAAGGCGTCGGTCTTTAGAAGCAGACGCTTTGAGGATGGCTCCGCCGGGTGCAAGGTTGCCCCTGAGAACTACAAGCGACGATGCAGGATATAGAGGGTTCGTCAATGGTCGAATGATCTCTTGTGAGTATGGAAATGTCCGGAAAGGCGTCTTGTCCAACACTTCACCGAGAGTAGCACCACTGATTGTCATTGCTGAAAGATGAAGCAATGGTCGGAGAGTGTGCAGCAAAGCCAGCATACCACCTGCGTTGTGGAAATCAGTCATGTAGTTGTCGCCGCTGGGCTTGAGGTCAATGAGCAATGGGACCTTTCTGCCAATATCGTCAAACGTTTGGAGAGTTATATCACCACTGCCACAGAGATCAGGATGACGATTGACAATTGCCATCAAATGGACGACGGCATTAGTCGATCCACCAATTGCTTGAAGCACGGTGATCGCGTTATAAAACGACTCTTTGGTAAGTATAGATTGAGGTGTCCTTTTGACGCCGGCTGCAGCAACGGCATTTGTCCCTGTCTCTTCTGCAATTCTAAGCCGAGTAGATGATACTGCAGGCGCAGATGCACCACGCAGAGGCATTAAACCCAATGCTGCAGTAATACACGCCATTGTGCTTGCAGTTCCCATTACTCCACATGTACCTGCCTGAAAATCTTCAGCATCAAGATACATCAAACTGCATTCGCATGGACTTACCGTGGGAGCCAGTTCCTCATTAAGTGATGCGATATCTTCCACATCAAGAGTCCCAGCGCGGAAAGAAGCCCAGTTGTTTCGACAATCTGTACAGGCCCCGATGCGCTTCCCTTTATGGCTTCCTGGCATCATCGGTCCAGTGACCAGAGGCAATATAGGCTTGTTCGCGGACAATCCACCCATAATTTGAGCGGGCACGGTTTTGTCGCATCCTATCATTGTCAGTGATATCCAGGCTTTGAAAGAAATGAGATTGACATACCACCAATCATGATACAAGCATCCACTGGTTGAGCTTTGATCATTTCCTCCGTATCCATGCTCATGAGGTTCCGCAGAAACATACTCGTGGGGTAAGAGAATGATTCATGGATACTTATTGTAGGAAAGTCTATCGCAAGACCACCACTCAGCTGCACACCTCGCTTTGCTGCTTCGATCAGCTGGGGCACGTTGGCGTGGCATGGGTTGAAGCTTGAATATGTGTTGATGATGCCGATGATAGGCCTGGATAGTGCATCTTCGCTATATCCCAGGGCTTTGATGAACACTTTTCGTAAAAACAGAGAAAAATGGGCGTCTCCATAGGATGTAAGCCCCTGCCTCAAACCGCTTGACGTGACCAATGGCTGGTCAATAGCATAGTCTTCTTCGACAAAAGTGGCCATACTCAAAATGCAGATTGAGGGATCCCCTTTGCTTGAAAAAATCTCTAAGACCGAGAGCGATGACTCTCGCGTCCGAAAAATCACTCAATTCCTTAGATCATGTTCAATTTAGACCCGCGCTTTTTATATCGGATGCGTGCCGCTGAGGCAAAGCGGGAAGTCCGTTGCTCAGCAAACCCGCCGGGACAGTCCCGCTTGTCGCACTTCCATGATATATTAAGGAAAAGCACTTCTCGGCAGATCCAATGGGATCTCAGCTGAAGTCCCTCGACAAAGTTCTCAAGAAAGACCATTATAAAACCCCTGAATTTATCTCTTTCGGAATCTGATCTCCACGATTTCACCGTTACAGAAATATCCCTTCCAAATATACAATCTGGAAATAACTACTCTGTCATTATGCTATCCCTCAAAGGAAAAGTCGCCCTCATTACTGGCCTTGGTCAAAGCCACTGCGAAGGATGGGGAATTGGCGCCGCCATCGCCGTCCTACTAGCACGACAAGGCGCCAAGATCTTCGGTGGAAACCGCACTCTTGCCTCAACAATCTCCACCAAAACTGCCATCGAAGCCGAAGGTGGATCCTGCGATATTGTCGAAACCGATGTGACATCGGGCATCTCAACAAAGGCTCTCGTGGATGCCTGCATGGCGAATCATGGACGCATCGACATCCTCATAAACAATGTTGGGCGATCGGAGCCTGGATGCCCTGCCACGATGCCGGAAGAGATCTGGGATTCTCAAGTCGACCTCAACCTCAAGAGTGTGTTCCTGATGTGCCAGCATGTCTTGCCGATAATGGAAAAGCAAGGCAGCGGTGCTGTTGTTAGCGTTGCTAGTATTGCTGGCTTGCGGTATATTGGGAAGCCCCAGGTCGGATACTCTGCAACAAAGGCTGCGATCATTCAACTGATGAAGACAACGGCTGTCATCTATGCGCCTAAAGGTGTGCGCTTGAATACTGTCGTTCCTGGGCTGATGGATACTCCGTATACGAAAGGATTGGTCTCTCGGTATGCCGCTGACGGTCAAGCGGAGGAGTATATGCAGATACGCAATGCGCAGGTTCCTATGGGGAAGATGGGAGATGCTTGGGATGTCGCCAATGCCACGCTTTTCCTTGTCAGCGATGAGGCACAGTACATCACTGGACAGGAGCTTGTAGTGGATGGTGGTATCACATCTTCGACGGGAAGGACATGAATGAGAGGATAGGGTTGTGAAGAAATGTACTTGAGTTTGACTGGAGTAAATTACTCGAACCATAATGTATATAGATGAAAATGAAGTACTGTACAAATGGTAGCTTGAATGCAAGTATCTCTCCACCGTGGGCTCAGCAGTTCCCACAAATGTCTCAAGTATAAGATGCTTGGTATTTGGCATCTGCTTGTGAAATGAAAAACGTTGGACCATATCAGGCCATCAGGTAAAACAAAAATCTCATTCCTTTGCTGTGCGATTTTCCTTGGAAACAGGCAGGAACTTTGTGTGAGAGCCCTTCGAGACCAAAGGACCCACTTCCCCATCAATGACCTTCGATATTTTGATAGTGGTAAAGGCCATGGTTTTGCCCACTCGGTCCGCAACAGCAGAGATATCCAAAAGATCTCCGACGATCGCCGTGGAAAGATATGTAACATGGATATCAACGCTGGCGCCTGTCTTTTCATAGCCATGAGTGACTATGGACATGCCTCCGGCCCAATCGATGATAGCAGCGGAGACAGCCCCATGGATAGTACCTCGGGAGTTGACATGGTCGGAAGTGAGCTTGAGGCGAGCTTGCATGTGTCCGCGAGTGGCATGAATGATTTCAACATCGGAGAGGACAAGACGATAAATGGCGCTGTCGTTTTTGGCTCGCTCCCAAACTCCACGGACATGTTCTAATTCGGAGGTGGCGCTCATTTTGTGTGATGCGTAATCAATTTGGAAAAGAGTGTATGTACAGTGCAATTATAGATCGATAGACAAGTTCATCAAACAAGTGAAAGATACAAATTGGCATGGTGGGGATTTTGAAGCCCGGGCCGATTCGCGGAGTGTGCCGCTTTTCGACGGGACCCATCCGATAACTCGGAGAACAGTGACTCGGGAGCTTCGAGAACACCTGGCAATATCTCTTTTTGTCATCTTGCTATCTTTCTGATCCTCTTTTTCATGTCATTTTTTGTTGTCCATTTGATATCCTCTGCATCCTCGCCAAGCACGCCAATAATTGATTCAAGATATGAAAGAAAAGGCACAGGTTAAAAATGAAAGTATAAAACTAAGCCCGTACCCAACACCAAAAGTCAAGGCGATCTATCATCCTTCTGTATTTTATCTAGTTTTCGAGATGTCTATCCACGCTCGCTGCAGCAACAGCATTCGCGCTCGTCTCTTCTGCAATTCTAAGATGTGTTGATGATGTAACAGGCGCATATGCAACAAATAAGGGGACGTTAAACTCGGTGCTGCAGTGATACACACCATCTTGCTTGCAGTTACCATTACTCTGCACGTATCCGCCTGCTTAGATGAGAATGGTACAAACAATAGTGGATTCACCAAGAGTTACCTCGACACAGTCCTTTCAACGAAGAAATTCAGTCTAAATGTTATAGTGGCGATCGTTATGTTTATTGGGAGTAAAGTTGTACTTCAAATGCTTCCCAATACCAGCGAGGAAGCAAAAAAAGATGAGGATCCTATCATGTTTATGGCTCTTTGGCAGACCTATATATAGGATGCTTGCCTAGGGATTCAATATCTTTCTTTCCTACCCCCCTTATTTCCTGATATCTCATCAATCATGACTGTTCATGATCCTTCTTCCAGTCTTCATACGTCCGATACAAGTACTCCTGGGCCTTCGGATGGTTACGATAGTATGTCTCATGATTGATCTCACAGACACCGTCCACATTCCCCTTGTGATCGATGCAGAAAGCCCGATTACATAATAGACATAGTTGATTTGGGAGGTTGTCTTCAAGATGTGGCCTTCTCAATCGCATACTGTCATGAACGTGGCAGGGTCCAACATCAGAAACATGGTTCTAGGGGGGAGTTTGTTAGCCTACTGAATTGGAATAGAGGTTAATGCGAGGTAGAGAAACGGACCATTGTGTAAAGTTTGATGGAGATTGTGTTGATGGGGCTCGAAGGTAGGGGCTTGAAGGTAGGGCCTCGGAAGAAGCAGAATTGAAGATAAAAAATAAGGGTTAGATGGGGAGGGGTTGCTCGATATTTAAGCTGATAGGGGGAACAACAATAGCTGTTTGGGGTTACAAGATTGGACAGACTTATATTGAGTGCTGCTGCGCCGCATGAGCTGGCACTCGGCGTAGGCTACAGACCTTGGTATTGTACTAGTTCGCAAAGAATATTCTTCCGGACGGAGATAAACATGACACATGGTTTACTGCTAGGCGATTTCTGAAACGAACGAAGTGCAAGAAAGGGTTCTAGCATGACTGGTTTGATGCTTCGTGGTGGTCGACCTTGATCAGGCGGTGTTGTATATGAAATTGAAATTAGCTAGCGTTTTTGATTTAGGCGGCGTAGAGGTTGATTATCGGTGGTGGGTGGAAGAGAGCCATTATGGTTGAACGGTTACTGTAAATGTGGTGACCCCCCTGTGCGGGGGGCGATCACAAATTTACCTGAAATGGATAGATGAGGTGTACTATCAATACTCACTATCATCTACTTGGGTAGTCTCTTGGTGTCCTTGTTCATTTGCATCGCATCTGTTAGCAAGAAAAACCCCATAAATGTGATGATACGTTACGGGCTCCTGTATCATGAATTTACTGTACGTACTTTTGATCAAGACTTATGAAAGTCACTAGATGAAAAGCAACCAAGATACCCCTGTATTGAGGGGCAGATGCGTTGGATACGGACGTGTGTTGGCAGTGCACCCCATTCTCAAGCTAAGGATTTCCAGGAAGGCAACTAACCAAAATGCGCAGTTTGGCTTCTGGGACAAAGAGGGGTTATATATGACACCAGCTTCAGGAATTACTGTAAACAAACAGAAACAAAAAGAAAAAAGCGAGTAGATAAGCATGGCATAAATTCTTTCAACGAAAAAAACCATACAACAGTAATCATTTGCTGGTGTTCATCCACCCAACTACCAACTTACCGGCGTGTGGCTTAGAGGTGGCCAGTAGTCGGATAGGCGCCGCCGGGGTGATAAATGGGTAAGAGCCGCTTTAGCTTCGCGCGACCTGGGATGAGAAAGGTGAATGCGCAATAGACTGGATAAGAAGCTGGGTGAGAATCACCCTTGGCCGCTCGATCGCCGCATCGACTTGCTTCGACTTGCTCAGCTGAACTACGGCACAATATCATTGGGTCGTGACGTTCCGCTTAAAACGGTCAGCCTCTTGACATCTGCACACAGCCCCTCAGTGGAATGACTTTGACTGGGCCAACAAGGTGATTTTTGAATGCTAGTTCTGGCATTTATTAGGCCTCTCCTCCCCTGCAGAGCACAGAGCACACTACAGGAGTTTCTTAAACATACAACAGAACTACGAACGTGAATTAATTTCGAGCCAGGCAACTCAGGACTTTCTCTCGGCCCATGTTCTTTCAAGAAATGGTCATGTTAGACCATTCGAACTATGTCGTGGGCTGGATTTGTGCTATAGCCACGGAATATGTTGCTGCACAAATGTTTTTGGATGAAAAGCACGAAGGACCAGTTGTTGTGCCGCCAAATGATACGAACCACTATACATTGGGCAAAATGGAGAACACAATGTTGTCATTGCCGTCTTGCCGGATGGCGAATATGGCACAGCTTCCGCGGCTAGCGTAGCAACAAACATGCTGAACTGCTTTTCCAATATCAGAATAGGTCTGATGGTCGGCATCGCCGGCGGCGTACCAAGCGAGAAGCATGACGTCCGTCTGGGCGATGTTGTTGTCAGTGCGCCTCGCGATGGTGAGGGTGGTGTGTTCCAATATGACTTTGGCAAGAAGATACAGGGCCAGAGCTTTCAATATACGCGAATTTTGAATCAGCCCCAAGGTCACTACGCACTGCAATGACAGGGATTCAGGCGAAGTACGAAATACATGGGCATCGGCTGGAAGAGGCCATCAACAATATTCTCAATACAAAGGCGAAGAAGCTACGCCGGAAGTATGGACGGCCCGAACCAATCACAGACAGGCTGTTTCAGCCCGAAGTTATCCACGACTCAACATGCGGAGCTACGGTTTGTGCGTATGGTTCTTCTAATTTGGTACCGCGGCGCGATCGGACCGAGCATGATGATAACCCTGCTATTCACTATGGCCTAATTGCTTCTGCCAATCAGTTAATGAAGGATGCTTCGATTCGGGATTGTCTTGCAGCTGAAAAAGACGTTCTCTGTTTTGAATTGGAGGCTGCGGGGCCGGTGAACCACTTTCCCTCTTTGATCAATCAATAGTCGAGTTGTTAAATTATCACCCTTGTATAGGACTTAGCGTCCGAGATATAGTCCGAAAGCCACTCGGACATGTTGTCTTCGCTGGGTATACGATAATGAGAATCAACAAATGGGATAGTCTGAGTGGACCTGTGATCCGAGAGCTGTCAAGAGTAGTCCGTACAAGGATCTTCGCCTCGGAACGTAAGCCCAGCGACGCCTCTAGACAGAGATCCCCGACGCTCGGGGACTTACTACGTCAGCCCTTTCCACCCCCACCTTAAGACTGGAAGTGTCATATAATCGCGTGTTGTACGGAGTAAATATGTGGAATTTAAGAAGAATTAATGATACCCTAGCACAATATGTAGTAAACAATCCCAAAAGAATAACCAGAACTGAAAGGAGAAGTGAAAGAAGCCATCGCTTGGCCCCATCACTTTGTCCCGCTAGGCCAAGGCTAGCGGGCTTTTGCCAGACGCCTATACGAGGCTGTTCTAAGCTGAATGTTAGGCTGATGCACTTTTCCTCTCCTTCTTTGCCAGCTGTTTGCTATCTGGACCATTTGCTCATGTCAATCGTCCCCTCTTGTAGATAATATAATGTTCGGATACGAGTGTCTGTACTCCAAAAGTCCCCGCTCCTTCCTCTTCTCCGTTGTCGCCAATGTCGGCCCCCGCGGAGCCAGCCGCTCTCTAGCCGTGGCCTACCGGCAGGGCAACGATAAGGACATCTCCGTATCATCTTCGGAACGTGTTGAGAATGTTGTGGCAGACATCCTTGCGCTGATCAAAATATTCTCAGATCCCGCGAACCGCGCGCCACTTGAGGCGGAGAGGGCACTCGCGGAGGGCTGGTATGGTCGGTCTCAGGGTGAAAACGAGGCTGAGAGTAATGAGCGGCCTAGCGTTCCAGACAGGCCGCAGCCTCCTTTCGTTATACCTGATGGCTCCCAGGAGGAAGAGCAGTCGCAAATACAGCCCGAGCTGCCATGGCATGATGATGGGCTCAGCGAGTTTCCCTTTACAACGACCTGCCTTTTGCTGGCATTATTGCGTAACGATAGCGATTCTAATGCCACTAATAGCATTAGCACGCGCCCCGGCGACGTTCAGCTCCAGCCGTTATCCACTTTGTTCCGTGCTGACTGCCTCGAGTATGGCCTTGTCGTTCTCGACATCTCCGACCTTGACAGCGGCGTTAAGTACGGCATCGTTGGTTTCCCCGTGCGTTATATGGCCGAAGTCTCCTATTGGTGTGAGACTGGTGGCTGGGATCCAGTTGAAGACCCCCCGCCTGAGAAGGAGCCTGACACTGTACTTGCCAGCCCGCGGCCTCGAGTGCCGTTGGCTATTTCTCCGTGGCTACGCAAGTACTTTTACCACATGAACCTGGAAGAGGACCCTAGGTTCCTGATACTAAAGAATACGCCGATTGTTTATGCTGCATCTTTAGACTGTGAGTCTGTTTCCTCGCCACCTTACTATCTCTAGTATCAAGATGATGTGTATAAGCTGACTTGGTAATGGTAGACATCTGGCCCCCGGAGCTTGAAAATCAGCCTAGAGGCGAAGATCAGGCTGGAGAATCTTCGCCAGGTGTCATCTCAAGCATCTCAAATTGTCTGTAGATCACTCGTGCTTCCCTATTTTTACACATACTTACGGCATTTACTGACTTATGGAAAAGACTTTTGGCCTTCAAAGTCCACCACCAGCGCTAAAGATGCATCGACCACAACACCCTCGCGCTTGACTACGTCAAACGAGCCGCCGCGAAATGCGCACATGGACCGCGCCATCGATAATCTGCTGATTCTCACACAGGATCCCGCCGATCTTCACCTCGATGAGGAGACAATCGACAAATTTCAAAAGCTTGCCGAGTTCCGCGAGCAGCTGCGGCGGCGGCTCGCACAAGAGTAAAGAGTGGCAGGGGTATGCATCGATGGTGGCGGCTGCATACGCTAAAGACCTATTAAGCTTGGTTCACCCGAAAAACATCGAGGCTGAGAAGATAATTGGTGATGTACTATCTGGTTAGTCTAGCGCACCTGAGAATGATCCTTTGACGGGTATTGATATAAAAAATTGTTATAGCTCTTCAAGAAGTTGCAGAGGACCATAGAAGAGGTGCACAGAGACAGCTTGAAATACAAGAGAACGCAGTGAAGCAGAAGTTGTCCGACAAGGAAGAAGAGTGTCTTCAGTCATTCCGTCTCACCTCCGCCACCAAAGATACCACATACGAGTGGTATAAGGATCGCGTAGAAACTCGAGTGGAGGGTACATGTGAATGGTTCCTAAGCCATGATAATTTCCAGAAGTGGTCGCAAGGAGAATCTGGTCTATTACTGGTCTCGGCAGACCCAGGGTGTGGAAAATCCGTCCTGGCAAAATATCTTATCGACAATAGACTGCCATGCTCCGCAACTCTCTGCTACTTCTTCTTCCAAGATCAGGACCAGAACACAGTTCACCAAGCGCTTTGTGCTATATTTCACCAGCTATTCTCCCAGAGGCCGAACCTAATCAAACATGCTATGGAGAAATACAGAAAAAACGGACGAGGAATGACCGAATCGACAAATTCGCTCTGGGCAATCCTTGAAGATGCCGTTCAAGACCCCCAGGCCGGTCCTGTGATCATTGTCCTGGATACCCTGGATGAATGTGCCGAGTCGGAGTTTGAGGACCTAATCCAGGGTGTAGAGAGACACGTCCGCAACAACCACTCAGATCAGAGCAAGTTGAAGTATTTATTAACATCTCGCCCGTACGAACAGATCGAGTGCAATTTTGTGGGGCTGCTGGAATCGTTTCCCTTTGTCCGTATACCGGGGAAGGGAGAGTCAGAAAGTATCAGTCGAGAAGTCAGCCATTTCATCCAAAATCGAATCGAGCAGCTAGCGAAAGAAAAACGGCTTTCAGACCCGGTCAAAAGTCATCTAGCAAGGAGACTGCTCGAAGTTCCGCACCGTACCTACCTCTGGGTGTATCTTGTGTTCGATCACTTGTCAAAGGAACACTTCAAAAAGACAGCTCATGGGGTCGATTCAACGATTCAACACCTACCAACAGATGTCTATGAGACATATGAGCGGATTCTTGGAAAGTCCAAGAAAAACCCAGAGGTTCGGAGGGCTTGAGCATCATTTTGGCCGCTGGTCGACCGCTTACACTCTCTGAAATGAACATTGCATTGAATGTCGACAGTACATCGAAGAGTCTCCAAGACCTCGACCTGGAGGAGGAAAAAGATTTTAGTTCTCGCCTAAGAGCTTCATGTGGACTCTTCATTTATATTCATCACGACAAGATTTATTTTCTTCATCAAACTGCGCGAGAATTTCTTCTTGCGGATTCAACCTCAGCCGAGGCTTTTGATTCAGAGCCACGTTGGCAGCATTCCATCACCTACCAGGGCGCTCATAATATTCTTGCAGAGACCTGCGTACTCTATCTTGACTTCTTTGGCAACTATATTACTCGTACAGACGCGCGAGAAGAAAGTCGTCAGGCTCTCGACAACTATACTTCTCTGGACTATTCAGCCAAATATTGGGGTCCTCATTGCCTCAGGGCCTATATTGACTCTAATTCTCATATAGTCCCTTCAATTCTAAGGATATGTAGCCCGCATTCAAAGAGTTGGGGGAAATGATTCACTCTGTACTGGGACGCCAAACACCATGAGTCGAATCCTTGTTTCACGAGTCTCATGGTATCATGTTATTTCGGACTGGAATAAATTACTATGACTCTGCTTGAGAGAGGTGCAGACATCGGCTCTAAGGACCGTAAAGGCCGGGCATCGCTTTCATGGGCTGCGGAGAATGGACATGACAATATTGTCAAGCTGCTGCTCGAAGGGGGTGCGAAATTCCCAAAAGCATTCTCAATCATGCTTGTGGCCGTAGCATGGAGCATAGCCCAACTTATCGCCTTCATCATGGGCCATACTTCTACCCTAGGCCTACCGCTACCGCCACAACGAATGGAAACACTGGCCACAGCATCTAAGGCTATACAAGATTATGTTTCGTCATTGGCAGGCTGGAAAGAGGCAGGCAAGCTGATAGACACAGGGGATGAGACTGGAAGAACTCCCCTTCACTGGGCAATCACAAAGCGGCATACCCATTCTGTGAACGTGCTATTGAAACAAGGGGCGTCCATCGACTTACGTGATAACGAGTCAAAGTGTGCTCTTCATTTTGCTGCAGAGATTGGCGACGAACAACTTGTCCGGAAGCTTCTTCAGTCTTCTAGGAGGGTGGAAGCAAAAGACCGGCACGGACGATCTCCACTGCTATGTGCAGTGGAGAATTTACAGACTGGAGTGATTCATGCTCTTGTTCGTTCAGGAGCCTGTGTGAATGTTGTCAACAATATGCATCAGAATGCGTTACACCTCATCTGCCGGAGACCTAGGCATAAGGACCACCTCAGTCTGCTGGATTATTTCATCTCTCAGGGGTCGTTCACAAATTTCTGTGATGTGGATAATATGACGCCCCTTTTGTATGCATTGGGAAATCAATCTGAGGATCTCGCATTGCTCTTTTTCAAGAGAGGAGTTGATGTGAACTTTCGGCTTCACAGGCGGTTGTGGAATGCAAGGATGGAAATTTTTTTCGTGACTTATGAGATGAATCAGAATTTTGAACAGCCAGTCCAAATGAATTCTTCTATCGGGCTGACTGCACTTCATTTCTCAGCTTTGAACGGGATAGTGCGGATGACAGCTCTTTTACTTGATCACGACGCTGACCCCAATGCGTTAGACGAAAGTGGCGACACGCCTCTACATTTAGCGATTCGATGCCAAGTAGGAGGGCACAAGTACGACGACCCGTGGGTGACTGGAGAATATGCCGTGGAAGACATCAACATTGATTATGGAAGCGAGGAAGCATCCGATATATTGAAAGAAATCGACCAGGCGAGAGAAGATACAGTTCAGCTGCTTTTGAACAGCAGTCGCATTGATGTGAATATTGCAAACAATGACGGGGAATGCCCATTGCATGTGATTCCTTTTAAAGAAGAACGAGCGTGCACCGTCCTATCGATGCTTCTCGACTGTGGAGCACAAGTGCCCAGTTTAAATTTGAAGCATTAAACTTGTCTTCACCTCGCCAGCAAGTCAGGCAATGTAAACGCTGTTCGCATTTTTTTGCATAGAGGATGCGACATCACTTTACTTGACGTGGATGGGTTGAGTTCAATTCACTATGCTGTTCACAGCAACTGCTCAGACATCATACGACTTATGTTAGAAAGCCGCCAGGAGCAAATGTCAAGATTCTGCATCCGTTATAATGATCTAGAAAAGAGAATTCTCCATTACTATGTTGAATCACTGGCGTGCTCCACCGAAATGATCAGTATACTCTTGAGACTTGAATGCGATATAAACAAACTTGATGCAGAGGGAAATTCTGTCCTCAGTCAATATATAAGTTCCTTTCATTTTGAACTTCGATACGACGTCTTTCAACTTCTTCATCGACATTCAGGTACAGAAGGGATTCGCTGGACGGACCGGAAGAAACGAAATCTTCTATACTTGTTGATGCGACAGTATAGTGATGAAAACGTCCACATCCTTGAGGATCTATTGAATTTTGTAGACATAAGGGCAAGGGACGCTGATGGCATGCATTTTGAACATCATGGTGCTATATATGGTGCATTCACTAAGTCTCTTGCACAGTTCCTCCAAAAAAGGGTATGTCTCAATCTTCACAGTAAGGATTTCAGCGGCAAGACACCCCTTGATTATGCCGAAGAAGAAGCCAACCGCGAATGTCATGAGGGTAATCGGTGGCAAGAGTCTTTACAGAATTTGAGAGATGTTTGCAAAAGCTGACCGGCCCGCAATTTTGCAAGAGCACTGTTCTAACGTAGAAAATTCAATAAAAAAAGAAGGAGCCCTAAATTTTTCTGATTTTCCTGATGTAATCAATCTCTATCATTCTTCCTCCTTTTACTCAAATGTGGGTGGGGGATGACATCTGCGTCCCGGAAACATCGTAAATTCATTTCGTCTCTTATTATATCCCAAATTATTTGGTTTCCAGGTGCGAGTGCAAGGCTGACTGTGCTTACGAATACAAAGATTCCTTCTGCTCTTCAAGTCAATTATCATGAAGGATTTTGCGCTCTTCATGTGTTATCTATTCACGTGTTATCATATTATTATTCCCCCTTTGGAGCTCTACCGCACTTCTGGGCTTCTTTGAGCTTGTTTTGCCCCCTGAAACCAGTACTAAATCGAAGAACATTTCTTTGCTCTGACTGCATTTGGTAGCCTTCATTATCTTCACCAAATAGTTGGTCATGAAGGCTCTTCTTTGTCCGTTAAAGAAAATACTTGAGACTTGACTCTGACCCCATCGAACTCAGTTCGTGATGTAGGATTGAGATGACGGTTCAAGATAGGGGAAGGTGAGAGGATGAAGGATGAAGAGAAAACAAACAAAGGGGAGGAAGTCTTTTATATCCAAATGTAGGGGGCGGGATGAGAGTTTCTAAGATGCAGGCATCCATTTGCTATCTCCTATTTATGATAAGACCTTTCTACAGCCTATCAGAGTTTGCGGTGAGTTTCTACCTCTTAAACAGATCTTCTCGAGGGTTTTTTAACAAGTCTTTTGACAGTTCTTTTCAACACGACTTTGAGATAATCAAGCTTGAATAGTATATTAATTAAATCACACTGATTGGCAGTGATAGATGATACCCAGTACTTACAGCCTTCGTGAAGCTAAATCAGCCCCCTAAGGAGGAGAAAGCTCCTATGCAATGTACGTGTAGGTGTGTAGCTTCACGTAGCCAGAAATGATTAGGGTTAGATATTTGGCCTGAGGCAGCCAGAAATGTGGGGGAAAGTGGATGTTCCGGGGATCCACTTGGGCGGTATGTCTGCGTTAATATTGCAGAAAAAGGGGACTCTCCAACAACACACACCTTCAGCAAATGGGGGATTCGATGGAAGGGACGTTCAATTCGTCCTTTGAGGCTAAGCAGCCCTTTCCACCGCTGCTGCCTGAAGATATCACCTCACCAGATGAGCCCCAAGAAAGCTATGAAGACGAGAATGTTACCTCCCCCGGCTACGAGGAGATCGAGGTGGAGGACGACGCAGATTTCCAGTCGCATTATTCGCTAGAGCATCAATCATTTTCAGACTCTGACTCCGATGACTCTTCAGAGGGCATTGATCGACAACATCCATTTCGCCAATCTTCCAGCTCGCTCCATGGCCCCAATGCGTTTGCGCCGCCGTTCTACAACCGTCCACCCACCCCTCTACCGCCCTCGCCCTCTCTCACTTCTCTCCTCCGACCCCCCTTCTCAACTACTACATCGCGCCCAACTACACCAGACAGCTCTGATGTAGAAACGCCCAATGATACCGAGGCGGCAGTCGCCAAGTCCGCTCGCCGCGCAACTACCGTTCCGCGCGCAAGTCCAAAGGTGCCGACATACGAATACTATGGCTTCGTTCTATACCTCGCCTCATCATTGGCTTTTTGTGAGTCTCGTGTCCAATGTTGCGGCGCGCTCTCGTAATCTAGCACATGCTAACACATCCAATCCAGTGTTCTATCTCCTATGGTCCTACCTTCCGTCCCCATTTCTCCATCAGCTCGGCATCTACTACTACCCAAACCGCTGGTGGTCGCTAGCTATCCCCGCATGGCTAGTCATGTTACTTATCTACATATACGTCGCGCTTGCGACGTACAACACGGGTTACCTCACATTGCCCATGCACAGTATCGAGAATATTGTGGATGAGGTCGCCAACGTATCCGTGATTGATGGAAAGGCACGAAGACGGCCAGGCGGCGCGACCAAAATGAAACCAGGCGCGACCTCCTACCAAATCATGGGCCCGCAAAATCGCAAGGTCAATTGGCGGGAGATCTGGAGTGAGGGAACAGACGCGGTCATGGATGTGCCGGTTGGAGGCGTATGTGAAGTTTTGTACGGCCAGAATAGAGAAGAAGACTTTGATGATGTCGTGACCGGCCCATAACTTCTATTTATAATGAATTCACTATCAAGTCAAATTGATTCCGATGCTTTGCTTTGCTATTAGTTTCGTATTTACTTCCAAGGCTGCTAGGGACCAATGACGTCGGTTTTCACGTGATGTGGCGGATCGGAGTCTGGCCGCCTTCCGCCCGATAATACTGCTGATCGATTGATTTAGATTTGAACAAGGGCAATCAGTGGTGCATCCTGCAATATTCTCAATATGTCAGGAAATCGACCTTCGACTCCTCCCCCACAGGCCAAGGCCTCAGGGGCAGGACAATTTCCCCGCGGTCCGATCACTCCAGAACAGCAGCGGAGAATGGTAGGTCTTTTCCGTAAAGGTCAACAAAGCCCTAAGACAGCCCAAACTAACGAGTTGCCTAAAGGAGATCAGTCGCATGAAAGCCAAGGCGCTCCGTGAGAAGCGTGAAGCTGAACTGGCCCAAGCCTCCTCAAACACATCCCAACCAGCAACAGGTGCGAAGCGCTCATTCGCCTCGATGGCATCCAACCAGCCCGCCAATATGCGCGATGCATCAGCCTCGAATCTTCCGCTGGACTCGATTCAACCGGCTCGCAATTTTACAAAATATGTTGATTATGACTTCAGCAAGATGACCGATACGAAGGGTGGATTCTTAACGCAGGAGGATGACCCGTTTAACAAGCAACTCCATGTAACAAATGATAAGGATGCGCTGAAACCGGCAAATATGACACAGAAAGAATGGGAGCGTCACCAAACACTCCAGAACCTCAAACGGAACCGCGAAGGGCCTTTCGAGCCGGGCCTCAGTGTTCTTGATGATAAAAGCAAGCAGAAGAAATGCCGCGAATGCCAAAGTCTGGAGATTGATTGGAAGTGGGAGGAAGAGTTGAAGTGTTGCATTTGCCATGCTTGCAAGGAGAAATATCCAGAGAAATACAGTCTGTTGACCAAAACAGAGGCTAAAGAAGACTATCTTCTCACAGATCGTAAGTACTCATATATTCCTTGGGAAGTAAACTTGCTTATTTGTCTATCTAGCCGAACTTCGAGATGAAGAACTGCTTCCACGCCTGGAGCGTCCAAATCCACACAAATCCACCTGGAACAGCATGATGCTATACCTACGGTACCAAATAGAGGAATATGCATTCTCGGACAAAAAATGGGGCTCTACAGAAGCACTGGATGCCGAGTTTGAGAAGCGCGAGACTGACAAGAAAAGGAGACGGGAAGAAAAGTTCAAAACGAAACTGCAAGACCTGAAGAAGCGCACACGTGTCGAGGCCTACCGACGTAATCGACAAGGTGGCTCTGGGGGAGATTTCGGCGACGATCTTGCCTCTAGACGGAAGCATGTTCATGAATGGGGCCGGTCTGTAGATAATCCAGAAACTGGAATCGGCGTCAAGACTTGTGTAACGTGTGGGATGGAAGTGGAAGAACTTGAATTCTAGGCAATTGTACTGCCATAGCACGAATTATGAGACCATGAATTAAAAGTGCATCTCCGATATCAATAGGGAGTAGTTTGGTCTAAAACTATACCCATGTCAGTGGGTCACTGCAAAGCCCTACAACTACTATGCATTACAGTGCGCTAAGGGGCCAATTATTATGTACATGTAGGTGGTATTTATATTCTCTTTTCTAAACCTCTTATCTACTTACCGTTCGCTAAAGCAATTATTAGAAAGCCTAGTATAAGACCGCATCGACAAGAAGCAAACAAAGACGAGGGTGCCATTTTGCAGAGCAAAATACGCCCGATAGCCAACACAACACAACGCGTTGGAAAATGTAATTTCTTTAACACCACATAGTAGAATGACGGTGTTTTGCTTTCTCTAATTATCTGTTTCGATGACAGGAAAGCGATTTACTCCCACTTGATAGTATCTCGGACGAAAATCAGGATGGACACCATGCAACTAGAGTCACCCCTGCTGGGATAAGAGAGCTGGGATAGGAGAGCTGGGATAGGAGATAGCACCTAATTAGGTAGCCGCTTAGTTGTCGGTGCCAAGGAGCAAGCTAGCTCTTGGTAGAAATGTGTATTATACAGATTGGCCAGATTCAACAGTCCGTCGGTAAGACATACATATCAAAAGGCCACTATTCCGAAATGAGCAGCAATTGGCCCTAACGAGAATTGTGCTATAAAATGATTGGTTTTCTTATGTTTGTCTGCCATGCGAGGCTATCACATATCATCAAGCCAGACATTCGCTCTCATCGCATGCAAAGACATAAAAGGAACAACAATTCACCCTCTTTTGCTCTGAGTGCGTTCACTTTCACCTCTAATCGTCTTACTAATTTTTACCCGTCTCTTCGATCAAGACCAATCCGGGAAGCAGATATGTCTGGACAACCCCCGTTTGTCGTTCCTTCTCCACTCCCAGAGGCTGCTGCATGGATAGGCGGCAGCGGAAGGGCCTACACTGATGTGAAGTTGAAGGTATAATTAAACTCGAATACAAGAGATCCATCTTGAGGAGAGACTATCAATAGCTAACGCCTTGCAATCAGTGGGCTAAGTTCGACAACTTTGACGGAATTTGCGGAATCGACTGCACCCTCGCAGGCAACGTGAAAATACAAATACGTTATGATTATGATCCAAAAGTCAATGGCTTTCATGTGGATGCTATAAAAAATGGGGAACGCCGCGCCTATGTCCAAGAGGGACTGAACAAAGGTTTCCCAGCTGGACCGAGTAATTCGGCAACAGAAGACTATCTGAGAGCTATGAGATTCGTGAACAATCGATACGAAGCCGGAGATGCCGTTGGGAGTGCGAATGAGATAGCGAGATCTTTTCTGGAGGGGCGAATTTAGGGGTTATCAAGGAGACTCGGTTGAGACTTGATGACCCTTTGATCCTGCTAGCTCCCAACATGATGAATGACACTGGTTTCCACGAAGTAAGCTTCTACTTTCTGTAATACCTAGAGCATCTGCTTCTGTAAGGGGGAGAATCGATCGAGCGGTTTGAATTACGTATAAAATGACCTTGCCTCCAAGTTGCCTAAGGATAGACTACCTACCGAGTGTAAGTGGTTTCGATAGCTTCAAGGGGTCAAAAATGCTAATTTGAACGGTTGGTGAGTCAAAACGTGGTCTTAGTGTTTGGATCTACCTAGGTATGCGAGTCGAGTATGTTGACTGAGTTGAATGCCTTCTGTATCGCGGTGCATGCATATAGCCAAGGCACCTGGTTATACTTGCGGAAAACAAGACTATATTATAGCATCAGAGACTACTGGTCGTTCATTCATAAACAAGATGTTCAAAGTATCTAGCGTGGTATCAAAAAAAGAAGATAAATAACAGAAACGAAACAGTATCCACGGTCACCCAAAAATGTACACATGTAGGGTATTTTTCACACAGAAGATAACCCAGCCCAATCAATAGAGTGGCATAGGCGACGAATTAACATAATCAACATTATGTTCAACCGACTCGATGCGCTCGGTACAAGTCCCAAATATCCTATCCCAAAGCCTCGTCTGCTTCCCGTAATTATGACTCTTCTTCCATCCCTTACGATGATGCAAATCATGATCCTCAATAACAAGCTCCGCATCAAACCACCGCAAAGCCCAACTCAACGTCGACGGCGGCGTGGCATGAACCCGCAGCCCGCTGTGGCCCGCCAGCTCCGCAAAAACAACATACTGGTGACAGATCCACCACTCATAGAACCCCATCGGCATGCCCATGAACCGCATCGAGAAGTACGTCATGAGCGGGATGCCGAGGATATCGAAGAACTCCTGCTCGGTGTCGGCGTACAGCGTCAGCAGCGGGTTCGGGTGCTTGGTGAGGTGGTGTGTGCGGTGGTATTTCCATAGCCCACCGACGTCGTGCATCAGCCGGTGGTACCAGTAGAACCAGAAGTCGAGGATGATGCCGTACAGGCCGACTTCGAGGGGCAGCCAGGCGAAGCTCATTGTTGCGGGCGTTTGGCTGGCGTGGTAGGCGATGAAGACGGTGAACATGGGGCGGAAGGTCGAGGTCGACATTAGCGAGCGGACGACCTTTGCGACGCCTACATCGGGAACGCCATCGCGGGCGTGCTTGTCACCGTCTAGAAAGCCGTGTTGGTGGCCTAGGCGGCGGAGCACGTGCAGCTCGTGGATGGCGATGGCTTTGAAGCCGATGCTGTATAGGATGAAGGCGCCCCATGCGCTGAGATTGTGGCCGGTGATCTTTACGTAGGCTTGATGGATCAGAAGGGGGATCACGGCGTGGGTGAGGACCCAGCGGTGCATCGACCAGTCTGGGACATAGGGCACGGCGTCTTCCTTCAGATGGACTGGGATGTTCTTGTCGAGATGCTCCGGGTGGATACCCAGTAGTTCATAGAACCAATGGAAAAGAGTCCACTCTGAGCGGGCTTGTCGCCGCCAGGTGGACTTCATAGAGTCCTTTGGATTGCGTTCTGACATGTTTCAGAGACGAGGGATTCGAAATTTGTCAGAGTTCCCTAATAATAATAGCTAATGGGGGGGGATTTAAGTAGGCTTTAAATGAGGGCTTGTCGATCACCCCCCCCCCAGTCGTTCGGCGACTGGTGCATGTGAAGGAAACCCACATCTTTCACACTCTCCGCAAAAATGAGCCTCGGACCTTTGACTAAATTCAACCATGACGTTAATCCCTGCTGATCTGGTCTTTTTCCCAACCGTTTGGTGGCGCTAGTCGGTAGACGCTTGGACATTGATCGTGTTTATCGTATTCATCCTGGGGTTGATTCCTGGGCACTTTCGGAGCGCCCCATAATCCGAGTGCTCACACATAGGCGTGCAGTATTTTTTTAGGATGTAATGTTTCGCTTGTGTAGATTCAAGATCTGTACATATCTTCGTACATTTGAAGATGCAGACCCTGCATGAACTGCCCCTGAATCATGTGATGTGTGCAACCAGCCCTGAAGGCCTAATTGGTCAACATACACCCGAAGATGAGGGCTCTGGATCGCTTCGAAGAATTGATGCTGGCTGATCTATTCTCGTCTAGGTAACTTCACAAGGGCTCGGCTGTCTGCAATATGGTAGTTGATTATATATCAACAAATTATATAGTTGCCCGCTCATAAATACATACGGTTCTGGCTCCAACATATATAGTGTCTTTAAGGTCTAGACACTCTTCATATTGTGGATATTCTGCTACAACCTTATTGAATATGCACGCGTAGATACCACTATGTATTAGGACCGAAAGCTAGATGGAATGCATGTATTGCATCCATGAACAGATGAAATAACGAGAGAAAACGATTACGTATAAAAGGATCCCCAATCGTCCTTGGGGATATAAGTGTGTGAAGGTGTATAAAATCAAACCCCGAAAATCCTCCAGAGTGCGACCAAAATATGGGAAACGCCATGAGATCCTATCAATCACGCCAACCTGGACTAGACAGAAAGCCCCTCTTGAAGCCCTCCATATGATAGTCCCACATATGCAGAAAGGCAACCAAAGAAAATGTAGATAGATGTTGGGAGAAGGCAGAAACCACATTCTCAACGAAGTGCCGCAAAAAAATCCAAAAATGCACATGCAATTCCATCTTTGCAGCAAAAGACAAAATGCCCAGGCAGACGTATATTCAATAACCACAGCTTAATAAAAAAATACCTCGGTATTGACATCTGTGCTATCCTGTGCTCTTACATGAACCCTAAAATATCCTACTGCCTTTCTATATGCTCTATGCGGCAGCAGTCTGGGTCTCATCGACAGACAGCTGGTTGACCTTGACCGCCACATTGTCAATGGTCTTCTCGCTGTCCTCCGGCTTCGTATCTGGATCGGCAGCGGCATCGTCCGCCTTCTCTGTCGCAGCAGACTCAGCGGGCGTAGCCTCCGACTCGAGTGACTGTGTCTTCGGGACGGGAATGATCTCCCTCCGTTCCTTTCCATCCACAGTGCCCAGAACCTTGAGGTGATCGCCCTCGAACAGCACAGGTCCCTTGAGGATGTCTTTCCTTGTCTGGCCATCGGCCAGTGGCTGTTCAAGACCCCGCAGCAGTTCACGGCTAGGGTCGTCCAGGTTGGGCATATCACCCCACGTCCAGTCGAGCTGACCACCGTATTGCTTAGGAATGCTGGACGGCTCCATGAACGAAGTAAGAGTAGGTTCCACCTCAGCAGCGGAGAGAATAAAGATCTTAGACGTGGTGCCAGGGTCAAACCAGCGCTTGATCCAGCCCCACACGGTAGGGAAGAATGAAGGCGCACCAATAATCTACCATCGAGTCAGTTTTAGTTTCGGTCCGAACAGCACAAATGGTATAGGGACACATACGAAGATCCGATCCAGCGTCTCCGGGTAATGCGCCGTGGCCAATACACTAGCATCCTGCATGTGGCTCTTCAGATTCCAGAACTGCTTCAGTCCCACACCGCTGACGTCGACGATGTTGGTCGAGGTCACAATGGGCGTTTCCGGGTTGGGCCGCGGCAGCGCGGTAGACAGTGGCATCACGAACCGGAGCAGGTTCTCATACAAAGCGAAGAGGTTAAGCAGGCGCGCGGGTACGGTAGATGATTTATGTGTTTCGGGCGTGCCGTTAGTCATGGTTGAATTGTAAGCGGCGACGGCCTTGTTGTCCAGGTGGCGGATCTCAAAGACGTAGATGGGGATGCCGCGGCGATCGCGACGGCCAGTCCACTGGGGATACTACAGGGGAATTGAAGTCAGAACGGAACTCCTGCAGTAAGATGCAGTGTAAATGTAACGTACCATGCGGCGAGCGGCCTCGTACGAGTCCACGCCGATGTTCTCATACAGAGCCTCGATCGCATTGTCTTTGCGCCAGTCCTCGGTATCCTTAAATTGAGTCCATGCGCCCTCGACATCGAATTTGCGGGCTCGCAGGAACCGCCTATATGTTTGATAATCAGCATTTTGCCACTCTCGACTTCTCGGTCTAGCGTAGCGCCACATACAGCAGAGTCGCATCGTCGTGACTGGCGGTAGTCGCGCCGTCCGCCTGTTCCACAGCAGGGGTATAGTACTTGCGCTCAGCACACAGCGTCTTGAACTCTTGTAGGCTTGACTCCTGCTCTGGTGTGAGGTGGTGCAGGTGGCCGGCGAGCCAGGCGGTGCCGGCGGCTTGGGAGGCCGAGGCGGACGGATCATTCTTTGAGGAGTCGGTGCGCGTGAGATCCGGTTCGGAGGCCTGCGCGGATTTGTTGCCCCAGAACATGGTTGCGACTTCTATGTTTATGTTTTTTTTGGGGTATTTATTTGGGGGGAAGATCGGCCAGAAAGATCTCGGGGGTGGCGGAGGGAGAGGCGGTGAAATAAATCTGACAGTTTGGGGATCGGCACTCGGATGCTTTGTGATATTGTGATAGATATACGATCTAGGGGAGTCATGTGGCAGGAAGGTTGAGACAGATATCTTTACTGTGAGACATCTAGACCCTGCAGATCCATCGATCTGAAAAGTTAATCGGCAGTGATCAACTAGGAAAGCCCTAACAATGGACGTGCAGGTGAAACTAGGGGTTTCAGTATAGTATCTAGTGGCTCCATTCGTTGAAGTATTGAGAATAATGTAACTAAAAGAACATTCAATACAATTCCGGCTTCAAATGAATGGCACGGATGCTAATCTGAAAGGACAAGCCCAATACTATCTGTACAGATCGCCTTCATACATCGCAAAAAGAAAATAAATAGATACATACGAATTTAGTCCTCGGTGAGATCACCGTACTCCCAAATACCCCGGCGCTCAGCCTTGGCCTCATCCTCCAGCGTGCGCAGGTTAGACAAGGTCTCAACGGAAGCGCGCTCCCAGTTCTTCAACTTACGGGGCACCATAGCTAAGCCCTCGCTGATGACATCGGCGTTAATGCTGTTATCCAGGTTCTTGGAAACGGAGGGGTCGAGGAGGGTAACATGCAGGGTACCGTCTTGGTCGACATGGTCGACGTTTGCAACGAGCTGGCGGTCGAAGGTCTGGTCACCAATAAAGCCAATGGCATCCTCGAGATAATCCTCCGAGGTGGGGAACTGCATGAGCGAGAGGACGGCATCGACGGCCTGGGGGCGCAGAGTTTGGCTGGAGAACTGGGGCTGGGTGAGAGGGCGGAGCTTGGCCCAGGGCAGAGACTCGGAGTTACCGAAGTCAATGTACACAACCTCAGCGGTCTGGTTCTCGCGGTCGTTACGGCGGACCTTAGCGCGGTACCAGTTTCCGTCTTCGGTGAACTGGGCGGCAACCCAGTCGCCAGCCTTGGGTGGGCCGGGCAGGGGAGTGTCGTTGGCCTTGTTGATGTGGAAAGTGCGGAAAGCGCTCATCAGCTCAGTGAGAGCGTTGGTGCCAGTGCCGATCTGTTGAAGCTTAAGCTTAGCGGAGGCAGGGTCGATGTAGGTAACCATCACATCGCGGTAGTCCTTGCGACGCTGTGTGGGGGCGGCATCGCTCTCGGTACCAGTGCCATTAGCGGCCTCGGCTTCCTCGGCTTCAGCAGCCTCCTTGCTGGGATCATAGTCGTGCCAGAGACCCTTGCGGGCGTCCTTAGCCCGCTGCTCCGCGGCAAAGTACTCGGTGGCGTGGCCAGACTGCTCAGCCGAGTATGCATGGACGGTAGCGAAACCCTCCTCTAGCAGGACCTTGGTGAAGTTCTCCTTGTTGATGTACAGGCTTCCAATGAAACCTCCAACCTTGTCAATGGTCTCAACATCGATCTCAACATCGCGCTGCATGCAGCGGCGGTTGGCCAGGTCGTGGGCCTCTTGACCGAAAGGCTCGCCGGCATCACTGGGACCGCGAGCAGAACGGGGAGCACGGATACCGGAAAGGACGAGGGTCAGCTTGGCGTTCTCGCGAGGGATAAGGACAGTAAAGCGAGAGCCAGATTTAACAAAGTCGACAACGGCGGGAACACGCTTCTGGCGCTGCAGGGCACCAAGCTCCAACTTGGCCTTTTGTACAGTCTCGGAGTAATCCACAACCGCCTTGGCCTTGGGGGCCTTGGAAGACCACATTCCACGGCCCTCCTTCTGGGCATCGGCCTCAGCGGCGAGCAAGGCATCGTAATCGGGGGATCGGTCAGCGTCATCCATACGGTGGCGAATGACAGAGGAGTATCCAGCCTCCACGAGGGCGACTCCGACGTTGGTGTTGCCCTGCACAACAGTGGCGACCTCGCGCTCCTCATAGCCCTCGTTGGCGGGCTTCTTGCCGTTCACAGTGACCATCACGTGCTTGGCGATCACGCGCTTGCGGAGGAACTCCTTAGCCTCAGCAGCGAAGGGGGCCTGCTTGGGATCGGAGGGCTTAGGTTGACGAATACTGGCGAGGCTGATCTTCTTCTCTTGGCCGGCCTTGTTCCTGATGAATAGTGTATCGGCATTCAAGACACGAGTGACAACGTAGTCCACGGCCGCGGCACCAGCAGTGGTAGGTCCAGTGTGGTTAACCCACAATCCCTTGCGGTCAGCCTTAGCAGTAAGCTCAGCCTGGCGGAGAAGAGCCATGTCAGGGCCCAAAAGCGTAGAATGGTGATCCTGGCAGCGGGCCAAACCAGCCTCCAAAAGGAATCGAGAGATATTTCCATTGGGGTGCAGCAGAGTAGCAACAATCTGGCCCTGCGGCGTAACACCAAGCAGGGAAACCTTCACCTTGCGCTGCAGCAGTCGCGACTCCACAAACTCTTGCGCCTCGTCGCCGAATGGCTCAGCAGCCGTCTCCTTGCCCTCAGTTGTGCGCTTAGCGGATGGTGCCCGGATACCGGCAATAGCAATGACGGTCTGGATGTGTTCCTTCGGCTGGAGCAGCAAGCGCAGCACCACACGGTCGCCGTTCAGGACTTTCTCGATAATTCCCTCCAACTGCTGGCCCAAGTTCTGGCGGACCAATTCCCGAGCACCGGTCAACTCGTAGCTAGTATCAATATGGCCATTGTCTCCACTGGCCCATGTTCCCTTTCCTTCGTCCTGGGCGAGGGACTCCAATGCACGGAGACGGTCCAGGAGTCCAACTGTCTCCTCGGATTCATCTCCGCGCTTTCCTGCCTCATCGCGGACCCGGGTCCAGCCTTCCTGGACACTGATATCGGGCAATGAAGCATCGAATCCGGGAAGCTTGATGATACCATAGTCGCGCTTGGCACCTGTGGGAATGGTGTAGACGACATGGAATTGGACGACCTTGCCGACAAGGAGTTCACGGAGGAATTCACGGGATTGAAAAGCATATGCCTAAAATAGATCATCATGTTAGATTCAATTCTTCATCCTTTCCTGCTCTTGCTTCTTTCAGAGCTTAAAATGCCAATGAACCCAATAAGGAGACTAAAAGGCCAAGCTGGTCTGAATGTAGCTAATGAATTGACATTTCGATGGCACGCCCAAAGAGCAATTGATCACAGCAGTGGACTCACCTCATCACCTTCTCTCCTTAATCTTGGAGCAGAAACATATGCCAAACTCAAGATGCGTTCTTGTGAAGGGTTGGTGACATGCGACAGCACGACCGTGTCACCGGACAGGACGGACTTGACCCGGGCTTCGAAAGGCATTTTGAATCAATCAAACACCACTGCCACACACAATTAAGATAGAAGACAAAACCAGAACAAAAGTAGCACAAGGAATAGAAAAGGAGTAGTTAACAGCTAAGAGAATACCCTAAGGGGACAGGTGGTGTTTAGACTTGTGGGGGAAAGCGGGCGGTCAGCCGATCCGTGCTTCCACAGAGGTTTACAAAGCTTCGAAAATGACCGAAGACAATGATATCGAATTATACATATATTTTATGTCAAAATTGGCATTCATTCATGGATCCTAGCTAGGAAATATCCTAAACTTTTCAGAATCGATACTAGAAGTTCATAAAGGGGTTCAAGGTACGCATTTAAGCGGCAATACCGATCACACCTAATCAACCATTAGCATTTAGCTCCACTACAGCACGTCGATATCAACTTACCGCAAGCAGGGCGGGCACCGGCGTTACCGGTCTTCTTGGACTCCTCGTTGCCACCCTGACCGAGGTCATCAGTGCCGGCGTGGACAACAAGAGTGCGCTGAGATAAGTTAGCAATATATCTATGCAACACCGTCGGTGATCACTTACGCCCAGGACGGACTCAGCGCCAATCAGCTTGACAAGGTTGTCCTGCTTGGAGCCGGTAGCGTTGCCCTCAGCATCGGTCTTGAAGTTGCCGAGGTCACCGACGTGACGAACCTCGTCGGTGGGAGCACCGTGGGTCTTGCCGAAGGGGTTGACTAAAAGCGATCAGTACGGTTTATGCGATGATTTGTATCTTGAACACGTACAGTGGGGGCCAGCGGAGGTGCAGCCGTTGGTGTTGTCACCAAACTGGTGAACGTGGAAACCACGCTCAGCGTTGGCGTCGTTACCGGTAATGTTCCAGGAGATAGTGGTAGGGCCACTCTCGGTTTCCTGCTCGAAGGTGACGGTACCGGCGACCTTAGCGTCACCACGGAGAACAGCAACTGCAGGAAGATCGGTTAGTGAAATGTTCCAGAAGGTTGATCGAAGGCTCTGGATCGTCTGGTCTTTCACATCAGCCGGCAGCCCAGCAAATGAGCAATAAGAGCTGCCAGCCTTTTGTCCAGGTTCAGAGATCAGTGGAGAGGTGGATACAAGCCGATAGGCTAGGAGTTGAGCTCAGGGTCACAAGGTGCTCAAATCTGCTCACCCAAGGTCCCCCGGATGGGGAAGCTTAGAGCTTATACAAGCGGGAAGCCCTGGAGGCCTGAAGGGGAACAAAAATAGAAACAAACGTACCAGCCTTGACCATTTTGAATATCTTTAATTGACTTTGAATTGAAGATTGAAATGAGTTTGAGAAAGAAGAGGAGGAAAGGAGTGGCGGACGAAGCTAATAAGCGGATGTTGACGTGACTACTAGTAAATGCACTTACAGCATAAACTAGGTACCAGGTACACAAAAATACTATATATAATGACTGGACTGGACTAGTACCCGGTACCTAATACACCAAAACATCCCCCACCTTCCCAAGCGGGCGAGTCGGAATTGGAGGGAATGACATAATGGAACTAGTACTATCTCATTTCGTACCAGTACTCAATACTAGTGTCAATATTTCTGGTATTATTTGTATCGATACCCCTCGGAGCTCCAATTTTGATTTATCACTTTCTCGCTTTATATACGGAGAGTATTTATGGCATTGACGCGGGATATGGTCACACATGTACGCTTACAGGTTCAAGGTCGTCCTATCAGCAATTGAAACCAGCTCGGTAATGTATCAAGGCTAGAAAAGCCGGCTCTTCAGCGACACCGTACGTTGTATAACATACAAACCTTAGCTGTCTTACCATGTGACCAATGTTTTCACTGCGGGGTCTGCAGGTGAATAAGCCGGCCCGTCCAGATTGCGAGCGCTTACTGAGAGCCCATGGACCCCTCTTGAGTGTTCTGGCCGACACCAATTGTATGTGTAAATTGTAGTTTGCTAATCTTATGGAGGTAACAATGAGAGAAATGGAAAAAGTTTTAGCAGAGCAAGTTCATCAATTCGTATCTACCGATTCCAATTTTTGGGGGATCGCCAATTTACAAAAAAAAATTAAACACTTTAAAAATCGGATCCAATCTAAGCCTGGATCTTCTGGGCAAGAAGTTGCTTGAGGGTAACGGCATCAGCAGCGAACTTGGAGATACCCTCACGGAGCTTCTCAACACCCATAGCCTCCTCGTTGAAGTCGAAGCGGAAATCAGCCTCGTTGTTGAGGTATTCGCGCTTCTTGATCTCAAGCTTGGAGGCATCAGCAGCGTTGAGCTTCTGGGGAACGGCCTCGGTGGAGTTGTAGAGGTCCTCAAGGAGGTTGGGGGAGATGGTCAGGTAGTCACAGCCGGCAAGCTCGGTGATCTCGCCAACATTACGGAAGGAGGCGCCCATGACGATGGTGTTGTAGCCGAACTTCTTGTAGTAGTTGTAGATATCCTGAACGGACTTAACACCAGGGTCCTCCTGGGGGGTGTAGTCGCGCTTGTGGGCGGCCTTGAACCAGTCAAGGATACGGCCAACGAAGGGGGAGATGAGGTAGGCACCGGCCTCAGCGGCAGCGATGGCCTGGACCAAAGAGAACATCAGGGTCAGGTTGCAGTTGATGCCGTACTTGGACTGGAGGATGTGGGCGGCCTTGATACCCTCGTAGGTGGAAGCAATCTTGATGAGGACACGGTCCTTGCTGATACCGTTCTGCTTGTAGAGCTAAAAGAGAGTTAACGTTCGGATCTTTGAGCTGATTCGGCAGGAATGAACATACCTCGATGATCTCAAGGGCCTTCTTGACGGATCCCTCGGTGTCGAAAGAGAGCTTGGCGTCGACCTCAGTGGAGACCTTGCCGGGAATGATCTTGAGAATCTCCTTTCCGAACTCAACAAGGAGACGGTCGAGAGTGGCCTCGACCTGCTCATCGAGAGTTTTTCCGTTCTGCTTGCCGTGGGCAACGGCAGTGTCGATGAGAGCGGCGTACTCGGGCTTCTTAGAAGCGGCGAGAATCAGGGAGGGGTTGGTGGTGGCATCCTGGGGCTTGTACTTGCCAATGGCTGTTGTTCTGTTAGCTAACCATTCCGTGCGAGAGCCAGTTTTGGCTATCGATTGATTCAGTACATACTGGCAAAGTCACCTAGAAATTCAGGGTTAGCGAATTTTCAATGCATGCGATGATCTCAAGCTTACCAGAGTCGCAGACGACGACGGTGCCAGAGGCCTTAAGCTGCTCAAGAGAAGAAGACATTTTTTGTATGTGTGGTAAATTGAAAAGACAATTTATAGATAGAAAAAGTGTATGAAAGAAAGGAAAGAGAAAATGGAGAGGGTGGCGGAGGTCGCAGTATTTAGAAGCTCGACGAAGGAGGGGTGGTGTCATGAACCAGAACCAGCTCGATTGCCGAGTACATTGATTTACTATGGATAAAACATAGTTAACGGAAGTACCTTTTCCGTGCCCCGTTTTCAAGGTGGAAATGGTGGGGCAAATGACGCTGCACGATGAAATCAGCGTTTCGTTTGCTGTGAACTGCTGAGAGGTACACATATTGTTTTGCTTGTCTTTTGATCCTCATCTTCTTTTTTCTACAATATTCCTCATAGAACTATCCTAATTGACTACTTTATTCCAATATGATTTCATGTTCACTACCCTTGAGCAAGTATCTCGAAATGCCCAATCCGGCGCAGTGTGCTCCGATACATCCCCAACCGGAGGATGGTAGACCGGACAACGGCCCACTACTGTAGCGGTTTCTGCAATGCTCACCGGGACCCGGTTAAATGCCGCAGGTTATGTGATGAGACGGGACACCTATTTCCGATGGATATCACTTTGAACGCTATGAACGCTAATTTACTGGAGGCAAGTATTGCCAGAAAAGGAAATCACAAACGCCACTGTCTAAGCTTTTACATGCTCTTTTTTTTGGCTATGAACAGGGAACATGTGAAAATAAAAAATGAAAGCGTGTCATCTCAACACTGGGTTCCTCAGCGGCGCTGGATGCAGTTCCACTCATACTGATGCTATGTTAGCAATGTCAATTTGAGAATAAATCATTGAAAACCTACCACTCGACCTGCCTCATCCCCCGTGTAGACCACGTGGGGGAGGGCCAAGATGCAACTAATGCCCGCACTAATGTTGGCACCGGTGTCACGGTTGCTGTCTGTATGATGAAGCTGTCGGATCAGTTCCAGCTCAAATCGACCGCCCCGAATGCTCTTGCTCCAGATATTGACAACGCCTCGAGTATGACCCGTCAATACTAATTCGCGCTCAAGCCATTCGTTTTGTACTCCTTCGTAGAAAACGCAAGACAAGATATGATCGTCAGTCGACTCGCAGACTGATTGATCAACTAAAACAACCCCATTGAGGGTGTACAATGTCAAACGACTGCCGCGACAGACCATGATGTCTCCAGAGACATCATTAATTCGAGCACACTGGAGATTGGTTAGTAGGCGCAGACAGTATAGGTGAGAGGGATACTTACATCGACCGTACCATCGGCGGGGAGGGCTTGCACGAAGGAACGTCGATTGAGATCCCACAGCATAATTTGCCCGTCAATCGACGCAGATAGCAAGGAACTGAAGGAGCGCGAGACAGCAAGCACTGTGACCGGTGCTCTATGGCCAAAGAGGGAGCCAATAGGCTGCAAATCAACCGACTTTGAAGTCGCAGTAACCGTCCATAGTGAAATAGTACAGTCCGTGCCGCAAGTGACAAGGGTGCGAGAATCCGCAAAGCTGGCGTAGGACAATTGTCCTACATGAAGGTGTTCAAAGTGACCCAGAAGCTTGCGAGTATCCGCAGTGTAAAATCGGACACTACCATCAAAGAATCCCCATTCCATGTAATATTCATAAGCCGGTGGAACGTTGAGCCTGAGAGCCGCAGTACACAATAAACGGTCTTGTTTCATCGAGAGGGTAGACACTCGCTCCTCTATGTCAAGCAGAGACAAAGGCATCTGCGTCAGTGACTCGGCAAGCGTATCCAGTCGGGGTACACGGTGTTTTTGATCTTCCCTCAGGGCGTGAGGTCGTTGGAAAATTTGATGAGGAGTTTGTCCGAAATTGTGAATGATGCCGATGGTGGCCAGCCTCTCCATTGGGTCATCAATCGCGTCTAAATCTTTGGCGCCTTTGTAGGAGAGATGATGGAAGACATTGACAGATTCAACAGCTGCCTCGCCCTTTTGCTTACTGCCGAAAACCAGATCAATCCAGTGGTGCAAGTTCTCGGAAACATAGGGGCTCTCAAGAGCCTCCCGGTGTTTTGCGATGAATATCTTAGGGTCGCCTTTAGCCCATGGTGGCAGCTCGACCGAGTCGATGGCCGTGGTCATATTTTGGAGCAGACCAAAGTCATATTTGTTGGAGTTCACGAGGAATTCCGGAAGATAGAAGAACTCAGGGATCAGCTCTCGAACATCGGTCATGTTTCCCCGTGATGCGGATTCCCATGCCTTGCGAATAGAGTAAAAGAGGCGGTCGGCGTGATCAAAAGAGCCACCTTGAAGTAGGAGATAGGACTTGACGAACGGTTGTAGGCGAATGAGGTAGGAACAGACAATCATGGCAGAAGAGTAATGTGTTCCATAGTGGAAAGGTGGAGAATTATCGTCGCCCATCTCAGCGAAAGCATTGTATCGCTCACGGAATCCCGCCTCTCGCTCCAGGGTTTGACATCCCATCGGCTTAGACAGATCGCGGAATGTAGCTGGGTTGGTGAGGTCTAGTTCCTCGCTTGTGTAGTCTGCCAAGACCCATGGGAACACAGGGTATTGAGTCAAGTCGTTGAACGTACGTCCGGCAAAAGTATTGATCAACATAAGATAATGGAAATTGGAAATCTCGCCCTTGACCCATTTTCGTGTTGCTGGGTTTGCTGGGAGATGGCCAAACACACTTGCAAATTTGGACCCAAGGGACTGAGGAGCATCGTCTTGACTGCGAAGAGTCTCAAATCGCCAGATGTCTTCTGGACGAGAGTGTCCCGTAGTTCCGGTTACCTGTGGTGCCCTGACAGCCAGTTGATTACACAGTTCGTCTCTTGCGCGAGCTGACATCAAAGTCAACAAGTAGCTGGTGCCATCTGTGAAGAAAATTTCCAGTGCAACATCACGGAACAAGAAGCGACGTTTGGAAACACTGACCAAGTCAGACCACTTCCAGCTTCTTGTTTCATGCTCTTGCGAGCGGCGGTCATTGGATTCGCGACCGGCAATCATGCGAACATAAGGGTCTCGTTCCTCGTTCGGAGCTTGCCAGACGTTCACGATCTCACCATCGGCTCTTTGGAAGAAATTGTCTAGGATATAGATGCAGTCTTTTCCAAGTATCAAGATGCCTTCGACAGCCTCTAGACCAATGATGCGAGACAGATTGCACACGCTTTGCACTTGATCGCCACGCTGAAGAGAGCGCATCACCTTCCGGTTCCTATCTTCGTAGTCTTCCAGCTCAATCTTGGGATCATCAATTAGTTCAAAGTTGTCTTCTAGCAAGCTCCGATTATCAGCATCGTTGTTCGGCAACACGCTATCCACGTTTTCGAGTTCCGCATTGAGAGGATGAGGCGTCGACAAAGTCTCGCCCTCCGAGAGAGCACGTAACCGAGTATCGATTTTGATTACAGGGGGCTCTGATGCTTTACGCTTGGGCTGATAGTCTTGTCGATCGCCCGACTCATCGGGGACGAGACGAAGTCGCATACGACTGCGACCTTCAGTCTGATCTAGCCACCATCTCCTCTCCTTACCTTCCGAAAGAAGGCCACCCGGTCGTCGCAGGTCGAGCAGCAAGTCGGAGAAAGCGGACCACATGAAGGTAGAGCTATCTTGCATGTCTTGCAAGAACCGTTGAGATTTCAAGAACTCGGATGCTGCAATGTTCGAGATCCAGTGTGGTAGAGTTGCGTCGTGCTTCCTTGTCATGTCTTCGTCGAACTTCTCAATCTGAGCCCACTGTCGGAGTTTGTCCTTCCGTTTTGAAACTCGAGATCTAACAGATTCCTCGCTGCTCACATTTTCCTCGTGGACAAAATTATCCCATGACCGAGAGAAAATGCCAAAGAACAAGGCGTCAAGATCCTCTCGTTGGTCATCGATCCATGCCAAGAAGGCTTCGTCTTCCATCCCCGAAAGTGCGTCAAAGCCGTCTGCCAGTCGGCGCTGCAGAGAAACAGGTCCTTGACCCAGCAGGGTTGTTATCTCATCCGGTGCCTGCACCAGAATGATTCTCCATAACCGAGCAGCAGCGGAGCGAACATCTCTATCCGTACTGACTAATTTGGTGTAAAGAAGGTAACACAGAAGATGCAAGTGCTTAGATTGCGTCTCAGCTGCTGCGAGAACAACTGCTTGCCAGTAATTCAAGCGATTAAGCAAGGGGACCGTGGTAGTGTCATCGGCTTCCGAGAGCTGAAAAAGGACCACTTTGTAGAGTGTTGAGCGAATAGTCGTCACAGCCTGGCTGCATAAGCGAATGCTTTTAAGTTGAGAGATGTCAGGGCGCTGGAGATATTCCAAGAAAGTACCGATGAATTCCATGGTGGACGATCCTCCATTGATGAACCAGCCTTCGTAGACTGCCTCGGTCAAATGTATTGCGAGACGTCCAAGATTTGTCAATGTGCGAGGCTCATGAAGGACACTTGGTCGGACTGAAGGCAGATCTTGCAATGTGGAAAGCAAGCAGCTGAAAACCCAAGAATTGAAATACGCTTGGTGTTCCAAGAAGCCCGGCGGAGTTTTAAGATAGAGACCAAGGCCTGTAAAGTCTTTGCGCCCTAAAAGCTGATCTTGAAATATGTCCAAGGTTAGCCCCAAGACAGCCTTGACAAGAGGATGATCTGTAGAAGCTTTGTTCCCAACAAAAGTCGGGTTCATGAAGCGTCGTATTCTGGCAGAAGATGGCTGATGTTTGGATTTATCAGAGGAAACCAGAATGAAAGACGAGCCACGTCGCAAAGAGCCGGTACTCTCCTCGGGATTTCCAGAACAGTCAACTGTGGTTGTTTGTAGCACTGTCGTTGCCCCAGTCGTACTTGAACGCGGTCGCAGGACTAAGTTGCTGTCATCGAAACTGAGCCCACTGTGTCGAAAGTTCAATTCTGTGTTGGGGCTGACGGTATCTGCACCGACAACAACAGGATAGAGCACGGAAAGAAGCTCTTGCACGTAGGTAGATTGCGCAGTGAATTCTTGGAATATTGGGGACTTGGTGCGGGCTTCTGATAAGAATTGGACCACTGAGCTGAGGAGACTGATCTCATGAACACTATGATCTGATGATCCTGTCAAAGTTAATTAAAACCATAGTGATGTTTGCCCAAACTTACCAGGAAGCTTAAGCGAATCCATACGAGGCTTTTCGCAATTGGAGGACTGCTTTTCCAAAGAACTCTGGCTATTTTCGTCCGTATGAGTTGTCATGATTGTGTTTCTCATCCCACTTTTCAGCATGTTCATAATGACGGGCAACATGTCCGGGAAGACAACCTTTACGTCGCCGTTGTTCAAAAATAGTTTGAGCAAATCAGGCAAGTCTAGGGGTTTCGTGAGATCTAACAAAGCATGATCGACGCCGAACAGGACTGAAAAGCAGATAGGCCACAAACCCGGAACATTCCACCATCTTTTGAGGCGATGTTCTAAGATGATGTATCCACCACTCTTCTCAGCGAACTTCTTGCTGTATCCACTGCCATGGACCACAACCAATCGAGCTAATATCTTCGTTGCAAGCAACACAATCTCAGGCTCATCTTCGCACATGAGGTAAAGAAGCCACTGTGCACATAATCTTAATCACAAGTTCAATACAGGCGAATCAGCATTACATACCTTGCTCGTTACGGCTTTGGCGAATTTCCTCAAAGGGGCGGGGTCATGGGGATTGCACAACACAGAACAATACAGCCGCAGCATCTCAATGCCTAGAGTGATACTGGGTACATACTTGCCTTCTGATTTTGCCGATCCAGGCCGCGATGACGGCGCCAGGTATCGGAGGCTCTTCTTTTTCTGCAGGCTCGTCGGGGTTTTTGGTTTGTGGAGAGCATATGTGATGGATAAAGACAAAGAGCGCAGAAGGTCGGGAGAGGGACTGCTCTCCATCAATGACTTAAAAGCTGATAGACAAGGCCGGAGAGACTCTCTGGTGACTTCTCCACTCTTCAGAGTCTCTAACAACTTCTTATTCACACCTGGTACAGTTAGCCTCCATATTCTAAGGTGAGCGATGTGACCAGATCACGGTGAGCAACTTACGCATACGACCAAGACGCCTGGCATTAAATCGGCGATAGTTGCTATCGGATGCAAATGTGCGGAATTGGGAGTAATACAATTCTAGCACCTGCGATTCTCCGAGTCGCCACACATCCATGTCAACAAGCAGAACACGGTAGGCGAGCGGATTTGTGATGATCGAGCGATTTGGCTGTTTGAAATCGTAGCCAACAAAAGCGAGAGTCAAACGCATCAGATCAAGTGTCAAAGCCGACAGTTCATCGGGATCTGAGCTGACCACAGGGATTTTACTTGCAGCAGGGAAATTACCCAGATGAAATCCAAGCTTCTCCCGCAGCAAAGCTGCGAGGATGCCATATCCGTTCTCTCTTTCCATCGCTTCGCTGTTTCTCCAGTTGTCCTGCACGGCTTCATAAAGGGCCTCCACAGCCATCCGAGTGCTGTTCGCGGTGCTTGCCGCCTTGACCAAACTCAAATGGACCGCAGCGCAGCCCCCAATACACCAACTGGCGTCGTCCATTGCCCTGGGCACGGCAACTACAGGATCGCCTGTCAGAATTCCGACTCCTTGAGGCTGGGTAAGGCCATCATTGATGGCTGGAGTGGCACCATTCACTGCAACAGCATTACCGCCGGCCTTTGTCAATTGCTGCAAACTTTTTGCTGCTTGTCGTGAAAGACATTTGATCAACTGCGATTCATCGACGTTGTTACTATCGTCATCGTCCAGAACAGCGACAGATGAAACATTGATCAGTATGGAGCCCTCACGGATCAAAGTACTTGCTCGTCTTCGAATGGCAGTAACAATGTCAGAAGCTTCCTCTTTGCCTGCGTGAAGATGTTCGTTCCGTAGATTCAGAGTTGCAGAGGCCTTGTATGTCTGGAAAGAGCCTAAGCAATCCTGGAAATTTCCATAGTACCGAGGCCCAAGGTTGTAAAATACGGCCACCATATCATCACTGTAAGCCTCGTCAAAGAGCATTCCATTGGCAAGAGACCACCGAGAAGTTGAGACACCCTTTCCGAGGCGCATTGCCAAGTCTTGAGGGGTGCCAAAGAATGCCTGAATCCGGGGCGGTTTGCTTGGATGATGACTAGTAGGGACTGATGGGTATTCAATCTTTAGTTGCTCAACAAACTCGCCATCTATGAACAAAGATGCCCGAGAAGAAGACATGGGCTTCGGTCTTTTGTGGACAACACAAATATGATACCAGCGGTTTGATTCGAATTTCGCGGCCTTGAACCGGACACTCGGCCGGGAACCGCGGATGGATGTTTGAAGAATAAAGTGCCGGGTATCTCTCTCCAGATATGCTAGAATGAAACATGTCTGACTCGCATCAAATGCACCAAAAATAGTAGTATGCGTATTGGAATCAAATTCATCGAAACGAGCCCAAGCTGCTAAAGTATACCCAGAAGAATTGACGGGGGGGAATGGTCGGCCAAGTGTTGCAAATTCAACGGAACAAAATCCATGCCGAGACATATCGAACTGTATTGATGGAGGCTCCTTGGAGGATTTGAGAGCCGATAACAGGACTTTTAAAATTTGCGGATTTTCATGTGCACCGCGATACAAAGCAACCGCATCGTCCAAGCTACTCATACCCTGAACGCTGAGAAATTGAGCAAGGTCTTGGTAAATTGCTTTTTCGCTGTCGGATCGTCCTCCGTCGAACAAGAGTGGGAGAATAGAGGTGAGCATATTGGTGGCATGCAAGGCTACGACGTTCCTCCGAGACTGCGAAGCCAATTGACAGAGTGAAGCGGGCAGGGCCAGACGTAGAATCTCATATCCGGATGAAAAGGACGAGTGCATCAGCCACACACGAAGGAATGGACCAAGTAGCTCCGGCACTTCCACCGTTTCCGCCGATCCAATACAACGATCCACGACACTCTGTACATCGGTCGGAGCCGCTGAGTCCTTACTCGCGGGGAATTTTGTGCTGAGTGTTACAAAAATACCCGACACGGTCTCCTGGCAGAGAGCTGCAGCGAAGATTGCGCCGTAAAGATGGTGTGCATCACTCTCGGTTGTGTCTATCTTCTTGACCAACACAGTCAGAATCTGCTCCAGTGCAGCAATGCCTCCTCCGACTATTTTCCGGGCAAAGTATCGCTTGTTGCCAAAATGGTCCTTGAGGCCTTCTGCCAACACGCCGAGAACATCTTTGAATACGCCGAGCAGGCCCTTTCGTTCTTGTTGGGACAGACTATTGGGATGATAAAGCTCTGCAAGCTGTTCCGCCAGTGCTAGCAATGTCTGAAAGCCTTGTAGGTAGCGAAATGCATCTTTGGCGGTGCGAGGGCGTGCATCGTCAATAAAGGTATGGCGCAGGCGGAGAAGAGGCTCTGTTGTCGAGAGGGCTTGGGGTAGGGTAATCGCGGTGCCGGCACCTAGATTCTTTAGCTGCTCAATTGTTGGAGCAAGCTCTTCGGCCAATCGTTCGGTCGATCCCGAGGGGGAGGGAGGCTGGAGGGGAGCCGGCGGAGCCATAGCCAAATCTTATCCACGTCTCCGTAGGGCCATCAGTGTTTGGGTCCAGCAGTCTGCATTGGTATGTGACAGTATTTTAGCGCCCAAAATTAGTGGGCGGTTAGGAAAATTTCGAATGCAGTTTTCGTCATCGAAAGCTCTTGTCAAATATTCAGCCACTTCTGTAATTGGTAATGTCCCCAGAGGGGAAATATTGCTGACTAAGATTTATGGGGGCTGGACTGAAATCCTGTGTAACATACGGAGTACTGTAAGTTACACAGTCAATTGCCCAGGTGATTGGCATCCAGTAGGATAGGTCTACTAACCCTGAAACCCTCTAGGGCTGGAGATGACCAACGGGCCTGGAGATCCTTTGGCTGGTAACCGCGATAAAGCTACCAAATGTCATGTGGAAATGAATCCCTGGATATCTTCATGAATTGGACAGATCTCCCCAGTTACACCTACTACAATTTACACATGTAGGTACTCCAAGACTGTACTCACTAATCATGTCACCTACGAAAAGAACGCTGGGAAGTTCAAAACAGTGTCTAAAAAGCATTTGGAAGTTATCTGTAAAAGGCGTCAGAGCTTCTACAGATAATGATAAGAATAGACCGATACGCAAGTAAGGAGATGACAATATGCATATCAATACTAAGAGCTTTCAGTGCTGATCGCTTGTAATATTGACCTAGGCGTATCATTCATGGCCCCGGGGGTACTCCGTAATTTAACAGCTGATAGGGATGATAGGACATGATAAGCGCGATAAAGGCAGTGAGCAATGTAATGTGGAGAAGATGGAGATCATGGAACTATCCTATGAGGTGACTTTCTCCGCAGATTAGGTGGCAGTGTACCCAATAATGGCACATGGAAACGAGACCAAGGGAGGCGGTCCCAGAATTGAGTCACCAGGACACAAGCACGCGACTTCGGAGGACCAGTTGCCTTGGAAAAGGCTCAATAGGCCGTGCGAGGGGGTGAACTGCCAGGTACCCGTACCCTTGGGGGGGGGCGCCTTCCTTTTTGCTTGCTTTATTTTAACCAAATGAATATCGAAAAATGTTCTAATGACAATTCAAGATCAATAAATAATATATGTCGATATAGTCATGGATAGAACCTTACACTATCTAAGAGTCCCTAATGTTTTGTACCGAGACAGCGTTTCTCCACTTGTAGATCAGATACCCCATTCTCATCGACAGGTCATCCGTACCGCGTTATGTAATCAGAATCTGCTTGCATCATCGATCCCCCCGACTCCTCCCTAGATAAAGAACGAGCTCTCCTCATTCTTCCTTCTCCTCTTTCCAAGCTTATTCTTCATCCATCCTTTATACACCTAACGAACTTACCATCCTTTACCCTTTTGTCGAATCAATATTTCCTTGCCCAGCATGAAAGGCTTCCTTAGCCTAACACTGCTCCCGTTGCTGGCAGCGGCCTCACCCATGGTGGTAGGCTCCATCCACAATGAGGCAGCTCCCATCCTCTCTTCTATGAACGCAGAGGCAATCCCTGATTCCTATATCATTGTTTTCAAGAAGCACGTTGATCAGAGCTCTGCTTCAAACCACCACAGCTGGGTGCAGGACATTCACACCGCCCAGAACGGTCGGATGGAGCTGAAGAAGCGCTCTCTCTTCGGCTTCGACTTTGAGGCCTACACTGGCGTCAAGCACACTTTCCACGTCGCTGGATCTCTCATGGGATATGCTGGTCACTTCCATGAGGATGTCATCGAGCAGGTCCGCCGTCATCCTGATGTGAGTAATCCCCTTCCCCTCACGAAGTATCCCGAGGTCGGCGACTAATGAATCCATTCTCACCAACAGGTCGAATATATCGAGAAGGACTCTGAGGTCCGTACCATGAGCGAGGGCTCCGTTGAGAAGAACGCTCCATGGGGTCTTGCCCGTATCTCTCACCGTGACAGCCTCTCTTTCGGCAACTTCAACAAGTATCTGTATGCCGAGGAGGGTGGCGAGGGTGTCGATGCTTACGTGATCGATACTGGTACCAACGTGGAGCACGTTGACTTCGAGGGTCGTGCCAACTGGGGCAAGACTATCCCCCAGAATGACGAAGATGAGGATGGCAACGGCCACGGAACCCACTGCTCCGGTACCATTGCCGGTAAGAAGTACGGTGTTGCCAAGAAGGCCAACGTCTACGCCGTCAAGGTCCTCCGCTCCAACGGCTCTGGCACTATGTCTGATGTCGTGAAGGGTGTTGAGTGGGCTGTTGAGGCTCACATCAAGAAGTCCAAGAAGGGTGACAAGAAGTTCAAGGGTAGCGTTGCCAACATGTCTCTTGGTGGTGGCAGCTCCCGTACTCTCGACCTCGCTGTCAACGCTGCCGTTGACGCCGGCATTCACTTCGCCGTCGCTGCCGGTAACGACAACGCTGATGCTTGCAACTACTCCCCCGCTGCTGCCCAGAAGGCTGTTACTGTTGGCGCCTCCACCCTGGGTGATGAGCGTGCTTACTTTTCCAACTATGGCAAGTGCACTGACATCTTCGCTCCCGGTCTGAACATTCTGTCCACCTGGACCGGCAGCAAATACGCCACCAACACCATCTCCGGAACCTCCATGGCTTCCCCTCACATCGCCGGTCTGCTGGCCTACTACGTCTCCCTGGCACCTGCCAAGGACTCTGCCTTTGCCGTCGCCGATGTGACCCCTAAGCAGCTCAAGGATGCGCTCATCAACATCGCCACCAAGGATACTCTTACCGATATTCCTGCCGACACTCCTAACGTAAGTTTTTACCTCGCTCTATCCGGCCAAAACATTATGCTAACTTTATCACAGCTTCTGGCCTGGAACGGTGGTGGTTCCTCCAACTACACCCAGATTCTTGCCGGCGGTGGCTACAAGGCCGGTCCCAGTGTCGAAGACTCTGTTAAGGACCGTGTCGGCAGCATCATTGAGGACGCTGAGAAGGCTTTCCACCGGGAGCTCGGTGCTATCTACAGCGAGATCAAGGATGCTGTTTCTGCATAGATTAGATACTTGCTAGGGTCCTGTCAGCGACAAACCCAGCACTGGGCATATGGATGAATGGTTAACAGGCGCACATCGTATTTTCTTTGGTTTTATCTCGGTGTTTTCTTGCGGGTCTACCCCGACGCTACCTACTATACAAATTGTTTTCGCTATATTCCTCATAATTTTGCACATAATCTGAGTAGCTCGTTGTCCATTCATGTCGCATTGATAATTTGCTTTGCTTTCCTTGTGCCTGTCATGATCGAAGACAACCTCGGAAGTCATCTACCCAAATATGCAGATAATAGATTAAGCAGACGCAAGAGTATCGTTGTCACTGCAAACATTTGAAAAGCAATCAAATTTGTAATGTCTGACTATTGATTACTTCAAATCTTATCTCTACATTCTTCGGGAGTCTAGTCTTGATCTAGATCCACTAGATCGTGGATATATAGCAGCTAACCACGCCCTAATATCGTTGTAGTGGAACACTGAGGCCCCTTGTAGAAACGTAGCACTCCTACATAAACACGTAACTATAGCACGTAGGTAGATTGCATACCTGGTTTATGCTAATGCTTGGGGTATATCTTATAAATTTAAAGACATATATTTAGGTACACAATCCGATCAAAGTAAGATTTATAGCACATTCTTGATACGGCGCACGTCGTCTTCAAGCGCCAAATTCCAACACCACTGGCTCGCCTTGTCTGTCGGTCCTCTCTTGACCTATAACCCCGACACACTGATCGACGAACTTAGCTGTCAGCTGCTTATCTGTCATAGGCTTCTCCAAACTCCCCACAGCATAATCAACATGTCTTTCGATATTGTCTCTTCCAGCCACCTTCACAACGATATGACACTCATCAGCCCGCAACGTCTCATCAGTAACCGCCATAAACCGATCTCTCAACTGCACAACTCTCTCATCAACAATGACATCATCCTCGTACTGCGCCGGTGTAGCCTTCCCAAACAACAATCCAACAGCACCCCCATGATAAATACTAAACTTCGCCTCCAACCCATCCTTTGGCTTCGTCTTCCCAGTCAACTAAAGCACAAGCGAATGAACTCGAACAACAACACTCTCAACATCGTTCACCTCAACCCCAACCCTCCCTAACTCCCCATTCACCCAAACACACCCATCAATAACCGGATGCACAACAATCAATCCCACAAGGAAACGGCTTGAAAGCATTCCGAACAGTCTTCCACACCTCCCCAAGTCCCCATTCTCCTCCTCAAGCCGATGCCCACCCCCAACAACATTCCCCCACCCCCTCTTAGCCTCCAGCGCCTCCAGCGAGCTCGTATATCCCCCAGCAGCAAGCAAAGCAGCAACGATCCCATTCTGCGCCGCCCGCCCAGGGTGGAACGACTTCGCATGCGAGCCGAACATCTCCCTTAATCCAGTGACCTGCGTCGCGGCCAGCCCAATCGCATGCGCGACGTGCACAGCGTCCAAGCCCAGAATATTCGACACGGCCACCGCAGCCCCGATGGACCCTGTCGTCGAGGTAATGTGCTAGCCGACATCGTGGTGCGCGGGCCACACAGCCTTGCCGACTTTGCACTCGGCCTCGATGCCGGCGACGAGCGCGAGCAGGAATTCCCGCCCGGAGACGGGGCGCGCCAGCGTCTCGGTTATCGCCAGGAGCGCGGATGCCACGGCGCCCGGTGGGTGGATAATTGTGTCGGGGTGGGTGTCGTCGTAGTCGTGGACGTGGGAGGCTATTCCGTTGAACAGACCTGCGTGTTGGGCGTCTATGGTGATTGAGCTGCCTAGGAGGGTGGAGGTGGGGGGTCCTGAGAAGGGCGATAGAGCGGTGCGGGCTATGGTTGTTGTTGGGTGGGTGCTGCCGCCGATTGTGCAGCCGGCCTAGTTGTAGAAGCTGCAGAGGGCGGCATGACTTACCTCTTCTGGGAGGGTGGTGAGAGAGACGGTCCAGTTGGCGAGGGCTTGGGTTGCCATTTTGGATGGTTTTGGGTCTTTCTTGCTTTCCTAATTGGGTTTGTATTATAATTAAGGACGTTGTACGTGATTGGGGAAAATTCAGGGTTAGTATTTGGGGTCCGAAATAGGACTACTAGGTATAGTTCGGGTTTAAGAGCGGGGATAGAGTGTGGAGTCCACTTTTGCTGGGCGGATGGGAATTATGCTTTTGATCTTAGGATAGGGCTGAAATTTGAATCGACGAAAATGTAGAATGAACGGCGCTGTTTGTTCTAATGCTAAATAAATCATAAAAACATCAACGCAGTGCTATCGAATGCCTTTCATAAACCATAAATGCCGTAATACCCCATGATGCTAGTAAACGCCTTGTCCATCGTATGTAGAATGTACGCCGAGAATGCTAAATATGCCCGCAACGGGATGGCGCGCGATCGCGCCGTCACGAAAAGTAGGGGGGTCCCCTTATGCGTTCATCTTGGGCTTCACCTCTGTCTCTGTCTCATCAGTCGAGTCATCAGCCGAATCATCATCCACATTCATATCGCTGCCGCTCGACTGCTCCATGTCAAGATCATCATCCGAGTCACTGCCGCCGAACACATCGCTGTCGGCATCGCTATCAGCCCAGAAGTCATGATCTTCCTTTTCAACGGGTTCGCGGGCAGGTGTGTCGTGGGTGGGCATATTGAAGCCTTCGGGAACATCGAGCTTGGAGGCATCGACGTCGGCTTTGACGAGCTGGCGGTATACGTCAGGCTCATTGCGTAGCAAGACAGCGGCATCGACGTTGGCGGGCGAGGAGGGTTCGGCATCGTCGAGAAGGGAGATAATGGAGATCAGGACGGATTCCACGCGTTGGGCCGGGGACCAGCGCTCGGAAGCTAGCTCACCCGACATTTCATCCTCGCCGGGTGGGTGGAGGATGGAGATGCACAGTTTGCCATCAGTGTAGATGTTGGGATGGTGAATGGGGTTCAAGAAGCGGAACTCTGTGGAGGGATTGAGTTAGTCATGTTGAGAAGGAGCCCGCAAGTGGAAAGTGGAAATTGGAGATCAGAGAGTGGAAAGAGGAAAGAGCACACATACTTGGTGGGGCGTATGGGTAGTTGGAGGGAAAAGTCATCGAGGCTTTGAAGTAGCCGCCGTAGTACATGGAATCAGGATTGATGACAATCAAGGCAACGTCCCAGTTGAAGATGTCGTCATCGTGTAACTTGAGAAATGTTAGTGCAAGTTTCATAATAGAAGATGAACATGAATATAGGTATAAATGGGGTTGAATGAGCATCTATTCAATGCTACAATCTGACTTACCTCGACGTGCACCCATTTCTCTTTGAGGAGGCCCTTGAATTCGTTCATGAGAATGCGTTCTGCCATGATTACCGAAGTTGCAACTGAAAATATAAGGCGAAGAGATTGGGATTATATAGTGACGAGGCGCAAGGCAGCACAAGCACTAGTTTGCGGGAGAGAGAGGTTGAAGATAGAAGACCGTGACTCCCCGACTATTTGGTGGCGACCACTGAAAACGTGATCAAAGCCAACTTTGAGCAAATTCAACATGTGGCCAAAGAATATTTTCCTTCTTTGTTTTACTTATAATACCGTTATAGAAGCAAAATAGTATTTGTTATTTTATTTTATATATCATAGTGATAGTAAAACTCCCTACAATGTTGTATGATAACATTCAACTATACAACTACCTAGGTAACTATTCTAGGCCTCCAAAAGCTTACGATAAGACGGTTCTCGCAGTGGGGAACTATATACGACCAGATAAGCAATAGATCATCGTCTGCATCACACGCATTAAACCTCCAATTTAAATGATCTAGTCATATAGTTGCATAACAGGTGAACTAGTTATATAGTTATCTCGGTATGCAGAAAAGATAAGCGGGCACCCAAAGTAGTCAAGGCTTATAATGACATTGTAGTAATAGAAAACTTCTATTGGCGTCGAATTGGTACCTCGATCCACCAGATTTTTTGCGTGGCGGTCCATGTCACCCCGGGAGTCCGTCCACCGCCGGTTTTGGAACCCCTGCTCGAAACTGCGGTGCTTGCATTTTCCAAGTCCCTCTCCCCCGCCCTAGAGGAGGTCAGAAAATATCTTCCTCCGATTTATGCAGAAGTTCTGTGTAATATTCTGATCTCTACCCATTTGCCTCAACGGCTCTACGTTCCGGATCCTCCTCATCCCCGTCATCGACACCTGCGATGCCAGCCTTCTTCGGCAAACAACTGAAAACTTGCTAACCGTAAAGGGTAAAATACTGGTCACATTGCATATACAAATAGCTGAAAATTTGTGTGATCTACCACCCAAGGGATTCAAATTCCAAGCTTTACGAGCTTTGCGGCCATGCTGCCGCAATGCCAGGGTCCCGTTTGGGCCATCGACGACCTATCTCGTTGCTTCCAGCGCAAGTGAGTCAAAGTCTTCATTGATCCCCGACCGTTGAATCCACCATCTGACATGTCATAAAGTATTCTACAGGTTATCCTTCCCCTCACAGTTTGCGGCGCCTCGCTGCTCGTGGTCCTAATTCGCCTCGCTCATCGTTATGCGCTCACCCGGAAAGGTGTTGCTTACAAGCTCCTTCCCAGCAATGATTCCGAGGAATCAAATGCGGCGGAAAATGAATCCGATGCCATCTTCTCCCAGGCCATCCAGCACGAACGATCCCAACTCGAGATCGATCGCCCGCGCGGAGAGGTCGCCGTCGTATTACTCGAAATCGCCGTTTCCATTGGCCAGGTTGCACTATACACGGTGATTTTGTCGACTAACGCCTGGGGCCGACATGGAACACTTCCAGCCGTCGCAGGCCTTGTGTCATGGAGTTACATACTGTTCTTGGTACTGGTCCGGTTCCTTCTATCGGCTAAGGAGCTTTCCTCCGCCCCGAGACTCTGGACTCACACGGCCAGTTTGTACGGTCTTCAGTGGCTGTTCAACATTATGGTGTTCCGATCCGCCATCATCCACCCGCTGTCTAAAAATGCCCTGATTCTCAGCAGCATCCAGTTTGCATTGAGCACAGTGCTGTTGACGATCGCGCTCACTACTCGCCGAGGCAACAAGCCAGTTTTGGTGGAGCGCGAAGGTGACCTGGAGCCTCCGAGATACCCAACAGCCAGTTTGTTTTCGCTTGCGACATTCTCCTGGGTCGACTCACTGGTCATGAAAGGCTACCGTCAAACGCTGGAGCTTCAGGATGTTTGGAACTTGACTCCATCTCAGAAGGCTGTCAATGTCCTTGCCGACTTTCGCAAGAGAAAGATGAAAGGTTCCCTAGCATGGAAGCTACTTCGATTCTTCATGGGAACCATCCTCAAGCAGGGTGCTTGGACGATCTTTGCCAACCTCTTCGTTTTCATGCCTAGTCTGCTTCTCAAGGCTATCCTCGAGTATGTCGAGGATCCTCGGTCGACTACTCCCAATGCTGCTTGGCTGTTTGCGATTCTGCTTTTCTGCTGCACCATGACTAAGAACATTGCTGATAACCAAGCTCTGTGGATTGGTCGCACGATGGGTGTGAAAATCCGCGCGGTCATTATCGGTGAAATCTACGCCAAGGCTTTGCGCCGCAAGGCGGGTGCTTCGGTCGAGGCTGCAAAGAAGTCTGTAGAGGACTCTGTCTTGCCCAAAGATGCGCAACAAAAGACGAAGAAGAAAGGGCTTTTTTCTTTCAGCCGTAAGAAGAAGGCCATGAATGGCAATGATGCCGAGTCTGGCAACAAGCCCGAATCTAAGTTTGACGAAACCACTCAAGCCAATGTCGGTACCATCATCAACTTGATGGCTATTGATTCATTCAAAGTGAGCGAAGTTGGTGCCTATCTTCATTTCCTGTGGGCTAGTGTACCCGTGCAACTCATCATGGCCGTCACTCTACTTTACCATGTCATGGGCTTCAGCTCATTTGCTGGTATTGTGTTGATGTTTCTTATGCTGCCTATCAACCTCTTCATTGCCCGCCAGTTCAACAAGGTACAAGGCGAGATCCTCAAGGGTACCGATTCCCGCATTAACGCCACCAACGAAGTACTTCAAAACATTCGCATTATCAAGTATTTTGCTTGGGAACAGCGCTTCCAAAATATTGTCAATGAGAAGCGCAAGGCCGAATTGAAGGCCTTGCGGAACAGATACATCCTGTGGTCCATTGCCGCCACTGTTTGGTACGGCACGCCTCTTCTGATCACGTTCGCGTCCTTCTTCCTGTACACGGTCGTCGAGAAAAAGCAGTTGACTCCTTCCATCGCATTCCCTGCTCTCTCAATGTTCTCACTATTGCGTATTCCATTGGACCAGCTGGCGGACATGGTAGCCCACGTCCAGGAATGCAAGGTCTCCCTTGATCGTGTGGACAAGTATCTCAATGAGGAGGAAACTAGCAAATATGATCAACTACGGGACAGTACAACTGCTGGAACACCTGCTAAGATCGGCCTTGAAAATGCAACCCTCTCTTGGAGCAATTCCAAGACTCAGACTCAGGATACTGCGTCCGAAGCCGACTTGGATGCTTTCCGTCTAATAAACATTGACGTTGAATTCCTTATTGGCAAGCTAAACATTATTGCTGGACCCACTGGATCTGGCAAAACTTCTCTGCTAATGGCTCTCCTGGGAGAGATGCAGCTTATCGAGGGCCGCGTCTACCTCCCCGGTGGAATGGCCAACAGAGCCGATCTTCCAATTGACCCCGAGACCGGCCTGGTTGACAGCATTGCTTATTGTGCCCAGGAAGCGTGGTTGGTCAACGATACTGTAAAGGAAAACATTGTCTTCGCCTCTCCCTATGACGAGCGGCGCTACCGCGCAGTGCTGAAGGCCTGTGCACTCGAGCGCGACCTTGCCATTCTGGATGCCGGTGACCAGACTATGGTCGGAGAAAAGGGTATCAGTTTGTCTGGTGGCCAGAAGCAGAGGATTTCTCTTGCTCGCGCTATCTACAGCAGTGGCCGCCATCTGCTACTTGATGACTGTCTCTCTGCCGTCGACTCTCACACTGCTAAGCACATCTTCCGCCAAGCTCTCACCGGTCCTTTGATGCTCAACCGTACTTGTATTTTGGTCACCCACAACGTTGGATTGACTGTTCCCCAGGCGGATCACGTTGTAGTCATGGAAAACGGCAAGATCTCCGCCCAAGGCCGCCCCAACGATGTTGCTGCCACTGGTGCGTTGGGCGATGAATACAAGTCCCGCCCAGCTTCCAGAGCCAGCTCCCGTGGCCAGGCGGATGATGAAGATCTGGGTGGAACTGCTGATGGAAAGGCCCAGGAAGATAAGAATAAGCTTCTCGAGTCCAAGACTACTGGTAGCATCGCGTGGTCCACTGTTAGCATGTACCTCAGCGCTATGGGCCCGTGGTACTACTGGATTGGAGCTGTCTCGGTGTTCTTCTTGCAGCAAATCGGATCGGTTTCCACCAACATTTGGATCAGGCAATGGGCCAATTCCTACCAAACTTCTAAGGCTGGCACTGAGGATGCCGGCCAGTATGCCGCCGCGGCTCATCTCAAGCCTCCTACTTTTAATGTCGGAAGTGTCGGTCGCGTCAGCAGTTGGAGTTTCCCCCAGCTTGGCGGAGGCTCCACGGCCGCCGAGGCTGATGGCGAGGTCAATGTCGCTTACTACCTGGGTGTCTATGCACTTCTGGGATCCTTCTACATTCTTATCTCTCTCGCCCGGGAGGGTTTGGTTTTCTGGGGCTCGCTTCATGCTTCATGGAAGATCCATGACCGCCTTCTCAAGGCGGTCATGCACGCCAAGTTCCGTTTCTTCGATTCCACGCCTCTTGGCCAGCTCATGAACCGGTTCTCCAAGGATGTCGAGTCTGTCGATCAGGAAGTTGCCGGTGTTGCTATCGGTATGCTCCATAGTCTCGCATCAGTCATCATGGTTGTCATTTTGATCTCCTGGATCACCCCTCGCTTTTTGATTGCTGGTGTATTCATCATACTCGTGTATACTGCTCTCGGTGCCGTCTACATAAACTCCTCTCGCGATCTCAAGCGTCTGGAATCTGTGCAGCGCAGTCCCTTGTACCAGCAATTTGGCGAGACGCTAAACGGACTCGTGACCATCCGTGCCTATGGTGATGGTCCTCGCTTCATGGTCGACAATCACCGACGCATCAATGCCTACAATCGGCCTCACATCTACCTCTGGGCTAGCAACCGCTGGCTCGCTTTCCGTGTTGATTGGGCCGGTGCTCTGGTTTCCTTCTTTGCGGCTGCCTTTGTGCTGCTGAACGTTGGAGCCATCGACGCCGGTGCCGCCGGTCTTTCGCTGACTTACGCCGTCACATTCTCAGAGAACATGCTCTGGCTTGTGCGTCTTTATTCCGACGTCCAACAGAACATGAACTCCGTTGAGCGACTCAGAGAATATCTTGATGTGGACCAGGAAGCAGCATCTGTCATTGAAGAGTCCCGTCCTGCAGCGGACTGGCCGAGCCAAGGCGCAGTCGAATTCAAGGGCTACACCACGCGCTACAAAGCTGAGCTGGATCCCGTTCTCAAGGAGGTTTCGTTCTCCGTCAAGGCTGGCGAGAAGGTCGGTATTGTCGGTCGTACAGGTGCTGGCAAGAGCTCTCTCGCCCTAGCGCTCTTCCGCGGTCTCGAGGCAGAGAAGGGTCAAATCATAATTGACGGTGTTGACATCGGATCCATCGGACTACGAGACCTGCGTGAGGCTATCACCATCGTGCCCCAAGACCCAACTCTCTTCACAGGAACACTCCGCAGCAACCTGGATCCATTCGGCCTCTTCAGCGACGAAGACATCTTCAAGGCCCTCCGTCGCGTTCACCTAATCGGATCCAGCACCTCGGGCACCACAACCCCCGCAACCTCCAGCACCCTCACAGCAACCGAAACCAACGTCAACGGCGCCAACGGCAGTGTGGCAACAACAGTCGACAACAAAAACGTCTTCTACAACCTCGACAGCCTTGTCTCCGAGTCGGGCTCGAACCTCTCTCAAGGCCAGCGCCAACTCCTTTGCCTAGCGCGCGCCCTCCTCAAGAATCCCCGCGTCCTAATGATGGACGAAGCAACCGCCTCAATCGACTACGCCACCGACTCTAAGATCCAAGAAACCCTCCGCGAGCTGCACAGCAGCACGATTATCACCATTGCCCACCGACTGCAGACTATCATCGACTACGACAAAGTCCTAGTTCTCGACCACGGCCGCGTCATCGAGTTCGACCATCCCTGGTCGCTCATTAATAAGGAGGACGGCATGTTCCGCGGCATGTGCGATAATAGCGGCAACATGGATGGCTTGCTCGATGGGGCAAAGCGCGCCTGGATGCAAAAAAGACTCGTTGATGATTCTTAAATGATTTCATCTTTCTGATAGAAAGTCCCGTACATATTCATTGTTCGAATTTTGTCTATTTACTTGGTCTTGGTAATCTCAGGCTGGGACTGCAAAAATTGAGAGACATCGATGTAATCATTAGTCTCATCCTATGTTAGTTATTTGAATTAGTTAGTTATTAGTTTAGTACATGTATTTTTCACACTTGACAACGTTCACGTCATGTGTCCATATTCACTAATTCTTCCTCTGCATTGAAGTAATCCTATATTTAGAATCCCTACTATAATATTATATTATATCCCGATCGATCATGGCCATGGCAAAACTTTTCTAAACCTCAGCGCCTTGTGAGAGGCGGTTTTGAGGCTAAGATGAACCGCATATTCACGTCTAGAAGTAAATATTCTATTTGAAAAGAACTTCCTATAAGATGATTCACCTAGCTGTCAACAGAAATTGCAGAAGATGTTACAATGATCGTGACATTCCAGTCCTTCTGCTACGAAAGCTTCTGCGCTTTCCAACATTTTACCGAAGTCCATACGCCTCGCAGTCCGCCTTGCTTGATCCAGCTGTTAAAGTTCCTCTTAGATTTGTATGACTACCATCTCCTTCATGCCCATAGGAGTATAGCAATCTGAGAATGGGTGCGGGCTTATGATCCGTCCAGGGATGTTCGAGTGCAAGCGGCTACCCACGGATCTGTGACGGGGTTTCCTTCTCTGTTATTCCAGGATAATCAATGGGTGCATATGGAGATAGGGATGATGCTGGGGGTGGCCCGAATCTCATGGCGACGAAAACCGACCGAACGGGGTGTGTTGTACGTTGTAGAGCACATTTAGGCGCATTCAAGCGGTACCTGCGACTTAATCGAGGAAAGCCACCTGCTGTACCAGCCAGTGATCGACTGTCTCTCTCAGGGGGATATTGACAAAAATCGTTGTTTCAAAAAGTAATCAGATGATCAAAACTCAATCTCACGTCTTGGCACGTACACTCCTCAAGATCGTCACGAAACACACAACGGCGGAACCAACGACGAAGAACCCAAACGGGGGCCACAGTATAGTCGCATGCTCCCAACGGTACGTGATCACCAATCGATGAGGCTGCTCTCTGGACCCAGAATCTAGGTGCACGCCAGCACTCGGATGCATCGGCGAGGTGATCGGCGCTTCCGGATCCGGCGGTGAATTGTGCAGCTTCTGCTTTTGCGAGAAGTGAGTACTCTGCGGCGTGGAGGACTCCGGGGAGGTCGATACAAAGCCCGCCTCGCGCATGGTTTTCTCTTTCAGCAGAACTTCGAGTTCGTCTTCATCGGGCACGGTTTCCAGGTAGTAGTAGCGCTTTTCATGGATCTGGCTGGTTGGCGGTGGAAATGACCCGGCCTTTTCGGGCGCAATTATTGCGATCTGGACTGAGGCATCTGAAGGCACTTTGGGGATTGCGATTGCTGCTGAATGAATTGCGAATAGCAGCAGGGCTAGTTTGCGTAGCATGATAACGGATGCCCGCGGGTGGGGATTCGATAAGGATCGGCGGTCTGGATAATTCAATCTCACTTTATATGTTGTATGGCCTTATGGTATATTTCAAGGGAGTATAGAGCAAAAAGAGGAGAAAGGGCAGGAGGATAAAAGAGAATCATCAACAGAAAGATATATAAAGAAAAGAGAAACCAGTCCACGTGGTGGAGTGAAAGTCGGATTCGGATTCGCTTTCATCGGAAACGGCGGAGCGGCTTCATTGTAATTTAGTGCATAATACATGTACTGCATAAAAAAATCTGGATTCTTCTCTTCACTTTTTAATAGGCTACCTAGGTAGAAACATACTTTATTAAACATTTTCCTAGTAGCTTGTTATATTCAGTGGCACTCCACTTAAAGTCCACAAGTCATCGGCAGTTGAGTCTTCGGATTAGTATCTTCTTAGGGCACGGCCAATCACCCCGATCTGTACGGAGTGCGGCCCAATCAATCTTCCAAATTGTAGTTAGTTAGTTAGCGCTAGTTAGGTATCCATGTAGTTGTATTTTTTTCCATAATGTACAATCTCATGACCCACTGTTATCCGCACAGGAAAACGCCGAGGATATCTCCCCATTCTTGTACGCCTGATTAATCTGTACAACAACCCCATAAGTTCCCCCAACCGCCATGAACAGGCCAAGCAGAACAAGAAAAACATGAAGCCCATATAAAACAACCCGGACAAAATTACCCCTCCAATAGTCACGATGACTGTACAGCCACAACCAACCAGGCAAACTAATAGCCAACGGCGCAAAACACAAACTGCCAACAAGAGCCAACACATAGTTAAAAATCGGAATAGCTGAAGCCAACACAAACGATATCGCAGCCATCCCAAGCGTGCACGATAGCCACGTTCCCCAGTGCACAAATGTGTTCGCCTGGAGATGGCGCGAGTCGCGCAGGATCCGCACGAAGAGATATTTCGCCGCAACGTGCACGTATAGACACCCACTGATGATCAGCCCCGGCAGGGCGACCCCATATGCAACTCGCTTGACGGTTTCGCCAGCGCTGCCCAGGGATGGCGAGGCAATCCATTTGCCGCACCAGGCGTAGATGACTAGGCTGAATGTTAGGTAGGATGCTGTTACTAGGCTCATGCTTAGGTACACGGCTTTGGGGTAATCTTTTGGTTTGCGCATTTCCGAAATCACGGGGAGGAAAGCGGATGTTGCGGCGCTGGAGACGAATATTGTGGCTGAGGCCGTGATGCCGGTTGTGAAGGCTGGGTCGCCGATGACTCGGTAGCCGAGGTCGAAGTCACCTGTTTGGGGCGCTGCGGCTGGTCTATCGCGAACTGTGACGCCGACGCTGGGGGAGATTAGTCTGTTGTTTCTTTGTGGGTTGCTGCGAACATACACGATAATGAAAACAGCCACATAGACACTCCCGAACCCAAGCCAGGTCAGCCAACCGATGTGCGAGAACTTGCGCACACTAGCACACATAGCGATGATGATCGTTCCGATGAACGAGAACCAAACTGTACAGATGGAATGCAGAGACAGCGCATTGAACGCCGTCGAGACGCCGATGATTCCAGACGCCGCGACGATAACATAGCTAACGGTGAACAGACCCCCGACGAGCTCCTTCACTACCGGCCCGCCGACGATCTGCGCCATGTCTGCGATTGAATGGCAGCCCGGATAAGCGTTGCGGAAGTTGCCCTGCACCAATGCGCAGTAAGTATTCAGCAGACTCCATCCAATCACGGTGATGGCGCCCGGGAAGGCGCCCAGCTCGTACATCAACGACGGGATGGACAGGACGCCCGTCGCGAAGATAACTGGGACGATGTCAATAGCTGCTAGACCTGACAGGCTGGGGACACTGACTCTTCAGAAAGATGACGGAAGCACGGATCCAGCTCACGGTGCGGAAGTCGACCTGGCCATCGCCCCGCTTGAAGACTTCAAATTTGTCTTCGACTTCGGCTTGCTGCGTATCTGTATGGGGGTCATCTGCATAAGGGGACGGAGCCTCCTTAATCTCATCTGCTGTTGCCATGGTATAATGACAAGCTGTTGAGCTCGAAGTCCAGTTTAGGGCTGGGACAGCATGGGAATTGCGAGAAAGACGAGGGAATATATAGGTTCTCACCAGTTATCGTGTCCGTTTTCGTCTAATCATCTGGTAGGTGCGAAGGTTCGCACCTTTGGTCTGTAATAGGCGCGTAAGAGCGCGATAAGAAAGCCGGTCCACTTCAATCCACTTTTCCCCGCGAAATTTGAGCTGATAACCTGTCATAGGGGTAAAGAGGTGGTTGGAGACCGATTTGGGGTGGATATTTGGGGTAGATATCCCGTTTGGGGTAGGCTGTCTAGCCAATAGGAGGGGCTGTGGAGATGAATCTTCAGACTAACGGCGATGAAATGATGGGATCTTCTCACAATGAACTGGCCGATATCTGCCTTGTGGTGTCGTTTGGGGTAACTGCTGATTTGGAGTACTGATAAACATATCAATCGACTAGGAGAATATCTAGGTAATGAAAACAACAACTCATTGATTATACCCGGTATGATTTATGATGATGTTATTAAAGGGAGATAGACCCAAAAGTTCACTTCCTTAGTTAAGAAATTGGGATTTGTTTAGGCTTTGTATTTAGTACCGAGCCAGCTGCACACTGTACTTCAGACGCCATATAGGTACGTAATCAATTGCTTGAGTGCTGATTGTATATTCCGATCTATATAGTGACTAGGATAGGGACTCTTTAAATTAAACTGAACCATTGCTTCCATGCAGTAATTGAATGCTGTTTCGCGATCTCAAATTGGGGCTTGCCTTTCAAACAAAATCCGATCTAGATAGTTAATCTACAAAAATATAAATCTGTGAACCCATGATGGCAAGGCATTTGCTGCGTAATATCTTTTTCACTGTTACAAAAAGCTTTCAAATTTGAATAATCTTACTTCTCTAGAATAGCTCCAGCCTTCGCAGGCATCAAAGCACCTGGTGGAGGAGCGTTCTTCTTCTTGAAATCGTCGCAAACCTGCTCCATCGTCACAAACTCGACCCCCTCATGCTTCTTGAAGTGCTCGATGAGACTATCAACCGTTAGCCACGTGCCCACAGAAATATAAATATCATTAGATCATACCGTTCATGCATGAGCAGTACATGTGGTCTCCCCGAAACGTCCGGGTGAATAGTAATCGGGAAAATAAACTCATCATACTCGCGGTAGAAGTAGTCAAAATGGTCGCGCCAGATATCTTCCACGTCGCGCGGGTTGACAAAGCCATGGCTGTTCGGTGCCTTCTTGATGAACATCATCGGGGGAAGGTCGTCAATGTACCAGTTTGACGGAATCTCGACTAGCCCTGTTTGCGGACCATGCTCGAGAGGCTTCATCCATTCCTCTGCCTTCTTCTTGTAATCTATGTTGGTCCAGGTGTCGCCCGTCCGTAGGTAATAGGCCTGGCAGTCCTCGTGGCTCATACTGTGGTCGTACTCGATACCGTAATCGAGGAGAAGCTGAGCTCCTTCCTGGCTGGTTTCCCACCTATTTGCGCTTGATTAGAAACGTTTTAGGTCTGCAAACTCAATGCCTTTACCAGGGTGCTACGCTTCCTCGAGGCGGCTTTCCAGCAAACTCAGTGAGCATGCGATATGTCTTGTCAAGTACATCACGCTGCTGTTCAATTGTCATGTCCGTTGGGTTTTCGTGGGAATATCCGTGTAGACCGATTTCGTGACCCGCATCGCGGACCGCAGCCATGTCCTCTGGGAAGGTTTCAAGGGAATGGCCGGGAATGAACCATGTTGATTTGATATCATACTTCTTGAACATTTTCAGGAGACGCTGGGTTCCGATGGTTCCTGCCCAGTAGCCTGCAAGATAATCAGAAGGAGATCTTGTTCTTATCAAAGACATACCTACCTCTGCTAATGTCATTCGTAGAGTCCTCTCCACCGTATGAGCCTAGCCATCCGGCCACAGCATCAACATCCACGCCATAGGTAATTAGAACTCGCTTTGGTGCCATAATGTAAGTGTATTATGATTGAATTGAAAAGTAGTAAAGGGGAGTTAGGTTGGCTTTCGTATGCGGGGAAGAGATAAGCCCCTCACTCGGAGTCGTGTCCGATTTACATTTCTATTGAATTTCGTTTATTGCCCACTTAACTAACTCCTACTGATAACCCACTTGATCTCTGTGAGTTCCATTTCTCATACTCGTAAGTCAAACATTTGCTATCTCTATTTCCAGGAGTTCCTTCTCCAAACTTCGTTGGGGTCGTCTTGCGTTGGGGTAAACATGGTCACCGACCGAAGGCAAGGAGACCCAGTTTAACGGACTCCACGATAGAACGTGTCGGGGAATACCGATAGAAAAAAAAGGGAAAAAAAATCAGCATCGAGATATCTTTTAAACTAAACATTCCCCCGATCAAGAAAATATCAAGGTTGTAGCGTTTCATAGCCATTATGTCCGTTCTTTTCACGAGCATTTCAGAGTGAGTGTCTGACGCTGGACCATCATAAAATTATACCATCACTGACGAATGTATTTCAGGAGCAATCCCGTCAAAGCGGGCGATGCCCAAGCTCTTCTTGACCCGCTTGGTCTGACCATCGACTCAACCGAGGCTGAAGACTTCCATACTCTCCTCGCGGCAGTCCACGACTGTGCCGAAGGTGTAGCCGCCTTGCCAGACTACCAACCAATACCCGATCAGACCAAGTATCCGCGCGAGAATGTGCGTCGACCAGCTGCCCACGAGCAAGTCTTCGGACAAGCATGGGCACACCGGTTTCTGATTCGTGGTAATGCCCAGGGCGGGCCGTTGGCTGGTAAATCCGTCAGTTTGAAGGATGTAATTGCGGTCGCGGGCGTGCCGCAGCTTCTGGGGAGTGATATTGTTCCTTCTTGGACTCCAAGTACGGATGCGACGGTTGTCACGCGATTGTTAGAGGCCGGCGCGGATATTCATGGAACATCCACCTGTGAGAATCTTTGTCATTCTACGTCCTCATATACCAGTGCCCAAGGCATAGTAGAGAATCCCCATGCGATGGGTTACTCGGCAGGAGGGAGTACTTCGGGAGGGGCGGCGCTGGTCGCGGCTGGTGTGGTGGATATTACTATTGGAGGTGATCAGGGTGGGAGTATCCGAGTTCCCGCTTCATTTTGTGGATGTATGACTTTATTCTCTTTCCTTTAACGATCGAATGTGGACTGATAAACTCTAGGTGTCGGGCTCAAGCCTACTCATGGTCGCGTACCCTTTACTGGAATTTCCAGTGGCGATGCCATGAATGACCATGCAGGCCCGCTAACTCAGACAACGTTGGAAGCTGCCACATGTCTAGACGTCATCAGTGGCTATGATGGGATTGATGATAAAGCTCTCGGTAGCTCGAAGCCTGGCTCCACCAGCTTTAGACAGGTACTTCAGAAAGGCTCTGATAGGCTGGACGGTTTCAAGGTCGGTGTTCTAGTTGAAGGCTTCGAACATAGTGCCGTGGACTCGAGAGTCAGAGGCGCTGTATTGGCTGCTACTCAGAAATTCAAGGATCTGGGAGCAAAGATTGAAGAAGTCTCTCTTCCCGATCACCTACAAGGGCCGGCGATATGGACAATCCAACAGCGAATCGCTGGAGCGCAGACCTTGCTGGGCCAAAATACCGGACGACGGGGCCTCTATATGACCGAAATGGAGCGTGCACGCCTTCCATGGACCGATGATGGCTTCCAGCGCGCATTCCCATCCACAAAGAACGTTATCATCAACGGTCTATATCTCATGCAGCAATTCCCAGATCTCTACGGGAAGACTGCCAATTTTGGCCGCTATTTGAGTGACAGGTACCAAGAACTGTTTGAGAAATACGATGTCTTGGTGATGCCCACAACACCAGTTGTTGCGCCTCGACATGGCAAACGAGAATTGCCCTTGGACTCGCTCAAACCTAGCATGGGACTTACCATTAACACTGCTGTTTTCAATGTGACCGGTCATCCGGCACTTTCCATACCGATTGGGTTTGCGCCGGCCAAGGATGATGATCAGGTCTTGCTTCCGGTTGGTATGCAGATTGTCGGTGGGCTATGGCAGGAGGAAAAGATCTTGCGTGCTGGCCATGTCTGGGAGAGTCATTATGACTGGAAGAAGATGCATTTCTCTACTGACAAGAACTAGATTAGATGTCTTGTTGCACATAGATTTAAGGAATTAATCATACCAACCTTTTGTAATAAAGGGTTTCTCAAAAATTTGGAATTGTTCAATAGTGAACTAATGTTACTACATATACCTTAGAAAGTATCTCACTGGTCTCTATTCATACTTCAAAACATAAATTCCGAAATGTCGCCAAATTTACTCGATGTAATGTATTAACAATTTATGTCCATGGGCTGTTCGCCTAAATAGTAACATATCCTCCATCAACTACCATAGCATGGCCCTGTACAAAGGATGCCTGCGTTGAACATAAGAAAAGAATGGCATCAGCCACCTCTGCAGGTTGGCCCATTCTCTTCATTGGCGCAGTAACCACCGCAGGCATGATAGCTGCACGGACCTCGGGCTTCTCCATGACCAGCGGTGTTTCAATAACACCAGGACAAACACAGTTGACTCTGATATTATCCTTAGAGTAATCAATAGCATCAGCGCGTGTCATTCCGATAACAGCGGATTTGGATGCACAATATGCAGCTAGTAGAACATCAGCTATATACTCTGGGGATATAATCAATCTCAACACATACGAGCACCCGGACGACTGACGACGCCTAACTGGCTGGCAACATTCACCACAGCGCCGCGCTGAGGAGGTCGACTGGGATCATGGCTAGGAAGTGCATCTTGTAAGGTCATCTGTTTGAGTTCTGCTCGCGATGAAAGCCAACAGCCTCGGTAGTTGACGTTATTGATGCGGTCAAATTCTTCGATTGGTGTCTCTGCCGAGCGCATAGATTTTCCAATAACACCTGCACAGTTCACAGCATAGTCCACCCGACCAAAAACTTCGACAGCTTCCGTAACGAATGAATCGGCAAAATGGTCGTCGGCGACATTGCCGGCTTTAATGAAAAGCTGTGTTTTGGGATGGGATGAACTAATGGCTTCTGCAGTTTGCTGTAAAGAAGCCTCATTGAGATCTGTGATGGCTATCTTTTCACATCCAGCTGCAGCAAAAGCCTTTGCAGTTGCGGCACCAATTCCTTGGAGATGAGGTGAGATTGATATTGGAGTCCCGAGGTAGGGTGTTTTACTTACCGGTACCCCCAGCACCTGTAATCAACGCAACACCTGGAAACATATTGACGAATTTAATTGAGCAATTAGAACAAAGTGTTTCGAATATATAAAAATAGAATATATGTATATAGAATACATACAACAACTTGAAGAAGTACAAATGTATGTAAGATATCAATGACTCCAACATAATACCCCACCTTTATCGCTTATCACGGGCCGAAAGATCCCGGACAACCCCGAGTTGGAGTCGTTGGAGTACAATCTCCCACCTCGACATCCACTTGCCCCCAGGCCTCTCTCCAAACCAGTTCTCCATCTCCCCAATGTTTCAATGCCGTCTCCATCACCCCAGCCGAAGGCTCGTGGAGCAAGGGCACGTATCTGTGTACACTGCGGTCGGAGCTTCCGCCGGACTGAACATTTGGAGCGACACATTCGAACCCGTAAGCGATGGAAAGAAAATCCCGAGCTAGTGATGCTAACCCAGTAATAAGACACCAAAGAAAAGCCGTTCATTTGCTTCTGTGGGGCGGCTTTCACTAGACGAGATCTATTGAAGCGTCACACGCGTATCTCACACCAAGATGGCCTGGCCTCGCCAAGTGCGCCGCCCGAGCCAACGGCAAAGTCGGATTTCCAGCCTGCACATCATCCTGCAGCAATCCGGTCGCAATATGATACACCAGCCAGACCAGTGGTGCCCCTTGCAGGGTCTACTGCCGTGCACCAATGGGCTGGCACCCAGAACACGTCTTATTTAGACCAGAACCATGCTGCCGGTATGCTTCCTGCCGCTGCAGGACCTCCAAATCCGACCCTAGAGCCCCATCCGGGTATGGTCCCAGACCCGGACATGCTCCAAGCTGCACAATTGCTTCTTCCTGGCGATTACCAGGCAACAGGTGCGGTTCCCCCAAACATTGCCAAGCAAACTCAGTTGATGGTTCCCTGTAACCAATTCAATATGATTCTCTTGGCATGAATTGTGTAAATTGACTACCACTTTCGAACATCATTCTTCTAATACCTGGAACTTGAATAGCACAACCGATGCCTTATTTGCCAGAAGATCTGAATCACTTTCAAGAATTCACCCATTTCTTGGATTCCATTGGCTTGCCTGGGGAATGGCTTCCCAGCGAGGGCGAAACATCCCAAAATCAAGAGATCGGTTTAGAAGATGTTCGTGATCAAGGCCGACCAGCTCAAGAGCAGCAACATGAACGCCCACGGCGAGGTGGGGAAGGCTCTCGAGGAGACTCCCCATTTAGATCCTGGCTACCATCTGTGCCGAGGGGTGACCAAAGCCTAGGGACTCTTTCCGATTCCGGTACATAAACTTTTGTATAAATATCATTCGGTACGTTTCTAACAGCGCTTCAGAACCCCCGCAAAACGCAAAGAGAACATCACGGTTCAACGTCACCGAAGACCAACGGTTTCGACTTGCAGCGTCTCTTGAAGAATTCCGCAATGTGATTCCAGATTTTGTTCTCCCTTCACGTCACACATTGACACGGTACCTTACTTCGTACTTCGAAGGCTTTCAACCTCATCTTCCATTTATACACATGCCGACCTTTCATATCAATGAGCGTGCGCCTGAGGTGGTTCTTGCCATCATGACGATTGGCGCTCAGTATCGATTTGAGCATCGCAATGCAGAGAGGATTTTCTTCGTTTCTAAGGCTGTCCTCTTTGAGCGCATGTCTAGAGAACCCCGCATTTCTACCAAATCCGCCTACAGTGCAGCATCTCAAGTTCCACTCGGGATCTCTCCATATTCCAATTTTGGAGATCAGTCCCTCACCCAACCACAGGTAGCAGCTGAGAGAAATGCTGCATGGAAGCAGATTGAGATTACTCGTTGTCTCCTCATTCTGATGGGCTATTCCACATGGGAAAATGCTAGACTAGTACAAGAAGCATTCTATCTTCAAGGCCTGCTAGTGCGACAACTTCGCGAGGCTGGGCTGACAGAAGATACAAGCCGCACTGATTCCCGTGCACCCCTTGATTGGCACGAATGGGCAGACCAAGAGTCGAGTCGGCGAACAAAGCTCATCGCATTCTGTTTCATCCATGTTCATAGCATCGCATACAATGCCTATCCATCCCTGCGCAGTAGTGAGATACATCTCCGCCTCCCTTGCTCCACCATGGAATGGTCTGCAAGTACTGCTACAGAGTGGGAAGTCGCTCAGCGGGAGAGAGGTCCTCAACAGCTGTTCTTCCAGGATGCCTTGACCCTTCTTTTGCAAAAGTCCCGATCGGCTGTACCTTTAGACCCAATCCCCGCACCTCTGGGTAACTATATTCTCCTGCATGGACTTCTGCAAAGAATCCACCTCGTGAGCGAGTTGTCGTTACCAAACGGGAACCACTCAACTACCCTTCCAACCGAAGAGCTCAATAAACTAGAGTACTTATTACGCCTGCATATTACCTTCAACTTCTTTACTAACAAATTTATTTACAGACGAGCCCTTCGCTCCTGGACTTCTGTCTGGCAACAAGCCCCAGAATCCAGCCTAGACCCACACAATGCAAACGGCCCGATCCCTTTCACTTCTAGCGCATTCCTAGGTCTAGCTTACGTACGACTTTCTCTCAATCTGGGCCCCTACCGCCGTCTCGAAACCCGCGACCCGGAAATCATAGCCACAGCACTCCGTCGCTCGCCGCGTCCAGAAAGAAGCTACCGCCTCATCCCGGCCCTCATCTATGCTGCCCATGCACTGAGTATCCCCGTGCGTCTGGGTATCGATCATATTGCTCGCAGCCAAGCATTCTTCTGGAGCGTGCGGCATTCGCTCGCCAGTCTCGAGTGTGCAGTACTTCTCAGCAAATGGCTTTTCACGCTGGCGGAGGCGGGACCAGATCAGTCACTCAGCGGTATGTTAGTCCGCAAGCCTACTTATTTAATACTAACCTGGCGCAGAAAACGAAACTCGTATCCTGCGCTGGACGCGGTGCATCATCGAAGAAGCATACTCGTCCATCGACATAGACGAAGGCGAGGTACCACCAGATCTGGAGCCTGCATCTCTTGGCTTGTCTGTTCTCAAGCTGTGGGCTAGGCTGTTTGCAACGAATACTCAATGGCCATTTATTAATGTCCTTGGACAAAGTTTGGAACGGTACATGACTATGATTTGACGTCGGTATTCTATGTCTAGCGTTGTATATAACCTAAGATTTTGGTGAGGTAATGTGTTCATGTTCTTATGATCGTGTAGATAATTCTTTTGGCTTTGACTTTGTTGACTTTGGCGTTATTGTGTAAATATTATTTCTCTAGGAAGACATGGCGAATCCAACGACTCATAGACTAATCAACACTTCCGTCCTACTCCTAGTATCTTCACTCACGCTATAAAGCTTCATATAATCACTACTACCTAGGCCTACTTCAAGGAATATCATGTGTAACTTATGATTGCTGACTCCATTGTGTTATTACGCCTTTTACCACCTGCCTTAGGCTTAACTGCCTCAACTTAACCCAGTCAAATTCAAGCAGTGAGTCCTCCAGGCCAACTTCCTTCTTTCCCTCGCTCTTGGTTGCCGCACCGCCAGTCATCTGAGAGCCCTCCGCCTTCATTTCACCTAGTCAAACTCAATCAATGGTTTCTCTGGGTCAAACTGCTTCTTGTCATCACTCTTGGTAGTCGCAACGCCAGTCGGCTGAGAGACCTCCGCCTCAAAGTCATCAAGGAGCAACCAGTCCTTGTCATGGGATAAACGAGGCTTCTCTTGTTCATTTGCAGGAGCAGGTTGTCGGGCAACAGCACGACGAAGACGCTCCGGCAGTTGTTTTCCGGCCCGTTTATAGTCATCCTGGATGGCGCCAAACTGCGCAAAATCTCGCCATCGTTTCAGACCCGCCTCATGCTGCTCAGATGTGAGAATATCCATGGGAGAAGGAGAACGAGGAAGCGTGCGGCTTAAGAAGGAAGTGGCAGTTGCGGATTCGCCGTTATCGGTTTCAGACTTTTTCGGGGACCGGTGATCTTCATAGCGAATCTGACCGGTTTCATTTGGTTCACCAGCCAAAGTGCACGGACATTCGTGAATGTGTGGATGAGTACACCAGTGAATGCAGCGGTCCATGCAGCAAGCACGGATCATCTCGCAAGGCTCCTGGCAGGAAACCCAGTCGTGCTCGGGTCTGATTGAATTTCATGTTAGCGTTGTTTGTAAGTATGTCGCTCTCATGCGCATGGCTCACCCGTGGCATTTCGAGGGACATGGGTGTCCACATGGCAGATTGTCTCTGCAAGGCTGATTGCAGCCGACATCGATTTTGTCCCAGTCTTCGACGACTGGATGGATGGAAGAATTGGTTAGATTGACATGTCGCAAATAATTCATGTAAGACAGAGCCAATGACTTACCTTTGATTAGCGTTCGCATATTATGCCGTTCACAAAGTAAAGGCAGAGCATGCCCTAGGCGGCGTGGCACAGACATATGCATTTGGTCAACAACTTCATCCCAGAATTCGCTTCGTTTTCTGATACAATTAGCATTTCCGAAGATGAAAAGACCGGATTTGGCGCGAGACAAGGCAACGCAGGCTCCGTTTATTTGTTGGAGAAAGCCGATTCCCCGATGTTCGTTGCTTCTAACCAGTGAGAGAAGGATTATATGGTTCTCCTCGCCTTGGTAAGAGTCAACCGTTGCAATCTCCACGTGGTATTGTGCAGTGTGGATATTTTTGTTTTGCTTTCTTTTGATCAACTTCCGCTGGCCTTGGTAGAATGTCAAGATTGTGATGTCAGTGGATGGAACTCCACTTCTCAGTAGGTATCCAAGGAGTCCGATGACCATCGACGCCTCAAACTCATTCACATACGATGACAAACTATCATTGCTTTCGTGCTCATCATGATTAAAGAAAAAAAATGAAGACGGCCCATGCCAGTAATCGGAGGTCTGTCATTGACGGACGGATGATCAAGAAGAGATGATCCATAAAGAGGGGCCACAAGCTTTCTGATCTCTGTAATCATTCGTCTCTGCTGTTGAAGCAGGGTAAAATCAATTCCATTCTCAACCAGACGCTCAAACATAGAGACTTCAAGATTGAAAGGCTCCAAGGCTAGGTCGCCCACAGCACAATGGCCTCTGAGCTGCCTGTGATCGCCCACAAGAATCAAATGCTGAAGAGATGGTAGATAGGCAACTGCGATAGGAGCCTCGAGGACCTCTGCCGCCTCCTCGATGAGGATGACACGGGGATTCACGCTCGCAATGGTTCCTCGGTATTTGCTCAGCCCAGTGGTGGTGAGCCCGATAATATTTGCATCTCGTAGAGGTGGGTGGTCTCGCTCACACTTCCCAATCTTGAACTTTCGGGTGCATTCCTCGTATTCCTTGCGAAAGCAAGATATTTTGTTCACCACACTTGCAACCAGCTGCTTGCGAAAGTGGTCATAGATGATGCCGCGGTAACGTCTTGGGACTATGTACAAGTCTGTCTCTTTGAGATACGATTGAATCTTGGCAGAGGAATTTGGTCTTGGCTGTCACCGCAAAACCCTGGCACGAATGAGACGAAAGGGTCCTTCAGGGCGGCCCAATCTTCTTCATGGCGATTGTTCTCCATCTCAATTTCTTTTAGCTGCTCGTATTCTAGGTCGTAGTCGTCATCCTCAAAACCGAAGTTACACGTGTAGCGATACCGGAACTTCGTCACCGTGGTGCCAAGCCAGGCGTGGAAAGGGTCGAGGGTAGTGTCTCCTCCCTGCTCCCACTCTTTGGCAGTCTTGCTCAGTGACTCGGCTTGGTCTTCTCTGAGAATTCCATATTCCACAAGCAAGGCTGCACTCAGTGGCTTTTGTGATTTAGCCGGAGTAAGTGGGCTCAGAACCTCCTGCATACCTTTCGTAAGGTTGTTGTGTTGCTTCCATCCACTTTCAAGTAGTCCACCTATGACCCGCGGCACAATATTGTCACGCCTCATCTCAAAGATGGTGCGCTTATGAATATCAAAGTCAGCGCTTCTTGTGCCTACTCGGATGTAGTTCGGTTCGAACTCCGCTATCTGTTTGATGAGCTGGTCGAGAGCATGATTGGTTTGTGCGGCAATGACAATAGGCGGGTCTTTCGGGCGTTTGTTTGCAAGCATGAACTTGAGAGCAGCGATAGAGGTGAACGTTTTGCCTGTTCCAGGCGGACCCTGAGTAATGGCTAGCTTTTTGGTGACCATCTCTCTCAGAGCTGACCATTGGGACTTATCAAGTTTTCCCATTGGCAAGGATGGCCATTGCTGGAGTATATCATGGATATTCTCCTGACCAGGTACCTGTGACAATGACCGAAAGCTCATATTTGGTTGGGATTGAATGTAGCCCGGGGTACCGATCTCAGGATCTAAAGTGCAAATATGTTCATTCAGCGGGAAACTGAATAAATTGTTAGCACGGGATAGCGAGACATAGGAACGCATAAACTTACCTTTCCGTATTAAGCTTTTGAAGTGCGGTCATTGTGTGTCTGTTGGCCTCGTAATATCCCATTCGGGCCTCCACCATGATCCATTCTTTCTGGGGATCGAGGTCGATATCGTTATACGAAGCCAGGTAAATGTCAACCTCGGGAGGGTCCTTCGTGACGTTATCAAGCAGTCTCGAAGCAACAATAGCAAACACACATTTGCTGCTAACCCCATTTGATACTGGGCTAAGAGCAATAAGCGATCCCGGTCTAAGACGGTCGGAGTACGTCCAGGCAATGTTCTTGCCCGCACGACGAGTTGAGAAACGGAGACGCAATGCCAAACCAGGGCGCGCTAATGTGATCCCAATAACATAGACCTGTGTTAAAAGAAGAAGAATTGTTAGTTTGGTGCTTTTCCAGAAGAAGATAACGAAAAACTAACGCTTTCGTAAACAGATAAGTCTTTGGTGTCGCTCCTCAAAGGATCGTTCCGGACCATAGCAACGGCATCCCGTAGCGGGGCGACCGAGTCTTCCTGCAGCAAATTATAATGGGCTTCCAGGTATGTTTCTTTGGAGGGCCAAGGTCCATCAACAATGTTTGGATTAAGAATCACAAAGTCATCTGGTGTGTCTTTCCCAAGAACTTCTTCGGCAGAAGGAATCTGGCTTGGACTGCCATTCCGGAGCATCGTCGGATACAATAGTGTCAAAGTATTTGCGTACATCCGGGTTGACAGACTCCTGGGGTCCAGGAGTCTGGTAACGACGGCTGCTTCGAAAACGAAAATCCGATGCCATAGTGCGTGGTCGGGGTCGTTGTAGTGCGTGGTAATGTTTGGGGTGATCTGTGATATGTAGATAGCAGAGAAATGGTTATCAAGAGGGCGCATTGAGTGCGTGGCGGAAAGATCTAGTGAGTGCGTGGATGTTTCATGGAACAAGAAACACATCCCCACGCAGTTGTGGTGCCCCACTTCAAAGTTCTTGGAATACTGATCTAGGAGCATAATGCTGGCTTTTGATAAATTTTATAGTTATATATTGCAATTCACTCCTTCAAGCGAAACAGACTATATGTTGAACATTCTAGGATCTTTATGTTACTTCAATATGTGCAGATAGCGGTTTGCATGTGATCTATTTTCAAGGTTTATGATCATATGCATTTTTTTTCCGTTTACCTATCCAATGATGTTTTTTAAGGGAGCTTCAGGCTATAAGATGATAAACTACATAATACTGCAACAAAGTCTATCATTATATCAAGTTCCGTATGGACGAATGCCTTACGAAAGATTTAGCTACTCTAAATCCACACAATTCTGGTGCATTAACAAGAGATCATGAGATTCTTTGCAAATGTATCAAGAAACATGGTGTAGTACAAGACTTTTAAAAGTATAGACTTCTTTTAATCTGGGTGATGATCAAAAGGGCACAATTATACGTGGCCTTTGGCGAGTGCATGAGCAATAGAAGACATTAGAAGTAGAAGATAAAAGAGTCCCTTTTGTCCTCTTTATCTCTGGGATTACAACCCAAGAGCTGGGTAGTGGAGGTAGCTTGCTTCAAGAATAGGTACGCCACATGGATTTTGGAGGGTAAAAAGCTTATATAGCACAATGCAAGTGGCGTTGCTGAAAGAAGAGCTCTAAGAAGGGGATTTGATGTGCAAGAGTCGAGACAAACTATTTACATGCATCATCATGATGAGACTGCAGGGTTATTTTACGTACGTTCGTCTTATATTTGATTCATTAGCTCGTGACATGCACTACATGAACAAGCTTGAAAATAGCAAGTTTACTTGCAGATCAGACAAAGACTTATAATCATTGACAGTTCTTCAGAGATATCAACCTCGAAAAATTCATGACCTTGACAAGACCATATTTCCAAATCGCCGACGACTATCAAAATCTCATCTCTGTTGAGGTATGTATCCATTTTCGTCTTCATTTGGTCATTAAACCGCAATACTACCTATCATGTAGATTACAATTCCGCCAAACCACTCCCAAATATACCAGCTTGACATAGGGTCGAAAAGACATTCAAATACTAGCTAGTTTCTACCGACATGTAGCTATGAATATGCTATATAAATCTACAATATACGTATATCAAGACCACTATTTGCGTTTCTAGAATCTAAAGGCACCAGGACGCGTTGTGATTGGCCCGCCAAGCATTGACCACTGAAGATCCATGGTGTCGTCGCATTTAAGCCGCAACTCAACCTCCGCACTTCTCTGAACAAATATTTTGCTAGGGTAGAGTGGGATTGCTATTTGAAATTCCAAAATATTCTGCCACTTATATTTCGCTCGCTTTCTCTTGCGCAGAGCTGCTGGTTAGCTCAGAAGCTCCGAATCCCTGCTTCCATTGCATAACGCTAGTTAAGGGCGCCAACAGCCAGTGGGAACAGCAAACAAACCATCGGAGCAAATCATGGTTTCACTAGAAGAAGAGGAGGACCGCGATATGGGAGGTAAGTGTCCTCATCCAATGGTCGGCCGATTGCTCCCAACCTTGCTAACCGGCCCCGCGATCGTCTAGGTTCCCAGGACGGAAGCTCCGATAACGAGAACGAGAATGAAATTGACGAAACAATGCGCGATATGGACGATGGAGATGGCGACAATGACCAGGACCAGGACGGCGAAGGAGACCAGGACGCGGATAGCCCCTCAAATGCGAGCCAGGCATCGGAGGGTACTGGCATGCCACAAAACACAAATGGTAATGGTGACAATTCCGTCCCAGAACCGTTCTCAATCTACCACCCCAGTGTGCGCCCGGAATGTCTCACAGCCAGAACTTACGACATCGCCCCAACTACTGCCGCGCCTCACGCGACCTCGATCAACGCCATTGCAGCGACAGCAGATATGCGCTGGGTCTTCACCGGCGGATCAGATGGATTTGTGCGCAAGTTCAACTGGGCAGACTCAATCAATAGCAAGCTTATGTTGACCGTGGCCCAAAGGCATCCCTTCGTCGACAGTGTGGTAAAGGCTGGTGTACTGATGACATACTGGGAGAATATGGATGGCAGCCACTTGTCTCCGGTGTATTCCTTGGCCTGTCATAGCGAAGGGCTGTGGCTGCTTTCCGGTTTAGAGTCTGGTGCCATTCGATTACAGACATTGCGCCACGATGAAGGCAAGGAAATTGCGCTTCTTCAACAACACACTTCGGCAGTGTCCACGCTCAACCTTACATCGGACGAAGAATCATTGCTTTCTGGGAGTTGGGACAAGCGTGTCTTTGACTGGGATCTGAACACCGGACAGGCTAGACGTGCATTTGGCGGCAGCGCGGCACAAATATCTGCTGTACAAATTCGACCAGAGTCTAGCCTGCCTGTGCCTAAGGATACAATCGAACTCCACCAGACCAATGGGACATATACATCAAATTATGCAGCCCCAGGCGCAGATAGCTTCGGTTTTATGGATACTACCCAGGACGCAAAAAACTCAGGTCTAGCCGAGAACCCGCAGGCGGGCTCCCCAGCGGACTCACTATTTGGTGGAGCGGACTCATTGTTTGGCGATGCAGATGGTGGAGCTGCAGATGGCGGAGAGCCATCAGGTGGCGTGTTTGGGGTAGACGAGGATGATGAATTTGGCCGCGCGGTAGCAAATGGTGCCATGGCGGATGCAGACGCTCCAGGGGAGATTGACGACGAACCTCCTGTTCATTCAAATGCAGAATATACTCAGAGTGCACAAGATACACAACCGACCGCTCATACAGATGCGTCAAACGAGAAAGTGGAGGTGACCGACATCGACATACCCAATAGCCCAACCCAACCGATGGTCAACGGGCTTCCTAAAGCAGAGGATCTCGAGACTCAACCACAATTACCAGACTTCTCACAAAACATGCCACCAGAGCAAGTCCCCACAGCCGACAACACGTTCCTTGCGGCCTCTATGGATGGAACGATCCGAGTATGGGACCGCAGGCAGCCTGATCCTGTTGCTCGTATCTCCCCGTACAATTCTCCTCCATGGTGCATGAATGCCTGCTGGTCCCCAGATGGAAATTACATTTACGCCGGACGGCGAAATGGCACAGTCGAAGAGTATAGTCTTCATAAAGGTCTGAGGAATGTTGAACGAACATTCAAGTTCCCACAGGGAAGTGGACCGGTAACCGCACTGAAGGCTATGCCAAATGGGCGACATCTCGTGTGGTAAGTGGTGATAAAATTTATGCAATGACTTTGACTAACTTTCAATCATTAAAGCGCTTCTCATGACATTCTCCGATTGTATGATCTGCAAAACGAGCACAAGGAAAACACCTCTCGCCATTCGCCAGTACCATTTTTGATTATTCCTGGCCACCGCACTGGAACCATCTCACAGCTATTTGTCGACAATGCATGCCGCTACATGATCTCCACCAGTGGCAACCGGGGTTGGGAAGGAAATACCACCGAGGTTCTGCTTGGCTACGAGATTGGGGTACCCCAATAGGACAGACAGCATTGAACTTACAGCAATAGATGTCACCGGCAAGGACTGAGTTATAATTGACGAATATAATGACTGTGAGCTCGAGGATTAATCGATTGTGTTTGTAAACAAATCCCTTGGATCGAAATTCGTAGTGGAAAGTGAGGAATGAATTAGAATTGGTAAAAACGCCAACACCGATCCCCCATTCATGTTGCCAGCATTTACGAGACTTCGTAAATTGATAGAATTGAAAAATCATTGCTCATCATAAATAATCTCGTCAAAATCCAAACCCTTGCAAACTTCAGCCTGCTGAGAGCGCCAAGCGCCAAAGTAGGGATTTCCAGCCCACTTTACGCGGCCGTCACGATCATTTTCAAAATATACATAACCAGGCTCGTCGCCATACAGCGCATCCCGAGGACCAGCCACGAGACCACCAAAACCAGGCAATGCAGCGTTGGGAATATGAGTCCTTGCCTCAACATTCCCATTCTCAATGTTATTGACCGTAATCAGATACGCAGGTGGGAGTGCCGCGTCGCGATTAGCACGAAGCGGCATAGGAATCCATGCCTCGTTGTTATAGGAATCTGGCCGATTCTTGTCGTGGCGAAGGGGCAGAGGGCGGGAGAAGAGCATGTCGTCCAGTTTTCCTGTGTCTAGCAGCAGGCCTGGTGTTTGAACATAAAGCACGCTGTCATATTGCATGAACTGGATCTGGCCCAGTCGGAGTAGTTTGGTGTTTGTTGTCGAGTACCCTGCAGCTGTGGCTGCTGACATGTCAATGGGAAGGAGCCAGATATTGTATTTAGCACTGGCGGCGCGTAATATTGATAGTGCTTGGGTGGCCGACTTTCCCAGCTTTTTGGCAGACATCCGGTCCCACTGCTCTGGGTATACAAAGAGACGATCCTGGACGGCTGTTCCGTTTGTGGAGAGTTGCTTGAAGAAGAGTATGGCAGAACATATATCTGAAGGGTCTGGCTCAGATAGTAGCTGGACATAGGCATAGTTTCCATGTGTCTGATCACCCGATAGACCTCGTTTCTGCTGGAATGCGGGTCCCGATCCGTGGCGGGCCATTTGAGCGGCTTCTTGGGGTTTTAAGGCATGCTGGATGTTTTTGACCGATTGCTGTTGTAAGACATATCCAGAAAAGAATAATAACGTGGTAAATATGCCGATCACTCCCATCGACACAATGGTCGAAACCGTGGAGGCTGTGAGGAGAACCATGGCCACAAGGAAGACTGCATATGTTGAATGGAGAGTTTGATAGACAAAATTAAAATGTCAGACATGCATGGCCCCTGGTGATTACTCATTAATCAAGATGTCTCATTAACATCAGGGTGTTTCATGACATCAGGTTGTTTATGGCCCTCCGGGGGGTTGTCCGCGCGACTATCGATAAGGAAAGTCTTGGCATTCAGCTTGGGTTTTCACTTCACTTCACCTCACCAACTTAAGCCCTCACCAAAAATGGCAGCTCACCGTGCCGACGAAAGCTCGTTTCTTGATAATCGCGGGTATAAAGGCCCCTTGATTCGTGGTGTCAACCCCGCCACACTCTTCGAAAAAGCCGTGCGTGACCGCATCACCGATTCATACTACTGGAAGGAACAATGCTTTGGTTTGAATGCAGCAACTCTATGTGATCGTGCTGTTGAGCTGACCTCCATCGGTGGCACATACGGTGTTTCTGAAAAGCCAACTCCATTCCTCTGTCTTGCTTTCAAGCTGCTCCAGCTTGGACCAGACCGCGATGTCGTGCTCGAACTACTCAACTACACCGACCCCGGCAGTGGCGAGGAGGCAGAGGACCCAGAACACAACGTTGTCAAGAATCGAGGCGATTTTAAATACCTACGCGCTTTGGCTGCGTTCTATGTGCGACTGACCTTCGACGCGGTCGATGTGTACAAAACACTGGAACCACTTCTTCTCGACTACCGGAAATTGAAGCGCCGTGTACGCGATACTTTTACACTTACATATGTGGATCAATTCGTCGATGATCTTCTCACCAAAGATCGCGTGTGCGGTACTAGTCTGTGGAAGCTTCCGCCGCGATCGCAGCTTGAGGATTTGGATATGCTGGATGAGCGCATCAGCCCGCTCGCAGACGAGCTAGAGGAGCTGGACCGTGAGAACAACGATGAAGATTCCGAGAGGAGTCGGGAAAACAGTGATGCGGGATCTCCACCCAGGGATGAAGAACCCAGGAGGGAAGAGGGTGATGATTGAGCGCAACTCGGTCTCGCTGATCACCTCTCTCATCCGACGGTTTTTTCCTACTAGCCGACACCAGTACCTCGCACGCAAGGATGCCGCAATTCAAACGGAATGCGTGTATCTATGACCGGTACATCACTGCCTGAATTCCCGTCGTACAAAGAGTCTACGACCCACAAACCAGCCTTTTGAATAGGGTCGCCTTCAAGAACCACCCAACGGGCGACTCATTCCCCGGCCATGACGTGATGACTCTAAGAGCAACTATGAATATCATGAAACGGATTCATTTTGCTTCCTCGAGAATCCTGAACATGTACATTGGAAGCCAAAAGCAGAAGATTTATCCCGACCTGAAATCGGTATCATATACATGATGAAACCATTCAAGCACATTGTTCAAATCTTGGAAAATCAAATGAGAGGAAAGATTTTAAAACCCCTGCTGGCGATGCCATTTATTCTGCCAACCATTAAACCATGGGCTCTCATCCAACGTAGCAACCTCCCAATTCCTCGGAACCAACCCCTTCTCCTTCTGCTCTTCAGCCCATTTTTTCAATTCCGGAAGTACAACATGCTGTACATGCCAAACACCCTTGTAATCCATCAGATTTTTCTTTCCTTCTGTTATAATTTTCATAACCAATTCCGGTACTCCGGGTTCGTCCTGGAATTCCTTGATGGGAGTGAAAAGGGCCTTGAAATTAAAAATAACTGCTCCAGATAAGGGCAGACGCCTCAGTGTTTGCCAGTCTACCCGTAGATGGCATTCATCAATCGTCAAATCCGTTGGTTGAGACAACCTTAGCTGTTCATGAGGATCACCTGGTGGCATATACAATGGCTGCCCAATTTCCAGACCCCACGAGCCTCGCTGGATCGGTTTTTCGGTTGGCATTTTGGTAAAGAAACTGGTTGAACGTTTGTGTCAATACTTAAATACTTCTGTGTGGATACAATCCCCAATGCTAAAATCAACATACCGATCCATGGAAAACTGCATCTTCTCCTTGTAGTCTGGAATTGGCTCATGAATCTCATGCAGCTGCTTCCCAACTTTGGAAGCAACATTCCACCCCAGTGCTGAGCAAATCACCGCTGCACGCAGGAAATAATAACCGGTAGTATCATCACGGAGCATTATTCCGAAGTCTTCTGGTACATTATCCAGAAGAATCTCAAGAGGGGGTTTGGCTGTGACATCTTGCTCAGTGCCGAGAATCTTATTGTGCAGCACACGTTTGCCCACAAGTGTAAAGTACTGAGGGTACCGGGCACAAACGAATTGCAAAACCATCTCCATCAATTCCTTGCACGCTAACTCAGAGCCGGGCATGGCGTCGAGTACCTGTTTGCCATGTTTTGCGAAGAGTTCTTTGCGCTGGGCAATACGACTTTTGTACGTGTTTTCAAGCTCGATCCACCAATCCGTTTCGAGTTTAGTCAAGGCTATTTGCAGAAAGTATTAGCTACACACATTATCGAGTTTAGTTCTAGCACATACACATGGTTTGATGGTACGCCCATCGGAATGGACGATATGGCCGGGGTAATGCCTTAGAAATCTCAAATTCAAGATATGGGCTGGGAAGTGGAACGCCACTCAATTTTGCATAGTCAGGGAAGTCTCCTAAACCTTTGATTTCACCCACTGAAAATCCCATCGGTGTGTACTTGTCGCTTGGGCTTGTCTTGTAGTTGGCGCTCATGGGCAAAAGGTTCTGGCGTACTTCTTCTTCGCTCACGTCGCGCCAGGGAGCTGCCTCACAACTAAAATCGGCGAGGGCATGTCTGCGTTGGGGTGGCAGGGCGCTATCATAATTAGGCGAGAGGGCCGGGCTAATTCCAGTCTTATTGTCTGGAGAGATGGACCGTGGTGGTGTTCGGGCAGTCGAGTGCTTTCGACCACGGAGCAGGACTCCAGGGAATAAAGATATGCGGCATGCTTGGGTGATAATGGTGTAAACTCCAGCGGTAGTTATCAATATCAATCCAACACGCCAGAGATTCTCCAAGGAGGACAGATATTCCATAGTGAGTTCATGCGCGTTAGGGCAGGCTGGGGATGGAGGCCGATTCAATGGGGATTATATCTGGGCAGTCGCGGAGGGCAAAAGTTACGAAGGTATCTTCCGTTCATGGTATGACGGGGCATAAAGCTGATAAGTACCCTTCGGTCAAATGGTGCGCAAGACATGTTCGGATATTGTTGCACTTGGCTGAGGGTTCTCCGAAGCGGGGGTAAACCTCGCATCAATTCAGGGCAGCATACACTGCGCATCGCATAGCTTCTTTTGTCGTTTGGCTCGATTGCTCTTTCCCCCTTGGGAGAGAAACTGTTTAGTGTTTGCGCTTGTTTCGCTTGGTCGACGTCAGAGGTTGCCGGTTGAATGAAACTAACTCTGCGGTTGTTTTTGTGATATCTTGCATATTTCCTAACTTATACCACCTAATTTGCGCTGCATTGTATGATATTGAATATTAAGAAATTAGTGATTGTTTAATTTGTCTTCATAAAGTATTCTCTACAATCTATAGAAACAGAATCTTGGTTTATGCCACTTCAAGGCTAGCTCTCAGCTATGTGCCCATCTGAGCTTTATGGCGAACAGCTATGATACCACACTACTCCGTAGACTCCTTTGGATTGATAATGCACAAAATGAAAGATAAGGACTGGGAAGACCTATACCGAATGGGAAGCACTCACATTACCCAAAAGGGTAAAAAGGTCCCGAGGCTTGGCGGCAGGTGACCTCGAACAACCACAGTCCATGATGACATAGAAAGAAAAGGCCAAGAGATATGTCTACGTAAATCAGACTCTCGCCGGAAATTGCAATTAAGCGAGAGAGGAAAGAAAGAAAATGACAGCAAAGAACTAGGTGCGTAGCTCGAGCTCAGACGATGAGTAAGCTTCAAGAAATCTTTGCTGCTTTTCATATAGCCGAGGGAGCTAGTTGATATTGGGTTCACTATTCCTATACGAAGCTACTTAGATGTCGACCTCGGGAGTGTCGTGACATTATCAAGCACTCTCGAAGCGACGATAGCAATCACATATTTGCCGTTAAACCCATTCGATACTGGGGATAGACCCGCAAGCGTTCCTGGTGTAAGAATATCTGGGTACGTACAGGCACTGTGTTTGCCCGCACGACAAGTTGACAACCGGAGATGCAAGGACCTGCTGAACATCTTTGCTCTCATGGATCACGTCAACCTCGGCTCGGCGATCTTGCGTAATCTCGAGCATGAGGGACTGTATCACAGGCTCCTCTGCGTTCAACACCAGCTGTAGGCGGGCCTGACCGATCTGTCATGGAATTCACAGTAGATTTTTCTCTCGATTAAAGGAGGCCTAGCCGTTGCTCACGCCGTCAAGTGAAGCAGTCTTGTGGATTTGAGAAACTCCGTGAGCCAAAGCAAAAAGCTTGCTGGTATTGTCTGAAAGCACCTAGACTTTTGTATTGCTCATTTTTTGCTTAGCTTTTATTTCTGGCTTTAATACTTCTAGTCAGAATTTTATTACCTACCATATGGTGATGGAAAAGATCAAAATTGAGAAATTAGTGTTGAGTCAGTCATATGTGCTGCCCCAGTCAAACCCGATATATTTACTCATGTACATAGGTAGGCTCCATCAGTATCTGTTGTGGCCAATGAAGCCATTCTTCCCAGTCGGGCCCGAGATACTGACTGATTGAACGAACCAGATACTCGCCGCCATCGCCAAACAACCACTGTTGCCTGTGAGTGTTTACAAGAGCACCATAATGGGCCAATATAACCAATGCTTCTCCTCTCCTCTCTGCAAGTAAGTCAATATATTCAGGAGGGACGAGCAGCGTCCATGCAACAAGCGCATCCAAGCTGTTGGCTCCTGGGACTCGCCCCTCCGTGACAGTCATCACCGATTGTGTAGCCTGTACAGCTAGACAATATGTCTTTGAAATAGAGTCGTTGAGAGCGAGGCGATTGATGAGATCTAATAGCCTCTGGCAGGCTGGACCCAAGGTGTTCTCCAGTGAAGGAAGTCTGTCTCCAAGCTCTAGCAATGGCTTCAGTTCCGTTTGCTGCAAGAATTCCCATCTCCCCTGACTAATAATAGTACGCACCCCGCGATGTAGTGTAACATACTGTACAAATCGGTCAAGAAAGTTCTCAAAATCATTGTTTCGACAGACCAAAGTCTCGCAGAGCTTGTGTAGGCCTAGGACGCCAGCGAACAAAAATATCGGGACGGTATTCTCATCGGTGATATTTTTTGAGGAAGCATTGAAGGAGCTCAAGGCATAGTTCTGCAGCTGGGTAGAATGATGTTCATAAAAATTTCGTTTTGCTGGTTTGGTGATGCTGAGATGTAGAGCGCTGAGGGATAACAACTCGTTCATAAGATAAGGTGCATCAAGGCCATAGCGTAAGATATATTGGAATGGAACACCAACGAGAGAATCTGGCCGATTGAATGCTTCTATGGCTTTTGAGGAGAGATTGTGAACAAATTCAACGTGAAGCATGTTGACAGGTGCATCTTCGGGAGGACTGCTTGGTTGTTGGGCGGTTGATGTTCCAGCCGGCGAGACAACTGAAGGCGACGCGGTAGTAGCTTCACGGCTTACACTGCGAGAGGCTTGTGGGATAGTCACAGGCCCCACGAACTCGCAGTGCCGTTGGGAACTGATACAGTTGGAGCATATGGGTCTTTTCTCATCGCACTGGGTGGGGTTAGGAGCTGCATATAGGCGTTCGCTCGATGACTAACCTTCATGTGACGACGCTTACATTCCATGCAGCCATTCCGGGATTTCTTATGTGTTCTTCGGACCATTTTGCCACGCGGGGATTTAAAGAAAAGGGTCTGCTGAGACGCCGGAAGTCTCGGTTGCGATAAGCGAATAGTATATCTTAGATCTGAGCGGCCATAGCGGAGCAAAATAGTGTAGCCTATGCAGAAAATTTAAGATTAACGGCCCGCTTAGCCTATCTCGCAAAATAGATTGAAGATCCAAGAATTGGGAAGACTCGAATGGTAAGAAAATACGCGTATGCACAGACCAAGTCTCCACTTTAAGTTAAGGTTAACGGGCTTGGTGTTTAGTGGCTCCGCAAATTCTATACGCGTATTCAATTAGCGACTTAATTAGGCATCCAATTATAAGATATATCGGGTTATACGCGTTTAACAATGTCGTCTACAGTTATTTAAATCTTGAAATTTCTCCTCATCTCTTTCAACTCTTAAGCTTAAAATATTCGAGGTCTCCAGTCTATCGCTCCACCTGGTTTCCCTTTTATTATCTCCCCACGGCAATCAGGAATTAGGGCTTTGAATCTTGAATATGGCAGAGCTCAAGGCATACAGAGGTGACTATTATCTTTGGAAATATGTGCCTTCTCTCCCAGCAGCAATCATCTTCTTGATCCTCTTCCTTGCTGCCACGGTATTCCATTTTTGGAAACTCCACCGAACAAAAGCTTGGTTCTGTCTAGCATTTGCTCTTGGAGGTCTCTGTGAGTATATCATATGCTGACCATTATCCTTGATATCGCTAATACGATTCCATATATAAAGTCGAAGTGATCGGATATGTTGGACGAATCGCTGCACACAATAGCACGGATTCTGTAATAGTATTCGCCATCCAAAACGTTTTCCTTCTCCTCGGACCTACACTATTTGCAGCCTCCGTTTATATGACCCTTGGACGTATCATTTGCAGTGTTCATGCTCAGCAACACTCACTTATTCCAATCAAGTGGCTCACCAAGACCTTTGTTATGGGGGATGTTGTATCTTTCCTTGTGCAAGGCAGTGCATCAGGTCTGATGGCCACAGGCAACAATGCACAGATGGGTTCGAATATTGTGATTGCTGGTCTTGCCATCCAAGTTATCATGTTTGGTCTGTTCATCATAACTTCCATCGTCTTCGAGGTGCGCATGCATCGATCGCCCACAACAGAGGTTTTCGATGATCAGATTAATTGGTTGAGCCGACTGCGGACACTATACGCCGTCAGCGCGCTCATTTTGATTCGGAGTGTTTTCCGTGTCGTGGAGTATGCAGCTGGAAATGACGGATACCCACTCACTCATGAGTGGATGCTATATGTGTTTGACTCTGTCCTGATGATCATCTCTATGGTCATTTGGGGAGTCTGGCACCCCGGAACACTGCAGAAGTTTATAGTGTCGGAGCAACACACTGTGACCGAGGTGACAGAAGATCGGGTTCTAAAAGCATAGAAGGGGAAGGGGGAAATATTCATTACCTTTCGTCACTTTTGAACCAAGAATTGTACATAGCTCAACCATCCATGCTCAAGGAGCAAAAATAGAAAGAGAAGAAATTTTTCAGCTCGATGCAGCAGCTTATATTCCTAAACTGTTGAAAGTATCGCATTTTATTTAATTATATCATATTCGTATATTGATCCATTAAATCCCACCTAGTACCTACTCCTATTCATACTAACCATATCACCCCCATCAAGCCTAGGCCGTGTGAGATTCAACCTCGACATGGTCCGTGACAACCTGTTTCTCGGTCTTGATATCCTCCAAGTTCTCCACACCAAGAAGACCAAGACTCTCGTTGATGCGCATCATGCGCAGGCGATCAGCCTCAGCAATGCTACTCTCGTCGCCGCCAAAGAAGACATCGAGTTCCTCAAGAGTCTTGTCTTTCGTCTCAGGCGCAAATTTCCAGATGAAGAAACCACCCATAGCACTGAAGATAGCAAAGAAAATATATGTGCCGTACTTCATTGTGTCAAGCATGTCCTTGGTGGTAAGACCAATGACAAAGTTGAACATCCAGTTGGTGGAAGCAACGATCGAGACACCGCGGGAGCGCTGACTGTTGGGGAAAATTTCCTGGGCCAATACCCAAGAGACGGGACCTGTTCCATGTTAGCATTCTGGGACATTATCGATACTTGTGATGCAATATCATACCCCAAGAGTAGGCAAAGTTGACAGCGAAGAGCCAAATGAAAGCAATAGCAACCCAACCCTGCGGCTTAGCCAATCCCTCATTGAGGTTCCACTGATCCTCGTAGATACCCTCCACGATAGCGACAACAATATGGCAAAGGAACATGCCGGCTGCACCAACAATGAGGAATGTCTTTCGGCCGAATTTGTCGAGGTATAGGACAGAGGGCAGTGTGAAGATGATTTGCAGAATACCAGTCACACCGGTGGCGAGAAGGGTTGTCTTTGTGGAGGAGAAACCGAACTAAGATAAAGATAGATGGTTAGATCTCAATATTGAAAGTAAGATTATTGAGTTAGGAAGAGCAAAGTCACTCACCGAAGAGAAAATCTGAGGCGCATAGTAAAGCACAGCGTTGATACCAGTAAATTGCTGGAAAATCATCATACCGCATCCCAGCACCAGACGCTTGAACATGTTGGGGGCGAAAAGGGCTTTCCAGGGAGCAAGAGCACCACCGGAACCAACAATTTCGCGCTCGGTCTCCTCATCGAACATCACAGCGGCCTTGATCTCGAGGTACTCTGCACGAACTAAGGGATCATTTTCAGGGAGACGACGCAGCTTAGAGATAACAGCCTTGGCCTCGTCATCACGGTGCTTCATCATCAACCAACGTGGAGAGAAGGGGAAGAAGAAGAGACCGAAGAACAAAATCCAGGCCGGAATAATCTGCAAAGCCAGAGGAAGTCTCCATGAGATAGTCTTCTGACCCAAGCAAGTATGGCCATGGTTTTGAGCGGCGTTGTACGTTCCATCGCTCAGGTAAGCGTTGTCAATACCTTCGGGGTTGCAGTTGACACCACCAATGAACTGCATACCGTAGTCGAGCCAGAAGGCAATGGCAGTACCAACGGTAATCGAAAGTTGCTGCAGAGAAACAAGGGATCCACGCAGCTCAGGAGGGGCAATCTCAGCTTGGTAAAGCGGGATGACCATACTGAACATACCAATTCCAACACCACCAATGATACGGCCAGCGAAGAAGTATGCAGGGGTCTGGGCTCCAGCCTGGAGACCAGTGCCCAGAGTGAAGATGATGACAGCAACCATCATGGCATACTTACGCGAGATGCGATCTGCCAGAACACCGTTGATCAAAGCACCAGCCCAAGCACCAAGCTCAAGGGCCGACACCAGCCAGCCCTGGAGTGTGGAATTCTGGAATGTGGGGAAGTGGTTCTCGAAGTTCTCCATGACAAGAACAGGACTCATCACACCCTGGTCATATCCGTACATGATACAGCCCAGCGAGGCGAACAAACAAGTGAAAAACACATAGGGGTTTGAAACAAAACCCTTGAAGCCATGAGGCTTCTCCACATTGGCGCGGGCAACAACTGACTGGCTGACTGCCATGTTGGAGACAAAAGTAGGGCACGGGAGGAAACAAAGATACGGAACCTTTGCAAGATGGGCAGGCCCGGTGGATTATATACCTACATTTTCTGCATCAGATTTTTCTTTCCTCGTGTTCTGGGGTTAGCGCACTCGGCCGGCCTTTCCCCAGAATGAATGACCAACGACGCAACACGCATGCAGAACCAGAAATGCCATACGGGGGACCCTGGATCATCAAATGCCATGTGCCGCGTTGAGGGGCTAACAGCACGCTAGATCCAAATTCGATGGCTAGACCGACAGTCGGAAATGATATGTTCCGGGCAAGAGAGAATACATATAAAAAGGCCGGAGGCTAAGGTACGCCACCAACCAAAAGAAGCACCGCGCCTCAAATCTCGGCGTTTACTGGGCATCTTGGAAGCGAGAGGAACAAGCCTCTAGGCCCGAGAGCGCCATGGCTTGGCAGCATTGTGTCGTGATTCGCAAATTAATTATCAGCTTGGATTTTTCCCCAACATCTCATATGTCCATCTATGAGGGGAGATGCTTAGTGCTTACTACACTGACAACACTGTGGGCTCTATTGAGTTACATTGTGGCCCCTGCATATCCGATATTTCACCGCTGCCTTTTATTAAAATCATCTTAGCCCAACCGGGGGTTGTCAGTCACAGTGTGGGCGCCTTGTTTTGTGCTAAATTTGCTGTGGAACCAAATTTCTCCTCATCACATGGTCTCAGACAATGGGGCGTAGTCTAGAAAGGAAATAGTATCGAAGAGACATAGGTAGCAGGTCCCACATCAAGCATCAACCTCGCAAGCTCATGCAACACGTTTGGAGGGCCCAAGGTGGATGCACAATAAGCAAATCAGAATACATACGGAAGAGAAAAAGTAAACCAGTGAGCCGGGTAATGTTCGGGTTAGCGATGTTCGGAGCATTTGCCATTAATTTGAGTTAACCCTACTTCTCGATTCAGAATAGTATGCTTTGGGCTCACGCGATGCTGGAACGGTAACATTCTGGAGTGCATAATCAAAACGCCACAAGGCGTGTTCTCGTGGAGACCTCCATGAATTGGCTGATTGTCGGCTCATAATCGGCTCCAGAACATACGGTACGAGTCAGTAGGGAAGATTCAAAACTCTGCCACTAATTTAAAGACTAGCGGAGTGCGCTTCGGCATTGGGCTTGGCTCGGGATTGGCCGTCAAAACATCGGGGAACCGAAGGGACGCGTGGCCCCTTAGTATTTCCCATGGGGTTTCCGCGTCTTCAAAGAACATCCCCTCTTTTCACTTTTCCTGTTCCAGACGCTCGGTGAGTTGAACGAAAATTCTGGGGACCCAAATCTGGGGATAGTCTTACAAGGTAGTTGCGCCTTGCTTATATTCTTCTCCGGTTTGGTGATACAAGTTGCTTTGATGTGGCTCTTTTTAGGAGCAAACTGAGCTTCCGACTGTTCCGGTGCCGGCATATCACACAAATTGGAAGCCGACGCCTTGAAGCCCCATGTTGGCTTCCTAAAGGAACCAATGAGTGTGTGTTCTCGAATCTTTAGCTCGGGTCTAGCCGAAATCAAACATTGGTTTGACTATATACCTTCGCTTTTTTTTTCCACTTGGAATATTCGCACAAAATTCTTTACTTTACACCACGCATCAATTTTAATCCCACATAGAACTAGTCCCCGCTGTTCACAAGGAACTGACATATATGTAAGTAGAATTGTTCAAGGCGATTCAATGATGAGGTCTTACTTTGGTCCCCCAAGTCACCACGACCTTGCGATGTCTTCGAGTTATCTTCAGAAAGATTTCCAAACGGTCAAAAAATTTACTTCATTTACAATAACAAAAAGGTCCGCTTTGCATTTTTAAATTCTCGGTTTAGATTTAGGGTTGAGGATGCAGGAAATTAATGAATACAAAGAGCTTTCTTTTATTTGATTTGCGGTCGAACCCGAGCCTCGTTTACTACCAAAGGAACAAAGGTTCCTTTGTAGTAAAAATCCTATTTTGGCGTCAAAGAACAAGATTGGAATGAAGAAGACAAAAGGGTTCAAGATTCAACCTCTTGGTCTCTTTATCACCTATCATCTTCAGAGCCTAATGCCTAAGTCTCAACAAACTATATAAGCAGGTCCTTCCAAATATCAAACATGCGTCAACTTCCATCGTCTATCCAATATTGGATTATCTGAATCTACAACTGATTTATCTGAATCTCAGATACAACACCAGATCCTGTAAGTACTTCAAAACATATATTCCAAAAAGAAACGACTCCAAATCATCATGGCACTTTACTCAGACTGGCAGAGAATCCATCCAATCTATGGTGTGCCTATTGCAGCCGTGGAAGCCACTGAGCAGCCATCGATTCAGTGCAACCTCGTTCGAGACAATCAGCCCCTTTTGAAATCATCTATCACGATCTCAACGTGGCTCAACACTAACTATTTATTGTGGCTTTTGTGTGCCGGCCATGCCGATAGTGGTATCGACGAACAGTGGACAATTGCTTTCGAGAGTAAACATCGATGGTGCTGGAACGAGATTCAAGCAAGAGTCCAGGAAATCGACGGACCTTACAGATTCGGACTGGTCGTTCGTCCACCTCCCGTATTCAGCGCTGTCATCACCCACATATACGAAAATGACCCTGTGAATTACAGTTTCAGGATTTGCGCCGAGGATTGCCCAAGTTATCTCGCTCCTCCGGCAACTGAAATGCCTCGAAATGGCGTATGGGGATTCTGGCAATTCCTGGCTGAACGTGAAGCCTTTTTCCCTGATATCTTTAATGTAGTCCTTGAAACTTGGCCGACGGTAGCTTCCTCATTGCCATATTCGACCTCTTTCGAGCCTTCGTCCTTGTCATCCCCGTCTTTGTCCGTTGAAACATTGCCAACTTACTCGCGGTCCTCGTCGCCTCCGCCCTCATACTCAGAATACTAAATGACAAATGTAGATGGGTGCCCAGACGGATTTGTTCTTCTTGAAAAGTACAAAGTCTTCAGTTCCCTGCTTTCGAGATTCAAAAGCAATTTATTTAGACTGCTGTCCTCATATCAATAGATCGCCAACGTCATCATTTGTCATTTTGTATAGCTCCCCTTCAAAATAAAATCTACACGATTTTTGGCTCTCCATACATGGTGAAAATGCTGACAACACATATACACGGAAGAAAGATACCGAGTGAATCTCTATTGGGGATGCGTGTCTTGATTCAAGGATTGTATCATAGGAATTATACGTTGTATCTACAATTTTTAGAATATTAGGAGACATTTAGCCGTTATATATTGATGACGAAAGCGAGCTGGAAAGCGACATCAAGAAGATCTAACTGCCAAGACGCATAGAAAGCCCTAGAGAGCATATCTGAATAGGTATGACATCCATAGATGTCGCCAAACTTTCTAGACGGTATGGACTGCCCAGGTGGTGACCTTTGCTCTCTCTAACCTGCGATATCCAGGGTGCATTCAACTTGCCTTAGGCTTCCTGTGTAAGATTCCTGTGTAAGAGATGTTATCCAATTCTACTTATGCAAGGGCCTTAATTATGCTCTGCAGTGCAGCTAACCTCATACTTGCCTGTTAAAGGATAGATCAGTCCCAGTTTGAAGCTTCATTCCAGTCCTGCTGAAAGTAATATGAATTGGTAGATACAAACATGCGTGGGGGGCACCATTTCTCTGCGAACCGTTAATTAGATGCTAAAGCATCTAAAATTGCGTTTCAGTTTCAATCAGATTGTCCAAGTAAAAATATGGGGTACATCCCAAAGAGCGACAAAGTTTTTCCCTTTTGGGCAGCCAAACCCGACTCCGAAATTGCCAAGACACCAGTCAAAACCGACGCACTTGTTAAAACTGCCCTGCTGCCAATCACAAAGATACCGATGACTCTGTATATCTTGTTCCGCTGCTCCGCACGAAAAGCGCGGAGCTGGCGCACGGGCTTCAGTCATGGTCCCAGGAAACCGATTACGAACCACAACACGCGGAGCTTGTCGCGTTGGCGGACTTTACAATTTCATAGCGTCATTTCAGTAGATCCAACCTTTATCTGGTGCAACACGCCGCCGCAATGAGTGGACTGCTTTCACTCGGCGCAGGGTCGTCGCAAGATGGTCTCTGTTTCCTGCAGCGCGGTTTGGTCTACGAGAGTTTTGTGCTCCACGCAGGACTTTCCATTCAACTTTCCTGCGTTTGATTGGATAATAGAAGCCAGGTTTAAATGAGGTTACTTCAGTCTCTGCACTTGCAGGGCCACGCACAATGATTGCATGCATGCGGCTAGTCCCATTTGTGGTTCGTTTCGGTAAATTTCTGCAGATAGGCACTTGCCTCTGTATATTCGAGACAATTGCGATATTCCCGAATCAAAATTTCCACCCTGAGACCAAGCCCGAGAAGCTCGCAGTAAGTCGTGCATATCTTGAAAGATATTTGACAACATGGGGTAATGATTTGCACCCCTTAAGGCCCGCTGCATCAAACTGGGCCATGCTAACCCTAAGCTTCTGGGACCTCCGAGGTGGATCCAGCGGAGCTCGGAGCCTTGTTCAGAGACGCGCATCATAATATCAACGGAAGTACGGATTGGAGACTCGCAAGGGAAAGCCCCTCACGGGTAGGGTAACTCTATAAATTAGCTCGATTCCGGCTACGGCTTCGCAATCCCAAGAAATAGTATCAACACTTCTACCACTCTCCTCAAGATGTATTCACTATCCTTGAATGCCTTCCTACTAGGCCTCGCAACCACAGCTGTTGCCATCCCTCACACAACCCGCGCTACGTGCGACGAGGCATCCCTGAACACGACATCGTTTGTGTATACCACCACATCAGACGACACCATCTTCAGCATCGCGAAGAAATTCGACCGCGGCGCATGCGACATCGCACGCGCCAACCGCATGATCGACGCTGAGCACCTCTACGCAGAGTTCACGCTCAAGATCCCCGCCCAAGTGTGCAACCCGGATAGCACGACTTGTCTCTTGACCAGGCAAAATGCCACAGCCACGTGTGTCAAGGGCGGTCCCCACGATTACAGGACCATTGCCGGCGACACTATTGAAAAGATCGCTCTTTACAAGCTGAACGTGACTGTTGAGACCATTTGGGCCCAGGCTAAGGGCATGATTTCGTCGACGACGGAGGTTATTCCTGCGAACTCGTGGATCAAAATCCCCCAGTGTGTGCCGAGTGTTTGCAGCGTCACTCCGTTCCACTTTACCTATGGTGTTTACAAGGATCTGGCGGAGAAGTTCGATACCACTGTTGGTCAGATCATGTCTTTCAATGGCGGGTATAATTATAGTGACCACTCGGATGCCGAGGCCGCTTGGATTACGGTTCCTATGGGATGTGTGAATCTGGCTCTGAATGTCACCGAGGAGGTATAATGTGATGTTGATATAGAGGGTCTCGGAATTGACGGCTCTTGATTTATTCTGTAAGCAAGCCACATATGGCTTTGCAGCTCCAGAAAAAAATGCATCTAGGTTACAGATACCTGGACTTGTACCAGAAGGGGTACTTATGTATTCTCAAAGTATGTAAAAGAGTGGGTCGTAGGACAGCTGAACCCAGCAGAGAAACCTTATGTTTGAGATTTATCAAAAGTGTGTTGATAACGCATATGCTGACATTCAAGAAGCTCGCTAGTTCTTAGGTAATGAAGGAAAGTCCTCTAACATGAACAAATGGATTGCTGCTCAATGCCTAGAAAGCTGGTCATTTGCGAGAAGTGCCCAATTTCACAACTCAACATTAAGTCGGGTTATGGAAGAGGTGTCATTTCTGAGACAACAATCAACACAGTCAGCCACAAAAGTAAGCCACAAAGATACCCCCCTAGGCAGTGCGTATAGGCATCCAAGAATGTCTCACACGATCCGGTCACAGGCTGCGAAATCTTCGAGCAAACCCGTCAAATACTTTCAAAGTAGCTCGCTCTACGACTTTATCAATACCACTACCAGGCTAGTAAAGGTAGTCTCGAACCTAGTTTCATTGAATCGGCCAGTCTAAACACAGCGCAGGGGACGTATCCCCTCAGATCAAAGCAATAGCAAAAGCGCAGGCAATTAAGGCGGCAGGCAAGAAAATTGTTTAGTACACGACACGAAGGCAAATCAAAGCTAATAAGCAGATGGGAGCAAGAAAGGGCCAAGTAAAAAATGCCACGAGAGAGACAGCTGTATTGGCACTCGTATAGTGTCGGTATCTGAGATCGGATGTGGCAAATGTATGCAAGTAAAGGTATCTGGTGATCGTGCAGACGTCACGGGGGGATTAACCATTTCAATTCAGGGTTTGGGCTCTGTGTTTTCTGTATCCTTCTAATTCCACGGGCCATGCCCGCGCATGCACCCGTGAATTCCTGGCAGAGTCGGGGGTTCATGTGCTTCCCCGTCTCATTTGCCGCTGCACGAATAGTAAAAGGACAGAATTGGAGTTGAGCGACAAGTGGGTATCATAACAAGACTATTTTTGGAAGTCGGCGCGATATTAATTGATTGGGGCCGGATGGCGGGAGAAAGGAAATTTGGTCGGTTTAATCATTGGGCCACCCATAGGACATTTTAATCGGGGTTGGTGAGCTAGAAAGCACAAAGTCAGTAAGCATTTTAAGCAATTGGGTGCGGGTATTTGACGTACTCGAAGAACGGGACGCGAGTAGTCTTCGTTATCTTGCAGTGAAACACTACTTTCCCGTGCACCGTTCGGGTAGAGAACCGTGTTGGTCTTCATACGATTGTCGGTGAAGGTGGTTCCCGAGCGTGTAGGAATAGGCCCGCCAGCACCTTCGCCTTGTGGGAAGAATCCTCGCATGAAGCTCGATCCTCGACTGGTTCTGTTGTCGGCCATGTCTTGGCTGGGAATAGGGCTGACAGCACGGGCGCGCTTGCGGTAGAAGAAAATCAAGAAGATCAGGGCTCCGACCAGAGCAATTCCACCCAGAACACCAATCACGATTCCTGCGATAGACCCTCCACTCAATTTGGAACTGGTGGCATCGCCGGTGTTGGCTGAGGCAGAATCAGCGCCAGCGGTTGAGCTTGAACCTGAAACGGTGATTGTCTTCACTTCGCCGCCGGTGTCCGTCGTGTAGGCCACGCTGGCGGTGGTGTGGGTGGTTTCCGAACTCGAGGAAGTTGTCGTTGACTAGAGCGACAGGTTAGCCATTTGTTGAACAATCTCGTTGATCGTGCTGAAATACAGTATGTGTAGCCGAAGTTGCAAGACCCGAAGCAGTCACTGTGACTGTTTCAGGCCCAACACTTGTACTCTCCTATCCCAAGATTAAAATCACGGGTCAAAAGAATGGGACACCTGGCGTTACAAAGGCTGGGGGGTTGTCGGAAGACAACAAGAAAGATGGCACAGTACACAAGGGCTCAAAAGGTTGATGCTTACCGAGGTTGTTGAAGAGGTTGTGCTTGTCGAGCTTGTTGAACCGCCAGCTGTGCTGGTCACATCGTTACCAGTGATAGACACGTAGGCGAACACTCCTTGGGAAGCACTCCCACAGCTGTCCGAGGGATATCCGGGGCATCCAGTATCACAGTCAGATGTGTCCTGCTGCGAGCTCTTCGCGGGAGCGACGTTCGTACACCAGCACTTTTTACCTTGAAGTACACCTAAGGCGTAGTTGGCGCACGTCTTTTCACATAGTCCATTGGATTGATATGTGTCGGAAACTAATAGGGGGTCAGCATGGTGACCAGTGTGGAGTTTTGGCATCACTCACCCGCTGAAAAGGATGATCCTGTGTTGGATGTGGCACAGTATGCGAGGTCAGACGAGGCCAATGCGAAAGGCGAAGTCAGGAGAGCAAAAATTGAGACCACCACCGAGACCCTCATGATGGGTGTGCTCGAACAATCGGGGTTTTTTCTTTCTCAATCCGACCACTTGTTTCTAATCAGTGTATCTCCTCTCCGCTGATTCCTCTCGATCGTCAAAAATAAGCCCAGGTCGTGGTGCTCTAGGCGTACAGGAGCAGGTGTGTAAAAGAACGAAATTGGTTGTGTGGGCCGACCGAATTGATTGTCGATTGATGAAACAAGAGGCTGAAGGATTTGAAGGTCTCTTTAGAGACTTGGTTGAGACCCGATGGTCAAGTCGTTGATCCCCCACCAAACACTGAAAAAAGATCGCAGGATATCCGTTGTCAAAGAACTCGCATGGTCCGATCGATAGGTATCTCCCAAGGAGAGGCCCACTTGGCAAAGATGAAAGACGAAAGAAAAGCAAGCTATGACAAAGGACCCTGGAATGGGGGAAAATAGGTGTAGGGGAAGAGGAAGAAGAGGAGAAGGGGGATCCAAGCTTGGAAGTGTTACTGTCCTCGTCGGAGTATGTTGAGTTATCCCGACATACCCGCTCTCGGTGGATACATTTATTTCACCTTTCCTTTTTCTTTGTGTATTTATGTACAATCTAGAATTATGCAACTATTTCGTAGAATTCAATAGTTATAGAATATTCAGAAGCTTCCACGGAATAGACGACATACCTTGAGACCTCTCTTACTTTGAAAATATAGAAATTGCGACAGAAAACACATGCAAAATATGAATAGGAAAAGAAATACATACCGTTATCTAGTATGAGTCTAAATATAATACAGTTATCGTGGATTTGAAATATACAGTTTACACCACTTTACAACTTACTTGTTGACTTTTTTCCTAAAAAAAATCAAATCTGAGCTCAAATCATTATCCGACTGGTGAACCAAACAACTCGACCAGGGGAACATTCCACCCTACATTCTACTCCCGTACCGATGTATAGTACCTACATATGTAGGGTAATTAGCTTCTGATTTTGATATTTGTATAAAGTACATTATAGCACCTATACAGAGTAGTGTAACGGTAATTGTTTAATATTTACTATTCTTATCCGAAACAATAAAAAACGATATATGCACCTAGGCAGGCCCTAGTGCCAACAGCCGACATACGTAATAAAGTGGGTATAGAACGCATTGGCTTAATTACGTTCTAAATGGGTTCTTGAGGCCATGATTCTTGTTCTATTATTGACTATTTATCTCTACGTTGTACAATATTGCACAATATTGTAAATTGCATAGAGCAGTGACCTTTATCAACTAAAAATCCAATTATAATCTTCAAATGCCTATACAGATACCAGCTCTACTCCGTAGCATAAACTGCCCAAACGCCAATCTTCCCCTCAATTGGTGTTTAGCTTAGCCTAGATGCAGCAAACCAGGTTAGGTTGCCTTCATAGGTACATGGATGTATGTCATAACAAACGAGTCCAAACTACCTGGTTATATTGCCCAAAGTACGTTGTACATCTACTGTAACTTGGCCACCTGTCCACTCAAAACATGCCCATATTGGATCGTACCAAGTAACAAAGGCGTGCGTCTAGAACGTGAGGTAGCACACAAAAGCCCGGGATCTGTACCCAAGGCCCTCATCCTCGCTTTCGTTCTCAGAGTCTAGACGCCAGAACCGACGATCAGCTTGAGCAGTCATTATGATTTGCCAGAATCTGACTGAGTTATCCAATATACATGTGATTGAATAATGTACAGTTATTGTATGCACGTACTCAGGTACTCCGTAGATCCAGCGCTTACATCATTATGCTTTCATGTTATCGCTGTATTATTATTTTTTCTTGATCCGGCCCTGTGCTACGGAGTACTCTGACTGCATACAATATTGTACAATATTGTATATTGTGCATTGTATCAATGTGTTATATTTCGATTTCCCCTTTTTTTTTCTGTATCAAATAGTCCAATAGTGATGAATCATCCCCTTCATCTTCTCGGTGGAGATTTCTCCACTCTGGTAGATAACAAGGCAACTGACACAAAACGCGACTCCCGATCGATCGATCCTAAGTTTGCAATTACCATTGCACCCAGTGAAGGTTCAAGGATCAATACAATGATATACTCTTTTGAATATCAAAAGTATTGCATGGATGTACAAATGGTCGTTAGTGCCTCAGCACTTTAACCTTAGAATTACTGACAATATTCCTCCCGGGCATTCCTCGGGGCTTTTTCTTTTTCGTCAATCAGGTACACAATATGGATAACTATTCTCGTGCCGAGGATTTCCAAGAAGTAAATATACAATTACTGAAAAGAATAAATCTACAATTGCCAAAGTCATGATGTTGTGGCCGTTAATATGGCTGAGACAAACCCACAACAACGCGCGGGTGGCGACAGGGGAGGTGTAATCTCTTCCTTGGAATAATGATCGCTTCTAGAAAAGTACACCGTACATTATTTGACTACTGTGAAGGTTTCACTCTTTCCATGGATGGGATTAGGGTTAAGATCGCCTGTCAATTTTTTTAATCTCTTTGGTCTTATAATTTAAGCAGTTCAGCCGAGTTGTGGATTGATGTAGTGAAGCTAGGGGGAAGATCCAGTTGATGCTAAATTGTACCTGGTGGCTTGCAGGTGGCGTTGGACTCTGAAACAGGCCTACGGAATACAGTGATGATCATTGCATCCACAGACCACAGGTCAGATCGAAATATTTACATGTGCTTTTACGCAGGTTTCAACCTTACAGCTTTGCAAGATTGGGTATATTGTTCTGACTTAATCGCTGATCAATTCAACTACCTAGGTAACATGGGATCAACAAAATTAACGACATAAGAATAGAAACAAGTATCAACAGAGAAACCAACTGTATCGCTGTACATGGAAAAAAGTTGTCTGGCTTGCATTCATCATTCAAAACTGGCAATCTCTGCCTCACAAGTCAATGGATAGATGGCCAAATGCTCGAACCGAATCGTCCAGGCTGCCCAGGCTGCCCGAACTGACTGACCTCTGACTACCACTTTGCACCCCTCCGGCTTCAGCCCCAGGCATAGGACCGATCATCGATGCGTCAATGTCCTCAATGTAGTCTGTCTCAATGTAATCCGCGGCGGAGCAGTCGTTTTCAACGACATCGTCGTAATCTAGATTAGAATGACTAGACGAAAAAGTAGACGATTCCTCAACCCAACCCACAATGTCAGGGGGTTCCAGGTAGATCCTTAGCCCCCTGTGCTTGTGGTAATCAGGCCTGGCTGTCTTGGCGTCCTCGTCGTCGTCTTCGTCTTCGTCATCGTCGTGGTCATCATGTGGGAAAATAGCAGCAGCATTAGAAAACGCAACCATCCGACTGAAATGCCATTGCATGTCCAGCAGGTCAAAATTCGGCAGCGGTCGGGCAACGGGGTCATCCGTTGTCATTCTGAAGCGATATCCAGACTTGATGGGGCTAAGCACATTAGGTGAATCTCCCTCACTGTCCTTGTCTTTATCCTTGTACTTGCGTCCGCCCCTCTGCGGCACCACCACATTCAGCTGTTCAACGGACTCCGCATCCTTCGAAGAGATTGGCTCTTTCACCACATCAATCAAGTCATATGGTTTGTGATCGTTCTTTGGCTGCCAATAAAACTCAATGTCCAATTTGGTATTATCGTCCGACTTCCAGAAGGGACGTAACGCCAACAAACCCTTCGACCAAGCAGATCGAATATCATCTCGGAGACAGATCAAATTCGAACAATCATCGACAGGAAGCTGAGCGTCCTTGCGGTTGCTGAAAACCGCCTTTCGCCAGCGCTCAGCTGTACTTTTTCCCCAGAAAATATCAACAAACCTCCAAAGGCTGGGGAAGTCCACGTCGTCATGTAAGCTTGAAGTGCTGGCGGCAGTGGGAAAGATCGTGGTACTGTGGTAGACTTGGCGAGCGCCGGTGATGACACATTTGTATTGATCGCGTTGTCTTGCGTCGTACTTTGATCCCGGCGGAATAGGTCTCCATCTCGCAATGGAACGTCCACTGGTAGGATGCTGGGGGTCCGTGGTAAAAGCCGCCATCGATACATCACGAAAAGGGGATGGCCTTTGCGTCCATTTATAGGGTAGGCTGCACGTGAGGTCGGCGATGATATCCATGATCTTCAGTGACAGGTGGGCAAGCTGTACGAGGTATTCAAGCTTTGAGAGGTCACATAGTTGAATGACAGCCCAGAATGGAGCTGGTACTTCTTGTCCTAGCAGTGCTTCTTTGAGGTGACGTAAAATTATCTTACGCTGTGGTGATTGGATGTTGAACTCTTCTTGCACGACACGGATAGCAGTAGAGGTGCGGCGTAGCTGCGGGTAGTTCATTGCCGGCAGCAGGGGTTGTGATGCATTTGCCATTTTCACGTTGAAAGTATTGGGATTCAGATCAGGCGGTAAACATGACTTGCATGCATCAACAAGAGAAAGGCTTTTTGTTGTTATTGTTGTTTTTGTTGTCTTTTGTGTTGTTCCTTTTTGGTCTACCCAACCGGGAAAGGACTTGCATCTACATCGGGAAGGCACTCGTGGGCGTTCAGTATTCAGTTCAATTGACTAACATTCCACTGCAAGTATGTACTGATGCTTATACTGTCGTAATATCATGGGTCCCGAGGTCATGTCTCATAATCTGTCGTACTCATTGGTTTCACACCTGGGCATTATCGCCGAGGTTCATACATCCATTCTCGCTCTCTGATGTGTCGCATGCGCTTTTCCAACATTCGTGCTTGTGGAGGCATACCCATACGGAGAGGTCTGATACGGGGAGGAGCAGGGGCAGGTATGGAAGAAGACCGTTCTTGTTGAATGTCTCGAATGCGCCTGCGGCGCGCACTCCGAATCTCATCTGAGAGTTCAACTAGCTCTTCAATTTCCTCCTGTTTTGAGATGAAAAGTTACAATTAGTCAATGGAAAAAAGACATGCAAGTTGAGTGGGTGCATACCGATTGGAGGTAAGAGAAAATGTAGTAAAAAGTTCTTGTCTCTTCATACTCATACCCCATTCGTTCAATGGCTTCTTTTACCACCAGCTTCTTCGTAATCTCGGTCCACCTGGAATCACGGGGATCTTTGACGTCTGCAACCTGTTGGGCAATTCGACCCGTCTCAACTTGGTCTATCGGTGCATGACGAGGCTCAATTTCAACAATGTCCAACGCCCCGGACATTTCGATTGCATCAGCCGCTGTAGGAGCATGTATCAAAGACCAGTCATCTTTGCCTTTGGATTCTCGATTCAGTTCTCGGAGAGTTTCAATGTCTAGCTCCTCCAAGTCGGCCACGGAACGCGCTGGTTTTCTTGTGCCGCTAGATGATGATTTAGTCTCATTATATGAAGCTCTAGACCGATGGCGAGATTGGGAGGTTCCCCGCTCCCATGGGTCGCTGAAACCTGGACTTGAAACATTGGTAGGTGATATTGAGTCTTCTGGGGCCAGCGATTCTTCACTATCTCGATGTTTGAGAACAATGTCTTCTTCCGACAATCGTCCATTCCGCATGGATCTGAATGACATGTCAACGCTCCTTTCTTTTTTTTATCGAACAAGAGATCTATCAGCTTACCGATGGCGAATGTCGATCTCGTTGATGCTACCGCTGCGAGGCCGCAATTCTAAAGGTGGTTGAGCCTCCTCGTAGCCTAAATCTGTTCAGTAAAAAGCTTTTTGAGGATTGGAACAAACTATGTCTTACCGTGATCTATGTGCCTATGATGAGTAAAAACGTCCTGATGAATCGGAGGCACATGTATTGAGTCCATGGAAGGTGAAGGTCGGCGAGATGGAGGCTTGTTCTTGGTCCTCCTTATATGAATATCTTCTTCCTCTTCTTCAAGCTCTCTCGGGCGGGATCTGGCGTCAAATTGCAAGGGGATGTCCGCTTCTTCGTCTAACGGGTGTTCTGGTCTAGGCCCTCGGCGCAAACCTCTCATTTCGCCTTCGACGTTTTCTGAAGGAGCGCTCCGACGTCGTCCGCGCCGTTCGCGGAAGATTATCTCCTCGTTGCCACGGTCGACTGACTGTGGATCTTTGCCCTTCCGCCGAATGACCACGTCTTCTTCCTCGAAATCTCGTTCAGATCGATCGACCAGACTCCTGCGTCTGTCTAGGCGAGCGTCATCAAGCATAACCTCTTCAACGTCGACCCGATTAGCAGGCGGAGGCCGTGGTCTCGACCGGCTATATATTTCTTCTTCATCCAACTCGAAGCGTCTTTCCTGTGACCGCATGTCGCGCTCGCTGTCCCATCCACGACGTAAGGGTTGCTCTTTTTCTCTTCGTCGAATGAGCATTTCTTCTTCCTCGAATTCGTTTTGTGGACGACGTCTTCTTCCGTGCTTTCGCGGTTGCTCAATTATAAGATCTTCTTCGATTTCTCGTTCTGGGTGTCGCCTGCTTTGGCGTCTTTCACTTTCTTCGAATATCAAATCATCCTCTGATCTGCGCTCGGGGTGACGTCTGCTTCCCCTGCGTCGCTCCCTCTCTTCAATCAGAAGATCGTCTTCAGACCTTCGTTCAGGGCGACGCCTGCTTCTTCGTCGCATCTCTCTTTCTTCGATAATCATATCGTCATCTTCAATTCCTCGAGGCTGACGCCTGCTTCCTCGGCGCCTCTCTCGTGGAACCATCAGATCGTCTTCTTCGAGATCTGGTACTGAGCGACGCATCCTGTCACCATCCCTTTCCCTTTCCTCAACTAAAGCTTCATCGATCTCCCGAGGTTTGCGCCGACTGCCCCGACGACTTCCTCGTTCCTCAACGATGAGATTCTCGTCAATCTCACGAGGGCGGGGTCTGCCCCAGGACACAGACGACCGCCTCATGTAGTCCTCCTCGCGATCTAAAGGCATAGACCGCTCTTGCAGTACCATATCTACCTCCTCCCGCGGCCGCTCAAAGCTTTCTTTCATGAAGTCTCGCCTGGGTCGTTCTCGAATGTGCATTCGCTCCATATCCTCAGCTAGCGGCTCAGACCTTCGGCGACTGTACTCGACATCTTCAGAGCCGCGATCTCGTCGAGGTCGACGTTCCCGGTCCATCTCGTAAATCTCATCTTCTTCGTCTTCTTCGTAGTAATCGCGGGGCGGCGGGCGGCGGGGCATGTTGGCAAGGACGGGGGATCACGGCATTGAGTATTGGATCAGTCCGTCGTCCAGCAGTTGAAAGTACGTTGTAGTTATTTAATGAACCTGGGGTTACTCTTAGCGGGGCTTGGAGTGAGGTCTGGCGCAGCGCTTGGGTAAGGCAGCAAGTGAGATCGTGATTTGTTGGTGGGGTTTGTGGGGAAGACCTGTGGCTGTGTTGTAAACCACTCAGTTGTTGATAAGGCAGTAATTATAACCTTGGGATACAGTAGTATAGTAGTATATTTCGACAGGAGTTATTCAAAAAGCACAAACAAGATTAACGTGGGCCATGTGACGAAAAGCAAAGTGATCGACCCCGCGGCCCACTGATGTCACTAGTAAAACGGACACCCTTGCTCATCTTTGTCGACATTGAACTTCAAATGTATTCGTGTTCACCTAAAAAGGCTACCCCTGGCTCCAACATTGAATCCTTGGAAGGCACACCGGGATCTTAGCTAATACAATTTGGAACCTTGGTTCTCTTCTTGAAAATTACTCATTTAGGCAGAGTGGAGAATGCTTAATCAATACATCTCTCCCAAGGCTACATATGTATCTTCGCTTCCCACTGAACTGGTCCTCGGTATTTTCTGCTCTTTCTCCGCATTTCCTGATATCCTACATCTTGCTGCAACCTGTCAAGGCGGCCCCCGACCATATGAGACTCCGACGGTTCCAGATGTTCTGATAATGACCCGAAATTCGATCGTTATAGAGAAGTCTATTGACCTATTTAGCGAAACAGTCGTTGAACGGATGACCTCAGGACGCCGTGCTCTTAACCCTATGTTGGCCCGAGCTAGAGATTTGCATTGGCCTAAGAACAACAACCCAACAGATAGTTTCTGTGAGACAATATTCAAACACAATCAAACATGTTCTCGGTACCTGACTCAACGTGAGCGTCTGCGGTTTATTCGAGCAACCTACCAACTGTAGAGCCATCTACTGCTTGACATAACACCTAGGAAGTTGAAAATAAGTACATTCAAATTCAAGGATATTCATAAGGTTGGAGGACTGGCAGAAATTGGCCTATGCTATTCACCCAATGGAATGTTTATCCAGGAAAAAGAAATCTTACAACAAGGAAACGCGGCTAAGGACCTAGTGGAAACTATTGGCTACCGGTACCTACGCGGAGCCAGTCAGCGTATCCTTGCGATGTTTTATCACCAGAAAAGATCTTCGGACTTTTAGACAAAGAAACATGGATGGCTAGAGTGTATCTCTGTGGGAGAATCGAGGGGAAGAATTCAAAGAAGGGGTGGTGGATGGATGAAATGGGCATAAACAAATCTCCAAGGTTTGATATGATACTGATGAGGAGGAGCTCATGGGTTAATCTTTTGGAGCTATACCCCTAGGCTTGGTTGAGAGTTGAGAGTAGTGTTAGAAACAACGATGATAAAAACCGACACACGCATAAAGCATGATCAGAAACACAAAGTTTACCTATGTAGGTAATAAAACTCGTGTAACCATCAATCATTCACCTTATATAGCCAGTTTTGATCTAGTCCCCGAGATACCTCTCAAACTCTACACTCACAATTCCCAACATGTAACGTAGCAGCCTGCGTCCAGTACCGCCCGTTTTATAAATCACCAGTTCGTCTCCTAGGAAATTGCCTTGACGTAGACAGCCCACTGTCTTCTTCTGGGGGGTGGTTGCTTCTTTTTTCCTATCATTTTAACTGAAACAATTGAGACCAGCTGACAAAATAGAGGGACTTGACGAAAACTATTTGATAGGGCTCGTTGTATAGTCCGGATATAATAGCCCATCTAGAATCTCGGGGGTAATTGTCTGTCCCGGTGTGAGGACTTGACTCTTGCAGAAATCTGCACTACTGTGTCATTTATCGAATGTTCGGGGAAGGCATGGATAATGGATATTGTTGTGGAAGTTGTGGAAGGTGCGATGCGGCTAGCCCAAGCATAATCTCCCCTTTTTTCTTCTCTTCTCTTCTCCTCTCCTGTTCTCTCTGTCTCTTCTGTCTTCTGTCTTCCTTATTGGATAAATCACTTTTATCCCTTTGTTTCCTTGCATAGAAAATGTAGTATTAATATGATGAATGGCCCTGTGTGTAATAAGTCTGTTAAACCATGAAGATTATGTAGAGCGTCTAGACAACACACACATGAATGTGGCGCCGCTAAGCTAATTAATATATATTGCTATCACTTGCGGATTCCAATCACCTGGGCATATCCCGAGAAGAGATTCAACTACCCAGGTAGCTCGTAAACAGCAACATGTGGTTCACTCTTAGCGTGTAGACTTGCTGCATTGATCACGGGAAATTTCAAAGATTTCATACTCCGGTGAGATATTGTCTCCACGTGCATCGTGAATTGGTCCTTGCATGATATGCCGATCACTCGGACATTCAAGCCACCCCCTCTTCAACGCCGGTGGACTCCGACTAGCATTCCAGTCAATCACACCCCGTGGGCAATCGGTGCTTATCTTCAGGACTTGTTGACGAAACGCCTTTTGACTATGCTACAACGGTAAACGTCGGCTCACGGTCGCTCTAGAAACAATTTAAATCTTCATCTATATTCTTTGCAAGGTTATATATTAAGCGCACTACCACGAGACTTCTCGAATTCATCTGTCTCAAGTCCCAATCCAGTTAAATTGGCTATAGGCTTTACTGCCTTACACTTATATATTCTTCTCAACGCCAGTAATTTTCCAGCAATGATAGCTCTATCCAAGGTTGCTCTCGTTGGCTTTGGATTTGCGCATGGTGCAAATGCGTGGGGTGCATTGGGTCACGCGACTGTAGCCTATGTCGCGCAGCACTATCTATCCTCAGGCACCGCATCTTGGTAAGATTTCAGCAGGATCCAATCTGATATATATATCCAAAGACAACCGCTAATACATCCCAAGGGCACAAGAGATACTCGGCGACTCATCCAGCTCATACCTGGCAAACGTAGCATCATGGGCCGACCAGTACCGCCTAACAACAGCCGGCAAATGGTCCGCCCCATTACACTACATCGATGCTGAGGATGACCCCCCAACAACCTGCAACGTGGACTACGCCCGTGACTGCGGCGATGCAGGCTGCTCAGTCTCAGCCATTGCAAATTACACTCAGCGGGCAGGCGATGCCCGCCTCAGCTCCAACCACACGGCCGAAGCACTAAAATTCCTAGTGCACTTCCTGGGCGATATCACGCAGCCGCTGCACGACGAGGCGTACGAAGTTGGCGGCAATGACATCACCGTCACCTTCAACGGCTACAGCGACAACCTCCATTCGGACTGGGACACGTACATGCCCGAAAAGCTCGTTGGTGGGTATGCGCTCACGGACGCGCAGTCGTGGGCTAATACCCTGGTTGAGGAGATCACCTCGGGCAGCTACAAGGCTGAGGCGGCGAGCTGGATCCAGGGCGACACTATCAGCGATGCTATTACCTCTGCTACGCGGTGGGCGGCAGATGCCAATGCCTACGTTTGTACTGTTGTCATGCCGGAGGGGGCCTCGGCCTTGCAGACTGGCGATCTGTATCCGACATATTACAATTCCGCGATTGGCACCATCGAGCTGCAGATTGCAAAGGGAGGATACCGCTTGGCCAACTGGTTGAACTTGATTTATGGCACTAAGATTGCGAAGCGCGACCTGGAACGGTTTGTCAAGGAAAGTCGAAATGAGGCACCAGAGCTGGAACTTCTAGGCCGCAACTTTCTCCCCGAGTCTCGTCCTTTAAGTCGCGCGAAGCTGGCCAGAGAAGCTATGGAGGGTTCCTGCTGTAACTCGGACAAGCGTGAGCATGTGCACTGATTATGGATTCTCACTCTTGGCGTGTGAGTGATATACCCCAAATCATGGTTTCTCTAGGATAGCACGCAATAAATTCAGTATATACGTTTTTTCAAGATTAAGTTAAGCCAAGGCCAGGAGTACAAACGGAGACATATTGAGTGCAATGCGAGTAAGAAGTTCGGTGAGAGCATAATTGATGATGGTTGAGACCACCAAGCGACAGTGTGAGCTCGTTGAACTCATTGGGTATATCGTAGACAAGGGAGACAACAGAAGTACAGTACTAAGGTAAACAAGGTATCAAAAGACCGGTGAAATCATACAAGTGACGTTCATTGGAAAGCAAGTCGCATCTGCCCCTTCTCTGGCTTGCCACGGCTACCACCACCCCGGCCACCTCTTCCACGAGGCGCGGTACCTCGAGCGCTGGGTTTTGCGGCTTGAAGTGACTGAGAAGCCCTCGACTCCTCGCGTTCCTGGTTTGCAAGATCTTTGGCAAAATGCCAATCATCGTGTTCCTCTTTCTCATGCTCAAACATCGATTTAGAGCACCGCGGGCATGTGAACCGAGGGTTTCCAGCCTCTTCAGAGTCCGTTTCATGTGGCTTGGGACTTTCCTGACCCTCTGCAACGGTACCTTCCGGTGAGTGCCCGAAAAACTGCCTGATTTGACCCCCATCTAGTCTCCGTTTTTTGTCTGCCGGAGGTTGTTCGTTGAATGAATTCTCAGTATCGCGAGGTCTTGCAACATGACTCAGGGCCTTCGCCTTGTCACCACGAACTAAGAAGCTTTCGATAGCCTTATTGTTGCTCACGCCTTCTTCAAAGCTGGACACACTCAGCGATAGGTTCGAACATGGCCATGCCTGCCCGTCGGCCATGACTTGACGGAGCAAAGTCTTTGCCAGATCGTAAAGTAGTTCTTCGTCAATCGCATTGGATCCCGGGATTGGGGTTTGACGGGAACGAGATTGGACGGTTCGATGATGCAGCGTGATTACTCTCGGACGACGTCTATTCTCAAGCACGCCGTCCTCCACAAGACGGCCATAAATATCGGCGGCGAAAATGCGAAGCCATTTGTCCGCTTGGTCAAGTGAGCTAATGCTTGGACGGAAAGACTTGGCAGATAGCATAGACTTAATTTGGGTTCGGGGATTGACTTCGCTACGGTCATCTCCACGGATGATACCGTAGAGCCACGTCGCCGTGTGGTCGTCCAGCTTGGTTCGCAACTGCTCAAGTGACACATTGAGAAGTTCGCTGACTTTCTCCGTTGCGAACGAGGCAGTGATTTGATCACCAAGTTTGCCACCAAGCATTCTAATCTGAGTGAATTTGTAACCAGCGAGGAATTTCTGCACCGCTCGATTCCGCACCACGGTCTGCAGATTGGGTTTGTTGCATGAACTTCCCAGCTTGGCAATCATTTTGTTGCGGCCAAGTCCGGCTGAACAGGTGTAGCTAAGCTTCTCCCAAACAGCGTCCCGCACCGATCGTACAATCTCGGATCCTATCAACATTACAACGTCATCCCAGTCCGGGTCATCTTCTTCCGTTTCGTGTTCATCCAAATCCACCAAGCAGTCGGTGTTCCACTGCAGTGCTGTAGTTGGGGGAATAGGCAGCTCTCCATCCCTATTTTCGTCTTGTGTGCCCGACTGAAGCTCCGGATATCTCCGGAGAAGCGCCTTGTATATCAAGGGGGACAAATCAATGAAAACTTCATCGATACTCGCCTTTTCCAACCCCGCAGCGAGCTCTTGTTTCGGGCGTTTGGGCCCATGATCATCATCATTGGCATCCCATATAGCTAGGGCTTCTTTCATGGTCTGAAGGATCTTTCGCGATTGCGCTCGGTACGGATCCAGCGACACCTTGTCCGTGCTGATATTGCGAAAAGAGTCATCCCTGTATGCCCATCGTCCTCCCTCTCCCTCTCTGAAAGTCGCCACATGTTGTAAGATCAGATCTGGACACAGTTTCCTTGCCTCGGCAACGTTGATCAATCTATTTATTCCGAATGGGCGTGCGGCGTAGTTGATGGCAATTAACGAGTCCCATTGTCGCACAGCTAGAGGCTTTTCTCGCGGAGTTCCCAGGCGGACCATCTCACATTGTGCATAAAAGGCATCGAGGTCGATGTGCGCAATCACGCGCAAAGGCGTTGCTGTGGATCCATGCCGTAATCCTTGCAATTGTCGGTAGGTGAATCGGGAGTTCCTCAAGGTATCGGGCTGAGGTTCAGACATCTTTGGGAGTGCATCATGATGGCTCTGGAGTTGAGCTTCCAAGATTCTAAGAATCAAACCTTGAAGTTGTCAAGATGAGATGCTTGGGACAGCAACCTAAACGGGACTAGTGTGAGCACGTGCCAATTTTCAGCCTCAGGTTCTCGTTTGTTTTTCTTCTCGTTTTGGTCTGGAAGTGTCCACATTACAGAGTACAGAGTACAATTCACAATTTTACTATTCAAATCTAAGACTGAATTTTGCAATATACCACTTTTCTATCTATTCCTTTATTTTAGTCACAAAATCCAAGATCAGCTATATTTCCCTTCATCATTATAGACCAACGAAACGATCTCCAAATGAGCCAGCGCTTGGTGACTGCTTATTTTTCTTCACTTTTCGAAAAGACTGAGTGCCGTGCAGGATCGTCTTGAATGACAGAGCTCTCGGCCATGAAACCCCTTTCCCTCGTTCAAAATAAAAGAAAAGAAACGAGACAGGGTGATCTCCGATCCGTACGATCCTGCTGACACAGACGCATTATGAGTGGACCAGAGGCTTTGACGCAGGTGCCCAAAGCCACGCATTACTGCCCAACAACTTGTGGACATGAGCCGTCAGCTTTCCAGGTGGCGAGTTCGCAGGTTGCCACTGGTGCTTTCTTACAGTAGATTGGCCCGTTGTTTGTTGGGGTTCTCTTTGCAAATATTACAGAGGGTGGGTGAGGGATCAATCATAATGAGTCTCATGATTTGCCTTGACCTTGACATTGACATTGCCTTTTCTTACCACATGAACATCTGACAGCGTTTATGATCTCATGGTCAACAGCCGCTTGACCGCTGGTGAAGATCCACTGGTGGAGTCCTGTAGAGGATTTTTGATATTAATTCGGTCCAGGGGCACAGACTGAAGAGCAATCCAAGCTGGTTGGATTATGGGGGATCGGCCCTTAATTTTTTTCGCTTCTCAACTAAAATTTAGTGGGAAAAGCCATTTGTAGGTCTTTGTCTACACATGTAGTTTTAGGGTACGAGATACAACGCTAGGAAGTACTTAAGTTGGTACATGGATCAGTCTTGATGGCCTTCAAGTGCTCTGAACTGAACAAATAATGATTCTCTCACTAACGACCTCAGTACTGTACATAGGGAGTATATACGCAGGCAAATACGGAGTACATACTCCGTACATAGTGTAGATAATAATACAATGTTTCAAGGTAATATTCAGATAAAAATACAAACAAAACTGAGTTTTCCCAAGCGGCTACAGACATCGACAGGGTCGCACATCAGTCTAATCCTCATTTGACCGTGCATGCTTTGCCTTGATCTCAGTGGGGAGTCGTGGCACCAGCCCAAGACGGCCCAACCGCCTCGCCTCTTAGTCCAACTTTAGTGTCTTCCCCCCTCTTCCTCTTCTCTTTCTTTCCTTCTTTCTCTCGACTTTCTTCCTTCTTCCCTCATATCATCTCTGGCTTTTATTGCCATATCGCTCCTCCCTGACACATATTTGGTTTATTTGAAAAGTTCAAGCAGTGTCAGGCCTCTCTCTCTCTCTCTCTTCCCCTAATTCAACGCGAATCTTTCAACCTCTCCTGACATTCATCGTGTTTCTTGTCGCTTTGAGCCAGTTGTTGAAACTTTGTCAAATTCCCCAGGATAATTGCCGGATAATCAGCGCGAACTTCTCCCAGGACTACCTGGACTTTCCAAGGACTTTCTTGCTATTTCCGACCAGGATCAATTTTTATCTGGCCACTTTTCCCAAGGATCATATCTCGTTTTCTGTTTGCCCTGGAATCGAGAAAACATACCTTTTCAGTCGTGATCATTGGCTTCGCCCGATAGACTCTGTACATCCTACAATAAAACGGACTCATCACCATCCATCAACTTCCCAGGACTTTCAAATCATCTATCATCCCCGGACTTTTCCTCTTTTCTGGCCCCGTGGATCCAAGGACTATAAAATTTTTAACCGGACATTTTCCTCCGGAAGACATTATGACAGGCCGCTATGAAGCACGCCCGGAGCGTCAAAATGAATATTTCATCCCTGGTGAAGGAATCAGCCGAGAAGTCATTCAAGCAGATATCTGTCGCTACCTTGGAAACGATGCCCTCGTGAGACCTGGCAACCACAATGTTCGTCCACCTTTTTGTTTTTTTCTCGTCCACACGATGACTGGCCATTCTGAACTAACAATGCGCAGGGCCGCCCAGGATTCTTTATCCGTGCCTATCGGAATCTCACATCTGTAAGTAATCATGGACATGCGACAACTAGCAGGATATGTAAAGTTGGGAATCTAACCACGATTTGGATATAGGAGATGATCACTGATTTGAAGGCTGACTCCGCTCGCTGGGAGGCGGACGTCTCACGCCGGGCTGACCTAGGCTACCCGCGGGGCAGTTACAATCAAGACATGCCTCACTCTAACCCCCCAGCACAAGGGAACTATGCCGCTCCAGCTATTCATGAGCCCCGTCAATCACAGGGACAATCCCCTACACCATTCACTGCAGCTCCCGCTCAGTCATATACTATGGATCCTTATTCCCAAGGCCCCTACAGTGGATCCCAGAGTGCCCCCTACACACAAGCGTCATCATACACACAGCAGCCATCATACACAACACCGTCAACTCACTCGCCATATCCACCTAGTCAAGCCCAGTACCCTCCGCCCCAGGTTTCCTACTCTGGCTCCAATCAGCCCATCGTGACCTCGGCGGACATGCACCCCCAGTCGTACACATATGCCCCCACGAGCTATGGCTACGACAATGGCCGAAGCAATGCTCCCCGATACCCGGGGCCTGGATATGATGCCGATCAGGACTACTCTCCCGTAACTTCCGGGATGGCTTATCCTGCAACTAGTGCCCCGGATCCCCGGATAGGAATGGAGCCCAGGTTCACTCCAGAATATGAGCGCAGGCCACAAGCAACCAGAAATGAAGCTCCCCATCGTCGGCGGTAGACCAAAATGATCACCCCAAGCGTTTCTTTCTCCTGCATCCACGGTTTTTTCCTTCTCTATATCTCCGTCCACATCGTGGTTAACTCAATGCTTTCTTACTGGAATCTCCCCACAATGCTCCTGGGGATAACCTTGATGCCTACGAAAACCTCCTGGACAATTCCCACAGTTCTCTCTCAATCACACTTTTCAGAAACGTACTTTGCATCCAGTCCAGGACTTTTCAGACTAGGCCAGAAATGTCTCACATTCCACCCCAAATGGTCCAGCGAGGAAGGGAAATCCCACTTCCCATCGGACATTTATCCCACTTTACCCTTGGACTTCCACTGGACTTGAACCAAAGTGCTTCCTGGCAAGAGCTTGGAACTTCCCGTGGAACTCCTCTTTGTTTATGCTTTCTCTCCCGTTTGTGCAACTGGCCAACCAGGAGTAAGAGTGATGTGTCTTGATTGAGCCTGCGAAAAGGTGGCCCGGACTTGAGCGTTTTGTTTGTTTTCTGGTATTGCGGATTCCGGGAATACTCACCCACAATAATGCGATTTTGTTGTTCGACGGTGTACAGGATTTGTGTGTTTTAGCAACTCTTGTTGTTTATTTGTTCTCTCCCTCGGAAGAAGGGAGGGTCATGATGTTCTCTTTTTTTGCACTTGGTTTGCGAAGAGTTTTGTGCTTCGATAAATTAAGGCTGGTGAGCTTCATGTAGATATGAGCATTTACGGCGTTGGTCCGTTTTCTGTGATATTTTGATGTGCAAGATTATGGACCGACTCCACGGCCTTAATGAACCTGTTGATTCATCATCCTTGCCTTCAAATGAATTAAGATACCATTTTCTTTATTATAGCTTAGAAAGTCATCCGGGCTGGCTCCAGATTCTGTAATCAGGCCTAATGCGAGCTGAGACATCAACTCCCCCAAACAAATTTACCACGTCATGTCCGGAATTGAAAGTCGCATATCTACGGCTTGGGAAGATTTTCTCGGTGTCTTGTTTCTAGCACACAAAGTGCCAGGCATAAAAGATAACAAAAACGCCCTAGCACTCAACAAGATAAAATATAGGACGCCGAGCATGGAGCACACAACATACAATAGTGAGAGACATTTGGTGTTGCCATCGCGCCCCCAAAACGAGGCAGTTCTCAGGTGCCTAACCGGAATCTTGGAACATAGGTAGAAAAGCGACATGATGTCGGGTTGATTGCACAAAACATAGTACATACACTGTAGCGCAGCCTCGAAATTCGAAGTAGGCGCGAAAAATATTGGTATCAAAGCACTTAATGAGCAGGAGAGCATGTCCGCAGGTAATGTTTTCAGTTTCCCACACTGATGCAATGGGGGACTTGTTCATCATTCCACCATGGGCAGTGGCGGCGAAATTCACCTCCTGACATTCGCTGGATTTATTTATTCCAAGCTCGAATAAAACACGGCATTCTCCAACTTCCAATTACTCAACGTTTTGGTAATCGGATACCGTTTATTCGTCTTCGTAGCCCTTGGGAGTCACTCGCGGACCCTGCGGAACTGTACATATTGGGAACATTTGTCAGTTGCTTGTTTCTTGCTTAGATTACTGGTGTGTGTACACCATGATTAGAGGGGAGATAGAGGGTCATACTGGGATATGTCAAGGGAATAGGCTCGGGGTCGACATCACCGAGGGCGCGGCGGATGGGAGGAATGGTGGCCAGGAAGATAGGACCCGACAATCCCAAGAGAGTGGCAGCGAGGTAAGCTGGCCTTTCATGCGCAGCCCAGCGGAGGTAGCGGAAGGGAGTGGACCAAAACTGAGGATTGGACATGGCTGCAAGAAGTCGATCGTTGGCGACCGGTCGGGAATTTTTTCACGATGAAATTGTGGGGTCAATTGCTAATGAATTGAAATCTACTGTTCAGACGCAGGCGAATGAACAGATGCGCAGATCAACCAGGTGGTTGTTGAGTGGTGAGATCGAAAATGAAGAGCAAAATTGAAGCCGTGGGGAAGAAGTGAAGTTGAAGTTCGGAGATGCGGACCCAGCGCTCTTCGGGTCTTGGCATTCGCCCATTAACACGTCGCCCTTTCTGGTTAACTATACAACCCTGACACCTCACGCATCTATCTTCATTTCTTTTTCCTCATTTTGACTAAGATTCCGCTTCGTTGCGCGGAATTTGTTCAAGATGCGGTGGTGCCTTGCGTTGCTCATTTGCTGCTTTTTGGCCGTGGTAAATGCGCTCAGTAGCTCCGGCAGCCGTCTGCTGGCAGTGCTGGAAGATACAGATCAGAAAGACCTTTACTCCACGCTGTGGGCAGATCTTGAAGGTAAGTTGAATGTGTGCGAACTTCCAGTGGCATGCTAACTCTCGCATTCTAGCTCGCGGATACGATGTCTCGGTCGAATCTCCCAAAAGTGACCAGCTTGCTCTGTTCAAGCATGGCGAAAGAGCTTACGACCACCTTCTGATCCTTCCTCCCAAGTCCAAAGGTGAGCAATTTCAACTCAATTGGTCTGATGACAAGTCAATTGACTGAGTAATATAGGTCTTGGCCCCTCTTTGACCCCCAAGCATATCATCGATTTCATGAACAAGGATGGCAACATTCTCCTCGCCCTCTCAGGAAAGGCGTCCACATCAAGCGCCGTTAGCTCCCTTCTTCTTGAACTCGACATCCACCTCGCGAACGACCGCTCCGCAGTTGTTGTCGATCACTTCAACTACGACACCCTCTCAGCCGCTGAGAAGCATGACGTCCTTGTTCTCCAGCGCCCTGGACCCCTCCGACCTGATGTCAAGGCATTCTTTGATGGTGAGGGTGTTCTCGCCCTCCCCCGAGTTGCTCCCCAGACTCTCGGCAGTGACAGCGCCCTTCTCGCCCCGATCCTTGCAGCCCCCGCTACCGCCTACAGCTACAACCCCAAGGAGGGCGGCATACCCGCACCTGAGGACATTCTGGTTACCGGCTCGCAGCTGAACATTGTGTCTGCTATGCAGGCACGCAACTCTGCCCGCTTTACCGTTCTCGGCTCTGTGGAGTCGCTGGAGGACAAGTGGTTCTCGGCCTCTGTCCAGACCCCCGGCGGCAAGAAGTCCTCCACCGTCAACCGCGAGTTCGCTAAGCAGTTGACCGCTTGGGCCTTCAAGGAAACTGGTGTCCTCAAGGTTGACAAGGTCGAGCACCGCCTGGCTACCGAGGGCGCAGAACTCAACCCCTCCATTTACCGGATCAAGAACGAGACTGTATGTTGACCAAACTATATTTCCAAGGCAACCATTAACAATGTTTCTAGGTCTACAAGATTGAGGTTTCCGAGTACGTTTACGACAAGTGGGTTCCATTTGAAGTTCCCGTCGGAGACGAGCTCCAACTCGAGTTCACCATGCTTTCCCCCTTCCATCGCCTGGCCCTCAAGCCCGTCGGACGCACAGATACTAGCACCGTGTTCAGCACTCAGTTTGTGACTCCTGATCAGCACGGCATCTTCTCCTTCCGCGTAAACTATAAGCGGCCTTTCTTCACCGCCATCGAGGAGAAGCATGAAGTTACCGTCCGCCACTTCGCTCATGACGAGTACCCACGCAGTTGGGCGATCACTGGTGGCTGGGTTTGGATTGCCGGTCTCTGGTCGGTGATTGGAGGATTCTTGGCTTTCGTCGTCGTCTGGCTCTACTCTGCCCCTGTGACAGACAAGCTTAAGAAGACTCAGTAGATTTACGTCTACTTTGTATGCATTTTACGGTTTTGTTTGTCCATGATTTTGAAACTCCTTGCATGAACTCAATCTCCAAATAAAATCAATTATATGATATACTTATGAGTGCAGAAATCGGTTTATCGACTGTTAAATGCACTAGCCCCGTCCGATTTTTAATGAAGTAACCCCTCAAGATTGTAAAGGCTGTATGCTGAATTATACCTTCTGGGGGACATAGCATGGTTGAATGGAGGTGACTCCCTTGAATTACTTTGTAGAACTGCAGCAGCATCATGAAGGTTGTCTATTTGGCAACCTTTGCGCTGGATAAGGGGCAGAGCTTGATGGGATTGCTGCGAGGGAACTACTTGCCCTGGAGAAAAGTTGAGGTGGGTACTTTCGACATCATAAAATCAAGTATCTTAGTGCAGCAATACTGACTGAAAGAAAGGGCGACTACGTTCATGCCAATGACGCAGATGACACTGTCTCGCAGGACTTGAACCCCGAGCAGCAAGAGAATTGGGGTGGCCTGCCACAGCACATCTTGTGCGCAGTGTTCTGTACATATCAGTCGTGGCACGATATCACCTGCTCCTAATCAGCTACGAGCAGGACCAAGCCTTGCCGCTTTTTTTTTCAAGAGCAAGCTGGGAGGGGCGGGCACTGCCCACCGCCTATCGAGCTCACACTCGCTGTTCTTGTGTATGTCTGATCGGCTGGTTGGTGTTTTGAAAGAGACAGTAAAGATGTAATCAAATGTTTTGTCGATTGCGGGTATTAAAGATCTCAGTCGATCTTGATAGAAGCGAGTATAAGAGAGAAAATGTATGTTTTGAGCGTAACCGAACTCCAGGCCATGCCAGCATGTAATCAACGAATTCAAATACCCTTACAGGCCTCGTGTCTTCTCAGGATCCATCTGCACTTCGTCGCCGTTTAGTGGTTTGACGGTCTGGTATGCGGGTTGCCCGGCATAAAGCTGTCCACCAGAGGACGCGTTGCCGGACTTTCCGCCTTCCATTTCCTTGGACACCGAGATGGGCTGATTGCCACGGAAGCGTTTGCGCATATCAATCAGACCGCGCCTATATCGTGAAAGATCGCAGGAATTAGCTCAGGTGCTCTCCTGTCTCCTGCTTCCACCAAAATAATTCAATAATCGGCTTCGACTTACCTGCACTCGCTGAATCCTTTTCGCAGCTGCTGGCATCTCATAGGCAACTCCTCGGCATGAGGAGGGCTGAGACACTCACGGGGCGAATGGCGCTGTACCATAATACAGTCCGACTCCTGGAGGCATTGGGCTAGTGCCTCCCCTGAAGATTTTGAATTTCCGATCAGCATGTGTTTTTGAGGAAGGCTGTCAGAGGACCAGCTGCCTCAGGGGTGTGATGTGCTTCGAACTATATAATGTGGTATGGTGCAACTTACGGATATCATTGCATGAGCTAGGCATGTTCTACCTAGATGTCTTGTGAATGCGCAACAAGCAAAAAGACGTGGCCGTGGAACAGCAAATTCGGGTTGTCAGTCACCTCGACGTTGATTGGCGGAGGGTCAAAACCCCGGATGAGATAAGCATTCCTATCACATGCGGGCAATGACGTCGAGGTACATTTACCTTTTGCTCTTAAAAGCGCTTTCTGTCTCTTGCATCCAGTTTGCAGAAACACATATGCATATTTGATTGTTTATCATGGCGCGGGTTCCGTTCATAGGGAGACTGTTTTGGTAAGAACTCCAGCACCTAACACAAACAATGTTGACTGAGTCGTGTCTATAGGTATGAGTACTTAGCCCTGTTTGGGTCTTTGATACTGGTTCTACTAGAAACAACTATTCACTTGATCACTTGGTGTCTACGTGAGTATTATGATAAAATGATCAAATAATGCAGAAGCTGACCCCTAGCTAGCAAGCCCTATCATTAAATTTTGCTATGATCAGTCCAAGGCACTCTTCAACCTTTTGATCCCTACTGAGTCTCGTCAAAAGCGAACAAAAGAGGAAATATTTGCCAGTTCTGTCGCAGACGCATCGGACTTTACTGAAATATGTGCTCTGTTTGGGTATCAAGCCGAAGAGCACATTGTACAGACGAACGATGGCTATCTTCTTGGTCTACACCGGCTCGCATATCGGAAGGGAGAAGAGGATAAACAAGTCAACCAAGGTCCCAATGCAATTCAAAAGAAGGTTGTCTATCTTCACCACGGGCTGCTCATGTCCAGCGAGGTTTGGGTGGCCTTGACAGATGAGCAGAGGTGTCTCCCCTTCCGGTTAGTGGAAAAGGGGTACGACGTTTGGCTGGGTAACAACCGTGGCAACAAGTACTCCAAGAAGTCAATTCGGTTTTCACCTGGCTCGAACGAGTTTTGGGATTTCTCCATTGATCAGTTCGCCTTCTCGGATATCCCCAACAGCATCGAGTACATTCTTGAGGTTACAGAACAACCGTCGCTGTCATATATTGGATTTTCGCAAGGAACAGCCCAGGCATTTGCTACACTCGCTATCCATCCATTGCTGAATCACAAGATTGATGTGTTTGTGGCACTCGCACCTGCTATGGCTCCTTCTGGTCTGCGCAATCGCATCGTTGATTCACTCATGAAAGCATCTCCTGACTTTCTGTTCCTGCTGTTTGGTCGCCGCAGCATTCTGTCATCAACAACCATGTGGCAAACGATACTCTACCCACCAATCTTCGTGCGCATTATCGACACAGCCCTTAGAGCCCTCTTCAATTGGAAATGCCGCAACATTAAGCAGACGCAGAAGCTAGCTGCGTATTTGCATCTCTATTCTTTTACCAGCACCAAATCCGTCGTGCACTGGTTCCAAATCATTCGAAACAAGAACTTCCAGTTCTACGACGATGAAGTCTATGCTCCTTTCAGTGTTGCTGCCAGTGAGCGCTTCTACAAGCCGGTCAAATACCCGACTCGCAACATTAAGACTCCCGTCGTACTCCTCTATGGTGACAGCGACAGCCTTGTCGATGTCGGAGTTATGCTCAAGGGCTTGCCCCATACCACTGTCGCCCAAGCAATTCCGACCTACGAGCATTTAGACTTTTTGTGGGCCTCCGATGTCGACCGCCAAGTCTTCGGTTATGTTTTCGATGCGCTCGAGACCTATAGCCGGGGTAGCCCTACCGTTATCAGCACAAGTTTGGGCTCCAGCAAACACGTCAAAGAACTTTTGACCGATGGACGTGCTTCCAACACATCAGTCTCTCGCAGGAACCACATTAGTAATGGTGCATATGGCGCCACTGTCTAGGCAAAGCATGTGCGTTGTACTTTATATATCACTTTGTATGATTTCGCTGTGGACTTTCTTTTTGAGCGGGGCTCGTGGCTTGGCGGGAGAGCGGCCACACCCAATCTTTTTGGTCTATATTGTACGGCACAATAATTGAATGTGAAAATGTAATTGCCACATTGAAGTCTGCTTGGCACCGCTAATTTCCGGCAGAGTTTTTCTGGAAGTTACCAAGCAAGTTTCCTAAATCCACCGAAGTGGCGGTGTTTTGAAAGAAAGAGAAAAAAAGAAAGAAACAGCGCAAATATGGAGACGATAGTTCAGTTCCAGAGTCCATCCTCTAGGGCTGCACCTGTGCCTGACCAGACGAGCCAGCATAAACGGTAAAAATCCGCTGGTACATTATTGTAGACTTTGGTAATTTCCCCCTCGTATCCACAACGAATAGTTGGACACACTAAAGCTAGGCAGCGTGATGATCTCTTCTCTATCTCAACCAGTTTTCAGTCTAAGAGGTAAGCTTAGTTTTTAAGTCGGTCTTGGCCTGGAGATCTAGGAAGACGTTGAGATATTTACTTTTTATATAGATCTCGACAGGAACAAGAAGGTGATATTCAGGGGCAGCAACAGAGTACGGGTGTCAGCGCGGGGGGTTGCGCAATTCCATTCGTAAGCCCGTGCTTTTCCGACGAATTGGGCGCAGTTCATGAAAAACTCTTGTCCGAAGGTCCGTATGGGCTATGATTCGATCTAGACCGGCATCTATCCCCACTGTAAAAACTAGACAACGGGCCTACGAACAAGTTATAACGAACAACGAACAGACGTTTGAAACCACTCAAAAGGAAAAAGTGGACAAACAGATTGAAAGAACCGAGATTTATGGTTCAGGTACCGCGCCACCCATGGGAATCGTCAAAAAGTCCATTCGGGTTGGTCGGACTGATATTAGGCCCCCTTTGCCCTGATTATGGTTACCAATAGGATCATTCTAAAACTCTCTAGTCAGGCACCACATGGCCTCAATCTAGATTTTTGTGATTTTTTGATTTTTTTTATAAATAAAAACAGTATTCAATGTATCAATCAGGTATCAATATGGTAACAATAGTGTATCGATAGGGTATTAATGATGTCTCACTAGAGTATCACACACAAAGCCTTGAATTGTACTTGGGTATCGCAGTAATATCACAGTAACTACAGGTAATATGACAGAGCCACACAACTCTCTCCACTCCAAAGAATAAAATGGCGCTATGCCCTCGTCCGCGCTTCCTCTGTCTTTCTTTCCTCAAACACAATCTTTCACACTCATTTGGATTCCTTCCAATCGACTATTGGGGCTGAGCCTCAATTCACCACTCTCTTTAAACAGTCTGTAGATCAGACTAAAGTCACTCTCTCCAAGGACCTCGTCCTCTCAACACTCTCATTCATCGGATCTTAAGTTTCAAGCCAAAATGCGCTTCAACGTCATCGGCCTCTCGGCCCTTCTGGCAATCACTGCCTCCGCACTCCCCGTCGCTTTCCCCGACGTCCAAACCGTCCAGAATGTCGTCTGGGAGACTGTCTATGAGACCGTCTACGAGACCGCCACTCCGACCAGTGAGGCCATCTCTGAGCCCACCTCCGTCCTCGCCGTCGAGAACTTCGCCGTTCCTGCTGCGTCCACCACTGTCGCTGCGACATCTTTCACCCCAGTCCCTACCACCACCAGCGTCCCCACTCTCAGCATCCCCAGCTCAACCAGCGTCCCCGCCGTTGTGCCCACCCCGGTTTCCAGTGTTCCCGCCAGCACCAGCACTGTGAGCGCCAGCACTGTCAGCAGTGCCGCGAGCGCCACCGGCACCGGCCTCAACATCGTCAACAACCTCTCTGAGACCGTCTACCTCTGGGTCGTCACCGAGACCCAGGGAGAAATGCAAACCCTGGCCTCCGGCGAGTCCTTCAGCGGCCACACCTGGTTGACCAACTCCAACGGCGGTGGCATCTCCATCAAGATGTCCACCAGCGAAGTCTGCGACAGCGTCCTGCAGTTCGAGTACACCCAGACCGGTGATGTCCTCTACTGGGATCTGTCTTCCATCAACCTGCTCAAGACCTCTGCTTTCGTCTCTGCCGGATTCGGTGTCACCATCAGCGATAGCTCCTGTACCTCTGCTACTTGCGCTGCTGGCGATGCCAACTGCATCGAGTCCTACCAGCAACCGGATGATGTCAACACTCTTGCTTGCACCATCGATGCTACCTACACCCTCACTCTGGGTTAGATTGGGTTTTGATTTGGGTTTCTTTTTTCTTTCTTTTATTCGTTGGATATCCACTTGGCTAGGAGATTGTGGAGTTTTTATGTTGAACAAATTGCAATTTACAAAGTACAAATTACAGATTTCAGATTTCAGGTTTTTTTGAACAACATGTTTTCTTGTTTATATTGATAGAGTTGGAAAGGAAATTACAAAATTAGAAAATACAAAAATGTCGAAAGGCGCCAACTTTATTTTCAATTGACTTATCAAATTTCCAAGGTTGAATGTGAGGCTCTTACCGCAATTCCATGGAACGAAGTATAGACTGATGGTATCTTTCAATGACGACTTATCTATGTAGGTATTATATTCTTCCGTTCTATCTACATACACACTTCTGTATGTATGTATGCAGATAGGTATCGCCGTACCACCCGTAGAAAACTGTCTCAATACACATTCAATGTGGCCCAATCCAAGACTGTCATGTTCCCTGCCATATGCTGCTCCCATGCCCGTTCAACCCCTACTGCCCGAAAGAAAGATGAACCAAGTATCAATTCTAAATCTATGCAAGATAAGGTAATGGACAGTTGAAAACATGGGAGATGCAGAAGAGTTATAATTAGACTAGAAGAATCCCAACTATGTCACAATCCCAAGCCCTAATTAGCGAAATAATCTACATTTTCAGTCCAAAATTGAACCAAACAACATGTCTCTCAGTCAATCCCGGACATCCAGCGGAGAGATTCGTTACATCGATCTAGTAAACAGGCACCTTGAAAGCAGGGAAAGTGTAAGTCCAGCTGTCAATGGAAGCCTTGTCGTTGACACAGTCGAAGGTGCTGTTGCTCTTCCAGAGCGGACGAGTAGGCCACTGGCAAAGCATCTGCGTCTCGCCCTTATAATTACCAGAGGAAACAGTAGCATTGAGACGAGAAGGCTGAACACCCTTCTCAACCCAGTTGATCATGGTCTGCATGTTGTCCTCCGGGTACGGGCCAGGCTGGAGGGTGTTGGTTCCACAGTGTGCCGCGCCGGGAATCAGGTAGAACTGGTACCACTCGGCCAGTTTCTTGAGACTCTTCTCCGAGGACAGATGCGGGTACATAATCGAGCGGACGGACTGCCAGTAGTGCACAGAGGAAGCGGTGGGGATGCTGGGATCCGACTCGCCGTGGTAGTGTAGGAGTTTACCACCGGAAGATTGAAACGGGGTCAGGTCTGGCAGGGTGGTCTGCAGGCTATCCATGTATCGGACCATGCCGGTGTTCATCCAGTCGACAAGGGTGTCGTAGGTGACGTTGTTAAGGTCGGAGAGATTGTCGAGGTCGAGGAGCTGGACGAACTTGGTCACGTACTCGCCGCCGGTGGAGGGGATGTCGAGCTCCCACTTGCTGGTTGCGTTGTTCCACTGGGTGTCACCGTCGCTGAGCTCGGAACCGATCTGCCAAGAGAGGTAGGCACGCTCGCCCTTGGAGTTGTGTAGGCCGTCGTAGATAGCTTGGGCGACCTTCACGCCCTGGGCGGTGACCTTGCCACTCTGGGCGGGCTGGTAGGAGGTGCTGCTGCCTTCGGCACGCTTGCTGAAGCCGAATCCGAGGGAGGTGCTTGTCTCTGCGGCGCAGTAGTATTTCTCGCCGATGATGGAGGTCAGGTTGAAGTGGAGCTTGCAGAGGTCGGTACGAGAGATGACGCCGTCGGTGCGTCCGTCGAGGGGATCGCAGGCAGCAATGGTCGCGTTGACAATCTTGGCCAGCTCGCATGGGGGTGGGTAGTAGTCCATAGTCTGTTCGACGGTGGCGGGGAAAACGTGGTGGACTTGCTGTTGACCGAAGCGGAAGGCCGGGGCACCAGTGATCGCACCGTCGTACTCCTCACCGTAGCGCTGGACCTGGCTCATGCCCTCGCGGCCACCGTCGGAGCAGCCCTCGTAGTAGGTGTAGACCTTGGCAGAGGAAGACATGCCGTAGAAGCCACGGGTGAGCACCTTTCCGAGCTTTGTCATCTCGCCCAGAGCCTGATATCCGAACATGTAGGTGGCATCCCAGTTGATAGTTCCGTTTCCGTAGAGAGCGACTTCGTCGTAGCTGGTGTCAAAGGCATCGTAGCCTGCACTGGTGGCACCACTGACAGCACCGTACTCGAGACCACCGGTTGCATCGCTGGACAGAGAGAAACCACCACCGCCGGCGACATAGAAGCGCTTCTTGAAGTCAGAGGGCTTGGGGAAAGCGTACTTGATGACAACGGAGTCTCCCTTGCCAGTGTGCTCGTAGGTGACGGTCACATTGCAGTAGGTGTAGGTCGCAGTGCTAGTGCTACCCATTCCACCAGAACTGGCATTGTAGACTGCTGCAGCGGTCACCGCAGAAGGGATCATGTTGATACCCAGGAGAGTGCCATTAGAAAGGGAGGGCAGACCGCACATTAGCAACGGTACAGACATCAGCGAGTGAGGCAGCACTCGCTGAAGCTGCCAGGGCTGCAACGGAGGCACCCCAGGAGAGACGCATAATGAAATATATCGAATGGATATATACAAAAGGAGGTGAATGAGTGTCAAGAAAATGAAAAATGAAAGAACGTGAGGATTCAATTCAATTCCGGAACATTGAAATACTTATAAACTAAATAAAGGGCTTTCGTGACGACGGTGGTTTATCAATTTTTGGCAAGTGATGCGCAGATCTATTGGCCCGCATAGTAAACCATACAATATTCCAGGGTTGCAGGTCCCAAGTCGTCGTCATCTCAGAACACAGTTGAGACTTACGTTTGAAATAGAAAGGTGAATGTGTAGTATACTAGGGAGTACGGAGTACCATCCGGGTAATGAAGGTGCCTAGTATAGCTCAGCCTTCCAAATAAGGGTCACCGGATAAAATTTTGGGACCAGTTAAGGAGTTTAAGGAGTTCATCCAATTATTGGCGGAAATATCTAGTCTATCTGGAGTTTGATGTTAGGCGGGTAAAGTTTACTCCCCATGGTGAAAATCGTGAAATTGTGAACATGAAAAAGATTGACGATCTACGCAACTAACCTTAATGGAACTGGTTTGACCGCGTAAGTCTGAGCTCCTGACAGTGGCTAGGGTACGCGTGGCCATTACTAAGTCCCATTGCTATACTACTTTCCAATCTCAATGGTAAAGCTTGGGGATGGTTCTCCAAGGTCGAATTGAATTGAACGTCCAATACATGATGCATCCACAAGATAAATTAGAAATTAGAGACTCTATGTAGAGGTAAGAACTAAGCCATACGATATACTCTTCATGCAGGTACAATATATGCCTAAGCCATTTGATCAAATGCAAGCCTGTATCATAGACTTTTATGCGCTTCAATTCTTTTCCACTAGTTGCTTAGCCTGTTAATTTCTGCAGGACTTGAGTCTGGAGGTCTCTAGTGTACAACGTATGTTATCCCCTTTCTACTCTATTCCCACTGAGAGCCTTCTTTATATCATATCCTCTACATCATTTCCTCCTGTGCTGGCTAGATACGCTAACCTTAGAAGGATATATGCGTACTGACTGCGAGGATTTCCGGTGAATCATCGGTATATTTACGTACAATCATGATAAAAAGTCAGAAACCAGATCAATGATCCACACTCTTGTACCCGTGACTGGTTTGAGGGTAGGGCTTTGTAGTGACCCACCATGACATGGCACTAATGCCAACATTATCAGATCAAGCTGTAGATGGCACCTGTTTACAATTCCTCTACTTTGCCTAAAATGTTCCGTAAATTTCCGCAGCTCATATTCAGTTTCTCTTATGACTAGGACAATCGTGATGCCCACGTGGATGAAGCTCTTGCTTTTCTAGTTTGAAGTAGAAGCCTGCAGAGCATAGTGTCTTGGAATCTTGGAACATTATAGCCGAAGCGCTATACCAATCTGCATCGGAATCATCCCAAAGAACGTTGCGCATTCTTTAAATCGTAATTCAAGTTACTGTGACAACCATTTTCCCATGCGCCTCATTGTTTTCCATTGCACGATGGGCTTCCTGAATCTCATTGAAATTGAAAACCTTCCAAGGGTCTGCACTGAAACGCTTCTGTGCCACCATTTCGACAATTTCCTCAAGGGGAACATCTGATAAGGGAAATTCAGGGGTTCCAAAAGCGAAACTCCCAAAAAAGCTAAGATGGACACCACTCGCCATCTGCAAAAGAGGATTGAATTCAGAGATGGGCTCAAGTCCACCCAAGAACCCAGCTAGACAGACCCGACCCCCTCTGTGCACCATATTGAGAGAATCAACAACAGTGCTATTGCCTATGAGCTCCAAAATAGCGTCAAATTTATCTGTGACGTGTTCAGAGAGCTTAGGGTCTTCAATTAGCACCTTCTCAGCTCCAAGAGCTTTGAGTTGTGGGACCCGGTTCTCATTGCGGGTTGTTGCGGTGACAACGGATCCAGCCTGTCTTGCCAGATTGATTGCCGCTCTCCCAAAAGCAGAAGTTCCGCCGCGGATGAGGAGCCGCGTCCCCGCTGATATCTCTAGGTTCCGGAACAGACAAGTCCATGCCGTAGCGTATGATTCCGGGATTGCGGCCAGCTGATCCCACCGTAATTCTGCCGCCGCTGGCCCGAGTGAGACGACATTGGAGACTTTGGCCCGAGTGTATTCCGCATAGCTGCCGTTAATTGTACGTCCCAGACCACCCATCAGACTTGCAACTGGAGTGCCTTCTTTGAATTCTCCGCCTGGGCAGTTGAACACAGTGCCGACGCACTCGATTCCACTGATTGGCATCCACTCTGCCCATTCACCTTTCCGCATGTGCATTTCGGCGTGATTGATACCAAATGCCTTGACAGATATCACAACTTCCCCTTTCTTTGACTCTGGGGGGACTACATCTTTGATGACAAGGGACTCGGGTCCCCCAAACTTTTCGATAACGATTGCTTTCATAGTGGGTAGTGATAAACTTGTTCAGTTTTGGAGAAAGAACTATGAAAATGTGTCAGACTTGCTCATCATTGTCTTCGATATGCGTAAGCACGGTGTTGCATTACCAAATGTATGACAAATATGACGTTGTACCCTGCCGTACTAAGGTTATTTCACATTGATAACATACAGGCATCTAGATGATATTATTAATCAACATCTGATATGCTTGCAATCCATATTTCGGATCCCGCGGCATCAGGATTGTCCATCTCCATTGCTGACAGCATACTGTCGTATGGCCGAGATCACCTTCCACTCGCACCTAAACTTCTTGAACTCCCGTTATGTCAATCTTATACTATCATTCACTATACTCTACTTTGAAAACACCTCATTCTTTAACATTAATGTGTCCATGTAGAGCTATAATGGATCTACCCGGGGCCACCACGAAGCAAATTAGTCTACCATCGGGGGTCAAGGTGTTCTGCCGCGAGAAAGGACTTGCAAATTCACCACTCATGTCCATTCTCCATGGATTCCCTACATCATAAGCTCATGAATTCTTCCTACCTAGACAAGACTTTGTGTTGATATGGTAACTTCGAAACATCCAACATCTAACTAAGCCATGTAAGCACCGCCAGAAACCTGCCAAGTCTGCCCAGTCAACCACTGCGACTCAGGACTAGCAATCAAAGACGCCACTCCCGCAACATCCTCTACTTCCCCGGGCCGACCAAGCGGCGACCACTTACTCAGAGCCTCATCGATCTGCTGCGGATTCATCTTGTCACCGCCAGGGATGTACTTCGCCGACATCTCAGCATACATATCAGTCTTGACGCCACCAGCAGCAATGCAATTGACAGTGATATTGCGCGCCCCAAAGTCCACAGCAAGACACTTGGTCATGCCCTGCACGGCGGCTTTGGAGGCAGCATAGACGGCGTGGCGAGGGACACCCTAATGTCGCGGAGTCAGCAGCTAGCATCAACCGCCGCAATCTCGTGTCCTCACCTTGACGGCTGAAATCGACGAAGTCAGCATCACCCGCCCGTAATCTTCCATGAATCGATAAGCCTGCTGCGCAACAAAGTACTGTCCTTTGACATTGACCGCAAAGACGGCGTCGATATCGCTGCCCTTGACTTCGGAGAGATCGCCGAAATGCTCAATGCCAGAGTTGCTCACGGCAATGTCAAGGCGTCCGAATTCACGAATGAGAGTCTCGAACATGGCCTTGACTTCTTCTTCTTGGGAAACGTCTGCCTGGAGTGTGATGGCGCGGACACCTAGGGCACGGATTTGGCCTGCGACGGTCTCGGCGGCTGAGGCATTTGAGACGTAGTTGATGGCTATGTCTGCACCGCGCTGGGCAAACTTGAGGGCTATGGCAGCTCCGATGCCGCGGCTGGAGCCTGTGACTGTGGAGGTCATCTATCAGTGTCGTGGCTTGGGATGTGGTGGGATCGAAGTTATACTTATGGCGACTTTGCCGGCGAGGTCTTTGTTTGTAGGCATTGTGAATTGGACTTCACCCTCGGTAGACTAGAATGCGAGGATTTTGTGCGGGGTATTGGCAGGGCGATGCAACCTTTTATAATTTCGTTATCATGCATGGGCTGGATCTCAAAGAACGGTGAACATCTGCATGCGTCGCCATCCTGCTGCGATCGTCGAAATGTAGAGAACCAATACAATTTTCCAAGGCTAACAGTCAAAGTTTTACATGGAAATAAAAATTCAAATGAATCAAAGTCGAATTCTTCCTAATTCGCAGTACATACTCATCACATACAGGGGTGGTCTTGCACAAATTGATATTGTCCACGCAGCCAAGACATCGCACCCAGAATCAATCGCTCGGAACAAAGAGTGCAGCGCCATCCTCCGGAATTCCATCCCCGAGTTCAAAAACAAAAAATTCACGCAATAACGCCTATCCTAGATGGCACAGACGTGAAGGGGAAAAGAAAAGAAGTATTTTCGGATTACACATGACAAGACAAGAAAGACACAAGCGACATTAGGTAGAAAGTCGCATGGGCAAAAAAAGAGGCGCAGGGTTGGATTAAGGGTTCAACCCCCACGATGCTGTTGGGAAATTCATTGTTCAAAGCTGTAATCAGCTCCATTGTTGGGGCTGTCTCGGTTGGGGTTGCTGAAGGTAAGCTTGAGCTTTGGCTGGCCTGGGGTTCCAGCTGTCAAAGGAGTGTCGGCACCGGAGGCAAACTCAGTCGAGGCATCGCCACCTGTATATTGATCCTCAAAGCTGGCGAGCTCAGGGTGGGGCTCCGTAAGTCTTCTGAGTTCCGACAGGCACTTGTTCTATGAGATTGTTAGTATGTGGAATTCGTTCAACAAGACAATAAAAACTTACTTCGATGTCATTGGCATCTTGGAACAGGACACTGCCATCCTCGTTGTAGGTGCGGGCATTCTGGCAAAGCAAATGGATGTCATCGCGGAACGCCTTCAAGCTCTGATAGTCGCCACGCTTGATCTTCTTTTGGATGGTTTCTATGGCGATAGGATTTTGAATGATCATATAATAGTCGGGGTAGTAGGAACGTGGCGGAGGCTTCATGAATGGGTCGATGATTGCACGGACCATAGGACCCTCTTCGCTATCAGAACCCTCGGGCGGTACCTCGGCCTCCATGTCCATCAATGACTGAATTACAGTATCACAAATGCGATTCAAATTGGCACGATCAGTGGGATTGAGGGTATCCGGAACCTTGGGCTGGCGACCTCTCTTGCGCTTTGGTTGCGGGGTTTCCTCCACAACTTCCTCGGCCTTGCGCTTAGGAGGAGGGCCACGACGACGCTTCTGTTTTTGAGGGGTCTCATCTTCGTCTTCAATGATAGATGGCTCGGGTGAAGAGTCCTCGCCTTCACGCCCAGCTTTGTTAGACTTGCGACGCTCAACACGAGCTTCCTTGCGCGCAATGGCTTCTTCGATGGTGTCGTCATCGGCGTCCACCGCCATCAGCCACTGCTCTTCAGTAAGTCCATCATCGTACTTGGTGATCTTGCGCTCACGAGCACCACGACCAGTAACCTCAATTTCGACTTCCTCGGTCACAGGGTTGTCCTCCTGCATGTAGATTTCAGGCAGCTCTTGTTCACACATAAGTCGAGGGTAGCGGTGACCGGGGCCATATGAATCGGTAGCAATCCGTTGCCTGTCGATCTCCTGGAAAATAGGAATTTCTTCTTCGCCACGGGCCATGATTTCGTTAAGTTCGTCATCATCCATTTCGTCGTGATCACCAATATGATCCGCAGCCTCTGCAGTATCCAAGAGAGTCCGCAGAAGTGCATCTCTCTCTTCATTGGTGGACTTGTTGTCGAACTTTCCTGCTTGGATAACCTTGCCATCCATGTCCAGCTTGAACTGAGCACGTTCGAGGATCTTCTCTTCGACTGAGTTTGAACTGATCAATCGGAGAATACGCACTTCATTTTTCTGACCGATACGATGAGCACGATCCTGCGCCTGCAAATCTTGGTGAGGATTCCAATCAGAATCGTAGATAATGACGGTGTCTGCAGTCTGCAAGTTCAGACCAAGACCACCAGCGCGAGTGGAAAGTAAGAAACAGAAATACTCGGAGCCAGGTTCGTTGAATTGCCGCAAGAGATCGGATCGATCATCGGATTTGGTAGAGCCGTCAAGACGCAGATATTTCATACCTCGGAGACGAAGGAAGTCTTCCATGATATTCATAATTTGGGTCATCTGGAAGAACATCAGGACTCTGTGGCCGGTGGCACGGAATTTGGGCAAGATTCGATCAAGCAGTTCGAACTTTCCAGCGGTTCGCCAAAGGAGATCGTTGGACATGCGAGTGGGGTTCATCTGGTCCTCAACGGGCTCGAAAACAAATGGATGGTTGCAGAGCTTTCGCAGCTGCATGAGCATGTTGCTGAGACCACGCATACCAGTCTTACCACCCTTGCCGTCACTGACAGCCATCTTGTTGTGGGTGACAAGTTGCTTGTACAGCTTGGTCTGCAAGGCAGAGAATCGGCACTTGATAACACGTTCCTGCTTATCGGGAAGATCTTTCTCGACATCTTTCTTCAGACGACGGAGCAAAAAGGGACGAAGAACCTTATGAAGACGGCGAATGACGAGCAATTGCTCTTCTTCGCTCAAGTCCATACGATCCTGGCCACCAGTGTTCGCAAAAGGTGTGTTAAACCATTCATCAAACGACTTGACGGACTTGAAGATGTTTGGAAGCACGAAATTGAGAAGAGCCCAAAGTTCTGGCAGGTTGTTTTGCAGAGGAGTACCGGTCAAAATGATACGGTATCGGGTGATGTAGTAGGTTGATAGAGTGCTACTGAGCTTGGATTGGGTGTTCTTCATGCGGTGACCTTCGTCAACAATCATGTGTGTCCACTTGATCTTGCTTAGAACTGGACGATCCTTAATGATATACTCGTAGGTCGTGAGAAGAACTTGGAATTGACCCCAACGGATCTGTTGCTGCTGCTGTTTTCGTGCGTTGGGTGGGCCCTTGTAGACAACCTTGCTCACGTCGGGCGCCCACTTGTCAAATTCGTTATTCCAATTGGTGAGGGTAGAAAGTGGCACAATGACCAAAAACGGCCCGTTGTTCTTCTTCTTTTCGATAATATGGGTAATCAAACTGATTGTTTGGATGGTCTTTCCGAGACCCATCTCGTCTGCCAAGATACCGTTCAGGTTGTTGTTGTACAACGAAATCATCCATTGCAGACCCTTTATCTGGTACTCCTTAAGAGTGCCTCCCTTGAGCATTGTGGGCTGTGTGGTGACCTCTTCCTGGATACGATGAGCAACAGCGTAGTAATCTACCTTCTTCTTTCCAGTGGCAGTAGTGTCATCTCCCTCGTTTTCGCTATCAGCAATCTCCTCATCAGATTCGTCTTCCGGCTCGGGCGCCTCGCCGTAACGGTTTGCCAGGTTACGCTGCTGTTCCTTGACGGAAGCGGCAAGTTGCTTCAAGAAGTTGTCGGTCTGCTTTAGAAGATGTGAAATACGGGAGTCCTTCGCTTGTCCCAGAAGCTTCAGGTAGGTCTCCTCGTCGTTGGCCTTCAAAGCCTGAAGACGTTGCTTTGCAGTCCGCTCTACGCGTCTCTGCTCTTCACGTTCCATGTGCTGGTGATGCGAAATCATCATGCGACCCAGCTTCTGGGAACGGGCGCGCTGCTGGCCGGAGGCATTGACAAGGTCCGCGCTGTGGTTGAGAATAGCCTGGATCTGATCGAATTGCTTCTTCTTCTCGCGAGATTCACGAGCATCACGTTGTTGCTTCTCGAGCTTCTCGGTGATGCGAGCCTCACGCAGGGACTGTTTCTTCATGCGACGATGGCTCGATCGGTTGGCGGACATCCCAAGGTTGCCGTAATGGAACATCTCGCCCAGAATGTGTTTGCGGTACGCTCGCTGCTTCGGCAACAAATTCAATTTTTTCCACTCGATCAAGGCCTTCATCTTGAGAGAATCGTCGTATGTGGGTGTATCACTTTTGCTGGTGTCCCACACGCCGAGGTTGGCGGGCAGGGCAGCAAGCTCCTGTTTTCGAGCAGAAATTTTATTGTACACTGCAGTCTCACGATCCTCGCGAATCTGCTCCAAGTCAATCCCAGGGGGCAATAGTGCTGGAATGCGCAGGCGATCGGCGCGTTTGGCGTGATCGGTGTAGCTGATGGTACTGGACAGCGCGTCGTAAGGTGACTGGAAGTTGTCGTACCATTCCCTAGTCATGACTTCGGCATTTGTGGATTCCGGAGCCTGGCTACCAGACGAGCCTTCATTGGCAGCGTCAATGATCTTTTCAGATGCGGCGACTGTATCTGCGGGCGTTGGTTTTTGCGACTTCTTGTGGAAAAGCTGTTCTTGGACACGAGGAGGGATGGCAAGATTTTTGGACAACATCTTGAAGGCTAAAATCTGGTTCCGAAGGGTAGCCAGTTGTTCTGGTGAGAAGCTGCCGCTGCCGACCGCCGCATTCTTCCCAGTCTGTCCAGCCACGGTGGGAGCATTTGGGGCGGTTGTTGAAGAAGTCGAGGCGGTGCGACCTATTTGCGACACAGGTCAGTTCTGAAAATTGAGTTCAAAGGCGGGGGTGGGTAGTGTTGTGTGGAAAGGGGAGAATAATATTTGATAGAACTTACCATGAGCACCATTGGTAGCAACAGCATCAGTGGTGGAGCCGTTCATTTGTTGAGGCTGACGTTGCTGTTGCGCCTGCTGCTGAGCCATGCGCTGCTGCTTCGCAAAAGCCTGCTGCCGTTGTATGGCAGTGAGCAGGTTATGTGCGTTGAGGAACTCTGGGTCATCAGGGCGGACACCTTGCTCTTGCATCTGCTTGTATTTCTACCGGAAGGTTAGAACCGACAAATAAACCCAAGAGTATGCGGGAGGGAGCATTGGAAAGGAAGTAAAACAATGTTGTGGACATTTGTATTGGGGAAAAGAATATCAAACTTACTTGAAGTATCTCTTGAACATTTTGTTGTGTGAGGTTTGGCGGCAGGCTCGCATTGCCTGGCGCCATGTTTGGCGCCGGGTGTAAAGAAGCCATGGCGACGCGTATGTTTCTTTAATTCATGAGCAAACAAGGTTGCTTGGGGTGGATAATGGTTTTCAAGATCGACGCGGTATAGAATTGGAAAGTCAGTCTCCACCTAAGCTCAATTGCTAAGTCGCGCTGGAGGAGAAGGGGGCGTCGCGGACGAAAGGGAGGGGTAGCAGCGACGTGGGCGTGGCCGCTTCTGGTAAATGCGATTAAAAGAGTACTGTATGGGAAGCTTGGCGATAGAAAGCGTGATGTTTAGGGCCGTGGTCGGAGCTCTCGGCGATGCGATCGATGGGATTACGGGGAGCGGGTACTTTCAGGGACAAGGGAGTCAAAGAAAGCGAGTAAAGTGGCGGGTTCTCGGGTTAAAGCAAAGTGGGAGGAAACCTCAAAATTCGAAGGCGCGTTGGGATGGCGCGTTCAAAAAAGTGGATGGGATGAAAATGGAGATGGGGAGGGGACGGAGTTGCGCGACAGGCTCGGGGAAATCTGGGTGCTCAGAGCAAAGGACCAACACAAGGGGAGGAGGAGATTTCGAGTAGTCACGTGTTGCTGACTCACGCCCGTGCTGGGAGTTTTCTTGGAACTGCGCAGCTCTGGTACCGTGGCCGATTTAGGAAATAGGTAAACTTGTATGAATAAGAGGTTGCGAAGAAGAAGTAATTGTTTTGAATTATGGTGAATTGATGTTCATAGTGAATATCATGAATGGATTGATTGTTGAGATTGTAATTACCGAGTCAGTCAATTGACAATCAAACAAAATGACAATACATTGTACTCGGAATGTTAAAGTAAACCGGGTCCACCCTTGCTGGCCACAATCTGCAGATCTTTTTTTGATCTTTAGAGTATCGAATCAATCCGTCTCGTGGTAAATCAACAAAGCATACGTTATTCAGCACAAAACTCGTGCTCATTCATACTCAACTCTCCATTGAAACTACCTACGGGGATACTCCATAAGAAGCAATCAACGCTGACCATGAGAAAGAAAATGGAAATCAACTAGGAAAGGAACGGTACAACCCCATTTTAGAGGGTTTAATAACAAAGTGATAAGGATAGATACCACCACCACGACCCGATCATATCCTCCCAAACTCCAAAACCCCAGGCTCAAGATCAATGAAAGACATATGTTGCACTGTCAAAAGCTCATTCAGGCATTTGGTGCCGCAAGCAAGCTTCGCTTCATTGGTGGGGGAGGGGGAGGTGGCTTCTTCGCACGTGAAGGCGGAGGTGGAGGGGGGCCCTTCTTCAACCCCATAGTATTTATATTGTTTGCGCTAGGCTGACGAGACAAGACGCTGCCGTGGGATGTTGCGGGAGAGATCGACCTGCCACCGCTGTACACCCGGTCAGGACTGGAACGGCCATAGGAGCTGACCTCTTCGGAGTCGGCGTATGGATCAGCAGAGACTCGGCCACTGCCCACTTGGGAACTGCCGCGACGACCAAAGCTGGTCAGATTCTCGCTGGCAGTACGCTGCTGGAGCCACTGTGAAGCAACTGGGCTGTGGTCCTGTCGGAGTTGAGCTGGGCCTTCAAATGTAGGCACTCTACTAAGAACCGGACGTTGAGGACTCTCTCGTGGAGGAGACTCGGCATATCGTGTCGCAATGGTCTTGCTCGATTGGATGGGAAATCGTGTCTCTGCAGCATTCATCATCTCTTCCTGCAATGGTTCACATCGTTCCTGGTAAGAGTGGGCAGTGTTGGAGCGAGCCCGTGTAGGACGGCGGCCGGACGTTTGACCTTGGTTAGATCTGGTTCAGTATTAGTATAGAACACGATGCAATTGGAAACTTATAATCCTTACCCGACCCACTCGCTCTTGAGCTGCAGCAGCGCCTCGCGAGATCGTTCGTGGTACTCAAGTTGAGCGTCCAAGAACGCGCCCATGTCCATCACGTTGTCGGTTTCGGCCTGTCGCACGTCCTGCATACGACGGAGCACGTCATCGTTGGCTTCCTCGTACTTGACTTTCTGGGAGCGCAGCTCTTCCTCTACACGGAAGTCTTCCTTCTTCGCTTTCTCCATTTTTGAGAGGGAGGTGTCGTATGCGAGTCGGCGACTGTCCAGTTTCTTGCGAGCTTGCTGTGTGGAAAGTTAGTACTGGATCTTCAATATTGTAAGGGCAAGAACATGCCTGGTAATCTTTCATCTGGGTCAGTGACCTTTCCAGGGATTCAAGCCAGCTCGAAGTCGCCTGCGCAATGTAGCTCTCTTGGATGCGCGCGATGCGCTCCTCGGTGCGTCCAAACACTGATCAAAGGGTCAGACGTTTGCTATTCCTTTCCATTCGCGATAAAAACTCACTGATCAAGCACTGTCCGTATTCTGAGTTGCCGTCGAAGTCCTCTCCGTGTGCCACCATGCTACTTCCCAGGTGGGCAATCGGAAGTGTCTTCTCCTTATCGTCTCCTTCATTGCGTTTCGAGATGGCTTTGACATAAGAAGTCATGGATTTGTGAATACGATCAACGCCTAGACATGTCAATTAGTATGGGCTCAAATACCGGGCAGAGCTCACTTACCTTCATGTCGCACGCCCATCTCCGTCTCCATGGCCTTGAAATTATCAGATTGGCAGGTCTTGGCCTCTCCGCCCATGCGCTCTCCGGCCCATTGTTTAAACCGGCCGATTCTCTTGTTCACGTGCATGTTGTAAAGAATGATCGAAACCAGCGATTGTGAGGGAAGAAAAAAAGAATGAAGAGGAAACAACGAAGTGGAAGGGGAGGGGAAAGGAGGTTGGGGGGAACAGGATTAGATTAAATCATCCCTGTGCACGCCATTATGATAAAATGGAATTATGATCTCGACCGGCCACTGGCGTTTCTGGAATTTCTCCAAAACGTTTTTTTTTATTTTTTATTTCTTTTCTTTTCTTTGGTCAATGCATGCAGTCGATCAAGTGGAGAACAATTCTCGTTGCGTACTCCGTACATAATGGCTTTTGTATTTTGTATTATATCAATCGAATAATCAATTATGAGTCTATACGAATACGGTCTATGCTAATACATCTACGGAGTAAATATTGACCATTGTATCTGATACTAGAATAGACTGAGACTCTTGAGACAGGGGAACACATACAATATTGTAGTGACACGCGTTGGTGGACCGGTGGAGAATAGCCACCACATCCTATTGGAAGGTCTGGAACCATTCACAATCAATTACTATAATTAACTGTAAATTGATCGTCTATTGCCACAGGGTCCAGTTGAGACTTTCCCAATAGATCTGATACAATACATGTATACCAGAAATACAATATGATACCTGTGGACGTACTTACATACTGACATCCGAAGATACCAACTATAATATAGTACTCCGTACGTTGCGGTCATGTATTTATCTTCTATGAGATAGATATATTGATCGTGCGCACGGGGCACTCAAATGGCTTAGAAACAGGGTTTCAACTCTGTTTCAGTTAATAGTTGACACTACGAATAGTATGGAGTTTGAACGGCCAAGATTCAATACCCAGTGGGGTTGCATTGCCGTAATACCAGTTCCAATCATTGCTTGTGATTGTAGATAAACCGTTCAGCTCATTTTTATTATTCAATCTATATTCAATCCCATTATTGGCTACGTTATAGAAACATATATTAGCTATACATATTCTCCAGGAATATTACTGGTATCGTCGCATCGCAGAAAAAAAACCCCATCAATCAGATGCTGAGATTATTCTCGGGTCAATACACGTAGATAAAGAATCAGGCATCCACACTTGTTCATGCTCAAAGGCTAGAAGAGCATCGAATTCATTCCAGGCATCATTCATATACCTGGGGCACCCGGCCCTAGTTTCCGACGGACCAGCCCCTTTTTCCTCAATACCATCTCCATCTTCATCTAGATCCAAGATCTCCACACCGTTCCCATTCCCAGAAATAAAGGGTGGTGTTTCAACATCGGACGATGCGGATACCCCCGAGTCCGGGGAACGTAAGTTGCTCTGTGCAAGGCTAACTACATACTGCCCGGGCGTAACGCCGACACGTTTTTTGAAGACGCGATGGAAATGGCTGGACGTCAGGCCAGCCTGCGCTGCCAAATCGCTGAGTTTCGGTTTCAGCCCTGCTGCCAGACTGTTTCGGATTGACTCGCAAGCTTTCTCGACCACTGCGGTTTGGGGGTTGCTTTGAGCCGCCGTCTGGCCCGAATGCGGCCGGCAGCGCTTACACGCCCGAAACCCTGCTTTCTCGGCCAGTGATGGGGTATCGTAGAATTGGACATTTGCGCGGCGAGCTAGCCGTGCTGGGCATGATGGGCGGCAGTATATTTTTGTGGTAAGGACGGCGTAGACGAAGGTGTTCACTGTGGCGTCGCGGGTTGCAATGGCTTGCCACCGCTCTGTGTTGGTGAGAGCAACGGTTGGGCTGAGACGGGCGATCCGTCGAGGCATGAATATTTCGGACATACTGCAGGATTGGAATATCTGTCAATTGATATATCCTGCTGTGGTCAACACAGCAGCAGCGACCAAGTTCCAGAGAAAAAGGCGGGGGAATTCTGATGATTGATCTCAAATTGACCAATCAGAACCCCTAGCGCTATTTATCGTAGACCTAAACCCAGCCTTTTACATCGAGTAAATGGTATCTTGGAAATGATTTGCATGGCCAGGCTATGATTTCAGAGACCCTTGATTTGAATTAATTGCGTTAGGGCCATCAATGGTGTTTCTTTTTTCAAATCCATTGCTCTGAGATATATTTACACCACATCACTGAGCCCGAACCAGTCATGAAACAACCTCAAGAATACATTTAGCACGCTATTGAATACTCCAAAAGCCAACAGAGCCCAACGATTTCCAAAACCACATTTTGACTACGGAGTATATATGTGCAACATGATCATTTTAGCAATCAAGACTAAGACATGGAGGAACCATTTACAGATGTAGAATAAATATAATCACATCACATTGAGTGGTGCATGAGCCAGGGCCGATATTTAGAGGGATATATTTAATGACCATGTACTAGGTAGTTGGCAGGATAATACCTAGGTAGTTCAGTGTCGCTCAACAGTAGGCTCATGATCGAGAACATCTACATCTACATATGGTCAAAAGTAGGTTGTGTAGCATACTTGCTGGATCTTGAGAGCCATGATGAATTGCTCATTTTATCTACAGACCTATGTTGACTTTGGGGTGACCTGCAAGATAACAAATCACCCAGGGACTGCTGTGTTACCGGGTACAGGCTACGGCAACAAATTTGTACCCAGGGGAACAACTATCGTATGCCGATGAATCAGCGTACCCCATGCAGTACGGACTACAGAGTCTAGAGGGTGATGAACGGGACGGAAGAAAAGTTTAAAAGGTGTATCATTCCACAGCCCTGAGGGCCTTTTGATTTTCCGTTCTGCCCCTATCAAGGCCGTCCCCAAACCCCTTTCATCACCCATTGGTTTGCTCGAAAAGGTAAAGGATGGTGACCACAACCTTAATTCGCTAAGAGCGTATGAGACGCTCATCCGCAGTCGCCTAGGTACATTTGTCTCATAGCAGAATTCCATTTTCAACCCGTCACAAGAATAACTCCAAGAAAAAGAAGACTTAATCCTTGGTCTTCTGGGTACCGCGGAGCAGACCAGTTCTGCGGGCGGCAATGAGACCGGCCTTTTGACCCTGGGTGGCGTAGCGGGAGATGGTCGAGGCCTTACCGATGTGCTGGTGGTTACCACCACCGTGAGGCTGTAGAGCAAATTGTCAGAGATTTGGAGCTCGATTTCAGCCGAGTCTGGCTGTAAATGGAAACTTACGTGATCGACGGGGTTCATGGCAACACCACGAGTCTTGGGCCAAGAGTTGCGCTTGACAGCGAACTTGTGCTTGGCACGACCGGCCTTGAGCAAAGGCTTGTCGGTACGGCCACCACCGGCGACGATACCAACCATACCGCGGGCGGTGTTCTTGATGACCTTCTTGGCACCGGAGGGGAGCTTGACACGGGTCTTGCCATCCTCGGGGTTGTGGCCAATGATGGTAACGTAGTTACCGGAGGTACGGCCAAGCGCACCACGGTCACCGGACTTCTCCTCGACGTTGGTGACGACGGTACCCTCGGGCATGGAACCCAGGGGAAGAATGTTACCGACAGTCAGGGCAGCGTTCTTACCGGCGTAGATGAACTGGCCGGTGTACATGCCCTCGTTGGCGATGAAGGTCTCGGTGATCATCTTGAACTTGTAGGGGTGGCGGAACTGGACCTTGGCGAGGGGAGCACCACGGCCGGCATCGTGGACGATCTCCTTGACGACACCACGGGTGTAACCGTGAGCCTCAGCGTAGTCGAGAGTCCGGAACTGGGCAGGGGCCTTGTTCAGGCGGGTGTTGGCCGCTGTAAAGTAAAGAAAATCCATATCAGCACTGCAATCTCATTGCGAATCTGTGTGTGTTTCCATGAATCTCTGTATCCTCCTCGTCTGCGCGGCGTAGGTTCAAAATTTCGTGCTGGGATGATTTGCGGTCGCACTCACTGAAAATGGAGCCACGGCCCTTCCTCTGGTTGCGGATGACACGACCCATGGCGACTGTCTAGACGATGATCCTATGTTAGTATGAAAGTCGGACAGAAGTGTCGTGGGAAAGTGGTAAGTCGTACCTCGAATTGAAGATAGGCTTGTCGTTGACGAGTTGAGAAATCATCGGACGGGGACTTGTGTGGGCTTTAGGGTGCGCGGTCGCTTAGACCTAACCCAATTGGGTTTAGCGCATGGTCGCTTACTCGAATTGCTGAACTACGCAACATAGGAATTTGGCCCTTAGACCTTTGATTTTGGGGATTTTAATAGATTTTATGCTGTTGAACTAAAAGAATATAATATTTAAAATAACAATATCTATTAAATATCACAAAAATTCAAGATAATTGCCTATAAATCGAGTATTTCTAGTCAAGCCCTGTAGATTTTTTTGGAGAGGCGAATTATGTCAGCATAAAACGTGACCTGGACTGCAGATGCCAAGAACCGCATCATCTCTGGTTATCAAGTTTTCTACAGTATGTACTCCATACATTGAGCTATGCCTTCTATCTTGGATTATAATCAAGTCGCTCTACACTATTGCAATGTTGAAATTGAGGTGTAGCTGCTGGGAATTCTCTTGAAATGACTGAATGATAATCAGAATCAATCATTCAGAAAGGTCGCCAGACTTTCTACGGAGTAGACCTATCCAACCTGGAATTGTGTCTGTAGTCAAGTCTTCGTGCCCTCTTTACTAACCAGACTGTTTGATGAGATATCGATGGAATATTGATGAATTCAATACAATCACATATCTTTGATAGAACCGATTTCTCAAATAACTGCAGAGGGATCAATCTTAGGGTTACAACAACTCGTCGCGTGCTAAATGCAATTTATATGTACTTCCCAACAGAAAGGTCATCGTCAACCACTCCCGCCTGTTTTTCACTAATCATTACTATCTGGATGATTTACTTAATTGAAATTCTTTATTCAACAGCTCTATTGGTGCCTTGTCAGCTATATCTACTTCCTTTTTATATCACCATACAAAGCCTGAGCTTCTTTCAATCAATAAGCCATTGCCATTGATAATGATTCTGTAAGAGACGGCAATAGATTTCCAATTAAAAAAAAGTGTCGCATAGAAATAGAGCGGTTGCGTAGTAATCTTTGATAATCGCCCTGCGGGCGCAAATCGGTGCAGACGCCGGGTTGAATGCGCGTAACCATTTCCTCCTTCACCATCTTACCCCAGCACTTCTATCATGCCCTCAGACTCTGAACTTTCATCATTATCGTCGGCACCCCCGACAGACGATGAAGCAGCCATGGCGGTCGAAAAGCCTGCTGGTATTGCAAAATACTTCAAGAAGGAGTCCGAAACGCCGCCTCCAAAGCGGGAGCCGTCACCACCGCATGAATACGTTTTGGCCGACAATCCTGATATCGCAGTGAGTTTATCTCTCAGTAGATGGACACTGCTCATTGATACACCAGCGGGATTATCTATGACGCGTCTAATCCACCAAAGGACACGCTTGCTAAGTTGTCGCAATCTAGTTCATCGTCATGTTCCGCGCGCGTTTCCTTGAAGTCTTCCCCCGAGGAGTGCCACATTGCGGACCACAGGACATTGAGATCGGAGTTGAAGAGTCTCCCCCTGGAGAATGTATCGAAAGACTTCTATGCGCAATACTTGGGCTCGTTTTGAATCGCAAGAAGGAAGTTGAGTATGGTTTGCCACCTGTCGATTGATGCCGTGCGGAGGTGCTCGCAGACGCGATTTTACCCCCGCTACTAATGACCGAGCTGATGGCTAACGCGATGCATGGATATATAGACGGAACCACTTTACGCGCCCTCTCGAAGAAGCAATTCATACACACCAGTCGCAATGGCCCAAAGAATGGCAGGGAAAAAATCCTCTTCACGGGGGTCGCAGCTTTGCGACCATGTCCCCTGTGGAACGCGTATGATTTTGATACCTATAAAAGCTCTCAAATTACGCCTCTGACATATTTGAATATAGTTGCAATTATTGAAGGCTCTGATACTCTGGTCTCTTTCATCTTCCGAAGCGGTTCAGGCAAAGATCAAAGACTCCTACAAGCAGGCACGCCATGAAGACGACCTCAATCAACCTCTCTCTGTTCAGCCCTGGGGCCGGGATAGCCTCAAACGTCGGTACTGGCTTATCGAAGGTTATGACGATACAAACTTCCGGCTCTACCGCGAGAGCAATCCAACCCTCAAAAACAACACTTGGTGGACTGTCGCGGGCAGTATCCCTGAACTAGAGGCAGTTGCGGAGAAGCTCGAGAGCGAGAAAGGGACCAACTCAAAGAAACTTAGCGAGAAAATTCGCGCTTCAATTCCTCGGTTTGAAGCGTCGGAGGAGGTAATTTACTTCACATCCCATGAAAAAAAATTAAGTGGATTATGCTTACACGATCTTAGAAACGGAAACGTCGTGAATATCGTCTGGCCCGGAAAGCTGCTTTCACCCGCCCGGATCCAGGATTCTCCATGTACGAAGGTCGTACACGGGGAAAGAAGCTCAAGTACACATACTCAGATGACGAGGACGTATTTTCTGACGACCAGCCCTCCACTCGTCGTTCGACTCGAAACGCGGCCCCGACCGAAGCTCCTACAGAGTCTAGGCGCCCTCGATTTACGGCAAGTGGGAGACAGATTCGGTCTCGTGCTGGGGGTCTCTATGGCGAGTCTCTTTTGTATGGACAGCACGGCGGTGCTGATGACGAGGAATTCGAAGAAGAAGAGGAGGTCAGCCGGCCACAGAGGACTCGGACCTCGATTCACCCAAATGGATACTCCGGATACGATGCGGAAGACCTGGATGATGCCTCAGAAGTACATTCTACTGCGAATGACAGTGGCAACGAATGGCGGGGCGTTGATGATGACTTGGAAAACGACTTCGAAGGCGACGATGAGGAAGGAGAGGAAGCCAGCGCAGAAGAGTCAGGTGAGAACGACGAACCAGAAAGCCTTGTCGTACAGCTTCGATATGGCAAAGGAGATGCGTCTAGCAACCCCGAAGTTCAGATCGACAAACCACCTCCTATGCAAGACGTTGAAATGAAGGATGTTGGAGAATCTGCAGCAGCAGAATCTTCTGTCCAAGCGCCGCCACCAACACTCCCCTTTTCATCAGGCCCAGTTGTGCAGCAGCCCCCAGCCATGACTGCGCCCTCATTATCCTCTGTTCCGATACCCCAGGTGCCAACCCAGCCCGCGCCGGCTATGGCTGCACCACCTGTTGCTTCAGCTCCTAAGCCGCAAGAAGCCATCCCACAAGGGCTGATGGCTACATCCTCTACGCATTCATCCCAAGAACCTCTTGGTGCTAGCGCTGAGATACCGAGAGCCACTCAGTCCATTGAGCCGAACGGAGTCAATCAATCTTGAATCACTCAATGTGTCCGGATTTTGTTCTGAGCTGTGTTAACATAGGCATCGTCTTTTTGTAAGGCTAAGAGCGGGCCTTCTGCTAATGTGCATTCTAATTGTTGCTGGATAGACCTCTGTCTAAATCATTTGCACTCAGGTCGTGGGGATTCCGAGATAGCTGGCTGTGGAAGCCGAAGTAGCGCTAGAGCTGCATTTGAAGTGATGAAAGCGAGCTGTCAAACAACGCCTCTTATTGTTAGTAGAATAGTAGTAACAGTAGTAAAACATCGATGATTTGCACGTAATTAGAAATCATAGGTCTCGATTCATAAGGATAGCACGGGAGCTGTCGCGTGTTGGATTTAAAGGTAAGCTTGAATCAGATGACAGATGGACAGGACAGAGAATACAATATCTGTTAGAGTGAAGGATATAGGGAATGCAAATGGGAATCAATAAGAGCAGGCGCCTCCAGAAAGCGCGAAAAAACGCCAATAATGCAAGCAATCAAATGTATGCAGAAGCCAGCTATCACCAGACTCCTGGTTTAGGATACCAAAAGATCGCATCCAGCGCAGAGACAGGTTCAGTCAGAACCAGCGTTGGAGAATTGGGCCGTATAGAACTGCAGAAACTCCTCGACCGTCAGCCACTCCAATTCTGGTCGAGATCAGATTGGGGAAAATCAATGATAGGGGGACTTTGCTCACATCTTCAACTTGCGACGCAAGTCGCGGATCTCTAGTTGAGCCCAATTGCGGCAGATGCCAGTTATTCACTTCATACCACCACCTGCGAATCCTGCTTCCAAGAGTGTGACCGCTGACCGAGGCGTTGCGGTTCCAAAAGCGCCAGCCCGAGAGCGCAAGCGTCCAAACAGTTCCTTGAATCAAAGGAAGAAGCACCTAAAAAAATGCAATTGGCACGTTAGCCAGGGGTTCAGAGACAAACTGATTCCTCTATGTGGTTCTTCACGAGCCACCTAAATCTAGAAATGCGTACCTGATCCCTAGTGGTAATCCACGCCACTCGCCCCCAGGATTCGGCATCCTTGATACTGGCGAGGTAGCTCTGTTCGAAGCGTAGATCGGGAAGAGGAGGGAGATTTTGACGCCGGTGAACTGGATGAATCATCCGGCTTGGATGAACGATGTCGGATGCAATGCTGTTTGTGTCGGAGTCCGGACCTACTACGACGGGCTGTTTTTCTGAAGCTGCCGTGGACGGGTTGACATCGTGAGCTGGATCGGGATTGTGATTGATGCTCGCAGATTGAATGAGCTCCGGGATTTCCATAGCGTGACCGGCCATCTTGAGTAGACTTGGTTATATTTGGTGATATTTAGTCGCTGAGCATTCAAAACAGCTTTCGGATGAACAACCCATCGGCCGTAACCGGTGGATCCATACAGTCCGCTCTTTTCTGCCGACCCCTCCATATCCTCCCACCTTCGCCCACCTTTTTAAATCCCTATTCATTCGTATTTATCATCAATATCATAATGGCTGCTCCTCAAGGTTACCCTCTTCTCTGTCTGGAGAACCCTCTCCTCGGTATGTCAATCCCAAAGATGATTAGAACCCAATACTGACTTGCTTCCAATAGACATCCAGGCTCGTGGGTATGATTATACTTCAAAGTAAATTAACACCAAACATGGAATGCTGATGGTTATTTTTTTTAGCGATGCTGCTCTTTTGGAAAAGTATGGCCTGAAGGAAAATGATGCTATCCTTGCTGAGGAACAGCACATGGGTATCTACGAGGACCTCCTCTCCCGTGATGCCAAGCTGATTCCCGGTGGTGCCGCCCAGAACACTGCTCGTGGTGCTCAGGTATGAATTGGAACCCTCCCTTTTGTGGTTTTGGCGACGGTTTTAACGAAATTTGCAGTACCTGCTTCCTGAGCAGTCCGTTGTCTACATTGGCTGCATTGGCAAGGACAAGTACGGTGACATCCTCAAGAAGACTTGCGAGGAGGCCGGTGTCCACACCGAGTACCGTGTTGATGAGTCTCAGCCTACCGGTAAGTGTGGTGTTGTTATCACTGGCCACAACCGCAGCATGTGCACCCACCTTGCTGCTGCCAACGAGTACAAGATTGAGCACCTCAAGCAGCCCGAGATCTGGTCTCTGGTTGAGAAGGCCCAGGTCTACTACGTCGGTGGATACCACCTGACTGTCTGCGTGCCCGCTATCATCGCTCTTGGCGAGGAGGCCGCGGCAAAGAACAAGGTAAGTCATGTTGTTCCGTGTGGCGTGTCAGGCCTCATTCTAATACAAGTATCTTCTAGGTCTTCATGCTGTCTCTTTCCGCCCCCTTCATCCCCCAGTTCTTCAAGGAGCAGTTGGACAGTGTTCTTCCATACACTGACTACACCTTCTGCAACGAGACTGAGGCCATTGCCTACTCTCAGAGCCACGAGTGGGGCACCGAGGACATCACTGAGATTGCCAAGAAGCTCGCTCAGCTCCCCAAGAAGAACACCCAGCGTCCCCGTGTTGCCATTGTTACCCAGGGCACCCTCCCAACCATCGTTGCCACCGGCTCTGCTTCCGGTTCCGTCGATGTGAAGGAATTCAACGTTCACGAGATCTCCAAGGATGCCATCAACGACACCAACGGTGCCGGGTAAGTAATTTTGATATAAGCCTGAGTGTGTATACACTAACTTGTTTCTACAGTGACGCCTTCGCTGGTGGATTCTGCGCAGGTATCGTTTCCGGCAAGTCTCTCGATGACAGCATCGACATGGGCCAGTGGCTCGCCAGCAAGAGCATCCAGGAACTTGGACCTTCGTGAGTTTTCTTTCTCCTATACACTGCTGTGACTTTATCTTGGCTACGGCAAGATTATTTCTAGAAGTGTCAACTGAGAGACTCTTGCTAACTTCTGTCAATCTACAGCTTCCCCTCCCCCAAGCAAACCTACTCTCGCTCTTAAGCGAGCAAAATGTAGACTACAAAAAAGCATAGACTACCAAACAACCTTCAACACATCCTCCAATTTAATATTGGAAGATTGCGTGCAATAATCCAGTTCTAACAACAGATGAGCACCATATGATTTCAGATGATTCAACCCTCTATACCCAATCTTTCTTTTTCAACTCTTGATGACTTCAACGTACTGTCTAAATAATTGAATGAAACCTAAACATTCTTTTCGGGATGCTTGCCTTTATAATATCTTTGAGAAATTCAAAACATGTTATAGGAATTGACCATCTTAAAGGTTGACAGTGATCCCAGTAGCAGCGATGTTACGAATAAAAATGGTATTCCATACACATAACGTACATATGCCTAGCAAGCTAGGTGGATCATTTTTATTATATGAACAACAATGAAGATGCCTTCATACAAATTGGGTGAAAACACATGAAACAGGATCGATGATATTCAAGGCCAAACAAGCACAGCGGTACTAAGGGAGTATTGAGCCCGAAACTCTGCAGACTCAGTATTCAACCCGAGAACCACCGCACCCTCACGCTGTATGATTCCTCTACCGCAAAAGAAAAGAGTTAAAGCTAAAAGACAAGAACGGGGGTTGAGGCCGTTTTGCACGAAAATAAGAAAGGGCAGAAAATAAAATGAAATCCTTGTCTCCTCGAAAAGGCAGATAGCCTGTAGCATCTCCTCATTTGGAACATGTCTTGTGTTGAACGCGCATATTCGCCTAGACGGATTGCGAGGAGAGCAAGGTTTTGGAGAGATTTCAGCATGCGCACACAACCGTGATGGCCTCGCCACGAGGCTGAAGTTCTTGAACTAAAAGTAGCACAGGATCTGCCACGTGTGAACTGGCTGGCTGTAGGACAATCGCGTATGGTCGTTGCAAAGGTGCATATAGTGAGAAAGGTGGATGTGGGGTTTCGACGCAATGGGTCGCATCGAAGTACACAGGCGGCCGATCTCGAAAACAAACATAGCACACGCCGAGATGGCTGGAAATCCAGCTGCACAGGCAGGTCGAGAAATTTGCCCGGCCGTTTGTGCTGTATGCATCTGCACCGTAAGAAGAACTCAAAAAAACCGAGAGCTCGGATAATCAAATCAGCCTCCTTGGCCGCAGGGTGGCGTTTGCCCGATTGCTTCGAGTTGGGTTGGACCCTTGGGTCCCCCAATACCAGCACTGTAGGGAGTTGCGCCTGCAAGCCTGCTGGCAATGAAAGCTTCGTTTGCCCACGAGGGATGACCTAAGCTGCTGGATGTTGATTGGCTTGGTACCTCAAATGCACCGAATGCCGTTCGGCTATGCTCCCAGCCATTTCCGGTGGGGTGGGGCTGCGGGGGAGACATGTTGGATGACTTCCATGGCGTAGGCATTGATCCTACATCCATGGTGTTCGGGAATTGACTCTGGGCCACGAGGCGCTGTCGAAGCATCATCTCATTTGCAAGCTGATTGTGCGATGGTGAATGTTCGGATGGCATGGGATTTCCGGCAGCCATGGGGTGTAGCGGAGCTTGCTGCCCCATGGATGGACCGAGACCAGGGGGAGTTCGTGGAGGGGCGTTGTTAACCAATGGAGTCCAGATGCTGGGGAAACTGGGAATAGCAGGCCTTGGGGCGTATGACTGGGTTGACGACGATTGAAGTGAATCGGCCGCCTTGACCACTGGAGGCCCAAGCCCAGGCGGAGGAGCAATTGGAGCATTGATTGGCGGCGAGTTCTGTTTCCCAAATGGATAAAAATTGGGATTAGGCGAGACATGTGTAGGCGTCGGCATCTCTCCAACCGGGCTCAGGAAAGCATATTGGTCCTTGGAGGGATTTTCATAGGTGTCCGAATCAACAAGTCGTTCGACGCCCTCAACAATTTGGTGCATATTTGCAGACATAGATGCCGATGCGGATTGAGAGCCGCCGAATAGGCTTTGGGCTTCGGCGGCAGTGTAAGAAGGTTGGGTTGCTTGTGGAATATCCTCGCGCTCAATGTTCGCAGTTGAAAGCGCATGATTTCGGTCATGAGGGCTGGAATAGAATTGCGAAGGAAGATCCTCTTCTTGGTAGATAAAGGTCTTCTTGTCTTCGTTATCTACAAGAGCCACCGGAATTTTCTGCACGACGTTAGCTATCTGCTCGCTTGTCTTGTGTTCACATGGTTTCCACATACACCTCTCACGACCAGATCAAGTCCATCAATCACAAATTCGCGAATTCGGTAGAGCATTTCCATATTAGGATGGCTTCTTTCTACCCCAAGATCGTGCATCCGAGGTTTTGGCTGATCACCGCCTCCAACGTATCGGCGAGATGTAGCATCCTGATCGAGAGGCGCAAAGCCAAGACTTTCTTCGTCCTCTTCAAGTAGGTAATCGACCTCGGGGAGGCTGACCACATCGAATGAAGATGCGAGTAGGCTCAGTGTGCCAGCATAAATCTTCCAGAATTCTTTAATCTGGATCGAGAGCGCTGAATCCTTTTCTTCTTTCTGCTCGACTAAAGACTGGCTGTTTGTGAGTAGCCAGGAGCTGTAATGACGAAGTGCAGGCAAAATTCGGCGGGCAACCACTGAAACCTTGTCTGGACTCGGCAGAGCATCTTTGCCCAAATCCTCAAAGGAAGCAGTCCGTTCTAATTCAACCAAAAGTATTTGCAGCAAAGTGAAAAATGTTTTTACATTGATCCGCTGGAAAAATACACCGGCATCGGAGACAGATTCCTCTGATAGACGGGTCAGCATGGCCTAAGTAATAACGCCGATTCATATGCATACCAATAGATCGGACCTTGGCGAAATCCTCGGCCGCAATGTTGATAAGACAGAACTTCTGGAGTGTGCCCTCAAGTGATCTTTCTCTGATTTCGACTGCTAGTTGACTTAGGACCTCACTCTCTAACTCGTCATGCTCTGGAAAATCAGTTCCCTTGTAACATTTGGCATGAAGATAGAGGAACCAGGGGGTCAGAGCTCTTCCAGGAATACCGGCATCTTCAGGGCGGATCAACTCTCTTTTAGCCCAGGCACTCATGATTTTCCGAAGTTCGATCTCTAGATTGCCCTTCGCCGTAGGGTGAGGTTCTTGGGCCGAGAGAGCCCTGTAAAGGTGATATGTAGCACGAAGATGGTTTCCATCAGCTAGAGCAATGATTGCTAATTGGTTCTGGGATGCACCCGATGCAGGGTTGATCACAGAAGCCAAATCATAATAGCCGATTGCAGGGCCCCAATTTCGATCTTTGCTGACGAGTTCCGATTCACGATAGCGGGAAAGATCTCCCAGTCGAATAAGGGTCGAGTGACACGACTGAAGGATAAGCATGCGCAGGTCATTGGATGGCTTAATGGGAGGTTGGCCTGACAAGTCTAAATACATCCGCGGGTTAGTATGGCGAGAAACCCGGCGCATAGCTTCACTATGTTTCTTACTCTCGAAATTGAACTTGCGCGCAACTCTCTCCAGCTCCACAATTCCCCCAAAGCGCGACGACAGATGCTGGATGTATCCCCGGTAGAATCGCTGGCTTGATTTTATAAAATCGAGGTAATGACGTTCGAGTTTACGCCTTTCAACTGGTTTCTTTTTTCCGTGCTCTTCGCGAAACTGATATAACACATATATGCGATCAGTTTGGGCCGTTCCCTGAGAAGGAATACTGCGGGATACTCACGCGTAGAAGCTGCTTTCGAAACCGATTGTTCACTTTGAGATGCGCATCCCACAGACGACCCTCCACATCGGCCTCGCGGGCGGCATTGAAGTCGATAAGGATTGCATTTTGGCAGGATGTCCGGAATCTACATGGAAGTGTCAGCCTGAGCGTGCGCGCGGGGCTTGGGTTGACGCTACTGACTCGGAAAGAAAATGTTCGAATTCATCAAATGTGCGCCTTTCTTGAGAGAAGCATTGTAGGAGACTCTTTTCAGCTTCTACCGCTTTCCTATAGCACAAAAATTAATTAGATAAATTTCACAATTCAGCTGAGATCGAGGGGAAAGAAGTACTAACGTCCAGGCATCCATGAAAGAGGGCGCCATCAGGGGAGTTAGGCTCGGGGATCCCGAGAACCTCGCCGGTCAAATGGCTATGGCTTTGCAGGTGAGCAATAAACGAGCCATTAGAATGGGAAAGCGAGAGATGAGTTATGGAAAATGCATAAATGTGGTTCCCGATATTCTGCTGATTGGTGCCAAGGCGGGAGGTATTATTTCCGTAATGCTGATTACATTATTGTACTTTGACATCTATCAATTTCTATGAAAACCTCAAGTTTCAGAGATGATTTGAGATATTCAAAGAAAAAGCACTGAATTGAAATAGACTATCATAGACCTGACCGTCTTTTTACTATTGTGATCCACTTACTTTGAGAACCCCTCGCCAAATCGACCTATCAATCCATCATATGCAAGGCAAGCGAATGAGATCAACATGTCTAAACGCTCCCGAAGCCACTCAAGATCCTCATATCTTGAAAAGGACTCATCATCACCATTTCCAACGGTAGAGAATACAACCTTTGAACTTTCTGATCGTACCAAGTTCGTTGACAGTACCAACGTCCTCCCCGAAGTGATGCATTGCTCCTTACCGCCCCATCGCGAGACCATCTCGTTCACTTCCTACGAGGATTACGAGGTTCATTACCTCCAATATCATGTAAACCGCTGCTCTGAGTGCAGTAAGAACTTCCCTACTGGTCGTCTACTCGATATACACATCGAGGAGAACCATGACCCACTGGTTGCTGCACGACGAGCCCGTGGAGAGAAGACCGTGAGCCTAGCCTATTCGTTATCGACCAATCTGTATTCTTTTGACTAATCAAGCGAATAGTACGGATGCTTCATTGAAGATTGCGAGCGCAAATGCTCTACCCCTCAGAAAAGACGCCTACATCTCATTGACAAGCACATGTTTCCTCGAGTATGGGCTCAAATTCACATCTGGTTCATATCTTACTGATATATTGACAGAGCTACAATTTCTACATCGTAAATGATGGCATAGATAAGCAGACTTCCATGCTGCGACCCATGAACAGCCACAGACGACGCATTTCAACCTCATCAGCTCTAGAGGGCAGGCTGCGCCGTCGAAGCTCTGCATCTCAATCAAACCCACCTACAAATGTACACCCTGTGACAAAAGCACCCAGCGACATGGATATCGACGAGCTGGAGAAGTCTATGTCTGCCCTGAAATTTGTGCCCTCGAGCGTCACGAGAAATCGGGGCAAGGTGCCTGGAAAGTAATACTCAGACTGTACAGTCATGTTTGAATCATCTGTGCCTTATTGTTATTGATATTGGATACGACATTACGAATGGCTTGATGAATATATGTAGAACGAAATGGAAGAACTGTTTTCTTGGGGCGACACTAAAACGACTACGTATGGAATATGAAGACTGAAACAAGCCTCTCTATATAGCGGGAGAAACAAAGAGTTTGGATCTTCTGTTTGCCATAGAATAGCAAATTTCATTCAAGGTCTTTCTGTATGCTCTGGTTCAAACACAATAAACAAGACCCAAATGAAATGAAATCGAAATTTGGCATTGTGCTCAGCAAACAACGACAGGGTATAGACAGCACTAAGCAGTGGCGAAGTCATAATACATACAGAGATTCAAACAAACATTGAAAACATAGAATCTTGAGAGACATTTTAACATCCCAGTCCCCCATATACCGAACTCCTTGGAACATCATCCAAAAGCAAAACAAAGGGTCAATAACACCATTAGACCGGCCAATTCGAAGAAGCCATGGATATTTTTTTGGGGTGAAGATGCAATAATATCTTCATCTCAAAGGCGAGGAAACACGCATCGAGTTTGATTCGCATGTAGTTAGAAAAAGTCAAACGTGAATGGCACACGGACATTCAGTGCCCGCAAAAGATCCAATTCCCCAGATATAATATTTTGAAAAAACTTGGAGCCGAGAACACTTCACTCAGCATTCTAAAAGATCAGCATACGCATCCAAACTTGAACCGACCAAATCAACAATCGCCCAGCTAGTATTGCCCTTGAAAGTCCGCGCCCAAACGCGAACAATTGCAACACTAAGCTGCCGTACCTTATACGGGTTCGACATGAACTCCATATCAGGCGCGCCTGGCGGATCAACAGCCATTTCAGTTTCATCCATCATGCTCTTGATCCATAAAAGCAATTTGCGCTCATGCTCCGATAGTCTCTGCTCCGACTGGGTCGCCGGGATAGCAAGTAGCCATCGACTAAGAAGGAAAGCGCACTCCAGACTGCAGAGGGAATGCTGTATGCTCCAGAAGAACGAGTGTGTTCTAGCCACGAAGTCAATTCCCAATCGTACTGGGATGGAAAGGGCATGTGCCGAGTGAAGCAATGCCATGATCAGCCGCGGACTGCGTGCAATGGGAGGTGACTCGGTCAGAGCTGCTGCGATTTGGGTTGGGTCTTGTGTGATGAGGTGGCGACAAGGGCCTAGGTCGACATGGAGTCGAATGTAGGCGAGCCCTAGCAAAGCTGTGGAGGTGAAAGCGATAGGACCCGCAGGGTTTTGGGGGTCAATACTGGATTCTGGTGTGCGTTTCCACAGGGCTTTCCAGGCACTCAATGAATTGTCAAGTACATTCAAATCTTCATACCTTAAGCTGGTGCCTTGCATGTGTGGGGCTGACAAACAGAGTTGTCGAGCGAAGAAGATTTGTTGTATGATTGCATGAATGAGGATATAGTTTCCAAGAGGGGATATCGGCGCCGACGGAAGCGAAATCGATGATTTTAGAAATAGTCTGGCAAATGCTTCTTGGAATGGTACATCTGACCCCTGCCGAGTGCGATTCACACGGCGCCATTGGGGGGCATTGCTCGATTTCCAAAGATCATGGGAAGATGGCATGTTCAATTTCAACTCCCCGTTTAGGATTAAGGGAGGGATGTTATACATGATCGAGTGGAGGTTAAAGAAACAGTAAACAATGAGCTTGGTGCGTCTGTTGCCTTCTCTCCGTACCCACTCTTCCCAGCTAATAGGCTCAGCGGTGGGAGGGGGTTCAGACAAGCCATGCTCACGCACAAGCCTCGCCAAGGTACTCTGAAGCGAGAGAATTTCCCGCAAGAGCTCTGGGTGTCTTTCCCACGAGGCAAAGACAGTCAGCAACAAGAATGTTCGGATTACTTCCATGTGAGCATCTGAGTCATCTAGTGTATAGATTGACGCGTTAACAGGGGGATTCTGCATTTGTTGATGCTGAAACGGGCTGCTTGCCGTTGAAATCATGGATGAGCCGCGAGAGTTGTGAAACCCAGACGGTGGGGAAATATAATTCCATGATGGCTGAGGTACTTGTTTGCTGTCTCGTCGACGAAGTCGCTCTAACAAGATTGCCTTGGCGGCATGAAATAGATCAATGCCCCGGCTATTTTCAAATCGATAGTGCGAGCCTGCTGCTGCCAGCGCTAGCGTAAGTTCAGGGGAGCACTTAGCGACAGAAAGCGTCGGAACATGTATAAATGGAAGATGTTCGTTCAACCCGTTGATATAGCCGGCAAAAAACCGAGATAGGGCATGTCGTGATGGCGGAACGAATCCTTTCGGAAGAACATATGAGAACTCCTCGAGTTTGGAGAGAAATACCTGACGGTCTGAATTGGAGATGTCCCACGCTGGTCGCGTGCTATCATCGGCGAGGCCAATACGATCGTCCATTTCATGCGATTCCGGTTGCAATGATGGAAGCCGGGATCCAAAATTCGAAAATGATGGCTGGTCATCGCCTCGCGAGTCGTTCATAAGATCGCCTCCAAGTCGCGTAGGTAATGTCTCACGGGGTGGTTTGGAATCCATCGTCATACTTGGTGGTAGCATGGGTTCCTCTACCGACGAGAATACGCCCGAGTCCCAATCAGAAGACAGACCCACACTTTCAAGGAAAACTGTAAAATCCTGGACAGGATCTCCAAGATCAGTAAGATCAAGAATTGAAGGTTCTACACCATAGTTATCGGCAATCGCTCTCTCTTGAACGTGATGGATCGGTTGTGCAGTCGGCGCAGATGTGTGCGAGGGTTTTCTCATTGACTCTAAGCTCTCCTGTTGGCCTTCCAGAGCGACATGGCTTGCAGCATGAGATAATAGGTTCAGATCATAGCCCCATGAGGGATTGAAGTGAGGTGTATCGATAATTGATGGGGCCTGAACCTGAACTTCGGGTGGAGGAGGTGGAGGGATTTGTGTGTGTACTGGAATGGCGTCGGCAAGTTCCAACATGCGCGACTCATGGTGGGCTGGTTGGATGAGGTTGGACTGGATCGATATTTCATGGTTGTTTTCGTTACCATTCTGGGCTCGATGCTCACGATTGGCAGCACTCTCAGCAGGGTGTACTAATCGCTCATGTCGTACTAGAAGGTCACTGAAAAATGATATAAGCGATTGGGGTTCCGGGTAATAAGAGCAGGAAGAGCCTACCTCCGAGCGAAAGATTTGGAGCAAATGTCACATGAGAAAGGTTTCTCTTTTGTATCTGTTGTCCTACATTAGACACAATCCAAGGACCTGGAACGAGGGGGTTACTCAACGGGTGCGGAGATGGCGTTGGAGATGCTCTAACCGAGCGAAAGATCGACTGCAATATTCACATGATAACGACTTGCGGTGAGCAGCACCTTTCTTTTTAGACTTAGATTTTTCGTCCTCCATAATGGGGGTTTTTGGGGGTGGATTGGAGCGCAGTAGAGAGGGGAAGAATTTGAGGCCGGCTGTTTGAGCGGGGAAATTCGACTGTGGGGGATGGACCAAGTGGTGAGGGGACGGGTCACGTGTGTCTACATCTATATTTTGAAATCTGAATCTATACAAGCACATGTAATTCTTATTCTTGCGGCTTACACGTAAGTCTGGGTTTTTTCTTGATTGTTGGGGATAGGTCTGATGCATGAGTGCTGACGCTCAAAATATGCATGCGCTCGGGTCTCCACTGGTGCGGAGAGCGCCTCTCGATTGGAATTTTTACCCGGTTTAGATAAGGTAGAATTTTATGCAGTATTGAGTATGTTCATTCCATATCCAAGGCTTTGGGGTATACTTGTACGTTAATCTATGATTGAATCATCAGACCTCTGTAGAACGTATCTTAAGGTTAGATGCGCTTTCTATCCACCAGCAAAAGCGCCGAAATAAAATACCAAAGAACCAAGTTAGGGTTAATTCTAGCTTATAGTGAACAGAAAGGAAAAAAAGAAACAAGTAAAAATCAAGTAAAGGCAGAAGATACATACATACATATATACCTACTTAGGTACTAGCGATATACAAGTCTTACTATTTTGTAGGTAGATCTGCAGCGTTTTTCAACACTGTTATAGCTATATTCATATAACAGAATATCATGAATAGGCATTGATGTTGGTTTGACAGATTTCTTAATTGAGTTTTATACAATCTCGCTAAGAACTATTTTATCTCAGACAAGTAGCCTGCTTCAGTTTCACTCCAAAAGCCTCTCACCACATATTTCCCTAGTGAGGACATATTCCGCAATACTGCTTTGGAATTTTCTACTTCGTATATGCTAATCATTCGCATATTCGAACCATAGAGTTGTATTCTATATATAACTCTCACATAGTATAATTTTGGCTATGAAATTCCATTCTGTCACCAATCGTACTCAGTCTGGTGACGCTCTTAGATATCATATTTCTATACAATTTCTGTCTTATTACGGCTTTTTGGTGTTTCTTACAATCTCTTTCTATTCCCTCTTAGTCACAAGCATATGCATAGCTAGATAGCGGTTACAGATGCCTTGGTATAGTTGCAGCAGAATACATTCCAAGGTTTACCAAAACCTTAGAAGCTGTTCATAGACTTAATTTGACACCACGCACTACCTAGGTATAATATATATCTTAATGATCATGCTACCCTTAAAGAATCTTCATCATAGCCTCGAATTTTGGAAGACATAGGTCCTAGTGTATAAGAAAGAATCCTGAAATATGCATACTTTGATATGTAATCATAAAAGATTTCTGAGTGACTCGGCTTCTTCGGATTCTAATTACTATACAAAATCCCGAATAAGCTCATTGTTCAGTTTTATAAGAAAAATTGACAAAAAAATAACATGAACTTAGAGGACCAGGAAAAACGAGAGATTAGGAGAGAGATTTAATTGCCAATTTCATACTCTGGAGTTATGCCGTCCACGAGATTTTACAGGCACAGCAAATGCCTATTCTCATGCAAAAAAGTTCCCTCAGAATTTTAGAGGTTCGTTCCTCCATGTTGAGAGCATGATTTCAATAACGTCGGTGTCAAGCCCCACAAGTTCCTTTAGGCGTTCCTCCAAGTCTGGGAGGCTAGGTCAACAGTGCCGTTGGCAAATTTCCGCAGGGGCTGCTCCTTAGCCTCTTTGACCCATATATCCCGACACTGGTCTGGTCAATAGCCCAGTCCCTAAGCAGATGCGGAGGACATCGAGGATCAGATGATCATAGTCGGGTTCTTTAAGGGATGTGTGTCGACCAAGCTAATAGTATTTATACCACATGTAATAAATGTAGGGTTCAAGCGAATCAAACCGTCTCCAATATTGCAGTATCGATCGCTAATATTCCAAGTTTAATTGATGAAAATTGGCCCTCGGATGTCTTCAAGTTCCCCTCTAAGCGGCGAATCCCAGCACATATTTTTACTCTCTAGGAGGGTTGAACGCGATGTGGCCATCGATCCTCCGATAGGGATCCACTCTACGGAGAAATACTCCGTATATATATCTACATTATAGCCCGGGAATTATCTACACAATTACCAAAAAACTGTAGCTTACATACAGCATTTCTAGCATGATACATATTTTTTTACTAGATAAAGGGTTAAACACGGCTTATAGTAAAGGCATGTTATTTTATCAATATTAGTACTTACATACTCTGTGCATATACTCCCGATTCCGATTGAAAGGGGCGGGAAAGAGGCTATAAAAATGTTTAAATCTACGTATGGTACTTAAGGCGCTTACACAGTTTCAGATCTATTGTAAGGGCAAACCATCGGCACTAGTATTAAAGGTACATTATTGTCTCACTACGGGTATCAGGAGTGAAGGACTAGCTTATATCAAGTACACATATACACTTAGGTAGTTACAAATGTACATATGTTCATATATGCTTAATAATAATCGCTATGTTCTCTTCAATAAGAAATCTCTTATCATGTATTATACGGAGTATTCCGTACATACAGCGTAAATAAATATGTAGCCAACAGTTTGTGGCTTGGATATAAACCCACTATTCCGTATCTGTTCCTCAAATCTACCTGCAACTGGGCAGAGTTAGGCGGCTGCGGGCCTGGCCTAGAGTAGGCTTATGTAATGGTAGATATCCGCTTAGGTGCCCAGCAGATGGACGGAAGGCGAACCGGAATCAACCCTGGAGGGGGAAGGTTGGGCTCAGTAGAAAGAAAGGACCCCCCCCTCTTCCCAGAAATTCCATCATCCCAAAAAATAGTAGAATACTGAACTAGAAAGGAAATGCCAAGAAGTAGAATGTGATAAGTTCTGAAACGTGAATGAAATACACTAACTACTCCTAACTACTCCATAGTGTAGAAACAGCGAATAGCGAACGCGGTTAGGTTTCCCCCTTGATAACACAACTCGGAAATCCATGGTTTCACCTTAGTCAGGGAACTCCAATGCGCAGGTGCAGCGCAGGTGTTTCAAGTTTCAGAATTTCCCCTCCCCCAAAACTTCAAATCTCAAAGAACTGCATCTCTTTGGACTTAACAGATCTTCACTTCTCTGCTTGACTTGTCAAGTGTGGAGTACTGTTATCTCGATAATCGAAAACCGCACTAAAGTGGCCCACACGATCTCGCTCCGAAAAAGCTCAGACTGTAAGTTGCATCCGTTGAGCTCTTTCTGATTCCGCCGGTTGGAATTTCTTTGTGTCATCCTGGTAAGTCTTTTTTTAATTCATTGTGATTCTTGTCCTTTAAATCCTCCTCTCGTCAGGGGTTGACCTGTCATATTCAGAATGTGTGACTGATTGGATAATTGGATATAGCAAGGAACCGGGATTATGTGTTGACCTCCGTCGCATGGTTCTTCGGATATCTCGACAAATTGACAAGGTCCTGAAAAGTGTGGAGGAACGAAGAGTTCAATTTCAGGCGACCGGCGCGCGAACCTCAAGTCAATCGAATGACCCGCATTAGCCATGTTGGCACCCAAGCAATATTCAGGAGCCGCGAGTGTACCATCCCAGACCCCAACCTCACTCGGTCATCTCCACCAGAGACCTGCGACATCAACAAGCCTTCAGTTTGGGATGGGGTTCACCAGTCCAACGTCGGAGTTGTCGGAGGGGCACGATGATCTTGCATCTGTCCGGTAAGCCGTTTGGAATGTGGAAATAGGGTTGTGTCGTAATACTCACATTTGACAGAGCTTGGGACGAGAAAAGAGTGGTTGCCTGGCTTCACAGCATCAAATGCGGGCAATATGAGTCGATATTCAGATGTACGTTCTTTCGGCTGCCCCGATGAAGGACCTTTAATGGCAGCGCTAATGGTTCCCAGCCAACAACTTCAATGGAGATAATCTAGTCGAATGCGACCAAAAGATCCTGCAGGAGATGGGTATTAAAAAAGTTGGTGATCGAGTGCGCATCTTCGTTGCTATCAAACAACTTAGAAACAAGTCCGGAACAACGTCACGACAAAAGAATATGGTGGGTTGGGCGCGCTATCACACTGGTAACTCCGTACTTATGCTGATCTCTGATATAGAATACCCTAGCTGCGCTCGAAGCCACGGCGCTTTCCAATTCCTCCCGTTTCTCCCACTCCCGTCTACCATACCGACGCACATCTCAGCTGGCTGATGATGGTTATCTGAACAGCAAATCGCTGTCTCAGCCTGCGTCACCACCCGCCGGGGACACTGAAAGAAGCCCATGGTCCAAAGACTACCTTAATCATCCACCCTCGAGTGGCTCAAATACTGGTCGGAGCACCAGTATATCACACGGAAGCCGAAGCTCCCATCCTCGGAACCCCAGTCTTGATGGCCTCACAATGGGTCCTCTTCCGTCAAATTCACCTGTCATTCGTGTTATCTACACCGGTGGACAAACCAAGGTGCTGGATATCCGAAATTGCGCAACACCAGATGAAGTTATCTTATGTGTTTTGAAGAAACTCCAACTTCCAGAGCACCAGTACAGAAATTACTGCTTCTATGTTCTGGATGGCCTTGACCCAGACTTGTCAAACTGCCGAAAGCTCACCGAAACCGAGCTCATGGAGATCTGCGAGGGTTACAACCGGTCCGAGCGAGGTCGTTTGATTCTCCGGAAGATCCACGCCGGAGAACCCGACCAGGATGAGCTTCGTCGTGCTTCGCAGCTCGCGTATGATGAAAGTCAGGCCACACATCAGCACGCTCTGAACAACTCCAACCAGCGCCAGAAACACAAGATCCAGCAACTTACTGGTGAATCTTGGCATAATATCAAGCAACCCCTTTCTCCCTTGGGTCCTCGGCATCGGCCATCCAACTCGAGTCTTGAAGAACACCGGGAGCCTAACGATGAACGCAATCCGGTTGCTAAGCTTCGTTCGTTCTTCGGACAGAGACCTCCCAGTGAGATGATCATTCACGAACTGCAGTCATTCTTCCCCAGCCATGACCGAGAAAACATTGAGAAGACTGTGCGAAGATCTCAACGACTGAGTCGCGCGGCCAGTCGCATGAGTGTTGTGAGCAACTACAGTGTTGCATCAAGTATGAAAGATGCCCCGCCATTACCACCATTACCCTACCTCCCTCCCATCCCCACTATTGCCGACCAATGGCTTCAGGGGCCTGGACATGCACAGGCAGTACGAGCTCCTCGGCCTGTCTCGGTATCTAAGTTCAACCTGTCCCAAGCTTCATATCGTGATTCGATCGCATCTAGCTCTCTTCAACCACTCCAGGAGGAAGATTCGGAGACTGAGCCGAACCGCAGGTCATATGTCTCTTTTGAAAGTGGCTCTGATTTCATTGATGAATCAAGCTCCATTCACCAGAGCGAACCAAGCCCCTTCCGTCAAAGCTTTGAGAGCCTCAGTATCGCTGCTACAGATGGTGGTTCGTTAAACGACCGAATGAGTATCATTGTGGCCGAGGATGGCGAGGAAGAGGATGATGGCCTCGTTGACTTCCTGGCTGGAAATAACTTCGCCCCGAAGAACTGGATGAAGGGATCCTTGATCGGAGAGGGATCTTTCGGAAGTGTTTTCCTGGCCCTCCATGCTATCACGGGAGAACTTATGGCTGTCAAGCAGGTTGAAATTCCATCTGCTACTAAGGGCACGGAGTTCGATCAACGCAAGAATCTCATGGTCAACGCTCTGAAACATGAGATTGAACTGTTGCAAGGAATGTCTCACCCCAACATCGTGCAATATCTTGGTACAGTCGCCGACGACCAGTATCTGAACATTTTCTTGGAGTATGTGCCTGGTGGCTCTATTGCCACAATGCTGAAGCAATACAACACCTTCCAAGAGCCTCTCGTCAAGAATTTCGTTCGACAAATCTTGGCCGGTTTATCATACCTCCACAGCCGGGATATCATCCACCGTGACATCAAGGGCGCCAACATTCTAGTCGACAACAAGGGCGGTGTCAAAATTTCCGATTTCGGTATCTCAAAACGCGTAGAGGCATCCCACCTCCTCGGCGCCCGCGCCAGTGGCGGCGGCGGCCACGTCCACCGCACATCCCTTCAAGGAAGTGTGTACTGGATGGCCCCTGAAGTCGTCCGGCAAACTGCCCACACCAAAAAAGCCGATATCTGGAGTTTGGGCTGTCTCGTCGTGGAAATGTTTATCGGCGTCCACCCCTTCCCGGATTGCACCCAGCTGCAAGCCATCTTCGCAATTGGAAGCAACAAAGCGCGTCCCCCTGCTCCAGACCATGTGAGCCAGGAGGCGGTGGATTTCCTCGACATGACTTTCCACTTGGAGTACGAGAAACGGCCCAGTGCCGATGAATTGCTTAAGTGCGCGTTCTTGTCCGCCCCAGTCGCATAAATCATTATTTCGGCCATCGGTTTTTGTTTGTAGTAATTCAATTGAGTAAGGCCACACCGTCTCTACCAAATCTCTTCTATGTATCACCACGATTAGGCTAAAAGCTACTGCTGAGCTATGGAGGCTACTGAGGGTGACAGCCCCCGACAAAAGAAATCTTGTCTTGATGCAGGTCGCGGCAGAACGCTGTGGGAAAGATATAAGCTGAAATTTAAAATAAAATAGTACACGATTCCGAACAATCACAATGACCTTGATGTAGGTCGTCTCTTAAAGTTACATGCTGGATATCACACGACCATCCAAGTGGAGATATAATAAACAGACCAGAGGATTTCACCAAGACAACCCCAATTTAGTTAACAATCTTTCCGTAGAAAGGAATTCCCATGGCGCTCAGGAGGAGACGAGCATCCTTGTCAGTTTTAGCGGTGGTGTGGAAGGTGATGTGACAACCAGGGATCATCTTGGGAGGATACCTATCAAAATGTTAAGATCAAACACTCATCAAAGCAGAATGTCTTCCAGCCGATAGAATGCACTTACATATCGTAGTTGATTTCAACCTCTGGGAACAGAGCAACATTCTCCGGCACCAGACCGAAAGTAATGTTACCACTGCTATCACCGGAGGAGCCTTTGACACCCTCCCAATCCTTGATACGGGGCAAGACCACATCGACCAATTTACCAAAGAAGTGGTACATATTCTCGCCATAAAGCTCAGCCTTGACAGCGACGGAATCACGACCCGCCGCAATACCCCAAGTAGCAACGTTAGCCTTGGACTTGAAAGTCTCAACGCGCACGTTGGAGATCGCCTGGACAGCGATACCAGCGACGTGCAACCAAGAAGAGTTCCTCTCAAAGGCAGCGTTTTTCACGTAGCTGTGGATGGTGATGCGCTCAAGTTCGGGGATGTTGTTGAACTTGATGGGCTTGCGGAGCAGGCGCAGGACGTCACCACCACGGGGTCCACGGAGAACACGGTTCTTGTGGTAGGGCGAGCTGTCGTCCCACTCACGGAGACGGGGTGCCTTAGGGGGTGGCTTAAAGCCTGGTGGTGTGTGGACGTAGCACAGGGTCATGATGTCGGAGGCGACGGTTGAGTCGTAGCTCTGCTCGGCACGGGGGGAGGAGAACGGGCCTGGGACGAACAGACGGGAGGAAGGGTGGGATGGCGGAGGCGGTTGGTGAGGGTGGAGAGGACCACGGTTATATTTAGGGGATCGGAATTGGTATCTGAATGTGAGGAAGAATAGTTTAGATAGGGTTCGATGATTCGAATGTGCCAATGGCGCATTGCGAGAGATGTGGTCGTGTTCTTACCGGCCTCGGGGAAGCTGGTTCTTGCGAGCAGCTGCTCGTGCAAGCGGGTTAAAAGATTCTGCGGCACTGGCCGATACAGGCGTGGAAAAAGACGACGCCGATTCCAGCTCAGTCAGGTGGTCCGACAGACGCCGTGCCGGGGCTTCATCGGAGACATTGCGGCGCGATAAAAAGCCTTGAGGACGAATTGAAGGCACTGAGGCCCGGGGCAATGCCCTTGTGAGGTACCTGGATGGCTCTCTGGCAGCCATTTTGAGGGAAATGTGATGTTGATGGATCCGTGATTATCCCGAACCCTGCCAAAAAGTTCGCGCAGATAAATGTCGGCACGTGACTTGATTATCGGAGCCTTGTAAACAAGGCCCTGTATGTTATATAACTAACTATGAGAATTATAGTTAACGAATTATCAGTCTAATTTCAAGTTGTACACTTTGAAAACTTGGTTAATTCGATTGACTTCCAATAAGCACTGACAAAAGTCAGTTGTATACCGGTGTTCTTCTACATGACCCTCTGAACAAAGCTCAAACTGACCCAGTTTCAATCGTTGTTCGTATAAGAAAACTGGAAGTTTATCCCCTTATGCGTATATTTTCTTCTCCAAGATCTTTAACCGTCTTTATATGTACCCAATTTTACTATAATTGATCCAAGCTCTATATAAGCCTGTCGTGTATGGAGTTAGGGCAAGGCATTAAAAGCCTGAGGCAGAAATAAATATAGCTTCTGCCTTAGGTGTCGGCTCCCGCTTGCCCCGCAGATCACCTGGTGAGGTTCATCGATCTTTGAATCATCTGTCAATTTGCTGAGTTCTTTCAAACCCGTGTCTATATCAGAAGAGCTTTGCTTATGATGTATTTCAAATGCGCCCAGGAATCTTGCAGCCTTGACTAAGCTCCGAGCTAGTCTACAGGTCTTCTGATCCCCCCGCATGTCGCCTCCAATCTCGGGGTCTTTACATTTAATCTAGGAAGCCTGCTCTTTGACATTTCCCCCTCAATTCGCCATAATGAGTGGAATCCATCGATTTTTGACCCGTCGCGATCGGAATCACAAGTTGAACAAGCAAAGCAAAGAAGAGGTACACGCTGACGAACGCCTTGATGATGTTGAAACGTATCGACTAATATTTGGGCTCCTTAGGCATCACATATACTCTCACGGCTGCTGCGTCAAGGATTTTTCAGGTCGGATATTACATCAGAAGATAATCAGGACCATGAGAAGAAGGTATAGTTTGGGCGCGTCAACGGTCGGCCTGCACCTGTCTAATCTGTACTCCAAATATAGATCAAAGGCCTCACCCAACGAATCAAACAGCTCGGAATCACCGCGTTGGAGGAGGAGCATATCAGCTATGCATTGCAGGCCACACAAGGGGATACAGAGAAAGCATTCAGCCTGCTGCTTCTACTAGAAGACTCTATCGAAGGCATCATCAGAACTTACACGCCCAACACCAAGCTCCTGGGCGCGGAGAATCGCCAGGGCGTCACATGTTATCTGGATGCATTGTTGTTCGCCATGTTCGCCCGTCTTGATTGCTTCGAGGCGATTCTTTATAAATCCTTTACTGATGAGCCTCGTCGAAAGCTTGCAATACTCCTCAGACTATGGGTAAATTTGCTTCGATCCGGAAAGCTCATCACAACAGATATGGTAAGTCATATCACAGCGGTAATCTCATGTCAGTATTGACGGGGTTCAGACAAAACATCTACAAGATGCTTTAGCAGAATGTGGTTGGGAAGATGCAGCCAAACTTCGCCAACAAGATGCTTCAGAGGCATTCACTTTCATAACCGAAAAGCTTGAACTACCACTTCTGACTTTGAAGATGGACATTTATCACACTGGAAAAGAAGATGAAAGTGATGACCACAAGTTCGTCAACGAAAGACTTCTCGAGGTCGCCATCCCGCCTGAGCCAACCGATGGGCAATCTCTCACTTTGGAAGATTGTCTAGAAGCTTACTTCAACAATATGATTGAAGTCAAAAGACACTTGGAACGACGCAATACAGCCGGCTCCATAAGATCAATGGATTCGCTCTCCATCTCCAAAGGCTCTACTGCCCATGTTGAGACAGTAGAGATAGAAACCACTCCCACCTTATCTCCCACTGAAACCAGCACACCACGAGTCGAAAAGCCAAGCCCTTGGTCGTCATTCAGTGAGTTCACTGAAGCTCTCGGGGCGTCCCGAGCTGCTGGACATAGACGTACGAGCATCGTCCAAGAGCGATTCTTTCCGGATTCGAATTCAAGTGATGATACAAACACAGAGGATTCAAATCCAGAGAAAGAAACCGAGACAGATACACGGCCTCGGCGGGGTTCTTACAAGAAAGAAGTAATGATGCCTGCGTGGCAGTTCTTCAGCTTGATCCGTATGATCTCCCCTCCCTCGTTATATTCTTTAGATTTCACTTAAACTGACCTGTTTTTTGTTCTAGCATGGTATACTGATAATACGCCAACAAATGACGCACAAGTGGCAGCACACTTTTCCTCGAAACGGCCGATTCTTGGAATGTGTCTGAAACGCTATTCCTTTCTGTCAGATGGGCGTGCTGTCAGACTCAACACACATATTGACATCCCAACTGAGATTGGCCTGCCCCACTTCATCCAAGACGATAATTTAGATGCAAACGCCCCTATCTATGGGAATTTCAAGCTTTCTTTGCAGGCCTTGGTCTGCCATAGAGGCAATTCGGTCGACTCAGGCCATTATATTTCCATTGTTCGGGGTACCAGTGCCAATGCTGGTTCTCCAGATACCACAGGTCTGGACTCTTCGGGGACTTCAAAACACTGGATGCGTTTCGATGATCTTGCAGCAGAGCGAGTAACTCTGGTTGACATTGACGAAGCCTTGAAAACAGAATCGCCTTATCTTTTGTTCTATCAAATTCTTCCGATTACGGAAGATCCATCAGCTGTCAATTTCCCAAACGCGCCTTCTTCTCGGGCGTCGGATGGCAGTACACTGGGTGATCAAACAGACTTCGGTGTAGAGGACTTTGCCTCTGATCGACCGAGTGTGGAAGTCACAGGGCCATCCAATACTAGTTCGCAGACATTGACCAATCCTGCCAGGCGCTCCAGTGTGGCGTTCTCAGAAACCAGCAACCCTGGCGGTCTTCAGCCGCGTTCTATCCCATCTTCATCGCCTAGGCTGGCACCGATGGAAGAAGAAGGCATAAAGGGGACAGCTTACTCTCGTCGCGGATCTCGATCAGCCAGAAGTAATCCCGGAAGTCGTGCTGGCAGCCGTGCTGGCAGTCAGACAGGTGAAAATCGAATCAGCGCTACTTTCTCACGCTTTGCTGAGCGGCTTAGTCGGGATAAAATTTCTACTGATGGCCTCCTTGAGGAAGGTGACGGGGATGAGTCCGCTTTTGAGATTGACGATACCGTGGATGAGATGAGGATTGGCCCGGCTGCTTTCGACAACAAGGAGAAGCGTGGAAGGGGCCGAACAAAAGATCGCGAGAAGTACAAAGGCAAATCCAAGGAGAAATCCAAGGAGAAGAGCAGGAAATTGGATCGGGAATGTGCAGTGATGTGAGCCAGGCCGGCGATGCCAGGATTTCCTTTTTTGAGATACCCAGTCCAGCTGTTGCATATTCGCAATTGATGATACCCCACGATGCATGAAGCGGAGTGAGTTCGGTGTTCATAATTTGGGTCGAGATCAGCATATGTACTATAAATTATAAACTATAAACTATTGTCTATTCGTTATATACTTCATTCTAGGTCTTTGCAGTTCGAGCTTGGCATCCTTATTTATGAAATACAACTTGGTGCTGGCCAATCAGGTGATGTCAATAACTCTGGTTTCCATTACCCCTAATTCTGGCAATTTATATATAGGTGTAATTTACTTGCTGAATAATGAACAAACACGACAAACAAGTGGGCCTGCTTTCTCAGGCTTCCGACACACCCCCTCATCTTGCGCAGATTGGGCAAGATGACCCTTGAAACGCCCATTTCTGTAATAGACACAGAAACAGCCTCTGTTTCCCTTCTGGGCCTAGGTGATCAGGTGACCTACATCAGCCATTCTAAGCAAGCGAATGAAATTTTCATGCTTCTGGCGAGTCAGGCACTTGGTGAGCCCGTCAGCGACCATCTGTGCCGTTGGCACCCATCTGACGGTGATCCTTCCTGCTTGCGCTTCCTGCCTAACCCAGTGATAGTGAATATCGACATGTCGAAGCTTCGTATCGAACGCCGCATCCTCCTTGTTAATGAGTGCAACCGTGCGCTCATTGTCGCAGTCGATGGTGATGGGGTGGGATAACTTAAGGCCAACATTCTGCAGCAGTCTTCTCCACCATTGGAGATGCTTGCCAGCCTCAGAAAGTCCCAGCAGCTCGGCCTCGGTAGTAGATGTCGTTACCGTTGGCTGCTTGCTGGCTTTCCAGTCTACTGGCCCGCCGAACACTTGGCAGATATATCCAGCAGAACTCTTCCGATCCTCATGATCCCCATACGACGCGTCACTTGCTATCTGGATCGACTCCATATCTTCGATTCCTGCGGCATATTCAATGGCAAGAAACCGGGTGGAGTAAAGGTAGCAGATCACCCTGTCGACAGCTTGCTGGTGCTGTGGTCCTGGGTTCATTAGGAATTGCGCGAGCTTAGCAGTAGCCTTTGCTGCGTCAACCCTAGTAATGGTCGTTGCATAACCTGCTGAGCCCACTTTCTGCTGATACAGATGTGTTTCTCTTGGTGTAGCAACGCCCTCGTACTTGCGTAGTTCTTCCACCGGTAAGGGTGTAAGAACAGGCGCTCGCTCTGTCAAGTTATATCTCGCTGCAATGCTTGCGATGTAACTATCTTGACAAAGCCACAACTTCTTCTGTGCACGGTCCCTGATGATCCGGATATTAAGAAACCACTCTGCTTCTCCGTGATCAGTCAGTTCCCAGTGCTCTTCAAGTGATTTTTCTAATTGTTTTGCTCTTGCTCTCGCTGTGCGATGGCAAGCAATAAGTATGTCGTCGACATAGAAGAATACAACGATTCCGGTGCCAACGAACACACATGGGTCCTCCGGCACTTGCTGGAGACCTAACTTTCGCAGTACACTTGCTGCTTCTTGTTGCCATAAGCGTGGCGAAATTCGTAGACCGTATAGAGCTCGCTGTAGTTTCCATGACTTGCCCGGTATCCCAAAACCTTCTGGCATCTGTGTGTATGTCTCCTTATCCAAACGCGAGTTCAGGAATGCGGTAACAGCGTCGCGCTGCCTAACGTCGAGATCGTATGCGGCGATGAGGGAGAAGATCATGCGTGCTGTCCTTGCAGCAAGTGTCGCTGCTCGCTTCTCTTCTTGGGTGATGGTTTCTAAGTCGCCGCGGACGCAGATGCGTGCTTTTAACTTGATTAAGTGGCCATCCTGGTCAAATTTGTATGCATAAATCCATAAGAGAGGAAGCACTTGCTTGCTGATGTCTTTTGGCCGGTCTATCACCTCATACGTTGCCTTTGAGCGCAAGTTGTCTAGCTCTCGTTTCATCGCTGCGATAAAACCTTCAGAGAACTGGTGGTTTATGGCCTCTTTGTAGTTTCTTGGTATAGGAGGGAGGTCATCGCGGTGTCGTCGATGTTCTGGCTTCTCGGCATACAGCCCTGCTGCGAAGGCATGTAGCATTGCTGGTGGCTCTTGCTGTATCGTAGAGTAAGCAGCATAGTCATTGTCTTGCCTTGCTCGCCTGGTTCTTTTGCCGCTCATGATATTGGTAGTATCAACGTCACCAAAGATCTCTTGTGTGGGCTGCAGTAGCTCGCTTTGCAGCTGTTGTGCGACTTCATCGTCACTTGCTCCATCATCCTGCGACGTTTCCACGGTTTCAGGGGTCTGATCCCCTACTTGCTGCGTTTCCTGCTGCGTCTCCACCCCCTGATCTGACCCAAAAACCTCGTTTGGTGGTGTTGGTGGGAGTGGCACATCTTCTGGGAAAGCACCTAGGATTTCTGTGGGACTTGCTGATGCAATCCGCCTTTCTGGCGTCGGCGATGGGGTTCTTGCCATATCTTTATGGCGTTCCATTTGTTGTGGTGGGGTTTCTACCTGCTGAGGAGTATTGGTTTCATCCTCCTGCGGTTTGCTACGTGGTAGCTCGACTTGCTGGTGTTGGTCTTGGTGAGAATCTGCGGTTTGAGCAGCTTGCTGATGGTTTTCAGTTGTTGTATGCTGCTCCCGATGCGTTTCCTCTGGCTCCTGATGCTCCTCCTGACTTCTTGCTGTCGATATCCGCTGGTAAAGCTTGAGGGTTTCATCTGCATCAAGCACATATGGTTCCTGGATAATTGGCATTGGCAATTGTTGATATCGCTCGAACCTAGGTGTGTACTTGCGGCTCTCGTCAAACACCGCATCTCTAACAACCTGCACTCTTCCAGTATGTGGGAACCAGATTTTCCAGATATTTGATGCCACGAAGCCTACTAGAAAGCCAATCTCGGCTCTCGGTGCCATCTTATCAGATTGCACTTGCTTCTGTATCCGACAGTAAGTCAAACTGCCATACAATTTAACGTTTGCTAGGTTGATTCTCGGCATCTCGTTGCCCGCGAATTCGCGTCGAACCTCTTCCCACGGCACAATCCAGCGTTTCTCATCGTTCACGAAGGTGGGTGTACGGTTCAGCAACCATACTGCAGCACTTGCTGCCTCTGGCCAGAGACCTTTGGGCAACTGGCCCTCGACGATGAGCATACGCATACGTGTGATGATTGTTCCACCTGCACGCTCGCTGTATCCATTCATCTCTGGATGTCCCGGGGGAGAGTGATGGATAATGATGCCCTCTTTGGAGATGGATCGTTCGGCGGTGCTTCCTGCCGAAGTCTCGTTGTCATACATGAACACCTTAATTGGCAAGTTCCACCAATTCTTAGCAAGTGCTACGAACTTGTCGATAGCAAGCTGACACTCTGGCTTTAGTTCATGTGTCATGATCCAGTGAAATCGCACTCCCTCGATATAGAAGTGTGACATCCATCTATGTCTGTTTTCTGCTGGCTGGATCTGTATTAGGTCGAAATGAATTCTTCCAAATCTTCCAAACGTGCGTCCAATTGGTCGGCGAGAGATTTGTCGAGGTGCTCTTGCTAGGTTGCAGACTCGGCAAGGTGAGTTGACTTCTTCATCCTTGTTATCCTCTGTGATCTCGATGCCATCTACCATTTGCTTAGCTTGCTTAATCGCATCTGTGTTGATATGCGCTAGACGGCGATGCCATAGTTCCATAGATCCTTTCGCTTTCTGTGGTCTCTCTGACTTTCTGGTTATTGCATTGACACTGTTGTGGCTTGGCAAGTCGAATACCCACAGATCTAGGTCCACTAGCTGCAATTTCGCGATTTGCAGGTTGTTTGGGTCGACGATGGTATCTGTATCTTGACACCATTTCACACCAAGTCGCCTCATTTTTGCATATGAAACTAGGTTGGTATGGCACCCTGGGACATACAAGGCGTTGGTAAGACGTATGATTCGTTGCTTGCCGGTTTGTGGATCTCTTGCAGCAAGTCTTGCTGTTCCAATCCCCTCACCCTTGGTGATTGAGTTGCCAGTTGCTAACTCTGTTTGGTATGGGGTTATAGTTTCGAACCAGCCCTTGTTGTTGCACACATGCACACTTGATCCACAGTCAAGGATCCATCGGTCTTTAAGATCAGGCATTTGCTCAATTCTCTTATCGACTGGCTTGACATGGTAGATAGGAGTTCTTTCTGCTGGTTTGCCAGCATGGACTTGCTGCACCCGGTTGCTCTCTGCTGAGGGCACTTGTATGGTTGCAAGTGTTACTATTGGTGGATGAGCGCTAACGTCAGGCTGTACCGTTGTGAAATCCGCCGTTTCCTTAGGCGTTGAACGTTCTTTGTCCTTCCTTACTTCCTCGTTAATCCACTTGCGCCATTCTGGCTCTGCGGTAAGAAGCTTCTCAATTCTTTTCTTCGTGGCTTCCCTGATAGTGAAGTCCGAAGGTATCAGATCAGGGCGTATGTAGTAGCAAGTTGCTACTCTATGACGTGGGTGTGTGTTTCCACATGGGCAGGACCGTTCGTGAAACGGGGTCTCTGCAGTCTGCTTTGGCTTCTTAGACTTTGCAGCAGAGATTGTTGCCACTTGCTGTGAAGCTTCCTCATGCCCTTGCCAGGTTGAGAAGGAGGCCTTTGGTGCTGACAGTGATGGTTTAGCACCTGTTTCGCGGTAGATACTGCGAAAGGACTCGATAAGCTGATTGATATCACGCTTCTCTTCATTAAGGATGACAGCAGTGTATTCCGCTTGCCACCACATTGGCAGGACTTCCTTCACAGCCTTGATGAAGTAACGTACTGCATCTTCATCATCAACCCTGATGCCGACGCTAATGACTTCTTGCCGCAGTGTGTCCCACTTGTCGATCCATTGGTCGACATCCTTCCCGGGTTTCTGCGATGCAAGTTGCTCCCACTTGTCGCGCAGCTCTTCCTTATAAGAGTTGCTTCTTGCGAACCGTGTTTTCAGCGCTACAAGCACATCATACGGGGTTTCTTTGGTGATGACGGAGCGATGATACTTGCTGTCAAGGGTGGCAAAGAGATATTCGTATACATCATTCAATCCCTTGGTCTGCTTCTCATACTTCGAGAGAGCAAGCTTATAGACATCGAAGCGGTCTCGCCACTTGCGGGTCTCCTTATCATCTCCGTCTTCTGGGTATTCTGGTTCTACCGGCTCCGTACTGCGCTTAGGGAGTGCATCCTCATTGACTTCTGGATTGCATAGCTCCCAAACCGCGCGCAGTTGGGCGAAGCGCCTGGTTTTTGCATACCAAGTGCTCCATTGAGCTGGTTCACGAAGTTTATCGCCCTTCATGGCGGAGAGTGTTGACGCATCCATGCTTGCTGAAGTGTAGTGATCACTTGCTGTATCGCTTGCTAGCGAGGATGGGGTATGGGTGTGTTGGCGTTGCAGAAGATGCACAATCGGTGGTTCAAAAGGGGTTCTGAACCAGCAAGTGGTCGATTTAGGGTTATCAGATGATCTGATTGCTGTAATCGATGTGTTTTTCTGGTTCAGAAATGGCTATTCGGGCTCATAACTATGAAATACAACTTGGTGCTGGCCAATCAGGTGATGTCAATAACTCTGGTTTCCATTACCCCTAATTCTGGCAATTTATATATAGGTGTAATTTACTTGCTGAATAATGAACAAACACGACAAACAAGTGGGCCTGCTTTCTCAGGCTTCCGACATTATTTATTGGCCTTAGGTGTCAAGGCACCAGGACCTCCGCATTCCTCGGACCTCCAAGAGCTCCATTCTCCGTCTTGCATTAACTCGCGAATACTTTAACTTGCCTAAGCTCTTGTTGGATCGGCATGATATAGCGCCCCCACAGCTAGCGCATCATGGCGCTGGAACCCTCCAGCAGTTATGTTGCTCCGAGCAACTTAATGGAGCCATCGAGCTCTTCCCTTCCCATGTTCGACGTCGAGCAGGTGCAGTTGGCGTTCTCCGTCGCTGCGGACTTCGTTGCAGCGCAGGTCGCAAACAATGTCCTTGTACTAGCCTTGTCGACGAACCGTATTCTCCGGATTGATCTCGACTCCCCTGAAGATGTTGAAGGTAGGCTTCCAAACCTCCCCCGCAGCAAATATTAGCCACAACAACTTGATCTAACTGCGCCCATGAATAACAGACATCGATCTCCCTAAGAAATCATCAGAAGTCGGAGTGATTCGGCGCATGTTTCTCGACCCGTCGGCGTCCCATCTAATTATTACCACGACCCTCGGCGAGAACTACTATCTCCATGCTCAGTCACCCTCACGGCAACCGAAGCTCCTATCCCGGTTAAAAAACGTATCAGTTGAAAGTGTCGCTTGGAATCCCTCTCTACCTACCGCATCCACCCGCGAGATCCTTATCGGCGCCACCGATGGCAACGTCTACGAGACTTACATTGATCCGTCCAGCTACCGACTAGAGAAGTATCACACTCCGGTCTTCCAGGTGCCCGATGCCTCTCCGGTAGTTGGAATCTCGGCAGAACCGGTGCTCTCTCACCCTGATCAAAGAAGGGTACTTGTAGCTACATATGAAAAACTGCTGCACTTCATTGGCCGAGCAGCAGTTTCGAAGCATGGGGGCGGCGTTTCTGTGTATTCTGAACTTTTCCAGCGCGAAACGCCACTCATCCATGAACTGCAGAATCCATCTGGATCTGCACCATCCTCGTTGGTGGTTTCTCCTCCAATCTCAGATGGTTCCCAGATGGAAGGTTCTACTGCAAAGGAGTTTGCGTGGCTCAGCTCTGAAGGAATATACCATGGACAGCTCGTTTCGGAGTCTCCATTCAAGGCAGCAAACATGCTTCCGCGCTCGGTTTTCCCGGCTTCAGAATCACCTCGAGGCGGCCGAAAGTTGATACAGGATCCAATTTCTGCAATGACTCTCTCGCAGTGGCACATTTTGGCCCTTGTTGGGGGCCGAGTGGTTGCAGTAAACCGTCTCAGTCAGGAAGTTGTTCACAATCAACCAGTTTTGGAGCCTGGCCAAAGTGCGCTGGGGCTGTTGACTGATCTCACAAAGAACACGTATTGGCTCTTCACGAGCCAGGCTATCTTTGAGGTTGTGGCAGGTGAGGAGGACAGGGACATCTGGAAGATTTTTTTGAAAGAGAATAAATTCGATGATGCCCTTGGTTATGCTCGAGGTGCTTCCCAACGAGACGCTGTGATGACTGCTTGGGGTGACTCTCTGGCAAGCAAAGGCCACTTTATCGAAGCAGCCAAAGCATGGGGCAAGAGCAGCAAAGGATTCGAAGAGGTCTGTCTCACGATGATTGACAATAAAGAACATGATGCATTGCGCAACTACCTCCTTGCTCAGTTGGCAACATACAAAAAGGCCTCACTGATGCAAAGAATAATGGTAGCGAGCTGGCTTGTGGAGTTATTTATGTCCAAGTTAAATTCTCTTGATGACAACATCGCGACAAAAGCCGAGCTGGCAGAGGGCACAAGCACTGGAGAAATCAAGGACCAGCTTGGCAGCATCCGAGGCGACTTCCAAGATTTTGTGAACAGCCATAAAGCGGACTTGGACAAGAAAACAGTTTACGACATCATCAGTAGTCATGGGCGTGAAGAAGAATTGTTATTTTTTGCAACTGCCACAAATGATCACAACTACGTTCTATCATACTGGATCCAGCGTGAGAAATGGTTGGAAGCCTTGAGAGTTCTGCAGCGGCAAAGTGAAGCCGATGTGTTCTACAAATACAGTAGTGTTCTTATGACACACAAGCCTACAGATCTGGTCGATATTTTGATGCGACAGACGAACCTTGATCCCGAACGACTAATACCTGCTTTGTTGAACTATAACAAATCAGCCAGTGTGTCTTCGCTCAATCAGAATCAAGCTGTCCGGTATCTCAATTTCATCATCGTCAACCACCCCAATCCAGCCGCAGCGGTTCATAACACGCTTATTTCCATCCATGCATCCAGTCCTTCAACTTCCGAGGCTGGACTACTTACTTATCTCCAATCGCAACCATCATCGCCCCCTCCCTACGATGCAGATTTCGCACTTCGACTATGCATTCAAAACCAGCGAGTCCAGTCCTGTATTCACATTTACAGCACTATGGGTCAGTACCTACAAGCCGTAGAACTGGCCCTCGAGCACAATGACATCGATCTTGCCGCGATTGTCGCAGATCGCCCAGAGGGCAACGATAAACTTCGCAAGAAGTTGTGGCTCCTAGTTGCGGAGAAAAAGATCCGCCAGCCTGGAACAGGAATCAAAGACGCAATCGAATTCCTGCGTCGCTGTGAGCTCCTCCGCATTGAGGATCTGATTCCTTTCTTCCCTGATTTCGTCGTCATCGATGACTTCAAGGACGAAATCTGTACCGCTTTGGAGGACTACTCACGCCACATCGATGCTCTTCGCCAAGAGATGGATAACTCTGCCCTGACAGCCCGTCAAATCCGCGGCGAGATTTCCGGTCTAGATACGCGGTACGCCATCGTTGAGCCGGGTGAAAAGTGCTGGATCTGCTCGCTTCCAGTTCTCAGCCGTCAATTCTTCGTCTTTCCGTGTCAGCATGCTTTCCACAGCGATTGTCTGGGGAGAGAAGTCTTGGAGGGTGCTGGTGGCAAGAAGAAGTATATTCGGGATCTCCAGGCGCAGCTCAATAATGGCGATATCTCTACCTTGCGGCGAGAGGAAATTGTTAAGGAATTAGACGGGCTGGTCGCTGAAGCTTGGTATGTAACTTTCTATCTTGTGGATTTTCGATGTTCTGCCATACTGACTGTATTTCTACTTCACAGTATTCTCTGCGGTGACCACGCCATCAAACAGATCGACAAGCCTTTCATTGCCGACTCAGAAACTGCCGACGATTGGGCCCTCTGATATGTTTTGTCTTTGGATTTTCGCCGTCAGTCTGAGCGGTATCTTATATCTTTCCCTTTCGCATAGTGAATAGACAGGATATTTGCCAAGATGAGTTTGTTTTCTGTTTGTTTGTTTTGTGTTGTTTTTTTTTTTTTTTTTTTTTTTTTTGTAATACCCTTCTTTGTCTCAAGCGGGTGCTACGTGAGGTTGAGCCCTCGTATATAGAAAAGGCTCTTCTAAATGTGATTCGGATTCAAACATTAGTTTATAACTATATACCGACGAGGTATTTAAAACAAGTACACTGGGTACCCACCCAACTCCATGCGCAAATAACAAATTCCCGAAACACATGAAATATGACCAGAAATATCAGTATCACAACACAACCTACACCGCGAAGAATAACTAATTTTCTGGCCATAAAGACCGCAACAAATCCAGATCCTGCGCGACTGCCGGACTATGCGGTGCACAGTCCTCCAGAAACCCTAGCATCTCTTCATTCCAGCGTTCCCAGCCGTCAGGCAGTGTCTCACGGACACGTTGACTTGGCGAGTGGGCTATGCAATAGAAGAGCAGAATCTGGCCAAAGAACCTGTAAAGCAAATTGATTAGTTCGGATCATAATAAAAGCTAAGACATGTAATACAGAGAAAATCAAGGCAACTCACTGTGAACAAAAAGCAAATCTAATCGGAATACAGCTCTTCATCTTCCGGAAGATGCCCTGCGTAACCGGCCATCCCATGGCGTTTTGAAGACCACTCCTAACCTGCACGAAGTCTTCATCTGTTAGGAGGTGCGGTATGCGAAGCGCCTTGTATATATACGGGCGGCCAATGTGGAAGCGCGCGATCAAATAACGGCCCTTGAGCATGGCATCTGTCACTGCTGTTGCTGGGGAGAGGGGCCGGCTCTGGTCTGCTGGTCTGGGTCTTGGAGAGGAGAGTTGAGCTGGGGACGCCGCTGAAGCTGAAGGGGATGGGTGGATGGAGGGGGTTCCAGGGGTTGGGTGGGACCCCGGCGTTGGGTGGGAGGAATATGGAGTGTGGGTGAATTGGATTGCTGTAGGGAGGTTTGTGCGCCATTGTTCTAGCTGGTGGTGCAGTTCGGTGTTTACGGCTGGGAGGGGGAATGTTCCTGAGTCCGCTGGATGGGACGTTCATGGTTAGAAGAACGAGTCTTTCAATTTTGCTGTCTGGGGCGAGTTACTCACAGTAAAAGTAGAGGGAGTGGCGGATCCGTGTTAGGATAATGCGGTGGGCCACTTGGGCCAGGAAATGATATTGGAAGTATGAGTCGTCGACTCCGCTTGATGAACTGAATCTGTTTGAAGCGTAGCCGGTTGTTTCAAAGCCGATAAATTTGGGAATCGGGACTTGTTCTTCGAGGCGGGACAGGCCGCTTGAAGGTAAGTGAAGCTCTTGAACAAGGATGGTCTCGTTCATAAGACAGTTCCAATATACACGGGATTTCATGTCGCCTTCCCACTCATCAAAGCTCACATCATGACTGTGTTTAAGTCAGTATCGTCTGAGAAGTTTCATACGAACGCAGCAGTACTCACTTGGTCAACATTGACAAACAGCAAGTAGCTGCCCGGTGGATCATAGCCCAAGAGTCCATCGGACGGGGGATTTGGTTATAATATACGCTGCGAAAAGTTAGTATCGATTTTTTTGAAGAACCAAGCTTGAAACGTAACAGATACTTACGAAGAGAGAAGATAGAACTGACAGCTTTGGATATCGTTGTCGCACATCAAGAAGCCAATACGCCGCCGAGCTTCGTTAAAGAATCGCAATCCGGGCTGTTCTTCATATACCACATTCATCCATTCCGGGGGCTCAAATCGATGGCCGTGGGTGCCCGGCAAAGGGTAGTTTCCTTCTTGGTAGGCCATAACAGCAAGGCAGCCCAATGCCAGCACATTGAGAACCAGGCAGCTCTCTAGATTATATCCAAAGCCACTCTCAATCGCAGAGCCAAGAGTGAAGGAGAAAAAGAAACCTTTGTCCATAATTGGTGTAAAGGGGTTGAAGACATTGAAGAACGCATCCGCCAGACCCCTGATCATTGCTAACGGGAGGACCTCTAGCCAACGATCTCCCGATGGTATAGGAAAGGGGCTGGTAAACATCGGCAGTGGAGGACGCTCCGATTCTAGTTCAATGACATAATTTTTCCCGAGCAATTCATAGGCGGCGAGTAACTGCTTCGGGAGGATCTGGCGGGCACCAGGCCACAGAATGACACCATGCTGACTGAATGAGATGGAGATCCGGCCTGCCGAGTCTGGCTTGGTTTGCTTATCCTCAAATTCAAAGTCGTCTGCATCACCTGCTGCTGCGGGTGTAAAGTTGTCCCCAGCGGTGGGCAGCATTGGAGTAGGCTGGGTACTACCATTGCCCAGGACAGGCGATAGCTGTGTCTGCAGCTCATTGGCGGGTGTTTGAATTTGACCACGAAGAGACTGCAGATCACTCAAAATGGATGTTGGTATATTTTCCAATTTTGTCTCCAGGCGATGGAGAGTGCTCATGATCATCGTTAGAGATTGATCGCGTCTGCATTGTATGAGCAATTAAACCACAACTTGTCAGAAAATCACTTACTTTGACGATTTACGTTCATTGTACACGCATTCGAGGCCAAGTGACTTGCAAAGTCCGCATCTTGGCCGGGATTCATCGCATCTTGTCTTTTTGAGTCGACACGTTTCACAGGCCTATTTCTGGGGTGTGAGCCAAGTCCGGAGGAATCGGGGGCAGGGCAGAATTGAGCAATTCAGCAGATTTGGTCACTTACAACAGTCGCAATGAAGTTTCTGGGCTTCTTAGAGGGTCCGGATGACTGGCCGTTGTCTTCCTCGCCGGGGGAGAGCAGGTCCTGTATGGGCAGCGGAGCATTGTTATCGGGATCGGGTGAGCGATGTGCCCCTACTCTGGACTCCTCGAACGAGCGCTTGCTCATTTTGCATCATTGAGAACAAATCCTCTATAGCGACACGTCCGCGGTGTTTGATATTGACTCGGTCGTTTTTTTATCGGGTGGAACGCTGAACCCCTTGAGCCAATCAGAGACCATCCTGCTATGAATCATCGCCGTCGCGACTTCAATTGACTATTTGTTCAGTTGGTTGGATATATACAATATCGTATAGAATTTGCTATTTCAAAAACATGCTTCTGGTGAATGATGATAGATCGGTTGGAAATATCAATTTTATTAACGTGGGTGTCCAATGTCAAAGACATATAAGTTCGATCATATCCAGGCACGAGGCATAACCGAACAACGTCACTTCACGACCATCAATTGTCAAACAAAATTGACAGACTAGCAAAGCAGTCCAATCATATAAGACGAAAAAAAGAATCCAAGCTGGAGATGCAGAAGAGAGATATCTACGGAGTAACGAATAACGTGGTAAACGTGTACGATATACACAATGGACCAAAATCATGTCATCGACACCAATAATCAGACTCATGTCATGTAAAACCACATGATATTCATTACTGAACTACAACGTCCAAGTTAGACATAATAGACCTGACTCCAAGGGACAGATTGCGAATCCGATTGCCAATTGCAAATGCAACCAATAATTCAACTGCGACAGTTTCAATCCATTTGCCACCAAATCGAAGGCGCTGATAAGTAGAACCAAAAAGAGGAAGCGTCTAGATGCGGGCGGAGCAGAATGATGAATACAGTAGTCCAACGCGAAGGCGCTTCAGTACTGTAAATAGAAGCAAATGTCCCCAATTGGCGTGGGTCCCCACCCTATTACTCATTGTGTTTGTAACCCGTGAACGTGTCAACGTCACTACAATATAGATGCCGAGGTGATCATTTTTATTAATATCTGCGCTTTCTGTATTAATTATTAATCGTATAATTGTAACAAGGATCCACTTCAATTTGACATGGATGCCTTGAGGGTCAAATGACGTTGACAGGTCCCTGTGGAATGTGGCATTGGATACCCCGGCAAAAGAAGGCCGCGGACGGCATGTTTTGCTTGACTAGACCCGGAGATGATGACATCCTCAGAATTGATAGTCGAGTCTTGATGAACTAGTATTAGTCGACTTATGATATGCATCTGCATGTCCTTGTTCGGAAGAGTGTTGTACAACGCAACACGCACCTGGGCAACAATGAAAGATGGAGAGCTCAATTTTCTGCCAATGATAAGAATGTCCACGTAGACGAACAGCCATACACTGCACATGGTACAATGATATCAGACTCGGGTGTTGCATTTGCTGTCTTTCAGATGGACCGTGTGCTACCACCTACTGCAGTCCTCAGACGGCATCAGCCGGGCGAATAAGGCGTAGAAGAACGATGGGAGATGTTATCCGTAGCCATACAAGACTAACATTGCTCGAGTCCATGCCTCTTCTGTATCTTAGCAACCATCGCCGTATTAAGGAGCACGGTGAATATACATCAGCCCCCAAACATCAGGACACACAAGTCGCTTCTACCCAAGACGAGAAGTTAGAACCCCTGTACATATGGAGAGAGTTGAAGAAGAATGATGTACTCCGTACAATAGTTATTGTAGAATGGCCTATCCCTTAACAACGCCCGTTAATGCAAAAGACCCGAATTGTGTATAAAAAAGAGGGGTGCTCGTGTTGACTCGGCAACGAGTCGAAGAACTCGACCTATCGATCATACACAGCAGAAAAGTTCTTCCGCGCGATGCTTCAACAAAAAGAAAAAGCAAAAGCAAAATAAAACGCCTCAGGCAATAACAATGACCCTTGCATGGATCTTGAAAATTCTAACGTTGTTTCCCTTTCCTGCAGCAGTGCAAAGTTACACACGGAGTAAAATAGACCTACGGGAGGCTGGGGGCATGCCGTACAGTGGACAATGCAAATGTAAGTTGCTGGTGTCCGGATATGTGTACTTGTACAGGGAAATGCATTGCATGATGTTCTCTTAATGTATCCCGAGCTCAGGTCACACACGTCCAGGATTTGGATTTGGATTTGGAGATGGATTAATCTTGTTTATGGGAAGATCATAGCAAAGCTTTTGCTTCGATCGTTGCATAGTAGAGGCAGGGGGCATGCGACCTGGGCGACAGAGAATGAGGACTTGGTATTTAGCCTTTTGATATTATAGTACATATATCATATTAGTATATTATTATATTCCAGCATTATTTAATGCCTCCAATTGGGAGAAAGCATAAAGAAAAAAAAGCAAATAACGGGATAACCGCATAGTCCAGTTGAGACCAAAATCCGGGGAAGTGCCAGACACAGCCGGCTTAACTGCTCGGTTATCTTCCCCTCCTAGAAAAAGCAATTCCAGTCATTACTGGGCGATGATTTCATGCCAAGTTAGGTAAATTCCAAGGTTCATCATTGGTGGCAATGCTGCATTTGTACTTTTTTAGTGCCACACTTAGGCGAACTTATCATTATGAACGTTGTATAGCCTCTTTCAAAATTAAGAATTTGACCAAAAATGATCAATGATGATCGTGCGGGGTATTCCGTAGAGATAATGGGTTATGGATGGATTATTTCCCGTATCTAAGAGATCTAAGATAGCTTAGATAGTGTATTGAATGAACCAAGGGCCTACAATAATATTTCACGCGGATACTAGGCATAAATGGCTGTTCACAGAATCTCTTATCATTAATCGGAATATACTTCCCTTAGTGCCCGGAAGTACCCTTCGTCATGATAACGATATCTTTCTACACTTTAGTATCATATCATATCATATCACGTATCAGCCCTGAAGTTTATAACTGGCCAAAATAAAGTCCATACAACCATACTCGGACGTTAACTCCTTGTATCAGGTTGATCACCCCATGTTACATATAATGTAGTCATCGGAAAGTCACTCAGAATTCAGAACCAAAAGGAGACACGTTTCAACCCATGTTAGGGCCCCGATAAACGTATAAGATTTATTGGCGTTGGGGGATCGACTCTCACCCTTGGAGTAACACTGAATGACGAAACAACCTTGACGAGATTGTACTAACTCAATGTTGTATGTTGTATAAAGTATGGTAGTAAGGAGTTCAGTTTAGACTAGAGTAAACTTTACGTTATACCTTGTCCCTTCAAGACTGCATGGATGAGCATGGGGATTGCGAATAAGAAAGCAACTACTGAGACGGAGGGGGAGATCTCAAGCTGAACCGTGCTCGCCCTTTTGGTGAAAGTTGTGGGTATATAATACAAATATTGTACCAATCATGAATGGAGTTCAGTGTACCTCTGTACAGCCCAAGAATTAGATTTCAAGGCTCAGGATTTCGAGATAGGAATGCAAATGCAAAATGTACGGGGCCGTCGCGTGATGCATTGCCGAGCGCCGAAGTCGTGCCACATACAATTTATACTAACTACAATAGGGTACATGTGAAAATAAGTAAATATGTATCTAGTAACTTTAAATGCAGTCTCAAGAGTTCGAGTACTTCTGAGTCTGCTGAGAAAGGACAAAAGTGTACCTATCATCCTCAACACCTGCAAGGTTTGACCTTGCAGGCCGCATGAGGCGGTCAAACCTGGTCGAAGGCCTAGGTCCTCTTCACCGCTTGACACCTGCGTGGGTGTCTGAAGGGTGGTTGGGACTCTCCACTTGATACGTGTTTACATCTCTACTACTATGTACACATACTTATGCATGTGTCCACCTTTGTACACGTTTATGTAGTCTTCAACTTATAAACATCAAGATAGTTAGTTATACGTAATTTCAAAGAGATGATCAATATCTCCCTCATATTCAATAGTGTTGAAAACCCCGCAAACCGATTTAGAATAAATATGGGTCCGACGAGTCGTGTTTTAAAATGCCGCGCGCCAAAAGAATAACGTTAATAGTGCAGAAAGTGGTGTAACTGCAATATAGGTGTGTAGGTACGTACATAGGGGTTAGTCCAGGTTGGATCCACACTTGAAACCGTCCACTCTCTCTTTTAAAGCTGTACAATATTGTAGCATTTTCCGAGTGCATAAAGGTACCGAGCAAACTGAAAACGCATAGCGATCATAAGACATTAATTAGGAGGAAGAGAGATCAGTACTCCATGGGGAAAACCAATTAAAATCGGATCACGCCATGCTCAATGTATCGCGTCATGCAGGCTGGAAATAGTGGCCAAATCCTCGGCTTTGATTGGCTAGTCCACCCCAGAATCGGATGCGCAATGCACCGCATTGGGAATAGTGCGCCACCTTGATCCCGCCCCTCGGAACAGGGTAAAAAAAGAAAAAGAAAAAAAGATGGGAAAATGGGAAAAATTGGGGACAAACTACCCAGTACGCAGCCCCTGCTGATGTCAACCGTCATTGTGACTGGCTTGTCTTCTTCTTTTTGAACCAGAACCAGAAGAAGTTTGGTTATTGGTACATTTCGGAAAGATAGGCTCTAGAGTTTCCCAAGTAATAACCAAAGTTGAGAGAGATCGTGATCGAGATTCATGATAGGCAACCAACAATGGAATTCAAGTGCTATGGTGTTATCGGAGTATTTTGGCGTAATGAAAAGAGAAGTTAATGAAAATCAATGAAATCAATATCCTTGGGAAGATCACGTAGTGACGCCTTTCCACTTTCCAAGGATAAAGAATGCCTGGAAGGTTCATGAAACTGAAGGACGAGGTCGTTATTACCGGTATTAATTCATTACATTACCAGTTCACCCAGGAGACGGAAACGGGAGGACCTTGTCTGATCATATTGGGCGATCACACGGAGGCCGGCCCACGAGGGGAATACGTGTCTTGTTACCGTATGAAACGGTATGGCCAATCATTGCGTCTCTCCAATTCCCCTCACGCCTTCTACAACTTACCTACTAACTCTCCCTGGCTCCTTCTCTCTTCTCTCCCTTATACCATCAACATCATCTTCTCATCTTCTCTCTCGTTCCTAATCCTTTTCTCTTGTTTCGTTTCCCTATTTCCCCTCCTCTCTCCAGCCTTCCTCACTTCTATCATCACCTTTCCGCTAGATCCCGATCACTTTCCAACGATTTCAACGTTAGTGTCTTCCATTGTCAACTCTTCAAGACACTTCGCAATCGTCGACGGCCTGTCCTCGTTACAAGTTCGAAGATCCCCATCTCGATCTCAAAAGGTTCTACCATAGAATTATTCTCGGCCTTTCCGTCTTCTTCGACCAACCCCTTCCCCTTTTCCATCGATATCCAGGCTCCACTTTTGAGCTCTGGTGACTCACCTATAACTCGATAAAAGGGTCAACTCTTTGGTCACCTTGCTTGTCATTGTGCAACATCTACAATCCAACCTTCGTCCTTCCAATCATCACGAAGGTTAACCCTGCGTTCCGGACAATCATACGTGCCTTGAACAGAACCTTGCTGTCCAAAGCAATCCGGGAGTTTAACACCCTCGGGGCAACCTGGCATCGAGTACCTCTGCGTTTCCAACTTGGAATTGGCAGGTACTCTACCGGATCCCTTAAACGCCCCATTCAATTTGCTACAGCTTTGCTCTGGCCTTTCATGACTCACTAATTTCAATTACCTTCAACTTGAGTCACGGCCCTCGACCTTGAACCTGGTGTTCATAGGATCGTTTTTCTCCTATACATCTTTGTCCTTTTTTCAATTACGATATTACGCAGCGCTTTATCTCAACTCTGTTCGATCCGGTATCAGGCCGACCTTCAACCACTTGTCCATCTCTTTGATTTTTGATACATTCGTGTCGTCCAACTTGGGTCCCCTTCCCGTTTAACAAAACGAAAAACGACATACAAATGAGCACATAACGGTCTTTATACATTCTCTTGCATCAACAAATCCCTCTCGGGTTCATTCAGCTGCGCCACTGCGCCTCATTCTCTTATCATTTCATCTGTCGATCAACCTTTCACCAGTACATTTTTATGACATTTCGAGCTCGCTGTCAGGTTTCTTTCCGTCCTATCCTGACCGCACCCCGCTCTTCTCTTCGCCCATCCCTGTTCTATTCGGGACCACGCGCCTGATACTTCTCTTCATTGTTTTTAATATTCATTAGCCTGGTTGCTGTTTGCTTATCACACTTCGACACGTTATCAACACGGTCAAAGTTTTTTATTTGAGCGGTTCATAGATTTGTCTTCATCTCATCTCTTTGGAGCTTTCGTCTCATTCCGCCCTATCTCATTCCGCCCCACCTCATCTCATCTCATCTCATCGCATTTGTCCTATTTCAGGATTAACAAGCCAACATGTCGACCATGGAATGCTTAAAGAACAACTTCGTCAAGGGCCAGCTGTTGGATGGCCGATTCCGAACTCTGGCCCCTCTCAACCACGGGTCCTTCGGAATGGTTTTCCTTGCAATGGACAACACTACTGGTCAAGAGGTGGCTATCAAGTGTCTTCTCAAGGGCTCCTTAACTTCCCAAGATCGTTTCGAAGAACTTGAGTGCCACCGACGGTTTGGCTTCCACCCGAACTTGGTCAATCTCATTCACACTTTTGACACCGAGAACCATACCTATCTCGTTCTGGAGTACTGTGCCAATGGTGACCTCTATGAAGCTATTCGTCATAACCGTGGTCCTCTGGAGACAGAACACGTTCGCGAATCCATGCTACAGCTGATAAGCGCTGTTGACTTCATGCATGCCAACGGCTTGTATCACCGTGACATCAAGCCGGAGAATATTTTCCTCACACAGGATGGTTCCATGAAGCTTGGCGACTTTGGCCTCGCTACCCAGGACTCCTGGTGCCACGAGGCTTGTGTTGGCAGTGATCGCTACATGGCTCCCGAGCAGTACGATCCCTCTACGATTGGATACTCTCCTGCCAAAGCTGATATCTGGTCCGTGGGTATCTGCTTGTTGAACATTCTATTTGCTCGTAACCCATTCACCACCCCAACCGAGTCCGATAAGATTTTTGCGGACTATGTGCGTGATCGCCAATCGCTTTTCGATATCTTCCCCAACATGTCTCAGGACACTTACGAGATCCTGACACATGCTTTGGCCATTGATCCCTCCAAGCGCTCTTTGTTGAACGTCCGCGATGCTATCCTTCGTACCATTTCCTTCACCACCGATGACGAGTCCCTTGACGAGTTCTGCACTGAAGATCGGGAAGTGATCGCCGCTAGCGCCAATCGCGAGCCTCTCCGCACCCCGTCGCTGCAGAGCCCCCACGTAAACCAGGGAGATTCCTTCCCCTGGGCCAAGGCTCTTCAGTCAAGCCCCCCTCAGGCCATTCGCCAGCTATCTGTCATTCCGGATAACGAGAGCTACACCGAGGATCTCTTCCCGGCTTCCGAAGCTGCAGGATCCTCTTGGTACTCTACCCACATGGATACCCCGTCGATGGCTTCTGTTATGGACTCACATCTCAGCGCATCATTGCTGACGCTCAACCTGCGTAAGCGCCATGTGCCAACTCTTCCTCGCTCAGACCCAGTGGCCATTACTGGATCTCTTCCCTCACATGCTACAAAGCCCCTGCCCTCGCTCTCGTCAGTCTTTGGCAACAACCAAGGTGCGGATAAGATTTCCAAGAGCTGGTGCGATATGTGGGACGAAGAGGAGTCCGAGAACGAGGATCTTGCGATGGCCCAACGTCGGGAGCAGAACTCTCGCAGCTGGAGCCACGAGAGCCAGGGAGCCGCACTCCCAGGATTGCGCGAGCCGGACTCCGCTTCCCTCAAGCAGCGCTCTCAGGCACCAGATAAGGGCCTGAAGATGGATCACTTTGAAATCCACCACATGTCCATGGATGAAGACAGTGACTCGAGTGCTTCCAGCACTCCGCGTCCACCGTGCAACTCCTCACCCGAGCCATCTAGCGCCGATAAATGGTCTATGCTTGGTGATGTCCGCCGCAACTACAAGCCCGAGGATGAGACTCGCAAGTACAAGTCTCGCAAATCTCGCGAAGTTTTCAGCCCCAAGACCGTCGCTGCCAACACTCGACGCCACGATTGGGGACGAGGTACTTCCGGATATCACCAGAACAAATCTAAGCCTGCATCGCCCCCAGACGCTCGTCGACGCCACGTACTAGAACAGCAAGACTGGCGCAGCCATGTTCCTAAGCGCTTCACTCCTACTTACGATGGAAGCGTAGACGATGATCTTGATCTCGTCGGCGGATGGCATGAGACTCACTTCTAGGCTCTCGTTCTTCGCCTCATCTCCACTTCACCCCACCCCACCATTCCCCTACATTGACGTCCATTTGCGTGTTTCGGTTCAGTTGGAAAAAAAAAGTTCAAAAATTTCCACTATAAACTAATGTCCCACTTTCTTGTCTCGTGTCTCTTTGTTTTTGGATTGAGTGTTTTGTTTGTCTCCGTCTCACTTCAACGTCGATGCACTGCATGTCTTCCCCTCTGGTTGCCAACTTGGTTTTTTTTTTTTTCACTTGTAATATATCAAACCGAGGGCCGAGGACTTTGGCGGAGATGCAAAGCACGCACAAACCACAAAAAGGTTAGAAGGCTGGGTCGGAATGCGCTGATGGATGTTTTATTATGGCGGGACGGTGTTCTTCGCATACTGACCACGATTGACGTGGATCTCAGGCAAAAGGTGGAATGGTTTTGTCGAAGGTCGACTGCCAGGTGATTTGGTCGAAAGAATCGCGGCCCTGTGTATACTGTAACTAGCTTATCTGGGACAGTCAAAAGGGAAATTGATCACATCCGTGAAGAATCTGCTCTATGAATCTATTGTAACATGTAATTGTAGTTTGATGTAGTTTTAACCTCGCATACATCCATATACGTACATACATATGTGGTTCTGTATACATACGCATGTATCTGTATGTAGAGAACTCTAACTATCTGTAAAGGCGGTAAGAGACTTCAACGGTTGAGTTGCCACGGATCCACTCTGTGCCCTTGTCTCCATTCCCCTCTGGATACCGCCATTTAACACTGATATTGCTAATATCGCCTGTCCTTAATAGCAAAATCTCCAGCGATTCCCTTGTTGTACTCTAAAGGAAAAATATCGGAAACACGGCTCGAGGTAAACTATTCGCCTCGCTCCCAGCCACCACAATGCGCATAGCATGCAAGACGGACTGATAGCTTGAACTCACCGACACTTTCGACTGTCCGTGATCATCACAGCTAGCCTGTGGCGTTCCGCGCTTGACCGACAGAAGCCAGGAAGCTATATAAACGCGGCCGCCCGCTTATCTCCCTATCATCCCAGCCGACAGGATGTTGACCGCGGGCCGGTCATTGTCACACTGGGTATACAGCCCCTCAATCCTTTTCGCACTATGCACCAGCGTTCTATCCGAAGCAACTACCCAAACCTCCACGATTGTCGCGCAATATGCGACCCCCACAACACCCGTGACCACATGCCCAGCGAAGAGTAGCTGGGAGACAGAGGCGGAGCTCTTCAATCTGCCGCCATGTCTGGAAACGCGATGGGGGCCCGGTCGCGACCTATATATCAATGCGGCACTGGAATCCAGCGCGGCGGCCATTGACCCGGTCGTTGATCCATCGTCCGTGTCCAGCGGGATACCAGAAGGGACGGGGAGCGCTACACCCAAGCAGAGCGCAGACCAGGACCAGGATACGGACTCGCTGCTCGATGGGGGTAGTTTCCTTTCTTTTGAGGATTGGAAGAAACAGAATTTGGCGAAAGCCGGACAATCAGTGGAGAACGTGGGGGGAGACGTTCTGCGGCGGCTGGGAAGGAAGACCGCCGTCAGCCGACGGGTATCAACAATGCGCTGGACTCGCTGGGCGACGACGCCGAGATTGAGTTGGACTTTGGTGGGTTCGGTGCTGAGACGCCCGAGGCCAGTCCTACTGCTTGGGGCACGCATATTGCGTCGCGCGAAGCGGGACATCAGGAGGGTGCGAATGGTGGGGGCAATGGTGATGTCCATGCACATGATGCGTTGCAGAGAGATGCATCGCGCCGGAAAGATGCTGGCACTACTTGCAAGGAGCGATTCAATTATGCTTCGTTTGATTGTGCGGCTACGGTGCTAAAGACAAATCCTGAGTGCAAGGGGTCGTCTTCTGTGCTGATCGAGAATAAGGATAGCTATATGCTGAATGAGTGTCGAGCCCAGAACAAGTTCCTCATTTTGGAATTGTGCGATGATATCCTTGTTGATACAGTTGTCCTGGCCAATTATGAATTCTTCAGCTCTATCTTCCACACCTTCCGGGTCAGCGTCTCGGATCGGTACCCTGCGAAGCCCGACCAGTGGAAGGAACTTGGAGTCTACGAAGCGCGAAACACCCGCGAGGTGCAGGCTTTTGCGGTTGAGAACTCGCTCATTTGGGCTCGGTACCTTCGTGTTGAGTTTCTTACGCACTATGGCCATGAATTCTTCTGTCCAATCAGCCTGATTCGTGTGCATGGTACAACCATGATGGAAGAGTATAAGCATGATGAGAGCTCTGACCATGCCGAGATTGATGAATTGGATTCCAGTGAAGTGAACCAACTTCCTGAAACCTTGGAACCTACGCCTGTTGTGGTACCTCCTGAGGAGGTTGTTCCACCGGTAGAAACTAGCCCCAAGGCTGTTGAGATCTGCCCGAACCCCCCATCAGACCCTGTGTCTCCTTTTGCAGGCCTCCTAGACGGAGAAACGTGTGGTGTCAATGATGGACCTCCTATCATCACTCCTTCGACGTCAGGCACTACCGCCCAGACAAATCCACCATCGAAGGAGAATTCTACCGTTGCAGTAGGCGCCGGTGCCTCTCAGACCAACACCGGGCCACCGGGTTCCTCCAAGGCTGCAGAGGAAGCCCGGAAGCCAGGTGATCCCTCCAAAGGCACTGTGACTACTCCAGATGGCTCGATCTTGCCTTCGGAGCCCGCTCAGCAGAATGCCACAGAAACAGTGGGAAAGGCTATCCCAGATGTCAAAGAAGAACAAAATATCTCTCCCCCAGAATCTACCAGACCTACGAACACCCAACCGCCATCCTCAAACCCGACCACACAAGAATCCTTTTTCAAATCCGTTCACAAGCGGCTTCAGATGCTCGAGTCCAACTCGACTCTATCCCTCCTCTATATTGAAGAACAATCACGTATCCTGCGCGATGCGTTCAACAAAGTTGAGAAGCGTCAATTGGCAAAGACGTCTACTTTCCTGGAGAACCTCAACGTGACCGTCCTGAACGAATTGAAAGAGTTCCGTGAGCAATACGATCACGTCTGGAAATCTGTAGCCCTCGAATTCGAGCATCAGCGCATACAATACCACCAGGAAGTCCATTCCCTTAGCACCCAGCTCGGCGTCCTCGCCGACGAGATAGTCTTTCAAAAGCGAGTGACCGTGATTCAGAGTATCATGGTTCTCTGCTGCTTTGCAGTGGTCCTGTTTTCACGCGGATCAGTCAGCAACTACATGGAATTCCCCGGCGTCCAAAGAATGGTCGCTCGGTCCTATAGTCTACGATCCTCTTCTCCCATCTTCGCGTCGGCATCCCCGTCCGCGAGTCCGGGCTCAACCCGACCAACATCCTCATACCGCCAGAATAGGGGTCATCGCAGGAATCTTTCTGACTCGTCGGACCAGGATAGTACTGCGAGCCCGACTGCGGCTTATGCCCCACCAACTCCTACCTCTTCGTCTCCGCGGGACACGGGAGTTGAGGAGCCGGTCAAGGCTGAAGATGACCAGCCTGCATCGCCAGAGTCCATGTCTGTGCCTACTCTGGTGACTCCATTTCCCCGTTCTCACAGCACACCCCCTGTTATGAATGGGCATCCTATCGACCTGGATACCGAGACTGATATTGATACCCCGGTTGAAGACAGTCCACGGTCGCAAGGGTCGTGATGCGTGTCCATTTGACCCTGACCTCACCTAATTCTCCCTCTAGTTGCTTCGGCATTATGATTGCATTTTGACATTGGCGCTTTGCATCTGTACACTGTTTGTATACTACTGTGTGCTTGGACGACTATATGATTATCACTGTTTTACTAGTTGCTCTATTATTATGCATTCTGAATAACTAGGAAACTCAAATTAATAAACAAACAAAAACCACGTCCAATGTTTAGTAAATACGTAAATAACCTTGGAAGTCGATCTACGAGAATGTCTGTTGTGTTGGCGTCATAAACCGCGTCGTTCATCGTTGCCCTGCCAACAATCGAACTTGCCCATTTTTCCCACACGTTTTTCTTATCGTTTGGCCAGTTCTTTGTTTTCAGCTACTTCAATCACCTCTACTCATCTGTTTCTCTCAATCCTCCCAATCTTCTCAATTCTCTCAAGTCTACATATATACACACACAAATACAAAATGGACCCAACAACAGCTCAGCCCCTGGCCGACCGCTCCACCAACACCCACCTGGCTGGCGCAACCGACAAGACAGACCTCAAGGGCTCAGACATCTCATCGATGGAGTACCACCGTCAGGTCCTGCAAGGCAAAGTAGCAGGTGATGAGTAAGTCTTCTAAAATGCCCAGGTGGCATCCAAAGATCCACTATTACGATCCAAAATACTAACTACATCCACATCAGACAACCAACTTCCTACGTTTCACCCTCAGATGAAATCATGAGCCCCTGCACAAAGAAACTAAGCAACATCAAGGGCAAGCGGTTCAAGAAGTACGTACTGACATCCCCAGTCACATCTTTCGTTCGGTTATCTGAAATCCCCTCCCCAAGAGATGCCTCGGCGTGTAACCTTGCAATGATGGGCTGATCAGCTAACATGCCACTGCAGTGCCGGAAAGCCCCAGTCATTGTTTGCTAAGCTCGGCAAGAAGAGCTACGAGCAATCGTCAGCCGAGCAGGGCCGGAGCGAGAATTAATTTTGGTTTGGAATATTGGTGTTGATAGCCGGAGAGCTGTATGCATGGGTGTTTCTTGTTTTCTTCTTTCTTTTCGTTGAATATCAAGTGGATGGCCTTCTCGGGCTTGTTTTGGTTCTCGTCTTTCCTTCAATTCGTCTTTACTCTGCGCCGGTCGCTGTCGGACGCATTGAGGAGAGACAGGTTTGAAATTGTGGATTGAGTTGAGTCTCGAGTTGGACTGTTTGGCTGATACTTGGCTGTTCTTTTGTGATGACCCGCGATGCCTTTATTTTGTTTTGTTTTCTGGGGTTTTGGATAGGGGGAACTGTAATTGGGATATACTCTCATGGAGCACATTGGATGAATCAATTCAACCTTGCAACCTTGCACTTAGATCTGTTTGTAGTACTACTTGACGTAGTTAACGTTTGTGCTATGCCCCTTCTACAAATTCTTTCGATCCTGGTTTTTCTGATAGATTCTTCATATATGGCAATCGAGGAATAATTCTAAATGATTATAGACATTAGTTATTCTCTAATATGAAATATATTAGAATCCTCTATTAGATGATTGTGTTTCTGTAGGCCTCGGGGATCTGGCCGAGGTACCGAGCGTCCAACATTTCAATATCAAGATGAGAACGAAATGAAGACTGATGAGGTTCCTAGTAACTGTCTAGACATGAATTGACGGGCTTTACCCGAATAATCTACCCATTTGTTCAAAAACCACCCAATTCTTACTCGAATCTATACAAAATCCATACCAAATGGACTGACAATTGGGCCGAGGCAAAATCCGCTGCTCTCGGCTTCTCCACACCCACCACTTCTTCTCCGCAATCCTCGGGACGTATAGCTTTCCTTTATATTCAGCTTCTCGGTCTCTCCATCACCTTCACTAACCACTTCTAAATTCATTATGTCTGCCTCATCCCGTATCCCACCTATTGCACAGCCGTTCGTTAGCGAACAGGCAAAGCGGACCCTCGACCTGGTAAGCACCCCCATACCCTTCGATCCCATCCCACTGAGCTGCCCAGCCACATCTCCGGATGATTGACAAATACTAACACCTTTTAGGTTGAGGAATTTGTTGAGAAAGACTGTATTCCCGCAGATTCACTATTCCAAGCCCAGCTCGGTGAGGGCGAGCAGCGATGGAAGACTACCCCCGCCATCATGGAGACGCTGAAGGAGAAGGCCAAGAAGCTCGGTCTATGGAACATGTTTCTGCCCAAGAACCACTTCACTCAGGGTGCTGGATTCTCAAATCTCGAGTATGGTTTGATGGCTGAGTTGCTCGGCAAGAGCAAGGTTGCCTCGGAGGTGAATTATTCCTTCCTCCACAATCCGCTTTATGCTGGGCGCACCGCTAGAAAGAATGCAATATTGGCCGAATTAATCGATTCGCTGACAATCATGTGCACCAGGCTACCAACAATGCTGCCCCAGATACTGGCAACATGGAGGTATTCGCCAAGTACGGTAACGATGCACAGAAGAAGCAATGGCTTGAGCCCCTGCTGCAGGGCAAGATCCGCTCTGCTTTCCTGATGACCGAGCCCGACGTTGCATCCAGTGATGCGACGAACATTGAGTTGGAAATCCGCCGCGAGGGCAACGAATACGTCCTGAATGGCTCGGTATGTTTCACCATCCTTAACCCAACCGCGACGAAGTGACAGAGCCTGACAAACCAAACAGAAATGGTGGTCCTCCGGCGCCGGTGACCCCCGCTGCGCTATTTACCTGGTCATGGGCAAGACCGACCCCTCCAACCCAGACACCTACAAGCAGCAATCCGTCATCCTAGTCCCCGCCGGCCTGCCCGGCATCACCGTGCACCGCATGCTAACAGTATACGGCTACGACGACGCCCCCCATGGCCACGGCCACATCACATTCAAGAACGTGCGCGTTCCCGCCTCAAACATGGTCCTCGGCGAAGGCCGCGGCTTCGAGATCATCCAGGGCCGTCTGGGCCCCGGTCGCATCCACCACGCGATGCGCGCGATCGGTGCCGCCGAGCGCGCCCTCGAGTGGCTGATTGCCCGCGTCAACGACGACCGCAAGAAGACCTTCGGCCAGCCGCTCGTCGCACACGGCGTTATCCTGGAGTGGATCGCCAAGTCACGCATTGAGGTTGATGCCGCGCGCTTCGTTGTCCTCAACGCTGCTATCAAGATCGATCAGGGCAATGCGAAGAGCGCGCTGAAGGAGATCGCACAGGCGAAGGTGCTCGTGCCGCAGACGGCGCTGGCCATTATTGATCGCGCGGTGCAGGCTTACGGCGCTGCTGGTGTCTGCCAGGATACTCCGCTTGCGTACTTGTGGGCTGGTATTCGTACGCTGCGCATTGCTGATGGTCCCGATGAGGTGCACTTGCAGCAGCTGGGCAAGCGCGAGAACAAGACCCGTAAGGATGCCGTTACTGCTAAGCTGAACTGGCAACGAGAGGAAGCGGATCGCTTGCTTTCTGCTTCTGGGTTCAAGCCTAAGAGCCATCTGTGAGGGGTTAGATAAATATAGTTTGTGACAATTTGCTGTTTAATTCGGCTGAATGAGAATACATGGACATATTCTTCTACTTCATTTTTACTTTATTGAGTAACAGTGTAGATAATAGAATCAAGTGAATGAATGACTGGTATAAATCGTTATTCGACTCGTGAAAATCCTAACGCCAGAAAGATGACCTCAACATGAACATGAACATAAAACTTCAATCCCAACATGAAATGCAGATCCCCTCCAGGGCTCCATACGTAGGACCATTTATCATCCATCCATCCCAGACCCAATGAGCCAAGAATGATACTTCGTAGAGCAAGGGAAGGTATAATCTCCCCCGACTCGTCCGCGAGCGCAAGCAGCAATGCAACAAAAGAAAAGAAACAAAATCACTTTTTAGTAGTCGTCATCTTCAGGGTTGTTGCGTTTGCCCTTGGCCCGGCGCTTGTTGCCCTTGAAGTGCTTCTTGGAATTTCCACCCTTGACCTCAGAGACGTCAACGCCGCGCTCAAGCGCGATCATCATGCGCTCTTTGCGACCCGTTGGTGCCTTGCGCATCTCCTCACCCTGCTTGGTGTACTGCGCCTGGAAGGGGAGGGTCATGCGGCCGGCAGAGGGGCCGGTCTCTGAGCCGAAGAAGCCGGTGTCGAGGTTGCGAGAGGTGCGACCAAGCTCTGGCTCGACGGCAATGTGATTGGGGTCCGACATTTTCTCTGAGTCGAGATCGTCCGCGGTTTCCTGAGGAGCTGCGGGCTTGCCGATTTTGGCTTGTGTGATCTGAGCCCGGCGTCTTTCAGGGAGATGGGCGATGTCGTAGAGCTCGTTATTGAACTCAGCGGGGTCATACGGTGTCTCGTTGTCAGCCACCGGGGGAGGGTTGACCCAGAGGAGCTTGCCGTTGACGTAGTCCTTCAGCACATAACGGGCAGCGCGGGACTCGTCGGGCTGACCCAGACCTTGTGTGGAGAAGCCACGAGCGCGAGCATAGGCGCGCAGAATCTCACTGGCGGTAGGGACACCAGTACCGCCCTCTTCGATGGGGCGCATTCTGAGTTTCACACCATACACTTGCTCGAAGAAGTGCTTGGGGATACGCTTGGCAACGATACCGGCGGGGCCGGTAAACTCGCGCTGCTGGTCGATGGGCAGCACACCGTTGACGACCAACTCGGCCTTGGTGGTAGCAAAGTTGGGGAATACGAGACCGGGACAATCGCACAGCATGATCTCTGGAGAGAGGTATAGAGTCTGGAAGTGCTTGGTCTTACCGGGAGTGGCAGAGACAGATACCTTCTTGGCACCCAGAAGGGCGTTGATAGTACTAGACTTACCAACGTTAGGGTAACCGACCAGACCGATTGTAGTCTTTGGCTTGGTCGGCTCGCCATCCTCGGTGGTGGAAGGAAGCGTTTCCGGGGAGTTGGCCAGGAAGAGCTGTTCAAGCTCATCGGTGTCCAAAATGTGAGGTCCAAGCGAACGCTCGGGGTCGGCAAGCTTAGCAATCTCTGCTTCCACTGTGTCCTCCTTCTTATATCCATCATCTTCCTCGGGGTGTACGTTCACATTGATCTTTTGAGCGGACTTGGCAAGTTCGGAATCAGAATCAGAGTTAGCTTCTTGCTCCTCCAACAAGGCGAGGGCCTCGTTCTTCTCCTTGGCGAGGTGAGCCGAGAAGAAACGGAAGTTGATGTTGTTTTTCTCAAAGTAAGTAGCCCAGGCCTGTCTTTGCTTCAAAGACAACATATCTGCCTTGTTAACCAACAACAAGTTTTGCTTCCGAGGATCGATCTGCTTCACGTAGCTCTCCAGATCCTCCGAACGGAACTGCAACGGGTTTCGGGCGTCGACAATCTGAACAACAAGATCGGATCGCTCAATAACACGCCACAACTGGCGCCACACTTCCAAGTTGCGCTCGAATGGAGTCATCAGCAGATCGTGGTTCTCGATCAACTCGGCCAAACCTCGCCTCCAGTCCAAAAGACTCGCTTTCTCCATCTGTTCGAGTTCATGGCGAGTGGTGTTCTGGTCCCACTTGGGTCGTCGGGGAACAGTCAGTCGAGCCTTGTTCTCCTGATGCTTCTTGTATGCCTTCTTCTCGTCGCTGGCCGATAGGAGGAAGGGGTTCTTCTGATCGGAGTGGATAATCTTCACGTTGTTGATTTTTTCAGCGGTAAAGTCGGTACCGGCCAATTCGGCGGTGCTCAGGAATTCGTCGAGGGCAGCCTGTTCAGTGATACTGCGCATTTTGACCCATGAGGCCTCCTTAGCCTCGTTGGTGACGTAGGTTTCGCCATTGACACCTGTGCGCTGAATGGCGTTGTTGTGAGAGACCTTCTTCTGATTCGATGCTTTGCCCTTTCCGAACCGATCGTTCATGAGACTGGCACCCAGTCCCACGGAGTTTTTGGATTTAGCCAGAACCATGATGGCAGTGACTTTTTGTTCCTAATAAAAATGTTGGAAAAAAATAAAGTCAAGATCACAACCCCACCTGAAAAAGCCCTGGAGGGAATTTTGGATTATTCAGACGGATAAGATAACGATGACTCAGCCCCCTCTATCGGCCGTAGTATAGCCTTTTTTCTCTCTTATTTCTTTTGTTCTTCTAAGACTACTGTACAGGTAAATGATTTGGATGCCGAGAAACAAAGTGTTCAGAAGCATATATATGAAGAATATCTATATGGTTGTATTATATGTACGTAGGTACATATATTGCAATATAGTACTATCGAAGCCCTGGAGCGGGCCTTTCTAAAGCGAGCCCAATTACCACATATGTACCCAAGTCTCCAAGCGAAAGTGCACAATGAGTCAAATTGAAAGTCAAATTGAAATTCAACAAATGGAATGAAATTCGGAAAAAATCCAAGCCCTGTAGAAAAATTTATTGATCATCGTATACATACGTAGTATACATAGTAGGCTAGAAAGATCTAAGGACCCCCGGAGAACGAGGGGCGATAAGCCTACACGTGACCATATCAATCCCACTTTTTTCTTTTTTTCAACGATACTCATTTTTTGACCAAACCAAAAAGATGCCGCCCAAACAGTGGATGTACGTTTAACAATTGCGGGGTGTGTGTGCTATAACTAACTATCTTACAGTGACAAGAAGAACGCGAGCAAGTTCCAGCTCTTCCACCGATCTCAAAATGATCCGTTGATCCACGATACCAATGCGGACGACCGCTTCCTGTACCAGGTTGGGGGACCCGCTCCTGCACCTGCGCCTGCATCTTCTTCCGCCTCGAGTTCTTCGAAAAAGGCATTGCCCAATCTCTCGGATCTCACGTCCGAGTATGGCGGTAGTGCGCGCAAGAATGAGGGCGAGGCTGCCAACTATGGCGTTTATTACGATGACTCCAGCTACGATTACATGCAGCATCTTCGTGAGCTAGGCACCGGTTCTGGAGATGCATACTTTGTTGAAGCCAAGGGTGAAAAGGCCAAGGGCAGAGCTGGCAGAGGCATGAAGCTGGAGGATGCGCTGCGACAGGTTTCTCTCGTTGATAAGGATACCTATGCCCAGAGCGCTTCAGGTGCCCCTAGTCTCTATGGCTCTCAATATGGCGATATGCGATCAACTGCTTCGTCTTTTATCCGCAAGCCCACCTACCAGGATCAGCAGAACATTCCAGACGCAATTGCTGGCTTCAAGCCGGACATGGACCCTCGTCTGCGAGAGGCCCTCGAAGCGCTTGAGGACGAGGCATATGTGGATGAAGATGGCGATGATGATATCTTCGGCGCATTGACCGCCAATGCGGAAGAGATGGATGAAGGTGACTGGGAGGATTCTCTTTTCGACCATGACGAGGAAGATGAAGGATGGGAGTCAGACGCTACCGAGAAAGCGCCTGTGCAGCCCAGTAGTACAGAAATTCAGCATCCAGCTGACGAAGAACCCTCAAAGGGGCCTGTACAGCCGCCTTTGGAGCCTGGCGAGATGCCTGCGCCCGACGAGCCAGCCCCCGACATGCAGGCCACTGACCAAGGGTGGATGAGTGAGTTCGCCAAGTTTAAGAAAGATGCCAAGGCTGGCAAGGCCCCTGCACCTGCTGCGCCCACAATCGCCGCATCGCAAACGATGGCGTCGACTGTCTTCACCGCTGGCGGTACCCCAATTCGCCGCAAGAAGCGCAAGGGTGCCATGACCAACCCATCCGCGTACTCGATGACCTCATCCGCACTGGCTCGTACCGAGGGTCACCGTCTCCTTGATGACCGATTCGACAAGGTCGAGCAGCTCTATGCTCTTGACGAGGAGGATGAGTTCGATGACAGCATGTCTATGGTCAGTGGAATGACTGGCGCAACCGGCATGACTGGTATGTCCATGGCATCATCCCAGGCACCCAGTCTCATCGATGGCAATGGCGAAGCAGTGCACAGCCGCAGCAACTTCAACAATGTCATGGACGACTTCCTGTCTAGCTGGGATCCCAACACCAGTTCCCAGGCGAAGCGCAATGGCGCCAAGAACAAGCGTGGCAAGAACGGTAACGAGGCCATTGGCATCAGAATGCTCGACGAGGTGCGATCAGGTCTTGGCCCAGCTCGTATCAGGAGCGAGAAGGGTAAAGTCGCCGGAAGAGCTTAGATGAAGCTTTCCACTGCATATGAGACGACACTCAATGGGATATCCCAGTCATGACATGGCGTTTGGATTTTTACTTACATTTTTCTATTATTTTGGCATTCCCGTGCGTTAGGGTTGATATCTCTTGATGGCTAGATCAAAAGTTATGTTTATGTCTTGATGCTCTATGTTCTATCCTTACTCTCCACGGACGAGTATATTTTTTACAATCGCCCACGAATTCACCCGCAATGCATTTTTATCCTCCAAGTGAAAACCCTCCTTCGCATCATAAAGCACAGCTAGAATCCCCTCTGCGCGCGCAGCCTGAACATCGCGAATCTTATTGTCACCAAAGTAAATGATATCATCAACAGCGATATTATACTTCTTTAGTACAACGCCAAACAACCCATCTACTTTAGACTTGCCGATATCATTTGTCGTCACAAGAATATCGACATATGGCCGTATGCCAAGTTCTTGCACAGTCCACTCCTGTGCATCTGTTGGCCCCTCAGTAATGACAATGACTTTCTTCCCTAAATGCTGTAGAGTTTGCAAAAGCTGCAATGCACCCTCCTTGAGGGCCAGGTTTTCACGCAAAGAATTGCGATATATCTCTAGCAGACTGTCGAGTAGAAGGGTATCAACGAGCCCATGTGCTTGAAGAAGACGTCCGAACCGCTCGCGTCGGTACTCGGTTGAGGTTCTGCCATCGGTGAACGCATCCGCCGTTGCATTTCGCAAGATATCTTGGTACGTAGTCCTGAGGGTATCGATGCTGATATGGTTGTTTGAAGCATGAATTGCTTGGAAGAGGTGGGTTGAGGCTTCAGCCGAAGCTCGTCGGAATTCATGAAGTGTGTCATCTAGATCGAAGCCGTACCATGTTTTTGAAAAAAGTTCTTGGATACACATGTCGAGTTAGCTTCAAAATGATACCTGGAGTCGGTGATGAAGACAATCTTGTAAGGCCTCGGTGTTAATGTAAATGTATGAATGAGTCAGGTGGAGATGTTCCTGGATGATGTGATCGTCTCAATGCATGTCACAATATATTACAATTTCGCTATTATTCCTGAATGTTTATACAAATTAAAAGGCACCACCAACCTTCTCCACGATCCACATGGAAAGTCTCACATTCCACCCGACACGTCGCTCAGTTCGTCTCAGATCATCTCTCGAGACAGGACTGGCGTCTTTCTGAAGCCGTTCGGTCTCTTCACCGAGTTTGCGCTTGAGATCCTGATCGTTGGTTACCACTAGCGCACCGACCTCAAGGTCCAGACTGTAGCTGCGCTTGGTGTAGTTGCTGCTCCCGACGAAAGTGAGGCTGGGGTGTTCTTCGCGCGGCAGTGTAACCCACAGACCTTTCGCGTGGTAGGTCCACCCACCTGGCGTGCCAACAGTTCCCTTGCGCCATTCTTTGAGCTGAATGGAGTTGGTGGCCTGTGCTGCAGCAACACGGTCAAGGAAGCGAGCCGAGAGGTGTGTATATGCGGCTGGTAGCATCCCTGAGATTCCAGAGGAGCCATAGAATCCATTTGCCCATGGCGAGGCTGTCAGAACAGTGCCTTGCGTGGTGGAAGGAGTGTTCGAGGCGGTAGTGGTACTGGAGATCAGGAGGGAGGAGAGAACAGGGTGGATGTTGAAGTATCCTGCCGTGAAGAGCCAACGAGCACCAGTGAATGCCGATGAGCTGGACAAAAGACGCAAAACTGTGGTCACGGCGGGGAATTCGGTAGAGGTGTCGTTGGGTTGCAGAAGGGATGTGAATTGTGAGACAGGGTATACATAGGTCTGGCTTGCTTCAGATGGACGTGCAGGCTCATTTTCAGTAGCCTGGATGATCGGACTGAGATAAGTCGAAGAATATGCGATGAAATCCTGAGGACTGTCCAGAGGAGATGGGGCTCCATTCGTGGTAGGCCATTCCAATACATAGTTGGATTCATCTTGAGGGTCTGGTAGCACTTGGAAGCTGAGACTGCAGATAGCGTGGTGAATTTTGGCATAGTACTCGGTAAGTGCCTTCGAGCTGAACACATGGTATCGATCGAGACGACTAGTGAAGTATTCCTCGGATAGGTTTGCGCTGAAATTAGGTCAGAATTGCATGTTTAGTCTATGACCTAAAATAACTTACCCCGACAGAATGATTTCGTCGTCGATTCCATACAGCTTCATATGCTGTAAGCCCCAGCCTTCGTTGATACGACGAGGAATCCAATCCTTCCTTAGACCCGTCAAATTGGGAGTATGGAACATTCGAATGTCGACTCGCTCCGAGCCGTACTCTGCCACCAGCGTGGAGAGGAGCGAGGCACATGAAGGATCGGGGGTCTCCCGAGTGCCACGAAGAGCGTCCGTGAGGATCGAAACCTTAAGTTTTGGATTGTCCCGGAGAGCATGGCTCAATGTCTCGATGAGGTCATATTCTGTCTTGCCAATGTACAATGTGGAGAGGTAAACGCGCCGGCGGGCATTGCGGATTTTGTTCTACGTGGTTCCCAATTAGCTCCAATGTGTTTTGCGCAACAAGGGAAAGCAAGCGTACATACCTTCAGTGTAGAATAGAAATTTGCGGGAGTATCAATGATATGAATCTGAGACGCAGGTACTTCGAACCGGGGAGCAATGCGATCTAGCTCCGCGGTGATTCCTGCTAAAGGTGAAGGGGCAGATGCTGCAGCAGTACCGGCACCAGCCTGCCCTGAAAAGCTGCGAGCATATATTCTCCGTCGTATCACTGGGCGTCCAGCGCAGCGAAGAGCGTGACCTCCAATGCGACCGAACATTTCTGAATAAGTGCAGTCGACGGTTTTCTTAATTGGGAAATTCCCTAAAGGAGTGCAAACAGTGCAAACAACACCGCCCTCTGCAACCTCAAATCGCCAATCTCTCGCATCCCATTCGCTCCACATTATATACCAGCAAAGATGTCGACTATCGTGAGGACACTGCGCAACCTTCGCCGGGTTGGCTTCAAGGTTTGTTTCTTTTTTGACCTACTTTCTATACAGACAGTGGTACTGACGCTATACAGGATGCTGCCCACCAGATGCAGGTACGATTGCGGACGCTTCGCCCGGAACATCAGGTCAATTGCATAGGCTAACATAGGTTCCTGGTTGCTGTAATATAGAACATCGGTAAGTTGCCACTGAATTGGTATATGCGCGGCAGTTGACTGACATTTCATACTCTTGCAGGTGATACCAAAGCCGGAACTTTGATCGGAACTGATCGCTTTGGAAACAAATACTTCGAGAACATGACCGAGGAATTGCCTCGTAAGGACGCTCTATAAATTCTGCTGATTTTTACTGGAACGTGAAGCTAATCTTGTTTCCCACTCAGTCCGAACACGATGGGTCGACTACAAGGAGGCCGAATACGACGCATCCCACATTGAGCCCGGCTGGTAAGCTCTTTTCTCAATACACAGGCGACGAATGGTCTCGCAAATTATGAAACTAATAATTCACAGGCACGCCTGGATCTCCTACCTCGTCGATGCGCCCCCGTACGCAGACAAGATCATGCAGACCGGCCTCCGTCCCTGGGAGCCGCGCGATCACCGCGCCAACCCGACCCAGAGTCGCGCTGCGTTCAAGACCTACTCAACGTACGTGTGGGACCTCTTTGTGTTTCGCCATAATTGTGTGTTAACTTTCCGAACAGCACCCGGCCCAAGATCTCTGCTTGGACCCCCACCGCTGCTCCTCGGTAGATCTATTTGCAGTAGCAGTCAATTCAATTTTCGTGCTGTTCAATTGATCTCGTTCTCCATTTTGGCTCTCGGCCCATTGTTAACTCGTTTGGAAACTTTGGGAAATGTACATAAAGACGTCTTGCCAGTAGTGCTTGTTTTTTTGGGTATTGATACAATCATCCCAGTTTGGATTAAACACCTCCCTCGCCTGCTCTCTTGAGTCACCATATGTTGCTAGAATTATGTTTGCTTTTTGACATTGTCAACTACCTACGTATTATCTCATGTAGGGGTGGTGAATTGGTACGTAGGGAATTGCAAGGTATAGATGTTGACACAAAGGTATAGGTTTTCAGGCATGGCTTAAGCAATTGGAACATTAGAGGAGATTTATGTCAACTGCACGAACAAAGTCTGTTTCCAAAAATGCACTTCAACGAAAATCGTAGTAAAAGGCTAGCCCACATGGTATAAACAAAGTATCCTGTTTGTTGAAGATCAAAAAAAAAAACACATGCGGTACCATAGGAGGAAAATGAAGTAAATACAAGAAGATATTATCACCCATGATTTTGTTTACCTTTAGAGATTAGAGAACATAGACACCGGAGCCAAGGTTGGACCAGTGGCGGATTGGGCGCCGGTCCTCGAGCTCAATGCACCACCACAGCACTTCTTTGAGTTTTTCAATCTGCTCGCCGGCTTCATATGCCCTCGACAGCGCATACCATGCTTCGGAGCTGTCCCAGGAACTACCGAGCTTCGTTAGGGCAGAGAGCAGCCCATAGGCGCGATCGCGGGCCGCAAGACGGTGGAGTTGCTTTGGCTCAACATCCTGTGCAGACAAGGGTGATTCTTCAGGCCCTGCGTTCACAGTCTCGCGTGATACCTTTAGATCGTCGGTCGAGATGGCCTTCGCAGACATGGGCTTGGGGGTCTCGGATAGTAGAGACAGACGTGAGACGTTGAGATCCACGTCAGCATTTGATAGCTCTGGGGCGAGTTTCTCGTCCCAAATATCCAAGAGGAGATTTGCAAGTCCAATCGTTGCGATTGGATGATTTTGATGACGCAGCAGCGCTTCTTCGAAATGCTTGATTGCCCGGTGAGGGTGTGATTGAGCCTGTGACAAAAGCCCCTGTTCTGCATAGACATCGGCCCAAAGCTCCTCAGAACTCTTCGAAGCACCCCAGCCACGCTTGCTGAAAGACCGAGCCGAGGACTCGTGTGATGCAACAATCGCTTCAACTCGTGCAGCTTGTTTCGAAGCTTCCTCACAAGCTTCGCGGGAATCGTCAAACATAGATGCCCGACGATAGAGCCCCGCGATGACGAGCCAGATTTTAACCAGAAGACCCAAAGCGTGTTTCTGGGATTGGACCAAGGAAAACTTTGTGACGGCACTTGTAGGAGAATCAAAGCGATGGCAGATTGGTAGACGAATATCCTGCTGTGGAGGTTGTTCTTCATGACCGACAGGAAGTGGTTCTTGTCTGTAGTTGAGGTTGTGTGACATCGGTGGCAATGTTTGTTTGCCTCTGCTGGGTTGGCTTGTGGACTCCGGTGATGTGTTTCCAGAAACTGCAATGCCGACCATATCTGCGGATGTTTCAGCTCCATTAGGGAGCGGTGGCTCTTCAACGCGTGGCCTTTCATGTCTATGGAAGCTGGAGCTTCGCTTCTTCTTCACCTTCTTCGAGTCTGTGCGCTGAATTGTCGATTGCCTTCCTTGGCGGCTTTGGAGATCTTCATCCGTGACCTGAATCGAGGGGGCTTCCGTCGAATGGCCATTAGGAATGGCCGGGGTGGGTGGAATAGAGGAATCAAAGCCGTTGCTCTGGTTGGTACTTCGATCCGGTAATTGAGATGCTCTGTTTCGATGGAAGATACTGCTACGGAAGCTTTTGGTAGTTCCAGCTGAGCTTTTCGGTGGCACAAGACGATCGTTCTTGCCTTTAGTTTCCCCAGTCTCGAGATTGAGGTCTTGGAAGAGAGTTCCAAAAAGACTCAACAGCTGTGAACTTTGATTGACAGCGGCTTCAGGGCCCTCCAGGAGCTCAATGAAGGCAATTTGTGTAATGCGGGTTTGGATGATGCGTTCTTTCTCTCTACCTTGCAATCGGCCGACAATCGGGCGCTGATTGGAATTCTGCGAATGTCTTGATGAACGTCGGTCACGGTTGTTTCCCGTGAACAATTCTCGTGGAAAATGCTCGAATGCAGCTTCGCACGAACGGCCAGCAATTTCGAACTCTTGCTTTGCACTAAGCAATAAGGCGAGCAGGTGCCAGAGAGATACTAGGTCTCGCTCTTTGGAAAGATCATCGGAAACTGCTGTTGGTGAACCGCTTGGTGTCAAAGCCAATTTAATATAGCCAATCGCAGTATCCAGATCTCTGTTTTCGGCCAAAAGAAGCCCCAAGGTATAGAGAGAAGCATAGCTCGAACTGCATCCCAGTTCAGGCGCAAGACTCCTTTCAAGATAATCAATTGCTTCAGACCTAATTTCGTCGCGTGATTCATTAAAGGGAGTCCAGCTTGCCCAGCAAGCAAGACCAACACCGATTGCTCGATAAGACGAAGCCAGAACGGTGGGAGGGAGGCTTGACGAGCCTGAAGAGTTGCCATTGACATGTCCGTTTGCGAGAGGCAAGTTGTGTTTATCAGTATACTCTTTTATCATATCGGTCAGATCTCGAGCTTTTTCCGCCTCTTCTAGCGAGCCAAAGCAACTTAATAAGGTGATGCCTTCAGCAAGCGTCTGCAACAATATTTCGTCCTTCTCTAGTTCACCATACTCAGCGCCCTTTTCTGCTCTTTCTTTAGCTGCAGTGACAATCTCAATATAAGAGTCAAGTGCCTTCAGAGCGAGATCGAAGTCCGCCAAGGCAGAATGGACATGGAAGAGACGACGAAGTACCAAATGGGAATGGTAGGTCTTTGTCGCTGCCCGGTACAAGATCTGAAATCAAAAGGGTCAATATCTTTACATGTGGTAGGGTCTGCGTCCAATCTTACATCTAAGACATTGCGACCAATCCCATTCTGACCTCCTTTTCCTAGGTCTGAATCTTGCCATTCAGGGCCACACAGGACTTCCCAGTTGCTAACTACCTGCTCAACCCATTGCTCGATCTGAGAATTATGGGAGCTGGCTGTAGGGAATTTGACTTCACAGAGAAGACTGCCCTCGCAGATAGTCTCTACACGGCGTAATTCACTGGCCTGCTGCGGGCGGATCGGTCCATCATTGGGGCCGGTATATACGAGTCCGTTCTGAAGGATTGTCGTCAAAAATGAGTAGTAACCGATCCAAACAGACGCCTGAGACGCGGGCACAGGACCATCCACATTTGACAAAGCCGGGTTTTCTTGTTTGACAGAAGGATGAGCCGACCACAGTCGAAACAATCGCAAGGCAATATCAACATGTTTCGGATCTGAGTAGGATGATTCTTTGCTCGCCTCTTCACTTGCCAAGAGAGCACCCTTGCCCAAAAGCGATTCCGACCAATTGAGAAACTGAGGGGTGATGATCGACGATAATTTGCCGCTATTGAGCCACGGGATCAAGGACGCATATGTGTCGAGTGTCTCATCAATACTCGCAACGTTAGATTGAGCAGTTGCTGGCTATACATCAGATCCAGCACAAATTATATCCCAAAGAAAACAAAGGAAACGTACCCTTGAGATAGCATCCCTTGACCAAACAAACTTCAGTCCAAGCGGTCGGTTCTTCGCCTCCACCAGCCAAACTACCGACTGTTGCCGCGAAGTCCTTAGGAAGACGCGCCACCGAAAGTCCGGGTTCATTTAGAACCCAATGGATCCATCCCAGGCAGACCTGCGCTTGTAATAATTCTTGTGGTGATCCGTCGCTGTTTTCAATAGTCACCAACAGGGCAGGAATCAGCTCGACGAGAGTGGGCGCGAGTGAAGAGTCACCGGAGGACTGTTGTTGGAGATATGCAATCACTCGAGATTCGGCTGTTGCGGTCTGTATCATGCCTACATTGGGACAGCTCAGTTAGGATGAGATCAACAAAGACAGGGCTGACATACAAGTCTTTTGCGGAGCATGTTTTGTGACTTTTCTAATGAGCTCGGGAACTTCGTCCCACTTTCCCTGACTCCGCGCCTGGTCCAAGGCTTCACCGTAGCGCTGGCCCTTCTCGGCATTACCTCCCTGCACGTGTCAACATAAATACTTGATGGTATCGAGTGATTTGAAGATAGAGAACAGCGAGTAGCCTGGAACACTCAAGACTGGGGTCACTTACAGACATGATTTAGGAGAGTTGTGAATTAGAGAAAAGGAACATTCAAGCTTTCAACAACATTCTGAAGCAGATGATCGTCTACCGCAGGGGTGGAGAGCGATTACGTACGTGACGGTACCTAGGTAATTTAACCACGCTTCACATGCCCAGGTGGTCCGAGCGTTTGAGAGCGAAAAAAAAAAGTTGCGGAGATCTACTTCGTTGACCCTTCAACTCTATTTTCTGTCGGCCTGATTTTTGAGTCGCAGAACTCTTCGGAAAAGGTCTTCATCATGTCGACCGCTACATTGCGAGCTATTACGCATCGCTTAACAACTACTCCGGTCGAACAATTGCCCTCGATAGCTTCATTGCTTGCAACTTCATTGAACGATTGCGCCGCACTCCTCTCTGCCCCGCAAACTCAGAGATCTGGAAAGTCGGACTCTGAGAATGCTGTTCAAATACATAAGTTGAAGACTAGACTGGCTAGTCTGTTGCAGGATCGTAGCGTCGAGGGAAGATGGACAGCCGTTGTTCTCGTAAAGGCTGCGGTCGAAGCTGGTCAATGGGAAATTTTGCGTGGATATGAGCCCATTGTTCGCAGTTTGATTGGAATCCTGGCAGTATGAATCAACGCCTAAACTTGAAGTCATAAAGTTCAATCAATTGATTTTGTTCTAGAAACCCGATCCGATCTCTACGAGGAAGATGTGCATTATCACACTGACCCGGATTTTCCACCTCACCTACCAGTACCCAACGCTTGTCCGAGAAATCACGACTCCTCAACTCCCAGGATTCATTACTGCTGCTTTGAACTTGGTTTCTACGGTGACGAAGACTTCATCGGGCTCAACCCGGAAGCCAAAGCCCAACACCCCGTTCATGGAGATTGTTTTGCATGCCTTGCTGGAATTGATACCTAGACATATCACCATCTTCCGTCCGTTTAGCTCCCAGCTTCGATCTCTTCTCGCCGAGGTTATTGGCTCCTCTTCGCCTGCATACTTCCCAGAGCATGTCATTGACGCCGCCGAACGGCTGCTTGTCTCGCTTCATAAGTGCGCACCAAAGGACCAAGCGAGCACCGGGTGGAAAGATGATTGCAAGGCAACAATTTTGGCTATTCACCAAACAGCCGATCACGTTCTCCGCGCCGTGATTGAGCAATGGGAGTCAGTCGATGGAAGCCTGACTCACGTCCGACCAAATTACAGCCAAGAAATGAGCAACGAGGGTCCAAATAACCTTGGACTGCCAGCATGGCAAGGACTGCACACAGGTGTGGACAGGCTGATTGCACTCTTGAACATCCTCTCTGGTTTCTTGTCGACGCCATCTGCTGCAGCAGTCGCTCTTCCCTTGGGTTCTATCCTAGATGTGACCTCCCGACTGACTTCTGTGACCGTTCCTCTCACCAGTGACTCATCTCAATCTGGTATTCAGCTCAACCAGGAAATCAGCCGTGATGAGCGGGAGGGACTTTGGATGGAGCTTCCTCGCATTCATATTGCTTGCATGGGCTTGCTCTCCAACGTCGTTAGTGTATTGGAGACCAGCGCAACATCGGTAACACAGACCATCCTCGAGCAGGCCGTCTGGACTTTCAAGGGTGAGAAGTTCAATCAAGATCTTCGTTCTGCTGTCTACGGTTTACTTCGTTCCCTGGTGCCCGTCAACGGACCTGCGATGACAAAACACAGCGTGGTATCTCTGACAACTGTTCTGCGAGCTTGCTGCCATGATTTACTTCCACCGACTGGAGACTCCAGCTCGACCGGCAATGCAAGTTCTGATCCTAAGCCCAAGTCGAAAGGTGGGCAAGGGACAAACAATGCCGACGCTTTTTTGAACCCCGAATTGCAGAACTCTCGTCAGGCACAGGCTTCTCAATTCTTGGATTTGCAGCAAAATGCATCTGCACTTCTCCAGGCCGTACTAGTTTCAATTCCTGCCGAGCTCGTTCCGCCATCTGTCAGGGCTGAAGTGGACCGCACAATCATCCTGACAACCGACAAAGGTCCTATGCTTGCCAGCGTCTTGAACCCTGTTCCAGCGGCCAAGGGCCGTGGAGCAGCCTCGAGTATCATCCCTTTCTTGGTTCGTCCCTACGGTGATCAGATGGAAGTAGAGGCTCTGGTCCGGCCTAGAATGCCAGTTTTGATGACTGCGCCTGAGCTTGATGCCTATGCCGATGAAGACGAAGAAGTAGAAGGCGAGGACATGGGTGATACGGCTTATAACGCTGCGCCTAAAACATCTGAATTTTTGAAGCAACCTGTGGCAATGCCCCTGCAGGTCCCACAAGCAGATCAACCGAAGGCCATAGACCCAGTTCCTACTTTCCAAAAGCGGACCTACACGGAGGAATCTACAACAGAGGAGCCAACATCCCAGAAGCAGGATGTTCAGGTCAAAAAGGCACGATTTGAGGAACTTGTTCCAAGTACTTCGAATCAGAAGCCGTTCTCTCAGCCAGCTCTCGCAGTTACTCAAGCCGAGGCTCCTAAGGTGTCAGCGTCAGTCTCCACGATCCCTACTACTTTGGCCCCCCAAGCTACACTAGAGGATGATAGCGATGACGAACTGCCCACACTGAACGTCGACTCTGACACTGATGAAGAAGATGATGATGTAACGATGGAGGGATAATTGTAATTAGTTCATATCTGAGCACTGAATCATATACTTTCAGTGTGCACTCCTTTGTCTTATGCCATGAATATATCCAAAGCAATCCAATAATCTCCCTATTTCTATAAGACCCGTATGCCACTTCCCCAATATGAACCATCACTCCAATATCGGAACCACGGATCTCTCCAACACCACCACCCTTCACCTGGCGATCCAAATCCTAGACCACGCAGTGGGCTAACTGGAACCGGTTCCATCAACCACAGACCTCCCCTCGCAAAATCGTCCGCAACGAAACGACCCGAAACCATCAGCCAACAAAAGACAAACAAGAAGTTTGCTGTCCGTCTTAGCCATCTCGGTGTACCACCAAGGGGTAATATTGGGAAGATAACCGTCTTGAAAACCTGCTCAGCCAAAATTGCGAAACTCTGCAAAGTGAAAAACAAAAACGGCCCCGACACAGGATATGTACTTGCTAATTGGGTATGGCTTCCACAAGCATGGACAAAGCCGCTTGTACAGAAAGCCACCACCACGTACGTAACGCGTCTGAACTGCGGGTGAGACACTAAGCTAGCGGGAAGCAGGGAGAGAATCCAGCGCGCTGTGTTCATGAATCCATTCCGGAAAAGCTGGTGCCACCATCGGCCCCAACAGCCTGCCAGGCCATAATCAAGGACCGACTGAACGAATGGTCCGAATGCATCCGAATACAACCATGAAGCACCGAGCGGTGCGGCGGTGAGATTCCGGGCTCCGTTGGGGAATACGAGAGACAATCCCAGGAAGAACAAGGGGTTCAAGGACGTCACAACCTCGAGAGCAAAGAAGACGGCCCCAGCGCTGTATATAGTGCGGCAGAGCTGTGCTAGGACGGGGTGGACTGCGAGGCCTGGGAAATAATAGAATGGGAATGGTGGCGGCGAGAGTGAGTTTGCTGGGGCGATGCCTCGAAAATAGGGATCTGACATTAAGATGATCTTCAAGAAATCCAAAACAAGATATCCTATGACGAATTTGCGAAATGCAGCCCAAAGCCTCTCTTGCCCGGTGGGATAAGTTGAGTCTTCCTGTGCATTGATCTTTTCTGAAAATCCTGAATGCAATTGTCTGTGAATTGAGCGTGGAAGAGGAACCAGATGTGGTACTCGCCAATTCCATTCTGGTCCTCTCAGGTTAAAGAGCAGCCCGACAGACCAATCGAGGCGATGCGAAAACTTTGGAGGGTAAGACTGCCAAAGAAAAGCATTGGTATCCTGTTGTTCAGATAGTGAAATGCTCAAATCAAGCGGCTCTTCAGCAACGCTGTTTGTATTTTTGTTGAAATGTGTACTTTTCTGGTGCTGGACACCAGGCTTTCGTTCAATTCGCTTGAAGTCACGTTCGATATTTGTGAAGATAAACAACGTAGCAGTCCATATTAGCCACCATGCTGTCATCAGACCAAGCATATAGCCATTTCCTCCAACAACGGCGCGTCTGTTCTGCAAGATTTCAATTGCAATACCGACGCAAAGGGCAAACAGCACTTTCCGAAAATATTTCCCGCCTCTGCTTGAAGGAATGACGAGGCCTATAATGGGCAAAGCATGGATAATGACAATATGGTATAAAAATATTGGTTTATAGATACCCTGCTCAATCACAAAATCTAGCTCCGTTTGGAAGTTCTTAGCCAAATCCCTGTAAGAGCCATGGCGTGGATCGGCCATGTGGGACGCCACTGCCTCGGCACCTGATGCACGAAAAGTACGTAAATGTACTACTTGAAGATCGACGTTCGTCACAGATTGATGGAGCCTCCTGAATGAGTAATATTCAGGGGTGAAATGATTATGAAATGGAACTTTGGATTGGATTTGTAGCACGACGTCAACGCGAGAGTTGTCACAAACAAGCAATTATTTCATCACGTGTTTACTCTGATGCCTCAGGTTACAAATCCTATTGATTTATCTGAAGTATCCTCCATCTTCAAAATGATTACAATTTTATAATGGATAGTCTACATGTGTCAAGATATTCAACTATCGCACCTCAAAATGACTATCAATTCAATTAGATACTAATTCTCCCAATGAAACACGAGCATCGACCACTATCTACCCGGTAAACGTTGGGAGGAGCTCCTCCCGAGCTCTTTATCACAGTGGATCTATGCAGGGAATCTAGATGACCTGCATTCGGTCAGTGACCATGCTGGATAAGCTCTAAATTCAGCGGGGTAGATGCTGAATAGAATATTCAGTATCTAAAAGTGTAACAGTGCAATCATCCCCCCGGATCCCTATACTTTTTGTTCCCAAAATGTCCCTCAACCAAATACAAGGTCGTCTAGCCCTAATTACAGGTGCATCGGGAGGGTAAGCTTCCAATTGACTATCGGTTTTTAAAAATGCGAATAGAAAGTAATTAACAGTGATTCTACGGTTTCAGCATAGGTGCAGCTTGCGCACACCAACTTGCACAACATGGAGTCCATCTCGCCTTGACCTACTCAACCAATTTGACTTCGATGAATACCATTGTTGCCGACATTCAATCCAGGAATACCGACCAGAAGCTTCGCATCTCAATCCACCAGGTCGATGTTGGTTCCTCTGATCAGATCGGGGCCATGTTTCAACAAATTGATGCTGAACACGGCCAACGACCAGACATTCTTGTCTCAAACGCTGGATACGGAAAGCGAATTCCCGATGTGTCCGATATCTCCCTTGAGGAGTTTGATTTTACTATTAATATCAACCTTCGCGCTTCATTCATCCTGGTAAAGGGAGCGGTGGGGCATATGAAGGCCCAAAAATGGGGGCGCATCATCTTCATGTCCTCAATTGCAGCCCAGGGTGGAGGTATCAACGGATGTCGTGAGCTATTGCATTTTTTCGCTTCTGTTAAGAATTTGAGCCAATATCTAACCTTTCGTCTTGTTCTAGACTACGCAGCTTCCAAGGGCGGTCTTACCGGTATGATGAAGAATCTCTCCACCCGTCTGGCCGAGTATAATATCAGCGTCAACGATGTGGCCCCGGCTATGATCGGGGATACTGGAATGCTTTCTTCTGCAGCAGCATTCCCTGAAGTGGCGGCGAGTGTCCCACTCAAACGGCTAGGAACTCCAGAGGAAGCGGCAAATGTCGTTACTATGTTAGCGAAGACTGGCTATATGACTGGTCAGACTCTTTTGTTGGCTGGAGGATTGAAATAGACCACTATGTAGTACTTTATAGGGCAGAAGTAATATTACATGGTTTTATTATTCAACTCTATACTAAATTTTGCTACAAATCCCTCTGAAAATGCGAAGAATGCGTGGCACATTCTCTTTGCGAACACCCATGATTGTTTGGCTTGTGACGGAATGATCATGCAGAAATATAGTCTCAACTTCGAAGGCTTTAGCACAAGTCTACCCACCATTTTAATATAACCTTGGAGATAGTAAGGGCTACTAGGTACATTCGGCACACAGTTCTAGAAATACTGCGACACTTCTGAATGCTTGTCTTTGGTCATCTTTCAAGTTGTACAATTTCGAACATTGTTCATATTGGGTTTCCCTTCATATTGTCTATGATATCTTCCAATCCTCGTAGTTATTGTGGAAGGAGAGCGTTTCGCATTGGAGTATGGGTATATGCGCATTTGTGTTAACTCAGTTGTATTTGATTCCAAGGTTGGAGTAACTCGGTGTGCCAATAATTCAAATAAATCACGAATGGAGCTCAGGCTTTTGCAGATACCGGGTACCCAGAGTGGTAATATATATAAGAAGTAATCGAATTGGAACGCTACATGAATATCAATCTCGCGTACAGTCCGTCAGCATCTGCCTCTAAAAGAACTGGGGTAATCATATCAAAACAGCACACCCATACACAGTCCACATTTGCATCATTCAGACGGGCAGGACAACCTTAACACCCATGTACTCTCGTTGATGCATGATCTTGCCGTCAATGAGTACCTGATCAGCACCAACTCTGTTGCGGATCTGGTCCGTAGGATCGGTAGCAGTGGAAATCTGGATTTCGCGCCATTGGCGGTTGGTGGGTACGAGCTTTCCTTGGGATGTGAGGTTCTTGAACTCCTTATAGACGCCTTGCTCTTCGATACAACCTTCTCGTTGAATTAGAGGTGAAGCTGGGGGGTAAAGTCAGCATAATACTTATCAAATCTCTTATACAAGTCAAGTTACTCACCTGAGGCAGGACCCATGCGCAACTCCCCAACAGAGCTGTTAAAAAGGACCAAAGAGAGACGCTCCTGGTCAATTTGGTCGACAGGAGGCTTGTAGACACGATGACGCGTAGCCTTGAAGTGACCACCAGAGACAATCTCCAGGGTATCACCGATGTTAATGACAAGAGCACCGGGCTTGTAGGGCACGTAGTACCACTGCTCGTCGCGGCCCCAGATCTGGAGGCAAGAGACAGGAACGGAGAACAAGAGTGTGGTCAGACCAAAGTCGGTGTGGCCGTGCATACGGAGGCCCTTGGAAGCCTCTTGGGTCTTCTTCTGGACGGGCCGGAATAGTGCATGACGGAAGTAGCCCTCACCGGTTGGGCTGCCGTGGGACTGCACATTATCCCAAAGGTAGTCATCGGGCAATTCGAGAACGCGGGAGAAGAGAGTGAGGAGACGGCGGTTGACGGACTTTGTCAAGTAGTTCGAGAACGCCTCAATCTCATCCATGAAGGGGTGCAGGCATTTAGGCACACGGTTGATATCCTCCCAGTCAGGCTTGTACCAGTTGAACTGCTCAATTCCGTCTTCGGGCCCGGGGGTGCGCTGAAGGAGAAACATGTATCATCAGTAAAGGGTTGAAATCGCTATAGGTATGCGGCTCTCTCACCTTGAATCCAAAGGGATGCTTGTAGCCGGACCATTCACCAGTCTCAGGGTTGAACAGCAGACGCTCCTTGTCTTCTTCGCTGATATTGTGGTATAAATATTGGGCAAGAGAAAATTGACGGTGAAGCTAATCAAAGAGATATCAGTGATACTTGTCTTGTCATAATACAAAAGAATGGTCTTACCTGTTCTAGAGAGATTCCGTAGTTCTCCAAGAACAGAAACCCGTCGTCGCGAATAGCAATTTTGACCCGCTGGACAAGGTCGTCAACAACGGCAGGGTCATCTGAGTCCATCAAAGAAAGATCAATGGAACTGAGCTCAGCAAAGTTCTCCTTTTGCTGAGTTACCGGGGGAGGAATCCATGTTGGCACGAAAGGCTTGCCCGCAAGGTCCGCAGAAGGAGGGTTGAAGGGGGCTGAAGGTGCCATGGTTTGCTGCTTGTAAAGGATAGCTGTTTCTGTGATCGATGGAGAAGACAATACTTGGAAGACAAATATCTGATCAAGTCTTATATCTTTATAACAATCTCATGATATGACTTGTGAAACCCTATCGGTATATCCGATATCCGGGGAGGTAACATGCGACATGCCTCATTCGGTTAGATAGAGGAGAGCAGGATTATCGAAGTCGGCTAGTATTGTTCCTTTGAATCCTAACCATACTTACCTGCTCTTTTCTCCACATTCTTTTACTTCTGATCTCTTATCTTAGATGGGAGCTCCTCTGTCTTGGTGTGAAAAATAGCCCTAGTTGAAGAATACCAGGTGCCAATCCTTAAGCATAAACTACAGAGTTCGCGCTAGACCCAAACAGGAAGAAGATTGACAAGTTAAATTACGGGGGAGGGATGCAACTCGTGATTACGGCCACATCGTCATTCATGAGATTTGCGCTAATAATGACGGGCTAGTAGTACTTATGTCAATATGGCCGCAATCAGCAGTTCCACACATGTGCTCCTCCCACTCCTCCCACTCCTCCCAGACTTCCCATACTTCCCCTATATTCTGCAATGATAATATTGACCTTAAAGATTTACAGAGCATGCTCCTCCACAATTATGATGAGTGTTTGCCCCTCTCGATCGGCGAGACATCAAAGATAGAGGAATGTGAGGGGTAGCTTTGAGCAATTTAAACAAGGTCCATAGCTACTTTTGAATCTCAAACTATTGAAAACTCTCGAACTCAATTCTCTACCAACCCTATTCAACAAATCCGCCAAAATGTCTCGTCAGCTTATCTCCAGCGAAAAGTTCCCTACCAAGCCTCACAACTGTGAGTTTTGCAAGAAAATCGTTCCTCATGCTCTTAAACAGCAACTGACCATTTGGTTGCAGGCCCTGCTGTCAAGGTCCCCGGTCTCGTTTTCTGTGCAGGCCAAACTGCTACGGGAGAGATTAAGCAAGCCACTGTAGGAACATACTTGATCTCATTTAGTCCAATTGGTGCAATTGACTGACTTCGCTTTTTTTTTATGGCATAGAGAACCGTTCTACAAAACCTAAAGGAAGTTCTCGAGCTTTCTGGCTCTTCCCTTGAGCAGGTTGTCAAGTACAATGTCTACCTCGCAGATATGAAGGACTTTGCCGCCATGAACGAGGCTTACATCGATTTCCTCCCCCAGCCTATGCCCTCCCGTTCATGCCTTCAAGCTGTGGCTCCTGGAAATGGAACCGTGATCGAGATTGAATGTATTGCACAGGCTTAGATTATGACATCATGAAAATTGCACAAATTTAGACAAAAAATTTCGAATAACCTTTTACAACAAACCAATCGTCCTAATGTTGCTGTTGCTTTAGAAATAGTAACTGATAGATGCGATCTTGTCATTCAGAACACTTCTTCCCGGGGAGTATTGTGATAAATTGAGTATTTTATGCGTCGTGATTAGCCAGTGGTGGTACTTCCAACTAGAACACGGAGGAGATAGATGGCTCCTTATACAGACAGTCAACGATGGCCAACTGAACTAGTCTCCATCGTCCCTATGTATTCTTTCGAGTACAGCCCTAGATTAGATGGATTTTTTACAAGAGAGAAAGCACTCTAAAATCCAGGAGCCAGCTCTGTGCTAAGCGCAAGGATATATATGTGCTGTTCATGTTCGCAACAAAAGCTCAACAAATATAGCTTCAAGATACAATCGGAGGCGCTCCGAAGCTGGCTACGTACTTGAAGTCTATAATGTTTTCGTGTACTTTTGACAAGTGTTTCTACCTTTATTTTGGTTTTTTTCCAATCGACATCATTTTGGGTGTCGTCCACACACTCTTCTTGTAAGAAGACTGAAGTTATTGCAGCGGAATAACTTCACATCAGCTGCTTTTATACACTGTGCACACCATGTAACTCGTGTGTGGAAGATATGAATGGAAAGTGAATCTTCTAGTTCAAAATTTATATGAAGATCTATAAAAACATTAAAGGTATCATAAGACATGCCAGAAAGATCATGAGCGAGCAACCTCGAACTCTGCCATATACCAGTTCTGGATGGCCTTAGTATCACCAGTGATGGCAACGGTATCATATCTTTCGCGTGCCTCCTTAGCGGCAGCGCCATTGTTGACCATGCGACCCGCCCACTTGCCGTGCTTGCGCGCAGCAGCAATAATCTTATCAACAGCAGAGACGAACTCAGGCTCGTCGCCGCGTGCAGGTGTGTATCCAAGCAGAGACTGGGCAAGGTCATTGGGACCAATGAACACTAGGTCAACACCGGGCACAGCGCAGATAGCATCAACGTTTTCGACACCAGCGCGGGTCTCTATTTGAATCATGGTGATGATTGTCTCGTTGGCAGACTTCATGTACTCGGGAGTTGTGAGGCCGTGGCCGATAGCAGGGAAGGCTGAGCCTTGGCCGCGCACACCCTGGGGAGGGAACTTGGAGGAAGCCACAATTTGTTCAGCTTCTTGGGCGTTGTTGATCTGAGGGACCATGATGCCATGGGCACCGGTGTCGAGGGCGCGCTTGAGAATATCGTGAGCAGGGCCGCGGATGCGAATGACCGGAGAGACTCCAAGGGCAGAGATAGCAGCGACAGAATTGTGCATGGCATCGTCGCCAATATGTCCGTGCTCGCAGTCGATGATGATACCGTCGACTCCAGTTAGGGCAACGATCTGGGCCTGGCGAATGGAGGGAATGGCCATGAAGGTCATAAGCGGGAACTCGCCGGCCTTGATTTTATTGAGGAGTTTCAATCGAGAGTTATCGATTGAGGTTGTGAGAGCAGTAGGGTAGGCCATTATGTCGGTAGAGGGTATAGAGACAGTAGTTTGAGATAGTCTGTTGAAGAAGGAATTTATGAGTAGGATATAGAGAAAGAGTCGATAAGATGCTTGTTTAAGTATCAATAGCTTGGTCAACCCCTCCTCAACCCCTCATCTATCTAAAATAAAATGATTGACAAAAAATTGTAAGCTTCAAGAGCTCTCGCATGTAGTTGAGGCCGGCGGCGTGACTAGTGGCAAATGGACGGAGTCGGCTTATCGGACACTCTACAGAATGTAATAGCGGCCCTCCCGAAAAGGCCAATCTATTGCGGGGAACTGACCGTCTAGAAAGTATTTTTGCTCGAAAGGCCGCAAAACGCTTCTGTATCTCGGAGGATAGCCTCACCTCCCCGCCTGCACCTCCAAAAACTTCATGTCGCCCTGCGAGAGCTCCTCCCAGGCCTGGCTCATGTACCCCGGATCTCAACCAAAGCTAACATCTGGGGTAATCGATTCCAATTGGACGGATAACCATTGGGCGCTCCTTAACCCTCCTATCTATCTACTTATCAAGTTATCAAGTCTGCGAATGACCGCCACTCGACCAATCAATGCCTCACAATTCTTTGGAAAGGAGTCCTGGTCATTAGTTGACTCGGATATCCGTGATGACACCCGGCTAACTGGGCAAGATAACGGTCTGAGTTGAACTATATAGGGAGGGGGAGCTCAGTATAATTCTAAAGACCACACAGACTGCAACACTCTTTGTGCAACATCTTTTTCATATTCCCCTGCTGCAGCATTCTTGGCAAACCAGATTTACTTCATCTTCATGTCCTTCCCTATGGACACCAAAAAGAACCCGGACTTAGCCCTCGACGAAGACAATGTCTCGTCTGCTGAAGGGCAAGTCGACACGGCGTACAACCGGATGCCTGACTCCCTTCAGAGTCTCAGTGACGATGAGTTCAAAGCCCTCAACAAAAGGATTGTCCGCAAGGTTGACCTTTTTGTCCTCCCTACCATCGGTATCCTGTACATTTTGAACTACATCGATCGCCAGAACTTGGCTGCGGCCAAGCTCCAGGGCATCATGGAAGACTTGAACATGTCCACTGAGCAATTTGCCACGGCCGTATCTATCCTCTTCGTCGGTTATCTCCCCTTTCAAATTCCCAGCAACCTCCTCATCACCAAGTTTTCACGACCGGGCATGTATATTTGTGTCGCCGTGGCGATCTGGGGTTGTATATCGGCGTGCACTGCGGTTGTCAAGACTTACGGTCAACTTCTTGCTGTAAGAGCTGTCCTAGGTGCTGCTGAGGCCGTATTCTTTCCCGGTGCCATCTACTACCTCTCGGCTTGGTACACAAAGATGGAGCTGGGGAAGCGTATTGCTGGTCTCTACATTGCTCAACAAGTCGGAAATGCCTTCGGTGGTCTTTTCGCCGCAGCTATCCTCCAACTTGATGGACACTACGGTATTCGCGGTTGGCAATGGTTGTTTATTATTGAGGGAAGTGCCACCGTCGGCATCGGCATCATTTGTGCCTGTATCATGCCTGAATTTCCCCACAACAGCCGCATCCTCTCCCAGATTGAACGTGACTGTGCTGTGTGGCGTATTGAGTCCGAGGCCGGTGCAGCAGAGGGAACAGAGAACGAGAGCGTATTGAAAGGCTTTGCCAAAGCGCTTGCTGATCCAAAGTTAATCCTTCTCATCTTCTGTAACATGCTGTCCCAGACACAAGGCTCCATTGCCAACTACTTCCCTACCCTCGTCAGCTCCCTCAACTTCTCCAGCACCATCAGCCTGCTGCTCACCGCACCCCCATACATCCTCGCCGGTATCGTCTACTACGGCCTTATGTTCTACTCCGATCGCAAGAACACCGTCTACCCAATCATCCTCATCTGCATTGCCATCTCGATCGTTATGTACATCATTCCGATGGCAACCACCAACGTCGGTGCCAGATACTTCTCCATGATGATCCTTCCTTTCGCCTCCGTCGGCCCTCAACTGCTCCTATACAAGACAATCAACCTACACTTGGCTCGACCTGTCTCCAAGCGAGCAGCGGCCTCTGCCTTGGTCAATGCCATTGGTGGCACATCCAATATCTGGGCCTCATATCTCTACTTCGGTGAACCTCACTTCTTCGCTGCCTTTGGCACTTTGATGGGTGCTGCTATATTGTTTGGATTCACAATCACCGCGTACCGCTGGCTCGTACTGCGCGAGAACAGGCGCCTGGACTCGGGAGACCCAGCGCAAATCGCTTTGGTTAAAAAGGGTGGTGTCACTGATGAAATGATCCAGCTTAACTGGCGCTATGAGATGTTCTAATGGGTTTAATTGGGGTTTGTTTTTCCGTTTGTATATTGCTGGGAGTTGGTCCATACTGTTACGTTGAGCAAGAAAATATATATTGTACCATGAAACCCCACTGTCTTGGTTCCTTCCGAAACAATGGCCTTCCACCAAGGCGAAATATTGCCCAAGGTTATTCCCCAAATGTGCGACTATGTATACGTACCTAGTTACTAGTTATACTTGTATAACTCCACGTGATAGCCCAGCACGTGACACATGGTTAAACGCTCCGAAATGGCTCGTGCGCCGATATCTGCTGATAACTCGACCTTCGCTGAGTGGTCAGTGTCAGATAAGGCCCCACAGCCCATTTATTTTGTGATCGATTTGGTAATGCTGCTGATAGTCTATTTCGATAACTCCATTGTACATATGTTGTTGTATAGAATATTCATGGTGATGTGCTAAAATATCTTCACTTCTACATATATCCCCCTGTAAGTAGAACCTCGTGGAGTGCGAAGCGGACTGGTGCCGTGCGGAGAACCCCGGCGTTTGCGTGGGGTATTGTCCCCGGATTTTGTCCGTTCCCATGACTGATACATTTAATGTTGTTGACAGCTTGCTCCATTTCCCCCGCCTCAATCATGTCTGTTTCGCAGGTGAAAACGATGCCGCCGTACCAGCCATTCCAATGTCTGGTCTGCCAAAGTCGGTTTACTCGCCATGAAAACCTCAAGCGACATTCAGCTCTACATTCCCGCTCTCAGGCTGAGGCGTCGCTCCCCTGTGACTTTTGCCACGCAACATTTTCCCGCCCAGACTTGCGCAGTAGACATATGAAAAGAAAACATCCAGAACAGGAGCAGCGACGAGTGCCAAAGAGGACGCAGCGTCAATCGGCATCCAGGCAAGACAGGGCGCACTCTTCTGTATCACCGACGGCCGTCTCACCTACTGGAAGTCAGGGAGCCATGAGCTCCCCGGGGTCTACACATTCGAGTCCTGGACAGGAAATGGGAATTGAGGGGGCGACATGGAATCCGGCGATGCGGTATCAGCAACAGTTCGAGCCTGGTCAACTGGTGGAAACCACTAATCTTGCGACTAGGGCATCTGTGAGTACTGGGGTTGCGAAGACTCAGCTTACGACAAATACACTCCATCAACAGACCTCGCTGGCTGAGACTAGCTTCATCGATCAGATTGTGCAAGATGCTGCAGATTTGGAACGTAGCTTGCTTATGGAAACCTCTTTCCTGAAGTCTACCGATCAGCTTGAACCCCGGATACACCCGATGAACAACCAAAACGATCCGCTTGACACAAGTATGGATGAATTTAACTTCAACCAACCTATTTTTGATCGACTCTCGCCAAATGACATACCTCAGCTCCAGGACGATTGGTCCCCGACTGCCCTTCAAATATCACGGGGCTGCGATCTCTTTTTCACTCGAGTCTCACACTTCTTACCTTTTCTCCATTCCCCAACATTTGACCCGACACAGTCTCCTCCACATTTAGTCTTGAGTATGCTCTCCCTTGCCTATCAACATGGCGAGGATCCAGAATGTGGCAACCAAGAAGGCTCAGGCGAAAGCTTTTCCATACGTTGTTTTCATCGAGCTCGGGCTCTTCTTGCTTCCGATGAAGAAAGACCAAATGCCACAACAATGATTACAACGCTAGTTCAGTCATATTTGCTTCTCCAGATATGTGCCATGATGTATCTTTGCGGCGACAACTCAGCTTCAGGTCTCAAGATGCATTCCCATATGATTTCCCTTGCCCGGGCCGGGCGAATGACACAGCCACTACCAGTTGAATCTGGTGCGACTGCAGACTTGGAGTCACTATGGCGAGAATTCGTCAAAGCGGAGTCACACAAGCGAACACTCTTTGCAGTCCACCAGATTGATGCATTGTGGTACCAATTCCTCTCTATCCCCCGCTCCATCTCACACCTCGAAATCAAACATGATCTGCCCTGCCCGCAAGATCAGTGGGCATCTTCATCATCTGCTGAATGGGCCCATCGACAACTAGTGGCCAGGAATTCCGGTCCTTCTGTCAAATACACTGATGCAGTTCGACGTTTCATCTCCTCTGATGCCGATATCGCTTCTATCTCGGCATTCGACCCATATGGTGCAATTAATATCGCCCAATTCTTGATTTCCAGCGCCCGGGAGATCTCAGGCTGGTCTACCATGACCGGAATCCTGAGCATGGAGAGGTTTGGGGCGCTCAGATCCTCCCTAGTCGTACTGGGCCCTTTCATCTGTCCTGAGACACATACCTCACAGACACAGCACGCAATATTCTGTGCTGCAACCTGGGAAACCGCCATGATAGAGCTGCAAATGTGGTCACCTTCCCATACCGGTGGCATCGTGGAAAGCAGCATAGATGCTGTCTTGAGCCAGTCAACATACCTAGGTACATCGCGATTTCTGTGCGATGCAGACACTGCGAAAGCAATTTTGCCACATGTCAACTGGTTTTTGCGATATCTTGATGAAACATTGGTCCCAGACTCTGAGGCACCCTGGGTTGCCTTGTACGCATACAAAGCTTTTTTGATTGCCTGGCAACTACTAAGCGGTGGGGTGTCTGGTGCGATGGAGGCTGTGGGCATTCGTGATGGGGATCTAGAGGGTGCTATGCTGTGGGCGAGGAATGTGTTTCAACGGAGACAGAAATGGCAACTTGGGAAATTGATATTGTCATGTCTGGATGAGCTGTGTAAATGATTGTGTATTATTATGCTTAGATTCAAGACTATTAATGTACATTGAGACCATCTTCGCTTCATCTAAAGGTCACCAGCCATAAATATCAGAAAGAAGGATGATGTTGCTTTCTAGAGCTATATTGCAATCTTTTCTCTCGTCTTTCTCTTCTTTTTTCTTTAGATTAAGATGTCTAGGCAATACAGTTTTTTCTCTTTCTCCTCTGCTTTTGGAGAAATCCAGCATGATCGCAGTAGTTCCGACACGAGTATACTACAGGCAAAATAAGTTGGAGTCTGGAGTAAACGTGTCGCCGTACCTAGCCTTGGCGGGGTCTGGGCGTGGCTCGAGGTGGAGAATCAAGCGGTGAGGGATCAGAGCGAATCATAGATCCATTCAGCCGGGGACGTGTCATTCACGCACTAAACCTCAATTGGCCATGTCGCGTAAGTGAACAAACATGTCTCTTATGGATATTTTCTTGAAAATATGTTGAAAATTGTACTCTAAATACACTAGAATACTTGTTTGATTCTCAATTGAATCTTCTGAGATTGTGTCTTAGGAGACAACCTTAGTTTCCAGCTTCCACGAGTTGGCAAGACCGTGGACGACACGTGCTTAATCAGCCAATACCAGCATGGCAGGAAAGCGCAAGTCCGACGTCAGACCTAACGCCTCAGAGGATGAGGCTTCTCGGGCACCTAAAGCCAGTCGTACCGCAGCTCTGAGCCCCGAAGTTGTCAGCCCGGACCACAGATCTGGCGAGACTGCCGACTTTATCCCACTGCCACCGCTGTCACAGGTCTATGGAGTGGATGAAGATGATGACCAAGCTGCCGATGTTGTCCAGGGCTCCCAAGAGGTGGATGAATCTTCTTTGACAACTTACATTCTCTATGGTATGGATCCGTCGAGTGCCTGTTGCTAACATGTCCATTGTTGAGAGACCACAGTTAACAGATCTGACAGGTGTTGTATCTACACAGATCGTCGGTGTCCGCTTCTATAGAGGCTATGCGAATCCTCATGAACGTGTCATTATTAATCGTGAGGCGAATAACCAGTATGATCGCAATGCCATCAGGGTTGATAACGTTATGGGCGCCCAAATTGGTCACATCCCAAGGCAAATGGCGGCCAAGCTAGCAGCTTACATTGTTCGTATTTCAAAGTCGGTTCTCTAGGGTGTCGCTAACAGTCGTCATCCTAGGATGCTCGCGATCTCATTGTTGAAGGAACATTGACTGGAGAGATTGGAAGCTACACCTGCCCAGTGGATCTAAAACTGTTTGGAAGCTGTGATCCAACCCAACGAGCCAACCTGAAGAAGCGAATGCAAAATGATAGATTGCCTATCCGTCAACTGAATGAGAGGGAGCGCGAGGAGCGCAACGGAGAAAAGCAAGCCGAGAAACAGCGGAAGGAAGACGCAAAAAAAGCTCGTGCTATGGCTCTGGGGAAAGCTGCGGGCTGGGAAGCCGACCAGAACTCAGATTTCTCGAATCTCTCAACTCCGAGTGGGCTTGGTGGAGAAAATGAGAGTTTGGACAACCTTCTTAACCAAAGCACAACCTTTAATCCAAGAGATATTGACCAGGTTGTAGAAACTTTTGGTCAAAAGGAGTCCGATCTGGTGAATATGCCAATGGTGGACACTCCCGCCGGCCTTTCCACGCAGTTGCTTCCATACCAACGCCAGGGACTTGCCTGGATGATCAAGCAAGAATCGCCGAGTCTTCCTGCACATGGCTCCAGTGATATTGTTCAGCTGTGGAAGCGTAAGAATTCCGATTTCCTCAACGTTGCCACCAACTATTCCACATCTACAGAGCCAACTCTCGCCAGTGGTGGTATTTTGGCTGACGACATGGGCTTGGGCAAGACGATTCAGATTATTTCTTTGATTCTCGCCAACTCCAAGTCCCTCTCCGCAAGCTCCTCCAAGTCCACCTTGATTATTGCACCTGTCGGTGTCATGAGCAACTGGCGAAACCAGATCCATGATCACACCAATCCCGAGACCGCACCGAATGTTTTGATCTATCATGGATCTGGGAAGAAAGAGGCTGCGAATTTGGCCAAATACAATGTTGTCATCACCAGTTATGGAGCTTTAGCCAAGGAGTTTGATCCCACTGCGAAAGGTCCACCGGCCAAGGGTATTTTTTCGCTTCATTGGCGCCGTGTTGTACTGGATGAAGGTCATACTATCCGCAATCCCCGTTCCAAGGGTGCACTCGCGGCCTGTGGCTTGAGGGCCGATTCTCGCTGGACACTGACTGGCACGCCTATCATAAACACTCTGAAGGACTTGTATTCCCAAATCCGCTTCCTTAAGTTCTCTGGTGGCTTGGAGGATCTTGGAATGTTCAACAGTGTTTTAATTCGTCCTTTGAATGCAGGAGAGCCCGAGGCCCGTTTACTTCTCGAAGCTCTCATGAGCACAATTTGTCTGCGCCGCAGGAAAGACATGGCATTTGTCAACTTGAAATTGCCGGAAATGACTTCTCGCATCATTCGAATCAAATTCAACGCCCACGAACAGGAGAAATACAGTGCATTCCAGTACGTATCGTCCAGAAACTTGATTTAAGAAGATTGCTAATCATGCTTATAGAGCCGAAGCCCAAGGCGCTCTCCTAGACTTCAAGGAGAAAGATGGAAAGACCAAATATTCTCATCTTTTAGAGGTTATCCTTCGTCTCCGTCAAGTCTGCAACCACTGGGCACTTTGTAAGAACCGCATTGATAAGCTTATGAACATTCTAGACGAACACAAAGTGGTGCCTCTGACCCCGGAGAACGTTAAGGCGCTACAAGATATGCTGCAAATCCAGATTGAAAGCCAAGAACTATGCGCAATCTGTCTAGATAACCTCGAGCAACCTGTCATAACCGCATGTGCCCATTCCTATTGCCGGGGCTGTATTGAACAAGTCATCGAACGCCAACGAAAGTGTCCTCTTTGTCGGGCAGATATCACGGATACCAACACCCTTGTTTCCCCAGCTGCCGAACTTGGTGAAGACAGTGAAACCGTTGAGGCTGATCCGGACAGCCCTAGCAGCAAGATCGAGACCTTGGTCAAGATCCTGACTGCTAAGGGTCAAGCACCGGGCACCAAGACTGTCGTATTCAGCCAGTGGACCTCGTTCCTGAACCTCATCGAGCCGCATCTCCAGCAATGCGGCCTCAAGTATGCCCGCGTAGACGGCAAGATGAATTCGGTAAAACGGGACAATTCAATCAACGCCTTCTCAAACGATCCCGAGTGCACTGTTCTCCTTGCCAGTTTGAGCGTGTGCAGTGTCGGTCTCAATCTGGTTGCTGCTAATCAGGTTATTTTGTCTGATAGTTGGTGGGCGCCGGCTATCGAGGATCAGGCTGTGGATCGGGTCTACCGTCTTGGACAAAAGCGGGAGACGACTGTGTGGAGACTGGTCATGGAGGATAGCATTGAGGAGCGAGTTTTGGCGATACAGGAGCGAAAGAGAACCCTTATGCTTGCTGCTTTCCGCGAAACAGCCAAGAAGAAGGCTGAGGATAGAGCTACTCGTGTTGCAGATCTTGAGTCTCTTTTACGGTGAATTTCAGACCCACGGGAATACAGTCACTACTTTATTTGTACAGCTGGTACTTCGGGCAGTAATTCAACATCCTAGAAGAGGCGCAAATTTTCAACTCTTTACTTCTACCCGTAGGCCTGTTTGGAAAAGAACCAGAAGAAAATCTAACAAATGATCATAACTTTCGAATAAGGGATAGTCTTACAAAATAATGATGCATTCAGAATCAAAATAACGCTCAAAGGGGGTATTAACAATTGGTAGAAAATAAAGACATGAGCATGCGGAAATATCAAGAAGGCAGCTTCCCTACGAGATAATATCCATTTCAGCACCATCGCTTGTAGAATTATACGACCACTGCTGCATGCCGCTCGACGAAAAGGTGTCTGAGGGCAATGGAGAGGGGTCCAAACTAGTGGCGGCGGGACGAGGCGGAGGAGGCATTTGCAAAGATGAACCAGGTTCTGCAGGTTGGAAGAGGGTAGCATATCCAAGGGAGGGGCAAACTTGGGACAATGATGTCCTTCGCATTTCAGCTGCATGTCGCACTGGATCGCTCAACCGCAAACGCCGCAAGAAGAGGTAATCCTCAACACATTTTCGTTCGTCTGGAGTGAGTTCTTCATTCTCGTGCGTTTGTTGGATCATGCAGATCTCAGAAATCATATGGGCATTTTGAGAAAGGGCAAGAACGGGCATGATGACCGGGTCCTTCATGAGAGCATCTTCACAGACAAGTGGGACGCTCTGCACATTTACACAGTTAGCCAGGTAAGGGGAGGAGGCTTTGGTGCCCGCTCGGGTAACGTTCTTGTGATCGACCACTCGGGTAGCAAGCTCGCTTTTGAACTTTGTCTTCTTGTGCATTTCCTGCTCAAATGTTCCTCCAGATATGAAATGGTACACGTATACTGGTTTTGTCTGCCCCAGGCGATATGCACGGCCGACAGCCTGGTCCTCACAGCTGGGAGTAAACAAGAAATCAAAAATGACAACTCTGTTCGCCCCTTGTATGTTCAAACCCACTCCACCAGCGCGAGTCGATATGAGGAAGACGGATTTCACGCCACTGGTGTTAAATTGCGTGACACTCGATTGCCGATCTCCCGTCGGTGTCTTGCCAGTAAGCATGCAGTAGGGCCGTTTCTGGCTTTCTAGCAGAGTTGCCAGGTATTCCAGGGTTGGAATGCTCTGGGAGAACACTAAGACCTTATCGCCGTGTTTGATTGATTCTTCAATGATGACCATTAAGATCGACACCCGGTGAGACAGTTCTGGAGCTGCGATGTCTGCTACCTGGCCAAACAAAGTATTGATTCTGGACAGAATAGACTGGGTCACGACTCCTGTTGTTGGGCCATCAGAGATTTTTGGTGTTTCAAAATCACAGTGAGTATTGGAGACATCTCGCACACGTTTTTGGAGCTTTTGCCGTAACATGCTTGGATGGTTGCAACAAAGTTGCAAAGTACCCATCCAGGACCAGAGATTGCAGGTCATGCCCTCGGCCGTTCCCTTCCGAACAGCCTCAACAAATAAATTGTAAGCTTCCAGTTGGATTGCAGACAGTGTGGAAGCAATGTGAAATTCAAACTTCGGAGGCAAATGGACTTTTAACACGGACAAATCGGCACGATCAATTTTAGGGCTCAGGATTCGGGACAACTGTTCTAGGGCTCGCAGTCCAACTCTCCGCTCTCTCACCGTGCTTTGGAAGTCAGATCCAGCCTCAATGGGCTTCATGAACTCTGTTTTGAACTCTTCGACGTCCTCTAGGAAATGAGGGGCTATCCAGTCGAACATCCAGTAGTAGTCCATCAAGGAGTTCGACAATGGAGAGGCAGTCATTGCAATCCGCCGCTTCGTGCGGAATTTCGACGCCACCTGGGAAATCTGAGAAGAATGGTTGCGTAATTGATGCGCCTCATCAGCAATGACCATATTTGGTCCGTCCAGCAACCAAGCTTTGACCCGTGTATACTGCGATTTATCGAAGCACTTTCCTTTGGCCGTTGCCTTGTTCTCGATTACCGAACGAAAAAGCTGATAGCCGACAATGAGAACCCCACCCTGTTTATCCCATTTTTGAATTTGCTCAAAGCGCATGTTTCCTCGGGCGACTTTGCTATGCAGAGCCGTAATTATGCCCAAATGGTGACCTTGAGGCGTCCATTTCGCAAACTCATCAAGCCAATTTTGGGTCAATGCCGCGGGGCAAAGAATGAGAGTTTTCGAATTCCTCAGTTCGATGGGTATCTGCATCTGAATCCCAGGGTCTTTAGATGCCCCGGCAGCACTAATCGTAACAAGTAAAGCAATGCTTCCAATATGTCAGCAAACCGCACAAACTTGAGTCGTCAATCTTATATGCAAAGACTTACACTTGCAGTGTTTTCCCGAGGCCCATTGTGTGGGCAAGCAAACAACCTTCCGGCTTCATATTCCCAACCGTTTCTCTGTACATGAATTGAATCCCACGCAACTGATGATCCTTGACGACCCGGCTGAAGTGTGTATCCAAATGTATCTCCGGTTCGTTGAACGTTATTGGCTTTCTGAGTGGATCGGTGTCAGGCAAGCCCATAGTCGCCCGCGATTGGATCAAGGCCTGCTTTGCCTCATCCTGCTGATGCTCGCGAGATTGCGCGTCTTTCTGAACACTGTTCAGAGGCGTCTCGAATCGTCTTCTTGTTTTACCCTTGGGTTGTCTGCTTGTGTAGTCGCTGTTTCTTTCGCTAGGACCCAAGGCCTTCCATTTCTGGCAAGCAGGGACAAGGGAATCCAGGGTGGTCCAGAACTTAGAGAACTTGCTGGATTGATAATCTTCGCTGTCCTCTTGTGTCCCGCTTTCCACTGCTCGGAGAGCAGTCTGAACATGCTCCAATTTGATTCCATGTCGGGACAACGGAATGCAATTGATCCATGCGATAAATAGCGAGCCCAGAGTCATTGTATGATGATTGGTCTCGGAATCGTGGTCTTTCGCCACAAGTCTACCCTCATTCATTGCGGTCAGAGCATCATAAACTTTTCTTTGGTAAGCCGACTCAATGTATTGTCCAAGGTAATAGGAAAGCCGATCAAGTTTAGCGTCGGGCATGTTTGCGAGTGTTTTTGCCAACATTTCTTCACGGTTTCCATTTTGTTCGATTGTCGTCCACATCTTTAAATGAACCTTGTCGAAAACCTCAGCGTAATGATCGGGATGAGCAAAAGATTGCTTCTCCACATTCTGACTTTGGCGCGTGGGCACATTTCCTTCGTCCGATTCTTTGGAAGGCAGTGGCACATCAGGTTCGAAGGGCAAGTTTGCGGATTCTGCTGCATCTTGTCTGAAGTCGTACCGGGGCCGCTTTGAGTCATGGCCCTTTGATGGGCTGGCTGCCTCCTCATCCAGTTGCACAATTATCAACTCCTCCTCATCCGCAGCGACCAATTCAAAAGGCCCGGGTTGCGAAGGCTGGTCGGGGTTGCCTTCCGGGTTGGATTCGATTTTATCGTCTTGCAAGTCAGAGAAAGCATCATGTTGATCTCTTGGGTTGGTCCCTGGAAAATGGCTACCCCCCATCACAACTTTCTGCCATTCCAGTTCAAACATGACTGGCAGTGTGTAGTCCAGGACCACACAAGCTCGGCGAACTGAGCTCCGAGATGTGTGCTGCGCACCCTGCAGTGCTGATCGAATGCTGTCCAAACGGGCTTTGAAATGCTTGAGTTTATCCTCCATAGATTTCTGGAAGGCCCCGTCATCCCTCTGCACCCACATGGTAAACTCGCGGTTTGCATTTTCTGCCAGTCCTCTCCCCCAGATGACCCGACGCTCCTCTATGTAGTCGTCGATCTCTGATGATAGCTCCTCGGAAGAGAGGATTGTCGAGCTGGAAGGGGGCGGAGTCTCCTCCTCCGCCTCCTCCTGCTCATGATGATCGCTCTCTTCGTCGTCAGAGCTTGCATCAGAGTCTAATGCTGTGACTACGTCGGGATCATCCTCCGGTTTGGGAGGGTATTTGCGCATAATGCGGGCGATCAACGGATGATCATCCGTCATCGAAACAATCTTGTTGGGAAGGATGGGCTCGGAATCGGCGTTTTCAGTGACGAGAATTGGCTTGATTCGTCGCGGGGTCTTGGAAATGTTCTTAGCTGGGGGATATTTGCCAGCTTCTTGAACTTTTTGGGCCTCTGGGGCCTCCTCGGCCTCTTCGGCCTCTTGGGTCTCTTGTGACGAAAACGAGTGGGAACGCTTTTTTAGCCATTCGATCCCCGCAACTATAAAGGCTCGATCCGCAAAGGCCTTGACGTTGAGGTCTTCTCTGAGAACAGTGTTGTTAACAAGGTTCAAAAGAACGGAGCCCGAAATTCCATTCGCTCTCATGCATTGCTCAATTGTGTTGGGCTGAATCGGAATGGTTGAACCCCATTCTGGGGCTTTTTTGACGCAAAAGAAGGCTACGACCTCGTCAACGGTCCAGTCAACAGGGTCATGGTCTAGCATTGTGTTTTTCTTGGGGGCCTGAGCTTGATTAGCGTATAGTTCAGACAGAAGAGGAGTTCTTGAGGCAGAGGTGTGCTTGATGTAGAGAGTGCACGAGGCAGAATGTTACTGACAAGAGATTACTTACCATGGTGATATTCCCTCTGCAGATAGGCCTTTGGCAATGCAATAAGCTCTTGATATTGTAAACAAGCTGAAGGTGATTAGGGTTCAGAAATAGATCAGATATCAATCAAATGGATGAAGTATGAAACGATGTTCTGGAGCAGCAGATAGAAGAGTTAAATACATGCGGATGGTGAAGAGAGATAAGAGGGAAGAAAAAAAGCGAGGGAGCACAAGATAATAGCATACCACGTCTACCACTCTCGTCCCAAAAGGGAAGGTACGTGAAGCTGCTCTTTTGTGCCGGTTTTTTATTTGGCGGTGAAGGATGCTCCTCGGACATGGCAGAAGAGGAAGGCGGTGGCTGTCATCTACCCCCTCCTCTCCCTTATCAAAAACCCCCCATCCAGGGGGGTTCAAGTACATGCACAACAAAAATATGCCATTTGCACGCCATTATGTCAGTATTTCTTGTAATTCCCCAAATATCGCTCTTTTTGTTTTAATCTCAAGGCCGGTATAGGGATTATGAAGGACAAGAGACGTTTAGGAATCTACATATCTATCTACATCACTGGACCTTACATCCCGAAGGCGGTATGTCGATGTTGTCATTCAGCAAATTCTGCCTGAGGTGTCAGATCAAACCCCGCCAATTACAAATCCGCAAATTGTCCAGATTCTCGAAACTCGTGGACTGGAAAGATTGTGAACATTGAGAGGCTGATATCCCTTAAAGGCTCACGCACCTCGAGGCATCTGAAAGAATTGGAGTGTGATAGAACATCAATCCTCATTGCACCATGACACAATCAATCTATTCGAACTATCCCCCCGATTTGTCTCCAGATCAACAGAAGTTCCTGGTCACAGCCGTAAAAGACTGGGCGATTCAAAATGGTCTTGCTGTGCGCCCATCTCCGGCAGTCGTTTCTTCTGAAGCAAATCCAAATGGCGTATTGGCGACAAATGCGCCAGTGACTCTGTTTCCTAGTCCGTTTCCCAGGGCTTGTTTCGATGAAGCAATTGCTCTCCAAGAAATCTACAACAAACTCTATGCCTCAATCACTTGCAACGAAGAATGGCTCGGGGTAATTGTCAAAGGGTAAGGTCTCATTCCTTTCCGGTCATTGGCAAATCACTAACATATAAAACATCGTCAGGCTCATCGAAGTTGATGATTTTGTTGCAAACTTATGGAAAGTGCATCAAGCTGTGCAGAAAGAGGGATACGTCCAAAATTTGTCACTGGGCCTCTTCCGGTCCGATTATATGGCCCATGTGTCGCCTACGGGTGCCCCTGCTTTGAAGCAGGTTGAGTTCAACACAATTTCGTCGTCATTTGGGGGCCTTTCGGCTCGTGTCCGACAGATGCATACTGAGCTTCTTACTTCGCCACCAGGCTCATCAATCAACTATCCACCCCATCCTTTACTGCAATCTGAGGTTCCTCCCGAGAACAATGCAGTAGAAACCCTGTCTTCTGGTCTGGCACAGGCTCATAAAGCCTACGGAGTGTCCAAGTCCACCCCGGCTCTTCCTCTGTGTGTCCTTTTCGTCGTCCAAGATACGGAACGGAATGTGTTCGATCAACACGCCCTTTCAAAACAGCTTTCGACAGTCCACAACATCGCAGTTTTCCGCATCTCCAGTGTGGACATTCTGGACCAAACCTCCATTCCCAGCTCGAACTCCTTGCGGCCTTTGCTCTACCGACCTCCTCACTCGCCCAACTCAACTTTCGAGGTCACGACCGTTTATCTCAGAGCTTACTACTCACCAGACGAATACAAGTCCAGCCGTGATTGGGAGGCTCGAACCCACCTGGAGCGCTCTGCGGCAATCAAATGTCCAACCGTGCTCAACCAACTGTCTGGCTGCAAGAAGGTCCAGCAGGTTCTAGCTGAACCAACAGGAGAGGATCATCTCTCGTCGTTTTTGAAGGATGTCGAACCCACCCTTGTTGAGAGAGTGCGGAGCACCTTCGCCCCACAATATGACCTGTCAGTAAACAGCAAAGGTCGGGAACTGGCTCTTAACCCAGAAACAGCATTGAACCATGTTCTCAAGCCGCAGCGTGAGGGTGGCGGCAACAACATCTACAAGTCCGAGATTCCAGGGTTCTTGAAGTCTCTGCCAGAAACTGACTGGAAGGGTTGGGTCCTTATGGAGCTCATTAACCCTGCACCAGATGCTCAAAATGTTGCTCTACGAAGCGACGGAGAAGTCCTCCGAGGAGACGTTATCTCAGAGCTTGGTGTCTATGGTACTATCTTGTGGGATGATACTGGAAAGATCTTACATAACCAGGAGGGCGGATACCTCTTGAGGACCAAGGGCAAGGATGTGAATGAAGGCGGTGTTGCCGCTGGATTCTCCAGCTTGGATAGCGTTCTCTTGTTCTAGGTGGTTTCATACTTGACAAGAGACACATGAAATATCAAGCATCTTTCCGCCGTCTTCCCTTGTTCCCCAAGCTCATTCATCGTCAATCTCGTCGGCACGGCGTTCATGATGCCCTCCCACGGTTCAACGCAGTAATTAATTACGGTCTATCACAATATCCGATTACATTACATATCCATAAACGATTTTTGTCAAAAAGAACGCATGGAAAAAGGGATGATGCCTTTTGGCTGGTCTGGACTCGATCATGTCATCGGCGGTAATCAACGCATATGAAGGTTTGTAGATTTGGTATAGATACATAATCCTTTCTGGACTTCTCAGTCGTCCTCTTTGCTCTCTTCTCTGGTCCTGGTAGTCAAAGTATACTCAAAATGGTGCCTGAAAAGTTTGGAAATAGGTGTATCATAGGTTCCACTGCGACGATATCAAGGCTTAATTGGTCGCTACAAATTCACGATTGAAAACGACTTGAGAAAAGACGAATTAAGCGTATTGGTTTATGGTGATAGAATAGTATTGAAGAGTGTCGCCAGACTTCCCAGACTATGTGTCACAATCACAGATTCGACCGGCAGTGTGTCTGGCTTGTGTCAAGGCCAGACGGCCCATCATAAATTTGCCGATCAAGAACCCGAGTATTGATCTAGCGAGGATATGTTGGTCAGTTTGTTGCCCAGGTCGGAATTTCCTTGTGGTATGCTATGACACGAGAGACATACATGTTGCATTCCAAGGTCATTGATACGATTAGCGCCAAGGAGACGCATGCACGTCTTGGTTTCCTCCGTCAGAACTGTAAGGAGATGTCAGCACTATGGCGTTCGGTAATAACAGCTTCTCCATTCATACTTTCCAAAGTTCTCTTCACGCCAGCCACTCCTCCAGCTCCTAAGCCCCACAGTGCGGCTCTTCCTATCCCGACCCCTCTTGCGCCCAAGCATAGAGCCTTGACCACATCCGTTCCTCTCTTGATGCCGCCATCAATCCATACATCAAGACTTTCGAAAACCTCGGGGCAGTATTTCCTGATTTCAAGCAATGTGTGAACAGCAGGAGGCGCAGTGTCCAGAGAACGACCTCCATGGTTTGAGAGGATAATTCCCTTCACCTGAGGTGTATATTTTGCAGCAATATAAGCATCTTCGTGGGTCTGGATTCCTTTGAGTACCACTGGGAGATGGGTATGCTTGGCTAGCCATCCTAGGGTCTCTGTCCAGGTCAAAGCAGGATCTAGACCATTGAAAGTCTGATCTTCGGTCTGACTCACGACTGACTGAGTGTCGGCATTATCCACATGCTCCTCCCCTGAGCTAGAATCTGTCAATGTATTAATGATGTTGCCGCTGCGTTCATCGTCCTCTCTTTTTCCAGTCACAGGCGAATCAAGTGTAAGAGCAACAAATTTGATTGCGCTCAATTTGTTGATACGGGCTATCATCCGTTCACTCTTAGTGCGATCGTTTTGTACGTACAGTTGCCAGCCAAAGGCTTGGTCTGGGGCTGCGTCCGCGACTATCTGCTCCGGTGTCATGGATGCATTGTTCGAAATTATCTGCAAAGCGCCGAAACTGCGACATGCCTCTGCAATCCCAGCCTCTCCGGATGGATGGCCTAGCCGAGCCATGGCTGCTGGGCTCACATATATTGGGATGGACACGCGATTGCCCACCAGGTCTGTAGTCAAATCACACTTGGTGCAGTCAACAAAGACCTTTGGTCTAAGGGCAATGTCGCGGAAGGCCTCTGTGTTTCTGCGCTTGCTGATTTTGTCGTCGGATGCGGAGTAATAGTATGCCCATGCCTTCTTGCTCATTGTTCTAGTGGCAAGATCTTCAATCTCGTCCAGGTTGAGCAATGTTCCAATTGGAGGCTGTTCTCCCTCCATTCTGGCGGTCCTCATGGGTGTTTTCAAACGGATATTATGCACGTATTTTAGAGCTGGTAGGGTTAAATGGTAGGAACCTGGGCAGTTGCATTAGGACACCCGTAGTTTGACCCCGGATCCGCTTTCCCTTTTGGGCTTAGCCTCTAGTTGAATGTCGGTGTCGGTGCTCAAGCCTCCCGAAATCCCGAGCTGACATTCACACCGCAACTATGAGCCGCCACTGTGCCTTGGGGTATTTTTCCACACTTTTAAAGCAATGACCTTGTCCTGGTATTCCGAGACATATAGTAAATGTGGAGGGAATCAACCAAACCGGGATGCCGAAAGGCTATATTTGAATACATAAGAACCATGTCATGAAGAATGTTGTGAATGCCTGTAGAACATTATACACCTAAGCGGGCCGAGCTTGTATGCATATTTTCCAAGGCTGTTAACTAGCAGTAAATGAATGTCAATTCTGTATGCAATTCGAAGTAAGAACAGAGTATTTTTTGGTTTAGTTTGTAGTCAATACAACCCAGATTAACGCCGTAACACACTCGCTGCTCAACAATTCCCAAACAATTTGGCGTCGCTTATTTAAATGCACAATTTATTTTCCAAAGTCCACGTTTTCTCACCGTCAACTTTGACACTCTGTCAAAAGATGGCTAAACAGATGATCCAGTAGACTTGGTGGAGATATTCTCCACGATTGTCGAAGCGTCTGAACCTGCGGTTGACGGACCAATAATCACCTTGGTTCTGAGCGCCCCACGGATATCTTCAACGCTTCGCTCCTTCCAATCAGGGTATCCTGATTGACTGAGGGGGAATAGAACGAGGTTGTCTGCACGTGACATGAAGTCATCGACGTTCGGCCGGGGGGTGGCGGTCATAATATCGATTTCCACAGCAATTTGACGACAGTAGGTGTCCAGAGGAAGATCGTTCACATCTTGACCAAAAGGATTCTCAATTTCGCTACCAATTGTGGCCAAGCCAAGGATAATGTAGGCAGCCACTTGAACTTTGTTAGAAGGAATTCTGTGTACGAGAAGCCAAAGGGTTGCTTACCAATTGAGGCGGGAATGGTTATATATTCTAGAGCATTGTAGAGCTGGAATGGAAGTACTAGAATATAGATCCATGAGATCTGGGCAATGGCAATGCTGTATGCGGTGGGTAAGGGGGTATCGAGGACACGCTCCGTTCCCGTCAAAACCTCGTTGAGTGTAGCCATCATGGTGACTAGCCGTGTCAGCTATATTTAAACAATATGGATGGTTTGTTGGAAGACTCACTGGCTTGTCCTTGATGCAGTGTTGACGCCATGGTCCCGTTGGCAACACACGAATCAATGTACGCGGATAAATGGTTGAGGATCTCCAGAGGAAGATGTCCCAAAGGCTTCTTAGACCGCTTGACATATTTGCGAGGGTTCGACTCCGCGAAAGACACTCCAAGATACTCGCCAGCCGATTTCCAGATACTCTTGGACGGGGGGTTGACAACCATGCGGTCATGAGCATCACGTGCAAATGTGTCCAGATGTCCAGCCAGGCCAGCCAGATCTTCGTAAGCGATATCCGGCTCGAAGCGGAGCTTGTGCTTGAGAGCGACGGCAAAGGCCAAAATAAGGTTCATCGCAGATCTATAGTGCCCGTCAGAATCAGTGGTTACCAATCAGAACTCGATCGGGGCGATGCATACAGTTTTCTCAGGATATCTTCCTTGCCGTTCTCTCCTTCTCTTTCGCCGGTGTTGATCCAAATGATACGCGACAGGTTGCGGGACGTTTGAATGAGCTGAGCCCAGTACTTGCGTCCGTCTGCCCATCTGTTATTCAGATCAAGTCAGTAAATCTCCTGTCCTGGGTCAATAACTACAATTTGATACCTTTCATATGCAGTAGAACTGCGGAAGGACAAAGCCAAACCCACCACGAAACCTAACACGGTGAGTAGGATATTGTTGATACCAACTGTATGGTGGATGCAGTCAGTCTCAATGCAGTCATTGATCACTCAATAAACTGTACTTACGGTTATGAACACGCTTCGAAAAGATAGTGACAGCAGTCGACCAAGCAGCCACAGTGATAATCGGCAAGATCATCTTTGGCATGACACTACCGTGCATCCGCATCATGATGGGCCATTTTGAGTGTTTTTCCATATTACGGGGGCCATGCTACATGAGTAGGATGTTAGTCTCTTACTCCATGTCGATCCGATTTGGGTTCTCTCTAGCCCATTGAAAAGAAGAGAATTTCAACAACATTAACAACGTACAAAGTATCGATCTAATTCACTCGAATCCCTTCGATCAAGATGGAATTGCGAGTCTCGCGAGGTAGCCAAATGCTCCAAAAAAGTCGGTCGCGGAGTGATACGGCCTACAGAGGAGTCCTGCTCCTTGTGATAGGTCGGGGCTGAAGCATGATGAGCAGGTTGCGAGCGGACGTCGGCGGGAACGGGTGCGGCAGCAGTATCAGCTGCTGCAGGGGGAGCCGGAGCGTCGGCGGGAGGGGCACTGTGCCCGTCGGTCATTGTGAATGAAAAGAAGAAAAGAAGAACAGAAGAAGAGAAGAAGAGACAAAAGAATGTATAAAAGAAGGTGCACGAAGCCGAACTGGACCGGTTCGATTTTCAAGCGTAGATCTAACCACCAAATAAGTAAAACAAAAATGAAGCGAGTGTGTGAGTATAAAAAAGAAAACTAGAAGATCAGGAGAAAGAAAAAGGAATGGAAAAAGTCAATGTAGAAGTGAAACACATCCGGGGGCTAAGGGGTTGTTTCAAAGCAATCTAGACCGCACGTCAGAGTGGGGTTGACGGACACGTCCGCATGTTTAATTTTAGTTCAGGGGGATTTTCTTCGGGTTTTTTCTACTTCTCTACTTGGTGTACATTGTGTACATTACATATGAATGTAGTTATATCTGTTTTGATAATAGTCCTTATGTTGTTTATAGTATATCTACTCTGCGTACTACCCACAAATAAGAATAAATCAGCAAAAGACCATACTAACACCTAAATTGCGGGACATCCACGGCCCCGTAAAAATGGCTGCGCCCAATGACTAGTCGTGGCGCTGCTGCATAGTGTAGCGCAAAACGTGTTGATTGGCATGGAAATTTTCTCAATATCCATTTCATCATCTTATTATAGCTCTTTTATTATAACTTGTGAGCTAACTTCGAAGTTAATTGTGCTTATAGAGTTGTCTAGAAGCCTTTGAATTGTATGTTGATTCTTAAAATATACCATCTACCTAAGTATTGATATAAATCTCCAATAAATCATATACGCACGACTGGAAACCCCTTAATTCTTAATCGAGAAGCTTCTGTTATTTCTTGCTATAACATGGGGAGAAATTATAAGTCAATATTGTCAGTGAAATTCGTTGAAACGAAGTCACTATTTTCTACTTGGTTAAATAAATTCGACAGGACTTATCGCCTGAGTCTCACATATTAATACGAGTTTGGTGGGGTTGGCAGACTTCCAGTCTCTACCAATTGGGCAATTCATCCATGCTTCCGCACTCTGATTGGTTCCTTCTTGCTAGTATTTTCTGCAAAGTATTGTCTTACTTCCAGGTTTGTGAACAAAATTGATAGTCATCCTTGAATTGACTCTTAGATAGATCTTTTAGTAGAGCTGAATAGCATGTTATACACTGCATTCAACGGCGGAGACTCTAGGGAAAGGAAGAGTCCCCTTAGAGGTCCAATGGCTTGTGGCATATCAAGAAACAAGCCCTTGCCACAAGATGATGCGGAAGGAGGTTCGAGTTTCTGATAGGGTCTTGGTATCTATTTAGTGACGATCCAAAGACCTTACAGCGAAGGTATAATCTGGACCTGTAACTTCGTTGCGCGGGGATTGCCAATGGCGAATGGGCAGCGCAATAGCTCTGCAGGTGCACTCACGTCACAGAACCAGTCGCATGTGGCATGCAGGGTAGCTCCCATGGTCTGCAAACATCGTCACTGCATTATTGGCACTGACCGAGTGTGGATTACTCGATAAGCAGCCACCCTTCGAGATTATTTCTTGCAGTACTCGATTCGAAGAGCACTGCCAGTCTCACTGCCTAGGGAACAAACAAATCTGCCCCAGAGCCTGCAATGAGTGCTCCCAGGAAATTCCCCTTCGCAGAGATCCTCCACGCGACGTCTGCAGCGCCCGCCGATTTGTTCCCGCCGCCGATCCACGAGCTCACCGCGCCCACGACAGCCGCTGCATCCTCGCGAGGGACGCGAATCCAAACAGAGTCGTACTTTTCTTCAGGTGGGCAAGCATTCTCGAGTTTGAGGATGTCGATCGGAATGGCTGTGCCTGTCAGGCCCATGAATTGCGATAGCGCGGAGGAAAGATAGGTGCGTGCGGAGAGGGGATCGAGGGGTTGTGGAGCGTTTCCAGGTTGGGGAATACTGTAGTTTCAGGTCTAATTAGCTTTGGATGGAGGCAAAAAGTGTTCTTGCGCAAATAGCTTACAGCTTGAGCTTAAGGTAGGTCCAGGGTGGGTTGCGCGACGTGAAATGTATGGTCTTGGACTTTGGCTCTGAGGCCTTTCGCTTCACAGAATCCATTGAAGCAATATTCGTATCGACTTCCATGTCAGTTGGTGTAATATCCATCATTTTGTTCGACTTGAGATGTGTTGATGGTCAGAGGATGTTGGAGTGAAGTTCCCCAAATAAAAAAGTTGTTGCTGCGTCACGGGATCCCCAATAAAAAAAATCCACCTCTTGTAGAGATGAGCCACCGCGTGAAAACTAGCAAGTTCCTTTTCAACTCATTTCAAGTTATGAATGACGTGTCTTGACAGCGTCCAGTAGCATTTGGGTCGCGCTCTGCAAAATGGCCTCTTTGCTGTCGCCGATCTCCAGATCGGAAACACACAATGTCTTGTCTCTTGACTTCGCGCCACGAATGACTCCCACACTCGATTTAGGAATCTTGAAAATCTTCAAAACAATAGGTCAACAGAAATTCAATGGTTGGTGTTCATTCCTGCGCCGCCAAGTACCATTGGCAACAACGCAGATGGCGTGAGAAGCCGAATTCAAACTCACATCAGCAAAAATTTGCGACACTGCAATATTAGCTGCTCCATCGCGTGCAACGGCAGCCACGGATACGTCGATTTTGTCGCTGCCTACGGCTGTGATGCCGATGCGGCGAGCGGACGCGTTGGGCTTGACATAACAAGGGATGTGGAGGCTATATGTTTGGGGGAAATTGTGCCTATTTGCAATTAGACGGAGGGGCGTCGGACACAACATTCTGAAGACAAAATGCACTACGCGGGGTTATGAAAGTGCAAGGGTTTGAAGCAGTAAAAAATTTGATTTCGAGAGTAAGCAAATAACATAAAGTTAAGCAAAGATAGTCCTAGTTCGGCTGGACCAGTAAACCTCCCTCCCCATCTGAAATCCATTCGAATTAAACCCAAGTTTCAATGAGAGTGGAATATGATCTCACGGATAACCGATGTATCGTAGGATGCGGTTAAACATGTTCCGCATGGCCTTGAGGATCGTCTGTCTTCTCAATCTTCTCTGGAGGAACTGAAACCTCGAACAGACGATCCGCGGCATGTTCCGAGGTGACCCTATACAGCTCAGGACAGGTAGCATCCTTGCGCATGAAAATGTACCGCTTGATCCACCACGGAAGAACCTGGGTAAGCTGGTATTTGGCATGGGTTCGGGTCGGGACGCCAAACACATAGTCCAATTCCTCGAGGGAACGTTGCATGGTCTCAGGCATGAACAAAAAGATCAAAACAAACGCGACGAGATTCAAGCAGGCATAGAATCCAAATGCACCCTGTGGCGTGAGCGCCCGTAGCATGTATGGGAAAGTCAGCGAGAGCACAGAAGCCCAGAAGTTGTTGGTGGCAACAGCCCAAGCCATTCCAACTTCTCGGTGTGACAGAGGGAACACTTCAGCGGAATAGGTGAAGGGAACGGGTCCTTCTCCGGGGGAATAGAACGCATCGAATAGGTAAATGAAAAATGCGATCATTCCAATGTGTGCGTTGCTACTAGAGGGAATCCAGAAGCAGAACCCTGCTGCTAGGAGCGTCCAGCACATTTGGGGAAATGTGAACAGCAATAGGCCCCGCCGTCCAAATGTATCAATTGTCCACACGGCGGGCCAGGCAAATATGAAGTTGATAAGCCCAAACCCGAATGAAGCGAGGAGCGCTTCGATGTTGGAAGCACCGGCCAGCTGGAAGATCGTCGAGGAATAGAACGAGATGATGTTGACTAAAGTGAGCATTCACAATTAGCTCTTTCTACTCACACCATTCTCTGATATTGACTCCTCCACTTACTTCCACACATCTGCTGCGCAATCATCACGATGCCAGAGGCTTGAACAGCGCGCCGAAGACGGGGCACCGTGAAAAGCTCCACAAAACGAACAACCATATTGTCACTCTTGGAGAAGCCTGACTCGCTGATCAACTGCTTTTCCATCTCCAGTTGTGCGTGAATGCGATACAAATCTCTGGCGGCCTGCAAAGGGCTGTTTCGTAGTCTGAGGAGAGAAGCATAAGCCTTCTTGTGATTGCGCTTGGTCATCAACCAGCGTGGTGATTCGGGGCAAAACCAGATCCCAAGAAGAAGTGGAACTGCTGGAATGAACGCCGATCCAAGTTGCAATCGCCATGAGATATCTCCAGTGTTGGCCACAATCAAGTTAGCGCACGTTCCCAGGAAAATGCCGAAAGCCGTCCATAGCTGCCATGACATGACCAATCCACCACGAATATTGGTTGGTGCATTTTCTAACATGATTAGCACCCCAGTAGCCATGGGGGTTATCTGTGTGGGCACTCACCCGCTGAGTAAACAGGAACTGTGACTTCTTTGAGGCCCATACCAAGCCCAAGAAGAACACGGCAAGCAACAAGTTGGCCCCAATGTTGAGTAAAGCCGGAGCCCAGAGGTGCGACGAGACTGAATATTGCAGCCAAGAAAATTGTACCACGACGACCGAGGATATGGTTCAAGGGATCAGAGAGCCAAGCAACGCTATCAAACAAAGTATTATTAAGAGCATGTCACAACATATCACCCGTGATACCACTTACAAGAGACAGATGGTGATGTATGGAGTTGCATTAACAAACCCAACGATCCACTGGTTACGCTTGCAGACGGCGGCATCAGAGCAGCCGCTGTTAGGAATACCGAATTGGACATCGAAGGTCAGGTTAGCACCATTCGAACCTATAACAAAGGGATCAGCAAACATCCACACACAGATGCTCCACCCAATGTGAAAATACTAACCAGTTTGATCCCAGCCTTGAATGGCGGCTGAGATTGAGTTCAAGATAATTGTGTAGTACAGTGCGAAAGGGTGCTTCCATCGATGGGTCTCCTCCTCAGAAAGAACGCGACGGTCGTCATTACTGAGCTCGGCAACATCATCAATATTTCCCGGAGACTGAGCAACCAAAGCACCTTTCTTGAGAAGAGGCACGATATCCTGCAGGTCATACTCAGCGGCATATGCGGTCACGTTGGCCATAAGCTGGTCATGAGGGATTCCGGCGAGAGGATTTTTGATCCTAGGCTCACACAAATCAGTAAAACAAACCAGCAAAGGGGGCTGAGATCGCCAGTCGATATTATCAGGCTTGAGGTCTGCCGAATACTTACTCGCCAGTGACATTCTCTGTCATTCTAAGCCACATGTCAGCGCTGGTCACCATCGAAGAATGATACAGAAACCGTAGTCACATACCCCCCAACCGTGTCACTCCCGGTTGGAACAGACATCTTGGTGAGCCAGTGAGCTTTGCCCTTTTGAACAGAACAATCAGGCTTATTGGTGTTGTAACAGATGATGGAATGTATATGAGCACCAAAGACGGCTCAAGAGTTGATAAGTTGAAGATTTGAGAAGAGCAAGTGAGTTATCAAAAATAACGGGGGGAGAGTGGAAAGGTGAAAACATAAAGGAGATGCAAATGACTATGAAAATATGGATGGGATAAGTTGTTGATTTTGTATAAATCGAGATTCGTTAACTTCCTATATAAGATGGCAGCTTCCAACATACCATCAGACGGCCTCTCCGGTTTAACTAATGCAAGCCAGTGTTGACCCTTTTTGTAGACTTGCAGACGCCCTATACAGTACCCAGTTCCGGTTAGCAGTTATCCTTTGAGCTTATGATCACTATTGTGGATGTGTGAGCTACGCCGAGTACCTAGGTAAGCCACCATAATTAGGCAAAGGGTAGGTATATTTTGAAAGAAATCCTCCAAAAACGGGGCTCTCGGATGCGAACGCAAGTGAGGGTTTTGAGTCGAGGGGTTTCAGCTTATGCAGTCAGCAAAAACACAAAAGGCGTTCGGAAAATGACTCGAGAAGAGCACACTACTCAAGAGGGACTTTCTATACAAGTGTAGTGCCATGCGGAATCCCCCGCAATTTATCAGATGACCCGTTTAGTTTGTGGCTTAATTCTGAGCTAGGGGCTATGACGTTTCTTGGTATATTAAATCATTAATTAGAATTAGGGATTCTGTTCGTGTCCAGTCTATCCTACAAGAATATTTCCATGGCCTTAGCAAATTCGAGTACGCGCAAGTGCGGGCATCCATGTATACCTTCTACTACTAGGGGCGGACGAGACCAGAGCTAGATATTCCATGCCCCGCCCTGCATCGATAGCTCGCACTCCGGCCCATGCATGGGACTTTGACTGGTATCAAGCACCACGATACAAGTCCCCACCTGCTCCCATGGCAGAGACAAAATCTCAAAATATCTGGTCCTATGCAGAAAGGTAAGGCGGCTCTTCCCTTTCTAGCCAATCTGAAACCCCTTCGATACCATCAGGCAATCAAGACCGATCGACTATATGCACTGCCTCAGCCCAGCAAAATTCAGCGAGCTCCTCAAGGCCAGTGTTATACGCCAGGATCTGCATTCGCTAAGGGAGAGCGGCCAGCCCAGCTGCCACTGAATTGGCTGCGGCCCTCCCACACACCTTCATTCTGAAGCCGCTCTTTTGTCTTGCCTACTACACAGTATCCTTCTCTCTCACTCTCACTCTCAGTTCTCTTGTTTATATATCATTCTCGTTAGTTCTCGCCTGTCATTTCTGCTTGATTAACTCCACCCAACATTCCCCAGATTATCACATTCTAAGACTGTTTATTTAGACAGTTCTCATTTACGCGTCTTTCTAGTCAGTTATCATCCATTTATTTCCCTATACCCACATGCCCATCAGCCGAGAATCAACGTTGATTACCCCCCACCCCCTTCACCCTTCTCTCGCCCCTCTCCCTTGTCCTCTTATTCTGACGACCCTCAAGGTCTCGAACGCACCCCAGGACAACAGATTGTTTCACAGTGCAAACATTTCTATCTCGTGATTACAAACTAATTCAAATTACTAAAAACTATACTCCGGTGGGAAGGCGTTCTATTGCAGTCAGGATTTCCAAGTAAACAGACAACACCGACAGACGAGAATATCTCAATGCAATATGTTCTTCATACCTGATGATGATCAAACAGAGCAGTTTAGCTGACAGATAAATATCCGCTCATCGCAAGAATCATGGAGAAATACCCGGCTAAGCCGGATAATGATCGTGATCTTATCACAGGTCTCAGCTCTGATGACCTCTCCACTGGCGGATGATCATCCGTTGATCGCCCGCATAATGCGCGAAACCCTCCTAAGCCGGGCGATGATCCTCTCTTCTAGAAAATGTATCATTGGAGATCGAAAAATACATCCAGGAGTGCCGAGTGGTCTGGGAGTCGAAAGTGATGCCCGACAAGGCAAACCGCGAGGTTATACGATGTGCGCTCGGCGATGATCACCGCCCAGCACAGCTCTGCAAGCTCGGTTCGCGCCAGTTATGTTCGAACTAGAATGGCAGAACGCTGTGATGTGGAATAGCCATCCGTCCGGAAAGCGATTACATGACGAGTGGGATGAAAGCAAAATATGCGAATTTGAATCATTTTCTCACGAACTATGATAACCACGGAAATAGTTATATCGATATTTGAACTCTCTCTTTACTATATTAAGCAATCAGCCGCATTTGGTCATTGCTTACAATGATAAACCGGTTGGGTCTTTCACGTCCTTATTTTCAGTATAAGCAGAGAAATAACCGTCAGGTTAAGATTTTTGATGTCGAGGAACCTTCACATGTTACCACGGAACCAGGCTGATCCTAAAATGTGAGCCCTCGGGTCACTCTTAAATTTGGGCTTATTGCCATTTGCGGCGGCGCTGGGGGCTTGGTATTACAAACCATGTTCAGAATTTCCAAGGCACAATATCACCGTTGGGATCATCCATCTACAGTCGTCCCAAACTTGAAAATGGTATGTCGTGAAATTCAGCCCTTTCAAGAATCGGCGACCGGGATTAAAATACTCGGTGAAGGAAATGAACCAGGTCCTTTGCCTGGAGTATCACTGTTCAAGATCTACATAGACAAACCCAAGGTCGAACTCAAGTACACGCGACCGTATGAGATTGCTCATGTGCGATGGGGCTGGTTTCGTAGGATGGTTGCCCGTCATTGATGTTGTGTCATGTTAGATCTCAATTTTGAGGCGTCCGCCGTCGAGATCTACCATCCCTGGAGAGATCCGGAACATGCGGGACCGGCAGGACCGGGGAGCCAAACAACCGGAAATCTCGTAACATGGATGTGGGGTTTGTATGATAATCAGTCTCAGCAAACTTGACATTGACAATGAAATTGAGGCATCAACAGATCAGCTGGGAGACTCGGCCGGGTCCCGCAGTCGTGGGCAGCGGTGGCCATCAAAGTGGGTCGGATGAACAAAGATCGGCTGTGACGAAACTCTCGTGCGGGAGAAGCTCATCTTGTGGGAATTTTGAATCTGGAATCTGATGTTACAGAGCTGAGACCAGGGGTTTGTCGAAGGGAGGGGTTTCGCCGATCTTCAATGATTAGGTATTTTCTCTAGTTTGCAGGCGATACAAACGAGGATTGAAGGTACCACTATATAGTAGTGATCAAAAGGCATTGGCTAGGTGGAGTATGCACTTGATTGACAACAGGGCTTAGCACAATTAGTCGAGTTGCAAATGCCGTTCAAGCCCCAAGTGGACCATCTGAAGAAAGGTCAAGATCTGGAATTTTGGGTCAAAAGGCAAACGGCTCAACGGAAAAATGAGGGAGAATGATAAGATATTCAATCTCAAACCAACCCCTTAAACTCCGTACATCCCCTCAATTTCTGTAACATGTTTAGCATACATGTTTTGCATGTGCTAGGGGTTAATTATTAGTTACTTCGTATAATATTGTACAGCGTATATTAAGTGTAATCGATTCTTCCAATAGGGAGATTAGTACCGAGTTGAAATGCATTGAGAGTGGAGAAACGGGAGACGGGAAATGATTACCAAAAGCCTCCCCCCGCATCGCTAGAATGCTTTTTCATTTTCATACGACGTACAATACTATGGTACAATTTATTCTATACAAATCATACCTTCTAGTAGCCTCTAGGGCTAATAATTCCTGTGGCGTAGTAAGCCTCGGCTGCAGGCAATTCTCCGGGTTACATCTACTCCGTACACGCGAGGTCAATTCTTTAAACTTTCTTGTTTCTGTATTTTCGTATAACCATTCTACATTTTAACATTCATTGTGCCTGAAGCGAGGCTTGTACGTGGCAATTGTGGACGTTCATTCGCTGGTGGTCACTCCCCGCTTGATCATACAACTCCCGGTGGAGCTGGAAATGGGAACTATGGGGCTCTGGATCTGCCTATCGCCATCCATCGACTTTTCCTTCCACGCTAACTTTTCGGACGTACTACCATTCTAGATCTAGTGTGGAACTTATAGTGGATTAGTTTCGATGATAGTCCAAGGTTCATCTTCGGAAATATGGATATTGTTGGATGTTGTTGGATGTTGTATGCATTGTTCTCGTGTAGTCTAACTAGATAATTACTAGTGATGTAAAAAGCCTATTCTTCTGGTCACTGGGTGTCTGGACTTTCAATTGATGGAAATGATGGAAATGGTTCTCGCCCTGACACCCATATAACTCAATCCCTGGTCCCTGGCGGGGGATGCTCAATTTTGTTTCGTTTTTCCTTCTTTCAATTCAATCTACCCAGGATGTTATGAATTGACTTCCTTTCTCAATCAAGTTTCACCTTTTCAATCGCTGGCTCGAACCATGTCGGTAACAACTGGCCTGAATCCATAATCTCCCTCGGTCTTGATACCCCCAATCATTTGCCTCACATCTGCTTTGATCGTTTTCTTCCTTTCTTTCCTTTTATCCAGATACCAAAGCACAAATCAAATATACCATGAAGCTCCCGCCAGCAGCCGTCATGGCTTCATGGCCAACACCAAATTATATCGACCCACCAACCCGAGGACACGGCGTACTGATCGTGAACGTTGCATGTCTTTCTTTGGCATTCGTGGTGGTCTCTCTACGACTATACACCCGAATTCGAATAACATACAGTGCTGGTGTTGATGATTTTCTGATTGTTATCGGCCTGATCTTCTCTATCGCAATGGCTGTTGTCACCTCAATCGCCACGGAAAAGTGGGGGATGAACCGCCACATCTGGGATATCGAAATCCTGAGCCTTGCCACCGTTCAGAAATACAATCTCTGTTTCCAAATCATGTTCTCCATGGCATCCTGCTTCACCAAAATCTCTCTTCTATGGTTCTGTCGACGACTCATCGGCAAGGGTCACTTTGCGTTGTACAACTGGGCTTTCATTTTGTCAATGGTCTTCGTCGCCCTCTCAAGTGGGCTTTTCACCATCATCAGCATTTTCCAGTGCTCGTGAGTGGTCCGACAAGTGGTGTGGCTCTCGGACGTTGCTAATGTTTCACATAGACCGATTCGCGCATATTGGCAAATTAGCCCCACAGAGTCTTATCACTGCATGAATGATGGCGCTATTGTGTTTTCAGCAAGTGTGATCAATATTTTTACCGATTTCCTGGTTACAGCCCTGCCGATGCCACTGATCTGGAGTCTGAAACTCCCCGCTCGTCAACGCCTCGCCGTCATCTCTATCTTTGCTCTGGGAGCAGTAGTGAACGTCGCCGGCTCGGTCCGAACTGTGTATGTGTGGAAGAGTATGGTGGTTGGCTACGACGCGACCTGGATCGGATGGCCCGTTTTGATCGCTGCTGCGGTGGAAATCAGCTTGGGACTGGTAAGAAATAAGATACTCGCCTCCACGGCTTCTCCCACGCACAATACTAACAGACTTTATCAGATCTGCTCTTCAGCCCCAGCTCTCCGTCCTCTAATCGCAGCATTCCTACCTCGCCTCCTCAATTCAACCCGCAATATCGGCTCCTCATACAACCAGCACAATCGCTCCCACAAACTCTGGTCTTCAACCGGCCGCTCTCGCAACTCTCACATGATCCCCGATGGATCTCGCCAACCTGGCTATGACAGCGATCGCTTCGAGATCATGCGCACTGTCGAGATGGAAAGTTGGACTGAGTCGCGACTCGCCAACCAGCAGAAAATGGGCCACGGCTATGATATCACATCCGAGAACCACTCGCGCGCCATCAGTCCTGCTGATACTATGGATCTGAAGAATAACATGGTGCATTCATCTCCAGCGAGTACTACTTCCTCTATCTCTGGGCCGAGCGAGTCGAAATTTCCTTTTGATGATCGACACGCGCGCTGATGGCTATTTGATATTACTGCTATTTTTTCCTTTGTTTTGTGTATCAACACCCATACTACGCTTTGGCCATTTCTTTCGGTTCTCATGAACTTTACTATTGTCGGGGTTTAAACAAAATTTAGACGTCTTGTATAGTGCCCAATGTTGAAACTATCCCGATTCCCACTTAATGAAACTACGACTCAAAAACATGAAGTGCGAAATTGAGCAAACCTTATTGTACATTATATGTGACGTATCTCAAAATGAGAGCTGGTATTGTATGTATACAATGATGTATGTAGATCTTGGACGATCTGGTGGGGGATTGTTCACCTTTATCAGGATCATGAATATTCGACACGTCCATTCCCGATTAGTCTGCGCCGAGACTATACTACTCACGCCAGAGTGGATCATGATCGGCGTCCTGAATCATGTTCACTTAGGTCTAACTGACTAGGCTTGCCGATAAATGTTCAAATTGAGTCAGTTGAAATGGCCCAATTATTGTGGCCAATCCGGGCAATTTCCTTTTGAGGCTTCAAATTGATAAACTCTCCAGAGAAGAAGATCAATGCATATCCTATATAGTTGCCTACAAGTATGCCTCGATATCACCAATTCAGGGTCATCAGAGTTATGAGCTTACATCTAGGAACAGGAGATGGGAGATCAGGGGCCCAGAATGCGTGAAAAGAGGAAGCAGTTGGAAGAAACTGTCTATCCAGCGATGTGTGGCTTTCGCTTTGTTAGTAGGCTTCGAGGGCCTTGTACATAGCATGCTCGGGAATTCGAGAAGCTGGCGGCATGATATAGGCTCTATAAGGAAATGAGGAAGAAGAGAAATATAGAAATCTTCATGAGTGAAAAATCCCTGCTAATTGCAACCCACAAACATCGGGACACCCGATGTTGGTGGCTTGGCACGGCTACGCGAAGTAAATCACCGAGCTAAGTATATTTCACTTCCTTTGCCTGTGCACCATATTCACCCATCCCTGGCTTAGCTTATCGGAGACTTGATTGATACGGGCCCTCGCAGGCTTGCATCCTGCTCGTACCCGAGTTTCAGCACGGATCTCCGTGTCGGTACGTCTCATCGAGACAGCAGGGGAAAAAAATGTCCAAATGGCGTCCCCTACTGTCATCACCCCGACAGAGATTTGGCGCATGATATTTGCATTCCTATCGCCCAGCGACCTCCGGGCGGTGGGTCTTACAAATAGGGACTTGCGCACTCTTGCGGAACCAATTCTCTACGCCCATATTAAATGGACATGGACGGTCTCTCAGACCCCCCCCCCCCACCCCTCCCCGATTGCTAGGTTTTTGCAACTCATTGTGTAGAGGCCCGAGGTGGCTAGTTTCGTTCATGAGTTAATTCTCAGCGGAGGTACTTTCGACGAACAGCCATGGCATAACTCTAAATATAAGAGTCCAAAACTCCAAGTCAGCGAAGTTGTCACAGATCAGCTAGTGGAATATGTCGAAAGCGTTCATGTTCCATATACCGAAGAATGGGTTCAAGAGCTGCGTGCCGGGTCAATGGACGCATTCGCAACACTTTTACTATCACAACTTCCCAATCTGAAGTATCTCCACCTAGGCAAGAATTTCACCCGAGAGAGTCGCTTCATAGGCATGATGATCCGCTCGGCTCTCTGCGATGAGTCCCGGGATAGCCATATCTCCTCTTTTGCATATCTCCAAGATGTATCAGCTCAATGTCCCGATCTTGCTTGCTATATTCGCAGATATACGGACTTCAGGAATACGGCAGACAACCTTCCCTTCTATTATTTACCATCAATTGAACGGCTAAGCCTCTCAATCGACAATCCCACTACCTTTAATTGGACAGGGAAGTGTCCGCCAAATCCATTGAGACTTACATCGCTCGACTTGACCATGGTGCGCGAGGGACATCTCGGTCAACTGTTGTCAGTTACCCGAGGCCTTCGGGAGCTTGAATGCTATTGGCTTTACCGCCCAGATATTGCAGATGACTTCGTCACAGATACTATCGATTTGGACCAAATCGCCACGGACCTATCTCACATTCAAGAGACTTTGACAGACCTGACTATTAAGGCTGGATCAGCTGGGTGGCCGTCGGGTATCTACATGCCACCGCTCCATTTCAATGGTTCGTTCAATTTCAGCGCACTTCATATGCTGGAGAGAATCAAGATACCGCTTCCATTTGTGCTTGGATTTTCACCATCGACTTCAAACACGGTGCACCTCGGGGAAGCACTCCCAAAAAGCCTTGAATGGCTAAATATCACCGACGATATACGTTTTCAGGAGGAATGGGAATGGGATCGCGATACCTCTCACTTAGTGGGGGTTATTCGATCATGGCTACAGAACTGGAGGGTATTCACACCTCGCCTCCGCGGTTTTTGTCTATCGGGGGAGGACAAGATACAGGATTGGCAAGATGAGATGTTAGATGGACTGGAAGAATTAGCTTTGGAGTTTGGGGTTCAGATTTAAATAACCGGGAAAGGATATATCGAGGTGTTCGGTTGACTGTGAATACTCTAGCTCAAATCATAGTCATAGTATTTCTGCCGCAGGTATTTTCTCGGGCCATCTTCCTCCCGTTGATGCGTGACTGATTGTAGCTTTGCACTTGTTTCACTGCTTGCTCAAATATGACCTATGGACTCGATGATGTTCATTGTAATGGCAAAATACCTTCCATTCAACGGATTGGCTGCGAAAAGCTTATCGTACAAAGCCCCCGTTGCGCGAGATGAGGGATCTCATGTGGCTCTGCTGTAACTCTGACATTGTTTCTGTAGGCTAATGGAGGTATCAGTGGGGGCCATGTATATGTCCCTAATAGATAGATCATGCTGCTTCATGATAGTCGCTTCGTCAATTATATTCCGCGCTATAGCCACATAAAAAGCTTTGGGTGCAAAGATCATAGTGTACGGGAGATCAATAATACGTATCTGAATAAAGGAAATACTGATTTAACTGTTGCTTCATCTGTTTTTGTTTATAAGGACCTGGATGTTAATCTGACGCACTGACTGCGCCACCTAAAATAGACCCTGCTTGCAACAGGATTATCTCCCCGCATTCACCGACAATCGACTGGTTTTGAGTCATCTAGATCATATCCGCTGTAGCGGATACAGGCCCGGTCGATACTAGATGAGCCTCCCCTAACAAATTGGTGATCCGGTTCATCTGACACCCAACCTTATGCCTACGCCTGGTCAAAACCCAGCTGCCAAGCAATCAGATCAACAGGTTGCAACGACACCACTGGCTCAATATCTTAGTGGTTTGTTGCTCAACGTCACATCCCTCAACTTGATTTCAATTTACTGCTGGTGAAGAGATAGTTCGTGCTAAGAAAGAAGTATCTATGTATGAAGCCTGATATGTGCCCTCGATTGGTTTAGGCAATGAAACAATGAACACCGAGTCATGTGGAACTCGTGGTTATGGTTCAATCAACGATCAACTTACAACGATGCCTCATATAATTGGTTTCCTATAGGGTGCAAGGCTGACCAGTATACAGTCACCTTCATGCGACAACTTGGCTACCGACCTTTACTGTTGCAATTTCGGTATCGGTCAATTAGTTTGGCAGTCTGGGATGAACCGACGGTGAGGAAAAGTAAAAAGCAACTAGACGGGCAGCCAGACGACAAAACCTCGACTTTGGCATTACAACATTAACTAATCGTAAATACGTCGCACCACACTCCAGGGCTATAACCAACTTAGTTTTGGAACCCGTTTTGTTGTTGAGAAATCTGCCTTTTGGTGTCTGATAAACCTAACAGCAATTAATTTGCTTATAAATATCCAACAAAAAAAGCAACTTTTCAAGGTTTAATACCATAAATTAGGCGACCACACCGCCCCCCTCCAGCCCTCCCAAATTCCCAGGCTTCCTCCCTCATGAACTCGAGAGCTACTCCAGGACCTATTTGGAGGTAAAAGAAGCAAAAAGAATGGACTCGCGGGGAATCGAACCCCGGACCACTCCCATGCTAAGGGAGTATTATACCACTAAACCACAAGCCCATTTGATTGGTTGGTCGTGAGGAATAATGCTAGAAGAGCCTTCGGTTCACTAGTATAGGGGCTATAAAAAATAGCGTGGATAAGGAGCAAAAAGATCTGGACTCGCGGGGAATCGAACCCCGGACCACTCCCATGCTAAGGGAGTATTATACCACTAAACCACAAGCCCAGTTGATTGGTTGGGTTTTGAGATTAGTGCTTTATGAATGGAAAAGAATTTTGTTACAGATTGGGTCATAGAACATCACGTTATCAGGATGCTGATGTCAATGAGCAAGGTGTTATGGAATAGACGTTTGTCTGGGCTTTAACTGACTATTTTTGTTTGTATATATCTCTTCTGTATTCGGTGAAATGCCAATTTGTGCACGATGAGATTTGGGTGATGTTGGGACATGCGTGATAGATATCTTGGGTAAAATATATATCGGAGCCATACATTGTTTGGACAACAATATTTCAATTTCCGCACAAACAATGACTCATGCCATTAACAGCGAGGGAGTACAAAATACGGTTGAATTGCACCGGAAGCACTTACACCGGTCTAAGACTTACCTAGGTACCTTCATATGTACATATAGATATGGCAGCGCCACTCGTAGTTGGATCTCTACAGGACCAAGAAAGACTCATAAGAAGATACAATATTATAGCAAGAAATTTCGAAGTATATACCTAATGTAGATATGTATGTGCAATGTTGTATGTAGAAAGTACTCCGTAATTGAAGCTGTAGATAAGGACGCCAAGACTGAAATTGCGTTGTGCTAAAATACTTGCAGATGAGATCGACGCCACGATGACCCCGGGTTTTACGCGTGACTTCTGAAATATAGACCAAATGGAAACTCTTACCTTATCGATTTGACCAAGAATCCACCAGCGTAGACTTTCTCAATTCGTCCAAAGACCCCATCGGGTCCTCGGCGTTTCACTGTCAAGGGAAGTCATTTTATTGGTCAATTTCGCCGACAGAAAAGCAATCTACGCGGGGGGAAGCTCTGAAGCTCCAGGATAAGGCCGATAACAGACTCCGAAATGCAACTGGTATAAAGACACCCCGCGCCTTTCCTTTTTTTCTTTGTGTCACTTTCTACTTCGCTTTTCTATTTCACTTGGTATCCTGTAGCTCATATTTGTCTACCAGGGTCTTTGTTTGCTCTTCTGTTCTTCCATTGAATAGCTAGATTGCTATTCTATCCCTTCTTACATCACAAAAACTCACAATGTCATCTGTCTTCCGTGCTAGCACGCGGCTGCGCTCTGCAGCCCGTCTTCCGGCTGCTCGTGCCCTCTCTACCACCGCTGGCCTGCGTGCCGCGGAGAAGCCTTACTTCCCCAATGAGCCCTCAGCCCCTACCGTCTCGGGGACTATCCCCGGGCCCAAGAACCAGGCCGCTGCCGCTGAGCTTGATGAGGTGTTCGATGTCCGCAGCTTGAACATGCTGACTGACTACTCTCAATCCGTTGGAAACTAGTATGGCAATCTACATCCTCCCCACCACTATAGTACTGACCCCGCTCTAGCATTGCTGATCTTGATGGCAACAAGCTCTTGGATGTGTAAGTGCCCGGATTTGACTCAATTGAAAAGACAGGCTCTAACTTCAGCAGGTATGCGCAGATTGCTTCTATTCCCGTTGGTTACAACAACCCCCACCTTAAGAAGGTTGCCGCCTCGTCCGAGATGGAGTCCGCCTTGATCAACCGTCCGGCCCTGGGCAACTTCCCCTCAGCCGATTGGGCTCACATTCTCAAGACTGGTGCTCTCCGTGCTGCCCCCAAGGGATTGGACCAGGTCTTCACTGCCATGGCTGGCTCTGATGCCAACGAGACTGCCTACAAGGCCGCCTTTATGTACTACCGCCAGCTGCAGCGTGGTGGCCCCGAGGTTGAGTTCACCGAGGAGGAGCTGCTATCCACCATGAACAACGCCGGGCCTGGTTCCCCCCAGCTGTCGATTCTCTCTTTCAAGTCTGCCTTCCACGGCCGTCTGTTTGGCTCCCTGTCTACTACCCGCAGCAAGGCTATCCACAAGCTGGATATCCCCGCCTTTGACTGGCCCCAGGCTCCCTTCCCCCAGCTCAAGTACCCCCTCGAGGACAACGTCCAGGAGAACGCTGCCGAGGAGAAGCGCTGCCTTGCTGAGGTTGAGCGTCTTATCAAGGAATTCCACAACCCCGTTGCTGCCGTGATGGTCGAGCCCATTCAGTCCGAGGGTGGTGACAACCACGCCTCGCCTGCCTTTTTCCAGGGCCTGCGTGACATCACCAAGCGCACCAACGTCCTCTTCATTGTCGATGAAGTGCAGACCGGTGTCGGTGCTACCGGAAAGTTCTGGGCCCACGACCACTGGAACTTGTCTTCGCCCCCTGACATGGTCACATTCTCCAAGAAGGCCCAGACTGCCGGTTACTACTTCGGTAACCCTGCTCTGCGCCCCAACAAGCCCTACCGCCAGTTTAACACCTGGATGGGTGACCCAGCTCGCGCTTTGATCTTCCGCGGCATCATCGATGAGGTTGAGCGTCTTGGCCTTGTCGAAAACACCCGCACCACCGGTGACTACCTCTACAGTGGTCTTGACCGCCTCGCTGAGAAGTACCCCGAGCACTTCCAGAACCTCCGTGGTAAGAACCAGGGTACCTTCATTGCCTGGGACACCCCCAAGCGTGACCAGTTTGTCGCCAAGGCCAAGTCCTTCGGTGTCAACATTGGTGGCAGTGGCGCCACTGCTGTTCGTCTCCGTCCCATGCTTGTCTTCCAGAAGCACCACGCCGACATTCTGCTCGAGAAGATCGAGCAGATCATCCAGACCCTCTAAATCAAGCCCCGGCAATGTCATTCCTAATTACATGACCGTTGGACTGCTCGGGCGTTTTTATCTGATTTATGAGCGTTTTCTTTCTCTTCCCTATTGTTTCCCTCTTACCCTTTGTTGCCACGAGTTTATGCCACCGCAAAAAGGCCATGTATATTCCTAGACATCTTGTCAATTGAATTATGACTCAAAATTGAATCAACTATAATTTCCTTTTCTATTCTCCAGTAGAGGCAATTGGCACATTTGAACTCATAAGAGACTGTCCAGTCCCACTGTGCATGCCCTTGTGATCCAGTAAGTAATATGTAAAAACAGTGTGATGCTTCCGACCCGAAACTCCGAACGACCAGCAAAAGGCAACCCCCCTCCCTTGCCCGCAAGTCTCAGCTGAATATATGAAGTGTGTGCTGTATGGGTATTCGGACCAGGATTGTATAGGCAAGGGCGGGTTCGCGCGGCGCTAAAGACTCAAGTGTAGATGTTTCATGGTTCCTCCTCGCCAGTGCTTCCATCTCGTCTAGAACAAGCAAGTGTTAGCATGATATGGACATGGGAAATAATAGTATGGTGGATATGGTATTCGGGCAGCACGTACGGCACATATTTGATACCGGAGTCCTCTAGACTGTTGATGATATATTCCGGAAGCTGGTGATGCGAAAAAACCCTCGTTAGCTGATCTGTGCTTCGTGGAACAAGGAAACCTCGGAGCTTCGGAGAGACTCCAAATCTGTCAAAAAAGGGTAGATGTGCCACTTACTGTCCCTGTCACTTTGGTCGCATATGTGCCTGCCACGTAGTTATCCAGCCGCTGCCAGCGAGCGACCCAGCTTGCAGCAGGATCCCGAACGGCGATTAGGCCCTCGAAGACCTGCGATGTACATTCCTGGATAGCGTCATTGTTGCCACGGAGCTGGAGGGTGCTTTCACAGTTCGGGCAGCCTTCACGCATGAATTTCTGCAGCATTTGTTAGTGTAGCCCGGGGAACGGAGATGGGACGGGAGCTATTAATTACATTGTGAACCTGGACAACGGAGCAGACCATACAGGCGCGCAAAGTGCGCTGCTGGTTTGGAGGGGCGTAGAAAGACATGTGGAGAGAAGTTTGAGGATGCGAGGAGAGAAAGAAAGCTATGAATGAGAGTAGCTGCCGTTGACTCTGGATCGATGCCAAGACCCGTTGCGATCGGGGAAAAAGAACATGAGAGAATCAGGAACAAGAACTCTTTTCTTTTTTTCTGGCTGTCACGTTTCTTTCTTTTCTTCTCTCTCTCTTAGTCTCTGGATTTGGAGGAGTTCTGTTTCTTTTATAATTTTTTTACTTCACTTCCTGTTGATCTATTTGTCAAAGCTCATCTACGACCTTGTTTCCCACCGATAATCGCTGTCTCGTGCCCCTCACATTTTCTCTCCGCCCTAATGTCTACCGACAAAGAAGCGGGCACTGCGCTCAAGGTGCAGGGAAACAAGGCCTTTGGTGAACACAACTGGCCTGTCGCTGTCGACTTTTATAACCAGGCTATTGCTAAATACGACAAGGATCCGTCCTTCTTCTGCAATCGCGCACAGGTATGTTCCCGACGATCATGGTGGCACATTCTCATGGAGTCGGGTGCACGGTGGCTAGGATCGACTTGGCTAACGACTCGCCTTCAATTTTGTTTATAGGCTCAAATCAAACTCGAGGCCTTCGGATTTGCTATTGCGGACGCCACCAAGGCATTGGAACTAGATCCCACCTATGTGAAAGTACGTTGCTCCTAGTGAAGCTAAGAGCAGTGAACCCGGCAGACGGGGGTATCAGAGGCATATGCTAACTATGCGTTTATCTAGGCTTACTGGAGACGTGCTCTCGCCAATAGCGCAATCCTCAGTTACAAGGAAGCCTTGAAGGATTTCAAGGCTGTCCTCAAGCACGAACCGGGCAACCAAGCTGCGAGGTTGAAGACAGTTGAGTGCGAGAAGCTTGTGCGCCGTATAGAATTCGAGCGAGCCATTGAGGTATCAGACCCACCCTCGGTATTCGCGGAATTGGATATCGATGCCATCAAGGTTGAGGACAATTATGATGGTGTGCGCCTTGGAGAGGAAATGACACAGGAGTTTATCGATGATATGATCCAGCGTTTCAAGGATGGAAAGAAGATCCATCGCAAGTATGTCTTCCAAATTATTAAGGCCGTGAAGGAGCTTGTCTACAACGAGCCTACAATGGTGGAAATTGGTGTTGAATCGGGCAAGAAGTTGACGGTTTGCGGTGATACCCACGGTATGTATTGTCAAGTTCGGGCATCTCAGACATTTGCTAATGAGTTAGGCCAATACTTCGACTTGCTCGAGATCTTCCGACGAAACGGTGCTCCCTCAGATACCCACGCTTATCTATTCAACGGTGACTTTGTCGACCGTGGCTCTTGGTCTTGTGAAATTGCTCTCTTGCTTTATGCCTACAAGTGGCTGCGGCCTAACGGTCTTTTCTTGAACCGTGGAAACCACGAGACCGACGATATGAATAAGGTTTATGGATTCGAAGGCGAATGTAAGGCTAAGTATAACGAGAAGGTCTTCAAAGTATTCTCTGAGTCCTTCTCGGCCCTGCCCTTGGCCACCTTGATTGGTGACAAGTACCTTGTCCTCCACGGAGGCCTTTTCTCTGATGACAAGATTACGCTGGATGATATCCGCAAGCTCAACCGCCACAACCAAAGGCAACCCGGCCAGGCAGGCCTCATGATGGAGATGCTCTGGACCGACCCCCAAACCAGCCCTGGTCGTAGCCCCAGCAAGCGCGGTGTCGGTGTTATGTTCGGTCCGGATGTTACCAAGCGCTTCTGTGAGAACAACGGATTGGAGGCTATTATCCGCTCCCACGAGGTGCGCATGGGCGGTTACGAAGTCGAGCACGATGGCCGCTGTATCACCGTCTTCTCTGCCCCTAGGTACTGTGACGCCACAGAAAACAAGGGTGCCTACATCAACATTGGACCTGAACTCAAGCTTGAATATGAAGTGTTTGAGGCGGTGCCCCACCCTGACATCAAGCCAATGGTAAGTTCATGACCTCCAAATCTACCCAAGCAAGATCCCTTCATTAATTTATTCCAGGCTTATGCGCAAAATTCGCTTCTTTCGGGAATGTGAACCCATATTTAACTTTGAAAGCGCGGCGTTACCGAAGAGATCTCGAATTGAAGTCAACGTATCTATGTGCATAATTCATGTTCTGCGTACGAAGGTGTATAGCGCCCAGTGGTCAAGAGTCAAGATGCCCCAATGCTTGAATTTAAATCCCTTTCAGGCATCTCGACACATTATACGGAGTGCAATGCATTCGGCACGGAAGACCTAGACCTGACAAACCTATAAAATGAAGCTTTTTATACCACACAGCATTATACATCACAACTTTTTGGGGGCAGTAGACGATTTTATTGCCAGATTTTGGGTTAAATATGTCTCACTTCTACTACATAAATGTCTTGATCAATGAAATTAAGCGTCCTCTTTATGTATGGCTACCCACGCTAGCTTTATACTTCATACCGCTTTCGCCCCGCGGTTTCCCCTCGATTCTGCCGGGTTGACGTCTTTTTGTTCTTGTAAGCAAGCATACAGCAGCCATGGAATTCGACCCCAAGACACGTAAGTGTGGTGTGGTGTTTGCGATGGAAATGACATGACTAAAATATGCAGCACAATACCTCACGTCCGATAAGTTGAGCTTTGCCTCAATTTCGGCTAATGAGCGCTGGCCCGTTATCATTGTGAGCTCACGCTGGAGTTTCGAGTGAATGACAACCTGCTAACAAAGTCTGGCGAGACTAGACTGGTGCCATTGATGATCTTCACCGTACGGTGGTAGGCGTGAATGATGATGAGAAGGCTAATGAGGGCAAGGGCATCACCGCCAACCTGGCCAAGTTGAAGTATGAACTTCAGCATGACCGACAACTTAGGTGAGTCCTATGAACAAATTCCAATTGCATATACGGCTCATCTAATACAAATCGTTTATGTTAGTCCAATTGATGATGATGGACACCCAGATATTGCCTCTTATAACAAGGAGCTGGAGCAGCGAGGAAACCCTCATTGGCACGATGTCCCTTGGCTCTACGCTGAGTGCTACCTCTGTATGTCCAATGTCGATTCCGACCATATCGACTAGCACCGAGGCTGACCCAACATCAATCAACAGACCGTCGCATTGAATCCCTCTTCGCGATGTCCAAGCACTGGAAGGGCTATGACGTGTTTGCTCGCCAGAAGATGAATACTTTCAAGTCGTCGCGACCAGCTGTCCTGGAACTTGCAGCTAGATACCGTGATATTGTGATTGAAGCAGAATCTGGTAAAGCAAAAGATGGCAAGTCCGCTGAGGAAGTTGAGGCGGCTGAGAGGCTTCTCTTTTCTGAGATGTGCGAGATCTGCCTGTGGGGCAATGCTACTGACCTGTCCCTCTTGACTTCCCTTACTTATGAGGATATCCAGAAGCTGCAGGGCTCTCAAGCACGTAAAGAGTCACAAAAGAACATAATCGTCAATGACCTCGATGCCGCTTTCGACGCAATGCAAAGGGCGCGCAGGGAGAAGAAGGATGGTGAGCGCCGCGTCGACATTGTTTTGGATAACTCCGGGTTCGAGCTGTTCGTCGACATGATACTTGCTGGCTACCTGTTGTCAGCAGGACTGGCAACTAGCGTCGTGCTACACCCCAAGCGCCTGCCGTGGTTTGTGTCCGATGTCACCCCGAAGGATTTCTCCGATCTTTTGAGCAGCATGGTCGACCCACAAGCCTTTTACACCGCTGCCGATGAATCCGGCAAGACTTTCCCCTCTCTTTCGGAGAAGGAGATTTCCGATGTCAAATTCCTCTTCAACCAATGGAGCGAGTTCCACCAGGATGGCAAGCTGATCCTGCGCCCACACGCATTCTGGACTGCCCAAGGTGGCTTCTGGCGCATGCCGCATGATGCACCAGAGTTGTTCGAGGATTTGAAGGAGAGTGAGCTTGTCTTGTTTAAGGGTGATTTGAACTACCGGAAATTGACCAATGATGTAAGCTGGTACCCTTTGTTTGTGACCTTTGGTCTAATGTTGACAATGTTCAGGCCCAATGGGATCCCACAACCCCCTTCACAGAGGCTATTGGCCCACTCGGCCCCAAGTCTGGCATTCGTGTTCTGGCCTTCCGCACTTGCAAGGCTGACGTTGTCGTTGGCCTTCCAGAAGGGGAAGATGAGAAGCTTCGCGCGCTGCCTGGCGGCGGTGGCTCTGAGTCTCGCAAGTGGGCCTGGAGTGGAAAATGGGCTGTTGTTTCACTGTCTGATGGCAAGGCCTAAAGGACCAAGCAGGCAATATAGCTGGCAGACTTGGAAGATTGTCGCACAGTAGATGGGTCTGCCAGCAAGAAGACTATATAGATGGAACGAGGAAGCAAGATAACCGTCGCTGGAAGTAGAAAAAGCAATACCTAATATAGAATGTGAATATAAACTGTGATGGAATGCAACGACAAGATGAAGGCATTGATTCTCCCCAGACATTATTTACCCATAACTCTACCCCCTCTTAGAGGTCTCTCCAACGGCCACATCAGGAGATGTAGCAAGGTACTGCGGTATTAGCTGCTTCTAGAACTCTCTTGGACACAATCAATCATTTCGCAAAGTCCTTGAGTGTCGGTAAATGCCTAGATAGCCCCGAGAAACCACCAACTGTCTAGGGTCTCAGGGCCTCATGGTGGGGAATGGGGGCCCACCTAGGCGCCACTTGCATTTTTGGAGAAGAACCGGGGGATCAGCAGGGTCTCAACTATAGGAGAGATAGCGTGGCTAGGCTTTTAGGGAGCCTATTGACAATCTAGGAGCAGATCGATAATAATCCAGGGAAAGGTAGGTTGAGATGCCGTGAACCAGATAGAGGATGGCGTGGAAAAGAATTGATTTGCGCTCAAAATTAGATTGCAAGAACGAAGAAAGAGTAACACCATGCACGCTCCAAGAACCACTCCGTATTTCCAGATCAGAACTCAAATAACAAAGAGCCAATTAACATCACCTATTGTGACTAAATAATTCGTGCGCTCGCGCGTTCTCCTTGCCGAATGCCGCCTTTTGCCTAAGCCGTAATTTAGCAGCGTAAATGCGCTCAGGAGAAAGAGCTTCGCGCTTGGTATCAGGTGGGCCTTGTCGTTTTCCTATTCGATCGCCCGCTGAGATAGTATGGCCTGCATACCGGCTGCGAGAGGGTAGACCGGAGATTGAATCCAGGGTAGATTTGATGTGGGTTCGCTCGCGCTGTGTTGGCTTGTTGCTGTTCCTCGTGTCATCATCCTCAGGTACATTCGAGAAGCGATATGTCCGCTGGCCTTCGCCAAGCCGGCGTCTGGAGAATGTACGGTTGAGGGTTTTGAGGGCTGAGACATCAGGAGGCGATGAAGGGGGAACCTGGGCCAACTCATCCTTGTGAGATTCATGGCGTGACCCTGGGAGGACTTGTTTCAGATAATGCGTGACTTCCTCCTCGCCTGGTGCAGTATTTAGAGGGTTGCGTCTAGTGCCAAGGGTGCCCAATGTAGTACTGCGTAAAGCGGGCCGTTGCTCGCGTACCTTGGACCGCGGACTTGGGCTGGGAGGAGCGTCGATATCGTCGGTGGGCTCCTCCTCTGTGTCTTCATGTTCTTGCCCAGCAAAGTCGAACACCTGAACGCCTGTATGATCTTTGCCCGGACTAAGGAATTGCCGCTCGGCGGAAGGCAGAGTTGGGAAGCGTTCGCCAGAACCAAGCCTGAGTTTCAGAAGGTCAATCTGCTTCTGCATCTGGCGACGCTCTGCATCGGCTGTGCTTCTCAAATTCTCTTCCGACTCGCGGTGCTCCTGGGTGACCGATTTGAGCTTTTCTCTGTATTCCTGAATCCGCTGCTCTAGCCTCGCCTCTCTTTGTTTCAGCCTGGTTTCTTTATCTTTACGCCGACCTTCGTATCGCGACATCTCCTGCTTCACCCGAGCTAGTGTTTGTTTGAGGGTGTTGTTCTCTTGCTCAAGTGCCTGTGCCTTCTTTTCCGAGCTTTGCGCCAGGTTCTGTAGCGTGCTCAGTTCGGATTGTTGGCGCTGCATTTCCTCGATCTTGGAGTTGGCATGTTTCAGTTCGAGTTGTGCCTTGTGAAGCTCGTCTGTGGGACTGGTTGGCGTTGGCTCTTCCTTTTTCTTCGCTGTGAGATTCGTCGCATCGGTAACAACGTTATGCTTTTCCAAAGCGTTGCGTAGCGAGGTGGCCTGCTGCTTGTATTGCAAAGCAAGCGCAGTCTGTTTGGTCAGGTCCTGGACCAAATGCTCCTTGTCGCCGCTTGATTGTTCGCCAACCATGGAAGAAGCAAGTCGTGATACCTGCTTTTCCATTTCCGCGACCTTTTCCTCCTCTTCTTTGAGCTTGTCGGCCAGCCGCATAGCTTCGGAATCCTTCTTACGAGCGTAAGACTTCGCAATTGAGCGGTAATGAATCAGCTTCTTGATCTCTCGATTGGTCCTGACGCGGTAATTGTCAAATTCGGTTTTCCAGTATTTCCCCGACTCCGAGTGGGGGTCTTCCAGATTGAGAGTAATATCTTCATTGTCGAGAGCCTCCTTCGATTGAGAGCTACTCGTGTCGGATTTCGTTTCTCCTGAGGTCTCATCGGCTTTGGCTGCCTCAGAGTTCTTGGACGCGTTTTCGCGCGCGTTCATGAGTGTTTGGGTGAGTTTGCTCCGCGGCTTGCCACTACCATCTGAGGATCCGGACATCCACTGGATACTGAGGTTTCCAGAGGGATTCGGTGGCGTCTTGGCAGGCTTACTAGCCGAACCGGGGCGTTTCCCCTCATTGTCAACAACGCTCTCACCAAAGGACACTGTCTTGCGACGCAATGCCGTTCCAGGCGTGACGAGAATGCTTTTAGTCGGAGATCCCGTGGGGTTCACAGTCGCGTCATCGGCTGCTGGTTTGAGGTCGGTTTTGATCTCTGTCGGCACTAGCTTGATCGAATCACTCTTGCTTCGTTGGTGGTCGGATTGTTGTGGCTGAGACGCAGGCTTTTCCTCATCTCCATCTGCTCCGGGGGTACCAAACAGCGCGCTTTTGAAGGCTCGAATGGCGAAGACATGGCCCGGGGTCTCAGGAGGTTCGAGCAGTTTGGAGTCGTCTGTCAGTAGCATCAGGTTAGTAGATCTGGAGAGACAGACATGAAAAGTGACTGACCATGTGCAGCTTCGTTCCCCTTCATCCAGTCCAACATGTTGGCAGGCCAATGGAAGAAAGGTTGCTTTGTTTATGGTCCGCGCGTGACGGAAAAAGCACAAGCGCCGATCACCTTATCGATAAGGACTACGCTCGTGTTCGTCTTAGGTACGTACACTTGACAGCCCTGGAGTGTCTGTTTTTTGAAGATTTTTGTATGTTGTAGTTGCGAAGGAGCTTTGGTTGGTTAATCATCTCATATCTCGAATGGACGAACTCTCTCAGCCCCTGTTTTAAACCCCTGGTCACAGATCATACATTATGCACGTACATGTGTGGGATTTTGGGCTTTACAATACTATACTGAATCTTGTTTTCTTCTTCTTTTTTATTAGCCAAAAAAAAAAAAAAAACCAATGCTAACCATTTAGATAGGTAAACAGGGTATATATATGTACAGTACTAAATATTTTCGACCTTTGAAGGTTTGGCCAGACCATATGACTCCCGCTGCCTCCAGTCTAGATTCTCTAGAACTAAGTGAGACCACCAATGATTCTTAGGACACCTCCCAGAACTATGCGCCAAGCCTTTGTTCTAGTCTGTTAGTACTCCGTACATTAGTTTGCATAAGAGGCTTCCCTCATTGTGGCAATAGCTTTCACCTACACCGCAGGATGTCCCTTACAGTAAAGTAAGTGGTATATGTTTTCAAGCAATGTAAGATACATCCTCAACGTTTTTAATCAGGAGGTTTTGACCTTTTTAGTATTTTTGCTCTAAAAAATGGTGTTTTGATGGATCACCTAATATAAGCGTGAGTGCACAATGTATACATTAAACCGTATTGTGATTCAGAACCTCGTTCTCTAGACGAAAGGGCAAAGCAAATGACATACTCCGGAAAGATAAATCTCGGCACGCTGCCTGAAGCCAAATAGTTAGTCATTGAACTCATCGAAAATTCTCTTGACAAGTTGAGTGAAGTTTACAGCGTATCTTGTGGACGTAAATACGGTGAAAAAGAAGGGTTTGTTCAGATGGGGTCCAAATTGAAACCAAGGAAGATGGCACTTTTTCAAAAGATGATATAGACCAATATTGTGAGTAAGCTGTTTCACAATTCAAGGTGAATATGACTGATTATTTCGAATTGTTGTTGTTACCCAACTTGTCAGCCCGGATCTACTCTAGCACTCTTTAAGTGTCTTTCGGGGACGACAGGCGCTTAACGAGGCTTCAGTCCGATCTTTCAGGAAGTGGTACACTCTATACGGAGTATAGAATATAGATACGAGAATATGTGTATAGTCGTGGTAGTACTGGCTTGTATTCACGGATATATTCTCAGCTAACGTGATAACGAGTATACAACGTAAGCAAGAGTTCCCCTCATTTGTTCGTGTCCAGGATCCCCAGCGAGATCTAAGAATCATTCGGATGGCCAGTGCAATCCATAGAGCGCTCGCTTATGTAGTTTAAAACCCCTGAAACTCTCCGACACCACAAACTCACAAACTCACACCTTCACGCATTCACACATTCACACATTCACCGCAAAAGAGCGTCTGAACTATGCCTCTCTCCCAATCGGTTGGTCTCCGCTTAGCTTCTAGCGCTATTGCAACCACCTGCATTGCATTTGGCGTCAACGCCATTTTACGGCCTGACCACGCTCTCACCTTTTTCGAGTTCCGACCTCCTTCTGCTAGAGAGGATAAGCTGATAGTTGACAGCCTCATGGCAATTTATGGAGTCCGGGATATCTTCATGGGTGCCGCCATCTTGGCGGCTTCGCACCTCGGTACACATTCGGCCCTGGGCTGGATCTTGATTGCGACCAGTGGTGTTGCATTGGCAGATGGATTAGTTTGCTGGAATAATGGCCAGGGCGAGTGGAATCATTGGGGATATGCACTCGTGGCCGCTGTGATCGGCAGCTTGTCACTCGGTATCTTCGACTGATTGGGTACACGTGGAACCAAAGGTAACACGATTCACCATACAATAATGATCGACTATGGCGGTGACGATAATAAAATATCGTTTCAGGAGATGCCAACTCATGAAAACTGGGTCCATTGACTATTGGTTTGACGCTGTTCACCGTTGTACATACAACATAAGTACAGGAAACTCAATTCAAGCTTAAGAGACAGCAGTGAACACATTCTGCACAAGATCATCAAAGTGTCAAGAGATAAAATAGTATCTATTGAGAATAAACACACTATCTAACAATCCCATTGTAGGAGTAAATCGACCAACTAAACGTCATTTATACTAAGCCATTCTCTCCACCGTCTATCGATAAGTCGAAGGGCGTGTGATCTGACCGCCTGTTCTAGAGGGAGAAAAAAAAAACGAGCTTGCCCAATTCATTATTCCTTCACCTTTCAAGAACTCTACCATTTAACATTAGCCCTTATGCCGTACGACGCTCAGGCTCGCATGTAGGGCGTCTCGCCAACGCCCCGCGATGTCTCCCAAACAGAGGAAGAAGCCATCCCGCCAAAAAAAGCAAACCTCCGATTCCTCCGCCACGAGCCCCATTTTACCAACTAATTACCGAGAAATTCACCAAACAGAGGTCGAAGCTCTGCGCTCGATATATGGCGATGACTTCGAAGAAGTAGAGAACAGGCGGTCGGCCTGGCAGGTAAGGCGCCTTGGAGATGTTTGGACCCCTCGTGCTAACTCGTGCTAACTCGTGCAATTTAGCAAACCTCCGACGTGACTTTTAAACTTCACTTGCGATCCTCCTCAAATTTAGATGTCAAACTCATTTTATTAGTCGAACTGCCCGCCACATATCCCAAAACAATACCCAATCTCTCGGCAGGAAATCTCGACGGGTTTCGCGATGGAGCGCGTTCCAGAATCCAAGACATTCTCAGCAACAAACCAAAAACTCTACTGGGAAGTGAAATGATCTATGAGCTGGCGGTTTCCATTCAAGATGTGCTGGAGGATGTTGCCCAGACCCAGGCCCAAGACAAGGATCTACCTAGCCTTGAAGAGGAGCGCATAGAGCAAGAAGCGGCAGCTCTCCAACGTGCAGACCTAGAACAACAGGAGGAATTGCGTAAACAAAAGGCTGCCGCGGTGGAAGAAGAACGTGCATTACAGGAAATGCTCAGAGACAAGATGCGACAGCGGAATAAGGCTCGGATTTTAAGGCGAAAGAGTCGGACTGGCGGCGCAGATACAAGCGATACTGATGACCTCGTGGGGAATACCCCCGGTGCTATCTGCTTCGATCCGCCATTGGTTGTTAATGACACCGACGAACAACCGCTGGTTTTCCGGGCCGTTCACGGTAAGACTTTGGTTCAAAGCAAGCAATGCAAAAAGACCTTCACCGTCAGGCCCGTGGTTTCTGAGAGTAGATGCCACGTTCCGCTGCTCGTTCTCAAGGAGCTCTGTTTGACTGAAAAGGGGTCCGAGGCTTTGACATTTCGAGAGCAGATGCGGACCAGTGAGGACAAGTTGGAGGCCATCAAGCGATTGCGACATTCTAACTTGGTTGAATTTGTTGGATTCAAAATCAATCGCCCCCTTGGACACTTTGACTCTTCCGACAATGCCTGGACCGTGTTTGCGCTCTTGGAGCATGCAAACAAAGGATCTCTCTCCGAACTTCTTGATATCGTTGGGACCGTGGCTGTTGATATGCTTCGTGGTTGGATGATTCAGTTACTTGAAGCCTTGGAATTTTACCACCGCAGTGGATTTGTACATGGAAGCATTCATTGTGGCCGAGTGTTCCTATTTCGAACTCCATCTGGAGAAACTATCGTGAAGCTTCAATCTAGCGTTGAAGAAGCTTTGCCAGATTCTCCATGCGCAAAGCCCTCTTGGACTGCATCGAAATCGCCACTGTGGGTACCCCCGGAGTTGACGCAAGATAATGCATCTTCTTCCATGAAGACCGACGTCTGGGATCTTGGAATCGTTCTCCTTCAGATGGGCTTTGGGAAGGATGTACTCCTTCGGTACACATCCGCCAATCAGTTGATGGTGTCTATGGGACTCTCTCCGCCACTTCAGGATCTCCTGCGAGAATTCTTCCGTCCAGATCCCAGGAAGCGCCCAACTGCCTTCCAACTCCAACCGTCTGAGTTTTTCCGCGTTGATGCGCCGCTGAAGATGCGAGAGAGGGCGTCCGGCTCCATGTCCGTACAAAGGCGGCCACGGCTAGACTCATTTGGAGCAATGCCAGCATTCTCTCGATACCATCAAGACTTCGATGAAGCAGGCCAATTGGGCCGCGGTGGTTATGGTCAAGTAGTCAAGGCTCGGAACAAGCTCGATGGTCGACTGTATGCAGTCAAGAAGATTTCTCAAACTTCGGCTGCAGCGTTGAAAGATACGCTTTCTGAAACCATGTTGCTCTCTCGACTGAATCACCCCTACGTTGTCCGATACTATACTGCCTGGCTAGAAGAGGACTTCAACCATATCGAGGAAGAGGCCATGTCCTCGACCGAGGGTGATCCCTTCTCTAGCCAAGACAACCATAGGTTCAGCACAGGTGGTCTCGATTTTATCAGCTCCAGCGGGTATCCAAAGATAGAGTTTGCATCCGATAGCGACGACGAGAACGAAGGGACCCTGTCTGACCCTGTTCACCCACGGACACCTGAGACGAATCGCGCCAATGGCAACAACGATAGGAATGGTACCGACACTTACTCTGATAGTGCAGAAGAAGATACTGATATCAGCCGGGCGAGATCCGGCTCTTACTCCCGGCCTGTTGTTACCACACTATACATCCAAATGGAGTACTGTGAGAAACATGTAAGTATTCCAATTTTGCTCACCCGAATTTCCAGACTAACATCGGTGAAGACCTTGCGTGATTTGATAAGAAATGGGTTGTGCGATGACAATGAGAGCTCCTGGCGTCTATTCCGACAAGTGCTTGATGGCTTGAGCCACATTCATAGCCATGGCATAATCCACCGCGACTTAAAGCCCGACAACATCTTCATTGATGTTGCCAACAACCCTCGAATCGGTGACTTTGGCCTTGCTACAAGTGGCCAATTTATCACGGCAGTACGTTCATCTGCTGCGGCTGACTTCGAAGGGGACTTTACTCGCAGTCTAGGTACAACCTACTATGTAGCCCCAGAGATGAAGTCAGTCGTCTCAGGGCACTACAATGAGAAGGTCGATGTAAGTTGCCAGCATACAACCCGTTACTTTTGAAGCATACTCACCCTGTTTAGATGTTTTCGTTAGGTGTTATCTTCTTCGAGATGTGCCACCCCTTACCAACCGGCATGGAAAGAGACCAAACCCTTCGAGGGATCAGAGAAAAAAACCACACTCTTCCGCCTACTTTCCAACAATCCGACAAAGTGCTCCAAGGCCAGATCATTGAATCACTATTGAGCCACACACCGAGTGAACGCCCAACGGCCTCTGAACTTCTGTCCAGCGGCAAGATTCCCCTGCAAATCGAGGAGGAGACGTTCAGAAGGGCCATTGTGCACTTACTCTCGGATCCAAATTCTCCCGATTACAAAAACATTTTGTCGGCAATTTTCTCCCAGTCGCCCAAGAAATTCGAAGATATTGCTTGGGATATAGACTCGCATGCGGTGCCAGCCGCCAATGAGTTGCTTATTCAGGGCCTCGTCAAGAAGAAGCTGACTGCGATTTTTCGGAGACATGGTGCCGTGGAGTCTACAAGACAAATGCTTTTCCCTCGATCCCAACATTATAATGCTGGTGCAGTGCGCGTGTTGGATGCTTCAGGCAATCTTCTACAGCTACCATACGATCTCACACTTCCGAATGCGCGAGCAATCCCCAGACAGGATCGCTCACTCGAGAAAACATTTGCATTCGGCACAGTCTATAGAGAGTCTACACATGGCAGCGAACCACGGACGCACCGCGAAGTTGACTTTGATATTGTTTCTTATAATACCTTGGACCTCGCACTGAAAGAAGCAGAAGTCATCAAAGTCTTGGATGAAATTATCGAAGAATTCCCACCTTTGCGGTCCACTCCAATGTGTTTCCTTGTCAACCACTCCGATCTGCTCCAGCTTATCATGGAATTCTGTCGCATTACGCCTTCCCAGATCCCCAAGGCCAAGGAAGTTCTTAGCAAGCTGAATGTTGGAAAGTATACTATGCAAAAAATTCGAAGTGAACTTCGTGCTCCGGCAATTGGTGTTGCTTCAACCTCGTTGGATGACCTTGCTCGATTTGATTTCAGAGGTATGTTATTTACTGTAGTGGGCTAAGATCAATATGCTAACTGTCTGGGGCAGACTCCTCGAAAGACACACAACGCAGGCTGCAGAATATCATGGAAGGAACCGAATATGCCGAACGGCTTTCACCGATCTTTGCCCGTCTGAATGTGCTCATGACGTATCTACAGAGCTTTGGTGTGAAACGCAAAGTCTATGTCAACCCACTGAGTAGTGTGCATGACAAGTTTTACCGAGGTAGCATCTTGTTCCAATGCATCTTTGATAGCAAACGACGCGATGTGTTTGCTGCAGGCGGCAGATACGACCGATTGATTCAGGAGCACTCGCCTAACGTCTTGTCAAACCGCCCCCAAGCGCATGCCGTTGGATTCAACCTTGGTTCAGATCGACTTCGCTCTTCAATGATTGATTATCTCAAGGCCAAAGTTCCAGCAAAGGACTCTGAAACTGGCCCCGAGCTGTACTGGGCTGCCCGTCGCGTAAGCAGCTCCAGCTCCTCCTCCCTATCTGGATAGAATTGTTAGCTAATGTTATCACACAGTGTGATGTACTTGTCGCTAGCTTTGACGCGACTGTTCTCCGCACAACCGGAGTCAAACTCATCGAAGAGCTTTGGTCAAACAACATAAGCGCAGAGCTTGCAGTTGATGCCTCGTCCCTCGAGGAGCTCATGGCCAAATACAAAGACTCTAACCATCGATGGATCGTGATCGCCAAACCAGACAGTAAAGAGCGTGGGTTCAAAGTTCGAAACCTGATGCGCAAGGAAGAATTTGATATCCGCCCTGCCGAGCTTGTAGCGTGGCTCCGATCAGAAGTACAGGCACGCCATCATCGCGAAGGAACCACTGAACCCCGCCCGTCACGCCAACTGAGCCAACAAGATTCCTTCGCGTCTCAAGAGCGAGCCAATGATGTGCGCATTCTTGTCCCACAACACCGCAGCAAGAAGACAAACAGAAGGAACATCGTCGAGTCAGGTATGTTGAGTCATTATGCACCATTCCCAATCCAATGTACTAATATGTCGTGTCCCAGCCCTTCTCTCTTCTCGCGAAGTAGCAGAAAACGCACGCAACGGCCCAGTTGCTGCCATTGACACTCGCGACGATGTTCTCGATGCAATCCGAGACACACGGCTTTCCGACGCAGAGAGTTGGCGAAGCGTCATTCAGAATGCGCCGTTGACGGAGCGAAAGTATCTAAGTCAAGTGCACGAACTACTTACCGACTTGGCCATCGAGAACCGCGCAAACGACAGCACAGAAAGCTATACCAATGCTTTTATCTACAATTACCGAACAGGCTACTGCGTGTACTACGATTTGGGGCCGTAAAGGAATGAATTATGACTGTTTTCATGGGACAGTGTGACGAAATGGAGGAATGAAAGTGGCTGGTATATCTCTTATAGGTAAAAGCTTTTGTTTTGTTTGATACGCTCCTCTCTCAATGCCATATTTTAGCGATTGGTTGGGATGATACCCTAGTGATGAATAACGTCAAAAATTTACGCGAAGATGTGAAGTAATAAATATTTGTGTCATGTCAGAGGGTCGCTTTTAGACGAGATGGTTCGTTGCTAGTAGTGTACATGAAATATTCGCAAACATCATGGATTAGTTTGCCGCGCAAATCAGTCGCTCTCATCGTCGCTGCCGTAGGCAACGAGCGGGCCTCCAGCGGCTTTGGGAGCTGCCTGGGTCTTCACTGTTCCGTTCAGTCCCCGTAGTGCTGTAAGAGCAGAACTTGAGAAGATGGAATTGTTCTGTGGTTGTTGCTCTTGCGCCGGTGCCGCAGCAGGCTCAATCATCAACGGCTGTTCCGGTGCCTCTAATTGAGCGGCCTGGTTCATATCCTCCAATTGGCGGGTTCTGGCATGCCACACCTCATCCGGTACATCATAGCCCTGTAAGCCAAAGCTTCCCTCAATCTTCTTCCGCTTCTTAGCTTCGGGGTCCCGGCCTTCGATTTCTGCTACAAAGGCTGCAGGAAGGGCTCGACGAACGGCCTCGGCGGCTTGCTCCTCTAGTCGACGAGCCTCACGCTTCTGTGCCAATGGGTTTGGGTCCACTGTTGCCCAGCGCACGTTGATAATCTCCTGCTTGTTGTTAGCAAGCTCATGATACGGATGATGGATTGAACTTACCTCATGATCTAAGCTCTGGCGACTCATTGCCTCCATCTAAAGAACTATTAGCTCTGGTAGAACATAAGAAGTAAAGATAAAGACTTACTGCAAACTGGGCATTCGCTTCACAAGAATATGTGACGAAAGCAACTCCACGACCGGTAAGTACTCGGGTGCGGTCAATTTGTCCAAACTCTTGGAAATGCCTTGAGACAACCTCCTCGATATCATCTATAAGGACCCACGTTAGTAAGTTTATACAGGTACCTAGGTAAGGCTCCAGGTAAGACCAAGTGACGTAGGTCAAGAACTATCACGTGATACGATATAAAGCCGACTCAGTCGCTCAACGTTCACTTGATAATTCCACCACCACAGCGATCTAACCGAAGCGCTTCTGTGTATAAGCATACCTGTCACATGAATTCGCCCAACGTAGAGCGTACGATTTTGCCTCATAAATGAACCAACACCGCTCATATCTTCCTTGTAGTCGCTATGCTTGTCTCTCCCGAAGGCGTCGACATTTGGATTGAACAAATCGTGAATGGTGGCTGGTTTCGTTAGCATTATGTTAAGCGGGTACAAGGAACAGTGCAGGAGAGGGGAGAGCGCAGTGGAAGAAAGAGTGTAGCAGAAAGAAAAGGGTTTGTGGAAGGAAAGGGGCACCCACGAAGTCTATGCAGGTATTCGCACGATTGACCTTTGCAGCAAACTCCTCGAGCAAAGTGAACGCAGAAAAATGACCCAGGCACACGATCGGCCAGGGTATAACCCGAGTCGCGAGCTATATTCACTCGCGCGGGAGCCGGCTGATTCAATCCATATTTGTCGTCGTCGTTCCCTGAGGCTTTGTTGTACCAAATATTATCTGTATAGAAGGAGGGTAATTAGCAAGCGACACCTAATCAGGAATGATTGGTCTTAAGCTTACAATCTGTGCCGGGTTGAGCTTGAGGTTCAGACTTCATAGTGGCCTGGTCAACTTGAATGCGCGCTGGCCTCTTTTTGCGTCTGACAATCTTTGTTTTTCTGGTCGGCTGAACCTGCTGATCTCCTTGTGTGGTCTCTGCGACATCGGTCGTTGTCGCGATTGTCTCTTCGGTGTTGGATACGGGCACCGAAGGCTCCGCAACTGATGTGTCTGCCATGGCTATGGGTGTGAGGATTGGGATCTCGAAAGCCGGCGCCGGTTATTGCTCCGAAGTTGATGAGTCCAGTAACGTGAGTGTAGAATTGTAGTTGAGAAACCCTGGAGAGCTTCGCGCATCAAAAAACCGCAACCTTTGTATTACCTAAGCAAGTCTTGGCAGCCCGCGGGATTTTGATATCGCGGCCTCACCTGTGGGCAGTTTTGGATTTTGTTCAATTTGGTGTTGCAAGACCACTTTCCACTGATTTTTGAGGCCGACAAGCTTCATAAACCGACACCATGGTGAACATCACTGAGAAGATCAAGGAGTACGTTGCTTGATTCACCTTTGATTGCGCACATTGGTATTTCCATATGCTCATGATTTTTATTTCCACAGGATTGAGGATGAGATGCGTCGGACGCAGAGTAAGTAGATTGCTCTCAAAATTTCACATGATTCATCCCGCTAACCAATGCTCCACAGAAAACAAGGCAACAGGTATGATGAATATCAATACTTGAAAAAAAGACACGAGTTTGATCTAATATCTGAAATAGAATACCATCTGGGTCTATTGAAAGGGTATTTTCGTGCACATTGATCTGAAGTCTGAACTTAAACTGATAAATTCTACAGAAAGCTTGCCCGACTACGAGCTCAGCTCCTGGAGCCAGTTGGCGGGGCTGGCTCTGGTGGTGGCGCGGGATTTGATGTCAGCAAGAGTGGAGATGCACGAGTCGCTCTTGTCGGCTTTCCATCCGTCGGAAAATCTACTTTCTTGTCCAAGATCACTAAGACCAAGAGTGAGGCGGCTGCCTACTCTTTCACCACCCTGACAGCTATTCCCGGTGTACTGGAATACGGTGGTGCTGAGATTCAAATTCTTGATTTGCCGGGTATTATCGAAGGCGCCTCTGAGGGTAAGGGACGTGGTCGCCAAGTTATCTCAGCTGCGAAGGTAAGCTGAATCTCGCCCGCTCGGTAAACGAAAATTGGATGGACTGACAGATTTGTGACTTCAGACAAGTGACTTGATTTTGATGATTCTGGATGCCACAAAGCGTGCTGAGCAGCGAGCTCTGCTCGAGGCAGAACTTGATGCTGTGGGCATTCGTCTCAACAAGGAACCGCCGTATGTCCCTGATCAACTGAATCTTTGCATGAAACTGAAGACTAATAATGTTTCAGCAATATTTATCTCAAAATTAAGAAGGCCGGTGGCATGAAGATCTCCTTCGCAACACCTCCAAAGAGTTTGGATGAAAAGATGGTTTACAACGTGCTTCGTGATTACAAGATTCTCAACTGTGAAGTGCTGGTAAGAGATGAGAATGGTATGTGATAGTCCAATCTCAAAGGCGAGCTAGATTGCTGACTTGGTGTATAGCCACCATCGATGACTTTATCGATGTTATTATGAAGGACCACCGCAAGTATATTCGCTGGTAAGATCGACGCTAATTGCAATCACTATCCAATTCGGCCATGCTAATTGTACATTTTACCCTGCCAGCCTATACGTCTACAACAAGGTTGATAGTATCGGCCTCGAGTTCCTTGATGCCCTCGCCCGTGAACCTTACACAGCAGTCATGAGTTGTGAGCTTGACCTTGGCGTGCAAGACGTCGTTGAACGCATCTGGAAGGAATTGAGACTCATGCGAATTTACACGAAACGGTAAGAATTTACCATATTTGACTTAACCTTGCTTTCTTCTTTGACGATTCTAACGTGTGTTACATTGGCAGAAAGGGAGAAGAGCCCAAATTCGACGAGGCATTGATTGTGCGCAGGGACTCCAGCATCGAGGATGTTTGTGATCAGATTCACCGCACAATCAAGGACACCTTCAAGTATGCAATGGTGTGGGGAGCGAGCGCGAGACATATACCCCAGCGGGTGGGCCTGTCACACATGGTTGCGGACGAGGATGTGATCTCCATAGTTACTAGAGACAAGGCTTAAGTTGACAGAGCGATGATGAAAACGTTGACACGACTACAATATGCTTAGACACAAAATGCATGATGCAATATTTGAATTGAGAAACCAAAACAGAAACCTATAAACAAAAAGATACAAGTGAATTTGACCCGAAATGAACAAGTTCAACCTCCGATCCAGACTCCAGACCATTAAGAAAACTAAGCAGCACCGACGGCAGCGGCAGCGGCCAACACGTTCTGCTGGCCAATGGTGGGCTGAACGCCAACACGCTCCTTAGCGAGCAGGTCAACCAACAGGGGGCTGGGAAGGTTGTCACGCTGGGGGAAGAGGCCAACCTGGTTGTTCTTGTACTTGAGAACGCTGTCCAGGTAGATATCGAAGAGGTAGGAGGAGTCCAGGGGACCGCCCTTAGCCTCGGGGTGGAACTGGGTGCTGAAAATGGGACGGGACTTGTGGATCATGCCTTCATTGCTCTGGTCGTTCAGGTTGACAAAGTAGGGCTTCCAGTCGGAGGGCAGGGTGGAAGCATCCACAGCGTAACCGTGGTTCTGGCTGGTGATGTGGCAGCGACCAGTGCTCAGATCCAGAGCAGGGATGTTGTGAGCCCGGTTTCCGTACTTGAGCTTGATGGTGCTAGCACCAGCGGCCAGAGCCAAAAGCTGGTGACCGAGACAGATACCGAAGATGGGGACCTGAGAGGTCTCCATCAGACGCTTCAGGTGGTAGACGGTATCCTGGCAGTGAGTGGGGTCACCGGGGCCATTGGAGATGAAGACACCATCGAAGTGGTGGGCGACCTTGTGGATGGGGTAGTCAAAGGGGAACACAGTGACGCTAGAGCCACGGTTAACCAAGCTGCGGAGGATGTTCTCCTTGACACCGCAGTCGATGACAGCAACGTGAGAGTGAGGGTTACCAGCAGCGATGTGGAAAGGCTGCTTGGTGCTGACCTGACGGACCAAGTGGATTTGCTCGGGGTCAGTGAAAGCCTCATCCTCGTTGGCATCGTACTCTTCACCAACGGTGATACGAGCCAGAGAAGAACCCTGCTCACGCAGATAGGTGACAATGGCACGGGTGTCAACGCCAGAAATAGCAGGCACACCTTCGCGAGCACACCACTCGCCCAAACTCTGGACGGCGGTCCAGTGACTGTACTGCTCGGCGACATCGGCAACAACAACACCAGCGGCCTGGAGGTTGGGGGATTCAAAGTATTTCAAGAGTCCATTGGGATCCTTCTCAGCGGAAGGAACACCGTAGTTGCCGATCAGAGGCTGGGTGAAAACCAGGATCTGACCACGGTAGGAGGGATCGGTGAGGGATTCAGGGTATCCGACCAGCGAGGTAGTGAAAACAGCCTCGCCGGAGATGTTGGAGCGAGCACCAAAGGACTTTCCGGAAAACATCGGACCATCACGGATAGTGAAAGTGGCGGGTTCCATAGCCGCACGCTGGCGCACAGAGGCCATGAAGCGGACCTGAGTAGGCTGCTTCATGGAGGCAAAGGCGGAAGCCCGAGCGGGCATTGCCTTAAGGATATTGAAGAACATTGTGATAATTTTAAACTGTGAAAAAGCGGTGGGCTATTCAGTTGATGTTGGCTTTCCAGAGATGGTCCGAGATATAGTCCTGGGAGGTAAAGATTGAGGGTGCCAAACACATATGCGCGACTGAAAAAAAGTTGCAGTCAAGATATGGAAGAGGGGAAAGGGTCGCTATTTAGCGGAACATGGGGAAAGACGTATTGAAATGAGGAGAAAAAGTGGAAGGGGAGAAAAAGAAAGGGAAACATAAAGAAGAGGTTTTTCACCTGTTGAGTCAGTGGGCACGTGTTCTCACCGACTTTGCCTGGTTGAACCAATCGGAGGTCGTAAAATTCCGCTATCGGCGCCCTGAGAATGTTTTGTACAATCTTTGTATGTAAATGGTCTTTAGTTGGATCCGCAAATGATATCACTGTATTGCTTATCATTCAATTCTTGATTTCAATGGGGTCATCGTTTCTTATAAAAAATGGTACATCAAGATAGACATGAATAAACCAATATTGTACACAAGACCTTTTCACACAAACAAATGACTTGATAGCCTCGATTTTGGCCAATGTTCTAGGTTGACTACACCGCAAATATATCCACCCAATAATAAGCGCATAGCATTGCAGTACTAGTCCCTGTACCTTGAACCCGCCATTGGCCACTAGGAAGGGCTCAATTATCGGCTTTGTGCCATAGTGAGTAAATAGTCAATTTGGTCTCACTTGGACTTTTCTATTTTCTATGATCAGGAGCCTACCTCACTACGTAGTATGTTGTTTGTGTTACCAACGGGACGTTCTTGCTACTCGAAGTAACCATATAATATCCTTTGAAAGCAACGTTGAACAAAATACATATCACGGCACATTAATGTGATAGAAAAGGCACTATATAAGCACAGTGGCCATTTTCTAATTATGAAGAACAATAATAGAACGATACGCATCTGTGTTGGCAGGGAAAAATTGAACGATGATCCTAGCTCGATATGTACTTTATGCCCTCATGGCAAGCCTCTTACCCTCAGAGGCCTTTGGGCGCTCGATTTTCTCATTTTTTCGAGACAACCCCCAGACCTCATTGTTGAGGCCAGGATGTGATGATGGCACTGGCATTGTTGACCCCGATGGCAAATGTAATGGCACCGGTGTGGTGGACGACCCGATTCCCCATCACAGGGAAGGCTTCAAGTTCGAGAATCCATCCACAGACTGCAAATATGTGTCTCAGATGCATATATGGGACTCATTCAAACATTTGGAGAAAGACATGAGCAGATTGTTTTCGCTGATTCATAAGAATGTCACCTTCACCGTTGTCGGCCACCACCCGATTGCCGGACGCTATCACGACCTAATGCACTTCTATGTCAACGCCTTACGTCGAGTCAGTATGCTGTTTTTTGACCATGCAGATCTATTCGAGATCCATCCGCAGGGAATCTATGGTGGATGCAACGCTGAATGGTCGGTGGAAGAGATTCAGTTCAAAGGCGTAATGAATTCCGGTGAGCACGGATATCCTCTGAACTTCGATTTTATTGACCCACCACACAGGGGATAAATTCGACATCATCAATGTATGGTTCACTCGTTGGTATCAAGGCCAAATGGTCGAGATTCGCACTTATATCGACGCGCCAATGATCATGGATGCATTGCACAAGAATGAGATTTGGTGGAATGGCACGACTTTGAGAGACAATTTGCATTACATGCCGGGTCCCGCGGGAATGCCGGACCTGCAAGAAATCGAGAAAATGATGGGATACCCGAATGGAAGTAAATACAGAGACTAATTGACCGACCTGAGTACCTGAGAAGTATTTTAGCAGAAGAAATGAGAATGAAGGGAGATTCACGTCTAATTTGTCTTGGCACCAATTACACGTTCCCCCCACGATCTTCCCCGTATTTCCCCAAACATGTCAGAATCTACACCCCGGAAACGCTCTCGGCTGGCATGCTCATTGTGTCAATCCCGTAAGCGAAAATGTTCAGGTGGACAGCCCTGTAGTACTTGCGCCCAGACTGGTGCAGAGTGCCAATACAGTGCGCGAAAGAAACGCGCCAGATCACATAGCCAGTATCAAGCGAGTCTCTCGCTCGATGAACGACCTACAGATGGCTGGCCAAAGGCAATTTCGAATACAGACAGTGCTGGAGGCAGTGCTGCAGCTCAGGCTTCCCCTCATCAACAAGGCAAGTCGGCGGACGGGACTCATTCGTTACAGGCGAATTCGGGAGCAGCCTTCGTCCGCAAACTTGGGTTGAGAATTGACCCGGCTCAAGCGCCACGGTTGCATTTATTTGCGTGGAACGTTGGCGAAAGGCGTCTATCGCCATCGCTGCCATCGTCGCTTTCGCTCGTCACGGCCCCAACGCCGGCGACCATCACCAAGATCATATCACAAGAAGAGATGCGACGATTAGCAGCGATTTACTTCGAGAAGGTGGATCCGTGCTATGCATTTCTAGATCGTAAGACAGTTTTTCTCCAAATTGCAAACCGTTGGCAACCCTCAGAAACACCTATCGACCTCACAGAGAACCCTTACGATGCGGTTTTATGCGGCGTCGCTGCCTTTGGATATCTGTTCTCGCGACGAGAGATTGTAGCCTTGGAACTCCGTCTCATTGAAACTGCCCGGACTCTCCTAGACAGGAGCATCCTTGCCGCGGAACTACCATCGGTTGATGCAGTGACAGGCTGGGTGTTGCGCGCCGCATATCTACGCATGACGGCTTCATCACATGCGGCATGGATGGCCAGCTGTACGTTAATGCATTTGATTGAAGCGGCAGGATTACATGTTGAGGCGTCAGATCCAGAGGTAGCAGGCCTACTGCCGTTTTCACCGACCGAGCTACGGGATAGTCACGTTGGCACCGAGTTATCAAACGACAACCAGAGGACCAGCGATCCCGATACACGACGCAGGCTCTTCGGTATGGCTCGTCATCTGAACACATGGATATCCTTTGATTTGGGTCGCTCCCGAGTTGTCCTCCACGGTGCCACAGCACTCTCATCCACAACCACCTCTCGTAACGCCCCAACCTCAGCATCAACACGGGCCCCTCGTGACGACCTCTTCCGCCTCCTCCCTCTCTCCGAAAGCCTAGATCCAACGGGCCCATCACCCCAAGACCTCCCAGAACTCGAACACGCTCTCACCTCCGTCCTCGACCTCCTTTACTCCGAGCCGTCCCTAATCCTCGTTCAGTGTAATTTAATGCTCTGCATCTACCGACGGCTCCGAGCCCTAAATCCACATGGTCCTCTCTCCTCCAATCTACTCGATCGTGTGCTTGCACTCGCAGGCCGTGGCCTCCGAGCCGCACGAGGAATGGTCGCCTCCACCTGTCCTTGGCACCAGGTTGCCAACGTCCCTTTCCAAGTCGTCTGCACGCTCCTAGCCATCGACAACCGGGCAGCGCTAGCACTGCTTGCTGATGCAATGCGCACGCTGCGTGAAGTACTTGCAGCCTATGACACGCCATCCATGCGCGAGGCGTATTCTACCGCCTACTTGCTCATTGCTTTGCATCAACGGAGGAAGGAGGATGATACCCATGCTCTTGCCGAGGTGCTACGTGTCAACTCTGCTGCCGCAGGGCCTAAGCAAGAATTGAATAATATGCCTGCTGTGAATGCACAGCCTACACTGGATAATTTAAGCCAGATTCGAGACCAGAATCACAATCAGAATCAGATGCGGGATGAGCCGGTGGCGCAAGTCTCTGATGCGGAGTTTTCGTGGCTTGGAGATTTGATGATTGATATGCCCAGCCTACAGAATTTCGATTTGGACCAATTCCTCATGACGGATGTCCCTTGGCCATTACCCGAGATGGGGATTTAGGTGGCATTGTTTGAATACTTCGCTCAGCCTTGTTCAACGTTGATTGGCAGAGGACTTCAATGTATATTACTTCTTAAAGGCCTGGCGCCACTTTTGAATATCCCTTCAGGGTTATCCTCCCTTACATCTTCTGAGCGTCTCTCGGTCTTTTTGCTTGTTCTTTTTTATAATGTTCTTCCAAAGATCCTTTGAAAGTCCCTGCCAATGAAATCATCCGAAAATAAAACGTCAACTGGAACGGTCCTCTGCAAAAACATCCCCAAGTTCTTTCTTACTAAACATTCCCTTTGTTTTTGTTTCTTTTGGTTTCAATGTCCGTCTCATGTTCGAGTCCATTACATTACCAAGGGCCGAGTGACGTTATATACAATGTGTAGTCAATTAAAAGTGGGGCCGACCTTCATGATGTTCTAGTTTCAAACTGTGAAGAAACACCTGCAGGCAACTCTTTCAAAGCAGAGATTGGAAATAATTTGAATAAACATAAATGGCTACAGAATATTCTCCGATCGTTCTTTATACAGAATTGATGCTCAATGGGTTGTAGGATTGTAGAAACTTCTCGAAGCTTCGATCATCCGACGTCACACGTCACTCACTTTCTTGAGTCTCCAGTTTTCCTCTTTTTGAATGGATTTCTTGTTACAAGTCACTTACGATTTCTGTTCTTTATTCTTTGTACTTATTTCTCCTCTACCTGGCCTGGGGCCTTTAAAAATACCATCCATTTCCCTTACTTCAATTCCAAAATTGATCTTCCATACCTCCATTTTACCTCGAACTTTCTACGTCATTCGAGAAATACATCTGGGCACCGCAACCTTCCAGGCTTTCTTTAACCAAAAAAACAATACTTGATACTTAAGAGTCCAGTTAATAGTTGAAGCGACAACTTTGGACCTTTTCCTTTTCTTCCCACATATTAATCTTACCCCGCACTATGGTGGCCGAGACCAAGCTCTACGACGCCTTGGGTATCAAACCTGAGGCCACACAAGATGAGATCAAGAAGGCATATCGCAAGGCAGCGCTGAAGCACCACCCGGACAAAAATAAGGACAATCCTCAATCTGCCGAAAAGTTTAAAGGTATCTTACCCCGCACAATCCCATTTCACCTTAATCCAACTAACAACACTTTTGTAGACGTCTCACAAGCCTACGAAGTACTTTCTGACCCCGAAAAGCGCAAAGTATACGACCGATATGGACTCGAATACCTGTTGCGTGGTGGCCCTGCACCACCCCCTCCGGGCAGTGGCGGCGGCGGCGGCGGAGCTGGCTTCGATGGAGGTATGCCCGGAGGTTTCAACTTTGGCGGCATGCCTAGCGGTGGAAGCCGGGGCAGAAGCTTCCACTTTTCGACGGGCCCCAGCTCTGGTGGATTCAACTTCAGTAACGCGGAAGACATTTTCTCCCAATTCGCCAAAGGCGGCGGCGGCGCGGAAGATGACGATATATTCAACATACTTAATGGCGGTGGCGGCATGCCCAAGAACTTCTCTGGCAACCGTTTTAGCACCGGACAATCACAGCCCAAGCGCGCACCTACACCCGAACCTACCATTGTGGAGAAGGACTTGCCGTTGACTTTGGAGGAGATCTTCAATGGCACATCCAAGAAAGTCAAGACGAAGAGCAAGGCGTTTGACTCTATGGGCAAGCGCACCACAAAAGAATTGACCTTGGAAGCCAATATCAAGCCCGGCCTCCGTGCTGGATCGAAACTTAAATATCGGAATGTTGGCGACCAGGAAGAAGGCGGACGACAAGACGTGCATTTGATTGTGAAAGAGGTATGTGACTGCTTCAGCCCACCGAGGCCCACCCCATGATAATGAGTTTTGCTAACATTTTCTTGTAGCTTCCACATCCCACTCTAAAGCGATCCGGAGACAACCTTGTGACAAACGTCGAACTCAGCTTGAAGGAAGCACTGACAGGATGGGAGCGAATCGTAAAGACCATCGATGGAAAATCAGTTCGTGTCTCTAAGCCTGGCCCGACTCAGCCTGGCCATGAGGAGCACTATCCTGGCCTAGGCATGGTGCTCTCAAAGAATCCCAAAGAGCGCGGCGATCTTGTCATCCATGTCAACGTCAAGTTCCCCACCAGCCTGACTTCAACCCAAAAAGAGGTTTTGAGGGATGTCTTGCCTTGAACCTGTTTGATTTGATTGCATATACCAGGCGTTGGGGCGGAGCGTTTATCCATTGGAGTAATTAATGACAATAAAATGACATTACCGTTTTTTGCTTTTGTGAGACAATACATATACATATGTAGATATGACTAGGTTTCTTGCAAATTGTCTATAAATTGTCTGTAACTAGTAGTTCTGTGCTATACAGATTCTATACATCCTTCTCTCGAGTCATTTTGCAGCGTCTCGTGGACATAACGTAATGTGGACAGTCTAACCCAATCGAGCGAGTGCGGAGAAACCACCTGGGCAGCTTTGGAGAAATCAATGCATCATTTCTGTTGACTCATATCATCCCTCCATAATGAAACGCAGAATCACTTTTATCCAACGCGTGGACGCGGGGTTCGATCCACAGCAAGCTGTCCTTACCCCAACATCCCTCTCCGTGCGCGACCTGGACGCCGCGCGGGAGGATCGCATCACGGTGGGACTAGACCAGCTGCCAGAAGAAGTAAGAATGATGCGACTGACCCAATGACCGTAGACTAACTTGCGACCTACTTAGCTACGCGCCGTTCTAGAGAAATCGCATGAGCTCCACCTTCGATGGGCCTCCGAACGACCCTATGACGCTGTCGCGCCTTTCGCCAGCCGTGTTTCGCCCGGGTTGCATGTGCATTACACTCCATTGGAAGCAGAACGGTCTCCGTAAGCTTTTTACACTCATCGTTGTGATATAGTGAGGAAGGCTGGCTGATTTGGGCAACAGAGAAGCATTGTGCACACTGCTCCGCACGGTGGTCGGTCCAAACGAGGATAGTCAATACAAGGATTGCTTGAAGCCTGAGGTATTTTGATATTTAATTTAGTTTTTGGACGCGGCATCTGCCGACCGACAATTGCGCGTCCGATCTGATCTGACTGTGAATCTGCTATACAGGAATCGTTCATCACACCCCCGCTTCTATCGACGAGATTCGCTTCCTCGGCCTCTCTACAGTATTATACCCGCCTTTCCTCTGTGGAGAACCTTGTCAGATATATCCGGAATGCTGTCTGTGATCAGATCTCAATAAATAATGCCGAGTGTCATACCCAAGCCGATGCGCTACTCTCTGTGGACTCGCTTGACATCGATTATGACAGCATTTCACATGCTCTGACCTTGTCAGGGCATTGGGCCGGCCCACCGAAAGGCGGCTGGACAGATCAGTTCAAGAAGCCCTCTTCTTCAGCCGATCAGATAGAATTTGGTCTCCTTGGCGCCGAGCCAGGGCTCGAGCCCGAGGAGATCAAGATGGGCGGGCTTCTAGCTGTGGTCGGTCAGGACAAGAAACTAAGTATGTGTCTCCGGAGTTTACACCAGAAGCATTCAACTAATTTCTATAGCGCCGACTATGTTCTCATTCCCCTCACGCCACCATTCTCTTATCGAACCAGCCAGCTACACCGTCTCATTCGCACCCCCAACAGGTCTTCATCCAACAATGTCTATATCCATGCCTAGGTCATCACTGAAGCGACCGCGAGCCCCCAGCGACGCAACATGCGCACTACATACACATCTGACCCTCCCATCCACCATCTTCGGGGACCAGTACCAGCTCGCAACAAAAGATCCTCTCTTCCTCGAATCCCACAACCTTGTAGCCCTCCGCGCCCTATCAGGCGAAATGGACCTCGAGGCCCCAGACTGGGTCGTCAAGCAATGGGGCTCAACCTGGCTTCTAGAGCTGGCAACACCACCTGAGGCCCTGGAGAACACAGCTGACTCCTCAAACTGGACCGCTACCATCCCCCTGCATCTCCGGTACCTGCCTCCTTCGGAAACAGGCTATCGCACCGCGCATGTTCCTTGGCCCGTTGTCTTCTGGGCCTGTACCGCCGAAGATGGCACGAAGATGAGCGTTAACCCATTCGACCGCGCAAATCTCGGCTGGGACGGCTTGTTCGGTCCACGGACATTATTCTACCAACTTCAACCTGCAGGGGATCGGTTAGTTGAGGACCTCGATGTGCCAGTTCTGCGTCTCGAGGGGGGAGACGGACTGTTCCAGGGTAAGTATATTGAGTTGGGTACTTGTGCAGTCATTTCGCTTGGATTCTTGTGGGTGCTTTGGAAACTTGTGCGAGTTGCATGGGTGTCTGGGGTAGGCTCGAATGCCGAGGTCAGACGCACTCAAGCTCCCCATGATAAGAAGGAATAGATGGGCAGGATGGCACTGGGTAACACTGGGAGGTTTTTTCTAGTTTTTATTATGACATCTCTCTTTGCATTTTGGTTATTGCTATGTTCTCTTGGACTGGATTCGAGGGCTCTATCACTTAGCAGGTATGGAGCATGATGTTTTTGAGAGTATTTATTAGAGTCAACATTCATAGAATTATAGCTACATATGTATTCGTTGCATTTTATGATATTCAAATCCAAAGAACATGTACATTGTATAGCAGAATATCTCCAAAAGAGATAAAGTGTACATATGTACAATTCCAACCACGTCATTCCCTCCACGTCATACCCTGCCCAATACAGTTCAGTATAGCCCGTGTCTCAAGTGGGAATCGGGAGTGACTCACCTCGCAACATGTATCATCCAGCCCTGTGTGTTCAAGTGCGCAGTAGGAGAAGTAATGAAAAGTAATGAAAATAATTGCCCTCAGAAGTCTTCACTGGACAAAACCGGAGGGCTATCTCAAGTGGTAACAATCCAAAAATTTGTACTTGATATAGTTCCGAAGAACGCAATCAGAGGTAATATGCCTAGTGGACATATAAGTGAAGGTTGTCGCTGCAAATGTTCCAGCCGCTCGGTGGATACAGTAAGCCTCTGGTGTGGTGGCAGAAGAGAAATATAAAACAAGAACGCAGGAACACAAGGAGGAAACGCAAGAAACAAACAAACACAAAAGTGGAAAGCAAAATACAAGGTGAGAAAGCAAGAAGTGTTTCTACCGCTCGGTAGAAATAGTCTATCGTTCGGTATGCAGGCCGAAGGAGATGCACGATGCACGATGTGCTAGTACAGATGCTCCAAGCGCTTGGTGAAAACAGTAAGGCTTGGTGGGATGGGCAAAGGAAAAAGTAAACTGGGAACGCAGGAACAAAAGCAGGAAACACAAGAAGGAAACGCAAGAGTGGAAGGCAAAATACAAAATGGGCAAGCAACAAATTTCAACCGCTTGGTAGAAACAGTCAGACGTTTGGCGTCAAGGCCAAGGGGAGGCACAATGCAAGATGTGCTAGTATAGATGTTCCAACCACTCGGTGGAAACAGTAAGGCTTAGGTGTGGTGGCCGAATGGAAAGGCAAACAGAGATCGCAGGACACAAAGAGCAAACGCAAGAAGGAAACGCAAGGAAAGAAGGGGGAGATGAGGATGATGAAAAGAAGAAGAAGAGAACAAGCAGGTCATAGGTATTTTGATCTAGATCTCAAGTACTAAGGCCACTGCGGGACCCACCTATCAGACGATAAGCCAATTACACCAGCCCTCACTAGGACAGCATGGGTATCTGGCTAAGAACCGTCGTGCGCATTTCCTAGTCGCCTCTAGACTATCCCGAGACTGAATTAAACCTAGAATGATTAGACTAGGAGAGGAGTAGTACCAAGAGCCAGCTCATATGACGTTTTCCCTTCTATGTCGCCGGGGCTCTTCTATGGGACGTACTGTTATCCTTAGCCTTCTAAGTGACCCTCACTCTTGAAATGAGCTAGTTGAGATTAGTCTGTTATCAACTTCGTTTCATGATACCACTTCCAGGATACTCTACATGGCTCTATCATAGTGACAAAAGCAGTCTCTCATCCCAGTACCACTCCTATTAGATTTCTCTCGGGGTGCCATACGTCTTATCTGTAGTACGCTCTTATTTCAAGCCATATAGGTATACGCATGTCCTAAGAGGGGTATCTCATGAGCGCCTAGAACCCCTTCCACCGGAGGATCGAAGCTAAACTGCTCATATTATATAGAAACTGCTACATAGCATCAGCACTTATGACATTCTACGAGTCCGCACAGGAGAGGAAGCCAAAGGCTTTTTACGGTCACCTCGCGCGGGACGGGTATGTTACCAATACAGAGCGAAATTAGAAGCGTTGCCATGGGATTACGGAGTACGGAGTATGCGACCGTGGATGCGGAGGAGATCAACGGTTCTGTGGGCAAGTCCACTACTCTACCAAGTTGAAACGTCAGAAATCCAATCGAAGAGATGGACAAGGGCAGAAAAGAGTAAGGCGCGGAAAACACATATGACGGATTACACCCTCGCATGAGTAGAAGCTATCCAGCAGCACTCCGACGCGTTCAGCTGTCATCCCATCGCCAATATATATAGTTTAAACCTGATTTCTTAAAAACAAAAAGATTAAACATTAAAGATTTTCTAATCAAAGAATGGAGAGCTATATAGACTCTAGAATACATGACCCGATGGTTGATGATACCTATTGTTCCTTTCTATAAGAATAGCAAACACTTGCGCGACCGAAAAGCGCAATTTCAGGAAGGTGAGCTGAGCCAAACTTGCATTGATTAAAAGCAAAACCAAACAACACACAACAGTTCGGATCAGCACGTAGGCACCCACCATACTACTAACGAACTGGCGTGTGGCTTATCTGCGGCCAAAAGTCAGGTGGCTGCCGCCCGGGTGAGAATGGGTGAGTGTCGCTTTGTACTCACGCAACCGGGGGTGATAAGGGTGAGTGTGATATGTCAAAGCATGAATACGTATAATACACCGTACTTAAGCCTAGCTAAGTAGGTGTGTACCTTTTTGGCCTAGCGGTCACGAAACAGGCGTTTTTTCTATGCGACATGATATAGTATTATCTTGCGATACGCATAAGTAGATTCCCACTTCCTCGATATTTTGAGCTGAAATGTAGGTGATCAAAATTGTAACCAAACAAGACAGTTGTATATTGAAGAAAAGCGAACTAGTACTCGTATTCCACTCTACGGGGGCTGATAGCTGTCAGACCGGCATGCATAACTAAGTAACCCAACATGAAGGGGTGCAGTAGTATTAGGGAACATTTTGAATACACCTGCAAATTTAGTGGAGAAGGGCTTGTTGAGTAGCCAATCACTTACTCCTATGTTACTGGAATTTAGAGTAATCTCATTTTGACCAGGCCCTTTTAATTGTACTCTTTCCCGTTGATCATCACTTGAATCCGTTGTCTTATATCAATCTTTGTCTTAGGACAATCTCTATCTCAAGACACTCTCTACCTCAAAAAAAGAAGAATAATGCCTTCTTATTACGTGATATCATCAAGCTCACCCGGTTGTTATGCGGTTGTTATTCAGTTATTGAAGTTTAAGTGGCGATGATCGGTTCTGCCTTGCAGCTGAAGTAGGCAACGAGTTCTTGCTTCCGCTGGAGGGAGCGCATGCATAGTCATGCGCAACTAGTTAGACTGCAATAGGTTAATTGAACTTTGATTGATTGATTGATTGATTGATTGATTGATTGCAGCTGAAGTAGGCAACGAGTTCTTGCTTCCGCTGGAGGGAGCACCTGCATAGTCATACGCAACTAGTTAGACTGCAACAGGTTAATTGAACTTTGATTGATTGATTGATTGACTGATTGATTGATTGACTGATTGATTGATTGACTGATTGATTGATTGACTGATTGATTGATTGACTGATTGATTGATTGACTGATTGATTGATTGACTGATTGATTGATTGACTGATTGATTGATTGACTGATTGATTGATTGACTGATTGATTGATTGACTGATTGATTGATTGACTGATTGATTGATTGACTGATTGGTTGATTGACTGATTGATTGATTGATTGCAGCTGAATTATGACAAACTGCGCGTCGGGCCACAATGTAGGTGAGAAGAACTCGAGGACTATTCAAAATTTTTGATTTAGGATGTACTCGAATTCAGCAATGAAAATATAAATACGGCGTCGATTCCTTGCACAAATCTTCAGCAACTATAGTCATTTTGCAACAACTACTGCGATAAATAGACCGCCGAAATCACATATCGTACAACATGGGTTCGTGTGCCTCGCCCGCATGGAACAATAACCGCATCCAAAACCATGATGATAAGGTATTGCTGGCGCGCTTGGATCATTACTTCAATGCTTTTGTCAGTGCCGATGCCCAAGGGCTAGAAAGTATCATGGCTGATGATTATCACATGACCGATATCCGTAAGAGCTAATTTCCCTTCTCCCTTCTCCCTTCTTATTTCGAATTTTACCATTCTAATACTTTAATTTTATATAGCCCTTGGTGTTGTTAGGTCACCTAAGAAGGCTTGGCTCGAACAAAACAGTGGATTTAGCGATCTTCTCACGAACCTCTCAGTTGAGGCCATTTCGCTCTACGGCAGTTCCGAGCCTGGCTCGTTTTCGGTTATGGAGCACGTTGTACGGTTCACATTAAAGCTTGATCCTCCTGAAGCAGCTAAGCCCCACCTTCCTCCTGGAATCAAGAAGGGCGATTCATCGGGTATGATCAACATATCTTTGATGTGGTGGAATAGTGATGGAAAAATTACCCGCGAACTTGAGTATGGAAGGATTGTGTGGGACGGCTTTGATAGCGATGCCTTTTAACACATGGCGAGGGGAACGGGTATGCGAACTTCCTGATAGACTCTGAGAAGTCATTTGAAACCAGATAGGCCATTGGGGAAATATGGTAGCATGGGGCATTTTCCCAGTCAGTCATTACATTAGTCGCAGAGGCATCGATAATTACCATGGTTGGCCCAAGTGCGGGATCAGCTCCTTTTTCGGTTGAAGATTTCCGCACTCGTAATGGATCAAAGCTATTGTCCATCACCGTTGAATCTATAGTTGGAAATCAAGTGAGGATGTAGAAGCTAGAAATGAGTGTTGTTTTGGGCTGCGTAGAAGTAGTGATTGAAGAGGGAAGCTCTGCCATACATAATATGGCCTAAGTACGGCTAAGCGAACGGGAAGCCCTCTTCTCCACACCCTGTGGTCGTATATACTAGAGTTGAGATGGAAAGGAATTATATAGTAACCTTAGAAGCGATATGAAACAATCCTCAGACTGATTTTGTAGCTTGTGAGTTCTTTCCGTTGTCGCCGAGGTGTTTGTGGTTGTTTGAAGAGGTGAGAGTCGAGTGAGAATCACCTCTGGAAAGGCGGCCGTTTCTGGCGCCAAAAGTGGTCATTTTCGGCGTCATTTTCACAGGTCCTCATATTCTATGTGTAAATAAACGTGTGCATGTAGTAGTACACATCCACGTCCACGTCCAGGTGCTAAAAGCCACCCGGTAAATCGAGCGCCACAACGGCTCGGGCCGTCCCTATTGTAAATCGCACTCTGAGAGATTCAAAAATATATTTGCATTTTTCTAGTGAGGAATTGAACAAAATAAAAACACTGAAAGTCTTGCATGCAGTCTATTTCGATTTCTCATCCAAAACGATGTAATCCTGAATGATAGCAGTGCCATTCAACACACTTGCAATCTGATCATCGGTGCAGGTTGATCCGAGAGCAAGAATATAGCAGACGGGCTCGGGGCTCTTTGGTACCTTATTCTTTATGTTCCAGGTAGATGCAGGCCCATGCGTACCATAGGACGCATTGCGCGCTGTGTTAATCTTGCCTGTCGCCAAATCACGGTTGAAGAGCGATCGGTAGAAGATCTCGTATGCGGTCTCAGGCTGATACGCCGGAACCTCATGGCCTGCATCATAAACACGAGTGAACGAGAAGTTGCCATGTTGACGAACCTGGCCGCCAATATACGAGGAGTTCGTGTGAAGCGGCGTATATCCAGCAGACCGGAAGGCATCCGCATGAGCATGGTTCACTAGCAAGCTGGCATCCTCGCCACCAATCCAATTACAGGCATAGTCGCGGTCTCCGTAGACGAGCGCAACCTTGATACCAGCATCGAGCACGTATGCGAGGTCATCGAGGTAGCCGTGCACATCGGAGCGTGGATAGTCACCGGTAGATGAAAAGGCATTGTATACGCCGTCGCTTGACTCGGTAAAGTTGATGGGAACGCCGAGGGCGCCTTGCACCCAGTGTTGGTTCAACCAGCCTAGGAAGTACGATGGTGGGAATGGATCTGGGTTCTTGTGTGTAATATCGTAGTAGCCGCGGTCTGAGAATTCCACATATGCGCCCTCAACGTTGTTGGAGCAAAATTGATCGGCCTTGTGGCATGCTTTATTGACGGTTGAGTTGTGGCCATACATCTGAGGGTCACCTTCTGCGGCCAGTGCGCGGCAGTTTGTGATGAGATCTTTGCATCCACCGGGCCGGCTCCATGCGTCCATGGCATTTTTGTAGACGGTTTCATTAATGGTCTTAATACCATATGTATTATTGTATGCCATCACAGGGTACGTCGGCTCCTGAGCCAGGAGGTCAATACAGCCGTTGATGATGCCCAATGTATCAAGATGAATGTAATGCGACTCTCCTGGGGTATTGATGGTGCCATTCTGAATTTTCTCATTCTGTTCTTGGAAAAATGCAGTAAAAGACGGACCATAGCGACCGCCGTAGGATTCAGTCCAGATGCTGACCCGGTCATCATGCGGCTTGTAATGTGGAAACTCGGTAAACCAGGTCTGTGCAAAGTGCCAGAGAGATCGTGCAGAATTTTCAGTACTGTTGGCGGAAGCCGACTTCTTTTGACTGGCCGTCGTGCCGACGTAAAAAGTGTTGTTCTGGGTCGGCACTCCATGAGTCCACTGCGACAGGTTCCAGGCACCGGAAACCTGGTCGAAGGTACCATTTGTGGGGACATCATAGCTGAAACCAACTTGATTAGGTTGGTCAATGTACAGCATGTTGACATAGTTGTTCCAGGACCAGGGGTTCAGTTCAGTAGAATTCGAATCTTCATTCACTATGCAGGGACCGTTCTCCTGCATAAGGCCGATCATAGAGGAACTGCCAGGGCCTCCATTCATCCAGATGGATAGGGGAGCATTCTTTGGGTTATGGCGAGCCTCAAAGAACCAGAAGAACGTATTAATCGGGTAGTCTTGATTGACATGTACATCGTCCAGAGAGCCTGGAGGTAGATGAACGTATCCTGAATAAGACTTCACCCCGGGCGTTGTTTCACAAATCCCAGGCTGCAAAATGTGATCAGTATGAGCCTGTGAAATAAAAAAAGTTTTCAATCGTACCTCTTTATATGAAATTTTCACTCCCTTATGCTTAGATTCAACCACCTTTAGTCCCTCGGGTATGGGCGGGAAGTACTGTGCCGCAGCTGTTCCTGCCAGTAAGGCAACAACTCCTCTAGAAACGATCGTCATATTCAAGGAGCTTTGAAGTGAGAGAGCGTATGGAGAGGAGACTTGTATCAAAAATTAAAGAGGTTGCAGAAGATGTGAGGGGGGAGTTGCCAAGACATATTCGCCTCTCACCTGCACGGAAGTCCGACGGTCTTCAAAGTCAAGGATCATCATGGGCTTCAGAAGATCAATGCAGAGTGATTCTATTACACCAGTCATTTTTGCTAGCTCTGAGTTTAAAAATATAGAGAAATTAGAATATAAATAACAACAAGTATCAGGTAATTGTTTTGGATGGTGATGAGCTGCGGTGGCCATTTTTACAGATACAGCCTGCAAAGGTGTATAGCGGTCAGGGATCAAATGCATTGCATCAATCAACGAAAACTTTTACTTATGACTATATAGCTAGTGATACACTTGTAGATATATATATATCCATGGATTGACAATGGTCTATAATAAGGCCATAATAAGGTGTTTGGCCCTGCCCCGGTGTGACCCTGCGGGGTGTAGAATAGGGGGGCATCTTCTATGTGTGATTGAGATTCCCTTTAATTCGAAAGCTAGTACTTTGATAATTCATGACAATCTGGGTTTAAGAAACCACGAACCTCAAAATAAACTGCATTCAAACCCTGATATCACTTCAACTTGATGTGGAACAAATATTTTTGAATGACCTGAGCTGGATTAAGAGCGACGTACTCGCTGTGACGAAGAGCCCCTCCGAGGTATCTATTCGTAATTGCAGTTCCGGCGTGTACATCCGGCACCATAACTCCCTTCAATTCCGAGTGGATGTATCCAGCATCCCGCCATTCGTTGTGCGTAGTGTTACCAATATGTTTGAACCCTATGTTCGGGTTGCCATTGCCCAGCTCGACCTCACACAACAACATCAGAACTTCTGGCTTAGGAAGGGCGCGGCAGTATTTAGCTGATTTGGTGGAAATATCGGCAATGTAGACCCCAGGACAGAAACTGCCTCCATTGGGATTGACTCCGTCGCCACGAAGGCCTTGACTCAGGATACCTGCAAAATTGCCCCGCGACGAGCCGTGCCAGAGTAGCCGCCGATCTCCAATGTTGGCTTGATTTGCCTTTTTCCACCCGGCAAACCGCTCTGCTTCTCCTGTACGCTGGAGACGGAACACACCAATGACCATCTAAGATAATGGAGGGTTAGATCGCTTTGTTAGTAAATAGATTCGAATGCAGCTTGCCTCGAATTGACTCTGGTGGTACGCCGCATTTGTATTGGATGACTTGAAAAGATATTCGCAAAGCTCTTTGAATTCAGTCGAAGTTTTGTTTACTATCTTCATGGTCAGCGTCTTTAAGTTCCTTCACATATGTTAAAATTACATGCAAGTTTAGAAATTCTTACCCGGCTCCATTTTTGCCAGACAAAGCACCTGCGATATTTGACTGAGGGCCATTGAAGAAGAATGAGAGCTCTTCAAGATCTCGCTAGCATCTTGCAGTTTGAGTAGAAGCTCGAGCGATTCCAGCTCTTTCCTGACCTCACCAACAAGGAGTATCGGATTAACCTTTGGCTTGAACATCAATTTTTGATAGATTTTTTCTGAGTGCCTTGGTTTCATTTTGACCATCATGTGTTTGAAGCTGTATCCGCTTCAAAACTGCGATTCCGATCTGGCATTTCCTTTTCTTCCTTTTATCTTCAAAAGAGACATTGCGGCCGCGGCCTTTGAGTGCAGCAGCATATTTAGCCAACGAACTCGACTCAAAGATGATCCTCAGAACATCTTCAACCTGCTTGGGTAAACTGACAACTTCACTCGTCATGATGGGGAGCTCCTTGTGACTTATCTCAAGGTAGATCCAATTGCCTTGGATAGGTTCGGAATGTCGGTCATCCCAGCTTACTCCGGTGAAAGTTTTGAAGTTTGACACAAAACCTTGCTTGGCCGAGATGAAGTCCCCCGCCAAACTTACATATGGCCTATCGCTGCTGGAGGGATCGTATTCAGATGTGATGTACCAAACGAGAAATTTCTTCGACGCGCTATCGAATAGAAGCTGCATGCGCAGAACTCGAAGTCGAGACGACTTCGAGTTAAGAAATTTGACCATCGTGGAATCCCAAATCAATCCTCAATCGTCCAGCCAGACAGAAAGCTGAACATCTGAGATTGAAATATTAACAAAAATACTCTCCCGAGGTCTAGTAGAAATCAAACAACTGACTTGGTTTAGGGTAGGCCTCATCCACCAGTGCAATCAGCCTTTTCAGGTGTATCCTTCTTTCATCCTTCGCTTTCTTTGAAACGGCACTGTGTTCGTCGTCAAGCCCGTCTTCTCGATCACGTTTTCTTCCTGGGAGATAGACTGCAGCCTTTCTATTTGTATCCTTGAGCAAGTATTTCTGGATGTTCTGTGGAGTCTGCTTCTCCAGACTCTTGAGTAGCCATTGTATGTCAACAATATTACAGTCTTTCTTGCTCGCCAGGTCGACTAGAAAGAAATCAATAAGTTAACCACTGTTGATATCGAAACGAAAGCATACAAAATAATAGGGAAGTACTTTTCTTCTACCCCTTTTTCACGCTACTCTCCGTTGTCACCAGATGAGTGCATTTGCTGACATTCATTTTTTCAAATGTCGCACCACGCTCTTCAACCATCCGTTGTATGTCCTCTAACAGGCCAAGTATCATTCATTAGCGGCTGAAATTAAATCAATCTAAGAAGAATTACCATGCAATAGCCCAGGAATGTTACCACTAACACCAATGACCAACCCTTTCAGGTTGTCCGCCAGCTTGTCAACTAGCTTATTGGAGGCCATCTTTGCCTGTAGAAAGATGACAGAAGAATTTACTGTCAATGTATGAAGACAGTCAAATTAATGAAATCAAGCTAGATGATTAGAAGATTCTAATACAGAGAGGATTGTGGGTAAGCTATTTGGCTTTTAAAATTACTTAGGATAGACGGTGCTGATGCAACCATGGCATTTTCTAGCAAACATCCAACAAAGAAGCATAGCTTGGTGCCTGTATTTCAGAACTTCTCAGAAATGTATCAGCTTCAGGATGTTCGACCTCCATGGGGGAACCTCTTTCTTTCCACGAGCTTTTCAAACAATGAATATTATACTTCCGTTTCCCCAATCGATATAAGATCAACCGGGTCGATACAGACGCGCATATTCCCAAAGTACCATTCATGGTTCGGATCAGGCATTTGATCCGTTCCATTATGACCACCATTACCCTTCAAGCTGTTGATTCCCTGAATATATTTCACATCACTCGTTGTGACGGTCTCATTACTCGGTAAATCGATCCAGTATTCAGGCGAAGGCTGGCTGTAGCCAGTATCCGACGGTTGTTTCGGTACAATATCCGTATAATGGGTAGCACGGTACACGCTGACGGGGGAACGTTGGTTGGTGATGAATTCAGCCAACTTGTAATTGCCTACTTTGGGAGATCCAAATGTCCACTGCGAAAGGTCAGCTATATTGCCACCACTGTGCATCAACATTCTTACAATATCCAAGATAAATCCTTTTTGACGGAGATCGATGCCCGCAAGAGTCGCGAGAGCACCGCCCAGACTGTGTCCGACTACCGCCAAGCTGTAGTCTGGGTGGGATTCTATGGCAGTTTGAAGCTGGGAGATGACATGGTCTTTGGCACTCGTCCAATAATACCAGAACCCCGAATGCACCCAGCACCCAGGACAGAGATCTTCGATTTTCATGGGCTCCTTATTGGAGTCCACGTCGCTATCTTGCTGGGATACACTTGTACGGAAAGCAAGCACTATCAGCTTTTTTGTGTGGTCCAAGGCAATGTAGCCTTTGGGACCGGTTGGATTTTGGAATATATCGATGATTTTGGTCTTGTCGGCGTCCACCAGCCCGCATAGTGGATGGTCGCAAGTTAGCCTTTTTCCAGTGGCGTTGATGTTCTGATCACAAGCCGCTAAAGCAGCAAACTGGGCAAAGCGAGTGAATTCTTGTAGTAGGTCGGCCGAGATTTCTGGAACTATTAGCTTCCTACATATATGATGTCTCATATTTGGGGTATGATCCCACGACGATATAGCTGCACTGGAGACGCAAGGACGGTCATGCACAGTGGCAATAAAGAGGCCACAAGCCCTAAAGATGATAATAACATGTTTGTTGCGAACTATTCTCTCTGTAAACTGAGAGAGTTTCTCCGGATTTTGAGAAAGAAGCAACCGTTTTAGTACCGATGTCTCTCCTCTTTCCCATCACGTGTGCCCTTGAGATCATCGGCCCCATATCACTAGGATCTGCATTTACATCACATTCAAAGTCCTTGTTTCGCGCCTGCGTGCATATAAGTGGGGTTACCCCTCGGATGCTCGGACCAAATAGTAGGGATACTCTCGTCTGGGAAAATTCTCGGAGCGCACATCAAAAGAAGAAATATAGATAACCATTTTCTTTCGCATAAAAAGTTCAACTCCTAGATCTGGAAGACATTGGGACCTTGGCTGAATGGAAGCTTCGGAGCGACTGATATAGAGCTATCCTACTTGGCACATCGTCTTTGACAACTAATGTTAAAGAAATTGCTCCAGGGACATCCCTTTTGGATAATGCGACACCCCCTGCCCCCACTTCATCGGAAACATTGAGATAGTTTCACCTCAATTTACATATACTGACCCCCTAGCGAGTAGGTTGTTTAGCTGAGGAGAACCTAACTAGGATCCAGCCCGAGAATATCCCCCGCACTAAAGCATAGGCCCGTTAGACTAGGTCCTACTTCGTAGTCTATGAAACCGAAGTTATGTATCTTTTAATTGATTGATTGATACCTTGAGAGTTCTTCTTCGCCCTGTAAATATGTTGAGAATAAACACGGTTGGAAAGATCGATAGGCACCTAGATATTAGGCTCTTTGTCTATTTCCAAGGTTGGGAAATTCTCCAAGTACGAAAGAGACTCGATAATAGGGAGATCGATGATGATTTTCATCTTTAGACGTGCTTTTAGTCAACATGTGATTTCGTATATACACAACCCTAATCATTTCTTCCTTCCGGGACTTCTATGTGCTCCCTTGTTACGCCAAGAGAATTCTATGATATCCATGCATGTTGAAACCGAAATCAATTCCCAGCTCGCGGCACATTATTCCAATCGGCGCAAATGACTCTTGTGTGGATGTTGGAACTCTAAACTCACCATAGGTCTCCACAATCTTCACCATAAAATCAGGCTTAACTTCGAGCTTTTTGAGGTTCGGAAACTGTTCTCGTTGCGCTAGCAAGCCCCGAATATTCTTGATGACGATGTCGAAGTCCCCGTCACCACAATAGGAGAGATTGAGATATTCCAGGCTGGGCGGGAGAACCTCCACGAGAGAGGCCTTTGGCTGATTGGTTGTACCAAAATGTACAAGCGTGAAGAATGGAATCTGAAGTTCACGCAGCCGATGAAATTCAGCGAGAGATCCAAATCCATCCCAACGTCCGTCGTACTCATCATCAAAGCCCGCGGGCATATTTTCTCCACGGTTGTTCAGCCGAAGCTCTCGAAGTGTGTGCTTTTGTGAACATAGCGCATTGTAGAACAGAAGAGGGCGAAAGTCGGAATAGCTTTCGCCCCAAATGGCTTTGTTGTCGTGTTGATACTCAAAGATCTCCAGATTGGCACATGAGCGGATGAAATCAGCCATGCCCTTACTACCATTATTCGTCCGGTGTCCACCAAGATTGATTTTCGTGATCCCAGAAGTCCCAGGCCCACGCACTGCGACAGCAGGTTCTTTAGAATTGTCCTCTTCGTACTCGCAGATTCCCCCTCCATTGAACTCCCGCATCGCGGGAAGAGAAAAGAATGGAAGAAGCTCATTCGCCAGGTAATGAGTTTTCATATCATCTGTCCAGACCCTGGCAATTTCCAAATGTTGCAAGGCCGGCTTTGAGCCGAATGGATTCTCCTTGGTAATTTGCGCCAGCATACGGAAGAAATGAGGCGAATAACAATAAACGTTCAAATCCAGCGTCTTGACAAATTCCGCCGACAGCACGAGTACTACAAGCCAGGCATCGGGACATCCTTTACGCAAATCTTCTTTCCACTCGTCGAGGTTTTTGTCAGACTCGCTTGGTTTCAGAGTCTTCGTGAGGTCGTCTACCTCGTAGTTTGCGAATTCATCCTCGCTACCGCTACTCCATTCGACCCGTAAATGGCGAATGGCGGGTCCAATTTGGGGGTTCTTCTGAATGGAGCGAACGAGGGGATATATTTGTTCGCTTTCAACGCAGATTTTGCGGTAGGCTATTGGGAGAAGTAACGAGTACCAATTACGGCATACGAGTAGGAGCCGGGTTTTGTCTTTTTGGTCGTTGATGTGTTCACTGATGAGAAGCAGGATGTCGTTATTTGGGAAGGACATCTTGGGCAATGGGCTTTGAGGGAAAACATTCAGCGATGAGTCCAGGCGATGCGATATTTATGATTATTTTGGCCCCGATCAGGCTGCCGTCGCTAGCGTTAAAAGTGGATATAGGCTACCTAGAGCTAAGGGCAAATTTGGTCTACATTTTGAAGTCTGTCAGTATTATAATGTTATCAAGCCCAACAAAGGAATTATTTGAAGTATCGGAGTTTGCACGGATATTTTTTCATTGACCTAAAAAAACCTTTGATTCGCTACAACAGAGTCTAAAACGGACCGCCGATACGCCGGAATCCTGCGGTCCCCTTGAACCTTTCCTGCGTAGAATCCCGCTCAAGGACTCACTACAGTCGGCACAAGGACTGCGCGGGGAATATTTGGTGATACTTGAAGAGTGCACTAAATATTCGACTGGTGGAAAATTCAGCACGCGCGATCGGTTGACAGTGAGCCTTGGCGAATCGAAAATAAAAAGATACAACAAGTAGTTGGGTAGAATATCAACAAACCATGAATGCGGTAGTGGACTCGATAACTCTGTATGCTCTATTCAAAAACCCTTATCAGACTCCACTGAACGAGGGAAATGACACATAGCCAGAGATACATAAAAAAATGTTGAGCAGCTCAGAGATCGTTTCGTGACCCAGGAGCAGGCTCTGGTGGATCTTTACGAGCAATTACGAAGCGCAGAGACATCATTACAAGCATCTATAAAAGCCATAACACCGGATGGGCCTGAGACAGAGGCAGTAAGAGCGTCTGAGGATGTTCAGGACACCCAGCGGACTAGCCAGCTCCGGGAGCTGTGCGAAGAGACTCTCGCCACGACTCAATGAAAGCCGAGCGGGGCAAAATTTCGACCAGCCGTTGACAGAAGATGGTTCTGTTGCATTCCAAGGTATATCAGGAACGGCTCAGGCTGGAGTAGAGCAGTCATTTGGCAAATTGATCACCAAGAAGAACAGCAGGGCAGCTCAAGGTCAAATTAGCAGCGATGACTTCACCAAATTGTTCGGCAAATAGCCATGCTTTACATGGTATTCGCTTCTAAGTAGCTCTCCATGTCAAGTTTTGACTTTCGGTTTTAACACTTCCAAACCTATATTCGTGATTTCATTTACTATGCTGCACTCAACGCCCACCTTAAGCTAAGCGTCCTTCAATTTTCCCCCTCTTGTGATATATTTTACTCTGAGCTGTGATGTACGATGCATAAATATGATCTCCCAAGATTTGGATAGGATTCTACCACAAGGTGCCAAGCAAAAGAGAAATAGTATCACAAACGATTATGAGGCTCAATTCACATGAAAGGAATGTGTTGTGTAACCCGCTCGGGGAGCTATGGGGGCTGAAATAATTGCATGGTAAGGCAGATTTGTCCGACCAAAGGAAATACAAACAAAGCGTGGCTGAGTGGGATCTGCGCGCGGGAGGGGGGCAGTCTAGGGCCGGGGTGGATCTCAATTAATTAGCTGCAGTGACAGGGGTGAGTTGCGATGATTCAAAAGCATAGTTTAGGCTTTTGATAGAGAATTTTCAAGTTGAGTTAGAAAAGGAGTAAGCCTCGATTTTTGGCCTAGAAGGATACAGCGGATTGCATTTCTGCTGAGAAGAGAGGACGGCATTTATCATAGCGATTCTGATCCCGCCTGGATTTCACGCCAGCATAGCCCCCACATAGCCCTAGCCTCATTGAGACTGGATGCCAAGATCAAATGGGTTGTGTTGCACCGGCTCGATACGAAGTCGCTCAGCGGCGGTTGTGCCTTACCTATTTAACCTTTGCCAGCCAAGTCCGTCTATAGCGGCACAAGTCTTAAAAAATGGAGCCAAACGCGAGAGAATCAGAGACACCAGAGTCGCCTGTAACTCGTGTGAATGATTCAACCGAAATCACCACCCAACATGCAAACCAACAGGAAGACACCCCGCAGTCCCAAATCCCTCCCGCTGAGCCTCATCCCGAAGTAAATGAACCTCTCGTATCCGATCCGGTCAAAGACAAATCCAACAAAACAAAGCCGTCTATATGGAAGCTAATATCAAAGTTCTTTATCTGGGAGGTTTTAGCCATGCTTTTGTCCTCAGGGCTTTTGGTCGCCATCGTGGTAGTCTTGGCACGCTATAATAACCGTCCTCAGCCTACCTGGCGGCTTGTGTCATTGAACTCGGTGATATCTTGGTTAAGCACTATCTCGAAGGGTTGTGTGTTATTCTCTGTCAGCGAGGGAATCGGTCAACTCAAATGGGTGTGGTTCGCGCGAAAGAGCCGACCTTTGATGGATTTGGGTACCTTTGATGGAGCTAGTCGGGGAATATACGGCTGCGCAGGCTTGGTGTGGAGGCTGAAAGCAAAGTATGTGCCTTGAGAATCGTGTTTCGACTAGCAGTTGACCAGAAAGGCATTTCGCTGCCTTGGGCAGTGTGGCGGTTATCCTTGCAATTGCCTTTGACCCTTTTGTTCAAAACTTGATACATTATTACCCTTCACTTATTGCCGACCCCTTGGGAACTGCAATAGTGTCGAGTAACTCGTTGTTGGACGCTTTGGGCCCCCCATTGGATAGAGGTGAGGTTAGGTTGACTCGGCTCGACCGTTTGTCGCTCACCACATCGTATAGGAACATACTATCTTGACCCGGCGATCAAAGCCAACATCTACAATTCACTATTCGACAGTGAGTCATCGACATGGTCCACTCCCAGGTACACATGTAGCTCGGGCAATTGTACCTGGGATCCAATCGCGACTATAGAAATGAGAGCGAGTTGCACAAACCTAACCAATCAACTGCAAACCAAGACCTCCAAGAACTACAATACATCCATCACAACCACCGCTGTCTATCTTAAAGGACCCACCGGTAATGTTTCCGCAAATTATCAGGTCGACACAAAAGACACAGCCCATTCAATGTGGGGCAATCCAGTCATCATAGCGTCGAATAAGCCCGCTTTTGTCTACAAGGACAGCATGATAGACCCCATCCAAATTATCGCCCCAGACAGGCTACCGGCAGCAGAAACATGGGGTGACGAAACTTTACCGCAGCCTAAATGGCAAGCCTTCGAATGCAACATCGCGCCCGTTGTGCGCAGTTTTCGCGCAGGAGTTACCCGGGGCGAGTATCACGAAGAGACACTAGCCATCTGGACCAACGGATCTTACGAAAGCTTCGTTGGTGGTAGCAATTACAACTTCAAGCCGCCCTGGGGACTAGATCTGGGCGTTGAGCCGAACAAACAATTCACATTAACCAAGCGGTCGATCATGTCGATACGATCCTTCTTCACTGGGTTCTTTCCAGGCGGAGCAGAGCTCACTCCGTTCGGGTTCAAATTCATCGAGACAGGCATTTCTTTATACGCAAGTCACGACTTGATGCAGCTTATTGCACTTTCGAACATCACCAACTGCACGACTCGGACGACCGAGAAGCTGCATTGCGCTATGGATAATGTTGCTTTGGCGATGACGAAGGCTATTCGAGATTCGAACTCTTCATCATCTCCTAATTTTACCACCACCACCGGCCAGGCAATGATAGCCACGACCCATGTCACCATTCATTGGCAGTGGATTACACTTCCAGTACTGGTTTGGTTATTGGGGCTTATCACCTTATTAGGTACAATGTGGAAGACTCGCAGAGCTGGGATTCCTACATGGAAGAACGAGACAATGCCAATACTGTCTGTGTATAGAGATGGTTCGAATGAGAAGCCGCAGGGTGATCAAGTGCTGGAAACTGACCGAGTGAGGTTTTACGAAAGCGAGGGTAAAATGGTGCTGTCGGGATAATTTTATAGGATCATGGATCATGGATGGATATAATAGTTCGGAATTATCATTCCGGAGACTTTAAATATGAGACAATTGAAATGTGAAATGCAGATGGAGTGATCTACACCGAATATGAGATACATAGCGTCTATAAAGTCTGGAGGCAGCTGCTATCAAACGGTGTCCACTGCAACCATTTTAATGGAGAGCTAGCCGGTAGGCCTCAAACAATGCAAACAACCCAAAAAGGACCGGAGAAAAGAGATATAGCAAGTGAACCATACGCTGAAAGTCTACGCAAGCTGGCATACTGATCTGCAAGAAAGTGTTCATGAGAAATTTCATTAATATGCCATATCAAAGCAACGCAGCACCCATTGGCTGCCAACAAATCAAAAATATTAGGCCATCCCGACGAGAGAGACGAAAGCAAGAGACGTCATGTTGTCTTTGAAACTCGAGAACCGGCAGGCCACAAAAGCCTTGCGAGAAAAACCAGTCGTTTAGTTGGAGACAAAGTAGTTGAAGGCAACAAGGGGACCAAGCTTGATCTCCTTCGCCCAGGCATCAAGATCATAACGCATACGACTCATGTTTGCGAGCTTCTGACCATCGGCAGGGGCATGATCCTTGAGGTTAAAGTCTTCAGGCTGCTCGTACAGGAAGAAGATATACCGATGAGGCGAGCTGCCTGGAGGGGGAGCCGGGCCGATGTAGTTGGCGACGAAGGGTGCATCAAATTCAAGCGAAGAAGTGCCAGTGACCTTCACGTCGGACTGGATCCAGTGAAGAATGGGACCCAGAATGCCGAAAGAGGGGAACGGGGCATCGATGTCCAGGCTCACGATCACATATTTGTTGTTTGGGGTTGCGCCGGAGAAGGAGAGCTTTGGGACCTCCTGGGCGTCTATACCTTGTGTCAGTTAATGCAGGGTAAGCATTCGGATCGGTAAGTACCTTGGCGAGGAATGTATGTTCCTGGCTGCACGTTCTCGTGCTTTCCAACAGTCAGGCCCAAGACCTTGGACTCATCCTTCTCGATGAGAGAGAAGGCCGATTTGATGTGATTATCAGAAGGCATTTTCAAGGAAAATTCGATAGAGGATTGAAAAAGCTGAGAGATGATGGGTTCACTTTGGTGAGGTCACGAGAAGGAAAGAACTGAATTGCAACATCCCAATGATCGGACTTAACGGACTTAACGTCAACGTCTATCAACAGCTTAGTTACCCCGATATAGTCAAGAGAATAAATAGCTACTATATCTTCACCTACGTGTGAATTAAGGGAGATTAACAAGACTATTCAAACAATATTCCGAACTTCAGGAAAGCAAAACTAGACTGGTAGAAAATAGTATAGAAGGCGTATGGGGAGATGACAGACATTATAAAGACACTTAGAATGCCACTAGACTTCCTAAACATGATTCATATAGAGAACGTAGAGTATCATTTACTCTTGCATCAACTTTGTGACCATGGCCCGCACACGAGTGTTACCCTCATCTGGATATGGCGTTCCAAAGTCACGCGCAAAAGCGATGTCCTTCTCTGTTGTTTCGAAGAGCTCCATATCATAGCGCCGAACAAATGCCGCCAATACAAGAAATAGCTCCGCATAGGCCAAACTGCAAATAGATTAGTGACTGATCAGGACGGATTTTCGATTATCATACTTCATGCCAACACATATCCGAGTGCCTTTCGAAAAGTTGACCATATATTTGTCTAAACGCTCTCCCTTTGCTGCAGCACGCAGCCATCGGTCTGGATCGAATGTATGCGGGTCGGGGAAGATATCAGGATCCGTGAGAACGAAGTAGTTAGTCTCGCTGACTGGGGTCTGAGATCAAACAGGTTAGCAAATTCGACACATGATGAAATATTGGACTACCTACACCGGGAGGAATGGTGTATTCTTTGTAGACTAGCGCCTCAGAGGGCGCAACGCGAGACGATCGACTTGCGATTCCAGTGGATACACGCAATGTTTCCCAGACGATTGCAGACTATAAAAGTAAAGTTGGTCAACTCTGAACCTAATATGATCCAAGGAAAGAAATGGGAGAATACCATGTAGGGTAATTGTTCAAGTTGACTCCATGTTGGACGAGACTCAGGTGTAGGCATAACCATCTGCAATTCCTCTCGCAATTTTGTTTTAATGAGATCGTTTGTCAGGAGGTGGAAAGCAGCAATGGCCAAAGACCGCGCGGTTGTCTCAGTGCCACCAATGATCATGGCAAATCCCTCATTGTTCAGGCGAACGGCACCACGCATGTCCTCAGGCATACTGGGGCCAGTGAGAACCTCCATGATGGGACGAGTCTTCATCTTTGGAGATTCGCCCTGCAAAAACTTTTCTGTTCGGCGAAGAAGATCTGCCTTTTGGCTTGCCAGTGCATAGGCGAATGGATCAACTTTTTCCAGTACCCACAAGGGAAGTGCTTTCATTATAGTTTGAAGAATTGGAAAGAAGAATATGAGATGAGCGAACTTGAATAGTCCATTCAGGCCATCTCGAACCCTTTCATTGAAGTCTTCATGATCAAGGTTTCCACTGTTGAAGCCGTAGGCGTATTTGTGAATGACATCGGAAGTCAGCCCAGCAAAACCGGCATCGAGACTGATGACTTTGTGGGATTCAAAGGCACGCTTGAAGTGTTGGTCAAGCTTCTCGATGTTTTCATAGATTAAATACTCTATGTTGGTAATCGATTGTTTCGAAAAGTGCTTTTCTATGTATGAACGACGCTTTCGGTGGTCCTCTGGTGACACACTAGAGAAACCCGAATCTTCAAGGTCAAATTGGGCGACTCTTTCCGCATCCTTCTCGCGTCTTCGCTTGCTAGAGGCGTAGATCTCATCGTAGTAACTTGAATCCTTGATGTGAACTTCATTAGGAGTAACGCGTATAATAGGTCCTGATAAAGAATTGAGCAAATGTCACTATATCTTTCTCGGAAAACCGACCGTATATTTCATGTAGACGTTCCATTTCCCAAATAAAGGTTCCTCGCTTTATGACATTAAAATAAAACTCATAATATCCTGTGATCGCCGCAAGTTTAGGCCCAGGAATTTTGCTGAGAGGATGGAAATATAACCGATAGATGATTTTGGTGGCAATGTACATCGACAAACCACATAGTCCTAGTAACAATAGGCCAGCCATTTTGCTTAGTGATTCTTGAAATGGTTCAACAAGAGAGATTCGAAAGCCACCTCTTATTTATAAATTGGAGGCCGGCGGGACGCGAAATAACGACTATTTCTGCAGGTTTGAGCACTAACCATAACGGTATGATCGCTTATGCAGTATATATGAAACAAGTACAAAGGGATTGGCTGGATTGATTGCGCTATGAAAGACCCATTTTGTTTATTGGTGGATAAGGGTTTTAGCGCAGTGAGAAACTGTTAGCGGCATTATAGTCAAAGAATGACCTCGGTTATTTGATAACCTCAATGAAAAGTCACTAACTGCCCAATCAAGGCCCTGACCTGCATTAAATATTTACTTATGATGCAATGCTGCAGCAGCGGCCCAAGACCGCTGCAATGCATGGTCGATATGAGGTCGCCCTAGTCCAACAATATCGCAAGTCTAGCAGTACTGCCTACAGCTGCATCGGTAATATCGTCATTGAGGGCTCTGTTATACCGTCCATACATAAAGTGTGTGTGGACTATTGGTCAACTTTCATTGTTTTTGGTTATTTTGCAAACTGAGTTGACAAATATACTTCGTCAATTGTCAGCGAGTACTGCAAGTAGTCAAGTATCCATTGAGAATGAGGGCTGCTCGATATAATGATCGACATGATGAACATCACTATCTTCATTGTGTACATGATACTCAGTTGAATCAAGTGGCTTTGGGTGGCTAGTTCTGTCTCTCAAAAGTCCCTTTGCAAACGAAAAGATGAATACCTGTGGATAGTGATTTGAGTCGAACCAGTCGGCTTACGCGTTCTCCACGTACATGGCAACAAGCAACTTGCGGATTGAAGCAACACTGGTCGTTTTCATATGCATACTTGACGACAGAATCTTCGGGGTAAAATTAGAATCCATCTTTCATTTTGGTGCAGGATATCTCAATGACTGCGTCGATGGCTGAATTTTGGAATTTCGTGTCCAGAATCCTGTCACCAAGAATGTATGAATCTACCAAATCCATGTACGTAAGGGTTGAATCTTCTCTTGGCTTATTTCGCCCTGCGAGAAGCTTGCCTGTGTAAACCCAGTACACGTAAAGCCCAATTGTCTTGGGGCTATCCACTGGTAGCTCGATGATGCGTCGGTTTGGTCCCATCGATTCTTGTGCCGTTGACCTATTAAAAATACAGAAGACGCGCAGACAAATGATTCATGGACAGAGAACGACTTCTTCGCTTCTCTCACCATAACATCAAGCATTTTCCGCTGAAACTTGAATAACAGTCAGTCTAACTCAAACTACAGATAATGGCACTCACCTTCTGCTGTCAACATTCGGGCACAGAATGGATCCTGATACCATGATGGTTCCGCACAATATATGCTGATTTTCAAAGAAATGAGTTTCGGGGAACAGGAGATAAGTAGTGGGTGGACTGGGCTCAAAGAAAGACTGAGATATTCCGCAAGATAGTAATTGGTATTTACTTGTCCTCATGAATATGATATGTAGATTACTCTTGGTGGCTTCACCTGTTTCTTGAGAATATACTAAGGGAGGCCAAGGAATCAAACTGGTGTGCCAGGTCACGCGGCGGATGAGTACAACAGCTTGCAAGTCCCCATCAAATAAAGACATGAAGACAAACAAAAGAATGATCAAACGCTTAAATGTATTCAATTTGGAATGTAAACATGGTGATTATATGAGAGGTTCTTCAGTAGAATCATCTTTTTGAACAGGTTGAGAATAATTAGCTCATTCAAATAGCATCATCTTGGAGGGCAGAGTCAGTAACAGGTAGGTTGAGCGTCTTTTCAAGCTCCGTATTTTTGATCGTATGTAACAGCATGAACGGAAAACATAATCGACCATTAGCAGTTTCATCCTGGGGAAGAGTTAGCATACAAAGTGCTTCCTTTCGATGTCTCTGCTAGCATACCACGCTACCACCTTCATCCCAATATCTCCCCGGGCGGTATTCAACCTTCAAAGAAATCGATTAGTATTTTGACAGTTAGTGGCGAGCAGACATGCTTACACCTTGTTCACTGAGGTATAGACTCGAATTGGGCTGCAACCCTAGCCATCGTCTGAACAAGTCCTCGGCGGTTTGAGTCGCGAACATATACGAGATTCGATACCAGAGGTAGTCAAACTGATGGTCCCAATTCCAGATGCTATGGGGGTCTCCATTCATGTTCTCCGGAGGACCACGATTGAAGATTCGGGACATTTCCGTGGGTGTCCATTTTCCATCCACGTAAATCGGCTGGGGGACATGGACAGCCTTGAAACCATGCAACAGCGCCCAAAACGGAGCTGACATTGCCGATGCGAAGGCTTGCCCTTTTAGTTGGGCGCTATGCATCTCTCCCAAGAGTCTTCTTGAGATGCGCCATTGAGTGATGACAGAGGTGCGTCGTGGGATATCCTCGGATAAATTCCAAACCATCCACGGGAATGTCCATGATGTATTCCGTGGATCAAATATTGGCAGGAAGGTAATCAAGTCAGCTTCCTCCCCGACTCCCCATTCAAAGTCATCGTCTCCGGATTTGGAGACGGGTGGTGTGGGCCCAGCTGGGGATATACTTTCGTGTTCCACAGGGCCCCAGACATTTTCTTTGTTTTCCATCGATTGAGCAACCATAGCAGAAAAATCACTCCAATTTCCATGAGCACCAGGGGTGTAAAAATAGGCGTTGCGCTCCCACAGATACTTCCTTGGTTGCTGTTTGGCAAACTCGATGGCCTGCTCGAAGAATTGGTAGGTATGTCCAATGACCCGGTTGTCAAACTCCAGTTGCCAGTAATAGTCAAATTCGGGATACATTACAGAGAAGACCTGGATTGCCTGGAGATGCTGGTATATGGCACGATGCTCGTCCATCTTGGGATACCACTCTTGTAACAAACTCTCGCTGAACAACAGTCATGTTACGGAACTCAGCTGGTACGACCTTTTGCTTCAGCCTGTGAATAGCCCCTTCGTCATAATTTAGGTCAATTGATGGGTCATGTACATCGATCAAGAAGAAGACCTGGTACTCGGATCCTGAGTGCAGCGAGAGCTCCATGATCAGCGAGCGGAGATACTGGGCGTGGCTGGATGTCCATCTCATGGTTTCTGACGCGCGTAGAACAACAGCTGAGCGAGATTTGTACGCGAGTCCTGTAGGAATTTCTGGATTGCTTGTGTGTTGTATGGGATCGGGGGAATATTGAGAGAGGCTGTGCTTGGTATAATGCTGGTCTGATCGATTGGGGTCAAACCTGTCGGCATTTCGCTCGTAGCATGTTGATTGAAGATAGCCCCAATTGACATTCCCCCAGAAGATTCTAGGGGGTCTTTGGAACCCTGGAGCATCTTCATATTTGAATTCATCTAGTCCATAAGCTCCGTAGCGAGAGTACCGATCCACGCAAACGCTGTGATCAAGGCCGACAGCTTTGTGTGATCCAAACATGGGGGAAGGAAACCCTGGATATTATGAGTACTTTGGGGTGTGAAAGAGATGGGTAGTGAAACCTTTTTGAGTTCCACGATAGACCAGCATCATATCTTCGCTGTTGCTGCGATCAATGTCTCTGCCTCGTGGCCCACGGCAAGGTTGATGATCGCCAGCCCAAATTTTGTGCCATTTCGGAGTATTATAAGCAGGGTAAGGATCGTATATGGCCGGTGTAGGATGTTCAATGTCGTCTTTCTGTGTGGTTAAGAAACGAGTACCTCCGCGGTAGAAGTTTTCATCTCTGGAAATCCATTAGAGATAAGACCAAGAGGGAATATGATAACATACGGTATGTCGTGCAAAGTGCCCTCTCCATCAGGCTTATGAATGTGTTTATCCTTGACTGGTACGATATAGGGATCGGGATATCCGGCAGGGTCGACAAAATCGCCAGGGTGCAAGATATTGGACTCTTCTGGTAGTTCAAGGGATTCCAATTGAGATATATCATCATCATGCGTTGGATGCAATCGATATAGAAGAAGAAAGAGAGAAAATACGATAAGCAGAAAGGGCCATAATCCTCGACGAGAGCGAGACATCGTAGTAGTGTAGCAGTATTACGTGTAACACAATCATTAACGAAGGAAGGGTTCTCGATAGAAGGGTAGGGTCAATCAGAGTATTGTGCTAGATGAGATATCACCAGCTCAGTGTATTGCGATTTCTCTAAATAAGTACTGGATAAAAGTTCATGTGTTGTATCTATCTCAAGCCGAGTGTGGTTTTGGCGTATGACGGTGAAAACCGTCACACCTCCCAAAACTCGAGCAAACAGAAAGTGAAGGTCTACAATATGCCGGAAAACTTGCGCGGTTAATAAAGATAGGCCATAGATATGATCAATGTTGAAAAAATTGTATCCGATGATAAAAGAACCGGGATATGATGCAACTCCATAGGCCTCACAGACACCATCAAACCGAGCCAGAAACAATAACAGAAAATCCCTCCACTCGCTGAAATGCGGAGACGCTAAAAAGGAAACAAAAATACAATCCTTCTTGGAGATGAGATGAAGATGGTACATGGAAGGGCAGGGTTTGGAAACGACAATGCGTTATTCCAGGAACCTTCAATAAGCCAAACGTGGATGAAAGAGGTATCATGACAGTGGGTATATACGAGAAGACGAAAACAAGGAAAAGCGGGAAGGTGAAAAGCAGATGGTAGGAAGCCGAAATTAATCAGCCCTGACGTGAGGCAGAGTGGTGTCGACCTTGGTCCCGCCGGGAGACTCTTCGTGCTCTTCATGGTCAGCAAGGACGTGGGCGTATGGCTTGTTTGATGCTTGGCCTTCGGGGTGTACAACCTCAGCCTCAAGCTTGGCCTCAATCTTGTCGAGTGTTTTTTCCACCTCGGGTGTATCATTGACATTAAGTGCCAGCCCGGGGACATGAGGAGTCTTCTCAAGCCGAGGTGACATCTCAGATTCAACATCCTTGGAATCTTCCTTCTCCTTGGGTTCCTTCTCGGCAGTGTGATCCTCGAGTGTAATAGGTTGGTCCTCGGCATGTTCCTCGTCGCCGTTAGCGGAAAGGAACTCGTCCTTGTCATCCTCTTCAATCACAGCGGGGACTGCAGTCGCGGTCTTGAGCTGTCTTGCCAATAAAGACACTTCGGAAGCACCATCCACATGCTCGTCAGGCTCAGCTCCCTCGGTGACATCGGTTGTTGGTGAGGTGTTATGGCTGGAATGGGAGCGGGCCGTGGGCGAGGTAGACCCACGGCTGGAGCCAGAACCCCAGATGTGCTGTGGGTGGCGCGGTGGAAGAGCAGGCGGGGGGCGAGCCGGGATGGTGACAAGGCGTGCCCGAATGAAGCTCGGCGACAAACGTTTAGCATCGCTATCTGTTGTTTGGTCTTCTGGCTTCGTCGGCGAGGCGGGAACACTCTCTCTTGGGGTGATCATTGCATTGCTGACCTCGTGGACCTCATATTCATCTTCATCGTCATCATCTTCCTGTTTGTCCTCGCAGGCAAGGGCGCTTTCTCTTCTAATCTCGGCCTGGTCGCCCTCTAACTGACGGACCTTCACCTCCTCCTCTTCACCGCCATGAATAGCAACCGTATCCCAATGAGACGAGTCTCCAATCTCACCCCAGGGACTCATCGACGGCGACTCCTTCGCGCTTCGAGAAGACGTGCGGCTCACTGACGTTGGGGCGGTCAGAGGGGAGTCATCAGTCTGCGTACCACGGTCGACGCTAGCGTAGCTTTTGAAGCTCTTCGAGCTCTGAACACTCGCACGCCAACTGTTCCGCGGCGAGCTATCTGCGCTGCGCCGCGAGAAAGTGCTATAGATAGGGCTGTCCAAATTGGGCCGGAATTCAAACGTCTCACGATTCGGCCTCGCCTTGGTACCAGCCTCACGGATGAAAAGTCCTTCCGCCTCCAACGCCTTCACTCCATACGGATCGGGGTCGTCCGGCGCTGGCACGCCAAAGGTGTGATAATCTTCTGCTGTCAATTCCAAGTCGCCTGGCGTTTCTCCCGGTGGGGGAACGAGGCTCTCGTCAACATCTGAGTCGCCTTGTGCGGCTTTGAGAGTCTGCATAAGGGTTTCGAGTTCGTGAGGTGGGTGACGGACTTTGCCGGACAGAATCTGGTCGACAGATAACCGCTCGCCGTAGAAGCGTTCGTTCTCATCGGTACGCTCAATGATGATTGTACCGTCAACGGCAACGCCAGCATATAATCCCTTGCTCTTCATGTATGTCCAGATTGGAGCCTGGCGCTTGTGCACCTCGGTTTCAAGTACGCCGCCAATGCCAACGGGGCCGGCTGCAGCGCTCACCTCGCCGCCGAGCGTGCAGCGGAACTTCTTGAACGCTTCCAACGCCTCCACCGTGTTGATGATTACGACACAGTCATAAATATCCACCCCGGCCAGGAAGCCTATACCAGCTGTGTGTAGCATGATACCCGACGGGGGGCTCCATTCGCCGGTGTCGGGGAGGCGACCGAGCAGCACGCCACTACCACCCGAACCACTCATCCATAAACCGGTGCGCATGGTGGTAAAGATGGCGATTCCCTTTGCGTTCCTCAGAACCTTAGATGGGATTTTCTGGATAACGCGTTGCTTGCCCTTGGGGCGATTGATCTTGCCATTGTCATCGGTATCCTTCGTAGACTCGGGGGCGTAGAAACCATCTTTGCAAAAACTGCGTAGAATGCGCGCGGCTTTATCGGCTTCCTTGTCAATGGTCATGGGCCAGAAGGCTTCGGCGCCCAGCTTGTTTGACAAGCGGTTGACGGGCCCGCCCAATTTATCGACTGTATTCCATGCTTTATCGAAGCCTTTTTTCGAAATGCTTTTCGTCTTCTCCCACCGATTCGGAGGCATGATAGGTGATTGCCAGATAGCAGAAAGGTTTATGGTTCAAATATGTGGTAATTTTTTTGAAGATGTAACAAGTGTAAGATGCGCATGCGCAGCTCACAAGGCAGTATTATTCACGCACGATCTATACACGTACCTGTGAAATCCGGCACTGCAAACAGCATGGATCCCGGCAGATTCCCCAAAGCGATCAAGAATGTCTCAGGATCAAGAGGAATCCAAGATCTGCAGGAGGAATGCGCAAACCGAAGTAGTAAAAAAGAAAAAGGCCAAAGAAAATCTAAATTCAAAATTGGAGCAGAAGCAGTTCTAATAAATATTATTCACGGGTCAGGCGGAAAGAAATGTGAAGTGGCGCAGATTGGCCAGAATCAAGAAGTCGTGACTTTTTCCATGGTTCATAGAGGGGCGATGTCATCATCTCTTCTTTTTTTTTCTTTTTGTTCTTTTTTTGTTCCTTGAACTATACCTTATACACGACAAGCTCGAACAATTAGTAATTTATTGTAGGAGCTACTGGTTAATTACTAATTCTTTCATACCATCTACAGAGACAAGTTATGACGAGTCGAGATAATCGCAAATATTGACGGTCGACACATCACATACAGTCCAAAACCTTATAAATCTGTACCTAGATACGTCGGAACGCGTTGTCGTGACTCGGCTCAATATATTTCCCAAAGTTAAATATTTCGGCAATTTCTACTAAATTAAATCAACGTGAAACATATTGGGTAATACAGCCATTTGATCCGGGGTGCTTCCATCTACAAGCCTCAGTGGATCCTTTAAATGACAGCTCAGCCCAGGCTGAGCTGATCGACCACGCTATAGGTAACTGTACCCTCCCGTCGGCTCGGGTTGCAGATTAATTGAAAATGCAATATACAATTTGAGACTTTATTCAGCCGAGATCCCGCCAACCTATTGCAAATGGAAATATGATCTGACTTTGCAATCTTGTAAAGCACACATTTTCGCCGAGTGTCTTTTTTAGCACTGATCTCATAACGCATGCGCTAATGTACTCCACCCAAATAGGGTAATTTACGATTAAGCACAAAACAACACATCCATGCAGGTGGTTATTTATACTCTGTACACTACTATTATAGTTATGGGAATCAATAGTCCGGTTTAACAGTAAGGTACACGGCTCTCTTCATGGCCAATCGGGGATAGTTGGGCACCGTGGCTGACAATGAAACCTCAGGTCAAGGGTAGAATCTGCGCGTTGCAGAGTTCCGATTGGTTGAGTAGGGTTCAATAAAACGACCCTGGATCGAAGAAGCAATAATATAGCCATTGTACTATGACATACTCTGTACCAGTAGGCAGGATCTGGCCACTCTAGCGCCGCCGTGACGTGTAGGAATGTGGTGGCCGTGCAACCTACAACATCAAACGCCTCGAGAGAGGATAAACCGAACATGTTTACCTACTATGTACGGAGTACATATACATAACTACATATGCAGTATATCTCCTTCGACGATCATGAGCCTTACATAAGCTCAAGATTCCTCCAGGGCTCAATCAAATACAGTCTGATACTTCTCTTGGGGCCTGCTCAAACCACATCATGGCGGTTAGCTACCGCCCTTCGCAATCACCTCGCTGTTGGGGTGGTCTTTCTATTACATTTTACAAATATGGACCTCATCTGATCTATACGCAAAACGAGTTTATCTCTCAGAGATTCTTTTTCTTGGTGTTTTGCTACGATCATCGAGTCTCCATACCACTTTTCTCTAGTGGTATGATTTAGGCGGAATCAGAGCCTGAGGCGCTACTGCCATCAACACTGGAAGATGCAGAATCTCGAAGACAAGCTGCAGCTGCCGCATTATTTGCATTGCATCCCGGTGATACTCTGAAGGTTGGCCGGTACCCATCCGCAAATTTGGAGAAAGTCAGTTCGCCATGGTATGGCTGGCACAGGACATGGAGGAAAGTCGATATGTCGCCGTCAAGGTGGGATTCACCTGGCTGGTTGAGTCTCGGCCGCGTGAGATTTCTGTCATGAAGCTGCTTAGAGAACATCCTCTCTCAAATCATCCGGGCAAAAACCACGTTGTCGAGCTCTTAGAATATTTCGTTCACGATGGATCTAACGGCTCGCATGCATGTATAGTCACTGACCAACTAGGAGGACACGTCGGGATGGCATTGTCTGACTTCGACTCCGAAAATCCAGTGCCGTACCAGAATGGCCGTAAAATTTCAATTCAGGCGCTACAAGCCCTTGACTACCTTCACCAACAGGGCGTCATGCATGGCGACGTCCACTCAAGAAATCTAGTCTTCGCCTTGACCTATAACATTGACGACCACACGGGCGTAGATATTGAGACAAAGAATCAACGAGGAAATGAGTCAAATGAGCCTGATGAGAAGTATACTCATGACGATAGGATCAGTATCTCAGAGGGCGGCACAGCAAACGTTAGCGTTATCTTAATCGAGCTTGGCGCTTCCAGCAGTTCCGCAAATGGCCCAAGCAATGAATATGCCTACCCAATTCCCTACCGTGCACCGGAAGTCCCGATGGATACAGGGTCAGTCACTGACAAGGCAGATATCTGGGTACTTGGCGGCGAGATTTGGCGCATCGTCATCTTTGTTGGGCAGCTGGGTCCGGTACCCGAATCACTACGGACGGCATGGCTGGACTCGGAGTGTCACCTCACGTCCGATGGCCTTCTGAAGAACTCATTCCCCGAAGACGAAAGGGAGCTTCCAATTGCTGAGGAATTCATCAACTATAAGCCCAAGGGATTGAGTAGAGATGAGACCACAGCCTTCGCTGAGTTTATGGGCCATTATTTTCAATTCTAACCGGCTAAGCGGATTTCTACGCAGGAACTTCTTCAGCATGTCTAATGGCATTCTATCTAGTGACGCTATGCAATAAACGCCTTAGAGAACCTGTTGTCAATTTACTGAGTGAATTATAGCTTTGCGGAGCCTAACAAACGAGGCACAGGACAATATTGCGCATACTGCAATCAGTAAGCTGCAATTGAATAAAAATTTATTTTCATTCATGTAAAGATCTAACGTCCCAATACATGCACATGCCTCGCCACACAGCATGGCTATCAGAAAATGTGGATGCGGAATGCGCAAGACAAATCCAGATCTATAGTGAGACAACATTTCAAGGCGATGGTATACTAGAAACAGTGCAAACAACAAATTCTGCGCGTTTACAGCGCACCAAGCTCCTTGAGCTTGGAGACCAGGCCGTCGACATCCTCGACCTTGCCACCACCCTTGCGCGCCGGGGGTTCTACAGAACACAATTAGCTCATTCCAAAAGAAAGCGCACTCAGGACACATACCGGTGACCTTGAGGGTCTTCAACCGCCGCGTATCCTCGACACCTAGATCGGCTAGGGTCTTCTTCTCAAGCGGCTTCTTCTTCGCCTTCATAATATTGGGCAAGCTAGCGTACCGCGGCTCATTCAACCGCAGATCCGTAGTGATTATCATGGGCAGCTTAGCACGCAGAGTCTCAACACCGCCATCAACCTCATGGGTAACCTCCACAGTGCCAGCCTCATCCTTAACCTCAACCTTGCTGGCCTGGGTAGCCTGGGGCCATCCCAGCAAACCAGCAAGCATCTGGCCAGTCTGGCCCTGGTCGCCATCGATAGCTTGCTTGCCCAGCAGTACGAGGTTGATGTTTTGCTCCTTAACAACGGCCTGCAGCATCTTAGCGATGGTCAGCGGCTCGGGACCGCCATCGGCCTTGTCTGGTAGGTCGATGTGGAAGGCGCGGTCGGCGCCCATGGCCATGGCGGTGCGCAGGACGTCAGGACATTTAGGGCCACCGGCGGAAAGAGCGAGGATATCTTCGACCTTGATGGGGCCCTTGCGCTCGCGCAGGCGGACGGCCTCTTCGATTGAGAGTTCGTCGAACGGGTTCAGGGAGTGCTTGACACCGGCGGTCTCGACGCCAGTCTGGGCTTTGTTGATGCGGGGTTTGATCTGTTAGAGCGAGAATGGTTGGGTTAATTCGTTTGCTCTCAAGTATATAGCGGGGAGTCATGGCAACCCCGGTTCTGGAAAGCTAGCTCCGAGCGTCGGTCGCCCGCAGCTGTGCTTGGAGGAAACAGAGGCGGGACATACTGCGTAGTCAATGACCCGCTTGACGGGCACCAATATCCGTAGGCTGCTCATTTTGTAGAATCTGTTGAACAGCAGCCAATTCCTGAGTTGGAGGAAGTTTGAATGCCCGGAGAGAGAAAGCGTGCGGTGACGGAGTGCCAAGAAATCAAAAACGCCGACGCGGCCCGAGTTTAACCCTCGTCGCACCACTAACCATCACTGCCAATCGTCTGCTTTTGCGGCCAGTTTGACAATATGCGCTTGGGGCCGGAGCATCGATTAGCTCGGCTCTTTTCCCTCTCTTTCTCTGGGGTTTGGTATACAATTAGAAGACAGCAAACCCCAAATCAACTTTGGAGTAGCTTAGATACAATATTTGGTGTGGGTGTTTCTTTTATTTCCATACTATACGTTGTATACTACCGATTAAAGTATATCTTATACAGCAACCCATATTGAAACAGCAATATTTGGATAAGGCAACAAATGAAGCCGAAAAGGAATTGAAGCCGAGAAGAAAATGACCATGGAGTACAAGTAAGCTCAAAAGGGACAGCACCTCGATTAACCTTGGTTATACGGGGATGTCATGATGGCCGCAGTTTTCCGCCGTAGTACGATCACCGACGCTGCCGAGGTTAACCATACAGCCTACATATGGTGACAGTCAATTCTGTTACATTTAATTGATTCAATACAAGTAGTTGTGACCGGCATATTCGCCATCATAGACCTGACAACGTGTAATTTAAGCCATTGAAGTTCTACTGGTAAATAGTGAATAGTCGGACTTCTCGGCAGAAACAACCCAAAGCACATGCTTCTCACATGCATTCGTTGGGATTTTATATTTGTGTTAGAATTAATCGAGTATTGAATTCGATTACCAAGTTTCTTGCTTGTACCGGCCAATCTTCTCCATTCCGATGAGATACTCCTCAGCCTGGGACCGGGTGAATGGCTGCCCTGGCACAGGAGCACCTCCGTGCTGGAACGCCTCAATAAGGGCTTCGCGTACCGCCTGAGGCATGCGTCCTGAGGAGCCACAAATATAGACTGATCCCTGCATATCATGCAGCAGGCGGAAGAAGAGCGGGAAGTTCTCGCGCACGGTATCTTGTACGTAGACTTTACGCTGTTGGTCCCGCGAGAACGCGGTCAGGACCTGGAGAGGAATGAGTTTGCTGAGCTCCGTCCACTCCTCTTCGAAGAAGAAATCAGATTCACGGTTTCGACCGCCATAGAGAAGGACTGTTGCGCCGATGGGTGGATTTACGCCTGGGTTTTGCTCGCGGTAGGCCTGGACTAGAGCTGCCTTCTCCCAAAGCATGGATCTCAGTGGTGCAATTCCAGTTCCTGGTCCGATAAGTACAGTTGCTCCAGTGAGTTGCTGCACTGAAGAGTTGAGACCGCCTGGTTGGAGCTGAACTTTTAGTGTACTGCCTGGTCGTAGTACGGAAAGATATTTGGTGCAGACACCCTCGCGGATTCTCTTGATCACTGTTTGGTACTTGACAATTGCAATTAGTAGTTCGAATTGTGTTTTGCCATCCACTGTCTCCTTGCGCTTCCCGCCACTAGCGATGCTGAATTGGCGGGCACGCATGACGGGAAGAACAGATATCGCGTGCTGCCAGGGGATTTTGACCGTATCAAACTCGTGCAGGATCTCGAGTATACTGCGACGTGGGCGTGTCGTATAATCCCATAGTTCGTCAAGATACTCGGGGTTTGTAAACTCTAATAAACGTTCTTTGTGCATTTCATCGGTTGTGTAGTGTGCAATGGTTGAGAAGAAAGACCTTCGCGGTATTCCCTTGATGTCGAGATAATCTATGAGGAGTGCGCGGAGGGTAAGGTTTGGGTATGAGTCAAGATTGGGAATGGGAGGCGGAGAAGGCGAGGTTCCAGTCGGGACAAGGGAAACTGGCTGATCTGCCTGATCTTGCCATCCCATCAGATCGATAAGAGTTTGAACATCAGTTACATTACTCTTCGGTGTAATGGTAATCATGTCTCCGGGGACGTAAGAGACAGTTTCTGGGACGATTAAGGTGACATGGCGCACATCCTGCCAATGATTTTGCGGGGTCACCCGTCGATTTTCAGTCAATGTCGCGGATAGAGTTTGTGGAATCGGACGAAGATCGTGGTCGAGATTGTGTAGCCCTGGGTATTCATCTGGAACTTGGCTTGCTTCCGTGACGAAAGGTTCGGACGCTGGGGCAGACTCTTTTTTCTTCCCTAACTGCAATATCCACTTTGGTGGAAGCTGTTCGTCATCTGGGATTGGATGCTGCCCAGCAGGGAGAGGATGTCTATCTAGCAAATGCTTTCGGAAATCTGTCATCCATGGTAAAAATGTTCCCTCTAGTCTGTTTATATATGTCAATATAAGTCACAAACAACGCCGCATGATAGAAAAAACTGACCCTTCTGGATGCTGCTGATCTGCTTCGCCTGTAGGATAAATTTCATTTGCACCGAGCTGCAGTAGGCGTTTATAGAGCTTGCGAATTGCCCAATTGAATCTGTAACAATCAGCTATTGAGGCTTGGGACAGCATAATAGACAAACATACTTGGGATACGAGGTATCTCCTAACCCAAAACAAGCAAAATTTATTCCGTTCAAGAATGTCGGAGGCAGCTTCTTTAGCAGAAGCGACTTCCAGAACAAGCGCGCGTTCGCGGGTAAATCACCTTGTCCAGTGGTTGACGCCACGAATATAGTAAGCGTGTAAGAGAAAAGTGTTTCCTGTGTACATCAGACATGGCTCTCTCATTGGATAATCCTGTTTATCAAAGCAATCACATACCGGCTTGCATTGGTTCAACTCGGATACATGCGTTGCAAAACGAAGTCGCTCTGTCAAGGCGCCCAATTCCTCGGCCACTTCTTGCGCATTACCCGTCTCACTTCCATATAGGATGAGAACCGACCGCTCTAGGGGCATCGGAGTGTGGTTATCTCCCATACTTGAACTATGATGTTGCTCTTGTCATTTCTTCCGTTATGATTGCCCCTCCAAAAAATAATTGCTGACGTCATCCAGGCCCGAGATCGGCCTTTGGAGTATACAACTCAAGAAAAGGAAAGAAAGCAAAAAGAGAGATCATACATAGAGAGGACCTGGTTTTAGCTGAAAGTGCTGCATGGATGATGGGAAATGCGTGCTGTGTGTTGCCCTTAACTTTTGACTTTAGCCAAACCTCAATCCATCCGTCAATACAATACATATCACAAATCTGTATTGATATTGCAGTTCGTCTTTAACTCTGAGCTTTGATTTCGCTATAGCTCTTGCAAGCCATTTCGGTCCTGAAAGAGAACATGAACATAACGAGATAGATCTATCAATAATTCTTGTACTATGTACGACTATGTATATAAACAACTTCACTGATTGGTCCAATATAAGACAGTCCACAATCCGTGGATACATTAATGAATGACTTAATGATAAGTGCAAAAGGTTAAACACAGAGGTGCAAGGCAGACATGGAGCAACGATTGCGAAAGGGAGGAAGAGGGAAAAGAGAAAAAAGAGGAAAAAGAGGAGGGGGGCTTGTGATACTCAGCAACATCATGCCTTCCTAAAACGATGCCAAGTCCGTTCTCCCCAAAAAGGACCAGACGGAGTACTGAGAAATGGAGAATTACGGGAAACAACCATGGAAGCCAAGAGCAGAGGGATGGGATGAATGATCATTGTTCAACTGATCTTTGCAGAGACACTGGGTTAAATACATCGATAAAATAAAAAGCTAATGATGCAAAGCCATAATGAGATTGGATAATGTGTTAGATCGCTAGAGCCACAGGAAGGCTGAATAGAAAGGAAAAGTGGGTATCGTGAATCTGCATTTTAGAAGTCTTCGTCGCCGCCGCCGCCACCGTCATCGTCGCCCATCTCATCATCTCCGCCGTCGAAGTACTGCTCGGCGTTGTAGTCACCACCCATGTCATCGTCATCGTCAGAGAAATCGTCATCCATTTCATCCTCTGCTTGCTCTTCATCCTCTTCAAGCAGATCGGCCTCATCACCCTCTGCGTCGCCATCGTTTTCATCGTCATCATCGCCGTCAGCTTTGCGCTTTGAAGGTCCGGCTTCATCTTCTTCGTCCTCAAAGCCGCGCTTCACGCCAGCGGCTGATGCCTGTGCCTGGTAGCCATCTAGTGAGGCGTCTGGTCGGAAGTTGGGCTGGAGCGTCGGCCACAGGTCGCGAGGAAAGAATTTCAAGACTGTGTGTTTTGACATTCCCAAATCAATCGCCTGGTATCATTTCGAAGCATTCAGGTCCGAGAGACTTACAGTATGACTGTCCGGTGATCTTGGGAAGGGTGCGGCGCTTCTTCTGATAACGGCCGGAGTATGTGGGCATGCCATGGAAGGGATCAAAGTTGGCACGCGCAGCAGTACCCTTTTTGGCGTTGGATGAAGAGGCATCGAGAACGGAGTAAAATGGACCGTCATGGAATCGTTCGCGTAGTCCTCGATAGTAGTCTACCTGGATTTGTTCCGCGGGGCTCAACTTCCGCGCAAATGGGACGGTGTATTTCTGATTGTAAGGAAAATTAGATTGTCTCTTTCTCTTTTCTGGCATTGGGTATGTTGATTGACTTGGAGAGAAAGATTTCCTGGAGAGCCAGGCCAAGAAGCAAACATACAGGGTAGAGAGGGGTTGGAGCTGTGTCAGGCTCACCACCAGGGTCGGCATCCCAAGTGAATTCCGTGCCCGGCGGCTTTCTACCCTTTGGTGCTCCGCGACGCGACATATGGAAGAGTCAGATATTATTACTGTGCAATGGATAGTCGCGAGGTCCCAAAGTGATAATGACTCCGGAAAATTACAATTCTTCACCGCCCACCCGAAAGGCACTAGGGCTGGCAAATTGCCCGAATTGCTTCCCCGCGCTAAGATAACGAAGCGCCGATCTTTACTATGCGAGCTCTCAAGCTTTAGATGTATGGATTTCTAGACATGATGGAAATCATCTAATAGAGCACTATACAAATTTTCATTGAAGAATATTTCATTGAATATTAGACTCAATTCATACAATTAAATAGTCATATTTCTCTCCGAAGAAGTTAACGCCCAGCGGTTAAAATTTCAGCACCACCAGCTTGGACTGGGCCCAAGGGACCCTCTTTCACACGTTGTTGTAGGGTTTGCATGATATCTTCAAATCCTTCCACTTGTCCGCCTGTTTCTTGCAACCGGTGGAGCAATGCGACAAGAACATCATGCTTGGCAGTTGCCACTTTCCAAACGACATTTTGAGAGTCACTTGCACCACCCCCGACAAAATCTGCATATGTTTTTGGAGGGCTGAAAAGATACGGAAGAAGGGTCGTCAGCGCAGGTGGTGTGAGTATTGCCCATGCGCCCGAAAAGGGAAAGAATCCTCTAATAGCTGGGGATAGCTGACCCAGATCCTCCTCGGACGGCAGCTGGAACCGGGATGAACATGAACTGGCATGAGCAGGGGCTGGAGGCGAGGATTTCCAGTTGGCAGTCGCAATGGCCCGCATGAAGCTTATGGCTGACAAAGCGATGTCCTTCATCACTAGAACATCAGCAGTTCCGACAATGTGGCCCCAGAAAGCGGGATGTTTGTTGAGGTATTGGAAGTAAAGAATGCGTGCTGCTGCAGCTTCATGGTCCCAGTCAGTTGGAGTTTGACCGGACGTGTTCAACTCCATTGATTCAGACGCCCCAGTCCGCTGTGGTCCATGGAAAATCTTTGCGAGGACATCCAAAGCTTCAGCATTCGGAGGATTTGTGGGAATTGCCAAAACAGGATTGGCATTATGTTTGCCTGCTTCTACAAGAAGCACGCGAGGAAGTGAAGCTAGAATGGCTAGGTGACCCGTGGGTACTTCTCCATGTGCCCATTGTGGGGCTTGAATGGTGAGAGATCTATTAATGCGGGAGATAATCCCATCCAGTAGGGAGGCGGGGTTTTGCAACAGGTGGTTTGGATACAGCTCGGCGTATCGAGCTACATATGCCATGATTGGACCAGATAGATAGAGTAGGTCCACTGCATCCAGTTTGGACTCATCAAGATAGTATGTTAGCACCCTGGAATGCAGATTTTGTGCAATCAGGAATTCTAGAGCAGGGGATGAACCGGTCGAAGCAGAATGCACATAGCTTCGAGCGACAAGACCCGGCCCATCGATTTCCAGTAACTCGCGGAAGAAGCTTAGCAGTGTCATATGCATCAAAACATCGCTTAGTTGGACCATTTGAGTTGTTGCAAAGTGCAAGAGACTGTTGCTCTGGTATTTAGCCTCAATTTCCGGAACTTGTGCTGTTGAAATGATGTCCCAGCGAAGCTTGCCGGCCTTGACCAACAGCGCCATCAGTCTCCCCTGTGAAATGGTACGTTCACGTTTAGACAGACCACCAGGGGCATCATTTTGAAGGCTGCATAGCCCAAAGAATAGTCCGTAGACATCCTTATCGGTGAATAGCCTCCTCCACATGAGTCCTTGTCCTGCATGGCTCCCATCGCCTGTATGCTCATATTCTTCGTTTTCGAGATTGTTGGTCACATCAATTTCCAATAGTGCCCATAATGTTTCAAGAGCAGCTTGCGCGACTTCTGTCGAAGGAGTCGAGAGCCAGAGCTCCACAAGCGAAGCCACCAAGTTGGCGTCGCCGGCAACTATAGCAGCTTCACTGGAAGATTGTGCTGCTTTGGCCAATAATGACAGAGCAAGAAGGTTTATCGGCGGTGATGGGGCCTTGAAGCCAGCGATAATGTTGACGGGAGGATCGACGGATTGAAGATTGGTGAAGCTAAAGTATGCCGTGGCCCTGATTCCGAGGGTAGTGATGGGTGTAGGGTCTTCCTGTAGTATGGGTAGGAGTGATGCAATTTGCGATACAAGAGTGGCTGGAACCACTGGATCAGTCGATTCAATGAGCTGCAACTTGAGCTTCTCGATGAGGGAAATGTCCAAGGCCGTGGAGGGGTCCTCTAGGACCTTGGTCAGGTGTGCTTTCACCTCATCAAAAGTAGAGGGAATAGTCATGGTGGGAAACTAGAGCTTTTTGCAATGAACAACCACCGCTTCGTTGGACAAGAAACACCTCGCGTTGATCAAAAGTTGAAGATGGCGCGTTCTGGGCCGCGGGGAAAGCTGCCTCAGGATCAGCCAAACAAGCCAAACATGACCGCATCACCGAGCCTCATCTACTATTCTGTCATTTACAACAGGTTTCTCTTCGTTCCAACACCACGAACCCCAATAATGGAGCCTCCTCACTCTCTTCTGTCCCAAAAGTCATCGGACTCCGGCCTTCATATTCAACTACACCCTCTCGTTCTCCTCACCGTCTCCGATCAAATCACCCGACACGCCGCCCGTCAACAGAAAGGCCCGATCATTGGCGGTCTTCTGGGTCAACAGAATGGAAGAGAGATAACACTCGAACATGCTTTCGAATGTCCTGCCACTGTGGGACCTGGTGATGATATTATCTTGCCCGCAGCATGGTTTGAAGAGCGCTTGCAGCAATGTACGTGAACCCCCACCGGACTGTAGGCAGCTCGTGTGAATACTGATCATGCTGCAGTTAAGGGTGTGCATAAAGACCCAGCTCTTGACTTGGTTGGATGGTGGTCAACCGCTCCATCAACTGGGCCCAACACTGCTCACCTCCCTCTTCACCGACAAATACTGCAGGACTACAACGAGTCAGCTGTTTTTCTAGCCTTCCACCCCTCACAAGTCCAAGCCTCAGATTCGGATGGCTCCAAACTTCCTTTGACGGTATACGAGAGTGTGCACGAGGGCGAGACTGGCCCCGATGCAAGCAAAGATATGCAGGTTGATGGCGAAGAGCCAGCACTGAATATCAGATTCCGGGAACTACCATATTCGGTGGAGACAGGAGAGTCAGAGATGATTGGAATTGACACTATTGTGCAGGCTTCAGGTACCGCTTCTTTGAATGTAACTCAGGAGCCGGCCAAGCACGCAAAGAAGTCCGAGGCAGATAAACAGAGCTCGCAGACCGAGCTCTCACAAGAAGAAGAAGAATGTAAGTTTCCCTGTGTCGATGTATGCACTATCACCCAATAGCATTAACTGGCTGAGACAGTGATCGCAAGCCTCGGCACTCGTCTCAACGCCGTCCGCACTCTCGAATCCCGTGTCTCTCTCATAAAGTCCTATCTCTCCGGGTTATCAGAAGCAGATCTTGGCACCAACGCTTCAAAAGACAATGAATCCATCAAGCTGTCACACCCAATTCTTCGCGACATCAACTCCCTCCTTTCTCACCTCTCCATTCTGTCGCCGTCAGAGCAGAGCTCCTACGCCACCGAGGTTCTGTGCCAAAGCAACGACGTGCAGTTAATCTCACTGCTCGGCCAACTCGGCGAAAATATCAAGGCTATGCGTGATCTGGGCCGCAAAACTGCTATCATTCAAACTGGCCGCCATGTTGCTAAATCACGCCAGGACCCCCGCTCTGCTATGCAGAGGGGGTTCAATCAAGAATTCTTTGCCCAGGGTAGTGGGCCTGTGACCACAGAGAATGAGATGTACTCTTGATAGGTCTTGTCATTCATTGACTTTCCCTCTATGATCTACCTATGAAGATACCCCACAAATGGCACAATATGCCCAATCTTAGGTAGCTTTTGCTTCACTTAGACCGTGTTCCTGCCTGTGCCGGTCTCAAAGCCTAGAAGACCCTTTAGACGAGATGATGAACTTTGATATGAAATCCATACTTCTAGCAATGAAATAGATGTTTCCATATACATCGCACCAGCAATGTTGAATAATATTGATCAGAGCCACTGAGGCATGTTTATCTAAGTAGTCATACCTACTCGGACCTCTGCAATTTACAAACATGATTAGAATCTTTCACAGACCTTATTATATTCATGATCGCACCAATCTATGGCCGAAATATTTTGAACTTTTGACTGCAGAACACACTAGTTGCTGTATAATCAGAAAGGAGAGATAGAAGATGTGAAGGAAATATATAAATGGTCGATATGGAGCATCTTTGGAATTCAAAGATGATGTTTACTGAGGTATCATGCACGTAAATTGGAACCAAGCTACTTATGATGAATTATTGAGGTTGTATAGAAACTTGGTGATTAGCCCCGTGTGCGCTACCGAACGGTTGGGGCGAAGGACCGAGTAGTGTCTGTTTTTGGGGCTTTGGGGGGGGTTCCGCCAGATATACTACCTACAATCAGGCTGATCCATACATCATATAGACATTAAGGGATTGGATGAGAAGTTGGAAGCGAGGGCTCGGATGAACGCTAATACTATACAAGAAATATGGCCCTCCAGCGATGCAAGGTATTGTGCGAGAATGGAAAAATGGGAATATGACATCAAACAGGAGAAACTGACATGCCGATATGGTAACTGGCGGGTATCCATATCCAAGAAAAAGGACATAAACAGACAGTATAAAGCGCAAAAATCTCGAAGTGCTCGTGGGTAGCGTGAGGTCAGAACAGTAAAAGGATCAATATGTTTGTGTTTTATGCCCGAAGGAACAAAGCAAAACCATAGAGCGCTGTGCGAGTATGAGAGATATACCGAGTCATAATTGGATCGTAGGCATAGATCATGTGTGGTAGCTGGTGGGGTACGGAGGCGGCGGGTGAGAGGGATCAGGCATGGGCATGGGGGCCTGCTCTCGGAGAGGGCCATCCGATGGGTATGGGATGACTAACGGCTCCGGGTACGGGTTATTATGACTGAAAATCGGAGGATCATCATAGGGCGAGGTGCCTTGCCCGTAAAAGCGGGTGTTTGGGTCATGCACATGGTCGTCAAAGTCGGATGCATAAGGCGAACTGCCCATAGGCGTAACGGGGTTCGGTTGCCCATGGGCCAGAAGAACCGCGTCCTCATCCGGCGTATCGCGACCCGTCCGACCTGCAGACATTGTGACTCCGGCGCCATGGTAAGCCGTGCCATGTTCAGTGAGCTCGCTGCCTTCTTGAGAAGGCTGCAGACCGATTGTCTCAACTTGCGGCCGGTAGCTGGGATCAAGCTGTCGGTGCTTACGGCCTACGAACAGCCAGCGAGCACTCCGTCCAATGGCTTTAAAGAGGTCCAGCGGATTCATGGCATCAACCAAAGCCCTCAAACCATAGTTTCCGCCTTCATATGCACGCTTGCCGTTGCCGAAGAAGTCAGTCACTTCGGTGGACTGATTAGCTAAGATGTAGGGTTTCCATGAAAAAGCCCAGAGATGAAGAATGCCGAAAATTGCCATTTCAACATTGATCATCAGCTCTGGGAGACCGGTTTTGAGGTCCACAAGGGAAACTTTCTCTGTAGCTGCGATAGCGCCTTCGGAGACCAAAAGGTTGATGAGGGTCTAAATTAGAGAAAGACAGGTTAGCAAACGGAACTTGGCCAAGAATGACGAAGACACTTGCCGACTGCCAGAATGAAAGGAAAATGACGAGCTTAATGGACAGGATTTTCAAGAATGGCGAATGTTGCTTGATATCTTTGCTGGTCTGATGGTAAAACTGGATCAGGCAGTACATGGCGATAGTGACGGAGAGCGACTCAAAAACGAGAGTCTAACATGACAAGATTAGTGAATTGTCAGGATATAAGACCAGAAATTGCGCGCCAAAAACATACCCAGATATGCGCAAAAGCGGGATTGAGGGACTCCTCGCAGTATACTCCAAAGGCCTGAGTGACGACGGCGACGATGGTCATAAGAACGCGCATAAAACAGTATTGGAAGACTCCAACCCAGACGATCTGGACAACAATTAGCGCCTTCAGATTCTTCAGCATATAATCATGTCCCTCTTACATTAAACCATGTCAACCCACTGCGCGGGGTCCGCCAAAGATGCCCCGCACAGCATTTCTGCATCCAATTCAATGGCCAGAGCCATTGTTTTGGTTGAATTCCGCGGAAGTAGTCTTTTTGGCTGTGTAGGTCCGGGGCGATGTAGTGGCACATGAGCGAGAAGAATGCGGAGATACAGAAAGCTTCGTAGCAATCGCCGATTACCTCGAAGTAGACAGAGTCGTGGTAGAAGAAGATGCTGAGCCATGCGACGAGCGAGTAAACGGGTACCATGAAGAGAATGCGAATGATACTGATGAAACAAAGACCCATGTTAGCAATGTTTAGGCCCCTAGCCGCGACTACCAACTCGGGAACTTACTGTCGCTGCTCGATCGGCTTGCTGTAATGTGTCGCATGTAACATGATTAAGACTAGCGACACGATACAGGCGATGATAGCGCAAGCGCCGCCCACCAGGAGTGCCAAGGAGTGAAATGTAATGCCGCCATCCCAAAGTGCAACCTCATCGACTTGTTTCGCGAGTTAGTCACTGCATAATTCACGAGAATGGGGAAGAGGGGAAGAGCATACTATTCAGTGTCTCAGTAGTTGAATTACAGACTGGCCAGCCCATGTTGGCTGCAGTATGGGTAAGAAGATATAAGGAGGTTGTTCACAAGTTGAATTCCGATTTTGTGTTTATCTTATCCGGATCGCCAGGGGAGACGCTAAAGACGCCACAACAATCATGAAATGACAAGACAAGAGAAAGACAAGAGAAAAGCACTGGTTTAGCTTATGCGGCCTGGTCAGATCATGTTATCTTTCAAAGAAAAGAAGAAAAAAAAATCGCTGATGGATTGACATTCAAAAAGATCGTCATAAGCCGGAAGGCTTGGTCTATTTTTATTTTCTTGGCTTTGTGCTTGTAGCCTTAAGTGTCTGACTGACGCCCTAGCCTCACTACCAACCACCCTAGCCTCACTGCCACCCATCTCTAATACCAACTTTCTGGCTGTTAGATTGACAGGGCGCGAAGCCTCGAGTACCTAAAAATTACATAGACACAAATGCTTACAGCATAAGGATGTTATGGATCTTTGGATAATTGGATAATCTCCATGCACATCGGTGCAAAGTTGCTAGACTATTGTACATACAAGGCCCAAAGCCAAGTCGTAGATTTGATACTTTTCTTCATATTTCAAGAGCGCCAGAACTCTCCACGACGTCCGCCGCGCCCCCGTCCACGAGGTCCGGGGCCAGATCGAGGTCCAGGTCCGAATCTTTCCGGGCCAATGTCCACAAATTGATCCTCGTCTTCGAAGGTGATTCGCCGCATCTCATCACCACCGCGACGGGGAAATGTGCCCTTTTGAATAAGCTCGTCGAATTGGTCCAGGCGCTTGTCGGCAACAGGCCGTGGGACGGGAAGGTAGTAGAGTTTAGGCTTGGCGTTGGTGGATTTAAAGAGTTCATCCAGAGGCTTGAACCCCTGGCCAGGGCGAGGCGCGGGCGCAGGGGCCGGGTTAGAAGGGCGGCGGTCGAATCGCTCAATATCGCTGCGCGGACCCAAGGGAGGGGTTCGGTTGAATCCTGACTCCCGCCGTCCGGTAGGGGCAGAGCCCACCTCGGCGAGCGTAGCAGTAATTCCTTCATCAGATGTTTCATATCTCACTTCCCAACGAGGCGCAGCGCCAGCACGGTCACTAGATTTTTCTTCTGTTTCAATCCATTCCTTGACTTTGTCGTCTGGGATAAAGTCTGCACGGAGATTCTTGCGATTCCGTTCGTAGGGCCACACCGTTCCATGAACGGCAGAACGGACCCGAGAAGCAACTGTAATACTGGTAAAACGGACGAAACAGTGGGTTTTGATAGAATCAAGGTAGAATTCGACAATTGGATCGGAGTCTGATGAGGTTTCGGGGGCGGATGCGAGGCTGGAAAGGTGTTTGCGGAGAGCACTTGGCTGGAGTGGACGCATCAAACCGTCGATGTAAAGAGAAGCAGTTGCAGGATGCAATGCTGGCCCCATATCTGCATCTGGAATCGCGATATCTCGAGGAGGAGATGATGGGTGAGGGGACACACCGGTGGGTGCAAACAGACCGCGGAAGCGGGCGTCTTGCTTGCCAGTGAGCTTTGGCAAATTGGGTTGTTTCTCTGAAAGCGATGTTTTGCGTTGACTCTCCGATAGAGTGTAGCCTGCAGACTTCTGGTCGTTGTTCTCTTCGTCGTCTTTCAACAACACATGTGGGGTTGTTTCCTTCGCGCGAGCCTTTCTGTTCGCAACTTCTTCCAGGGTAGGAGCAGGGCTCTGACTACGGCGTTTCCGTTTGCGTGTATCCTCCAAAGCTTCCTCTGCTGGAAGGGGTGTTGATAGCCCAGTATCCACTTCGGAGGTTTGAAGGGCGGATGGTGTTGACTTTTCTTCGGGCTTCAAAGGAGCTTCTTTCTTCGCGGTTTGGATTGCTTCGATCGCGGGGGAAGAAGAGGTTGCAGCTGGGGACTGTTCTTTTTCGGGAATTATATCCTTTATGTGTGCCTCTTCAGTGGGCTTTGCGTCCCCCTCAATTTCTTGTGACTTCACATTGGTTGCTGCCTCAATATGTCCCTCATCTGGCTCATTTGCTTGTTTTTCTTCGTCGTATGCCTTGTCCGACACTGAAATTGGCGCAGGTGATTCCTTTTCTTGCACAGTTGGCTCTTCCTGTAGCTGTTTGGATTGTTCGGATTGCGGTTTTTCGGGTTGCGACTCTGGTACTAAAGGAATAGCATCTGGGCCAGGTCGCTGTGGGCTGGCGTTTTCTTCAGGAGCTGCAGCGGTTTCGGTCTTATCTGTCTGTGAGTCAAGCTCCATCAATTTATCAATGCATTGCTGCTTGAGACGCAGACCAGTCAGAGGGACATTGTGCTTTTTGATCTCAGCCTTCAGTTCAGCCACCTTCCACGAGGAATAGTCAACCATGGTGAGAAGGTCCACGCATCAAATATTGAAACCTTGGATATTAGTTAAGTCAAATGCGATCAGTTGGTTGTACCATAAGACAATTGTAATGCAATGCAGGGATTGAATCTGGGGACGCGATGGAAACTGCGCGCCGATGATGTAGGGCGCTAGCCGGGTTTGGACTTAGCGCTATTCTTGATCCGTAGGGAACTTTTATGCTGTATGCACAATTACTAATATGGGTATAATCTATAGTTAACGTATTCGATAAACGAAGCTGCGCATGTAAGCCAGCTGCGCAGCCGGAACACCATACTGAATGCGATAAATTACAACTTAATAGCTCGACAATGAATGTATTGAAAGACTGTTCCTTATAGCTTATTGCTTTTCATACGATATCCATATCCAGCTACTTTAGAGAGATTAGGGAATTGTTACATATCCCCGGTAGTTAAGGTATATAAATTTGTGGCTCCAAGCAACGTAATTTTCGTAACCACAATAATCTAGTTTGTAGATTTCCTGGAAATTATTACAAGGTGTTAAGAAGTCTTATCAACAGCTATCTACAGATAATGAAATAGACTAAACTTGTGGTTGGTCAGACATCAAGTTGTAATTTGTCGCATTTACTATGATGTTCCGGCTGCGCAGCTGGCTTACATGCGCAGCTCGTTTACCGAATACGTTATAAGATCATACATAACTAGCTAAGTCCACATCAGAGGAATAAGGATAATATTTGAGTGAAAAAAAGGCTGCGGTTATTATTATAGTTTGATAGTGTCTTCTGAACTTTACTCATACACTCAGCCTCGATTATTATCACTTGGTTTCTCATTACCTACCCAGGTAGCATATGCAGGTAAATTTCATAGAGATTTTGCAAGCGACAGTATGATATTCGAACATTTCCCACCTCTCACTTGCAGCTCAACATGAGATGACCCAACACTTTGCTTTTTGTCATCTATCTTGCACGATTTCACAGCGAATGGCAGTCTGATAGTTCCACTAGTACCCTGCGGATAACAAACTTTAATATAAATCTCATCCGTTTGGTTGTTCATTTTCCAGCTTGCCTGAATAGATCCATGGGGAGTAGGGACTCTGCCCTTTGCCCATGAAACACCAGAGGTAAGTACCGCAGGTTCGAAGGTCCATTCAGAGAAACCGGGTGCTGCAGACTGAATACCCAAAACATATTCAGTCAAAACAAAGGTTGGAGCGGCTCCCCAGGGATGCGCATGAGAGGTATACAGGTCTAATCCTGGTCGCCCATCGGGAAATATGTACTCCCAGGCGGTACCGGTGGAGTATTCCTCATTGGTGATCATAGCAGGCCAGAATTGAGATAGCAGGGTTGAGATTGCGGAAGCGGTAGAAGAGGAGTGATTGGTACTAGTCCGAGAATGTTGAAGGATTGCCTCGAGTAAGAAGCCAGATATAAAAGGGGAAAGCTCTGCGCTGGATTCGTCGTCGGAGCTGGTCTTGTAGCCGATCCCGTTTCGGAGGGTGGTAAGAGCTGCAATGGAAGATTCGGCTTGGGTAGAATTGGCGACGTTTGCGAGGATGGCCCATGCGATGCTGGCAATAGAGATTTGATTGGGAGACGATATGCTGTCACCGTAGGTCCCGAGTTTGTCGTTCCAAAGTTTGTTATTGATCGTTTTGTGCATGCCTGTAGCAATAGACTTCCATGTTTTCGATGTATCTATTTCTCCTACAAATTCCGCAATTGTGGCCATACGATTGAGGGTATAGACCATAAGAGAAGATGCGGCGGTCCCGTTGCTATCTCCTAGGAAAAAGGACCCCGATGCCAGACCTGAAGAGCTATCAACGAGGGGAATGATTGCCTCTACCCCGGCCTTGACCTGCAGCCAGTATTTTTGCAGGAAGGCTGTATTTCCCGAGTCGAGATAGTATCTGGCAAATGCATTCAGGAAGAGCATTTGGTAGTCCTGGAGACCGGCAGAGTTGTAGATCGAAGTATATTTGGAAGATTGGCCCAGTGCAGGTGACATTGAAAAGTACCCTTTGAATTCGCCAGAGGCTATTTGCCTGTCAATGAGATAGGCTAGGGTGCCATTAATGAAATCATCTCTCTGCGTACTTGCAGCAATAACGCGCAAGGTGTGGCTGAAGTCTCCAGACCAGACAAGTCTGTCTCTTTTGGCACCATCCAAGCAAACCGAGTGTTTGTTTGGCATGACTCCATATTCTTCGAGAACAGATACATCGGTCAACGCATTTTTATAAAGGATGGTGCCGTTGATGGATCGAACCTCGACATCCTTCACCAATGCCGCCTGATCTTGGTATGGCCCAAATCCCCAAGTGCCTGTGTACCTATCTGCTGATCCGGCAAGAAAATTGTAGGTTGGTTGAAGGGCAGAAAATGGGACGTGAGCTGCGAAAGTATTGTTTATAGAAACGTCATAGCCGGTTGGCTTGATCGTCGTTGAGACGCGGAGCCACTGTCCCTCTTCGATTTTGAATGGCAGCGGATAATATGAGACAGGGCCCCCTTCCAAGCTCGTTTGATTGACCAAATTATACCCATAAGCAACTGCAAGCTTGTTTGCTGGAACAATTGTTCGGTTGGTGTTGAGGAATGTTGAGTCTGGATAATCACTGGTGAGAACGAAAGAGGGGCCGAACCCCAGTAAGCCGCTGGCAACTCTCCAACCAGTGCCTCCGCGTACGATCTTAGTGCTGAACGACATCGTATAGTTGGCATAGGAGGATCCTAATGCTGACTGGGCTGACTGTTGCCCACGCAAAAAAGCCCCGTCACTGGTGATCTCCCACGTCGAAGGTGCCGCATTCTGCTCAATACAAGCTTGTTGAACAGTTCGGGGACCAAGCGCCCATATCTTGTTATAAACAGAGTTTGAACTTTCGAAATAGCCGGGCAGTTGATCAATAGGAGCTCGATCATTGAAGGAGCGAATGGCAACGCCGCAAATGCGAACATTGCCATGTTCAGTGAGTAAACGTAGTTGGTGCCAGCGTAAGCCTCCTTGAATAAAATAAGACTCTATTTTTCCGGACGCAGTGACATTGAATGTCTCGATCCGGAAGGTATTCGCTAGACCATTCGAAAATGTCCAAGGGCCATCGCCAGATGAACTCTCTAGGCCATTTCTAGCTTCGGTGTATTTGGCCTCTATCTGAACTGGCCCTGACAGGGACTGAGCTTGAAACAATGGAAAACCACCCACTTCATTGCCATAATCCAGTATCACAATAGGATGAGATCCGGATAGAGTGAAGCAAGTGTTCGAACCATTATGATTGGAGGTTTGAGATCCAATCGAGTATTTCTCGGGGTAAACAATGAAAGGGGCTCTGATATAGATGTGAGCAATAATCCCAAATGACATTGATTCAAAAGTATAGTCGCATTCTGCTCACCTTCCTTCTGCTACTGATGCAAACCCAATTGATCCAATACCTATTGCCCAGGCATAGACATTTCCGGAGAAAAGCATATCGGCGAGAAATTCTTTTGACAAGTCAACCGACAGTTCTCTTCTGTGTTTGTGAAAAGAGAATGCTTGAAGATTTTATCATCAATTAAAAAGGGCACTGATGATCATTTCCCCACATCTTCCGAGTGTTTGGACTCGGTCAATACAACCCCGGAATTCCCGAGAGTACGGTTTTGAATTGCAGTGTTTAAGGCAAGCTTGAATGTTTACCCTGCATGTTTGCTGAATGCCCTTTCGCACTAATTAATACCGAATCGGGTTGTGGGGGACATACGGGAAATACCATTTGAACAATCTCAACCAATAATTTGTTAGCATTGAACAAAGCTACTTTTGCCTCGGATATCCCCTCGCTTTTAAACATTGATATAGTTACATGCTCTCCAAAAGCCTGGGAACTCCGTGTATTTGAATGCATATATTTAACCGTAGCACCCTTCTTTCCGCTTTTTCTTTTTAAAAAATGAGTTCATTATGTGTTAGTTAGGACGCCGCCGAATATGTACTTTGTAGTAGAGAGAGGACAATAATATGACACAGCATTTCAACCAGAAGGATTTCAAACTACTTCGATTCGGACAAAACTGCTTCTAGTCTATGATCCCCGCTGGCAACAAAGCCACGTAGTCCAGCGGAGCCGGTTCAGTTCCATTGGGCATTCCCACAATCTTCAGAATATCGCCCCTTCGAACCTTGACGTTCCGGAACTTTATACGTGTAGCCGAATGTCCGTCCAGATATATTGAAGGTGTGTGACTGAATATGTCCTCACTATTTCCTGTCCACTGGCCGATTTTCCTGTCATTGAGATAGACCTTCCACTGGGACTGGCCTCCAAAGAGATCATAGTAATTCACCGCGAGATCGTAAGTCCCAGAGGGAAATGGTATTTTGGTAGAAGCGGTGCCGGCAGTATTATTGGAGATCGTAACAATCGCAACAGAACCAGAGGCCGTTTCGAATGGGCTGACATTATAGGTCTTGTAACCGTCGAGCTTCATGCTTTCGGCTTCAATACGCCATGGGTGGTGGTTAACACGTTTGGCCTGGTCAGGAATACCAGATAGGTTGTAGTAGAAGTTATTGATGGCATCTCTCCAAACGATTGAATGGCCAGTCTGGTAGTCGAGGAAGTGTCGTACATGATTGTATCGCTCGGTGTCGATTTTGCCTTGAAGCGATTCCCACTGCTCAAGGAAGCCCTGCGCTGTCTCGGCACCCGTGTAGTGTGAGTCATAGAAGTGTTGAATTACAGTCTTACCCGAGTGCAGGCGGTGGGTATAGTTGACATGGTGGAACCATAGCAGAAGGTCGTCCGGTGTACTTTCGATACTTTCGTACATGGCAGCGATCTCATCTGGATACTGGCCAGAATATCCAGTTCCATTTGCCACAGTCCGATCCATTCCAATGGTGGTCTGGTCTGCCCGGGTCCATTGACCCCAGCCGTTGTTGTCTTGGGATGCAGGATTAGGGCCATAATGAGTGTATAGAATATCAGTCAACGTCTGAATACCTAGGTTGCCACTGTATTGCTCATAAGCAGGCCAGGACTCCATAGACATGCGAGTGATAGTATCAAGCACCTTTCGGTCCAGTCCAAAGGTCAACCTGATCCAGTCTTGCAAGATTTCTTGGGTGTCATCGGCAGGATTCCAGGCCAAACGACCGTAGGCATATAAATTTGACATGGACAGGTGGCTACCTAACCAGGTGGTGTTGGTACCCACATTGACAACAGCCGCCGATCCACCCAATTTGCGATTGAACCGTTTGCCAGTCACAATATCGCGAACGAGCGATGGTTGGTGGTCAACACGGAGGTCGAAATCCAGAATTGTTTTCCAAAGGGGAGCAACATATACCAAATGGGATTGTTGGCCAAGATATTCTTGCGTGACCTGAAGCTCAATGGCCATGCTGGTGTTGAAAAGATTCGCAAACAAGGGCGATGCCGGCTCGCGGACCTGGAAGTCGATAGGCCCGAACTTGATTTGTATCACAACATTGTCTTCAAATTCGCCATCTAGATCCTTGAAGAAGTTGACGGCAGCTTTTGCGCGGTCATCTGTCCAGATGGATTCATTGAGCTGATTGTAGACAAAAGCGCGGTACATGACAATGCCACCATACGGCTTGACTTCTTTGGCGAAAAGATTCGCTGCGTCTGAGAGGGTTCTGTTGTACGTTTGCGGGCCCGGCTGCCCTTCGGAATCAGCCTTGACAAGATAGCCAGCCATGTCGGGAACTCGCTCATAAACTTGGGCAGTAATGTTCGACCACCATTCAATGACAGATGCATCGAGGGGATCGAAAGTGCTGAGCCCCCCATAAGTTTGAGGAGATGCAAAATTCAGTGACAATCCAACTTGAATACCGTAAGGCCTGAAAATATCGGCGACTCGGCCCACCCCGTCGAGGTTGGTGGGGTCTAGGAGGGTGGCGTTGGCGTTGACATTATTGATCACCACAGCATTGATCCTGATCGAAGCCAAGAGACGAGCATATTCAGCGACACGGGTGAGGTCTTGAACAATTTGGCCGTTGTTGAAGAAGATAGAGGGGCCACCGTAGCCACGTTCGATACTGCCATCCATATTGTCCCATTGATTCACCCAGCGAATAGGCGCAGAAGGATTCGAAGCATATGAGACCTCAGAGAAATTTCCCTGTGCAAGCATTGACAAATATTCAAACGCGCCGTACAGCGCGCCTCTTTCATTCTGTCCAAAGATTTGAACATTATCTCCCTTGGTGTTCAACCAAAAGCCATCTTCTTCAAGGTCAGGTACACCATTCACAGCACCACAGGAGCGGCGATATTGGTCAATAGTGCCAACGATGATCGAGGAAGAAACCTTGCACTTGTTATGCGTGACTTGTACATTTTTCCCATAAACACCTTTGAGTCCAATTTTTAGTTCCGTCCCCGCAACATACACCGGGCTTGTCTTGGTTGTATTGAGAGTGACGATAGTCGAGGGAAGGTTGGATCGGCATTGACCAGAACATGGCAATGATGCATACCGCAGCCAACCATTGAGGCCATCCTCAGCGGCCGCAACACCTAAAAAGGCAAGGAAACCGAGTGACCACATTGTAGCCAAGAGTTATGGACATGATCCCGCAATGTGGTCGACAGTCGCCCTTTATAACGAAGTAGCAAAAGATGAGCAGGTTCCCCAGATCCGCATAATTATTGGTGAAACTTCAGGCTAAATGAGCTATTTAGTGCCGACAAATATAGGCTATAATATTGCAAGTGTGGGGAGATGATCCTGAAAGAAACATAGTACAATATTGTAGTTAGTATTGACTAGTATGTACAACGTGCATTTATGTATTTTCCCCGCAAATTACTGCGGAGGCGCGTGGGGGTCTTTTCTGCATGCCAAATTACGAATTGGAGTAATCAAAGCAGCTGCTCTTAAGTCCCATGCGCTCATCAGTTATTCTCATGAGTGACGTTCATCAGACAACAGTCCCGACCAAAAGATAATATGATATTCACAGCTCATAAACGAGCTTTTCGAATCAGAGGGGACCCAGAGGCGTTGGCTGCGAAAGCTTGGCACGGCTAAAGAATGGCAAGCAAACAAGCGTCAAAATATAGACGGGTATTTCATTTAGGCTATTCCTATAGCGTTGAGTTTCGCTCTGACATTACTTCATTACGACGGCGAGCAAGCGTCCTCGTACGCTGATCTACAGTGGGCCTAGTTTAAAAAGTTCCGTAATGCATCATTATTCGTGAGGAAGTTTTGGTTCAAGAATGGTTCAAGATTTTATTTTGTAGGCTCGCAACAGGGCGATACGCTTAAGCCTCACGGCTCAGGATGTCGGAGTCACCGGCATCGAGGATAGCCATGGCGGAGCAGCGGAAGAGCTTACCGCAAGCGGTACCGAGCTCAATCTATAGGGCAAGTTAGTCCAATTCGCTCTCCGGGACGCCTTTTTCAGGTGATCCCTTCGCTGAGCAACTTCACTCTCCGAAGTGGTAGTTTTGACCACTTCTTCGTTGAGTAGTGGAGCTGACTCCGAGGTACGACTGCCAGTATTTCATGCTGTCGACCCGCGGGGGAAGGGGATAAAACGTACGTTGTTGCCGTTGAAGTGGTGAACGGGGGTCTTGGCGAGCATGGCGTAGTACTCAAGCTCAGACTTGCGCAGAGGAGGGCAGTTGCCGGAGATGAGGACCAGCTTGGCCTTGCCGGAGCGGAGAGTCTTCATGGTGGACTTGGTACCCATGGTAACTAGAGAATTGTGAGCGAAATGCACTTTTGTGCGATCGGAAAATTGAGCTTACCCTTGCCAGACTTCATCACAAGCGCAAGGCGCGAGGAGAGAGTGTCACCGGACTTCTTAGTCTTGACCATTTTGAATGATTTGAGAGGTTGGCTCGTAAGAAGATTGTTGGATGGTTGGAGACGAAAGAGAAAAAGACTTCGAGAATTAGAAAAAAATGCAAAGTGTGGAAACCTGGCACGTGACTTTAAATTTTCAGCAAGCCCTAGTACCACGTGATGGGATATACCGCCTTATTTTGCCAGTTGACCGGGCCGAACATCGCAGCAATAGTAATTGGCTGCGGGGTGTTGAGTCACTGCCAACTTATTTCTCTTCTTTACCCCTTCCGTCCGTTCTCTACTTCCTTTCTTTCCTCATTTTGCATTCTGCATTGCTTTTTCTTCCCTCCGTTTGCCTAAGTTGTTCATCATGACTGAAGCTACCAGCGCTGCTGCGCCATTCCGTCAGTTTATGCCCCTCATTCCTTCCCGTTGAACTGATACTAAATCCCGTAGAGAGAGTCGCTTCGCAACCTGAGAACCCATATGCCCAGTTGATTGAGGATCAATCGATTGCAATTGTCCCTTCTTTCAAACTCGAGTCTGGCGTCACCCTATACAATGTCCCAGTTGCATATACCACACGAGGAACTCTCGCTCCCAACGGAGACAACGTGCTGGTGATCTGCCACGCTTTGAGTGGCAGCGCCGATGTCGCTGACTGGTGGGGTCCTCTTCTCGGAGGTCCTGGTCAGGCATTTGATGTCTCTCGGTTCTTTGTAGTGTGCTTGAACAGTCTGGGTAGCCCGTACGGAAGTGCCAGCGCTGTGACCTACAAGGATAATAAGCCTGAAAATGGCTACTATGGACCTGAGTTCCCCCTGACAACTGTTCGTGATGACGTCAAGTAAGTCATCAACAAAATAATCATAATGGAGTTGAACTAGCTAACCTATGAATTAGTATCCACAAACTCGTCTTGGATGACCTCGGTGTAAAGCAAATCGCCGCAGTGGTTGGAGGTTCCATGGGTGGCATGCTCACCCTGGAATACGCCTTCTTTGGCAAAGATTACGTCCGAGCCATTGTGCCCATTGCAACTTCAGCACGCCATTCCGCTTGGTGCATCAGCTGGGGTGAGGCTCAGAGACAGAGCATCTACAGTGACCCCAAGTATGACGACGGTTATTATCCATTTGATGATCCGCCATCTACTGGTCTCGGTGCAGCTCGTATGTCAGCACTTCTCACCTACCGTAGCCGCAATTCTTTTGAATCTCGGTTTGGCCGCAACGTGCCTGACCCGACCAAACGCCTTAATATCAACGGTGCTGAGAGGCAACCCACTCCCCCGAACGAGCACTGGGCCATCCACAACGATGGACACCGTGGTGGATCGCGATCCGAAAGCCGGCAAAGCTCGCCCGCTCCACAGTCCGAAGTCCAATTCATGGATCCTCAGTTCTCTGGTACTAAAACCTTTGCGCCAGAGATCGACACAAAGCCCAAGTTGACCGCATCTGGTCGTCCTCGTCCACCAACCTACTTCTCCGCCCAGTCCTACCTCCGCTACCAGGGTGACAAGTTTGTTAAGAGATTTGATGCCAACTGCTACATCGCCATGACCCGCAAACTTGACACGCACGATGTGTCCCGGCACCGGACTAACCCTGCCACTGCCGGGCAGGATACCGTTCTTGAGGCTCTTGGGCGGGTGGAACAGCCTGCTCTAGTACTGGGTATCGAATCCGACGGTCTCTTCACCTTCGCCGAGCAGCAAGAGGTTGCTGATGGTATTCCCAATTCTCGTTTGAAGCGCATCGATAGCCCAGAAGGCCACGATGCATTCTTGCTCCAGTTTGAGCAAGTCAACCGTCACATTGTCGAGTTCTTCCACGAGGTCCTGCCAGACATCATGGCGAAATCGAGTGCCGACGGCGCTGCTGCCGTGGCTAGTGTCACCAAGCTGACGAAGAGCAGCACCTTCGGTGAAGCCGAGGTGGAGGACATCACCGCTTGGTAAAGCGTTGATCACAAAAAGGTTTTTATAGGCGCAGTGTTGTCTGCAGCCATCCCATGCTCCGATCTGGGTTCATATTCCCGCCCGGTCCTTCTTCCGGTAATATGGATTAAGGATTCCCGGCTTAGGGTTCACGCCCAGATGGATGTCATGACGCACTAGGGGAAGTAGGTTGCTGTTCTTTTTTTTCTGTTCCGCCAGTCAGGGAGATGAGCATCCAACTGCCTCTCTCGTCTCTCACTTGGAATCATCCTTGTCTGAGAAGACTGTCAAAGAAGCATCCAACTGCTCTCCATCAGACCCGCCCTCTGGGTCAACTTTTTCTCCGGGAGGAGACTCTCCGGAGGTGATGGGTCCGTTTAAGGTATTGGTAGCCATGAGCTACCATTGTGACAAGCATGTCGCATACAATAAAATTCAATTGCGTACAACACCGGGGACTACCCCCATACCATTACATCCTATAGCCCCGTAGACGGTGTGAAGCGATAACCATGTAGTTCCTTTAAAAGTGAGTTCAATCGATTCTCTCATTCATCTTACTGAAGAAAGGACTCGACATGCAAATCGGTCGTTCTACAACCCTCCTCTCATGGTTCCTCTCTCCGCCCCCTTGAAGCCCAAGAGCGACTGCGTTCGCACCCGAAACAGAATAGGTAGAGAGTAAGCAATGAAAAAGCTTTGCTGTTTCTGGAGGGTGCAGAGCTCTTAGAAGTAGAGTCGACCCGGGCTATGTTAGACTACTTATGGTCATAGATCGCGTGATCAAGCGTGTCGATAGTGGTTTTAACGGGTCTAGCAAAATTCTGTTGTCATCTATTTACGAAACTTTTATATAGTTCAACTGCGTTAAATGCCAATAGAGTTGGGGTTCGGATCGACTCTTGCTATGCCGCTGGCATGGCCAGAAAGGACCAAGAGAAATTAATTATATATGTAGCTTTGGCAGGCCTGTCAGTACTCGCATAGACTATTACCCAAGTTTCTAACGTTGCCACCGAGTGATCGAGGCTTCTAGTCGCTTAAGGTTGTCTCCTCCTCTCACCCTATGGAGTACATTTTCCGAATATATATAAGTCCAAGCCGAAGTGGACGTATTCGGTACTTGAAATTCACATTCCCCGGAGTCAACCCGCCACAATATTCCTCGGTTTCAGCTGTGACGTTGATTTATGTAAGTGCTGACACGCTTGGATCATATACCTAGGTACGCCCGCGGGCAATAACATATAATTTAAGGTTTGTCAAATATTTCCACTCTTAGATTGGAATATATAGAGACGCATGAGTCTATACAAAGTAATCTTTTCACACAATATGTGCCTTAATTATTATAGAAGGTGGTATTTATGTCGTAGACAGGTTCTCGGATAACAAACCCATTAACTTGGACTTGTTTTACTAGAGTCTCAGAGCAGACTCGTCTATAATAATATTGTTGTCAAAAGTGGCGCAAAGAGAGAGAGCTAAGCGACCTGAGTCACACACACTACTGTGAGCTTAGACCCTTGTAGATCGTAAGAAAATCGAATCAAGAATTTTAATGTTTGGCTATGTCTCACTAATTCTCTTAGAGCTGCATTTCTAGACCCTGCAAAAAAAAAACCAAAAAAACCAAAAAAAACCAAAGAAAGGAACTTCTTGGAAAAGAGTCCTAAATAGGGGGTTTCATAACCCAAGTCCAAGTCTAGATTGTGGACAAACATCGAGCTTTTGTTGATCTGAACCCTATTAGGACTGGTCAGACTTGATTATCTTCAAAGTGGCTGTTGCTCCGACCTTAGCTGCAGTAGCTCATGGTTGTACCATGATATACCGATGATACAGCCCTAAAATTGTCCCCGGCCAATGCGTTGGGCCGAGATCATCCTTAATCTCTAAACTACATACATTATGTCTGTAAGTGTTCCGTACGTGTATCGAATTTTGGGGCGCGCCCCAAAGTATACTTATATATTCACGTATTTAATTCCTGTTTTAACGCTTATCCTGCATACACTATTTCGGATCCACTATATCATCACTGGTGCTTATCTTTTTGTTGTTTTTTATGGCGGTTAGGTGTCTGATCACATTACCACTGGAGCGAAGTACTTTCTTATCTGTAGCTCATTATGGTCTTATAGTTGTAAAGGGTTTCCCACATTCCAAACAACCTTCCCCCGCATACCAACCAGTTGTACTGACAACTAGGATAGTAACATCAAATTGCAATTGACATCACATACTTTGGGAGATTACCTGGATTTGATCTGCAGTTGCATCTGAACCAGTCGTTTGCGCCGTGGTGGACTATATTCTGGGGCATTTGGGTGTTGATCATTGGGAGCCGCATTATCAGCGTTGGCAGGCCAGTTCCGTTGTTTGCCTGCCCTATCCAGACTCTGTTGTTTTCTCCTCTTTTTCCGCACTCTGTTCATTTTGGTTGAACTGGTTGTTTGCCTCTTGTCCTCGTCAAAATAATACCCTGTACCATCATCGGAGAAGAAGAAATCCTTGCCTCTGAGATGGAACGCAAGCCATCAGCAAAAGCAAACAAGATGCGCAACCGTTTGACTTTCACTCGAAGCGCCTCGCCGCGAGACCGAGCGGCAACATTGGTATCACCGACCGCAAGCAGTCCACCCAGAAGTCGACCTCGATCAGCGTCAAATCCCGAGTCTCCTACCCACGACGAGCCAATGTGGGACAACCACGGCATCAATTCTAGTCGAGGGTACACCTTCACTGACGAAATTGGTTACTTTCGCCCCGCATCACCATACATCGACCGTCAAGAGATACACGAAGATATCGAGGCGGATATCAAGCATGCATGCGCCCTACTTTCCCACAGCATCGACCGTGGTGTCCCGGCCGGACTGTCGTATCAAAGTGCTGTGCCCGACTGGACAGGTGCACAAAAGCCCGCTGGTCAACCTAGTGCCGATGTTCCTTCGTCGCTGGAACAGCATGTCATCATCTTTCCGGCGCCCAAGCCAATTAATATTCAGACAGAGAGCACCAAGAAGCATGACTCGGGTGTGGGTATGAGTTTTAGCTCTCCTCACCAACCGGGCAGAGGCAACAGTGTATCGGGCACAGTGTCCTCCGCACGATTCTATAACAAGCAGTCCTCTGCATCGCCACCAGGCAGCCCCTCACAAGATAGACTCCGATTTCAAAGCCAAAGCCGAAGAGAAAGCATCCAGCCAGATGAGCCCGGGGAGCTATCATTCTGTTCGAGCCCAGTTCCATTCCCATACAGTCCCCCTCAGATGAACGGCGAGTGGCCGTCCAGCGAAATAACACTTGAAAGCCCCGTCAGCCCACTCAATGAAACCGATAAACAGCTGGGAGCCACTGCGTCCCAGCCCCAGTTCATGGCTCCGAACCCAACAAACGGGAAAGCCATCGACACTTCATCACCATCCATATCTCCCACAGAAGAGCCATGTCTCGGCGAAGAGGGCATGAACTGGCTCCGTGCTAGCAGAAACATCCAACATCTGGCCGACGAAGAAAACGCCAAAAACGCCGAAGCCAAAGCCGCGAAGACCACCGGTCGCTTTTACAGCGGCAACAACCACACCACCGGGGCATTTAATTCTCGCGAGTGGCTGACGAAAAATTTCTGGGAGGATCGGGACCCGAGTGTTTACGGCGAACCGTCACTGTCATCGTCCCATGGAATGAGATTCAGATCTGGAACTGGAACCCCCCGTATGGGAAGTGTTTCGACAACTGAAGACGACTTGCACCCTGGGTATCCGTATGGGACGTGGGCTATTGACCGCGGGATGTCTTTTTCTTCCTCCTGTTTGGGAGATGAGTTTAAACACCAGGAGACTCTTTACTCGGTTGTTACGCCTAATTGCCCGCCACCAAGGAACCGACGGAATAAGGCCTCGCTGTTGTTGAGGAAATTGGCTGGATTGAGATTGAGAAGGAAAGACGGGAGGGAAGCTTGAACACCCCTAGGTGTTATTCATTTGTTTGATATAAACGTTTGATTGTTTTCTATGTAGATACCCCATTTTATTCTTTTTTATGTAACGATTCGTGCTTGTTATTAGGGCTTCGGGGAGTTGATGATTAGCTTTCACATTTAGACAGGTTGAATCCAAAAGTGAACCCAGCAGCATTGATCCTATATTTCTTTATATGCATTTAGTGCTAGCCTATAATGACTAGGTTAATCCGTTCATCAACAAGTAAACAGGATATCTACATCTCAATTTTATGGAGATTTATTTCACAATGAGGAAAGTGGGCGAGAATTTCTGCCTGAATATTCAGTTTCTGCCCGAATGCCTTTTGCTCAGGTTCGAAGTTCAAATTTTGAATCACATTGTTCAATAGTTTTAATCAATTTAAGAACATCGAAGATCATAAAAAAATACAGAGAAAATCCATACGAAATGCCAGCCCAACGTATCCGTATCCCTTCCACGTATAAAAATAGCATTACTCATGAAACATGATGCTAAATAAAGCCGGACGAATTTGGGCCCAATTAAAGACCTACAGACCCAGCCAGAACCTCGTTTTGCCAACCTCAAATTCACCGCGGAGCTCCTCCGGTCCAGTGCCGGTAACAAGAATTTGGTATTTCCCTTTCTCGGAAATCCACTGATCTCGTTCCTCGTCCCACCAGCTCGACGCTAGCTTCTTCTCCACAACCAACTGCACGGTCTTTGTCTCACCGGGGTGCAGGAAGACCTTCTGGAATGCCTTCAACTCGCGCACAGGCCGTCCGACATCTGTCTTCGGGGGCAGAACCCACAGCTGAACAACCTCGGCACCGGCCACGGAACCAGTGTTGGAGACAGTGACCGAAGCAGTGATTGGCTCACCGGACTCGGCATACTTGGTCTGCTCAGGAACAGTCTCGATGCGCAGGTCTGAGCGCGAGAAAGTCGTGTATGATAACCCGTGGCCGAAACTGAAGCCGGGAGAAACGTCGCTCTTCTCGAAATACCGGTAACCGACATAGATGTCTTCACCATAGAGGACGCGACCGCGCTCGGAGCGGAAGTTCAGGTATGAGGGGTTATCTTGCAAACGGCGGGGAAAGGTGATGGGAAGTTTGGCGGAGGGGTTGACGTCGCCATAGAGGACGTCCGCGATGCCGTTGCCGCATTCGTTGCCCCCGAACCAAGCTTGCACGAGGGCCTTGGCCTTGTGTTCCCATGGCATTGTGACCGGTGTGCCGGACTGAAGGACTACGACTGCATTGGGGTTCACATCCAGCACGCGGCTAATAAGCTCATCGCTGCCAGGAGGTAGGTCCATGTGTTCGCGGTCGTGGCCCTCGGTCTCCCATTCGAGAGTCAAACCGGCAAAGATGACGACTTGCTCTGCTGTTTTGGCTTGTTCAACTGCGTGGGCGATCAAGTCTTCTTGGTCGACCTGTCTGCTGGCGCCGAAGCGGAAGCCGCCTGGACCAAATGCGACAATTCCACGAGTGTCCAGATCTGAAGTGGGTGCGCTGCCGAACTGGAACAGGACTTTGTAGGTCTGGCCGGCCTTGAGTTCTTTCGTACCGCGCTCTTCAATAGTGGCTGTACCAAAGAAGGCGGAACCTTGCTTCTGATTTTTGGTGTTGTCGACAACCACCTCGTCATCGATGAGGAGGCGTCCTGTCCCAACGACTGTGACGCCGAAGTCATACACTCCGCTCTCCTCGGGGGTGAACGATCCCTCCATGTCAACATAGTAGGTCATGGATTTGATCTTTGGGTTAATGTAGTCCATCAAGAAGCCAGATGAGTCGAGCAGATGCAACTCATCCACGACCTGTCGGTCCTCGCCCGAGTTTGGATGTTCATTGTAAACCTTGAAGGTGAAGCCGGGCTTGCCATCTGCAGTCTTAAGCAGTGGCCCAAGAAGCGGCAGCTCTTTGTGTGAATACGCGCCCTGGCTGAACGTGACGTCTCCCTTGCTTTTGGCAGAGACGCCCTGGAATGGACTGACGGTATAGTATGGGGCCAACGATGCGGAGCCCCCACCACAATAAGCGGCAATTCTAGCATTGGGTCCAATGACTAACAAGGACCCATCCTTCTTGAGGGGAAGAATATCGCCCTCGTTTTTCATAAGTACAACAGACTCAGCCGCAGCACGTCGCATCAGAGCTTGGTCTTCTGGTCGGTTGAGTGCCTTCTCGGGTGCTTCCTCGGGGATTCCAAGAGGCTCAACCCAGTTGACAAGGTTAAGCACGTTGCGCACACGCTCGTCAAGTTGGTACTGGGCAACCTTGTTTGACGAGACGGCGTGCGCAAGAGCCTGGCCTCTCCAGCGGGTCTGACCAGGCATCTCGATGTCGAGCCCGGCAACGATAGCATCAGAGGTACTGTATGTACCAAACCTGCGAAGAACCACTTAATGAGTCTCATAATATAGCCGATCAAACATGTACAAAAGCTTACCAGTCACTCATAACAAGTCCTTCCCAACCCCACTCCTTACGCAAGATATCATCAATAATAGCCTTGTTCTCACTGACATGAGTGCCGTTAATCTTGTTATAAGCCGTCATCACACACTTCGAGCGACAAATACGCATCGCCAACTGAAACGGCATCAAATAGATCTCACGCAACGCCCGGTTTGTAAGAATACTACTAACCGCCATGCGCTCGTGCTCCTGGTCATTGCAGACAAAGTGTTTCAGGGTCGCAGCAACGCCCTTTTCTTGCATCGCCTTGCAGAAATGGCCCGCCAATGTACCAGAGAGCACACCGTCCTCGGAAAATGACTCGAAGCCACGTCCACCGAGCGGTGACCGTTGGATATTAATTGTGGGACCGAGCACGACGTGTGTGCCTTTTGCGATTGCTTCTTCGCCCATCAATGCGCCGACCTGGGAGAGAAGTTCGGCATCCCAAGTGGCACCTAGCGCTGTTGCGCAGGGGAAGCATGCTGCTGGGATACCATTGAAGAATCGTGTGCCGCGGACGCCATTAGGTCCATCGGACATGCGCAGTGCGGGGATGTTGAGACGCGGAATAGAGGCAGTGTGCCAAAAATCCTTACCTGGTGTGAGGTGTCAACTTATGAACGGCAACTTTGAGAATGGGGTTTTATATACCAGCTGTAAGAGCTACCTTCTCTCCAAGAGTCAGTTCTTCAATCGCCTTTTCAACGTCGATTCGAACCATGATGTATTGCAGTCGAGCTTATGGCCCGATTCCTGTGTGCTTTGGGGTTATATGCTCAATACCTACAACGTAGTATGATATTTGAATACCGACAAGTCCCAGAGAAAGGCTGCTGGGTCTCAATATCCCAAACTAGAAAGAGGTATGCAATACTGAATCCGGATCAAGGAAGTGGTATGACGATGTTATTGTTGAGACAAAGGTTGACAGAGATGATGCAGATACAGGGTCACTCCGGAACCTTTATAGAGTCTTTGAAATCGGACCAAGCTTACGAGACCAAAGCTTTAGAAGATACGTCAAATGTGAGTACACGAACAAGATGCAGATCCACTGATACCTCAAAGAGACACGGAGGTACTTGCGAAGGCCGAAGTTTAGCCGGCAGTAAGGGCGGGGCAACTGGGATGTCGGGCCGCTGAGCCTTTTCCTGACTAACGCAGTCTGCGTAAGACTGCGAGGTGGCCAGTTCGTAGGTGCGAACTGGCGCAGGGCTAAGACCCGCAGTGCGAGGGCTCTCACATAACCCCAGTTATATTTAGTCAGTCTAGAGGCTGGAGTCTTAGACTCCAGCATTTAGTTTAGCATTGAACCATACTACTGCTTTCTCCATTCTATTTCCCGAATCCACCTTAAGTCCCAAGACCCTCGGCTTCTAGTTGTCTATACATGTATGTAACTGGGTATTTTCAATATTTTTGTTTGCATTATATTTCAACAATGCATTGCATTCCTATGGTGTTCATTTAGAAAGAAAAAGACATATAGAGAAGTAAAATTGTTAGTCCCCAAACACCAGGCAGAATGCAAGAGACGAGAGATATGAGAGAGAATTGAGGCAGTGTCGAGAAATATCGTAGCAAAGAAAGAAGAGAAAAGAAGAGAAAATTGAATTTTAAGAGAAGCAAGTTCGATCGTTCCTTCAAGAGTTCAACATCGGGTATAATGAGGAAAGATCAGGCTCCTCGACGAGGGCGCTTGTTGTCATTTCCCATCCTCATGCCACGACCACCATCGGTGTTGTCTTCAGGACCTTGTCGAGCGCGCTTACGGTGTCCAGTGCCACCAGAGTTGCTCCCGCCTTCGCGATGATGATCGCGATCACGTCGGTCGCCGCGACGCTCGCGTTCGCGATCCCGGTTGTCGGTTCGAGCTCCCCGGTCACCACCACCCGCGTTGAAACGACGTTCGTTTCCTCCAGGCGGAGGAGGCGGGGGAGGTGGAGGGGGCGGCGGTACGGCCTGAGACGATGAAGGGCGTAAACGGCCTTCGCCTTCTTGGGCATTACTGCCTGTGGCAGGTGGCCCGGCCAGTTCCGGTGGTCCATCTGGGCGATCGCGTCGATCGCGGCGTCTAAGCTCCTCGCGCGAGCTCTGGACCCGACGTAGGGTCTCACGGGGTTCACCAGCGCGTTCCTTGTCGTCGCGACTACCACCGCCGCCTACATCGCTTCTGCGGCTGCGTTCACGATCACTTCGGCGGCCATCACGTCGATTGCGGCCATTGCTGCTACCCTCACGGCGCTCGGGGTCTTTCTCGCGGTTGGAGTCTGATTCGCGGCTGTGATCACCAGTACGTCCAGAGCGACCTGATTCAGAAACGACAACATCATCAATTAGGTCGGCAACCCGGCCACCATTGGGCCGATTGCGAGATTGGTCTTCGTTAGGTCCTGCAGGTCCCATAGGTGGACGGTTTGGAGGCTGAGCTGGCGGTGCTTCCATTGTGTTGGATTGGCGATTGGCGCCTCGTCCGCGAACAGATGGGGGATTTCCACTGCGATCACCGCCACCACCGGACTGCTGAAGCACGTTGTTGAGTCCGGCGAAACGTTTATCGCCACGGCCACGCTCTCCACCGAAGCCAGCACCAGCAGGCCCAGAGGGAGGCGGGGGGCCAGGCGGACCAGATTGCACAGAAGAGCTAGCAGGGCCTCGTGGCACCTGCTGTGGGGTTGAGCCACCACGGGGACCAGAGGGAGGGGCATTGGGGGCTACATCATTGACGAGTCTGAGGCGATCTGGATGAATTTCAGGTGCACTGGTCGAGCCTGAGGGCTGTGACGGGGCGGAAGCTTGTTCAGGTGCCAGACGTCCATTTTGTCGGCTAGGGCCTGTGGGCGCCTGGCGATCTGGGAGGGGGGCGGTAGCATTGACTGAGCTGGTATTAGGGGGAGGCTGCCCGGAGGCGTTGTTGCGTCCACCACGTCTTCCTCTGGGTCCAGCAGGAATGTCAGTTTGAGGTTCTGGCTGGCGAAGGCGACCGTGACTCAAATCAGGGCCTGAGGCAGAATCCCTAGGATCGACTGGTCGATCACTGCGAGGGCCCCTGGGAAGGTTATCAATCCGAGGGGAACCAGTGAAGCCAGGAGGACGGCGATCATCGGGAGGTGGGAATCGTTCCGGGCGGTTTGGCAAGTCAGTAGGCCGGGATGGTGATACAGGGCGTGGTGGATAAGGCCTGCGGTCATCCTTTTCCGATCTGGATGAATCTCCACGTCGATTATCAACAGGTCGGTCCATGGGGTCAGGCATCAGCTCTCCCCGCACAGGGCCATCGCGCCCGTGGAAGGAATCATTAGGTCCAGGTCCGGGCCCAGGGCCAGGTCCACGCATACGACCCGGTCGATCCATAGGCCAACCATTCTCTCGACCAGTGCGAGAATCGCGAGGCGGTCCACGCATTAGATCGTCGGCTGGAGGTCGCATGGGGAAGTCGCGATCACGATCGCCAAGACGTTCATTGAGGCGCCCTCGGACATCGTTCAACGGACCATCAAAGGAGCGGCCATGGTCAGGGCCACCATGACGACCGCGGGGACCGAAGTCAGGGTGTCTATCTCGTCGATCATCCAATCCCTCAGGGCGTGGAGGCAGCCTTCCATCGCTGTGGCGGGCCGGTGGACGAACAGGGGGGTGAATTTGTTGACGGAGATCAGGTCGTTTAGGAATGTCGGGTTGACGTCCCGAATCGGGTCGAGATCGTGCTTGATCTCCAGATGGGAGGTCTTGATTGTTCTCGGCAGCGACGGAAGGTGTAGTCGATCCAGCCTGAGAAGACGTACCAACGGGCTTGATCTCATCGCCCTTTCCTGAATTTATATCGCCCATCTTCGCATCCTCAATCTCACCATCTTCAACTTCAGTCTTGCCGAATTGCTCTGACTTTGTAACTCCCTCTGGGCTAATGGTCGAAAGGTTAGTTATCGCGAGGGAGTTCAGGCGCTGAAAAGAATTACTTACTTTGAGGCTCCCGGGGGGCTGAATTCTGGGGCTGAAGCATTCAAGAGTGTGGCAGATCCTGGTGTCCCAGCCTTTCCAGCTTTATCGGCAGATTGTTGAGGTCTAGATTGGAGCGGCGCAGCGAGTATATTGAAAGCCTGCGGTAACATCCACTTCTTCTCTCGTCGGTTGAGGTCACCAATCAGCGAGGCGGCGGGAATTTTGACATCGTCTCTCTCATCGGTCTTGCTCAATCGATCAACGCAATTAAGAATGTCTCTGCCAATCCAATTGACAGCAGGGAAATGTTGAACAACAGCCTTCAACACACTGATGGCATTTCGGATGTGCATGTATTCACCGCTGTTAAGACAGCTTTTGAGAGCGTTGGAGAACCAACGGTGCCATTTGTATAACAAACGACGGAATTCCTCGAATTCCAAGAACTTCACTGGCTCACCCTCGGAGTCGACATTCTTTGCAAATCCAGGAAGATCTCTTCTGGCTCCGAAACCTTCCTTCTCATAAATAGCCTTGTCGGCATGCCATCTGGCGAGGTCACGCAAAAGCTCGTTCAAAAAGCGACCAAGATTGTCCGCTTCTTTTGAGGTGCACATGAAGATGACAGAAGTGAGCCTGCGCTCGCGGAAGAATTGGTCGAGCATGCCAACCGTGCGGAAGTTGGGAGTTCCTGAGCTGTGAAGAAACTTCACCATCTTGAAGCTAAAGAAGGCATCAAGAGGGGACAAAAGAAGTCGAGGAATGAAACATTGCTCTAACAAGGCAACATTGAGAGAGTCATGCTTGCCATGCATGCCTGCAAACCACCTATCTTTCTCCTTCTGTAGTCGAGAGCGGGTTTGTCCGTACGCCTTCAAGTGATTCTTGTTCTCTTCCAAGATACGTTCTTGCAATTGGGTGATCTGCTTCTTCTGTTGGTCCTTGCGCCCAATGCCCGCCGCACTGAGATCAGATCGATCACTGTTGATGGATACTACTCGTCGCTTGAGCCGGTCAATCTCATCCTCGTAGGACTTCTGTGGGATATGAATATCATAGAGGGCAAGCTGCCAGAATGTTGCATAGAAGTGGGCTCCAACAGTCTCCCATGTCTCCATAGGCAAAGCAGATTTGACGTTCTCGATCAGATCTTGCATGACAGGATTTGCGGCCAATGGCTCGGCATTGACGGCAGGGATTTGAAGAGAATCAGGACCCTCAATCACACTCGTAGTTGCTGATTCGACCTTGTCGACATCCATGGCATCTGCGGGGGTATCTTCCGGTTTGGTTGCCGTTTCGCCATCCTCGGCCGTGTCCATGCTGTCACCGTTCGGCTTAGAGCTAGCGGTGTCATCCACAGTCGAGATTTCCTTTTCTTGCTTTGATTCTTCAATCTTTGTTATTTTTTGGGCAATACTGGGCCGCCGAATCCAGAACGCGATTTCAGGCTGGATTCCAAACTCCTTGATGAGGGATGAAAAGTCCGGAACGAAAGAATCGAAATCATCGACTGAAAGGTTGCTGCGAAGTAAGTCAAGGTACTGAGTGAGAATGCGGTGGATTTCGTCAAAGATATTGCCAAGTAATTTGAGTTCCGAGGATGTCTCCTTGTAAACACAAGTGAGGCGTTCTTGGGCAATGGCAACCAACAGCTGACCAGCAAGTCTAGTATGTGTCAAGGACTTGAGCAACCGCTTAGAGGTGACCTTTGATTCATGGCGCTTATCAAGCAGTTGCAGGATCGTCTGAGATTGGAGAACTTCACCACCGGCCATGGCTTGGATCTGAGCATCGTTGAAGTTGTTGTCTGTAATGATGCCTGCCATTGAGCTTATCAATTGCTCCAACACAATAAGATCGGTCGAGTTATTGTGACGAAGCTGCTCGACGACATACTGCAGAACAGGCGTAGGGTCCATCACGGAGTACCTCTTGTAGACTCGGCCGGCAAATGTCGAGAGGGCGTTCAACCATCGACTTGTCAGAAGACCACCTTCCTGGACACGACTGCGCCCTTTCTGACCAAGCGAATTTATGAGTGACCAGGACAAGATATCGTAACCAAGGAATGTGAAATAGCGGGCGCATTCAACCACAACTTCAATGAGGTTCTCATACGATTCAATTTGACCCATGGCGACGTTGATGACAATTCCGGGATTGGCGTAGGCAATCTTTGCCAATGCACGGGCCATGGGACGAATGTTGGTCTTGCTGAGTCGTTTGAGGGTGTCTTTCGTCTCCGCTTTGGCTTGGTCGAATGCTTCTTTGATGTCTGGCAACCGTGATGTTTGTCCAGAGTACCACTCTGCGTACATGTTGTATCGAACATCACGGGGAAAGAAACTGATGAGATCAAACACCTCGTTGACAACACCGGGGTTCGCCTTTGTCAGACTAACCGCGGGTAGGAGAAGACATTTGCAAAGGTCGCGCCAACGTGTTTTGTTCTCCTCAGATCTATCCTGGACCAAGCTCCCCTTACCAATGCGAACAAGCTTTGCGAGGAGGCTTGCATCTTGTCCAATCTTGTGACCAGAGAGATTAAGGAAGGAGGAGCAAAGTGCAAAGACATCATCGACGGATTGGCAAATCGGGATGTTGTCGGCCCAATCATCCCAATAAAATCGATAATCGGTGCCATCATTGGTGTCTTCCTTATCCAATTGAGCCCATCTCAAAGTTCGCCTCGCAGGAGGGGGCGTAAGTCCAATTTGGCCCTTGGAATAGCTGTTTGGATCCGAGGTTACCATGTACTGAGCTCCGGGGAAGTCGCCGGTAGAAAAGGTTGGTCGGAACTGTGAATAAACCTTGTCTAATGAGTGATGGAGAATTCGATGAATAAATTCGGGCAGCTCGGGGTATGCTTCCATCAACCAAGGGAATTTGCTGAGAATAAATAGAGATTCAGGAATCGCACCGATGGCGAGAAGGCTCTTGAGCAATAGAACCTTTTGGTCTGACGGTTCTGGCAGGTCATCTTCCGATTTTGGTACACCTTGGTCGGATTCTGGGTCTTTCGCAGGTGTTGTCAACCGCGGCTCGTCACGCAAGCGGGAAGGGGGAACTGTATCGTCTGACAAAGCGCCGGCCATCATCAAAGCATTGGTTCCCCCACCTGGTCGGCCAGCTTTCACCCGCTCGGCTTTTTCTGCCATTCGCTCGCTTTTTAAGATGTCCATGGTATCATCGGGCCTCCAAAGGTGAGCATAGAGGTCACGAAGGGAGATGAACCCGACCTTGATCAACAGGGCTGCAAGGTAAATGAGGTTATCGGGAAGAACATCGGCCTTGGTTCGAGCCGAAGAAGAGTAGAATCGTAACTTGAAACCAAGGAGCTGTGCTGCAACCCGGTTGCCTTTGGGCGGTAATGTGCCTGTTTCTTCAAGCCATGAGCGGGTGACGTCTTCCTCAAAAGATGAGCCATTCATTTCTGACAGATTCCGCTGCTTCTCCTCGTTGGAGATTGGCTTGCGGCCGATCTCGAAAAATGCACGGAGTCCAATTTCCCTCACTCGATCCCAGAAGTGACGGTCACGCTCCTCGTTCGCTTGCATGATAGCCGACCGCTCTTCCTCGGTTGTGATCCAACCAGATGACCCAGGAAGCGCCCAATTTGGAAGACCGGAATGACGACGGTCTGCTTCCAGGTGATGGAAGAGGTCTTCCTTAGGCCACCAGGAGCTGGCCCGCAGAAGCTTCACGAAGAAGCGGTACTGCTTGACAAGGACCGCAGCAAAAACATCCAGCGTAACATCGAGCACACGACCAACATCCATATCAAATGCGCCAATCATGGCCTTGACTCTTTCAAATGTATCTTCAACCACCTCGCTTGACGGCGGCTCATTGTTGCTGGTGGTGAAAAGCTCGGTAAGCAGTTTAGAATATCCCTCGGATTCTTCTCGAAGAAGATTGTAGTTGGATTGCCGGTAAAGTAAATTGGTCTGCTTGCGAATGCCCATTCGCGCAAAAGTTTCGCGAACTAACCCCAAGGCCTGCAACAACGGCGTATCGAGCTGAAGGCGCATGAGCGATGCATCGATACCGGTCGCAAAAACAAATGGTTTGAGGGCTGGATTCGAAGTGTCGGCGTCCGTCATGATCGAAAGAGTATCAAGGAATAAGGAGCGTGGGTCGAGTTCATCGGTTGAAACACTTTCGATCCGGGCCTCCATATCGATATCACGAGAAGCTGGATGATCGCCGATGATATTTTTGACAGCAGTACCCGCATCTGAAGGAGACAATCGACCGTAAATCGCAGACCGAAGGAGCTCCTGGTAGATGGATGCGAGCTGAGGAAGGTCCTGTTGAAGACGAGCTGCAGACCCTTGCTTTATCACTGTTTGTTTCCCTGTCGAAGTCCATTCCTTGACAGCATTATCGGTAACATATTCATACTCATACGGAGGAGGAGAGAGGCGGCGGGCAGTGACCTCAGAGCCAGCTTGGGAAGGTGGGTTGACATGCGGCTGTAAAGGAGTATTTGATGCAGGAGAGGGTGTAGGTTGCGAAGCAGTCGAGTCGGCATTATAAGGCGTTGATTCCGCGGTTTCCTTGGACTGACTGACGGGGGGAGGAGACATCGCGTTCGGCTCTCTGTGCTGCGGGTTCGAAAAATTCTGACCGTCGTGAGATCCGCGTCGGGAACCAGCCCGGCTGCGATGCGGTTGTCTGCGAGATCTATCGCGCGAGTCGTTCTGCTCCCGGGGAGAAGGGGATTGGTGTCCAGGGTTGTTAGGGTGATGCGCCATATTCAGGGTCCCAGGACGATGGGGAGAAGGTCGCAGGTTGTCATTGCTCGCGGAGTCCCCAGAGTATGAGCGCTCAACGCGCTTCCGCTTACCACCCTGCCCAGGCGCCATGGTGGGTATCCGAATTAGACGCGAGGGGGAGTGAGCGTGGGACGGAATACTGAGATGGAGCAACTCATGCAGTCGTTCTGTACAAACCCGAAAGAACACAGGTCAATAATTGTAATGAGATCGCAGTCACGAAGTGAATGAAATGAACATGCATAGCAAGCATACCAGTAAATATGACCCGTGCGAAAGAGGTTGAGAAACTAACGGCGTGTAAGGTGAGGATAGAAGATGCTGATGGGTCGAAGCTTCGGTCCCAAGATCCAGCCGAGTGCCTCTTAAGTGCCTCAGGTGTCAATTATCTACTCAGCCTATGAATCCCAATTTATGCACTCAATGAGACCAATTGCTCTCACTTTTGGTAAATAAATGATCCCTTATGTAATTATTCCATTCATTTGATAGATTAATGATACGTTACAATCTCTGCATTAGTCTATAAAATTCAGCCAGACTCGTGAATATCCTTTTTAATCACCTTTCTTTACTTCCATATGGTGAACATGAGCTCCATTTTTTTGTTGAGAAACCTCTAAGACCTTTTCCTGGTCCGTTTGAGATGATAAATCCAGAACCGTTGGTTATGCTTTAGTATAGATAGAGCGTAAGCTCAGTATCAGGTGCTTGGAGACTTGTTCGATGTTCTATACAATCTTGCAATGCACATCTAGGGGGAATTGAACACTGGGAAAGCCTTAGGTGCTATCAAAATTTCGATTCAATGTTTTACAAAATCTGTGAAAGCCCAAAATCACAGCAATCCAAGAGCCTTGGCCTCAACCTCAACAATCTCGGGAATCAGGTCAAACAACTTAGGCTGTTGGGGAGACCATCCGAAGAGCTTGCGAGCACGAAGCGAATTACCCCGGGAATTGGATCCCCAAGCATATATTCCAGCAGGATGAAGATCGGTTGTCTGATCACCGTCCAAAGACTCCACACCAGGAGAAGCAATAAGCTTCTTATCAAAAGCAGCCTGTGCAACTGCACGCTGGACATCACCCCAAACAAACGATCCATTCTCGGCCAGGTAGTAGCCCTCGTCATTCCAGGTAGCTTTGCCGCCTCCCTCGGAGGCTGCTTCGCCCAAAGCCAAGTACACATTGCTCAAATCCTGAACGTGGACCTGGTGCCATACGTTCTCGCCCTTTCCGACCAGGAAGCCCTGCTTGCGCTTCAACACAGCTGCACTGAGCCAGTAGACCTGAACACTTTTGGTATTACCGGGACCACGACCAGGACCATAGATAGTTGGTGGGCAAACAACAGCAACCTTGACACTGCTCGGGTTCTGTTGACCAGCACCGAGGATAATTACATCCACATTGCGATGGAAGGCATCGGCTGGGAGATTGACAAGCTCACTGACACCATCCCAGTCGTTATACTGTTTAGGTCGCTCGATTCCATAAGTGCCAGCGCGCTGGTCTTCAACTGTTAATATACCGGTGCCGGAGGTATGGATGATCCACAGTGGGTGCTCGGGTGTGTGATGCTGCGAGCCCTTGGCGATGGCCTGAGCTGCAGCAACATGATCACAGTCGGCAAAATCTGTGTTTCAACTGTGAGTGGCATGATATATTTTTATGTATAAATCTAGATAGACATACGGAAGACAATGTCGGCATTCTTGACTTCATGTTCAATCAAGTCAGACGAGTCTAGATCGCCGATCACGGTCCGGATCTTGGGGTATTTGCTTGTAACTTGAGCAGCCTTTTCCTGGCTACGGACCAGAGCCGAGAACTGCCAGTCAGGATGGGCATTGGCTATGGCAAACAAACCATCTCCGCCAATGTAACCGGTAGCGCCGGTGCTGTGGGTTATCAGATCAAGTGCTCGAAATCTAGAACTCTGAGAACATACAGGAAAACCTTGGGAGCCATAATGAAATTGATAGGTAGGTAGCAACAAAGCAGATGAGTAGTGTCAAGAAGAAAGCACGAATTTGACTTAAGTAAATCCAAGATTCCAAGGTTACGTGCTGTGCTTTGAAATCATTTGTGATAATCTCTCCGAGATTCAGGTGGGGGTTTGAAAGTTACTCTTGAGAAGCTGCAAATTACACAGAGACTTGCCTTTCACCTATATCTTGCATATGAAGGCAGATATATGAGACAGTAATCGGATCTTAGGTCCGAGATATTCTGAGTACATGTACAAATATTGTAACTAATTACATGTGGTCAGTAATTAATTAAACAGCTTACCCCGCATGATGTCAGTTGTTTATAACTTCAATTGATATCCAAAACATATCATTTCCACTTGAAAAGATTATCGCAATGGCCTCCGGAAATTGCGCCTGCAACTACATTAGTTACACGACCTCAAGCCCTCCAACCAAATTGGTCAATTGCCACTGCACCACCTGCCGTAAACAAGCTGGCGCGCCGTACCAGAGTTGGGCACATTTCGCGACTGGGGATATTCAATGGAAAGTCAAGCCCACAGAACGGCGTGCAACCAACACTGCCACAAGAAGCTTCTGTCCGCGTTGCGGGTCGACAATCAGTATGACTCTGGATCGCTCCCCTGAGCTTACAGGCCTGGCTGCAGGAACGCTCAATGAGGGAGAAACACAAATTCCGAGACCTAGCCATCATATTTTCCTGGCCGAGAAAGCGAGTTGGTTTGAAGTACCGGAAGATGGGGCGCAAAGATGGGATGTATGGAGTCAGTGATGAGGCATTATTCTGTATAACTTAATGCTAGTAGCGTTTCGAAGTCGGAGGAACCCTGAAATCAAATGCTGCTCCTGCATATGACTACTCGTCACTACTATTCCATTGTGATTAAGTAGAAGTACTCAGAATGACCAAGAATGAATGAACGACAATGGTGGTTATAGGCTTAGATAACATAATGGAAGGACACGAACAGGTTAGGGAAGAGAGGGGAATCACAAACTCGTGCCCGGGCTACATGTACAGACTCGTTTCATATTGGGAACCCGATCAGAATGTGCTGGTGGCCAGCCGGCTGGCTGCATTGCGCGCATCAAGACGATCATCGTCCTCCTCCGCGATGGACCCAACCTGGCTAGTGGCTCGGTTGCGCCCTTGACCGGAGCCCTGGCCTCCCGCGTCATCCTCATCATCGGCAAGTGATGGGGCAGTGAAGCTACCGCTGCGCCCGACATTGTCAACACGGCGGGGAACACCACTCCACGAGTCACCCTTAGGTCCTTGGCTCGAAGCCATGTTTGGACGGCGCACCGTGGGATGAGATTCGCGACCTAGTCGGCTCAGACCACCAGAGGCGTCAATGGCACGGATATCGGGCCGGACACTCTCCAGAGTTGCCAGAGTACGACGCTCCGCTTCGATCTGACGAATAGTGTACTCCCGTAGACTAGACAAAAGGTCCTGGGTGGTTCGGTCAAACCAGCGGCGCTTCTCTTGGAGGAGGTTCGATGTGACACGCTGGGTTCGCTTGGTCAAGTAGTCCTCGTGGTTTTGAGCCTCCTCGAGAGCATTAATTGCTTCATCTACCTTATCCGGGCGCACCGATGAGCTGACCTTCAAGCGGTCAGCAGCGGCACGTTTGCTCCGCGCGGTTTGTTGGGCCTGGAGTAGATCGCGAAGCAGGATGTGTCGGTTGGTCAGGGTCTCCTTCACAATGAAAGCATCGGATGAATGATAGCTTAATGGTTCTCCGAGAGTAGTGGCTTCTGCTGTAGCTTGAACGGCGTGATAATCGCCAACCGTCTGAATAACCTTGCCAAGTTTGCGGTAAGCTGCGCCCAAGCCAGGATGGGTTTCCTGCACGTGCATTTGGCCAAGCTTCACACCGAAATCAGCTTCAGCCAAACCAACGCCTTGATGCAGTTAGTTTAGACAACAAAAAATATAGCAGGGAATAAATCGGATCAATTGACATACCACGGCGGGCCTTGACCACCCTGTCAACTTTGTGGCTCGAATCCATTGAGCTCAAGTAGAACATCTTGGCAATTGGTCGAGCGGCTTGCAGCTCAGGCGTGTCATCCGGTGGAGGTGCGAATTGTTTCAGCATCTTGCGTCGTACGCCTGTTGCAGGCTGCTTCATCCGCAGCACAGGACTATAGCCAAAATCGCTCTCCACGAAAAGTACGACCTCGTCATCTTGAATGAGTACTTCATTACTGAGCACAACATTGAGCCATCTCTGCATTGCCGATTTGATCCTAATCTCATCTTCCTCGGTGCCGGCTCCCGCCGGTGTCACAGGCGAGGGCACGGCGGGGACCAGGCATTCCGGGTTGGCTGACACCAGGTGGTCTGCGAGCTTGATGAACTCAGAATGGGTACGGCGTACGTCACGATACTGGGTTGTGCGGAACTTGGGGATATTGGTCTGCAGTCAATGGAAACCTCAATTAGCCAATGTAGACGCACAATGCGCTCAACGGTGCAGACCTACGTGAACTTCGAAACGCAGGATAGGGTCTTTCTTTCCCGTCCTCTCCAAACCGGTAATTTTACCTTGAATCTTGTAGGTGGGCACATAAGGTCGCGAGTTTTGTCTTTGTTCGGTCTGATATTGTGCGGGGGTAGGTGATTGCTGTTGAGCATTTGGAGACTGGTGCGCCGCGAACGGAGATTGTTCCTGGGGGTAGTCCGGATCTCCTAATTGTGCACTCTGCAGCTGCGCAGAGAGATCTGGAGACTGCGGTTCTTCATTGCGGCCTCGGCCCGCTTCATCCGCGAATTGCTCCTGGCCTGGCAAAGGGGAGGATGGGATGTCATTGCTGGAGGTGGGTAAGGTTCCTCGCTCAGCGCGCGGTGAACCCCAGGGTGAGCCTTCAGTGGGATGATCGGTGGTGATTGTAGAATAGTCCATATTGGTTGGAAGTCGACGTAAGGAGTGTTTGCGCTGACAAGGGGGAGCTGCTAGTCATCATCATAGGCGTCAGTATTCGATGGCTGGAGATCAGACCCCACAGCAACGGCCAGCCAGCTTTAAGGAACTGGTACTGGAGACTGAAGACCTACCTCGTACAGCTCAAGATTAAAAAAACAACAGTATTCTGTTAAATTGGCATAACAAGCAAAGCAAAGAGACAAAGAATTGCAGCAAGCTAAACACTTCGAGTAGTTGGAGAAAGCCAAGTGTCGGAGTGTGGAGGAATGCGCCAAGCCGATCCCCAGTCCGCTTTGCGCTTCGGTTTTCTCTTCGAACAGCTCTTCATTGTGCCAATAACATAAACATACGACCAATGTGTCTCGAAACATAACTGTTCAACATCTTTATCTATTACATGGGCGCCATTCCTCGGAATGGTCGTGGCTCCGTTATTACGCCTCCCTTCCGGGATGCGTTGTATGAGCTCTACCTTATATATGAACTCTATCAGTATTGCGAGCAAAACAACATGCTCCTCTCTCAAAGGTCTTCGGTCTAATTATAGACAACTCCAACGTTTCTCCACGACGCCAGCAACATGGCAGAACGCAGCTCTGGACAGAACCCGAAACATCGGAATTATCGCCCACATCGATGCGGGCAAGACCACCACCACGGAACGCATGCTGTTCTATAGTGGCTTCACGCGGCGTATTGGTGATGTTGACGAAGGCTCAACGGTCACTGATTTCCTTCCTGCCGAGCGTGCGCGTGGAATTACCATTCAATCAGCTGCCATTACTTTTCATTGGCCTCCTGGTGAAGTAGATGCCGCATCAGGCCCCCAGACCGGAGCACAGGATGAGCCAGCTTTGCGGTCAACTTACCCCCACACTATCAATTTGATTGATACACCTGGCCACGCAGATTTCACCTTTGAAGTCATGCGGTCTCTGCGTATTCTTGACGGCGCTGTTTGCATTTTGGACGGCGTTGCTGGCGTTGAAGCACAGACAGAGAAGGTTTGGAACCAGGCCAGCACATACAACATCCCTCGCCTGATTTTTGTCAATAAGCTTGATCGTGATGGGGCTGCATTTGGTCGGACAGTACGAGAGGTCAGCTCCCGCTTGGGCGTTTATCCAGCGGTCTGCCAGATACCTTGGTTCCAAGGAGGCAATGGTTCTTTTGTGGGCGTGGCAGATGCAATCAATCTCCAAGGATTGCGTTGGAAGGAAGGCGAAGACGGCCGTACTGTGAAGATGGTTGCTCTTGAGCAATTGGAGGCTGAGGAACCCTCCCTGGCACAAGAGCTGCGGCGGGCGCGCATTGCATTGGTCGAGCTTCTTAGTGAGCACGACGAGGAAATGGTTGAAAAGTTCTTTGAATGTGAAGAAGATCATCTCTCAGTTTCGCCCGCTGATATTATTCAAAGCTTGCGCCACTGCGTGTTAGACCAGAGCAGCCGAATTATCCCTCTTTTTGCAGGTGCCAGTTTCCGGAATATGGGTGTTCAACCCTTATTGGACTCCATTGTGAACCTCCTACCCAGTCCACCAGAAGCTCCCGATCCAGAGGTGAGTATTGCCGGTGTCAAAGGTGGCCTGCAAGACCTATTGTCTGGAGACTTGGTCGTCGAGGAGAGTGAGAAGGTCTCTGCACGATCTAAAGGAAAACAAAAGAAGAATAAGAACACAGCCCTACAAACCAGTTTTAAAGATGCCATTGGCAAACTCCAAAGCTGCGCGCTAGCATTCAAAGTGGTTAATGACGCAAAGCGAGGAGTTCTGGTCTACGTCCGTGTATATTCAGGCTCATTGGATCGCAACAGTCTGCTTTTCAACACAAATTTGCATCTCTCCGAACGCGCGCCACGTCTACTGAAGATGTATGCCAACGACGCTGTGGAGGTGGACTCGATTCCAGCAGGTCACATTGGAGTCGTAGTCGGGCTGAAACAAACCAGAACTGGAGACACCCTGGTCTCATACGCAGGCAACAAAGCCACACCCCCGGAGCCTCTCACCAGTCTCCAACTCCGGCCAATTGCCGTGCCACCGCCGGTTTTCTTCACCAGCGTTGAGCCACATAGCTTGAGTGAGGAGAAGCGTATGCAGGAGTGCCTCGCACTCCTTCTCCGCGAAGACCCCAGTCTGCACGTCACCGTGGACGAGGAGTCGGGTCAAACCCTCCTAAGCGGCATGGGAGAATTGCATCTCGAGATCGCCCGCGATAGACTCATAAATGACCTGAAAGCTAAAGCCACAATGGGCCGCATCGAGATTGGCTATCGCGAATCCGCGCTTGGTGCCTCCAGCCCAATACGTAAGATATTCGATAAGGAGATCGCCGGTCGTAAAGGAAAGGCCGGTTGTACAGCAGTCGTGGAGCAGCTGGACGAGAGTGTCGAGCCTCAACAAATGGATGAAGACACTCTTCTCGTCGAAACGTACGATGGCAACCAAATCGTCGTCCGCGCGCCAGGCCTGCAGGCCGACGGCTCCTCGCACGGCGATGATCAGACCAGCCTACTACACGTACTGGGTATGGATCTGGTTTCATTCCGCACAGCTCTCAAAAACGGCGCTATGGCGGCACTCGCTCGTGGTCCACAATTCACCTTCCCGATGCATAACACCCGCGTCACGCTGACAATCGACCCGGCAGTGGACCTCTTCGGCAACGAGACGACCACGTCAGCTTTATCATCCGCAGCTCGGCAAGCGACTGCCGCAGCGCTGCGAGACGTACAGGCTGGTGCCGGTACAACAATGATGGAACCCGTGATGAACGTCATCATCAGCGTAGACGAAGCCAGTCTCGGATCTGTTGTGCATGACATCTCGTCCTCGCGGGGTGGACATATCATCTCACTTGATGACGAAATTCCACTAGGCGATGCCGATGCATCGGCGTCTTCGCAAGCTGCACTTAAGGAGGCGCTACCGCCCATTGACACGAACCGTGTCTATGCGCCACCAGATCCCTTCCAGACGGCCTCCGTTGGTGTTGAGATTCCCGCTGCTACCGCGAGACCGCGAACCATCACTGCTAAGGTACCGTTGAAGGAGATGGTTGGATATCTCAAGCATTTGCGCAGTTTGACTGCTGGCCGGGGCACATTTGTCATGAGTGTCGATCGGTTTGAGAACATGTCTGGACAGAGGCAGAAGGTTGTGCTTGCAGAATTGAGGGGTGGATTTTAATCATTTCTCATCTGCAGCATAATAGAACGGGCTCCAAGTCTGTCAACCCCGGCTGGACTGGATGACATTTGTACATTTTCATCTTGTATTATCTCATTACTGTATCAATATATTTATCTCCTTTCCGATCCATTCGTCATGTCTTCTTAAAAGACACCGGATCCCGCTAAATCGGGCTAGTAATAGTGTGAAATGAATCTCCTGTGCTAGACAGGGATTCTAACGAGATGGTTGTAGCGGTGCGCCAACAAAGTTGGGAGGAGTAAGTTGTATTCTTTACTGACTAGTTATTTGCATCTGCTAACTAGGAAACCAGTCTGTCAGGTGACATAACTAAGCTGTCAGCTGTAACAATGGATATGTAGTCCAGGAGGGTAGTCCAGGAGGGTAGTAGAGTAAGCACAAAGGAACACCGACCATAGAATAAACGGAGATGAATGATTCCATATACTACCAGTTGTCATCCCATTCATCCTTTCCCTTACCTGGCGCAGAGGCTGTGGTATGCCTACTCTCAGCTGCTTCTACACCAGACGAGGCGGGAGAAGAGTTAGCCAGCGAGGACGCCGTTGGGCCCTTTCGCAAGGCAGCTGTACCAACAACGTCGGAACGTTGAGACCGCTGTGATCCGCTGCGGCGATGGTTTGGTGTCTCTTGGTCACCCAAAGACGAGAAATCATCCCAGAAGTCTCGGCGCTCAGGCTCCACGCGAGAACGATTTCCATCCCCTCGGCCATCTTCGCCTTCAACGAACCGGTTGAATTGGTCTGCGGCTCCACGAACTCCAGTTTGCACGTTCTGACCAAAGGTCGCCGCATGGATACGGGCTTGGGCTGCGAAGTCGGATTCGGCCAACTATAAATGCATATTAGCAGTGCACAACAAAGTGCAAAGGCGTTAGAAAGTCCCGAATGCGGTACATACCTGTTTGGCCGTTGGTTGGAGATAGGAGTCATTGACCTGCTTTGCGCTTTTGCCAACTGTCGATGCGAACCACCCAAGTCCTTTAGTGAGAGTGCCCATGGGGTCTTTCTGGAGGTCCTCAAACGGCTGTCTTCCACCACCACCACCGCCACCCCAGCCTCCGAATCCTCCAAAGGGGGAGGAGCGCCGCTCACTCGTAGTAGGCGCAGGCATGCCGCCTCCAAAACCAGTAAACTTCCCGCCCTGCGAGGGAGGAATGGCATCGTTGCGAGTAGCGTTATCATTGCCGAGTTTCGCGAAATAAGCCTCATTTTGTTCTTTCTTGCCAGAGGGACCACCACGCTGGCTGTCGTTGGAGCGAATATTGTTAGCTGGAGACCCAGCCCGTGCACCAGACATGGCGCCGGCGCCACCTTCAGCGCCGCCCAAGGTCAGAGTGTTGCTTGGCCGCGAGGGGTTGTTCTTCTTCTCTTGGCCCTGCACGTACTCGCGGCCGTCGACCTTGCACGACAATCGCTCTTTCCATTCCTCGCCGGAGTCGCTGTCGTATCGTTCTTTGATGGTCGAATCTTCAAATGCGCGGCCTTCTGAGATGGTCACCGGGTGTTCATCGTAGAACGTCTTCCACGGCTCGTTGCCCCCCAACTCCATACGTTGGATCTCGGCGTGCTTAAAGGCGTCCATTGTAATCGAGCGAACGAAGGAGATATGTACACCTAATCCGCGGTGTGTGCCGGCGCAATTGAGACATATGAAGGTGCCGAACTTGGGGGAGGCCTATTCAAAACGCCCATGGTGGACGAGTTAGCAGTGGGTTCGCGGGGTTGGAGTGCGGAGGATAGCGGTGGTTCAAAATACAGAGCCAGCGAGAAGAGGAACAGAGGTAAAGACATACCCATTGAGGTGATGGCGCGCCGCAATCACAGCACCTGTCATTTCCGTTCGTCTTGGAGATTTGAAGGAGCTGCGGCACATGTCAATGTTAATGACCTTGCAACGCTACGGAGCTTCATATGAGAGCGCACCTTTGTCCTTGTCTCCGGGTCGACCTCCCACATGCGAGACATATTAAATATACCAGGGTGACCAGACGGAAAACCAATGACGGAGTGCGCGAGGATGTTCCAGGGTTGGCCGACTCGGCACGTTGCAATCACCTACCCCTTTTTTCTCGTTTCGAACAAGATTCACTGGACGTCAAACAGAAGTGTTACAACACACAAAATACACAAAAATAACACAACTAGCTCGATGCAACAAAAACCAATTGAAGTGAGACAACGTCTATGTTTTGCCTCTGATCGGCAAGGGTCGCCCCGATTTAGCGTCATCTCCGAGTTGGTGGAAGCACTCTGCTCCATGCCATGTCCAATATGTCTTCCCTTGAAACGATATAAGGGCGTAGCTGGCCGCTAAATACTGATAATATGTAGAGAGACAATAAAGAAATGCTAACACAGCAGGAAAAAGAAATCCTATAGAAAGAAGTATAGAAATTTCCAAAGAGCATACCTGAAAATGGTATGTCGCCCAGACTTTCTAGACAAGATGGGAGTATACGATAGGGTCAAGGGATTACTCTGGAATCTAAAATGCCAGGTGGCAGATCGTTATCATTTAGTAAATGGGTGCTAAGATACAATACAAAAGGCAAAAAAAGTCGTAAAGGACGGAGTTCACATCAGCAAAGACGCCTCCTCAGCATGGTCAACTAATGATCCATGTTGTCCGATAAAAAAAGTCATCAATCCTCCTCATTTCCCCATAAATCCCTTGAAAGCTATGATAACAACGATGGTTTGAATCACGCATCAAACCATTGTAGCTATATCCATACGTCCTTCCATACTTTCTCTGTCCCAAACCCAGTCTAAAGACTTCATTTGAGGTAGTGATATTTGTTGAGTGCTTAAGCCTCGGTGGTCACGGCAGATGCGGCAGGAGTGGCATTCTCTTGGGCAGCAGGTGCGGCGACCGGTTCGTCAGTGGGGGCATTAATATCCTCATCCTCCTTGCCGGGGCTGTCAATAGCAACCTTGACGGCGATAACGCGACCATCGATATCCTTGCCGTTCATCTCAGTAACAGCCTTGGTCTGCAGCTCCTCAGAGGCGAGGTTGACGAATCCGAAACCACGAGTCTTGCGGCGCTCATTGCGGGCTTGCAGCTTCTTGATCATGAAGCGGGGAATGGGGCGGAGGGCAACCTTAGCAGAAACTGGCTCGTAGGCGGCAAAGATCTCCTTGAGCTGAAAAGAAAAAGAAGAAAAAACAAGTCAGTCAATGTAACTTTCAACGGAGAGATGGCAGGGGAGAAGGAAGTAACCCACCTTGTCCTCGGTCAGGTCGTACGGCAGGTTAGCAACCATGACCTTAGTCTTGGACGGGATTCCATCCTCGGGAGGACCACGCTGCTTCTGAGGACGGGCAGCACGGGCCTTATCGGCCTCAGACCCAGCATCCTTGTCGTTGGTGGTTTCAGCGAGAGGAGTCTCGGTGGCAGGGGCCTCGGTAGGTTCTTGACCTTCCTGGGCCTTTTCCAAAGTCAGCATCTATTCCAAAAAGTCTGTGTGAATTTAGCAAGGAAACCATTTCTTCACATACAGTACGGCTACGGCCAGTGCGACCACCACGACCGCGGGCGCGGCCACGGCCACGGCCACGACCACCAGTACGCTTGCGGCCTTCAGCGCCGCTGGCACCCTCGCCGCCGCTGGCAGCGCCTTCCTTGGCCTCAGCGGGCTCGGGCTTGCGGGCAAGCTGCACGGAGACCTTGCGCTGAAGGATCTCCTTGCCGGAAAGAGCCTCAATAGCGGCAGAAGCTTCAGCGGCAGTGGCAATGTCCACAAACGCGTAACCAACGGGGCGGTTGGTGCGGGGGTTCACCGGGATCGAGGTGGTCTCGCTGGTGAAGGAATGAGTCAGAAATGGCCCAATTGAAGATAATATTGTGTGAAGGTTTTCTGATGTGTGATACACAGCTCAAGGTTTGAAATTTATTACTCACATGGTGTAGGACTTGAAGAACTCCTTGAGCTCCTCCTCTGTGGTCGCGTATGCGAGATTCCCGATGTACAGGCGGCGACCCTCATCCGCGCTGGCAGCCGCAGCATCGGTAGCCTGGGATGATGTTACGCCGTTGGTTTCGGGCTTATCGGTGAGGCTGGTCGCAGCCACGGAGTCAGCAAGTGCGTCGACGGCAGACATCTTGATGGTTGAGATGTTTGGAAGGATGAAAAGTGACGGGATTGGGTTGTTTGCAGCTGAGATTAACTTGACGGAGAGGAGCGAGGAGCAGGGTAGCTTCGTGCCCTAGATACCGATTGAAAAAGGAAGATGGAATTGAAGTTTTTGATTCACTGGATCTTGAAAAGAGGAAAGAGGATGATGGAAGAAGGAGATGGAAAGGGAAAGGAGAGGCGGTGTAGCACTAGCCCAGTCAGAGCTTACGGATCGGAGTCAGGTGCGATCGAGGCCGGGTTTCCTTCGAGGGGTCTGCCCCCGAATCTTGGGTGCTCTTTAGGCTCTGAATGCTCCTGGTGGTCCCGTCCTGTCCCCCCTGCAAGCCCCCAAACACCTTCCCCCGCCATAAGGTCGCAAACATCTGGCCTGATGTCATTCTGGAGACCTGGACCCTCGACCAATCAAGGCTCACCATCGGGTTTTTCTATATCATTCGATTCTTATTTTCCTTTTACTTGACCTATTTTGACCCCATGGTCTTGTTTTTTTTGCTTGTCTGGATATCGTCCTAGATACATATGTAGGTATTTTTCAACATTTTTCCCAAAATATTCAGCTGCGCACCATTCGGAACTTGTACATGTGCATGACAGTACCTGTGTGACATGTTCCATAAATAAATCACAAAGCCGATCTTCCACCTTCAACAGATCCACCTCATGTCATTCTCCATATCTTCGGATCCAGTGTATATTGTACAGGGTATAAAGTACTCTAGCTGGCTCTTACATCGCAGGATCCTAACATACTCCAGTAGATTTTAGTCATCGTGTTACCTCACTTACGCTGTACGTACATGTATACAAATGACATGTTACCTAGGCCCTTTATATATGAGATAATCCGTTCAACATACGATTGAATTTGGACTTAATGTCACCATTTGAAAATCGTGCCGTCAATAAAGACTCTCTCTCTCTCTCTCTAAATTGTGCTTTTAAATTATGCGCAAGAGGTATATCAAATTGATTGTTGTATCGGATCAATGGTGCCTCACAACTCTAAACTATCTTTCCAACAGGTGGCCAAGATTCTTGTCGAAGTTTTGATTCTTCAAGCAGGCAGCCGCTTTGGTATCCCTGTCTGATGATGCGTGGTATCTAAAAGGTTTGAAGTAGACCATACTAGACGTGAGCGATGCTCAAGGATAGCTAGCCGCTAACTATTTAAGAGTGCAACAAAAAATCCATGAAAGATCTTGGGAGATCATGTAGAATGTTTAACAAAGACCCACCGCTAGAGATATGTATATAAAGTAGGGAGGAGATAAGAAAGAGTCCCGCATCTTCCAAACATGTAATCATTAGAGTAACTTTTCTACAATACAACTATAGTTATAGTAAATACATATACCGTACTTTAAAATGAATCAGGTTCTTGCTTAAAATTTTCTCTTTCGACTCCTTGAGATGATCGCATTAACTGACGATTGTATGGTTCCTAGTTACCTGTGCCAGGGTACAACGTAAAGATCTACGTCGCACGAGATTATGTATATCAATTCCTACCTAGGTACATACAGTAGATAAAACCTGTTTACGTAATTTTAGATCAACAGTTTTCAGCATAACTACATATGTATCAATCGATCGATCTACAGTTGTTTTTTTTTGAGTGACGTCTTATCATGATATTTAGGCCGTGTAAGTTACTGGAGACGCATGCATCTTGACACCTTGTTACTCAGGCCATTGAAGCTTAGATTTGCCTTCTCTTTACTTCCATTGGACCATGTTGCCACTATGACAAGGGAATTGTGTACCACCCTGATCATGTATTGAATCACTTGAACTTCTCAAAAACTTCCAATATTGTATATTTTAATATGTACCACGCCAACACACGAACAGTTCGGCAAAGAATTGAATAAAGATCGACATTTTAGCGTGAGACTGACGGACTCGAGGTCCACTTTACTCCGTCACTACGAACAAAACAAGATTTTCTACAACCTTGGAAGGTCCCATGGGGAGCTGACTCATCTGGCTTTTGGATTTCCCCTTAGAGATTATCTATTGACTGTCTCTCGACCTCAAGGGGGAAAAGATTTTAGGTCCTGGGTTACTGTGAATTTCTTTTCAATTTTAATCTAGGCGGACTTACCGGATCTCGTCGCTCCAACATGGATCGCATCGAGCCCGCCGGGGGGGATCAGGGGACGCAATCCACAGAGCCCACCGAGTCTCCTCCTTCAAGGCCTGGCCCTTCCACTTTGCGCACACGAGGCGATTCACGAACTCGACGACCGAGTATTCGTTTGTCTCGGTTCCCATCCATCCCCTCACTAGACAACCTCAACCAACCGCAGGAGAGTCAGCCACCCACCGAACGACGTGCCATCCGTTCCCCTCCTCCCAATGAAGAAGATGAAGCATGGCTGGCTGGCCGAAGGCGCAGCAACTCGGAGCCAAACCCTGGACGGTGGTCATCCCCTCAGCCGGATGCGCTCTCACGGGTGGCGACTCCCATGCGAATGATGCCGGTAAGCGAAGAATCAGCACGCCCAAGTCTGTCGGCAACCTCTCCAGCGTCGATGCTACCCGAACAAGAGACTGGCGCGAATACTGAACTATTTGAATCGGAACAACCCGAGGCCCCTCCCGCAGTAGCGCGACCGGCGGGTCGGCTTCGGCGCACAAGCCAGGCTGCGTTGAATCGCTTCTCGCGAAACCGCGCTTCGACGGTGACAGGTGCTCCACCAACATTGGCTACGCAAGAAGAACAGCAACCAGCAAATGAGTATGGATCTCATGTAGTAGATGTGCTGGACGTGATCGGTAAGCCCCCGATGCCAAGAGTGATACAAAAAAATCATATTTCTAATAACGTTGACTTTAGACCCCGAGGTCTCTGCACTATCCACTCTCACCAATGTCCAGAACTCTTTGTTCATTCCCAACTTGGGTGGATTCATCAATCGCATGCCCACCTATAACATCACGCGGCCACAATATTCCTCGGATGAAGAGCAGGGAACTACAACGGATGAGGGGGAGCTGTCCGAGGAGGCTAAGCTCAAGCAACGACCGAACTTGGAACAACTCCGCCCCTTCACGAGCATGTCCTCTGTGTTGCGTGGTCCTCGCTATGCTGTCCTTCCCGAAGGGCACGGGCTTGAAGGATGGACCAAAGAAGACTTTGCCGAACTGAACGATCACGTTCGACATATGCTTCACTCTCGGCGTTCCAGGTTCAAGCGGTCCATGAAAGGATTTGGCCAGTATGTGCGGAAGCGTGAGTGACACTGCTTACCATTATCAATGTGTTTAGTACTGATATCGCCCAGCCCTCGGTTTTCTTGTGACCCTCTACGCAACTTTGATTACTCTGTTCGGTCTGGCTTGGGTACTTTTCTTGATTGGTAAGTTTTCTTGAATATTTCCGTTTTGTACAGAATGCTTACATTTACTACAGGCTGGATCAATGTCGGCGGAAAACAATTGTATGTCGTCAATGTCATTGACAACGTCTTGGTCGCCCTGTTTGCTATTATGGGTGACGGATTAGCCCCATTCCGAGCTGTCGATACCTATCATATGAGTTTCATTGCCCACTACACATTTTTGACTTGGAAGCTCCGCCAAAAGCGAGACTTGCCAGGCCTCAAGGACAAAAATGATCTTCCATCCAAGCCGGAGAAAGACATTGACGTGGAGTTTGGGGATACGCCCAAAGAAGACGAACACGAGTTTTCCGTGCTCGATGCCCGTCAACAGCTTCGATTAATGCACCACCAGAAAAAGTTCGCCAAATCGCACACCTTCTACAAGCCCCACGAAACCTATACTCACCACGCCTTTCCTCTACGCTTCCTGATTGCTATTGTTGTCATCCTCGATATGCACTCACTGCTCCAGATGGCTCTTGGTGCCTGTACCTGGAGTATGGAAGACCCTGGAGCACGACCCTTCGCACTAACTACCGTCATTCTCTGCTGCTCCATCACTTGCAACATCACTGGTGGTGTGCTTATAATGATTGGTGACCGGCGGACGCGAAAGAAGGACGTTGTCGAACGGCTTTTCCGCCAGGAATTGACCGAAGAAGCCATGAAGAAGATGGAAAAGAAGAAGGTCAAGGAGGAGCGTCGCAGTGCTCAGATTGAGCGCTCCAGTGTCCAAATTGATCGCCCTAGCGCCCAGATCGAGAGAAGCAGTGCTCAAATCGAGCGCAAAAGCGCTCAGATTGACCGACCAGAGCCATACACCGCCACCTGATCGGATGATCTCATCTTGTATACGACCGTCACGAAATGAGCACCAGGAAGTTTGATCTACCTGATTAATTTGGTCCATGTGCTCTAATTGTACAGCTTGTCAGCTGATAATCCTACTGTTTTTTGGCCTTTTACCCTACATATGCTGAGCTATGGAGTTTCGTTGGATTTCATTGTGGAATTGGCATTGACACTTTCGCCGGATTGCCTCCCGAATAAATTTTGCTTTTGATTTTGTGCTTCAGTCTAGATTGGCATTTTGTCTTTAGGATACACCGCATTGGCTTGTGAACTGAGTATATCTCTATCTAAATACAATCGCCCACAGCATTATTCAAGTACATGTACATCCAACACGTGAATCAAGCCTACAAGTCAAGCTCAAGCTGTGATCGTAACCTTTTCCCCCACCCATTGCGCTCCACCGTGTCTAATAACCTCCTCAAAGATCCACTTGCCAACCAAAGCCCTAGGGATCGTATATCCAACAGCGGGATCCCTCTCCGTCCCGACCCTTACACCCTTGAGTCCCACCCTTTGACCCTCCTTCTCCCCTTCCCGCGCAGGAATCAAATGATCCCCCATTAAAAAGCTAGGTCTCACAACAACAAGTCCGCCAGCAAGAACCCCATCACCCCCCAGTTCAGCCTCCTTATCAAGCAACTTCTCCATCTGCAATTTGTCCGCGTGTGGGATCGGTAGAAGAACATTGTACATAGGCCGGAACCAAAACCCGACATCTTTACTACCAGGCAGATTTCCCGTCGTCGAGATGACAGTGACCCTCGGCGCAACAGCACGATATTCTTCGAATGAAGAAAATCGTGCCGCAATCTGTTCCAGTGCTGCTAGCAGCGCGCGCGTTGTCTGCTCTGTTATATGTGGGTTGTCCAACTCGATATGAGGCAGTGCAGGCACGCGGAATTTGGAATTTTGGCAGCTTGTCTCTCGTGTGAAGGACATTATACCCGTCCCGCCGACGCCGGATATGATGCTTGAGACTGGGGTGCAGGTGTTGTTTGAGTCGGTGCTGATGATGAGGGTTTTCTTGACGCTTTCGACGTCTGTTGCGTCGCCTTCGATGACCTCAAGCTGGTTCGAGATTATTTTTTGGGTGATTCCAGGCTGGGTGAGCAAGAGTGCTGTGAGCTTTGAGGGTGTACGGGCCAGGGCTCTGGCATTGTAGCCGTTCAGGAGGGTGTAGGCTAGACAGGCATTGGTGCAACCACCAGTAGCTCCGAAGAAGGCGATTGTATTCATTGCGAAATTTTGGTGTATGTAAAGTAGATGATTAAGATTGAGTATTGAGGTGTGAAGCTTTTTGTATTGCTAATTGGATGTGATCTTGCTGGTGCTGAGGATGAACTGAGGTTTCAAGAGCCTTTTATACAAATGAGAAACCATGCCCATGGATCTTTTGTCGGTTGACGGGCAGATATTTGGCCTTTGGGTCTACTCATGTCCGACTCAGCCTTGTAGTAGAGGCTATAGTATGAGGATCCCGTGTCAGATCTCAATCGGCGTGCCGGCAGATATGAGCTAGTCTGGATATGGTTTAGCGTCGGGTCAACAACCTACCGATGCGGGCGAACATTTGCTCCATCACAGCCTCTTCATGATTGCTACCTAGGTAGACTTTTTCTTTTGGCAGATAAGAATAGATATAAGCGTTAAAGCTTTATTGTTGCCTTGGGTGCATGTAGAGTGGGAAGTATAGGCTGAGCCCCAATATTGGGATTCTATATATTTTGCTCCAGATATATATATATCCATTGCTACATATGATATAAATTGAACAGGGCTGCTACAGATTATACTTGTTTACATTTTAACAAGACATAATAGCACCAAGTATCTGCAATTAAATTAAAGCAGAAAGGACAAGCCATAGAGCGACATATATTCGATCCAGAAAAAAAGACAACGAAATGTTGTGAAGATATACCTATTATTACCTAGGTAGGCATCTCGCACTACGATGGTTTATCGTATTCCTACTTCAGACCCTCCAGGGCTTTTGCCAACCCTTTCTGTTTCGAGAATGTATAGCGACTGACTACATAGTATGTATCCTTATGTATATGTAGCGAAACATTTCAACCTTGATCTTTTACATACTATGCACTCACAGCTCAGCCAAATCTATACTAAAGACACTTCTTCAATGGATACGCTTCAAAGCCAAGAAATTTTAGCCCACAATCTTGCATCAAACCCAGAGCATCATTCAATCTTTACGAAAATATTCCTAAATTTGACTCATTCAACCTCGGAAATTTGAATATAGACCAAGCGCAGGTAAAAAAGCATGCCCAAAGCGTATCTATTGAGACTTCGACAAACACCGACATTCACTCCCTGTGAGCCATTGACTTTGCAACAAGGAAGAGGATCGTAGATCAGGGTGGTTGCCCATCGTAACATAGCATGCTATGCCCAGAGCAGGGCAAGTGCTTTGAAGTGATCAAGATCGACATTGGACTGGCTACCGTAAATTCCCAAGGATCGAGAGATTGGTGGAGCCAGCACAGGTAGGTGGAACCATTAATCACAGAGGGTGCTTGTCACAAACATACGGATGTAAACAGAACGATTTAAGTCTCTCCCCGTCTATCATTGCCACTTTGAGTGATGAATGCGTGGGAACGGACATTTCCTGCCAGTAAAGCGCCCAAAAACGCCCCCAAGCGCCACCGACATCAAGCATTTCTTTGCTAAGACTACACAGGGATATACGAGACCAAGATCTGTGGTTGGATGGAATCCTTCTGAGGGTAGAGGTAGGGCTTACATTTATCCCTAATCAATTCTAGAAGCCTGGATTTGAGGCCCACATTAACCAATATATCGCGCACAGGGTGGAGAGTAGTTTAATTAATGATCCATTAGAGGCTCGCAGGGTGATAAAATGTGACTCCTAAATTGGATATGCTTGATCCCACGATTGACTAAGGAGTAGGGTAGCCTTGACGGATACCACTGGTAGGGCGGAATGTAGGGCTAGGGCATCTCGGGACCGAAGGGGTACATCTAATTGATCTTAAAATTCCGGAAACAAGGATAGGCCAATAGAATCGCTAGGAGGTAGAGATAATCAGGGCAGATTCGGGATCAAACCCTTGCGTAGGGCATTCCCCCCAGCCAGAATGGGAGTATTGTTTTTGGCCTTCATTATGAACGGCCGCAGATCACCTCGTGTCTAAACACTGGGATTTGGAGATAAAAGGCGAGCATTCGATGGTAGTCATGGTTTTTTATCCATCAGCTCTCTACTTCTCTATCTCACTCTACCTTCTATCTTCCAAACCTTCAAAAAACTTTTATATTTTTACAAGATTTTAATCTTTAATACCTCTACCTTCAAAATGCAGTTCTCTCTTTCCGCTGTTGTCCTCGGCTTCGCTGCCTTCGCCGCTGCCATGCCCACTGAGAACATGAACAATGGTCTCCAGTCCCAGCACGAGAAGATTCGCTTCCCCGTCCCCTCCGGCATGACCATCAAGGAGGCCCAGGCCAAGTGTGGTGACCAGGCTCAGCTCTCTTGCTGCAACAAGGCCACCTACGCTGGCGACACCACCGATGTCAACTCTGGTATCCTCGGCGGAACCTTGTCCAACTTGATCGGTGCTGGATCCGGTGCTGACGGTGCCGGTATCTTCGACCAGTGCTCCAAGCTCGATGTCCAGAGTGAGTTAAATTCTCTGATATCCTTACTTCGCACCTCACTAACATGTTTACAGTCCCCATCCTCATTGCTGTTCCCCTGCAGGACATCCTCGACCAGCGCTGCAAGCAGAACGTTGCCTGCTGTGCCAACTCTCCTTCCACCGCCAGCAACGACCTCGTCGGTGCCGGTCTTCCCTGTGTTGCTCTCGGTTCCATCCTCTAAGCGATTCGCTTTATTGCGGTTCGCCTTTGCATGGAGGAAAAGTTCTAGCGGCCCTGTGGTATACCTTTCTTTCTGTTTTGTGCTTTTTTCCTTTTGTCAGAGATCCATTGCCCTGCGGCTCGTGTCAAAGTTGTGATAGCATCTCTTCTAATACATACATCTAATTCTTGCATTACAAGCTCTCTCCATTGGATTGTAGATTTGGTAACACAATTATTCCCTTGTTAAGTAGCGAAGTTGTCGTCTTCATTAAAGACGAAGTGTGTCGTAGAGAACCCACTGTTTTCTTTCGTGACTGATTTTTTTTCCTACGAACAAGATAGGCAAACCAAACGCCCCTAAAGCCTGTTCCTATACCCTATTGGGCAATCGACACTCCCCCGGACCTATTCTCCATATCTTCTTATTGAGGACATCACGGCACCGGGAGTTGATACAAGGGATAAAAAGGACACTGCTAGTCTTTCTATCCGAACCCTTATTTCCGTAAGTAGATAATAATCTAATCCTACATCACCTAGTTGTGGACGATGATCTACCCAAAGAGTCACTCTATACCACAAACGGCTTCGTAAATCAATCAACCACTCGCTTTACTATCACAGCGATTCTTGACTGGGAAACGTGTGGCTGGTTATGGCACGGCTGAGTTGCCTTTTACCTCTGAACATACACTACAGAGACATGAAGATATGGCATATGTTCTTCTCATAAAGTAAGGCAGGATGATTGATGAACCAGCCATGCAAGGACAATTCTAGTCAGTTATTCGCAAATGGCCAGAGAAAATGAATCCACACGCTCAGTTCCCCGAACCCTAATCTAATTGAGGCTGATCGTAGATCCCCCACTCCTAGGATTGTAGCCAAACTTCCTTCTCGCGCCCGGCGCTTGGGGTTGCAAGTGATCAGGTCTGATGCCCCTACATTGTACGGCTTTGCACTGGAAGAATTTAGATGCGTTGTCTCAGTGTATTCTGGGCGGATCGTGTTCGAAGCCTCTGAAGCCCTCGCTCCACTGTGAAATTTGTTGTGGAGTGTGGTCAGATCCCCACCCTATTTTGAAGGGCGGCAAGGGCAGTAATCACAACAAATCAAAGGTAGCCAACCCGCTTCGATGGTATAAATCCAACAACTCTACGCAGAGGATACTCCATACCAGTCGGAGGGGAAACCGCAGCTCACGTAATCCGAATATGCAAGACGTATTACACGTATCATATACCAATGCCACTGTTTTGCTGTGACTGCAGTTGACTTGGCTAGTGCAAAGTTCCTGGGAGCTAGTTTGCCTAATAGTTTCAAGGGGTAACCACAGCACACCGCGGAGATGTTTTGTGTCAAAACACTTGTTGGTTGTGTGCTATATTGCACACTCTCGCACTGTTTAGTTAGGGGTTCTACTGTCCCAGCCACAGGATTTCTCTCTAGGGCACCCGAGAGCCATCTGGCGAGGTTCGCAATAGACAACATGACTGGTCCATCTCTTCGTCCAAAACCTTTTATAATTTCTCCTTCGGCTCCTCACAAACATACCCACACGCTTGTTCTCCTTCATGGCACCTCGCAAACCGGTCGCGACTTCGCCGAATCGTTTATGCTCCCTTTCTCTTCGCCAAGTTTGAACGACAGCTCTCACACTAGCGGCTCAAATCAAAGTCAGGCAATGAAGTCGTTGAAGGAACACTTCCCTGGCTGCAAGTTCATTTTCCCTACCGGATCGCCTCGAAAGACCACGGTGTTTGGTGGCAACATAACGAATGCGTGGTTCGATATTACAGATTTTGGAGATAGAACCAAGGGCGAAATGAAGATGAGAGAGGGGATGAGGGAAAATACTCGTTACCTTTCCCGCATGATCGAGCATGAGGTCGAAGAATTATATGGTAAAAGAGTAGATACCGAAGAGCAGACCAGCTTTGACACTGAAGATGATGAGACGAATGGGAGGGTCATGCTGGTAGGTTTCAGCCAAGGGTCCGCGATGGGAATGATGCTACTTCTGGGTGGAGAGTTAGAGGCTTTGGGCATTTTGCATGGCTTTGGAGGTTTTGTTGGTCTGAGCGGGTGGTTGGCGTTCAGACGCCAGATCGATGAGTTGATCTCAAACAGCACCCTCGCTTCTGGAACTGCAGACGAGTCACTTAATGCGAGGGAAAAGACGATAACCTACGTGCGAAATTTGCTTGAGCTCGATCCTCCAGGAAAGCAATGGACGGTTTCTGCAAATGGGTTGGATAAGCCAATTTTTCTTGGGCAAGGAGAGCTGGATCAGAAGGTGAAGTTTGAGTGGGCTAGACAAATGAGAGATGTGCTCGCAAAGCTCGATATGAATTTGAGCTTTAACTCATATGCTGGACTAGGACATTGGTGGAATGACGAGGAAATGAGTGATGTTGTGAGCTTCTTAAAGACAACTTGGGGTACTAATTGAAAACTTGTTCGAGCCGGGAGTTTTGAGATGGCCCCGGGCATCTATCTAAGCCACTAAGCTATTATATCGGCGGAGCTGTGTATCCTACACTCCGGTTCTCTATTTGAAGGACGATAGTAACTATACTATGACCCGGGCCAGTGAACCCCGCCCCACATTATACAATAGCTATTGATCTCGTACTTGGTTAGACCGTTCGTGAGACCAGCCCAGGTGAATCCCGTTGAAGACCAGTCCCCGGAGCTATTGGTATGAATACCACTCGCGTCAGTCACAGTTGCCATAGTCGCTGGAACGTAGTCAGCAAAGGGCAAAGGTAGATTTCGGTGAAATTTTACCGTAACTTTATTGTGACTACAAAGCATTCGGATAGTGGGATGCACACAATTTGACTACGAGTATTGATATTAACTGAGGTTGAGCACAGCCAATCTCGCATATAACGAGATTTACCTGAAATGAACACCGCTACCTCTTACAGACCACGAATCCTTCTCCTCGGTAACCGCGCCAAAGACGATTGGCGAGTGTTTTGATATTATATCGGGCCCTGAATAGCCCCCGGATGTTGCATTAAGCTTAATTCAGCTGGAGTGCTAATTTGGGTGTCCATGTCTCAGGTCTGATCAAATACGATAAGGTCATAATATAGAAATGGGCTAAGACGATGAATTCTGAGGTTATTATTACGTACCCAGTGAAGACGTTTGGGGGAGTGATGCTATATAACCATGGCGTGATATTGTATAGGTAGATACTATAGTATATGTCGACGGAGTAAGTTGGAGGCAAAAGAGATTAATATTTATGTTGAACAATGACAAGCCTGACGAGCAGATGGATCGAGATAAAGAGCCAACATCCTGCAATATTATACTTATATAGCACTCACCTGGGCAGGCAGCCTTGAGCATCTGTTTCTGCTAGAATTGACCTGGTGGACCATGCTCCTGCCCTATGGTACCCACGTAGCGGTAAGCTGTGAAGACCCATCTTTCTTACGCTCTGGCCTGCGCTTCGACGGTAGATGTTGGGAAGTCCTACGCACATGGAGACCGGAATTAACTGAAATCACTTGCCTTTACCTGTTCAGCGCTATCGAGGGACTTGAAAAACGGTGGATCGTCAAACAAAAATGGAAAAGGGTCCTAAATTGGGCCTACATGTCTGTGAGCAGCAACTGGATGTTGTAGTCGATCGCCGCGATCAACAAAATGCCTTCACCGAGTCGTGGACAACTCGACAGCAGATGTCCATATCTCTGTCTTAATTCAAACCAATGACACTATAACGCATGAGGCAACGTCATCCAAGTAAACCTATCGGATTGCCCCAGGGAGTAACGGCGCTCCGAGGATCTCCCTTACAGCATCTCGTGAGACCCGATTGCAATTGGAGCAACAATGAACTCAATTGCCCCGCTCCACGATAATCACTACCACATTCCGGCCACTAATGCAGCCTCAGTTCTGGGCTGCATACAGCAAAAAGAAAACAATAAGGACAGAAAGCCCACCTGCCCGGATTTTAGACAAAGCTGTCCATTACAACCTCGTCCTCTCGGGACTACTTGCATTATAAGATACTTCAATCAAACCGGTGCTTTGGATCGGTCGCCTTAACATGACTTGGTCAAAGCCGTTTTTGAAGCTGCATGACCAGCGACCGTGGCTGTTGCCGCTGAGGTCCTCGCAGTCATTCATTGTGACAACGATTTCACTGTCCATGTTCACGGTATTTATCTATTGACCACCTACCTGGGAGAAAGAACCATCAACTAATGACATCGAATCTAGGATCTCTTTCTTTATGCCATGGTACAGATGTTCTGCCAAAATTCCTCGATCCCAGCCTGACCCGTCGCAGATAGTCCCCGTCATGCCAAAGGCATTAGTCTTACGAGCCGGAGTAGCATTTGAAGACAGTACGAGAATCTGAGCAACCCTCAAAAGTGGTAGTATATCTCTAATACGTCTTTCTCTCTATAGGGGAATTCTGGAACAGCGTTCTTCTTATATCAGTAGCCGTTTCGGCACTTGCATTTTGTCCGATTTTTGGATACATGATAGATATTTCTGGAACACGCCAGGGCCCATATCTATCTGGGCTTGTGCTGCTGTTTGGATCCATAATCATCTTTGCTGCTTCACACTCAGTAGCATGGTATATTGTTGCAAGGGTTCTCCAAGGAGCAGCAACGGCCATGGTGTCGGTAGCTGGACTGTCAATCGTGACAGATGCGGTGGACAGAGCGAGTCTTGGGCAGATGATTGGATATATAGGTACTGCCATGACGTTGGGATTCATGTCTGGACCACTACTCGGTGGCCTGGTATACCAAGTTGGGGGATTTTATGCAGTATGCGGAATGGCTTTTGGTATTGTTGCTCTTGACTTTTTTCTACGACTTGCTGTTGTTGAGAAGAGAATTGCTGAACGATGGCTGTGCCTCACCGAGGGCGAACGGCCAACACAAGCGAATGGTTATGTTTCCGAGCAGCCGCTATATGGAACCACTGGCATTGTGACCAGTGGTGTTGGAGAAGTCCATGCTGCTTCAGAAATTTCGAAGGGAACCTTTGCTTTAGGTAAACTTCTGAAGCAACCCAGGATTCTGATTAGTCTCTGGGCTGTCATAGTCGGAGCCCTTGTGGTTTCGGCTTTCGATGCGGTGCGTATTGATACGCTATATTATGACAACTCCTTCACTGACCTTTTCTTTCTAGACACTTCCCATTTTTGTTGAAAATACCTTTGACTGGAACGTACTAGGAGCAGGTTTGATTTTCCTGCCGGGTGCCTCAGCTGCCATCTTTCAACCGTTCTTCGGTGAGTTTCGATTGGCCGATTCAACTCCAATGCAGGAATGTAATGTATGAATTTAGGATTTCTGTCGGATCGCCTCGGATCGCGAGTTATTGCGTTCATAAGTTTCGTCATTCTGGCACCAAGTTTGATATGTCTTCGCTTGGTTGAGGAGAAATCATCTTCACATATAGCGCTTCTTTGTGTGATATTGGTCATCGTCGGAATGTGCATCGATTTAAGCGAGCCAGCTTTGCTCGTTGAAATGCAGCACGTCCTTGATGACATGGAAGCTGCAGACCCTGGGGTATTTGGCGCAAAAGGAGCCGTGGCGCAGGCTTTCGGTCTGGAAAACATGGCCCATTTCAGCGGCCTTGCACTCGGACCTGTGGTTGGAGGATTCGTCGAGTTCCGATACGGCTGGAAAGCCATGACTCTCGCGCTGGGAGTTCTGTCGGCAGCCACTGCAGTGCCTATGTTATGGCTCAGTGGTCGCATAGAGGAGGATTCATGGACGGAGTCTGCTGACGAGGAGATGGAACGGGAGCCACTATTGGGCGAGTATCCGGAGTAGCACAAAATTAATCATTCCTCGTGTTTTTCTGAAGGCCACTAGTGTACTTCAAGTCAGCTCACTCAGATGGACTCACTGTCCGTGTGTTTTTCTTTCATCAAACGCATTGACCGTTTGTTTTCTACCGACAGTGCCAAGTGCGCGTGTGCCTTTTGAAGAGTTTCCTATCTATTTTCCATCCGGTTGATGTTTGAACGGGTCTGATACCTACTCCATCTGTCCGTTGCCCAATAGAAACGCACCGAGAAAAGAGTATAGCGCAAAATAGTTGCGTAACTTTAAAGCAGTCACAGTTACACCAGTCGCTGATGTACGAAAATCAAGAGGTCCAAGGCAGCCGGATTGGATCTTTAAGAAGGAAAGAGTACCCAGCTTGAAAAAGTTTTCAATGAATTCAGGGGGAGTAATCGACATGAAGATTTTCGGACGATTTCGCAAAGCGCTATCAAATATCTATACCTTGACATGTGACCGACTTACATCTTCGCACACGAGGAACATCGATGGGAGCAAATCTCAACATGGTAGATACGTCTTCCCTGCGGAATCAGAGCTCCACGAGGCGACAATCATAGGGTTTCCATCACGATGCTCCTTACCACCCGATATGTATGATGCTGTCTGCAAAGAATTAGCTCAGCTAGCTTTGGCAATTGCCGAATTTGAACCAGTTCGTCTCTACGTTCGACCCGAAGAAATCCAATTGGCCGAGTCACTAGTCAAGGAAAATGACAGTAAGACTTCAAGAATATCGATCATCCCGTGCCCAATCAACCACTGCTGGGTACGCGACACAGGCCCAGTCTATGTGCGTGACACGACAGGCTCGTTTCCGAACAGGCGCTTTGCGATAAACTTCCGATTTAACGAGTGGGGAGACAAGAAACCCGAAGAAGACGGAATCTGCTGGGGCCAGCATTGGCCCTTGATGAATGACCAAGTACTGCAGGAAAATGCCGATTTTGCGCGGTGGGTAATTGACCATGACCTCGAGCCAGCCCCTGTTGGGCGGATCGACGCTCCCATACGCGCCGAAGGGGGCGCTTTGGTTACAGATGGCGAGGGGACCCTCTTGATCACAGAGAGTAGCATCGTCTGTGATGAACGGAACCCTGGCATGTCAAAATCGGACATTGAGGCGGAGTTGAAGCGGCTTCTCGGGATCGAGAAGGTGATTTGGTTTCCAGGACGGCGCAATGTCGACATTACCGACGTGCATATGGATGCTGAGGCGAGATTCGTGCGCCCCGGTGTCATCGCTTACTCAAAACCTCACGCCATTGCGATCGATTTGTGGAAAGACCTGTCTGCCGAGATCTTGGATATTCTGGAACGTGAGACGGACGCGAAGGGTCGGCGCTTGCAGATCCATACCATTGAGGAGCCGGACCCACGAGGCTTGGTACAATCAGATCATGATGAACTATCAGCAAGCTATGTGAATTTTTATTTCGTTAATGGAGGTCTCATCATCCCAAAGTTTGGCGACGATGAAAGGGATCAACGGGCCTTGGAGATGTTACAAGAGTTGATGCCAGAGCGGGTTGTGAGGCAGGTCTACACCAATGCCATTCCCCTTACTGGTGGAGTGATCCACTGCGTCACCCAGCAAGTTCCTGCGATGGAAATATGAGATGGACGTGGCATTCATTCTGGTTTATTTTTATTTTTAGCCGTTTTTTTCAGTCAATTTGAAAATCGGATCGGGTTTCATAAAGCATTGTCATGGTGCATGTGCATGTACAGTCGAGGCCTTCATGATTGTACAACCGAGAAGTATTTCACACCTACAATTTGATAAACTTCAATGCATTACGCCAATAGAGAAGATCTCAGCTATGTAGACTGACTCCCCATGATTCCCATCGCAACGTGTGCCTATTAGCGCATCTGATCCCAGTGTAACGATCTAAAATATACGATCCGAGTACGGAGTACAAGGATCGAGAACCCTAGCTTGATCTGTTGCAGACCTACTAGTTCTGCAGCTAAAAGAGGACAAGTGGAGTTCAGTGGACAGATTTTCTCGTATTGTTGGGCTTCAGCTACATCCACTCAAATAGGCACATCACATTATTTGACGAAAGTCGTGGCTGTGTTCCTGCATCTTAAAACTTGAATTGAATTCCTATAACATAACAGATATTCAAGGAATGCGCTAATTTTGTAGTAAATCTAAGCCTAGTCTCCCACGAAGTTACAATATTGTACAAGTTGGAGAATATTGCTACTACATATAGATGGTGCCGATTTTCAGCTTAAATATACATTTGTCACACCATTTATAAATTAAGTCAATGAAAGTGACATCGATGTGTTTGTGTGACGATATTATTTCTTGCAGTTTCGCCATGCTAGCTAGCTAGCTACGTACGTACAGTACTGCTACATTCAGCTACCTTCAGCTCGATATTCTCATTGTGACTCCACTACACGCAATCCACATTCTACCAATTGCCAATGATCGGATCACATTCGCCATACATTGCTCCTAACCATGCAGAATTGTCTCAATAGGCTGGCCTAGTCACGAAGGTACAGGTTAACACTCCATGCTCGTCTTTTTTGCGCATTGTACGCGAAGACCTCAAAGGCCACACATCGAAAGTGGTTCCAAAAAACAAACATAATTGGTCCCCCTTGCCGCTCGATTGGAACTCGGAATGAGGCCTTTAATCCCGTGCGAGAGTTTGCTTATTCCTTACCGTGAAATCCAACGTAATGCATCATTTCAATTGTGTGCAAACCTGCTTCTCATTGGCCTTAAGATCGGTTAGTTTGAGCGCAATAGTACAGTATAGAAGCCCCGGACCTCTATAAACGTGCCTTTCTTCGTCTGAGTCCTAGGATTGTACATTGAATTCTCCGGGACAAAAATCTACATACTTGTTGTACTATAATATAGTCCGACCGGTCACTACATGACATGCTGTTCCACTTACAACATTTTCCATTTACCCCAATTCTCTTCAATAGAGTCGTTTCTGCGATAATGGCTCTCCTTCCCGCTCCTCGTGAGGCTGCTAATACTGGCAAGGCTATTCACATTGCCGGGATTCGAACAACTTCGCCAGAAGATCTCATCGATCTCGCTATTGAGAGTCATATTGCCCGTATAGTCAAACGCTCCTCTGTTGGAGGCGATGAATCATTCTTCATTGCCGATTTGGGTCAGATAATTCGACAATATCACCGATGGACCCAAAACATGCCAGGGATACGACCATATTATGGTATGATATTCCATAACAATCGCGAGCTTAGGCTATGAGCCCAATTCACTTGTACTTATTTTGTGGACGGAGAGCTAATATCTCCACCTAGCGGTCAAATGCAATTGTGACCCAATGTTTCTCAAGGTTCTTGCCGAACTGGGCGCGGGATTCGACTGCGCATCCATCGAAGAGATGCGTGCAGTGCTCAATCTCGGCGTGGACCCATCTCGCATTTTGTTCGCAAACCCATGCAAAGCCCCCGCCGCTGTAGCCTTTGCGAGTGAGATTGGCGTCCTGCGAACGACGTTTGATAACATCGATGAACTGGATACCATAAAAGCGCACATGCCAGAAGCCCAGTTGTTGCTTCGTATTTATGCAAATGACGAAGGTGCCTTTATTTGTCTAGGAGAGAAATTTGGCGCGCACATGGACACAACCGAGGAGCTACTTTCACGGGCGTGGGAGCTCGGGTTGAATGTTGTTGGTGTTAGCTTTCATGTCGGTAAGTATGTCGCCTGAACCTCCGAAAATTATTTGTTGATATTTCAACTTCTAGGGACTGGTGCTACCAACCCCAAATCCTTTTGCAATGCCATCAAAGATGCACGGGTGGCATTCTCGCAAGCGGAACGTCTAGGGTTCCACCCAAAAATTCTTGATATTGGCGGTGGCTTTCAAGACAACTGTTTTGAGTCAATGGCGCCTATTATTCGGGAGGCCATTTGCTCAGAGTTTCCGGTCGGTATCACAACCATCGCAGAACCAGGTCGGTTCTATGCTCGCAGTGTATACACCCTTGTATGTCGCGTTATTTCACGCCGGCGCCAGCTTGGAAGTGCAGCATCATCTGGTATTCCGGACATGCTATATCAGAACGATGGCATATATGGTAACTTCATGAATGTCATCATGGAAAAGGAAATTATGGTTCCCCACTTGATAAAACCCAAGAAAACTAAAGATGGGATTATGCCTAATTATAAAACCAATGGAGTGAGCAAAATTGCGAGTGATGTGGCATCAAAGTCAGAGCACCGGTATTCAATCTGGGGGCCTACGTGTGACAGCACAGACTGTGTGGTGCGGGAGGTTACTTTCGACACTGAAATCAAAATTGGTGACTGGCTTAAGTATAAGAACATGGGAGGTCAGTTTTGCCATGTGCTCTAGCTTCTGATATTCCTTCATCAACTGACCATTCCCAGCTTACACGAGTACCACCGCTACCCAGTTTAATGGCTTTAGCAGTACATACGATACATTCTATGTGAACAGTGAAGCATTGCCAACCTTTTAAGGCGAAATGCAGTTACGGTTCAACTGATTTCAGGTTTCATTATGAGCTTTTAGCGGCGTTTACGAAAATAAAATTATAATGCATGCACCTCAGACATGACTACTCCACAAAGATACATAGTGCTTATACTTTCATAGCACATTGAATCTGTACACCCTGATCTATCACGTTTTATTCAAGAAATACTCATTAGAACCAAGTAAAACCTTATAGAATCATGTAGTGACGGCCTTTCTCTGATGTCTCAGAGCTTTCTCTATCACCGTATCTTTATTTCATAGAGATTAAAGTTGGTCAGTCCCCAAATGGCTACCAAATTGAACCTTGACTCTCTGTAGCTTGCAACTATTCTATTATAATGTGATGGTTCTTTGTAAATGTGAAAAGGTGTTTACGACAGAAGCCGGTTCGCTGACGCGATTCTGGCCCATGTTGACGCGAACTATTAGAGGAAAAACTCCAATGTTTCGCCAACCTATCAATTGGTGCAGTTCAATTGACTAGTACAAAAGTACCTTTAGAGTAAAGCAGATAATAACAACAAGTGCCAGGAGGCAGTCATCCCTACAAAGTTCATCCTTCCTCTAGACTATCCAATTTGAGACATAAATATGGCCAACAAGAGCAACTTCATGAGTATAGTACCATCTTGCTATTTTACACAACGATGCACCGTTGGCTTCCTGAGACATAGGCGACTATGTCTTGGAGCTCTTTTCTTGACAGCAGGTCTCATGATGTTGATTCATATCGAATCTATTGTCCATATCACCTCGCCTACGTCGGTGGGCCAAAGGGAAGCGTTCTTTGAAGGTCTTGCGTCATGTCGCAAAGTAAAGCATCGAACTCATGGGCATCAATCTCCCTCCACAGATCGGAAAAACTCACGATGGAACCCGATTTCTGGCCAACAGACACCAGTTGTCCTCAGGAATGCAACACTTTTCGACGGTCTGTCCACTCGCAAGGAGGCAGTTGACATTACTTTTGCAGCTGGCGTGATCCAGTCTATATCAGTTGCAAGATTCGATGATCCGAATCCTCAGGGTGCTCAAATTATCAATGTTCATGGAAAATTGGTCACACCTGGTTTGGTGGACATGCATTCCCACCACCTATTGCTCCCATTCCCTCAACTCCCAGCCACGAACGATGTAAACGAGCGTCCAGTACTGGGTCCGATTACTCCATTTGTGCGCGCATTGGATGGGTTCAAGCCATATGACCCGGCGATCGAAATTATTGCATCTGGTGGTGTAACCTCGTCCTTAATTCTACCTGGATCAGCAAACATTGTTGGCGGCGAAGCATATATGGTAAAGAATTTACCAAAGCCTGGACCAAATGGTGAGCTGGTGGTCGATGAGCTGCTTCTAGATTATGGCCTTCCAGAGAAGAGCAGAAAGAGATACCTCAAGATGGCTTGTGGAGAAAATCCAAAGGGAAACTACCAAAACACCAGGCTTGGTCTGGTGTGGCTATTGCGCAAACATCTTGAAGAAGCGCGAGAGTTACAGGTGCGCCAATCTAGTTGGTGCAGAACAGCACTCGAAATTGAAAAGAGCATATTTTCAAATTCTCGTCGAATCTCCGAGTTTCTCAAGGACGAAGGCAGACTACCAGAGGTATTCGAGCTTGAAACTTCGCTCGCACTTTTGAGAGGAGAACTCAATGTCAACGTGCATTGCTATGAGCCCGAAGACCTGGAACGCATGGTTTCCGTTCTTCACGAATTTGGTATCCATCCTAGCGCATTTCACCATGCGTTGGAGGCATGGCAAGTACCGGAGATGTTGAAGTCGTTGGAAGAGTAGGTCTCCAGTTGCATATTTGATTTCATTCGTTAATATCCTTTGTTAGAAATATCACCATTGCGACCTTTGCGGATAACGGTCTGTTTAAGGCGGAGGCATACGGTGCCAACCTACGAGGGCCAAAGATTCTCGCCGAGCATGGCCTTAAAGTTGCACTAAAATCGGTATGAATGACTTCTGCTTCTCATGCAAAGATATTATACAATCTGACAGCAGGTTGCAGGACCATACTGGCGAGGAAAACTTCGCAAAATACCTTGCGTAAGTGAACCCGAAGCATCCCAGAGCAGCACGTTGATATTAATTTATCCAACCTTTTGTCAAACAGTTACCAAGCGGCAGTCTCATATTCATTTGGTCTTCCCGAGGACAAATCACTTCAGGCTGTGACATCAGTACCTGCCGGTTCCGTACAACAAGATCATAGAATTGGATATGTTCGCCCTGGATACGATGCAGACCTAGTTATCTGGAACGATCATCCGCTCAAAGTGGGGGCAACTCCGTATCAAGTATTCATTGACGGCCGAGCTGTTCTGAACACTGGTACTGACTCTACCAACTCAATCCCCAATGGATCTGAGTATGTTGGAAGCCAACTAGCGCCAAAAATGCGACCATCTATTGCCCAGAGCCAGAAAGAAGACATCTGTACTGCAGTCCAACGTCCAAGTTCAAGGGTGCTTTTCACTGGGATCCAAAAGGTTTGGATCAATACAGCCAAGAAGCTTCCGCAATCCACAACGGAGCTTGTTGCACTGGTTGAGGACGGTGAACTCAAGTGCCTTGATGAGAAATCTGCATGCACCTCTTTTGAATCAAGCCAAAACGATCTCACACACATTGCATTGAAGAACGGGCACATCACCCCTGGCCTTGTGGCTTTTGGAAACGGGCTTGGAATTCAGTCCATTCCATCTGAAAGCTCAACCGGTGATGGGTTGCCTGGCAAGAATGGGGATTCGCTCAATGAGCAGGCGGCGCTTCACTTCGCTAAATATGGTGTGCATCTTCACGACAGGGCATTAGCGAGAGCTAGACTCGGAGGTGTTACGAAAAGCATTACTGCACCGCAAATTGGCGAAGGAATTATCCAAGGAGTCAGTGTTGGACTGAGAACCAGCGAAAATGCCACGATTCTGGATGGCGCTGTGTGGAAGGACGATGTTGCGCTTCATTTTGTGATAGGACAAGTAGCCAAAGGTAAGAAGATCCTTGCAAGGAGAACATATATTAATTTCTCAGAGAGCATAGTTAATTTGACTGCATTTAGGTGGTGACACACCAACGGTATCTTCGGGGATCGAGAAATTGCGTCAGATACTCAAATTAGGCGAGACAGATGGCCATAGCATCTATTCTCAGGCTGCGAGCGGCTCGCTCCCTGTGGTTGTGCAGGTCTTCAACAGCGTAAGTTGGTTTGATGTCATGAGTCCTTCCAAACAGCATGATTCAAAATTGACATTGTTGAATCAGGATGATATTGCCCAGTTGATCTTGGTCAAGCGTGAGTTCCGTTCAGTCAACCTCATTATCTACGGAGGTCACGGCGCTCCTCTGGTAAGATCCCTCCATTCCAGTCATTATTTGATAATGGTTAGACCCATTTCTGATAACATGACAGGTTGCAAAGCCCCTGGCAGAAGCGGGCATTCCAGTGATCCTTACTGGTAATCGAGGCGCTCCTGTGAATTGGGAGAAGAACAAGGCTCTCACAGGACCTCCGTTGACGCAGAGTCCGGCCAAAATCTTGTCCGATGCCGGGGTTCTATTGGGTTTGGCAGTGAAGAGCGATTCAAAGGTTTGGGGCCTGGCGCAGGAGGCTTGGTGGGCCGGCAAGTATGCAGGACTGACTGACCAGCAAGCCATCTCTCTTGTATCGACCAATATCGAGATTATCCTGGGCATCCGGCCAAAAGCAAAGGTAGCGAATAGCGCGAAGGGGCAAGTCTATTCTGGTGATTTTGTCATCTGGGAAGGTGATCCCTTGAGGGGAGAGGGCTCTGTCGTCGTTAGTGTACAAGATGATGGGAAGATCGCTGATTGCTGGCCTGATACAGCACATGCCGTGTTGTGAAATACGATTGCCATTCCTTGATTGTTAGCGTTGATGAGTTATGGTCAGTCTACAGCATTTGAAGCCTTGAAAGTCTGAATCGATGAATAGCCTGCATTCATTCAGCTTGAGCCAGCAGCCTCTTGCATCTATCTATACCGAATTCATAACATCCATAACTAGATTGCAGGATGACCAGGCCCATCCCAAATGAAACCATCGCACGCTTGTAAAGGAACAAAAAACACCATAATTTCCGAGGTTTTTGCGTCATCCCAGGGGTAATGAAAATAACAAAGAGGATATCAATCATAAGAAAAAAGCAAAAAAAAAAAGAATGACATAAAATCAATGCCGAAATGAGGGAGATTACCGGAAGATAAAAGAAATATAATGAGAGGTAAGAGTAGGCTCTTGGCAAATATTATGCCTTCTCCATGCCAGACATCTGGACGTCATCCTGGATGGCGTTCTCTGGGAGAATTGGTGGCTTGAAATCCATTCCGTAGGGTTGAGCCTCAGAAGCAAATTCACGCTGCTTCTCTGGGGCGTCGGATGGGGTTCCGTTATCGGGTCGTTTCCGGCCAAGTCGTTCGCACCAGTGCTCAGCACTGACTAATGTATCGTTCACGACGCCGCTGACTTGAGCCATCATGTCCAAGCCCTCCTGGGCCAGAACCAGTATGCGATGAGCACTGACTGTGGCATCGGACGAGGCAGCGGGTGAATCTGGTGGTGGGTGGGAGGTGGATGCCACCTGGAAGCGGTGCGGGAGAGACGTTAAATGCCGACGCACTAAGTGGCGGGCATTCTCTGGCAACGCACCACCTGCATATTTGGAAACGACATCTACCACCTGTTTCAAGGTGGAGAGAACGTCTGCCTTGACGGCCTGGATGCGCTGGATAAGCAAAGACGCATTCTCCTGGCCATTGTTTCCGGCCTCGATGTCCGATTGCGACATGTCCTGCTGGCGCGCTTTTTGGTTCTCCCATTCGGTCACAGCACCATGAAGTGCTACGATTGACTTTCCTAGTCGCCCATTGGCCCACCGAAGCCAAGTTAGACAATATTGCAGGCTCCGAAGCGATTCGTCACTCATGGCGACTCCGAGACCGGAGGTTGAGATTACCAGTCGGCTCTGCCATGTCGGTGCTGCCCGTCCTTCGGCCTTCTCCTCATAGTGAGGAGATCTCATCTCATCGTATGGGGGCAGCGACTCGGCCATGGAGAGATCGGATGGGCTCCGCGCTCGAGTTGGTTGATCCGAGCCACTTTGTCCTTTCTCGACGTCCATCGTCCTCGGTGATACATTCCCATCCATCTTTCGTCGTTTTTTGGATTGTTTCGAGTCTTCGTTTGTGGAATCTCGTCGCTGCAGCGCCCAACGTAGACCACTTTCAACGCCAGTCTTGCGGCCTACTGTACCGACAGTGTTTGCGACAGGCGATCCAATATTGCGCTCGATGAATTCAGCACCAGATTTAAATCGCGGAGAATATGATTTGGAGGTGGCATAGGCGGAGACCGAGCCGTTGATCGCAGAGGAGATAAGTGGGTGGGAGGATGTCAGCAGAGACAATAGTGGCTCTGGTGGTGGTGGGTCTGGCGAAGCGATGGGAAGTGATTGTCGCGATACTCGAGGAGATTGTCCGAAATCTGTAGGTCTGAATCAGTTGAAAGTCCGTCGCACAGCCATCCAAATCCAGCTAGAGCTTTTTTGGGCGATAATTTGGGTGGGTTCGGGATATAAGACATTCGGAACCACATACCGGAGCGTAGCCCTTCGAGGGCTTGCGCGGCTTCAAGATCATCCATAGATAATACACTCGGAGCGCGACGAGATCGATCCTCATCCATGATGGAAAGAGGGAGGGTGCTACTTGTAAGCGAATTGACTGTCAGACCTGTGGCGTTCTCTGTCTGTCGGGCTGGTCTTAGCCCCAGGAATTTCGGCGGTTCCATGGCGGGTCATGGATCGTCCATAGAGAGATGAGAATCAAAATGCCCGTGAACAACTCGGCGGTTCATCTTTCGCCTTTCACGTGAAAACGCTGTCACTCTGCCACGCTAGTCCTATTCAGGAAGGAGGATGAAGTAATCAGGTACACGGTCGGTCATATATTTTATTATGACATCTGAAGTACCAAGGTTCACATGTCAAACCACTTCCCAACAAATACCACTTTCGATACCGAAAAACAAGTCAGAAACGTATCAAATCACTATAATTTATCCTGAAAATAGGCCAAATCATCCGGGTAATCTCTTTTCATTCGTCTTTAATCTGTGACTCGGACTTGTCGATTATCCAATTACTACATTTGACTGGTCATACGCTGTCCGGAGACGGACTCTGACCACCCTGACCTTAACTAATACTGAGTTCATGTACCCCAACATGCGCTAAAGAGGCACAAATACGAGAGCGATCACAATTCCCCCTTGACCCTTCCCTTTCTCCACGTATCAGGGCTTCTCTTTTCCTTGTACTCTGTCCAACGTGGTAGATGTGTACATTTATACTCGGAACACCTTGGTCCGTCCTATCACATGTCTTCATTTGCCGATCTCGTAACCGGTACGAGGTGTACAACATTCGTTATTCGCCCAAGTTGAATGGGTGAGAATGTCAATATTGAAGTTTATAAATGTTGAGGATTTGCCGCTTGTTCCGGTACTCCGAAGGATAATGAAAAAAGGTAGATATCTACTTTGTACCTTCCCGAAACGCAATGCATAGATTCTTATAAAAGTCCTAAGTTGGGTACACGTACATTTGTATGTAGCTTCCAGTCCATCTACATAAAATATGTACATATTACCACCTGGGCAACTCACAATATCGACATGTGATGAGCGGTCTAGTAGTTGACATATGGGGTTTAAAATCAAACTTTCTCTGAAGTTGAGTTGCGGTCTGCCGGTAGATAATTAAGCATTTAGGCAAAACTCTTTGATACATGTGATACGGGACATATGTAGACTCCAAACAAAAAAGGAGTATGCAAAAAAAAGAGGTATCGCAAGCTATGTGCAATCCTAAAGCCTTGCTCGTCGTAAAGAAAGAAAACCAATTGGCGTTACTCGTATCTCATTGGATGGACCAGCCATCCTCCAACTCCTCCTCATCTCTTCCAAGGGATAGCATGGCTTCAATGGCGTCCTCGTCCTCAAAATCATCCAGATCAACATCGGTCTCGCTCCCGGGCAGTTCATCGACCGTGAGATGGGAGACCATCTTCTGATTAACTCGGTAACACGCAATGATCTCGTTTGTGACGGGGCGGAATGGCGAGCAGGACGCCTTGATCTGGCATAGTATTTCACCGAACGCGTGAAGCACAAATCCTGTGCGGGAATATTGTTGGTAAGCGTATGACGCTAACAGTCGAAGCCATTCGTGGTGGCTGTTTCGCCAAGTGTGGATGAGCGGATGTCTGCCCTCTTCGGGGGGAGGAATGGCACTGGCACTCTCGACTGCTTGGCGTGCAAGACGGGAGAATCCCTCGCCGGAAGACGCCTTATTTGCTTTGTTCCATTGATCGTACCACTTCCCCATCGAGCATCCAATTTCTTTAAGAGCGGCTTGTAATTCAGCCTTATGCTTAGAACTCTCCTCCACTGCTTTATTGGCCGCTTTCCACGGAGAAAGCAAATCTTTGTCGAGTTGTTGCGAGATATCATGCTCAGGAAACGCGTCATTCAAGCCGGAGAGGATTCTCCTAAGCTCGGACTTTGCGACCTCGAATTTGAGGTAATCGATTATATTCGTAATGTTGGGCGGGCGGTTTGAGCCTGGTCGATACGCAGGTAGCTCACGCCGCTTTGGGCTAATTTTCTTTCTGAACGCCTGCCACGCTGGCTCTGAAAGGTGGACTCCAGCTTTGCGACCATCCACAAGATGACTTAACAAACAAGCCAGTTCTTTCGCTTTGGGAGAATTGATGGATCCCTCTTCCTCGTAGGCCAACTTTTCATGCTCCACAGTGCACCGGCCGAGGTTTGACACGGTGAGGTTGAAAACGAAGGCACTGTGTAAGAAATCTTCTGTCGTTTCTAGCTGAGACATCACCACCGAGTGCGTGGTGAGCCCATAATGATCATGCGTGTACTCATTCGATGGTAGAGGAGAGTTGCGGAAATTCTGCACAATCTTCGGATCCCAGCAAATCCAAGGTGTGTCACCATCGTAGTCTCCACCAGAGAGCATATGTGCGAGGGGGGTATTTCCTTTGGTGGGAAATACAATGACATCTTTGAAATGGTGCAGCTCGGATTTCCACACTGCTCTACACCGTTGAATATCAGAAGGGACATGAGCAGGAAGTCGACCGACGAGAATGTCCACTCCATCGAGCATATTATCTTCGAATTGGCCGTTGGGATCTCGCCAGTTGTTTGAGAAGCTGAAATGGACTTCTTTTTCTTCGAGCACTCCATACGGGTCCGCAATGCAGTAAGCGTAAGTCGACAGGGGAACCTGGATTTTCAACTCATCCACCTGCCGATTAAGAAGATGGGTCAAAAACTTTCGAATCTTGACTCGGAGTGGATAGAAATCTCGTGGGGCGAACCCGGCTTCCGAAAACCGAATGATCGACTCGGCTTCATTGGCGGTCCATTGCTCCAATCGTCGCGCTTTACCGGCTCCATTCTCGCCAGACGGTCTGAGTTTCTGAAGAAGAGCTCGACAGGCAACGGGACTGTTACATTTGAGAACTTGGAGGAAGTCATCATAAAGCTGTTGCACACCGTCACGAATCAGTTGTGCAATGTACTCCTTCGCTTGCGCTCCGTGCTCGAGAATCGCAAGAAGTTGAATATTCAAGTCGACAGGGTGCAGCGGCTTAGCCCAGTTAACAACTTCGAACGTCAGTTTTTCATCGTCAACCAGGTCAACCCAATTCTCCGGATGCGGGTGGATTTTCAACTGCGAGTCAGAGATCTGTATCCAGATATCGTCGTCATTCATACTATCTATGCTGGACTGATGACGATCCACCATCCAAAGGCCTTTCGCGCCTGCTATTCGGCCCTGGAAGCAACTCGGTGTCGCAGTGGTTATTCCCAGTCGGTCACATATCTGGTTTGCAAGTGCCCGTGACATCAAAGCACATCCATCATTCATTACAGTGGGGCCCGAAATATCTCTGTGGCCTAGAATATCGCTGACATGAAAGATCTGGGTGGGTTTCAAAGTGACTGTATCAAACGTCTTTGACAATCCCAAGGAAATACGCTGGAATAGTTTGCAATTGCTTTGGTTTTCGTTCGCGGCCTTCGGCATATGCCACTCCAATAAAGATTCCACGGTCATTCGCGTAGGCTTTTGGCTCTGCAGTCGAGGGGGAGATATCGCTGGCGACAGCTTGGAAAAAGGTGCAAAGTCCTCGCCTGCTACTGCAAAGAGTTCGATACGGAACCGGGGCTCACCCTTGGATTTCCGCTTAGTCTTCATTTCCTCGACATAGAACGCCCGCCATGTGCGGCCAAGACAAAAATGTTCGTGCCGCGTGAGCCATGTAGCCATACATTCTCGAAGTGCAGATGGGTAAGGACCATTCATCTGGTGACTGCAAGGCCGATCCGGGGCAGGAACCGTAATCGTCATGAATCTGTCCGATCCAAACCTTCGGTGAAACCGACACGTGCGCTCCAACTTGAGTGGATTTAGGTTTAATTTAAAAATTCCCGGCTCAGACTCGTCGCACCAATCCATCTCTCCTGACAGAACAACCACCTCGGACTGCTTTTTCGATTTGAAGTTATCGACAGCAGCGTCCCAAGCTCGGCTTGGCGTTTTCTCTGGCAGTGGCTGGTTATTCCGTTGGTTGTGGCCGCTGATCCATGCCCAGAATTTATCTTGAGTATCGTAGGGAACATGGTCACCGACAAGCATGCGATCGGAAGGAACTCCCCAGGCTCGGCCAATTCGCTCCAGCTCATAGCGGAATCGTAGGGGGATTTTGGCGGAGAATGAGCCTTTCAGTGCAAAGGGACCGTAGGAATTGAGTTCGTTGACAATCTCTTGCGCGACAGACTCGTTTGTTTCAACGGGGTCATGGTTTTCCATCATGGACATGCAGGCGTCGAAGCTTTCTCTCATCTCTTCACTGGTCATTGAATCAAGAACCGAGTCTGTATAGGTTGATTGGGTATCCGTTGGTTCTGTGATCTCAGTATCAAAGGTTCCCACCATACTAGAGTCATGGGATGTATAGATCGAAGAAGCCACCCTCGTAGCGAAATCAGTGTTTACCGATGGTGTCATGCTGTCGCACTTTGATTGACTCGAAGCTGCCAGCAGCTTGTCGTACGATCCGGATTTCTTGGCCTTGACAGTATCATCATGGCGAGGGGCTGTGGCGTCAGAGCTCTTCTTTTCATACCACTCAAAGATTTTGGTCTGTATCTTTGGCGAAGCAGTTGATGAGGTGGTTTTTAGATTGCTCCGTGGGGATTGGATAGCTTCTTTGGTCTTTGCTGGTGCTGAAATCCCCATGGATCCCTGGACTGAAGAGTAAGCATCACTCTGGGGCTGAATTGATGCTTTAGTGGCCACATGGCACCTTTTCGGATTTTGAACCATTTGTTTTGATGGGAGTGGAAAGGTTCCCGAGTACTTTACTGGAGCGCGAGATGTCTGTTGATTCTTCCCAGCCGACTGCGTAGGTTTAAGTGGGATGCCTAGTGGGTTCACAGTCCCTGAGGCTCTGCGAGGCGGCCGAGGGCTTGCCTGCGCCATCGGAGGTACTTGCCAGTTACCATTGCCATGCTGCCCCAGGGGTGATGAGGCCGTTAAAGAACCCTTGACTGGGGAATTGGGTGCAGTATGGAACTGCTCGTCTTCATCATTGTTGGCAAGCCTTCGTTTCTTTCGTGATAAGCCCATCACTTGTAAGGAAGGATCTTCGGCTAACCTTTTCTTCTCGATTTCTTGTACACCATTCTGTAAAAACCATTCTTTATCTTTCATCAACCTCAAAAAGTAACGCATGCGCTCATCCTTTTCATTGCTGGTGGAGGGTAGGAGCGGGGATTCCTCGCTTTGGTATCTTTGGCTTCGAACTGGGGCCTGGACATCGACTTTGCGGGAATTTATCCAATCTGCAAAGTCTCCTTTTAAAACTTCGTTGTTGACTTTGACATTGTAGAACAATGGACGCAAGTGTTTGTAGACCTGATAAGGAAGAGGAGTGTTGTGTTCTGGGGCTGGAGGCGATTCAAAACCCAGGAGAGGGATTTCCAGGCCAAAGCTATCATTCAAGTCTTTGATGTATTGTTTGAGGCCGAGTTTTTGGTGCTGTGGGGTAATAGGATTGACCATGTTGTGAGGAATACAGAGCGGCTATGGCCCCCTTCAACGTCAGAAGAATCTCGAGGTTTGATGCAGAGAAGAAGGCCGGAAGCAAAATCACAATGAGAATTGGCAAGTTCTGCGCATTTTTTGTATTAGTCTCAAATCTCATGCGTAGGCTGTGAAGTGGAGGGGTAGACAAACACCAGTCAGATGCAATCTCACCTTGACATGATAACCCAGTGGAATTTTTGAAGACAATCTGCAAACCACTTGAGGCAAATACGCCCAAGAAATTGGGTAGAAACCCTTCAAAGTAAACGCAAATGAGCTCCCGAGTGTATTTAAAAACACGAAAGTTGTTTACGCCAATTTCGGGTAGACTGTCTTACAGTGGATGCACCATCATCACTGTGACACTCTGCAGGATCACAAATAATAACAGGCATAGAGGTTTCAATTCGAGGCACCGTGCATGGTGGCTCATGTCCGTGTCTGTCAAGAATATTTCTTTGAAAGTGAAAGGTATTAATGGAAGTCTTCTTACTCCGTACTTTTTTCTTAGCTTTGCAACTTGGATATGGCAGGAAACGGCGATATTCTCATAGGATTAGCAGTCCTTTCAACAATCATTGTTCCAAGTTGCGTAAGCAAAAGATAATTAATACAAAGGGCTTATCATAAGCGGGTGACCTCAACCAATTCTATCTGCGGCTGGCGATCGTTTTTCCCTGACCATAGATCAGCCTCTTTGGGACTGACATGTTTGCTATTGACAACGACTTTGTGTCCAATCATGAGCAGTACGTAAATTGGAACGGATATATAAGAAGCAATGAAGGATTTGACGTTGAACTTACGCTCGCCAGCTTCGAAGTTAAAGGAGTCGAAAACAATAGTCACAGAGAAGAACAGACAAAGCACCAGAGCCAGGTAAGTCCCAGGCAGGCCGAATCGGGCCCGGAATGCCAGCGCTTTGTCGGGGATGCTTTGGGCTTTTCGCGCCCTTACAAATGATATGTGGGTAACGAGAATTGAGATCCAAGTCAGAAGGCCTAGCATGGTGACCATGTCGACAAAGTAGCCAAAGACAACCTTAGAATCTTGGTTGACGCTGAGGTATGCTAGGGTTGCCAGCGACGAGCATATTCCCAAGGCATACTTTGGCACACCACCACGGGTAGTTCGGGACAAAAAGGCAGGGGCACGTTTCTTCAAGGATAGATCGCACATGGCCTTGGTGGCCAAATAGAGATCGTAGTTTGCAATTGAAAGCACAAAGATCAAAATGCACGCATTAAGCAAATCGGGCAGCACTGCTATTCCTGCTAATTGCAAGGCTGCCACGAACGCAGATGCTGCAGCATCGTCAGATGCTTGACTGGAAAATGCCACCGAAACCGAGTTTTGAGGTATGATCATCCCAAGCAACGTGATTGCTAGGAGATGAAAAACCAGAATCCGACAAAACGTGTTCTTGATAGCTCTCGAGGTTGCTTTCCGTACATTAGGGAAGTGACACATTCCTGATCGCTCGCTTCCAATGTATGCAAATGTAGCAGATGACATTGTCGAACAAGTGATGTAGAATTTATCCGCCAATCCACCAAGGTTGGTAGTATGGGCATGAGAGCCGAAAGCACCAGGGTACGACCAATATCGAAATCCTCTGCGGTCATGATCGGGCCCTCCTCCCAGAGCAATAATGATTGACAGAATCATGAGACCAAACATAACGACAACCTTGCACGAAGCCATGTAGAATTCGATTCGGCTGGGCAGCCGATGATTAATGCAGTTAAGAGTCACAACGATCGACAGAAAGATCGTGATCCAAGCACCCGGGTTAATTTGTTCTGAGTCCACCCAGTAAGAGATCACAAGAGCGGCAGCGGTGAGTTGATTTGGCGTGACGATGGCATACTTGAGCCAAAATCTATAAAAGCAATGAGCCAGAATCTTTGACGAAAGCATCTCCAACAAACCTACATCCAGCCCAAACTGAACCCGAGTGCAGGATCGCAAAATCGAACAGCTTGATCCGCAACGGTATATGGCTTCGGTAACCACGAACCGACCTCCCCTAAGGCAGAGAGGACGAGGTAGACCGCGAGTCCAACAATTGTATATGAAATGATAATAGCTGCAGGCTTCAACGGATCAGCACCTCCGCTCACAGTTGAGCTTTGTACTCACGCCGCTCCTGCGTTTGAAATCAGCACAGCTCGTTATTGGTCACAGAGGACGAAGGAATGCATTACATAGATAACGCTCGCCCTGTTCCAACCATCAAGCCTGTTCCAATAGCCGACCCAATCGCTGTGGTTTTTTGTTAGCTTTGACTATTCATCGTCGGTTCGAGTCATACTGATGACACTAATTTGGCGGGGTGTTAGGGAGCCGTAGATGTCAGTAAACCCGAGGGCATGTTCAGATGTTGGTTCGGCAATGGTGGTGGTGGTAGATTCAATCGCTGAGGGCCGTGAGCGTTGTGAGGACATATCTTTGTAGTACTAGAACATTCACTCTCTCAGCGTCAAAGACGGGGTGAGAATAAAGGCCAAAAGCACACAAGTGAAGTAGTTCCCAGGTCCAAAATCCAATATCCGAAAATTGACGGCGAAGTAATCGCAGGTACGACCGATGGAAAGAGCCAAACGGATGGGATCACAGATCTTTGGGATATATTTTCTATATGTATGCGTAAATCCCAATTGGGGACATGTGAAGTAGAATAGCATATGAAACAAAACAAAAAGAAAATACAAGCAATTCCCACGTCAACTCCATTTATTGCCACCAAGCCCATCGAGGAGGCACCAAAAAGCGGCCAGCGTCTATATTCCAAAGGCCACCAGATCGCAAACGCCCAAAAAATTGTCGCACCCAAAGTACCATGTGGTTGCATACTGAATTCCATGTCCCCGTGGGGCCAGAGGGGGAGAAGAGATGTCATAAAGTCTTTGTCAAATATTACCAAGTGGAAGCGGTTCGGGAACGACTGGCGTTTGGTCTGTAACGGTCGCTCCCTGGGTGAGGCGGAGGGGGGGACACGAGATAAGATGAAAGGTTTTCCTCATCATCATTTCATCGCGACATGAGCGAATCACTCGACTCCGTTCGGGGGAATATGCGTGTGTAAAGGGAATCGCTGGACTCGGTACGGGGGAAATGTCTCTGATGCTTTCGTGAGATCACGCGATCAGTGTAAACACCCTTGGCTGCGCCGCGGATAACTTGCTCAAGATATTCGCGGAAGTCTGTAGGTTTGAACTCGGGGTACAGATCCTGTGTGGTGTGGTAGCCGAGATATTTGGCGTATTCGGGGTTGTTATCGCCGCGGATTCCCCACGAGAGCTGATATTCGGCCAGATACCGAGGAATAAACTTGATCGGGTCGAAGGGGTAGGTTTCACTAGCCTGCCGGGCCGCCACAACCCTGCTGCAGATGGTTTCCTCGGGGACCTGTGCTCCGGGAAAACGAAAAATCATTAGCCACATTCATTTTTTTCCAAATGCAAGAGCCAGTGCAACACACGTAGTTACGATCAATCTTTTCTTCGCTGAGTTCTTCCATCAGCTCATAAATCTTGTTTTGGGTGGAGACAAGGTTGTAGGCGAGAATCTTCTTGTTCAGGGTGCGTGGGTCGGAGATAATCATAGCCATGTAGCGACCGATGTCTCGCAAATCGGTCAAGGCGGTGGGCATGTTGCCATCGCCGATAATCTCGTCGTTACCAGAAGTCATGGCATAGTCGACGCGCCCGGAGGAGGAGGCGGGGGTAGGCCAGCTGGTACCACCAACCAACATCGACGATGGTGTAGGGAATCCACAACTGACGGATCTGGTTGTAGACAATTTCTTTCTGTAAAAGGCAGAAGCCAGGTCAGTCTGCTCTTGTAACGTATCATGTTCTTGATGTTCGTACCTCATCTCGCAACCACATAACACCGCCTGGAGGGCAGACAGTAATGAATCCACAGGGAACAAATCGCTTCACACCGGTCTTTTTAGCTGCTTTGGCGAGAGGAATCTGATCCTGTTGCTCAGCGGGACCGACACAGCTGATGACCACATCGATCTCAGCCAACGCTTCGATGAGCTCCTCCTCGGAGGCCTTCAGATCGCATTTCCGAATCTGACAACCCCGTTCCTGGAGGCGCGTGATAGCTGGCTTCTGAGCGGAGACAGGGCGAACAAGAGCGATGACTTCCTACACATATTCAAACAGAATTGATTAGTACGGGGTGTTCAATTGTTGAGAGAGCTGGCAGCCGTACAAAGTCACCGGTATCCAACAGACCGTTGGCGATAGAACCTCCGGTTTCACCCGCTGCTCCGACCAACAAAACTTTGGTCTTCGACATGTTAAAATATGCAAGAGGTAAAGAGGTATAGGTGGTGGGGTTGGAAAGTGAAGATATGGAGGGGTTGAGTAGTGAAAGAGAGAAAGAGAAACAGAAGCAGGGATTGGGTAACAGGTTTAGGACCTGACGACGTTATAAGTTCCCAACCCACTTTCCCATCGGTGGGTCAAGTCTTCCCCTCGTTTTGAGGGGGGGTTCATTTTTTTTTGTGCCTTGCTGTGACACAACTTGCTCTCATGATTATTCTTTTTATGTATATATGTATATATTAAATATATCCTTGATTCCTTAAATATGTCATATTTCCTATTTTTTTCCTCACAATATAACTCTCTTCAAACATGTACAGTCTTCTAACGGGCCGGTTCGGGAAAGGGAACCCTAACAAATCGGAAGTTACGTCACTACGGCTTCCCGGCCACAATGGAATAATAATGATGTTTGCGGTTATTGACTAAGAAGTGCTTATATTCAATTAATAGGTACGAATAATAATGGTATGCTTCGTATCGAGAGACATCTAAAACTTGAACAAGTACAATGTACATCGGGACTGACCCCTAAGCCTGTACGGTGTAGCTGGTCAGGCCCTTTAATACTCCCTGGCTCTCAGTACAGAATCTTGGAAAACAACGTCACAGATCCTGATCGGCGTGGTCACAGCTCCTCTGTTAATCACAAGTTTGTTTGAAGTCCTGAGGGTGGGCTCTGGGGCTGTTCAGGCTGTGACGAAATAAGGCTTACTCGGGATCTTAGTGGCGCTGCGCCATAGAAATAATGGAGACGCTGAGGCCAATCAACTTGAGGAATTGCCGACACGATTTTGAATAGTAAGCAATAGGTCAGCTCCAGGGCTCCAAGGGACTCAGGTGATTCAAACATCAGGAGGTCCCAAATATTAACTAAATTATGGGCCAAGGAGGGGCGCCAGCCACAACCGGATGATCTATATTCTCAAAACTTTTTCCTCAGTGCCTTAGTGTCTACGACCAGACATCCTCCCGCTCTGATTGACACTGCACTTCCCTCTGAGTTAGTGGGGTAAGGTTACTCGCATCACGAGTTTGGGGATTCATCTAAAAGAAGTAAAAAGAGGGAAGATCTCCGGGAATCATCGCGGGGAATGGAGGGCCCAAGCAAAGTGACGTTCTGGAACGGGTAATCATTTCTCTCTTGATCGTCGTCACGGGCGCCTATATGAAAAGAAATGAGGGTCAGGCTTAACATGTGACTAAAATTGAATCCTCAACTATCCCCTTGCCATTAATGCCTCATAGCAGACCCCAAAGAATCGTACCCAAAGGGTCGTACGGGCTGCCATTCCAGCCGCTTTTGAACTAGACTATACAAGGAGGCTCGCTTCCAATACGTTGCAAATGTCGGTATCCCTTCTGTCAAATTGCATTATGCACACCATTCGAAAGAACTACGGCTTCTTATGCGTTCAATTAATTATCAGCTCATAATTTGGCGCCGTCAGATCCAGTTCATAGTCAGTGTAATCTGGGATTGTCTCAACTTGTTTCCGTTCTTGTTTGGCATATTTATTTACGGTTGCTTCTGCCTTGGAAAGCACCCGCATTTACGTTCAAGGCCAACGACGAGTCAACAAAATCTACCCAGACTGCGAAGAGAATGGCTCAGTGATGTCTTCAAATCATCAAATTTTGAAATGAGAAATAAAAAATTAGCATGTCATCCGTGCAATCCGCCCATCGAGTACTGCAATGTAAACCATATACAATCCAAAGTAAGGGGGGTCGTTGCCTCACGCTAAAAGTCAAGATTAGTTGTCCTCTCGGTCCACACGACGAGAGAAAAAAACGAAAAACGAAAAACATGCCGGACTGCGAACATGATCAAGTTTTTATCGGAGCCAGGGTAGCTAAACATCGACAGCTACGCCTACAAAAACCGACAACACATACGTACACACCTCACTTCATCTTTACTATCAGCTTAACCGAGATAACGCGATCTAGTCTGCAGTCAAAATCCGTTTCAATTCAAGGAGACAAAAAAATATAAAATAACATCAATGGGGTATCTTGCACAAAATGAGTCGAATTGCAAAAACATCAGAGCAATTACAAAGACTGCGCAATGGGCTTCTCGAAGTTCGTCCTCCCAGCATTCACTCTGGCAATCTCTTCAATCTCAGCCTCCGAAAGAGGTGGCTCGCTCGCCTCCCACCTGTATACCCTCACAGGCTCACCGTTGAAAACAACCGTGACACTGCGCATCCTCTGTCTCTTCCTTTCGCTCTGAATCTCCGCCCACCGGACTTGCGAATCAATGAGGCGAGTTTCACGCTGATCTGCTCTCATCTTCCACCCTTCATATTGTAGGTTGAGAGAATTGGTCGGATCCCAAATCCAGCCAACTCCAAAATGGGAGTCTTCCCTAAAAGCAAGCCCTTCTGACTCGGCGGTCTCCCACTGCCAGTGTCGCAGTTCTAGGACATCTTTCTTATCGCGGCAGAGGCTGAGCAGGCTTTTTGGGGCGAGGTAATGCTGGCGGATATGAAAGTCAACCTGGTAGTGTGCAAACAGGGCCGTATCCTCGGAGGCTGGCCAACCGTAGTGAGCTGAGGTCTTTTTGATAATGTTATCGACTTGTTCGTAGTAGCGTTTTTGCTGAGATATTGTGATATCGTCCCAAAATGTCACAGCCTCACTTTGGTGTGAAGTGGTATCAAATGGAGAGACCTCTTCGATATGTGCGCTTGCATTGGCGAAGTAAAGGGGGTACTGGGCCGTAATGTATAAGCCCATTGCGATATCAGCTTGCATCATGTATGGGATGATCTCCACGTGATCGCACTTCGTGCATTCAAGGGCCTCTTGTAGAGCCGCATTGTGCTGTGACTTGGGTCTGTCAGCGAAGTGAGTCCATGATGGGTCGGAGATGAGGTTTTGTACAATTTTGTCCTTGATGGCCTCTGTCCAATGCCCTTTGAGGGTCTTAGTGGGCTTCCCGACGCGGCTGATCATTCCTGGTTGGGCGATTGCCATGTTGAATGAATGCGTGAGTAATTGTGTAGTATGTTCAAAGTGAAGAGTAGAGTGATGTATGTGCAAAGGTTCGCTTTCTAACTGAGAGTTGAGAACAATTTGAGCGAGAGGTGATACCGTTTGGCATGCATTTATACAATGCACGAAGGGCCTTTGTGTCGATATCGTGGGCAAAGGTAAAGGAAGACAGGGTACAATAGAATCCATTGATTCTAATTTGAATGGAAGAAGCAAACAAAGATGTTGGATTTCAGGCCCATTGATTTGAGTTGAAAATAATGAACTCTTTGGCAAACAATGAATTATGATTGTCTCACTTCACAATGAGATACCTTGATTTCATCATTGACAAAGATAATGAGAGATCCATGGATATGGGTTATGAGAGCCATCACAGTCCAAATCTAGGAGTCGGGATTATTATACTATAAATAACAGAGCGATCTACGTTAACCGGGGCAAGTTGGCGTCTGATTTCAAATGTCATATGTTGATCTGAGCATGAAGGGTCATCTGGAGGCGGAATTAAGCTCGGGCGTGACTCGATCATTGGGCCCGAGCATCGTGACTTTGGATCATCGGGTCGAGCACAGAACATACAAAATGAATGTGCTTGCCCAGTAGTGGGATCAACATAATTATTCAGTTGTCGATAATAATGATCCAGTTAACAACATTCTTATTGACCTTTTTGAGCCCCGGTTTTATGTACAATATGAACACCGAGTACTTACCCCAATGGAGATATGGCTAGGTCTTGTAGATTTTCACAAGAGAAGTAAATACATTATGTATTTGAACATCATTGGCTGGACTGACCTCATTGTCGAAGGATTTCTATCATAGCAATGCTATTGTTACCACGCATTGAATTTGTTTGTATTTCTAACAAGACTCAGTCTTCGCGTCCATACTCCATACCTCCTGCCTCCTGCATCTTCCTCATGCGTGTATTCATCTCCGAACTCCTCCAGTTGATCAGATTAATTTAGTTATTTCCAAGATCGTCCATTTGGCTCATATTCCGAAACCGAAACCAACACCATGGCCGAAGCTTCGCTCGCTTTCCCAATGATTTGCCTAACCCTTTCGTTCCTTTTCGTCGCTCTCTTCTACAACGTATCGATTAAAAGCCGCATCAGAGCTTTTCATCGCTGCATTCTCCTCCCAACTTACCGATACGTTGAGCGCAAGCTGAACAACCGAGCCCACGAGGCAGTCCCGATGTCTGAGCCAACGGATGAACCAAGAGATGAACCAACAGACGAATCAACATATGAAACGATCTCCGTCGATGAAATAACTGACGAGCCACCAGATGAACCGATGCCATCGCCCGAGCTACCTTGGTTCTTCCCACGCTCACGAACTCGATCCAGTGAACATCAACCTTTGGATGACGCCAATTCAGATCTGGAGGAACACAGCTCAAGTCGAATCACCCAACCCCCTGGCAACGTCTACTTCGCAGACTCAACTGTGCGGTACCGCAACGAAGGCGGATACCATGTGATCAACTTCTCACCTCACACTCCGCTACCAAACACTTCTGGGTCTGCAGAATCCGACGAAGACTACACCGATGATGAGTCCGAACATAGGGTGCTGGCCTACACCACGCGAGATGATGTCAACGCGGTTCCTAATGTGTGGGAATTTGAGCTCGAGCGGCCTATCTATGTCGTTGACCGTCATGCTTCAGCAGTCTGGGTGGAGCGGATGATAGAATGGACTGCACAGACTGCCTTTGCTATGGTAGCTCCTCCTGTGATCCTGGAGGTCATGAACGAACGTTAGGATGCATTTCCTCCTTTCGATGGATAATTGCAGCAGCCATAGGCTTGGTAAAATGACCATGGGCACATGAGTGAAGTGATGACTTTGATTTTTGTCATGGTACTACATGCGATTCTCACTTTGATAAATGTATCGCTGTTCGGATGCTCTATGCATTTCTGAAATATTCTCCGTCTATATTTGACTCTCGTAACTTTCCCCTTCCGATCGAGTACATGCCGCCTCTTGACGTACTGCCCTATCACGGGACCCGGTTTAGATCACGTTCATTGGCGGGGATTCATCAACATTAAAGCGCTAAGCAAGGGATTGGTCTCTGGAATTTTACTGGTTCTGACAAGGATGGCACGGTCTCCAGGGCTTATGGCGCTCGGTAATCGCGCACGATCTGAAAATTATGTGGTTGTGCCGGCGATAGGATAATCTCATTACAACCGATTTTTTTTGTTTGGGACATCGACGGTATGAATCACACTACGCACAAATTTAAATGAAAGAAGTCTTGATCATCGTTGAACAGCAATTTCTATTTGACCCTGTCCATGTAGTCTTTGGTTTTTCCTTCCGTTCGTCTATCGTCTCTCATAAAAGAAAATAAATTGTGCTTGCCCTTCTAAACCACGTATCTAGAACAAGATCCCGCTTGTCATATCGTGGTTGGTGTGGATTGCTTATGGGGCACAGTAGCCACCGTCAACAATGAGATCAGCTCCAGTGGTGTAGGTGGAAGCGTCAGAGGCCAAGTAAAGGTAGGCGCCCTTCAACTCATGGGCCTGACCTTCACGGCCCATGGGAATTTTGTCACGCCAAATGTTCTTGGTATCCTCCGCAACAAAGCTGGAAATCTCGGTGGCGATGTAGCCAGGGGAGACAGTGTTGGCACGAGCGAAGCGAACCCACTCAACAGAAAGGGACTTGCCTAAAAAGGTGTCAGAAGAATTGACTGACGATTCTCAACAGCTCCTTACAAAGATGAATCACAGCAGTCTTGGCGGCGTTGTAGGCAGCTTGCATCTGGGGAAAATTGACGATGTGGCCACTCATAGAGGCAGTAGCGACGAAGCTGCCGTATGTAAAATTGGTTAGCTTATTTCCGTTGGCGTCAGTGCCCTCCTCCTTTTGGCGGCGCCAGTGGTCTGCGGCAGCTTTGGCACAGTAAAAGGTACCGTCTAGGTCAATAGCGACAACATCACGGTAATGCTCGAGGGGACCATCAACCATGGGGCCCTGGGTCCAAGGAACACCAGCATTGGCAATGAAGACATCAAGCCGGCCATTGAAATCCTTGACGACTTGATTAACGGCCTCCTCGACAGCTTTTGCGTCGGTGATCTCGACCTGGTAAGCCTTGGCTATTGAAAACATTGTGAGATCGACGCGAAGGAATCAGGTTGCATAGATCTATCACGTACTCTGTACACCGTACTTCTGGGCGACCTCAGCAGCCTGCTCAGGACATTTGGTATTGCTCTTGTACCACATGGCTACATTGGCACCGGCTTCCGCAAGACCATGGGCAACAGCGAGACCGATACCAGCACCAGCACCGGTAACAATGGCAGTTTTCCCCTTCAAAGAGAACATGCTCATGAGACTTGGGTGCTCAGGAGCGGTAGTATTATTGTGAACAAATAGTCCATTCTTGGTGATTGGGTTTGCAGCCATTGCGAGAAAAATAATGTATATTTTGGGGCAGAAGATGCAAGAGATGTCGGAGATAAATCCTCGAGCGGGATCCTCTTTAAATAGAGCTCATGAGGGGCAGCTATGAAAGGCCCGAGGAACGAGACGGTGAACAATGCGTTGGCGGGGAAGGTCGGACCAGACCCTCTCTCTGGATCTGGTCAGCTCTCGCATTGTCCGCGCCTTCAGGGTAGCCCGTAGTGGACATGACGCTATGCCCCAGAGTAGGAAAAGTGGGTCAGTTGTCAGCGGAAGATCGATACATCATAAATTTGTATGCACGTATCAGCTCAGATTTCTAAAAGAAGCCAAGGCACTGACACGCTCATAGCTCTGTTGGCTTGATGTGAGTGTCGTGAAAACAAAACAACAAGCGAAGCGGTGAGAAACAATAGACCACTCGGATCAGCTGACCAGTTGGCATCTTCCTTCATGGTTATCTTTTGTCTTCCGTTTCTGCGCTGCGTCCGTAGGATTGGTCGGATTTATACATTTGACTTCATAATTACATAGGAAATTCCAATACGAGCCCTGTTTCGATGGTTTTAATCGTTCCAGGATGGAAACTCAACCCTGATAAGAGCAACGGCTCACAACGTCCAGCATTGTGGTGAAACTACCAATGCGATATATGAAGGCATTTTTTAACCTCTGGGCCCAATTCTTTCCGTGAATTCGCCTGCATACATGTAGCTAGGTAAGAAGTTGGATCTATTTATTTGAAGCTTAGGTGCCGCGAAGATCACTTTTGTCATACAGAAGCGCCTCGGCTCACTAGGCAGCTGCGTATCCTTCAAATATCTGGTTGCCGACACAGTCGCACAGTTAAAATTCATGAATGAAACAAATCATTTAGCCGGACGATAGCAAGACTGGTGGTCATTCCCAAACGTGATCACGGATCGTGTTGATCGTGGGTATATGAGGGATACACCGACGTTGATTAGGGCATTCAATCTCCATTCCAGCCAACCAAGACCGGTTCTCAGATGTGCCAATCATCTCCTTGTGCAATTTCATTCGTCGACCATGTCATGGTCGAACCAGGATAGAAGGGGGTAGTGTGGCCGCCAGCATTCTTCGCACTCCGGGTGGTGATGAATGAACATTCTTCGGCTGGCATCAATGTTCCCATAACAAATGGCGACCCCTTGGGAGATGGAAAATATGCATTGTTTCGTTCTCTCTCATCTTTACGAACATTTGTTGTTGTGGATGAGTTTTTGTGCGGCATCGAAACTTCACTCTGGCCGTTTGATAGAGCGATAATTCGAACGTTGCCTGTTCACAAGCGACGCGCCCTTCACGGATGACGGATTGAAAGAAACACATTCAGAATTCGAATCCATTCTGTCTCGAAGTCGGCTTAGTGACGTGCCAGCGAGGCGACCATGCTGGGGCTGAGCGCCGTCGTCGCCATAGCCGCTTCCGGTGCGGCCATCTTCATTGTCGTCTCGGTGGTTAGCATTGTTGTTTGGGTCAGGTATCGCAAAGAACGACATGCATTAGCCTTGCTCGGATTTAAACAAAAGGATGGACAATATGGCCGGGCAATTCAATCATTTCCTATTGATACAATGACCGAATTAAGCCAGGCGGAAGGGAGTGTATTAAGAGCACATGGACAACTTCCCTATGGAAATCCAAGTGAATGGGGACAATTAACGTCACGAGAAAATCTGCTTCGTCCGAAGCACAGTTCAGACTCTTCTTTTCCTCTCACAGAGAAAGCACGATCTCTCCGCCATTCCCTTTCCCGATCTCGTTCCAAACGTCTATCAAGATCTTCTCACAAGAGAATAAGTTCCCTAGCTACCTTGGGTGAATCGACTTATCTTCCTAGTCCGCCACCAAAGACTTCGATATCCAAAGACGACGTTCCACTGTCGGCAGTTGAAGGGGTTCTCGAGCTGCCTGCAGAGAGGACCCCCACCCAAACACCAGATCCAAACGAAAATGATAAGGGATTTCATTTAGGCATGCGACCTGTGTCACCTGAATGGCCCCTCTCAGGTCAACGGGAGCGATCAGCACTTTATTCTGTATCTGATAATCACCATTCCTCGCGCGCTTCCGACGCACCATCTATGATTTTCGATGAGTCTCCTCGACGTCTGCGAGGGGTAAGCATTGCCAGTCAGACAGCAGGCATGATGCCAGGACATGCGATTCCGCCTCCTCCTCCAACGGCTTTTCCCCTGGACAGATTCAGTTACGCCCGAAACGATTCTGTCGCGCGACTTTCTTCAATGAGTCTCGATACCACTAATAGCTCGATCCTTGATGATGGCCGGAATGCTCCCAGGTCGGCTGATACCGACTTCACATCGCCCATTTTCCCTTCAGGCGGCACCTTCGTTCCTTTCAGTGCTGCTGATGTGGGGGTCAAGGATGGTCGCAGGAGTTTTATCGCCACTAATACCTCCATTCCTCCAATGCATAATTTCCCCGTGCGCTCGTCCTCAACAATCGAACCTCGCCATAGATCAACATCCGTGTCACCTCGGCGCAGTATGACTACTCGCCACTCTGGTGCTTCAAATGATATGTTCAACATGGCTCCACGTCGAACTGACTCCCTCTCTTCTTCGAATCCACCATCCAGACATGCATCCCTCCGTTCTGGGACTCCTATTGGACGTGTGGGTTACCAAAATCAAAACACAACCGACTGGCGATTCTCTGGCTCTCAGATGTCGTTTGTGCCTCATTCCAGTCAATTCCAAAATAACACAGTCTACGAAGATGAGGGAATCGAGAATGACCCCTTCTATGTAGGCTCACCTGGGGGCGGGACTCTGTTCCACCCAGTTGGATCTCCGGGTAGCGCAGCAAACATCGCAAAGCCCCCAAGCCCAATGCAACGTACCAGCCTGTCTTTGAAGGGTGTTCTTCCATCTGCATTAAAGGGTGGAAATTCACAACGCAAGGGTCACCGACGTCAGAACTGCGTTCGTATTTCTATTCACCCACCTATGACATTTGGATCAACGACATTCGCGCCCACTGTTGAAGAAGAGCCCGAGGACTTTGACAAGATGGAACAGCTGGATCTCCGCGAGAGCTCAATGAATAGCTCAGCAAAGCCATTGCCTTCATTGCCCCCGAATACGATGTCTCCTCTGACATCTTCCCGGCGCAGCAAGTATGGCAGTCGAAATGGCAAGCCGCCGGGGCTAAGTTCTCTAGGACCATTGGTCGAGGAACCACAGCCCATGTATAACGACAGTCTTTCCAAGCCGAGAAAGCATTCTCCATCTGTCTCCGCGTCCAACAACTCCTCAGTCGAAAATGACCGCTCTCTTCCCGAACTCTTCACCTCTCTCCCTCCCTCCAGCGGCAGCTGCCTCTCGCACACACCCTCTCCTGAGCGAGTACCATCAGTGTGGGAGCTTCCTGAAGCCCCATCACCATCCTACGAGAGCACTATCGGCACCGGCAGTCCACGTCGATCTGCAGTCAAGGGACCACGCATCCAACCACAGATCCTAGCAGCCCGAAGCCAATCTACCCGCGTGTCCTCGACGTCGTCCGATAATCTACTCAACAGTCCCCTCGGCTCACCTAACCGTCTCCCTCTCGTTATGAGCATCACTGGAACTGAAGGCAGCGACTGGCGCAGATCAACAGACTCACTTCAACGCACAAAGACGGATGCCATGGACCGTTCATTCCGCCGAAACCGTGATTCGATCTCTAGTCTGGACAACGGCCTCGGTCCTATAGGACCCTCTTCTGGAAGCTACCGCTCGTCGATGGTGCGAGATCGTGTCACTATCTTCGAGGATGCTGATCGGACCTCCCCGACCAAACCCACTGTGCTGCCACCGGTTGGCACATTTACCACTCCTGAATCCTCACCCACCCGTGGTAAAAACAGCGTGCCTCGCTCTCTGCCAGGCAATCAGTTTTTTCCGACTCACATGTCTGCCCACCAAGGCCCTCCCACTCCCACTTCCCCTCGACGGGGCATGGCTACTCCAATCAACAAGAGCCTAGGGCTGGGAATTGGAACTGCCACACCTGGGAGTCTTTACGATGGTGATGGGTTCCTGCGAGAATAAGTTCAGCGTTGTGTCTCTTGACGAGTCATTTTTGTGGAGTTGGGAAGCGAATTCTCTTGTTGGTTATTTGTATCTGCCACTCATTCTAGGCCCAAAAGCCTGATCATCATTTTCTTCTTTTTGATTATTATCTTTTATTCCTTCTTTCTCCTCTCGCCTGGCGATACTCCCATTCTTTTCTTCTGTTTTATTATGTGTGACGTGTGTTTCTATATCCATGGAATAGGTCGCTGTTACTGAAAATCTAATTCTTCTTATCCATATTGTTTTCGACCGTAATCCGCTTTAAAATTCATAAACATGTATTCAATAACAGCCAACAACCCAAGTCACTGAACGCCGGCCTCATACTTTTTAACAAAGTCCTATCAACTTGCCTCCGATCAATCTGTCTTCCGCCACTTAGTCTCATCATCCTCTTCTCCATTCTCCGCTGCACCATTCTCACCCTCCTCTTCCCGGGCCCTCACAGTGCCAGCACCAGGTCCAAGCGGGAAGGAAGGCGGCTCACCACCAGCTATCCAGTTCCCATCCGCATCGAAGAACTGATCCATGTTGTCCGCCGTAATCCACCCAGAGCTTCCATCAACAGGAGGTGGCATTCCACCATCCCCAAGCTGGAAGACACCCTCGTGCTCTTCAGCGGAGATGAATTTGGGACCTTCATCCTCTTCATCCTCGTCCCCAGGCTCGACAGGATCCGGGTGCAGGTTGGCGCACGCTGAGACGGCCCCGTAGAGCTGCTGTGTGGGTGTTTCTGTCTCTGCTTCCTCGGCGCCATTGGCAGACGCCTGTGCTGTCGCGTCCGCGGCCAACACCAATGTCAAGGTGGTGCACTCCTCCTCATCGTCGGCGGATGGTGCACCAGGCGTCACGATCTGCATGTAGAGGCCCTGGACTTCGGTGTCGGATTCGGCCCCCGGCACGCGCAGCCGTTGGAGGGCGTGTAGCGAAATCGAGGGGTAAGGGATTGAGACGCCTGCTGAGGCAGCAGGAGAAAAGAGGAGGAATTTGCTGTTGGTACAATCAGTCAGTCGGTGGTTCCAATGCTTAGATATAGTCTCAAGACCCAGGAAGATGTAGAACTCACTCAGATGTTACCCATGCGTCGACGCCGTCAATGGCAACCTCTTTCTCTTCGTCGTCCTCGGTCGTGGCGCTGGTGGCAATTTGGGCGCGTAGTACATTCAGCGCTGGGGATTTGAGCAGCTCGCGCTCGAGGATGACGATCTTGCAGCGCTGGCTGTGGTAGTGTAGCACTGGGGGGCCGGAGTAGAAGGAGCTTGGGGTGCGGGACTGGTGCTCCGCGAGCGGAACGAATGAAGAGAGTTCGGGTGCGGTGCTGAGAGCCTCCATTTTTGTCTGAGTAAGGGAGTGCGTGGTTTCGTGAGGTTTGGGTGGCTTGGAGGTGAGTTGGTCTCACGTTGAGATTGAAAAGAGCTTCCGGCGCGGCGAGGAGCTTTTCCGTGGTTGGGGTGGATTCCCCACGATCAGCCTGAAGAAGCTTGGGAACCTTGGAAGAATTGGAACATTTCAGTAGCAAAATTTCGAGCTTTGATGCTTTTGAAAAGATTATTGCAAGTATATTCTATAATTTATTGGGCTACCATGGCCTTTACAGATATTGCATTGCAGATTTGGAATTTGGTATCCCTGTTATATATATCTGCCCTCATGACCAACCTGACATTGCAACATAGACAAAGCTTACAAAACTTGGAATAAGCATATAAGAATTGATCCCTTAATATATCCTGTGATAAAACACTCGGCTACCAGGTTCATAGATCCAAATAGGTAGCTACATTTAGGAAGCTATTAAGACCACATACACCCGCAGCTTGAATTATTCTTATGCATATAGGGCAGCCAGCGCCTGTGGATATGAACATTGTGTAAATGAAAGAATTGTCAGAAAAAGACAAAAGGATCTGTGCAATCCGGCAGAGCATGTCGGTTTGCATACTTGTATTGGCGTTCAAGTCGACGGATGCATAGACCAATTCACCAATGTGACCACATGGATTCCCACCACAAAGGACACCCCAGACAATAACGAGCCCCCAGGTCAACGTATAAGGGAGACCTTTGATCGAAATGGAATCTCTATCGACCGGGTCTGACGAAAGCCTGGCCTTGGAGTCCTGCTATTTATAAGGGCGGGGAATTTGGGGGGTTTCCGCTGTGACAGTGGAGTCGGGCACAACAAGTCTACTTGCTGGGCGCGGTCGGAAGTATTCTTGCAGTGTGAAAGACCGCATCGGGGAGGATAGGGAGGTTATTTCTTTTCATTTCACACCGAGCCCACCAAATGCCTTGTCGAGTTCCTCTCCTTCATCATGAGGTTGTATAGCTGGCATTTGCGAGGAGCCTTGATCAGGAGAAGAGCTATCCAAGAGACTTTGCTGGTCGCCTTGTGAAGGGGACATGCCGGCTCTGCTAGGCTGAAGCAACTTCTCCTCGCGGTCCAGCCACCCAGGGGCTAAGCGTCTCTTCTCAGCCAGCTCGCGTTGTTTGATAGACTCTTTCCAAACCTCAATCGCTTGCTCGGCATCACTACGCGTCTTGTTCAGGTGTTTTTCGAGGGAATGACAAGCGGCCAAGATGTCGTCCGGGTGAGCTGCGTGTTCTCCGCTGGAAGATACGACATAGCGGGCTTTCCCATCTGGATTGCTTGGATCCACTGTTATTGAGGGCGGAAGGATCGAGGAGACGGATTTATATGTGTATGGTAAGGTGACGGAGGTGGGGAGGTTGATGAAGGGTGAGACGGTCAATGGGACCTGGGCAAGGAGAGGGTGTGGACCTGGATATTTGTGTGAGGAACGTCAACTGAATAGATGTTATGAGATCAGTTAGAGACTTACGATAGGAGTCGTACATGGCTAATGTCACAGGCGTTGAGGGTTGCAGATGCGGAGTAGCGGAGTTGGGGAAATCGCGGGCCCAGAGGCCGAAACGTCACACCCACTTTGGGACATTCACCAGTTGGCTCTAGAAATACAAAGGGAATATTCTCCTGGTGCATAGAGCACGATCCTGCCGCCAGAGAGCTCTTTATTCGAGTTGACCGCTCCAAGATTACTTCCCACGGCAAACCCTCGATCAGGCGCATGTGGCTTAAGATCCATATATGGCAAGCTACGGCTGATATTAATGCATGTCAGCCTTTCTATGAGGCTTTGAGTGCCGTTGATGGTGAGTATGAGACCTGGAGGCAAATGGTGGTCTCGAAGCCGGAACTGAGGTAGAACCATGGGCAACCCAACACCTTCCTGAAGGGTGATGGTACGGTAGAGCTTAGGGAATATGATCCCAACAATGTGGGGATCATTAAATCGATTTTTGACCGGGAATTTGATGCCGGAGGGTATACACGGAGGGTCAATATTGGGAATGTCAAATCCAGCATCATTGTTTAGTTTTTGCTACGATATTTCCTCAGGAACAGATCAATTCTGCAAAATGTAACTGCGTACACATTACATGGAGGGACTTGAGCATAGGATGCAATGTACTCACTCGTTGGGTCTAGATGAGAGCTAGGACTTCGTATGAAGAAACATGTTATCTTTGCGTAGAGAACAGATGGCCGTATAATGCAGATTGAAAATGCATTTCCAGTAGTCATAAAGCTCTTGTTTCCTGATTCTAGGTCAAAACGGCGTTAATAACCCGCTGTTCGTCTGAAGAATATAACACAGAATTAATAATTAACAATCAATGAGAAAAGCCCGACACCGCATGAAAATGTCCCCAAAATCAGGGTCATAGCACTCCATCCAAGCTCGGACTTGGTTGCACCAGCAATCAGAGGCCCGATAAATTGGCCCATCGCGATGGCCATATTGCAGAAGGCAAATCCAGTGCCCATCCCGCTACTCTTGGTGGTATCAACTCCATGCTTTGCCTCAATTTGTCGAACTGAATCCGACACTTCAGCCATGGTTTGTGCCTGGGAGGTAGTCATGAACAGACCCACGAAGGATACCAGTGAAATGAACAGGATTTGATGCTGTAGTGTATTTCCTTCCGCCCATTTGAGGCCTGCCATAGGAAGCGAAGAAAATATAAGCTCGGTGGCGACGATTTTTCGGCGATCCCATCCGCGATTTCTGGTGTATTTGGCCAGAGGTATGCTGAAGAAGCTAGGGAGGGTCAATCCTAGAAACACGAGTCCTGCATTCGTCGGAGCCCATTGGTAGGTTTCTATGGTAAACAAAGGCAAAGTCTGATTTTGCGTTGTTAGTTCTACCCTACTGGGAGATGAAATTTTACCTACTGCCTCAAATGCCGAAAAAATGGAGGAGATCGTAACCTCGACAAGAATGGCTATCATAAGGCGAGTATCAAAAAAGTGTCGGAAAGCGAGAGAGGGTGCACAAGAATGCGCCCGAGATCCAAGCAAGGGGCTTTCTTCCCCTGCCTCTGATATAATTGAAGCTTCTGTTTGCCGTGGACTCTCCACGATCGCGCTGCGTTTTTCGATCATCAATACCCGAAGGATAATATCGATGGCCAACATTGCTATCGGGAGCCCAAATGCACCGGCAATGCCAAAGTGATCGAACCTATAAAACATCAGAGTTAAGTTTGAAACACTGAAGCATTCGAAAAGAACATAACATACAACAGTCCACCAAAAACAGGTCCTGTTAGCATTCCCCACGTGAACGAAAGAGATCCGTATGCCATGAACTCTCCCAAAGTCTCTGAATGAGCTCTGTCTGCAATCATAGCGAGACCAAGAACCCCAATTACTGCACCCGAGAGCCCTTGACATACCCTTGCAAGGATAAAAACGGAAACTGAATGTCCAAACATAAATATAGAAGTTGAGGCGGCGATCGTCAGATACCCAAAGAGCAGAGGAGATCTCCGTGAATGGATGCGATCACTCACGAAGCCAATTATAGCTGGGTATCTTCAATTAGCCGTAGGTTTGTACGTGGGAATTGGCAAGCTCACGGGATCCTATCAATAGTGCAGCGCCATAAGCTGCGAGAAGTATGGCTGTCCACTTTTGAGCTAGAGATCCGTCAGAAGTGAAAATTAAGAAGGTTGCGTGGTACATACTGTCGTCTTTTGAGATTTGACCTTGTTGAAGTAGTAAATATGGTAATATGGGAACAATCTATTTGGCAATATCGAATAAGTAGACGAGACCAGACTGACCGAATCATGAAAGCTATTACCATTCCATAGATAAAAGTATCAGTGAAAATAGCAAAACACATTGCCACTAAAACGAAATGATCTGATGACCGAACATTGTGGAAGCGTTCTATGATTGTCATTTTGAAATTGAGATTTGAAGAAAAACGCAGAAAGAAGATGAGTTCTGATCAAAATTTCAAAAGCTAGAAGATGGAAGACGAGTTGAAGATTCACGTCAGGCTCTAATGGTGAAAGTTCGTATCATTGAAGACTGATAGTGGCAGGAGATCTGCCTTTATATGCAACTTCTTTACCTTGCTTTTTTCCTTGGCGAATTATATCGATTGGTGTACATGATATCTAGATTAGGGATTTCGTCCAAGATGAATCTAGCCATGTAATTTCTCACTAACGCTGAGTTTCTGCTGAAAACCGCAAAATCCTCTTTCTTATTTACTCCGTTCGAAAGATATAAAAGGTTTCATGCTTCCCTCTCGCCTTTTCAACAAAGCTGACACCCGTTCCAGAAGCCAAGTGAACTATTTCATCTATTTCCCACTGCCTCATTCTCATGGAAATATTATTTGTTTCAACAATTTGATCCCCTAGCTCTGTTTTCTCCACTACCTGAAGTTCGAACTTCACATCTTTGATTTTATCTTGTACTTCGCCGCGATGATCGGACTCGCGGTACGTGATGTTGGGAAATGCAGCACTTTTGATTTCCGTAACGCCCTCTGGTTGATGAAAGGCAATATCCTCCTCCTTCCGCAGAAGCGAGCCATCGTATATCGAAACATAAGCTCGTCCAGTATCAGGACGCAGGACTTTAGAGACCTGTTCCAAAAATCTCTCTGGCTGGCCCTGTTCCGACAAATGGCTGATTGATCCGATGGAAAAAATCAAAAGGTCGACCTTTTGATATCCGCATTGAGCCATGACATTCTCTAGGTCGAGGGCAGAGCCCAGAACCCAGGAAACATGTTCTTTGAAAAGGGGATCAAGATTCTGGGCAGCTTTGTCCAACATGTGCTGAGCATTGTCCACCCCTAATATCTGAGTGTTGGAAATGTCGTCGCCAATCACAGCCGCATTATTCAAAAGACCTTGAATAACACGGCCTGTGCCAGTTCCGACATCCATGATGATAAAGGGCTCTCTAGGAGCCCTGAGGAGAGGAGAGTTGAGCTCTTGGTAAACTCTCCAGTATAAGGAGGCATCGTCGATAGAATCGGATTTCGGGGCGACCAAGTCGTAGTAGTCGACAAGGTATGGGGAGCTGTAGAGATCATTCATCTTCTTCGAAGTATTTGCCATTGTTGCAAACTGATAGAGTTGAGATAATAATTCTTTTACTGACAGAAGGATATCTCTGGCCCGTTGGGACTTTTTACAAATGGAAAACGACAAAAAAAAACCAGACTCAACTACGTACTACGTTGGGAAGACAAACATTTGCAAAGTATCGCTAACAAAAAACAATAACCTTGGAACAGCTGAAAAGTGGGTTAGGAATGATAGTTCAAGCCACGCACACATGCGGTCGTAGAATTTGGTCAATGACACATTTTACGGGGTAGCGATAGCCGATGGGATGACAGCGGCAGGCGACGATCATGGCTGGCTGAATTGCATGAACCATCATCACTCTGATGTCCTCTTTAGACATGCATGTCAGATCAGCCACATTCAGTTCGATTGAGAACTCAACTGGACAAAGTTCAAAATTAAATTTACGACTCATAGCTATTCAAGGAACCAGCTGATGCGACTGGCTAATTTAGGAAGTTCTCTTCCCTCGCAGATACGTGATATCCAACTCTGGATCTGCATGGATTTCAAACATTCACATGCTATTGGTCTTCTAGTCCATATCTCTCTGAGTGGCTATGGCAAATCAAAAAATGACATTATGTCCGTTGCTCCAAACCAATAGTCCAAGTACAACCCCTGGAACAAGGACACAATACGCCAGCCATGTAGTGAATATCCCGCCCAGAATGGCTGCATCGGCTTGACTTGCCCCTTGATTGAACTCGCTCGTGTTGTTGACTCGAGGATACGGGATTTCCGGCACAGGAACACCGAGAAACGCACACAACGGTTCCCATCCGTCCCCCAGCTGAAGCTCAAGAAATTTGTCTGGCCTCACTCCCTTTCGCACCCGGTCATTGTGCTCCAGAAAGCACCTCTTGGCAAAATTGTTGGAGTAGTCGTTGTTGCAGATCACCTTGTAAGCCATTTTGACCATGCGCAGCTCAGGCCCCAGTCGGTTACGCTCGAAATATTGCAGGATGCTCAGGGATGGCTTTTGGAGCCATGGTATGATGGTATTGTGAACAGACTTGAACCAGGAGTCGGCGGAGCGGGTAGTAAGGATTATTTTCACTTCTGGATAGAGTCGATTGAAGTCATCCCAGAAAAGGCATGCTGGGATGTCGAGAAGCGCGTCGTACTTGCCTCGCAGGCGGTCGAAATCCTCTCGTTCGTAAGGATGCTTCGAATTGAAGAACTTGCGGTTCATTGCGTCCGTCCATTGGTTGTACATGACTTTTGGATTTTCGACAGGCTCGCACATATGCCATGGAGTGTATCCCAGTTCTTGTAAAGCAAGGTATAAGGCTAGAACCTCAGATGTGAATGTTAGAAATGCGTAGTGCGATGAAAAGGAAACGTACAAGCAGTTCCGGTACGCGATAGACCCGCGACTATCAGCCGCAATGGCTTCTGGGTATGAGCCAGTGAATCCTTTGTATGCATAGCCAGTAGGGTTGGTAGAGTCCTCTTTTAGTGATACAGTGGGAGTAATCAGAAAGCAACGGATATGTCAAATTTGAAAAAGATTCACACACCAGCGGACATTTATTCTACCAAAAGAGAAAAAGAAAAGACTAGTCATGCAGCTGAAAATCAGTGTGGCGGTCTCAAAGTGCACAAATAGCGAGGAATGCAACTTGTCTAGAGTTTAGTTAGCCTGAAGAGCTCTTTCACCACCAAGACTTGTCTGGCTCATTTTCAACATTCAATAATATCTACCAAACCAAGTTTACACGGCACATCAAAACATGGAGTTACTGCAATGGCTCGGAGTTTTGGGACTGTTTGTATGTGATCGTCCTAAATTCTTGAACCAATTCTGACTTTTGATAGTTGGCAATTTTTCATATCTGCCTTGCTGTCTATAACGTGTTCCTCCACCCTCTTCGAGCCTACCCTGGTCCAAAGCTAGATGCAGCATCTCAACTCGTCTATGTCTATCACATGATAAAGGGCGACAGTTGCAAGTATATTGCAAGCCTACACGAGAAATATGGCGAAGTCGTTCGAACAGGCCCGAATGAAATCTCATACATGACGGCTTCCGCGAACAAGACAATTTTTGGAAACAAGACCACGGAAGACAGGGCATTTGAAAAGAATCCCGCTGTTTATATTCAAGGATCTGGTGCAGCGCAGAACATACTGTTCGCGAGTACTCGCGAGCATCCGCGATACAAAAAGCTCATGGCTCCTGCATTTTCGGAACAGGCTATCAAAGAACAAGAGCCGATGATCCAAGAATACACGAGTCTCATGATTGACGCACTGCGACACAATCGGTCGGGAGAAGCTTACTATCCTGATGAGAACGGAGTTGTGAACATGGGGGCGTGGGTCAATTTCATTATCTTTGATATTTTGAGCGCCTTGTCCTTTGGAAAGCCAGTAGGCTGTCTCCCTTCTGCGGATTATCACCCCTGGGCGTACGTGATATTCGGGGCGATGAAACATTCTCATTTTGTACAATGTGCCCACAGGCTGAAGCCTTATCATCCTCTGCTGGAAAAGCTTATCCCCGGAGATATCAGTATACCATATCAAACTCATATGGAGAATGCCCGAAAACATTTGCGGGAGAGGGAGCAAGACAAAAGTATTTCTCGTGCAGATTTCGCCTCATTTATTCTGAAAGGGATGACTGAAGACGAACTCCTTGACAACATTAATATTTTAGCCACAGCAGGAAGCGAAACCACAGCGACAACTATTTCTTCTGTCCTCTACTATCTCGCTCATAACCCGGAGGTTTACCAGAAGTTAGTGAGCGAAATTCGATCTAGCTATTCCTCGGAAGAGGAGATCACATTCAATTCGGTCAGCGGCCTCGGTTACCTCAAGGCTGTAATCCAAGAGACCTTTCGCATCCATCCATCTGTTCCAGTCGGCCTGCACCGCATAACACCGAAATCAGGCAGCTATATTGATGGAAATTGGGTACCGGGAGGGGTATGGCTCGCGTTGCCTAAAAGGCCAAAAGAAGATGACCTAGCTGACTTATTTCTAGACATGGGTTTCAGTGGCCCTCCTCGCAGCTTACAGATCTCCAAGGTATTGGCGCCGCCCAGAGGAGTTCATCCCTGAGCGGTGGCTCGGAGACCCCGAATTCGAATCAGACAATCGGCAAGTCTGGGCCCCCTTCTCTATTGGACCGAGAAAATGTGTTGGAATAAAGTACGTACCCTGGGTGAGGAATTGTGATTTGGGCTGACTGAAGTTTGCGTCAGTTTGGCATATCTAAACATGCGCCTGATAATTACTCGACTGCTCTGGAACTTTGACCTCGAAGCACAACCGGACAATACCGACCCGCATGAGATGAAAGAGTTCGGGGTTTGGCAGGGACTAGTTCCCCTGAATCTGAAAGTGCATGACGTACGCTTTGGAAAATGATGGGCGTCACATAACGAGGCGCGCAACGCCGTTTGTGATCTGCATGCAGCACTGTGTACATTGACGCATAGCACACCTGGTTGATAGGACAGTCAGATAGGAGCTGAGACAAATATACTTTTGAAGATACGCCACCGTTGGCTGTCAGATTATAATGACATATAACGGATTTTGCTGGACAATGCATATTTTATTCAGGACTTAATCTCAATTTCAGATAATAACTAGCCGCTTCAAGAAAATCCAAGTTTGAAGGAGAGGGGCGCGCCGAAAGAGGTCTTGCAGAATACGAGAGAAAAACAAAAGACTGGCTGAAAGACCTGTATTAGATGGATGAAAATATTACCTATTCGAGTAACCGAATGGCCGAGGAAAAAGGTTAGCTCCTACTAGATTTGCGATCTGTATTTGCACCATGCATACTACCAAGTCCTAGTGCCCGAATTGCTTGAAGTGGTGGGCATCATGTGCAGGTTACAAAATAGGGGCTACGTTGATGTGAATTTCCTCGTGTCGAATGGAAAGGCAATAAAATGCTGCAACTGGCTGTATCAGCTCGCCCATGACAGTTTGCTAGTATCCAGGTTCACATCCTGAATTTCCTCAGCTTCTAGATCCACTGGCTTCGAACCAGCTCTACGGCCATTCGTATACTGTCTTATGTGCATATCTTACTGTTTCCTAAAGTGGGCCAACACACAGCAAATCCGGCTTATCACATTGATCAAGATGTGGATGCGCAGAAAGAATGAGAATAGCTGCGATTTTATATGTCGAATTTGACCTTGGAAAAAAACAATGCGCATCTTTGGGTGCCATTCAGTTGGCGCTAGGTTTATACAGCTAGCGTATCTGGACGTGGGCTTTTAAGAATGAGATTTGAGTCTGGAGGTTCTTCTTTAGAATCAAATTGCAATTTAGTATTGAACAACTATTACTTACCTTCCGCTTTGAACATCCTTATTTGCCTACCATGGGTTCTACTGCCAAGCGCATCACTATTTTTGGAGCCACGGGCAACCAAGGGGGGTCTGTGGCTCGATCTCTGTTGCAAAACCCCGAATTCCAAGTCCGGGGTATTACTCGAAACGTTCATTCGGAAGCCAGTAAAAAGCTGGCTGCACAGGGCGCAGCTATTGTTGAAGCGAACGGATTTGATTATGACCAGATGCTGGCTGTATTCCAGGATTCCTGGGGTGCTTTTGTGAACATCAACTCTGATGACCAAGTCAGTAAATCTTGACCAACAAGCATTGTAATTAGTGGCTAATCATTCAATATTGTAGGCATTCAAAGACCCTGATCACCCGACTGAGTTTGACATGGGAAAGATCATTGTTGATGCTGCTGTCAAGGCAGGTGTACAGTGTTTTGTGTTCAGCTCGGGACCTCCATGCACCGAGATGACGGATGGTCTAGTTCGGATGAAAGCCATGGACAGTAAGTAATTTATAAGACACCTGTATCGTATTCTTGCTAAATCGAGCAAAAATAGTGAAATACAAGATAGAGCAATATGCCAGACAGCTAGAGGCTTTCCAGTCTTTCGTTCCAATCGGAGCCGGTTGGTTCCTAGAGAACTTCCTCGGTCAAGAGGTTGCTCCTGTATTCGGAGGCTTTCCTCACTTTCCTGACAGTGAAGGATATTTGACGTTCCGTGTTCCCTACTGGGGTGGAGAAGAGAATGTTCCTTGGCTGAGCATTTCTGATGATTTTGGTGATATTGTTCAGGGGATCTTTCTGGACCCCTCTCGCTGGAACGGTCATTTTGTGCATGGAGTGAGCGATATGCGCAGCTTTGATGCAATTGTGGCTGAGTTCAGCAAGGCCACCGGTCTCAAGTCTAGGTTTGATCCTATTCTACCAGATTGGCAGGCCTTTGATACCCATGATATTCCTGAGTTGGAGGATGTCAAGCTCATGTTTGGGTTTACTCAGACTACTGGGGGAAAATATTTTGCAGAGCCCACAGAGATTACCACCGCTGCTGTACTAAAGCGTGCAACGGCGGAGGCTCTTGAATGGCCAGAGCAAAAGCAGTGTTTGATAACACTCAGTCAATGGTTTGCCGCCCGATTTTGAAATTGATCGATTGCTTTGTTTCTCTTTTAGCTAAAACAATTTTTGATGAGTTTGATTCAACAAATGCATTTCAATAGTCAGTGTCAATGTCCTGGTCCTGTCTTTTCTTTTCATTTTAAGTCTTACAGGTTGAAGACATGCATATCGAACTGTAAAGATACTCCACCAAGAAACAAACAGACGGCTTTCTTCGCCTCGATTAATAGGTCTCTCGTAGATCCGTAGCTCAAAATGCACATTTTGGGCAAGAATTTGTATTGGCTCTAATCAAGATGGGAAATATGCACATTGGTATTTTTCAGGGCTTGATTGTCTCGCACTTTCCGTGATCGGAGCGTGTGCCTCAGTGAAGGCTAGCCATGGCGGCGCTGAACACTTTCAATCAGGCCCATTCAGCTCGTGTTTGCTAAAACAAAACCTATCAGTGAGACCTGCACAACCCTCATGCTATCCGTCAGCACTTGAATTTACAGTGCTATGCTGGAAATAAGCTGGGCCACCATAGAACAGGTTGGGTGGTTAATATGCCTTGTCATTGCCATTTTCGTACAGCAGAAGAAGTGAATGAAGTAAGAGGCAAGCTGAGCCAATAATATGTGTGCTTATGCATATCTCTTGCCATACCTAGTTGGCAAAGGCGCAAAAGAGAGTCGAAAAAGGCTATTTCTAGTCAATGGTTCTTCAAAATTGAGCACACGGGCAATGGCTTGCAGCTCAGCCAGCCATTTATTGCTTCAATTGCATTAGGAAGTAATAGACGGTCATAGTGTTTTTATTTCCCCTAGAAATTGAAAAAAAAATGGATTGTGGCGTAGGGGGAGGCAAAGTTAGCCATAGAGACAAAAGCTCGTATCAATTTAGATAGTTTAAATAGCCTGTACAATATATAGCACACAGCGCATCATCACGCATTTTCCAACTCATTTGACACCATTTTCCATCAATGCCGTCGCAAACTTTAACCAATTCGGAGGAGTATGAGTTGGCTGTAGACCCAAATCTTGGTCTCGGCCAGCTCTTCTACAATCAGATGAAACGAAGCCCTACATCCACCGCTGTCATTGATAGCGACAAAAGGCTCACCTATCACGAATTGCATTCGAATGCGCTTCGAATCGCGCACTATCTCCGACAGGAGAAAATCAATTTCGAAGAGCCGGTGGGCATTGTTGTCCAACATGGTATCGCAGATGTAGTGGCCCAGATGGCGATCATATATGCCGGCGGTAGCTGTGCGCCAATGGATCCAACGTTGCCAGACACTTTAATCCAAAGTCGGCTTAAAAAGCTTCACGCCAGATACATCCTGGTTGATGAGACCAATAAAGACCGAAGCCTCGGATTCCGCCATTTCGATGTGAGCAGCGAAACACCATGGAAAACCAAGGAACTATGGTTTTCCAACTCAGAGCTTCCTTTCGCAACAACCCTCGAGCATCGAACTCATCTAATTCATACCTCTGGAACAACCAGTGAGCCAAAAGCGGTCCAGATCGCGGCTCGCTCCATCCTGCAAGTCGTGTATCATGCACCCTTTGAAGCGGTCGACGAGACTGATATTGTAGCTCATGTCAACAATACCAGTTTTGACGTTGCATTGTTTGATATATGGGCGCCGCTCTTACGTGGCGCATGTATTGCAGTGCTGAGCAAAGTAACACTGCTTGACCTGCCGGCAATGGCGGCTGCCATCAACCGAATTGGGATTACGATTATGGCCACTACTACCGCTTTGTTAAACCTTGCATCCACGACATATCCCCGTGCGTTTGCGCAATTAAAGACTTGCTTCATTGGCGGCGAAGCGGCAAATGTGGCTGCACTCCAGATAATTCTATCTCAAGGCCCACCTGGTCAGCTTATAAACGCGTATGGTCCCACTGAGTGCTGCATCTTCTGCTTGGCACACAAAATTACGCTCAACGACATTCTGGCTGGAACCGTCAGTATTGGAAAACCAATAGGCAAAACCGTTGCGCGTATCTGTGATGAAGATGAAAACCCCGTCTCCGATGGTGAAGAAGGTGAACTTTGGATCGGGGGCGCAGGTGTGTCGCCTGGTTATGTGGATCAGCTTGAGAAGAATGCGGCCTGTTTCACCACCGTGGAGGAGGCTGGGCAGATTCAACAATTCTATCGCACCGGTGACAGAGTGAGAAGACGAATCTTTGATGGTCAAATCGACTATCTTGGACGCCAAGACCATCAGGTCAAAGTACGTGGGTACCGAATTGAACTCGAAGCGGTCGAAGCTGCCTTGTTGCGAACTGGCCAATTTTCAGAAGCAGTTGCAATGAAAGTCGAAGCCGGAGAGGGAGCTGGGTCCATTCTCGTGGCATTCGCAGTCTCGGCTTCCTCAAAGCCCTATGCCATCCTGAAGGCTGTGGAATCACTCAAGGAAATGCTTCCAGAGTACATGGTACCTCAAATAGAATTGATTTCACAAATGCCTCTCAACAGCCATGCCAAAGTTGACCGAAAGCAACTATCTCAACTTTACCGCCAGCGTTGGTCGAATCACAGTACTTTCAATGCTCACCCGGGTATAGCTATGGCTACAGCTACGATTACAACCCAAGAAAAGCTAGCCAGTCTATGGCGAGACATTCTAGGTCTCCCATCTGTACCTACTGATGCAGATTCTGATTTTTTCCACCTTGGAGCCACATCTCTACAGGCGTCGCTCCTCATTAGTCGTGTACAAAAGTGTTTCAACGCAAGGGTATCGCTGCTGACCCTGTACGACAATTCGACACTCAAAAAGTTGACTGATGTGCTTGAAAATGCCAGTGGCAATGGAGCAAATTGCGAAACTGTCCGTCATGAACAGTCAATTTGGGTCGAAGACACCAAGGTTGCCGACGATCTCGTTCCTCCCACAGGGACGGTGACTGATTGGCGCCGTGATACAGAAGGACGGGTGTTTTTCACCGGCGCCACGGGCTTCGTTGGCGCATTCATGGTAGCAGACCTCCTTCGTATGCGGGAGGTGCATCAAGTGGGATGCTTAGTGCGGGCTTCCAATGCTGAAACAGGGTTGCAGCGTATCAAGAGTGCAATGATGAAATATGGCCAGTGGGAGGAGCGATTTGCGGATAAAATAATGGTCCTTTGCGGTTCATTGGAAGACATCTATCTTGGGCTTGGGCCTGAACGTTTTCATGAAATTGCCAAGTGGGCAAGTGTGATTTTTCACCTGGGAGCTCGTGTGAACTACACTCAACCTTATTCACTGCATCGCCCCGCAAATGTCATTGGTACAAGAAATATCCTGCGTCTTGCATGTGCGGGTCGGAACAAGGCTTTGCACTACGTCTCCAGCATTTCGTGCTTTGGTCCAACCGGCTTTGTAACAGGCACACAAACGATCACTGAGGACGAACCCCTCCTCAAACATGTTGTGGCACTCCCATATGACCATGGTTACGCACAAAGTCAATGGGTCGTGGAGGGATTATTGAGACGAGCTATGGATCGCAATTTCCCTGTGGCCATCTACCGCCCAGGCTTCATCACGGGGCATAGTCGCACAGGCGCTTGTAATCCGGACGACTTCTTTTGTCGTTTGATACATTCTTGCGCCGAGATGGGATATTATCCGTTGCTGCCGAATCAACGCAAAGAATTTGTCCCCGTGGACTATGTCAATGCCACAATCTTACATATTGCGGGTTTGCCAGCGGGTTCATCTTTGGGTCACGCCTATCACATCGTGCCTCCGAGTCGTGCAGTCTCGGTTGATATGAATCATACAATGGAGCTGGTCGGTGCAGCGTCCGGTGGCAGTGGGGGTGTCAAGGGTATACCCTACTCTGAGTGGGTTGAGCTGTTGGGCGAGAAGCTTCCGGGGCGGCTTCAGCCACTTCAGCCGATGTTGGCAGAAAAGGCCCATGGGGCTTTGACTCGGTGGGAGCTGTATGAGAACATGCCGCTGTACGACACCACCAACACTGCCCGGGCTCTAGAAACCTACGCCGGAGGTCTTCGATTTCCGATATTGGATAGAACCCTGATGGAAAAGTATATTCGATGCCTTCATGCTTCTGGGTCAATTTCTGTGTAAAAATACAAGGTTCTTTCATTTCCTAAAAGACAGAATGACCACTTCAATTGCACACTTGAGAACCAGCGTAGCTCTTGGCTTAAATTTCATGAAATATCAAAACCAAACTAAACCAGTGTTGGTTGGGAAGGTATAATATCTTGAAAACATTTCACATATTAGTACTTTGTCGATCGGGTCACAGACTACGTGGACTTCGTCAAATTGCTGCTTGAACATGGGGCTGATCCCAACCCCACAAAGTCTGGTGATCATGATAGCGCCCCACTGACCGAAGCCGTCGATTATGGGAATTTAGAGACTGTCAGACATCTACTAGAATATGGGGCAGCTGCCTCTCCGCAATTCCCTAACATTGAAAGCGCATGTCACCTCGACCCGTGGGAAAGCCCGGTTGAGAGTACTTGGTACTTAGAGTCTCCAATTCGAGAGCAGATGATTGAATTAGCCTTTGCAACACGTCGAAATCAACATGCAAGACCCATCAACCCAAGAAACCATTCTGCACTATGCCGCATTGAAAAACGAAGCATTCGCTGTACGGGTCCTGTTAAAGCATGGAGCCGATTTTGGCATCGCATCATCGAACGGACTCACGGCCTGGGAAATGTCGATGAAGGGTGGTTGTTAAGATGCTATCGTTGGCTGGGCGATCAAGGTGAATAGACAAGACGATATTAGCGGGCAAGACCTGCGGGTCCATTAATCAAGCCTGCTTAGGTATTATTTAAGAAAAGGTTAAAGGTGTAGGCCGTACAATCAATAATTTTCTTACGGTCACTAATATTGAAAATTTGCTATAAACCGGACAACATTCTAAAAAATTCCGAAAGGGTGGCCATGATCCAGGTTCAAAAGAAGGATAGATCTGAATGCTTTCTACATGATTCAATGGTATTGAAGACTACAAATTGTATAATGACTAAATAAGTACAAAGGCAAGTATCATTTGTTATCGAAAAGTCCGGCTGTGATCACGGTCTCAAAAGCCGGAGCACTCGAGGAGTTTTCAAGATAATGCTTTTCCTAAAAGCCTAACCAAGGACACTAGTCACAATTCCATTAGTTCTGCGAATATGGAAAAGAAAGTTCATCATTCTCGAGTGGTAAGGTAGTACGGCTTGTTTCTTGCGCTTGAAGACGGAGAGAGTCTTGTCATATTTATGTAACGAATACTACCTTCCAGGCCTTCAGGTCTAGCTATTGGAGTCATCCGGGTAGCCAATATATACTCAAATAAACGTGGTGAGAATATCTACTCCATTGTCTTAACAAGCGCTGGTCAAATCTCCTCGCTGATGATAACATGATTATTTTCCTGACTAGTATAGACCTGTAAAGAACTCTGATCGGTTGCAAATGAACCCCGAGCAAATTATAGTTGAGTGAGCGAGCTGGTATCACTCGTAAAATCAACCGGTTGGACAGTGGTTCCAGACGCTTCAAGCTTAAATTGAACTTTGTACCTTGTTAACCGCCATATGACGGATTTGCTCCAACATGGGGTGTGTGAACAGCCGTTGTGGGGTTACTGTCAATTAATGCTAAGCCTCTCTTCATCGAATCAAAGCCAACTAGGGGTGACATGAGACTCAAAGTCTCCTCTGTTTTTCTATATTGGGGATTTTGTCTACCTAGTTTTACCTTAAAGTTAGACTTTCATGACTCTGAGATGAAGATTGGGAATCCATACCGAAACCTAGCCCAAGACGAGAGAATTCTTAAGGTGCTTGTGGTAGCCAGGAGAGAAAGACTTATAAATATGTCTTGTCTTTCGGCCTTTAGTCAGGGTCCACGGTTATCTGCTAAACATATCTAAACAGAAAATCTTAAATCAGAAAAGCCCCCAAGCTTCTATCAAGATGCTTATCAAGCTTGCCGTGACAATTGGCCTTTTCTTGGCCGGAGCTCAAGCCCAACAAGCTTCCAATTGCGAATACCAGTCACTTAAGTGCGGCTCGGTATTGCTTGCTGCGCCATATAGTAAGCCGAACTCTCTTTTAGCTGGCAATTAAGATTGTTGAGGAAGACTAACATGAATCTTTTTCTTCCATCAGCTTATACTGAGGCCCAGCTCATCGCTGCTATCAACGACACTTTATCCATCCCTGCTGTGAGCACCGCTCAGGTGTCCACAACCCTATTCCACTGCACCGACATTCTTGGCAGCATCACCGGAAATGCTTTCTGCTTCGCCGGCTGCGACATCAAGCTTGGAACTCGAAACGACCAGTGTATCATGTAGGCGGAGGCTAATTTCATACTCTCTGGATGTCTGTGACAAAGAGAGTCTCCAAGGTGTTGGAGGTTGAAGCAAATGACTGGAGAAATGTGGAGGAATTGCTTCTAACTCTTCGTCCATAGTCTGTGACTAGCATATACCCCCTTCGTGTCCTACGTATAACTATGGGCCACCGGCTTCTTTGGTATGGTAGGCTCGCTAGGCATTCCTTCGCTGCTAGACAAATCTATATTGAGTTACATGTATTCCAACCAAAAAGTTGCCAATATTTAGGACAGCAAAATTCTAGATTGTAATAATCATTTCAGGTAGGTCCAGTGTAGCACCTTGTCGCTCTTAGTCGCTGATAATGTATGCTCGCATGAATACATATTCTCATTTTATACATATAGCCTTTTCCTCAAAGATCTTTGATCGGTTGCTACTTCCTTCTCCTTCTCCTTTTGAACTAGGTCTTGAGATTGATAAGAAACTTGACAAATCTAAATGCGCTGATTTAAGTTTGTATAATTACTTACCAATGAAGGGAAAGAAGAAGGGATGACTCAAAATCATTTAGGAAAGCTGGGCTGTATATTGATAACCTCAGTGGCCCTGGAGCCAAGGAGACATGTCAAGCGTGCATGCATGGTTCATGAACAGCAAAGCAGTATTTATACTGAATGCACCATTCATTGTTCCTGTAATTAATCAATAATTTAGCTTAAAGTATCAAAGTTAAAGCATGGTATATCGTAATATTGACTAAAAGCCCAAGTATTCTATGGTTCCGCGACCAAATTGTCACGGCAAATTGACTTTTGATGAACTCGTTCATGTTGATAATTGAGTCGGATCTTCAGCCTATTATCCACCTTCACTTCTTTGGAATCGAAAACCAAAAATCACTTTGTCGTTTTCTCAGCAACTGGAGTTAACCCCTCTCATTAATTGAATGAGGCAAAGATGGGCTTCAAAAAGCCCGATCCATTTCATTCTTAAGATGGAAGCAGCAGAATCAGCCACAGAGAAAGGCGGAGACATAAACGATCTTCAACGACATCGGTTTATTGGTCGCTGTTGGACAGACACTGCGATCGAAAACCTTCTCCGAACCGAGGAAAAACTCCGCCATATCTTCCAAAAAGAGCTATCTCTTCGCGAAGAGACGAAGGAGCTAGAAAACAGGGAGGCGAAAGACCAGCTTCAAGCCCTAAGCAAGGAGTTTTGGAAAGGTACGCGAGAGTGGTGGAGTCTCCGAAACGAACTTCCCAGCGGCGCCGTAGCTAGGGCATTTAATCTATGGCAGTCTAATCCCAAATAGTATATGCATCAAGTCCTTGTTGAGGACTGTGCGCGGAAGCAAGGATGCTGCTCTCGGGGCTGTGGATGTTGCGTTGATCGCCCGGTGCATGGAAACCGTCAGTCTGCAGTTGGACATTGTACTCTCGAGTGCAAATGCTGTCGTAAAGCTCGCGGGTTTGAGCTCGCGCAAGAAGAACAAACAGAGATATATGGAAAAGTTCAAACTGGACATGCGAATGAACATATGCAGCTGGCGTCGATCTGGGGGTTACAATGAGATCGTCACGAAAGTTCATTTGAACTGATCATAGACGCCCCTATATATGAGGAGCCTCCGAAATACGAGTAGCATGGGTGTGAAAACTGGTGGAATCAACCTTGGAAGTTAGGGTGATAATCAGAAGATCCTGACGCTGGCAGGGAATTTAATTATATTCTATTTGCACGTTTGCGATTTAGAATGGCCCCCTTTGCTTTGTTCATTGCTGGATCTCCTGTTCTTTTTTGCTATTTTTGTTACGTGCAAACACCTAATGTAGGTCTCTATTCATTTCCTTTACTATGTATGATTAGCAAGATAGGGCGTTCGGAGTTTGATGGAAGCTATTCATCGCTAGGAGTCTAATTTATATTTTATATCCAAACGAGTGACTATAGTTGTATAAGATAGATAAAACAAATCTCCCAGGACTTTAGAAAGAATTTATTGAGCGTTTTTGGAGCAAATATATATATTTCCACACCATATATCTCATTATCACATCCACACAGTATGAATGGGATAAAAACTTGATCAGTACCTGGAAAGGGGAGTCATGGTTGGAATACTCGTCGGTCCATTCATTATGCCAGTTGCGCAATCTCCGCCAAAACAGAAAATTTGACATTTCTTAAAACAGGATACTGGCGCGGGGTAAGTCACAGTTACTGTTGTTGTAGAATCGGAAAGCTTGCACTGGTCATCGCGAGTAGGGTCAGGTGTCGCCAGGCACCCATCGACACAAAGACTGTTACCAACAATGCCGCCGTGAATATCTTCGCAGCGATAGATGACTTGAAAAAGTTGAGCAACACTAATTGGAGGGATGGAGGCTGTTTGATTGACAGCGGCAATCAACTCGGCGTTTGTATACCCTTTATCTCCAGTTTTGTCAATTTCCATTACCGTTAATTTATATAGCGTAGGGTTTGCATCCAATTCAAGGGCACCCATACCATATAGTGTGGCGAGAGTAGTGCCACATTTATCGGCTTGATAGATGCAAGGAGTAACGAATGATTGGACTCCCAGTGTGAAGTATAAACAAGCCAGAGGGATCGCGCTCCATGGAATTTCGGGCATCTTGTTTTGCATCTAATGACGATAGTTCCGAGGTAGAAAGTGAATTTCTGATCATGAAAGTTATGGCAGGATAGATCAATATACAATATTTGGTGCTGGAAAATACTTTATCTCGGCCAGTTCTTATTTTCTCCTTTTCTCCCCCCACCCAGTCGCATCTCTTCACTTGGTTCATTTACTAAAGCACTGAGGGTCACACCTGGAAAATGCAACCCCCGAACATAATTTGGTGATGGTGGTGTCATTGTATCCCCTCTCAAGCATTCTTGGTTCGAAAATAAGTTGTTGGACTTGTTCTCACCGTGGGAGTTGGGGTCCGTCGGAAGAGATCGAAGGTTTCAAGCCGAACAGTTGTGCTGCATTGCCTCGTCCGGGGGAATGCCTGGAATGAGAAGCGACAGAACATTCTTGGAGGGATTGTAAGTATTGTACGGAGTAGTATTGTAGTAAATCTAGCCCGATCCATCATGATAGTTCCAAAGTTGGTCCGATCTGCATATTGTCAAGTTCCAAGTACCTGTTGGACAAGTACTACCGCTGCATGTCCATTGTCTCCGAGGGCAAATCGACTGACTTGTTCTCAACCGTACCTAGGGTGTTCCGAATTTCAGACGAGGCACAGATGTCATCTTCGATGGAGATTCACCCCAGTGAGAATTTCGAATCCATAGCTGCAGCTATGAAGAATTTTCGTTGATGCAGATCATCAATCCTGCATACCGCAAGTGTAGCGGTCTAGGCAAAGCGGGCCTAGGCTTCCTCAATAAATACAGTCAATTCAAGCCTCGGACTATAACCCGAGAATTCAGGCAACATTATATCAGATCGACAGAGAATGAGTACTGACATCTCTAGAGACGAGAAAGGTAAAGATTTGAAATCGGATGGATCTGGTAGCGTGGGGTAAAAACAACGCGAAACTCCCCCAGGATCAGGGACCAATTATGCCTGAGGCATCAAGTGGCCATGCAGGTATTGACACTCCCTCAAGAGCTTTCAATAAGTTCTTTTCTGTCATACAAAGTTCGATTATAGGCAAAGAAGAAAGCAAAAACAAAACAAAACAAAACAAAATAACACCGGAAGTTGTGAGATCAGATCGAGGTTGGTTGTGATCCACACGATCTAACAGGACGGCTGAGCCGCTTATCCATTTTGATCTGTTTCTCTTTTTCTCAACTTCCACAACTTCCTCCACAAACACACGACATTTCAATTTGGGATCTATCTTTCTCTTTGTTCATCTTTCAATCTGTGGCTGAGGGGTAATATCGATCTCATAATTCTCTTCATAGTGGGAGCTTGATCCCGCCCGCGCTGAAATCACCCCGCTACAACCTCCGCGTGCTTCTCCCCCTCCCCCTTTACTCCGGTCTCGAAGTACATTTCAATCTCAGCCAAGATGGATCGAGCTATTGCCCGCGCGGTGACCGAAAAGAAACCGGTCCCGGAGATCGATTTCACATTGCATACGATGGAGGACAACACGCAGGTGTCGACAATGGAGCGGGTGGTCAAAGGTAGCAATCCCTGCGATCTTAATCGCTTTCGCAAGATTGTAGTAACCCTGATTATTGACATTTTTTACTGTCAGAGGTCCAAGCGCCCGCCCTGAGTTATCCTCCGGATGATATGTTTTGGTCGCCCGAAGATCCCTCCAAGCCCAATCTCCAGTATCTCAAGCAGCACTTTTATCGCGAAGGTCGTCTTTCAGAAGAGCAGGCACTATGGATTATTCACGCCGGTACACAGGTTTTGAAGGCCGAGCCAAATCTGCTCGAAATGGATGCGCCCATCACAGTGTGTGGTGATGTTCACGGCCAATACTACGATCTGATGAAGCTATTTGAGGTCGGTGGCGATCCTTCGGAAACAAGGTACTTGTTCTTGGGTGACTACGTCGACCGTGGTTATTTCAGTATTGAGGTGCGTTCCTTTTTTTGTTGTGTTAACTAGCGGGGTTTTCCTGACAGTCTTGCTCCACAGTGCGTCCTCTACCTCTGGGCATTGAAGATCTGGTACCCTGATTCGCTGTGGCTACTGCGAGGTAATCACGAATGCCGTCATTTGACAGACTATTTCACCTTCAAGCTGGAGTGCAAGCACAAATATAGTGAGCGGATTTACGAGGCATGCCTCGAGTCTTTCTGTTCGCTGCCGCTGGCGGCTGTTATGAACAAGCAGTTCCTCTGTATCCACGGTGGTCTCAGCCCAGAACTTCATACTCTTGAAGATATTAAAGCTGTACGTACCTGCTGTCTGGGTTGGCATTGGCAGAAAACTTACCAACATATAGATCGATCGCTTCCGTGAACCCCCTACCCATGGGCTCATGTGCGATATCCTTTGGGCCGACCCTCTCGAAGAATTTGGCCAAGAAAAGACCGGCGATTTCTTCATTCATAACAGTGTCCGTGGTTGTTCCTACTTCTTCTCGTATCCAGCCGCTTGTGCGTTTTTGGAAAAGAACAACCTTCTCTCCATTATCCGAGCGCACGAGGCTCAAGATGCCGGGTACCGAATGTATAGGAAGACTAGAACAACTGGTTTCCCAAGTGTCATGACGATTTTCAGTGCCCCCAACTACTTGGATGTTTACAACAATAAGGCGGCTGTCCTCAAATATGAGAACAACGTCATGAACATTCGTCAATTCAACTGCACCCCGCACCCATACTGGCTTCCTAACTTTATGGATGTCTTCACCTGGTCATTGCCGTTCGTTGGTGAGAAGATCACCGACATGCTCATCGCCATTCTCAACACTTGCTCGAAGGAAGAGTTGGAGGATGAGACTCCCACCTCAGTCTCTCCCGTCGAGACAAGCAACCCGATCTCGCCTCCTCCAACGGATCCCGAGTCCAGCGAATTCAAGAGGCGGGCCATCAAGAACAAGATTCTTGCTATTGGCCGTCTTTCTCGTGTGTTCCAAGTTCTCCGTGAGCAATCCGAGAGTGTTACTGAGCTGAAGACGGCGGCTGGCGGTCGTCTACCTGCCGGAACTCTCATGCTAGGCGCAGAGGGTATTAAGCAGGCTATCCATAACTTCGAGGATGCCCGAAAGGTTGATATTCAGAATGAGCATTTGCCTCCTAGCCAAGAAGAGGTCATCGCGAAGAGTGAGGAGAGTCGCCGCGTGGCACTGGAGCGGGCTGAGCATGAGGCTGCCAACGATACCGGGCTTGCCACGGTTGCCCGTCGGATCAGCATGTAAGATTTACAACCCAACTTTACCCCCATACCAGTTCAAAGCTAATCAAGACGTACAGGTCTGCTGGCTCGGCTCGCCCTCGCCCCCGTGCGCGGGATCCTCCTAAGGATGCTTGAAAAGGCCCCAAATATGCCTGATTTGACATTATGACACGACATATCCATTCCTTCCTTCTTTCTGTCCTCCAGCGCACACGCCCTTTGCCCCGACACGATTGATATGATACCCTATCTATCTGCTTGATCCTACCTCTCGTCTGGCGATAAACCTGTGAATCTACAAACATAGCGATCAATAGGACAGTTCAGTTAAATACGTGTGCTTTGCCCCAACCTTTTTACAATGTTTATTAGGTGTATGTAGGCGCTAGTTATGTTTTAGTATAGTTGTTGAAACGTTTTTATTATGAACTCAAACGTAGTAGTCAATCCTATTTTGCGAAACTACCTGGTTCATCAACTATCAAGAATTATGAAACATAGAATGATAAATACCAATACCTAGGTAGGTTGGTGGCAGGACAAAACTTGTAGAATGATGGATGCCAAGCCTTGTTTCCGCGTTCACTTCCGCTCGAACAAGTTCACTGGGCGAGTTTCCTTGCGACCATTGCCCACCACACCTTCACGCCTCAATGGCTCCCAGACTGCGCAGTGCGCTCAAGGGCCTATCGCGTCCGCTGGATGCTAGCTCTGTATTCTACTGCCCATCGTGTGCGATCTGGCGACGGACACTTTCGACGCGGAGCAATCACAGCATCGAGACTGACACACTTCGACGGAGCGCCCGATCTCATAACGCAATCAAGGCATTCAGTACTCGGGGCTTTACCACCTCGTCTGTCATCACTGCGAAGAGCGTTCCCCCGCGATTCAAGGAACTGCACGCGGCCCTCGAAGGGGTCAAGGATGCCGCTCTTGAACAGGTAAACCTCAGTAGGCTACAGCTTGCGCTACGGGGTTTGGAATCCGAGGTGCCTCTCATCAGAGTAGCCGGTAAGTCACTGCGCTATCGATCGGATATGTGTTGCCTTCAGCATCATGCTTGTTCATATAAAAGTGCGTGACACTGATTTCTTCCCGATGTGGAATATAGTCCTCGGATTGAACGATGCGACCTCCGCCCGGAAACTTGTCAGACTCTTGCTTGCGGACCCATTGACACCACGGGAAAACTGGGAAGATATTCTTGACTCATACGATACCGATTCATCCCGCGGGCTATTGATCAGGTACGGACAATCTTTCGTCTAAGACATCTCTTGGACCTAGTACTGACGCCAATCTTTGTTCTACAGGTATGGCGAAATCTCAGAATCAATCCCTAATGACCTACTACCTACGATATCCGTGCCATCGCCCATACTCAAGAAAGGCAACTTGGAGATCCTGGTCAGCACACTAGGCTCTGAGACCACCCATAACGCCGCTACTTTTAACGCCGACACGTTCCTTGTCCCCACAGTGACCATCCAGACCTCTCATTCAGGTCGGCATAACTTTGTGCGGTATCCCGTGCACCGCACTATCGTGTGCGGAAGCGGAGTTGATGGCCTCCTATCATACAGTACAATGATCGGCCGCTCAAGCCTGAAAAATGAAGTTTCTTCAATTCGCGGAGCCATCGAACTCGCCGTGGCAGATCAACAATCCTCTAACGAGCGAGTTTCTTTAGTAGATGTTGAGCGCGCCAGTACAGCACTGGACAAATTTCGCGAATCTGTTCACAATGCCTCAGACTACGAGCGTGGGTGGAATGGCAGTGGTGTGCAACCGCTTATCGACTGGCTGGCAACTTCCTCGGAGACACCGACTGGAGATACCCTGAACCCAGTATTGGTCCCTCTAGTGGAGTCCATTCTTGACTCTGCCGACGCGAGCGTGCTTGTCCGAGATGCCAAGGCACTACGTGATCAAACAGCAGGCGTGGCCCCTGAAGAGCTTCGGTCCACTCTGAACCGCGGCATCACGACATGGGCAGAGCGAGCTCACTCCGAGCTTCGTAGTTCCCTCGAAGAAGGTCTGGCCAGCCCACGCTGGCGAGGTCTCGCCTGGTGGAAGCTCTTCTGGCGCGTCGACGACGTGAGTATGATCACATCCGAGATCTTGGACAAGAAGTTCCTCCGTCGGGCCGAGCGAGAGGTCATCTGGACCGCGGGCAAGTACCAGCAGGCCGGCCTGCTGGAGGAGCCTTCCCCTTCAAGCCCGGCCCAATCGGCCGCAGCGCCCTGGCCAACTCAAATAACCGACCTTCGCACTAAACTCCTTACCACCACTGTGCCATCTCTTCAAGCTCTCGCCCAGAGCCTGGTGCTCTTCAGCGTGTCCACCACAACCCTGACTTCTGCTCTCTCTGCTTTGACATATGTCGCTATTCCCTCCGCTGGTGTATACGAGTCATGCACTCTTGCCGCCGTTGGTCTGATCTACTCTGTTCGCCGACAACAGAAGCGATGGGATGCCGCCCGCACATTTTGGGAAGAAGAAGTCCGTGAGGAAGGGCGGACGTCTTTGTTGGAAACTGAAGCTTCTCTTCGCGAGATCGTGCGTGATGGCGGCAAGGCTGTTGAAGATCTGTCAGATCCCCGTCCACGAGAGAGTGTCGCAAGGGCGAGAAAGGCCCTGGAAGAAGTGAAGGCTTGATTTGCACTATAGCACAGTCGGCTGTATATGTATTTCCCTGTTAGATTAGACGCCTAGAGCTACAACCTACTCTGCTATGTATACCATATTTTATGATCCCTTTCTTGCTCATCACTCGCCAAACCCGCCGCCAAGAGCTTGCGATATGTTTGAAACAGCATTGGACTTTTCAAACTTCGTCTCATCAACACAATATGTTGCATTCGTTCGCATAGTATATCGCTCTCACTGTTCCATGAGTATAATACAATAAATGGCTCCTGAAACCTCTAGTGCCATTCCAGTTCCCATAGTTCGGCCAAATCTCAACACCGGAAACAAAACGCCTCACAGCTATTTTTGCCAGCCAAGTCCACAGCAGATCTTAATCGATGATCCACATGAACTCATATCTCGAACGAGTACCGGTGGGCCAGCGGGCCAGACACTATTAAGCTTCACGTTCTCAGCATGGTCGTTTCATCCTGGACATGTTCATCTGAGACATTAGACCGAAACAAGAAACCGGATTATCTGAGGAATAGGAATAGCGTCCTGGACCTTTGTTGTCTGCGTTAACGGAAGGCTGTTTGATACATATGCACGGCTCCCGGCCTTGAAATTTGGTAATATATTTCCCAAGTACTCCGATAGGTGGGAGATATGTATTTACATATCACACCTTTGCCGGCCACTTTATTATTCTTAAAAAATTATAGATATAACCATCACATCGCCTACAAGAGTATATCAAACAGGGGTCAAGATAAATTATGGGTCGTTTCAGGATGCGCCAAGCGGTCCAATCCCAACGCCGAGCGTGGGCCTGCCCGAGACGGTGGACGTTGGGCTAGTGACTTAGTTCAGGAACGCGCTGTTCGTTCCAGCGTCTCAGATATCGACTTCAAGTCTTTTAGCGGGACGCAACACTGGCAATCACCCACCTTTATCTTGGTTCTTGGAAAGAATCCTCTCATTTTTCTCTCGCCCAGCCTCTTGGGTTCTCTCTGACTCCGCCAGATTACCCCCAAGGATGGGGATTCATCTTGATTTCGGATGAACGCCCAATCGAAATTAAGAGGGCTGTGGAGGGGGCATTCAGGCAGTTGGTTTAATGATTACGAGCCTTCATAGTGTCTACCTAATATCCAGGATCTCAAGGGATTGGTCGAGTCATTAAACTCAAGCCCCTCTTCTAGCATAATGTCCTACAATATACTAGGACTAAGGGGAATCAGGATCTAATTATTGAGGGCCTTGTACGGAGTACATTTTGCCCCTTCTCTATCTGAAGTACTTGATCCCCCTCATCTGCCTTGTCTGCTCCTTCATCTCATTTCTTGGTCGTCGGCTTCACTTCGCGTCCTGTCCTTTCTTTTTGCCTATCCCAGGGTCTGTCATTCGTTCATACCACTTCACTACACTCATTTTCCTTCGAAACTGTTTATTTCAAGATTATTTGCAGTAACTACAGTTATTTGCATATTTATATGTGAGTCTAAATCCTTTGGAAGAGATAAAAATTAGATTTGTGGCTTATGGAATGACCCCTCTAGGAATCAATAGTACAATTAAGGCTTCCAACGGCGATCCTCTTTGTTTATTGACGTCAATAGAACGCGCTAAGCCAGTAAGTTGCATACCTTCATACCCTTTTCTCCCAACGTCTATCATCCCTCGTACAAAGGAGGGGTGGCGGCACAAGCAAGGGGTCATTCCTCTAGTGCCCCGATTGATCTCCCATATTCTCGAATTGGAGCGTTTGGATGACGATTGATTGGCCACTTGGAATCTCCGGTCTGCGACATGAGGGATCTGTGCTAGATGCCTTGCAGTTGAAAAACAATGCGTGGGAAGCTCCGTTCAACTGACATATTGCTTAGCATCTATCGACACCCATCGACACGCCAACTATTGCCTCTCACTATTTCTTTGTTTAACGCCTAGCCGGTTGATTCGGTGCTCCTGGCGAGTCTTTCGTTGATCAATTCTCTGAGAACCTTCATTCCTTCATCCTCAATCGCCGAGCCCGTGGACGCGGCTCAATTGCAATCGCAACATGCAGGACATTCGACTCACGGCCATCTTGATGGCCTGCTTTACGCTCTTTCCGTCCTATGCAACTGCATTCTGGCGTCTTCCTTGCCGTGGAAGATCTGGTGTCGCCCGGCTCGACCCCATTGTGGACCCAGGCAAAGTCGCCGGTCACGTTCATGCTATTCATGGAGCTGGAAGTAAGCACAGTTTGTTTTGAATAAGTTTGTTGACATATTTGCTAATTGTTGGCTAGACTTCGGCATGAGCTCTGACCAGGACTCGCTCCAAGAGTCTGATTGTACATCGTGCGCAGTGACTCAAGATAAATCTGCTTACTGGACTCCCGCTTTGTACTTCATGCACACCAACGGTAGTGCCGAATTGGTTGAGGAGGTTGGAGGCATGCTCGCGTGAGTTATACCTAATCATTCACTATGTAATCTTCCTAACATCGCCTTTCTAGCTACTATCTGCTCTATGGAGAGAAGGTTACCGCGTTCCCCAAGAACTTCCGAATGCTGGCAGGAGACCCCTACCAGCGCAACTTTACGTGGCCAGTTCCCGATCCTCCCAAGTCCTCTTGGAGTGGCGCTCAAGCCTCACAGGCTGCCTTGCGCCAGAAAGCACTCGGCTTCAACTGCTTGAACTATCAGACTACCGCCGAAGCCTCTCTGTACCGCCATTTCTTGCCCAACAAGACTTACCTGGATGAGCATTGCACCGATGGTGTTCGATTCGAATTGATGTTCCCATCTTGCTGGAATGGTGTGGATACGGACTCCGATGATCACCAATCCCATGTCGCGTATCCATCGCTGGTCATGGACGGTACTTGCCCCGAGGGGTACGAGACTCGCTTGGTATCACTCTTCTATGAAACCATCTGGAACACTTATGCTTTCAAGGACGTGGATGGGTACTTCGCGCTTGCCAATGGTGATCCCACTGGATATGGATACCATGGTGACTTTATGCAGGCCTGGGATGACGGTGTGCTGCAGGAGGCCGTTGACACTTGCACAAGTGAAACTGGCCTGGTTGGCGACTGCGAAATCTTCGACATCCAGACAGAAACAGAGCAGCAGCAATGTGAACTCAAGGTGCCATCAGCATTGAAGCACGAAAATGTCTTCATGCACGCTGACGGATTGCCGGGTACAATGCCTATCGCATGGGGTCCAGCCTACGCCACGATGGATATGGGCTCCGGAGCTGCATCAACAACAACCACTGCAACCACTGCTGCCGGTCTTGTTCCAACTCTCTCGATCCCCTCGATTCCCACTCTCTCACTTGGTGGTGGTATTTCGATCGATGCAGGTAATCTGCTTGAAAATTTCCATGCCGCCAACACTGCCGCCAACACTGCCGCAGCTCCCACGACTACTTTCACTTCGACTTCCAGTCCTACCCCGACCCCGACCCCAACTACTTCCATCACTGTCGACACTCTCACAGAGGAGATCATTTATCTTCAGCGCGATATTATCGTTTTGATTGATGAGGAAGGCGTCCCTTACACGACCAGCACGGGTGGCGTACGCACTGTCTCTACAGCTATTACTACGGTCACTGAAACATCTACTGCCATTTCTTACGTGAAGAAAGACACCGTACCCGAACCTGTGGAGTTGGAGCAGCCTTCTCGCCATGCGCGTAGACATCATCACCGCCACGGTCGCTCACACAACACCATTTAAAGACATTGCGGTTGCTCGAAACTGAAACTGAAAAGTACGCAGAGCGTCATCTTTCCTGTCGTCACCTTGGCCGACGGGACATATCCCGCGCTTCTACTCCAAGTCGAGTTGTGAACTTGCTGGATTGTGACCTAGGGGCTTTCATTCATGTATATTTATTGTTTCTGATTGTTGGACATTCTCCAATCAGGCAGGGGAGAGTGAATTGACCATACTGTCATTCTCGTGATAGGAATTTAAATACGTCATGCCCGGTACACTATTGACATGCATTAGCCCGATAATCAACGAATCTATGTATCAGATACAAGCTTCTTCACTTCTAGCCTACATCCTTTTGTCTCCTTTTTCGCATCCATTTGCATATCTCTCAACTCGGACCCGCTGCCCCTATATCTCGCCTGGCATAAAGGATGGTGTCTTAGAGGGGACAACAGCGATGCATGTCTCGGCCGAACCCAAGCCCTCGCATACCCCAGAACGTTTCATCTCAATTCGTTCCTCGGTGGATGTCTCAGCATCTCCGCGAAGCAAATATCAGCTTATCTTGATTGTGTACGCAACGATAATGCTGTGCATTTTCTGTGTGACAATCCTGTAGGACCGATGGGACATCACTGCAGCTTGATAACGGGAGCACAGCAGCTGATTCTGAGACAAAACGAACGATGAAGGCCTGGAAGGTGACGATGTTTGAGGTTACTTGGTATGTTTTGCCGTTGAGAATCAACCAATTCTCAATGAATGATTGAACACGGGGTTGCAACGATCTTGCAGCGAACTCTATCGCCGTCAAGCCACCTGTCTGTGTGTAGCACATCGAATTGCGTAACATGCAATCCAGACCTCTGAGTTAGTGCCATTTGGCCCAGGCCCTGTCTAATTGTCAGTTATTGACCAGGATGATCGCTGACCCCGCTACCTCGGGAAATACTTCCTGTGTAGTATGGATTAGGGTTTTCTTTATTACTCTGCAAAGACTAGACTACTATTTTTATAAAATCATGTCCAGCTACCTAGTTACTTTTTTGCGTTCATTTTGCTCTTGAATGATTTGCTTCTAGCCCAATGACGGCGATAATCAAAGGGTTGCATGCAATTCTTGCCACCAGGTAGTATGAGGTGAGCGCCTCATGTCTCTGATGCGCTAGCAAAGTTCTATTGCTTTGAATCTGCCAAGCCAAATGAGCTCTTTTCAAACTTTGATCGGTTGAGAAAAGAACATATTGGGCTGGGTTGAGCTGGTACCAGTGTTGATCTGCTGCAGTATAAGACAGATTCTTGATCACTCGAAGATCAAGCCAGCTTCCCTTGCCCAGATTACACACCATACCCTCTAACAAAGCCAAATCAGCTCCTGCCTCTGTTGACACACATTGAGGCTACCGATATGGAGTCATTTTGTCATTACTTCCTCTTCATCTCCTTGCTCCTCTCTGTTGTAATCGCTATTCCTCAGCAAACGGCTGCACTCGCTACAACTGCAGCCCCGGCCACAATCACCCAAGGCCCCGAGCTCAGATGCTTAGAGGGAAAAACCGCCGTATATACGACTGATTGTACATTGGGTACTCCGGTGTCGTATTGCTTCAGCCAGGAGCCTCCGATCCAATGCTCGTCGGGATTCTTCCCGTCGGTTTGGCATCCAGAGCATTGCATGGAGCAGTCAACCTGTTTCCCTCTCAAGGCTTCCTGGATTACAACCAAGTGTTCCAATGGCGCGATTGCGTATTCGACGTCGACTCTATACGAAGGCACTCTGGCGGGTGGAGAATCGACCACCATTAAGTGTAAGAAATCCTTTTTTCCACTCTCTTGCTTCCATTTAGTTTTCTCCCAGGTAGAGATCGAACATCTTTTTGACTCTTTTGTCTCGTTTTAATAGGTGTCTCCTGCTCTTGTAATGAGGATCAATGGTATAGCACGACGCGCCTGGCCGGACGTTCCAACTATGAAACCTTCTGCATGCCGCACAGCTGGTGTCCACGGGGGATGACTACTACCTCCTCAGTCAATAGTTATTGCGCTACTCAGCCGGCGAGCGTTTGCTCAGATATCCCTCTAGTCACCGAACTTTGCGAATGCGCTCACGCGGGCCAGACCCCAGTATATCCCGACTGGCCCGGTGCTCAACCGACTGGTTGTGAATTTTGATTGAGATATGAAGGACACACGGAAGTGATGATTATTTTGAATGTTCTTGATGGAAATTTGGTGAATCGGAGAGATATACGGTTGTAGCCGATAGCCGGTGATTCGTTTGAGGCGCAATATGGTCTCCATTCAACGTCCTTCACTTTGTAATGTTTAATTAATGCCGTCTGAGTTTCTTTTTGACTATTTCTGACCTCTATGTCTTGTTCGTTTGAAAATAAGAGTCAGATATTGAATCATGCAGAATCGACTGAATTGCTCTACCCCCAATGGCATCACGTATCCACTCCATGTGTAACCGTTCACTAGTCAAAAATGTCATTGTACCACATATTGCACAATTCCGCGTTTGTTCTCCATATTTCGGTGTAAACTGATCCTTCAAGCCACAATGCTTAGTCAAATGGTTCCATAGTCTTCGAAATCAATTAGCCTAAACTGACAATGCCCCAGTTTTCCAGCGCCGTGGGGGTCCAAGCCCGTTTCGGCGTCCCAATGAGGGAAACGGTGCAGTCCCGGATGCCGTCTCTTAACCCCGCATCGGCCCGTTTACCCCCTGCCTTGGACATAAAAAGGGTCTATCCCTGCACATGCATGCAATTAACTATCTAACTCTGCCTTTACTATCTATATACTGTTCAAAATGTCCGACGCCCTTCCTGAGATGCAGTACCGTTTCCTCGGCCGGACGGGATTAAAGGTCTCGGTCATCTCGCTTGGTAGCTGGCTCACATACGGCGGACATGTCGGAAATGGTATGACGAAAGTGTCTGGGTGGAATTGAAAAAGATCCTAACGGACTATAGAAACTGCCCTTGAGTGCATGAAGGTCGCATATGACGCCGGTGTCAACTTCTTCGATACAGCCGAGGTATACTCAGGCGGCCAGTCGGAGATTGTGCTCGGTGAAGCAATCAAGAAGTTCGGCTGGAAGCAAAACGACCTTGTCATCTCCACCAAGGTAAGCAAAATATTTCTCCGGTATTGCTACGCTATTTCTTCCAATACTAACATATTTCCTAGATCTACTGGGGCAAGGCCAACAGCGCCAACCCGGACAAACCACTTAACAACAATGGACTCTCGCGCAAGCATATCATAGAGGGCATGAACCTCTCTCTCCAACGTCTCGACCTGCCATACGTGGATGTGGTCTACGCACACCGTCCAGACCGTGACACCCCCATGGAAGAAATCGTCCGCGGCTTCAACTACCTGCTGGACCACGGCAAGGCCTTCTACTGGGGAACTTCGGAGTGGTCCGCAAGCGAGATTTCCGATGCGTGGAGAATCGCCGACAGACTCGGCCTTGTCGGCCCAGTCGTCGAGCAGCCACAGTATAACCTTCTCGTGCGCGAGCGCGTGGAGAAGGAGTACCGCTGGTTGTATGATGCCCACGGGCTCGGTCTGACAGTATTTTCGCCGCTGAAGGGTGGTGTCTTGACAGGCAAGTATAATGATGTTTCTGCGCCACCTGAGGGGTCACGGTTGGCGGAATCGAACGATAATTACGTAAAGGGCCTGCGCAAGACTGTGGGCGATGATACTTGGCAGCGACAGTTGGATCAGGTTGCGGCGTTGAAACCTGTTGCCGAGGAATTGGGGATTTCCACGGCACAGTTGGCCCTTGCGTGGATCTTGAAGAACCCTAATATCTCGTCCATGATCACGGGTGCGTCGCGGCCGCAGCAGGTTCTTGATAACATTCGAGCTTTGGCGGTTGTGGATAAATTGACCGAGGAGGTCATTGAAAAGATTGAAGCTGCTGTTGAAAATAAGCCTGATGTTGATAGTAGACGGTTTTAGATGCACCTTTTAGAGAAATGATATCGTCCATGCTCGGCTTGACTCAAAAAAGTGATTCAAACAATATCAGGTCCTCATCGTGGTCATTGATCATCGTTCATGTATCCATCAAAGACGTTGATTTGAGGCTTACGTCCTATATCGCGATGACCATGAATATTCATTCGCAATTGTGACTTGCCCCTGGTGTGGTATCTCTCCCGCAAGAAGAGTGAATCAACCCACTCCTTCCAACACCTCTAAAGACGTGATAGATCAATGACTGAGATAGATTGGAAATTGGATGTCATTTTCGGCAGATCCGTAAAGCGAGAGTCCAGATTCCAGGTTGATCGGTAAGTGTAAAAGTCCACAGAGAAAGGAGTAACATTATCCAGTTCTTGATATTTCAACGTTGCCCGCAGTTTTGGCAAATGGCGGAATTGAGGAATCTAGATACACTTTCCACCATCAACCACCATTTCATGTCCGTTGATGAAACGGCCTTCATCGCTAGCCAAAAAAAGACACGTGTTGGCAATATCATCCGCTTCAGCAAGACGGCCTAGCGGAACATTTCCGATGAATTTTTCTCTGTTCTCCGGGGTGTCTTCCATTCCAGTAAACATCGAGAAAAGCCCAGTCCCGGAGAGAAGAGGCGCAACGCTGTTGACACGAATATTGTGGGGGCCATATTCAGCAGCGAGACCTTTGGTGGCCTATGTAGATGAACAATCAGCGACGTCTTTGCATTCTCGACATATCCACAACTCACATTTGTCACTGCTCCCTTGGAGGCATTATACCAAACCAACCCAGGTCGCGGCCGGCTAGCTCCCGTGGAGGAGATATTGATAAAAGATCCACCTTGGCCTTGCTCGATAAAATGCGGCATGGAGGTCTTTGCAGCTAGGTAAATGCTCTTCACATTGACTTTGAAAACACGCTCCCACTCATCATCTGTGACCTCCACTGTGGGCTACCAGATAGTCACATAGTCAGCGTTTGGTCGTCGTCATGCCATACAATAACTCACCTTGTTTCGATAAGTAGTTCCAGCATTATTCACCAACACATCAATTCGTCCATACTTCACAAACGCCAAATCCAAGACCGCCTTCCAGTCAGCTTCCTGAGTGACGTCCATGCGCTGGAAAATCAGATTACTAGGATTCTGCGCGGCCACCTTCTCGCCACCCTCGACGTTGATATCGGTGACGATTACTTTAGCGCCCTCTTCGCCGAAGCGTCTAGCAATTGCTGCACCGAAGCCTGAGCCTCCTCCTGTCATAGAGAAATGGGAATCAGATAAAAGCAAGCTTCAATTGTAGTAGTATCTCTCTCACCGGTGACGATAGCAACCTTGCCTTGGAGTCTTGAGCTTTGGGACATTTTTGTACTTTTTCGAGGAAAATTGCAAATCAGAAGTGCTTCTAAGAGAGAAGACAGAGTTGATTCAAGATGATCAGGGGACTTATAGGTGAAAGAGGGGTTCGGTCAGACAAAAGAACAATCGGAGTGAAATCCGAGGTACTTTTCCCCGCATCAAAAGCTATCAACATCAACTATATGTATAAAGCCTTTATGAATTCAAGTTCAACTCAGGACTGAGCTTACTGCGGTAGCTTGATCGCATTTGGCAATTCTTACCTCTTGTCGAGTCGATCTCAGTATGGAATAGGGTAACCAAGGCTTGAAAATACCCATAACTAGGTAGTAAAAGGTTATGACAATTGACGACCAGTGCAAGCTACAGATACTTAAAGTAGACTAACATCGCAAATTCCACCGAGTGAAGATCTCTCATATTCTCAACCCACACCTGTCGATGGTTTGTGTTATCATGGGCGATCATGGCATTTTCAGGAAAAAGCAAAACGAGGGACGTCTTCTGCAACCCCTTCCGTGATAGCTTCTTAGCACACAATCTTTGGTATCATTATCGTCGTCATCATTGACTATGCTTCTCGCTATTTTTGGCTTTTTGGCACCTCCCACTGCCATTGTGGCAGATTCAGCCTCCTGCTATGGCTCAGATGTGGTTTCCACCCCGTCAACAGATTATCGTAACATACCATGGGGATCCCCTACCGTTCACTTCTCATCATTGAATGGTACATTGACCACATATTGCAATTCATTGGACGAGATTCGCACTGCACTAGATGATATCGATGATCAACTTTTAGATATTCTCAACAGACGGTATGTATGCATCAATTTCTACCCCGGATCTCGATGGCAGCTTTTGTCAAAGTGCAGAAAAGCAATTTTGAGCATCTTTGACTATCTATATACTTGTACCTTGACATTGACTTTCTGTTTGTCTCATTAGAGCCGCGTACGTCAAGGAGGCAACTCGGTTCAAGTCTACGCGAGCTGCTGTGAACGTCCCTTCTCGGAACGAGGCCGTCTTGAAACAGGCAGAACTACAGGCTATGCATATTGGGATGCCGGTGACGATTGCCCGGGCGGCCATGGGGGCCATTTTGAATTCTAGTGTTGCTTTTGAGGAATGCATCGTGAGTATGATTTATCATAGACCTCGCAATGCTGCAATTGGAACTAAATATGGCTTCATTAGTTTGATGGTGAAGATTAATAGGCATATGGCCCCCAAATGTCCCGAGCTCTTCATGTGATATTTGGTCCTGATTGGAGGGAACAATTGGGGTCGAGTCCTAAACAAGAAACTGACCTTTGATACTATGTTTAGGTAAGGATTAGTTGAATCCTTGGTGTATCCTTGGACAAATCTAGTTCCTGTTTGGCAAATGCATTTTCCTTCAGCAAAAGTGCGAAGATGAGCTTCTTGTACATTGCTAAGTGTATGCGATATCTTCTTGACCGCGACCTATATATAACTGTAGCGACGACCTGACAAAAGACCTAATTCAATTATTTCGCTCATAGATACCATCATGATATGCTCATTTTACTCCCTACCTAGGTAGAAAATTTACCATTCAAACTACCAATTGCTGATTAGGGGTAACGTTGTAACGCCAGCATTTTTAGCCCCAAACTAAGCACATTAGCACATTAGCACTAAGAGAAACGCCGATCTACCTAGGCACTATAGGCTTTAATTAGATCGAAAGAAATCTATATATGTTTTGCAAGAAAAATATGATTCAAATGGCAACAAAACCCCCGAGCAAAATAAAATCGATGTAGATTCAAGGGACGATCCCTGGTGCGTTTTCGCGTTTAGCGCCCCTCCATTCCCGCGAGCCTTGTGATTTTCTCGGGGTCAATCATCCACGATTTTTCTTTACTAGGTGTCCATGCATGAACACTACCTCTCTCCTCTCTCTCGATGGAGATACGCACAGTGGCCGCACCCTTAACGTCGGACACAGATACACAAACACCAGAACCCCGGAAGCGAACCCGCCGATGGCACCACCGAGGCTTCACAGGATGCTCGACCTGTCGCCGCCGCCATGTCCGCTGCGACGAGGCCTCCCCCGCTTGCAATAATTGTGTCCGGCTCGGGCGCGAATGCGATGGAGCGCAAGGACAGATGACGTTTAAGGTCTACGGGCCTACACAAACACCCACGGAGTCTCGTGCGGAGTCTCCACAAGAGTCTCCGCGGCAGTCCTCGAATGCGTCGACAAAATCGAGGAAAAACACGATACCCAGCGCAGAATCCAGTGACACTGCCGCGGTCTCTCCACAAGTGAAGAGGGAAGATGTGGGCGAGCAGTGTAAGGCTGTGCTCGTTTCCCCCACGACACTACCACAATCAACCATTCAGTTTCGCTTCCAGGACCCAGTCACACCAGCCAGCGTAACCAGGTCGATTCAGCGTACCGACGAGCGCTACTTCGCACACTTTATTGATCAGGTATCAACCCTTTTGATCATTTACGACAACCCCGCCAATGCCAATCCCTACCGCACATTGTTCCCGGATTTCGCCAAGTCTTCTCCAACAATGATCAATGCAATGCAGGCGTTGGGCGCGTTACATCTCGCGAATACGTCGGCTGGGTCGCAACGGGATAAACATTTCCAGAAAGCCATGGGCAAGTACGGACTAGTGGTGAAGGGATTCCGCACGCGATACGCAGACGCCAGCCAACAGCTTAGATTGACGGATTTTGCAACCTGCCTATTGCTATGCATTTTCGAGGTTTGTGTGATTATCTTCCATGCATCAAATATTGATTCACTAACATCTGTGCAGATGATGGACTCACAGCAACAGAACTGGGCGGTACATCTCAAGGGCGCTAGCGAAATCTACAACATGCTCTTCTACCCGCATACTGGAGACTCGGAGCGCGAAGTGCAGCGCGTCACTGAAATAAGCCACCCACTCCGGTCATTCCTCGTGTCCCTGCTCTCATATCTCGATGTTGCTGGCGCGTGCGCGACCCCGGGGGGCACTGTGGTCGAAGGTAGTTACTGGAAGACCATGGGTGGAGGATGGGAGTATAATCTTGGGACACCAAGTTTATGCTCAACGACTCCGGATAACCCACGTCTGGTCGAGCTGCGGGAAGCGTGGTCCAGTCTGATGGAAGTGCAGGCAACGATCAGTACGTTTGCATTGGACAAGAAGACATGGATGACCATCGATCAGTCAGATATGATGTATAAAGATATTTTCAACCAACTGGTTGTCTGGCGTGCAATGGCGCCACCTAGTCTTCAGCTACTTTCGGACTTGGACGACGAGAGCATTGCTCAATTCCCGTACCCTGATGTTCTTGAATATGCGGGGTGCATTGAAGCATACGAGAAAGCCACCTTCGTTCATTTGCTCCAGATTGCTGGCGCTGGTCGTGTTGGCTGGATTACCGATTGGACATACATGGACATGCTTGTCAGCCGTATACTTTTGTTGATTTGCAAACTTTCCAAGGGTGTCGGGCGATTGGCTGTCTTATGGCCACTTTTTATTGCTGGACAAGAAACACGAAATGAGGATGAGCAGAAATACATTCGCCAGACTATGGAGGAACTGAAGCGATTCGGCTTCAAGGTATGTTGAGTTCTTAAAGATCATATGGATCAGATGCTAATAATTCGAATTTAGAATGTGGACAAAGCCCTTGTACTTCTGGAACGCGTGTGGTTCAAGCGACGCTCTTTTCCCGGCGGGTGGATTCAGACTCTGGAAGAGGTTCAGACGAACATTCTACTTCCGTGATGTCTTCCACGGTGTAATAACCTGGACTATCATCTATTTCGACGAAGATCGACCTCAAGAATAACCACGAACTTGACCAATCACGAATCCTTTTGCATCAACGCCACGATCAACAGCTCCATCGCTATCATCACATGCCTTTTTCTTTTTTTCCTTTTTTGATACCCATCATGACTCTCCGACTTTGAATTATCCCCCTTATAGCTACTAATGTGGCTCTGTGTATATGAAGAAATGTACAGATAGAGCATACAAATTAGAGCATGCTTATTACTCGTTCTCGTTAATGTATGGATTATCACCATCAAAACGGTCTATATTGAATGAAATTGACCAACACCTGGTATTCTCACGCAAATCTGGCTGTCACAAACACGAAGCGTGAAACACGAATCAGAGTTGACGGAGATTTAAAAAGAGCTTGGTTCACAATGTCCATGGCAAGATCTGGAGATATGTGCACTGCATACGGAGTTGCCACTACCCGATGCTTAAGAGCGCGGAGATAGGACAAACACTTCCGTCCTATCTCTACTCAGAAACGACTCTGCAATATAATAAACCCTAGATATCACTGCCAATAAACATAACTCTTTTCTCGGTCTTCCTCTTTGTTCTCCTGTAGAACTTATGGAGCCGTTTTGAAAGAGATTCTCCGTTGGAGATATTGCTGATCTAAGTGGTCAAGTCATCATCGTCACTGGGTAAGTATTGACGCTGTAAATCATTGATGCATTTTACACAGGCTGACAAAAGGTTTCTCCACTAGAGGCGCCACAGCAATTGGCGGACAAACAGTCGAACAGCTTTTGAAACGCAATGCCAAAGTAGATGTTGCTTCTCGATTGAAGGAAAAGTTTGATCTACTTCTCGGTCATCTTGAATTGACCGAGCCGCACATATCTGCAAGCTTGAGGTATCTCAGGCTTGACCTGTCGGATGCGAGAATCGAGAACACAAACATCCAAACTAAAGCTCCGGCAAACACGCACGTTCAAGGCTGGCGAATATATTATTTGCCCGGCATCTCCATTCGTGTTCCCAAAGAACAGTTTATAACCGTTTTCGTCAACTGCCTTAACCCAGGTGCGTGGTTTGATCCACAACACGATCGTGTGCTAAATTAGCTATCTCACAAGCACAGTTGGTGCTGCTCCAGGAACAGACTCCGCTGCGTCACCGCCAATTTTCATTTTTATAAACTCCTCAATTGGTCCCCTTATGAGCAAATCGCCAGAAGATGGCGCGCTGGCAACCCTTATGCTAGTCACGGATCTTGAAATTAGTTCCAGGTCATTGATGTTGGGCCATTTGCTGGGAAGTTTTACTATGGTTACAGTTGGGTTGCGACAGACTCGAAATAGTCCGATCTCGCAAAGGATGAAGATCTCTGTGAGAGGCTATGGAATTGGAGCATACACGAGGAGATTTTAATTCATGGTACAGGTTAGGTAGAATATTTGATGCTTTGAATTTAAGGAAATCAACGTGGTCACGGCCACTTTGAGCGGATCAAGTACTAACAATACGCCACCGTGCTGATGGCACTTTAAATCATCCAACAAACTCTGACACTGTAAAATATTTGACACAGACTGGGAAAAAAAAAAGAGAGTGATCTACTTCTCAGCCATCGTGTGTTTTTGTTATTAAGATCGGTCCGGATATGGGCATGGCAAAAATAAAAAAGAAATTGCTCACAGCAGGGATCGATCCTGCGATCTCACCGTTTTGTGAACGTACAATTAGTAGGTACGAGCGGTGCGCCTTACCACTTGGCCATGCGAGCTTTGGATATTAATCATCAATAGCGACTTCATTCATATCTCACCTGTCATATGCAACGACTTTCAGTGACGGGACTTCAAATCATCCAACGAACTCTCATTGCATCAATTCTACAGTCATTCTCAAAATCACCTTGAGAACGATATCATTGGGCGACAGGTGCACATTTAATTGCTAGTAAGCGCCTGTGGCTGAGGGCGTCAGATGACCGACTTGCTTCTGCCCCATGTTGGGTTTCTTTTATAATCGTTCTTTATGGGGTTTTGTGTTATATAGAGCTCATTCGGTTTCCCTGGATCGCGCGGTTGGCTGGTGCGCTACAGTATATATTGCCTTTTCTCTTTGCGAAGATTCCCTTATTCGGGTTGCGGATGCCGGATATTTTGGGTCGCAGCGATGTGCTGGCGGTGTCACCATGTATGTAATATAACCAGATGCATCTCCCAGCCAATCGGAAAAATTGGGCCACACCATCCGTTAGAACAGGCAGCGATCTCATCAGGCACCCAAAAAGCGACATCGACCCTTAGCACGAAACCTATCATCCGTATCCTCGAGTGCCTCCAGACACACGATATCTCAGTTTAAGTCAAAGGCCTTGTGAAACCCATAGATCGATACAAGATGCACGGAGACCCGACATTCGTCATCCTAAAGTACCAGACATGGCTAGACACGTCTAAATTTGAAGACAAGATCCTCGGAGCTATTGTGAAGGAGTTCCTTCAGCCAACAAACAATTACGTACCAGACTCGCCCCTCCAGTACACGACTCATGATCCGGTAGAGAACGCCTTTACGGACTTCGTCCTCGACACTTCTGCGTCCACGGGTCACGAGATTAGCGGCTCACTTGGATCCATCGCCGGCGTCTCCTTTCATGGTAGCAAGGATGCAAGCGTGCACTTGAAGGGCAAGCTGATCCGGTGCAAGCGTCTACAGCAGCACGACCGGTTCTGGTCAGAGCTGAAAAAGGACCCGACCTTCAAGGCTGCGTCCCAGGGTGGGTGGCTAAGTCCAAGCACGCCGCATGGCCCGCGTGCCTGGTTGTCAGTATCATGATCTGCGAGGATGTGGAGCTCTCCTTCGAGACGAGTCAGTCTAGGGAGCGTGAGGCCCACGGCGAGGTCAAGCTGATCTTTGCGGTCGTTTCCTGGGGTCAGGAGTTGTGTCACATCCAGCTTGCGGTACTTGCTTTTGTCTAGCAATCGGTGTCGATATAGTCGCACGGATTTAAGTCTCGCCCATTCCGGGCTGAGCTCTCTGAGTAGTTGGTGAGCTGACATCCCGATCGCTTAGGCAAGACACCTAGTCATATTGCTTCGAGTTTGGTGCTAAGTGTACCTCAGTTAGGCCGGTAGACAAAATCGAAATTGGGATCGAATCACCGTCTAGATGGGATCATGAGAAAATGAAACACTCGACGGGACTGGAGACCAGGACTAGCACGCGGAAAACGAGGGGAAAGCTTTTCCGAACTTCCACTGCGCCAGAAGCGGGGTTCCTGGGCTTCGTAGCTAACAAGCTCAGGTATCTTGATTCTACGAATGGTGGAGGCTTTTACTCGGAAAATCAAAACGTGCAAATTCAACTTGAGTTCGACGAACATATCCCAGAGTATGACTCGTAAGGGATCAAGATGAGTAGCGAAGAAAACCATGGAGCGACCTGGGATGATGTGGAGATGCAAGATGAAACCCAGCCCATCTGCCTGATGGCCGGCGACTGTAGCGAGTTCTTCGAGAAATGTCTGAGCCATCCCAGCCACTCTACGCAACGCGCTCTCCCACCAGAAGTAATCCAGTTTCTTCAGGAGTTCAAGGATAGGTTCGACGCTTGGGCGTCATTCTTGGGTGTCTTTGCCGGCACAGATGCCTGTTTGGATTATCGATTGCGACGTCATCCAGCACTACAAGATGTATGACATCCCTACGTCTCTATCCACCTCATGCGACTCCAGATATCTCTATCGAGCACGAGGAATGGATAAATGTGAATGGCAAAAGAGTTCTGTGGCTTCCTATTGAGTTTTAGCCTATCTTTTCAAGATAAAAGGTAATTTACTTGCCCTGGGACACATATCAGGGTGGATTTCTTTTGTTAGGTTTTCTATGTAGTACTTGATGATTTCAGTTCCCCTCTTTCCTCTATTTTCTAATCCATTTCTAAAAGAAGGCCCTGGGACAAGCGCATAATTTATACAGCTATATTCTGCTTGCGGAATATTTCATAAAGTTCCAGCAGTAACTAATAGAGTCGTCGATCCATATGAATAGCTAGCCTTTGCCACAGAGGCTGCTTAGTGAAGAAATCGCTACCTACTGTAACCACAGAAGACTTCCCTACGCAGCATTCTGATATCATCTAGGTTAATGTTAAGTCTGAATTTGGGCCTCAGTATATAGCTCGTGATAATTTCCCAAATTACAGCCATAGAAGTTTTGTCCAATTCTCGACACAGTAGCGCCCTAGACGTAGCGCGGCTGGATAATAAACGTTGTAAAGCTAGGTGTTGATATGAGTTATCCGTGGGTAGTACTTACAAGGACAGCTGGTCGGACTAATATTGCAATAACTACACCATCGTTGTCTGCGGTCATGATGCCGTTGCTGCAAGAGCACGCCCTGTCTGCTCCCTCATTCGTACTTGAAGACCACGTAGCACCAGTCACCCGGCAGATCGTCCACGAACCAGGTGAGAGGCGGCACCCTCCGGACGACTTTAAGAAGCCCACTATCAGCTTTCATAGAATTCCACCTAAGCTCTCGTACGCATTGTGTAAGTGTACGAGTACCATACTCAGGGCATCTTGCGGTATCCCTCCATTTATGCGGCCCGCTCAATACAGTAATTATCCGCGCTGAGGCCTTGGCGGTGGGGCCTGAAAGAGTGACAAAGAATCTGTCAAGCCGATTTCGAGAACGACTGCAAGCAGCCACTAACAACACAGCATAAGTAAAGAACCCATGCATGTAACATCGAAATCGAAATCATAATCATAATTTGTTAACCAGCTACACCATTGGCATCAAGCCGCGACCAAAAAATCCACCCATTATTCCGGCAAAACACAAGCGATATTACTTGTTTTTTCCAACTTTGTCAGGACCTACGATACACTTAGTCCGAGATCTCACTTATCTGGATCGAATCTCCACTTACTGGATCACAACACGCCGCATTCTGTCCAGTCTCACAGGGGCTGTATGTCGTTGTCCCATCAGCCGCTTCGTCCACCTTAATGGCACGCGTACCTTGAACTCATCAGTTGGCGGGTTATTTTAAACAAGAAACAGAAGACATACATGTGTTTCCGGTGTAAAGGAAGCTTAACAAGGGGTATTCGACGAGTTCCTGGCAGCAGAGCCCTGGGGGTCCTGCGGGAATGGGGTTGACGGGCTTGGGGCAGGAGAATTGACTGCTTGCTGCAGCGACGACGGCGAAGAGAGCGAATAACTTCATGGCTTTGGATTGATGCGTGGGGATTGAGAGGAAATGGGAAAATTCTGTCCATGTATGTTGGACCTACTCCGTACCGATCTGGAGGCTGCAGAGTCGATCACTGATCGATCGCTGCTACTAGCCCCGGAGCACTATTGAAGTGACGTAGCAGTTCGCCGGATTCAGACCCACTGGCACAACTGCCGATTGGTAAATCTTGTAATCTTGTCCTTGAACTGAAGTAGAAAATATTTGTTTAGTTAGAGGTCCTTTCAAGCATGGTTGAATCAATGCATTGGGCCACTCGACTGTACTTGACAAAAAAAGATGAATAGCAATTGATTGAGCGCAAGGCTATAACATGACAATAAAACCACTGGGGAATTGGCGAGATTCTGCAATAAATAATCATAAGCAATTCAAAGGTAGCACGCAGTGGTAGGCTAGGTTCCTCCCGAAGCCTATTTCCGTGCCTCCAGGGCAGATTTAATAGCTGGGGATGAGTCAGGAAAATTGTTTGTTGTACAGAGATGGAGATATAGAACTTACCGTCGCAAGAAGTCTTGGCATCACCGAATAGCATGCGTGTACCAGGCATGAAGAACATAGGATTTGGTACGTCGGCTGTGGAGAATGTTAGATGAGCGTGGTAGACGGGAAGACAAATCATACCATATCCGCTAGACATGCCGCGCTTCATGACAATAACCTCTTTACTCTTCCATGCGTGGAGAACGGGCATGCCAGAAATGGCAGAATCGGGCTCCATGGCGATGGGATTGACGGTGTCGTTTGCACCAATGACAAGTGTGACATCCGTGTCAGAGAAGTCGTCGTTGATTTCTTCCATCTCCAAGACGACTGTATCTGTTAGCATTCATCGAATCAAGATAGAGTGTCTTCCAACTTACTGTCATACGGCACGGAAGCCTCAGCAAGCAGCACGTTGCATTGACCGGGCATTCGGCCGGCAACGGGATGAATAGCGAAACGAACGTTGACACCGCGGGCGCGCAAGATACCAACAATCTCAGAAAGCGCATACTGGGCCTTGGCAACAGCCATTCCATAGCCAACGACAATGATGACGTTCTCGGCACTGGAAAGAGCTTCCACGGTATCGTCGATGCTGGTCTGTGTGATCTCGCCTTCAATCTTCTTTTGACTCTCAGAGGACACTGGACTCGAGATGCCACCAAAGAGGACATTTGCGAGAGACCGGTTCATGTTGACGCACATAATGTATGAAAGGATGGAGCCGCTAACTCCAATCAGGGATCCGACGCTGGTAAGAAGTGGATTGTCGAGCATCAAGCCTTCGGCTACAAGAGCGAATCCAGAGTACGCGTTGAGCACAGTAATGACGACAGGCATATCCGCACCTCCAATGGCTGCTGTTGTGGTATATCCCTTCAGGAAACTGAGAATGGTACTTGTACCAAGACAGGCAGCTGCTATAGCAGGGCTTCCCGGTGCCATGGTAAGGAACGTCCCCATAGTCGCAATGTTTCCGCCGAGCAACGTCGAGTTGATAATATGGCGGCCAGGCAGAATTGTGGGCTTAGATGACATGCGCCCGGCCAGTTTCATGAATGCTACAATCGAACCGGTAAAGGTAATACCGCCGATCAAAACACCCAAGTATGCAGTCGTCAGGTGCAGGGTTGTGATATCACCAATATCGGCCATCACGCTGCCAGCGCTGGTGAGAACGGCAGCCAATCCAACCACTGAGTGGAGAGCAGCGACGGTCTGGGGGAGACCAGTTGGCGTGATCCGACGGCCGATCAAACCGCCAATAACTGCACCTGCTCCAGCGACAGCAGTGAATTGTGTCAGGGTCTCTGGGGAAAAGCCGACGGCGGCCAATGAAGCCAGGATACCAGAGACCACACCGAGAATACCGAAGATATTACCCCGTCGGGCGGTTTGCTGGGAGGCTAGCCCAGAGATTGACCCCATGCAAAGTAGCGTGCTGACGAGATACCCAGCTTGTACCAGACCCGCCATTCCTGTGCTTGCAGCTGCGATGAATCCACCGCCAAAGACCACTGCGGGTACAGCATATAGCCATGGGTATTCGGGGGGATCAGTGGGGCGTTTAAACATGTCGAGCATTCGCTTTGTAACCACAAAACCGCCAGAAACGTTGACAAAGGCTAGAAGTACAGAGGCGGCACCAAGATATTCAGGGATTGTAGTTGGCACATAGCCTCCGCCCATAATGAACAGACCACCTATACCAACCATGCCCGAGATTGCATTGGTGACACTCATCAGCGGCGAGTGAAGTGCAGGGGCTACACCCCATACAGCCCGGTAGCCCACCAAACCAGCAAGCCCGAATGTCATCATATTGCCCATAAAGATGGGACCGGTAGCCTTGCCCAGGGCCAGGGTCGTGCCCATAGCACCAGTAACTGCAGAGACATCACGCGTAGCCTTTTGCCATGGCGTCAAAGCCACCTCCTCTTTCTTGGTCTGAGACTGAGCCTCAGGCTTTGGAGCCGGGGGAGGAGCAGAAGGAGCAGCAGGCGGAATTATTTCGCCGTTCAGAGTTACAATTGAGCCTCGCACAACTTCATCTTTGAAGTCGACGCCAAATGACTTTTCCTGGGGAGCCATGGAGAGAAAGTATTTGGTGATGTTGTTTGAGTACAGCGTTGAGGACTGGGTGGGAAGACGCGAGGGAAGATCCGTGTAGCCGATGATGGTGACATCCTTGTAGCTGCTCAATTCTCCAGGAACCGTGGCTTCGCAATTGCCACCTGCCTCTGCGGCAAGATCAACAATGACGGAACCGGGCTTCATAGCAGCGATCATTTCCTTGGTAATGAGCTTCGGGGCGGGTTTTCCTGGAATCAAGGCTGTAGTGATGATGATATCAACCTCTTTAGCTTGTTCCATAAACAGTTTCATTTCGGCATCGATGAATTCCTTGGACATCTCTTTGGCGTACCCGCCTTGGCCAGCACCGTCTTCCTGGAAGTCAACCTCGACGAATTCGGCGCCCAGAGATTGGACCTGTTCGCGAACAGCAGGACGGGTATCAAAGCCACGAACGATAGCACCCATGCGACGGGCAGAAGCGATCGCACTTAATCCAGCTACACCGGCACCGATAACAAGAACTTTGCTAGGAGGAATCTTTCCAGCAGCAGTTACTTGGCCAGTCAAAAAGCGACCGAAGTGATTAGAAGCCTCCAACACCGCCTTGTAACCAGCAATGTTGGCCATGGAGCTAAGGGCATCGAATACCTGTGCACGAGAGATTCGGGGAACGCGATCCATAGCAAAAGCAGTAACACCGCGAGCCGCGAGAGCTTCAACAAGAGGCTTGTTTTGGAGGGGATACATGAAAGAGATAATCGTCGAGCCTTTGCGCAGAGCCTGGATTTCATTGAACGGTCCCTCGGACTGTGGACTGCGAACCTTCAGCACAATGTCACTCTGGGCCCAGATTGCATTGCGGTCAACCATTGTCGCGCCGGCTTTTTCGTAGGCGTTGTCATGGAGCTGGGCGCCCTCGCCTGCGCCGCGTTCAATGAGCACCCGAGAAACTCCCTTCTTCAACAGTAGGGCGACATTCTGCGGGGTAATTGCCACGCGCCGTTCACCAGGGAATATTTCCAGAGGGATTCCGACAGTCAATTCCGAGTAGGGGGTGGTGGACACAGGGTCTGTAGGTGACTCAGGTGAGGTTGTAGCGGTTCGCTTTGAATGATAGGAAGGCCATTGCGGCGAAGAAACGGAGACGCGTTTATTCTGGGATGCAATGAAAGCAGCATGGCGGATTTGCGAAACTACAAAATGTATAGTTGTCAGAGTAAAGTCGAAAAGCGCAATTTGTAGCACAATTAATCAAAATGCCGAGTTGGAGAAGCTTACCCGAATGCGTCAGAACGAAGAGCTTCCCCGCGCGAGTAAGAGGAGCTCCAAAACACGGCCGCAGGACCGACCGCAGGGACGAAGCACTCATTGCGAGTGATCATGCAAGTTGCACGTTATGTCGGGTTTCATCGAAGTAATGTAATTGGGTCCCAAGGGGGAAAGCCGCACCGCATCCAGTCCGGACCGAAACCACGCCACTCGACGAACTGTTTGTTATTTGGCCAATGCCAAAGACTCCCGGAAGAAAAAAAAGCCGTTTGAGCTGAAGAACAGAACAAGAAAAAGAAAGAAAAGAAGAACACCTGGGAAGGAGGGGAACACGAATGTCAGTCAAAGCACCGATTCTCGGCAGATCACGAAGTCCAAGCAAAGAGGGGAAGCGGATATGCTCAAATTATCCGGATGATACGTCCGAATATTCCAAGACCGTAGCATAGATTGATGTAACACTCACCTTGAGCGCCTATGGAAGTTATTTGTACACCTATAGCATTTTGAGATTTTGTGCCCCTTGTTCCTTTGGACGCCACCAAAACGCGGGGGACGTGGAGTAGATCGACGAGCCGATCCTTCACTCCACACTTCGATCCAAACTTGTCATACAGCAATGTAAACATATATGTAGTACATAGTAGCAAGTTTTGAATTAGCTCTATTATCGTATATTTTAATCCTGTAATATTTACTTTTAAATAGCACATCTAGGTATGCTTGGAGGCACTCCACCCGTTCAAAATTTCATCACATCACCGGGTGCTCGGTTCGCCACCGTCGGTAGAGTTGACTTCGTCTACAGTTTCCTCAACAGCACCCTTGCTATCAATGAAGTGAGAGATACGTTCTCGAGGAAGCCAGGCACTCTCCGGCATCATGAAGTAAGAGATCAAGGCCAAGATGGTGACACCAACCATAATGATAGGGGCGTCTATTCAGAGTGTTAGCGATGTCAAAAGATATAAGAGAGAAACAAAACATACAGTTCAAGTTCTGGCCAGTGACCGGCCACTGGTAGGGCGAGAACAGGATAGCGACAACCCAGCCATTCCAGAACACACCGATAAATTGGAAGGGCTTGCTCCAACGTCCCAGACTCCACTTGGGCTTGGGGAACCGCTTGGGTGTACACAACAGTCGACCGAGACAGATTATTCCGTAAGCGGCAGCGCTGGGAACACCAGCTGCCGAGACAAGGGAAGTGAAAGCCACGTTGGACGGAAGGATGGTGCAGGTTACCAAGGCGGCGACACCCCAGACGACAATGACTGCGTTACGGGGTTGGCCATTGTTGACACGAGAGACCCAGCCCGAGAAGGGAAGCACACCGTCACGGGCGACGGCGAACACAAGACGGGAAGCGGCGATAATTGCGATCGCAGTGTTCTGATAAAAGGTTAGTTATGGAATTACCATCGAATCGAAGAGGATAGCTGACCAGCCACAAAGCGAAGATGCAGATAAAGTTCATGAAAATGTGGCCACCCTTGCCCAGAACAACAGCATAAAGAGGAACGAAGGGCTGAACCGAGCCGAAGCCCATGAGGGTTTCAGTATCAGGCTAGGATCAAAACGTCAGCATATTGAGCCACTTTCTGCAAGAAAACCGATACGTACAGCGCAGAACAAGAACAGGATAATGGTGGCCAAGCCACCGAATCCACTGGCAACGGTACTCCAGAAGATACCACGAGCAGCAGTGACCGAAGCATTCTTGGTTTCTTCCGCAACGTGTCCCGATGCATCGAATCCGATCAGGATACCAGCGGTGGCAAGGTAGGAAAGACACCAGTTCCAGCCCGCTGGGGCTCCGGTACCGTTGTAAGTGGTCATGAAAGCCTCATGGGTAGTACGGAAGCCCCAAGTCTGGGCGGTACCGATGGGCAGCCAGATCAGGTTGAGGAAGAAGTCAAGCATGACGACCGCGGCGGAGAACCAGAAGACATACCTGAAGTAGCGGGCTAAAGGAAGGACGTTAGACCCGGTGAATGTGGGCTGGGATTTTGATACATACGAGGCATAAAGTTCAACAAGGCGGCCAGAGCGAGCAAGATCTCGGTGCAAATCCATTGGACCGCGCGGAACTTGACACTGTCAGTGTCTGACGGGAAGTCAAGGTTGAAGACAGTGATTTCCTGGTAGATGTGTTAATATACTTCCCCGGGATAACGATAAGAAAAGAAACTTACCGAAAGCATGTAGTTAGCTGCAGCCTGCGTGTTGCCTTTGAAGATGTTAGCACCAGGCAAATCTCGACACGGAAAAATGTAACATACTTGCACAGAAAGTCGTCCAAGCGGTGGTACTCCACCAAGCAACGACGAAACCCAGAAGTCGTCCAAATCGGGGTCCGCCAGCTTCAGCAGCCCACAAGTAGATGGAACCTGCAGACGGAGATGCGGAACAGACCTCAGCGATGACAGCAGCAGTGATGAAAGTAAAAACCATAGTAACTAGGTAACTGGTCCAATAGGCCAGGTTACCGCCGGCAGCGATTCCGGTACTAAAAGTGACGCGAACACCACCAACGAAGTAGAGAGCAGCTAAGCAAATGTCAGTATAGTCAATGTGCCTAAGGTGACAGCTTGATACATACCAAATGTGGTCGCAAAGTTCTCAAACAAAGTGTATGTTCTGTGAAGAACCTATGCAATGAGTAGGTCAATTTTTGATGGCCGATCGTTTCAATCTGTACGATTCAACATACCGGCTTATAGCCCATGGTCCGCTAGAACGTCATAATGTTAGAAATCTGCTACTGTGCTACTTTGTGGAATGCATAGATAGAGATAAACTATCACTTACCAACAAGGCAGCATCATCATGAGCCTTGACCTCGGTCCGATCACCTTCTCCTACACCATTGTCGATGAGGTCGGCGCGGCCGGAGACAACGTCGTTTGGAGTCATATCCAATTCCGGCGCAAGGGACCAGTACGCGGGAAAAGAGAAAAACTCGAAAATCCAGAAACCCGTCCTGAGATTCTCTTCAGTGATAGATTGTTTACCAAGAAGAAGTTCACGAGAATTTTTTTGATAGACTTTTGCTCCGACCACGCCGGTTTCCGCCCCCGGTCAAACCTCGAGCGAATTGACCCACTAAGCGGGAAGAGTAGGGAGTCCACAAGCCCACTTTAGCCTTAACTTGATTGAACTGGATTTGAACTGGAGACTGTAAGCCTGGATCGTTCGTTGTATATTGTCTTGATTTTTCTTCTTTATTTACGAACGGGTTTGGGGGAACTTTCCAAGGTTTGAATGTCAGATCGTGCGGGTAAGCATCACGTACAATATACCAGAACCAGAGACCGTCCAGCAAATAAGAGAAGCTTTGAAACCGGGAAAGCATAAGAAGCTTGCGAATCAGAAGCCATGATCAAATCAGATGACATCCACTAAATTCTCGTATGAATGTCGGAGCTGACTGGTCCGCCATTCGAGGGTTTTTTTCCACCCCTGAAAGCTAGAATATAACGAAGCTAACTTTTAAGAGAAGGTGGTGCAATTAAATAAGTCATTGATATTATACCCTAACACTCAATCCAAGTAATAGCTTGAGACTTGTCTCCGTAGAGATCTTTCAGATGCGAACGAACCTGCTGACCAAAACCGGTTATACTCGACCACCCGCGGACAGCGCCATATAATATGACTAACACGAACTGCATGACATAAGCAATGCTTATTAATCACGAGATATCTCCAGCCCTACATTTGCCTTGTCTACTTTCTCGGCTTTTGGTGAGCTCTAATTCAGGGTCAGCGTGTTGCTCGAGTGCATTACATTCATAGTACCACATCTTGTATATTTGTAGGAAGTAGTTGGTTCTCTAAGATTTCCGACTAGGTCGCCGGCCTTGAGAATGTCCATTGTAGCGGAGCGCAGTCAAGTGGGAGGAGAAAGAGATGATCTTACTACTATCTAGGGGTGAATGATAACTTTTACCTGTTACCTGACAGATCTGGCTAAGTAGCCGCTACCTAATACCTATGACTTCTCTTACTTTTCTCCTAATTATCTCACACTTCACCGGTTAGAAGAACTAGTGTAGGTGTTGACTTATCGTCAAAAAGGAATAGGCGATACTAGAAGGACAAAAATCTAGAGAAATGGGTCGCTATCCATATATAACGACAGGTGCTGTCCGAGGGTCCTAAGACCAATAACTAAGACACATAAGCCTCAGTAGCTACCTAGGTACAATACCACAGGTCTTTTGACCCGCCCAGAGACTATGTTATCTTGGCCGTTGGAAAAATTGGTGTAGGTGTTAACTCACTGCTGAAAGAGAATAGGCGATACTAGAAAGACAAAGATCTAGCAAATTGAAAAGAGCTATTTCTAACATCACTAGATCTCGGTATCTTGGAACTTTAAATTGAATTCTTGCAACCCCATTTCGATCTACTTCTATCATGCGAAAAGAAACGGTAAGGTGCAAAGTGCCGTGGCTTAAGAAGTTAGCATCGGTTGTTCGGCAATGGTCGTCACCGCTCCGACAATCAATTGTTTGCGAGATTCTCTGTGCGAATCCATCGGAGTTATATGGCTAGTCGAACTAGGTAGCAGGCCTTAATTCTGGACTCTATCCATGTCGGTAATTAGGCCGGGTGGTCGTCAAAGATACAATTTAGTCCGAGATACAACAAATTGAGAACATAAACTAAGACATGCACAATAGCGTTAGGGTTGGATCCACCTTAACGTGTTGTTCAATGGCCCATTCTATCGCGTGGGGGGTGGGTACTAAAGGTCTGAAATTTGGATCCAAAGCCATGGAGGGTCCGCCCAAACCCCGGAAAAAGCGATGCAAGTGGGAAATGTGAACGGTGGCTGTGGACAGGGATTTTATGACAGAAATTGTAAAAAGATGTATGAAGATGCGTTGATGCATCGATTCTTTCGTATTTAGCTAACTATGGATGTAAGTAGTCCATGAATAATCGCATAATTCAAAATCGCCATGAAAAAACGTCGAGCATAGCGCTGAACTTAAGATCTTGGACTGAAAAAACACAAGCCGCCCAAAATTTTCCCAGGTAAAATCAGATCCCAAGCGCCAGACTTTGTAATAGACATTAGCCATCCCAGAACGCGACTCGATCCCGCCCAAGCCCGGGTTCTGGGAATAAGTGTATTACTCCCATTACTAGAGTCAGAGAAGAAGAAAAAGTGAACCGCCCAAATTAAACAAAAACGCCAGATATTAATCAGAAACAGAGTGAGAGTGACAGATAAAGCAAATGCTTGACCTTGCGAGGTAAGATCTCTGCCCTTAAAACATTAGAGATATATATCGAGCGCCAAAGAGCAAAAGAACAAGAAAACAGAATTGGAATGAATGATTCCAAACAAAGAAAGATACAAGCCTAAGCCTTAGTGTGCGATTTCTTCCCGAGCTTCAAGCCCAGGAAGCCACGTCCACTAGGCATAACACTATGATGGCGCGAATGGCGACGTTTGCTCAACTTTCGCCCGACATGACAATCAGGAGTAGGGACCAGAGCCGGTTGGGTAGCGACAGAGATCTGCGAGGAGGCGGGGCCATTAGGATCCATCTCAGAGCGCAGACTGCTCAATGAATGAACGCTGGCGGAAGAATGATTCCTTGTCATGCGACGCATCATGAGGGGAGAGCGGTGTGATAGGATATTTGAGACGCTGTAGGTTGAGCTGGCACTGCGCTTTGTAGATGTGTATGGTGGGGGCGAGGATGTTGAGGCGATAGAGATGGGGCTGCAGGTGCGGGTCAGGCCGGGGAAATCATTGTCGTGAATTGTGCCGAGAATTGAGTCCTCGGGCGAGAAGGGAGTTGATGGGCGGGAAGTATAGGAAGAGATGGTGTGGTTGCTTGCGTTGCGGATGGGAGGGGGTGGGCGGGTGTCTGTTGGTCGACGGGGGCGCAAATTCAGGGGCGGTGGAACTGCTCTGTCTGAGGCTGACGTTCGGGGTCGCATCCGATACTCTGAGGCTGGGAGTGTTCGTGGTTGTGCTGGGAGGTAGGGTACCGGGGGTATGTCCGACACCTTGTTGATTGTTGCACTAGGTGCTGCATTCATCTCATCATTGAGGACCGACGAGGATGAAGTTGATGGCCTTGAGTCTGTGATCTCTAGAATATGAGCTCTTGCTGACTTCACCGACTCCGAGCGTGAGGATGCAAGTCGACTGTCAGGTCTGAGAGCCACAGGCCGGCTACGGCTGCTTTCTCGTGAACGAGAGTGGCTAGACCGAGACTTGGAGGCCTTTGATCGTGACCCCAGGGCTTTGATCAAGACCACGGTTGGACGATTCCCAGGTTCCATGAAGGAAACCTTCCGTGCAACCTGAATGTCTGCTTCCTCGACAGAAAAGATAGATGAAGGTGAACGAGATCGAGACCTAGAGTTGACCGAGCGCGATGGTTTTGATGGAGCGTATATCGACGGCTGCAAAAATATACTGGATGCCAATTCGGGAGGAGAATCCGGTGAGGGAATTTCAAGAACCATTTGCTCCTCTGGATCAAAAACATAAGCTTCTCCATCGAAGGACGCGTTGCCGTTCCTCTTGATAGTGTCTGTAGAGACGGGCCTTTGTCTTTTAGCTGCTGGTGGTGACAAGAGACGTTCATCTCGGTCAGATTCGGGATTGAGGTCAGATCTCTCGTCAGCACTGAGGTCTGAATCGAAAGGCCCACCATTCTGGGAGCCAACGGGCGAAGAAAGTAAATCTTGGGCTCCAACTTCAGATTCAGACGCAGTCTCTTCATCTGATTCATATCGATCTTGAAGACTATGCCGGCTCAAGCGGTGTAGACTCAATGAGGTAGTCGGTTCATACATATTTGAAGCAGTCGAGATTGGAAATAGAAGAATAGTAAAATCAGGTCGACTGTCACGGTGAAGATGTAGGCAGTTCCCAAACAAGGCGGAACAGAAAAGAGAAACCAGCCCTCAACTAAGAATGCCAGGAAAGACGGTGTAAATAGGAGACCAGCCCAAGGAGATTTGATAGTTCCCGTCAAATATCTCACGGATGCAAAGCTGCAAAGGAGATCTAGGAAAATTCCACCTCCTGCTTAACAGGACAACAGGTTCTTTAAGGGGAGTGGGACCAAGGAGCTATAGGGGATTGCATAATTCATATATGGAGGGAAAAAAAAGAAAAGAAAAAGGCATGAAGAAACAAGCCGTGATCCACCCAGGGACTTTTCCATGAAGAGGGGCCATGTCAATCCCTGTGCACGTGTGGGAGGCAGGAAAGGCTCACCCACCCTGAATTTGTGTCCTGCATGGCTGAGCGCGTAGGAGGAGGATCGCTGTGATTGGTATCACCCTTGCATGGGGAAACAACTAGGGCGGAATGGAGTCCCGGGTTGGTCAGTTTCAGCATGGGAAAAACGCGTTACACTGGGTATCGTGGCTTGAAAGGCTGGATTAGAATATACAGGGAAAAAAAAAAATTTAAATAAATTGATCCTAAATTCTGATATATCAACCTGAGTTGTCGTTGGCCAAGGTCCATGCACTTAATGCCCAGCAAACTATGATATTGATGTACTGATTGGACACGTATCAGCCCATGCGGAACTGAAAAATACCCAGGGCAAGAAGGATTAGTGATTGAATTCAGTCCAGCGCATGAAGTAAAGAGCGGGATATGAGTGTCCAATAAAGACGAAGAACTAAAAAAAGTATGATAATGTAATAGAGTGTAAATATGGGGGGAAATCAGTTTATATTGAAATCACGAAGCGGCGCGCCCGTACATACAATATCAGTGGGAATATAATCCACCGATTATGGGACGCGAAAAACCAGAATTAGACCATGATCAGATTCTTCGTCGAATCATATTACGGTGAGTACTGCCAAGTTAGCCGCCGCCTGAGATCGGTGGGGCATGTATAGCTCAAACACGCTACGACGAACTCCCTGGAGGCACCTTAGCTTCAAACTCTAGTGGATAATTTGGCTCGGTATCTAGGAACCGAAATGCCCGGTCCTTACTCAGTACCAATGCCAGGGGCGACTGTTGAGGAAGGCTGACCTAAAGGGGGTTGGGGGTGGTGATCATTCAAGGAGAATCAGGAGACACTATGAAGGACTACAGGTACAGGATAAGGGCATTGGAACTGGAATGACGAGAATGACGAGAATGACGAGGACACTTGCTCCTTCGAGAACCTTAGAATTATCTAATATCAATATGGAGCATCCAAGTTTCCGAGGTTCTTCCAGGCCAAAAGCTCTGAGACTCCTTGCATCGAACCCGCCTGTCACATCTCGGCGAATTCTCTCCGCATAGTACCATATTACATCATTTTTATCATAAATATCCCCGATAATGGAACTAGTGCTAGACCATTAGATTGTTGCAGGCCATATCCGGCAAGGACCCCGACCTCAATTTTCTGACTACTGCACTCTTCCAAGGTTCGCTGCAGGTACACGAATATCTTTACTCATTGAGCGAATAGAATCATTTCCAGATATTAACGCTCAAACTCTTAACGGCTTGCACTATACTACTAATTAAGTATAACCTCGTACTTTACCAGTGGGTCTAGCTCAACCGCCAGTACCGTACCTGGGTATGTATGATTCAACGCTTTTCGAACCCGCCCGGATGTATGCCGATCATCGGGCTATTAACGTCGACAGAGCAACTAATGCACCATGCCATCATTGCTTTTTTTTCTGTTACCTGTTCCTATTCCTATCTTTCGCTCGGATTGGCGGGCAAGCTGCAGTAAAATCAGGCCCTGCATGATTATCCAGTCTGGAAAATAACTATTCGCATGGCATCTACGGAGTAAGCAAGGCGCTTGGTCTTTATGATGGGCATAAGCAGGCCACCCAATAATGCACTTTCATGCGCTTCATTTATTGAATTATTTCCAGCCCCATAACTATTGATAGCTGGCAACAGTGCTTGAAGCGCTAACCGCCATCGATACTGAGGTTGGGAAAGAGGCTGGATACAAAATGCCTTGCTCCCCGGCCTGCCTCCAAACCCTCGCTTTTCTAATCTTTCTCTCTTTATCGCGCTACCTATGACCGCCAAGTCAATTCCCAATCTATCCCTTGAAAGCTTTGTAATGATCGACTCGGGAACTTGGTCACTAGTGTCCATGCGATAGATATGTCACTTCGTGGCGTTGTTTGTGCGCCGTCGCACAGGCCATGATGCGCGGATATACTCCACCGATGGCTCCTGATTCTCGCCGTGCAATCTCTCATTGTGATACCGCAACTTCAACGTGTGCTTTGATTGCCAGTGGGTAGACAAGCTTTTTGTTGCCGTATCAACAGATTGGGGTATTTGTTTTGTTGGGGTTGCGAGGAGAGACGAGTCAATGGATGGCGCGTCCTTGGGAACCGGACTGTGTCTGCATGGCAGGATGGACGATAGACCCCTGGTAGACCGGAAGTGCTAACAGCATGGCAGTTAGGCAATCAAATCAAACATGGCTTGCTGCCCTGATGCGGACCAGACACATGGCTCACGGGTATCTACAGGAAGCTCTACATAATGTTTCAGATGCCGGAAACTGCCGGTGATGACACTGTCAAAATTTATCGACAGGAAAGGGGGATTTCCCAGCCTTCCAAGATCGCGTAGAGATATTCGCGGTTGCATATGCAAACCTCATGGCTGAGATTAGCACAATTTGGAAGAAAGTTCATTGCAAGCCTCGATCATGCCGTGCTTCACCTTGACCAAGACCCCTGCTCCTCGATACCGACATCAGCAGTAGCGAGCTCTTTTAGCACGCTTACGCTTCACGGGATTATTCTAGGGTTGGGGTTGTGAGGGCTGGTTGATACAGCGAGGCCAATCCTGCCCAGCCGTTCTTTTTGATGTCCTTGATCTTGGTGATAAACTGTTTCGGGATGCGAGGGATGGTTTCCCCCCGCCCCCTTTTTAACGGCCAAGTTAAAAACAGAATTCCATTGCTTTATCCCAAGTTGCAGCGATTGATTGCGACTGGAAACACTTGCGCCAGGCATCGGCGACATGGGCAACATCCAGGCCCACATTGTAAGCCTTGAAAATCTTTGCGAGGTCTGTTAGCCTATGCAAGTTCACGTTTGGACGAGGAAGGGGGCCCCAAATGATATCAGAGGGGTAGAAAGGCACATAGAGGGAACAAATCGACATTGTCGCTAGACCTTGTACTTGCTAAGTTAGGCAACCTTCGAACACAAACAGACATGATTACATTTATTTTGTTTTTAACCGCACATCTATCAATGAGGGGCTATACTAATAACAACGGCAAAGGGACCAATCGAATGGCCTGCCACGAACAGGAGGGTGATAACGACAAACATGAACAGAAGAAGAATATGACATTATAAAATACAACCAGGACCAAGACTGACAGGGCAAATCCAAATTGTTCCCGGGTCGGGATGTAATGCAGAGCCCTTCGGTCTTCGCCCTGCTGGGTTTCCAACAAACGTTTCGGCGCATGTATTCCAACAACTCCGAGGCACATACCCCATGTCCGGGTAATGGGCCTGGCATCATGAAGTGGTCATTCATTAAACAAATATAGAGACGCATCACCCAAGAGCAGCCACTCGCCTTTCTGCTTATTTCTCTGGCCACAAGTATGCGAACTTGCAACCCAATGGCGCGTGGGCTAGTTTGATAAACAAGCTTGCAACCAACATGGCTCTTCAGACTCGCACAATGAAAGCATTCAAGGGCGAGCTATACAGAAGTTCCAACGACTATTTAGGCCTTGCGGGAGCGAGTGACCGGGCCGTTGGAGCGGCCGGTGGCACTGCCGTTGGCGCTACCGTTCTGGGCAGAAACCGGGGAGGGGATCTCGAAGTTCTTCATATCGATCAAGGACTTCTGGCCAGTGTTGCGGCGGGGACGTCCGGTCTTGGCGGCCTTGTTGTAAGTGGCAATGTAGAACGAGATGAAGAGAACGAGGTAGGAGCTGATGATGCCAATGCCAGCCATGGCAGCGAACTCCTCACCGGCGCACTTGCCCATGTTGGGGAGCCACGGGAAGTAAGCGGAGGTGAAATAGGTGTATGAGGCGAAGTAGATGAAGCCTAAAAATTGTCAGCGCTCTTTTCTTTACACATCCCGCGCTCGAATCACTTACCGACGTCAATGACGAATTGGAGGATCTGCAGCATGGTAATGTACTTCTTCCACCAGATACGAACGCCACGGGCACTCTGGAAGTAGTACCAGTACATGACGACGTGGACGAGCAGGTTGATGGTGATAGGCACCCATTGCACGGCAGTCACACCGATAAGCTGGGTGTAGCAAAGGAGAGCGGTAGCACCGTGGTGGTAGGTGTGGAGGAAGGTCAATGGCTTCTTCTTGAGGACAAGGAAGATCGTGTCAATGAACTCGACATATTTGTTCAGGTAGTTGAGCTGAACGCGATATTGTTAGTTTCTCCTATTCCAAATCCAACCTTGGGGCCATTGGCAACTTACGTAGTACAAAATGATCAAAGGCTGAGTCCAACCACCGCGCTGGTCACAGATGGTGTAGAAGACACCGTGTCTCGCGAGAGTGGGCAAGAGCTGCTCAATGAACAGAGCCAGGAGAATGCCACTGACAAGAGTCAGGACAAGGTTGTGGATCATGAACAAGGTGTTGAGCTTGAACGCAGGCAGCTTCTTCATGACCTCGCGACCACCGAAGATGATAACGTAGTATGTGATAAGCATCATGGTGGTCTCCTTCAATGTGGACAGAGGGGTCACGTTCTGGGTGAACTTGAACTCGCTGGCAGGGTAGCCCATGACCTTCTCATAGGCCTGGTCAAAGAGGGGCCACAGGTGCACACCAAATGGCCGGTCGAGGGTAGGGTAGGACACATGCTGAAGGATTTTGGATGCCATTATGACAGAAATAGGTTGTTGATTCAACCCAGTCGAAGTGCGACAAAAAGACTGTTAGGAACAGCTGTTCTCTTGACAATAAGGCTGTTAACCTTTTAACAGTCGCAAGAGATGAAAACCTCGATTGAGGGAAAAACAAAGAAAGGAAAGATAAGGAAAGTGGGAAGAATGGGAAGAAAAGAGGGAGAGATCCTGGAGAAGACAGGAGATTACTTCTTTTTGCGTCCGGCGCGTCCGCTGAGAACCCAAAATGGTTTAGCGTGGGCATAAAAAGGGGAACATCGAATTGCCCTCCGATCGCATACTACTAACTACTACACAACCACAAACAAATGTATGTACTCCGTATATAACTAGTGATATCTTTTAGATTAATTCAGCTATCACTTGTATTAATATGTACATATCGATCTATTGATTTCTTGCATTGTGATATAGATCAAATTTCCGTTTGGATCTTGAGCTAGTTATCACATGCTAGTTGAATTAGTTGATTAGACATCGTTACAGGTGCCTAACTAATTTATGAGTCTATTTACCGAGGACCCTTGCACTCCAAACATTGAGTTGCTTAAGTATTGAGTATTATGTTCATATTTCAATTGACCGTTTCGTTGGAGATCCATACCCGAAACGTTGCATTGAAAATCTATCGGGACTAAACCAGGGTAAGGTGGCAAGTTAACACCCTGGCTATAAGGCATTGACTGCAAACGGTCTACATAGTTATGTAGCGTGCAAGATCTAAATATTGCACAACCATATATTGAGTCAACATGGCATGTATGGATATTAGTGCACAACCGAGCTAGGTTGTACTCAATTATAAGAATATGGAGATCGTTTCAAGTTTTGCTTTGGCTCCTGGGGTTTTCAGGTTTGAAACAGCTACGATTTTGAGGCATAAATCCCTTGGTACTACTCCCAGGTACATATATAGTAACCTTATTTCCTTTCGAGGTTGAATGGTGTTTTGTGTATAACTCAACCAAAACCGCCGATTTGCTCTTTAGGTACGATTGATGTCTAGGTGTAGTTTCCCAAAATCCAGTTTGCTTTCAACTTCGAGATATATACTTCCAAGGTTTGGCTCTAATATATATATTCTTCAAGAACCATCCACCATTTCAATTTCTCCAATTTGGTTGTAAATATACCTTCTAGATGAACCCCATCGCGATTATCACAGCAACTAGAATAACCAAAATTATAGCGACCAAAGTGCTTAGAAACAATATAACCCAGCTACTGCTATCATGATTTTGACCAATGGCACACATCTTGAAAGTAACAAACGACCAACCAATCAACAGGCAGCATTTGAGATCAAGACAACTTGGAAGTACATTTTGGCGGGCCCAATCGGGAGATGACTCAGCACCCGCTATGATGCCTCAGGCGCCAACACCACACCACCCGCAAAATCCTAAGAGCACTTCTCACCTCCCCTTCCCGTCTCCATCCAAATCTCTCCCCTCACCATTGTTCCCGTCCGGTTCAACGTGGTCCTCCTCTCAAAATGTCGTCCCTCTCTATCTTTCGCGTGGCGACCCGCGCCGTCCGACCTACCGGCTTCTTCAGAGCTCCCCAATTGACCCGGTCCCGGATGCAGTCCCCGGTGACTCTGGCCGCCGCCCGCGTCTCCAACTTCGGTACCACCTCCAAGCTCCTCTCCGGCCACGAGGACGAGACATTCGAAGAGTTCTCTGCTAGGTATGGACCCAATCGCAAGCCATTGACGCCGGGAGCGGGGGACAAGCGCTGTGCATTTCAATGTTAGGCGCTTTCCGGAACGAACATCGGCAGTCATTTGGATATAATTGAGGCGCATCATACTGACTGGGCATTTCGAATATAGATTCGAGAAGGAATTCGACGGTGTGCAGGATGTTTTCGAGCTCCAGGTATGACTATCTCAACTTCACCCGAGGCGTATCGATCCGTATGCGATATATGCCATCAGCCACACCCGTCATTCGATATACGACTTTCATCCATGTTCAATTCGACAAATGGCTAATACGTTTTCCACAAATAGCGCAACCTGAACAACTGCTTCGCTTACGATCTCGTTCCCTCCGTTGAGGTCCTCACTGCTGCCCTCAAGGCCGCCCGCCGTGTTAACGACTTCCCTACCGCTGTCCGCGTCTTCGAGGGTACGCTTCCACTATATCTCGGTGTACTAGTGCACGTCATTTATCATTTGCTAACATATTGTCAACAGGAATCAAGGCCAAGGTCGAGAACCCGGACCAGTACAAGCAATACCTTGAGTCCCTCGAGGGTCTGCGCCAGGAACTCGGCGTCGCTCTCCGGGAGGAGCTCTACCCCCAGGAGGAGTAAATTCTCGTCATCAATTCTCCTTTCACGTCAATTTTCTCTTAAACAAACAGTACCCCTTCGCACGTTGTTTATCCAGCGCTGTTTGACTGGCTGAGGATCAGGTCGGGTAGAAGAGAAAACTGTATACATACTTTAGAGATCTCTTGTGTTGTTAGTGCTGTCGTTTGGAAGAAGGTCTTTTGTACCTTATGTGGTTGGTGCTTAATCTATCTTGATTCCATCTTGTTCAGTCATTCTGCAGCTGTATCATCTGGTGCTCCGTCCTGAATTCTCAACTTTCCACAATTTCTCATATATTTGTTTTGTTTTGATTGAAAACTCCATATGTAGAATGATCAGAAGGGACACTAGTTTAGTTCCTGAATATATCACAAATTGAGGGACTTCGACAAAATAACCCTGTAGGTAAACGAAACCGACAGGGCTTCCAAAAAGGACTATGCGCAATCAATATAAGTACAATGAAGACAAGGCCCCTGTAGCTTTCCAGGAGACAGCAACAAGGCCAAGAACGTATTTTGTGACAAAGAATTAAACCAAACATAGGAACATAAAAAAGGAACACAGAATCGTCAATACACAGGTATGTGTCCGCTCAAACGCCGGGTACCAAGCCACCGATTTGTGGGGAAATAGTCATAGGGGTATGCAAAGTGATGCAATAAATTGAGTCATGAGTGAAGTACTCTCCAAAATGACAAGGCACGAGAGAACAGATCAATCGGACCTGTCACTTAGTGCGTTCCAACATACTTAAAGTAAGTGGGGCGGCAATCTTCCTTCGAGAGGAAGTCTGCGCCTTGGTAGAATTGACCAGCCTTGCAGCCGGAGCACTTGGGAGAGTTAGGGCAGTTGAGATAGGGAATGTGGTTATATCCAATATCACGGAACCTAGACAAAATCGATGTGAGTGGGGTTTCAGAAAGGCAGGAAGAGGAATTACATACCAGTGCACATTAGCAGCGTCTGCGAAAAGACCAATGCCAAGGGAATGGACGGGGGCATCACCCCAGCGCTCGTAGAAGAATCCACCGGCACGATCCAAGTGCTGGAAGTACGCCTCATACTTCTCTCCGCGGAAGAAATCAAGGTCACCGATTTCAAAGTTGGACCAGAAGTGACAAGTAGAGTATCCGTTGCCGCCCTTGGTGTGCTCCGGGCGAGCCACGTCATCCGTGATCCACTCCCACATGTTGTTATCGCTGAGGTATGACGGGTTGGCGGCGAGGAAGCGTTGAGTCTCGGGCCAAAGGGACGGGATACTCTGAGGCGCATCGTAGAGGTTGATGGTGAAACCGTAGGTCTTGTTGCCATCTTCCATGTACCGGAAGACATCGTAGTCAACGTCGCAGAAGAATTTGACATTTGGCTCGATCCGCCAGTAGTAGCGGTAACCAGCGAGGGCGGGGTGCTTGTAAAACATGCCGCTGTTCCAGCGACACATCTGGTGGTAGGAAACCTTAGAGCTGTACTGAATGTCCTGTTCCTCTAGAACCTTTGCGGATTCGCGGAAGAGTTCCATATTGATCCAGCTCGGGACATCCCAGTGTTCCTTAGGGACAAGCTCTGTATCTAGAGTTAGCCAGGTCCTCCTCCGATATAACGGGTATCCGTACCATATTGACACTTCGCCTTGGTCGCAGCCTGGGTCTTCTGCTTGAACTCCGCAGTGAACTCGACGTCGTTGAAGAAGATATAGGGGTAGTTGAATTTGCCGTTCCATGTTCGCTCCAGATCGTTCATTGTCTGCAACAATTGATCCAATTCTTCATTGCGCACCAGGGTGATGAGGGCAGCGTTGGTGCGGGCCGAGTTCTGGCTATCGGGGGAGTAATCATGTTCGGTGGCTCGCCATAGATTTCCCGCAGGCTCTCCGGTCGCTATAAAACATATTTAGTATTGAAATAAGTGGAGGGTGGTTGCAATAGAAGATGTGGCAAGAAATCGGGGTCACGCACGATCTACAAGAGGATCTTTCTTCATGCCATGGGTTAATTTGGACCCTTCTTCAGAGGGACTTTGATGTAATTGGAAGACAAGAAATAGGCAAAGAAGAATGCATGCTGCACCCAGCATGCGAATCGGTCGCGCAATAGCCATGATGGTGGTGTTTGCTGAAAGGGGGTCGGAGAGGAAGAGAGGCGCGCATAAAGAGTGGCCATCTTTCCTTGTCGGGACTAGCGTCATCCAAGCAAAACATCCCTGTATCTCAGCTCTTCGTCCACTGCTCTTGATAACCTATCTGGGGACATGATCAATGTGAAATTCTCTTGAAATTCTCTTGTTACCTGCATATGTCTTAAAATGGCTCTCGCGGCTGATCTCAGTACGCTTACTGATGCCTTGATCACCTCAGTTGCTAAGGTTTCACCAGAGCAAAAAGTAATATCTTGGTATCCTTATCGTTTTGTCACGCTATATCTGACGTAAATTTAGGGATCAGCTCGCATTCAGAGTTTGAAGCGCCGGATTCAAGGAAGTCTCCGGACTGGTTCCCATACGCGCACCGACCAATTTGTAGTTGCCAAGCAACTCGAAGGACTGCAAGAAAAGTTCCAAGTCTTGAATAGAGATGAATTGGCTGAAGCGCTTCAAAGCCGCCTTGTGGAGCTGGAGAGGCATCGAAACCCCTGGTTCCCGGAGATTCTAAGCTTGTTGCTGCAACTCTCAGATCGTCCAGCTCTACTATCCACAGTTGAACCCACCAAGCAAGGAGCCAAGGCGCCAGAAGCAAATGAGTCACTCTTATGGTCCGACCTGAAAGGCGAGGGAACTGCGTTCAGCGATGAAGAAATCTGGGAACAGGTTGACTTTGCTGGCGACTCTTCAGATGATGACTTTTCGTCTGTTGCCAGTGATGTATCCTTTCCAAAACGTAGGCCCCAGTCATCCACTACCGTGGAAGAGGATTACGTTGTCCCAAATGATGTCTTCTTTCTACGAGAGGATGGGGATATTATGACCTCTATAGAGAAGGCCCAATTTTGGAAGCCGAAAACCCCTTTTCCGACATCCCAAGGAATGGAAGACGCTTCACGACCTGTCACAGAATCTCAACTCGCCAGAGAGACCATTTTTATGCTTCAAGGTCTTCCGACGTCAATTTTCTGGCACATGGACGATGGAATCAAGGTGGACTGCAGATACACACTTGCACATTCATCAAATGAAGCTCTAGCTTCACTCTTGCAGTGTTTCAGCGAGGTAGGCACCAAAATCGACGCTTTACGGCGTTTCACCGAAACCACACAGACGATTCCATATATGCAAACATTTTGCAGAGGAATCGAACAACGTCTCCTTGAATTTGACAAGCTTCTATCTCAAATTCAGTGCAAGTACCTCTCCGCTGGATCTACTATCAGTCTCCTCCAACTCCTTGCCGACGTTCGTCATCACTCTCACGAGTTAGCGTCACTATCAGATATGATTGTTAAGCTAGGCAAAGGCTCAATTGATCAGCCTATGCGCTGCCTTGATCATCTTTATGATTTGATCTGCATGCTCGAAGCGCTAGGCGATGAGACCTCATCCCGCAATCTTGGAGATCTATTCTTTTTGTGTTTTAAGACATACTCTCGGTCGATCCGACTTTGGATGGAGACAGGTCAGGTTGATGCTTTGGACAGAACCTTCTTCGTGAAGACTGTTCGTGAGAATGGGGACTTGAAAACCCTTTGGCATGACTGGTTTGTGCTTGATATGGGCCATAGGAGACAGAAGGTTCCACAATTTTTAGAGACTAGCATCCAGAGAGTCTTCATCGCAGGCAAGAGTATGGTCTTTCTACGCCATCTCAATGCATTGCCAGATACTAGCGCCCCCAAGTCATATGAAGACATCTACCCCTCAAACTCTTCACTCCCACTTCCGTTCTCTGCACTAGTAGAGTCCGCTTTTGAAAAGCTTGTGGATGTCGATCATTCCCTCAGTGCTGGTCTTTTACGAACAGAACTCGAGCAATGCGGCTTGTGGATGTCACTCGACGCTCTTCACCATATCTACCTCGGCAAGGATATGAGCGCCATCAGCATTATTGACGCTAAGATCTTCGAACTCATCGATCGGGGTCGTCCTTGGGATAGATTCTTACTCACTGAAACAGCAAGAACGGCATTCAACTCCATACCCGTCATTGACACCTCAAAGCTTCTTGTTCGGCCAGCCAAACAAGGATCTCAAACCCGATCTGTGGAAATAATTGAAGCGATTTCAACTGATTATGGGTTGCCGTGGCCTATTGCGAACATTATCACAGAGGATGCGATCAACTCTTACCAACGGATTTCTATCTTTTTAATGCAAATCAGACGTGCAAAGTACGCCATTGTCAAACAACGAATTCGTGATGCCCGCATCGGCATCAATACATCTGACGATAGCAATACTTTGGTGAACGCGCTCCACCATAACATGCTCTGGTTCCTCGATTTCCTCTACGGCCACCTGACCTATCTGGTGATATCCACTGCAACTCAGACTCTACACAAAGATTTGTCCAATGCCCAAGATGTCGATGCCATGATCGCCGCCCACCAGTTTTATATGTCTTCCTTAGAGGCCCAGTGCTTGCTATCCAAAGATCTGACCCAGGTCCACAAAACAATTATCAGCCTCCTAGATCTCTGTGTCCATTTCGCAGATCTGCAAACCGCGCACTCGCTCGGCGATGAACCTGAAAAAGACCCCGGAGATGAATTTGATTCCGACGACGATGATTATGATAATGACGATATAACCCACACACTCACGGTTTCATTCCATGACTCAACCTACAGCCAGCAGATAAGAAAGGTCAAATATCACTTCGATCACCTTACTACCCGTGTCACAGATAGCCTGAAAGGGTTAGCTCGCGTAGATGGGCTTCCTAGCTGGGAGATTCTTGCTGACAGGCTTGAATGGAGACAGAATGAGCGAAAATAAACATTCAATGTTGGAAATATCCTTTGCTCCCGCTGAAATTGGCTTTACTATAATAATATCTCACAGAACAATGTCTTTTTATTCTTGTGCTATTTGTCTAACTACTCCAAGTAAAAAAGATATTTTAAACCTTAACAACTTGTAATTCGATTGCTGCCCAGGCCAATGTGCGCTTTGTGGAATCACTTCGGGCTTCTTATATATTGAGGGAAGACGTGGGCAATGATTTTGTTTCGAATGCTATATGTTCTCGACCAAAAAATTTTAGACCATTAGATGTTGGTTTGCGCAAGCTGCTCCGAGGGAGCGTCTTCTTGCTTCGCAGCTTCCTTTGTATCTTCTTGCTTCGCACCGGGGAAGCGAGAGCCTCTGTCCTTAGGCTTCTTCACCTTCTTGTGCACAACCGGTGGTGGGTAAGCCTTCAAGGTGACCTCCTGCCATTCAGTCGATGCATTGTAGGCTTCCTGGATAGGGGTCATAAGTTTGACCAAAGCAGATGAGACGGCGGGTTTAAGCAATTGCGGGGTCAACTAATATGGCGGTTAATACGAATAGAATATATACCAATAGAAGATATACATACGATATCTTGAGTGTAATCCTCTTTAAGCTGAGCGATAGAGGTATAGACCAAGGGCTCGGCGTCCCGACGCTCGACCTGGAACTCTCCAGTGCCTTCCAAAACAGCAGCAGGAAGAAGGATGTTCTCGACGATAGAAATCACCCCGTTTTCTTCTACCACCTTAGGGAAACACTCCGCCTTTTTGATCTTCTTCGTAATGGTTGCAGCATCATCGAGGAGGTCAATCTTAGCGTCTAGTAGTTACCAGTATCAGTATCATTTCATATCAATGTTGTATTGATAGAGTTTGATTGATGATTAACACAACGTACCTGCGCCGTCACTAGAACTCATTTTCTGGCCACCTAAACCAGCCATCATTGGGTTCATAAGATGCGCTCGAACCCGGTAACCGAGCTTAGGCAGCCATTCTGTTGCGGCCGCAAAGAGCTTTCTTTGGTCCTGGACGGTATTAGTCCGTGGAATAGAGAAAAGGAGGGTAAGAACGTACAACGCCGCCAAACTGTACATCAACGTCAAGGTGCTGCTCATCGAGGACCTGGAGAATCGGATACAACAGTCCAGAGAGAGGTGCGTTTCCGGTTTGTTTCACTACTTCGGCACCAGCCTATAATTATGAGATTGGAAATGAGAAAAAAGAGGAAGGGAGGTTTACCTTTTTGGCGGAACTTTCGGAGACCATAGACGCCATTTTGTAGACATCCATTATATAGGCGGGAGACTTTTGGTACGATGAGCCAAGTACGAATTGAAGCTTCTCAATATTCACGCCGACGGATTTGAGGATAGCGGTAATGACATTTCGGTAGTAGATCGCACGGTTGTCGACTAACTCGAGGGGGGCTTTCAGATTGTCCACTAGCAGCTGTTAGTACTCCTGTGTATTTAGCGAAGTCCAGGAACGAACAAAATCCATGGATATCGGCCAACAAGACTTTCACTTCGCATCCAGCCTTGAGGAGGTCGGCAATCTTTAATGCTGGTAGAAAGTAGCCGATGTGAGGTCGCCTATGCAGAAGTTAGTCGAGATCTCGTGCTCGTTTATTCACATGCAGCTTGCCCTGTCGTCGCGGTTCCCCAGTAAACGCGGGGAGACCGTCCTTCCTTTAGGATATTCTCAATGATCTCCGGATTAAGGACCTCGGCCAGGTTGGAGGTGATAAGGTCAAATCGTGCTTGGGCTGCGGAATCCATGATTGCGGAGTATTCCTTCTGGTCTGCGGAGTAAATTCAAGGGGTTCAGACCGTCTCCGAAGGCTGGAATGGTGAGATCAAATCGTTGGCGCGCGCGTGGTGAGAGGAAGGGAAGAAGTGGCATACAAATTTTGACTCACTGAACCCCGCCAATTACTGGTACCTATCGCCCCACTCTTACTTTTTTTGCCGGAATTGTTCCGAGTTCCAAAGAACAAAGAAACGATGTAGGTACATCTCTTTAAGAACGTTAAGAATTGCTCAATTTTGGTATTCAATTTTGGTATATACTATGGGAGATTGAACCAGGAGACTATAGACAAGACTCGAATAAAAGGTAAAAAAGAAAATAAGCTTCGTAAATAATGACTACACATTTTAACCGACCCAGCGTCTGGCGCTGTAGAAGACACGTCCCCAAGGACCAATGTCGCCCCAGGTCTCAGCGTTGGGAGGCAGCCAGCTGGCAATACCGTTCATGACAGTGCGCTCGGGGTGAGGCATAATAGCCAAGACACGACCGTCAGGGCTGCGAATACCAGCAATACCCTCAGGACTACCGTTAGGGTTGTATGGGTACTTCATGGTAGGCTTAAGGGAGCCATTGTCGACGAAGCGAACGGGGGCGAGACCCTCGCGCACAAAGTCGGAAGCTGAGATACCCTGGGAGGAGGCGAATGAGGCACGACCTTCACCGTGGGCAACGGCAATGGGGAGGGAAGTACCGTCCATGCCGTGGAAGAAGACGCTAGGGTTGGATGGGTCGGGGTCGGAGATACGGGCCATACAGACACGGCCTTCGTACTGCTCGCTGGTGTTGCGCTCGAAGCTGGGCCAGTAGCCTGCACCAGGAATCAAATCCTTCACGCGAGACAGGAACTGACAACCGTTGCAGACACCGAGGGCGAAGGTGTCGGGGCGCTCAAAGAAGTCTTGGAACTCCTTGCGGGTGTTCTCGTGCAGCAAAACGGACTTGGCCCAACCTTGGCCGGCACCCAGGACGTCACCGTAGGAGAAACCACCGCAGGCAGCAAGACCGGCGAAGCTGGAAAGGGAAACGCGGCCGGAGATGATGTCAGTCATGTGGACATCGACAGCGGAGAAACCGGCGGTGTTGAAGGCAAAGGCCATCTCGGCTTGACTGTTGACACCTTGCTCACGAAGGATGGCAACGCGAGGCTTGTTGGAGAAAGGAGAATATTGAGACAAGCTAGTCATCATGGGCAAGCCCTTGTCCTTGGGGTCGAAAGTGGGGTTCCATGACAGACCAGGGTTAGTATCATCAAGGATGTTGGCATACTCTTGCTCAGCACAGTCCGCATTGTCACGGATCTTCTGCATGTGGTATGAGGTCTTGGCCCAGGTTTGCTGGAGGCTGGAACGGGTGTTGCGGTAAATCAAAGAGGCCTTGTGGTAGATGGCGAGGTTCTGCTTGGGCTGCTGAGAGACACGTCCAATCTTGTGGATCAGGCCTGGAGGAGGACCGCAAGTGGCGAAGCATGAGCGGAACTGGATCTCGTGCTCCTTGCGAACCTGGAAGACCGCACCAAGTTCCTCGGTGAAGAGAGACTCAATGACATCCTTAGTGTTGAAGGAAGAGCAAATGGTGTCAAGCGAGATGTCGACACCGCAACGACCAGCGAACATCATCTCAGCCAGGGTAGTCAGAAGACCACCATCGGAACGGTCGTGGTAAGCCAGGACAATTCCGGCTTCCTGAAGTTGCTGAGTAGCGTCGAAGAAGTCACGGAACAGATCAACATCGTGAACATCAGGGCATTCAGCACCAACTTCGTTAAAGACCTGGGCAAGAGCTGATCCACCAAGAGTTTTGCGACCGAATGAAAGATCAACAAACATGAGGACAGTCTCGCCAACATCTTCGAAACGACGAAGGGCTGGAGTCCAGGTCTTGGTGAAATCTCCAACAGGTGCAAATGCGGAGATGACACAAGACATAGGGGCAGTGACCTCCTTGGCCTCGTTAGAGGCCTCATCCTTCCACTTCATCTTCATAGACATAGAATCCTTGCCAACGGGGATACTGATGCCAAGCTTGGGGCACAGGTCCAGACCGACAGCCTCAACTGCTTCGTAGATAGCAGCACCCTCACCAGGGTGGCTACCGGCAGACATCCAGTTGGCAGAGAGCTTGACCTGGCTCAGACGGTCCACAAGATCGGAAGCAGCAAGATTCATCAGCGACTCAGCAACAGCCATGCGGGCAGATGCAGCAGCGGAGATGAGGGCCAAGGTGGGCTTTTCGCCCATAGCGAAAGCTTCACCAGTCCTGGTACCCTGGGCCAAGGATGTAGCAGTGACCGAAACATCTGACACAGGTGTCTGCCACTGACCAACCATCTGGTCACGGGCTGTGAGACCACCGACAGTACGATCTCCGATGGTAATCAAGAAAGACTTGGAGCCAACTGCAGGCAGAGACAAGACTCGCTTGATAGCTTCATCGACGATCTCCATCTTGGAGGTCAGGGATGGAAGGTACTTGGTGAGGCTAGAGTCAACAGCAGGAAGCTTCAGCTTGCGCGAATCGACAGTCCGGGTCATGCGAGGAGTTTTTCCGAAAAGCACGGACAGAGGGAGGTCAATAGGAGCCGGGTACTCCTTGGACTCACGGTCAAGGAGAATGAGTCTCTTTTCCTCCTCAGACGAGCCGCCGCCACGACCGACGACAGAGAAGCCACAGCGCTCGCGGTTAGCAATAGCAGTGAACTTATTCATGCTGTCCTCGCCAACGGCCATGACGTAACGCTCCTGGGCCTCACAACACCAAATCTGCATGGGGCTCATGCTACGGTCGGTGTTGTCAATCTCACGAAGCTCGAATGTAGCTCCGAGGCCGGAGTCATGAATCAATTCGGGGAGGGCATTGGACAGACCACCGGCACCAACGTCGTGAATGAACTTGATGGGGTTGTTATCTCCCATAGCCACACAGGCATTGATGACTTCTTGGGCTCTCCGCTGAACTTCGGCGTTGCCGCGCTGAACACTGGCAAAGTCAAGTTCGGCAGATCCTTCACCGGAAGCGATACTGGAGGCAGCACCTCCTCCCAGGCCAATAAGCATGGCTGGGCCACCCAGAACGACGAGGAAAGCACCGGGCTTGACAACATCGGGGTGCTTGATGGCGTGTTGAGGGCGAACGGTTCCAACACCACCAGCAATCATGATGGGCTTGTGGTATCCTCTCACTTCCTTCTCGCCATTGCCAACATCAATCTCGGTGAGGAGAGTACGGAAGTAGCCACCAATGCAGGGACGACCAAACTCGTTGTTGAAAGCAGCACTTCCAATGGGTGCCTCCAACATGATATCCAAGCTGCTGGCGATGTGGTTAGGCTTGCCAACATCGAGTTCCCAAGGCTGCTTGAGGCCAGGAATCAACAGGTCTGACACACAGTATCCAGAGAGACCGGCCTTAGGGCGTGAGCCACGACCGACAGCACCCTCGTCACGGATCTCTCCGCCGGAACCAGTAGCAGCACCAGGGTAAGGTGAAACTGCAGTAGGGTGGTTGTGCGTCTCAACCTTGGCCAGGAAGTGAACAACTTCCTTGGTGTGCATCCACTGTCCAGTGGTCGGGTCAGGAGCCCAGAATGCGGACTCGGGACCCTCCAGCACGGCGGCGTTGTCACTGTAGGCACTGATGGTGTGCTCGGGGTGCTTCTTGTGTGTGTTGCGAATCATAGCAAAGAGACTGTTGGGCATAGGCTTGCCGTCAATCACCCAGGATGCGTTGAATTGCTTGTGGCGACAGTGTTCTGAGTTGACCTGTGCAAACATGAAAAGCTCAACATCGGTTGGATCACGGGCAATAGCGCCATTGGGACCGTATGCCTCAGCAAGATAATCAATCTCAGAGTCTTCCAGGGCTAGACCCAGCTCCTTGTTTGCCTCCTGAAGGATCTCCTTGGGGGACTTGGTGCTGTCCTGGAGGGAGATGGTCTTGAGAGGCTGAGGAGCGTGCTCGGAGAACATGAGGCTCAACTCCGGCTCTTCCTGACCAATGATCTGAGTCATACGATCGTGGAGAGTATCCATATACTCCGGTTTGTAGTCCTCCGCGCTGTTGCGAAGGCATGAAATCTTCATACCCCGCTCAATGCGCTTGACGTACTGCTGCAGGCCGCAGACGTGGGAGATACCGGTTGCCTGGGAGCTCCATGGTGAGACGGTACCGTTGCGTGGGTAGATGTAGAAGGTATCGAAGTTGCCCTCGGAGGATTCGAAGGTGGGAGGAACATCGGTAATATCGCCGTAACGGAGAAGTTGTTCAAGGACGGCACGCTTAGACTCGTCCAAAGGCTGGGTGGTGTGCACATAGTGAATCCACTGAGCCCGGACATCCTGAGCGCCAATGCTAGTAGCAATTGCAAGACCCCGAGAGCGAGAGAACGCCACGGAGCCGGGGATGGCCAAATAAGTATCGGTTGAAGTCATTTTGAAGATAGGTGGGGTAATTCTCCCAAGTCAAATTGACGTAGGGAGATGGGGAATTGGATCTCCTGAAATCGAGGGAGATTCAGTGGCTCGAGTGCCTCTCTCAAGTGGACTTGAGATAGATCGCTAGAGGAGACCGATGACTCTATCGCGTTTTTTGTTAAAAAAATTGGCCGCCCCGCCCTAAGCCCGATGCGGCTTATCGGAGTGGATCACGTGCCGATACCGGCCGACTTACAGTTGGCACTAAACAAACTTTTCCTTCATTAGTTATGTTGATTTTGTTTACTTGATTTTAGATCAGTTGGTCTGAATAAATTCAACTTATTGCTCCTCTTATGCATCTTCAAATAGTATACAGAAAGGAATAGAAAGGGAAGGTGTAGGAATCCAGGCTTTGCTCCGACCAGAATAATGTGGGGGAGTTCTTGGCGCTCGAACCACTCCAACTAGATAGAGAGTCAAGGAAAACGCAACAAAGTGGGCATAACTTGTCCAAAAGTAAATCGCGCTGGAATCAAAGATTTTGGAATTATTTATCAAGAATTTACACTAATTATGATAGTTGCTTCGATCTAATCTTATACCTACTAATTCGAGGTCATCTGGAACTTTCAAGGTTCTCTTGCTTCTTATAGCACTCCTAGACAACAAGATTAGCAATCGAAACATTGTTTAAGCAATGAATTTGGGGTTTCCATAATTCAGATCATGTTGCTTGTGTAGTCATCAGTACCTAGTCAGGACTAGCATCTTCATGCATCTCATCTTCTCCTATTCCAAGGTTGAATCTAAAGAAATAATTGTAGTCGAGTTGATATAAGGAGAATCATACCTAGCCTAGGTATGATCGCAATAATGACAGTCCCTATAATGTATGAGTGGTCAGTATGGACTCAAAGCATGTCATATAATCTAAGGGCCATCTAGGTATGTTACGCGATTTAAAGAGCGATACTAAAGGTCCTTGGATGAATTTTATGTACGGGCTAGTATTCACCGTATCTGATTAATGTTCGCCTCGAAAATTCGTTTATACTTGAAGCAAAGATGAAAATTTGATGCCATCGTAGGCTGATAAACTAGGATACTGCGGGGTGTCTTGCGCCTTTTGATAAACAAGATAGCATGGAGCATGTAGTGCATGTGTGGCTAGATGATGTCACTCCAAGCATGCTTATAGACATTTAACTGGGTGATTAGTTTCCAAAATAGAATAAGATTTTCTTAAAAAGTATGTATATATAGTTGCATAATTTTGCGTGAGAAATACCTTTTGATGATACAAATGTGCTTGAGTTGTGAGGGGTAATATAGGTTACACCAAACCACGTTATTGAGTGTAACCATGGCTTGCTCAGTTCAAAAAGAAAAGAAAAGCAAAGACCTACAGTGAGATTCTAGACCTTTGGGGAGGTTGATATAGCGGAGAATCAGTATCTGATTTGCCTTGCCCAGAATTTGTTCCCAAAAGGGCAATAATTTATACTTCCGAATCCGGGAATATGGTCCGATCCCCACTACGCACAACTGATATCAATCTACGGACCAGGGACCGTGTCACATTCATAGAAACAGAGTTTTATATGCTGCACAAAGATATAGCTGCTCTGGCCTTGCACTATATTCCACATAAATTATGGTTTTCAATAAATACAACTATCTCTAAAATAAACACATGATAGTGTGCCCCAGCTTAACCAATGCAATCTATATAACAGTCAACTTTCATCTGTCAAAAATTCCGAATTTTGAGCTTGCTCGGCAGGTATTACTTCCCAATTGCAGCCAGACCCGCTTCGCCAAGATGGAATATCGGGAAGTTGACACGAATAGATTACATCGAATACGCTGGCATGTCAGGCAAATGCTGCAATTAAGTCATATTTACTTCATTTTATCAACATGTGCCAATGATGATTTACAATTTCCTCATTGATATACTGTAACGATCGAGGCTTATCCCATCATCCTTGGTCATCGTTTACCATCATGATCGCCTCTCTTAGGTAGTGAATCAATCATGCTTACGTATCCACACGATTTCTATCGTGATATATACATTCCTATTGACGGCACTCCAATAAGAGAAATCCAGGAGTTTGGAAGCTATTTCTTTTTAACAGATAAGAATAGCACTCAGATGAACATTCAAGCGTTCGTTCGAGGCGTCAGAAGTTTCGAACCTAGAGGAAGAACTATTCAGGTCGTGATAAGCTCCGGAGTAATCGTAGCATATTACCCGATATGGCTAGCGCCACCGGTCCACATCAGGCAATGTATCAAAGCTACCCGCATAGGAACAATGCATCCGTCCACTGGTTCATGCCGCACGCCGCTTGAATGGTCCACTTGTTGAAATTTCGGGACTAAGTTTTATTAAACATGAATTATAAAAGAATGCCATCCCTCCAGAGGGTTGGGACATTCCATAATTTGGTATAACTCGACATCATGGAGACACCTCGATCAGAACAGACCCACACAAATGCAACTAGCCCGACAGCCTCCATTGAGTCTGGCCATGAAAGCCTCGACTATCTCAACTTACCCTTTCGCGAAGTCACTGATGGCGCCGACCTTGGTGAATATGCCACCGAAACGAGAACAGGAGAGATCATCAAGCCTGTCAAGTCCAATGCAACTGGTAAAATGGAAGATTGGAAATTGGTGACCTTTACGATCAATGATCCCGAGAACCCCAAGAACTGGTCGAAGGCGTACAAATGGTACTGCACCATGGTGGTTGCTTTCACTTGTTTCGTTGTCGCCTTTGCTAGTAGCGTTATCACTGCCGATCTGGAAGGGCCCATGAAAGACTTCGGCGTTTCACGTGAAGTCAGCTTGGTTGTTGTCACCGTTTTTGTTATTGGATTTGGTGTTGGTACGTTTCTCAAAAATTGGATATTGATGTCGCCAATTCAGCGCTAACTCCACAATAGGGCCAATGGTCTTTGCTCCAATGTCAGAGATGTTTGGACGCCGCCCCGTGTATGCCATCACTCTCCTGATTGCCGTGATTTTTATTATTCCTTGTGCCGTCTCCAAAAATATTGGAACTCTTATCGTCTGCCGATTGATCGATGGAATCGCTTTCAGTGCCCCTATGACTCTTGTGGGTGGTACTCTTGCAGATTTATGGAGAAGCGAGGAGCGAGGTGTTCCAATGGCAGCTTTTAGCGCTGCGCCTTTCATCGGCCCAGCCATCGGTCCACTCGCTGGTGGCTTTTTGGGTGACAACTGTGGCTGGCGCTGGCTCTATTGGCTCCAGCTGATCCTGGCATTTGTTGCCTGGGTTTTGATCACGTTCACTGTCCCCGAGACATACACACCGATATTGCTAAAGAAGCGAGCTCAGAAACTCCGCAAGTCTGAGAACGATCCCAAGTATACCACCGAAGGCGAACTTGATCCCCGACCCATGGGCGAGAAGCTTCGCGTCTTCCTATTCCGCCCTTTTCAGCTTCTTCTCCTTGAGCCTATCGTTCTGTTCATCGCGCTCTACATGTCCGTCTTATACGGTCTGCTGTATATGTTCTTCGTTGCGTAAGTCATCGTTCTCGAATTCCAGAACGACCAAGAAACTAACTATGAATTCAGTTATCCAATCGTCTACCAGTCCGGCAAAGGATGGAGTGCTTCCATGACTGGACTTATGTTCATTCCTCTGGCTATTGGTGTTCTCATGAGCGCAGCTTGTGCTCCGTTAGTCAACAAGAACTACCTCAAGATCTCTGCTGAATGCGGCGGAAAACCCCCTGCAGAGAAGCGACTGATCCCAATGATGTGGTCTTGCTGGCTCGTTCCTATCGGACTATTCATCTTCGCCTGGACGTCATATTCCGATGTCCACTGGTTGGGACCGGCAATGGGAGGATGGCCTGTTGGATTTGGCTTCATCTTCTTGTATAACTCGGCCAATAACTACCTCGGTATGTAAAAGAGCACAAATTTAACTTTGAAGCAATACTAACAGTCTATTAGTCGATACCTACCAGCACCAAGCGGCATCCGCTCTCGCGGCCAAGACCTTCCTCCGTTCCATGTGGGGTGCTTCTACCGTCCTGTTCACAGAGCAGATGTACAATCGCCTGGGCTACCAGTGGGCCAGCTCACTTCTCGCTTTCCTTGCTTTGGCCTGCTGCGCTATTCCCTACGTGTTCTACTTCAAGGGTGAATCTATTCGCCGGTTCTCGAAGTTTGCCTTCAGTGACGACGAGGAGAAGGCCATCAAGGCATAATTGTCTCCAAGCTTTGTGTTGCAGCAAGAGACTATAGAGGGTGGTAATATTTTCAACTTTAGCTTGTGGAATATTTTCCCTGGCATGACTGATGTGGGAAAAATCCGGCATGACGGCGTTCATGAAACCTAATGCATATAGAATTAAAAGTTTTACAGATCGATATTGTTAATACAGAGTTTTGCTTCTGAAACTTGCCCGCGCGTGTAATTCTCCATATGAATTATATGTATTAATGACTCATCCTTATATTGAACAAGATAATGTAAGATACAAAAACAATAACACCCAAAGAATTTCTCACGCCTGCAATATTTTTTGCATCGGGCTTTAATGGCACTTGTATTGACACTGCTAGCTGCATATGTACTACATATCAAGAAACCGATCCGCATCCAGGGAGCAAGGTATTCAGAGCGGTTGCTCGATCCGAAGGGGCGAACAGTCAAGATACGGTTCTGCTTCCACATAGAGATATTAAATATCTTCCAACTGCAATGAAGCCAGCTGTAGGACCACACTTTCGGACGGAATGACCCAAGAATCTTTGCGGTAAGTGAATCTGTGAGCAAAGTACAAGATAAAAAACGCGGGCAAACCGATATACGCTGACATAAATGAAGCAATTGACCATTCAGACGGGAAAAAGACCGTGAAGCCGTTCAAAAGGCATAACACACTGAAAGTAACGAGCGTAATCCACGATGTATATGGCTGTAGCGGGGACCTCTGCGTGAGCTTTGACTTATGAATTCCCTGCACCTCACAAGCTCTTCGAAAACGAAGATATGTGATCGAGCAACAAATCCATGACAAGAACCCGCCAGTGTTCACCAAGTTCAACAGCCAGTTCAAGATAGTGGCCGACGAAGAGTTGAGTGTCATATAGGCCAGAAGAGAGACGCAGGCCGTTGCACCAACAGCGTAGATGGGCACGCCTTTTGCAGTGCAGCGTTGAAATATTCGAGGCGCGCTACCTTCCACGGCCATGGAATGAAGACAACGGCTGGAGAGGTAAAGGAATGCGTTGCCCGTTGACCAGGCTGCTATAAGCGCCACAGCGTTAATAACACTGTCCCAGCCGGCTATTCTAGCTTGGTGGATGCCTGCAACCCATGGCGAGGATGCGGCATCGCTTCCACTCGTAAGTGTGGAAGCATTATAAGGGCAGACGACCGATATTCCGATGGCGCTGCCGACAAAAAGAACAATCAAGCGCCAGGTAAAATGTTTCGCCACCCTTGGTACATTCTTTCTCGGGTCTCTGATTTCGGCAGCTGTTCCGACCACCATCTCAGGCGTAAATGAGAAGGGAAGGATACTGCTAATGACAGTCGCAATAGCTGCTATGAGTCTGCCAGCGTCGCCTTCGAGGATCAAGGTCTTTGCCGCACCAGGGTCTTTCCAGTAGTGGAACCCGAGCATGTTGTGCCCAGGACCTCCTCCCCAGAACAGGATAAAAGAAAGGCAGAGCAGACCAATGATGGTAGCCAGCTTGACACCAGTGAAGAAGAATTCTGCTTCACCGTAGAACTTTACCGGAAGGACATTGAGAATGACCAGCAAGACCAACAAAATGGTAATCCAGACTGCGCTGTTAACACCCGGTTGCCAAAAGTCTATGAGGATAGCGCATGCCGTAAGCTCAAATGGAACTAGTATGGCGAAGGAGTAGACATAAAGCCAGCCCATAGCAAAACCGAGACTCTTCGACACGAACATGCCGGCGTACCGACTCATGGAGCCTCCGCGGACGGGGAGGAAGGTGGCCATCTCAATGACACCCGTAAGAATGAAGTACACCATTATGGATACAAAGACGTAGCTCCCGACAAGAAACGCAGGTCCACCCGTCGCAAGTGTTTTGCCGGTGGTGATAAAGAGGCCAGTTCCCACAGTGCCACCCCAGGCAATAAAGAGCGCGTGGCGGGCTTTAAGATCTCGCTTGGTATTCGGGCAGTCGAGTGGTTCCTCTATAGCAACCGAATTGACACTTGTCTGATACATGCCCTTATTCTCATCATTGTCGGGTTTGTCTGTTGGGGATGAGATGTTAGCCATGGCCAAAGGGACAGTGACATAAACTGGATGCTAACTATAGCTACACATGTAGCTGGCTTGAGCCACCTTATAAGAGTTCATCACACTCCAACCCTGGATGTTCCAACATCCTTATCAAAGACTCTTATCTTGGAATATATTCTCCGATGTTCATTGGATCTCCTTGCACACCTCGTGTGGATTCGCGTGGTGATGAATTCGCCCGCAATCGCTCGTCGGACATCCCGACAATGATAGTGTTCATTTTGCAAACGATAAAGCGTCCACAAGCCATCTAAGTGCTTGCCACTGTATCCATGGATTGTTATAGCATGTGACTATGCGGTGACAATTTGAGTAGGTCATAAAGTTATCTCAATTTGAAGGTGAGATATCACTAATTATCTGATGTGTCACCCCCTACGCTCGAGAGGGGTAGATACTGATGAGCTTGTATAACCCGACGCTATCGGACCATCCGCTCACCACCAAAATCATCGTCACGTTGGCTATCCCCAAATAATGAGAAATGCGGAGTCTTGACTGGAAGAGGAAACAGATACTTCGAGTTCGACTTTCTTCAATTATTCATAAAAGGATCAATATTCCAGCAAACTTCTCAGATCCGGACTATCATCAACGCGACGTTCTCTCCTGTTCTCAGTCTTCCAGGCATATTCATCTTTTTTTTTTGCCAAATCAAAATGGATGAAAAGGCCTCCGGAGGCATTGATTGGCTCTATCTATGGCACCAACTGAAGGAACAGGAGCATGCTGGACCGGTGTTGACAACAGTAGCCGTGGTTTTGTTCACCTATATGCTCTACACTGTAAGTCGTGCTTACCCTTCCGGCTATGTCCAGAAAATTGCTGTTGGCTTCTTTTCAATTTTCATTGGCTGAAACTGTCGATAGGTTCTGTTTGCTACCGATATTTCTCACATCAAGGGCATTCCAGAGATACCTGGCGCTATTCCTGTGTTTGGACATCTTCTCAAGCTCGGCGAGGATCATGCGACAACTTGCGAGAAATGGTGGCGCCAATACAACCAATCTATATTCCAAATCAAGCTGGGAAATACCAGGGCCGTCGTTGTCAACTCGTTTGATGACTGCAAAAAGATGCTCCTTGGTAACCAGAATGCAGTCATTGACCGCCCCAAGCTTTACACGTTTCATGGTGTGATCAGTAGCACACAAGGCTTTACGATTGGATCTTCTCCCTGGGATGAGTCCTGCAAGAAAAAGCGCAAGGCGGCCGGTACTGCCCTTAGTCGCCCCGCGTTGAGAAATTACTACCCCATGTTTGATCTCGAGAGTTACTGTATCCTCAGAGACATGAAAAAGGACAGTCACAATGGTCCGATCGAGATTGACATCCGCCCATACATTCAACGATACGCGCTCAACACAACCTTGACGCTCTGCTACGGTATTCGTATGGACGCTGTCTACGACGACCTGCTCCGAGAAATACTTCACGTAGGATCATCTATTTCCCTATTACGCAGCGCCTCCGAGAACCTGCAGGATTACATCCCTGCGCTTCGATATCTTCCCAACAACGAGAAAAACTCCCGTTCAAAAGAGCTTCGCAAGCGACGTGATGTATATCTGGACCTCCTCTTGAACAAGGTCCGCGAGATGATTAAGAAGGGCACAGACAAGCCTTGTATCTCTGCTGCTATCCTGAAGGATATGGAGACCAAGCTTTCTGGTGTTGAAGTTTCTTCAATCTGCTTATCTCTGGTTTCTGGTGGTTTTGAGACTATTCCCGGAACTCTGACTTCGTGCATTGGATCTCTATCGACCGAGGAAGGACAAGCATGGCAGGATCGGGCTTACGAGGACATCAAGCGTCATTACCCAGACGTCTGTGATGCCTGGACCGATTGCTTTAAAGAGGAAAAGATCCCATACATCAACGCCATTGTCAAGGAGGCTGGCCGATACTACACTGTCAGCGCCATGAGTCTTCCCCGAAAGACTGTTACCGAGGTCAATTGGGATGGTGCTATCATCCCTCCTAAGACTATGATCTTGATCAACGCCCAAGCTGGTAACCATGGTGAGTGATCCGCAGCTGAGATTGTTTGCCTCGATTATTGCTAGAAAGTCTAACGCCTGCAGATATCGATCATTTCGGACCTGATGCTGGAAAATTTAACCCCGAGCGGTGGCTCAAGACCCTCAGTCCCCCGACCGAGGCTGACAGTGTTGGCCTGGGTCACTTGAGTTTCGGAACTGGCTCTCGTGCTTGCTCGGGTCAGCACATTGCTTCTCGCCTCTTATACTCCGCATTGGTGAGGATACTGTCGTCCTACAAGATTGTGGCAAGCAAGGAGAATCCCCCCAATACCGACTATGTTGATTACAACCAATTCAAGACAGCACTCGTTGCCATTCCCAGAGAGTTCAAGGTTAAGCTCATTCCCCGGAATACAGCCATGACAGCCAATTGTCTGGACCTTGCTGAGCAGAGGACCAGCGAGCACTACAAGGAGTAATGATGCTTTTGGATGCTTTCGCTATGTAAACTCGCAATAAAGCTATGTGCAGGGTGTATTTTAGAACACACAGACTGGCTACATCATGAGTTTTGAACAGCTTCATGTGGAAAATAATACATGGGTATTTATTTGCGTGGTAAACAGAGCGGGCCTTGAGATTTCACGGACGAAATGTTTATTTCACTTATAACTTTTAATGTCTAAATAAAATAAATCGAAAGACCTATATTAAAACTTCGATGATCTATCATTGAGAATACTTCTTGAGATATATTCAGACCAGGGTGAAGTGACGGGATGTAGGCGGACCTTTGTTGAGTTGCTCGTCGGTCCGTCCGACAGGTAATATAGGTATTTTAGTGCTGAGCAACTCTACCAGTGACATAACAGCTATAGCTCGTTACTTATGCATTTTATTAAACTACTAGCGCAACGCAACCCATTGCACTACACTTTCAACATGTCTTCTCTCGTTATTGATAGCTTATTTGGCGTCAAGGGGTATATCGCGGTTGTGACAGGAGGCAGCAGTGGCCTCGGTTTTATGATTGCCAAAGTAAGTCAATCATCCAATAATGGGTTGAAGCCAATATTCCAAATGCATTCAGGTTTCTCTTCTTTGACAGCGACTCCGTCATCATAGGGACTTGTAACAAACGGCGCCAAAGTGTACCTCGTTGCTTTACCAAGTGAGCCCATTGAGAAGAAGGTGGCGGAGCTCAACGAGCTTGGCAAGGCAACTGGAGGATCTGCTCACGGGTAAGCTAAAATACATAAAGATTACAACATGTTAAACCTGCAGAGTTCTACTAATCCTCTTTTCTAGAATACCCTGCGATGTTTCTAATAAAAAAGCCATCCAGGATCTCGCCGCTCAAGTGAGCCAGCAAGAACATCATGTTGACATGCTAATCTCAAATGCTGGTATAAGGCGAGATCCACCTATCCAATGCAATGTCCTGAAGGCATCTTTGTCCGAATTGCAGGCTTCCATGTGGTCTTCTCAACACTCGGACTGGGCTGACACATTTTGCGTCAACACCACGGCCCACTATTTTCTTTCCGTGGCCTTTCTCTCCTTACTGGAGGTGGCATCGCAGCTGGAACTGCCGAATGGCAGACTCGGTCGAAGTGAGGGTCGCGGAGTGGTTGTCATGACCAGTTCGTGCGCAAGCATGCACAACGTGACAAACGTTGATCTGACGAGTTATGCCACAAGCAAAGCCGCAACTGATCACCTAGTCAAGCTATTAGCAGCCAAGTTCAGCCGTTTCTATGTACGAGTGGTGGGAATCAACCCAGGATGTGAGTCAAATGGGGCGTTGTGGTAGTCTTCAAAATTGGATCCAGCTGCTGACCAAGGTAGTTGTTCCAAGTAACATGAACCCCATTGGGGAGGAAGGAAACGTCTTCAGTGCCCTTTTCGACAAAGTCCCTGCCAAGAGAGCAGGGATCGATGACGATATTGCTGGCACTGTCCTTTATCTCGTCAGCCGTGCGGGAGTAAGTCTAGGAGGGATTTTTGGAGCTGAAGATTTCGCAATTTACGGTTCTCAAACAATGCTAATGATGTGTCTAGAGCTATGTCGATGGGATATCGCTTTGTGTTGATGGAGGTCGCGTTCTGCTTGCCAATGGTCAAGAATGAAAGCACGGATCGAAGATCGCAAATTAATGAAGCAATGAATCCAAAGAACTACATCAGGTGATGCCAAATAAACGGGTTGCATTCAGTTCAAAAGACACGAGTCATCCATTTGCTATTGTTATCTTAATTCTGTTGTTCACTATTGGGCTCACCTGGACTTACAATTAACGCTGAAGACCCCGATGATATATATTCCTTTGTTTTTTCAGTATTCGATCAAATACCAAGCTATCTATAGTTTCATGTTCAAGGAGATAACACAATAAATACTAAGGTGGCGCCGCTCCCGAGGTCTGTCTCTTCTGGACATCTCGGCAGCTGGGAGGCCAGGCGAATCCGCTAACATTCAATCTCCATCGGACCGGCCGACATAACTACACACCCGGAGGGAAAGCTACTCTGTTAGAATCCGTTGATATAATGGGAACTATGATTTTTTGAAAACATTGTCTTCTCTCAGCTTGAGAAAGTCATCTTCATAATGTCTATCGTATCGATTTCCGATGGTGTAGGGTAAGCAACAGCTGTAAACAAACTTGGATCATCTCAGCACCTAACAAGCCGCATAGTTCAAGCTTAAGCAAGATATCTTTACGGGATTTCGCAGCACAGCTTCACATTGACACCATTAGTGAAAATGATGCCGAGGATTACCTCACTCTTTTGAGATCGCTTGAGGCCGTCCTGACAAGCATCGACAATGCGCCCGACTATATTGCGCCCGATTTGCTTCCTCAACCTACGCTAGAACCTCGCAAATTTTGGAAACCAGCTCCAGAAAAAAACCCATTCAATGCCTGGAGTCACCAATGTGATCTGCAGGCTGTAACTCCGACTAGTAAGAAACTGTCTGGACGTAACGTTGTAACCAAGGACAACATATCTGTTGGGGGACTGCCGACGACACTTGGCGCACCACATTCACTACTTCATAAGGCCGGCGGGCACCCCGTTGCCCCTATTGACGCGGTGGTGGTATCGCGGATTCTTAGGGCCGGTGGCATCATCAAGGGGACCTCGACTTGCGAAAGCTTTTGCGCGTCTCCCTTGTCTTTCACGTCAGCGACAGGGCCGGTTCATAACCCACGTCTGCACAATTATACAGCGGGGGAAGCAGTAGCGGCTCCGTGGTTCTCGTTGCAGCTCATTGCCTGGCATCAAAAGGCAGCGACTCGTCATTCGGCCAAACAGTGGAATTGGCTATTGGAACCGACCAGGCCGGATCAGTACGAATCCCAGCTTCTTACAATGGCATATATGGGCTAAAGCCTACCTTTGGCCTGGTCCCATATACTGGTGCGGTGTCCATGTCTCCCATGATCGATCACTTGGGTCCGATGGCGGCCGAGCTTGAAGATATTGCCGCCCTGTTGGAGGTCATGGCAGGGTATGATGGCTACGATCCCCGGATGACCCCCGAGGCTCCCTTAGCACATCAGGTAAAGCCTTACCTAGAATCACTGTTACATGCGAGGCAAAGCATGAAGTCTACGCCAAATCCCGGTCACAAGTTGAGGGTTGGCCTGCTGAAACAATCTTTCCACATTCACGGGGTTGCAATCGACGTGCGAGATATCGTCCACCAGACAGCAACGCGATACTTTGAAGCTGTCGGGGCTTCTGTCGTCGAAGTTTCTATTCCAATGCACCAGCAGGGTCCAGCAATCTGGACAGCAGCAACCCGGCCTTCGATGTCGAGTTACCTGTGCCAGGGAAATCCCTCTGGCCACCTTTCATTCCTGTCGCCGCATGCGCAGATGAAATGGCCTCCATCCCAGGAGACATACGACACACTGACAAGTAATGACCCCGCTGTAGTCAACATCATGCTGAGCGAGAAGCTAGCTAAGAATTCTACCAAGGCAGGGCTTGAGGCCAAGGCCCATCGTCTGGTCTTTGCGCTCAGGGCTGCGTATGATTCCGCTTTTGAAGGTGTTGATATCCTTGTCACGCCTTGTGCGCCGACTGTCGCAATGCCTCACCCTGATCCAGAAGGACCTGGTGGGAAAAAGGCCTCGGTTCTGGACAGAATTGGTGTCGCCGTTGGCTTGACTAGTAACACCTGCCCTTTTAATGTTACTGGTCATCCCGCATTGAATGTTCCATGTGGCTTCTCTGCGGCTAAAGGTCATCCAGATGTCCCGCTGCCTGTAGGTATGCAGATTGTTGCTAGCCGTTGGGCCGATGAACAGCTCCTTGAGGCTGCGGCTTTGTTTGAATTGGGACGAGAAATTTTTCAGTGTACGGAGGGGATGACAGCAAATGAACGTTTGTGAACAGTTTCTTTGATAATTCTAATATACATACTCCATTGGGTGAAATTCAATTGCCCTAAAGTCACTACGATGCTAAAAATGGTATATATCGTGCTGCTTTTGCTTGTTCGCCGCATCATGAAAAATATTTGTGTATCTTGTATACTTCAATGCTCAATACGGGAGCTTTCAAGGTCTTCACTTCTTTGAAAATAATATCAGGCACGTTGTTTCTTCTCATCAACTGTCACTCCACTATCAAAAACTCCGCTATCGCCTGATCTATAAACTCTTTGTCTTCTGTATTATATCCAATTCCAGCCAAATGACCCCATGTCGACGGAATGATCTTGAAAATTGAACCAGCAATTGCCCGCGATTCTTTGTCGGATGCTTCCCAGCGAAAATACTGGTCTGTCGAGCATGGCATAACCAGAACACGTGCTTTGATCCGTGACAGTGTATCTTGTAAAGATGCATCTCCCAATATTGAAGTGACATTACCTCTCTGCCACATACCAACCATGGAGAGCAAGTCATCAGGATGCCAATTGTGATAGTTTTTCTTGGTCGCATGTTCGTCCCAATCAGCCAAAGTATCATAGCCGAGGGACTTGTACATTTCCTCCTTAAACCACTCGGGGCTTGTCAACCACGCTGAGTATGCCTTGCCGAAAGCCTGTAGCCCGCCCAATGCCTTTGAAGTGGATCGACTGCCATTTTCTGCGCGGTAGTCGGCTGAGAACTCCAGCGCAGCCTTTGGTCCCTCAAGTTGGTAGTTGTGACGGCTGGTACGAGCCGAGGAACAGACGATGACCGCATTCCGAACCATCTCCGGGTACAACAGAGTCCAGTAGTACGAGCACTGTCCACCCATGGAGAAGCCAACCACCACCTCGATTGCTTGGATGTTGAGACGGGAGCTTATCAGCTGGTGCTGAGCACGCACACAGTCTTGGTAATCCAGCAGTGGAGGGAAGTTGGCCATATTGGATGGACTTGAAGATTCACCATTGCCAAACAATGCCACCACAATGACTCTGTGGTTCTTGAGGGCTCCATGGCGAAAGGTCAAGGTAGAGTCGAGCCGACCACGGAAACAAGTCAGGACAAGGGCTACATTTTCCACAGTTGGATTGATGTCTAGGAAGGCCAGGTGGATTGAGGTCGGGCCGGTCCCATCCTTGAAAGTGAAGTTATCGATTCGATAGTGCTGAATTAAAGGTCCTGACATCATAAATCGAGGAGACGCGATCTCTTACCAGGGTCAAGGAGCCGCTGTGCTTTCAGAGTGAGATCATGTAGATCGATCCTAGGGCTTCCCTAGCGATTTGGTTCGTCGGAACGTCCGATGAGTTATCTTATGGATGATTTTCGTAACAGGAGGTCCCTGATATGAGATCAACGCGTACCAACCTTCATGATACTAATTTTTGTTATCGAGGTCCAAACTCCAGAATCTTATTTGAAGTGAAATGGTAAGGGACCTCAAATCACGCATCGGGTGGTATTATCGGAAAGCCCGACAAGTGCCACCTAGTATCAAAAACTTCGGACACCCCGACAATAAACATACTGCGCGAATTTATCGGCTGCGCCATCTCCGTCGGTCGAGCACGATATGAAAATGATGACGCCGATGACATGAAAAGGAGATTGGATCAACTTAAGAATATTGAGGAAGACCCGTTCAGTCATTTATTCTGTCTTGATCACCACCTTAACCAACTTCCATCCCCCAAAACCAGCCACTACAAGCTACAAGCCAGCCACCCGCACTTAGCCACCATGTATCCAAACGGACAAGCATATCTAGCAAGGCCCGATGCCCCCGAAGGCTCGACAAGGTTTCCCCAAGCTCGGCTTGCACCCATCTCCGACCATCGCACCATCTACGTATCCGGCACAGCATGTTGCCGCCCCGATGGCACTTGGCCCGGCGTCACTGAGAATTCAGACGGTACGTGGATACTGGACATTCAGCAGCAAACGGCGGCCGTTCTCGAGAATATCGACAACATCATCAAAGGCGCAACAGATGGCAAAGGCGGCATTCACAACCTGATCGATGCTGTCGTGTACATCTTGGACATGGAAAGCCAATACGCTGGCATGAATGAGGAGTGGAACAAGGTATTCAAGACTAGAGAGAGTGCACCGGCTAGAGCTACCATTGGCGTTAGGGAGCTACCTGATGCCCGAATGATTGTTGAAGTGAAGGCTGTTGCGGTTGTTGATTTCTAGAGTTTGAAAACAAACACGTATCGTATCTCGAATCACAATCTTGATATAAAGTATACAATAAATTGATGAACTCAATGGATTGCCATTACCAAGGTGACCAATTTGTCATCTGTTTGTCAAAGATAGCCTAGTAGATAAGGTGGTTTCGGGAAGAGAGGTAGTCACGTCCAATGAGATCCCCAGGAATGTGTGATACTATCTAAGTTCACCCGGCTCAGATAGGATCGTCCCGAATTAAATGCGGGGAAAGCTGGACGAAAACAAGATAAGGGCGGAAGTACCCTTAATTGAGTGAGACAACCAAAATGCCGAATGAGCAAAGATAGTCGCGAACCACTTGTCACATATTTGCAACATTTACGTTCAGTTATGCCCAAAATAGGCACGGCCTCTGGTGCGTCGACAGCCCCGTCTTCCGCCCCAGGAAGGGCGCGAGCTTCATGCGCACGGTGCCACAAGCGAAAGAAGAGATGCGACAGAGTATTGCCATCATGCAAGAATTGCGTCTCGGCGCGGATGAGATGTAGTTTTGAAGACGATGATCTTCAAACAGCTTCGTACCCAATAGAGTGAGTCGGCATATGATATTGAGCAACTGCATGAGATATGTCTCCTCCAACCTCCCATCCTTGACTTCGCAGAGCCGATCACTATCTCTCCGTTGGTGTTGACTAAGCTGCTAATATGCTGAAAGGTATGTTCAGGGCCTAGAAGAAAAGCTTCGCTGCCTGAGGGCCGTGGCTGCTGAAGAGCGTAATGTGCCCCAAATTGCACAAGGCCCACAGATTTTGAGCAACAACCAACTCAATAATGACTTTGAAATGCCAGAAATTACAATCCTGGACCAGGAATACAGCCCCCAAGGCGTTTGGGGCAGCGGACTAGGAAACACAACCAGCGTTGCCGATAACGCCCAAGGTCTGATGCAAGACCCTGTGACAAACTCACAGCCCGCAGCGGACCAGACGCCAACATTTGCCCAGCAACTAACAGCGCTTTCATTAGAAGCTACTGCTGAACGGCATTTGGGATCGACTACGGGACTCTCGTTTGCAACTCTGACCCAGATCATCCTGCGTCGTTTGACGCCAGACAAGGCGGACTTTGTATTCAATAGCTATCAAGAAAATGCCACGCGAATAGATGTATTAGACCCAGGCTCTCCTTCAGACCCTACCAGTGACTCCTTCTTTCAGAGCTTGAGTTGGTCCATCTCTGCCCATCCACTACTGTTTGGGGACCTTTTCTTCGCCGACTTTGCTGCGGCTGACGCCTCCATTGACTCTATGGCCTGGCCAAACGATGAGACGCATGTGCGACAGTTGGTAAATTTCTATTTTGCTCACTCTCACACCCTATACCCCATCCTTAAGCGGTCTGAGGTCATGGACCTCTTTGAAAGGATCCATCAGAATCCCGAGAACTTGGCCACGCAAGCTCCCCTCGACGCCTTCAGAATATGGATGGTCCTGGCCATCGGATCCACCGCTTATTCTTCCGTCACTCTCACTGAGGAATCGGAATCAATGCTGTTCTACAACAAGGCCCTGCAGTATTCAGAGCACGCCTTAGCAAGCGACGAGATGGTAAGAAAGCTGCCTAAAGCCTGATCGCTGACAAGACAAGATCGCGACTGACAAATGCCTAGACTACCTTGGAGGCCATAACGCTCCAAGTTTCTTATTCCTTTTTCAACCAACTGGGTCCTAGTGAGTGACAAGCGGTTCACTCATATTCCCAAGCACTGACGGAAGCAGACACCTGGTTTCTTGTTGGCACGGCTGCACGTCTAGCCTTGGGAATGGGGCTCCATGCGGCCTCGTCATATCGCAAGTTTCCTCTGGATGTGCAACAAAGACGCAAACGCATATTCTTTTCGATATACATGATGGATCGGTAGGCTCTACAATCTTTGTCACTCAGTCCCCATTCTCGCGCGCTGTGATTAAAAAAACTAACAGCAACTTTTAGTGTCGTTTCTATTACCTTGGGCAGACCGTTCGCACTTCATGATGACGATATCGATGTAACTGTAAGTCCGGGATTCAGGTGTATCCGCCGCCAAAGACCTTATTGAAACATATCTGATTGAGTGACAACAGCCTTTTGAGAATGCGGATGAAGAATTTATACACGCTGACTGTATAAGCCCCCAAAGTTCTCTCCAACCATCGCTGATGGCCGTTCCACTACACATTCTGTCACTGCGGAAGATAGCAGGCAAAATTTCACGACAAGTCTATGGAAACATCAAGGACGCATATTTGACGCAACAGGAGCGCGAAGCAGTTATTACTTCGTTACATCAAGAGCTTCTCGACTGGCGTCGGAGCATGCCCTTCCCGCTCCCCGACGTAAACGACAACGTGCCACATCTCAACACAACTTGGTATGACTTCAACTACTATACACACCTCGCAATGATATATAGACCATCACCGCTTTGCCCTGTTCTAGACATAAAGCGGATAAAAGAGTTGGAGATGGCAGCTTCAATGTCGCTCCGCCAAGCTTTTAGCATGCACCAGCAACAACGATTTGCATACAATTGGTTGAATTTTCTCGCTCTCTTCACGGCGACTTTGTCATTGGTCTATGCAACAACGGCTCAATCAGATAATCTACGTCATGTTTTGAGAAACACGCGAGCTATCGCTGATCTTGATCTTGCAACGCAGCTTTTCGAAACCCTCGGACTCAAGTTCTCGGCGGCTAAGAAGATTCAGGTCATGATTACCGAGATATCCCGGCGATATAAGGAGGTTCGCGCCCTGGAGGCTGTGGAGTCCCATTTGGCTTTAATATGATGAACTGGGAGGCCTACTATCTACTCGAAGAGACAGTAGTGTCACTTGATTATTGTCTGTAGATCAACTCAAGAAGGAGGGCATTTATGTTTCCCTGTAAATATTGTTCGCACAGAATATTATCATACGAGCTTCGTTCGCACAGGAACATCCTCCCATCCACGAGCGGAGTGCATGTATTATCTGATAAAACCAGTTATCATATTAATCTCGAGCTCCGGGCTCTCTCCAAAATACAGGCGTATATAAAGACTTCTAGATATCTCTATGTAGTATAGCCCCTCTGACGAAGGCAGGGCTATGGTATATACAAAGTAGCTCTCAGCCCTCATCTAAATTTTAGCAGGGTTATGATCAAGGTTATATTCCTTGACCAACTTCTCAGCACAAGTTGCACCCGTGACATATGCAACGGCCTGAACATGCGCATTGACCAACACCGGCACAACCGCCATATCAGCGATGCGCAGATTGTCAATGCCAGCCACCTTGAAGTCCGGATCCACAACGGCATCCGCATCGCCCTTCTTACCCATCTTCGCGGTACCGGTCATATGCCAGCTCGACGAGATGTTCTCGCGCCAGTACTGGAGCAGATCCTCGTCGGAATCGCTCTTGGGCATAGCCAGCGGGGCGACGTGATCCTTCGTGTAGGACTCGTGCTTGGCGATGCGGAAGGAGTCGCGCAAGGCCTCGATCGCTAGTTTGCGGTCGAATGGATGAGCCAGGAATTTCGGGTTAAAGGAGAGCGGGGCATCGGGGTCGGAGGATTGCAGGGTGACTTCTCCACGGGTCTGCGCGTTGAACAGGAAGACAAGTAGGCAGGAGTAGCTCAGTGCTTCGGCAGGGAAATCTGGGATGAACCAGTGGATAGGGAAATGGGTGAGGATCTCGTAGTGGGGGACTGTCTCCTGGAGAAGGTACAACTGTTCATCTGCGGGGAGAGCCTTGAATTCTGGGGAGGAGGTGAGTTGTTCAGCAAGCTTGAACCAGCCAATGCCTAGCTCGCAGGCGAATTTTGCCCAGGGCCCTGTGCCATCTTGTTGCCATTGCTTCTGAGCGGCTTCCATGGCGGCCTTGTCGCCGTAGAAAGCTTTTCGGTCCGTGCTGCTCTCTGTGCGGGTGTTTACAATCGGCACGAAGCAATGGTCACGGAGACCCTGGCCGACGGCGGGGAGGTCGTGAACGACGGGGATTTGGTATTTCTCGAGTTGGGCAGCGGGGCCAATACCAGAGTGCATCAGGATGCGGGGATCATTCAGCGAGCCAGCGGACAAAATGACTTCCTTTGCGGCGTAGTCTGTGCAGAACTGTCAGTATCGGAGCAATCCACAAAGGGTGGGTCGTGCGTTTACATTTCTTGCCATTGGACTCCACGCCCACGGCCTTCTTCCCGTCCAGGAGGATCCGCTGCACGGACGCCGCAGTGACAATAGTCAAATTATCCAATTTCTCCTTTACCAAATCGCCGGCGGTGGAGCGCAAGCCTTTGTGAGCGGAGTTAATCAACACGGACATTCCGATCGGATTTCCCGAATTATGATCTGGGTTCAAGGGGAAGCCAGCTTCCTCAAAGATATCCAACAACTCGGTCAGGTCTCTCTCCCACTCCTTCGCAAAGCCCACATGCAACGGGCCCTTACTCCCATGATCCGTGCTCTTGGGATCCGCATACTTGGCATCCACACCGGCGGGAATTTCCCCGTGGAAGGTCTCCAGCTCCTTAAATCTGCGCTGAATATCTTCCCAGGCAAACTCCTTATCGCCGACAATTCGCGCCCATTCTTGGTAATCGTCGCGCGCGCCGACGCTGTAGACACCGAAGTTAATAGCACTGGACCCGCCCATGCATCGGCCGCGGCTGTAGTCGATTTCGCGGTTGTTGCAGTCACTTTGCGGGGTGGTTTTGAACCCCCAGTTCATGGACTGGTCTTGGAAAGTGAGCCATCTTTGACCGTCAACGCGAAGATTGCGATCTTCTTTGTAATCGCCCGCTTCTAAGAGGAGGACTTGAGGCTTGGCATTTGAATTGGCGAGACCTGCGGCCAGAGCACTACCGGACGGACCACCTGTAGGATGTTAGGTCCCAATATGGAATTTTGTGGACACTATTGTCATAGCTTTTTTGGGCGGGGTATGGAGTTTTGATGGAACCATGGTTCTAAGGTTAGAGTATAAGGGGCTAATTACTCACTTCCAACGATGATGAAGTCGAAGGTGGACATGTTGCGTAATGAGTTGGAGAGTAGACAGATGTTCTCAAAAATAGGCGCAAAGTAATTTAATTTAAGTTCAAGATTATTGGGAAGAACAAGAAGTATAAATACGAGGAATCTACGGGGAAGTCAAGTGGAATAAGCATTAGGCAATATGGCACATTGCTTAAAAGAACTCTAGCAACGTTAGTATCATGTTGACTAGACGAGGGTACGAATAATTGGCCAATAATAGAAATGACAGTGCCCGGAATTTCCCCGAGGATTTCCACCGCAATTGAAACGCCAGAACGACTCCCGTCTCGGTAGGACCGATCTACACTTTTTTGACCAATCGGGAGCCGCTCCTCTTCATGTTTTGTGGGACCTGTGGGACAGAATGGGGAGTTCTCTGGAGCCTCGTGGAGAATAAAGTTTACGGGCTGAGAAAGATCTTCGACTCCGTAATGTACAATGGTGTAACAAAAGTATTTGACCTCGAATCCTTCAGCCACGGTCAGGCCAAAGTGGATACCGAGGTACTAGAACATACGCTAGATTCAGTGTGATTGAAGTTTTGCAATATTGTACATATACACCATCATCCCGGGAAATCTTTTCCAATCGGCTATCTGAAGTCTCTCTTTACAATCCCCAGACCTGCCTATCGTTCCATATCTCTCCTGTCTTTCTATACTATTTGTTCTTTTTGTTGTTTGTTTTCTGTTGATGTTCTTTGGGGATTCGGCTTGCACACAATGGCCGGTAATGTCGAGGCATGGACTTTGTTGTCCTTGGCTCTGGCTATAATTATCTTGCGTATATCAGTACGATGCAAGCTCGTTGGACCGATGAACTTCCAACTTGATGATTATCTTATGCCACTGGCGGGAGTACGTTATCACAATTATTCTATAATCCCCATAAAAATTGTTACAGCTAACATGATCCCCTATAATAGATTTTCTTCGCACTCGAAACGGTGGCGGCATACCTTGTCGGTGCGAAATACGAGGGCCTGACCAACAGCTACATGTCAACCGAGCAGCGAGCAGCACTCGACCCCGATTCGACTGAGTGGTCTCACCGCGTTGCTGGATCAAAAATCCAGATCATTGGGTGGTCATTATACGTGGCTATTCTCTGGTTGATCAAGTTCAGCTTAGCGATCTTCTACTCTCGATTGACGTACGCTTCCACAATGATCCGAACATAATTAACCAGCATGCTAAGCATATCGCAGGACCGGCCTCCAACATCTGCCCATGCGAGTTCGAGTGGCATACGTCATCCTAGGTGTTACATATCTCGCGACGGCGTTATCGCTTCTGCTTTCATGCCAACCTTTCCATGCGTTCTGGCAGATTAACCCCAACCCCGGCAGTAAGTGAGCCCATCCCGTAGGACAGTCAGATCTAACAACCGTGCAGAAATCTGTCAACCCACCCTTTCCCCTGTCTATGTTATCCTTACCGTGACCCTCAACGTCGTCACAGATATATACCTCCTCTCAATCCCGCTCCCCCTCCTCTGGACCGTCAACATTAGCATGAAACGAAAGATCCCCCTTATGGCCCTCTTCTCCGGCGCTGCATTCGTCATTATAGCCGGAATAATTCGTGCCGCGACCATTATTAACGTACGTATCATGCAACAAGACACCCATATAAAACCACAATCTAACAAACACTCCAGTCCGGCCCCGAAGGCGCCGAAACTGGGTCCAAATGGGCCTGCCGCGAGACCTTTGTCTCGATTGTCGTCTCCAATCTACCCATCATCCAACCCATGATCCGCAAAGCCTTCCGCAAGATAGGTCTCTCACAGCTATTCAGCTCTTCAGGCAAACAGTCAGCGTCATACCCGCTCTCTGGCCGAGGTATGCAAACCTTGACGAACCGCAGTGGGCTCGAAAACAAGAAGGGCAAGACGAGCGCTGCTGCGCCAACTCACATGCAGACTTCTGCGTGGGGTAGCGACGAACACATTCTCGCCGAGACTCAGCCTTCTTCGAAGGGTATTACTGTTGTTTCGGAGACTGTCGTTGAGAGCGAATCTTGGGCTGATCCCAGTGCGCATGGTGCCGGTCAGTCAACGTCGCCGCCGAAAGAATGGGGGAATCGCTTACCGCATCGGTGAGAACTGTATATTTCAGGGAATACATACTTTTTATAATAAGTTAATTGATTGCGCTATAGATTTGATGAATATGAGGTTATATGGGTCAAGGCCTATACGGGGTTTTCAGGATGGACTTTTGTGAATATTATTTAATATTATCTGAACATATTGCCATTGGTTTCCTTTATCTGTAACTTGCGTTTAGTTATTCATTTCTTAGGTACTAAACGCAAGTACGTAGTTAGTAGTTTGAAAAACTTCCCGGGCTTTTTTTCTGTGCACCCAGATCATGTCCATTTTGGTCATTTCCATGAAGTTTATACGAGCGCTATATATTTTACTTAGCCCCTGTCATCTCCCTGTCATCGCGTGGGCAACTTTAAACAACGATCTACACGCCAAGGTTAAAGGGTGGACACGACCTCCACAGGGGGTGTCTAGCTGCTGAATTTTACTTAGCGGCGAAAACACGGCCGGTGAGCACTAGAAACGCCAAGGTAATGCTTAGGCGCTAATTTCCTTGAAATGTGGTCTTTGCGGAATACTACTCTACATACGGAGTAGTTGTTGTACTTTTGTCACCTCAATGCTCTACTGCTTGATAGTAATAGGGGTTGATACAGTAGTGACAGTAATGTAGATCGTACACTAGTTAGTTACAGTAACGCAACCCGAGCCCTAAACGGTTTTGACTGCCATTTGCATATGTAGTGCACTATCAGCAGCTACCATCTAATGATGTTCTAGAGCCCCTGAAAGTAACACGCATACTGTACATAGAAGAAACTAAAACAATTGGTCCCTATGATTTACATCTAACAATCTAATTCAACGGATAAATTATCCCTTACAGAGCATGATAAGCCCATAGTAAAAGGAATAGCGGGTACAATTTCGTAGTCTGAACAAGTCCCAAGTGCCTAAAAGCGCGTCCTCTTGCTTAGTATAGTGTAAGCAGGCTTCTAACTAACTCAGCTATATTCATTCTGCTAGCATTGTAATTTCCAGGGGCATTCTGATTGTTTTTTTCTTGAAAGTACTCCCTCTTCCGCTTTGACTCCGGGAAGTGAACCAAATGGTCCCCAATGTACATAACCCTCGTGCTTCGAGCGATAGTTACGCCACTCAAGCCACTCAAGTCTCCCTAGGTGCCGTTACCCAGATTTTTAGGTTCAGGGTCGCTGAGATCTTTGAGTTACGAGACTTTCGCTCAATGGTGGACCCTGGCTGAATGAATATGTTGACGCCGAGTCCAATCATAGTTATAATCTGATCAGCCACGTAGAAGACTGCATTTAGATATACAATAGTTTACTCCGTACATGTATAGGGTGTCAAAATTTTGAGGATATTTGAGACATCTTCATACATGCACTAGCAGTTTGCTAGTTATCGGCATGGACGTTTCGAAATTACCCTCAACTCTACTATACATCTCTCTAGTGAGATACCAACCCCGCAACCATCTAATAATGATCAATACAAAACATGTTATAGATCCTATCGCCGTTTTATTATGATGTATTCGGATTTCTCGGGTCGAATTCACCAAGCTGAACGATGTTGCCAGAATTGATTCTCATATAACTTCTGCCTTATACCTCAGGCAGTTAATGGAGTTACGCCAAGACCCACGGAATGGCGCTGACATAATTCACATGATGCCCCCATCGGATCGCATCAATTTGAACAATCGCCGGTGAACTCGCTGCTATCTTGTCTTCCTCGAGGTCAAAGGTCAACGCTAACTCAGGAAGTTCCATTCCACTCTCCTCCAAAAACATTCGATATCTCCCTCTATAATGGCCTCCGACGCCACTTCGGCCTCGGCCGCCGAGCTCTACGACTCTACCATGACAGTCCCTTCCGATTCAGAGAACTACTCCGCAAATCATGAAACATCCTCCTCGGCGCCATCAACTGCAAGCTCGCCCATGATCCTGTACAAGCCCCCAAGCATCTGGGGTCTTGTACGTGGAGCGGCCATCAACCTCTTCCTCCCTTTTGTCAACGGTCTTATGCTAGGCTTTGGCGAGTTATTCGCGCACGAGGCTGCCTTCCGACTAGGGTGGTCTAATACCAAGGTATGCGGCAATCTTTAACAAAGCAATATCGATTATGGTAACTGACTACTGGTCTGTTTAGATCTTCCCCAACTACCGCCGGTCACACCCAGTGGGCCCAGGTGTTGAGATGCGAGAACTTCCCTCGGAGCGCAGTCGGAGTGGATTGAGAGACACAACTTCTTTGGAATAAATGTTCGAAGCTTTGTCTGACTCGTTTTAAAAAATGACTGCATCTACGCGGGACATACCGAAGCATGTGTGTTTTGGGGTCGATACCTGGCTTTTGTGCACCCCTTTAGTGATTGTACATAGACCCGTTAAATCGGGGGCGTTTGGCGAATTAGGAAATGCATTTTGCAAGCCATTTTTGTTTATGACAATATTAAACATTCGATTCTTTGAATCCCCGTACTTTTCGAGGACGTACCTGATCCCGTAGCCGTGATCCGGGGTGTTTACCGTCACTCCGCCCTGGCAAAAAAAAAGCCGCGCCGAAAGGCAGGAGATGGCTCTTCCCGCACCGATCGTCTCGTCACTCGTTATAATCTCATTCGCAATGATGGGATCTGTAGGCCTGAAAGGGCCTGGTGCAGCCGCTGCGATTGCTCGTCAGCGGATGACTGCCATGTCCCGTTCTTCTCGATCCGTTCGTTCTCCTGGCGACACACCACATTTGGAGAAAACATTGAAATTAACAACCTCTCCAGATTTCCACCGTCCGCTCTCAAACCCTGCGCCTTCCTGGCCAACGGGGTCAATTGAAGTCCGTACTGTCCGGAAATGCATCATGGCGCATGGCACCAGCCGTTGTCGGTCCGGCTGCAATCCGATTTAACTCCACCTCCTCTGGCCCAACACCCGCCGAAATCATCCCCGATCGCCTTCCAGCCGATCAATTGACTGATGTACCAAATGTCTACGATATTACTACTATCCCAGAGCGTATCGGATATTTGCACGACCTTGGTCTGGACTACGGCTGGGGCCCGGCGGCGATAATGCAGTATGTGATTGAGCACGTCCACATTTGGAGTGGCATGCCATGGTGGGCCAGTATCGTGGCTGTCGGTGTTATGAGTCGTGCGGTACTGTTCAAGGCAGTCATGAACGCCTCTGAGAATGCCGCCAGGATGAACAACATTAAAGACAAGGTCGACCCGCTCCGGAAAAGAATGATCGAGCTTGGACGTGAGGGCAATCAGCAAGAGACGCAGGTCGTCAGAGCCCAACTGGCGGAAATTAACAAGCAGCACGGTATCACTATGTGGAGATCGTTGATTCCTATGTTGCAAATGCCAATTGGTTTCGGAATGTTCCGAGTCGTGCGAGGTATGACCTCTTTGCCAGTGCCGGCCCTGGCAACTGAAACGGTGGCTTGGCTCAACGACCTCACTATCGCCGATCCGACTTACACCTTGCCAATCATCGCTTCCGTGGCCCTGGGTTTGACCCTCAAAGTGAGTTGGCGCTAAAGCTATATGACCACATCACTGACTCAAGATAACAGAGAGGAGGCGAGACTGGCGCAATGCCCATGATGGAGTCCTCTGCTGGAAAGGCCATCATGTATGGTCTTCCTGCCATTTCCTTCACCTTTATGGCCTTCATGCCTAGTGCCCTCCAGCTTTACTTTGTGGCAACAGGTATTTTCGGTCTGGGTCAAACATATGTGATCAACTCAACCTCGTTCCGTAATTTGACCGGCATGACGAATTTCAAAAAGACTGGGGCCACCAAGCTGGAAATCAACTCGGACATCCGTAGCAAGGGTCTCCGTGCTGCGTTGCTGCGGGTCGAGGAAGAGAAGGCTGCGCAGCGGAAAGCACGCGAGCAAATCTCTCAGCAGCCCCTGGAGGGTGGCGCCGCGAAGATCAGCTGGATCGACAGCGTCATGAACAAGGGCAAGGATCTCGGCAAAAATGTGTCTAAGGAGATTTCCGAGAAGTTCGGGACCTCAACCCTCGAGGAACGCCAGCTCAAGGAGCAAAAGAAGCGTGCAGGTGAATACGAAGGTGAACGCAAACTCGAAGATGATGCCAAGCGGGCTGAGCGCAACGAGATCCGCCGAAAGGAGCATTTGAAAATTCTCGAGAAGGAGAGAAACAAGGCCAGCCAGTCTTTGAAGAAGGATAATCGTCAGCGTGGCCCTCGACGGGGTTGATTGATGTGTGTTTATAATGTAAAATATGGCGCTGTGGCATTTGCATTTTTGTGATTTGAACGTTAGAATTTAGCTCCACTACAATCTTCCTCTGGCCATGTATACTACTTGTCAAATTGGTCAAATTGAAGCTTGGTATCAACTCATCCTTCCGTTGCATTGACCCAAGATTTGAAACTCAAAACCCAATCTGACGAGAAGGAATCCCAACTATTTACACCAGTGGGCATATGCTAGCCATGCCAAAACATTTCCGAGTTTTAATATGTAAGCAATATGACATCAAGCTGTCTGCATCGGAACCGATGTCGCAGGCAATGGCAACGGCGTCTTCTCGTCCTCAACAAATACAGCCCGCTCCAACTTCTGCGTCAAAGAAGCGCAGAATGTATCGACATAGGCCGTCCACAGTGCAGCAAGGAAATAGACTAGCCCAATCCATATAGGAATACTGATCGCAACAACCCAGGGCGGTCGGAGCGGCAGCCAGTCATCGCGCTGGTCGTCAGTCAGGGCTTCGGGGCCTTTCCATGGCTGTCCACTGATTCCATATAGCATCCAACAGAGCACAACACGGAGCATCGTGCCATGGATGAGGTAGACAGCGAAACTTTGCTTTCCCAGCCACAGGAGAAGTCGATTGGATAGGAAGTCCTTTGTCGAAGGGGAAAAGAAGATGGCGAGAATGATGAGATCAATTGCGAGCGCAGTGTAGCGTTTGCCAATATTCACCTCGGGTGGGAAGATGTATTTGCCTATTTCGAACATCGAGTTGGACCAGCCGGCCCATTCGGGGTGCTCGCCCGGATATGAGGCGATCAATAGACCGACAATAGTCAGTGGGATTGTAAGCATCTTCCGGCCCCTAGGGTGATTTTCAATCCACTCTTTCAAGGCTGTATTGTAGGACAAATCACTCAGGAGCATGCCGTATATAGCTTGTAGTTGAAACGTTTCTGCATGGGATTAGCGATTTCTCATTCTGCCTTATGCCCAAACATCTAACCACGGGCATGAAGCTTTCTACCGGGAATGACCAACCTGTATTTTTTGCCGCATCTTGGTGAAAATAGAGCATCATGCCAATATAGACCAATACTCTATACCTAAACTTGACGAACATGGTTGCAGAAAGAGTAATGTAAACCAACATTGACGCCAAAAGCAGTGGCAAAAGTGCCCACTGGTGATCATCATAAGCCATGTATCCCGTCGTCCAAGTCGACAAGAAATTCATCGGCAAACGAATGAGTTCTTTCCAAAAGGAGTCCTCGAGATCAGGCGCCGCATATCGACACCACCAACAATCCGATCTATTAGCCACGATGAAACCACCGAATTGCGCAACAACCCAAGATATAACGAGAGCAATAGTCGCCGGGAAGACGAGTCGAGGAGGCCGACGGAACGCGCTTTTTGCTATAGTTACAAACGCACCCGCTGTATCACCTGCTCGCGATTGCTTGAGTGGTTTGAGCGCGCAGACATAGCCGGTGAGGAAGGCAAAGATGGTCACTCCAATGCGGCCTTGCCAGGGAATGCGAAGAATTGGCCATTGGAGGATTCGTGGTGTTGCGTTCTCGTTGTCGCGTGGTGAGAATAAATCGTAGTCCCACGCTCGCGCGAGATGGGTTAGTACGACCAGGAATGAAGCAATACCTCGGAGGCCCTATATTCGATTATTGGCGGTCAGCTTTAGTGATGCTGGTATTGACTGATTAATCTAACGTACATCAATCCATTTGACGCTTTTCTTGGGGTCTCCTTTGACTGATGGATTGCCGGAAGACCAAGGTAGGGCTGTGGGTATTGTGTCTATCAAACGAGTGTATAAATGCGAGTGCTGGAGGGATTGCATTATATAGAAAAACAGACGAGAAGCCAAAAAGGAAATAGATTTTAATGAGGACCGGGACTATGGGATAGACACGAAATCGAGTATCGAATTGCCCGCTCTGCCCACAAATGAAGGTATAAATGAATGACTGTGAATAGATGAAGGACTGTGAATAAATGAGAGACTGTGAATAAATGAAGGACTGTGAATGAGTGAACGACAAAGACACACAACACAGAGAACCAGCCCGGACCCTCGGCGATCGCATCAAGAAGAAGCCTGCCAAGAAAGAAGGGGTTCGGAGTTGAGTCCTTGACGCGGCCTTGATGCACAAAGGAAGTGCCAGGCTCCTGTTTCTGTATCGAATCGAATAACCCCAATCCCACCACGCTGTTGACCAAGAAATTTGTCAGTCGTAGGGTCCTGGGCCCACATTACAGAGAGATCTGTATGTGGTGATGGCTCATTATGCCAATTGTGAAAACGCCACCGGGACGGCAACCCTTGCAGTATTGCGTTTGGGCTTTCTGCAGGGTCGATCGAATGATCTCCCTCATTCCTATTCCTGGATGGTGGCTTGTGGCTGGAGATTAATTAGAACATTGCATTTATTGATTCGTCTTTGGCTTAATCAGACACATGATTAGATATATTTTTATGATTAAACCTTCTTGGTTGATTAGCCCTAATTATGATATAATTGTCAGTGTCCAACCCAGACAGTAAGATGAATGTTTGAAAGCTCACCAAACCCCCGAATAGCGCCACTTAGGAGAGCATTGGCGTGCCTCCGAGGCATGGGGTCTGTTGCACCACATTCGACCAGGGTTAAATCACAATCACGCCAATTCGCTCCAATGCGAGGACACACCTGTCTCCTTTAACATAGGTCTCTCGGGACAAGCAAGCTGGGGATAACAGGCGGGTACGTGCAATACACAGGGAGTTTGGAGGTAAATGACGCGCTGGCGCATTCTTCCCCGCCAATGGAACGAGTAGATGCGCCATTGCCAAGATCAGGTGCCTGCCTCCTGGCTACATGAATCAGATCCAATGGAATGTGCGATCGAATAGGAAGGTCTGAAATTGTCATTGGAAATCCATCTTTGATACAAGGATTGTGAGGTCGCAGGAAAATCGATGGGGTATCTCAAGTACCTGCGAAGGATCGATTTATATCCCAAATAATCATGATATTGAACAGAAACAGACCCAGTCTGTTATAGCAAGTCCCCCAGAAGTCCCAAATCGCCGATCTTAATTATTAAACATGAAAAGTAGAAAGATACCGCGCGCCAATATGCAATGAGTAATGTCCTTGGATTTTACCGGAACAGTCTTCGCCCGCCTGCACTTCCCGAGTTCCAGGTGTATGAGCCTCGAACTCCCATGTTCTCCAAACTCAATCCCGAGTAGCCGACTCCACCACCTTCGCCATTACGCTTCGTGCGTCGGACTGCCTCGCGTAGATGTGAGGGCAGAAGTTGGCCACGGTGTGGGTTAGGTGGAGGACGGAACTCGCGTTTTGGGCGGAGAGGAGTTGAAGTTGGCGTTGGGGTGTTATGAGGGGGAAAAGAGGAAGCGAGCGTGCGATCAGAATCATGGGACTCTTTCTTTACCCCGTTGCCGAGGGAGCCTGGCCCCGAATTAGGAACTGGGGTGCCGGGGTTTGGAGTAGAGTGTTTTGAATTTGCAGCGAGACCTAGAGCTTTTGCTTGCGCGGCGGCTTCGGCTGCGGCTTCTTCGGCCTCGAACGCGTCGCGTGCAGCGAGGTCATGTGCCTCGGCCCACTGAGTCTGGACTGTCCGGGCCATTTCAATCATTTCACCAGCAAAAACCTTGGTGAAACCATTTACTGTTGTCACCACGCTGGCTGGGACAGATTGTGAGAGGGCATGGTTGACAATACGGCGAAGCGTCTCTTTGCGCAGCTTCGCTCGCTTGAAAAGGTCATATCTCTCCGATTGCATTGGGTTGAAAGCATCAACCAGGATTCTGTTCAGAAACGTAAGCCTCGTCGATAGGTCAATAGCAAAGGACAAACAACGTACGCTAGATTCTTTTTCTCGGCCTCCGTATCCGTAGCTCCTTCCTGCTGCCCGAACAGCTCAGCCTCATCGTCCTCATCATCATAATCCGCATCGTCTCCGCCTCCACCACCTCCTCCGCCGCCAGAAGGACCGCCTCTCACGGAGCCCTCATTATCGACCGACCCGAATCGTGTCGAGTCCCCAGCTCTGGCGCTGAGAGTATCCTGTTCACGTTCAATCGCTTTCTCTGCCTTGCTTTTGCGTCCGCGCTTTTTGCCTCGTGCAGCAGAAAAGACTCCATCCGCGCTTGCTCCGCCAAGACTACCTGTGTAACTGCCAGTTACGCTTCCAGCATCACTGGTCCCACCGAAACTCCGCTCAGGGTCAATGCCGGTTGGAAATGAAGTCTGGCGAAGTGGGTGCATGCGCTGCTTCTTGCCAAGTGGTTGTGAGGTAGTGGAAGAGATAGAAGGTCGTTTGAGGGGGTTGGACGATGATTGGTATGGTGGAGGTGACGACATTTTGAATGATTGTGGTGGGTAAATGAGGCGAAAAATTGCGCTGTCGATATTGAATGCAACCTGAACGAGAGCGTGCGCTGTGAGGAACAAAGTCTATCTGAGGTCTTGGGCGCAAGTTGAAACTGAGATTCGTTCGCGCCGCGCCGATGCGCCTGCAGAAGGTGGTGATTGACCCCGAACTCGAAGGTTTGATAATTTCGAGGACCTAAGAGCTCTCCTTTTAGGGATAACCGAGGATACAAATTGACAATAGGGGATGAATGAAAGTATGGCGCTGTGATAGACAAGTTTAGATGAGACGCGAGATTAGAACGCATCTCACCGCCTTCTTATTCAATAAATGTCAAACGTAGCCCTACAATGACGTTGACAAAATTGAAATGAATTGGAGTATTTACCCTCGCAGGATTGTAATGCTAAACTGAAGGGCAGAAAATCGGATAATAGATTAAAATATACTGGACACTCGATTGAAATCAGTTAAATTCAACCAAATGAGTGATAAAATAACAAAATAATTCCATATTTGACAAGAATGAAAACTCAAAATACGTATTGTTCGATTTGCAGCGAAGGCCATTATTCTGAAACAAAAGAAGAATGAGTCGCTCAGCGTGATCATGCAATGCTGTGCACTATGTAGAGATAAAAGATTGACAGTGCAAATGAAAAACGACAAAGTATCGAAACTGAATGATACTGCAAGCTTGACAAAACCTAAACGGGTAGAAAGGTCGCAGCCACGAGAGAAAGAAATTTGCAGACGACTCAAAGAATGAGTCACTTTAGAACTTCTCTCCGAGTCGGGGTGCCCCCCCTTTCCAGTCATTGCGTTCATAGTAGCGGAACACAAGATCATAACCGTTCAGTTCGTGGACAATACGGTCGACGCGGCGGTAACCTTCGACGTGCTCCATCTTGTTGCTGCGGCGGGAAGCCTGGCGCTGAGCGTGGACCTGGTCATGCGCGCCAGTGGCCTCCTCGACCTCATCAAGGGCGGGCTTGGTCTCAAACAGGGTGATGCTGAAACGGCCAGGCTTGAAGATCTCAACAACCTGCTTGATGATATCGGCGGTAGCCTTGCCACTCTGGGAGTGCGGGACGTTGGTCTCGAAAGACGCGTACGAGCACTGAGGCTCCGGAGTAACGTGCACAGTGAAATAGTGGATTGGACCCTTGTCATCAGGAGCTGGCACAACGCCGTTGGCGGAGAAGCCACAAGGCGTGAACAAGTAGGCATCAATGCGAGCGTCGGGGAACTTGCTCTTGGGATACACGTCGGACAAGCCGCATGCCTCGGAGACGATAGTTCCTAGGGCATGGCCCTCGGTGGTCAGCTCGGGCGGCAGAATGCCACCGGTCTCCTCATCCATGTCGGAGGTGTTGCTGAAGACATCCAAGTGGTCATTGCCATCATCCTTCTCGCGGTGACGCTTCTCGGCCACAACAGTGGCGTTCTCTAGGTAGAACTGTTTCGCGTTTTCCTCATCGAGGTCGGTCATCAGAACTTCGAGAGTCTCGTCATGCTCATTGCAGTCGGTGCGCGGGGTAGCACCAGGGTAGCTGAGGACCTTGGTCTCGGTCTCTTGGAAGGTGACTTCCTCCTTGGGACTGGCCGGTGGAGTAAGCATAGTGCCAGGCTCAGTGAGGTACAGGTACCAATGCTCTCCGTTCATTTTGCCGATCATGTAGGCGCTGCCGTTGACGAACAACTTGTCCATGGAGCGCACCTCGTCGCGCCAGCTGCGGTGAGGGCCACGCTGACGATCAGGGAACAGGTAGTTCTTGCGGCTGTAGAAGACTCGGTAAGGGGCCGCAGCCACGGTGATACCCCGAGATGGAGGAGCCGTCGCGCGAGGGAACCCGGCGAACAAGGCAGCGATCTCCAAAATGCGGGGAAGACCGGACAGCAGAGTGGTGGTTCCGCATGTCTTCAGAATCAGCTTGTGTGGCCAAACGAACATGCTGGACTCTGACAGAAGGTACGCATCCATCTCCTCAGAAGAGATGACAGAGAGCACCTGGCAGTTGACGAGGTCCAGCATGTCCTTCCAAATTTCTCCGGGGACTTTCTTGAGACCCTCCGGACCGGCGGCGCCTAGTTCGGCAGCAGATGGCGCAAACCAAACCTCGAGAAGCTTCTCGGGACCCTCGAAGGCATTGGTCGAGTCGAGATCCTGAGTGGCCTCATAGTTGATCGTCAGAGACGGTGTCCCCGCGAAGGAGGATGGCGAGGCGGTGTAGTTCTGTGGAATACCGACGTAAACCATGATGAATGATGTAGCTTAAGCTGTTGTACTTGTGTGTGTTGGACGAAGCAGAAACAGTGACGTCGGACCGCCCTATGGACTTCGAAGAAGAATGCTGTAGAAGCACTGTCTACTTACCCAGACGAACAAGGGGGCGATGCCCGTCTGAGAAGAGAAGGCCCTTAAACAAAAGTGTAACTGGTCAGACCAGGTAGATGAAACTCCAAACAGACCAAAGGGCTGCTAGGGAGGGCGGAAAGCGAAGGCGAGGAAGAAGATGCTCGGAGAAATTGTGACTTGCAGTCGGTACCCTCGTCCTGGAAGATACCGATACTGGTCAAAGTATCGGGTCTAGCAGACGAGAATGCTGCTTTTGGAAAAAAAAATGTATTGGAAAAACGTTAATGTTGGTGACAACGGGAGTCACGTTATCGAGGCCTAGGGACAGTATGTGGATTAGTGACAGTGTTCAGATAATGGAGAAACACAACTGTTGAGAAGTGAGGCGGGCAATGTTTTTTTTTGATACACAAAAAAAAGCATTGACCATATAGGCTGATCCAAGAATAGAACCTCAAATGAGGTACCTGGTTGTGATTGCGCCGGAAGGCTGGAAAAAAAGCAACGACAAAAAAATTAAGTCATACTCACTTCGCGGGCTTAGACAAGAATCGCAGAAGGTCGCTTGGGCTCATGAAAGGCGAAAACAAAATTTCGACTTAAATTGGCACGAGGTAGCGTGAGGCCACAATCGTGTACATCGGCGGGTTTAAGGAGTAGACGAATCTTACCCAGAAGCCCAATGTGTGCCCGAGATCGAGGATTGTTCGGGGCTAGCTGAGAGAAGAAGAAAAAAATCCCTCGCTAAATTTTCCAGTCGATGCGGAAGTGTTAAGGGTCTTGGAGGGATGAGGGGGAAAAGTTTGCTCTGTGTGGGCCCGCGATAGGGTGGGGCAGAAATTGTGTATGACAGAGTATGTAGCCCTGGAGGTGTACGGAGTCAGATAGACTGTATCTGTTTTACACACCGAATTGTTGAGTGGGATTGAAGTTGAAAGGGCTGTAGTCTGTATGCAGGCCGTCTTATAACGATATCCTTGGATGACTTGGAAGAACAGTCGTCGAAAAGAAAATCTTGGAACCTTGGAAAAACCTTGGAAGCGCTTGAGTAATACGTAAGGCGGTGGGGAAATACCGCGGGGATACTGCTACCACTACTGCTACCACTACTCCGTACTATAGACCTAGGTACGTAGTTGCAGCATTTTAATCAATGGATATATTGAGATATTAATACCATATCTGAACCATAGCATGCCCCCAAACCAACGCCCAACATAACGCCGTGCCGCATGAACATGTAGAAAACGCGGCCATTAAGCCTCCAGAATGATATGAGCCAGTTGCACCTCACCAGCTTCCACAATTTTTGCTGCAAAGAGATCGCCAATCTTGTCGGCCAGTCTTGAGCGCACATCATCTGTTACTGTGTGGCCATTGGTCAAGGCCTGTTTACCACGAAGCGATGCCAGAACAGACAGAAGTGCAGTCAGTACTCGCTCGGCGGCAGGTCGACGAGCGGCATCATCTAAGCCGTCGCTAAGCAGCTTGGAGTAATCGTTCAGGTTGGGGACGACTAGGACTCGGATCACATCAGGGCCTCCGACAGATTGCAGTCCAATCACGGCACCATAATGGGCACCGAATGGCTTGGACGGATCAAGGAAAGTCTTGAGACAGGATCGCACAAGTCGGGGCTTGAGCATGTGGGATGAGTGGGAGTATTTTTGGGCGATAAGGCTGAGGAGAGAAGCAGCCATATCACGCAGGGCAAATTGTTCCATGAGATCGTTATTTCCACCGAGGTGTCGACCGATGAGACAGGTAAGGATGGAGGGGACAAGGGATGCAATCTAGTGCGGTTAGCTTCTGGGTGGTAAAATGCCAAAAGAATCAACTCACGTATGGATCGACGTAGAGAGACTGGTTCTGGACCAAAGCCTCGGCCATGTGCATGACTTGGGTGAGGACAAAGACATTCTTGAGACTGTGGGTGACCTTCTCCGCGATGAATTGCACAAAGTATGGCACAAGCTGGTGCAGGCCTGGATCCTCCCGGAGACTGGAATACCCGGAGGTGCGATATTCTTCGCTGGTCTCATCCAGGAATGCGCTGCAGACCTTCTCGAAGTAAAGCTGGAGTTCACGGGAAAGCACGTGCTTAACCAGCGGCTTCACAGCAACATCACCCGAGCCACTCATAGCGGCCAGTGTCGAGTTGGCATTAGGGCCCTTGGATACGAGTTCAAGATTGCGAGAGTCGGCGGCGGTGGGGTTTTGGGGAATCGACGGCTGCACGCCTTCTACTGCCAACCAATGGGCTATAATAGAAATTAGTGACTGCCCATCAAATCTCATACCCAAGCACGATCAACATACCAGTGAAGGAGACTTCACGAGGAACCTTTGGCAGAGGCGCATTGATCAACTTCTCGAAATCAACCTCCTCGTCTTCAACGTAGAAGAGCGGTTGACCAGGTCCAAGAGAGGCCTCGCCGAACTTCAATGGACGGGTTGAATCGTAACCATAGAGAGGCTCGACGTCCAGGTTTCGCAAGGCCAGCGCGATATCCTGGGTGGTAAGAACTGTGCGCTTTCCGTGACGCATGGACTTGAGCGCTTCCTCGAGTACCTGCGCAACTCGGTATTCAACGTCTCGGGCTAGGTTTTCGGTGACATCGTGGTTGAGATTGAGGATGCCGACAGACTCCGCGACATCGCGGATGTTATCAGGGTTCCAGACAGACATGGTGCAGTGGCGCAGCTAAGCTGAAACTGAGAGAGAGGTGAGGGTGTCGCAAAGCGGTGCCGTTAATGATGGGGAGGATGGGGATTTTAAAAGGCTAGTTGCATTCTGAGGCAACCGCCAGCGGATCCGCAGAGTCAATGAGGCACGCGATAGCCTCCTTGACGAAATATGGGGTTGAAAGATGAACAACGTGACGCGGTCAATTCATGAATAAGATGGCCCAGAGGGAGAAAGCTTGTCGATAAGAATTGCGCCAATGGTACTAAAAGTCACCCGTACAAGCTGGCCCTATGCCTCCATCAGTTGAATAGTTGAACTGATTGACAGAAAAAATTTCAGATCTCTTTACAATTGCTTTCGTGAGGCTGACAGTGAATAGCTCAAGAATTAACATGAGCACAACGCAAAAGGCAGGGCAATATAACAATTGATGAGGCACAAAAGCCGAATAACGACAAGAATAATTAGGTATGGCTAATGATATCAGGCTAACAATAATACAGTGTCTCTCAGAGGCACACCAATGACTAGAAATCAGGTAAATAAGAGCGGGGAGTGCTATTCACTTGCTCCTCCGGGTATCAAAACAGACAGTACCAGCCAGTTATAGCTTTACTGGGCTGCGTCCTTCACAGGCTCTTCCTTGACAGATTCAGCATTGGTAGTCACCTCCTGAACGGGCTCTTTCGCAGCCTCCTCCTTCGAGGCCACTTCTTCCTTGGGAGCTTCATGCTCAGCAGATTTGGCCACTTCCTTTTTGACCTCGGACTCCTCAGTCAAAGGAACAATTCTGGCATTTTCCTTCAACTCGGGGCCCTTGCCACCATAAACCTTTGGAATTTGCTCCGCAATCGAGGGAGAGAACTCCCGTGCCAGATTGGCACCGTTGGTGATTGGGTGGAACTTGCGGGTGGTGTTGCGGCTCAGGAACAGCTTCATGGCCGTGAACATCCAGCCCATGATAGCAGGAACGTTGACGAAGAACTTCTCGCGCAGTAGCTCCGGGTATGCGGTAGCGAACACATCAATGACCTTCTTCGTGGCGGTGCGAACAGAGGGATCCATACGAAGGAATTTAACGTTCAAGTAGTCGTGCACCTGGAACATCTGGTAGGGGTCCTCGCCGTCGTACTCAATGACCTCCGTGGCATCCTTCATCTTCAGGTCTTGCACGGCGAGCTCCATGAGAGCGGCGCGCCATTGGAGAAATCTGCAGACAGCACGGTTAGGTTAAAAATTCTTGCGACTGTGGGTTGGTCCTCCACTCACTCGTCCGAGTTCGCGAATGTCGCATTGGCATCCTTCACAGCTCCGTAGATGTTCCAAGTAAACACCAACGGCCGTCCGTTCTCCTCGTAGGTCGTCAAGTATCCCAGGCCGCCATACTTGGTCGCACTGTACTTGCCCGACTCGGCCAATGCCAGCGGGTTCACATCCTTGCGCCACTTGAGAGCTTTGCTGAGCTGGTCCTCGGCGGCCTTGGCGTTGCCTTCGTTTGCGCGCAGGAATTTGATCAACACGTTAACGGTGGGAACATCATTGCTGTCCTTGAGATGCACTCCCCACATCTCGTCATGTCCAATGGTGCTGAGGATGGTTGGGAGGCGGTCGAACAATTCGCCCAGCGCGGGGGTCTTGGTCAGGTATGCGGGCTTCTCGACCTTGGGTTCCTCGGGCTTTGCGACCTCAGGCTCCGTAGTAGCGGCGGCAACCGCAGTTTCCTTGGCTGGCTTATCATCTTTCAATGGGATAGTATCTTTCACTGGGATAGTGGGCTCTTCTTTGGCTGCAGTTGGATCGGTACTTTCGGCAGCAGGCACGGGAGATTCCGCAGGCTTGTCGACTACTTCCGTAGGTCCCTCGCGCTTCTCAGGCACAACTGGTGCAGTCTGATCAATTGGATTGTCTGACATGTTTGGATGTGAAGACTTGTTCAAGTGAAGAGAGGAATAGGGGGAATTTAAATTCACAGGGGTAGTTGCCTTGTCAATAATCAACGGCCCACTTATCAATGTCCCTAGCTATTTTATTGTTTCACGATCGAACACATCACATATTTACTTAGGTATCATTTAGATTTTTTTTAATTTACAATTTGACCTTTACTACGGAGTAACTTCTCTTCATTTGGAGGTTGTTTCATGTTCGAGGAATTGGGTCAATCACTGTCTTAATATTAATATAGTGCCTAGTTAATAACAATGACAAAAGTAGTGCAAGTTTCGCATTTCAATCTGTTCCACATAATATTAGTGGTCCTCTCGCAATTTCAAAGATAGTTAGCCTTGTTGATAGCTCATATCAATCTTCATAATTTTCGTCAGGATATAACCAAGTCACTTTGACGCTAGTCCAGCATTAAAATAGGTTAGTTAGTAAACAAATGTACTCGGTAGCCCTGGAGACGTTGTACTACTGTTATTCTGGTCTATATACTCCGTAAGCTCTGTGGATCTGACAGTTAACCCCCGCTTTGTCCTACAGATTTAACTGCGGATATTTCCAAGCCTATCTCAACGTATTTCACTTGACGATCTATACTTCTTGTGGCAAAGTAAATGATTGTGTTCAATCCGCGTACGATATTGTGATTTTAGAATGGCCTAGCCAGTGATTGGCTAATAGAGAGCATTCAGCTGCCACTCGTTCCTTTGACAGAAACAGCTAGATCCGCTGCGTACCATGCAAGCCGGGAACGGGCTTTGCGTCGATCAATAGTATGGGAAAGAAAGCATAAGTAACACGAGCGTTTACCTGAATTTGGCGGGCAAATATAGGTTCCCTCCCCCAGACATTGTGGTATACTTGTGCCATTACTTCTGCGATCCTTTTTACTCAGACATAATCTTTTCTTCTTTATGGAGTATAGATCGCTGATTTATAGGAACTCAATCGAACCGACCATTTCTTAATACCCAGGCCCAAAATGTTTTACTCACCCCCAAATGTCAAGAAACTATCGTCATCATCATGGTCTACATGGAGTTATGGCTGGCGTTCCTCCGATACGTTTATTCTTAGCAGCATGTCGATGGCATTGTTCACTGGTTTGTTTTACAAAGTCTTCTGGTGATGGCCTGTGAGAATTGACAATAGACATATCTTTTAGATGAAATGCTCTTCGCCTTCATGGTCCCACTCCTTCCGCACATCTTCGAAACCCGTCTAGGGCTGGATACAACCATGACCCAACGACTGACATCCGTCTTCCTAGTCGAAGGTGCTTTGATATCGATCGTTTCAAGTCCATTGATTGGGGATATAGCCGACCGAGCCAGCTCCAAAAAGGTACTACTGCTGGTGCTGCTGGTACTGACCCTGATCAGTGTGTTGTGTCTTTCAGTAACTACATCCTGTATGTGTCTATCTCACCTACATTCAGGATATAGAAAGCCTATACTGACTCTAGCAGTGACTTGGCTATTCATAGGTCGCTTTTTCCAATGTATCGTTAGCAACGCATTATATATCGTCAGCATTGCCACCATGGCAGAAAACATAGGATCGGAACACATGGGCAAAATAGCAGGGTTGAGCGCAACGATTACTGCGGCAGGAACTTGCTCTGGTCCTGTGATTGCCGGATTTCTGTTCGGTCTTGGGGGTTATTGGACAGCATGGGCTGGCGCAACTTTATTTCTTATCGTCGATATCATTATGCGTCTTCTAATGGTCGAAAAACCACAGAATCGCCGTGGGACTGGGCAAACGCATACTCGGTCTCTCTGTGTGGAAGACCATGGAGATAACGCGGAGCGAGAGCCGCTTCTGAATGGGAGCCGGTCCTCGTCGGTTGAGGAAATCGGCGGTTGGCGCTTCTACATGTGTCTTTTCCGTCAGCCTCGATTCACAGCAGGAATCATCTGTTATTTTGTGTTTGCGCTGTTTATCGCTAGCTTTGAGTCTACGCTTGCGATGCATGTCCGCCATACTTTTGGCTGGGGCGTGTTCCCAGTTGGGCTCTTGTTTGCGTCCATTCAAGGACCAGGTATGATTCTGTCGCCTTTGGTTGGGTGGTTGAAAGACCGTGTGGGATCGCGCGTGCCCACTACAATTGGGTTCATCTCCGTTGCGCCATTTTTGTGGCTCCTTGGTGTGGCAGGCGATGCACGGTTTCCTTGGGCTAGTTTGGGAACGAGAGGAAAAATAATTTATGGCATTTGCACCACCATGTTTGGGTGTTTGATGTGCTTACTGAATGGAGTTGGGACAATGGAAGCGACTGGTAGGATTTGGCGACGATCCCTGCAAGCTAAGATACTAAAGGTTATCACAGAAACGGTTGATGAACTCGAGGACCAGAGCCCGGGAATATTCGGACCCTACGGGGGTTATTCCCGTGCTGTCGCTATCACAAATATGAGCTGGATGTCTGGTCTCCTAGTTGGGCCTATTCTGGCTGGATTTATGGTGGAAAAATTTGGATATCTTGAGCTGCAGTGTGTCCTTGGTAAGCTGACACGCCAATAGTATTCACTCTGACAATACTGACAGTCACTAGTGGTTATTTCCTTGCTGGCTAGCGTTAACGCTGCATTTAACCTTAGTTTAGCTAGCCCTGCAAAGGATGATTGTGATGGTGATGTAAGAGAAGATGGTCCATGATCGTTATATATCGCGGATGCTGTGCAAATTCAAAAAGATTATGCATGCAAACCTTTGATGAACACCAACCTGCATGTGAACTCAATTACAGCAAGCCAGAGAGATTTCAAAAATCCAGACACGCAACTGACCTTGATTGGGTGCCACATATGCATCTTTTCGACCCCGGTCATTTGACTAACCAATATGATTATACATACTCCGTATGCAGCTTCGCAATCCTATCACATAGCCATGCCTGGGCCTGATTCCGAACAGGTGGCTTGGCTGGCATGGTGCCATGCATTCACACGCCACTCTTCTTAATTGGTCAGTGAAAGCCGTAGCTGTGAAATACGATGTATTTTAGAATGAGAATGTATGTGGCCTTTTGGAGCGACATCTATTAAATCAAATAGAATGCTGACTACAACCTTGTATATATGTGAGTTTAGGTTCCTTGGGTGGCAAGGCAGAGGTCGTCTATAGTCTATAGCGTTATATATACAAAAGAAAGTAATTCAAATGTATTGCATTACTTCCAGACCCTCCCCAGAACCCCCTACACACTCAAATTCCAAGATCTGCGCGGTTGTTGCTGAGCGCAAAACTCACTTTATCCCCAGAACCGAAATGTATCCAACGGAGACTCCGTAGTAGATCCTTTCCACGCATGCCCAGGCGAATAGTCAAGGGTCGACGTACGAAAGCTTTGTCTGAAACCCAATATGAGTTGATTTTATTCTTCACAGAATCTCTGATACAGTGAGCTTCAAACTATATCGATTTGTCAGAGTTATATCTATGACAAATTGCTCAATCAGTCGTGGCTGGATATCAATATCGGCATTGATGAGATAGTCGAGTAGAATAGGGTCCTGGGCACTCTAATCGAATCCAGCGCATAGATCTATGTGCAGTTCACGACGGGCAAAGATCTGGTTGAGGTATCGCTGTCATTCTTCAGAATAGCTAGAGTATGGAAATCCCCATTTCCACTCACGTCGCCAATGCCAATTTCGTTGAGGTCCCAGTAGCTATATTTGTCGCAAGGGAGCAAAATTAATGTCCATTTCACTTCGACCAATGACTTGGCGCTATACGAAGATTTGGAGTCAAGTGGTCTGTTCGTGTAGAATGCAAGGATAGATGGACTCGAAGAAACTGGGCGTGGATCAAGCGGATCACCAGATCGTCAGATCTCCCTCCTCATGGAGGGGTATGGCCAAAACATTCCACTACCTTGCAAACCAATAAATCGATATCCCTGTTCCAAAATCCCTACGTGACTAACTCGACCGCGAAGGGCGATACCTCGTTCTCGACGAACGTATCCATGAGCAAGCACTTGAACAGGTGTGGCCTTCGCATTCATACGAACCCTACGTCCTTATTTATTGCGATGTAAATTTGGTGAATATTATACATAGTTCGGTATGGGAAGGTTTTTATAAGTGACTGAAAGTATCCTACTTATTTTCTAATCTAACGTGAATATATATTGGCCTTATTTTATTCACATATAATGATCTTGATTGAAGAGATTGCTTCAAGAACGCTTGGGCGTACAATACCAGGCCATGAGGATGCTACGGGATTTTGGAAACTTGCAATTTATGACAGGTCCCAGGACTAAATGAGAAAGGTCAGAAAGCGTTGAATAGACTATCTTAGACGAGACAGATCATCGAGACCGTAGTATAAATAGAGAATTTGCCTAATAAAGTCTTAGGGGAAACGATCGAATAAGAATCCCCGTGGAGGGAAAGGCCGCTGGGGGAATATACACAGAGAAAGCATCAAAAACACGAGACTGGTACAGAAACAATCTGAAAACCACTAGGCCGCCGTAATGAAAACTAAAATCAGAATACAAAAGCAAAGGCTCAAAGGGGGAACCCCAGCGAAGCCGTCTATTGCGCATTGCGGAAACGTTGAGGCATATCAGGCATGGACGGATGGGGAGCAGACTCGGCTCCATCGTCATCTTCCATGTCCTCGTCCAAATCTTCAGGGTGTCTGATAAGGATTAGTCAAGGTCAAATCACCAATTTCAAGTTATCAACTCACGCAAGCAGTTCCTTGATATTCCTCATCTCATAGTGCTTCTTGCGCTGCTCCTCGAAATGAGCATGCTTCTCGCGAGCTTCTTCGGGAGACAGAAGCGGATCATCGGCAGGCGCATCGGTGCCATTCTCATCCCCAACGCCGCCAACGTGAACATGTCTCTCGCTCTTGTGCGAGTCCGTGCTCATACTCCGATCACGGAAAACACGAGGATCATTCGAGGTGTCTGGCAGGCTATCCTCCGGTTCACCGAGCTCCAGGTCCGGGATTTCCTCCTCTGAGAAGGCCTTGCGGTGAGCCCCGGTTTTATTCTTCTCAAGCTCGTCAACGACAATACCATTCGCGTCGAGCAGGCTGTCTTGGGCTTCGTCCATTCGGATCAACTCGTCGTCCTCGCGGGGATCGTAGTGAGGAGCATATGGGGTCTTGGGCTCATCGATCTTCATCTTTGCTGTCTTTTCCTGCTCAGTGAGGTAGAGGTTTGCCTCGTCCCACTTTAGGCGGGGTTCGTTTTCGTCATGGGCGCTGACTGACGACTGGCGGCGGGCGTTGGTGCCTGGTCGGGTTGTTGATGAGGAGCGTCGGCGGCCTGCATTTTGCAAGGTATTTTGGAGGGTGAGCTCCTTTGTTTCTTCGGGCTCGGAGATTGCTGGGACGGAGGGTGGAGAGGCGGCTGTCATTGGAGCGAGGCTGCCCTGGAAGGAGTTGGAGTTCTTAAGGATACCTGTGGTGACTGGTTAGAATGATTTTGTATATGGCTTGATGTTGATGTAGTTACTCACCTCTGGGCCGATGGTGCACATCCTCAGAGCTGTGCGCCTTGGCCGGCATGTGTGGTGCGGTCGTCATGGTGGGAGTATGGAGGGGAAAGAAGAGTCGCCCGGTTTTCAAGTGGGCGGGAGATTTAATAAGAAGAAGAGTTTTGAGTTGGGAAACAGGGAATCAAGGGTGTGGCCTGTTTTATTTTTATTCCTATCACAAGCCTCAAATTGCTCAGCTGCAAATTCCGGCGAAAAAAGAGGCTGAGCACCGGTTGTGGTTGGTAGGGCTAGTAACGGGTAAATCAGACGTATTATAAGCCTGACTCAGACGGGTGAAAGTCAGTTCTTGGATAGTCACAAGAGAGAAACAAAAGAGAAATATGAAAGCTGAGAGCTGAAAGTAGAACAACAACGATGATATGGTCAAGTGAACGTGGGGTTCTCGATGACGTCGGCCCGATCATCTACCCGAAGCCTTATGTAACTCACGTTGGTTATCAGATTCAGAGTCACGTTGGACAGCATTGCATAAGAAAGCTATCTGGCACAATATAATACGTTGACCAGCGAGCTAACAGTTCACTAATTCTTTAGTGTTGGATTGGTGTTGGATTGTGAAACTCATGATTTGAAATGAGGAAAAACTAAGAAATTGGAAAAGCGCTTATACCGGTAACGTACATATGTATAGGTTTTTATAAGGAAATGATGTGCAGAATATATTAAAACTAAGATCAAGGCAAAAACCACCAAGTCTTTCAATTTATTCAACGCCAGTGATGTTTCCGAACCAAGCCCAGACAAAAAAGAGCAAAGTCCCAAAGTCCACGAATGCCTTGACAACACCAACTAGATCGCCCGAACGGGGTATATAGATATATATGCAAAAAAATGTAAGAACCAAAACAGCAAAAGGAAAGTGGGAATAAAAAGAAAAAATAAAGTCTCGAGCCAGCGAAAGCAAGAATGAAAGAAATGAAAAGCAAAACGGCTTCAAGCAATAGAGTCGAACTCCTCACGCTCACGGAGTCGATTCCGCGCAAGAGTATCGCCCCCATTGGCAGATAGCTGCATCCAGTGCAGTGCCAGACACATACTCTGTGGATCTGACTTTGAGTCCTTGTCTCGTCGGTACATCATCTCCGCCTTGAAAGTGTCGCGCGGGAGAGTCAGAGGGAGTGTCACGCGGGGGAGAAGCTCCGGGTGAGTCAGGTAGAGGATAGCGAGTTCGCGCTGGGCGACTGCGTTTCCTTCTTTGGTGGTGATGATCCACATACCCGCTGCATCTTGGATGGCGCGGCCCGGCTGGGACTGGAAGTCTGATGCGAGCGGGGGATGGCGGCGAGATAGCTCTTGGGAGACTATTCGGTCGGCGATCTCGACCATGCTGTGGCAGATCTCCTCCTTAAGGCTTAGCGCGGCTAACCCGAATTGGAGGAATGCGGTCCCGCGGTCAGTATTGTTTAGTTGATCTGCTGGTACGAAGGCGGAGATGAATTGGAGGTCTCTGAAGAGGGTCTTGGGCTTGAGTTCAAGGATGAGATCGCGCAATGCAGCCACGATCTGGGCTTCGGTTGGAGTAGAGTAGTCAGAGCGTCGGGAGCCGCATGTGACTGACTCCGGTGTCAAGGGCAGGGCCGGGTCAGTCTGAGGAAAGTTGCAGGGTCCCACTTCAGAGAAGCTATGACGAGTCCGATGGAGTTGAGGACTCCGCATTCTATCTGTGTCCGGAGAACCAAGGGCGTGCGAGCTTGCATCATGTGAGGAAATGAGTGATGCAATCACCAACGACCGTAAGTCCCGCAAGGCGTTGAGTTTCACGAAAGGATTACCATGGCGCGAGAACACCTCGATCAGCCGGTGGAAGACTGCTTTGTATGAGAAGATGGATGGCCAATCTGACTCCAGAGTTGGTTGTGGGAGTTCAGAGGCCTTGGCACTGGGAGATTTAGCACGGAGTTTATCCAGAGACCTGCTCCGGCGGCCTCTCAACGAGCCACGCTGCACAATATACTTAGAGCGCTCTTCGTAGTCGGCGTAGAACTTCTGGACAGCCGCCCGTCTGCGCATTTCCATCTGAATGCGTTTCTGGCCAAGTGCATTGGTAAACCAGGCGTCAGTCTCACTACCACAACTCCACACCGGAGAGCCCAAATCGCTGAGTAGCAGGCTAGTCAGTGTCTCCCTCAAACCATCCATGAACGCCGCTTTCCCGTGTGTTTTACGTTCGACATGACGGGGTTGACGGGTCGCAATTTCACTAAACATAGACGGTGGTCGGGAGTACACGCTCGAGACGCTTCCGGCATACATATGATTCCGCTGTGGAGCAGACCAGAACGTACTGCTTGTGTCACCAGTAGATGTGGAAGCGGCGCGACCATGCGAGCCTCCGATCGAAGACATGTCAATCGAAGGGAAGTCTCGTTGGGGTCGCCATTTGTCGGACATTATGCTTTGGATTGAGGGCTTGCGACCCAGCGAAGGAGCGTCCTGAGAGAGACGGGACATAGGATCCGGCATGGTCAAGTTCGCTCCATAGAAGTGAGACGCATCTTCGCTTGTTGCCGTTGAGGTTCGAGGAGTGCTAGGTATTGACAGCCCTGGGAATGCGCGAGAGCCATAACCCTCAAATCTCGAGCGCTCTCTTTGAAACATTTCACTTGCCCATAACACGGGCGTCTCGCTCATCGTTTCACCGACGAGTTTATTGATGATCGTGCGCACCTCGTAGCAGAATCGGTGAATCCGTTCTTCACCTTTGCAGAAATTCTCGATGCCGTTGTGCGACAACCATCTGCGAGTTAACTCGACTTGTTCGTCGGATAGCTTGTTCGGGCCTCCTTGGCTACCGGGTGCCTTCATCATGTTCATGACTTGTACTTCGGGTTTCTGGAACAAGGAGCCGCCCAGAGACCTCGGTCCGTAGCGAGATCGCTGTTCCTCGGGGTATTGACTGAACAGTTGGGCAGAGTAGATCATCGTTTTCAACGCCATAGCGACATGTTTCGCTTCCTCATATTTCATGGAATTTTTGACATCAGTCATGTACCACATTTTGTCTCGGATTTTGGAAAAGGTGCCTGCGAGGTCTTTGACTTGAGTTTGGAGTCGTCGGAGGCTATGTTCGAGAGATGCAAAGTCACTCTCGCAACGCTCAATGACAGCTCGTGATTGGTTCAACGAGCGACTGTATGAATCATGCATTGGCCCTAAGATCCACGAGTCTGCAGCTCTCGATGTTTGCCCGAGCTGTCGGCAAGCGTTCCACCAGTAGTGCTCGCCAACAAAGTCGGAGTCATGATGGCAACAGAACATGGCTTCGCTGAATCGCTGCTTCAGAGTCATGGCAGCTGTGGTATGCAGTGAATTATATGAGTCGTATTCGCCGGAGTCTTGGATACGGTTCTCCTTGATAAGTCGAACAATGGCAGTCTGCAACGCCTCGTGGTTTTCCTCTAGTCCCAGGGTAGTGGAATGTGCATCATCGTCGCTTTCCATGACGGGGTGCTTAGTATCAGATTTGCTCTCCGGGAGAAGGCTCCAAGTCAAGTTATGGCCATCGGCTGCAATGGAGAATATCGTCCAATGCTCATCCGATGGGTGCTCTAAGCTCAAACGCTCGTTAGGGTGATCCAAGTCGGTCAGCTCGAAGCGGATTCGAGCGGCCTTCTCAGACAAGCTACTTTCCGGTGCCAGGATGGAAGGTGTCTCCACTGAAGAAAAGGAACCATTATTAGACGTAGGCCTTGAACTTATGTCGTGCTTGAAACGAGCAAATCCGGAGTCCGTATAAAGGTGGATAGATGCCGTGGGGCTGGACGGCCAAGTGGGGGGCCCCGAAGAGACTGGCGAGAATGGAGCACGTGCTTGTTGGAAAAGAGCATCTAGAAGTGTGAGAGCATCCAGGGCAGAAATCATAAGGAAGGTCGAAGGGGGGTTTCTGCGGGAAGTCTGCGATGATGGTACTTCCGGTGTCGTGTTGAAACGCGTGAGCATATTTTCAACACGGCTCTTAACGGTCAGCCGAGGAATCGAGGAATGGTGCCTTCTAACGTCAGCAACAAAACAAACGCAAGATCCAAGAGTATGCGTACATTGAACGCAACACAGCAAATACTTGAGAGTAGGCACGGTGCCCGATCTGATTCAGCAATTTCTCACGGGCATCTTTTCTGATGTGAAAGTCAAGGAGGAGACCATGCGTCTAAATATAGTCAGTTTTCAAATCCATCACAGGCTAGAGGTTCATATACCTCGGGATAGGTTAAAGCGCCATAGAGGAACTTTGAAAAGAACCATTGGACGAACAAAAATTCCAAGAAGCGACTGCGGCTCTCAGTGCTGTCCAACTTGCGCAGAACGGCCTTTGAAAACTGCAGCACAGCGTGAGGAAAGCCGCCATCTGGGTCATCAAGCACATGGAACAAGTCATCCACGGCAGAAGCAAAAAACTCCTCTGCAACGTCCGTCCGCATGGGATCCAAGGCATCCATAGAAAACTCCAATCCAGGTGGTGTGGCTATAGGTTCTAAAAGAAAGGCACCGGTTTGCACAATGTCCATAAGGTAGAGTTCAAATTTGGAACGGGCTTTCCAATTACTCCCCGTTGTCCAGGAAGACAGGATTTGGCCGATGAGAGGGTAGTATCTACTACTTCCATCGGAGATTAGTTGTGCGCACACAGACGACCATACATCCATGCGCAAGCGGGATTCAGGCGTCTCTGGATCCAAGGGGGCGGCAAAGACGTTAAAGAGAAGTATAGATAGTGGGTCAGTCCTCTCAAAGGCATATGCGTGATCCTTGAAGGCAGCCAACTGGGCCTGATTTCGGGCCAGGTAGGATTGGCCCCTGGCACGGGAAGTTGAAGGGAAAGCAGGATCATTGGAGTCCAAAAATGTGGCTGGAGAAGTAAAAGCGGCCAATTGGGAAGAAGTCAGGCTTCGTAACCGGTCAACCAAGAACTGGGGATCAGAGCGAACCAGCCGCAATATCTCCAAAAAGTCCGTCCGGGATTGAGGGCTCAACTGATGAAGGAAATCGGGGAAACCGTTAATGTCCAGAGATGGCCCACCATCCGTGGAGCTTGTTTGGTTGTTAAGAGTACACGACTCCTGCAGGTCATGGAGTGTGTTGTAAAGATTCACGAAATTAGTTTTGTCATCGTGTTTCAGGGCTTCCACAAGACCCCGTTGAGCATTAAGCCCGACGCGAATCATACGGGCCGAAACGCCGATGGATACCTTAGTTGCCCGCAGACGTTTCTCCAGACGTTTCCTTTGTGCCTGCTTGCGTTGGGTTTGATGATAGCGGGCCGCAAATTCCTCAAAAGACACCTGGACATATTCCTTGGATGTAGATGTTTGTCCGGGATGTCCATAGGCCTCATCCTTGGGACTGGGACGGGCCTCATCCGTGGGACTGGAACGGGCAAAGCCACCCAACTCACCCGACCCAACGGTTGGGGTTTCAAGTGTGGACGACATTAGAGGTGAAGGGGGCAAAGGTATAGATTCGGGATCTTGCGCCCGATGCGACAAGTCACATGGTGGATTAGCCTTGGGGGAAGCAGGTATTTGCACGGCTGAAGGATATGGTTAGGTTGCGTTGCAATAGGGGGTTGGCGGGGACGACTATTTGGCCCCGAACCACCATGAAATGAAACCAAAGAAAACCAAAACATACTGGTCACAGAAGCCCAAGAATGATATTCCAGCATCTTGCCATCAGTTGCAACAGACATTCGCAAACCCCCCCTTGCCGGCGGATACTTATCGCATTCTATCGGCGAGAAATCCAAGTTCTCGGAGTGACGATGCACTCGGAAACAGTCGGCGTCCAGGATGGATGAGTTGAAGAAGAGGCGTAGAGAAGAAGAACGAAAAGAAGAAGAATAGAATAGGGGGGGAAGATAGTTAATTTTAAAATCTAAGGTCAAACAGTAAAAATAGCTATCAACCAAAAGACAAGTTTACAAAGAAAAAAAGAGTCAAAGTAGTGTAGACTTGTGAATTGGATTCCAGGTCTCGCTAAAAGAGGCAAGCGAAAGTACTCGGTACAAAAGAAGAAAACAATGCGTTGGCAGTGCATGAGGTGTTCCACCATTGGTGCTGCTCAATGTAATGAATGACCAAAACGGGGATGAGGGCGCCCCTCTTGGCCCCCCTCCTTTATAGACGTGTATCCAACTAGGACTCTGCATGTGGTGTAATACTCCGGAATCACTAGGTACTATTGGAAAAATAGATACTAACAACAGTAATTTTGTTGTATCGCTCTTATCGCCAACTACACGATCGGATCTTATAATGTACAACATAGTATTGAAAGTGGCGATACTAGTACTCACATGCACAACTGGTCAATACTTACGGAGTACACGCGCAAAACCGGGGCATTTCATGCAGCTCATCCGGGACACCCCGACAAAGAAAAAGAATTTAAAAAAAACCAAATTCTAGTAAGTCGAATTTGTATGGTTCATAAAGGCGTGACGATGCTTCGCTTCACCGGAACTCCGTTACCTACGTTGTAGGTACAATATTGTACTCATGCAGAATATCACCGACAGACCCATTTCTTATCAACTTCCTTCTGACCCACACGAACAGCAACTTGGTCAAGCGTTGCTTTTAATGTTTCTTTCGACACTTTGGGGAATCTAACTTGGATTAGAAACAGGGTATGGTAAAAGAGGGTGGGTACTAACCGTTTCTTCAAGATCTCAACCAACCCAATCTTGCTAAGATCACTACCCTCGACTGCTTCTTTAAATTCGGCAATTTGCTCGGGTGGGAATGGTCGCTTAGCCTTTGATGGTGGTAAAACGCCGCCTGCTGCTGGTACTGGGAGAGCAGGAACGCGGAACCCATCACTCGGTGCTTTCGCGGGCTGGTCTAGCGGCTTCGGCTTTTCCCAGTATGCAGTTGAGAAGGGGTCGATGGGGAAGTTCACTCCATCGGAGATAGTTTGAATCCGGTAGAGTTGATTTTCCGGGGGCACTCCATCAGCGGCCCACTGGATACCCGTAGTGACAGGTTCTAAATCACCAACAATGAGGCGGCGTTTACCCTCAGCGAGGGCGTCATCTTCGTCGTCAAGGAAGCCATCGAGATCATCTTCGCCCTCGTCACTGCCCTCGTCTTCTTCTTCAGAGTCCAGCTCTTCGCCCTCTTCGGGTTCCTCCCATTCTGCCTCGGAGTCGTAATCATAGTTGGTATCAGGCAGCCCGCGGTGGTAGGGGTTTCTCGCAAGTCTCTTCGCAGATGACTCGGGCACGTGACGGGTATAAGTTCCCTGATAGGGAGGGCGGATGTCTTCACCAAACTTTAAAGACTTCATCGTGACTTTGCGCAGGAGCTGTTGGGGTTTTGCAGTATCCTGACTATGAGCTGGCTGCTCGTCGGATTTTTGTAACTGCGAGAGTATTTCCCTGACAGAGGCAGTCCGCTGCCCTCGTCGGCGATTGAAGGGGATTAGTTGGAAGACCTCTGATGGACGGAATGGATGTATTTCATCCAGTGTTTCTTTGCTTAGAGATGAGTCGACGGTTTGGCGGACATGTGCAAGTGCTTCAACGTCACGTTCGAAGCGATGAGGTGGCGCCACAATAGTATGTGATTTGAGGAAGAAAGCGGGAAACTCCCGCACGTAGTCCGACTGTAATTCACGAGGTTCATGAGAAGCCTCTCCTGTAGATGACTTCCTAGGGGACGAAGGGACAGTAGTCACCTGGCTTGACGAAGTGGGAGGTAACGTCGGTTTGGCAAAGAACGAGTTGAGTTTCATTTGTGACTAACACAGTAAGTATGATAGAAATGTTCGGATGGCTGTATCACTCACTCGGGTCTTCTTCTCCTTCTCCTCATCTTTTTTGCGCTTCTCTTCCTCTTTGGCGGCTTCTTTGGCGGCTTTCTCATCTTCCTTTGCTTTCTTCTTTTCATCACGCTGCTTCCGTTCTTCTTCGCGTTGAGCCTCCTTCTTGCGCTTCTCCTCCTCACGTTCGGCCTCGCGTTTCTTCTTTTCTTCGGCCCTCAAGCGCTTTTCTTCTTCCTTCTTCACCTTTTCCTCTTCCCTCTTTACTTTCTCTTCTTCTTTCTTTGACTTTTCTTCCGCTTTTTGGCGATCCTTGGCTTCTTTTTCTTGCTGCTTAGCATCTTTGCCAGCCGAGGCAACCTTGCGCTTCTTAGACGCCGGTGTATCAGGTTCAGGATTGGAAGCCTTGTTTGACGGCGAAGTTAGTTCCCGGTCAAGGTTAGAACGATCTTCCAGGTTCCTTGCAGCATTTCTCACCACGATTTCAATAGTGGAGCGAGGTGTCATCGTAGTTTTCGGAGCATCAGACGCGGGGGACCCATGGTCAGCCGGTAGAGGGAGAGAAGGAGCGCGGTTCTCTTGATCTTCACCAGCGTGGTCGGTGGTGCGCTTCGCGTTTGGCGATGGGGTCGCATCATCAACTTCGTGAATGGAACGCTTGCGGGTCCCCGAAGAGGGCGAGGCCGGGAAAGATGGAGCCGGTGGCATCGGCGACAAACATGTGTTGGGGTCCACTGACATCACGGCACTCGAGCAGAACAAAGGAATTTGTAGTAGTAAAGGTGATGGATGTGGAAAGATAGGGACAGAAATGTCGTGTGACAAGTCGCGACTTCAGTTCATGAGGTTGGTTCGTGCCAAACAAGGAAAGAATGACTTTTTAAACCGGAAATCATGAGATTGAGATCAGAATTACTCAACTGACATCCAGCGAAAGAAACTCGACCCCGCTAGAGTGAGAACGCAATGATCATCCAATCCATCGAAGGAGTTGAGCCCAACAGGGGGACGCGTTAATTGTGTCGCGCTCGCGATAAGCACGTGTGTGCTTAGTAACCCCCGGGGCAGTCTTCAATATGGCATCATTTGAGGCTTTTCGAGATATTTTTAATGCCGAATTCTGTCTCAAAATTGGATTATGCCAGAATGGAATGCTCAAAGCCATGCCTTCCTCAAACTATGGATGCCATGGCTATTGGTCTATAGACTACGAAGTGACCAGCCCTACACCTGGGCAGGGCCTTGTTCAAAATGCAAAGTATATGGGTTTACCTTTGGGGTAACAATTACTATCTCTAGATAAAGAGAGGCTGTGCCAGATAAAAACGCCGCGGTTCCATGCAGCCGCACAAAGAACGATATCAACCCAGAAGCCGATCTAAAGAGACCCGCGGTGCCATACGACAGAGGCCTGAACGAACAAGATGCGGCGCTTTCACGGAATAAAAAAGGTAGGGGGGACATAAGAGGTGCAATATAAACAAACAACAAGACACATTTGAAACCATCAAGGCTTGCTAGATGTGATCCATTGTGGGGTCAACGAGATAAGTATTATGTGCAATGGATGAGGTGGTAAGAATAATCATGTAGAGATCATGAGATGGAATGAAGTGGTATGTGGGACAAGAACGAGGATATCGAGAATAGGTTCTCATTCGCTGTCGGAATCGGGGTTTGCGACGAATAGTCGCACATTAGTCATGGAAGTAGTTCGTTCGTCCACACTTCCTCTTCGTCGAAGGTCAGCTGCCTTCTTGGCTTTCTCGGCTGCTGCAGTGGCGGCACTCGGTGCCTGCATGTCACCCACGGCATCTTCTTGTTCCTGTTCGCTGCTATGCGTTGTGGCGGCATCATCCTTGATTAGAGATGACATCCGACTCTTTTCTTCTTCTTGAATCTCTGCTGATGTGTTTTCGGACACCTCTGGTAGGTCGGTCTTCTCGTTTGGAGGGGTGCTGTTGCTGCCCATGGTCCCCTGTGGTCTCGTGTATCCACTTGGATAACGGTGGGCGCTTCCTAGGGAGCTGCGGCCACTGCCGGTCCGTCTGTGAACTGCGGCACCCTCGATGCTATGATCATCATAGTCTCCGTCGCCAATCTCGTTTGCACTCAATCGGACGGGGACCTTAGCGCCCACGAGGTTTGAGGGCGAGAAATCAGCTACACCCTTGGGACCGTGTTTAATTTTGCCGCTACCCAAAGTTCCTGGACGGGCGCCTGATCCATGAACCTCGAGGTAGGCTCTCTTCTTGTCCCGCATGGCCTGCTCGCGCAGCCTGGCGTCTTCAGGTTGAGCCCGGTCGCACCAAACAGTGGCCTTTTGACGGCGCATGAGGGCCACATATCCAAGCTGAGAGTTGGCAGAACGAGACGAGGCAGTTCGTCGGATGTCGGACACTCCCTGCCCCGTATGCGCCATCGGGTGATTTCCAATCGAGGAGTTCGACGTTGTCGTGCTGGACGTACGTCTAGAAGGGGGATGGTGGGGGAGGTTCATGGGTTGCGGAAGAGGAGGCGGTGGGGGAGCGCCGTGGTATTGCTGGGAGGATTGGTAGGGCAATACGCTGGAAGACGTCGTGCGAGTCCGACTGTGCGCACTTTGAGGGCCTGCTGGGTGAGGAGCAAGTTGACCCCGTGGAGAACCGTAATGCTGATATCCGTATCCGTGCTGGGCACCACCGATGGGCTTCCGGGCAGGAGGTCCCTGGTGGAGGGGCATTCGAAATTCAGTCATGTTGGACTAAAGTTAAAAGACCAGCCTGAGAATCCCAACACGCGCGACCGTTATTATCTGGCCGGTTACCAGTGCGTAGGTGGAGGTTTCAGGAGCTGAGATCCTTGTTCGTAATGACTTGGTCCGGTGCGCGCGGCTGACGGGTAGGGAGATAATGCGGTTTCAGCGCCCACTTGCAGTATGCAGCCGCAAAATCCGGTTTGGGGGCTCTTAAGCGGAAGAGTGAGATTTTACGTCTTAAATATGTAGCGGCGCCAATGGATCGAAAGAGTGGAAAGGGCTGGTTCTTTTCTGGGTATTTTGAGGCGAAGATAAGAGCGCACACGAAGTCTGTCCAAACTCAAGTATGCCGTCTCAGGGAGGGATCACTCTAAAGCGAGGGGAAGACAGCGACCTCCAGGAGAGAGAGTCTCTTAATAATTGTAGAAGAGGTCGGGGATGAGCAGGTCCTTAAGAGGAGGCAGGTTAGATCGGGGGAAGAACAGGACTTTGACCGGCCGTTCTTCGGTTGAGAACGATGATTGGTCGATACGGAACACGGCGGAGGAAGTACTTTCCTACTCAATTTGGCGGGTGGAGTACATTGCAAAGCCACAGTGAGGCTGGGTAAAACTTACGGTTACATTTCAAGGTTTCAAATGTTTCAAATGTTTTAATTTGTTGTCTCTGTCCAGCTCACCTGGTCATTTTTCTGTGAATATCGTCATGTTTACTGTATGCTTCGATGTTACATGAGAACATAACACAACTGAAGTGGCAGGTGATTGAGAATGATATGGCACCTTCCTTATTAACGCTTCGTCTACAAAAGAAAACCTTGGAAGGTTTGTGATCTTACGCGTCGGGAACATCTAAACTTCCCCAACCGACAACAAACACATACTATGTAGCAGGAGCTACAGCCAGCCACGAGCCACGATCCACCCGTAACGCCAGACACATTAGCGACAATACCGGTCCACAGTGCCCACGTTTTCTCCCACGCCTGGGGTTCTCAGTCTAGTGCGCAGTAAATAGCGGGCCTGTTACGGGCACGCCGTCTAATACTAGGCACTTCGTGGACTCAAAAACCGTGACATGGCGGACCGTGAGCGAGCTAGCGTGCGAAACTCACAGCGGCCTTGGTTGGTGGTGACACTATCAGTTACTAGTGCTGATCCATACTCTCCCTAACCGGGTGCTCGGCGGCAATCACTTCTCGGCAATCACTTCTTGCTTCTGCCTTGCGGTCTAGATATCACTGGTGGACTTGCCAACCGATATGAGGATCTGGTTCACACATGCCGTCTCCAGCAAAGAGGACAGAACATTGTCCAATGTTCCAGAACGTTTAGTGTCTGCAACCAGAGCTAGGTCCATTTGGTCGAAGAGACATCGATTCGCAGGTTCTGTTTGATAGGCAGAATGACCCTCAGAGTGGGGACTGCCGCGTATGCCGTTGGTCAAATGCTTGTCTGGACACCTAGTTCCAAATAAGGTACGAAGAAAAGGTGACTATTTCACACTGTAACCTGAGCTAGCTTTTTATACACTGGTCGTAAGCTCTCAAATTTTAGCTAGATGTATATAGTGCCAAGAACTGGTGGCCGCGGGATGATCACTGGGTGCCATTGACCATCCAGAATGCGGGGTCTACATTCCTGTCAAAGAACCTTGAAAGCTAACACTGCTAGGACTTGTGTCGGTCAACCCGGTAATGGCCCAGGTGATAGCACGGAGTAGTTGCCAGTCGGGTTGATTGTCTACTAGATTCATGAATGTTTGTTCTAAAGGTGACGTTAGGCGACGCTTCAACCCCTTCGCTTAGGAACGGTGAAATTCTGCGCTTGAGGACGCTACGTCAAGAAAAATTTAATAAAGCCCTAACATGAGCTAATTACTGAAACTTTCAACCCTATCAAGAATGAAACAAACATAGCTGCGCCACACTATCGAGTGGGCTGATGACTTAAGATCTAGTGGAGCTGCAATTGGAAAATTGTATAAGTCGTGACGTCAAAGTGTTTCACTTTATCCTTTTGTCGAAGATAACAAAGGGCAAAGTACCTGTCCCTGATGACACATTGACATTCAGAACCAGGAACACGCCGAAGACGGAAGCCAGTAGTGTGATACGACAGTGGGGAAACCAAAACTTCCAACAACATCCAGCAAGAAAACCTACTGCAAGTCACAACTTGGGTATAGCCGAACCGGACACTAGCGGCCTTGGCAGATATCCTCGATTCGCATCTTTGCTTTCCTATTCGCCAGTACCAAGATCCCGGCATTTGGCATGGTGAAGTCCTTGTTTTGCCCTTAATCTGTGTCTCCGCGCCGTTATCCCCAGGTGTCCGCTGGTCCACTTAGCCTGATTCTGGTATGCTTGCCGAATGAATTAGGGCGCGTTTTTCGTAGCTAGGCTACATCAGTCGTTGGTGCATGTTGGCCTGTATGATTAGAGGTTCGGATATATATTTTGTACTCAATATATATACATAGAGCGCTGGGTAAGGTAAGTTGTTTTTTATTTGTCTGATTTTATAGTCCCTTCAGTATCTTCCTGGCCATGGGATCGTTTCTGTGTAACAATACCTTCGGATGTTCCAAATACTAGTATATAAAATTGTGGAACATCCTCGAATGTCCTTAACTAATTGATGGTGGTACCTAGGTATGGGACTATTGTATGATAAACCAAATGATGCATCCACCTTCACATCGGCCTTTAGCACCCTTTACTTTGATACTGCATCTTCTATGTCAAGCCATTTTAGGTAGGGGTTGGGATTCCTTGTTTGCGGTTTCGTTTCTGTTTATTGCTTCTGTTTTTCATGAAGTGAAATAGGTCATGGTTGGTCGTTTTCAGTTTCTGTAGGTGATCGTGTCCTCAATTGTATTCATCTCGGCAATTACTTTTGTTGCTAGCCTCAAATGACAACAGGATGTTGGTCTCTTCGAGGGGGCTGTATAATCGGTTGAACCTTGTAAAACTTAATCCAACAGCCCTTCAGCGCTGGAATCTGTCATCACACCTGGGTAAGATTGCGAGGTACCTAGTTCTGTTTCTTGTTTTCCGGTTCTTTGGTATATATATACATATGTATGGCTTGTTCTCCACACGTACTTCCATGGACACGCCCTCTTAGTGAGGCCAACATCATGAGAAGGCTTGTGCATCCCAATGGGGATAGTACATATGTATTCTGATGTATTGAAAATAAAAAAGCGACAGAAAACCTGCCCGACAAGGGTTTCCGGGTCGGCCAATTACTTGTAGATTAGCCGAACGCATGACCAGGCATCGAGACTGGTGTCGAGAACGATCCCGGCGAAGGACTTGCCAGCCACCCAACACGGCCATACCAATTCAGATATGATCTCGATCGATAGGTCGCTCTTTGCCGCGATAGATATATGAAGTAATCTAGGGCCAACTGCACAGGATCTTACCTTAGCATCGGTTATGTATTCTACGTATGCACTCGTTTTTGGTTGAAAGAAAAACATCGGCATACTCTGGAATGAGATACACTTGAAATGACCAGGTATGTTAATCACGATGCAACAATCAGGATAGAAGCTGCCATCGAGCCAAGAAGTGGCTGATTGATGACCCCAATGTGATAATATTCTTCCTGGTATCGAGGTGATGTCTTTCAATGGCGAAATATATACTTTCCTTCGGTTATTAGAATTTAGTAGGCTCTGATCAACGAGCCAGAATAAATTACGGAATCAATTTGAGAAAGATACATCGAATCGGGCTCAATAACTTATTTAGTTAGAGTGTGATGCTAACAATGTCAAAGTCGAGATCGACCCCTCTGGAACCACTTTTTTTGATATGATTTTTAGCCTTAATCAATGATTGCTTGATAGATGTAAGTTGTCGCAACATTTTCACACAGTTGGGTTCCATAACTCAGTTGGTTAGAGTGTGGTGCTAATAACGCCAAAGTCGAGGGTTCGACCCCCTCTGGAACCACTATCTTTTTGCTTTTTTGCTTTTCTATCCGACATTCACCACGAGCGAGGCATACACCACGAAAAGAATAAGTCAAAGCGAAACGCCTCTACATGAGTGTGCCTCTTTTGGCGCTATACAGGAACATTAAATATCGCCGTAATCCAGTGCTCTGTAAAGCAATGGAATTTCGGTAGACCAAAGGATTCGACATTGAATAATCGACAGCAGAGAGTAAGCAAGCTTTCCTATATCTCATGATCATGTAGGGCGTGGATACTGCCAGGATGGCTGGAGTCAAAAGATATAGTATTTACTAGTCCACGAAGATAACTCGTCATACTCTGCGCAATTAAGTACCAAATTGACATATATCATTAACATAATCTGACTCTATCGAAAAGACATGTTATATGTAGTAGAGATAGAAGGCAGACCCGAAAAGTGTGTATAAAGGAAGGGTATTGTAAAGATGATCACACAAATCGCCTATCGAACTTGAACATTTGTTCGAGGATTCATTACGTTCCCTGATTATCCTCTCTTGGGATTTCCTCCACCGGTGAGTTTTTGCCATCATCCACGGCTTTACCCCAAGCCTGTTCAAAGGCAGAGTCAGGGGCCTCACTTGATACCGGTCCCTCGAGCCCAACAACAGAAGTCTCGACGGGCTCAACAATGGAAGATTCGACGGGCTCAACAATGGAAGATTCGATGGGCTCAACGACAGAAGATTCAACGTGCCCGACGACAGACTCGTCAAGCTCGACAATGCGTGAGTTAGCAGGTTCATCCTTATTCAAATCAAGTTCGACGTCAACCTCCTTTTCAACCATGACATGGGAAAAGGATGGCGAAACAGGTTCGTCCGGGTCCGTCTCTCTGGGCTCCACCTTGTTCCTGGCACCTAGTAGCTCGAGATCGAAGTTTGAACTGTAGACCACAGCCGAGAAAGCTTCAAGTTCGCGCACATTCTGATCCATGGCAGCCAAATACTCATTGGGGTGGTGAACACCGTTGCCAATCACATGCGCTTGGCGAGCCATGACAGCCAGGAGATTAGCAAGCTTTGTCTTGCGCTCGGCATTGGCAGCCAGAGGCACAACAGTAGCAATGGAATCAAAGGATTGGGGGGCAGTCTCTGGGGCAGAGGTGGGTGCCTTGAAGGCATCGGCGGCACATCTTTGATCGATCAGAGTCGAGAACCCTTCGTTGTTGAGAAGTGTCAGAACATGAGAGAAAGAGGGGGAGTCGATCAAATCGGCAGTCTCATCCAAAAGGTGACGCAGCTTCAGTGCAGTCTGTGAGGAGGACGGGTCTGCGACACCTTCGACACCGGACTCGCGCAGGACATATTCCTCCTCTTCGGCTGGAGGAAGTAGGCAGGAGAGCCACTTCTGGGACCGCCGCTCGTCTTCCGTGCTGCCTTCTATCTTCCGTCGGATTTCCAGAGTCAGCTCTGACAATTTTGCCAGGCTAATATCCTCGCGTGGATTCAAAGGCCCAAATACTTCCTCTACCGCGGTTTGTACTCTGCCCATGAGGTCTTTCCATCCGCGGTGAAGCAACCACCAACTGAAGGCCAGGTAGCGTCTGTTCGTCTCAAAGTCATCGCCCAATGTTTGTGTGAGTTCATCGTCATTGTCTTCGAGACTGATTGTCGAAGCGTTGGCAGGGGGTGTAGCAAGAGATATCACACTGGATAGGTAGTTCCGGCGGCCCAGGAGGTTGAGTTGGATACGGGTGAAGATGGTGAGCAAGGAGAGAGTGTATATCAGAGTAAATGACCGAGTGATGGCTGCATTATTAGTTTCTCACGCAATTTAGTAGGAATTACAACAAACGCACAGGTGATCTTCACTTCATTCCACAGCTGGGTCTTATTGCGCTTGGGCCGAGGTTGGTCCTCCCCAATCTGGCTTGTGTGCACAAAGCCCTCGCTCTGGAAACTGGCATCATCCGCGAGACTAGGAGCGACAGAGCTGAAATCTGAGCCAGTAGCCTCCCCAGCATTCAGCCGGGCCAATCTCTCCGCCCGCTTCTGCTGAAGCTCCTTGGTCAAGTCCTCCACGGGCAAAGCCTCAATGATATTCTCGGTAGCGGTCGGTAAAAGTGCTAGGACGGTGTATGTGCAATCGGTCTGGTTCTGTTCGAATCGGCGGCGTAGACTATTGTCCTGGTCAGTGATCAATTCGGGGGAATTCACTCGAGTTGAACCCGGCACGACCTCACGTGCTGGCAGAACAGGAATTCATCAAAAGGGGATACTGACTTTTCACGGGCAATCCGATCACTACTCATACGTTCTCGGGCTTCGGAAATCTTGGATAAAACATACTGGCCGGCCAGGTAACCAGCTCCGATCACCCCAGCCCCGATGGCAAGACCTTTGCGATTGCGCTGAAACCAGCGCCTTGTCGCACCGATCATGTTGATTGTTTCTGTTGCTCAATGGGGATAGATGACAATATTCAAATCATGATATAGTAGAAGATGGTTCGATAGATGGAGAAGAGAGGCTTCGGGCGCAGATCGCCCATTTCAGGCGGCCTCGGCTACAGCTCTCACGTTGACATGAAATCATATAAACCTATAAACCTGCACCATGTGAACCACGAAGGTGTTACAAGCTTCTCTCAACAGATAGAATTTCAAAGGAATACTAAACCCCAGAATATTTTCAAATTTATATTTCCGCTACTAATTTACAATTCAACACACTCCCACTTTGTTCATATTGGAGCTCCCCCGGATTCGGCGTGGCCGTCCCGCAACAACCACAACCCGCAAATCTTATGGATATTTGAAATTTTCTACCTCTTTTCTTTTTACTCCTGAATTATTTTAGTCGAGATCCTCAAGTTCTCAAACTCATGGCTACATACTACCTATTTTACATATGGGTTTTACCTCATTCCATAATCAACTTTCGGAAGTGATAAGCTTTGCCCCCAGGGCCGATACAGGCCGCCCCCCCTCATAACACCTCATCCACCGGCCAACCTACCATCCCATCCATGCAACTCTTTTAGCTTTTTGCTACCCTATAACAATACCACCTCTTCCAACTAAGGCCAGCAGCCTACTTGCGAAACCCCAACCCGGCTTGGTTGCGCACTGCGTCATCGCGGGGATGGAGCCCCGCAAAACCCCCCCCGGAGTACTTCCTGGAGATCTTCGCAGACACCACCCATGTGCGAGACGTGCTCAAAGGTCAGTTAAGCTCGGTCGAGGAAAGGTCGCAAGAAGTTTCGTCTAAACAAAATCTCATAGGTGTCCTCAATCTTATCTTCTTCCACCGTTACTTCCCCTCCATCCGCCCAGTCACATTCGACGTGTTGGACTTTACACTTCCCGCAATCAATGACGCAGACCTAGAGACTCTGATTGATGCGCGCGTATCGGCGTTAGTCCGGCAGCATCTTTCCTCCGCAGCCGGTGGGCAAGACGGCCCGATCGGCGGGGGCGGCGGCGTGCGAGGGCGGATCGCAGTCGAGTTCTACGAGAAGAAGCGACGGCGCTCGGGCCACTGGTTTGGCGGACTCACGGGGAAGGGCGAGGAAGAAGTTTGCTGGGAGATTTGGACGCTGGATGTGACGATCGCGACACCGCGCACCGAGTCCGGTATGTATACGGCTGGGTTCTAGGCGTTCTTGCGCCCTATACTAATCCTAATCTCACTACAGAACGAGCCAAGGTGCGCAAGGCTATGGGTAATATGCTGCAGAAAGCGGCTTTGAAAATTCTGAGCGTGGTCAACCGGGACAAAGACCATATCCCGCCCATCACTACGAGTGATTCCAATCCGTTCCCTTATCGCATTGTCGTCAACCCTCGTGCTGACGGATGGGGAAACCGTATGGGGCTCTACTGACCCACGGAGATACGAGCTTTGGGGATATCATGCGAATCAATATCGATATCTCCCGGGCAGTCTGTTGTTCAACCAACTGGACACTCTCTTCGTTCGAAGATGAAGAGTACAAGCAAATGATGATATGACTTACGAATCCATCAAATATTACAAAACAGTCACTCAGAATCAGAATCTGACGTGTTGATGCGATGACCATATGGAGTTTTCGGTGGGCAGGCGTTTGGAAGAATGATCGGTTTGAGATGGCTGGGTGGTTCTTTTATAATGCCCGATATCTGGTTGGCGCATATTCCCTTTATTACATGAAGACTTTTCCTCGCACCCCTCTGCATAGCAATGAGGCAGAGGCCTGAATACCAAAAAAAAGCATAAAATACGACTCCCCAATACTAGACTGGTATCCAATGCGCGCTGTTTGTAGAAAAAACACCCTGCATGTCTACCTGCATAGAACCTGCACAATGTCAGAAAATGAGCTTGCTGGGCCAATAATACCCTATGGCCTCGTGCAATCTGTCAACAAGAACAGTCAAAATCTAGAAGACTGTCGAATCAACCCATGTAGAAACAGCAAGCAGCACATACAGACACATGTGGAAATCGCAGTCCATATATCGACAGGTACTATGAGATGAGAAAGCGCAAATAGGTCCTTTTGATAAAATACACTAACTAGCCAGGGCAGTGCAGAGAACTGACCTGGATCAGCGATGGAGTTGCTGAATCTCAAGGGAATACATAACTATATAAGTCTAATAAAACGTGAATTCATCCTCCATTCATTAATCAAAGTACGGACCAAACTATACCACTTGGGTAGGACAAAGGCAAGAACCAAGATAAACAACGTCGTTTTCAGCAAATATCCAACCCCGGACTCGTCTCAACATATCTCGGGCCCTCTCTATCTCATTCAGCTACTGTGTGCGCTCCTATTTAATCAAACGACGAAGCTTTGAGCCACAACTTCACTTCGCGCTGTGCCCTGCAGGGCAGTAAGAATCTCGTCCGCGACCCAGATCCAAGTAGGGTTCCGCGGAGTTTAATTGTCGATGCGATTCTGTGCTTGGGGAGACCAAATCCATTTAAGTGGAGTGGGGCTTGCTGGCAGCCTCGGCCTGGGCACGGAGGTTGGAGGAGGTGCCGGAGGTGGAGAAGAAACGGCCGACCACGGGCTGGAGGAAAGAGTGGAAGACAACTTGGGCACCGCTGGGAACTGGTCAGTCACTTGACTCTCGATGAGATATTGAATGACTTACTTGGTCTGGGGAAGAGCCATCCACAGGATCAAGACGAACTTGAAGATGTAGTAGAAGGCTGCGAGTGTGTTAGCAAGAAACTGCGTGTTCTGGACTCATGACCACTCACGGAACCAGTAGGCGGCGCTGATGGCGCTCTCAAGGACAGTCAGGAAAGAGAAGACAACCCAGTACTATCAAGTGATATGTTAGCATCATTCGTGTGGACAGTGTCACGTGGGTATATGATAAGACCGGATGCGCCGGTGATCTCATATATCCGCAAGATTGCGACAGGATGTGTGGTTGAATCATGGGAACATACGGTGAGCCACTATGAGAAATGAAAGTTAGCGAACTGCGCACGGAGCCTGGGAGGGGTATCAGCAAAATTCTTACCTGGGTATCATCCTGAGTATTGGAGGTGAAGAGAGCCTGGAGAGAGTAGTAACCGGGGAGGAGGAAACCGGCAAAGTTGACAAGGAACTCTCCGGCAATGTTGAAGAACACCAGGAAGAAGTAGATTCCGACGAGGCCAAGGATGACATAGACCTTGGGGACGTTGGTCTGACGCTCAAGGTTGGCGAGGACAGGGTACTTGGAGAGCTGCAAAGGTACAAATATTAGCTTCCACGTAAAACAGTTGATCACATATGAGATTCGCTCTGGAATCAAAATCAAATAATGCGATCGCGATCACTGCTGCGCTCGCTGACGGGGGCATTGTAGCGAGGGCTAGACCTGAGGCCCCAGCGAAACACACAATGGAAACGTACCTCCTTGTCGAGCTGAGCTATGCTGTGCTGGGCACGGTCCTGGAAAGAGGCCATTTTTGCTTATTTAGGTTATTCGAAAGATCAAGTCAAAGAGCTTTTTGGATGACAATGGAGCGAGGGATGAGAATGGCAACCGGTCGAGCTGGCAAGCTGAGACCAGAGGCTAGTCGAGTCACGTGGCTACATGACGTATTCGGCAAAACCATGTTGGTTTCAAGTTCACTTACATGTAGCTACATTATAACTAGGTCCACATATATTTCAAATCCCCAACCTTTTTCATTGGTTGTAGTTCGCACGTACCTACAATGGTGGTATCTACGATTTCATGCAGCAAACAACGATTTTTTGACTCTAAATCCTCTATGATAAATCCATCTTGCGAAGACTGGTACCTGTTCGAAGGTCTTATCACCGCTATGGCCTCATCTATACGCCGCTTGTAAGTAAAACACGCTAGTATTCATTGGTTTAAGATTTTGAGAATTGGTGACTATAATATTGTAGAACGTAATAATATGGATGATGGCATTTAGTGCATCTATCCAGATGAAACGCGGGCAGACAGACATGAGTCCCAGGGCTTTCTCCTACTTTTGTAAAGCGCCGTCAAGTGACATCTCTTCGGATTGATTCTTCATTACAGGGTAAACTCTATAATCTCTTAGTCCTTGTCTGTCGATCACATATCACATGCCTAAAAATCAATATCGATCTATCAAGGCAGCCTCTTTGGTTATGTCCTCTTCTTCTTCGACTCCAGTGTGCCAGGCACATTCCTGCATCTTCGCAAAGCTTCCCGGATATCATCTTGAATACCCAATCATCATAACACTGTAGACACAGCGTTTGCAGGATCGTGTAGCTCAGACAGGTGGCGTTGAGGGAACGGGGTGACTGCGGTATTTACGCCGAGAGTGAGAGTTGATCAGGCGAGATCCTCACTCTTCGTAAGATGTGCCGCACGAAGACAATTATCTTCATCTTCATCGTCAGAAACCATGGCATCAATGCTAGCAAGGGCGCCGTCCAGCTCCTCGCATAGGTCATCGCCGGCGACAGCAATGACCTCTTCGTCCATGTTCTTGAGGTAGTACCCTCCATTCTCGCTGTGGAGAATTGTTTCCGGGTAGACCTTGACCAGATCGTTGAGAGATTGTCTGTTGTGGACTACAATGGCGTTGTTTGGAGGCGCGGTCTGGTACCGGGTAAGACCTTCAGCCATGATGGACAAGAAGCATGGGAAGTAGACCAGGGAAGCAAAGATGGACCGCATATGGAGGTTGGGAGGGGTACTTTTGAGGGTCTCCAGGAACTCAAGGCTCCAACCTGGAGGTATAGGCGTCCTAGTCATCTATTTTTTGGCCCCAAGTGCTGCTGTCCATGGATGTATACAACGTATTTCGAAAGTTTGGACAATTAGCCATTCTATGAGCGTACCTTGTCACATGTCAAACAGAAAATCGAAGCAAGCAAGAACAATTTGATATCAATGTTTTCGGGCATAGCGCTCAGTTGATGAGCATGGGGAGGTATACTAGCCCATGGAGGATATATTACTTTTGATGTATACCATTGATATATCCAGTAGAACGTCGAGGGAAAGACCTGTGACACACAGAGACAAAGGAAGACCGAGGATATCCTTCCTACTGTTGTTCAACTACCAGCTAGTCGTTTCTCATATGCAACAAAGCCCCAATCATAGGCAATTTGGGATTCTTGTCTGAGACTATCATCTTGAGTCAAACCATAGGGGCGAACACATGGAGCGACTAAGCTTGCCAAGCGAGTCTTTGGCCGGGATCTGAATGACCGAGGTGGATTCAGGTCTTTTTCTCGACGGGTGCATCATTATATCTGATACTTTTCTTGCCAACAAGGTTTGGAGTTAACGGGCAATTTTACAACTAAAAAAAAGAAACAAAGTCGGAGATTTCACGTCGGGCAGTCAAGTGTGGATCATAGGATATTCATAGGCGCTCATTTCACTATATTTATCATACAATTTCGATATTCAAGGTAGATGTCACAGACTGTGAGCTATTAAAAACTCATTTGGACCCTCCTACCCCACCAAACAATGTAAGCACTCTGTCCACGAGTACAACCACATCATGAAACCAGCCTTAAATGAAATGAACAAACTTTGTTGTTTGGGCTCAAAGTCAAGGTATACATGACGTACGCGGCTTCAAACTTGAAGGGAAAACCTGTTTATTCCTAGTAATTTCATATTGTATACATATAATCTAATATGAAGGATGTTACTTTTTCAAAGCAATACAAATTCCCCATTGAAATTTCATTATGAAACCGGGAAGAGTTCCTTGTGGGCCTGTCACCCCTGCAGGACTCGGTCCGTTCTCCAGTTTTGATGCATCTATTCTTCGTTTATACCTAAGTATATGTTGACCAATCACTTACCTTGTATTGAATGTGACATGGAAGTGAATTTATTTCCGAATATCTTAGACAATACAGAAGAGATATGAAGGAGCCAAAGTGGATTGCGTTATACTTGTCCATCTCCACGTGATTTGTATATCACGTGATCCGGCATGTGTACACAGGGGCCAATGTTTGCTGGCAATTGAAGAAGAAACGGCATTTCCGAAGTGCAGGATTTAGTGCAAGGACTCACCGCTTCAAAGGATAAGAAATGATGTGATTGGGGAGAAAAAAACACCCCAATAGGTTAGGTAAAAACTGCGAGAGTTTGGAAAAGGGAGGCTAACAACAGATATTCCGTTATCAGACGATTCTCCTCTCTCCTCCACAAAAATCCCATGCAGAAACGCCTAAGCTTGTTCGGGCCCGCAGACTCTTCACTCCATTATTTGTGAGCCTCAGAGTCCCCTACAACCCTCGGTGGACCCTCGAATCATTAATCGGGTTATCCGTGCATAAAAGGCGGGCCATTGACCGATGTAACCGATTCGACTCTCCTTTGCTTCTCCAAGCTCGATATATACCACTCGACGTGCTTTATAGGATTTTCTGTCTCAGCATTTCTTCGGCAATTTTGAGATCGCCTTTACCACGTGGGACGATCACCAGATACTCGACATTGTCCTCGACAATTGCTCTTTCGATTCCGAGTCACAACTAAACAACACGCACACATATCTTCTCAATGCGGCCTCAGTGAGTCATGGGAACCTAGATTGATGCCCAATGCCTGATATTAATCATTTTCTTGTGATTTAGACGCGAATACCATATTGTTGTTCTGGGAGCTGGTAGGAGTCGGCCTTGGGTCCTGAAATGTTTACATGGGGCATCGGCTGATCACAAGAATTCCTATGCGCGATAACAGGTGGTGTTGGAAAGAGTTGTTTAACAGGTTCGTTGCACACGTTCATCACGTTCTGGACCTCGGCACTGAGCTCCAAAGCTAATCACTTCTCAACCTCTAGCACAATTTGTTCAAAATGTTTGGATCGAAAGTTACGACCCGACGATCGAGGATTCATACAGGAAACAAATCGAGGTAGACGTAAGTTGTCTACACTTAGCTGGGAATGTTCGACGTTAACCGGATTGACAGGGCCGACAATGTATACTGGAAATGTGAGTGTGTCGGTGGTTTGGATATGTCATGATGCTAAACGTCCGCAGTCTTGATACCGCAGGCACGGAACAATTCAGTAAGTACCAGTACTACCTCGTGAGATCAAAGCTAACAGATCATCAGCGGCAATGAGGTAAATCCAGTCTCCCACGATCCATCTAACAGACCTACATTGAGACACACCCCAAACTAACCACACCCACAGAGAGCTCTACATGAAACAAGGCCAAGGTTTCCTCCTGGTCTTCTCAATCACAAGCATGTCCTCACTGAACGAACTCTCCGAGCTCCGCGAACAAATCATGCGCATCAAAGACGACGAAAACGTCCCGATCGTGATAGTCGGCAACAAATCCGACCTAGAAGAAGACCGCGCCGTACCACGCGCTCGCGCATTCGGGCTATCCCAGAACTGGGGCAACGCACCGTACTACGAGACATCCGCGCGGCGGCGCGCAAACGTGAACGAAGTCTTCATCGACCTCTGCCGACAAATCATCCGCAAAGACTCCGAAGGATCAAGGAGCAGCAGCGATCCCAATCGCAAGCGAGAAGGGCCCAACCGCCATGATCGGAAGAGAGACCATCGTCGGCCGCGGAAGCGCGGCCCGTGTGTCATTCTCTGAATTGAATGGGTTAGATGAGAGTCTCCTCCGTTTGGGAGGGACTTTTGCTTGTTTCATCATCACGCGATACGACCCCCCCACCTGCTACCTATGTCCCTGTCTCCGCTGCTATGCTTCTCGACACGTCATATATGACTGATGTTTATTCTCAATATGTCTCCTCTTCATAGAATCCTGCTTCGCTGCTACAGATCATGTATCATCTTCTTTTTTTGGGCTGTACACCCTTGGTGTCAACCGCCTTTTTTATCCGGCATACTTGAGTTCTGGTTGATCTGGACTCCAAAAAAATACCTTTACGAAATGGTTAAAAGTGCTTTTCTTTCATTTGGATTGTTATGCTTGCTGGGCTCGTGCATATTTCCATTTTTAATCTGTGCAATTCCGTGTGTTTTGAAGAATATTGAACCGTACTTTCATTTGGTTTCGTAACGCCTCTTAGATTTATGGTATATGTTTTTTCTGGCTCACATGCGGAATACACCGAACCTGGTCTGCACATCTGGCTCCGACTTGCCGCTCAGCGCAGCGGTCAGGCCCAACCCGAGCATCTTTCTCGTCTGGGAGGGCGGGATAACACCATCGTCCCACAAACGGGCCGAGGAAAAAGTGGCTTCTGATTCACGATCAATACGATCCTTTAATGCCGGATCGGCAGATCGGCCGACTGCTTCCATGACAGCAGAGAGTTGCTCAGAGCCCATGACACCGATCTTAGCGTTAGGCCACATGAAGAGAAGACGAGGCGAATAAGCACGACCACTAATAGACCAATTAGCTCACCATAGATAGTGTGACATTTTGCAACGAAACTTACCACATTCCATAGTTGCCTGCACCGGCACTAGATCCAAACACAACAGTAAATTTAGGAACATCGGCACATGCAACAGCCGTCACAAGCTTAGCGCCATTCTTCGCAATGCCGCCCTTCTCTGCATCAGCTCCAACCATGAATCCAGAGATGTTCTGCAGGAAAACAAGAGGAATGCGCCGTTGAGCACAGAGCTCGATGAAGTGTGCACCCTTGAGCGAGGACTCTGAGAACAAGATTCCATTGTTAGCAACGATGCCAACACGGTGACCATGGATGCGCGCAAAGCCCGTTACCAGCGTGGAACCATAGTCACGCTTGAATTCTGCGAACTCGCTCCCGTCGACAATCCGTGCAATGACCTCGTGCACGGGAATCTGGCGGCGCAGGTTCGTACCAACGATGCCGTTTAGCTCGTTGGGGTCGTACAGAGGCTCCTTGACAACGAGAGAATCTCCCTTCCCGTTCTCCAGTTGAAGTGGAGTCGTGGTGGGAGGGTAGTTGAGGTTGGCGACGGAGCGGCGGGCAAGTACAAGAGCGTGGGCATCGTCAACAGCCAAGTAATCTGTGACACCGGAGATACTCGAATGCAATTGACCGCCACCCAGGTCCTCGGCGGAAACCTCCTCGCCCGTAGCTGCCTTGACAAGGGGTGGACCAGCCAGGAAAATGGTACCTTGGTTCTCAACGATGATGGTCTCATCACTCATGGCGGGTACGTACGCACCGCCCGCCGTACAGGGACCCATGACGACAGAGAGCTGTGGAATACCAAGAGAGCTCATGCGGGCCTGGTTGAAGAAGATCCGGCCAAAGTGATCGCGATCAGGGAACACATCTGCCTGGTGAGGCAAATTTGCACCACCAGAGTCCACGAGGTAGATGCAGGGTAGGCGGTTTTCCTGGGCGATTGCCTGTGCACGGAGGTGCTTCTTTACAGTAATGGGATAATAGGTGCCGCCCTTGACGGTGCTGTCGTTTGCGACGATCATGCAGTTGACACCCTCCACCATGCCAATGCCGGTAATAATTCCACCGGCTGGGACATCCTCATCGTAGACACCATGTCCTGCTAGTGCCGATAGCTCCAAGAAGGAAGTGCCTGGGTCAATTAGGGCGGAGATGCGGTCTCGAGGGAGCATTTTGCCACGGGCGATGTGCTTTTCCCGTGCTTTGTCGTTTCCTCCTCGAGCAATCTTTGTGTGGAGGCCATTCATGCGATCCAGAAGCTCTTGCATTTGTTGACTGTTTTCTTGGTACTCTGGCGAGGAGGTGTCCACAGCCGTGGGGAGAACGGAGAGTGCAGAGGCATGGTGAGGATTTGTGTAGCTTGCTATTGTTCTATATGCTGGCCGAGTAATAATTTTTGAATGGCCTAGTGGAAGATACTTGCGTGGACCGAGCCGTGATCCCCAGGCCCGAAGGACGAGCGGGGAAGGGGCGCGCATTGCGGGGAGATTGTGGAGTAGGGCTTGTGAGATGAAGATAGTCTTGACTGAAGAAGTGATTATAGATGCACTGTGGCCATGCCAAATTGGAAAATCAAGTATTGTGTTAAATGAGGGATGTACAGGGAGACTTTATGAAGTCGAAAGCTGGAGTTTCCCCAGATGCGGAGATGCGACGATTACCGCTTCTACCCGCCCTTCGTCATGACAATAATCCAAACACTCGAATAATCAGAACGCAAAGATCAATTGGAAATGGCATTGGGAGGTAAGCTTGTTATACAGAATAACTGTTAGCCTATGCATTCACCTCTAAATTAAAAGAAAAACAAATCGAGAAGAACGAAGTTCGCAGTGTATAGCGTGGTATTGTCGGACCTTGATTGATCGCCGAGGACTGCCGCTCCTGCACGAGAACATTGTTATTTAAAGATCCACCTTGTCCCTGACCCCAGTTCTTGCCATTTACCCTCACATACACATACCCGTCACCATGGCCTCCCTAACTCTCCCATCTCTACTGCGCACATCCACGCGCGCATTGAGACGCAACCGTATCCCCGCACTCAACCCATGCTTCCGCTCAATTTCAACGAAACACCCCGCGGGCTTCGTTCCGCCATCAGAGGATGATCTAGTAGAGCTCCGAGAGCGTGTACAAGATTTCACAAGTATATCACACCTCCTACGTCTCAATTCGCCATGCTGACCTTGTTACAGGGCGAGAGATCTCAGCCGAGGTTGCTCAACGGACAGATGAGCTCAATGAGTTCCCGGCGGAGATGTGGCAGAAAATGGGCGATGCTGGGTATGAAATTTCTCAATTGCTTATTGGCCCTATTCCTTGAGGAGTGAGGCATTTCCAGCCATACTAACTGACACATATTAAGTTTCCTTGGTGTCACAGCAAACGAGGAATATGGCGGCTTGGGAATGGGCTACCAAGCGCACTGTGTTGTGATGGAAGAGATTAGCCGCGCATCAGGTGGGCTTTGATCGTTTTTATTCATTTTTGGGGTTTTGAGCTAACATTATCGTAAAAAGGAAGCATTGGTCTTTCCTATGCCGCCCACTCCCAGCTCTGCGTGAACCAGCTGTCTCTCAATGGCTCGACAGAACAAAAAGCGCGCATTCTTCCAGGTCTACTCTCAGGTGAGAAGGTCGGTGCACTAGCAATGTCGGAACATTCAGCAGGCTCCGACGTCGTTAGCATGAAGACGACAGCAAAAGAAGTGGATGGAGGCTGGCTCTTGAACGGAACCAAAATGTGGATTACCAACGTGAGTCCTTCGACATACAAAGCCTTAAAACACCAACTGATATCTTTCAAGGGCCCCGATGCCGACTACATTGTCGTTTACGCCAAGACAGAGCCAGAATTGGGCTCCAAGGGAATCACTGCGTTCATCGTCGAAAAGTCGTTCAAGGGCTTCTCATGTGCTCGCAAGCTAGACAAGCTCGGTATGCGCGGTTCGAACACAGGCGAACTCATCTTTGAAGATGTGTTCGTTCCCAAGGAGAACCTTTTGGGAGAGGTGAACCGCGGTGTTCGTGTCTTGATGGAAGGTTTGGACTTGGAGCGACTTGTCCTGAGTGCAGGACCACTAGGGTATGCCATCCCATCCCGAGACCCGCAATATACGTCAGTCTAACAATTTTCAGAATCATGCAAGCCGCACTTGACCTAGTTCTTCCTTATACCCACGTCCGCAAGCAATTTGGCACTCCAATCGCCCACAACCAATTGATCCAAGGCAAGCTTGCGGATATGTATACCAAGTTGGCTGCCTCACGCGCCTACACGTATGCCACGGCTCGGCAGGTTGACAACGCCGCCGTGGCATCTGGTGAAATGACTGTCCGCACTCAGGACTGCGCCGGCGCCATTCTCTATGCCGCTGAACGCGCCACCGAGTGCACCCTCGACGCTATTCAACTGATGGGCGGCAGTGGATACATCAACGAGATTCCAGCTGGTCGCTTGCTCCGAGATGCGAAGCTGTATGAAATCGGTGCTGGTACTAGCGAAATCCGTAGGATGGTCATTGGCCGCGCCTTCAACAAGGAGTTCGCCTAGTCTAAATCATAAAATGACTTCATATATTTTTTTGTCTCTGAGAGTAGATGCATTTTGTTTCATTTCAATCGTTTTAGAGCATGCGTAATCCTATATTCAACACCAGCATAAAAGCTATTTCTTCTGTCTAGCCGACCTACGCACCGGCACCGGCGCAGCAGAACTACCCCTACTACCACCACCCTTCCGCGACTCAACTCTCTTCGCGGAAGGTGCCGTATCCTCAGCAAGATCATCCTTCTGCGCAACCTTCCGCTTGCGCCCCCGTGTGAAAGGAATCACAACCATGGGCGGGGACGCAAATTTCGTCCTCACAGAGACCGGCTCCGCGTCCGGCGTTGTATTCGAAACATCACCAGTATCCACACTCGAGCCCGAATCATCGCCATCCATCGAATCACCATCAGACATTTCATCCAGACTATCGTGCGCATCCTCATCCTCATCCTCGTCTTCCCCAGACATCTCATTATCCGCCTCATCAAGGGTCCTCAACTCATCCACCCGCCGCTTCTTCAGCCGCGACTTATCCAGCGCCGGCTGGGAAAACTTAAAGACCTCTCGCCAGTTTTCCAGCAGCGCGACTTTCTCGCCCGTGTGCGGCTCATAGAGGACCGCGACATCCTGGTCTCGATCGAGGGCGGGCGTTTTCCACACCACGCCCTGGAAGGAGGTTAGGTCGGGGTAGAGGGGGGATTTTGTGGGGATTGTGGTCGTAGGCTTGAGTGCGGAGCCCTTTGTTCGTCGTTTTGCGCGGGCTGCAATTTCGGTCCGTTTCTTTCTTTCGGCGCTTTGTTCGGCTGTGCAATCGTCGTCGTAGTAATCATCCGAATAGTAGTCCCAGTCACTGAAGTATTCTTCGACATCGATTGATGGGTCTTCGTATAGTGCGGCTTCGTAGTATGAGGAGGCGGCGAGGTCGTCCTAAAAAATTGGTTGGGGTTTAGTGTCTGGGTGATTGGATTTGCTCATGCGGAAATGTCCGTGGACACCCGACGCATTGTATTGGAGTCTGCACTTACGACCATGTCGGGGACTAAGTCCTCGTACATGAAGTCCTCCTCGTACTCATAGTATTCCTCGTCGTCGGACATGTTGGAGTGGAGACTTGAGGCGAAAAAAAACGAATGTGTTCGAGACTGGGTAGTGAGGGTATTTTATTATCGAAAGAGCGACGAGTCTTGAAAACGAAAGTGAAAGCAATAAGTATGTACAGTGCAAAGATGCGCAGCTGACGTTGCAGAGTGAAGATCGGGCTGATCGTGCATTGAAGATTCCAAGGTTGCCATCCTGATAACATAAGCCTCTACATATATAGTGGAGCACCAGAAAATGGTAATTTTTTCCAAGCCCAGGAAGGCTTGTTACTTGGAAAGGATGAATATTTTAAGTTTAATTTTTGATCTTCTATATACAGAGAGGGAAGAGGAAATGGACTCAATGAATAATTGTGAGCTATTTAGCCCGATAGCATACCCACATATATAGCAAACAATGCTGTCATCCTAGAATCTGGATTTTATTGAAGTGAACTATATACTTCGTACACAAAATATTTGTAGCTATCTGACCATCAAGTTTATTTAGGGTATTATTAAGAAAAAGTTCTGTTAGATTCTAAAAACTTCGAATAGAGGACAATTAACTAAGACTATCTATAAAGCACTGGTTCTAATTTATAGTCTTTTTCCTAAATGGGTTATGTCTACTCCATACATATGTAGTCAATCTCAACCACAGATATCGCCTAGAAGATGGAACTCGGGGTGTGAGACGCCTATAACTGAAAAAAAGACGTATGGAAGTTCGAAGCCGTACCCATGTCACTGGAAATGTCAATTTGTGGAAATTGAGTGTCTTTGCCCACGGGTTATGCTAGAGTATAGATGCCCTCGTCATCCTTGCGTATCATGCCGAAAATAGTGTAGTTTATCATGAGATAGCCCGGAAGGATAAATGTGGCGAGGACTCTAAACGATCGGATGTACTGCTCAACCTTGGCCTTGTTGTCAAAGTGAGGGACATGAGGGAGTTTACCGCCTGATGTCTCATTGACATGAAGAAGGGAAGAGAGAATGAGGTGCTGGACACCAGTGTGCCTCTGCTATTATAAGCGAACTTGGGACATTTAGTCACCCCCACATTTCCCTCAAGAAGGTTCCCATCTTCCTCCCCATCCTCCCATTGGTTCCTCCCGGTTAATTACTTCAATATCGTGATGAAAAAACGAAAAACGAAAAAAAACAAGACAAACCAGCATGAGAACGGGCTCGCAGTATCCTTCGTTCCTAATTCTCTTTTCATGTTATGTATCAACTTACTGAGGATGATCTTGACTATTCCCCTGACCACGATACTCCCCTCATCCGAGCCGCGGCTAAGCGGGACTCAGCTCTTCTAGAAGCTCTTTTAGTCTGTTATGCGGCATCAAGTGCAGAGAATACAACCGAGCGGGAACGTCAACAAGTAATGGCAGCGCCAAGTCTGGCTGCAATGGGCGAAAATGTGGTCAAAGGGTGGATCAGACCTTTTGGGGTGAGGGAAGAAGTGAAAGGGAGATATAATTTGTGACCATCATAGGCAGCTCAGAGGCTAGAATTAGATCAACCTCAAGACAGCCGGTGAGAGAGAGACAGCTTGAAACTACCAGAGAGTGCTGTATCTACCTCGTTGCTATAGTCCTATAATACAAACTTCTTTTTCCCTTTTTCATAGAGGCGTTTGTTTTCATATTCTCTCTTGGGCTCTTTATAATGGTCTTGGTGGCACATCCATGGATGCATTGTTGAAAGCCAGAGTCTCAGTCATGTGTCACTTGATACCCTCAACATTGAAGTGCCCGCTGCTTCATTTTTTTGCTCGCCACCGTCTCCACTGTCTCCATTCTCTCCCTCCCTCTCTGCTTATTTCTCTACTTCCACAGCTTTTCCACAGACAGACAGATACAGACAGACCGCTTTTCCTGGTCTGCTTCTATCGTAAAAATCCTCCTTTTAGAAGAGTGCAACCAAAATCCTAGAGATTATGCCAAAGAAGTGGTCGACCATCATGCAACATCCCGCGGAATTCAACCGGGCATCTCTCGAGACAATTCGCGCTCAGTTTGAGGCGTGAGTGGACACCCAAGGTAAGCGTGAACGATTTAACAATCTGGAATCTACATTGTCATCGATGAAGAATCCCTGCAAACACCGAAAGGTATATCAGCCGAGGACCTTAGGAATGAAGGGCCAAAGAAGTTCAACGAGGAACTACGATATATGAAGATTCTTGAGACATTTCCGATTGTGGATGAGATGTTGGACATGGGCTTTTGGATCTCTGGGCGATGATGGGAGATGGCGACGAGATAAGGGAATTATTCGACTGCATCAATGACTCTCCATTTGAGGAGGTGTACTGCGAGTGGATTAGTGCTTGGCAACATAGAGTGCATCAGAGATCTGTCACTCTAAGGTTGGGGAAAACATCGTTCGACAGGCAGTCAAATAATACAGTACGTCCAGATACTGGTGCGACCACCTTTACCCTTTGACTGATTCTATAGCCCCAATACCAAGATGCACCAGTCTGTATTTGGAGGTTTCCGGAGTACACCTGTCAGTTGAACAGGTATCTTCTTACATAGATTACATATTACCTCCAGGTCTGTATTGGTTAGTAAATTCAATACATCCAACACCTCATTATCCCACCTCTGAAGTAATTTTTTAAGAATAAGGTATATAAACTTTTAATTACGAGTGGTCGAACCAAGATAGCGCTAAACCTAGCCCTTCGAAGCACGAACTGATCTACAACATGATCCACAGTGCTTGTGTGACCTGGGTGATAGCTAGATGCAGATCCTGCTCACTGTTTTAATGATTATGTCACTCCAGCTCAATTTTTCTCTGTAGTAGGTGATAGTAATACCGGATGCTATTCTAGCCTGGCCAATAAGAACTTGCGAAAAACTCTGTATGTTCTTATCCCTGGTTCTGGCAATTTATAGAGATTTAACATGACAAAAAATTAAAAATAGATAGTGGATACTCTCTGGAAATTCACCCGACAGATGAATATCATCTAGCAAGGAAGAGATCGGCATTGACCCTACTTCAATAACACAGCTATCAATTCCTTCTATGGATAGAGATAAAAAGAAAAGACAATGAGCAGCACCCCTGTTAGTTGGACGTGTATGAACGTGTATTGTTCCTTACTTAGATTACTTCGTATTCTATTGTATGTATTCGATTGTAAACCAATAATCTGACAGCTCTATACCCCCACCTTCAAAATAACCTCCGGACGGCATATCTTAACAATCAATCACAAGTGGGGAACCGAGATCGTGAGCTTATCTATGATACAATCCACAGGAACTATCTATATTGCAGATGGCACAGGCTTCTGGCTGTAATGGGAGTACCATTGTTATGACATTGTCCATCGACCTGCACATGAGGCTCCTCTACATCACCACGGCCTAGTTCGATAAAGGCACGACGACCCTTTTGATTTGCTGTCGTCAGGAAGGTTTCGCACTGCCTTATCTTTGAAACTCGGGCGTTCGGGGGAAAACAAATATATCGATTTGTCATCATATGAATTACGTCACGACCAACCCTCTGGGGCTCGTGTCAGTGCGGCGTTATTTCGATCGCAAGGCCTATATTGTAAATGCCTCGAGGATCCACGGGCCCTCAATAGTCGGAGATCTTTGCAAACTGTAGTTACGCAATTAGAGGCTTATTAATTGTCCCGACTCGGTCAGTTAAGGTGGTCGTGCGAGCCTTTAAATTCCCCGAAGGAATCGCAGATTGTCATATTGTTGCTTACGAATATGTGGACTGGATGTGCTTCTCAGAACCTAGCATAGGGATATTGTACAGGCTGCAGATAATCCAGACGGGAACTGAAGAATCTGACGAGCTACGTCTCAAGAGTTGAATTTCTAAGCCTTCGATTACCGAGCACGTTTGTTCGGCAAGCGCGGGGATTCAATCAAAAAGTGGCTGGAAATGACGCATAATACGACGGAAAACATGACACGGGAATTTTTTCCTCACAAGTATATAAAGCCTGCTTTGTAGCTGCAGGCTCCTCACCCTCTGCGTATTCGAAAAGCTTATTGTCTTTGATACTATCCTCACGAAGCCACAGAAGTACGAAGCCATGGTATCTTCCACTATTGACAAGTCAAAGCCGTATTTTCCTCTCGCTGGAGGCGCTGATGATGGCTGGTCTACCGAGGATGAAGCAACGGCTACATGCTTTTGTGGTGCGGTGCAACTCTCATTCGTAAGTCTCGATTCCAATCCTGCTCTTGATTTTGCGCTACTCTAACAGCGGCTCCAAATTTCCAGCCGACCCATGGACCCGGCTACGTTGGTTCCTTCATCTGTAACTGCTCTGACTGCCACAAGCTCACCGCGTCTATGCACGCGACCAACTTCACGGTCTATGACACGCACCTGAAACATCTGCGTGGCCGCGACAACTTGAAGACATACAGCCAATCGCGCACTGTCTTCTTCAAAACTCCCGGTCAGGACAACACCATGACCAACTACTTCTGTTCCACGTGCGGCTCCCTCATGTACCGCGTTGGTGCGGCTTTCCCGGGCATGAGTATTCTGCGCGTTGGCAGTGTGGATGATTTCTCTTTGCATGAGACTAAACTGAGACCCACGATGGAGCAGTTTACTAAGGACCGCGTGGCCTGGAAGGCTCCTACGGAAGGGACTAAGCAGTTCGTGGAGGATGGTCTGCACGTACAGTAGGAGTTGGAGTTGCAATTGACTACAGTACCAGTGCGCACGAATCGTCTATCAAGCCATAATCGGGTCGTCGAACGCGGCCACCTGGCGGTGTCCGGGTTCCCGGGTCTAATTGCCACCCGGGTCTAATTGCCAATTTACCAATTCCATCTTCTTTAATCATTCACTACACCCCCAATTCTTTATATCATGTCTTCAGAATTGGAGATTCGCATTGCCAATGCCTTATTAGCATACCATGCTAGTAAGAAACCCAACATCACAGCTACCGCTAAGCAATTCAACATCTCGCGCGGCACCTTGAAAGGACGTATCCACGGTCGCACATCTCGAAACAACCGTGACGGACCCAATAAAGCACTACATCCTGAGCAAGAAAAGGCATTAATTCTATGGATTGATACCTTAGATCAGGCTTTTTCTCCACCATCTACAGCCCAAATTCAAGGTACTGCTTTACAAATTGTTCGGCGTCATAACCCCGCTCGCACGCTTGGAAAGAATTGGGCTTACGATTTTATCGCTCGCCTACCACCACGCTTTGAGCATCTTACCCAAAAACCAATGGAGAAAGCACGGTTTCAGGCCGCAGATCCTGGTTATATTGTCTCCTGGTACGATCGTCTACAAATTACGCTCAAAAACTACAATATTAGCCCGAGAAATCTATATAATTTCGACGAAACCGGGTTTTGAATTGGCGAAGGGAAGGCTCAAAAGGTTGTTTCAGCCCGGGGCAATTCATATAATAGTACCGGTGGTCAAGCTGAATCGCTTACCGGTATTGAATGTGTCTCAGCTACGGGTTGGGTTATGCCGCCATGGTTTTTAGTGAAGGGACAATTCCATATGGAAAGTTGGTTTATCGACACCAATTTACCAGACAACTACACAATTTGTCCAACCCCAAATGGCTGGACTGATGAAATCATTAGTTTTGCATGGCTCCAGGTGTTCGATGAATTTATATCATTGCGTATTAAAAAGGGGGAATATCGTCTTCTTTTAATGGATAATCATAGTTCACATTTGACCTATGATTTCATTGAATTTTGTTGGACAAAACGCATTATTCCTTACTGCTTTATTCCACATACAACACATGGTTGCCAACCTCTCGATGATACACCTTTCTCGGTCTTAAAGCATTACTACAAACAATACAACAACGAGACTGCCTTTTGGGGTGGTGATGCGAAACATAAAGCCAATTTCTTCGCGGGTATTCATGATGTGCGCACACGATCATTAACCGAGCGGACAATTCGACACGGGTTCCGAGAAACTGGAATTTGGCCTGTCAATTCAGACAAAGGCCTTGAAAAATTGAAGTTGGTAGACAATGATCTCCCTGAAATGCCCGGGTTTATAGTTCATGATATTGCCGGAACTACACCCCCACCACTATCAAGTTCACTACCAAATTCACCACCTACAACTGTCCAAAAGCTACGAAAAGCGAGCAATAAGGTTGTGAAGCATATACAGAATGATGCTACAATTTCCCCGAAGGTGCGGGATAGTCTTTCTCGGATTTTAGCAGGTGGACTCGCTCTTGCCGAAGTTGGTGCTCAATTTGCGGAGGACAATGTTCGCATTTTACGACGGAAAAAACAGTCTAATACTGCTAAAACAAAGCGCAGACTTCCTGAACTAGGCCCTCGCCTAGTTAAGGACTGTAAAAAACAAATATCTGACCGCGCCGACCGAGAAAGGCTGCAGATGTTCAACCGATCTAAGAAATCATGGCGGGATGCAGCTATTTTAAAAGCAATTGAGGACGGCGACATTGAAAATCCAGGAGAAATTGAGGATGATAATAGTGCAGAAGGGGCCCAGGATTGGATAGATGATCTTTATTGTGTTGATACAGAAGGCGATGCTATTTAAATTCAATGAATTCAATGATGGAATTGGTAAATTGGCAATTAGACCCGGGTGGCAATTAGACCCGGGAACCCGGACACCGCCAGGTGGCCGCGTTCGACGACCCGATTATACGTTAATTACAAGTTCCAATGACAATGATGTTGTATTTGCACCCCTAGTGTATCAATTCTTTAGATCCTATCACTTTTTGACCTCCTTTAAAATTCCCTTACTGTCACCAGAGTGGCAAAGGAAAGTGGCAGACACCTAGCCAGATTCTCGAGGCCCTCTTAGGCTCTGTAGTTTGACTTGTTTACATTACTGGAAATTCTAGTTTCCTAGGATCGGCAATACAGCTATGAGACACAGCGTCGTATTTTAATTAAAGTAAACCACAGTAATAGTGCGATACAGGAATATTGATATTACAAGTCTATTCCTAATATAGACTAACCAGTCTTGGTATTAGGGTTTGAGAGCCAATCGAAGAGTGCAGGTGGCCGCACCAATTTCGGGAAGTACTGTACTTTTGTGTGTACAGTTGTGGTTTAATCATTAACTTAAGGATTTGTATAAAACAGAAGTAATTTAAAGCCAATCTAGTGTGTATCCGAGTGCCTTCTTACGCCTTCATATGGGTTCAAGCTGCGGCCTGCGTAGCTTGGTCGTCCAGCGTGACATTTCTTACACACTTAACCCATTGGCCAATATCTCTCACGAATTGGCGTGCAATACCCACCACAATCCCTTTGTCGATAAAGAATGAGGGATCTTGGTCCTCGTGAATCAGTCTAAGATCAAGACTATTGGCTAACGCCACCTTGCATGCTTGCCGAAACTGTGCTTTCAGATTTTCGTCACCAACAATCGATTCATGCCATGCGCCGTAATCTTTGACGGCTTCGTCTCTTAGCCCAGTAAGATTGAGGCCTTCCATGACTTGGTCATTGGGTGGCAGAACCATTGCCAAGGCTGTGGTTGGGTTGGATATGTCTTGTTACGGGGAAGATTGCATCCCATTGAAGTTGATATTGATAGGCTGACAGCTTCCTGGGGTGCCTACCATCTTGTCCTTCTGAGATTGTTGGCTCTCTAGTCTATGCCGCTCTTCCATATATAGTTCTTCACGCAAATTATCCGGGACATCTTTATAAGACAGTAAGACGCCGCCTTTCTCCACAAAGGCAATCAAACGCTTTAATTGATGGCTCCTCAATATATAATGCTTCTTTCTGTGGGGGTCTTGCCAGCAATGTGGGCCAAGGTGGCATAAAGAGGATAGGCAACGCATTAGATTGTAAACACCCCGCTACATCGATTCTTGCCCGGACACGTTTCCTTCGGCATCTAGTTGAGCGTCTCGCTCGTTGAGCATTCGTTTAGTGACCGATGACCTTCCTCTTTTCTCGACCCTACCCGAGGTAATTTTGTGGAGAGAGTCGTCCTCAAAATATTTAAAGGTGATACTTAGCCTCAGTTTCTTGCCTCGACGAAATAGTTCGCCCCACTTTAGCAGCTGCTTTTTAACAGTAGTTCAATCGATGTCGAGATGGTCAAACCTTTTCATCAGGTCGCGTTAGGATCGATCATTCACCGATACAGCGATCGAAGTGTCGTCCGACCTTACCCTTCCTTTACGGGAGATTTTCCTTTCTAACAACCTCTCAAGCTTACCCTTCAGGGTCTTCGGCTAATAAGCACTCGGAGTCAGGACTACATCCTCTTCAGTGTCTCGCGAGAGCACCTTCTTATTCACTGTGACTTTCCATTCTATCGTATATTGGATGCAGTTTGCCGGCAGCTCGTCTTAGCATCCTATCGTGCCACTCGGATAGTTGAAGCATTCTGGGTCTTTCGGGCTCGTGTTAGCATAGGTCTTCTAGATCGTGCTCGGAGTGATAGTCGGGGGAAGGGCTGAGCCCACAGCTTGACGCAGGTGTGCGACCGTAGTATCCTGGAGTGGGAGCATATCACGAATCTTGGTCTCCAGGTTCAAGTGCATGCGGTTGAAGATCACGTTCATCGGGATATGAATCAGTAGTCATCGTCATCGTCTGAACGCTCCAAAGAATCCAACATCAGCATGATCATAACCAGTCAGTCAAGCAAATGCTGGTCTTCTATTAGAAGGCCAAGCTTGCTACACAAAGCAAGTAAATATTACCCACTAGTACTGTCTCTATACACCGCGCTCGGTGTAGCGGTGCGCGGTTGACGGGAGTGGAATTCGAATTCTTGCCACATCTCCAGACGAGAAGAGCAGACAACCCTTGTGTTTGGCCTGTTTGCAGTGTCAACGTTCTAGAGTGCCAAAGAAAAATACAGGTCTAATACAGAAGCTATTTTCATGCTGTTATTTACACGTGTATTGAATTACTGCCAGGACAAGGGTTCAGGGGAAGAGTAACTGTAATAAGTATAGCGTGTTTCAAGAGAGGGTTCGAGATAGATTCTCCGTGTGCAAGTGGTGAAATTAATTTCGATCCTCCCTGTATACGGCGGCGCAAATCAAGCTTAGGTGCAGTGACTAAAAGAGGAATCGGAAGATGCTATACTAGCATGTTGAATGAACCTTGGTACCGGGGTACCACACTATGCCTTTTCAGGACCCCTTTCCTTCCTCGTGATAGGTTCCTGAACTCTATCTCCCGAGCCTCAAAACGACTCCAACATCCATCTAGGCTACAGATCAAGTCATGAAGTACACACCTCGTCCTGCTCCCCCTCTTTTTTTTTTTTCCTTCTTCAACCAATCACAAAATGTGCCACGGACGCACCAGTCTCGCTTTTGTTTGCTTTGACAGAAAAATGAGTAAATTTGTATTCCCACTTGCCTTCCAGACGCTGCCGTCATCGGCACCATCATCATCACCCTTATAAATAGCACACTTATGTCTACATGTATTTCTGAATACCTCATCACCTTGGCTCTTAGGTAGATATGAGGTGCCCTTAGTCTCTATTTAAGTCCTAATCATCTGCATTTTTAAAATCGAGTGTAATTACTCGGTGGAAGCTGCTGGTTACAGCCTTTAGTTGGGATTGATCACTTAGACTCTTCGACCCTCTTGTGTGACAATTTCTTCACGTCGTTTCACATTGCGTCCTTTTACTTGTCCTTTTCTATAGAATCGCGGGAAAAGAAAAGAAAGTCTGGCGGTTGAAGTATAAATTGTGTGGATCTGGTCGGATCTTCCTATGGACATCCCTTATGTATCTTTCACTTGAGTTTTACTTGATTTTGCTGAACAAATCTTAAAAGCGGAGGAACCAAAGAGGGGAACTGTTTGAAATTATCACATGTACGAGAGGTACTCTTTCCAGCTGTTTATTTTTATCCCACAGTAGTTTCTTCCAGCTGGGTTTTACGAGGTCTCTGGTATCTATCAGGGGAGATGGGTTGATTGTGTTATACTTTTTGTAATGGTTGACCCGTTGTCAGATGCTCCAGGGGAGGGCATGACATCTCCCTTCCTGACTGTCTCCATCACAACCTTGGAACTGGTATAGATAGTTGTTGCTGGATGGTTCGAGGGAGGGCATGTCACCTCTATTTCGGGCTGTTCAGTAATAGAAGGAAACCAACTCAATTGAAGATCACTTCATTCCCGTAATGATTTGTAGTAGTTGCACACAAATTCATTCAAACGCCAATCTCCTTCCGTTTTACGTGCCTATATTGGCATTAGAAGATAAATAATATATTAGCATACGTACAAAATCAACGAATAATATTATGGACATCTGTTTGGAATTCGGAAATAATTCACAATCCGAGAGTTTCCGCATTGCCCGAGTATATTCTCTGAATCTCTTCCTCACTGAACATTTGTTGGAGATTCATGTCCATGATCTGACTGAGAGCCCGAGTCATATGCCCAGGGGTATAAGGATAGTCACTACCATAAAGCAAACGACTCGACTCTCCAACTCTCAGGAATCCATGGATGAGATCCGGGAATGGCATGCCGGCAAGATCAAAGAAGAATTGAGTACGAAGCAGCTCTTTGACCTGATCACTCGACAATCTCTCGCAAGACTTGAGCAGCGGAGTCGCCGAGAATGTAGTTAATCTTTCAATGAGCGGAGGCAGCATCGCCCCGCAATGAGAAACAAGGAATGTCAGTTCCTGATTTCTGGTAACTGTGCCCGATAGGATAAGATTCACAACGGCTCGAGTCGTGTCAAACAGATACTCCATCATAGGCGTTGGATACTGTGCCAGGGGCTTATCAGTCTCTGGATTGTCTAGTGAGCAGCACTGTGTCGGATGGACGAACACAACTGCCTTTCGCTCATTCAGTTTGCTGAAGACGGGATCAAATCGCGAGTCTCCCATATAGTAGCCCTGAGCATTGGTCATAAGAGCAAAGCCTACAGCACCCAGTTCTAGAGCGCGATCGATTTCCTCGAGCGAACCCTCCACATCGGGTAGAGGGAGAGAGGCAAAGAATTTGAACCGATCTGGGAACTTGCGACAAACGGTAGCAATTTCGTCATTGGTTTCGCGTGTAATCTGCTTTGCGAGCTCAAAGTTTCCAGTCTGGAGATGGGTGCCGGGTGACGTGATGCTAAGGATAGACCGTTTGATGCGAAGCCTGTCCATTATTTCAATATGAGCTTCTGGGGACCAAGACTAGTGCTATGTTAGATAGGAGTGGAGTGGTTCCCGAAGCCAACGTACTGGTATACATGGCATTCCGTCAGGTTTGTCCCAGCCTAACTTCTCGCACCACTTTCTCCATCCGTCGGGGATAATGTGACAATGAATATCAACTCTCTCGGCCATAATTTGTTTGGAGCATTAGGGTGATTCAGGGCAACGTCAGAATTAATTCCCCGAATCCATGATACATTTGCCGGAAGCACCGGCATTGAGTAGGTGGCTTGGGTCGGGATCCTCTATTGTGGGGATTTTGGAGTCTATCATAGCGGCCGCCGCCGGATCAAGAAATTTGTTGACACTTCAGTAAATTCAACGATGTGCTGGACAACGCTTAATGGCTTAGGAAAGGCTTGGTTTTCTTGATTTTCTTGATAATCTCGATGAATTTCCCCAAGTATTCAAACTAGAAATTGGGAGCATCTTTAGGCTGTAGAACTCGCCAGCTGGCTGCCCTTGTCTATATAGCGATTAGCAAGCCTTTTATATCCAATTCCTAAGTGAGTATTTACTCACTTCTTTCAGAATTAGCCTTTAATTTAACAATTCACGAAGATAGGAAACACCTAAGGCATATCCTTGATATGATCATTGTTAGTAACATTCGTTCGAATAGTCTTCAGGAAGCAGGCTTTTTTCTCTTCGGCGATTGTTTTAAGCGATTTTCAAAGGCAAGATTTCCCATTATAGCCAGCGAATAGTAGCTGAAACATTAGGTTATATTAATTGGACTGGCGCGAACTCGCTCTGCAAAATTAAAAAGTTGCTAGGCGTATTTCGTAACGACTGGATCATAGGCGCAGATTGCTGAGAAGGTTTTATCTTAGTCTTAATTCTGTGTCAAATGGTTCAAATGGGAGGCATTCCCCTTGACGTTGAATCTTTGACCCTAAAAATTCCGGCGGCACGTATGTTCTCGCTTGTCTCTGTTGAAGGACAGATAAATTCGCGAGTCGAGCGATGTATGCATCATTTCATTTCAATGGAGCACGGTAGATTAGTTTGCATAATAAGGATAACGAAACGCACAGTCTTCAATTCCGTTATTCGCAAAGTATATCATCAGAATTGATCGAAAACATAAGGCATCAGATCTTGCAATACATTTCCCAGAGGCCGGAGTCTCCGAACCAGTCTAAGAACACTTCATTGAGCCCCTGTCGCAGGAGTTCATCTCCCATATAATATCGACTTGACATGTTCAACACAGCAGTCCCAAGAACACTTTGGACCGGTTTACCAAATTTGATTGTTTCGATCGATTTCTGGAGATCCATCCAATACGGACTTTCCGGCTTCCATCGCCGTTCCGCATCCGCTACTGATGCAAGGAGTTCAAAATCTGGTAGGTTTCGAACAACTTTCCAAATCCTCGGTGCATCATAGTATGCCGGTTTGCCGTACTTGCTTAGGATGTGCTGTGTATATTCGGGATCGACCATTTGGCGAGAAGTCCGCCGCAGATAATCAATTTGCTGGTCTATGAGGCTGTGTATATCTTTTCTTTCTTGGGCAGGGTCACACTCCTTGTCTGCCTCATCAAGGAAGTATGTAAGTTCGTCCCTCAGTTTCCGCAGGCGGTACTGTGCCCATTCGGGATAAAGTGAGGCTGTGTCTGCATAGGGTCGGACATTGGTTATATAGCTGGAGTCGTAAACGTTTGGCATCTTGGAGCGATAAGAGGTGATCGTGGATATGCGTTCTTTCACGCCTTTGGCACGAGCAGCTAAATGACAGACTTCGCCGCCTTGGAGCATGACTGCGTGTCCGAGTTGTGGGCCCTCAACCTGGAGAAGATTTGTTTAGCTTAATTAGCTCACTTCAAAAATATCAGGGCAAGTTCACTTTTTGAGCTTCTCCATTTCCTTTCTTGATATATGTCTCGCCTCCAATCATTCCATCAGTCTCACTCAACATCAACACGCAAACGTATGGATACGAGTCATAACTTTTACCGGTTAGCTGTTATATTCCCGAGTGGACGTTTAGGTGAATGACATACTGCCATGGAATGATGGAGCTTTTATCTGTCAATGGGTCGTAAGCTCGATCTTCAGGACTCAGCTCGAGCGTTTCAGCCGTCGGCTCAACCCTCAGATTACTAGCCATTTCTGCGATGGTGGTGCCTTGAACTTGGATGTTAGTGTGCCCTATTTCCGTCGGCATCACAACCTCCAGAGGTACACCGATTGCTTCAGATACGAATCTCATTGTATCAGGATGCGTCCAAAAATCATTGATAAATTTCGACTTTTTCACTGCATCACGCAAGACCAATGTTCCTGGGAATGGGGAACTGGCGCAGTTTTCGATCACTTCCTTTTGGAACAGGGCTCTTCGGTAGGCCCTGACACCTTCTGCTGATAATAGTGGAAACGGCACAGTTCCCGCAATGGGAGATGTGGTCGTGCTTGAATCTAGGAGAAGTTCTTCCATTGTGAATTTCTTTATAGGGGGGACGTAGTTCAGATGCACCTGTTGGGTGAAAATTTAGACATTCGCTTTCGTAAAGTCGTGTATCTTACATAAGATTAAGAGCCACAAACTGCTAAATGTACATACCTTTGGATCAAATACATCTTCTTCCGGGGAAGAGCCCCAGGACCACCTCTTCAACAAATTGAGTGGGTTCATGGTGGGCGCAATATATGAATGGAAACCTATGTTCGTTGCTCAATTGTGACGCCTATCTATTTCAAATAATAATGTTGAGAGCATCTGAAGACTAGAAGAGAGAAGAGCCAAGTTGAAGCCCAAATTTATCCTTCAATAGTCGAAGCAACCCAAGCTATAGTTACTTAGCTAACATTGACTCATTCGGCTTCAGCGAAAATGCACCATTCCTAACTAGGAAAGACTGTCCGGAGCATATCGCTTAAATTGCATATCAGTAGGATCGCATCTCCACTTTTAGATGTTTGCCATTTGTATTAAGCTGTGTGTTGCCAATCAGATTGCTCTCGTGTGCTGCCAGTTCCTTATTACCCCACAACTTCCTGCAGGATAGGCTTCGCCATCTGCATTCGGATGGATCTGCTGCTTCGTATTTCCTGGAAAGGTAAACCAGGCATCAATTACTTTCTGCTCGCATCGCTATCTTATCAGCCTCCGTACTTGATAAGAAGCAAGGCTGGCATTCGTCAGTTAAGTGACTCCAGTTGAAGGTCAAAAGTTCAAGCATATGACATTGAGCTATTGCCTTGCACTAAGCAGATCTTATGAATGGCATGCTTGATATGCAAACGTTCATGTAGGTCTATAAGTTCTCTAGTCCACTATGGCAACCCAGCATTCACCCAGCATGATCACCCAGAAGCTAAACCACCTGTTGAGCAATTCACCCTGAATGAAGATCCAGAACAAATTTCATCATTCTCCCAAAACGACGACCTCTATGCGGCCCCCAAGTGGGAGATGTGGGCTTATTGTGTGTATTTCGTTCGAAATTATCGTCGATCCCTCTCCAATCCAAACAAGCATGCCATTTGATTGCGACGAATTCCTTCTCATCGCTAGTGGCGATACATGTTCTAGTATGCAACCGAGTGCGGTCTTTCCCTCTCGCAATTCTTCTCCTAGAACCCTGGCGTAGCATCAGACTGCTCAACCCTCGACCTCAGAGGCTATACATTCTGTGCACATTTCCATCACCAATCCATCCCCAGCCCAGACTAGCATGGTCTCCATTTGGGATTGTCTTTTTAGAGCCGCCATTCATATGGCGTGATTGCATCGGCGGAGGGTATCTCGCTTGCATCATTGTATTCTTGAGATCTGACTGTAGGGACTAGTTGTGCGGGCTTTTATCTAAGCAATTACGTCTGTGTTGGAACCGGGCCTACTCTAGTGCCCAAATTTTTGGGTTCTGTTCTTAAGAGGATTGCATTGACCGTGGATGGTGTATCTATTATTACACTAGCACCGAAGATGGGTTAGTTTGAGGTTTGGTAGACGCATCCGTCCGAACTAAAACTCATCGTCCATTCCCACTTGATGTGTATGGACAAGACAGTCTCTTGCCATGTTCCAATCTTAATTCTGACATATTGTAGTGCACCTCGTATGCCCACTAGCAGGTGCTAAAGTTTAGCGGGGCTGTTAGCCGAAGAACCTAAACCAGGCATGCCCAAACCAAGTACAAGTACCGCCTGGCCACCCCCAAAAGTCACCCGTTATTCTCTCCTCGGCATGTCTAAAATTCCGCCATTGGACTTCAACTCGGCTTTTTCAGAGCCAAAAACAAGTGACGCCAGCAAGGCTGATGAGCCTCAGGAAACCTCCTACGCATGGGTTCATACCACCCAGCCATCTCTTTTCTGGGAATCATCGCCGAGCACCCAACATCCCTTAAACTAGGAAATATGAAAGCTGCACTTAGCGCCGGCGCCGATCCAAATGAAATGGACCACGAGCGTGATCCACGTCGCAGTCTCGGTCGGCCTCTTCATTGCGCTATACGGGACTGGGGCAATCCTAACTATATTAAAGAAAACATCCCAGCAATCAAGCTACTGCTCGAACATGGTGCCGACCCCCGCCTGTCCGGTTCAGAGGTTAAGCCAGCTTCTTTAGGGCTACAATTGCCTTTGGAATGTGCAAGGCGACTAGCGATGGGCGAGTGGCGGGGGATGGATGAACTCTTGGTATGTGGGTATTATGCAGAAGCTTATCGTGTTATGAAAGAGGCTGCTGAAGATTGGATCGTACGTAAGTGCTTATGATTTTGATATTTGGTTTGCTGATATTGTGTTAAAGGAAGGGTGTGATGCAGCGATGAAGGGAAGGGGCTTTGTGGACTCGGTACTTAATCTCTTTGGCGTGCGGTAGATCAGTTGTTATAAAAGAAGCAGTGAATTTTTTGAAGGCCTAAAAGCCATTACAAAATGAAGTTTTCCTTGTAGACTTGACACCTTGCAATAGGGCCTCTTAACTGATTCATGTGATACTTGAAGAACCAGGCAGGGGATCTTTTGCATTATCCAAAGGAAAATCCTATGATCCATGGGGGTGTCCCTGTATCAATCCACTAGAAATGTATGTAGAGAAGAAGAGAGAAAGAGAATAGCTAAGAAAGTATGTAAAAGTTAAACGCTTAGAGATAGAATAAGGACCTTAGAAATACGGTGTCAACCATTACATAATCAAGCATTCATCCCCCGAGTCTTTCCCCGCAATCTCGCTTTGCGTCGGCTCAACAAGAATAGCTTCCGAGACCCTGTAGACTTTCCCATTCTCTATTTTATCCCTTCGAAGGAACATTATGCCATCTCTATAATTCTTTCAACAATCTGTGAAACCCCCTATTGCAGCTGCAGAAGCTGCTAGCACTCTACCATCATGACCCTCTCATCCCTTCTCCGCATTACTCCACGCTTAGCCCCGACCGCGGCCCGCAGAACAACGCGAGCTGCATCGTCAGTCACCACTACCCCAAATACAAAGTCATTGGATTCAATCCTTATTGCTAATCGAGGCGAAATTGCTCTGTATGTTTGATTTTGATGTTACCCCGGATTGACTGCTAATCTCTCCAGACGAGTTGGACGCACGGCTGCTGATCGTGGAATCCGTGTAACTACACTCTATACTGATCCGGATAGCAAAGCTCAGCATGCTTTGAGCTCGCCATTTGCTTTTAATTTGGGGTCGGTCTCGGCGTACCTTGACGGTGATAGGATTATTGAGATTGCGAAGAGAGAAGGGTGTCAAGCGATACATCCTGGCTATGGATTTGTGAGTTGATTGTGCATAATTCGGGCTACTAAATATGATGCTAACTGCTATTCTGATACATAGTTGAGTGAGAATTCAGCATTTGCACGAAAATGTACCGAGGCTGGGCTAGTTTTCATCGGCCCCCCATATACTGCCATTGAAGATATGGGAGACAAGAGGTGTGTTCTTTACTTCGCTTGAAATGATTATTATACTTACTGGGACTTTAATAGCCGCTCCAAGGAAATTATGACAGCCGCCGGTGTGCCGTGTGTCCCGGGCTACCACGGAGCAAACCAAGACCCAGTCTTCCTGGAAGAGCAGGCGGATCGAATCAAATATCCAGTGCTTATCAAAGCCGTCAAAGGAGGAGGTGGAAAGGGCATGCGCATTGCCAGCTCCAAATCAGAGTTCCAAGCCCAGCTTGAGTCAGCAAAGTCAGAGGCTATGAGTTCTTTTGGAGATGACAATGTACTTGTGGAGAAGTATATCACTACGCCACGACACATTGAAGTCCAGGTATTTGCAGACAAGCATGGAAACTCCGTGGCTCTTGGAGAGAGAGACTGCAGTATCCAGCGACGACACCAGAAAGTCCTGGAAGAATCTCCAGCGCCTCACCTTCCTGATGCAACTAGGAAGGATCTCTGGGACAAAGCCCGGGCGGCCGCATTGGCCGTTGGCTACGAGGGTGCTGGTACAGTCGAATTCATCTTCGATAATGACTCTGGCGAGTTCTTTTTCATGGAAATGAACACCCGCCTGCAGGTGGAGCATCCCGTTACTGAGATGGTCACCGGACAGGATCTTGTTCATTGGCAGATCCTTGTGGCCGAGGGAGCCAAGCTACCCCTTACGCAAGAGGAGGTGGAAGAACGCATTGCCCAAAGTGGCCACGGCATCGAAGCCCGCATCTATGCGGAGAACCCAGAGCAGGGTTTCATCCCTGACTCAGGGCGTCTCCTCCATGTCCGAACGCCGGCTACTTCAGACGATATCCGCATTGACGCGGGCTTCGTGGAAGGAGACGACGTCTCGGCCCATTATGATCCCATGATCTCCAAGCTTATCGTGCGGGGTGCAAACCGCGAAGAGGCCCTCCGAAAGTTGGCCGCTGCGTTAGAAGAATACGAAGTGGCCGGCCCAGTGACCAACATCGAGTTCTTAAAAACGATCTGCAAGAGCCCGGACTTCATCGCCGGCGAGGTCGAGACCGGCTACATTGAGAAGCATCGCGAAGAGCTCTTTGCCAAGAAGCCAATTGAAGACGAAGTTTTAGCCCAGGTCGCATTGGCATGCCTACAACGCGACACCGTCTCCGGCGCAAGCTCATCTGCAGGCGTCGCAGGGTCCACCATCGGATTCACACCCAGCTACCAAGAGCGACAGCTGTCATTTACCGAAAGCACGGGTCCAGGGTCTCCTGAGGGGTCTACATTCAATGTGCGAGTACAGCAAACAGCCGATAACACGTTCAATATCGAGGTCGGCGGACGAGTCTTCGAGCAGGTGGTCAGCCGACTAGATCTGACGTCGCACATTGTGACCTCCTTTTTCCCACACACGCGGCTGGACACGACCGTCGTCCGAGATGAGGACACTATTATTGTTTTCCAGCGCGGGACGCAGTACCGACTCACCGTGCCCCGGGCCAAGTGGATGGAGAAGGCGCTTGGAATGAAGGATGTCACCAACAGTGTCTTGGCGCCGATGCCATGTAAGGTTCTGCGGGTAGAGGTGCAGGCTGGAGATGTGGTGGAGAAAGATCAGCCTTTGGTTGTGATCGAGAGTATGAAAATGGAAACGGTTATCCGGAGCCCGCAACGGGGTACAATTGCCCGGGTTGTGCATCGACAAGGAGTAAGTCACGCGCCTTTACCCCTGACTTCGATCTAGAATTTTCCTGCACCCCGTGACGGGGTTTTGTGTTGATTGTTTTGATTTCGGAATTTTTCGTGTTTCCTTTTTTGTTTCTCGTTTATTGGGGCCCCTGCCGTGTCTGGGCTCTTTTTGGATTTCTCCATTCACATAACGCAAAGCTAACATGTGCCTTACAGGATCAATGTAAGAGCGGAACACCGCTGGTCGAATTCGCCGAGTCTGAATAGTTGAATATCTGGACGACTGCCTAGGAAAGAATATTCCCCTTGGTCTGCTCTTATAAAATGAGAAGGAAAAAAAAAGAATTAAGATATTATTTTACAACGCATTCAAGAGTTTAGTATCTTGGTAGCGAAATGGTATAAATTGTAGTTGATCTCCGTATGATGATAGCCCGACAAGAAAAACTGGGGTGGAACTGGGGAATCCCCACTTGAAGCGGAGTCGCTGTTAACTATTTACTCCATACCTCCATACATTACGGTTGTACATTGTTATTACTCTGCATACAACATTGTACCCTTTTGAAGCTCAAGAATCGAAGTTTGATGCCACGTCACTAGCCGGGTTTGTTATCGAATTTTTGCCACTGATGGACCGGTGAACGAAATGCATGACACAAAGATGACTAGGCGGCAAATGTGGCCCTGCTTAGCTGCAGAAAGTGACTGGTCTTTTTAGTCCTTGTAGCAAAGAGCTATGTACCTAGTACCCGCTGCACGAAGGTACTCCTGGGTTGGCTGCAGGGGAAACCTTAGAATATTCAAGAAGAAACCCTATGGAAAGAGAGATTCAACTTATCTGGCAGTAATAATGAATCTCGAATATAGATCTATCCGAGTATACTAGCAAAAGGACGTATATACATCGTTACATACATCTTAGGTACATATGTAGGATGTACACTAAACTATGTCATCCTCATAGGAAGTAGATCGATCTCCACTTTAGCTTGAGGCAATCATAGCGAGTCCCCTCTTTATACTATTTTTGTATTTACATATATTATGATTATGATCTATGAGAAAAAACAAAGTATTCAAAACGAATAATACAATTGGTCCTGCCTTTCACCGCAATTGTCACATTCCCCAGCTCCTTCGCTCCATGAAAATAATTTCCCAGACTTGTTTTCTGTACGCCCTTCCCCTACCCAGCTTTCCTTCCATCAGACCATAACCTTACATACTCATCTCCAGTGACACCAGCTGTCCACCTCAAAATGTTCAAACCAATCGCCCGGAACGCCATCAGAGCTCTAAACGCCCGCCCTGCATTCGCAGCTACCCGCCCAGCTATAGGTTTCAGACCTCTCTCATCCACGGCTTCGCTCAACAAAAACAAGAAAAGCGATGACAAAGACCCCATTCTCTCTGCAACCACCAAAGCTCCAGAGGGAGCATCCGGTGAACATGAGGGCCAATTCGCACGTACCGACGAGAGCGTACACATTGAGTATCCACCGGACAGCGAGATGCCCGCTCAGCCCGTCGCCCAGGGTCGAGGCGGTATGCATTTCAAGCGTACTCTCGCCCAATTCTCTCTCGAGAAGAAAGTCAGCTTGGTAACCGGTGGAGCTCGTGGGCTGGGTCTTGTCATGGCCCAAGCGCTCGTTGCTTCGGGCTCTGATTTGGCAATTGTTGATTTAAACAGTATGTTCAACAACGCGTGGCCGGATCAAAATACTAACATCTATGATAGAGAACGAAGCCGACGCTGCTGCTGCTTCGCTGGTTGAGCAGTTCCGCAAAGAAAACCCCGGTCTGGAGGAGTAAGTGTGGTTTTTATTTCTTCCTCAACTTTACCACAATGACTAACTCCAATACCCAGCATGCCAAACGTAACAGCCCACTACGCCGATGTCGCCAACCCAGAATCGGTCAACAATGCCCTTTCAGAAGTCATTTCCAAGCACGGGCAAATCGACAACCTAGTCACCTCAGCTGGTTTCACCGAAAACTTCGACGCAATCAACTACCCCTTCGACCGTATGCAGAAACTCTGGGGCGTCAACGTGGACGGCACATATCTTTTCGCAACAGGTGTCGCAAAGCACCTTATGGAGCGCAAAGCACCCGGCAGCATCGTCATGATTGGCTCTATGTCCGGTGCCATCGTGAACGTCCCCCAGCCCCAGGCACCGTACAATGCGGCGAAGGCTGCTGTCCGCCATCTCGCTGCTTCGCTTGCCGTTGAGTGGGCTGGTCATGACATCCGTGTGAATTGCATCAGTCCCGGATACATGCTGACTGCTCTGTGAGTTGAAACTGAATTTGTGAAGTTGAATACATTGCTAACGTTTTTCGTATAGTACGCGCAAGATCCTTGACGAGAACCCCCAGCTACGTGATCACTGGACTTCGCTCATTCCCGCTGGCAAGATGGGCACACCTGAGGATTTGATGGGAGCTGTCACTTTCTTGCTGAGTGATGCTTCCAAGTACATCACTGGAGCGGATCTCCGCGTCGATGGTGGCTACACTGTGACCTAAGCCGCTGGCGCTTGCTTCCTGCGATTTGACAGTCATATTGCATTATAGAGCGATGATATTTTGACGCATGTGCGCTTAGGACTGTTCTATCATATGTTCTGCGTTCCAATTAATCACACACAATATTCTGAACTTTTCTTTCCCAAAAACAACATCCCGAGTCTGAGCTTTTGTCTCGCTAGGGTCAACTGGCGGATCACGCGATTGAGCAAATCTGATCTTTGTGTATGCAAAAACTGAATTATTTCACCATTGACCGCCTCCCAGGGCTTTCGAGAGGTATACCTCACTCAATGGGGTCTAGATCTTCTCGCATTCTTGTACCAAACAGACGGTGTAGATCTAGAATGCAATCATCAGCCACATCTGACTCTGCATTCCGACCTTGAGTAGGTAATCCCGGTTCAGATCTTCCCGTTGTTTTAAGCATGCTGGTTACTGACCATATCTGCATTCCAGGTTTGTTTCCTAATAGTCGAGAGACCTGCATAAACCAATGTACACTAATAAATGCAGGTGCTGTTTCAGATCGAGAATCGGACATGCTCCGTTCCAAGTTACATCACTAACTCACCAAGCAATTTAAACATTACCTGCAATCTAATCAATCCAACAAAACTGCTGGGCATTAAAGTACTCGGTGCAGATTTCCCAACTGAGCATCAAATCCACAAATCCCCGTCTTGGCCCCATGTCGATCCTTTTTATCTCCGACTCTCCATGCCAAACCCACTTAATCCAAATATAAAGGGGAGCCCAACAATCACACAATGTCATTTCCAAAGCACCACCCATCATGCGTCTCCAATCATTAACCGCTTTGACCCTTCTGCAAGCCCTCCCAGCAACCACAACCCAACTCTTCAACTTCACCAACTACGTCGACATCGAAAATAGCCAACTCCGACCAAACGGCCACCTCCTCCTAACAACCTTCAACAAAGCCCAACTCTACACCCTAAACCCTTACTCCCCAACACCCCAAGCAGAGCTCATCGCCGCCCTCCCAGGCGCAACAGCCCTGACAGGCATCGCCCAAATCGCGTACGACAGATACGCCGTCGTAGGCGGCGTCCGCGGGTCGTACCACTATGACAACGAGACGCTGTACGCAGTCGATCTGAACGGCGTGCCGCGCGTTGATATCATCGCGCGCATCCCGGACGCCGAGATGCTGAATGGCATGGCGGCTTTGCCGTGGCGGCCGGATGTCGTTTTGATTGCGGATTCGCGGCTGGGACGGATTTTCCGCGTCGATACGAGGACAGGGGTGGTGGAGGTTGTGTTTGAAGATCAGGCGCTGGCTGCGCCTGCTAATGCTACGCTGCCGATTGGGATAAATGGGTTGCAGGTTTTTGGGGAGTTTGTTTTTTTCACTAATAGTGCGCGCAATACTTTTGCTAGGATACCGGTTAGTGGGGATGGGAGGGTGTTTGGGAGTGTTGAGGTTGTTGCAAAGTTGGATGCTGCTGCTGGTGGGGATGATTGGGATGATTTTGCTTTTGATGGGGAGGGTAATGCGTATGTTGCGCAGCCGGGTAATGCAATTGCTAGGATTGGGGTTGATGGAATACAGAGTATTGTTGCTGGGGGTGGTGATAGTTTGGATATTATTGGACCTACTTCTGTGCAGATTGCTCCCGGTGGGAAGTGGGCTTATGTTACTACTCGGGGTGGTGAAGAGAATGGTTATACTTACAGTGGTCAGGTGGTTGCTGTTCGGATTTAGGAGATGTGCAGAGAGGGGTTTGTAAATAATCTTAGACTGTAGATAGCATCGATTGACGTTGATCTTCTTTATCAACATGTGTTTATTCACTCGCAGATCTGAACTTCTCCAATCTATTTAGTAATGATATCGAAAGCTGAGGTTCTCTTTGTCAGTCAGATCATCAAATGCATTATCCAAGTTCATTTCGGATGCCCGCCAATCCTGCTCCTGTATCTGTAAGCACACTATACCAAGCTAGGTACAGAAAAACTCACCTGAAAAGCATCCTTCCTTGCATTTTCGCTCTTCAGATACCACCTCAGACTAAGCAGCAAAATGACGATAACTCCATAGCAGCCCATATGAACCGAGAAGCAAGTGAAGTATCTCGGTGCATCCTTTGACTGAAACACCTGCGGGCCGATCATATTTCCTACCGCCCAGGCAAAGAACAGCGAGGCAGTACTTACAGACTTCTTCGTCTGGCCGGCGACATTGCGGGATAAAAGCGACATCAAAAGAGTGGTTGTACCCCAGAAGGAGAGGGTACACCAGTATCCGATTAGAAGACCGATACGTGTCGAGTGAGAGATTGGGACGGCTGAGAATTGTGAGCACAGTTGAGCAAAGACAAGGTTGGATAGGAGACTTGCCCATCAGAACTGCTGTTCCTGCTATGTTTGGCATGAGGAAGATCTATGTTCATCAGCAACATAACTTTTATACCGACGGATAGCATTACCAGTTGAAAGATAATGGTTTGGTTAAAACGCCGCGAGAGCCACGCAGAGGTCAAAAGGACAAAACATTGAACGCCTCCATTTACCATAGAAAGAAGCTCAGTTTGCAGTTCCGTAAAGCCGAAATTCTTGATCAGGATCGTCGAGAAAGATCCGAGACCGCCGGTTGGTATTTGGATGCTGGTATCACAAGAGTCAGCAATGAGATAGAAGAAACCAGCATGGATGCGTACATAATCTGGATCAAAATATACAACCAAACCTGCGGGTCTTGAATAGCTTCCAAAACATGCGCCTTTTTGAACCTCTTATTCTGGATACCCGTTTGATTGGCTCTGACCCGCTCGATCATGAGCACGCGGTCTGTTTCTGAAAAACAGTGCGCGCGCATGGGACTGTCCGGCATCCACCAGAAGACAAACATTGACCACACACAGGTTATAGAGCCGAGGAGAATGAACAGGAATTGCCAGGACTTCAAAATCGGCGAATGGACATGGCTCATGCCGTATGCGAACAGACCACCGCAGATTCCTTGGACGCCATTCTGTAGTTCTTGTTAGACATCTCGTGCCAATGATGTCAATTCTTATGTACTGACCATTCCCTAAAGGCGAGTCAGTAGTGAAGTCGGACCTTCGATCGAAATGAAACTTACAAACCAGTAAGTCACAATATGGGCTTGTTCCTCTCGCTTGTACCACATAGATGATAATAGCAGGAAGGTAGGCTGAGAGACGGCTTCGAAAATACCGAGGAGTACTCTAAGCGCCGCGAGGATAGTAAAGTTGAAACCGAAACATGTCATCGTCAAAGTCAAACCCCACAGAAAGATATTCGCAGCAAGATACTTCGCAATCGGCACCTTCTGCACAATCAGATTGGTCGGATATTCCGCAAACAAAATACCAAAGTATATAACGGTATGAAGCCAAGAGTACTAAACAAAAAGCTTAGCAAAGCCCCTACAGGTGAGGTCCAATGGCGATACTAACATCCTGCCCAACAAGATGTGCATCTTCCTGGATGCCCATGATGGCCGCATAGCTGATAGCGTTCTTGTCCAGCGATTGCAGGAAATAGGTGCCTACCATAACAATGAGAACGCGCTTGTTGATCATATGTCGGAGCCGCTTGCTAGTCGCTTCGTCGACTTGGACGTTATCAGCGGCGACGACGTATTTGCGCAGTTCCTCATCAATGCCGATATGCTTGCTTGAAACGACGTCTGGATCGGGGGACCCAATGCGCTCGAGGTGATCCTGCGTTGGTTTCGTGTCGCCCATGCTGAGTGTCGTCGTGCTTGCTGGTCCGCTTTCTCCACATCTGCATCTGCATCATGCATCTTATACGATAGCTTATACAGTCTGCGGCATTGGCACTTGCGGGGTATACAAGTCGGCATGCGAAAGCTCATAACCGAATTCAAGAATGCGGGGATTTCGATCCAATCGTAGGGCTTGAGTTATCTCTTTGTTGCGATACTGCGTTGCATGAGAATACAGTCCTATAGAATCATTGAAGCACAATCCAGAGATCATATCCGATTGGTCTTCTGAGATGTCTTTGTGGCGCGGAAATGTCAATTTTGGATCGGTTGGCTTTGATACTCGAGCGGAAAAGCACTTGCGGCTGCCGAGTGGTGGAGAAAACAGGGGTTCAGATCCTGGGGTAGAGCGCCAAGCTCGGTAAGGACAAAATACACGGCACTCGATGAGGGGCTGTAGATACGAGAGCCGATGACCCGGAATATATGGCGTGGTTTGGACTCTCATTGATGGAACGTCTACTGGGGTCTGCGAACGATTGTCGATCGCTTTTCCGGTGGATGCTTTTATAACATAGATGACAGAGCCAACGATTTCTCGCTAGGCTACTCCAATTTTCCAAATCATCGTCTTTTCTCTCAATTTGACAAAATGCCGGATAACGCATTGTCAGTGTTTCTCTCTCCTGACGGGGTAGAGAATGTACCATTTGAGATCAAAACGCCACTTGCCAAGATGACCTTATCCGATACAAAAGCCTTGGCTTTGAAGCTTGTTGACAGTCTCGTTCATCTGAAAGACACGTCTGGTGAATTCCGAGTACCGATTCCCACTGGTGGCTTCAAAGTTGATTCCAAATCATGGAATAATTGGGAGTGGACACAGGGCGTTGGATTGTATGGCATGTGGATGCTTTTCGAGATCACTGGCGATGAATCAGTACTCGGGCATATCCAAGCTTGGTTCGATCAGCAATTTGCGAAAGGAACGCCGACGAAGAATGTTAATAGTATGGCTCCTATGTTGACTCTTGCTTATTTGTATGAGCGGACGGGGAAATCTGAGTATCGGGCCTATTTGGACTCGTGGGCTGAGTATATCATGGATGGGATTCCACGGACTGAGGGTGGGTTAAATATTTCAATATTTGCTTTAATGATAAATTTGTAATATCGTTGGGCATTGGACTAATTTCCCAACAGAAAACGGAATTCAGCACATTACCTTCCGACAAGTCAACGAAGGTCAGCTATGGGACGACACCTTGATGATGTGTGTCTTGCCTCTGGCCAAAATTGGAGTGCTGCTCAATCGACCCGCATACGTCGAAGAAGCCAAGCGTCAGTTTCTTCTGCACATCAAATATCTAGTGGACAACCGCACAGGGCTGTGGTATCACGGCTGGACATTCTTGGAAAGACACAATTTCGCAGAGGCCTTGTGGGGAAGAGGCAACTCATGGATCACCATCGCGATCCCTGAGTTTTTACCCCTTCTCCAGCTTCCTCTTGGTGATCATTTTAGAGAATATCTCATCTCGACTCTTGACCAGCAGGTTTCTGCGCTGAAGAAATTCCAAAACGAGAATGGACTGTGGCATACCCTTATCGATGACCCTGCGTCATACTTGGAGGTCTCTGCGTCGGCAGGCTTTGCATTTGGAATTTTGAAGGGTGTGAGACTAGGATATCTTTCCAAAGAGCACCGATCGGTTGGTCTCAAGGGACTAGAGGCTGTTCTCAACAATGTGAATGAGAAAGGCTTGGTGCAGAATGTAAGCTTTGGAACGCCAATGGGGCCGACTAAGGACTTTTACAAGGCAATCAAACTCACGGCCATGCCTTATGGGCAAGCAATGACGCTTTTGTGCATGGTGGAGTTGATCAAGCGGTTTTTGTAATTAGATGCTACCTAGACAAGATTTCATAGAAGGCATTCCAGGCTTGCAACAATGATGCCTACGAAAGATACAATTTCATAACCAAAGCAAGATATAATGTTAGAGAACATTGGCTGTCGACTAATTTGTTGTATAACTAGGTCAAAAACATAGAAGGAAGAGATGAGTGAACGACTAAAAAGGCCTTAGGTCGACGCAAACGCAAACGAGGCCAATGAAGAAAGCGCCAATTTCGGAACAAGCAACTTGTGTGGAGACGCTTATGTTGTTGAATGTACTTTCCCCTTCCGTTTTCAAAAACTCTGTGGCAACTTCCTCCACCTTTCTTGAATAGGAAAAGTGTGGATCGAAATTGGGAAAAAAGTGGAAAGGTCCACATGCTCCGAAGCCACAACCTCAAGTTTATAAAGTGGAGAGGTGGGATTTGACTTTTTGATGATCGTCAATCCATAGATTCGATGACTAGGACTGTTTCTCGAGATCTAGCATTTCTATATATAGGTTTTCATTTCCACTTTTCAAACACCGAGAAAGCAAGATGTGATGTATTTGATTATGTCTGCCCCGAATAGTCTTGCTATCAGGCAAGTTCATCGATAGGTTGTCGACAGCATCAATGACGCATACACACTTTTGCATTGAGACCGGGGATTATGCCATGTGTCGTTCTAGGAGTTATGGATTGCCATAGCTTGGTCTCTAGGCATGAAATCTACTAAATCATCCACAATGCCAAGAAGGAATGTGGAAGGGAGCATAGCTGGATCTTTTTGGAAGAAAGAACTATAAATAGCACCAAGTAAAAAGCCACTTTAGTCCCAATTCTAGACATTTGAAATTGTCATAACCATCTCAGAGAAGCTAAGCTAAGGTAGACTAGTGGCGATTGTTTTTCAATAACTTACTTTAAATCAAGCTTTGAAGATTTTTCAACAGAATCAATCTTCTACGTTGTACTGGTACACCGTTTGCGGATGTTTTGTGGAGAAATGTCCCCCAGCTTTTCTCCGCATACCACATACATGACTCAGACGCGTCAAAATCCAGGGGTTTAAGTGAATGTCACCTCGGCAGCCCTTCTCGAATAGTTTGAAGGAAATTTCTCCAGTCCAACTGCATCAGATTGCGGCGATCTGTGTCACATGTAGCAACTTGGCCGGTCACTAATAGGGCCGTCTTTGATATACCTATCCCTGCTTGCAAGAGACGCGCAATCGAGAATGTAATAATAAGAGGCGGGGGTTGTCTACTTTCTTTCATCACAATTGGTTTTCTGTCTAAATGAATTTATTTTATTTTTCAAATCTCTGTTCCGAATAGACTCATCGTCTACAAGAAATACAGAACGGTGAAGCCCAATCCCGGCCCGTCCCGGTGATCCCGACAAAACAACGGGGATGATACGAGTTTGACCATTTGGATCTGCAAAAATCCCCATACTGTGTGGGAATTCCTGGAATCAGGGAAGATCTATCGATAAGGACTTTTCTGGACTTCTGAATCTAGAAGGGGTCCACGTACCCCCCGCCTTGACCGGTACAGTTATCAAGGGTCAGCTTCTTTGTCTCAGGTACACTCCCCTTTTTTTCTGTTGCATTTCACACATTCTCTGTAATTGTTGTGATTTTTTCTATTACATTCATGTGAAGCAAGAAAACAGATCTATTGCATGCATTCACAGGACCATCGATCAAACGTTCAAACTGACGCAATCGTGATACCTCAGGATTTGATTTTCTTCTCGACGTCTTGAAGATTTAACCTCTTAACCTCTAAATTTGCCACTCTACAGTAGTACGAGAAATCAAGAGGTCGGAGAGATTTTTGGCTTGCGGTTTGCAATTTCAAGCTCGTTTATGTTGTCAATCACTTTTGTTTCCTATTGAGCACAAAGGATGAAAGCAAGCCTTGAGTCTACCCCATCACCGTCCACGCGACATTCGGGACTTGATCATTACCCTCCTTGGCCTCACTATTGATCTCTGGTATCTTGAACTCCGTGTCATTTTAACTGCGGTTCAAGATGGAGCCAAAGCTCCCACAGGGTCTGGTAACTGTGTCGGGCGTTCCTTCGAGCGACGTCTTACAACAAGATAATCTGAGTGCTGGGATTTACAAGAACCTGTGGCGAGGTAAGACCCGTTCAGATCCTACTTCAATCATATAAAGTATCTTCGTGCTGACTGAGGCCAAATAGTCTACTACACATCACGTTTGGCCAGCAATGACGAGACTGAGCATCGCCTAGAACATCTTTTCTGGCGGATATGGAGTACCAAACGACTGTCGAGCCACATGAACACTAACACCTTGGATCGTCTCATCTTAAGAATCAAATCAGCCGAAGTATTGGTGGGACAAAAAGTGATTGCTCAGCAAACGATGTCGTCGCTTACTGAGGGAAGTAACAATGAAAAGGTAAACATAAAACACGATTGCCCCTCGCCATCTCAACCCCATACTCACCAACTTTCAAAGCCAACTGAGCAAATCAAGCCCTGCGATGTTGGAGCTTGCTCCATTCACCCCATATTGAAGAAACCCCAGCCAACCCAAATCGAATCACATAAGAGCACTCGCCTCCTCCTCGACACTCCCACCGGCACAAAGATCACCCTCAACCCTTCCATCTCTCCCACCGCAAGCATGGCCTCGCCAACTTCCATCCCCGACCTTGCGACTTCCCCAACTCCCATGCTCGATATTACAACCCGCCAAGCTCCAAAGAAGACTCATCTGGCCGCCACTCGCAATGGCCGAGGCCCACGACGCCGTCCAGTCTTCAACCGCCGCAAGTCTTCACAGACTCCGCTTCCAAGGACTCCTCCTATTACAACTCCTCCTCCCCGTCGCCGCTCCGAGCCAGCCGCAAAGCCCGAGCCAGCCAATGAGAGGTACGAGGACAGCTATGTGGAGCTGGGACTTCTGCAGCACCTGAGTTTCCGCGACGAAGAAGACCAAATTGCGCGGGATCTCGGACACGAAATTGCTCCTGAGCCGAAGCCCGCCAACCCACCTGTTTCGCTATTCGATGAGGATTTCATCGAAGATATCGTCCCCGAAGTCACCAACAAGACCAAGGCTTCGCCGGTTCCATTTCCTCGAGCTTCATCTCTCAAGCATCCGATGTTGAGCCCTGAAGACTGCAGCCGCGTCAAGCATTCTTTCGACGTTAAGGATCTCGATTTACCCGGTGGACCTGAGCTTGCTTCAGCCGATGATGTTGATGGAGACTGGATGGATGTCGACGCCATTGATTCGACGCTTCCTGTCTCTCAGCCGTTCAAGAATCTTGTCGAACATCGTGAAAATGTTGCTGATCGGGCTCGCGCGATTATTCAGACCCAGGTCACCCCTGCTGTTATCCCTGCAGCAGACAAGCATACTCCTTTGCTACCACTAAGCATGGAGGGAGTAAAGTTGTGATTGATACTTGATGCATGAGTGACCGAGCTCTGATCCTAATATCTCGATTTCCTTGAGTACATCTTTCTGTATCCTGCCAGACCAGACTCTCCCTTGTACATTACCATGCCTCAGTGCATACTGAATATCCCTTACTGGGAACACCACCATAACGAATAAATGTATTTCCTAGCATTTTGGAGCTGTTGATAGCACAAATGGGGTTGACCACAGGAAAAGGTCTTTGCATACCGTATGGCTCGAAATCATTGTTTCAGCTGCGTTCTAATATGGATGAAACGATGATGGCATTCGTCTATCACATTGGGATTGCTGATGGAAATACTCCAATGACAAGAATCGTGACCTTAGGTATTGCCCAACCAATGAAGAAGAATTTCAAATACTAGTTGCTGAGCCTACCTCACTCATGTTCTCCACTTTAATGATTGTACAGTACACGAATACAATTGATAACTTGTCAAAACCTAGTCTCTACTTACGGTATTTTAGTCATACATGTGATGGACAGGGGCATAAAGCTTGTATTGGAAAGGACGCCGTGATAATCGGCAAAAGAACCCAACACCAAAACTCCCAAACACACAAACGAAACAAAAAGAAAGCCAACGCCATACCTCCCACCATGCTTAAATGTCATCAAGACACGCATCAAGAAAGGCAACTCATGATCAAAGCACTCCAGCCCGCTGGTATCTAAGCCTCAATCTCCTTCTCAACATCAATAGCGCTCGTCCGCTTACTCTTGTACCAGCGCACCGCAATCCATAAAGCAGACGCAACCCAGAACCCAAGATTAACAAGATCGACCCAAACACCATGACGCATACGATTGATCTTCGAAGCATCGTCATCATCAGCCTTAGGATAAACACCAATATACAACTTAGCGAAGACGCCGAAAAGCGCCAACCACAGCACGCAGAGAATAAGCTCCCAAACCAACTGCGGCAGCAGGAGAGTCATGCCGGGTGACGCGTTCGTACCGAGCTTCTTCGAGACGAAGGGCTTGACGAGACGAACGAGAGCCGTGGTCGTTGCTAGGGCGCCGACGACAAGGGCGTACACCCACTGGCTGCGCGAGATGTTGTTCTTGTGGTCGTGGCGGACGTCACGGCCGTACAGGCCGATGACGGTTAGACCGAAGACGAATTGGAGGAAGCGCAGGATGGAGAATATGATGGATTTTGGCCTGCTGGTTTTGGTTTGCTCTGGTGGGGAGAAGTCCATTGTTGTTCCTGGGACTGCGCCTTTTGGGTACCCGCCTAGTGGGTAGGGTTCGTCGGGTGGGTAGGGTGGGTAGACGCCTGCTTCTTGGAACTGTTCGTGTTGTTTGCGGAGGTCGCGCTTTTTCTTTTGCTTTTTGGCTTGGGACCAGCCGAATTTGAGGGCTGGTTTGACGAGCATGGGGAGTAGGGTTGCCATTGGATTGGTGTGGAGGTGGGTGTTGCAGGAAGGTTGGGGTGGATGGTGTGAGTTGGGATTGAAAGGTGCTATCAAGGTCGATGATGCTCTTTTATTGGGATATAGCGCACAGCGCAGTTCTCACAAGTTCGAGAGGAAATGTGAACGTGTAGATATTGTTGATTCAGTAGACCAGATGCCGAATAAGAATGAGAGGTATTGTCGAGAATGAATAGTCAACAAAGAGAAAGTTGCCGTATATTGAGAATAGAAAGTAAATGTATAGAACAAAAAGAAAGAAAGAATAATAGAATGAAGTGAAAGAAAGACGAGGCTGTGGTTTCATCAATACAAGAAGCAAGACCAGCAGTTCTTTATAGATATAGCTCTAAGAAACCACGACAATTCGTCAGGACCCACTAACAAAGCTCAATGTTACTATTTTCTGCAGCAGATGAAGATGAAACAATTCTTTCTTCTTTCAGATTTGCGCGGCTCGCTCTTACGTCTCCCATGTCGTCTGTTACATGTCCTCCTTCATGTCCATCCAAAGACACCAAACCGGGATGCAGAGATGAAACGTACGCAAGGATCGAAATAGAATGCCAAGCGTTGCCAAAGATGGTTTATGCAGACTTTTCTAGGATTGCAGAATTATACTCTGCTTCAGTTCGCGCGCGCTAGGTCGGGTTTGATGTCGTTTCAGCGCGGCGCTTGATGCTAACCCACGATCCAATCAGGTGGTGCTACGGTCTATCCAAGATTGACAGCTTACCGGAACAATCAAAATAGCAGAAAATGATTCTGCAGACTTTTTTTTAGTGCTTTTAACTCTGCCACCTGATTGGTCTCTACTGAAGAGTTGCAGAGGCTAGTAGAGGAAACACCTGCGCGGCTATAGCCTCGTCTTGTTTGTGAGCATTGTAAAACTACCGGGCCACCAGAGTAGGGATATTGTCATTTTCGCTGACTACGTAGGCTTGAAGATAGATATTTTACTTGCAGAGTAGAAGCTTGTTGATCAGTCTAAGAGATATAAGTGTCAAATTGTATCAAGTTAATTGTGAAGATATCAGAAGGGAATGATTTCTCTTTTCCTTATATACAAGACATGTAGTCAGGCAATACGGTCCAAATGCTTATGTCTAGCCGGCAGCCACCTCAAAGAGCAGTGTAGACCCAGAATGTGACAGTTCCATGACACAGGTTGTATAATAGCCAAATCGCCAAATCCTAGAACCCCCTTAAATGGAGGCAGTTGAGGGATGAGAATGTCATCGAACCATCGAACATGATGGTAGAGAAACTGTGTAGGTCTCGAAAGTAGAAGAGGGATACCCATCAATATAACCATGCTGAAGCGGAGCGAAACCACTCTTAACTACGGCATACACCATACAAGGGAAACAGCCATTGGATCATCTCACATTTGATTCGGAATATGCACATCGCTCAAGGGCGGACATTACAATTACACGGATAACCAACACTCTTCTCAATGAAATACTCGCCAGTCCAATATGCTTGAGAGGGGATTTGAGGGACTTCCAGTTCCTTCATGCAAAACCCACGAACGCCAAATAAAATAGTTCAAACGCCCCTTCGACCCGAAAAAAGAAAATGCAATGATAAACTTGGAAACAACTGCTTAATGAACCATCAAACCCGTCAGGCCGGCCGACTCGCTCCGGCATCTGCAGCACCTTTGATTCCAGGAGCAGAGGCCGTTATCTTCGGATAATTGCCATCGGGCGGCAATGGAGGTTTGAGATCGGTGGGAGAAGCAGGGGCGGATGGTGGAATGTGTGAATGCTCATCATCATATTCGAGGTTGTATTCATCATCGGGAAGACCCGAACCGCCAGCTGAGGAGTGGTCAACCGAAGCGCGGTCGTATCCCTGCTGGTAGGACTGGTTGTGCTTCGATGCGTTCTTAGTCGCCTTCTTGGTCTTCCGACCCTTCATCTTGGCTTTTTCCAAAGCCGTTTCTTTTCCGCGAGTCGCTTGCGCTCCTTGCGGTCTTTCATCTCGTATTGTCGAATTAGAGCTTCGGGCGGACGCCCAAAAATGCTCTCGTATTCGCAGAATTCACAAATCCAGATGTCCTCCAAGCTAGGGGGGTGATGCAGGTTTGTGTATTGTTGCTGGATCTTGCGCTGGCGTGCCGACAGTGCGTATATACTGGCCGGTGACCGCTTCTTCTTGGGGACCACGGGTGGTTCTCCACCTTGAGCGGGTGGTTGTGTACCCGGAGGGCCGTGGCTCATGGATGCACCCATACTCGGGCTAGTCTGTGTTCCTTGTGTGGAAAACCCTCGCTGCTTCTGATTCGTGTGACTAAGAGGCGAAGTGGGAGATCGATGAGGGATTGAGTAAGTTCTTTGCATGGCCATGCCTTTAGAGGAATCGGACTCGCATGTAAATGTAAATTGAGTTTTGATTGGGGTGGTGTTTTCCTGGTCCAGCAAACTGACGTTGCTGGGACCCCGCGGTGGGGACGAAAGTGTTGCGTTCGCGATGGCAGTGGAGATAATCCCTTGGTCAGGCGATTCGCCTGGAGAAAGTTAGTAAAAGTCCCCAGATTTGGAAAGAGCATTCGGGAAAAGCACATACCGGAAGGACCAGGGGATGACATCAGCCCATCTCGCCGACTCGGGGTCCGGGTGTGCATCCATCCATTCTGGGCATTAGCCGACAGCGGGGTCCTGCTGCTACTGCGTACAACAGGCCTCCCTAGACGACCTCTACCTGAACCAGATATTCCACTTCCCAATGGCGACGCAGGGTTCCCACTACCATAGTATGTGCCGGTGGAATCACTCGGAGCAGGCGGCGGTGCGGGGGTTGAATTTGCCAATCCCATGCTGGCAAACTCTGGGGACAACGCGGAATGGTGTCCACCCAAGTTTCCAGGTGTTGGTATTTTTCGTTTTTTCTTGTTATTCGTATTCTCAAACGCGTCGTACCCGTCAGGTCCAGATGAGGACGATTTGGCTTGGGGTGCATCAACGTTGGGGAAGTTTGGATGATTGCTTGACACGGAGGGTGAAAGAGAAGATCTCCGCACACCATTTCTGCGGACCACTACAGGACCATCTTCATCCCCACTCTCCAACTCTACTGACGTCTCAAAATTATGTGCATCAACCTCCGGCGACAATTCAGTCTCAACGGTCTGTTGCACATAAACTTTGGACTCATTCACCGCCTCTTCTGAATCCGCGGAGACACCATAAAAGATTTGGGATGCTGGTGGCGTTGGAGGGTAGAATATGGTGTCCGCGGCGTCAGATGAAAGGCGAGAGCGCAGGGTCCTTCTTGGGAGAGGACGAATCAGACGATCGGGATAGATGGTAGAGGGTGTGTCAGGGGCCGAGTTGAACGCCCCGTCTACATGAGTGCACTCCACGTCAGTAACTGAATAACTAGCAGACCTGTCCCCTAGGGAAATCAGATGGTCCGGACTATGTGTCCCTGAGCAGACGTACTCAATGTAGCCGTCATCATGCAAGTTGTCTCCACGCTCGCCCTCAACCACCGGCGATGCTAGTTGGGAAATATTCCAGCCCTTTGGCTCTGTCCTTATTTCCCCCGCCACCGTTTCTGTTTCGAAGGAACCAATTGATCGGAGATCAGTGCTGCCAAGTCTGGGGGGTAACGTAGTCCAATGTCTGTAATCCTCCATAAGCACTTCCCCTGTATCATAGGAACCATCCGGAAAGTAGACAAACACAAGAGTCAAGCTCGTAGATGAGACTCCGATCCAGTCTTCGCCTTTGGTCTAGTTGTCCACAATCCGGAGGTGAATACCACCTACCCACAAAAGAGTGCTATTACTCAGCACATCCAATATCGATGTCTGGTTTCGGGGAATAGGGATCCGGAGATAAAAATAGAATAGCACTCCTGGAACCAACTCCAGGGCCAAAGTCAAGCTAAATGGGACGAATAGAGGGGTTGACCGAAGGGCTTGGTGCTGGTGTATTGTGAAATCTGCCAAATTTGGGGGGTAATGTGGTCCAAGTCACATGACTATTGGGAAACTATTCAACTGCCTCGGGGACCAATGTATTTGCATCTATGCATCTGCAACCTACTTACATATATGTATGTATCTCATTGGTATATCCTAGGTACCATGTACCGTACCTTTGGTCTGCTTACATCGGTGTAGAGTGTTGCACTACTCTAGTCGGAGAATACCCCCCTTCTTCGATCGACACGCGGTACCTGCATCTGCAGTGAACAAACCATCACTATCGCTAACAGAGTATTGGGCATGAACCTATTGATGACAAGAAACAGCAAACGCAAGCCCCAGCTCGTGCAACGAACCTTCATCGAATACGATTAGACCTTATTGAATCCCCTCCGGAAAGCCCTACTGAACAGCCCACTTGACCCCGCGACACACATCCACCACCCAACCGAGTTTCGGAGGGGAAAGAATATCATATTGAGGATTATGACAAGTGGTATGATGATTCTCGAGTCGTATCCAGGGCTCAGGTGTCCTGCTTGCCAAAACTGACGGCGGGCTCAGCTCGTGGGAAAAGGGTACATTCCTAGAGTACAACAAGTGATCAGGCATTGGCAACCTACGGACAACAGGAATTCGTTTATAGGCATAGTGGTGGAGTCGATATCTGCGGCTTAAGTCTTCTAAGCCCATTAAACCGTGGCTGACTCTTTTTCGTCCATTTTTGGGTCTCTTCTGCTATGCGTGATTTCACCTAGACGTGTCGCATTAGACAAGGAAATACTCAACAAGAACGTACTTCCTATTGCCTGTTTCTTCTTGCCCCTTGCTCACTGGTTAAATCTGTTTCACTTTTAAGCTCTCTCGTTGTTTTTCTCCCGTTGTGCTGCAAAACGGGAACAGTGAGTCAAGCGTAGCCCACCATAATTGTAGGACCCAAAAAAAGAAGCCAGTAGAGACAAGATATAACACAACCTCAATTCCTTTGAGAAGATACCGGGAAGAAAAAAAAAGTGAAACACGTAAGACATGCGTGAGAAAAAAGGAATCGCGCGTCTCCAGAGCGGGGAAAGCCGTTCAATTGGATCTTTTGGAGTCAGTCCCTTTCCGCAGCCGGCCTTTTGTTCTCTTTTCCTCCCCGCCATTAACTACAAGGAATCATTTCTCGGACTATGTAGTCATCGGGCTCTTTATCGAGCCTTGTGATGCCTTGATACAGAAACTTCGATTCCCAATTGTCTTTCTTCTTTTGTCTTTAAACCTTCTCGACGAGGAGCTCTTCGATCGCGCCAGACAGCTCCCTCGCAAAACGGCTTTTTTCGAGGCCCTGCTAGCAACCAGCCATCTTCTCGAACCCTCATTCAATATTTATAATTTGGTTTCCAGAGCACCTTTATACTTTCATTCAGATCTCGAAAACCCTCCCTCACCATGTCACCTCGTCGTTCCTCTCGGGCTCGCACGTCCCAACCCTCTCCTGCCCTCCCACAGCACACCAACTCCTCCTCCAGCTCCTCAAATTCTCACACTCGAGAAAGAAGCACTCGATCGAACCACAAAAATGCTTCTCCTCACAATTCGTCCGGTAACCGGTCCCAGTCCATCGAGGACGAATCTGGATCCAAAGATCTCCCACAAACACGGCAGCGCCACCGCGCCCACGACGACGACGACGATGATGCACCCCGCGAAGATGACGAAGATGATCTCGACGATGAAGAGGAAGAAGTAACTCGGTGTCTCTGTGCTCAGCAGGACTATCCAGGCTTGCCTCCCTCTCGTCGCGAGGCCCTCGGTCGCGGTGCCATCAAGCTGGAGTCGATGCAGGTTCCCCTTGACCCATCTGACCCTCTGTCAGATGAAATTGGGAGCATGTTCATCCAATGTGATTTGTGCAAAGTTTGGCAACATGGTGGTTGTGTTGGAATCATGGACGAAGCAACAAGTCCTGACGAATATTTCTGCGAGGAGTGCCGGAAGGATTTGCACAAGATCAAAGATGAGCCTAATGGGTGAGTGAACAATTTTTTTCTCTTGGACCTTCATCACTATATCGCCTTTTTCTTGCCATCAAGCTTCATTTCAAATGGTTGTGGTTTGCCCTCGCTGCTTGGAGGGGTTGCTTTCCGACGCAGCTCTAGGCACAATCACACCCACGTCAGGAGCGATAAACAATTTTTATCTTTCATAATGCTATATTACATCTCTCAACCACAATCATGCTGACAATCGTTTAGTTCGCGCTCCTCCACCTACCTCCCTGTCGCACCGGCTCCGGCGGCACAGCTTCCTCCTCCCCCTCCACCACCTCCGGCACCGGCACCCCCAACGGTGCCAGCCGTGCCAGCCGTGGCCCCGTCTCCTGCTCCATCTTCTCGGGCCTCCTCGAGAGATCTTCCAAGAGAAACCTCACGTCGGTCTAAGGACCCCAAATCCCGAAGCAGTGAGAGTGCCGCCGCCGCCGCTGCTGCTGCGCATGCCAAGAGACGATCAACCATGAACAGCAGAGATGCCGCCTACGATGAAGAAGAACTGATTCGTCGCGCAATTGAAGAGAGCAAGGCGGACACCAAAAGCAATGCGGATGAAACAGAGACACTCGTGAGAAAGCGAAGTCGGAGTGACAGTGTGACGTGCGTATCTCCAGATCAGATAGTGTTGGCTCGAGATGTAGTTGCTGATTGCTTTGCCAGGAACAGAGAAGGTACAAAGCGCCCACGAACTTCTACATCGCCGTCACCTGGCGCTCTCTCGAAGCAAAGCAAGTCGCCGTCTCATCCGCCGTCTGATGATGAGTCGAAACAAAAGTCTGTAACCAACGGGACTGGGACTCGGAGACAGAGGGCCACGTCTCGAGGCCAGTTTGATAAAGAAGCAGTCAAAGAGACCGATGAAATGGAGGTCGAGGCTCCTGAGGTGGCGAATCGCCGGAAGGAAAGAACAAACCGGCGAAAAGGAGATGGTGAGTGATACCACCACCCCAACCCTATTCCACAGTCGCTAACAGTTTGAACAGAGTCTGAGCATGAAAACGGGTCCCCAACAAAGACCGCGCCGCCTGAACCCGAACCTTCCCAAGCAAGCCCTAATACCCCGACACCCCAAGATCCTACACCTGCAAGGCCATCAACTCGCAAATCCGGCCGACCTCCAGCTCGTCGCGGTCGTGTTGGACGAAACCAATATACGAAAGATCGGGACACGAACGGAAATGGAGATGCCGGGTATATGGCGAATTCCCCGCGCCGCGGCCAGTCCCACGAAATCGGCGGAGACTCTCCGCGCGTTGGATACAGCGGAGTCAACGGCACACATATCAACGGCGGCGAGTCGGGGCGACCCAGCAAGCCACGCCACATGCACCCGCAGCGAACCACGATGAACGAGATGAAGCGCCGAGTAGCTGCCATCCTCGAATTCATCTCGCGCATGCAAGTCGAGATGGCGGTGGCCAGCGAAAACTCGTCCACGCCCACCGGCAACGGCGACCGAGCCCAGGGCCTGCTTTTGAAAAGCATGGTTGACCAAATCGACAGCGCCATGCCGTCAGCAGGCAGTGACGGCGGGGAGTCCGCTCCTGCTACCACAGATGGCGGATATGGCGAGTCGGTGACGAATCAAGAGAAAGATTTCAAGGAACTAAGCAGCGTCGAGATGATGGACGTGCTTACTCGCCATCTGCTCAAGTGGCAGCAGGAGTATGGCAAGTTCGGAGAACGATAGTCTCTGTTCTGTCGCTGGTTCCTTTTCATCTTGTGTTTTAAGCTTCGTCGCTTCGCATCACGATACCCCTCTCAATTGCTTTTCTCTCACTGATGTACACTAGAACTGATTTCAGCTCCCTTTTTTTCTCTTCTCTTTTGTCTTCTTGTCATTCCATACCGGTCCGGCGTCATACTCATATGGAAAAACAAGGGTGGTAATGGTGGATTATCCATGGCCCTTTGTTTTTTTTTTCTGTCTTTTTACCTGGGATTATATGTTTTTGCTATGACTACGACGTCTTGCTGTTCGGTATAGTCGTTCTTCCAAGATTTCCTCTTCTTGTCTTTTTGAGCTCTTGATTGTCTTCATTTCGGCGTACAGGTTCTGGGTGTTGGAAAGTCAGGACCTATATACGGCACTTTGTCTCGTAAGAAATTCTTATCTTTTGGGACTAATATCACTGCTCTTTTCTCTATTCAAGGTAAACATCGCAAACATAACACACTAGTAGTAATAGAGACTACGAGTGGACTTGACTCAACATAAACGGGAGCATGCGATCTCAAGATCTCTGGGTTCTTCCGACATGACCGTAAGAGCTCGAGCAGATGAGTGGTTGTCGGCGGCCGGTTCAACGTCTCGTCAGAAATCGCATGTGAAGAGTCAGTTCCTGGAATGTTTTCATCTGCTTCATCAATTTCCATGATATTGTGCACTAGCACCTTCTTCCATTCGCCGGTGTGCAGGAGAGTTATTGCTAATCGGAATATTCAGCTTTTAGCATTAGCTGTAGTTGAAAACAATTCTAAGAATGGGATTGGTATGTTCAATTAGTAAACCGGAAGTAAATAACTAATATCTTCCCCGCAATTTGTTGTACCTACCTAGGCCCTTTTATATATATAGCTATCCCTATATACTTCCACTCATTATCCTACCTTAATACTACAAATTAATTCCAAAAATACATAGAACATTGCTGTCGGTTTATGTGACTTGATAATAAGCGCTGAAAAGCACGTACGGCTACGTCTATCCCTGGCTCCATGAAGCAAATGATTTCTGAACTGTTCTCACAACCAGACACTAGCGATGAACATTGACATGGGACGTCGTACAATTTCCACTTTTCCAAAATTAGGAACCTTGGAGACTGTTCAGCTCATTGTTTTCATCCACGAAAGTCTGCCCTTGTTGTAGCACTACCGCGATTACAATCAACGACTAATCTTCTTCCTTCTCGCGTCGTTCGCACGATCACGAGCCTCTCCGAACAAAAGGTAGCACCAAAACCTGATTATGAGCACTTCTTCCGTTGTACGAGTGGAGGATGGCTCTGGGATGAAGAACAGCAGCTCAGAGACAGGTATAAGGCCTTTAACATGCTGAGCTCCAAAGCCTCGCAGCCAAAGCTGTTCAACTAGACAGATGTATTTCCATAACGAAGCTGGCAGAGAGAGGATATAACAGTCTTTCGGCTGATCATGAGCGATGGAAAAGGAGTGCTTGCTCGTATATCAAAATCAAATGCCGGCCCACCGTTCTACTCGACCGCTTGAGAAGTCGCTACTATGGAGCTTGTAAATTGACCTTAAATCGGCCAACCAATCGCGAGGGCAGATAGTTCATGTCCAACCTAGGCTCTAGATTTTTTTCAACTCCCCGTACCTCAAGTATTGGATTGGAGTGCCACATCATAACACCGTTGGCTCGGAGTATACCATTATGGAAGAAGCATCTGGCACACAACTTGGAGTGATCTGGGACTAGCTGAGTCCTTGACAAAAGACTTTTAACTATGAGGGAAATAGTGACTATCGAGCCAAACATGCTTGCGGTGTCGTTTTCGCAGCCATGTATCCCATCAAGTATATTCTCCCCTTTCTGGACGGTCTCTGAAAGTTCATTTCAGACACTGGCAAGAATTTGGCATCCAAAGCAAATGCTCCTACCGCTCTACGCAGGATAAACTACATAGCCACTCCGTTGATGCCGAGGGTTGGAATGAGGTCCAGAATTTCTTTGACAGTATAGGTCTTGTGAAACGAGATGACTGGACACCTCCTGATACGTTCGACGCTGCCTTGAACTTCCTTCCTGAGCTTCGGTAACGGGGTCTGTGGCATATGAAAGGGTAAGAAAAGAGAGGGGTTGAAAGACAGACTCGATGTGCCAGAAAATAGGCTGTGTTCAGGGCCTAAGTCGAGAAGAAAAGAGGCAATGCTTTTTCACATTCTTAACCAAAGCACCACTATTTCTATGAAACTCAGAGCAATTCCGGGTTTGGTCTATTTGCTGACGAAACATTCCGGTTTCTGATCCTTGTAGATGTTTTCAAGCTCGAAGTCATCTATCTGATGGGTTATATCACACACTTGTCGGAATGCAGCTTCGGAATACATTTGATATGGACACCCACTATATTATTTGACGACCACGTGCTTGAGACCAGGAATCCTCAGCTGTTGAGGCAGCTACACCACCGAGATTCGTAAATCCGTGGAAGTAGTTGGGTTTGAATCCGAGAAACAAACCCCGAATATTTGTGAAAATCGTCCTGCAGTTGCCAGAGAGCACAGTGAATGCAGATTTTCCGGTATTCCAATTTATAATTATATCTGTTCTAGTTTTGATCTTGATGAAAATACATCCAACTCAACCGATTCTTTTCTTCGAGCTCGCAATTCGGGTTCCATGGTTGTCAAGCGATGATAATCCACACTCAGCCATGGATGAGCCGATCTAGGATACGTTCGGATTCTCCCGCTATGATCAAACCCAATTTTGAGACCAGGGTACATGAAAGAGGGAGGACATTTGGATTCCAAGTGCAGAAACCACAAAAGGAGATGATTGTACTATATCAAGGCGGACGAGGGTTGATCTGCGAATGTATATAATTACATGTATCTAGTAAGGCCATTGGTTTTCTGGAACAACTTCGAACAAAGTGTGGAAGCTGCACACCTGCACATGGTCAAATATTGGGTCAATTACGAAGCAACTACTCAGATCGTGCCTTCTACGATCACCAGCTAGGAGGTGTCATCAGTGATGGTAAAGGCTTAGAAAGGCCGCTACAAGGCCCGCCGGCCAACCATCTCACGCCTCTGGATGGCCGAAAGATGAACCTTGCAGCCAAGCGTATTGACGCTCTGGAGATTGACGACGTCATCATGGTGAGCGGCACTGGGTTTGGAAAGACCTTGCACATTTAAAGTGAGAGACGAAGCAAGGGCAGAATGAGAGATTAAGTGACTGGTGGTTTCATCGATTAATTATGGAGACCGTACTCAGTAGACACGCATCATCCCTAGCAACTGTATGTATTTCGAGCTTTTTTGCTGACGATATATATCACTGGCTAGCAATTCGAAGCCTCAAAACTAGATTCCAGATATATCTTCGAAAGCTGGAAACCTCATGGCCGTTTAGCAATTTTAAATGATAGAACTAAAAATCATTGTGGTTGATGTATATCTTGCGATTGACAAGTCGATTTTTTGCCATTATACCATGCTATGCGTCTTCTAGATCATGGATGTTTTTGCCATCTAGAGCGCCTGGCGGTAGGGTTCAGAAGCTCTGTTAGTCCCTCGTGGTTGGGCAAGCAAGCCGATCGAGGTCTGAACCTAAACTCAATGGCTAATTTGGACAATTTTGACTCGTGCGATAGCTGCACATTACTTTTTCTGCCCGCTGATAGGCCCGTTCAAATCATATGTTTCGGCCGGTGGTTGAAGCACAGCCTGCCGTTTGCACATGCTACATATTACGAGTTACATGCAGACACGATGACCAATCAGGAGCGTTGCCAGCTCTCCGAGCTTGAAGAGCGTTGAAGCTGGTCAAGCATGGGAACGATCAATTGGTGTCCGCCAGGCATATGGGGCCAGCAAATGATTAGAATGGATACAATGATGTCGACATCAAATCCAGCCACACGTGTAACCACTGAATCACATACAATATTGTACACTATTACCGAAGTACGACCAAAGTACGAAAAATACATAAATACTCATCCCCAGCCTCGTTGCGGTAAGAGGGTCTAGACAACTGCATGGGGGCCTTGGGTGGTTGGGCGGGGGGCTGGGGACCCAAAAGAGGGTCTTTGGGGCAACAACTGGATCTCGATGAATCACTTTTTGGTGGAGAAGTGTATTGTGCAGTACAACTGTAAGTAGTATCGGTATGTGTTGTCAATGGGCTTCGGATGTGGGCCAATTGATAGTCGGTATTTCGTTTCCGGATGATTTTCCTCGTTTGGAGCACTTCTACTGTGAGATCAAGTTGAAAAGGACAGTTTTCCAGCCGAGGAAAAAACCTTCCATCTCCGCAATCACAATTCGTTATGGCAATACCACATTAAATTCAAACACGATCGGCGCCAAGAAGATCCAGATTTCCGATTCGACCCGTGGGTTGCTATGGCGATGTGAATTGATACGCGCAGGAGTTGGGCCATGTGAAGATACGGGGAGTCCCTAGTAATGTACTATCTATGTATTGTTAGTTGGATCCATACACCGTAACAAAAAAAGATGCACATATCAAAAGGGGCAAGAGATGGAGTACTTTCTTTTCTGTCAATGGAACCAGAAAACAATCAAATTTACTATCGTGATTGAATGCGAATTGAGACATGCTACCTATATCAAACGGAGAAATGAAAAAAACCCCAATGTAAACCTCGGTGATCAGCGGGACCCCAAACCGGCAAGGCGGACGTAAACAAACCACACTTCCTTAAATAATCGTGACAGTCGCCAATTACTCTTCTCCTCTCCTTCTTCTTCTTCCATTCCGCGTATCTCACATTCTTAAGCATTAAGCTTATCTTTTACATTCCTATCATCTATTCAGTTTGAGGTAAAAAAGAACTACCCTTCTTTTCTTCCTCTCTCCTTTCGAGAAAGACTTCATCCCCAAAAGTCTTTTCTTGTCTAGTCTTTCGAGTTGTTTAACGACAGTTCGAAAGGCATTCGAGAAGAGACCATCAGTCCGGCAATCTGGACTTTGACGCCCGTGTCCCCATCCCCTTCAGTGTCTTCCCGTCGTCGTACCGGAGTGACGCTGTCTCTGAAACTACTCAGACGCGAGTAGAGGGAGAAGTCAATTTCGATCGTACTTCGCGCGTCGAACGGGAAGATACTCGAGGTTCTGCTCCCCTTCCCGCTCCTCAAGGAAAGGAAGAAGTTGAATTCCGCATTCAAGAACAGCGCCCGCGCATTCAAGAAGAGCACCCTCAACACCAGCAGTACCACGAGCCCCAGCATCAGCAGGAGTCTCAGTACAAGCACTCCCAGCGATCCTACGAGCAGAACTACGCCCCCGAGGTTGAACTCACTCGTGAACGGTATGTAATTTATTTTTGAATTTCCTTGTTTTTTTCCTTTCTTTTTTTGCGATTTGCGGTGTTTTTCGCCCAAAACGCCGAGGAACACAAGCCAAATTCTCCACAATTCAGCTCCTCGGTGGAACCCGCATCGAACTATTAACCGGTGTTTACTGCTATTTGTTGTGAGATCTCCTATCTTGGTTTAGTTTGGTTACGGATTGAATCAACTAAAAATTACGTGTCACCAAAACACTGATCCACTCCCAATTAGCGGTGACCCGGTGTTTTGTTTATATGTTTATGGTACCCGTGGATCCTGGGCTGACATCTTCCCTTAGCTACAGTCAACCTTACCCTCAACCTTCCATCAACTACGAGGACAACACTCAAGTCTACGATAAGGTCGTCGATACTCAACTCGATATCACTGAGAGAGACTACCGTCACAAGACTTCCCCTGCTTACGACCTCGACGTCTCTTACGACCGTCGTTATCGTCAACCCGTAGACTCTGCCTACGGTTACCAGCCCCAATCTTCCGAAGTCTCGTACGACCGGACTTCCCAAGCCCCCACCGACTCTTACAGAGCCGACGACGCGTACCTTCGTGAGATCCAATCACCTCGTACTCGTTACGCCCCTTCCCAAGTAAAGTCCACCAAGTCTACTACTGTCCGTGAAACCGCTCCTTCTCGCAAGATGGGTTACTACGACGACGACGGTGAATACCACTCCTTCCGCCGCGGCGTTGGCCGGGCTGTTGACCGTGTTGCCCACCCCTTCTCTCACTCCTCCCACCACGGCGACGACGCCGAGGAGGCCGCACCGGCCGCCAACGTCCGCGTCGTGGAGCCTCGCAACCGCGGCTCTGCTGGCGAGACCGTCCCCATCCCCTGCCACTTCATCCGCATCGGCGACATCCTGATCCTGCAGGGCCGCCCCTGCCAGGTGATCCGCATCTCGGTCTCCCCCCAGACTGGCCAGCACCGCTACCTCGGTGTCGACCTCTTCACCCGCAAGCTGCAGGAAGAGTCCAGCTTCGTCGCCAACCCCTCTCCCTCCGTCGTGGTGCAGACCATGCTCGGCCCCGTCTTCAAGACCTACCGCATCCTCGACATCCGCGATGACAACCGTCTCGTCGCCATGACCGAGACCGGAGACGTCAAGCAGGGTCTCCCTGTTATCTCGCAGGGTCACCTCCACAAGCGCATCTCCGAGGCCTTCTCTGATGGCCGTGGCTCCGTCCGCGCCCTTGTTATCAACGACGGTGGCCGTGAGCTCGTCGTCGACTACAAGGTCATCCACGGCTCCCGTCTGTAAATTCTTTAATCTAGTTCTCGGGTTCTCCTAGAGGGGTCTGGATACGCTTGTACCTCATCCATGGTGTGATGAAATAGTGATTAGCTTGTGTGATTTAATTTTCCTTTGTCTGACGATTTCCTTTTGATGTATCCAATTTGAACTTGTGATGAAAATCTGAATGCATCGATCTGTACTCAATTCCTTGTCTGTATCCTGTATCCTATTTCCTAGTACAATGCCGAGGCCACGTCCGCACTTCCTACCTCACTCTAAATTACCTTCGTATCTTCGTAAACCCGTATTACCTTACCCGTTTCTTACCGTTCGGCACAACCACGATGATCAGGCCGAAACCTAGTCATCTTGCATGTCTCGGCATGGCGGATGCCTTTCTTTTCCTCCCAACCTCCAATTTTTTTCCATTGGTTTCCTGTTTCCCAGCCGGTTTTTTCCCAACCCCGAAAATCCCATCCCAGCCCCCAATTGTCTTTCGTGGAGCTGCGCAATTCCAAACCCCGATCCCCAAACCAGCCACCTGCCACCTTGCAGTCTACATGCATTGGGCGCGCCGGTTTTTTTGTGTCGGGGATCGATGCCAAGGTATCTAGGTACTGACCACTTACCGCTTCAGAATATACGTATCCGCTTTACTATGTAATGAAGGTAGTGGATATATCAAAAAGCCACCCCCTGTCGGAGCATGCGCAGAGCCGAGTATATTTAGAATGGCCGATGCACTGCAAACCAATTGGAATGCGTGATCTTTATTGGAGGATCGGGTGGATTTGGCACCTACAATACAAGTCGGCGCTTGATTTAGGCAATGAGTTGGACAAATAACGGGTTCTTACCATATATAACTTGTTCATTGGTCATCAGCATAGTGTACCTAGCTACCTAGATAGATATGATCGAGGGTTTGTACAATTTATCAGCGATCCATTTACTCGAAGTCTTTGCAGTGCCATATACAACGTATACCAAGTACCGCAATAGAAGCCGAGACCAGCATAAATGGCAGATGGCAGATGGCGATTAAATCGTTCCTTGTTCACATCTATGGAAACAATCTAGATAAAACAAAACGGCATCTCGGCGATCCTACAAGAACAGAAGCAGAACCGTAAGAGAAACGAGAGACAATAATACAAGGTGGGAAGAAGGAAACGAGGGTATCATGGAAGTAAACAACTCCAATGGGCCACATCGGATGGGAAGGGTAGAGTAAAAGGAATGAAGAATAAGAGAAAGAATCAAGCCAGCAAGCAGACAAGATGTCATATAGCAAAGCCCAAGCGAGAAAGCAGACGGCTGGAGGTAGGATAAAGCCAAAACGAACCAAAGCCGTATATCAGTCATTAGAGATTAGATATGGTCGAAGATGGAAGCAGGATTTTGAAGAAGAAAAGAAGATAAAGAAATCAAAAACTTCCCACCAAGAAAGAACATGGACAAGAAGAGAACTTTGAAAGAAAGGGAAAAAGGGCATTAAAAGACACATAGAAACGTGGACTCCGTGAGTCCTGATAATCAAGAACGAGTAAGAACAAGATTTAAGTTTCATAGCCTCAACACGACACATCAAGCACGCAGACCGAACGCCTTCCGAAGAAGAGGGAATCGTTTCTTCCGCCCCGAGCCAGCGATCACCACATCGCGCGCTGAATGACCCTGCACTTCAGGACTCGTGATCTCAGAGGCACTATCGTTATTCGGATCCCCGTGGGCCTCGGGCTCTTTTGCAATGGGGGATGCGCCGGCAGGATCGCCGTTGGCAACGATGCTCCCGTTACGCGCAGCATCTACATTGTCGATGGTTTGCGGTGGCGGGGGGACATCCTGTGGCTGTTCTGCGACTGGTTGGAGAGCAGGCTCTTTGGCATCCGGGGGAAGCGGCCATGCGTCCGGTGCTGTGGATTGGCGTTTGGAGTTTCTCTTCACGAGCTTGGAGGGTGTTGGCTCGGGGCTTCCTGCGGAAACCGTTGTGTAGTTTCCGGTCACGATGCCGTCGCCGCGTAGTTGATCGAGTTCCATGCGGGAGCGTTCTAGCGGCGTGTCTCTGCGGGAGGGGCTTTCGATGTCGGATTTGCGGATCCTGTTTTCGGAATTCTTGGGCTTCTTGATGCCGAGCCTTGTCAGGAGACCGGGTTTCCGACCGCGCGGAGGCGCCATGATGAACTCCTCCAGATCCCTTTGCGACATGCCTCGTTGCCGGGCCACAGCTGCCATCCCTGACATGCTCCGCGGTGGTGCGTTGTTTCCACTGGTGCCTGGTGAAGGGGGCACTGCCCCCAAAGCAATGCCTGACTGGGCTTGTTGGCGGGCACTCTCCTCAGAACTATCCTCTAGCTCTGTGGAGTCGCCATCGTCAGCACCCTTGCGGCGTGGGATCCCACGAACGGGACGGAGGGCAGTGTTGCGAGGTTGGTCCTCATCGCTGGAATCTGCGAATCGACTGGTGAAGAACTGGGGCCGGGGCTCGTCCTCGTTCTCGTCATCTGAATTGGCGAACCGCGTTGTGCGAGCAGACTTGGGAGGTGGCTTTGTGAACTTCGCCCTTGGGGGTGCCTTGTTGTTTGTCGAGAAGTACGAATATCGCTCGCCTCGAGCAGGCCCGCGAAGAGTCTTGCGCATTGTGCCATTCGAGGAGCCGGAAGACATGGGCCGGTGCTCAAGTGGAGACTCGTGGCGTTCTGTTGGGGGCTGGGCTTGGCCGTTTGCACCAGCGCCAGCTCGCATTGTCCGGCGCATCGAGACTGCGTCTCCTCGACGAGAGGCGCGTTTGAAGCTGCTTGAAGAATCGCTTCCATTCGATGTTTTCCGACGGAGGCTGGAAGGGAAGATGGGTGGCCCTGCTGCTTTGTGGAAAGCTGGGCCAACAGAGAGTGGCCGCTGTTTAGCATTACCACCTTGGGGGGAGGTATCGTTGCTCGAATATCGGGGATCCCGCATACGAGACGCACCATTCGTATCTACGGCCATAGACATGGGACGGGCCCGCGTGTTGGACTGTGCCTGAGGGCTTCCATCCGGGCCCGGTGAGCTGCGGGGAATAGGCATGGCTGACACCGGCGAGCGTTCAGGCTCACATGCATAGCCCACCGAGGAGGCAGGAGATTCCTCTACTAGTCGGTTGACTGAGTTTTGGGTTGGAGTGACCGAGCGCACCTCTTCGGGCACCTGGACATTCACATTTTGTGAAGGAGCATCGGAGATTGTAGTACGATCCACAGGCTTTGGAGTTGCATCGCGGGATTCGCTGACAGTCTCTAAAGGCGGTGCAGACCTTGGAGCTGACCCCTTATCAACAATGGCATTAATAGATCCAAACCCATCACCATCAATGTCAATGTCTTCAGGCGCATCACTGTAGATGCTGTCACTATATTCGTCCTCGGTATCCACATCATCTAGAGTAGGAACGGCACTTGCCACAACCTGAGACTGCGTCTTCTTCGCTGTTGATTTCAGGCTGCGATCCGATCCGGAAGGCGGGAACCCGCCTGGAATCCTATACTGGTCCATGCTGGATCTTTTCGAATCAAAGCTCTGCTTGTGTTCCTCTGCTGGGGGAGTAGCAGGCTCGATAGCAATCGCTGGTACAGACAGATCAGAGTTCACCCCAGCGTCCGGTTGCCGGTTGGCGGGCTCATCTGTGAATTTATTTTCCGGGGTGGCGGTTGGTTGGGTAGGTTTCGCAGCACCATTGACAGACAACTGCTCCAATGTAGAAACATCATGAGGTGGGAAGTATTCAGCTGGGGTAGGCTGGGGCTTGGAGAGGATTCCTCCGAAGGTATGCTCAATTGGGGACGACTTCTTCTGCTTCGATGGCGCATCGGAGTCAGACGAGGAGCTGGACTCATTGTCACTGAAATCCGGAATTGGCAGCCTTTTCATCCCACCGTCACGACTTCCTCGGATGCTGCCGAACGATGGGAGCTCTTGTCGAGGTTTCATGACAACGTTCCAGTCATCGTCACTAGCAAGTTCCATCGGGGGTTTCTTCTTTCCAACGCCAAGCCAACTCATCCGAGACTTGGCCTTATTGCTAGGTGGTGACTCAGGCGTGTATTCCTCCGGCGAGGTAGGAGGACTGGCAGCCAAGCCTACAACCTCAGCCTCGTCGTCGAAACTGACTTTATGGGCCTTTTTCTTAGCGCCAATTCGGGCTCCCTCGTCCGAAGCCACCGAGGTACCATCTGATAGTTCGCTCGATGGCTGGACGCGACCCGTTACCGAAAGCCTCCTGTCAGGAGACGAAGAGCTTCTTCGTGGGTGTTTGAGAGCCGATTTGACAGGGGAAACCGATCTGGGTGGAGGCTGGTGAATTTGATCACCGGCGCCACTCACCTGCAACAACTGGGAAAACCGGGCAGACCGACCTGGGCTGCTTGATTGACGGAGATTTTGCTGCTGCTCAGGGCGCAGCTCTGACGGAGATGACGGGGCCACTGGCGCTGGCACAGCCTCAACATGATCGGCGGTCGGAGACGCACTCGTCATCCGATTCCTACCCTGTCGTATTTGAATATCATCGACATCTCGATCGAAGTCTTCGGGTTCTTCTTGTTCTCGAACTGTGGACGGCCACCCCTCATGGAGCGTGCGAGAAGATGTGTAGTCGTGTTTCGTAGTGGCCGCAACAGGCTTTGCGTTGCCGGTATATTGTTCGAGGGGATCGGCCGGTACAGGCGCATCTCGCGCCTGCTCAGGCCGGGCAGTCACCTTAGGACTGCTCTTTTGCGGAGTCACACCTAGAGCTGCAGCTGCAGCGCTACCAGCCAACCGACCCGACCTCGTGGCAGCAGGACTTCCTTCAACGCTACCAGACGCTTGTGCTCTGGGTCTATTAGGGCTTCTCTCCTGCAAAGGCTTCTCACGCACGGGTTCCTCGGGTATAGGCTCCTGGATGGCTTCGTGGAGAGTCTTAGGAGGACTTTCGGCCGCAGGCGAAGTAGGCCGTGAGCCCAAAGGATACGAGAAATTCACGGAGTTACGACTTCCCGATCGTTCCAATTCCGGTCGTTCCAATTCAGGTAACATCCCCAGGCTAGTCACACGTTGATGAATCGGAGATCCTCTGCCCTGCTCCCGATCAACACCCCTAGCCACAGAGCGCGGCGGAGAAGCTGGAGGCGCCCGCATCGACGGCTCCATGCTCACCGCACGCCGATTTTGCGGTTTTCGTCCATACTGAGATGGAATCGAAGGTAGCGGGGGCACGTCGGTAGGCGGAGATATCGGCCCAGAGCTAGTGAGCGGACGACTAGGTGACTGATCGCGAAAGGTACGGGCGCTCATGGAGCTGTTACTGGAGGAGCGACGTAGTGTTCCGCTCGCGCTGACCGAACGCCGCCCGCCAAGAGGGGCCTGCGACTGGACCGATGCGCGGCGCTGAACCATCCGTTTTGTCTGGACATCTTCGACGGAAGTCGGGGTGGGCGTGAGGTTTCGTAAAGCTGCCGCGGCCGCTGCAGAGGATAGGCTCGCATTTGAGGTTTGCGATTTTAGAAATGCATGGCTGGCGGCGGACTGGGCGGATTGAGCGGCGGGCGAGGAGAGTGGCTGAATATGGAAGGGAGCTGTCAGTTTCATGCACAGTGCAGGTACCCGAGAGAATATTGCATCGCAAAGTTATGCGATAGGTCATGTCGCCGTGGGGAAAATTAGATTTCAATCAGATTTGACGCGTAGAACGTACCTGATAATGGGCAGAAGCACTTCTCTTGCGACGACCGAAGACCATTGTTCAGGGACCCCTATGGGGGGTTTAGAGATTTGGTGAGGTCAGGAATCGGATTGCCAGCCGAACACTGCTTGATGCAGCGTCGGGGTCCGAAATTGAAGTGGATGAAGTGAAGGTGGAGCTGATTTGAGATGATATAGGAGGTTGGCGGGAACCGGGAACCGGGAAGCTGGAAGCTGTGGAAGCTGGAGGGGGGAAGAAGAAGAAGATCTACCGAAATGATCAACTAAGAAAAAAAGAAACAAAGTTACAACAAAATAAAGGAGTGTCAAAAGTAAGGAGTCGAGACTTTCAAAATTCGAACAAGGAAGAAAAAAGCCTGAAGTTGGTACAAAAGGATCAGATCGAACTTTGCGTCATGACTTTTTTTTTGGTCTCGATGGAATAGCGGGTCAGGCACTCAGGAACCACTTTATGTGGCGGTCGAACAGTATAGACCCCATAGATCTATACAGTACATATATGTAGTATATTGTGGAATCATATTGCTCATTACCTCTTGGTTTCTTGAATACCAACACTCAAAGCCTTGTATGCCAAGGGCTAAGAGCCCTTGCAAATTCTCGACTTCGAGGTCCCTACAGCCCTTGAGGGCAGGTATAGAAGGATCTAACTAGCGTACCAACTAGATACTAGCAACCCTTTCAACCCCTGACACATCTCAAGTATGGGGAAATCGGTACTTGAGACTAAAGAATGTACGGAGTAAGAATGCCATATTGGCAAAACAACCAGTGACGTATACATGTATGATAGGCCTCCCAAAACGAAGTGTGGAGTATACCGAAGTTATAAATATGCACCTGCAAGGTGTATTTATATTGATTTGCTATATACTCCGTACATGCATATATGTATGTATCAATGGATATCCAAGAGAAGATTGTATGCTCCAATATCGCATCCAAACATCATTTTCCCCCAGAACCAAGTTGCGTCATGGAATAAGCTAAGGCTGATCGTTCTACCCGTCGGCATATATCACAACCTCGGTCCTAACCAACCAGACATAAAAGGCACATAGTTATCCCCTACATTAGTATATGCGTTGTAGTACAACACAACATCACACAAAGCCCAAAACGCACATCCAACCCAAAATGGACTCCCTACCCCCCCCCCCCCCTCCCAGCAGGTGTGACAACGCGCTACATCCAAACTTCCGACCTAAACATCCACATCCTTGAATCCGGCCACCCCCCTCCACCACCACCACCACCACCAAAAACCCCTAATTCTCCTCCTGCACGGCTTCCCCGAACTCGGCTACTCCTGGCGGCGAGTCCTCCCCAAGCTCTCAGCAGCGGGCTACCATGTCGTCGCCCCCGACCAGCGCGGTTTCGGGCGCACAAGCGGGTGGGACACGCGCGCGTATGCGGACGTCGACCTGAGCACGTTCTCTCTGTCAATGCTGGTGCGCGACATGGTTCTGCTCGTGCACGCGCTGGGATACAGGAGCGTAGCGTGCGTCGCGGGACACGACTGCGGCGCTGTATCGGCTGCCATGTGTGCGCTTATGAGGCCTGATATGTTTCGGTCTGTGGCGCTCATGAGCCATCCGTTCAATGGGAGTCCGGAGGTGCCGTTCGATACGGCTAGTGCATCGGCGGTTGGGGGTGCGAGTGGGGGGATGGAGGGGGCTGCTGGTGCGGATGTTCACGAGGCGCTTGCTAAGCTCGGGAAGAAGCATTATAAGTGGTATTACTCTAGTGCTGTAGCGGGGGTGGAGATGTCGAATTTAGAGCCCGAGGAGATGAAGCAGTTTCTGCGCGGATACTTCCATTTGAAGAGTGGGAGTTGGGGTGGGAATCGGCCTGTTGCGCTTGGGAAGTGGTCAGCGGAGGATTTGGTCAAGTTGCCTGGGTATTATATTATGCCGATTGGGGAGACGATGCCGGGTACTGTGGCAATTGATATGAGGGATGAGCCGGCTGAGGCTTCGCGGTCTTGGCTACCGGATGATGAGCTTGCTATTTATGCGGCAGAATATGGGCGCACTGGGTTCCAGGGTGGCTTGAATTGGTACCGGGTGCGGACGGCTGCTGGGGGGAAGTATACACGGGACTTTGAGGTTTTTGCTGGGAAGAAGCTTGAGCCGCCTTGCGCTTTTGTTTCTGGGAAGTTGGATTGGGGAAATTATCAGGAGCCCGGGGCCATTGAGAAGATGAAGAATGGGGTCTCTTGTGCTGATCTTCGGATTCTTCGGCTTGTGGATGGTGTTGGACACTGGACGCCACAGGAAAGTCCGGAAGAGGTGTCGCGTACCATTCTGGATTTGATCGGAGGTGTGCGTGATGATATTGTAGGTTAGTTGAATCCAAAAGATCATGTGTCATTTACGATAGCCAGCAAGAGCCTCATGTCCTAGAAGATTGTCATACAGTTGACAGATATATTCGGTTCAGAACAGTAGATATGAAGCCCAGACACCATCGACGCCGAAAGACCCGTAGAATCGGCTATAAAGCTTAACCGTTCGAAGAAGACATGCAGTATCATCAGCGGTGATTTTGAAATTTCAGATATCAATGAAACCAGGGGTATGGCGCAAAAGAAAGACAACGAGGCGCGCGCAAATGCAATCAAGAAAATGAACAAGAAAACTAGACACATCTACAAGTACACGCCCAATGCAACCGCCAACAAGAGCGGGAAGAGCGTTGCAGTCGACAATTTCGGGGCATGCACCATCGTAGCGCCAGAGCCGATCGCACTGGTAGTGTACATGTACTGGAAAGATATGTCAGATGAATTGAAGCAGTTCTCGCGAGTCACCTCCGCGATAGACGAGTCGCCATCATCTGCGAATTCAATGTCCACGCACTAAAGAAAGTTAGATTCTCTGATCACCACCGGTGGTCTGTCAGATTGAAATTGGAACATACGTCGTACAGGGCAGCACCATGCTTCGCCGTTTCAATGATCTGAATGGTAGCGTAATCGCCGGGGCTGACGCTGATATTGGCCGGCAGGGGCACTTGAGGCAGACACACCGTACCGGGGTAAGGGTTGCTACTTGGGCCACTGATCTGGAACGGCGAGACGACAGAGTGGCTCATATTTGGCGGGTTCTCGCCGAACCCAAGGTTGACATAGATCAAGGCAGTGTCATGACCCGGGAACCAACCCGGCTGGAAGGCAAGAGCACCACCGTTGATGGGCCATTTGGTTCGGTTGGTCGAAGTGGGCATACCGCCACCTAGAAGAGTTAGTTACACAGGTCGAGGCACAACGAGTCACATTTGCTTACAGGGATAAATCCACTGCATTCCGTAGGGGTAGATGTAAGAACCATTCTTCACATCGTATGCGACACCGAGACCACGAGCTTGCTCGATTGTGCCGTTAGTGCGGAGATTGTTTCCTCGGTAGCCGGGATATGTGATGACCGTGTGAGCCTGCGCCAGACCCAGACATAGCAGGAGGAGAATAGAGGCGCATCGCGATATAGATCGTGTGAGAGGCATGGTGTGATGTGAGACGGAGAACAATTGACAGATACAGGCGACAGCGATGGTGACAAGAATCAGACAATCCAAAAATTCATGTATGCAAGGTGTATCCTGTCAAGCACAGCTCAGACTTGACACCGGTCGGACAAACTCAGCATGCAAAGAGATGAAGCAAAGGATTAGGACTAAAATCATAGAATCTCTAGAAACCAAAATCAAGCCATAATTTCTCGAGGGCCGATCGGTCTTTTTGAGGGGTTCTGGGCCATCGCTCCGGGGGGACGAGTAAAAACCCAAGAACGCAAATGTGACCGAGACTGCAGGTCCAGCGATGTGTGACTGGCTCCGGATAGTAGAAAATAGCAGGGATGGTCCGGGATCATCACAGCCAGCTGCAAGTGCCATCACTTGAAGAGTGATTCTGGATGGTGATTTGCTGAGTGGAAGCACCGAAGGAGACGCTAACGGTTGGTGGAAACAAGCTGGGCGCTTACATTTCACATTTCAGAGCGCTCAAAAGAAGGATACCATGGATAAATCCTTATTTAGTTTGCTGTAGGCACTTCACTCGAATATGTCGGTTTATCTCACAAGCAATCTTTCCATTCTCTTTTGTATACTAGCACTGTAGTAGTACTATGTAGAGTAGATGAAAATGCCAAGCCTTTCCTTCCCCGCATCTCCAAAAAAAAAAAAAAGAAAAGCTTCACATCGCACCGATTTATGTCTACTCCTGCCTACCGAGTATAGATATATCTACATCTATAATATTATATACATATGAAAATGCCACACTCCAACCGCCCAAGAAAACCCCCCCCCAAAACCGGCGCACTGAAGTGATCGACCCCTCAGGCTGGACCCATATCACAAACGGCAGCAACGTGCGGCGTGTAATACGACAACGCCAGAAACCCCAATCCGAACCCATCCTAGTCCCCGCAGAAGCTCCCGGCCGACTCACCCTCTCCGATCTCCAGACGCAATTCCAGACCCATCACGATAGATGGACGGGTTCGGAGAGCTGGACGAAGGTGGCAGGTGTGTTGGATGAGAGAGTGAAGGCGAGAATGGAGGCCTCGTCGCCCGCTGATGCAGTTGATGCAGTTGTTTGCATTGGGCTTGGGAGTCCGAGTGGATTTCTGCGCGATGGATGGGTTGATCGGAGGGCGGTCTCGCTGTATCAGCTTGCTGCGCTGGCTAGTATCAAGGATCGAGTAGATTGTTCGTTTCCCGCTGCGATTTGATTTTATGCTATACTCTTGCTTTGCGATCACTCTGTCTTCATTTTGACTTCACTTTGACTTCACCTTTTCTGAAACTCACCTCTCATCATGCCTATCTATACATCTCCAAAACCAAACCCACAACTGACAACAACCCTCCCCAGCTCACACACCTACCCCTCTAAAAGTCTACGCCCAAGACCCCGTCTTCAACAAACTAGACGAGTCGCTCCTCTCAAGTTTAAACATCACGATCCTGCAAGACCCCGAAGCCTTCTCGCACATAACAGCGAACACGCTACTCTTCTGTCCCGGTGCAGAAAGGCAGCATCTCGAGCTGCTGTTGCCGTCAAAGCCCTGGCTGGTATTCGGTGGGCCGCTTGAGCATACAGATGCTGGGGGTGTGTTGCAGAGCTACGTGGATGGAACGGAGTCGTACTGTGTGCCGGTGTTTGAGGCGCTCGAGCATGCGTTTTGGAATATGAGGCTTTATTGGACTAAGGAGGTTGAGGAATGAGCTTGTGCTTTTTTGGGAGGCTTATATACCATGGCATGCATTGAGCGGCGTTGGGCATTTGGGATTATGTATGATGGATATTCAAGGTTTGGTTGCGAAGATTTGGATATTGGATAGCTATAGAGATGTTAAATATCATGTTGGGTAGCCCTCCAGGGCTATACTGCTAGGGTTTCTTTTGGAAATTTGTCTACACTACATATGTAATCTTACAGCTTGGAATCTCTTGAATCTTGACTCTTAAGTTCTGCTCCATACTATGCATGCCATAACAAGGAATGGTTCTATACATCATAGTGCTACAGTCAAAAGGACCGCAATAAAAGTCGATTTGGGCAATGTATGTGCATCCAACGTTAACGAGGCCATAAGGCAAAAGCAAAAGCGCAAATGATCCAAGTGAATATCCCATGCAATCAAATTTCCATCCCAGCAAAAACATAGCAAACCACCAGAAAAAACAACAGAAAACCAAATGCCAAATGCCAAATGAAAGATGACATGGCCAGACAAACAAAACAAGGCTCCGAAATAAGACAGACAGGAAGCCGACAGAAAACCCCCTATGGTTGACGCGCAAGAAGGATAAACAGGGAGAGAGGGGGAATCGTTAGATCAATGAATGGTATGAGATTGGAACGCCGAACGGAAAATACTAGACGATACTTAGGTATGCACAACATAGAAGTTTCATGATCATGATCCCGTAAAGAGCCACGGGACAGAGAGCTGGTGGGTCAAATATCGATTAGGAGGCGGTTTTGCCGCCGCAGTCTGGGATCTTGAGACCCTTTTTGATGGTGCGCGCAGAGTCCATGAGACCCCATTTATCTTCCCATTCTTTGCCGGGCGTGTTGTACTGGATTTTCCACGGTTCGTCGAAAGCCTCGAACCTACGAATGTGTTAGTGGTTTGAACAATAGACTGCTGCAAGAAAACAGATAATACATACCAGAAGTAATCAGTTCCGTTCTCCAGCGCCTGGCAGACCCAGTCGGACATGAACGAGTTCATGTTATCGATACTGGCCACTGAGCCCGGTGTGTCGGCGTCGCAGGAAGGGCTCTCGCCGCAATCCTTGCCGCCTCCGCTCGGCCATCCAACCTCGGAGATGATCTGCTTTTTGCTCGTTCCCTTTGTCAGGGAGACATCGTGGTCCTGCCAAAAGTCCCATGTCCAGCCGGCGGCAATACTGACGTTAACGCCCGCAAAGAAGGGATGCACGTTAGACATGACGACGTCTACTTCATCCACCAGCTCGGCAGTCCAGTTATCGCCGAGGTCGGAGGTCGCGATGGGGAGATCCAGGTTGCGTGTCTTGACTTCGCTCGTGACATTCTGGATGTACGAGATCAAGGTCGTCATGGCGCTCGCTTTGCTTGAACCGGCGCGGTAGAGTGCTTCGTTGCCGACAATGATACCCTTGTAGATAGAGGTGTCTTTGGTATCATCGAGGACCTTGTAAAGCTTCGATAACTGGCGCTCGGTAGAGGTGGTGTTCGAATCAATCCATACTCCCAGCCAAAGCTTCATATCCTTGAGATCGAGGCGATCGATTGCGTGCAGCACCATTTCCGTCTGGTTACAATCCGTTCCATACAGACGCACGGTGTTAGTCAACTGCGACAGAACCGCCATGTCACGGGTAACGTTGTTCTGCGACGGCGGCCACTTGAGACAATCCGGATACTGCACTCCCCATGGCGTGTAGTCCACGCCAGGGAAAACCTTGTGCAGATCACCATTGTTCAACAAAGCCTTGATCTCAGCGGAATCCTTATCGAGGTCGCCATTGCTCTGCGTATCGCCATCCGCAGTCCCAACGTTACTGGCCTTGGACCCATTACTGTGCCGACTCCCAATCGTACCGCCAACGGCGCCGCCAACAATCGCACCGAGTATAATAAACCCAAGCACAAGCCCGACAATCCACCCCATCTTCTTGCGCCCATCCATCTTCTTCGCCGGCGCCGCCGCCCCACCAGCCTCCAGCCCACCCCCAGGAACAGAATTATACGCAACATCAGCATTCTTCTCCTTCCCAAAGAATCCCGTCAAAAGGCCCCCAGCAGCAGCGCCTCCCCCGCCCCAGCGGCAGCGGCACGACCGCGCGATCTGGGCGCAAAATCCTCATCGCCGTCGTCGGCGATATCATCGGGATTGATATTCGTCATCTCCTCCCCATTACTATACGCCGAATGACGCTGGTACGGCCCGTCCGTGATTCCGCCATACGGCGCCGGATACTGCTGCGGGCTGTGGGCTGAGTCGCTAAAATGAAGGGACGACTGCGGGGGCGTGTGGAAGCCCGGGGAGGCAGCCGCGCCGCCCAACATGTGCGAGTTGGAGCCGTAGGACTGGTTCGGGCGTAGTGATTCTGCGCTGACGAAGGCTGGGGAAGGGACGTAGGGAGTGTCTGAGCCGGTGGTGTTGAAGTCTCGTTCGGCGGGGCCGGTGTAGTGATCCATTCCGCGGGATGCGTCGATGCCGCTTTGTCGGTCGTGCGTGTTTGCGATTCCTAGTGCTATGCCGCTTATTCCGCCGCCTGGGGAGCTGGGGCCGAGATTGTCAACGCCGGGTGTTACGGTGTTGTTTCGGGTTCCTTGTGAGTATTGATGAAGTGGTGGTGGGGGGATGTTGTGCATGTCGTTGGAAGACATATTATTTTATTTTTTTTGAGGGTCCGATTAGGGCCAGCGAAGAATGACCAGTGTAGAGAGAAAGTGAGCGGTCATTTAAGAATTCGAATTCGTGGAAGGTGAGATTGGGAATTAAATTGCAAAGCACAGGAACCACGGTTCCGGCAAGTTCAAGTGAGACAAAGGGCGGCAGTCCGAACGTTTTCAAGTCAAGGTTTCAAGGCTGTGCTAAAGAAAAGAAAGAGGGCATGACGGCCGCGGGTAGTAACGCAAGCGGAGTATCAACACAGCGTGGGCGGGACAACGCTTTTTATTGTCCCGTATTTACTTATTTGATCAGTCAAAATGAGTAGTAACAAAGTGTAATGAGGGAACTAGCTTCAATTATTTGGATGATTTCTACTAGTCTTATTTATTTATTTATTCTCTTTTCCTCTCTTTAACGATATACTCGTTGAATAATTTAATTAACTAGTTAGGTATGTGAAGTACATACTTAGCCTCAGGCATCAAGGGTCTCAGTGGAACCGGCATGTGGAGAGTCCGAGTCCCTGATCTGACCCTTGGTTCACGATGCTATTTTTATCTCATAGTACTCTACTACCTCTACTACATTCATTACTATCTCTACATCGAGCTTTCTATATTATATTCTCATAGACATCTCAATCATCTCATATTCAAAAGGTATCTCATAGCCATCCAATCCCCAGCGCCAATCCATTCCAATCCCAATCCCTTGTTTTTTTCATTTGACATATTGCTCCCGTCCAAGGTCATAGATCCTATATCGCCAAGTCAAGTTCATAACTCATATCAATCCACATAAACATCAATCATAAGGAGAGCCCAAAAGTAAAAGCAAAAACAAACACAAAAAGGGAGAGAAAAAAATCTAGCCCTCTACCTCCTCTACACTCCGCTGCGCAGCATTCTCACTCTCCAACCTCCGACCGCGCTCCAAAAACCGTCTCTTCCCACGACGCGTATCAAAATGATCCGGAATATCCGCTGAGTCCTGTCCCGCGGCCAGCATACTACTGCGCATTTTATTGCGGTACGCATCCACTGTTCGCAACCGGTTAGCGGATGTCTCAAATGGTCTTCCGGGGCACGTGGATCTGATCCCTCGGGTACATATGCTTATGTACATATAAAGATAAAGGGCGGCGTTATGGGCTGAGACACTTACACGATCGCTGCAGAAACAGCATACGGCCCGAGAACACGCGACTCTGGCTCCAGCTCATGCGGTAGCCGAGGTCATTGAGGAGTAATTCCTTATGATGTCTCTTGCGCGAGAGTTTCGGCACCTCGATGTCAGTGCTGAGTTCTGGGTCCAGGGACGGGGCGGGGACGGTGGTGCGGCCGACCGTCGCTGCGTCGGGATCGTTATCGTCTTGTTCGGTGTCGTCACGGAAGAACCGCTTGGCGGGGACGACGCGGTTCTCGTCGCGCATCTGGATCGGGAAGTAGGTGCGTGGGTAGACGGCATTGTGTTGGCGGTAGGAGTCTGGGATTTCGTCCATGTTGACTTTGTCGAGGACGACTTTGACGCGCACGCGGCAGCCGCGATGCGGATCGTCGACTAGGATGAATTTGCGGCGTTTGCCGTCTGGAAGGTGGCTGAAGAGGTCATCGTTGGTTGGGCCTTGGGTTTCGATGTCGTGGTCGAGGTCGGACGCGCGGGCTGAGGTTGCGATTGTGGGGTGGCGGGATAGGGAGGCGATATTGGTTTCGTGGAGGAGAGGGGGCATGGAGGGGCCATTTGAGCTGGTTAAGGATGTTGGTGCTTCGTGGAAGATGTGGGCTGGTCGGAGGTCGGAGGGCTGTGGGAGACATGTGTCCACTCGGTTGCCCGGGTATTCGGTGCCTATGGAGCGTTAAGAGGACTTAGCCTACGCTGTACTGCATGATCGAGCATGTTGGGGGAAGTGTAGTTCCAGTTCCAAAGAAAGAGCCAAAGCACCAGGAGCGCGGCGGAGTCGAATGATAACGACAATGCAAAAGCGAAGCGAACAGGGTATGAAATAAACAGGTAACAACGCAGACTGGGTGCGGACCAGATAAAGCATACAGGAGTGAGTTCACATCTCATACAGCCATTGACACATCCTCATACACTCATACACACACAGGATAAGATAGCACACACACCAAACTCCCACACATACACATACAAAGAAAACGATCCAGTCTAACCAAAGCCCAAAGGGGAATAATACATGATTGGGGGATCCCGCCGCTCATGTTGCAGAAGAAAAGAGAAGAATAAAAGAAACATCGACGGGGACAAGAAACTCAAAGCACATCACATGTGTTGAAACATACCGCTAACTTCTTCGTTGGGGCTACCATCAGGTTGATGGTGGTGGTGCATCTGCGGTGGGCCCATGGACATAGGACCCAGATTCGGCCGAGGAGGAGGAGGACCAGGCATGGCCGCCATTCCAGGCCCAGGCAAAGGAGCCCCCGCCCCAGGGGGCATATGGGACTGAGCCGGAACTGACTGTCTGCGACTCATCTTCGCCTGACGACGGACACGTCTGCTGCGCAGTCTCGGGTCCTGGTTGCTATTGCGCCAGCTGTCGACAGCACGCTGAATCAGACCCCGCTTAGCTCGAAGAGCGGGATTCAGCTCGGCCAGCGCCCAGCCAACTGCGTTGCACTCTGTCTCGTAAACCAGTCGGTTTCCGCGGTATTGGTCCTTACTGCAACAGGCGCGCGGGTAGACACAGTTCTCAGTCTTGAAATCTTGAGATAGCGTATCCACTACCACGGACTCCACGTCACAGCGGATCGTGTACTCCATCTTCACGCGGTCTCGGGAGTACTCAAAGGCTATCCACTGCACGCCGTTGCTGTCCTGGCGGACTACTAGCGGGGTCGTGGCGGGGATGGGGCCTGGGGCTGCGCTGGAGCTGGAACCTGCATGTTGTGGGCTTGCGAGGGGGTTGTTGGCGGATATTCCGTGGGCGCTATTTGCTGAAGGCGGGTTCAGCATCTGTTGCTGTGACAGATTGGGGTGCTGTGAGGTATCGAGTTTCATGATCGGGCTGGTGGACATGGCGGTTGTGGGGATGTGAGGAGGGTGATGGGGTGGCATCTGGACCGGAGCTTTATGAGAAGGCATCATCAATGACTGTGTTGTCAGAGGATGCTGTTGAGGGGAGTGGTGAGTCGCATATGGTGACGGTTGAACTGGATTCATAGGCGCATATGGTTGGTAGAACATTTGGGGTGGCATGTGTGGTGACTGCGCGTAGAGGTTCCGTCCATGTTGGTCTTGAGGTTGAGAAGCTACCGAAGCCGGTGAGCTTGATTGAGGGGTGTGGTACATGGGAGGGTAAGGGGGTCTCTGCATTTGGGCGGTAGATGCCATGAGGTCAGGTGGCCCTATTTACGAGAATCAGTCCATGTCGGTAACAAAATTCAAAAGTTTCCCAGCGGGCATATCCATGAAAACGAAGAAAGAACCAAGCTCCAACACGCAATCATTCAACGCTAGAAGTCCAAACAATAAAACAAAAGGCTAGCTTACCACTGGAGGGAAAATGAACAGAAGCTGGGGTTGCTGTGAATGAAGGATGGGTGGAGTAGTAAGGCGACTCCTGGGGTTGCCCGTAAGGATTATTGTGTAGGGCTCCGGTGCCTAACGGATGAGATGGAGGGTATGTGGTGGGAATAGAAGGAGAATGGCGAACAGGTGAGGCAGGACCTTGCTTCTGTGCTAGACCTGATCTCTGTTGTAATGTTTGAGACTGCTGAGAACCTGATTGTCCAGAATTGCCGTGTCGAAGCTGTAGCAGAAACACATATCAGTGACTTAGCCTTCGATATCCAACGCCAAAAGTTGCTAGAAAGATACGAAACTCGAAGCCAAATGGTGTTACAATCTGAGAACGTGGACGAAGGAAAAAAAAAAAAAGGCCCTTGTGAACACAGCTAGATGTATCCGGAGTGACATCAGCGTATGACATCGGTCTAGGGTGAGCATTTGAATCTGCAATCATTATGGAGGGTTGGAATGGGCCACAAACGAAAGCCTCGAGCAGGGATTGCTCTATGTGCGTAACAGAATGGCCAGGGTATAACCGGGATTGTCCGCCCAGAGCTAAAGAAAAGCATGGATCTGTGTAGCGCTTGATATTGGGATAGTTTTCTTCCGAAAGGACCAAGCACCGAAATCTGGCTCTCTCAATTCCATAGACTCGAGGTATTGCTTTTTTGCGCCTCGTGTTATCTGACGCCTTCGGCTCATATGGCTGTAGTCCTCTGGTCCGAGAATTTGCTGTATTTTCGAGAACACGCATACAGTTGGAATGTAGCTATCTCAATGACTTCGGGTCATGGTTGCTGGGTCGTTTCAATGGCTCGGTATCCAGTCTGGATTTGCTTTTGCTTGATTGACGCATTGCCATATGCTTCGTATGCGCCGAAGAAAGATTGGCAACATAGGCATGAGAACCCTCCATAAAGAACAAGACGAATGTGCGGGCAAACAATGGCGCATTTGAGCTCCCTCCATATGGAAAAAAAAGGAAATCAAGAAAGATAGCCGGAATGATATTGAAGTAGGAAACATAACGTGAAATCTATAGCGCAGGATGTGGAACAAGTGGAAAGGTACCAAAGACGAAAGAACAATTGCGATACTCACATCATCAATATCTTCCTTGTACTTCGTTCCAAGGTCAGGCTGTATCATGCCGGTCATGAACAATCTCTCTTTCGCAGGCCAGGATAGAATCGAGTTGACGTCTGACAAGAAGAAAGACAGAACTAGGGGGGGGTTGTTCCCTTGATGAGGACCACGCGGATCCTTTGAGGCTAAACTGCGCGACACACACTCAGGGCAAGATGGGCCTTGATGGCAAGTGGAGGGTCCAGGGTCGTTATTTAGCTGTACCCGTGAGACCCATTCTTATTTTTCGGAGGCAAACCTCTTAAAAACAAACTAAATTAAGAGAATAGAATATAATTAAAGAAAATATAAAAGAGAGAAAACAAAGAAAATAAAATAAATATGTAATATAATATAATGTATAATTTAATATTATAAAAAAAAGAATTAGAACAGGAAACCAAAACCAGAAAAAGAGCAGAGAAAAAGAGAAAAAAAGAAAAGAATAAAAAAGAGACCTAATAAGGAATGGTAAGAAAAGAAAATAACAGTTGTATTAGGAGTATCCTAAAAGTAGGATCTTGTAACTAGCGGGAAAGTAGTGTAATATTGACCAGGATGAATGCAGGAGATTATCAGAGACTCGAGCCCGGTAAACATCCGAGCCTCTTTAAAATTAAATGTGTCATCAAAGAGATTTCCCTAGGTACTGAGTGTATAGACTGGGGAATGATGTGCCGACAAAGAAAGAGAGAGAGGGAGGTGGGGAAGTCACTCGATTGGGGTGTGTTGCCAGTGGGGTTTAAATCTATACTCTATATAACTACGTAGTACTATACCAGTAGAATTGCCGCGATATAAAAACATCCAATTAGGGCTTCTCTCGGAGTCGATGGAGGAATCGTGATACGTGGAATGGAGGTACTTCTCTGTGGTATATACTCTTTGCAGAAAGACTGGGAAAGTAAAAGTAGTGAATTGTGAAATAAACATAAAATAAAAAAACTAAATCTCTCTGAGACTTGATTTTCTGGCAGGATTCTGATTGCGGAGTTTAAAAAGCCCATAGAGAAACAAGCGCCGACACTCCAAAAAGAGAAAATAAAAAAAGCGATAGATAAAATCTAGAGTGGGACGGAAACAGAAGAATAATATAATAATAATCAAACAAGCTACAAGACATAACAGTAGACCTCCAACACGAGACTATACAATTTATCACACTATAACGATCTTGTACAATATTACTCTGTACGTTGGATACATATGTAGGACATAACGGAAATCCGTTTGCTCATGACGTTAAGATCAAATTATATCGACGACCCACCACAAGTCTAGAATACCTGACAATCAATGGAGATTGGCCGTGTGGACCTCGGGATGGACTCGAGGCTAAAAAAAGAAAGCTAGTTGACGTTGCCCTCGGATTGTGCAGAGGCCAGTTTCAGGTACGGCTTGGGCTGAGAAATTCCTTTCGGAGTATATCGAGGATCGGCGGAAGAATACTTGAAATTGAAAAGAATATGTACAATGTACCGTACATTAGAGAAAACACGTACTAGAGAAAAGGCAAGTTACACCGAATTTTCATTGTTTCCACGGCCCAATTGTTCAGCACTGCTTTTCTCTCCCCAACTCAACTCGAAACAACCTCTAACGCCATGTACCCATATCCTCTTTGAACGGGTTTGGGTTCGTGGGACGTGTGTAACCCTGTCCCCAGCCTCAACATGGATCCTATGAACTATCTTAGCGAGCCCATGGTATGGCATGCCACTTCCCGAAATCTGGGAGATTGATGATACGCGTCTACTCTGCGGAGTATGTAAGACGTAGATACTATACCGGTCCAGATACTGGGATACGATCGAGGATTTCCTCGGACGCTAATGCTGGAAAAACATCGATTCCGCTGGAAACAGCCAATCTGGGGACGAAACACCCCAAGGATGCGGGCCTCCGCCCGGGTTCGCTCTATCCCGCAACTATTTTAGTGTCATCTTAGTTCATCTTGGCACATTCATTAGTATTCACGTTGAGAGAAAGAAATAATGTGTCTGTGGAAAAAAAGAAAAAAAAAATAAAAATAAAACATTGGCGATGCAAAGCCCCATTCCCCCCCCCCCCTCCCCTTTCCCAATTTTCTCCGGGCTCTGACACCGGTCGATGCATGACATTTGAGGATCTTTTCAAGTATTGTATTTTTTAGAAGGAAACAATTTACAAAAATTATTTTATCTTCCTGTGCTTCATGTGAAATGTACCGGAAAGCAAAATTGGTGCGTAGGCACATGTTCGCTCATCTATTTCGGCTTTGAGATCAAGTAGATGTTTGCCTAGGCTTGTCTTTTATACCTCATGCTCTTTTCTTGGTGGAGACATAACGGGTGTACTAGTACACAAAGTACGTTGTACTCGGGAATAAAATATAATGATAGACGGATTAATATCATTTGCGCAATTTATTATTTAGTATGTACAACCTACGAGAGTTCTTATTCTTAGTTCTCGTTACGAGCCTACCAATGGACAATCAGCTCATGAGGCTCTCTTGCCAGTCTAATAAGTGGGCAGCAAAGCTCTGGAGAAATAAAAAACAGTAAAAATTGGTCATTGGTGCGCAGTGACTGTGCATAAAAGTTGAATTCACGGGCGTACAGGACTCTCTGACTTCGGAGGTTTACTAGGCCATGCACACGAGGCAGAGAAACGAGAAAAAGAGAACAGAAAAAGCAAAAAAACTAAATCTCCAAAGAAATAAATATGGTATTCTGAGGCTGCTTCCAGAATCAGGCTAGTACCATCCATTCAGCTAACGATACAGGTACGGAAAAGCTAAGTGTAGAATGCACCAATGACTAGGGCTTAATTATCCAATGAATCAAAGTCGGGGATTCGAGTGCTCGAGGCACACTTAAATTAGTTATCTCTCACAGTTCCTGAGAGTCTCAGCCTTGAAGGTTGGAGCTAAGACTTGTGCACGGTTGCATATTCCCCCCTGTTTTTTCTTTCTTTTAGGTCTCTTTTCATTTCCTTTCATTTCTTGCGTGGGGCTAAGAAAAAAAAAAGCCCAAATAAGTAAACGGCACCAATTCCACGGAAGAATCTCATTGGTTTTGAATGTGATCGATGCAGGGTGTTAGGGTCCCGCGGTCTTCCGTCACGTTAAGCCGTACCCGCAGTTCCACACTTCTTGATGGTAATCTTTTTCGGTTTTATTTAATAATTATAACTACTATATACGGAGTAGGTATGAACGAGAATATCTCCATGATCAGCTCGGGTGGGAAATTGGGAATTGTGATAGCGTGCCAGACCCACATGGTCCATGCAGTGGTATGACACTGTTGGAATTCATGGATTGACCCTATACAAAACCGTAAAAGAAACCCTTTTCAATCATGATTCCAACCAAAGCTGAGACGAAGTCAAAAGGTCCACCTGACACCTCAATGTCGTACAGTATGACTCGGAGATCGAGTGGCTGGGGTTGGACCGGGGAGGACCATCGGAGACGAACCGGAGGGCGAACCCCTGGGCGGATCAACCGACAATCCTGGCCCCCTTGGTGCTCTAAGAGTGCCACTACCGCCCCGGATCGACTGTGGATTTGGAAAGGTCCAGAGCATGCTCATCTCAGGCCGTCTCAGAGTTAGTTGACTTAGTGCCAGTCTTACGTAGACGGATATCGAGCTTTTCATTTGCCGAAGAAGTTTGTTTAGCACTTCGCTAAAGTATGAACTAAATGAAAAACCAAAAATCCTCTTTGTGTCGGTCTCCCGTCGGTTTCATTGGATCTGTGTCGATCCACACGTTCAATATACGTCATGTCCCGAGCTTTGGGGAATACAATATTGTACTTACAAAAAAAGTGAATAAAAAAAAAACATAAATGGCCCGTGCGAGAGAAAAAGAGGGAAGAATAGGTGACACCGTTTGAACCTGGGCTCTAACACTCAGCTCCATGCAGGAGGCCAAGCCCTAAACCTGATGCAGCAATAGCACGCTGACCTGCAGCCACTCTGCCACCAAGGGGCTTGAACTTAGCAGTATCAATCATGACCGGGGTGCTGTCTGCTGATAGAGAGACTCTGTAATCAAACGCGCCAACGCGTCGTTGTGCGCCAACCTCCACAACATAGCAACTACTGGCAGGACATAGAGAGGATGGTGGTTTGAGCGTTCGGGGGGATGGAGCGGAGTACTCCGTACTACCACCCGAGACGTGACGAGTGCTCCGTGTTCTTTTGGTCACTTGAATTAAATTCTTTGCTTCTTGCGATCGACAAAATCATGCTGCAAAGCAAATTCAAAGGCTGCAGACCACCCGATGTCCACGTTGGCCTGGGGCCGCAACCCTTACTTCATGCAGTGCATACAGCTTTGCAGGAGAGAGCTGTCCTTCTTCACCTCCAGAACTAGCTTTCTCTTTCGCTTATTTTTCTCCATTCTATGGTTGTCCTTTTCCCTCTATGAGTTTAGTTCCGGGGGGATCACTCAGGATCGGAGGGGGGGAGGGGCATACGGTATCTCCGAGGATCCAGCGGAAAAAATACTACCTTCATTGTAGGTGCTATGGGACGCCTGTTTGGGACACGCCAATAGGGTACTAGTGTCAGTTGAGGGGTGGCAAGCCACAATCTAGTAGATCGCGTCGGGGGGGTTATAGTACACGGTCTTAAGGCTCAAGGGATCAAATGAAGTTTTGATAGTCGTTGGTTTCTTGGCAGACCGTGGCTACCTCGACCATGGAACGAGAAACAGCGAGAAATCATGGTGGAAATCCAAATACGTTTCTCGTTCAACCTTTACCCGACCCCGTTTTCTTTCAGCATAAGTCCATGTCTAGATCTTTTAGTGTTCAGGATTCAACTGCCCCCAAATTAAAGTTGTCATACCCTGGTCTTTCATCCATGCGGATATCGGCCACCCTGCTTAGTCTATGATGATCTGCCCTGGGGGTCGCCAACGGCTCAAGTTCAAGCCCTAATCATCCGACCATCTCATACAAGATTGCAAATGACTTCATTACTCTATAATATAACTGATATTCTGTTGATCATATTGGAAAACAAGAAACAACCCCACGGAAACAAGTAACTAACAGGAAAAGAAAAATACAAAAAGAAAAAGAAAAAACCAATGAGAAACCAGAGCATTCTCCGCACTCCGGATCGCCCTAGGATGGATACAACGTATGGCCCCTCTCACTCGGGCCAAGCGGGATGGCCGAGAATAGGCAATGATAACCGTTTCCAGTGTAAAGCCCTTTCTCTCACAGCAAATAATATCACGTCTTCTTTTTCATTGTAACTCTCCATCACAAGTTCCTCCGTATTATTTCTATTTCTCTCTCCCTTTTCCTGAACAAAAGCACTAGATTTCTAAAGACGACAGAAAAGAAAGATCGGTTGAACGGCCCCACCATCCGGATCCGAGGAATGGAGCTTTGGACATGGACCGTGGATCGACTACCGAGCGTTTTTATTGTGTTTTTTTTATATGTTTTTAGCCGAGCTCAAGCTCTTGATGATCCAGATTCCGATATTCCCGATCCATAAGACAAAAAGGGAAGTGGAATTTGTTTCCCTAGATCTGGCAAATCGAAAAGCCTACTCCGTCAATCTTGTACACTGGTGGCCGTTGCAAGTGCGGAAATGATAATCGGCCGATTATAACCCGATTGATACTATTTGACATTCAGATTGCATCATTTGAGGAGATGCATCCAATGGAAAGATAAATACAATCTATGTATCTACGCCAATGAGATATGAAGTGCATGTCATCCTATATCTTGTCCACGGGTGTTTATAGTTGTGGTCACAGCTGGTCAATCGGTTTCAAACATCGCACACCGAATGTTCTCTCTCGAAAAAGGGTTCTAGCTCAAACCATAATTTCCAAAGTTAGTCTCACCGTATGCCCAAACTTTGTGAGCCATCCACGCGAAACAGCGTTAAACCTGCAGCTGCAGTAGCGCGTCGCGTGGTCGGAGTTGAGAACTTGTTTCAGAATATCTCCTTGTCTTCGCAGATTCAAGGGATGGAATTAAAATAATAATAAGTGATAAACTTTGTATAAATGAAAAATGAAAAAAAAACAAGGAACCGAGTGCGCGCATTCAAATCCTTCAGAATAAGATCTGAGGCTGAGGACAGCTAGGTCTTGCATATTTTCGCTGATCGCTGCGGAGAGGAATACACACCGTTGCTATACTTAGGGACTACTACACCTGAGCACCTGCACGTACTTAGTCCACTGAATTCGTACCCGTTTGCATTTGAATGCCATACTCACACCGAACCACTCATCACCTGGTCGGGCCTTCACGGGCCCCCGAGAATAGGCGTATCCTTATACCAGTTATACCATGCAGCTCAGCTCCGGCATCATCGTCTATTATCTTAGTCCATCCATGAATGCAGGAGCTATGTAGTCTTACGTCACAGATCGGGGAGCAACAATCTAAGAAAAACTAATCCGGTCTCTGTCCTTGTCCTATAGTAGCCCCAGATATAGCTGAGAACCAAAATTATTGCAATTCATTTGGTCCCCAGCCCAGCCCCATACCCAATATGACACCATCGGGGAGAGGGGAAAAGGTCAGATGTGTCAAGGTGTCAAAAAGCGGAAGCAGGGGGCTAAAAATGGCGTGTTTGCGGTTTGCTGTTCTTTTTTTGCTTTTCGTTTTTTGTCCATGTGCTAATGCGAGTATGGCGATCTTGGACGTTTATGGCATACAAAGAAATACAATCTTGATTCCGAGAACAATATCCAGCCCCTACTCCGTACTCCGTATTCTCGATATGACCCAGAACAATAATACTAATATTGATACTGATACTACCTCGAAAATAATACAAAAATGGTCCATCCCATCCTAATTAGTTTTTTTTCCTCTCTCGGGTTCTCCACAGCGGGCGTAAGCACTATATTGTAGATACATGTACGATGGCAGATTCAACCTCCAGATTGGCCAACGGCACACGGAGTAATTCTTACACTTTGGGGGTCGGATCAGTCCCGACAGCCAAGCATGTGGACCAGAAATCTTGGAACTACCGGTCGAAACAAGCTCCTCTCCACGTTGATCGGCCAGTAGTCCGCGGGTTGGAGTTGGCAATGATATTAGATTGTACAAAGTTTCATTCCTCGTGTAATAGGTCTGTCTGCTCTTTTCCTAGTGGGCGCGAACATGACTCGCGCAAATTAGTTACTTTTGTACAATTTGGTACTAGTCTGAGGATTCCCTGAATCACCCGGGTTGCTTGTCTATCCATAGATGGGTCATCACAGGATAGAATAGAATAATTACATTTCCAAATGGACGTGTGGATCGTCTTGCCAAATTAGATTCTGCATCCAGTCTGTAGGTTGTATTGTAATATCAGGACCCATTCAAGTCTACCCTAAAAGAATCAGCCATGTTGTTTCTGCCTATCTATCTCTTGCCGAAGTATACGTTAGCCTATTAGTTAAATGCCGCATAAGATCTCCCATTCCAGCCTAAGTAGGAGAACGCCCTTTAATTGATACACCGTCGGCTGGTCCCGATGCGTGACTAATGTCCCCGTCCCCGCTGTGATAAATAATAAAGTCTCCGATGTGATCAAAATCAAACTGTACTTAGTAATCTGCCGAATGTGAATGTGAATGTGAATGTCAGTCCCTGGGCTATAACCCTTTGGGCAGGTGCTCGTCGTTAATCTTTAATTTAGATACATATGTATGTTTATACTGTGCTGTACAGGGTTGAGCTGAATGATTAACCAGCCGGTTGCCCTAGCTTAGGTACATATGTAACTAATCTCCAGCCTCTAAATCGATGTATGTCCGCATGACGAAGCATCTGCATTTCTTGGCTTGATGCTCAATGGACGATTTACTCAAGCCATATTGTTCATTATGAGCCCGCAAATTACAACGTAGTAGCAGGAGCCCCCGAGGTCCTAGGAGGTGGGACAAGCCTCGAGCAGGGGTTTGTTGTATACAGGTGTCCTTCCATAATCTCAGCTCTCAGCCTGTCCACTCCGTATGGCGTACGTACCTCGATGTATCAGGCTAAGAGTATAACGAGACTGCTTCTCCGTATACTCAGCAACGCGCATGTTTGTGTCGCCTCCTTATTCAACGCGCACCGGTGAGGCCAAAATGAGCGCAAGTACTCCGTATACTTAGTACAATTACCGAATTCCTAAATGTTTGCCAGTCGTGGCGTGTGTCTAGAACCTGCAGCCACTATGCAACTACGACATTCTGCGTGTTGTTCCCGCCCCTTTTTTTGGCTCTGTCATTTCCCCACTTGGGCAAGTTCGCATTTCTTTTTCTTTGATCGAGAGGGGGAGGGATTGGTTTGGTAAAAAAGAGACTGGGGTGTAGACGCTGGTATATTCCTGGGATGTCAGATTGGCTGTGGAAAAAATAGGATGATAGTCGATAGTTAGTGCGTTTGCGTGGTATTCTTACATGTCTTTTGCTTTTACCGGGCTGCATTTGCAAGGTTTTGGTCGAAGGCGCTTGTGCGAGCTGGCTCTTTGGCTGGGTCTAGCGCTGTACTCAACAGTACTTAGCGGTAGTGCATGCGCATGGACTATTACTACTGCGCAGCAGAGATAAGAAGAAATATACACGCAACAGGCCTTAAATAGACTAGCTTCTATATTCCTTGACTCTTAATCTAGATCTAGAAACCAAAACATGGGATACGGGATATCCCTTCAGCACCTGGACAGCTCGTAATAATACCGATTCGGAAGAAGAGGGTCACACAAAGGCTGAAACGCAGCGAAGGCTCCGTTCATGACATGCCGACAGGCCATCCAATGAGCCGCGCGAGTTGGACGTGGACTTGACTCGTGTTGGTTCTACATATTCAGACTGTGCATGCGAATGCCCAACGACGGATCGTCGCCGGCCCCGATCGAAAGGAGGAAATGGGGGCTGATTGGCTCGGAAGGATTCCATGGAGGTGCAGCACGCTGCATGCGAAGCGTTGTCGTCGATCATGGGCGGCTGTCAAGCAAAATCAAACAAAGCTAACGATACAACGTACGGTACGGAGTATTTGTCTTGAAATTGGAAGCGGTGTCGTCGGAGAGCCGGTGGGGAATGTGGGAAATTGGATGGATGGACGAGGGCTTGAGTCCTGACGTGCGAGCGCGGTTGCTTGCTGGCTCTGCGGGCTGGTCGCATGGTCGTCGCCCTCGATAGGGTAGATGCTTTAGCACATCAGCTACAACCAAAATGAGAGCTAATGGCTGCGTTTCTTCCGCGGGCTTGGTGGTGGTTTCATGAAAGGGGCATTGTACAAGGACCAATTGATGTCAATTGTTCTCTCTGCTAGACACAAACAAATACCGAGATTGTAAGATTTCATTAAGCTGGTGTAGCAGATGGACCCATTCTGGGTCTTTCAGCTTCTTGCATCGAGTTGGTCGAAGCGCGTGGACGCGCCGGCAGAGATGGCCGCCACTCTTCAGAGGTAGGAGGTGCTTCAAGCTGTTTTCGAGGCTTGTCCTCGCCCTCATATTCGTCATCACTAGAAGACCCCTCGCCACGGCGTCCATGGCGCTGAGTCTCATCTCTAGACTTGCGTCTTTCACGAACTTGTTCTTTGTGTCGAGTATCTAAGGAGTTCAATTGTGAGCAACAATCTTCGCCATGGGGTCTAAATGCCTCCTTAGATGGACATCGACTTGGACATTTTGACTTACCTCTGATCTCCTGCGTCTTCACAGCATATAGTTGGATCTCCTCCTTGGTCAACACTCTCAACACAATCACATAATCCGACCGCTCCTCGAACCGCTCATTCCCCGCTTCCAATGCCTCCGGATTCACCAGTCGCCGGTCGATCTTCGTCCAGCGAGCCCCTGGTGGGATACCTTGCTTAGTAGCATCTTTGAGAGGAGCCACCCCTTCTCTGACTGGGTTGGGCTCTTCCGGGAAAGCCGGACGGGGAGCCTTGAGAATTCCCTTGGGGGGCGCCTCCGGGCTCCTTCGGAGCGATAGGTGGCTCGACCGCAACGAGCTTTTTAGAATCGTCCTTGGTCATGTCAGGCGGCGAGCGGCGCGGCTCGCTGGCATTGCCATCTTCCAGCATGCGGTGACGAGAGCGAGACGAGCGATGTCCACGCGAGTGGTCTCTGTGCCTGCGATGGCGTGAACGCTCCCGGCTGCGGTCCCGGTCGCTCTCCGAGGTATCGGTGCTGCTGTGTCTGCGACGGCCGGAATCTGGTGCAGAGGGCTCTTGTCTATATCTTTCCAGATCGTCTTCGGAGACGCCGGCCTCATCGCTATGCCTCCGTCGTCGGGAGTGTCGGCGTCGACCGTGGCGGTGAGCATCCTCTGGGGCCAAATAACCTGGCCTGTTTCTTTCAATGGCATCGGCTATGGCGAGCTCCCGGGATGAGGCTGGGGCGGCATCGTGGCCACGTTTATCGTGCTCGTCGTGGGTGCGCCTGTGTGCACCCTTTGGCGAGCGCGGTTGCTCGTAGTCTGACACGTCGGAATATCTACCCCCTAGAGCGGCTGTTCCAAGTCCCACGACGGGGAGGGAACCACTATCATGTGATTTGGGGTGATAGTCTCCTCCATAGTGTCGGTCTCGATCGTCTTCATGGCGTCTATGATGGCGGCGGTGTGTACGGCCATGACGGTAGTCTTCGTCGTCTGAATCATGAGGCACGGCAACCAAGGCCTGGTCATGAACTCCCTCCTTCGATCTGCGCACATCATGATGATCATCCCTGCTACGACTTGAGCCTCGGGGTCGTTCTCGGGCCATCTTGTCTAGGCCCCAGGAAGTCGGGGGTGGGCCATGATGGCGTTCCTTTCGTCCCGCCCACTGGGAACTGTCAATCCCAGAAATGCTGAGTGGCCGGTTGTCCGCATATCTGGATCCTCGAGTGCGAGGCTTCACCGGATAGTCGCGATCGAATTGCTCGCGGGGAGTAGTGTAGGAGTAGGCATCGAAGTCATCGATATCGTCCCCCTTTCTCAGTCCATCGTAAGCTGGGTGACGTCGTGGTTGAGACGGCGGATAAGTCCGTGGTGAGCTGGGGCTTGCCCGATGTCTCATATCATCCCGCGAGTCGCGGTACCCAACATCGCTGGCATAGTCGGTGTTGGGTAGTCGGTGGTGCGAGCGGTATCGAGGAGCGGCCTCGACCACATGAGGTGCAGACTCCGAGGGAAAAGAGCCCGGAGCTGGTCGATGAGTTGTATGTTTCACGGGGGCAAGATGGTGCCGAGATTTGGACGGCACTTCCAGGCGCACTGGGGTGGAGTAGAAGTCTGCCGCAGATGCTGTGTTGCTTCTATGTCTGGGCTTGACGGTGTATTCAGTTCGTTTCTTAGCGGATGAGGTCGGATCATGGACTCGATGGGAGGAAACAGGATGAGCTTCGAGTATAGGTGGTCGAGCCGAGCCATAGCCGTATGCACTGGCATATCCAGTGTCTGATATATAGTCATCGTACTCATAGCGCCTGGACGAGTCGTGATAACTGGGCGGGTCGTGATGATCGTAGGAGGATCCTAGCTGAACAGTGCCAGTGGAAGCTCGCATTGGGTCGATTGTATGGTGTCGACCTCGATTGGGAGACAGGTGGCGGTGGTGACTTGACATCATGGGTGTTGCAATGAAGAATTGAGAGGACGGACGTTCCAAACGTCTCTCTGTGGGCGGCGTCGAACTCGGGATTTGATGCTCTCAATTGTCAGGTCGGCTTCAGAAAAGGGGTGATCAGTGAAAATCAGGGGTTCCCGTCGTTGGGCTTCGATTGATCGATTCTTGTAGGAATGCCCAACCAGCGTGGACTCGGTGAAAAGTAAGAGATAAAATACCGAGGAAATTGAAGGATGTCTGTTTCTGATAAGTCCCCTCTAGTGGAGCCTAATATTTGCCCAACAGAGTTAAATAATTAAAGAAGCTTGGACGGCGAGGGATTTGGGAAGAAGAAAAAAAAGAGGAACAATGACGAATGACGCAGTTGAAAGAAAGATGACAAAAGAGACCCCGCTGTTAGTTTCGATTGTGTTTCTGCAAGGTTTAATACTCTCTTCATAAATATTAATCAGTTCAATCAATGCTTACATTAATTATACCCGGGTAATATTATATTCATGATCTAGGATTGTAAATATTATCTACACTATCAATACTATAAACCCATGGATCATTAATGTTCGGAAACTGGGGCCGCATACAACCCGTGGAATGCTCCCGTTTTTATGAAACTCCCTTGCTTTCAGTACAATAACCACATGTATGTATGCAAAACATGACTTTTTTTTTTCTTTAAGCCTCTTGGATATCCACTTTGCCCGGGCCCAGGCAAGGCCGCTTGGGTGAAATTGGCCTCGAGTGATCTCATTTTGAGAGCTCCGCAATGATTCCGAAAGATCCGGGTGATATACAGAGTAGATATACAGAGTAGAGATATGACTACAATATCCATATTTCTTTTGCATGTTTATTTTTACACTCCCATTTTAAAGGGGGGTTTTTTTTGTTAGCTTTCTGTTTCTATAATAATCTTTATAATATCTAGGGCTGAAACCGACTATCTATAGGACTAGCAAGATTATATAATATACAGTATAAGAACAATGACATGTTGTTTTGGTTTTGTGTAGCCCACTCAGCTAATTCCATTAGCAATCCCACTTTTTAATTTGACCCAACCCCTGGCAATCATAGCACCAGCCTGTTTTAGGGCAAAACATGCAGTATATCATTCGCAGGTATATCCTAGCGGGTGATACTGGAACACGACAGAGATATATTCTTCAAATGTCTACATTTGTACAAATTATATATTTATGGTTTAAATATTCTTTCCGCCTTCATTGTATTCTCCCAGAGCCACAAAATTCATAAAACGGCGATGATCTCATCCATAAACATCTCTAGCGCTCCCCACAATATCTTAACCTGACACCCAACGTGACACCCAACCCGAGACAGAGAAAACCAATGACTCTCTCAATCTCAAACTACACATACAACCCTTTCACCGGCCAACTCATCAAGCCAGATAATCAGCAAAAAGCGGCGTTTTGAACGGGACAAAACTCCCACCCCATGCAACCCGAGATTTCACCCTCACACCCAGAGACCAGCCTTCCAGCCAGATACCCAATCAGCGATAGATGTATCTAACCTATACTGTTAGCACTAAAGAGCTAAGCTCCTAATAGCCCTTCTTTCCAATGTAGATTATCCAAATAGCAAAATGAGCATTGACAGATATTCTAGACTTCCAGATCTGCAAAGTGCTATGCTCTGTGCCCAGTTTGTTCGTCGAATGCTAGAGCCGGACCTGGATCCGGGCCAGGAGAGAATTTGATAGTTAGATAGGCATCACATAGCTAGTGTAGCCGTAGAGTCTTGTTCTGGCTAGTTAATTTCGATTTCGCCTTGTCGATGCCTGAAAACTGCCGGCTTTTGGCTTTGGTTCTTTACTCGTTGGGTGCGTGATCCGTTTCTGCAGTACGAGTTCTTCTTTTAGGGTTGTGCTCGTTCATGTTGAGTTCCAAGGTTCGAACTAGCCTCTATCCTTGGGTTTATTGGCTACGGCAGTCTTGATGTTGGGGGTCTGTGGATTGGTGTTGTAATAGAAGAGGGTTGTTCTGCAAAGGGGATCTCTTATTACACCTTGTGGTTATGTGTTGTATGCATCCAGGTGGGATCTGAGCGGATTGTTAAGTATATTTATATTTGGATAAGGGAAATATGGTGCTGATTTTGGGGTCTTGCATTGTATTTGTATCATTGGTGTTATTTTGTGCATCAACGACTTTGGTTCAATTTACTTGGGTGCACGGGTTCTGCTAGTTATATATTTGAGAATCAAGTAAGGGTTGATGTAGTCCTCCCAGGTGTATCAATCCCTTGCCTACACATTCAAATCCACAAGCGGAGCAAGCAAGTGCTAAATTAGCATAGCACCCAATGCATAAATACGCTCAGGTCATAATATATGTAGGCTTTGAATCAAAATTGCGTGGTTCTGTCAACAAAATCTTAGAGGCACACGCTTGAATGTCAATAAGTGATGTTGATGCTATCCTACACAATGTCCCCTATCAAATCGCCAATATCTCGATACTACTTAGGCAGTTGAAACTCCCAAAATTCCAATTCAATGTTCTGCCAAGGCCTACAATGCGTACGTAATGTCATCATTCAGCCCTACGACCGGAGCAGCCCGTGGAGTGTATCTAAGCCTATCAAACTTAAAAGATCAAGCAAGCCGATAGTGCACACTGTGGAGACAGCTTTCATTAGTTAAAATGGTATCCAATGCATGTATGATGCGCAGCAAACGCCCCAGACCGCCATATGCCGCTTTTTCCCGCTAGTTACGCCCCGATTGTGGGGTTGTCTGAGCAGCCCCGTTCTCGGGCACGGGAGCCAATCCAGCCTCTTGCTTCAAGCGGGTGACCACGGGGCCGAGAACATAATGGCTCTCCATGCTACTGTGGTCGGTACACGGGCTCTGCTTGATCGGTAGGAACCAATCGGCAATATTATGTCCCATGATTTGCTGGAGATTTTTGAACGGAGTGCCCAGATCGAAGGGGTTCTCGCCCGGTAGAGTGTGGAGAATGGCGAAGACGTGGCGTTCGACGGTGGATGGGGTCGTGGGTTGAGGCTGGTTTGGTAATGAAGACGCTTCGGGTGGATAGGAGACCATGCGGAATGTTGGGGCCCACGGGGAGTTGGGATCCCAGAGTCGGCTGAGAAGATGTTCGGGGACGCGGACGGCGAGGGTCCAAACGACTGTCCGTCGGTTCAGGTTCTCAATCGTTGTTATATTATAGATGCCCATTTGTATCGAGCTCAAGGTCATCCCGGCGGTGAAAAAGGCGAAGAGGGCGCTCCTAAAGATTGTTAATTTCGAGACAATTCTACTGAAGATACATGGGTTGTGACATATAACATACAATCCAATGCAAACACACCAATATGCGTTTACTCCTCCAGTCTGATGACATGTCAGTAACAAGCATCTATTTCAAGGCCACCTGCTGACTCGAATATACTCACGTCGCGTTTGATTTCTGCCGTGAAATAGGCAGACACTATCAGAACAAAACCACAATAGACGGCAGTATACACCACGAATTGAAGGAAGAATTTGAAGGATGTCTCGGACACCACACCTCCAACCCTGCTGCCTGTTAGCGAATTCCGAGGTATGCGGTCATGGGTCCATCATCGTACCAAGGACAGAAATGATCCATTTTGCGCACACAGCGGCCCAACTCCCGGCAGTGGTGTGCCCTGTCTGTTTTGTATTGACAGCAGGTAGTGCACCAGAGAGGCCGGCCATCCTCCTGGCAGACGAAAACGTCCTTTGTGTAGAAGTCCTCCAGTCCGATATCTGATTGAGACATAACACCTCCAGTAGAAGGACTTGAGCCTCTTTCCACGTCCGCATCTGACTGGCTCGACTTCTCGGGATCGGCTTTGCGCGTGCTGTGCTTCCGATGACGCTTCCTGCGCGAACGCTTCGATTCCTGCGCACTCTCCTCATCCTGTAATTTTTGTTCGCCCAGTGGAAGAAAACCAGGATTCCAAAGGACATGATAGTAAAGATGTAGATATGTGACAACCATTGGGATTAAAAGGACGTAGTAGATTGCGAGGATCGCAGCGCCAGCGCCGACTCGTGGGCCTCGGGTATAGGAAGGTAATGGATAAATTAAGTAATCGACTGAGAATCAAGCTGTTAGCCAAATGAAGCCTCATAACCAAAGCCAACTGCGCTGCTTACTGCATAATGGTTTCGTGATTGCATATGAAGCGTAGGTCACGGCGCCAAGCAGCACAGGTGGGATGAGCCTGGATACCGCGACATTAACGCGTTTCTGCGCCGCAGGGGACGCCATATATCAATACAATAATATGAAATGCATGAACAATATAACAAGAGGCTGCGAGACCGAGTCTGAGAGATCGCATGCAGCAGCCGAGGCCAGATCAAACAGTGCAAACCTGACGTAATCACCAAAACGGCCCCCGGTGCAACGGGTTCGTCCTTCTGTCCCATGAATCGGGGCATCGGGGGAACACCTCCAGGTTTGTTGACACCTGTTGTTTCACTATTTTTTGTACTTCGCTCTTTTTTCAACCTCATTTCTCACAGAAAAACCATGGGTACCCTATTACTCATTCCATTGACTTCAGCTGCGACCGTCAGAAATGTCTAAAAATGTCGTAGCGAATTACCTCATGTTCTCTTTTTAGCAAAATACTACTGTAATCAATAACACTACGATAGTATGCTTCAATTGGCACATGGCTTACATGATATGGGGGAATTGGAATTAGAAATCAGCCTTGACGTTCCACATCATCTCGTAATCCTCTATTTGTCAAGAGAAAACCTAAAACGTTCAAACGGCCTTGAAACGGTTTTCTCGCCGTCATTCTCAGGTCAAAAGACGGCCTGGGTGACTTAGGCAACAGAGGGCTTAAGCGGGACACCTGACTTTGATGACTCTTCATTTCTGTTTTGGCGCAACAGCTGCCTGGAAATCCAGGGTAGAGTGGAGTATTTTGCATGCCTGGGAAACCAATTGATCAATTTAGTGATTTTTATCTCAAGGCATCAATCGCAGGGCAAGAACCCGCGTTCGTGATGATGTACGTTGTAGACCGGTTGTTCGGGGCAGCCGAGTTAGCAAGAATGCACCGTCAATGCATACTTTCCCCGGGTGAGCGCCCATTTCAGACGGTGAGCTTGCTTAGCCCTGTCCCATAGTGGGGGGCCCCGTTGAGTCAAACCTCAGGATGATTCACAGATTCCTGACATTCTGGGCATAGGTCGATATGTATGTCCTGCGCAATGTGAGTCCCGGGCTACACTAAGCCACTTGCTCGGGCGGCCCATCTCTTCCCGGATGGATGTGCAACTAAAACGGTATTCACCCAGTGGCCCCAATAGTTAATGACTGACCCGGGTGAAAAATTGGCCTTACCCAATACGGTATCCGCAAGGCAGATACGGGCTGTTGGCTATTTTCTCGTAGAGTGCAGCCTTGTCTTTCTGGTCGAATACGTCTCAATACCTCTAATCTTCACAATATATAGGTTCGCGGATCCCCCATGCTTAATTCTAATTCATCTTCACAAGTTCAATCCCATTCAATTCCAAAGTATAGCTCGCGCAACCCGAGTCCAAAAAGACATACGCACTCTACATCTATATAGAGCCCATTGCAGTTATCATAAAGCCTCCACACTTTTCCATCCTGTCTCTTGATCAGATCTCCATCCACTCCATCCAAACCTTCAAAATCATGGGTTGTTTATGGTACTGCTGCCGCTGCAACTTCGGCCCTCACAACTCGTCCCTCTACAGCGCCTGCATCCAATGCGGAACAGCTCGCTGCCATCGCTGCACCGACCAGAAGATCTCTGACAATATGAATGTCCACTCCCACTCTCACAGCTACGACCCTACATCTGCATACCCAGATGCGGTCCCCATGAGCTCTCCTCGCACGCCAACATTCACATCCACAACCACATCTATAGTGGTACCAGAGCTGCCCGGGGTAAGGCCTTTGCCTCGGGCAGACTGCACATACGTCCCGCCGGCTTCACTAGCTGGTACGAAATCACATGGAACATACATGTACATTTGCTGCCAGTGCAATGACGGGCCGAAGATCTATGATCACCAGCCCAAATGTGTTGTCTGCAATCATACGGCCTGCGGGAACTGCATCTCTGTCAAATGAAATTTGAAATCAGAAGTATTGCCGGCCAATACTGAATTCTGTGAATGAAATGGTAAGCAAGTCCGTCTGATGCTCACTCAGCAGTTGGTTTGTTCTCGAAGCTGACGTTTCATTAGTGACATCGAACTTTATGCTGTCTACTGTTTTTCTACTGTTTTCTGCTCTTTCCACTCCCAAGGTTCTACTGTTTTGAATGTTTCTTACGAGCGCGTCATGGGTCATGAGCATACATGGTATGGTGTATTATCATTTTGCATTTGTTTTTGTTTTTTTGTTAGACTAGAAAGGATTGTATACTTGCGGGTTCCTGATTTAGTTTAGCGTGAGGTCAGCCAGGGCTGGATCCCTGTCTGCCTCGTCGAATTTGAATATTTTTTTCCACTTGAATTTATTGCATTATTCTATCAATATCAAAGATTACTACATATCTATTCTGTTCATCAATATCATCTATATGACTCTTGAACTAAACCCATCATTTTGTCTCAGAGTGCCCGACTGCGCCCATGCAGCTATAGAGTCATAGAGATCGTGATCGTCACAACATGCAGCAACCTCCCCTGTCCATTATGAGCCTCAGACCGGGCAAGGGTAGTTCCATTATGTTCATTTTAATCCACTGTCATGACTGGCTAGTTCGTCTGCGGCTCGGTCAGTAAGAGACCCCGCCATTGACGTTGAGTGGATGATGTGTAGAATATCTGCAAGCCAAGGTGTTAGTGGAGAGCCTTGCGCCCCCAGGGCTAGAAAGAAGACCGTTTACCGCTCCTTGAGCCTGGCGTCTGCAGCAAACAGCCCTATGGCCCATAGTAAAGAAGCGGTCTTGGTAATCTTAACCTGGCGGACAAGCCATACACTGACCTAACCCTCTCCGCTCTGCTTATTTACATCCGCCGCCTTGAACATACTTCGTGCTCTGGCCCCAGAAACTCAGCCCTGAGATAGTCAAGTCATCTCCAAAGCTATTTTCGCCGATTCTGCTATTTCTGCTATCTTAGGTAAGTCATTTCCTGTTTTTCAAACTATGTATTGCCCCACTTCTACTGATGACACTGAGGCTGTGCGTGCCCCGGCATAATTTTTGCTTGGCTCTTTGGACCCTCTTTGACCCTCTTGCGCGCTTGCTAGTCCACGGAGAATACAGTGTACTTTTGCAACCTCAAATCTATCGATCCTCATCTCCACAGCCAATCTACCAGTAACATACCACACTATATAGAACTGTGCCCGCTTCACTATCGGGCGCTGGGCACGGGACCCATACACTATACAATAAAGTAAATATAGTACCGCGACCTGTACTTTGTAAAGCAAGTGCGTAGTAGAAATCAAAAAAAAGAGACTTTGTATTGTTAAATCTGCGAACCAATCAAGGCGAGTCCGTAGAACTCTTCTTTCTCAAATCCACTATTCTGCCTCGCCCTGACTCACTCGTATATCTCTGCATAGATCGGTGATTCACTCTAGTTAGAATAAAAATGTCATCGGTGCAATCCTCGTGAGTTGGATAATCAGTCATATCACCGTCCAAATTGTATGGTTTTACTATTATTATCTTGCTGAATATATCTTGAAACGGTTGTACGAACTTATTTGGCCCCCATTTCCGAGCGGACTGTTCCGTACACTCCAGCTCTAAACTCCACACTTTCTCGTTCATCTTTTTTTAAACTCCCTTGCTTTATCCATTTCTATCGTGGTAATCAGTGCGATGAGGGTTTCGTTGGGTCTGGGCTCATCTTTCTCTCAGTGTTTCCGCCCCCAATCTTCAGCTTGGTTGGTAGTGTCCATAGCTGAGAATGTATCATGTGTCTAACGACAAGCTTGGCTTGATGTGGAAACTAGGCTAATCCCTTTATAAGCAAGTTGATTACAGACATTCTTTTTTTGGTTCGTTAATTTGCGTTAGTTTTTCAGCTATGTTATGTCCTGTGAGTCAAGAATCATGCCATATTGTATATTGCTGAGAGTCATCAAGATACTCATAGCCCTAAGGTTGGTAAGATGAGGTCATAGATATTCACTTGAAGATTAACATTCTAACTCGGATTTCTGACTCAACAGGATGCCTGTATGTTTAGTGGACATTGTATACGTTGTTGCAAAGGCCTATGATAGCCACAATAATCTAAACCACAATCTCCCAGCTTCTGTTTTGATATCTACATATGTATACTTTCACCTAACCAAGCGACTAATATTCATCCCCTATCAAAATTACATCATGTCGACCAGCCACAACCCCCTTGAGCACCCATTCAGGCTTCTAATGATGTAGTGACCCTACAAAACTCGGGGTTGGTCAGCCCTCCTTTTTCTGATGGGACCCGGAGAGTCCATAAACGACGTTGAAATCGATCCAGCGATGAAGAAGAACAGCATCTCCCGCTGACCCCCATGTCGATCGCCGCAAACTATCTCGGACCACCTCGTCTCTTCTGCTACTCTTTTTACATCTGTTCATATCTGTATCTTCTACTGTTTTCAGAAGGGAAAACTGTTCCTTTTTGTAAAATGCCTCTAGTCATTGATCTTAACCAAAGATGAGATTTTAATATTCTCCCCAAAGATACTACATATGAAGCTATTCGGAGCCTATGAGAAAACGCATTTAACCGCTGGCTGCTACACACCTTCGCGCGTCATAAGAAAGATAGTAAGAAACCAGTTGGACCAAAAAAATACATATTGACTGTGCGCTATAAATATGTGCTGCATAAACCCGCCGGGATTACAATCGTACAACCGCACCCGTAATGGCCATGTGCCATCGGCGTGCAGATTAGCAGTAGCCATAGCTTCTTCAGAGCCGAAACCGCAAAAGTTTACGACCATCCGCTGAGAAGCAAAAGCCCAACCGCCACCTTTGTGGGGTTTGAACAATGGAAAGACTCAGAGCGTGGGGTAAGAGAAAAGAAAAAGCTCTAAAGAACGGGAGCCAGCTGATCGCGCAGATCGGATGATATTGGAATGCTGGGATGAGAACGCCAGGTCGGCTAATGATGCAGAGGAGAACCAAATCATGAAAGCTCTGAAAAGATTCGACGGCAAGGGGATCGCGAAAAGATGAACAATGTGATGACCATGGCGAGGACTGCCTGAGTCCCATGCGATGCGATGTGATGATGGTTTTTCCCCATCATCGAAAGAAAATTCGATGGTGGTGTTCACAAAACAAATGGAAGACAGCTCACCTTGTAAGACCCCAAAGTCTTTGATGATGGAGATTGGGAGGGAGTTACAGGGACAAGACACGCGACGGGTCTTGGAGGAAGCGCCTACGGTATGCGGCAATCTCTGCGGCCACAGTGTTGAAGTCTTTCACCTTATCACGTCGAAGGTCATTGATGATCTCTTTTAGACCAGCGAGATATGTTTCTTTTTCTTCTTCAGTTTGTCCCTCCCGGGTGGAACCCATTTGGATGAGGATGTTGTCGTCTGTTAACGTTAACGGCTCTGTGGTCAGCACACGGACAGGGTAAAAAGGTGGTACGAATGGACTCAACGAATGCGAGGGAGATGAAAACAACGCGGCAGTAGAAAGAGAACGAGGAAATAACCAAGGGAAGAAAAAAACAAAGACACAGAGAAAGTTCAGACGATGCAAGACACCGGAGGAATATGATAGCTCAAGGACGAGATGGGGTGCACGTTGTTCATGTCGACGCACCGCTTAGAGTCATGTCTCGAAGATGCTGATACTCGCAAGACCGGTCGTTGCAAACACCCCCAGCAATCTCGTATGGACAGATGTACTTCATTGAATCAATGTTGTGGCTGTAAGTTAGCGAGCGGTAGCCGCTCGGAACGTCTGCAGCGTAATTGGGATGATATCGATAAGCCTTGAATGTTCGAAGTGGGCTCGTGTAAGGAGTAAATTTGTGTGCCGAGCTGGCGGAACTTGGTTCAATCTAGATAGGGGTTAGTATTTGATCACTGAAAACTTCCTCCAGGAAAGGTAGTGTTCATACGCCAAGAGCGCCAACCTGCAAATCCGTTTGAGGCGAGGGGCCTGACACCTGAGGGGCGCTGGTTAGTTCTTCTGTCGTTTGAGCGGAGTCAAATGAAGGCGCCGAGACTGTGGTGGTTTCTACGGGGTCGAGAGGGGCGGGGCTGAAGGGAGGAGGGCTGTAATTCGAGCCTTCAGACAGAGCTTCGGTATCAGGCTCAGGGGGCTCATAAGCCTCGGACTCAACGGACGGTTCACGTTGTTCACTTTGTTGACGCTGAGAACCATCCTCTTCGACAGAAATTGCACTAGTTTGGGTGACACCAGACGGCGAGCTGCCCGAAACAGATTGCCCAGATGAGTCAATGTCCATGGGCTCCGATACGTCTGGCATAGTCGAAGGCTGTAGAACCTGTGCATGAGAGCTGCTAATTTCTTCGTCGCTCTCGCTGGACGAACTACAGCTACCGCTCGTACTATCATCATCGTCGTCATCGTCATCATCATCATCATCGGACTCGTCCATGGCCGAGCCAGCGGAATCAGAATCGGATTCAACCGAAGCTGATGCAGGCGTGGTGCTATCGATTACACCGTTGGTCGTTTTATCGGCTAAGCTCTGTCGATGGGGTTCTTGATTGACGTCAACAGGAAGAGAGGCATCACGCGCAGAATCTGGAATACAGATCAGTTGGACTGAAGAAAACCTAAGGGTAAGGGACCGTAGTTCATGATTAGAAACAATGAAGAATGGTGGTGGGACCTACCTTCGTCGGAAGTGGCTGCGTCAGGTATCGTTTGTGACAAAGGGTCAGCTGAGACAGCCGGGACAGCCGGGACATCTGAAACCCCAGGATCGGCTGCGCTGGATTGTGCCCTAGATGATGATGTCCCGGAGTCATCAAGAGCGCGAGGTGACTGAGTTCGGCTGGCAGCAAGTTTCGATTTCCGTCGTAGCTCCAACTCAGCGATCTTGCGGCGCATCGCTTGTATCTCCATATCTTTCGTTTTTATCCCTTCTTGATCATTGAAGCTGGAAGAAGCCTGCGGAGTCGAGGTTGAAGCCCTGGTAGCAGGAATGAATGGCTGGACAGGAGGCTTGGACATAGCTGAGCTGACTATTGTTGATGGTTCTTGCTCTGACTCAGTATCTAGTTCCATTTCGTCGTCTTCGTCATCACCATAAAGTGATTCATCGTCACTGATTGCAATGATCAATCTATCAGCAGGATTGAAGCGACCGGCAGTTGGGTTGAAATGCTTTTTCAAAGGCGCAACTGGTTCATCAAAATCGGATGCCAGAGGACGTTTGCGATGGGTTGCTCGGGACACAGGTGTCAGGTCAGAAGCTACATCCGAGTCCTGTTCCAGCCCGGTCATTAGGAGTCCGGGAAGCCCGGGAAGCCCAGCAGAGTGGTGGGGTTCTGGCACAGGAGGTCGAACAGGAAGTGGGTGGTGAATAGCTGGAGTCTGGGTTTCAGAAATCACTGGCGCTGGGCTTTCCTGAGCTTTTTGTTGACTCTTGAGCAAAGCCTTTTGCTTTAGTTCTTCAATTCGCTGCCTCGCCAACTCTGTTTGGGCTTTATTCTTCTCTTTCGGCTCCTTTTGGGACGGACGAACTTCATCTGGGGTGGGAGCAGATTGCGCAACACCAACAGGCGAAGTCTGCTTGGATGCAGCTTTTGCAACTTTTGCAGCGAGCATTCGAGCAATGAGCTCTTTGCGCTCCAAGGGCTTGCCGTCTTTAGACTGAGGGGAAGAAGACGGGGGAGCAGCCTGGGAAGCGGACGCATTGGGCTTCACCGCACTGGGTCCTTCCTTTCCTAGAGGTGTCACCCCAACCGGTGGAGTAGAGCCCAGCAGATTTGCAACGGGGGCCTTTTCCCCAACCAAAGGCGCTTGCTCGGAATTGGTAATGACCTTGATACCGACCTCTTCGTACAACCGCTTGAGGATGGTGGGATTGATGCCCTCCGCAACGAGCTCCTTATAGCGGATATCATGAGGAGCCAGGCTAAGCAACGCTCCTTGAGCTTGGATCCGTAGCTGCGCTAGGGATTTAGTAGGACGAGTTTCAGGGGCTGTTGCTTGTGCGACATGCTTCTGGGCCTCTATGGCATGATTAATCAGGGTTGGATCTGCTGAAATGGACAAAGGAGGGTTGTACGCTGCACAGGGTTAGTGGACCCCCCAAAAAAGAACAGATTTGGGTTCATACGCGAGCTAGTACTCCTCCTGGCGGACCGTCCACTAGAAGATACGGTTTCACCCTCTTCCAAATCTGAGTATTGCCGTATAGTTCTGCGGGTCGGCTGTACTGAACTTTCATCCTTTGCCTCACTGACCTCGCCTTCCTTGCAATTTCTCTCTGCTCGAATTGGAATGGCACGCGAGCGCGGCTTCAAACGCGCAGCTGGAGTCAATGACTGTTGCGACTGCCGGGGGAACGGGGTTTGTTCAAGGAAGCCATTGTTGGAGGACCCTGTTGGCGGTGAGGCCTGCGAGTAATCCATAGGCGCGAACGGCATAGGAGGAAATGGAGGCGGAAATTGGGAGGGGTCAAACTGATTGAAGAATGGAAACTGAGGAGGGAAGAATGCTGCCGAGTTTGCAGGACCGCCCAAACCGGGGATCTGCGAATTCGCGTTGACGTTTGCCATGTTGTATTTGAGAGGCGTCTCATGGTTTGAGGGTGGCTCTGGATTCAATGAAGAATGTTCGAGAGGCATTAAAAAGTTTGGTGGCAGCATCGATGAGTATGCGGGAGGCCATTGCTGTGCATAGTTGGGATGGCCACTGAACGAAGGAGGTGGTTGGTCTGACATGATCGGTGGGAGGAAAGAGAGGTATTATTGAGCGTATTGAAATGATAAAATACGTATGGTCAAGGGGTGTGGATTTTAGACACAGGGTCTCATGATGTAGCGTGAATATTATGGTCAAGGGAGGTGGATGTACAGTTCTTCGCGAAAGAATAAGTACAGGAAACTTCGGTTTGGCGTTAACTGGTGAAGGGAATGGTGGCGTCGTGAAGATTCGGTGATGAAAAGCGAGACGCGACTGGCGAAATTCACTTGGTGTATGGGAAAGAGAAAAAGTAGAAATACCTAGACGGACTCGACTTGAGATACGCTAACTAGCGGTGCGCCTTTGACAAAAAGCGATCGAGTACCTCACGTGATCAGCTGATTACGTATGTATGCACGGACCATATACGATCGGCGGGCGCCCGAGGAACGCAGGCAGGGTAAACAAACAGAGTGCGGCACTTGGATTAGACCTCTTTCTTCCCACTTTCTTGTAAACACGCATTATTCTCTTGATTTTGATATTTCATTTCTTTTTTGCTCTATTTTTGGTTTTTTCACTTTGCCTGTCATCAATATCAACATTGCGGAGCAAACTGGCTATGATAACAACTGCAGCGGTTGAATAATGTCCTATTGAACCACACTCGCCATGCTTCCCTCCCAGCTCAACGGCTCCCCGAAGCGTGCGAGTCTCTTTGCACGCCCTCCAACCTCTCAAGGAACCTCATCACCACAACCAAGACCCAAATCGGCTATTCTCACACCATCTAATGGACTGGAATCAGCGAGAGGTCATTTGCGCAATTCATCAGTCTCACAGCTGTCGCCAGCATTCTCACCGAGCGGGAACCGTGAACGATCAAACTCAGCAAAGAATAGCCCTTCTTCCGGTACATTTGCGCCGAGTTTCATCAAGTCAGAGGAGCTACGACGCGGGGCCGACCAGATTCGTGGGCTAGAAGGAGACAATGACTTTTCCGGAAACAAATATGTGTGGCTGCGAGACCCAGAGAAGGCATTCGTGCGCGGGTTGGTACTTGAAGAATTGGAAGGAGCGCGCTTGTTGGTGCAGAGCGATGACGGCGATGTATGGAGTCCATCAACATTCTCATATTGAACTTGCTAACTCTAGACTAGCAACGGGAGATAGACGCAGATCAGGTGGATAAGGTCAATCCTGCCAAATTCGACAAAGCAGATGATATGGCAGAGTTGACCCATCTAAATGAGGCATCTGTGGTGCACAACCTGCACACTAGATACCAGTCAGATCTGATCTATGTCAGTTATACTTTTTATGCTGGACGCTTCAGGTTTCAGCTAACCTAACAACTTCGCAGACGTATTCGGGGCTTTTCCTAGTCACCATCAACCCGTACTGTCCCCTGCCGATCTACACCAATGAATACATCAAGATGTACAAAGGCCGCGGAAGAGAGGAAACCAGACCGCATATTTTTGCCATGGCGGACGAGGCCTTCAGAAATCTCGTCGAGGAAGGTCAGAATCAAAGCATTCTCGTGACTGGAGAGTCTGGTGCAGGTAAAACGGAGAACACCAAAAAGGTTATTCAGTACCTCGCAGCTGTTGCCACTTCTGATACACCGTACGCCCGATCTGGCGCGAAGCAAATTACCGGACTCTCGCAACAGATCCTCCGAGCCAACCCAATTCTCGAAGCCTTTGGAAATGCCCAAACGGTCAGAAATCACAACTCATCTCGGTTTGGAAAATTCATTCGCATCGAGTTCTCCAGATCAGGGCAGATTTCTGGAGCTTGGATCGATTGGTATTTGCTCGAGAAATCGAGGGTAGTCAAGCCCAACTCCAACGAGAGAAACTACCACGTTTTCTATCAACTACTGCAAGGTGCTGATCGGAAAATTCGGGAGAAACTCTTGCTTGCAGATCTTCAAATCGAGGATTTTGCCTATACCAGGGATGGAAATGACACCATTGTTGGCGTCTCTGACCAGGAAGAGTGGAACTCGTTGATTGAAGCTTTCCATGTCATGAACTTTGACGAGCAAGATCAATTGTGTATTCTGGGTACTATCGCTGCCGTGTTACATCTGGGTAACGTCGGCGTTGCGAAAGCGAGTGTTCGCGCAGACCAGGCAGCCTTGGCACCGGAGGGATATGCTAGTATGGAGAAAGCCTGCCAACTTCTTGGTATTGAGGCCGAGGCCTTCGCCAAGGGCCTCCTACATCCCCGGGTGAAGGCTGGCCGAGAATGGGTGGAAAAGGTGCAGACACCAGAACAGGTCCGCATGGCTTTAGATGCTCTTTCCAAGGGTATCTATGAGCGCGGGTTTGGCAACCTTGTTTCCAGGATCAACGGCCAACTAGGTCGCTCTATGGCTAGTGACGACAACTATTTCATTGGAGTTCTCGATATCGCCGGATTCGAGATCTTCGACAATAATAGCTTCGAACAACTCTGCATCAACTACACGAACGAAAAGCTCCAGCAATTCTTCAATCACCACATGTTTGTCTTGGAACAAGAGGAGTATGCCCGGGAGCAGATTGAGTGGCAATTCATCGATTTCGGTAAAGACTTGCAGCCAACGATTGACCTGATAGAAATGACCAACCCGATTGGTATTTTCTCTTGTCTTGATGAGGACTGTGTAATGCCGAAGGCCACGGACAAGTCCTTCACGGAAAAGCTCCATGGACTTTGGGACCGAAAGACACCGAAGTACCGTGCATCTCGACTTAGCCAGGGATTCATTCTAACTCACTATGCCGCCGACGTTGAGTACACAACGAGCGATTGGCTTGAAAAGAACAAGGATCCCCTCAATGATAATATTACGCGCCTTCTCGCTGATTCAAAAGCACCACATGTCGCCCAATTGTTTGCGGACTGCGCTGACTCTGAGGAGGATGGTGACAATCAACCCAGGAGCCGCGTGAAGAAGGGCCTATTCCGGACTGTTGCCCAAAGACACAAGGAACATTTATCTAGCTTGATGGCTCAGCTCCACTCGACTCACCCTCACTTCGTGCGTTGCATTCTACCGAACCACAAGAAGCGACCAAAGATGCTTCATGCCCCGTTGGTTCTTGACCAGCTACGATGCAACGGTGTCCTAGAAGGTATTCGAATTGCACGAACCGGGTTCCCTAATCGTCTACCGTTTGCCGAGTTCAAACAACGGTATGAGGTTCTGTGCCAACATATGCCAAAGGGCTACCTGGAAGGCCAGAGCGTTGCTCGTACCATGCTGGAGAAGCTGGGCATGGATCGGGCTTGGTACCGGGTTGGCCGCACGAAAGTGTTCTTCAGAGCCGGTGTTCTCGCTGATCTCGAAGAGAAGCGTGACCAACTCATCCGAACGATCATGACCAAGTTCCAGTCTGTCGCAAGAGGATTTGTGCAGCGCCGCATTTCAAACAAGCGTCTTTACCGCGCCGAGGCTACCCGAATTATACAACAGAACTTCCATTCTTATCTTGAATTGAAGGCAAATCCTTGGTGGCGCATGTTCTCCAGAATGAAGCCTCTACTGGGAGACACCAGAAATGCGAAGGAAGTTAAGAAGCGAGACGACAAAATCCAACAACTTGAACTGAAGATGAAACAAGATCTTGCAGATCGCCAAAAGCTTGACGAGGAACGACGTCGTACGGAGCTTGAAATACAGAAGATACAGCGCACCTTGGAGAGCGAGCGGGCACTTGCTTTAGACAAGGAAGAAATTTTCAAGCGCCTGCAAGATCGAGAAGCCGAGCTTACTGAGAAGCTTGCAGGTGCGCTTAACGACCAGGAAAGCCTCGAAGAACAACTGGACGACTTGATTGACGCGAAGAAAAAAATCGACGATCAGCTCCAGCTTCGAATCACGCAGCTTGAACAGGCAGGACTAATTATCCAAAAACTCGAATCTGACAATAAAAGCTTGCACTCCCAACTAAAGGAGATCGATGATAAGCTTTCTAAGACCGAGACTCAGCTCTCCGGGAAAAATGGAGAAATGCAAGAAATGGACCAGGAGATCAAGATGCTCCAAAGTCATCTCAGTTTGAAAGATCGAAAACTCCAAGATCTCGAAGCCAAGTTGCTGAAAACTGATCAGGATCTCGACGTCAAGCTATCAAACACTTCCAAGGAGCTGGAAAAGTCTAAAAAACAAGTTCGAGACATGTCTGAGGAAAATCAATCAATCCGTGACCAGATGTCCGAGTTGTCAGCGACCTCAACAAGCTACGAAGAACTTCTGCGTCGCAAGGAGAGCGAGATGGCGGTCCTTCGAAACGACGTCAGCAAGTACGAGGAAGAAAGAGCAATTCTTGAAGAAGAAAAGTCCTCTCTTTCCACTCGCCACGACAACATGCAAAACCGGCTCCGCGAGGTACAGGCAGACAGGGATGCCATGCGCTCTGAACAAACGCAACTTTTAAGCGAAGCTGCTGATCTCAAGAGCTTGCTCGAAGAAAAGAGATCCGAGGATGCCGAGGCTGGAGAGAGCAGAAAACTCCTGGAGAAGCAAGTGAATGAACTGAAGAGCCAGCTCTTCAAAGCTGAAGCCGATCTCAGCCGAGAGCGCCAATCCCGCGATGATGTTCAAATGCTTTCTGAACACAACCTTGCACAGTTGACCCAGAAGTACGATACGTTGAATGAGGCAAAAATCACCATCGAAAAGGAAATGTATATCCAACAAGACAGCTTGCGTCGCGCTACTGAGGCACGGGTTGCCGCTGAGACCACGCGCAAAGAATTGCAAAACGAGCTCATTAAACTTCGCGAAAGATTCACTGACGCTGAAACTGCGCGCATGAACGCTGAGGCCGAGATTGAACGAAAGATCATGCAGCAGGCGGAAGAGCGCATGGCAAGCGCACGCAAGGATCTTGACGAGAAAGCACGCCAACTCGAAGAAGTCGAATCCGAGCGATCCCAGCTCTCCGAGCGAATTAAAGAACTCATGCACTCCATCTCCGAATCTGATAACTTCCGCTTGCGTCATGATCAACATAAGGAACGCCTCGAGCGAGAGCTTGTGACTCTCAGGGGCAGACTGACTGCCTCCGAAAATGACAACAAGTCTCTTTTGACCAAGATCCAACAAAAGAATCTTGACATCGCCCGGTCGACCTCCAAGGCCAGCGACAGCAACAGACTTCGACTTACCAATCTTCAAAAGGAGAAAGCTCGAATGGATGAAGAGACCAAGAAATTGAATCGCCAATTGGAAGACTCCCAGGTCATGATCACGTCCTTGGAGAAGCAAAAGGAAAAGTTGTCGCTAAGTTTGGAGGATCTCAACCACGAGGTCAACCGCGAACACAAGACAAGTCGGAATGCCGAAAAGGCAGCTTCCACTGCCAATTTGCAATTAGCTGAGGCCAATCGCAAGCTGGAAACCGAACGACAACTTCGTAACCAGGCTCAAGCCAATACCCGGCAGATCCAAGGGACTCTGGATACGGCAAACAAAGAGATCGAGGACTTGCACCGCCAATTGATCTTGCTGCACAAGGTCTTTGAGCCGGAAGCTTCCGAGCCAACACAGTCCTGGGAAGCTGTCCAGCCACACCTCTCCAAACAGGTTGACCTGGCTCAAGTACTTGAAACCGTCCAGAATAAGCTTGGGGTCACCGAGGAAAAGTACGCCAGGGCTGAGAGCCAGCTTGCTGAAATGCGCCGACGCCACGCGGATGAGATGAAGGAGCTCGACGCCAAGTATTCATCCTCCAAGCGAGCGTTACTCGAGGAAATTGACCAGAACGAGGTGGCTAACAGCCGTACCCCCGCTCACTTCAGAAAGAACTCCGAGAACGCGGCTAAGAGATATTCTAACCCAACGACGCCCAATCGACGCTACAACGTGTTTGAAGGAGCGAACGATTCTGCACGCTCAGACAGAACCGTTGATACACAGGGATACCAACGGCGTATGGATGCCGCCGCAGAATTGGAAGAGCTTCAGAACAAGCTTCAACTGACCGAAATGCAAAACAAGCACCTGCAAAGTCAGGTTGCTCGGTCAATGCCCACTGGGGACATCTGGCAGGATGACAGTCCTTCGATTCGTCGTATGCAGCTGCTCGAGCGGGAGAACGGTCGTCTCCACGACCAACTAGATGACTCTTCCAAGAAAGTCTCATCCCTCGAGCGTAGCATTCGATCGGGTGAGCTATCCCTGCGTGACGTCCAGGCCAAATCGCACGAGGAACTCTACGACCTCATCAACTCACAGGAACAGTCGAGGCGTTCTCTTCTCAAGCTTCACACTGAGACTATGGGTGAGTTCGGTGATGCCAAAGCCCAGTTCGAAAAACTTAAGCGTGCTCGGGCGACGCTGGAGGTTGAGCTTCGGGATGCCCGCTCTGAGAATCAAGAGCTGCAAGTTGGCAGAGAGCAAGATACAGTCAGCCGTAACCAGCTTCTGCAAGAATTCTCCGACCTTCAGATTCGCTTAGATGCTGAGTCATCGCGGTCAGCGGATTTGGAGTCAAGCTTGATGCTGTACAAGAGTCGCTCGGACGAGTACTTCAACAAACTCGAACAAGCTGAAATTGCAGTCATGAAGGCTGCACGCGCCGAGCAGTTTGCCAAGTCCCAGAGCCAAGAAGCTGAAGAGACCTGTGCCCAGATCATGTCTGAACGCAAGGAAATGGATGCCCTCGTCGAGGACCTGCAGCGTCATTCGCAGTCCCTCGAAGCCCGAATGGAGGACTCAGCCGCGGAATTACAGGGTGCTTTGCAGGCCAAACAACGCCTGCAGAACGAGCTCGAAGACTATCGCAACCAGCGTGCGATCGATTTAGAGGACAAGGAAACTTCAATGGAACAGACCAGACAGAAATACCAAAGGGAATTCTCTACCCTCACCAACGAGCTCGAAATGGAGCGCGAGCGTGTGCTCAATGGTCGCGCAGAGACCTCTCGTCTCCGTGAGGAGCTTGAGGACCTTCGCAGCAAATGGGACGACGAAGTTCTCAACAGCTCAACGTGGGCCAAAGAAAAGTCCCGCATGGAAGTTGTCTTGCAGGATGTCAATAACTCTCGTGACGAAGCTGTAAATGCCCACAATGAGGCCCAGAGCAAGGTTGTTTCGCTTTTGTCTCAGGTCCGCACCCTTCGTACCTCAATTGAGGATGTTCAAGCGGAGCGCGATCTGCTACTGAAGGATAAAAAGATGCTGGAAGGTCGATTGGCCGAAGCTGGCGAGCGACTTGAAGACCTCGCCAAGGGAGAGAGTCCATCTATGCGCAATGCCGCCAGTATGGATCGCGAGCTTCTCGAACTCAAGTCAAGAATTGCACAGCAAGAAGATGTCTCTGCTGCTGCTGTTGGCAAGATGCGCCGGGCAGATGCTCTGGCAACGGAGATGCAGAAGGAGATCACTGCTGAACGGGAGGCCAATGCTCAACTATTCAAAGACAAGGCTGCTGTTGAGAAGCAGCTGAAGGAGGCCCAACTTCGGTGTGTCGATCTTGAGACTAAGAGTTATTCTTCTGGTAGCCAAGATGTTCGCTTCCTTCACAAGCGAATCAAGGAGCTCGAAACCCATCTGGAAGACCAGGAAAGCAAGCACAGCTCCGAGCAGCGCTCGCTTCGCAATGTTGACCGCACCGTCAAGGATCTCCAATCCCAGATCGATCGCCGCGATAAAATGAACGCACAGCTCACTGACGACGTGAACCGTGCCCGGGACAAGATTGAACGCCTCCTTCGTAACATTGAGGAGATTCAACATAATGACTCAAACGCCCAGCTCCTGGCTCGTCGTGCTGAGCGCGAACTCCGTGAAGAACGCGAGAAAGCACTACGCCTAGAACGCGAGCTGGAGGGCTGGAAGGGCCTCCGCGGTGAGCGAGGCAGTACTATTGGGCGCTCCCCGGCGCACAATTTCAGCGATACCGGAAGCCGTCGTGGGAGTGCTGTCTATGGATCTAATGACATTCCCCAACGGCATCCTAGTAATACCAAGGGGTTCTTGTGAATAGGGCTTAATTGATGTTTTTTAGCAGGGCAATCCTGCTTGGAGTTGCAACAATGGTTGTGGATGGATATTTTGTTTAATTGGCGTTCATGTGCATTGGGCAAGGGACTTTTTAGTCTTGTAGGCCTGAATAGTTGTTTATATTGTTCAACAGGCTATTTTCTTGTTCTTTGCTTCTGGCTTTTGGCGTTATATTGGAGGTACTCCTCAATTTTCTTATTCCATTGAGCAACATGTATGTTTCACTGGCAGACCAGGTCATCTACAACGACGAGAATGTACCAACTCATCAAATCGCAAATTGAGTTTTAGCCATTCCAACAACCTACATTCGGTCTAGAACGTCTCGTGACACATGTTGGGGGATAATTAGCCTTATATATACCCATGGCAAGTCTGCCCGATAGCCGTTTGATGGCATGATGGAAGTACACCGGGTTTCTCATATGACGAGCGACGAACTGGGGGCTCAGCCTTTCTTTACGCTCGTCCTTTAAGCCAAACTCTATTCGTATCACCGGCTCACCAAACTCCATCTTACATGCCATCCTGTCGAGTTCCGGCTTTAACCCGTCTACAAGGATAGAGTGAAACGCATCGGTGACATTGATTCCTTCCCCCGGATTGAGCTACTACTCAATGTCTGCAAGACACCAAGTCATTTCGTCGAAGTCGAACTATGGCAAGAAGCTCTACACAGTGATGTTGGTTATCATACACGATCCACACAAAGGTTTCGAACAGAGCTAGACGGCTTCGTACCAGTTCTCGAACGAAAACAACACACCACAGTAGTCAGCCCACACGGCAACCACACCGCCATTGAGATTGATACTAGCCTACTTCTGCGGCACACAGCGAATTTCTCTCCCAGTGTTATTCTCACGCAAGAAATGTTGAGTGAGACTTATGCTCGATCAAAAGTACTTCTGGCATAGCCCAACACACTTCATTTATTTATATTGGCTCCTCTTTGACCTTTGGCTATTATGCCCGATATCAGTCTCAAATGCTCATCTCCACCGCCATGCGTCGAGGATTGACGAATGGAAACCATTTTATGTTGGGCTGTTTCTACCGTAACCACTTGCCTATTGTGTTATTATACTATAGGCAAAAAGCAACCATAAAATTAAAGGTTCATTAAATCCATTAGACTCGCAATATAACATGAATAAAAAGCAAGTTGATCATCTTACGAATGCAAGACTAAATAACTAAATAATTCTGTTGCCATATCTATAGCGTAGCACTGCAACCTAGGTCGTTCGAAAGCTTATTGAACAACTAGGTAGCAATTCCGATAAGTGACAGACTTACTTGTCGTGATCGCACTAACACCACCCCCTAGTGAACGTATCGGAAGGCAACAACCCCATCTGGACGACTTCCTGTCTTCATGCCTGAGATAGCCGACCCAGCTAATCTCCCTTCTTCCGCTTCCGCTCTTTCAAGTTCAGCGTTCTGCCGGTTCAAATGCCACTTGATCCCTAGAGCTGTGACTGCACAGACCAAACAAGCACCACTCATGACACCACCACCGGCATAGTACCGTGGCTTCTGAGAGTCTGGAAACATATATGATGTGTAAAAATGTGCAACACCGGCCCCCATCAAATTCACAATGGCAAGGGATGTTGCACGCTTGGCCTTCGGCCGAGGAAGTGTAGAGCTCAGCCAAGAGACACATAGATTGTAGGGAGAATATGAGCCAGCAGTCATGAGGAACATGCTGAAGTATCGACCGCCTGTAGATGGTACAAACATTGCCTTTAATTGTTCGTCAAAATCTGTACTTGCCCATGAAACAGAGCTGGAATTACTCACTAACAAGTTACCAAGCAGAGCGAAGGCCAATGGGATGGCAATATGGAAGCCACGCTCTTGCTCGTGTGCTGCATGGAAAGAGATAGCCAAAGAGCAAATAAATGCGAATGCATACGGCGGCGCTGTGAGCAGCAGCGTTATAGTGTCGTTGTATCCCAGTGTGCCTACAATCGAAGGAAAGAAATTGTTGAAAGACTGGGCTGTGATTAGTGCCATCTGTAGTACAATAAACATATATAGCTTGGGGTCGAGGAGGGCTTGTTTAAGACCCCAGATCAATGATTTAGGGTCATCATCCACTAGGCCAGCATTTTCATTTTGCAGTCTCCAATCCTAACAGAGTCGTTAGTAATTACAGGAAAGACTGTAGTATTTTCATATAACTCACAGCAAGTATCTGATGCTCATTTTCCAGCCACCATCGCTTAGTTCCTGGATAATCGGGGATGAAAGGGATCACAAACAACGCAATAGCAATAGTCATGGAGCCTTCGATAATGAACAACCATTCCTATGTAAGTGAGTTAAATTCGAGGAGAATAGTAAAATTAACGAAGACTCACCCAGGCCGGTCTGCCTAGCTTTCCTTCCATCCGCGCCACAATGCCTGCAGCTATCAATCCTCCAAATGCGCTTGCCAGCATATTGGCACCGTAAAGCAAAGCAATGCGAGGTGGTAGCTCGGATCGTTTATACCAACAAGACATCAAGAAGAAAACGCCCGGTAAGAAGGGCCCTTCCACCAACCCAAGAACGAAGCGACATAGCAAAAGACCTGTAAAGTTGTGTGTGAGAGCCTGGCACATAGAAACAATTCCCCACGCAGCTGTCACCAGTCCAATATAGAGTGACGGTCTGACTTTTGTGATGATCAGGTTGGATGGAATTTGTGTAATAATATCTGGTCAAACGTTAATCTCGTTTTATAGAAGAATGTATCGAGGAAACTACCAAGCAAATATGGAGAGTCCCGAAGATGAAATGACGCAAATCGGACTTACATCCGACATAAAATATCATTAAACATGTGTTATATTGGGCATTTGATATCCCTAGAGTATCAGGAAGTCCTGCAATCTTGGCATTGGCAATGTTGTTACTGTAATGAATTAGCACAATTTTCATTGCATGCCAAGAAAGAGACAACTGACCGATCAAGGATGTTCATCAGGAACAGAATGATGACCGCAGGGAGAAGACAGCTATCAAGTTTCCGCACAAGGCTTTTCTCAAGCTTAGCAAGCTCATCGTCATTCAACTGAACTAGTTCCCTTGGAAGAGGGAGTTGCTGCAGTGGCCCAGGCTTCACAAACTCCACCGTCACGGCATCTTGCTTAGCTTGGGTGATGCCATCCATTATGTTGATTATTGCACGATGGGTTGGCGATTTAGATCTTAGATCTCGAGAGCGGGGCCATGGTGGCATTTACATAGTCTATAACTTATGGACCTGGTATGATTGATCGATTGCTTGACCACCAATCTTGTTTGAGTATTCCAATGCCTCCTGCATATCGGCGTGGTATCCGTAATCCGGGGTTGAATGCGGGGAGACCGCGGGGAACAGCATAAGCAATATACAACGGGCACAGACACAATACACACTGCCGGCTAGAAAGCCGGTTTTTGGGTAGATTAGAGGTATGTTTAGGCCGAAGTAAGCCTGGAAGTTAGCGAGTGATGAACAGCTAATTTGTCCGATTTTCGTCTTAGTAAGTAAATTGCTTTGTTTGCAACCTCCCAAATCTTCGAATACTCGGTGGCTCAAGTAGATTTTAGGTTGCTTTATGGAAACGCTAGAGAATAAGAAACAGAGACATCGATTTTGCACATTGATATCACGGAGAAAACACTTTGATGTCGACCAAAAGAATCAACTATGATCCTTTGGGTGTCTCATATTGAAAAGGAGAAATCGTTATCTGCATTCGTTGACTTTCAAGCCGCGAACGTAGAGCTTGAACAGTGTAGTGTCTGTCCGGTGAGGTCTCCGATCCTTTGCCGCCAATGCCCCGTTATAGCATTAGATAAGAGAAATTTAGAAGTTGGAAAACACGAAGGTATTTCCCAAAAATCTAGTTCACATAGATTGGACGCAAATGTTTTGTGTGTGGGTTGCAAAAAAAGATGAATCAATGAGATCAGTTGTTCGCAACGCAACTAGTGAAACTGTATTACCCTTGCAACTCATTTGCAACTCCTTAAAACATTCAGGAAGAATGAAATGACAGATACGCTGCACATAGTACAATTTGCAATGCATGCAAAACAAATTAATGTCACCTTAATGGTGAACTTAAGTATTCGGCAAATGGCCACGTGATAGCCGCGCGCCAAGCGGCAATTAGCGCGCAACTTCACTTCAAGCTGTTGAGCTCATGATTTCCTCTCCGGATTTCTTCCCTGCCAACGCCCCCCAATACCCGAACAATTCGGGTCGCTGACTTGGTCAATTTCTTCACCATGGTAAGAAGAATCACCCCCTACTAAGTTTCTCTACGAAACCCAAACATGCAAGCCCGATCACATTTTGCTAACCTAACCCCCGCTATGAAATAGGCACGCAACAGCGAGAAAGCACAGTCTATGCTGTTCCGCTTCCGGGCGCAGCAAGCAGCAGACCTTGGAATTATTGATATCTCACGCACCCGTCGTCCCAAGGCCATTACAAGCATCGACACAATCCCCGTATGCGAGCGCTGGCGCGGCCAAGTCGTCAAAGAAATTTCCCGCAAAGTATCGCGCATCCACGAGCAAAGCTTGAGCGACTACCAAATCCGCGATCTCAACGATGAAATCAACAAGCTGATGCGCGAGAAATGGGCGTGGGAAATGCAGATCCGCAACCTGGGTGGACCGAACTACATGCGCGGATCCAACCGGGTTTACGACGACGAAGGGCGCGAGATCCCCGGAGGCGGAAAAGGATACAAATATTACGGTCGTGCTAGGGAACTACCTGGCGTCAAGGAAATGATCGATGCTGCAATGCGTCGTGCTAAAGGTCCGGAAGAAGAAGAGTCTGCATCCGGTCGAGGCGGAGACATTGCGACAAGGAAAGTCGATGCCAATTACTTTGGGTACGGTCTCGATGAAGAAGATGGGACGTTATTGGCGTATGAAAAGCAGAAAGAGAAGGAGGCGGTTGACCACTTCCGCCGTCAAGGCGATCCGGACCCCGAAGATGGCTGGCAATCTCTACCCGGTGATGCAGGTGACGGGGTGGAATGGAGACTCCCGACGCTAGACGAGGTCCAAGAAGAGCTTGTGGATAGGCGGCGGCGACGTCTTCTTGACAAGATCTCTTGATTTGCACTCACCATCTAAGACCTTTCTGGTTCAAGGTCGTGTCGTTTTCATTTTTTCTCTGCTTGGGACGGGCGTTTATGGTGCTTCTGCAAAATCACATATTCGAGCATTGCCACTTTTTTGTTCGTAATGACATCACTTGATTATTATTTCCCAAATTTCGCGAATAGCTCCAGAAGAGGAGATTCTTTATATGTACAGTGTGTTATAGATCGCTAGTTACAGCGGGTTTGTTCTTTCGGGGTGACCTTGTCGCTCTTAAGGCCTGAGTCATGCTCATACGCTCTGTTTCACTGGGATCGTTCCGCCGTTGTTCCTCAAACTCCAGGTCGTCAATCAGGAACCGACCCATATCTCCTTGCCGCCATTTTTGTATGAAATGAAGTGCAGCCCCTTCAGTGTTGGGCACTCCGCCTTTCCCAAGGAGCCCAGTCTGACGCGCAAAACTTTCAAGCAACGGAACAACTTCGTTGGTCGGCTCTGACCACCGCTTGTAAACCGTCGGATCATGCAGATTGATATGATATAATAAATAGTCCACAAGCGTGATTGGCGATATGACAGTGTCCTTAACACACCCACAGAGTGCCAGCTTGAGCATGTTCTCGGCATCTGGGACATACGGCATGAAGACTCCTGGCGTGTCCAGCACGTAAACGTGCGAACCACACTCGCGATCAATGATTTTCACTTGGGTCGCAATTTTGCGCGTGATACCAGGCTGCTGCCCAGTCTTCACTGCTTTGGCTTTGCCTGTGCCCGAATTGCGCAGATTATTGATCAGAGTTGACTTTCCGACATTCGGCATCCCAACGACCAACACTCGACATCCTACTAGCTTATCAAGAGCTTCGGCATCATTTCGGAGGTGTTTGATGATCTGGCTGACATCTTGGCGAGAGGCTGAACTGGTGAAGAAGACAGCGCTGTTTGGATCGAAGCTTTCCAGCTTCCGTTCTATCTGAAGTTGTATGTTAGCGTATATCCTATCACAGCTTGTTGATAGTTCGAGTAACCTACTGCTTTCTGAATGGGTGATCTGGGAATATTCCCAAGATCTCTCTTGGTATAAACGATCAGTCGTCGCATTTTGCCCAAAGCTTCCTCGAACATAGGGTTGATCGAGGTGACGGGGGCTCGATAATCACGACATTCCACCACATAGTCAATCGATGAGAGCATGCTCTTCATCTTGGTGAGACCAGCGCGATGGTGTCCTAAGAAATAGGACCTTGGAATCGCCCCATAATGGGGGAAGGTACTGCGTGGAACGAACTGAGCCATTGTAGCTCGCTAAGTTAGATATAGTTTCAGTCCGGCGAAATACGATTCATCTTATCGCAGCAATAGGCGATCGGGCGGAAAGGACTGGCTGATCGAAGAGACAAAATAATTGATCATTCCGCGGAAGACAACAGAAAAATCCGTCAAAATCCCAAGGGCGGAAAGGTAGGCGGTGAGAACGTTGGCTGGACCATTCTTATACTTCTTATCTAAACTCAATCTCGAGGTGCACTTTATGTGTATAAAGGCATTTGAGCTCAGTACAGCCTATCATCCAATATTGTTCTGAAGAACTCATAGAGCGAACCCGCCACGGCAGGGTTCTGGTGTTTAGGTACTCAGTAAACCTGACACGCACCCGCACCGCCCCACGATGTGTGGAGCTTGACAGCCCGTATTACAGTGGATAGATTTAACTTATGAACAACATCGAGCCATGAGAGCTATGGACTGCTCCTTCTACCATACGCGAATATCCTGCTCCACTCAAGATTTATTCATTCCTTGCTCTTGCTTCTTCAACTTGCAGTATGCCATCGTGCTTGGCCTTCTCCTTGTCAACGTATTCTAGACCCTTTGTTTCAACTAAGCGGTCGACAGAGGCACTGACAAGGATGGCGAGAGTCCATTTAACCCCGGTGTCACTAGCAGGTCCGCTTATACAAGATTTAGCAACCGAGAACAATGGATGCACAGATATACTGACCAGATTGGGCGACGTAGATCTCGTATGTTTTGGCGGCTTCATAGGCAGCGGCATTACTGAGTAACTCGTGCGATATTCTGGCCCCGTGAGGCGCGTTGTCGACCTGGTCAAAGGCTTGAGCCTGTTCGGAGTCAACTGAGCAGTAGGCCTCGTGTTAGTCGGTACTAAGGGGGGCGATAGTTATGATGTAGGACCATCACTTACCTTCGAATCTACGCATTGTGAGGTAAAATATTTTGATGGAGTGATATTGAACGAAAGATCAAAGAAGAGATAGGGGGTGGAGAGGGAAACAACCAACAAAGCTGGGGAGATAGGGAGATAAAAACAAATGATATGGGTGTGAAATATTGATTCATCAACGCGACGCCGATCGATGGCGTCGGTTTTGAGCTCAAGTAGTCGACTTTTATGTTTCAGCCCGCCTATCTGGCTGAATCAATCTCCAAATCAAACATCCTTGTTCCACTGGGTACGTGGCAGCCGTGCACTAGTCATGAACACTTACGTCGTCGCTGCATATGTAGGGTAGCAGTTTAACAAGGTGGGGTGTAGCTGGCGATTCGAATTTAGTATCCACTGTTTCTTGTGTACAATATCACGACCAAGTAAATAGTCTGAGCTCTTCAATATAAATTATTCACATAGTCATGTTTCTGAATATTCATGAATCATCATAATCCTTCGGAGCCTTAGTATCAGGCACGGGTGGGGATTGAGGAGGGAAGATAAAGGTTTGCTAGAATACTCAGGCTTAAGTCTGCTTCAGTTTGCCTTGGTTGCAGCGAGCTTTTCTAGAAGCAAGAGATATTTACAGAACAGATTCTATACAGTGTCGTGGTATAATCCCGTAGCGTACGACGCTAAAATAGTATAGTAATGAGCTAAGCTCACCATGGATTAGCTCTCGAAAGTGGCGCCGAGAAAGAGCGGAAGAGTGCAAATCTTGTAGAAGCCGAACATGTCAGCTACTGTGTCTACCATCTCACTATTTGAAATACATTAGTTATGTTTAGATCCATATAAATTGCCAGAACCAGAGATAATAGAATGCAGAGTTTTTCGCACATTTCTATTGGCCAGGCCAGAATAGCATCGGACAAGATACTCAGTGAGCAAAACCCTGAGCGCCCTCATAAACCGACAGCACCCCGATCGGGAAATTCGCATCCGCGGCCTAAAATCCGGTACATAAAGCGACAAATTCAGTATGGGAAGTTCGGGGATGGCGTTCGGGATGAACACCGTATTCGAAGGTTGATTGGATCAGGAATAGAGCTAATGCTAGAATATTCAAGTCGGCGACCAATTGATGTAAGATCTGGTTTGGCTTCATGTTTTGCTTTGATCCAAAGACATGATCTAGCTATATCTTGGCCTGTCTCTTTGGAAGAGGCAGACTTTTAATGACTTCTTTCCATTCTGCTGGGAAGCCAGACTTCTCACTCGTAGGGCGTTCCGTCCAGCCCGCATAAACCCGAGTCTCATCCTGCTGCCAACGTTGAAGCTCTTGCTTGATCCACGGACCCAATACCCGCGCAGTTTCCGCCACTTTTTCTTGCGGCAGAGTGTGCCCAGCCTTTTGAACAACCACATATTCCACACGCCCGGACTCCATACCACCGCTTCCGCCGAATCCAGTCCCTGTTCGCTGTGCGGCTTCTGCATGCTCGCCTCCTTTGCCGAGCGGACTATGCGAAGCACTCACATAGAGCACCGAAGGTCGAATATGCGGCACCAACTTATATGCCAGAATCGGCTCTGGGCGGTAGGATTTTTGATCTGGTAGCAAAGGACCTAACATGTCAGGCACGAGGATTGGGTCGTGTGGCGGGCTGATTCCGCTGGATTTGGGGTCTGTGTGAGCCTGGCTATTGGGAACTCCAAGATGAGTATGGCGCTTGACGTTTGGCCGGGTGTACATTATCGTTTCTTGGTGTTTTGTGGTCGTCAATGTCACAGGACGAGTCCCATCCGTGGGATCTTGTGGGTGCATTGCCGTTGGTAGGTCGCGGTATCCGAACTTTTTCCACAGTTCGAAGACGCGCGGGTCCCACGTTTTGAGAAGCTTGCGAGCCTTTTCAGCGGCGACTTCTCGGGATGGCCAGACATCGCGCTTGCCTGTTGACATGGCTACGAATAGGGGGCCATCGCCTGCCAGGGGGTTGTCGGTCATATGTGGCTCGATTAGAATCAGTGAAGTAAAGAGCCGGGGGTGGAATAGAGATGCAAATAGCCTTGATGAGGTTAGAAATTTTGAAAAGCCCAATGGTCGCCCAGATGTACTTACAGCTGTGTCGCACCCAGACTATGGCCAACACCGATAATAGGCCTGGGCATTTGGTCGCGGAAATGGTTGATCATCTGAATCACATCACGGCTGTGATCATACCAGGACGCTGTGAGTTGTTAGTGATGTGGGATATTTCAGGCGAAAAATCAATTCCTCGATCTACTCACGGTCATTTCCGAGATTATTTTCATTCAAAATCCCACTGGCACCCTGGTTGGCGGCATCCGCTATCCAAATCGAGCGAATGCGAACTCCATCTTGTTTTGAGCGGGCTAGGAGCTCTTCCCAGAGAGGCTCATATAATTCCTATGTCACCGAATCAATCATTTTGAAGTTGAAAGCGTTAGAGGAAGACTTGAACTACCTTGGGAAACCCAGTACCATGCGTAGCTACGATAGTGACATCTCCCGGCTGAGGATTAGGGTTGTCAATTGGCATATATTGTTTGATACAAAGCTTCAAGAGGCTATCAGGGGCGGCTGTGGCCCGTGGATACTCCCGAATGTATTGTCCATCGATAACATGTTCAGTGACTTGGAATGGGGAACTCATGGTAAGATCAAAACCAGTGTAATTCTTGGTTCTGGGAATGAGAGATGGGAGAGATGAGAAAATGCGTTCACAGTGGAAGGGCTTGAAGCTCCAATTTCTTATCTTAAATGGCCTACCACATTGATCGACCTAGATATTTACGCATTGGTGATTGTCTCAGACGATCGTCAGCGTGGATCAATAGTTGCATCATTGGGTATCCACTTGGTGTGGATATCAAGATCTAGAGTGAGTCTTGTACCAAGTTCTAAGCTGAAAAAGGAAATATCATATCGTATGAACTATAGGACCCTCACCAACATAGTACTGAGGAAACCAAGAAGGGTTCCTTTGCCATAGTTAATTTAGATCGTCGCGGCATAAACTTTTGTTCTAAATTCAGGGCTATCTATTTCTTAACACCAGAAGTAAATCTACACACGTCTTCACTCAGAAGCGAGATCGGAACTGAACCCAAGGTCCCTCCACTGCTGAAGTTACCCAGCCCTTCAATTTGAAATCACAATCATGGCGTTTCCCACCACAGCAACGAGCATCAGACGCCAAGCGCATGTCATATCGAAACAGCGTTCGGGCAATGGTCACATTCAACTCAGCCCATGCAAGCTTCCACCCAACGCAGGACCGAGCGCCAGAGCTGAAAGGCACAAAGGCCTGCTTAGCAATCTTGATGCTTTCTTCATCTACTCCCGTTTCCGCATTCACAATCCATCTGTCTGGGAAGTACTCGTCCGGGGATTTGAAATAGTTAGGGTTTCGGTGGACAGCATAAGTAGTTGTCCCGACCATGGTTCCGGCGGGAATGAACTCCTGGTCAACCATGAGACCCCCTTCCAGTACGGTACGTGGGATAGTGGTGGCAACGGAAGGAGCGAGGCGCATTGTCTCGTTAATGCATGCTTGGAGAAGCTTGCAACAGTCAAGCTTGGGTCCCATGTGGATTTCTTCTTCATCGTTGAAGGTAGTCCGAAGTTCGTGCACTAGGCGGGCTAGGAGATTGGGTTTGTGGACGAGGTGGAAAAATGTACCACTCATAGCGGTAGCAGTGGTATCCGCGCCTAGAGTGTGAAGGATTCAGATCAATATTATATGCGGAGTAGGAGGTGTGTTTGTCTTACCAGCAGTCATCAGGAGCATTGACTCCACCCAAAGGTCTTTGGAAGTGAAGTGCAGTCCGGTTTTAGGATCGGCAGTATTCATCATATGATAGAACAAATCCTTCTTTTCGATGTCATTTCCGAGGCGTATGCGGGCCTTGGAACGTTCACCAATCCGATCGCCGGCATTAACGATGTCTTTGAATTTAGAAGACATGAATAGTCGGTCAATCTTCAGATTGCAAAACTTCGACTGGACAAGTGTCTGGTGCAAGCATCAGTAGACATTCGAGGGAAATTGAGCAAGGAGCATAGAGCTCCTAGATCCTGAGGTCATACCGTCATACTACGCTGCGTAATCTTCAACACCACTGAGGGAAACCATCGCATATCAGATGAGTGCAGCATATCAAAATCCTTTCCGTAGCAGAGATCGCTGATAACATCAAAGGTCACCCAGTCGCACATAGGGGCCAAATGTTTGGTGCTCGTCCAGCCTTCCGTGCGTTTGGGGTCGATCCCAGGCTTAACAACCCCAAACTCATCTCCTTCAGCCCCGAGTAAGTTCACAAAATCGCGAATGTTTACCAGTAAACGCTCTTCAATCGCTTTGATTCCTTCGGTAGAGAAGACCTGGGCCAAAATACGACGCTTGAACCCGTGGGTCATCTTGTCAGTCGCTGTAAGGGTATTAGGGGTCTGTCTGCTAGCGCTCAGTGAGCTGTAGCCTTCTGATTTCACGACATTTGCCCGGACACCGTAGATTGCGTCCATTCCGGTGTCGGTGTTGAAAGTAAGAGCATTTGGAGCAAAACGGACAATATCACCTATGGGACTATCAGCATCAAGAGTAATCTATCCGTTTCAGCGTTAGAGAGTTCGTACCATAGCGATCGTGCCACTTGCGGCTATTGATATGCAGGTCTCCACGCCATGCGTAGAAGGCTGCATACCAATGGGTTATGGCTGCCAGACGAGGACCCGGATATTTCGCCAATGGATGGAAGTACAAGCGGTAGATGACGAGTGCAATACTCTTGCAGAAATTGTTAGTTACTGTTTGAATTTGCAAACCCTAGTCGCACCTACATATAATAGCAGGGCAATAGCCGTGGCCGCAACCGCCTTCAAACTCATTTTGCTAAGTGAAGTGAGATGTCGTTGAGATGGAAAGTGCTGCACGGTCTCTAGCTCAAATTTAATCACTCCCAATTATTCTCTGTGTGATCTTCCTCTGTCGGTGAGCAGTGATGCAATTACTCTCAGGCTATCGTCCACAAGTGGGCCATATCCACTGAGGGCAGGGCCGAAACCCAATAGCCACGCCCTTATCGACTGACCCGAGGATCACCGACGAGGATCTACATCCGATCTTCATACACTAGCGTACAATTAGCGTATGAGATATGAGATCCAGGGATCGGTCCAATCATGGTGAGACATGGAATCTCACAAAGTCTCAGATTGTGTAGCGTCAGATTCAGATTGCATCATGGTCTATTGCCCTAATCGAACCACACAGAGATAAAGATAACAAATATCCTGCCACCTTATTTCTGATGCATATTTTGACCACATACTATTGTAGATCCGGTTCTTGGTTGACCCACGTGGCGTCATTGAATGGAGACTGAGAGGAGCGCTGGAGATCTTGGCATTTTTATCAACAACAGGTTCTTTAAATGCTTGCCTTTAATATAAGTGGGTTCAATAATAACCACACACCTCTCCACTGCAGACTGACTGCGAATTGGTAAATTCACCATGTGTAGTAATTGGTTTGTCTGAAGACCCTGTCGCGACCTGCCAGTTACTAGCTAATGCCCAAGCTTGTGCAAAGACCAGAAATACTCGACTGGACATGTAAATTATAAAGTGTGAGTGATCAAGAATTTTTCATTTTCATATTTCGTGATTAGCTCTAGCTCCCTTCTATATTGTTTCGTATATTTTGAATGATATAACTCCAAGAACCAATTTATCTGCAGATTATTATGACGACCTGACTTATTCTCGCTCCTCACAACATAAAGCTTTTCGGGTAGCTTGACCAGTTCTTGGATTGCAGGGGGCAAGGTGAAGCCCGGAAACAAGGAGTTTGAAGAATTTGACACTGTTCCCGATTGTCGCCAGTTGACTGGTAGACATGTTCGTTTCGGAAAAGACTTCATGCGTAGCCTCTGAACACATTTTGGGCATCTTGAGATATTACATCCACAAGATAACTTTGTCTAGGATGGGTAGGCACAATATTGTCGAGCATGGATAGTGTTGTGAATAAACCAAAATTAACGACCTTGTCTTTTCGATGAACGGCTAAAGGGAGTGGTGAGAGACCTGACTTGTTGACATCATCGCTTAGATCGGGTTTCTCACCAGAATGGAGGATCACACATTAACTCACATCTTCCTCTTGGCTGTATCTCAGACTTCTTTGGCCTTAATCCGATGAACACGAGCAGCAGGGGACCAAGGAAAGTGACCAAGAGGAACAGTGAAGAAACCATTGCTTGGATCGCAAACACCAGCGAATGCATTGTACCAAGCCGCAAAAGAAGCCAATAAACCACAAACCCCCCCTGCCTTCTGGACTGCGATGATGACTTCGCCATGAGAACTGCACTGAATGTGCGCAATGCCGAGAAGAAGATAGTTCAGATCTAGAAAGAAGAAGAGCGAAAACATCGCAAGGCTCGATTTCAATGTGCATAAGAGCATTAAAGTTGTGAATATGAACCAGGCCTGCGAGAATAATTGTTAGCGGTTATTGCCACATCACTAGCTTGTACAAAAGCAATCCATACCAGCATGAATAGGCCAGTGAGAGTCTCATTCTGACATGTTGTATTTGCTGCATCTTTTACCGTATCGGGATTTTCAAAAGTCGATATCATAGCGAACGTAACCCAATAAGCACCAAAAGAAGTGAAGGTCGTAGCGCCAAATGTATTTCCCACGGCCATTTCCCTGACATTGTTAGCGACAAAAGCAACAAGAACTATGCATGCGTTCTGATAATGCATGAAAAGTAGAATTGAGAACATACCACATGCCAGCTAAAACCTGCGTGATCCCACCGTAGTTCAAAGCCAGAGAGACACTCACACCAGCAGCTTGGATATTTCCAACGTTGAGATTGATGCAGTTCGACAAGAATGATGTCAGCGCAAATGCGCATAGACCCAGGGGAGCTGGGTTAGCGAATTTTTTGACATCGACTGGGAGAGATTGCATCTCTTGTTTCAATGGCGGAAGCCGCACTTCTGAGTTGCTTGACGGGAGCAAAGAGTAGTCATGGCTGACTTGGGAGACCACCGGTGATCCAATCTTGTTTTGTGTGAGTGATTCGTGCTGGTGATTTGATACAGACTTGGGATGCTGAACCTCGGAAACGTTAATAATGTGCTCCATTAATAGTTTATGACCAGAGGTTAGTATCAGTAGGAACAATCAATTGGTAAGATTTTCCAGGGTACGATTGGTTCAATGAACGGTGTCAGGTATATCGAAATAGAATATGTGAGCATCGTCTGGGGATTGGGTGGTAAATATCTTAGGTGTAGGTAGTCCGGGGGGCACTGTTCCTCAGTGCCCAAGCAACCGAGGGCCCTGATGCCCACACCTAGAACGCATTGGATTCTTCTAATCCGGGAAATTATACGGGGAAGCCCGCGGGGGATCGTCATGTGAGCATGTTTGGCAGGGCCCCGAGCCAGTCAGTGAAAGGATTTCCCGAAAATGATTCATGTTTTGCAGTTAATTTTCACTCTGCTGTATACGGGGGGACCCGAGAGACGGGATTGAGTAAAAGAAACTAACGTACGGGTAGTGCCGCGAGAATTAAGAACTTAATCGTTGCTTGGAAAATAGTATATTCGCGTCTGTTCTGGCTAGATCTCCGTTGAATTTATTTTTTTCGATCATGGGACACATCCTAGTATCTATTATTGGAGAGGCGAAGCCAATGAAATTGGATTTTATTCGGGTTGTTGGAAGTTATCAATCTTGCCAATGCGAGTCGGTCAATATCAAACTCGGGATATGGACTTGTCTACAACACATTGAATCAGGTTTTTCCTCCGTGATACACTCTAGACTTTCCGATTCCATCATTCACTGGAATTGATCATCAAGGATCATCCTGTATATATATGTATGCAACGAGTGAGATTGATGTCACTTTTCCCAATTGCAAGGTATCCGAGGCCAACATCCCACCAGATACAGTCTTCTAGACCCATATCGAACAAGTCAAACCCTCTCTAATGGGTATGATCAAGCCAGAATTGAGCTCTTAGAGTCTACAGCCGGAAGTTTTGCGAATCACCTGCAGTTCAGTTTAAAGCGGAGCGCGGCGGCTTCCGCAAAACGTAATAAATGTGACTAACATACTTCCATTTTGGGACGAGGCTTGACCAATTAAGGCATCTTCAGGCTATAAAGCTGCACCTTGATGCAGACTCCGAGAAAGAATTGGAAATTTTTGATTAGGGTTTCATGGCCAAGGGTTAGCTATGTGGCCAGAAATATAGTAGCACACGTAGATCAAACTCAATTCGTTGCTATTATTCAAACAAACTAATCTAGGCTGGGTATCCTGACTTTTGTAAATCCATCACATTGCGCCGAGTGTCATAAAGCAGGAGAGCTCCAATCCAGTAACAAAACCCCAATACGCCTTGATGCTGTTGCTTTGAAAAAAAAAAGACCGTCATGAGCCCATGCAATGTCAGCGTAAGGCCTAGGAGTAAAAGAACTGCGACTTTATGCCCGCCAACCTTGGACGAAGTCGTGCAAGCGATCGATAACAACACCAAAAATGGCATTGACGCTGTCCGCGATAAGTTGCTCGAAGTGTCGGATAGCTTCTTCCTCGGTCATTTCGAGATGGAAACGCTCCTTCACTTTCAGAACGGCCTTGTCCGGCTCCACACGGATATCGGGGATGTTGGCATCCACCATCAGACTGAACAGATTCAAGATCAAATTGGCGGATTTGCGCAGAGTGGTGTAAGCGGTGTAGCAATATTGTTTGAATTGCAAGTAATGAGGCGAGGATGTGCCACCCATGCCCTCAACCATCTCTTTGCAAAGTTTCATCATAGGCGCAAAAGGCTTCGGGTCACGGCCGAGGATGAATCCAAAGTCGGCGTGGAAGAAATGACCGTCTGGTGACAAGAGAAGATTCTCGAGATGACGATCGCCAACGCCGAGGAGGTATGTAATGACGCAGTATCCTGCACATGATTTGATGTATGTATCCATTGTCTCCTTGCGTACACCAAGAGGCTCGTTCTCATCTGGATTGTTGATTCTCAGGTAGGCAAGAATGGACTTGTATTGGGCGGACGCCGCAGAGAGAGAAATCGAAGGAACGAATTGCACCGCGCCGGCCGTTGCGCTGGTAGCAAGAATTCGATAAGGGGTTAGTTTGAGATCAAGGTTCTCCTTTTGCAGCAGACGGTCCATCAGGATGATGATTTGAATCACCAATTGATCCTGACGAAGGTCATCACCGACCTTGAACAGCATAGGATAGCGATCCCCGTCAGAAGTCTTGAAAGTGATAAGCAGAGGCGAAAGGGTAGATTTGAAAACATTGGATTCATCCGGGAACAAGCCAGTGACCGCAACATCAGGGTTCAAAGGCAACGGCAGCGGGGGATCGATATTGATCAAGTCATTTTGTGGATCCCGAAGATACTTTTTCAACATTTCAATCTTGCCAACTCTGTTCTCACGAGCAAAGCGGACATCCTTGGCAATTTTCGAGAGCACAACGACCATTTCACCTTGACGCAAGAGCGTCTTTCTGTGCTCTGGGTGGAGCCTCTCCAGTTCAAGCATGAAGTAGTATTCCACCCGCGCAAAGAGCCGACGCTGCACTGCATCAGCATCATCAAATTCGACCATAAGATACCAATGGAGGTAGTTGCCAAGCTTGAAATTATTGGCTGCACGCGAAATAAGGAAATGAGCAAGCGAGGAATCTTGTGGAGCCGCGTCGGGATGGCCCTCGGGGGTTGCATCGTATTTCAGGGCCTGCACCAACTGAAGCAGATACAGGAGCAGCTCCTCGTCATCTGCCTTTTGAAGCGTTTCCACGGCATATGAACGAACGGCAGCATTGTCAAAGGTAGGACCGAGGATCTCCAAAGCATCGTCAACGTCGATCTCTGTCCATTTGGGGAACATTTCAATGGCTTGCCGCGCTTCCCCGACATCTCGCCAGTTAACGGACTTGACAAATTTGGTCAATGCCTTCTTTTCGCGGGTGAGATGGTATCTGAAACGCCACACAAGATCCTTTTCCTCGGCAGTGAGATCCTGGGTTGGTTCGTAGGAGATAATCATGTTGAGATCATCTCGAATCTTTGGGTTGGGTTTCAGGTCACGGTCCATGATGCCGGTGCGGTGGCTTCGGATCAAACGTCGGTGCTTGTCCTCACAAGGGTTGCCAATTTGGCCAACCTCGGGATCGTAGATTCTAATGACATGATGGGGATCGGCGCGTGCTATTCCAGGTCCAAAGTGAACCTCCGGGACTGGTTTAAGTGTCGAGTTGGGGTGAGGAGGTGCATTCAGGGACCATGTGGAAATAGGCGGTGGTGGATATTCGTGGTCGGCCCAAACAATTGGGTGGTCGAAGCGTGGAAATTCAACGTAAAGTTCGAAGTATTCATCTTCGGGCTTTTCCTCCTCGGAATCATCGTCTGGATCTTTCACATTCGCAAAATCCTTCTGCATGGCTGCCTCGAGTTCAAGGGCTCGCTTTTCGGCGGCCGCATCTGCGTTGAGCTTCAGCTTCTCCAGCTCGCGAAAGAGCAATTGATCCATCCAGTCCACACGTGGTATTTCGCCCATTTCATGCTTCTTAATCAGAACTTCGACTCTTTCTAATTCCGCTTCTTCTGGTGATTGTTGAGAAGGATCGCGAGTGTTAGGCTTGCGACGCTTGGGCCGTGGGACTGAGGGGGTAGAAGTCAAAGCAGAACCATCCGCATTTTTATGAAGATAGACCTTGCACTTTTGCCTGCCCATTTTCAGCTTTCCATCTTCGTCAAATAGACTGATTGTAGTTCCACCAAATGGTATGTGTGTGATCCGATCACGGGCCAGCGGAGACAGATCAACAATTGTGATGGCTAGCTGGGTGTTGCGTTCTGCATCCTTGATGAACATAGGCAATTGCAGCCATTCATTCCATACCCGAGCGCTCTTAAAGGGTTTGTATCTGGTCTTCATGGGCACACCGAGAGGTTTTGATTCGGACCATAGCTGCACAGTCACATAAAGATCGGAAGCGGGGTCCTGGACAGAGCCGATATGCCGTAGCTCGGCGTCCTCATGGAGAACGCTGCCTGGGATCTGTTTTTGCTTTCCCTCTAAGGAGCCACTATAGATGTGTCAGTGAGAAAAACACCGCTGGAGCGAAGAACTTACATCTTAATGCGAATAGGAAGATCCACCTGGGTGGTCACAGCAAATGTAAAGGCCTCCATCTCTCCCCGCGTGGAGCGAAACAAGAAAGCTGCGTCATGGCCGATAAGCAACGCGGGGAGATGTCCAGATCTAGATCACGTGCCTTCATCTAATAACGCGTCGCGACGGTCAGTCGATCACAGGTAGACAGACACGCTACATTCTTTTTTTTTTTTGGCTTGTCGAATCTTTGGTACAGTTCATTGTCACACTACATCAGAATACCATCATACCTCGTCACGCAGATAACTATTACTTGAACCCAGTTTCTTTATCCGACTTTCTTTGTTCACTCTCACAACCCAAATCGCACTAAGCGCCCTGGAGTGTCGATCGAGTTATGGCGCCTCTCATTTACACACACCTGGATGAAGCAACTGCGATAGCTTCCAGTCCAACATCATCACCAGGAAACACCTCCGATAAAGAAAACCATCGGCGAAGCGTGAATAAGAGGTCAACCACCACAATGGCACCCCGCTCACATAACAAACGACAGAGACTATCATCCCGGCACTCCAACATACAGTCTGCACAGTCGCAAACATCCTCTCAAACGAACAGTGGCAACCGATACTATGACCCTGATCAGGATCCTAATGAACGCAGACGCGTTCGTAGAGAGTTTCGTGATCTCGGAAGAGAAGCCAACGGTACGCGTGCTATGTCCGGGCTCGGGTAGTAATCCAAGAAATAAACATGCTAACATTCTCGATATAGATTCACGAGGCGAGTGGATACGGGCTGGAAACTATGGTATTCAAACAGCTCTTGAGAAAGCAAACCACCTCTATGTCGATGTGAAGCAGACTTCTGATGCAACAGTCGATTCGCGCCTCTTGGTCAATCTCGCCGACATATCGCATAAGAAAACTGCCCAGCTTGCCCTCGGTGATGCATCGGCTGGCCTTGACGTGGATGAGTTTGTGTCGAAATGTATTTCTTTCATGCGCCGCGGCCCAAACAACACGGCATCTGCGCCAAATGGGACTCAGGGTCGTGGTCGTCGTGGCCGCCATTTCGGAACCCAAGGTGATCCTGACGCAAGTGATGACGATGAGGGAGAGCCAATGAATTGGGATTGGCTTGGTCAATTCGCCTGCTTTCCTTCGAACGCGCGACCGGCCGTTCCAGGATGGTTACTTGGGCCGCTATCAGTTCAGAAGCGTGCTCGACAACTTACCCAGCGAAGAACAGAGAGAATTGATCGCTCGCAGGCTGTGGCGCCTGTAGAATTGCAGCAGGGAGACCTTGGCCAACAGGAGAGCGCGAATCTTACCGAGATATGCTCCGAAATCAGCAGACTGCTTGCAAAAAATCAGGAAGAACGCACAGAACAGGCTGAACGAAAATTGGCAAGCTTGGAAAATGTTACGGACGAGCAGGTGCAGTTAATCATGGATGAGTTATGGATTGCCAACGACGGTGGAATTCCCCTATTTCGCTTCTGCATCAATCCGGACTCTTTTGGTCAAAGTGTGGAGAATTTGTTCTATGTCAGTTTTCTGGTTCGGGATGGCATAGTAGGTGTTTCCACTGACGACCGTGGAATACCAACACTTCGTAAGTGGTTTTATCCTTGGCTATATCAGCAGCTAGCAGAAAGCTAACGTTTCGCTAGATGCCACAAAGCCCTACGCGCCAAGTGAAGCTCAGAAGCACGGAATACAAAAGCACCAGGCTGTATTCAGTTTAGATCACGAAACCTGGGAAGACATAATCAGGGTATTTGACATGAAAGACACCAAGTCAATCATACCTCACCGCGAGGAAGCACAGGAAACCGGCACGAGCTGGCATGACTGAGCCCTGGGGACGCGATCTCACGAATTTAGCTACGTTTCGATATACCCCTTGATGTTGTTAGACCGATTGCTTCCAAATCATATTATGCACATATCCCTTCCAGTACATAAAACATAATTCAAAATAATGTACATATGTATATATGGGCAAGAATATTGTGATGGGCAAGAATATTGTGATGGGAAATTCTTCCGTTTCTCCCGTAGGATGATAAATCCGGCCAGGCTCGATTGCAAAGTGGAGACTCTGCACTTAAGCTGCCAAAACGTCATCATCCGTATGTGGGCCCATTGCCTACATAAGTATTCCTCTTTCACGACTTCAGTGTCATTCTCTAAAATTGAACATTATTTTTTATCTAACAGGGACCGAATTTGCGAAATTCTACGAAAGCCCCGAGACAAACCTCTGCGACACATTCAACACCAAAGAGAGCTCGAAAGAAGAAACCAAAAAAAGGGTCTGCAAAAATGCCGCAGCTTTTTCCAGCCAACCCCTCCGCGACCATGGTGATTCGCCATGTGACGCCAGACATCGTGACCATGAGTCTGCCATTCGCGCGGTTCGGACACCTGCAATTTGGCGGACGAGGTACACTGGGTAAGTGACCCTTGCGGCGTGAAGCGCATATCACCCCGCAGATCCAAGGAATGACGCGAATATCACATTCCTCCGAATCATCACACTGACCCTTGAACGCAACAGTCAAGCTCTCGACCGGCTCCCTCGCCGTATTCTCACCAGTCAGCCTAACCCCCGAAGTCCGCGCAACAGTCGAGTCCCTCGGCGGAAACGTGAAATACATCGCAGCGCCAGACCTTGAACACCACCTCCAAATTACGCCATGGAAGCAAGCATACCCCCAAGCAGAGATCCTAGCGCCAGAAGGCCTCTTCGAGAAAAGGCAGTCAAACCCAGAGTTCCAGGATAGTCCGTTCGAGCACGTGTTCAAAAAATCGGATACACTCCCCCGGACGATCTCAAAGGAATTTGACGCCGAGTTCGACACCGAGTATGTGCATGGCCATGGGTCACGCGAGCTGGTCTTTCTGCACAAGCCGTCGCGCACGCTTATCGAGGCTGATCTGCTGTTTAACTTGCCTGCTACAGAACAGTATTCTAAGACGCCTGAAGGGCCGAAGCTGAATTTCTTTACTAAGCTCCTTCTGCCGTTGATGTCGACTAAGCCTCCTGCCGTGTGGCATAGGCGGTTTGCGTGGTACATTCTTTCTTCGAAGGATCGGGCAGCGTTTAATGAGTCTATCAATAGGATTGATCGGTGGGACTTCGATCGGTTGATCCCTTGTCATGGTGATACTATCGAGTCTGGGGCTAAGGGGATTTTCCGTGATGTGATGGCATGGCATTTGGCTAATCAGAAGGATGTTTAGCATTTCTTTTTCTTTTGTTTGTGATTGTATATTAATTAACTTAATGGGCGGCGGTATGAGATGTTTTTGATTCGAACAACATATTGTTAATTGGCGGTAGATACCTAGGTAGCAAGTTGTGTTATTTTATTTACATATGTATGTCTCATCTACCGCGAGTCTAAGGAACCAACGGTCACATGCACGTACATCACAATGAGCCAAACCCACAACTGTTGGACACATCACTTGAACTTGAAGCAAGTCTGAAGCACACGTATCCCTTCCAACACACAGCCCATATTCCGTCGGTTCATGTTTCATATCTTCATATTTTAATATACAATGTATATTCTAGCATGGGAAGCTGGGCTTGGAGAAGACAGTTATGCGGAAGCAGTGAAAGTCGAGTATCTGGTAGATTGCACATCTCCTCTTGACAACTGTTAACTCAAGTCCTTGCAAATGTTAAGTATTCAGCCACCATCCATGTGGCCAACCTGCCACGAACGATAGATCTCTGCTGCACGATGTATAAGCGTTGGGCATGTTGAAATGTGATTGGCCAAATCACCGATTTGCTTCACTGTTACAGATCTATATCTGACGTGGGTCATGGATTGACTCTATCATTGGGTGTAGAAGAAATTCGCCTTGCCCGCCCCCTCCCCCACTTACTGAGCTAAGTTGATACTATATGGGGTGTCTCGTGCCATTTTCTTTCTCATCGAGACGTTGGGTCGTGGTAGGTAGATGTTGTTTGTAGGCGCAGCTGTACGTTTTCCAGTTTCAGTTGGAATTTTGGACGTAGCCTTTCTTTTACTAAAGCACTCTTGTTTTGAAGAGGCGCTTGTTACTCCGTGTCGAAGGTCGTTATTCTGACCTTGGTGGATTATAAAGGTTCTCGTTTTCCTCATATTTTGCATGCTATGCTGTACCAGATTGATTTACACACTGTATACTTTTTCTCAACTTTATACTACGTTAAGTAAACAACGCAACCTTGTGGCCCCTTGCGAAATGGTTTTTCCGCCTTGCACAAGCCGGTCTTGCGATTGTAAATTGCCCTCTTCTCATACCACGCGCAAGAAATCCGCTAATATACATCTAGGCCGTGATAATAATTGCTTCACTCTACCTGTATCAGCTCGCCAATAGCGCGGGCGGACATATTGATGTGTCGGTGGCACAGTGGGTATACATCCTAATATCCGCCGCCTTGTCGGTACCTTTTTGCGTGATGGGCGTGTTTTGGGGAGTAGACGAAAGACCCAAATGGCACTACGGTATGTACCGAGATAACAGACCTCGGGAGTTTTCGTAAACAAAAGCTAATTTGGGCTCCAGTTGATCTGGTCTTGGCAGTGTTGTGGTTCATTGCCTTCGCTTGGTTCGCTATAAAATTCAGTAAGCCTTGTGACGGCGTTTGGGTATGGAAATTCACAGGGACGTGTGGTCGGATGTACCAAGGCGAGGCCTGCAGTTTCATTTCAGGTGCCACCTGGCTTGTGTGTTGGCTTGTTGTATGTGTCCACCTTTTTGTATTATTTTGTGGACTAATATTGACCAATTTCGTCAGAACTTGATGTATTTGAAATGGGGCAATGAAAAATGATGGAACGTGAGTTGACCGACTAAACGATATTATCATGAACTCCGTGAACTAATGCTAATGTATTTAATAGTCATTGCCGTCGATAGGGTCGTTCCACCGATTAAACACCCTAGGTGGAATTAATTTTTGGTACTTTGGGTGTAATTAATGTTTTTAGATATCATGTCGAGTCACTTGTTTCCAAATTGACTCGCAGGACATACATATAGCTAGTTTGGAAGTTTCGAATCTTCATATTATGTTACTCAGTGTTTTGCAATTTTAGATCGCAGTAGAGATTGTGGCTCCCATAGAATCTGGTCCTCGATGCTAAAGATTGTATGAAAGGCTTTGTAATCTTTCACTCCTTTATGTCCATATTTTCTTTGTCCACTTCCCCGTCATTTTTCCTATCTCCCACCTTAGTTCCTGGATGCCATTGTCAATAACAAAGGCCCGAGGGAACGCTGGTTGAAAATAGTATAAATAAATATGCCGTCTTCGACCAATTTCTGTCTTCGAACACCATCCATCTTCTGTCCAGCGCGTTTTGCTACTAGCAGTAAGAATACAGCTACTTCTCGAACTAGACTCCAAGTGCCTTTCAGAAGACATGGCTCAGCATACTTCATCTGCGCTCTTCGACAATTTCCGCAAGAGCCTTCAGTGCCGGCTACTCGACATTGCCTACGATGTTACCCATAGAAACCCACCCTCCCAAGATAGAATTCTCTCAATGGTCAGTCATGCCTCTCGCACACTACTTGAGCTCAAACGCACGGGAGAGATGATGGCCCTCGATGCCTCGACGCATGAACTCACGCGCGTGGCGCCTATCTCATATTTCCACCAGGTCCTCGAGCGCGATGGACAATGGCCCATGACGGAGTTCGAATGGGGTTGTCTTTACACGCACGACAGCTTGAACATGCTAACAGAACATATCACGGGCAACAGAAACTCCGATGACATTACCCGTAACTTCCAAGCACAGGCTATTCTCTGGGACATGCGGGTGCGATTCCCTAGCATTCTTTCTGGTGCTGGAGATCGTGCCCTTCCTTCTTATGATGTCCGCCAGATCCCATCGGCAGCAGTCGTTTCTACGCGGTCTCGTATTCCCCAATTGGTTCGTGCGGCTCGTCCTGAGGAGACTTACTTCACTTACAACCCTCAGCGCCCACCTCCTACTCGTGACAACCAGCTTCGGGCCCGGTCAGAGTCTGAAGATGCTTGTATCGTAGGTCTTTACCGCAATCCCAGCATCGAGCCTAGGTAGACTGATTTACTTGAAAGGCCCATAGTCGCTATCCTCCTTGAAGACGGCAAATGTGTAAGGTCAAATTAGAACTAATTGACAATATATATAACAATGCAATTCATCGCCAATTTATCATAGCAGGCACAGGTCACTTAAATGCTTATAAGTTCAGGATGTAAAACAAGCATAAATGAAACAGTAAGAAAACCGTTGACCTGAATTTTTCACCTCAGCTCTTGTTCGAAAGCCACTTGGTTAGAGAATTGAAGCAAGGTTGATTGTGATCATGAAGTTTTATGTTGGTAGCGAGGCAATCGGACCAACTGTCGAGACCATCACCCATCTCTCCCCACCAAAATCGCGCAACTGTTAAGGCTGACGTTGATGATGAGACATATGTATTAATCTGCTACACGACTAGTTTCCATATTGCAGAGCAGTATACCAAGTTGGTATATGATCGGCGACAATTTGATATCGCCCCCTTGGGCCCGTCGTCAGGATGACTAAAAGCCAAGAAATCGAAGTCGTCCCCAAGTCCACTCCTTCCCAAGAGTTCGATATGTAGCTCAAAAGATGCAATCGCAACCAGAGGCCAGTGCGTCTGATACGTCAGATTATCCATTGCAGAAGATCGGACATTACACAGACGCAGAGGACGCAGAATCCCGCGACAGCGATGAATTGAGCTTCGACTTGGAATTAGGCGATGTGCCACTTCTGCCCGAACATCACGGCATGGAAGAGGCTCAGCCGGAAAAATTCACGCGCGACCCTTCGTTTTCCTGTACACCGTCGGGATTTTGTGTTTGGCTACGCGGCCCGAAACCCGCGCATGTCTATCGTATTGACCCGTGCTTCCCGCGCTTACAGGCTGCGCCGGCGCGTCTGATTGATGCAAGGTTTCCGCGCAAAAGTTCAAAGATCGCACTTCTGTTAGCCGGCTTGATCTTTTGGATTGTTGTGTTTTTTGCTTCTCTCAAAGCTTCCGTGGCGGGCCAAGAGATCCCGGGCTACGGACAGCCTGTCAAGCTGTCGTGTCACCATCGCTTATGGTGTGTTTCTATTTTTATCTTCAACTCGTGTTAAACTGACAATGCTTTGTAGGAACAATGCGACCAATTGCGGTCTCAATGGTGACCTGTGTCGTCCGTTTGAAGACCAGTCTTTCGCATTTCGCTGTCCCTCGGGCTGCGCCGCGGCGATTCTTCTTGAGCCATATGTTGTCGGCGGGCAGGAGTACAATTACCGCCCTCTTGTAATTGGAGGTAAACCATTCAAGATGGACGGTCGGACTAGTGGCATCTACCGTGGCGACTCGTCTATTTGCACGTCAGCTATGCATGCTGGTTTGATTGATGATGCGACGGGCGGGTGTGGCATCTTGCACCGCACCGGGGAGCAGAAGAACTTCATTTCCGCAAATCAGCACGGCATTGAAAGTATCGGTTTTGAGTCAAGCTTCCCGATGTCGTTCCGATTCACCAAGGAGACGACCTCGGGTTCCAGCGAAGGAAAACCGATCAAATGCTCTGACTCCCGTTGGTCGCTGTTTGCGTTCACCTTGATCTGGACTGTAATCCTATCCCTGGTCGTAACTTCGGCACCGGCTTTCTACAGTTCGATCTACTTCATTGTCTGGTTCCAAGTCGCCATGGCGTCTGACCCACCCTCCATGGGAAGCATCTACGACCTTGTATCAATTGCGCTGGGCCGCTTCCTACCCGGCGCATTTGTTGGATTCGTATTGTATTATTTCTGCGTTCGACACACGCTCAAAAACCTGGATGCGCATTGGGACAAAACTGTCCTGTGGCTGGGTGGCTGCTGGGTCGGCGCCCTGAACACAGACACCTTCGACCGTATCCCGATCTCGCGTCTTACGCCTCACGATATCCAGCAACAACCTGGTGCTCTCACCGCTCTCATCATCGTCATTGGGACTCTGATCACAATTGCATTTGGTCAAGCGCATTGTTACCGTCGTGAGGGCCGGTTCTTCCCTACGATCAGCATCTACGGTGTCCTCGTCGCGGTTGTTCTCATCCTTGTTGCTGTCCCGCACATGAACCTCCGTATCCATCATTATATTCTGTCCCTCCTCTTCCTACCTGGAACAACTCTTCAAACCCGTCCTAGTCTCCTATATTCAGGCATTCTTGTTGGTCTATTCATTAACGGTATCGCTCGTTGGGGCTTTGACTCGATCCTACAGACTCCAGGAGCCCTCCTCGACGGTGCCAAACTTGGCACCGTTCCACCAAAGATTTATCCTCCTTCATTGACAGACAAGAACAACCTTGTCTTCTCATTCCCGGATATTGAGCCCGGTGTTGATGGTCTCAGCGTTCTGGTCAACGATGTCGAGCGTTTCCAGGCGTTTCGACCCAAAGACGATACGCCTTTGCCGGATTTCACATGGGCTCGTACTAATCCCAGTGAGGTGGAATATTTCCGTTTTGGATATGTACACTCTAAAGCTTTGGGTGGTCTTTGGTATGAGGACTTCTCTCCTCCCGCAACTTGGAAGGCTGATGGGGATTTCGTTTTCCCTGATCCTGAGATATCGGATTCTGGAAACTCTGAGTCAGATTCCAAGTAGAGGATAGCGGTGTGCCACTTGTACATAATCTCATCCTTTCTGTGATTTTAGACATAAGTATTTTCTGGATTAGCGATGCATGGGCTAGAAACAATTGATCATTGATAGATATCTTTTATTATTTTCACTCCATCTCGATCATTATTCTCATGCGTTCGCTTCGGGCATCTTTAGGTTTCATTCAAACACAATCGCTGCCTTGATCGCTGTCTTGTCCTTCATTGTGTCAAGGCAAACTTGAAACTGCCTCTACTTAGGTACCTTATGTGAGCCACTTGCTTGTTAGCGGATTCCTGACAGATGTACAACCAGACAGCATTCGCCTCGAGACGGGCTCAAACCCCGCATTTATGAGACAGGATCTGTTACAATGTATATATTGTCTAATGTCTGACCGGGTGAATGGATATCCGCGCTCGAGACAATAAGTTCAATATTCAGCTCATTTACCGATGATGAAGGCCACTGGACTCGTCTCGGGTACCATGTTTGGATAAATGACGATCCTGAGACTCTATATTGTCGATCTCGATGACGAAACAACGAAGTCCACCCCATGGGGTAGTCTTGTGTTGGCATCCCTGTTGATTAAAACAGGGGAGTAGTATTTGAACGGGGAAATACATATAAGGGCCTTCTCGTCTCGTATATTTGCCGATGAGAGAAGACAAGAAAATCATCATGAAGGGTATGAAGACTTTCAATTACACCAAGCCATATTTCGGTCTCCGGGGAGGGTGGTTGACATTTTGGATTACGGTGGCCTGCGGTGCTGATATGACTCTTTATGGTTATGACCAAGTAAATGATATGTCCTGTTATGATTTCGATCCACATCATACTCACATGTTTGTCTAGGGCGTATTTAGCGGAGTCGTCATTTCCTCGGACTTCCTCCATATCCACAATCTAGAAGGCCCATCAAAAACAACTTTGCTCGGAACAGTCACGGCAATTTACAATGTTGGCTGCTTTTTGGGTTCAATCCTTGCATATTGGCTTGGAGAGAAGCTGGGCCGCAAAAATACCATTTTAGTTGGTACTACCATCATGGCAATAGGAGCTGTATTGCAGACTGCTTCATATAGTCTTGGTCAAATGATGGCCGGTCGCATTATAGCTGGACTTGGCAATGGTCTTAATACCTCGACCGCTCCCATATGGCAAACAGGTGAGCAAGGATTGAAAATTAAGATACTTTCGCTAACGCGAGCTGATTCGGCGATAGAAACATCTAAGGTCCAATGGCGAGGAAAACTAGTCGTCGTTGAGATGATATTGAACATTGCTGGCTTTTCACTCTCTAATTGGGTGAATTATGGCTTTTCATTTGCAAAAGGGCCAATTTCTTGGAGATTCCCGCTCGCATTCCAATTTGTATTCATCATCATTCTGTTTCTTACAACACCATGGCTACCGGAGTCCCCAAGGTATGACATATGCCCCGTGGTGGTAATATACGATGCTAAACATGAAATAGATGGCTGATGGCGCATGGCAACGAAAATGAAGCTCTCCAAATTCTCGCACATCTTGAAGATCAAGACATCAATGATTCCTTTGTTCAACTTCAGCACCGTGAAATCAAATACAGCGTCGATTATGAGCGTACTAACAGCGTGAGCTGGGGAGACATTCTTCGAGGTCGAGCTGATGAGAAATCCGGGACTAGTACAGTCCGTCGTCTAATTCTTGGGATGGGAGCACAGTCTTTCCAGCAATTTTCTGGAATCAATGTCACTTCTTACTATCTGCCCACTGTTCTGACCACTTCCGTTGGGATGAGCTCAGACTTGGCAAGGCTTCTAACTGCTTGCAACAGCGTTCAATATCTCTGCTTCTCTCTCATCGGCATTCCAAATGTAGAAAGATGGGGCCGCCGGAAGTTGTTGATATTTGGAGCTTGTGGGCAGTGCTTCTGTTACATTTTTATCACTGCTCTCATTCGATACAATGAGATGGAGGGGTACTCACATCGGTACGAGGTGGCCTCTGCTTCAGTGGCTTTCTTCTTTCTATACTACATCTTCTTTGGTATCGGCATGCAAGGCGTTCCTTGGTGTATGTCAAACCAGCGACTCTCGGCTTATGAATCAAACACTAACTGGCTTCTCAGTATACCCGACTGAAATCAACTCCCTGACTATGCGAACTAAAGGCGCTGCACTTGGATCTGCCACAAATTGGATCTTCAACTTCATGGTTGTCGAAGTCACTCCGATCGGGATCCAAAATTTGGGATGGCGTTTCTATGTTATATGGATCGTTCTCAATGCTGTCATGGTCCCCATAATCTATCTTTTCTATCCTGAGACGGCAGGCCGTTCTTTGGAAGATATGGACGATTACTATCGAGTCAAGCCTCCTCTGTTAGTTTTCCGAGACAAAGAGGCTATTTCTTCTAAGCGACCGGAGAGATATCGAGTTCGAGATGAGCAATTGATCTGGGGTAAAGAAGGTATCGAAGTTGACGACCTTACCCAACATATTGAAAATGGGGATAATCCATGAATTTGAATGTTTACCTGTATTCCTCTATCAACTACTTGTCATATTTCGGTGGCTTTCTTTACGTTTAGTCTTGTTGCACTTTTTACTAAAAAGCCAAAGTGGATATATACCCAGTCGAGTGCCGAGCTTATAACCCGAAGGGAGTAGATTAATGTCAACCTCTTCACATCGATCACTTAGAAATGTGCAGCATCCTCTTTCACCTACATCCAAATTTCAAGACCCATTTGAGATATGCTTCTCTTGTCCAACAATCAATATTGTCCTTCGATTTGCGGAAGAATATCCGAGCGGCATATCCCCCACAATTTCCCCGCCCCAAAGCCGACCTCAGGCCCCCGAGACGAGGCCATAGGAATCAACATTCTCCGATCGTTTACAACGTCCCGGTGCATCCACTGATGGTATTACACGGAATATGGGAACTGATTCATCGGCCAAACGCGCGCGCATACGCAAGTCTCGCAGCCGCGGCCTACGAACAAGGAATGGATGGTAACGTTTGCCCTCGTGTCGTGTCCAGACAATGCAATTAATGCAAGTACAGCATAACTTGCCGGAGACGTCACGTCAAATGTGATGAATTGAAGCCGGCTTGCAGCCTTTGCGTCAAGCATGACAGACCGTGTGATTATACGACGCCGGAACGTCGTAGTTTCGAAGCCTCAGATGTCACAACCAATGAATCCCTTTCGTCTTCAGTGGAAAATATACCTCAGCGTCGCCATATATCCCAAGAGAGAACGCAAAATGATACTTCAAGAGAGCATTCTGGGGAGGGCTTAGCATGGACCACCACAGCGGCAACCCCTCTCCCGCCTCTAGCAGCACCACTCGACCCTCTTGCGGGTATTGACTTTACGGCGCCGCAGAGTCCTATAACACTATGTACAGACACGCTCTCACCGTCGGATGCATCTTATATATTACAATCTGTTGCTGCTGGATCGTTCTCATCACCGGGGCGAGCTGTCAACGCTGCAGCAGTATGGTGGTTTGATCTGCTAGCGAATGACGCAGCCAGAGATAATCAACAGTCGTCTACAATACCAATCGGATATTTAGATGAAAATGTTTCATTTGGCCGAGCAGAAGCGGGTGAACCATCGGAACTTACATCACTACAACGTGCTACGCAGGTACTTGATGGTCCCCGCGATGTGGGTAATGGGCCCATAGACATCTCTCCTCAGATCAGCGTTATTGGAGAAGATTCACATATTTGGCAGTCTCGAAGTCCTATTGAGCTGTTGCCACGTGAGCACTTTCTGTTTGAACACTTTGTGCAACATGTCAGTCAATGGGTAAGTGATGGGTATCTTGCGAATCCAGTCTCACAATCGTGTTAATAACTGTCGGCTCTGGTAGGTTGATCTCTTTGACCCAACTAGTCAATTCTCGACCCTTGTTGCACACTTGGCGGTAAGTTAGTCCTAGCTCTTTTGATGCACAATAGACTAAGTCTAATGATACTAGATTCGTAACGCTGGGCTTCTGAACGCCATCCTCTCCCTAGCCTGTCGGCACCTATCACTTAATCCACGATTGGATGCAGGGGATGTTCCTAATCAAGAAGCAGCTATACAATACTATTACCAGACTCTCCATTATGTGCAAAGAGCAATGCAGCAATCTAGCTATATGACAAGTCTAGAGCTCCTAGCAACCACCCTCATCATTTCCGCATATGAGATGCTGGATAATTCCTCCAATGATTGGGAAAGGCACCTGAAAGGGGTGTTTCTCATTCAAAGATCGCAAGTTATCCACGGCGAGTCTGGAGGATTGCAAGCCGCAGTTTGGTGGGCATGGCTCTGCCAGGACGTCTGGGCAGCTTTCCGAGAAAAGCGCAAGACTCTCACTTTCTGGACGCCTCAAAAGCCACTCTCCGCATTGTCGCCCCATGAATTAGCCTCTCGTGCTATATATATCATGGCCAAGGTAGTCGATTACTGTGCCAAGGATGGGCTTCCAACTGAGGAAAGTATCAAGCACCGGTCGGACAAGGCGAAACGCCTTCAGACTATGGTAGATGACTGGCGTAACAATTTGACCTTGGAGTTCTCACCACTGCCCTCGGCCCGTCGTGAGACTGCCACATATTTCGATCCAGTTTGGATCCGCCCACCGCCATTCGGTAGGTCTTGCGAGTTTTATTTTTCTGCTATAAATCCTCAAATTGACTTGGCCTACAGCGGTAGCTATGCAGTTTTACTGTGCAGCGCGCATTCTGTTACTTGCTCATGAGCCAACCACTGGAGGCTTCAATCAATACATGAAACGACATAGTACCATCCGGCGCTGCGTGGATACCATTTGTGGTATTGCTATGACCCTCAAAGATGATGCATCTAGCTTCATGTCATCACAGGCAATCTTCATCGGTATGTGCATTTTCAACTCTGGGCGAATAGAGAGCTCATTACACCACAGCTGGTATGTTCACAGACGACACTAGAGCCCGAGAAGCCGTTTTAGACCTTTTGGATTTATGTAGACAGCGAGCTGGTTGGCCAGTCCATCCACTAGGAGACGAGTTAAAGCAGATTTGGGATCCACACGAGCCTACCAAGACATACGGCTCTTGACACACTCGATTGTTTCATTGAGAGATTCCAATGCATAATATCGGCTTTTACGAGCCATGTTTTATATTCCTAGCAAGGCACCCTTGACATGGCTTCCGAGCTGAACTCTCCATAGTCGGTGTTCATTCAACGCAAATATTTCGCCTTCCTTTCCAAAGCAAAAGTTTGCCACTCCGCCGTCGATTCGGATGCGTCCTAGCAGCACACCACCAGGCGTCCAAACATGAATCCCGTCTCCACAGCCGCTATAGACATTCCCATCAAGATCACACTTGATACCATCCGGGATACCCGTATCTGTGACGGCAAATAGCCTCCGGTTCGTGAGAAACGGTTCCCCGTGGTATGTAGACACATCGAAGGCATAGCTAGTGAGTTGGCCTCAGAGTTAGTTCAGATATAGAGCGTGGTTATTGCTGGACGAAACATACATTGAAGAAGCCTTTCGGTCATCTATAGTCCCGTTGCCATTTTGTCTGTCGGTATCGGTTATGTAGACAGTCTTCTCATCCGGTGAGAAACAGATGCCATTCGGATGTCCGAATCCATCCGCTATAGCACGAATATTACCGCTCTTTGGCTCAAAGCGGTATACTTGGCTCGGTAACGAAGGTTTTGGTCGATACCCCTGTTCAAACCCATACGTCGGGTCGGTGAACCAGATCGATGCATCCGAATGCACTACTACATCGTTGACGGAGTTGAAAGGTCGGCCGAGAAAGTCACCTTTCAGCAACTTCGATGAATAAGGAGCCGTAGTGGACATTGAGTAGATCCCACTAGGCTGGTCCATATTTCCCTGGCCGCAGATCAAGGCATGCTCGGCACCCCAGTTCACCCCTCCGTTTCCCATGGGGATACCGGGGGAGATCTCTTCGCAGGTAGTTGGGTTTGCACCCAGGTCCACGCGACTGATTAGAATTTTCGGGCCGCCATTTGAATCGCTGCACTTGTTGCTAGTAATGAAGAGGTGCTTTGTGGCGGCAATATAAATTCCCGCTTCGTGGGCAAAGGCATATGAACTTTTTTCAACCAGAAGCTCTAGAACTGGGTTTGAACCGAGAATAGAATGAAAGCGCTCATCTTGAACATGAAATGAATCAGTCTGTACCATGTTGGCGAATGTACAATTGCTCGAGTAAAAAAAACGCGAGGTTATTCTCCAAGCGGGGGGTTCGCGGGGAAAAGCCGATATCCTCGTCTCGAGGTAAGTGGCCCACATCTAAGCATGTTCATCAACGGTAGATTGGCAATTTATAATGGGACTGCTGACCTCGAGAGAATTGCAAATATTTGAATCTGTCTATTTTTTTCTCAATACAAACACAATGACATCTTGGCGAGAAACAAACCGACACATACGCATCTTACGCAACGCCGAAGCCGGCAAATACGGCGTCATTGCGGCCATCGCATACAATATCGAGCAAATCCTAGGTCTTGTGCGAGCCGCCGAGGTCGCAAAATCCCCACTGATTATTCAGTTCTTCCCTTGGGTGATCGAAGCAACTGGCGGACTCTTGGTTCGAACAGCAGCAGATGCGGCTGCCCATGCCAGCGTGCCCATAAGCATTCATTTAGACCACGCGCAATCCGAAAAGATCATCAAACACGCGGCGGACAATCTTCCTTTTGATAGTATCATGGTCGACATGTCGCATTATGAGATGGAGGCCAACCTGCAGAAGACTCGGGAGCTGGTCGAATATTGCAATCAGCGACAGATAGCAACTGAGGCTGAGCCGGGTCGTATCGAGGGTGGGGAAGACGGGGTGATGGATACCGCTGGGCTGGAAGCTTGCATGACGACAGCCGAAGAAGTGGATGAGTTCGTGGATACGGGCGTTGATGCGCTGGCACCGGCCTTTGGAAATGTTCATGGGGAATACGGTCCTCAAGGTCCACAGTTGGATTACAAAAGGTATTTCAGCATTCTATGAGTAAAAGAATGAACGGGAGATCTCACGCGTACTAGATTCGAAGATATTCGCACGCAAGTCAGAGAAAGAGTCAATTTAGCACTTCACGGGACGAATGGATTCTCGCCTGAGACTATGAAGCGTTGTGTTGAGGCTGGGGTTTCCAAAATTAACGTGAACAAATTGGTGTTAGATGACTATTATGAACATCTCCGCGCGAATGTTGGGAAGATGCCACATACCCAGCTAATCGAGGAGGGTATTCAGAAGGTGGCTGATTTGACCATCAAATGGATGGAAATTTGCGGATCCGCTGGCAAGGCATGAATAAACATACATACATACGTAGCTAAAAGACAGTTTATGGTGATAATTCAGGGCGCTACATGTCCTCAAATTGTTCCAAACATTATGTAAATACAATTCAAAATCTCAATACTATTGTCTCTTGATTCACCATCAAACTTCATTATTGTAGATTACTGAACATCCCCCCATCCGCCAACAAGCCAGATGCATTCACATACCGGCTCATCTCCTCACAGGCCAAAAATACTGCTGGACCTGCAATATCCTCTGGACTCCCGATACGACCGAGCGGGATTCGCGCCTCAAGAGCTGCTTTCTTGGTGGGATTCTTCATATCGTGATCAGCGAGCTGAGTATTGATAGTGCCTGGCATCAATGCATTGCATCGAATCTGATCCTTGCCCAGCGAGATAGCCATAGACTGCATCATGGACAAAATTGCTGCTTTTGTGGGCGTATAATGGGTCTGGAGGCCTCCGCCAACCAAAGCGCTGACGGATGAAATGCCAATTATTGACCCTCCGTGTCCTTGCTTTACCATCTGACGAGCGGCCGCTTGACAAGAGTAAAAGGCGCCCTTGATGTTGACGTCGACACTGTGGTTCAGGAGGGCGGGCTCAATTCTAACATGGTCAGTTCTTGTTTTCTCAATAGCACAAAACTGAACTCACTTTAAGAATTCGGCTTGTTTGAAGACTCCCGCATTGGCGACGAATATGTCCAACTTCCCCCATTGCCCAACAGCTTCTTGAATAAGCGTGGTACTGGTTTCGGGGGAGGTGACGTCCCCTGCGATCTCTAGCACCTTTCCTGCCTGAATTCCTTGCCTCTCAATGGCCTTGACTTCTTCAAGGAGACTATGACGATGGGCTTCATCTTTAGGTAGTCCAAGGTGATTCACGGCAACATTGCATCCTTGGCGAATAAATTCGAGAACAATCCCTCGACCAATTCCAGTTGTGCCACCCGTTATCGCGGCAGTCTTGCCTTTGAGAAGATTCCATGCGGGGAGAGCCATTGTTAGCGTTTAAAGCAGGAGATGAGGTGTGGATTGAGACGGCAGTTCGATTGATGAATTGGGATTGTTTCCCCCTTTGACTATTACAAATATCTAGAGAGAAGAAGAACACAAATAACCCCCGCACTGATTCATGAGTTGTGGAGATAATTTCACCAGTCTGGCTTTGATATGACGATCCGTTGGCTCTCGTCTCGGGGGCAGGGGGTGGGGATCCCCGCTTGTGCCACCGAGACGAGAGCCCTAACTATGTAATATTGATATACAACTCGTTGCGTTTAGCTAGAATTATACCATCTATAAGTAATTGAAATGGCGCTCTCTAACAGACTACATCTCAAAAATATTCACCATGGCTTCTTCCACAACCACTCCAAGCTCTGCCATCCCCGAAGCTTCCACCGCGCCACAAACGCAGGTGACACTAGCATCCAAGGTTATCGCAAGTAAGCTTCCCTTCAAATAAGAATAATAAAAAACCCCCTTTTTGAGTGGACGTATGGACCTAACTATGGCTCTGATAGTCACTGGCGCAAACCGCGGCATCGGCCTAGGCGTCGCCGAATGCTGTCTTACAAACGGAGCCGCCAGAGTATACTCGATCGATATTGGGGAAACCGGCAATGACTTCGCTGCTCTGTCCAAGCGTTTTCCCGGGCAGTTATTTGCCCTAACTGCTAATGTCACGGAAGAAGAAACCATCACCGCAGCCGTCGACAAAATCATTGCCGAGGCAGGCGCGTTACATGGAATGGTGGTGAACGCCGGAAGAACCCACCACAAGGCCGCACTTGACTTTACCAAAGAGGAAATCGAGAGCCTTTTCAACGTGAATCTGTTCGGTGCATTCTACACGGCAAGAGCGGCAGCTCGAGCCTTTATCAAGCTGGGTATTAAGGGTTCTGTCGTGTTCACCGCGTCGATGGCCTCGTACCGACCTAACAAAGTAAGTCGAGAGTCTTCGTTCCTGTTTTCGAGTTGCTTGTTGACATGTGATAGCGAGTTCCATCAACTCCTTATGGTGCCTCGAAGGCTGGAATCCGTAATATGACACATACCCTCGCGATGGAATGGGCTCAGTACGGCATTCGGGTTAACAGTGTTTCTCCGGGGCTGGTGAACACTGCTATGACCTACTGGGTACCACAGCAGCCAGATTGGGTGCAGCAGCTTAAGTATTACGGAGGATTCCCGCGTCTTGCGGAGGTCCAGGAGCTTGGAGGTGCTTATGTGTATCTTTTGAGCGAGGCAGCCAGTTATACGACCTCTATCGATATTCCTGTGAACGGAGTTATTGGCAGTAAGTAAAATCCATGGGTGCTTCTTTGTTGTTGACAATATACTAATCATGTCAGTTTGCTAAATTTTGAAATGCTTTCTGGCAAATTGCGTTGCACAGGATATTTTTAAAATGTTGTTACTATAAGCTAGTGATGCGTGGCCCAGCAATGTAATATGCCACTATGTCATGTACTTAGAAGTCCATAACCAGCCTTGAAACTCGCAAAAACCCTTCCAGCATATAAAGCGAGCTGTCAAATGTTACTCTTTGAGATAGTCATGACATGATACTTGTACAATATTTTGCTTTCCACCATCGTCGATGACCAAAGCAGTCAGCTTGCCTCCTTTCACACAGCCAGTGTCAAGGCCTTTCGTAAATGTACGAATAGAAAGCGAAGAAGAGGCATCATGGCCGTAAACAACGGTCATGGTTTTCGTACGAGGGTTCTCCGTCGTTGACTCGAACTTCGAATAAAGTATTGATTGATGCTTATCGAACATCTGGCGAGGCCGTTAGTAACAATCAGGCTGAGCGAGAAAAGAATCAGAGAGCATAACTTACCTTGGCCCAATTCATGCCCTTTTTCTTCGGGCTGGGCACATGCGTATCTAGGTCGATCGTCCGCATGGTCATAACGCTAGACGGGTCTTGCTTCTCAAGCTCAATACCGGGCACTAGTCCTGCATGAACGATGACGACTTGGCCCATATTTGGGACCTGGCCGACATTCAAAATGACCGGGCAATTCTCCAACCACCGGACTTGCTCGTCGCTCAATGAACGTGCGATTGCACGCTCATTCAGCTCTCTGGGTGAATAATATGAAGCTTCTGCGTCATCGGAATCGGCAAGGGCTTTGGTCTTGACCATCTCACGTCGAACGAGAAGAATGCGATCCTCGTGATTGCCGCGGACACTAGATGCTGAATACTGCCGAGCTAGGTCCACGACTCCTTTACTGTCTGGGCCTTTGTTGATCAAATCGCCAACAAATATCAGGTGATCGCCCGCTTTTTGATCGAAAGCTACCTTTTTAAGAAGCTTTTCCACTATTGAATTCAAGAGATTGTCAGTCTCGGTCTTGTTCCAAGAAAGTAGTTAAGACTCACACTCCTCTTTACAGCCATGTACATCACCCACGATAACCAATCGTTTCTTATTCTTCGATCCTGCATCCTCGCCCGCCAGATCCGTAGGTACCAGTTCTGGATCCAAAGTTTGGATTAGAATCAAATCTTCAAACCGAGGCATCGAGTTCGATCCGAACCGTCCAACCGAGACCGTCTTCGAGGTCGGATCAAGCGAATGTACCAGCATATTTCTCTCCTGGAGTCGGGGAGAAAGCAACAATCGCCATCCCATCCATCCAAATATGAACACCGAGAGGTATATTAAGACATAGCGCCGGAATCGCGGTGCAGATGCTATTGACTGCGCCATTTGAATCCATTGCGGGGGTTTGGTGTCGTCTGAAGGGGCGTTCGAAGCGCGTTTATAAGTTTGAGGTCTTGATTGCCATCCGTTTCGGGCGGACTCGATTAATGGGCGGGAATATTGATACTGGTTCGAGTAGGAGGGATGATGAGTTGTAGTTGGAGCGAAGTCGTCCGCGGGGTCGGACTCGAAGCGGGGAGTATCGCTCGCCATGATCCTTGAAGGTGCTCAGGGTATACGGTATTCTTCTGTGAGTTGCATTTATCCGGTAAACTTGAGTGCAGAGAGATTTCAGGCAGAAAAATAAGGTCCGGCGTGACGTTTACCCCAAGACCCGCCGATAAGGATCGACCGGAGATATATCTATAGCCGTCTTACCATGACCAATGGGCTACCCGCGCATTGGTCATATAATAAATAAGACGGCTACCCGTGGACTTTATGTTTACTGTCTTCTCCGTAAAATCGTTGTAGCTCATATATTCGTTGCTTTTTCTTTTTCAATATGTGATATGTTACACTAACCCCGGTATTGATCATACTCCTCGGCCTCCTTTCTCCGTAGGTTTACGCGCTGCACCACAATCTCATCATATACATCTTCCACCCGCTTGCCACCCTTCAAAACCTCATTCTCGTGTTTAACAGCCTCCTCCTTGGTCATACAGACTAGTTCATTAATACTGATTGGAATGGTCTTTTGCCCTTCGTGTGCCAAACTCATGTCCATGTTCCATCCGCTGGCGGGGGCTTCCCAAGGAACAAGAGCCAATCTGGTAGGCACGCCACTGATAGCACTCTTACCACGGAATACTTCCTCCACGAAAAATCCAATGTCATCTTTGCTAATGGGAAGACGAAGTCCCACCGTGTCTTGGCCGGTGGTATGCTTGATCATTCGTTCGTGCAAGGTCAGCAAACCGCCCAAGATGGTCTCGTAGAGCTTCTCGCGGCCCTTAGCACCCATGTTGTAATCAAGTGGATAGCCAGTTATAGTGCAGATAACGTGATTGGCTAGTGTGTACCCAAACACCGCAGGCATAGTACCCAAGACGGGGAGAATGCGAGCTCGGAAGTCAGGAAGAACACTAAGTTCACCGACTTGACCCTTGACATATTCATCCTCGGGAAGAGGGAGCAGGGTAGCTTTGCCCGGCCCAGGTTTTTCCGTTGAGAAAACGGCTGCAACCCCAGAGCTAACGCCAAGGCGCTTCAGCTTACGGCGTGTATGGCGAGACAGAGGATCATCCGTGGTGAGCGAGATATCACCGACCACAACGCGAGTGGGGTCTGACTTGCATCCCGCACCCATCGACGCGATCACAGGCAAGGAGTTCGAGTGGCAGTAGTGTAGCAGCTCGACCTTGGACCCGATGTTATCGATACAATCCAAAACGAAGTCCGGTCGACGGCCCTCGCCTTCGTGTGTCAAAGACCACGGACCGAGGAGATCCTCGGACGCACTCTTTCCATAGAGCTCGTTGCGACAATCGAATGTGACCCAAGGTGCGATTTGTTCCAATCGTCTCCGGATGCAATGAACCTTTGGTGTTCCCACGTCGGCCAATGTCGCAAGGGCATGGCGATTCAGCGATGATAGCGTGACTTGGTCGAAATCGATAAGCCGGATCTTAGACACGCCCGATCGGGCAAGTGAGGCAGCGGCGTGTGAACCGACACCACCACAGCCAACAACGACGATGAATGAAGATCGGAGCTTGGCGAGGCCTTCATCGCCGAGGAAGACACGATTGCGAGCGAGTTGTTCGAGAATCAGATCTAAAAGTGGAACGGGCCGGATTAAAATGGTTCACGAGAGCGGGTCACCGGTAGAAAGGTCGCATACCATCATCGTAATCTCCTTGTTGAGCTCTGCGGGCCAAAGCTGCACCGCGCTCATCTTCTTTGCTTAGCTGGACACCAGTTTCGGCGGCTCCGAAAGAAGTGAGCTAGCGAATTAGCTTCTCTGTCGTATAGTCGGCTGGGCATTGTATGCGCAGCTTCAGTAATGCAGCTCACCTTTCCAGCTGGATGCGAGTCATCGATGTTCGGGATTGAAGCTTTCAAGTCATGGACTGCCTCCTTTCGCTTGTATGACTGGTATCCGAAGATAGCACTTGCAACAGCTGCGCCGGATATGACAGCGGTGGTCGCAAGTTGGCCTTCAGACGAACCAGCCTGACGCTGGAACCAAGAGGCCATATTTCCAATCAAGCCCTTCTCCTCTGTATCCTCTGGCTTTCTAGTTTCGGTCGTATCGTAGGGGTGGGCGTTGCGATCAGAGTCGTATCTGGTATCCAGTTCGTCAGAATCAAATCCATAGTCGAGGTCGGCATCACTCGTTTGCCACCACTTGGAAGCCATAATTTATGTAGGTTAGACTTACAATCACAAACAACCGATCAGTGCAGGCATTGACCTTTTATGACGGAATGTCATCTGCAGAATACGTTCATCAGTGGAACCACGAATGGTATCACGTGCCGCGGTCCTGAGCTCTTCCCGAGATTCCCAACAGCCACCTGTTGTGACCTTTGCGAAACCCCAGAATTTTAAGGAATTTGTTTACCTTTCATCTCCTATCTACAGCTCCATCGTCTCATGTGATAATAAATGAGCTTTGCGCATTTGGTTCAACCTCGCACTTATGAAAGTCACGCGTTATTGAATTAGAGATGACAACACCCACTTATTATCGCGTGAGAAGATGAACACTAGCTTGAATGGGGTGATAGGCATATCCTAACGGTTACGCGACATATTGCAAACTCATCGCATCAAAAAAGGTACTTTTTCACGCAACACAACCGACACCTGTCACGCTCTCCACATTGTTGCCCGAAATCGAGGAAGTTACCCAACGTACAGTCTCGATGACGATAAAATTCACCCGAGCTTCTCATGACATGTCGATCATTTGTAATCGTCGGGCCATGGACTTCATCCCCTTGGCATCAAGGTGGAAGAAGACATGGATCCAGGTGTGAGTGATTGAGAAATGAACAGAAATCTTAGGGACTGTCACGTTATAGTTTTCCTTCTCTCTCTCTCTTCATTCCTGACAGTGACGGCGAACGTATCCATATGGATCTATATGGATCTAACTGACATCGCTCAGCATCGTGTACATATCCCAATTCTGCAGAAAATCCCAAGCGCTCATGGCGTTCTCTTTCGCCAACACTCTTCTCCAGCAATGTTCCTCCTTGAGAATATCCCTTATCCTCATGCACAGGCCCAATGACGAAAAGTTCTTCTAGCACTCTGAGGCCTGTATATGTGCTTGTCTGTATGCCTACCAAAGGAAACGACAAGTACACCGATGACGAGTGAACAATTTAGGTAGTTTTCAATCCGAGGGCATAGTTCACTGCTTCAGCATGAGGATTGGATATTCATACTTTATCAACACAATTGATACATCCCCACCAAGTCTCTTGAGTCAATTTATATCTTCTAAGACTGATGTCACGTCAAAGTTTTAATCGTAGCATACTGTCATTAGCCACCGTCTATTCAGGATATTTGAGAGCATACTCCGTATACACGTTATCTTTGTTGAGAATTGTCACTTATCATGCAATTCCAGGAATTATCACTAATTCCCACACCACCACTCCGATACTCAATCCCAATCTTATGAAACGTCAATCAGAGTGAGTCTCTCATATTTTCTAGGGCGAAAAGTCACAGGAATCAACAAATTTATCTCAGATATGAGTCTATACAGCGGTAGTTATAGTACACCTAGACATGTATACTTGCCTTGAAGGAGCCTAAGAGAACGTCACTTTCCAACAACTGACAGCCATGTTTGTCGTCCAATTGCTTTCAGGAGGGCAAGGCCTTTCAAGTCGCTAATAGTAGGTCGTTCATTAGGGATATCCCCAAGCTAAGCAACTTTCCTTTTTCAGCTCAAGGATGAATAGGACACCTCAGGCAGTAAATCATGATCGGAGCGGAATAACTATTAAACATTCCATATATAAACAACCTCTGCGAATCTGTTCAAATCCAGATTGGAATTCCATTGAGCACTTTTTTTTACGCGTTTTCGACCAAGACTCAGAATCCATATGTATATTTTGCATGCTGTCTGGCTATAATGTCGAGCCACCGGCCCCATCGATCAATGACGGCTGTTTCCTGATACTAACTAACATGCCAAAGCAAACCTAATGACTGGCGCATGGCCCTAACAGCGCATAAGCTAAGATCTTGATATCCAGCTGTGCGAGAACCTGCTTGTAAGTTATGGTATAGTTGGTTCGATCCGTTGGTGCGCGCGTTATTTTGGATCTGGGCTATGTCTTTTTTATACAACACCGTCTGAGCCTCGTCTTAACATACTCATCTTTCGCCCTGCAATATCCTTCTAATCTCTCAACCACTCTTTTACCGCATCGGTCTTAGCTATACGAGCTTGCAAAACAGCCCAGTTGATGCGAGCGTACCTTCATTTTGTCTTGTTTTCTCGCCCTGTGATGAGTTCGTCCAAAGACGAATATAAGCCAATACTGCAGGCATCTGCTGGACGACGGCTCTGCGCCATGTTGACTCATGGTCGTGGAACGTAAGATAGCTGGGAGCCGGTGATTAAACCTGAGAGCAACCTCTGAGGGCGAGATTTCTTTCTTTTTGGGTTCATGTTGTGTCCAATAATTACATATGCAGGCTTCAAATGTAAATATATCTAGTATTTACTAGCGTTCGTAATGTCTTCCCCCCGTAGATACGCAAATCTCACTACAACGATGTAATGCGGCTAACTACAATTGCGGTAGTCGACCAAATGTATCAATTTGCCCCTCAGGCAATTAGAACTGTGGATATAGATGAGGTATGTCATTAAAAGCAAACGCCTGCTAAATGCATTTTTCAAGAGTCACGCTTCACAACTGTACAATTCGACTACAGAGCAGCCTACTCGAGGAATTTGCCCAGTGCACCACCGATGTTCTTGAGATCCAACAAGAAAGTGTCATGGCCAAACAGCGACAGATCATCGCCAAGCTCGATATGCTGCACACTCTTGTTGCCACCGGCACGGAGCGTCTCCGCAATCTCACGCTGCTGCCACGCCGGGAACAAAATATCACTAGCAACACCCATAACAAGGACGGAGTGATTCTTAAGCGGCGCAAGACCAGCAACAAGATCGCGAGGCGGTCCATCCGCAGCGTCAGCAGATACAGACTCGTCCAGCGGTGTCGCATTCGACGTAGAACCGGGCTGCTCCTCGTACGGCTCATCGGGGAGCGTAAGACTACAAGCCGGGTCGGAAGCGTTCGACGCAAGACCGCCACGAGCAATGCGGTCCTCGGACTCCGCGCGCCGTTTCAGCGTCGCGCTCTGGTGCGCACGGCCCAGATCAAACAGATCCATGGCCTTCGACACATACAGCAGACTGTTAGGGTCGTACTCGAGGCAGAACTTCTCGCCCGCATGGTCGAGATATGTCTCGATCAGGAAGTCCGGACACAGAGCAGGCTGTTTACTCGGGTCTGCGCGCTGGCGGCCAAATCGCATCTCCCACTCGGGCCCGCTGCGGTATGTCACTGTTGCGATCTCGCGCGCGAGCTTCATGCCCGAGTGTGGCGGGATCGCGTCGTAGTAGAACCCGCGTGCCCAGTTTGGATCCATCATCAGGACTTGGCGCTGCGTGTGTCGCATCGCAATACTGTAGGGGTGGCTGCGAGCGCAGCCGCTGATGCTGACTATTTTGTCAACGCGCTCGGGGAAGAGCACGCCGGCTGCTAAGCTTTGCATGCCGCCCATGCTGGATCCGACGGAAGCGGCGAGCTTCTTGATGCCTAGGCCGTCGAGAAGACGGAATTGGGCTCGCACCATGTCGTCCAGTGTTAGGATCGGGAAACGGGTTGCGTACCGCTTTCCGTCGGAGGGGTCGACGGAGGACGGGCCTGTGCTGCCGTAGCAGCCGCCTAGGACGTTTGTGCAGATAATGTGATATTTGTTTGTGTCTAGAGGCAGACCGGGACCAATGAACTTCTCCCACCAGCCGGGCTTTGGGTTTGATGCTGTGCTATGGGCATGGCTCGAGGCCGACAGGCCGGTGTGTAGGAGAATGGCGTTGCTCTTGTCGGCGTTCAATTCACCCCATGATTCGTACGCGACGTCGAATTCATTGAGAACACCGCCCCAGTCAAGGAGAAGTGGCTGGTCACAGTGGTATAATTCATGTTGGCCGGTGGTGTATGAGGGTTCGGGACCGGAGCGAAGTGAGCGAGCGGAGAGCTGTGCGGATTTTGCTTCTTGGGCGTCAAGGCATGGGAATGACATCGCCGGGTTGGACGAGTCCTTCTCCGACTCTGCGGTGGCCGCGGACTTTCGCGGTGGCACGGTGTGTAGTGGCCGGGTGGTCTTCCATTGCGCCGATAAAGTCCGATGCGGCCCCGGATTCACGAAGGAGTCGCCCCGGCGTGGGACTCGAATTGCGCGTGAAGCAGCACGGGCAGCTTGAAACGAGCGCATATTGTAGAATAACAACAGGAACAATAAAAAGAACAAGCAGGAATTGAAAAGCAGCGATTCCTAAGCTTTTGAATACAACAGCGGAGAAACTTATGTGGATACCTGAGGCGGCGAAGTGTCGTCATCTGCGATATCGGTGATTGGTGGATGAAGAACAATACAAACTACACTTTCCCTCGGTGAGCAACAAATATGTACGATAAGTATGTATAGATTGAACTATCCTCAATGCCCTTTATGGGGTATCAAATATCAAACGCCGAGAAAATTTCGCTCCAATGCAAAATGCAAATCATAAAACCGTTCAGAAATCCCAAGCAGGCTCATCCTGAGCTCCGCGTGGAATTCGACTACTTGAGTTCGGTCATAACAATCGTGTTGTTATTCGATCGAATATCAATAGCACCAGCCCACATACACCGGAAAGTACCACAGTTAGCATGGAAGACAATCTTAGTTCCATCCGTCGACACCGTCGCGCCGCCCGGCGCCTCAAGCCCCCAATCAGCAGTCTGCAGCAGCGGCCGACCAGCCCTGGTATATGAGCCCTTGAGGGACTTTGAATGGGCATATTTCACATTGTATCCGAACGAAGTATAGCAATGCGAAGAGAAGAACAGGTAATATGTGCCGTTATTGATGATAATGTCGGGGGCTTCGACGAGCGGCCCGTCAGAGCCATCGATATCGAGAATAGTCACTGCATCTCCAACTGTTGTGACACCGTCGCTTTCCAGCTCCTGTAGCAGAATCGGCACGGAAACAAGGGGTTTCTTGCTATTTCCACAGTTTCCGCCGTGTCCGATGCTGTTCCCGTCGCCTTTGTACACCACATACAGTGTGCCGTCGGTGTCTCGAAAGGGCGAGGGGTCGATGCCTCCGCCGTGTTTGTGTGGACAGGCTAGCGGCGCGTCTTTGGGGATGTAGGGACCCAAAGGATCGGTGCCGTTTGATACGGCCACACCGACGCAATGGTGACTTCCGTAGTTTTCCTTTACTTCTCCGGAATAGTACATCACGAATTTGCCATCGTCCTAGGTTATGTTAGATTTGAGCAGATAAGCTTATTCAAAATTCTTACACGCTGAATCACATCAGGCGCCCAGTGGTTGACCTTCTTCTCCCAAGTCCCAAGGGTCGGCATTGCATCGTAGCCTTCGTGGAGTGTCCAATTGACAAAATCGGTCGATGTAGCCACAGGCACATGGATGCTATCGGGGTTCCTCTTCTTGGGATTGGTTCCATAGGCGTACCAAATATCATTGTGCTGGATAAGGCCCGGGTCTGGGAAATTGTGCAGGGCAAATTGAGGCGCATTTTCCTTGACATGATAACTCGAATCTTCATTTGGCTGAGGCAGCTTCCAGTGGTCGTCTGTATCTTTCGCATAGCCGTAGATCTTGACATAGTAAATCGGGAGCGCAATAACAAGTGCGCTGAGGGTGAATGCGACAAACCCCAATGCGCAAATTGCCCCGATCTGGCGCCTTCCCCAGGGTTTGGCAAAGAATCGTTTTTTTTCTTCTTTTTCATTGTCGGCCACATTGACCATATCAACCGCCAGTGTTGAGTTCAACGACGCTTGGCTACCGTGGCTGCCGGGTACTTCGCTGACCGCGACAGAGGGCGCAACCTTTTTGTCTAACATATCGGGGGTCTCGGTCGCCATTTTGAGACGATGCCAGCGAAGTGATAATGGTGTACGGGGAAGTCGCGTGTACAACAGGTACACCGCTGGATTGAATCAAAATCCTCTAGGCTGCTCCTGGATTTTGCGTATGGAAATAGGTAAGGAGGTTATACTACTCCATGGTGAGTCGAAAGAAAAGAAAATCAATGTGTGCGAAACAATTTCAAAAGATCAATGGCGAATTTCGAGCCCACGTGTTGCTTTATACTAAGTAAGCCCGAAGGATGTGAAATGAGGAATAATGGCCGAGGCGATGCCGATTGGCTAGAAATGATATCTTTGAGACCCTTAAGGAATAGACCCTGTATGTCGGCGTTAAAATACATGAAATTGTAGACAAATGCGGAGTAGCGGCTTTTGTTTGATCTCGGCCCTCTACTTTGTCTCAGCACGCCACTGCTGTTTTAGTTCGGACCCTGGGATTGAGGTATTTTTTTATTTTCACTCGACGAACGGCACAGAACAGGGGAAGTACCCGTATCTTCTCGAAGGTCAAGCTTTTGTGGGTGATATTAGGAATGGGGTCGGGCCAATGGGCATTTGCACAAAGATATTGATCAGACTATCACTTTCTGTTTGAGTCTTAGTTCACACCTTTGTGATCCGCCTTTTGCTGATCTGTACTCTTAGCTTATTGTTCGAAAGTTCTGTAGCAGACAATGATAGATTATCTTCATTTCGTTGGGCATAGTTAGGGCAAACGCCTCTTAGTTTGAGAATCAAGTACAATACAATACTAATAACCATGGATTGTCCATCGGTCTACCCGACCACGTTGGTAATTTTGGGCCGGGTCTCACGGCAGTGTGGGGTATTGATATTTGTGTCACTGTGGTTTTCGCATATCCAGGCAACACAATTACCACATTCCATGCTAAGCTGTACTGGTATCACCTATCTCAATGATCTCAGAATGCAGCCTGATATGATCAAAACTTTAAACACAATTTGCACGGAATTTACGAAGGTCGCGCAAAGCCGGTCTTGGTAAATTCGGTTGCCTTTCGTCGGCTTGGCATGAACACCTTATCTCTTCTCCCCTCAACCACCAAATCATATTTCACATAATCGCGAATAAAAAACGATCAGTACTTGAGCGACCTCCAATATAGCCCTTGCACTTACCCAGACCGGGGATATGTCTTCTACCGCACTACCTACTCTGCTGAATCAGATACTCTATTCCCAGACGCTATCCGGTACATTGAGGCCTGTACTAAGCAATCATTCTTCCAAGAAAACAGAAGATCCTAAAAAAATGAGCGCAACGAAATTTGGGCCAAACACCGGCGACTATCGTGCAAGATCCCGCGCAATTTAACGGGACGTCTGTCGAGGCAATTCGCGCTCATTTTGAGGCCTGGGTGAATGCTCAAGGCATGGGTGACGATTGGACGAAATGGCGAATGCATATGATTATCGATGAAGAGTCTCTGCAAACGCTGAAAGGCATATCAGTCGAGACCCATGAAATAAAAGGCTAGAGAATCCCGACCATGAGCTACAATGTGTAACGGTTCTTAAAGCATTTTTGTATATGGATCAGTATAAAAAATTTCTGGGTGGATGAAGTGTTGGACATATGCGCTCTGGGATATCTGGACGACGATGGGAGATGGTGATGAGATGAGGCAGATATTCAACTGCATTGATGATTTTCCACTTGAGGGGGTGTACTTCGGGTTAATTAGTGCTCTTTGAAAGTCACGCTATCATCGCACCGATATACCGTGCCTGCAAAATGCACCATACCTCAATGTGTTGCGGACTTGCGGTATGAAGCTGCTGTATACGCCAAACTTCGTACAATCCATGGTATATACATTCCTCTTTACCTCGGAAGCAACGACTTGGTTCATCCGTACAGCTATGAAGGTATCGCGTATCTCAAGCACATGATGCTATTGAGTCCGGGTGGACAGTCTCTCGACATGGCACTCAGGGAAATGAACCAAGGTTGCTTAAGAGCTAAGATGAAAGAGTCGTCCTCACAAATGCACCGCCTCAATGTCCTTCACAAGGATCCGGCGCCGCGAATTGGCTTTACAATCCAGAAAGCAACACATTTGTCTTTGTTGACTTTGAAAGGGCCGATTTCGTTAGTTCGCGGCCCGTTCAGCAGGGAATGATCTCACCAAATCGTAAACAAAGTTGGTAGCCCGTGATGGGCTTGATAAAGCACTGCCTGATTCAAGGTTTGCGAAAGAAATAAACAAGGCAATGCATGAGTTGCGAGATTGGATAAAATGAGCGAGAGTCCAATGAACGTACTCGCAATGTGTCTAGCCATCATGCAATTGTATAGCTATGCCATCGTAGAACATATTCACGGTGGGTATATCTACTACTCCGTACAGAAAATCTACATATACCGTGGATTAGACGGAAGCGTGAATGTTGGGGGATCAGTCGAAGCCAGATGAGCCAAATGCAAACATCTTTGTGGGGACGATGGGTGAATCCCCCAATCATGAAGAAACTGCAAATTGGGACCATCAGCCTTAGCATGCGAAACTTGAGCAAAGCTGAGAATTAATAGGCTTACTTGCATATGTTGATATGCAGTGTAACGTTCGAATCTTGATTGCTAGCAGATCAACGGTAAAGTATTTCACTACTGCAAATTTCTTCAAGATCTTTATATCGCGTTGGTTGGTACCTAGGGTGATGCTACACGTTCTAGTAGATCATTACTGGTTCAGATTCTTCGTATTAAACTTTCCTAGAACTACAATAGTTCCCAAAGCCTTTTGTAAACGAGTCTGTGTATGGACCGCCCATGGTGAAGCCTAGCTATTGTTGTATAAAACTAATGACTTCCTAGCCGTCTTGGTAAGAAGTAGTAATCATGAGTGCTCGAGATAAAGAGCCTGCCAAGAACGATGTGGGTACGTGTAAGCGTTGATGTACTATTTGTCCAAATTTGGCTTTTGAGTTACGAATTTTGCTCTCATTGAACGATCAAATCAGACCTTGCTTGCCTTGGTACGAGTACCTATCCCACGTTCCAAGGTTTAATGGGGCTAGCGTGGTTTTCAAAGCTCCAATTGACCAGAGTAGGTGAACACATATATTATTATAGTGATAATCAAGTGGATTTACCAATCTACATAACACGACCTGGACCTAGATATGCAAAAGTGTATGATCAAGTCATTCGATACCGACAAACATAAGTATGAGGGTGAAAATTATACGTAAAGTATTACGAGATGTAGCTTGTTTCAATCTATGGATTGCGCCGATGCATGGCCTCGGCCTCTTCGTACTTACCCTGGCTATGAAGGACTGAACCAAGGTTGTTGACGCTAGTGAGCGTGTGTGGATGTTCTGGCCCTAGCACCTTCTCACATCCTTCTAACGCCCGCCGGTGCATAGCTTCGGCCTCTTCGTACTTGCCCTGGCTATCAAGGACTGAGCCAAGGTTGTTGACGCTAGCGAGCGTGTGTGGATGTTCTGGCCCTAGCACTATCTCTCGGTCTTGTAACGCCCGCCGATGCATGGCTTCGGCCTCTTCGTACTTGCCCTGGCTATCAAGGACTGAACCAAGGTTGTTGACGCTAGTGAGCGTGTCTGGATGTTCTGGCCCTAGCACTATCTCTCGGTCTTGTAACGCCCACCGATGCATGGCTTCGGCCTCTTCGTACTTGCCCTGGTTATAAAAGACTGAACCAAGGTTGTTGACGCTAGTGAGCGTGTCTGGATGTTCTGGCCCTAGTACTATCTCTCGGTCTTGTAACGCCCGCCAGTGCATAGCCTCGGCCTCTTCGTACTTGCCCTGGTTATAAAAGACTAAGCCAAGGTTGTTGACGCTATTGAGCGTGTGTGGATGTTCTGGCCCTAGCACCTTCTCATATCCTTCTAACGCCCGCCGGTGCATAGCTTCGGCCTCTTCGTACTTGCCCTGGCTATCAAGGACTGAGCCAAGGTTGTTGACGCTAGCGAGCGTGTGTGGATGTTCTGGCCCTAGCACTATCTCTCGGTCTTGTAACGCCCGCCGATGCATGGCTTCGGCCTCTTCGTACTTGCCCTGGCTATCAAGGACTGAGCCAAGGTTGTTGACGCTAGCGAGCGTGTGTGGATGTTCTGGCCCTAGAATCTTCTCTGACCCTTCTAAGTCCCGTCGGTGCATAGCTTCGGCCTCTTCGTACTTGCCCTGGCTATTAAGGACTAAGCCAAGGTTGCTGACGCTGGTGAGCGTGTCTGGATGTTCTGGCCCTAGCACCCCTTCTCGATACTCGAGGACTATCTGATACATCGTCTCCGCTTCGCGGTATCGCCCGTCAAATTCCAGACAGTCCCCACACTTCTGAGCAAGATTAACCCTTTCCCTACTGCACTCATTATCCCCTCCCACAGCGTGTTGTGCATGGGCTATGTATAGTCGCCAGTATATCCGATTGGTCTGACGGGTGTCTGACAGGAGTTTACTCAGCCGCACTACTGCTTGTTTGTGGTAAGCCGACAGCTCTCCATTCCTTTTCAGCCATCCCCGCGTCACTAGATGTACTAGACGATGTATATCAAACGCCAATCCATCCTCATGTCTAGTGATGAATGAGAATGAGTCAAGGATACCGATCGCATCGCTTTGCTGTTTAAGTGATAGACTCTCAGAAGGCGGTAGCAGCGAGCTAGGAATGTCCTTGGGGTCCACACAGGCCATGAATCCTAGATATTCAAACGCGAGAGAGCTGCGGCGACGGATCTGCTCAAATGAGATGAGCCATGTTTTTGCCACTGCATTCTCCATGTCTGCATATCTGCCGTCATCTTCGAAATGTTCACTCAGGAGCTCAACCGCCTCGTCATCTTGATTGGACAAGAGGGCTTCATAATTCTTGAGTGATTCCCCGGTCACATTAATATACGCTGCGGCCTGAACAATGGCGAGTGGAAGATACGTAAGTTTCCGCAGTAAGCCTGGTAACAAGCAATCATCCTTTTCAATCCGACTAGGATAAATCAGATATTTCTGCATCATCTCTGAAGCCCCAAACTCGTCCATCTGCTGCACACACACCACATTTTCTCGAGCGACTCCTGTGGCTAGCTTCCGATCGCGCGTAGTCCATATGATCGCCCCATGCCTGCTTCGGGGCATGTAGTCAATCAGACGCTTAGCTCCAGCCTCAGACGTAAGTGGGGACGTCCATAGATCTATGTCATCCGCATTATCCAATATTAGCAGCCATGGGCCAATGGTCTCATCACTGAAGTATGTTTGGACTAGTTCCAAGATATCAACACCGATTTCGTCACAGCCGGGAAGGCGAAGGTTCTGAGCCACCTTGCGATATGACAATTGGAGGTTGGCCAGGCTATTTACGGGGATCCAACAGACCGCGCACTGTTCTTGCATGCGGTGGGCTAGCTCAAGCACAAGCTGGGTCTTGCCCACACCACCGAGGCCCATGATGGCAATTTTTGTAGTGACATCGGACTTCTGTTCCAATTTCTGTGTCAGGTCGCTAATCAGTTCCCCACGGCCTGTGAACTTGGTGTTCCGTTCAAACGGCACCTGCCACCGGGCACGGCCCTGCCCTTAAGCTCTATTAGTATTCGATTTCGGAATCAGGTATCTAGATTAACGACAAACATTGCTCTAAAAGAACCAGTCTCTTTTGATATTCCTGTATGAGGTTAGCCACTTGCCTTCTTTCTTGGCAACGGAGGACTAACACGAATCTTTGTAATGAACTGAAGGTTGGTTGCACCTATATCCGTTATTATCCATTAGTCGAAGGATACTATGACTATGAAAAGTCTTCTAGATACACACTTTGCTTTGATTTCAGATTCTCAACACAGTCCCGCACTCGAAACGCCACTGCCTGGTGGTCGAGATACCCTTCTGTCGCCGACTCAATCAAGCCTTGCTCCTGATATTCCGCTAGCCCGACGTCCTGTAACCCCTGGTCCACATTGAATCGGAAATACCGCTTGCTATCATAATGCTGCCGCCATTTAGCAATGAATCGCTTCTCCGTATGCTCAGTCTGGGTGGCAAGTTCTGGCAGAGTGTTAGAAACAAACTTCAACAGGTTGTCCTCTATCGCCCTCTTCCCGGGATTTCCGGTGCCGATCGAGATAAAGCACTTCACCAGCGGCTTTAGGTCGCCTGTGTCTTCACACCAAATATCAGACGCTTCGCCTTCCACTTCATCCACAGGGTTGTTGGCCCCGAGCCCACCATCCGCGAATCTGCGTGCTCCGATCGACACCGGCTCGAAGAAGGTAGTGGCGGCGGAGGTTGCACGGGCGGCCTGGCAGATGGTGGCCCGAATTCCGGCCTTATTACCGTAGCTGCGAAGGCGCACAATATCCTTGGTCTCCTGCGTGATGCTACAGACAAACCTGGAGTTGTCAGTAGGATACGGATTCATCGTCTCACAGACACTTACACCCGGCAACTCCGGTTAGCTTGGTCATTGAATAAATCGGTCGGTTTAGCTCCGCAATTGCTGATGACTTCGTTGATTGCACTCTCAAGCTTGCTGGCATCGAATTGAGGCTTAATCTTGCCAAAAAGGCTGGATACGCCCCGTTTCGAGGGCTTGCCAAAAATCATTTTCATTAACTTGATATATGCCATAATGCACTCATCGACATCCATCTCTAATCGACCTAACATAATCGCAATCAATCTACATCTGTTAGGCGCCCAACTTTAGAAAAAGAACACGAACAGAACCAACCCACCCGCCTGTACTGGTGCCGCCTATAAGGTCAAACACTTCGCAGGGCTTCTTTGCTGCTGAACCCTTGGGGCGTTCCTGGTTCAGTCGATCCATCAACCCTTTTAGGATGTACAGGGTCGACAGCCCGCGCACGCCGCCGCCATCTAGGGACAGTAGGCAGAGCCCGGTGCTGTCTAGCGGGTCTGGCTGCTCCCCGCCGTGAACAGTCGCTACTTGCTGCATCGCCGAATCTCCTCTTCAGTCTGGTATTATTGCTTGCAAGAATAAGTCACAAGCCCAAGGGAAAACATAAAGAGAAATGGTTATTAGTCTCCTGGCCGGGGGATGGGCAGTTCAGCTGAAGACGCCTGGGTGAGGCAAGTAGGGCGCCTCATTGGGTCGACGGCTGCGCCGCCCGTGACCAACGCACCTCCGCTCAATAGTTGATCAGCGCTAAGGCCTTGGCAGTGGGGTCAGAAAAGAGTGATCAAGAGGGTATCTGTCAAGCCGATTTCGAGCATGACTTTAACTAAATTGGAATTCACTGGATACTGGCTCGGCGGTTTTATCACGCGTGGTGGGCCTGGGGGCCGCCATTTTGGGAAAAGCCTGTCGGGTACGGACCGCACATCGCTCCTCCCGCTGCATTTATTTTGGGCATCCCTGTGGAGCCACCGTATCCAGATAGTGGTGTGTAATGACATCGGCTACAGTTCATCACACGTCCTAGACACCTCTCGGCACTAAAATGGTCTGGAGAGTCTCGCTGGCGCTGCTTGGGTGCGCTTGGCATTCCAGATACTGGGGTGTATAGCTTCAATTTGGGGTTTACGATGTGAATTGGGTTTACGGTGTGGTGCACCCCATCCCGAAGGCACGGCTATAGCTCTGCGCATCGAAGTGGTACGTAGTTGTCGACACACCCAATTCACTACCGCAGTGGAAGACGCGACCATCAGGGAGCCGGAGGTAAATACCGTGATACACACGGATAATGCTGTTGGGCCGCTGCTCGCGGAACTGGTTGGTACTCTAAGCGTTCACTGAGCATAACCTAAGCATTATTTTTACATTACCAAAGATGGCCTGAACATCACTGAGTATGCATGTCATCTGACTGCTTACTAAGTACAATTCAGTGGTCACGGAGTAGTCACTCTGTGCTGTGATATACTCAGTAAGCAGAACCCTGAGCGCCCTCATAAAGCTCCATATGTACATATGTACTCCGTACATAGATGGCTATCTATATATGTAACTAACTACTTGTCCAAATATGGTTAGACTTGGTGCGATTACATAGTACAGGCCACGTGCGCGCCTCTACTCAAAGAAGCTAGAGGGTTAAACAGCTGCTTCCGGCGTACGCAATCCTTTTGAGATACTGTAGAAACGTTGGCCAAAAATCCATCGCCAAAGGGCATGGCCTGCTTCGATATCATTCTGAAGTGGTTGTAATGTTTTGAGGTTTTGGCTCTTTTTTGAAACTCAGGCCTTCCATCCTGATTGCGGGTTGACCTTATCTCCGACAAACATCAAGGTCACATCTGCGCAACGAATTCGGCCTATGCAACAAATCCTCGTGTACCGACATGTTACCCTCTCAATTTCCCTGATTTAGGATCTGCCATCTCTTCCTCTAGTCACACCCACCGAACGAATTGAAAATCACACACTTTCAAATTCTCCGAACCCGCGCATCCTCGAACACAAAAACATAATCCGCTGAATTATTGGCTGTCAGCCACTCTACGGTTATCGCAAACCTACAAATCCACTCGGCTGGCCGTGCCGACTTGATCGCCTACTATGATCACCCCGCGCAAGGTGCTGCTCGCCCTGATCGCCGTGATCACCGTTGTGCTCATTCTCCGCTCATCCCGAGCCCCCGAAGTCCCCGGAGCGCCCGGGTACAGACCCGTGAAGAAGATCTCAGATGAGGAGGAGAATACGCTCGCAAAATCGACGCGCAAAATCCCACCCCAGGGACGAACCCAATTGCCCCTCGGTGCATCACCGACTGCGCCGCTCCGCGAGCGTCTCCGCTATCAATTCCCCTATGAGCTCGAAAAATGGTTCCCCGCATATATCTGGCAAACATGGAAATATGGTCCGTCATCTATGTGGTTCGATGAAGACCTCCGAGGCCTGGAAGCTAGCTGGACGGAGATGCACCCCGGGTTCACGCACGAGGTGGTTCCCGATAACACCCAGGCCCACCTGATCAAGTACCTCTACGGATCGGTTCCGGATGTATTCGAGGCATATGAGTCGCTGCCACTAGGTGTCATGAAAGCGGATTTCTTCCGGTACTTGGTGCTTCTGGCGCGTGGTGGAATTTACAGTGACATCGATACATCGGCACTTAAGCCCGCGCACACGTGGTTGCCGGAGGAATTGGACCGGTCGACAATTGGATTCATTGTTGGCATTGAGGCTGATCCTGACCGTCCTGATTGGCATGATTGGTACTCGCGTCGGGTTCAGTTTTGTCAGTGGACTATCGTGTCGAAACCTGGACACCCAATTCTCCGTGATATGGTGGCTTATGTCACCGAGGAAGCGTTGCGAATGAAAAAGGCTGGAATTCTCAAGGTCGGCAAGATGGATAAGACTATAATGGAGTTCACTGGGCCTGGAGCTTGGACGGACAGTGTCTTCCGCTACTTCAATAACCCGGCATATTTTAACATTCAACCTGGTGATAAGAATATCACCTACGAGGACTTCAGTGGGCAGAATACCCACCGGAAGGTGGGTGATGTGGTGGTTCTGCCCATCACCAGCTTCAGTCCTGGCGTGGGGCAGATGGGTGCAGGGGATACGGATGATCCCATGGCTTTTGTGAAACATAACTTCGGAGGTAAGCGTGAATTTTGAAACGATGCTGTTTCGTCTCAAATAGATTATACTAACATGTCTATAATAGGCACCTGGAAAACAGATGCGTCGTTGTGAAAAAGCAATGCTCTTATCTGATTCCATTCCAAAATTATACTCCAGCATTAGAGACCTCCCACGTTTTTGCTCTTTTTCAGCCTGCACACTACTTCGACTCGGTCTATTTCCCCCTTGTCGTTGGATCGATAGAACCCGTCCATGTTTTATGATACCTGATACCTGTTCATATGATTCCCCTTGTTTTATTGCTGTATACCGTTCTCATTAGACTTATGGCTCGGCAAAGTTTGCTGCTGGCTCGTTGATATATTCAATTCATTGTTGCCATATCCAGTATAGCCGTGCTGATATCTCATATCAACCGGCGCTTCATTTCCTTTACAACTACGAGTTATAGAACAACCCCAAACTTCAATGCCAAGTTGTTGGTCCCCGCAGTGCCAAACCCCACAAAACGCCTCTTTAAACGCCTCTCCGCCGTCTATGTGCGCCAAAATTGACTCCTCGGGCGAATTCAGCCATTTCAAGCTCGACTCGGCGTTCTTGTCGCGCTTGGCTATCGGCCAACCTCACCTCCAATCAGAAGGCAATCGCGATATGGGGAAAGCATTAAACCGAAGTCCCAACTATTAGGGACGTTTGAAAGCGACAAATTGTGCACATGATTCCGAGTCAGATAGTTGGGCTGTGGCGGCTCTTGTCAGAGACTCATATTCTGTTCGAATCTCGCCGGCCGTATAAAATGAAATGCGAAGGTCGTACCAGATGCTGGAATAAAGAAGGATCATCACACTTGATTGAGATGTTCTCGATGTGAGGAAACGAGTCTCTCATTCATCATCCGATGTTGTCGGAGGGAAATAGAGGTTCGAGCTCTGGTCTACAACTATGAAGCTTTCTGTCGACGAAACAGAAATGCCTTCATTTCAGCTGTTGGGGTTCCATGTCATGTTATAGTGCCATGTATTCATCATCCAATCCATCATGCTCCGCAAAGGGTTTTCCTTCTGATCTTTGTCTGTGCTATTACTGCTCTGCGAAAATGTCGATGATAGGTTGACATCCGTAAGCCATCACCCTTTGAGCGACAGATCTCCTACTACTGCCTTTAGAATGATTTATGTACTCTGTGGCTCACTTAAGGGAACTCAGTGGCCATCTCTAACTCATCTTGGAGATGATGCCGGTCTCCGCGATAATGGATGTGATCTCGAGAGCATGACACGTGAATGGGGCTAGTGTTGTGCATTTTATTGAGGCTCTTGAACTTTGTTCGTCTTCCCATCCTCTCTTGAGCGCCGTTTATGTACTATCCGGTACAAACTTCATGTAGCCGCAAGATGGTGTGTTGCTCAGTGTGATATGTCACCTAGATACTTACCAAAAGGGGCAGGAAAATGTCAGTAAGCAAGGTTTCTACACTATTTAATCCAGAAGCCGGGTATAAGCCAGCTTTGTATGGATCTCAATTGTTTGCGCTATAGGATCTGATCTGCAATATACAATGCAATATATGGGTTCCAGAAGTTAGGGGCTCAATTTAGACTCGCCGATCTTGCCATCTCCAATTCATTGTATGTGATAAACTGCAAACTATGCGCAACTTCTTTTTGCTTTTTTTTGAAAAAAAGGCTCCTTGCATTCAGTGCAATTCTTTCCTTCAAGTATTATGATATATCCACAAACATAAAGGGGCCGCCTTTAGGCTTGGTCCTTCTATTAAAAACCCATGTCTTCCTCGCCATTCAAATGACCTTCAAAGCCACCTACGTACCTAGTTTTTGTCAACATGTCTATCCAATTGGGTCTGCCACCACTGGATATCTTCTTGTTTTCTCCTAATCAACCTCAGAAGATAGCCAGGTCATTCTTCGCATCTCCAGACACACCAAGAACATTCCTTCGGCCAATATCTATTAGTCCTACCACTTTCAAGAGCACCCTTGATTTCCAGTTTGCCCTCACATTCGCCATTGGCTATGTTAGCATAGTCCTTTTTCTGAGCAAACTGAATGCTAGCCGACAGCACAAACCCTGGGGATTCAGCAAGACCTCCTTATTCAAGACTCTGGTGGTAGCACACAACACCTTACTTGCATTGTTCTCGGCATGGATGTTTTACGGAATGTGTTACTCGCTATACAAATCTTGGCCAGTGGGAACGGCCAGAGAAGGATCTGACTACTACGCTCATGTGGCGCAGATGTTATGCGAAACGGATTCGACTGCAATTCGAGGTGAGATAATACTAATTTAAAACGCAATACATTTTTTGATTGCCATAGAACCTTTATTCTGATCGTTCATCTCACATTATAGCCCCGGGAAACGTTAAAAGTCTATGGGAAGAAGGAACCGCCTATTTTGGCTGGTTCTTCTACATGTCGAAATTCTACGAAGTGCTTGATACAATGATTATCCTTGCGAGTGGGAAGAAAAGCTCCACTTTGCAGACATACCATCACGCCGGTATAATGTTCTGTACATGGGCATCGTTGAAATATGCATCGCCAACATATCTGGTTGGTATCGTGCTAAATTCAGGTGTCCATACATTGATGGTATGTGCAAATTACCAATTGTAAAAGCAAACGCTAACCGACCGCGCTCGGTTCTAGTACTCTTACTTTGCGATTCAGTCGCTTGGTTTCTCCATTCCCATGAGTATAAAGCGTTCTCTCACCAGTATTCAAATCGCTCAGTTCTTGGTGGGTATGGTCTGGGGCTTCAGTTATGTTGCCTTAAAATACAACCTTGGCTTCGATATCACAGAACAGGCCATGACCAATGTATCGGATCATGAGCCTCGACTGGCTCATGGTGCCATGGCGGGCGAACTTGGCGATGGTAACAAAAGGATCGCCGCGGATACTGCGGTATCCTGTTTGAGTGACAGTGGGGAAGCATTGACATTTGTTATGACAACTGCTTATATACTTCCTCTGTTGTTTCTATTTGTGCAATTCTTTGTGAGATCCTATGTCAAGGTTGCGAAATGATTGGAGTTAGGTAGACAAATTTGGGAAATCAGGCTATGGGCTATAATTTGGGGGAGGATATTGGTAATAGCATGGAATATGCTTCAAGGGTGATGGAATAATGTGTCTAAAAGACGAGATATACGAGTTATTTTCTGCATGTATCGTATGAAAATAAGAAAACTCCATATTTGTTTAAAGCAACACCTATGGAATATTGTAATCACCTACCCATTCTAGAATATACCTCGCAAGGTACTAAGTAGTGTTGAACACTTTAAGACGAAAGCAGGTTTAGAAATAAAGACACCAAAACGCCCTGCGTTCACCGTGATGCGCCGAGATAGGGTTGTGATGTCGCAAGAGATCGCGAGATCATGAAAACCACATGACCAGTCCTTCTAATAGAAAAGATGGTTTCCGAAGAAGGAACAATCTGTAGGGGGAAAAGAAAGAAACATAAAAACAAGTACATTCTGGTTCTGTATGGCTTTCATACTGTCGTAAAGGTTGGAAAGTCAAACGGTGGGGTTGAAACCTGCTTGGGCGCATGGCGAATTGTGCTATCTTCCGAGATTAGAGTCGCCACAGCCATGCCGAGGGCTATCACGGGATCGGATATGCAAACAAAAAGCAAAGCTGGAGTGCAAATAATCGCGAATGCAGGCTCAGAGGGACCATTCGCTTAGGCGGGGACGTGCCCGTGGGGGGTCGTGGGGTCAAGGGAGCGATGACCGTGCTCGTTGGAGGGCTTCTCAAGAACACATTGTGGTGAGTCTGATAGACTGTATTGGCAGGATATTCCCTCAGAAATCACTAAACAACGCCTCGTATTTCTTCTTTAGGTCCTCGGTGTAGATGTTCGCGTTTCTGAGGTCGGGGGGATCCGGGTATTCCTCAAAGTTACCGGTATCCGCGGGGTGCGATAGGCGGGGAATTATAGGGCCCTTCACCCGGCGATAGAATAAATCGTCCCAGATGACATCTTGGAAAAAGGGGTGTGATTTGACTCGGGTCGAGCCACCGGAGATGTGGCCGAGTCGTTCCGATGGATTTGTTTTGCAGAGTAGAGACACAATATTCTGCGCTGCGGGCGGCATATTCTGGGGGAAGCGTAGACGGCCTTCAACGATCTGCTCGTAGATCCGCATAGGGTTTTGGTCCCAGAATGGAGGTTGTCCAATCAGAAATTCGTAGATCAGAATTCCAAGTGCCCACCAGTCCACCGCCAGTCCATGACCGCTGTTTTGAATGACTTCTGGAGCCAGGTATTCCGGTGTACCACACAGTGTGTATGTCTCGCGGTTGTCGACTTGTTTCGCAAACCCAAAGTCAACGAGCTTAATATGGCCATCTGCATCTAGCAAGATATTCTCCGGTTTAAGATCTCGGTATGCAACTCCATGAATGTCGTGCAGGAACTCGATTGTCATTGTGATTTCGGCGGCATAGAATCTTGAGGTTTCTTCACTGAAGCGTCTTTGTCTTCGAAGATAGGTAAATATTTCGCCTCCAGGGCAGTAGTCCAGCTAGCAATTTTGTTAGCACTCTGAAACCCACCCAGATCATATTCCAAGCTTAAAAGAATAACCATACCACCATGTAAAGGCTCTTGTCATCTGAGAATGAGGCGATCAAGGTGGTGATGAAAGGGTGATCAATAACCGCAGTAAGAGTTTTGCGCTCGTTGCGCACATGTTCCACTTGCTTGAGTTTGATCACTGTTCAGTCGCAATCGGCACAAGTTAGCCCTAGCCTCGCGCAACGTTGGACAAAGTGGTGCTTACCATCCGCCTTTCGAAGAATTTTTAGCGCATAGACTTTGTTTTTGTCCTTTTGATCTTTTAATCTTGTGAGCCACACTCGAGCGAACGTGCCTATAAAATCGAAAACAAGATCAACGGTCAGATATGAATCGCGCAAGTAAAGTATAGGGGAAAGCGGGTTCTCACCGGTTCCAAGGGTCTTAATGAGGACAAAGTCAGTCACGCGCAGTGTTCTGGATGAGATACATAGTTGTTTCTCGTCCTGGCGCTCAGTGACGAGAAATGGGTTCGAGGATCGTAGAGACGAGCGGAGAGGATTCGGCGATCGACTTTTCTCTCTGATGCAGAGATCCGTTTCGTTTGGGGAAGACCATGGTGCCTGGCACCTCGTTTGGCGAGTGTTGCACTGTCCCAGTCGCCATTAGAATAGAGAGATGCGGCGAAGGTAAAAAAAAAATGATGTATGAGATCCCGTTAGCGCGCCACCTGGCCACGCAGCTTTATTCCGGGAGTCTCAGATTGATCCGGGAAGTCTCAGATTAAAAATACCATTGAGATGTGAACCTTCAAAGAAAAATGTGCTCGCATAAAGCGCAAAGAGAGATGCGGAAAAAGGGAAGTTTTGGCTCTGACGTATTTGCTATGCGGGGCTAAGGACGGGAAGAAAAAACTACGATAATCGGACTATCGGACTGTCAGACTGAGTAAGCTAAAATAGAGCCTCTTGGAAATTTGATCTTCTTTGATTTCCTTATTGTACACCATGACTGTTTCGATTATATACTGGTTTCATCCCAGGATACAGATTCGATATTCTCTGATGGTAGGTGAGAGAAACTTGTTTGTAGTTTCCAAAGGTATGTAGTTGGTAGTTGGTAGTTGGTAGGTGTAGGTTGTAGTACAAAAGTACATACTCAGCCCTCAAGACTTGGAGTTTAGGATCAAACCAACAATCAAGCTGACCAAATTAGTAAGACTGGTTAAATCGGGATCATAATATACACTTACCCATAAAGACCCAGGACTTCGCCGAAGATCAAAATCAAAATCATTCCAACATAGACTCGGGATTGTTGCATGTATGCCCGAACACCCTGGGATGGATGTTAGTCTCCAAGGATCATCTCAATTGTATCACGAATAATAGTATCCTTACCGCATCACCCACAACACCAATAGTATAACCAGCAGCCACACCTGTAAGTCCAACCGACATCCCCGAGGCGAGGTGCATGAATCCTCTGTGCATTGTCAGCTTGTGCCAAGCTCCACATCAAACCAGCCTTCCAAACGTACGTGTACAAACTCATGTTGCCTGTTGGGTCCACTCCTTGCGCAATGAGCACTGCAATAACCAGACCGTAAACTGCGATAATACCGGACATGACGACGGGGATGAGAGACTGTAGACATAAATTCAATTAGCTACCCGGTACATCATAGATTCAGCGAGCCTAGATGGGCGCTTACCTTCATAATCAGATCAGATCTAAAGGTTCCCACACCGGCGATACCGATGCCTGACTTTGCTGTGCCATAAGCTGCTCCTGCCGCTGTGAGAATGTAAGCTGTTTGTCCGGATACCTTTGAACCTAGTAATCTCGCTTCATCCCCGCAAGGTATTACACGTACACCCAAAGATCATCTTCAGGACAGTGTTAGTAGATTATTGAATCAAAACATTATTGGCATAAACTCACTGCAGCAGCAATGCCGGCCTAGAATAGATAACTTGTTAGTCTCATGATCTTCAAAAGTGCTCGGGAAGTTGCACTCACAAAGGAGAAGAACGGAGCGAACTTGGGCGCAAGCTCACTCTCTGCCATGGTGAGATAAGGGCAAGATCAAATCTTGCAAAGAATCACAAAGGAACTGAGAAATAAATGAAGCTGTTTGAAGCTTAACAAGGATAGAAGGAAGTTCTCTGTTTGATAGGGTGTTGCTCCTTGTTCCACATGGTCATTTCGCCTGCCGTAGTCCACACATTGTTCCCGCTCAGGCGGTGACAATACCATACATTATAATCCCGATTAATTCCCATATTGAACGGATATCAAACACTGTCCATTTTGAGTACTATGTATTGAAATTACATACCGGCCTCGCCGTCACCGTGGACCTTCGCCATCTGCTCTCCTGGTCCCCTCCCCCCAGTTTATTACTGCATTTTCAACAACTACCACCCCCACCTTCAACTTCGTCTACCCTTTTTCTTTCGCAAGTCTCGGAGGATGCTGAGGGTATGAAACCGAAAGGAGCCTTGAATTTGTTGCGCTCACGGCTCCTAGCGCTTTTCTATTAACACTGTTTGATATCGCTTTTAACCCAATTTCAAACTGAGGGGAGTTATGGCATACTGAGTTCTATCGCTACTCTGAAGACCTTCTATTATATCTTTCGAGGACATTGCCTACATAACCTTTTCTCTCGTTCCATCCCGCTATCGTTTCTTCCGTTGCCTACGATCTTGAACAGACCTCTTGCGACGCCCTGAACGCTCTCCACGATCAACACGGATACCCCCTTTCACCTTCGTCGTACGGAACAAACCCATTCCGCATATCTGACCGACATACAACCCCTCATCCTTTATTGCTGATATCTCGTAAAAATGGCGGACCTGGGGGGTCAACGTAACCGGAACTACCGGCCTCACGGACCTGCCTCATCAACACAACGGGATGCTGCGTACTCCGATATTTTTGGGAGCGCACCACCAGCAGGACGCTCCCAAACCATGAATTCGCAAACTCCGCAATTCTCTCAGGGTCGTGCTCATACCATGTCATCGCATGTTGCACACCCTCAATTTCAGAGACCGCCGCCGCCGCCAACGCGGCAAGTGCCCAATGGATACGGACCGCCATTAGCATCACCAAATGGATATCCGCCGCCGCCGTCATCCGGTCAATACCAAGCCTACAATCCGGCGGCCGCACCCATGTCTTCACAGCAGCCTCCTCGACCGCATCCTGGTGCCCAACAACGATTTGCTGCTTATCCTCGACCCCAACGTCTCGAGACCAGACCAAGCCCTTCTGCCCAATACCCGGAATCTAGGGACTTCAATCGCCCAATGCCTCCACCTGCGCTGAATTCCGATGCAACCCGATCGAGATCGATGGCAAAAATCAACGGGCCGCCTTACCAGCACCCACCGAGCAACTTCAATCACACTTCTGCCATTGCCTCTCGCCGCGAACAATACCATGCCGGGGCTCCAGTCACTCAATTAGGTCGTCCTGTGCCCGAGAAGCAACATAACGAGCGAGCTATGTCCATGACTTCTTGGCCGTCGGATCGAGATTCGCAGATCATGAACAGCGGAAGGTCCATTCCGCATCGCAGACCGCCGTCGGGTCATGGCCAGCAGCAAAACTCGATGCAGGGCCCCTCTGCCATCAGCCCGCTCGGCACGATGCAGGGCCTGATCGAGAGGCCAGCAATGCAAAGTGCTCCGAGAAGCGACTCGATGACACAGAGCCCTGAGGGCTATGTCGGCTCTCGTCAGCCTAGTGATGGATCGGCAAAATCTCGAACTATGTCTATGGCATCGACTATTGCGCCCGATAGGACGATGAGTGTTCAAAGTCAAGCCACCCAAAGCTCCGCCGGCAAAACAACACTTGTTGCTAGGGATTCTCAGCGCAAAGTTCCGGTCGTCTATCCTGCTTTGCTTTCTCTTGTCGCTGAAATTTTTAGAGAAAAGATCTCGCTCGGTGAACGCCAAAAGAACGGCCTTTCGTACCAGAATGCGTTCTCGGGTACCGATTCTGTGGATTTGATCGGCTCCATCATCAGGACAAACGACCGCAATCTGGCGCTTCTACTCGGTCGTGCGCTGGATGCTCAAAAGTTTTTCCACGATGTCACGTATGACCATCGTCTCCGAGATGCACCCGGCGAAGTTTATCAATTCAAGGAAACAATGGGAGAGGACAAGTCCACAACTGATGTCAATGGTGTTTTCACACTCCTAACCGAATGTTATTCCCCGACTTGCAACCGGGACCAACTTTGTTATTCCATTGCTTGTCCTCGACGACTTGAACAACAAGCTCGGTTGAATATCAAGCCTCAGCCGGTACTAGGAGCAGGGGATGCCACCACCGCACCACCCGATGATGATGAAGATACTGATAACCAAAAACTCTGGATCAGCACGGTCTCGAAGGACATCTCGGATTCTGTTGATGATCGCGAGAAGAAACGCCAAGAGATTATTTTTGAGATGATGTATACAGAACGGGATTTCGTCAAGGATCTGGAATACTTGCGGGATTTCTGGATGAGACCACTGCGTGCTGCGGGGACGACAGCTCACTCGCCCATTCCTGAACATCGGCGGGAGAAGTTCATTCGGACCGTATTTGGCAACTGCTTAGAGGTCCTCAAAGTCAATAGCGCTTTGTGTGAAGCTCTGAATGCCCGGCAAAAAGAGAACGCGGTCGTGCAAACTATTGGTGATATCTTCTGCCAACATGTCCCTAACTTCGATCCATTCATCAAGTATGGTGCCAATCAACTTTACGGAAAGTACGAGTTCGAGAAGGAAAAGGCATCAAACCCGGCCTTCGCCAAATTTGTCGAGGATACCGAGCGTCTCAAGGAGTCACGGAAGTTGGAACTGAACGGTTATCTGACGAAGCCTACAACTCGTCTTGCAAGATACCCGCTTCTGCTGGAAGGTGTTCTGAAAACTACCGCAGATGGCAATACTGACAAGGAAGATATTCCGAAGGCCGTGAAGTTGATCAAGAATTTCCTCTCGCGTGTCAATGCTGAGAGTGGTAAAGCGGAGAATCACTTCAACCTTGTCCAGTTGAACGCTGCACTCAAGTTCAACACCGCAGACTATGTTGATTTGAAACTCACGGAAGAAAACCGGCAAATGCTCATGAAAATGGCTTTCAAGAAAACAACAGCCGACAGTTCTGATGTCACAGCATATCTCTTTGATCACGCTGTTCTACTTGTTCGTGTCAAGGTAGTGAACAAGCGTGAGGAAGTTCGAGTATACAGGAAACCCATTCCTCTGGAGCTGTTGGTCATCGCTCAGATGGAAGAGGTCATTCCACGATTAGGTATCGCCAAAAGACCATCGTCCAGCCTCTTGTCAAACAAAACTATGATAAACAACCCTCCTCCTGCCAAAGATGGTGGCCTGCCAATCACTTTCAGACATCTTGGTAAAGGTGGTTATGAGCAAACTCTCTATGCCACGAATTCTGCCACCCGACGAAAGTTCATTGAAGCAGTCGAACAACAACAACAAAAGCTGTGGGAGAGAAACAGCAACTTCTATAACAAGACAATTCTTAGTGAGGGCTTCTTTGCGGCGATCAACCGTATTAACTGCCTTGTCCCAATTGGTAAATGAATCCCCTCCCCCTTTAAACAGAATTTTCGCTTACCAAATTCTACCAGATGGAGGTCGGAAATTGGTCTATGGAACTGACAATGGTATATTTGTCTCTGAACGTTGGCCCAAGGACAAATCAGCCAAACCGAAGAAGGTCCTTGATGCTACTCAAGTCACGCAAATCGACACCCTGGAAGAATACCAGCTGCTTTTGGTCCTAGCGAACAAAACCTTGTCCTCCTATCCCATGGACGCTCTTGATCTCAATGAGGGCCAGAACACCTTGGCCAAACGCCCAAAGAAAATTCAAGGCCATGCCAACTTCTTCAAAGCAGGCATTGGTCTGGGTCGACACTTGGTGTGTTCGGTCAAAACATCGGCACTGTCCAGTACAATCAAGGTCTACGAGCCAATGGACAACCTGGCCAAGGGAAAGAAAAAGTCGGCTGTCAGCAAAATGTTCCAGGGTGGTCAGGATACACTCAAGCCATTCAAGGTTCGTTGTCTTTTACCATCCCTCACAACTAACTCTGTTCGGCTGTATCTAACATTCTCACGCAGGAATACTACATCCCTGCCGAGTCTTCTTCAATTCACTTCCTCCGTTCTACTCTTTGTGTTGGTTGTGCACGCGGCTTTGAAGTCGTCAGTCTCGAGACAACAGAGACCCAGTCTCTCCTAGACCAAGCAGACACGTCCCTAGATTTCGTGGCGCGAAAAGAAAACGTTAAGCCTATTCATATAGAGCGTATGAATGGTGAATTCCTCCTCAACTACAGTGATTTCTCGTTCTTCGTGAACCGCAACGGGTGGAGAGCCCGTCCAGATTGGAGGATCGCGTGGGAGGGCAACCCAAACGCATTCGCCCTCTCCTACCCCTACATCCTGGCATTCGAACCGAACTTTGTTGAAATTCGACATGTTGAAACAAGTGAATTGACGCACTTGATGACCGGGAAGAACATTCGCATGTTACACAGTTCCACCCGGGAGGTATGTTACTTGCACTCCCAGTTTCCATCCCAGCCAATACTAACCTAACCGTCCTAGATCATCTACGCATACGAAGATGATCAAGGCTACGACACCGTTGCCAGCTTAGACTTCTGGACCAACAAACCCCAACAAAATGTTTAAGGCTCGAGACGCAGCCTTCGACATCGTCATCTTCCGCTCTGATGCTGTCACCCACACGTCTCAGTCTCAGTCCCTGGATCCGACCCTCCCGACCATATCCCCCCCTCTCAACATCCACCGGGTCTATTCCGTCTTCTCTTTCTACGCAATGTACAATGGAGCGCAAATACCACTTCTTGCGTGTCTGCTTTCTTGCCTTTAGTTTCCCCTTGCCGATTGCATTCGCCTACCCCTTTGCACTCAAAACTCTACTTTTCTTAGTTCTTTCTATTTCCTTGGTTTTGTGCCCACATCACCATCTCAAGGCCTTTTCTTCTCTTCTCTCTGTATCGTTTTGAGTTCGAGGTATCTTGTCTGTTATACTTAGCAATTTCATCGTGGATGGATTCATTGCTTTTTCTGATGGATCACTTGCAGTAGGCTTAGGCTTAACTTCTTAATCTCATTGGTTTCTGTCTTTGCAATTTGTCTATGTTTAATCGGATTGTGTAAACTGTGTGAAGGATATGGTCATTCCTGGCTGCGTTGGTTATAGCATGAATTGTGAAATGAGTTGCTAGGAACATGCTTATTTGATAAAGACCCTTAATAGTGCTGAGGTCGCACAATGAAGCATATCAGGGGATATATATATGTAAAGCAATTTATATATCGCTGTTCTGCAACAATAATCTATACCCAAGTTCCAGACAAACCAACACCTAAGAGACTAACTGATTTAATTACAAATATTAGACAATCATCTCTACAACAAGCAGATTGAAGTAATACAGTACAAGGCATCTGGTCAGATACTTTTTCTTCCTCAATTACTATCGGTAGTAGGAAGACAGTCGGGGGAAAAGGAGAGATAATGAACAAGACATGAGCCACGAACGCAAAAAAACAAGAGAAGAGGGAATATTGCTGCGCTGCGGACTTTGGACAAGAGCTAGAGAAATCAGGGAAGAGGGGGAATAGAAATGATGCAGCAACAGGTCCCGGTGGCAGCTGATGTGATAAGAAAGAAAGATAAATATCACCCAACACAGGGAGAACATGGTGTCGGGGGGAGTGGTCGCCAAATGAAAAGTAGGCAGAAGGTATACCGTGGTAAGACGTGCAGGTTGATGGGCTGGCAGTTCGATATCAGATCAAAGCTTTTCGTGGAAACCAGCAAGTGGCGCGTCCGTCGTTCTGCCCGAAACGCCTGTCTATTTTGAGTTGGGCCCCCCCCACAGAGGTAAGAAAAGAAGAAAAAAAGCTATTAACGTGAATAAACAGTCAATATTATCCCATAAACAAAAGCCAAGTTGGTGCCTGAAATTCCATGGCACAAACGGTATCACATTGCGAACCGGCGCCCCGCTGAATGAGCCGCATCGCCGACAGGGTATATCTAGGCCTCTCCGTTGGCAGCTTCGTTGACATTGCCCTGGCTTTGCTGCTCGCGCTGCATGCGGGCCTCGATCTCGCGAAGCTGGCTCTCGCGAGCCAACAGCTCCTGTCGCTTCTCGGCAATCTCGCGCTGGACCTTGATTTCGATCTCGCGCAGCTTCTCCTCCTCGCGGCGGAGCTGCTCCTCCTTGAGGCGCACGGACTGAGAGGCAAGATCCTCGGGGTTCATGGAAGAATCGTGACCACTTCTATTCAATCTTTGTTAGCAACGACAACTGGACATGGGGATAGGATGAGGAAACATACTGGGAAGCACCATCGACGCTCTTGCTGAGCTTCTCAGTACGGTAGTTCTCATAGAGGAAGTCGTGAGTGATCTCCTTCAGATCAGCCAAGTGGCTGTGGAGCAGAGCACTGCGGATAGCAAGGAAGTCTGAGTGACGAGGGTTCTCAACCTCGACAACACCCCATGGGTATTGGCGTGCGCGCACTTTACGGTCATCGATCTCGACGAAATCTTCGGATCCAACAATGGCGAAAGGCATCAGTCCACGCAGCTCGGCGTTCTCCTCAACGGTGTCCTCATCATCCTCCTCAATGTCGTAGGGGAAGTTGTAGACGGGGATACGGTAGTGCTCAATATCCTCCATGATGAGCTTCTTAGACTCGGCCAATTCAGCGGGGGTGAGAGAATCGGCCTTTCCAATGACGGGGATGACGTTGACACGGGGAGACAGGCGCTTCATCAATTCGATATCGAGTTCACGCAAACCGTGACCGGTGGGTGTGATGAAGTAGAGCAGAACGTGCACTCGGTTGTCTCTGAAGCGGGGGTTACGCTTAATCCGAGACTCCTCTGCAAGAATGTCGTCATATTGGCGCTCGAGGTAACCGACGATCTCGCCGAAGCTGTTCGAGAAGTCAGTCAATGGACCGTTGTTGCTTATAGGCAAGGTCTACGTGCCTGGCCTCGTTGTCAATCTGGTCACCGAATCCGGGGGTATCGACGATGGTCAAAGAAATACGTGTTCCTTCGTCATCAAGTTCGAGCTCTGCAATGTCTCGAGTCAGTATTTTGGTTTGGTATGGGGTATGGGCGGTGCGGGGGAGGAATTCAACTGACCGACAGTCACGGGCTTAATGCGGACACCCTCCTCTAGGTGAGCATTAGCAGCATCATCGGCATCCTTGCCCTCTAGAACCTGCTTTCCGCAGAGAGTGTTGACAAAAGTTGTGCGTCCTATATAGCAAAAGGAGAATGACCTATTAGTCTCCAATTCAGAACAGGCATTGGATTGAACAGCGTACCGGTTCCACTGGCACCGCAGACCATCAAACAGAATTGAATTCCCTTCTTAACATTCTTCTTGCGACGAATCTTTAACTACCCGAAGCGAGCGCGGGCGTGTAATTAGCTTTGGTGACTTTTTTGGGTAAATGTTAGAACAGGGGAATGTACATACCGCGTTGAGGGCTGAGGACATTTTGAGCTAAAGAAGAATTAAACAAATGTAAATGAGAAAGAAGAAGTAGTTCAAAGTGAAGTAATAAGAGGAAGAGTGAAACTTGGCTCTCCTGAGAGTCTGGAGAGTGAGTTAGGGGGGGGGAAGAGAGACAGTTCGTGTTTCCCCCTTTCCCAAACAGGTGACCAATCAAAAGGTAGCTCTAAGGTCTCCAGTCTACTTAACTACTTCTTCGACTCTTTGATCTGTCACAATTGATCTGTGTACAATATTGTAATTATTGGGGAAAAAAGAAATTTAACAATTATCTATCTCTCGAGAATATTCCCCCTATCTTCCTGCATATAATTAATTTCTTGAGCTATGAAATTGTATATGAAATTGGAAATTCTAACAAACTCAGGGGTTTGGACCAGTGGGTCGCTGCTGGCCACCGTATGATTATGTAATATAGTGCCTGAGGTGTCGATGTGGATAGCTTGCCCGCATTGCTCTTATCGATATACCGGGGTCGAGATCTCAGCTTCTTACTTGGTCCAAGTCTTTGAAGTACATCTTTTATTTGAATATTGAAGGAGATTCAAGGTGTTACCTTGGGGCTATCATCTGCCGGATTCATTCTTGCTTCCAAATATGCTTCCTTGACTTCTCAACAATGAACACCCGCCAATCTATCGACGAGTCCATCGGACCATATTCATTATCAGCGACGTTCAATCATGACAACAGCTGCTTTTCAGTGGGACTGGACACAGGCTTCTGTGGTAAGAAATGATTGAATCACCCGCGGAAGCTTTTCCATACATCAAACATAGAGCTGAGGCTGATGTATGCATGGACTAGTATATAATGCCAACCCTTGCGAGCTCAAGGTTCTCAGAGGTGATTACTACCCCCATTCCAGCGATTTTGATTCAATATCAATATTCTAACTGATCAGATTTCAATGCCGGAATTGGGATCGCAGAAATGCTCGGTCAGTCAAACTATCTGGCGATTGTTGGGGGCGGAAAGAACCCTAAGTTCCCCCAGAACAAGGTATATTATCATCGCAACCAACGCAATGAGATTTAAGAGAGGCTCATGGATGCCCTTAGTTGGTCATTTGGGATGATGCCAAACAGAAAGCGGCTATCACCCTTGAATTCCGCACCTCTGTCCTAGGCGTTCGTCTATCGAAGTCGAAGATCGTCGCCGTGCTCTTGAACAGCGTTCATGTGTTTGCGTTTTCCAACCCTCCAAAGAAGCTCTCGGTCTTTGAGACCTCTGATAACCCATTAGGTCTGGCCTGCCTTGACCATAAGATACTGGTCTTCCCTGGTCGGTCCCCGGGACAGGTTCAACTGATAGAATTGGAAACTGGCAACATCAGCATCATCCCTGCGCATAGTACTCCGCTCCGTGCGATGGCCTTGAGTCCAGATGGAAAACTACTAGCAACAGCTAGTGAGTCGGTAAGGGACCCGTACGCAACGTTTCCATAGATGGATCATTAATATCTATACAGGGAACGTTGGTTAGGATTTTCGCTACTGGGAATTGCACTAAGTTGGCGGAATTGCGACGCGGTGTTGATCATGCAGTCATATTCTCAATTGCTTTTTCACCATCCAATAATCTACTGGCTGTTACATCTGACAAATCGACGCTCCATGTGTTTGACCTTCCTCACCAACGACCCATTAGTCGCCGCAGCCAGTCACCAACACCAGCATCAGAGGAAGCGACTTCGAGCCAGAAATGGGGCATCCTTGGCAAAATTCCTCTGCTTCCGCGTGTTTTTTCGGATGTTTACTCATTCGCCAGTGCACATTTTGAGATTGGCGAGGGAGCCACGCCCGGGTCATCATATGTGCCATCGAGTGGATCGTCATTTGGCCGGCCTCAAAAAGGTCTGATAGGGTGGTGCGATGACCAATCCCTCTTAGTGGTGGGGTCCGGAAGGGAAGGGCGCTGGGAGAAATTTGTGCTGCGAGAAGGCGAGGAAGGCAAGAGATATTGTGTGCGGGATGGATGGAAAAGATATCTTGGTGGCAGCTGACAGGATAATGAGATGTGACCAACCATGCCACCCCGCTCAAGATTTTTGCACAGCTAGCCACTGGAACATTTTATCTGATGCAGCTTGGGTTGTCCACAGCGTCAAGCCCAATCAGACTGCTTTCTGCTGGAGGACAATCCAATTCTTTTCAAACTTTCTTTGGGTGTTGTCAGGATTTGGCTTGGAGATAGTGAATCTTAAATAAAACACTGTCGTGGCCTTGTATATAACAAGTCATTGGTTCGAGAGTGAAATTCACAAAGTAACGATAATACCATATGTCTTTCAACGGCGACGATCATGTCTATCCCGATCAGATCGGTGGGGACGAGATTCGGGCGAGCGCGAGTCCCTCGATGGCCGTTCTCTTCTTGATCGTTCTCCTCTCTCAGATGACCGATGGCGAGAACGCCTTTCCTTGTCTGGAGAACGTTCATCCCGATGTCTCCGTTCACGAGGGGAACGAGACCGGTGTCTGCGATGGTGTCGACTGGATCGTTCTCTGCTGTCGTCACGCCGCCTAGATGACTTCTTGGAGCTTTCCCACGCCTGAATAGCAAGCGCGACTTCTTCCTTTTTCTCCTCAATAAGGAACTCCTTCATCGGGTCTTCCTCATCATGGTTGCGAATCAACTCTTGCAGCTCCTTCTCCTCTTTAAGCATTGGTCGTTGCTCTTTAATTGCCTTTCTCTGGCTGTGTCGATCCCCTTCATCCTCTTTATTCTCGCCGGCGGTTGAATCTCCCATCAACTTGGCAACATTATCTTCCTGATCCTCATCATCCTTTCGCTTGTATCGCGTGTGGTCCACTCGAAGTAGGCGGCCTAGAACAGTTGCGCCGCCGAGATTGTCCACGGCAAGATCTGTACTGCGCTGATCCTCGTATTTCAAAAAGGCAAATCCTTTGCTCTTGCCCGTTTCCTTGTCGCGAACCAAATTGACATGCACTGGCTCTCCATATTGTGAGAAGATCGCGATGATATCGCCCTCGGATAGATCAAATGGGAGACCCCCAATGTAAATGTAAGCTGTATCGCGGTAGTCTGCGTGCCATGATGCCTCCGGAGGTCTGGAACAAAAGTAAGACTGTCAGCTACCATTTAGAGAGGTGCGCATAAGCTAAGAGGACTCGAACTTACACGGCATTCTCCAGCTCACGCTTATTGAGCGCTTGAACTTGGCGAATGGAATTCATGGTTGTGTGTGTAATGTAAATGCTGGAGAAAGAGAGAAAGTTGGAGTGAAGCGCAGAAGTTGGAGAGAAGAAATGTGGAGCCCGCGGAACCGTAATAATCAATTGTTTACGCTTAACGCAAATTAGCCCCCTGCTCGATCAAAGACAGCGTCCGACACAAGGCCAACTTTCTTTTGGTGATTTGCAATTGCCTATAGGTTTTCGCGAGGCTTTCTTTCAGCTTCGCCTATCTATATCGTTGATCACCGGGATCCCCCTGACCGCGCTTCATCTCCCCTCCTCTCCACCACCCAAGATTTCCACGCGCAAATTCCTACCGCGCTGCAACGGTACAGACAAACAAAAAGGAAGGGTAGATGCCCTCTGAGGCACGGTAGGACTAGACCAGACGATGTCTTTGTCCAGTCCGAACCCAGGGTCCAAGACCACCGGAACAAACAGTCGACCGACCAGCAAAGATGGCTCTAAGAAGAACATTTGGTCTTCGTTATTAGATACCGTTGCCAATGGCAAGCGCTTACCTGAAAAAAACCTGCTGGTGCTAGGTTAGTATCGTTACCTCTGGAGCATTCCAGCCCCGCTTGACTTCGCTTTTAGACCTGATTGCTGGGATCCCCTTAGACATATCGCTAATACCTCGATCATAGGTGGTACACCGGATAGTCAAAGGGAATTCCTAGATACCTTTTCTGCAGATACATCTGCGGATCCCGCTTTAGCAAACGACAAACGAAAAGGCAAAGGGAAGATACCACCAATTGCCAATCAATTTGCGCTTGGTTACACATATCGAGATGTTCTTGATGCCGATAAAGAAGGTACTTGGACAACGTGTCTCCGTCTAGCCTCGATATGATATTAACATGCCGTATAGATACTCTGGCCCGCGTCTCAGCCTACCTCTTGTCCGAACCTTCTCCGTCATTCGCGCCTCTCCTCAAACCACTCTTGACCCCCAAGTCCGTCCCGGAAACGCTGGTTGTGATCCTGATGGACTGGTCAGACCCATGGACGTGGGTAAGAAGACTCAGAGAATGGGTTCGTCTACTACGTTCTGTGCTTGTTTCGCTTGACGATGAAACCAAAATTGTTATGGAAGAAACCATGACGGAGTGGCGCGATCGCAAGAGAGGAATGGATGCAAATAATGCGACTGCAGGCGGCCTTTCAAACTCAAGCGGCCCGGTCACAATACCTCTAGGCCCTGGTGAATGGGACGAAGGTCTTGGTATTCCGCTGTGTGTTGTCTGCCAAGGGGTATGTGGATCCCTATGAAGAGCAGGAAAGCTTGGATATATTTGCTAACTTGGATCTTTATCCTTACAGGCCGACAAGATCGAGAAATTGGAAAAAGATCATGGGTGGCATGAAGAGCAGTTTGACTTCATTCTCCAATTCCTCAGAACGATTCTTTTGAAGCGTAAGGAACTTTCGCCACCTTTTCTTCAGTCTTTTTATTTGGCTCTTTTCTGACTCCAGACAGATGGTGCATCCCTCATTTATACAACCCCATTCCTGGCAAGCTCACTTCAGGGCTTGATCCATTCTTCACTGGGCATACATTCTTTGCTGAAGAGAGAATCATTAAAACATAATGTGATTGACCGCGACAAGATCCTTGTACCAGCAAACTGGGACTCGTGGGGTAAGATTCGAATTATTCGTGAGGGTTTCGATATGGAAGGAGTGTCGACAGCCTGGTCAATTGAGATACAAGACCCCCCCGAGTCAATCTACCAAACCACAAACAGCACCCAACAAAGCGAGAACGGTCTTGCAGAAGATGGGACAAGCGCTGTAACTACATTCGAGCAGACGATCCACGACCCCAAACAAGGCACAGTCGGCGCCAACCCGAACGGAAGCAGCACCAAGATCGAGATCGAAACCACTGACCTCCAAGATTTCTTCGCAACTCAAGTGGATATCCTGGAAGACCTCAAGGCCAAAGACGAAAATGAGAACAAAACCCAGCAAACTCCACAACTGGAAATGTCGCCCATGGCCGACGAAGGCAAAGTCAACGAACACATCGGCCCTGTACAGTTCAACATGGGCGGAATCCAAGTGGACGCCGACGATATGCTGAAGAAGCTCCGGGTAAGCAACAGACGAGCAAGCCGTCGCCACCCCCAAACAGAACTTGACTAAACAATTTCATTTCCCCAGGATCGCGAAGCCGTTCGAACCCAAAAGAAGGAGACTACCCCATTCCAGCCTGGCGGCGACGACAAAGCGCACAACCAGGCCCTGGCAAACTTCTTTGCAGGCCTTGTCAAGAAGCCGGGATCGAGTCCCCGGGGAAGCCCCTCGGCTTGATTTATTCTTTTCTCACTGTATTTTAGTTTGTGCGTACATAATACAGAAGCCGGCTCGCCTTTGGTGATAGGTTGAGTTGTTGGAGGTATAGATGGAGAAACAGCTATGGAGTCCAATGGCTATGGCGAGAGAGCCGCTCTGTGATTACCCCGGGAGCGGAGGGAGGTCCTATGGCTTTTCGGCAGGTGTTAGATAATGATACCAATATGAAGTCTGATTTGTTATTACATCTACTCCCGTGCGAGAATGCGGGACATGGCACCAATAATCTTTGTAGAATTGGTACATTTAATATTAACACTAAGCTGCTAGGTTGTTTTACTATTCAAAGTTGCAGAGAGTGAATATACAAACCACGCAATTCTCGGTCCCCATGCTGGGTCGAGATCACCAATTCTCCCAAACAGAATCAGGCAGCACTTTTCTCATGATAGACCAGTGCGCCAGTGCACTGCGATCCTGGTACTTGTGCAGTCTTTTAGCCTCCTTGTCCACGAGTAGCCGTCTGCCGCCCTTAGGCCACGAGGCAAACATAGTAGGGTCGAGCTCGTGCGTGGGAACAAGATAGCTTTCACGAGACTTGCTGCGCAGGTAGTCCGCCGGGATGGGGTCGCGGAAGCTAATCTGTCCGGGGGTCTTCTTGCAGAACAGGACCATGTTGGTAAATTGAGCGTCTTCTTCGTCGCCGGCGGGTGCTTCGCGGAAGATGCGGCAGGATGGGAAGACGGCTTGGATGGTGCGGACAACAAGACCGGTTGGGTAGAGAGTCAAGTCACCAGCGTAATTCTAGGTTATGTTAATTAGTGCGCGGTTCTCGTGGACCTTGGGGTGTAGGTGGGACTCACAATGGCGATTACACCGTCTTCCTTGAGGAGAGAGTGGAGGCCTGAAAGGAACTCGTACGTGAAAAGTTCAGCTGGTTCGGCACCACCGGTAAACACATCATGAACGATGTAGTCATATTGGGGTGAGTTGGAGGAAGATTCAGCCTTTTTGACAAATTTGACAGCGTCCTCAATCACGGGGATGTGGTTCGGTGGAAGGTTGAAGTACTGCGTGGCGAACTTGTGCACGACAGGGTCAATCTCGACAATGGTGGTCTCAATGCCGTGCTTGATCAGTGCAGAGGGCGTTGTGCCAATTCCAAGGCCACTGTTTCAGTCAGTCAAGTACTTTGAAGATTTGAACGGGTTCTTACATGACGAGTGCCTTGCTGTCTGCATCAACACGGGGGACGCCGTGATCCGGCTCAACCAAACGAACAGCCTCGAGCATAGCAAAGATTGCATAGATAGGATCTTCCACATCAGGACGGTAGCCTGGTGTTTTCTTGGTCCACTGGCCGCCAAGTAGACTGTGATCGCAACGCATAACGCGGAATCCATCATTTTCGTTCTCCAGTACGGAAATGTACCCCGTGTAAGCTTCTTGTCGCGCTAGAAGGGAGTACCCTTCATTCGCGATAGCAGAATTTACGCCGTTGATGCCAGCAAAGTGGACGTTGGAAGTCACCGAGAACAGGATGGAAGGAATAGCCAGGACCAACCACTTGGATGGGATGATTGCAGAGTAGCAGGCAGCAAGAATCATCTGCATGCCAACTCTGGTGAACAAGAAAGTAGTTCCAATAACCCAAGATAGAAGGGTTGTGGCAAAGTGTTCGCCGATGGAATAGAGCACATATGTGCCAATTAGGGGCACATGCTCAACTACCAGGTCACCCTGCGCCTCGAGTCTCAGGGAAGCCTGGATTTGTTTTCCGGCATAGGCCACCGTGAGCAGAATCAATGGATAGTAGCCGCACAGTTCCGTGATGACTGGGCCCGTTGGGTTGCCGATCTTAGAGCTTTGCTGCTTGATCAAGTACTGAATGGTAGGAACCCAGAATGCCAACACAGGGAGCAAGTAACCACCGAGACGGCCGAGACGCTTCATGATCTTGTCCTTCAACAGCCATCCGAGTCCGCCGGAGATGGCCACTCCAAAACTATGGAAGATCTTCGAGGGGAGATATCCATATGTTGGAGACAGGACCAGCTTCGAAAGGGGCGAATAGAACGCAAGCAGGACAAGCAAGGCCATACCGGTACCGAAGCGCCGGCGATCGACCTGCCGCAGTAAGTCCTCGAAAGACATGATATCTAGCTGATGCGGTTCGAGATATAAGTGGCTAGTACATGCGGGAGTGGCCAAAAGCGTATCTGCAAGCTTGTCAGTATTTTGACACCGTGCCCTTTTTGCTCTTCTTGCAAGAAATATCCAAAGCTCAAGAAAATCCAAATATTTCCAATCAAATCATTGACTTACTCGTTCAGGCCAGATACACCAAACAATCTCCGTCCAGAGAAAAAAGTTATTGCGGAGAGCAATCACTTTTGCCGCCACATTCCGCGTTCCAACTTCATCCTCTCCACCTTCTGAAACAACCATGCCCCATTTCCCAAAAGACTCGGGATTCCCGGACAAAAGTCCTTCAAGCCATGCTGTCACAGTCAAAAACCGTCGCAAGCGGTATCTGGACTTACACCCAGAATACTACTCAGCGGAGCTTGAGCTAGCCGGTCCGCCTGCTCTTTTCTCTCCCAATGCCAGCTGACCATAGTGCGCTCCACGCCTGAAAAACGTATACCAGGCGCCGGCTGGCATAGAATAAAGTATCCAACTAATGCTAATCCGGTTTAACTTTACAGACCCATTGCTATACGACCGCCTTATCCGCCGATTCCAAACGCCACAAGAAAGAGAAGCCGCGGGGCGAGCCAAGGGGTTCTCCGGCGTGCTGCAGACAGATATCATGCGCTCTGAGGCGAGAATGGATGCCATCTCTCATCCGGATCCGCATGCTATGATGAGCTATACCCGCGGCCCGGATGGGGAGATCCTCGCTGAGGACCGTGATGATATCCCCCCGAGCAAAGAAGAGGGCGAGCGGCTTTGGCAGTGGGAGATGGGGCTGCGGTTCATGCAGGGTAATGACCCGGATTTCGATTACAAGATTGTTGATGAAGATGAGGAACTCGATGATCACGCCGATAAGGTAGATGAGTATTTCGAGGACGAGGAGCCTGAGTGGGTCGTCGATAATGCTTCCGGGGAAGATGTGCGTGCGAATCTCCAGGGCGAGACTGGCGTTCAAGATTTTTGAGCTTGTTACGCTTGAGATATGGCAAAGTGGATTTCAATTGGTTCTGCGCCTGCTGTTTGTCTGTCAAATGTATTTATCAAAACCTATGATTTAGCCCATTGTTAATTGTATGACTGTACGACTCTTCTATGTGCATATGTCAATATAGGTCATGTATTTACAGGTTTTACTCGATGGCATAAACCGCCAATTATGCAGCGCTTTTTGCCAAAAGTTCAATGGCCTTTTCCTTCAGCTTGAACTTCTGAATCTTCCCACTTGCTGTCTTCGGGAATGATTCCAAGGGCGATAAGAAAAACACGTGCTTTGGAACTATATGCGAACAAAGGTTAGCTGTGTTGTAAGTCGGCCCGGGTGATAACTTACCAAGATGGTTGCTAAGCTTCTCGCGTACCCATTGCTGAACATTCTCAGCAGTGATAGTCTCTGTGTCTAGCTCTCGAGCTACTACAAAGGCAGCTACGGCCTCGCCATATCGCACATCGGGAACACCAACAATGGACACATCAGCAATGCCATCATGTGCGAGCAAGCAGTTCTCAATCTCTAGAGGGTGGATGTTCTCTCCTCCCCGGATGATCAGATCTTTGATTCGTCCGGTGATGGTGATGTATCCATCTGGTGACATGGCAGCTTCATCTCCAGTCTAAAACGCGAGTTTAGAGAGAGGCCCGCGTACGATGGAGATTAAATGAGAAGACTTACATGCATCCAAACCTTGCCAGTATCATCTGGAATCATGACCTCCGCCGTCTTTTCAGGGTCACCCCAGTACTCTTTCATAAGCAAGTACCCACTCACAGCCAACTCACCCCGAGACCCTATAGGCAAGATCTCGCCCTTGTTCTCTGGGTTTACGATCTTTGCCTGAACATGCGGCATAAGCTTTCCGACGGAGGTGATCCTCTTATCAATAGGATCATCTGTGGTCGTCATAGCCGACACGGGACTTGTTTCCGTCATACCATAGCAGATCGTCAATTCAGTCAAGTTCAATACCCGGTGCAGCTTCTTCATTATCTCAGATGGAATGCTACTTCCAGCAGCGATGCCCGTCCGAAGATGCTGGAAACCCTCGCGGGGGATTTCTCCCGTCTCAATCAAGCTGAGCTCTTCAAGGAACATGGTCGGCACACCGTATAGCGCGGTGCATCTTTCTTCTTGGACTGCCATCAGCGCGGCGCGCGCATTGAAGGATTCACTCGGAAACACAATGGCCGAGCCGTGGGTTGCTGTCGCCATATAGCCCAAGATGCAGCCAAAGCAGTGAAACAGCGGGGGTGGGCAACAGACGATGTCATCCGGTGTGAGGAGCATGCGATCACCGATCTGGGAGCCATTGTTCAGAATAGAGCGATGGGTAAGACATGCTGCTTTGGGCATTGCAGTTGTCCCGGATGTGAACTGGATGTTCACAATATCATGTGGGGACAGATCTCGTGGAGGAAGCGAGTGCCCGTCTGCGGTAAGATGGGACATAACAGATGTAAATGGGGTCAAGCTTTTATAAGACGATGTTTCTAGACGGCCCTTGGAGTTGTCGACCACAATGACCTGCTTTAGTGAAGGGACTAATGAAGACTCCAAGCTCGAGTTGCAAAGGTCTCCCACAAGTTCCTCGAGTAATGGAATGTTACTCCGTGGGGTTTGGCGAGGAAGATTAGACTCTGTGCTGATTATAAGGTGGCTAGACTCCAGATGACCCAAAGCCGCAACAACTTGTGCAGCTTTGAAAGACGGATTGAGAGGGACCTAAAAAGCATCAGATTTAGGACCTCAAAACTACGAGGGGTATAGCTGACCAGAACGGCACCGATTTTGAACAAAGCGTATGTTGTCTGTCCAATAGTATCAGCCTTTCAATTCCACCTTTCAATTCCACCTGGTTTCAAAGGTTCAACATACCACCGCGTATTCCATTGAGTTGCCAAGCATGACTCCTACTCGCTCCCCCTTACGGACACCCACAGACTCCAATCCCCGGGCGAGAGCATTGCTTCTTGTATCCAAAGAAGCATATGTGACTCGATCGCTTTGATGTCTCGAAATAACACTAAATGATATAGTTAGTAATTATGGGACTCAATTCCTCAAAGATGTGGCTTATGTTCACGCTGTTCTGTCTCCGCATTCTGCCACAACCTTAGCAAAGTGTGCGCCGACTGTGGACTCAATCAAGGGGGGCTATATCGAGGAAAGGCAGTGTAAGTAATATGTTCTGCTGTGCTGTATGTACCTTCTTCTGGATCAATTCATAGATCGTATATAGACTTACACTTGATGGACCTCGAGCATAGCTCTCGGTCAGCAATCCTCTTTTCTTCAAGATAATAGCTTCATATATTTTCTTTCTTCCAAGCCCGACTCGCCGACAAGCCAGATATCCTCGTCCAAATCCCATGAGTGCTCCGCTGTAGCTCATATCTGTATAAACCCAATTGCGTGCGATTACCGAAGCCTCATGGCTATTTTTGGGTATTTGACAATGTCAATGTCGATAGTAATTATTGAATAGTGGATAGTGGATAGTGGATAGAAATAAAATCAAGATAGTACAACGTACAGTAGCAAAAGAAGAAGAAGGAGAAGAAGGGGAGGGAAGCTTTCCCCGCACGCAAACTGCGGGGTGCGGATACGGCCGAGGGACTGCATTGTTTTTCTTATGCACATTCTCGTTCCTGTATTTGGAAGTGCTAACAACTTGGGCATTCGATTTGTGTATTTAAAAAATCCAAATTCAAACAAGTCATCATTTATTAACCTATACAATTTGCCTACTTCTTCTTACTCTTCTTACTCTTCTTACCCGTCTCGCTAATACAGTTCCAATGACCGCAAGCACATTTCCTCCCTCTGCCCATCCAATAACCATCACCATAGTCCAGAGTGATTTCTTCAAAGGCATTAATACGACGGATGGCTTCCACTGTGGTCACAACTCGGTCTCCAATAGTGCGGACCGCGAACTGCGTTGAAGGTTGGCAAGAGTGATTGATGAAACGAGTCCAATTGCCATATCGGTGGGGTGCAACGTAACACAGCATATCGTCATCGGCATATCTTTTTCCATAATGAAGATCGCCGTCAGCACTCTGCTTCAGTGGGTATATAGTGTCAGTGGGTTCTTCAAGAAGCTCGCCAGCGAATACATCAAGAATGTCACCGCGTTCGAATTGCGCCAGCCCTCGAATGCCAACGCCCTTGTCTGGGTATTCAGTCAGCTCAATCATATCTCCTGCCCGGGACTGCAAGGTGCATCCGCAAGGAGACATGCTTCCGCAGAGATAACAGCCTTGTTCCGAGTTCTCGAAGGACTTAGCCGTGGGGTCGAACGGGTATCGGCTACGTGAGAAGTTTTTGGGGTTATAGATACTCTCATCAATGTGTTCCTGCAAGTGACCCTCGAAGATGGGCTCTCTCAGGCCGCCATCGAGAGTGATAACGGTATGGTGGGGGTGGTCGATCTTCCAGTCCAACCGGCTTTCAACGGCTTCCTTTACCGATGGGAGACCTAGGATGGGATCCCGTACCTTTTGAATAAGGCTAGTCCAGTCCAGTTGGCGGCTATGCACATAGCTTTCGATGCTGAGAGCGTTTTCCTGGATTCTCCGGAGAAGACAACCCCAGAGCCTGAAGTCAGCCTCTCTATATGCGCGGCGGAAGACCTCTGCATGGGCACAGATGGCAAGCATCTTCCATCCGATTTGTGAAACGAAAGAGAAAAACCTGTTGTCAGGCTCGAGGGCTTGGAACTCACCATGTTCCTTTTTGAAGGACTCTACAGAGGCCAAGTAATTGCCAAATTCCTTTTCCATGAATTCCACCGTATTGGCCACCTGGTTGGCGTAGACCTGTTTGGAGTGGTCATCGGCGTTCGCGGTACGCCGGAAGTGGCCTAGAATATTGTGGTCATGGTAAATGGATGAGAGGATTTGCCGGGCATAGTGTTCTGCTGTTCCCATGAGTGCGGCTTCGGAGCCGAAGGGGGGGAACAAGTCGAGCATTTTCGCGGAGAGAGTGGGGTTAACATTGACAGGGGCCATTGTTGCATTGGATTGAATGAGACAAATGAGGAAGTGTTTAGAATGAGAAAAAAGGAATTGCTATATTGTTGCTGGTTGCTATGTTGCTTGTGGTTCTAAATGTTTAATGAATATTGGATGAGAGGAGTCTTTATACTAGGTTGCCTCGACCGACATTCATTCGAATGCCATTTTTTATTGGTGCTACTTGTTATAGACATAAATAGCATAATGTCGTAGAGAGATGAAGAAAGCCATTATAGCATTTGAAAGGGATATCTATCTCGAAATATATATCTTTGTTGACTCGACTTGGGGCTTTGAACTTGACGAAGTATGAATGAAAGAGAACGGAAAATTTGACACAAGTTTATTAGAACTCCAAAATGACATACAAAGATCAAAGAATTACAACACATCCACAAAGAAAAAGAGAAGTAGTGAGTGAAACAAGTACACCCGGGGCAACTGTACAAAGACGACGACTAAGCGGAGATATGCTTGGCGTCATGTGGTGGGGAAGCTCCAATGCGACAATCTTCACCTCTCATTTGGCTTCTTCTTTCAGTTTGCTGATTGAGTCGCTTTCTCTTTTTATACTTGGTCAATATGGAACCCACTGAGGAAGCTATTATAAGCTTCATTAACTTCACAAGTACTACACGCGATCAAGCCATCGCCTTCTTGAAGGTAATCCCCCCGTTGTTTCCCTAAGGCCCCAACGGTTCTTATCAAGTAATAAACTAATGTTCTTGAAGGCAAACAATCTAGATTCGCAAAAAGCCATCAATGCATATTTCGAAGATCCCTCAGGACCGCAGCCACAGGTATGCCCAGCAACGCGCAACAACCACCTTTATCCTAACACCTTGAAACAGGCTACAGGATATTACAATGATAACAAAGGGTCTGGTGAGTGACTTGCCCTTGATGCGAATAATGTTCAGAGATTAACATGCCCCCTATCTAGCATGGGACTTTGCCCAAGATAATGAGCCACCATTACCACCATTACCAGCGACAGCTCCGCCCTCCCGCCCTCCTTCCCGAATAGATAAACGCGACGCGGAACAAAATACTAGAACGCAAGGCTCCGGGGCCAGCGCCTCGAAAGGTATCGTCGTCTTGAGATCTCAATCGCAATACACGTGCTGATCAGGTCTTGTTTGACCGACACAGAAGGCTCAGGACAAGGCTTAAGCATAGCAGAACGCGAGGAAAAGGAACTTCAACAAGCAGTCGCTATGTCATTGGGCTCGCGAATGGGACAACAGGAAACCGGCGTGACGTCAAATAGCCACTCGCAACTCAGCAAAGCAACCCGGGATCACTACGAACAAGACGCTTGGGCGATGACTTTATTTAACTCAGAAGAAGTTATCAATAGCCCCGAGCCAGAAGACCGCAAGAGAGTAGAAGGCGAGCCCGCTTTCATCCGCCCCAATCCTGACGGCATCTACCTAGGAGGTTTCTTGACAATTCTCCATAACATCCCTCTCGCACGCGAAGCTCTTCTCCTGCGTAACAAGCCATTATTCGACTACGGTCACGAACCACAGTGGTGGAATGGACAGGCGATCAATCTGCCGAAGATCGTCACGGTGGAGGATGGCACGGATACGCACAGTGACTGGGAAGATATAATCCACGAGACCCAGCGATTGATGTCTTTTATGGATTCCACAAAGCGCGCATTCGGCAGCAGCGACAGTCTCACCAAGATCAAGAGCATGTCACCCAAGGCGACTGACTCCGAGGATGTTGTTACTAGGTTTATGGAAGCGTGGTATGGTGCGGCTATTAAGGCAGACCCCGACAACCCATTGACGACCATTTTCACGTCCCACGCATTTAAAAAAGAACTCGGCGTATATGATGAGCCTGAAGGCCAGGAACTCTTTGCTTTCGAGCCTCCCGTTGAGAAGGACCATGACCAAACTCTCTATGAAGTGTTGGATGCGGTTTTGTGGGCTGATAGGCCTGGACAAGAGCTCGACGACACATGGATTGAAAACTTAGCAGAGGTGCTGGTCATCAAGCTCGATGCATTCCGCAAGCCAAACCCGGTGGACGTGGAAATTCCATCTGTGTTTTATCCAGATCGATATCTTAGCGGCTGCCGAGAGATTGCTCGCGAGTTCCGCTTGAAACGACAGCAGATTCAAGGGGAGGTTTTGAAACTTGAAAAGCTCTTGAAGGGCTACAACTACCCCGAGGGATTCTGGAGTACCATGTCAACCAAGGAACTTTTTGAGAAGGCAGCTGAAGCAGTGATTTCATTGGAGCCAGAAAAAGCGAGCGGTTCTGAGCCCAACCCAGAAGCCACGAATGCAGAAACATCCCGGATTACCGAAGAACTGAAAGCAGTCGCTCACAAGATAGACCTCAGACTCAAAGGTTAATATAGGCGTTCCCATCTTGGTCATATGTTAAGGCTAATAACTCGGGAACAGAACTGGAGCAACGAAAGCAGAGTGCCGTGAATTCTCTCCGTGAGGTTTCCAAGACTCTTACAGAACCCCCCAAATCACCTTCCGAGCCTCCAATTTACAAGTACACACTGCGAGGCTTGTGCACCCAACCGCATGTGACTTACGTTTTGTCGGACCCCAATACAACCGCAGGGGACTTAATGCAAATGGATAGCGAACCTCGCGACGACTACCAATGGTGGCGTATCAGCTTCTCGGCGGAAGATGGAAAGACCCGACAAGCCGAGAAAAAACAGTCGCAGGGCACTACTGCAGCCACCCAGGGTGGCGACACTGTGGGCTACACTATCCGGAAGGTGTCGGAGATCGATGTGCTCCGAGCAGCCCGTGAAGAGTGGGGATCTGTCTTGCTCGTTTATGCAAGCGAGAATGCAATGAATGCACAAGTGGATCCTGCACCCCCACAGCTCCAGGTAAGATACACCAGCCTAGTGTGTTCTTTCTTTCACAACTTCCGACTAACCGAAAACAGAGCTTTGTGCATAGAGACAACGATGACTTTGGCACCGAACTTGAACATACACCCACCATCATCATTAGCGACCAAGAGGATGCCTGGGCCTCGCCGAGCATGGTCGAAACGAAACACAACGAACAGCCTCAGATGTCTGAGAAGAGTGCACAGGTCAACGTATTCGACTACGAAGTTACTGACTTTGACGATGAAAAGAATCCCAATCAAGAGATGCAGGAACGAGGAAGTGCGAGCCTCCGCGGCAATGGCGGTGTTTACAACACCGCGGCACCCGAGGAACCCGATGCTGACTCTCAATGGAACCATATGGACGAGGAGGATACCAACGCTCATATTGAGCATGCAAAGTAGCATTGATGAAGCATTCCAGGAAAGAAAGCCCGACATGAATGATGAGTGAATGAACTGTAGAGTAGCATCAGGCCCAGTCAATACATTTCCGGCTATCTATCGAAGAACATTTCAAATTTCAAATTTCCAAGCAATAATCCCATCAGAAACATCTACACGCCACGGCATATTTTCCGTGTAAAGCGGAGAACCGCGGACTGTCAACAAACCGATAAGCTCAGTCCCCACATTTTGCCATGTTTGCACTGACCTCACGAAGCTCCTAGCCCCAATTCTCAATCGCCAAAACAATCAACCCATAGATCTTCACCAACAGACCATGTCTACTGAAAGTGACGCCGTAGCCGGCGCAACCATCGAACTCCTCGAAGAACGTCTTCGCCGCCTCACATACCTCCTCACCGGCGCCACAGACTGGACCGGTGTCCCCATCACGCCCGAGAAACCCACGACTCTCGACGACACCGTCGCCCGCCGCCTAGCACGTCTAGAATCAGAACTAGAAAAGCTCAGTCGAGCCGTTCCCGCCGTACGGGACATTTTGCAACTTCGTATGACTTTACACAACCCATCTCACCTCTACATCTCCAGTCCCAGTCCCAGTCTCCAATCCTAATCCTGTTGACACTCCCTACAACACTATACCAAACCCCGAACAAAAAGCAAAAGCAAAACTAACAAAACCCACTCAGACGACCGAAACCCAGACCTCTTCCAAAAAACACCAACCCACGATATTCCCCCGGGCCTAACGCCCCAAACCCTCTCCTCAATAGTTCTGTCCTACGCAACCGCATTCCCGGAAACATCATCCCGCCTGACATCGCTCAACGACCTTCCCGTACCAGACGCGCAAAGCTCGGCCTCGTTAATTGAGCTGCAGCCGCAAATGGATCGGCTCGCGGAGCTGCAGACGGCGCAGGCGAAGCAGATCTCGGAGTTGAGGGTGCGCTCGGCTAGGGTGCTGCAGAGGTGGTATGAGGTGGGCCTTGTGGGGAGTGGGGAGGTTTGGGCTGAGTGGGAGGGGAGGATTGAGGGTGTTGAGAGGGAGATCAAAAGGGTGGAGGTTGGGAGGGTAAGAAGGGAGGAGGTTTAGAGGGGTTTGGGTCTACACTAGGACTTATGATAGATAGAGTGTGGCTTCTAGGGTTGAGTGTTTGTGATTTATGATACCCTGTTGCGATGGTTCTTGGAATTGAGTGGTGCCTTCGTTGGTTCATACTGGCTTTTCTTGCCTTGCTGGTTATGTACGTATCATGTATCTATTTCAATTATCGATGTCGATGTGGCGTGGGATCGATCTGATCTTCGGCTCTTGCCGAAATTTGATACGTTTCAAATTTGATTAACGTGCATATGTACCTATTATCTATATGAGCTACCGCGGGGTTTTGCGATTCGGTGTACTCATTTCGTGGGAGATCGACTGTATCTCGTTGCATCTCGCATTCTAGGTAGTTGGAATGCGGGATTTTACCCCAGATTCCTGCGAATCCGGAGAGGGAATGTTCCAAGTGTTTGGAGTGCCATAAAGGTTTGGGCCGTGGGTGTTTTATGGACATTTCACTGGCATATGTGGAGTACATGTCGAGTAGGGTTAGATTGTAGGCACGTGTACTCTGTACTAGATATTGAACATGAGGATTGGAATGCATACCTGATCTGTAGAAGGTGGTATGTAGATTGTGTAGGATACTCCGTACTTTGTAACGTAATATGGACTACAACGTATGTACGTTAAGCACATTTCGAACACAACCAAACTTAGTACGAGGCGTGACGATCCAGCCTGTGGGTCATACGTGGAGTCCCAGTTTCAGGAAATTAGGGAGTCCAGAACGTTTGAGAATTGATTATGGGGCATTGGTATTTAAATATTATCTAGGGTCATTATTTTAAAGATTTGAGACCTACTAAACTAATAGTTTACTACTAATATCATACTAATAGAGTACATACACTAGGGCTAACATGTATACTTTAGACCTTACGTAGACGGTGACTAAGAGTGTATATTTATAGATTCTCTCACATCAAGTCCATTGGAAGAATATTGATTGAATTATCAAGACAATAGAATACGCAGAATGTTCCTACAATAAGATCAGTTGCAGAATAGAATCTAGACTAATTACAATGAAAATTGTTGATCTGCTATTGGAATTTAATTTCAAAGGAATCGAGACCGTCGATTTCCAGGGGTGCGTGTGCCGGACTCCACTGAATACCTGGCACTTTTTCCCTCCTTTTCGCATGTTACGCTACACTTCTCTCTCTCTTTTCTTCTCTATACTCTCTTCCTCTTTCAACTTTCGGTCTTAACTGTCATTCGCTCTTTTTTTTTCTCTTCTATATTCTCGGCTTAGTACATTCCTTTTTTTCTTCTTCTTTTCTCCAGCCTGGTGCTGTTTTCACCTCTCTGTAAGGGATCCTTTCTTTGAATCCCAACCTCTTCACCCCGCGGATTGTCTCTGAACCCACTTGGTTCTGTCTCAAGGTACGTTCCTGCCTAGTCTATAGCCTATAGGTTTCCCTTTCTTAAATTCTTATGTTCCTTACACATGTATCGCTCGTTCCACGCTGACCAACACAGTCGCTATTTCCGTCACTCATTCACCACGGCTGTCAACATAAACAACACTTATATACAACCTGGGAACACCACTTGCAACCCTCCTTTTCAAAACACAATTCATGACATCCACCCCATCTTCATTCCACAAATACAATTCTACACACACAATGGGCAAATTCAGACCTAGTAACATCCTTGGCGACCCGTTCGCGCTCGCGACCGTCTCAATCTCCGTTGTACGTTTCGCTTTCCTCGACGCGCTCTCGTACTCGTGGACCCAGCTAATAGAATTCTATAGTTGGCATGGCTCATCGCCTTCATCTCATCGATCATTGCCGATGTACAAAAAGCACAGTACCCCAACTACTCTTGGTGGGCCAACTGCTACATGTTCTGTGTTATCATCGGTCTGATCACGACCTTTGGTACTGACACAGGCCATGTCTATGGCGTCGCAGTATGTTTACCCTATTGACCTCAATCATATTGATATTAACATTACTCCAGATTGTCGGCTACCTCGGCTGTGGCTTGGTCCTGACCTCCCTAAGCGCCAACAACCTGATCTACGAAAATCAAGGCTCAATGCAAGCAGCGGGTGCAGGCTTCATCCTCCTCTCAATGATCATTATTATTTGGATCTTCTACTTCGGCTCAACACCCCAAGCAACCCACCGCGGCTTCATCGACTCCTTCGCCCTGAACAAAGAACACCCTGCCGAGCCATCCTCCTACCGCGGCAGCCGCCCAATGTCTAGCGCATTTGGCGCCCGACCAGAAACCATGGCCACAAGCACCACTCCCCAGATGTACACCTCCGCCCAACTAGGTGGTTTCGAGACCTCCTCCCCCGTCTCCGGATATCCAGGCGGAGCACCCGGCGCCGAACGATCCTCTTCCGCCCCTCGCTTTGGAACCCCAACCGCCAATACCCCTGGTAACGGCAACGACCAAGAAGCTGGCGAAGTACCCCAGCCAACCGATTACCCGTACCGGGCGAAGGCAATCTACTCATACGACGCCAACCCGGAAGACGCGAACGAGATCAGTTTCGCTAAGCATGAGATCCTCGAGGTGTCTGATGTCAGTGGACGATGGTGGCAGGCTCGAAAGCAGAATGGAGAAACTGGCATTGCGCCCTCGAACTATCTGATCCTTCTGTGATCGCGGTCCGTATGCATGATGTCTACTTTTCTTGCTGTTTTTCTGCTCTGTTTCGAGTTTCTTCCTTTGTCGTTAAATCTGTTTACTTGATACCCTTCGGATCCTACCTCGATGTGTGTGTATTTTCTGGTTCTAACGTGATGTCTTGATGGCCTCCTTTTTGTTTACATGTTTTCCGTTCTCGGCACGTATGCTTTTCCTGTGACGGTTCTTTTTTTACAGTTCGTGATTTACTGAGCGGGTGGTTAGCCCGCGTCCTTGTTTCATTGTGTGGTCTCAGTGTGTTATTCTTGCTAGTCTGTGGAATATTGGCTTGCAATTGACGTCTTGATTCTGGAAAGCTTTGAAAGCATGGAAGAAAAGTAACATGTGAGAATATGTTTGTTTCTACTGTGTGAGAATTATGCCAGTGCAAATTCACTTCGATGTTTTCTTGTAACCTGAAGACTTGTTGGCTTGAATAGAAGTATTCAGACTCTCAGTACTAAAAAGTAAAATTCGGCCTGTCAAAAGGCTATGCGGGTAGCCACGTGTGGTATGTACGTCGGAGAATTGATAAACAATCCATTGTCCTCTCTTACCACATATGTACATACAACTGAATGTAGGTATATAACTACATGTGTATAGTATAAAATCCATCCCCAGACCCCATTTTAATGCCCGTTTTATTCAACGGCTCATCGCCCCTCTACCCCCACCGCACGATCCAGGTCATTGCGTATCAGATCGGCAAGATAAAAGCCGAAGAGAATAAGAAACCCCCAACTCCGAAGGTCGAAGCACCTTCTCCATTTATTACCCCCTCTAGTATTAGCTCCACTCCCAATATTCCCCTCTCTCCAATAAGCATCGCAAACCCTTGTTCTGGCAGACCTTGAGCCCGGTTTCCCGACCCCAGAGCGGGGATTTGACCTTCGATTAGCTTGTAATTATATGAAGAAACGAATCAATAAACATACCCCATTCCCATCATATTCATTCCTTTCTACCGTTGTTGAAAGACGATAGAACTCCCAGACAATCTGGTAGAGTTCTCCCAGACCTAAATACTAGTCACGGCCCATGAACTAATGCAAGACCCCTCGATCAAGAACCAATCCTAACCAGGTCTCCATCTGCATCAGACTTCACCGCTGCTTGCTCCTATCACCGTGGTGCGTTGCATCTCTATCACTCCTGCTATTGGCTCTTCTTCTCTTCCATCCTGTTTCCTGCACCGTGCTTTTGCTGAATGCGATACCGGGATGCATGACCGTTCCAACCAAGGCCTCTGGGAATCCCTCGTAGTCTCTGCTAGACGCTGTGTTCTGCATCTCATCACTGAAAACTGAGAGCTGGCCCGGGATATTTGACGGACATCTTTCACTGATTCGCGCTAGAATTACTCCCGTTCGTGCCTCGATCCGCGTCTATCTACCCAGACTGGTAGTTGCGTTGCGCCGTGTGGAGTATAAGTACTAGCCCGCATTGCTGGCTACGTTGAAAGATATCTATCTGCTCTTATTCGGGATTTTCTTCTTCTTGGGCCTTCAGTCGAACTATACACGATATCAGTCGTTCTCGTAATTACTAAAATATAATTACTTCGCCTGGCAGATCAACCTCGACCACCACACACAGCAAACCAAATGTCCTCAGGAAACGTCACCCTAGCATCGAATGTCCTCGGCACAATCGGCACAATCCTCTGGTGCATCCAGCTCATACCGCAAATATGGTATAACTGGCGACGCAAAAAGACTGACGGATTCCCCGCTACAATGATGTTTCTATGGGCAAGCTGTAAGACCAAGCCTCCCCTTTATTATTGAGAAGTTATGGTTGTTTGATGCGGACATAATCTATGAACTACGTTCCCGACGTAGAAGGGAATAAAAAAAAACCAAACAAACATGTACTGGAATTGGGGTTTGCTGATAACTATGATTAATCCATGCAGGCTCGGTTCCAATGGGCGCGTATCTGATCCTGCAGGTTGGTGGATTCATCCAATTATCCGCGCGGGGGCTTCGGTATCGTTTGGATATGTTCTAAGCTGACCGCTAGATTGCTAGCAAGTGAATATCCCATTACAGATCCAGCCGCAGATGTTCGGGTTCTTTTCTCTTGTTGGGTGGGGTCAGATTCTTTATTATAACCAGTGAGTTGGGTCGTGTTATGTGATTGCTATAGCTATAGTCAGATGTCTCTGTCTCGATGCGATGCTGATTTGGTGCAACAGTGACTATAGCAAAACCAAAGCCATATCGTTATGTTTGGCTATGATTGTTCTATTTGGAGGGTTGGAAGCCCTTCTCATTCTTACGTTGAGGGTATGGTCTCGTCTGCAGGTTTTGCCCCATGTCTAATTGGAAGTTGCAGATACCATATAATAAAGGCGTGACATGGCCCGATATCTTGGTTGGCGTTGTAGCCGCTCTTCTCATTAGCGCCGGCCTGATCCCGCCATATTTCGAGTTGTGGAAGAGAAATGGGCGAGTGATCGGATTTAGTGAGTTTGACCTATGCACTTGATGGATGACAGCTGACATGAGAAGATTGGGTCTTCCTCTCCATCGACACGTTGGGCGGACTATTCTCGCTCTTTGCCTTAGGTAGTTTCTCCAGCCCTGTGTTTGTACTTTCAACTAAACAAACACGTTCTAGCGGCGCAGGGCTCTTTCGATATCCTAGGTGGCATCATGTATATTGTGGTCGTTGTGCTCGAAGCAGGCATATACATTAGCCATATTATCTGGCGGGTCCGCTATCGTGCGCTGCGGAAAGAAGCGAAAGCTTCGGGCAAAAGTATTGATGATTTGCTTTCCTTGGAGAGGAATTATACACAAGAGTCACAGGAGACACATGATCTCGAGAAAGGTATCATAGCTGATATCCCTGGGGATGTTGAGAATCACATGCGGACAGAACAAACATTGACACCCATTGTTGGACAAAGGGAGCCAATTGAAAAGTGTTGATGGCTATATGATGTATGATAGTGCCTGTGCTTCATATAGGGTTCAAGGAAAGATCTTTGATAGCTGCCGAGATGGCAATAAAATCTACTCAAGTATCACCCGGCCTCCTGTACAGGCCATATCAAAGCGTTAATAAAGTCAGAATCTAGAGACCTGGATCATCTCGATGATATCATATTTCGTAGCATATTCACCCCACGTAGCATAAGTCCGATCTAGTGGGCCATGAACAATCAATCCCTCACCAGCTCTACACTTGTCCCTATAGACTGGGGCAACCCAGATATACCGAAGATAATGCATCGGCCCTCCAGTATATTCTAAGAAAACGCGAGATATTGTCAGCTATCGGCTATATTCTACTAGGTAGACTAGGTAGACTAGGTAAACGAAGCTCCACAACGGACAGATCTGAGACGTGTGCAAAACTCATATGCAATTGTGTTGCACTAAGGAAGGCTATTTGAAGTCCGCCGCGTGGCATATCGTACTTGTACCACTCGGAGAATATAGGGTCAACCAAGGTGACCGCGAAATTCTCTCACGATTGGGTTCATTATTCGCAATGCTCCACTGTGTGACTATATGCGCCAGGATCAGTTTAGCCATGGAAGCCTAGGAGAGGATGTTCAAGATTCCAAGTACGTAATATGTAGTATATTGAGTCTGAAGAGATGCAAAAGGGAAAATACACAAATGAATACAATTGGTTTTCTTACAACACTGTCTGGGTAGAGTCCCAGCTTGCTGAAGCTAAGCTAGGTATTACTTTGCTTTTGGGTCATCAAAGACGACACATTTTCAGATATATTGAGGGTGAAACTCCCCGGAGGCTCAATATATCAACTTGAAAGATTACAAAATTTTTGTGAATCAGTATCCATTTAATATTCCAATCTTTAAAATGATTTCAATCAACTTTATCATGTTAATTGCGCTTTGCGGAGCCATTAGCTCGGCGCATCCGTTGGAAAAGCGACAGGATGCTGATTCCTGGAGACTGTATGCATACGGCGATGACATTAATGGACTGCCCATATTTTATGCAGATGGTTTGTATCTCCATCTGGTTTTTGTGAAAGCATATCTAACTCTAGCATCCAACCAGGTCAAGCTCAATTAGGTGACATAAATCTCTCAAATGCAACCAACAAGTTCCCAGTCACCAGTGAGTGCTTTTTCTAAACAAGCTTTGGGAGAAAAAAAATCTCATTTGCTCTTAGTATCATTTGGTGACAGCAAAACAACTTGGGTGGCTCACCCCGAGAACACCAACACTACTACGCCTGCCGCTTTCACCACAGGAGGTAGCGTCTCCCCCACCAACCTGCTAGCTATAGCCAATACAGACTCCATAACTAGCCCGGTCATATTTACTACCTCAAACGGAACGTCAGGCACAGATGCAAGTGCTCCATCGAATACAGCTGGAACCTCGGCTCCATTGACCGATGTATGGACGCTATACGGGAATACTGTTATCCTCAATCAGACCAATGCAGATTTCTATGCCCAACCGACTGGCAAGGATGGCTGGTATATTCTCCTTTGGGGTTCAACTGACCAAGCAGCTGTCGGAAACACGCCAGTTACTGTCAGGACGATTGCCCCGGCATCTGGCTAGTCTTTGGGAAGTGTCCAGTGTCGACCCATAGTTTAAAAGGGGTATAGTGCAGCATACGGGGACACATAGCAGTGCACTGGACAATGGGTTATATCATGATCTAATATATATTCGTTTTTGAATATAATCCAGTAACTTTCCAGGTAAAGCCCCTTTTCCAGAGCCAGACGTGCCGGTAAAGCAGCAATGCATCTTCATCCTGTAAGGACTAGGCTGCTGCAAGGGAGTTTAGTAAAGTAATTACACAAATAATATCAAGATAAAAGTATTTATAGAAAGATCAAATATATCAATGTCCACACTATATGCAAAGGCGGGTTGTTTCAGCATTAAAGAGCTTGGGTCAGCAGGAGATCGACTAGTTCTGTGTGACGTTTGAACTTCTGCAAGCTCCCCCCTCATTGCTTTTCGTTTTCTTAGAGGAAAAGAAAGAGGGGTTTATTGGTTTTCAAGTTACTTTGGCTTTTCTCAGTGTCTGTTGGCTTTTTGATTTGACACTTGAAGTTATCCCCAGGTCGGACCAAAGTACCCAAATCGGCCCAAGCCGGACATCAACAGCGCGTGATTCTCGCTCTCTCTTCTCTACAGAAATGTAAATTATCACGATGCCGATGCCAGACCGAATATCACACCTGAAGAAGAAACTGTTTGGACGAGTATCTCCAAAAGCGGATACGGATCCGGTCCACCCCAACCCAAACTCCCCTGGTCTCGACTCCAAATCTCTATCTTACAGCATTGTTTCCTCTCCGAATCTTGAAGCTGCGGCTGATCAGAGAAAGGAATCTCCACAAGAACCTGATTCCTCCATCTCGGAACAACATCATCGCGAAGCAACTCGTGATTGCACACCATCATTGACCGAACCGTATAATTCTTCCCTGCTTACACCTTTATCGGGCGACCCTCCATCTCCCCTTGAAACCCCTCCGTTACCGACTCCTCAGCATTCCGATAGCACCTCCTTCCAGTCCAACTTGAAAGCCGCAGTACCCATTCAAATCGAACCTCAATTGACCCCAACACTGAATACTGTTATCGAGTGGCCTACGAATGGTCGATTACCCTCTGCGGCCTACTTTACTCCCACGTCAAGCAAACGCCCGAGCCTTGCGATCCGTCGTCAATCTCTTCTCCCACCAACACAACAGCACTTGATTAGTGGCCTATTGGAAGGCAATTTGTTCTCTTCGCAAGGTGACCAGGGCCCTCTCATTCCCGCCGTTCCTCGTGCGATGGTACAACGCCGGATTTGGGTCAAACGACCCGGTGGTTCAGCCACCTTGGTGCCGTGCTTGGAGGACGCGGTGGTCGATGAGCTACGCGACCAGGTGATCATGAAATATGTCAACTCGCTAGGGAGGAGCTTCGACTCGCCCGATATCGTGATCAGAATTGCGCCTCGCGAAGGTTCGAATCGACAAGTCCACCCGGAGCGACTTTTGAGCCCAGAGGAAGTCCTGGCAACTATCCTCGACTCGTACTATCCGGGCGGGCAGAGAATCGAGGAAGCATTGGTGATTGATGCACCGACCCGCCGGACTCCGAAACCATCACCGCGTCATTCAGTGTATTCGCACCATCAAGCAGAACCTGGCGAACACGGCGATTACTTCCCTCTCATGCCGCCAAATCCCAATGTCGGAACACCGTCTTCGCACCCAGCGGCTGCGCCAGCGACAGTCGCTGCACCATCGATATCCATTCTTACCACGGGCTCTGCTCCTTTACTGCCCTCCCCCGGAAGCCGTAGAACACGGCATCACCAACGGCCTCCACTGACCAGACATAAAACCAATTCGCCCACGTTCCATACCCAAGCCCTGGGTACAACAGGTATATTATAAAACCCACTGAATCCAGTCGAAATGATCACTGACATATCATAGAATCCACTCCCCATTCCCAGCCTATCCCTGCCGCCTCCATTCCCGCCGTGCCTACACCCCCCGCGCCACAGGCTGTAGAGTCCCCGCAGGCTAAAGTCAAAACCCATACTCCTCCGGCCGTATCTTCACCTAGATCAACTCGAAAATCGAAAGCCGCCACATCCCCAGCGGCGGGCTTTGGGGGTTTGATTGACGGAACGGTTCCACCGATCAACGTGCTCATTGTGGAAGACAATATCATCAACCAAAAACTCTTGGAGGCTTTCATGAAGCGATTGAAGGTGCGCTGGAAGTGTGCAGCGAACGGCGAAGAAGCTGTACGGAAATGGCGACAAGGCGGATTCCATTTAGTCCTCATGGATATCCAGCTGCCTGTCATGAACGGATTGGATGCAACAAAGGAGATCAGGCGATTGGAACGGTTGAATGGAATCGGTGTCTTCCCAAAGACAGCATCGGGACGTTTCAGTGCGTCCAATGCGTCTGCCGCAGATAGAAGACCTGGTCTCAACCGTACGGTTAGCGGAGAGGATACTCTGCCTGACCTCTCGCTATTCCGGAGCCCGGTCATTATCGTCGCTTTGACAGCCAGCAGTCTACAAAGTGATCGACACGAGGCATTGGCAGCTGGCTGCAACGACTTCCTCACGAAGGTATGTTCCCTCCCTACGACCCAACCACTCAATCCCAATACTAACAACTCGCCCAGCCCGTTGGATTCCCGTGGCTCGAGCAGAAAGTAACAGAATGGGGCTGCATGCAAGCGCTAATCGACTTCGAAGGCTGGCGCAAATGGCGCGGCTTCATGGACAACCCGCCCCAGGCCTCCCCAGCTATCGTCGACTCGGCAGCAAGTCCAATGCAAGGCGGCCATCCGCCACAAATCCCACAAGAGGACCCACCATCTCCTTCAAGCTCTCGCACAGCTAAGAAAACAGACAGCTCTCAGCCTAGGCCTAGTTTCGCAGATAGCCTGCGTGAAGACTCGTGGGGCAGCGGCAGTCCGGATAGCTTGGACTCGCCTTCGGATCCGAGTCCACAGCCGTTGACTCCCGAAGACGCGGCCCCAACTAGCGATGCCAGCACTGTTCCTGAATGAATTCGTTCTGTCGTGGGATGGGTGCCGTGCCTCGGCCCTGGGGTCGGGGTTGGTCGGTCCTTATCCTCAACGATGTTTCATGGCTTGCTTGATTCGACTTTGACTGTCTCTTTCATTGGATACCCCGCATAGCAATGTGTCATTTTTTCTCTTCTCTTTCACTGTTCATCGTGCCTTGAGGGCAGAACTATCTTCTTGAGATCTAGCATCCATGGACTATTTATTGTCGTTGGTGGTTGTTTTTTGTTTGCTTTTTTGCATGGCTACGTATATCTGTGCTTGGTCACTTGGCTGCATACGCTTCTGCCACCCGCTTTCATTGTTAAATCTGTTTCTTTTGTCAGATGGATTTCCTGTTCTTGTTTACAGTTTCATCTTCATGCTGTGGACACCTCTTGTATACGAACGAGATGTCCTTATGCCTCATCCTTTTTCAATGTATAGTTCTATACTTTTTGGACTTGGCTGGAGAACTTGTTATATCCTCCTGTCTTGTATTTATTTATCTCACTAATTTCTGAAATAGCCCATGTAGCTATACTAAGCGTGGCATCTTAGCTTTTCCAACCTGGTTTCAGCTTTGTTGAGCTATATTTGGTCGATTCTCTTTCAGAACAGAAGAAACTCCAATATAAATCACTCTGATAGGCCCGAGACCCGAACCACCTCTAAGAAAGAACCCATCGATCCTCAGCCTTCGACACAGTCAAAACGTAATAGTAATCAACATGCACAGCGACCCAATCACGGCATTCTGCATAGCATTCAACAGATCACCCCCTCAGTGTCCAGCTAGGTAATCGGCATGATCAATCACACAACCGTAGATCAAAGCATCCCGCCCAATTTAGACCCGAGAATCATCTCGTACCACCAAACCTATAAACAGCCAACACAAACCCACCCTAATCTGCACTCGGCCACTCGTCCAGCTGACTACATATGGAGATACAAGCTACGTAGGCGATCAAACCTTTGAAACTCGGACTTTGTCTGGCCCCATTGTACATGTGATATTGTTCTCGCCTCGTATGTATCTATTTAATCCCCGCCGCATTTCTTTCTTGTCTTTCTTTGGTTTTCGCATTGCTCTCTACCCTCTATAAACAAGCTGTGCTACCTGCCTCCTTGCTCTCCCATTATCTGCATCTATTCCAAGCGTTCCACTATCCAAGCTCAAGCCAACCCAAGTACCACCAAACATCCAGCCAAACCCCGCATACAGCATGCAGCCCACCACACAGTCTGCAGCACCAACATGGTTCCAGAGTGCTCTCGCCTCCATTGGGAATATCTTTCAGAGGTCTGGTTCTACGAGACAGGACGAGTCTGAGTCGGATGCTATTTCTGGTTGGGTTGGGAGTAGGAGGGGTCGGTGTCGGTCTGTTGGGGAGGCTCGTTGAGATGTGAGAGTTGATATTACTGTTTATTGCCGGTCTATGATTATGTGGTTATGATTATGTGGAACTTCCGCGTCTTTGTTTTTGTTTTGTTGGGCGAAGCGCTTGGGTTAGATTGGATTGGCATTGCGAGTGTTGCAGCGCTGGGATCAAGTTGAGCTGGATGGACTTAACTTAAGTATGCATATCCATTATGACATCTTATTCAAAGCGGATATGCTGCGTTCGAGGGACCGTTGAGATAGTGAGAATGATCAAATAGTTTGGTATAGGTACATAAGACTAGCCACCTCATCATACACGAGTATGCATACAAGTAAAATTACAAAGGCCGTGGCCAAGAAAGATGCTCAAAAACACAAAAGACGACTAAGGACCCGGAAATCAAGCCTCAACATGAGTAGGGATCTTGACTTCACCGCGCGTGCGGTCACGGTGAGGAACACCGTACCGGCGTCCAACAGCCCAAGGAGCACGGCCATCAGGGCCAACAGTCTCCTTGGTGTACACGGTCTCCTTGATGCGGTACTCGAAGCGAGACTGCTCGGGAGAAACATTCTTGAGCATGTCCTCACGAAGAGCCGCGGCAGCATCACGGCGTTCCTGCTCAATCTTGTCTTGACGCTCGAGACGCGCGGCCTGGCGTTCAGCGACGGCACGAGGCTCATTGGGGTGAGCGATGCGGTCGCGTTCCAGGGCGACCATGTGCGGGTGGGGAATGCGCACATCAGCGGGCTGCAGAATCTGACGGCGGTTGACTCCCTTGCCGACCCAGCCGATGGTATTGGGTTCTTCGAGAATTTTCTCCACCAGGTCAGAGGGGTGTGAGATCTCGCGTGCTTCGTCATGTGTTTGGGCTGGGGCGCTGGAGAAGACGCGTGCGGCTTCAACTCGATTGAAAGTGCGGGATTCTGGGACTGGGTAGAAAATTTGTGCACCTGTCAGCGGGTGGGCGGGGAGGTCGTTGATGGGTTCGTGGAATTGTTGCCGTCCGCCTTGGGCTAGCGGGGTTGTTGGGACCATCTCGTGGATGGCGCGAGCATATGGCAGTGCTAGAGGTTTGCCCTTTGAGATTCGTTAGTTTATGTCACGAGACCCAAAAACATGAGGTAAGAATCCAAAATATGGGGATAGCGCAGTTCAGTTCAAAAAGTAAGGTTTAACCATGTGGGTGTCTTCAAGACTAATCGATTTTTTGTGACTCATCATATGCGTCGAGGGGAAAGCAAAGTCCAAAAGGATTTGATAAGGAGCAAGAAAGCATAGGAAAAGTTGCTCTTACCTGTGCCCGTTGTCTGGTCTCTAGCTCGACCAATCTGACCACAGCAGCAATACGCCTCATATCGATTCCAAGCTCCACACTAACAGCGCGGAGACTCTTCTTCTGACCGACGACACGGTTGTAGACCTCATTTCGCAGCTCCTCACTGAGAATAGGCTCGCTGAAGAAGTGTGGATTGTTGGGGAATGGACGTGTTACTGCCGAATCGCCGCGGTCTTTAATGCGAGTGACATAGTTGGTCTCCCCAGGAATATGATGCTTCAAAGAGGCACCTTCATTGGAAAGCCATTCAAACATTTGCCGACGGAGCTTTGTTTGTGGTGCTGCCGTGGCAGAAAATTGCCTGGAGAGGCATTGTGATGAGGATGATGAAGTAGGGAGGGAAGAGATTGATGAAGATGAGGAGGTAGATGTGAGGTAGGGGAGGAGGGCGTTGGACACACGCTGGGTTTGTATCCTGGGTGCCATATTGAGGGTAATGAAGGGAAATGAGGGAATAGAATTAAGAAAGTAAATCAAAACCGCTGAACATCAAGAATCAAGGAGATCCAGCTGCCATTGACCTCTCGCAGCAGTAATTGAAGGATGGGAGGTTGTCGGGTTGAAGCGGAAAATGGGTTGGTCTTGCAGGGGAAGAAACTTTTCGGTAGTCTGTGGCCTCACGTGACCCTATATCCACAGCATAACTACAAACTGAGTAAACATTCTACTCGATTCTGAAATGAAATATGTACGTGTTTTTGATTCTGAACAACTTGGATTCCATTGTATCAAGTACAGATCGAAGCAAATGGATTGGTATCATATCACCAAGCAAGGCAGGTAAACAGAAAGAGAAAGAAGAAAAAATAGTAATAAACAACCCGCTTCGTTTCCTCATTCTTCTCCTGGGACTTTGAAAAAGATAGTAATAGATCAGACCCAATGTAAAGGGAATGGCAATGCAAGCAAAGCTTTCAAGCAAAATGCATGGTCAGACCAACGTGAGCCGGACGCCTTCTCCACCTGTCGAAGAAATTCGTAGGCAGAGAGTCAAAGAAATCAACGTGAACGCCTGGGGTCGATATGTGGTCGACATAAGCCGATGTCATGTCCTTCCGTAGCTCATGCCATCGAGTGGAGAAAGATATTAGAAGAGCTAAAAAAAAGCCACATAAGACCCTTCTTGTCGTACTGCATAAAAAATAAACACGCATCGCAGAGAAGGCAAAGTAAATCAGCAAAAGTCCTTTTCGATCCACGCACCGCGATGCATCGAGAAAGATCCAGATCCAGGGGATAGATGTAAAAAAAAGGGGGAATCACGTCGAATAAAACAGATAACAGCTCGTACAAGTTCCTGGATTAGGCAGACAGCAATCACTCATTAGTGTTTATTGCGTGTAACACTGGATCCATAAGCGATAGAAAACATAAGCAAAGCAGCAAATCACGAGGGTATGAAGGTGTGGACGAAACGCAATGGCCGACAGAAACAAATGCGCTACTCGAGCGCCTCAAACCGACCAAATAAGAATACAAGTTTGGCAATGACCGGAAATGCAATCCTCCCAATGGAAAAAAAAAGACGAAAAAATCACAGACAAAAAGAAAAGGAATGTAAGAGCGCCCAGGTTCCCATGCAATAGAACGACGAAAAGCCAACAAAAAAAAAGAGTTCAGAAAGCAAATCCGAAACAAGACTCCCGGAAGTTATGCAGCCGCCGAATGCTGATCTAGCTCACGAAACGAAACAGATCCCCAGTGCGCCAGATACCCCAGTTCGTTCAAACATGCCAGACATTATCTCGATATAATGCTTGAATTGCCTTAGCGACCCATCATGTAGTCGGGGTAGAAGGTAGGATAGCCGTTGAGGTTCGACGCCGCGTTGTTGTTACCGCCGGCACCACCACCACTACTACTTGGGGGTGGGGGCGACATCATCATTGAATTGGCTCCGTTTCTGATGCCAAGGCCCGAGTTGGGGTTGTAGGAACCGTTGTTCATCAATCCCGGGTGGGGGTTGACCGGGGTGTGCATGTTGCCATTGCGCATTGGTGGCGCGGGCATGGCCATGCCAAGTCCAGGGGGTGCTGCCAGTCCAGGAGGGGGGCCGTTGACAGCCGAGAACATGTTATTATGAATTCCACTTAAGCTGCTTCCTCCAGGGGCTGCACCCTGATTAGAGACCGAGTTGGAGGAGTTCATGCTGCCGGGTTGACCGGAACGCACACCCAACGGGTTCTTTGAGAAACTGAGACGGATGCCAGTCTTGACACTGTTGGACAACTTGTAGCCGTAGAGTTCATTAAGCGCCTTGCTAGCCATGGCCACCTCATCGAATTCAACAAAGCACATAGGGCCGTTCTGCTTGTTTCGGAAGCAAAGTCGCTTGTACCCACGTTGTTTGGAGAAAAGAGCCTTGAGCTCCTCTTCGGAAGTGTCCGGGGGTAAGTTGCCCACATACAATGTGTTGCAAGGGGGGTTCAGGTCATTGGGGTTCGCAGCAGGAAGACTATGGCGTGGGGTATGTTGAGCATTATATGGGAAACCATGACCTTGGCTAGGGTATGCAGATGCGGGTGTTCCACCACCCATGCGTTGCGCACCACCTCCAGGGTAGTTTGGCAAAGGGGGAGAAGACATGTTTGTCGATAGCGACATGTTGGCAAAATGGTTGACCGGAATTGTAGGGTTGGTCGCCCGGCGCCCGGCGGATATATTGGTGGAGTGGCCGTTCTCTGCATATCCAACCGGATCCTTAAGCAGTTCCCCAGTTTCCTCGTCTGGGTCTTCATCGATCATGGACTTTCCGGTAATGCGAGGCAAGTTATCGATGCCGTTTCCGATCGGAGATTGTGGGGAGAAAAGGCTATGCATACGCGAGCCTGATTCGGAAGTCGGAAGACCTTCGCCTATAGCCTGGTTGGGGTTGGCGTTTGAAAGTCTCTCCAAGCTCTGGAAAGTGCCATTGAAACGCGAAGATTGGCGCGCAAGAGGACCGTTCGAGGGAACCCCCATCAATGCACGGCTCGCTGTGTGGTCGATGGTATTGCGACGCGTGTTCGATAGGTTGGAACCCATGGAGCCCGGATACATTTCGACGATCATTTTGGCGTCGTTCTTGGAGTTTGGCTTGCCATCCAGAAGGGATCTGGCCTCTTCGGCAGCCGGCAGAGAAGTGAATCGCGCGATCGCGGTCAAGAATCCCTCGTCTTCAGGCAGATCCAATGTCACGAAATCCGCGTCAACAAGGTCCTTGGCGAAGAGCAGCATGCTGCGAAGTGCTTCGCGACTAGTGTTTCGTGGGAGTTTGCGCATGAGAATCGCGCCTCCGTTGCCGGCGCGACCAAGGCCATTCAGGCCCTGGAGATTGCGATCAGTATCACCCAAGCGCATGTTGTTATCAAAGGAGCCCGAGGTACCGATGGGAGAGAATGGGTAGGAGAATGTGTTGTTCAGAGATGGCGCTTGCGACGCAGTCGGACTGTACACGTCGGTCGACATCGCATGCTGAGCCGTCAAAGGCGCTTGGGAAGAAGAGAGTGACTGCTGTAGGGGCGATGAACCAGATGACACGGACTCGGTGAGCTGTGTGGTTCCAAAAGACCCTGGACTCGTACGAGTGGACTGGCTAGAGCTACCGCTCATCCCTCCACGAGTTTTGAATTTTTGAATTTTTTTTCCGGCCGGGAGGTGGTTTCGCGATCACACACGGGTATGGCTCAGGAGGTTCGATAAATAGGAGTCGCGGGGAACTGAAAAATGAAGTAAAGCGCGGCGATCTTGAATGCGACAGAAATCCAACACCGGAAACGCGATGCAGCGATGAAGACGAATGAAGGCGATTAGCGATTCGATCGATAGTCGAGTTCACTTGGATGTCTCATCGGATTTGCGGAGTGATCTATGCGCGACTGGAAACTATCGCGATAATAAGGATGGTGGAAAATAGATGCAATACAAAGGGAGAGGTTGAAAAGTGTGTTGGTTAAGAGAGGGAGAGAGGGAGAGAGAGCAGGGGGGAGGGGAAGAAGAGAAAAGAGTCCGGGTCCGGAACGTTGACCACCTGGGAAAGGCCCAGGTGCCAGACCCATGGATCTGTTCACGACGCGACTCAATAAGGAACCATACCGTTACAATGGAGATACTTATATCTGTATATAGATCAATATGATGAAGTATGTACCGCCAAATGTAATTACAATACAGGGTTACAGTTTTACCAAGTGGCCCTGGAACATGGCCGCTTGCAGAAAAGGAAAAGTGCGTGCCCTGATGCGTGCCCCGTATGAATGTCCCCCGGTTTTCGTTTTTTTCTTTTTTTTTTTTGTCTTTCCTTATTTGAGAAAAACATGTTGTTGCTATACTCGATCGAGATCGACGTTGGGAGTGGATCTTATAAATGTGTCTCTTCTAGAAAAGCACGGCCATGCAAGTGCGGCTTGCCGTTGATACCCCGGCCTTAGAACAGATTATTATGGATTACATAGTCAGATGGATGATAAAAAAAAATCCATCATGTACATAAGGGGCAAATCAAAAGGTCTGAAAGATTCGCTAGTACCAAATACTCAATATCCCACTATCTGATTATTCGTTTATTTAGTAGTACATACATTCGCTACACAGAGCATGTTGTGATACATTCTAACGGACTTGCATTTTTAGTCCAGACTGTCATAGTACATATGTACGTAGTATGATCTACTAGTATGTTTGTTCAATGTATAGCCCTGAAGTACATGTGTATATTGGCCATATCGTACTCGCACAGCGTCAAAATGGGTAAACCGTGGAATCGGCAAAAGTCAAAAACCCGGCGATCCTATGAGATTTGACCAATGGTGACTCCAGCGACACATGGGATTGGCTATGGGGAAATGACTTTGGTGTTATCGAGGGGGCGATTCTCCATTTGGTTGGGCCGTGGAGAGAAGCCGCCACCATTAGGGGCTTTATTAGCACTACTTCTTCAGGTATAGTCACATTGTGCCTGAAATGGTCATAGGCGCGTCAATATTTTGCATTTGTGAGAAGCTTACTTACAATTACCACCTTTCACTTCTAAACCTTCAGAATACAACACATTACATATGTACATTCAAAGACTTCCAAAACATTCAAGTCGTCGACCTCATTTCATATGAGAGTTTAATGCGCACATGCAGTTAATAAGTACAGTCTATGTGTAACACTAAGGCTACCTCGGTACTTCCATTACTTTTTTATTTCACAGGCAGAACTTTAAGAGCAATTTTAAGTCGTATCGGAGGTATTCATGCTGCGGCTCATATACCGCTTAAATTGAATCAAAGCAGTCAGCCTGCCACATAATATACAGAGAAGTTCCCACAAGGCAACTCAATAACGCCAAAAATGCCAAACAAAATAAAAAAAATACATCGGTGACTTGCTATCCGTCATCGATGGGCTCATGTCTAGACTCGTTCCAAGGTTCCCCAATGTTGTTCGGCCGATGCCACAAAGAATGTCGGGGGTGTAAAAGGCTCCCTCGGTAGGGTAACAGTCTAGCCGTAGTCGGAATGAGGATAGCATGCCACAGCCAGTAAGACACCGATTATTGAGTCACAGTGAAATTAAGCCTTGTGGTAGGTGGTAGGTTTGGGCACAACATAGCCAGCCTAGAAAGCAACAACGTCAGTCAAAGCAATCCAAGAATGATGTCTTCTATGATATCAACTGCTCAAATCGACCGTTCGATGATAACCAACAGCCACCCATCATACGATTCCCAGACTATTCACTATCAAAGCACAAAAGCAAGGATCGGATAAGCTTACCATGCTCAACAGCTTCCAGACAGGGTCGCTGGGTTGCGCACCAACACCCAGCCAGTACTTTGCGCGAGAACTGTCGAGTGAGATTTCTTTGTATGGGCGGGCATCGGCGTTCTCATCGTACAGATTCGTGGGACGTTTAGGGATGGGGTTGTAGGTGCCGATGACTTCGAGAGGGCTTCGCGCCGCGGGCACAACTGAACACAAGTCAATTTGAAATCTTCAAACATCGGTAAAATATGAGAAATCTTCTGGTCTAGGGAAACGGGTTTCTGGTGTTGCCCGGGTGTTTCCAGAAGTCCAGATATTCATTTGCGGAGGGAACCACGTACCGGGCTTGCGAAACAACAATGTTGAAGAAGGGGTTGTGCTTGTTGCCGAAGCGTGCTAGGCGGATTCGGACGACCATTTTGTCGGTTGTGATGGTACTCAATTGACGTTGGCGCAATATTGTTCGTTTGATGATCTCCAGCATGCCCTCCGCAAAAGTTCTGGGAGTTGCGGATGAACGGTTTCTCCGATATGAGCAAATGCGGACTAGCGTGGAGTGATGTAATGATGGTGAGGACCTCTCGATCTATAACATCACAGCTACTAGGTATTTTGTTCTGACCAAGTTGTTGTCAAATTTTCAATAGTCAGTCTATCAGAATTGCTTAAGCGGGCTTCAAATCATATGCTCCGCACCATACTAGCTCGCCCACGCTCACATTTTCCTCTTTTCATCCGTCGCTACAGTAAACCAGCAACAATGGCATTGAGGGTATGGCTGTTTGATATCAGGATATTAGATACATGAAAGCTAACAACTAAAAAAAGGCAATTTCGGCTAAGGATGCCGCCTCGCTCGACAAAGACCTTATGGAATCCGGCGGTTGGTCTCTAGATCAACTAATGGAGCTAGCTGGACTCTCTGTTGCGCAAGCCGGTATGCTCCAACAATCTATACAATAAGTCATCACTCAGGACTTCTAATAAAATGCGCAATCAGTCTGGAGATTCCACCCGCCTAATGCAGGCAAGAACATCCTGGTGGTCTGTGGACCAGGTAACAATGGTAAGAAAAGCGCCAGCCACATCTCGCAGCAGTAGCGATCTAACAACTCAACAGGAGGAGACGGCCTAGTAGCCGCTCGCCACCTCTCACATTTCGGCTACGTACCATCAGTTTACTACCCAAAAGAAGGCAAAAACGAGCTCTACCAAGTAGGTAAACCATAACAGAGCCAACCCAGCACACACATGATCTAACCACCCCACAGCGCCTCAAAACACAACTCCACAACCTCTCCGTCCCCTTCATAACAGCCGAACAATTCCCAAGTAGCCTTCAACAGAGCGCCCTACTAGTTGACGCAATCTTTGGCTTTTCCTTCGGCGGATCATTGCGCGATCCCTTCGGTGATATCGTTACACAGATCGAGTCCGCTAAAGTCCCTGTGCTGAGTGTTGACGCGCCCAGCTCGTGGGATATTCAGAGCGGGCCACCGAAGGAAGGTCCCGGTGCGAATTTTATGCCTAGTGCGCTTATTAGTTTGTCGGCGCCGAAGCCTTGTGTGGCGTTTTATCGGGGCAGACATTTTATTGGAGGTAGATTCTTGACTAAGGCTTTGGCGCAGAAGTACGGGCTTGATTTGCCGCAGTATCAGGGTGTGGATCAAGTTTTGGAAATTGGGGTTGATGCTGAAGGTCGATTGTGATGGTGGTAGTATATGCTTCATGGTGGTAGTACTATCTCAGATATCCATTGATTCTGCTTCAACTCAATGAATGTAGTTTACCAATATTTCAAAGTCGAGTCATTGATATTTGGGGCAAGTCAAGCAATGAAAAGGCTGATCAGATACTCTATGTACTATGTAATAGATCCATCTAGCATTAGTGAGAATAACATGTAATAAAAGCCCATACTTGGGAATAGCGTTGTCGTCGTTAGAAAGTAAGGTGTCTCTTATCTATGCACACTGAATGAGATATCACCCTAGAGAGCCTCTTGAATCTCGCCAATAACACCCTTGATGCGCGGCTCCTTTCCAGGGCCGGAAACCAAGACTCTTGAAAGAACACTTTGAATCTCATAGACCTCCTTGGCCGCACTCTTCACTTCCTCCCCAAGAGCTGCCACTAGGGTTCCTAGCGCGACGAGAGCCCTGTAAATCGCCTCCGAATCCGTTTCTCCGGCGATGATCCGAGTCAGCTCTTCGAGCAGCACCAGGCCCCGTTCTGCAGCTTCGGGAGTTTGATTCCGGTCCCCCGAGGTGAGATAAACGGCAAAGTTGATGTACAGTGTCGTGATGGCGATTGTGAGGTTGCGGTTTGGCGAGGCACCGCTGTTGGACAAGGCGGATTTCACTCCTGCGAGGATTTGATCGAAGGAGTTGATGGACAGGTCGCGACCCTCTGCTGTCTCGAAGAGATTTGCGAATGTTCGCATTGCGAGCATTGCGTTGTTAACGTTAAGAGGGGAGCCGAAGACACCGCTGGCGATGAGGCCCGACACTACATTCTCGTCTTGGTACTCGGCCTTTGCTGTGAAAGGTGAAGCACCTGCTAGTAGACGCAGGATATCTAGACCAGGGAGTCGATTAGCGGCAGGCCAAGTTGTGACGACCTTCAAAACCAAGGGCACTCCAGACTGGACCTCGGGTGAGTCTTTGAGCTGCTGAGATGATTCTAGCTGGCCACACAAGGCGATGACCGTTTCCATCTCCGCGGGGCTCAGAGCAATTCCCTTTGATCCGTCAGACACGAGTTGCGTATTTAGGTCTTGAAGTTTCTTCGTAATAAGTTTGAGGTTTGCCGAGCGGATTGAGAGGTAGATCTTTTGAGGGAGAACCTTTGGCCGGGGCTCAGGAGCAGACGGTTGAGACTCTTCAGCCGCCGGGGCGTCTCCGGGGCGGTAGCGTCGGTCTGAACCCCAGGGATCGGCACCTGCGGGTTCTTGAGACGATTGCCCAATGGTGGCGCCTTGGGTGTTCTGAGTAATGAAGTTGGCAACTTGATCAAGATATGTCATAGGAAGTTCGTTGTCGCCAATAAACTTGGTGGCGGCCTCATATGGGTTCTGCGAGGCGTTGTATGGAAGCTTCAGTGGAGGCTTGCCGTCCTCAATGTCAACATCGAAGACGTAATCATAGTCCTGACCAGCATATTCAGTCTTGCGACCACTGCTTCCGGCTGAGTCTACCACTGTACCAATGGCAATCCATTCCCGTGTTGCCGATGACCAGGTGTGAGCAGTCACACTACCATCGGCTTCCCGAATCATCTGGACCTGACCCTCCTTAGTTCCGGACTTTTGTTGAATAAACTCTGGGCCGGGTAGCTCTTCTTTATTTATTTTTCCGACTTGCTGCTCTGGAATGGCTGACTCTCTGACGGCCTGGTCAAATTGCTGCACAGTCTCCGGGGCTGCTTGGCGTTCCGGGCTTCGGCTGAATACACGGGTAATTCGGTCACTAGCGCCAGTGACGATATCACCGGTCTCCTTGCAAACATCAACACTCCACACCGAGATGGCAGGGTGGGTGATGGTTTGTACGCATTCGGTGCCATTCCAGATTTTCACGGTACGATCTTCACTGGAGCTCACAAGCTCACCAGATGGGAGCGCTGCAAGCGAATAGATAAAGCTCTCGTGGCCATGGAGTGAGGCAACCAATTGGCCTTTCAGTGTATAAAGACGAATCACTCCATCGTTGCTAGCCGAAGCAAATTGAGCCCCCGAAGGATGTGAAGCGGGGAGCTTGCACAGGGCTCGAACGACGTCGGCGGAATTCTGTACGCTTCCAAGAAGGGTTCCCGAAGTATTGAACATCCGGATCATTTTATCGGCGCAGCCTAATTAGAGGTCAGTTTTGAATTGGCGGTAGTCTTACCCGATGGCAGCATACCTGTGATGATTGTGTTCTCGTCGTAGGCCAACACAGCCCACACGCTTGCCTCGTGTCCCTCCAAAATAACATCACACTCCCACTTGCCCACCTTCCATAACCGCGCAGTTGAGTCCCAGCTACCACTGACAACCCATCCGCCATCTGGGGACACGTCTAAAGCACAGACATTGTGGCCATGGCCTAGAAGCATGGCGTCTGCATTATCCTCCGCAGCTTTCCCAGGCTGCCTAGCCTCGATTATTGCGTCTTGTCCAGCAGATAGAACAAGGCCCTCGGGGAAGTCTGATGTGGGTTGAAGATAGGCTAAGCTGTTGATGAAGGCGCTGCCGTGGGCAGCAATGGTGTAGTCGTATGTGGGAGGTGGAGTCGATGTGAGCTTCCAGAGTCGAACCGTAGCATCACGAGAGGCGGAGAGGACGACATTGGGGTTTGGGAAGACCACTGCGCGAACCTATATCAAAGATAAAACTGTCAGCCATGTGCGTGGATTGGATTGCGCGATTACTAGCATCTTGTACAGACGCCGGGACAGGAGCCTTACATCATCGCCGTGGCCCTCCAAAGTTGCTGAGAGCTTGAAGTCAGGCATACATAAAACGTTGATGGGAGAATAAGTAAATGAAGTGGAGTTCGTAGCAACAGTATGTCGAGGGAATTACCGCGGGTCCAATAGTTAATTAAAGCTTTCCGTAGATGTTGTTGTCCTTGTTGTCCTGACCCGGGGATGGCCCCGCTTGAGCACCTATCACGTGGGTGGGCGGTCACGACAAAAGGAACCCGCTAGAAAGCCATTAGTTACATCTCTTGTTACATCTCTTTTTGCCTCTCTTTTGCCTCTCTTTTGCCTCTCTTTTGCCTCTCTGTTGCCCCTCTCTAGAGATATGATATTTAGGATCAAGTTTCCAAGCTTCTTCCCTCGCTATAGTACTAGTGATAAGGATGTAAAGCTACACGAGGTGTTTTACTCCTAAGATACCTAGGTATATACATATGTACTTACGCGTATATACGAAACTGATTGATGTATATATGATTTGCATCGACATATACTGGTTGAGCCTTGGAAGGTTGTAGAATGAATCCCCGGAAGGATAGTTATTACCAAGAGTAACTATAGACTACCTATGATAGATACAATTGTTCGTTGCTTAATATAGCTAATGGTAGAGTAAATAGGGAGCCCTTTCTGAAGTAGGGAGCCCCTAGGCATATTATCACCCCTCACGAAAGCGTACTACGCCATAATAAGAAAGTATCTACTGTGGGATACTCCAAGGGAATTGGCGGTGAAGCCAAATCATGGTTGTACCTAGGCCCCAAGGGCATGAATCATATCCATTGATATAATTCAAAGAAATAATCCGTCTAGGCAAAAGAAATGGAAGACATCCCGATGTAAAGCCAGGATGGTCGTTTAAGTAGAATAGCCTCACGTGTTACCAATTATACCTTGATAGGACTAGCGTATCATTACATAAGATGATCGGCTGTCGGGCGACGGGCCCGTTGGCGAAATTGAAATTCGATATTCGATACCGAGACTTGTTTTAGTCGATATCAGCTCTTTGAAAGAAGGGGTTTCATTGTTTCAGGTCTTCTCTCCTTATTGAGACGGAAAATTACCCGAGTCTAATATCCCACTTTCTTCGATCCTTTGTCATATGTTCATCGAACCCCACGTCTTTGCTTGACGATTTGACGACCCTGACGAATCTCTTATATTCCTTCTCTACACATAGCGAAGATTCTGTTTCCTGAAAGTACATCTTCATATCAGATCACTTGTGGTCTATTTGGCCCATAGCGCCTCATTGCCGTGATTGGCCCCTCCAATACCAAACATCAAAACCATCGAAACTTTGCAAACGTTCTCACATCAACAAAATGGCTGCCGGTGAGTGATTTGGATTTATATGGTATCCATTTTAATGTGTGCATCCTTATTAACACTCTTAGATATCCCGAAGGTAGTCCCTTTGACATGCCACGGACATTCTCGTCCAGTGACGCATCTGAGCTTCTCTTCCACTGTTGAAGACGAGCAATATTATTTTATTTCATCATGCAAAGGTGTGAGAAGTCAAATTCCTGAAATCACTGCATTCACTAACAAACCACAGATAATAACCCAATGCTTCGTGATGGCATTACGGGAGACTGGTACGGCCAAGAACCCGAACTGAAAGAAGTAAAACTAATAAAAGTCAGGATTGGTACATTCCTTGGCCACAAAGGTGCCGTATGGCAAGCCCGACTCTCGGCAGATGCCGCCATCTCAGCAACAGCAGCAGCCGATTTCTCAGCGTAAGCCCCCCATCTTAGCAACCCAAACAAACCCCACTAACAAACCCTGCAGTAAGGTCTGGGATACCTACACAGGCGAATGTCTACACACTCTGCAACACGCACATATCGTGCGATCAGTAGCATTCCCCATTCAAGCAAACCCTCAAGTCCTAGCAACAGGCGGCGCAGAGAAGAAGCTCCGAATCTTCGATCTAACGCGCGGAGGCAGCAGCTCAACACCCCCAACTCCATCAGCTTCAAGTGCAACAACAGAAAACGGGGTATCAAGCTATGAAATAGGTGCCGGTGTTCACAACGGCACCATCAAGTCTATTGTCTGGAACCAGGATTACAATGTCGTCACTACTGCAGCTGAGGACCGGAAGGTCCGGTGGTGGGATCTGCGCTCGCGTCACCCAATAGTTGAGCTTGGGGTTGACGGGCCCATTGGATCTTGTGAGCTTAACAATCTTGCGACGAGACCTAATGACTCCGGTATCTTGACTGTTGCGGCGGGCAAGAGTGTTTATCTTTACGATGGTGTGCAACCTGGGAGGTTGCTTAAGAAGGTTGATTTCGACTATGACGTTGCCAGTGCGGCTGTCAACAGTGAGTCTGGTCGTCTGGTTACGGGCAGTGCGAATGATACCTGGGCGCGGGTTTATGACTTGAACACGAATGAAGAGCTTGGTATGTATCCCCGTTGGTGCTGTGATGTTGGCACTTTGGTTGCAACCTTGCTAATCCTTATGTACAGAGGTTCAAAAGGGTCACCATGGTCCTATCTGGTCTGTCAGTTTCTCCCCCGATGGCAAGCTTTACGGAACCGGTAGTGAGGACGGAACGATTAAGTTGTGGAAAGCTTGCCGGGAGCCTTACGGGCTGTGGAGATAGACTTGACTCTCATCATTGGTAGAGTGTACAGAAAACATCGTAGGCACATAGTGTTTCCACTTTCCATTGGCGGCCCTTGTGTATTCATTATTGGTGGCCTTTTCTAATATTGAAATCCACTTGTATCCTTCCAATGAATACGCAATATCGTCTACTTTGGCTATTGCAGGACTGTATGTCTCAACCCCCATAATACAAAGAAAGTAAGCTCAGTGTGAGTTATGAGATTGATACCTAGGTCACTATACGTAACATTCTATGCCAGGTGGGGCTTTCCTATTTAGCTGCCGCCGCTTTTATGAGGGCGCTCAGAGTCAGAATCACTGATCACTCAGATGTTTACCATAGGTATCTATTGAGCACCCAGTCGACGCTCAGCCCATACCGAAAGGAGCGCTTTGCCCCACAGTTCTGTGTATCTTCCAACCTAATTTTTGATGGACCTCAATTTTCACCGTGCCCGTGTCTTTTGAGGTACTATGCACCAGCGTAGAAAAAAGTGTTCTGCTCTTATCAAACACTAAGATCTGCGTTTAAGTCGTGAAGTACAAATTGCAGCTACGTCCCTTCGTTTCAACCTACAGAACAGATTTTCTTTATCCTTTATTTTGATCTCTACTTCAATTTATTCTCTCCGGCGTTTGTCGGGATACTTTCAGTCATGGGCCAAAAGACCTTCTTTTTTCTCAGCAAGACGAGGCCACCGAGCAACTAGCAAAGAGCGGCTATGTTTTTGGCGCTCATGCAGAAGGGAATGCTATGCGTGACAAGGATAAACGGATACCCAAGACCAAGAGGATGTATTCCGACGCTGTCCGTCGTTGGATGGAGTGAGTTGTGACGTGTTTGTCCAGGAGAATTGCCCGCCGTGTGCGTTGCTGACTTGCTCTTAGGTTCGTTGAACAAAATAGAATCAAAGACTACAAATCTGGGCCAGGCTGTGCGACTCCAGACTATAATAAAGAAGTTTTCCGCTGATATGGTCATACCGCGCGAGGCAAGAAAAGTAAGAATGGAAGACCGGTGATAATATCGTTTCTCAATTGTACTGAAAGCCTGTTTGGTAGGTTTGAAGAAGAATTCCAAATCAAAATTGTGATGGAAGACCGGAGCGAGATATATAACGTAAGCTTTTGCTAAATTCTACGTTAAAGCAAGACTAACCACAACACAGTGGATCAGGAGAACATTAACAGGCAGTGAAGGGTAGATTGAGAATGTTGAAGATCCGGACCACAGTTTCACCACGAAAGATTCTCCGTGTGAGATTATCTATTTGGCAATCGGATCATCGCTGATTCATCCCCGGATTACTTAAGGCTATCATCACGCTAGCTCTTCAACTATATCTTTTTACCAAAGCAAGAATTGGAGCTTTTATACCAGCCCATGAGGACTGAGGCGAAAGGGGCTTAAGATATAAGGTGAGTATATTCTGACGTTGCAGTTGTGCTAGGCTAATTTTTGTCTAGCACATAAAGCTGGTTTTATTTCAATCCCCGACGGCCCCCTAGAGGGTCGAGTGGAAAGTCAATCAAGTCTAGCTAAAAATAATCGAAACCCAGACTACACTATGTGAGTAAACAATATATATATTCCTTAATATTTTGCCTATAAATGAGAGTTTACACGTTCATATAATTTGAAGGTTTGGAATTGGAATCCATGACACCAAGAAACCACAGTTCGCATCTGGCTATATCCTTCTAGCTATTGCCCTTCAGCATAGTGCCCTATTTGGTATCGCAAATATACGGACACAAAAAGATGCGGGAACGTATCTTGAAGACTATCTGCTACACTGCTCTTCGATCGATACTGTCGCAGCCGTTCTAGGCGAGGAAGACCAGTCAAGTCACATTGAGTACTTCCAAGGGTTTAGAAATTTTTATAAGCGCGGATTTCTAGTGGAACTCCCAGCGGAAGTCGAGGAGAATATCCTGCTAAAGCCGGAATTGGTCGAGATCAGAAATCGGATCGAGAAACTTGAAGCCCTAAATAGCGACAGATTATCTATAACTTCGGAGCGACTAAACTACAGAAAGACCTTGGTCCGATTCCGCCTTTCTAAGCTGAAGAGATATCAAAGCAGCTAGATACGGGAATGGAGAGATCAAAGAATTCTCAGTAAAGGTAAAGAGGAGCAGGTGCTTAATTATGATAACGTTTGCACGCGATTTTAAGCTTTAATTATGCCTGAAATTGTATGAATCTCATCCTTAATGATTTTTAACGGCGAGCTTTCCTTTTATGAATTGCTCCTTTTCGTGGAAGACCTAAAAAGTCACTGTGAACGTAACTTCGATATGGTTTATCTTCCACAAGAAAGCCCTATCAAAGGTCGCTGCCCCGCTATAGGTTGTAATAAAGAGATTATACGGTAAGCTGTCTAGCTGCAGAATGATCAAACTATACTAATGTTCGCAGTCAAGAAAAAAAACCGACAGGAGTACCTATATTCACGACTACATTCGACGCGAGATTGCTTTGGATCTTCAAGTCTCGAAATCAAAGTTAGAATTTTGCTATGGAACAAAGATCTTACCGCCGAAGACCGCTTAGACTACTAGCTAACCAGTGGTAATTTCAGGCAACACGTTAAAGCGCAACATCTGAATGGAGATCAAAGTCAGAGTGCGAAGTCAATATACGGATGTGGCCAAATTTTCGACGACGAACGTAGTCTCCGACACTATTTGCATAGCATTTACAGGCTAAACAAAGCTATATAGCTAAGACCGAAGCGCTAAAGGAAGAGAAAGAATGCCGCCAAAGCGGAAGCGCAAAAATCATTAGCAAAGCCAGAGGAGCGATACTCCAAAAGAGCTCGCTTTTACCGCTATCCGCCTCCACGTCACGAACTTAAGTATCAATTATCAAACAACATTTTTATACCCGCTCCCACATCGCTTGGCTTTGTTAAAGAACACGCAGAGAAATATTTTTATTCAAGTTTAAGCGATAAGTCAATTAAAAGCAGCAGAAGTAGCTCAGTTAGTCCCTGCTCTTCTGTAACAATTTCTCCGCTTAGCGCGCGACCAGCAACTATTGGTTTAGACGTAATATTCAGCTTTAGAGCACATCCAGGGGCTTACATTCAAAACATTGCCGATTAATTCATCCCTAGCTTTGAGATCATCGGCTCGTGTTCAACTACTCCGGCACTGAGGGATATATCTATGGTTATGAGCGTGGCACGGAACCCTATTGACAATGGCGATCTGTTGGCACATTGGTGAACACCTACGGCGCCAAGTTTTTGCCTCCACTGGAGGGCATCATCCTGGGTCTTCATATCTTTGGCTTCGTTGCCGTCCTGGTGCCAATGTGGGTGAGGTCGCCAGGCCAGGCCCCATCATCTGAAGTGTGGACTGTATCTGGTAACGAGGGTGGCTGGGCAAGCATGGGTCTCGCGTGTCTAGTGGGCCAGCTTACTCCTATCTTCTCATGGGCAAGCCCAGACGCTGCAACTCATATGGGTAAGTGAAGATGCACTCGTTTGAGGTACACATAATGCTGACTTGCAATGGCCGAGGAGGTCCAAAATGCAGCTCTTGTTGTTCCATGGTGCATGGTGTCGACTGCCCTGATCAGTGGTGGTCTAGGATTTGTCATGCTTGTTACTATTCTGTACAACTTGGGCGAGATTGCCGATGTTCTTCACCCGGCTAGCCGCTTTTCATTCATCCCATACCCCCCCCACAACTACGCACTGAAATTGAAAAGGTGCATATTTTCAAGAAAATGAATGCCAAAAAAATAAGATTTACCATGCAACAATCGTGCAATCCGTTCTCTAGTTGAAATAATTCGTTGCCAAGCTTAGGATATCATCTAAGCCCTCCATATAATCAACACCGGGCATAATCCCCGAGGTATCATTTGATAGATCAGGCCAACGGCTATGCCCTGTAGTCCTTGAAAGAGATGGCCCACCAAGGGCTGGTCGACAGTGCTCGGTAATACTCGCTCGATCTTGTTGGTAAAAAGTCTGAATGATGGCTGCAATGTCCAAGCCGTTTTCTCTAGGGATGGTGTCGCGTAGAAGCGGCGATTCTGGTGGTTCAACCCCAAATCTCCTTTCTCGGGGTTGGTTCTGTTCAGCTTCGAGCATTGCCCGGAGAAGAGATACGCCTCGTTGAGCAATCATATCGGTATCACAATGTGATAAAATTTCAATTCCGTCTTCAATAAGCTGCCGATGCTCAGAGGCTTGACGGTCTGGGAAAGGCTGGTGGAACATATCCAGACACAAAATGATCTTCCAATAATCAGTTATCAGTTTGAATATGTGGTGAATTTCGATAACTCACGCTTGCCGTGACACTAAATGCTTGATGTATCCATATCATAGGCCCCCCGTTACGTGTAGCTTCCTTTTGCTCCTTAATTATAGTTCTTGATGCAGCCACACAGGTCCTCCGAGTGAACTCAAACATTGGATTGACGAAGCTCAAATTTAGAAACTTCCTATGAATCATGATCACCTTATGAGCGGAGCTGATGGCCAGACTGCGCCGAGCCCAATTTACGTAGCATGGCCACGATGGGTCTAGGGGAACATTTTGTAAGTAGTATGGTAAATGTTGAGTCGCCAAGGTTCGTAATCGACGATCATATTTGAGCACCTCTTCGTACCGGGTGTAGAGAGTATTGCATGAGGTTATATCGTCTTGAAGGTCTGGCATCAAGGCAGCAATCTTGTATTTTAGACGTGAGTGGCTCGTCACGGTAGGGTGATTTTCTGAAAGATTGTTTATCTCATCGTCGCAGTTTAGGGGTCTTTCTGTGGTAAAACATGCTCGATGGATTAGATAGCTTTCGGTGTATGGAATGGAAAACCAATCCTGGAGACAAAGCTGACACCAAACACGGCGACCAATCTCCCTTTTCACCGAATCAATCGACTGTGAATTATCATCGCTTCCGAGTTGGTGTAATCCCAGTCCCTGGGCGATTCGCACAGCTGATGCCAATAGTACCGAGAAACCGTTGGAATGGCCGAGCATGTGGGCTGAGATGGTGAGACTGGCGATGGCTTCGAGGGAGTAGATTGAATGATTTGCCATATAGTCAGCTTGATGTAAACATGTTATTGAGGCTTTCAGCCACCGCTTGGATAAGGTATCTCGCTCTCGCTCACGGAAACCCCATGCCTGCGCAGTCGACCTTGGTGCACACGCCATCGCTCCCGTGAGGACTGCAAACAAGAAGGAGATCCACTGCAAATTGACTCCCGGATTTGCTACCTTTCCATTTGCTTTTTCGTAGAATTCGTCTAGCTCCTTTAGGAAGGTAGCTGCATGAAAAGCTCCATGGTACCAGAGCAAGCATTCGCAGTGGTATTTGGCGAGTTGGTAGACCTTTTGTCTTGCGGGAAGTAGTGCCTGACAGAGAGCAGCGACTGGAGGTCCTGGCATACGCATATCCTCCCATTCATCGTCAGCGGGTACATCCCCTGGCGAATGATCTAAGTTGTTTCGCTTAACAATCTCATCCTGGTAGGAAGGATCTTTGCGACGACCCCAAGCCAGAAACTCCAGTATTGTTGCAGCATCTTCTACCTCTTTCGGATTTGTATCTGATTCAACGTGCACCGAGTAAGGTGTGGGAACAGTCAAATGGTCGACGGATATTGCCTCGGCCGGGGAGAATGCGGCATCGTGTCTTTCAGGATCGAGCGCGGATGTTCGCGGCCGAAGTAGCGAGTTCCTAGCCTCGCTGAGCGAGACTTCAAGCTCGGCAACTCTGTTTTGAAGTATTTCGATGGTCCTGGAAGCATCTACGCTCGGCCGTGCTAGAGTTTCTCGCTCACTTCGTCCCCCGGATTGAGGAATACTCGGGTTCGGAGAGTCCCGCTCGCGCGGCCGAGTACATCGATATCCTTTTCTGGTGCAATTACGACATGGGAGGATCTTGTCGCATTTGACTTTACGTCGTGTACATTCCACACACGCCAGGCGTGCCCGGTGAATGCCACTGCTCATTCTGCCTTGGAATTGGGTATGGATGAAGTAGAAGAGCAGAGGCTATGATATGATTGTCTTATCTGCTGCCTCGGGAGGTCGGCGGTTTTACGCGATTACGCACAATTGGTGAGTTACTTATCTCTCTACACTACTCTATTCGGTCCCTATCCTCCATAATAGATACCTTGAAGGCGGAATATGGGGTTCATAGACATAAGGCAGTGATTTTGACGAATGGAATTACAGAAAACAGAAACCACGTCTTTATTACCGGTCGCTCGAGCCTGCAATGACCCAAATGCTTTTGTTGACGACTTCGGCCGAAGGCTTCCAGAGCAACAACTCGCTCCTCTACGAAGTAAATAGAAATAATCTCATGTTCTAATCCTGACAGTTAGTCTTACATCGTTAGGCATGTAGGGTCGTGTGTAGCATTATCCCAAAATCAATGTGGTTTGGGGGACATCGAGGGTGACCTGCAAGAATGAAGAGCTCGGCCGAGGGGGTCGGCCGAGGCTGGAGATAAGTAGTGCAGGTATCGGAGCGTTGAGCAAAAGTCACGGCCAACGACTGTCTATATATGACTGAACCGGTCGCATCCTTGTGTTTGTGCTAGAAAGATCAGAAGGCATCGACGAATTTCGACTCACCTGCTCTCGAACATCACGAAAACAAGCACGATGTCTCAAACTCAATACGTCGAGCGCCCTATTCCCCAAATCTCCCTCGCCGATTTCGATAACCGAATAGACACCATTACGGCAGAGCTGATTGACGCGGCCAAAAATGTGGGATTCTTCACATTGATCGATCATGGGATCTCCAAGGAAGACATCGAATCTATTTTCTCAAAGTCAAAGAGCTTCTTCGACCTACCTGACGACGCCAAAGCGACCGTACCGTGGAATTCCAACAATGTCGGATGGGAGAAGAACTCACAAATCCGACCATCAACGGGCAAGCCAGACAGCAAAGAGTCCTATCAACTTCAATTCGGAGACAACATGAAGGGATTATGGGTCGCTGACGAGCACCTCCCCGGGTTCGAAACCACCGCTCTGGCATTTATGCATCGCGTGCAACAAATATCAGAATGTCTTATGCGGTGTTTTGCTCGGGGCCTGGGATTCCCAGATGACTTCTTCATCAAGTGTCACGATGTGTCACGGTCGGACTCTCAAACCACCATGCGGTTACTTCATTACTTTGCGTTGCCGGAGGAAGCCGATGGGAAAGAGTATCATCGTGCAGGGGCACATGCCGATTGGGACTTTCTGACTCTATTGTTTCAGAAAGAAGGGCAGAGCGGGCTGGAGATCTGTCCCGGTCGGGAATCCGTTACCGAGTTCGGCATTGGAGACAAATGGACCAAGGTGGAGGCGAAAACTGGGGAAATCGTGTGTAACATTGGAGACTTGCTCATGTCATGGTCGGATGATCGGTTCAAGTCGACGTTCCACCGGGTTAAGGCGCCTTGTGAGTCTGGGGATTATTTTGGGGACCGATACAGCATTGCATACTTCAATCAGCCCTGCAAGGATGCATTGATCCAAGGGCCGTTGAAAAAGTATCCAATGGTGACCGGGGCCCAGTTTACCGAGAGTGCGATGAAGAGGAATTTTGCTGCGTTGCAGGAGAAGTTGAAAATGGTCGCGGCGGCATAGATTGGATGGGGATTTGAATCGCGTGAGGGACAGATCTGGGCAACATTTGTTAGGGATTTGCTTCGGGCCAAAGCTAGTGTAGTAGCCTTAGGATCTTATGAGGTCTTGAATACTGTTTGGTTGTCATGTTTGTGGACCTGAAACGCTTGCCGAGTGAGAAATAGAGATGGATGAATGAATAGAATACTCTTATAAGTTTCCAAAATCCCACCAAGTGGAAAATCCGTCGACATTGCCCATCGTGGACTCTGACTCGGGATAGCCAAGGCTTTCTATATCAATGAACTGTAAAGGTTCGGTCCAACACCAAGGGGTGTTAGCCATCAGACTGTCGGCAGGCGCAACGAGTTTTTCTCCCATAGTTGTGCTTGCTGGCGATGCAGGCGCTGTAGCTCGCGCAGCAACGGAGTTTGTTGGAGGTGACGACACATTCGCTTTCTCATTATTTCGAGTGTATCCAACGCCAGGAACGGCTACTTTCAAATAATCAGTGCCATCGTGTGGCGGAAAACGAGAGAATCCAGTCGAGAAATTGAAATAAATGGGCATCTTCTTAAGTTGGACAGCTTCTTCCGGAGTGAGTCGTAGATAACCGACAATCTGACCGGCTCCGAGCATCGAGTTCCACACTGGCACCAAACTGGGAGTCCATGCACCCGTGGCCACGATGAATTATCATCTTCCACTTTGTTGCCGTCCGCTGTGCGAACATACTTGATGCTGTAATCGGCACTCTTCTCGAAATCCGTGACGTGGCCGTTGGGACCTATCATGAATGACAAACCAGCGTAGTTACACCGGGCAGCGAGATGAGCAATAGCCTTACCAGCATCAGCTCAGCCAGCGTTGGTATTGTAGAACCCATCAAAACCAGGCGTAGCCAAGCGTCCCGTGAGTTCAGGAAATCTTTCCTTGGCTGCCTCCACGCTCGTCACGACATGCCATGGTTGCCTCATTTCAGTAAGGACGCGCTTGGTCTTTGTGCTATACTCTTGAGCTCGTTATTGAACAGGTTGGTCGGCAGTACCCTACTGGCATACCCAGAGACAGGGCGTGGGGTAAAATGCAACATTGAACTCTGGGGTCTCCCACACGTCGTACGCCTCTTTGGCGATTTCTGTGTAGATAGCATCACCATAGTCAAATCGAATGATACGAGAGATATCGTTGCTCAAACCATCTGCGACAGGTGGCATGGAGCGATCGAGGACTGTGACTGAAGTATAACCCTCTTCTTTGAATCGCAGGGCTGCCCCAAGCCCGAAGACGCCAGCTCCAATGATAACAATTCGTTGATTTTTGTCCATTATGAATCATATGGATGATCTTGAAGGCAGGATATCCAAAGTATTCTACTATCAACTTTAAGTACTCTGAAAGATAGCATCTGCAGATCTGGCAGTGGGATAATCATCGTTCACGGACCGTCTTCCGCCCTTTGACGATGGAACGGGGTGCATTCACACGGTTGATAACCAAAACAAGTAGAACGATGATACATACGGCTCTATATGAACCTGCGGGAGCCCCTTTTCAGATCTGAGTGATTCTAGAGCGTTATTGAAGAACGTGATAGGAACAGTGACTCTGGTGGACACTGTCACTATTCCCTCGGGGTCCGTATCCTCGATCAAAGCAATGGCAGTAGATTTACAGCGGTCATAGAGCGGCTATAAGGGTTAGGCAAGCCGCCCACGCAATTAATTATGCAATATCTCTAGTGGTTATTATTACTAGAATCCATACATCCGTTCAACAAATCTCCGCTAGGTGGGAAGAGCCGGCCGACCATCTCGACCATCCACCAATTCCACCTTCTTACTACCATCATGCGGAAGAATAAAATTCAAAATCACACCGACAACCGCCGAGATGATAAAAGGAGTTTCAACCATGAGATTGATACCCTGCTCAAAGCCCTGTAATCGTACGTTTGACCCCTCATAAGCCAGAATCTTGGCAAACCAGCTTGGGGATACAATGTCCATGAATCCAATGCCTAGGGCAGCGGTTAGAATAAACCGATTCCGGCGAGTAAACTCGACTAGACTGAGGACCTTGACACCGGCGACAACGATAGTGCTGTATAAGAAGACTTGCATCCCTCCCAGGACGGATGGGGGCATTGAACCGAAGACTGCTCCGAATTTGCCGAAGATGCCCATGAGGACTAGGAAGGCTGCCGCACACCAGCCTGCTCTTCGGCTCTGTGTGAGGTGATTAGATTAGCCAAAGGTCGTGTTTGTGTTTATATGGAAGTAGTTGGACACATACCGCACATCCTGTCAAAGAAATGACACCGTTATTTCCTGCCTGGCTAACCATGGGCAACCCAGTACCCAAGGCGCTGACCAAACTGCCCACACCGTCGCACAGGATACCGCCCTGGATTCGACTGTTGAATTCGATCCCATCAATGTCTACCCCCGAGATCTCTGCGGTGGCAAGGATGTCAGGCATGCAGCTGACTGCTTCGCAAATGAACATAATTAGAAGGGGCAACGCCAATGCTCCATCTACCGACAATTTGAATGTCTCAACCCAGAGGAATGTAGCAACGGGGGCTGCATCAATATTCTCTCGCGACCAGTACCCAGTTGCACCAGAGATTACGCAACCCATGGCCAAGCCGAGGACGACCGATGCGGAACGCATCAGTGGTGAGCCGAAAAGTTCGACAAAAATAATGGTGATAAAAACGCTGAAGCCAAGGCCTATCAGTTTCGGATCACCCCTGTATACGCCGTCAGTGTCCATATCAATGAGACTCGTGTAGATTCACAGTCTTACCAAGGTAATGGCCTAGGAGCCGCGGTGTTTGGGCAAAGTGCATAGTACCCACTACCGCCATCACAGTTGGAGCTACCACCCCAGTTCTCCATGCCGCTCGAAATAAGGTACACGCCAACGAGGAGTAGGAGGGTACCAGTGACAACCTTCGGGAAGATACGGTTCAGAGTCTTAGGCGGGACAAAAGAAAGCAGTATCTGAATCCAGACGGTACAAAGAATAGTTCCTAGCATTGCGCCCCATGCATCAGGGCACGGTAGCTTAGAACCATCAGATGCTGTTGGACACGTCCCATTCGCATAGCGCATATCAGAATAACTGAACGCGATGGCCAAGACATCGAAAGTAGGAGCAACCACTGAGAGAAGACCAGTACCGATGTAGAAGGGGGTTTTAGCGAAGTGCACCCGCGTCACTTGGAGAGCGGTTGCGATGCCAGTGGTGATGAAGGCTGCGGACACGAGGTACTGGCTCTTGTCTGCGTCAAGGTGGAAAGCACCGCTTGCAATTGCCAAAGGAGGTGATACGATCGATCCAATCATAGTCAATGCATGTTGCAGGCCGAGGATGATAGTAAGAAGGATTGGGACTTCATCGTTCAATCCATAGAAGGGGGCTTGATAATCCTTGTACTTTTTGTTCAATGGCCAGATGTTCGGCGTGACAAGATATGCATAGTCCTTGATTTGACAAAGTTAGTTCTCAAGGACTCGCATCGACATGCAGCTTTAGTCCGACGTACGTAGTTGCCAATCCATCCATCCCTAGTAGTAAAGTGACGGCAAAGGTATTGCCATCGGGTCTCGGCGATGGGCGCGATCTCGACGATGCGTGAGTCTCTGTCCCCCGTCTCGTATGTATCAAAAGAAGAAGTGACCGGCATCTCGGACTGCTTTTTCTCCGGTAGCCTCCGTGTGGCATCCATGATGATCAACAAGTCTCAAGAAAAACCTGGTTTCTTTAGCTGCCGGCTTGCAGGCATTGCATGTAGTCTCTCGCCTCGACGGGACGTCGAAGGCGTCCGATATATACCACATCATCACGTATTCGAAGGCAATCGGAAGATGATGGTCATATCTCTTGCATCGTATCTCTTTCCCCGGGCTGTATCGCGGAGGATCACGTTAAGCTATCGGGGGCCCGTGGGCAATGATAAGCAAGCGAGATGGCTTGGCCTCGGCCGAGGTCCTGAGGAAACCCGGGATGCGCCAGTAATCCGCGATCTGGAAAAAGATAATTAGTTCTGGGAATCACCATGTTATCTTTCAGTGTAAATAATTGAAACTGCGCGTCGATCGCTACGCCCATTATGTCTACGACAACAGCTATTACCAGTTGCAAACTCTTCGAGCGCGCAACCATCATCACAGTCAATGAACGACGTGAGGTGATCCGTGAAGGCTACCTCCGAATCGATAATGATCGTATTACCGCAGTCGGAAAATGTCCATATCTGGACGAGTTGCCCTCGGATGTAGAGAGAATCTATTGTGATGGGAAGATCATCATTCCGGGATTGATCAACACCCATGCCCATCTGGTTCAATCTCTTCTTCGAGGACTGGCAGAAGATCTTCCACTGCATAATTGGCTGTGCGATGCGATTTGGCCGCTGGAAGCATCATTCCAAGGAGACGATGGAGTCCGAGCTGCACGCTTGACTATGGCGGAGATGCTAAAGACTGGGACGACATGTTTCCTTGACCCAATGCTGACTTACCGTGCCGGCTTCGATGCAATTTGTGAAGTGGCTGGCGAAATGGGGATCAGAGGGTGTCTTGTGAGCATGCACATCCGATGCGACGCATAAGAGATTAGTGAGCTAATAATGGGATTCCCGGCAGGGCAAATTGGTCAAGTTTACCGAAACGAATCGACAGCTGTCAATCACCGATCCGAGAGACCAAGATCTGCTCGCAATGTCAATCCCGGAACTGCTGAAAGCACACGAGACACATGATGACAGCCACGAGGGTCGAATCCACGTATGGGCGGCCGCTGGTACACCGCGCGGCACCTCAATCTTGCATTACCTCGAATTGGGTGAGACTTGTGCCAAACATGGAATTTCCACAACAATGCACTGCGCCGAAGCCCCACGAGACCGAGAGATATACCGAGATACGTATCAGTGCAGCGCGATGGAGTTTATTCGAGACGCGAAGCTGTGTGGACAAAGGACACCCTCGGTCCAAGGCCCTGATCAGCTTTCTCATCGACTGGTGTTAGCACATATGGTCAACCTGGACAATGAGATCGATATCCCGTTACTCGCCAGTACTCAGACCTCGGTCGCGCATAACCCGAGTTCCAATCTCAAATTGGCATCCGGCGTGGCTCCAGTGCCATCCATGCTTTCAGCACCCTCACCGGTTAACGTATCCCTCGGCACTGATGGTGCGCCTTGCTCCAACCATTATGATATGTTCCAAGAAATGCATTTGGCCGCAATTCTTCACAAAGGCGTCCAACATGATGCGAGTCTCATTCCTGCCGAGACTGCCTTGGAGATGGCCACCATCAACGGTGCGAAAGCATTGGGTCTTGAGCATGAGATTGGAAGTCTCGAAGAAGGGAAAAAGGCCGACTTTGTGGTGGTGGATCCGTACGGAGCTGGTGGGCTTGGGGCCGTGCCGTGGAACAGCCGGTCCTCGAGAAGCGCGGTTAGTCCTGTCACCACGGTAGTTCATGGGTGTACCGGTCGCGATGTGGATATGACAGTGGTGAATGGAGTGATACTGGTCAGAGAAGGCAGGCTGGTACGAGGGGGACGGACAGAAGAGATGAACATTATTCACATGGCGCAGGAGGCTGTCGAGGGTCTCCTCCAGCGATGTAATCATGGCCGTGACCAGAGGCAAGAGATTGGTGGAAAACTCATGGCACCATGGAATTATATCTGAGAGAAAGCATACTGCCATCTTGTAAGCATTGACACATGAAATAGATAAATGATCTCTTACTTTACTCCGATTATTTTAAAAAAAAAACATCTTTAATTTCTCTTAACAATAATTTTGGAACCTTAACTTTTGTTCTGGGCTGAAGTGACGATTAATGGGCAGTCTATGCAAGAGGATGGTTGGGTCCCACCAGAACAATACGAAGAATAATATCAAACCCAACTCAGGACTCGCTTGGTCATTGGTTCTCTAAGGAGAGATCACCAGCATTGGTCTTCCCAAATCATCTCCGCGAGCTCCTTCAGCTGTTGCTGTGAGAATTCCAAATCTTTCTCCCGTGGACAGGATAATGGGCGACAGAACAGACTTTCAAACGAGATGACAAGAGGATGGTGACTGACGTTGATCTGGTTTCCACTCTTGGTAATCCAGATAACTTGGGAGCGATGGATACGGTCGTTCTGATTCTCCCACTTCTCAATCCGGATTTCTGGCTGAGACCGACCAACCCGAAGTGTCAAGCATACGTTTGCTTTTCCATCGTCAGGATTAAGCCAGAAGCGCACATCGGAGTTTAGTTTGACGTCATTTTCCGAGTACGCTACTTCGAGAGTAACGGATGGTGAACGAGGTATCCCATGAGCGGTCCTTCTTGGTCCCCAGGCAAAGTCTGCCTGCTTTCCTCGGAACGCTCCTCTGATGTCTCTATCTGTATACCCTCTGAGAGAAGTGAACAACCCCATCGGTTGTATGGCCTCTATGATCATATTGTGCATAGCGACGCACGCTCCACTGTGTGGAGTTGACGGCATCCTGACTAAAAAAAGTTGTTCGTTGGTGTCAAATGAAGTGAGGTATTTCGCGATAGGAGAAGTATCTTCGTTGTCGATAAGGGTATCGATAGTCTCTTTGCTTGCATGAAAGAGGAGGAACTCGCTTGCGTGGGGGGAGGCTTCGAAATGAGCGGAATAGGACTCCAAGATGTCAAAGAAGTCTGATTCCCCGCGGTATGTATATCGTTTAATCGAAGAGGGAAGATCTTGAAGAAAGCTGCCACCGAGACTAAGCTCGTAGTCACCATTTTGCATCGGCATTTCGGTCATATAATATATTGAGATAGGAGAGGACGACGGGAATTATAGATGGTAGATTCAAAGATTTCCTTAATGAATTTGGTTTCGCTTCCAATTTCCTGCAAATTTGTAGCAAACAAAAATGATGTGTACGTCGCTGTCTCTGAGGAGGTATATATAGTAAGGTTACTTCATAATGACGAAGGGCCTTTGACTAGCCACCGGAACTGAAGCTGGCGGGGGCTTCAGTCAAGATAATTTAGTAGGATAGAATAGTGAACAATCTTTTCTTTATAGACGCTTATTCAGTGCAAGAGTTCTAGTTTTAGAGTAGACCTATATAATTCCCCTTAGCCTAGTGCTCCTCTAGATAGGCGAAGGATTCCTAGGAGCATATAGTCTGACCGAGTGGGTGATCAGCCAGTAAGCGTTATCGAGGCGCAATGAATAGTAGTATGTGTAGCCAAATGCACCGTCAAATTGTTGATGGGAGTGCTGTTTTTATGGGGCTATCCAGGCAAATTGAACAGGGCGGTTTTACATAAACGGGGCTAGCGTGTTCCATTCTATTGAGGTAACTGCTCACCATACAATCAATCCTACGATCAGGTTGTGCTCAGTGAGTGGGTAGATTCGCTCAGTGAGCAGACCAGTGAGCTTATATATTGTAGCCAGTAGTGATAACCTCCCCCCGCGCTGACACCCGTAATCCGTTGCCGCCCCTGAATATCCCCTTCTTATTCCTGTCGAGATCTATCACAGGTAAACATCTCAACGTCTTCCAGGTAGAAAGTGGATCCATATATTTGGTCATGTGATCAGCTCCGATGCGCGATCATCTGGGGCCGATGAAGACAATCCATCCTGCGGCTCATTTTATCCAAAAACAACATCCTCCCTTTTTCATTTTCTCTACACTGGTCAGAATCAGCAAAGCTACACTGATTCTTATTTGTCTCCTCTTTCAGATCACCCACACATACCACAACACATCTTAACATGGACCGCAGTCTTGACGAGATCATTGCCGAGGACACGGTAAGGCACCAAGAATTGAATCCATCTTATCTTCCAGGTCATCGCTGACTGAAAGTTCTCTAGCGTCCCAACGCTCGTCCTTCCGGAGGCGGCGGTGGCCGCCGTCGCAACAATAACCCCGGCCGTCGCGACGAACGCGACGGCGTCAGAAAGGTAAGAGTTCACCTCAGCTCGGCATTGAGGCTATATCCACGAGGAGAAACTTGCATTGGTATGAAGCTAACATGTTAATTGGTAATTAGGTCCGCCTTCCTATTCCTCCTGCTGCGAATTCTCCTGCTCCGTGACTGTCGAAGCCAGTCTTCTGGTTTGTCGGAGACTCGCGCCAATACGCCACGGCAACGACATGGACAGAGCTTTGCACGGTACATCAGCTGACTTGGAGCTAACTCTACATCTTTCGATACCAACAGCCATACTCTCAAGACCGTGGCCGCGTCGATCTCAACCTGTAATTATACCTCGAATTCCAGTTTCGGCTGGATCAGGCTGACGGACATTTGTTTCTAGCGACTGGGTTCATGACAAATTTGATGATGATCGTTGTAAGTTGATAATTCAGCCAATATGGTTGAACTCAATCTAACGATTTTTCTTTAGCCCGCCCTTCCCGAGGAGGCCGCAGAGGACCTGATTCTGATCGGTATGGAGCTTTCTCTCGGGCATATCCATATTGATTATATCGATATATCGATATAAATCACCTGTTCTGGGGCTAATTGAGGATATCAGTGCTGGCACATTGACTAAAGTTCGCGTCGAAAACCTCCACTACGACATCACCGAAGCTGATCTCGATGTATGTCTCCAACCAGCTCAAGTTCAACCCCCACACAAAAACAAGTTTAACAATTTCGTCTTCTCAACAGGATCTCTTCAGTCAAATTGGACCCGTCTCCGACCTCACTCTTTCCTACGACCGCTCCGGCCGCTCAGAGGGAGTTGCTCACATCACATATGCCCGTCTGAAGGACGCACACGCATCAATCCAGGAGTACGACGGAGCCAACGCCAAGGGCCAGCCCATCCGCCTATCTCTCATCCCCGGCCGCCGTGACCGCAATCCCCTCGACTCAGCCCACCACCCCCGACCCAGCCTAATGGATCGCATCGAGCGCCCCCGCGCCGCCCGCAGCCTGAGCCCAGATGACGCCGGTCGCCGCCGCCGCGGCGGCCGTGCTCACCGCAGCGACGTCACCAAGCCCGCCCCCGAAAACATCGACCGTTACGTTCCCGGCCAGCGCTCTGCACGCTCCCCTCGCCGCAGTGGAGGTCGACGCGGTGGCCGCGACAACCGCTCCGCGCCTACTGAGTCCCGTCGCTCCAATGCCCGTCCCCGCAAGACTCAAGAGGAACTCGACCAAGAGATGGAGGATTACTGGGGTGGTGCGAACGCGAATGGCGACGAGGCCGCTCCCGCTGCCAGCGCTCCTCAACAGGCTGCTCCTGCTCCCAGTGCGCCTGTTGCTGACGATGACGTTGACATGATTGAGTAATCGCTGCTTCGGTACTTTTCGGGAAACTTCGCTTTTGCTACTCGGATCTTTGGTGTTCGAAATATTCCTTTGGTCTTGGCTATTATACCTGAGACCTGTTCAACCTGACATTTATTCGACTTTATTTCCGCTCTGCCTTTCCATCACTGATGCTCCGCACGGGAGCTGAAACTCTGTACTTTACTCCAACCATGAAATTGTAATTTGGTTCTGATTTGGATTCCCTGGTTTTTTCCCCTTTTCACGCAGCTTTTGCTACCCATTATCTAGAAAGTTCGGAAAGAGCTTGTTATCAAGGTCCATTTTCCGCTACGACGATGTGAGGGGATAATTAACCCGCTATACATGTCAATATACATTCGAACGAAACCTTGGAAGGAATCTGAAAGACTCAACATTGTAAAAATTCAAAATGTTCATATGGTATCCTGATGATTACAGACAGAAAAGCATGCACCAATATGCGATAACAGAGGAACCCACCTAACCCCAGCATGCATGCAAGATTCAGAAAAACAAGAGAGACAGAGAGAGCCAGGTTTAAGAACATGAAACTCCTCCCTGAAAAACACCAGAAACACAGCAACACCTAGCCAGTGCAAATCCCCCAGAATCACCAGTAATACAGTGCATAGATCACCCATCACCCATGACACGACGCGCTTTTACTGCTCGCCGTTCTTTTTGCTTTCCTCTCGCATCTTCTCCATGAAGCTGATATAGTCGTACTTGGCCAACTCGCGGTCCTCGAGAAGATCGGGGCCGTCATGTGTTGGCATTGTTTTGACTAGATGCTCGATGACTTCGTCGGGAATAAGCGAATGGCGGAGATCGAGCTCTGTGACATAGGGCTGTGGTGGATGTCAGTTAGTGTGTGGAGACGAGATATCGACGGAAAGAAACATCGATACATACCTTGCCATCGGCAACTTCCTTGAAACTCTGGAATACCTGCTCCGCAGTGTTTTGGTCCTCTGTAACGCTGACCATGAACCGGATGAACTGCTCGAAGCTGACTCCCGCGTTCTGCGACAGGCGGTTCGGTCCACAGACATCCACGTAGACCTGGTGCATTTCGTCTTCGTCGTAGACTAATCCCAGACTAGCCAGCGCGGCGGAGAACTCGAGTTCGTGGAGAGTGTTAGAAGCGTCGCGATCGAAATGACGGAACACCGATTCGAATTCTTCCAGCTGGATGGGTGTCAGGTTCGTCATGCTGCGCGCGACCATCTGGTTGTCGAGGAATGCCAGCTTCTTGGAAATGCTGGATTTGACGAGACTCAATTCGTATGCGAGCTCGTCCAGGGTATATGTGGTGAAATCGTTTTCTTCAATGTTGGCTTCCGCGCACTGTTGGTCCAGTTCTGCGATGGTATCGAGGAACGCGTCGAGAGGGGGCAAGTTGCCATTTAATTTCTGGACGTGATCTAACTGGTCCTCGACATCACCGTCCAGTCCGGAGATGGCCAGCGATAAGGTTTTCAGGGTCAGGGCGAAATCATTTGCTTTGTCTGCAAAAGAGCGGCGTAGCCGGTTCTTGATGTCGCGGATTGTTTCGTTGATAAGTTGACTGCGTTCATGCTCGTCCCGAGTAAGAATTTCCCACTCTTTGTCGCAGTTCTCTGGACTCAATTCTTGGGGTGGGTCATAAGGACGGAGTCGATATGTGCCCAATTTGGTCTTGATATTGCCTAGCAAAGCAGCCAGGTCAGATTTCTCAGCCACCCATTGGCGCTTTTCGTTGCGTTTGTAGAGCGAGAACTGATAGGCTTGTTCCTTCACATCCTTGTAGGTTCCCTCGAAGGAGGAGCTCTTCCAGTGCTCACGCTGGGCGCGAATCAGTCGCAGCAATTCCTTCACTCGGCGCTCATATGAGTTCTGCATTTCCCACGCGCCATGCATATTGTTGACGAACTTTTCGACTCGGCGCCCGGCATTCTCAACTCTCTCCAGTTGAGAGAAAGCATGGAACCAGTACGCAATGTAGGTCATGAGGGAGCGTTCATCGGGCCTGGGTACGTCGCACACATCGTCGACGTCGAGTAAGTCCGGAATGCCGATCTCGTTGGATGCGATCTCGAAGGCCAGCTTCATGTTTCCGCGGTGATCACTCTTATCGAGCGAATCATAGTCGATCAAGTCGGGTCGGTGAATATCGAGCAGCGCGCAGAAGGCCAGCCCATTGTTCCAGCTAGAAGAGAAGTCCCGGACCTCTACATCGTCGTAACATGCCGTCTTCCGTTGACACCACAGTAGCAGACCTTCCTTTGCAGTCATACCCTCCTCGTTGATGTCGCTGATGGTGAATCGTAGAATCAGGGTCCAGATCAATCCCAGGATGATCTTCTGGTTTCCATCCACGATATCCTCTGCGCCAATATTCGTCATCTGGATCCTCCTCCCCTTGATGAAGTCGAGACTTTTGTTCACATTTTCGAATCGCTGCACGCGCAGTTTCGGTTTCGATGCATATCGACCTAAGGACTCCCCTCCAAGGATTTCCAGGAGGTGAATGAGAATGACCTGTACCAGGGCACGCGATCAGCAAAATGACGTTGTAGTAGTGGGGGGATCCATGGGTATGGTAGGATAACATACACCGTCGGAGAGGTCAGTGACCAAGTCATCGATAGACAAGCTCCGTGCCTTCAGTTTGTCATTCAGCCTAAGAAATACTCGTCAGCCTCAAGTTGCAGCAGGGGTAACAGGGTATATACCATTTGGTGAAGGTCTTTTGTTGCACATTAATCCACTGCTTCTCGACCGTCAACATCTTTGCGGAGACATTCAGGGCCGATTGGCAATAAATGGTGGGGGTATCGAGATGACAGCGATCAGGGTTCGAGATGAAAGACGATCAAGGCTAAATGGACTTCCGAGGTCGGTTTCCGATGGAGATCAAACACAAAGGGGGGGTTTCTGAAATTCGGGCGGGGTGTGTATTCTCCCGAGAGATCACCGTAGCAACCGTGTGTTCTTCTGTGTTCTAGACGTTCTGACTTGACTTGATCTTGGAATCAACTGAAAAGGAACAAAATAAAATAATAGATAAGTTCACAAGGAGTTGAGAGTGAATCTTCAGGAAGTTTTTAGGAAAATTTGTTAAGCGCAATGCAATCCCTTGATCCACTTTCTAAGTATAGACCCCCCTGTAACAACACATGCACATCTTAAGTAGGGATCACTTGATAATTGACGAAATAGTTGGTAAGTTAGTAAGTAAATACATACATATATATACATGTATACATATGTATACAGTATGTAAGTATTGGGTATATACAATTAGCCTCTTTAGGATGATAAATGAACTATGAGTATAGCTATCCCCGCAAAGGGTGGCCTTGCTCTCACCTTGGGACGTCCCTCAATTTCTACTCTTGTTATGATACTCAAACCACGATCCAAGTACTTAGGATCAAGGCTTGTTTCATCGTTTTCATCGTTCTCTCCTCAATATATGCGAATAGGACATGAACGGTTCAAAGGCACTGATACTCATCATCTCAAACCAGGATATTGCAACGAGCCGGATTCATATACGATCAGATATCCAAAGCGACTATCAAAACTTTTTCACAGGCAAGTTTCACTTTTCACCTCTTACCGAAAGATGGTCACGTTGCTTTCCACTTTTCATATGGCGTCTGACATGCGTCAAAGCAGTTAGGGTTATCCCCACTCAATATCCCCTTATATTAGCTACATACTCAAACTAGCTGTTGGCTATTCCAATGGCGGATCCTATCCCTACCTTGGATTTTGTACCAGCTTTCGAGTTAAGCGCTGCCCAAACGCCCACTACATTGGGGTCCAAAAGTACATATTGGATCTGCTGGCAATTGTGATGGTTCCAAGTTATACAGTGTAGAATCCATATGCGTGATGTGTTCTCACCCGGCTTGTGGGTACTACAGCTTTTCCAAATGAGGATAGGGTCTATTGGTAGATATCCAGATATCGCACTAGGTTGAAGTTCTGCGAATTCAAGGACATTTTTTTCATTGGAGGACCCCGGTCACATATACTTCAACGTGAGTCGGATACATGTCCGATTGCAGTAGCCCTTGTACACATTGCACCGCCAGCCCATGGTTCGACTTCGTTGTTCGTATCCATGAACGGTCTTCAGTCAGGTTGTATATTTCAAGCTCATAGTCGACTCCGACTTGTGAGATCAGATTAAGAATAAAACCGTGGTATTCGTGTACAAGCAATAACTCATTCAATATCTCCACCTATTTAGCAGCAGCAGCCTCCTCAGCAGCCTGCGCATTGCGCATCCTCCTCAGCGCCCCAGAAGCAAACGCCCGCACGCCCTCTTGCATCCAAGTCGGCATGGCCCGGACCATGCTCGCCACAGACTGACTAGCAGGCAAAATAATCTGGCCACTCCGTTGAGTGAGGATCTGCTTACAGATAGCATCTGATACCACCTGCGGGGTCATAATAGGCTGTCTGAAATGCGACTCGTGGTCGGTCAACATCTTGATCATGGGTGTGCGCACCCACATCGGGTGAATCACACTATGCACAATTAGCCGCCATACTTCCTTAGTAAATATCCAAAAGGTGATACAATACATACCTCGTCCGCACGTTGGGCGCATTATACCAGTACCGCAGCTCCTGCCGCAGACCCTCGTGGAAAGCCAGAGCCGAAGCCTTAGAACAACAATAATCGACCATCTCGCCGAGCGCCACAAAACTGGCCATACTAGCGATTGTCACGACATGCCCGTGGTTCGCCTTCACCATGGCGGGCAAAAATTCCTTGACCATCAAAAAGTGCGAGAGGGTGTTGACTTCGAATGTTTGGCGGATCTTTGCCTCGGGCTCTTCGATAATCGTCCCGTCATGCCCAACACCGGCATTATTCACCAGAACTGTGGGCTCTCCGTGATTAGCGCGAATCGTCTTTGCGACAGAGGCAATGTTTTCGGAATTGGTGATGTCGGCCTTGTAGAAGGAGACATTGGCTGGCAGGGTGAAGTTGGGTTCATTGATATCGAGAATGATGACCCGAACGCCTGACGCGGACAGGTCCTGCATGACCTGTTTTCCGATACCGGATGTGCCTCCTGTGAGGAGGATGAGTTCGGATTCGTTGTTCCATGGCGCATTGGAGGTCCAGTTTTGTAGTGCGCGGTTTGAGAAGAAGCGGTTTGTTGCGCGGAGGAGAAGGAGTGTTGCGAGGCCACCTAGGGATTTTTGGGCGGTTGGGTTTGTGAGGAGGGTTTGAAGTTGAGGGGGAGGTGGGTGAGAGCCGTTTGGGTATATTGGAGGAGAGACATGATGTGTGGTTATGGAGTTAATATGGAGGTGTTGTAGTGTTATATAGTGTTCTAACGTTATAGTGACCGAAATGAGGTCGGAGGGTAAAGGTAAAGTTTTATAAAGTTGTGAATGTATTAAGTTGTCCAAATGTCCAGCCTCGGCATCACATCGTGAAATGTTTCACGAAACAGAGCATGGATCTTCATACACAGAGATCGACACTCAATATTACTCAATACAGTAAGCTGTTCGTCTCACATGGCAATTCCCCACGTTTTCTTTTTTTTTTTTTCTTCTTCGTGCTATTTATTTTCCGGGGAAAAAAGAGTCTGTTCTCACATCGTCGGCTTCATACGTTCGTCTTATGATATCATATGCATATTATAGTCTAACAATCCATCTTGGCAGTGTATTGTATGTATTCTATCTGGTCAACCCAATAAGTTACGATCGGCAGATCCACTTTGAACACAGTCACAAGCGTCGAATAACATCTACATGCATATGCACAGTGCTCGTGCCTGGTTGACCCAATGCCTACTACTGCCAAACACAAACAACACAAATATGAAACCCAAATAACCCAAGATGAGAAAAGTGGAAGTCTGAAAATCGAGTCTAGCCGAGGTCGCATTGGTTCCCCCAACGAGAAGACCCATGTCGATCCCCAGTGGGTCAAAGTGTGAAACGCCAATATGAGGTTATATGCCCCCCAAGTGCCTGATTTTGGGCTTTGGCTTATATCTCAATTTTACATTAAGTCTGATCTGGGATATTTTCACCCTTCCACACTTTCACACTTGGAAATTTTGATCTTGTAAATATTCTACCCCAAGCACAGCATGGCATTTGGCGATAGTCTACCCGCTGTGGGTGCGGTCTCCCTCGTGGGAGCTTATTTACTGCAACGAACGGTTTTCGAAGGGACAGCATTTCAATCAATATATTTCTACACATTTCTGGTGACACTGTCAATCCAAGGCTTTTACAGCATCATCATATGGCCACTGCTACTGAACCCACTACGGCATTTGCCCAGAGTACCAGTACATCTATCCATTCACACTAGTATAGAGAGGAACTAACAAAATCAGGGTTCTGCAAGCCACGCAGCTCTCATATTCGACACCCCGCGAGGCAAAACACCTTTACTATGGATGAAGACCATCCCTAACGAAGGTCTCATCCATATGCGTGACAATCTAAACCAAAGCTACCTCCTACCAACAAACCACCAAGCCTTGTTGGATGTCATGAGCACCAATACGTATGACTTTGAGAAACCATGGCGCATGCGCAACTTCCTAGCCCGCATAATCGGGTTCGGCATGATCACCTCCGAAGGCGCACACCACAAGAAACAACGCAAGGCATTGACCCCCGCATTCAACATCAAGAACATCCGTTCCATGTACTCGCTCATGTGGCACAAAACGGGGATGTTACTCGACGAGCTAGAGAAAGAAGCCAAAGCGAACCCCATGGAAGGAACCAGTCCCTCAGAAGGCGTTGGCAAGATCGAGATGGCAGAGTGGGCAAGCCGACTCACACTCGACATCATCGGTCCCGCCGCAATGGGCCGCGACTTAAATTCCCTTCAGAACAAGAAAAACAAAGTCGCCGAGAGTTTCGCCAGTATCCTCGAACCAACGAAAGAGAAGATGTTTTTCCTGGTCATGAACTTCGCCCTCCCGCAGTGGATGGCGAAGCGCGTGCCCTGGCGAATGAATAAGATCCTCGAAACAGAGACTAAGTATCTACGCATGACCTGCAATGAAATCGTCCAAGAAAAGCGCGACCAGCTTGCAGAGTCGAAAGCCTCTGCTCAAGACCTCGAAGCTGATATCCTCGGCACGATGATGCTAGGCGGCGACTTCACGGATACAGAACTAGTAGATCAAATGTTGACATTCCTCGCAGCTGGCGTGAGTCTACCTTACATCCATTAGAAGGGAATATAGATAAAATCACGAATACTAACTCCAACAGCACGAAACAACCGCCAGTGCCCTAACCTGGGCCTGCTACCTCCTGCACCAACACCCAACCTACCAAACACGCTTACGCGATGAAATCCGCTCCAAGATCCCCACCGGCAACAGCCCAATAACCCACACCGACCTAGAATCCCTCCCTCTCCTCAACGGCGTCTGCCAAGAAGTCCTCCGCCTCTACCCAACAGTGCCGACCACGGTCCGAGAAGCAGTGCGCAACACCACCGTAGCAGGAAAATACATCCCCGTCGGCACCCGGATAGTCCTCTGTCCGTGGGCGATTAACCGGAGTCCGCTTTTCTGGGAACGAGGCGAGGAGTTCTACCCTGAGCGATGGATTGACGTCGATAAGCACGGGAACAGCGTGCCGAACAATAATGGCAGGGCGGCTACGAACTATGCACAGATCACTTTCTTGCATGGGCAGAGAAGTTGTATTGGGAAGGATTTTGCGAGGGCGGAGCTGAGGTGTGCGGTTGCTGGGGTTGTGGGGAGGTTTGGGTTTGAGATGCAGGATCCTAATCAGAAGATTACTGTTTCGGGGGCTGTTACGATTAAGCCTGTTGAAGGGATGAATCTTGCTATGAGGAGGATTGATGGGTGGTAGATTGTATATGCCTTGGGGTATGAATTATGATTTGATTTGATTTCTTTAATCTATTAGTCGTTTGTCCACCTATCTTCTCTTAGATATAGTTAGTTCCTGTTTTGATCAATACGCTTTTTTACACTCCTCTCTTTGCCTTAATCTATTCGCTCTTCGCTCATACATTTTTCTGCATCCTCAATATATATATATATATATATATACATATATATGAGCTCGGGATATCTGAGCATACTGAGTCGCCCACCTTCTCTCTTTCCTCATCATGATTCTAATCGATGACCCCCTAGTCACCTTCGCCTCCTCTATCTCTTCTTTTCATCTCTTTGTCTCGTTGTATTTCTTAACCTACTACCATTGACTTTTAACGTTTGTTCTCCTTTGATTTCCTTTGTCCTTATTTGCACTTCTCTTTACTTTGACCATCAATCTACCAATTCCAATGGAACCAACCTCAAAAGCCACAGATACAGATATACCTTTGGTCATAGTTCACCTCTTGCTTGCTCTACACTTCTATGATATCACCTTTGACCGAAATATCTTTAGGTCAACTGTCCAATACTGGAAAGAAAACATGCCATCAGATCTACATGTCCATGCGCAACTGCACGGACGGAAGAATCATATACGTAATAGCAAACACCACGGCTCTCATCACACGTATGAAAAGAGACTAAATCCACATTGATGAAACAAGCCGAGGGAAAAGAACGGACGATGGCAGCATTTTATTCAATTCCCTCGCCGTGCAAGTGTTAAGCGACACCGTATGCTTTACGTAGGAATCCGTAAAAGAAGTCATTTACATTAGCACCATATGATGGGTAACCATACAAATTTCTTGAAAAATGGCGTACAGTAAAAGGCCCGTGGCGGATGCCAGGGCCCGAAATTCAATTTTAAAGCATACTACCGATTTAGTCACAACAAAAGGTACATTTGGCTAACTTAAGTTTGTAGGACGATTAACGCCAACGAGCGCCTCGCCACTGTACCAAAATTGTCGGAAGAACACTAACACCAACCATAAGTGCAATGGCAATACCAGCACCGCCAGCCCAGCCGACAACTTCAAACATTTGTGGGAACCTATGGAAGTCAGTTATTGTGAAAATTCGAGGATGGAAGACAACATACCAGAAAGGACCAATGAATCCCCACATTTGACGGACGAAAGTGATGAAAACACCCACACTCGCGGCATCCTCGCGATAGCAATCAACAGCATAAGTGATATAAACGGTAGTAACAATCTGATTACCACCAGCAGCGATAGCAGACCCAATCACCGGAGTGATGTTCCACGTACTCCCAGAATCGCGAAGTTGGATAGCAAAAACCACAATACCGCAGATGGTTAAGGCATGACCAATATAGCTAAGCCAAAGTCGGTACTCCGGGGCCGGGGGCTCACCAGCACGTTTCTGGCGCATCAGCATCCAACGATCAGAGATGAAACCACCAATTTGTTCACCAATCACGGATCCAACAATGATACCCAAGAATTGTAGACCAATTTGCTGAGTGTTCAGGCCGAACTTGGCGGGGTAGATTTGTGGAATCTCGATCGTGAGCATTACACTTCCCCAGAGGAAGATCATGGCGTATGCAGCTGCGGGAATGATCACGCATGGCTTCATCACGTAACTCAAGGGCTGAATGAAGTCCCATAATCTGAGGGGAGCAGGGTCGATGCGACCAAACTTGAACAGGCCTTGCTTAGTATTTGTAATATTGTTACGGGGGATCTCGCTGCGAACGTAGAGGGACTCAGGACCAAGGGTGAGGTAGATGATAAATTGAATTGCGTTAACCTGGAGACCGATTAGCTGACATCGCCCAGAGGAGCCAGTCAATTTGACTCACAATTGCCAGGGTATAGTAAATCCACCGGTATCCGACACGCTGTGCAACGAATCCAAAAATGAACGGAGCAGCAGGGACACCAAGCGTCACCATTAGTGTCCAAGCACCCATGCAACGAGCGCGATCCTTGCGGAAGAAGGTCTCAGCAACTACAGCGCTACCAATCGCCGCAGCTGGACTAATAAAGAACGATGTGATAGCACGACAGAGACCCATCGTAGCATACGAAGGACTCTTCGCACAGCCGATATTGCCAATCAAGCTGCAGATCAAGGAAATCAGGAAGATCGGTCGGCGCCCAAATCTATTGCAGAGGGGACGCCAGAACAAAGGTGCGCCACCCAGTATAGCGATGAAAAGAGAGACCAGGTAGCTAGTTCGCTGCATGCTGACGCCCAGATCTTCGGAAATGTTCTCAAATGCGCATTGGATTGCGGCGGCCGTGAAGGTGGCCATCATGGCGTGAAAGGCGACGAGGGTAAGGTTCAGGTTTTTCTAAATGGAAGAAAATATTAACAGGTGTACATTGGACTCATTCGGGTATTACTCACCCTCCATCGAGGCCAATTATAAGGATCTGCATCGTTCATGTCCGGGAGAGGATCCAAATCAAGGGTTCCATGTCGAGCGAGAAGATATTGGCGGTGTTCCTCAGACAGATGTGCGATACGATCCTCCAGATAGAAGTCTGATTGTCCAGATTCCATACCCTGTGAACTAGAAGGGGCACCTTCAACGTGCAAATGTTGGCCCGACTTCTCCATCTTAGATTTGTATAGATCCCAGTTGACCGTGAATAGAAGAATGAACCGGGGAGTGAAACAAGAAGAGAGCTTCGGTCAGCGCCTTTTTATAGTGAAGGCCCCTGGTACGGCCCACGTATCAAGTAGAGTCAATACTTCCCCGTGTGTATTCCCCATACTCCATAAGTCCGGGGATCTGGGGGTGGGGACAAGTGGACTCTCCGTACTGCATGGACCCAAAGAATTGCAAGATAGTGCATATGAATCCTGTCAAAAAAAAAGACTCCTAACATATTTACAGACCGTAATTGGACAAAACAAAGCTCCGGGTATAATCTCAGCCGGGCGTGGAGAGTGTGGGGTTGTGGAGATAAAATAATTAACAGATGGCACTGTAGCCTATTTAAATGTCCTTGAATGGGGATTGAAGTGATTATTTCAGCAGTGCTTGCCTATGAAGTCCATTCTTCTTCGTTCTCCGACGTTTTGTGCGAAAACCATCAGTCGTTGTCAACATTTGCTCTCGGGGGACGGGCAGGACAATTTGGCAAGGCTTAATTAATCTTGGCCAAGTAGACCGAGCTGGAACTCGAACGTAGCTTCCTTAGCTCTCCCCACTTCTCCTTGGCTACTTGGCTCACGCGTCGACTTCAAGGGGCCCAGAAAAGGTCAGACGCAAAAAGTCTGAGCAAAGCTCCGTACGGCCGGCTTTTGGTATGGGAAAGGGGGTAGAGAACAAGCGAGTAGGCTTTGACCAATGGTTTGGAGTCCTGAATGTGCTGTTAGGTATCTTGGGCAATATGTGTGCTCTTCCTATTGGAAGTGTGTGGCGTTCTAATGTCCGAACAAGCTCGGAGATTTACTCTCGATTTGTCACTGTAGACCGTTTTCCTCGGGTTTAGCTCACTCTGCTCAATAACATTTCTTTTCCCTATGAATACGATAGGGCAAGCAGCCTTTCTACTGCAGTTGATTTTTATTGAGAGTTTTCTATTCTTAAAGGTGTATGCAAGATGGAAATGCGCCCAGAGTGTATCAAATTACCACTTCATTATGTAGAAGCATTCCTATCCTCTCTTGGTACGTACCAATGCAGTGAGCATATAACCAACCTCCACCCTTTCCCCTTTGAATTATGTGTCATGTTGCGCCACGCCAGTTGTTTATGTGACTAAATGAGTACTTTTGCTTTCGAAAAAAGTAACCAAAAAACGAGGCGAGGAAGTTGGAGCTTCTCTAGTAAACACCTCGATTTACCAAGCCGATGTGCGTGACTAAGACGGACTGACATTGATTTTTGAAAATTATTGGTAAGTATAAGGCTATTGTGTCTACCTATCAGAGCACATACATAGTTGTATGTCTGAGAGCCTCATATTGGGATATTTCCTGATCGGGCATGTGGGGCTATCACATATCACCGCACGGACCTACACATATTTGAACAAATCACATGCTCCGATTCGGCCCTAATCATGTCAATATCGACCTCTTCTTCTACTGCTCTCTTTCCTCTTTCCTCTTTCCTCTTTCTTCTTTCTTCTTTCTTCTTTGAGATCTGATAGAATGTCAGCCACAACTGTAGATGTGCTCTATGTTGAGCAGGAAGCGTTGACTGGCTTATCAGATGTACAGCAACAGCCGCATACAACAGCCTCGGCACAAATAATTGAGCCTCTGAACATCGAACATACTCCAGACATAGAGCCCAACTATCCCACAGGCTCCAGATTCTGGCTCACAATCATTGTACTATGTGTAGTCCTGATAATGGGAGGCCTAGATGCCAACATAGTCGCTACAGCCGTGCCGAGCATAACTAACCATTTCCACACTGTCGCCGACGTGGGATGGTATGCATCTGCATTCCGCCTTTGCACATGTGCATTTCAGTTTGGTTTCGCGAAGTTGTACAAGCTCTTCTCAATCAAGATCGTTTTTTTGATAAGCAATGCTATATTTCTCGTTGGCTCTCTACTCTGTGCCACAGCTGCTTCGTCGCCCATGTTCATTGTTGGAAGGGCAGTTACAGGCCTAGGGTTTTCGGGTGGACTGTCTGGCTGTTTTGCAGTTGTTATCAATATTTTGCCCCTCGACAAGAGGCCGGTGTATACTGGCTTGCTGGCGTGTGTGGAATCGCTTGCGATTATATCGGCACCCATAGTGGGCGGTGCATTGACGCAGGCTTTGGGGTGGCGATGGTGTTTTTGGTATGCTTGCAAGTTGCAGAAGTGATTGGAATCTCAAAATGCTGACTTTATCGTACATAGGATCAACCTTCCTATTGGAGCTTTGGCGCTGGCGGCCATCTACTTCCTCTTCTCGGACCCAAGAACACGTCAAGAAGACGACCTCACTCTGAAAGAGAAAATCAGAGAGCTTGACCTCGTCAGCAACTGCTTATTTATCCCGTCTTTAACATGTCTGTTCATCGCGCTATCTTGGGCAGGAACAAAATATTCCTGGTCAGACAAGAAAGTAATAGCATTGTTTGTTGTATTTGCTGTCCTACTCGCCGCCTTTATATTCAATCAATACCGACGCGGAGACTCAGCAGCTCTGCCTTTCCGCATCATCAAAAGCAGAAGTGTTATCGCAGGCTTCATCTTTACGACGTGCACGAATTCAATGACAAATGTCTTCGAGTGGTATCTACCGACATACTATCAAGTGGTTCGATCTAAAGTAAGATCTTGTACCCAACTTATGACATTGACAAGATACACTGACAATCCAATCTTCCGCCAGTCCCCAAGTGAGAGTGGCTACCTGATGATCCCAATTCTTGTGGGAATGATGCTCGGGCTCTTTCTTCAAGGCATTGGCACGACTACGTTCGGCTACTATGCCCCATTTATGATCCTCGGCTCCATGATTATGCCAGTGGCCGCGGGCTTAATGACAACATATGATATGCACACATCCCTAGCCAAGATCATCCTCTATTCCGGGTTAGTAGGATTCGGCGGAGGCATCGGCTTCCAGGCCCCACAAGTAGCTGTCCAGTCGACGCTCAGTACTGGAGATGTCAACCTGGGAATCGGAGTCATTCTGTTCGGACAGAGCATGGGCCCAGCAGTGTTCATCGCGATTGCCCAGGTCATATTTAGCAACCAGTTGTCGTCAGGTTTGGGAGAAATTGTACCAGGTCTCACATCTGCATATATTGAAGAGCACGGACTTAATGATATCAAGGATATCGTTCCTATGGAACAGTGGGGTGAGGTTTTGAGTGTTATTGATCGAAGCTTGACTCATACGTGGTACCTCGCTATTGCCTTGGCTTGCATGACAATTGTCGGAAGTCTTTTGGTTGAATGGCGCTCGATTAAGCAGAAACAGTCATGATACTTTTCCTTTGGTATTCATCTGATGTGACTGGATGGTATAGTGGCAGGTATACGGGGACCCATAGCAGTGAGCTAGGAAATAGCAAATCGGGTTCGGTATAAGATAGTTTGGGTTGTGAAGACCTATGAGTTTCCCTCTTTGGTTGATTTTGCTTTTGACAGCATAGCTTCCTAATATGCCGGATTGTCATCAAAGCCTTCAGCACCTCTAAATTTCTACTACTTAGTAGTAGATATAAGAGCTAAGATGGCAGGCACTGCTGAGTTAGGTCCCATTAATGCATGCCAGTATGCCTTTTTCGTCGAGGGCGAACAAAATTGACTGAATGACGTTGAAAATATCCATTTTCTTTGTTCCCATTCAGAGTGATTGATTTCGTATTGCGAAGGTGCATCACGGCCAGGGTCAAATTGAATTATTTCTAGAATTGTGGCCGAAATATACATGCTCTTTTTTTACCTTTTTTCCACTTCTTTCTATATCTCTTCTCACACCTCTTCTCCACTCTGTTTTATCAAGGTGTTTGTTATAGTGATTGAAATAATTTGAATTATTTTGCCAGACTTAAGTTAAGCATCTTTAGGGAATCTTAGAAATCGTTTAGCCCGACCCCTAACCGCTATACACCTTCGTGTATGGCCTTATAGACATAGTTATATAAACCCATCCATTTTCCCGTAGACGCTATCTATATAACTTTAGCACGCGCTTATAGCCCCTTTCCTAGTGATTTTTGAGCAGTATGTTTAGATAGATATAATATTTAGGAAAGTACGCCTAATTTTTATAATATATTCAAAGACATATCAACAACGACCTCCGCTCAGATCAGTGTTCCTTTTGGTTTCTAGCATTAGTGATTTGGAAAATGATTGGCTTCGAGAAACATGCAATTGTGTTTCAACATTTGGTGAGGAGATTGAAATCAAAAATTGAGAAATAGTTCACGCCTTCACGGTCTGCTGCAAAACCTCTGCCAGACGATCTGGCATACTCAAAAACGGCGAATGCGAGCTGGGCAGCCGATATGTGTTTTCCGGCCCACCCATCTTGGAAGCAAAGAGTTCTTGGAATGGGGGTGGCAGGGCACGATCCTGCTCACACACGATATAGGCGCAAGGAATCTCGCTCCAGGGCTCATATGTAGACTCGCCAGAGAATACAGCACGCGAGGTGTGTAGTGCTAATGAGTTCCACTTCTCTTGCTTATCGAGGGAGATATCCTGCCAGCCAATATCTCCGGCACCATCTGCAAGGACGTAGTCACCCTATTCACTTGTCAGCTTCGTCTTTGATTGATGCATATTTTGTATTCTATCTGCGTATAAGTCTTAGGCTAAACTTACCTCGACCTTCATCCAGGGCAGATAGTTTCCTCCTAGCATACCCAACAAGCTTTGGCCTTTATCCAGTGCAAATGCTGCTAGGTATACAACCTTTACAACGCCACCAACCTTGCCCTCGGCTGTACGGGAAGCTTTGCTCAGTCCCTCAACAGATGAGGAAGCAACCACACCACCGTAAGAGTGTGCAACGACAACCAAGTCGCGACCCTCATCCGCAAGTTTCGTCAACACCTCACGCAGGGAGGCAGTATCGTCAGATAGAGTCTTGGAAGGCGGTTCAGCGCCAATGGAAGGATGTGCGGGGCACTCGGAGAGAAACCCGAGGGCATTCAGTTGGAGACGGGTAGCATCGAAGACGGCTGGGATTACCCAGGCACCGAGAGAAAAGACAAATGTTGGGTTAGTCATGTTGTAACAAGTCCAGATGACTAGATAAATATCGATATGAGTTCAAGAGACGAAAAGAGATGATGAGAGCTCAGGGGCGGAAAAATTGGCATATTAGCGTGCCTCTCGTGGGATCATACCAATAGCCATTGTCTCTAGAAACACAACAAAAGGGGTTTAATCCTATTCCGGCATAACTAATATCAAAAGATTCCTCCTTGATATAGATTTCGTAGCGTGATGTGGGTCTTCCGTTAGCTGTAGCGTCGTCGATGGCGCCCATTGACCAATAAGAATAGATTTGGTGAGCTGTGGATTCGGCCCCAGCGTAGACTTGTGGTTTAATATGGGTCCTCGGTTGGCTGTAGCGTCGTCGGTGGCGCCCATTGACCAACAAGAATAGATTTGGTGAGCTGTGGATTCGGCCCCAGCGTAGACTTGTGGTTTAATATGGGTCCTCGGTTGGCTGTAGCGTCGTCGATGGCGCCAATTGGCCAATAGGAATAAATATTGGCGAGTAGACTCGCAGCGTTGGATTCGGCACCATGGAGGAACCACAATTTCTCTTGTTTTGAATCGGCTGCCCCTTCTTCTGCCCAATTGCTAGTTGTTCCTTCACTGCAAGCGAGTCATACAATAACAATGGCTTCCAACGATGCTCAAGAGAGTACTCGGCCCAAACAGCGCATCACGACCATCGTGCTGGCCGTGTTGGCCATCGTGTTTTTGGTGCTCAGGCTGGTCGCACGGCGCATGAAGCGAATCCATTTGGGGGCGGATGACTGGACCCTGATTGTGGGATTGGTGTGCAGCTCTTGTTCCTCTTTTAGTATCCAGCGTGTCCTGTCTAAGATCGTTCTAGCTCTTTGTGTTAGTTATTGCGGGAATCAACCTCGCCTGTATGTCTCTATTGAACATCCATTTTTGACTGGCTAGCGCGAGGTGAACTGACAAAATTGCAAGCTATTCAATATGGCATGGGTCGGCACACAAATACCCTTCCTCTTGATGAACGAGTTACATTTTTCAAGGTATGATGGGTAGACGCACGATCTGATCAACTTCAAAGTGTAATTAATCGTAATGGCTAATTACGCACTTCTAAATAGTTGGTCTACGCCTTCGAGCCTCTCTATATTACAACAGCCGGCATCATAAAAGTCGCCGTGCTACTAATGTACTATCGCATCTTCCCTGTCCGCTTCGTCAAAATGGGCGGCTTCATTCTCGGCGGGATCACCCTAGCTTGGGTCATATCCATCAGCCTCCTAGCTATCTTTCAGTGCTCGCCCGTATCCAAGGCGTTTGATCTCACGCTTCCTGGTCACTGCATTAGTCTCAAGGGGGCACTTATCGGGAACGGAGTACCAAATTTTGTGGTGGACATATTTATCCTGGCTTTGCCTGCAAAACTCATTTGGGGCCTGCAGGCAAGTTTGTGGCATCGCTTGTCAGTTATATGCGTATTTTTGACTGGAAGCTTGTGCGTGCCATCATCCATGCTTTTATACAATTCCTCAGCAAAGTGCAATAAAGAAACAATTATTTGAGAACATGCTGACGTGAGTGAATAGTGTCGTATTTGCGAGTATCTATCGCTTCAGCCTCATTTTCATCTTCGACATAAACGACATTGCTTGGACCCTGGCTGACGCGCAAACCTGGTGCGTGGTCGAGACCTCTGCAGGTGTCATTTCCGCCTGTCTACCTACTATGGCTCCTCTGGTCAAATTCTTCGCAAAAGGCTTGGTCTCTACCACCCGCTCGCTCTCAAGATCTAACCGGACACGGTCTGGAACTGGAGTCCTTTCACGACGTGATGCTGATATGGCGGGGTCTACCAGTACGGAGAACAGGACGGTCACAGCCGGCGATGCGCCTCGTCGTAGCAATGAGAGTTATGGTCTGGTAGAAATGAGTCCTAACAACCGGGGGAACTCGCATATGAAAGGCAAGGGTTGGATTGTGATGAACGCCGATGCTGATAGCGATTCAACTTAGCACTTGAAGCTGGGCCCGTAGGATATATGGATCTTGAAATCGATGTTGAGAATTCCAAGGCTCTAAGTAATATCTACTAGTAGAACATCGGATCATTGTAAGCTAACAACTTGAGCATAACGCTTCTATCCTGTCCAGCCTCCTAAATGACAAACTGCTCAGTCATCCAGTGCAAATGGATCCTCTTCATCATCCTTGTCGCTGTCGCTATTATCCACGGTATTACTCGTTGCAACGTCCGCTGCCTTCTTAGTTCGAACTTTCGCATCCTGCAACTGCGCCTCGAGATTGGATGCATGGGCCTGGTGGAGTTAGCAATTGCTGCATGTGTAAGGCACGATCTAACTTACTACAAGAGTACCCGCCTTGTCTCGCACCTCGGGGGGCTGCTGCAGAATCTTCAATCCTAGATTGTTGTTGTCGATTCTAGCTTGGACATTCTGGGATCCTTCCCTGCTACCTTCTTGCATCGCCTGGACTTCTTCGGTGGGGAGTTGAGGCAGTCCGGCTTCTTTCAGCGTTTGTCCGATCAGGTTGATCCGTGGCTGGATGTCGGCGACGATCTTTTTCACTTTCTGTATAGGGTGTCAGCTTCTGATACATATGTACTGACTACGCTTGGTAGAAAAGCCGTCACTGACCGCTTCGATGATTGCGATGATTCCCTTCTGGGCGTCGCTGGCGTATCTAGCCAGGTTGGCCTTCTTCTGCTCGACATCTGAGTCATCAGTAGACTGACCGAGACGGCTGACGAGGGTGAATCCAGGGAGAATGTATTTCTCGTCGATCTGGAGGTAGATTCCAGCGATGTCCTGAAAGAAATCAAACGAGCAGATACTGTCCAAGGAGTATTCGAAGATAATTCGTTTGGTGACGTGGTCAAGTAACCCCCCTTGCTCGAGAGAGCCGACAGTAAGCTTGCTGTTGTTGAGCAGCATCTGGATGTGCGAAGTGTTAGCGGTGGCGATGATCACCTTGACCTTCTGGAAGAAGGCGACTAGTTTGGCAATGTTGGCTTTCATGTCAACTAGGAAGGTAACGCAGTCACTCAGCACTCGACGGATCGTTTCCTGGGATGGTCAGTATCGAGACATTCGTCAGAGAGAGAGAGATATAGAAAAATACCAAGGTCGCCTTCGTAATATCCAACTCGGCGATTTCTTTCCGCAAATTGGCCAGATTGTTTTGCATCTGGATAGAGGTATCCTGCATCTGTCTGGCCGTGTCCTGGGTCTTGGTATACACATCCAGGGCGCTATTCATTTTGGCCACGTGCGAGTCGACCATCTGCTTGGTTAGATCCGACCGAGCCTGGATGCTTTCCTTTTCGGCATTCTCTTTCGGGTTCATGATTGCCGTCATCGGATTTCCTGTCATGACCTCTTTCTTCGAGTTGAGCTTCCTGACCGAAGCCACTGCTTTTTTGGCTGACTTTTTCCATTCTTTGACCTGGGTCGAGTCTTTCTTGGGTTTTTCCCAACTCTGGCTGAGATTGGCGGCTTTTTTGCCCTCTGCTTCGAGTTCTTTGCAGATCTGTGGTGGCCATCAGTATTGCACACTTGCACATCTGCACACCCAAGAGGTCTGGAGTGGAATCTCACCTTGAGGGTGTTGTTAATGGCACTGAGCAGGGTCTTTGCGTTGGCTGTATTTCTGTCCGTCTTGGACGACCGAATCGTGCTCTTGGTCCTTTGGAGCATCGTCTTGATCATCTCCACATTCCACTTGCCTTTCGTTTTGCTGTCATCATCCTTCTTCCCGGCCTTTGACTGCGCACTCACTAACCCCCAGACGACACCGTCCGGCCCGGACAGGATATCGACCATCGCCTCGACCGGCTTGGTCACCATGCTGCAATAGATCAAGGCTAGATCAGCCTCGGCACTCTTCTCCTTCGCGTCCGAGCTGTCTGTCTTGGTCTTATTGCTGGAAGAACTGGTGGTTTTATCGCCATCATCAGGCTTGTTATTGCCACCAGTGAACGAACTCATCATGTTCTGTGCCCCTCCCATGGGATTAATTTTGGCCGCGACGGCGTTGCCAAGCGATTTGACCAAAGTTCCAAGCATTTCTGCACCCATGAGAGTCAGTTGCGCTTTGAGTAGGTCGTCGCTATATTGATCATGGTTAGCCACTTCACGTCAAATAGTTTGAGGGCAAAACAAAAGAAAATTAGAACGTACCCCGTGGGAAACTTGGACTGAATATCTTTATAGCTGTCATACAGCTCGGTCACTCTGCCCTCAATCGTCGCCACCTTGGTTTTGTGCTCGGCTAGGGTCTGTTCATGTGACTCTTGGAGGACCTTCTTTGCTGCAGCCTCATTGCTAGCCGTCGCGAACTGCGTTTCGGTGTGTCCCTGCTGTTCAACGACGGCTTCATACAGGTCCATGATGTACTGCTGCCAGATGGTGAACTCATCTTCCATCTCCCGTGCTGCAGTTTCGCACGTGTCGGCTATCTTACTGACGGCGTCCATCTCGCTGCGGGTGAAGGGAGCGTTGAAGGGAGTTGTGCTGAGGAAGCGGAAGATTCGGACGATCTGGAGAGTTGTTAATGCAAGTCATAGTTACTGAGGTATTATCCAATCATTTACATGTTTCTTTGCATTACCAGATGATGTCTGGATCAGATACATGTTTTTCGAGGCTGTCTGAAAGGCCTTTTGCCCTATATGGGTGACTTCGGTCAGGTTGGTGTTCAAATATTCGTATCTAGAAGAGTTCATTTAGTACGTAGCATTGGATCTCTTTATTTTGATGCTTCTCTTGTCAAACATACTGCTTCTTTGATCGAGAGCCCTGTTTCAAAGTGATCTTGGTCCGTCTAGCCACTTCGGTCGAAGCAGCCAACGAACAAGATCCCAGCATTTCCAGACAGACGGGAGCAGCACATAGCAGAGACAGCCAGTCGTTGTCGGTCCATTGCATGACATTTGCATCTATTGGGTTAGAAAGGTTCAAACGTGGTATCTATTGTGGCTTAATGGACATACTGGTAATGTACTCCTGCAATTTCACCGAGCGTACGGCTGCCTTGGCAATCTTGAGCTCGCCTGAGTCGGACATGGTGTTGTGAACCGTGTTCAAATGTTAAAGCGAAGAGAGAAAAAGAGGGGCTCTCAGAGAGGAAGGGAAAGAGAACACAGAGCATAGACGTTTATATTACCGGGGTTGCTTTTTACAGCCAGGGGGGTCGCTATACTTGCCCCCTATAATGATTCCCTTCCTCCTTGACCTCCACCTTCCCCTCTTATCCTCTCTCAAGTGGGCCCACTCGAGGGCAATAATTCTTCTCGCCAAGAGATCTTGACAAACAGTAATGCAAGATCCACTGACAGATGTGATCTTGGCGCTAAATTAACTTCAATACATACATTTGCTCTATGTAGTGGCTCAGCTGAAACTGCGGGCACATTGGGAAATCTTTGCCCAGTTGCATCTTTTGTGCAGCTGCCAAGTACAGCTGAACGAGGTCGCCTCTATCTGTGGAGACGGGAAGCAGATCTCTCGTCGTCATGGCCGCAAACGGTGGAGAAAGTGGAGATCGGGGCCCTCTTGGCTGCATAAATGTGATGGATCTTTTACCCGACAGTAGGGAACAGAAAGAGAAAATGGCAGGGAAAATGGCGCGTACTAAATCCATCAGTCAATGGGGTATAAATGTTTTAAATGCTGTATAGTCTTTTTTTTCTCTCGGGTAGGAAGAACTTGAAGAAAAGATCATGATTCGTTATCTCCCCTGGTCGGCGCGTCTAGCCCGAACAGTTCATCCTCGACTTGGACTTCCTCTAAATAGCTTCAGTTCGTTTTCAACTTTATCGTTTCGGCCCATTCCGTCCTCCCGTCCGTCTTCTCGGCCTCATCTCTCTCCACCCAATGCTATCGTTTCTCCCGTCCTGTCCCGAGGCTACGCCCTCAGATTCGACCCAGTCCCACAGTTTCATTCCATCGCGGATTTGAACGAATTAATCGACCAAGTCCAACGGTTCCTCCACACAGGTACCCAACTGGTGATGACACAGGAAGATATTATGTGGGAGTACGATGCTTACGTCCAGCAATTCTGGTGGATTTTTCGGACCCTCGCTTATCTGGCAAGGGAGATTTCACATCGTTCTTCTGCTACAGGGAGGGCCGCACGATGCGGGTTCGACCCGTACATCCTTAAAGTTCACCAGAGGTTCGAGTTACTTTCCAAAGAACTCAAGAAACTCGTGAAGGACTCGATGACGACTTTGGAAAAGGTATCCCCCTACCATCTAATGAGCTCGAAGTATACAATGATGCTGACAGGACAGGCTACCGAGGCTGTTTCCCATAGCTCCACTCTCCAGGCCGGCATCGAGGCAGCAATGCGATTCACTAAAGCCGAAATGCAGAAGTTAGAGACACAAAAAGCGGCTCTGGGTAAGGAAATCGAGAATTTGAAGATGAAACTCCGTGATTCTGAGCGAGCATCGCGACATATGATGTACAAAGTACAAAGTATGGCGCGTGACGTGAGTAACCACAGTCGAATATCACTCACCTCAATGTTAATATGATGATAATAGGGACATGGGCGACTATTTTCCGATTTCGTTGACGCTTTGAGAGCCCAGCGAGGCAGCTGGGAAAACCGGCTTCAGCAAGGAGTAAGGGAAAGAGATCGGCTGTACGAAGAGCAAGAAGCCATCAGGAGGAAAGTCGCACAAAAGACTCGCGAGCTAGAGAGTGCCAAAGGCGCCAAAGGTACTCTGGACTCCATTGGCTCTGAGCTAAGGGGGAAATCTGGGCAGCTCAACAAGACTATATCCCAATTCCGTGAGGTTCAAGACAAGTGCATCACGGAGAAGGACCGGATGTCCCAAATGTATGGTAATTACGTCATGAAGATGAGCATCAAAATTTCTTTGATCGAGACTTCATTCGGAACGAATGCACTAGCCAAGGCCGTGATAGAGGTGACATTGTTAGGACTGAAATCCCCAGAAAATGGGGCCATCTCTGAACATGCCACTGCGATTGCCGATTCTCTGTCGAGCCTTGACCAGAGCGTCGTTGAAGCCGAGGATGAGGATGATCCGTTTGCCCTGGGAGACACTTCTCTGGCGGATAAGTTGGCGGAGCTGAAACGAGAATTGAAGTCGACCCGGTTTAGTCACTTTGTGCTAGCATACGGTATGCATCGTCGACCTGAGTGAAGAAGGGCACATGAATGGTCGGTCTAAATGGGTGTAGTCTATTGTGTCTATAGTTATTAGTTCTTTCACATGCGGAGCTGAATGGTTCAACACTCAATTCTAGAGTTAGCTTTAGTACTCATCACTCAATGTTGCTTTAGAAGATCTCTTTGGTCTATACAAGCATGAATAAAGCTCGAGACTGTAACTGGCACTAGTGTTGAGTAACAAACAGTATGTAGGCGACATAGAAACAGAGCTGTCTTCCAAACAATTGCCATGGCCACTAAGGGCCATTCTCAACTAGTAGAAAAAAGTTATAGATCATAAAATTATTTGATTCTTTCATATACAAAAAATTTTCATATTCCACTCAAACAATTTCCAATTTTGAAAAGGATACCAGTTTGCGGAACAACACACATTGTAGAAGCTATAATAATCTGCAGTTTTACACCTGATGCTTTTGATGCTGTACAATCAGGGGTAAGTGAGTCCGTCATGGACTCGGGCTCCCTGGAAAGTTCGCCGTCGGATATGGTGATAATCAGCGGAATGTTGTTGATTGAGAACGCAGATTTAGCGGGCGTGCTGTATTTCGAATCGCATACTGCGGCTGCGGATCGGTTGAGGCAGTCTTGTGCACAGGGTGATATGGCATGGCGGAGGGACATGTTGCGGCTGATGATCCGCGAATCGGCTCCATTTGGCTGGGGTTGACGACATTGATTGGAGCGTTACTCGGCTTCCTAATCGCAAAACTGGTAGGGCGAGCTGCTCCAGGTGTTTGCCAAAGTGGCAGGACAACTTTTTCCACTCGCTACAGACATGGACATGGCCGCAAAATAGAATGATGCTAATAGGTCTATAATTCAACGGATGAAACATGCACCCTCCAATTCCAATGATGCATGTGGGTCATTAGCTGGGGTCAACCTTGGACCCTTAGGGTTGTCCACTCGGTAGTGAAATATGTAGAAGTAAAAGTAATTTATCTACATATATAAATCTATTATAGTTTTCTTATATGTAGGGTAGTGATACTATATAAGGATCGTTGATACCACCCCTCCCTTAGATCTGACCATGCCCCCTTGCCCATAATTTGAAAAGGCCAGAGGACGGACCAACGTTGGAAAAGTCATACATGTATGACCCAGGGCTGCATATTTCTTTATATATTGTTCCATCGCAGTCTTTCATGATTTTAGGATTGTCATTTTCATCTGGCTAAAGCTCGTGGCTTGGGTAAAAGTACATGGAGAATTGGTACTTTGAAATTTTGGTTATATATCTGAACAACGGCACAAACGCAATAATCAAGCGGAGCTTGACTGACACTCCACACCAATATCACCATCAATTCCATCACAAGTAACCACAGAGGGACTACCGGATGGGCTAGTGATATCAATATCGGAAAGAGTGATACCAGAGCAGACGGCGTTAGGCGAGCAAGTAAGATCAGCAACGACTTTTCCGTTCTTACCAGACGAGGTACCGTAGATGTTCTCGAACCTGATGTTGGTGAAGTTGACAGCAGATGGGTACTCGGCACAAGTTGTGCTGTTAATGTTGAAGTAGCACTGGTCCAACACGATAGGGGCATCGGTGTTCTCGATGTGGATGTTCTTGTAGGTGACATTGTTGATGCGACCAAAGCCGACATCGGGTCCGGCCCAGGCCTTGAGGCGGGCGCCGTTCTATGTGGAAGTTAGTGTCAGATCACGGAGTGGGGACTAGAATGTTTTTTACCTGGCCGTTCAACAGAGTCACATTCTCGATCCAGGCGTTTTCAATAATGTCTTCGACTCCGGAATACTGTCCAATACTTCCCATGCTCACACCGTGGGTGTTGTTGCACCAAAGGTTCTGCACGAAAATGTTCGTGGTGTTGGGCTTGGGCGAGAAGCAGTCGTCGCCAATGTCGATGCGGGTGTTGGTGACGCTCAGGCCATCCACGTTCAAGGAGTCAAATCCATCGGTGTTCTTGGGCAGGGCCTGCAATGTGATTAGATTTAAGACTGATTGGCTATCTCGGGATCACTCACAGATGCGTTGGTGGAAAAGGCATTGATATACACATTGTCGAAAGAGACATCCTTGGTGCGAACGAAGAAGTTGGTCCAACAGGGCGAGTTGAGTTGAGTGATTCCTTCAACACTAATACGGGTGGCATTGTCCGTCAAAAACAGAATGGGGCGGTAGTAGGTATTTGTCGAGTCCTAGATTTAGGTCAATAGTCAATCTTCAACGTTGGGAGTTAACACTCACAAGAATCTCCAGGCCAGCAAAGCCGTTGTACCACGCTTGGCCATTACCATTCAGGGTACCCTTTCCGAAAATCTTTATGTCCTTGCCACCCCAGACCCAGAATGTAATTGACTTTTGGAAGGCATAATAGAAGTTGTTTGCTTGCCAATATTCAATATCATCGGTGAACTGTGTTCATTAGCATGGTTAGGCTGATTGGTGGGAGCTTCAAATGACTTACCTTCAATTCACCCTCAAGCTGCACCTCAATGTTATCCAAGAAGCTGAGATCCAGCTTCTTGCCGATGATATAAGTCTTCCCCTTCTGCAGGACAAGTCTACCACCGTGGTTGGCAGCCTTGATACCCCAAAGGAAATCATCTGCAACATCATCGGTATCACTCTTCGACGAACGAATAGTCACAGTCCGACGATCCGGATACTTTTGACCATGGGCACCAATTTTCTTCAACGCCGCCTTATCCTTGGCAGGAATAATATGAGCACCTTTGATGATATGTTCAGTTGCGATAGCACCGACAGTGCTGAGCAGCAGTGCACCAATAGCGAGGAACTTCATGGCAGCGAGTTGAATGCACAATTGATGCTATCTACACCTCTTCACAACCAGCAAAAATCACCACTCCTTTATAGAAATACCCCAGACTCTTAACCCCAACAAAAAGATCTCAAACCCCAGACTGATCAGGTCCGGGGAACGGCACGACGGACAGAAGGGAGAGATTTCTCCGCCTGTAAAAAGCAAAGAATCATTCTTCCAGAACAGGGATGATCTACAAGGTCAGCGGAATAAGTGCGCAGTATAGCATACCTGTGGTGTTGCGTGGTGTGTGCATAGAGAAAATGGATGAAATCATTTCTCCGCATTTCGCCAAGGGGATCCAAGAGCGGGGATGCGGAGATATTTTTGTCAGAACAGCTTGGCTGTGTCCTTATTCGAGGCAGTTTGGATAGTTGTTGTGGCCGGATGGGAATTCGCCGTCTTGGGGTTGATTTGTGCGTTGGGGGAGGGGATCTTCCACCAATCAGCGAGACATGATGTTTGCGCAGATCTTTTGTTCATATTGATTTTGGGCTCTGATTAGATGGATTTAAAGGACGGGTCAATTTCGGTACTTTATTTTGCGCTGTATATTTTGCTTGGTGGCTGGCGAGTTGGCTTGGTCCGGGGTATACCATTATCCAAACTCATATGATAGTGGAACTGTCTCCAGTATATCAGTTCAACATTGAAACAGACCAGGACTCCCTCGTATCATCAAAGAGACATAATCGCATTGCAAACTCTTTCTGAGTTTCAAATGTACTTCATCGCCATCCCCCATCTACCGTGATCCGGCCAATTCGGACTCTGATCTTAATCCCCTTGGGCTTCTTTTTGGATACGCAGTAACCCCGATTCCTAGCACTTGGAATTGACCTCAGGATAGTTGCAGTAGACAGTGCGTCATGAAGTCGGCCTAAAGTGCTACTCAGTTCGTTCTTTGCGAGAGAAACCTAACACCTGAGAAATATGCCGCGAAGATTGTCAGATTGGTTTCCGAGTAGAGCTCATGCAGTGTTATATATTTGTATGTATCATTGTGTATATCACAAAAAACAGCGCAAAAAGGTACCTAGGTAACCCTTCAGAGCCTCTTGCTGGCAACGACCAGGCCATAGAGACAGCTGATGTTACCAGACCACCAAGCCACAGAGCGGAGGTAGCTGGTGGGCTTATAGGTGATGTGAGTGTAAAGCAAGCTGTACGCAACACGAGAAATGGAATACCAAGCTCCAATAGTGTTGATGGTCTCATTGGGGACACCAGCAAACAGCGAGATTAGAACTGCATTGTGATTATGTAATCAGTATTTTTGCCGAGGTTGAAAAAGCTTCACACATTGAATTGGAGGGATGTCACATACTCGACGCAACAAACAAGGTGTATCCCTCTTGAGCATTCGCATGGGCTGCTTCGCGGCGCTTGAGCTTGTTGAGCGTAGCGCGGCTGAACTTTCCAGCCTGAACAGCAGCCTCACCCAAGGTCGTCAAGTCCTCACGGGGACAGACATTGTTGTCAATACCGAGACGAATCTTATCACCACGGGTGCTCATCAGACAATATGCCCAGACCCAGTTAGCGATCAGGAAGCCGGAGGCATGGCTGGCGGCTGCTTGGCCAGGGGCGGCCCGAAGGCCGAGCGTTGTGAGGATGGCACTAGGGTGGTCAGCTCGACTGAGTCGCAAATATTTTAACATTGCAGTAGGTTGACTAACGACATGATTTCGAATATAACAATGTGATGGAGGGTTTGAAAGGGGTCGGCGGTGGTCTTATATCCGCATGTGGGAGAGCGGGGGCACCTAGCTAAGGTCTAGAGAAGACTTGGCGGGGACTAGAACAAATCTGACCTAATTTCCAGTCCCCTTCAGCTTCCTGACCTAGGGGGAATGGATGAGATCATGTATGCCGATCGGGTCCACTTTCAACAGCCAAGTTGTCAAGATGAGATCAGCAGTTTTTTCGGCTTGCATTTGCTTCAAAAGGGGGCATATTCCCTTATATCGAACCTGATGGCTCGAACAGACAAAACTGACCCCAATCGCAAGATAGGGGTTGAGTGTCTCCAAAAGAAGAAAAAGAGCAGCATTGATTTAAACTAACAAACAGAGCAACACAACTAGCTCATCTCTTGACCTACGCGATTCTCGGAAGAACGAGATAGCTACCTTATTTCCCGGCAATATGCAGTATGCCGTCCCCGACTCATATCCCGAGGCTCAGTAAACTTCAGCGCCTCAACCTCCGGCAACGACATATCATGACTATAGATCTTAAGCAAAACTTCTCATCGGTCTCATAAATCACACCAATAGGCCAGATAGGAACGAGCGACTCCACAGCCGCACTAGCCTTTAAATCAGAGGGGCAGAAATGCTGTTCCAAGGTCTTTATGGGGTTATTGCCTATTTATGATTTCATTTCAACCTCTGCCTTTGTGGTATCGCATCTCAATTACGGTTCACACATGCATAGTTTCTTCGAGCTCTTGCGAGGATGTTTTGGTCAACACGCGTTCCAACGAGCCGGTACAGTTGGTATCCCCACTCCAGCATAAAACAATTGTGTCCGAGCCCTCACGGAAATGAGATCCATTGTCGGCGCGGAATGGCTCATTTGAGATGCTGGAAAACCGGTTGTTCAGCACAACAGAGTGGCCGCGGCGATTCACAACACTGTTGTTCGGAACGGGCTCACTCTCAGAAAGGAGAACGATCTTCACTGGGTGATCTCTTATAACTGGAACTCTGAACCACATATAAAGCGAATTCAGGACTGGTATTGACAGCCCATGAATGACGATGGAAAAGAACACTAGCCAATATACAACTGCGCGGGTGTAAGTATATACCGGAGTGATGGAGTAGGAAACGCATACCTGGAATCATCGCTGCGGTCAGGTTGTTGATCTCTCGATCACTTTCTCCAGGATCGGGCAATAGTCTTCGAGCATATTCAACGTATGAAATCGCTCCAACGCCTGTAAGTGGTAAGCACTGCCTGAACAAAAAGACATAGTGATCAAAAAACTTACCTATCGGACCGAAATATCCCATAAACAAGGCCTCCTTCCAATCGTTGCAGACTTTGGGCATGAAACGATAGCCCATCATGATCGCTGGAATACGACGGAAGACTAAAATCAAAACTCCGAGGCCAATTAACCGAGAGATAGTGATTCCAGTCTCGCTGGGCATGTGGAGTTGATTCCAGGGCATTATCGCACCAAGAAACATAAATGTTCCAATATTCAAGATGTTTTCGATGGTTGCATTGAAGGAGTCGTGTCTTTCTTCGACTTCAAAATGGTAACTTCCATCCCAGTTCAGCGCGCAGCCAGCAACAAAACAGGCGAGAGTCTCGTCCGACCCAAAGCAGCCACATGTGCCAACGATAAATAACTTCAAAAACGATTAGCGGGTGATCAAAAACCGAGATGTCATAATCTGCTTACGCCAATAGCGACTGGGTATGAAAAGAAGCTCTCTTTATCTACCCAACGTCTAGATATACCGTCAGTTGGAGTCGAATCTTCGTTTCACGATGATGGAATCACCTCTCAGAAGCCAGGTTCAAGGCTTTGCGACTCAGAAATCCTACCAAAACACCATACCCAGCTCCCATGACCAGCATATATAGAACCCCCTCAACGGCCCAATGAGCCAAGGCGCGACCAGCATTGCCGCCAAGCCGCCCTATATCCGGCTCGCCAATCCAATCTCTTGTATGGTTTGACCCACCCGCTGGTGTGGTTATGACATTTGGCGCATCGTCGTAACGGAGAAGCGCGATCGAGAGTAGTAGGAATGGAAATCCAAACCCATCATTTCCTCCAGCTTCTGCAGAGATAAACTCTCGAAGGTGTCGACGAACGTATTGGTCCGCAAATGGACCTTTTGCGATGGCCTGTGAGAGGACCGGATCTATACATATGACACACGATCCGATTATGAGGGATGTCAACTAATGATGTTGATGTTAATGAAATCCTGCTCGAGATCGCGAGAAGGAAAACCATACAAACGATAGGTGAGGAATCATCAATTTGATGCATGCCGAAGTCATAAGCCACTGAATTGTCATCAATGGCAGCAGGCAGATTGTCAGCTCGACAAGGCGTAGTCGTAGATAGCGTTTTGGCAACTCATAGCCGACTTTGACCATGGCTATTCCAATGACGAGGCGACTCAGAGCCTTTGATGAAAAGTTAGTTTCGATTTCCTCGCTCGCGATCAGAAACATACGTATGCAATATCACCGGTGTCATTTCCAGAGTCTCCGCCCCACTGGCTCACGTCAACGAATTTGGCACAAAAGGGTCCCAACACGGCCCCAACAATAAAAGATGGCACTAAATGATATGAGCATTTGTTATTTGGAGGGAACATTGAACATACAGGCTTCACCGAGGTACCATCTTTGCTTGATCTTCACAGCAATGAAACCAAAAACCAAAATATATATACCTAATGTCGTCAGAACTCGCGTTTGAGAGAGGCATGACTGCGTGGTCTTACCTGACAAAGTAAGGACAACATTAACACTACTGATATCAAGGATGGGATGCAGCATCCTGTTCCCGCAGAACACGAGTAACTAAGAGCCGAGTCGATGGATTCTGGAAAGGGAGTTGGACTGCCTGCTCTCCATTCAGATATTGTCGATCTCTTTTGTTGGGGATTGTTTGTGAAACTATGATGGGTATAACAGAATGATGATCTGGGCCGACGACTGACGTTGTCACAAGGATGGGGATGGGTGATATTGGCATAACTGTGAAAGTCGCGCAAATGCCTCGATCATATTGAATTTGTTCAAGAATGTTCCCTTGTCAAATTCGATAGCCTACATTGGATAGCTATCTTATCTTTGGTGTGCCACATCCGCAGCTTGCATACATCAAGGAGCAAGGGATGAGTGTGTGTACGTATCATAGATAGGGATTCATTTCGACGCACAGGGACATGTCAAGCTGTATTCAAGAACATGAGAAGGTAACAACGGAGAGAAAATAAATCTCAAAATTGGAGAACAATTTAATGAACCTGTGAGAATTGAAGTTTTGATCATCACATAATTGATTCGCATTAATACAAAAGCCGCAACTGCAGCAACATCGAATTTTGACGCGGGCGTCGTCACTATAATTAACTGGTCCTGTTTTTACAAATGCACAAAGCAAGTTTGCCAGTAACAGTGATTGCCTCCCGGCCTTGCATCCATCGGATCGACAATCCCGCAAAGCTTAGTGGCAGGCTGCACGATCCCTTGCGCGCGAGTCAGGGGCTAACCTATCAGGTTGCGCAAGTTAGACCCGTTCATAATTATTGCGACTAAGCTGTGTCAATTACACTTCTGCTATCCGCGCTATCCATTGCGTTCGCCCCCTCTCGACAATCCAGGGCCAGAATGCTCCAAATTTGGAACAAGGGATGACGAAGCAATTTCGATCCAACCCTATTTGAGTAACAAGGAGTTTGCACAATTGCTGTAACGATGCCAATGCCTTCTGGAAGGGCTTGGCTTGCTTTGCCAAGAGTGTTGAAGTGTACTTTGATATTTGGGCATCTTGACCTCGATAATGGCTTCAAGTAGGCTCCAGTATCTATAATTGGTTAGGTACAGCTAGTATGGTGCTTCATATAGGAAAATCTGCGGCAAATGGCGAGATGGCCCCTTTATTGCCATAGCCCTGATCGTGATATCTTGCGTAAATGCCTCATGGGCCCACCGCGTGATTCAGCCTAACTAACTATGAGATATTTTTCTCCCAGTTGACGATCAATGTTCGTAGAAGAGTATATATATTAGAGTCGATTCTACTCGAAAGATCGACTTTAATTTTCTTTTGCAATCAAACATATCGTCGAAATGGGTTCAATAGAGCAATTTCCCAAGCAATTCCTAAGCCAAGTGAACAGCGACTGCTCCAATGTCTATGGCTCAGAATTTGCTGCCCGACAGCGTCCAATCCAGAAGCTTCCAGATCGAGAGATGCCTCGGAATGTGGCCTATCAGCTCATCAAGGACGATTTGGTTCTCGATGGCCAACCGATGTTAAAGTGAGTATTTCCCTCAACATAATAAACATACTGATTAACATATATCTCCAAAGTCTTGCCAGTTTCGTCACTACCTACATGGTAGGAAGGACCACCTTTCCAATCACTGGACTCGTACTGATAGCATAATAAGGAAGATGAAGCCCTGAAACTCCTCGCCGAGTCATCGAACAAGAACATCATCGACCACGAGGAATATCCGAAATCCGTCGAAATCGAAACTCGATGCCTCAACATTCTGTCTGATCTATTCCACTCGCCAGTCTCAAATGATATCCCCACAGCAATCGGCACATCATGCATCGGTTCATCCGAAGCCATCATGCTAGCAGTTCTCGCGATGAAGAAGCGCTGGCAAGACAATCGCAAGGCGGAGGGCAAAGACTCCTCAAGTCCAAACATCATCATGAGCAGCGGCGTACAAGTCTGCTGGGAAAAAGCAGCCCGATACTTCGACATTGAAGAAAAGCTGGTGCCATGTAGCGAAACACGATACGTGATTGATCCCATCCAAGCCGTTGATCTCGTTGATGAAAACACAATCGGCATTTGCGCTATTCTCGGAACAACCTACACAGGACAATACGAAGATGTGAAAGCCATCAATGACCTGCTCGTCTTCAAAGGACTCGACACACCCATCCACGTCGACGCCGCTAGCGGTGGTTTCGTAGCACCATTCATCAAGCCGAATCTAGAATGGGACTTCCAACTCTCCAACGTGGTCTCAATCAACGTTTCGGGACACAAATACGGCCTGGTGAGCGAACCGTCACCCTCATATCATACCATACTAACCAAAAATAACAGGTCTACCCAGGCATCGGCTGGGCCCTCTGGCGCTCCCCCTCCTACCTCCCAAAGGACCTAATCTTCAACATCAACTACCTAGGAGCCGACCAACTCAACTTCAGCCTGAACTTTTCCAAACCCGCCTCGCACATCATAGCCCAATATTACCAGCTGATCCGTCTCGGAAGAAGCGGCTATACAAGCATAATGCAAAACCTCACTAGTACAGCCGACTACCTCTCATGTCAACTGCGAGAAATGGGTTTCATTCTCATGAGTGATTCCAACGGCGCAGGCCTACCCGTCGTTGCATTTCGCTTAGGTCCTACGCAGAACGCATTCTTCGATGAGTGGGCTCTTGCGCGCAAACTGCGCGAGAAAGGGTGGATTGTGCCCGCGTACACTATGGCTGCTGATTGTCAGACGATGGGGATGATGAGGGTTGTTGTTCGTACGGACTTCAGTATGGCGCGGTGTGAGAGTCTTGTACGGGATGTGCAGGCGGCGCTGGGGGCTTTGGCGCAGATTGAGCTTTTGAATATTCAGCGGTATCATGCGTAAGGATCGCGTTTTGCATTGTGTTGATAAGGTTTGCTAACGGGGTGATAGGCTGGTCCAGAGTCATCTCATGGTTCCGAGGAAGAATTGTGTTGATGTGGCTTGTGGGCAGATCGTCGCGGAGTTGGGGAGCAATGTTGTGAAGACTTGAGGTTGGATTGAGATTTGTTGCATATTGAGGGTGTTTACAGTTTAGGACAGGAGTTTGATATTTTAGAAGAAGTCCCATTTTTATAGCAATGGAAGAGTCAACATTATTCATTAAGATTGGAGATTGTCTAAGTGTAGAGTGTTCATGGTACTCATGGAAAGACGGGGATGTTGGAGAATAAATCTGTATCCCACAACTCAGGACCAGTATAGTCCATTCCATCAAGCCAACCTCCAAGATCCATCGGCTGCACCGAGTCAGTAAAGCATCCCACGTCATACAAGAGTGGCAAACTTACTGTGAAATCACTGAAATCTGTCGAAATCAGGGAAGCAGGATCCATATCACTGGGTGTAGCTGAGGCCGGCGTCAGACCCGAAGGTAGCGGTGTCTGTGAATAATCAATATCGGTGAAACAAAGCATCATGCGACTAAAAGAACTCACCTGCACGGTCCTCGTATCAACGGCAATCTGAGCATCCGGATGAGAAACCCCGCCCAAAATCTCCCTGCAAATCCTCACAACTCGTTTCGATGCCGCCTCAACATTGCAAAGGGGGTCTTCGCCCTTGACGCGCGATTTCACAGAAGCAAGAATAATACTCAAAAAGAAGAACGGTTTACAGCCCTTGCCACCGGGCCCGATTCTCCTCCCAAAGTTCTCCGCGGTGCGCTCGACGGCCTGCATCATGACACCCTGCTGGGATTGAATCATACTCATGAGAACGCTGGAATTTACGCCATCCATACCTGACGCCGAAGAGCGCATCTCATTAGCCTGGAGTGATAGTTCGACGCATACAGTAACGGCCGCGTGAAATGTTTCATCGCGGAACATCCCACTGCCCAGCTGAGTAATATGTGGGTAGACAAATGTTTCGGGTGAAAGGGGGAGCTCCATCTGCGAGAGGATGCCTAGTGATTCCTCGAGGCAGATTTTGCGCGAGTAGGAGCATTTGGGTAGTCTGACAACACTAAGAGAGAAGGGGCGGTGGAGGGCAAGGAGGAACTTGCGCATTATGAACAGGTGAAGGGATTGGGCAAAGCGATGGCGGTCTGATACTTCGGGGAGGATTGTTGAGGCGTTGTCTTCAAATAGAGAGGATGCATTTTGCATTGCGCGGGAGAGTTCATCGCCCATTTTGAGGGCGTCATCGTAGGATAAGTTGAACCTTAAACTGTTGACCTTTTTGGCGATTCGGTAGCGAAGTGGGAGGGTTTTTGTTAAGAGGGTTTGGTAGAAGTTCTGGGTATAGAGGGCTGTGCTGAGAGGCGCGGGATTGTTCTCCATGTCGGGTATCAAATCGGAATCGTCCCAATTTGACGGTGAATCGCAATCGCACTCGTCGAGATCGACTGAAGGTGGAACGCCGCGGTCAAGGGAGATCTTCAGGTCCAGCTCGACGATCGTGGCCCATAATCTGCGGCGTGTCTCACAGTAGAAAGGAGATGATTTGGGGAATCGTGTGGGATCGCGATGGAGGCCCATTGTCATTGCTGATCGAATCAAGGACCCGGCTGAGGCCCAGGCAACGTCCCCATCACTGGCAATTCCGAGACGTGCGACCAGTAGTAGCGACTGAGTTTGCAGCATTCGAAAGTCTATGTCTGGACTGATGAACGTGCATGAGATGTAGGACTGGACAGCCATAATCCATCTGATTGCTGGTTTTTGGAACACGTCGCGATTGTCTTCTCCTGGGGGCGGAACATAAAAGCAGCTGCCAGCGGCTATGACAGCGAGTAACTGAGCGACGAATGCCATGTCAATTGGCTGTGTATTAGTCCAGTAGTTGGCATACTGTTTGAAGAAGGTTGGCATATGCAGGATTCGATATGTCGTCTCAAAAGTATCAAGGTACAGTTGAAGTAAATGGTCCACAATCTTGCGTGTCGGAATCATTTCGTTGAGTTTGAAAGCCTGCTCCCGATACTCGCGCTGATGGTCCTGCGTCTCGCGCGACCATAGCTCGGTCTTGAACTGTTTCATGTCACAATACTCCTTATCCTTGGCTTCACCACGGCACCGACCACGGCGCAAAAATGCTCCAATATCATGAAACTAAAACAAACATATTAGCATATAGATACCCAATAACCAAAGCAAATGATCCTAATACTCACAAAAGAAACAGTAGTAGTATAATGGCTTCGCCCAAAATACCTCGTCTTCGCCTTCTTCCCGCGAAAACTCGAATCAGGCAAAAACCGCACCCGATCATCAACCCCCACATTCTCCGAGGTACTCGCTGTCTCGATCTCCGAATAAAGATCAGAAACCGAAGTAGCGGGCGTCTGTAAATTCACAGGTTTCAGTGAATTCTCCAAAACCTTCAATCTGTGCCTCAACTCGGTCAACTCATCCGGCCTGCGTTTCGAGACGCGATTCGAAGAGGTATTCGGCCCCATTTTCGAATCGAACACGAACATCCCGTTTGCGCGTTCGCTTGTACTACTCGGTACGCGCCGCGATACAGGAGGCGACATACGGTTTTGATCTGAGGGGCCCGGTTGAGTGCCCACAAAGACGCATTCATCTGTTGTTTTTGAGCGGACGCATTGACCGCATGGTAGTGAACGATCACATTTTAGTTTGCGGCGTCGACAGGCTGTGCATGACAGTGGTGGGCGACGGCGACGCTGGGTCTGGGGCTGTCGCTGCTCTTCTGATTCTTCTTGTGAGAAGTGATGACCTTCCATTTCTTCTTTGGTGTTGCCTTGAGGCATTTTGTTCTTGTTTTGTCTTTTGGTGTTGCCTTGAGACGGCGCTAATGAGTAAGACGACAGGGGATCGAAGTATTTGTCATGCCACAAGAATGCAGTGGATAACAGAAAAAGACTGGATTTATCGACGGAGAAGATTGAACAAGAGATGACTTAAAATATAACAGAGCCACAGCCTTATTATATACAGCAGTTGTGTTAACCAAGCAGCGACGTTGAGAAAAGTGGCTGATTGCGGGAACTCCGGCCACGGAGATACCTCTTTAGGTAATCTTCGGATTATCTCCGAAGGGGCTTTGTGACGCGCACTGATTGATAAGACAAAAAAGGGAAAAAAGGCGCACGTCAAGCTTTTTTGTGACTCAAAGTGTGGCAAATACAACTAAATAGTACTTTTGTACTCCGTAGAATGTTTGAGTATAGGTTTATTATTTTGAATATATGCGCTGGCGCTATGCTAATGCTACTTTGTACATCCATGAGAACAGCAGAAAACCCAATATCTACTTCCGCCAAATCGGCTTCATAACCGACCGCACATAAACCAGCAAGTAAACCATCAGATAATTGGTCACTGTGAAAGCCAGGAAAATTCCAAAATACGGCCAAATCTTCGAAGAGTCAAGACCAATTCCAGAAAGATACTATGGAAGTTAGCACATGTTCCTCACATCAAGCATCAGGTAAACTTACATCATCGCCATACTCATATTCGCAATATCCACATTCTCCCATACCGTTCGGGTTGGACAGGTATCCAATGCCCTTGGATCCGAGCCAAGAGCCTGCATAATCGCCGCAGGTGACATTCGGCGGGCTCCCGAAGATAGTCAACTCGCTCTGCGAACAGACGACCTCCGTACCACGTAGAACTGAAGTCAGCACACCGCCGATCCAGTATGTGAATGGTGTAATATAGTACATGGTGTACTTCCAAAAAGCGGGCATCTGGCTATGAGGCTGGAGGATGCCGTTGAAAAGCTCACACATAATAATGAAGAAGGGCATGAGTGTGGCGGCGATCATGGAGTCGGCGCTGGAATTTATTAGTATATCAACAATCCATAAGAAAAAAAAAACTTAAAACACACCTCATAGCAGCAATCCACTGACCCCACGATGTAGCAAAGAGGAAGAAAAGGAAAAACATCAAAAAACTATATCCCGCTGCGAAGCCAAGCGGCAAGCCAACGAGAAAATAGTACAAAACGAAGAAAATCACACTTCCAATCACAGAATATGGAATCTCCGAGACAATCTGTGCAGTGCAGAAAGCGACCCATCCATAAATCCCACTGGGTCCCTCCCTCGCCAACCAAATATCGCGATTAAGGATAAACCGCATAGAGATAGCATTGATAAACTCCGGCACGAGCATCAGAACAAGGAAGCACGAGAAGGCTTTTGATTGTAGATCTGTGGTACTGTTTCCAATCTGCAGGTATGTAAGACCGTTGATAAGAGCGTGCAGGAAAGACGAATACAGACGGGAGTATGGATACTCCGCTGTGCGCCAGAACTGGCGACACGTGCGTTCGGTCAGGAGGGTGATTTGAGTGGTGATGGATGGTTGGGATGGAGGGAGAGATGCTGGGTGACTTTTGTTGGAGCGAATGGAGGCAATCTCGTTCTTGACGTCAGTGTATTCCTGTGAATTGCGCCAGACGGAGGCCCAATTTGTTTTCTCGTAGTCCGATAATTTCATGCCGCCCACCACGACTTCGATAAGGAAATCTGCTGCGTTGGTGACTTTTTTGGGAATGTTGCCATGTTTAGCGAAGTAGTTGAAGATTGCACTGCCAGCGTGGCCGACTGGACCAAAGTAGTAGGTGTTTCCGCCGGGGCTGAGGGCAAGGACACGGTCGAACTGAAGGTTGTCAGTATGGGCCAAATTACAGAGAGAAACAGTTAGTTCATACCTCTTCGAATTGCTGCTGATTAGCTTGATGAATAGTGCAAAGAACCGCCAGTCCCTGGTTCGCCAGTCGACGAAGCAAGGCAACGATGTTAGTCGCGCCTTGACTGTCGAGCCCACTAGTCGGCTCATCAAGGAACAAAAGGAGCTTGGGACGAGCGCAGAGCTCAACTCCGATGGTGACGCGCTTTTTCTTTTCGATATCCAAGGAGCCGATGATTGCGTCTTGTAATTCTACCAGATCAAGAGTGTGGATAACCTTTTCAACGTATGCCAGCTTTTCTTCCTTGGGGACCTCTTGGCTCTGGCGGAGAAGGGCGGAAAATTCGAAAGCTTCGCGGATAGTGCTGCTTTCGTCGTGGATGTCCATCTGCTGGCAGTATCCGATTTGGCGATTGTAGGACTCGTCGATGGATAGACTATCGACAAAGAGAGATCCAGATAGAACACCCGGGCTTTCTCTTTGGGTGAGAGCAGTCAATACTGCTTGTTGTTAGCAAATGAAATTGTAATCAAGTCAGGAAAGGCTCTTACATGTTGACTTTCCAGCTCCTGAGGCACCAACCAGAGCAGTTAAGGACCCGGGTTTGCAGTATCCAGAAACACCATCCAAGAGCTTTCGAGATTCTTTACCAATCTGCACATTCAGATCCAAATCTGACCAAGAAAAAGTCGATTCAGTCGCTGACAGCACCTGATCAGACCTGCTATTGTGTGCAGCTGGCGGTGCAGTTGAATCAAATGAGACAGGCGCCTTCTCCTCATCACATCGACTGTTCTTCTTTCGGCTCAACAACTTCGAGGAACCCTTGAACTGGATTGGACCTGCACTGTCGAGCTCCCACTCCATAACCTCGCTCAACCAACAAGTCAGACCGATATAGACCACAGTGAACAGACACAAAATTCCAAAATTACGCCACACATGGCTGTAGTAGAATCCATACTTGACAGCCAAGTAGTCGTCGCCATTCACAATGGTGCTCCCAATCTTACTACCAGCATACGCACAAGTCTGGTATATCTGGTCCACGCCAGAGGGGATGATGGATCCAGTTGCACAAGAGAAGTTCATGTTGTGAAATTCAGCAGCCATCACAGCTTCGTACGTGTACAAAGCCGGTGTAGTGTAAGCAAGCCACCCAACCCAAGGCACATCCTGGATCATCTTGTCGACAGATAGAACGTAGCCACCGAAGACGATGCAGAATAGGACAGAGACTCCACAGTAGCGAAGGGCCACTTCGAAGTTGTTGGATAAGGCGGCAAAGACACGGAATTGGGCTGTTAGGCATACTGTGCAGGTGTAAATGAAGAGGAAGTCGATGAAGAAAGGGCCGGCCTGATTTTTTGAGTTAGTTAAGTATCATAGAACAACAATGCGTAGTGACTCACATCAGTCCGTAGACCAGACAAAAAGTACATGACAACCAAGTACAAAAATGTCAAAAGCGCGGTGATCACCAAATCAGATAAAAACCTCGCCAGGCAAACAGCACTAGGCCTCACAAAAGCAAACTTTTGCTGTCGACTGAGGATATCGCGGCCCTGCATTGCCTCTTCCAGCTCAGACATCTGCAGCCAAGCAAGCAGAATAGACGAGTAGAAGAGCACACCACCTCGTGAATACATACCCTCCGTTGTGTCGGGTTGATTGTAGAACATGGAACCAATCAACAAGCCATAAATGACACAAGAGACGAGCTTTATGTACAATGGACTCATATGGCCTTTCAGCTGCCACATCTGGCGCTTTGCACAGAGAACAACTTGTCTGAAGAGCGAAATAGTATAAGGCGACTTGGGCGAAACAAAGCGTGACTTGTCGCTCTGAACGGTTTTCTTGAATTCCTCCACACTGCCGCACTCCGAGTCAGTCGGGTACGCACCCGATGTGCGACGTCCGGCTTTTTGATCCTCATAATTCTCAACAGCACTCTCGACCTTGGCAAACGCAGCACTTTGTCGGAAAGCCTTTTCAAGCTCGATAGCACCCTTCGGTGCGCGATTTTCCCACCCAGAGCGGAATCTTCGACGCTCAGGGAGAGTGATACTGGTCAAGAAGTCTGAGGTAGTCTGCATATCCGCACATTCATACCCCAGATCCTCAAAGTATTGCTTGGCCTGATTTGCAGGACCTTGGTATAGCATGCGCCCTTCATCAATGAGCAACACCTTATCAACGAGGTCATAAATCGCATCCGAAGCCTGGTACAGGGTAAGCAGCGTAGCTTTGCGACAAGTATCCGTCATGATGCGCAAACTGCGCGCATAATCCAGGGCAGAAGAGGCATCGAGTCCTCTAGTCGAATTATCCCAGCAAGCAACCGAAGAATCGGTAGCAAGGGACTCTATAATCGAAATGCGTTTTCTTTCTCCGCCTGACACACCGCGAATATACTCATTACCCACGAGCGTATTCATAGTATGCGACATACCAAAAACACGCCCGTAGATCTCCAGATAGCGCGGAATTCTCTCACGGTAGCGCTTTGGTGTCTTGCTCTGCAGTGCAAACTCGAGGGTCTGCCGCACATTCAGCGTTGGAAAATGCACGTCATCTTCTGGGACGTATGCTACTGCGCCACGATAGTGAGATTTCACTTCTTCCTGGCTGAGACCAGAGTAGTCGATCGAGCCAGTCACGCCTAGAAATGAGGAGTGGTGGGCTGCTATTGTGCGGAGGAAGGTTGAACAGCCCGCGCCAGGGCGTCCGAGGACGCTGATCTAATTAGATACCGAGATTTAAATCAACAGGGAATTTTGAGTTCACCTACAGCATAATCTCGCCGCTCTCCACAACACCGGAGAAATCACGAATGAGTTGACGGCCATCTTCGGGCTTTTTTTTCGTTATCCAAGGCTGGATGGTCCACTCGTAGATATCTTGCATGGTGAGAGTGCGCCATAGAGCAGTGCCGAGGGTTTTCACATCAGCATGACTGTCGCCATCGCCCCAAGTAGAAAGCGACTGGAAACAAACACCAAGGTTCGATCGTTTCTTGCCTTGGGCCTGTTCCTCAAGAAATTTGTCGAATGAAGAATGCGGTTCGGGGTACTTGTGATCCTCCGCAGTTTTCTCAGTCAAAGTACGATGAATATCAGCAATGGCATCCTCGTCTTCATGCGAGACCTGTACCCGAGGAGGACCATTGTTTTGTGATTCCGAAGCAAAGGAGGAACTATGCTTCGGGTGGGGGTTAAGAGGGGCGGGCATAATGACCCTTTGATTAATGTTATGAAGGTGAAAAGGGTGAAGACATTGTTTGAACGAACAAAAATCAAGAAGCGGCAAATGTATTTATAAAGTATCAAAAACAACAACCATAACGTCAGAAACAACTGACCACCGAAAAAGGAAGCCAAGGTACACAGCCAATCGAATGACCGATTATAAAGCAGAAACTCTTCAGGATCCCCAATATTATGGGTCCAAGCATATCTGATGCACATCTCAAAAGAAAATGTATCCAATCAACAGGAAAAGAAAGTGGCGAGGCGATAGTTTCTCCGACTTTGGCAGCTGGCCGGAGAAAACTAAGAAAAACATGGTTATAACTTTGATTTTTTTCAGTCAGTCCGAACAAACCGATATAATATTCAGCGGAGCCCGCGGCCACCGCGCGATTGTTTTGCAGAAACGGGAAGCCAAGCCGAGAACTGATCCACATGTTCCACCAGGCTTGGTGGATTTGACTTGCCAATGATACGATTTTGTACAATGTTATACTGTAGGTGATCAGAGATTTAGGTTGATATTTGATCTCTACAATATTATTATTACATATAGTTATTAACCTATAAGTTACCCAATTGGAAATTGTAGACAGCAGGATGTTCCTCTGGGTCAGAATTAAGACCTAATTCATTCTCGAGTCCATCAGGGTTCTAATCGAATGAATCCGCCTAGGCACACTAATTTGATCGTCGCTCGTTAATTCACCTGATAATTATAAAACTGAGAATTTGTTACCAAAAAATATACAAATCTGCTCTTATTAACCTCGTATAACCCGCTGTCAGCTTTCTAATTAACCACCTTTGCATCCAAACATGTATTATCACAGTACAGTATGCATGACTCGTGCAAGTTGACCGCCAATTCGATGCACCGTGCGCTCCTGTCAACTCCCCGCATTGCAATGCACTTCATGATCCTGCAGGTCCACTAACGCACATGTACGATGTAGAGGGTCGGATATTTTTCTCACGTGGTGACGGTCGGATTATCAATTTCGCCGGGTGGCGTCATAGGTTCTGCCTTGGCGCCTTATTGGCGCTTCATTGGCTCCTTGGAAGTAGAGGGATGATGGATCAACTCCTTTTATAGGGATAATAGCATAAACAGTAGTGGAATTTGATTTTTATGTACAAAATATGAATAAAATAGACTTCGATTTACTGATGATAAAGAGCTGTCATAATAGTGAGGTGAGATTTCAGATATATATATTTTTTGAGATGGTAGCTATAACTGCTACCTACTTCATCATGGTAAGCACTAACCAATTGACTTGAGCCAAAGTATCGAAGTTCCTCCTAACGAACTTGCTTTTGAGACTAGCTGCAGTTTCCTATAGATCTCCTAGGCCGTCTATATTAAGATTATCACGCGAATGTAGGAGGTGCTTGAAAAGATCTGGCTCTTCTGCGTAGTAGCCCTAAACGCATCTTATGAAGCCATTGAGTTCAGCAAATAAAAGACTCTTCAATTAGATCTAGGTCTGGCGTACGCAGGTAAACAAACCAGTTTGAATCCTGTATAATAAAAAAAATTAAATTTCTAGATGCATTATCTATAACTAGAACAGACTACAGCTCCGGTATTCTGCCGTAATGACAAAGGAGCTCATTGACGAAGTCTTCGAACATATTATTGAGCCTAATTCTGCGGTTGAATATACATAGAAAGGCCGATTGGGTTATGTATATCTGCCGATACCATAACACCATAACACCATGGTTCGGTGGCCCAAAACTACGCATAATCGTGTCCTTCCTGTCGTCACCCACACTTACATTGTAGAACTCTTCGTAAAGACATTCTGTCTTGAAAATCAAACAGTACCATACTATTTAAATAATATAAAATCAACATATTGCCTTTACATACATACCATGCGTGTCCACCATACTTCCGAAAACGGTTTAGCGCCCCAGCGCCCAATATCAAGCTCCACCCTAAACACAACCTCACTTCCCCAAAATGCACCTCTATAATGCTTTAATCCGTACACACCACATAACCTCACGCAAGAAAGTCGCGACGCTGAAACGTGCCGCCGACTCCCACGAATGCTCCGTTCTTCTCCGGTCCGGCGGATGTCCGGGGATCATGTACGTCGAAGGCCGAGGCAAGGAACGAGTTGAGCTGTGGGTTGATGTTGTGCGGAAGTTGCGGTACAAAGATTTTCAGCTGGTTACTCGGCCTGGGGCTCTGGAGGTGGAAGAAGGTGAACATGGCACAGTCAAGAGAAAAGCCCAAGAAAAAGTCAATGAGAAAGAGGGCGCTGGTTTGGCGTTGGGGTTGGATGAGGTGGAGAGTGTTAAAGAGTTTGGGGGGGTTATGGCCAAGAGGGGAGTTTGGAATTGGTGGAGGAGAGGGATGGGGTATGCTTGATGTTTTAGACATTGGGGTTTGCTTTGTATATTACTTCAATGATATCCATTTCATTTTTCAATACTCCAAGTCTATCTTTACTAGTCGTTCATGTCTAATGTATTGTACAGAGATAATCAAGTCCACCAAAACGCCAAAATGCATAGTATACATTGATATTACCGGGTCAGACAGGCGCCGGGTAACTCAACAGTTTACACGTATCCTATATCAATTAGTAAGGGCCCAATTCATCATAATGAAAAGCGAACATACCTTTCGCTGTCTGCGATACTTATCATAAATCATTTTCCAGATCTCCCGATCCCGACAACCACTCTCTCGTGGCGTCCCGGGCTCATGATCACACTTTGGCTGTTCGGCCGCCAACAGCTCCTGCGGCCACATAATCCAAGGCTTAGGCAGAGGCCAATCCGAGAAATGAACGAATTTCGCCTGCGCAAGGACATGATCCGGATCCCAGACTTCATCGTCGTTACCCAGGAACCTCCGATGATCTTTTGTGCGGAATTCGCCGGAAAGCAGGCCATACTGGCGGTGAGGGAGAACCATTGCCGAGTCTCCGTATCGTGCATTCAACAAATCCATATCGTAGCGGTGGTCTGTTTGGTTCACTTCGATCTGGCCGTTTTGAGCGGGTACGGCATCACCGGTGATGCGTTTGTATTCCCGGAACGAAGGCTCGATGACAACGAGGAGGGAAGACAGAGATTTCTCAGGTAGTAGCCAGTATGCGCGAGGCATGGCGACAGTCGCAGGAGGAAGGAAGAAGAGTTCATCCATAGTTTGGAGAAGGATAACGTCCGAGTCGAGGTGAATGACGCGGTCGTAGTTTGATTCGCCGAAGGCCATCAGTTTCGTGAGACTCGTTTGCCATGAGGCTTTAGAACCAATACCTACACAATGAACAAGTCAGCAAACGTTCAGATCCAACTCAGTTGCATCACTGACCTCTAGGATCTTCGGCCCCTTCAATTTTAATTGGAATCACCATTACATGGTACTTATTCCTAGCAATGAGCAATAGCTCACTGACGCGATCGAATTCATCCTCGACAATGAGATCCCATTGCTCGGGATAGAACAGCACGCGCTCGGCTTTACTGCCCAGTCTCTCGAGGGCCTCGAAGACCATCAGCGAATTGCATAGATAGACCTCATTGGTGGCGTATTGGGTATAAGCGAAGCGTGACCAGTCGACCTCGTCGTAGTGAATGTGCGGTAGGGGCAGCGGCGGGGGACGTTCACGGCGATACCATAAGACAAATAAGAGGAGGATGGCTACTGCAGCCCATGTTCGGAGACGTCGTAGCTGTCGCTTAGCAATGGAAAGACATGGTTCGTCGGGAATGTCGAAGAAGTCGCTCTCTGAGGCATTTGAGCTCCGACGATAGGGGAATACAGAAGTTTTGGGCGGCATTGTTAGGGTGAATATGTTCGCCGCGCGGTCGTTCCTGTTGATTGCTTGCACGTGATTGGGTTATGTCATTGATGCGGAACCCTTGGACAATACATTACCGCGCCGATGACTCCGACATCGTCGATTCCCTGAGGGCTGTGTCAAAAGCCCTCGAAGGTGGAATCCGACCTCTTTGTCTCGTCTTAAGAAGACCAAAAACAAAAAAAAAGAAATCTCCGATAGGGGGAATCGAACCCCCGGCTGTCGTGTGAGAGACGACGATGTTAGCCACTACACCATATCGGAGGGAGACAGCGAATAACGCTTTATAGTTTACTTTGGCCACTTTCGGTTTAGCGCTCTTTGTCCTTGTGCGTGCCCGTGCGTGGGTCTATATAGTCCCCTTTCCCCCCCCCAACCGACTATATGTCCAGATAGACAATGAATTTTATTTTTGGTATTTAATTGGATGTCGTTTTAAGATAGTACCATTTGAAACTAGTAGGTTTGGGTGGCTCGCGAAACACGTTAAACATGAACGTTTAACCATATACTTTCCATGCCCCACCAGAGGCCATCTCGAACTAAACACGTTCGGTGGGTCAGGGACCTCGGGCAGCAGCGAAGGTAATGATATAACCGACCGCAAATCCCCTTGGATTGACCGAAAATTCTTAACAAAATGCTCAATCTGCCAATCGAACTGGTGAATAAGACCTGCACCTATCTGGAGCAACCGGAGTGGGCTGCACTCAGATTATCTTGTCGCTCCCTGTACGCAAAATCTTTGGATGCATTCGCAGATCGCTATTTCAAAAGCATTTGCTTCATTGCCACTAGTGAAGGCATTCGACAACTAGAAGAGTTGACAAAAAATGAAACCGTCCGAGTACGAGTCCGACAGTTATGGATGATTCCGACCGTCTTCGAAGGTCGCCACGGATGGAGCCTTGACGAATTCTACAGGTCTCAATATCGAGGGCCATTGAGTCGCCTCAGGGAGAATGATGATGTGCTACTTACTCGTTATGCGATATATCAAGCTATACAGGCCGATAACCTGGCTCTTCTGGAGTCAAACACCTTTGGCTCTAGGCTTCACGCATGCTTCGCTTCGTTCAGAAACCTCGAGTCCGTCGGGTTGAAGCATTATGCGACAGACTTTTTACTTGATATACGGCAACCAGAATTTCGATGTCTAGGATTGCAGAAGTTGAAAAATCAAGTCGAATATGTGTCCCACCCCTCAAGCTTCAATCGTCTCCAATGGCATGAGGTAGCCAAGGTCAACTCTCTGGCTTTATCGAGGATGTTACAAGGTCTTAATGAATCCAACCCAAAGATCACGACGTTAAACACATGCGGTGCCAACTTCTGCGGCTCAACTTCTCCTATTCTTCCTCTCACCCGAGAACAATACGATTCTCTTCTTCTCAAGCTTGAAGACCTGGAAAATCTTCATATCTGCATCTGTTACGACGAGGACGACCTAAATTGCACTCCAAATTCAAACACCTACATTGATCTTTTGATTTCCGTTGCACCCAGACTGAAAGGGCTTGTTCTCTCGCAATGGTATCGAAATCCACGCGATTTGGGAGCACGCTACTTCTCAGAGCTCTCTCAGAGCATCAGGTTCACCCAACTGAAAGAGCTCCATCTCCACTGGATACAAATTCGACTTGAGTCTTTCAAATCATTTCTGAACACCACTAAGGGGACTATGGTTTCTCTCTCACTCGATTTGGTAACCTTGCAACCCAGCGCTCCACCTTCCACTGACTACGGGCCTACTTGTTGGAGACTCGTTTGGGAATTCCTTCGGGCAGAGTTGTCACTAAACCGGTGTTATATGGGACACCTTGGCTATCGGAGAAATAAAGTGATGATTCAAGGGCCTGGTGAATTAGCCGAACCGACATACACTGCTACTTTCAATGCAGATGTAAACGGCATTTGTTTCAACGATTGGATCCGGCAGCTTAAGCCAATTTTGTCAGAAAGGGAGGATTTATCAGCACGAAGCTATCCAGGTTTGCAGCTCACTAAGCCCCCAAAGCCACTGAACCTTTTCTTAATACCCATTGTCAGAATTACTTCCTAGACCTCGATCAAACGCACCTGCTTCAGGACCTCAAATACACGAGCAACGCCCCCAACCCTGCGGATTGGGACCAGAGAACCCTGGGACCATGATAATCTGCCGGCCACCAGGGGGATCCTGGCGTACGTGACCTACTCTCACAAAACACTACAATCATTAGGAACTGAGCGTTATCCACAATCGGAAAACCTCGATATCACGTCAGTGAAAGGGGTGGCTAATAACAAGCCACAGAATGCACATAATTGTATATCAGAATAAATAGCGCCGTGTTTTACTCGACATCACTAGGGAAAGCCCCTTTAAGGTAGTCATGTCAGCCCAGTCCAGAAACAGCAAATAGGAACAAACACATTTGTAATGTGGTAATGTGTCTTCTTCCTGCGTGAAAGCCCCAATAACTTGACCGGAAGGGAATAAAAGCCACGCGCAATCATCTTGAGCCATAGTTTCCATATCGAAGATTTTACTCTCCGGCATAAATTTTCGCGAGGTGCAACGAACTCGGCTTCAATGAGAAAATTAGATGAGAAAATGCTACTTCGCAGTAATGGTTTATTAACAGAATGTAAGACTGGCTGGTTTTCGAGATATCTCTATACATGATACTAGCCAGATAAATCCATAATAGTAGAAGGATTCAAATTGATAAATATCATGGCATTTCCAATTAGTCCTGAAGGGATAGCCGAGAAACTTATACAAGATATAAACACCGTACGATCTGAGAGTCCTGGTTAAATATCTCCTGTTAAAGCAAACACACAAGGACCTCCCGGTCGGGAACATCCGTGACGAGAATCATCACAAGCCCACCGCGTCAGATCAATACATCAAATCTGCCGGATCAATGCAACTTCCTGTCGACCAGTCGCATTGGCTCAGAAATGCACCTAGAAGGGATTATATTCGTCAACTTGACAGCCATCTAACACTTGGCAATCCAGATGTCACTCACCCACGGCCCAATACTTATAGGTGTCTGAGTAGAGAAGTTAGTTCCATTCCATGAGCCCTTCCTGTGAAGAATCCTACCAGCATTTTTCCCAGCCCTGAGCTTAGAGGCGTCGTCCTCACTGTTGCCTTGCTTGGCAAGTTCAACGATAGCTTCAAAGCCATAAGCCTTGGTCTCATCATCTAACGAAACATCGTCTATGTGGTAACCATTTTAGTAAAGTTCCTCAACTTGTCCCACTCCAATATTCATTTTCACGCTTACCTTTCGCCAGGGCTCCCCAGAAATCCTTCGAATGGGTCAACTCGTGCACGAAAACGCCATCCGCTGACTTTTTCGCCACGTCATCAAAGTCTTCATACTCCAAATCTGAGAGCGACCTTGCTTTCTGCACAGGAACAGGTATCGCTCCCGAGAGTGTTTCCCAGCCGAGTGGGCAAATGGTCATATAGTCGTGGCCATCTCGCCCGTGGATCATGAAGGCAATTGCGTTGTTCTGTCCTTTATCGTTTTGACACACGCTGTTCTGTACATTACTCTCTCTTCTGATAGCATAACCGTCTGCTCCATCGTCGAATACGAAGAGGTCTGGAGATTCCCAAAAGTCAGAATTCTATGCTATTCATTTTAATCCTTCCAGGGAGAACAAACTTACCTTCGTCGTCGTATTCGATGAGCTCCCAGCCAGAATCATGGCAGATGATACGGATGTGGAAGCTATCCTTGTCCAGGCCTTCAACGTATTCGTTTGCGAAGTCTGTTCAAATATGTTTGTTTTTAGCTTCTTATGATCTATCAGTGTAACTATTGAACCACTTACACCTCAGTTGCGCATTTCGCCTTTTAGCTCTGTCCATTCCAGTACTGTCGGTCTCCTTAAAGGTACCATACATCGCCATGTAAAAATTTATCTGTGTATTCTCCTCTGCCGAAAGATCTTCCTTGTTGCTCATCTTGTCCCAAGCCGATTCAAGTGTTGAGATAGCATCGAGCGCTCCTCTGTTCTGTTTAAAGTTACCACCAAATGCATCTTTTTTTATTTGCTCTCTCATCAAGAAAACTTACAATTTCCAAGACATCATCCATAATATCGGCAAACATCGCCTTAGTAGTGTCAGTGATGGTATCGGAGTCTCTTTCAGTCATAGACATGGCTGACGTCTAGAGTAAAAGTGACCGGAGTCCCTTACTGGTTTTGCTCGATAATCCGGTTTCCAATACTATCAAAGAATTCCTTCCGGGCTATCTTCTGAGCACGGCGTTCTAACATCTTTCGTCTCGTCCTAATCTTCTTTTGTATTTGCTTCATTTCGCTGACTCGTGGGTCGGAAGCTCCTTCCGCTTTCTTTAACTTATGAAATTCTGATATGAGTTCGTCTCTAGTCGACTTAACTGCCTTTTTCAAGTCATAGAGTTCGGCTTCCGTTTCGATGGCCTCTTTTTGCTTGGTGTTCAGTTTTTGTAGTGCTAATGCATCTCGTGTCAGATTTCTATAGTATGCTAGATTCAATAAAGAATCCCTTATCGGAGTTTGTATAAAAATGGATTAAGTGTTATTGAACACAGACATATAATTCGAAAAAGTTGCACTTTTTCGATGACCTATGATTATATTACGTGAGTGTTCGTTGAGGTTCCCTAAATTAATTAGTATAAGAATGATTCGTTCAAACTCTCCTAGCCATACTTAAGTTTTTAGCTGCGCCTTTACGGTTCTTATACAGCGATCCCTTATCTACGAATCCAGCCTTTACGCTAGCCTTTCTTTCGTACTCCTACGCCTGCTTATATAAAAAGCCGACGGTGCAGTTAGTGACCCAAGTCCCGTCTTCTGCCTTTACAGCGCGCCTAAAAATAGGGATATTTTTCACGCTATCCTTAAAATGGATAGGAGTGCTATGGCGATATTCTAGAACTTTTGTAAAGCGCCAAATATCTCGAGGGCATTTGATATGTAGGCTTACAAATACATCGTTAAGAAAGGCATATATAAGTATGTCCTAAATAATATAGAGTCCTAGATTATCATCTCTTTCGGTATAAGTGAATATAGGCCTAGAGGTGGTCAGATTTACCTATAAATAATAGTATAGGACTAAGACTCACGGATTCCCCTGGTTTCTCTTTCCCTTACTAAGCCTATGCCTCGCCCTTTGTAAGACCCCTTTACGAGGGTCTTGGGACTTAGGTGGATTCGGGCAATAGAATGGAGAAAGCAGTAGACAGGTTCAATGCTGAACTAATCGCTGGAGTCCAAGACTCCAGCCCCTGAACTGTTTATACACAAATGTGGGGTCATGTGAGGTCATGAGCCCTCGCATTGCGGGTCTCAGCCCTGGGTCCAGTTCGCAGGTGCGAACTGGCCATCTCGCAGTCTCATATAGACTGCGAGATATAGATCATCAGACCTGCTTAGTACTTGGGTCCTGACACCCTTATAAGAAGAACTTAGGCATTAGAATGCTCGAGGTGTTTGATTATATACAGGTTAATATCTTTCCACTTTAGCGCATCGTGTTCTTTCTCGTAATAGGAAGATAGTATAAGAATCCTAGGTCGGGCTGAGGTTAATACTATCATTTTCCGTAGGGTGTTTAATTGGAAAAGAACCCGGGCTGTAGGAAAGGCTATATCGTAAGCGGCCACCAAACAATACGTGATAACGAATACCTCGTTAATGCTAAATAGCGGCTGTTCCTTAGCAGTCTTATTCAGGTCGTATTCTATAGCCATTGATTTTACTAGCTTCTTAAGTTGATTAAGGACTAGTGCTAAAAACGTAGAAATCATACTAATATCCCTCCTAAATTGTAGAGGAAGGTCAAGACCCCTTTCCTCTATCCAGTACATTCTGAAAAAACGCGCCATTATCAAGAAACTAGACCTGTAGTTAAGGTTATACTCATCCAAATACCACTTAAAGAAGCCTTAGACGATCCTTAATATGATATTTTCAAGCCAATATTTATAGTCTTTGTTATCAAGTTCTTGTACCTATCTAAGTACTTTTCGTTTAGTCAAAGCATATAGAGTAAATGGGTAATAGCATAATACTTCTGAAAATTAAGATGGATTCCTCTTATCCGCTCCTTTGTCGATCCAACTTTATCAATCGTGACCTTTGGATCCGGTTGGCGAACAAACGCATTCCAGTCTCTGACCCGCTTGGTAGGCTTAGGAGGAGGCATTTCGATCATAGTAGGCTTGAAGAGGGAAATCTTAAAGGGGGGAGTGTACGTTATTTAACCACTATCAGCCAAAATAATGATAATGAATTTGTAGTGAACATCTAATCAATGGCCGCCCATGATAAAGCCGCCGGGCTATTTTAACTATGCAGGAAGGGTGGGGACAATCACACGCTAAACCCAGCTGGCCATATTACACTAGTCCTAGTTAAATCTATAAAACCGCCTATACGGAAACACCACGATTATTACTCTCAAAACCACGCACAACCATAGTCTTTCCGTTGTCCCCCAGGATTACACCATATCGGATAATTATAGAGTATTACGTTTTTAGGTTCAATTATGACCCTTAGAGCTTAGCACACTTAGTCCTTGTGCAGATCCTAGCATTAGCACCTACCCCAATAAGGAGCTCGTTATGAGAGATACTCACACCTCAACAAAAGCGGGGAGTTTACCTTCGAGGGCCACTAAAGCGGCACCTGGGTGTTCTCCCTGTCACTAATAGAAACCTGTAACACCACTCCCATTCATCAAGGTTCTCACAAACGCCGGACGCGGGTGGCTCGATCAAGTGGTAATAAGCCAGAATGCAATCCTCCCACTTTTCGTCAATTGGATACGAACCGCGAAACCCCGAGATCCATAAATCGGCGGATTCGTTGTCCCATATAATCTTTGTGATATTCTCCCCTCCTGGACCCTATCCAAAGGACGACATTTCCCTGATTTTGCGTTAGCATGATCTCAAGGACTTAACTCCGCACTTACTCATATGCAGCCCGGAACTTTCGGCGAACGAGATCACGTTTTGGTCGCTCGAATGACCAGAAGAGTTCAGGAGTTAGGACCTGTCCGCGGACCTTTTCCCAAACAAGATAGGTTATGTATCCTCCAGGTACAGGTCCGTGGTCCCCTTGCACGGATTGGCCATATCCAAGTAGTGAAGGTACACTTTTGCATCCACCTTGTCTGAACTTCTTCCGAGCTTTTGCTTCCTGCTTTTCAAAATGAGGATTTGCCTGTTGGGCTCGAACTTCCGGCAGAAGGAATTCTGTTCCCTCATCGGGACCTTGACAGTAGACTCTCATAAAGGCTTGATTATATGGGAAATGGTGATCGTGACATAGATACTTAGCCTCCCAACCGGACGGTTGTTCGTCGGGATCAGAAGTAGGCTCACGTATTCCATCGACTCTATTCTCATAAAGCTTCTCGTCGATCACCCATGTACTCGCGTTCAGCCGGAGAGCTGCGGAGCCAGCAAGGGCGATCTGAGTGCCTTTGAAAATCTGAGAGATATCAGTCATCTTGAAGGTTGCGACGATAAAAAGGAAAGAGAGTTCTGGGAGAACAGAAGATGAAAAGAAGGGAAAGTTCTAAAAGAAATGAAGGGAGATGGACTTTGTGGGCCAAATGATCATTTGGTGGTCATTGGTTTACACCGTGATACACCATGCTGCCTGAGGCAACACCTCACTACGAAGGGGCATAGCGGCCAGCTCGTTTTGGCCTGATTTTGGCCTGATTGTTGCCTTGGTGCTTAAATCTTTGCCGGCAGAGAAAAAGAATGCCTGAATTACCATTATACAATCTATTTCTCTTCCCTCTTTTCGCCCACAAACTCATTTCGACCTCAATTTCACGAAGTTAGGCTCCATTATACCTACATCGCCGTCGCCGTTCCCGAATCTGACCCTCAGATCGTTGCGCCCATCACCGCGATGCCCAACGTCATGTTTACCATCTTCTTCGCCGCCATGATCTCAAATCAGAAGTTGAAAAAGCCTCCAAGGCTAGAGAAAGGCGTTTCAGACAGTCGGCGAGGGTCAAAGATGATGGACTGGTTACTCTGCTTGCGATGGAGCAAAGTCAACGCTTAAGAATGTGGGGATGTGGATCTTTGTGGGTCGGGAATATTAAAGTATACTGCGTAACCCGGGTTCACGGCAAGGTATGGGGTTCTGGAGTGTATGGAGCAGTGTCCCCGGTTTTTGACGAACACGTCTCCAACGAGTCCGTGGGTGCTGGAGCGCAGTTCGCGCCCAACATGCAGGCTGGTCCTCGTCATCTCCGACTAATGAGGCCAGGTGTGTGCTGGGCGATGGCTCCATTTTGGCTTCCTTTCCGTAGTGGCTAAAGAACTTCTTTGCGTTCTGGCTGGGGGAGTGAGGGACTAGACGCTAGGGGAGATGGTGAAGAAAGGTGTTATGTGTATGGAGGAGTAAAACCTCAAGCAACCTGAATCATTTCAGAACTTCCTTCACATTTCCTGTCGTCTCTGCTCCTCCTGTTTCCTGGCATACTTCACCACTTTATCTTCAGCCTTTCATACATTGACCGTTGATTCCGTCTTCATCAACTTCTCATCGTATGATCACCATCACCGTTGATCCCCAATCTTCGGCTATCCTCCTCCAAACACCATTGATTCCCGTCTTTGGCTGTCCTCCCACAAGCATGTCGAAATCAACGCCGCCCCTGACTCAAAACCCAACCCATCACGATCAGGCATTAGCACCTGAGGATAGTTCATAGTGAGTATCCCTCCAGATCACCCTCGATATACTGTTCAATGACTAATATGATACAAGTTCCCCTGCTGAACAACCGGAAACCACTCTGTCGGCGATTCGCTAAGGGTCCCGAGTACCGACGCCGGAGGACACCTCCTGGCGCCTAGCCCATGGGCAACATACACAAAGCGGCTTCCCTGGAAGGTGGCACAAAATGGCAAGTTTATTAAAACTGACGCTATCAAAGTCCTGCTGAACGTAGACTCTCGCCACGAGCCCATGCAACGTTCCACGACCCATAACACGGGTTAAAGACTGGATGAGAGGATCGGCTCTCAAGCCGCGAACGTTGAGTCGGCTTTGATACAGATAGTCGGAACCGTTTCGCCCCAAGAATATTTGTAATTTACTTTGTCCACTTGTGGTTTAGCGCTCTTTCTCCTTATGCGTCCCCGTGCGTGGTTCTATATAGTCCCCTGTCCTCCCCCCAAACCTAGCATCCCACATTTTCTTGTTCGGCCCCCTCCTCCCTGGTCTCTGCAGGCGAGGCATTTTGCTATTGATTCGGATCACTGAGCTCCTGAGCTCCGCCACCCCCTTTTATCTGCGTGACTCATTACCTCTGCGATTTGTGCCGGCGATCCTGCGCCGTCCTAAATTCTCTCCAAGCCGCAGCATACGATGGAAACCTGGATGTTGTCAAGCTGCTCCTGGACCAGGGGGCGATGTGAACTTCAAAGGTGGTGAATATGAAATGCTCTCCAAGCCGCAGCACGCGGTGGAAACTTAGATATTCTCTAGCTACTCTGCCAGAGTTCACCCACCACCGTAGGTTAGGCATCCGGCCTTTGGCATCTATACACCTTCGTAGTACAAGTGGCTCTCATGTGATGGCCTAATATAGTTTAGTGTTGGGTATAAAAAAACAGAGCCTCTGTGAAAACACGCGCGAAATGGTCCGTCTGAGGTCCTACCGTTCTGGAGGTCTCCTTTGGTCAGAAGAAAGATGAGCCACTAATCCCCAATCTAACAAAAGTGAGGTGGAATGTCTTGTTCAAGCTTATGTAGTTCAAAGTGGTCTTTGCACTATCATGTGTCGTGTACTGTGATCTCAAGTATAAACCGAGATTTGGTCCCTTCATTCCCAGCCGCCTAGTATTAGGGCATAGAGAAAATCTCAACAGGTATGCATTGATTTGAAGTTTTCACTCTACATTTCTATGATATCTTTGCCGAGTACAACTGCCAGAACATTCCTCGCCTACTCAAAAGCTCTTGCGGTGCTCCTAATTCAGATACTATACCGTGCTTCATGACCATGACCAGACCCGAGTCCATCACAGTATTGATTTGATAGGTAATTGAGATTATAGTCCGTCCTTTCAGCTTCTCACGAAGAAGACCCGTGACCAACCTCTCGGTGTGTTCATCAAATCCGGCCGTAGGATCATCCATGATGATGATCCTACCAGGAAATAGAATAGCACGGGCAATGCATAAAATCTGTCTTTGGCCATTGGATAGATTAGTTGTATCGATGTTCGTACTTAGGCCACCATAGCCTCGAATTTGATGCCAAAGTCCGACTTCCTTCAACGCAGACACCATCGCTGAATCATCGATAGTTGGTATTATTCCTAGGGCAAGGTTTTCACGGATTGAACCGGGAATAAGTAATGGATTCTGAGAAATTGGGACCAATGCAGAGTGAAGCTTCTCTTTAGGAAGAGTTAAGATGTCGACACCGTCAATGAAGAGTTCGCCAGACGTGATCGTCACGAGAGAGAAAAAGCAACCAAGCAAAGAACTCTTTCCACTAGTCGAGTTTAGTCGTCACTCATTCATAGGGGCTTTACTAGCCTTACCTTCCGGCCGCCCTCTAGGCTAAATGAGACACTTCGCAACACAGGGGCGGAAACATGCCCCCTAGGAGCAATATCAGTCCTTAGTTCAATTGACTTGCCTCAAAGGTTATACTTAATCAAAGACTTACCCATATGACGCAGAAACCCTTCGAAACTCTACTCGAGCTTCCCTTGGCCAATCCTCTGGACAAGCTATCTCGTTCCTAGCCGGTTTTACTTGCAGGTTTGTCACAAATTGTTTGACTCTCGCAATTGCCCCCAGAGAAGTCTCTAGCTGCGTCCAGTTCGTGATCAACAATGTTAATATTGCGTTGAATGAAAGTAGGTTCACAAGAGCAACGCCGAGGGCTCCAGAGCTAGTCTTCTTGCTCACAAAAATAGCCAATGTAACTAGAACGGTCGCAAGACCTGCCATAAGGAGATCTAAAACAACCTGCAGCCACTGCTGAATAGGATACATAGTGTAAAATGGCTTCTGGGATGTGTCGAGGAGCTTAGCATTTTGGTCTGCAAATTCTCGCTGCCAATGAAGTGCACGGATAGTTGTAAGACCCTCTGTAGTTTCCAAGAATTGGGCGTAAAGGGGAGCCTTTGCTTCTAGATCAAGGAGTCTGACCTGCCGTGAAGTACGTAAGTAGAAAGTTTGGATTGTCCATACTGCCATAAAGCAGAAGGGGATCACGACAGACATATAGCCTGATCCAGTAGCTATCAAGGCGCCTTGTGCGATACAAGTCAAAACGTCTGCTTAGGAGTTAGTACCTATGATTCAATACCTTTGAAGGATTGGAAACCACGAACTCTGAAGACTTATGCCGAATGCAACAGGAAGCTGCATGTCAAGAAGCGACATGTCCTGGCTGAACCTAGAAGCAATCAGTATCCCTTAAAAACGAAATTTCGTGGAGTCTCACACAGATACCTTACCTATTAATGAGATTACCTATATCTATCCGAGCTATATTAGGCCAAGGTGCTCTAGAAAGAGCTTTAGTAAGAACTTCAGACATATATCTAGTGGTGGGTCTTGATCTCTTACCTCATGGTTGTGTCCAGAAAAATTCTATGTAGCTGGACAGCTGACCTAGGAACAGCCCAGACAAAAAAGAACCTAAGATGCATAAGAAATCTCTACAAACATATTATGTGGGTGCTTTAAAAATACCCACCAGCCAAATGATCTAATGTAGTAGGTGTAGAGCGAGAGGTTCCCACCACCTCGGGGTGTGTTAGGGACTGTCTCTCTTTCAGCGGACTCTCCGGCTTTTTGCCTCACTTCTTGCTCAAACCTAGAAACACTCTCTTCGCTTTCTTCTTGGATACCATTGTCTTCGGAGCTTATTGAACGAGAAAAGCTCCGTATGTACTCATTATTCTTCATCAGTTCTTCGAAACGCCCTTTAGCTTCCACGCAACCATCTGTTGAAAGAACAATCAGATTGTCCGCTTCTTTCAAATGTTGCACTATTAATAAAAAAAAGCTGTCAGCGCGTGATTATCCATATAGGCACGTTAGACTCGCCTGCTGTTATCACAAGAATGGTAGCCATGCCGATCCTTCTAGCTAGGCCAGCGTGACCGAGCACTTGCTGGAAGACTATTCTTGATGTCACTGCATCTAAGGGACCAAAACAGTCATCTAAAACCAATAAAGACGGTTTCGGGTAGATTGCTCTAGCCAAGGCCTAAATTCACTCAAATTAGCACCTAGAAAAAAGCCAAAAGAAAAGTCCATCGGTATATTTACCACTCACTGCTTCTGTCCTCCAATCAGCTGAGCTCCTGAGCTCTCAGCTACTGTGTCAAGTCAGAGAGGAAGTGTTGTGGCTTCAATGTCTAGGTTACAGGCATGTAAAACCTCTTCGAGCCAGTTTTCGTCAGCTTGTGTTTCTCCGATGATGTTCGCTTTCAGTGTGCCATTGAATATCCATGGATTTCGCTTGCAATACGCCATCTTGGCCGAACTAACAGATAGAATCTCTTCTCTTAGATGCATTTCGCCGAGCATTGCTTCGAGTAAGGATGACTTGCCAGAGCCAATAGGGCCAGTCACCGCTGTGTATGAAGCATGCTGTATCTCTAGTGTTATCTTATGGAGAATCGCTGGGTTATCCAGGCCTAAGCTGAAGCTGCAGTCAGTCATGCAAACAAGGGGCTCGGACTGAGCCGATACTGAGTTAAGTTCGTTCCTAAAACGTTCTCAGGTGCTACCCATTCACTCCCTGCTAGGACCTCTTTCGCTCGGTTGTCTTTATCAAGAAATTCTTGGATCCGATCGAAACAGCCAATAGCGGATGTGAATCTCGTCCATGAGACCGAGATTAGCATCACCGGGTTTGTCAGAAGTGAAATTAAAGACAAGGCCGTAAACACAACATCAGTGTTGGGTGTCTCTAGCCTAAGCTCTAGCTGTGTAGCGGCATATACGGCTATTGTCACAGCGGGAGCGATGGCAGTCGACGGCGCGCTTAAAACATTGACACCGACAATCATTGATCGATAGGGCTTAGATTGATGTAGTTCCATTTCACGAAGTCTGTGTATCTTGAGGCCTATGTCGGACTCGACACCGAACATTTTGATCTGGCTCAGTTCTTTGAGTATCACCGAAGTGAAACTGACTCTCTCCTGAACAGCTTGTACCCATATTTTTTGCCATTGCTGATTCGAGGCGCGAGATAGGAGGACCCTAGTACGCTCACTGTTTTAGTCAGTTTTTAATTTCAGTCTTTTTATCGCGGAGTTTGCAAGAACCTACCTAAAGCAACAGCTAGAGCGGCGATCGAGGAGTATCCAACGGATCTACTTAGAAGCACAAGCGCAATCACAATCTCTACCGGTGATGCCCATAGCTCGTGGAAGTTCAATAGCCCGGTAACAATCCGATCAACATCGGTACTCATTAAGGTGGTCGATCGTGTCTCTTGACATCGACCTGAAGCTTGGCGAAGGGCCTTCATATATATCATCGTAACTAACGAACCACGAGTCATAGTGACCATACGAACAGTTTGACGCTTGAACAAAGCAGCAGTTACCTAGAATGTTTAGCAACCGAGGGAATCGATTCAGTAAGGGACGTGTGGACTACTTACTGCTATCCCTACATAAATTAACACTGTCGCACCGATAAAGCCATATTTAACCTCGGATAGCTCACTAGAGCCGTTGTCGGACACGTAATTGATGAGGTCGTTAATGAAAAAGGGCTGGGCAAACTTAAACCCAATCAAACAAAGGCGAGGGGCGACTGCCGCTGCTACCGTCCATCTTAAGTCGTAAATGATGTTACGGAAAAGTGATAGCCGTCGAGTGGGTTTTTCTGGCAGTCATGAGTCAGTCTCTAATTCTATTAATCCAAATTAATTAAGTTACCTTTGGTACCTTTCCATTGCTGATCGCCGTAGAAAATGAGAGACTTAGTCAAGAGTTCCTCATCTAGGGGATAGAGATCATCAAGGGAGAGCTCGCCTCGGAAGCCACTCATAAACATCCCGTTGAGCCACCAGTAGGTACTCTGACTAAAGATCCCAGTGAAATATTCTGGAGAAATACGGCCGTATTGAGGGCTTAGAGTTTCTCTGTTCTCGCTCGTCTCTACCACGAGTAACAGGGACCGGACCACGAGAGCAGCAGCGACTGTCGCCGCGAGAGAGTAGCTTATAGGATGGAATAACCATAAATGCCGTACTTGCGCAATTTCAAATATGATGCTCCCTAGAAGGTACAGGCAGATCAAACTCGAAGGCTTTAGGGAACGTGCGTGGTCATAGTGCGAAAACAGTAACAGCACCAGAGTGCTAATCATGCCCACCGTAGTGGACGCGACTGAGATCTTTGTTGCCATAAATTGCGGTAAACACCATAAAATGAGGAGAACAAACTTCAGCGCCAGCATTAGCGTATAGAGCACCTGTATAACATCCAAAATAACATCAGCTCATTAGCTTCCTCAGGAGCTCTAGGATAGCGAAAATGGAGAACGACCATCTTGTAAGTGCTAACAGACTTGCGGCGTATCTCTTTTCGCTTCCCACGAATAAATTACCACCGACAGAATCATAGAATGAGGAATGACAGATCAGGAACTAAAGTGAGTATCCCCTGCTCGAAGAGTAGTGTAAAGTCGAAGGCGCGACGACAAGGCGACACCCTTGGACCGAAGTAAGTATCAGCAGAAACATCACACTGCATCTTCACTTTTTTTGGTGCACGCGAACAAGATGAGTTAGCAGAGATGGAGGAGGGGAAAGGTTTACGCAGGTAGAAATCCAGAGAATGCGTGATATAGCCGGAAAATGTTCTTTGTGCTGCAGGGTGTGATTGTGGCGTGCTACGCGTCTGGCAAAAGCACCAATCCCTAGCTGATTAGATTGGATGTGAGTGTTGTGATAAGCTAGTCGACGCCAGCTGATGTCGAATACGACGCTAGCCGCGGCCCAATTCATTGACCGATTATTTACTGCTTGTGTCTCAGTACTAGCTTCTTGATCGCCGGGACAGACATACATGATAGGGCATAAGTACTAACTAGTTAGGGTGGGTGGCCTTAGGAACCAGGTTTGTTAAACTACCCAACTAGCGAGGCGCCCCTCATTGACATGTCCACTAAAGCACCCTCCTGGCATTGTACGAAAAACAGGTACCCTGTGGGCGTCTCGTTATGGATATGAATGACAAGTCTTTCTTGGTAAGCATATTTATTTAAATTCTGGCCGATCATCCGCAGGCCAAGGCGGGTGGCATGCAGGGCTAGATCAAGCCACTCCGGCGGGGGCGTATTCCGACGATCAATTTATTCCTAAGAACATCGATGTGCTCAAGAGAACTATACTGTTCCCACGACAAACCACGGTCTTCACGGGTTGGGTTTGTCACAAGATATTCTATACCGTATATGAAGAATTTGGTTCTGTTGCCCATAATCAGTATCAAATTTGCTATATAAGAAACTAAAATCGGATATTTATCTTACCCATTAGCGCCTTCCGGTCGACCTTTGAGATTGTGAAACGTGATAATGGCACAGAGGACATCACGTTGACTTTGAAGAGCTTCCAGATAGAGAATTTCGATATCGAGTCCGCAAGATCTTTCAACGAGATGTGCTTCGGAAGATCACCTTGGAAGGTCCCATCCCGTTTGCGTTTGCCCAAAGCTGAATTGCCAGGTAATGAGGTGTTGTTCTGTTAAAGCAAGACGCCAGGTCGCGTGCCGGTAATGGCGAACCAGAGCTGAACTGTAGCAAAATGAACGATCATTCTCCCGTGACGAAAGAATCTCGAATAGACCCAGTGATGCCGGGTCCTCTCAGGCTACCCGGTCTTCCCAGACTAGCTGTACCTTTCCTCGTGCGTGTACGTATTTCGAAGGAGCCCAATTTGTTTGGGTGCTTCATTTACTAACTTCATCACTGCGGAGGTGGCTGGTGTCCACTTCTGTCCGAATCATATATCGTCCTACCACCTAGTGCGAAAAACATGTTCAAGCCGTGACTCTGCATTTACATAGCTTATTTGCTGCCTAGCAATATATGTCCTGAGTTTCCCTTTTGGATTGAGGCAATTCAACCAACTTAGATCGTCGCAACGAGGCTGATAATAGGCAAGATCCGCTAAAGGGCCTTTAGGCCTCAACGAGGAAATGCAAAATCAACTGGCTGTCGGCAGCTCATAACGCACATTGCCTGAATGGCCACCAGACTCTGATAATTCCGCTACCATGAGTCTATCATCTATTTCTTTCGGTTGGGAGGCGTCTTTCTCGAGCGCATACCCAGGTAATGATGAAGGGGGCGTGAGAGACTGCGATTGCTGCTGTGGCTGTTGTCGTTTACGATAGCGAATCAGAAAATAGAGGGCCGCAATAAGTGCGGCTGCCCCGGCAACGCCACCGACCACACCACCGGCTATAGCCCCTGTATTATTTCGTGATGAGTGAACCGAGGTACTAGACTCGGCGTCTAAAGATGATGTGGGGGTACTAGCAGATGTGGAAGTTGGAGTGGTGGAAGGAGCACCTGAGCAAAATTTCCATTAGACATTGCAACAGTATGACAATAACGTGGCTACTGACCTGTAGAACTCGGTATTAATGCATTATAGGATAAGTTGCGAGCAGCACCTGGATCGAGACAGCCGACCGAAAAAGTGCCTTCGACAGAAAACCCAGCATGTTTGGGCTCACAACAGAAATAACCCGTTGAATTGTAAAGGTCCCAGCTTGTATTCGCGCAAGTCGGGTGCTCTGCAAGAACATCTGTGCAATTCAGTTGGTCAGGGCAGCAAATAAAATTTTTGATCTTGGTGGAGTTCGAGTCCAAGCATTGAAAATTTCCGGGGCAACAAGCATGAAAAGTTCCCCACGTCCGACCACACACTGACTCTCCCGCGCTGCAGGAGTTGTTTCGGCGAAGAGGATACCCTCCAGACTGATCTAAAGACATCGCGATCGGGCAAAATGGATAAAGTGTTCGAAGTTTGGAGAGGATAAAGTTTCTGAATTCGCTAGAATAGGGAGGAAGATGAAAAGAATCGAGAGGGAAGAAGAAAAGAATTTAGAGGGATGAAGAAAAGAAATGAGTGAGGTTTTGGCCCCCATCTGAAGCTAGTGCACCGACCTCTTCAATGAAGCACAGCCCGCCCGTCCTCTCAGACTAGCTGGTCCTCTCAGACTACCCGGTCCAAACTACAACGTAATAAGCAATAGAAGGGATGAGCGATAGTATTTATGAGCCTTAGGCAGGATGTCGAAGTTACCCGGGACAAAGTGGCTGAGGTGGCCGAGTTGCTCAAAGAGGATTAAAACAACAGTAGATTCTCAGTCAAAGCATTAGGTGTCTCCGGTATTTCGTATTGCGACCACGCGAATTATGAAATTGTAGGAGGCGTCAGTCGACCGCCGGGCCAGGTGGCCTGCCAGGTCTTGCGACTGCGGTCTCAGAACCCACTGGGTTCTAGTGTCGGGTCCCCTGCCTCTCGTTCGGTATCACTAAACCTAAGAACTTAGCCTTATGCTGCTGGTCTTGAATTCTTAGTCACTTATCACTGTAACCTAGACATCGTGTTTAATACTCCCTGTGATCTGAGGTTTTGGTCCGACACCCATGCTATCCTTCAGACAGAGCCCGTATGCTTGGTCTGGACTTAGGTCCCCGAAGGTCTCGGGAACAAGTCCTCGCAAATTCAGAAGTCGCAGGATATATCAGGTAGAATATTGATCTACTGCTACCAAAGTCCTCGTAAGAAACGCCGGCAGTAGACTCACGATGAATAGAGACTATCTCAAGACTGGGTTAGGTCTAGAACGATTAGACTAGGAGAGAAGCAGTACCAAGAGTCAGCTCATATGAAATTTTTCTTTCTGTGTCGCCAATACTCTTCGGTGGGACGTACTGTGACTATTTTTCTCTCAAGAGGCTTCTCCCATGGGTAGGGACCTCTTTTGAGAGGTCTCTCATTCTCGGCCTTCCAATTGACCCTCATTCTTGGAACGAGTTAGCTGAAAATAGTATTTTTCAACGTCATTTCATGTTACCACTTCCAGGATGCTCTACATGGCGCTATCATAGACACAAAAGCAGTCTCTCATCCCAGTACCACTCCTATTAGATCTCTCTCGGGTGCCATACGTCTTATCTGTAGTACGCTCTTATTTCAAGCCACATAGGACTATGCATTTCCTAAGAGGGGTATCTCATGCGTGTCTAGGATCCCTTCCATCTTTTACCCGGTCTAAGACTCGAGATGGATGCACTTGAGATCTAGACCAAAATACTTGTGACCCATATAGACCGTAGTCAGAAGACCGAGGACCCTTACGGTTACTAAGCCAGGGTGGCCGCTAGTTGACAGTTCGAAAGCCCACCTAGACTAGGAGCTGTGGACGTACGCCCAACTTGGCCTTAAGTCGACTGTTCTAGATCACGGGGCCTAGAACCAAGGCCTTGTGGTCACAGCTCCCCAACCACGGACTCACATTTCCAGGCTTGGGACCTGCCTGGACATTATTCCACAGATCTATTATATGGTTGGCTTCGTGGCACTCGATATCTGTCTAGCTTAGACAGCGAACCACACAAGCCAGGAGAAGCTGTTCTTAGATCTTCAGGGGCCTCACCCCCCCCCCCCCCCCCCCCCCCCAATCCTACCATCTTACATTTTCTTTTTCGCCTTCCTCCTCCCTAGTCTCTACAGGTAAGGCATTTTAGCTATTGATTCGGATTACCGAGCTCCTAAGCTCCGCCATCCCCTTTTCCCTGTATGACTTATTATCACCTCTTCGCTGCTTTCTTGTGTTACGGACATGCTAGTCACCAATCACATGTGGGGACCGCAATTAGCTGATGGGCCACCGAGAGCCTACCGATCTATCTGTCATCCAGATCATGTGCAACACCTAATACCAAGGCATGCCCAGGTATCCAGGGAAAGAGACACCATGATCATGCTCAGAGAGCCGGAGTATGATCAGACCGACCTACTGTCGGAAGTTTTCAAGTACATGTACTCTTACCCATAACAACAAACCTCTGCGACCACGGAAGCAGGAACAATGCCATTACTACGTGATCTTACAGGTAGTAGAAAGATCGACGGTAGAAGAGTAGCCTCGATCTACTCATCTACTATCTACTCGTCTATACAGGAAGAGCAGGATATATAAGGATACTCATTTATATATCTATTCTAGTCCTTCGTCTTCAATCATACATTATTACTTATAAATACCTTTAGAACTTCAGAGACTCTTTTCCTTGATTATAATTTGACAACCACTACGATTAGACTAATACTCCAGTATAGATCTATTCGGTGCACTACCTAGCATCATTCCTCGATACTCTCGACAGGACTTATCCCGCAGTAAGGCCTGCTAGGCAACGGTAAGGTTAAGAGACAGATCGTTGAGGTTGGAAGTCTGTAGGACGATAAGAAAAGTATCTCCTGATTCTGTCTAACATAACCGTGACCAGTTAGCTGTGCGTAACAATTGCGCATCAGCAAAGTAAAAAACGAAGCGGCGGTAGAATAAACTCGAACTTAAACGTTAGATTCCTTGATGTCCGAAAGCTCTGAGCTTTGTAAATTGAAGCCTTCGTAGGCGTTTTGAAGGCCACAGTTTTAGGGAAAGACCACGGTCTTATTGCTTGTCATAGCTTGCTTGATTTCATTCTTGCGGTTCTATTAAATCAAGTTACTTTTCATCTTTTGATCCTCTACTTGTGCGCTATCTGGTATTTCACACTTAAGGACCACGGCTTAGAATCGTTTTGGGGGCCAACATCGTGGCTTTTCTAGACGACGCTTATAGCAAACGAGTGTATTTATATTTCCGTCTCAATTTCCCAGCTCGTTCGTCACCTTAGATCACAAGCTGCCTGGTTGGGTCGTTATGTTTGGCCTTCTCTTACGTGCTGCTCGAAAGCTCGGCTTCCTTGCAGCAGTACATGCTACAGTGGTTCATCAAAAATCCGGCTCGCTTCGTGTGATTGAGGCTCAATTCTCTCCTGAGACACTAATAGATGTACGTTCCCTCCCTTAAAAATCTCGTTCACACTAATTACATGAATTATCAATAGGTCGATGTGCATATTTCAATTCCATACGCGTATCACGATAAAGTCATCGGCCATAGCCCAGATGACAAAGAATCTATAACTCGTGAATGATGTCTTACTGTTTGTAGCTTTCCCGACTTATTTAGTTTTCATTACAGTTAACAGAGGCTGAAAAGCATACATTTTTAAGCTGTCTATTATATAAATCATTCAATCTTCTAGCTACGACTTAATAAGTGTCATTTATTCGACGCTTCTAGTTAAACTTTGATTACCACAAGCAACATAATCATAGAGTCAAATGTGATCACTTGTCAGGACCCGAATCGTGGATGCCTTATGGGGGTAAGGGTAAGGCATCAGGCTATAACAGCATTGGTGTAGTTACAAAGAGTGCGCTCTGTTCACATCAATAAAAGGATATAAACACCACTGATTGCCTATCTCTTAATGGTGATATTTACGTCTGTGGGGCTCTGGAGGGACTTCGATGTGAAAAGGGCTAAGGTGCGCTCGTCTCTCTGATACTTTTCTAAGCTGTCGCGAGGCTCAATCACAACGAAGGGTTTGTTGGGAAACGTGGAAGGGGGCAAGATGATTTTAGTGGGTGTATCAATGTTCGGGTCGCTTCTGAATCTCAGGGTAAAAGTACCAGACTGTTCCTCAAAGCCATACGAATAGGCTTTACCGGGGACGACGGCTGGATACGGGCGGCTGTAGTGCTTCTGCAGCTCTGGTTTCAGCTTTCCAGAATCGTTGTACAGATCCTCATACGCCTAACCCATCTAAGAGATCATATGTGCATCAGTCGCTGTCATGGCATCTGCCATGTCGCTCATCTGCTTACCTCTGCTCTGCTTATCCCTGCCTAACCAAAACTTAGACACCGTGAGGACACCGGCAGTGTTCAGTCGCACGTTGTCTGTGTGACGGTTCTTGAATGTATCGGAGAAGTTGACTAAGGCATAGGCTAAGGCTCATATACCACTGGCGCAGTATTTATTAGCGTAAGATACATAGGCACATCATCCGTTAGCAAATCATCTATTCGCGCGACATTCATTATCACGTCATCCATTTGCGTAACATCCATTGGCGTAATGTCACGCATAGCTAAATGGTCATGAGTTATGTTAGATAAAATCGGGAGATATTTCTCTTATCGTTCTACAGACTTCTAACCTTAACGATCTGTCTCTCAACCTTACAGTTGCCTAGCAGGCCTTACTGCGGGATAAGTCCTGTCGAGGTTATCGAGGAACGATTCTAGGTAGTGCGCTAAATAGATCTATACCGAGGTATTAGTCTATTCGTAGTATTCTTCAGTTATGATTAAGCAAAGAGTCTCTAAAGCTCTGAAGGTATCTATAAGTAATAAAATATAATTAAAGACGAAGAACTAAACTAGACTTATAAATAAATGCCCTTATATATCCTTAAGTTTTTCTTATATAGATAAGTCAATAGTTGATAAGTAGATCGAGGCTACTCTTCTACCGTCGACCTTTCTATTACTTATATAATCTCGTGGTTCCTTTGTTAGCTCTTAGTATCCTATTAGATAGTTGTAGTCTTTATATATTATTAGTAACTCATATATCTATAATATGTCATGGAGATCATACAAGGGGCAATGGAATACGAAGATATTGAATATTGTATTGCGGACGGAGGAGAGAAGGAGAGAGAGAGAGAGCGAGAGATATCTATCTATCTACTCCATGGGAGACTATCCCAATGTGGGATGTCACCTGACATCCCCAACAATATGATCTCTCCCTATCCTGAGAGTTTCGTTGTTGTAATAGTCTCCTAGACTATACAATAGAAGATAGATAACCAAGATTGCAGAGCACTCTTTCCAACCTTTGGCCTTTCTCCAATCAGTGTTTTGCCCGGTCGGGTTTAATAAGACTATGCAGGACGAGGAGCAGCTGATCCGACCATGTAACGGGGAAGTTCCGTTTACGAAAAGGGTTCGGACTGAGTATCACCGACATAGATGCAGTTAGAATTCGTGACACCAATAAAGATAATGGACCCTTGATGACTTCATTCAGGGGCATAAAAGGGAGCCCTAAGCTGAGCCTCTTTATGAAACACAAGAATTAGTCTCTGTACAAGAATGCTACATTGTTGACGCTCCTCCATCTATTCATTCCATGTCCACCATCGTATCTTATTGGATTGACAGGCTGATCACCCCCGACCTGGTAATCTTCTTACATATAGCCGCTACCTGATTGCTATTAACGTATATAGAATTCTCTACCACTATAGTATAATAAATTCATATCCACTTTAGCCTCCCCCCTTTTCTTTTACTAGTAACGTAAGTTAGTCACGGGCATTACTAATCTAGTTTATTACTTTTTAGACGGTTTGGGCGGCTTAGGTCTACGCGATATATTCGTAATTTATATGGCCTGTATTAGTTAATACCGGGATTGGAATTACGAATTAAGCCAACTACTTACTATTATAAGTAAGCTATATTTATAGTATATGTATACTTAAAAAGAGCTCCTCGAACGCTCTATTTAGGTTATATACTATATCGACTAGCGTTAGCTATTCGATAGTAATAATGCTACTACCACGGAAGTCTCTAATAACTTTTACTATACCGATGAGCTTAATAACGGACTATTAAGTCATAAGATCTCGAAGCTCAGTTTCGATATAGGTTAGGCCATCAGAGCAAACAAATATAATACGTACTATGCTTAGAACGTATAGGTGTAAGAAGATCCTTAACATTTTAGATCTTTGAACAAAGCAGTGGAAATAGAGTTGAAACTATGGTGTTCTCCTACTATATGAATCTCTCAAGGTTGTCGCGCTCACCATGAGTCATTAGAGTGGTCGCGTGCATGATGAGTCCGTCTTTTCAAATCAGTATCTCTAGCAGCAATATTCGCAGAATTGTAAGGCTACCCTTCGCATATTACATAAACAGTATATGAAGACCTTGTCAATTTGATTCTATCAGGAACTTTAACAAAATGAATTTATCTAGTATAGAGCAGCTTGGCTGTATACCAAGTCATGCCAAAACTAGCCACAAATTCGTTGCGAAGGCAAGTCATTGTTGATAGAAACTTGATCTTCAGCAGCTGTCGGTGTAGCCATTGCCTCCATTCTTGCACAAGTATCCGCACTTCTCGATAACTTTGATCTCGCCGTTGGAGCCTCCAAGACAAGCGAACAGCGCGTTGTCTCTGTTCACGCCAGGGAATGCGGACTGAGCTTCTGCAACCGCATTCCGGATCTGGATGTCGTAGTTGCCTTAATATAGATTCAGTAATCTGCTTCATCGTAACTCAAGTCATAGAATTCGGTTCACTAACCTCGGGTCATAAGGGCTGAGGAACAGTAATTGAACTGCGTTTGGCAGTTCTTGGCCACACCAAGAGATGCAAAGGCAGCCACGGAGGCAATGGAGAGGATGCTGAGCTTAACCATGTTTTCGGTAGGAGAAAGTGTTGTTTGGAGCTGATGAATGATTGAGATGGCTGGAAAGTGATGGTGAGAAGAATTGGAGGGGATGGGACGGGGTCTTTATAGCCCGCATGTCGTCTCGGTAAATCGCGATGATTGTATGCTACACTATTGCTGCGGGGCAAGTATCTAGCCCTCAGTCTCTATGTAAACGAAAACAAGTCCCTGAAAGAATCAAGAGTACATTGATGCGTCCCTCGACCCCACCCTCTGGCTCCCATTTAGGTTAGAAATTGTGACATGAGCTGTTGATCCTCGGGGATGGGACTCAATGTCGTATTTCAGTAACCCAAACTCTGCTAGCGGCGTGAATCCTTCGACTGGACTCCCATAACCATCCGGTGTAGCCGCACAGTACATAACTTACGCATCCACGCCTCTGTAGACGGGAGGAGATTGAACATAAACATGGCGGTCAGATCAACTGATGATATAGAAATCGGAAAGTTCAGTGAACTAGAGGACGGAAGATCGACCTCACGGTAGACCAGTGCACTGGAAATCTGGAGAAGGTATGAGTTTATCTTCCCAACAGTGCGAGCTCACTGGGGGCCCACTATAAGGGTTTTGAAAATTAGCGCTTTATCACGTTTGCAACCCGTCAATGACTTGCGGACAGATACACTTGGGAGCATGATATCACATACGTGATTGGACTCTCTCTGTGCAGTGGGTTCCCTCAATTTTGGTCATGCTCTTGTTTACCGAGCACAATAGGTTTCACTTTTCCCCGACGCCCTGGGAATTCTGCGTGGTAGAGACTGCAAGGGGCCTTCTGACAAGTAGATTGGTTGGCTCTCGAACGATCGAGGTCCCAATCAGAAAAGAGGGAATCCTCGCCCCGACGTATAGTCTACTGGCGTTGCCGCTAGGGGGTCCGCTAGTTGGGGGGTTGATCGTACAGGGGTCAGGGAAGCTTGGCCCAAACTCATTTGATTTCCGACCTTGTCCCTCAAACTGCAGCCCTCCGTCTAATGTGGCCGGTCGACCACATAGACAATGCCATGTGGTTGTGAATTGATTTACTCTACCTAACACCTCGGCAAAGCTGGTCAAAAAGCTAGTGATAGCCAATGTAACATTGTACACGCTAAGTACAGTGCTGTTGCATAAGTATTTGACCTCCAGTACTTCGGTATCCACTTTGGCTTGACCGCGGTCGAAGTACTCGAGGTCAAATACTTGTGCAACACTGCTGTTTTGCTAGCCTACTCCTTGAATAATATTAACCAATGGTCCGATGCTTCTAGCTGAACAATCGACAGGGGTTGGATATCACATATCCAATTTTGGAACTTCTATGTCGACCATGTAGAACCCCACTCCCAAAGATAATTAATGAGAAGCTATCGTGAAGGTTGGAAAAAGATTCTTCGTGCTGAGCTTCTCAGCACGGCTTCTATTGATTATTATAGAGAACTATCCTACAAGGTGCGAGTGTGGAAAAAAGATAGACAGGGCCTGGAAAATATGGTAGAAAATAGGCTTGGCACGGGGCTTTGCCAGGACCGGACGGACCTCGGTGAAATAAATTCTTGCTGTACACTTAGTGGTGGCTAGGTATTACGAAAAATGCGCAATGTATTCAATAAACACCCTAATACATTTTAAGCATATATTGCGACCACCAATAAGGCTAAAGCTTGAATAATCCTAGCTCTTTCATGTAACTATCAAATTATTCGACTGGCCCCCAAAACTTCGCCACGTCTAGCGTCTCCCCCAGATTCAGCTTCGAACACGCTAGTGGTCGGGTTTAGGTAATTAAGCCTCTTCCCACATGTCAACCGCAAGTCACGGAAATGTTGGTGACCTATCTCATACGCCCGCAGTAATCAATGCGACATTTAATCCATACACAGGCTACAACAAAGGGTCCATGGACATGCACGTGGTTTCATGACAATAAGATTTATGCGGGCTGATGGGCTCTCGCAATTTTGTCCATTTCGGATTTAGCTCCAATCTAGGGTCTCAGTCTTATATTGTGAGCTGCTATTCTTGCCACGTACAATATTAGTTCCTTCAGTAAGAAAGTGAATGAGTGAATTATTTTATTTTTCTTCCAACCGTTTTTTCTTTACTCTCATTTCGGAGACAACCAGTTGTTCAATGACCGTAAGTTTGCTTGGCGTTGACGCTGATCCTTCACCACTATAGGTCTTATACTACTCGTCGACGATGTCTTACAGACCCATGTGTCTATTCTCGTTTACCACTGATTGTCGTGGAGAGCATCGTTGATATTTATTGTGCCTTCGGTCAACTCCCAAATGATCGCTGCGTGTTATTGCTCATCAACATCATTTCTCTTCAAACAGTGTCTTTACGCTTTGTCCGCCTTCAAATTTGAATTCCAAAATTGATTACCCATACCAGATCCCGCTTTTGCGACTGAGACCCTCATCATGTTCCACAGTATGGCTCCTAGGAAGGCTCTTGCTCGCTTCTAGAGATCAGACTTGTAGTTCCTAGGGGACCTCCACAGTCTCAGGAGTGCAGAATATAGCTTCGGAGAACGAGGATTAGGTTGCCTGCTCTTTGGCGTTTCGCAAGATCGGTGCCTGTGGATCAGTGGGGTCACGATCGGATATTATTCAAACCGATAGCGACAAAATGCGGTTAGCGTGTCTCCTCATCTCGTTGAGAGTCACTACCAAAGTAGGGCAAAACAGTGTCTGTGATCCCACTCATTCACCGCTATTTTCTCCACAACGATTCCCTGAACTACGAAGTCTGTTCCTGTAGGCAGATAAGTAGGAATAATCGCGGCAGAACGAGACCAAAAAAAACTTAATACGGGATTGGTTTAGACGAACAGTCGATTAAAAGCCTCAAGCTCGATACTGAATGTTACTTTTGGCATTAATTCGACGCACCTTCACTATCCACCCCGACTTCCTGTAGAGCTGACTACATACACTGTGCTGCGACGACTAAGTCGAGCACGGACAAGGGAGGCACAGTGGCTTAGTGTGTCATGAGTCAGGTAGAATGTGGACAGATCGTTTTTGCGATATGGGCAGATAGATCATTGAGCTCCTTATCGTAAAAGGGTTCAACTGAGTACAGACATCAACTCCCAAATAACTGCATTTTACTGTATCGTTGATCAATATTATTTCTCTCTTCAATCGATGTCTTTACAACATAGTTTTGCCCAGTTAACCAGCTCCTCCTTCTGTTGCCTGCACGCTTATTGCGCGCATTTCGATTTGTGTGCCTAATATTGATTACCCGTTCCATATCCCACGTTTTATCTAGCGAATGAGATCCTCACATTGTTAGGATCATATTTTACCACAGGATCCATGGCATGGTTCCTAGGCACGCTACTGATTGCTCCCAGGAGTAAGAATTATGGTTCCCAGGGGACATATAGCTCCCGGGAGTGAAAGGTATAGCTCCGGGGAACGAGGGCTGGTATTCTAGGAGCTTAGGTTACTACTGCTTGGAAAAACCAATCGCGTGCGCAGAAGCATAGAACCTAGGACCAGGTATCATCTAGCACGGATCCAGACCTCACTGATTAGGCTAAGAAGGCGAGCCGGACGCCACCGTTATGTGAGGTGAGGAAAACATATACTTCGTCTTAGGTCTTGTCTAGATATATAAAGTCTGACTTTGAATCTTCATACGGAATGAGCTATATAGTTACAGTACAAGAGAAACGTCTTACTAAATTGATCAATAAATACTTGAACAATGAAAACAAATATATTTCTAAATACTGTGACATCAATTTCTTCTGTCCAACTAGGGAGGCCTTAATCCAGATCAGACGCAGTTGAAGACTGGGATTCATCTATATCATTGAGGTCTTGATGCCGAGAAGGCCCCAGAAAGAATAATCCTGCTAGACAGAGCCCAGAACATGCGGCTAGGCCATAGTATGGGAGCCCAAACCAAATCCCTCTGAGCTTCATACCCTGCGAAAAAAGCCACGATAATGTCGACCCGGCAAACATAGAGAGAGCCGATTGTTTCAAAGATCCCAATCATAGCATTCATCTTTGACTTATTCTGTGCTCCCATGTAGCTCATAATTATTGATCGACATATCGCATTCAAGCCCGCGCCTGATGTTTGAAGCATGAATCCGAAAATTACAAGGCTAAATGTGCGGGGCTCCCGTAAGAAGGCTCCCAAGAATTACCAAACAAGCCGAGGCGCGTCCAAGAATCAGATCCTTGACAGCTGGCCGCAAGCATTTCGAAAGTAGTTTTGATATCCCAGGGAATAAGACAAGTAGCATGAGCATCTGGCCAATCCCACGGGCTGCGAGGAGATAGCCAGCGTCTGCGAAAATCCATTCAAATCGCTTGCTCACATATTGCACGAGCAATGGTCCGTCTATAGGCCACACTCTCGGGATATAGGGTGGAGGAAATGGTGGCTCAATAGCAGAATCACAGTAGAGATCGAATAAGAGACGCATTCCGTGCCACCAACTAATCACATCCCAAACAATCTCTGGAGATATTTTGGTATGATGGTCAACAGGGCCCAAAAAACTTTGAAGCTAACTCGTTTCTACGGCCGAGGGGCCTATCTTCGGAGGGACGTATAGTCTCCTAAAATTCTTGAAAAATGCGCCATAAAAGGCAATATACTTGCTCCGCACCATGTCGCACTCGTGCTGAGAACAATGCGCCTGTTTTCTGAATGTGTTCTCATTAGCCAGGCACCCATTAACAGGCATAGAAGCACACAGTGAGTGATCTGAACACAGCCAAACAAAGGCCCGAATATTCAAAGATGGAGTTCATGAGTCTGCAGCAGCGTGCAAAATGCAAGACATCGTCAGTATCATCGAGCCACTTGACTATTAGAACAAGGATCCCAAATGAAAGATCTAGAATTGCGTCTGAGTCTTAGTTATTCTCCAATAGATAGTACGTGGAAGGTGGGAGTTTGAAAATTCAGAGCAGTGACAAAAGGAGGAAAAAAGTGAAAAGGAAGAAATATTCAGTTGCAGAATAGTGTTGTTCAGGTGCACGGGCAGAAGGGGTTGAAGAGCAGGGCAGCAAAAGGGGATTTCCAAACAAATCAAAAAAATATGGGTGAGCAAAAACATACAACAGTGAGGATTCGCTGGTGGTCACCCACCCAACTACTAACTCACCGGCGTGTGGCTTAAGTACGGCTGAGCGGACGGGAAGCCCTGTTTTCCACACCCTATGGTCGTATGTACTTGACATCATATAGCAATGGATTAAGAGAAGATTGAGAGCGTAGTTCAAATATTTTTTAACTTTGGTGGGAGCTTTGGTGGGAGTTTGAGGTAAATGAATTGAACATTTCTCCTACTACCTTCTACTTGGCCACTTAATTGTTAGAAGCTCCCGAGGTCTCTGAGGGTGGATATCACACTTTGTTACTGCCCAGGTGTGGGCGAACTGTGTTATGTGCGTTGGTCACGACTCGCGCAACGCTGGAGCGGCGCTTATGATGCCTCTAACTTACAACTTTCACTTTTCATAACCCTCTACTGGGTCCTTGGGAAGCAAGTCATATGTCAGCTAGGCTGACAGCTCGCGGAATAAAATTGAGATAGTGCAGAGTTAGCCAAGCCTCAATCAGTTTAGGGCTTATGGGCGTCGCTCCGCTCGATCCACTCATCTGCTCCTTCCGACCACGTGTTTTGGCCTGGACTTTTGATCTTTTGCAAAGTGCCATGCCCCCGTGGCTGTGTAATAGATCTCGGATATGTCATTTTCCAGTGCAGGAGGAGTTATGGATATTAATTGGAATATGCTGCCGCACTTGGGGGCTTTTGGTCAACGTCCGACTCAAACAGAACGATGCAGCCCACCAGATCAAACATATTGGATTTCATAGGCTTCGTTCCAGACGCTGATCAGGCAAAAGCCACGCTGTTCGTCGAAGTATGTAACGACCTTTTTTGAGCCTCCAGTTCACTAATCTTGTGAAGAGCGCGAATAGTATCAATGAAGCCGTGGACCGGTACTACGAAGACCCCGAAAGGTACTCAAATCGACCGATCTCACCTACCAGCAACTCCATCGCAGGCTCCGTGGAAAGCTCTGCTGGGTCTTATAATCTGAGCCAGGCCATGGCGATCATGGTTTCCACCACAGAATCCCCTTCAGCTGCAACAAGCTACCCTCCCTCGGCTGGAAGTCTGATAAGCCCCAGACAAACAATTGCCACGAGCAGTAGTGGAGCGTCTTGTCGTCCCCATGAGAACGCTTTGACGAAAGCCGCACAGGTACGCGCCCAAGATGAGTCCGAGATGCAGAAGATGCTCCACGGCGTCCAACTGTCATGTCGTATCTACAACCCTGAGATTGAGCCTGAGCACGAGACATATCTACTCTGCGATTGCCCTGTTCATAAATACTGGACAAAAAAGTTCGATCGCCTCCCCATGCTTGAAATGTGGTCCAAGGCTGTAATGTATACCGGCGAAAAGCCATATCATGAATTTACACATCTGCGAATTTCCAACAACAACCCATATTCTTCCATCCCGTCTCCTTACACACTGGCGAGCGCTTCACTTAATGGTTTTGCAAAGCCTGATCCGCAATTTCACGTTAGCTTCGTCCGACAAACCATGGATCTAGACGCAGCCCTCAATGACAAAGCACAAGCAGCAGTTGAAACCGCGGAGCCATCGGTTAATATTTGGGGACTCGATCAGCTAGAGTGTCTGGTATCAGACATGTCACTGACCCACCGCCAATCCAACTACGGTGGTCTGGATAGCCCAAAGTTCTCTAAACGCTCAACTCTTAGGAAGGCCTTCTCTGTCAGAAGTTCCGACGAGCGAACGGCCCTAAAGATAAAGAAAAAGCTCGCTGGGTCCATCACCCTACGCAACGAGATTATCAAGGAGGAACAGGACCGATGGCAAGACGAGCTTGAAAGGGACCTTGTCTCAAATTACCAGGAGCGCATTGGAATATTTCAAAGTGTTGCGGCGCTTCGAACACATAAGCCTCTTCAATATCTCCACCTTCTACGAGCAGGATATTTTGAACCCATTCCGATAGCCTGGCAAGGCCGGGTTTCAAATCTCTTGAGGTTTACTATCGACGCCTCTGCGGGATGGAGAGGGTTGACGCCCACATGGAGAGGCTACAAGAATACTTCTGAGGAGCGGCTCTACTGGACTTTGAAACACAGACTTGGAGGCGAAGAAACAACAAAACCAAATCTAATATCGGAACTTGATATGGCGCGGGAGCGGACGGCATTGACTGTGCGAGTGCACCCCCGATATTATTCACCTGATGATATTTTTTACGGTCAATATCCATCAGAAAGTTATTCGAGGCAGATGAAGCCTCCTTTGAGAAGAGGTTCCGAAATCAAATCCCCAACAGATGAGACGATGATATTACTAGATGCTCGTGGCTCTATGGATGCCAGTCCCTTGCATCCCAATTATAAGCAATATCTCATCACAGGGTTTTCAAAGTCTGAGCAACCTAAACATCAAGGTGAAATTAATTCATGGTTCCTTTCCTTTTTCCTGATGTCAAAGGCTTACCGTGCAGAAATAGAATTGGCAAAGGCCGTTCTCCGTCGTTTTGTCCAAGCATTGGGCAAGCATGAAAAGAACACACAAGGATATCCACTTGTAACATTCAGCAGTCAGGCCGAATACATCGACATAGTCAATGGGTGGAGTCTGAATGACGTTTGGAACGGTATCGAATTCAAAGGGGTCAGTCACATCATGGTAGGGTGGCAAAAGCTCAAGGAGATGCATTTCCAGAAGCATTCCGAAACGGCCACATACCACGCAACATACGGGTGGCAGGCTGGTCCCCACACGCCCAAACTGCGACTTCTGTTGATTTTTGGCAGTGAATTCAACGATATGGACGAATTCGAATTGACCTTTCTCGATGCATCCTGGGCTTACGTTACCATCTTTCTGATTGGTGTTGATGGTTGTCCTCATCATCACCGGCGAGCAAGGAGACTACAACGAATGGCCGATTCGAATTCACATATATCTTTCGTTGAAGCGCAAGGCCTTATCCCAGAGCGTTTCGTCACACATGAGCTTCTCAAATGCCATCTCGGCCAAGATATCTCCATGTCTGAGTTTGAAAATCTCGAACAGCAAGCGGCAGAGCTACCATCACCGCTGGGACCTCGAACCCAGAGAGCCCAATCAGGCCAGATTCAACTGGAACAATTGCTGGCTGAACTACCGCCGATGGATAACACAGGAATCCGGCAAACACATCCCCATCATCCAAATGCGCCAGGTCTATATGAGCTACCGTACAATCCAAGACCAGCAGAATTACCTGCCATTGAAAGCTCGGTGCGGCCTGCAAGGCCAATCCGACCACCTCCCTTGCCTCCGCAGCCGCAGATAGATCATCCCCTAGACCCTCCGCCTCCGTATGTAGAGAGGGAATAAGAAAGTTGCATTGTTGGAGTTGCCAGTCATATTGGAATTCCAGTTTGTTGATATACCCGATTTATGTTATCATTCTATCTGCTAGCTGGAAACATCGCATAGCACTCTCCATACCCGTTAGTAATAGGAAATCAAAATTATACACTTAAGTCACCTATGTCTGAGGAGAAGGGGTAATTGTAACGGCGAGGGTGATAAGGCTTGCTATGAAGTCACTCTCCCGAAACTAAACATCCAGCCATGACCGTGGTATTGCCTTGGCCTCCATCATTATGCCGCTTGTAGGCCCAGTAGGCGAGAATTCTGATCGTCCGCGTGATTTTAAAGATTGTAAAAGATGGCACATTGCAGATTATGTATGACACTTCAACTGTTTGAGTACTGAGAAACAACATATAATCGAATAAGTAAGATTCCAATCAAAATTCATTGAACAAGACTCGGAGGATCAAATGTTGCAGATTACAACTGGCAAGTGCTGATACGAAACCCATCTGACAATTTTAGTAATTCTTGCACCTCCTAAATTTATTGTCGGTCTATCTAGCGTTGGGGGAGGAATCGGTAAATCTCTCTGTAGAAGAAGGCTTACAATGTGTTCCATCGAGCCGCAATACTTGACTGTACTACCGCGATATAAAAGCACAACGCGGTACTTGTCTACATCTACCTCATCCAAGAACTCCTCACCTCGAAACAGTGGGTATTCATACTTGACGGCAGCATTGTCGACAAATTTAAATTTAAAGTCCTCGTAGTTTTTGAATGCATGGGGTTATCTTCCTTTTCCTATATCGGAACATTCTATCAACAGTGCTCTCATGAAGAAATATCGCAGAGGGTCCAAAGTTGAGGGTAATCTTACCAACGGTTTTTCTTTCATTGATTTTCAACATGGCTGCATCAATCGCTTTCTCCAGATTCTTTCGGCTAAATGTGACACCTTCCACAGACTCCATTGATAAATTAGCAACACGATTGAGATTTGAAAGCAAGAAAGAACAAGCGGATGTGATTTAACGCTATAGTACCTCCACAAAAAACACCAGTGGCTGGTAGTTTTACCTCACGTTGAATGGAAATGGGCTGCTATGTGGTTACAATATCCTGGAGATCATCCAGATCATCCGGATCATCCTAGTTGTCATTCACATCCACAGGGAAGAATTTCGGGAAGTCAGGCATATTGAAGTTTCCCTCGGTAGTGATCATTTGGTCAGACAACTCGTTGGTGTCAATATCGATATGAATAGAAAGTGGTTAAGCCATCGCGGCGAGCACTCCAATGAACAAAGTAATGCCAATGATCTTTATGTGACTCTTTAGTAATAGAACCGGTTTTGAAAAAATTGAAATTGTGATAACTCTCAGTAGTTTTCACAATAGAGCAGAAAGACCCTTGATTATATATTCCAAAGTACAGTCGGCGAAACCGGTTTTCTCGCTTGAATATGCGGCGATATTGTGACGGGGTTTCCAATCCCCAATCGCTCCTGATAAACTGAAGTATGTAGATCATGGTATTGATATTATTGACACGGATTTTTAGCGAGGTTACCGAAATCCAGTCGCTCTGGGTAAATTGAAACCTAGAAATCACAGCTGTGATAGTGGCGGAGCTTCGGCGCCAGTGAAATACCACTACCTTTGTCCTTTTTTTACTTCTTCAATGAAGCGGAACTGGGCTTCACCGCCCATCTTCTAGCGTTAAGGTCCTTCGCGGGCTGATCCGGGTTGAAGACATTGTCAGGTGGGGAGTTTGGCTGGGGCAGCACATCTGCTAAACAACTCCATTATAGCCTTGACCTCGGATTTTCGACCTCTTTTCTCCTTCCCCTGCCTTCAACTCGTCTATCTTGCATTCATCGCCCCCTTTCATTCACTCTTGTCCCCACCACTACACCTTAGCTTTCAGCCGACGCACTGCCCTTTTCAGTTTACCGGAGAATGCTTTCGAGAGACATTGTTTGATATTACTGGACTTTCCCAGTTTTAATTATGTTTCTTCAATCACTTCCAGACGAAATTCTCCTGCGGACTCTATCTTACCTTCCATCTCATATTGATGCTGCAGCGCTGTCTCTACAATGCCACCGTTGGCATCGGCTTTGCGACATGTCCAATCGGCGCAAATACCGCCACGTAAAACTCCGAAACACCATGGACTTAGCAGTGGAATTAAAAATGCTCCGATCGATCCTCAAAACCCCTCGGTATGGGGGGTATGTTCGCCACATAGAGCTGAACCGATCCCCATCACTAGATTATGGGTTTGTGCAGTCGTACACAGCCAAACCACCGCAGCGGTCCCTTCGATCAAAGGACGAGGTCCGCCTGGCTGCGGCGATCAAGCAGGCCGTCTTTGATTGCCCGGAACAACAGGAGAAGATGCTCAATATCTTACTACAGAATCCGGCTAGCATGGAGTATCTCCCCCTTCCTCTAGACTTTTCCCCTCTTTCTCTGTTCGTCTCTGACTTTGATTAGCCATAACGACCCACGAGCCCCGTTCCTCGCCCAGGCGTTGGCAGCGTTACTGGTCAGCGTTTCGCCACTATTAGAATCCTTGAGTTTCTGCCCTGTCGGCCAGGAACCATCGAAACTCTCAAAATCATCCGCTCAAGCCAATGGAAATCCACTACGGGAAAGTGATTATTTCCTTAAGCATTTCTTAGACCGGGCGAACAGTATCCCTCAGGAGACCCTGCCATTCCTGCATCATCTTCGCCAGGTCCGATTTCTTGTCGATCCTGATACAAGAATCCATCGCTGGCACTATTACCAGCCCTATGATCTGTACGGCAGCCTCAACCTGGTATACCGGCTCCTCGCAGTAGAATCCGTCTGATTCGACGCGGTTATGAGCAATAGCACGGAGAGGCTGAGTATTGAGCCCCCACCCCGATCCGCTAAATTATACCAGCATTACCATTCGAAACTCCAATATAGATAACCGCCATCTGGTGCGGGTCATTGAGTCAGCCAAACGACTTGAAGATTTTACGTATGCGGTCTGTAGCCGAGGCTCGACGGATGGCATACTAAGCATGTTCAGCCCGGATCACGTCTTCCGGGCGCTCCTCTGGCATGCCAATTCTTTGATAGATCTGGATTTGGATGTCGAGGCCGAAATCCCACTGCCAGAGACATTCGACCCTACTCTCGGTCTTTGCACCAGCCCTCCCATCAACAGGAACTCCAAAAGCCCCAGCTGGAGCAGGCCTTGCCTTGTTCTCTTCGTGGGCTTGCGAATTTGAGGAGACTGAGTCTCGGAATCCATACCATCTACTACCTATCGCGAGGAATCGGTGCTGATCAGATCGACGATGCATCATTTGCTATTGTGGATCATCTCCCATCAAACTTGGAAGCGCATTGTATCTATGGGTACGAAAAGGGGATGAAACCGCAGGTAAGGGGTCTTCCTGCCGATGTGTTTGATAGGCAATTGGAGAAATTACTCGCTGAGAAGTATATAAAATTGCCCCGATTGTCATATATCGAGAGGATCAATGAACTCACCGAAAACGCGAGCACCATCAAGCAGCCAGCGACTAACGATGAGGATCTGTGGGAGAGAGATACAGATGATGAATGGACTGATCATGAATATAATTAGGCAGTATGACTTGGTCTTCACTACTCAACCGCGTTTGATCGAGGCGAACTTCCTGCTGTCAATAGATGTACTATAGAATGAGGATATTACAGTGTAAGGTCCTAAACCACACCACGCATTTCTGATGCATATCTACTCCGGGGCTTCATCAGCCGTGATAGAGTTCCATGTGTAGAGAGGTCTCACGCAATAGGTGAGCCCAACTTGCAACAACTCGGTACAATCTGCGGAGCCAGTCCCTGCAATGCTCGGATTCACGTCGCGGAACAGCCCGATCGTGATGCCGTTGGAGGTGCAGATACTAACACACGTATCATCTGCACTAGTGACCTCATACCAACGGCCACAGTAGGCCGTGGTGTCATTGGCGACCGTGGCGTTCGTCGGGGGAGCTATCGCAGCAGTCGTGTACCCAGTACTTTCACTCGGGGTAGTCAGCACTCTCGGGATGGGATCGGTGATGCTGTAGTATCCAGCCTGGGGGGTGAGATAGATCGTGTGCCCGTTGGTCTATGTGGTAGTCTGCAGGTTGTCGCACCAGAAGTTGAGCCAGGGATTGTATCTTCTGATCACCCTGATGTCCAAGTCTTGCGCAAGTTCAATGGAGTCGCTGGTATCCTCATCCTGGAGGATGTAGAGAGTATCGCAGGTCAGAGGCAGACACAGATCAATGCCGACGGTGACCTCGGTACAGTTGTAAAGAAGCTTAGAGTTAAACTCCAGTAACGAAGCCGATGCAACGGAGTGCGTCTGCGCAATCGAGTCACATGTATCATTAGCTTTGGTCGTGTAAATTGCTTCCGTAAAGCAAGACACCGGATCCTCGGCCAAGGTGATCACTGGGGCGTGGATTTTTGTGGGACCACATTCGCCAGGGCATATGGCGTATATGTATTCCAGTGTTTCTTGGTAGGAGAGATCTAGCCCGGTGTTGTAGACGGAGTAAGGAGAGGACTGCATAACGCGGTATTTTTCCACGTTGCAATAGGAGCAAAGCTCAGCCTCGGGCATTTCGTAGTAGAACTCCACGTCAGTGAAGCCGTCAATTAAGTCTGATGTGCATGTTAGTTATGTGTGTGCAGACAGAATCCAGAAAAGACCCACCATCACAATAGGCATCAGTCTCGAGATTCTTGATGTATGTTTCGTTATAGCCAGCCCAAAGAGTTCCCCCTATGCGAGTCGGCAAACCATCGCCTCTGGGGGAAGTGATATTTTGGCCCGCACAGGCGATACTGACCGTGCCATACCAATTCTTCAGGGAGAGGCCACAGCCCTGATCACAGACCGAATCAGTCTCAAGAGTGGTGTCCAACAAGCCATGGTACGTTGCGCGTTGCCAGCTTCGTAGAATCGAGTCACACTTGATGGTTTGATTGAGCGCTGTTTTGTAGGTGGAAGTCATGTTAGACAACATGCTGGACGCAGGGTTATACAGCTGAAATCCTGCAAAGTTATGTTGCTCAACCATCGTTTCTTCGGACATTCGCACCCAGGCCAGAATGGAAGAGATGTATCCATTTCGATTGTCTTTTGCATAAGTAATTAACTCGCCCACGGGAGTCACCATCTCGACAATCGCTTTCGTACACAGGTTGTATATCCAAATGTCCTTGCTTTGTTCGATCTCGAAACCCTTTTACCCTATGGTCGTATGTGCTTTCAATGTGGTTGCAAGAGTACATAATCAGCCATTTAGAACAGATTGAAAGGTTCACCCTTGGAAAAAGTGTGCATTCAAGTGTTGATGGCTAGCATGAATACCTGTGAACCAACGCACTTTTGAAACAGGCGCGAGCACTGAGTTTCATGGCACTAGCCTTGCCTTTGCGTCGTTTGTTAGGTGAGCTATGGTGGTGCATGCGGTGTATTGTAGTAGATCAAGGAGAGATGGATTCAACGCGGATGAAGTAGCCTGAGGAATATCTGACGGGACTCTGAAATATCATGTGCCGTGCGAGTGATGTACACATCAAAGAAGAAGTCGTCTTTCCATATCAAATGCCCTGCTTTTCGACCCGGTCATATATGTCACGTAGTGAAACGCTGGTAACTGAAAGACGAAGCTAATCTGACTTTACAACATATAGATAGAGTGCTTGCTTGTCAGTGTCATCCTCGAGCCATCAGTGATGTAAAGACTTTGAATTTCTATCAAACCCTCCGCCATTGTCATTTCTACGTGCGAGAAATATTTCAAGAAATTTTCATGGAGTGATTTACTAAGTTCAAGCCGTCATTTACAACTAGAGAAATTGAGCACATAGATCAAAGTAGGAAGCGCATCAGCTCCTGCGGGAAAAGACCGAAAAATGTGAACATTGGACTAAAGGATAGTAGAAAATGACATGATGCAAACAGTAATGAGAGATATTGTTGTTGCAAATTCTATCACAGAAAAAGACATGGTTGCTCAATTGCGTGGGATGGGATACTCGGCGGTGTGCTTCCAGGGGTACATAAGTAGATTCTGGGCATTCAGGAGATTGATATACTGTGCTAATACACTCACCATGGCGAGAAAATCCTCACGACCATCGGATTGATTGTCATTTCCTTCAACGTTGAGGGTAATAAGTTCGTCAATTTTACGATGGCTGTCGCGGAGGTATTCCTGTCCCACGTATCCCAGAAACTCAGCGGGAGTGGAGACAAGCTTTCGATAAAGAATGACCAGATGTTTGAGATCGAACTGAGGATATGAGGCAGCAATTTCGAGTATATTGTCAAAGAGGTAATAACCCAATGTGCGAACCTCACTGTTCGAGAAAAGCATAGCAGCAAAGTAAGAGTCCTTGGCTCCCGGATTTGAAGGAGCTCGACCGCTATGTATTTTTCGGATATCTTCTGAAACATCTGACCAAGACTTATCCGTCTGATGCATGAGACGAGGAGGTTAGCTCTCTATGCAAGGATTCTAGAGGAAACAATAGACACATACTTCGTTATGGATCTCTTGAACAAGCTCTTTCACTTCTTTGGTGACACCGGTACGTTGTAGACGAAGTGCAAGACTTTCAGGGCCAGGCTCAGGGGTTGAAGCATCCCAAAGTATTACTTCAATGGGTTGCTTCAACTCAAGCTGAGTTTTCCAAACCTCGTTTCCAAGCCAACGCAGTTTCTCCAGGTCCTCGGGAATCACATTTCCACAAGGCGCTGCAGGCTGGTGCTCAGTCACCCGACCGTACTTTATGGCCAGATGCTGAAACTTTGAAAGAAAGACAGTTCCGTCAGGCTCAAGTGTGCGGTCGGGGATCTTGTATTCTGGGTTCGTGTACTATGCGAGATGGGTATTAGAGATTAAAAAGAATCTTGAAACATTGACTAACGAGCAAAGACTCCGATGGAACAAGATGATAAAGGTGATCACCCGTAACAAGGGCATGCGTCTGGAGAGAGCGATACGGAAGGGTATCCCATAGAAGGTTCACTAATTTAGAATTCAAATCATTCATCGTCACTGTGACAGTCACATCCAGCTTAGGCCATTTGATTCTGAGCTCACGCGGTGTCTGGCTACTGGTGTGCTGATCCATGATGAATAGAATATGTAACAAAGCTGTAGATATTTCAAAGGTATATTGAGATTTAATTTTGAGGGCAGTATGTTCTCAAACCATCCCTTTTATATTTATCTGAGCATACTCGAAAGAAAGGTAAAAAGACCCTCAGCGCACAGTGATGCGGAAAGTTCATACCATGTTGACGTCTGCATAATTCATACTTTGCCGCAGCCTTTGACAAATATGGAGCATGACTAGAAACCAAGGCACAACATAGTAAATGATCAGGTTTTTCTTACATGTAGTGTGGTTGCACAGCGTTAGTAAGGTAAGCCCAACATTGGAAAAGTTGAGACTTGGCGGAGCGAGCCAATGGTTTGCCAAGACCACCAGGTACGAGTAAACTTTGTCATGTCATCACAAATCACATCAATGATTCACGATTCATAACGGGAGACGTCCAGCGAGAATAACACCTGCACGAAGTTCCTAAGTGAGGAGCTAGTTTTAAAAGCATTGTGAAACACCCCGTGTACCTAATCACTACCTCGGACGGATCTTGAACCGAAATCTAAACAGCACTTCATTCAACACAAAGTACGTTTGGCCACCACATTATCCGCCAAATCTAGAAAACCTTGCAGCCCCCGTAAGCCCCCCTTCGTGAACGTTGTATGCCCGAAACACCAAATCGGAGCAAACACGGGCCTCTGATGACCAAGAATTGGCGTTGAAGTGACATGCAACATACAAAAAAAACTTGTTTGACAGCCCTCCTATTTCTCGCAGCTATATGTCAGAATCCTCAATAGGGAATTATTGACATAGAATGACATATCCGGCTCGAAATGTATTACTCTGTAGGGCGCATTGCTTATGGCAAAGTTGGATGTGGATGTCCCTGGTGCCGAAGTTGACAATATCCAGGTGGCTTGGAGACTAGCATTACCTCATTGTCCGGATTTATAAGTCCAATAGATACAGCCAAGACTAGATCGGCTACTTCACTCAATACAAAGCTCAGAACACAAATTAAACAGCAATGGATACCAACAATGTTGACCCGTTCCGCAAAACTTGTCTCATACCGTATCCCAACGTCGATGACCTTCCACCGATTCTGCGCGATAAACTGGAAATATTGCCATTTCGTCGCAACATTCTCCTGACGATTGCACATTCTCACGGTCTTGCACCCCACTTACTGGGTCTCATCGGTGCCTGCTTCGATGGCACCCAGCGAGGTCTGCCCACGCTTGAGTGGCAATTGATTGTCTTGCGGGCTGCCACTGTTCTCGGAGCGAAGTACGAATGGGATGTGAATATCCCAGTTGCTGAAGTCCACAACATGCCCCAAGAGAAGATCGAAAATATTGGTTGTCCAATTTCAGTCATTCATGACACCAGTCAAGGCCCATGGACACTCCGAGACAGGGTTTTACTACGTATGGTAGATGAGCAGTTGTCTACGTATACAAACGAGGAAAAGACCATTCAAGATGCTTTGGAACTTCTTGGGGCTGATATGGTTGTGGAGGTGATCATTATTATCGGAATCTATGCTTTGTTGGCTAGGCTGATTAAAGGGCTGGGTGTGGATGATGATCCGGAGATTCCGGATTTGAAGGAGAAGATCAGGGAGGCCATCACAGCTACCAGGTAGATAATGACCTAATTTCCACATTCTTTTGACTCTGGGAGGCTTTGATATTGTTGTGTCAAAGCTTGTCACTAGCATGGCATAAAAGACATATGAAGCAGTCCGCGCAGCAAACCGACGCTGGCGTAGTAGATAAAGAGAGAACTATATTTCAGATGCTTCAGAATTTGGAACGTGTTTCACGTCTGGATCTGGCCGTCCTTGTTTGATTAGATGATCCAAAGGGAAAATTAAGGCGTCGACTTTTTCATCAATAGCCCCAGACAAAGACTCTAATCAAGACCACAGCGTTAGTCGCTAGCAAGTCTCTCGGCACTGAACTTATCTTTCCGTACCAAAAAAACAAATCTAAAGGAACCAAATAGACTTACCTGATACCAGTTGTCGGGCGCTCTGTCATCAAGATTTGCATCACAAAATCGACAAGTAGGAGCTGAATTGTACTCGACCATGCTTCTTGATAACCACACTTCTCAAACAGTAATCCAGCAATCATTGGGCCATATGATGTTCCCAGGGAGACTGCGACACTTAAAAAGGCTATGATTTGACCGAAGTGAAAAAAAGCTGACTTTATGTTCATAGCTGTTTAATGGCACCTACAAGGTGGAGCCACTGAAAAATTCTCTCAACGAGCACTACACTCCAATTACCCAAATAGGCAACGAAAAAGGCTTGTATAGGTTTGAGACGCTGCTCAAGCCACCAGAATACGAATACTGGCCCAAGAACGTCCCACTAAGGCTGAGTATCTTGACACACGCAAAGTGAAGTACCAATCGGCGTTTTGGATCGATTCTGGAGAATGCACTGGCGTGAGGAGATGAGCCGTGAATTTCCTTACAACATTGGGCGCAAAATGACGGTGATAAGTCAACCCTTGGACCAAGATGAGCGATACTTACTCAAAAAGCTAGTTTACACAACCCTCGCGGATGAATACGAATAAGATCATCTACAGCAGCTACCAATGAAAATTTCGTTCAACTCATACAAAGAAACAGAAGTGCCTTATTCCAGCTAGAGTGCGTTGGACAGTGAGACAACAATCCGCGCATCTTTTTAAGTCAAACTCGATTAGGTACAAAATCCCCGGGGCTATAATCCTTGTCTCTTATCGTGATCATTATTGTTATCATTACACAAGGTCAATCATATGCTACTAACCACCATTAATGAGGAAATTCATTATTGAGGATTAGTTAGCAGATTGCAGAGTAGATGATCCGGATGTCTTGCAAACATTTCAATCGTTCTGCAGAGGCGGCCCAGAAGATAGACTGCGCGTGGCTCAGACATGATCGCCGTGGAGACACACACCTGCACCAGGAGGCGGTCTGGCATCGGATAGGTGAAGATGAAAAGCTCTGACCGGGGCGGGAGGTTGTGCTGCAGAGAGAAGGCACAACCTAGACCATCCAGGGGCATTTTGTAATGGAAATCGAAGTTCTGGTGCTGCACAATGGACTGATACTCTGTCTATTTTGGTTAACAGGTGCTGTGCTGGCCCAAATCCGAGCACTCAATCGATTCATAACGGAGACTTTGCGTATGCTGATTCTGGGCCTTCTCGAGTAGATCTCGCACCCTTAAGGTGGAGGATTGAACCTGGACGCGAACCGGGATATAATTCAGACATGGCCCCAGGATGCGATCCGCATCCTTCAACGAGTGACCCCGGCCATTGACTGTTTGCGTAAAAGTGACATCCTGATGACCTGCGGTCTGCGACAAAATGTGCACCCATGCAACCTTCGCAAGCGTAGCCATGTTGATTCACCCTGGTGTTTCCGGCGGCGGGGAGATGTCCTGGTTCTTCCACAGGGTCCGAACAGGGTCTTCAACATCGCCAGGCAGGGTCTGGACGGGAGTTAAAGTTGAATCTGTGAGCATTTCGCGCCAGAATCGCAAGGCAGACTCTCGTGACTCCTCCGCGCGTTTGTAGAGGAAGGCTGGGATGTCCTTTAATCGGGGGATGGTCCGTCCATTTTAGACAAGAGATATGTCGTTAAAAAGTACTGGGATAGACAGTGCATCCCATTGGGCATGCATCAATCGAATAATAAACACATGTTGCTGGCGATTCTTGCTAGAGAGCAGGATGAACCGGGCGGGCATGCTCAAAAAAGTCTCGAACTTATTGGATTCGGACGCCCTTAGGGATGATTGGAACGCTGCCAGATCAGAAACATCTTCGACGTATTGGAAAGGAAGCTTAATCCCCTGGAGAACAAGCTGGACCAGCTGGCCTTCATGGCGAGCAAAAACGGTGCAGAGTATACTTTGTTTGACGAACACAGCGCTGCAGGAGGACTGGGAGAGCGCGACATCGACTGGCCCCGACAAAGAGAAGGTATAATGAGATCCCTCTGATGTCAAGCTGGACTGGTCAGGGTATCTACACGACCACTTTCAGATCATGGACGGTTCAGTGTACCTTGGGGTTTCCCCAGCGATTCGACACAAACGGCGATGGGTGCTGGTTCAACACATATCCTCTCTCAGATGCGACTATAATGGCTAAGTCCTAGGATGGGAGAAGCGTGAACGGAACTCGTCTCACAGTCTGTCACGCCTATCTCATTGGCTCCGTATGTAGACGACTGCGTACCTTCGTTATAATCTTGTACAGCAACTCCACGTTCATTTTCTGCTTCTTATGCTAAACGCTCGATTCTGAACAGATAAGCATGTACTTCCATTGCATATAAAATTCTTGCTACGTAGAAGGGTAAGCCCGGATGTGAGTAACAATAATATACAATTCATACAGGACTCGCGTGTAGAATGGCACAGGATAATGCGACAATGATAAATTCGAGCTTCAATATTTTAATCAAACTTTACTTTCAGAGATGTAGCATGGATCTTAATAGATGAAGAATTCATGTCTTTTCATCGCCGGATAGTCGCTTTTTTAGATTTTCCAGAGATATCTGGAGCATTATTGCTTCATGTGCAATCCGGGCGCCTGAAAGAACGTGAGCACAACGCTCGAGAACTCAAGAACTCATGGATCTAATCACATGCCAAGGGGCGCTTGTGAAAAGGGGGTATTTCGTTGCGCTGGACACAACAGCCGGTGGCGGCCGGATCAACGCGACGACCAGTCTAAAGTGTTTGAGTGGATCATACTTTCCATTCTTATCGGGATTATCCATCAAAAGTGGTAAACCTTAGTGAGCCGCCAATGAGCGGGGAAAGAGGCCCATGGGCGCCCATCTTAATTTGCTTTAATCATACACCTTACTATCATGGGAAAGCTGATACGAAAGGCCAGCCGGATTTAGGAAATCCTTACGACTGTCAACGCCTAGTGGAAAATTCACAATTTTGTGATCTGAGACCGACACATTTAGCCATTTCTGCGTAACCATTATTTGTACTATAGTAAAGTGGCACAGATCACCCGGGCACATATTACATCAAAAATGAGCCTCAAGTGTACCGGGTAATCCATCGCTGTGCCGCAATCGTGAAGTAGGTAATCGCCAATCTACGGTCGCGCGCGACCAGAGCGCAAGAACAGAGGGGGTTACAGCAAAAACTACCTAGGTACGATTGGATAAACGGCACGATAACTGGTTACCTGAGTATTGATTGGCTCAGCGCCCAACATAACACGGTTTAATTGCGTAAAGGTGTGAGGCTTAAATCAGGCTTTCTATATTACCGAATTTAAACCATTAGTTACCCCACTTCTTGTTCCCACTGAGACAGTGTGCAGTAGTTTGTGTGCGTTCCTAGTGTGTGGCCAGTTTCTATCCTATCAAAATTCCTCATGCCTTGTGGCTCGTTGTGGCCGCGGAAGTGATTGCTACCTACATGACTCGTAAAAATACCGGGAGAGGAGATGTCAGTGAAGCAGCTCATGTAGCAGAATTTGGCTGTCACCCTTCATGCCAATATATCGTGTGGCCACTAAACAATTTTGGGGTATAAACAATAACACGCGATATAAAGCAAGGTTGGAGTGCTTTAATTCGTTCAAAACTCCTACATATATTAATTGTGATAAACACCCAATCAATAGTATCCACTTCTTCTCGCGAAATTTCCAAGGGTAATTCGAGACCAGGATGTCGTTTTCCAGGCTGTGGAAACTTGGAACAAACAGATAAGCATCCCAGTCTCGCCTAATTCTTGAAATTTGCCCCAATCAAGGACTATCGTATTCGACGTACGTTTTCCTTGGACATAACGGCATAAAAAGGGGCTCCAGTAAGATTAGGGAAGGCGGCGAATCCAAGTGATGGGTTGGTTGACGGCATAATGCAGCTGCAATAACAGGCATGGACTTGGTGTTCTGCAACTGCAGAGCTGAGGCATCGTGGTCTGAGCTCATTGGATGCCTAAACTGGACTCAATAGTATGCCAAGGGGTTGAGCGTACCCAGAGCCTCATTGTCCGCAAAATTCATGCATATAAGATCCACACGTCGCTTCATCGAATTGGGCGATAGAAAGGAGCATGGAAGCCCTAGGCGGAGCGGCCTCGGCGATTGCCATCTACAATCAGCTAGAAGCATGTATTCTATGTCTTCGCCGACTATACAAGAATTTTAAGTTTGCGGAGAAGGAGGTAAGACAGCTCATGGACGAGGTTTCCACGTGTCAAAGTCTCTCTGAAATATTCAACGACATCAGTCGCCCGCTGAGAAGCCGAGTTATTGACTTGGCTCGAGAGAAGAAGTTGGATGAAACGCTACGGTCTCAGGCCACTTCGGCTCATGAGCAGGTCGATTACATTACGGCAAAGCTAAAGCCACTGATAAAAGGGAGTATTCCCAATCGATTTGATAAATTTATAGCAAAGATATGGTGGCATTACATCAGAGACGAGACGCAGGTTTTACGTGACACTTTGGGTAGTATGAAGCTCAGTCTTGGCCTATTTACCTCTCTTTTGGCACTGGATTGCTCTCTCCTTCAAGTGTCACAATCATCAACGACAATTCAGCATCATCAAGCTCTTATTATTCAGATGTGAGTACTCACAGCGAGGAAGAATTACTCTTTCTACGGCTAATTTGAGTCTGCGAGTTACAGAAGGCGTTTGAAGAAATTGGTTCAACGTCAGGCCAAGTCTTTGCGAGATATAACAGAAAGAATGAGCGAATTAAAAGATGTCACACATGAGTCGAACTGTATATCCAACGCGAAATCAATAGTCATCATCATTCAGAAAATTCAGAAAGACCCCATCGCCGAGGCACGGACATTAATTAACGAGAGATCGGTCGATTCACGCGTCACAAATCCGGCACTAAGGAGGATTGATCCTGTGAGCCTAAGTACGAATATACTACCAATTTTAATGGCCATTAGACTAAACGATACAGGGTCTAATTCGGCGAGTCGTTTGCCCCACTTACATGCATCACCAGAAAGTCAAGAGATACCAACCCACACAAATGCGAATGCTCTCAGAGTGCATCAAAGAGACAGGCAGACTATAATCCGTGATTATGGAGATGATAGTAGGGAGATATATGAACCAGGCTCTTCTTCATCTTCCATCCAAGGACACGACAGACATAACCACAGCATGTTTGTACCTGTACCACCTTTCATTGTATCAGATCGGCAAAATGTTCATCGAAGAAGACGTGACTCTGGAGAACAGCCTTGAAATTACACATTAATCTTTCATCCTTGATATGAATAGTTTTCCAGATGCAGACCGCAAGAATGTTGACCAAGGCTCCAAAGTCAACCTCACCTAGAAACGCATAGCTTTTGGAATAGCGGTGAGGAATTGTGATCTTAAGACCCTGATCCATATAATCCATACACCAATATTCAAGACAATGTCAATATACTCATCTTCTAATTTTCCATATCTCATTGTGGAACGATTGCTATGGTGGATCGGATAGCCGGAACAAAACAAAAATGGTTATGTGCACAGAGAGAGAGATCTTACAAGGTAGTGGGAGGACAGATAATCCTGGCATTATCAGTGAGGCCAATGTGACTGACAGGAAGTAGTCTGTCTTTCATTCAACCGTGCAAACCCTCTGGAGATTCGGAACAGCCAATGCCCAACCTCATGTGCGCGAAATCGGAATTTGGGTGACACCAAACATGGCTAATGATACTCAGGATCCTCGCACTTTTGTTGATTTGACCGGCCTACTTATTTTTGAGTCAGCCGGGATAGGTTCGCCTACAATTTTCGGTACTATAATCTACGTTAGCTCATGGAACAGGAATAAGAGTGATGAAGATAAAGCTATTTACGATAGTGGCCTGGAGGCTCATATTATATGAGCATGCCGACATGACAAACATACAAATATGACAAACAGACGTTATTTTACCCAGTCGGACTGCTCCCTGGATTCGCCTTCCCATTATATGAGGTATTCCTCGCGCAGGGTTTTGTAACGGCCTAGTCTTCTGGTTCTGACGTCTAGGATGCGTGCTCCCTCATAGCGATCTGTATCCTGAGGAAATTTCTTGTTGAATGCCCCGGAGTCCACACTGCCAAATCATCACTGTGCCTTTACTGGGAGCGGTTTGAGCCGGCTGAGTATTGGAACTCCCAGATAGCAGTCGCCAACTCATGCATATCCGCTGTTGTCATGATGAAATTTCGCTCTCTGGTCGTAGGCTTGGGCTCCCTCAAAAAGACATCGGAAAATTTGATCTCTAACCGGCCACTGACTTGACGGCAGCCGAGCTGCAGGTTACGGACAATTTCGATCTTTTGGGTCGGCGATAGAGGCTTGTTGTCAGACACTTCCCAGCTCTCGATCAAAATCCGACCGCGGAGCACACTGATTGTTATGGCAACATTGACAGAACTTTCCGGGTCTTCTAGCCAGAATCTCATATCTTCGATCAGCTTTGAGCGAGGTTCTGAATATGCAACCTCGCCAACGAAAATTGGCCACTTATGCGATCGACCACTTGGCACCTCCTCTGGTGTCCACGAGATATCAGCTTTCTTGGTGCGACTATTACCACGGACCGTTCTGTCGGTGGTGTTGAGTAGAATTGGGTGAGTCACTCTCCTGGCCCAGGCAGCAAAGATGGTGGAGAACGTCCCGATGGCAACGGCGTGAGCTGAGGACTGCATTCTCAATAGTGTGGACTGATAGACATGATCATAAATTTCCCAAGACAGCGTCAGGAGGTTATCCCCCGAGTTTACGAAACACTCAAGGAAGGAGCGCTCGTCAATATCCATAATGAAATAAGGGTTATACGTGCATCCGAGTGGATCTTCTTCATGCTCAAATTTTTCATACTCTTCTTCGAAAAGCCGAAGACATTCGTGATAACCCTCATATCTATATCTAGGTGTATTTGACGGAAGAAAATTCTGAAAAGACATCATTTTCGATGATCGCAGCTGAAGAGATGGGAAATTTCAAATGGACTTAAGCCTGCCGTGTATGATGGGGTTTGGTTATCAAATTATGACGACAGTATCTGTCACTCACACCTGTAACCTTGGAAGGCATCAGGTGGCAGCTACCATAGGACATGCGCACTATAAATCCATGGACCTGGACTTGGACCTGGACTTTCGGTATTTAGGCTCCAGGAGATTCGACTTGCAGACCAACATGATCAATTCTGAGGCATGTTTCATAGGGCGCAGAAATCCTTGGGCATCTACATTCCTATACCTGAGAGTCAAGCATGAACGCACTTTGTTTTTCTCTCAGAGTGAATCTGATTTTATAGACCCGATCTAGTTGCGCATTGGCGATTTTCAACTATATGTCAACAAGGTGTCGAAGATCATTCGAATATCTTATGTAGTTTGGAGCGACACTAGCAATTTATATGTGCACGATACATGACTAATGGACAAACTGGCTTGCCCATTATGTTGGAGATCCTTCGGGTTATTGTTCTGACATTATGTCCCGGAACGGTGATGGAGCTAGTGCTTAGCCAGTTGGCGCCTTGGTTGGTACCTGGGAGTCATCCGCGACCTATGCCTAGGTAGGTTAGTCACGATAACCGGACAACTTCTCGACTCTCTTCCCATTAATATTGCCACGTTTCCCTCTTCATCCCATTATGGACATAATGTCGCGAACCACTGAAAATACCCCGCTGCTGTTGGACCCCACAGTCGATGAATTAGGATCCCCGAGTTATGAACGATACCTTCGCATTGTGGAAAGACATCAACAACGATGCACCAAAACCATCTTCATTTTGACGTGGAGCTCGGCGTTGCTCGCGGTCTTCATCCTTGTTCTGAACCTGACCCTCATGTTCATATATCTTGCCCGATTCGGGGACATCAGGCCCTGGTCACTAGAGAGTGCTCTAGTTGGCCTCTTTTGCACGGTATGTTTTGATGTCACGCACATGTATACTCCTCAACAGGAACTAGCCACTGACCACAGCTTGAACAGCACCTAGCTGCCGGATTGATCTCATTTCTTAATCTAGCTCGCCTGTATCTCTGGAACCGACCTATCTGGCTCTGGTTAAACCTGATCCTGGACCTCGCCATTGCCATATGCTCAATCGATTTTGCTGTATCGATGCTGAACCCCGACAACCTCAGGTGGGACGCAGATATACCCCTATGGCTCGTCTGTATCGCCCAGGTCATATTCTGTTTGGCTGTGGTGTTCGGGTCAGTCCTTCCAAAAATATCCTCTCTTCTCTTGTTCTTAATCCATATTAACACCCACTGGAACATCTAGACTGATTCACTGGGCTCTGTTCCTCGTGCGATGCTTCTTGTCCTTCAGCTACCGGCCCTGGCGTGAATATCGTAATTGGACGTTGCCCCGTGGGCGCTTTAGCATTGAGTTCAAGGTGCAATTCATTCGACACTCGGACAACGTCGAGGCGTCGCCCGACACGACTGCCTCTCACACCGGAATCCAGGCAGAAGTGGCGGCGCAGAGGGTTTAAAGAGGTACATTTCCAATGTGCACCAGATACAGCAGTTGATTCAAGCCCATGAATATCAAATCATCAACAGATCTACTATAAATAGGCAATACGACGTTCCATTTCCAATAGAACTCCCGAATGACATCGATCTTTACTAACAAGCCAACCCCCACCGGATGATTGTATTCATTCACAATCATCAAAGAGCTACATCTCTACTCTACAGTGCACACTTGGACAGCGCTCATCACAAACAAAGACAGGACAGATAGAACCGTGACCATGTATAGCGAAGGCTAAAGTACGAAATATCAGCTCTGATTGACTATGACGTACAGCAGAGAAAGTCTAGAAGCAACTGGAACAGACAAATGGAACAGGCAGAAGACTTGATTTTGTGCCCAAGGCGGGCAACCGAAGGCCTTAAATAGCCTCGCTGGTGGGATAACACGGGCACGAATTTATGGTAGTGAAAGCCACAGAAGAGGTGGCAGAACATATTATTAAGACAGCGAAGGTTTGTCCGAGACCGCAACTGGCCTGAGATAATCTGGATCTAAAGCTTCCCGTACTTATGGGTGAGAGCCGACTGGGAGGGATGGAAATACGAAACCCTCTGTTTACCTCAACCAGGTACCCATTTGTCGGCCTCCTAAACTGTCTTACAGTACTGATTTGCATACGAATTCAAATTGAAATCAGCGAAAACGACGCTATTCTCGTAAGGCCCTCTACTATTTACAATTGACTTGTTCAAATTGAATAATTGTGTAGACTCTCTGCCTGAGTATGCCTGCTTTCTGCTTAATTCATCTGGCATTGATTAACGTAATTGACATACGAGTCGGCCATACAAAGGAGCTTTTTCTTTAATTCTAGTATATCTCATATATGTTCTAGCCATATGTAGAAGTTACAGGAAATTTAATTATAAGGATTCGGGATGAACACATCAGCCGTGAAGTACGTATGTCAATAGTACAAGAAGAACAGAAAAAAGGAAAGATGGAGCCGCAATCCGAGAGATATGTTCAATTATGAATACGCTCATCGCCATTTACCCTATGGAATGTCCGGTATACAGTATGTTTCATCTACTTTCAAGGGATTAAGTGTTGCACCAAAGTGGGTACTTCAGACGCGCTACCGGGAATTGTATGTCACCAGATCTGTCCGTATCTGTTTGGATGTTTGTAAAGGAGAAAAGGCGAGAGGTAGGTGAGGGGAAAGATCCATGTAGGGTGACCAAATGTAATTGTGGTAGAACACCGTGCTGTCACCTTGTTTTGTAATAGACCATGTTCTATGGATTTTGCTCATGTCACGGTTCTTGGTAGAATGCTTGTTGCTTGTAAAAAAGCCGTTTAACTGTCAGAATGTATACCGCGTAAAAGATCATTCGAAAATACGTTATCATTAAGGGCTGGTCTGATTATGGATAGTATAAGCAAGAAGAGCGATGTGGAATTTTTATATCTTATCGGGGCTTGTAAATTTTGGTCGTGCATCGCCAAACTCAATCGTGAAATAAAAGTTTGGCCATGATTGCAGGGTAGAACGCCGGTTCTGTCGGTCTTCCTGGTTAATGGCGTAAGCCAGAGCAAATTGACGCTTTTCTAAAGGCCAAAACTTTCCGACGGTCTGAACCTGCGGGTTCTCTGTTGCGGCGCAGATATGTGTCGGAATCTCTCCCCCGATGATGGCCATTGCTTGCGACAATTCTGGAAGATCGTATAGATTCAGGGAGCAAAAAGCCCCCTTTGACAATTGATTGACGATATGTACCGGATTTAGGGTTGACGAGCGTGGTGCAGGGCGCTTGAAAATTTTGGAATACAACCGCCCGGCTCGACTCATCTGTCGGCCGTCCAAGGCACATGACGGATCCTGACCACCCATCTGCTGGACTGAAAGGTTTTTTCGTTATCCATAAAAGTGACACAGTCTGTAAATACGCAGTACGGTCCGTTGCGTTTCTAATTGCATAGGGTCAACGGTTCCTTCGAGTAGAGGCCATTTCCCAACGACCCTGTCCATCCTGGTTACGTAGACATCGGACCCAGCGAGCGCGGTGGAGTATGACGCCCATCCTGACACAGTGGGAGCGTATTTCTGCTGACTCGGGGGTCCCCACACTTGCGAATCTGTTCCTGTTGCGCATTAGCGACTCAATCTTGAAATAGCATGACAGAAAAGCGATTTTCATCTTACCAGGTATAAGCCTGGGAGATAATGTCTGATGATGGGGAAAGGAGGTATCCATGTCGGTTTCTGGGATGGGTAGGCGATTGTACCGTAACGGAGACACGAGTCTGGGGCGTTTCGCTGACATGTCGAAATATGGGCCACAATTATCTGTGCTGGGGAAACCTGCAAATAGGACCGTAAGATGCGCACGAGAGTGGAGCACACGATTCAGAAGACTGGACTTGGTTGTGTTAGTTGCAAAGATCCGAAATTCGTACCACGCGTAGGCCGACTACGAAGTCCACGCCTACAGCGAACGCACTTACCAAACTGTTGAGACCTGGCTACGTCATTGAAGCGCACTGCATCTAATGGAGAAGCGGCCAACAGCCCTCCCAAGCCTAATTGCTACCATGAACGGGGATGGAGTCTACAGTAACAAACGAAATCCCTCACAAACTTATGTTTCGATTCGTACCTTGCATGCCATAGAATCTGCTCTTCAAGGCCATCGGCCATCGCCAAGATTTCTGCCAGAACAGGCGCTACAGAACGTCTCAAATACGCCGTAATGTGTATTGTGGAGAACTACGACAGACGCCATACACCAAAAGATTTTGTACGCCTGCTTAGGACAGTTAATATTAGGCGCCTGATTGATTGAATGGAAGAAACACGGAGTGTGACCCATACAGGAAGCAGGGTCCAGCGATATCAGAGACTGATAACGCTGAGGGGGTGTGTCGCTATGAAGCCAGCAAGTGGATCGCCTAGGTTTACTATATTCGCATGTTTTGTCTGTTTATCTTAGTCAGAACCTTCCATATACATTACCGGAAATAGGGGTATAGTCTTGTCATGCGCTGATTGGCACGTACATTATTACGTACGGTAAATTTTACTTGCTCCCAAACATAAGCTCTCCACATTTACTGGCAATTACTCTAGTTCTCACGTAGATAAGTGATATTAGGCGTATTCTTAAACATGCTTCACGCGGTGCCAACACAAAACTCAGGAGATGTTATATCGCATAGTGCAATGTCTGAAAAGAAGTGATATTTGACTTTTAAATAAACAATTTTAATCTTGCCAGATCTACCGCACGCCGACATGGCGCACGGGCCTCAGAGACTGCTGTACAACCTCCACTTTGTATCACATCGCTTACCAGTTATCAGACAATATCGACCAAACTAATCGATAATCCATTTTCCATTTCGGTCGAAAATTGGACCCAATCGCAAGCTGAATCTACACGTGTCATGTATGGGAGGGATAATTGCATCTTGTGTGACGCATTCGAAGGTTTGAAGAAAAATCTAATCTCGTGCTCTAATGATCGAAGCATAAATATGTGGACATGTGTGATTCCACTTATCAATTACTCCACAGGCAACCACCCTTTAACATGATTGAGAACGGAAAGGCCAGTCAAGCTATTTCTCTGGCTTCTATAGAGACTCGGCTATTCATCAATGGCCAGGTATGAAAGAATCTGAGACCATTGCTTTTATAGCATTACTAATGCACCATTACTGTCGTTCATAGTATGTGGATGCAATGACCCCCGCACGGATGAGCTGTTATAGCCCTGAAGATAATTCTCTTATTACGAAAGATGTACACAAAGCGGTGAAGGAAGACGTCGATGCTGTTGTTCTTGCTGCGCGCGCTGGATTCCAGAAATGGTCCCACACCTCACCGGCTGAGCGAGCCAGTGTTATTCTCAAGTTCGCGGATCTAATCGAGGCTCATGCCGATCAGATTGCGCTTTTGGAGGCGGCATGCGCTGGAAAGCCTCTACAGGTATTTCACGGGTTCGAGAAAGTCTTGGCCACCAGTGTCTATAGGTGTATGTGATCACTTCAATCTTATTCAATTTCATTTGTTGAATATTATTGACACGAAATATGATCAATTAGACTATGCAGGATGGTGTGGCAAGTTAGGGGGTGAATCCTTTCCCGCTGATGATGGCAGTGGTCTAATCAGGATTGTTTACCGTGAAGCCATCGGGGTCTGTGCAGCGATCGTGGCCTTCAATGGACCAATTGGTCTGATGGCAATGAAAGCTGCACCGTGCTTAGCAGCAGGAAACAGCATCATCATCAAGGCAAGCGAAAAGTCCCCTTTATCGAGCCTCTATCTCGGTCAATTAGCCAATATGGCCGGCTTTCCTCCTGGGGTAGTGAACTTTGTTTCTGGAGATGGGGAGACCGGAGCTCTCCTAGCCGCTCATATGGGCATTGATCACATATCTTTCACTGGAAGTGTTGAGGTGGGTAAAAAAGTAGCCCAAGCGGCTGCACAGAGTAACCTCAAGCGGGTGTCCCTGGAGTTGGGTGGCAAAAGCCCTAGTATCATCTTTGCAGATGCTAACCTTGATATCGCTATACAATGGTGTGTTCAAGGTATTGTTGGACTATCTGGCCAGGCTTGCTTCGCAAGCTCCAGGCTGTATGTTCATAGCGATATCAAAGAGCATGTGATTCAGCGAATGAAAGACGCCTTTGAAGCTATGGATGGTGCTTACGGGGATTCTCATGATGCAACTACGTTACATCCACCTATGGTGGATAGAAAACACTTTAACCGAGTTTTTGACCTTATTGAAGGTGGCAAAAATGAGGCAACTCTTGTGACAGGAGGTGAAAGAATGTTTGATAAGGTACTTTCTGTTGATTATTTCCTCATAGAAACAAAATACATATTGACGGAATCTTTGATTTGACTAGGGCTGTTGGATACGCCCCACAATTTTTGCTGATCCAGTGTCCGACGCCACGATTTCCAAAGACGAGATCTTCGGCCCAGTGGTCGTTATCTCAAGTTTTACTGAGGAGTCGGAAGTCGTTCATGCGGCTAATAACACCAAATACGGGTTGCACAGTGCCGTTTTTACTCAGGATATCAACAGAGCTATGCGAGTGGCGGGCAAGATCTGCAGTGGAACAGTTTGCATTAATTGCTGTGCTATGGTGGACCCTTATGTGCCTTTTGGAGGGCGCCGTGAGAGTGGTTGGGGACGCGAACTGGGCAAGGTTGGTCATGTTATTTCTTCATCATCTACGATGTCACACATCCGATAGAATCTAAGTCATATGCTAATGCTTTTGCCATCCTGATAGGAAGGCATTGCTCAATACACCGAATCGAAATCGATACTTATCAAGTGGGTCCCAATTAAATTCCCTAAATAATGGACGACCGGACGCTGATAAATTTTGGTGCAGTATGATGTACTGAGCAGCAACAGTAAGACCTATCAAGGAGGTCGCCGATGGAGGATCTTAGTCCGCAGCACATTTATTCCATATAAACCAGTTTTCAATCCTTATTTTAACAGGAGTAACTTGAATGTGCTTTTACCATGCGAAGTTTCATTGTAATGATACTAGGAACATTGCAGAAGGCGTAAAGTCGTGACGACATGTGTTACTGGGAAATAACATGGATGACACTTGGCCTTGGTTCCAATATTGAAATCATTTGAAGATGGTTGTCTCACGGCCCCTAATTGAAAGGAAACTAAAGATACTACAAAGTTCATTTATTATGCCAAACTTGAGCGATTGTTGGAAGGCAATATGTAACGTAACATAGGGTATTTTACGCGAGAGCATGTGAAAGACTTAGAAAAGAGTACCCCGCAATTGAATTAAGAGATTAAAGAACAGAGAGAAAGTAACGTGAGACTGCACAGATCTAGGCATCTTCATCATAAGGTGGCAAATACTGTTCGTCAGCAAACAGTTCCACCAGATGATATCTGCGATGCGCCGTACAAAGCATAATCCATCCTCGGGTGAAGGTTTCAACTGATTGGAGCAAAGATAAGTTACTGTTCAATAGTTGGTACACCGATTTCAGTAACTAAATGTTGATGTTTAGCATGATTTATGGCAATGGAATCTGATCATTACCTTAGGTGTATAGCTGGTGAGATACTTCAAGACATCCAAATGCTGTATATTGTGCGTATCGGCAAAGTTGGCAACGAAATTTCCCTTTTCGTCATCAAGGCAGAACTCCTTGTAATAGGACAAGATGTCATTGGCAAAATCGATAAAAAGAACTAGTTCCTGGATTGCGGGGAAGTATTGAATGACATACTCGTCCTCGGGAAAGATGGCCTTTGGATAGAGAAGATGAACAAGGATCTCTGCGCCCCCGACCTTAGTTCGAAGAAACATAGGCATAAGTCGGGACTCCGCAGAGAATTTGAAGCTGGACTGTTCCATCCTATGCTCGATGATGCGACCATTGACATAATCAATCAAGGATTTGATGATCGCAGAGTGGCAATAGGGGCCATAATGAAAGGAAAGGTTGCGAAGATGGCAATCGAATCCATCCAACAGGGTGTTACTGTGGGGTTTGTTTAGGACAAAACTAGGCAAATCAGCACATGTTTTGTTCTTATCTGAGGGGTTCCAAGCCTAACTTTTGACCAAATGCCTGAAGATCACTCATGAAAACTTCAGCTACATCGTCGACCAGGAACATGTACAAAAATTGTATGGCACATAGGACTCTGATGTCGAAAGGAAGTGCTGTGTATGCCTGATGGGTAAAGGTCACAGACAGCTTAAGAGTTCGTTGGACTGAATTTTCCATCTTCTGGCCCAAATTCAGGCTTTTGAAATATTGCCACACAGCAACTTCCATTTGATGGTCCTTGATGAAAGGGCTGCTGCGGTCAAACTTGATGTCTTCAAGGAAGGTTCTAATTAGAGACTTCACTTGATCAGTCTGAGCCATTCCTTTGATTACATCAGTCTCATTGTTGCCAGCGGACTTAGTTTGAAGACCATGATAGGCAAAATTACTCTCCGCGTGGATAGGGTCCATTTTCAAAGAAAGGGTAAACAGATACTCGAGAAACGAGACAAAAGGAAGTTGATGGTAAGAAGTCTTTTGTGACAATTTGCTGAAAGACAGTAACTTATATTACATCTTACATTCTTATCCCACGCCTCCTTTTGCAATATAGGGGATACAAAGCCGGCCATGGCGTTGTTGCAAAACCATCACATGTAATGCAAATTGTACATCATTCCCGAGCTCTTCCAGAGTCCATTCGCTATGTCTCATGGCTATTTTTGGGCAGCTTTACAGAATTTCCTATTGCAAACTAAAGCTTCAAATTGGACAACCATGGAAAATTAACGAGATCATCGGATTCGTCTGCTCCACTTGAGATCATCGAGCCTGGTTATGAGCCATACTGCCATGTTCGCTCTCAATTTCTGCACATATTTGTATGTCTCCCTTGCATAATTGCTTCGCTTTCTGCACCTTATCTATAGATTTGCCGCAACAGATTCGTTTTGTGTTTCCACCAATCCGTTCGCTGACTTCTGTTCTCCACTATACTCCCCTACCCTAACAAAATCTGACCACCGCGATGCCCCGCTTCCCAATTATCAAGCTTGCTCCCTGGGATCGCCACGCGCTCCTAGCTGCGCTGCCGTGTTTCAGATGTTCGCTCCCTCGCCCGACCTTCGCTGTGTCGGTTGTCAATCTATACAGGGTCCAAGCTCTTCTTTTTCTCAGAATCATTCTACTTTGCCTGTGGAGATACTCGTTTTGCTAGGGCTGACAGTCTGCTGTCCTTATTTCAGTTCTAAGTAGAAGTTCAACATAGTTGTGCTACTATTGGGTATGTAGAACTTCAAGTTCTGTTGGGTTTGTTTCTATCCATTCCCTGAATTTCATTTTGTATTGTTGTTGTCATATCCACAGAACTCAATATCAACATAGGACATTTAATCTTGGTGCATTTCCCTTTTTAGATTTTGTCAGAGTTTGATACAAACGAACACTGTTAGGGACCACTCACTTGCAGGTAGACCATGTTAAAGTTCATTCTAAACCCACTATCTGCCTTGCCTGCAGGTGGGTCTACTCGTAACCAGCGCACAGATAAACTTCTATGCAAGCACCGATGTGCGTGCTGATATCAAAGGAGCATACCAAATGCAGCAAATGGTAAACTTTAGGATGTGAAACACACGTGCCAGCGCATTAATATATTGTGAGATGACGTGAGATTCTTTAATTTTGTTGGATAATGCTCAACAAAGGACTTGGCGTGTGTCGAATGGGTGCGTAATCCTCGTACAACCTAGGTCACTCTACGTACCGTATTTCCTCTGCCGAGTGGGGCTTTCCTTTTGAATTACCACAATGCTCGATTTGAAAGTACATACCTGTCAGCTCGCAGACGGAAATTCAGCATCGGCCTCTATGCGACTCTCCCGGAGAATAGCTAGTTTAATTTTTTGCAAGCCACAGAATTAACAAACAAACTAACTCGAACATACGAAAGTCATCTTGGCTAATTTCCACCCGATAGGAGGCACGACCTAGTGGTCCCAGGTTCGACGACTTAGCAAAGGGATCGTTTTTCTAATGTTAGAATGAGAGGTGATCGCATCATTCATGAAGCTCGAAGGGAGAACTCCGGCGTACCCAATGTCGATCACCCAGAGTTGGCCGTGTTTATCGATAGCAAAATTGCTTGGGTGTATATCTGAATAGTAGCATAGCAGCGTTTCAGTGCTAATTACCACTTTATCTTGTCTCCCGTGATACCGTTGCACCATTCTCAACACTTACTGGAAATAAAAGAAGAGAGATGGAGGTGAGATAACATAGCAGTGATGTACCTGGATAGAGTGTGTCTGTAAACCAATCAGAACAGGGCGCCCAGACGTATTACCTCAGCAGGAAACCCCCCACGGTCCCTGAGCCAATCACCCCCTGTGCGAGCACAGATTATGCTCCGCGGTCTAATCAGATCGCTCAGCTGAGCGTCAGTGAAAGTCCCATTCGATGGTGCTTGTCACTGTGGGCCCTTCACTAAGCTACAGTAGGCCGAAATATCATTGAATTTGTAGAGACCCTAAAGAGTTGCAAACCAGGCAAACCAGGCAAACTAAACGACTGTTGAACAATCTGGCAACTTCTCATCTCCCTCTGAAATAGGAACAGTATTTTGTCAGCATAAAATGGCGTGATTCTATTTAAACAAATCGTATTGCAATCCACTTCTCTAGCTCCTGTTCCTCATTTATTCTCAAGATCAACTACCCAGTCTATCTAGTAACAAAATGGCATCTATTCTATCTGCACATGAAATCGGTGAAGGACTTCCCGTTCTGATTATTCATGGATGGCAGATGGAGGGAAGAGTCGAGGAACTGGACTTTGAACCGATCTTCACAAAAACTCCAGGACTTTGCCGCATTTACGTGGACCTTCCAGGCATGGGCACAACACCAGCAAACAATGTGAAGAATATGGACGATATATATCTTCGCCTGGTGCAATTCATTGATTCTCGACTGGGGAACTCAAGGTTTCTTGTTGTTGGCTCATCATGTGGCGGCTACCTTGCCCGTGCCATAGCTCAAAAATATATCGAGCAGGTCGATGGTTTACTATTACGCGTACCGCTTATTGAACCAAAAGACAGCATGCGCGATCTTGATACTTTCAAACCTTTGGTTGCAAACGAGCAACTCATGTCGAAAATCTCAGCCGAGGACAGGACACTTCTTGGAAGCGTGCTCGTTCAAACGCCTGCTTACCTTGAAGCTTTAAAGGCAAAATACGAGGGAGTTTACCGCCCAGCGGAGAAAGCAGCAGACAACAAAGTGTTAGATCCGATCAGAGCTGATCCTCATCGATATCAGTTATCATTTTCGCTCGACACTCAAAACTCCAAGTTCTTTGCGCCCACACTTATCGTATGTGGTCGCCAAGATGAGAGCGTGGGCTATCGAGACAGCGCTCGTCTGCTTGAGCTCTATCCACGATCAACCTATATTGTTCTAGATCGTGGTACGCATGCCCTCCCTATCGATGAGAATGGCCTTTTTGAAGCTCTTGTTCGGGATTGGATATCCCGCGTTGATGAATGGCGAGGCCGCACGGACAAATCAGAGATAATCTAGAGACTACAGAGGGGAGCAGGAAGCGGAAATATTTCCCGTATACGATATCCGAGCCTCGTGAAGACAGAAGAATGAAGAAGGGAAGTAGGGAATGAACTATCTATGACAGCCTGTCACATAAGCACGGTCACCTCACAGCATCCAATCCTCCCTATGCTCCATATCATCAAAATCGTCAGTAAAACAGTCAAGGCGGATCTAGGTGACGTTCTGGCTTTTTCTAGCCCAATCTTTTGTTAGATGCGCTCTTTTATGATGCTACCTATATATAGCACCATGCTACGATCTCTCTCGAAGAAATCTTCTGTTTCTCTTTCTCAGTGTCCTTCTACTACAATTTCCTCAAGTTAGTTGAAACGCAACAAAGGCATCTACTGCACTCTTTTTTAGTTTTTCGAAGCTTAATGCCAAGACCCACTAGTCAGTATATAGTGTAGCGCCGGATTAGCAATATTCCTGTATCATTGCATATACAACATATTACCAAGATTACATTACAGAAATGGTATGCGAAATGCACAATGGCAGCATTCTTTACACGGATACAAAGAAGACAAACAAGGAGTATCTGGGAGTAGCTGGAATTCGGCTCGGAGACTTATTAAGGTGTCTTTTGGTGGACGCTTGGATACTTCACTTGCCTTGCGGTGGCCCATCCTCATCTAGAATGTGGCAGCAGCAGCAGCAGCTGTAGCACAAGCGGACGGCGTAATTGTGCAAACCACTACACATTTCAGTGTGGCCTATCTCCCATAATATAGCATTGACCATTTGGGAATTATGCATACAGAACAGCTCATACTTGCAGATCCCCTCTTTTCCCAGCTTCGTCTACAAACAGGGACTTCACTGTGCTACCAACTACTATGTCAATCATCTAAATTCGTGTACTCTGATTTATCTATTGTGCCACTGCCAAAGGCATCTAAAATGGCCAGAAGCCTGTCTGGTCAGATTCTTACAAGTTCGGAATCTCTGAGTTCTAGCCTAAATTTCCCGAAGATTGAGTACAATCAGCCACTGTCATCGTGAGAGCTTTCAACCAATTTCACTTGAAGTTGACTGACTCCATAATTTCTGCAGATCCTACGAACATCCAATGGTCGCATTATGTATTGGAGAGAAGCAATATGGTATTTTGGGGTCTCATATTCGAAAGTACCCTTTATTGGGTCATAGATCCCCCCAAGATACATACATAACACTTCCCGATATCTATGGAGATGTCGGCCACACCTTGGTTCATTTCTTGTACTCGGGTACTTACGAGACGATCAATTCGCCGCTCGATGAAAACATGTCCTACTTCGAACGAGAATATCAAAGAAGTCTTCTGGTCTACCATGCGTCTAGGAAGTACAACATTACCGATCTCGAGATCCTTGCCAGGAAGTATATTGAACACTTCGGCGAAGCGATCTCTACCTTCGAAATACTGCGCTTGACTGGAGATATTTTCTCCAAGCTTCCTGAAGACGAAGTCTGGCTTCCGGGCTATGTGCGAAAACTTTTGCAGCGGTCATTTGTCTCAGGCAATTCACGATTCAATATTGATGAACTGTCCGGAATTTCGAAAAATTATGACTCTTTTAGTAGAGTAATCATGCTATCAGTGATCGACATTTTATCATCGCATATTCAATGCTTGGAAAAGAGGACTGGATCTCAACCCCATGTTGCATCAGGGGTTTCTAAACCCGAGCTTACCTCTACTGAACATTGAGTGGCGGTCAAGGAGTGCTCTGTTGCCTCTGAAGAGCTCCCGGCTCCTGAAGAGTGTCCGGCTCCTAAAAAGTCTGTCTCGTTCGCTCCAAGCACCTCACGCCATTCAACTCGGTCCAACAACAAAGAAATGCCGGATAATTATCTGGATAGGCATTCGACGGAAGATCTGAATTTTTTACTAGAACAATACACGAATCGGCTTACGAATCAGGAAGCTGATTTACAGGATGCACGCAAGAGCTTGATGAGACTTTCCAAAGAAATAGTGACTCTGGACAACGAGATTCGAAGTATGGAACAAGAAGAAGCGTCTGAGGCGACAACTTGGAGCTTGCCTTTCTCGTTCTTTCCTAGGAGAGCTTTCAGAATCGAAGAGCAGAGGAAAGAAAAAGGTCCCTCATATCACGCAAAAATTGACACACGACAGTTCAAAGAGAAGGAAAAAAAAGAAAAAGTTAAACATATCAAGACTTGTCAAATGTTTGCTTCATCATTCCGTCAATACATCGTCTCGATTGAGCTAGAGATTCAGAGAAAAGAGGGGAATTGACTGAAGTAATGACAGAGAGGAGGCAGACAGAACTTTGGACAAGCACTCAGTCACTAGTGTAATGCGCATACAAAATAACAATATAGCGATATGAAATTAAGCAGAACGTCAAATTCGATATAGGCCTCCATGTAAGCTGAAGTTCGGCGCTATCTTGATGTGACCACTCGTGATCAATTGTTAAAATCTCGCCCTACCAAGGGACGAAGGCTGCCAAAGTGGGGTATCGAGGTGTCAGTCGTATCACATTACAGGTTAATACCCCCCGCCAGATATCCAGATTACTCTACGTAAGAATCAATACCGGCCCATTGACAGGGATTCTACGGAATGACTCCCAATGTAGACTAGTTGATCTTGGCAAGTAGGGTTTCAGAAACAATCGGAGAGTGTATGTGGTGACACCAGTTTCGGAAAGTGCTGTACGGAACTGGATAAAGAGCCTCTTTCAGCGTTTCCTCTGGCCTTTGATTTCCTTCCCCGCCAGCGGCTTCCAGATTATCGAACAGTTCAAGTTGTCAGGAGGAAGAGAGAAGAGGATTTGCCGATGATGGCCTTTATCCTGCTATTGTTGGCGAAGTCCTAGATGCCGGTATCAAGTCGTCGGTAAGCTTGGATTCAGAGTTTTATCAACAGTGTGGCTCATTCGGGACCTCAGGTAAGCATTTGTCCCTCAACTACCAGATGGCTATTCCTGTATGTCGTTAGGACAGGGGTTGTTGTTTCGCTGCCTTGAAAGTTTACACCCGTGATGAGGACAACAAGAATGAAATAGAAATATACAAACAACTGCACCGGCACCCTCGAAACATCTAGGGTGTGAGCGTGTGGGGATGTGTTGGATATGTTTACACTACCCCGACCTGCTGGAGACCATGTGTGCCCCGTGCAGAAGCCTCTCTGAGAGAGTTTGCATGATATTCACTTGATCATGCCGGATGACTACATGGACGAGGCAATCATCTGGTCCATAGTAACGCAGCTTCTACGGGCGTTGGATTATTTACACGCAGAGTGTATAATTGTTCACACTGGTATGATACAACCCGCAGCGAGTTTGATAGAATTGTCTGACCATTCACCTGGAGATATCAACCCGAATAACATCATACAGGAGGTTCATGACGATTCCATCCTCAGGGGTCAGATGCGTTTGATTTCTACTATTGTATGCCTGAAGATGCCCTATGCTAGACCGCTCTATACTATATTGTGATGGATAAAGCAGCGTTTGCTTTGTTATGCATTCGCATCGTTTGCGTATCTACGATGATGAGAAAAAAATAAGAAACAGTGAAAAATAGCTATATCAGGAGACAAGTTGAGGCTACTCATAAAGGAAAAGGAATATATGTATCCAATAAGAGTGAAACTTATAAAAATATATAAAAGTTTTCTGTTTCCCTCCACCCCAGAAGGCTTAGCAAAAGCTAGATGGAATGACTTCTAAATAAAAGTCATGCGAACAATAATATTTCTATATTTAGCTCCAGTATAGTAATTAGTGGGCGTCTCGTCAGCCTTGCCTTGCCCCGCGTTTGGGGGCGGTTAAATCAATGGCACTCTAAACGTTTTCGCCGATTTGAGTCAACAGATCTCCCAGCTCTACACAACATGTTAGATCCTCTCACAGCCCTCAGCACGGCATCCGCCGTGGTTCAGCTAGTTGACTTTGGCATGAGGATCCTGGCCGACGCTCAAGAATTGTACACCGAAGGCAACCTGGTAACACTCAAGGAAGTGAAAACAATGACAGAGGACCTTGTACACGTCAATCATTTGTTAGTCCATCGACCGGAACCGCATGGTAATCAAGAAAATCCCTTGTCCGATGCAGAGAAGGTGTGTCTGCCTTATAGGCCAAATGATACAAAGAAACGCTCATCGGTCGCTCTAGGCACTGGATAAGCTAGCCGCCGAGTGCAGTGATGCCGCGGGAGAGCTTATCACCTGTCTTCAGTCTTTGGAAACAACAGCCAAAGGTGGACGCTGGCAGAGCTTCTACCAGGCAGTTCGGAGTCGATGGCATGCCAACCAGATCATAGCCATGGAGAAGAGGATCGGTTCCTTCCGTGAACAGCTCATTTATCGTGTCCTGGCCGTACTCAATACCAAAACCATTCTGCAATCGGCGCATCAAGACGAACGGTTTGATCGACTGGACCAGTCACATGCCAGGGTGATTGATGTCGTTACCATTAACCGGCAGTTGCTGCAGTCAAGTTTGGGCACCGAAATGGACGGTGTTTCTCGTATGATTTCGCAAAATGAAGAGACTGCGAAGGTCCGTCACAATGAGACCATTGCGGCAATTCTCAGGCTCCAGGATGGAAGCTCGAAAGTGATTACGGGTGCACAAGCCAATGGTCCTTCCAGTATTCCGGCACGCGAAACGATAATGATGCTCCAAAAGCCGGAGATGCACGAAGTGGATTTCCATGTTCAGGATTTAAAAGTGGTTCAGTCGAGAGTTCTCGACTGTCTTCATTTCCGACAAATTGACCACCGTTATAATACAGTTCTCGATGCTTATCGTGATACGTATCAATGGATCTATAACAGCCCGGAGATGGATCAAAAGCCCTGGAGTAATTTTGTCGAATGGCTGGAGCGAGGTCACGGCTGCTACTGGATCAATGGAAAGGCAGGGTCAGGAAAGTCCACACTCATGAAGTTCATCCACGGTCATCGACAGACGAGGAGATCCCTCTCGATGTGGGCCAGTAACCACGAATTGGTAGTCCCCTCATATTTCCTAAGCAACCTGGGCAACTCGCTGCAGAAATCTCCCAGCGGCCTCATACGATCTTTGCTCTTCGACGTCCTTGGAGCACATCCCCATCTGATCCCGTTGGTGATGCCGGGCCTGTGCCGGGCCGCAGCAAAGCTGGAACCCAGAGAAAAGCTCTCCGAGCCTACATTCAATGAACTTGTGAAAGCGTTTCAAGATCTGATCCGGAATTGGAGCGAAAATCTCCGTATCTGCTTCTTGATCGACGGCGTCGATGAATGCGGAACAGATTACTCTGAAATCCTCGACCTGATAGCCTCTGTATCTGAGTCAAGACATATCAAGATAGTGGTGTCCAGTCGTCCCATTACACCCTGTGTTGCAGCCTTCTCTAGCTTCGCAAGCCTTCGACTGCAAGATCTCACGCACAACGACATCAAGCTTTACGTCGAGAATAAACTGAAACGGCAGCTGGAAAGCCGGGTTAAAGCACAAGCAGATACATTGATACTGGAAATCGTCGAGAGAGCATCGGGTGTGTTTCTGTGGATTGTGCTAGTGGTAAAGTCCCTCATTCTTGGGGTACAAAGCATGGACCGCATCGAAGACTTGCAACGACGGGTCGACGAGCTCCCGGCCGATCTGATGGAACTGTATTCACACATGCTGGGGAATATAACGCCACTCTACAAACAACAAGCATCGCAGATATTTCAACTGATCCTGAACAGCGTGGGGGTGGATAGCGGCGAGGAAATTACCACTCTCCAGCTGTCTTTCGCGGATCAAAGTCCTTCCGTAGCAAAGACTGCTCTGATTCAGGAGATCTCTCCTGCAGAAGAGTCCAAACGTCTAAAGGAAATGGATGGCCGCATTCGAAGTCGATGCTGTGGGCTCCTAGAGATTAGGGACCGGAAGTATTCTGGAGGTATAATTAAGACTATCCGTCGACCGACTGTCGCGTTTCTGCACCGAACAGTCTTCGAGTTCTTGACTGAACAGATTGACCCGAATGATTGGTTAGGACTGACTACTGTAACCCCTGAGTTTGATGCCCACCTATCGCTGGCATCATCATGTGTCTTACTGGCCAAGTCTCTGCCTCAGCAACGGGTAATAGACCACGATTCTCTGCCATGGCAGAGTATACGGCATTGCTTGCACTACTGCTCCATGGTCGAACAGCAACATGCCATCACCACGCAGCTACTAGACGAGCTAGATCGCACTGTGTCTCATCAATTTTCCAAGGTGTGGGTTCCAGGAAAGCAGACTGGTGAAAGTAATTTTTGGGCTGCTGCACCTCCCTTCGGCGAACATTTACCCATCCACGATCGCCCCGATTCCTTCCTATCGCTGTCAGTCACTTGGGGTCTTTCCTTTTATTTGCAAGATAAAATTGATAATACCGACTACGACATGAAAGTACTGGAAAGACTTCTTCATATTGCCGTGTCCAGTTTCATTTGCGCCTGGTCCGATCTTTCTTCCTCCTCTCACCACTTCTCATCGTCGGCACGTGTGCGAACCAGGGGCTACGCAAGGCTTGTTTCAACTATCCTGGCGGTTGGAGTAAGTCCAAACACGAAGACAGTCGATCCCGATAGCCAAACCCCATGGGAGGCCCTCCTAAACTATCTGCAACATCGACTAGTCTCCGACCGCAGTGCATTTGTCCTGGATTTTGGCCAGGATGGAGGAGGTTATTCAAAAACCCTTCTTGACTTGATCGTTGTCATGGTGTTATCAGCGGCAGATCCCAACGCCAGCATCGCATGGAAAAAACGGTCCTACCGTGGCGTTGAGCATGTGACGGAATTCCGGCGGTCTGCACAGCGCGTTATTGAGCTTCTGCCGTCCGACGAGATGGATGATTTTTCACAAGACAGAACTCGACGCGCGGTCGCTCTGGATTATCGTAAGATTATAGAGTACCGAACGCGACTGATCAGTATGCTCAGTGAGCGTGGTGCTCGATCTGAGGATTGGACAACGGACTCTTTGTCAAAAGGGGTGGGAAATACTGTAGCCAGTCGTATGAATGCCGAATGCATTGAATTGCAGAGTGACAAAAGGAGCCATCGGCCGTGGAAACGAATGGTGCGAGCATTCCGAAGATCAAAGGTAACATAGATTGGTATAAGATATCTCTACGTATGTCTTAGTTACTGGTAGAGTAGTTGAGTTGGTAACTCAGTCTAAGGTAGTAATCGATATTCCCCGTTCACATTACAATCGCCTCACTCTGCCTTTGCTCTTCCGTACCTCTCACTCCTCACTTGCTTACTTCGCACTTACCTCTAAGAGGTAACATCTCATTTACTTCATAATTATCTCTTACTTGTCTCTTACATTCTCTCTGTATACTACATAGAACGGATCATAGCTATAAGGACGTGACTATACCAACAAGAGGCTGTAGATAAAAAGGATACGATTTATTCTTAATACACAGAAATAAATGTCTGATGAATAAAGGCCACTTCTACAAGTGACCAAGATTTGCGTCCAAATCAATTGAACCAAACCAAGAATCGAAGGCAAACAAAGACAATCGAAAGTAAACACAATAAGGTAGAATCCAAATATCCGTCCCGATCATATAATTAATCAGGTATAGATCAAATCTAATATCCAGGGTCCGAGTTACAGAGATGCTTAGGGCTCTGGAACCCGCCCATATTAGCGGCATTGATGAAGTCACTAGTCTTCTGGGAATCACCACTGCAAATAGCGCCACACCAAACAGGACGGCTGTCATGGCCGTAAGGCTGCAGGATATACTCCTTGTCCTGGTAATCGGAGTCGACTGCACCGCTGACATCACACACCGGGATCGTGAAGATACCTTCCCAAGACGCACCCTGGGAGCCGGGGCTTGCCCAGGCGCTGGAAACTGCGTCCGAGGCACGATCAGCTGCAGTTTTGGAGTCGTAGTTGTAGCCGGCGACGTTGTAGGCGTCGAGGGAGGAGTTGATGATGTCCTACGTGAATTAGTATCATGTATTGAACTTAGGCTTTGTTTGACTTACTTGGACGCTGACACCGCTGTAGGCACCCTGTCCTAGCTGATCGGCTCCTGGGGGAGAGGCAACCCATCCCCACTGGTGAGATGTCGTGGAGATCACATCGTTCTCCTGCCAGTAATACAAGTACCAAGCCTTGCCATCGCGGCAAACGGTAGCTTCCTGTGGTCCAGATCCAATGCCCTGGTTGTCGCCACAGGAACCACCGCCCATGATGAAGATCTTTTGTGTGCGGTACAGCTGGTTGATGGAGACACCGACCAGCATGTTGGTCATGGCGTCGGTGACTGCGTTCTTGTCGACACCGGGGTAGGAAAGGAAGGCTCCACCAGAGAGATAGCTGCGGATATCGGCGTTGCCGTAAGACTGGCCGCTCATCAATTGGTTGTTCGCAGTCGTGAAAGACTTCAGGGAGTCCACGACGATACTGCCAAGGATACCGCCCAGGTCAGCGGACTTTTCGAAGGTGTCATCCTGGCTATTGAATATTTGTTAGTACAGCAATATACAATATCAGGACAGGAAAGCATACTGGTTAGGAAGGGTGTTGACAGCAGCGTTAATTCCTCCACTGGTCAGCGCACTACCAGCACCGGCAATGGCACCGGCAACAGCAGGGCCCAACCCAGCAAATGAAGCACCAACACCAACGACAGTGGTGACAAGAACAAGTACCTCCTTCAGTGCAGTGACACTTTTGTCATCCTTATCCTTGTAGAAAGTCGTGGCCCACGAATCTTTCGACAAAGCCGCACCCAGAGCCGTAGTAGTGAACGCCTCGCCAATACCAGTAAAGTATGTGTGTAGTCGATTCACAGACTCGAGAACGTAGTATGTAGGACGGATATCGTTTCCACGGTCATTGAGCACACGGTTATCGCACAGCTGCAGATCACAGTCCGAGTCCGACCCATCGTCTCGACAACTCCAGTCCGGGTTGCCCATCGACCATTGACCGAAGGCACCAGCGAACCCGCCGGAGCTCTTGGAGATTAGACCGGTATTATTGTTCCACCAGTTGTTGATCCAGTCACCGGTCTTGTAGGTGTCCCAATCGGAGGTTTGTTGGTTGTAGTATTTGGATACTGGACCGCAACGGCGGTAGATACCCATTGGGTGGTGGATGGGGGGAGCTGCCTGCACTGCTGGCAGGAGAGCAAGGGCCGTCAAGGCCAGAGATAGCAGCATTGTTTCTTATTTGATCTGTTCAAAGTACAATGTATCCAATGTCGAGTGGTATGGCTGTCTTTATAGAGATCCATGGTACCTGGATGCTAAGTCCGGTCTTGAGGAAATGTAGGCGACGATCTCTTGTCAATTTGGGAATTTGGTCCATTCATTCGTGTCGTATACATTGTTTCGTTGAGTGTGGACTCCTTCAGTCAGCCCTAGTGAATCTCTCCTTTCCGGTTGATTCAGGGAAAGTCCAGGGCGAAGGTCTTGCAACAATCCTTCAATATCAGCTTGTGGATACAGATCCGGGGATCAAATCAGCTGAGAGGCATGTTCTTAATCGGGAAACTGAGTTTCCCTGATACTAATTTTGGCTGATCGTCAGGGACTCTGAGTACAATATTGTATAATGAAAGTTATAGTGAAAGGGTCCGACCTCGGGAAGACTTTGGGGGCCAAACCTGGAAACCTGAAGAATAACGTCTGTTGACACATAAATGTGAAGATCGTAGCTTCAATTACTTTTCTGGGAAAATGGTGAGGAGAATTTGACTTGTTGCAGGATTCTCAAGATCGTCAGGACCGTCAGGATCGGGGGGTTGAAGAGTAACTAAATTATCTTGCAATTTCAACTTCCAATTACTTTAGTATATCTCATACCAGGTGAGATGAAATGTTGTAGAAAATTGACATCAAATCATGCATTAAAGAAAGTAATTGTCCTCACCAAGTAGTGAAGTATCAAATAGAAAGAGTGTCGTAAATCATCAAGTCGTCTAAAATCAAGATATCACAACACCAGCCCAAGCAAGAATCCTTTCTTACTCAAGAATGAAAGCAAAAAAAAAAACAAAAAAGACACGCCAATAATGCAAACCCCGAAAAAGAGAAATCATGAGTCGCAAAGTCACACATCTTCAATAGCAACAACCCGCTCCACAATCCAGTCCACAAGAGCCTGACCCTCAAGTTTCCACTGACCATCCGTCCACACGTCACTCAACCAATAAGCCCACGGTTTCCCTGACAAGAGCTGCATGTCCCAATGCATAACCGGGGGCCGACGGTTCGGGTGATCGCCTCCAGCCGAGAGGTCTTGGTTGACATTGCGGAATCCAACAGCCGACGTCGGGTTGTTGGTGCCGGCATCGGCTTGACGGATCCGCCATTCACGTTCGGCTTTCTCGCCCGCGCGCCGTGCGACAGCTTCTTCGTCTTCGGCTTGATACAGGTTGCATTTCGTGCATTCTGTGCAACGGGAACCGGGGTTGATGCGAAAATGCTCGCAGAAATGCTTGTAGCCCTCTGGTTCTTCGAACTCGTCGTCGAATAAGTTGGCGCCTTCGCCAAAGGGGTCATCTGGATCACCTGCACCATCGTATGCATCTCGGCGAGGGAGGGGTTGCGCCGTATGTATTGGTGAGCCTAGTGCCTTGCGGCATAGATAGCACATGGAGTAGCCGCAGACGCAGGTGAGTTTGTTGCAGCCTGAGGATTTGACAAAGGAGAGGCAGCAGCGTGGACAAGTGCGTTTCACAGCGGCCGTGCGGGCGGCCTCGACGGTGGCGCGCAGATCTAATAGTAAGGGCTCATGACAGACATGTGGGTCTCGCCATGGCTTTTGACATGTCATACAGCTGATGCGTAGACAAGAGGGGTTGGCACATTTGAAACGCTTGGGCCGGATCTTGAGACAAAGGTTGCGGATTGCATTGCCAAAGACCGCTGTCACGGTGGCTGGGTCCAAAAGAAGGAGAATAAGAACAGGAATCACGAGTAATGGGACAAGGTCAAGGATGAGAAGGGTCATTAGAATTGTAGGGATGATGCCGCCGTCGCGGCGTAGCCGCCAGCATACACCTCGAGATGAAGGGTGGTAGACGGGGTCGATTTCAGCATAGGAGCAGAATGGACACCGAATGAGCTTTAGCTGGGACTTCATGAGGGTCTCGGAAGAAAGTCGGTCTTCGAATTTGCGGTATGTCTCAGAACCAGCCGTGCCGAGAAGAATCGCCTGCTTGACAATCTGGGGATGAAGACATCCTTCGCATGACCCAACAGACAGTGGCGCAAGACACTTCAAAGATGACCGTTCCAAGTCCACAGATTTGCCCCAGCCTTGTCCAAACAGCGCTTCGTGGACAGTTCGCTGTATGCAATGGTAGCAAATAATATGAGTATTAGTCGAACAGGTCGCGATTTGCTCGAATGTCACATCCGCGAAGCAGCACTCGCATTCAAACAGAGCATCAACGGCCTGCGCTTCTTTCTCATTCAGATCGGAAGCAAATCGGAAATCCTTGCCTTCCTGTTCTTCCCGCCTTTGACGTAACAGCGGTGCCACCATCATCTCATGGAGCTCGGCATCCAGCTCGCTAGATCCTGTTTCTTTCAGTGCAGGGACCAACTCCCCATCTGCGCTGCGATGCCAGACCATAAATGGGTGTTCTTCGCGGTCCTTCTTCCTCCTGAACGATGGGAACATACTGTTGAATGTCGCGCGCCAGGTCCGACGCGATAGGTCGCGGAGTATCGGTCGAGCTCGAACATAGCTGAAGTTCACCTCGGCCAGTACAGCTTCGATGGTGCTTTTGTTGAGACTGTTGAACTCCTTGACCATGGCCATTCGCACAGCCGTCTTGTACTTATTGGACCGGAATCGCTCTTCGGGAGGAACCAGGCCAGTTTCGGAGTCGGGTTGAGAGAAGTCTTCTGAAGCTGTGCTAGCAACTCCCTGCGCATCTGCTTCGCTGTTCCCTTCTGGCAGGTTCCATCGTCCAGAAACCCATTTCTTCTTATGTCTCAGCAGCTCTTCCACGCACACCTGCGTCCTGCTCTGTCCGTCAAAACGCACGAGCAGTTCGCGGAATACTTCTATCTGGACATCCGGAAATATTCGAACCAAAGTCTCAAGCGTATTGTTGAGTTCATCTTGTTCTCGCTGTTGTTCCTCCGTTTCGTGGGCCGAGAGCTGACCGGAGCGAGATCGAGTGTTGCCGAAGGGGTTATTACGAAGGGCTTCGCTGAGGGTGGTGGAATAGCTGTTCGGGGAGGATCCTGTCTGTCCCAACGGTGATTTCCAGGCACGACTGGAGGAGCTGGAAGAGCTAGAGGCTGAAGGTCGGGGTCGGGATTGCGGCGCGGGCGTATTGCCGTCAGCGGGGCGTGGGGATGATACGGACGATCTCGAGAAGCCCGGGACAGGCAGCGAGAGCACCATGATTTTGTGTGTAGGCTAAGCTACATCGTTTGTAATGAGTTTAAATAGATAACACAAGATGTAGAGATTGTTAAATAAGAAAGCTCGGAATGTCTGGAGAATCAAAAGGAATGAAGGAAAATGTTACATAAGACGCGTTTGCCGCCTAGCACTTCAGGCACTTTCTATAACTAGATGTGACTTACCTCTCTATATCTACAAGATTGCATATGGTTATATGTGATTTTGTATATGAGTCTTTTCTTAAATTGCTATCCTCTTTCTATTAATAAGCTGCCATCGTCCATTTATTCCGAATCATCCCTTACTTCATGTGAGATATTGCATTTCCGGCAAATTGACTTACTGCATATAATCAAGAACCTGTACGCACCTCTTTAGTATACTTCTGACTATATAGTTACATCGATTTACAGTAAAGAGGAGCTAACCAGGCATAATAGCCTCTACATCTCCATGTTAGCATGCTTCTAGGGTTTATCTAAGTTTAATTTACAGAGTACGGGTGAATATATTAGTAGTTATGTCGAGTTATTTGCAGTAGGAATGTAGACATACAAAGACTATATGGGATATATACTAGTAAAACCTGAAGGGGTTGTCAGACAGGCCAGGATCCAAGGTTCTAGCCCTAGAGTATTTGGGTGTTTTGACAATTTGTCCGAAGTACTGGCTAGGTAAATTACCCCTTACATTGTGTTCTTTATCTTGTGACAGGGGTTTTAGGGTTCTAGACCTTCATGAATAAAAGAATGTGATAGACAACATTGGTCTCAAAGTGTATTGATCATCCTTGCAATGCAAAAGACAAAAACGTGCGCCGTGTAGATCATCCGAATGAACAATCTATGGATCATAGTCTAATCTAACCTGAGATGTATTTATGATAACAAAATTAAGTCCTGGCAAAAAAGATAAGGAGTATACCGTGGTATCTAAGAATACAAAAAAAAGCACTTTTGGTCATTAAAAGAAAATAGACACGCTCGAACGCTTCGCAAAAAGGGAAACACCAGCGCTAACAGTATATGTATGGGAATCCCAATCATAAGTATGAGTTTGTCTTTTTGACATTGTGAGAAAAATTCGTCATTCCAATTTGCCAGCAATGATACTGCTGCAACGGGAGACGTTCGCACTAGTGGGAGGCGAGGCACCACGGCGCATAGTGCAGCCATCTTCTTCGAGCCACCACTTGGGATAAGGGCCAGGGATGAAATTGCCCTGGGCATCCCAGCCAGCAACCCAGTGGATGCCGTCGTCGAGGAGGAAGAAGCGCAGCTTCTCCGGACGCGCACCCTTGTGCAACGGGGCGTCGAACCAGCGACAGCGATCCTCTAATTCCGATTCGAACATGTATCGATGAAGGATGCGGCAATAGACCAGGGCTGCCGGAATTTTTTCTTCGTTTTCGTGTCCATCCCGATGGATGAGGTGCCAGCCGCGACCTGGGAGGAATCTGTAGGTTCCTGGAACGGGGGATTGCCAGTGCTGTTCCTTGAGGTTGCTGTCGCGATCACCCATCTGGAACCAGTAGACTGGGCAGAAGATGGTGCGCGCACAGAGAAAGAGGTTGGGGGCCATGTTGTGTATAAAGAGCAATGTGCGGAAATGGTAGTATGTGCGATGACTTGTCCCACGAAAATCGGGTGGGAAAGTCCAGGTTGATATAGAAACAGCGCTGAAGTACAGGGAATGTCAAAGGACTGGGCTATGCGTCGGCAGCCATGGTAATAAAAAAAGAAATATCAAGGTCAAAATCCAAGTTGAGATGGGAATTTTGACGGGTCTTCCGCTAGGCAGAGAGAAGCTCGGGGAGGGAAACCAACCCCCTGAAGATAATTCTTTTTTTTGTAGAATAAAGAATGCGGAACAGCGAATGCACTTGGCACGGGGGATTGTTGATTTGGTGCAGCAAGGACTGGGAATGTCCAAGTCAGACTGGTCAGACAACAAAAGGATTCCGTTATCGATGCGGTGAGGAGTTGACGTGCTTTATTGAGTTGATAAATAAAGGCGTCTTGATAAGCTTGCAGATTGTGACCCAAGAGCTTTGTCCTTTTAAAGAGGTGTGATGGAGGGTGGGAAACGAATCAAGAGTGAGCTTGAGCGGCAACACGCAGTAAATACGCACGGCCAACCGTTGTTAGAGCTTAGCAGGGTGTGCTAGAGATGAAACATTTGACTGGATGAATGTCGCCATGGTGATTTATAGCTGGGATGATATAGGGTGAAAGGAAGAGTTAGAAATAGGGTGTGTGTGCTGGAATTATACAGGGCGGTCTAGTAATTGTGGATTGGAGAAAAAAGTCAATCGGATCCACCCTCTCCCGCGGGAAACGGGTAGCTAATGATTGACGGAAGTACGGAGTACCTTGGCTAGGCTCCCCTATAATTACTAGTATAAGCCCTGTTTCGTGTTTCGGGTTCCATGTTCGCTGAAGTTTCTTAAAATCCCTCGTTGAGTTTCCTGAAAATTTTTGTTCCCCATCAGCCGCACCATCATTATTGAATTTTTGTTCCAGGTACTTTTTGTATAAGATCCACACACAAAAGACATTTGGTATTACGTACCTAGGTAGTCACAACCAAGCACAGTGGACCTTGCCAAGGGCTCTTGGATAGAGATGCCTAATTCGATATGTCATATTATATTATTCAATATTCAATATTCAATATTTCATTTTCTTATAATTTATACCAAATATCCAAAATATCTATGTTAGCGATATATATAGAGTCAGAGTTTTGCTTTGGGGTTTCAATTTTTGTATTTTTAAATATTCACACTAAGCGGAACTTGCCAGACAGATAGATACTATACTTAGGTACACGAAGCTACGGAGTCTTCTCTACGGAGGTACGTAGAAGCTACATACAAATAGTACAAGGCAGTAAGATTAAAATTTGGATCCCTGAGGCTGGGCAAAGACTCGGGGTGGCCCTAAATACTAAATATAGTCTGCTAGATATTATCATCTTCGTATGATTAACAGCCTTAATCCCCGGGAACCCTTTCCGATGGAATAGACTTTTCTCCGAGTCCTTGATTTTTTTTCATGTGTGATCGATGCTGCATCTTATGCCCACACAGGAAGCCCCAGGACGCACATTTACTAGATGACGACACATGTACCTATGTGGGCAATGGCCCAGCCCATGAAAGCCTAGAATGTCTATGCCAAGCAATTACTGGGGAAAGAAAAAAGAAGAAAAAAGATCACATGGACCTCACAGGGAAAAAAGATTGAGAACTAAAACAAATAGAGAAAAACCAAGAGGTAGTATATACAAAGAGGCAACAATCTGTTCTGAGATTTCTTCGTTTTGCCAGTGGGATATCGCTTCAATTACTTTACAGCTTGGCCTTAGCGCCCTCCAGGAGCTCAGCACCAGCACCAGTGATGGCAGGCTTACCGGTCTCAACAACGGTGGCCTGGAACAGAACCTTGTTGCCCTCCTTCCACATCTCAGTCTTGAGAGTCTGGCCGGGCAGAACGACACCCGCGAAGCGGACCTTGAGGTTCTTGTAGGCGCCGTACTGGGAGAAGATGGCCTTGGCAGCGACACCGAGAGAGCAGAGACCGTGCAGAATGGGGGTCTTGAAGCCACCAACCTTGCTGAACTCGGGGTCAATGTGGAGGGGGTTGCGGTCGCCATTCAGGCGGTACAGAGCAGCTTGGTCCTCGGAGGTCTTTTCCTCAACCACAGCGTCGGGGGCGCGCGAGGGAGCCTTGTAGGAGGCTGTCGCGGCCTTGGCACGTGGGGCAGTGGGCTTGGGGGATCCTCCGAAACCGCCACTGCCACGAATGAAGACGGTGGACTCGTTGTAAAACAGATCCTCGCCGGTCTTGGCGTCCTTGGTGGTGTAACCGGCGATGACGATGGCCGCGTTGCCCTTGTCGACAACATCGATGAGCTTGGGGTAGGTCAAGGTCTTGGCGGTGGTGGGGATGGGGAACTTGCGGACCTCCATGTATTGCTCGCCGTGGAGCAGCATCATGGGGGAGAAGTTCTTCACCAGGTCGTCCATGTTCCAGGGAGTAGCGGTGTTGAACCAAGGAACAACACCGTACGATGGGAGGGCCTGGAAGTGGTCGTTGTTCTCGTAGACCAAGGGCAAGTCGGTGCGCTTGGCACCCACGCTGAGATTGTAGAGGATCACATCGCGATCCTCGTAGTCGAAGGGAGTACCCTCGGTAGACATAGTCTTGGCGTTCTCGATGTTCTTCAGAGTCTCGTTCTCGCCAGCGGGCTCGCCGTGCGCACGGTTAGACATGTTAGCCATGATCTTCTCGACACCAGCCTGGCCATCCTCGGGGTGGTCAGCGCGACCATCTTCGAAGTTGACGATCTTGTTCCAGTTGCGGACCACTTCCTCGGGGGTCAACTTGACGTCCACGGGGAAGCCGTGGCCGCCGGTGCGCTGCCAGCGGGTGCGGCCGAACCAACCGCTACCGCACTCGAACAAACCCTTGGTGGAGGGCTCGGGGGCCATGTCGGAGCACAGCAAGACAACCAGAGGAGCAACATAGTCAGGCTTGAAGGCCTGGACCATCTCCTCGGGCATGATGGTGCGGGTCATGTTGGTACCAGCGTTGGGAGCAATGGTGTTGACCTTAATATTGTACTTGGCGCCCTCCATAGCGAGAGTGCGGGAGAGACCCAAGATGCCAAGCTTGGCGGCGGCATAGTTGGCCTGGCCGAAGTTGCCGTAGATACCACTGGTACTGGCAGTGTTGACAACACGGCCGTACTTCTGCTTGAGGAAGTAGGGCCAGGCAGCCTTGGTCACCTTGTAGGTACCACGCAAGTGGACATTGATGACAGAGTTCCACAGGTTGTCATCCATGTTAGTGAAAGCCTTGTCACGCAGAATTCCAGCGTTGTTGACAAGGATATCAATGCGGCCGAAGGCATCGATGGCGCTCTTGACAACGGCATCACCGTCCTCGCAGTTGGCCTTGTTGCCAACGGCCTCACCACCGAGCTTCTTGATCTCCTGAACCACGGGCTCGGGGTCAACAAGATCGTTGACGACAACCTTGGCACCGAGCTTGGCAAACTGCAAGCAGTATGCGCGGCCAAGACCGGCACCACCACCGGTGACCAGGGCAACACGGCCCTTGAAGTCGGGCTCCTCGCCAGCTGGCGCGCTGGGCATCTTCAGGCCGTCCTCTAAGTAGGCCATGAAGTCGGCAGGGCCAGTGGGGTATTCGGGTTTAGAGAAATCGTTGACATCCTTCCACTTGCGGGCAATTGCACCGGGGGTCAGGGACTCATCGGTCTTCAGGAGACCACCCTTAGCCCGCTCCCAGCGGAGCTTGGCGACGTGGCCACCGCCAACCTCATAGATACCACCGGTCTCGGTGGTGTTAGAGGAGTGCACAAGAGCAGCCACCAGAGGAACAACCCAGTCGGGCTTCAAGTTCTCCAAAACATCAGGGGGCATAACAGTCGCGGTCATGCGGCTGGCAGCTGATCGTAGAATTAGCTCGACTGGTCCGTGCACACAGGGTTTGTCGACTTACCGATGGGAGCAATAACGTTGGCAATAATGTTGTATTTGGCACCCTCCTTGGCCAGCGTCTCGGTGAAACCGACCTGGCCAAGTTTGGCGGCCGAGTAGTTGGCTTGACCGAAGCTACCGAAGAGACCAGCAGCCGAAGCGGTGTTGATCACACGGCCAAACTTTTGTTTCCGGAAGTGAGGCCACGCGGCTCTAGCACACTGTAAAGAAAAAACCCAATCAATCTCCGAATATGTAATGGTAGAGCCTTCATTGTTCCGAGAAAGAAAATGCTCACCTTGTATGCCCCGTAGGTGTGAACTGTGTTGATCAAATCCCAGTCGGCATCCTTCATGTTCTTGAAGCTGACATCCCGCAGGATACCAGCGTTGTTGAGCAGAATATCGATACGGCCGAAAGCCTTAATAGCAGTGTCGATGATAGCTTCACCGTTCTCGACGCTGTCGTAGTTGGCGACGGCCTTACCGCCGGCGGCGCGGATCTCCTCGACGACAACATCTGCGGCCTTGAGTACTGTCAGTCTTCTGTCGGTTTGTTTTGAATATGTCGGGGTAGATACCTTTCCTGACTTGCCCTCACCATTGTGAGAGACACCAAGGTCGTTTACTACGACGTTGGCGCCCCTTGAGGCGAAGAAGAGAGCATATGCTTTTCCCAGACCACCGCCAGCGCCGGTGACGACGACCGTCTGGTTATCAAATCGTAGTTCGGACATTATGTGTGGTATCCGAAGGTTATGTGGATATTATTGAGACCAAAAAGAAAGAAAGCTGGAGAAGGAGGGTTTAAAGTAGCTCGGCAAGCTGGGGGAGGGGACCTCGGCACGATCGAGTTCTGTGGTAACGGAAAGAAATATACTCCGTATAGTGTGTATTGTTGTATTATTACATGGCAGATTCATGTATCACATGCCGTGTGTCCACAACTATTACTAGTTATATATATTATTGAGACACTATGAATGTATGTGCTAGTTACATATGTATGCATGTATTATAATTGATCATAAAGTACGGAGTACTTAGTTTCATATGTATCTTCCCCATACTACCAAAAGTAACTACCGAGTACCTGCTGACTCAGGCATGTGATGCCCGACGTCATTACCATGTGCAAACATTGACTTCAGATTCACAGTTATGTACATATATATCATTTTATACTAGGTATCCCGATTCTATAAGATAAATCCATAGATCTTTATTATATATAATATACACATATGTATATAAAGTTGGAGAAAGTAGCGGCTGAACTAACCCCGTGGGGGTACACTCGGCCGAGTTCCTTCTCTGAAAATATTGCACATATAGATCTTACTTTGTACAAGTATTTGGTAGTTTAGACAATTCCATTCACAATGCCTGAAATTATAGACGACAAATCGCAGCACTGTATCCCCTATCTGCTCGAACGCTTACGCATCCATACCGAGCGGCACAGCGGCAATACCCCGCCATTCTTCATCGGTCTCAATGGCGTGCAGGGTGCCGGCAAGACAGTACTAGTATGTCAACCTTACACTCCATGGATGCCTCGGTATATCAGCTATCTCCTCGGAAAAAGAAACTAACACCACATACCACCAGGTGTCCTCTCTTAATGATACCCTCCGATCAGAGCCATATTCGCTTTCCGTCGTGACCTTATCCCTCGATGATATTTACCTGACACACGCCGATCAGGTCGCTTTGGCTCAGGCGCACCCATCAAATCCACTTTTGCAGCATCGTGGTCAACCTTCTACCCACGATCTTGCATTGGGCGAGGAGGTGTTTGCTTCGCTGGCGGCCGAACGGTTGACGGCCATTCCACAGTACGATAAATCTGCCTTTTCAGGTCAAGGTGATCGTGTTCCGAAGGATCAATGGAAAATCGTCAATGAAGAGGGACAGAAAAAGGTCAAGGTGGTGATCTTTGAGGGATGGTGTGTGGGTTTCCGCGCGTGGGATGATCTAACCCTGCGCGTGAAATGGGAGGCTGCTGTGCGCCAGAAGGAATCCGGCGATTATAATGGACGGCTGGGACATGTTCAGTTTGAAGATGTCAAGGCTGTGAACGATGCCTTGAGGCAATATGATGTTTTGACCAAGTGGGTTCTTAAACATGTCGTGTGAATGAATAAATGCCATGCTAACATGTGATTTCCCTTGCAGCAAGCTTGATGCTTTGATTCATATGTATGGGTTGTGTTTAAATTTCGAACATTTCAAGACACTAACTTGGTCTAGTGATGCCGAGAATCCTAGTTTCGTTTATGAATGGCGCCAGGAACAGGAACGCACTCTTCGTGCGACCAAAGGCACCGGAATGACCGAAGAACAGGTCAATCAATTTGTGGACGGCTGTGCGTATATCTTCGAGCGTTGGACTTGTGACTATACTAATTGTGAATACCTGAAGATTACCCATCGTATGAGCTTTTCACCGAAACTCTCCGTGAGGGCGCATTCAAGCCTGGTCTGCATAGACCGTCGTCATCGGACACTGAATGGCAAGGCCGACAGCTTCGTTTGGTGGTCAATCGTAATAGGAGAGTTCAGAAGGTCATTGAGATTTGATCTGACAGTCCTGCTACACAGAGATCAAGTCTAAATTTACAACGTACATCGGCCCAAAGCGAGTGAGTTGTAGACAACTGCTCACAATTCGACTCAACACGAATAAAATATCCTCAAAGAAACCACATGCAGTACGAACAAACAATACAAAATTGAACTAAACACCGAAGCATAATTAATACTCGGTTTGCACAAATATCTGATGGTCCATACCGGTGGCTCACCACTTGGGCAGGAGACTCGGACCTCGGGACGGTACTCGGTTTCACCTAATGCCGAGACGAGAAATACTCCAGCAAATTTGTAGACAAGTACGTTGTATCGTTGATGCGTACGAGACTACGAAACGGCTACCAACTACGAAGTAGATAGTCCCTTGACAAAGCGATTGGGTTGTTTGAAGCATTAAATTGATCGGAGACCCCAGACCATAGTATCGCTAAAAATAATTGACTAGTGGATATAAACAGCCCGTGCAAAAAACAACCCAAGACAGTAAAGTCGTAAAATTTTGTAAAATTTTTGGCGGTGCGCTCAAAAAGAACACCTGACCAGATCCCTCATGAGAAGAAAAAAATCTAGTTCATCTGGCGGATGAGACCGTTGATGTTCTCCTCACGGTTACCGGTGTCACCACCCTCGATGTAGTGCTTGAACTTGCGAGTGCGGAATCCACCAGTGGGGTTGGACAGCTTGAAGGGCCACAGGAAGTTGTTGGCCTGCTTGAAGTTGGGGCCGACGGTGTAGATCTCGTGGATGAGATCCTCCATGCAGACAATGCCGAACTTGCCGAGGTGCTCCTCGATGATCTGGTTGTCGGTGAGGGGAGTGCGCATCTTGTCGACCTTTCCGTAACCGCGCTTGTAGAGGAGCTCACGGACGGACTTCAGGTTGGGGTAACCGTAGGCGATGTAGGGGTTGACAATGGTCAACATCTCCTGGGTAGCCTTGGTGAGACGGATGAAGGTACCAGAGTTGATCTGGAGCAGACGCAGGAGTTGGAGGATCTTGCGGGGCTTGGGGGCGATCTTGTTGATACCCTTGATACGGACAACGAAGACCAGCTTGGGCTCATCCTCAACGAAGAAGTTACCCTCAGCACGGGCAACACGGTTGAGGCGGATCTTCTCGCGCTCAGCGTTGCGGTACTCCTGAACGTAGGACTCGGCGCGCTTGAAGATAACACCACGCTTCTCCTTGTTGGCCTGTATGAATCTCAGTCAGCATCAGAGTTTTCATATTTTTTTGGTATAAATGGCAAGTGTTTTTCAAGTACGTGTCAGACCCGAAAGATGGTTAACGAAGGACAGCATTGAGTGTGGTAGCACTCTAGTCAATCGTGGTTGAAAGTTATGCATCATAGAAATTGAAAGGAGGTAGATGGTAGTGAGAGGGGATAGGGATGAACCGACCTTCTTGGTCTTCTCGGCCTCGGCACGGCGCTCAGCGCGGGCAGCCTCCTGGGACTTGCGCTTCTTCAGAAGGGTCTCGGGAACGAGGACCTGGTTCTGGGTGGGAACGGAGCTGTGGCATGTTAGAACAGTCTGTCTAATAGATCAAGACTGAGACAATTCGCCGAGTGAAAGAATTGCAGCATATAGCGCCACATTCTCAACTGAAGGCATAAAAAAAACTCGACGAAATGTCTTTAATCAGTGAGGGCCATGGCTCTGGGTATTTGCGATCAGAAATCTTTTTGGTATTAGTCAGGCATATCCCAGCACTGATGTTCTCAAGCCCGATCACCCAAAGCCAATGATGCCTTCATCCAACAATACCCCAAACAATGTTCGGGAAATATATGTTGACACTTTTCGAAACGGGTGAATGCTGTTACCACATTGTGCGCCCGAGACGATAGCTCTCAACAATATTTTTGGAGGAGAAGGCGCTAGGCGCTTTCAACCTCAAGACTCCATCACCCTCTTTCTTATCCGAATTCGCGACACATTAAGTGTAAAAGGAACCGAGAGAGGGCAGGAAAGATCGAGCTGGTGCCTGGCAGTCATCGCAAACGATGGCTGTGGCATCCCCAGCGAGAAGGACGACTACACCTGCAACCTTACAAACTCAAGCAGAGAATGCATCAGTTTTGGGGAAAGTCAATGTGAAACGTACGTAGTGCCGGCCATTTTGAAGGATGTCGAAGGTTGTCGAGGATGTCAAGAGAAGAAGAAAAGTTCGAAGAAAAGGTTCTTAGGGATGAGATTTCGCTTGTGTGGGTGCGGGCCCACTAGCCAGATGTAGTTAGATCATGTAATGCAATACACGCTAACCGCCTTCATCGAAAGCCCTTATCATCAAGCCGATAAGAAATCGATAAGGGCTAAGTCTTATCGGATGACTTCATGTCTGTCCGCGGTGGTGCTACCAGTTTAGTACTACTTACTGCCTCAATCTACATCCTTCTCTTATTCCACATATTATGTCTCGCCGTGGTGTTGGTATCGGGGCCTTTGCGAATCGAACTCAAACAACTCAGTCATGGGCCACTCATGGCGCGAACCTACGCTCTACGCATACTGCCTCCTTACAGACCCAATTGTCAGTGTTCCAGTCACTGCTTCATACCTTCGCCCTCGAACATAGCTCCACAATCAAATCAAATCCCACCTTCCGGGCAGAGTTTGCGCGCATGTGTAATACCATCGGAGTCGACCCTCTCGCTGCAAGTAACATTAAGGGAAAGAATGGCCGTCGAGGACTGGGGGAGGGGGCAGCTTCTGGACCCAAATTCTGGGCGGTGATATGAACGATTTCTACTTTGAAGTCGCTACTCGCGTTGTGGAATTATGTAGGGAGACAAGGAGCGAGAATGGTGGATTGATCGGCGTTGAGGAGTGCCGCAAGAGAGTGGGAAAGGGCAAGGCGATCGGAAGTGGGCTCGAGGTTTCAGAGTATGATGCAATTCGATGCAATATTATTCCTGGATCTAGCAGCTAACTTGGCTGTTTGTTTGACAGTGATGATATTCTACGTGCTGTTCGATCGCTTGAGCCTCTCGGATCTGGGTTCTCCATTGTTAGCGTCGGCAGCAAGAAGTACATTCGGTCGATTCCAAAAGAGCTCAATACTGACCAGGCCACCGTCCTGGAGGCTATACAGGTTCTCGGTTATGTGAGCGTCTCAATGCTGCGGCTCAACCTAAAATGGGAGAAGGCTCGGGCACAAACTGTCATTGACGATTTACTTGCCGACGGCCTGGTGTGGTTGGATGCTCAGGGGCCTGAGAAAGAATATTGGTCACCTCAAAACCTCCTAGATGATAGTGGATGAGCAGCCATTCCCTCATAACTCACATGATCACTTATACGACTCACGAACAAGACGAAAAACACCCATCCTTTGGTCCCACAGCGCTTCAAGGTAGAAGCATTCGGCCCCTGAATATTTTTTGAACCTCTTCAGTCAAGCCATTAGAAGGCATTCAATAGCCCCGGTCGGCAATTTAATACCAACAACTCATCCCCAATGTGAAACTCCCCACCATGGGCTAAAGCTAAATAAAATTCTGGTGATAGAGCAATCTACAGCAAACCTCAGAAAGAACACAATATTCCCAATAATATACGTCCTAATTACAATTGTGGTCTATAACCATGGGTCGCAAGTTGGTAGTCACATCATCTCCAGGCTGATTGTGTGATATATACTCTTCTCGGCCGATAGTGAGCTTATTACATAGCGTTATGCATATCCAAATTAAGCTCTTAAGATCGACCCAATTTGATGGCCTGCAATAAGTGGTACTAATTTTCTCCCAATTTGATCAACATCCAATCCTGACGATCTCAAATAGTCGCGACTTTGGGTTCTTCTCTCGCCATCATGATCAAAAATTATGTGATGGATGATCTATTGAGTAGCAAAGAAAGCTGGTTTATATGAAGCCCATTGCCTTAGGATAGTTAGCCAACCTCATTGCTGGAATATCACTCTACTGCTCTACTGCTCTACTGCTCTACTGCTCTACTGCTTAAACTCTTAAGGCTAACACGACTTTATCGAGCAACAATGACAACCACAAACACGCAAGATTCTACCAATGGTGACGAAAAAGTCGACAACTTGGTTGATGTCGAACAGCAACAAAAAACTGGCACTTTGTTAGTCGAGACTCCAAAGACTCTCGGTGCAGGAGTATGTCTAGCAGACAATCTATGTTGAGAATGGAATGGTATTGATATTTCACAGTCTGCCCTAGCTCTTGGTGCGTTTGGCACTACTCTCACCACTCTCTCGCTGAGTCTGATGGAATGGAGAGGCGTCACCACGGAGAATGTCTTCGTTGCGAATTTTTTCTTCATCGCGGCCTTCGGTCTGGTTATCACGGCGCAATGGGAATTGTCCATCGGAAATGGATTCGCCTATACGGTTTTCAGTGCTTTTGGTGGGATTGAATGACTTCTATTCTTAGCAACCGCTGTTAATTCTCAAAACATAGGTCTTTTCTACGCTGGTTTTGGTGCGATCCTGACCCCTGCTTTTGGTGTCGCGCAGGCATATGGTAGCACCAGTTCCCCCGAGTATAATAATGCGGTTGGATTTTTTATGATATTATGGACGGTCTTTGTCTTTACTTTCTTGATTGCGTCGCTTCCGAGCAATGTGGCGTATATTTTGGTCTTTCTCTTTGTTGATCTAGGTTTCCTTACTGTTGCGGCGAGCTACTTTGCAATGGCTGATGGAAATGCCACTGCATCGGTGGCTTTGAAGAAGTCTGGTGGAGTTTTTTGCTTCTTGGCTGGATTGATTGGGTGGTATATTGTTTTCCATCTGATGCTGCTAGAGTCTCTTGTGGATCTACCTCTTGGTGATACTTCGCGGCTTTTTGGAAAGAAGAAGAGGCAATAAATACGAGATATAATATGGAATAATGCGCGAGAATGACTTGGTATCGAGAATGATACCATATGCAGATCAGATCAGATTGAAGTTTAGTCTAATGTGAAAATGTGATAGTTGGTTTGTTCATCCTATTATGGTTATTGTTATTTTATAATGTTAATCAACAATGTATCGACAATTATAGCGACATATTCAATCGAATTGACGAATTGAAACTCATTTTTGAGTTGCTGAGATGTAAGTCCCGCCATTGCGTGATATCGACTGAGGAGCATGTAATTATATCGCCCGAGAAATGTACATAGTACAAAACATACATATAATATGTTAGAACCCCTCACATATCACTTCAAATTAATTATATGCCAATTCTCATACACTGGGTATACATACACTATCTATAAAATGTCCCAAAGCGTCCCAGCAACAGACCCCGCTGTCTACGCGGAATACGAATCTAAATGGTCCAATCTTCCCAACACGGAAGAAGCATGGCTGGCTAGAGCCCGCGAAGTGTCCGAGGTCCTAGCCAAAGATGCTGCCCAAAGAGACCAGGAGAACAAGTCCCCGCGGGCCGAAGTAGCTCTGCTTAAGCATTCCGGTTTGACCAAGGTTCTTGGTCCTAAGAAGTATGGCGGCGGCGAACAACCCTGGACCGTGGGATATAAGGTAATCAGAGAGGTTGCGAAAGCAGATGGGTAAGCTACATTTAGATCTTCACAGATGCCGATTATAGTCACTAACAAAGTCCAGATCCATTGGTATGCTGCTTGGCTACCATCTGCTCTGGTCAACCACGGCCAATGTCGTCGGCACACCTGAGCAGGCCGAGCGTACTCATGAATTGATAATCTCAAACAATTACTTTGTCGGTGGCGCTGTGAACCCCCGCGATAGTGATCTGAAGATCGTCTCCGATGGGGATCACATCGTTTTCACCGGAAACAAGTTCTTCAACACTGGCGGCGTGGTTTCCGATCTCACAGTTCTGGAGGGTGTCCTTGAGGGCACTCAAGATCACATTTTTGCCCTGGTCGAGACCCGTCAGGATGGTATTCAGTTTGCTCACAACTGGAACAATATCGGTCTACGTTTGACTGAGTCTGGAGGCGTTAAGATCGACAATGTTCGAGCTCCTTGGACTGACGCTCTTGGCTGGGACGCTTCTAGCAAGAAGCCTCGTGATGATACATTGAAGATTGCATTTCCGACTCTACTCCTGCCAACGTAAGTTCAGACATACCATGTTCTCCGTGATTGCGTGACTCGAGACTGAGCCTTTTTATAGCATTCAACTGGTCTTCAGCAATTTTTACCTAGGAATTGCTCTTGGTGCGCTGGACTTCGCCTCCAAGTACACCACGACCTCTACGCGTGCTTGGCCCTTTGGAGGTGATAATAAGGACTCGCCAACGGATGAGTTCTACATCCTTGAGCGCTATGGTAACTTTTTTGCTCATCTGCGCGCCACAGAAGCACTTGCAGATCGTGCAGGTGATCAGCTCTCTGGGTTATATACTCGCTACCAAGTCGACAAGGCTGCTCTCACTCCTCGGGAGCGTGGAGAGGTTGCCGAGTGGGTGGCAAGTGTCAAGATTGTCACCACTGATGTCGGTCTGCGGGTGACTTCTGGTGTGTTTGAAGTGACTGGAGCCAGGGCTACGGCATCCAAGGTTGGATTGGATCGATTCTGGAGAGATATACGAGTGCATACTCTTCATGATCCGGTGGCGTATAAGAATCGGGAAGTAGGACGATATGCACTTTTGAATGAAGTGCCTGAGCCCAGCTGGTACACTTGATCTGGGTGTTAGTATATAAATAGGGAGAAATGAGACCTGTATGTCAAGTTATAGAAAATGCAGGAATAAAATTAGGAGAGTAGTTAGTAGAAGTAGAAGAAAAGAACTACACTCCATACATAAGGGTCCTAAATGCCGGTCCCAGCGCCCCGCACCGGGCCGATATTCATGGACCGATATTATTATTTTTTCCCCTCCAATTTTTTTCTTCTTTTTTTCTTCTTTTCTTATAGAACCTCGACCCGTTTTTTTTCTTTTACTGACATTTGAGATATTGTTCACTTCCAGCTCTTACGGAACTGTCATCTCTTGTCATAAATCTACTTCAGTCCTTAATCAATTTCTCCAATCCCTGTCTTAACAACCGCCAATATGACTCAAAAGTTCTATGTCACTTACAACCAGGTAAGGATAAACCTTTCCCTCTCCGGTCTATAGACTCAGTCTATAGACTCGATCTCTATTACCAAAAACAGAAATATAAAGAGTTGTCGAGATCTGCGCACTCCCCCGCAAAACTGCAGATTGTCTTATCGCAGTCCACAATTTCTTTTTCTGAACTTTATCTAACAAGCATATCAGGTCCACAAGCTCTGTCAGACCTCGGCCGAGGAAATCCTCAAGGAATTCCACCCCAACCTTATGATCGCCATTGGTGGTGGTGGTTACGTTCCTGCCCGCATCCTTCGGTATGTCAACTCGCACACCACGTGCTCATGCATGTACATGATGCTGACCTGGATTCCCGCAGCTCTTTCCTCAAGCGCGCCGGTGACCCCAACATCCCCATTCAGGCTATTGGTCTCTCCCTCTACGAGGACTTGGGCCGTGGTGACGCCGAGGAGGTCCCCGGTACCAAGGTCACCCGCACCCAATGGCTGGACATGAGCTCTCTCGAGATGGCCAACTTGATTGGCAAGAATATTCTCATCGTTGATGAGGTTGATGATACCCGTACCACTTTGGAGTACGCTGTTCGTGAGCTACAGAAGGATGTTGAGGTTGCTCAAAAGCAGCTTGGCCGTGAGGGCGAGAAGACCAACTTCTTTGTCTTCGTTCTACACGTACGTTTTTGGATTCTAGGAGTTTTGATTGAGATCTGAGCTGATGTTTTTGGATTAGAACAAGGATAAGGTGAAGAAGGGTGTTCTGCCCACCGATATGATGGAGGAAGGTCGTTACCACGCTTCCGTCACCACTAAGGACGTCTGGATTTGCTACCCTTGGGAGGCTAAGTATGTTATACCCACCCGATTTTATTGAAACGATTACAAGGTTACTGACTGCTTTCCAGGGACATTGATGAGCACGATGCTCTGGCCAAGGAGAACCCCATCATCTAAACGGGTGATTGCATTCATAGCGTACCATTTTGCATGGCGCTCTAACAGTATTTCCAAGACAGTTTGGTCCTGGATCTACTGTCCACGCTCGGGGTCGGGCGCTGAGCGTGTGATTTTTACGATATCCTTGATGAATTTTTGTAGAAAAGTTTCTTTCTTATTGGCAGATCGGCAGATTGCCCCAAAAGAATATCTAATTGAAGCTGCATATGCACTTCCTGTTCCACTTGGACAAAAATCGCGCTATGAGCCTGAGTCGCCCACAGATGGGACCTCGGGCATGGAGTTTCGTAGCCGGGTATCAAGAAAATCAGTGTATTGATCGAAAAAGGCGCGGAAACATAGTGTATTATATTGTTCGGGCGCAGCTTTCGATCCTGCATAGACAGCCTCCGCATCCCACCTGAATTCAGACACACCCAGGGTCTGTATCAACCTTCTTCTTAAACACTATATGTTTCGCATTCAATCGATATCGATCTTGCCCTTGCGCAGCTCCACCTTGGCCAGTTCGATCTCCTTTTGTAGCTCGGCGTGCGCCTCGGGGACATCGTTGAAGGTGAAGATCGCGATACCCAGACGGGCGAGGAGGTAACAGGCGAAGACGATAAGGGCGTAGAAGGGAAGCTGGATTGTCACAATATAGGTTAGCTTTCTATCGATTGATAGAATTGCCGGAGTTGTTTCGAGGGGTGGTGAGGATAATTTGGAGTGTTGAATGGACAACATACCACGGGGACAATTTCAGTCTGAACAGTCTCGTTCAAGGGGACAAGGCCAAGGAAGAGAGAGAGGTAAATCTGGCCAATTGTTAGCAAGGTCCAGGGGTGTTTTGCACCGCGGCCAACATACGGACGAGACCAGGAGAAGAACGGAGAGGGCCTGGATAGCTCGTGTCATGGTGAAGGTCAAATCAAAGATTCACAAAAGAGAGGAAAGCGGTCAATTGTGAAAGCACTGTAAGCAAAATGAGGGACTTGGAGGGAGTTGTACAAATAGTTACTGTATGCGGATAGAGGCCAGCTTGAGCGATGCGATTCTTGGCGCCCGCACTAGGTCACTGGACTGCCACATATAACTATAAAAACTACATGTATTTATAGTATGGACTCCAGGGCTAAGCTCTAAATTTAAAGTGATTTGTTATTTTTTCCATTGAATTTTCTATGTTTGATTCTATTTCTTACTTGAAATTCAAGTTAATGCAAAGAGTGTCCCGATATATAAAAAATTGCAGGTATGGACACCAGTGTACAACACGGCCTCGCCACCGTACTGCTCTTTAATACCTTTAGCAAGTACATTCACTATCCCACTGGTGGACTTCTCAGCTGTATCAGGTGCCGACCCAAGGCCCCAACCATGGGCAGTAGCATTCTCCATTGATTCGAGCACCATACCAGTTGATAATCTACCTGGAGGCAGCGTATGCAGCATTAGGGACGGGAGGCTGACGTCTAAGAGAGATTCAGCACCTGTTGCCTATCAATCAAAACCAGCATGTCTTACCCTAAAGATCCAGCGCTGGATCCCATGATAGCATAAACGGGATTTGTGGTCGATTTCTGTAGCAGATCGCGTGTGGCTTGGTACAGCGATACAGGGTCCAACACATTGACCTCAATCTGTTCGATAATGTCAGTTTGCTTGACATCCTTGACCAAAGGGTAGACCTTGGAAATTCCCGCATTGGCAACGACAATATCAAGATGATCAATACCATGACTAGTGGTTTCTTTCACGGAACCAAATGCTGACTGCTCGATACTGGCATCGTACTTGACTACGATGACATGACTGTCTTCGCCTGTCGACAACCTAGCGAGTTCCTTGGCGGTTAAGTGCGCTGGGTCACGAACGGCAGCAATGACGGTCTATGAATATTGCAGTATCAGTCTTTGCCACAAAGATGCGAAATGTGATTGATCCATCAAGGTATTCTGAGATGGTTCGGCTTCGCTGCAAAGCCCTTGACAAGCCCAAGGCCTAAGAGCCTTGGTTGGCTCCGGTGATGAGAACAACAGTTGGATCCATAATAGAAGATAGGAATACTCGACAGTGAAGTATGAAGGAAGGCTATGAAAATGTTTTGTCCTTTTTTTCCTACATTCACGAACCGTTATATATCCATGTTCGCTATTCCTGGATCCACAGGCTGAGAGTGGGAATTATTAATCTAAAACTGACATCTGATTATAGTTCAGATCATGTCGACTATAAGTCCGATGGCGTGAGCGAGGGCTATTTCGCTCATTCTCACCAACATCCTATAAATAATCCCTGTCAATTGGGGACCAGTAACTGGCCAAGTCCGAAATCTCCAAAACCATCTCAATGTCGATATCTGGGAGACTTGCTTTGAATCTACGTCTGGGATTATAACTAAAAACAGTCATAGTCAGAACAAGTTAGTTATAGATCCATATTTGATTAGTTTAATCCAGCACGTGATGGCACATTTTCACCTTTCACCGGATGTGTCCATAGTATAGATGTACTAGAATATGTGCTTATGTAGAATTCGAAGATATAAACTTAAAATAAATACTCATAACCCATCCAAATCCAAATCATAACCATTGAAATCCATGGAGAGAAATCCTGTAGAGAAGAACAAAGTACTCTAACCTAAACAAGATTGGTGCCTGAACCCACCTCAGGCAGCCACCCTCGTTCGTTGGAGTCTAAATTGAGGGATGTGCGATATTTATTAAGCCTCATCTTCCAAGACTGTCCATTCATGGGTCTTGTTGCCTAATCAAAAACATCCACTACTATCATACCAGAGCTTAAATATTGTTCACTCACAGTGTTCAAATTGCTTTGACAGGGTCAACAGGCTGCCATCTAGGCTTCCTCATCCATTTGAGAGAACCTTTCCCAATCGGGCAAAAACTTCATATATTCCCAAATCCACTTGGAAGCAATTAAGCCAATCTCAGTCTGCGGAGAAAATCATCTGATCCCATATCTGCGATATGTCTTCTCCGGGGGGTATATCTACCACCCAAACGACCGACCATGGAGCCGGTCAATCCATCACGAAAAAGGACTTGGAGTTGCCTTCTATTCAAGAAATCCTCACTGATCTCTCTTTCCCTTCTTCCTCTATAGTACCTGGCACGGAAACAGTTGATTTGAAAGAGCAACAAGAGATGTTCCGTGGACTACGAGACATCATTGAAAAGGCCCAGGAGGTCGACGAGGCTGGCAGCACCTTCGATCTCAAAGAGCTTCATGCTTCTCTCGAAGAAGCGGATGAAAACTCTAGACGCGGCCGTCGAGATGCTGAAACTTTGCAAACTGTCTGCGCTACTCTGCACACGTTGTGGGCTTGCAAGTCCGAGTACTTGGTTCAGGCCACCGAGATTATTGCCAATGGTAGCAGAGATCGTAAGTGAATTCTCTGGATATATCGGCTTATTATTGTCTGCTAATGGTGATTTCAGCTTCATGGCGTGCCCCATTCGGACAGTCTGGTGTTTTAAGGTTTTTTTTGGATGTGATCTCGATGAAGGAGGATGTTGATTCTAACCTGCTGCTTCACTCTCTGCGGGTTATTGGCAATTCCTGTGCCGATACAGGTATATATTCATTACTTCTGGTCATATGAAGATGAACTAACGTTGACGCAGACGCAAACAGAGAGATTGTCATCAAAGGAAATTATACCCTAGCTATCATTCGATACTTCCTCGATCCAGATTTGATCTTTGTTGCCATTCCGGTTATCTACAATATCTGCATGGATTATGGTACGGTCTTGGTTTTGAAAAGACTCTGATTATAACAATGAAATGCTTGCTAATACTGTTGCAGAACCGGCACATGCTCAGATCGCTGCCAACCGGACAGCGTACATCTTATTGAAGCTGATCAAAGATGGAGAGATTGAGGACAATGAGGCTTTGCTCAATTTCTCATATGATTTGATTGAATTGGCATCAGAACAAGGTATGTTTTATGTGAAATTTAGAATCTCTCCATATCTAAAACGATGATTGCAGCCGACGGCATTGAAAACTCCCCCGACGGAACCATTCTACTGCTGATGGAGCTTGCTATTGACGAGACCCTTGAGTTTTCTCATTTCTCATCATTGGCAACTGCATTGGCCACCTACTTAGAAAAAGAAAGGTTCCAGACTGTATGTGTATCGAACAAAATGGTCGAAGGCGTGCTGGATGTCCTACGTCGTTCTTCTTTGGTCGACGTGGACCGATCCTCCGCCGAAGATGTCAAGGCCCTCGCCCAGCTTCAACTGAAGATCAACGGGGCCTTGGCCGAGGTATCTGCCTCCCCATTGTTCGCTCAGAACTATCCGCTTGATTCTTCTCTTACACGGACATTGAAGTCGTGGGTTGTCACGACCGAAGACCAGCTTCAGATCTGTGCATGCGTCATGCTTGGCAACCTGGCTCGATCCGATGAGGTTTGCCAGGTGATGGTGCGTGATTTGAAGATTCATGAGGAGTTAATCTCGGTTCTCAATGGTGATTCTCGCGGTGCCGTCCTGCACTCCTCACTTGGTTTCCTGAAGAATCTTGCTATTGCTGGTGACAACAGAACCGTTCTCGGAGAAGCTGGTATCATCGCTACTGTTTCACGACTGTGGGCGTACGAATCTGTTCCGCAGGTTCAATTCTCAGCCGCCAGTATTGCACGCCAGGTGGTAATTTCCTCTGTGGATAACATCGTCCGTCTTCTTGTTCCACTCTCCCAGGACCCAGATTCCCCGGCTTACAAACGAACATATCTATCTTTGCTTTTGTCTCTCTTTGAAAAGACCGACTCCACGCCAATCAAGACGGAAATTGGCCGGACTGTCGCTTCAATCTGTCGAACTCTTAGCCCCAAGGCTCGCGATGGAGATGAAAAAGCAAAGAACTTGCTAGACCGGCTGTTTACTCTACACGATGGTGTTTCACTCCCAGTAGGTGCGATGATCACGCAGACTCAATGGCCTGTTGTGCGCAGTGAAGGCTGGTTTGCTCTCGCTCTGATGGCGAATAATGAATTGGGCTGTGCCGCCGCTGTGGACTGCCTACACAACAGCGAGGTTACTGAGTTACTCAAGACGACTCTAGGTGCGGACACTGTGGATCCAGACCAGACGAAGGAGAAGTCAGAGACAGACAAGTCGCAAGAGACCAAAGACCGGGACAACGCTTTCGTGCTTGTGCAAGGGCTTTTGAAGAATGATGTAAGTATTCTATGCTTTCAATTGGCTGATCGTTTACTAATCTTATACCAGTCCGGCGCACTTCCTGTGGGATATAGAGACATGCTAGAAGATCTGGCAAAGCCTCATGCTTCATTGCTAAAAGCCACATAATGAAATAGACAAGAGCTGTAATAATACATTGGAGCTCGTTCTGTTTGACGTATGAGATTGTTTTGACCGATCCTTTCGGAAAAGGCGTCTCCAAATGCCTATGAAAGAAACAAAAATGCAAAAATCCTCAAATTTTCAAATCTTCAAATCTAGTGGTATTGTAAAACCAGTGACACCCGAAAATATGAGTAAAAACAACTGAGTCCATCATTGACCTTCATCACAATGTATGTACAAAGGCCAGACCAGATTATTGGGTATCTATATGTACATTGACTCTCCATTTCCAACGCAAGTACAACCAAGAATTGCCAAAATCACTCAGTCTGTCGACAGACGTTCTCCTGCGCATATGCCCGGTAACGACAAACAAGATCTGTAGTGTCTAGACCAGCCGCACCTTGACGGGCAGAATAATGTGACACCAGTCCCTTGCCATCAATAATGACATGCGGACGATTACCATCTGATCTATACCGAGAAGAAGTGTGATTGCTGTGGTGATTGAAAATATGACGCACAGCGATCGCATCATTACCCCAGAAGCATCCAAAGTTTTTGCTGATACGCTCGGTCGGATCAACCCACATGGGGAACTTGTAATGACCCAAGTCATTGTCCTCCAAGTGGTGCAAGAACGAATAATGTTGCTGTGCACCTACGGTCCAGTCATCCAGTGTTGGACCGGTATCGGTGTACACTGACGCCGCGATGGGGTCGCGATCCGAGCTGGCGCCATTGAGTAGTAGCCAGCGGTGTCCTTCAAAGGGTGGCTTGAACCCCTTTGTCACTTTGAAGCTCGGCGGACCCTGCCAGTGCGGAAGACTCGAAGGGCGCCAGTCGTTCTTCAGTTGGGATTTTGATCGTGACGGTTGCTCCACGTGGTATAGCTCGGGGAGATATGGGAGAGCAACTCCCGGATGACTGTGGAGCGATGCGAGGGCTGCCTCGTTCACGACGTTTGCTGAAACCATGAGGGAGTTTGGGTTCTCGAGTTTTGTTTTGATAATGGTTGGAATGGCATTATCTTCGAGGAAGACTGTGTCTCCGTCGATTCGAATGTACATTACATTCTCCCTTGCAATCTGCCATTCCATATCGTGACCCGGCGGAGCAATGGTATACTCTGGTGTTTGGTTGACGATGGAATACAGCCATTCCATGCTAATAGCGTCTTCTGTCTGCGGCACAAAAACAACCTGGTCAAGGAAACCATGGTTTTGAGCCAGGTTTTGCTAGGATTATGTTAGAATGGGGTTGTGGTGGAATTCAGCGAAATGTCTTACTTGCAAATAGCAGTCCAAGATGGCTGTACGCTCATGGTAGTGAAAGGGAACCAAAGCCACTATTTTGAATCCCTGTGGCTTGGTATATTGGCCGGTTCCTTGCGAGAATGCAAAGAACGGAGAGAATTCTTTCCGAAACAGTAACGAAGAGACATCAAAGGGGATGAGCCCAGGGTTGAAGTACGTCAGTACTGTTAAGATAATGCAAGTGTATCCCACGACACTCCACAATAGGACAAAAGCCCAATCACGCCAGGTGGAAGAATTCTCCTCTTTGTTGGATTCAACATCGCGGAGGTTTCGAGTGCGACCCATGATTAACAGTTCCCGTGCCATCTGACAGTTGTTTCAAAAGCTGGTGGACAACACATAGCGAGCAACTGGGTATGTCCCATTTTAATGCCTAATAAGTCTATCTTTTCGGTCGTTTCTAAAACGCCTTCAGATCCGTTTTCGGGAGCTATCAGGGCTGGCGGGCATTGATCAAGCCGCTATAACACAAGATCGACCCCCGCAGACTTTCAATCTTTGACAAAGAGTTAGGATCTGCCATAGATTGCCGGATCTAGAAAGGGTCTACAATGGCAAGCGGACATAAGGGCGAGGAATGTGGCTGTGGAATGCGAAGGCCGACGAGTTCGGAAGGACATTGCAGATAGACAACTGACAAATCATGATCAACCAAGATTCTATTGGACAAAGCTAAGCATAAACAATTCATCATCATGTAATGTATGGTAGAGTAGAGTATATTGTAGTAAAAAGTCAACTGTAGCAGATTGATAGTTTGAGACTGATAGCTGAGGTGGAGGTTATTTGTCCGAGCCGAGATATGACGTCGAAGCACGTGTCTGCCCGGATCTTGAACTTCGAAGTTCCTCGTTTCGCTATTTCGTTGATACACTTCGATTTTAGACTGTTGCATAGATTACATTATTCCATGTTTATATCATATACTGCATGAGAACATGAGGGTGGCCGGTCTCTTTGGCCGTTTCTGCCTCAAGCGCGGGCTTCCGCGTCTCCCCCGACAACAAATATCATGGCCTCGGCACGCAAAGAGCCCCCGAAGGGCCCCAATCATAGCCGGAGTGTTCATGTCGACTCTAGGTCCAGCTGCATTCTTGAAACTAGCGGAAGAGAATGATGGCAAAGACAAGACTGCAGAAATGCAGATGCTTGAGGCTTCGCGTGAAGAAGTCCGGAAAACGGTCTCACCTGATGCGCAAGGCATCTCGAAGCTCTGCCAGACCTTGTGGGTGTGTTTCTATCACTATATCTATGATCCAATCGCAACGGGCCTCCGGTTTGTTCACCTCGCTATTATCTTTGTCCCCGTGGTTGTGACGGTTCCCGCCATCTGGATTGGTCGGAACGTGCAAGAGCATAATGGCGCGCGATCTGGGACCTTATGGTGGTATCGGTTCTTGGTCAAGGCAATGGAGCGGGCTGGTCCTGCGTTCATCAAGGTTAGAAATGAATAAGATCAAGTTGTCTAATGAGACTGAGCTGACAAGCCGACCTGGATAGCTTGGACAATGGGCCGCATCGCGAACCGATATCTTCCCCCCCGAAATGTGCAGCGTCATGTCATCTCTTCATTCGAACGCCCCCGCTCATTCACTCCACCAAACGAAACGTATCATCCGCAAGGCATTCAATGGGTTGCCGTTCGAGGACATATTTGAAGAATTTCAAGAAGAGCCTCTCGGCGTTGGTGCAATTGCACAGGTCTACAAAGCGAAATTGAAACCTAGCTTGGCTGCAAGTCGTGACCAGGAACTTGGCGTTGAGCCAGCGACGCTGGGTGAGAGGGTTCGGAAGAATGTTGACGTGCTCGTGAAGAGTTCCCCGCAACGAGTGCCGTCTTCGTATGTTGCAATCAAGGTCCAACACCCTAGAGTGGAACAAATGATACACCGAGACCTACGCATCATGTCTTTCTTCGCTCACATGATCAATGCCATACCAACCATGCACTGGTTGTCCTTCCCAGATGAGGTCCAACAGTTCGGAGAAATGATGAAGCTACAACTGGATCTTAGGATTGAAGCGACCAATTTGGTGATGTTCCGGCAGAAGTTCAAGTCTCGCACTACGGCATGGTTCCCATACCCATATCTAGAATACACCACCCGCGAGGTGCTCGTTGAGGAGTTTGCCCAAGGCATACCGCTAGCCACCTTCTTAGACATCGGAGGCGGCGTCTATCAACATGAGATCGCGAATGAAGGCCTCGATGCATTCCTACATATGCTACTCATAGACAACTTTGTTCACGCCGATCTTCACCCTGGCAACATCATGGTCCGCTTCTACCAGCCAAGCGAACTGGACCTTTCCCTTCGCAAGAATTCACGCGCATTCGATGCCCCGACTAGGGCTGAAGTTGACGTGACTGAAGCGGTTCTGAAACGGCTACGTCCGCATCTCAAAGATCCCAAAGAATGGGAGACTGCTCTTTCTGAGCTCAATGACGAGGGCTATAGACCGCAGCTGATCTTCATTGACACGGGCCTTGTCACCCAACTCAATGACACTAACCGCCGGAACTTCCTGGATCTCTTCCGATCCATTGCTGAGTTTGACGGCTACCGGGCAGGTCAACTCATGGTCGAGCGATGTCGCACACCGGAGGAGGTCCTCGACCCAGAGGTATTTGCTCTGAAAATGCAGCATTTAGTTCTGAGCATCAAATCTCGAACCTTCGCTCTAGGCAATGTCAAGATTGGAGATATCCTCAGTGAAGTTTTGACCATGGTTCGCGGGCATCATGTCCGATTTGAAGGAGATTTCGTCAACGTCGTTATCTCATGTCTTCTGCTCGAAGGCATCGGACGTAGTCTGAATCCAGATCTAGATTTGTTCAAGAGGTGAGCGATCTTTTCTGCTTTATTTGATTCATTGTATTTAAGCTAACTCCCAATATTTAGTGCCCTTCCTATTCTCCGACAACTTGGATCTGGAAGTACACTCATGCAATCTGTGCACTCAGGTGACTATTCGATGCTCTGGGTTTGGGTTGGCCTGGAAGCTCGTGGATTGCTGCAGGCCAGCATTGAGAGTGTTGAAAATTGTGTCAAGTATGACCAACTCTCGCCTAATATTTGAGCACATTTGTCAATATTTTGTACCATAGATATCTTTTCCTTTTTGATATGAAGTTTTGGATGGCATGCCCGAATGATAAGAATGAACCATAACAGTATATTTGAGGTTTTATAGATATGCATACATACACACACGAAAGAAGAAATTATTCATCAAGATGTTGAGATTGAGATAGATTAATGCAAAGATATCATTATCATGCGTCCATTGTCATAGGCTGAATAGAAAACCCCGAGGTGTTAAGACAAAAGAGGGAAGAAGAACATTATACAAGCTTCAAAAAAGCCATGGGACGCCTGCGCCATGTCGGAAGTATACAGAGTAGAGTGGAGAGTGAAGAAGCAGCCCGATTCAGGCAAGCAATCTTAACGCGAGGCCTGCGCCGCCTGTTCACGAACACTTGCGCCGCTAGCTCTCCACCAGACATCACCACCCCATCTCATGAGCCTCTCAGCAGCAGCTGTGGGCGTATCGATGGCAGGCCGAATATCAAGATGGAAAACAGGGAGCCCGTGGGGGTCCGGGTCCGCAGAGTAGTAGTCAATCACGTATCGGATTTCTTTCGGGCCGTTAGGAGTCTGGCGAATGACGTACCAATCATGGCGATCGAACGGAGGGTTCGTCCTTTTGGTTCAAATTAGCATTTCTTCACGGTTTTCGCATTCAAGAGTTCTTACTCAAACTTAGCCGGGTACGCCCAGCTCAGTGCCTGGTAGATCGAGGCCTTGGGCGACCACTCCTGTGGTCGGCCCTGGAACCGCAGAAGGCGAGGCGGGGTGGCATTATCAAATTTGCCATTCTCGTCCGCATAGATCAGGTCGTTACTTAGGTTTTCCTCACCGCGTCGGCAATGCTGCCACCCATTTTTGAGACCCTTACTGAACACGCGTTCCCATGAAACAATCTCATCCCATGCTCCCTCGTTCAAGAAGTTGTGGACTGCAACCATTGACTCCACTGCATCCTGGGGTGTATCGGTGTGTCCTTTGCGCAGCATGGCATTGTACATTTGTTGCGGGGACGGATACTCCCAGTTACCTTCGGCGTCGCCTCTCGGGATAGAGGAAGGCTCGCGCTCAACGGGAAGGTCGATGGTCTGGTTTGCGGCGCGCTCTTGAGAGATTGACGAGAACATATAGTTCAGAGGGTTCAGCTTTGACAGAGTTGAGGGCTGCGCGGCGACGGGTGGCTGCGGCGTTTCCGGTTGTGATGATTTCGGAGGTGAATAGAAGGGAGAGTCCTTTGATTTCATCGGACAGCTGCTAGGAGGTTCGGCAGCTAGTTTTGGTGGTGTAGGCTTCGCGCCTGATTCATGCATCGGGCATCCCGGCTGTAGATAAGGGTCAGTTTTCAATCAAGTACAATGTTGATAGAATGGCAAGACGAACAGGAGGAGATGCGCTTGTAGGCGCATGTGGAATAGCCGGAACTGTAGTGTCTGCCCAAAACCAACCCATTTTGAAGACTTTAAAAAGAAGTGAAATGAAAGGGAAAAAAAATTGTAGATCTGCAAGTCTCAAGGCGAAATCGACCTCGCGATAAAAGATCGGGACCTTTTTTTCTTTGGATGACATAAAGCTGCCACGTGATAGGCTTAGCCCAGAGCGGTGAAATATAAACATGATCTCCTAGTTAGTACGTAGTTATATTGTTAATTAAGTAGTCAGTCGAGTGAGGAGTACACTACACTTTGTTGCTTCTCTTTCTATAACTAATTATCATTATTGCTGTTCCTTGTAAGTTATACAGCTCAGAATTACTAGCTAAAGGGTAATGAATCTGTTCCAAGAAGATATGAGAACTCTGCTTCCTCCGACTCAGAGATCACAAACCCAGTCATCGCTTCATCCCAGATTGAACGCCAAGTCAAATCATCAAAAACCACAACAAAGAAAAAATCGGTCATAATTCTAGAAACTTGCTCCCACGACTGCCATCCACATATCATCGAGACACAGGCCAATCGTTCGACAAACCAAGGTCTCTCCGGGTGACCAAGGGAGCCCTGAGCGCCAATGAACAATGCCCAAGCATAAGGCTGGAAGTTTTCTTTTGGTAATCCCAAGAGAAATGGTAAATTGCAATTAGCCGCTGCTGTTTTGAGGTGTTTCGTCAGGGCCCGGCCCAATCCAGACGACGAAGGTGAGACAATGAGGAAATGGTTCAGGAAGCAGATAGAAGCAACTCTGATAACTGCTTCAACAGGGTGGAGATTAGATTCGGGGTTGGGGTTGCCGTCTGCGTAAATATAGCTAAGAAGTTGATGCTCTGCTTCGCAATTTAAAACACGGAAGAAGTCTTGATCACTAGCTTGGATTTTCCCTGGATTCGTTTGATGAGCGATGCTGAAGTATACCATGTCCCGAAGTACACTCAATATACGTAGTAATGAAGGGCTGAGGTATGCATTCGTGAAGAATCCCGAACTTAGTCTGTTGAGAGGCGAAGACACCGGTGGTCTTACTCGTAGCTGAATTTCCGATGGAATAGGCTGGGCATCCCAAGTTAAATCAAAGACGGGTTTTGTCATCAGACCCGAGGCAGCCTTGACATCGGTACTATTTTGCAGTTGTAAGCATTGCGGGAATGACAACAATGCGAAAGCAGATCGAGGGCATACGTGATGATTGCAGACAACATCGAGGAAGAACGGATGCTGTCATCTGCTATCCCGCCTCGCATGTCGACCATGCGCTTGAGTCCTGTCAGATGAGTATGGACCTCGTTGAATTCGCCGATAATCAGCTGTTTTATGTCAGACACCGTGGAAATTGAAGATTAAGAAGAGTGATACATACAGAGCCGGTGAGAAGGTTGATGATGGTATCAATTGCCTCGTTGCTGAGTCTACGAGTCGGATCCCGTACCTTTGCGCTCATTTCTTGAAATGACCTCGCTCTCATCATACAGTAGTCAGGGTCATTGACGAGCAAAGTTCCTCGGCCACTTTCTGAATCAAATATACCCGAGTGTTGACTTGCGAGTACGGCTCGATGAGCGGCACACATACTCATCAACCCGAAGAAACTACCCGGATCCGAAAATGAGGTTCTGGCCATTAGTTCCATCTCTTGGGTCGAATTTTTGCTGGTGTTGGGAAATGTCATTGGGACAAATATTGTTTTCCCTTCATTCTAACGTCAGTACTAGCCTTTGGAGAACTCATCGAACACAGCTTCAACTATCAGATCGAGCATGCTTTGGATCCTACTCACAGTAGTACAGTAAGGGCGCTACAACCGAAGAGAGCTCAGTTGTACCTGGCAGTGTGAAGAAAGGATCGAGAAACCATGATTTAGGTGGATTAGGCGTGGAGTGGAGAGGTAAAGGATACCCAGCACACCATTTGTCTGGTCGTCCACGATAGATTGCAGGGATCAGATTATCGTTGTCTGAGTACGCAATCGAAGAGGCAGATGAGGAAGCTCTTAGAACCACTCTCTGATTATCTGCGTCGGTAGCTTTCGAGGCATTTTGTCCACGATTCTGTCTAGATGAACGCTTTAATCCAGCAAGTCTTTCACGTCGACGGACATAGCGCATGACATGAGATCGAATGGCCTTTCGAGCATTGACATCTTTGATTCGCTTGCAAGTCAAGTCATCGTCGTGATCGATGAAAGTGAAGGAAGACCGATCTAGCGGTGCGGGTTTCGTCTTGGGTTCTATTCGGGATATTTTAGTCAGATTCTATGTCAACTGGCAATCAAGTCCTCCTTGGTGCAACTCTGACACGCTTGACTCTGTGGAAGTCCATAAACAAATTGGAAAACAAGCAATGAGTTTTTGCCACAATATCGCGGTCAAAAGGATGCACAGGTAAGGTGTCAATAGTCCCCCGGTGGGGAGTCTCCAGCAGTAGTCTGCTAGTGTATATCAAAGAAGCACTGACCTGAATGAGTATGCCGAGACGAACCCGCAAATGTGAAGGGCTGCAGATGGTCCATCTTAGGCCCGAAGGCCAAGGTAATGAAAAGAGAAAGACCCAATAAAGAAGTGAACAGAAAGACTACCGTGGGAGAAGGCGGATTTAGAAGAGAAAGGAGAATAGTTACGTTGTCAATGCGGGGGTGAGCACAAGCCCAATTCAGCGTAAATTGTCTGGATGATCCGGTGGTCAATCGTGTAACAAAAGAATATTCCTATGCAGTTGTGATGACAAGTCTTGAAAAGGCCCAAAAGGAAGTTGGTTGTTCATTGTCTTCTCTCACAATAATGATAAGCATGTATAGCGCCCCGAATAATGCCTTCGAAACTCGCTAAGATTAATAAAAAAGGGAAAGATAAACATCGCAAAGAGGGTATTCTAAACAGCTTCGATCTCATGCTCGTACATCATTCAAAAGTCGTGAGATCAATGCATAACCAAAGAAGAGGGCCACACCAATCCATACTTTGTTTCGTCCAGCCCAACCTTGACCGGCCTCTCTTGCGACTTGTCCACCATCCATGACAGTACCGAGCCCATGTGCACTGCCAATGGGTCGTCGGCGTAAAGCACTGGTCTCGGGAGAACACTTGGTTGGCGCATCAGGGTCAGGCAAGATCTGGCCAGTAGAGGCATCGATGCGGTGTTCTTTCATCCAAGCCCAGTTCTCCTGATCTAGTTCGGGCCATTCGGTGCGGAACTTCAAACCTCCATCTCCTGCCTTGACATTGTTGATTCCCTTTGAAGTTCGAGTCACGCCTGCGGTGGCGCTGATGTGAGAACCTCCTCCAGTTGAATTCCACCACCGAGATCGCGCGGCAAGCACTCTGCGTTCACTCTCCGTGCCGCTAACACTGCCTGTGGTCATCTCTTCACTGGTCATAAATGAGAGAAGGCCGATCAAGATCGTCGAAACTTCCCAAGCGGGGTTGAAGGACTTGGGGTGGAAATCGCTGATGCTCAGACAAAGGCGAGTCGAAGGCTGGAATCGGCCACTGGGTGTGTGCATGCGGATGGCAGGAGGGGCGAAAGGATATTCCGGAGGGAAGATTAATGTGCCCCAGTATTGTCCATTTTCATAAGGTGTTCCCGGAGGGCCTGTAAGAATATAGTGCCATCTTAGGGAAAGTCAGTTTCAGGCATCCTGCAATGCGGGGGATGATACTCACTCGAGAATGTTCGTCTCGGATGGATGTGTCACAATGAATGGTGTCGGGTCCTTCTGAATGTTTTGATATTCACGAGTGAGCTATGATATATTGTTAGATTTGCGCAAATTCCCGGTTGAACCTAGTCTCGCCACATACACGTTTGAAGGCAGCTTTGGTTGCCATCTTTTTTTGTGGTTATTTTTTATGGATGTAAGAAGTTGAAAAGAGTTGCGCTTCGAACGATGCAAGTTGAAGAGGCTTCTCAAGATATACAATGACGGCGAATACAACAAAAATAAGTGACGGAGATGCGGAGTGGATGAATGATTTGGTTATCGCGCCATGCTCACCAGTCACGTGCACAGCCGCATCTAGCGGCTTCGGCACGCGCAGCCCCGATACGTTCCCCGGAGGCCGAAAGTTTTGGCCATTGCAGCCGCAAAAATGTCTTCTTCGTTTGCTGCCGGAGATGAGAGTGTAAGAGAATACCCCAAGCAGCTCATGAGCTATCACATTGTAGTGGTTGTATGTATGTCTGTTCATTATTGACTCTTATCTGCTTCTAGGTCTTCGAGCGTCTACAACGGCGCGCAGACCCTAAAGTGCTGGAAGAGCAACAACAAGCCGTGAATGAGCGCATGCAAGCTATCTATCAGAAGGCCCAAAACCGACTTGCTGAATTGGTAAGATTAACGGATGCTAGAAGCTCAAGATGACTGGCTATTCGCACCTGCATGCGGGAAATCTCGGCTAATCTTGGATCTGATAACAACTAGATCGACGAGAACTCGACTCTGCCATGCACCATCTCCTCTGTCCAGGTCACAAATGCTCCCCACACTCGCCGAAGCTTCCTTGAGCGCAACTTGAGCCCACTTTTGAGCGCAAACAAGGGTCGGCCCTACACACTGTCCGAGGCGTTGCGGGAAGTATCGGCTACCGCAGATAAACTTGGGCGATTTGGTATGGAACCTCAAGAGGCAATTACAACGATGCAAGGTGTACTAACACAGCAGTATCATAGACCTGTTCCACCAGCCTATTTCTGTCTACTTAGATGAGTCCAAGGGCGAGAATGGCATGCGTAACATTGACGTCTACTTGGCCACGCGAGAGAAGTCCCGCGTGCTGCTGAAGACCGGAACGGACTTGGGCAATGCAGAGGGCTCAGCTTATGGTAACCTTCTTTGGCGCAATGTCTTTGGCGGTGCCGAGACTTTGAACCTGAACGCTTCGCTTGGTACCCGCACACGGTCCGCTTACCAGGCCGCTTTCGAGACCCCGATTTTGGGAGATCCCGACTTCCGGCTCGAAATTGGTGGCATTGCAAGCTCCACACAAAAGTCTTGGGCGAGCCACGAAGAGGTCCTGAAGGGCGGTTGGAGCAAGCTCCGATGGGTGTCCAAATCAGGCCACCGCCACGAACTGGGCTACAACGGTTTCTGGAGACAGCTCACCGGTCTTGCTGAGAATGCTTCTCCTACTGTTCGTGCTGATGCAGGTGATAGCGTCAAGAGCAGTATCTTCCACAGCTGGGTAAATGACCAGAGGGACAATGCTCTCCTGCCTTCTCGTGGCTATTACGCTAAGGTCTTCAACGAACTGGCCGGATTTGGCCCGCTCAAGGGGGATGTTTCTTTTTTCAAGTCTGAAATTGAGACCCAAGGTGCCATTCCTATTCCAATCCCCGGAATTAAGGGTGACAGCGGCGTCAGCCTGACTACTGGATTCCGTGCCGGTCTCCTCTACCCTCTGGGTCTGGAATCCAACCCTCGTCCTCAACTTTCTCGTGTCAATGACCGCTTCCAGCTTGGTGGACCTACCGATGTTCGTGGGTTCCGTCTCTGCGGTCTCGGTCCTCGCGAGGGAGTTGATTCCTTGGGCGGTGATGTATACGCCGCTGGAAGCGCCAACCTGCTTTTCCCTCTTCCCCGACTTGGAGCTGAGAAGCCCGTGCGTTTCCAGGCCTTTTTGAACGGTGGCCGATTGCTCCCCTTGCAAACCTCGCAGAAAGCCGCCCCTACCACTAATGGCGAGGTGCAAAATGCCATGGCCTCTACTCTCTCTGAACTACAAAACGGTCTGCCCAGCGTTGCAGCTGGCTTCGGTATTGTGTATGCCCACCCTGTCGCTCGCTTTGAACTCAACTTCTCCCTGCCTTTGGTGGTGCGGAAGGGCGAAGAAGGCCGCAAAGGGCTCCAGCTGGGCATTGGTATCAACTTCCTTTAAACATGTATTAGACTCGCGAACTCAATCATACCATACATCAAGTCAACTACATCTATTTTCAAAAGCTTTTTAAATCATTGCTCAAATGTCAGAAGATTAACATTGTGTACATCGGATAGGATAGCCCGTATAGTTCTACCTGTCTTAGGCTCCGGCCAGCGGGCGATTATAGACGATTAGTCATCCCGCATTATTGCCCAGGTGAGAGGCCATTTGGAGCTTCGAGCTCGACAACAATCCACCCTCACGCCTTGATCCAGTCCTACCTCTGCAATTTCAGCGTTCTTTCGTCTCTCGCCGTCGCGGCAATGGCCCAATACTATCCTCAACAACAGGGTTACGCCCCTCAAGGCTCCGCACAGAACCTCCAGTTCTTCCCCTCGTCCTACTCCTCCGTCTCCGGCCACACGACCCCTTCACAGGCATCATACGGTGCCGGCTTTGGTGGCGCTCCCAATCCCTCAGCGCAGGCCTACCCAGCTGCTGGAGGTTATGGCTTTGGAGCCCCGGCTTCCGGCGTTAGTGGACGCATGGGCGAGCAGGGCGGTTTGAGAACGGGTTGGTTGGCTGCGTTTGGGACGGAGGGGTATGACGGTGAGCCACCTTTGCTGGAGGAGCTTGGTGTTAACTTTGAGCATATTCGGACCAAGGTATGTTTGTGTTAAGGAGAGGCTTGGATATTGCGCGGGCTTAATTGAGGCTGACATGTTGACATGTATATCTAGACCCTGACTGTTCTCAATCCCTTTGCTTCTATCGACAACCATCTTATGGATGATAGTGATCTCTACGGAGCACTGCTCTACATTGTCTTGTACGGTACTTTCCTTCTTCTCTCAGGAAAGGTCTTCTACGGCTACATCTACGGCGTGGCTGTCTTCGGCACTGTCGCCTTGCACATGATTCTCAGCCTCATGTCTCCCGCGCTCGACACTGTTCCTACATCCAACGCCGCTGATCCTAACAATTATAACCCCCACCACAAACCCTCCCTGTCTACCGCTTCGGCAGCGGGCCATTTCTCCGCTACTCTGACCTTCCCACGCTCGGCCAGTGTCTTGGGCTACTGCTTCCTTCCTTTGGTCCTAACCAGTCTCATTGGTATTCTCATTCCTATGGATACCATGTTTGGTTATCTTTTGACCATTGCCGCGGTTGGCTGGTGCACTTACAGTTCGTCGGGGATGTTCTGTTCTGTAGCGCGCATGAGTGGGATGAGAGGACTGGTGGCCTATCCGTTGGCTTTGTTCTATGTTGTCTTTGGAATTATGGGCATCTTCTCTTCCCGTGGTTCTGGTTCATTGGCCGCGAAAACGGGTGCGGCTTAAAAGATAGGATTATAGGAGATAGTCATCTGTTATTGTCTTGCATAACTCCTGTAGGCTAGTGCCTGCAAAGGCTTAGATCTTGACTTTGGAACGCTATTTGCACCCAATCATGAATATTATGAAATTCCGCTTGTTCTATCTCATTATGCATTAAATTCGTCAACTATTTCCCAATGTATCCACTACAGACCTCCGCTTGATGCAAAAAATGGCCGTCCTCTAAACTCAGGTCTAGAGCCAACATCTAGCAAATTCAATGAGTAGTTCTGCTTTGGTTTGGCGCCCATTTTGACAGCCACTCTCTTGCCTTCTCCAAATCGCCACCAGCAGCTTCAACTCCGGCAATACACCATGGGAGATCATACACCTTATCACTTTCAGCGGTATCTGCTGCAATCATCTCTGCAAGATGACGACGTTTGCTACTCGTCTCATCAACACAGAAATACAAAGGTGCAGTGTTTGGGACATCCGGCTTGGTGCTGAGTGCTTCAGTGAGGGGCTTTGTCAACTTCATGATTTCTGCCACACTCGTTGCAACATGAGGCCCCGGTACAGATGCCATGTTCCGTTCTGCCGTCTTGCAATAATCGTTCTGGCACCAGGGCTTGCCACATCCGGTCATCATTTGGGAGAGGTAGCGGCGTTCAATACGACGTCGTAGCGCTTTGCCCTCTGGGTCAAATGAGTCCACATATAGCGGACCAAAGCAGAACCCACATAGACCGAGAGTATCGTTACCAGGTTTACTGACTGTGCGGCCGCAATTTTTGTTCAGGCATATGCGGGGAGCGGGTCGAGATGAACGCTCCAATTCGTGATGACGGAGATGAGTGTTCATATCTCGGAGTCGAATGATTTTGTTGCATAGGTGACATTCAGTGGTGCGTCCTCCGTCTACTAATTCGTGAGGGGTGAGACCGGAAAGCATGACTTCGGGGTCGTGGAAATCAGGGTCAGATTCACCTTTCTGCGGCACGAGGAGATGACAGAATTGGCAGAGAATCAACTTCCCGGGGCAGACTGTGGTGCGGTGCTGTGCAAGGGCCGGAAGTCCTTCCAGGTCTAGAAAACAGTCTACACACTGGTGTGTTTGGTGAAATATTGCGTCATGCTTTTCCTTGCTTGGAGCATCATTGCCATGAGCGGTGTCGTGAGAACAATGCCAGTGGTTTTGCCACTCTTCAGATTTCTTCTGGAAGACGTTATGGCACTGCGGGCAGAATGTGTTATTGCGCAGGCAGAAATTTTCGTGCAGAATCAATGTTCGTTCCGGGACCCATTGCTGGCAGTTCTTGCATTGTACATCTCCAGGCTCGTGAGAGTCTTCCGTATCTTCCGTGTGCTTGGGGTCATTCAAAGGATTCGCAGTGATTCGCAAGTGATAAAGTGACGGAGACGGCTGAGAGGGTTCACTGGGTGCAGGATAAGAGGAAACCGATATGTACAGGGCTTCGGCGCCTTCCAAGGCCACATTAGTCGGCCGAAGCTCGAACTTCTTTGGTGACTGGCTTGAAAAGTCCCCCCATACATGCATGTCTGCCCTTGGGCGACTTTGTTGGCGAGGAGTTAGCGGACTAGCAACAAGAATGGCATCCGGGTCGTCCGTAATGAGCTCAATCTGAATGGTATCCTCACGGTTCCATTCCCGAAGATCATAATCCACATAATCTCCGGGTAACACCTGGGCAGTAACGTTCTCTCCGAGGCTGAGAGTACCACCAATTGAGGTACCACTACTTGTGCCCGGCGCACGTGAAGCCTTTTCCAGTCTCTTCTGTAGCGTTTCCCGAGCTTGTTCCTCTGACAGCGCCACAATATCGACTTCCAGATCCGTGTCTACCACACATATCCCTTCACCCTCAGGGAAGACCTTGTCGACCAAAAATCTGAAAGATTCGTTCCGGGTGCCTGGCACCGACAGAAGTTCGCCCGTAGTGAGAGTCGTGAAGTTGTCCCTCAGGTATCGTTCCAGTAGAGCTTTCCAATCTTCCGGGTCATATCCAGCTTCTAGCGGGCGGAGACGAACATATGTGCCTTTTGGTAATTGCTTTGCATGCACTGTGACTGCGGGACCAGTCCGGACAGACTGCGCTTCGGCTTCCGGGGATGTGAGGTCTTGGGTGTCGCCATTTGTGACCGAAAACTCGTCGTCTTTGATGTCTAGCGATTCTTTGAGCAAAGCGCTTAGCGCGACTTCATTCTCATCGGCGGAGAACTCTCGGATGCCGGCGTAGATGAACCGACCATTCTGGGGATTGACAATGCGGAAGGTCAACGGGTGGGGTAGTTGCTGTTGACGCTGTTCGATCTCTTGTCGGGCTCGCGATTCGGCGGCGAAGGTATGTGGGTTGAATGGGTCAAATGACGAAGTATGTACACGAGAATTTCCAGCGGGGACAGCTTGAAGCGGAGCGGCAGCTAGCAGTTGTTCGAGTGCAGATTGCGGTAGAGTGATCTTGTCGCCAAAAAGACGGGGAGCTCGTTCTGGCGACGCGACCAGAAGCTGGGATGACCAAATCAATTCGGCCATGATGGATATGCACGAGAGAGAGATTGCATCGTCATTTCACATTTGATATTCAAGAGTGGCGGATAGGGTGAGGAATAGTGACGAATTTGGAAATAAATTCAGTTTATTATGTTGACCGCCTTTCTCTCCGCCCCCAAAGTATAGCTCTATGCTCTTCTCTCCGCTTCTTCTCTCTTTCTATACTACTCTTTACTGTTCTTGATTATATAGCACCTCGTTTCTTTCTAAATAAAATATGACTATGTTCAATGACTCACAACACATGATCATAAGATTGTGCCGGATAAAAGCAGGTTTTCTATGATAAAATTGGCCGCTATTGAGCACTGCATGCTGAGATAAGATAAGAGATTCTGGAAGCCTCCACGCTATTGAAAATCAACTTCCCCCCGGCCTACCTTTGTACCCGTCGATATTAGGTAACTAGTCGGTGCCTATGGTACAATTTCCCTCAAATCACATTGGATCAAAAGTTACCACGCATTCGACCACGAGAACTGGTATTGCACCAATCACACTAGACATGTTAGTATAGATTAAGTCATGGGATTAGGGCAGCCTTCACGTACCAGTGTTTTCGAGCATCCCTCATTGTGTTGAATGCAATAATCACCCTGACACCCTTGACAGGTGTGTTGGCAGTCCATCTTACAGGAAGCACACTGCTATTATAAGCCATGGAAACGAGACATAATAATAGCCGGGTCTTATACTCACAGTTGGGCCACATTCCCAGCAATCCTTGCTTACACCTCGTTCTAATCTCTATATAGTAAATCATTAGTGACATGCATGGCTAATCGTAACTAGGATCCCACATACCTCACGTTCTTGTAATTCAGCGGCGTTGGCATGAGCCGTCTGGTGTGGGGACAAGCTCACCCGGACATGCTGCGGGTTGGGCAGACATTTCCCACAGAACCACTTATTGCATCGATGGCACCATCGATTAGTGAGGCAGTCCGCACAGCGAGCAATGAGAACTGGGTGCTCGCCTGGAATTAACTCGGGCCGTTTTGCCGTGGCCACGCTAGATGAATGTAATGGTGGGGGGCTTAGCATCGGGAATTGAACATCCGGGGATTGACCCCAGATAGCCGGGCCTTCGGGGGAACTGTGGCACCCATCGCATCCGCGGGGTCCGAGAGCTACAGTGGCAACTGCGGGTCCAAGCAGTGGTGCCGCTGGGGTATCCTCCTCGTGGGTCGAGGTGTAGTGGTCCGGGTTGTGTCTCGGGCCACGACACAAGGTAGCATCGAAGGCAATGATACCCTCACATCTTTGGAGTACTTGGGCCCAACCCTCTTCGAGACTGTGCTTGAATAGTTTCCCTGATGGTCTGTACCACTCATTTTGCTGTTTCTCTGGCGAGATTGCTCCCTCAGACGGGGTCTGGCTGGGACTTCGGGAAGTTCCCACGCGGGTCGACCACCAATCTCGGTATTTGGGACGTGCCACTACTGGGGGAGCCTCATGCATGGGAGAAAAATGATAGATGCCCTTCACTCGCGGTGTGCCTGCGGGGCGAGTAGGTCGAACAGAATGCTGAATGACCTGCATAAGCTTGCGTTCGTTCAGATTGCGACACTCGCGAATGGATAAGATGTTCACGTTGAAGCGGTCCGTCAAGATTATATCGGCCACCAGATCCGCCGGCACTGACAACCCGTCCAGGATGAGAGTGCGCACATCATGTAGGATGTGTCTACGCTCCAAGCTCTTGAAGATGTGCTTTAATGGGGCGGCATAAACCTCATCTTCTGTTTGAGTATCATTCTCTTGTTGTGAAATTGGGGTAAGCTCAGTACCTCGGCATCGAGACAGGTCGAGATGACGAAAAACATATGGAGTTTGGGTGATGACGGTGTGTAGACGACGGGAGGTTGAACCCAAAGCCATCAAGGAAGGCACAGACAGATACGGAGCTATCTGGTCCAGAACCAAGCTATTGCTCAAAACATCCTCCAATGATGTTCGGTTCGGTACGGATGCATGTTGGGGCTTTGATACTACCCTTTCGGTAGGAAGTTCGCGCACGACCGGTTCTAGACCCAACTCCTTCCGAGTCAAACGACGAGACCCGTAAAAATCGGGGGCCCGGCCGATCAGATCTTGCCTGTAGGCGGTCATGGCACCTACAGCAACTTCATCGCCTCGGAAGCCGAATGGTGAAGCATTAGGTTGAATCTCTTGAAGGGCGGCACGAGCCTTGACCAACTCACTCTCCAACAGGTGGATGGTGGATTGTAAGACGGCAGGCATGGCTTGGGTTCTCTTAGGATCAATGGCATAGGCTATAGAAGACCAAAGGTCTGACATAGTACTATAGTATATAGTATTGAATCACGGGGGGGATAGAGAAGAAGTTTAAACCGAAAAAGAAAAAGGTGGGGGGCCTCAGATAGTTTAAATCATCTTCATCCACTGGAGTTATGTACGGGTAATAACAATAAGTTGTCAGGGTTGTCAGATCAGATCATCGAATGTGGAGACGGAAGACGAGATCCGTATGGGGGTGGGAATGGGGGAATCACGATATTCAATTGGAGGATATTTGTATATTATGGTACAATAAATATATGTAAAAAGAAAGATAACCCTTGTATACAAAGAAAATCCCAAAATGGATTGTCGGTCAACGGAATCCCCTAATGTAGTAGGTCCGTGATCTATTCAGAGTACTACAGGTGTACATACTGCATAGTTGAATAAGACTATATGTACTTTCTTGTTAGACCCAACATTCCTTTATCACTCTTTCTGCTTCTGACTATCATTAGACTCTTATTTTCTAGAAGATGTCATCTTGGCAGTTCTTGGCCTGCAAGGGAGATTATAGGAGACTACAGCCATCGATCTACCAGAAAATGAAGTGTTGGATACTTCCCCAAAGTATGGGATGATCATAAGTGGATCCGGTACCTAAGACCAGGGGCTCAGGTACCCCCATATTATGATTTCCATTTTGACGCTACTGCACTATTATCAAACGTTGGGAAATGATCCGCTGGTCACGCGCAAACTCGCGTCAGGAGTGAAGTGGCCAATTCGTTTTTATTGGAATCAATTATATTACCCGATCCTACAGGATTATCTGTCTATCGCTATATACTTGACACAGCCCTGGAGCTTGCACAACTCTTATCTTTTTCCACTTTCTATATATACCCCTTATGCATTCTCACTACACTACTATTAAGAGTACTATGTACACTGCCAAGACAATGAAAGGCATGATCCACGGACACTGATTTCCGCGCCAAGCGAATACCAACGATTTGAGACCTATGTGATCTACACGGTCCGCAGCATCATGCCAAGCCTCCAGGCCTGCACTCGATACTTACTTCTTCTTATAACTAGGTTGTACTATAGGGGCTATAGGGGGTGCCTAGATTTGCCAAGCCAGATGAAGATTCCCGCTCCTTTTTTTTATTCGAACATTAATATTAAAAAAAGAAAAGAGGTTGGACTCGAATTACATCGATAAACCTCATTCTTGGGTCGCCTTGCACGATACTTCGTATACGAGAGACAAAATCACTGACTACCAACAACTATGCAATCATTCATGTACGTGGGACGTGGAATGTATGCAACAAATCGGCCGAAGACTCGCCAAGACAGCGAGTTGCACCTCTTACAATCAATCAACTAGTTATCATCCGAATGGATTCGGATCCAGACACGTCGTCACACAATTATGCAATTCGCTTTGGGATAGATCACGGTAGAATTAGAACTAGTGATACAATGTCGATCTTGCCAAGGCTTCCGAGGCTCTACTTCCACAGTTTCGACACGGCCACCTCCTTGTCATCGTGCTTGTTCAGGATCTTGGCGGTGGCCAGGTCAAAGTCCTCCTGTGTGACGTGCACCCGACGCTCACGGAGGGCGTACATACCGGCCTCCGTGCAGACACCCTTCAGTTCGGCTCCCGAACACCCATTCATCTTCTCGGCAATCTTGGTCAGGTTGATTCCACGGGTCAGGTTCATTGAACGAGAGTGAATCCGCAAGATATCCGCACGGGCTTCAATTCTACAAAGCGGAAAGTAAAACAGTTAGCATCTTGATCAATGTCTCGCTCAATCCCCTCCAAATAAAAAAAATAGAGAAGATTAGATGAAAACTCACGATGGAGGAGGGAATTCAATCTTTCGGTCAATACGCCCAGGTCGGAGCAAGGCCGGGTCGAGAATATCCAGTCGGTTCGTCGCCATGACGATCTTAATGTTCTTGGTGGGCTCGAAACCGTCCAACTGATTCAGCAACTCCAGCATGGTACGTTGTACCTCGGAATCACCACCACCTGCTGAATCTATCCGGCTCGAACCAATGCTATCAATTTCATCCATGAAGATGATACTGGGTGCATGCTCTCGGGCCATGACGAACAGCTCACGCACCATGCGACTACCTTCACCAATGTACTTTTGCACCAGCTCGGAACCGCTGACTCTGATGAATCGACAGTCAGTGTGGTGGGCAGCCGCTCGAGCGAGCAAGGTCTTTCCAGTTCCAGGTGGGCCGTAGAGCAGGACACCTTTCGGTTGTGCAATACCCAGAGATTCGAACAGCTCGGGGTGCTTGAGACCGAGCTCGATCACTTCCTTGATTTCCTTGATCTGCTGGTCCAGGCCACCAATCATGTCGTAAGTGCTGTCGGGGACCTTCTCGACCATCATCAGCGAAACCAGCGGATCGACGGAGGAAGGCAGCATCTTCTCCAGCTTGTAAGAGTCGGACAGGAGAGCAACTCGTTTGCCCACGGTGAGCTTGCTAATATCGACACCATCGGAGATATCCACGACTGCCAAGTAAACCGTATCGTTAGCATATAATGTCCCACAAAATCAAAGGTCATCAAAGGGGACCTACCGTATTTTCCTTCTGGGTGTACTTTCACTAGGATCTTTTTGGTGCTCATCACCTTCACAACCTCACCCACGTAGGAACCGGGCTGTTGAAGCAAACCAAGCTCTTCGCGCAGTAGACGCACTCTCGAGTTGTAGTCATTGCGCTGCGCTTCTAATCTTCGTAGAACTGCTTGGCCCTGAATAATCTCGAGCTTCATGCCCTCGATCTTATTGCGATAGTAGTTGTCCAGAGCCATGATGGCGATTGGGAGTGATGACGATATGGAGACTCAAGGGCTGACTGTTTCCCACAGAACACAGATGCAGCAAAGAAAAGGGTGTTATCTTTCAGCCCAAAAACGTGATATAGTGAAAGATTGTGAGGATGATGTGGCTCGGAACCGAAGACAAAGGAGTTGAAGCTTGAGGTTTAGAGCTGAACAATGCCGTATGTGAAGCTCACAGTGCCCACTGGGCGCCAGTCAATGATTACTAAGATGCGATGTTTTGAAGCCTGCAAATTCAGGCTCAAATTAGGCAAACAGAACATATGTAGCAAATGGTGCAAACAAATATAATGGAACCATGGAAGAGAGCTCCCCATGAAATGAGTCATCAATAGATTTGATTGGTCAAGCAGCTGCCCGATGACTTGATCATCTGCAATAAGGAAAGTACTTTGTGCCCGGCAGAAGGCAACGGTCAAAGAGCTACTCCGTACATTTCTCACTAACCACGAGTTTTGTTCTACCTAGAATCTGCAATGTCTTTTATGCAGCTCCGCTAATAAAATTTTCATTGAATCTTTTTGACCGGTTTTTTTTTACGATTTTGCGTTTTACTTAGATCTATCTGGATAATGTCTTGGGGAACTTGGGTCTTATCGCTTTGATCCTTCTTTTTTTCCTCCATTTTTGGGCAACAAAGAAAACCAAGGTGAGGGGAAATTCGACAATCGTGCTTCTATCTTCCTCCCCCTCTCCATCAGTTCTTGTTCATCGCGTGTTTATTGAATCAATACCATGGCGGGTGATAAAAGAAACCCTGACTCCCGCGAGTCAGCACAGCCATCTGCGGCGGCGGGAAATGAAACTCCGACCTCTGAGATAGCATCTCCAATGAGATCCTCTGTACCAGGGCGGAGAACATACGGTAAGTGTGGCTTTTGTGTAACATACGAGAAAGACAGCATGAGGCTGAGACGAATTGCAGGTACACTCGAGACCTCTTCCTTCGAGGCAACCTATCCTGAATCGCGTGATAATGGCCAAGAAGAATCTTCAAGTCGCGCATTCACAACCCAATCGTCCGCATCCCCCGATAAACCACGGAAACCTTCGTTGTCGCGCCGCATGACTTCTTCCAAGCGTCCCGCGAAGGGACGAGATTTCTCGACGGATGACGCTGCCAATGAGGTCAAACAATATATGAATATGAAGCAATCGGGCGGCACGTCTCCGAGAATGCGTCCGCTGAGAAGACAAAGTTCAACGCTGAAACGCCGTCCTAGTACTCGACCCAGCCCCTTGGCGAGGGCTGATTCGGAGGGCTACAACAACCCAGACGAGACGGGCCTACCTGACCCTAGTCTGGACTTCGACACCGACGCCGACACCATGCAACGCTATGAGAACAGCGGGGATGACAGCGAAGAGGACGAAATTGATTCGGAGGAAGATGGTGCTGTAAGTGATGCCGAGAGCTACACGCTTAAAGCGCGCCAGCAAGCTATCAACCGCACGCATCCATTTGGTATCAGGATCTGGAAGCCTGCGCTGTATAAGAAAAGTCGTTCTGTGGAGAAGACCGCCGAGGGTGACATTCACTCATCCCCGGGTGGTTATGTCAGCCCCATGCTATTCCTAACCAACCTCATTTGGTCTTTGTTCTTTGGGTGGTGGCTTGCGCTTGTTTCTCTGACAGCTGCCATGGCATGCTTTTTCTTTGCCTACTCGTCCAGTGCTGTGGCATATGGAAGAGTATTTGCGGGGCTTTCGAGATATCTGTTCTATCCGTTCGGCTCATTCGTTCTTCTACAAACGGATGAAATTTATGCCGAAGAAGACGAAGGCGAGGGCCGCAGTATTAGTGAATACGAACAATGGCAGAGTGGTGATCTGGAACATGGTCGTCTATTCTTCGGACCTCGCAGGGACCGATCACTAGTTGGCAGAAGAAGGAACAGCGTTGATTCAGCTGGTGAGCAAGACAGCTTACTCGGGCGGCCCCAACGTGGACAGCGCGAAGACTCTGGACTCAATCACTCCAAACGTCGTCTTTTCGGACGTGGCGAATGGACATTGGGCCGGGTTGTATTCTTCGTGTTTTTCTACTTTTTGGTCGGACCTCTCATGCTTATGGTGTCGCTCATTTGCTGGCTCTTGGTTTTCTGGATCCCCATGGGCCGTGTCACAATTACGCTTGTGAGCCATCTACGTAGACATCCTCTGGCATTGTCCTTTCATTCCGATTCTACATATGCCAGGTCAAGCACCGCTGGATCTCCATCGTCCATTCTTCTTTGCACCTACCGAGCTGCGGGAACAAGGTACTGGAAGTATACAGTCGACGGCACGAACATTTTCCTGATCAACCTCCTTGGGGTGGTTATATTTGTGATTGCTGACTACTTTATTTTGGCCGGAATGCTGGGGATGAAAAACTGGCTTACCCATCCAGGGTTGATCTTCACGCTCGCTTTGCTGTCCATCATCCCTCTGGCTTATTTCATTGGACAAGCCGTTGCCTCGATCTCAGCTCAGTCCTCAATGGGCTTGGGTGCTGCCATTAACGCATTCTTCTCGACAATCGTTGAGGTATACCTCTATTGTGTAGCTTTGACCGAGGGCAAATCTCAGCTTGTCGAGGGAAGTATTATCGGCAGTATATTTGTCGGTATCTTGTTTCTCCCCGGTTTGTCCATGTGCTTCGGTGCTTTCGCGCGCAAGACCCAACGGTTCAATGTGAGATCAGCTGGTGTGACATCTACAATGCTACTGTTCGCGGTGGTTGCTGCTTTCGGCCCCACACTCTTCTATCAAGTTTATGGCAGCGTAAGTTCTATCCTCGGCTTTTATCTCAAACGATTATTGACTGACTGTTGCACAGCATGAACTAAATTGTCATTCTTGTGTGGATTCCCTCGACCCGGAAAGCCGAGACTGTCGTCGCTGTTATTTCTCGCAAACGGCGGCTGTCAATGACACATTCTTCCAAAAGGCGGTGCAGCCTTATGCGTGGATTGCCGCATTTTGCTTGTTCTTAGCGTACGCCATTGGCCTATGGTTCACTTTGAGGACCCATGCGGCCCTCATCTGGGCATCAGAGGTGGAGGATAAGAAGCATGCTCAGTCCCACGCTCAAGGTCTTCAAGATTCGTTCACTTTCGAACCAAATGAATCAGGACACCTTCTGTTCCCAAATGGCCAACCAGAAGCCTCCGGTGCGGCTCCTGGATCCAAAGACTCGATCCGCGAATCTCAGCTGTATAAACGAATCTTGGGCCAATCGTTGAAACAGATTGGCTTGGATGACAGTCGCCCGTCTGATCAGGTTGCAGGCGACAACACCACCGAGTCCACAAACAATACCCCATATCTGGTGCCACCCCGTTCTAGCGGCGAAGACGGTTGCCCTGTGCCCAAGGCTCTCCGTGGTCTCAACAATGAAGACAACGAACGCCTAATGCGCCAGTTCACCGAAGTTGCGGCTACTGCTGCTGCTGTAGCTGCTCGGGATGCAACTCGCAGCCGCAAGCCTACCCAGCACCACCAACACCAGTCTGCTAGTCGTCAGGCCAGCCGTCCTGCTGCTGACCATTCGCGGGTTCTTGGTGAGGAAGTGGAGGATCTTGGCATTGCTCCAGCGCCCTCTTCTGGAGGACATGACGCACCTAATTGGAGCAAGAGCAAGAGTTCTATCGTACTTCTTGGGGCAACCCTTCTCTACGCAGTGATTGCTGAGATCCTTGTCAACACTGTCGATGTTGTGTTGGAGAGTGTGGATATTGATGAGAAATTCCTTGGAATCACCCTTTTCGCCTTGGTTCCGAACACCACTGAATTTCTGGTACGTTGACCTCAAACGCCTTATGAGCCCATCCGTTGGCCATTGCTAACTTTTCACGCAGAATGCCATCTCTTTTGCGATGCATGGTAACATCGCCTTGTCCATGGAAATCGGATCTGCCTACGCATTGCAGGTTTGTTTGCTACAAGTGCCCGCTGTAGTTCTCTTCAGTGCGCTCTACGGTCGTGGGCTGGATCCAGCTGAACTTGTCAGCCACTCATTCAAGTAAGATCAGCGTTACCATCCTCCCTTAAGACTCAACCAAAGTGCCATGACTAACGCGATATGTCCAACAGCTTGATATTCCCTCAATGGGACATGATTACCGTTATTCTTTGTGTATTCCTATTGTCTTATGTATACGGCGAAGGAAAGAGTAATTATTTCAAGGGATCCATCCTTGTTCTTTGCTACTTCGTCGTCATTCTCGGCTTCTATATGTCGGGCTACGTTAATATGGACAGTATGGGCGTGGATCGCTTTGATACCCTGGCTGTTGGCAGTACAAGCCGTACTGAAAAATTCTACACTATTGGTCGAACAAGAGGAGGAGAAGCTTACTGAGGTGCGCATGTTCATGGCCTTTGGACCGAATACTTATTCTCTCAATGTTGTTGCATAGCGAACCTTGTTTTTCGGATCTTTATGTACTTGTGTTTATAAGGATATGATGTTTCTTTATGATACTTGCTCTAATGACCCAAGCTCTGCTCACTGGGCTACATATCATTTTGCATGCTTTAATTTTGAGACTACTCTGAACAAATTTTCAACTGCCTTCCGTTTTGTTCGTACTTGATATTCTGCGGTAATGACCGATTCCTGTTATACCCTCACAATCCGTAAATTGTGTCCAATATGACACATGTCCAACTCTTTTTGGCATTTTGAAGGGGTTTGAAAAAGGTCGGTTCAATGATCAGATGAAATTAAGTGGATTTCCAGGTCCCAACAGCTTCATCCACCATACTCCGATACTTTTGCTGCTTGAAGCACTGTTCCAAGAAGACTTCATACTTGACCTTGAGCAAAGCTTTCTCGTTCGCATCCTTTGTTGGCAACACCTTTTTGCCAGGCTTGCTCATCCGGTCCATGATATCCCACAGGTCTTCGGTCTTACCCTGGGAATCAGCACTGGCGGCCTTTGCGCCTAACATAGCAGCACCGTGGCATACTGCAGCGTGAATGTACCGAGGGATCAAGACGGGCATATCACAGGCTGACGCAACGAGGTTGACCAGGATATCATTCTGGCATTGCGAGCCCGACATAAACACCGAGGTGATGCGGTGGCCTGATTTGTTCATCGTTTCCACGATCTGCTTTGTTTGCAGTGCAATGAATTCGAGAGTTGCGTAGTAGTAAATGGCGAGACCATCTACTGTTTTGTCGCTGGTCAGACCGAAGATTGATCCGGTCATGTTTGGATCTGCGATGGGAGATCGATTTCCCCACAGGTCGCCGTAGAAGAAGAAGTGACGTCCCAGGTAGGACACAGATGGCGCTCCTTGATCATGAGCCATCTCTTTGAGGTGCTCGTTCAGGTATTCGTAGATGTTGGCATGGTATGACTCGGCGATTGAATGGGCTTGGTTGAACGCCGGATGGGTCTCAATAACATGCTTAAGTAGCTCGCCTGTGGCGGACTGTCCACCTTCTGCCATCCAGTATCCGGGTAGGATAGTGTCCCGGTACGGGCCCCAGACACCATCAACGAAAACGGGGTCCGGCGACATGGCGAGATGACATGTCGAAGTTCCTGCTACAGCTGCCAGGCGAGAGAAGGCCTCTGACCTATCGAGCTTGGGAACATCTGCACTAGACTGACCAGAGCCCAGATCAACCTTGGATCCAACGGTTCCAATCCATCCAGCGTATGCATCGATCACACCACTACCAATCGCAATACCCGCCGGTAGACCAAGCTCTGAGGCGGCCTTCTCGCAAAGAGTACCCACCAATTCACCGGCACTCAAGTAATCCCCGTTCTGTTTCATCGTATGTTAGCGGGATATGCTGCTTTCCATCTAAGGACAGGCTCACCACCCCGTTGACTCCACCCATGCGCTTGAAATTGTCCTCGGTCAAATCACCCAGACCAATATCCTGCAAGAAATCCTCTTGCCATCCTTTAACGCTTCCATCAACCCCAACGGGCACATATCCTTGCTTGCAGACTACGCTGCAGAAGCTTCGCTTGTCGTTTCCTGTGGCAATGTGCGTCAGAGCATCACTTAGGTCGTAGAACTTACACTTCTCAAAGAGCTCCTTTGGCATATTGTTCTTTAGCCAAAGGACTTTGGGGATCTCCATTTCGATAGACATTTTTCCACCAACGTAGCGGAGCAGATTGTGGTTTGTAGCATTGATCTTTGCAGCTTCCTCGACGGGACGATGATCTAGCCACAAGATCACGTTGCGGTCCGAGTCGAAGTTCGGGCCCGTCACCGAGATCGGCTCGTCGGTCTCGTTTGAGAAGACAGACAAGGAGCATGTAGCATCAAACCCGATACCTCGCACTGTGTCAGGGTGAATGTTGTGTTGGCTGATGGCACGCTGCACGGCAACACAAATACAGTGCCATATATCAGATGTAGATTGTTCCTAAGAGGTCCATCAGTAAAATTGATGTTAAAAAAGAATTGTTAGTCGGATACAAGTTACTACTTATGGGTTGAAGTAGTAACAGGTCACTGACATAATAGCCATGCTCGGGTTGCCAGAGACCAATGTTCTCAGAAGCCAATCCCACAATGTCACCCTTTGCATCGATGATACAGGCACGAGCACTTCCAGTTCCAACGTCAATGCCGATGTAGTGATCAATGTGGACTAATAAATCTTCCCGGGGATCACTAGATGCTTTCCGGGAGCTTTGGAGGGAGGCCCGACGATAGGGCAGCGAGGTCATTTTGGAGGCTCTTTACTTTTCCAGCTGTAGAGCTATTTGTTTTTTATGCTAGCTTATGTGGATTAGAGGGAATGGATCAAATTTTTAGCTTGGGTACTTACCAGTTTTATCAGAATCTGCAGAATGGGTGAATTGAAACAGAAGAAAAGTACCTCTATTGTAGGTAGTAGGTTACAGGTTGATGTTCTTTTGGCGGGGAAAGGTACAATGACATCGGTTTGCCCCAGAATCCTGACCGGTCTTTTGAGGAGGTACTTTAAAAATACTCAATAAATACATATATACGTATATGTATTTGGCTATTTTATCACAATTTACAAGGGTGAATATTGTACCTTGTCTGTACTATCTGTGTAATATCCATATAATCAAGATGTATACGTAGATACATATATGTACACAGGTATGTCTCATTCTAATTGGACATTATCTTATACTTGATAAATCCTGGAAAATGACGAATTCAACATTATACTAGATATATAACTAATACATATAATGTATATATATATATATACATACATAGCCTAATATATAGTTAGTCAGTACATATGTTTGTATGAAAAAGCAACAGTAAGCAAATCGTGGGGTCGACGCTCGGGTCAAGCTCGGGCCCGACTTTCATCTTCTCTTCGCGAACTTGAAATCGCTTTACAACTAACTGACTACATTGGACGAGATGTCAAACTTCTCGACCATGCGGCTCCTGTCCCTCATCTTCGCCCTATCGCTACTCTTATCAGCCAATGCCTTCTCAACCGATATCCTTTACTGGCCCGTGGGGTCCTCACAGCCCTCCGTCCTTGCGCGCGTCTCCTATGACCCGACATCATTGAAATCGGACGTGGTCTCGTATCACCCTCCAAAGGACCAGACAGACGGTCTGGTGCGTGTCGGTCTTTACACGTCAACCCAAACAAATAATAAGCAATGGGTCGGAAGTCTTGTGTCGTTGGCCTCTTTGATTGGCAACGAGCAGCCAACATTTCGCCTCCACCTCGGTCCCGCCAACGATGTCTACCACGTCTCCCTCTCTGCCCCCTCTATCGCGCAACAATCAACATCTAGCCCTCGGGTCGAAATTGTATCCAATGAAGTAGGGACACAACCTCACCTAAACCGCCCCGTGATTGTTGGCCCCGATGGCCAAAACCCGGAACAACCTGAAGAGAAGAGCCTTTTGCAGAAGTAAGTTGGGGATAGCACTTCCAATATTTGTCCTTTTGTTTCCCCGTGTTAATCGGTTGGGTTATAGGTACTGGTGGGTTCTTCTCATCGTCACGTTCATCAGCATGTCCGGCGGTGGTGGAGAAGGGTAGTCAACTATCTCGATCGACTTGTCACAATACCTATATCGAAATAATTACTTGGGTGAAATTATACCCGGTCTATGACACACCTGTTTCGGTGCGTAACATTTGATGGATGGATGCTAAGTTCCAAGGGGGAAACACATGCCCAGGTCACTCTGAGTCTGCTTTTACAAAGCACCTTTTTGATGCAGCTCTATCCCTTGAGATAAATCCGGTAGATAAATCTCCGGTTATTTCCTATCAATGGTGTAGAAACATAGGTGAATACATTTGCACATATATATAACTATGTAGCTGGGACTAAAGCTTAGCTACGTACATTCCTCTCTCTCTTTTCCCTTTTTGCATATATAATATGTTATGACTTGTCTATATATAGCTGTGCTCTGTTTACTTATTCCATAGATATCAAATAGTTGTACATATGTAGTAATGTATAGTGATCATGTTTACGTTAAGGCGGAGAACAAGTTCATTGGAATCTTCAACTTCCCAAAACATACTCTACACACTATAAATTACACAATGGACAAACATAAAGATCATGAAAGCGAATGAGTGATATTTTCACATCATCACCTCTGTTCCTCTCTCACCTCCCACTTTGCCTGACTTTCCCTGTCTTGTCAGTTTCTGCCTAGAGACGTTGTTACCTAGAATCAGGCAACAAAATGTCCGTGCTCCATGAATGAACTGCTATAAAATCTAAACTGACCTTGACAGACCCCGCAAGAGCTGTGAAAAGAAATGAACAATGCTTCTTCGATTGCCAACAGAGCTGATTCAACTCATTTTACTGCACTGCGAAACACCTGATTTTTTCCAGGCAGCTCGAACAAATCGCAGGCTATATGATATTGCACGCAGCAGCCGAGAGGTCATACTTCATCAGTTGAATCATACCCCCGGCTTCATCAATGGACTTGAATTCTTTCCCACCACCCAGCTATACGTCACTCTGAGAACTCGCTCCAACGCACAATTGTATGGAGCAGAATCCAGTGCAGACTTCACAACCCACAGGTTTTCAAACCAAGTGGTCAATAGTCTAGCATCTGTATTTGAAAGACCAAGAGAGAGCAATCGGGCATTGCTTGCTTTCAAAAATCACAGCACGGTCTATCTGGTGAAAGTCGAAAATGGGACATTGTCTCAGGAAGCCAGCTGGAAATCTCCAGGTCAGGACATCGGAGAGGTCGAGGTCATGCATACTGCATTCAATGGAGAGCATGGAATATATGTGTTACATCGGTTCAAGCCCTTCTCAGACCAGAACATTGATATCAATCACCCATTTGTCAAACATGCCCAACAGTCTCACCCAAACGGGAGTGTTTTCTTGGCCTACCATGACTTGAACTCCGATAAGACTGTTCGCATGTGTGCCTTCCCCGAACATGATGGCTATAGACCTCTAGCTCTGTCTGTGTCTGGCAGCCAGTTTGCAATCTCCTGGCAAAACACACAAGACATATCTGATCACACCGTCGTTCTGTACCAGTTGCTCGACAGTGAAGATGAAAATGAAGACAGCGATTCTATGGATGAAGATGCCGAAGAAAAGAAGACGCAATCTTGCAAAATAACTCGTTCGTTGGATTAATTGGCCATATAATCAATTGTTTGCTGACAGGTTTAGATGCTCCTTATCGATGTTACACCCTTATGAGCCCAGGCGACCAGTCAAGCCTAAGAACCCCTGCAGTGAAGTTGACATTCAACGACCGAGGCTTCCAGTTACTGTATCACTGCCGGGCTCAAACACTATATGGAAGCTTCCAGAGACTGCATAACATCCCTGCAAGAGGTGAAGTAAACGACCCGAGGCTGATTGCAAACAAATGCAATGTGCAATTCACGCCACATCTCACCCTCCAATTCTCCATTGACATCCCCTTCTTCGCTACTCATGATCGTGGGGGTGTTAACGAACCCTGCCATTGGCAATATCTCGCTTTCGGAACCGCGACGCATCGAGTCGAGAACTGGACAGTGGCGTGCCTCCTGAAGTCCGAAGCCTTCCCCAACAATCGATGCACCCACGTTATGAATCTCGAACGTGGAAGACGGTTTGAAAGTTGGCAGGTCATGGCACAACTCGGGGGATTCCAGGCATCGACAACCTCGCATGGTTCTCAAGTGGCTACATCACGTTTGGGACGTCGAATTGCCGTTGTCAATTGGAAAACCCTTTATGTCTGGGCACTGGAACCATCCGAAGTGATTGATGCCGAAAGCGAGTTTTATCCTTCATCTTGGGAATCTTCTACAGGTATTCTTGTGCTGCGGCCCGTGATCCTCCACCTAGGGGCCGTTTGCTCTCAACTGGCCTTCACCGAAAATGAAGATGAATTGATTGCGATCACTGATCGTGGAGTGATGTCCGTGAACCTCAAATCCAGTGGCTCAGGCAAACGGGAGGAGTTCAACGGGCATGAGATCATATTCGGTGAGAACAAGGACCACTGAACTGCGGCTTAAGTATCGTGTTACCATTATGAGGGAGTGTGAAGCCACGCACGAGGCTGCTTGCTAGAGATGAAACAAGCGTCTTGTGTATTCTCTTTTTCTGAAAAAAAAAAGAAGAAGAAGAAGAAGAAGGAGGAGGAGGAGGAGGAGGAGGAGGAGGAGGAGGAGGAGGAGGAGGAGGAGGAGGAGGAGGAGTTGACGATTGATCTCAAGCACGACCACCAGGAATCAAAATTCATGAAGACCAGCGTTTATTATCTTCCTATGCAAGGTTACGCAATATAATACCCAAAGAAATCAAGTCTGTTCCCATTTTCCCTACCATCTCAACACCAGAAAATGCAGAATCGCAAGCTGTACGACATAGTACACAGAGCAACAAAAAAGCCATTGCCCTGGGAATGAAGGGCAGAGAAGAGGGGTATCCCAATTTCATCATCATCATAAGCAACGAGAAAAAGAAAAAACAAGAAAAGAAAAGGAAGCGCTAGCTTTGTCTAATTCATCTGAGAAACAAGCCATTCGAGAACGCTCTCATAACAAAGTGCATATTGGCTGAGGTTCTGTACCATGCTCGGCCTCTGTTGGCGGAAATCTTCAACAGTCTTCGCAATTAGGTCAAGATTAAAATCCCCAACCCATTCGGAACTACTGGTGGGAATTTGATCTAGGCCTTTACCGCCGTTGCTTTGCGCACGTTGACGTTTGAGCATGTCCAATACACTGTCGACGGTGCAGAACGTCCCCGTACGCCCACAGCCTGCACTGCAATGCACTAGTATCGGCCGCTGGCCCTTGGGTTCCGCTTGTTCGCCGCTAAAGCTGGAGTTGCTGGTGGCACGGATAACCTTGTTGCATTGCTCGATCAGATGGAGCAAATGGGTGGGTTGAGATGTTGTTCCGAAATCGGGCCAGTAAGGATATTGGAGCTGGGTGATATCCCGGATCGGCTGGAAGGGGAATGACGTATGGCGAATGCTAAAGTGTCGCACAATAATGACGGGGTTTTCGTTCGTGCCGTCTGGCTTCTCGGTTGTTGTCTTGAGGCTACCCACATTCGGATCAATGGGTTGACCTTTGGATTCGATATAGATGTACTTTTCTGAATAGGCCTTGACCTCGAAAGGTCCATAGTCCCCGGTCTCCCAGTATCGATCACATTTAACTTGGCCCCGTTCCACCTCGGCGGTAAGAGAAACAAGAAGTCTTACATCTTGCTCCCATACCACGCGCCAGAAGTCCTGCGTGGATGTTAGCTATGTAATAGTAAAGACTGAAAAGATTAAGCACTCACATTAAACGTATCAGGAACAGGAGCCTGCGTGGCAATGTATTTCCGATTGGTGAGCTCAGCCGAGATGTGATTCGCGTTCACATAATCACAGGCTCCAGATGGAATTCCCTCAAGTCGAACACGGGAATGATCGAATGGGTAAATGTCATTATAACGATTCTTTGTGCCCTTTTCAATTCCTGCAACACGATACTTCTTGGCGCTTCCATCGACTTCAGCCGAGGGTCCTTCATAGGTCAAAGCCTGTTTCATGCGTTCTAGTTCCATCTTTTCCAACCTCAGGAACTTGTCAGAAACGATATGTCCCTTGTCGTTGGCATCGGAAGCACCCCGCAACCAGGAAGGAAGTTGCTGTCGCTTTGCGTCGGTCAATTGCTCAGGCTGCTTCAATGGAATTTGCCCAACTCCACCGAGAAGATCCATGTTCTGCCGGATATTTCCGAAGAATGGATTTACGGCAGAGGATGAATCCGGTAAAGCACAGCCACCAACAACAGGAGCAACAGATTGCAAATTGATTCCCATAGGAGAGGGACGTTTGGAAGAAAGCCCGGTCGTTTGTGTTGATGACTGCTCAATCAACTGTGGAAATTGCCGTGAAAATCCTTGAAATCCAGTTTGTAGAATCAAGCCGTCACCCTTCCAATCCTCCGCTTTAAATTTATTGAGCACGTTCACAAGAGTTGCTGCATCCTTGGCATCGGCAGCGGACGAGTCATAGACAATAATCACGTTGCAATCTCTCCACCGAGAGAAGTTTTGTTTGTCAGCGTCGTCTGTAAATGTGCCCTGTAATTTCTTGGTATCAAATGAGGGACGTTTGAGTAGAGTGGTCGGAATGCATAGGTTGAGTGAGCCTTTGATATTGGCTTGTTTGAAATGGGCAAATGGGCGAATATCAAAAAGCATGACGTTTGACTGGGATGCTTTAAGTAAGTCGGCGCAGCGTTCTGGCGAAACCCAGGGGACTGAGGCAAGAGTGGCTCCTTGAAGACAGTGTTAGTATCTCTATAGGAACATTACCAGAAAATGGGAAGGCATGGATTACCTGGTGTGGATATCGAATTCTTACCAGCTCCCAGCCTTTGTCCACCGGATATCCCCAAGGAAAAGCTGCCTAGCGGTTGCGTAGACGATGGCCTTGACCCCGGACTCGTTTGAGTCCCGTTGGAGGATTCATTAAGAGCTGATTCTCGGCGCATCCGGCTAGATTCAGGCTCAGTCTTCAACATGTTCACTAGCCCCGATGATACCAGTTCTTGAGGATGAAGGTGGGCTTTTGGACTATGCACAGATTGGGTGTGAGGCGACGTGCCCCAGTTCTTCTGTGTGGACAACCCTGGATTGGAAATTGGTTGATTGGTGTTATGTGTGGCCATGCCGAAGTAATTGGGAGTCGATCGATCCGTGAAAGCATTCGACATCATGCCTGTATGTGATGGTGAGATAGTTGACTGAAAGGACTGTGTGACACCATCACGATGACCCTGAGGACTCTGTACCCAAGGGGAGGAGGGTGAGCGTCCTGGGCCTGTCATGACAAGCGCTTGCACAGCTCCAAATCCTAGAATTATAATCAGTTTCAACTGTCAACTGTAAGTCAACATAAGTCAAGGATACTCACAAAATGGGTCCCCAAGAAATTCAAGTTTAACTAGTTTACATACAAGACAAGAAGAGAGGGCAGAGATGAGATTATGGGTAAAGAGGGGCAATTAGAAGCGAATAGACCAGGGTCTAGGCAAAAAATAGAATAGCTGGGCAGGTCCTATATGCGATTAATAATCGCAAGGGGAAAATGAAGAAATTTGGGTCTTCGAGAAAAAAAAGTTATGACGTTGTGTGGGGGATCACGGGGTTCACTCGGTTCTGACGTAGACTTAGTTTATAATATCTCTCTATAACTATACTATACTGTATGATACTATACATATAACCGGTATACACTATAAGATATATATATATGTATGTATACTATAGTACACACATAAAGTAATACCTAATAGACAAACACAGTGTAGACAACTCATCTCTCCGGTTCCCTGTTTGGAAATGACCAACAATTGCGGTCCCACTCATGCAGGTTCCACGTCAATATGACAATGTCACAATATGAGCTGTTTACTACAATAATTTTTTTATATTGTATTTTGCAGAGCACATATAATCTATCCATCTTAAGATATCTCGATCAGTCGTTGTATGTGAGATACCGTCAGCGGAAGTGGTGCTGGTGGGCTTGTATATACAGTTTATATAAACTGTCATACACAATTCAAGAGGTAAAAACTGTCTCTCTCATAGCATCAGTACAATGTACATGCATTCAATCAGATGCTCGAGGTAATGGAACAGCTATCCCCCGACCATTCCTCTTTGTCTCCATATTGAATCAGTTTCCACTGTTCAGGATGTCCTGGCGATGATCTCATAAAGGTGAGGTCATGGGAGAAAATATAAAAACGGGTTTTCGTCGTGAAGCATTCGGCAATGGAGTAGCATTAAAGGCGCCCATCTGGTTCGCCCTTAAACCGCGCTACCCGTTTCTGCTCCCATTGATCGAGGTCTTTAGCCATGAGCCTCTGTATACATACATGCATTATCAGTATTGATTCTAAACATTAAGTCGATTCAATGCCCCAAAGAAGAAAATCAGAAAAGCAATACATACGTAGTACTCTTCCTTTTCATCCCCTATGATATGCCTCCGAGGGTTGCGCTTGATTCCCTCTTCCCCATCGGGACCCTTAAGTCCGAGTTCAAAGACTTCATCTTGACTTAACTGTCTGACCTTGCGGTCATAGCGCTCATATCGTATGGCAGCAGCGGGTGTCAACGCAAAAGATCCAGCTACAATGACAGCAATGAATGGAAGTCCGAAGAGGACAAATGGGTGTCGAGCCAATCGCGCGCGATAGAATGCACCGAGTCGCTCACCGAGGGACGATGATTCTGTTGCTGCACGACGGAATGTTTTTGATTGAAAAGCAGGCATTTTGAAAGATGAATATCTTATGGATCTAAACCATTCGAGAACCAAAACGAATTGACAGGAGTGTATGAGAGAAACAATAGGAATTTGGTCGGTCAATAGATAATCCGGGATGCCGGGTTGAATTGTTTAGAATGGAGCTTCAAAGTGCCTCTTGGACTTTGTATTTTCAATCAACGAGCTGTCTACTTCAATCTGATAGCTCGGCCCCTCTAAAGCTCCGTCTTTAATAGCCGAAGCTCTAGGTGCGCGCCATTCAGTTTTCCAAGCAGTTTTCCAACGTTCTTGCCTGACCCGAATACTACACAGGTCGCTTCATCCAATTTTTATCGTTTGACATACCTTCCAAAAGTCATGGCCAACTCTCTCTTCGGAGGGGCCTCGACAACTCCCCAGTCAGGCAGTCTTTTTGGCGCGAACAATTCGACATCGAGTCCTTTCGGAGCCCAGGCGAAACCATCGACCCTCGGAGGACTTTCTGTGGCAGGTACACCGGGCACGCAAACATCAGGTTTGTTCGGCGGTCAACAGCCCCAGGCTCAGCAAGGTGCGCAGACTTCAACTCTCTTTGGAGGTCAACAGCCCCAGGCCCAGAAACAGGGTGCGCAAACTTCAAGTCTGTTTGGAGGACAACAAGCCCAGGCCCAGCAGCAGGGCGCGCAAACTTCATCTCTCTTCGGTGGCCAGCAAACCCAGGCCCAACAGCAGGGCGCGCAAAGTTCAAGTCTATTCGGAGGTCAATCACAAATCCAGCAACAGCCTCCGATCCTAGGGCAGACTCAACAGGCGGACAACACGCAGGCCCATGGACACAATGCAAGCCAATCGACACAACCAGCGTTCTTCAACAGTCTGTTGGAGCGTGGAAAAAAGCGGCCGTTGTCATCTATCAACCAAAACAACAACTTTGAAGAGGTGCCAAGTCTTCAGTTGGGCCTAGATGATATTCGGAGAAAGGCCAGGGAGCTAGGTTCCGGTGGGCAGAAAGATACCCCAAACGGCAAGGGCAGTAAAGCGTAAGATTCTCTAGCTTTCTTCGCATGTTCTAAGTGGTCATGGCTAACCGCAACATTACTTATCAACAGTCATTATCTACTTGCTGCGTCTGGAATCTCTCCGGGTCGAGCATTGCGCGATCTCAAGTCCCTGGATCCCCAGGCGTCCTTAGCAGCACCAGCAAAGGAACTGGATAACTTTGATCCTGACAATCAACGATTTTTACGGAGTATCCAACAGCGTGGTCGGCAAGTCATGATCGCCGAGAGCCTGACCAGAGCCCACCGAGACTTTGACGCGTTCTTGGAAGAGAAGGTTGACCTGGACTGGGAGGAGCAACGCCAAACAATTTTCCACCACTTCGGACTTTCCCAGAAGGATGCTACTGGTTCTGGGGGCTTGAATGCTACCAACAGAGGTGCTTTTGGTCGATCAACCAGACAGTCGAAGCAAGCTGGTGCTGGTACAGCCAATGGACCCTCGGGTGCATCCCGCCGAAGCGTGTTCGGGCGTTCTGGGCTCGAAAAGTCGGTGATTGGGACCCCTGGCATCGGTTTGGCCAGCCGCCAAATCTTTGAAGATCCGACAGAACGAAATGGCGAAGGAGCTGCATCCCACTCACCGGATCTCAGATTCCAACGCGAGAAGATGGGCCATTACGCTGAAAAGGTTCAGCGTTTGAACATCGCCAGGCTTCAAGGAAAATGCTATCCCGTCCTCGATGAGTTCTCATCTGTTGAAGTCCAAAACGGCGGTGATGTAGGTCAACACTCACATAATATTGAGTTCAAAGCTGATACTTTTCAGGTTCCTCGACAACTTTTCAGTGCGTACCAAGCCTTGATAGGAATTGTGCACGAAAGCCCCCGCATTCTCAGCCCCTCAGAGCCCGGGGCAATCAAAGAGCGACAGTATGCCGAAGATTATCTCGAAGAATCATCCAAATCTCGCAACGCAATCGATCTCAAGAAACAGATACTCGAAGGATCAAGGAGTTTCCTTGAAAAAACATTTTTCGACGAAGTGGAGTCTGCCATTGCCAAAAACCCCCGAGAGGCGCAGCTGGGAGGAATTCCGACCGTGATCAATAAGATTCGTGCTTACATTCGGCTTCAAGCTGCGAGAAAGGACCTAGCTCCAGACGGCACAGAGCTCCAGATGGTGAATCAGGATTATTGCTGGATTCTCATCTTCTATCTCCTTCGATGTGGCTTTGTTACCGAGGCAGCTGAATACGTGAGTCGGGACAGCGGATTCCGGTCTCTGGATCACAAGTTCGTGACGTACATGACAACCTATGCACAGAGCAGGCGACTGCCTCGGGACCTGCAGCAAAAGATCAATGGCGAATTCCAGCAACGTTCTCGGAACGCACCTGAAAACACTGTCGACCCTTACCGGATGGCATGTTACAAGATCATTGGTCGTTGTGATCTGTCACGTCGTCGCCTTGATGGCGTGAGGCAGACAGTGGAGGACTGGATGTGGCTACAATTCAGTCTCGCCAGAGAAGATGACCGCGCCGAAGAGGTTGCAAGTGACGTTTTTGGCCTCGAGGATATTCAGACTGACATCCAAGAAATTGGCCAAAGAGTCTTCGTCAAGGGCAACGAGGGGCCTGGTGGCTATGGAACTTATTTCCTGTTGCAGATTCTAGGAGGAATGTTTGAGCAGGCTGTGCATTATCTCGGCACCTATGCCCCGGTCACTGCTGTTCACTTCGCTATTGCTCTGTCATATTATGGTCTGCTCCGCGTGTCCGACTTTTACACGTCCGGTGAAGAAATTCGTAAGCAAATTCCCCTTATACGACAACGGAACTTTTGTCTTGTTTTCTGGTCTTTGCTAATATCCATCTCTTTTGCGATTCTTAGTATCCTTTACCGTCAAGCAGTACCCTCAGATCAACTTTGGCTACCTCTTGACCCAATACACTCGGGAGTTCCGCACTGGATTTGTCGAGGCCGCCATCGACTACTTCACGTTGATCTGCTTGAACGCTGATCTTCCAGGCGCCCTGGGCAAATCGCAGGCCTCCGTGTGCCACGAGGCCTTGCGCGAGTTCATCTTGGAAACCCGAGACTTCGCTAAATTGCTCGGCGATATCAGTGCCGATGGCACTCGCCTGAAGGGAGCCATCGAGCAGCGTCTTGATCTCATCAAGCTGGTAGACCAGGAAGAGTTCCTCAAGACTATTACGGTTCAAGCCGCTGCCGTTGCGGACGATAAGGGATTGATCGCCGATGCAGTGCTGCTCTACCATCTGGCTGAGAATTATGATCGGGTCATTGATATTATCAACCGTGCCTTGTCGGATGCTGTCGCCGTCGAACTGGGCGGTGCTTTACCTAGGTTGCAACCTCTGCGTCCAAGAGACGATGTTCACGTAGATGCGGCAGAGGGAAGCAGTCTTAGCTTGACTTCCGTGGATGACCCAGGCGTGCTCGCCAGGAACATGATTAGCCTTTACGACTCTAACGCAATGTACCATGGCAAGGTCCGACCGATCAACCGCGAAGCCTGCGGGCTGCTGCTGCGCATGATGGAAGCAAAGACCCAGGTTGAGGCCGGTAGATGGGCGCCAGCACTTGATGTGAGTAATCTCTGTTGTCTTTCCTCGTGGTTGAGATATACTAATCCATACAGACTATCAACGCTTTGGGTATACTCCCCTTGCGGGCCAATGGCTCCATGCCATTGATTCGAAGCTTGGCCCAAGCATTCTCGTCACAGCCCCCTATTATTTCACACAATGTGGGACATGTCATCATGTGGAGCATCACATGTATCGGCTTCGAACGCCAAAAGCGAACCTCTGGGATGTATGACAGTGAAGTCCGTCAAGGATTAGCAAATGATTTGCTTACCACAGCCAAAGACCTTATGGTTTTCTCGGGTATGGTCAAGTACAAGCTGCCTCCACGAGTTTATGAGATTCTGGCTCGCGCTGGGGCGGAGATCGGGGCATATTAAAGACTGGTGCTTTGCTTCGTTTTGATTTGGGGGATTTTGTTTCAATAATACATGAGCAAAAAGAGATCAATGATATGACATTGCCTAGGTACATTCAAGTACTTTAATATCCATCAGTAAATAGTAAAGAGCCATATATATACATTAGTTATGCAGTTTGTGCATGTATTCACATATGTAAGTAATGTGGTGAAGTTCGAAGTAGCTGACGCCCCACCCCAGGTTCATTTTCCCCGTTCTCTTTGAACTTCAACTTCTCAAATGGCCGACTCTATACAAATACCCTAGTCTATTCTGTTCTTGGTTCCCATAATGGACCATGCCTCCAACGCGTCCGTTTCAAGCTTAGGGTCTTCCGACAGCGAGGTTGGATCCCCGCACAATGGTGTTTCAAGTGTTTCAATGCAAGCGAACGACGCGTTAGTAATCGAATCGACACGCGATACAGATACGATGGACGAAGACCTCCGTAAAACTCCAACCCCGATCAACCTGTCTGGCGCCCTCGACAAACAGGCTTTACAATGTGACGAAAACGGTTCGACCCAGCCAAACACAACCAACCCAGGTGATTCTCACAGCAATGCGCCTACGACCCAAAGCTCGAGAACAACTCCAAGTCTTTTCAACAACCCGCCTAACCTAGCGCGCATACGAAAGGTTTTGTTTGAATGCAAGGACCCGATAGAAATCAGCCTGGAGGAGTTCGAGACATATTGGCCCTTCATCGACAATGTGTGGGTGAAACAGAGATCAAACGCCAGTAAAGAGGGTCATTGCACCACGGACTATTATATGTGTCGTTTACGGCGTCCTACACACCGTACGTCGGAAACGCGCCCATTACCAGAAGGAAAGCGCCCTCGGAAGAAGCGCGTCCGAGAGGGAGGCATTTGCAATTTCCAAATCAAGGTTGTCCGGTTCGAGGGCGCATACTCGACAGTCACAATTGCGCGAACACCGGGAAGTTGCAGCGTTCACTCGCATGACCTTGACTACATCGATCGAGTGAAACGGAACTCGGGTTTAATGGAATATGCGCGGAAAGAGTCTGTGAAAGGATATTTACCTTCTTCCATCTATACCAAATTTCAAGAGGAGCCAGAGAAGCTCGGGGAAGCTGGAGGGCGGTTCTTCACTGTAACCGATGTCCGCAACATATCGGCCAAATGGCGCATACAAAACCCAGAAGTGAATCTGGTGGCACATGAGGGCTACGAATACCAAAAGGGCCATGGTATTGTCAAGACCCAAAGCACCGACGGTGTTAATGAAGTGCCCTCACAGATAAAACCGGTCTCACCCAGTCCATCCTCATTGCCTCCTGACACATTATCATTCCCGCAATTTTCGCTGGATTTCCTACATCCTTATCTTCCAAATCACTCTGAACGTCGGGAGTTCCCTCACGTCACATTGTCCTACGCCTCGTCAATGGACTCAAAAATATCTCTTCAACCTGGAATGCAGACGGTATTGTCTGGACCGGAGGCTAAATTGATGACCCATTATCTTCGCTCCCGACATGATGCCATTCTTGTTGGGGTGGGAACGGTTCTTGCCGATAATCCCGGCTTGAACTGTCGCCTAGAAGGTGCTGGTGGGTTTGGAGGTCTTGGGAGAATGTGGCAACCAAGACCAGTGATCATCGATCCCATGGGACGATGGCCCGTTCACCCAGAGTGCCGAATGTTGCGAACTGCCGTGGATGGCAAAGGCAAAGCTCCATGGGTTGTGGTGTCCCCGGGAGCTCAGATCAACCCACAGACGCTAATGATGCTCAAAGGTTACGGAGGTGACTTTCTCCGTATTGTAGAATACAATCAACATTGGCGACTACGTTGGGAAGCTGTGTTCCGTGCCTTGGCGTCCGAGGGTATCAAAAGTGTCATGATTGAGGGTGGTGGAACTGTGTTGAGTGAACTATTGAACCCTGAATATACCAGCTTCATTGACTCAATCATTGTGACAGTTGCACCCACCTATCTTGGACGTGGTGGAGTGAACGTCAGTCCTGACTCGAAGCAGGACCCAGAGGGTACACCCAATGCTGCATTAAACCCTCGCAATGTCAAATGGATGCCATTGGGACAGAATGTAATCATGTGTGGAAAGATTCGACAAGAAACCGACATTTAGATATATATCAATTAGGGCATAATTTATACATATATAATATAAGGATATAAATTATGAAATTCTGGAATTATGAAATTGTAGATCGATCTACTACAGATCAAATAAAAGGTCGAAGAAAGTATAAGGACATGAAGTGAGCAACAGAGAAATATAATGAAACAATACGGAGTACTAGAGTAGTTGGTTAGGGGAGGTTGGGGGGCAGTGAGAATGTCGCATTTATTTATGTTTTGGCCTTGGCACTTTTTTTTTCGCGTCACTTTTCTTTCATTATTCCTCACTTTTTGTAAACATTCCTCCCCCCCCCCCCTTTTTTCTCTCATTCTTTGCTTGATATTTCGAAATGCCTCCTAAGAAGAACACTGCTGAGCCTAAGGCATCGAGAGAAACACCATCTCGTACGAGCTCCAGAGTTGCTGCGCAAGACACCGCGAAAACACCTGTTGCGAAACCATCTGTTGCGAAGCCCAAGAAGAAGCCTGTGAAGGAGGAAAAGAAGTTGCGAAGCCAAGGAAGATGACTGCCTCTGCCAAATCCACTTCGACCAAGGCGACCGCGACCGCCGCGACGAAGAAGCGCAAAGCTGACGAGGAAGAGGAGAAGCCCCGTGAGACTAAGCGCTCTCGTGTTGTCGCCAAACCTCGCCAGCCCAAGGCCAAACCAACCAAGGCTGTCATTAACAAGGCCTCAACTACGAAGCTGAATGTATTCGTCTGCGGCGAGGGTAGCTCCGGTGAGCTGGGTTTAGGCACAGCCAAGAATGTCATCGATGTCAAGCGCCCGCGTTTGAACAAGCTTTTGTCGGCCGAAGAAGTCGGAATTGTGCAAGTTGCTGTCGGTGGCATGCATTGTGTCGCCTTGACTCACGACAACAAGATCTTTACCTGGGGTGTGAACGATCAAGGAGCTCTTGGAAGAGACACCAACTGGGATGGTGGATACAAGGAAGTGGATAACAACAGCGACTCTGACTCCGATGATGATGACAGTGGATTGAACCCCCTCGAGTCCAATCCTACTTCTATTCCTGCCACCTCTTTCCCCGAGGGTACTGTGTTTGTTGAAGTCGCTGCTGCCGACAGCTCGAGTTTTGCCCTCACCGATGATGGCCTAGTCTATGGCTGGGGTACCTTCCGAGTAAGTAAAGCAACCAAAAAAACACCCCCCATACGAGATCCAAAGAGAGAAAACTTTTACTAACCTTTTGATACAGAGCAACGATGGAATTCTCGGTTTCAACGCTAATCAGCTTGTTCAAACGACCCCGTTGCTGATCGACTCTCTCAAGAAAATCAAGCACCTGACGTGCGGAGCCAACCACGTACTTGCGCTGAATGACCAAGGTCGCGTTTTCTCGTGGGGTTCCGGACAACAGAACCAGTTGGGTCGTCGAATCGTGGAGCGCAACAGACTGAATGGTTTGCAGCCTCGGGAATTCGGTCTCCCCAAGAACATTGTTTGCATTGGTAGTGGTTCATACCATTCATTTGCTGTGACTGCAACAGACAAGGTCTTTGCTTGGGGTCTGAATAGTTTCGGTGCGACTGCACTCCGCGAGGGCGCTGGTGACGACGAAGCTGCTATTGTTCACCCAGTCGAGGTCGACGCACTCAGCGGTCGAGGCATCACTCAAATCAGCGGTGGCGCTCACCACTCGATTGCCATTGCCCGTGATGGCGAGTGCTTGGTATGGGGTCGTCTCGACGGTTTCCAGAGCGGTTTGAAGATCGACACACTTTCTGATGATTCCGTCATCAAGGACGAGCGCTCCCGCCCCCGTATTTTGATGACCCCTACCGCTATTCCCAGCTTCAAGGCCAAGGTCGTTGCAGCTTCCTCGGATCATAGCCTTGCCATCGATGTTGATGGCCGTGCGTGGTCTTGGGGATTCTCTGCTACTTACCAGACTGGACAAGGCACACAAGATGACATTGAAGTGGCCACTGTCATTGACAACACTGCTACTCGCGGAAAGAAGTTGAACTGGGCGGGTGCTGGCGGTCAATTCTCTGTGTTTACAGAACCCGCTAGCCTGTGAATATTTTTCTAATTCCTGATCTCTCCTGTATCCTAACATCTAATGTCTCCCCTTTCCTCATGTCAGCTTCAGCTCATTACCAGTGTGGATCATGTCAGTTTCCTTGCAAATCTCCAGTCATCAGTCAGCCAACTGTTCGAATTTCGTTACTTTATTGTAATATGATCGAATGTGCCAAAAAGTTTATAGCTACATTTTCTTTGAGTCTCTATGTTCAACTAGATCATTTACTTTGTGGAGGGATTTTGGCAATCTTCATGACTTGTGCCTCGTGTTTGATCGCTACCATTAAATTCTGTTGTACAATAAGTCTTCGATTACATCCCAAGGTCTTTCATCACTTCATACTCGGCATCGAAGTCATCGTCATCCAAATCCGCCGGCCGCGAGGATGATGTAGACAGGTTAGGAAGAATATCAGTCATTGGCTCATCTCTGAGGAGATCATCTAGATCATCTTCCTCGGGTTCTGGGTAACTAGTTGTAGGCCGTGCGCCCTCGTTGTCTGGCATGAACAAATCTTCAGCAGATCCTTCTTGGACTTGGGGATTCGGGTTTGGAGAATCATTGGATTTGGCTGGTGTTCTGGGGATACGTGGATTTTCGAGCTCCTCTCGCGTTGGCCCGGTGTTATCGAAAAGCCTTGGCTTCTCTTCCTCTATCCACTCTCGTCGCATGACCTGAATGCGTTTCGAGTGTCCGAGTTTCTCAATCATTGTGAGGCCATCTGCGAATTTCGCGCGTGGGTATAGATCGTCAAGCCATAGTTGGTAGAAGTTCAGAAGGCGCGCGGCGTCCGAGAACTACATGATCTCCCAAGTCAGCCTCATTCATCTCTCTGATCATTGCATAGAGCACAACCGACCTCATGTCCTTTGCCTTTGAATCTCAATTTCCGTTTCGCAGATTGCCGCAGCTTGGGAATACCCGGTTGTGAAAGTAAACTAGAAGAGCCATTAGTAAACCGTATAGTACCATGAAGCGGTCTCCCACCAAAGTAGTTGTTTTTTATGAAGTTCGGTTATCTCAAGCACCTACCGGGTCTCATCTAGTTTGGCCACAGGCTGTCGTTTCTTCGTGATTTTGACTTCATCGTCAAGGCCCAAACCAAGTGCAGAATCTCCAGTTCCAGAGGGCTTTGTGTTGGTATTAGAGACATTATGATCTGGAACGATCTCATCCAAACCGACATCGTAATTGAAAAGATCGTCCAAATCAACCGCAGCTGGTGAACTTCCTCGCGGCGACATGTTCACGTTCGATTGCGCGCAAGGTGGATATAGAAGTGTTGGAGTTTCTGCGGATTTAGAGATAAGAATGAAAGAATCGACTTTATATTCAATTAGGAACGGTGGGGACCGTTGGAAAAGTTGGTATTCAAGGTCAAGGTCAAGGCCAATTTCACAATTCACGATCCACGATCAAACAAATATATCAATTTATCACGATACGGGCCTTGACGCGTTGACGCGAGTAGGGTGTGTTAGCTGAATCCTGATTGGTTATCGGTAATGTTGCCCGCCTTTAATACACTAAACTCAATTAGGCTAGTTTCCACCCTCTCCTCTAACTCCCAGAACTTCCAACTCAGACACCCGCTGTGCACAACTCAACCCCTCAAGTAATCATGGCGACAGATACCAAGGCCATTGTGCCCCCTAAGCGGGCCAACACCGATTACCCGGTATGATTCATTCCGCAATACTCCGAATCACCAATCTTTTCTTGGTGCGCGTATTATATCTCTTGCTAACTATCTCCCACAGTTGATTGATTCCGACCCGTATGACCTACCCCGGATTCAAAGATTTTGATTCAAAGCTCACCTCTTTACCAGGCATTTGAGACGGGTGTTCGGATATGCCCGACCCTCCGACTGGGCCATTGCTGGTGGTATGGCCTCGGCTGCTCCCATTTCCTTCTGGATCATGGAGAGAGCTAGCCCGTCGCATGTCGGCCGGGGTGGTTTCGCCCCTGTCATGCGCCTCGCCTCAGCTGTTGGCTTGATTGGTGGTCTTCATATTCTCTACCAGCGATCCTGCCGTAAGCCAATTCTTTTCGCCCAAACTATACTGGGGTTTTACTCACAATCTTCACAGAGCGCTTCTACGGTTTCACTGAGAACACCAGAGAGGTTGAAATGGACACCCGTGAGATGGTCGATAAGGTCAAGAAGGGCGAGCCTCTGTACGGCAAGTCTCAGATGTCTTCTTACCTACAAGGCATGGCTGCCCGTAACTCCCGGTACTCGGAGCTCTTCATCCATGTCGTCCCATGGATCAACATTGTCAACCATGACCAGGTGAGTGACCCATCTAGCCCACTGTATATTTGGTATTAACGTTTTGGAATTAGCATGGTGTCGACACTGCCAAGTACTATCAGCAAGCCGAGCGGGAGTTGGAGGCAGAGCGAACTGGCTCCTCATGAATTCTGGACCCATCAACCAGAAAGAAGAAAAAAAAGATTGATGGAGAGTTTTGATTCTTGCAGACATGTACACATATCCAATTTCGTGTGTGTTTTTTGGGGGCGCAATTGCGATTTACAATACAGATTCCCGTTCTGGTCAAACACTATAAACCCTTTTTATATAAAGTACATGCCCTTTGTGTTTGTTTTTCTATAAAAGAAACCCACGATGACAACACTCGTGGGCCCTGTAGTAATGAACCTAAGTCAAATGTGAAGGACAGACAATTTATTATTGCCCTTGCAATGCTGGCACTTCTTCACTGTCCTCAAATTTTGTGTTCAATTCTCGGTTCTTTTTGGGTCTGGGATTAGGAGCTGGCACGGAATCAGTGACGGGCATAGCAATGTGGAGCTTCTTTTTCACTTACCTTTCTCGTTCTCTTGGATATAGAATCGACGAAGTAGCATAATTGCTTCTTTTTCAAACAGTCCACCGTAGGCAGGGTACGTTGGATCGATTGAGGAGCTATATCCGGTTAGTCTGACACAGTCGACCGCCGTTTTTGAAATATACTGACTCGGCATGTAGGGACAGAACACCGCCGGTGCCTCCAAACCGGTCGTTGGCACAGCCAAAGTACACATTGCGTATGCGATACTGCTTCAATGCAGAGGCACACATAACACAGGGTTCAACCGTTACATAGAGATCAGTGGATTTCAGTGCCGACCTGGGATAGCGTTGAAGCATCTGTGCAATTGCTATAAATTCGGCATGTTTTGTACCCTTAATAGTATCAGTTTAAGTTGGTCTTGTTGCCCGGAGAGATTTTGATATCACCCACATTCATAGATCTGTTGGTGTCATTCATGCCAAATCCCACAATCTGATTATTGTACACCAGAACACAGCCCACAGGTGTTTCATTGAACTCGATAGCTTTCTCCCCCTGTTCGAATTAGTCGAGTGGGCAAATCACATTGTGAGGGCATTGTACCATCAACAAGGCTTGTCTCATGAAATGACCATGTTGCGAATCTTCTGCTGCTGGGTCATCCCTAAATTTCATATTCGACTTAGGGTTTATATTTTCTGATGTATCCATTCTTGGGTTGTTTGACTCCAGAGGAGTTGTTGTTCACACAGTTTAACTAGTCAGAAGAACTGGAAAGAAATCAAGAAAGGTGGCACCCGAAAATTTTAAACTATAGCAAGCTTCTCGCTCACTGTGACTGTTGTTTTATCCAGACATATATATGTATACATAGATATACATAGATATAAATATATATATATATATATATATTCCATATAAGCTATATTTGTTTCATATTCAAAACAACGAGATACGCTATGTACTTAAATGTCTGTCCTACACCATAATTGTAGGTAGGTTACTCGTTAAGCGTAACTAACTGGTTACTGAGAGGTCTTTTGGTTAAATTGAACCATATTAACTGGAAAATCATATTTTATACAACATCATACTCTTTAAATACTTTGTGGAAATACAAGAGGCAAAATTCATACATTTGTTTATTCGTACTCTGTACATATAAATTCAAATGTGCGAACATGAAAAAGTTGTTGCCTTAGGTGTCAATCGATATATCAACTCCGCGTATCTGCACGCGTACCACAAAACCACCACTCAACCTAATTTGCTTAAGAGAATTTGAGCCTCAAGATTCGGTCATATGAATATGTGTATCTCATATGGCCATGACAACAGACGGAGAGAATGAACGGGTCATTGCACCTAATGGTTGGAGAGAACCAGCATCGTCGATCCTTGCTACGCATCTCGCACCGCGTCTTGCTACTCAAGGACATGAATCAAATCTAAGCCGGGAGACGTTCGCACAGCTTCGCCAGGAGCTCTTGAGTGAGACACATAATCAACTACGCGTTGATGAGGATGTCACCGATGTGAACAAGCTCATATGTATCGTCCTCAAAGCTGGTCTAGAGATTAGCTCCAACGGGAATACCCCAGAATTAGATCTGGAAGGGCAAGCTCTTGACTGTTTGGATATCATCCAGGCGAGCATTGAGAAAGCCCCTCAAGCACTGTGGGAACATTCTGACCCACTGATCTTGGGGGAGGACATACATGCTCCTCTATTCGCTTGGCTAATCCTCCGACTGATCCGTCTTGCCAATATCTGGACTTCCGAAACCTTCCGAGAGAAAATTCAACTTATCTGGGAAAGTCTAGCTTATTTCCAGCTCAAACAGGCCCGTTCATTGCCTGCAAGTTATGCTGTAACTGCATTTCTGCGTGCTTGCACGTCGGGTTCGTTCATCACCTCCTCACAAATGAGATTAGGGCTTAAGACTAATTTCGACTAGATATTTTGGTCTCGCTTGAAACTTTCCAATATAGCGATGCCTGGGATGCACGCCTCAGAGGTCTGTCACTACCCGCAGCGGGTGGATCGCTTTTGCAAGACATCGAGAACTTGAATCTTTCTCCTCGATTGTTCGAAACCAAGATGGCCCTTGGGGGATTTTTGAAAACTGCTTCCCTAGCATGTCGATTGCTAGATGCATTCAACCCAAAATGCGAGACGCAGCCCCGTGCCAAGCATCAGGATCTTATTGTTCGTCAGAACTTCTCGTGGGTCCTCAATGGTTTCCATCGCCTTCGGAAGGTCATTATCGAATGGCTGCAAATGACAGGAGCGCAGATTACTCCAGAAGATGAAAGTGTGCCCTTACAATATTTGACACATTTGCACCGTTGCAGCGCACCGCAATCGACTTTAGCGGGTCTGCTATCAAACATGAGTTTGATTTCTACCTGGTCTCAGTGCCTGAGTGGATTTCTTAGTCTTGAAAATATAGATCAATTGCCTTCTGTTCAAGCCATTCTAAGTTGCTTTTTGGATGATCTCTCGCAGATTGCCAAGAGCTCACAGTCACTGGTGCCACATCTGAGAGAAATCCTTCTTCCAGCTTTGACAGAGGTGAAAGACGGCAAGGATTTAGTTCAACGGTTCAAGCCGCGTCTCCAGGTAAGGATACCCTTAGCTTACGACACACCGCGATGATTGAGCTAAAACTAGATCAGACCTCCCTCCAAGTCCTGCATACCCAGCTTTCATATCCAGCACCTCTGTTTACCCTGGATTCGATCAAAGAACCATCGGAAGGTCATCTCGATCAATCGGAGACGACCCTCCGGAGAGCTGAGTCCTCTCACCAAGCGGTGCCAAATGAAGACACCAGAGCATCGAAGCGGTTGTGTCTCCCAGGATTACTACTCGAACCTTCCAATAATGATGTATTTAAGGTACTTGTGGGAAAGGTATCTACTATCATTCAATCGAACTGTGGCGAAACGATGGCAAACCTGCGTACCTCCATTCAGTAAGTGTTAAACATCCCCTTGAAATGATGTATACTGAATTGTTGAAAAGAACATCATATGATGAACTTTCTGAGCCTCAGAAAACCGAGATTCTTGACATATTGGGCAAAATCTCGTGTGCAGTAACGGGAAGGCTTTCAAAGAAGTGTTCTGAAGTCATAGTACGAGACACACTATTTTGTGAAATTTGTGACGTCGAGCAGCTTGAACATGATCGTTCTGCGAATGGGGAATGTGCGGAATTCGAGGAAATCTGGTCACTGTTCAATTTCATCCTACCAAAACTCACACGCACCCCTGGCCCTCGAATCTCCGCAATGGTCGCACTGAGAAGAATTCTGATGCATGCCCCTAACTCAAATCAAATGCATATCTCAAACTCGACTTCCGGGGAATTCTGTCTGCATTCTCTACGGAGCTCAATCCGAGAGTTGCGCATTGCGACTGGGTGCGTTACATGGTCCCATCTAGTGCTGGCTTGATATTGACCGTTTCCCAGACATTCAGTGGTGGCTTTTGTGCGGTCAAATCTGCCAGCAGAAATTCGTCGAGCCAATTTCGTCGTTGTACTGGAGTGGTTGAAAAATCTATCCGGTAAAGATGATACACCGTTACAAGAAGCTTGTATAATGACGCTCTGTGGCCTTGCAATGTACGTTTTGAACCTTTAAAAGTATTTCTTATTTATGTTTGTCATCTCACAAATGAATTGATATAGTGTCTCGGAGGATGAAGAGAAGAATATCATCCTTCTGCGGTTGTTGGAGTATCTAGGTCATCCAAATCCCTACGTCTGCGCAGTCGCTTATAATGAAGTGAGTATATAAGATATGGATTGTTTTCTTTGTTTCTCCTGCCTTCAATTCAGATAGACCGAAAGCTTACATCTCAATCTAGTTATCCAAACTCGCACAACAATTTTCCTTGACGCCCGCCGGACTATTCCGACCCTACTGGAGAAGCCTCTCGGTCACCGTTGTCAAAAACCTTCCCTCTCGCCCGTACATGGCCGAGCAGCTATGTGACTTGCTTGGCATGAAAGTCGATGGTTTCCTTAGACTGACAGAAGTTCATGTATTACCTTATCTGGTTTTAACTCGAAAGCGAGACATTATTTGCAGAATCGGGGCTAGTCGCAACGAGGGCGAGTCTGCGTTTGATGTCTGCTCAGAAAAGAACAACCTAGCTGCAATTCTTGCTTTCCTTCTGTCTCAGCAATCGGAAAACCCAGAGGCGATGATCATGTCTCTCTTAGCAGATATTGATCCTGCATTCAAGGGTCGCTCGCTAGCGGAATTGGTGAGGATTGAGCCAATCCTGATTGCTTGCGACTTGCTGAAAAGTCTTGGCGATGCAGGCGAGCAAAAGAAGGAGAGGTTCAACCAGGCCCTTCATCGATTGGCCACATTCGTTCCACGAAAAATCGTGCACGGGAGTTCGTCTAAGAAGGCGGATCTAAGCCAGTTTATCGAGGAGCACGTTCTCGGTATTATCACACAATTCGCAAATGCCATCAACGATTTCCAGGTACGACAAACGCTTGCAGAGAAAAGAAGAAACATCAAAGCCATCGAAGAGATGATCAACATTGCGCAAGGCCATGTCAGCAGTGCACTGCCCCAGGTTTGTGCCTGTCTTCGATCTGCATTGGAGATTCAAGAGCTTTGTGATTATGCATTTTCTGCGTGGAAGACATTGATTAGTTCTCTCAGCGAAGAGGACCTTGAGCCAATAGTCGATCAAACATTAGCGATTGTGATCAGATACTGGGATAATTTGACCGAAGAGAGCAGAAACCGCGCATTTGAACTCATCGATCACATCCTGACGAATCATCCGAGTCTCGTGCGGGATACCTTCAATACTATGCCTTCTCTTGCATCTATTCCAGAGCTCGCCCCCTTCGAGGCCAAAATCAACGAATTGAGAGCCCAAATGGACGTGCGGAGCCAGTTCCTAGCGTTGATCCGTCGCTGTCAAAGCGAGAATGCTACCGTTGTCGAGCAAGCTTTAATGGAGTTAGCACCTTTTCTGTCGGCAAACGAGGAGTTCCTCCATGACTCTGTTCTGAGTGAACAACCGGATCCGGTGATTGCACAATTGACTAGATCATTGTTAGACTGCTGTGTCAAGTTTAGCACCAGTTCAGACAGTATTACTTTGCTATCGGCTCGGTGTCTCGGGCTGGTTGGCTGCCTTGATCCGAACCGAGTCGAGACGATCAAAGAGAAAAAAGATATCCTCGTCTTATCCAACTTTGACAGAATGGAGGAGACAGTTGCATTCATTCTCTTCTTCCTCCAGCATGTGTTGGTTGAAGCATTCTTATCTGCTTCTAATACCAGGGCTCAGGGATTTTTGGCATGGGCCATGCAAGGCTTGCTCAAATTCTGCAAGCTGAACACGCTCCTGACTCAACGCTCTCGCGATTTGCAGGGAGATGAAAAGCATCAACGCTGGATGGAACTTCCGGAGAGTGTTCGCAACACCCTTACACCCTTTCTCACATCCACATATACCGTCACTGTTGTAACCAACCACACCGAGGTCAAATATCCGCTCTTTTCCCCAAAGTTGACTCACAGTGAATGGCTTCGCACGCTGGTACAAGATCTTTTACAAACCGGCAATGGAGATAATGCCAAAATGGTCTTTTCAATATCAAGTCGTGTGGTCAAAGGCCAAGATATCTCCATATCTTCGTTCCTTCTGCCATTTGCGGTCCTGAACCGCATTGTGGGGGGAACCGAGCAAGAGCAAGAAGATCTGCAACGTGAACTGATGAGCGTGCTTTCACATCCCATCCCCGAGACAAACAACAATGCTCGTGAGACAATCATAAGCAGTAGCCAAGTGAGAGAATATTTCCCACGGCTGGGATCTAAAGTACTGACCACACCTTTCGTTAGAGCGTTTTTGAAGTGCTAGACTACCTTTCCAGGTGGCTACATGGAAAGAAAAAGCACCTCAATGGCCTTAGCCACACTTCCAACCAATCCAGTCGATCATACAAAGAACTCAGTCGTGACGCCCTTATTGACAAATACTCGTCACAGATCAAGTCGGTAGAGAACTTGCTCTCTTCGATACCACCTGAGATCATCTCCAAGCGAGCCGTTGAATGTAAATCATTCTCCAAAGCTCTTTTCCATTGGGAACAGTACATTCGAAAATCCAAGTCTCACGGAGAAGCACAAGAGCGAGCTAGCCTTGAGCCTTTATATCAAAGGTTGCAAGATATCTATAGCCAGATCGATGAACCTGATGGAATTGAAGGAATTTCAAGTCATCTATCTGCATTAGACATTGACCAGCAGATTCTCGAGCACCGCAAAGCAGGCAGATGGGCCACGGCGCAGAGTTGGTACGAGCTACAACTTGAGAAGGAACCTGACAACATCGATGCACAATGGAACCTTGTCACATGCCTCAAGGAATCTGGCCAACAAGGTAAGATCATTCATAAATCGGCTATTTTGACATGTCCAAGGACGTTGCTCATCGTTCTCCAGATGCCATTCTTACTCGCTTTGAGATTCTCAAAGAGAATGTATCATCAGCTTCGCGGTTCCTTCCCTTCGCGGTTGAAGCGTCGTGGATTATGAGCAGATGGGATAAGCTCGAGGGCTATCTTGATCTTTGTGCCAGACAAGGCACCGACGAGTTCAATGTTGGCATAGGATCAGCTCTAGACGCTCTTCGCCAAAAGCAGATCGGAGCATTCACAGATAAAATCAACGAACTTAGGCTCAACGTTGCCCGATCACTGACCACAAACTCTGCAGCATCACTACAATCGTGCCATGCTGACATGCTCCGCTTGCATGCTTTGTCGGAAGTTGAATCAATTGCCAAAACAGAAACAAATTGTTCACATTCAAGCATACTCGGTGCTTTGGACAGACGTTTGGATGTTTTGGGAGGATATCTTTCTGACAAACAATATCTTTTAGGATTGCGGAGGGCTGCAATGGAGCTATCGTAAGTCCCTCATATTGGCTACAAGGGTGATAACTAAACCCGTGTTCTAGGGGCGCGTTCGCAGATTCTGATATATCAGCTGCTTGGCTCACCAGTGCTCGTCTTTCAAGAAAAGGCAATTTCAGCAGTCAAGCATATCACTCGATGTTGAACGCTGCGCGATTGAAAGACAGATCTGCTACCATCGAACATGCGAGACTCCTTTGGAAAGATGGACATCATCGAAAAGCGATTCAGACCCTCGAGGGTGCAATTTCTGCCAATGAATCTGTCCCAACTACATCTTCCTCAGTAGATGTTGAAGCCATGTCATTCCTCTCGGGTCGTGGGCAGCACCAGAATGAATCAACCGCTCTCGTATGTCAACACTATGTGGGTATTCTTACATCGAACATGCACTAAATCATTTAGGCTCATTTGATGTTGGCTAAATGGACGGACAGAGCTGGCCAAACACACTCACAGGCCATCGTCCAGAGATATCGAGAAGCCATTAAGCTGTATCCAAAGTAGGTGCAATTATCGCTGCTTTCATATTCTCACATGCTTACGAATGACCGCAGATGGGAAAGAGCGCACTATTACCTAGGAAAACATTACAACAAAATCCTGGAGTCCGAACAAGCCAAGCCTATGGGCAAAGAAGCTCAGATATAGTCAGTAGATTGGTGTTTCCATTGTTGCCCTGATACTAAATTCAATATCTAGCCTGAGTGGAGAAGCTACAAAGCTTGTCATTGACAATTACCTCCGCTCACTAACATATGGAACTAAATATGTCTTCCAGACGTTGCCCAAGCTGCTAACTCTCTGGCTTGAACATGCCTCTATTGTTGAGCAGCCGATTGATCCGAAAAGGGGTGACAACGAGTGAGGTCCTACTGTTATCCATCTCTTTGAGATACCAGAAGAGGCTAATGGTTAATTGACCGCTTGCTAGGGAGTTTCAAAGGCATACAAAAGCGCAACGGCAGAAAAGCCTCGACGAGATGCATTTGCAACTCAAGAAGTTCATCGATAAACGCTTGCAAGCAGCTCTAGTAAGTCTGCAACTTAAAATCCACCCCATATACTTGCATGCTAATAATCTTAGCTGTTCACAATATTGCCGCAAGTGGTTGCCCGAATCTGCCATCCCAACACCACCGTCTATGATCTCTTGACGCGCATTGTAGCAAAGGCAGTTCATAACTTCCCACAGCAAGGCCTCTGGACAGTCCTTGCCGTTGTCAAGTCCTCCAATAAGGACCGAGCTTCCAGAGGATACAACTGCCTACAGAAGATCACGGTCAGTCCCACCGAGCTAAACGAATATATGGAAAGCTAACCCCAATAGGACTATGGTAACAAGTCGAAGGGAGACTCCTCGACCGCTGCAGAAATCCGTCGTATGATCAGCCAAGGCACGAAGTTTTCAGATGAGCTTCTTGCCTTGTGTCTTGCTCGAGTCGAAGAAAAGGCATCCAAAGTTTCACTCGGCCGCCACATAGGGTTCAATCATAAGGTCGCACCATGTCGATTAGTGGTTCCTTTTCAGGCTATGTTGATTCCAAGTCTTCCTGCCAGTCAAAATATTGAGTACATCAAAGGGTTCAGGGCCTTTCCTCGGGACCCAACGACTATTGAGGGTATGTTTATCGAGGCTCGAATCTGTGAGGCCAAACTAATTGATATCAGCGGTTCTCGATGAAGCCCAGATCTTGAACTCACTCCAAAAGCCACGCAAAATCAGCTTGCGAGGTTCCGATGGGAAGATCTACAATGCACTTTGCAAACCTAAAGATGATCTCCGTAAGGACCAACGTCTCATGGAGTTCAACAACATGATCAACCGATTTTTGAAAAGAGATGTTGAATCAAGCAAGCGGCGCATGTGTGAGTAAACTCGCTTGTTTCCTTACTCTTATTCAAAGGCTGACTTGTGACAGACATCAAGACGTATGCGGTGACACCTCTCAATGAAGAATGTGGTCTTATTGAGTGGGTTGATAACCTCCGCACATTACGAGAGATTATCATCAGGCTTCTACGCGAGAGAGGCATTTCACCAAATGTACGCTGCTAGACTCCACACTGCTTCCCACGCTTTGTTACTGACTTTGCAATAGTATAACGAGATCAGGCACTACCTGAACGATATCTGTGCCGATCGGTCATTCGCAAAGTTGCCCTTGTTTACCACTAAAATTCTAGCCAGGTAAGCTGTTTCATAATCCAGACCATTCTTCGGTGTTCTGACGGTTACAGACTTCCTCCAGTTCTTCACGAATGGTTCATTGAGATGTTCCCGGAGACAGAGGCTTGGTTTACAGCAAGATTGAGATATACGCGGTCCTCGGCCGTGATGTCAATGGTGGGATATGTCCTTGGGTATGTTTCAACTCTATATCTGAACCCTGACAATTATATTAACCAGTGTCTCTCAATGGACACAGTCTAGGTGATCGACATGGCGAGAATCTTTCATTCGAAGAAGGTACAGGTGGCCTCTTACATGTTGACTTCAATTGTCTCTTCGACAAAGGTCAAACATTTGAGAAGCCCGAAGTAGTGCCTTTCCGGTTGACACATAACATGATCGATGCCTTCGGCGCTTACGGATATAATGGTATGTTTGGAAATGCCGTTAGACTTTCTACAATGCTGATTTAGCGTGGTGTAGGTCCCTTTAGGAGAACTTGTGAGATCACACTCAGCCTTCTCCGACAAAATGAAGATGCCTTGATGACTGTACTTGAGACCTTTTTGCATGACCCCACGACTGATTTTATTGGAAAGAGAGTAAGTAAAGCTACATTCCTGCATTTTCTGACTTGCCTCTGATCTCTTCTACTTAGCGTCGCACCCATGCGAATGTCCCCGATACCCCAGCTGGTGTGCTGGAGGATGTCCGTAACAAGCTCCGGGGCTTCATGTCTAAGCAGCCAATGGCACTTTCCGTGGACGGCCAAGTGGATGAATTGATCGTGCAAGCGACAGACAAGAAGAAGTTGGCGTCAATGTACATCGGATGGTGTGCATTTTTCTAAGCCTTTGATACAATACGTTCTGTTCGAGCCATAAATAAAGAAGCGTGAATTACTAGTCAATAATGATAATGAAGAACGAAAACTTTGCTCTTAGTTTTACATGACATGATAATTTTTTTCCCTAAAAGAAGGGGGTGTGCCTTGAACTAACTTGCCTGGATATCCTGCGGAAGAAGTCAGTTGCGCGCAACAAAAAATCACGCATCGTCCCCATTAGGGCGAGATCAACGGAAACCAAAGCACGAGTTTGCAGCTGTCATTGCTCAATGTCGATTGCGGACCCTGTTTCGGTTGGGACTGCGGCTTCGACTGCTGTAGCTGCTGTAGCTTGGGCTTCGACGTCTGCGGGGTCGGGTTTCTGTCTTCAGACTATCTCTGCGTGGAAGTGGTGATCGTGAACGAGAGGAATATGATCGCGAGCGAACAGGAGACCGTGATCTAGATATAGATTGTGGCCTATACACGTCATGCCGTTCCGTAGGCCGTGCACCACCGTGTCTGTGTGGGGATGGTGGGCCTGCGTATGGCCCTCGACCATATCGGGAGCGGCCACCATTTCCTCGCTTTGATGCAGGGGGAGGTGAGCGTGAGAATTTGCGTCGAGGGAGAACAATTGAGACATTCAAAATGGCCCCATCAAGCTGGGCTTCGTGCATGTGAGCAATGGCTGCTTCTGCATCGGCCGGATCGTAGTAAAGAATATACGCGGTTCCTCGGTTCGTCATGACTAAGAGAGAGTTAGACGATGTGGATGTCGAGTTGAGGTTCGAAAGCAGATCTTACAAGATTTGTTCATCGGAACGTCGAGATACTCTATCTCTCCGAAGCCCCCGAAAATCTCTCGAACGTGGTTTTCCGTGACATTCTTGGTCAATTTTTCGACCACAATCTTCACATTGAGAACGAAAGTTAGCTTTGGATCGATGGACAACCTGACTACCCATGATGAAAGTAGCGATTATCCGTGGAAATGGGCTTATTACTCACCTTAGAGCTTCTCGGGGGACTGGGGTTTGGAGTTGGCGAGCGACTTTCACTCCGACTATGATAGCGACGGACACTTCGGCTGCGAGTGCGAGATCGTGTTCTGCCACGAGAAGGGGATCTGGAACGGGTTCTTGAACGATGACGATCGCGTCGACCTTGGGATGGGCTTCGGGTGATACTTCGTGGTTCGCTGAGGGGCCTTGAATGACGCACGGAGCGTGATCGTCCTCTGTCTTGGTCCATTGAGAATGAGTGTCGAGGTGATCTGGGGGACATGTAAGATTTAGCGCAATGCGCGCAAACGTCTAATCGGGTTTGAAGTGTAGGGATTTAGATATGACAAGAACAAGAGAATAAAAGCGACTGAAATATTAGAAGTTGAGAATATAGAATAGGTTTCAAGGGATGGCCAAGTTGTCAAGATATCAAAAGAGTCGAAGAATGTCAAGTTAGAAAGGTTGAGAAGAGGGAAGCATTTTGCACTAACCTAATTCGGTAATTACCTTACTTCTTAAATTTCACTTCACCTTTGAATCTTCTACTGACTTACTTAATGTTAAGTTGTTGGCCTTTTATAAATAGTACATACTTTATATACACTTCCTTCACTTCTGACCCTCCCTCCATTGCTCATATTCTTGAATTACCGTATCTGTGATCTGCCGCCGCACTTGTCCCAGAGCGTATTCAAAGTGCTTCCATTGCACATCTAGCTCCTGATTGGTCTCTTCCTCTTCATCCAATGCTGCATCTCCAGCAGTTTCGCAAATACTCACAATCTCCGCACCAGAATAACCTTCAGTTTGAGATGCAAGATCTTCCAAATCAACATCGGGGTTTACCACGGACTTTTTGGCCCAGATGCGAATGATTTCTTTGCGCGCTTCAAAGTCCGGTGGGCCAATGTAGAGAATGTTGTCCAGTCGTCCAGGACGCATCAAGGCTGGGTCTAAGACATCAGGTTTGTTGGTTGCAGCGACAACCAACACATTTCGGAGCTCCTCGATACCGTCCATTTCATTCAGCAAAGTCGTAAGAACATTGACGCCTCCAGAACTGCTACCACGCCGAGCAGCAATAGCATCGATCTCATCAAAGAATATAATACTGGGTCGTGCGGCTCGTGCTTTCCTGAAAATTTCTCTCAGGGATCGCTCGGACTCTCCAACGTACATACTGAGGATCTCAGCTCCCTTGACGGCCAAGAAATTTAACCCAGCTTCAGTGGCAAGGGCCTTGACGGTCAAAGTCTTGGAACAACCTGGTGGTCCGTAAAGTAAGACACCCTTTTTACTATTCACGTTGAGTCTGCGCATTCGTTGGGGATACTGTGGTGAAGAAAATTAGTCCTGAGGGAGACTGCGCTGGGCTTTTGACACGATGCTTACCTTCAAGGGTCGTTCAACAGCCTGTTGGAGGCGTTTTTTGATCTCATGCTGTCCACCGATGTCTGACCATCTCACCTTGGGTGTTTCTAAGAACACTTCACGCATGGCTGTGGGGCGGATTTCTTGTAGGGAGAGTGAAATGTCTGTTTCTTGAATTTCCAAGGGGATGGTCGGGTTCTCGTCGCTTGAGCCTCCATGGTGCGAGCTATAGGGTTCATTCGTGGGATTGGCCGGTGGGACTGTACGGGGTTGCTCTAACAGTTGCCGCTGTCGGGCTTTGCGGCAGACAAGCTGTAACAAGGCAAAAAGGTCGGCTCCAACGTATCCATGGGTCTTTTCAGCTAACAATTCTACAAGTTCATCAGTCAACCCGGCAGATACTGGCCCACGGATAGCTCGCAGTATCTCAGCCCGGTCCTGGGCAGTGGGAACTTGTAGCTCGATCTCTGTTCCGAGTCGATGGGGTGTTCTGAGAGCGTCATCCACTTGATTTGGGTGCCGCGTTGCGGCCACCACGAGAATCGATGCATTTCGAATGGCGTCTAGATTCTCACAGAGGACAGAAGCAAGAGATTGCGACTCGATTGAGGTTCGCTTTGGGGCAATAAATTCGAGCTGGTCGATGATGATCACGCTGGGCTTAGAGCGAGCTGCCTCCTGGAAAATATTGCGCAGCTTGAGTTCGCCTTCCGCGATACTCCTTCCTAGGGATGATGTGCCGATCTTGAATGTTTGTTTCCAGCCAGCTTTCTCGATCTGATCCAGAAGACTGGTCTTACCGGTCCCCTTTGGTCCATAGAGTAAGATCCCTCGGCCGTTCTCGTAGAATGATGGCATCACCGGCTTTCGGGGATCAATATTGAAATCGGATAAACTCTCATTGATGTCCTCAATCTGGCGGGAAAGACCTCCTAGACCAGTAGGTTTCACTTCAATACTTGAGGCTATTTCTTCTTTTTCCTCTATGACTGGACCAAGGGAGCTGCGTGAAGCCTCTGTGAATTGGAACAGGGTATGACCCGAGCTGGGATCCTGGGAGCGTATGTTGATCACTTGAAAACTCCTGTGTTGGCCCCGGAGCTCTAAATCAATGGTCAAGCCGGTCGTCAAACATCCACATCTGAGTAATTTTTCATCCAAGGCCCATTCCCAATGTGATTGGTCATTGTCTGAAATTGAGCCGTATCTTTCGATCTTCTCGGGGTCTGAACAGTCCTTCAATGTCACCAATTTGATGTCTGTTAAAGGGCCGTCAGCCCTAGTGATTGAAACCTTTTCCCCAATCTTGATATCATAGCAATCTTGCAAAGTCCTGGATATTTGCATGACAGTGCTTTGAAGGTTTTCTGTTGCATACCATGCTATGGCAGTCTTTGGTGCTCCAGCACCTTGTTTCAGGGTGCAAATACCCTCTGTTTGGAGCCTTAAAGCAGCTAAGGAGGAGGAGGAAAGGTAAACTCGAAAAGCATCTTTTAAATCCTTCCGTGCCTGCTGTTTTGGCAGCGGTCGAGCAGTAAAAGTGCGATCCGCCATGATATAAGAGATTTTGTTCCAAATTGGATTATTATATCTCCAGAAAAAAAAAAGAAGAGAAAAAAAGACTTGGTGGGGGAGGGGCAAAGTGGACTTGAACTTCGTAAAGTCCGACAATTCTTGAAATTCTTGAAATTCTTAAGATTCTTAAAATACTTGAGATAGTATTCCAATTGTTATTGAGAGGAAGTTTCAAGGTGAGATTCAAATTGAGATTCAAATTCCAAAAAAAAGATTGGGAAATTGAAGAATTAAATGTGGGTCCTGGAGTTGGTAGCACTTTGGTTATAGTTAAACAACGTATATATATACATTTAACTACTTCTGTATATATGGAACTATATATGTATACAATAGTACAACATTGTATACTCGGCAATCATTGTAAATGTTGCTATTTCTGTACTAATAAACTACTATCACCACCTATATAACATAGTTATATGCACTCAATTTCATAAAGGAAAAAAATAAAACCTTGAACATTTATCCCTTGGCGCATGATAATGTAAAGCAAAAACAGAAAAGAATAAAATATGTGTTCGAAGACATGATGATACACTTTAACAACACTTCCCTCCAGAATTACCATTCAGACCCGAGCCCTGCTGGTCTATACTGACTCCCTGGTTACCAGACTGTTCAGTCTTGGAAGTGTCCATCCCTTTCTTGATATCCGATGCAAGACTGTAGAACGCCTTCTCAATGTTGATGTTGTTCTTGGCTGAAACCTCGAGGAAGGGGATGCCAAGCTCATCCGCAAGTTGTTGACCTTGTTCGGTAGAGACCGCTCTTTTCTCCTCCCAGTCACACTTGTTACCGATCAAAATCTTGTGTACGCCCTCGCTGGCATGTTGCTCCACGTTGGAAAACCAAGTTCGAATGTCTAGAAGATACAGGGTCAGGTTGATTCGAACAGTATTGGGGGGATGGATGAAAAGGGCTTACTTTGGAATGATCGCTCATCTGTCACATCGTAGACGAGAAGGATACCCATGGCACCTCGGTAATATGCCGTCGTGATGGTGCGGAAGCGCTCCTGGCCCGCTGTGTCCCAAATCTGCAACTTCACCCTCTTTCCGTCTAACTCGATGGTACGAATCTTGAAATCGATACCGATAGTGGTGATGAATGAAGGCGTGAAAGAGTCTTCGCTGAAGCGCAATAGACAGCATGACTTGCCCACACCCGAGTCCCCGATCAACAATAATTTGATCTACAGTAAAAAAAAGTCAGCCAACTAATGAACCTGTTTCCAAGATCATTCCAAGTACTGACCAGAAAGTCATAATTCCGTGTGCCTGCCATGATGAGATTTGGCAATGTGTGTATTTGAAACGGTAGGGTACCGAGGTGAGGTTCAAGAGACGTGTATTGAAAGGTAAGGCTTAGATTGTAGATCCGGAGAAGCAAAAGGGTGATTAAGTCGCTTATCAGGAAGTTCGGGTGTGATATGGGGACTAATGTCAATGAAAAGGCAAGGTGGTAGTAGATCTGGAGTAACCAAGCAGAGTTCCACAATCAAGCATACACAAACTGAATTTCTGGTTGTTTTATGGGAAAAGGAGGTAGATGCACTTGGGAGTGGAGGTGTGATGACGGACCAGGCAGATGATTATGTAATATCATAATATCACCTGCCGTTCTGTAGGCATCTAGAATATAACTACATATTTGTATATAAGTATAATGTATACAATACTACATTGATATCGTGTTATATGTTCAATATCTTTTGATGTTTCTTTTCACATCTATAACAATATGCAAGTTTATCTTATATATATATATATAGATATATATACACATATCTATTGGAAGTATGCCCATCTCATTCGTTCAATCACACGAAGTTGCCTGTCCACTCCAGTCTGAACGTTGAGAAGATCTTGAATGTCTTCTTGGAACTCTTGATATTGCATGTTGTTGGAAATCGTCTTCACGTGTTCAAGAAGAGCCTCTGCCTCACAGATCAATTGCCCAGAGTCTTTGTAAGGGAGGGTCCCGTTGGACGATACTGCAGAGGAAGTCAAAATGCGGGCCACATTTCTGATTGTTAGAGTTAGTGTTTTGTCCAAGTTGTACATAGTCTGGATGTCATACCGCAATCCACGTTTCAGCTCATGGCGCTGTTTACCTGTTCGCATTCCTCGTCTGTTGCCGATGAAACCACCTAGCCACCTCAGAGTTGCCAAAGAGACCATTATTCCAGGGGTCAGTCCGATAAATCTAGATATAGATGATTAGCAAAATTCCAATAACCAAAAAAAGAGACAAAGGCATCCCCGAGAATGTAACACATACCCAAATACAAGTTCCTGACTCTTGAGCAGGGCATCGATGCCGCTGATAGCAATCTCCACGTCAACTTTCGTCTTTTGGATCTGGATCAGAAGGGCGCGGATGAGATCGCCTTTGACAGTTCCCACAAATGGGGATCGTAAGTCTCTTTCATATGCTTTCAAAACAGGAGTCAGGTCTCCTTCCTTGACCGAGTTTACGATGGCGGTAGTATCTGTCACCCCCGGGTGGAGATCCGGACGATCGCGAACAAAGTCAACCACCATCCGTTCTAAACTGGCACGATCAGCGAGCAAGCTATTTTTGCTCATGATAGCAATTTCGCTGTTTTTGTCGTGCCTGATTGTCCCAATGAGTTTTCGGATTGGATCTACAACCCAATTGCCCCAGAAATCGATCGTCGTAGAGCCGATGCTGATAATTCCTTGGATGATTTCGTCCCGTCGGTTGACCAGAAACTTGGTCGATGCACTTCCAGATAGTATAGCAAGCGACACCGGTAGCCAATAGCGGACTATGCGAGAAGGGCGCCCATGGCGACTGAGGAGAAGCGACATGGAGCTACTATGTTTTGGAAGTTCCTCACGGAGGATATTCACCAGTCTTTCAATCAATTCCAAGGGCCTCTGCGCAACATGAATCTCCTGGTTGTGCACCTGCTTGCTTTTGATATCCGTGTCCAATGTAGCAAAAACCTCATGTTCGAACCCCTGGGTACTGGGGTTAAGCGCCATCTGCTGGAGGATGGCTTCGACTAAACCAACCGTTCTGTGAATTTGGTCGTGCCAGTGCCCGATTGGTGACTTGGCGTTGATACTCGCAGTCGAGTCGTCCACCTCAAAGAGATGCCATCCTTCCATCAGGAGACCAAGGCTGCTGGTATGAAGGTCCTTCATTGCCAAGAGTTGATCTCGTTTCTGTCGCATATCTGCTCGACATGATCTTATTGGAGATAACAAATGAGCGCGTACAGAGTGACCTCCGAATTGCCAGGCACTTTTACGGGCAATCTGATAGAATTGACCCCATCTGTCGGCAATTGAGGGGTTGCCTTCAGTGGTTTGAGTCACATAGACATCCCTTGTCCATCGGTACAATTGCCCTGGCGAGTTCTGAAGGGCATACAGACTGCTATACCAGACCGAGCCTAGCATCTCACTCCAATAGTAGGTTTCATCATGAATTTTCAGCGTTTGATCCAGAAGGGTATTCATAACTAGCCCTGATACCTGAGCGGCAGCCTTTGCAGCTACTAGCCACACATAATCGGAAGTGCTCTCATCGGATATCCCCAATATTTGGGACTGTCCTTGAAGGCGAGAAAACACAGGATCCGAGAGCAGATCTGCCAACCGATTAGGTTGTAGCAGGGGTTGAGTCTTGGAGGTCACAGATATGGAATGAATAACATCTTGCAATTGGCCGATGTGAACAAGAGACTTGGTAGGTGTGTCTGCAGTCTCGACTGTCTGGCTAGCAATCTGTTGCTGCAGACGATCAAGCTGTGTATTGACAGTGCAAATGGTTCTAGAAGAGAGTTAGTATATGATGATACAGTTGAAAATGGATTGACAAACTCTCGTATGACCGACATGGTCGGAACTCCTAGTGTTGGAGCTCTCGAGGGTTTGGCTCAAGAGCTCTATTAAGCTGATGTCATGGGTGCAAACATGACAAACAGGGCAAACGTAACCAAACATCACCTCAGGCAAACAGGGCAAATGATGCAAACTGTACTCGGCCCTACACAGTACAGAACAGACCGGATCACAGCGTAGAATGTTTAATTTGCATATTTTTACGGAAGTATGATGTGTGTAATACCTATGCAGGTATCTTCCACTTACATATATTTTAAAAATCTGGAATTGGTTTCAAACCAATAAATAGAATATGTCAAATGAACCAGTTTACAAAAAGAAAACATTATACATATAAAACAAAGTACATCATAAGATTCCCAAAGTTTTAGGTCTAGGCATAGTCAGACCATATTCTACCTACGTATTATACATACAACACATGTAGGTACACGGAGTAAATGGAACCGGTTGAACCAAACAGAAGGCAGCAAAATCCGCATTACATGATTTTCTGCAGGTGGGGTGATCTCGGATGGGGATCGGGGCCTTATCCAAAGTCAGGGGTTAAGAAAAAATATAATCTCGCCACTTGTCGGTATTGGATCCCTTTCTTTCTCTTTTTTACTACATATATTCATTTACCTACCTTTGATCTTCACCATTGTTTTTCCTCTCTTCTATGTTCCTCCTATAACATTGAAAGAGAGAGAAAACAAACACGATGTATGTTTCTATCCCTTCGCTTCAAAAAAAAAAAAAAACACAGCTAACACAGTCACTAGGAACTCAACACTCTTGTCCTCCGGGACCTACTGGGGTCAATTCGAAGAGATCGGAAAGTACAATACCAACCTCAACGTTGCAGAAAGGTTATGGGCTGCCTGGTATGCTTGGATGCAAAACGATGTCCTGGCCACCGGAATCATGTCTTTTGTTATGCATGAATTGGTCTACTTTGGTCGCTCGCTTCCTTGGATTTTCATCGACACATTGGGCTTGTTCAATCGTTACAAGATTCAGGGTGTAAGTCAATTCCGAGTTCGGTCTCCGATTGATGACACCCTTTTAATATAATACAGAACAAGATCCCTTCCCTTCGTGAACAATGGGACTGTGCCAAGTTCGTCCTCTTGAGTCATTTCACCGTTGAATTACCTCAAATTTGGTAGGTCCAAATCTTTCCTTTCCTAAAACTGTTTATCAGATAGAATCTTGAACTCTAACTTGGTGTGAATCTAGGCTTTTCCACCCAATGGCACAGTTCTGTGGACTTTCGACCTCGATCCCTTTCCCGAACGTTTGGACCATGGCGTTCCAGATTGCCATCTTCTTCGTGATGGAGGATACCTGGCATTACTTCTCCCACCGTGCTCTTCACTGGGGTCCCCTTTACAAGGCCATTCACAAGATTCACCACCAGTACTCGGCCCCCTTCGGTTTGGCTGCAGAATACGCCTCTCCCATTGAGGTCATGATCTTGGGCTTTGGCACCGTGGGATGTCCCATTCTTTGGTGTGCTATGACCGGTGATCTACATATCCTCACTATGTATATCTGGATCGTGCTGCGCTTGTTTCAGGCCATTGATGCTCACAGTGGATATGAATTCCCATGGAGTCTGCACCACTTCCTTCCCTTTTGGGCTGGTGCCGATCATCATGATCTGCACCATGAGAAGTTCATTGGCAATTACGCTAGCAGTTTCCGGTGGTGGGACTACGTTCTCGACACCGAGTACACCCCAGATGCGTTGAAGCGGCGTCGGGAGAACAAGGCCAAGGCTCCCAAGGCACAGTGAGCACTGCAGTGCCTGCGGGCTTGTCCTCTTTTTCTACACCCTTTTCTTTCGCTTCAAATTCCTATCCGAATGTTTCATGTTCCTATGCACATTGCCATAGGTGCTCTCATGTCACTGTCTTGTGATAAGTGTGAGCAATGTATCTAATATTTCCATACTCCCGATTGGGTCACTAACTTGAATTTTAATGATGTCAAAATTGATAAACCTAGCAATATCAACACAGAGAGGCACAATATTGTAGAAGCAGGCATACCTGGGGCACCATTGCTCATAGCAATTGAATGAAGGCTCTATTTAACACATTCCATAAGAGCCTTTCATCAGCGTGCATTGTAATAAAGTTTGATAAAGTTACAAATTAATCGATTAATCCGGCTTTCTCCCTTAGGAGCTTCTTAGAACCGCTCTTTGAAAATTTCATGTGCTTTATATCTCTTTCTTTCAGACGCTGTTCAAGTTCTCGTTCGTTGCATAATGACAAGTCCTAGGGCCCTTCAACGGTTGATGTCTCACACGAAAGCCAAGACCGGATGATGGATGAGCATCGGTCAACAGAGTCGCATAGCACTAAGAATATAAATCGTGCAAAATATTTGTTTGAATCTGGTTACAAGTTATCGCCAACAGCTTGTTCTCCTAGGTAATGATTCTCGGAGAAAAAGATTTAGATAATGTAAGTGGTTCGTTTCCTAGCCAAACACAATAATATTATAGGTTTAAGATAATTTATATTCTCTAGCAAGACCTTAAAAAACAAATTTAACAACTAATATAGGGACCTTATCCTTTCTGTTTACGGTAAGTAGCTGAGCGCAGAAAAGAATGAGATCGCGGGATCGATCAAGACACCATAGAAAAGTAAAAAAACAGAGAGCCTCAGCGCGGGATTGAACCGCGGACCTTTTGATGGCAAGTAAATTATTACGTGATACAAGTCAAACGCTCTACCACTGAGCTACAAAGGCTGATGACAAATTGTGAACAACCCCGTTTATATTATGAATTCTACGAAACTAAGTCAGACGTCTGCAACTTAACCAAGCTTAGCAATCATAGGTTTCAGTTGTTTTTCTTTTTAATTATTTGGCTATATTAGCATTCATATGATTGTAACGAAGTGAGGGTATGAATTATCGATTAAAACAGGTTTGCCTTATAGGGGTAAATCTGCCCGGAGACAAATCTTAAGCTTGTCTGTAATGGTCTTTTAGACCAAGACGGTTCACTAAGACTACGGGGCACTGTTTCTATTCTATAATTTTTCCTAAAGGGGTTTCGTCTAGTCAGTTTAGACTTCGATAGATAGAGAAGCTATCGATCCGATTGTAACGGAGTGGATCCTGAATCTTCAGAAGTCCTGTCATAGAGACGGGTTATCGCCAGCGTGTCACTGTCGATCACAGAGCGTACTCTGACCGCCACTCTACCGCGCTCCTATCAATGATAAATAGTCCATTCTTGGGAACCTGGAAGTTCCCCAAGAATCAGTCTCTGTACTGTTCACATAATACATCTGTTCCGGAGCCATCTTCGTCTTACCTAGTTGACAGGCCCTATCCTGTAAACACTAGAACCCCCCTATACTTTACACCGATAGAGTTATAAAAGGTATAAAGAAAGGCCTTTATTTGGTTTGATAGAAAAACGGTTCTATATTTTTATGAGAGATTACGCAGAAGATATGAAATAGGAAGGGAAGAAGAAGGATGAATGAATAAAAAAATAGGGTAGGACTAAAATACAGGAAAATAAGAGATATAAAAAGAGAAAGGAAAAAAGGCTCCAGGGCACTTGCAAGGCCAAGGGGAGAATAATGAGAAAAGAAGAAAAGAATACAGAATTTTAATGAAATAAGAATTCTAAGAGTATTAGGGGATTATACCAGAGACCCCCCTCCCCCTCCATCCCTACTTGACCTTTCAGGCATCCACTGACCGCCTACCATGATACAGACCGCTTTTCTAGCCGCTTTCTCTACCATCTCTATGCAAATGCACCACACCTAAGAGTACCCACCCCCTTTCACTATGTAAATCTCTAACAAAATAAAGTACCTATAAACACTACCTTTTGCAGATGGTAAAGATGAAAAACGAAGCATGTTACAGATAAGCCCAATTTTGCACAAATAGGCATGAGATCGTGACCATAAAGGTCCAATTTTTACCATGTAAACCAGAATACAAACCTGCAAAAGGAAGTATGGCAGAGAATTTTCATATGTGGCAGAAATAATTGATGCCTTACGAACAATGCAAAGTCAGGCATAAAAATCGCCGGATCGGGCAAGGGGGGGGGGGGGGGTCCCTGGGAAATGGGTAGGGGTCTATGGTACGTTCCTGTTAGGGATATGGGCTCTGGACCATTCCTGTTCAAAGCTTTACTAGAAAGACCAATATGTACTCTAATAAAAGGCTATAAAGATTAAATTAAGCTTAATAACCTTAATCAAAAGGCGAAATAAATATAATTTTATAATAATTTATCCTAAGATAGATTAATATCTTCTCTTTTAAATATAACTTTATTATGTAAGATTATAATACTTAGCTTAATGACCTTAAACTTTAATTTACAAAGGCCTTAATGAAATTTATCGTACAATAATAATAAATCATTACTAACATTACAAAATTGTATGATATGTAATAAAACTTAATAAAAAACTAATCTCAAAGAAGAAGCCAAGAGATAAGACTACTTTAAAGATTAATATATCTAAGACCTTTTTATAAAAATTTCTTATTAAATATGTAATAATAATATATCAATAAATCTCTTATAATATTAAGATATATTATTTAAGCTATTTTGAAAAAGATAACTCTAATATTACTTATTTCTAATATTAAAGAAAAGGTATTTTACAAAAATAACTACCTTTAAAAATAATGAAATTATTATATTATTAATTTAATAATAAAAAAAGGTAAAGATTAATGAATTTATTGACTATAATAATAATATAAAGAAAAGAAAACGTCTTAGTAAAAAATCCTATTACTCTCATTTTTTATTTTTTTGACTAAGAGTATTACGTACTTCTATATACTGATTTATCATAATGATATTTAAATCTATATATTCAAATACTAATATAACAGATTTTAAAAGTTAAATATAATTTTAAAAAAGGATTATTACCTCCTTTCCTTAATTGATAAGGTTCTATAACAAATAAGTATTATGAAGTTCTTTATAAAGAAAAATATATAGTTAATCTTTTATTAAATTTAATTTATTACGAAAACTATAGATCTGATAATATTCCGAACCTAATATAGATCTTATAAATATAAGATAATATCCTTGTCTGTAATTAAATCTTTAAATCTTTAAAGAATATTGATAATATATATATGAGGCTCTTTTTTATTTACAAAAAATAAGATTATGAATTCTTAGTCTAGCGAACTAGATTTCTCGGATTTATTATTATCATTATATTAGAGGTTTCTTTATCCATTTTAAGAAACAAAGATAATCTTAGAATAAATAGCCCTTTTAATCGTAAAACTATAAAGTTATTCCTTGGTTTTTATAATTCTATTAGTGATTTATTAATGAATATCGTTTATTTTAAAATTACTGGATTAATTAATATATAAAGATACGCTTTCCGAATAATCTACTACTTATAAAACTGTATTTTAGTAATTAAAGAAAGGACTAATTTCCGCCTTGATTTACGTTATTATATTCCTTTTTTATTTATTAAGAATAAATTAATACCTTAGATAAAGTAATCGGAGCTAAACTTATGTAACATTATAATGAAAGTAAATAGTAATATCTATACTGTTTTTTTTAAAAGCTACATACGCCGTAGAATAGAATTTAATATTTAGGCTAAAAAGCTGTTTATTATATAAATATTCTAAAAATAGTGTAAGTAACCTAAACCTAAACGACTCTCTTAAAGAGACCGATTTAGAATTGTTGTTAGTAATTAAGTCTTTAAATAACTTTATAACTATATGATAGATAAACTAAAGGTAGACTTAGTAGAGCGAATCCTGTTTTTAGTTCTACTTTATAATAGATTATTATTTAAGAAAGAGTAATATTAATACTACTATATTAGTATAGAAAAGTACTCTTTTTAGCTAAGATCTTACTGGACTTCTAGGTAATTATTTAGAAGAAGAGTCTTCTTATAGATTGTATTAGTTAATATTCTTATACTTAATAGAATTATAAACCAAGTAAAATTTATAAACTAGATTAGCTCCGAGCTTAATAGTTTCTAATATATAGCCTATAAAGGAACTTATTCGCGATAGATATTATAAGATAACCTATTATTATTTAACATCTAGCTCAAAGTACCCAATAAAGATGATCGTTAAGTACGATTGTTTAATAGGGTCTACTATTAGCCTGTAATCATATATCTAGATATTGAAAATTTAAAGAAGCTAGTTTTAGCTTATCACTAGCCTAGCTAAATAATTAATCAAGACAGATACGTCGATAATTGTTTAGTATATATATAAATAATCAGAGGCATAAAAATATTAACTCTTAGACTTCTTTACTTACTAAAGATATTAAACAGACTATAAGAGTTATTATACTTTAATTTATATATATATAGTAAAAATCATATGAATTATGATATATATAAAAGGTATAATACTATTTATGATATCACTATTTTTATCACTGAAATATTTTATTCGTCACTATTCTAAGTAAACAAGGATTAATGGTAAATAATTATTTCCCGTTATTTAATAAAAAGGATACTTTATTCATTAATATTAATGAAGTAATCTAAATTCTTTATAAAGAGTTACTAAGGGAAATGAAAAGTATAAGAAGGGAAAAGGAATGGTTAATAAGGTAAGAAGGTGATTTAGAATTCTTTTGAAGAATTCTTAGTAATAGTGTTTATAAATTGTTAGTGTTAAAAAATGAATTATTATAGATTTTTTCACCCTTCTTTTATATTCGAATATATAGCGAATAGATATTTCCCACAATCCTTGTTTATT